GGGAGAGCTGAAAGTTCTGCCACACAAGGTATCGATTCCTTGTGCGCTTGTTACCCGCTAGCGAAGTCGATGTCAAGACAAGGGCTGCGATGCGTCTATACTGCAATCCCAGACTAGCGAGCACACGGATTCCCTTCAGGTAGACGTTAGAGTTAAAACGTCGTCGACAGATGAGCCTTACTCCTAATGGATCGCTACCTTGTAGTAGTTTCTAAATTTGGCTAGAAAGCTATTGGTCAGCTTCGGCTCATATTATAAATTCCTGGATCTAATACGAAAGGAGCATACAGATTGCTAGAACTTGCGAGATTAGCTCAGCTTCAGCTATCCCTCAAAGTACCTTGCTCTGGACTCGCTCTCGCTCATTCTCAGGATAAATCTCCAATATCTGTCGCAGACTTCTCATCGCGAGAATTTTCCAATGAAAGAAGTTCGAAAATACCTAGCCAGTGGCGAGGTGTCCCCATTGCCAAGCGATTTTTCCATCGCATATGGATGTTTAGTGCTGAAAAGGAAGGGCTTGGCTGCTTAGTTGACAATCCATCCTGACAACCGATAACCAAGGACAACTGAATCCTTGCGCAAGCCGTAGTCCGAGTGTCTATTCACGATACATCTCAACTATCACGGACTATCAAGTGGGACCATGCGCTTTCCTTAACGAGTTGCGACGACAGCATACAATTATCCCTGCGTCGAATATTGCAGTATTCGGGTTTAGACGTAATCCTCTCAACCTGGACTTGAACGGGATGCCGGCGCTAGTTCCCGAGCCGGCTTTCACTTCGCAGCAGCTTTCGGGGACCATTGATATCAGAAGCTGTTCATCATCACTCTTTTCTGTTCTTGTCACTAGCTCCTACGATAATTTAGCCCTATTCGTGCCCAGTCATATCGTATGGGGTCACTTATACACGGCACTAATAAGACTTGAGCTGAGTATTCACAAGGCCTATCTTTACCTACCTATGCCTCTGTGAGTTGCTCTTCTCTTATATCTTGATAAGTTCGTATTAGCAAGATGGACTTTTGGGTATACGAAATCGAAGAGTTGGATCCACCATAGACATCCACCGATTCGGCCCCGAAACATGATGCTGCATCTTAGTCATTACGTACCGCTATCTATCTGGATTAAGTAATTGCACTGCATATTCTACTGCACGGTAGAAGTTGTTTGGTCTTTTATTTCTCATGTGTCATGCGCAATATAGGGTCATCATTTCCATTATTATCACTCTTGTCATCGTCATTGTAATTAAAAAACCACGGCCAAACATCGTGGGACCCCACATCATTCATCATTCATCATAAATCATTTCTTATTTCCTTATCCTATCAATCAGTAAGAGGAGACAGAGACATGTGTTTCTGTGACACAGCCTGATTTACTATACCCTAGGCAGTTAGTTAAAGCAGTCAGTGGATATTTAGGGGGCATAGATATTGTCGACGGCTTGTTTCACGTTTCCCATCAAGTACCTCAAATAGGTATGTAAGTACCGATGGTAAGTACCTCTTGAGCTGCATGTATCATACATCTGTATGTACGTGCATATATATGTACTATCATCCCGGCGGTATACGGCACCTAGCGTCAATGGTACATCATTCTTCATCACACCGCCATTAGAGCAAGTACCTCATTCATGCTTAAGCCGAACCAGGGCACCCAGCCACCACCAAGCTTTTGGAATACTTCTTTACGGCGGATAAATATCGTTAGCTAGCAAGAGATTCGCCCACGCTGCCACGCTAGCAGTAGAACCCGCCTAGGCGTAGTTCTCAAACAAGTCCAAGCAAGAAAAAAAGAAAAAGAGAAAAAATATCAAACATCCGAGGCGATCTCACTCACACGTGGCAGGCAAGCAAGACACGGGAGATTGTCTTGACTCGTTCCCGAGGACCCCAACCTCTCGGTACTCCAACTGCACGAAATGGATTACTGTACTATTGAAATACGTGCATATCTACAGTATGTACGTGTGTGAGCGGCGTATGTGTATGTACATAGATTCCGTAATGTACATACGCCACGGGTACATCGTTAATATTTCTCAATGTGGTTTAAGTAAAGACCCTTGAATATCATTATCATAAGCCGCCGTTAGTATTCTAATAGTTGTACCTAGTCTTATCTTTAGGCAGGCCCTTATTATATAATCAATGAATCACTTTTCGGGAACAAGTTTCTACTCCCAAGGCATCATTGATTAAGGCTCTCGGCTTTCTCTAGCCTCGTAGGATGCCGGCCCACCGTGGAGTATGAACAAGAACGTGGACAATAAGCACGTCCCATCCGAATCCGAGCATACGGCTGTTTACTGTTTTATGATTTCTTAGCCTGAATTTACCATACCGCCCTGTCTTGCGCTGCGGCTGAACAATTCGAACGGATAGCTATCCTATGTGGTGGAACTCACGTCTCCCTTGCGCAGTTTTACTGTTTGCTACTTATTCTCCCTGGACTAGGGTCTTGTGGGTGTGCAAGTTACCAAGATGCTGGATTCGATGAGACAACTTTGTGTCTCTCCTTGCCTCGGGAAACTTATTATCCAGTGCTAATCTTGGCCAACATCTAGAACTTCAATATACCTACCTAGACAATGCTCCCCTTTGCCGGGTCGCTCAGGGTCTCGGAAGCTCACCACGTTCGACAAGGAGATCCCTTGCGTTGCCATCCATGGGCCCTACCCGAACTTCTACGAGGCTAAAAAAGCTACCAACCCAGTTCGCCCTTTTCCAACAGCCGTTGCCTAGTCTGCATACAGTTTCGCGGCTCGCCCAAAGTCAGCGCCGGGGTCGCCGACGATGGATCTCCTTTTCTCTCCACTGATCTTCTAAGCATGAGCTGTCATTTAAAAAAGCACGGCTCACGAGGAGGTCAGCCGTGTTCCGAAAGCATAATAAAAGAAACCAAGTTTTCTGTCGTTACAGATCTCGTGTCGGAAATTTTTCAAAAGAGCTTGGACTACGTATTTGGAAATATTCTAGAAGGCAGGATCTTGCGACAAATAACTTGGTACGCTATAGGGTCGACGTTCGGGACGGTTCCGCACACACTTCTTTAGGGATTTGTCACCGCCAACTGAAGATGATAAAGCTTCGACTACCCGAGTGGTCAGAGTTCGGACGGGCGACGAAATTGGCCGGATAGCTAACCCTAAGAGTGAGGATAACAGTAATTGGGTTCGTCCGTTCTGGGTGTCACCCTGTTCGCCATACCGCTTTTTGGGATATTCCACGCATTTTCTAGAGTTCGGCCACGTAGAATATCCGTTGTCTATTTTCTTGCTCTGAACTTTCGCTCGTCTGGCACATGGCAATCCCCGAGTTGGATGTCTGCCATACTTTATTTGGTACGAACACGTGGCACAAGTACTATACATATGAGGTACGTCTTAATATTTCCCGAAACAGATTACAGCTACAGATCGGGTTGAAGGCGATGAGTACACATGCTTGTCTCTTGTGGAGTTCAGCTATATTTCGCTGGCGTAGCATCGAAAATATGTCTTAGGTAGGTGCCTAAAGCTGAATTTTAGGTAGCCAAACTAGGTACATCATAGCGAATACAGAGCTTCATTCACTTGTATCCCTGTTAGAATCATCTTCAAGTGCTTTCCCAGATACCCATGGAGGCTATTTGGTTATCCGGGTTTGTAATATGAAGCTTCTAGATGTTGTGCTTCCACACACTTACGCACCTAAATCATGCTTGAGATTAATCAAAATTAGCAAGAAATTGATCACCTCCCTTTATCTACAGACGGATATATCTCCACGTTGGTCATGATTTTGTGAGACGAGAATCACGGCGGTGAACACACGATGTAGTATTTGTAACGATGGGTAGCACAGATGCCAGGGGTAACTTGTACAACACCACACGAATCCTGCCCAAGAGTTGTGATCCAGGGGCACTCGATCCTATACGTCGAAGCAGGCAGAGATATGCTAAGCTGACTCTGTATGTCTAACCTTGGTCTAACAGTTCGCAGACCTCCCGCTCCCTAGCATACTTGTGTAGTGCTAGCCCCCAAGCTATGGGATCTGCACTGGAACGTTTCCACGTTCGTCTTCGTGCATATAACAGATACAAAAAGCCCTTCGGACGGCATATGGGACATGTTGCTATACCCGAAGGTTTCGTATCACTTCATCTGACATCACGGTGTTGATTGGGTTTAGGGTACATATCCATGTGTGAGAGGGTCCATATGAAGTGAGCTGCGGAGATTTGGAATATGTAGCTGGACTTTTGAATACATATTATAGATAGATATCGTCAATTTAGAATATTCATTATCCGTAGATATATAGGGCGGTCTGCGCTGAGAAGATAAGCAAGTTGTCCTATTTGTCCTGATTGTCTTCCTCTTCCCATTTCAGCTCCCATGAGGATAACGAAGCGGGTATTCTTATGCTCAACGTGGTAAGATCGTAAGGATAACAAGTTTGATTATCATGAGTTAGCTTTGCCTAATTTGAGGGTTTGACGTCCGCATTATCCACATTAGTTTCGTGGGTTGATATTGGTGAAGAGGCCGGAAGCTTGTGTTACAATGATGCCTCAATCATACCGTTATAATCCTAACCTCCAAACTCGAGGGTAATTGCTCGTAGGTGCATCTTTGCGTCCAGCTTGACGATGGAGTAGTGTTCCTATCATCTAAACGAATGGACTCCTCAGAAGAGCGGTATAAACTCAACCCCGTAGCTACCGCTACGAGAAATATTAGCCGAAAACTCCCTAAAAGGAGAAATAGACGAGCATCGTACCAACAAGTTTCATACACCACTACTTGCAATTGTAAACCGAAATGTCTTTGCATACATCACTATGCAACGAACGTTATGTTACTAGATCAAAATTGCCTGACTTGCTCATAGAATGCCGTCGCCATAGCCACAATGCATGATCTTCCTCACTAGGGGCTACCAGAGCCTCTCACCAGATCACACAATCACAACGCAAGCCAAACCAGCCCGAGCCTATATTCTCGTCTACCACTACCTGGGGTATCAATCTTTCTCACACTACCACAGCTGTCTCGGAACTTGCTGAATTCACCCCTTTCCACTTTCTCTCCCCTATATGAAAGCTTTTCAACGATCTCCTCATTACAAAACATAAATGCAATCCTCCAAACCCCAAGCCAACCTCCCAAACGCCAAAAGACACCATAACTCCTTGTACTACCATCACTCCAACTCAGCGCGAAACCCCCCATCATCCGCCCTAGGCACGCGAAACTGCCCCTGTCCCGACGCCGCCCTCCCATTCGACCAAGCCATACTCTGCACACCCATGCCCGATCCGATCCCAATCCCCATAGTCTGCCCAGGCGGCGTTCTATTCTTATTAACACGCAGCGGCTCCGGCATAATACTATTATTATGATTGCTCCCATTACTCGGCGCAGGACTATGTCTATGATACGGACTAGCCGTCCTCGGCGGCGGCGTTGCACGACCAAACGAATTCGTCGCGGACCCTGGTCTAGATTGCGGGCGGTGTTGGTGGTATAACGGAGCTTGTTGTTGGAACGCGCTGGGTGCGGGATATGTGGCTTGGTTACCGGAGTGGTTGGAGTGTATACTACCACTGTGCACACTCGACGCAGTGTGTTGGCGATGGTGACTTATTCCTTGGGCAGCGCCGGGACCGGCCGCTTCGGCTTTTTCTAGAAGTTTGTCGACGAGTGTGCCGTGGGCTTTCTTTAGGGTTTTCTTGATGAAGGATGTCATCATGAAGTTACATCTTAACTCGACGTCCTGTTGCATAGGTTAGTTTAGATACTTAATTGGTAGAACGATAGTGCTTACCTCGCGCAAGTAGAGTCCCTGCCTCGGCGCACCAATACCAAGCTCAACAGGCTCCGGTGGTTCACCGGGCAGGGATCCGTTTACCGTCCAACGGCCTAAAATATCCGTCCCCATAGCGGCGTAGCTATGGGTCTGGATGCCGGTCGGCAAGTCATTGAAAGCGGCGGTGTACGTAACCTCACCGGTCACCATTCCACCGGGAAGATACGAAATCTTATCCGTCATGCTCCACCATACACACCGACGCTCTTCTTCCGCAGCATGTGGTGGCGGATCAATCTTATGCCGTTCGATGATAAGCGGATTCAGGTCGATCATCCCGGCATGGTTGTGCAGAAAGCCGACGACAAACTCGCGTGAGATGCCCGCAGGCAACGGCGAGATCGTCGTAAACGTCGTGCGCTTCGTCATGGCCATGACAAGCGCGCGGATTAATTCCACCTACTCCGACAGGATCGAGTATTGAATTAATATTTATGAATATAGACCAACACCCAAGGTGAGGCTGAGGTGCCAAGAAAAGGAACAAAGACCCTGCCTTGCCTTGCCTTGAACTACCTTCGGGCGAAAATGACTTGCAGAGAAATAACAGGCTTCGTAATAGGTTATGAGAGAGGAACAAAGACGAGACCGGACGAACGAGTAAGCAATGCGCACTAATGGAGACACGGTACGGATTTTAGTTTTGTTGAACCAAGCTCGACCGCTTCGCACGAATGCAGAATAACTGTAGCTGAATCTACAGTCGCACACAATGTTGACGGAGAAGAGAAAAAAAAGAAAAAAATTAAGTCCTACGAAAGGTCAACAACCAAGTAGCTGACCACGTAGCGGTGTATAGAAATAATACTACCTAGGTGTCCTATAATTTTCTCATTGTAGGAATGTTTCATGGAGTAGGTAGAAATCGCATTTACACTTGTAAGGTCGAAATAAAGACGAAACAAGGATCACGAACGAGGTGAGATGATTGGTGCCGCGCTCGGGTGATCAACGGGGGGGATGCATGCGTTGTTGGCGTTTCCGGCCACCTCTCCCTGCATGAGGAGGCTGTGGTATCGATTTTTTGGGCTCGACCCAGGTACCCAGACCCCTAAAATAGAACAGCTTATGAGATATTGGATGCGCTACTCCTTGGTAGGACACCACTGGTTGGCTAGCTCGTAATCCATCAAAATTAGGCCTATGTAGGTAATGGAAAAGGAACAAATTGTGTCTTACCGATGTTGCAGGAGCAGCACAGTCAGTCAGTAATTAGTATGAGAGTATTTTTATCCTTTTATGACTCTTTATGACTTTGTTAATTCCTTATGGTTCGCGGACCGTTTCTAACCCGGCTGGCTGAGTCGAGATTGGCTTAAAAGTTGGTGTATTTATATATCTGCATTCAAATACCGCGGCCGAGAGATATCCGTAATGGGTTAAATCTGGCTGCACCACCGGGAAAGAAATCCCGGTAGTTCGCACGCCGCAGGAACCTCATCCAGTATAATGTCGAGTTTCCACATTTTCCCCTCTAGACCGCCATGTGCAGCGTTACTCCGGCCGCCAATGCCGGCCGGGATGAGTATACCGAGGGATACTAAACGTTCCCAGGCTACCGCGGCGATGCCTCGCCCCCAAGTCCTTGCGCCTGCTCCTAGAGCTAACATACCGGAAGAAGCCGACTGAACTCTTTGCTTGCCCATTTGTGAGCTATATTCATCATACGCCATAGCAAAATTGACTGTGTCCGTATGAGCAACGATATCTAGACGAGCCGCTGAAATAAGTAGCGCTAATTCGAGATCTGATAACGTTCCTAAAAGATGTAATTTGGATTCCGAAGGCTCTAGAGAGATGCATCCCGTAGAAGATGAGGGTATTTGTATATCTAGTGAGGAGGTTGAAATTGTTGACAGAGGTAGAATGCATGTAGTGAGGAAAGCTGGTATGGATTTCGTCGTATAGTAATGATATTCTAGATGGTCTTCGAAACTTGAGGTTTTATGAAGGGCCTATAAAACATTAGCAAAATTTGCGCAAAACGTGAACCGTAATTATCGCGTATTACCTCGATCTTGTTGTCCCAATAGTCTCGGAACTCGTATAGCCCTTCGAGACTAGTATCGAAGCCTTCCTGGGCGAGGTCTTCCTCATCGACAGAAAGCCCTTGTTTGCAGGCTTCCCAATAAGCACCTAGAGTTTTCGGAAGAGACATGTAAACATATCGATGGCTGAATCGACTCTTTACTCTCTTTTCTAGACTTTCTACAACGTCGATTCTTGTAGTCAATCCCAGCACTGCAATTGGTGCCTTCCTCGCTTGAGCAATATCAAACAAATTGTACAATAGCGTTTGTCGAGCGTGTGTCGCAAATAAGTCGAACTCGTCAATAATAAAGACGACCGACTTGGATGTTACACCATCATCGGCTCCTGTAATTTCTGCGGGGTGGGATAAAAGAGCTAAGAGCGAAGCCATCGTGTCGGCATAGTTGTTCGTCTAGTCGATGTTAGCCCCTGTGGAACTTTAGGTATATAGAAACTGCCCTACCTTATTTATGAGGTCATCTTCGAGATCCATCTCCTTACCGAGCTGGCGCCAAATCTCCTTCAAAGCTAGCTTGTCGTCAGTGTGAATAAAACCGTTAAGACGAACCACATGGAATTCCTCTTGGTGTTCCGCTCTGAGATTTGAGATGATCTCTTCCATCAACTATAAAGCAATTAGTTATACTCAATAGGAGGTGATATGAACCATACCGTAGTCTTGCCGCAACCTCTCGCACCAATAACCATCATCGAATTACCCTCACCGGCCAAGACAGTCTGTTCTGCTAGTTGAAAGGCCTTATCATAAGCTTCCGTCTGACCACAGAGCTTAATACGGCGATTTCCAGAGCATCGATCTAACAGTACGCGTTGCATCTGTCGTAGGTGTTGTTCCAAATTTGGAATTTTAGGCACTTCCGATGACTTAGTAACGCGTATTCGTTTCTGAGGGGTCACCTTCGCCTCCGGTAGAGCATCGTCCTGTGAACAATTCCTACATATCCAGTCGCCTTCCGGAATGACAGGTACACCGTAGCATTTTTGGTGAACCGCCATGTCACAATTCTCGCAAAATATAATCTCGTTCGGCGGTTCCGAATCTGGTTTCGAACATATCGCACATACTTCGTCATCCTCGCTCTCACGTGTTTCGTTTTCTTCATCTCCGGCGGGTGTCTCCGTGTCGGTTATAACAGCTGCGGCCTTTTCTTGCGGCTTCGACCTCGAAGTGGTCAATTGAATGTCCTTGAAGAATATTTCGTTCTCTTTCCCACTATCTCCATCATTGAATGCCACATTCTTCCGCGGTCGGCCGGGTTTCTTCTTTTGGGGGGTTAATATTCCCTTGATGGCTGGCAACTTGATCGCGGGCGATGCATCTATATTGCTCTTGAGAGGTATCGTCCTTTTTGGCTTTATACTAGGTTTAGACGCGGATGTACTGGGTTTGCTCTCTGATCTAGCTGGTCTCCCCTTTCGTTTCGGTGTAGCTTCTAGGTTGCTTTCTTCTTGCGCAATGGCTGGTTTCTTTTTGCGAGATTCCAACAATCGCGCGCTTACACTCTTCTTCGACGATGTACTCGACACGCCATTGGCGCCCCTCTTCCTAGGTGGCGTGGATTGGAGCTCGTCATGACTTGTATCCGCTGGTCCTGGGTCATGACTGACCTCCTCGTCGGAATCTGGTACTTCGTAGACATTGGCTCGAGGACGGGACTTCTTGTTCGGCGACTTAATACTAATTTTATTATGTTTCAATGGGAGGCTTTGTAGGTATTCGGTAGATTTCTTGTCCTCTGGGGATTCGGGTACATCGTATGTGGCATCATTGGTTGAAGTTTTCGGGTTGGTAGCAGCAGCGGCGGTACTCGCGTTCTTTTTTCGACCGAATCCAAGTGCGCCGCTGATAGCAGAAGTTATAGCAGAGAAGCCCTTGGGTGTAGATGGGGACGGATTTGTAAGAGTGTTAAGGCGGCGTCTCTTAACAGTGGCGTTCAATGTTGGTGTAACGGCGGGCGACGAATCTGGGTCGTCGTCGGGAAGAGGTCGCTTTCTTCGACCAGAGATAGGAGTCGTCATATTGTGATCGACGACAAGTATATATTTAGGATTTGGTCCATGAATATTATTTATACTCCAGAAGTTAAACAAACGTACAATAAATCAGTAAAGTTCGCAAGTTCGTAGTTGAAGATGGGATGGTTGACACAATGTTGGCCCCTGCTTGGAGATCTTTAAGAGGTACCTAACTATTAGTGAATAGGGCACTAGCAAATAAAAATTATGGCCCCTGACGGTGGAGGACCCCAGTGAAACGCGACGCGCCTTTGGTAATTTACGCGCTATAGTGGGGCCTTAAAAGCATCTGGGCAGCTAGGGTGCCTATTATCAGTTGATTTAGACCGGGGTAAACTCATTTAGCTTCTAACCTTACCTAATCAGCCCCTAGACAAAGCATTATCGTCGCATCAATTAATTATTCAATTGCCCCGAATTTTAAGTTCTCTAACTCATATATGACTTCATAATGCGTCGCTATCTTTATCGCATCTATTGTTTTAATAATCGCTGCTAAAAGCTAGAGTACGCTATTCAGCCCGAAACGATTGGCATGGACATGAATTAGGAGAACATCGTGAGGTTCCCCTACTTTCCATCAATATCCCCCCATACGTGTACCTATAATATCAATATTACAAACTTCATAAACGAAGGTATATCTACGCTCCTAAGGGGTTCGTATCTCCAACTACTTTCGCAGATTCTTCATACAATGCGATCTTAACCCCTTCGCTCGGCTTTCCCACCACCTCTGCTTGGTGTTTCTGTGCATACCAATCTCCACGGTATTCGATATAATCGTATTTCTGAAGAATCTTGACCACTAAACCCAACTATCATTAGCATATCCTCCTTTACCCCTTTCCCAATATCCACGAAAGGAACCACTTACTACAATAAGCCATCTCAGTCATAGCGAAATTCTGCCCTACACAAATCCGCGGTCCGCCATTAAACGGCACGTACTGCCAAGGCTTCGGAGTCCAACTTTCCCACCTCTCCGGCGAGAAGATCGCCGGGTTCTCAAACTTCTCCGAAACTGGCGGATACAATTCCTTGCGCCTTTGCATCGCGAGCGTACTATAAAACACGATATCCCCCTTAACCACCGAGATAGGCGGTTGGCCTGGTATTGTCGGGAGTGTCGTATCCTGCAACGCTCCGCGCAGGTTATACGGCACGGCGGGGTACAGCCTCAGCGTCTCGTTCAAAGTGTGTCGTAAATATATCATGTTCTTCAGATCCTCGTATGTGGGAGTACGGGTCCGGCCAACGGAGCTGATGATTTCTTCGCGCAATCTGTTGAACTTCTCGGGGTAGTGGGATAACTCGTAAAATGCCCATGAAAGCGTGGCGGCGGTTGTGTCACGTCCGGCTAGTAGCACCGCAATGATCTGGTCGCGAAGCACTTGACGGTTGCGAGTATACCGCACGATGCTATGAAGGAAAGTGAAATGTTTGTCAGAGTTAGAGAGTTTCTCTAATTCTTCCTGTGGTAGCGCCAAGGCTTGCTCGATGTATGGCATGATGAATCGGTCCAATACTTGGATCCCGTCATTATATCGACGACGAGGGACGAGGAAATCAAATGGCCTACATCGACGAGTTAGCAAGCCATCTGGGATGGTATCAGTTCAAATTCGAAATTTCATTACCCAACGGCGGTTAGCATCATTTGAATCATTTGGACATCGTTGAAAGCTTTGGCGAATTCGTTCTGGGGACTTCACGATACACAAATTAGCGCAATTCTAGCAGCATAATTGGCATATAACTCGAGGGAGGAAAACATACTTGCCCAAGCTATTAATACTCGCACCAAGGAGAAAATCGGTGGTGACATCCAGAGTCATCCGATAGAAAAGGCCCATAATATCTACAGTCCGACCCGATGGTGGGAGCTTGGTGATGAGTGTTGATACCCATTTCTCAAACGTCGCCAGGTCGCTGACCCTGTCCTTGATAAACATCGGTCGGATCAAACTGCGACTATCATGCCAGAGTTGGTCGTCAGTTGTGAAGATGCTATCACCAAGAAAAGGTCTCCAAATTTCGTGAAACCGAGGCCCCTTTCCGAAATCCGAAAATTGAGTCGTCAATATTGTCTTGATATGTTCCGGATCTTTGGTGAATAGGTATCGTTCTTGAGGGAAAAATTGAATCTCGGTGCAATTTGGACATTCTGGAGTTACCAGTTCAAAGAACTTATTATACTGTTCCAAAAATTCATTTTTCATCAAAGCTTTGGCTGTGTCGAAGAACCATCTCGTTGCTTTTTACCACTCAACGAGTCAGAATAGTCATCAAATTGGCAAATATCGCGACATCCTCCGCACGATTCTTCAAGACTTGGCTTACCCGTTAGAGGATTGCTTGCTAGGCGAGGTGCGCGCACTCCGCCTATCTTTCTGATTCGAAGTTCATGCCTCCTATCTAAAACCAAATAGTAGGCCAAGGCACCAGCAAGCGCCAATCCGCTAGCAGCGACGATATGAACGAATGATATCTGGGCCAGCATCATGATATAATTTGTCCTTATGTTTTGCAAATACGTTCAGTGTTTGAGGGGTTGGTTCCTAACATCCCTTATAGAAGGACGTCACAAGAGGGGACCGACAATTGTTAGGGAGAACATTGAGTCGGCAGGCAACCTTTTTACACAATTCGGCTATGTGAGATTCGTTCACAAGTGTCAGCCGACGATCAATTCTTGGTAATGACGGCGCCTATCCTCGAAGCTAGCGACTAAATGCAACCCTCTCATGATGTATCCCAATACTCGAAGCGTAATAGAACGTACGTTTTCATATGGTTAGTCTCCTCACCACCTACCAATTACACATCAGTAATGACTAACCCATACTCCATGGATGGCTGAAAAGATCCGTCGTGGGCATATATTGTGAAGCTGATTAGCAGAAACTAATAGCAAAAATTAGACGTACCTAATGGCACTATGACTATACTTATCCAGGGGTTCCCCGCAAACTGTTCCGAATCCCTTCTGCCTTATGCGATGCTACCATAGGCTTAGAAGCAAAACTATCCGAAAGCCAAGAAAATCACATGTGATTATTTACCCCATCAGGTCTTATGGTGCGCTCTCCTTAACACAGGCAGACCAAAAAGTGCTTCATCTTCCGACCTACGAGATGTGTCGGAGGGAAAAGCGAAAACCCTTCTCACCGCCTACATAGTATGATTGAACACTCTCAGTTTCTGCACCAGGAATACCGTTGTCTTACAAAAACTCGACTTCAGCTGGATCTAGCATACGATTGAACCCTCAAAATGTTCACCATAACCTTTCAACATCTCTGAAGTGCCGCGTGAATAATTTCGCTTTTATATTTGGACGCCTCATACGATGCCTATGTGTTGAAGCATTCTAACGAATATGACGGTTACTTTTCTCCTCGATTATAATCAAGGCCTTTAGAGTTGTATATACCCGGGTGACCCCCCAAAGGAGATACACTCATGTCCATACACACCACCATGTCCGTACACTTGGAGATATGAGAGAACATACACACTAAATATCATACATCCTTATTTGTTCGACCGTCACCCTTGGATACATTTTCGTCTCAAGTCGCAACACCAGCCCTAACATCCCCCTCATCAGGCGCTCGACCATGTCTCCTCTCCTCCTTAATCGCCTCCCTCTTACCAGCCTGCTCGCGCTTTTTCCTATTTCACTCATCAGTTAGTAAACTCACACTGTTACAACTCACTATAATTCAACATACCGATCAAGATCCCCCGCCAAATCCGGCTGCTCGCCCCCAGCACCCGGCTTCCTCTGCACCACATCCGCCACATCACCCTCACCGGGTGCCCTCATCTGCTCCCCCTCCAACTCCCTATTCCTCCCAACCTGTTCATGCGTGCGACCAAACTGTTCTTCCCCCGCGGGCGCACCACGAATACCATAGCCCAGACTCGAAGGTACAGCTTCTTTAAGCCCCGCGGCTTGACCCGAGGGCGAGCGCTCATCGACTACGCGCCCATGGTCATGACTATGACGTTGCTCGCTACGCTGCTCGGATGGGTTCGAGGACGCTGGGTTCCCTTGCGTTTCGTAGGCTGTAGCTTTAGAGGGTTGGGATGGTGCTGAGGGATCCATTTTAAGAGTTGGTAAGTGATACTACTAAAGATTTGATTACCAATAAAGAATTGAGTTGTGAGTTTTCGATGACTTAAATCATAAAGAATAATTACTGGTAAATTCTTTTATGAGGAACGATACATAGGAAGTTCTTTCACGCCGTGACGCAATGTGGACGAGCTCTAGTCGATGACGTCGATAGGATGCCAGAATAGGAAATTAGCTCCAGCTACACCAAGCTAGAGCAGGTACGCAAGTACTGCCTTGATTAGCCAACCAGGAGCTATCGTATTAATAAATAGGAGTCGTAATAAATTTTATTGTAGATGAAAAAATTGTTGAATCTATTGATACGGCATATTCACAGTGGGGGAGTGATTATAATGATGGTACCCAAAGAATAAGATGTAGGAAAAAATATTTCATGAAAAGGAGTTGAACCATCGTGGTGATCGGTTCGAGTTTATAGGTGTATGAGATCGCCCTTGAGACTTCAAGGAGGAAGATGAAGGTACAGAGCAGAACAACAACCGTGATCAACATGGAAGGAAATAGTAGGAATATCATCAACTTACCAGAAAATCCCCCCTCGGTTTCTCCCCGATCTCCCGAATACTTAATTCTAAGCAGACGGGAGGATATCGAGAATCGCTCCTTTGCCGCTCGTGGGCTCTATAGATTGGGTTAGCTTTAATGTAATTCAATGCGTTATACCACTTGACCATGGCGTGTTGTTCTGTTGTTGGAAATCACACCAGAATAATTTAACTTAAGTATGTTTTAATCGAGGGTGGCGGCTGCATAATCTTTTAAGGCGTCTATAAAGTTGAGGCAGGTATGGGTTGTAAACATGGGCAGCAAGATAGGCGCGAGAAACGTGCTTGCCTTAGTCAAATCCTCAATGTACATACAGGTATATACGTACATACCTAGGTACATACATGATGTATAGGCGACACTTGGACCTCAGAAATTCTAATACTTTGGATATTTTCGAGACCCCCTCCGGTACGTCTACCAACTCGTGAGACGTAGTATTGATGGCTGCATCAACGGATTAATGGGTTCCCCAAGTTAGATGGCGTACGAGGAAATTATTTGAGCATTCAATCGTATCGTTATGAGAATTTCAGTTAAAGGCCTTCGCGATAATGACTATTCGTCCTATCGATCATTGTTGTTCTCATATGAAGTATCTCGTAATGTCATCTTAATATAAGCTAAGCTAATTTGGAGGGCGAGGGCTACGGAAATATAGACCTAGTTAGAATGCTAGCTTGAAGCAAAATGAATGTTGACATGATAAACCATATGTAACCCTTAAGCATGCCCGCTAGTGATAGTCAGATACTTTAGAGATGTGTCGATGAAAGCGTATGGCGATTTAAATAATGCTGGGCGCCAACTTGAAACTATGGGTATTGTTAGTGAATAGGGAAAGGGTGTTTCACTGGAAACCCGCTGTTGCTAGAGTTGGTCGTGATTCGAGTGTTCGATCTCCCTCGGAATTCAAAGCTCATCCCAACCCTCGGCTGATATTCGCGCCATCGTCCTTTCCAGTATGCATCTCCTCTCTGTGCCGTCATCGAATACCAGCGCGCCGTCCTCCAATCCCCATTGCGGGAGCTCTTCATCATTGACCCTTGAGATATTGATGTTGGGTTGGCTGCGTAAGAATGTTAGGTCATCGCAATGCCATGGCCCTCGAACCAATACACGTGGGATGTCGAATTGCTCCGTTGGCCGAGATTCTGGTGGTATTTCCATCCACCATCTCCTTATTTGTGGGAGGTAGTTGTTACGAATAGCAAACTCGAAGGGGGATATAATTTTTGTGAATTTGTTTGGTAGTTGTCGGCATTCTGCGTTTGGCCGAGGGTGAAATGGGTCCGTTCCGAACCGGAAAAGGAGCTCAGCTACGTCCGTGTGTCCGGCTGTGAGAGCGACCATCATGGGTGTCCTAGACTGCTCGTCTAGAGTGTTAACATCTATGCCGTCTCTACCAAAGCGACGAACATGTGGAATACTACCACAGCGAGCAGCTAGGTGTAGCCACGGTCCGACCCTTTCGAAAGGTGGCTGAACGCGGCATTCAATGAGTATTTGACATCGCTCCATACTCCCAGTATCTAGTGCGCGATTAAAGAGGTCCTCGAGTTGGTCGTTTCGGAGATAATTTAGACAAGCAGAAAATCTTTCGTGTCCCTTATCACGTTTTTTCCCCTTAATAAAATCCAATGCCCAACCGTAGAACAGATTCCTCGCTGTGTCAGAAATCGCGCCATGGTAGGCCAGGACCTTGGCGCAATCAAAATACTCGAGGTCTTCGCGTGATAGGAAATCCTCTAAGGATTTATCGAGATACTCGTCGGGCACGTTTCGGTGCGTTGCTACTTCGAGGAGCTTCTCAAGCCCTTTAGCCCCACCAATGATGATGGCATATTCTAACAGTGTCCTGCCCTCGGAACGGTACGGGCCGTCCAGACAAGCGCCCGCGGCAACTAAAAGACATGCCTTGCTAATGATCTTCGCCACGGAGGAACGTTCTGCCCATAGTAGTTCTAGGGGCGTCTTATTGTCGCGTTTTCTGGGCTTATGTATATCGGCTCCTGCTCTGAGTAGGTTAAAGACAGCCAAGACTGTACCTTTCTCGATAGCAGAGCAAAGCGGAGTCTCGCATTCAAGAGACCCATCCACGCAGGCGCCGTTTGCAATCAACCTACGGATTACTTCTTCTTGTGCAGGCAACTCCTTAGGATTATGGTGCTCCCATGTGCAAATATTTAGCAGAGAACTAGCCCCGCACGATGCACGCCGGTGAATCCTTGCTCCAGCATCCAGTAACACGATTGCGTTTCCAAAATTGCCACATATAATAGCGACACCGAGGGGGACTTGAATAGGCCTGGGCCATTTACGTCAGCACCGAGCTTCAGGAGACTTTGGATGGTCTCGCCGTTATCCCCTCTCCATGCCGCGTAATATAGGGGCGGAATGGTTCCTCGATCGCCGTCGACCCTCACTCTCATCGTCTTAACCATATACTCTACAACTCCTTTCAGTCCGAGTGAAGCGGCTACCTGTAAAGCCGACGATATTGAGCCCGAAAATTGAGGGGGACCCCTGAAGGTATACCTAGCACCACGCGACAGTAAAAGTATAGCCGTGGATTCATGTCTCGATTGGAATGCCGCCCATAGTGGTGATTTAGTGAAGCATGAAAAGTTGAAATAGTCAGAGAGGGCGCTTTCATGACGGAGAGCGCTTCTTGGAGGAATTAGGATGATACGGCGTATATCTGGTTCTCTGCCGTATCGACTCTCGTCTTCACTCCCGTCTCTGTATCCGTCCCTATACCTATCATATTGCCTGTAGTATGTGGAAACTTCAGTACATTCTTCGCCTCCTTGTTCGCACAGTAAATTTATCGATGCACCGTGGTCAAGAAGCCAAGACAAAACTGCGTCATGTCCGATGCTAGAAGCTAAGTAGATGGGTTGCTCGTGACGATTAGAACGAGAACGGATTGGATAAAATGGCAATTGGTATTTGAACGCCTTCTCTAGAATATCGATTCTGTTATTTTCTGTGGCCCAGGCAACAGCAGATGTGACGCCTGATTCTTCGTAGAGTTCATTCAAATCTCCATATTCGCGATTGAAGCGCCAAAGAAGGGGAGTGAATAGGTCGTTCAATCGCTTGTTGGCAAGGGCTAGCGACACAAAGGTGCGTTGAATTTTATACATGTGAGTGCGCTTGTCTAGGCGTAGAAACAAATGCAAATCCACGGGTCCGTTTCCGAAATCGGTGTAGTCAATACCGGAGTTATGAGTGGCCATACACTCAAGGGCATCGGCAATCGTGAGCAAGACCTCGTTGGCCAATCCGTCTAGGGTTGCCATGATTCTTCGTATGAATCGAGGATATCGCACTTCGGACGCTTGAAGGCTGCTGACTCATTTCAACGAGTCGCATTACACGACTTATCCGAGGCAGTACAGGGAAAAGAAATACCATTCGGACAACGTTAAATGACGTTTGTGTTGTGATCTGATTTCTTCGATGAACAAACACAAACACAGGCATGAGATATGACTAATACCTATCTATCCTATCAACTTCACTCGAGAGATAAACTTTGTTCCTGCATCTACCTAACGATATTAAGTTTTACGACAGAACTTAGACGCTGTCGGGGTAACTACGGATAACTCTAGAAGGGAAACTGCATTAGCCCCACTATATTTTCATTTGGGAGAATTTGTTCTTGAATTGGAGGAACAAACCTAAATTCATAATTCATCGGCATAAAAATCCAGCCACGGCACAATTCTCAGCAAATAAAACATCCATGGGTCGGCCAAAGCGTGATATCCGGGCAGCTGCCGAGGAATCCACAACACCTCCCGACCAACTCACACAAGCTCAATCGCTTGCTAGAGTGATCAAGGCTGAGGGCAATAGCCTCTACGCGTGTTTTCTACCCAGCAAACGCACCGTGCTCGTCGAGCTCGCTGCCCGTTTCCGCAACACCATTTGGATCAAACGCGGAGGATATGTCCTAGTGGAGCTGACACCTCCCGAAGACCAAAAGGGTAAAGTCGAGGGTGAGATTGTGAATGTTGTCCGGGACGAGAAGGAATGGCGAAAACAGAGTTATTGGTCGGTTCATCCTATCACCTGCTATTCTTATCGGGATTGTGAAGCTGACGTGGTGTTTAGGCCAAAAGAATTCCCTCGATCCAATCACGAGGACGAGGATGATGAGGAATCAACAGTAGGCAGGATGCCGCCGTCAGATTCGGAGGACGAAGATTGAGAGCACATTAACGCACCCTATTGAATTCAAGCGTCTTTGTGTTCGCGTGCGGAGTGAGATGTCGGTGCAGTATTTTCATCCTTCTGAATGGCTGCCAAGGCTATAGTGATAGCGAGTACACCTACAACAACACCTGAGCTGATAGGGGTGCTCGGGAAGACATTCCAAGCCCACTCCTGAAGGGCCCAGAGCCCATATTGAATAACGGGATGAGCTCCACTTCGCCAGAGGAGGTATGGGGTGGACCATGCGAGATAGGAGTAGAATTGGTAGTGTAGCGTGCGTGCAAAGAGGAGTCCAATGGCATTCGCCGAGAGAATTGAAGTCATCACATAGTCCGGGGTCACACGCGATGCGACTATAGATTCCTCTTGGGGACTGAAGGGTGAAGTGAATTGTAGAATTGGCGTGATTATCGCCGAGAGAGGTTTCCTAGTTGGCTTCAACCACTTATTGGCAACAAACCCAGTCAGAACCAAAGCATGCATGGCGAGAAGGGTTAAAGAGAATGGCCGACTGAGGAATGTCTCCTCTCCGACAAAACGCCAGTTGACAGTCCACTTGAAAAAGAATTGTCGAGTTAGTTCAAAAGCTTTGCTAGCATAGCCTTTTGCGTTTGTTTGTAGGAACGGAGTAGCGATGGCAATCTGAAGATTAAGCATAATCATGGCACATCTCAAAGCACCTGCAAATCCTCGGCCTAGGAGTAGGACAATTCCGACCGCAGGAAGTACTAGCAATAATGACATCTTAATCCCTAAACCCCACGAATATGCAAGACTAGCAGCAGTCCATTGTCGTCTTTGGAATAGGAATATAGCGAGCCATAAGAAGAACGCAGCGAAACAATCGTTGAAACAGCGTAACACGAATACGCTGTGGAGTCGCTTCGAGAGAATCAATAGAGGAAAGACATATGGCGGGACCTATTCGCGATGTCATAAATTAGTAGATAACCCACTATAAGAGAAATGAGCAATCAAAATCTACCTTTGCCTTCGAGTAACAAGCCATTACTAGCGCTAGAGTTGCCATATATAATCCTGCAAAGGTCTGTTGCGCTAGAAGTATATTCTTGCCCTCATCTGTCAAATAGTATAGTGCGGTGTACGTGTAGACGTGGGCTGCCGGGTAAACTAGAGGTCCGGTACCTCCCTTGATGAGGGTATAATCATGTTCGCCCGATACGTATTGTGCTACCTGTTCCATGTACGCCTTCCAATCGATCTCGGTGTCTGTAGATACATCGATATTGTCAGCATGTGTAGGGTATTTCAGGGTACAATGACGAGGCTGGAGGGGCTTGCTTACAGGGAATCTTCCATATGATAAGTGCGCAAAGCACCGCATCGAAAAGGAACAAGCATGGCGCAATGAGTTTAGAGAGAGGATTGCGACCATTGGCGACGTCAAAGACGAACTTCACGGCCTGCGATACGAGCCCGGCGTCTTTGCTCGCCATTTTGGCTTGTCGGCGTTGTTTTCTCAGTGTCGGTGATTGATGCTAGCTCTATTACGCGCTGAAGGAAACTCCAGGACACCGAGACACGTTACGCAAAGTGGAACCCATAACTCAATATGCCTAAATGCATGAACGCATAGCTGCATAATAGATTCCCGGCAGCACCCCTTTTCTATCTCACTTGCGACAATGTTCAAGGTATGAATAGTTAGTACTTGCTATGAAAATACAAAGGCCATTGGAGGTATACATGTACCTCCACCGTAAAACATATGAGTCTATTAGAGACCAAGGCCTATAGTAATGCATTGGGAGTAGGCAACAAAAGGAGACGATATTAGAAGACATCTAGTATGAAAATAATTCTTCAGAGTGATAGGTCTTATGATTATAAAGTCATTTCATCTAGATCTCTCGAGATCATAGCTTAGGACGGTTCAAAACCTCATCCACCAGCTTAACCACATCCTCCGCACACCCATACGAGCCCTGGTATCCCCAACCCGCATGACCATAATTATGCACCACCCAAACACCATCAATCTTCTCCTTCTCAATCCTCACACCCCCATTCCTATACGGGCGTAGGCCAACTCCATGGCGCACAATATCCAACCCTTTAACCCCCTTCCCGTTCGTAAGCTCAGGCATCATCTCAATCGCCCGCCTCATAATCCGCATCGCGTAATTCGGGTCCGGCTGGCTTTCCCAGTTTCCCTTCTGGTATGTACCACCGAGTATCGTCCCTCCACCCGCGGCCCGCATCATGATATAACAAACCTCGTCATCCGCATCCTCAGTGCCGGATTTCGTAACCATATACGGAGCCTCATTCCGCACAACAACCACCTGCCCACGCACCGGTACAACATTACTATCCATCACTCCCCCCAGCTTCGAAGCCATGAGCCCCGTCGTATTAATCACAACATCCACCTTCCCACCAGTATGACTCAAAGAAGCAGCTTCAGAAACATGCTTCAAGTGGCCACGACGGAAGACAACACCATTCGCCCTGCACTTCCCAAGGAGCCAAGGTAGGTACAGCATGACGTTTATACAAACAGATCCAAACTCACAACCCGATGCCATGCCCTCGGGGAGCTCGTCTTTAGATAACTCCCGGAAGTCGTCGAAGAGGGAACTATACCATGGGTTTTCCTCGAAGAGGCCGTCGAAGCTGTATCCCCCTTTCCTTAACTTTTCGATATCTTTCTGTCGGCGGTACACGCGAGATTCTACACTGATCACTTAGTCCTCGTTGATCTTTCATCGCGATTGGTACACTCACTCTGCAGGTGTATCCCAGCCTCAGGTACTTCAGTAGCAAGCCTCTTCATCTCCGGCCACGTGCGGCGCTCCCACCAGCTATTCTTCTTCGTCGCCATCGGCAAGACATTAGCACCAGCCCACGGCGATGCATATTCGATATCATAATCGCCCGGCATGTGCCTCGCTACAACCGTTATGACATTATCTTTTTGCTGCGACAGCAGATAGGCCGACGTGATACCGGATACACCAGCGCTATCGACCAACGTTAGTGTTAGCAGATTCGATGATGGGGATCCTGGGTATTATAACTCACCCAATGACCACAATGTTCGGCATGTTGACGTTTAACGCTAAGATAGCTTCTATGCTAATACTATGACGTAAGCAGCGCTTTGTATCTTCTATCGGTAGGAATATCAATCTGGTTAGGAATAAAAAAATGAAGAATTAAATGTATAACGTAGACTAAAAATCTAGGTACATTGGATCGTGTGTTGAATATGTAGTGTTGCGGATTGCCGTTATCTAACGATGCTCTTTAGATTGTTGTAGAAGCTAAAGAACTGTCATAGCGCCGGCGTGACTCAACTATCACCATATAGTTCGATGGGATCGCACTAACTCCGCATCCGTGCTCCGCTTCTCGGCACTAGGGGTGGGTTGCCGAGATCTATCGCACCCGCCGCCGCGGGGTCTCCCGTCCCCAATTTAGGTCTCGATCTGTGGACCCTACGGCCATTTATCAATCGCTTCAGGCAATACTAAGCAGTTATTTCCATTTTCTTCATGAATACAGAAGAGAGTAAGATAGCATCCAGTTTTAATTATCGACCTAAACAATTAAGACATACAGACAAAAGAATTACACATCATAATAGATGAAGAAAATAGGGAAGAAGTATCAGGGAACCCTACTATTACGTATTGCGGAATTCGCCAGCATGTCCGAAATTTGTGGACCTTTCGGGTTGACAATTCCGTGGAACCACTGACTGTTCCTGCAGCTCTAGCTATACCTTTAATATAGCTACACTGGTGACAGCTTCAATAGGGACCCCTGAACAAAACTTCGCAGTAGATGAAATAGTATGGGAGCGTCGTCGATCAGCAATAACATTTGTCAATTCGCAAGGGAGAAGGCAACATCTTACAAACGATGAAAACTTCCAATGGATTGCCAATTTTGATTAAACTCACCTAAAAGCCTTAATATTTCCTGTGAAGTGATAATATGCATTTATGCACGCTCCTTCAACCACGGAGTTTGTACTTTCGAAAGCATTCCACTTCGCTGCGGAGCGCATGCAAAAGAAAAGGCGAACGTGATAGTATTAGAATTCGAATTGTTTTTGCCTGGGAAGACGGCCCGTTCAGGTACAGTATATATGGCGATATCTTCGAGATAATTTTGGGTCTCCTAGTAAGCAGCTGTCTCATCCTGTCTCATATGCAGGCGTTGTGAATCGCCACGCTGGCCTGCATTATAGCAACTCGTAATTTCCGATCTCGGGGACGCTGCTGAAGATTACGGCATCTGGGGACGGGTACTGCAGAATATCGGGAAGTATCCACTATCCGAGACTAGAAAAGCTTTGTGGGATATGGGGTAGACTACCAAGTAGTCCAAAGCGGAGGCTCACCGGAAGGAATCCGGTGTGCCGACACAGGGTCCTAAAAGCACATGAGCCTTGGAAGCTGTTGTCGGCAGATCCGGGGATGTCGCCATGATTACCCGGGCCGGTTGGGTGTAAGCCCCACGATAGTGCATCGTAGGAATCATCACCATCGCATAACAAGTTAGTGTAGGCATGCTGATTAGAGGAAATGACAATGATTGTATCAAATCGGATCGTTCCGTTCTCCAGCTTTGCCTGCCAGCCATGCTTATCAAGGCTTTAGGCTAGCTGACTCGAAAGTTGCACATGATATCTCCTTCAAGCCAAGTTATAATTATCGGTTGGATTCAAAGGCATTCGGGTGCCACTGAACTGGATCGTAAGTTAATGTGAATGGAAGTGCGCGACTGGGTCCCTCATGAGAGCCCCATATGTGGTATAGTAAGAACGGGATTGATAAACGGAAAGCCGAGGAGCTCGGACCTTAGAAAACGGACGGAAGTAAACTGCAGGAATCCTTGAATATGTGAATAGTCAATGGCTGACCCCTGAAGTAAAGACACGTCTTCTAACGATAGGTTCCGTATCCAAGCCATTTCCAGTATGTAACCCGTACCTTCGTGAGAGTTTACCGGATTTCGGTGAGGCTTGAGGAAAGGATTTCAGGATGATAGTATCAATTCTCAGGCAGTGTAACGTAGATAGGGATTGAATCTTTTTTCGTCTTTTCCGATCCGTGACCAGACGTAACAGCTCGTCACAAAATGCATTGATCTGCTACTGGAACTCATTAGCTTCCTGGTACCGACAGATGGGAACCTAATGTAATGTAAGGTCTTTTTTGAAATTCGACGATTCAATGATGAGGCATTTGGGAAAGGTGGCTGCCAAGACGGCTATGTAGAGGATTAGCCGGTGTGCAGATCTACGTTTTTTGCACGGAGGGCGATCTTGTTTGAGTCAGGCATGTGGTTCTGAGTTGGAATGCAAGCACACACAGATAGATATCTCTCGATGTGACGGAGGGAAGAAGAAAAAAAACATGACGTAGCAAGGAAAACCCGAATGGTACGATTATGCTGCATCGAATACCCCCTGGATGGATTTGGAGGCATCTCAACTCAACCGAGACTCATCAGGTAACGGCGGTTGGGTGACTTGGCAACTTGGGTCGGTTGACTGTCGGGATACTTCCGATCTAGCCATGCTCATCTGCACGTCATTGCTTCGGCCTATCAGATTCGTTTATAGAAATTACTATATAGTAAACAATGTGTTGATGCATGTGCTGCAGTTTTCAACCCGATCGGGATACTCGTACATAGTCACCCGTAACTTTACAACTATAGTAAAGTGTGGAAAGGACCCGACAGAACGTGCCCTTGCAAATTGGATTACTGTGCGTATGGCTACAGTAGAAAAAAGCCACTAGCCCGGGCTTGTCAGAAGATAGGAGGAGCGGTGAAGAAAGAAGAAAATTCGACCAGTGAGGGAAAAGTGTCCCAGACGGCTGGGTCCTCACAAGAATAGCAGGAGGTAAGAAGAAGGTGGATGCGAGCCTGCGGCGTTGTTGCGCCGAACAGCCGGGACTGACGAGAGAACGAGAAAGAAAATTAAACGCATTTGATGACACATACGCATGACGGCGTAATGGCTGACTCCTAAGACTTGAGGTTGCATAAGTAGAGTGTAGTAGTCGTACAGTGTGGTTTCACGGCCAGCCGGGATCATGCGTTCCAGTGCATTGGGATTATGCCAAAGCATGAGTGGTCCCATATCAACGGCCCGAGAATCTAATTTGTTGAATCTTCAGAGGCTTTGCCACGATGTCTTGGACGTAAGAGTCGATGCAAACCGCAAATCAATGTTTGCCGACTGATACCTCGGGTGTTCCATTCTGCTAAGAACAGGCTGATCTTGGGACGACCTTTATGATATGACGAAGTTTCACAGTTCGCCTCCGAACTCCGAATGATGACCTAGATAAGCCGGTTGAAGGAAGAAAGAAATGAAGCATACGCATTCCTTTCGCGGGTGTCGAAACACGGAGGATGGAGGATGAAATTCAAAGTCTAGAGAATTTTTCTCTTCACTCCTCCGCGGGTTGCGATAAGCCGTATGACCTTCAGGCTTCTCGATACCTGCGAAAGTTGGAAGCAGAGTAAAGCAGGAGGGTTACATGGTGTGCGGGGCTCAGCGCTGCAGAACTGTCGAATTATTACCTATCTTTCCAAATGCGGTGGTGGAGAGGGGGGATATCTGTCGGCGACAACGATAGTGCATGAGAAGGGGCTAGGAATGTTTAACCTTCCTCGGGAAATCTTGAATTGTTTGGATGTGAGGTTAAGCGCATATGTAGGCAGTGTAGAGTAGTATAGAGTGGTATACATAAGATAGCAGGTAACATAGGTAGCATAGGGGTTTAGCGAACGTATCGGCTGATTCTTTAATCTCGAAAGCCGCGAGGAAAACACGTTGTGTCAAGCGACGTGTCACGGCCGCTAAGACTAAGACTATGCCCATCTCCCGCTCACTCCCCAAGCAGCCGGGAACAACCTAATTACCAGGTAATCAAGAAAACGCAGCTGAAAACTTGGTCTGCTGCACGGAACGTAGCTTTGCGGGAGCGGGTGATGTGGAAATCGCATCCACTCCCGGGGATGCCTTCTACCGAACCGGTATGCTTATGTGTATTATGTAAATGTTGTTTTCAGTGGTTTAGGGCGTATTATGTAGCCTGTCATCTCTGAGTTGTAGGTACATGTCTAGGCGGTTAACTGGGGTATGTACTATGTAAGAGTGCTGTATCCTAGTTTAGTACTTGGGGGAGAAGAGAGAGAAAGTTCGGTTGCGATTCCCAATTTGTTGATTGCTCAACCAAGAAGCGGGTTCGTAGTGTACTATGCAATGCGCTGTCCAGGGGTTAAGTGAAGGGGGGAGGCTGGCTGGGTTACTAGCTGTCCGTTGGCGAGCCAGCTCGCGAGATCTCCACCGAGGACATATTGAGATAGATGAGCAACTAATGATGATTCGAAGATGGATCACGTTGAAGGGACCACATGTTAAACTAGAAGCATGACGCTTCTGCATAAATGTCCAAGTCGGGTTTGGTTGCAGTAGACATTTGGAGCGAAAGAGAAAAAAAGATACGTTAGGACAATAGGTAGTAGACATGAGCTGATGAGGAGAAGAGTCAATCAAAATTGAAAGGGTTGCGAGCGGGAGAATCGATATTGAAACTATTGTGGAGAAAAAAAGAGAAAAAGAGATGACCGAAGGAAGTTAAGAAACGACAACTTGGTTCCGTTCCATGTAGCTGGGACCCATCGCACTAATCCTCATCTGTGTCTAATTTGTACGTACCTTCCTTACCAGATGTACAATATCCGGGTACATCATGGGAAGCTACTACCCGCTGTGCTACGTACCTAAGTATATGCATGAATGATTGAATGTATGTACAACGCAACGCGCCGTTCAGCAGTGGGTTTTAATGGATTAGTGGGCTCTATAGTGGACACTCGCACCACGCAACATCCAATGTCCAGCTGCTCGGGAATTCAGGTCCACCGCCACCCGGAGGTAAAGTGCCTCCCAACTTTGCGATTTCCTAGCGTAGGTGTTGTATTCGATGTTACTTGCACATACCTTAATTGTCGAAAACATGCTACATAAACTATAGAATCTGAATGACACGATAGTCTATAGTATACTACCTAGTATAGGGTCTAGTATTATAGTGGGTATACATTCAATTCGATCCAACTTTTATCTATAGTGTACACGCACCCAAGTAATGTACCTGAAGACATGACAGAGTATTGTAAATACCCTAGATACCTAGCATATGTATGTACGTATGTCTATGTGTGTTGTATATACATATACATCATGTATATGTATGCTGCATCTTGATGAAAACACCTACATACATCTAAAGGAACGTTGTATTAAACTCTTCATGTCTGTTGATTTTTTTTTCTTCCTCCTCTCCCCGCCTTTTCCCCCTCCCCAATCCAGCAAGTCGGACGACCTGACTCGCCAATAAGCCGTCATATACATGTCAGATCCCTATTCCCGCGCCGCCCGTTTTTGGCGCGTGGTACTGGAACAGCTGTGATAGTTGATTGGATTCCCAATAAATGCTTTGCAGACATTAGCGCGGGAGGAGAAGCGGCAGAATAAGCATGTTTTTATAGTGGTCAACCCTCATTTTTCTCACGCCTTTTTAATTTATGTGGTAAGATACAGGTCATATCTACTACACACCGGCACCAGTAGCTGCTATTCTTACTGGATGGGGCTGGACGTAAGGTATGAATGTGATTTACCGCACTTACATGCCTAAACTTGGAAAAGACCCCAAAACTTGTTAGCGACCGTACAGTTGGAGTTAGGGTTGAAGTAACAACCCGAAAGAAACGCTACCGAGTGTCCCTTGGGTTCTTGGGTTGTCCTGTCTCCTTAGGGTGTCATTCGTATTACCTTCTAACCTTTAAGGGGGCAGGTTAAATGACACGTCTATCATGTAATACTTATAGCAACACACAACACCACACAGAAGTCTATTACCATTATCCCAATTGATGACATAACGAAAGATAATAAATAAAAGTTGGTTGGATAAACGATAATCTTTCTCCATTTCCTTAATTCTCGCTTTCTTTTATTTTTATTTGTTTGGTTTTTCTTCCCCATCTAGACCATACCATACCCATACTTTATACCTATTATTGAATGTATGTACGGGCAATTTATTCAATGGTCTGTCCACTTGTAGCCGAGCCCTCTTATTGTTTGGTAGAAAATGCATGGATATCTCTTTTGCTAGCAAGGTAGGGGACCGTATATATGTATGTAGGTACCTACCGTACGATAGGACATGCCTACATACAGTATACCGGAATGCCTGCCATGTAGCATAAAGAGGTACCTATTTTTATGAGTTAAACCCGTATTGTCAGTATGGTCATGGGTTGTACCTCTCATATTATGTGTACAATACGTAAGGTCAAGTAAGGTACCTACCCTCCCCGCCGAAACTGCTACCCACATGTCTGCTGTGGAAACCGCCAAGAAAAGGCGAATACCCACCGGTACGGAGCACCTTGTCTGTTGGTTCTGTCTCCTGTTGGTCCCGCCTGGCTTTCGCTGGGTACTACAGTTCTTGCCTGGGTTCTTGGTTCTTTGCTGGGTTGCTGCTACTTTGACCAAGCTGTCCCACATCCTCTGTTTCCTCATTATCAATTGGGCCACGGCCGACCCCAGCAGATGCTTCTTGACCTGGGGGTGACCTAGCGCCGGGACAAACTGCTGGTGCTTGCTGGTACTGCTGGTACCAACCCGAACCTGAGCCCGTACCGTACCATGCCTGCACCAATCCCATACTAACTAAGACCAACCTGCCCATTCCCACATTTCTCCGTCTTCTCTTTGTCTTTTCTCTCTCTCCCCTTCCCTTCCCTTCGCCTCGCACTCTTATCGTGTTCGTTTTGACTCTAGCTTCCGAAAAAGCAGCATCAATTGGTGTCTTGCTTCCTTAATTGCGTCCACATAATTGTTGTCCCTATTTGTTTTGTTGTCCATTGTGAAATTCTTTTTGTCATCTTTTCTAACTAGTGGTTCCTGCAAGACTACGCGGCTCTAAGCTTTTCAATGGCTTTAATATCTAAGTCATAGTCTTGGGATTTTATATCGGAATTCAGGAACAACTCCCACCTTTCCCCCCTCATAACATTCGCCTTACAGGCTACTTATTCTTCTATCTCACGACCGATAACTGGTATTTGCTGGGGAAAGGGGCCGGCACCTCTCCTAGCCTCGTCATTGTCGTCTCAAGTGTAAATACGGCGGCGCGGCTTGAACCGAGTAGGATTCAACAATTTGAAGCTTCGCATATCGGATTTATTAACTCGTCACCCCCACGAAAAGCAATTGTCTCATCAACACCCGAGACAATTTGGTCTATATTAGTATTTAAGGAATCGAAGGAAAAGAGAAATCATGAGTTCGACTGCCGCCGCCACTGCTACTCCCCCGACGGGGTCTGCACCGCAAGATGAGAAGAAGAGGAAGGGTGTTGGCAAGGTCTTGTACCGAGTGAAGACCGTTTTCAAGAGGGGTGGTCGTCCCAAGAAGGGCGCTGAAGCTGAAGAATCGACTGCGCCCACTGCAGTTGTCAGGTAAATTCTACATTTCCCATATTATGTCGTTTGATATTAACAATTGTTGAGCGAACCAACGGCTGCACCAGCCGCCTCTCCGAAACCCAAGATTAGGCCTGAGCTGGAGAATGCTACCAAGATTCCTCGGATACAGATTCATGAGGAGCGCGCGAAGAAACTTGGTGCAAGATTCGGGTTGGAGATTAAGCCAAGTGAATGGCATTCGTCGGAGGGCGACGTCTACCGTGTGGAGAAGGATGTTCGCATGCGAATTCACCGCGAATGCCACCGCTGCCACTCGGCCTTCGGCGCTGGCAATGAATGTCCTAACTGTCAACATAGGCGCTGCAAGAGGTGCACCCGAACCCCACCTAAGCGCACCGAGGAGGAGAGACAGGCTCTTCGAGAAAAGAGGGCCATCCAGGTTCAGAAGAACCAGTTCAACGCCCCCATCATTCCGAGCTACGATTACTCAGAAAAGATCATCCTGAAGAAGCCCAGGAAAACTGGACAGGATCTTGTTTACAAAGGCAAACCTCGCATGCGAATTAGAAGACACTGTCATGTGTGCGAAACCCTTATCACATCGAATGCGAGAGAGGCGAGGGTTTGCGACAATTGCGGTCACAGGCGTTGTGGTGACTGCCCAAGAGAACCGTAAGTTCATTTGATACTAATATCTATAACAGCTAATGTCTAACTTTTATACAGAAGCGACAAGAAAAAGTATCCATATGGATATCCTAACGATGAACCTGGTGTGGTATTCAAGGGAGTTTACGCCTGTCATGAATGTAAACGGAAATTCCCGCCAAATACGGAAGATGGAGCAGAATGTCGAGTCTGCTCGCACAAGAAATGTCCTGATTGCCCGCGAGTCAAACCGAAGAAAGTGGACCCCGAACCCGATCCCGAAATAATGGAAGCATTACGGCTTCGTTTAGCCGCCTTAAAGACGGCAGATACCTAACATTGAATACTATTATTTACATCTCACCCTAGCCTTAATACAGCCCGGCGCGACCCTCAAAAACCTGCACGAATTCTATCTACGAGTTGGCAATTGCCTTGCAGCGCGAACCTTGGCCAGACGACTGTGTCCCCCAGATCAATAAAAAGCCCCCCCTTTCGCATTCGAGCAGAATTGTATATATCGGACTCGGCCGATGGAAATATTATGTGCAACGAAATTACGATATGAGCCGCATTATACCATCTTTCAGCCTGCATTGCCATTTGAACTGAACTTATTGCGATTTCTACTTTCTCATCATCCCACGAAGATTGACTAGACGGTGTCGAATTGGAGACTTGGATACTACATTAGCTATGAGCGAGTCAGATAGGCACGCAAGGCGGCTTGGTACTAAGTGGACCTAAGTTGTTTGCCGCCCAGATGTTGCAAATTGGCAAGCTAATACAAACCCGATCATGTCAAACTCGCCTCCTTTTTTCCTCTACAAAAATACCGGACCCGGAGATAGCACGTTTATATCATCATATATCATATATCATCACATATACCTTAGGTAGTTAAAATGTCATTCTCTTCCTATGTGTAATACTATTATTGCTACATACTACTACTACTCTACCTCTTACTAGTATTACTCTACCTACATACAATGATTATTTTGTTTTGTACAAATTACATATTTCACATTTGATATAAGGCTGTCAACCTTCGGTGTGATCCAAAATGTGACGGGTGTTGGTCCGGCATTGTCGGGTGTAGCACCAATATATCGTGACATCGTATTGGGCAATTCGAAATTGCAAAGGCTGACTTTAGCTGACATTGTAATCCCTAATCCCAAATAAATTCACCTTACCCTTTATTCCCCGCTCCCACCCAAGAATCCAACTACCGTCGATGATGACTAGAGAATTCGGGAACATGCTTATGGTTGGTCGCACAGCATGTTACTCCGATCACTCGCATAACCCAAGTGACAAGAAAAGGAATAATACACACAATAATAAATACCCTGTAGAATTCCGAGGGAAGGGGATGCGGCGATTTCTGATGGACCCGTAATTCGAACTACCTATAGATGTAATGCTGTGACGCAATCCTTAGGTCGAGTTCACACTGAGCCGACACCTTCCTTTTTTCCTCTTCCTTATGTCCTATGTCCTATACCCTGGGAAATGCTTGCATGCATGCATCAATAAATTGAATACACAGACAGCCCGACGTCGGCACCGGGCTGCCGGAACCATACCTTATCTGATTGAAAAATTGAATGTTGGCATACGCAATACGCTGTAGGCGATCGAGCGGTGTGCCGCCACTTCATTGTACTTTCGTTAATTTAATTAGTATTTCGGTCACAACTTACAAGCCGAATAATCCTCTCGGATTTTGGCTTATAGAAACCGCTCTTCTCGCTTCCTTCTGAGGGCGGCACTGCAATCGCCGAGATAAGGCTCGGGATTTGCTAATTGATTAGGTATAGTATGTACTTGGAAGTATTAAAGTATTTGGAGTATTAATGGTGATGGAGAAATTGTGGCTGCTTCCCAGGCTCCCGGGTACTGGGTATGAATGCGGCGCTTACCCTTACTATTTGGTTTGGGTCTTGTAATTGTGCATAGAAAAAAGCAAAAGTGTTCCATTCAACCTACCTAAATACATACCAAGAGTTCGGGTCAGATGGCTTTATGTGAGACAATACATTCATTAAAACTCGTATAAATATTCTTAAGGGTTACACAGATTCAGTTAACCCATCGATGTACCATATTGTACATTTTGTTATTTCGTAAATGTACAAGTATTTTGTATAACTCTAGCCAATGTATAACTTTTTATGTATATGTAATCAATGGTGTATTTTACATAAGCTCACTAGACTATCCGTAGCTGTTCCGCCATACAAGTTATGCTCGGGGCTAAGCTCTATCAAGAAAATGCTCAAACCCGCCTAACCGCCCCCCCCCCCCCTTGCTATTTAAATCCTGGAAGTCGGCGACTAATGTACATCGAAACGTACATTCACGAATGGGAACGGATAACACCGTTGAACAAGAAAGACCCCTAACTGGAGCCTTGACAGGATTGCCTAACTACCAGGGCTAGAAGGGGAAAGATACCTTTTTTGGGATAACCTAGACTGCCAACCCAGGTTTAGACGAACTTCAAGTGGGTAAATAATCGAACAAATATAGCAGTTTGCTCCGCCGCTACCGAATGCATTGTTGCATTACACTAGCATTAGAGCATTAGGCCATGGATTACCGGGTTTCACGTGATGTAGATCTGCAACAAGCTTCCCTCTCCTACCCGCGCCGCCGCGACGAAGAAGGATGGGAAGAAGCGAACGGTAGAGACCCCGGACACGGCCGAGACAAGTATTTTGAAGACTGACCCGAGAGTCTGGATAAGCTAGTCCCAGATTAGCTTAGCGAGTTACTTCGGAAATTCTCACTTAGTAATCCTTCCGAGCCACACCTAAAATGGAATAAAGTACTTTTGTATATTTGGTACCGAAGGCTTAAGACGGTCTAGCGTGAATGAAATATTATGGGTACATTTCCCAATCAAGATATCCAATTGCGACGGGACTTGTCAGCTATGTCATCTTTCTTACTCTTCCAACATGATTCAATTACGAACAGCCTGACAGCCTCATCCTGCTGCTCATCATACATCATACATGCAAATATTATATACACGGACAAGGCAATTGATACAGAATAGACATGATTTTCGAGGTCGCCGACCACTTCTGACATTCAAACCAACATTACCATCGAACCGCTCGATTTCACTTTAGCATCTCAAAACTGCGTCGATCATAAAAGCCACATTAACAATGATAAGAGACGACAACGGAATCATCCGTGTTAATACCCCTTGACCTTGAAACGTCACCCCCCTGAATACCATCGCTACATATTCCGCATCGTTCCGCCGTGGGTACATGTTAAATAGTACATATAGGAATATGTATTATTACCCCGTCAATCCGTCATGACACATGGCAGGTAATACGGAGTATACGATGGTGGAGATGAACCATACGGGGTCTGGGGGTGGCAAGACGTGGATCTTCAAGACACAAAATATTCTTCGTCCTTATATATCTCGAATTACAATTCCACCTTGGGAAAATGAGAAGGGCACAAAGACTTAATACTGTCTCCTCACTTTGTGCGATCATCAGGGTCCCTTTTTACCCGGTCCAAAAATACAAGACATCCGTGTGCCATGACCCCCAATGTCCGAGCGAACCCACGATATATACACGCTACATAAGTAATGCGAGAAGGTCCTACCATCCATTATATCCCAGACCTGTCCCACGTGGTTGTACTATATGCCACGCGTTATTAAGGAGTCCTGCGAAGTTACCTACTCTGCTCCTGTCACACCGAGGAGGGGATCCACACACCACTGCCATCATGATCGCTCCAGAATACGGCGGATACCACTACTTAGAGTACCAGGCGCGAGCACACCACGGTCGAGTCGGACGGGAGCACGAGCACGATCCGAAAGATACCTAAAAACAGGTCTTAAGTTTCGACGCCAAAATGACTTAAGCTACACCGTATATCAGAAATGATATATTATTGGGCTTAGCACTATGGAGATAGTGATGGGCGGACCCGGGGTATCATTCCAGTCTTTACGGCTCGCCGGCACGACATCTCGCAGATGCTAATATGTCGAGTTTTCGCCCTCCCCTACGCGCATCTCCCGACCTCGCTTGCGACGTAATACACTACCCAGTTACAGCCTCATCGTCAACCACGGTTCGCAGCATCCCACTTCTTCCAAGACAACAAGGAGCGATGATGAAAATCGAGGGGCGGGTAAGCTCATCGAAATTCAACCACACTGACCACACTAAAATTTCCCCCCTGTTTGACATGCCCCATAGCAAGCCGATTCCTAATATGTCCATAAAGAACGAGATTAATTCCAATTAGGTAAGTTATCAGGACCATGGATATAAACACAGGCCGTTTTTCAACGGGAGCGATCACAAGGTATGTGTCCATCGTACATAGCCGTTGAATCGGCCACATGGTAGAACAGACATCTAGCATTCTTGGCTTCGCGTGTATTTTGCATGGTATTCGCACGTGTGCGTATTTCCCAATTGAAGCAATCGACCAGGTATCATTGTTTAGTTTAAATTGTGTTAGAATAGCCGTATCTAGTAGTATACCCATATGTTGTGGTGATGTGAAGTCGTTAAACAACACCAAACCCGACACATCGGGTCGGGTTCGTCTGCACATATATGTATATGCATACGCACACGCACAGCACACATATAATCTACGTCACTATAATCTGCAAGACGACCCTTTCACATGGCAAAACACGTCCTACCTTCGGACGGTAGGCTTCTGCAGGTACACTACATAACTTGGCCCTGTACGCGTGTCTCGACCCAAAGTTACGCGTATAATAGGACGTTATACGTATAGTACATATAGCATATAGACGACACTAGACGCTAATGTGGAAGTACTATGTGCCTTGTCCTACTGTGGTGTGGAATAGACGTTATTGGTAGAGAATGGCGATAAAATTGGTCCCCTAAAGATCAAGTGACTACATGCATAGAATCGGTGGTCTTGGAACATGATACGATATGCTATTCGGAATAGCATCTCTTATTCAAAGGAACTTCAAAAGCTAAGTTAAATTTTTATAATTTGGAGCAAAATGGCCTCCCCTCAGACTCACTAAACTGATATCGTGGAAATACTTTGGTCGATGTCCGAATACGCTCCGTATTGAAATCGAGCATTCGTAGCAAGAAGCGGTGAAGACAGCAAGTTTTCAATGCATAGAATGCAGCCATTATCAGGGTCTTAATAGCACAGGTACCCATTTAGTCGCATTAGTTTTGCAGTGTTTACAAAGACATTGGTGTCATTATTATCAGTCAGACTTGACTAAACCGCCTCTAACAGTGGGAAATGACTATTTTACATCAAGTCAAAGCCCTATCGTCCTCCCTATCTGTCTCAATTAACGTGCATTCTGTTCTTCCCCAGAGCTATTCTTCTCTTAGGGGACGAAGCCCCAGTAGACGTAGCTGGCGTAAGTATCCGTCTTCAATCCTACTATCGTAGGCGGCTAGATTTAGTGCTCAGCCAGGCACCATACAACCACTGAATTCTCCTTCATCAGATTATCAAATTGCCAATCTCAGTATCGCAGTGTGACCACTCCTAATCCACCAAATCATGGTCAAGGAACGCATCCAATTCCTCAAGACCACTCCACAACACCAGGTCCAAGGGACAGCGTAGTATTCGGGGGAACCGCACCAATGATCGCAGCAAGACGCGACTTCTTCCTTCCAATGTAATTGCCTCTCGAATCGAAGCGGTTGTTCAAGGACTTCTGGATATTCAGAACGACACCAGTTTGTAAGTACTGACCCCATTGGGGATTAAGCATAGGGCCAAGTCTCTCGGATTCGTAGAAACGACCTCGAATGGACTGTTCTGGCTTTATAATATTCATCAACACGGGGACCCAATCGAAATGTGTACCGTGGGCCCTCTTCACGTTATCTCGGAACGCCTTCTCGCGGCGCATAGCAAGAGGAAGCTGATCCAGATTCTGGACGTGCTGAGGTGATGAAGTTTCCTGTAGGAGCCAGATGTCACCTTGGAAGTAGAGTAGTTCAGCCTTGTCGGTTTTCTCGAGAACAATGCTCTTCAGGACCATGGCAAAGGTGAGCTCGAGATTATTCGCGTCCGGGTGTTCGTGTAGCTCAACGCGGACCCGGACTGCTTCGAATACGCCGAGTTTTTCGCAACCGAGGAACACACCACCGAAGTTCACTTGGTTAGGCGGAGCGTGGGGATTCGCAATGGCGTTGAATAAAGAGTAAGAATGGTCAATTTGGCTAGCAGCGATTTTAGATGCATCAAGACTTAGCATCTCGCCCTTCATGTTCTCGTTAGGCAATTGGGCTTCTACTAAGTCCCATGCAACACTTTGCATAGGCTGGTCGGCTATAGCATGAAGCATGGGGTTGATGGCCGGAACACTAAACGTCAAAAATGGTCGCATATCGACCTCGGCTCGTTCGACATCTTCAATGACTCTTTGATGATGAGAAAGCGGTTGGATTCTACTTTTAGGAGGAGTCGAACTAGCTGGATCTCCGGGGAAATTCCGAAGAATGATCCCGAGGCGAAATGCCTCCTGGATCTTTCTAAACCAAACGACTTCCCCTTCTCTAAAGAGAAATGACTCGTCGATTTGGGGTTGTACATCAACTGTCGTGGACTTGGAAGTTGGCTTGTTTGCTGATGATGCGGTAGACCCGCCCTTCTTCGCTGAGCTACGAGAAGAGGGTTTGCTAGGGCGAGTGGTAGGTCCAGGAGGACCTCCAGAGCCAGCAGATGGGTCAGGGGGAGGGCCAGAACTGGCTAGGGATGAGCCTTTTGCATTCTGTGTCTTGGGAAGTTGCAGCTGTTCGATGCAACATCGACATTGACAAGTTGCCCGGTCCAGGTTCTCATCAGTTACGAGCCATAAGAGGTGAGGGAAAAATTCGGCCGGGGATCTGAAAACCGGCGGCAAAAAGGCTTTATTGGCGTCTTCTCTCTCCGGATGTCCAAATAAATAACAGTATGGAGCACCATCGGTAGATTTCTTCCTGGTTCGCAATTCGTAGTTCTTCGGGAACGATTCAAAGGCAAATTCTCGATCTGAGGATTGTCAGCATGATGCATTACAGCGTTGGCCCTCAACTAACCTGATGGGAAATTAGCTTCGAGGGGATAGAATTGATGGCGCGCAAATTTTCCAAGCTTAGTGAGCCAATCCTCTACTTTTTCTGGTCTCGCCCACTCGCAATCTCTGTAACGCTCCTCTGGGAACTTCTCCCCATCACTCCGTAGACAGCGGAAGAGGCACACATTGGTGCCAAAGTTGATGGCGGCTGGGGGGTCGCTCATTTTGAAGGGAGAGGTTTGTGGTTGAGGGAGAAGAGGGGAATAATACGGGAGGAAGGAAGAGGAGAGGGAAGAGTGAGGGAGAAGTAGAAACGTATGAGTGTTTTAAGAACAGTAGTCCGAGACCAGAGGATAGGGACTAGAGAAGGAATGACTTGCCACCTATAATATGCGGAAGAAAGAAATGCATATGGGGTGAATATTGCAGGTGGCTAAGTCCACGGGCCTAAAAGAAAAAGGAGGATGGTGAATATTAGGTACCTAGGTAGGCAGACATCAACATTCAAGTTTTAAGATAGTTGTGTGAATTTAGGAAAGCCTTGTGCACATGGAGAAATAGTATCGTCCCGGTAATGGTAGCCGTTGATTACAGTCGTCGGTTATAATTGCGGAGAGACATTCCGACACGACAACACCCAGCACCCAACCCACACCCCATAAATTTGGGACGGCGAAGTTGGTGAACTTGCTAGGAAAATGAGACTTTGGACAGTATCTACCGAGGTGAAGACTAGTATTCATGAATTGGGATTGTCGACTTATATGATAATCATATCAGTCGTTGTCTTGAGGGACTTAGATGTAGTTGTCGTGAGCTTGACTTTTTTTTTTGTGTGGAAGCAAGATGCGAAAGCCTTGTAGTGTTGAGCATTGAATTAGTCAAATCGAGGTACAGTAGTTATCGCCACAGTAGAGAAGTTACCGCGCCACAGTAAAGCGGTTGCATAGAGTAGTTACGCCACAACTAGGTAGTTACAGACGCCACAGATGAGTAGTTACGCTGCTACAGTGCGGATCAGACTTCCATGGCTGCGTATGGAAATGTGGCTTACGCATTACCTTCTAAAGGCCGGTATTTATCGTCAACTGAAAGAGCCACATGCATGATTCTTCCTTACCTGTCATTATCTGTCATTATCTGTCATTATCTGGTGTATTGCTAGCGATGAATTTCCAGATGGCTCTATCTGATTATATGATCATAACTGGATATTTCAATTCTCTTTTATGAAACACACATTATTCATTCAAGATATCTAATGATGTTCCTAATCACCATTGCCAATCATGTAACTATATGTGTATCCTCGGCGTTTGGAGTTAACGGAGCCAAGACAAGGCTTCTCTCCACTAACGCGGCCCCCGTTTACGCTCGGGATAGCCTCACAATGACGCTACCAATGGCTGCCTATTAACTACTTTCCAATTCCGAAATGTTTCGTAGTACGATACTGCCTATTAGAAAGGCTGTGTAACTCCCAAGTGACTATCGTGACATCAACTCCCGAGCGGATTGTAGTATCTTGTTTATGCAAAATTTAAAACAGTCCCGGCGTTATTCTAGCTAAGACCGATAATTGCAGAAACCTCTTATGATTCTATGATGATTCTACGAAAAGTGACATCTACAACTCTGTCGCTGGCGTCAGCTTCGTTGTCATGATTTTGAATTTGTTTGTCTATAAAGACACGGAGACGAGGCCGACGATGAAGTAGAGTAGCTTAGTATCAGCATCAAGAAAAATCCAAGACACGAATCTTACCTACCTATCCCTACCTGAATTAGGAGCTACTCAGTTTCCTTCCATACATCATATTAAAGGGCAATACTTAGTTAGTGACAATGTCTATTACTTACGACAGAAACACTGAGGGCCTCCCTCTCGTACACAAGTTTGCCGACCAAGTCAAGGGGAGAACCTGTGAGTTCGCTCATAAAATTTTTGTGGCTGGCACAAATTGACAATACACAGTCCTCCTAACCGGCCCAACCCCCGGTGGAATTGGAGCCGAGACAGTTATTTCCCTTGCCGCAGAGGCCCCGGCGACGATCATTCTTATCGGCCGCTCTCTGGAAAAGGCCCAGCCCACCATTGACACTATCGGGAAGGTCAACGCCGACGTCAAGGTCAAGTTCTTTGAAGCCGACCTCTGCTCATTCAAGACCGTACGCAAGGCAGCGCAAGCTATCCTCGACGACGCCGAGATCCCCAAGATCGACGTGTTGATCAACAATGCGGGTGTAATGGCGACCCCTTTCAAGATCACGGAGGATGGAATTGAGCACCAGCTGCAGGCCAATCATCTAGGCCACTTCCTCCTGACTAACAAGCTCCTACCCAAAATCATTGCGGCAGGATCTGGTGCTCGATTGGTTTTCGTGACTAGCTCTGGCCATCGATACACAGGTGTGCGATTCGAGGATCCGAACTTCACCGAGCCTGACTCATACCACGAGTTCGGGGCCTACGGACAATCCAAGACAGCCGTGATTTTATACGCTGTCGCATTGAACAAGCGTCTCGCCTCACACGGTATCCGCGTCTTTACTCTTCACCCCGGTGGTATCTCAACCAATCTTCAAGACCATGTCAAGGCTTTGGACCCCGCACGAGTGGCGAAGGTAATGGACGATGTTTCGGAAAGGGTTATGGGTAGATCGCTTGCCGAACAGCGCGAAGCCGAGCCGTGGAAGACCCTTCAGGCAGGGTGTGGAACCACGATTCGTGCTGCTCTTGATCCTGACCTAGTCAAGGAGGAAGGTATCTACATGCACGATACGGTGTTGGTCACTGACCCGAAGTGGATCAAGGAATGGGCAACGGACCCGGAGCTCGCGGAGAAGCTGTGGAAGCTAAGCGAGGAGTTGGTCGGAGAGAAGTTCGATATCTAAGTGTTAGCACCGCCAATGATCTCTAGGGGATATGGTATGCAGTTTTATTTAGGATGAATCGCCTCTCATTGAATTGAAATCATTTTTGTTTGCCATTATGGAAATTCTAAGAGTTGTTCGTGAATGAATTGTGAACTGTAACTTTCGGTCCGGAGTTTCTAACACTCCTACAAGCCACACTGTGCATAAACCAGTAGCTTTACTGTACTGACATACTGTATTTCCAATCTACCCCACTAACAATTACACTAAAAGAACCCCTAAAGACCTTCACCTTTACCATCCACAACCTCGGACTCGCGATACCGAATCGCTTGCGCAGGTCTAAAATGTTGTCCTTCATATTAATACAAAACCGACAGTAAGTACCTACTACTACTCTGATATGCCAATCCCTCTTGCTATAATGCCTGAGCGGTAAGCTAACCGCATAAATATCTAGAGGCAAAACGCGCCTCGCGAAGTGGTACGTCCCATACAGCGACGAAGAAAAGATCAAATTAAAAGGCGAAGTGCACCGACTCGTCGCACCGCGGGACCAAAAATACCAATCCAACTTCGTCGAATTCCGCAACTACAAGATCGTATACCGACGGTACGCAGGTTTATTCTTCTGCGCCTGCGTCGACACCAACGATAACGAGCTCGCGTACCTCGAAGCTATCCACTTCTTCGTCGAAGTCCTCGATGCCTTTTTCGGCAACGTTTGCGAACTAGACTTGGTCTTCAACTTTTACAAAGTCTACGCTATTCTCGATGAGGTCTTCCTAGCCGGCGAGATCGAGGAGACGAGTAAACAGGTCGTTCTTACGCGCCTCGAGCACCTCGATAAACTCGAGTAAGATTGGCGGCCGAATTATACGGCCGAAGAAAGAATAAAGAATATGGATATGCCAGATCAGGGAAGAGCATGGAATTAAATGTATATGTGTCTCAAGGGTATATAAAGTACCTCGGTAATTGCGATGGTTTACACTTCTAGGCGGAGGTGTCTGGCGTTTTAGGGGTCAAAATTGGTATTTGCATGAATGTTGCATTATGAGAGCACAAAGCTACGATAATCCATCTGCAGGAGTCTTTTAAGCCCTATGATGGTTAAGACTTGAAATTCGATCATGCAGCTCCTATTAATCGATATCATATTGTTTAGACTATGTTAACATTTCCAACAGATTTCAATCGCAATATCGATGAAGACGTAGCTATTCCCGTTGCCGAGATAATGGTCATTAATCATTATGGCTATTGGCTACCTAGGTAGTCATCATTTTCTATTCTCGATGATTGCCGAGATAATCTACGACTATTAGGGTACATCACTACCGTCACTTGCCATGGCTTCTAGGTAATGATTTTAGATGTCAATATTGTGGTCGTTGATTATCATAACTACCATTTCATAAAATGCATCGCGCGTCTAACTATCTCGCCCATGTCTTGAGTACCAGCAACCATCCTAATAGATGCTTGAGCTTCTGATCTAATTGTGACGAACTCATCATTGACCCGCCTCCCAGAATCAAATGTGGTGATAACTTCACCGAGAGCAATTTGTTCCGACGCGGAAACGGCATCGAGGAACAACCAGGTGTATTGGAGGTAGGCTCAACTGCAGTCTTCCCGTAAATCATGCGCAATATATTGGTTCCGCGACGAAACCGGAAATAGGAAAAGCAAAATAAAAACAAATAAACTCGAGACTCGTACAGGCATTCACGGCGTCAGCTCTGTTTGCCAGATGCAGCCCTTGCCGCGTTCATTTCCGAGCATTGCCAGAAGGGTTTTGTCGCCAAGTTTCAATATTTGCGACGGGTATCATCCGTGGATATCATGATAGAAATGAAGGGTAATGCATCAGAGCTGCTTCGCGACCTGGGCGGGCCGTTCTTGCTCGAGGACCTGTAAGATATGTTCGGGTTGGTGTTTCTGGATCATCATCTCCAGTGCTGTCCTTCGGTTGGGCTTTTTATTAATGATGAGGTTTGGACGGTTTTTAAAAAGCGCAACAACTTCGGGGCTAAAATGTGGCGCTTGGACGGGCTGATTGGTGGTCTCCATAGGTACAGATGCGACGTCATCGCCACCAATGTTGCCGTCCTCCTCCTCGTCGACATTCATATTATAATCCGGGTGTCCAGTAGCAGCATCCTTGTTGACGCTTGCTTCCGGAGCGAGGCCGGATCCGAACATCTCAATCGCGAGGGCATCTAGGAATTCATCTACTTCCTTTTTGATTCGTTCCGTCTCCTCGGCGGTGCCATTGGCATCTCCCGCTGTATCTCGGATTGTCTCATTTTTGTTCCTATCTGTGCTGACTGCCTCTGATGTGGAGGAGGTAAGGTCCTTAGGCGTTTCCGGAGAAGTATCAAAATCCACGAACACGTCATTATCGTATGCAAGTCTTCCCTCATTCGCCTTATCTTCACGCTTCGATTCTACAATAGGGCAGAATCGTCCTCGAGAAGGAAACCGAGGAGGTGAACGGGACCTAGTATCTCGATGAAGCCGACGCTCGCGAAGTGAAGGCGCACCAGGTTCCGGACGATAATAGCTACTTGTACCTAATTGATGAGAATCCTTTTCGGCCCCAAATCGCTCTCGTGTCATACGCTCACGAGCTGCCCAGGGCGAGATGCTGCTGCGATCAACGTCTCGCTTATGTCGTGTATCATAGTCGCGGGACCAAGTTCGTGAGCTATCGTCTGATCCATAGGTGTCACGTCTCCGATTACGAGGAGGGTCTACTGGACTGAAAGGGGTTCGGGTAGGACTTCGCATAGGACTTCGAGAACGACGACGAGTGGGCAGAGGGGGAGATCCTCGCTCTCGATAAGGTAGAGCTACATCTTGCGATCGGGTTTGAGGTCGTGCTTCGAGGAGTACTTCATAATGCTTGCGTTGTTGCGTTAATGAAACCTTGTTCTCGTTTCGAGGACACAAGGTTGCGAAATGCTGACCGTAAGCCCTGCAGAGACGACATTGGTAACTAGGCGCAGGTGGTTTATCAAATCTTTCGTCTAAGTTGGTAGGGCAAAATTGTACCCAATGTCCTGAATTATATGTTAGTAAGTCTGCCGATTTTCCATGTTGGGTCTCTTACCTGACGAGCCACAGCGTTTGCAAATATAGCCTCGCGGGACAGGGCCGGCCAACTGCTGAGCAGCACTCGGTGCTTTCGATTGGGATTTTGTTGGGCTGACGACTTTTGGGCTCTTGTGGCCCAAACTCAAGTTCGATGATCGCTGGACGAGTACTTCATCTTTTACCGGCACCTTATCCAACCCTTTCTTTATGTTGTCCTCCTTGATCCTAAGGATCTTCTGGTGGATGTTCTCTCGTGGGGCTTTTCTTTGCCCTAGCGGAAGCGTGTTAGAACCCGTCTGCTGTCTTCCCTTTCCGCGTGGTTCGTTATCAATATCATCCTCAATATGGTAGTCGGGGTTTGAGTCCGGATCAAATAACCTCTTGAGATCCATTTCGACCATCTGGTATCTACGCAAGTTTTCGGGGCCTCGCTCAGCGTCCCTTCTCTGCCATTCCTTGAAAGCCGCCTCCACTTCGATTTTGCTGAATGGTCCTAGTTGCAGCTTTCCTCCCTTCAGCAACAAATTCACGAAGTCTGATAGCAAAGACTTCTGTTGGATATCCCTGGTGATCTGTTCATGGAGCCATCCCATGAAGGTATGGAGTACGTGTTCCCTAGATAGCGAGTCAGATGGAATATGAATGATCTTATCCTCAAGCCCTTCCAATGTAAGATGAGCTAAGGTATCTGCCCCGAGGGCTTCTAAAAGAGGGCGGTGATCCATGGTCAGAACGAGCGATGAGTCAAGCTGCGAAGAAACAGATGGGTTGATACGAACGTTTCGTAGAGGGGCAGTAAAATATGAATGTAGGATTTTGACGTCAGGGCTATCAAGACAACAAGGGGAAATGGTACGAGGTATGGACTGGTCTTGTAATGGTTCTCGTTTGTGCATTAAAATGCACTCAAACTGCAGACCTCGATGACGCAGAGTCTCTAGATCTTAGAAAATTGTATACCACCCCAAGTAAAATTCCAGTTGAAGGAAAAATTTGGGGAGATGAACGAAGGCTTTTAGATGATTGTCGTGAGTAGGAGTATTTTGGTGTGTGGTGTTGGTGAACGTTTAGGGATATGACAGGTATTTTAGTGAATGGAGTTGAAAGAAGAAAAAGTAGCCCACTCCAAACGGGCGAGTACCGGGGGATAGATGTGAATTCCTAATGGGTTGAGAGGAAGGAGAACGGGAATAGACACTTTGAGTTAGGGGAGATGTTCCTTACAAATTGGTTATTCTCAATGGTAGTTGTCGAAGCGCGGGACCAACCCAGGTACATGTAAACAACTTTCAATTGTAATGTTTCAAGTATCATGTAGGTACGTTAGTGCCCGCCTTCATGTAGATAGATACATACATGTACATAAATGTACGCCGGTCCAGGCCCAGTCGTAGCTTCCCAATGTCCTCTTGCCGGTTTGGTATGCCAATAGTCGAGTATTTCGAGGAAAGTACATGTGTCATATAGGCGATTTCAGCCCTTCAGCACCTTTTTAGTTCTTTCCAAACTCCTCAAACTAGCCACAGTGCCCGCCCTCTCATGTGCTCAACATGAACGAAGCAATAGAAGCAATTACACACGAGATACAGGCCCGTAATGCGTAACGCCCCTTAAATATTTTAAGCTGAAGAAAGAAAAAAAAACACCAATTAACCGGATCTGCTCAGTATAATGACAATGTCGATCTCGGTGAAAATATTTCTAGATATAGGGACGACTGAATTAACAGTCACCCATTGGATACCCTTGGGTGAGAATATTGAAAATCGGTACATAAAAAAACGCTGACCAAATCCATGAGGACATTTCTCATAGCTATAGCATTCTCAATACTATGATCAACCCGACCAATTACCGCTTCAAGGCAGCAAAACGAGCTGTTAATTCGTCAATACTTGTTCCATTCCCGCCTTTCGCATCATCACTCTTCGCTATACCAACATCGACCATTCTCTGGCTAGGTTTCAGTTCCACCGAGTTCAACGTGACCTTAGGACGAGGATTATCCGTAGAGGGACTTGGCGGATTTATATGTAAAGGTGTGTTTGGTCCTAAAGACCGAGGAGGTGTCTCGCGACTTAGGGCCTCTCTTTCTTGTGCCGCTTTGCTGTCGGTAGGTAGGGGTGGTTCGGCAACCTTCTGCGCTTGGCCCTCACTCGGATTATCATCCATATCATCCACGAAATCTGGCGGTTTGCCCAAATCCTTAGGCCGTTTCGGCCAATCGACCCCATATGCTCTTGCAATTTCCTCCAGATAACCTTGAACGAGTTCTTCTCGAGGCGGCGCTACACTAAGTTTCTTGACAACTTTTTCAGAGACCTTCTGGTCCGAATTTTCCATAGCAGCTAAGACAAACTCCTTCCCAAACTTCTCTGCGAGAAGTGCACGCACTTGCTGCAACTCCTTTATTTCTGTCTTAGGAGCGGCATATATGATACTTTTCACTGCTTCCTCCAATCCAGGGTCGCAGGTATGTCCTTCCAGGAGACCAGCTCGGGCGAGTAGCAATTCGCAGTATAATTCGAGGATCTCGTGGAGCTCCGTGGTGATGTCCGACCGAATAATATTTTCTACTCTTATCCTAGCCGAATCAATCTTACCAACCTCCAATAATTGAGCCATTGCTCTTCGTTGCGTCTTGCCCATCGCTTCATCGCGCTGTTGTACCATACGTAGTCGTGCGATCGAAAGCTTCAGCTGAACCTTCAGCTTCGTCTATAAATTCGAGTGATAAATTAGCTGCCTAAGTACGGTACACTACAGGCCTCGCAGCCTCATGTTGGTAAGTTATAGGATTATCTTACAACCACAGTAGCCGATGGAGGCATTTTGATGGTACGTAGCCCGAAGGCTAGCAAGAAAGTCTTCGCAAGTAATTGGCAGTAACAGTATTGAAGATTTGATTGTTGACAGTATTGGAGATATTCACTGGAGGTTAACGCTAAGAATCTTATCGGAATGTGTTGGAGGAGTCCTCAGCGCTTCGCCGATAATCATATGCATAAACCCCGCGATGAGGGGAAGTTTTGATACTTCTCAATGTACCTCAAGACTACTGCCTTCCCATGTATCTATACTTCTACAATAGAGCTTAATCCTTTCTATGTGGGTGTAACAGTAACACAAACCACCCGATAACCAAGATCGGTTGTTTTAGCGTGCTTCGGGATGATATCATTTGTGAAATGCCAAGAAAAATAGGATGGTTGGGGTAGGGTGGGGCGTCAATCTTTAGCTCTGAACAAGACAATTCGAATTGAGGAGCTGCTGAGAAAGCACCCACATTCACACTACATTCACATACATAAACATTAGTAGCTGGTAGATCTCAAAGCTATCGGCCGGTGATGGTGGGCAGCATATGCAGAAAATCCAGGTTATATCCATCTAGCTGTACAATTGCTCAGCTAATGCGCTGTAACAACCCCATGTTACGAGAATAATTCCGCAATCCATTTCTCTATATACCTAGGCCACCAGGCTAGAGCAACTTCGATCTCATCTACCATGACTCGACCGATTTATCCATCGCGGCTGGAATTGGATTTGGGATTATCACAAGGGCCATGGCAATAATCCATCATTGGAAGCGAAAGCTTCAGCGCGGATGTCAAGAATGGCTGGCTACGATCATATCCAATCTTCAGAAAAATGGTCTCTGGAAGAAAATAATCAAGAATACCGTCTGCACCACAATTAACTTGATTATCGGCCTCATCCCAGCAGTAGTCGCTGTATATGGAAAATCCACGTATCTCGGAGCTATGGCTTCAGTCTTTGGCCATCCCGGACGGAGGTTTGGTCAAATGGCTGAATCCTTAATGCTCATCACCCTTGGAACCTTCGTCGGGATTGCTTGGGGTATTCTGGGATTGTATTTATCCAGTCTTGTCCGTCAAACCAACATCCAAGCATCGTGGGGTATACGAGCCGTCTTCTTCACTTTAGCGCTACTCCTCCATGGCCTTCTTCGATCCTCTGCACCTAGGCTGTTCCTATTCGTATTCTTTTTCTTGCTTATTAACATCACTATCTTAACAAGTGCTACCGCTTTCGTATCATCTACTCTTGTCACAAATACAGCATACCCGATCCTCACGGCAATTGGTATCATAATACTTGTGAACATCACCGTCTTCCCCGAGTTCTCAAGTGGTTTCCTTGGAAGATCCACCATAGAAACATTATGTGCTACTACCAATTGCTTTCAAGAGTCCGGGGATTGGTTCATGTCCGATTCTAAACCACCAGAAGGAGGGGATCCGGAGAAGAACAAAGAGGCCGCGACGGTGTTAAGAACTAAGTTGATAACATTGACTGAGAAGAAAACGAAATTGAGAGCCCAACTGGATAGTTGTAAGAATGCCCAGTCGGAATGCAATTTCGAGCTTGTGTTCGCAGTTCTTCCTCCGCGGTCATTGAAACCAGTCAGTATATCTCTGATGTCTCGCCTGGTTCAAATCGTTATCTGTCTGATCAATGCTTGCGAGAGTAAATACGCGTTGGCTGGGCACATATATGGAGAGGAAGACCAAGAAACACCGGAGGGAACCGCCCCCGATAACGATGATTCTGACTCTGACTCTGAGTCGGATTCCGACTCTAGCAGCGAGTCTGAGAGCGACAAGAACGAAAAATCTGAAAGCAAAGCGAAAAAATCTCGTCGAAAATCTAAATATGCAAAGAATCTAGAGCTTGTTAAGCCTATCCGAGAAATCGAATCTGGGGATATTGAACTACTTGAACATATTCTTTGCCAAATACGAGATCCAATTAAAACCCTTCAAGGCCATATACAAGCAGCTGTCCACGTCATTATTTCTGCTTTAGCTTATTGCTATGATGTGCCATCTCTTCCTTCGGGTTCACCAACGCCAAAGGGCATCACCTTAGAAGAAATTGATCTTCGAGTTAACATGTTCGCAGAAGCATTGTCGCAATTTGATCAGGATTCCGCAGCTGCTCTCGAACATGCCGCTTCCATAGAATACGGTTCAGAATCACGGGTAGGTTTATATTGATTCTATCTCTTTAGAAATAGTCAGGTTCTTCGTGTCATGAACTTCAATATTGCCTTATGTCTGAAATTTAGATTGAATCAATTAATGACATCATGCTATAGGGGGACATAATGCCTAGGATGGAAACTCACCTGATTTCATCCTTCTTAATTAGCGTGCGACAGGCAGCTGCTCAGATTATGGATATGTTAAAACATTCGAGAGCACTCGTTGAACGAAGGCAAGCGCGAAACAATCATCGTCGACTCTATTGGCCAAAAATTGGCTGGAAGAAGTGGCTAGCCAGCGGTGGTGAGAATGATATCAACGCTCTCCCAGAGAAAGCAAGAAAGGAAGCTAGAGCCGGTTATGGCCTAAGGGAAGATCCAGGAGGGAAAGAAGATGATACAGATGACAGCAATGAACAACTCTTGGGACGTACTAAAGATGAAGAAACCGGCCACGGTATAACAAGACAACCCACGTTCGCCGAGAAAGGCAGCATTCCAAAACGGAAAGGCCCCCAGAAATCCGAAACCAGCTATATTCCGTGGCTACGGGGATTGGCTGCTGATGCGGTCGAGTTTTTCGCTGATTCGGACGATCTCGCATTCGCCCTGAAAATGTGTGTTGCTGCTTATCTGATTACATGGCCGGCATTTGTTCTGGAATATAATGGTAATATTTGGACGCCCAAATACCTCCTAAAGAAGAAATCGCTAATTTCCTGTATAGCATGGTACAATTCGGTTCGTGGATCTTGGGCATCCCTACAATTAGTTCTTGTCTTCGAAGTCTCGGTTGGGACTTCGTTTATGGGATTCTTCCTTAGGGTAATTGGTGTGATATTCGGCTGCACCGTTGGCTTTATCGCCTTCGAGATAGGACAAGGTAATCGCGTTGTCGCTATAATCATTCTTGTGATTGGCATCATACCCTCTTCGTACATCCACCTCGGTACACCGTACGTTAAAACAGGTATTATCTCCTTGGTCAGTATGTCTGTGGTTGGATTAGGTACGTAAACCATCATCAGTATTGTGCTTTAACTTATTTACGATCTAACAAGCATCTAGCAACAATCCTGAAACCAGTTGCTGGAGAACTGGAGTGGCAGGTTTATGTCAAACGAATGGTATGTTTCCTCATTGGTGGAACAGTAGCACTCTTAGTTGAGATGTGTCTATTCCCCGTTCGGGCTCGGGATAGACTTGTCGAATCTCTAGCTTCGAGTATCCACCAGATATCGCGAATGGAAGGGTCAGTGGCCGTGGGTATCGACTCGCCGCGAAACATCGATATTAGATCCTACGCGTTCAACGAGAACTTCAAGGATGCCAAGGAAAAGGCAGAACAAGCCCTTTCTGCAGCGCGAACATTTCTACCATTTTGCCTGACGGAACCGAGGATTAAAGGCAGCTTCAATGGACAAGCATTGATATATGGCGAAATGATTTACGTGTTGTTTCAAATCATTGATCGCATGGATAATATGCTGCATCTTCGCAGAGCTTATGGAAGCAGCGTTCTCGAAGAACTTAATGCCGATGTTCTACCTTACCGTCGCAATGTAGCGGCTAGCATGATGCTCACCCTCTTCGCCGTCAGCGAGGCTTTAACAACACGATTACCTCTTCCTCAGTTCCTACCATCTAGTAGGGTAGCGCAATTGCGATATATTAGCCGAGTTCGTGAAATCCTACTTGATCGCGCGGCCAAATCCGTGTATGAAACAGGGACTCAAACCCCCACTACTACGAACGGGGATTCTGTGTCGCTCCACCCACATGTTTTGAAGTCCATGACTCGCCAAAGCTTCCTTTCTTGGAATGCTAGTTCTGCGGGAATGAGTGAGCACTTCATCCTATCCACTGTTTATCCCAACTTACTAATCTTATGATATAGTGGAAATCATCGAGTATCTAGAAGAGCTCGTCGATCTTGCAAAGTTATTGGTCGGCGTCAACGCGTTCCGTAGCGGAATGTTAGAGCGCCCTAAGTTTCACGAATACGTCCGCAAGATTAAGGAGCGCGAATCAGATCGAAGCACTGCAGCAGCGGCCGCTGCAGAAGCCGAACAGCAAGAGGTACAAAATATTAAAAGTAAATCGGGAGGCAGCTTTATTCGTAGGCGGCGAGGATTTACACTCGGCAAAACGCCATCTAAAGGCACTACGGGGACGGCTGCTGCTGTGGGTCTTGGGGACGTACCTAGGTTGAGACGCCGATCGACGGGCCTATGGGATGGTGGGGATACCGCGGTGGATAATGGCGACGATGTGGTGGCTGAGGATCTACCAATGAGCCTACGTCGGGTAATGACCAAACGAATGGAGGGTAGGCGGTGCGATAAGACGACTAGAGAGAGAAGGAACACGGACGATCCTAAAGGCAAGAGGCCTTTAATTAAGCCATCGCAGACTTGGGCTTTGTAGCTTGGGTAAGCAACTTGCATATGTGGCTGCGATGACGGTTTGGAAAAGACCGGTCGCGGGAGATAAACCCTCCTTATTTTATCCCAGTTCTCTAGGATATGTTAGGACAATTTCAGCCACATAAAGAGTACAAAGAGTACCTGGGTAGATTAGGTTGCTGCTTTATACAATGATTTTGCTTTTTAAGGGTCGCCAATGTCCGCACGGGCATGTCCCTGAGCCTACCTCGCAGCCTCGCTTAGTACTTGGCAATGGGCTTCTCAGAGCCCCCAATATTTCCAAGGTTGCGTCCCAACATCTCGAGCAGATTACCCAGGCAGCTAGGTAATCTCGAAGTTGAAGCTCTATCTGCCACTTCCGCGTCTCGATACCTATGAGTAGACTCATTATAGATTCAAAAGCCCGAGTGTTATTTTTTAATCCCGCTAGTCGACCGTCCTGCCGTCCTAAGATGTTTCTCTTGACCCCCACGAAGGCTATGGTTAGCAATCGCGGATCGCTACTTTTCGAAATCACACGACGGGAGCTAAAATGCGGCTACCCGTGTCAAGCCCTCTGCAGCACATATTGTGTACAATATCTGGATTGGTTGGTTACACAAACCAGAAGCCCCGACTATGGTTTCCCGTGTGGCCTGAAGTCCTAGGACGCAAGGGATAGCTCAGTGTAAGGGAGATATTCGACAATATATACATTAAAAAACTTACTTAACTACGAGGCTTAAATCCAACAATATGGCGATTTTATTTTCAACCATAAACACGCCGACTGAGTCGAAAATACCAGAAATCGTAAATAATGGTGTCAGTAGCGGAGAGTGGGAGATCGCCAGACCCCCAAATTTTCAAGCCGGAAAACGAGCCAAAAAGCAATTCGAATGGCCACCTATCCGTTGTCGTTGATGACAAAGTGGCGCAAGACGTACAGACGCCATCGGATCACGGCACAGAACGAGCGTCCACTCTCCGAGACAAGCTGAGGAAGCCTATCAAATTTCACCTCGCCTTCCTGTCTCTACTGCTTATCTTGTTCATCGTGTCAATCGACGCTACTGCGCTAGGCGTTTCCATACCAGTATGTGTTTTTGGTGGGAAGAAAAGCCCAAATTGTTATGACATTGGAACACGCAACATGAAGCGCTTGAAACTAATTTAACTGATCGCAGACAATAAGCAATGAACTTCAAGGAACGACGCTCGAGGCATTCTGGGCCAACCTTTCCTTCACACTTGTTGTCGTTATTGTCCAGCCTATCTACACAAGTGTCTCCGATGTTGTCGGCCGCAAATTGCCCCTATATACCGCGTTTATCCTATTCGGTATCGGCTCGATCGTCTTCGCCGTCGTTATTGTAGGTCGCGTCATTCAAGCTCTAGGTGGTGGAGGCCTTGATGTTCTCAATGAAGTCATCATCGCCGATATCACTACGCTGAATGAGCGCGCCTTTTATATCGGCCTGATTTCTATCCCCATGGCCCTCGGCACGATACTTGGTCCCGTCCTTGGCGCTGCATTCAGTGAGTACGTGACATGGAGGTGGATCAATCTTCCTTTGATTGGCATCTGCCTTCCTATGTGCGTTTTTTGCTTAGACCTCAAGCCTATGCCGGATACTTTTCGAGAGCAGCTAGCAAGACTCGATTGGGTTGGAATGGCTCTATTTACAGCTGGAGCAACGCTTTTCTCGCTACCTCTCAGTTGGGGAGGATCAATGTACCCGTGGAGATCACCGCAGACTATCGTGCCCCTGGTCATTGGCGTTATACTTCTTGGCGTCTTCGCTTGGTATGAGTCCAAGCCGATTGAGCCGATGTTTCCGTATCGCATCTTCAATAACCGAACGGCTTCAGCCACGCTAGTCGGGAGTTTCATCCATGGCTTAATTCTCTATACCCTTGCCCAATACCTACCCCTTGTATTCCAGTCCGTCTATCTTCGAGCTCCCCTCCAAGCTTCCGTATTGTTGGTTGCCTTTTGCGCAGTCCTTATGGCATTTACAGGATTCGCTGCTATATGCGTCGAGTGGACGAGGAAATATCTTTGGGAGATTTGGCTAGGCTGGGTCTTCACCGCGGTCGGCACGGGCCTTTTCAGTCTTTGGGATAGCCGTTCCAGCTTGGCTGAAATTGTCGGCTTCCAAGTTATCGCTGCCATCGGTCTTGGAACATTATTCACCGTACCTCCTATCCCTATGCAAGCGAGTGCAAAAAGGGCTGAAGACCAAGGTCTTGCCGTTGGAATCCTAGTTTCATTCCGACTTTTCGGCGCACTCATTGGTCTATCTATAGCTTCTACTGTGCTCAGCACACAGTTTAGCCAAGCAATTACTTCTCTTGATCCACTTCCTGAGGCTCTGGCTATGCTCAATGATCCTCAGGAGGCTTTGAGTTTTATCCCGTACCTACGGACCGTTGAAGTAGCGCCTGAGACTATGGAGTATGTACGAGAGGCTTATGCGCAAGCCTTCAGACCAATTTTTTATATAATGGGAGGCCTTGGTGCTGTGGGGTTTCTCGCGTCGTTACTTACCCGGGAGTTGACGATCGAATCTGAAGAGAAGGGTCGGCAAGCATTTCAAGGTTGAAATAGCTGCGCAGGCCGCTATGCCATAACGGAAGTACCTAGAAATACACCGACCAAGCCCCCGTTCGCAAAGCCTATCCTATCAACATATATATCAAATTGTCATTCTTTTCTATGTGGGAGCTAGCTACCGTTAGGAGGGGGGTGGGGCCAGAGGGTATAGTCGCCCCCTAGTCCACACAACCAGCACGACACAAAGGTATATAAGTCCAGACAATTGACTAATCTATCACGTACGACCATAGAACCTAGAAAACTCGGGGTCCCGTCCGCTCCCCCATAGATAAACTGGGTATCGCCGATCTAGTAGTCGGGTCGGTGACGACCGGCGAATCCTCGGTGTTGTACGTTTTGCCTTTTTTTTTTTGTCTGTATCATGTTGTCGTCTGTTCATACACCAGCTATTTTGATTTTTGTACAAAAAAGTTGACGATAATCGTTGTTTTCTGTGGCGGTGGGCATGCTTGTAGTATCGCATCACCTGGTTCAACTATAAGTGTTCCACTTCGACTCGTTCACGTGCTAGTCGATATCCAGGGGTCCCTAGTATCAACTTCAATGGCATTTTGATGTTGGTTGTCTAATAGCCGTCCTCAAGGTCTAACCGAACTAATTGATTTCTTTATTCCTAGTTGATCTTTGACATATTATTCAAATGTCTCCACAACATCTCCTTTGACGAGCTGTGCCCCTTGCATACACATCTAGGGTGTCTTGGCCTCTACATCTCCTCATCGCTGGAAATTATACATATATTTCTGCCTACCTTGTGAGCGATGGAAAACTTTTGGCAACTACTTTATTTGACAGTCTTATCCTACAATATACGTATTTGGTGAAACAAGGACACCCGTTATAAGATATGGCATCCGCAAAGCTCTTTGAGGCCATCCCGAGTTTTCCGGATGATGTGCCTACCGCATCCATAAACACTATTTCGTTAGAGAGTATACGCTCGGGTGATGAAGCAACGGCGAAGCGAGTACTAGCCTCTTGTCAAGAGCTTGGGTTCCTCATGCTCGACCTACAAGGAGATGAGCTAGGCGAGACAGTGATCAAGGAAGTTGATCAGTTATTCAGCATTGGAACAGAGATCTTGAACCTCCCAGAAGAGGTAAAAACCAAATATGCTCAAGATATCCCCAGAAGTTTCCTCGGATTTAAGTCCCGTGGTGAAGCTAAGACCGAGACCAACGAACCCGACCGTTTCGAGTGGTTCAACATCGGTCGGGACGGCGTCGTAGGAAATGCGCCGCTGCAGCCGCTTCCATCTCCAGCACAATCTCAACTTCCCCTATTAAAGTCGTTTATCGAACATGGTCAAGGTATCATCGCCTTGATAAGCTCTATCCTAGCTACTCAGCTCGGCCTCGCGCCAGATGCTTTCACGTCGCTCCAGCGGCCGACCAAGCCCTCAGGCACAGTAGTCCGATTCATCAAATCGTTCGCAAGCACAGAGCAAGATGACTTGCGCACGAGCATGATACACCATACGGACTTCGGCACCGTCACCTTACTCGCCAACGTACTTGGCGGACTACAAATCCTGGCACCGGGGAAGAGTCCACTAGACGGAGATGCCTGGCTCTGGGTGCGGCCGCAGCCAGGCTGCTTCATCGTGAATCTAGGTGACGCAATGGTACAATGGGCCGGTGGATTGCTGCGTAGCAATGTGCATCGCGTTCGATATGCGCCCGGATCGCAACGCTTCGTGGATCGATATAGCGTGGCTATCCTAGCGAGACCCGAACGCGACGCGAGCATGAAGAGACTTATTGGCGGCGGAGGTGAAGATAGCGAATTAAGTGCTTGGGAGTGGGAAGTTAAGCAAATGATGGGCTTGAAAAGGGCTATGGAGAATAAAGAGGGGAAATAGTTATTGCTTCATACGCCTATTTTGTCTCGTGTTTACTCTTCTGAATTAGTTTTTCTGATGTTGGAATGCAGGCAAAAATACATTCATCACATAATGGAAACATGTATGAAGAAGCCATTTGTATTCAATGAAGACTATTTATTCAGGGACTCAGGGGTATAGTATCAATCCATTCTATAATCAAATTCGCCGTCGCCAATGCTTCTATGTCGAATAGACACAACCGCACGAAATAATCAAGCTTCTGTTTCCCCCTCGATTCTACTACTGGAAGGCATAGGACCCAAGGCCGGCCGTTCTGTCGGCACGCCACTCGGGTTGTTCAAAGTTCCTCGATGAACAAAAATTTCCGTCAACACCTCGTATGCGCCCTGGATTCCTACCTCGACTGGTTCGCTGTTATCCGCACCACGACTACGAACCTCTACAACGTGTCCAACCAGGATAAGAGTATCGGGTGAATTGTGGCGGGGATGATCGAATGGGAAATATTGAAAGATCTTCTCTTCCTCAAACGGCCCGAAATACTCGTCGTTGAGCGCACAGGTGATCCAGTTCTTCGTCTTGAGAGCCTCCGGTCGTATAGCGTACACCCATGCGCCTACCTCCAGCTTTCCGAGGAGGTAGGACGGGTCGAATCGTGCTGTCATGAGCTTAGCCGCTCCTTGTTTCCACGGCGCAATATTTCCAGGAGGGAAGAATGTAATATTTCCCTTAATAACCTCATTATGGCGGGTACGAGCTAGGACAAGCATGTCAGACTCCCTCTGTCGCTTTTTGATGAGAAGGGGGTGTAGCGCAGCTTTGAAGGACATTTGTCCCGAGACTGATATACCGCAAGAGCCTAATGCTTTCTTGGTGGTCACTTCATCTGCCACGCAGTCGTTGACAATAATTAAAGTGTAGCGAAGGTTTCGACTCGTGTGCTTGACATGTCCGATAGGAGCGCAGGTTGCGTCGTTGGTGTTTGTATGTAGATCGCGCTGATCCGCATCCTCGGGAATGAATTGATCAGAAGTCAGGAAGTAGAGGTTTTCATTCGAATCCTCCACAATTCCGCCGGCAGTGACGGAGTCACAGCACTGAACCGTTCCGTATGGAGTTGTCTTGTGGAGGTGGATGCGCCTCGGGTTTGTCCAATTCTCGATGGTACCGTCTGGTGTCGCGTACACTTTGATCGGTCCCTGGGCCGGGCTGGTGGTCGAAAGCTCGTGTTTACACATTTTATTGATTCGGATTATGGAGCTGAAGATAAATGATGGTAAATTGGTGGGATGTTGAAGCAAAGCTTATGGCAATCTTATGGACCGGAGCGTTAAATGGTACATACAGACAATATTTATGTACTAAAACACGTTGTAATATCTATAGCTAGCTCATCCCAATCAGCACAGATATTTAAATCATCGTACAGTGGCATATTCAAACGCGAGTGATTCGGTGGTTTGATATGGTACCAGATACCTATTTGACCTTTGCTGTCATTGCCAGTAGCAAACAGTGCTTCACATATCCCATTCTCTCGCTTCACATAATGTCACTTTGAGATACTTCCTAGCTCGAAAGCTTACAAGATGTTCGTCATTGAAAACACTTCAATTAATTGGCAATGAATCCCATGAAGTAATCAATATTCTATTTTATCGTTCAGTAGCAGTGCTATTACTAGGATCGTCTAATTCTATCAATCGGTGCACCCAGCTCCAAACCTACAAGCCAGCCCCTTCTCCCAAGAGCTACAACCTCCCTCCGGCCTGTTCAATCTCCAACTCCGTACTCGTAAGTCCATATCCGCCCGCCGCCGCAACATCCTCCTTCTGGTACAAGTAGCACTCCTCACGATCCACATACTCCGGATCAAACTCAAAGATGCGCACCTCGGCATTCTTCCAGGGGTACTCACTAGGCCCCTCCCCCGGCCGGGCCGTAATCCTCCTCAAAATATCCCCATGCGCCACAAGCACAATATTCCCCTCAGGTCGATCCCTCAAAAACTTCCTCACCCACCGCGCCCTCTCCGTCAACGCCTCCTCACTCGGCACCCAAAAGCCCTTTTTCGACGTCCAATCGGCCGTCAGCGGCTCCAAGTCAAAAACCGAGAACTCGGGATCTGCTTCAAGTACTTCCCGCGAGGAACCCGTGTCGCAGGGGAAATCGTTGCATTCCTGTGCTTGGGGGAGGAGGACGACTTTCTTTAACCCGCCTAAACGCTCGATGGCGGGGGCGTAGCCGAGATAGCTGGTTTGTAGGGTGCGCCGGAGAGGCGAGGAGATGATTACGTCGGCCTCGCGTTGCAGGTCTGGGATTAGACGGGGTAGGGACGCTGCTTGTTTCTTGCCTAATGGCGTGAGTGGAGCGTCCGGGACTATTGAGTTTTGTTAGTATTACTGTTGAATGAGTTGTTAGATATGTGACTTACTGCTGTAGTCGAGGTCTACGTTGTGCTCGGCTTGAGCGTGGCGGGTTAGGATTAGGCGGGAATTGGGCGCCATGATGTAATAGATTTATGTACGTGTTCTATTCTACTATGTATACGTGTTGTCGCTGTTTTATGAGAAGCGGTTGGTTCTCTAATGTCTATGCGAATGAAAAGAAAATAGTATGAAGAGTAGATAGAGGAGTGAAGCCGCTCCCGTAGGTAAGAACAAACTCTAAAAGCCGCGGCGGAACTCTTCCGGGTCTTCGTGCTCCACTGTATTGGCCATGACGATGCCGGCCGATTCCGCCGACAGCGGCGAGACACTAAAAAAGATACTCAAACTTTTGTCTAAGTATAACCGATAATCATTTCTATTATGGGAATAGGCTAGTTCCACATCGCCAATATGGCTTTAGGTGTGCTTTGTTTCTTCACTCAAAAGTATTCGCTTAGTACCTAGGTAGTTGAAAGAAATCAGAGCTTGGACAAATGTCAGTCGTCGCGAATGTGTTGGATTTGACTCAAATCATCACCATAGGCCCCATGAATGAAGGCATGTTGCAACAATTTACCTAAGTAGCCATCGGTGTAAAGTTGATAATAGTGGTACACTTATTTGTAATGTTGTTTTCTGCTAATATGGTCCAAGGCGACATTAAGTATCTGTATACAATTAAGGTGTACACAAAATCGTCGAAAAGCTAATGTATAAAAAAGCCGTAACTCCTCCTAAACGCCACTCATCCTGGGTATCCCCTGAAATCCTTTTCATCTTTTGCGGACTGTCGTCGTAGAAACCTATGTCGCAAAATGCTCAATTCTCCTGGAGGTGAAGTGATCCAACCGAAAACATAACCCAATGCCCAAACTCCCCTTCGTCATCAATTTCGCCGAAACCCTAGAACAACTTCAAGTTGGTGCGCTGCTGTAAGTTCGTTCCGTTTAGCATTGCTCTTGATTTCTTGGGCCGGGTCTGGAGTCTTCGGAAAGCTTCCTGAATATGGCGAGACTCGACTGGAGTTTTACCCTCGTTAGGCGGGTCGAATAATCCTTGAGCGAGCTTTCGTTTCTTGCTCCCTGGGTTTTCACCACCACTACGTTCCTTCCATAGGTCCTCCTGTTCCTTGATCTTGAGTGCCTCTTCTGTAAGCGTCTGTACCATTTCGAAAGTTAAGAAACCTAGGATATCAACGATATCATCTGATGGCTTACTGTCGGTCACGATACCGAATCCGGCCCACTCCCTGAACCGCTTGCCCTTTCGGTAGGTGAAAGACGCTTGTCGGTATTCAGACCATGTGACGTATTCTTCCCTTGTCATCGCTTTAGTGCGCTCATCGGCTTTGCGCAATCGCTGTAGAGTAATGATATTCATTTCTTCCTCCTCTTCATCTTCCTCGTCATCACGCTCGGGGACTTCCTGGCTATAGTACGAAGAAGGCTCCCATGGAAGCTTGACTTTGGCCTTCTTGTTCTTCTTAGCAGCTTCTTCTACTGCAGGGCCACCAGGCATGACGGCACCAGCAGGATCATCAGCGACACCAAGATCGGCGTCACCATTCTTGTCGTCAGAATCCTTGGCACTTTTTCGAACATCCTTCCAGGATAAAAATGTTCTGAGTCGCGATACCTTAGGCGCATCGTCGCGGATTTGAAAGATCAGATCATTAATAGTGATAGATCGAGAACCACGACGAGCGGCCAATTCGGTACAATTTCGTAACATTTCGATGACTTGCTGGCGAACAATTTCTTCAATCATGGCAGTGGTTTCAACAGATGGTTCTCCGGTCTCACCAGAGACGTACATCATCTGCTGGATCTCCTGTCGGTACTTGTGTTGCTTGTTACTGTCCCCCATCTTGACTAAAGTAGTGGGTATTGATATAAGTAGGGTGTACTCCTAGGAATGAGGCTGTGATCCGGACTGTTGCCGGCAGGATAGAAATGAGCGACCGGTCAAAATATTATTTCGATATGGTATTAATAAGTATATTGGGTTTTGTTTTAGGGATACTAGGGGATCGAGTGATGTTTCGCACACAAATGGTGATGGAAAGGGTGTGAATTGTTGAACAATATAATTGAAAGTTGAGATTCTTAGGGTCAAGGTTAGGGATAAGGTCAGGGTTACGGTTACGGTTACGGTTAGGGATCGGGTTAGGCTTCCTCGGTAATTCTATTAAGCGTATTTTCTAGCGGGGAGTCAAATCGGATTAGCGCATGTTGAAGCTTGCGATAGGACGTATACATAACTGTAACATTGGTCATGAGAGTAGAAGAATTTGTGAAAGTGATATCATTTAGATATTCATTTAATTAAATTCAAAAGAATGACTTCTTGTCCGGGTTGAGAGATGGATTTGTTATAAGTGTTTTCACATCACTATGATAAGTGCTTGAAGGGGGCTAGAATTGGGTCAACAAGAGCATGATTTTAAAATGGGAATAACATCTCTCATTCTGCGTGCTACATGTTCTTTGAGCAATAAAAGAAGGCATTTATGCTCATGAATATTTGTTCATTCATCCCCATCATGCGACCGTTTCCCATTGCTGAAAGCCATCTCCTCTCCAACCCCAGGCCACGATATAATGATCTGCTAGAAGATTCCACTCTTCGACCTCATCAAGTCCCTCCAAATCATCAACCCTCTCTTTCTCCTCTTCCACGACCCATTTGCGCCAAATTCCTCCTATAGTCAGACTTCTAACAGAGTCGAATCCTGCTTCTTGTAGTCGAGACTGTTGTTTGGCGGCATCTTGATAAACTTCTACAGTTGGCATACGTATTCGTCGAGCAGCCAAGTTAGATACCATTTGCCTGCCGAAAGAATCATTGGGATGAATTGGTTCGTAGATGATGATGGCAAGGTTTGGTATCTTTTCAGTAAAGTGCTTGATCACCCTTTCAACTTCCGGGGTTTCTAGGTAGCACAGACAGCATTCCGATATCAAAATGGTTGGGATGTCCGCCCGTACACCGGCAAGGGTTTTAGCATCATCATTGATTAAGTTTCTTAAATCCAACCCGTGGCATCGGTATTGGCAACCATTCTGTAGACTTGCACTACTCCAACCGCCGTTCTCGCTCTGTGGGTTAGATATGATGGATCTTAATTGGGGATTGGCATTCACGAGCTGTAGCTTTTTCGTAGCAATTGCTGGAAAATCAATCTCATGATAAATGAGCCCAGTCTGATTTGGATCAGAGAATAGCTTGAAACACCTTGTGTCTGTTCCGGCACCAAGTGAGATAATTTGTCGTTCTTGCGATGCGGTACTCGTTAAAAACGAAGATATCAGCTTATCCAGCGCAGTAGTCCGGGTATAAGTCCCTACCTCTAGCCTTAGCACTCGCTAGGGCAAAAATGGCCCGTGAAACAATCTTACCTCTATTTATAATTGGCAGTCGTCGTATGGCGCCACCAACGGAATTTTGCACGAAGAATTGTGCGAAAGGATCTTGCAGGTACCCGAGATCAACGGCACTCATCCGTGATACAGCTGCATCTGTATCTGTTCCTTGAATAGTCGCATCGTGGCTGAGGCCTGCAGACTGTGAATGTCCTCCTCGTCCACGACCGCGACCGCGAGAACCTCCTCTAGAGCCTCGAAGAGACAAAAGATTTGGGATTGATGGAGCAGACATATGGATTGAATGATTTGGTTGGTGTGTGCGCATTCAATAGCTTAGATAGCTCTGATGTATTGGATTTTAATGAAGCTGGAGCTGTGATGTAATGGCGCGATCAGGGGTCAAGGGGCTCAAAAGTTGGGTCCTAGTAAGATCGTAGGCAAATAATTGTTGGCTCTGATGAAATCTGGACCCAACAGTGTGATGGATAAAGAAACTAACGGGGTCGAATCGATGGTCGCGGTGTTCGGGTTTTGGGAGACAGTAGACTGTTACGCTTGGCAAGTTAGGCGAGTTACAATAGGACTTAGACGAAATGAGGCAGTGCAATGCAAACACCTAATACCTTACGATCTGGGGCGGCGGTTGCCTAGATTCAGCGTATGAATACGGAAATAGAAATACTGTACTGCCGACGTTCCGAGGTTGGTCGCTGTTATGCATGCTAGTATAGGTGTAGCTTTAAGATGCATGATAATGGTGTAAGGATACATATCGGAGTGGCGTTAAATACCCCTTGTACTAACATTTAATAACTCCGAATCCTTGAAAGTGACTGTATAAAACTATTACCGCACTGTATTAGTTTTATCCAACCTGAGATCCTTCTCTAGGGACGCGCGCATTCCATCGCATTTGTCAGAGAATCTTTTCAGCTTTCTCTCTTGTGTTTCATACATCTTCTTCCCCTCTTCTTCATACCATTTTTGAACATCATTATTATCATTCTTTCTATTGAATTCATTTTTATACACTCAGTTCATTCAATCCTTGATTTATTTCCTTGTCTTATTAAACCTTATCGATCGAGAAATATAGACGCCAAAATGTATCGCGACATCGCCCATGCGGTTTACAGGCGGGGCCAGGACTCGATGGATGGCTACGAGATGCCTGGTTGGGGATGGGCTTTTGTTGTGTTGGATATCTTGATTTTCTTGCCTTTGGTCTTGCTTGTATGGCTCCCGTGACTCTCAATATCGGAGAGTAATTCACTAATGCGCTTCTCAGGTTAACTACTCCTTCCAACATCTATTCCCTACCCTCGCTATCGTCGAAGACCCGTCTCCTCCGGCCTACGAGCCCGTTTCGTTGAACGAAGACACTCAATCTCTCGCCGAAGAAAATGCCCCTCTTGCCGATGAAGCCGCTCGTGCCGGTTCCGAGGCCCGTCTCATTACCTCGTCCATCCGCTCTACATATCGTACTGTTACCAGCGTCAGCGGCTGGCGATCCCTGTTCCGAGGTCTTGGTTGCTATGTCTCCTTGACTTTCTCTACTCTGTTCGTCTACGGTATCCTATCTGCGTTCTTGCCTGCTCTTATTGCCGGACCTCTTTCCGCCCTTGCTCTTGTGCAACTCTACACAGCATGGACGCACATTGTCATCTCGACACCGAGCTCCAAGCGTTTCTGGCAGCGACTACCTCCCTTCAAGAAGGCTTTCCAGGCTACCGCTCTCCCGGTCGCCATGTACTTCTTCGCCATCGAGGTTGCCTCTTACGTCCCTAAGCTTCTTGCCTGGGGCATGGCCATGAACCTGCCCGAACAGCCCGGTACTATTCCCCAGGGTGACAAGAATGACATCTGGAAGGGTGTTGTAGTCCTCGTTGTCTCATTCGTCCTACACATCTTCCTCGTCATCCCCACCCAGGTTATCCTCACCCGAGTTCAAGCTTCGCTCCTTCCCGAGGAAGACGACACCATCGTACCTTTCGACCGATCGTTCCAGGGCAAGGTTGAGCCTGCTATTGTTGGTGGCAAGGGCTTCGTTACCGTTAAGGATGCGTGGTTGTCATTCTCCCGCGCCTCATGGGTACGACTTGTCAAGCTCTACGCTAAGATCTTCGCCGCTAGCTTTGCCCTTGGTCTCCTCTGGGTCGCTGTTCTCGTCCCCGAGTTATTGCTCATCATTAAGCACAGCAAGAAGATCGAGTAAATCAAATTATCTAGCTATTAATCAAACGACCGCAAATCACAAGATATTCTAACTCGCACTCATACCAATATATTCTTACAAATATTATTTGTGCTTCTTGAATACCATAGGCCTATTGGCCTGGGAGGAATTTTTGAAAGTAGTAGAGACTGGGTTCAGCGTTGCTGGTTAAAAAGGGAAGAATCAATTGTATTTATATGCCATCCTCGGTATCTAGGTGGTTCATCTATGAGATTATGAAGGAGGTTGGTCATATGTTTTGGGTTCATTCGAACCGTCCATCTATCAGAACAGCGTTTTTTTTAATTTTAGTATCGTCAAATGGCAGTTTCTTTGAAGTTCATATGCAGTTAGGAAATTAGTTTCTAGGTGTTTTTCTGTGACTTGCAAATAAAGATGTGAAAATCGACGTGATGACGTAGATATCTCAGCTCTCAGCCAAGTCAGTCGTTTCTGATCGCAATTATAAGAATAATCGCCTAGACTGGAGCTAGGCTTACGCCATCGCCAACTACAAAGCAACTTTACGACCCCTTCCCTACACATCCTAGTGCTTCTACGCTTAAAACACCGATTTTTTCAAGTCGAATTCATATTATGAAGGATTAGACTCCAAAATCCAACCCCGCGTCCAAATCACCTCGAGGAACTCACTATCATTGTAGCCTTCGCATCTACGTATTCTCCGCGCTCAGGAGAAATGCGGGTGTTGACGGGTTAGGCTCTCCGATATTTTCATATCGGGATGAATGATAAAGTGCTGGTCTTTTCGAATGTGAAAATCTCGGACTCGAAGCTTAGGCATGGCTGAATATTTCCATTGATCTCCATTACATATGCTGTCAGGCACAATTCCTATGCAGAATACAGGCAGTGGCATCACTCTGGAATAGTTAAGGAGGAGATGGTAATGCTATGAATCAGGTCCTAAGTTGTACTCACTCCAACGGCCTCATCAATACCTACAACGATCTATATCCATGACTCAGTTCGAACTATCTATATTTGGTCCGAATTAGACTATATTGAGAGGTTAGAGTTGCTTTTTGCCGAGGCTTTCACCATGTAGCAAATCACTCGGACGTAATACACAGATCCCAGGCAGTAGCCTAACTTCTAAATCGTATTTACATATTCTGAATGGTTGCAATGACCTAGGAAGGATGCTTTATGTTATTGATTACCTTAACAAACCTGGTTTTCTTTTCCTTTTCTTCCTCTTCCTCTTGTCACTTTCTTTTTCTCTTTTTCTTTCTCGTATTTGTTTTGCTCTTCCTTTTTATTTTCTTCTTTTCCCCCTTTTTTTTCCCCTTTTTTTTTTCCTTCCAAACAACTGTCTGTTGTGTTGCGCTCCTGGGTACACATATGCATGAGTACACATGTACATGATTAGTCAAAATAAGGTCGCATGTACCTCCGTACTTTGGGGAAAATAGAGTTTCGGATGCAAGGCTGGATAAAAATGTGGGCTCTCATTGGTCAGCTATAATGAAGTGGGTCTATATACAAAATGCCTCAGCCTTGAGCACTGTTCATTATGTGATCTTTTGTTTGGATGATTTCACCACAAATACGGGGTCTTACGCTATGATTGGACAGTGGATGAGTTTGTAATCAATGTGGCTACCTTCTGACCCACATAAACCTGTTGCCCAAGCAGAATTCTGCCGTCCCGCTAATTCCCAGCCCCTTTCACCGCTTTGCACGGACTTGGGAATTTTTCATAAATACCTGGCCACTCTCCTCACCTTTCAGACTTCTTTTTTCCTTCTCTTCTCCATACTTACCTTGTTTCCGCGCATGCGAGCTCAAGAATTTGCATCGCGAAGGGGGAAGACCTGCATTGCACAGCGCGGTGTTGACCCCCTTCTATTATCCCTCGTGGATCGTAGGAGGCGCAATTTTTGCTATTTAAACCTTTTTGTTTTCGTTATGAGCAGTGCCTTGCAGCATTGCCATGAAGAAGACTGGCCACCGTGATTTATTCAAATACCGTCACGCTCGTCACAGGTACTTTACGCCCTATGCAGTTGAATTTTCAAACTCAAGCAACTATCCGTTCTATTGTATCAATATTCGTATGTTCAGTCTTCCCAACAAATAGTTCATCTAAAAAGCTGGTGGCTGCTCTTAGCGATACGTTCATTTTGATGATTTTTAGCCATTAATGCCACTCAAGGAAGCGCTTCGCTGTCAATTCTATTTCCCTGATACGTTTCCCCTCTCTTTTTAATGATATTTAGCAGGTGACGATGCTATGAAGTTGTTCTCCCATGGTCTACGCCACCATTTCCTAGACGAATCATCCGCGCAACCCAACCGCGCTTACATATACCAAATAACGAATTAAATTGTCGCAAATATGGTCACCACGTCCTCCTTAGACGTCCTCGAAACTTTCGAATCAACAGTTCAAAAGGGTGCGCAATAGTTCCGCGAACCCCTGTTCCTCATCAAAGCATCTATTCAATACAATACTATTTCGATTGAGCCACCGAACAAAACGTAAATTCACGTTGAAATCAAATAATCATTCGAGGGAAACATAACTATTTATCATGCAAGACCTTAGGTATTAGGGTGTCGATTCTTGGTTGTTGAATAGCGATGCCGATATCCTTAGGCGCCGTTGCAGTTACCTACGATTTTTGGTAAATGGATCTAATGTAGGACGCGCACGCGCAGGACGATATCCCTTAAAGTGATCCTAAACATCGGCGTATGTTACCAACTATCATTATCGGCTCCAGATATCGTCGATAAAACCTCGTCTTTGCAAATCCAAGACACAAAAGTTTAAGAATAGTAAGGGGGTTGTAATTCAAAAATACGTGACAATTTCCCCCGTAGCAGCAGATCGTGGTATCATTACTAATAGGGCTACGCGAAAGAGATGCACATAATTTCTAACACCAATTCTAGAAATTTAACTCGCCATTCGGAGCAATGAGGGTTCCGCATTATATCTAATGATGTTTCCTCAGAAATGTCTCCGTGCTCGAACATTGCAATCAAGGTTTGCAATCAAGGTGAGCTTAGAAATATAGCGAAGGCAGAGCAGTAGGGATTTCTTCATTTGCCAGCCCGTGATACGGAGCCATGTGGAGACTCATCCGCCGAATATAGCAAGATTACGGTGAAGAGCCAATAGAAAGCACAAGAGACGATAGCGTCGCTGTTCTAGGACTGCCGAAACAGCTTACTAGAGTTTATAGTGCCTATTGCTTAAATTGCGAACATCTCTAAGTTAAGGAGGTGAAGTAGGCTTTATAAAGGATTCGGATAGCTAGCCAGGTGGGCTCGGTGTTCTTCACCTGTCCGACGTAACTTGGATAAGCGGGGAAGGGAATGATGATCAAAAACTCAAGGTACGGATCGAGTTACGGATATAGGTTAGTGTATGGCTTCATATGCGGCATCCCCGCCTCCCGTTATCGCTTATTGGGTAGGTCTACATATCAGCAAATCGTTAAGCGTTGATATAATAGCCCCTCACGTTCCTTCCCATAATCAACGCGACCAGACGAAAGAAAGGACATTACTAGACTCATAGATTTTATCAGAAACCAAAATATCATCATGTCGGCAGCTTGGACAATGACCAAGGCCTTTCACAAGGCGCCCTACCCGTCCATCTCACCCCAGCGCCCGGAGCTCTCTCAAGCGGGGAAGACGGTGCTGGTCACCGGTGGCACTAGAGGGATAGGCTATTCTATTTCTCGGGCCTTTGCGGTGGCCGGGGCAAGCAAGGTTATCATGCTCGCGCGGCGCGCTAATGTCGGCGCCGAATCTGTTGCTTCTTTAACGGAGGAACTCAAGAAAGAGAACCAAGGCACCGGTGCCGAAATATCCGCGCTTCAGGTCGATGTGTCTAATGCGACTTCTGTCGCGGCGCTTTGGCGACGACTTGCGGAAGAGGGCATCAAGGTCGACGTATTGGTACTCAACGCAGCGATCACAGCTCCCTCAAAACCCATTCTGGAGCTTGGAACTGAGCATCTATGGTCCAGCGATTATAATATGAACGTGCGCGGGCAGCTAGATATGGCGGAGAGATTTTATAAACAGGAACACGATAAGACGAAGGTAAGCCACTTTTTACAACCCAAACGGCGGGTCAAGAAGCTACGTTAACCCTTTAAAAATAACAGTATCTCGTCCACGTCTCGACGATATCGATCCATAATTGGGCGGCGAGTTCCTCGGCGGGTTATACAATAGGTATGTGTTCCATAAACCCTTTCTAACATAATCGATCCCTGACTGACATTTTTGTAGTACGTAACTCAAGCTTTTCTATTCTCCTCATTTTAGGCTCGATCAGTGCCGATGAAAGCCCATGAGGCCTTCATATATGAAGGAATATGATACTAACGAAAATGCTTGTTTGAATTAGACCAAGAATGCGTTTGCGATAGCATTACAGCACGCAGCAGAGGATATCCCGCCTGAGAAGATGCAGGTCCTGCTCTTCCACCCAGGCGGACATTACACAGACACTGCACGGAGTGCAGGTTACCCCGAAGATTTTATGCCATGGGATGATAGTATGCTACACCTCCCAGATCTATGTTCAATCCCTTGCTTGCATCCATGGCTAACATAACCTCGTACCACAGTTAACCTCCCAGGTCACTTTGCTGTCTGGGCTGCTTCTCCTGAGGCCTCATTTTTACACGGTCGATTCGTGTGGGCAGCTTGGGACGTAGATGAGATGAAGAGCGGAGACCTGAGAAAACGTATCGATGAGGAGAAGGCGTTCTTAAAGGTCGGCGTTAATGGCTTGTGATGAAATCGGATGCAGGATACCAATCGTGATAATGAAGTCAACCTCACCCCTTAGCCCTAATCCAGCTGATTAGGGTATGAGTACCATTCAACAACGCTCATCGTCCATCAGACCATCAATACAGGTATATAACGCGTCTAATCGTTAATTGGAAATTTCATTCATCTTCCTTCAGTAATAGGACCCTATCTACCTACCTAGATACTTTTGCCACCCAACCCGTACATACAATTTAAGAGTAGGAGACATCATACAATTTCCCGTCATCAAATATATCTCAAAAATCCATATACACATTAGATATTATCCACAAACACATCATACACATCTTACCATCCATCCACAATCGTCGCGTAAACATGCATACCGTTATGGGGTCTAGCAGTGATGCCACCCTTAATAACAATCTTCCTTTCATCAATCTCTTCCTTATTCTTCAGCGCGAACTCGAACCGACCAGCCCAAGTCGCAAGAAGGCACGCGAATTCTGCTCTTGCAAAAGCTAGACCGATGCAACTCCTAGGACCGTGGAGGAAAGTCAAGAATGCGTAATTACTTGATGCACCACCACTAGCACCTCTCTTGTCATCGGGACCCTTGGGCATCCATCGGTCGGGGTTGAACTCGTGGGCATCGGGTCCCCAGAGGTTCGGGTCGAAGTTGGTGGCCCATGGAGATAGCATAATCGATGTTCCTTTAGGTACTTTCTGCCCTAATATTTCCGTGTCGACAGCGGCTTCTCGCCGCGTGAGGGGAACTGGAGCGTAGTAGCGTAGGACTTCGTTACAGACGGCGTTGAGGTAGGGCATGTGGTCGATTTCTAGACTCGTGACTTCTTGGTCTGAGTCAATAGGGGGCAAGCGCTCGCGGATTTCGGCGCGTAGTCGTTTTTGGATATCAGGGTACTTGCTGAGTAGGTATATCGCCCATGTCATTGCGCTGGCAGTCGTCTCATGGCCGGCGGCTAGGAAAGTCATGAGTTGATCGACGAGGTTGTCTTCCGTGAAGACACCCGACTCCAGGGCTACGGCAAGAATATCACGGTCCGTCAACTCCTTGCGAGATAACTTGTCCTTCTTTTCCCGAATCAGATCCCGACATATATTTCGAATAGTCTGTGCCGCGGCGTTGATGTCATGATTGCGCTGAACAGGAATTCGACCAATTAGCCAGTCTGGGAGGAATACAGCCAGCATTTGCAGCATCTGGCCTTGTCTGGTGGGCTTGAAAACTCGTCTGTATGTTTGGTTAAGCTCGGTGTCTGGATGTTGAATAGCACCGAAATCCCGCCCAAGTCCAGATGATCCAATAATATCTAACGTTACGCGAGATGCCCAATTCCCGACGTCGATAACTGCGGTCTTGTTTGCCTTCTCTGGGTCTTGGACGGATCCTTCACTTTGTGTGTCGGCGATAATTTGCTTCGACATAGCCTGGACGACCTCACGACCCTTTCGCCAAAACCCGGGATAAAGATCCTTCACATGTCGAAACGCGAAGGCGGGCATGAGACCCTTGCGCTGGAATTTATGTTCGTCGCCCTCGGCTAGTAGTATTCCTACACCCAGAAGACGGCTAAGTCCAAAGCGAATCGAATATGGCTTAACGAACTCATAATTCTTCGTAACTAGAACCTCTGCTAGAGCTTTTGGCCCAGTAATAAGTAGACGTTCTTCGTTGAAGCCAGCCAGATAGCGAATGATGCCATCGTTTGGAATAGTGGCGATCCTTTAACACCCTATTAGCAGGACGACAATAGATAATACCGTAGTATGGACACCTACCATTTTCTTTGGGGAATGCCTGTGGGGTATTTTTGTATTGTAGGCAATTGTCCCATAAGCCAAGAGTTACCTGTTGGTTCTGGTAGACCACGCAACGGGGAGAAGAACTTAGGGTATAATATCACTGCCCAGACAGCGTAGAAAAAAGTCTGTAAACTCCATAAAGAGAAAAATGTGCTCAGTAATGATTTGTTCCATTGTGGCCAACGAGATACGATGAGAAATGCCGAAACAAGAGATACGGCGATAATGGATCGCCAAGGGTACGCCATCGTTGAATGTAGTTGTAATGTTTGGTTGCTATGTTGTTTTAAAGGTAGAATCGGGACGCAGCTATATATCAAGATATGTTCAACTTTAGATTGTAGGTTCTTATTAGAGGAAACGGATAAGGAGTGTGCCGAACCAGACAGGCATGCACTGCCGAAGTCGATCCAAGGGGGGTCCAAACCGCAACTAGAAAGAATAACCACGGTTGATAATGTTTCAGGTAATAGTCGAGATATATACCCGTTTAGGTAACTGGCTTGGATCCACGGAATCGACTATAAAAGAATAGAGAAGAAAAGAGAAGGCATTTAAAAAGCTAATAGGACTTTAGCATAACGATTCTTGTGGTATAGTATATACGTTGGACAAATTAAATAGTGGGTTAATTCAGCTGGTATGGTTTCAGATGGTGAATCAACGGGGAGTGCGGAGTTTTTGTAAATGACCGTTTGAGTCTAGCAGGTCTAGTTGTCATGACTTCGTAGCCTTGGGCGGAGAGAACTATAACTAGAAGTCTCCGAAGCCTGTGAAAATGCCAACATGGCCAATTTATCTTTTGACCTACGTGCAGTTACGTTCATAGTATGGTAGACAGCGATGTGATTACTGTAAAAGATCTATCCGATCTATTGGGTAACGGGATGAAGCGAATCCGGGCGCGAATGCGAAGGACGGTTCGGACTCTTGACCCACCACCCACATAAATAGTCCCTGATACATGTGTGCGGGTGAACTTACAGGGGCCTTTGACTCGACTTGACCTCTTCTAGAAGAATAGACAAAGAAACGTGAGAATTTCTATACGATAGATCCAAGGTCACTGTCGATATTCATTGGACGCGTAAGGTGCCTCGGCAGTATTTAAAATCTTCATTCGTCTATTCGTTTATTCTTATGGTCATGCCAACATCGGAAGGATTATGTATGGTAGAAACCATCACCTATGACGCGGGAAGTTTCGTAGGCTTCGCAAAGCGTAAAATGCCAGCCTATCTGGTACATAATGATCGAAGGATCTTCCAGCTAGACCCACAATGCACAGCCGGATAGATTTTCTGGCTGAGATTTGCGTGATTAAGGGCCTAGACGGCATTTAGTATATCCTTGATTAGTCGATTGGATGATCTAAGTCAACCTCGCACTCGCTAACTTTGTCATCATGATTTGTATGCTTGATCAGGCTAGATATATGATGAGATGGAATAACTTATTACATCTGCGCGGAGGGATTAGTCGTTCGTGGCGGCGCGGGTTAGAGACAAATAGCCCGATACGGTGGGATTGAAGACGAAGTCCATGCTCAATTCGGCTTGATTCAAAGCTATCATTACCATGTGTCTAGCTTGTATGGCTGGCTTGTCCTTATAAGCCCGTGCCCGTGCCCCGCCGGTTTGCCGAAAAGTCCTTCTATATTACACATTAGCAAGGATACTATCCAAGGACGGGAATGTTTATGATTGGATGCCCAGATGTGGCAGATAAAAATCTCTAGTGAGATTCGCACCCTCGCATTTTATCCCCACCAACGTCAAATACCTGACTACCAGCATGCCATATACGGTTATATGTACGCTATTTATGTACTATGTATCGGTCTCGGAGCCTATCAAATATCAGCAATTATCAACAGTTTCGAAATAGTACTGGTACTTCATCACAACATCGAATGGCTATTCACATGGAGTATCGTATACATAAATATAGAAACCCATAAAGACATCATATCAGACACTCTATGAAGTGTAACCTTTTTAAAAAAAGATCATCTGAATTTCCATCCAAGATAGCTTCAAGTTATGAAAAGATGTATAAGTGAAACAATCAAACGCCCGGCTGCTTTAGATCCTCTTACGCGATTTGTGGGAGCAATAGACAAATTCCTGTTTTAACACGCTTATTGGCCGCGGATTAGTAACGATGCAAGCCGCCGACATATTTCCATCCACAAAGCCCCCTCTGTATTCATGCAGCTTTCCGAGTACAACTGGAAGATTTCATGATTTTATGTAGGACAAAGGTAGATCTTCATTTCCACACTCTTAGCTAAGCCATCCGCAAATAAGAAAAAAAGATGGCATCACCGTTAGCAAAAATCGGTATAATCTCCATCGGAGATATGGGAGTGGGCATCGCCAAGTTGCTCGTCGCCAATGGATTCTCAGTTGCGACCAACTGCAAGGGGCGCAGGTCAGTCAACCAGTTAAATTAAAGATTTGCATGCCCTCCCCTGAGTAGATCCCCGTACCTATTCGTCCGATATTCATCGTCGTATCGTATTACTCAAAACATACTGCTTAAAATATCAATAGCAATGACACCATCGAACGAGCCAAGGGCGCACGGGTCGAGCTCCTAAAATCAGACGAGGATCTTACGCAATCATGCTCGGTAATCCTCTCCGTAGTCCCACCCCGCGACGCCGTCGCCACCGCTCAACGCATCGTCGACGCGCTCACAGGCCCACTGCGGCGGACTTCAGACTCCCCGCTGTACTTCGCAGACCTAAACGCCGTCGCGCCATCCAGCGTAAAGAACATCGCCTCGCTATTCAGTAGCGTTAAATCCCTATCCTCAACCGTGCGCTTCATCGACGGATGCATCCTCGGCGGACCCCCGTCTGCAAAACCAGACGGTGAATGGTACCTCCCGAGCATCCCAACCTCGGGTCCGTACAAGCTCTCCGACATCCCAGATTTCGGCCCCAAGCTCTTTGACACGCTGAACATGCGACATGTATCCCCGGACATCGGCGGGGCTAGTGGGTTAAAAATGTGTTTCGCGAGTTTTAGCAAGGGGTTTACGTCGCTTGCCATTCAATCCTTTACCACCGCACAGCGACTCGGTATTCTCCCTGTTCTTAAATCCGAGTTGCAGGAGATGTTACCAGTGCACTACAAGCTCGCCGAGAAGGGCGTCACTGGTATGCCACCAAAAGCCTACCGGTGGGTTGGCGAGATGGAAGAAATCGCCAGCACGTTATCGGAAGAAGGCGGGTTTGCGCCGGATTCGTTTACGGGTGCGGCGAAGGTGTATCGTACCGTAGCGGATGATACGGCGTTAGGACAGGAGAAGATCGGGAAGAGGAAGAGGGGAACTACGGTTGATGATGTGGCGGCGGCCATGGTGGAGGGCATGCAGACGAAGCGGAAGAAGAATGATTAGAAGTTAAAGCATTGAAGATAACATTTACGAAGTTGATAAAGACACGTTCATATATCATATATCTAGATATTAGAGCTAGATACGAAGGTTCCATCATCCAACAGCTAACGCATGATGGTCAGCAGTGGCCCTCAACAGTGCTGGCGTAAAGAAGACGAGATATACACTTCGGGTGCAATATGGTGTTTCATATTCTCTCAATAGATCAACCTTCAATAAGGGATAAAAAATTCGGCCCCAAACTACCTGTTCATCCCCTTTCGACTTGCGGAAGTCGGATAAACTAGCAGACAAGTTCACATATCACCAGTATATTACCAAAAACACAAACCCATTCGGACCGAAATTCACTCTTATTGCCCTCAAGAACGCCCTATTTTATCTAGCAACAAAAGCTATGATGCATGCCTAGATGCTATGTATCAGATATCCCCTTTTCAATGGCCCGAAATTACTCAATCATATCAACATCATCGCCAGCAGGAGCACTAACACTCGCCTCTCCGACATCGTTTCCACCACTCGGGTTGAAATAATCAGCCATCTCAGCATCTAGCTCCTCTTGAGTCTTCTTAGGTCGTCCATCTCGACCAACCTTGTCTCGTCCGTTCGTATTCGGGGTATTGTCATCGCGGTCACGCTCGCGTCGAGCACCGGGTCGCCTTCCACCACGTCGACGAGGTCGCGGGCTACGCGATCGACTACGGGTTCCTGGGACGTAGCGGTCAATACCCCTGTCTCGGTCCATATCACGTCGAGGTGACAGAGAGCGGGGTCGAGTGATACGCTCAGCTAGAGGTCGACCCGGCATGTGAGCTGTGTCGAAAGGGTTGCGTCTAGGTGCTGAGTTCACGATGGACAGGCGGATTGGTTGGCCTATGACGAGCAAAGTTAATTTGTGCTGTTGCATTATTACATCATATAGGTTCGACACTCACCTCTAGCATTAGCACCATCGTATTGACTGATTGCCTCTTGCGCGTCGTCACGACTCTCGTAGGTGACGAAAGCAATGCCTTCGGACCGCCCAGCGCGGTCGTACAACAGCTCGAGCTTAACAACCGGTGCAATCTTATCGAATAGGCCCTATGAGATGGTTAATTTCACCTCATTGCGAAAAGGTATATTTTCTCTTACGTTGAGATCGCCTTCGGTGAGTTCGTAGTGTAGGTTCTCTACCTTGATCTTGGTTCCACGAGCATCTCTGTCTCTGCCATCGCTGTTAGAAAGATATCATCTTGGAAGGATAAGGTCGCACGAACTGGAATCGGTCTGGAGAGGGTCGCCGTCTTGGTCCTCGTTGACGGTTGCGCGCTGTGGCAATGTTAATCGCCGTTGTTTCGTTCATAAAGTGTAATTGTTTGGCTTACAACTGGAATCATCGAACTTATCGTGAACCCATTCTCTAAATGACTGTCAGCCTTGGTCGCAATGTATGGATGGAAGTTGGCGGTCAACTTACGAATCCAAGTTTCGGGAGTCATCTCTGGCAGACTGTCTCGCAGAAACGAGAGTGCTAGTTAGCGGCTAATCACTAAACAAATATATCACCACCGATCGAAGTCCGAGGCATCAAGCGCAAGTCGATTACTTGGCGAATCACTCGAGGCATAAGGGGGTGGTCGAGGGAGAGGAAGAATCCACCTATAGATAATAATAATAAAAATGGTGAGTTCATTCGTCAATGTGTATTGTATAAGAAATACTGAAATAAATCCATACCTTTCTAACACCGTCGCGGGGGTAAGAATCGCGTTCTCGAGGTCGTCCTCCACCACCTCCTCGGCGAGGAGGTCTAGAGCCTCGCTTTCTCTGCTGCAACCGATGTTAGTACGTATTCAATTCAAGCCAAATTACTGGTTAAGGTGATAATAAATCTTTAAATGTGCGCAAATTCAAATCAATTAAAATGCTTACCTGGGATTCAGCAACGATCTCGTCAAGACTGCGGTCCATCTTGATTTTGTTACGGATGGATAAAGATGTAGGTGTAGGTTCAGAGTATGTAATTGTTACATCCAATGTATTGACAAGAAAGACGCGGCGCGGCTTTAGCTCTGAGAGATACTAGCGGGTGGGACCAGTTGTCAGTCAGCTACCTAATAAAAGTGGATTATGTACCTAGGTGGAAGGTATAAAAATCACCAGGGCTGCGATCCTATATTTAGCTTAAGGTTATAGCGTTGTATGCCCTGTAATTATAGCGCACCTAAATAAGAAAAGGGCACAACGCCCCTTGCATCATTGAAACAGCTGGTTGGTGGTTTGTTGGCACCTGGCCTCATCCCTATATACAAAGTACACAATACGCCGTAAATAAAGCACAAAATATATAGATCCGTTTGTCCACTTGAGCTGAACTATGCATCTACTTCTTCTCTCATGTCTCTGCTGTGACCCAACCTTATATCACTGAGGTACTATATAAACCCACCGGCACAGGCTATGAAACGTGTATTTTGGCTCATGTCCACATCCGTCGCGTGTACAACTCACAAACCAATGGCTTTCGACTATATTGTTGCCGGCGGAGGCACGGCAGGACTCGTCATTGCTAACCGGTTGTCAGAAAACCCCAGCATCACGGTCGCGGTCGTTGAACCCGGCAAAGACGTTCGCGATGATGCCGGTGTTCTAGACGTAGATTTGGCTGGTGTCACTTACAGTCCAACGCTTGACTGGAACTTCAAGTCCACCGTCCAATCTCAGCTTGGGAACAGGGCCATTGACCATCACGCGGGCAAGGCTCTCGGCGGCACCACAGTCATTAATGGTATGTATACCTGTGAATTCGATAGTTTTGGTCGCCAACGCGTCCCGTCTAGGAATGTACTACATCCGAGGAGATCGAGACAATTACGATGCCTGGGAACATCTCGGTAACCCAGGATGGAATTGGAACGCGCTACTACCATACTTCATTCGCTCAGAGAAGTTCGCGGTCCCAACGGACGCTCAAATCAAAGCCGGGATGAGTTATATTCCACGATATCATGGGGAAGAGGGTCTCCTCAAGACCGGACACCCTTATCAAGTGGAGAATGGCTCTTTCCACAGGTCGGCCAAGGAGACTTGCGAATCTTTAGGGTTCGCCCTTAATCAGGATATGAATAGCGGAGAGACTCGCGGTTTCGGTGCATACCCACAGACCCTAGATCGAGACGCAAATGTTCGAGAAAGCGCTGCTCGTGCCTACTATGAACCGATCGACAGCAGGCCGAATCTGCATGTCATTCAAGGAACTGTGAAGAGGATTACCCTCAGTAGCAGTGCGAGCGGCGAACTCGTTGCCACCGGAGTCGAGTACACGGATGACAATGATAACTTGGCCTCCGTAACGGCTAAAAAAGAGGTGATCCTATCCGCGGGAACATACGTGTCGCCCCTCATACTCGAGGCCTCGGGAATTGGCAATCCTAAGTACTGATGGAGACCTACCTATTTGAGAATGTTGTACTGACATGATATTCCAGCGTTCTGGCCCGTAATAACATCCAGACCAAGCTTGACCTTCCGGGAGTTGGCGAGGGCTTTCAAGACCAACCTCTGTGGGTACTTATGTTCCAAGCCTCAACCAAACTCACTGGTCACGTCCCCTTTGCGGCTTTCGCTACTGCTCAGGATATATTCGGCGCCGACACCGATGCCGTGGCCGCTGCTACCAAGGAGAAAATTGCATCTTGGTCGGAAGCGATAGCGAAGAGGCTCAATGGAGGTGTGTCTGCCAATGCGTTAGAGAAAAGATTCCGAGTTCAGCATGACGTTATCTTCGACAAGCAAGCTAGCATGACAGAATTTGAATTCTTCTCGTTGGGCAACGTAACTGGCATCGTCTTCTCGCCTACGTTACCTTTTTCCTGGGGCAGCGTTCATCTCGACGGTACCGGACAGACAGATAGCCCAGCAATAGATCCTAACTTCTTATCTATTGATTTCGACACGCAGACTGCGCTTAAAGTCGGCCGTATAGCGCGCAGGATGTGGTCTACCAAACCGTTGAGCGAGCTTGCGGGCGATCTTACTGTCCCTGGAGATACAGTGCTACCGGAAAACGCGACGGACGCGGAATGGACGGAGTTTCTAACTAGCTCTTGTGAGTCGTAGAGCCCCTAACAACCTACCTTCGTAATTATTGGAAATGCTTGGTGCTGATAATGTTGTGAAGGTGTCCCGGCGTTCCACTGTATTGGAACATGTGCCATGCTACCTCGAGAGCTGGGAGGCGTTGTTGATCCAACACTAAAGGTCTATGGAACGACAAATGTGCGGGTCGTTGATGCTTCGGTCATACCACATCTGATGAGCGGTCACCCAAGTGCTGCGGTATATGCGCTGGCGGAGCGGGCTGCTGATCTGATCAAGGAGTCCCTTTCCGTCGGGAGTCAAGATGAAAGCAGGTAGGTACATATGTATCTAGGCTGCCAATCAAGCAAACTACAACTTCTTGGGATATTTTTGAGGGGCATGTTTTGGAAATGAAATGGTTTTCTTCCTTCAAAAATTTGGAGCTTGATAAGGAATAGTTTTACCCCGCACTATGTTACACGAATGGTGGGGTTGAATCGGCCAGCTCCCATTTGGCGGAACCTTAAAGCTGGATACTTTATGGCTTAGGTGATTACCACGAAGCGTCATAAGTAAACCAAAATTTATTCGTAACCACACTGTGCTTCAATTATACAATGTCGTATGTCTCACTTCTGGGTGGGGGTCATATTCTTCGTCGCTATTAGTCAAGCTCTTCAAATTCGGGACTTGTCTTGATTATTGCCATATATCGGGTTTTATGTTAACTATAACACGAATGAGGCTCTAGGAAAGTCCACTTTCGTAGTAAATGCCTGGGTTTGCTTGGTATTCCTGTTGCTAACGTCTACCATATGTGGTAATGACGTAGCCTTTAGGAACACCCCAGCCTTGGATACGATACCGAAGTGGTCGTCAATTATCTCGATATGGTCTGTTGGACCTGAGTAATTAAGAACTTGGTCATTGTCTGAGGTAACACCGACAACTGTTGTTGGATTCATCTGTTGGCTTTCCCTTATTTCTTTCTCTGTACAATGCGGTTCAATACAAAACATAAGATATGAACCTGGAGTCACGAGACCTTCAGAGGAATCAGGACTATTGCGTTCATGGAATGCCTTGATGAACATTTCAACGTCATCCTGGCCTGGTAGAGAGTAGTTCGTCTCGGGATCAAGGGAAAGTAATCCCTGTTTGAGGCCCCAGCCTCCCCCACCGCTGACTAGATATATCTGTTAGATTAGGTAGATATCCTAGACGAGATCATGACTTACGAATCTTGTGTAACCGACATCCGGAGGACATTAATTCGGAAAACATATTCATAGTTTCGACAGATAGCTCTGCTTCTGATCCTGACGATTCTGGCTTGAATACTTTTATATCACCGAGATTATACCTTTCCACGACATGGGAAGGTATAACCAAACACCACACTCCAATAGGACCAGGCGAAAAATCAGGGTTCCTCTGGGATCTAGCATCAAATATCTTCGGTATAAGACCCTCTAGTTCTTTTGATGCGGGCGCGGTGGAGCCATTAACTTCGACTTGTCGAACAATATTCCCCAAGCCAGCGACAATTTTCCGTGGAGGAGTTAATGGTAGCAGCGGAAGGAAGGGATATGTGTGACCCGCAGACGTGGCGTGAGCACGTATTCTTTGGGTTCGTTTCTCTTGTATTGAGGTGTGCACCATGGACATATCGTGACTAGCTTGCCATTTGCTGGCAAATAGAGTAGATCGTCTTCCATTCTGAAAAACTGTATTTGCTAATGGGAAGGTAATCTCAAGTGGTCTGGTATCTCCAGGTAGGGGGGTTGATTGGAATGAAACGGATGATTCCCTATCCTCGTCAACATTTGACCCGAATTCGTCTTGATCCCAGAGTCCAGGAAGAATATCGTTCGATGAGCCATATAAAATCGAGAACCCTGGCTCTGGTTGGCCTAATAATCGTTTCGGGGCAAGTCCATCTGTCACCGCGCATAAGACATTGACGTCTTGGGAATTACTTTCCCCGGCGATATTTGATTTGAAGAGAGCTCTGAGAACATTAGACATGAAGGTTTCATCTCTTAACCAACTTGCGAAGTCCTGAGAAGCAAATATAGCCGCTCCATGACCTGAAATACTCGTATGAACATATTTCTTAGGCCGATCGGCAAGGTGCCTTTCTAAATTTTTGATAACCAATTCCTACGTCGGTGTTAGCCATCGCTAAAGAAGAGTTTGTACGACGTATTCACTTTTGAAGTTTTGCTCGATGAGACGATACTGATTTTTTCTGTTGCTATAGCTTGGTTTCCAATTTGTCTTGTAAACAAGCCAAAATTCCTAGCTATAACATGACGCCTAGGTATGTAAGGTCTCATGACGTTCAACCCCACGACGCTGAAGACTTGGGTGGTTACGAGATGCAAGTTGAATAATCTCGACGGACACTGTACGCATTGTATCTTATTGTATTGACCAATCAAAATCGATTGCCATCAATATCGATAAGCCATGGCTGATGTCTATCGTCATCATATTTCAAGGTTGTTCCCTTCATCTAAAAATAATTCTTTAACATTCGCAACAACATATTTATTCTTTTCAAATTTCTATAAAAATGATATGATTGGTAAGTGATTAATTGGTTTAACATATTACCTGGTATGAAATCGATTTAAATAAATAAGCGAGCCGTTTCAAAGATAGCTTTAAAAAGGTCTATGTCAGAATTGCTTTTTCCTTTAAAACATAAAGGAATTAACTTCCACCCCCACCGCTTCTTGTCCAATAGCTATGGGCCCCTTGCCTCCACCTAAGACAATAATACTCTTGGACCAGCGCCTAGTTTCAAGCCATGACCCTACATAAGTGATAAGACGCCTAGATGGCGGCGTCGTCATCGTAATTTTTAAATTGCCTCGGTAGGACAGTTCCGTACCTAACTCATTATCACAATGGCGGATCTTACCATACGCAACCTTACATCCACTCCGCTGGAGCTGAAGCTCGTGGAACGGTTTGAAGGCCAACCCACATCCGGCCGCTCGACACCGAGGAGTCACATCGGTAAGATCACCGGGCTTTTCAACTCTTCCTCTGTCGCACCGAATGTCCGCATCCAGGGCGATGCGAGGGACCGTCGCGATGTATCCTTTACCATGGGTCCTTTTGAAACTCGCGGTACCGATGTTCGCACAGCGGATCCCGGCCGGGAGGTTATCCGCCTGACTTTCGAATCCGAGGGGCATCGGTACCAAGTCGACGTACCTAGTTCTTCGCAGCGCAGCACGGTCATGACGAAGCTGGATAATGGTCCGAACGAATACACGACTATCTACGTTCAAAGTGGTAGTTGTCTCAGCATTTTCAGCTCCGCCAACCTACCAAGCTGGATGCGCGAACTGCGCGACGAGTATCCCCTATCAGCACTGTCTATACCTGGCACACACAACAGCCCAACATGTCATGTCGCACTACCCTCAGTCCGATGTCAGGCGGTGAACGTGCGAGAGCAATTAGAGAACGGAGTGCGATTTTTCGACATCCGGGTGAATGTTAACTCCGACTCTTCGGAGTTGGCGCTCGTGCACAGTGCATTCCCGATCTCGCTCACGGGTACTAAGTACTTCAAGGATATGCTTGATGTTATCTATTCATTCTTAGATGCCAACCCATCTGAGACGCTTATTATGAGTGTAAAACGTGAGGGGACTGGTAAAGGCACCGATCACCAATTATCTAAGATTCTAAAGGATCGTTATTATGAGGATGGAAGACGATGGTATACGGAGCCGCGGATTCCGAGGATTGGCGAGGCACGAGGGAAAATTGTGCTGCTGCGCCGACATGCGAATGACCCTAGTTTGAATAGTGAATGGGGTGGTCGGGGATGGGGGCTTGATGGTAGCGTCTGGCCGGATAACTGCGAAGATGGGTTAGTTGGGAGTGGCATTGCCCGCGTGCAAGACTTTTACGAAATTGACCAGAGCCACAACATTCAGAAGAAAATCGATTTAGCACGTGGTCATCTAGAAAGGGCAGCCGAACCGGTGTGCATCCTCCCGGGCGCGGAGGGACACAAAGACGGAGCACCACCGCAGCCGTTCTTCATTAACTTCTTAAGTGCTAGCAATTTTTTCAATACCAATTGCTGGCCCGAGAAGATAGCGGCGAAGGCAAACCCGGCTATCATTGAGTATCTATGTTTACGGCATGGAGAAGATGGTAAGGGGCCAGCTGGGTTGAAGCTGGGCGATGGGAGCACCGGAGTTGTGGTTACGGATTGGGTAGGACAAGATGGTGATTGGGATCTGATTAGATGCATTGTGGGTTGGAATGCGAGGTTAAAGCTGAAGCAATAAATGGTTCCGGTTTGTCTTGGATACACCAGACTAGAATACGGTATATCAGTAGAGTAGATCTGATTGATAAGGACTCCTGAAAAGAAAACATAGAATCGTATTGGTATCACAAAATTTAAATTAATCTCAAGAAATCTTTCGTTGAGTATATGTACTACATCATTCCATGCCTTGCATCGTGAAATCGACGAATTTTGGTCCCGGATGTATCGGATATAATCCATAGCAAACCGATGATCTCATCTCTACATTAGGATGGTGATACTCGAAACATCCCGAAAAGAAAGGGAAGAACTGGGATCAAATCGCGATGTTACATTCATAGCCCTAGAAATGAGGCCTGTTTGGTGTCTCCAATCTTCGATTCTGAATGCATACATGTACTGGTATCCAATTAAATTCCTTTATGAAATCTCATTTAATGATTCTGTCCAATGAATAGCACATGCTCAGGTATTACGTCATCCCGATACTTTAATGATGAGCTGTAAGCCCCACTGCAACTTAAAAAGAGGTCTCCAAAATAATTCAGCTACGGTCTCCTGGGATTTCCTTCTCCCATCCAGCACCTAATCCAGTAGCCTAGTTGGTCTATTTGCGAGATGGAAGTCTTGTATGACTTGGCCTTACAAACATAGTACCTTTTCATTACACTACCTACTTTGAACTGTTTTATTTTAAATGGGTTAAACTGGATCTATTCTCTAAGAAATTTGTAATGCTGCCCACTAAGTTCATCAAACTCGGCCCGTTTTCTTTCATTCGTTTCTTGTCGCATTCCGCATACCGAGGCTGCCGAGGCTTGTCTTCCTACACATGTATCTACACTACCTGACATAATAGACTTCGCGCCGGCACGACCAACGCAAACCTTAACATCTTAGTGAACGGATACGGGAAGCTTAGTGAGAACTCTAAAATACATGCCACGATAGAGTTTAGTCTTCAATCCCTAAAAGGACGCGGAAGAAGGCTTGTTTATATTTCTCTCTGTTGTTTTATTATTAGGTATGTTCTATCTCGAGTTTAGTTAGGATCAGGAACGAAATATCAATTTTGGACATTTATCAACTATGGCCGATAATATGAGTGGGAGCCCTCGAGGATCCAAGCTACCTCGCATGGGACAGAAACGTCATCAAGACGAGTCGCAAACAGCTGATCCTGATTCTCAACCAGGTCACCGAAATATTGGCCTGTCGTACAACCCTACCCACGATTTTAGTCCTTCGCGCAACGGCGACCGCAAACGCGAAACAACTGAGGCCTTATCCAAGGTGAACCAGGAGAGCAGCGACTTATGTGCTCCTCAAACTACGCCCCGAACACCTAGATCTATAGCCCCAAAAGCGCGTACGTCACGAACAAACAGCGACAATCACTATCAATCACCGCCTCAAGATAGCCCGATTTCGCCGTTTAGAGATTCAATTACTGCAGCACGAGTCGCATCCAACGGCCCGAATAATACCTCTCATCTTCCTAAGGCTCTAGTTTCTAGAACTAGTTCCTCGCGACAGGTTTTCAAACGGAAAGATTCTAGGCCGAAGGAGGTTCCCAAAATGGCCGACGTTCCGGAAAGCGAGAAGTCGACGAGCGTGGAGTCGGACTTGAAGGGAAGCACCGAGACAGAACCAATTACAGCAAAGGCTGGACTAAATGGCAAGGCTGAGGTACAATCCGACAATGACGACAAATCTAAAAACGACCCAACAGATGGAGGTAACGGTGTCACTGTCAATGGTGTAGGGAATACTGCAGAGACGGACAAGACAGAAGATGCTCCCGGCCCAGATGGTATCAGTTACGCCTCTGCTCTTAAGTCTGGTTTGGATGATCAAGATACGGATACCTCGCCCACCGTGAATGGCACCAATCCACATGATGACGATGACTCATATCCTGAATTGGACGATCTTACACTAGACGAGGTTCATCCACCCCCCAAGCCAAACCTGGACGGTAGAATTCGATGGGCTCCATGGAACGTCCCCCTAAAACGCAGGTTGCAAACACTTGTGGTGTTGATGCATTGCATGTGTATAGTTTTGACGGTCTCTGTCTTTTTTGCTTTGTGTGCTAACCCTTTCGCCTGGCCATTACTGCTCATATATCTCCTACATGTATTGAGCTCCAAGGCGGCCACCGACGGGTCACTGAAATATCGCTCGGAATGGTTTCGCAAGAGCTATATGTGGCATCTCTTTGCAGGCTACTTCCCAGCCAGGCTTCACAAAACCCATGATCTACCCCCTACACGGAAGTATATCTTCGGTTATCACCCTCATGGTATCATTTCCCACGGCGCCTGGGCTGCTTTCGCAACCGATGCTCTAGGATTCTCCGAGAAGTTCCCTGGTATCACAAACAGTCTACTGACCCTCGACTCAAACTTCCGTATTCCACTATATCGCGAATACGTACTTGCTGCTGGGGTGCGGTCAGTCTCAAAGGAGTCTATTGTCAACATCTTGACCAAAGGTGGGCCTAATGGAGAAGGTATGGGTCGCGGAGTTACCATTGTCGTTGGTGGTGCTCGAGAGTCCCTGGAGGCGCAACCTGGGCAGCTGCGTCTGATTCTAAAAGAACGCAAAGGCTTCGTCAAGATCGCGGTTAGAACCGGCGCCGATCTTGTACCTGTGCTGGCATTCGGCGAGAACAGCCTCTACGATCAATTACATCCTAAGGAGCATCCGATAGTACACAAGCTCCAGATGTTTGTCCTGAAAGTGTGGAAGTTCACCCTACCCTTCTTACACGGGCGGGGCATTTTCAACTATGACGTAGGCCTCATGCCATACCGTCGGCCGTTAAATATCGTGGTCGGGGCCCCCATTAAGGTCGCGCAAGCAAACGTCGTGGACCAAGCAGAAGTCAACCGGCTTCATGATCTATACGTCGCCGAGCTCCAAAAATTGTGGGATCGATACAAGGACGATTTCGCTCCCGACAGAAAGGAGGAGTTACAAATATTGTCTTAAATTAATGGGGGCATGGGTTATTCAAAAGGCTTTTGGTGTATTCATACGAGAATTATTAGAGGGTAAACACTTATTGGAGGTGGTGCTCACTTCGGTGAACTGAGCAAGGCGCACATAGGATAATTACTTTCGTTTGTTCAATTTGTCTAGCGGTGTATAATAAGCGGCATGAATCTATAATACACAGCGATACCAGTATCATACACACACCTACACTACACCGACTTGTAGAAATGCATCGTCAGAGGTTGACCCGCAATATACGAAAAGTCGTAAATCGCAAAATATCCGGTTCGAAGACCATTTTTATGGATCGTCCTCGAACCACGTAGTTCAGGACCCAAAATAAGGGGAGGCATTAGGACACTCTCCAAGATTGTATTAGGAATGCGTAGCTTATGCAAGTCACAATTTGTGATTAGCGATCTATGCCTTGTTTTCTGGAGCATCACGGATTTAGCGTTCATCCCGATTGTTCATAGTTGTCCAAGATTTTCTCGCGATCAAGATCGTGCGTGCGCACAGGATTTTTGATTTTCTGCCAGCTGAAGGGCTAGGAATCTTTACGCGGATTGGAGGTTTGGTACATCCCCGGATCTGCTTGGCACTTGCTGCCCCCACAAGAAAGGTAGCTCTAAGCACGTAGCTAAAATGCTAAGGTAGGGGAGGGGGAAGTGTTGTTCTTTTCCCCGAACTTGAAAAAAATAAGTGTACGAAAAATCACGATCTCCAAGTCGCGACGGTGAGGAGAAGGTTGGAGGTCTAAGCGACGCTAGCTGGGAAGACCCCTTACTGATCGTCGCTTGGCGTGGTAGAAGACAAGGGGGAGTTTCTAGGACTTGCGAGAGGGAAATCTATTCATACTAAGGGGCTTAGGGGTTCATAGGATTCTGAGATTTTGATATCAAGCTTCTAGTTGAGTCGACGATGTTCTTTAGAGTATTAAATGATTATGTGCTTGACCTCTTGATGAGCATGACCGTCTTCTCTGAACAGCCTTGAATAAACGGATCCTTAACCCACCCGATGGACTTGAGTAAAACAACGCCAACGCAACAAAGTCTATTCGTGCCAGGAGCAGGACGGATAAAAAGTCCATAAGTCGATCTAGCCCTCGCTCCAGCGTCCAAGTCTGTCATAGTATTCGCAAGTATCTTCTAGAGTTCCTCAGTTAGATCTATAAGTCATACGAGCTGTAAATCTCTCGTCTGATATTAGGCCGGTTAAGAAAACCTTGGATGCATGATTCTGACGACCATGCACAGGCGGTTAAGCATGCATAGGAATCCACGCCGCCAACCATTGCTGATTCTCGTTCCTAATCCTGGGTGTCGTCTTGAATAATATAGAGTATCAATCCATAAATGTGAGATTGAAAGAGACCGACATGCTTTGACTACATCGTGTACTACTCCAGTGAGCCGTCCTTTGGGGATGGTACGATTCCGTCGTGGGGGGCATTTTGTCACCCCTCTTTAGAAATCGATGGGGGTTGCATCTCTGAGAAGTTCCTGCGAGCTGAAAAAAAAAATCGACGATGATATTCAAAGCTCGGAGTCTAAAGGAGAAGAAAACTGTACTAGTAGTCATCACTAATACAGCAATCGATGGGAAGTACGACGTATTTGCATTGTATTTTCATTGGTGAAATCGCGGAGTATACGGGATTCCTGGCTGTTGTAGCACTGTAACCTCCCATTTTGGAGTCATCGAATAGAACGGTACTACACCTATCACGAAATACTAAAGGGAATGTGTAGACATATTGAAGTCAAACTAATTGATTTCAGTCAGGATTAACATAAACAGATGAGTAGTAGGTATCTTACCTGGCATCGATAATGGATTCGTTTTTTTGATAAGAAAAGAAAATTGACACATACATCATTACAATAAATGGATGAGAAAAAGGAAATTGATATCTTGGTCTAGGATGTAGATGTGTAAATGTTCAATTGAAGATTTGAATGTTCTGTTGGAGGGGAAGATCTAAGCCTCAAGGGAACAGTACACATAGTGTGATAAGCACCGTGTACAATGCAGCTGGGAAAATGACCTTGGAAATCAATACGCAATACGCCCGGTATTTCGGTACTTAGGCACTGGTACCTTGGTACATGGGCATTATCCATCCACCACACATATTTCAAATTCAAGCAATCCCGAGGCTGTTGTGCATAACTCAACGCAGGGTCTGAGTTTAATTGTTTAATTGCTGATGGTTAATGATCCCGGTTAACCCAGTTATCCTGTTATGTATCCTACTACGTGCATGCATACGGTCTGACGGTTTAAACTGTAAACTGTAAAAAAGGAACATTGAAGGGAGATCCACTTCCTGCAACTTGCCAAACCCGCTACGTCCTGTACGTCCTGTACGTCCTGGCTACCTGCTACATCCTGCATCCTGACATCTAAAAACTGGTCAACTTTTTTCAACTCGGCTACCCTTCGTTTAGATATTGGTAATTGTCGTGTATTTGCTCAACAACGCCAAGGCTTCATCATATAGGGGTGCCCCATTCAAGTTTTATGTGTCCAAACTTGGCTCGACGCTAGGTAGAGTCGGTAGAGTGAGCTAGGCTATCGAAGGTCAGGCTAGGGATCGATCCCCAGGGGGCTCGAACATGATGCCTGCTTTTACTACTTCTATCTAGTCCCCTATCCTGTACACCACTCTGAACTTGTTATTACTTTTTTTGAAAAATATGCCTTCTCCTTTGTCTAACTATCCACCATCCCAAAGACGTTTATCCACTCTCTCTTCCCCTTCTTCTCGTCCCGCCACTTTATCTGTTAATAGCGTCTTGGTACCCAATTCTACGAATATCGATCTATCCAATCCTTCATCGGCATCGTCTGCGACTACCAGCTTTAAGGTAGACTGGTCGTCGGACGGTGCCAACCCTTCTTCTACCAACGCCGCAGCCCGCCGTCCCGAAGACATCGAGATGGATTCTATAGCCCCTACCGGTCATCGTCGCCGTCGAAGTACGCTCACCGCCAATCCGAACATACCTCAACCCTCCAATTCGCGAACTTCGCGACCGCGTTCTACCAGCATTAAGAGTCCTGGAGATCTGGAAGCCAAGATATCCGAAGAGGATCAGAGTCGGGACGCGTCAAGATCAGATGATAAGAGCGAAGGCGATTTGTCAGAAGAGGATCTACACGATGACGAAGAAACGGGTTTGACGAAAAAGGATAGGCGGAGGAAACAGGCTAAGCGACGACGAAATACTAGGCTAGACCAAAGGATCGCACGCGACAAAATTACGGACGAGGAACGGAAAGAGGCGGACCAGAATGTAGTCAAGAAGTTGGTTATCAACGCTGTTCTAATTGGGCTTTGGTACCTATTTTCACTTTCGATTTCTTTAGTAAGTTTTATACCCCGTTCCCTCTTTTTACTGCTATATCATGACTATGCGAGATTTCTCTTGCTAACGTATCTCTAACTTGCAGTACAATAAATGGATGTTCGATGCGGGCCAACTCAACTTTGCGTTTCCCTTATTCACCACCGCCATGCACATGCTCGTGCAATTTTCCCTTGCCGGTTTAGTACTATACTTCATACCTTCATTACGGCCTGGCAATTCGCAACACAATTCCGATGCGGGCCGATCGAGACACGAGGCTGAGCCTGAACGTCCGATTATGACCAAAATGTTTTATTTAACAAGAATAGGGCCGTGTGGTGCCGCGACTGGTTTGGATATCGGTTTAGGAAACACGTCCTTGAAATTCATTACGCTTACTTTTTATAGTAGGTCAACAAACTCTTGTGTGGGTTGTAATTCAAGCTAACATACCCGTAGCAATGTGTAAATCTTCATCCTTAGCTTTTGTGCTAATATTCGCTTTTCTCTTTCGACTCGAGTCCCCCACATGGAAATTGGTGGCTATTATCGCAACTATGACGGCAGGTGTAGTGATGATGGTTGCGGGCGAAGTCGAGTTCCAATTGGGAGGTTTCGTGCTCGTCATATCCGCCGCCTTTTTCTCTGGCTTCCGTTGGGGTCTCACACAGATCCTCCTACTACGTAACCCCGCTACTTCGAATCCGTTCTCCAGCATTTTCTTCCTGGCACCGGTCATGTTCCTCACTTTGATGGTTATTGCGGTACCAGTTGAAGGCTTCTTCGAATTAATCGAAGGTCTGAAAGAGTTGGGTAATGAATGGGGTGCTGTCAAGACTCCCCTCATCCTTCTCTTCCCGGGAACCATTGCGTTCTTGATGACGGCTAGTGAATTCGCTCTGTTACAGCGAAGCAGCGTCGTCACTCTTTCTATTGCTGGTATCTTTAAAGAAGTCGTGACTATTTCGGCCGCCGCGTTAGTTTTCGACGACAGACTTACGCCTATCAATATTTCTGGTCTGGTGGTGACTATCAGCGCCATTGCTGCTTACAATTGGATTAAGCTATCTAAGATGCGCAATGATGCTCGGATGGATGTTCATAATCGGACTTATCAACAGGCGCAGTCTGGTTCGTCGAGTGAAGTTGACCGTGGAAGTTCTTCCGACGAGGAAGAAACAGGGCTCCTTGCTCATGACGATGAAAGTGGTGCCGAAGATAATCTGCTCACGACCGACGGCGATATGATACCGAACCCAAGACCATCGAGCTCGACAGAACCCCACCGGACCGAGCGTTCTAGGGAAGACTGATTATCACGTTTTTATTTTCGTTTGTAAAGATTCGCCAACAAAGATAGAATCACGGCTTGTACATCTATATGGAATACGGCATACCTAGAGTCGGTGTCTATGGCAAGGCTGTGAATTTAAAGGAAAACGGGGCCAATGGAACGAATCATCCACCCGTTATCTACGAGACAGGAACCCAAGGCAGCATTAGGAGCATTAGCAAAAGGAACTTCGGGTCAGGAGGGAGGGTCCATACATATTTATCCGCCACTTAGGACAACCAATTCGATCCGATGGTGCGAGGAACCCAGATGCATAGCGTCTAGAATTTGAAACGGGAGAGAAGGAGTAGAGATAGGCCAGGTCAGTGAATTCCGGCCGAGACAGCAAAGAATAAGAGAACAAATAAGAAAGATACCCCAATTTGCAAATAGAAAAGATATTATATCTATCAGTTTGGAATAAAGCGTATGAGTGATATCAAATTGTGATGTATATTATAAAAATGTCTTATGTTTTTCCATTTGTGTAGGAAATCGGACAGGAGGCAGGTAGTAGGCTATCGTATAGAAGGATATGTAATAACAAGTTGCATTTCATAATCATCAAAGGCTTTTCTTCCATTATTATTTATTAATGGTATGCTTCGCAATGCTAAGACGACGCCTTCCAGTCTTATCTACATATATCCCAGACGCCTAGTACCCAAGTTGAGTACAATAGTACGAGGATCGCGTAGGTATAAACAAGATGCTTAGGGTATATACTCCATTCTCCCATAATCTAGACCCATGATCTTAACCTAGCAACTTCAATCCACCCTTTGTCTTTTGACCCGGCTTATACACGCCACCACCCACGGGTCCTAAATGAGGTTCGAAACTACCCTCACGTTTTCCATTTCCGTTTCCTGAACCGTTACCGCCGCGATTCTTATTTTTGTTCTTGTTGTTTTTGTTCCATCGGCCGTTATTGCGGTTATCTTTGGCGGTGGTGGGTTTGATCTCGGTGGTGCTCTTGCGCACGACGACGGGGTGGCTTTGGATGTATTTGCCGTTCATTTCCTTGGCTGCTTGGAAGAATTCGTCGGGGTCGCTGAAGGATACGAAACCGTAGCCGCGCGATTTGGATGTGACTTTGTCGCGGATGACGCGGGCTTTTTGTAGAGACTTCCATTGGGAGAATGCTTTGTATAGAGATTCATCTGTCGTCTCGCCTGCTAGGTTACCCACGAAGAGTCGTAAGTGTGAGGGATCCCATTCTAGGAGGGTGTCGTCGGTCCATTTCTGTCCACCGCCTGCTCGCACGACCGTCTTTTTCTTTTCGGGGTTCGCTGCTGCAGCGGCAGTTGCGGCTGCAGTGGTGCTTGGCTCTGCAGAATACGTCGTCGTCGACGCGCTGTTACCATATCCTGCACCCCGTCCTGCCCCAGCTCCTGCTCCAGCACCCGTCGGCGCACCACTGTCTTTTGCGGGATCCTTCACGTACGCGCTTTGCCATTGCGCAATCTGCGCTGCCATATCCGGATCGTAGTCATCGTTGGTCTTCGGTTGTCCCGGTGCGGGAAAGGGATTTCTAATCTGGGGAGGGGCCCCGTAAGACGTAGCGCTCGTAGCCGTAGTCACACTTGTAGTCTGCGGTCCGCTGTAGTAGTTTTGTTGGTAACCTCCCTGCTGCCCTGGGTACTGGTACGAAGTCGCGGGTTGCTGGTAACTGCCGCCGCCTATGGAGCCCGGGCGCGAGTAAGGTTGGTACGACGAGGCACCATACTGGGGAGCACTGGCGTAGCTCGGGGCGCTGGAATAGGCCGGGGGTGCGGCGTAGGGGGGGGCGCTGACGGCGCCGGGACTCGGGGTGTGTGTTGCGGACGGCGGCGCGGCTGGGGAGAAGGCTGGTTTGAAACCTGAGACGCGCGATGGTGGCGGTCGCGGTGGGAGGGACGAGGAGCCTGGAGGAGGCGGATAGGACATGATGAACTTTGCTGTGCGCCCGAAAAGATGGTTGTGGTGTGTTTCGGGTGCAACACGTACCTATGAGACTGCGATAGCTAGGTCTCGTTTTCTCCTAATTTCTGAATTGGAGAGTCTGCAACTATTACGTTCTCTTGAACGTGAGTTTGTATTTCGTGATTGTATGCGCGTGCTATTAGACAATAGACAAACGGCTTTTGGTCTGTGAATTGAGCGTGGTTGGTGATGGTCGTGATTGATCGATAGTTGTTATCGACAAGATTCTTTAGAAGTCGAAGCTAAATTCGAAGTCTCCCAAAATTCCATTGGAAGTGGATCCTTCCAACTGTCTTGTGGCGCACAGTATGTGGAGCTTTTCGTCCGTGGCTTTGTACACTTTGTTCCGATAAAACACCGATCTCGGGATACAAATCAATCAATTCGTCTCAATTATTGAGGTTATATCTATAGCTTCTTGATATTCTAGTATTTCAAATTTAGCTATTTTGAAATAGTAAATGCATTGTACTCCCACCAAGAGAGCATATAAACAAACAGTTACATGTATGAATGAAGATTGAATTGTGGCTTGTGACAGATCTGCGTCACAGCTTACATAACTTACGTGGGGGTTTACTCCGAAGTAACAACTCCGTCAATGATACCTAACCGGAACAAATATTTTTATTTCTTTTGCACTTATCATGTTAATCATGAAGATTTATATCTCTACAACATCATCTATTGCGAAGATATAATTTCTCCCTTGCATTATCTCCCGAAGTTTGATCAGATGTCCGAATTGCCAAGACGACAATCCACCTGCATAAGGTCACTAAAACAATAGTTTCGAGGCCCGCGAATCCGTGTAAAGGGCCGACGAAAATCCCCATAATTGGCTCTAGGCTGTTAATTTATCGCCCGGTTCTCTCCATGAGACATTTTATAGCAGCCTCGCGAAGTACTCAAATTCCCTAAGTAAAGTTCCACCGCAGCCACGCTCGGTCTGTTGTTACGCCGCCCACTGGACGCCCCTTAGGCGCTTGCAGCAAATGAGCTTAGTAGGATCATTCACGATGTCCTTTGCCGGTCAGATCTATATTTGAATAATTGGGGGGAAATTTGATATGGCTGAACTAAACAAGCCACGCAATGCTCGCTTGCGTCTTATAAAACACGATAGACTATGGGGGTTAGTCCCTTGCTATAAGTGACTGGGGTTATCTTCATCCGATGTCTCCGTACTCCGACGTTACCAATGTCTCATAATACCTAGGTACCTAATAGTACCTAAGCTAGGTGTTCAGGTTAGCTGTTTAGGTACGCAGTCAGCGGGTTATCTCGCTTTGGAAGCCCCCAACTTCTAATCATTTTAGAGAGCCTAGGACTCATTATAGTGGACTCTCTTGAAGTGAATTGGATTACTCCTAACTCCGTGCACCGAGAACGATGCTCAACGGCGCCCCATAGAAAACAAACTTGACAACCTTGTTGAACCCGGAGAAATCAGGCTGATAAACGGGTTTTTATATGTATAGACGCATATTGCCGAATAATTATATTGCTACCTTCGTTGGTGCCAGCATAATCGTAGTTAGATAGGTTCTAGTAGTTCAGTACTTACAGACCAATGTGGACCCGAACCCATTACCAAACATCACGGTCTAGGTAGGTGGGTGGGTTCTTACGAAACGCCATCATGGCGACACGGGGTTATCTGAATCAACCAAGACTGAAGTGAGGCATCTCCCTGAGTAAGAGAAGGGCAAAAATGGCGTGACGTTTATTTCGTTATTAGTGATTCTGTTCCAAGAAGCATATCAATACTCCTCAATGGGTACTGGTAATGAGTTGTATTTGGTTTGTAATTGGCCTCTTTTATCATATACAATTGGGACCTAGTTTGAGGATCGTAGGTGATAGACAAGGAAGAATTATTATACGAATCAAGAGGAATTGGAGGAATTAGATTGGGTCATTGGTCTGTAACGGATAATGAAAAGAGGAAAGGGCCTGAGTAAGCCCGTGCTTCCCGGCGATTCTTTGGTTGATGATTGATGGGGTTGCAAGTTCCTTAGCCTGGTTAGTCCCTCGTGGTTGGTCGGGAAGGTGTAATAGGTATAGGTACAATTGAATGTATGTAATGTTGCTGGGAGGACGAGGGGGAAGGCGTGGGAAGCTGGGAAGGTATATTTTAATAACAAATTCCCCTCCCCTCCTACCCTTTTTTTCGCTCCTTAGCACTACCCACCAACAAAATCTACCCCTCCATCCACTTTTCTTAACTCCTTCATCATAGAAAAGTAACCGCTCTCCCGCCTTCATCCGCTGGTCGTGCTGATTTCTTTCTATATTTCCCCAATCAATCCATCCCAAAGAAAACCAACCCTCCTATTTTCCGATCGAGCTACCAACATTATCGCAATCATGTCTGGTGCCGTGTAAGTCAAATATCCCTCTCCTCTTACATCGGATGATGATGATTACCCCGCCATTAATCATCGATCACCCCGCCGTCGAATTCTGTACTTCTTGTCTCCCGACCTATATAGCTGAGAAAACTCCTTGGGCCCTATAGGGCTCGTCTTACAAATATAACTAGTTCTTTAGGAGGCCCAAGGCGAGCTTCACCCATTACTTAGTTCCCTACGAACTCGCTCTTTAGCTATCCATTAGAAGTCATGCTAACGATTCCGAAAGCGCTGATTTGGGCCTCATTGGCTTGGCCGTCATGTACGTTACATCCAAACTCCCAATTCCCCCTTCGTTCTCCCTCGATATTCATACCTTCATTATAGGGGTCAGAACTTGATTCTAAACATGGCCGACCATGGCTTCACTATCTGCGCATACAACCGAACTGTCTCCAAGGTCGACCGATTCTTGGCAAACGAGGCCAAGGGCAAGTCTATCGTTGGTGCTCACTCCAACGAGGAGTTCATCTCCAAGCTAAAGAAGCCCCGCCGTGTCATGCTGCTGGTACAAGCTGGCAAGGCTGTCGACGACTGGATCGAGACCCTACTTCCCCTCCTAGAGAAGGGAGATATCATCATTGATGGTGGTAACTCTCACTTCCCCGATTCGAACCGACGAACCCAATACCTCATCACCAAGGGTATCCGATTCGTCGGCTCCGGTGTTTCCGGTGGTGAGGAAGGTGCCCGATATGGTCCTTCCCTGATGCCCGGTGGTAACGAAGAGGCATGGCCCTACGTCAAGGATATTTTCCAGAGCATCGCCGCCAAGAGTGACAACGAGCCGTGTTGTGAATGGGTCGGTGACGAGGGTGCCGGTCACTACGTTAAGATGGTACACAACGGTATTGAGTACGGTGACATGCAACTTATTTGCGAGGTTTGTATCCCTTTCCTACTGTAATAATATCAAGCGCCATTAAAGTTACAGCTGTGCTGATTATAATAGGCCTACGATATCATGAAGCGTGGTCTTGGTCTCTCTAACAAGGAGATCGGAGATGTCTTCGCGAAGTGGAACAAGGGTGTCCTAGATTCGTTCTTGATCGAGATCACCCGCGACATCATGTACTACAACGACGATGACGGAACCGCTCTAGTCGAGAAGATTCTTGACCAGGCTGGCCAGAAGGGTACCGGAAAGTGGACCGCTATTAACGCCTTAGACCTTGGAATGCCTGTCACTCTTATCGCTGAAGCCGTGCTCGCTCGTTGCTTGTCATCTATTAAGGCCGAGCGAACTAAGGCCTCCAAGAAGCTAGAGTACGTCGGTCGCTCGAGCAAGTTCGAGGGCAGCAAGGAGCAATTCCTTGATGACCTTGAGCAAGCTCTATATGCTTCCAAGATTATCTCTTATGCCCAGGGTTTCATGTTGATGCAAGAGGTTTGTTATAATCCGATACTTTTTAACTTCGCTGGGAGATTTCTAACATAATGTTACTAGGCCGCAAAAGAATTCAAGTGGAAGCTCAACAAGCCCTCAATTGCCCTCATGTGGAGAGGTGGTTGCATCATCCGCTCCGTCTTCTTGAAGGACATCACAGCGGCGTACCGAAACAACCCCGACCTTGAGAATTTGTTGTTTGACGATTTCTTCAACAAGGCTATCCACAAGGCTCAGCCAGGCTGGAGAGATGTTGTTGCTAAGGCTGCCGTGCTCGGAATCCCGACACCCGCTTTCTCTACTGCTCTGTCATGGTTCGACGGATACCGCACACAAGATTTACCCGCCAACCTCCTCCAGGCCCAACGTGACTACTTCGGAGCACACACTTTCCAGATTAAGCCTGAGCACGCCAACGCCAAGTACCCCCAGGGTGAATACCACCACGTTAACTGGACCGGCCGGGGTGGAAACGTTTCTGCCTCCACATACCAAGCGTAAAAAACGAATTGTTCATATAAGTGATATGAGCATGTATGCCAACTGTAAGATTGGCAAAGGGGTAAGGCCGTTCTCAATAGAAGGAAAAAGGGATTATTTGAATTATCATGCTATGGATAACATGACATAGCCACATGCATGGTTTAGAAGAACGAAAATAAATAAATGTGAAATAGTTGACCTACCTTAATGTTGACGGGCCTTTTGGAAGAACACATTAGATACCTCTATAGACTTCTTGTTAAAGATCTGCGTGTTGCCATTTAGTGAAGTATGTGGTACCTAGGAACTATGGGGACATATATGTATTGTCAATAGTGTTTCGGGATATATTGAGTAGTAGATATCTTAATTCTTGGGGTCGCTGGCGGTTGGGTTGATGATAATAAGGATCCGGGATGGGATATTGTAGTATCCACTTATCCGGATAGAGCTCATTTCTATAAACGTTTCATCGGTTAAACGATTTATAAAGTGGACCACGTGATGATTGGTCCAAGCTTTTTGCGTAGCGGCTTCCCCAAAGGATAGCTCTTGGGTCGTCGCGCATCTTTCTTCGCGACTTTATTACGACCAAATTTCTAAACTTTCGGCGCGAGCCTCGTCACTACAAATCGCCCGCTGTCCATGCGCCGTGCGATTGAATCCGCCTATCGAGTAATCCATAGAGATACAATCGATCGATCACATGCCCATTTATTTTTAATTGAGTACGGCGATTGCGATAATTAGTTTTCATTTCCTCAATTCACAATGTCGTTGGGAGATCCTAGTTATGGGATCCATAGGGACTTGGTATGATATTTCTTTTCTATCTTCGCGCACGCCGGCGCTTTGCTAATGACACATGCAATTTACTAATGAACATATATCTAGCTCCCGCATGTCCATCTCATTTCAACCTATCGACATCCTATGAAAGCCCGAGTGGAGCCTGTTGAGGTAACCGGCTGGTTGATGCAAGCTCCCAAAATCGCCCGCGACACCGCACCTTTCTTCTGGACCTATCTCGAGCGTCCCGAGAATGGTAATATCTTTTTAACGTGGCAGCCGTTGCAGCAAATGGGTGTGAACTTTGCCAGCGATGGTTATGTCTGGCCTCCTCAGGAGCAATACCTACAGCAGGAAGTAGGCAATGGCGTGGTATGTTTATTTAGCTACTTCCTCTAAATTGACAACTAGATTTATTTTATTAACCTTTATAGGTCCTGGAAATGTACTACCATAAAGCTGGTTTTGCCATAGGAGAGCCGCTCGCACTGCACTCTAGACGTCGTTTCCGTCTTATCCCTCCGAGTGTCCACACCCCGAATGCTCCCCAAGTTGATCCTGGTTTATGGATAGTTCACTACGGTCCCATTGAGAATAACGAGCGCATACCTCAGCAAGTTATCCCGCGAGACCCTCGAAGCAATTCCATTATGGAGACGCGTGCTTATCTTCAACGCTGCGGACAAATCCAACGCAAGGAATTTATCCTCAGCGACCGACCCAATTGGCCACAAATCGGTTGGCCTCGAGAAGCTTCACGACCGCAACCGATGTTCGCTCCCCAACGTGGAGTTCCCCAAGCAATGGCATATCCCCCTCACCCTCCCACCGCCGGTGGACCACCGTCGAAACGCGCCCGGACTGGCCAGGCTGCACAGGGTCAAGTACCTCCTACTATGGCTGCTATTCCCCCGCCCGACAGCGCTTATGACGATGAGGAAGACACCTCTCGCGGCGACATGTTTGATCACCTGACCCCTCGAGAAGTCAGTCTGGCTCGATATCGACAGAACCACGAATGGATGGAAGAGATACTTTCTTCTCCGTACCGGATGGGCCAGATTGGTTTTTCTGACCTTGGTCTTGGCCTTAAAGGCGAACTTTCATCTCTAACTGAGGGAATATTCGAGGCTTACAGCTATGAATCTGCTGAAGAAGTGCCCTCGAAGACTACTACCACTAAAATCGACCCCGATCAAGCCGCCGAGTTTCGCAAGCGAGTAAACGACCGACTTAGTTCTACGCAGGCGGAGATTGAGAAGATGAAAGCAGATCACGCTAAGAAATTAGCGAAGTTTAAGCAAAATTCTCTTCTAACTACTACCGAGAGAGAGTTACGACTAGCCCTGGATGAGCCAGGTGTCGATGCATTACAACTTGAGGGCAAGGTAGAGGAGAGTGAAGACGGTGCAAACCGCTGGCCTTCACGACACAATAAGAAGGTTGACGATATTGTCTCACAGGTTGAAGCGCACCTAGGTCGCCGAGCAGAGGTTATCTACGAATTACGACGAATACAGGATGGTGGTTATCAAGAGCCAGCCCTAGAGCCGGCTCCTCAGCCCGCCTTGGGACCGGGATCGACTACCGGCGGACCCCAGACTGGCAGCGCGAATGGAAGTGCGGCGATGTCTCGACAGCCGTCACACACGGGATCTCAGAACAGCGCATTCATGATGGATTCCGATATTGATATGGGCGGAACTGCAGCTGGACTTCTTGATCAAATGCACACAGGAACAGGTGCATCCTCTACTGGCACCCCGGTGAACAATTTCCCGACACCTCAAGGTCAACCTTCGGCCGTTCATTCCAGCGTTGCGACACCCGCTGGTTTAAATATTCCTTCTCCACGTCAGCCTCCCCAGAGAGACGAGACGGGTGATGTGAAGATGGATGGCACGAGTGCTGCTGAACCGCCGGCTGCGACTGCTCCTGATCAAGGAACAGGGAGTGGAGATTGGGTCGTCGTTCCCAAAGGTGGTGCTGTTCCGGACGGACCTCCGAACCCAACGTCCGATAATAACCCTCCCAAACCAGCAGATACTCTAAGCAAACAAGCTTCTGCTACAGGAACTCCTTCGGCGGGATTTGAGGGCGACCAGAACGACTTCAGTTCACTTGAGGATCTTAACACGGCCGGTGATGCTTTGGCCGGATTCGACGGTACACCAGGCGATCTCGGAGAGGGCCTCGATTTGGAGATGGAAGATTCAGCATTCGGCGATGCTTTCCACGGAGTCGATACTCAGCAAGGAGGTACGCCAGCGGAAGGTAACATGTAGTACATGGGGCTTTCTCGATACCCTTTCTAAATTTTGCTAAAGGGTTGCTGAATTAATGCAATGACGCGGCATCCCGACTGCGTCCGAATGAGCAAGGGAGTAGGTAACGGATAGGGAGTATTAACCACTCTCCAGAGGAATCAAGGAATGTGTTTGCAGGCGTTAGGGAGTCGATTACACTGGCCTACGGTCATGGCCAAATCGTGGAAGGGACTCGACATAAATAGGTTCTCTAATGTACGATTACATTCACAGGCTCGTTTTCCAAGCTGGAGAATAAAGAGATGAGCTGTACGTTGCATTCTATATCGCAGAATTTTAGCTCTAGCTCGCCATCAACTTGGCACTGCTTTTAAAAAATCACGATCACATTCTGAGGTAGAAAATGCTATGGCTTATAATTTGCTAAATAGTTATTTAGGTGTGTTCTTGGTGCAATTGTTGCGATTTTGACCTAGGTTGCGGTGGCACTTCAGGACTCTTCCAAATTTCTATGTCTAAGACCGGAGCCGTCGAATTTTGGCGAGTTAAATCCTACGTGAAGTTGATTTTAGGCTTGCTTGTGTTGGGTGGTAGTGAAGCAGGTTTCACAATGGTCAGGGTTTCGTCTCAAATCCCCAGAGCCAAGACCTTGAAAAGAGAGCATTCTAGACCTCTTTCGCGATAGTTATTCCCTCCAAGTCGGAAAAGAAGCTTAAGTACGAGAGTGGATGCACCCCAGCATCTGCCTAGAAGCCATTTTGGGGTAATTACTACACGGATCTTACTCACTTCCGGACTTGCTAGGGGAAGTCCGTGTTGTTGGGCACGGCTCTTTTTGAGCCGCGTTTCCTGGTATCACATCGTCGGATCATCGTATTTTATTAGGAGATGTAATTGGCTCGTTCGATGTTTCTTCATGCTCCACGGCTTCGTTCGTGCCGACTTGACTAGTTCGCTATGGATGGGACAGTGAAAGGCCTCTGCTTAATTCGTCTCGACTTACTCTGGCCTTCATGCCATAACGCTAAACCTTGGATGTTATCCATCTGATGTCAGTACACATCCCTGACACATGGGTATGGTATCTTTCCTCAAATTTACATCTACTAGTATTACTAAGGCTTGCATACACCCGCTTGTACGTGATCGCCATCATGATGGCTAGCCTTCACAGGGCAGAGGAGCCAAGCAATGTCAAGCCATGAGGCCTCGAGCTCAGACGTTCTCGCCGAAGATCACGGAGAAGTGCGCGAGGGATCATGACATTATGTACATATAGTCTGATCCCATTGTAAATCGCGCTCTTGCTCTTCCCTGACGGTCTTCCCACATTTCTTCCCCAGATCTCATCCTTTCTCTGTGTTTTCATCGCAGTTCCTTTCCTTTCTGGTTTGCGTCTGTTCTCTTCTTCTGCTGTCGTTCCTTACTCTGTTCGTCTGCTGGTCAGTACACACTTTTGAGCAGTCTTTTACGTTCTTTATAATTTTTAATTTGTTTACGGATCCTGGCTGGACCTACTTAATTCGATACTCACGACGTTTTCGAGTGGAGAGGTTGAAGGTCACGGAAAATGAAGCAGTCTCACTTCCTCGCAGCTTTGGCTGTAGTGTTCAGCACCGGAATCTTTGCTAGTCCGATGCCCCAACGAGATCAAGGCTCCCGAGTTGCTAGTAACGACAATGTTAACAGTAACGCCAACAACGATAATAACTCAACAGCGGCATCTTCGGATGGAGGACAGCTTCAGCAGCTCCCGAATGGCAACGAAGGCAAGGGATCCAACGCGAAATCACAAGCGCAGGCCGAGTCCGGTTCTGGATCCGGAGGAGCACCTGCGGGAGGGCTTATACAAATCCCGGGAGCACAAGTGACATCTGGACAATTAGTCGCTCTTCCTGGAGGGGGGGAAACCAGCTCTGTTTCCCAAGCTGCTGCCGTCGAGACTCAGAGCTCGGCCGCCGGTGGTAACAAGGTCGGCAGTACGAGCAGCGCGGCACTTAAATCAATAGGAGTTCAGACGAGTGCGAGCGCAGCTGTCGCGGTCCAGAGTACATCTAGTATCGCCGCACTTGAGACATCGAAGGTGAGGATTCATCTGCACACTTAACTTACATAACTTCACAACTAACTTATTTTAGGCTATTGCCGCAGCGACGTCGGTCAGCTCAGTAGCCGCCGCTGAAAGCATCCAAAGCTTCCAGCAAATCGCTCCGGCTGCATCTTCCTCGGTAGCCGCCAACATCGGTGTCTTGGTGAACTCAAGCGCCTCAGCTACTGCTACTAGTACACCCTTAGTCCAAGGCTTCCAGACTATCAGCGCGGGTGCTGCTAATGCAGTGGCTTCTTCAGCTGTTGCTAATGTGTCGACACCCGCCGTCGCGGCCGTCACTCCAGGTGCTGTGGCGACTTCGCAACTCGCTGGTTTCTCTAATGGTACGGCTGCCACCGCCACGGGCGCAGGTGCAGCCATAGCTGTAGGCTCCGAATCATCCGCTGCACTCGCTGCACTACCTACCGGCGCCGCTGAAGCTTCTGGCTCTTTACAAGCCCTTCCAAATGCTGGCGGCGCAGAAGCGACCGGAAGTTCGCAGTCTGTACCCGCAGCTGGAAACGCTGAAGCCACGGGTACTCTGCAATCTCTACCCGGTGCCTCCGGCGAAGTTGCCGCATCGGAGTCCCTGCAGACCCTTCCTACTTCTGGTGTTTCTAGCGGTGAGTCTTCAAGCTCTAACTCGAACTCGAACTCCGGCTCTGGCTCTGGCTCCGAAGCAAGTGGTGCAGTCGCATCGGGTAGTTCAACCAACGCCCAGGCTCTCCCCGCCGAGACAGCAAGTGGTTTACAGCAGATCCCTAGTGCACAAGCGACTACAGGTTCACTTGATTCACTTCCATCGGGCGTCGCGAGCGCTACGGGAGCTGTGTCGCCGTCGGCTAGTGCGGCGTCGAATGGGACGTTCCCGGCGATTAATATTAGTGCTGGAGTGGCGCGGACGGTTGATATGATGGGTACGGTGGTGGGTGCGGGGTTGGTTGGGGTGTTGACGTTGTTGGTACTGTGAAGAGATGGACGTTGGGCTGAGCAAGGCTGGGTATTGAGATATGTATCCGAATTATTCGCTACTTAGATACTGCCAGGGCGGGTGGTTACTTAGCCAACCTGAACCGCGAAGAAAAATGTAACGTTTTTAAACAGACAAAACCATCTTCCATCCCAACTATACAGTTCAAAGGTCGACCTTTTTGCACCCTCCTACGCCTATTCATCCCCAAATCCTCGACGATGCCACAGATTTCTTCTGATAATGACCTCCCCGGGTTGGTCAACACACCAACGAAGCAAGTCAAATGGGCAAAGAAACTTATTGCAGAACACGTGAACAGCGCTGTAAAGTGTATCGACAAGCCTCCCATGGTCGTGAGGTAGTGCTACAGTTTCGCACGGAGCCACTCGACTTGGATGCGTTCAAGATTGCGAGGGAGGCTTTGGGCCCGGTCGTGCCCGATGCCACAGCTTTAGAGAATGAGGAACTCCTCGGCGAGCGCGTCTGGGCTTATTCCCTCACTCGCCTGCATGGCAACATGTGGGTCCACGGGATTGCCGGCAAAGGTGCCAATGGCCGAATTGCAATCAATAGATCCCTCGATCACTTATTCTCCAAAGGCTGCCTCGCCAACAGCAGCGGCGCGGCTGTTGATGGCAAGATCCGGCCCCATCTGGAGGCTGTTTTGGCATCGCCTTTAGAGGAAGTTCTCCCGTACCGACATCACCTTCAGGGTTTCTTTGGCAAGCTGGAGGAGCTCAAAAAGCTCCCGCTTTGGATCACGCACTATGACCTCAATGAACTGAATGTTCTCATCGACGAGGATTGCCGTGTTACTGGCTTGATTGACTGGGAACTATCCACCCCGCAACCATTCGGAGTTGGCTTCGGTCGTATTCACACCCTCGCTGGTGAGTACACGGGTGGGGAGTTTTGGATGCCTGATGAATTCGAGACTACGGAACGGGGCTTTTAGAACGAGCTGTTTGATGGAATGTCGGAAGATACTCGCGGTATTCAGAAGAAACAAATTTTACTGGTCCAGGACGCGGTCATTCTCGGGACTTTGTTGGATTGCTTCTTCTACGAAAATGGGAAAATCGGCTTTAGTGAAGTTGCTTTAAAGGCTCTTCCAAAGTTTATAACCTACCGGATCCCTTTTGTAAGAGGGGAGGGGACCCCATACCAGGATTAGGGCAGTTTAGCGAACTCAGCTAATGTTCTATTGTGTGCAACCGGTGACATCATCGAGTTAGGGGCCGATGGGGTGTTGACTTTGTTCGTTTGTAAGGGGTTGTTGGATGGGAGATGGTGCTTGGTTCGGTTGGGCTAGGTAGCAAGAAACCATCGATAACCCGTCGACTTATTATTTACTGGATATCGTCAGATACAATTTGAGAGTAATTGAAAGAAGATTCTTTAGGTGGTTGGGTGTAAGCCACATACTCAGTATCTCGCTTAGGGGCACAGACCAACAATAGGATAGTGATAAATTGCCGTAAAAAGAGGTACTTTTTAAATGGCTTGAGAAAAAAACATGTTGAGCTCAGAATGGGGATTCGCAGCAGAACACATAATGACCCTAGAGTGCCTTGCCATAAATGTCATAGGCTAACCCAGGCACATTACAGGAGGGATCGTGAGGTCACCGTGTTTTTGTTGGAGTAACACAGCATATGCAAGAGCCAGAGCCTGCTTCTGGGCAGCAAGAGGGTAAATCAGCCCGTACCATTTGCCCGACCGACACTGCCTCTGCCTCTGCCACCTAACTAAGGCAAATTCTTGGACTGATGCTTTCTATCCTTGAAAAATATGTAGGTATATACTCATCCTCTCAGCTAAATTGGCACTTCGCTGCAGTGTCATAGATAGGCGTATGCGAAATATGCTCACATGAATCGCGATGGCTACCAACAGATTATCGTGGCTAGATGACGCATTTAGGTCCGCGAAAGAAGAATTCAAAAGGAATCTAAGCAATCCAGCCTTATGTGACTTCTCGAAGATCAGTTCAATTAATGATGTACTCGAAGAAGCCAATAGAATACAGAGACAACAGGCCAAGACCAAGACGCTTCGCGCACTAGGCAGGATTCGACCGTTTATAGATGGCCTCAAGGAATATGCGTCCATCATCGAGGTATTCGCACAGGCGAAACCAGAAATTATGAGTCTCCTTTGGGTACGCATAGGTCTACACCGACGAAATTTGCGCTTTTATTGTCTCAAGATCGAGAGGCTGACAATAACCTCATTATGACTTAGGGTCCCCTCAAGTTCATCCTACAAGTAGGATAGTCCTGCAATCTTTAGGAAAACGATGATCGATGATTCTAATTTTATGTCTTTAGGCGTCAAGTTCCGTTATTTCCGCCTTCGACAAAGTGGTGAAAGTATTAGCAGACTTGGGAATGACACTTCCAAGCTTCAAGGAATACGCACAGCTGTTTTCGGAAAAATTTGAGATCCGTCGGGCATTATGTCTATTCTACGAGGACATCCTAGATTTCTATTCCGTTCTATTGAATTTCCTTGCGAACCGTAGTGAGTGACATCGTTAATTGTTCCCACTGTCATTAGTCGCTTGCTTATGCCTAGGTACCTTTCGCGCGTCAGGGCTAAACATATTCCTCGAGTCTTTATGGCCGAAAATTCGTTCTAGTATCTCCAAGGTACAGGAGAATATAGAATCTCACAAGGCTATGATGATGGTGAATGTGACGCTTCAAGATATCGTACAAGCCCACAGAGCCCGAAAAGACGCCCTTGAAGAGTACGAGGCTGCCCAGGCTGCTCGAGAGGAACATACTTACAATGCAATTCATAATAAGCTTAACCCACGGGATTATGACATGGAACTAGCGAGTATCCTCCGGCGAAGTTCTGTGGATTCAGGGAAATGGTTGGAAGATGAACCAGATTTCATGAGATGGCTCAACACTATGGATAGAACCACGAGGTGTGTGTGGCTACATGGAATTCCTGGTTCAGGTGAGCACTATACCCTAAATCACATACAGTCCGTCCGAAAGCACTAATGTTTTATTGGATCGACACTATAGGCAAGACCTTCCTCGTCGGTAATTTGATACGAAGATTGCGGGCCAATGGACAGGGAGTACTCTTCGCATTCTTGTCTCACGACAACCAGAGTGATGGAGATACCGTCAAAGTTTTCCATTCGTTCCTGTTCCAGGTCCTTGAAGATAACGCAGGCTGCCGGCCAGTCCTCAATGAAGCATCTCAGACCAACTCCAGAAAACTTAAAAGTGATTCGGATTTCGTCATGGATTTACTATGCAATGTTCTTCACGGATTGGGTCCTATGTTCATAGTTCTAGATGGGTTGGATGAGCTAAACGAGAGCTCGTGGAAACACCTTCTCTTAGGAATAATGCAGATTAATGATAGGTGCCCGGAGACAAAGTTACTTATAAGTAGTAGGGAAGAACGCGAAATCGCCCTACGATTAGGGGATAAAGCCCTCCCGCTCCGCATAGATCATAACAACTCTGAAGACATAGAAGCGTTCGTTCAACTCGAAAGTGAAAATCTGCTTCTAGAAATCAGAAGCTGGGGCATAGGCGAGCAAAGGTGCCTTAAGGCCAAGGACATGTTAGACACTATTGCAGAGAGAGCTAAAGGGAGGTCTATCTTTTATCATTAGTAATTTATGATACTAACAGATACCAGGAATGTTCATTTACGCTAGATTAGTACTTTCCATGGTCGAAGATCAAGGGACACTCCAAGATATCGAGGCACAAATAGAGGATCTCCCAGATGGGCTTAACGAAGTGTACGTAATAGCCCTATACCACTGTTATGGTTACTATCAAACTAATCGTATCTTGATAAAGTTACGGTCGCCTCCTTGTTAGAATAAAAGAAACCATCGGACGGTCTCTCCAAGCCGTTGTACGCACGATATTACAATGGATCACCTGTGCCCAAAGACCCCTGAGGGAAGAAGAGATGCTACAGATATTGGCCATTGAGCCTGGGCAACTTGATTTCACGAAAGGGCGTAAAGTTTTTCGAGATATTCGTAAGGCATGCGGCCCCATAATCGAAATTGACGACGGAGTGGTTCGATTCGTCCATTTCTCGGCTAGAGAGTGAGAAGTCTATTGAGAAGTGTCTTGTGGGACATATTGTTAACCTAATATAGGTACCTCCTTCACGAACAAAGCGCCAATTTCTTGGATTTATATGAAGCGCACGCATATGCTGCTCTAACCTGCATCACCTACCTGTCTTTCTCATCACTGGATCCACTGTTCTCTTCGTCACTGGATGCGGTAGAAGACCAAATTATAAACGGCGACTATGTCCTATTCGAATATGCGTCCGCTATGTTTCTAGATCATCTAAAGATCTCATTAGAAAATGAGGAAAAGAGTTTGGACAAACGCATCTCCATGGCGCTAAACCATCTCCGAGAAACCCGGGCTGCTCGTTCAATTGATGCGTCAGTGGTCCCAGAACGATTTCTCTTGATGTTCAAAAAATTTTCCGAGGACCCTGCAGTCCAGGACTTCCTATCCGTTGCGGCCCACTCTCATGATAAAGCACAGTTTGGACTACTCGGTATGGAGAGACACTGTCGTTGTAGATGTAGCTAATGATGTTTCTTCCAGAAATTTCGGACTCTTCGATATACGACCCACTCAGGATATTCCTTGCTCGCCGGAGATTCCGACAAAACCTAGAGAAAGTGAGTTGCGAGTCATTGCGACCTCTATACGGAAGACAAATATACCATTGCGACCAGTATTTCTGCCATGCATACCGTACCGGATTTGAGACGGATGCAGACAGGGATCGGCACTTGAGAATTCACCAACGACCAAACAAGTGTCCAAGACCGGATTGTATGTTCACCGAAATAGGATTCCGCAGCACATCGGAACTCCAAAGCCACACTCTTGCCGCCCATTCTTCGGGTATCCCAATAGAGGATGAATCTCACTCGAGCATATCGTTGGCCGAACTACTCGAAGATGAGTACAGTATTCTGAAAGACGCAGTGACGCTTGATAACGAAGAACTTGTTAAGGTACTGCTGAGTAGGGGTGTTGCCGATAGGCGTTATCTGTTCAATGAACTAATCCGTTTCGCCGCGTGGAAAGCATCTTCAGACACACTCTCTCACTTATTAGATTATAACGATAGTTATACCATCACGCCATTGGAACAACTATTAGCATATGCGCTAGAAGGAGAAAACCTTCCAAACATCAAATTATTACTTTCCCGCGGAGCCAACATGACAAGCAGTACATATATCGACTGGAAGGAGTCGGCCACCAAAATCGAGCAAATCCCCGAGAAAAGGGCTGGCATGCATGGGAGCTATACTGGCTACATTCGCGCATTGAGCCTCTGGAATCCCGATACAATGGCTTTCCTAATTAATGAATGCCACGTTAACATGCCCACCCAGATTGACTCTTTGGGAGATATTTTCAAATATCCTGCGATCCTTGCGGCTACTCCTGATGAGGCAAGAAGGCGATTTAGTGCAATAAAGAGGTATATTATCTGGCCTGAAACTTACACCCAAGGTATTCCCAGTGCCGTGTTGGGTGGCAACGTTGTTAGTCTTAGGATTTGTTTGGAAAATGGAGGTGACCCGGATGTGTATTTTACTGGCAGGCACTACGGATACAATGTATTATGTTACTCCGTGAAATTAGGGACTAAACTTGGTGCGGAAGTGGTAAAGGCGCTCTTAGAGTGGGAGGCGGACCCGAACAAAAAGACCCAGACAAAACCGATTAGGAGTGCAAAAGAGTTCGCGGGAATGAAGAAAATTGAAAAGTACTTCGGGATGGGCTGGGAAGATATCGTACACAAGATCCAAGTATTGAAGGAGGATCTTGCTATTGTTTAGTGACATATCATGCCCTTTTAAGTACTACAAGAATAACGGTACTATAGTATGAATCCAATCGACACTGTATAGCTGCTTCTTGGGAATTCTTCTAAACCATCCAGGACACCTTCATGTTAATATTATACATCAAGTAGCATCCCCATATGCCATTCATTTATCCTTAGCACATATTGTACGTCTCATATCCTATGATGGTTAGTTCTGATTCTACAACACCCGAAGCTTGGTAATTTTGGCATAGCTAACCTTTAGCATAGAATCTAACTCATTGTGGCGAGCCTTAGGTTCGTTGAGGGACGATGCTATAAGGTCCATCTTCCACTCTTGTCGTTGTTGAATATACTATCATGTTTGATTAGCAGAGATCCGCCTTATCCTTGGTGAACTAACCTCCTCAATTGAATCCGGGCCAGATACAATATAGCGCGTAGCAAGAACCTCTCTTTCCTGTCCTAAGCGGTGTACACGATCCATAGCCTGCTGTTCTAACAAGGGATTCCACCCAGGCTCCATTAGATGTACACGGGTAGCCACAGTAAGGTCAAGACTGCTTCTATTCAGCTGCATGGCTCGTCTTAGACTTGCTTGGATATTTTGCTTTCTTAACTTACCCAACTGCGGCGCTTCCGAGTGATGCTAGTAATATTGTGCAGTCTGGTTTCGTGCGAAATTCTTCGAGCGCACGCTGCCTCTGCGTCAGACTCATGCTACCATCGAGCCTTTGGTATATGAAATTTTTCGCAGTCAGTGCTTTACCAATGAGAACTAACATGCTAGTCCACGATGAGAACACAACGCTACTTTATAATTAGTATGGAATAAATAGACACTTTATCGAAGATGACCGACCTCTTCATTGGCGACAGACCAGACCCAATTTCAGTCTCGCGGTCGTTGTGTAAGTTTTGGAGCAAAGCGTCTACTTTGGAAGAAGGGCGATAGTTTCTTAATGTGTCTTCGGAATTCACAGTAATCAACCCCACATCTGCTGTTTCTTCCTTTTCAGTAATATCAGGATTACACAACGGGCAGAAACCAGTACTGTTGCAAGTGACTTTGTCGGTTTGGAGACATGCCTGACAGATTTGATGGAAGCAAGATAAAAGATTATCCGATGAATTGTTTCCTTCATCAAGTATTATGTCACATGCTTCGCACCTAGGAAGCATAACGCCTTCACATGCGGAAGCCTGATCGAGCCAGGACCGAAGGCTCTGCGGAAGCAAGTCCCTGCCGTGATTACAGACCTGGCGAAGTCGGAGAATAAATTGAAATGCGTTCATGACTGATCCTCCTAAGTCAAAAGCCAGCGTAAAATGCCTCTTAAGTGAATCATAAAGGAACTTTTCCTCGCGGTTCAAACTAACCGGTTGAATAATTTCATGCCGAGGCGGGAGTTTGAGCTCGGCGTTAAGGGCCTTCTTCGTCCGGCGAAGAGAGATGGATTGGACCAACAGCCTAAGTCGTTCCCACGACCGTTGCTGCCCACTATGAATAGGGGTCAAGAATGTGTTTTTGAAAACACTAGGATTATCAAATGGGCCGACTCTCAGAAATTCGACTAAAGCACCTAGGTCCTCTAAGCGGTTCTGAATTGGCGTACCAGTCAAACACCAACGATGCTTAGCTTTAAGCGCGTTGGCTGCTTCAAAAGCCTTAGAATTACGATTCCTGATCTGGTGCGCTGCAGTTGGTTAGCTATCTGGGCACCTAGGTGACTAGGGTTGGTGGCGATAGCCATCGCATACCTTCATCGAGGACGACGCGATTCCAATTCATGTCGTGGAGGCTCACTCGCGCAGCGCTTTCTAATCCCGCCTGCGCTGATTTCTTTTTCGTCAGTCTAGATTTTAGTGTGTCATATGTAGTAAGGACTATGTCGGCTGTTCTCAATGAATCAGCATCGTTATCCCGTGCTAGGCCATGATATACCCTATAGGTAAGAGTTCCTCTTTTGAAGTGTCTTGGTTGAAGTTAGAATGTTGATCGGCAAATATCGCTATGTTTGTACACACACACCTTTTTATCTGATCTTGCCAGCACGTCAAAGCTATAAATTTTGTATTTAGTAGAGTGGGTGACAGAAGAGGATAGTAGCACTTACTTGTCAAAGGGCACACTATCAGCGTCCCACAAACGCCTCGACGACGTCCCTCTGTCTTGTTTACGGATGTTGCGATAAGGGCCAAAGTTGTCAATGTTTTGCCAAGACCCATTTCCTAAAGATTCTAGATTAGTCAATTCTGGGGTAAAAGGGTAGTAGTCGTTCTCACATCCGCAAGGAGACCACCGAGGCATAACTGCGGCTTTCGGGCTGCGAAGTTTTGGATCACCGTGTTGTAATATCTATGAGGCCATGAGCTAGCAATTCTTGTTAATGATATAGGATTCTTTACCTAAGATGTGATTCTGCGGCCGAGTCTTCAACCCATACAGAGGGGAATTTCGCGTCACGAATAATTCCCAACTCCTTCTCTACCATCATAGAGAGAGCTTTGGTTTGATACCTATATTCTTATTAGTGGTAGCTTTCAATTCTAATATATCTAGATGATTACTCTTTGAGTTTAGTAATGAGAATATCAGAAATAGGGACTCTTGTAAACTCGGTGGGCCCAGTCGCGGAATCAAATAGCTCGGCGACCTTGCTTTTCTTATCTTCGTAAAACGCTGTACCTCGAACCATGGGTGCTTCTGTATATTCTTCAAATACCATGTCTTCGTCTGGATCGAAGAGATACTGGGGATTGTAGTATGGCCGTGAGGCGTCGTATGAATCTGGCTGTTGGAGGAAGTAACCCTGCTCCGAAAGCATGTCGCCGATGGGTTCACCTTGTTCGCGTCGGCCGTACACAATCACTTCAATCCTCTTGGGTGCCCTTATCGATGCCGAGAGCTCTACATTGTGATCCCTAATTAAACCTGACACGACCCGGGATGCGCCCTTACCGAGAAGGCCCGCATATTTTGATTCTATATCTTTGATTGTCACCATGCTTCCATTCACTGCAAGGATTATAGGATTGCTGCCATTTTTCTTAACGAGGTCTTCTCGTACCTGGACCTCCTCTAATAGAAGCTGTTTAGACTATATTAATAGATTGGCTACTTGAAGGAGAAGTGTGTTGCTCACCACGCCAAAGCAACAGTCATATAACGGCCTATTGGGGGTTTTGTTGCTGGTAGCTGGGGTAGCTACGTCTCCCTCTGCTATACTCCGGGGTGTAGAATGCGGGGTCGCAGAGGATATCCCATCTTGATGTTCATCACCTAGTCGCATTCCATCTCCATCGTGGAAAATACTGGCGCTATCGGAATACATAACTCGATCATCGTTTAAGTTGGCATCATAGGCTCCTTGAGTTGGTGTGATGGTAGTTTGGTTTAGAGTTATAGGGAAGGTTTGCGGACCATATTCTGAAAACTGAGAAGATGCCCAACTATCCTGTCCCGGCAGTACGTCTAACGGTGCGAAGTTGAGACCTGGCTCATTGGTGTAGTGATTCTCCAGTCGACTGGAGCAATGAAATTCCTCATATATCTGCATTGTTCCTTGTGCCCCGAAGGGATACTGGTCTACTGGAATCGGTATTTGCCATGATGAATCAGAAAGTTGTGGTTGCGAGAAACTTGTATCGTAGGTGAGCGGGGTGAAATATGTACTCCCGAATGTCGACTTGGAAAATGTTGCGTCTCCGGATCCAATCGTTTGCGGCGAAGATGAAGCAACCGATCCGCCAAAACTAGCAGCTCCAGGAGCGGCGAACGCTGAGGAGCTTGACAACCTGGAGATGCAAGCCTTCTTGAGAGGACCGGCGTTTTCTGCGGTCACATTCTTGTTAGATCCGATCCACTGGTCCGCGGTTTCCCAGGACCGCTTGACGCCTCCGAAACCTAGAGGCTCCATGTCGATATCCTCGGAGCGCCCCAACCAGTTGTCCATCCCACCACACGTTCTCGAGAATCTTGATGTGTAGAGAGTGTCTTACGTAGATAAGGAGCGGGAAGAATTAGTCGAGAAGTCTTAAAAATTGGAAAAGAATTAAGAATTTAACGCAGCCACCAGCGATATTAAATGGGCGTCCCGTAAGGCATTTTTACTATGTACAACTCATCAAAAGTGCATAAGCACAACGAATAAGCTTCAAAGGCGGCTGTGGCAGTGCCGCCAATCCTCTGTGAAAGAATCTTGTTGAAATCATGGCTAGATACTTTGGTCTTTGGATGATTGGTGTAGCTGAGATCTCCTTCAAATCACCTATATCGCATGGGGCTTCGCGATGAGGCTTAAATCATGATAACGATGCTGTAAAATATTGGGCGTCCCGTCCTCGCTATAGCGCTTATAGAGTCGCTGTTGCGGTGAAGTCTTAGGGGACCTGGGGAGCCTTAGTGCCTAAAATGAGATACGATAAGATAAGAAAATCGTGGCTCTGAAACCAATTTTTGGAATCGGAAAAGCCCACGAATAAACACGTCGATTTAAAAAGGTCAGGCACTTACATTCATAACAGTCTTTATGAGTGAAGCATGGTTGACGCCGACACGCCCGTACTTTTTGGCGTGGGCACGTCGTAGTGTGCGTCTGCAATCTCGGATTTCCTACCCCTCCTCCCTCTTAACACCGCTGCAGCGATGTCCGATATCCTCATCATCCCATCCCGAAAAGCGACGCCGTCTCCTCACCCTTGCGATCGAGACTTCCTGCGATGACACATGCGTCGCCGTGCTAGAGAAGGAAGAAGGTGCGGGCGGAGCCGCACATCTTCGCTTCAATGGCAAGATTACGTCCGATAATCGAGAGTTTCGAGGCGTTTACCCCATCGAGGCCGTGAAATCGCATAGCCAGCATCTGTCGAATATGGTGCGGGAGGCTATGTGTACATTCCCCGACGCTTTCGAAGAATTAAATACTTCAAGTAATAGAAGAGATGGCGATAATGACGGAGAGAATGGGGCTATAAATCCTCGAGAAAACGTGCTCTGGGTCGACGGACAAGCACGTCGGAAGCCGGATTTCGTATCTGTCACACGGGGTCCGGGCATGATGTCGAATCTGTCGGCAGGATTGAATACAGCCAAGGGCCTCGCTGTCGCCTGGGACGTCCCATTACTCGGCGTCAACCACATGCAAGCCCATGCATTGACACCGCGGCTGGTGAGCACTCTCAAGTCCGGGGAGCAAGAGAACCCCGCAGCGTCAAAAACAACCACCCCAGATTTCCCCTTCCTATCCCTCCTCGTCTCCGGTGGCCACACACTCCTCGTCCTCTCACGCTCCCTCAACGACCACGTCGTCCTAGCCGAAGCGCGGAGTATCGCGATCGGCGACATGCTCGATAAATGCGCGCGCGTCATCCTCCCTGCCTCCGAGCTCTCCGCCAGTGAAAACGTCATGTACGGACCTCTCCTCGAGCGCTTCGCTTTTCCCTCTATACCTTCATCAGATTACGACTACGAGTACCAAGGTTATGCTACGCGTGCAGAGGAGGTTGAAAAATACAATCCTGGCTTCGGGTGGTGGCTTACGCCCGCGCTGTCCGGGTCGCGGGATATGGTTTACGAGTTCTCGGGGATTAATGGACAGGCGCAAAGTATTATGCAAGAAAACCCGGATATGGTGGTTGAGGAGCGGAGAGTGCTAGCCCGGCATACCATGCGTCTGGCTTTTGAGCATTTGATTAGTCGGTTGTGCTTTGCACTCACGCCTTCGGCGAAGAACAAGAAGGATGTGGGCAAACCTGATAAAGTTGAAAATGAAAATGAGGAGTTGCTGCGAAAGGTTCGCACCGTTGTTGTAGCTGGTGGCGTGGCGAGTAATAGGTACTTGATGCGTATCCTGCGAGCGACGTTAGATGCCCGCGGCTTCAGGCATATTAAGCTCGAGTGTCCGCCGATACCGTTGTGTACGGATAATGCGGCCATGATTGCGTGGACGGGTATGGAGATGTATGAAGCCGGATGGCGGAGCGAGCTGGATATTGTTGCATTGAGGAAGTGGTACATGGATTCGACGGCTGCAGGAGGTATATTAGGAGTTGAAGGGTGGAGAAAGGTTGAAGATGAGAAGGAACGACGATACCCCTTTAGAAACTTAGAAACTCAAACCATAGTTCTGGCTTAGAACGACTTCAAGCGAGTTGTTTAATGCCCTTGCATAACTATTTGTACAATCACATAGCATATATCGGCGCTACGGTATCATAGGAAAACATTGCAGATACAATTGTAGTCAAAGCGGGTAAAATGCATTGATGCTTGAGTTGTTGTACATTTACAAGGCAGGTTCTAGAGGCCCGTAAGAATTAGCCTAGATAGCTATTATGGCGATCTACCAAGCTCCTTCACGTCCTCTTCCCCTTTGTCTTGCACTTCTGAACTCCTAAATTCATGCGTAATGCTCTAAGAGCATCTGGCATATACGCCTGATACCCATAATTCGTCTCCTTTCAACCATATCGTAACTTAATCCAGCGCACTGGTGACATTGGTAAATTCGCCCTTCTCCAACTTCGTCTTCCAGAATATGGGGTTCGTGTCGTTGAAACCGTGCTTGACCCAACCCTCTTCCTTGACGTGATACAAGTTGATGAAACCACCGGAGTAAGCATCACGGTGCGTAGCAGCCAAGATACTTCGACGACCCAGCTCCAGAGCATCATCCACGCTCAACTCGTATTTGTACTCAGCGTCGAGCACACCGTAAGCAAAAGTCTGACCGGAACCAACACAGAACAAGTTTCCAGCAAGACGGGTACCATCGGAGTCGATGTAGTATAGAGCAGGTCCCTCTTCCTTGGTAACGCCGGCGCACATCGTACCCATAGATAGTCCCATCCCCTTGTAGTTATAAACGAGATTGGCGAGAATCTTGGAGGCGGCGGCGACGCTGATGCGGCGCTTGTGGCGGAGTTCGTGTAAACGGCACTGCATACCGAGCCAGGCCAGCCAGTATTGGCAGTCGGCAGCACCACCAGCCATGGTTCCTAGCAGACAGCTGTTGATCTCAATCACCTTCTTGACCGTCTGCGACGCAATCCAGTTGCCAGCCGTCGCTCGAGAGTCTGTCGCTACGATAATACCGCCCTGGAATCGGAAGGCTAGTGTCGTCGTACCGTGCGCAATCTTGATCGGGCAGTCCGGGTTCGATCGATCGTCTGTAGCTGCGCGGAGCCAGGCCGAGGGCTGGTTTTAGGGATATGTTAGCTATATAAACTTCGTCTTCCCTTGGCTTTATGGAGCTTAATATAGCCTGTATATTGGAGTGCGGTACTACTCACTTGGGCTACCGGGGGCATGGCGAATTTAAGAGATAAACTGGGAGACATGTCGTTCTGGAGATCATCTTGCTGGTCCTCTGCAACGGTCTCCTTGTGGAATGTAGCCGGACGGCTGTACTTGGCCACGAGGGTATCCATGATTATTTTTTCCTTAACCTCGCTGGCTGTGCTCTCAGTAAAGTTGAAAAGAAGGAGGAAATAGACGATGAATTGATGTGGTGTTGTTACAAACAAGTGAATGAGAGTTGTAAATGATTGATTGAGATTGGACCATACAAGGCTTCGCTCCGAAGCTCAAGGCAGCTGGTCTCACGCGTCGTTATTACCTTAAGTGACAACCCCGGCCCCGATGGTCAAAGCTCCTTCTGCAGATACTTAGTCATCATATACTAGTGCATTTTTGATTACATCATCATCAATTGTGCCTACAATCAATTACGAAGAGTTCCAAACTCACGACAACATTAAATTACTGTATTACAAGTTGACTACCATGATAATTGGATATCAACTCTAATTTGTTATGAAGACTAAATCTACAGATTATCACAGCAAGACTCCGACAATGCTAGGTTTCATGAACATTGATAACATGCGACCGTAATCACTACAACTCAATAACAGGCTTAGCTATATACTAGAACAGAAGATAGGGAACGGCCATCAGAACAAATAAAAATGGAATATATATGGATATCAAAGCCTCTATGTAAATCCCCGAATCCCCCAACACCAGGTGAGACGGGGTATAAATAGATTGCTCTGTTGATTTTTATACAGCGTATCGTGACACATTAAAGGGCTTCCTAGGGAACGCCGAACCGGAATTAAATCTGCTCCTCCTCTCCGTCACCATGGTGGTATATTTCATCCCTACCGTCACTCCTCAAAACTTCTTTTCTTTCATTCTCATTTTCTGACACACTCCGACTCATTTCTCAACTTAATACCGGTTCGGCGCACGATAAGCCGAATATCCATTTTGTTGTCCATAGTTATAGCTGCTATATCCGCCACCCATGTTTGGTATCGTGGGTTGACGTCCAACAGGTGCCGCGTTCGCGACGAGGTTCTCGCGGCTTTGATTCGGTCCACTCATCGGTGTTGTCGGTGTTAACGGTCTGTTATATGAACCGTTGAGTGGTGAATAAGAACTCGGCGGCTCAAGTGCGACCCCCATATACCGCTCAGGTGAAGAGCTGCGCCGACTAGGTGCTTTCTTCACATCCGCGACGGCATTAGCATAAGTGATAGTGATCGCGGTAGACTCATTTGTCTTAGTGCGATCTAAGAGCAGCGAATTGCGGGCGTCTAATGGCGTTAGGTCGTCCATATCATGCTGCATCTTCTCTGTGGTATTTATTAGTATGCCGTTCTAGGCGGCACATATTTCGGCAGTTCAAGGGCTTTCAACTTACCCATCTCCTTTCTGCGCTTGCGGTGGGGGTTTTGCTTGCAGCATGCCACGATCGCGTTCCATGCGATGAGGATCGCAAGTGTTCCGGCTAGAGCCGATTGTATGGCAATTAAAACGACGCCAGTAACGGTTTGTGTGGTCTGAGAAATGCCAAATTCCTCAACGAATATGAGGATACAGACGGCGGATAGGACGCGCACGACTTGGATCGCGATGTTGACGACGTTACCAGATTTCCTCTCAAATGGCCTGCTCCAAAGCAGTAGTCCAAGCATCAATCCTTCGACGACTAATAGAGCAATAGTTTGGGACATACCATGACCATCAGTAGCGGCCAAAACACATCCCTTCGCGAACATGTATACGATTACTGGTACGAAAACCCACCAATAATCTTTCTTATAAGATTCATAGAAGAGGGAATACTTGACCCAAATTTTCTTATCTTCATATAAGCCTGTTGCATCTCCTTCACTATTCTTGAGCTTGCGGGCCATACTCCAGATTTTCCAAGAAAAGAAGGCAAGGATAGCCGTGAATATCGCGAGTGTAACTGCGGCCAGTGTTTGAGCGGCCCAGGAATCTCCATGTGTGAATTGGAATACACAATATAGAACCCAGACGCTGTAGAGCAGCAGAATCATGGATGTGATGGCGCGAGCAATTGAACCCCAATAATGCTTGCGGAAGCCGGTTAAAGATTCAGGAAAACTGCCGAATAGGGCCCAAGCTTCGAGGATGACCTTTAATAGTAAGATACCGACGACGATGACACCAATAACGATGGCAACGATTAGTAGCACAGTCATAAAAGTGTTGGCCTGCGGTACCGTCAATTGTGCGGCAAATCCCTGAATACCAGAAACAGCTGCTCGGAGTGTTGCCTCAGTGCTTGTCGCCGCATTTCCGTCGGTAGCCGTTGCATTAGCCGTAGTCTCGACATCACGAATAGCGAGGGTGACGATATCAGTGACAGCTCGCTTGAGAACCGAACTGTTCGGGGTCGAAGTCGAGTTGTCGGGGAAAACGAGGGTAGCCTTTTTCAGGAAGTCGACGCTATCATTAGTCAAGTTTCCACCGGTCATACCTCGAAAATCGTCAATAGAAACTTGCATCTGTTGCCATGGGATAAGACCCGTCGAGAAAGCAAAGTTCTTCGTGAAACTCCGGTAGACTTGCGGTAGTTGGCCAGACATCATGCCGTTCATAGCAAATCCTTGGAATACGCCGAAGACCTCGCCAAAATTTGGGCTGATGGTGCCTCCTCCTCCTGCGCCACTGGCTACACTAGCTCCCCCTGCTCCGGAGAATGCTGCACCAATTGCTCCGACACCACCCACTAATAAAGCTGCTCCGGCTACACCAGCTGCCACATACGACACCGCAGCGACACTGGCGGTCTTTCCGTTCGTAACTTGTGATTGGATGCAACCTACGTCTTTTCCGTCGTCTAATGATTTAAGCTGTAGCGTTGCTTGTGCTGCGATATCCGGTATTTGGAAGGCAATAGAAGGTATAGAGTTAGCATATTGCTCAGGTATTGCTTGCGTCCCCTTCGCACCAAATGACCCTGCAGGAACTATTCACTGTTAATAATATGGCCTCACAAATTGAAATTAGGGAGTAATAACTTACCAGGACATAGGTCTTTAACGAATGTCGTCTCATTGCAGGGGTTAAAGCTATTCGTGTATACATCCTGACCATACGCCGTCACGGAAAGCGTCGCCGTTACATTCTGCCTCTTATCGCTCGTACCCGCAACATCGAAAACCACTGTCTTGTCGGCATTGTTGTACGAGATATCCACTTTTTGGACCTTGATATTGCTATCGTCCTCACAATTGTTGAACCCATTCGTCACCAATAAATCGTCTCCTAAGACCCCACTAACAATTGCCGTTGCTAATATTGCTGCCCGTCGGATATTCCACCTCGAACTCGATATCGCCATATCGATCGGTAATTTTTTGGGTCTATATCGTAGAATATGTCAAGGAAATCGTAAAGCAACCGGGAAAATGGAACAATCCGTTTGTCTATTTGTATATTCGACGCCTCCCGTATGCGTTCGCTACCGAGTTATGCTTGAAAATCAATCGCTAGATGCTTTCCGATATACCACACCGTAAATGGGTCTTTTTCCTAAAAATGGTATTATAAACTTGTATTGGTTATAAGTTGGTCCTTTTTTGTTTCGAAATTTGTTCGTCGGAGATAGATGGGGGCCGGCTGATTTCCTCGATAGATAATCGTCTCGAAACCTCAAAGTGAACACATAAAGTTCGTTTAGGACAAAGAATAAGAGTGTAAAGAGAGGATATTATTGTCGCTGTTATTCAAAAAAGGGGAAAACACATGAGAATCAAAGATGGCCAAGGATCAACCTGTGGCAAGAATGGAAAATGGCAACAAGTTGCCTTTCTGAAGAAAGAAAAAAAAAAACGAGGCTCGCAGCAACACTAAGGTTTGTTCTCTATAGATGGAAAAGTTATGGAGGTTTGGCAGCTTGGGGCGGAGGGGGCCGACTTCAATAATGACGAGAAGGTCGACGATAGCGTAGTAGTGAAGGTCGATGTCGGCGCATATATGAAACGGGACTTAGCTTAGAGCAGTAAACGAATGTGCGAGGAAAGATCACCAAAAAGAACGGCTCAAATCAGAAAGAGGGTAACGGCGCCAAAGGAAAAGAGTGAAGGTCAGAGCATTTTGGTTGGTGAAGAAGCTTAGATCAAAAGATGTACATGCACCCCATTGAGGCCCCTGACGAGATCTCTCTATGATAGAATGAAAGACAAACGACCAATTGGCGCTGTCCCCTTGCTGAGTGAACATTCGAGGTCCAGTACCCCTGTCTCCTGTAAACCCCTGTCAGCGCTATCAGTGCCATCATCGTGGAGCCAGCCCCAGAGGATATGACTAGGGGGTGCTAAGCTAATCTACATGAAACCAGCCCCTTGGGAAGATCATTGGATGTCCGGCAACCTCCATAGTAGGTCCGGTCGTTTTGGGGACCGTGGAGCCAGCCATTCTGGAATTTCGAAACATGGTGTGAAAATAGTAGGTCGAGGATAGGTAGACAAATCGCGCCGTCTCAAACGGGTACCATAATCTAGTGCGCGGCAGTCATCTACATACATAAGAGAATAAATACCTTTATATTGAAGAGAAAGTACAGGTGGTTTGATTATAACAAGAAGCGGTACGCAGGCATAATTTAGCGTATTAGAAGGGGAATGCCCAGATGCTTAACCAAGAACAAAGCAACTCTAGGTACCTGGCTCGAGACAAAATACGGGAATTTGGTTGGCTGATAAAAAGAAAAGAAAGGGAGGAAATTGTACGATTGGTCAGAAAACAGCTGGCTATCTCCAGAAATGCGTGGTGTAAGGATAACTTCCAGGGGCTTCCAGCGCCGCCATCTCGACTTATGACCTCTACACTGCACTAAATTCCAAGCCACACTCCAAAACAGGAGTCAATGCTGAATACGATGTCTTGGGAAGGGCACCTAGGTAACGGACAAGAACCAAGGAAAGAGAAAGATATCTCACGAACTTTTCTCCCGTTTGTAACTCTTTTTTTTTCTACGTCATGTACAACTCTAGAAAAAAGGATCATCGATCATATTTCCTTGATATCCCAATTCTACAGTACATATGACTATGTATCTGATACAGATTCATCTTATTATCGAACCCTAGCGATCTAATATGACGAACCGTCCATCCCAGTCTTTGCGTGGGTCTCTATTATGCATCGAATACAGCATCGCATAGCAACAAAATTATGGAAGAAATAGGTCATACTTAGCCCTAATTCCAGATTCCGACCTCGACAACGCTCCCACGTGCCCAGGTCTTCTATTTAATAAGCATCGACACATCTACCCAGTCCACTAATTAGTGTGTTTATGCTACGTGGAAGGATAGAATCGCAATAGAACCTTTTGAAACAGTATTATTAATGAAATACTAGAGATAAATTTCACTGGTCGACTAGACTGCTCTAAATGCCGTTAGTGAAAGATGAGGCATGAAAATAGGAGCAATTCCGGTATGGTAACTTCATATAGCCGGCGTGAGCTATGAATCAAGTCCGTGAGTTTGATCACCATCGGAATCAAGCTTAAATCTACTTAAAGTCGGTTCCACCATAACCTGCTTTATTGGTGTCGCTATTATCCGATATTGAGTAATATCATAGATCTCTTATTAACCCCTTCAGCTCATTCGAGGAAGATATACCTGAAGCTCACATCGTAGTGCATAAATATATTCTTCATAACCCTACAGTGTACTTAGATGGAGCCTACGACGCTAGGTGGACCAGGAAATTAATGAAGATAGTCCATCATATGTATAAGACCCGCCGTCCCAATAAACCTGAGAGGCCGCCAGTCCAAGCCAAGACTACAAATTTTAGGCATCCATTTAAGATATTAACCTCGGTCAAAAATGTCACGCAAAAGGTTTTGAATGTAAGATGTGTAAATACGAGCAAAAGGTCTATTGGAGTAGTCTAGAGGAAAGCACGCCAAACCACCACCAAGCCCGATGACTGGAAGAAATGAAAAAGAAATCCGCTTCTCATCAGGTCGGATGATTGTATGCAGCATTCCGCCGTCGTCACGCATATTTCAAAGTTCATCAGTCGCCCACCCATTTCGTAAATGTTTTCTACCACCAGACATGACCCAAAAGAAAAAAGAAAGGGAAATAATATATCAGCCAAAGTATGCCTCGCCGGTGTATCAAATACAGCACGACATAAAATGTCTGGTTATCAATCGTTTGAAAAGAAGATCCAATGACCATTTGAACGCATCAGATAGTTCATTGAATAACCAGATATACAAATAATGCCCAGCCAAACATAAGGGATATCGTAAATTGCGCGAAATTTTCTAAATCAATAGCGTGAGGAATAAACATGATGAAGTATATATCCCGGGCTGTCCTAGGTTATCCTACAAAACTCCAGCTCGAGGGGGTATCTGTCATAATGAGGAATCGCAAACGTAAACCGCAAAGTAGAGTAGAGTAGTGAATCGTCGTTTATTAGCTGTAAAAGCTTCCATGGCCTTGGTGAGGTGAGTGATTATAGGGTGAAACCGAACCCGGGTGACTACCGTATTGCTCGACGGGTTGCATGCCACCCGGAGCGAAGTTTTCATAGCCCAGAGATCCAGTAGAATCCTGTATTCCTAGTGGGTTCATCTCGAACTGAGGGAATGGCTCTAGTCCTTCCTGCTGGGATTGAGGTTGGGGTTGGGGTTGAGGTTGTAGATTCATGTATGCATTCGTAGATGAGCCGTAAGACGGCGCTGAAGTGACAGGTAATGCATGATATTGAGATTGAGGGTTATTATAAGTCGGCGGCATCATTAAAGGATGTCCTCGGTTAGAAGACATCTCGGCATATGACTGAGTCATTTGATGTTGCGCATAATAAGGATTTTGGAGTGGAACCTGAGTAGAACCATACGTAAGGTTATTAGGAGCGTACTCCATTGGGATAGTATTAGGCGTTGTATTAACGCTCTGAGAAGTGAACGGCTGGGGCTCCTGTTTGACTGGGGGGATTGGGAAGCTGGGTCGGGGAGGATCTTGTATGGGGCTGATGAGTGTATCTGCGTCGACCTCCTTCCTATCAACTACTTCCAGCACAGGGAGGCTAATATGTTCCATATGTTTTGCTAAGTGGACCGTAAGCTTCTTCCATGTTGGGAATGTTTTACGACAAAATCGGCAAGGCTCATCCGATGGCTTAGCTAGCGTCTCAACGTGACATTGCTCCACCTTCAACCACGTACGGTCAGCGTTACCAGCCTTCTTGATGGCTGCTTTCGTCTTAATCTTCGGTTCCGTATACTTGTGCTCGCGAACAAGATGTTGTAAAAAGTTGTCGCGCCTGTAGCAGACATGGCGACAATCCTCAACATCACAAATCCACCACTCGAGGTGACGATGCCCTTCATTTTCATGTCGAACCCAATCGGCTTTTCTCTTAAACATCTTGGGGTCACGACACCTCTCCCAGGTACACGTGAATGGTTGAACATCCTCATGGACATGTTTAGTCCAATCGGAAGGCTTTTGGAATTTCTTACTGGCAAAGCACAGCCGACACTCGAATTCCGCCGGGAGAGACATTGTCGGGGGCATGGGAATACCCGGAGGGAAACTTTCCGAATTGATACCACCCTCGAGTGGTGCAGCATCACCGTCGGAAGAATCCGGTCGAGCCGACAATGGATCAAAGCCTCGCTCGCCTCCTTTACTATCAAGGGGAATAGCGGATCCGCCCATCGCGAGGCACATAGTGCCACTAGAGCAGCTCTGTTGATTGATAACTTGTAGATGCCTAATTTTGGCAGTCTGGAGTTGTTTGTAGCGCGCTAACATTTGATGCGCAATACGCTCAACTAACCAGGAGTTCTCACTCGGTAGTAAAGGATTCAAGTTGTGGATGTGTTCCCGGAAGCCAGCAAGGGTTGGTTCTATGGGCTTCAATTTGTTTGGTTCGGGCTTTATATCCGCTTCGTCAAAACCTTCTTCATCGTCGTCGTCATCTTCATCCTGCTCTGGTGCTGGCTGGGTTCTTGCTAACGAAGCAACAGGTGGGCCGCCTTGTCTCTTTAGCATTCCGACTAAGTGCGGGTGTGAGAGGGCCTCGAAATTGGAACCCTTTGGAAGCTCTGTCTTGCTCCTTTGTCTCCTGAGGGCGTTTTTGACAGGCGGTACATTGAGGGATCCGAATGGGCTCTTCGGAGAGGTCATCGACATTGCGCTGATTGAGCCGCTTCGGGCATGAGTAGTACCGATAGAGGCGGCTCCAGTGGCCATTCCAACCAAAGCCGTGTTAAGACTGGGTGTTGGTTTCTTAGTAATGCTACTAATTCCCCAGCTAGAAGTACGTGACGGCGGAGCCAAGGTGTCTTTAGACTCTCGGCGCTCTTGGTCCTCGGAATCATCCTGCGGTATCTCGCTGGCATTGCTCCCCTTGCGCTTCCGGATTTGGCTACCACTAGGTTTACGTACAAGGCTAGGGATTCTCTTCATGAAACTAGGTCGACGGGAGTGACCACTAATGGACAATTTCTTTAAGAAGTTGCCACTAATAATTCCTTCCATGTCCACAATACTAGGCAAACTCCGCCGGCGGGTTCCCCAGGTAGCTGCTCTCGATACGATCGAATCGTTATCTTGGCATTGACGATTGAACTTTTCTATAGCCGCTTGCGACGTTTCCGGCTGGTATTTGCGATCGGACTGGATAGCATGAATAGCCGGCGCATCCCCCCAAGTTGATATCTGTCGCATTATGTCAAAGTCGGTGTGTGTAAGAGGTCCGCCCGATCCATCCACGTTTAGGTACGTCTGTCCCGGGAGATGCCTATTTTCAGTTGTATTCCCTAGAGGAATCTCGGCGTCAGGTATGTTGTCGTTCTCCGAACTCTGCCCGCTAGCAACCCTGTTAGAGGAGCTGTCGGAGCCACCAGAAAAATCATTCCGATCGCCAGTCGACCGAGAAACCCACTCGAAAACCTCCTTATTCTTCTCATCGCGTTCTCTGCGGGCAGCTTGTTGATTTGGGCTCGGTACCTCTTCGGAAGGACGGTTTCCAGGGGCGAGACCTCGATACCCCGCAGTGGAGTGTGGTAACCAGTTACCATGTGCATCTCGAAATACGGCCGGTTGGTTTTCGTGGGTGACTTCACCAGCTAGGTCACCGGCCAAACTATATGAAGCATGCGTAGTAGATGGGGCTTCCATTTCCACGTTGAGTGGCCTCTCAACGCCCTGTATTGGGGCCTCCTTACCCTGATTCCACATGGAAACAGTCACGCGAGGGCTTCGAGTAGCCATGGCAAGTGCGGTCGGTATGGGGTTATCGTCGCTTGAAAAGCTATCACCGTTGGTATCAGGTGTGAGCTGAGGTGCAGACTGGTTTGAATCAACAGAATTTGTGGAAGGACGAGCCTCGTTTGAGAAATACTGAGGTTCGGCCGGGGCATTAGAGTCAACACCGGCCTCTGCGTTACTATCAAAAGCCGATGTCGATTGGATGGAGGGCGTCTGATGGGGACTCAATGGATACTGAGTATCGACGTTACCATTATCCTGGTTCGTTGTATGAGGACCAAAAGAGTTCTGTGTGTTGTCGAAGTCCTCAAGGAAATGAGGCATTCCACTGTCCAAGTTGTTAAAGTCAACTGAAAGAAGAGCGTCATCAAACTCGCTACCGAGGTCACTCGACTGGTAGATATCGGTGGAGACAGAGTCCGCGGGGGTATTGAAATTGTTTGTGGGAGAGGCAGAGTTGCTTCGAACATGAGAAGAATACGGCGATAGCAAATGAGATTCAATAGGTGTCGTGGGACCTTTCTGGTTAGGATTGTAGTTGTTGTAATTGTAGCTGTAGTTATTGGAGATGTCGCGGCGGGGTTGTTGCGCCCGATCCTTTACGTGATCGCGAAGGTCGAGCGACGCGGGCGAGACTGTGAATCCCCCACTCATGGTCATAGCTGAGAAATAGATGGGCGACTCGGGGCTGGTATATATTTAATCGACGTATAACATGAGAACTGCGTAGCTCCTGATAGAAGGTCGTCAGAGAACGACCATATTCTTCCTATGCGACTGCGACCGCGACTACACCGCGTGACAATCCGGGACCGATCGAGCGATAGCCTCGCGACCGAACGCGATCAGTCTCTTTAGATCGACTCTCTGCGACAGTTTCACGCGATAACTCGCGACGACTAACGAAGCTCGATGTGCGTGTGTGTATGTGTATGTGTGGTATTGAAAATAGCAAATATGATTCTCAATTGATTTCCTAAGAACTTAGCTTAGAAACCAGAGGAGGATCTACTCGAATATGGATGCTACAATACTAGGGGGGGTAAGCCGGGTACCTTGTCACGGCGGCGGCGCTTAAGAGAAGTGGAGTTCGACGGAATTGAGCGCCAAAATGGAAATACGCCCACGTTAGCGGCGACCAGTTTCCCCTCTATCGAGAGGAATTAATCTGATCAAAAAGCTGTGCCGGTGGACTGTGAGGGGGCCGTGCAAGGTGCAAGAAATACAGGGAAAATGACGGAACGGCGATCGAAGGCTCAACAAGCTATTGTTCCTGTGGACGAAGAAGGAAAATAGAGTGGATTGGATATCGAGAAGAGGCAGGGAGAAGCGGGAATGGTCGAAGAAGACGAGGGTGTTCCCGAAATGGGCAAATGGGCAGTACACTTCTTGCTAGGTACCTACCTGTAGGCAAGGCAATTCGCACGAAATCAATACATCAGTGGTAGGGCTCGCGCACTACTGCGGCTCCCCTCGAAAGTTCTTTACACCATTTTGATTGGATCGCTGACCATCATTGGGTCATCGCCAGACCAGCTAGGCGTTCTATCCTCGAGAGAGAACAGGGGTTTGTACTTGTAAGGCGTTCTTCGCTTCCTTCTCAGCCCCGAATGGACCCCACTTGTGAGCCCACTCAGTCGAGTGAGATCGCAAGGCACTTCGGATGACTGACTGATAGACAGACTCGTACTAGACATTGTATGCCCATGTATGCCCATAAGCACTCCCGTGTCATGGCGGTGCTCCGCGGCAGTAGCCAATATACACCGAGGCCTAAACACGGTCATTCGCATCCATACTTAAATGCGAATTGATATATATCATTGCGGTGCATTCAGAATGCGGGAAGACGAATAATGGCCATAAACCCCCTCATTTCTGACCCAGCCGCACTACAGATTTTCATAAGCGAAAGAATAAAATACTCTGTAACCATTGTCTCGGCCCTGTGATTGGGCAAAATAGAAATGGACAAATGCTACTGTAGCACGAGCTGATGAAATAGCCCGGCAGGAATTTCCCGGGGTCCGGCATCAAATCCATGAGAAGGAAAATTATGCTTTCTAGTGTCGATTCCTTCTTCGTAACGTTTTGGATTACTCCGGAGCCTTTGAGGTGTAATAGAATTAATTCTATCAAGCTCGCGAATAATCCCGTAAAATGGACACTTAGGAGCAAAAAAAGTAGGTAAGTGCCGGTTCTTGTCTTGATAACTTGCAGTAGCGTGGAAACCGTGGCAGTCCACTAAGCACTGCGGGCACAGCGCACAGCCGTGACTGCGGCAATACAGCTGTGGAAAATCGAGATAAGTGTGTGACAAGGTCAAGAAACCCCGACCATAATCTTGGAAATTGGTCGATCGGGACATTGTTCTGCAATCAGGAAAAGGGCGACAATAGAAACGTGGTATTAGATAATCCGGAGTCCGGAGTCGATTCAGTCAGCCCATCGAGGCAGAGAGGACTGGCAGAGGCCCGGTCAGAGGTGGCTTGGTTTGAATATTAGAGACGAGGTTGGTACCAAACTCGCTGTATCAATGTCTCCAGTGAGACCTGTATCTAACTTACTACGCACCAAAGGCGTAAAAGGGCAAGGGAACCAGAGCAGCGGAACTAGCCGCGGCTTTGGAAACGAGCAAGTTCTCTGGCATCGTCTAGCACTCGGTGAGTTCAGGTTAGATAGTCGTTTGAAGAACGGCACAGCACAGAGCACGGCGTCAATTTGGTTAAACGCGCAGCGCGATGCAACATGACCATGGATAGAAGGCCACATCGACCATATCGACAGTTGTAATGCGTATCATGGTAATCTCCGAGATGAGGACGTTTATCACGTGCGTCTAAATCCTTAGTTTGGAAATTCCAGGTAGTGCTGTGCCGCAGAAGGTTGCATCATTGAAGTCTCAAGATTGTCAGGATTGTGGGTTTGAAAACCAACAAGTTTGAAAATGAACAAAAAAAAAAAAAAAAAAAAAAAAAGGTTGGGGGATAAAGAACAGCAAATAGTCACGTGTCCAAATTATAATTTTTCTTTTACAGCTAGGAAGCTGCGACGAGGATAAGTTTACGTTCCCGATACTATTCGGTTCGTCCTTGCCTGCAAAATATGTGATTCTACTAACAACTGTAGAGTTTAAAGCTACCGAATTCATAGAGGGCCCTGTGGAGAAAAAAGGAGGCGGGGAGTTGGGGCTTAATGATGGAGCCCCGCAACATAATGCCATGTACCATAATTTTTATTCATCCTTCATCATTTTGTATTCACTTATCAACATCTCACAATACCATCGCATAAGCATATGTACGAGGTTGTCTGGTAGCAAACACAAGTAAATCGTATTCGAAATTATGTTCCAAGTAAGTGTACTGAGGCATATTACTTGTATTATTCGAGATGACTGAACAGTTTGTTCTTGGATTGCCTACATAAGCATTGCTATCTTGAATGTATGTTAACCTACCATCGTATTATAGCCACACCCAGAAGACCGACTTCATCTACGAATGCACCGTGCTCGGTCGGTGGTCCTTACGTCACAAGAGTAGGTTTCAATCTCATTTGTGCCTCCTGGAAACTCAAGCCACGTAACGCTGAGGCCCAAACTGGTTGTGTCCGGCATTTTATGAAGAAATAATCGTTATGACTCACAACAATGATCTAAGTCCGATTTCTGCTGTTTGATATGGGCCTCGTAGATTTCCGCGTAACACGGTACCACGTCGCTGACCTTAGATTGCCATGTCGTGTAGGTTGGTTGAAATACGAGCCGCCCAGCGAACATTTGAAGGAGCATATATGCGAACGGCCCTTTCACAGTTCAGCTTTGCCCTAATCATACTTAAAATCTTCACCTCCGAGTTTTATGCTATAGGCGCCCTCTTTGCCGTCTATGGTGCAGCGGTCTTGTTGTGCGCCATATATCGCCGATATCAGGGCAATAGGCAATTCTTCACCACCACCGGTTGCGATGGCGAAGTGAAGAACAAATTTCGCACCAGCGGCAATAGCGTGCTTCTCCTCACAAGCCTCAGTATCAGCGCCTATATTAGTTTGATAGTTCTGACCTTTCAATTGGAATCATAAAGGAATAGACTGCGACGAACTGACCAGAAGGTCTCCGCTTGGGAGTAGGGTTCCATTGCTCGTATTTTGCTACTAGACATAGGCGCTGGGCTAATTGTTTCGGGCCATCTTGGTCGAACAATTAATATCCTCTTGGTGGCGTTAATAGGGCATTGTCTCACATAAATGTAGCCAAGATCAATATACATTATGACTACTACAACAACAATAGAAAGAATATGTCAAATCATACCGGTCATCTAAGACAAACTCGGCTCATTGAAGCCGAGGAGATTTGTTACATATCGCTGTGTAACTAGGTATCCGCCATTCCCCTCAAGTTTATATTACGAGCATTGAAGCCCACGTCATAAAGGAGTGCGGGTCATTTCGTCCGGCAAACAACTCTTTACCGCCTCAGCGAATAAACGTACGCCTTTATATAAATGTTCACTTAAGTTGGCATATACATATGTCCAGGACATTTGGTGAGACATCCTAACTGTTATCTACAGGGAGAGTCCAGTTCGCTCCCTCTATCAAATATAGATACACTATAGCCAATAAACCAAAACGTACTCAGACTTTTTAACCATCCGAAAGCCAAGACAAGATAAGAAGAGAAACTAAATCCCAAGAACAATGTCCGTTTGAAAGCCCCTTTTCATAGTACCTCTCGAAACTAAAGTTTTTTTTCCTCCATCGCTAAGACCAGGTGGCGCCAGAAAGAAAAAAGAAAAAAAAAAGGAGTAGGAGAAACTAAAGACGCAGGTGGTTTAAGGAATGAGAAACCATATCTCCCCAATATCGTCATGAGTAGTTCTCGAATTCTTAACATTGAGTTATTCTCTTTTGCTCCAAAGCCGTTGGAGGTCGGAATCTGCATAATACCCAAGGAAATTCGTATTAGGCCTGAGCACTTTCGGTGTTGAGGCAGGAAGGCGCATCGACCTTTAATTGCCCGCTGCCCATTGCGCGGACTTTTTTGGCTACCCAAGCGCAAACCTCCGAAAATCTGGTGTATTCTTACTGATATAGACAACTGGCTTCTGTAAGATCTTCTTCATTCATATGAGCAACGCTTAGTCTCCCTTCTTTGCCACTTGGCAAGCCTCAGTTGAGTTGGTCTTAATGAGGGGAGAAAATTGAGCGCCCGGATAGGCTTTAGATGTCCGATCGAGGTACTACTAGCATTATTATTCTTGGCGAATATTGACACTGAAGGCCTCATAATCGACAATACTAGCAGTTTAGTATATTTCCCCTCGATCGGTTAGGTGAAGGTTGCGAGTGCTTTTCCCGAATGTCGAACGTTGCTAGGTGACCCAGATACCTAGGAGGATAGGCACCTACCCGGAGAGTACCAAGCCAAAAATAGAGAGGCTATGTCCAAAAACTCCGAGTCATGGGGGTTAATTGATTTCGCGTCGCGGGTCTAAGGTGGGTGTATGCTTGTCGATCTCCCCAGACGTTTTCAAGTTTATGAATGTCGCAGATCCCTCCCCTGTGCTCAGGCGAGTCAATTGTCTAGCCCTTTTACTTCTCGCGCTTTTTTATATTCCCTATTCCTTCCTACAATCGTTTTTCCTTTTGCATCCTTTCTATTATAAAGCAATTAATCAAAGCAGAAATCATCAATTCGCACATCAACGCATAATGGGAATGTATGCTCCCAGCTCTAGGAGTGGGACCCACTCCAATCGACAACAGAATGCAATGCCACAGGGATGAGATGACATAGAGGAGAGCTGCAAGTGTAGCCTGTCCATCCCTAGCATATCATCCCGTTGTCAATTTTAGCTGTCATCTCCCGCCGTAATACATGCCTCCGGCTTGAGAGGGATCTTGGCCGGCCGACAAGGCATGTGTTTGCGGAGACTGTTCACGGTCCTCATACCATCCACCATAGTCTTCATTGGGTCTAGAATATTGGTACTGCTGCCACGTACCGTAAGTCGCATGCGGCACGGCACCGGCCGATAGAGGGTCCTGAATACCCAGGCCTGCCTCCGGGACGGCATTGGTCGCGAGGGATGTCTGCCTATCGTACCGTCCAGATTGATCATCGCTATAGGACATGGATCTTGTCCCTGGCGGATATGATCTCCACCCATCGTCGAGGCGAGAAGTACTATTTATCCTCCCTAACCCTGCAGAGCCTGTTGGGTGCTGAGAATTATAGGACGAGGGGTCTGAGCCGTCAGGTAGGCCGTGGGCGAAGCTCGTCCACATGGTACTCGAATCGCCGGGCATCCTCGCAGTGCTTGCACCCGCTCCTGTTGGTAGCCAGCTGCCTGCATCGTGTCCGTAGCTGAACGTCGGATCGCTAGGCGCATTCGATGGGACTATTCAATGTCTTAGCACGTCGCAAAGATATGGGGATGCTTTAGACTACACCTACTTCTAGGCTCTGTCGCATATGCTTCTTCTTCTTCAGCTTCCATTGAGTTACTTGGCATCGACGGTATTGTGGTCAACTGGTACGGTGCGTTTGACTGTGCTTCCACAGAATGTCCCGTCGGTAGTGCTGGGGATGTGGAAGGAGATGCAAGATTAGTAGGTGTTCCTGCTCCTTGCCTGTGCCCTGTTGCAGGTGGCGGTGGCTGCTGGTTTACTGCCGTGTAGATACAGTCTTTATTGAGGCTCATGCAGCTTTCGCAGCGCCCTAGAACATCTGGCGCTTCGGGCTGTTTACATCTGATTTTCCTTCTTCGGCAGTGTTCTAGAGTAGACCGCACTTTAGTATTTATGCGAAGATACTCAAGCTACCTATTATTACCCTGCGAGGATACTTACTACAAGCAATGGGTGTTCGGTGATAACCAAGCCTATTCCTTCTCCTTTCGTTAGGAAGGCCGGAGGGTCCATGGTCGGCTTCATTCGTCCCCTGCTCTCTCACGTTAGGGGTCGAGGCGATTTTTTTAAGACGGAATCCTTTGGATTGGGGTTCTTGTCGCCGTGTGGGGGGCATCTGGTTGCCCAGAGCTATGTGATTGCAAAATAGAGGAAGTGGTGAGTGGTGAAAATGGAGATTATGCTGGGTTTGATTACTGGCAGAACTTACTTCTTGGGTGGGTGCTGGATGATTATCCATGTAGCCGCCTTGCGACACCCCTAACTCTGGGCTCTCTTGTGGCGGCGGGTACTGATAAGGCATTATACCTATCATAGATCCGGGCGGTTCGGGGGGATATATGTTCGGGAAACTACGTACCCCTGAGCACTGGAAAGTTGTCGGATGGTGATCACCATCGACAAGGCTCTCTAGCGCGAAGGCCGAGGGATAAGCCGCTTTCAGCAGCTTGTATTTGGGGGTGATCAGCTTCCGTGTTGTGGCTTTCCGCCGGCTGAAGCACCTGGACGCGGATTATAGGAGAGGCACCTAGCGTATTTTCGACTCGACCTCGAGATTTGCCCCTATGACCGTTGTAAACCGCCAAAAAGATGGTAACAATGGCAAGAGGGATGTAGCAGGAGGTAGTGGAGAGCCGGGAAACCAACCAATCGATTTAGTAAGTTGCTTGATGTCCTGGAACCAGATATGCAATCCGACCATAAAAGTAACCTGGCCCTCATCCAAGAGCTATCGAGGCTATGATTGCTTAGCAGGCATAGAAGTGCGTGGTAGGACAATGCATACAGATAGCCACACCAAATCAACTTTCTACCTATAGCTTAAGCAAGCCTCTTGGGTTGGGAACAAGGATGCAAAGCATGTACCTAGATTGGGGAATCGCTGCACACCTTCTTAGGCATAAGCTCTCAGACCTATCTATGGATAGGCCGAATGGGTATCTTCGGCGGCTTCTGGAGTGTCAGTTGCAACACCACGAAACCTAACGCTGCCTTCGCTCGAGTGGAGATGGGGAGATTAGTAGGGCTAGGATCATGGATTCTGAGATCGACGTTGGCGCTGCAGGACTGCGATAAAAATTTTTTAGACAATGCTGAAGATCTATACGTGTTGATAGCGAGTAACAAGTGTGTGAACGAAAAGACTGTCATAAGTGAACGCCACTCTCGAAGCTAGAAGCTCTGATCCAACGTGGGCACGAACCACCACGGCGAAGGTCCTAGATTTCTCGCGCTAAAAACATGAGGGTTTATTTTGCATTATTCATGGCCCTCGGCGCCCACGGGTAGCCACATATGAGAAAATTCCTTGTTGATGGGCTCGGGAAGTAACCGTGAAAGAAGATCGCTCTGGGGCAGACCCTGAGGAGGTATATATCAGGAACTATGAGCCACCGGTGAGTGTTTAGTGTAGGATCAAAATATGATCTGCATGGAGTACTGTGATGGCCCCTGGACTTTTACGACATGCAGGCCGACTCGCTACTTTTTTCCCCGTGACGAAGCAATGGTAAGAAGAGTTGCCGGGCTAAAATTTATGGCGAGAGCACGAAAAGAAAAGGGATAATCTAATACGCCCGTCTCGACCGACGCGTAACTAAAAAGGAACAAGGAATTTTAGTTTTGAAATACTGGCAAAAGGCGGTGCTATTTGGAACTCGGTACTGTTAATCCTTATTACCCTTTCGCCTCGATGTCGAATATGAGGCAGATATCATCTACATAGAAGTTGCAATTGTTCTTTTCGCCTTCGGTCTTCGAACGTTGTCAACAACCTTGTATCCAAGAGGATTAACCGACTTGTTATGCATCAGGAGTCTCTCCGGTGAGCCATAAATTGTTCTCATCATTTAGATGTATTTATTATACCATAATTCCCATAATAGCCAGTTAGCACACAGGCTGTAGGTCTGAAGTTAGGGGGGAGTGTGATGTACGCACGTGTAAACCGCACTAGAGCATCAAGGCAAGGAACGGATACCCAAGGGCCCGAAGGTGAAAGCTATGCTAACTACGGTTGGCAGCGTATCACCTTGAGCAAACGAAAATAGCGAATAACTAAATACTGTTAAGCTAATAGCGTCATGGAACGGTCCAACCGGTTTTCTGGGACGTTAATTTTGTGACGTGAGTGGGATGACAAGGATTGACGGGACCGTCCATCGCTCTCCGGTTCCTTTAACTATTCTTATTTTTTCCAAATAACATCCACAGTACCTTCTCTAAAGCTAGAGGGGGCCCTTGCTAGAGGTTGCTCAGTGGCGCCGTACGTCGTCTGCAGCTTATCCTTGTATCCTTGGTGGTCCCGATACCAGAAACATCAAAGCATGAACATGGGGGGATAGCCTGAAAGCAGTGACGCACCCCCATTGTAATAGGAACCTTCCAACCGATGGTGATAACTACTAACTCGTCTTAGCTGCTAAGACGAAATGGAGACTAATAGTATTGCACTATGCATGTAAAGTGGAAGAAATAATGTATATAGTTGGATAGGGCCGATCTCGATTACAAATAGGGGTACTCCAATTGTTAGGGCTGATTTCGGGCTTGTGCTAAAATACTGGGAATTGCCTGATTTAATCTATAGTGCTGGTAATGTGTTGTAGGTAGGTAGGCATTCAAGCAGTGAGTATCGTAACCATCTTTTTCTACCCTCATGCGCACTTGCGCCACGAAGGTAGACCCGGATTCAACGTCGCAATGAAAGAGCGCCACCATTTAAGCTCATGATGGGTGTCACCTCAAGAACATTTCGTGATAATTACCTAGGTATCTATAATGACTGGGGCTGAACTGGATGAGATACTCATAGATGCATCTTATTGCTTAGGTTAGCTATATAAAGGCTTCTATGGACGCACTAACACCCCAAGCTTGTAGCTACCTATTAGTGTATAACATTGCTGGCATACTGTAACTTTTCACAATCGAGTCGGGTTGACGGCCAGACCCGAACAGTCCCAGCAGCCCGGTAAAATGGCTGGTGAAGATGGGGGAAGCAAGGGGGAGGTCCTGATCTAGGTCTTTCACATCATGCAACGCTACGAAATACGACAGCATGATACAGGTACCTTGATACAGTGCACAGGCCTTAAAATTCTCTCCTACTCTTACAGCTTTAATATTTATTATTTACGGTAAGAATGCTCTGCACATTCAACTTCCAAACTTTCATCTAATAGATAATTGAGTCCTAGAAGTTAGGCTAGACGACGAGACCCCATTTCAGCCAAAGCGTAGTTTTAACTGACGCCGCATTCGTACTGGTGGAATTGCCTTCGGCTAGAGTAGTGAGAAAAATCATTTGCCGAAGCTACGAGCAATATCACAAGAGAACCAGTGGGCATAATCCTTTCAGCCGAGCAAGATAGGATGAACATGATCTCTTCATGGAAAGCCGGCTTCGTTCATGCGTTGCGTGGTGCATCTTCAAGGTATTTGTCGATCAAAAATGATGTGCAACTAGGATTACAATGTCCGTGTTGATGCGCCTATGATGGGGCGACAACCTCCACACGCTGCGGCGGCAAGCGGATGAGTCGCATCACTTATTGGTTGATGATCATTATTCGGATTTTTTTCACCAAAGTCTATAACCTCGAGGAGATCAAACTCGACTTGAAGCCGAATGAGCTAGAAGAAAATCATCCGGTCTTACCTTGATGTCGGGGACTTTGGATATCTGCTAAGACCTTGCTTGCCAGGGGTTGTTTGGTGGATCTAGGCTGCTACCTTAGGTACCTGGGTTACATGAAATTGCTTTCTTTCTTCTGGGAGATGGTTTGCTACCTATGCTTTCTTTTGTTTTTCGGTGTGGCTTAATTAGTTGTTACATCGTTCATGATCTTGAATTAGTATATAACTAGTCAGGAGGACTCAATTTTTTGAAATGCAATGACATTATCTAGCATTAGGTATGTAACCTGAAAAGCAGAATGTACTCCAAGTTCTCACCAAACCAACGTATGATAGTCGGCCCCTAGTCTAGGGGCGGCCCGCCATCTAAGCCTAGAATCTGGGCGGTCCTCGATTTCACCGACAGCTACCACATATGCAACAAATGCAGCTGACCTCAGACATCAAGACATAGGTCCACGTACATACAACCACATTAGGAAACTTGAAGATTATGCAAGAGATGAATTTCATCTCAGCATCTCTCTAATGCAATGCACCAGGGTTGATTGTCCAGTAATATAGCATTATGCTAGACTACAGGGGCGTATTCACGCCATCCACCGGGGCGTTATTTTGCCTGCTCCAGTTCTTAGATGAAGTTTCGTTATGAGGCAGTCTTTTCTTCACTTATTAGCGTTCCTGCTGTGATTCCTCATGTTTCATCAATAGGACGCCAACCACATCTCGGCGCTCCTCCTTATCACCTCCAATGTTATTTTGCCCAATAGCGCTCAAAGTAGCGACGCATCGTTTAGCCTCAAATCGTTACCTTCTCCATTAAGTCGATCCCTCTGTAACCGAGAGCCCTTTAGCGGTGCTCCCAGCTGGTCACATGGCCGAAGCGTCGGGACCGTGCTCATGCGCATTATGGAGTAGCCTTCAACCTGGATGTGTAGAAGGACACTGATTGAGTTTCAACCAAATGCTCCAGAGCCAGTGGTATTGTAGATTTCAAGAGACTTCAAGATAATTCATACCGGCACCAACTATCTCCGACGATCTACGAGCCCAACTAGCCCACATACCCGAAGACTGACCTATCGTTTGATCTCCTTTTAGCCAGAATACCATAAGGCTTACTACTTCGCAGACTCATTTACCTGCTACCTCTAACGTTCGGAAAATCGGTGAGCGGCCCGGCGTTGACTTTACTTATGCGTTCATTATACAGGAAGAATGCATTATCAATATTAATGTCTCGCTTCTCGGCCAGTTGAAGTTTGTGACTTCAATGAGAGTATACCTAAGACAGCACCTAGTGGACAATGGTTTATGCATAGTCTAAGCACTTATGGGCTTGACTGGGGTTTGAACGATTCGACTTCAAGGTCTCCCAGTGAGACTCAAAACCGGCGAGGCAATGGACGATCAGCTTTCCGTATATTCCGATACGGCTTTGCAATGAACCCCAACCAGCTCGGTGCATTATTCCGCCTAGATAACTTTGAAGAAAGCCGTGCTCCCCGCAATCCATTGTTCCCCTCGTCACCCTTTCGCTAGAAGAGAAGACCTACGTCCAACGATGTCAAGATAGATCCAATCCAACGAAAATAGTCTTGGTCTGTGCTGTACCTTTCATTTCGTGTGTTACACAAGAATCCGAGGTGACTAGGGTTCTACTCCCCCACAAGTGCTGCTTAAACCGAAGCAAACGTCCGAACTATAGGAATGCCTGCAGATATTCAGCTCCACAATCTTTGGGGGTTTTCAGTCAGCTTCATGAAGAGCTTAACGGCTTTGTGGACGAACTGAGCCGCAAAAGTCTATGCGTAGTTGGTCCGGGGAACTAAACCAAGTGTCTCTAAACTACGCCAATGCGAGCCCAACAATGTCTCGAAGTGAGACAACTTAGCAATAGAATGAGCTGGCTACGCAGTGATTACCTAGATTGAAGTCAACTCATCTTGTACGACAAGCCATGTGCCGGGTTTCGGACGAAAGACCATGAACCTCTTACTAATAGATACTCTGCAAGTTTTCCGGTTTTTACCTATCATTCTGCTAGCCACGTGTGAAGTGAATCTGTCTTACATTATGTACCCAACGAAGTCTTTCGTTCGATTTGAAGTATTTTAAGTTAGACTTCTCATCTTGCAAAATGACTAGTCGTTTACTTATGCTATGCGGCTACAAGCAGGTAAGGGATCATACTCTTCTAGCGTGCTTAACGTAGGTACGGATTAGCGTTGGAAGCAAGCGGTCGATCTCGATGTTCAGTACCCAGGTAAATAACAATAGAAGGCGAGCCCACGCAGACCCCCACTGTGTTGGCGTGGAGGGCGCGGGAAAACATGGTGGAGGACATTGGGTGGCGGCATTCATGCTTTTTTTTCTTGCTGGGCGAGGGTTCGGATCTGTATTGGTAAGCCGATGGCGTTCAGCCCCCCATTTCATCCCATATCTTTATATGCCTGGGGGCTTAGGATGCATCGATGGAATGGGGTGCTTCATCTCGAGATCTTGCAGGTGACCTCTTCAAGAAGCCGCGTCATACATTAGTTCCGTTAGGCTGGACCATTACGACTACCTGGTAATCGTCATAGACGAGGATATCCCAGTGCAATACCCAAAGTAGGCGTAACGTCAACTATTTCCCCAACAAAGTATAAAGTATACCCGGACGTCTAGAACGCATTGTTAAACCAGCTCCTTCTTACAAGGCATATGCTGCATTTTGATAGCTCTATATGTACCAAATCACAACAGCATTTTGCTTTGACTCCTCATATCATAATTGTTTGGTAAACGGCTGGGGCAGATATAAGATTGGGGGCCTCCACAGCCAATCTATTCCGCCATTCTAATAGACAAATCCCCGAGGCTTTATGCGGGCTTATGGGCGTAAGAAGATGACGCACCTTCAAGAAAATGGCTTGCAGTATAGTGGATACTCGCTTCCTACGGACTTTCTGGCGGAGGAGGGGGCAGTGGCGTTCACGAAGTGCACGTATTCTTAGTACCTACTTTGAGATTTCGTATTTTAATGCGGTGTAGTATGCGGAGGAGTAAAAAAAGAAAATAATATTCACTATTACCTAGATCAATCGAATGCCGCCTTCTCATTTGCTTGTGGGATATAGCATCGGCAATACTTCAGGGTGTCTACGTCTGGGTAAGCACCCATTTATGGTATGGTCGATGGCCTTTCCCCTCTTAGGCCCGCCGATAGAGAGCCAATAGTTTAGCTGGAGTTGATTCTTTGTCATTCTCACAGAGGTGTGCTAGAATGAGTGGCGACTGGGAATAGTCAATGCGGTCAGTCTCATTCAACGGTGGCGACCACCTAGAGAGCCTTACTAGGTAGGTACGTGTGCCTTGTATTCAGTTATTAGGCCAAAACTCAAGTGATCCAGGTGTCCCTCATTGGAGAAGTCGTATAGGTGAGGAGTTCCCCTCTGCAATTACATGGACCTGGCATTATGGCCTTCGGCTATGTATACGTACTTTATTCGAGATTACTTGATGGTGTATGGGCAATCCAAGCCACCCCGGTGGGAATCACCATCCCAAATGCTACGATCTGCTTTGTGTTCGAAGAATTTTCGGGGGGGAATATGTTCAAGATAGAGTCACGCCTTCAATACGAGCTCACATATGTCACATGCGATGGACTTGAAGTACGTTCAAGTCTTTGGATTCGAGGTAACATTTTTAGTAGTATCGTAGAGTCTTGTCATCTAATTGCCGAATTGCTCTACCAATGCTAAATCTCAGAAGCCTGAACAAACTAGCCTCCACAATCGAGTGTCCTGCGGTGCCGAGATGGTCATCTGGGTCGTAATTGGCAACTAATAGATGGAATGGTGCCTCGAATAGTTTAAATTGTTGACCAATGCTAAGAGATGTCGCCAAAAGCCTTTGGAATACTACCGCATGGGTTGCGTATGGTTGCGTGTGGACCGACATCTTGCTGCTCATAGAGGAGACTTAATGGCATGAAGGTGATTCGAAGAGTGCTACATGGTAGCCTTTGTGTATACTGGTCGGATGTATCTGGATGCCCTGGGCGCCAACTAATGACGACAATCAGCTCCGAAGACGGCTCTACTTGTCACTAGAAGGTAAAACTTGAACCCGCTTACGATTCTAGCCTGTCCGAATGAGAGGACTGTGGCCCGCCACGATCCTCGCCAGTCGGCTCGTCCAGCACGTCGCGTGACTATCTTGTAGGTCCAGAGGGCCCTATCCCGGGTTCCTCGGAGTTGTTACAATCGTCGGAACTCGGGAGTGATACGAGGGAATCCTCTTCCTTCGTGCTACGTGGCTGCTACCTCGCGCGAGGTGATTGAAGCCCTAGAGACAAAATGTTCCTAGCCTGCTTCATCGTCACAGCCCGTGATGCATGTGGGATGCGGCTAAGCTTGCGATGTTGAGTGGATTGAGTATCCAGCAATTCTTTAGTGATATCGAAACCCTGAACAGAAATGATTAGCCGCGGTTTGCAAGGTAGAAAAGGACTGTAGGGGGTAACGCGCATAGCTTGATGTTTATAGGTCAAGGAAGGTACACTATAGGACAGATTTTTCAAAGCAGACGCTCAGGAACATGGTAATTGCCGCTCTTATCCAGCAATCTCGCTTGTGCGGTACGACCATAACAGAATAGGATATGGTTCTTTCAATATTGCGACATGCCCTGCAGCCTGGGCGCAGCTAGTTTTGAATAAAGGTGAGGGGTGTCGTCACTTGATTACTGTACTTGAATTATCATGGCATCTCATTGCAAAGAACTCACCTCCGGTGACCCGGTCCCGATAACACGAAAGCGGCATCACAAGGCTGGTGCCTCTTGAATATGCATCTTTCGCGATGCAGAACCTTGAATAGTAAATATGTTGGTCTGGGGCAGTGCTGATCATGAACTGTGCCGCCGCGGAGCCGTTGGAGTAAGGGTCAATTGCCCGAGGACTCTGCTGTATTTTGTATTTGGGAGGAATAGAGTCGCGAAATGAGAAGATCGGGATATAGCGAGCGAACTATGGATAGTTCCAACTATCTGGCAAATCACATAGTCGACATGCACTCCCATAAAAAGATGCACAACCTTGAGAGCGAGTCTTTTGCGCCCCAAGTTCGTGTCGGCAACTAGTCTCGTTCGCTAATGTACCTCTTCGATATCACCCTGCCCTCCGTAGATCATCGTTAGCGACTTGTCACCTGCACGTAGAGAGATGGGTACAACGTCTGGTTAAACAGAAGTGGCTGAAAGTCCAACCACTTTGGGGGATGTATCGCGATGCACAACCATCTAACCTTTCTTTCTATGCTTCCTGCTCTTTATTTAAGTAAGGTCTGTTGGTGTGTCACGTATTACGATATCATCCCTTGTTGGTACGGAAAGGCACGTAGGTATTACTTGCACGGGTGTGGGCCTCGTATATATGTATGATTATAGCAGGGTCTCTTCGCGGGGTGCTTAGATTGACTGCATACACCGCTCCGCCAGGGCGGAAACGACTTAGATTGCCGTAAATCTATTGGTGTTCGGGATGGATGGCTTAAGATCTGACATAAGTAATATGCGCCACAACACAAGATACCCCTCCGATTGTATTTATATAGTGTTCCGATACCGATGAGACGATATCATTGGCTGTTTGTCAGCGAACCTGTAATTATGTGGATGGCCAATTTGCAGTTCCTGGAGGGATCAAGATTGTGACTTAGTTGTGATTGCCCTATAGGGTCGGGAATATAACATTCCCGGTTATCTTGTTAGCACCTACGTAAATTAGAAGCACAGGAGTTGGTCAGACGGCAACGGAAATCGAAGGAGATACCGAGAAATCCTATTAATAATGCCCCTTGTGATACTATCTTCTTAGCTAAGGTCCTTTTTGTTTCCAACCTGGACTCTTAAAACTGGTGTGCACACCTTTTGTAACTATCACGACAAATCGACTCCGGAGTCGGAAAGAAAACGATGGATGTGATGGAATCAACCTTGACTCATACACGTGAGACCATTCTCCCTCCCTAATCAAGCACATGTACCGCTTTTCCATCTCTTGATTTGCCCATAGGAAAGTAAAACACTTCCAGTACTCCGACCCAATGGCCCAAAAAGGCAAATACCGACCAGTGGCGATGCACATAAGAAATTATTTGTCATTTTTCTTTGATGAAAACCCTGCTAAACAGTACCGGTGAAGGATATCGCCGTCTACTTTACGGTAGCGAGGCCGTGGATCAGGTCATGCATTGCGAGAGGAGTGACCCTCGGTGTAGCTTCGGGGGCTGTTGAGAAATGATGCAACATAGGATGTGGGCGTGGCACTTCTCGTACATCGGGGAAGTTGCTTGTAGTGTAATCAACAGGAAGATCCAATCCGAGAGCTTCGGCGCGTGGGGAGCGAATCGTCGTCGTGGTTGGGGTTGGCCGATCTTGCCCGTCTTCAAGGAACGTCGTGCGTAGGAAGTTCAGCAAAGTGTCAACGTCTTGCTTAGTAGACATAGCCCCAAGGCTTGCTCGAACAATCCTACGCGATTAAAAGATGTTAGTCTATCAGTACGTATTAAGTCAAGGGTTATTGGATGTATGGTAAGACGAGATCTCCATGAACGTACCCTGTAGGGACTCTGTGGATGATGCTTATGCCATGTGAGCCACAGTGGTGACCGGCAGAAAGGGCGCGTTCTGTCATCCATGGCTCATATCCTAGGGCTGTGAAAATGCCACCAGGATTACATACCCCTATTAGGATTAGCGAGACCCTTGAGTATCGGACGTGCGCCTGATTTTAGCGCTTGGAGATAACTCACCTCCGGATCTTATGTAAATCCCAGCGGAATTTGCTGAGCGTTCAACATCGGAATACGGCACATGCTGCCCATTTGCTCGTAACACGTTGAAAGCGATAGCGGAGCCCTGCTTCGCTGAATCTTCAAAATCGCTATTTTCGTTGTAGATGCGACAGAGTGGTCGCCCATTGGTGTGGCATAGGGTGATCAAGCCTCGGAACAATCTAGTGGTGAGGTAGGAAGTGTGGTCCGAGATCCTGCTCATTGAACCGTATAACTTCTTATGGACATCGATGGCTTCCCCAAGCGCGAGGATGCTGTGGAATGGAAGGGTGCCATCTTCGAGACCTTCGTGTAGCTTGTAAGTGGGCGCTTGAAGGCCCTTTGAACGATGCCAATTCTCGCCGAATGTCGCAACCATTGACACAGTTCCTCCACCAAAATACTTCCTAAGGGTCAAAATGTGTCCTGACTGCCTCCGAACAACTAATGCCCCAATATCTGGAAAGCCGAAGATTTTATATAGGGAGAGACAAGTAAAGTCTGGTGCTTGGTCAGGGTCTTGGAAGACATTTTCCATGGGGTATGTCATAGCTAATGCAGCGGCATCGAGAAGCGTATAAGTATTCTGTAAATATTCCGACTGTCGTAGAACTCCGGGCCATGATAGGGGTAGTCTTCTACCAGACATGTTAGATTGCCCAGGATACGCGAACAGTCCTAGGCCGCCAAGATGATAGCGGTTAACAAAAGTAGCTTCAGGGGAACGGAGCCACCTTTCTACTTCCTGGTCTGTTCGAAAGCAGTAGGATTGCCCATATGTCAATTCCCTCACCCCCACAATACTCGTGTGCGCATCTTTATGATAGCCATACCAGAACCTCCGGTCACTCGTTTTTTCAGAGAGGTCTCTGAAAGAATCTGCGACGAGCTTGATAGCTGCAGTGGCGTTTGCCACGAAAATGAGATCGAAGTGCTCGGGATCCGCGCCGAGAAATTTGAGCGTCTTCTCTCGGACCTGATCGACGACTTCTCCGGAAAGTCTAGCCGGGAAGTTCTCTGAATGCGGATTTCCGTACAAGTTGGTAACCATCTTTGCGCAAAATGAATCAACAGTAGATTTTGCGTAGATAGTTGCCCCGCTATGGTCTAGGTAGACTCCTAGATTCGGTTAGGTTGGACTATATACAAGATATATGGAAAATATACATACCATCATTCATATGTGGATATTCCTTTTGACGCAAAGCCTCAACATCACTATTATACCCTTTCGACATCGTGAGGAGCGGCATTGATGATGTAGGTAGGTATAGTACTCAAGATGTGAAGACAGCTAACTTGGAACTATACTGGAGGGTAGGATGATACACTCTGGTTCCGAGTGATCGATTTTTAAGTAGTAGTAAAGGATTGCTGTGCCAATTCTTGTGTCGCGCTCTCTAGAGAGCCATCTTCCTGTGGGACTGGTCTTAGACGAAGGATCTTATACTCGAACACCACCCCCTTTCCCGCCACTCATAAGGTTCGTACATAGCGGGAAGCATGGGGAGGGAGCGTGGGGTGATATCCGCCCTACATCTTCTAGTCGACAAAGGTCAGCAATGAGGTGGTGGCGCGCGGTGTGCGAAAGTCATCCTGTGTCGACCATTGGCTATCTTTCCATGCCGAACTGGAGGAGCCTAGCACAAGCGGATGACCGGACGAGCATCTTGGCGAGTCGCGATAAGGAAACAGTAGGCGCAGCGCATCGGACGCTAGACACTGCGATCTAGTGACACATCGTGCCTGGAGATGGTTCCCTCAGGGATACGTTGCCGCACATCTGATGATGAAAACCTGGCAGCGACTATTGGATCCTCGACTTGGTCTGACACACCTGACCCTTTCCCTTTTAGGAGCGACGATGCCAGTACGTACCGAGTTTCGTTGTCCGAAAGTAGGTTCTCTTGATGTAAAGGGATAAGCCGTGTACCTTTAGGGTTATGCCGGTGAGAAACGAGAGGAAGAAAAGTATAGTGTAAAGGCCTCTTTTCTTCACGAGCTCTAGAGAGGATGATTGACGTGCGCTAGTGGACCCTACGTACCTCGACTAAAATAAGAGGCGCAAGTGTCAGATGCAATGGGGGGATATCGAACATGGTATGATTGGAACGGCTCTCTAAAGCTTTGCAGCTTCGTTGTGCAATGTGGACCCATGGCGCATTCGATAAGGCTGCTGTCGAATTGCCGTTTGACTGCAATGGGGGGAAAACCTCGAGGGGTCGGAGGATGTCCAAATTGGCCTCAGAAGGTACAGAAGAGGCTCTGGCGGGATAAGCAGACCAACCGATCGCGGCAAAGTCATGTAGGTATGCAGACACTATTACCACTTGCAAGGGTCATCTAAGACATGGGTTTAGATAGGAAGTCATCCTATTTGGCGGCTGTTCCACCTTCTACTCTCTTTTGAGCGTTTGGATAGGTCGAGCGCCTCTTTCAGGAAAGCGTTGCGGGGAGAGTGATGAGTGCAACGGCCTCGGTATCTGAACGGACTCTTCAGCCCAATCACCTCGGAGAGGGTGGGATACTTGCCGCGTAGTTACGGCCAAGAGCTGCGAATAGTTGTACTCTAGGCGGGTTGGGTGCTGCAGCCCGTCATCGACACAGAGTCGATGCTAACCCCAGCATGCTGGTGAGGGAGTATTCGAGGTACGTAGTGTCCTGGTAGTCGATCCCTGCTACTTTTCGAAGAAAGTGGTCGCCGACCTCAGAACTGGAGGGTGTGCGTCATATGGGCACAACTTCTGCAAGTCTCTGCGTCTAGACTTAAGAGACCCTGGACATCTCACGTCTGCATAGCTGCATGCCATCTTGAATAGTAAGGCGCTCTTGTGGAGAGCGTAACGAGACTTTACCGATGAAGGTCCCAATGGCGGATAATGGTTTTCACCACGATGGAAGAATAAGAATCTGTTTCAAGGTAGCTTGGGCAGAAGATTGAGGCGCCCCTGGGGGTGAATGGCCCAATGTTAGGCCCGCCAAGGCCATCGATCTCGTTAAAGGATAACGTTATTAATTGCTTTTTTTTTTCTTTCTTTTTTCCTTTTCTTAGCTGCCTATCATTGCTGACAATAGTTAGTTAGCAGTCATTGGTACCGCTGATTTAAAGAGAGTACAGAAGCGTAGTCGCTAAGCCAATGCACTGGGATATGTTTTCTTTGGAGACTCGTTTTTCGGTTTATTTATTTTTTCTTTCCCAAATTCCCAGGTCATGCAACCCCCCTGGAAGATCGCCAATTTGACAGCTCTAGGTATAATACAATGCCCTTGACAATATTTGCCCACGAGGCTCGATTCACACCTTGTCTCGAACCAATAGCAGTGGCTAACGGGATCCGCGCTGAACCAGCTATGACCACGAGAGCTCTCGGCGCCTATCGCAATCTGAGACTTAACATTTGTCCGTTTTAAGGCCCGGAGAGACGCATATTCCCAGCCAAATGCCGTCGGGTCACGCACTTCACTCCAATACATGAACCTTGACTTTACCAATTCCGATGTGCTAGTGTCGTGATGGGCGGATGAGTCTTGAACGCTTCGGGCAAATCGAGCTCCCTGTGGCTTAGTTAGGTTTGTTACTTAGAAGCTTAGCCTCTCGATTTGCGCTGCGGGTGTGTTGCATCGATCCAGCTGCAATGGAACCAGGAGCTCTGTTAGTCATAAACCACATCTCGCATTTGCTTTCTTGCAAAGCCCGCGCCCGACACAAGTCCGTATTCAGCAGTTCCAACAAAAGTACATTCGTATCGCCTATCCAATCCCACGGTCAATCCTCTTCGGAAACGCGGATGTTTAAAAAAAAAAAATTCATTGAGCGCGTAAGAATGTAACTAGAAGCTATCGAGCCAAGAGATTGTCGCTAGGTACGATGCCGCACGTATGACGGACCTTAAGTTGTAACCCGAGGTGAAATTTTCTTCACCAACAACCTAGCTAGCTGACATCATCTCAGCTGTTCGACTGGCGCCTCATACAAGGCCTCCTATTAAGAGACGACCCTTTTACATTAATGAATCTATAGAAATCAGTCTATCACTAAAGCTAGATGTCTTTCTCTGTGTGGTCTAGGGGACCTAGTTACCTAGGTACTCATTCGGAACGCCGTGCTAACCATCGACCCGCCCACCTTGTGTTAGAAGTACCGGAGGAGGGTTTCGTCGGCGAAATAGCTGTAACCACCACAACATACATGGATCGGATCGCTATCAAGGATCTACTGATGATGACATACCTCATTGGAGACCTCATTCGTGCCCTGACAGCATGCAAACCTACCCTCCTACTCAGCTTACCCCGGCTTCCACAGCGCATTGCATTAGGGTCAGATCTCCTGCATCCTCGAGCCCGGAGCACCGTATGGAGGTAAGAATTTTATGACCGGGTGCATCCGTACCGGATCTGTGTCCCTGTAGGGCGCTGCCGGTCTTGGCGACACAACGTCATGTGTGAAGGCGAGAATCTGCTACTTTCGGATGAACGATACCTATCATAGACTGGTCTCATAAGTCATGTCCATTTTTGGAATTTGGGGCCAACAGCGGCTGGACTCGGGAACCTATCAGAAAGCAAGGTAGTGCTTCTCGACTTTTCGGACTAAGATTGATCTTTCTCGCGCAGAGAAACGCACAGCCTCGTTAACCCCGACGTATTCGGGCCTTGTGATAGTATAACACTACACAGGTTTCAGGTATACATGCTCGGGTAAGAACATATTCAGCCTTATAGATGAATGATCAGCCGTCGTTCCTAAGGCACCAATTATAGCCCCCATAGCTATAACAGCATATCGCAAGTACACAAACAACTTCAGCTGAAAGCCCTACGCTAGGGCTTTTACTCAGCTAATGCTAAGCATTCTAGCATCCATATTATCTGAACGCATGCTGTTTTCCACTAGACCGTACCAAAGTCAGGATTCATTCATCACTGATAAGAAGGATTTAGTTCAACACGACGCGTAACACTCTGGGAAACAATAATACAAAAAGAAAAGGCGCAGGGGATCCCGACAGATGTGGCAAAGGAATATCCTAATAACAATAGTACAACAATATTACCACCTTAGGGGCTATAGCAGAGCGGTTCTATAGTTCAGATAAATGTGACGAACCCCAAAACAAATGAGACAAGCCAGGTAACTACTTGTCAGTGGGGCGAACCAGAAGCTGCGCTTCGCTCTCCCAAGAAGACTATTGTCGTAGATGCAGCCAGGGAGATTCCCTATTTGCGTATGGCTCCCACATGTCAAATTGACTCCAAATTGGGGCGTATGGCCTTATTTTCCCGGTTGTCGACGGCAGGCTGAAACATACATATCGGTATTGGAACGGTGCAGGCGACAAACTACCCGGGTAGAAGATAACTTGCCGATCAAAACCCCTTAAAGGCACGAGTGGCTGCCATACCATTAGCTCCGGCTCCCTCGGTTGGGCTAAGTCCTACAATACGTCGACGGCTTTTTGAACACGCCCATCTATAGAGCAGGCGAGAGGGCGTATCGGCGCATGCCAATGGATGATTATTAAGTTGCCATAAAGATTCGGCGGTTGGGTATCCTTTCGATAATGGATCTTGGGACATAGGTACTTGTAATCTCAATGCACGATGTGAGACCTATACCTTAGAGGTAGGTGCCAAGAGCTGTCAGACATCCCCGAGGTCGTTGGATGGTAAATTAGCTATCTCCGCGTTGTTATCGGGTGAGCTGTCGCTTTAACGGCCGGAACGATGAACGTTCGTCTCGGGCCGAGTGTCTAGGTTTGTGACTCTTCAACTGATTTCCATCCTGTCTTAGACAAAGTGATTCCTAAGACAGAGGGTAGTACGGGATTACCAATCACTCTCATAAGCTCATAGATATTTCCAACTTCAGATAAGATATACTGGAAGCTTAAGGCAGATCATCGGTGTTCACTCACCCCCGGATATCGAGTGATCAACAACTACCCATAAGGCTCGATAACAAGTAGGTACGTGGATGAGTACCACCAAGTCTATATCCAATAAAAAGCAATATCGTCAGCCAATATCACACTATAATGATGAAAGAGGGGAAGAACTATGTGAATAGACCTCACAGCACATTCTGACAGCCTGGCGACTTAGAACTACAAGAAAGGGCCGGGGAGATTTTTTTCGGCGTGAGCCACCCGCGTACCCAACCGCAATACCCGTTCCCCTTCAGCGTCACATTCCAATTTACTTCGAAATTTGCTGCCTGCTGTGTAAGTGCCCGAAACATCTCCCGGCATATGCGACATTTCTGGGCTTACCATGCTATGAAGTAATCCTAAACGCGTATAGCCTACTTCGCACACCCACCCCCGCGATACACGATTCCAACCCGCTATTACCGGGGGGTATAGACGTTCGACGATTTTGACGTTCGCCAAAAATCGTTGAACGTTCTAACATGCGATACACTAAGTGGACCAGGGCTTAAATCGTAGACATTGCTTAGACGCGCAAAACCCGCCCTAAAAGTCTAAGACACGACATCATGAATCAGTATAACACATTAGCATGGGTGAAAAATATCCATTAAGCCAAATATATATACAAGAAGCTAAAACCACAAGATCCATATGCACTACAAAGTATTCCCCCGTAGGATCATCCATCTTCATATCATCAACCCTCATAAACACCCCACGATTATCGACGTTCAATCTTCCAACCCATTACCGCGCCCCAAACTCCGCCAGGAAAAAGACTCCTTATTAAACTTTTATCTCAGCCCAAGCAACTTTTCAACACCAGTCCACTTATAGCAGAGCGAAGAACGCCGCGACAACAGGAACAACAGCGAAACCCCTCGCCACATTCAAAACGCCGGCAGCGTTAATCGGGATACCGGTAGACGTAGGAGCAGCAGTGGACTGGGAGGCCTTAACACCAGTACCCGTGGGGTATGGGGTCGTAGTTCCATTGCCACTAACGACGGAGAAGTTGGCGCACGTAATACGGGTCTTGTTTGCAAAGTGGAAGACGACACTTCGGTTGCCGAAGTAGGAACCGACGCCCTCGCTAAGCGATGTATACGGGTCGTGAAACTTGGCGGTGAACGGGTCAGAGCTGTTGATCTTGCCGTATTTCCCGCTTAGATCGCCTTGTTGGCATGATTGAGGACGACTGGAGTCGCAGGCTGGGTCCTCGCCGCGGATGAACTGGTCGAGATGCGCGAGGGTCTCGGTGCAGTTGCCGCCTGTTGGGACGGGAGCGACGTGGATGTGGTAAACTAAGAAGAGATATTGTAAGGATACTGATCACATAAGGATAATATGTGGTTGGACATACTGAAAGGGCCGCCTTCCTTGGGAAGGTTAGAGAAGGAGACTTCGTAGTCGACACCGGAGCCGTCGGCTCCAGATTTGGCAGAGACGTAACCTTGAACGTTGCCATCGAGGGTTCCCGTGTTCCAGAATGGGTCCTTAGGTAGAGTAGCCAGGACGGACTTTCCGACGGGGTTATTCGTCGTGACGGTGGCATCACCTAGTTGCTAATCATAGGAGTTAGTAAACTCACGAGGATAACAGCGTCGATATCTTAGTTGAGGAACTTACGCCAGTGACGTTGTTTGACTGGGCAAAGACGCCAGAGGCGCCAATGGCGGAAAGCGAGAGAATGTTAGATACACGCATTATGTTGGTATATGAAGAAAATTGTTGTAAGATGACTAGGAAATATTTCGATCGAGTTTGCGTAGGGGCCTTGTTATGTAGAGAGGCAAGTTTCTGTAACACGGATGGTGGTGGTGTAGCTCAGGCTATTGAATTAGTTGTGATTATAGTACCGAACTTATATGCTTCTAGAAATTAGGGACTTATACTAGGTTATGTATAAGGTTCAATAGTGAATAGTCAGGAACAAAGAGAAAGGCTGGACATTTTTTAGTCTGGGAGGCTTTAAGTCTTTATATTCAGTTACGCTTTGCCCCCGATGATGGTGGAGGGTATCACTTTTGGTTACTTCGTATACAAATGCACAATGCCACCAACCAACAAGTACCTTGTAATAACATCATCTCCATCAATAAGGTCAATTTCACCCGCCTTTGTGTACGCGGAGAAGCAGTAGCCGGTGAGCCGGCAGGAACTTTTTGATAGACACCAACGGGACCTTGCATCATTCCTCATCTAGAATCAACCAAAATTGGAGGCGTAGCACAATCAAACCAATATAGATCGACAGGGATTAACAAACGAAAGGTCACATACCAGCGTATCAAATAAAACCGTCCGAGCCAACCCTGTTCTAGGATAGCTCACCTACATACAGATGTAGATAGCCAAGAAAAGCCAAGCTGTTTATCCGGAGGGGCGGGAGGGAAACGAAACGAGAAACACATCTACGTATGGTCCCGGCTCCCAAATCCGTCTTTCTGACATGAGGGTACCTATAGTTCTGGATTTGAAAATTGCCACGATCGCTCCTATGACAGCGACATTTTTCAACATCCCGCAGGTCGTCGTAATTGCCAAGCAGTTGTGAAGAAAAAAAAGATGCGATGCCGTACTAGCCGATTCGAGTGTCTTACCAGAAGGGGCGTCGGAAGTACAGAAAGCAGGTTCCCCTGACTACCAATCAGATCTCACGTCAGCGTATTCGGCTTTGTAAGTAGTATATAACTGGTTCAGCTTGGCTTATGGCGTTTGCGCTTGTGTATTTTATAACGTGCCGCTCACTGTGTCTCCCGTCCCAACCTCCCTTCTAATAATAACTGTACAGCTACTTGGATAGCATTAAACGACGATCATCGGATTTATTCAGCCACGGTTGAAGCGAGCCGAACTCGCAAACCACAACAATACACCTGTCGGCCTATAATCCTTCATGCAATACTAGCTAAAATTGCTACTGAAATCATTTGTTTGAGAGACTCGTTTAGCCCAGCGGGAAGATCAACCCGTGGGATGTCTATCATAATTGGACGGTTCGGGTAAGGCTTTGGCTACTGAAATGAATGTCCCGCGGCTCTCCTTACAGGCGCATACTCTACACCTACACCTATTCATCCCACCCAGTTAAAAAACTGTGTGTGAACCCGTCTTAGAACTGCAGCTTGCAGGCTACGCTATGCTAGCGCTAAACTGATAGGAGGCTAGGAGCATACAAAATTCGGGTTGTGACCAAGGTATCTGCAGGTACGTAAGCCGTAGTACCGATTCTTTCATTATTTGATGGGTGAACAACCGGTCATGACGAAGCTGTGGCACAGGGGTCTTGTCTCATGACAATTGTTTGTGTTCCAATAGAAGCAAAAGTTCATGATTAAAAAGACCGAGAGCAGGCTTTCAATTCTATGAGCATGGGAGTAGTTCGTCTTACTAAATAGGTGAGTACATCATGAATATCAAGGAATCGATGAGATGCATGGTTACATAGCGATCACAATCCTAACGATCGATGGCGGATAGTTACAATAGCAATTTACCGGATAATATGACAAGAAAGGGAAATGTTATAGGTATTGTGGGGAATAGCCAGCCTTACATGAAATTTTTTTCCTCATCCATGGGATTTTCATGTCAACCTAGGTGTATTGAATGGGGATTGGCTACGTCGTCACATCGGAGTTAATGTGATCCGTGTCGCTTCGCTCAAGCCCCGAAAGATACATTAAGATGACCTCATAAGTGCCGGCAAAGGGAGAGAATAACAGTCCTCTTATCTTAAAATGATATTAGATTTTGCACTGGATGACGATGCCCTACCGTCTCGTGTTTACGCAGCCTGCTAGTTAAACCTTTACGGTTCTTAGAAAGGTTGGCTTGATAACTCACTGCTAAGAATAGGTTATAGGAAGAGAATTATTCGTGGGGAAGAACCAACTAGGGTCTTAGTTTCTTTGTTAAAGAGTTCATGTCCACTTAATGTTGGTCGTGGCCGAGGCTGTGTAGGGCGGGCGCGTAGTAGCTGGAATTTTATAAACCGTGTGGCTAATTCGTTGCCAAGAATAAAGAAGTCTAGAACTTGTTAAAATAAGAATAGGAAAGCAATAACAAAGACATAAACTCGAAGCCAATGATTATGGTAATAGTCTTTAAAAGTTGAACACACTGTCCGTCCAGCCTTGAATGGTATGTCGACTTCCAAGGTTTGATCTATTAGGAACGAGTTGAATTTATTGAAGAATAAAAGTGAAGGATGTCTAACTTAATTAGTAATAGAAAGTATTATAGGTCACGGATATAGTCGGAACTCTCGGATCCAACTAGCATTATGCCGGATCAAAATAATCCGTTCCTGGAAATTCTTGGCACCAGCCTCAATTTCCTCAGCCTCTTTTATTCTCCGTGCTAAGCCTCTTTCTCTTCCCCAACAGCTAATTCGAATGATTGGAGGATTTCGGATTGAACTTATGACATGCAATTCAACATCGCAAACCTTCCGATCCGCTTTGACGCCGCCGACGACATCATCCTCAACACCGGTTGTTAGCCATTCACAGCCACTGAATTAGCCCATTTTCATCCCGACATAGGCTATCATTTGCTTATCCGACAGTCGGCCATATTAACAACCGAATTGAACGTTGGATCGGTTTGAATCTCGCCCATCATGAAGCCTGTCGTGAGTTCTATGCAAGCTTGGTCTTGGTAAGCAGCCTCCCCTCTATTTCCTATTACACCGGACATATTTATTTAAAAGATAAATTGCTGATAAAGCGTTTCATAAATTACAGCGTAGTCATCTCCGTCTTCGCCATCATCATCCTATCCATCCTCGGCGGCCTCTTCCGAAACAACCATCACGAGTTCGTAGGCGGCACTGAAGACCCCGTGAACGGCCAGGCGGTTGCGGGCACCGTATTTACCGCCGTGATTGTCTATGCGGTAAGCGCTTCCCACCCTCTATATCCGGAATAAAAATATAAAAATAAAAAGAGAATACGAATCTGACGGTTTCATCTACACAGGCCTTTTTGGTGTTCTGCGGTCTCCAGGGATTGTTACACTTACGCGAAAACCGACGAGGTGCCATCGCGTTATCATAAACAAGTCGACTCCGAGACTCGAAAACCAATCCATGCATTATACGGTATTAAGACGCGGGCGTTCCGGTTTGACTGATTCACGTCGACTTTTCTTCCCTTTTTCCTAGACGATATTAGGCTGCGGCATTTGTAGCCGCCCATCGAAGATTTACGCGCACCCCGTTCCTACCTGGCCATTTGCTAGTACTAGCGGCGGGACGTTTGGCTGTGGTCTGGAGATCTGTGTATGAATAGGTGTGGGGGTTGAGCTTGGGATGAACGGCACAATGCGGTGATGTCTCCCACATTAGATGCTTCCCCGTTGAGTTGACGCAATTCGGAATGGTTGTAGTGATAACCAATCCAAGCCGATCTACAGAGCACAGGTAGTCTTCTGGTTTTTATTGCGTATGTGTAATATATTATAGGGTTACAGAGGTTCAATGAGACTAGCATTTTCTAGTCTAGGCAGAGATAAATTAATAGTGAGGATTGAACAGTTCATTAACTTTAGATATTGAGTCTCTGTATGACGTGCTTCTCAGATCGCTCGCAGTTATGTTATATTATCCACCTATCACATTTCTTAAGACAAGTTAAGACTTAGAATCCTCATTTGTTGGATGTAATAACCAGTAGGTAGGTGAACAACTACGGGTGTCGGTGAAATATTCGGACTGGCTATGTTGCAGCGCGATATAGTCGCCCAGGGGCGGTAGTTCCTGATTCATCTCTCCTAATAGCCTCTTTTGTTGTTTTGTGTGTCTTGACAAATCGGGAAGTAGGCTCGTTCACTTGGGAACCAACACATCACCATGCCAATGTAACCATTCGAAGTGTTTCTAGCTGATTGTACGTAACTCAGATTTCCAATGCTTTGTCATATCTGCAAAGAAGCTGTACCTGGTTACAACCCTTGAATTGCCTATGGAAAAATTGAGGCTCGCCTACAGATGTAACGCAACTAGCTTTAAAACGACGTCGGCCAAATGCACGATGATCAGATAAGATAGAGCCTCAACGTTCTAGAGGAGCCTACGGATAAGTTTAGTAAGGCTTAGAAATGGACGACGATTCACTTTATTACAGGCTGAATATGACTTATCCACCTAGACACGAATACTTAGACACCCTAAAACCTGATACCGATGACGGGTAATATGTGATATATGAGGCTGGATCCGGCAAGGGAAAAAAAGTTACCCCCACGTGGTATTCTATACCGGTAGTGAGGGCCCTGGTAGTTAATAAAGCTAGATCACAATATAATTCCACCCCTGATACCATGGTTCAGATCTAGCTATGGGCATGGTTTCCGAAAAGCATTGGTTTCACTCGGAGACATCCTATATCGGAGCGTACACTTCATGACGGCGATGACGGAGCGTGAATAATATCGATTTCGAACAAGAGTAATAAGCATCAGTATACTTCCTAAGGAGTAAGCGAGTAATCAAACTTGATACCATGTATATACCCGAGTTTGCAGTCCGGCTGTATCAAAATAGCCGAACCGAGCCCTTCAACAAACATCGAAGGCGTGTTTCTCGCAGGTGTTGAAGACAACATCTCTGTAACCTGTCATTATCAAAAATCGATTTCTCCACTGATGTCCGAATGATATTCGCACAATTTCGGAGCTTCGAGCAAGGGATGACGAGAATCTGGAGAACAAGGTCTCAGTTGAGACAACATGGATATCCATGCACCAGCCCAGACCCATATGCCACCGCTGAAGAACCGCTAGCGGCCCGAGCCGAATGATGTCATTTCAGCTGCGTATATACCCCTTAGATCCTATCGTCAATGCCTTGATCTTGTCTTCCACAAGACTTGGTCGATTCGAGTTGTCTTAAGCCTGGGGCTTGGATATTTGGTGGCTGCAACCAATAGGCTAGAAACCCGAGTGCAATTTAGGACATCTGGATGTTTTTGTCTAGGAAGCCCGAGTCCTGCTCTAATTAGCCCGCTGGATGTTTCGTATCAGGAAAAACACCGTGGTATCAATCGGGCAGGCCCTGAATGAGATCCAATTTGACTTTGGGTAGATGGCTGTTGATTTTTTCGATCTCTTAACTACTAATGCCCGGATACTGCCTAAGTTCAGCGCAACCTGTGCTATGATGCTTTATAATTAGAAGCCCCGAGGGTTGTTTATTAGTGAATTTTTAGCGAGGACGCGTCGTGCGACAGGGGCTAATAGACGTCCTGTAGGTACTAGTGAAAAAGCTCATGGCGGATATTACCTGGCAGCCTAGGTACAGTACCTCACGCTGGCGCTAGTAGAACATAAGGTGTCGCGGTGAAGAGTTGCCATAGACTGCAATCAGGAAATTGCAGACTCCTTTTATCAAGGTTTTAATGCTCAGCTGATGATATAACTATGCTGATCGTCATTACAGGAGTTGCTGTCTTTTCGTTCAGGAAATAGTAGTTCATTCATGAGAGATCATTGATAGAGAACTATCTTGAGATCGTATTAAATTTGTTGATGTAAGAGGATCGTTGGAGGTGAAGCCTGAGCGGTTGATAGAGGGGAATCGGCTTATAACGTTACAGTAACCCCCCTGCAAGCGTTACCGCTGGACTGGAACTGCCGAATACCTCGAATTTTATAGGTGTTTAGTGCACTACTGGACTCAACCTTCTACGTGTTTCAATTTTAAAAACCGACAACTTCTTCATGACGGGAAGTCTTTCTATATTTCCAACTGTTTCTTCAAAATTGAAGGGATAATTGATTTACGATAAATTCAAAGATGCAATCGAAAAGTTTACTCAATATCGCCGTCATGGTGAGCCAAGTCGCAGAAAAGCGGTTCGAGCAACGAAGATGTAATTGACAATGAGTGATGTCATGACTCGCCGCTGTGTCCTAGTCACGCCTATCATTTCGAGTATATATCAACACTTCCTTACTCTATTATGTCTACCTCTTAAATTATAATATTGATCTACTGTTATTGAAATTTATCATATATCAAGTGAATACCGTGAAATATTTCTACCAAAATCCAGTTGAATATGTCCGACTCGCAATTTGAAAAGGGTAAGTTTGTCGTCTATCTCAACTTGATAAGCATGGGTTACATACTAATATTATTAAGGACACTCCGTCCCTGTAACTCACCAAGAGTTCCCCGGAAAGGAGCATAAGCTACCTATCCAGGCGCAGTATGACACCTTACCCACCGATAAGGGAGGGTATCAGAAGTACAAAGCCGCCGGCAAGCTAAAAGGCCGGAAGGCTCTCATCACAGGCGGTGACTCAGGAATTGGCAGAGCCACTGCCATCCTATTCGCCATGGAAGGCGCCGACTCCTTCATCGTCTACCTACCAGACGAAGAGAAGGATGCGCAGGAGACAAAGCGCATAGTCGAATCCCACGGCCAAAAATGCCATCTCCTATCCACTGACCTGACCAGCAAGGATAACTGCCGGAAGGTCGTCGATGAAGCCCTGAAACAGATGGGCGCTATCCACATCCTCTTCAACAACGCCGCCTTCCAGATGGTGAAGAGCGATATCCACGAACTAAACGAGTAAGTCTACTCCTCTCCGAATAAGTGAACGTGATAATCTAACACCCAATGAAGGGACCAATGGGAACACACATTCAACACGAACATCCACCCCTTCTTCTACCTCTCCAAGTACACCCTCCCGCACATGTCGCGCGGGTGCACCATAATCAACAACGCCAGCATCAACGCCTACATCGGGCGCCCGGATCTCCTCGACTACACATCCACAAAAGGCGCCATAGTATCCTTCACACGTGGTCTCAGCAACCAATTCGTGGACAAAGGCATCCGGGTCAACGCCGTGGCTCCGGGACCCGTGTGGACACCTCTTATTCCGGCGACCATGGACGATGAGGCGCAGAAGTCGTTTACTAGTCCGATGGGTAGGCCGGCGCAGCCTAGTGAGATCGCTACTTGTGTTGTGTTCTTGGCTTCTGCGGATAGCTCGGCGATTAGTGGACAGACGATTCACTGCAATGGGGGTGTTATTGTCAATGGTTAAGCTGGTGTTGGTTTGGGGGTGGGGGGTTCGCTAAGTTCGAACGCCGGTTATTAATTGTACGATATAATGAATTGAATTGCGTATTTCCGCGATTGAAATGTGACTTATCCTGGTAACCCTTTGGGGGAATGGTGGTCTCTTATCTATGATCTTTCCTAAATCTTTTGGGAGCGATTACTATTATATTATGAGTCAAAGTGATCAATGAGGGGATACTGGCTGAGGGAATAGATAGCAGTGGTCCCTAGGTAGTGGGTTGAGAATAAATAAATGTATCTTTGAATATATTTTGATTTTCTTCTGCGATCTGTCTAGCATATACTAAACAGTACATATGTGTTTTCTTTTTTTCCTGAGATGCTTTGACCGTGGAGTCAGCATGGCCTATAATTTTTTTTTTTTTAAATATAACAAGTTTTATGCTGTCGTGACCATCTCTTTCTAATCAAATATAAGACCTAACTCCTGTAGGCCGTGAGATATGGTATACACGACTGCGGGGGTTTTCTGGGTAGAACAGGTACTGGCTGTCCTCTTCTGGTATCGAGAGCGTTTTTAGATCCAAACCAGCCTAAATCCATACAATATGCCTTTCGATGAACATAGGAAATTGATGGAGTATGGCAGGATCAGTAATGATTGCCTTGTGGCTGTAACCTGGCTCTGAGATACTCGAAACGTGTGTATACATGACGTCTAGCGTTCATTCTCAACTAGAATGAATTGGTCCCAGTATGGCGCAATGTTAAATGTGCGCGGATATGGCTGTGGTATTTTCATATAGGGGTGGGCTTACGAAGACTTCTCATCATCTTTTTCAGGCTTGCTAGACTCACGGTACTTGGCTATTTTCTCGCCTAAGTAACGGATACTTCGGCTGAAACCAGCCGTAACAACTCCCTTGATACTTTGCGTGGTACTGGGCCAATTGATCGTCTTTTTAATGACATCGCGGACGTTTTGTCGGAGGGATTCGGGTTCGTCTTGTGCGATGCGCCGCTCGAAGCCGCCGCCTTGCTGCCTCTTGAAAGAAGTAGCATCTTCGTCCTTATTCTCTTCCATCATCTTGTTGAATTCGAGTTGCGGTATTTGGAACTTTTTCTGGTATTCGAAGTATAGCTTTGAACGGAAGGCTTTTGGTAGCCGCCGAACCATATTGCCTCGCTTGATGGGGTCCATATCTTGCTGAATCTTTAACACAGCGTCAGTGTTGGTGATCCAATCCGGTTTGCTGCAGGCCGGATCATCATAATCAACGTTGGGAAGAGATTCGACAAGAGGTGCATATAGTCGCCGGAAATTGAGCATGTTGTTATTGACAATATTCGCAACTTTCTTTGGATTCTCAGTAGGAAAAGCCATTCGAGGATCACCAAGATAACTAATACCCGCAATTGTCGCATACAATTCCTGCTCGGTGAAGGTAGGGGGGAGGAGTAAGAGAGCTGTCCGTAGGGCTGAGAGAAGGTTGATCTGGTTTGCAAGACGGACTCTCGGATCATCACGGAGGATCTTCACTGGCTTGTGCAGACGACCGGCAAGGTACAGGGTATCCCATTCGCTCAGGTCCCTGCACAGGGTATCGATATTGACAACGCCGTACTTGATCAATATTCCATCGATGGTGACGTATGGGTTGAAGTAGACCCCAGCACCCCATTTATCTTGCACATAAGACACAGCAGCTGATCCTAACGACCCGAGCGCTGAATAATGATCACGGTGTTGCATAAGATTCAAGGAATGCCAATGTTGCGTATAAGAAACTCCGAATATGAAATCGATCACTTTTGGAGAGCCATCCTGTGCTTTTTGGACCGCAACTGGCGCCTTCGGGTGGACCGCTTTGATCTCAGCTTCCGTCGCTGTACCGCCTTTGGATTGTGGGAAAACGCCGGAGCCATATGCGAAGGCGTAGCGAATCGGAGCTCGGAACCTCCATAGTAGCTGACGCAATACCTCTTTAAACTCTCGATCAATTATCATATGCTGATTAACTCCAAAGTTTTGGTAAGGAAGCTCGGTGAATTTTTCTATATGGAAGTTGGGTTTCTCTTCCCAATCGAGGTCTGAGTCGGTCGAAGAGGTGGTGAGAGGAGTAACACCTTGCTTTTGCGAATGGGGTTCATCGGGAGAACTAGCAGCGCTTGCGGCAGAGTCGGTTTCGGACTCTTTCTTCTGTGCGGCTTTAGCTCCTTCGGATGTTGCGGGTTTAGACGTATCGGATGCGAAGGTACGGAGGAAAAGTCTAGACGTGGGCGAACATCGAGAAGATTTAGGAATGCTGGTTCGCAGTCGGCGTTCTAATCGAGTTGCATGTATGGAATACGGTCTTGAACCTGCTCGTATGTGTGCTGCCTGAAATCGTGAAGCTGTAGCACTAATCCAGACTGTTGGAAGTCCCCCAGAAATAGGAGGCAATGGGCGTACAACCATGATGTTGCCGATCGAATGACGTTACGATGCGGATGAGTGTAATAAGAGGTTACGGGCTACAGATGATTTAGAAGACCATGAATTGCGCGAATTGCTAGTCGCAAAAGAATTCAATAGCAGCAAAAGCCGCAATGAAATTACCGAAAGAAGGAATCCATGTGGTATGTAATGTGAAGCCTCACGAGTCGAGGTGTTACGGTCTAGAAGTATAACTTAAGAGGGAAGAAGTGGTCCCATTTGGACCTTGGGTTGTTGAAAATTGGTGAAGCAAGATGGATTAGAGAGTGGATAGTGGATAGTAGTAATAGTAGTAGTAGATTTATTACGTTAATAAGCCCACCAACATCGCGGGAAGCTTTTGGATTGGTACTTCGGTAATGGTAAGGTCGTAGGCCTAGGTTCCGCTTTCAAGGCGACGAGATTGCCCCGGAAAATGCATAAGGGCTGTAAGCCAAGCCAGGTACTCGCGGGCTCTACTTAGGTACACTGACGTGAGGATCCATTAAAACTACAGGGGGTTGAAAGCTAAATAGCTTCTAGTAGGTACGGAACTCGGTAGGTTGGTCTTTACCTCTTCGTATATGCATGTACCTTCTGCATAATATTAGCTCTTTTTAGGGATAGATATACACCCAGAGCCAAGCCTTAAAGTTACCAATTCAAATGGTTTTATCTGATAATGAATCGCTAGACCATCTGGATTAACAGAACTTTAAGCTAACGGATAGAGCCTTTTGTCTTTATTGTGTGGATGTACCTGAGTATACATCGAGAACGTACCAATTTAAACTTTACAATGGACGGTTGAACCTGGCAGAATTGACCTTAACAAAGAAACAAAGGTATAATTTGCACGTGACTTACTAAGCTAACATTGAAACTGGCTAATCGGAGAAGGTATTAATGGGTTGATGATTGCCAGGGCAGCCGCAAACAACAAAAACAATTTAGCGGACCCTTGTCACGACTCCGACTTTTCGAGAACTTTACAACTTTCACCTCACCGTCTCTCCTATTTTTATTTTTAAATGAGGAAAAGTAACACACCAGGCGAGGCTCCATGTCAGGCCAATTTCGTCAAAGTGCTGGAAGCACTTCGCTTCCGCGCTCAAGAGTAAGTAAATAAATAAATGCGCCGACCGGTGATACTATTCGTGATACAATTATTAACTCTTCATGAAATAGGTCACCTCTTTTCGCGCCTCGTTACAGAAAGCGACACAACCATCCTACGACTTCTTTACCGGTTCCCCAGACGTGCCGACTTCCCACAATGCCAGACCTGCTTCCAGACAAAGCCGCATGGGCGGCGAATCCCTGCGAGCGTCGTCGCGTGAGAGTTCTAAGGAAAATCTTGCGCCACCCGACGCAGAGGAATACGAAACACAACGAAGGAAGATAGAGGAGCTCAAGGCAGAACTTGCTACAATGCGCTTCAAACTCGAGAACAACGAGCAGGAGAAAGAGATGATAGCCTTGCAACATGACAACGAGCTACGAGACGTGCGACGAAAGGCCGAGGATGACTTCAAGCAGAAACAGGCAGCCGAAGGCGATAAGAGCAAGGCACAACGGCAATATGAAATTGTACAGAATGAATTACAGGAACTGAAGGATACTTCCGCAAGAGAAAAACTTGAAGTGGAGAAGAAAGCACGAGATGCTGAGGACGAAGTGCGCCTGTTAAGAGAGCAATTAGAAGATCTGTCAGCTGTTAAGGAAGAAGGTGACAGGATGGCCCAAAAACGAGCCAGTGACATGGAAACACAACTCTCAAATCTCCGAGAGACAATCCAAGGACTGGAACAAGATAACCAAGCGCGCGAATCTTCCATGCAAACAATTCAGCAACAACTCGCGGACAAGAATAAACTCGTTGGCGATTTGGAGGCGGAAGTATTGCGACTGAAAGCACAGACAGGCGATGCTGAGACTATTGCGATTATTCGTCGCGAACTCACAGAGCAGGTTCAACACATCAGGTCGCTTGAATCGAAGAATTCGAAGCAGCACGCGGAACTGACGCATCTACGTCAAATACATAAAGCTGTTGAGGTCGTCGAGGAAGAGAAGCGATCTCTTCAACGAAAGCTCGAGGCCGCAGAATCTCTCGAAGCCGAACTCAATGAGGCTCGACTACAAAGGCAACGATTGGAGGATGAACGCCTAGCTTGGACAGCCTATCTTCAAAATGCTAGTTCGGATGGTGGTGTAATGGAATTTGACTCTCCCGAAGACGTTGCACGTGCTCTCGTCGAAGAACGATACAACTCTGCTTCTCTTGTCGAAAGATTGGGCGAAGTTCAGCCCCAGATCGCAGAACGCGACGAAATCATCAAGACACTCGAGAACGACAAGAAGACCTTAACGGCGCAGATCGAAAAGCAAAAGACTGCCGTTGTTCCGGTCACCGCTTCTAAGGCACAGGCTCGGATAGAACGACAGCGTGCTCTAGCGATGAAAGAAGTCGAATATCTACGCGCCCAGCTCAAGACCTTTGATGCGGAAGATGAAACTTTCGATTCCGAGAACTTTGACCAAATCAAAGTCGACCGCATCTCTGAGCTCGAACAACTTGTTGACAAGTACAAGGAGGAAGTCCAGGCATTACATAACGAGCTTTCTACTCTTGAATCATCTACTGATACCACACAACCCACTATTGGCTCGAAGCGAAGTCGATCTGATGAGTCCGAGAGCGAACAACTCGGTGAACTCAACCGAAAGCGTCGCAAGCTAGCTGACGAGCTGTCTAGAGTACAGACGCAGTACCAAGTCTTGCAGAAAGAGCACGAGGTTCTGCAGTCCCGTCTTGCTGCTGCTGAGGTTGCGAATAGGACACGCATTCTATCTCTGCGCTCCAACCCCACCTCGGACTTTGAGGCGATAAAGACGTCCACGCTCCAGGCTCTTAAGAAGGAGAACAAGGAATTGTTAGCCCAATTACAGAAGGAAGCACGACGCTACCCGAATATGGCATTAATTCCTGCATCGCAATTGGCGGCAGCACGTCGCGAGATTGAAGAGGCACAGAGGGAGACAGCGTCTGCACAGAAGACGACGCGACGATTGAAGGAGGTCTGGGCGGCTAAGTCGCAGGAGTTCAAGGAAGCTATTTTCAGCACACTAGGATGGACGGTGACGTTCATACCCAACGGAAAGATGCGTGTCGAAAGTTTATATTGTCCTAGCAATACAGACGAACAGGAGAACAGCATCGTTTTCGATGGCGAACGTGGCACTATGAAGGTTGCTGGTGGACCCCAAAGTCAATTCGCCCGCCGCATTCAAGATCAAATCCAATTTTGGGTTCGCGACAAGGGATGTATCCCCGGATTTCTTGCTGCGCTTACGTTGGAATTCTACGAGGAACATACCAGGATTAGTCGATAGTGGATGGTCTAATCAACGGAGTCGTGATTGTTACTTGTACTACTTGAGAGAGGGGTACGATCTACGAGTTTTGAAGGCAGCAACTGTTGATCTATACTGCATGGAACGGCAAGGCGTCGTCTGATTTGCATGGTGCGGCATAGCATAATGATACCTACCTGTTAGGACGGTATGCAGGCGTTTAGGATGGACCATGTTTTGCGCATATCCAGACAATTCTGTTCGGTAGGCTGGACTTTGGCCACCTGCTTTTGATACCTCTTGTCATGTCTAAGTACTATAGCAGGAAGATCGTACGATTAATTTGAACCTTTTACACTTCGGACATTCTCAAACTCCGCATTTTTCTTTTTGTAGTGATGAAATTGATGTTGTGATACCGGAAATATGCTGTAGTCGTAATAGCTAGGGTACCTATCTGAACTAAAATGCGAATGGCTTTTTATGGTAACAAAAAAACAAAAGGGAATCAATCGATCGACCGATCGGATGCGAAAATACAAAGAAAGAGAACTGAGTACCTAACCTACATAATGAACAGCTAGTTCGAAGCTACATATTGATATAGATATGCACAAATGGGACCTTTCAATTTTGGACAACCCGCTAATCTGATTTTACAAAAGAGCATCATCGTCGTCCAGACACAAGAAAAATCTCAGGTATTTGTTCTCCCTAGCAAAAGCTTTCCTTCCTTTTCCTCCGCTTTCTTCTTACATCGATCGTCTTATCTCTATCTCGCTTCGTACTTGCCGCTTACAAGTTTCCTTATAGTAGGTACGTCGATCCACTTCCCTTCTTCGGTGGCGGCGGTATCGTCCGCAAATGGATCGTCTTCGGTGAGTTCTACCTCTTTGCCCTTACCCTCTTCGAATCGGGATACCGAGATTGCGTTTCCGCCTTCAGTCATCTCCGTCGGTGGGGTGACCTCCCATCGTGCTTCGATGCTGCCCGGCTTGGGCTCTACGCCCTGATCGCCTATTATTCGGCATACAATCTTCTGCCAGTCCCCGTCCACAGATAAAGTGAGGTCGCCGAGACGCCAGTAGATTAGGTGTTTCTCTTTTAGATGTGTGCCGGATGGTTTCGTCTGTGCACCCGAAGCCTTGCCTTCATATGAAGCGAATAGCACTAGGCTATGTAGCTGCACACTAGAGCCTGCATTCGCGAACTTGAATGCAGGGTTGAGTTTATACTGAAGTAATAAACCCAATTTGTCTCCTTGGGGCTTCCAAATGGGGCTTAGAAGAATAGGTACGTGCTCCGTGGGAGTAGCACTCGAGTCTATATGAAGTCTGTAAGAGAAACCAATAGATGTCTTCTGTAAATGGGAAGCATCTAAGCTAAATTGTTCCGAATGGTCGGGGGCATCGTTCGTGACGAAAATGCGGTTGGGACCGATAGCTTCAAGAGCGGGGAAGTTGTTGATACGAATAGGTAGATGAGCTATAGATAATAAGAAACGATACCCTTTTATTATATGGCCATTGAAACTTACTAGGAGGGGTAGAATCCGAATTATACGAGAAGGCGATCTCGCCGTTTACTTTGACACCACGAACTTCGCCGTTCTCGAAGGTTGCTGAGACTGTCTCCATGACAGACGAATTAAGACCCGGTTCGTGCATATCGGGGTGTTTCACGTGAACAATGCTACTCAATGAGTTACCGGACCGAATCGACTGCGTATCCGATGTACCTGCAATACTGGCCTCGGAAGCAAGAGTAGCGACTCCAGCAGGTTTGGATGACATAGTATGGAAGGGAGGAGGAACAGGAACCGGGTGCTCAGCCGCAGAACCCTCGGAGACTGGAGCAGGAACATATATAGTGTTCCGTACGTCTCTCCGGCCTCTAACTGTGCCCACTTTCCGAGCTGGTATACCCATAGCCGAGAGACTGTTAGCGACGTTTGAAAGAGCCGCCTTCTTTTCTTCCGGGTCTTCTTCGGCTACAGGTTCCTTTTGGATGTTCAGTTTGAATAGTTGCTCGGCCTCTTGCGCGGCTGCTTCCCTCTGCGCTTGGGATATCGGATCGTCAGACGGGGCGGGGACACTAAAACCTTCGGAATCCTTCTCCGGTTCCTTGTGAGATGGTGGGGGCCCCGGCGGAGGAGGAACATCAGCAACATCGGCAGCAGCGGCAGATGTACCATTTATACGTGATGGCGCTGAGGCCGCTGTTGCGGGTGGCGCTATTTCGGTCGATCCGTCACGGCCTATACCATTCGTACCGTCGTGACTTTGCTTCTCTCTGGCCTCGGATGCTCGTGAGGGCGTCTCGGTTGTGTCCGGATCTTCCACCAGCGATCCTAGGCGGTTTGTAGAGTCACCGAGGTTGCTCGACGATGCTCTAGGCGATAAACCATGACTGCTCCTTATGTTCCTACCAAAAGGACCTTTTGCCGGTGATAGTTGACCAAAGCCACCGTGAATGCTCTGTCGTCGCCGACCAAGCATAGTACCAATGCGACTACGTAACTTATTCTCCGGGGGCGCTTCCTTAGTGACTGAATGTTCGCTATGATCATCGGCAGCTGGTGTATGTATACTAGGAGCGGGCGCTGTTGCGGAATTTTGCCCGCTGAGACTGGAGGATTGTCGTGTCGTAGTCGTCCGTTTCTCGAGCTTGGGTCGGCCCGCCGTCGTCTTCGCTACGAAGTGTTCTATTTCTTTCGCGGTGGTGTAGTCTAGCAAGCTATTTAATACGGTCTCGGACTCGCTCTGGTGACTTTGCGCCTGCTCTCCTTCGTAAGTACCATAAAGAGTGAGAGAGTTCCGCAATTGATCCATTCGACTCTCGTCCAAGGCTTGTAGAGATTCGAATATAAACGGTGCTTGTGACTCCCATTGCTGCGTAGCAGACTCTAGCTTCCCAGCTGCTAGATCTACCTTCTGAGCGCTAGCTTTGCCACCTTTCTTGGTAAGCTTTTCAGACCGTTCCTGGGCATCCTCGAGTTCCTTAGCCATATTCTGAAGATTTCCCTGGACGGTATGAATATTAATCATCTCCTTTCTCTGGTGGAAGCTTCGTAAAGGCGTTTCGACATCTTTCTCAATCTTGGTGGCGAAAATGTGATGGGACATGGCGACGGCATCGGCAGACTGGATTATCTTGTCCCATTGTGGTTGGAATGTTCTTGATTGATAGCTACTGTTAGCTATGGGGAAGCGGAAAGGGGTTGCGATAAATGTCTAGTAGCATTGAAGCACATACCCAAGTTCCGACTGCGCGTTAGGAACCCGAAACTGGGTCAACCTCTTTAGCCCAGCTACATATTGTTCCTCTACTTTGCGTCGCTCCTATTTCGCAGTTTAGCTAGCTGGCGATAGGTTAATCGGATTGTGTATAATACCTGTAACCAATCGGCGATCTCGTTGTTGACTTTTGTTATGCGCTTCACTCGGTCGTTGAGGGCGTGGACGGCTTGGTTGGGTTGCAGATTAGCCTGCCGTGTTTTCGAATGGTTAGCTATCTATCTTCGGCGCGCATGTCACATTGGGAATGTTATAGTGAATAATTAGGTAAACTAATAATGATTATACACAACTTACCAGCATAGCTGGGTATTCAGATCTTGAGAGGTCTTCCATTGCGATTAGGGATGTGCGCGATCACGCCGAAGTGCATGAGCATGAGCAATTATATAAGAGGGGCGATGAGGAGACATATAAATACTGTATGAGATTAAGGAGAGGAGAGAAAAGAAAAAAAAAAGGAATTACGAGTACATTGGAAGAGAGGTTGCAAGACCAAATGCAATTAATTGACAATAACGGCGGTGATGGTGTTAAATGATGATATTTCTAGGTAGTTATTCTAGAATGATATTAATAAATAAAGTCGGGAATGTTTAGGTACGTTAGGTAAGGGTGTGTGGATATAGGTGGTAGGTAGCAGGTAGCAGGTAGCTTCAGAAAGTTGAAGGATAAGGATGCGTAGTGCTACTGCTATGCTCCTGTTGTGCTATTTTTTGTGAACATTTTCGGACTAGACATGGATTATCGGGGACCTTCCATGGATGCTGTCACAGGTCACAGAAGCACGTACGAGCTAAGACTATCTTGGTAGCTCCAGCCTTTCCGGGGAGTGGCGCCGTATCGGATATCTTTATAACTTTCGGCGTTTATGCATAAAAAGTACAAGGATACGGAAATAACCCGGTCATAAAGGACCGAGAATCCATCGTTATATCGTTATTCTGTTAAATCATTAATTGCTGCAGCCCGCTAAGCACGCTAGGTACCTAGGTCGCATAAGGGGAAACAAGAGCTTGACTCAATGCGGGTCATTAAGTTCGATTCACTTGTCTTGCAACAAGTCTGCAAGTCTAATTCCTTACATTAAAGCTGTTTCTTCTCAAGTTCGTGATAGAATATTAAAGATACTTTATGCTACACATAAAGACATCATTTTATGAGATATAGCTACCTGCATAAGGTCAAAGAAATACAGATCAAGCTAAGATGACTACTGAGTCCGATTGGAGAAGTTCTCTCTCCTCTTCTGATCGATACGACAATATTCAGGCCATGTAAGTCAGTCTAAGGTTAGTTCCCTACGAATCTAACGTGTTCATCTTACTGATTCTATTTTGTAGAAAAGCTGCATTAGAGAAGGCAAACACCTCAATATCTCAGTCGAACGCTTTTACTATTGAAAATGAGGCTTACAAGATCTCCGCATCCCGGGTACGTGGTTCTAGAATGATGGATTAGAAAATAAAACCTCTTTATTCGAATGTTCTACTCCCTAAAATATTACATATGTCGGCTGCCAATTGATTCCTTCTGCTTTCATTGTGCCACTAACCCAATGATAGGCTGAATATGATGAAACATGTCGAAAAATACCTGGTCAAGAGACATCGACACCGACTCAAGCACTAAATGCTTCTACAGAGCAGGATGTCCCTCAATCACCTGGTATCACCATAGGGTCATATCGAAATTGTCACTATGTCGCCAGCGGAGTCACCGCCGAGGTTTATCGCTCTAAGGCAGTGGCCCTAAAAGTAATCGTTGAGACCCGCAACATGGAACCCCACGATCCTTTCAGAGAAGCCAGGATCTTGGAGCGGCTAAAGAAGCCATGTATTCCTCTTCTTGAGACTTTCCGAGACCAAGAACAACGATTTACTCTAGCGTTCCCGTTTATGCCTATGAGTCTTGAGTCCCTTATTGAGAAAGGGACTATACCAAGGAACCGCGTACGAAAACACTTCACGGAAATTTTCAAGGCTCTAGATTATATCCATCAACAAGGTATTATACACAGGGACATTAAACCTTCCGCGATTTTACTCGAGTCAATTGACGGCCCTGCTTATCTTTCTGATTTTGGAACGGCTTGGCATCCGGAGTTATCGGTGTTCACGGAACCTGCCGACAGCAAAATATTAGACATCGGCACCGGACCGTATCGTTCACCTGAGGCGTTATTTGGCGACAAATCATACGGAACCTCGGTTGATATGTGGGGGGCTGGGACTATGCTCGCCGAATGTTGTCGCAATACACCCCGCCCGCTTTTCGAGTCTCGCGCTGCTCATGAAGATGGAAATCAACTTGGCTTAATATTAAGCATCTTCAAGACTATAGGAAGCCCTACTCGTGAGTCGTGGCCCGAGGCAGCGACCTTCAAAACGCCTCCATTCGACATGTACCAAGTTTTCGAAGGCCAAACTTGGGAGAATATCTTACCAGACGTAGACGAGGACTTCCGTGAGCTTATTGTCTCGTTAGTAGTCTACAATACGAAAATTAGAGCTACTGCTGCTCAGGTGTGTGTCAGTATTAGTGTCACTTTCTTGTTAGTACTAACGTCACATAGGCATTGCGATTTAAATGCATGCTTGACCCAATCCAAGAATAGGCTTGTAAGTTATAAGTCGAGAAGCATTTACACTATTTCGGCTATCATCGGCAACCCGCGAAGCCATATCATTATATATACATGCGAAGGAATTCCAAAGTCAATTCGGCCCAGGAACTCTCAAATAGGCCTATTCTGGAGTCTTATCCTTCATGTAATTCTCGATGTGGAATCCCGTCGGCTCGGATAGCGTCCATCTACCGTTCTACGGGGCTCGTCATCGATTCGGGGTTCTTTGTCGATACCGGAGTCGGCGCCCTAAATAGACAGCTTTCCCTTTCTGAAAGCCCAGATGCCCACGGCGACAATTGGTACTATGATAGACGTTGTAGCAACAAACCCTTTCATAAGTGCCGCCTTGATCTTCGGCGCACCAATCTCGTGGAACTCCTCCGGCGTGTTAAGCGAAGGCCATGGGGTGTCGGGTACGGGTACGCCTAGATACGGGCATATCTCATCCCATCCGAATCCATCTTCGAGTTTGCACACCTTCAGCTGCTTTGGCGGAACGACTCGCTTAACTTCAGCAATACTATTCGCGATGCGTTAGACTCCCTTCGTTGGTATGGCTTTACTGTGTTCAACATACTACTCCTTGTAATTCTCGGCGAGAAATTTTTGCCCTTCCGGTGTCATACGATATCCATTGCTCATGTAGTCGTACAGCCTAAACGCCGTTTGGGATAGATAGTAAGTGAAGGCATCGAAGTGTCTGCATACGGATAGAGGAAAGCTTCCAAATTGTATAACCATGTCTCCAATGGTATTTCTGTAAGATTTGGCCCATTTCTCGGGGTTTCGCTCTGTCAATAGGAATTTGGCATCCGGGTAGGCCTTCAATGTCGATCGAAGCATGAAGAATGGCATTTCTATTATGACCTGTTCCCCAATAACTAGGTCAGCTTGGTCCATGTGTGAGTTAGGTATAGCAGGGGTACATACATCGTAGTCGGCGAACCATTTATCGAACTCCTCGCGGCCATCTTGACATCACTGTTAGTTACCAGTATATTTGCAAAGCAATCACTCAGTAGCTACGAGCTTACAGCCATGTAGTCTCACTAGCGACATCGGAAGTCAACTTACACGGCTTTCCTTCGTGGAAATATTCGGCGTTGAGCCCATCGTTTAGAATCTTCACTGCGGGTGTTCCGGCCTTCAAGACTTCGGCCATGTGGTACGGCTTGAAGCCTAGTATCTTCAAAGCTTGGTAGAGGCCATGCGTGCCGGTTCTACATCGTGGTAAGAAGCTGGCAGGTGAGAATTTCGGTATTAGTTCCCGGGTTTACTCACCTAGGTGCGCTGAGCACTATAAGCTTCTTAGGCTTAACATGGGTTGGCTTCGGAACCGTGTCAATATATCGAGGCATTGCTGCTAAACCGTATCTATCGAATGAAGATAGTTTCCTAGGATGGCGTGCTATTACGTGCTCGATGGCAAGCAGGGTGTCCAAGACTGGCTATATAAGGGAGGTTCGCCCACCAAGTTGCTCCACGGGTTCCGGTTCTCGGTCATTAACGCACTTTATTCTTAAAGAGGGAGCTCCCAGGACTACCACCCTCGACAGCAACCCCAGGGAGCCAACACTATGGCCCCCATCTCGCCCTTAACTTGTGTCCGATGTCCGAGCTTCGACTAACTGTTACGGAGAAATTGAGTCGCATCTCTGACAAAGAGTGCTGGGCTTCCAGGGTTGATTCCGGCAATGTCGAATAATCAACATCCCACGTTGGGCTGCTAGTTAAGGACCAGGGACTGACATAGGCGAATCGGACGTTTCTACGCCGTTTAAGTCAGCATTTAAGAAGCCTAGACTAGGTTATTGGATTCAAGGGTCCATAATGAGACCCTACGAGTCCAAGATCCGTTCACCATTGGCACGCGTTTTCACCGACGGAGCATTAGTGAGCTTTCTGAAGCAGGCCGATATTCTTACTAAGTAGCTTCTGCTACCCATCTAGCTTGCTCTTGCTAGCTAAAGGGGATTGTCAGCAAGAAAGCTGCTGCTTCTTTCAGGATAGAGTCCTACGATGGCTCGTTGGAATCGATGAGATCTTGACCGCTCACAGGGAGAAAAAGGCTATCAGGGGTGTGCCCACACACCAGAAACTGCCACTAGCCAGTCTCAAATGGCAGTTGGATGTTACATTGGTACCGAATTACGGTCGTGCGTTGTGTGGGGACCTGCTATTTTGCTTAAGGGATACGATCCCCGGATCCCGCCCGATAGCCGCAAAGCCGCACAGCCGCAGTCGACTTCAAAGCCTACTACGCGGACCTATGTGAGCTACCGAATCCCCGAAATCGAGATTTTACGTAAAAATCCACCCGTTCCTCTCTTGGCCTATTGCCGGGGGCATTTACCATGTGTTTTAACATCTACCGATCGACAGAGATTAATCAGACGAGTTCCGGCGTTATCGGCGTCGCGATATCATTTCTCACAGCGCGGCATTTACAGGGACTGAAGATTCGTGTTATGATTCAACCAAATGATTTCGCGATGATACTATGATGGAGTTCTGGACCACGGTAGCAAACACCTGAGACCGGTAACGGAGGTGCCACTTTAAAGCGGTGGTGATGCTATAGTTTCTTCGATATATGTGGGCATACCCTTCTCGCGAGCCATCCTTCAGGTTCGAGTACGGTTGAACGCCGTCTATCTACATGTAGGTACGCTAGGAGAGATTTCACGCGTAATGTCACGCCGCGGCCCGTCCCGTTATCCAACGTGTGCATGGATCGGCTCCTTTATCAAGGTAGAAGTGTGAATCTGATAATTTTAAACTTAAAATAATTCTCTACACCGATATCCGCAGTGTATAGGTAGTTTCTGGGGGAGGCACATGTTAGCTTGCGTCCGGGTAGCAGTGGCCAAAGAGAGGTACCGAGGTTCACATACAGATTTTTATAAAAGTCTAGCTACATTCTACTTCGTCAAGAGTTCTATCTGAGTATCATAACAAAAAGTATACTATAAGTTGGAAGAGCCAAAATGAAGGAAATCATTACGCTTGCTAACTCGTCAAAATGTCGTTACGCAGACGCACATGACCCCTGAGGTTTTCCGCCATAAAATAAATAAAGACCCATCCCGACCTCTGTCGCCACACTCATAAAAATAAGCTCGCCAATCTATACAAGAAAAGAAAGCACACTACCAAGACGTATGCCCACCGTCTATCACGAGGTTAGTTCCTGTCATGTAGCTACTCGCATTGCTTAGGAGAAACAGTGCAGCGCCCTTGAATTCGGTGGTTTCAGCAAGTCTGCCCATCATATTTTCGCTTTCCCACTTCTCTTTAAGGCCAGGAACCTCCTCGAAGTTCTCGCGCACCATAGGTGTCAGGATATGGCCCGGGCTGATACAATTGACGCGGATTCCTCCCGTGCCATCCTTCTGATTGATCGGACTCCACTCCATCGCTAGGTTGCGTGCTAACTGGATTAACGCCGCCTTGGACGAGTTGTATACGGACGACAGAAGCCCCTTATTCGCTACGCTACCACTCATGCTCGCGATCAAGCATATACTGCCGCGGCATTTATACTTCATCATCTGGCGCGCCGCGGACGTAGCCGTCATCAGCGCCCCCGTAAAATTGATAGCGAGCATCTTGGCAGCATCCTCTGGCTCGTAATCAACCGCCGGCGTGACCTGCTGGACGCCAGCCGCAGCAATGACACCGTCGAGACGTCCATTGTCGTCCGCAATTTCCGTTATCGTCTTGTCCAGGTGGGCCGTATCTAGAACATCCTGTTGCCGGTAATGCAGCGAGCCTCCCCACTCGGGAATTACTCGATTCCTAGCTTCTGCCCAGTGCGCATCAGGTTGGCATTCGCGATCCAGACAATAGACTGGTCGTAGCGTTAGTGATGGGGTGAACGTGTCGATACTATTTGCATAATCATATTAAATGACGGTCGGGGGTAAACGTCACCTTTTCCTCCAGCTTCAACGAGACTTTCAGCAAGGGCAAGACCCAAGCCCCTTGCGCCACCTGTCACGACGAAGACCTTGCTCTTGAGGTCGAAGTCGGCGAGACGCTTCTGGCCCACATTCACATCGGAGTTAGGGGCTAGATCATATGCGGGATTCTCCCTCGGTTCCAGGTTGGTTGGTTTTGAAGGTGGGTTGGGTGAAATATGCAGCGATCGGAAGTGTGCAGCAGTAGGTTTAATAAAAGGGGTCACTCGGAGAGATTGGCACATGCAAGGGTTTAATATGTTTGGACGGCTGCAACGGAGCACAGTCCGGGCCAATCTAGGGCAAAGAGACATTATGGGCTATGTCGGGTGATGCTCATTGACAAGAACCAGTAGTATCATATTTTAGTAGAAGATATGTTGTACTAAAAAGCGCCTCAAAAAGCAGACCAAAAATCAAGTTGAATGGTATGGCGATGCGGAACTACAGACTGTACAACATCTTCTGATGTATGTATTCCGTCATGGTTGGGTATTCTAGAATATCCCAGTATCTTGGCTATTAAGCGAAATAATAAGATATCAACTCACCTCGTCCTATTTTACCTGACCTTGCATTTAACGATCGGAATTCTGGCAAAGTTGTTTGTTCGTATATCTTGTCAACAGTCAAGTTCTGCAAATAGCGAGACGCATCTGCTCGCTGTTGACGTCAGAAGAGTGGGAACATGGGAGTGGCACAAAGTGGTTAGCTTCACAATGACGTATTGCTCCAAAAATGCGGTTCCCCTATCACCAGAACCAAATCTCTTCCGAGCCAAGATCCGGCAAGACAAACTTAAAAATGTGGTTCCGACCCGGTTGCTTGGGAGACTTTAATCTTAACTGCCGGATCCGCTGAAGTTTGCTATTTGCCATTCTAGGACTCAAAAAGAAATTTCGATGTTGGAAAATTTAATTGCAAATGACCCTCAGCTATAAGGCATTAAGAGGGTCAATGTTACACCGAAGGCTTAGAGCCTTCCCCTGATTATTTGCTACCGGTATACGCATCCACCAATGATATGTGTGTACCTGTACTAGGCACCTAACAGCGGATATAATTTATGGGGTAATTTGTGGAATTCTATACTATTTATGCCATAGCCAAGAGTTTCCGACATAAATTTCTTAATTTCTTACATACAGCGCAAACAACCTTGAAAAGCTTGAAAAACAAATGAATAGAGTGGCGCAGCGTATGGCACTTAGTGTTGAATTGTTTGATTTATGACAGAAATAAAATAACTAAAATATGCTATGCTTAATTCGGTCACCTAAAAACGCTAGTACAGCGGGCTATCTGAGCCATGTTTAGGTTTGCATAGGGCATAGCCTATCGCGGCTTTACCGAAAACGGAAGGATATCTATAATCCCTGTCGATGTTCCCCGTACATCCCCGTACGTCCTGCAGCACAGGCGCAGTATACGGGATGCCAGAGCACAAACAGGAAGGTTGCATTGCTGATCGAGCACGCGATGAGTCGCGCTCATTAGAGATAAGCTGCACTAGGTAGGTAGTTTCTCAGGCACATAATATAAAGCTGGGAGGTCCGTGGTCAATAGATTTCGTTGTGGCTTTTTCTACCACACTCTCCTTGGCTCTTATAGGTGTTCGGGACTGTTGCCAAGATGAAGTTTCTCACAGCAGCCGCCCAGCTATTGCTGGCGACCAGCGCCTCTGCCAAGTATATGAGGAATACTGCTGGTATGCAAGTTGGCCCCGTTGACGAAGACACCATCCTCGATTTCGGTAACGGCACTGTGGGTTGGGGTACCTTCGACCAGTTAATCGATCATTCGAACCCCGATCTAGGTACATTCGAGCAGAGATATTGGTACGGCGCACAGTACTGGAAAGGACCCGGTTCGCCGATCATTTTCGTTAACCCCGGCGAACAAGCTGCCGACGGTTTCAATGTGTCCTACACTACCGCCCAGCGCCTGACAGGGCTTTTCGCACAAAAGCTCGGTGGAGCGGTTGTCATTATGGAGCACAGATATTGGGGTGAATCATCACCATACGACGAATTGACCGTTGAGAACCTACAATATTTGACTCTCGAGAACTCCATCAAGGACAACACCTACTTTGCCAACAATTTCGATGCGCCATTTGACAAGACTGGAAAGAGCAGTGCGAAAGATGCTCCTTGGATTTACACAGGCGGTTCCTACCCGGGTGCTTTAGCCGGATGGATCGCGACCAAGGATCCTGGTACTTTCTGGGCTTACTACGGCACTAGCGGTGTTGTCGAAGCCATCAGTGACTTCTGGCAATACTTCGTCCCCGTCCAAGAGGCAACGCCCAAGAACTGCAGCGCGGATTTATCCAAAGTCATTGACTATGTTGACAATGTTCTTACCAACGGAACGCCTAGAGAGGCAGCTAGACTAAAGGCAAGATTCAAGCTTGACGGCTTGGAGGACGCCGATTTCGCTACTGCTCTCGCGAATGGCCCATGGTCTTGGCAGTCTGGTCAATTCTACTCTGCGAGCCTCACCGGCCACACTCCTTACTACCAATTCTGCGACTACATTGAGAACGCCTGGCCGAACGCCACCACTTCCGTACCCGGTCCAGAGGGAGTTGGTTTGGCTCGTGCTCTACACGGTTACGTGAAGTGGTTCACAGAAGTTGAACTACCCGGATACTGCGAGAGCTTCGGATACTTCAACGGAACCTATAACACCGAATGCTTCCAGTCGCTTAACGCTTCCAACCCGATTTACCACGACCTCGCCCCGAGCAACGCCGGTAACCGACAATGGAACTGGATGCTATGTAACGAACCGTTTGAGTATTGGCAGGACGGCGCCCCGGCAGATCGCCCCACTATCGTCTCCCGCCTCATTGACGTAGACTACTGGCGATCGCAATGCTACCTTTGGTTCCCCGAGCAAAACTTCGGCATCGCAAACGGAAAGTCTGCGTCGGACGTGAACACGTACACTGGTGGTTGGTCTGAGACAAACACAACACGTCTAATGATGACCAATGGTCAATGGGACCCTTGGCGCGATTCGACCCTAAGTTCGACCTTCCGACCTGGTGGCCCGAAGAACAGCACCACCGACTTCCCGATACGCGTAGTCGAACACGGCACCCATTGCTCTGATTTGTACGGCCAGAATTGGGCCGTCAACCCCGGCGTCAAAGCTATTGCCGACGCACAAGTTGCCAATATGGCAGCTTGGGTGCAAGAGTTCTATGACCAGAAGAAGTAGGTCAAAAAAAATACTTATACCATAGTTAGAGTCGGCCATAAAAGGCTCAGTTTTACCGCATTTAATTTACGAAGATTTATAAACTAAAGCTAACTGTATCTACTTCCATTGCTCTAGATTTGTGCTTGAACCTCTCAGTGAATCCCAGGTTGTCTTAGCATCGTCACAAGCGCGCAGCTAGGATGTTGCTCGTAACATGGCGGTAACATAAATCTCTAGGTAGAAGTTAACGATTGACCTGTGATGATACCCATTTCTCTTAGGTGTCTTGTCGCTAAGATGTAGCGCATTTTATGCTGAAGCAAGTCGCTCTTTGTGTGACCCGGAAGGTCGAGGGCCGACACCTCTAAAATAACACCGTTGTACGCTACCCTATACTTCTAGAATAATTTGAACAATTTCTTTATTCCTAAATCTAGTCTTTTCGCCTCATAAAATTTTCGCCCAACAACACATTTGTTTCAGAAACAAGCTATCAATTGGCTATAATGTATTTAGGTCTGGTTCGCCGCCCTAGATTACGACGGCTCGGGCAAATAGTAAAAGCACATCGGTCAGCATTCATCTCACAATCTAGTAAAGCAGAATTTACCAAGCAAGCTCTTCAATCCTAAAAACACCATTTCTGTGACAGTCTTATAGATCCAATCAGTCTTTATCGTATAACTAAAAATCATACAATGGCTAGAGTCAGGCCTGCTACCCCTCGTTCCTCGCTACGGAAGCTCGTAGGTGAGGATAGAAGCGAAAGTCGAGCACTGCCTAGTGTCTCTAAGCGCCGTCGCACGGCTGCATCTAACCCAGCAAAAACTCAGGAGATCCGACGATGGGAAGGACCAGAGTTGACAGAACGGCAACTTCTAATCCGTGAAGCTGAACAACGGGCTATGCAGACAGCCCAGCGGGACCAAGAGGAAATGGAGCTAGACCGCCCTACTTATCCAGATCCGCCGAACAGTCCTGCTTCCACTTCCTCTTCTCTCGAGCGTTTGCTTCACTTAGATGACGATGCAGATTTAGCTTTTGATCCTTACGATTACGAATCCGATGACTCGTGGCCCTACTCATTAAACCCCGATGACCTAAGTGTTTCTTACTCATCGGGTGATTCCTTCTCGTCGAGCCATTCCTCTACATTGAGCGAGTCTGCTGCTCTTGACATAAGCAATGAAGATATTGTAGACCTAATCAAAATGAAAAAAGATCCTTCTACAACAGATGAAACCATGTGGGAACTTTTCCAACGATTAAAAGGACAAACTGTCCCTCGCCACCATATCGCACTGAAGAGGAGACTTAGCCAGTGGGGAGAGGATAACGAGACTGACGTGCTCCCGACAAGACCAGCGTTCAAACATATCCAATGGGACGGCAGTAGTAGGAGACCGCAAGAAGAAGAAGTGTCACCTCGCACTTTGCCTAGCCTGCTTCCCCAGTGGGTTGTGGACATTGCAAAGTAGGTAGTAACCTTGGAAGTCATCTTGCTCATCATTCTGCGCTATCCAGGAATTAAGGCCACGTTGCTTGATGCACTACATCTTAGCCAAGTAGACGTCCGTTGTTCATACAGTATGCAGGCATTGCTTAAAATTAATTGCTTCCCTGTTATAACTGAGTTGGTTAGAGTGTAATGTTAGATGTTATATCTTAATTAATGATGAGGTCTTCCGAGACGTTAGTTTTAGATCTGTAAGGGATATTCTCACCCATAACGTATATGCAATGCCCCGAGCTGATTCGCATGAATGTTGGCATATTCATTTCATTTAAGAACCAACATTAGATGTGATATGTTTACCATGATTCTATGATTTTGAACACCTTGTTGACGCATAGCCAAAAAGGGGTGAAGCCCAACGTTACACAAGCTCATGTGTGTAATTGTCCTAATTAACACCGTGCTCAAGTGCACCACCAGCAGGGCCCCAGACCGACCGCTCAACAAGCCATTCCATCTTCCCGGTCGCTTTGTCGACCTTGCCGAACATGAAACTCTCGAATTGAGTATCTGAACCACTGACCTTGATCGTGCCGGTCATACGGGCGGCCAACTGATCACCATCGCGAAGGAACTCGTGCCTTAATAGTCATGTTAGTTCCGATGGGGGAAGTATAAGATCGTGGGTGGGCGGATGGGAACTTACACGACAGGTTTATACTCGCTGACTTTGCCACGCCACTCAACAATACCTTTGACGTAGTCGTCATATGCTAAACGCCGACCATTCATCTGATGGTAAAAGGTTGGGAGTGATGTGGCTTCTGCATAAGATTTTGCTTCCTCGGGGTTTCCTTGGAGCGACCATTCCATGGCGCGTTGGAAGCCTTCGCGTGTAGATGTATATTCGGACATGGTGGAGAGGGGTTATGGCTTGCGAAATTGGAGGGTATCGAGCCTAGTTTTTTGTCTCCTCAAAAATGTGATTGCCGAAGATGAGTAGGGGTATGGCCTGTTTGTAGCATTTATACAGACTCGAGGAGATTCAGGTCCAATAAGACTTAGTTACAAATTCACGGTAGTGTCTGCGCCGTTCGTCGGTGGCGGTCGGTGTCTTGGATATTTCCTTGCTTCGTAGTTAGACAAGCTTATTGGTACCTTTTTCTTTTTTATGTAGATAAATATACTTCGTACGACGACTCTGTTTTCTTTCCATAAAATTTTCATATTACTAGGTACTCTCCATAAGTGCCATTGCAGAGGCGTGTTGACTAACGAGTAAAATCCGCCAGACCGCTATAACCACCTACAGTTATTGGTGGTAAGTGGCGTCAATAGTGCTCTTGTGGCTGCAGGAGATATACGCAAGCAAAGAATATACAGCATCATAGACGTATCAATTCACTCTGATAGAACGGTATTTCATATCCGGCAATGAATGGTTTTGCTAATTACTGATGCAATTTTTTTTTTCCCCTGGAGTTTACTTACCTAGGTAGGTATATGATTGTACATTCTCTTTACATTACAAGAGGGTGTTCCGAGCAGATACCCCATATATCGTGTACGCAGCTTTTCTCCGGATGGACCCGGAGAGTGGGGGGTGATATTCAATCGTGACCAGCCAAGCAACCCCCCATACGCAGCCCCTGGTGAGTTAAGGGTTTAGAATTCATCGCGCGATTCTAATGTGTATATGTCTCTCCGTCTCAATCACCGTGCCACCCCGCCTACCTCCAAGCTCGTGACGACTTTCGTCGTTTGTTGTAATATTCCATTCAGCTATCTTCTCCTGGTAGTTCAAATGAGGCCTATTTAATAACGGGGCGTCCCGAAGCAGTACAGGCTGACCATAGAACAATGCGTCTTGTAGTTGGGGGTATACCACCATTTCATTGAACCTTCGCCGGCCGGTACCCGACATGTCCACGTGCTTAGAGAAGAGAATATAAGGCTTTTTGATTCCGAATATTCTCTCAATCTTGTTGTCGCGATCAATCTGTTCTTGAGCGATTTCCTGGTCCGGCTTATCTACGTCTGTCTGTTCGATTGACCCCTCCTTCACCCAAACCTATTAACACAAGCGTAAGCGTCACAGAGAATCCAACAAGTTGATATGGGGATTATACTTTACGTATCCATTGGAAGATCTCATAATCGCGCACGAACACGGGACAAAACCAATGATTCTCGGGTGCGTCACGTTCACGACGCCATGTTGCGAATTCTTCTGCGCTATATCATGTAAGTGAGTAAAGAATCTATATGGAGATGAGGTGCTTACATTTTCGGATCATCCGTAACGTACATACCCCAACCCCACCTCGACGGCCGACCGCTCGGACGGCGTCGCTCACCTGACTTATAAAGCTTAGCTGTGTCACTGTCTGTTCCAACGTAGCCAACACATCTCCTGTTAGGCAATGGATCCAGCCCTATGTTAGAAGTGTTGCGCCTTATATAATCATTACAACGCCAAACATATAGTCCTTGTTGATAATCATCCCAACTCAGGCCTACGGATGGTTTTTGCACCTTCTGAAATGTGACACCTATTGATATTGTTAGTCGCGTATCTATAAAGGCGGGGAGGACGAGGCATTCCTCGCCATAACTCGACGTCGCTGTTACGTGACTCATCATCGAATAGAAGCTAATATTAAACTCAGTCTAACTCGACGTTGTAGGGAGTAGGTAACGAGACAATACCATTTTATGATAGTCAACATCGCTCGATTCTCGTATTTTGCGAAAATGATGACATTTCGACCCTTCACTCATTAACGCGTGAATTTTCCCTCAGGAAGTGGATCTACAAACTATCCATTATTTCATCATATTTTATGTATGCCGTAAAGGGTTTTCGTTGTCCGGTGTATGGGTCGGTAATACTAAGCAACCATAACGCACGGTCACATCTATATCGTTAGAGACAGAACTATTGGCATGAATCAGAATATAGACATACAGTGCTTTGTTGTCGTTCCTGGATACGATAGCAACCCGGACATGATTCAATAGAAGGTCATGGATGATATCGAAGATATCGTCGGATGCTGTGACCTGTCGGGAATTACTTCTAGATATATCTATTAGAACGGGAAATTCCCCACAGAAGTCACTTACTAACCCCACGTCCGCGATAATTCGATTCTGGTGGATGACAAGGTTATCTTCGGGAGTGTCTCCGATCCACCCGTGAGAGCCCAAGTTGTTCTGATCGAGACATCCAACCCAGAAAGTATTACTTTAAGAAGATGAGCGATTGAGACATGCGAACAAGTTGTCATGCTTACTCGAGGTCGATACCAACGATCGTTGGGTACTTCATTGCTAAAACGCGTGCCTCGTTGAGTTGGCGCCCAAACCGAATTCGTCCCATTCGTCCCTGGATGCGGGCTAACTGGAGAGAATATGGATTCCATCTTATACGTGGCTTCTCACAGAGGCTGTCTAGAGCCTCACTTGTAAATTAATGTTACTGTAACTCAATAAAGCAGGGGTGAGGGAGCAACGGGAAAGCAACCCCGATCACGGGTCGAAGTATTTCATTCCTTGCAGCTAGCCTGCCTGCATTTCCGGTCCAAGTTTTCTCAGCACGCATTCGGCATTTCAGTAATTGGACGTACGAAGAGGGCACTGCCCATATGTAGCTTACGCATAACTGTTGTTCAACACGAAAGGGCAAATTTGGTAAGCATCGTGACTCTTGATTTGCGGCCTATAAAAGTACGGTTACATCCTCCTTCTGGGTAAACTTGAATGCATTAAAACAATGCGAGCCTCATCACAAAATCTTTTTTCCTAGATAATGCCCGAATCTCTCCGAATACTACCTCCTTGGGCAACATACCTCTTTTGGTGTATTGATGCGATAATTACCTAGATAGAAATCGACGTCTAATATCCGACCTTGCAGAAAACCATGTCTTCGGAGCCTGAGTACACGAAACCAAACACCGAAACGCTCTCCGACATAGCCACGAATATAATACGGACTCTCAGCCGGAACGGCGAGACCCTTGGCGTAGCCGAATCCCTGACGGCTGGTGGCGTCATGGCTGCGCTTACTTCTGTACCCGGGGCGAGCGCCGTCATGCGCGGGGGAGTAGTCTCTTATGCCACGCCCCTGAAGGAGTCCCTTCTACATGTCGACCATGACCTTATCACGAAGAAAGGCCCGGTACACGCCGACGTAGCAGCGCAGATGGCCGAAGGGGCCCGTAAGGCTACAGCTTGTAATGGAAGTCTGACAACGTGGGGCATTGCGACGACCGGCGTTGCCGGGCCGGAGCCACAGGATGGGAAACCAGTTGGTATGGTCTATATCGGCATCGCCTCGCCTGATGGTACTCAGCCTTTAGGGCCCTTTTGCTTCCCGGGCTCGCGTGAGCAAGTCCGGGAAGCTACCGTCATGGAAGCCCTGTCGCGGCTCCGTGATGCCCTAATATCCCACCAACAGGACGTGGACCTTGTGGGTGGCGAGAAAGTATAAAAAGGCGCTATTATATGTTGACTGGTTGCATCGTCTTATGTGGGGTCATTGGTAAATTGCATCTTTAAGGGGTTCAGGGGGTCATTCCGCTCCATAAATTTCGATCTTCTGGACCGATTTTATCGTGAATTATCGATAATAGACATTTAGACACTGATCATCGTCATTCGTTCTATAAATTTAATGCGCTGCCTCTAATCGTGATAACCGAACGCCGTCCCGATAGTACAATGTAACCACTCATCCACCATGTTTCGTCCGCAGTTCCAGCCCGCATCCAGCATCTTCAAATGTCACCGCCATCGCTTTAACCGCCTTATCAAGATACCCGTTCCTCTCCGCATGTCGAAGTTGTGCCCTCGTTTCAGCGTCCACAGAGAGCGTGAGCGTCGCTATCATACCCGTCTTCCAAGGATCTAAATGCAATCTGCGCGTCTCGAGAATAGACCAAAAGCTAAAGATCAGGCCAAGGACTATGGTTACTAGCGGAAGAATCATATACGACCAGTCAACATGGATATGGATGATCCACTCGTGTCCGACACCAGGATTCGTGACATTAGACATATCCCTCATCCAACTGGAGACAGTCCATGCGACCCTGTCAAAGGTGGCCGTGAAGTTTTGGCTTTGGTATAAAGCTTGTACGACCGGTTTTTGGTTATAAGGAAAGGGCCATGCCATAGTAGAATTCAGAAGTTGTTCGTTAACGTAACGTACTGTACTGCCGATAGTATTCTGTGATAAATTGAAATGTCCTTCAGTCAATTCGTATTTCTTAAGATCTCCTGCCGGTATAAATATCTCGAGGTCACTTCGAGGGTAGTCAAGACCCGGATAATAATAGAATGAGTGGTTGATCCACTTATCATACTGATCGTAATGGGTGCTACTCTCGGAATAGTTGTTGCCCCCCGTATGGCGATAAGAACCAAGATCTTTTTCAGCCCAGGAGGCTACGATTCGTTCCGTGAGAATTCCCTTTTGAACAGTAGATTCGTAGGCATTGACGCAAAAATAGAGCGCACATTCCGTCGCCGAAACGGGTGTATCTTCCCATTCCAAGTTTCCCGCTTCATACCCCGCGTCGGCTTTTAATATGTCTACTGCGGTGATTAATGTGGTAATGTTTTGGAATGAGAGGGTGAGTTGGGGATCAGTAATCGTCGTTGCCACCATATAAGTGTCTAAGGAATAAAGATTCCCACGTTGGGTTACAGTGCTATTGAATATATTTGCGAGGTTGAGGTTGGGCAGAGAATAAATCGTGTAGTTGCCCTGCATTTGGGATGTGCTTGTATACGAGATACCTAAGTTAGTTCCATTTTCCTCGTGTCGTCGTAGATGATGCGATACGTCGTTGCAGGCGCTACAAACCGCTAACGAGGCGAAAACCGGCCAAGTGCAGTTTGCGGTAGGGCAGACAAACGAGGTAGTCTGTTTAGCGTTGTTTGAAGAATTGTAAAACCCATTATTGAATGAAGACACAATTCCAAGGTCTGGTAAGAAGGTATACGGCTCAAGCTCTATGGTCATGTCAGAGGGTGTCAGCCGCACACCCATAACAGGTGTTGAACCGTCACTGGAGTACGAGCCTACGTCCAGCTTCTCGCTGCGGCCAATTTGTATCCTCGGAGAATCGGCGCTAGGATCCAATTGGCCGGTGAAGTGAATCACGGCTTGTAGGAATGGTTCGAACCCTAGAAGTATTATTGTAACAATTGCGCCAATAGTGACCCAGTGGCTACGAGCAAATTAGTGATATCCTGAGGTATCGCTGACTGTCTTACCAAGTCCGAAGCCATAGTATGAGCCACAGACTTCCCCAGGGTCCGCGACTCGCGTCATCAAACCTATCAAAGGCGATGATATTATCCGGTCGTTTTTTGAACCAATTCCATTTGATTTGACCTAGGCACGAGCTAACAGCGAATCCAAGAGAAGTTCGTGAGATAGCTCCTAGGCTGGACACGACGGTATTCAGTGTGCCATTCCATCCGTCTAGTCGCCGATTGTCGACGTAGATCAGTAGCCCTACCAGAGTCGCCAACGAACTAAAACTGAGGACTAAAGCTCCTAATTCCCAGTTCCAGTGATTACCCCTTGTCGATATTATTTGGCGTTTTGATTTGGATGAGGAGGGGGATAAAAGAGAAGCTCTAGCATCGGTTTGCGCAGGCGGAGTAGGGGGTGGAGATGCTGTCGAGGGAAGTGGTTTTCTGTTAATTGTATAGGCGGAGGGGTCTCCCTTAGTAGAACACAGCGATATAGTTCGATCCGATGGCTCGGATCGGTCCTCGATATAGGAAGTGACCTCTATACTAGAAATTAGGGGGTCGCTCCCTAAAGAACCCCTAATCCCGGCCTCGAGAAAATGCGAGTCTTCATCTAGATTGAATGAATGACTCAACAATGAATTGAACGAATGGTTATCCATATTATTACATAAAAATAAGTGAACGAAAGACTTAATGGGAACGAAAAGAATTATGGATGTAAAATCGCGAAAGAATCTTGGTCGGAACCCGAAAACCACATTAAGTATAGGCGCGATTTGGACCCCATCGCATCGGGATCAAGGCCGGTGAAGGACGTAGGACTTGAAGTGAGAATGATTCAATTACGAGGTCAAGCTGCAAGTCGGGAGTCATAGGGCTATATTTAGTTAGGGTACTATATCCTCATCGTCCGACTGGGGAATATCCTATGTTGTGGAACATTATTCCGCCTCACGGCTGAGTACCAACCTCATATCCCTGGCATCGCGGATTGGATTCTTTTCTCCTCAGCCACTATTAGTCCCTCTTCTGTCGGAAGCAATATAGTCAATCAGATCTAACCATTAGCAACATGCTGAAGTCGGTATCGATCCTTCACATGTATATCACGGTATACAACACGCTAATGCAAGCCACAAGACGGGAGTATCTATATCAGTGGCTGTGGAGTGCGTTTTGAGGATATTTTTGTTCTCTCTCTTAAGCCGGCATGATTCGGATGAAAAAACCTACGACCTTCAAGCTTTCGTCGCTTTGACGTGTGCGTGCGGAAGAGTTTGAACTTTATATACCACTTTTCTTCAAAAATCCCTAAGGCAGATCAATCACGCACGATTAGCCCAGCCTGGTGTAATGGTTAGCACGGCGGTTGACACCTAGGTAAGCCAAAACGGGGATGATACGGCCTCTACCTAGGCCCAGAAGGGACCGCAGATCCGGGTTCGAGCCCTGGGGTTGAGATTTTTTTTTCTATATGATTTTGTATTTCACTATTTATTATTTATGGCCTATCGCCGCAAAGATGCGCGCACAGTCTGCGAGGAAGAGTACTTCCTCCTCGCAAATTTAACCAGCTGAGAGTCCGAAGGGACACCGACAGCCGGCGTTCTCGTTAATTAAACTACGCTGTCGGACGTCCTTCGAACTCCCAGCCAGTTAAATTTACGAGGAGGAAGTACTCTTCCTTACAAACCATGCGCACATATTTGTGGTTTTATAAGTCATCCATTATCTGGGTAGGCCGTTGCCGATTCATTTCCCCAAGTTTGAAAACCCCGTTGTCTGTCTGTCGCATGCCTTGACGATTGACGTACGTTGGGTAATTTGCCTCATAATCCAGTCCTAGCTCCTCTCCTATCGGAACCAAGATATTCAATCGGATTTCGACACAACGGGCAGGTATTTTGATTACTACTTTGGAACCACTTGTACAGACAAGTGCGGTGGAAGAGATTCTTGCACGTCTGGCAGCGCTTGTCTGGCGTCTTCTTATCGGTACTGATGATACTGTAGCAAATAGCACATTCGGTCTGCCCCTTCATCGCACCAACTATGTTACGGCGGAACGCGGTGAGACCATCGATAATGTTCCCGCCCTAGAGGATAATGTGAGAATTTCTGCGAAAGAAATGCGAATGACATATGGGAAAACTTACTGAAAAGGTAATGATACCCTGTGTTGTTATGATCCAGCTCTGCCATTTCCTCTCGTTAACCGCCACACGATTTATTCCCGCTACTGTGACTGTTTCAAGTGGATATTCTTGTGGGATCCTTATTACGATCGAGGCTTGCAGTTCATCCACTTCGTATCCGGCAGTTATCTCCTTGGCGGAACGGCTGATTTTAACAATTAATTCTTTTTCGTCTTCCGCGGGCGCTTCCTGGTTGTCCTTCCAGTGTGAAACGTCTTCCAAGGCCTCTTTTATGATAATTGGAGAGAAGTACTTAGTCATCCAATCTGCGACGGCAATTCTCGTCTGCTTCGAACGGCATTCGAGATACCACCCCTTGAATAGAGTGGGTACGTACTTCAGCACAAGGTAGAACAGATGAATAAGAAGCCACTGCATGTTCCTCTCATCAGTTTCGGCCTCCGCAAGAATGAGATCATACTTTTTAATCTGATCTTCCGTAAAATTGGCCTTTTCTATATTTAGGGGACGAGCCGCCGAGTGACCTAGAACATCAAATGTGAACTCTAGTAGAGGGCCGATGTAGTTCGCTGTCTTGAGATTTTCCGTATAATCACTTCGTACTTTAAATGACGCGGTTCCGAAGGAATCAAAGACCAGATGCCATGAGAGCAGGTATGAACGAATCGACCTAGGGAAATGAGGTATAGCAAGCTCGTCTGAGCAAGCCTCGAATGTTGGCGCGTCCAGAAGGAGAGACAGGAGCTCGCCGGGAAGCTGAGCATCTTTCTTCTCTAGGAGGATGTCTACGGATAAACTCTCTTGTGCAGCGGGTAATGCCTTATGAAGAACATTGAATGCCGCTGTTTGGACGTACTGAGATTCGCTCGCCAATAATCCATATAGTTCTGAGTAATCCTTAATGTGGTGTAAAGGAATTATCTCTACCTCTCGACAGATTATTGAATCCACAGTACTCACCGGCTGCGATATTCTTGTCCTGGGAATTTTGAGCAATCCAATTAATGCTTCCGAGGTTTTCTCCACAGATGACTGTAGGGTATCGACGAGGTCGTCGTTAGGGTCCTCCATTGACCGCAATGTGGTATAAAGACGGAGGGAGTGGTATATTTCTGCTATGCGGGGCTCAAGGGGATCGGCTTTAGATTTCGTCCAAAGGTATATGCAAAAATCTAACGATTTTTCCCAATAGGGACCATATACGTCCTTAACGCAAGGGAGGAGGTGTTGGAGAGAACGACAGGCTTCTGCTGCAAAATGAGAGTCGACCTCTTCGGGAGTATCAAACCACGAGGTGATTTGCTTGACTCCAAAAACCAATCGGTTATTCGCGACAGGAAGTTCTCCGAGGTCATATATTCGCATGCAGACATTGAGAAGTACGAGAACGATGAGAGCTTTCTCCTGGCCGAGATTGGCCCCCGCAGCATCACTGACTAAGCGATTGCAAAAATTACTTACTACCCTCGAAGAAGATATCGTTTCTCCAAGGCCGCTCAGGACAGCTATCGCGGGAAGGACGGTCGAAGGACTATTTTTGAGGATATCCAAATCCGCAAGCCATTGCTCCCCACGGGAGGGGAAGCCGTGTTTGTCCGCAAGCGCCTGAAGAATCTCGCTTAGAGCCTTCGCAGCGTATAGCCCCATAGGCGTCAGTGATCTGGACTCGTCGAGTAATATTCGTATAACGTCGTGCATCACCCTCGACGCTTTCGCGCCAGTCCCATCCCTCCACCCTTCAGCTTTATCAGCTATATCGATGATGACCCTTCGTGTAGGTGCGAGTAAAGTTCTCCTATCCAAAGTAGTCTCAACAGAAAACCTCGAGTCCAGGATTTTATCTTCGGTCTCGTCAGTCAACTGGTCTGATACTAATCCTGTAGTCAGACACAGGCATATCACTATCTCCACTTGTGTTTGGTGTGGTAAAGCGTTGGTCTGGAATCCCGAAGAAAGTAGATGGGTTAGGTATAATCCCATACGTTCCGGGATTGAAAAGCCGTATCTATCTCGACGTATGGGTGTATCGTCCGTTGCCGATGGCAATGTAGGGAGAAAGTAAGCACCACCAAGAGCACTCGTGATAGCGAAGGACGGTTTCGGTTTTTCTCGTAGGAAGAGAGCTAACTCCTCCCTCCATATTTTGGTATCCGGTATCAGCCGTTCTAGCTGTTCATTTCCGCTCGAGCCAGCGATGGCGGCTTGCGTGATTTGCCCAACAAGAGTTTCAATCCTAGGAAATTGTTAGTAACGATACATAACGAAATCAACGTAGAACTTACGAGAGCGAAGTTGAATCAGCAGTAGAAAGGCTTCTTTGCACCAATTCAGGTAATCTAGAACCACTAGCTGAAGGGTTACCCATCAATCCTTTTAGTATGGCTAGATCAGAGTTAGCGACGAATCGTTCAGACACGCTAAGCAAGCTAGCCATCAAGCTCATATGGGTCACCTCGTCCTGTAAAAGGAGGTCTGGCGCTTTTCCTGCTATGATGCGTAGGCCCTTGATCACGCCGGGATTAGGTTGGCCTAGACTATTCATGATACGGCTTCCGAGTTCTTTAATGAGCCTTTTTGCAGCATTATCCGTCAAGGTATTAAACGTGAATATAGTATTGAAAAGGTCCCAGCTTTGCTCTTTTGTGTTCACAGCCTGCATCAAGCACCGTTTTATCAATTCAGCTTGGAGCTCCTGCACCTGTTTAGCGAGTGCGCTGGCATGTTCAGTCGAGATTAATGTCGTGAGTGCTGATAAGACTCCGGGGTTTTCAATCTGCTCGAGGAGGATTGCAATGCTCGCATTCCAAATCTTGTTATGCTTCTGCTCTTGTTCAGGGATTCGGCCAATTAAATTAATACTAGAAAGGATATAAGGCGCGGATGAAGTTTGGAGGAAATCCGTTCCGTTTCTTGAAAGTAAATTCATTAAATGGCCGAGTATTTCGTCTGTAGCGTCTGAGGACTGCTTAAAGAGCCGAGGGGACAGTTGAAAGGCTGATTTCACAGTTGCTGCTATCCCAAATGGCTTCCAATTCCTTGTCTCTAGCAACTCTAAAAAGTCTTGAAGTAGTTCTAGGGAGTATTTGGCCGGTATATCTGGAATTGGGCGTTCGGTATTGATGGTTCTCTCATGAACGTCTGAAATCCAACCTGTCAAGGAAAACCACCTATGGCCCTCGTCGAGGATTGATTTTTGAGATATTTCATGCTCCTTAGATGTCTCTGGTAATGAACTGCGAGCTCGCGATCTGAACTCCTCTTTCCATTGGCTCCATGCCGACTCTGTGGCCTCCCTAACATCATTAAATGGAGAGATCGCTGTTGACGTATATGCTTTGATTAATATTAGCTGTTGGCTTCCTGATGACCACGATAACGTTTCAGGGCTTGAATGGATATAATGTGCAATGAGGGGGAAAATGTTTTCCTGTGCTATCTTGACTCGATCCTCAGAGGATTTGGCGACTGAGATAAAGCGCCTGGCAATGCCAAAATAGGTCGACCAACCATCGACGGCATTAGTGCGGGGCTCATCTCTTCTGGCTAGGCCTATAGCCACAGACTTTAAGAAGCCTAATGACTCGTCGAGCTCCTTTGGAAGTACATCAGCTGGAATGACTTCGATCAAGAGATTGAGCGATTCCCAGAACTTCGGTGTGCTACTTTGGGAACCTTTCTCTAAGAAGCTTTTCAATCTAGATGCCGACGACTTTTTTCCGCGGTAGTCAGATGTCCATATTGTTGGATGTTTTGCGGTCAGTTCAGTCAACACACTTATGTATTCCGCTGCAGAGCCTACTTGGCTACACTTTAATCCTTCGGCAACAAAGGTTTTGCTAAGCCGAGCAAGATCCGCCTCAATCCTTCCCGCTCGTTTCTCGAGGCATACGGATAAGAGTTGACAGGCCAATCGTCGCACAGTAGCATCATTGACAGTCACACTAGCCCATATCTTATCCTGCTCAAAAAATTGATCATAACTATCCTGATATTTCTCAATGTCTGAAAGGTCGAGTTTCTGTAGGAGATTTAGGACCAACGCGATGCTGCTTCCGAGCACCCGATAATACTTGGCTTCGGCGTCATCAGCATTAGTAGATCGCTCATCGCTCAGTGTATCCGGTGTCTCTTTCATGGCGTCGGATGCATAACTCAGAATTTGTGCCTGACATCGTTTCCAGAATTGTATTATCTTCTCCGGCGTTGTAAGAAAGGAGGAAAGCCCTTCAGTAGCAGCGCGAGATACAGCTTTGTCTTTGTCGAAGGTACCAGCAAGCCAAGAACCAACAATCTTGGGTATACGTTTTTCTGTGCGCTTGCGACCGGACTTCGTGAATTCGAATTGAAGTATGTGGGATAGCTCGCGGACACGGCGTGAATTGTCTATCGAGATGCGAGGGTATAATTGAACCTGTTGTAATATTATTGAATAAGCATGATGAGACATCAATTCACGCAATTTACACTCACCCAAGCTTCTATTATAGGCTCCTCTATGCCGCCATCTTGCTCATATGGGTGGGCCTGCACATATGTGACCAATTCTTCTAAGGCCTTTGCCTTGGTTGTCGCATCCTTTTTCTGTAGGTTCTTGAGCGATACGACAACGTTGGCGTCGGATACGGAAGATAGATCGGGTGGTTCGGCTAGATAGGAGAGATCGGTGTCTCTGGAGGAAGTCGAGAAAGCGCCAAAGGAACTGGGACCGAAACTGGTGGGCGCCTTGCCGCTTGTGGCACGCGACTTTGCCGGTTTCCGACTCATGGCAATAGGAGTCGTTTAGCTCCTCTAACCATCGAGATATTTTCTCATGTGCCGCACCGTCATCACTATTTTGAAAATGATTTATGTTAAATATTTAGAGAGTGATATTATCGATTTGGTTATGATTGAAGGCAAGCGAGTGTATAGATTATACGTGATGTATGTGATGTATGTGATGTTCGGCGTACGTAAGTAACAGCTTGCAATATTTAACGATGGAAGATGAAAGATGGAATATTTTGACCCCACGGTGGGGTAAATACTATGTGACGTCGCTTTATCCGACTTACATAAGCTACCCGGTCTGACTCAACCGGAATGGTCCGTGCATTTATGTATCTAGGTACTTTCTCGTTCCGGATTAGGCCGAAGTTTTCCACATTTATTACTTTCATTCACTCAACAAAGAAAAGGGATTGAAACTGACTTAGTCTATACATCGAAAGTTATGAGGGGAAGTCGGATATTCCTCTGTTATTCCTAACTCCCTACCTACCTCAACCCAAGCAATACTCTCACAACACAGAATAGAAATAACAAATCAGCGCATGATGCACGAATATGTATGTACGTCAATGTACTTGAAAAGCACTAACAGACACCCACCTGGGCATGTATGGTAGCTCGCTTTGATTTGGGACCAATGAGGCGTAACATTCCTTCCCCGCGAATCCCCCCGCTGCTCTGACTTCACTAAGTTTACACAGTATTACATGCACGGCGCTTGATACAGCTAAAGAACCTTGGAAGCTTCCCCTTCTCCGCATCATTCTCTCCACCTTTTCCCTAATAACTCAAGCTCCAACTGTACCTTATACCTTAATTACGACTTAGTCTCATTGCTTACACCCAAGTGTAACTGTACTTTGTTTCGAGAGTACATGTATCTAGCAACTTAATAGAATAACTCACTTATAATAACACTGTGCTTGAGGGGACCCCAGCTCAACCTTAGCGAATAACTCCCGCTTCAAATCAACAAGTTCCGAAGCTCCCCGCTTCCAAGTTCAACCTTCTCACATCCATTTCCTTTCTCTTTCATACCCAAAAGCCTCGGCCGAGATAGGTAGGTAAGTTATAAAACCTATCTTCTCTAGCCAGCAGATGATTTCGAAATTATATTCATGATTGAACTGTTGGTTCTATGTAAGTACCATTATTCTAGGCAGACACCCCATTGCATCAGCTCATGAATGGTGGCAACATCCATGAAATTCACTCTACTTTCATTCTCACCTACTCACGATCATTGCTAATCACTTTGTCCTTTCTGTAGGTGAACGGTGAAGGATGCGCTCGTTGTCTACAACTCAATCAACATGTTAACCCACGCCGTTTGCCAACCCATCTCTAAGCCCAGGTCTCTTCAGACCATGGCCATGGCACGTACTGCCTCACGACCCACGAGCGCCTCTTTGTTGAAGTTAGGCCACACCCAACAAACCCGTACATTCTTTCGCTTTGGCTTGTGGTATTCCTATGTAGACCCCGAGTTCCAAAGAGAACTAAGACGCCGCCATCATATGCTTAAACATAAATATGTTGCATCAATCAATAGGAGGTTGTCATGGGACCAACGTTCCCTCGACGGCCATCCAAGAGTTGTTCTAAAGCATATGCTTCGCAAGTACTGGAACCCGACTCGGGCGACATGTGGTTCACGTTTTGTTAACCAAGACGAACTGGACGCTCGGTATAGACAAAGCCAAAGTGCTCGAGATGCGGCATCTGAGTTTATGAGAAGGCCATGGTCACACCATCGCCGTTTCGCCTGGATGAGTAGTTATGGGGATCACAATCCGTCTCGACTTGACCATAGTATGTGGAAAAGATCTTGGGCCCACCGAACCCCATGGAACATAACCCGGTCTAATAGACGCACAACAGAGTCAGCAAGTACAGAAACACATTCAGATGTCCAACGTAAACAAGCTGCCGGTATGCCACCTATTGATGATTACATCATCGATCCCATTACGAACCGTAAGGTTCCAAGAACAAACGACCTAACCGAGGATATAACGTCACCCTCAGCCGAATCGTTTAAGACATATAGGGCCCAGTTTAGCACCCTCAAACCTCCCAAGGCTGAAGAGAACACAGGCCCCATCCATTCCGATGGACCGCCTCCCCCTTCGGAGCTCAAAGAATATGGTCAAGTCAGTATCGACGACGCGTTGGTTAACGGCGCTGACCATACTTATGACGGATTATCGACATCTGGAGATAACACAGCGCCTCCCAGACACCCTATCATGGAGAGTGAAGAGTACGCCCTTAACCATCTCCCTCCCGAGGAGTCAGACGAACAGTATGATGACTCTCGCAGATACCAGGAATATCAACGCGGCGAACTCGACGAGCTTAACGAGCAAGTCCACGACCCAACTAAGGAGTATAAGGACTTAGATAAGTACAAAACATACGGGGCTAGCGAAGCACAAGATGCTGCACCAGAAGCACCCCAGGACCCTGCAGAAATGCAAAGGTATAACACCTACACGTACGATGAAGATACAAAAGTCGAGAGCCAAACGGAACAATATGAGGATCTAGGTCAGTACGGGCCATACAAATACCAGGAAGCTGCGAAGAAAGACGAGTCATCCCCGAAGTATGATGATCTCGACAAGTATAAGCATTATGATGATAACGGTAAACCCGTGGATGACTCGATACCCAAGTATGAAGATTTGGACAAGTACAAAACGGCTGACCTCAATGATTCCTTCGCGGAGGAGCAACCCTTCCAGCAATATGGAGACCTAGAAAACTATAGGAAGTTCAAATATCAGGAGCTCGAAAACAACGAAACCCCCGAACGAGACATTGTTGCGGAAAGTCTTAAAGAATTCGATGCGACAGTACCGTCGGAGCCAATCATAGACCCAATTGAAAGTCCTAGCTCCAGCATCGCTAATAGGCTTCGAAACTTGGATCTCGATGATACACCTTATTCCACAAATTCGGATTCGGATTCGAATTCATTTTCCCCATCGTCAGCTAGTTCTAACGTCCAAAAGCCACACCTCACAACCCAAGATAGTGACGGCCGAACGGCTCAAAGCAAATTGACCGGTAACTATGCTCGCGATTTCCCGGAAGACTTCTCAGAATCATGGACGCCTCGAACTTCGAATGCAAATCCTGAATCCGAGGTAGAGTTAGAATCAAATGCCCCTAGTGAACGAACTGCGCACATCCAGGCAGCTGAGAAGGAATACTCTGATCGACTTTCCGAGTCTACGAATTCTGCGCAATTGGAAACTAGCCTGGATAGGCAGCAGGCTGAACCAAAGTTGGAACCAGCCCTCCACCGGCATGATCCAGAGCCTACGAAAAGTACTTTTAATCACCACTCTAGAACAGAGGCCGAAGTTGACCCGTACTCCAGAGAACCCCAAGGCTTAGAAACTTCATATACTAAAGAATGCGACGGAGAGCACATACCGCCAACATTCGCCAAGACGTATGGAAACGAAGAAAGGGAAGTAGCCCCGGATTATTCATTAACACAGGACGATATGCAGAGCGTTCATCAGTTCGATTCATTTTACCACAGAGACCCTGAAGTAGACGGCCGGCCACCGCTTTCATCGCTCGAACCAGATTCGAAGACCGAATCAAGCCACATCCCCGAACCGACGGTATATAGGATCTTAGCCTATGATCCAACCATGCAAAAGATTAACACTGCCGAGACGACGTCAGTTGTACCTGATCAAGCTTCTCCATTATCACCAGCCGAGGTATTACTTCGGTTGTCAAACCCAACCAAATTCTTCCCACATTTTGCGCCCCTGCAAGCTGAGGGCTTCGAGATTGTATCCGGTGGTGGAGACGTCTTGGTCTTCCGCCATGTCCGACCTGGGAAAGTACCGCATCAAAATAAAACGACCGCAGTCAACCCCATCGATATGATGGGCAAACCAACGGCGCTACCTAATGCAGCGGCATTTGTTTCGCCAACGGGATTCGTCAATTATGACATGCCACAAGTCGAAGAGAACCCAGCACCACCTTTCCGCTCCAACATTGATGTTAGAAGGGAAGAACCTGTTTTCAGCGGCCCTAAGTCGACGCCCGAGGAGGCTCGAGAGCGATCGAAGAAAAGCCTCGGGAAGCGCGCGCTGATTGGTGGTGCTTGGGTCGCTGGAATCTCATATGCACTTGGCGTTGTTAGCGAATATTTCATAACTGGCGGAGCTGATGGTCGGGGACCTACCGGGTTTTGATTTTGGGCGTGGTTATGGTTATCGCAGACGGTCATTTTACAATGTTGTCCACGCACGAATGAGTTACGTTGTATAGGAGTATCGGGCTTGTACGATCTTACATTGTGGGCATTGTGCTAGGTTCTTGTAATGGGATTATGGGCTCGGAGGATACCTCAAGGCGTCGGGTTTTCCAACCGTTGAAACTCTCTGCTTTGTTGTAGGAATATTTTGGTTATTACGCATATCATCACTACCCCCTTCTTCGCCCTGTACAGTGCAGCTTGCTCTTGAGGTTTAAGCGCTCACACCCCATTCTACATGTATTATGAAGATTCTAAGCCCACATGAATTCGATATCACTTACCTACTACCTATAAGAACTAATTGATTTTGGTCTAATTAGAATTCGTAAATAAGATGGGCGTGGCAAGCTCGTGACTAAATATTAGAACTAATTCAACCCAACTAATCAAATATAATCACCCAAACCTAAGAAGATTATCAGGCGATATGAGCCAATTTTATGAATTTGTTACTCAATTTCAACTCGTGAATGAGGAGTTATCGTGTCTTTTTGTACCTCCTCGGAATATTATCATATGTGTACGTATGCAGGATATTATTCGTAACAGTAGGTCAATGTACTCCCACTGTATGTCCACCATTTTCCAGCCTTCCTTCTTCCCGTGTCTTCCGATATTTTCCATGTTTGCCCGCTAAAGCTAGCTAATAGCACCACTGAAATGCAGCATGTGTCTGCTCTAATGCACACCCCGAAACGCTACCAACCTCAAAGAAATGTACCTAGCTTTCAGACCCCTAGGTTGGTTTTTGTATATTTTGTTGCTTAAAAGTTGAAACGTTTGTTCATGAGTGAGAGAGTGAGTGAAGATTGGGTCTCAAATGTTAAGTTGTTTGAGAAATCCATAGTTGTAGGTTGATAGACAGACAGGCGGTTTACTTGCGCTCGGTGAAGCCCGGACCTTCTTGGATGTCCTGGACGCCACTCATCTGCATCTGTAGTGCATGTTTGCGGTCTTCCCGGTGGTACTAGTGGGGGGAAAGCAGAACTCGAGTTAGTAAAGTTCGTGTACCTATTCCTCTTGCCTAAAAATTGTGGTATTTGGAGGTAAAGGAAAGAAGGGAAGAGAAGCTAATGTTATTTAAGGGATGGGATATTAAGAAGGGGTGATCAACTTACGCTTTGCTTTCGTCCAATAGATGGTTTCCAGCTATCAGTACGACTTATAGCACGAGCGGCTTCCTTCTCATGCTGAGGGCTTGTAGGACCCTGCGGAGTAGAAGCGGGAAGGTTGGCAACGTCAATTCGAATAGTGCTAGTTGCCATGATGAAAGTTATAATATATTGGTATGGTAATTTCTTTTGTTTGAGTCAGATATTGTCTGATTTCCAAAATGTAGGAGTTGGTATAAGTTAATTCGATGGAATATACTTGATTGAAATACGAGAAAGAGCCTAGAGTTCCGTGGACCATCAGGGCGTTTTATAGAAGACAAAAGGAAACTAAGGCCTGCATGTTATCATATGTAATTACCTGCCTAGGTATCAACCCAGAGCAACACCCAGATATCTAGCCTGGAATGTTCGTTTTTGAAAAGAGGGTCGTTCTAGATCGCGATGAAGCATACGACATTGCGGTGCAGATCACCAGGTTTCGTCTTGCAGCGCCGGCAGACTGGTAGCCTCAGCGGTGCATTTTGCGCATTTTTAGCAGGATAAGCTGCATAAAAATGGATCGATGTGATGGCGATAATGGAAAAAGGAGAAAGGACTTACAGCGAGCAACATGAGCTTAAGCAAGAATGCGGGGTAGCTCCTGTCCGATAAGCTCCTTATCGCCGTGGCAAACCCCCCATAAATTTCTCACACCGTCATCGCCTTTCTCAATCACGTTAACTTTGACATCACCAAATGCGCATTTACAACATTTATTTTTATCGCAACTTCACACCTAAGTACGTTCAACTCCTAGTACTAGATATTCATCATGACTAGAACCAAACTAATTATGATTTGAGGATAGAATTGTCATTATCCTTTTATAAAGGAGGGTTCGGCATATATAACTTTTGTATAATTTCACCTCTCCTCTAATGGCTTCTATCGTCAGAACAATCAGCGATGATATGAAGCAGGTGAATTTCCACGCTCTCCTCCACGACTCTCCACCTCTGGATGATGCAGCGGGATATCATGAAAGCAACAGCACACCATAAACTCCAGTCAAAAATTGAAGCAATCAAATAAAACCAACCAACCAACGCCATCTGCTATGCGAAAGAACTAGCAATAATGCAAATACCATCGCCGACCGCCGACACCGAAAATCATGGGGCAGCGGAAATGTGCCTATTTTCCATGAGGTATATCACCCGGTTTGATAATAACTAGGGCGATGCCGCAGGCTCAGAAATCCAAACTCGGGGAGTGCAGTCAGCTGCTTGGGTAACTATGGAGTCTTTGGGCGCTTCCAGTAGTATTGCTAATGTCCATATTAGTATTTTTACTCTTAAAATGATGACTATGAGGAGTAATACCTTATGTTGCTTCCTGCAAGCCCTTAAGCTAGGCTTCCTCAAGCCATCCGTCACGGTATGACGTCGGTCGTCATCGGTATCATGCTCAGGAACGTAATAGTATTCGCTCTCGAGTGGCTTGCCAGCTGCGTCCTTTCCTTGACGAGTGATAACGCCAATGCAGGCTGTTGATTCGATGAGACCACGCAATTGGACCTTGGTGAGATCCTTCTTCTCTTCGGCTGGGAGGTTATTCATTATCGCCGTTAGCGGGTTGCTCGCTAATCGAGAGTATGCCAACTGGTTAACGACGTGGTTCCTGATTGCGGCGATGTCGATACTAGCGTTGATAGCCTCCTCTGGCTCTGCTGAGTGCTGGGTTGTGGTAGGTCCTGAAAGGCTACGAGAAGGCTGCTCGGGAGATCGTGCAGTTACGGCTGCCAGACGACCCGAAAGGTTGGCTCCGAAAGGCCCGAAAGAATGAACGAAGGGATCGTTTTCCTCGTCCGGATCGTCTTCGGGGTCACTCAGATCACTAGAGAAGCTGTTGGTAATCTCGGTTTGCGCAAATGATACATCCGCAGCCGAAGGTCCCGACGGCTCTTCGCTACCATCCTCATAAATTTGAATAGCCTCATTCGGGTCGTTGTTTAACAGAGCATCACTTGGGCTTACAGACGCATTATTGTTAGGCGATGGAGATTCAGGCGACCTTATGCGTGCCTGTCGTCGCAGAGGGCTTGATTGCAAGAAGTCCGATGCAGGACCATTATGACGTCGAGGGCGTGGTGAATCGTCCCATGACGAGTCAGACAAATTGGTAATAGATTCACGTCTCGTTCGCGTTGGCCAATGGACCAGAACCCTGGCGTCCTGGACGTCTATCATGATCACCGCCTCCTCTGTTTCTGAGGTGAAGGTATCCCCTTTGGCCAATTCCCATGTTCGGCCCTGGCAATGAATTTTCAACCCATTCCAACCATTGCAGATAATTTCGATTCTATTCGGTTCGAATGGATCAGCAGCTGGGATATATCGTGCCTTTACATGCACACGAGAAACATGGTTGTTGCTCGAAAGATGGTAATGGGAAGAATTGCTTGATCGACCCATTAATAATATATCGCCGTTCTCGCTAAGTTGGACAGATGGTACGGCAGATAGGGGAGCTCGCTCGGACGCGGCAGTCTGTGGACGCTCAACTTCAGGCCGGGAAGCTTGAACGCGTGGGGGAGACGATGACAGGATACCCGTGCTCGATGTAGGAACGGGCGTCGGATACTTGTGGAACGCGCTCGCATTGAGCGTTCCGAGTCGAGCCTGCTTTAATGGCCTCGGACATCCAGGAGAGGACGATAGTGGTTCAAAGGGAGGCAATAGAGACGACGCAGGTCGCTTTACGCCGAGAATGCTTGACGAAGAGGCAAATGCAGGAGGTAGCGTAGGCTCCTCTGAAGTCTTACCGTCCATCTTCTTAACGGGTGAAGACATGATAGAATGAGAGACTAATTGTACATGTAGAGAGGGAAGATGTAGTAAATGGAAATGAAATGATAGGAAAGGGTTGAGAGATTGTAATAATGGATTGGATAGTTTAGAAGGAGGGATTGAGAAAAGGGTTGAAATGAATTGAGAGAATAAGAAAATTGGCAGGCTCTGTAATTGTGAAAGTATCACAGACAGATTGTATGCCCTGCACAGCACAAATAGTAAAGTTATGTGCAGTGTGGGTTCTTTCCTAAGTGCGCGTCTCTCAGTCGGACCTTCGCGGTGCGCGTTCACTACACGCTCTTTTTTTAGCTAGATCTTCCCCTCTCTTTCTCCACCTTCCGTCCACCTACACGGTATGTTTAAGTGCATACCATGCATATGACCCGACGAAAGTCCAAGCGTCTTTTTGTACAAGAGCAAACTTTCTAACTTTTGTGGCTGGTAGATGGAACGATTGACAATAGAGAAGTTGCGACGGACTTTGTTTGCAGGAAAAATAAAGTGATGTAGCCACACAAAAGTGATTCTTTCTTTTATTTAAGGTTTCAAGAACTGGCCATGTACACTTGGTCCGACCTTGGTGACCTTGGTGGGGAAAAGAATAGCTGGTAAGGCAGTAGGCGCGACGACCTTGTGGCTGGGATTTGGTGCTAGAGATCTTTTTAAGCACTGTCACGTTTCAATGGTGGCCCCACTTTAGCGCGACTTCTAGGCGTTTGGAACGCGATTTCTCCTCTTTAGCTAAGCTAAATTACCACCAACTAAAGTCGCAGTTGCTTCATCCCATTGCATCAAATTGCATATCTGAGAAGAACCTGCTTCAACGCGTTTTTTAGTGTCGAGCAATCGGCTAATTTAGCTGACCAGCCCCCTAATTGCAACCGCGTTAGTGGATTTAGACACCAAACTTTTAGGATTACACCGCCTAAGAATGAGAGTTTATGAACTTGAATAGCAACTTACGTACTGCATTAAGGTACACATACATAACTGTATAAGTCCTGTTTTTGGTGTAGTATAAGATTCTATAATTGATAGAAGGAGCAAATGACATCTGTCCCCAATTGTACCCATTGAATGACGACGTCGGTAATCTTTTTAAGATCTTAGCCGAGATGGGCACCTCCTCCACTTCCACACATCATTCGCATTTAATTGCCAAGCATAAAGAATCAATGATTATATACACCACACATTCGCAATTCGAACCTTCGTTCAATCAAGATACGTATATATAGGTATTTCATATTTCAATACGTACTAGAGTTATGCTATGCTATTGGTCATAAAGAACTAAACTACATAAAAAACGAGCTCTTATATGACTCGTTCTGGTATCATCGACAAACATGTTTGAAATCCAGCAAACCCACAAGGCGGCATTACAATGCCTCTTCGCCAAGACGGAGGATATATAAAAAATGTGCTGTTACCCGATTGTCAGCCAACCAGTCAACATCATTCGCGCCGTCAGCCGGTCGTGTGCATTCAATTCATCTCCCCAACCTCTCAAGTGTTTAATTCGTTACACTTGACCGAAGACGCGTCCCCACCGCCTAATCCACCTCCACGATCGAAGATTTCTTCAAGCCTTTTAATTATGTAATTTGGCCGATTTCTTTACTTTGCTATCAACTTCCAGAGAAAAAAAAGAGTAAATGGGTGGGGCGACTTTCATATATGAGAATTGCGCCGGGTATCTTCCTATGCGAAACATTCCATGTCGATCGAATACGTACGTGAACCGTTAGGGGGAAGTAAGGGGGTAGATAACAGATAGATAATGAGGGATGTGATGAAGATGGTAAGTTTGAATAATATTAAGTGTGGTGCTGAATTACCACGCTGCCTGGCTAATTCGTTTAATTTCTGCTGCTTGATTTCGTTTAGACGGCGTTTGGTCGTGCTTCAGCATTTCGGTATACTCTGCTCTTCTACGAATAAGGAAGGCCAGCGACAGCATGTAATCCGTTTCGTATTTGCTGGAAGAGATATGCATTAGAGGCTTAATGACAACACCGGCCAGGCGTTCAGCTGTCATATCGTTCTTCTCTTCTGCCTGCGCAACATCGGCCCATAGATTGAGCAGCAGCTTGAATAACGTACGGCTTGGCCCCCGAAGACCGCCGAGTGCCTCTTCCCAGAAGTCGATGCACTGGTCGAGTCGCAGGGCGTGGGAGCCCGAGAGTGTGGCTTGTCTCGAAAGGGCGATCCATCGCTTAGCGAGTGTTTCTGAAATTAGGGGTTTCGGGAGTTGGGAAAGGAAGAGGAGTATCAAATCAGCAGCATCATATACGCCAAAGTTGTTCCAATTCACATCGTCACCGTATGTCGGAGCACTGCTGAAGATGTCCTTTAACTTCTGCACCCGGTAACCGTCGCCTGGTTCTGCAAAGATATCTGGTGCTTCTACTCCTTCATTCTTCAGGAAGAAACAACACTTCTGCATGCATAGAGGGAAATCTCGTCGAGACGACCCTCCGTTGCCCGAGTGATGTGTCTTGGAGGTTCCTTTCGCAACCTGCATACTCTTCTGGAGTGAGACACCGAAAATTGCATTGGAGCTTGGACTTTCGGGTTCGTTCACGAGAAGCTCTGGACTCCACATTGGCAATTTCTTGAAAGACACCGACAGTCTATGGCTACCTCTTCTCACCAGACTAGCCTGAATGATGGGAGTTGCGGGTACAGTATCCGTTCCAGTCGTCGACGTTGTTGATCGTGTTTGCGGTCTGTTATCTGAGATTGCATGTCTAATAGGTCCAAAGAACTTCCCAAAACCTCTAGTTTTCGCCACGGAAGGCGGCGATCCTGATGATCGACCTTCAGAACTAATCTCGGTAACAACACCATATGGGTTCGGGTTCGTTGGCGAATCTGGGACTGGTTCGAACGGGGTGACCATATTATTTCGAGCCTGCTCGAGTCTCTTAATATCCTTCGGCGGTGGAGTCGGGGCTCGACTGGGTATGCCAACAAAGTGCGCCATTAACTCTTCAATTGTTGGGATATTGTCGTCATCAGGCTTCGCCAGCGCATCATTAAGTGTCTTGAAGACGGGTTCAACGCTGACGTCGATAGCGCTGTCCGGTTTGTTGCCCACGTAAGCCCCGAACAACTCGTTCTCCCCTACAAAAGCACCCTGGTCTGGGCTTTGGTCACCCTCCTTAATGCTTTGTTCTTTAATACTTTGCTCGACCTCATGCTCATTCTCCTTGTCGCTGACAATTCTTTCGGCATATAACTTCAAACTGCTCATATACTCGTAAAGGCTAAATTCATCCTCTCTTTTCTCGAATTCGCTAGGTAATCGTATTCGCAGTTGGCTCATCTCGACTAGGATTCGCGAAACATCTTCCATAACGTCGGCGCTATTCTGATGTCTTTGTATCGTATTTCGCTTGTTGGGTTCTACGTCGGAGGTGACATCTCGAATCGTAGTTCTATTAATCTTCATTAGCAACACTCTTCTCCCCATATGATCGCATCGCACATACGCTCCAACTAGATCCAGCGCAAGGCCAAGAACGGCCTTGTGCGCCTCCAGAGAGGTTCTAAACGTCGCAGTCTCTTTCCTTCCTGAGGCTAACCATTGTGATCTCTTCTCTTGCTTCGGTAGTTCTTCGCTGTTCAAAGTAGATATGCTTGCATCCAGTTGATTCACTACATTATAGCAATGTTCGAGGACCGCAGGCACCCGCTCTGCCAACTCCGGAGGAAATAGACCAGCATCTTCCTTCAGGAAATCCAGGACGCTTTGCAGCGAGTGCAACTCGCGCGAAACGCCATCTATATCGGATCGAGCTTCCCGTACCTCACGGACGAAGCCATTAAGTATATTGTTAGTTGTGGTAATAGTATTACCGAGATTAGTGCACTCGGTTGCAATAGACCTTCGAATCATCCAAGTCAGTGTTTCGGATGCACGAAAAGGGCGTTCGGAAGAGGTTTGCTGGGAGAGCACCCACTGTGACTCCATCGTGGTGTTGACCCGCGGTCACCCACAGTTCCAAGTTTCTATCCTCCAAGAGCGCAAGGCATCGACCACATATATTACTCACGATAATAAGGTGATAATAAGCGGTAACGGTAGGGTGGGGGGTTCGGAGGATGGGTTTTGGTCTCACGCACTATATCAAAAAAGTTTGGTTCATACAATGCGGACGAAACCTATAATAAAGCGGAAGCCTTGTCATCACTTTCGACATAACCAGGCACACCTAAACCGACCAGGGCTCTCACCTACTTTACAGACGAGCTCTAAAATTACGGCCGGGGGCACCGACGGGTAGTTGTGGAATACATATAACCAGTTCAAAAGAAGAAGCTCGTAAGAAACTTCTTACTCGTACGTACGCAGGTACGTCCGTCCGCACAAGTAGCCAAGATCGAAAAAGAAACGGGGTTTACACAGACCATCCGCACGCAAGCCCAGCTCTCTGGCTCTCTACCTACGATACATGTGCGCGTACATAGTAATAGGTACCAAGTACAGTACTATGTGTTAGAGGAGGCGGATTTTCCTACGAGTTTCCCATATGAAATCCATCTTAAGAGCTAGCATGGATACCCCATGTACTGCCAATCTCCCCTCCTGTAACGTGCCCTTGTTCTTCTTAACTCCCCCGCTCACACGTGCATATTCCGTCAAGTTCAGTGCAACATCGAGCCGTCTTAGCGGCCGGCTAGCTGTACTCGTTGTAGCTGTGTACACAATAAGGGCGCAGGAAATGGTGTGAACAAGAGGGCCCCCCTGCTTAACATCGTCTAAACAAGCTTGCGCGGGCTTTTCTATAACCGACCTTGACCTAACTAAAATCAACCAAGCTGCCGGCTGACCTCCACCAAACTATTAAAGCTTAGGGTCGCACTGCAGCATATTTCTGCAACATATTTCCAGGTTGGCAGGTTGTCAAGCTTGCTTCTAGTCCCTGGTAGAGAGGAAATGCTATAGTGCTTGCAATACCGCCAAGTCAAGCGCTTAGGCAGTGCGGCGTGGACGCTGCGGTTTGCTCACTTTGCAGTTGGGGTTTTCCTCTCACACTTCCAAGAAGAGGAACCGAGTTTTGGTTGCTCAGCTCACCCCGTCTGTAGCCGACACCCATCATCGTTTGATGAGCCGGCTAATCCTTTCGAGATTTGGGCGGGATTGACGAAGCCTCAACGTCACCGATCTACTCTAGCATCCATCGGACGTTTTATCAAAAAGGGGTACAGCGGGCCTTAGACTTGGGGGCGCTAGATTTTTCTAGCCCACTGATAGTAGATGAATTCGGCCGCAATCTATTGGGCCGCGATCACAAGACGAAATCTAACAGACTTGTTTATTATCACAGGGACCCTGATAGTTCGCAACTGTTTTCTAGTCAACGGTGAAGAGGTCTAAGCTTCTTCGAGGGGTGGAAACCGGGCGGGTGCATGTGGTCTGATATCCAGGTATTAGACAAAGAAATTATTGCCGACGACAACGGAACAGATTCAATGCACCATACGATACTTGGTGGACAAGCATTTTCAACCCCTGTCGGCCAAGGTTCTCGATTCTGGCGCCTCCTCAGTAGAGGCGCAATTCTCAAAATCGTCTGTTAGAACCGAGTATGTTTATCTAGGAGCATTACTTAAGAAATGGTCAAAAGGATTCAAACTCATGTCATATAAGCATGCACCAACATGTCACATTTGAATTCGAACTGTTCCTACGTTTCTAATAAGTTTGAGAGGGACTCCGAGTATGGTTAGACAGGTAAGCACCTTATTACATATAGCTCTACTACATATAGGTCGCAGAACCCACCTACGAACAAGGGCATTGAATCTCGAGCGCGGCTCTCTATCGATTAAGGCCTGTCGTCCGTTCCGGTTGCGATGGGTCTTTTTTTTCTACCCCGGCCATTGACCCTGGATCTATATCTTATTACATTGCATTTGTCGTCATGTAGCAACGATGTTGGTTTTAGTCGACAGATCCCTCTCAGATGCATAGTCAGCTTTTTGTGACACGATCATCTGCAAAGCCTCTAACTCTACGGCGCTGTTGCGGTGCGATTGTTTTGTATGGCGCACCTCGAGATTGCTTCTATCTCTGCTTTTGTCGCTTGATTTGCCCATTATGGCAGCCCGGTAGAGCTATGCGCTCACTTTAATTCATTTATACCAATGAATAGGATGAAGGATGAGTAATTTCAGCATGCCGTTGGTCAGATTCTTACAGGTGACACCTTGTATGCAACCTCAATCTTGTTGAGCTTGTATCACACATACCTACACGGATACTTCATCCGATCCTTTGTGCGAGGATAGATTTGCACTAGTACTATGTAAGCAAATGACCCTGGTATCCTTGGTCTACGTTTTGGTCATCATCTGCTTAGTCCCGGCAGTCCATCCTGACAGTGCTGCCATTGTGACAGACAGATTGTCATCGCGATTTGCTTGATACGTGACAGTTATTGCGATGTATTATGAACGAGATTCCATCCCATGTTTCCGTCTTTGGATTGGATGACGAGCGAGCGCTGATCGGTTTGAGCATCGGATCGACGAAACTTGATGGAACTTGGATCTGTCACAACACCAACGTTTCAACACTGCGCTCGGATCATTTTGACGACGATAAACTTTCTTTCGCTACTTATCAGTCGATTTTATTATGTTTTGTACAGTACCTACCTGTCTTATTATGCATCTGTGTATAAACACAGCCAACGGGACGCTCCGTCGAAATTTTACCTTGGGTACCTACTCGAAGAGCGCGCGATGGATCATAAATCCCCGAGTAGCTTCCATCATCCCTGTCCTGAATATTCCGTCGGCATCCGGATACATTGCGGCTTTTCTGAATCCCGTGAGGCGGTGCTATTTAAAATGCAGCATCCCAAGATCTAGGCCCTATACACCGAAGCGGTTTTAGTGCTTAGCATCTCGCAGAAATAGACCATAAAAGTCATAGCAGTGCTTGGAAAATTCCCGAACCCATCATGGTATTACTGTACCACGGTACGCTGAATAAAACTTGGCCTCACGGCTGTTACGTAGGTGTCTTTGCCTTACGTGCCCATTTACCCCAGATTTTGAGCGTGTTTCATCGCAAGTGATCGCCTAAAATCTGACGACAGCGAATGTCTGAGCAAGTCTCCCTTTTAATGCCGTGGATCCGATTGTTATCCGATTGATATCATCATCAATTCTTGGATTACGAATATAGTCAACTATAGCTGGGCAACCAGGCAACCAGGCAACTCATCAACTCCTTACATAGATAAGAGCAGCTTCACCGCTATGAGTGTCATAGCGGATGCCCAAGAGCCATTGCAGCGCTATTAGATAGGGCCTAGGCAAAATCTTTAGGGGACATACATTGTAGCAGCCTAGGTACCTGGGTAACTACAATCATCAACTAAGAACGCCACCGGACTACCCCAAGCCTACCCGGGACATGCAGTTCCCAGTGCATTTCATCAGCGCCAACAGCTTGGAAGGATTCTTAGTCCAAAGTTCTCGCAAGGGATGAACATCTAGGCACGGTCACACGACAATAGACGCAGTATCCCATGTTACTGATGGCAGACCCGACTGCGCGGATATGACCGAGGTGGATGAAGCTAGGTCTTGAAACGCTGTGATGGACTTTGTTGAAGTCGCAGAATACCGCGAGGCGCAGCGGATAGTTACCCGCTGTAGGTGTTTTTGATTTTAAGCATGCTGCTGTGTTTCAATTGACCAGTGCCTAATAATACAGGGACATCCGGACTTGGGCGTAATGTGCCCTGTAGGTGCCCTACAAGTAGGCACCTAGACAATTGCCACAGAGGCAAGTTTACCGGACTTGCGCATTTGAATAGCGAACCACCACCCGCTGATAAAATCTTAGGATATACATACAATGTTTATAAGAAGTGTGATCTTTTGACACCAACGCTTAACTTCCTACCATTTGCCTTACTCTAGGATTCCTCATCAATGCCTGCTCGTCCATCTGCGCAAGGATATGTCAATCGTATCGTATCCAATAGGGCTACTAACCGGAGCACGGACACTCGATGCTCTCTCTGCTTGCTCGCTTCATCCGCTGCAAGTATACCCCTCGTAGGATTCAGCTAGAAACATTTCGTTATAACGGCATGAAGAGGCTCCTTGGAGGGATGTGTAGTAGGGCTACATGTGCCGTACGATTGCGTTCTCTGAAACATTTCATAGAATCATGAAGGCACCTTAAGCTAGCAATTACGCATGCTAACATTAGCTAGTTATTCGTTTCAACTTTAGATTAATAATGGTAGATTACGGTATTGAAAGGGTTGAAAACTGACGTTCGGGTCCGTAGGATATTCGTATAGAACTTGCTTGTGGACCCAACTGCATACGCCTTTCATACTATTGACCATCACTGAACCGCTGATTTTTAGGTACCTAACCGATGGCGTGGTTTTGATGATTAGCAGAGAGGAAAACGCCATAACTGCCTACCTAGGTAGCTATCAAGATACGTACTAAGTCTAAAATATGGTGATTTTTAAGTAACCCAGATATTCCTTTGGAATGTAATAATTATCACGCCTATGGTCTCCTAATTTTGGTGTTCTTCAATGGGATCCTTTTCTTTGGACTGCACACTTCATGTAAATACTTAGGTACTTGTCATTTGGCAATATCCAAAAGAGGGAATGACACTGTGAAAAATCTTGCGCTCATTGGTTGACGAGAGTTTTGGTATGCAGAAGATATAGTGGAGCACTCTTTTCAGAGAAAAAGCTCTAGCGCTTGGGCCAGGCCCAGAAAAAAAGATTCGAGCCCCACATCGAAAAAAATATCGATTTGAGATTTTACAAGTGAAAATAAGTGAAGCTTCATTAATTTACAAACTCGAAGATATTCACAATGGCGAACTCAAAAACAGTCACTCTACGCAGCGAGACTGCGGTCTCTCTAGTAGACCCTGATCAGGTATTTCTCTAATCAATCTAATGCTTTCCGACTCGTTCTAACACCCTTGTCGCAGACTCTCAAGGCTTCCAAGGCCTTGCTGGCGCACATGAAAAATGCGTCAAAAGAGAAAGCCGCCAACGCAGAAAAGCGAGACCTTCTAGCCGACCCCGAAGACGAGGAAGGTACCAAAGAAAAACCTATCTGGTTGAACCTTACAACAAAGCGATTCATCGCCGATTCTCGAAAACTCAAGCCTGGCAAGATCGTTCTCCCACACTCTCTCAACACCGATCCCGAGATCCAAATATGCTTAATCACGGCCGATCCCCAGCGCGCTTATAAGAACCTCGTCGCATCCGAAGAATTCCCCGCGGAGCTGCGCAAGCGAGTGTCGCGAGTCATCGATGTCACGAAATTGAAGGCGAAATTTAAGTCCTACGAGTCGCAGCGCCAACTGTTTAGCGAGCACGATGTGTTCGTCGCTGATAACAGGATTATAAACCGATTGCCTGCGATCTTGGGCAAGACATTCTACAAGACGACTGCGAAGCGCCCTATTCCGGTCGAGATACAAGCTCGTGTACCTAAGAGCGATGGAAAACGAGTGAAGCGCACTAAGGACGCGGATACACCTAATGCGTGCACACCGCCGCAATTGGCGGGTGAGATTGAGCGTGCGATTGGTGCTGCGCTTGTTAATCTCTCGCCTACGGTGAATACTGCGATTCGTGTTGGAAATGCGAATTGGACCGCCGAGCAGATCGCTGAGAACGTCGACGTGATTGCGAAGACGTTGGTTGAGAAGTTTGTACCGGGGAAGTGGAAGAACATCCGCAGCATCTACATCAAGGGCCCTGAAACGGCGGCTCTGCCTGTCTGGCTCACTGATGAGCTGTGGCTCGATCAGAAGGATGTTCTAGCGGATGGGTCAGAGGAGGCCAAGGCTATTCTCCCCGCACAGAAGGCGAATATTGGCAAGAAGCGGAAGTCGCTTGAGGGTCAACAAGAGGAGGCGGAGCCCGTAACAAAGAAGAGCAAGAAGGCGAAGACTGCCAAAGCAGTTGAGAACGACGATGCGGGGTTGAAGAAGGAAATTTCAGACCGAAAAGCAGCGTTAAAGAAGCAGAAGAAGGCAGCTAAGAAGGCTTTGGAAGTTTAGGAACTGTTGTTGGGGCGACGATGCACATACGAGGCATAATGCGACGACAGGAGTTGGGGTCTACTACGCAGTATAGGCTTTAAAGAACAATTCATTCATCAACGGCGTTTGGTGGGAACAACAGGTACCTTAGAAAAGCATATAACAAACGTGACTTCGATTAAACCGCTGAAAACCCCGATCCTATGCTACTTGTGCTGTACCCGCTCATTAAATCCTACATCGTACACTGCTATTGAACATGCCTTATCATTACAACTCGTCCTGGACCTGGACCTCTTTTGAGGCACCCTTGTATGGTCCGAAGAATTCAGTGAATGCCTCTTCTAGTACTTCATCTGATAATCTCATGTGCTCGCCCGGCGTTGTCTTGAACTTAAGGCCGCCCTTTCGATCAAGAGTCTTCAGACCGATCCAATCTTCCGAATATATCGGTCGCGCCCTCAGCGGCGTAACTTCCGTCCCATTAACTTCCTCGAACCAACCCGTCTCCTTCGGAATAACGGTAGTATCGTCATCGAAAAGGTACATAACGAAGTTCTCCAAACTCGCGATATTCTTCGCATACGTCTCGTTCTTCTCCTTGCGCTCGTTATTGATATCGGCGAGGAAATTCGAGTGCTCGAGATAACTATCGAGATCTTGCGGGTCGCGGAAGTACTGCGCGGGGACGAGTCGGCTTTGTAGCCATGAACTCCAGGTGTTGCCGTGCAAAAGGGCCATAGCGCCTTTGCATAGCCAGTCCGCTGCTGAACATGCCTTGTAGTCGACGATGCCGTTGTGCTGGCTGCCGAAGGTTACTAGGCTCCGCACGGGTGGGTAGTTGCAGCGCTCGACGTAGCCCCGCAGGAACTGGCCGCCTTGGCTGAAGCCTACGGCGTCGATGGCTGGCGCGGTAGAGAGGATGGGGTGCGCGGCTAGGTCGTCGCAGACTTTGGCTAGTTGTTCGGTCACGTTGCCGTAGAAGGTCGCGGTGCGGTCGTTGGAGGGGCTTTCGTCTAGGCGGACGTAGTATACGAGCGTGCCTGGGTTGACCTTCTCGACTAGCGAACCGACCGACTGCAGTCCTTCGGCAGAGAATGTATCGCCGAGACCGTGCCAGATCACGACGGGTAAAGGTGTGTCGTTCTCATCGTCGGAGCTGGGCTTAACGCTTGTGGGTGTTGCTAATACGGAATGAAAGGTAGAGGCCAAGGCCAAGAATACTGGGAGTTTAGTCATCTTTCTAGTTGGCGCGCGCATCTTATATTGAATATCGATGATGGGCTGGGTATCATATCATCAACTTGAAGATGTTTTAATGCAATTTAAATGAAGGATTGGGAAACTGAAGAGAGAAGAGTTGAAGGATGGGAAGTGGCTGTGCCACACCTTCATTACTGAACTGGGCTGGTCGCTCTTAAGCTGAGACCTGGCTTCTCATTGGTCGAAATTCTTAAGCTCCAACTGCTTAGGTACGCTTTTAAGCTTGCGGGAACACCCACGAAATGCGGCTTAGGTACTAACTCGGCCACGACGATGGCTTCAGAGAGACGACATAATCAATGATTATGTCGTCCTGCTCCGCAAAAGATAAACTATGGCGAGATCTTTCCCATTTGCTTGTTGCTTTTTTTCTTCACCTTTTCCCTCCATTCCTTTTTTCCTCTTTTCTTCAGCATCCACCATACATTGTGAATGCTGGATACTCCAACTTTACCTACAAGCCACAAGCATACTACCAATTCACTTGACTCTTAAGTGAATTTCAACTCGGTTTGTGTCTATTTTCTCTCTCGCGGGTTTCTTTTCATCTGCTTTCAATTTCGTTTCCAATCACTTGTCTCGTCCTTTTTTTCTTTTCTACCTTTCATTGCTAAGTTTCTGCCATCAATTAATGATGGACAAATTGGAGATGGAACCTTGGGGTTCCCCCAAGAAATCAAGAATGCTTGGAGAAGACGAAGACGGCGTTGAGCCTTCCCGGGTGGAGCCGGCCCGAACCGAAATTGCCGACGTAAGTTGTAACTTGCATCCGCCGTCTCAGCCAACTCTCTTATAACTAATCGGATTAACTATCAGCCGAGACGCCAATCAGGTCTGAGCTTAAGCTCGAGCTTGAATAGCTTGAACCCTCGTCGTTTGAATGCGCGAGTTTGGCCTTCATTGCCCCCCGTTCCTTCAACCAATCAGAGTGTTTACGATCAGGATCACGACTACGATTCTGATGATTCTTGCAAATCTAACCTCACTATTACCCCTAAGAGATACGCTACGGCCGTAGCCGATTCCCGCCGTAACCAACGCAGTTCTTCCGTCTACAACTTCGACTTGATTAATCGATACCTACGATACGAAGACGATTCTATTGGCAGTAGTACCACGCTGGCTTTGGGTGATAGTGAAGAGATGGCGCCGAACCACGCCGCGAAAAACGGCGTGGCAGAGCCTCAGGTGACTACTGTTGGTCCCAACTTAGGAACTATCAAAGTTGGCCACCAATACATCTGCGAGTGCTACATTCGTCGCATGTTCGCCGAGAAGCATTTGGATGCTGCGCGCGAGGCTAACTACCGCCTACAAGGTGTTCAGGTCATCGATTCCACTCGTGAGGCTCTCTTACTGTAAGTTATCCCGCCGATCAACTCACTCGGGGAATGTCTCAATTAACACTCACTTTTAGACCGGTTAAGACTTACAACACCGCTTGCACCTTCTACCACCGTTTCCGCCTAGAGCACCCTACTCACGATTACAACTATACCGATGCCGCTTTAGCCTCCCTCTTCGTCGCATGCAAAGTTGAGGACACACTCAAGAAGTCGCGTGAAGTTCTGTGTGCTCATCACAACCTGAAGAACCCGGACCACCCGACCACCCAGGATGACAAGGTTAGTCTGCCGTCAATATGTCGCTTTTCTATTTACATAAGCTAAGTCAATATATAGATCTTTGATCAGCCTTCGAAAGTTGCGATCGGTATCGAGCGATACATGGTAGAAGCCATCAGCTTCGATTTCCGCGTTCGATATCCCCAGAAGATTCTCACAAAGATCATTAAGAGCGTCCTTGGAACCTCGACGGATGTCTCAAGCTTCTTTCCGATTGCCTTCAAGATGTCCATTGACATGTACAAGACCTATGCGCCTCTAAAGCATAGCTCATACACATGTGCTCTCGTCACTGCGCGACTTAGTGCGCTAATCACCAATCAATTCGTCCGCGAGTTCCAAGCACTCGATCCGCTTGACTGGCACACAGATGAGCAGTGTGTGGCCGAAGTTATGCTCGATGTACTCGACCTTTACACGCAGCATGGCAAGTCCACGAAGGTCGGTTCTATGTTTGACCTCCAGGTATTCATCGACACTCAAATCTCCGTCAACCGATACGTCGAGCGCACTCACCTCTCTCGCTACCTGAACCAGTGCCGAGAGTGTCAATCCACTGTACCGGCTACGCCGTCGACAGGTTCACCCGGATCACTGAGTGCGCCTTCCGCTGCTGGAACTAGTACCATCAAGCGCGGACCCAAGGGCGCCGACGGAGGCACCACGCGATTCCTCTTCGACACTGACGAAGCCGTGCTGGAGAAGAAGACGTATGACGAGTACACCAAGGATGAATGGGAAGAATGGGAGGAGGAAGTCGAAGAATCCGTCCCGGACCCACGCGACGATCGACGCCCTGAACCCCGCGGTCCTAGAGGTCCTCGCGGACACGGTCATGGACGTGGTGGCCACGGCCGAGGCGGATTCGACCATGGTTGGACTCCTCGCAACCGCCACGATCGCCGCCGTCGCGGTGGCGGCTTCTACTGATTTTCCCCCGAGGACAATTATGAGATTATCTCATATTTTTCAAACTGCGACTACAGCAGTTCTTCATAAAAGTTTCATCGGCGGCTCAATTTGACGGCCATTTGCATTTGGCGGCGTACGGATCGATAAGATACCCCATTCTCGGAATTCGCATTAAGGAAAGGACGTTTAGGCGCAGGGTTGATGCTACGTGAAGGCATCTCAAAAGGAATCGGATTTTCACATTAGGCGCTTTTACGATTTCGGCCACACAGGCCCGGAAAAGACGCATAGAAAAAATAGCCTAAGCTTTAGGCACTCGCTTTGTTTGTATCGTAGCATTAGCTACATTGTAGGTTTTTTTTCAATTTTTCTCGCTCTTGCGTTGATCAAGCACAAAACAGATAGTCTAGCACTACTGAACTACGAGGTAGTTTTCGCTTTCGGTGGATTTCTGCGTTACTGGTATTTGATTCGTCAATGCTAGGCAATACGATTGATTTTCTCATGTTTTATTCATACTCTTTGCCTTGGTGAATCATTATGTTGATGGATGGAGTGCATGTGGGAATGAGTGATTATTAGGTCGTGAGCATATGAGAGCTATGATCTCGCAATGTTGTAAGGTAATAACCCGACTTCATCCTGAAGTATTGTTATGAACTTTGCTAACTCTTAAATAGATAATCAAGTCGATTGCTTATGCTGGACATGTCTACATGTTGCTTTGAGAAGTCCCAGTAAAGAATCCCCAATGGGGCTTCGCCTAACTTTATAACATGAATATATCCTCTATCGCCTGAAATTGTTCCTAGTCCATCTAGTTGCATAGGTCATTCCCCTCCCTTCGAACCGATACGCAGATACAGTAGCAAGCTTATGTACTATGCGCAACGAGTTCCTCAACCAGCGTCTACCATGCAGGGTTTCCTGTTGAGACTTAGTCGTGGAACATGTCGAGCTCGTGTAGGGAGTGGTTACGGTCTGGACGAGGAGTCGGCATGGAAGAAGACCGGACCACGAGGGTCCTAGTCTCAGTTCTGTGTTGCTAATATATGTTAGTCGTGATGACTTTCGGATGAGCTAGTAGGCCGGAACTTACTAGGAAGTACGACATCCCACCTTCAAGTAATGCCGGATCATCTGCTCTAGGGACTGGCTCGGACGCGGCGGCTTGGGCATTCACTCTAGGGATCAATTCGAGCTCAATGGTTTGGTGTTCTCGTGCTAGGCGTGTCTTGCGGCGACGCATTCGTCGTAGAAGGGAAGTTATATATGGGATAAGGCACATCATAAGTACACTAACGATTCCCACGATTGTCGCATCCGCCAATAACATTCCAGGTAATATTTCTTATAGGATATGGGTGGGAAGTGTGTTCTGGGGGGACTTTTACTATGGGGGATTGGTTTCTATTATTTATATCGGCACCCGCATTGGCACTCATTCTCGAGCTTTGTAGGGACGTCACTTTACGTGCTTCTACCGGGCGAAGGAAATTAATACCAACGCAGCAAGTCGTCGGAATGATTACCGCCGATCCAGCTTTTTCACCAAGAGGATTTTGGACAAGATTTTGGACAAGATTATAGACAAACCATGGAAAAGACTGCGGACAGCTACTACACAGCTAACAGATTGATTGGTCCAGAAAATGCAAAAAGATTATGGACAGAGCTAAGCCGACGAATGGTGCGGTCCTACCAATGAAAGGATATATCTGTATCACCAGAATATGGACAGTGGCTTGGCCGAAGTACCTTGGTACCTAGCATTTAGGACTAAAAGAGGTAATTGGTACATGTCAATAATACAAGTCGGAACCCGAAATTTTATTTAAACTGCTAGCCTTCCCTGTGAGATTTTTCTCCTCCAAGAATGAATTGCAGAGCTTTCAATCGCGCTTATAATACGTCTCACTTTAGGATATCATCACTATGCCTTCCGTCAAACGCCCCCATTCAGATTTAGATGATAGATGGAAACAAAATGAGGCTATCATTCGACAGCTCTATGAGGCCAAAAGAAAGACCCTCAAAGAAGTTAAACAGATTATGGAGGATGAGTATGGGTTTCCTGTTATCCCGTAGGTACAGCCATATCAGATTTCTTCTATGAGTCTATGATTACTTAGGTCTCTAACTCATGATACTAATAGTCTATCAACTTATGAGACAAAACTTCGAGATGTGCTTAGGCTTCGCAAGAGACTAAAGAAGGAAGATTGGACACCGATCTACCAGTCCTATCTCAACAGGGGTGAAAAGGACACGGGTATCTATCTTAATGGGAATAGGATTGAATGGAAGAAAGCTTGGAAGGAGATGAGAAGGTCAGGTGCTCGGGATAATGTAGGCAATAGTACGTAATCCCCTCTACCTGAAGTCCTTGATACTGTCTATATTACAACGGCTCTTAAAATAGCAAGCGTTAACGTACAAACCAGGCAATGCCACCACGCTACCAGTGGGAGTAGAAGTTAGGACTCCGTCCCCTGCTCCCAGACTTGGTCCTCCTTCTCCGACAGCATCCCTAACGCAACAGGAAACCTCCCCCCCAGTATTCCTGACCTACCCAACAACGACCCAAGTGAATTACGAAGTAATACCTTACGGTTTAGACAACATATTACAACGTCATCCTTCGCAACCCACGGCGCCAAACCTAGATCCAGAGGATGAATTCGCAAGCTTTTTCGAGTCTGTGAAGATAGAGTACAACAATGCTCTTGCAGATGGCCCCTCAGTTGTGTTCCAAAATTTAATAACCCGTATGTATCAAGAAGTTATCATATTCTTCCGTACGAAATAAGCTAAGAAATATGACAGCGATCATTCGTGATTTAATGGGCACGACATTTGAAACACACTTGCCGAAGCTCCAGGAAATGATATTCTCGGTCATACCATCCTTCCTACCAAGGCCTGGTCAGGCATCTTCCTTGTCGGTGCCTAGCTCGAAATCCGATGTCTACGATCTTCTGTCTAGAACCATTTATCTCCTCTCGAACGGCCTGCTTGATGAAGAGATAGGTGAAGGGCCGTGTCCAAAGATATGCGAGATCTTACTTAACCAGGCCCCACAGTCAACCCTACGGCAATTATTTCAGCAAGATCTCCCCACAGCAAGGGCCACATGGGAAGCCTTGGCACAGTGTGCTGGAAGGTTCGGATTTAGGGATGCTTTTACCTTTTTAATGAGTGTTGGATTTCACCATTACAGATGGGTTATTCCTAATGGGACGTCATGGCTCATCCACGCCGCTGCCATGGGTGCCATTGATATCGTCCGAAATCTCCTTCAAAATGGAATTCAACTCACAGGTCCACCCGACGAAGAAAGAATAGCTGCTTTTCTCGAAGCGATTGCCACCGGGAATGTAGAGTGCGCAGAGCTGCTCATCGAAGGATGCGACATCAACCAACAGTGTTATCAACAAAAGCTGTACGTAAGCTATTTTGGTTGGTTTGTGGAGGCCCTGATGACGGGTGGATTCATTTCTCGTATGAGGCGCGATCACGCCTACGTGCCGACCCTTCTTAAAGATATGGATGACGGGAGGGTACTCGTTAAGCTCAGCCTAGACCACCAGCCGCATTCTCGGGTATTAGAGGTGTTCTTGAAACGCGGTGCCGATGTCGACGCCGCGTGGCGGGCGGTTGGAAGTTCACCTTCATACGATTTCCTCAGTCACAATAATAGGCCAACGAGGCAAAGCCTTACGTTATTAGAGCAAAGCTATTACTATCATCCAAAGCTATACTACAAACTACGTCCGTACAGCCCGCAAGCAACATTTCGTATCCTTCGTCCAGCAGTTTGTATCCACGCGAAGCGGGGCGTGAAAAGCCTCTCTAAATATTTGAAGTCTCTTCCCGACCCAAAGGAACGTGACTCCAGAGAAACGTCGTTCTTGGGATTGGTCCTTGCTGAACAATTCGTTCCAACAAGAGGTACATGCGTCGATACTAGGGTTGTCGATGGTCTTGTTGCATTTGGGGTGGATACGAAACTTGCTTCGTCCCAATTCATACTCTGCAACTTCGTAAAACTAATCTGTGCGAGTGGTTATTCCGAGGATTTGGCTACTATTTTGGGATATCTTCTTCAATTTGGAGCTACAATAGATGGAGAAGTTTTAGAAGCTGGCGTCGAAAAAAAGGGGTAGACGTTCTGAACATCCTATGTCTGTACGGCGCTAATGTGAACGAATACGGTGCGAATGCATTGTCAGCGGCTACCCGTATAGGTAACCTCGAAGCAGTCAACTGGCTATTGGAACGAGTTGGTTCTAAGGCTCAGAATGGCATTCCAAGCACTGTCGATTCTCCGGAACATTTTCTCAACCACACTAAGGATGATGATTCGTTCTTTGACAAAGCCAAAGTCTTCCTAGAAAAATCAAATGATTTCAACCCATCAGATCACTCGGGGGATCTACTGGAAGCTTGTATCAATCCATATGTACCAGTCAGTTCTGCAATGGCCAAGCGAAGGCTAGCAGTTTTCAAATTGCTCCTCAATCGTGGTGCCTCGCCAACGGACTACTGCTTGCCTTCTCTTATTTATCATGGCGGCCAGCGTGAATTAATTGAAGAGCTACTCGAAACTACCGATAATATTAACGCATATTCCGCGGAATATCGTTCTGACCCGCCGTATACCGCGCTTCAATCTGCAGCTTCCCGGGGAGATAAATATTTAGTTGATCAATTGATACGCAGAGGTGCTGATGTCAACTGGCCTGCGAAGGAGGGTCGAGGAGTTACGGCTCTTGGTGCTGCATATTATTGGAAGACGACATCACCGGATGACCGAACAACTAGATTGTCATTACTAAGACTTTTGATTGAGCGGGGCGCGGATGTCAATTGCTTCACGAAGCCGGACGGAGAATCGGTTTTGCTTCTAGCTGCTAGGGATGGAGACATGGATGTGGTGCTTCTCCTATGCCATTACGGGGCCGATCTTAATATCGTCTGTGCAATTGCGGGCATACTGTTAACCCCATTAGATGAAGCTGCGAAGGAGGGTAGGCTTGACGTGGTCCAGCTCCTGTTAAACGTGGGAGCTTACAGCTACAAACAGGGGCAAACCGAATACGACGGCGCAATCGAAGCCGCTATGGTACACAAGAAATTCGCCGTTATTGATTTAATATGGAAACATGTTGAGGATACTTGTCGTGTACAACTGGGGGAGTTGTCTGATCTTGGTGAGTGTATGGATATCTAGAATGAAAAGGTCCAAGGTTTCGAGACCTTAAATGACTTTAAACGCACCCAAGTACTATTTTTTAGAGACAAAAAATCGATATACTGGGAGCTCGGAAGGTGAGGGAAGTGAGTGGCTGTAGAAACATCTCACAATAATACGAGGAGCTTGCAATCCTGACGACGTACTTACAAGTGGGGAGCCGTTCTTCGGCTAAAGCTAGATCTTGTCGCGTAGTTGAATACATAAGAATTGATGATAAACATGTCAACTCGTCGCGGTTTTACTACTAACCCCTACTATAAAATAGGTGACCTATACTTTAGTCGAAATCAACATCATAATAGGGGTATGGAGCATCAGTATCCTCTCCCTCCTTCCTCTTAGTCTCCCGCAACTTGTACCAGGATATAATGAAAGCAGGCCGGCAAACCATAGCCAGCGCAGTCTTCTTCTGCATCGGCTCCTCTGGCGCATATTCCCCCATTGAATGAGCAAGTATCGCCCTAGCATCATACTGACAATACCTAGACAGCGCCTCCGCGTGTAGTGGGAATAAGGGTTTCTTATCCTGGCGCACAATGATAGCACTCCCCGCACCATTCTGCCACTGCATAGGCGCCCACCCCCAACCCATCGACCCCGTCCGAGCGTTGAACTTAGCATTCGGGTCACAGCAAAGATGTAAGAATGTAGCTGGCTGGTTATTAAAGGGACTAGCGCCTTGGAAAATCTTATTATCCTCATCATTAGCCCACTTAGCGTAAGGTCGACAGCGTCGCGTGAAAATGGGCAACTCAATGCGTTTCGCAATATCAGAAGTCTCGTGTTCTGTGAAGATTGGGTCTGTGGATGGGACCTCAACTGCTTCGAAGACGGGTTTGTTGAACATCTTCTGATCGCCGAGACAATTAATCCTGACGCCTTTTACTTTTTCGCCGACGTTCCGTCGGATATCAGGTTTCGATTCCATGCCACAAGCGACGAGGTGGTCGGCGACGTGCCGGAAGTCGTTCATGTCGATGTCTTTACAAGCAACTTGATCAACACCTAGTCCTACCATTCCATAGGCTAGGATCGGACCCCGCCAATCAAGGGTCTGATATGGTTGAGTAGCAGTTACGGCAGCAACGCTCCTGTTAGGAAGCGATCCATCGATGAGGGCGGCATCGCGGTGGAGGATATGGATTGTATCGGTGAGTTTCCTCTGTAAGAATGGATTGTATTGAACCGGCAGGGTTCTACCGAATGCGTCTTTGCCCACAATGGGGGCGGAGGCGGGAAACTGGCAAGGAAAATCGTCATCGTCGTCGTCATGCCATGGGCAATGAAGCCAGACAATTTCGGGTCTCTCTTTATTAAATGGGAAGGAAATTGCTCGAACATGGTCTTTGCTTGGCCGTGTTCCAATATCAAATTTCGAGAACGCTGAGCAGAGAAGCTTGTGCGCAGGCCAATCTGCGTGCTGGCACTCTTTCGAGCAATAACGGGAACTTTTGCATCTGTTACAAACACTAGTATTGGGTTTGTCGCATATAATACACCAGTCTGCGGCGTTGACGCTTGCCATGATTTACTTAGCGGAGTAGGAATGATAGTTGAAGAGGAGCTTCATGGGATGAAGTTGAGGATGAGGATGAAAAGAGATCCTGAGTAGAAGGAAGGTCAGGTAGAGAAGAATAAATACCCAATCTTGTGGTGTTTTCACAAGCTTGGTACTTGATGATTTAATGCCTGTGATGGGACGAGTGGTATGTACCCCGCGGGAACGTGCATTCAATATGTGATGTATCATATCTGTAGCATTCATATACGGAACCAACCGAGAGATACTCATAATGAAACGAAAGAAACGAAGGGGATTGGAAGCACTTAGCTGTCATATTTCAGGCCAGGCAGCTTCCAAATACCTATTTTATTAAGTAGGGTCGGTTGTCTCTTGATCTGTCGATTTTAAAAGGGTTTAAACGGATAGTATATACTTGTGTGAAACGCCCATGATAATACGCACATGAAGAGTGCTACGCCGCGGATACCAGCGGATATAGGTTTTATTGGCCTCACTTCATTAATGTTTTGATGCCTTTCGCTTAGATATCATTATTTTGGAGTTGCAATTTCTAAACATCCTCCTTTTTATGCTGTCGAGATCATATCGGCTTGTAACCACCTGCCGCATAATCAGCAATACGTGAATTCAAATGCGCATTTATTCAATCTAAAATGTCATGTTTATGCGCGGTAGCTGAGATCATGTTCCATGTTTCGTGGTAGAGCTCAGAGTTGACTCTAACCAGCACATTATTGCTTTCTACTATCAGGCATATCAGAATTAGACAACAAATCAGAATTTAAGCAAGGATTTAGTACGTACCAACTATGGAAGGTATTATAGCTACTAGAACCAATACGATCATTAGTCTTCAGGCAGAGATCGGTTTACCTCTACTTTTCTTCTGATGCTTTGAATATCGAAAACTTGACCAATGATCGAATCCGGGGACGGATATGAATAATGGACCATGCTATATTTATCCTAGCTTCTTGATACTCATGGTGAGTGGATCTTAAGGCTCACTCAGCCCTACCAGGCCGGCGTTACATTCAGTATGTGAGTAGTACCTTTGCGTGTATTTTGACGTCATATTGGAAAAGCGTATTTGAACTTACAACATCGTGACATAGAGGGCTGCTTGCCATCGACGCCAGGGTGTGGTTTATGAGGATGCTAGACACACAGTATTGCTTGACTCTTGTAGCCTTTGTATTTGTGATCTAACATCATATTTCAAATGGCCAAATCCGCCGACGTGTCGCTTATAGAGTAAGAAGGAAAATTATGAGAGGTTACATGATGAGAGGAATGGTCATCTGAATGACGGGTATGATCCGATGGACGACTTGCTCATCAATCAAAGACTCGGGATTTTCTGACTTCGAAATGATGGGCGGTTGAAGAAGTTAGGGGAAGTCATGGGGGAAGGAAATAGCGATAATGCCCTGAAATGATATTTCTCATCCAATCAAGAGACGGTATTCCAATCCCTAGTTTCTTTAGTGGGGTAGATTTCAAGGTTCTCCGGGGCGCAGGAGCTGCTATAATTAATCGAACATGCGGGGAAGAGTGGAGGTTCCGTACTCTGCTTGTTAACGTTGGGATTGGGGGGCAAACCTACGCTATTAAAGGTCCCTCAGAGCTAAACGATTTTGCCATTAGCAGGTGAAACTATATATTTTTCAAGACTAGAGTAGGATTAACGATGTAGCTGAGCGTTTAGACAATGTTTATTATTCCTTGTGATTGTCTTGCTGATGGCACATTAGAAGTCTTCCACTCTATACACCTCGTAGCCCGGCTCTTCGTATGGGTGCGCCCTATCCACAGTGAATTAACACCACTAAACTCACGTTAGACCATTATAAGCACCTGAAAATTACTTACTTCTTCAGCGCCTCAACGGCTTTTCTAGCGACGTCCTCCCCAACACAGAGTGTCTCTACCCTGGCCTCCGGAACTTCTTCAAGTTCGCCAACTTTCCCGATATGGGGATTCGCGGCATCGCCTGGTCGAAATTGACCGGTGCCTAGAGCTGTCCAACAGCATTCGGTATAGTTCCCGGGTCCGGGGTAGCGACCTGCACCCGCGGCGAATATAGCGCTTTTGACGGATGCGAGTGCCGATGGTGGCACGCGGAATACAAGTTTGAAGCGGGGGGTTACCGCCCCGACAGTCGCCATTGTAACTAGCTGTTTTTGGTCGTAATACCTAGGGCCACTGTGTTGTAATTCGAGACTATTTTAAGAAACTCGGCGCCTTTAGGATGTAAGATAGTGGGTAAGAGTATAGATATTAGCTATGTTAATGTTTGAAAGAATCAAAGGTCGTTTCATCGCTGGAGAGAGGGGTAAATGGCTCGAGAGCCAATGAGGCTTCATTTTATATACTAATACCAGTTGTCCAAATTTGAAGTATATTGATAGGAATTTGTTGCCTCTGGTCTAGGCTTTCGACAATATACCGTCCATTAAAGTCTCAAGTCTTAGTTATGGACAACTTGCCTAATGAATTTGCGTTACGAAATAACATCAAGAAATCATTGCATCTCTGTAGGTTCCGGAGTTCATGATCATATAGTTCCTTATAAAATGGTTGAATGGGCTTCGTCGGCATTCTTTTCTTCCGATAGGAATGTTTCTTGTTTCTTGTGTTGAACGGTCGTTTGACACGATTTAGATAATGTAGATCTCCTGGATGCCGTCAAATCGGTATAATTGAGCTGTTAAGGTTCATTGTGATTTATTCATCTTGTTTCATCAATCCAGGATCAGGTCTAAACGGTGCCAGTATTGCACTTCTTTTGGCTTCAAGTTTGGATTGATTGGTGTTGCGAAGTGCTACGCGTCTTGCTGCCATCGTGGCGTTGGATTTGGGGCAACCTTATGAACCAGGGGTCGCTGGACAGGAGTAACACTAATCGATTGGTGTACATTGAATGGTAGAAGAAGCCGTTTGAAATAAACGCGAACGGCGTTGAACTAAGTAACATAAAGGGGGTTGTGCTGTGTCGATATCTATCGGTCGGTCCTTAACTCGCAATCGCTGGTACGTATATCGATTATCAAAGATACGGATTGTGAATATTACATCATTGAAGCTGTAATGCTTTTTTCATAGAATTCCATATGTACAAAAATACGTAGAGAATCTTGCGAATGCGAATAGGAGTTGGAATCGGACAAGTTGTCTTTTCGATGTGGGGAGTTTCATTCTTAAGCTTGTGGTACTATGACGAAAAGCTTGGATAGGTTGGTGGGTAGGCGCATACATTTCCGGGTAGAGGAGGGATCCACTATAACTTGAATGACGCACCGACCACTGTTACCTAGAGCTTAGAGGGCGCTAGAGGCTGATGGAAACCGGCGAATCCTCTCTCAATGTTCAATCAAGGTCACACAGCTGGGAAGGTACCAAGGTACAAAGATACCAACATTACAGCTAACACGGCATAGCGCCATAGTACCAATGTACAAAGTACAAGGAACGAAGCATTGGCCCTCTCTTTCATCGTCATATTTTTTCCCACTTTCCCGTGCTGTACCTCCATACCTCTACATAACTCCATACACCATACAGATCCAGCCACCTCACCAGCTTTCCCAAGCTGTTTTTCTCACCAATCCAATACGACATAATCGTCACCTATATCTACTTCTACTTTGGAGTAGCACGCGATCCCCCGTATTCTCTGCCTCAGAATCATTTTCCGATATATTTGCGACAAAACAATTTAATTCTTTGATCACCGCCGAATCCTTATTGTTGTATCGGACATTCCTGAGAGAAACATGGCTCCTCCGCCTCCAGCAAATCTACCTCTCACCGAGAGAATCCTAGCTCTAGCGAAGACATTACAGTGTACGATTCGCCTTCTGTTCTTATAACTATGGTAGTCTTTACTAACGTGTGAATTGATATAGTCGCATGGTTTAGCGGGTACGTAAAGATAATAACATAGTATTCGAATCTGCTTCGCTGTCTGACTCGGAAACGGCACGGCGACAAGGAAATTTGACCGCTAACTCTTCAATTACATTTGCAGACATTTAGTACTTCTGTTATGTATCTTCCGATACTCCCTTTCTGCCATCGCCTTTAGTTACAATACCCGCTGGGCCAGATTTACTTACCGTACGGCCTTCGTTTCCGCGGCCCTTACCTACGGAATTGTGGTCTATAAAACATGGCGAGCTAGACAGAAGGTCGGCCCTAAGAACATTGGAGCTGCGGCTCTCCTCGCCGACGAGAATGTCCAATACTTAGGTATTTCAACTTCCCATCTATCCTCAGCTATCATGGCACTAACACTTTTCCCCACTCTAGCCATGGCCCTAGTCTGGCTTCTATCTCCCCAGTACAGTCTTGCCATGCTTCCCTACGGTATCTACTCTGTATTCCACGTCGCAACTTACACCCGAAACAATGTTATCCCTACCATCCAGCCCAACAAACCCGCTCCCGGTGCTTCCCCAGGCGCTAAGCCCCAGTCGGCCAACCCTATTGCCGAGGTTATTGGAAACTTCGTCAAGCAATACTACGATACCTCCATGTCCATTGTGGCTGGCCTCGAGATTCTGATTTGGGGTCGATTGTTCCTCTCCGCTATCCTTTTCCAGCGCCGCTCGTGGATTCTCATTACCATCTACACCATCTTCCTCCGAACTCGATTTGCTCAGAGCTCCCACGTTCAGGACTCGTTCAGAATACTCGAGTCTCGCATCGATTCTTTGGTAGGTGCTCAGGGTACTCCTCCGGCGGCGCGATCTGTTTGGGAGGGTGTGAAGAACGGCATTCGCCAATTCCACGACGCTTCGGAGATTGGCAAGTACGTGGGTGGTAACGCGGTACCCAAGAAGACCTCTTAAGGCTTATACGGTAGTTTCTACCCTAAATAAAGCTTTAAATAAGGCTGGTCATCGTTGGACGCCTAAGGTGATACGGCGTAAAGACGTAAAGCGTGCCAAGCTACAGGAGGGAGGGGGTTAAGCGATAAGAAGATAGTATACGAGGAATACACAACGCAATTTGAGGGGACAGCTGGTTACCGTGAATAATAGGGAGAGACGATTGAGCAATCAGTTAGGATCACACGGAGTTCAGAATGAGAAGTAGAAAAGGCTCCCTGCTTCTTGAGTTGGCGGGTGGTAGAACGGCGCGAAAGTCGGCGGCTTGTATTGCATTGCTTTGACAGGCTAAGGACATTCTATTATATTTGTTGCGCGTACCGTTTTTTTTTGAAATCCAATCCAAATCTTTCATGCCACGAGTATTTGGTTTCTTCTCTCTGGTCTCGTACCATGGCTTATCTAGTTATGCGGATGTGCGACGTTTATATCGGTTGGGAAAATAAATAGGGGTGTATTCATAATTGCATTATCATTATTATTGTACAACCACGGCACGCGGCGACCTTTGACCCAGAGACCGCCCTGTCAAAGAAATGTAGATGAAAACAAGATATAAGAGCCTTGCTGCCTTGTAATATCAAGGTACGTGCCTGAGTATTTGAGTATCTACCTCTTGTAAACTCGCATGGGTCAAGGCCTAGCTTCAACCGCCGAGTACCTGTCCCCTCCACTCCAAGGTACCGAAAAATCTTGAAATCCAGTTCTACGCGCTGATGGTGGCCTTACACATTCGCGCGCTTGAAGTGTATAAGACTCGATTGTCTACAATTCACAATGCCTTTTAAACAATACCATTATAGTACGCCAAACACTGTCATATAATGATATCTCATAATCAGCAGTATAACCTTTGTCTATAACATAAACATGGCAAAACAAAATAATTTTTAAATGCTCTATGGTCAATGTCATACAGGAATATGGCAAGTGTTACTAAGCACCTGTTTATCAAGCCAGTGACGGAGTCCCAATACATAAATTCAACATGTACGGATAATAATTGATATACATATCTAGTACGGAGAGATTCTTTGCATTTTAAAAGTAGTGATAATCACGTATATACTACACACGAAACTATTCCCACTGGACAGAAAGTTCAACTAATCAAGTACACCACCAAAACGTAACCATGGTTCTCGCAGTATCAACCGAACAATACGGGCAGGCAGCTGCTGAGAGAAAGAAGGTAGTTAAAAGGCTTGGTCGTTACAAGGCGCGAGCTTCATCAGCACGCGCGGTTCCAGGCAGCTATGCGCAACTCGTGCCGTACTTAGTGAACCACCCGGAATTTTTCAGCATAGCCGAATCTAGCGACGAGGGAGATAATCAAGATGAAGACGAGAAAGTCAGGGGGCTGGCCATGAAGGGTACTCCAGCTGTTCCTGTGCCCGTCGCTAGACGTGCCTCCCTGGCGATAGGACGTAACGCCGGAGAAGGCGCTACGGCTTTCCTGGCGACCGAGTTCTCCACGGACCGGGCAATTGTCGAGGACAATACATCGGATAACCCTGAGGTGTGTAAAGAGGGTAGTGAAGACGACGTAGAAACCTTAGGAATAGGTAAGCAATTTCGTCCCCCATTCCCCAAAGGGGTGTGTTTTCATGAGTCTAGGCTCCCTACCCCTGAACCCTAGTATTAACAGATGACAGAACTCGAATTTCTCCTTGCGATGTGTGTACGTCAAAAAGCAGGCGAGCAGAAACCGGATCCCCACCCAGACGATCCGCGTTTTTTATCGTCTAGGTTCTATACCAAAGATTTTGAGGACGGTGACAGACGCCAAATAAATGTAAAGAAGATGAGGCGTTATGCTATAAGGGTACTTACACAGTTAGTAAACGAACCCCCCTTCCACCCGTTCTTTTCACTCCTTTCCACGTTCCTACTAAAGAAATAACCTCCTACCAAAACTATTACCATTCCCAGTCTTGTTAGCTTTGTTCGTCATACCCTAATAGAATAAACTGAATTCAAGTACTAAAAAATAAAATAGGACGTTGAGGCAAAATGGCATATACGCAATCGAGGCCATTCAGTACGCCGATCTGATGGCGCTTGACCCGATGGGAACATATCTGTTCGGGAGATCGAAATGGGGAAAGCTCTTCGGGCTATTTTACACGCAAGTACCGAAATTCGACGGGAGTCGGACCCGCGCTGGAAACCAAGAGGTTGGGAATGCGATACTTCGTCGTTTTTTTCAGTGGGCCAACTACATTAGGCGCGACGTAAAAAGAATCACCGAACCAGACTGTCATATTGGCCGCCAGAGGGTAGAGGAATTGCTTCAAGAAGGTGGTTGGACCCAACCGAAGCCCAGGGCAGTGGCGGCTGCGCATTTCGAGACCCGACTTCGCGCTACAGTGGAGATGCTTAGGAGACAATACAACAGTGACCTGGCATCTATAGAAGACCCTAATTACGTCAAGATAGATGGTTTGAAGGCGATGTACAGAGCATGGTCTGTCACTGAAGACGTTTCAGTAGATGGGAACGGTATGAGGGTTAGTCGGTACAACATACCTCCTGACCGACCTAGAAACCAGGCGTTCGATACGTATCGTGTAAGTAACAACATCTGAAATTCCCTCTATGCTTGCTTCTAGGATGATTACTAACCATTGTTATTACAGTGGTTCGGTGCAGAAGTAGTAAGCCCAGTTCTGCCAGCTCAGAGTCCCGCAACACCTGCTTCCATTGAGAAGGTTTGTGGAATCCTTCGAGACAACTTCCGTATCCATAAGCCTATGGAAGTATCGACAGGAGTGCATGTACATCTTGGTCACAAGATCGGGTGGAATCTGCAGCAGATCAAGAGATTCGTCACGTTATGGTATTTCGCAGAGGATGCCCTCATATACGCACACAGAAAGGACCGAGCCGCGATGGAAAGATGGTGCGCGAAGGTGGGAGAAAAAACTCGGTTGGCACAGGCCCTCTTTGATCCAAACCCAGAAACACGAATGCGGATGAGTGATTACCTACCCAAGGTAGCCCGCAAAACGGCAAAACGCAACCTGCAAGTTATGGATGAGCATATAGACTTGGAACTCATTGGTGATAAGCGTACCGAGTTCGTTGAATCCGTATGGGAATATACATCAATCGATGACTTGGTAGCTGGTATGGTTGGAGGTATATTATACAGTGAGAACTCGACTCTTGTTTATCGTACGACGGCGCGTATACGCATAGTCGGTGACAAGGTATCTGGTCGCGCGACAAATATCTTTCCGAATACTATAGAGATTAGGACTATGCAGGGTACACTCGATGCCACTCAGTAAGTGAGACCATTCTCAATGGCGATCGAAACTACTTGACTTCTCCGGTAGCTTCGAAGCCCGTTGATCCCCCAACTTGAATTGAAACTTGGCTAACGTCGTTGTTGCGACTCTTGTAGTATTAACCACTGGATTATTATTCTGAATCGTATCATGTATTACGTACGTCGCGCTCCGACTGCCGAATTCAAGAAAACGATGGACAATATCACCAAGGCGTGCACCGGCAGAACCGGCCTTCCGTCATTATTAGTATATCTCGAAGTTCCGATGGACACGATTAAGTATTTCCTGGACTTCTCAAGAAGGTATTATGATCAAGAAACAGAGGCATCCTGGTACACATATCCCGATCTTGATAAAGTAAATTGGGACAATCCATTCATGGCTCCGGGAAGTGGTCCTACTCACGGAGACGAAACAGTAACGGGTAGGGGACGTGCGTTTGATAGGGCTATAGATGCGAAGAAGTTTAATATATAGAAAGAGAAAAGAGTTGTAGATAAATGGAAGATGAAATAGGAACAGAGAAATAAGAATAAGTTCATACTTGAGTAGAAATCGGTACAGAAGTACATGACTACGCTTACTCATCACCCATATAGGAAATGATCCACTTTATGGTATGAGAATCCACTTTTCGATCTCTTAAAAGATCTAGCTTGACGTCTCCACTCGGCGTCTTTCATCCCCCGATGACGATGACGTACATGCGAATATCTACAGGTTTTGTATCAAGGGGCAATTGGGCAATCCTTTTTAACATTTACCACAACAACACATATACTTGCATCGAAACCCTTCTATTTATCGCATTGTCCGCTATGTGAAGTATAAGCGACCATGTCAATTCGTCAGTTATATCACATATCTAAATTTTGAATTGGAAGGAATGGCTTCTTTACTACGCCAGATTGTCGCAGGGCCTCGCGCCAGACACCCAGAGGCAGGATTGGATCTCTGCTACGTGACTGACAACATCATCGCAACGTGCGTAAAAACTACAGACGTATCATAAATAACTTACAACTAACAAACTCTCCTCTTACCAGATCTGGTCCCTCTCAAACATACCCCCAACGTGCCTACCGTAACCCGCTCGATCGCCTCGTTGCATTCCTCGATTCGAAACATGGAAAGAATTGGGCTATATGGGAATTCCGCGGTGAAGGTACCGGGTACCCAGATGAGCTAGTATATAACCGAATTAGACATTATCCATGGCCCGATCACCACCCACCTCCCTTCCGACTAGTACCTATGATAGTTGCGAGCATGCGAAACTGGCTTAACGGAAACGATCTTGATGCCGATGCGGTCGGAACATCCGAGGAAAAGAAGAATATAGTTGGGAAGGTTCTAGATAGTTGGAAGGATAAAAAGGGTAATCGCGTGGTAGTTGTACATTGCAAGGCTGGGAAAGGCCGTAGCGGGACAATGGCCTGTAGCTACCTTATTGCTGAGTGTGGCTGGACACCAGAAGAGGCACTCGCACGATTTACAGAGCGGAGGATGCGACCGAAGTTCGGTGCCGGTGTAACAATCCCGAGTCAGCTACGATGGATAGGATACGTCGATCGCTGGGCTAAGGGAGGGAAGAAATACGTCGACCGGGAGTTAGAAATCGTCGAAATTCACGTCTGGGGCTTGCGCTCCGGCGTTAAGCTCTCGGTAGAAGGATTCGTGGATGGGGGTAGGAAGATCAAGGTTTTCCACACGTTCACAAAAAAAGAGCGTCTGATAGTTGAAGGTAACGCACCAGGTGATAGCGGAGTTTTAGACATGATATATGACATGGCTGGCTACGGAACCAACACCCCGGGCCAAGAGGTTCTTGACGAAGCAAAGAAAGCTGATGAAATACAAGATACCTCTGGCCCGTCTACCGCGAATACATCTACACCGAAGAAACGACCAACTCCGAAGTTGATAACTAAGAGCCTCCGAAGGTCTACCGAATCGAATCGCTCTACAAACAATACACCGGAAAATGGAAATAAATCGAAGACGGTAAGTACGGCGGACTCACCATTATCCCCAAATAAGAACGAGGACGAGGCCGAAGCCGAGCCTGGTGGTATGGCAGTCATCTTCAAGCCACAAGAACCTATTAAGATACCTAATAGCGATGTAAACATATGTACTGAACGACGGAACCGCGCCCCTACATCTATGGGCTTTACTATGGTTACAGCTGTGGCACATGTATGGTTCAACGCTTTCTTTGAAGGCAATGGTCCCGAACAGGATGGAAACCCAGATTTAAATGGGGTTTTTGAGCTTGACTGGGATAAAATGGACGGAATCAAGGGATCAAGCCAGAAAGGCACCCGTGCCGCTGATAAGATTGCCGTGGTTTGGAGGTCTGTTGTGCCAGATGGAGAAGCGAAAAAGTCGGCAATGCCTAGTGTCGACTCACCCGTGCCGCAGATGCCAGCTGCGGATTGGAAAGGTGGAAATGACGAAGACCCCGACAATGAGAGGCATCTGGGTCTGCGTGTTCAGAGCCCTGAGAGTGCGGATATTAGCCAAGCCAGCAGCATTAAGGGAGAAACGCTGAATGAAGTCGAAACCAAGGGGAAAGAGATTTCAGACGCTCTAGCAGCCGCAACATCCGATGGAAAGCGAGCGAACGAGAGTGAATCGGAAAATGAAGCGGAACAAACCAAGGGAGCAATTAAAGGGAAACAAAGCAACGATGAAAAGCTTGAAGCATACGCACATAAATTACCCAACCCTGATGGCAATACGAAATAATACATAGAAACATGATGAAATATCGTCATTTCTTACGATTAATGAACATCACATATAGGACAGTAACCGGGCTTTGAAGAAGCAATGATGCACGTAGTCATATAAGAACATATGCAGAGCAAGTTTGACGTTGAGGAGCGATCATCCTCACATTCCGCCCGATGGGATCGCTTCCACAGTAACTATCAAAATTTATGGCTTCATTCTTATAAATCAGAGGTGAACTATTTATTAGGGGTCTTGTTCGACACTCCAACGATCGTCAAAACGAATTTATCGTATAACAATTCAAGGAAGTGATCGATCATGACCCCGTAGCTTCTCCGGTGGTCGCGCGACTCCGACATCAATCCGCGGAGCGTGGATCGCGTCGATGATCATGGTAAGATCATCGCTACTCAACCTGGTCGTCGATCAGCACCAACCCAGTTATCGCATCGCTCAACATTGAGGAATCATACGAGAAAAAGTACGTGGGGGAGCGAAAACAAGTTCAACTGGGATGAAAGTAAAAATTTACAATATCTAGATCAAGTTTCTTCTTCGCAGGTATCTGCTGGGATGTACTTGGCGATTTGATTTGAAATATCATTCGTGGAGATATTACTAAGAGTATGATTTGCAATACCGTGTTATGGTTGGATTTTGTTCAGGGGCGAGGAAACATCCTTGAGAGAAACGAGCGAGTCACAGAATATTCGCCTCAATAAGGCACACATGCGCGAAGCTTCTAAATTTCGTAAAATGCGCGTATAGATGTGTCATGGATCTAGGAGCAGAAAAGAATCCCAGTTCTTTATCCGGGTATCGCAGTCGAATTACATAGAATCGAAGCGGAGGTATGCACATATAGAGACCTATAACAGACATCCACATGAGGGATGGACCTCGCCATCCGGTTGAGCGGAGATTTCAATATACCTTCATGATCTCTTGCTGGTTTATATGTTAAGATCGACGATTCGAAAGAATCGGATTCACCTACATATTTTTCTTTTTCGGTCACGTATTGTCCGACGCCCGAATCGTAAAAGCGTTGAGACTGTATATATGATACTGGCGCACAGCGTTACACCAGTATCTAAGCAGACTCCAGCGTCAATGAAACGTACTATCGCCTAGCCTGCGAGGCGGCTAATATTTGAGCATCAAAACAATTCGATCGGTTGCGCCTGTGAGAATCTTTATTTTGGTGGCCGGTCTCTTCCGTGGAGTATAAGTCTGGGCTGAAAAGGACCTGAACACCACTGGCCGAGGAAATTCCCCAAAGACGCAGATAGAACGCAATCGGGATCGCAAAATACGATATGCATGACGAGAAAAACAAGTAATGGAAATTGACTGTTTCTAATAACAGAATCGCTTATGTATAGAGAAGCTCTGCCAAGGCGTCTCGGTGGTAGTATATTTAAACTTCTCATATCGGGTTTCCTACTGAGACTCTCTTTAAGTGACAGCACTATAGGCGTTCTGACTAGAAGGTTCTTATAATATACATCCTGTGTCGTGATTGGACGAATTGATAAATAGGCTTGAAGGTGCAGATCTAGAACCAAAAGGACATTAACTGCAACTCTTCAGAATTGTTGGGAGCCCTAGCACGAGGTATTGTTTTAGCGTATTGCGATGCATCCAGTATTGTGGTTCGGGCTTCATTGCCTTATCCATTTCTCTTTTCTTTGGTCCTCAATTGCTCAAGTGGTGGTTTGCCGAGACTTCGAATATTGCCATTACACTATCGTGATGATATCCTGTTAGCACTTCTCGGATAAAAAGCTCCATGTCCCTTACGGGGTTCTAAGGTTGGCAATCGGTATCGGATTGTCTCTCACGTAAGGAAACATTTCCTGACTTCGATATTAGATGATCTTCAAAGGCGCTCGGAATTCCCTATCTAGTAAACTCGCTTGACCAAGACTCCGGGACGCACCTCTAAGCTTTTTGATGTTTTTATTGAGAAGGACAAGTCTTTTCCTAAGAAGATAACGGAAGTTCCTCTATGCACGCTGCATGCTGCCTACTTCTACGGGAGAAGATCTGCCTCAATTGAGTTTTTCCGTACCTGGGTGCCTGGCAGATGGACCAGGGGGATAGGGGAGAACAGAGATTTTCCTCGGCTGGTAGCGAATCTTACATCCTGGTCTAGGGTAATGTACCATCCCTATCTTTTCTCAGGGCCGAATCGCGACTAAAGTTGACTATGATCGGCACTTGGATTCCCCTGTTGATGCGGCTATGCAGCTCTTCGCCCTCCACCTTTGCTTTTTGAAGCAGCCCGCCTTACGGAATCTGGAAACTCGATCAAAATGATTTGCAGAGAAACGGGGGTCACAGATCAAAAAGACCGCCTCACAACATTTAGATCCTACACCCCTTGTTACTTGGTGCGTTCATCGCCGGTAAAGCTGCCGATGATTACTCGAAGTTCAAGATAGCATTCTAAGCAAACGTTCTTCTATTGTATTGGTTTGCAATTAGTTGCCGCTCGGACGACGCGCAAGATGAACACGACTGTTATCTCTCACGGACCTACATAACGACTTAATAAGCGCTTCACTCCTTATCTCTGCTTTGTAATGCTTCTGGCCGGAGACATAGATCCTAAATTCTAGACACAGAGCCAAGCTCTTTCAAGTTACCCAAGCTGTCACATTTTCCCGTTGTTCTGGTGCAATCTTGAGTCCGTAACCGGCTTGTTTGATAGGTGGAAACACCGGCTACATTGGTTGGGCTGTAGGGCCAACGAGTTGACGTTGCATCATCCCCACCTACAGCGAACCCTCTCGATATTGCCCGCCGGGTTCGTCTTCACTATGTATGTCGCCCTGAAGTATTCCATGGTAACTAGGTAGCTAGTCGACCAATGATTCTCCCCATATGGTCCACTCGGATTCTAGCGGCATGTGAATTCAACCGTGTACGCCCTCAAATAATGACGACTCGATAAGAAAACACGCTGAAAAAGAAAAACTGGCTGAAACCGGAGTTAAGTGCCCGGGTACTTGCAGAAAGGGGCGTCTCCGAGGTCGTCGTACAAGATAGAGTACTTAAGTGTGCTGATTGCTAAATTGGTGCATACACTGCGATGCGGAGCGATATGAATTTTCAAAACACGGCGAATCGAAGAATTTCCAAGCAATGAAGTCCGACGAAAAAGTAACGTGCAGTCCAGGATGGCGGATATACACCCTCTTCTTAGCATAAAAATATGTCACGTAGCCGCAGTCGCTTAATTAGTAACCGAGAGGACAGCGCAGTGTAACGCTATATACTTCTTTCGCTCTGGATCATAGTGGCATGATTCGCGCCGCGTCCAAAGCTGTATTAGGATGCACTTCTCAGGGGGGTTGATAGGATGGGTGTGGGAGGGTGGTTAATTCTCACCGACCCCCCTTGTCACTACCATCTGAAGTTTTAGGCATGCGGCTGCACGAGTAGCGCCGGCTGTAGATCTTCCATCAGAGAACGCCACTGCACGACTTCGACCCCCTGGTCCTGGGTTTCCAGGTTGTTTTTTATGGATGAGGACAATCCACCCGGTGGGATTGGTCAACGGATGGTCATCGTTGTCTAGGTTGGCCTCTCACATTATGAAGCAATATGTAAACGTTGCTGCGAGGTCAATGTTGAGAACCAGGAACATCCGTACCCTTAGTAATAAGAACGGCAACTGAAGTGCCGATCGCTCCTCGCGCGCGGCCGTGAGTCGGACATGAAAAATATAAAGAGATCCGTCCGCTCCTCCTGAACCGATGAGATAGCTCGCCGTTCCTCCAGCGTCTTCCGCCAACCATCTTAGCAGCTCTCAACTACTCGTCGACCAACCGTCGTCTCAGTCCTTCTCAACCTTCGCAATGGCTCGCTTCTTCGCTGCTCTCCTGGCCGCCGTCGCCATGTTCCAGGTCGGCTCTGCCGCTCCTTACTCGTTCCCCAACGGCACTGCCCCTGCTGCCCCTGCCGCCCCGACTTCCACCGGTATCGTGAACAACACGATTGCCAACGAGGTCCTCAAGCGCCGGCTCCGAGACTTCCCCATTGCTCTTGCCCGACCTTAAGGGAAGACCTAAACCCCATACACCATCCTTGACGACGATGGTAGTATGGTAATTCATGAAGGGGCGGTCGGGATGGGGGAACCTAATGGCACCGTCAAGCTATTAGATCATTCACCGAATCAAGGGGGGGCTATTACGCTGAAGGACGACGGGGTTTGCTGCACTACGAACTGATTCCGGCCCCGTCCCGGCCGTCAACCCAAGGAGGAAAAGAAAAAAGACCTATGTTTCATATTCACGCCTATAGACGATTTCACGACCTATGGAAGGGCTTTCCGGGGTCTTGAATCTCGGGATACCGGGGAAATAAGGAGGGAAGCTCGCTTGGACTATGTGTTTACGGGCTGGCTTTGGGCTTTTGTTAATGGTATGACGAGCGAGTTGGTTACATGTGGAGTTGAGCGCGGATATACCATTGTGAAGTTTACTGTCTTTCATGTCCGAATACCACAATCAATTCAATTCGATATATATATAATACGAATACCTCGCTCGTCATCTTTCATTTCTCGCCGTTCCATGAACGTGACATAAGTGCGAGTAGTTTATGTGCACGCAATACTCACTCGTCGAAGAGGGGTCCCTTAGTAGCTAGTTGTTCTGATAATATGGAATTTATGATATAGGAGAGAAAATGTTATAAGATATTCCTAACATAATCATTCTATTTAATAATGTTTGGGAAGACATGCCACTTCCTAGTCATAGCTTGTAGGCTTGGATGCCAGATTGATTCCACCGCCCAACTCACCACACAAACCCCGAACAACAACACCATATTACACTACGACCAAAATGACATGTATAGCCGCATGGCTTACCTTCGTCGCTAGTCGCATTAGAATAAATGATCTAAATGCCTAATATCAGTCCATCTACCGTATATGCTGAGCACTTGCTCCAATGGCCCCGCCGTTACAACGGCTGAACAGCATCTACTACCTCAGTCACCAAGGTAGCGTAGAATCAGAGCCCAGTCCCCACGCGAGCAAGTTACATGAATTACTTAGTCGGTATACTAGCTCTAAGTCTCGACTAGGATGCGCGAAGCTAGGAAAATTCTTATCACCGCCCCCATATCATCCCACGAGGACGTGGGTCCGTATCTGTTTTACATATATTCACGTTCAGACATATCGGCTTTATTCCGTCGCAAGCCGTAATAGGTAGCCAAGACGACGTTATGTTGATCGACTAGCGACTATTCGTAGCCGAGCCGCAAGAGCTTACCGGCAGAATGCAGGAACGGAACCAAACTACCGCCTCCCGTATCATTAAACCATGTCTCTTATATACCAGGACATATACTATGACTATGGATTACATTTACCTAGAAGACTTAGTTCGTGATGATATCAAATTCTAAAGTCCGAATTGAACTAAATAAGCGTAGCCGCTTGGGTTGTTGGCGACAAGATTGCCTCAATTGCACTGTTTTCAACAAAAAGGGGGGTAAGGGGGCAAAATGCGGGAACGAACACAGCTTGTACAATGAAAAGGACCAATTGGTGATCTACCACATTGAATTGCATCTCTCAATTCTGAGCGTATCCGCCTTTCTGTGATGGCGATTTGATATCCGAATACGAATTGACTTGTCCATCATATTAGCACTTCCGCTCCGGCGAGCGGATACAGGATCCCCTGTTGAGCAAGATATGAGAGTATCATGACTTCCATGCCGTCGTAACAGAATACATTAAACTAGACTAAACTACCTATTTTATTCACTAACATACGTCCTCGATGGCGAATGTGGAAAACAATCAAGAAGCAGCTTTTACCGGCATCTTGCTCCACGCTCTCCTGACCGATCACCAGCATAAGTACCGCTTACAGCACAACCATCACGGCTGAAGTAGCATCGACACTGACCGTCATATTCGTGCTGTTGATATCCATGACCGTACTATCATCCCTAAGCTGTTGCCCAATGCCCCTGCTCTCCCAAGTCCACTCCAAACCCGCATACGAGAGGTTGTTCTTCGCTAACGCGCCATCTGGGGCACTTAAGCGATGTATTTTGGCCTGAGTACCAGTCGCAGATAGACCTTTCAATACGAAATCTACCTGTGGTCGGGTCCCGTTTCTCGTAGTCCACATATCGAGGTTCAGGAACGCTATGCGCGCCAGCTTGCCAGACTCGTACGCCCCGTACGCAACTAATGTGCCATCTCGGTCGTCCCCGAGGTTGAGTTGAGATACTTGCGTCTTGCCACCTTTACCGATGAAGTCGGCGATAAAGGGCTGCGAGTAGTAATTGGCACTTACGATGGGATCGCCACGCTTGCTCTCAACTGCGCGCCACATACTGAGACTCGCCATCAGGATCTGCTGCCAGTTAACGCGTCGCACGTTGACGGTCATGCAGTATAATTGGAAGTCGACAGCCCACAGCGCAGTTGCCAGATTACTATCAATCGAGCCCCCGCCGCCGCCGACATTGTATCCCGTCTCGGTGAATGCGAAGTCGATTTTTGGGTGATTGGCTTGGAGATATTTGATGTTCGGAATGAAAGCGCTCATATTTTTCACCGTGCCACTGTGTCGTACCCAATCTTGGAGTTCGTGAAACGTCTTCGGACCGTGACCTTGGTAATAATGGAAGGCTACTTGCTTGATGCTTGGTGCGATGTCATTTAGACCCTTCTCAAATGCCTCTTTAGCCGTCAATACAGTCGGGTGGTTTGCGGCGGTATCAAGAGTTTGGAAAATCTTCTTCCCGTTCAAGGCCGGAAGGGCGTCTTGTAATTTGTCATGAAGGTTGGTATATCTTTTCACATATCCGGGAACGCGACCATTTGGATCCTGAAACCATCCGTAGAAGTTTGGTTCATTTCCGATTTCTAGGGTAAAAAGGTTATCGATGCCGATTTTGCTCATACCGGCTTTCGCCCATTCTATGCTGTGACTGTAACTAGCGTTACGGAAGGGAACCATGAACTCGAACTTTGCTCCCGGCCAGTTTTTGAAAGCATCGAAAAATGACGGTCCTATTGTAACCCCTCCACGCATTTGAGGTCCAAACTTGGTAGCCGGAAAGTTGGTAGGTTCTTTTTGGGATGCATTGTAAGTGCCATGGTCTCCCGATGTACCACCAACTCGAATTATAGGTATTCCACCCGTACGGTTTAATACTGAGTCGACTAGATTCCGGGAGAAGATGTTGGGATTTCCTTGCGCATTGAAAGAATAGGCATAGAACGATGCTTGTTCGAAAGCGAAGCCAGGAAACGAAGGGTCGACGTTTTGCGATACATCAGACGGAGCAGTGGGTGACAAATTAATTGTACGGCTCGTTTGGCATGAACCTTGGGAGATCACAGCTAAAATTGCTGCTGTCGTCGCTATGGTACTCGCGGGCGAAATCATATTGGCAACAATATCAGGCTCAATTGAAGATACTAGAATAAAAAATCATCATTGAGGGGCCGTGAACATTAGTGATATTATATATAAAATATCGGATGTTCAAACATCCATGGTGGCAAAATGAAGTCATTTCTGAGTACGATGAAGGCCGGATTGACTTATCATTAGCGGTATGAAAACAACTCAAAAGTCCTTTAGAAGTCGATAGGTTTTCGTTACGAACGACCACTCTTTCTACAATGTTTTGAGAATAGGTACGGTCGCATAAAAACATCAGGATGGGCTCTTGGAAGCTAATTCGTTCCCCGTACGATGCTTCACTTTTTAGGCTAGAATCTAGACCTGAAGCCCCACGTAATACCCTGTTTTTCTGATGTTGATCCTGGGGCTGTATGGCTATCTCCTTTCGAGGCTATGAACGAATACCTCCAGCTAATTACAGGCTCGTCGCTTATTGAATTGGGGTCACTCTCGTCTAATCCTTTCCGTTTGAGTGAAACCATTGACCTGGCCCCGTAAAATTAACAGCCTCAACTCCATAGTCTTCTCCAACTAAAAATAGTCGTATTTAAAGAGGATGATTTTACATCACCCTATATAGTCACACTGGCCGATATGAGCTTATATGTAATTCGCCTTGAGATACGACAGCAAAGGCCTGGATATTGAAGGACCATCATAGTCCTCGAGGATCATAGATTAAGGGTCTTCTAATACCATGCTTTTATTGAATGCATGGCCAGAAATAATGAACACGTCCACGATCTAATTCAATTGGCTATATGAATTTGAGAAGAGAATGAATACCTAGTTGCCCTAAACCATTGTCGTAAGATATAATATTAGGATATTCTAAACGCTCAACGCCGGGGCGCAACATGCGGTAACATCCTCAATTTAACGTAATAGCGGTCCTCGTTATATAGTAATAGCGAAAGTCTGGATTCTATAGTTCAGCAGCTTCTTTTTAAAAAGATACATTGCATTATACTGGTTCGTATAATGGAGCGCGGGAAGCCTCGCTGCTCCTACTACATAATAATGAGAATGCTGTGTCTACTGAGCTAGCATTAAATGAATTCAATTTCTACCATCAACTTACATCCGCCGCCTAGCTTCATTTACCTGTGGTAAGGCAATCGCCATCTTCTACTACAAGAGAGGCCTGTCCAGTAAACTACTCAACGCATCTATGGTCGAGAAGGGAGCACGTGTTTCACTTGATAAATAATGAGGATTCCCCCCCTTCCGTGATTTTTCTTGACTATTTTACTATAGGAATACCTAGACACTATGGATACTACTCGGGGAAGCAACGTGCTGGTTACAACTTGGCAATCGTTACCCCTTTTTTGCTGTAACCCCACTCGACACTATTCTAGATACAATTCAACTTCGACAACCAACTCATGAGGTGACGCCTGTGATGATTTCTGCAGTATATCATATAAATAAATCCCCCCGCATTGGCCTTTTGTACTATGTTCGCCATAAGATCCAACGTTCCCATTATGTTCCTTGCAGATAGTGCGACCTGCCTATTCTGGCTTGAGTTCCTAGGGCAAATGCATATGCATTGTAACTAGCTTCGGTTCACTGACTATAACCTTAATTCGAGGTGGTGATAGATTCAGCGACTATACTCAAGAAATAGTAAGGGTTTCTGTTTGAGTGATTATCTATAGTAATAACACCGAAGATTGTCCAGAGCGACTTCGCGTTGCAGGGTGCATCTCTAGATGATGTGGTTTCAAGGTTGTAACTCCATTAATTCAGAGAGTCGAACCCATCCGAAGCAACGAATATCAGCGAGAAAAACCTGGTGTCTATTCATCTCATTGTTATAGCTTGAATTGTGACCTGCCCCAGAACATGATTACATAATACAGCTCCTGAGCCCCTATTGTGATTACCTAAGCACCACTTGCCGTAAATTTCTCTCGAATTGGGGATATGGTCACTACGGTGTATCGACTCCTTCCTATTGACTGCTCGAGATCTTAGCAATATAATCAAAAGTTTTCGAAAGAGTATTTATCGGATATCCTGACTCCCGAGCCTTTTTAGCAGAAGTCAAATCCTGTCGAGAACGCAAGTCGATGGTTTTCTAGCTAGTAAATATGGGCTTAGTAATCCTTGAAATTCTTCGCGGTCATGGTATGGGAATAGGGAGTTGTTCGGCATTTCAGGTTTACTAGTTATATACACAGCGAGATATCGAAGGAGGCCAAATCGAATCCAGGAGAAATTACGCCAGTTTTCCTAGATAAATGCCACAATAAGAATTCTCATTTAGCCAGATAAGATTATGTAATACAATACCTGAGCCCCTATCCTGATTATGTCATGCAGTATTTCTACTTTGCATTACATAAGCTCTGGTAGGGCAGACCTAGGGGCATTCGACATCGTGAAGGGAAAGAGATTGATATTCTTATCTGATAATCTTCATTATGTTATAGGGAAATTGAAATTCACATAGAAATCATACTTGAATCATCGAGGTATCCGACTATTATACTCCTTTTCGACGCTAGGAGCCGAAGGAAGGAATGTTGTGTATGAACTAATATCCAGCATAGTTAGAACTAACGATGCTAAAGGATTGAATGCGATGTGTGACGGTGGTGAATCGTCCCTTCGCAATCTACAGGCCATCATAAAAGAAACCGCGAGGTGAAAGCTGCGCTGGGTGCCTAGACACTCAGGTAGGCACGACACGATTGATGGTTTGGGTTGAAGAGGAGGAACGAAGGAAAATTGGAAAGTTAAAACTGGCGGGGTATTTTATTACGTAAGTGCTCACGTAAACTCACTTCATTCAGTGCATCTACCACCTCATTAGCCCGATAGAGCGATAAAGCATCCGTTAGCTGCATCCCACTATGTTGATAACCAGATAGCACCAGACTCTATAAAAGATGATTTCTTAGGTGGATAAATAGATAGAGGTCTTTTATATATGTTCGTTACTATAAGTAGAAGTTTCCACAGTTGTAGTCTTATTAGTATGTGAGTCCTAAACAGAAAGGGTAGAAAGGAAAGACGTTGAGAACATACTCAGTAGATATGTATCTAAGCGACTTTATCACTGCCTTTAGCCGTTAACCTTGTTAGTTCACTAACTCACTATCGGACTAACCATAAATAACTCTGATAGATGCAAATATACTGCGGTTAAGTGAATACTTATGAGTGACTCCTAATGTCTTGATTTGCCTACGCTGTACGAAAGCAGAAGGCATATTTAGCTATTAATACAAGCAGGTCCATGGTGATTCACATAAGAGAGGATTCGGGTTCCAATACTATAAAGCCTGTGATCCTTAATAGAAAACCTCTAACTGACTACGTCTACTCTCGTGATTATCAAGATCCGAAACATATATATACACCATACATCTGTGATATTTCATGATTTCTTAGAAGTCATCTTTAACTTTGTAACCGACTTTACATCGATATATAGGTCTATATGTACATATGTGCAGGACCACCCCTTATGGCTGAAGCAGCACCTTATTACTATGTAGCGTCTAGCCTAGAGGTATTGTAACTACCTAGGTAGGAAGACAACAAGTAATTTTCATAAGATGTTGCCGTACCGTGAGGTACGTAGCCTATTAACCGTAAAATGTACGTTGGAATAGCTACATCTTTGGTAGGTACCCTCAAATCTGATTGGCTGAGCTCATCTCGGCGCGCGTTCCCAGGGGCGACAGCTAACTGACGCTCTTTCCCCGGCATGAACTGCAGGCGGGCGCTCGCGATACTTAGGAAAGTATGGAGGTAGGTCTCGCCTTATATAGAATGCAACTTGCTCGACCCCTTCCGGCGCGTTTCCGTCTCGAGATATTTCAAGGCTACTGCCCATCATCTTTTTTTTTCTAACCCTTCTTACCACGCCGTCACCATCATCTCTACTAATAAAATCTCTCGCCGTATTCATCACTTTTACATATTTATCCTCATCTGTTCGGCGTAAAAAATCTAATAAGCAAAATGGACGCTCACATGAACTTTATCACACGCCGATGTGATATTTGCCTCGAGCAAGTCCCAGTCGCCGAATCTGAACGACCAGGCTATGAACACGTCCATTGTTACCACTGCATACAGGCGAACGCCGCCAGAGCACTAGGTTCGACGGCATTTGAACTGGCGAAGTGTTGCAAGGTGTTCCCCTTGGCACTCCTCGAGCAAGCCGGCGCTCTTACTGGAAACGGCGAGATGGTTGAATACACTCGAAAGCTCGAAGAGCACACGGACCCACGCAACAAAGTGTACTGCCACGACCAGGATTGCAGCAAATTCATCCCCAACGACAGCCGTACTCGCCGAGTCGGCACCTGTTCCTGCGGAAAGAAGACCTGCAAATCCTGCGACCAGGAAAAGCTACGAGAAGTTGAGGAGAACGGCCGATCCCTTCGACAGCTCGCCGATCGAAAGGGCTGGCGCTGTTGCCCGAACTGCCTCACAGTCATTGAGAAGACTGTTGGTTGCAACAAAGTCGAAGTGAGTCAAAGTTCCTCTTTATATTGTTACCGGCATTTTATTAACGGAATTTGTGTATTTTCTAGTGCACTTGTGGCCAGCACTTCTGCTACCGATGCGGCGAACCGTTCTACTCGCAATTCAACCCCCATCATTGTCCCGCCGTCAACCAGGGTTGAATAACCCCTCGGCGTTTTTCCTCTTCCTGGATCATCACTTCGTGGATACTTCGTTAAGGACGGCGGAAATGAGTTTGGGTGGGCAAGGATTCGCCGAAAATGGGTTAAATCTTAGTTGCATACGTGAACGCACATAAAACACATACTAGGGCATAGTTTAGGAGTTCAGGCAATGCAGGGTTTTTCTTATTCGCATCTCTTTGTGGACTCCAGAGCTTTGTGATCCACGCCGTTTAATTGAAGCTTGAAAATATCAGATGAAATAATTTCAAGCACCTTGATACCGTAGTCTGCATTATGGGGAAGTCGGTAACGTAGTGATTGCCTCTGTAGTTACACATACTTTAGGATACTTGCCAATTTAGGCAATGGGCTTGCATCCTATTCGCTCCTTCTTCAAGGACCCCTGTAGGTGAGCCTTTACGGAAGGTTCGTCCTGATATTGCAGTTGATTTAGTAGGTACAATTTCTCAAAACCCGGTTTATATATGAGGCAACGCTGGGAATATATAGAATAAAGTACTCAATCGTAATGGGCTTTTATATTTCATTAGTTAAGTTGTGGTGTATCATGCATACATCAAAATTTGTGTATGGATGAATATTCCTACTATAATGGTCTTCTAATTAGTGGCTAGAGCGCCCTGTTTCTAGTAGTCTGTCGCTATTCTTTAGTGAAGGTACTGCTGTAGGCAATCATATTTATAGCACGGCTAGGCAGTTTCTAGGGGTATTCGATGCGCATCTCTAGGGACCTAAGATTTGCGTAATTTGGCGCACTTGGCGACGATAGTGACAGTTGCGCCAATAGTAAATAAATTGCACGGCAATTGAACCTTTCCTCTGACTGGTTTTCTGCAACTTCCTACTTATTTTACACATCGGAAATAACCCGAATGGGTAGCAAATTTTGGGATATTTTCCATAATGCGGTCTAAGTTGCTTGGCTTGTGGGCCTAGTCCGAGGAAAACTACGTTGGTATTTGAAGATATTCCTATAATTCTGGTAGAACCATTGGAGTTTATGAATATGTAATATGGATGAACATAGATACTGGTACATTAATCATGTAATGGCTCTTTTAGTCAAGTTCTAGGTAGTTGCTATTATTCGAAAGTTGTAGTAGATGGGATTTATTTTAGAATGCCTCATACCATAGCGGTCGCAAAACCGCCTGTAATTCCATCATGAAAAACGTACGGAGCATGAACGCATAACACACTCCCACACCAACCATACAGAACACAATCACATCAACATCCCGCATGCAATTCCTCATATTATTCATTGAGTAATAATCAGGCTGACAAGCATCAATATCTACGTTTTTTTCTCATCCGGTCCGATACCAGGATCCATAAACAAACCCGTCAACACCAACGTGGCCATCATTAACATTCAATCCCAGACTCCGTTCCGTATTCCGGTAATCAAACCCTAGTAGACCAGATCATCACCAACAAAAGCAACATCACAGAATTCATTTCCTTCTGGTCTTTAATCAATGACTAGACCCTCAAGCGCCTGCATAGCCTTAGTTCCTTCCTTCTCAAAAGACGTAACCATAGCCTCGCACTCATGTCTCAACTTCTGCTCTGCCTCTACAGCGTTGTGGTAAATCCACTCTTCCACAGTCATCCGCTTCTCCGGACTGTTAAGATCCGTTCCATTCCTCAACTTGGCCGATCCTAAAGTATTTTCCTTGTCCAAATCTTCAAAAATTGCTTCGACGTCCACAGTGGTCCACGGAACGTTGCTCTGTAAGCCAGCTAGGACGTTGCGTCTAGATGGGGAAGTTCGCACGGGGGTAACAGCAACAGGAGCCAAGACAATTCGGTTGCTATTCGCCGTGTTTGAGGGCTTAGAAGAGGGCGGCTCGTTCTCGGCGTTGGATGTCTGCGGTGATTGTGAAGGTGACACTGCAGCCTGCTTTGCGGCTGGGGCTGGAGATACCAAGGTCTTTGGAGTTGCCGGACCCTGGGGTTCATCCAATTCAGCGGGAGGTGGAGGGAGAGGCTTGTCTGACGAAGGGGGAGAGGCGAGGGTGGCTTCGGATAAAACCTTTGTCTTTGACGAGTGTGCCTTCTCTGGAAGCTTGCTAGAGTTATCCTGTCCTACTTGGGGTGAAGATTCAACTCTAATTTCTAAGTCGGCAAGCTCATCAAGTCTCGTGTCCGGCTCTGCTGCTGCTGCCTTTTTACTGGGCCTACCGCGCTTTTTGGGTGCGGCATTTGATGACAGGCTTGTCCGGACCACAGTTGCATTGCTGGCCATGCTGACATCGTGACCTTCAGCTAGTTCATCGACAGCTGCTGTCTCGACGTCTTCTTGGGGCATAGGCTCCGGCTCAGGGGCCGGTGGCTCTTTGACTTTCTTCGTTGTCTGTTTGGATGCCTTTCTAGTACCGGCCTTGCGACCCTTTTTGGGAACTTCAAGTGTCTCTGCCTGTTCAACTTCCATCTCAGTCTCCAATGCTTTCATCTCAGCTTCAATTGCAGCTTCATCAATCTGAGGGGGCTCCGGATCAAACATCGCATGATCGTTAGGTGCTGGGTATTGGCTTGCACGAACTGCTTTCCTTGTGACGGTCTTCTTGCCCTTCGCTTTGGTTGGAGCTTTCTTGCGGTCTGAGTCTGAATCGGCCGCGATGTTTTCATCGTCCGATAGAGGTCGATCGAGGTCAGCTTGCAATTGTCGATCAAGCTCCTCATCATCTAACATATGAGCCACATCGTCTTGGTGGGAAGTAGTTGAAGTTGTCGATGCCGCTGAAACTTTCCTAGACTTGCGAGTAGTTGTCGACTTGCCCTTTTTACTTCTCGCTTTTGGCTTTGTGGCAGATTGTACGTCAGACATTTCTTGATCAGTTTCGTGGTTAACCACAGATGTATCAGCAGTGCTAGCCTTTCGGGTTCGTGTAGCTCGCTTTTTAGCCACTGGAGCCGCCGCGGTCGACAGTACCGAGTCTTCGAGAGCGTCGCTAGTTCGCTTGCGTCCCCGGGCTGGCTTCGGGGGTGGTTCTTCTGGTTCAGGTTCATCTTCAAGAACTTCGACGGCTTCGTCCTTTCTAGCTCGAGTCTTCTTTCCCTTTGAAACCGGGGCTTTCTTTGTCCTAGAACGCTTGGTACTACTTTGGGTCACAACAGAGGTGGTAGTCATGACGCTATCTTCGTGGTCGGTTGTATGGTCAAGTACGGAGGTTATGTCTGATGCGGCTGTCGTAGTAGCCGACTGCGCGGATAGTCGAGATGACTGGGAGGCTCTGGTGCCTTTGCCTCTGCCCTTCTTCTTCGCTGGTCCTTTCTTATAATGGTTCATCAATTCAAAAAAACGGCAATCGGGTGATCGTTTATAGTGTTCATCCCTATATAACAGATTAGTCAAGTCATCAAGATGGGCGCGATGATGTTACCTACAAGGGGTTATCTTTAGGTTCCCACCCGTCAAGCGCGAGGGAACAATAGGTGCAAGTTGCCATGTCATCAGACTCTGCAGTTGGGGTGTACTTCCATCCTGCCTCCACAAGCTATGACAATTTAGTAATGATCGTCGGGAAGCGGTAAAGAATAGAACCGTACCTGCTTGGTCTTGCATTTCCAGCCTCTCTTCCCGTCGTGTGGCCATCGCCCACCAAAAGTGGCTTTCCGGGCATCAGCCATTTCAGCACCGGTAGGATCGTCCAAAGCATAATCTCCCAGACCCGCCTCGATAGCAGCCACAATGGCCCAACCACAATGTGGAGACAATCGTAGATGCTCCTCTAGGGGACTGTCGTTCTCTTCCCATCCTGCCAACGCCTTTAAGCACAGGAAACATACGGTATTGTCTGGAGCTTCGGGGGTAGGTTCGAAGAAAAATCCGGCTTGAGCAAACTACAAATTAATTGTTAGAGATTGAAATGTTATAGACAGGATATAAAATATATTGGTGCATATTGTATTACTTACTTGAGTGGGATCCAATTGTTTGTGTGGCCAAGAAATAGCCTTAGGTGCCTTGCCTTTGGCATTGGATGGCCGTCGTCCCGTTGGTTTCGCCGACTTGAAGGAAGTTAATCTTCCATCATAGGTGAAGTATTGATCAGAAGTGTCGTCGATCTCCATGGTTCAAGTATCAATCGTGAATCGTTTGGATGGAAGCGATGTTTGGAGTCGGCGCAAGCCGCAGGTTTTCTTGGACGGCGCGTCGCGAACAGGAAAATGGAGTATGTACTCGGCGTTGCAGCATAGAATGTAGTAAATAATCCCAGCATACAATGGGAGAAAAAGGTATTATGAGCGCAAGCAAATTGGATAGGATTTTGTATCAATTACAATGTTGAATGCGACTCGGTTGTAAAATTGGGTGAAGGGACTCGGTATATGTCGGTGGGTTCAATTGCTTGTTTGACCGCGTTCTGTTTACTTTCCAATCGCGGGGACCCACTGCCCGTTCTCCGCCTCTACTAGGACTGATTATGGAATTATGGATTCAAATTTGTGCACGGGATGACGTAGCTAAGCCACATTCAGTGATTATGTAATGATTTATGTAATGTCAAAAGCCATTTCACAATCACTCACCTTAACAATTATTAAATTTCCCTTCTTAAACCTTACAATTTCAGTACTTTGGGTAAAAGCGATGGCGCCGTCAAGCGACAGCAAATGGTTAATTTCTCAACGTCCAATAATGCGGATCCATCAATTGCCTTTAAAGAACCACTCCTACGATGTTACCAATTCGATTGCAATCTGACAGATCGCCATCTAGTATCACTGTTACATTCAATACACAACGAACGATACGCGTTCTAGAATAAATCTCTAGGCTACTCATTTTCATAGAAATAATTTATTCTAGAGCTTATATCAGCCTCATTCCAAGACATTATTTGTCCCCTTTCGCACACTCGCCTTGTCTAAAAAGCGACGCGACATATTATGTATGTGCCACCATCAGCGGAAAGGTGGAAGGGCCCTACATATTTGTAGGAGAGGAGGTTGGAGTCATCAGCGATCAAATACTTAGAGGTAGCGGTTCTAATTCCCTCATTAACTATTGTCTATTGCTCCCCTACATAATCAAGAATATCGCAGAAATATAAAGCTATATCCGCCAATCAACACAAATTATAGCGCTGCTGACACGACCAACTTTCTCATCATTTAACTAATGCCACTTCCGTTCATTGGCCTCTTCGTACTGATATATATAACCCAGTAAGCTCGAGCGTTTATTAATCGGCTATAGAAAGACATAGGTGTAGGGCTCGGCCGTCTGTTGACCGTCACTATCCAGAACCGGGGTTGAACCAAGCTTCATCGCCCCCGCTTGTTAATGTCAAATGGGGAAAGGGAAGCATTGTGGCTTACTTCAAGCCTCGATGGATGAGCAGCTGACTGGGTTTTAATATGTTACCAACTACAACGGGAGACCACTCCTACATGGCCGCCGATGATCCGATTACTCGACATAACCTGAGTTAGCCTATGTTGTAGAGTGTCAGGTCTACAAGTCCGGGGTGTTGGGGTTGATGAACCACATCCCAAGCGATCTCGTTAACTGTCACTAGGGAGCTTGTGCTCTCCCCTGCGCCGTCGCTTAGAGATCACATAAGCTAAATGAGGCCATCACAGGAACTAACATTGCTAGAAATAAGCCGTCCGAATAAGCCTCAAGGGTATTAGAGGTAGTTGCTGACATAATGATGCTAGTCGAGTCTCCCGACTACGCTACATACAGCGGTCGATGAATAAGATTTAATCCGAGTCCGGCAAGGCGGAGGCGATATTGAGAAAAGATCAATAGATCATACGATAGAATGGTGTAGCGAGTCAGCAATATCGAGGCCTTTTTCTAGGGGTATGCCAGCTTAACATGGTATGGTAGGACTTACTGAGAAACCAACCCGTACGGCGGTAGACATCATTGCTGATGAAGACCACGATCAAAAGACCAATATCGTAGAAATAAAAGCATGGAAATAGGTAGCGGACAGAGGCCTCGCCCCATCATGGCCGACCACGGGGTGCTGTCACGCATCTCCGCGCCGCAGCGGTAAGCCCCCATCGTATACAGGATTCATTTACCAAGGGGCAAAGCCATAGGCATCAATTAGTGATCATCAGAAAAGGCATACAGAAAAAATGTATAAAGGCGACTTCTTGGCCTCAATATTTAGGAGAATCCATAGTCACAGCATTCACAATCACATCCTCACTCAACAGCAACATTTTACAACACCATATAGTATATCAGCAATACAACTCATTCACAATGGGCTTTACTTCGTACTCCGGACCCGCCTCCAACTTCCCTCCCATGAGCCAGTGGAAGTCATTCGAGGAGATCTTCAACGCCAACAAGAGCGCCATGGCTGCTACTGGCGACACCGGCGAGGACATCGGCCGCATCTGGAACGCCGTTAACGAGTGTGCCAAGATCGGTGTTGAGGAGCGGTTAGTCTCACCACCTGAACCAAAACATAGAGACAGACATAACTAATACAATACCAGCGTCATCTTCGCAATCATCATGCAAGAGTCCACCGGCAACGTAGGTGTTAAGACCACCGTCAACGCCGATGGCCACGGCACCGCCGGCCTGATGCAATGCGACGGCTCCCCCGGCTTCCCGGGCCAGCACGGCCTCTCCCAGGTATGTAACTTTTCCAAAAAGTAAAACAGCCTAATCACTAACAACTCCCCAGGACAACATCACCTCCATGGTCCGCGCCGGCACCAACCACTTCAAGCAGAACCTCAAGGACTTCGGAAACGCCGACACCGCCGACTGCATCTACAAGGCACTCCGCGAGTATAACTCCGGCTCCGTGTGCGTAACACCACCCCCACCCAAATACTACTCACTAACGTATTCCCACACAGCAACGAGGCCAACCTCTCCGACGGCCGTGGAGCTACTCCCTCCTACGTCTCTGACATCGCCAATCGTCTTTTGGGACGCACCAACTAATCTAATTAGCCATTAGAATGTACCGGAGGGAAAGATGGAGTATTAAAGGGGTCAATTAAATAGGTTGGGTTAGGTATCCGGAGTTATCGGGTTGGAACACGGTCATTTTATTTAAGATATTTCAATACAATATTTACTCTCGGGATATTCAACATTCCGATCGTTGACATGGCATCTAGTGATATGGTATCCGTTCGCATAAACAATCAACGAGAGCCTTAGCTCCAGGTTTTCATATTAACCAGTCAAAAATGCCTTCACTACTGTACGTCGCGTAATAGTTGCGGGGGTTTCACCAAAAATTGAGTAATTTTCGAATTGAGGGAGTAATTGCTTAAATCTATAGCAAACATCTGCCTCTATCGTATCCTCTGGGGATTTATCTAATATTCAAATTAGATGGATACCTATATATCTTCACTAGACTGGGTACTGGCCCCTGGAATTCCCTCTACAACCCATTTTTTTTCTCTAGACTCTTTTCTTATGCAGCAGAAGCGGCCGTGAGGCCTAGCTCGGCGTAGAAAGCATCAGGGCTGGGCTTCCTGCCTAGGAACTGCTCTAGTGTGATCATTTCATCTTGACTACCACCACGTTCTAAAACGGTATGGCGGTATCTACGACCTTCCTTGCTATTCATTGGGTCTTTTCTAAAGACGGAGTAGAACATGTCCGTGCTGTAGACATGGGAGGACAAGTAGCCATAGTAGCCGGCATCGTAGCCGCCCATGAGATGTCCGAACTATATGCGTGTTAGCAATTGTAAGTCTTCGCCTCTGATTTTGTAGGCTTGCGGAGGGGATCTAGAGAACAAGAGATGACGCTGAGTCAATACGTACCGTCGCTTGGCCATTACCCCAATTGCTATTGCCAGACTTGTTAGTCATATAATTCTAAGCCATAAGTGATAGAAAAACGTACCTGGGCGCACCAAGAACTTCGGGGCCTTCAAGACCGGCAATCTCAGCGCGAAGGTTGTTGTAAGTTGAACTAATGTCCATCTTTTCTAGTTCCCCGTGTGAAGCGGGTGAGTGAACAGTCATGTCGAAGATACCGAAATGTAATTGTCTTAGGTTGAACAAGGCATCGTTGACATGCTTTGTTGATATCTGTTTTCCGATCAACTCGTCGGGGATATTCTCACCGGTCTCGTAATGCTTTGAGAGAGCCTTTAGTTGACTAGGCGTCCAGCACCAGTTCTCAAGCATCTGGCTTGGGGCTTCGACAAAATCCCTAACCGTCGACGTCCCGTGGAATCGGCTATAGGTACTTCGACCAGACAGGTCGTGGATACCGTGCCCAAGCTCATGGAATAGCGTTACTACCTCATCGTGCTTTAGTAGGGAAGGCTTCTTCTCCGTGGGCTTGGAGAAGTTGCAAACTAGGGCAGTGGCAGGATACCTCCTAGTACCATCTTTCTGAAGGTAACCAGGCTGCAAGTTGAAGTTGGCGGCATGGCCATATTTGCCTGGGCGAGGGTGCAAGTCAAGATAGAGGTAACCGACGAACCCATCACCCTCGGAACTGTCGTCCCAAACTGAGAAGACGTGTACATCCTCGTGCCACGCGATGTCTTCGGCCTTGCTGGTGGGGGATATCCTCTTCCGATCTTCAGTGTCCAGTTCCACAAATACCAAGCCGAATAATTCTTCGAAAATTCTTAGCATCGCTTGAACGGTGCTCTGGAGAGGGAAGTATTCAGCAATCTTGGTCTCATCAATGTTGTATTCCTGCTCCACCATCATTCGGCCGTAAAAGCGATGATCCCAGAGGTAATAGTTTCCATCCGGCTTCAGTCCCCTTGCTTCCTCGTCCTTCTTTTTTAGCTCAAGTAGATGTGCCTTTTCCTTCTTACCACCTGGCGTGAGACGTGTTCGAAGGTCTGATAAAAAGGTGTTAACCACAGCCGGGTCCTTGGCCATCTTGTCTTCTATACGGAAGGCAGCATGGTTGGGATAGCCTAGAAGTCTAGCGGCCTCATCGCGTAGTAGGATGGTTTCTTTGAAGAGGGGGATATTCTGATTGGTCTATCGAATCGTATTAGCTTGAGTTTCTCCACGGTCAGCGTTTAGAAATTCGTGACGTACCTTATTTTCGTTCGCAATGAAGATCTGCTTTCTGGTTTCTGGGTTTTTGGCGAACTTCAGAGCGGGGAAGAGGTCAGGGTACTTGAAAGTGAGCTTCACCTTCCCATCATTCTCCCCCAGGCCAATCTCTAGACCATCAACCACGTCATTGGGAACTCCATCCAGCTCCTCCTTCGTGAACCATATGCCCTCATTCTCCTCATTGAGATGCTTCTGGAACTCGATTGCAATCTGGCTGAGGCGCTTCTTGATTTCCTTGAAGCGATCTCGTTGGGGGCCTTGAGGTAGACCTAATCCATTCCTGATATAACTCTTTCGCTCTTTCTCAAGTAGTCGCAAGCTCTCAGGGTCGAGGTTGGGTTCCTTGGTCTTCTGTGCTTGAAACGCGGCGTCGACAAGCTTGAAGACGTCTTCTCGCATGTTACACTCAATTGTGAACTCGTCCATGACCTTTTCGGCTTCGGTCGAAGCATTACGCAATTCGGCGTCAGCGGAGACATATTGGTAGAATCCCAGAATGCGAGTGCTCAATTGTGACTGATTCTCATCTTCTGCGGTGGGCGCGATGACGGAGGCGAAGCTCGCTGAGTCGACGGGTACATTTGCAACGAGGTCGTCTAGTAAGGATCGAGTAGTATCACAGACAGCCTTTGCATCGTTGACGATAGACTCTTTCGTGCCAATAAAGGTCGGCGGAGCTTGAGGGGGATTCTTGTACTTTTCGGGAGCCATGTTGGCGGTCACAAGGGAGCGAGTAGGAGTAGGCGAGCGACTGAGCGGTAAAAGGGTTGTTGAGGAGGGAGGCTTCGGGCGTAGTTGGTTTAAATAGGAGGTGAGGCGGGAAAGGGCTCGTGGAGCAGCCAGATTGGTGGTGATGGCTAGGAGAAGAATGAGAAGGGAAGTTATTAGAAGTAAGAGGGGTCGATGAGGACCTCTTTTTGTAGAAGTAGAGGAAAGAACAGAATTGCTTGAGTTAGCCAGTATCACGAGGGGTGGAGGGGTAGAAGAAAGTTTAGGGATCCAATCGTACGGCGGGAAGCTGCAATGCAATTAAGTGTGGATGAGTATGGGCGAATCTGGCGGGGGTGCACCGGTGTCTTTTTGATTAGGCAAGAACCAATGTACAGCTGCGTTTCAGATACTCGACTCTGATTAGGTTTGTTAGCTGCAGGTGACTTGCGGCTATCCACTCAAGGTACTTGACAACGTATATGTAAGATCAACGAGTTGAATAGCATTGGATTGTTCATGTAGGGGAAGTTGCATCGAGGGTCGACTGGATGCTGATCGTGACGAAGCCAAGTCGGTTGCTACCTTGAACGGGATGCATACAGCCCCTCCTAGTCCCTTCTAAATTGCGGGGGATTTTACATAAACCATGCTGTACCTAGGTACCTAGAGGGCCAAACGTAGGACATCTGGACTCTTTTGGAAGCATGCAGCCTCAAATTAGGGGGCGACAGGTACCTACCTCGAGTTTTTAGATGCAGGAGTATTGTAACAAGTCGTTCGGCTCGCCAAACGCATTGGGGTTTAACTTTAGGATTGCATTCAAAAACCTCTAAAAATCAACCAAGATTAAGCAGACTTTAAGTCTAGAACATTAGAACAATTCAAGACCTATAGTGATTGGTGAATGCAGTTAGGCAATTCTGAATGCCTCTGCGTTATTGATCGTTTATGTACCTATCCTCCATACCTACGACCTAATGGCCTATTTTTGCAGGTGTCATAGGATACTAAGCAGGCCTGCCCAATTTCATATAACCATTCCCGTCAATTATGAAAACGCCATGTCATCATCTCCCTGCCATGCCATGCGGTGTATGCGTCGATGCTTCATGTTTCCTACGTAAGCATTGCGGGTGAATATAAGAATTTCTACGCCTCTAAACTCCGGCTTCCATCAATGCACGAGGGCGAAATATTTTTAGTTGGCTAGGATTGTTCGGACGAGATCTATACGTTTCACATCGGATTAGTTACATACTATACACCATTTCACAATGATAAATAAACTATGTAGAGATTGTGCACTTACCAGTGTAGTTGACTTGTCCCGAGCTAGTGTCCACAGCTTTGAGAAGTTCGTCTACCTCCTCATCTGTCATCTTCTCTCCCAAATTCGTCAAGATGTATTTCAGTTGGCCGACACCAATAAAGCCTGTCATGTCCTTATCAAAGACTTGGAAGCCGCGGCAGTACTCGTCGGGCTCGCCGGGATCACGGAAGCCGCCAGGTCGGTTCAGGATTTTCGAGAAGGTCTCAAAGTCGACTAAAATCCCATTAATTCGTCAGCAAAGTATTGTTTAATTGCGTTGATACTTATAGCGCGTTTCTTTATTCCAAGGGAAAATACTGCACGAGGCTGAATGTTGACACCAGGACTCGCTAAATAAACAATAGGGGTTACTCACAGTCACCACCAACATTTCGTTCCAAATCTCTAATCTCAGCTAGTGTAGGGTTCTGGCCGCAGGCGCGGAGAAGATCACCTAGGCTGTCGAGAGAAACACGGCCGTTGCCTCGCTTGTCGAATAAAGAGAAAGCCTCCTTGTAGTTGGTAGAAGCCTGAGGGGTATCGTTAGTGGCCATTTTGACAATCTATCGCAATCCTGCGTCCTCGGAGCAAAATTTGCTAGAAATGTGCAGTTGAAAGGTGGTAGAGAAGCGGAAAAAGCGAATGCGCAGTCAAAATGGTTGATTTGCTGCTTTGTTGTTGAAGTTTTTGTTTTTCGCTTTGTTTCCGAGGGATTGGGACGATTCGGGAGGATGACAAAAGGAATACCGATGGCAACCCCCCTAAAATGCGCCATCTCTCGCCCATTACCAGTAACAAAACAGCTGATGCAATTACTGCGAAAGGATGCTGACTGGCTGTGCCCGATCGCGTAACACCCACGCTAAACCAGGATTTAGGGGGATGCGAGGGGCACCAGGTTTGGAGACCGGCGTGTGTTTACTTCCAACAACAAAGAATAAAGGAAAATCAAAGTGATAAGGTATAACTCACCATTCCGAGGTATTTGGGTACTAAAAAACTGGTGGAAATTTGACCAAGTTCGTCGAAGAAATAAAGGCAACGTTTGTGATGATATTTTCTGGAGTTGTAATGTGTAAGAAAGCAGCGGTCGAAAAATAATAAGAAAGTTGATATGGGCACTTGAAACGGTGAAATTGAGTTGCCCCCTAGCTAGCGCCGTCCATGCGTACCTGCTAGCTGTGGATCGATTGGGCTTTCCAGATTGACGGGGCAACGGTATGCCACTAGTGAATTATGCAGCATTTTACTTGGTCAATTCCAGGCGGGGCAGTAACACACCGCCGAAACATGAACTGTGAATTGTTGGCTTACATAAGAATATTGTGCTGAGATTAATAGACGGTACCCAATTATTTCCCAGAATACACTTTTTGTTCCATCCCATCCAATGCCATGATTCTTAAATGTTTACGACTAGGGCAGATTTCGTCAAAGCAATTCATCCTATCCTATCGGATTGTCTCATACATATATGATTCAGCATAGCTTGGTTGCCGCGACATCGGATAATTAACTCTCAATAGATTATTGAACAGCCTATGATAACAAGGCCAAAGTGTCTAACAATTACAGCGATAGCGGCATCAAACGAATGCTGTCACTGCAGTACTACATACAGCTTCAACGACGTCTACCCATCAAGATATAAGTACCCCAATCATTTAAAACTTCAATCTCTCGCCATCTTTCACCCATAGCCTTCCACTCAGGTACCGCATCGATCATGTGATCCCACATAATATCGAGGATATCCCCTTCTCCGCCATCGGCTCGACTCTTAACATCAGGATGAGCCTCTTTCCAGCTGCTAAAACAACTAAATGTTCTTAAATAGCCCTCTACTTCACCAAGCTTCATCGTTTTCCTTAGCCAACGGACCTCCTCGGAGCCTTCCTCGCCCGGCTCATGTTCTAACCTTTTTACATCCTCCCAATCGGCTTCCGGAAATTGCACACTGCGAAGAAGATTTCGTACAATATTACGTCCAGGTTGCTCCCAGTACGGACCCATCCCTTTCACACCCGGGACTACTTCGCCGAACCCATAAACAAATTTCTCCATAATTACGGTAGCCTGTTCGGCGCCGACTAGCACGTTATCCTTGTAACCCCAAAAGGCTACTGTGCCGCCGGGACGCACCACCCTCGCAAGAGCAGGCCAAACCTTACTGTAGTCGAACCAATGCGCAGCTTGGCCCGAAACAGCCATGTCTAAAGATCCATCGGATAAAAAGCTCAGATCCTCAGCGCTACCTTGGCGAAACGTGATAGCAGGATCAGTTGTTGTTTGCTGCGCCTGTGTGATCATCCCTGCGGACGGATCGATAGCAATGACCGATTTGAAATTCGGTCGAAGATAACGAGCAATGAGTCCATGACCGCAGCCGATATCCAACAACGTGCTTCCAGGTGTAGGTAGCTGGTGGTAATTCAAGACGGTGCGGAATAGAGGTGGTGGGTAAGTCGGCCGAAAAGCCGCGTAGGCCTTTGCTGAAAATGTTGGTCGGCTGTATTTCTGTTAGCGACTTGTCTCTGAAAAGGAAGGTTGCAACTGACGCGAAAGTCGCCATCCTGTATGTGATTCAACTAACAAGAGATAAGTTGAGTTCAGGATCTAGGGATCTACCCCAGCACGAGGTAAAATTGTTGGTATTATACACCATACACCACTAGAGCAAAACAGGGGTAATGAGCTAAGGCGAGATAAAGCACACTCAGCCTCGGTTATCTTGTTGCATCCGATGATACACAGTAGCTGAAGACGCAATCGATCAGCATTGGTGGTGCCAAGCCATAATTGTAAATGGTGTCTAGAATTCTCTTTTTCTTTCATCTATATCTCTCAACTGTTGTGACCTGATACCAAAATATTACTCAGCTAAATCCAGAGAGTCGCTCGCATTTAACACCAGCAAACCAGCATTCTTCCCTCTTATTTAATTTCTTCGACCAAACATACCACTCCAGTCAGTCAGTCAATCAATCAATCAATCAGACCATATTTCCCCATTATAAATCATAGATACATTATTCACCTGCCAATACAATATAATAATCAATAATTCAAAATGACTACCGAAGCTACTGTGAGGTCTTTCTTCAACTCCCCTCAATTCGCCGTGGTCGGCGCCAGTACGAACCCCGCCAAATTCGGTCATAAGGGTAAGGTTTTCCGTTTTTACCCCTTGTTCGGCACTCGTTTTTTAGTTCAAAGCCTATTAGGCAGTCCGTCTTGATTCTTTCTTGTCCCTGATCTCGGTTGCAAGCGGGCCAACCAACCAACGTACACGATCTAGAATACCAAGTGGTTGGATCATGCAAGTTGGATGCGACATAGTACCTGAGCATCATAACCTCATTTAATATCATGAATATTATGAAATAAATATATGAATAGATAGGTAACTAACACCAGTTGGCGTACGAATAAAGTCTTCACCTGGTACCACGCGCACTCCCTCCCAGTAACCCCCATCAACCCAGCCAGCGCCAACATCGAAACACCCTTCGGCACGCATCCCACAATCAAATCTCTCGCTGACCTCCCGGACCCAACACACACCTCACTCTCCGTCATCACGCCCGCCCCAGTAACCCTAAACGTACTCAAGGAGGCTAAGAAACTCGGTATCCCCGCTGTCTGGCTTCAACCCGGTACCTGGGACGACGCCGTGATCGCATACGCGCGCGGCAAAGCGGAAGGCGAGGAGGAAGCCGGGTACGAGGGTGCTGTGGTTGCTGGTGATGGTGGTAGTGGCCATGGCGGTTGGTGCGTGCTTGTCGATGGCGAGAGGGGCCTCAAGGCGGCGGGAAAACTGTGAGTGAGTCTGCTTCGTGTGCACTCGGCCCAACCTATCTGTCTGTCTGTCTGTCTATCTATTCATCGTTTTTTACGTATACGTGCGAGCGGCGACAGAGGCTTAAATCATTAGGAAGAAGCATGGCGTGGGACAGCTTGTGGGACAAGTGTGTGTGCTGATGTGAGGGCGGTTACATGTGATTTGAATGGGATGAGGGTTTTGTGATAGATTTCAATTTTAATTATTGATACAAGACTACCCGAACAGTGCTATGAGCTGCGAATGATAGGGGTGAGTTTACTTGCTGTGAAGTACCTATATCACCGGTAGGAAATCACCGTGGGCGCTGGGCTAGCGATCGAATACACTAGAGATTTAGGGCTGACTTGTGTTATGTCTGCCGCTAGCACCCGTGGACATCTAGGTACTGTTCTATGTTGAACGGCCAGGCGTAAGCACAGCGGGCTATGATATGGACACCGATAATCAACTGTAAATCACTGAGTATAAGTCCTCCATAGCCCCCAGCATTGCCCAGTTGAATCCCCTAAAACCGCTATCCATATGCAGCCTGCCGTCCCTAAAAAACGCCTCTCCCTTTTAATATTCATATAGCAGCTTGTTTGCTGAAATAATTCGTAAGAGTATTCGACTGTTTCGGTACCGCATCCTTCGCTTTTTTCGGACTACTACCGCTACTACTGTCAAGCTTCTTCCCAATCTCCAGAATATCCATAAGCTCTTCAAACTCCGCCTTGGGGACAATACCTCCGCTCGCCTCCTTATGTCCCCTCGCAAACGACTCACCAAGTCTCTCCCGCAAAGTCGGGTTCGGCGCCTTGTCAGCAGTTCCCTTTAGCACTTCGATAATATTCACCGGCGGATCCCTCGACCGTGCACTTCGGGGTATCCGACATGAGAAGTTGACCATGCTGGGGAGATAACCCTCATTAGCTACTAGAATTACTTCTAACTTCGGCGATTGCAGATGTCCAGCCCAGCGTGTCGCTATGACTGGGTGAATCTGCGCAGCGGAGTTGATGCGGAATACAGCGATCTTAGCATCGCCTGAAAATTTAGGGGCTGTGTGCGTACAGCGCTCTACTTCAGCGTTTACTTCAGCCCTAGCAGCCAGAAGGCTCTCGCTTTTCAGTAACTCCGAGGGAGAGCCAGCAGCAGTTAGCGCATCCCAAGCCGCCGTAACATCGTATGTTGCTGTTCGGCGAGGGGCATTTATAAGCGATACGGCTTCGTTTATCGCTTTCTTTGTATACGTCTTGAAAGTTGCTTTCATATCTGGAAACGGCGGCTCCCATTTCAGCGTATTTCCTAAATCTCCGTGGGTTCCCATTGCGCATAACCAATCGCAGGTGTCGTGGACTTTATCGTGTAGTTCATTACATATGTGGTAAGTAAGCAGTGAACTTGTGGCTACTGGCGGTGAGTGGCATGCTGAGACATGTCCTGAATTTTCAGGGAAATCGTCGTCTAGCGCCCAATGGTGGTCGATTACCAGCGCCTTATGAGAGCCATTAATGACCGGAGGTGATTTTCGAGAGCCCTGATCAAGGACAAATATGTACTCCGACTTATGCGTAGCCATAGCAGTACGCTCGCTCTCATCATGGATATTGTGCCCCTTCTGCAGTAGATGCGCCACTATTAGATTCGGCTCCAGGCCTAATAGCACCAGTGTCTTCTGTAATATAGCACCCGAAGTCAACCCATCAGCGTCCTTATCTGGTACAATCAATGTCTTCTTTTTCGCCGAAGCGCTGTATTATGACAATTAGTTCGGGTTAACACAAATACGCATTACAGGACGTGCCACTCTAAAATGAAACTCCGAGCCCGTTCAATCTGCGCTCTGGGAGCTGGCCATATAATTTTGCCTGATTCATCTCGTACAGGAGGTGTTAAGTGGTATTCAGGTACCTCAGCGCGAGGTTTCTTAGCCCTCGAGGTGGCTTTAGTGGACGACGATGCGCTACGTTTCATCTCAAGATAATAGGTCGGTATCGTTTTGGTTTCTGCTGACCGTTGCGCTTTAAATGAAGCGAATCGTCTGTTTATCTGTTTGGTAGCATTAAGGCTTTCTCTTTGAGCAAGATGTTTGAGTACTCTTGATGAACCAATATTATGTATGCCAGCTCTCATAAGATTCATGGTAGACTCTTACGGGACGGCTGACGGGATGATGCATTCAAACAAGAGCTTTCACCCGCGAGAACTTTAGGGTCTTAGGTCACTAATGACGTCAACGACAGCGCATTCCACCCCTGAATCTCCGGCCCGGGTGTCTGGTTAGCTGCCTATTGTCTTACCCCCTATTTGATTCCAGCAGTACCGGCGCCTACGTTTATAAGTATTTCCATCACTACCTTCCCACTATTTTCTTTTATAACAGGTTACTGTTCACATTTACCTATATTCACGTCGACGACGCCCTAGTGCCGTTGGAAGCTACCTAGGTACGATATAGATGGTACAGTATGACTTATCATATTTCACCTTCGCATTCCAGTCATTACAACAGTCAAAGTTATATCATATTCACCACCTCAGACAATCCCAACTATGACACAACAATCCGCAAAACACGTTGTCTGTTTAGAAGATCCGGCATCATTCTTAGTAAACCCTAGATAAACCAACGTTATTAAAGCAACTTCATGACTCTTATACAAACTACTAGTCGCGAGTTTCCACCAAAACGAGTCCCTCCCCTAAACCACATATCAATGCATCATTTGATAAATGTGAAAAGTTTAGAACTGTTATTTTGGACCAAATCCTCACCTAGGTACCTACATAATGTACCAGCTGTGTAACGACAAGTCCTTAATCGGATTCACATGGAATCACACTCACTGTCTATTCACAGCAAATTATTACAGGATTTCTTGCTTATTCTCATTCCGAGGGCATACGTATTAACTGAATCTAATGAGATTGCATAACTATGAGACCTTTCCTACTTTTATTCTTCGTATGCCTCTACAGCAACAACTTAACAAGCTACTCAATATCTCTTCATCATAAGTCTCTTTCTGGTCAGCGGTTTTCATCAACATATCTCATAGGTGTTACCCACACATTAGGGTGATACCTGAATCACCATATAGTAACTCCTGTTTAATCATCCGAATCGGAAAGTAACCACCGAAAAGTAACCACCGAAAGAGTCGTACATGAACCTCGTCACCCATGACAAACAACATGACACGGATCGCATTCAGGCGACGAAGCCTAAGAAAGATGGTCTTGAGAAAAACACACTTCCAAGCCCAGAGACAATTTAACCCAACCTACTTTCTCCCCACCTTTCGCCATCAAACCTATCCCGGAGGACCAACCCAGCGAGCCAACTCAAACCCCATAATCCCCACCGATACGATATCATCAACGGATATCTTTACCGGAATACCTACACACAGTCGGGGCGATATGTGCACCTTAGTAGACCACTTCTGCCGTACCTGCGGTATCTTCGTCTGGGGCCCGGAATACGTTGTGGCCTGTACGAACTGGCAAAGATGTTTGAGTATGCCTAGGCAGAGAAAAGATGTGTACTGCGACAAGCACGGTAAGATCAAGGTCAAGGTCCCAGATCCCAAGCCACCACCTTCGGGTGGAGGGGGGAAGGGAAAGGAGAAGGAGAAGGCCTAAGTTTTATGTTCAGTCCTAGAGGGGTCACTCTCGAACTACGGTGTTGATGGGGTAGCGGCGACGTGCACCTTCTTCAGGTACGAATAGCTTCGATATTGTGGAAGGATATGATGAACAGATGCGCCTTGTTATCATTAGAATACGGGCAATGGAATTAGTTAATTGATGACAAACTTTTTGGGAGCATATTTTGGTTCAATGCCCGGGTGATGTTCAGCTTCTCACGACCCAAAAAAAGGGTCAAAAGTATCTCAATCAATAACCCTTAGCTAATCATCATAATATCTTCTCTACAAGAGAATCCAGCTAATTATCTTATAAACGTGCATCATTAGGACATTTCAGTGCCAATTGGTCTAGACCTCTCTTTTCTAGAAGCCATACCAACACGGTATACTTGCCGGAACTGAACTTAGGCTAAATGGGCCACGATCACGTCTTCAAGTTAACATACTATATTCCTCTTACTCGACAAGGTAATACGGAGGCCACACGCGCACCGGACAAGATCCGTCCACCGGGGGACATTAGCGCATCGCTGGTAAAAATAGAGTAAAGAGAGTAGAGGGACACATGCTCGGAATAAATACCATCGACGCCCAGCACTTTGGAAATGTAACTTAATACCCTTGCCCCACCGAGCTCTTTTTCATATTTCATTCGCCTCAGTCCTTTGATCTACACCCCAGAAGTAACTACATCCCATACGTCTCGATCTCGAAATACACCTATCCAAGATGTTAGTCCAACCCATCGCAATCGCCATCCTCGCGACCCTCGCCTCCGCCAACCCCATCACCCCCCGCCAGTCCTCCGGCCCGGGCACAACACTCCAATCAGGATGGTACTGGATCCGCGCCGTCGCCTCGCCCAACTTCCACAAATACCTCCAAACCAAACCAGCGAACGCAGCCGGAACAGCCATCCTCGAGAGCTACAAGACAGCAGGCCAGTACAACGTGAAAGAAGGACAATTAGTCGCGAACACAGGCGACGGCGGTGCACCCCTATACCTACACGTTGAAAAACCAGCCGACCTGGCTAACCCCCCGCGCACGCTCGGAACTTCGTTCAACACGACGAAGAATGATTTCGGCACGTTTGAGTTTCAGGGCGATGCGTTGACGTGGAGTGTTCCCGATGTCAAGAGACAGAATCTGGCTGCTTGGTTGGTGTGTAAGGACCAGGCGTTGTTTATTAATACGGGTGCGTATGGATACCAGACGCCGAGTGGATGTGCGGATCAGACTGTAGGTTTATCCCTTCTCCCCTCTCCCGTTTAAATTGGTGTGTGGAGTATAGGGAGTTTGAGTGACTTGCTGACTGAAACGTAGATTCACTACTACAATGATGCGCACGCGAATGAGTAGCGGAAGCTGTATATTAGTTCGAGACTCATACTTGTACATAGCCGCCGGGTTTTACGTTGTGCGAATCTAAAGATTGGACACCTCGAAAAGATTTCGCTTAGTTGACTGGACTTTATAATTCTCCGATACCAAAGTCAGTATACCAAGCTATAGTGTTCAAGCCTCATAGAAGGGAGTCGGGCTCCTCAGCTATCCGATCCTTACTACAGCTCCAGGAGGGCCATGTGGCTCGGGCGGTCCCGTTGGCCCAGGAGGCCTGGTAGAACCGGTAAATGCAGTCGGGCCTGATCTCCTAAAAGGCCCAGGGTGCGCCATCGGGGGTAGGTGTCCAAACCGACCCGGTAATCGAGGTGATGAATCTGGTGGTGAGTCTGATGGATCGGACGAACTTGAATCAGAATCGTGCCTGAAGAAATAAACGTAAAAGACGTGAGCAACAAGGCCAGTTGCAGTGATAACTGGAATAGTTTGACCTGCAGTTGATGCATCATTAACGTCGTTTATGTTGTTCCATTGAATCGTAAGTTCCGTAGCGATCACAACCACGCTAGCTACTATAAGATTGAGCACAATTTGTAGGACCTGTAGGCGGAATACGTGCTCCTTGCTGTGCCTTAGATCAATATGTTGCGTAAACACTCATGTTATTCATCCAATTACCCATCCAAAGGAACACTGGTGCTTGAGTAGATCAAGATAGAAGACACAGACCTTGCTTCTTGCGTATATGCTCTACTGATTCGATCTTGGAGCCAATGCGGTCGTCGTACTATACCAACATCCAAACAGAAATACCCGAAGCAGCATATGAGCAGTATGATATTGAAAATGACGTTCACTGCAATGAATGAAGGGCTGTATAGGGAGACCACACCAAAGAAAAAGCCATATTGCGGGCAGTTCGTGGCAGCTGGGATTCTGTGTATCCCAGTAGCCCAAAACCATAGCTGGAAAATGGTTTCCGCAATCAACAGGCCGAAATTCAAGACGCTATAAATGCGGCTAGGCTCAACTCGAGGCCAAACGGAAGGGTCCAAACGCGAGTTACATCCAATGACTAGGCGCCAAAGGAAAAGAGGCACCAGCCAGTAGAAGGCCCCATAGGTTAACAAGAGGATTATATATATTTCAGCTGGCTGAAGAGTCTTCATTGATACTTGGATAGCAAGGGCAAGAAAGGTTGCAGATATGAAGAGGGCGTTGGCTAGTCTCATTCCATTCACCTCTTCTTTGGCAAGCCATGTTGCGATAATAGGTACCATACCACTGGAGATAAAATCCAATTCGAATACCAACCCCATACATATCCGAGTTGCCGTTTATTTGACAGGACATTTTGACGTGAGAGTCGTTCGACTCCTGTATTGCTGCAAGTACGGTAAAAATTATGGACAAACATGAGAATCCACTCTACTTTCATTTTTCTCTTACGAGGCGATAGTATTAATACCTCGTTTTATAGCGTTGCATTGCATTATTATGCTTCGTCGATATCGTAGAGTTCCGAGCTGAATGCATTAGTGCTGAAGCATTGCATATGGCATGAAGGTAAGGCTACCTAGGTATGCGAGCCCAACTTCCTTTACCCAAGCAAAAATTTGAAGCGAAAGGTATCCCCGCTATGGCGGTATAGCTAGGCCTAATATCTAGGTAAATAAGCCCCTTTGTGTAAAAAATACATTGTGTGAGGATTTCTTTTGTCACATCTTAACTAGGTATCTAGTCATTGTTCTTGTACAACCGGTGACAGTGCTATTGACTTACAACATCCCTTTGACAACAAGATAACAATTTATTACACCAAAGGAAGCTACAGTAGTATTGGATATCCTAGTTAGTCCCGCGACGCACAGGAGAAAGAGTCGGTAAAGAGAAACCCGTGAATAACATACCTAGGTGGATTTCTCTTCATCTCAAGACTATAGCCCCTTCCAACTTTGGTGACTTTGGAAATGAAAGATTTTTCGTGATATGACCAAGTAACTTCATTGATCTCTATCCGAACCACATGCTGCCTTGTTCCAGACAAACCCATTGTCACCGTCTGAGGTATTCTGTCCATTTAAACACCCAGTTAAGTCCTCACCTCTCTTCGAGCCAGATGCTCTAGGTTGAAACATTAACAGCAGGGTCTCTCGATTTCCAAGCCAACCTAAGCTGGCGAATTTCCAACTTCCACTCTCGACATATCTTCCTGGGAAAGATAGTGCGAACGAGAGACGGAAAAAAAAAGCCCACAATGGCGCGACCGCCGGTGGTAGAGCTATGGCATCAAATCAAGACAGCCATCAAATGGAGTAACCGGATCATCCTCATCGCCGTATACAGTGCTCTCATAATCGCACTCATCATAGTATTCCGGGTATGGGTCGGCAGGTTCCTCGGGTTTTTACGGGGGGTCATGAGAGATCTGCGCGATATCATCGTCGCCGTACTCCAAGAACTACCGGGTTTATGGAACCCCATAGAACAGATAGCCGTCGGCATGGCCGAGGGTTTACCCAGAGCCATCGGCCTGGCCATCGGTGGCATGGTGTTCATTATGAATCTGTTAGTCTTCTTAGTGGCGCTGTATTTTATCACTGGTAGGACAATCAAGGATCTGATGGATCCGCCAGTACCGATACCCTGGGAGGAAGAACGTCGTATAGGCCAGATCTTTCACTGTTCACAGCTGGAGAGTAGGATACGGTATCGATACAAAATCGACGGTAGCGTCATTAGAATACCGGATTGGATATACGGATGAGTCGTTCTGGAGTGTACGGTGTAGTATTTGAGTATGTATCATCGGATAGGATAGATAAAATAGGGTATATGAAGGAAAAGAAAGTAAATTTAAATGCCCCCCATATGAACGCCATGCTGTCGAAGAGCTGGTACTCGAATTCGACGTTATGCTGATTTTCGTGCTTTCCGAATCATGAAAATGCCATGCTGTACCCCATGTGTTATTAGCTTCGTGTTTAGAAACCCATCTCTTCGTCACTTTCATCGTCGCCGCCGCCGTTAGCCCTCTCCTCTTCTTCTTCCCTCCTGCTCACTTCTGCGCTTGCGCCTAGCTTCCTCACACCCTCGATAACACCCAATACGAACCCCCTACTCTCAGCCAACTCCATGGCCCCGACACCTCGCAAGTTGAGTACTCCACTGCCGCCTTCGAGGTGCACCGTACTTCCCCTCATCTTGGCAGCGCGTACTTCTTGTAGATCTCGCAGTAACGCCCGGACTTCAGCAGCATTCGGTATATCGTCCGCGGCATGGGCTAGTAGTGTCTCGGACAGCTCTAGCCAGTGGTAGGGAAGATAACCCGCGGGTGCTTCGTTGGTACACGAGGGAAGAAAAGGCGGCGAAAGAACCATATCCCCTGGTTTTACATCCGAAGATGCTTGCGCAAACGGTCTGGCACCTCCTCTCCCATCGGATCTTGTAGGCGGCGGCGGGGGTGGGGAGAAGGCTTCGGGGTCGATATTCGTTTCGTGGTTTATGATTTCCTTAAGCGAGTCTGGATGTAACCAAGGTGGGGGAACGATATTCGCGCGACGTTGTTTCTTTAGTAATAATGCTAGCCATAGCGGGAGTTGAGCGCGATGTGGTGGTCGTAGTGCTGGGGTATTTCCCTGTTATGTTGCTGTGTTAGCTTTCGAGGATCGCGAGATTAGGGGACTCGATAATGACGATGGCGGGGTGGTGGGGTTTGGGCCTTTACACTAAGAAGAGGAATTGATTCGAGCCTCTGGCGTGGAACTACGGTGACTAGTTCCATTTCGCATAAAAAAGCCACTTCAGCCGGTACAAGGCCGGGAGGCAATGGGAGGGCCATCAGGAGGTGTTTTGTCGAAGGGTTGGTGAGAGTTGTACCTAAAAATTGAAAAGTTAGAAAAGAAAACGCGACGCTGCGACTGCGATTGACAGCGGTAAAGTTGACGCGCCCTCTAATTGGAATTAAAAGGAAGCTCTCTGATTGGTTATAGCCCCACTAGTTAGGGGGTGGGCTCTATTAAGCTAGGTCCCTTAGATACATCCCGCGGCACCCAGGTAGATCATATTAATTTACATGAAATTATTATTCGCACATTCTGACATAATTCACCATTATATTTGGTAGTCTATTCTATTGGAGCTAAATAAGGTATCTTAGGTATAAGGATGAGCAACCAGCACCCTTCCGACTGACTTCATATCATATTTACGCGAAAATGCGAATGGGAGCTGGCGGGTTGTTGAAGCGAAGGTTGACGTTCAAAGCCGAAATCTGCTTAATCTCATCCTCGCTCAGATCAAACGTGCTGGACTCGAGGTTTTGCTTTAGACGCTCCACGCTGTTTGACTTAGGAATGACGATGATACCGCGCTGTGTGCACCATCGAAGTAGGACTTGACCAGGCGACTTTCCATGCTTGGTGGCGACGCTCTTCACAGCATCAGTCTCGAATAGCGGCTTAATTGTCTTGGCTACAGCATGGTCCATCTCGAGGAAACTCTGCGGGCCAAATGTCGAGTAACCGGTGACAGTGATGTTGTTCTCCCGCGCCAAGGCGATTAAGTCAGGTTGAGTCAAGTAGGGGTGGTGCTCGATCTGCAACACGCTGGGGTGAATCTTTGCATATGACAATACGTCATATATCAGTTGAGCTTGGAAGTTTGATACACCGATGCTCTTGACGAAGCCATTAGGGTTCTCTTTTGTTTGTACCAACTCCTCTATCGCCTTCCATGTCTCTTGGATAGGCACCTGCTTGAAAGGAGTGACCTTGGTTTGTTCCTTATCACTCCAGAAAGCTGGGTATCTGAGTTGCTCGTATGGGATGAATTCTTGTGAGACGGGGAAGTGAATTAGGAACAAGTCTAGGTATCCTAATCCCCAGGCCTCATTCTCTAACTTGGCCATCTCATGTGCGCGGTCGCGGGCGTGGTAGTTGTTCCATAGTTTGGAGGTGATAAACACATCCTCACGTTTTACGATACCCTCCTCAATGGCGCGTCGTACACCTTGCCCCGCTTCGGCGCTATTGCCATAATCCCAGGCTCCATCGATGTGTCTGTACCCCAACTTGATAGCGTTATAGACTATTAACAAGGGAATTAGACAGTCAATTCTTTACCTTTAAGCATGACAGAAGTATGGGGATTATTAGATGAGCATACCTTGGTCGGCGCAAGTTTCTTGAGGCACTTTCCAGATACCAAAGCCAACAATGGGCATTTCCTACTATCATTAGCTCAAGCCACTAAAACGTCATAAGTAATCACTAACATAGCCAGAGGCCAACTTGACGGTAGGTGTCTTGACTGCCATATTTATTACAAGTTTACGGATTCGGGTTATTCAAATAGTCTCAGAATTTTGAGTAGAATGTTGAATAGAGATCGAAAAATAGTGAGCTTGAAGAAGGATGAGGGGTGTTCAAATATTTGTTGACATATTCTACTTTCCACTTTAATGCCTCCCTCCCCCACTGACTAGAGCTACCTACCTAAACTGCTAAGATATCCCTCGCTATACACTTCATAATGAGGGGTCGAAGGACAAGGAAGGTCAATCTGATTCCATCCATGACGTTTGCTTTGTGTACAAGCTTACAAGATTGCAAGCCCACCAAGCCTCAGTGGGGCTATGCGCACCAGTTAACGATTTAGGATACCCTCGCCCGCCCCGGGTCTCCTCCGGGCCTTTCGTGGGGCATCCGGTCGCGGTGAATAATTGCGAAAGCACCCCTTGTATTCGTCACAAGCCCCGTGCTTCAAACATCCTGATGCGCTATAAGCGAGCCAATGAAAAATTATCGGGTGCCGGAGGATTTGGCGGTTAGGTGAAGGGGGCGAAGCCTGATCCGATTATAATCTCACTATTACTTACAATAACTGGTGGAAATAAATCAGCATCATGTTTACTAATGGCCGTCGGCGTGTGAGTAACTTGCCGAGTTGCATGACGAAAACCGGGACTAAGAAGCAAATTTGAAGAGGACAAAGAGGTACTCATTAATTCCGCGATACGACTATGAAAATAATAGAATAAATGTGCATTTCGTACCGAGGTAATCACCTACCTCTTCAAGGAGTATCCTAAAACCAAATCGGGTTGCCTCCTTTCATGTTATTGGTCAATGTCAATTGTCTATGCCACTTTCCTACAGAACCAACACCGCTAACTAAGTCGTCTGCATACACCTAACGCATAGCCTAACTCAATTAAATAAGGGTTACCTAGGTACCCTTTCTTTCTATTCAGCACGCAGTGTATTGCCCATTTGAAATTGAATTGGGGAGCCGGCATTGTAACTAAAGGTGAAACCTGGATCTCTCATAGACATTCAGTCACTTCCACCAACCTTGAGGCTTTCTAGTACCTAGTATCCTACAAAATAGAGTAGATGCTCTGGCGACCCCTTTTCTAATCGACTGTATCTAGGTACTGATTTATAACCAATTTTCTCGTCTTGAAGAATATCTCACCCCCCACGGGGTATTGGCGTGACCATGGATTATACTCATCGGATTGAATTAAACGCAAGCGAAAGAAGTCATGTAGGTGTTTCCAGTTGGGAATGTTTGTTTAGCTTCATTCAAGTCCAGTACACGCGAGTGAGGTTGAATGAACTTCTGTAAGTACAATATCTAAAGGAGTAAACGTGGTTTAGAGATTTTCAGTTTTTCCCGAATGTGTTCTTGTTGGAAAAGATACCTTTAGAACGACGTTCGTCTCATGTCGGGCTGTCCATATTAATCAGAATAATAGTCAGAACATTGTGATATCGGTAACGATCATGGGATCTCGTCATGACTTAGGTCGTGTTGTCTGCGGCCTTTCCGAGATGGTATTTTATCATTTAAGCATGCTTTGCGTTTCCAATTCGGTTGAGTTCTCTTCGACGATACATCACGAACAGAGACCGAGACCTACCTAGGCAGACAATCCACCATACGCGCAATATCATTACGAGTCCAACATGTTTCATCCTCTAGTACTGTCCCGAACGCCGCCTTTGCGCTAAATCGACATATGGTCCGTAACCGAGCGCAACGATCGCAACGGGGACGAACCGGCACCCCCGGTAGACGACGAGTCCATATCAGTAATAAGACTACCCGGCAATAGGGGCTGTCTAGGTTATACCCCGACGGCTCGGTACCAGGAACGAATCGTAAGAGCCGCTTTACAGGAGCATGTACACTATACCAGAACATATGGCGCCCCACGTTCGGATGGTGTATGGCTGATCTTCGTCGACGGCATGCGTTGGTTCCCCCGGATACCGGGTACAACGAAATACTTCAAAATCGGCGTTAGCAGTAACGAATACGTGGTCCATTTCATCAACGGCGTGGAAAGAGATATCAACGAAAGGCATGTGTATGCAGGCGGCCACAAGGTATACGAAAGACCTGTCTTCTCCTACGTATCGCAGAAGCGCACTCCTAAAAATAGGTTACATCACTTTCCCAACTATGCTCAAGAGATTAAAGTGTACGTTAAAGATGACCGAAACGAGCAAATGGTTATCCACAATGGGAGAATGATGATGTGGTTGATGGGAAGGCGAGAGAATGTACCTCTGAAGTCCTTGGAGCTGCTAAGGAAACACTCTCATGTGGTTCTAGGTATGGCACGTCTGGAATACTTTCCAGCTTCTCACCCGGATGGGTTTACGGGGATACCGAAAGATACCAGGGCAAAGCTTATGCACATAGCAGGGCAATGGCCGTATCGAAGTATCTACGAGAGATAGTCCCTCTGAGCTGTCTCTCGCTTCCTTTTGTTGCTGATTCGGTGTCGTTTCCATTGATACGTGCTGACAATCGTCTCTTAGGAGTCTGACTATAACACTCTGAGAAGACATACATTGAACGTATAAACCCAAATATAGATGCTTTTTTTTTTAGAAAAGAAAAGAGAAAATTCCCTACCTACCTGATCTGTACTAACTGCTTAGCTTAATTAAAGGCCATGTTCAAGTCGATTGGTTAAGCCAAAACTTAGGTTGGCTCTTCGCACCCGATTTTGGAAACAATCCAGAAGTAGACAAATATTCGAGCCTGCGCTATACTAAAGCATCAATCAGGTGATATGCAAATTGCTGTTAAACGATAAGGCACGATAGCTAGACCGCTCGAAATATGTCTTAAGAAGGTATCGCGTCAAGCGTTTTCGCGATGATGTTGGACCTAATGAGGCTCAAAGAGACGCCGATCGCTGGGCACTGACTCGTTATCCACGGAACGGTATAATTGACATTCGACCTATACACAATTCTATAGTGTAAGTACCGTACTGGACAAAAAGATAATAGAATTATAATATCATGGGTGCGACGCAGGTTTCAGAAGCTTACCTAACTGATCTAGAACCCCTTTCCTTTCTTTTACCTCAGCATCTTCTCATCCTGGCGAAACACTAACAGCCGATATCTCTTGAACGGTTTGGGGGCACATAAATTACCTATTAATATATAACGTGAGTGAGTGGTTTTCTATACTATTCGCTTTTACCCTGAATTCCTATCTGAGGTTAGCGGTGCTCCGGTCTGACAGGCTATTATCCAGTTGTGACGGTTCGTGCCTGGGACGATCGTTCGAGGTTATCGGGCTATGCTTTGCTGACGTTACTCTTATTATTTTTCGCGGAATCTTTCCCCGACCGTCTTAATATTTCTCCTGGCCCGAGAGGCTGAAACTGCAGTTCATTTTGAAATCAGACGGTTGTTTCTTGCTATTTTTTATCTCTATCTCGTCATGTTATGATATTAGACCTCGTGAGACGTGACGGATTGTATGTTGTAAGGTTGACAGATTTTACAGCACGGTCAATTCGGATTTCCCCCTGAAATCTCCTCCTGATTCAGGCATCCCCCCTGTCTACTTAGCTACCTAGGTACGCTTTTCCCCCCCGCAGACCAGGATCCCGGGTAGCTACCCTCCGCGTCTTGGGAGCACTACGCACTACTGTAAGCCCTGCCGCTCCCCGATCCACACCAGCTAAGGGAGAAGGGGAACAACGGAGAGACCCCTTATTCAACCACATAATGCCGACATACCTTTGCCACGGTTTCCGTTGGCATCGCCGAAGTATTCGGTATTTTGTTGTAATTCAGAATGTCGACGAAGCATCCCCCGATTGGATAGTCGCGCACCAGAGCTCCGTCGCGCTGCTCGACCAATTCTACGAGCTATTCGACTTCTTACCGCCCTGCTCCCATCCAGTCCGAAATCCGTTTCCTTTGCCTACTTACGACCCGATACGACCCCCGACGAGCAATGGCCACGCGCATTCGCGCACGCGATCATACGCTAGTCAAGGGAATAAAGAAAAAGACATAATATTCGAAAATGGCGATGCGAGGAATACTAGCAGTCAGCCGAGCACACGATCCAATCGGAGTAAGTCCGTGGGCCAACCGACGGCTACGAACACGATATACGAAGATATGATATCACCATTAGAACCGCCGTCTCCGGTCCTCGACGAGAGTATACCGTTTAATGACTGGTCTGTGGTAAAATTTATAGAAGAGTTCGACCCGACGGATTTGTCCGTGGTTAGTGGACCATGGGCTTACGTGGCGGACTACGTAGTGCGCATAGACACGTCGGTCTCGGTTACGGAGGAAATAAATCGTTATGAGGCACGAATGAAGACTCATCCTTATAAATCCATGAGCGGTGCGAGCGACGAGGGTGGACGCAGGATAAATACAATTGGCAATAGAAGGGCCGGTTGGTTCGAAAAACTACGTGATCAATTACAAAGAAGCGAGAGTATACGGTGGTACGTCGTCGTTTGCGGGGACGAGGAGCGCGCCGGGGCTGAATTAGAAGAATCTGAAGAGGTGGAAAACAAGACAAATGGCCAATCTTCACGGCAAGGTCTATCTTCAATTCGCGGTTTCGTCGAGAATGGATTTGAATTCCGACTTCCGGAATTCCTAGTATCGTCACCGCGGACATCCGAGCAGGGACCGAGACGGCGGAGAATGAGAAAGGAAGCAGCTAAACAAGACTCAACCGCACCAGCTGTAGGTCAGCAGCAGGCGATACCTCCTCCACCCGCTCCAATTCAGGTTGTTCATAAAATGCCGGCGGATAACGGGGTAAAACACAAGAGTTCCTTATCCAGCGGCGGACTCAGAAGATTGTTCTTGAGGCGGAAACCAGATGGTCCAACGTGAAGCATACCTCCATAACACGAGCCGTGGGTCCATCCTACCTTTCCACATATATAAGGCCCTCGGTACCCCAGAGCCAATGCAAAGGACCCTACCAAATGGTGCACTATTTATTGCCGAGACCGCCATTATCATGTTCGTGCCATCAGTACTAAGCTACTGTGTTGAGATGGGTTATGAGTGAGGATGGGAAACGACTCATACACTACGATAGATTCTTACGATTGGCAGACCGCGACCCAGGGAGTACGAGCCTCGATATCAGTGATGATTTAAATGTATTATACGGGACCACCATATGATAATGTTCTTACGCATACGATCTATCCAAATGCGAATGCCAGCTATGAAATATGATTATCTACTACGTTCTAGGCGCAAACTTCGGGCGCGGGCAACTTCTAGGCACCATATACCCGTACTAGTTTGCCAATGTATTTATTATACGCTATCTATATCTATTTATTGGTATCATGGATGTATAACGGTATTTGGTGGTTTGGAATGAATCAATCAGAATCGCTTTAATCCTCATGCTTCTGTTTAGAAGTCCTCAATCTTCGCATTGTTGTGAAGGATGAGTATGGAAATTTCCCATAGAGTCAGTCGTCATCGTCCTCGATTTCATGGACACCGTTGTTCGATATGTACAACAAACCGTGTCGATCAAGTACAGATCTAATACCCGAGAGTTGGTTCTCCGTAAGGTATGTGAGCCGATGATTTGGTATATAGTGGATGTGCTTAAGGCTGGGTATATCTCTTTGGCATGCGGCAGCAAAATCCTTCCGCAATGATTTTTCCACGTGGCCCTCCAGCCTTATAGCAGGAAACTGGTTCCACCACACTCGGATGAGATCCATCCGGACAAGATTCGGTGACAACCTCGTTGCTATCACATTCTCACGTTTAATGTCCGGCCCGAACAGCAGCGGTACTTCAATTGTCAGCTTTTCTAGCTTTACAAGGCTAGGAAGACAGTCCAAGCGTTTCGACGGTCCCAATTGGCTCGGAAACCAGTCATTTAGACAGGCTCGTATCTCCAGAACTCGCAGAGTGTTGGCTCGTAGAGCTATCGCTTGGCTAAGATTCTGATATCGGGGTGGACTAGGACGAACTACGTTGGGTTTCGTTATGATCAACGATAAATTCTCCAGACGGATAGTATTTTCGCAGACGCGAAACAGTTCAACGGCGTCAACTATAATGTTTAGAGTCAGCAATATCCTCCCTATCATAAAGCATACTGCTTACTGCATCCTTCGATTTTCAGTTCCTTGAGTCTCTCCATCTACGAGAGCTCTATGGAAAAGGCATGATGCCAAGACTCCCTCCAGACCTGGAGACAGGTAAAGTCTCCAAGACAAGTGAACCCCAAGGGTACTGATAAGCTGCGCGTGTTGTCTCTTCGGGTCCGTGAGTTTCTGTCGTGTTGAAGATATAAAGTCGAAAATTTGCGAAGAACCGCCCGCTTTAAGCCATCATATCTGTCTATTCCATTCATGATTGCGGATAGAGTAAGATAGTCGTCATTTTCGGGTTTACAAAGAAAAAGGGACTGCAGGTTATCAGAGAAACATAATAGAACCGCTAACAATCGCTCGGGGAAGTAGTTGATCAATTCCCACTGCTCTATACGAGTCCTCCCAGTCCTGGATTCGCGGCTTAACGGACCAAGCATCGCATTTTCAAAGATCAAGCGTTGGAAGCTGGAAAGGTCATCCTATGACGGGTAGCCGTAGTAGAGAAAGGGCCAACGTCTGCAATGTTAGAGTGTTAACATAATTTACTCCTCAGTATTTATTCCTTTGGGAGAACTGACAGGACTTCGGGATTTCGAGGGCAAATCTCGCCGTGCCACCACCTCGTGTTTCCTAATCCCGAGTGACAAATGATGTGTTTGATGAACCCACCTATCTCAGGGATCTCGACTACAGTGCGGATCAACAACTTTAATCGCTTTAGGCCACCCAAGACCGAGACGAACCCTTTTCCATAATTTACTTGGTCTAAGAAGAAGATGACAGTTCGATACAAGAAAGGTGTTGCAAACGCATTGAGAATTTTGCTGCTAAGACAGAGGTTGTAGAGAGTGTTACGATTCTCCCAGTATCCTTCTGGAGGTAAATAATCAGCCACATCGCTCACCGCAAGCTGAAAATATTTAATGATATCTAATTTAATTTCGGCAGGAATATATATTCGGCTGGGTCTCTGGGAGGGATTCGGCTCCGCCATGGTCGGAAGATGATATAGGAACTAGTAATGGGGATAGAGGTATGGTTGATAGAAGATTGATGAAGTTGAGAAACACTGAAACTGTAGTCTCGAAGAGAATTCTACATTACCTCTCCATGCATCTAAACATGCTTGAAAGGCAGGTACCATCACATCATATTTTGAGTGCGCATATGGCTCTAAACAGATTCAACATACCTAGGTACAGATTTAATTCATACTGAAGGTGCGGACGGATAAACCCTCAATTCTAACTTCCATCTCGCCTCTATCGCCATCCTGCTAGCTACTCCTAGCACAGACACTCTTTCTTTCTCATCCATCTACCTGCTCATCCAGGTCGTTATCTCTCTCGCAACATCCTCCACCTCAATTCCGAATAGATCGCCACTCCTTTACACAAAAACATCACCATCCTAATCACTCATCCTACAACCCCCTATCTCACACAACCATGCACATCTACCATCTTATCTGCAAGCCGTAACATCATCACACAGGACATATGCGCACGTGTCTCCGTACCGCACATCTACATTCCCCGGCTATACCCAACTCGTCACGAAATCCGGGCATCCACCATCACCGGTCTACACCTAGTTCCGCTGGGAACATCCTATTTTGGTGTAAGATAGACTCACCGGTGAAGCTTAGAGCCGACCCGCATTTCCGCTCGCCTATGGGAGAGGAGCAATAAAATCTCCGAAGACCGCTACTGCGCTCCGCGAAAAGGGAAATAAAATAAAAACTTATCTTGTTCCTTTGAATCCTTTCCCGTTCCTGCTGACATCAAAATGCCGCAGCTAGGCTAGCTCTAGTGTAGGAACCCCGGGGAGGGGAACCCGGGAGATGGACTGGGGTTGTAAGAGGGCCCTGTACAGGGAGGAGACTCAGGGCCTGCGGAGCCCCCGCATGAGTTCCTGGCGCCCTACCTAGGATCTAAGTCTTTTTTTTTTTTTTTTATCTCTTTTTATTCTTGTTTTATTTTTGTATATTTTATTTTATTCTCATTTTCCATGAACGGTGTATCCAAACTTGTATCGGACTCTTTCCATATTAGGCACTTGTGAATAGGCGCTTCTTGTAACCAGAACGGAAGCTTCCAAGAAATGTATAAGGGTGAGTCTAACAAAAAGCTGCTCTACCGAGGCTTCACTTGAAACCCTGGAGATCTAGATTATGAAGTCATTCAATTGCATCTCGCTTATAACCTCCCACGTGCGGGAGAAACGAAAATTGACCCCTCGTTACGGGGCTCAGCTTGCTCAAAATAGCACATTGTCTTTATGAACCAAAGTGGGTAATTGTATAAATAGAAGCACTCATATTATATATATGTAAAAGTCGATTGGGTATAGATGACGCCGTAGTTGTCTCAACTCATTAATTTTTGTCATTGCCTCGTAACCCAGGTGTGAGCCAATCTTCCGAGATATAGTCTTCAGCTGAATTTCCGTTGCCTTGATATATTAGCCATGAATGCCGATGTAGCTCTGGTAGTATAGAACGCTTGAAAACGCCGATAGCGCCGAACATGAAACTAACACTTTGCATCCCTCGAGAATGTCGAGATAATACACATCAGCGATGATGAAACAAGAGACATCCGCCGAACCGGGCTTATAGAATAGGTAGTTAGGTATACAACAGCGTGTGGATGAGAATTCCGGGGGGACGAGCCAGCCTGCCGGCGCATCCCCCTTTCACCCTAGGGTCCTCTCTTTGTCTGTGACTTCATCGGCCCTTATGATGTCGTCGTGAGTGGTGGTATTGAGTTATGATGTCGAATTGCGTAGAAAGATGAGAATAGCCGTGCATGTCCTCCCAGGGAGTGCTGCAACGTATAGGAAAAGTCAGTAAGTAATTTCTCCAACTCTGCTTAACAAGAAAATAACTGGTGGTCGCTGCAATGCCCGAATTCAGTAAAAGGGCACTGTTGTTAACAGGGTTGTCGGGAATCCGGGCCGCGAATCCTAGCCATCCCCAGACCAAGAAATTTCCCCGCCAACCACGCCCAACCAGTTATCCCCAGAATGCAACCCCAGAGCTGTGCAGCGCTGCCAAACTGTAGGAGTGTGCTACTCTGGCCGTCCTAGGCCTTTCAACGGCCTTGTTCCTGGGGGGTTGTCAATCATCTAAGAAATCAGCCACGGAGGGACTTGATCCCTAGAGACCCGACAAGGCTGAAAAGGACCCGGTGGCCACTCGCACCAAGCTCGCTATGTTGACCTCCCCAGTTGAGCGTCGTATCGCAGCGTGCATGCCCGGGAGAAGTCCTTGTGCAATAGAGACAGCGCATTTGAAGCATAGCCGAGAGTGCTGAAGGGCCATCTTCATGCAAGTGCCTGCACTCGTTCCTAGATACGCGAACAGGCCGGCCCAGACAGCGGGTAAGATATGACATCGTAGGAAGTTGACACCTCTACACATAGACATAGAGGCGGGTTTTCGGATCAGGGACGGGGCATACGATCGTCGTGGGGCTTGAAGCATTCGGACCGGAGATCTCGTCTTTCAAGCCTGGCACTCTGCGTCATTCTTGAATAAGATACATCATCCGTTTAAGAATGTTCGTCTACGGACCTCGGCCTCCTTAATAATTTCGGCCGCCAAACTAAGGCTAGGCGCCAATATGGCCATCCTCTCGATGTCCATAATTACATCATTGATGATTTGGTCGATGACCTCACGGTGAGGGACGAGGGTCAATAGGATGTTTGACAAAGAAGGTGACATAGTAGCCCCCATAACCAGTAATGTTTGAGAAACGATAGAGAGGGCGCCTTGCCAAAGGTAGGGCATATGGCCGGCGTGACTGCGGCCAAATCGTTAGATTGTGTCAATATTTTGAAGAGCCGGGGAACGGAGTATGAGGCTAGGGAAATTGTCCAATCATCGTGAAGGAATTTTACTTACTGTGCAGATATGTGCTCCAATTGCCTGATTGAGGCTTCAAGGCACTTGTGACAGCTCTCCCGCACTGAGGGGTCCAAAACGGCCTGCTCGTTATCGAGGACTGCCAAGATATACGGACGGTAGATAATGGTTCGGCAAGCAAAGAAACGTAATCGTAAGACGGTTTGCACCGGGTCGGGTAGAGTCGCACGGGTGAACGGGAACTGAAGGGCCAAAGGGAGGCTCTCGTACCATTGCGTGAGCTGAAAGTCCAGCTCGGCGACGACGGGTTCCAAACTAGTAGTAGATGCCATCGAGTCCTTAGAGTAGATGAGTTGGCTAACTCGGTTGAGAAGCCTTCTCAATGCGATTTCAGCTAAGAAGTACCAAAGGTCATCTCGGCCAACCGCTTCGGATTCTTCACCTTGGAAGCCACCAGGAAGACCAACATTTTCCTCAAATTGTACTACTCCGGAGTGGGGCAAATCCAGTTCCGCGAGGAGGTCGCTCTCAAAGAGTAGAGCGTTCCAGTAAATGCGCTCTAGTAACTCTCTTTGATCCTCCGGTACCCGTGTCGGCGTCATGAGTAAAAGTTGTAGTTTGCTGCTCACGGTACACAGCAGGTTCCACGCTTCCAACGGCCTCACCAGGTAGAAAAGGTATGCGGCGGCTAATAAATGGCACTGAGCGGCCAAGACACTGTTGGCAGTCATCATACCAGGTAAAAGTGACCATGCAGCTGTGAAATATTGCAGACCCGGAGGATCCTCCTGAGGTACGATCCTTGATATGCTGCCTCGTAAACTCGCCTGGCCTAGAGAAAGCACCAGTAGCACGATGCAGCTCTCGGGACCCTCGCGGAATCCGGTTGATAGCGCTGTACGGTAATGGCTCCTCCAAGTAAAAGGGTTAACACAGGCATACCACACATTCACCCTTTCAAAGTAGGCCTCAATGTAAGCATTAGTATTCGATAAATCAACACACGGTGTTTTCGCTAAAGAATGGAGTGGTTCGCGTGCCATTTCGAGTTGCAGAATAATCTGCGGGTCGTACGGGCGTCCGATCAAATCTCGAATTAACGGCCATTGCAGTAAATGTAGCGCTGCGTTGGTGTGGACCTTTGGCATCGTAGAAATATTAGTTCCTTGGGGGTGGCTTGTCCATGTTCCCAGGCCACCGCTTGGTATTATGGAAACAAAACTTCCAGATGAGTTCTGAATCATGACATTATCGCCGCTAAGAGCTGTGCCATTACTTATAGGCGGGGAATCGTGTGTGATCTGCATAGCATTCGGGTGTCCGTTCGCTAAATTGATTTGAAGTAGGCTCTCAATCCGATTCAGTCGTTCTAGAATGAGCTTGTCGCCAGCGTCAAGCTTGATCCCGGGTTCTCTGTATATGCATTCGGCCCCCAATTCCGTACAGAGCTTACACTTCGGCTTGGTGCCATCACATCTTGATTTCCGGGAACGACAGACTTCGCACTACGAATTGCTTTCTATCAGAATCTCATTCACCCGATCTTTATTGTCACCCAACAACCTACCGCGATTGTGGCCCTCCTCCGGGGATAATCAACAGTCGCATCTGTATTTCTTCTCTTTAGGGGATTGCCCCCTTCGTCGCTCGATGCTTTCTGCATGCCATTGGTGACTTGCTCGGTGCGGACTTCGGTCGTTTGCGAGAGATTCCGGGCCTTTTGTGCCGAGCCCAATATTCCTTCCCGGCTGAAGCTTGCGGTGCGTTGAGCCTTGACAGCCGTCGGGGATTTTAGCGCTGAGCCGTTGGTGGCCGGGTTCAGCTGCGGCGACGGGACCTCGATCGAAAATGTCTCCCTTGAAGGTAGGGGAAATGGTCGCCCCGAATTACTAGCTCCGCCGGCAGAAAGAGGCGAGTCACCCGTGGACGACGGCGACATCTTCCAAGCCAACAGGTCACCGGCGCCTCTACGGGTGAAGACGACGGCAGGGCAGCCTCGCTTAAGTATCGGATGATATGTTACTCGTTTGTATGAAGCCGTGTAACCGGGATCAAGAGAAGCATACAACTTCACCGAGGGAGTATTTAATTACCCAGAGGGCTGTACAGGGACGAGTTTCGGACAAAAATGACGAGAGAGGGTATCCGGTCTGCAAGGCACGGGCAGCGAGCTTGTCATATTTTATGACGGGAAACCGTGGGAAAGATGGTGGATTTAGACAGTGGTGTCTCTCCTCCACATGGTACACACCTGCAGAAGCGGCGCAGAACCGTTGAGCCCCTAGTAAAGAATCCTAGGCCGTCTGGGAGGGTCCAGCGGTCGACTAGCCAGCCAGCCAGAAAACCCCAGATAATTGCTTTCCCATCGCGGTTTAGGCGCAGTGTCGTCAAAAAAGGTATTTAGTACAGCGTAGCACGGTACGTCGCAGCGAGGCAAGGGTTGCATTCTTGGCCCGGCCACCCCCCTTGATTGGAGCCCATCTTCTGGAAGCTCGCGGTACAATACTGTACACCACCCACTTTGAACTTGACGGTTCACAGCACATAGCGAACTAGGTCCCTTAGGATTTGCCATATTTCGTCCGAACGGGATGATGGGCTTGTTCATGGTGATACAGTTTTTAGCATCGAGTTCTATGCCTCGTGCGCACGAGCAAGGCCGGCCCTGACAGCGGACATCATGCATCGTACATCCATACCATGCCCTACACTATGCAGAGACTAAAAAAGAGGAATGGAGCCTCTACTGCGGGTGACACCTGACACCGTTCGAAGCGCCGATATGTATCGACGGGGTTTGGAACTGCAAATAAGCAGATTTCTTTTTTGAATCCCCGCTTCTGGGACTACCTACCATGGCCTCGTATGTACAAATCAGCCCAGCGCATTGGCTAGGCTAGGGTCCGTGAATACATACCTACATACCTTGGTAGATATTATCAAGTTATCGGACGATTAAAACGGTATATACCTCTCTTTCTCATTGATCAATACTATTCGCCGCCCACGAGCTAGTATGATACACTGAGACTGTACGACATCATCACAATATAAAGATATAAGGGACCAAATGGGTGGCAAGACAAATAGGCGAGTATATGCCGTCGCTAATGATGACAATGATGATGACAAGTAGGTACAAAGTACGAAGGATGCACGTTGGAGATGGGATCTGGGGTCCTGCGGGTTGTGACAAGGGCTCGGATGAAAGGGAATATGAAAATTTCCGCGATTGAGGTAGGATCCACGATAGAACAATTCAAGAGAATGTTGTATGTGTATTGAAGTTGAAGAATTCCCACGGATGCCCATGGATGTTGAACAGGGGAAGAAAATAAAACCAAGCTAAACCTGCGCCGGGGATTATTTCATAGCGGCTTGCTTAACCCACTAAGATGCCTACAACACCTGATTTATACATTGCTCGGCTTGGTTAGTTCCCTTTGTAGGTTTAAGCTTGATTCCTATAAGGTTCGTAGTACCTAAATACCTACCTAGGTAGGTACTTAGATACATGACTCCGAGATATCCTTGGTACAAAATAATACACTATCTACATATCCTAGGAATGCAGGAGCGGAAATAATTACCTGTTACAATAACATATTTATCTTATACTATATAGAAGAGGAAGATATTGTAGGCTACTAGATTCGAGTTTGAGATACGGGATGGATTGTCGATATTTAATTTCCTACTCGTACCTAAGGTACAGAGGTTATGCACAGACTCTATAATATGTACCCTACATATGTAGTGCCGTATTCATTGATGTATAGAAAATAAAGATACCGCGGCAAAGGTACCTGAGATAAAGTTGTCATAACCTGCATTATTAGGTACCTAACGGGGTAACCCTTGCCGACTCCATCTTCGAAATCTCCAAACTGGATGCGGCACACGGACATGCGAGATACATACATATGTGTACATGCGGAGGTACTTGAGTACCTTCTTAATTTATGGGTTTCTTTTTCTTTTTTCCCCTCATCATAAAATATGCATATGATTTGTGTTTTTTCATCTTTCTATGGCATCAATTCATATCATAACCAGATTAATATTGCCCACTGTTTTACAATTACAATAGTAAAATATTCCCTCAGGCTTTATGGCATATTTTCAGAATATCCTTTTCATTCAGAAATAACAAGTCGAACTAATATTTACTCCATCCTGTCAGAGTTTCATATCCCGAAGAGGCTCGGACGTATTCCTAGTAGGAGGAAAAATAAGACACACCAGCTATACACCATACTATATCATTCAAAATTATACATAATAAATTATCATATACTATACTATTATCTAACTAACTACAAGTCTCGGAATCCTCCAAGGTCAATGTCAATCGCCGAAATGACCATACCTACCTCCTCATCCTAAGGTGTGTCCCATCATTGGATATCGAAGCTTGTGGCCAAACAACCCCATCAACTTGTTGCTGCGTTAGCTTAATAAACTGACCCAGGGGACACGTGAAGAATACTCCAACTTTGATATATCAACTTGACCAAGTGCCTTGGTTTGTCATTTAACGACCTGAACCGATTTGCTTACATTGTCTCGCTTGAGTCACGAGAACTGGTTCGCCGCAGCTCTTCTGCGACATCAATATAAAAGCGGATGACTATCTCTATTTGTGAAGGTGGCTGACCTTCCTTTCTGGAAGTCTCTTCTGTTTCTTTTACGGCCGACCCCAGGTACCGTACTTCTTCGTTGTCACTTCCGCTAGCGTAGGAGGAACAAGACGATCCCTTCTCGCTACCAGTCAATGCCTTCAACCATCTTTACCTCCATACCTCTGTGCGCAAAGTACTACAAGGCTGACCGAAAAAAGACCATACTGGTTTTACCTCTTTGGGTCTGTACCGGACGAGTTCATCTAAACAAGTGGACCGCACTCTTCAGGCAAACTGCGGATTACTACGGAAGAGGTGACGATCTAGCAGTCTTCTAGGGAGCGCTCGTGAAATGAGCCCGGTTTTGCCCAGCGTAAAGCAACTGATCAAACTGAAACTTATCATCTACCATGTTCGGCTGCCTACCTACCAACCCTACGGCCTACCTAGGTAAAGACATGTATACGGGATTTCTACGTATGTCCTAATCCAGCTCTATATGTTCCCCCCATGTTACCAAGACTTTGGTGCGTGGGAGATAATTACAGCTATCCAGCAAGGCCTTCTTCGGCTGTTGGTATTTGACGGTGACTTGCATGACCATAGCCTTTCAACGGGCCGAATACAGAGATGGTGATAAAACGTGGCGGCCTTGTGCCAACCGCACGTCGCAGGTCAATTCTCAGACAGACATATATCCTTACACTTAATCCTTATTTATAAGATCCGACTAGGTTTAGCATCGTCCCAAGTCCACCGTAGATCATTTCTGCGGGGGAAGGGTTTTTCTGAAGCACGGACGGCTTTTCCCGCGCTGAGAAATAAAACAGGGAGCTTCAAAATTAAGATTGCTAACGTTAATAATATGTGTGTAAGTCTTACTGTTGGTGCTATTACCTGGCTCCAGCCTCAGGGCCTCATTTTACGTCTTCGGTAATTTTAATACGGTTCACCTGAAGCACGACAGAAGCATCGTGGCATAAAAGTATGGCCAAGGGACAATCCTATCTGGTGTTGACATAGAAAAAGAAAGTCATACCACCTTGCCGTAATATTGCAATGCAATATGAACCTTGATTCCCTCAAGGTAACGTCCGGGTATCTCCTAATTGTCATTCTAGTAGATCATATGGCGTCGTATTAGCATATTACTTACCTACCTAAGGTACATCCGCAAAATGTCATACACGATACAAGACTGCCACAGTTTGGAATTTTAGTCACGAGAGCCTAGAACACACCAGTTTCAACACCTACACCACCAATTTAATAAGAGGCCGTCCTCTATAAACTGCGCTAATCCTCTCATAGCCCCAGCCCCCTAGTAATTGTAGGTACATATGTAGTAACAGTTACTATGCAGTATGTCACTACATGCTAACACTCTCATATCAACTTAACTTCTTATACTTGGTGCCAAGACGCGCACTAATCTAGTTGAGTGGGCATTTGGTTGCATTCACAAGCATCGTCGACCTATGACGGGACTCGTACGAGCCGGTCCTGTGCAGGCCACAACCTTAATAATCTCCAGCATCGTGAGTTTACTAAACTAGTCGAGCCGGTCGGAGTTGTTCCGTAATGGGCTTCAAAATAAACAAGACACTATCTCCAACCCCCAGATAACTAGCAGCCTAGGTAGGCAGGCAACGTCCCAATATGTCTCACCTTGCGATTAGCCCACATTTTCACAATGACATCGAATAATGATCCTATACGGGAATAACTCTGCAATCCTGGAAGGGGGATCGACCGACCGGATCTTCTGTACATCTGCTCAGCCTGCTCGGACTCCTTGCTAGCCCTTGCTTTTGCCTTGCTACCTCCCCAGACCCCGCATGCGCCAGCGACGTATAGCACAACATAAGCAAGCTCAGTAGGGGTAGTATTCACTAGAATTTAGAGTCTAAGATAGACCCTCTCTCCTGAGTAAGTCTACCTATGAGGCTCTGTACCATGAGCAGGATTCATTCGGGTCGACCAACCAGGTTCGAGGACGATACCCCATTTCGTCGCTTGCACGAAAAGGGGAAGGCAAGAAAAATAAAATTATTATGAAAAAATAGGAACGATCGTGATAGCTGCCGCCCCGGCATCTGCAAAGAAGACGCGCAGGTAAGACAAAAAAAAATTCCACGAGAGGCCGTGCACTTTTTGGGGAGACTACTAAACGAGTGCAACGTCGGCATGATACTTGACATTCAACAAATTTCTTTCTCCAAGAAACACACGATCGAAGTCTAGACAGAGACAAGAACTTCTGGCCGAGTGAGTCGTCGACGACTTAATCATCCGGCCTAAAATAGTATCCCGTATACCTTATCGAGGACTGAATACTCCCCTTTCTGTCTTCAATGCTGTACTACTTTGGTCCTGTCAAAATAAAACCGCCCTGCCAAATTCGTTACGTAGCATGCCGATACAAGACCTACATATCAAGCTTTCTGGTACCGTTACCAAGCGCCGCAGTTTGCCATCTTGGGGTGTGACCAGGTCACTAGTACAAGCGCGAACCAAGCTGTAAGTCATCTGGGATGTACGTACGTGATGTTAATATATTACGCGATTCCAACTTTTCCTGGTTTTTGACACTAGCTGTCAGACCCAAAGAGAGAAAAAGAACGAACATTTAGACAGGATGGGGGATGGCGTAAGCCATGCAGTCATTGATTCCTGATGTATGTGCATTCCGAGCCGTTCTACTAAACGCTTCCATTCTTGTCGATCTCCCGTCTCCAATTCCCCAAAACGGCTACCAAGCATCTCCGTCGTTGACGTCCTACCGCAACGAGATGAGGTCGACAAGCATAACGACGACACGGCTTACGAATCTATCATACGCGAATGACCTCGCCCCTGATCAACAATTTTCCATACGCAAGCCATATTGTATCCGTTCGCCAAATAAGATACCTACCCCAGTATGACTCTTTTCAGTAGGCGGCTATACCCCGTACCCCGTTCCCAGCTTGGGATATGCCAACTAAGGCAGCCTGCCAGTTTGCCTGGGTAGCTTAAGCTTGTACCTATCCCGGAAAGATAGGTCCTGGGATTTGCTAATTTGGTCGCTAAAAATAAAAAAAATCACACCGGTGGCGACCTTATTATATTGACCTACGTAGACCTAGGCCTCAGGTGTTCCTTCATTCCCCATCCCCTAGCTTACCAAACTTCAGCGCGGCTTACTTACGTGTCTACCTATATTAAAAAATCCACCTTTGCCCAGCTCGCCCCCGCACCGCACTATTGTCTCCTCGCAATTTATATTTTAGGGGCTTCCTTAGCACTAACGCAAACCCCGCAGCACCCCCTAGCACATGTTCATGTCCCCCCTGGAAGGCTCGTGAATGAGGCTCTAGAGATCCTGAAGCGCCTCAAGCAATATTAAATGCATAGTGGAGAGGCATTATAGTGAACCACATGACCTATTGACTGCTTACATGCGACCCGCTTTCTCTTGGGATATTGCTACTATTCGTATCGATCTTGTATATTGACCACTAAGTCTTACTACTACACGATATTACTTCACGATAGTATCCTAGTATTTTTACGAGTCATACGATTTGAATACGTCTCCTCTACCTGTCTATCAATCTATCTAGGATCATGGTCTAGACACTCACGAGACATGCCTCGGTTAGAAAGTATGGTAGTCCTCGCGGAAGATGGCCGCGGTAACTTCGCCTTCGACGTATCCATGCGCGACGTAATCCGTGAACTTGCCTGTCTTCACGTCACGCTCGATGAGAACGACGCGGCCATCTGCCTGGAGCGACACCGCCACTAAATCGCCATCTGCATTGATGGCGAAATGCCGAGGTCCACTGCCGCCTGCTGCGAATTCTTGTACCTTGGTTAGATTTCCGTTCGAGCGATCAATTGAGTACTATAGTATCCGAGGTTAGTCAATTTTCGAAAGACGATATATCATTCGCCTTCCGTCGGAAAAGGCGTAACGGACAGGGGTACACGGTAAGGAAATCGGGGTATACTCACGGTTATCAGTGGGTCCGAAGGGATCTCCGTGCTGTTATTGGGATCGAAATTCGTGATATTGAACGAATTCTCCCAGCGTGATGAGACAATCAGATATTTTCCATCGGGCTATTATCCTATTAGTAAAGCATTCCGACGACGATGCAGATCATAGATATTCAATAGCCTATGGTTGAACTTACAGAGACAAGGATCTCGGCAGCGCCTGTTCCCTCCGGAAGAGTTTTCTCTTCCCCGTGAGTAGGGATGTAAAATAACTCATTGAAGCTAAGGGTATCGTTGTCGTTGTAGATGACCTCATACCCCGTGATTGTATTTGCCAGTTCAGAGACCAAGTAGAAGTACGTCGTTCTCGGAGTTACCGTGAATGCTCCGTGTCTCGGCCCAGAGCCGGGCCGCACAGGAAGGGGTGCCACTGGTTTCAAACCGAGAGTGCTGGCATCTGCTTGGTAGATGCGCACCTGGTCGGCGCCCAAGTCTGGTACCAGCACGTAAGATGCGGTAGGATCTAGGATCGCTTCATGTGGATGTGGTGCCTCCTGTCGCGCCGGGTTGGGACCAGGTGCTTCGAGCGCATAGGTCTCATTAAGCACCAGCGTGAGGTTGCCCTCGGGATCGAAGCCGACGACGCTGACGCTAGAGCCAGAACTGGAAAGATTGGTCAGAGATGACGGACATACATACCTACATACAAGACAAAAAGAATTGGTATGTATGGGGGATGTCCGTGATTTGATATCAAGGACGAAAGCCAAGAGATGGGAGTGGATCGCGAACCACCGAGCAGGTTCGCCGCATGCGGAGGAAGTGAGAGGGAATTGGGCTTACTAGTGTGCTATAGCAAGGCCACGACCACCAACACCAAATTCAGCTATACTAACGGGGCCTTGGATCACATCAAGCTTGTCTAGGGTGGTCAATGTGCCATCATCGTCGGTATAGAACGTGGTCACGCCTCCATAGGGTCCGGTAAAACCTTCATCTAGACAGAAGAGGAGATTTTTGGAATAGTCAAGCGAGAGCCACGATGGGTTCGGGCCACAGCCCGTAGAGTTGGAGATAATCTCAAGGGTAGCAGCAGCACCGGTGGCGGAGTCATCGTCGGGCGTGGTTAGACTGAAGGTACTAACCGTACCAGCATAGGAAGACACATAAAGGAGGGTAGAGGATGCCGAACTAGCTAATCCAAGGGACAGCAGCCCTGCGGGGAAGACACCTTTCCACATGGTTGGAGGCTTCAACTTGTCGATCGACTGATAGAACCAAGTCAACTGACAGGTGAGGATAAGAGAGGCAAACAGAAAAGTCACCCCAACGGTGACTATTAAGCCAACGCCATGAGCTATCGCAATCCGCCCAGACTTTGTCATCATGAATGGTGTCCTCTCCTCCGCCGGAGCACTACAATATCTGTTAACCTCAACTGGTAATCGACCATCGTCAATACCCCTGCCTCTTTTCCTGTCTTGGGTTTACCCGGAGAGACCCTGCACTGCACCCTAGCCCGGTACTGCATGAAATCCGGAAAAATTAGGTGGCCGGCCGAAGTCTCTATACTATATTGGGACAAGGGTCGAACGTGTAGTCCAGTGAAGAGGTGGGCAAATGTACATAGATAGCATCAACATAGACCCCTTTGTTCAGGTCCTTTGGTCGTAGGAATGGGCAACTTTAGTCTGATGCAGGGGTATGGGATGAGAAATTGGAGGAGGGCAGTGAAAAGACAACATAGCATGTTCTCCTCTGTGTCGAGTCCAATGAGCAAAGACGACGAAGTTGGAGTAAGAATCTAGGCTGGTGACACACGGGAGATGGCGTTGCAATGCGGAGGAGAAAAGGTGGAGAGGGACGGGACAGATTATTAGTGAGCTGCTGGACTGGACTTAGAAGATTTGCGGTACAGACTGACAGGGGTATATTAAATTTTTCTTCCTTTTTATTCATGCTGGGGTCGATCAAGGGCTCCCTCACCCCCCATCGATTTCTATTATGCTGTTTTATCTCATCTTTCTTAGCTCTTCCCGGGGCTGATGAAGATTCTCCACAAAGCTCAGACTTCTACGACGACTAATAACGACTCTATTATAATAATGCCTTCGCCGGTGGATAGATCGATCCCTTGCAACAGCTAGATTGTCACTAAGAAAAAATAATATATTGGGCGTGTCCGGAGTAGGGAGAGGCCGAAAACTAGGAGCCTTGGAGGGGGGCATCGCCCTGAAAGTCAATTAATCGTGTCGCATTGCTAAGTCCCGAACGCGGAGATCACTTGAGCTGTTCATGATGTGACTACTAGACTCGAATCAGGTTGTATCTTGCTAGTCTCAGGCAGCGCTTGTGCCATGTTAGGTATCCCGCAATTGGTTGGACTTTTTTATTCATTATCATATCTCAAAATCTTTTTTTGCTATGCCGTGTTTAAATCAAAGACGATTCTATTGCTACCACTCTACGGACTACCCCTGCGTTGCTCTCGAAGATACTACTCCCAGCTACTGCAAGAAAGTCGACATAGTCACAATTGTAACCCTGGCGTAGCACTACAAGACGGGAATGGAATTTGCTTTTTATCATTGCCCAAACCTGGTAATCGTGGGACAAGAAGAGTTATGACCAAGACCTAATAGGGTCGAAAGCGTGCTATTGCTTGCAGAGATGGGGGACCAGGGTACCAATTAACGAAGGTATATCCCCTACAATTAGGGCATTATATGCCTGCATGTACCTACCACTAGTACGTATATATTTTCCTATGCGAGATTTGACCTAACGGAGTATTCATCTCGGGAAGCCACATAGCTAGTATATTCAGGTCTGTCACGATTAAAATACTTCGAAGCCTTAATCAATCCGATATCCGAAATCTATTGTTACCCTCATCCAGTTCGGGCTTTGAAAAGTCGGCCAAATAACATGGATGATGATATTGGTTGAAAAAATCCTTGGGTTTCATATGACCTAATTCCTCCGGAGACGACCATGATAATTCCGTCTACCTTATGTACGCTAAGTCGTATGGAGTTCCGCTAAGTTAGTAACACTTTCAAAGGAAGCTTGGACGACACCATGTTCTGCTCTGACGCTGCACGACGGCTTCACTACAACCTTGTCATAGACGTATTACGACAGCATATATGCGTACATGTAAGTACTGACGCCAACGAGGGAGCATGGAAGAATTTGGAAGCATATGGCCAAGAACTAGTCCACATGGTTGCCAGCCATTCTCAACGCAAATCTTCTCATGTCAGCATACACTGCTCTGTAACTGTGTAACCGTCACCTCCCCCAAAGGCACTGCATTCTGCAGTCCACGTCAACTTCATCTTCTTCCTATTCCCAAACTGAATATCCTGCTTAACGCGTTGGAGATCATCCGTCCTGTTATAGGAACTTAACTGCAAGAATGGAACTGCAATATACCACTTCCCGAGTAAGGAAGATTGACAGTGTCACCTCACCTCGTGGTCGAACAAAATGCAGAAAGGGGCTAAACGCGGTTAAAGGAGCCTCAACCAGAACGCTTCTAGGGCAAGCAATCTTGATGTCGTGTCGTCTTGCTACTGTAGACCATGCGAAGTCAATCCTTTTAAGTACCTAATGACATTTCGGATATTCATCTAATACCGATTCTAAGCCTAATGGTTAAAATGTACGTAACTTTAGAGCATAAATGGGGAATTAAAAAGGCGTCGACGCTTTGGGATTTTGGCATATGGGAGAACGGACGTAGTTGACAGCATCGTACCTAGCACCAATCACCTACAATAACAAGAAACAACTACTAGTTATTTTCAACTTATAAAGTTCAAATTAGCGAGGAGTACACATATTCAAAGCTAACTATTTTTGAAAATTTTCTTTTTTTTATAATGATATATCTCTATTGGATCTGCTAAGTGTTATCCCTGAGCGACACGGGCAGGGTTGATGGCAGAGGCTGTGCTTTTGTGTGGCAGTCAACATTCGTGTGGATTATCGTATACCATTAGGCAAATTAGAGTCGCCCTCAAGGTTCCTTAGGTACCTTGAAAACTGCCATCGACAGTAAGACCCCCGTAGTGCATAGACAGTAAATCCAATAAATCCCGTATCAACCGTTTCCTCGACAATTCACTACTGCGAGCCAGTGTTCGCGAGGAAAAGTAGGTCACGCCGTAATCTGCCGTATGAGATTCATGGTTGACCTCAACAGAGTTTGATATGTGCCTTACAGGCGGACGAGCATTGTGTTGCGGCAGCAGCGTAACACGTTGATGCTAACTTTCTGGTGCGATCTTGGTAGGCCTCGAGTTTGCCCTCTTTAACTTTCATTCCTTAACGTTCTGCCCGAGCATTAAATAAGTTTCGTGCTCAGTGCTCAAGAATGCTGTAGAAAAGCGCCAGATGATATTATAATTTTCGGTGTAGCGACGTAGCTGAGTCTGTCTTATTATCTCCATCTTCTCCTTTTCTATTTTCTTCATAGCTTGAGTAGCTCGCGATTTGTGTCGGGGTATCTCAAATAGCGTAATATGGTATCGCTATCTGGCGTATGAGGTCGTGTCATGTAAGTCGTAGTTCGAGGCTTAACCCAGCAAGCTGACTATCGGCTCCGGCCAGCTTCCCCAAAGAAGAGGTCTGTCTCCTAAGCGGGCGCTGACCGGGGCAAGAATCTTAAGCTTTCGCCTTTTCTCGTCAACGTCAGCCACGTACACGTAGCCCATAACATTCGAATCGTGGATCGTGTCTGCCGAATCGTGGATTGATGCGTAAACAACCGATAAAATGCAGTTCTGCATCATAAGAGACGGCTCGGTCTTCTCGAGCATTGCGTCGCTATATATGTCATCTTCGAGGGCCGCAGATGGGGATACTATATCTATTAGTATAAACATCCCAAGTATAGATAGTGTATAATAAATCCGTACCTTCATTAACTCTCCAGATCGACAAGGCCGAGAAGTCAACTTGTTGTGTAAACGGACTCAATGTGGTACCCGTGTTTCCGAAGAAGTATTCCTTAATCGCTGACTCGCGGACGTGTTGCAGGAACGACGAATCTCTCTCCACGACACCGCCGGATTTATCTAGGCCAACTACGGTTATTGGCTCGTCAAGGGTGGTCTTTTGTCCAGCAAATCTCTTCTGTATCTCGCTACTCATGCGTTCCGAACCAATCACAAGAACGATATTAACAGAGAACTCAGCGACTATATGGGCTATGTGATCATAAGACCCCTTAGCAACACCAACACCTCCTGTATCAATTAACAATCCGGATTTCTTTACATCAGGGTCCTCGGCGAGTCGCGAGGTTGTCGCTACGGCTAGTCTACTTAATATCCTCTTAAAGAGTCGCATATTGCTTTCGGGCTGCTCTAAGCCAAAGGAATACGCGAGCGGTAGCTTGACCGGCACAGCATTTGGTCCACTGCTTGGTGTACCACCCCAAGCGGTTGTAATATCCATGATGGTTGCAAATACAGCGGCACTTAACGAACCCGGCAAAGCAAGCATGCCCTCGTGGCAGTCCGTGTTTACAACGAGTGGTTGGCGGCCCATACGTGTCGCCCACCCTGTTAGCATCTTTACCAAGCTTGTCTTGCCTGAGTTTGGTGGTCCAACAACTAGTACTCGTGGCCCCATTTGCCCTGTCTTCTCTGCGACCGAGCGAAATGCCTCAAGTTTGAAGTGTAAGTTCAAGTAGCTGACCATCGGTGTTTCATCTGCCGTTGGCTCTGAAGTATAAGCATCGTAAGTACCAGTTGTACACGCGATGTCGAGGGTGCATCCATGCCAAGTATTTATCTTGGATTTCATTGACGTAAACGAATAGGTCGTGTTGGGAGCGAGCTCGGTGCCATCTTTCTCGGCGGTACCGGAGGTTAATTTAATCTCTAGGGTCGAGCCGTGAGGGACTTCGAAGCGATATTCCCAAAAAGGTTCGAGAGTCTGTATTGTGCTCGGTGGTGCGGCGGAAGAGGTTGTAGTCGCGACAGCCTGTCGTTTAGATTAGCTAGTCGATCAATGAATGATTCGTGAGGGCAATAACATACAGCCGCTGGTATCTCTCCTAGGCCAGGAATCGACATGGTCGCATTGGATTATGTTGTTGTGGGAAGGAAATTAGTTTGAAAGAGTGAGTTCGAGGAAAATAAAATACAAAGAAAGAATCGAAGTTGGACACCGAAATGCTCAATTCCTCAAAAAGCTCCTACCTAAGCTTACCTAGGTACCTATAGTAGGTCCCTACGTATTTTAAGGTTAGGCCTAGTAGATACCGTACCAAACACTAAATGCAGTGGGTCTATCAGCCTTCCCTGCAGCTTCCATGGCGGGGCAACCAGCTGTACCTATGCAGGTACTTCACGGGGGAAGCGTGGGGTAATCACTGCAACCAATGAACAAATTAATTGTTGTCGCTGCATCATCAGGGTATGTGTATCAAGCTACGACTATTCACTATCTAGGTACTAAACACCTATATAGTGAGTTATATAATCATCCAAGTTTGTAAAGATGGGGGATATAAATTTCATTGCGATCGTAAATAGGAGTCCTATGAGGAATGATTCTCTATATGTAATATTCAAGACAGGATGCAATTGTAATGGGTATCTTGAGGGCATAACTCCGGAAATCCAATCCCCTGAGACGCCACTTGGGCACTTTTTTGTTCATTCCATGCATGCAGTAGATATGCTAATAATATGCTGAATCGTCCATTGCGACTCTCTATTCCTCTAGTTCCCATGCTGACCCCCTTCTCGTGCGAGCGTGTTACTCCGACATATCTTCGAAAATCTTAGCTAGACTTCTAACGCCGAGCAACACATTTTCGTCCGGTCCTTGGCCTGGCTTCCATGCCGCATGTGCGAAATCGATAAGCTTCAGGGTATAAATGTGTGGAAGCTCGAATTCCTCGTCCGAATCGTCGTCTTCTAGTTCGTCAAGAGCTTCTATATCGACGGACTCACAGAGCTCTTCTTCGCTCATACCGATGCCACTATCCACTCTAAGGTTAGAGACTGGTGCTCGCGTAGAACTTCTTTTGTGTTCTAATACGATGGCATCATTGGTTTCTCTCTCCGCAATAGCCTTCTTCTCCGTAATGGCTTCTCTTAATGCTGCCCCATCTCCCTCGAATACGAACAGGAGGCTAGAAGAATACATCCGACTCTCCTCTTTCTCGAGTATTTCTTGTATTCTTCGGAGATCCTCGGCGAATGCACCCGCGATTGTCTTGCCAAGTTCTTTGTCGATACCGGCGGCCTCGTTAAAGATGAACTTCTTAAACGAGTTGACAATGTTATCGTCGTTTACCGAGAACCTACCCCAATCCTTGTCATAGATCTTGAAGCCTTCCTCGTCCAGCTCTGCTTCATCTGTAGACCCCTTGTAGACTCTCATTCCTGCAACTCGAAAGCCGAAATTCTTGTGGGTTGTCTCTTCGGTAATTTTGTTAAACCGATCTTTCTTTTCCGAAGGGGCATCATCTGCCCATAATCGAATGCCTAACTTTGCATCCATGATGTTCGGCTTCTTGTAGCCAAAAGACGCGTTCTCTAATACTACTGCTCGGTCTGTCACGATCTTTCTCGCCTTGTTGGGTATCCATTTGACATTGTCGGAAATGATTTCTTTTTCGACGGGCGTTTCGGCTATAGACGATCGGTCATCGAGATGTAGATGGGACTGGATTTCCTCCTTAACGGAAAATGGGATATCTGCATGTTCGACTAGGTTGGGTATTTGCGCGTGTATCATAGCCTGGTCGGTGGCCTCGTTTAGTGATAAAGTTCCTACGTATAGGGGCATAATCTCTGCGAAGTCTGGGTGTTGCGCGTGCGCCGATTCGTAAAATTCGACCTCGGATTGCGTGCAAGGCTTAATAAATAATTCGCCGTCTGCGTCGCACATGGTTCCAGCGCTATTAAATGATAAAATCAGTATAATCGAGCTAATTAAAAAATAAAAATAAAAAATAATCATATATGGGTATATCTCACTGTCCAGCAACTGCGTAATTATAATCTTTTAGATCGTCCGGTTTGGGCATTCCTCTTTCTCTACTACCGGCACTTTTGCCGGTGTCTCGAGAAACTAACATTTTTGTCGACTAATAATGGCGACGTTGGTGGGAGCGATTGATGATTGGTCTATTTGTTCTGTATGCTTTAAAATGTGATAGGTTCTTTGGCTGTCCTGGGGATTTAATAACTGATAGATGGAAGACAAAGATGGAATGTGGACATGTGGGCTTAGTTCGATGATGAATGAATGGTTGATCGAATGCACAACACAATAGTTTGAAGAAATCAAGTTTTGCGAACAAGAACTGATTGTTGTCGAATAATAGGAGTCGAGGTTATGTTACATGATAACATTTAGACCACGTGTGAGGTATTGTTAGAGTTGTCAGAGGTTGATTCATTGAGGAATCAGGGAGGGTTAATATCACAATGGTGGGACAAGGCAACAATAGGAGTGGAAGGATCTAAGGTGCGAGTACCAGAATTGGAAATTTCCATGTCTCAAGGTTCGGGACCCTTGAAGCTTCGAACATTAGTATCCGACTAAGATCCACAGTTGAATAAAACTTAGGTGCCCAGATGGAAGCGACGAAGCCCGCCTACGCCTGCGCACGTCAGCTATATCCATGTTCATTTAAGTACTTCATTGTGTACCTAAGTAGGTACTCCTAAGAAGGCTACATGCGTACCGCGGGGGGGGGCGACCTCAGCAGGAGCAACCCGCGAACAAGGTTAAAGGAGCTGCATTATTGCGCAAGCCATTTTTCAACCGCAGCAGCAATATGTACCAAATAACAAGATTCCAGAGCTGTATGCACGACCTATATCAAGGTAATGGCGATGCTACTCAACCAGTAAGAGCGCTAGTACTCAGCTCTGCCTTATACGGATGGAACGGCACTTCCACTTTTTTTCTAGGTACATAGGGCGGTGGCGGGACAAAGCCCCAGGTGAAAATACTATCAAATTATTACTGGCTAAGCCCCTTCACATCTGTTCTTGTCGCAACAATTCTCCCCATCCATAGATGTTAATTCGTCTTAATCTGCCTTGAGCATCGTTTCGCCGCCCACGTTAATTGAGTCACGCATAGCGGCAGGGCATTTCCCCCAACCGATTTTTTTTATCTAATAATCGCAATCCATTCGTCGATCACTCGCGTACTCAATTGTGTAATTGGGGCTTTGTTATTCGGATCTTCTGGGTTCCCCTGACGATGAGGGCGGGCAGTGTCTAGGTAGTGACTGGAGATAAATCATGTCCGAGTGCGAACGTCGCCTTTTTAGATTCTTAGAAGACGTGGGTGAGACGGACTGATGCGAGAAATCCGATCACGCCCACGCGACGGCACGATCCCAAACCTAACTCCGAATGGAAATAGCCGTTGGAGGATCACGGGAGGACGTGTCTATCGTATGTGAGTACAGTATTCAGGTATCACAATAAATATATCATATCTATTGCCGCACAAGATTCTCACGCTGTTCCGTCTTAGACATGCTATATCTATTCCCCCCTTCGCCTGTGCTCTAGGGTTTTACAACATGCTACTACAACACGTCACGTTGTGGTCGACTGCATACCTGTGGGTATGACAAACAGTTAGTGTTTGCCAATGGCCTCAATTTTGTCTTTGAAGCATGATTGTTTCAGTCTGTGTGTTTGGGTAAGGAGTAATTACCTAGCAGCAACCCAAAGCATGTACTACAATGGTTTGTGGTCTGCCTTCGATACCTAAGGTCAATATTGGGAAAATAACCTAAGAAGCAACACTTAGGTAACCTACCTACCTAATGTACCCTATCTTCTAGCAGCATCAACCTCACCTGCCTACCCAAAAAGGATATCGGTCAATAACCCTAATTAAGATAGGTAGGGAAAGAAAAGAGCCGCAGTTTATTTTCATTATTGTAACTCTTTCTTGATATTGATATTTATAATCCGGCGTATTTTTCGGTGGGTAGGTCATGCCTGGGTAATCCATGTCTGCATCAAGATATTGATATCGTTCTTTCCCTATGTTCTTTCCACTCGTCATTCAGGTCAAGCGCTTCGCTTACGAGATTTTATTCCTATTAAATTAGGAAAGAACAGCTCAAATAAAGGCAGGTGCAGCTGGCCTCATCAACGCTAGTCATCACCTTTTTATGCATCTCACCCTCAGCCTCAGGTCACTGCCTTGTTTCTCTTATTTTTCCCAGAACGCCGGGTCATACAACGTATTTAGGTACATACTAATACGAATTCAGCCCCATGGTGACTTGTCAGCATTAGCGAATTTTCTATCGCCATGGCAGATCTACCTGCAGATTCGCCAGTCGAATCTGGTAAGGTGCAAGTGACTACGGAAAGCTCATCTCCACAGGCCAACGGGTTCAACACGGTTACGACTACGAGCGAATCAATCAGCGGTCAGTCTGACGCACATCACGAGGGAACAACTACTGTTACAGCTACTGGGATTCTTTCACCTGAACGTGAATGCGACGAGCTCAGCAGTGATGAGAAAGACGCCAATAATGCCCCCGCTACTGAAGGCGCAGACTCAAAAGATGTAGATGAGCCTATCGATGGCGCTGAAGGAGATGTTCAGCCCAATGGTGAACCCGATGCCAAGAAAAAGAAGAAGAAGCGAAAGAAGAAGGGTGGCGCCGCTCGTAAGAACGTTACTGGCTTTGAAGGTTAGTCTTGTACGAGACCACGTAGAGCGAGGTTGTGTCTAACACTCGCACAGAATTCTATGCCGATGCTCCCATGACCCCTGCCGAAGCGGCCGAGGAGAAGAAGGTGGTCTACAGCCCGTAAGTTTCGATAAATTGATTTTTGAATAAATGCAACTAACAACAGTACTGCAGGTCGCGAGTATTTTCTGAGTATGTTTTACCAACATCAAGCCCATGTAGGTTATTTAATGGAACTTCAATGGCTAACCACTTAACATAGCCGCATCGAGGAATGCATCCAACGTTACCGAGCTAGCCGACGAATGGACAGTGAACGTTCTATGGTATTCAATAAGTACCTATGGCTTGGTGGCATTGATTCATCCCCACGTCAGTTTACTGGTTTCGCTGATGATCGTGAGGCGTTAGAGGGGGCGGACAAAGATGAGATCCGCCAGATGACTGCCACAGACTTTGTTGGTAACAGTGGAACCCGTTTCTATGATCCTGCGCAAGCAGATCATTGGTTCATAGATTTCGAGGGCATAGTCAAGGGTTTCCTGTAAGTCATCATTCATATAATTGGATCCAAATGGGATGACTAACAGGCAGCAGTTCTCGTACCATACCTAGTATCTACATGTACGACGAACCTGCAAACCGACAGGCGGCAGAAACCGTAAAGAATTTCCTCAATTACGTCTTGATGCATGATGCATGCCCGGAATATACCGACGACATCTTGGCTGCTAGGAGTATCTGTGATATTGCCCCTATTGAGCTCCGTCTTACTCACGAGATATATCGCGCACTCCCCGGCGACTTCAACGCCACTGCCAACTCACTGTTTTGCGACCGACAAGTGGACAACGCTAACGAAGGCGAAGCCTACGAAAACTTAGTCACATTTCGCGTTACGGTTTTTTCTTCACTATTGGATGATGAGATTAAGAGGAAGCTTATTGACTCCGAGGATCCCACTACTATCCATGTAGTTGATACAAAGGAAGAAACGTATCAGATAGTCAGTACCACTCAGCCTCACCAGAAAGATGTCCAGATGGTCGAAGAACGACTAAAGGAACTTGGCCATCCGGGTAAGGGCAAACCGGCAGGAGTCATTGTGCTGAAACCTTCTTTTATTGATCACGGCTGTGACGATCAATGTCGCACGGATGACCCTAATGCAGAGCCGGAGCAATATTTGCTTGAAAGTGATCTACTTTCCAAGTTTGAGAAGGGGATGAAAACGACCCTCGTCGTATGCGAACTCAACATTGGTCTTCGCTTCATCAAAGAAGTTCGAGATGTTCGCGTCTCATTCGACCAATTTCTACCACAGATGTTGATGGAAAACTGGAAAGATCCCGTTCCCAACACTCGCCCTCCCCCGTCAGCCTCGAATCCCAATGCAGAGGAGAGGGCGCTTGCCTCGGAGGATATTTAGGCGGATTGAAGGTGTGTTGCTGAGCTTTGTAAATTGATAAGGGTGACGACGGAGGCACTCGAGCTCGAATAAGGGCCATGAAGTACGAGTCACGACATCTTACGATACATCCGGTTCCGATATGCAGTAATGGGATCGGATACTTATGACACGAGATGAGGCGCTAGGCATGATTTGCTATACCCAGGTAGAGACAGCCGCAAGGCAATGAATGCGATGAGATTTCGATGCGATAAGTCTATTGGCCTTAGATTATTGACTCGTGTGTTTAGTGCAAGTCCAAGGCGACCTCTCGCCTTGATGAAAGTTGAGGATAGGCTTTATCACTCTCCTAACGTGTATCTACACTGCTTAGAGGGCGCATGATAAATACGTATGATCATCGCCGCCCGTGTATTACTTGATAGCCTTTTTAACAACTTCATGATGAAAGTGAAGATTTAGAAGCTGTAGATCTCGATGCGCTTCATTTTCCGACACCGCAATTCCTGCGTAGGAGACGAGGCGAGGAGGGGCATTGACGAGGGAAACCGTGCCGCTTATCTCCTTGGCGCAAGGAGCCCGCGCCGCATCGCTGCCTACCTAGGCACCTAAGAAGGCTATAAATTCCAAGACCTTGGCCATTCTCTTGCCACGGGCTGGGCGTTCTTGTCACGTTTGCCCAACGTGCATACATAATCCTGCCTCGTTGTTGGTCCCCCCGTTGGGGATATAGTGTATATAAGTTAAAGTGATCGGAGATAGGAAAATTGTTTGGATGAAACTTGACCGACTCCTCACTGCCGGTGAGGCTTGCTTTGGTTCTGCTGGCTGGGCTCTGTTTTTAAGCAGATAAGCTGCGTCCAGCGTTCTGCGTTAGGCAGGCGAGGCCGCTACAGGGTGGCATATTATAGATGGAGTTATAGTGATATAGTACCTAGGTATGTTAGTTTAGGGGGGAGGGATATATCGTGCTAATACCCATACCCCAGCCCATGATCCTAGGCGGGCAATTTAGCTACGTACGAGATCTAAGCTCGACATTCCCACCCAAGACCTTGGCGGGTCTGGTAGAGGTCATTTCCGGATGGTAGAACGATAAATATAATTGGATCTAACCGGTTTCTCGGCGCGGACCGAAAAGAATGGGACGAGTAGGAGTTTTGGTTTGTTTTTTTCACTCACTTTTCTCAAAAGCCGCGACCGTCTTGGGTATTGCATTTCTCTCCACGATCTTATTTCCTGTCGATCTTTTCTTCATTTATTGTTCTTTTCTAATTCTGCCGCTTCACTTATACATAATACGTATATTTCTCCATCACGCTCTTTTTTATATTCTTTCATTAATAATAATTGGTGGCGCCGCATTTTGTTAGACCACGTTATTCGAAGGCCTATCATACGTGTGTGAGGAAGCGCGTTTAGATCTGGAAGCAATTGGGAGGGCGTACGATCTACGATGGAATACCTCCCAACATCGGCGAGCAGCCGGCGCTGGCTGATCGCCAAACTAGTTATGCAAGGATTGTCTTTGATCTTCTGCATTGTCGTCATCGGGCTCAGCGTCGCGACATCATGGGATGGAACCTTGGGCGTGGGAATGCTTTTGATACCGATCTCCGCGGCGACAGCAGCCTGGAATATCGCAGAATTTGTAACCCTTTATTTCAGACGAAAGAGTGCATGCGGCCGGGGAATCCACCCGGGGGCGCATGTTGGGGCGCAACTCGTCATCTTCCTGGTCATGATCCTCGGAGTTTTCTTCGCAGTTTCGCTGTGGAGAAGCGTCTCCCGCGCCCTCATATATTGTAACGAATGGCCGCGCAACCCACGTTCTCCCGATTTCGTTACCCAGAATATTACTATGGTCTCTAGTTACGGGGGGCGGACCACTTCGATTACGTCGTACTACTGCCCCGAGGACTATCGCGACCATATCAATGCCCCGTCCTATCCTTCGACCGTCCGATCCCTTATTGCGTTTACTGCCTTGTTATGGTCTGGCTCACCCCTATCCCGTCGCAATCGATTTTCGTGGTATCTTGCTAACCGGCTAATAGGCTTATACACTTTACACTTTTTGTTCGTGCATGCGTCGAGACCCAGCGCCGAAATAGCGACCGCCCCGCGATGATGATGTACCCGCCTCCATCATGGTCTACGCCGTACGCAGGGACTTATCCTCCTGGCTTTATTCCCCAAGGGCCACCGCCGCCACCAGAGCCAGCTCGGATGAAATAAACGAATTATCAATATCAGTGAAAACTTGCTTTGCCTATCACCCTCAAATCGTTCAGATGCAATAACATAAACCCGCCAAGCTGCACTATGCTTTTCTCGGTCGCATTCGTTGTGATATAAGCGTGAAGATGGAGTTATTGGCGGACGACTTGAAATCATTATACCCTTGGAATCAATACCGTTATGACTTGGATGGGTTGATGTACACCTTATGGGCCTCGGCGAAGTACGTCCATAGTCCCAATGTGAATATCTGGGGGTCTCATAATATTATAACGTATATAATAGCATTGCCATTGAATATAGAATACGCATTGTATATTCTAATTGGAGACGCCAGACATCATTGTGTGCCGATGATGGGTTTGGCTGAGTTTGCTCAATTAACCCAAGGACATAGAAACTGTGGCCCGAGTCAATCTAATAAATGTCCCGTATCATTAGTCAGTGTAGGACATGTCAAATTAGGAGGTTAGAATCGTTAGTTTAATAGGATATGAAAGTGAATCACAATCACTAGATTATTAGTTACATGAATTAGAAAGTAGATGTTTTCTCTAAGTTCTTTATTTGAGAGCTTATTAGCGAAGATCTAGCTTAGCTAAGCCAAAAAGATCGTCGCTCTTCGTCATGGCGGGGGCGGGGTTCGGGGCTTAGAATCGACTGACTTTGAATTCCGTGACACTGCAGCTTCCACGTACTACTCCGGCTAGGCAAAGTACCGACGGAAAGGTACTTTCCTACTTATTTTTATTTCATTCTAGTAGTCGAGTAGCTTATCGCACCTGCACTTATCTTTCGAGGTATCAAATTAGACCCATTGGACTTTGTGGACGCGAGACCAAGTCAAGATGGTAATCCCTATGAAGTTACCCCAACTTGGTTTCGTATTGCTGACTATAGACTAGAGTTCCGAAGCAAGACTCTACACGTTCTCACAAGAGACGAAAGATCATTTGCGCAAGTTTCGATTAACTACGTCGCGAGCCAGCGGCCCTCAAGGTGTTATTTGTATGTACGTCGGTCTACATACTTCTTCCGCTCGTGGTACTTATGACGAATGCTGATATGTTACGGATATGACTAGACTACATCGATAAGAAAACATACGAGATCAAGCAAGATGAAGACAAAGTAGTGTATAAATCTCTCGACGAGATTGCCGACGACTTGCCTGACAATACGCCGCGTTATATTTTACTAAGCTACCCTCTAACTCTTGTATGACTACCTCTCCCTACCACCATTTAGATCGGGATGCGGTAGGTTGCTAACCGTGCTGTAGCCATCCGGCCGTCTATCCGTACCGTACGTCCTATTGTATTACCTCCCCAACACGTGTAATGCCGAGAGCCGCATGATGTACGCGGGCGCGAAGGAGTTGATGCGGAATACGGCCGAGGTAGGTAAGGTATTCGATCTCGAGAATGCTGAGGATTTGGAAGATATCCCGAAGAAGTTGAGCGCCGAATAGGCTGCCCCTAGTACGGCGCATATTGAATGGATATTGTCTTTGCACCATAGGTAGCTAGATTATACTACTGAGGTGGCGTTATCTGTGTATCTCAGTCATCGGGTAACACTTGTTTCGCATCTAAACCTATCTCCCGCGCAACACCTCTTACGACGCCTTTGAGTGCCTTACATGCCGGGCTGTCGGGATAGTGTTGGAAGAAGCTCTCTCCGTAATCGCATGCCATCCCTATCCTTGGGTCTAATGGCACCTCACCCAAAAAGGGAATATTCATCTCTTTCGCCAAAGCTGCGCCACCTCCCGTAGTTGCTTTGAATATTTGACTTTCGTGGGTGCACTTCGGACACACGAATCCGCTCATGTTCTCTACTAGACCTAACACTCGTATGCCTGCCTTTTTACAGAAATCGATCTCTTTTCGTACGTCAAGGAGTGCCACTTCTTGTGGTGTTGTGACCATAACAGCGCCGTCGATACCGCTTTCCTTCAGGAAGGAATTAACGCTTAAATGTTCGTCGCTCGTGCCTGGTGGTGTGTCAACTAGTAAAAAGTCCATGTTACCCCATTCTACCTCCTTTAAGAATTGTTTAATTAGACCATTTTTCTTAGGGCCACGCCATATAACTGCGTCGTCGCGATTTGGTAACATGAACTGTATACTCATGACGCCAAGGTTGTCAGCAACCCAGACGGGCGACCAACCCGTATTGCTGATATGTATAGTCTCGGATTCGACGCCCATCATCTTCGGTATACTCGGTCCGCATATATCCGTGTCCATTATACCGATAGTCATGTCATCGTTGGTAGCGAAAGCGTGCGCGAGGAGACTGGTAAAAGTACTCTTGCCTACGCCACCTTTACCGGATAGAACGAGGATCTTGTGTTGAACTCCCGACAGGCGTTCTGATATTAGTGGTATGTCTGGATCAGGTCCTTTGGGTGCCGAGGCGCATATTGCTTGATTTGGACATCCGGCGCATGAATCTGCTGTCCCTGCTTTTTCGGATTCGGGTCCTGGGCAGTGTTCGGGTTCGGGAGCGACGAGTTGGGGTCGTGATTTGAGAGGGTTGTCGAGAACGTCTTGGACGGGTTCAGGCTCTTCTAATGAAGGCGCCATTATCGCAAATTTTCGATATTTTTAACGTAAGCGAAGAGGGTTGTGTTGGAGCGGTAATTGCGGCGTTGTCTATTTAACGGCGTATCGGAATATTAAGGCATGGGCGAATTCGTATGTTGCTTAGAAATCTAGAAGACAAAAGAGAACGATGCACATGCAAGATGCGGATAGAACCTCACTATAGCTATCGATAATCTGAATCAGGTAAGGACGCTCCCGATATCGCTTTTAGTGGGGCAGATATATGCAAGATTGCCACAGCACCTTTCACATCTACGTAAACATGCATCACTTTATGAGCTATGATTTCAAGGATGAACCCTTAAGAAGAAACTCTTTCACAATTGAATTGTGAATCATTAAGTTTTAGATACATTAGGCGCTGAATATTATGTAACAATGAATTTAATCTCACTTTGAGAAAATTGAATGTTTTAAGCACACTGATATATCAATGGACATACTAATGAATGCATAAATACGTCAGAAATAGCGGGGTAATTAATGGTCATTTGTTGCTGGTGAGACCCTGCCAGCAGTATAAACACGTGATATTTAGCGCTATGTCAACTAAAAAGCAAATACGCGACGCGCCGTAAACTTTTATGTTTTATGCAAAAGAAATGAAATGAAAGTGCGAACGTAAACTTACAACTACAATCGGAATTTAATGATAATTTAACGATAAACCGTCCCCCTTTCAATTCTACGATTCAACATCCATCTCGGCGACAAATTCGCTTTAACAAGCGCATTGCATATGCGCATGTACGAATTTCGACGCCGATACATTTCTATTCAAGAAAAAGTAGCCGCATTACTAGAAAGATACGAATGACCTCACCAGTGAAACTATGGATTTCCCTGGGCGCATTCAAGCTCAGTCAAGGCTGGAAGACTCGACAAGAACCTCTAACGAAGATCGCGAACTACTACGCTCCTTAAACAAATTGAATCTTTCCACTTCCCCTTCCAATTCTTCAACCTCTCGTCTGTCTACTTCCCCTAATTCAAATGCGCCAAAATTTCCAGGGGCAAGACTGTCTTCTGGTTCCCCTAGGACTGGAACACCCCCTCGAACTCTTGCTCACCGATCTAGTGCGAATGGACTAAATGCGCAGTCTCGGTCCGCAACACCTACGTTGCTACGAAAGACTTCAATGAATTCTTTACACTCCTCTAGTGGAGTCACACCGAGTCGTGCCCCCTCCCGCCGAGGAAGCTCCACTCACTTGTTGTCGCCTTCTGGTTCTAGGTCGCCGTTGAATGGCTCAATGCAGGGAATGGAAGAATTTAAGGAAAAACCCGCTCCCACTGCTGCCTCAGTGGCAAGCACATACATGCAAAATGAGCTTGAATTGCTCCACGGAGACGAAGCAGAGCATCACTCAGAGACGATAGTTATTTTAAACGATGCTTGCTACGGACACCGTTACTCAAGACAACGCGCAACTAAGGCCGACTTGGCCAGTATCGTCGAACGTCCCGAAAGAATCCAAGCTAGCGTGCTTGGTCTATCAATGGCATATGTACGATTGGGAGAACGACATTGCGATGGGAAATACCCAATCCACCCTCGACTCGATCCCAAATCGCTTCCCAACATCCCCTTCCGTATCCACAAGACCAATCGCGCTGTAGCTCTGGACTCTGCAGCTGTGACCAATGTTCATGGAAACAAATGGATGGAAGAACTTAAGATTATGTGTGACTCTGCCGAAGCGAAGCTTGCCCTTAATAACAACGAGTTGCAGCGACCCAATACGAGTAAAAGCCAGCATGGGGGCTCGCCTAAAGAGCTTCATAAGGGGGATCTCTATTTGTGCGCGGAATCTCTGAATGCTTTTGAAGGAGCACTTGGCGCTGTTTGTGAAGCTGTTGATCAAGTCTTCTCTGCTTCGTCTCACAATCGTGCCTTTGTCGCTGTACGTCCTCCTGGTCATCATTGCTCTGCGTCGTACCCCTCTGGCTTCTGCTGGGTCAACAATGTCCAAGTGGGCATTATGCATGGCTTTCTGAACCATGGATTAACGCACGCCGCTATCATTGACTTCGACTTGCATCACGGAGACGGATCTCAGGCTATCGCATGGGATCATAACAAGCGTAGCCACACAGCAGCCAAGAACTCATCGGCTTGGAAAAGAACTGCCATTGGATATTTCAGTTTGCACGATATCAACTCCTTCCCCTGCGAGTACGGCGACGAAGACAAAGTCAGGAACGCTAGTGTATGTGTGGATAACGCCCATGGACAATCTATTTGGAATATCCACTTGCAGGAGTGGAAATCAGATGTTGAATTCTGGAAACTGTACCAGTCTAAATACACGATTCTTTTGGAGAAGGCCCGGTGCTTCCTACGAACACAGACTGAACGATATCGCGGTTTAGGTCAGGTGCCTAAAGCCGCAATCTTTCTGTCCGCCGGTTTCGATGCCAGTGAGTGGGAAAGCGGAGGAATGCAACGTCATAAAGTGAACGTTCCGACCGAATTCTATGCTCGCCTTACTCGAGATGTTGTTAGAATCGCATCCGAGGAAGGGCTAGGCGTCGATGGCCGGGTCATCAGCGTTCTTGAGGGCGGCTATAGTGATCGAGCTTTATGCTCAGGCGTTCTCAGTCATCTGAGTGGCCTAGCTGGTAACGAACCCCTACTGCCCAAAGAAGAAACTCCTAGTGGACTCGGTTATGAGATGGGCAATAGAATTGGATCATTCAGCAGACGAAATACCTTGACGGAGAACGAGATGAAATTGAAGGTGCCAGGATTTCCGTATGACCCAACTTGGTGGTCAGCTTCCGAACTTGATCGACTCGATGCCGCTATGACCGCACCTTTCGAGCAGCCTAAGAAGGCTCGGACTTTCACACCTGGTAATTATTCTTCCCCAACCCAAGCATCGAGCGCGAAGGCAGTAGATCCCACAAAAGTACGACGGAGTGTGTCCGGACTTGCATCTCAGATGCCAATTTCCCGACCTCCGAGTCCCCCCCCTCCTGATGTGCCTTGGACAGCAGCAGCTCACGAGTTAAGCAAGTTGCTTATACCAAGTCATCGTCAAATCGACAGTTGTAGGGTTGAGGAGCTTAACGCCGTGGCAGCCAAAGCTAGACGAGAGCGACAATCTCTTGCGCAGAGCTCAAATAGTGACGAGACAATGCCTCCTCCGACTGCCCCTGGTGTGAGAAAGTCGTTGCGAGAGAGAAAACCAGTTAGCTATGTTGACGACGACCCCAAATCACGTAGGAGAACAGTTGGAGGCTCGACGGTTCTCGCTACGGAAAAGGTCAGATACCCTAAGGCCAAAACTAAGCGCTTTTTTAACAAATTATAGGCACTTGCCCGCGGCATCCCCACACAAAACGGATCGACTCAGCATCACGGCGGAGTGTCTCTACTTACAGCTAATGACGCAGTTGGCGGTATACCGCGACCTAGTACCGCGCAAAGTATACGACCTGAATCGTCTATGAGCGTGCGAACACAGGCATCCACAATAAATGTTAAAAAGACTCGACCGGCGGCGCCTGTTAGGAAAGAGAGCACACGGGCCCCCAGGAAACCAAGAACTGTTTCCTCTAAGACTGAGGGTGTTTCTCTGCCGTTAAAGAAGGAACATTCGGTAGGATCATCTGGAGAGTCGACCGGGCCAGCATCAGATCCGGCGAGCGAATTAGAAAAGATAACGAACGGAATGAAGAAAATCAAGATTAATGTTCTGACCAAAGAGAAGAAAGAAGCTAGGCAAAAGGCCGAGGCTGAAAGAAAGGCAGCGGAGCAACAAGATCTTAATCAGGAAATGAGGGCAGTAGGAGGTGCCCCCGTTTCTATTCCCCTTCTTGAGAACGACCCTATTGTAGAGGCTGCAAATGGGAATGAATCAGGCGCTATGCTTCCTCCGCCACCTCGTACCACGCAATACAACCGGGGCAAAAGCTTGTCGCCCCGACGCGACATTCGACCATTTAGTCCAACAAACGTACCGACTATTCTTACGCCGACAGAACCCAACGAGATGCCTTTCCCCGCAAATTCCCCGCTTAGACCTCGTCCAGAAGCTGAGGATATCTTCGTACCATATCAACCTGATGGACCGACACCAAGCACTCTACCGATCTCTGGTCCGGTCCAAATCCTCGAGCCCAACACCGACACACCAGTTCAACAGGGTAAGACCCAGTTTCACGCGTACGGTGCTTCATCAGTGCCCGCGAGTCCAGCTCGAAGGGGGGGACACGGGTTCACTCCTACATCAAACATTCCTTTTGCGGCGCGACGCGCACCTGATAGTTGGTTGATGTCAAAAGACAACGTTCCGGCACCTAAGCAAAAGACTGAGGGCGCGGATCAAGGCGTTTGGGAAATACCCGAGACACCCCAACACCATTAGGCGAATCATGTATTGTTCCGACGGACTATTTGTCTGCAAATTCCTGTCAGCATTCCCTTTTAAGAAACACCAATGACGGAAATTTATCAGATTTTCATGTGTAATGAGGCAAGGAGGCGTTAAAGGAGGGTTTTTGTTATCTCTTCGTTTCAGGGGTTTCTGTTACTTCAGGCCAATTCTTACGATACCCTTTTCTACGCAGCCACTGTTAGTCCTTTGCGGATGGGTGATGCGTTACATGTTCATGCCCCCCTTTTTATGTTTGTACCTTCATGTCGTTTCTGGTAGGAGAATATATAAGTCGTCGCTATTGTCGCCGTAATGATAGTTTACATAAAGATTATGTGTGTTGAGTCTTATCGTGCGGCCGTCATTTGGATGTCGATATTGTTGTTATACTGTTATGCACTTGCATAAAAACTCAGGTTGTCAATCACAGTTGCCGGTGCCCAACTCATACTAAGCATTATACACTAATTCTTAGCTAGAGTTAATCGCAGAGTAGTCTTATTGAGTATAAGCAACTAACCTCCTATTCAAGCAGCACTAGTTTCTTAGGTCAGTATTTTCTTAATGATTTGAGTCTTTTGAGGAAAATAACGCTTCTCCTTCAGTGGTGTGGGCTTATCCAATGAATTTCCTATGTCTGGTTGGTGGCAGGTTGAAGTCGTTTGATGTTGCTATTTAGTTAAAGAGTGAGCGAAATGATGATTTCGAGCCAAGTTGCCATTATATTGTAGATGTACTTGATAGATCCTATTTTATGTAAACATTGAATCTAGTTTCAAATAGCTGCATGGCATATTCAGTCATTGTACCAGCCATCGGCAACATTTGGAAATATTCATGAGTTTTTGAGGCCTGGTGGTTTAATTTGACGTGTAATAAAAGATATCAACGCATTACATGGCAATATGAACCGAGGCATGAAAGAAAAAGCAAAGTTCGGGTTTCCCGAAGTAAACTTATATGTGATAAGGTCGTGCTATATTACGAAATGAGTTGATTAATAATTAATACTACGTCTGTCATTGGCCAAGATCTCTAAGTTATGACGATTCAGAGGACAGTGTGAAAATGTTAGTGTCATACGCATTGTGAAGTTTATGCCGCCAGCGGGTGGGAATTTATACAAGTGTAGATCCATTTCCCGCTCCAAACCACTGTGTCCTCTACTCCCACCTCAACCATGTTCGGGACCGCGATCCTACAATATCTTTCCGTGTATCTTCTAGAAAAGTCTTAATTATATGCAATGATACCTCCCCATGCGACTATGTCAAGATATGTACATGTATCAGCTAAGCAACGACTCTGGCGGTGTACTCTAGTTGATTCGGCTGTCGCCGCACAGTAAACGGAGCTGGACAGATACACCGTTGCAGTAGTATGCGAGTGAGAACGACTAGTAACCAATAGTAAATCACCTTTCTCCCCGCCTTTTTTTGACGAACGCCCTGCTCGTCAACCCAAGGGCGCGCGCTCCACATATTACATGGGTACATTCGGCGCTGTCAGCAGAGACCGGAACTGGCTGTTGCGGCCATCGTGATAGAGTTGACTGAAGAAGACGGACGATGACTCTTATTCCGCTCGATGATCTTCATTATTCTTGCATCCGGCCTTAGCGACAAGCGGAGGAGCCAGCATATGCAAAGCATATTCCTATTACGCGTTACCATAACTCCCGCAGATCTATCTCATGAGGAGTAAAAGGACAGAAGAGAAAAAAAAAACCTTTGTCGCGTGCTTTAGTTTCCTTTTCCCCCAATCCAACGCCGTGCTTATTTCTCGACCCCTAAAAAGCTAGTCGGGTTGGTTTGTATCCTTCCCCAGACTACTTTGCGTCCTTAATAGGCACGCGTCCCCTTTTTTTGACTAACCATCCGGTCTTCTCCTGTTTAATTTATACTTTTTCCTCCATCCTAGGACTTTGCTGAGATCGGATCGGATGTGACACATTAAACCGAAACTGGCGCCCTTTACTTTCCCGTTGACTGTTACGCCCTAGCTGTACGTAATTCTCTGCAGGTCACGCCCTTAAACGACAAACCCACGACCAGCCGGAAGAGATGGAATTTATCAATTGGGACGCTACCGGAGGTGGCGCCGATTTTGATCCGGTAGTTACGTCGGAGGGCGTACCCGTCGTACCCATTGATGCTGTTCCTCCTTCGTCAGACGAACCTAACATGGACTTGGTCTTTGGAGACGTTGATGGCGATGACTGGTCCTACTGGGCCCTCGAGCACTTCGAGTCCACCCAGATGCCGCAGGAGATGGACTTGACGGCTCTCCCTGAACCGGAACCATGTGCTGCAGACCTAGAAATGTACTGGGAGACTCCAGAGGCCCCTTGTACCCATTGTGCTGTCGGTGGCTACCAATGCAAGCGTATCCGCGAAGGTAAATACAAGGGTTACTGTACGAGCTGTGTTGCGTTGCGATGTGAATGCAGTTTTGGGCCCCAAGAGAATAATCTGACAGCTGAGGCGGGTGCAACTTTCCCCGCCAATCCTTGGCCCATCATGGGCGATAGACCAGAGACGTCTATCCTCCACGAGGATGAATTGGCTGCTATTATTACCTCGGGGCCGCCGGGATCGTGTTTAAATGCTATTGCTGAGGATAAACAGCCATCGCCAAAGCCTCAGCAAATGCCCAAGATTGGTGCGCGGTTTTCTCGCGAGTCTGTGAAGATCCTAAAAAACTGGGTGTCAACGCATAGTAGACACCCGTATCCTACCGAGGAGGAAAAAGAAGGCCTACAGAAGATTACTGGTCTTAATAAGACACAGATTACTAACTGGCTAGCAAATGCCCGCCGTCGGGGCAAGATCCAACCTACCCGAGCGACATCCCCTCATATCGGCCGAGGATACGTCCAAGCTATCGATATTCCTCAACGGAGAGGCACACCAGCGTTGTTTGAAAGCATGAACCCTTTGCAACGTTGGGCGAACTCTCCGCCCGAGAACGAACCGGCTTCTGTCGCGGCTATTGCTCGAGCCGTGTCGGCTTCTTCCTCATACTCACAAACCTCTGGATCTGGACGTAACAGTCCTTACGTGTCCAACTATTCAGACGATGGATCTAGTAGATCATTGTGCAATCAGTCGTCTGCTAGCAGTCTTGGCACTTCCCACTCGAGTGGTGGTTCTTTCGCATCCGCGTATTCTAACAAATCGCGTGGTTCACTCGGTTCTTTGCCATCATTCGTTCGAACTCGGGGACGACGTCGCCGTCGACGAGCTCCCCCTAAACGAGCCGACGAAAGTCTCAACCAACCACTGAAAACTTTCCAGTGTACTTTCTGTACCGAAACTTTTAGAACCAAACATGACTGGCAGCGGCACGAGAAATCGTTGCACCTGTCCCTCGAGCGATGGATATGTTCGCCTGAGGGACCAAAGGTTATCAACCATGAGAATGGCCTGATGAGCTGCGTCTTTTGCGGCGAAGTAAATCCGAACGACGCTCATATCGAATCCCATAACTACTCTGGATGCACCGAGCGAACACAAGAAGAGAGAACATTCTATAGGAAGGATCATCTCCGCCAACACCTTAAACTTGTGCACAATGTCAAGTTTCTTTCGTGGGCAATGGATAGGTGGCGAGTAGCGTCTCCCGAGATTCGATCACGATGCGGTTTCTGTGGTATCGTACTCGATAGTTGGACAATCAGAGTTGACCATTTGGCCGAGCATTTCAAGACCGGTAACACTATGGCTGACTGGAAGGGTGACTGGGGTTTTGAAGCGCCCGTTCTTGAGATGGTTGAAAACTCCATCCCACCTTGTGAGAGACCGTTATGCTTCTCACCCACGCAGCTTACTAATTCCTAATCCTAGATTTAATTCACGACGAAAGAAATACGCCTCTTCCGTATAGAGCCAGTAGCGGTACACCTACGACGCCGACAAGTGCTTATGAACTCCTGAAGTTGGAGCTTCAGCATTATACTTCCGTCCGTGCAGCGGATACGGGGAAAACGCCGACCGATGATGAGTTACAACGAGAGGCTTGTGCCATCATTTTCGAGTCACAGGCCCACTCGCGACAATCCCGATGGGAGCCGTCATCTTGGCTCCGTGATCTGATCGTTTCCTCGGAAGAGAATTCTCTGCATGCTGCGTTACGGCCAATTCGGAGCCAGTCGGATAACCGGCTAACATCGCTTCATATTAACGGCAGAGATAATATATTTGAGGGATGCGAGTTCGAAAAACAAATGCAGGATTTTGTCAAGGCCAAGCAACTATTAGGCCTAACGGCCATGGATCATGAACTTCAAGTCGAAGCTTGTCGCATCATTGGTAGAATGGAAGAAAAGTCGGGTAACCCGATGGAAGATATAGCGAATTGGATGCTTCGCATGATATACGGATCTCCAAAGTGGCTTGAGAACTTCAGGCAACGGGCGCATCTACCGCGTAGCGAAGACGTGGGTGACGTCAATCTAAGGTCTAAGGATCCCAAGACTATCGATTCGACCATCCACAACTACAGTAGGTTGGAGCAAGAACTCGGTGAGTACCTTCAAAGCCAGAGGTCAATGGGAATTGAACCCGAGGATGCCGACTTGCAGCGGAATGCCCGCATCATTATCTACGATAGCGACGACGAATGGAATCAGACAGCAGCAGATGATAAGGACTGGCTTCTTCGTTTCAGACAGAGACACCCTTCTAATCGTGCTCCTACGGCTTCCGCATCGAGCAACTCCCCGGCGGTCCATAAAAAGTCCCAGTCCCCACCGCAGGCGCAGACTCCTGCAAGGGATTCCCAATATGTTGGTCCTTTATTCAGCAATTTACCATCCCTTGATGACCACCAACAAGCACCTAGCGGTAACCTCAACGTCACCGCCAACGATAACAACAATAATTCCATCAAAACAGGTCCCTTCTTCCTTAACGACACAAACTGTTACCGCCGCTTGGCCCGTGGACTCAGTCGCTTCGTAGCAACAACCATGTCTCCTAATAATCCGAATCGGCACGTGCCGACCGACGAAGAAATCCAGTACCAAGCACGGTGGCTGATCTACGATGAGTAAGTGACTAGTCAACTTACCATGCCGCAAACTTCTGCTACGATCTAGAGCTAACCTTACCACAACAGCGACGACCCATGGAACCAAACCGCAGCCGACAACTTCGAATGGCTCCAACGCTTTAAGCGGGACGTCGGAATTCTACGAGGAGATAACGGCCCTGGCCTAGGCAGCACCGCAAATCAACCATGGGCGCCATCAGAAGGCGGGACAGGCTTCGCGCCACCATACGTAGCGCCGAATCCAACAGCCACGATCGAGCCTCTAGACGCAGATCCCACGGTATTCATCCGCGAGGATGCAAAGCCATTTGAGCCGGCGGCGAGTACCGCCAACCGCTTCCTACGAAGCTTCACGCGCCGCTTCCCAGCCCCCGCGAAAGTATTCTGCAGCCGTGAGCTCGAGAACGGATTGACTGAGTACGTGCGTCGCGAAGTTGGACGCACAGGTGTGTTTCCAAGCGATGATGCGCTACGAGAACGAGGGCGTCAGATCATGGCTATGCAGAAAACGAGCTGCGATGACCCTATCCTACTCGAGCGCTTCAAGGCCGCTGTCAGGGCCGCCGGACTTCCAGATCCCGCCGCGGGTATGGGTGTAAGCACGCCTCTGACGCAAGCGGATATCGCGGCGGTGACGGCGGCTTCGAATCCCGGCGCGTCGGATGCGGCGCTCGCCACGCTGCCGGAGGATATGGACGTGGATTTCCACTTCACTGACCAAGAGATGAATGACTTGCTGCAAGATGTGGATCCGGACTTAGGTGGCGGGGTGTCATTGAGCAACCTGGATCCCTTGCATATAGGAGGTGGTAATAGTGGTCTAGGCGAATCGGGCTTCCAGCCTTAATCGAAAAAATATAGGAAGGGTGGTGGCGGTTATGATTATTCTTCTTTCAGCATATTAGATACCATTTGGGAGTAGTAGCATTTATTCTTTTAGGGTAGGCGTTGATGCTTTGAATTGCACTTTTTGATATCTACCTGTATTATATTGAGTGATAGCTAAGGGATGGTTGGATGATAGGTAATGAAACAACCTCACTCTGCTCTACAAGTCCCTCATTCGGGATCCGAGCCCATGTAGCACGGCCCTACTCATACGCATATGTTTATCAGTGGCTAGCGGCATTCTAGGTGGTACCTACCTATGTATTGGATCGAAGCGCTCGACGGCGTACCGCATATTTTAGCGTTAGGGCCAATGTAGGTTCGCGCCCGAGGCCAGGACAAAGAGCTCCCCGACGTTTCACGGCGTCGTAATCATGGCGTTCTAAGTATCATTAAGATGAAGATCATAGCGGTATGTATGGCGGGAATCAATTTTCTCTCGAGCATATTACCGCATGCAGATAACATCAAAGAGGCCACGAAGTCCGGCAAAATTACTCCGAGAATGCGCAGCAATATCGAGGGTGGGTCGACGGACCGGCCTGGGCGTCCCGGGTCTCGAGCCGGATATGAGGCATACAACTAGGCATAACTATGACGACTCCCGACGGTCTTTCTACTATATCTGAAATATGATATATGATGTTGATCTCGACATTCCCCTGAGGTACTTCGATTTTATCTTATTTTATTTTTATTTACGTACCTACCTGGGTATCCCATGTATCCCCTTCTAGGGAGTTAAGATGACCGGATATAATCGGAGCTTATTCCTGGAAATAAGACATACCCGCCCGGAGCTATCTTCAGCTTTGACAATTCAGCTTAGCAAACACACTTAGGTATCCGCACATAGTAATGCTGTGTATTTGTTTGTTTGATTCGGTATTCATCTGATGAGGGGAATGATGGCTGATGGGTAGCACAAAGAAGCCTAGACGTTCTCCTCAGCCAATTATTCGGCATTGACTATTCCGGTCCCGCCGGCTTGTCTATCTTACCGTCCCGCAATTGGATTAGATACGTATCAAATATACATATGTTCTAAAGCGTGATGTTATCAAATAGATGCCCATTATCTGGAACTTGGTAAGACTTAGACGGAGACATATCTGCTTGTAAGGATCTTCCCGGCCCTAGATCTTTAAACCCCCTCAGTTAAAAGCTCGACCATTTCGTCTTTGCAAACACAACGTACAACCTGCACAATTACAACTACAGCTTTACTACACCTACAATTCACAGAACAAAGGACTTTCGAGATGGCACCTATCAACAAAGCTGCTTCGCTCCCCTCGGCTAGAGCTCACCCCCTCACCATCGAAACCACCGAATACCCAACTGCTGGAAATGGCGAGGTTGTCGTCAAGGTAGCCGCTACAGCTGTCAATCCTATGGACTGGTACATCCAGATCATGGGAGAGAAGCTATTCTCTTGGTTGAAATACCCATACATCGGAGGAAGTGACGTTGCTGGCACCGTCACTGAGGTTGGCCCCAATGTCAACAACGTCAAGGTGGGCGATCGCGTCCTTGGTCTCGCAGCCGGATTCGCTCCTCGAGCGGGTGGCTTCCAGAACTACGTAGTCCTAGAAGCCGGCATCGTCGCACCCATTCCAGCCGATCTAGACTTTACCGAAGCTTCTGTGATACCACTTGGAATATCTACTGCGGCCTGTGGTCTCTACCAAAAGAACTTCCTTGCACTCGACTACCCGAGCGTCACCCCAAAGCCTAACGGCAAGACCATCCTAATCTGGGCTGGCTCGTCTAGTGTCGGTACTAATGCTATTCAATTGGCTGCTGCTTCCGGCTACGAAGTATTCACGACCGCCTCCTCTAAGAACTTCGACTACTGTAAGAGCATCGGTGCTTCCCGCGTGTTCGACTACCACAGCGAAACCATTACACAAGACCTACTTGAAGCCTTCAAGGGCAAACAATGTGCTGGTGGTTACGCCATCCAGCTAGGATCGGAAAAGATTGTCTTCGAGGTGGTAGCTAAGAGCCAGGGTGCCAAGTTTGTGGCTTGCGCCATGCAGCCCAATGATGTCCCTGAGGGAATTTCGGCCAAGATGGTCTTCGGTAGCACCCTCAAGGACAATGAGGTTGGTCCTATCATTTTCCAGCAGTACCTACCCGCCGCTCTGGCCCAGAAGAAGTGGCAGCCCCTACCGAAGCCCCTGGTTGCTGGCCATGGTCTAGAGAAGGTACAAGATGCTATTGATAAAGGAAAGTCTGGTGAGGTGTCGGCTCAGAAGTTGGTCATCACGCTATGAGGGGTAGGAGAAAAAGCAAAATAGATGTGCTCGGTGAGCTAAGGTCGCGAGGGGGTCTGTGTACGTAGCAGATAAGTAGATGGCCCTAGATGCAGGCTGGTCAGCATCCTAGCAAAAGCAATACAACTGTTTTCCCCTCAAATCGTACATCTAAACCTTTCTTCATGAGAGAAAGTCTTGACGTATGTAGGCGGCCGGCTTGGCCAACCGAGCAGCATGATATCTGCTCTGTACCCAGGTACCGGGTGTCTCGGCAAGCCTGACTTTTTAGCAAGGCTTAGGAGGCGCTAAAATGAGCGGGTTTTTGTTGCAGTAAACTGCGTCGCTAATTTCGTATTAATTTATCGGAGTTTGCCTTGGAATGACACAATATTATCACCGTAAGTAGTCGCTGACTTGCACAAAGAATTACACAAAAACATTCCTTCCATAAAAACAATAACGGACTTTTATGTACCTAAGAAGTAGGTATGTCTATCGTATGTTATAATGTACAATTAATCTTATCTTCAAGTTTGTATTCCTTGCCTCTGCTGATGGTACCATTAACCCCAAAGGTAGGCCGATACGGCCAACCGCATCGCGAAATATTTGCACAGAACATGTTACCCCCTCAACATGGGTTTCGTTCGCATTCCTAATTGAAGGGGTTGCCTATGCCAAACAAGTGTTTAGGGTCCCATTGCTGTTTGAGCGAGCGGAGTTTGGGTAATTTCGATGCACCAAATGTCTCGGTTACTGGCTCATCGCCATGGTCGTAATTGAGGTAGACCTGTGGCTGGGAAAATCCGCTCACGGCTTGGAACCTGGAGCGAACGGTCCGCGAGAGCTCGTCAACATCCGCGTCTAAACTAGGATCAGTGTAGATACTATCGAATAGTCTGTCGATCGTTAGTACTCATTTCATATTTGTGTTGGACGAGAAATCGGAGCTGGACTTACAGATACGCGCTAATGTCTCTCCAGGGGTACGCGGTCTCGTCATCCGGTATCCGCAACATAGCCGCGTTGCCATACCTCTGGATGGCGAAGTTCCCCCTGTAATCCGGATGCGCCTCAAAGAAGGGTATTAAATCGCTCAACGTCTCTTCAAGCGCGGCGCTGTCGGTCGTCCGTAGCCCGAGCGAGTACACATTGTGGCGATTACCCCTGTCACAGACTCCCTCAGAGAAGATCTCGTGTAATTCTCCCGTCGTCACGTTCTGGATCGTGGTCGATCCCGGATGTAGGGCATTAACCTGGTCTATGTACGGTTGCGCCTCACTTTGGGAACCATAGTAGGCCAGCCCAACATTGATATAAGTCTCGTTAATGGTGCGGTTGTACTGTATAGATGGTATCAAGGCCATCGGAGCGGGGATATGGTCGTCATATGACTTGAGAAGTTCCCATATCGACCGATTGGACGCAACAGGGAAGACGAAATCAGCCAGAGTTACTCTTCCGCTATTAGTTTCGTCGTGCACTATGTAGGTGGCAGACGTGATGACGCCGAAATTGGCGCCAGCACCGCGGATCGCCCAAAAGAGATCGGGATTCTCTGACTTGGACGCAACGACGAGACCGGTGGCGGTAACTATGCGGACAGATTCAAGAGCATCTAGGACCAGCCCATGTAGACCCTGCATGGTGCCGATGCCGCCACCAATAGTGGCCCCGATCAACCCAACACACACTGCATTCCCGGTTTCTGGTTGGGCTCTGGTTAGCTGGATAATGCATAATGACATAGTGATACGAACGGATCTCTTTGCCGGCAGCAGCCAAAGGATCGGATATGTCTCCAAATGTGACACCTCCGCCGACGATCATCCTATTGCTTGCAGCATCTACTCGGACAGAGTTGAAGTTTGCGAGATTGATATTGAGGCCGTTCTGGAATTTGGCGTACTTGAGATTGTTCCCGTGGCCGTTGAGCGTAGCTAGAAACGGTATGTTGTTCTTCCCAGCTATTTCAACCTGGTATTGGCTGTTAGTTGTACAGATTCGCAGAAATCCGTTATTGCTGCCCAGTGGCGTTATATCACACCAATTTCGACTTACAATTTTCTGTACGTCTGCTTCATTTGCCGGCTTGATAGCGGCCTGAAACGTAGGAGTCTCCCAGGTTGTCCAGCGAGGAGAAACTACATCAACGAAGCCAGGGTCAGATGAAGTAGCTATTTCTGACCCAGGTGATAAGTAGGGGCCAAAAAGGGCCTTGATATTTGCGTCCGTTGCTAACGCAACGGACCCCAATGCGAAGGTGTGTAATAGGTGGCGTAACATGATTGTTGACCTGGGAAGGGGGGTAAGGCTGAGAACAGAGATGTTTCGTAGACACCCTATACAACGACAGTATCAGGAATGAGGGACTGCTATTTATTAATATCACTTCCATTATGTTTATCACTCACTCGAGGTCTTGGTCGAACTATCCAGCCGTTAGGTTGGAACCGGGTGCGGGTTCCTACTGTGGCTTCCGGCAGATGGACCTGCAGGTAGGCACATTTTTCGTGAAAATCCTCTTCATTTTGGGCTCTTCAGCTGCGATCTATACGAGTCCCATGTCTTTAATTAGGCAGTGGGAAGATAATCCAAATATTACACTTGCTCGGTGTTGAGCTTCCCACGTGCAGGCTTCGTACTACCTATAACTCCGAAGTATTATGAATCAATAGTTTGGAATTGGCGGTGTATTGCATGAGGTAGTATTGAAACATTTTGGAAGCTCGGTATCGATAAATTTAACTAATACTGGGTCTTCACAAAACTGCTCTCTGAGACCTAGGTAAACGTGGACTCGTACGCCCTAACCTGCGAGTCAACCGCTCCAATTTCCGCGGACAAGGTAACATACCTAATCCGGTATGTGACATAAATTTTGACTGGCAAGCTAAGAGTTCGCTGGGGTCGAAGAACGAGGCGTTGAGGTCTAGGTCTAGCATTATAATGACTTATCTAAATATCAAACTTCTATAAAAATAGTATCATGCAATATACAGTGGAATGGACAAAGATAGGCTCGGTCGTTTCGCCGCAGAGCCTACTCATTGACTCTTATCTTACAACTCCTTGTCTCGCCCTCCGGATTTTAGTTCGGTGTAGGCTATTACACACCACTTAAGCCTCGGATATTTGAGGTTGTCTCGGTTCTTCGTTATTCTTTCGAATATCTTGCCAACCCATACCCCAAGCAGCTATGAATCCTCCCACACCAGCGGCGGCAACAAGATAGAAAACTCTATCAACGCTGTCCGAATAAGCAACTAGGACTTTAGGGAGGTCTCGGGCATCCACAATTTGACGAAATCCTGTTGCACCTGCCGAAATGATGGCTTGCGCATCAACGTCCGGCGCTATTTGAGGTAATACAGTCTTCAGAGTCGTGTTGAATATCAAGTTGTAGAGCGTTAGGAATATGGTAGGCCCCATATATTGCGCCCATAAAAGAAATGCCATTGCCATAGGTAAATCTTCTTGTGTCACGGTATTCTGAACAGCAACAATCGGCTAATCGAACGCTTGGTTAATATTTCGAAGGTCAAAATAACTTTGAGGAGGTACGAACCATCTGTAAGCCAGCACCACGGCCACTGCTAGCAATTATTTGGTAGCCAATCCATTTTCCCGTTGAGGTATCAGGTTGAAGCAAGGAGAACAGACCACATCCGATTGGTATAAGAACTCCAGCGAAAATAGAAAAAGGAGGGACGTAACCCACTCTTGTCACTAAAGAAATGTCAATATTGCGAGCCAAACTGTTGTCATAGGAGGTAATTTACCTAGCATTCCAGCTGAAACCGTGAATAACAATTGGGCTAGAATAGTGGGCAACATGTATACACCACTCAATATAGCGCTCACGCCTTTTACAGCCTGAAAATAGATTGGCAGCCAGTAGGATGTGCCGAATAACGTCTCCATCTGAAAAGAGTAGTTCAAAGCACTCGCCCATACTGTTCTTCGCTTCATGATCGAAAAGGGGAGCAAAGCATCGTCACCTTTGTAATAGTTCCAGAAAACCCAGACGATAAAAGTTGCTCCCGAACCACAAAACAGACCGATAATCTGCGAGGAATTCCATGCGAATTTGTTACCTCCATATTCAAGTGCCAATAGGAGTTGAATAACAGCTGGAGCTAGCAAAGCAAATCCTAATAGATCTAGGTGGTGATGAATCTTGGCCAAAATCTTGAGCGCAGGATCTTTGGCGATTTGCTCAGGGATTCGAAGGAATACGATGGGGACGGCGACTATAGCACCGAGCGGAAGATTAATGTAGAAACCTATTGAGAGGTCAGGACCGTATCTACTATGCGAAGGGAGGTTAATAGGGGTACTAACTCCATCGCCAAGTATAGCCGGTAGTGAATGCCCCTCCAATCAGGGGCGCGATTACGGTACCAAGCTGAGCAACTAAGGCAAGGGGAAAATCATCAGTAACCAAATATGCCGTGAGTTATATACTTAGCCGCTAAACTTACCTCCTTGATTTATACCTATAAGTGCTATGCGATGTTAGTAATTGTTGGTACACCGCAGAATTAGGTCGGTGATGGCTTACTTGGACGTCTATGGAGGGGTACACAACTAGATATAATGATAATTGACCCACTAAGCAGACCTGACGCTCCAGCTCCAGCTATAGCCCGGCCGATAATCAACATGTTGGAGGATTGGGCAGCTCCACAGAGCACGGAGCCGATCTCAAACACAACGAAAAATGTGAGGAAGGACCACTAAACATTGTTAATTGGTACGGAAACGAGCCCTTCAAGGGTAGATCGGGGATTACCTTGAGGCAGAAGCATTTGTAAATTTTCCCTGTTAAAGGTTGTAGGGCAGCCCTACGATAGTAGGTTAGTATCGAATGTTTGCTTAGGTGTGGATCTAGAGACAGGGGTAACCCACGATCCAAGGTTATAGGCTGCTGAATACCAGCCAACATCCTCAAGCGCATGAAACTCATCCGAGATAGCCGGGATAGCCTGAGGATAATGTTAGTTGGTGGTTGTTGTCTATTTTGCGAGAGGGGTGTCCCTACCGTGCTGACGATGGAGCTGTCTAGGAGCATCAAGAAAGATGCCAGAACCAGCGCGACGAAGATGGTCATCAACTTGGCGCCGGTGACATAGTGAGAATGGTCCTCTTTGGGGGTGTTGTCGACATTTGTTGTCTCTGCATCTTCGAGAGAACCCTCGGGGGATTGATTTCCATTGTCTGGTATTTTCTCATTTTCTTGTCCCTTCTCGCTTCCTTGCCGCTCGCCAGGTACGAGGGCGCTTCCTTCACGATCTCCCTGCATCTTGCGATGATTCCCCCGAGATACAATAGACAGTAACTTTTCAGCTTCTGCTATTAATATTCTTTGTGGAAAAAAAATTATGGTCTTGTAGGAGATAATTGCAAGTGTCGAAACGTACCCTGGATATTATGTTTATGTACTGTACCTAGGTATTCAACGCATAACCCGGCGTTTGCAAACTTCCTGTAATCAGTACTGAGTTGCGTGTAGCAATCAATGAATTATGATTGTGTGATATTGGACTATTATCACACTAGATAGATCGTATTTCTTTGTCTGTAGGAGATTTCCCGTTGCAGGATGCGAATTGAAGATCTATTTTGCAAAGTAGACTAAGAAAATTGAGACTTATTCTCCGGGAGGTAACCATGAAAACATTTCCATAGGTACTGTATTAGAACTACATAGATTGGTTATTTATCTTGCTATGTACACTGTACCTCGGCGTTCGCTGGGAAAGCTGTAGACTTTTGCTTATGGAATCCATTCATATCAGCCCGACGGAAACAATTTCAATTATCAGCTACCAACATTAAAAATCTGACGACTCATACAAGGGGTAAGGCGATCATGGGAATAAAAAAAACTACTAAAGCGCCATTAATTGCAAATTTACCAAATCTATCAATTTGTTTGGGTACATCAATACCTAGGTATGACCCTGATTTGGGTCTGTTAACGCCGGAGTCCGGAGTAAGCGTAGGTAACCGGAGTTGAAAATTAATTCCGTATCCGCCGGGATTGGTCAAATTTTTTATAATCCTTACCCGCCGCAGATCAATCAGCTAACTGCAGGTCAATGACGAACTCCCTGGTTCTTTTTCCCGTCTCCGTCCGCGCGGCCCGTCTCACATCTACCGACGCTTAGCAGATTCAGCTTCCAAGAAGATGGAAAAGGCGTTACACATGAACGCTCCCGGATCTCAGTCTACGTCAAATCCTGCATTAGGCAGTGGTAGAGCATGCACGAATTGCGCTCGGGTGAAGTGTAAATGCATATACCGACCTGATGGCATCACCTGCGAAAGGTATGACCTCCAAGGCTGACCTAGTTGCTGGAATTTCCCGTAATGGAAAGTCCCGATCGCGACTAGCCGTCTAGATAGTCCTGTAACACTATTAGCAATTTCTGATACCTTTTTTAGATGCCACCGTCTGAAAAAGGAATGCGCACCATCGATTTCGCTCGGGCGTCGTGGCGGAAAGCAACGCGTTGTCTCCCGGACAGCTCGACTGGAAGAGAAGCTTGACGAACTCGTAACCCGTCTAAAGACCCAGCAAGGGGCACCGAAAAAGAATACAGAAGATGAACCAGAGGGCGCTAAGGAGCCAGCTGAAATCGAATCCGACGCGGAGAATGCGTCCGCCGCCGCCGTGACTCCCGCAACCGCAACCAATAGCCTAGGGGGTACGACACTACCTAACGCTGCTACCCCTGACTCTAGCATTTCTCATCCTGATGAGCCTTTACTTCCTGAGGCTGAAGAGTTATTAAAAAGGTTCCGAGAAGAAACTATAGTAAGTCAAATAATTAGATGTAAGATGGAATAGCGTTGACCTCACACATAGGGGTTCTTCCCGTTTGTCTACATTCCCCCACATGTAACCTCACAACAGCTTAGAGAGCTGTATCCTTTTTTATGGCTTAATATCATGTGTATTACAATGGCGCCGCCAAAACGGCGGGTTGCATTAGGTGACCAAGCAAGAAGCATTGCCATTCAGAAAGTGGCCGTTGAAAGGGAAAAGAGCCTAGATCTTCTTTTAGGACTCCTGACATTGGTTGGTTGGTTAGTGATTCTCATACATGACCCCCGTTGTGTTACTATTCAATCCTAACCCCGTGTTATTAGGGCACATCTACAACGAAAGGACAAACCTTTTTATACCCTATTTTCACAATTTATTGTAACGCTAGTCTCCGATTTGGGTCTTCATAAGCCGCCGCCTGATTGCCAGGTCATGTTCTGTGGCCCTGGCAAGGATCATGATCTACGGACATCAAATCTCTTCAGGAGACGTACTCATGAAGAGCAACGGGCCGTGCTAGGGGCTTTCGTTATCACCACAATGTTAGTAGCCACTTGGACCGTAAATCATTCTCTAGTGTTACTCTGCAAGCTTGAATATCTAATACGCCGTCTAGGGTATCAAGCATATTTAGACATGCACCCGGACTTCGTTGGTCTGCGCATCTCGATAGTTACGTTTCAAATCTTGCCCAGGATAGTACAGTAACACAAGATCAGACCCTAATCGCTCAAGTGAGGATGCAGCTTATTATTAACCAATTGTACGATGACTCATGGCCATCTGGGGCCGGCGGGGCTCCTCCAGCTCTGTATATATCTGCCCTTAGATCGCAACTACGCGACATAACTCGGCAAGAGAAACTCGGTACCGCGGTTAGAAACCATCGTGAGTTGCTGCTACGATTATGATTGAAATTATGTTTCTAACGATATATACCATCAGCCATGATTCTGGAACTTTACCATTTCACAGACCTTCTAATAAATGAGTCGGCGATAAGTAAGCAGCCAAACCACTGGAATGAGCCAGACTTGCAGCGGTTTGAAATCTACCAAAATTGCCTGGTATCAATTAAATCATTTCTTGACACGTATTTCTCAATACCCATCACTCTCCTCAAAAGCATGCCCTTCACTAGCCACCCCCAACTTGTTCGTGTTATGGGATGTCTGCATATGATCACTACCGTTCAAGATCCTGCTTGGGATCGGGCTGCTGTGCGGAGAAGTGTTGACTTGATTCCCACGTGTGACAAGATAATCGGGACGTTTGAGTATCTTAGGGCTGCCCCGGCCTTAGCCACCTCGGATGGCGGTGAGGATGAATCATATAACTGGGGTCTAAGTGTATTTAGGAAGATGAGGGCAGCGTGGCAAAACGAATTGGCCAACATGGATGCGACAAACGAAACCAGCATGATTGATGGCGCTCAAACTGGGGGGTTTGCAACAACTATGGACTTCACAGGAGATCCCTGGTTTTCCGAAATGTTGAATAACTTTTGGGAATGAGGCGGTTCGCTTCCCATCAATTACTTTTTGAATATATTCTCCAGCTGTATAGACCTGGAGAGTTGTTATAATTAGAGAAAACCTGGCTGTAACGAGACACATATGTTACGACTGATTTTGTGACCTATGTTTGTTTACTCTGGTAACATATGGTTGAAACCTCTGCATTGGCAAGGAGTCCATCTGTTCCCCCACTCCAACCCCCTCTCTCTTGTACCACTGGAAACCTAGCCTGCTTCCGGTTTTGTTTCGTCCTGATGCCATGGCTTCGGGATCGTCTAATGATTAACTCCGAAATGCAATCCTACTGAACTTGCTGATTAAGTATTAAGTACCTAAGATATGAGTTATCGGGCCTTTGACGTCAGCGGATGAGTCATTTCTCGCGACGGCGTTTGAAAAGCTATGTTACACAATATTTCTGCTGTAGTGATGACCTCTACCGCGAAATGAAGAAGTGACTAAGTACCTATCCACGCGTCTATAAGGCTGCCATGGTCCAGAAAGACTTACACGGATGTATGCATCCGATCGACATACAACCTAGCTGGTATGCATAATCTATGCACGTGTTTGTAACTCCGGAGATGCTGCAAGCTATATTACATCGAGTCTTGCTTGCATCGATAGTAAACCGGTGCTTTGAAGACAAGGGAAGCTTTTGAGCCAATGAAAAGCTTGGGATGACAAACTCCATATTTTCCTGACCAATCAAACTTGGTGGCTTCATGGGAACTGTCCCAAAGTGGCAACAGCCAAAAAACTTAAAGCGGGCCAATAAAATCTAGTAGCAAGTTTTATGCCGGCTACCTACGTAGGTGCGGATAACTATACCCGGCATGAGCAGCAATGCAATGCCCTTTTTAAGCGGTACAGCTCAGCCACGCCTTAATAAGGTCGCGTCTATACAGTCCAGGACAGCCTATGAGAGTTACCCAATAACCCAGGCATTGGCTTCGCTAGGAGTAGCTATGCTATCTTCTCCGGCCCTCGACCTCCTTCACCGTAGATTAAGGAACTCCGTCGGGCGTCAAATATATGTTGTAAGATTTACGCGTATCATTTCTCAGAATTCATAGAGTAGGTTATCGAAAACCAAGAATATAGTCAGATTATAAGTGTATAAGCAACTACAATACCACCCAAATATATAGTTATCTATAAAGTAAGTACCTTCGTAGCTAAGATGGGTAGCCACGAATTGGGAGTATCTGTATCTCATGCATCTCAATCACTACGATACTTTTAGGGGCGTTAGGCATCCAGATGCCGCTAAAGTACCATTCTACAATTATAATGTTAGGATACCACTCAAAACCAATACTGTGATGGCTGTTCCGCATAGATTGACTGGTTTCTTCGGCGAATGAGGATGGCCCTATGCGTCTTCGTACCTAAAGGGCCCATTTTAAGGAGGGATCGGATCATACCCGTTGATATTAGAAGGGGGTGTGGCTGCCTAGAACTAGATAGAATCAACAGCGAAGTAAATCTACCTAGGTATGCGACAGAGAATACCTGTGATCCTTGTTGTACTGAAGAATGATTCCACTTTTCGGTTGTTGAAGTAGAAGTATCCTAACTGTGTTGATTAATGTTAAAATCAAGGGAAAGCTGGTCCGGCCTATTCGTCTTTGGCCCTCAAGTGTGATAAAGCTGCGAAAGAATAGATCAAGCCGAGCTACTTCTAACCTCCTCGTATTTCTCTATCCGGCTTCTTTCTTCGACCCAATGGCAACGACGACGAAGTCCAAAGCAAGCGGGAAACCGCCCCGACAGAACCCAGGGCCGGCATGTCAGCAATGTAGGATACGCAAATTGCGTTGTGACCGACAATCACCGTGTGCTGGGTGTGTTGATTCAGGGGTTCCGTGTCATACCGACTCAACCCCACCCCAACGTGGTCCTAAACGAGGCCATTTAAAGGTTTTGAGATCTAGGATAGGTAGGCGAGCCATGGTGATGGCATTTGAAGATATTCGCTGATATTATTGTTAAATAGCCGCGCTCGAGCAAAAGATAGGCGAACAAGACTCTGGACCGGGGCTTTTCACACCTGCTGCTTCTGAATCTCAGTTCAACCCAGACGATAACAGCGCCCAGGACCCAATAACTCCTCCACATCCACCAAGTGTCCCCGATAATTCACCTCCAGAAGGAAGCATGTTAGAACTACCGGTTCCCGTTCAGCCTCAATTAGCACACTATGAGTTTGTCCAAGGGCAAGGATATCTGGAGCCAACCAGACTGCCTATACCCTCATTGACGCGTGCTGATCTGTAAGTAGTCGTAGTTCTGGACTACTTCCCTCGACTACCTAGGTAGTTGTCACCTTCTTAACACCTGACATAGTGACCAACTATTTTTCGATCGGATCAACCTCTTCCTTCCCATAGTACAGCAATATCGGTACTCCAAACGGTCTAGGGCTCTGCAGGTATCGTCTTCGCACATATGCCTCCAGTACGCAATGTGGACCTTGGCCGCGGCGTTGTCATCGCAATTTCATCACTTGCGTGACACACTGTATCGTGACACCCTCGAAAACTTGGCACGTAGCCCTACCGAGGATGATGCATCATGCCTAGAACACACACAGGCATGGATTCTTGTCGCCGTGTACGAGTTCATGCAGGCTCCTTTCCAGCGTGCGTGGATAAGTGCTGGGCGTGCCATCCGCCTGGTACAGCTGATGAGACTCAATGAAATCGACAAAGGTACGGATCACGAAATGAATACCGAAGCCTTTATCGAAAACGAGGAAAAGAGACGGACATTCTGGATGGCGTTCTGCTTTGATCGCTGCAGCTGTGTATTGGAGGGACTATCCTTAACGTTGAATGAGCAAGAGGTATGTCGACTCGACGGGTGGACGGCAGGTTTTGAGAATGAAACTAAGATATGCCAACTTTAGATATCCACACGCCTGCCTTGCTCCGAAGAGTCTTTCCAGAGTGGAACACGAGTTACGATGCCGTTCCTTTCGGAAGTCTTGACGACGACAGATCCCACCCTGATGTCTCCCTTCGCTGAATCCATCATCTTTACCACTCTATGGGGTCGAAGCTTCATACACCAACGACAATCCGCCGCCGAGAATAGCTTTAGCAATGCGTCTAGAGACTTCTGCGAGCGCCAAATTTGGCTCGATGATATCCTTAATCGTCGGATCCAAAAGCTCCAACAGGATTATATGGCTGCATCTGTCAAAGTCGATGCGATGCTGCTCTATACGAGCATGATCGCGCAGACAACCGCTCTTCTGTTATGTAAAACTGCCGAGTCCATCCCCTCATCATCTCCCAGCAATCTTGATCTTCTTTCGAGATACCAGCGGAGGGGTCCAGCAGCTGCGAAAGAGATCGTTCGTCTAGCTCAGTACCTCCCACACTTTAGTTTCTTCAAGGTAAGCCATCAAGACAATGATAGGTTAGACAATTGATTAATCCGCGTTAGGTCCACCCATTTACGCCGATTCCATTATATCTATGTCGGCAATTCTTGCTGGTTTTGAGAAGTAGCGATGACTCTCAGGCCGAGGATTTAGCGGTGGTTAGTGAGGCTCTCCGGGAACTAAAGGGAGTTAATGGATTGTGTCAAAATCGGTTAGAATTGGACTTCTCGAACGTGGATATGTCAGACTTGCAAGGGTCTCCTGGGACAATCATGGAGTTCCTTGAGAACTACATGGCAACATGAGCTTATGCAAAGTATTATTTAGAATCGTCAAATGGAATCATGTTACATCAATTTGCTGGCCTGACACTAGTTGCTATTAGGTACCTGGGTATATATGCGCGCGATTCATTAATCTCTGACTTAGGACTGATGTTTGGTGCGATTAATCTGCTTGGCCGATCGGAACTGCTCCGGAAACCAATATAGATCGGTAATGAATAACCCGCCATTCAGCAAACCGCGCGCATAGATTTCTAGCGACTTCGAACCCGAGGAGGTTATTCTGTCTCCAGGGTCTCTATGATTAACCAGTTCGCTCATTTACAAAGGCACCAGTACTGGTATCGTCAGGTACGTTATGATCTAACAAGAATAAATTGATAATGAAAGAACATGAAAGGGAGAGGGAGAGAGGAAAAAAAAAAAGCCACATTCTCCCAACCCCGTCTAATTCGGTAATTTGAAACCTGGCCACTAGCAAGGATTCTGGGCCGTCGACAAGTGTCAACCGGCTCGACGTCGTGCACGGTGGCATACAAATTCGCGACAATTTGTCCCACATCTTCTACACTAAACCCTCTCCTATTGTGAATCAACCGCCAATAATATACGACAGGCGTCATCCCATGTCTCACAATTGCTTCTTGCTATTGTATATCTCTTTTCTAATCTATATCCTACAACGCCTCACAACCTAGAAAATCGACACGTCATATATCAACGGACTACCGAATCCCGCGATGCGTTCGCATGTAAATAATCTTGAATGTCCGCGATAGTCGATAGGAGATGAAGATCATCGTCATTGAATTGGACTCCGAACGAGTCTTCCAGGGATGATCCGAGTTCTATAACAGAGAGTGAGTCGACGCCAATATCCTGAAGGCTTGCATTGTCTTCAACATTTGTAAGAGAAGCCCCGCAATTCTCGGATATGAGCTCTAGAACTCGCTGCCGAGTCCGTATTGCTACAGAACCTTTCCCTGCAGGCGCCTCTTGGTCTTTCTTGACTGGAGAAAGCTGCACTGCATCCTTTGAATCGTCTGGCCTACTGACTATCACAAGTTCGTCGCCTGTCGAATTTGATGGAGTAAATTCCTTGTGTACAGTATGTACAGTGTGGCTCATCGAAGCCGCCTCTTTGGACGGGTCGGGGTGCTTTTTCCGTGAATCCGACTCCGCTACTGCAAGTGTTTTCTCAGCTGAGATCCCTGTATTCCCTTTTTGCGCTGCGCTTGTACCCTGGGGTATCACGTCAACGATCGGAACTCGCTTTTGCGTGGTAGGCTCGAGCACATTGCTGGTGCTGGTACTGGCCAATAACCGTTCAAGTTTAGGTATGGGACACCTGGTGAATTTCACACCCGAGCCGATAAGGATGAGTTTTCCCTCGCTTGTAAAGACGAGCATATCGCCGGAAGCCTCCAACCCTCCTTTACGTGTAGACATCGCATACACAGTCCACGAATCGCATGACGAGAAATCACAACCTTGCATTAAGATGCTATCTATGCTGGTGGCAATGAATACTTCACCCTCGGGACACATGTCGCTGCTGTTGATAAGCAAGCCCACAGTTTGAATGAATGTATCTAGGCTGACGGTGTCGCAAATATTTGCCGCCGTGGATTCGGTCTTACTAACGGGTACAGCCGGTCGTTTAACTTGCGCCACGGCGTGTGAGCCTAGGATGGTGATATGCGAGATACCTCGCAAAACGTCGGCATAGTTGACGACACGAGAAAATAGCGCGTAAGCTCGATTGGCCATGAATTTCTCGGCTTTAGGGTCAGCCACCAAACTTTCAATCCGATCTAGCATCATTCGCTCGAGGAGTTGAAAGTCCGATTGAGATTTCACGCTAAAACGGCCCTTTACGTGGGTGGTTGGTCGCGCTTTGGGATCGTTCTTTGATGAACTAGAGAATGCAAAGCTCCAGGTTAGGTATTCTCCGGCGCCTTCCATGGTCAGCGATACATTTCTATTGGAGTTGAGCCCCAAAGCGCCCTGGAAAGAAATGTCCTCGAACTGGAGAGCCTTAACGGAAATCTCCGGCTTGATCATCTGAGCCGCCATAACCGCGCACTCCATGTACATCGACGCGGGACAGAGCGGCCACCCTCTAACTGCGTGCCCGGATACAATGTCCGTGAATCGGTTCGTTTCTGTGTGAACGATGAATTCCTGGGAGGCCCATGACTCCGACATCGTGCCTACTCGAGTTACCAATTCGGTAGGGATTGTCCGCCGTGTCGTCGCATTTTGAGCCGCGGCTTTTCGTTCTTCATTGACTGGGTCGATCCAGGTAAGCCAATGACGCTTCTTTTGGAATTGGTATGGCGGAAGCCAAACTGGTCTAAGCCCTGACTCATCAGGCGAAAGGAAAGCCCAGAAAGACGTAGTTATACCTTCCCGCCAGAGAGATGTAGTAACTGCAGATACGGCGTTGGGGTTGCCTTTTGCCTTAATCCCTAGGAATGTATGGGTGGCGGCATCCTTGACGGCCTTTTTAATCATTGGGATGATGGGGGAATCAGAGCCAGCCTCGAGCCATACGCATGGCCCAAGGCGATGCTCGAGACGAGAGATTGCATCACTAAAGTACACCGGCGTTCTAGTATGTTCTACTATTCGATCCGACGTTATGTTTTCCAGAGGACTTCGAGTGCAAGTCTCAAACGGAATCTTTGGAATGTTGAAGCTTAGAGTCCTCGCTACAGCATCGAGATGTTCCAAGATTGGCTCAGTGAAGATCGAATGGAACCCATGGCTGGTATTGACCCGTTGGTGTTGGATACCATGGAATCGCTGGTCTTTGCGCACAAGGGTTTCTACCTTGTCTATGTCCGACGCTGACCCTACTACGACTTGGCTCCTGGGACCATTGAAACAGGCAATCTCGAGCCCGCCTTGGGTCTCTGGGTTAGTCGTATTTACGCCCGCGATGATCTCATGGATCATGCTGGGATCTGCATGGATTGCTAGCATTGTTCCCCGTTCAGGGCCCCATTTACTGCTCATCAAGGAAGCGCGCGTGGCCACCAATTGCAGGCCATCTTCTAAAGAAAGGACACCCGAGACGGCCATCGCCGTAAGCTCGCCGAAACTATGACCAACAACCGCTTGCACTTCGAGACCTGAATCAATCCAGCACATAGCGCAAGCATATTGCACCGCAAATGTACCACATTGTAACAACACGATGTCCTCAATTGGGTCGTCTTGGAAAAGCCTTGGAGTAATTGCAGAGTGACCAAGATCCCGGAGTATCTCGTCGCATTGATCGAGGTAGAATCGAAGATGTGGATACCAATGATACCAGGATGGATCGAGCTGAATACTCTGTTTGCTTTGGCCAGAAAAGGCCAAAACAACTGGTTTTTTGGTACATGCTGTTTTATCAAATGTCTCGTTTTCAATGTTCGCATCCAAAGATTGTGTCAAGTGGTCAAGATCGCTTGCTGTACCAACCCAACGCATATCATGATGCTTCCGACGCTCATATAAGGTTATGGCAACGTTTCCAATGTTCATTGAGCCATTTTCGTTTGACTTGATTATCTTTCGGATATAGGATCCTAGTTTAATGGCGTTGGCTCTCAAACTTTCCATTGTAGCGGCGCTTAGGAAGACCGGGTAACTCAAGCCAGAAGTATCCATCGATTGTCTTCCTTTGCGTGGTGGCTCACTACATATAAGCGCCGCATTACTACCAGCCGCTCCGTAACTATTCACGAGAGCGGCGCGGAATGATACGTCCCACGGAAGGACTTGGCTATTGATATGTAGATGATCAGGTTCTAGGGCTGGGATCTTGGGGTTTAAAGTGCGAAATCCGGCCAGCGGAGGAAGTTCCCGATGCTGCAACATAGCTAGAAGCTTGAGCAAACTACCTATACCCGCCGCAGTCTCGCTGTGCCCGACGTTAGCTTTCAATGAGCCGATACGTAAGGTATCATCACGCTGTGGTCCGCCGAGTACCTCACGGATACTTGCAATTTCAATCGGATCACCAACTTGGGTGCCAGTGCCGTGAGCTTCGACATACGAGATATGGCGCGGCTTCAATCCAGATTTTTTAATCACATTTCTAAACAGACTGAGCTGCGCACGCGAGTATGGCACTGTAATAGCTGGTGATAAGCCACCATGGTTGGTAGCGATTCCCGGGATCACGCCTAGAATATCATCTCCGTTTGCGACTGCCGCCTTCAGTGACTTGAGCACCACAAGCCCAAGGCCATCCGCGCGGCAATACCCGTCGGCTGTCTGATCAAACGGCTTGCATTGACCAGTGGGACTGAGAAATCCAGCCTTTCCCAGGTCGAGGAAATTCTGAATGCCCGTGATCATATTTACACCTCCTGCTAGAGCCATTGGACATTCCCCTGCTTGGATCGCTCTACATGCCCTGTGGACGGCTACGAGGGAGGACGAGCAGGCCGTGTCGATCGCTTCTGAAGGACCGCCCCAGCCGAAATGGTAGCTAATCTTTCCATTTTGGAATGCTCGAATCGTCCCAGTTGCAGAGTAGCCAGTTGCGCTGTACGCTGTTGTGTTCTCCAAGTATTCGGTGTACGTAGTACCGATGAAGCAGCCGACGTTATCAAAGTCTTCACGGTTATGATGCCGTAGATAGCCACTCGAATCCAGCGCTTCGTGGGCTGTTTCGAGAAGCAGGCGTTGTTGAGGGTCCATATAGAGGGCTTCGCGGGGGCTGACGCCGAAGAATGTGTTGTCGAAAGCATCTACGTCGTCAATGAAGTTGCCATGCCATGTATCCTTCGCGTTTCGTTTGTTGTCTAAGCCTACGCGAGCCGCAAGTTTGCCGTTGAGTCTTTCTGTTGGTAGTTCTTCTGCCCTCGACTTGCCTGCGGCGACGAGATCCCAAAGCTCGTCGATTGAACTGGCTCCTGGCAGACGACAGGCCGCTCCTACTATCGCAATAGCGTCCTCTGGATAAGCATTGGGCGGTAGGCTCGTTCCGGTAGGCTTTACCGATGCGACAGCAACCATGACATCGAGTTTGGTGAGTTTTACTTGGTTGTCATCAAAAGGACTACTTGGAACACAGTTCTTTCTACCAGTGCCAAACATGGCAAATGTGTGCTCCATATCATTTCCCATCTCTTTAAGGTCTTGCGACACAGCTTGCATCAGGGTAAACCATTCGCACCGTTTGACAAGCGTACTGGTCACGACTTCGTGGGATAGAGGAACCCCTGACAGAAGCTCGCCCGTATTATTAGACCTTACGGACACCCGGAGTGCATCGGAACTTGGCAGTCGTAACTCAGCATATTCAGTACACAATCGGCAAAATTCATCGGTAAGTTCGCGGTTTTCTGGATTGTGATTTTGTCCTCGGAGGTTTATTTTCGTGACAGGAAGCCCCTCGGCTTCTGCATGCAACTTTAGTTGCTCGAGAACTCGTACCGTCCCCACAATGCTGATAGATAGGGGATCTGTCACGGCCGATACGTATGCCTTCATTCCCAATATTAGTATTAGTCAAAAGCTCACATGGCAACAGTGTTTACTTACCCCTGGAAATTTTGCCACTATTTCGTCCGCTTGCCCTGCGTATTTTGCCCTCATAACCATCGTTGTTGGACCAGGCACATTCTCATCATCGCCAAGCTCTCCGTAAGCACCAATTCCAAGAGCTATTCGCAAGGACTTGCAGGCATTTTGAACAACTTCAAGCTCATCACCAGAAGCAGCAATAGCCAAAGCGGGCAGTAAACCACCACAGAATCCCTGTGCACCTCCGATCCGGATCTCTTCGAGGAATTGGATGTGGCTAATATCTCTGAATTGGAGATACTGGAAGTATTGGACGATTTGGATGATAGTTAGAAGAGGCAGAGCTAGTATTCCTGACATTATCTCCGGTATAGAAAGGGGCACATCGTCGTCCCCAAACCAGTCTCGCATTTGCCTGACGTACTGCGGTCCATCTCTCAGAGCTGCTATGCCTGCATTCGCTTTTACAAAAATATTCCAGGTGTCAGGTAGGTTGAGGATGGCTTGTCCGAATGGCTCAAGCAATGGGTTACTACGGATATAACGGCGTATGACTGCCATATAATCCGCCTTTGGCGGTTTATTTTGAGGGCAGAACACAACTGCCGAGACGGCCCGGTGATTATCTTGTGCCATGGTCGAATAATGGCGGGACAGTAACCTCGATGTCGTGGGGGAAAGAATGACACTATTCACTTATTTTTTTCGAATATAATTTTATGAGTCGAGCGCGTTGAGTTCATAGGATGTCTGAGTAACAGGTTCACAAGAAAATATCAGTGTAGATTTGATATCCGACATGTCGATGTCTGGTTATCGGCTTCAATTGACCTGAATAACTATCTATGTAACACAGAATAATGTGTATACGCGTCCTAACGATCCATTCTAGTACATTGTTGTTTTGACAGTCCGCTACAATACTCCGACGAAACTCATCCATCGACCATAATGATGCTGTAAACTCCGTGATTGATATCTGTTGGACCATCAAGAACCTCAGAGGGGATGACTCGCCATATAAACCCTGGTCGTGGAGCGCGCGGGGACCACATATCAAGTATGTGTAACCCTCCATATCCCTACGTTTTATAGGGGACTTAACCGGTGTTCGGATTTTCGGATTCCTGTCTCAAAAGTCCTAAAAGTGACTCCGGAGTTAATACCGCCGGCGGACGCCGCCGGTTCCGATCCAAGGTAAGACAAAGGCTCGATTACGACGAAGCTCACGTATGCGGGTGTCGCAGTCGCACGTAACCGTAGTGACGTAGATTAAGAAAAGCAGAAGATTCGCAGAGATGATAATATGAGAATATTCGAAGTTTTTTCGAAGTTTGTGGTCTCAATATTGTCAAAGATGGCGTTTCTCAATGAACTTGCTCAATTGGTGCCTCAGCAAACGCCCGTAGCGAACTTCGTATTGGGGTTCATTGGGCTCCTCGTGTTAGTGAGTGAAGTTCCACGGTATTTTCTGAGATCTTACTAATAAGTTTCGCGTCTAAGAGATTCGTATACACCGCTATTAGAAGCCCCTTAGCGTCCATTCCAGGGCCGCTACTCTCTAGGTGGACCGACATACACGTGAGAATCAAGCTACTTTCTGGGTCGAAAGCACGTTATGTTCATTCACTTCATGAGAAATATGGTAGGCCATCAGCGCTGCAATAAAAAATCCCCTGATTGAATGATACTAAATGCATCGCAGGTCCGGTAGTCCGGCTTGGCCCTCATGAAGTAGACGTCGCTGATGTCTCGGGCGCCCGTGAGATACACAAAGTAAGGTCCAAGTATCTCAAGGACCCTGGGTTCTATGTCGGGGGTAAAGTCCGAAGTCTCTTCTCGACGCTTGATCCAGCCTTTCATGCTCAGCGTAAGCGTACTTTGGATAAGTGCTTCGCAGAAACTTCGATGGTTGAACTCGAGCCAGCGGTCATTCGGAAGGCTCACTTCACTATTTCGAAGATAGAAAATGAGATGAAAACGAAAGGCTGCGCCGATATCCTTCATTGGTGGACTCTGTTTGCCATGGACATCATCAGTGAGCTGTGCTTTGGCGAGTCATTTCAAATGCTCGAGATTGGAAAGGTGATTACACCTAAACGATGAAGTTGTTTGATTATGCTGACATCTTCATACATAGAAAAATCAATATGCTAAGGATATCGCTGTTATGGGATCTCTATTGCCCCTCCGTGGCGCATTCCCAACACTCATCTGGCTAGCAGCATACCTTCCTCTCTTTCCCGAGCTCAGAGATGTAGGCATCATGAGACAGCGCATAGTTGAGTATGGTATCAAACGTACCGATAAATACCTACAACTCGTGGAAGACGGCGGCGCCAAGAGAACACTATTTTCAAGCCTAGTTCACAAAGTTGGTTCACAAAATGAGGAGCTCTCTCGAGAAGACATTACAACCGAAGCCCAGTCTTACATTACAGCCGGTACCGACACGACCGCGGTTACCTTGACATATCTCATCTACGCCGTCTCTAGGCAGAAGGATGTCCATGATAGACTTCTCCGGGAAATTCAGGCACTCCCTGCAGAATTCAACCATCGCGACCTTAGGAACCTCCCTTATCTGAACTGCGTTATCGATGAGACGTTACGATTGTACGGTGCAGCTTCAGGGGCCCTACCTAGAATTGTCCCGAAAGAAGGAGGTCAATTAGGTGGCTATTACGTTCCGGGAGGGGCAGTTGTGTCAACCCAGAATTACACGATACATCGAGACGAGGAGATTTTTCCAGACCCTGAGAAGTATTATTAACCGCCATAGGTCAGTTGTTACCAAGGGAAGACTAACTCCGAAATAGATTCGATCCGTCACGTTGGGAAACCCCGTCTAGCGAGGCGAGAAATGCATTCATGCCATTTGGTATCGGATCTCGAAGTAAGTGTCTATCCCGCGAGCCCGCCTCAAATACTTTCTAACTAAGCGTGATTGATTAGGCTGTATTGGTATCAACCTTGCCCGCCTAGAGCTACGACTCTGCACAGCTCTGTTCTTTAGGAAATTCCCGAACGTCAAACTTTCGAACAAGTTTGGCATGACTGATGATGAAATGGATCCTCACGTCAACTTTCTAGCGATGCCTGCGGGGCATCGATGCCTGATCGAAGTAGTGTAATTCATTACGAGTACTCAGTTAGCTCGGGGGTTCTCTTTCGGGTCTATAGGGGCGGGATAGGGGCATTATTAGCATCAAGGGATATTCTTTGGTTAATGGTATAAGAGCAAATTAGATGGATCTAGGCATGGTAAAATGGTCATGGTGGAGTAGGTATGGGTTTGAAGTGTGTTATTTCATAGTAAAAAAGAAAAGATTACAACATGTTATTTGAACTTCAACGTACCCGTTAGCATACTCCCACGCCTGGGGGCGTCGGGACGTACGTTCCAGGTGTAAGGGTGCCGCTGCTTGAGACATACCTAGGTATAGTTACAGGGTTACAACTTGTAAACGGATCTTAGTACTTGATAATAATATTAGCACTCCGACTTCCGACAGAAAAGTCCGGCGGGCTTTCCACGTCCCATATACGGACATCCACAAGCTTGTGCAAGATTTCCCGCAGACTTATATCTTGCCTTAAAGGTTTTTCTTCTTATGGTGCGATTATCCATAAGCGAAAGGTACCCATCCGCTCAACGTCTGTCATTGCTGTGCCTGGTGACCTTAGCGCTTGAAGGTATTTTGAGAGATGGCTGACTATGGGGATCTCGCCCGCTACCAAGACCAGGCTCTTGGCCAATTGCCCATGTTGCAAGTCTACTCCCATATTCTTTACTTTTTCCCCATGCCACATGGCTCCTCCCGCGAGCAGATCATCCATGACCTCGAAGCAGCCGTCACTAAAGTAAGGACGGATGTTCCCTGGATGGGAGCCCGAGTCGTGAATATCGGTAAGGCGGAAGGAAACTCTGGGATATACCGTCCAATCTCGTGCCAGCTTCCAAAACAAGCTATCGATATTGCGGACTTCACGGATGAGATCCCCGAATATACCACCCTACACGCACAGAAAGCACCGCTTTCTTTGATCGACACCGAGAAATTGACCCCTGTACCTGGCTTCCCGAAGAAATTTGAAGATTCAGACGAAAATCCTGCCCACGTCGTTCGGTTACAAGTCAGCTTCATACGACGAGGCGTGGTAGTGGACTTCGCTTTCGAACACAATATGGGAGATGCTAGTGGACATTTCGGATTCGTGAAATTGGTCGCAATTGCTATGAGAGGCGAAGATTTCCCGCCCTCTTTCCATAAGGTAGCAAGCCGAGATCGTAGAAATATTATATCTCTACTGGGACCCAATGAACCTATGTTGGACCACAGCCACCACAAGCGCCCGCCTGTCACGGATGCAGCCCCTTTCATCCCCCGCCGAGATGCGAGATACCACGTATTTCGATTCACGGTGGAAAACATGAACAAGCTTAAACGTATCGCAAGTCAACGCGAAGGGTTCGATCCGGATGTGCCATTCATTTCGACGGACGACGCCATTTGTGCGTTTTGTTGGAAACACTTCATCATTGCCCGCAAGGACCGGTTCCCAGCAGACACAACTTCAAGATACGCTCGGCAGATTGATGGTCGAAAGCTTATTGGACTTCCACCTGAGTACATGGGTGAAGTAGCGCACACGATGTCTGCTTGGATGACTTTCCAGCAGCTTGCCGAGGCCCCTCTATCAACCATTGCCTCGTACCTGCGTAAGCGCCTCAACGAAACGAACAACCTCTACCATCTTCGAAGTTTTGCAACGTTTATTGCGCGGGAGCCGGATAAATCGACCATTACATACTCGGGGAAATTCAACCCAGATGTAGACATCGGATGTTCGTCAATTCGCACTCTTGATGGGGTGTTCCCAGATTTCGGTAGACTTGGGAGGCCGAAATTTATTCGCCGGCCCCCAAGTGTGCCGTTCCCCAGTACATTGGTTCTATACCCTGGCTCGCCTGATGGAGATTGCGATGCGATCGGTTGTCTGACCGACGCTGACTTTGAGGCAATAAGTGCTAACCCGGAGTGGAACAAATATGTTGAACATATCGGGTGATCCTTAGTAGATATCTCAATAATTGAAGAATTCAATTGCTCCCGTAATATTTTAGAATTATCTATTGTTTGTTGGGTGCAGCGAAATCCCTCACGGCATCGCCGGGTTAAACCCTACCAGGAAGTTCGTTAGAGAACACCATGAATGTCAAGATAGGCATCACTGTATTAAAAGTGTTCGTCAATGACAAGTATTATTCTATTGTAAAGAATCGCATCTCATCTTGAAACATCTAAATCTCTTCTGACAACCATTAGAATTGATTTAATGGATGGTACTCGCCTTGCGAGGCACGTAGCTCCTAGGTAACTTGGCAGACTGGTTGGTAGGCACCTCGAGAGGAAGCTGGAGGGGTTCTTTTATTCCTGGTAATGGACGTGGGGCATCACGGCGCTCGCTGATCCATTGTGACGATAGAAGTTCGGTCTCAGGGGTTGGCCATCATATATATACCTACCTGGGTAGGTAAATTATAAAGGGAAGTTGTTTAATTGATAGCACTTCCAATGAGATGTCTTAGTATGCATTTGCTTGAACGGATAAGTTAGTTGAGACGTCCACGGACCGAAAGACAAGAAGGACAGGATAGGGGGTAACCATCTCTAGCACATGATTCGACGACGTTTAGCGCGACGAGCACTCGCATGTCGCCTAAACAAGAAGGTATATCGGTCTAGAGCGCTGCAACCTAGCTATGTCGCGCAGATCAGTGGGGAAGGGTACGGCGCAATGCCCTCTTGTCCTGATAACGAACGTGTTTTGATCTGACATACCTTCTTAAAAACATTAAATTGCTTTAATAGAGGTCGGAAGCCCTCTAATATCGTCTGGAAATGGCGACACCACAGCTTCTGACAAAATGGCATCTGTTCGCACGTTTACTGCCGGATCCTTGACTGTGCTGAGCCTAGCTCAGTCCGTCCTTGGCGGCGCTCCCAAACAATGCACAGGCACATCAGAGTTGTCATGCCATAATTCCAGCAGTGTCGCCGATACTTGCTGCTTCAATTATCCCGGAGGATCACTATTACAGACTCAATTCTGGGATACAGACCCCGTAGTCGGACCGGACGATTCTTGGACTATCCACGGTCTATGGCCGGATCACTGCGATGGCACATATGACTCCACATGCGACAGCAAACGCGCCTACACGAATATATCTGATATCCTAAAGTCATCTGGCAACGATGACCTCCTAACCTATATGGAGACCTACTGGCTGCCGAATGACAGTACCGGTGAAGAATTCTGGGAACACGAGTGGGGGAAGCACGGCACATGTGTCTCAACGCTCGAACCAAGCTGTTTCACCGATTACCAGCCTACCGAAGAAGTACCCTACTTTTTCAACACAACAGTCAGCCTTTTCAAGTCGCTGCCGACGTACAAATGGCTTTCCGATGAGGGCATTACGCCAAGCTCAAGCAAGAGCTATCAACTATCCGATATCCAGGCTGCGCTCTCTAAAAACCACGGCGGAGAGACCGTCTATATCGGCTGCACTAGTGGCGCAATTGAACAGGTGTACTACTACTTTAACACATACGGCTCGGTCGCCAATGGGCAGTTCGTGCCAGCCAGTCCCGACAATGGCGACGACGGCGGTTGCCCTGACTCAGTGAAATACCTCCCCAAGAACGGTGGAGGCAGTGGTGGTGGTGGTTCGACAACTTCTCCCACACCGACAAGCACAACATCTGGCGGCCCTTCACCAACGCCAACTGGAACATTTTCAGGGAAGGGTTACTTGAACGCAGTTACCGGTGGGTCTGCTAAAGGCTGCCTTATTAGCAGCGGTGCTTGGTATACAACAGGTACATGCGCAACATTTACAGCTGCCTCTTCAGGAAGTGGCTTTACGCTGAAGTCCAGCAAGGGCTCCTGTTCAGTATCGGGTGGCTCGCTAACCTGCGGCGCGAGCACAGCTAGCGCTGACTCTGACGTCTTTGCCGCAGATGGCGCAAATTTGGCGAATGCCGATGGGAACGATTGGTACGCTGATTCAGTACCTAGCGGTTCAAGCCAGGGCACTGTGTACTCTGAAAAGGGATCGCATGGCACCACGCTGCAAATACAATGGCAGAGTGCGTAGAGTACATGTATTAGAATATGAAGCATTATATATAGGCCTAGAAGACATTCCTGTAAATATATACATCGCAACCCGTGAAGAGCATTATTCAAATTTTTGTCTTCAAGGGGAACCCATCTAAGAACCACTTTATTCGTGCCATTACGAGCTATCTAGCGTATCCAAGGAAAATGGCGCCTTGTGTATTTTTCTTTTCTTTTTGTCTTGCCAACGGATGGTGTTAAACCGGGGCTCTACTGTCGGAAACCTGTAGGGAGAGCTGATTTTGTAGTATTGATGTGCCAGCGCTTTGCGACGCCACTGAACTCCAGGGCGTCTTATCCACCCACCCACCCAGCTCAGGGATATACTCCGTTAAATAACTCCGCCACGTCAACACCCACTCTCGTAAATTAAATGATCGTCCTCCCAAGTTGCCCGGTTGTCTTTTAACATCACACCTCACATCCGATACTGCTCGGAAACTTCCTCAACATGATCCACCTTAACTTCACGATGGTCTATCGGAATATAGTACTACATAGAAACAACAATCCGACTTAATACTCCGAGAGGACTGAGTCCTGGCGGGGAGTAGCGATGGGGAAATTCAATCACCTCGAACTCGCTGCTAAGATGGATACTGACGTAGTCAGATGGGATAGATCTAATAAGCCTTATTTCACGCGTATAATGAGTAATTTTCATGCATTTTGGAGGTGAAAAGCACCAGAGAAGGAATCGCTATCTGATTATCACAGCGAGAATCTAAACTTTTCGGTTTCTAAATCTAATTTTGACTCCCGAAGCGAAAAATGGCGGCACGAGAACCATCCCAGGTGCATGTCGCTGTAGTTGGTGGAGGTATTATTGGGTTGGTAACAGCTCTGGGCCTCCTTAAACGCAATATACCTGTCAAAATCTACGAGCAAGCACGTTCATTCCGTGAAATCGGCGCCGGCGTGGCATTCACTGCAAATGCGCTAGAATGCATGGCCTTACTTGACCCTGTCATCGTGGACGCCGTCAATGCTGTAGCTACGACCAACGGCGAGGACAAGAACAATCCCAATGATTATCTACGCTATCATGATGGCTATAACTGGGACCCAAACGATATCGAAGGCTCGGATGATAAACTTCTGGGTCTTCTTCATTCCGGATACAAAGGTTTCCAGGGCTGCCATCGTGCCAACCTCCTCGACGAGTTGGTCAAATACATCCCAAGCCACGCAGTCGAATTCGGAAAGCGCTTTACGGGATATGATGATAGGGGGCCGACGAAAGGGTTGCTACTACATTTCCTTGATGGGAGCACGGCCGAAGCTGATATAGGTAGGCGTTCATTCATTCCATGAGACTTACCCCTCAACTGACTCTCATAGTCATCGCTTGCGATGGAATCAAGTCCAGGGTGCGGCAGCTTATTCTAGGCGCCGACAATCCAGCTTCCCACCCACACTTCAGTCATAAAGTCGCCTATCGTGCCCTAATCCCCATGGACCGTGTACTACCAGTGCTAGGCGTCTTCAAGTCGTTCAATCAACACATGCACACGGGCCCCAGGGCACATATTTTACATTTCCCTGTTGCGGGGGGTGATTTCCTAAATGTTGTGGCTTTCATCAGGGAGATTGAAGACTGGCCACTCGATGACCCCAACAAGGTTGGCAACATGACGAAGCCAGCTACCCGTGAGGAGGTGGCCGCCGCATTCAGGGGTTGGGGTCCCACTGTGTGCAAGATTGTGGACCTACTACCCGATAATATTGATAAGTGGGCCATCTTCGACACGTACGACCATCCCGCGCCGACATTTGTTCAAGGACGTGTATGTCTAGCAGGAGACGCTGCCCATGCTTCATCGCCGCATCATGGAGCAGGCGCTGGTATCGGGGTTGAGGATGCGTTGGCATTATGTACGCTCCTAGAGAAAGTCGCAACAACCATTTCTCAAGACCCACAAGCTGAAAAGGGGATGATTATCGAAACCTCGCTCAAGATTTATGATAAAGTTCGGCCCCCTCGCAGTCAGTGGTTGGTTAAGAGCAGCCGCGAGGTTTGTGATGTCTACGAGTGGGTTTACCCGGACACTCTGACGGATTGGGACAAATGCCTAGCTGAGATTACGACTAGATCTCACAAATTGTGGTATTTTGACTTCGATGGCATGTTGAAGGAGCTTCACGACAGCTATGAGAACTGCCTCCCATCCAAGTCGGGAGGGAATAATCCATCGAATGGCGCTCAAGTTAAGATGGGAAACAATGTGATTCCAGTAAGCTGAATTGCTTTCATATGCCATACGAACCTACCTAAGTAGGTAGGTAGGTACGCATAGGTCCGAGCCTATCGGCGATACGAAGGAGGTTACAGATCAGCCGAATGTTCATAGATAATTACGCTGTGGAGTTAATACATGATGCGGTGGGGTTACCCATGTTAGTATCCTAGATATACATCTGCGTCCTCTCGTCGCAAGCCTTTAGCTAAGAGTAGCTTCTCCGCGTAATCGGTATAATATCCCTGGATTCCCCAAGCTCCAGATCCCAGTGCCATTGGTTCCCATTTAACGCCATATTCCCTGTGAGTGCTCGCTCTTCCTTCTGACTTGTATTTCTCATCGGCTGTTGAAGATATCTCAGCCGTTGGCACGTAACCAATGTACAGTATATTATCCACCGGGGTACACAATGAAGTTGTGCCCATCCAGTCGAGGCGGCTCGGGATAATTCCAATTTCTTCCTTCGAATCTCTACAGAACGTATGCAATCCTCCATAGAGAACTTCGCCGATAGTACGAATTAAGTCGTCTTTCGTGATACCATCGGATTCCCCCTTCCTGGCGTAAGTCTCAGCGTGGACGATATCCTCAGTGTCGTAAAAGTCAGCACAGCCAAGGCACAGATAATTATTCCATCCCCCATAAAAAGTCAGTGTGAGGGATTCGGCGGGCGGTTCCATGACAGCATTAGGAATATCATCTCGAGATGCTATTTCTTGCAACACTTGGTCAAATACGGCGCAATAGTAGGCATTATGTTCCTCAAGTGACATTTCCCCGCCATTTTTCTTTGCTGTCTTTGTGGCTTCGTCTAGGCGACTCGTAAGGAGCTGAAGGAGGATACCCCATTGCGCTTTTCGGGCTGTAGGCCTTTCCTCAAAATCGGAATAATTCCTCTACTTGTCCTCTAGCCGTACTGTTTTCAATTGGCCGGTAAGCTGGTCCATAGCGATATATTCCTGGGGTTATTGGTGTTTTATTCAGAAGATTACGTCGGAGCGATCGGGTATGTCGTAATGTCGATGTAAATCCAGTTTGCTTTGTGAAACAAGATCTGCCAATGGAATGAAATTGCCAAGAACCAGTCTATTTAAGTAAAGCACCAAGAATTGAACTCATAGGGATTTTCTAGAAAGATTTATATTTCTCTCATGATGCGCGTTGCTCCCTAGACTTGTGAATAACTATAGCATTGTCCGATCCGAAGAATCTATTGTTTCTGTTTGCTCATCCCTTCCGTTTACTCCGCGACTAAAGTGACTCCCATTTCCTTCTTTAATATCTGCACGATAAGTTCCAGAAACGCTGCTACTTCTAGTGAGTCATGATAAGCGTCATTGTAATTGACAGAAAATTGTAGCTTCCCTCCAAACGTCCATGCATACAAGAGCATCTGACGAGTCATCATACTCACACCAAAACGAAAGTCCCTTACTTTCACTGCACCACCACCATACTCGCCAGATAAGTTTCTCTCAATCACGCCGAGGCTGCTTAAAGTGACGCTGCTCGGCGGCTTTGGGGGCGGGCCGCGGTTGCACAGCGCCTCGTATTGGTACTGAGTCGCTACACGGTACGCGCGTTTGAAGTCTTCATTATACCAACTTCCGGTTTGGTTCGAAAACTCCTTGGTCTTTTCATAAAACGATGAACTGTGATCCACTGTGGGTGCTTGCCCTACGACATAAACTTGGACCGGGTGGTCTCTGCCATTATAGGGCTCTTGCAGGTGATTTCGCATGTTTACTGCCATCACCGCTGCGTACTTCTTGGTGCATTCGTCTAGCGAGAGTACGGGAATCGCACCTGCGAGGGCAGCGTAAATGGCTGAGGTGACGGTAACTTTGCGCGCTTTACATGTAGCAATGAAAGCTGCCGTGCTGTCTTCGTTGAAGGTCGTAGCTGTAGCCGCTGGACGTCCTGGGGGAGTTTTCGCATCGCCAAGATATGGTAGACCACCTGCGTGCACGGCATTCTTATGATGCTCTTTGATGTGCTCGCGCGCCAAGGCCTGGACCTCTGGTGTTTCTGTCGCTGGCACTCCAAGGGCTTCTTCCAGGTTCGGCGAGATTTTGTGCAGATCATTTGCCCATGACTTGGAAGTAGGAGCGCCAGTAGCTTTCGCGAGTATAGTGAAAAAGCGATCCATTATCATACACGTCCCAAGGCCATCAATCCGCCAATGAGAGCAGAGAAAGACAACTTGTGACAATTCAGGGAGGTAGTGTATGGTTGGTGTGTCTCGCGGCGGATAAGAAGCCAAGATATCATCCGACGATGAGATCGGATCGACGATGAAGGTTTCGTCAGCCCATTTTTCTACCGATGATTGGTTTGGTAGGATATAGGTCTTTTTAGTCAGGCCATCCGGAGCCACGGCGAGAGCTGGGAAGTCATATCTCAATGCTTTCCATGCATCGCGCAACACTGCTGCTGGGTCTTTGCCCGATAATGATGGACCGAGCTCGAAGTCACATACGCAATAGAGACCCCAATGTTCGCGGCCAACAGGTTTGAATAGCTGCGAAATATTGCGATAGATCTTCTCTACCCCACAGAGCTCTTTGCTGTACACTCCTGGTGATACTTCAGTCCAATCCATTTTTGCAAGATACGTAAACGAATAAATTAGAACGGAATAACTTCGAATCGGCGTATGAGTAGCACCAGCTTCATATGAATTACTCACTTAGAGAGCGAATCGTAGTTCAAATAGTCATTGAGATCTAGGTATTTCGACTCGTAATCCACTCTTCATCCGAAAGGAAAACCCGAATTGAAACTCCGTCTCATCGAACACAAATATACTTCAACCAAGATATGGCCATATAAATATACACTCTCGCAATGCGGAAGTTGATATGGATGCCTTGGAGTTCTATAGTACTCTAGATGATGTTCATCAATATTAAATTCCCTACCTAAATCTTCATTTAGATCTCTTGTAAGGCTAGGTTTCAAGATGCCATGGTCCGAAATCTCACCCGGACATTGGCAGAGGCCAATAGGAGAAAATGAAGCAATGATTAAATGGATTGGTGACAGGGCACATCCGACCGGGCGAGAACATTGGTCGGTTAGAGCTATTGGTGGCTTCGACCTATCCGGCTCACTGGATGATGTCGACATCTCCTCAAGATTACGCAAGGCCTGGATGCTTTTCCGATTCCAACATCCCAGCATAGCATCGACAGCTAGCACCAATAGTTTGGATTATATCGTCCCAGATGCTGAGGCCCTTGAGCGATGGACAGATGAGACATTGCATGTTATCTCGGAGCCCGGCATAACCGCCGACGACTTAGTCGCAAACTTGAAGCCTTCCCCCTACGTCACAGGCTACTTCATCGCGCATCCCAAGCAGTTCATCCTGCATACTGCACATTGGCGCACGGATGGTCCCGGTATACTCCAGCTTCTCAATGCGTTCTTCGAGGCGTTCGTATCGGAGCTAGACCCCGCTACTGTACCTTGGGGCAATGAGCCTGTCCGCCTTGCACCTAGCGTCGAAGAGGTTCTTGAACTCCCGCAAGAGCCGACTCCCGAGATCCAAGCAGCAACAGCGGAATGTCTCAAGAGTGGTGCTCTTGTCGCCGGTTCTATCGGCTTACCCTACCACAATGACGCTTCTATCAAGCCCCAAGGAACACGCGGTGTTCGACGCACCCTGTCAAAATCTATAACGGACTCCGTGCTAGACGCTTGCAAAGCACGTAATCTTACACCCTTATCCGCAGCTCATGCATCTCTCGCTGCGGCAAACTTCGTCGGATGCACCTCATCGCCATCTGAGATGGGTCATTACACGAGTAATATGCGCTTCAGTCTGCGCCCGTATCTTAAGGAACCATTCAACTCTGCACAATACGCCTCAGCGCTGTATACAGGTAGTTACATGGCTAAAGTACCACCAAATAACTCATGGCTAGAGAACGCAGAACAGTACAATACGATGTACAATGCTGGCCTGAACCATGAGTTCCTCATAGCACGCAGACAGTTCGCAACCCAGATCTTGGCGTTTTTGAAACGTGCTGGGGAGTTAGGACCGCCAAGAAGTGAGATCGATATATCTAGCGTAGATGATGCCGAGAAGTTAGTTCAAAGGATTCATCGCAGTGGGACACAGGGTGGAGGTTCGCTAAAAGTTAAGGACATCAGTCTAGGTATTGAATGTTTGGCGAAGGAGAGCTATCTGTTTTTCTGGACATTCGCAGGTAAAATCGAGCTCAATTTGATTTTTAATGAAGCGTTCTACGATAGGGATTTCATGGAAAGGATTATGGAAGAGATAGAGAGGTCGTTGAAGAGGGAATTGGAGGTTGAGAATGTCTAAGACATCTGCATTGATCGTGGATCATGTAAATCGAGGATTGAATGCATCATTGATTAACACCTGTCTAGGTACACTAGGTACCTACTCAGTTGACTTCTGCTATAGCGGGTACCTATAACTTCCTGGGGAGTGAACGATTTCAGGGCGATCAAGCCGTGTTGGCGACCATCTGCGCCAAGACGGTTGGTAAACGCCTACTGGCCGTGACAGCCCTGTAGGCTTGCCTAAGTCCGTTATTCCCGCCTGAGCTACGCCAACTCTCTAGCGTCCTGAAAAGATGGCGACCTCTAGTCTAAGGAACGTCCGCAGGCGGATGCTCGAACACCCGAATCGTGAATTCAATCTTCGTAGGCGTATAAAACACTCGAGAGTTAGCTATGTTCTTGGAAGGCTGCATAGATTCGAAAACGTGTTCGTGACAGGAAACGCATAGTTCCCGACTGCTGAGCTCTGGAACTTTACCCTGCCGGTCCTGCCTACGTGCTGGCAAGGAATCGTCATATAGGGCTGGGCCAAGATTCAGGTCAGGGGGATTCCGCACTCTCTTATGGATATTTGGGATGATACTCAACCTCCCTATGTAGGGCTGTTCCTCTAAAAAGCACAGTTTAGCGAGCGTTACCTACCCAGATCGCTAAGGAATGACACCCTAGTAATCAAATGGGGGGTCGCGAATGTACCTAACGTAAGAGATTTAATCACGCCGACCCGTTTCGTCCCAATGATTGATCACATCTATTTTGGTTCAACGCGATTTGTTTCAGAGATATATGAAAGCTTTGACCTAAATTTGTTGGTATGCTTGCGTTGATCATGATCCAGCCAACAGCCAGCTAAAGTCCTACATATTGAATCTGCATATACGAAAAAGCAGGAGACTATAGACGAGACTTGACACATAGCGACACCTCTAATTCTCGGGCAACTCCTAACAACGTCAATAAGAGTCGGGAGGAGTTACGCGAACAGGAGGAGTGGCAGATATAGGACCGATTACTTGGCATCGAGTTAGCTACCAAATACCCCACGACCAGTCGCGGGGTTCCCTTATAAAGTCCACCAGAACGGATTGCCCCTGCACCCGCGTGGCAGCGCCCGGCAGCTCGGGAGGGAATACAAAAAGAGGGAGGTGGGTTATTTTAGCTGACTGGGTGGATGGGGGTTTGGCCCCTAGTACGGCACAGCACTCCGGTTCTCATAGGGGGCTGAATAGAGATGTTCATCGAGGTCTATGAATATGATACTCGGTTACGCAGCTGCAATTGAAGATTTATTTTAATTTTTATGAGTTTCGCATTGCCCTCGCGGCAGCATTCGGTGGCCTTCGGCCAGATTGCTCGGGTCCGTATGTAACAAATGTGTGCAGTATTATGAGACAGGGTCTCAAACACAACCATGTCAGCGTATTCCTATTCGCTGGATACCATAGCAACCAATTTATTGGGGTCACTGCTGTTCAGAGGCACCGAACAAATCGAGTCGCTCAGTCAGCTTATTGCTCAGTAAGTCAGCGCCGCCGACGAAAAGACGTCGGGAATTACTCAAGGAGGCAGGTAGGTAGCTGATTGACTCGTGGCCCTCTAAACGAAAGAGAATTGCTTTGATCATGTGGCATTTGTATTCAATATTCAGGTGGTGTAATACACCTTCATATATCTTAAGTAAATTGCATGTGATCTCTTCCAACCACTGCCAAAATAGCAAATTGCAAGGCTCCTTGCCAGTAGACCGTTGATCCTAAATCTCATCCGATGTGTCGCTGTAAATAATCCCACCAGAAAAGCCCTCATGTGAACGCCAGACACCTGCCGCTATGGTATCATGTAAAATGCATGCGCCATCATTCCATTGTCCCATCCAATACATAATCGTAAAAATATTATTAGGATTATGATGCACTTAGTTATCCAAAATTGCTGCATGTATCGCGGAACTGCCCGCATTAGGGCTGTTCAGCGCTGTCTGGTTCTGCGGCCCAGGTTTAAGATAGCAATTCCCCGGCGCATTCTGCTGCTCAGCAAACGTACGATTGGTCCACGCGGGGATAAAGCTGACACCCGCGCAGGTAGCATTGTAGGCTGTGGTCATATTGGAGATATGAGTGAAATCCGAAGCAAGGTAGAAGGTGTATGAAGCGCAGGCGTCTATGCAATCGTTGAAGTTGCCCACGAAAAGAGAAGAGAGTGGATTATTCGGCGCATCACTGTTACAATATAATTTGAATGTAGTTCTATTGAAGACTGGAAATTTTAACCGATTAGCGATCATATGATTCCATAATTATTAGATCAATCGCGATACTTACAGTGAGTCGTATAAGTGGTCCCCGACACACCACCCGAGTTTTTAGAGCATCCATTGTCGATATCGCTAAAGTCTGATGCACTTGAAGCCGGCGCTGAGCCTGTGGAAGTTGAAGATGCGTTTAATGCGGCTAATCGCGCCTCAGCGTTGTTTGCGCGGTTCGCCTCGACTCCCGTTCCCGCCGCCAGCCCTATGACGGTTATGGATAAAATCGCGATAATAATAGACAGAGTGAATACTAAAACTGAGCATCCTAATATTTGTTTTCGGCCTCTTCCTTTGTCGGAAGCTGGTACATGGCCAAATCCAGATTGATAGTCATATGAAGCATACGGCGAGTGAGTTGAACTTTCGGGTGGCCTATAGCTTGGATACGTTGTTGATGGGTTCGTTAATTCCTCCAATTTTATGGGTGTCGGAGGTGTATGACGTTGCCCGTATGCAGCCACTTCTGGTACAGAAGGTGGGTGATGAACTTCTGGGAAATTATGAGGTGCCAGCTCAGGCGCTTCATCGTACTTTCGGTGCCGTTAGCAGATTTCCCTGACACGGAATTAGCGATAATACTACTCACTCTTGGTGGCATCCTCGATCGTCCGAAGTGTATGATTTGTTCTTATGATGATCCCAAGTATTTGAAGTGGACACTCCTTCAGAACATTACGATCAGAAGAATGTCTCAGTCGGTGCTGACGAAAAAAAAATTCAACATCAGGAACAGCAGAAGGTGGGATATGAATAGTTAGCCGCATAATCACAAGTACACCAAAAATCGAGCTAGATAGATCTGACCCCTGCCCCCCTAGGTAACAAATTCCTCAAGGACCTTAGCCAATCTGACGGCAGCTTCAGCTGTTAGGTAATATGTTTTTCACAAGAAATTGGGCTATGTTGAACCCGGTCCCGACCTGGACATGGGATTCGACAGGGCTACATAGACGTGGACCGGGGCCTCCGTCCCCCAATGTAACCTAGAAGAGAAGGCCTGGATGCCATGGAATCTGGAGTGTCTCGAGTATCTTACAGCTACAAAAATAATGCTAATTTGCCTGTTTCTACACATACCTGTAACAAACGTCAATAAAGCTACGGACCCGAGATGATTACCTGCTATCTCCTTGACTTTAGCGACTCAGTATTTTGATACAGTATTCGCGTCTGAATTACCTCCTAAGAGTCCTAGCTGAGCAAGACGGAAGTGGGCGGAACAGTTGAAGGGGGAATATGGCTCGCTTCAAGATTACTCTAGTCTAATAGTTCGAATGGAAGTATACCCCGTTATATTACCAGCTCATAAGTTGAAATTATAGTGAATTGACCAGTAACTTTGGATATCGCGCGCAACTAGGCTTCTGAAATATCAAGGCGGTGTAAATAACAAGACATAAGAAATTATGTAGAAAATTTAATCCAGCGGAATGTAACAACAGCGGAAAACATTGGGCTGTAATGACATATAACGAAGCTCTAGATCCATCGTCAATGTTACCTACCTCTTAAGTACCTACGTACGTAAGTAGCCAGCTATATCTTCCCCACAAGTGAAAAAGTGCACCGCGTTCTTAACTCCGGGATGAGTTAGAATATTCCATGCGTAGCATTATCAACAACATCCTCGGCCAGCTGAGTTCGAGTTAGTTTGAATTCGGAATATGGTGTCGTTAGGTTGCATGAGAGCATTCTACATTCCTGGTACCTTTCTTATTAAATACATGGATACGAAGTTGCTGACGCCAGCCCGCCGGGTGACGCCGTAGCGAGAGACCCCATAGGGCTGAGGACTAGAACCACAGGGGTCTCATTACGTGCCTTCAATAGCTGAGTAAGTGCCACGAGAGCAAAGTCCTATCTCAATACTATATCTTAGTTAGGTATATAACCCGATATTACTTCCATCTATGGCTGGTATTTGTTCTCAAGTCTATAACATATTCTTTGGAATCAAAGCAGCTGACATAAACCGCATACGTGTTAATCGCCGCCCTCTCCGGGATAAATATGAAAGTGCTTGGAGCGACCGAGACTCCCAACCATACCATACTCGATACGCTGTGACCGCGGGGCAAAATCAACTAACCAATCCCCTGCTATACTTGAGCACTGCCCGAGCAGTATAAATATTCCGATTCATTGCTATATATATATATATATATATATACCTCTAGAGAGTGTGTTCGTGTTATACACCAACTCCAAGTAAAGTCGATTGCTATACTGTTTCGTTAAGAGTTAACAATCTATTAATACTAAATAAAAGCGCTACCGATGTTAGAACTGCAGTTCATTCCAGATGGGGAGACCGGGCTCTCAAAGACTTTTTTACATCCTTATAGAGTTATTGTTACAACAAGCGAAGCTTATACCTATTTCAATAGAGGCGAGGGAATGACAACTGCTTGTACCTATAACGTTTAGGCATTTTGGGGCAGGCATTTCGTCCCTATGGTCCTAAGAAATCCCCCTAATGACGGCCATAACTGACTGAACATAGAATATCAATGGTGAAATACCCCACTTCCGCATAGGGCCACTACCTAAGTACCTAGGTAGTGAGCACGATGCCAACTTTCGTGGAATGAGATCGCTCCAGCATACAATGATGATAGGGGTGCAGTATACGTTAACCAGTAGTATATTATATCGCTATATTTAGGTGGTGCATTGTCGACTTACACCCAGCTTTATCTCCACTATTACCTTCGAGGTCTCCTTACACGACCGTATCCCTAGTACGAAACGAGAAAAAGTCGTCTTCGCCTTCCGAGATACTAGGAATTGCTAGAAAGATATCACTATGGTTCTATATAAAGAGGAATTTTGAGGTCTCCCCGGGCTAATTGGATCTATTTCAGTTGTAAATAGGGAGCTAGTACGGGGTTGGCATCAACTGGGGCGAAGGAAGTTTCCAGCGTCCTATCCGCCTAGGTTAGGTGGCTCCCAGTAGGTACCTACATAGGTATGTCCGCTGAGGATCCTCCGCTCACGAACACAAGTACCCGCTAGGCCCGCATGTCAGGGGCTTCTATACTATTTTACCCCCTACACTGATTTCTTTCAAATTGCAGCGCCACCGTCTTTGGAATGAAGAATATTGAGCTCTCTATCCGTGGTTAGAACATAATGGTTAAGATACCAGAAATTCATCTATAATATATCCAATTACTTGGCTCTTTACTCTCAACCTTGATGTCCCTGTCCAAACCTTCCAATTCGAATGTGTACATGCGTTGCTACCTAAACTTTTCAGATTATGCCTTGTCGATTCCTATATTGAGGCCATTAAATTTGGCATTGCGTTTATTCGATACTTTCTGTGTTAGCCGCGAGTATCTCTTGAATCATTAAGTATGGAGTACTTCATAGGTAGGCTATCAGAGTTGTCATAGAAAAGGCGCATACATGTTTGATTATTGGGCGTGTACATGTAAAATCGGCGATAAAATCTGCGTATAATTGGTTTAGAAGGTTCATTGACACTGGCTGTCAGCTGATATTCTTATTCAGCTACAACTCATACAGTTGGCTGTGGTGTCGGAAGGTGAGCGGATCACCACCCCCACACCGATCGGAGCGAAAATACAGGGGATGACCTTGGGTTACAGTTACAACAGGTACATACGCCTCAAAAATCTGGAGGGGTAAACGGTGAGGGGTAACTAATTGCGCGCGGTTTGGTGAACAATCAGCCATTAAAAAATAAAAAAGTACCCGAGAGCCTGGTAAATACTTACATTTTAGCGGGTGATTAATATAAAACGAAGCCTTTTTTGACAGGGCTTTTTACTATCAGACGTAACGCTCAAGGTACATTTAATTCACTATACTGGGAAACCCAATATAATGCGGATTGGGTACGTAGCAACCCGAACTTCAGGGTCCAATAGTGAATCGACCATGGCCCATTACGTAGTGCTTCATCCACTCGGACAATACATACATTTATGTACGCTACTTATATCCTACGAATTACTGCAGACAGTCCATATGATTGTTAAACTTGATAGGTAGGATTATACAGGTACTCCAATAAGCTGCATATGCATGATGAACGTTCAAGTATGTACAATATAGCGCAGAACATAACAGTTTAACAGTATAAAAGTACAATATAATACCTCCGGCGGAGTATCAGTTTACCGCAACAAGCAGGTCGCCATGCCTGAAAGGCGTTAGACTTTCTAGCTTGGACCAATTAGAGGGGCTCCAGACTCGGAAGGGCGGGAGGTAGCGTTAGTGGAACCTTGTTAACCTTGCTAAAAGACCTAATGGAACTACCTACAGAGTAGTTGCTCTAAGGGATTGAAATTGAAATTCCGGGTTCCTTCTTTTTTCTCCTCTCTCCTGCTTTACAACCCTTCATATTTCATATCTTTGGTCGGAGGGAACAATATTGTTGTTGGGTTTCAGCTAATCCTTTGCCCGAGGACTTTCGCAAATAGACTTCTCAATCCGAGGGTCTTTTTTCTATGTTACTTCGTACAAGATTGCTTGGTGAGTTTGCGCTTTGTACTATTTGTTCCATTTAATTTTTTACTACCAAACGGGATTTTGGTATACAAATATATCTTAGCGACGTATGTCTTACCTCTTAACTAACCTTCCTCTCTTAGATTTTCATATGTAATTTCTTCGTACCAACATACTACTCGTTCCGTCTAGCTTAAACAATAATCGTATTCGTCACCGCCCAAAATGCATATCAACGAGATGCTCGCAGAAGCCGAGAGGACCGGCCAACCGTCCTTCTCCTTTGAATACTTCCCTCCGAAAACGGCCCAAGGTGTACAAAACTTGTACGACCGTATGGAACGTATGTACGATTTTGGTCCAAAGTTTATCGACATAACATGGGGTGCTGGAGGACGAATCGCTGAGCTGACCTGCGACATGGTCGTCCAGGCCCAGGCTTATTTTGGCCTCGAGACATGTATGCATTTGACGTGTACGGATATGGGTGAAGAGAAGATCAACGATGCGCTGAGGAGGGCATACAAAGCTGGATGCACCAACATCTTGGCATTGCGAGGTGACCCGCCACGAGAAAAGGAGCAATGGGTAGCGGCCGATGGAAAATTCCGATATGCGAAAGATCTTGTTGCCCACATCCGAAAGACATATGGGAACCACTTCGACATTGGTGTTGCCGGCTATCCCGAGGGCTGCGATGACAACAAGGACGAAGACTCTTTACTTGATCACCTAAAAGAGAAGGTTGATTTGGGCGCTACTTTTATCGTAACCCAGATGTTTTACGACGCCGATAACTTTGTGCGATGGGTAGGAAAGGTCCGAGAAAGGGGTATCACTATCCCAATTGTGCCTGGAATCATGCCTATTGCGACCTATGCTAGCTTCCTCCGACGAGCGAATCATATGAATTGCAAGGTACCCGAACAATGGATGACCGCTTTGGAGCCAATTAAGAACGACGATGCTGCTGTGAGGGAAGTCGGCAAGACACTGGTGGCTGAACTATGTCGGAAGATCATGGCTGCTGGTATTGTTCACCTCCACTTCTACACCATGAACTTAGCTCAAGCGACGCGCATGGTTTTGGAAGAGCTAGATTGGATGCCAACTACAACCCGCCCTCGGAAACAAGCATTACCTTGGAAGCAATCTCTTGCTCTCGGACGACGCGAGGAAGACGTACGCCCCATTTTCTGGCGCAATCGCAACAAGTCGTACGTTTCAAGAACTCAAGACTGGGATGAATTTCCAAACGGCAGATGGGGTGATTCCCGTTCTCCTGCCTTCGGTGAATTGGATGCTTATGGTATCGGTCTGACTGGTACTAACGAGTCTAACCGCAAGAAATGGGGGGAGCCTAAGTCCGTAAAGGATATAGCTTCCCTTTTCGTTAGATATATGGAGAACGACCTTCCTTCATTGCCATGGAGCGAAGCACCCTTGACTATCGAGTCTAATTCGATTAAAAACGACCTGATTAAACTCAACCAACGTGGCTTGCTGACCATTAACTCTCAGCCGGCTGTAGATGGCGTCAAGTCCACGCATCCAATTTATGGATGGGGACCTTCGAATGGATATGTCTACCAGAAGGCCTATCTAGAATTGCTAGTTACCCCCGAGTTATTCCCCGAGATTCTTCGAAGAATCGAAGCAAACCCAGACCTATCGTACTACGCAGTAACTCGGTCGGGTCAATTCTTGACGAACACACCATCCGAAGGACCCAACGCGGTTACATGGGGAGTTTTCCCAGGCAAGGAAATCGTTCAACCTACAATCGTCGAGCACATTAGTTTCTTGGCCTGGAAAGATGAGGCATACAGACTCGGTATGGACTGGGCCCATTGCCATGACGCCAACTCGCCTAGTCGCATCTTGATTGAGAAGATCATGAATGAGTGGTATTTAGTCAATATTGGTGAGCTTCCTCCTAAAGCATTGTCAAACGTCATACTAATAGGAATCCTAGTTAATAATGACTTCCGCGAGCCGCGGAGTATTTTCGAACTTTTCGATGGGTTGTCGGTTCAGGACATTGATGTACCTGTGAAGACGCCCATTCATGAATCTAACGGAATTGATAAGGAGAGTAACGGCGTTTCAACCGTCAACGGGAGCGGAACAGTCTCGGCAGCATAAGCCTAGTGATGATACAGGGAATGGCGTCAATTGAACTTTTCAACAAGCATTGGGTCGGTGGGCGAAGGGAGTTTACATTTTCAACAAGCATAATACCAAGGCGTTTGGAACTGGGGTCCAGATTTTTCAACAAAAAATCAGAGCACAGGTTATAGGGCTTTTAACGGCAACCTGGAAAAATGGGATGGGCTTTAAAAAGAGGCTAGCTGCATCATATCTCAACGATACCCCCAGCAAATCAAAGATGATGATTTCGAGAATAGTTTGTTTTATATTTTGGACGAGGGCAGTCATGGGGCGACATCTAGCGAGCGAGTTACAAAACGATAACTTATGGCTGCACAGAGGTTGGATGGCTTTTAGCTACATACCAATCTTGATATACAGAAATAGCCGAATAGAAATTGGAAGAAACTTGGTAGTAAAAGAATTACCACCATTTACATATGCATTTTCATACCATTTATGACTTGTGAATACCTTCACTATTTCATCGAATACCCCATTGCCCAAATTTACGACCGATATCTCCGACTCACATGCCCAGCTTCTTTTTTATCACCGACTCCTTTTGCGGCTCAAGCGGTCAGGGTCGTATCAAGCAAATCTAGCAAATCTAACCTACTCCATTATTAGTCTAGACCATTTTTTAATTAGCGAGCCACATGCCGGCCGCCGTAGACCAACGTGCGCCCTCAGCTTAAAAAGGGTCTTTGTGTGGACTGCTAATACCGCTTCGTCTGTAGCGCTAAATTTGAAATGGACCCTGAACCAGAATAACCAGGTTATTTCAAAATGGGACGCCCAGTTTTTCTTTTTCTTTTTTTCCACGATGGGGGGGATAACGACTCCTATCGTATGTTTACTGATAGAATGTGAGAGTTTTCTCATTATCCGAATCGTAAAGGAAGCTAAAGTGTGTCGTACACAGCAGAATTTCTTCTGCTTATAGCTTATTAAGGGAGTTTTTAATGGTGTTCCCCCTTGTATCCTTGATTGTTGAGGCCTATGTAGGAAGCATTTTTCTACCTAATTAATGCACCCCCTGCCTAGACCGATCCCTACTAGTTTTTATTTTTATTTTTCTTTCTTATCCCTATCCCTTTCAGAACCCATCATTTCCTAGTACTTTTTCCTTCACTCCCTAATCCCTTTTTCTTCTTAATACCGCCCATTCCAAAAGGGCGAGATAATCATGGGTTCGATAATTATAAGTCCGGAGTTACCTCCGAACGACGTTCTACTCCTACGGAATCTTGCCGACGACATTGAGCGATATCAGCAAAACGAACCATCCGGTAAAAGCTCCGGCAAGAACTCCGGTGTAAAGAAAAGCTCCGCGCCCGGCCAAGAGCCTGTCAATGGAAGTAGGTCCACTAAGTCCGTAATACGTTGGACGGGGAAGTTGAGGCCGAACTCAAGGAGCCACCCCGGGATCGGGCTCTTGTGTTAACTAGGATTTTTCTCATTATAGCCGCCAACCATAATGTCTCGGCATCTAGGGATGAACAAGACCTCTCGCGCATGAGAGCGGTCAATGATCCGGAAAATAAAGAGTTCGAACCGACCGTTTTTGTTTCCGTAGACCTTCGAGATCTATCGACGCGGTTGCATCCTGTCGTTTACAAGTACATATTGATGCCATATGTGAGATGGGCTCAGACTATTGCAAGACATCCAAGGGTATGTGCCATGATGATACTTTCCACATTATGTAGACATCTTCCGTATCTCCGATATATACTAAGACATTCATAGTACGCCATGACGTAATTCACTCATCTCACCTAGCTGCCTCTCCAAACAGCATGATTCCCAATAATGAGGATATAGCTCAACGCTGTCGTATGAGAAGTTCACTGACAATTATGTAGTGATGTGGTGATGGTCACTCACCTAATCCTATACTTCACCACTTCCGTCCCCAGTGCACTATGGCTCTTCTACAGCTTCAATTGGTTCCACGGAATTGCCCACTCTATAATGCAATTCTGGTATGTAGGCACGTATACGTTGATGATGCACCAACATATCCACGGCGGTGGTGTACTCCGCAAACACCCCGTAATCCGGTTATTCGACTTGGCATTTCCGTATATCACTGACCCGTTAATGGGCCATACGTGGAATTCGTACTATTACCACCACGTGAAGCACCATCACGTCGAGGGCAACGGACCCGATGATCTGTCGTCGACTGTTCGCTACCAGCGCGATAACATCTGGCATTTCCTCCACTATGTCGGCCGCTTCTACTTCCTTGTCTGGCTGGACTTGCCGCTGTACTTCCTGCGCAAGGATCGTCCCACTTTTGCGCTGAAGGCGGCGTTTTGGGAGCTGGGCACTTATGCCACGCTGTTGACTTTATTCCGTATTAATGCTCGCCCGACGTTCTTCGTTTTCTTGCTCCCGCTCATGTTACTGCGTGCCGGTTTGATGGTCGGAAACTGGGGACAACACGCTCTTGTCGACGCCGATGAGCCGGATTCCGATTACCGGTCTAGTATCACCCTCATTGACGTTCCCGTAAGTGCCACCCTTACCCCCAACCCAAGCAAAACCACCATGTACTTGCTTTTAACGGTAAATAGTCCAACCGCTACTGCTTCAACGACGGGTACCACACCTCGCACCACCTAAACCCCCGACGGCACTGGCGCGAGCACCCGGTACACTTCCTCGCAAACAAGGAAACGTACAGCTCAGAGCACGCACTCGTCTTCCATAATATCGATTACTTGGAGATCACCGTTCGCCTGCTGATGCATCACTACGAACACCTGGCGCGGTGCTTGGTGCCAATTGGTGAGCGGCAGATCGCGATGACGATTGAGCAGCGCGCTGCGCTGTTGAAGCGGTGCACGAGGCGGTTTAGTGAGGAGGAGATTAAGGAGAAGTTTGGTGTGCAGGGGAAGGGGAAGTAGAGATAGATTGGTGGTGGTGGTGGCTGGGTGAAGGTTGGAGGGGAGAAGATTAGGTCTGAATGGACGCCATAGACGCTGCTAGATTCTGAAAGATGAGAAGATCTTCAGCGGAGGTTATAGATCCGTCCTGTGCATCTTTAGAGTGTTAAGGTGCACCCAACGGTTTCGAGGAATACCAAGATACATATTATATATAACGAATTCACCATTGCCATCCCGTTCTTTAGGGATGCTATTTCCATAAAATCTGACAGTTCTTTGGGAATAATTGAAGCACCCAAGACAATAGTAGGCTACTATGTATGCCGAGGTTGATCCGTACCTAGGTAGGTACCGGTGGGCGGGCAGTTGCCTACCAAGAAATACGCCTAAGTTCCAAGGAAGGACCGCCGGATGGAGGAGGGGCGGCCGCCTTACGCCTACACCTACGCCTGACGCCCGCTCAGTTAAACCCGTTCATTCGTACCTGCCTACCCCGAAAAACCATTCGATCTTTGCATTTAATTGCACTCAGAAAAACTCGCCGAATTGCATCTTGCTTACTACTGCAGGTCATCCTTAACGGTGCAGAGAAGTGGAAAAAGGCTATTACATAATACCTAAGTACATACCTTAAGGTTGTTCCCATGATCTCGCGATTATCACAAATCTCGCGACACCTCTCGAGATCCGCACCCAATTTTAATCGTTTATCTGCTACGGCGACATCAGGATTTAGGACCGGCGGTCTTTCGTCAAGAATCATGGCTTCGGCGGATGAGAATAACAAGAAGACTATACATACGGCGGCCTGCCTAATTATCGGCGATGAGGTGCTTGGAGGGAAGGTACATGCCCCGCCTTGTCTAGAGCTGTCACGCGATGCACTCAGCTAATTTCTATTTAGACAACCGATGTATGCACCTATATAATCCCGTATCTAAATGCGAATATCACTAATATATGGCATCAAAGACCAACTCGGCTTATATGGCCAAGTGGTGCTTTTCTCTAGGCATAGTAAGGCTCACATCATTCTTATATCTCATGGCCCGTTGTAAAGCTTACACATTGTATAGAATTTGAAGCGAGTCGAGGTTATCGAAGATGACGAAGATGAGATTGTTGAGGCTGTGCGTAGGATGAGTGATCGCTACGACTTTGTTGTTACCAGGTACTTACATCAAAGAGCTCGCTCTTTTACCCTTTTTATACAGTCAAGCTAACAAGCCAACCCCTAACCAGTGGCGGCATAGGACCGACGTAAGTGAACAAAGTCACCGTACTGATAATGAGGCTCACCTAAAATAGACATGATGACATCACCTATCAATCTATCGCCAAAGCGTTCGGACTGAAGCTTATACTGCACGATGAGGCGTATGCACGGATGAAGAAGCTTAGCAGGCCTAACAAGGCTCAGCCCAATTTCAGCTGGGACGTCGATTCACCAGCTAAGACTGCGCGGCTCCGAATGGTTCGGTTACCGATTGACGAATCTCGCGAACTATCGAAACAAGTCATATTTACCCGCGACGACCTTTGGGTTCCTATCTCCGTGGCAAACGGAAATATCCACATTCTACCGGGAGTACCGAAATTATGTGAGTTGTTTTAACAGCAGTGATGTTATAGGCAGGTAATGTTGCTAACAAGAACTAGTCGAGTCCCTCCTTGAAGGCGTCAAGCCGTTCGTAGTCGACAGATTGGTAGACCCGGATGGCAAAGGAATCGCTAGAGTTATTATCTCTACACCGTTGCCTGAGAGCGCCGTCGCCGATTATCTCACCGAACTAGCGGGCAAGGTCGCAGCCAAGGGTGTGAAAGTCGGAAGTTATCCTCGATGGGGCAAGAAGAATAACACCATCACTCTAGTCGGAAGGGATAGAGATTACCTCGAGAGCCTTGTTCCGGAGGTGGTTACGAATGTCAAGGGAAGGCGAATTCACGTGGAAGGAGAGGATGATGATGAACCCGAGGCAGCATCCTAGCAGTGGCTCGATTATTTACTGTGAGCCAGGATGAACATATACGGAGCATTTGATATTTCGGCATATCCCCCCGCGTTGCGTTCATGGATGGAGAAGGTATTAGCATGATCTTCGGTGGTCGTGCAGCTAGCTCGGCGATTTTTGTCTAGGCTCCCTCTCCCCGCGAATAGCTTCCCTAACTAATTATCCCTTACTCGGACCGCTTCCGGTTTGAGGGGGCTATTGGCCAAAATGAACTCATTAAGCGATGTACAAATCATAGGATTTAGCATCTGCAATTGTCAATAGACTTAAATACGTAGAGTGGCACGCGTACAAATCCGAGCAAATGAGAATTTTGATGTTTCTCCGAAGAATATCAAACACGTTATTAGTAATAACTACCCGGATACTTGAGTAGGTATCTGATAAACATTGAGTTGGAATCATGAGATCTTTCCCCCTTCACTACAAGAAGAGCGAGCTATTTCTGTGTTCGCGGGGTTAGATATCCCTGCTGGGGTAGGAAAAGGCGTTTCTCGACAATTCCGGTTAGAGGATCATGCTTCATGACACCCACATGCATACTATAGTAGTTACATGTAGATACGCATACATAATAGGTACATAGTATACATGGGAATATATACCATAATAGCTTAGGGGCGGAGATTTTAAGGTTCCGTCAGGCTTCTAGAAAAGTTTAATACGGCTCCTCTAGGTCTGAGTAGAGCAATCCATCACGAGGAAGCGAGGTACAAGAATGAGACTTGCTGAATTGATTTAGGGGGTGTATATCCAAGTACCGAGGTACCTATACAAGACACTCCAACACGATTGTTTATAACCATTGACGGCTGATAGACTTATAAGATGTACATTGATATGAGGCTGTTTCTTGGGAAGACGAAATGAAACTTATTTTAAAAACCAGATCCGCGTCACATTGATCGGCCCTATTGGATTGAAACGGTTTTCTGTTTCCATATTCCTTTTTAGTAAGTACATACACATACACAATCCATCCCAATACCGCCTATCCAATCCGCTCGGCGTTTACCGAATGGCACTATTAGAACAGGGCGTTCATAATCGGTGTTAATGTGTATTGGTAAAAAGCCGCTGAGATCATTAAGCATTTACTATTACTTTTCAACAGGAAAGATAAACTGAGGCGGGAAAACAAGACGATGGGACGCCAAGGGTGGTTAATTGTTGTCGAATTTTTGTACCTCCCCCCGGTAGGATTCCGCAGCCTCTCTTTATCTTTATTGAATATCCCAATCAACGTTAGTAAGACCGGAGCGACTAACTCTGGTCCAGTGAGAGTCCTTGGATGCAAGAGATGCCTGTAGTATATGTAGGATGCTGATCAATGGGGAAGTTAGCAAGGCACACTCATCTTGGTCGCGTCTTGGTCGGAATATGATGGGCTAGAAGTGCTCGACATTCCCAGTCGGTTCACCGCTCGAGGTGGTATCGTTGGTGGGGTACGAACGAAAGGGTTGGTGGCTGGCTGTTGAATTTTTCTGGGGCTGTCAATACTACTAGTGCGATATGAACGGTACTCTTCCCTTTCCCCCCACGAAGCTATCTGGGGAGTGAACGAACGGTGTAGTTAGTTCGAGCAGAAGAAGCAATCACAGCTCCTGTTCGCGTTACTGTGACGTATGTACTATTTGTATGTACGAGCGGGAGATAGTCAATTCTTTCCCTTGTGAGCTACCTAGGTATCTATCTAGGTGCATATAGGATGTGAAGAGCTGTAAACCATGCGTATTGTCACTCACATCGATCTATTCGAAGGAGCGCTAAACAGTAAAAGGAATATCAGAGTTCAATAATCTAATTGGCTTAGAATCGAGACGCCTTTCGATCAACGGTTGAGATAATACCTAGGTATTATTATAGGTATAAGAGCTCGCAAACAAAAGATCATAGGCCAAGGTATTGAGTGGATAAGTGAGAGATTGGCATGAAAATGGAGGATTAATAGAAAGTTTATAGCGAGTAAGATAGAGTAAAATGGACTGAATTTTAGGTGTACCTGGTGGTTCTAGCGTTGCTAATATGAAATTAGCCCCTGATTAAAGATGTAACTTTGAATTCTAATCAATCTTCTCTCTCAGGTACAGTATGTACATGTATCTTTAGTGGATGTCGAAGCGCTTCTTAAGAAGAGATTCTCCTCATTTCCCGAGCTCCCCATGTCGCCTCAAAATCCCCCATTTATCCCCATAATAGTGTACCAAAAGTATCCATTATGTGTATCATTAGAGATTGTGATATATACCACAAATCAATGCTTACAGCCAAGGAACCAGATAGTTGGTAAGTTGTGTGTAATGTGCAATGTAGCTGTGTGAGGAACGGGGATAGCGGGATTGATTGATAAAAAAGAGAAGAGCTGCAGCCTGTAGGTAACTTTTTAAACTTTCATAGCATCATTCCTCGATCAATCGATGCGAAGCTGACGCAAGACACACAGGATAATGCCCACACACGGGCCATCTTGCATGTATCTTTTATAGAGCATCGTATGTACCTTTTTCTTTTGATAAGTCTTAAAATTTAGCATCGACATCCGCGCAAACAGATACTACGTAACCCCATTGAAAATCCATATTTTATTATATTCGATTAGGTACAATTTCAACACTGATTGTCATACTCCGTCCTCCCAGCCAACACTATTAGCTCATACCGAAGGTACCTGACCTATATTACTTTCAATCAGAGCAATGCACAGAGTAGAATAGGTACATACCTAAGTAGGCAGGGGAGGTAGTAGACAGGCGCTACTTAGCCCCATCCTACTAGCGGTATACCTAATGTACCTCTAAGAGGCTAGCGGCGGTCTCCTATTTTAGCCTAGCGTCACCCACTTCTTCGAATTAAAAGAGACCATCTACCTACGAATTGAGTGATGTAGTGGTCTGTGCTTGTTAATCAAAGCGACAAAATCGTATGAGAAGTCTAACAGGCAATGCTAATCAATATCCCTTCTAGTCCGTGATGCTCCTTTTTACTCGGCCCCACCACCAATAATTGTACCGTACATACCTCTCACATACGGTTCTTTTATTCCTTCAAAGCCCGGTAGGAAGGACGTGCTGAAGCGTTCTAAGTACATTACATGTAAGATAGATATAGTGGACAAGGGGTGCATACCTAGGTACATATGTGGGTACATGTAAATAGGTAGGTCATGGTCAAGGTTCATGTAGCAAGAAGGTACCTTCTCTCCAATTACCATAGGCCTTAGGTAAGGTAGGTGACCACCCTCCCCTTTGCCTTGTGTGGCCAAGGAACCAAAGCAAGCAAGCGCCCGAAAAAGAAGAAGGGAAAGAAGTGTCCAGGTGCAAGTGGGAATCCACAATTCCACAATCCATCTTTCCTTACACTTGCACTTGCTCTTTACTTTGGTTCTCTCCTTAGTTCCCTAGTTCCTAGTTCCTTTAGTTCCTTAGTGAATCAACTCACCCCCTTCAACGCCTTCAAGCCTCCTTCTTTCGCTCGTCACTCGCCGTCACTGCTACAACTGCGTCTTCCCAGTGTCGTCCCACGGCGGTAACTGTACAACACACACCCACGTACGTACACGACGAAGAAGAATTATCCATCTTTTCTCTCACTTTATCCTTTCTTCTACTCTTATTTTTTTTTTTCTTTGTACCACCAAGATCAAAAAATTCAGGATCCCCCTCCTCGTCCAATCCCCTCCCTCCCTACCTACTATTCTTGCTCTTGTAATCAATCACTTCTTCTTTCTTTGCCGGTCTACGGCGGATTTTCCTTTTTTAAACTATCTTGCAACCAAAGTCCGTCAATCACCGGCGACCCCAGCCAGAATAATCAGAACTACCTCTCCACATATTACCGTCAAAATCCATCTTTTACTTGGTCCGTCCCTTAAGATTTACGCCGAATCCGTGACGACCGAGAACTCGCTCCCTTTGTCCGCCCGTTTAGAATAATCTGAACTTTGTTGTTGCGCTTGTACCAAAGCCTACCACTCCCATTTGACTCTGCGCTTTGGCCGAAATTCCCTCTTCCATTCACACCAGTCCGGTCCTTCAGTAGCAAAAGAAGAAAAAAAGGCATATCGCTGCCAATTGGCGAACACACAATGGCATCAAAGGTACGTGTCTCATGCGCCCGCATCTCGCGCGCAACTCCATGGACACGCCGTCTCGACTTCAATTGCTCACATGTCATCCCTACAGTTTCTACGAGAATACAAGTTGGTAGTAGTCGGCGGTGGAGGTGTCGGAAAGTCTTGTTTGACCATTCAATTGATACAAAGTCATTTCGTCGATGAATATGATCCTACCATTGAAGGTGCGTTAAATCGACAGTAACCGACATTGCCTCCCCAATCTCGTCGTGTTCGTCTTGAGTTGACATTATCTCCCTAGATTCATACCGTAAGCAGTGTGTGATCGACGATGAGGTTGCTCTACTCGATGTACTCGATACAGCAGGTCAGGAGGAATATTCAGCGATGAGGGAACAATACATGCGTACCGGCGAAGGATTTCTCCTAGTTTACTCTATCACTTCCGATCAAAGTTTCGAGGAAATCCGTACTTTCCAACAACAGATTCTCAGAGTCAAGGACAAGGACCCGACAGATTATTTCCCGATGGTTGTGGTTGGTAACAAGTGCGATTTGGAGAGCGAACGAGAGGTCCCCCGACAAGGTACGTTTATTTCGTTATTTTGGCCCTACTTCTATCTTATTGACGCGTATTTCAGACGGCGAGGCGTTGGCGAAGCAGTTTGGATGTCCCTTTGTTGAGACATCAGCTAAGTCCCGAACGAACGTCGACAAGGCATTTTTCGATCTAGTCCGAGAAATCCGACACTACAACCGTAACATGTCAGGTCTACCGACAGGTGGTGGTGGCAATGGCGGTCCGCATGGTCCTAGTGGCAAGATAGAAATGAGTGAGGGCGAATCCGAAGCCGGTTGCTGCGCCAAATGTGTAGTCCTATGATTGATTCCGACGAAGATGGCACGGGAGTGAAACGAGTTTGGTGGTTATTTGAGAAAAGCATATGAAGATATGGACTCTTTATCCGCCGACACGTATAAGGGAGGGAGGGAGTGTATGTGAGAGTGTGCATCCAACATAAACGCGATGAACGATCTTGGCGGGTTCGCAACATACATGTCGGTCCAATCGAAGCAAAATTGTTGCATGGTAATGGGAGTCCAGGGTCTTTACAAATCTCGCTATGAGACCGAGTAAAACCACATCAGCATCTGAAAAAGGGATAAAAGGACAAGATCGAGTGGCTTAATGTGCTACCCGCTCGAGAAGAGACAACACTGTCTATGCGAATTTATGGCACGATGCGTTTTTTAAGATTACAGAATACTTTGCGTGGACCTTCCCAGGTCTAGATCATCGGAGACGATGTGGAAGGCGATCGATCTCTCCTATTGGTCATTTTCACTACTTGTAATGTTCTTCACTTACTTTTTTTTTGCTCGTTTTTTTTTTTCTACAGTGGTTTGATGTCATAGATTCCCCCTCTCAAGTTCAGGCGTCAGTCAGTTCAAATGATCCGGACTCGAAATTATCTTTTTTGTGAAAGTGGATTGCCCTCGATTCGAAATTGGGACTCGGGATTTGGTCCATGATGAAATGTCAGTACTGAATGGTGATTCGATCGATATATGGATAATTGAGCACAGCCTTCTGGATTTACTTGTACTCTGCGTAGCATTTTAGTGCTAATCGTAAATAGGTTAATAATCTTGTTTGTCCCCAGGTACGAGTTCTTTCAGTTCAAGAATGCTTGTGTCCAATACTTCCACAATGTGTTTGTCATAATCAATTCCTCCGGTGTTGGAATATGGCTAATGAACGTAGTAGTTAGAGTAAATTTTGTCCAGCTCAGCTCAGCATAGTGGTGTAACACGACTACGATGTGATTGTAACGAGCTACAATATCGGTTATCAAACAAAGATACCCTCGCATCTGAAAGGGCTTGTTTAGAACCCCTTATACCAGTGTCGTCTTCGCGGAGAAACCGTTGCTCCTCCTGCTGGTATATATAACCCCATATCTGTTGAGATATCCGGATACCATCCTAATTCCCATAAATTGGTGATTATCCAGGCAAGAGTGAGAGGAGGATTAACATAGCAGCTATCCAGGAATTTACCTACCTCCTAACTTACCTAATATACCAAGTTCTTCAAGCCTCCCGCAGAGTCCCATGAGATAGTGAATGTCCTAATTTCAACAGCGTTTTATGCCCAAACGACTCCTTTCCAGCTAAGTCATCACTACATTTAACCTACCTGAACTCCTACTAAGTTCGCAAATAGGCGCTTGCCTGCCCTCATCACCGTGGCAATACGATCCCTACAGAACAATGCCTTACAACCAGAACCCAAGGCAAAACAGTTTCATCTGGAGGCACTTTAACTTGTGTAATAACAATAATCATAGTAGAAAACAAAATTGTTGTATGCACTTATCTCGACATGTATACCTGGGTATATATTGCTACTAGTGTCCCGCTGGCATGCCTGGAAAGCTCATCACAGACTCTAACATTCGTTAAGCTACACTTACTCGATTAAACAGACTTATACTCTTTAGACTATCAGAACTTTTCGTTGTAAACTCAACTTACATACCTACTTAGGAAGCTATCGACAGATATCTACAGATTCTTCAACCACAAGACTGGCAAAATGTCACAAGTTCCTCATTGGTATCGACAGCCCGTGTTCAATCCGCAAGAGGAGGAATACAATCCGAGAGTTGTCTGGGATCACTTTACTCACTTTGGTCGGATGAATCAATTCTACATGTGGCGTGACGCATTCGCCCCGGACAGCCCTGCATGCGATTACTGCTTAGTCAGAGAGTATCCATGCACTTGGACAGCGGGCCAACAATGTGTACCATGTGGAAAGGCACATTCTTATTGTACTAAGCACACTGCTACGCCCATACACGTTGATGACCCTAACACCGAGCTCAAGATCAATCCGGCAACGGGATACAGTGGCGTAACTTCGCTAGGCCCAAATTCGAAGACTCAATACACGTTTGTTTCTCCTCCTCGTTTGTCATATACACCAGGGTCTCGCGCTTTAGGTATATTCGGTGCACCGCAAAGCCCATTCCAACCCCGTAAGCCCATCCGCCCAGCTCCGTCATCGGCGCCCTTCCCGAGTCTACAATCCCTTGGGCCGCAGCCACCAGGCACTCCACAGCAGCAGCACCTAAACCCTGCTCAACAATATCCAAATCCAGCCACTCCACCACAACAGGTCATCCCAGATTATCAACAGCAACAACAGCAGCAGCTACAACAACAACAACTGCAAGAGGAGCAACAACGAGAGGAGCTACAGCAACGGATACAACAGCAGCAGCAGCAACAACAACAACAACAGCCAGGTTTCCAGCAGTATCCCCCTTTTCAACCGCAGCAACCAGGTATTGCTCAGCAATACCAACAGCAGATTCTTCAACCATGGCTAAATCCCCAACAGCAACAACTAAATATCCAACAGCAAGGATTCCCACCACAGCAGCCGGCACAGCAGCCAGGTTTCATACCGCAACAGCCATGGATGCCACCACAGCAACCAGCCGCCCCGCAACAACCGCCTTTCCAGCAGCAGGGACCTATCGGATATCCGCACCAACCCGCACAACAACCAGGCCCACCGGCCCCCGACGATGACGACGACGACGATGATGACGATGATGATGATATCCGGGGTCAAGACGCTGTGCGATGGCCTAGAGGAATGAAACCAAAGACGCATGATATCCAGGGCAACCAAATTATAAAATGCTCGAGTTGTACCCAATGGGGTCATGCCTGTGACGCCAACCCCTCGGTTCCACCAGGTATGGGCTGCACCGCTTGTCGAAAGCTCGACGTAGAGTGTAAATGGGGAAGCACGCGCTTACAACCAAGACCGGACGGGTTGACCCAGCCCCTATGCTGCGATCAATGTGCGAATTCGGGCATCCACCAATGTTCCTGGCGCTCGGCAGGGCCTGGTAGGCTCTACACTTGTCAACAATGCGTAGCTGTAGGTTACCAGTGCACGATAGGCGGAAGTGACATCAGATTCGTTGATAGCAGTCTGGGGCAAGTAAGCCATCATACGTTAACGAAGAACCTTGCATTCCAGAGCGGCCGTCCGCCGCACCAGGTTGAAAAACAGCCTAACCAAGTCGACAAGTTTTATCCTCAAAGGCCCCGAAGCGCAAGTCCCCCACGGGAACGTTCTAAAAAAGCTCCACCCAAAGGGAATTCTTCGGCTGCCGCTATAGTCCCTCAAGAGCCAGCAGTATGCCTAACGTGTCATAATCGTTGCGACAGGCACTTATTAAAGGGAACTTCGAGATTGTGTAATGCCCAACCGAATTCGAACCCCCCTCTAAGCTGTACCCGTTGTTCGAGATGGGGATTGGTTTGCGTCTTCGGAACGGGTAACGATCGGAAGATACTTAACTCACGTCAGGAAAAGCGTAAGTTCCCCGATGAAATACCCTCAAAGTGCGCCAACTGCACTTTAAAGGGCAGAAATTGTGACAGAAAGAGGCCGTGCGATAGTTGTGTCATGAACAATGAGCCTTGTGAAGGAGAGGGCAAGAACTGCTTCTTTCGGGGTGTACCGGGCGAGGATGGGCCCCTCTATTATATGAAGCTTGGTTATGGACCAAATGGAGTTAATGACCCCCCCGGGGCAAAAGCTCCTCGACCGTTGATGCCAGAAGGCTACCATCTCCAGTACCTTAATTTACTTGGACAGGAGTTGGTACAGCCAGCACCATTTCCGAACCAGGGTATTCTTCAGGGCGGTCCACAGAATCCCCCCCAAGGCATCCCTCAGAGTCAGAACAGTCCTCACAACGTTCCTCAAGGTATCCCTCAATATCAGGGCGGTCCTCAGAATATTACCCAGGGCACCCCCCAGAATCAGAATCTTCAGTCCCTCCAACCTGGTACTCTTCAGGGCGGTTTTCAGAATATCCTCCCAAACAGTCCCCAGAATTTGAATGTGCCCTCCCCTCAATCCACTGCCGGTTCTATCACCCCCCAACCTGCCGATTATGGGAACCATGGGCCTCCAAGAGCAAAATCTCCTGTGTATTTTGCCCCGATTGATCCTCAACTTCAATTCACTGACCCTGAGTTACTCGATCCCCGCCTATGGGTTTCGGAACAGGACAATGACGTCCAGATGGGCGGGACTGATGGAGCGGCTCAAGCGCCTGTTCAACAACAACAACAAGAAGTAAATCCGCTTGACTTGCTGAAGCAGCCGACGGCAGTGGAATTGGCGGCACATGGAATGCTGAAATTTAGTGACCCTGGGGATCAGGCGTTGATTCCGAATGTTTCCCGGACGTATGGGGCACCACCGCCTCCAGGACCTCTAGAACAACCGCAAGCAGGATACTACCATCCGACGGATGGAGACCAGAACGTGGGTTCACCATCTCCAACAGTCTTTCATCCCCAAATCGGGCAGCCCTCGGAAGAGGCTCCTACCAGCCCTTCGCATGGTACGAATATTGGTTCTCCTAGCTGGTCAGGAGATAACTGGGCTGGGATGGTGAACTATTTTTAGGTGGTTACCGTACTTAAGAGAGTAGGTACTGTATACGCCCTGCCACCTACCTAAACTCGTAGGGGGAGATATCCCGCGTAGATGAGTAGGTTAATATAGTTTTACTCCGTAACGTAAACGGATTCATTTTGGACGGCGTTAGGGGCAATGGTTAGCGTCTGTTTAGATTAGTATACTACTTAAGCAACAAAGGTATTATTCCAGAATGTCTCTGCTTCCAAAGCAAATGTGGTGTCTGTATGTGAATACATACTGAGCTAAAATGTGATATTTTTACGTAGGTAACGAAAATAGTATGATCTAAAGTTCATGAGAAACTTCAGGTTGAAACAAGTCATAACATACCTAAAGTTATATTACAGCGCCTCGGTCGCTACTTCCATATATCTTACTCTAATCGTTTACCGCATGTCTCGTATGTGCAAGTAGTTAGTGTGCTAATTTGTACGTGCTATAAGTTAGAATGATGCGATGAGCTAGGAGCGGGCCGAAATTGGACTAAATTTAAAGCTAATGTAGGAATAGCCTCATGACACTGTTAAGGTTTCTGTTATACAATTTAGGGAAGGAATGTTGATGGGAAGGTTCTTTATCGGAGACATGCCCGTAGTGTACATTCCCTACCATATCGTATACCCCCCACCTTATACTCGTACACCGATAAGGGATACAGAAATCAAGGTACGTCATCACTACTTAACATCATTCAAATCATTACGCGTTTCAATTGGGCATTTATTAACATTTTCCTTTCTATTACCTTTCTCCCCCCCCTAACGCCCTACTCCTTTAAGTTCTCTAGAACCCAGGACATCTAACATCAAATGGCGTCTTTTGATTCCGCGGCGAGCAAATCATATCGTTTGCAAACGCCCTCCACCGATCCAACAAATCCGTCTCACGCACTCCCTCGTGCTGCGGATAGAAGCTCAAGTGGCCGACTACACTCCGGGTATCAATTACAAACGGGCGCCTTGTTCGTTTTGGGATCGTCACTGTGATGTCTTGCTCGTCATCCTCAGCGATTGGTAGCGCGGCCTTGATATCATGACCCCATAGCGCCACGAAGTTCAGGTTGTAGCGTTTGTACTGGGTATTGTACAGCTGCTCAGCTCCAGGGCCGTTCTTACCTTGCGCCTGGTAGTGTTTCAGAGCGACTGTGGACGTGTTCTTAGGGCCCGTGAATTCCATCGGGGAGCCGAAGAAGTAGCGCGATATGGCATTATCCTCAAGGTTCTTTAGGAGCGAGTATTGCTGCTGGCTAGCAATAGCCCATGACTTCCATGCTGCCTCGTACATGGATTCGACACCCTTGTCACCACCGCGGAGATAGTTGAGACCCATTGGTGTCTTCATCAAGTCGAAATTATCGTTGGAGAGCAACAAGAACGGGTGGCCATAATAGGAGCGATTGGGGAATATTTCAGCATCTAGATCAATGCTGTCGACGTCACTGATGTTGAGTTCCGGTAGGTCAGACGATGGGAAAAGATCCTTCTCCGAGGGTCGCCATGATTCGGCGGCAAAGTGCGACGGTTTCTCTCTAGGATCGGGTCGGAAGGCGTGAATGGCGCCAACGCTATTGGAATGTTAGCATCTTAAAACAGAAACGAAATAGTGAGGATACTAACTGGAAGTGCTCGTAACCCGTTAAAGGACTGTTGACCAAATTCGCTGAGACGGCGAATGGGTGGGGTGTTGCGATCCTGGTATGAACCAACTGAGGAATTGCATCTGGATGAATAAAAACCTGGAACGCAGTATGTCAGAACGAGCCCATGAGAAAAATGCGCTGAATACGGCAATAGTGACTTACGATATCATCGTCGATCTTTACGTATATAGTATTTTCTTCTACGACCGAGTCCCAAATGCAACCGTAACTCGATCCTTCGCATTCGCCGCCTTGTACAATGTGGTAATGTTCCTCCCTCTGCGCAACCAATTCTTCCAGGTACTTCAAATCTTCTTCCTTATTCGTGTGGACCATAAATCGAATTTCGTCGAGATATCCGCCATTTGTGACTAAATTCTGTTGCAGGTAGCAGTCTAGAAAATCGACTGTCCTCTTTCGACCATAGAATACCAATGCGACAATTCTGATACCAGTGGGCTTCTTCCAGCCAGTCTTAGGGGCATGGGACTTTAATTTCGGCGCCGTTCCATTAGAAAGCGCACGAAGTGGAGTATACTGGCCCTCTCGGTCAACAGGCCATGTTGTACATTGTCCAGGTGTGCCAATATCTGCGCTTGGGCGTTGGAAAGGTGCAAGTCTGTATAAATCGTGATGGGTGACTTCGAAAACCACAATGGATAAACCGACGATAGCGATAAACGCGATTAATAACCTCCTAAAATCGAATTTCTTCATTAATAGGTGGCGGTCGATATGGCGCATCCACCATTCGCGATCTAACCCCATTTTCGGTGTGGACTTAGGTTGCGCGCGTAGAAATTCGGTTCGTTCCTCGTCCCATCCCGAGTATTCGTTCGTTGACGATCTGACAGCCGATAATTCTCCCATGGATAGAAACGTCAACTGCCCATTTGCGGGCGACGGTTTTCAAATAGCATGCCCAGGCCACACAGAGAAGGGGAATAGGAACACTGAAAATTACGCGGGTGAGAAAAAAAAGAGAAGGATGTCTCTTATTATTATTTCCTGCGTCACGCTTGGTGCCAAGAACAAAGACATTGTGTAAATTAAATCCCAAACCAGGCATCAAGTACCAATTAACTGGTATGGGGTAACATGCACCGAGCTTCCAGTGGTGGGAATTAGACGGGGGGGAAATAATAGAAACCTGCCATTTTCAGCTGGTCGAAAGATGCGTCTAGGCTGTGCAAATCTATGCAAATCAAATTATTACAACAGTGGCTCATCTCCATCAGACCATCCAGATGAGGACCCTTCGATGGCCCATGATAAGCCCGAATAGGTCAAGCGAGGGAAAAAGGCCCCTGAAATGCCAAGCATGGCAAAGGGGATAATCAAGGACTGTCAGCAAATCCTCCTAGTCCAACTAAACAGTACACTAAGGGGAATGATTGTGCGGCGGTTACAAAAAACAATAATGAGGATGAAACTAACTAGCAAGCTTTGTCCAAGACATTATTTGTGGTTTGTTATATCCGCCGAAAAAAAAAAAAAAAAATCGACGCACGAGAACGTAGCACATTGCGGTCTAGATGTGGATGCCAAGATCGTCACAACAGATGCATCTCTTATTCGGATAGGGCGGGATTTGTACCTTACCTTATCTTATATAAGGAAATTTAACACATTGGGAACCAATCATCTACCGTCCTTTACAATGCCATGCAAGCATTCTTTGTACGTACCTAATTCTTTACCGATAGTCATCGCTGTAGATACTGTATTTCGCACCCGGTACGGAGTATTGGATCGACGCTACGTTATGCCAGCCAGCAACTAACGTGCATGGAACACCAGTAGTATCCGACCTTTAATTTGTTTTAATTTTAGAATACGGCGCAAGAAGCATATCGTGATGTACATTCATTCTTCAGCGAGTAACGTTCCTTTCTTATATGGAGAACTCTTTCCACTAACGAAAAGATGTGGCCCTCTATTGTCGTCCCGTCGACGTAACTGTGGAGAAATTAGGTGGGCTACACTTCCTACCGTGCGGCACAAACGTTCAAATCTGGATATCCATGGATTTTCAGCCGCTGGTAGGGCTGAGCCTCGTAGGAACCAACATGTAATAGAAGAGTGGTTAATCAGACTTCCAACGTCGGATGTCTGGTGAATGTGTGATGTAATTTGATGTAATTTGTTTCCATGTAAAGCCCCGAAACCATCTAACATATGTATGCGATGGATATGCACCGCTTCAACCACACCAAGTTGGACATCAAACCGTCCACTAACCGCTATCTAAAAACTAACTATAGTACAATCGTTTTTCCTAATCGTGTCCAAAAATCCTTCCGGTGCTGCAAACACGTGTCTATATGTATCCGTTATCCTATGCAACATGCTAGTGATACCACGCCTCTGTAGTTCTTCCCTGACTCCGGCAAGTTTGCTTCTATAAGAATGATCATTTGAGTATTCGTACAGCCGACCAAACCACCAATTAAAAGACGTGCAAGCGTAGGTATCCACGTGGTAAATAAAATGAATAAGCACATCACTCATATCTCATGATTCTTTGTCCGACCTTCAGATGAAAGCTCCATCTCCACCTCTAGGCGGATTTCGTCCCGGTGGTCGCGGTGGTGAACTGCGAGGCGTTGAATCCCTGCTTCCATTTCGACCCCTATCCCACCTTCTCCGGCTCGCCTCGTAATCATCCTCCTCGCTCTCATTTTGATCGCTCCCTCTCCTAGGCGGACTATCCGTTATGCCTCTGCCGTACCGTTCCACTCTTTTATCGTCCGAATATGAATCATCGTCACTTTCTTCGTAATCATCATCGTCGTCATCGTCGTGTCGAGGCAGCGTTGGCATCGAATTAGAATCGCCCTTAACAAGACCCAGTCTTTCCTCCTCCGTCGCATTCTTCACTTGAATCTGACGATCCGAATAGCCCCGTGAGCCTAAACCAAGACGGGACGTCGAACGGTTCCTCGGCGGCGGCGCTACTTGCTCCTGTGGACTGTCAGCTTGATGCCGACGGAACACATTTTGGAACGAAAACTGCCGACGTGCTGAGGGCATCTCCCCGTGAGGTGGTGGGGTCGGCGGAGCCAAAGACGCGATGCTTGGTTTCGGCGATTCCATAAACTGAATGTGACGCCCAGTACTACCAGACGCTATGCTGGCGGCACCGCCATACTCGGTCTTCCGCAAGTCGTCCGGGAGACCATAGATGTGGCCCCGGCTGTTACCATACGCGCTCGACTCATTTCCATATTTCTGGTTCGGAACGGCGATGTTGGTCAACTGTACCGGATGCATCGGACTTTGAACCCTGGGGTTTTGCTCTCCCTGGAAATCAGGATGCCCTGGAAGTAAAACACTCCTTGCTCGGCTTCGAATGGTGCCGGCTATACTTGAAAGCATACCCGGCGACATTTGACGGTTTCGCTCTTCGGCCAATTCCTCCTCTGTTGGGAACCTTGATCTGCCCAGTGGTGGATGCGCCGGAGTATTAACAGGGCTCGGTGTTGTCATTGCACGGCTCCTATAGCTTCCCATCGTTGTTCTTCTTCGTCTTAATCCATCCCATTCATAGACTTGTTGACCATCCTCGCTGACAGGGGCAAGCCGCTCCGATTCTTTCTCCTGGTGAAGTCGCCGAAATTCTTCTTCCTCCATCTTTTGTCGCACAAACGAAATTCGCCGCACGATAGCGGCAGCTCCACGAATCGCATCGGCCTTTGGTTCTGTTTCGGGTTGCTCTTGTTCGGCGATTGTGTGAATTTGGTCCAGGTCGCCAGCAAAAACAGCGGAATCTGGTACATCCTTTGCGGATTTAGACAATTGGAGAAGAACCACGCCAGAGCAAATCGTAAGGAATCCCATGACGACTGTCACGATTTCCATCGCTGTCCCCTTGAAACCTTGGAAGAGAACAGCCGAAGTGATGAGTGTCGTACTTGTGAAATATACATAATACGTGGGGGTGACCATCGCCGCGTTGTATAGATTGAGCGCTTTCTTCATGAAATATTAGCACATCGACCATTAATTTCAAGATGGCTGACTTACATTTAAATAGATAATTTCCGTCAACAGTGTCGCTATAACGAAGACGAGAACGACATATAAAAACCACTGGTTGAACTGAGGAGTGCCGCCAGCCTGGGCGACGATAGCAGAGCCCAAGCCCTGAGTAGCAACAACACTCAATCCTCCAATCCAACTGCAGACCGAAATATAAGGAAACATGTTCTTTTTTCCATATCGTGGTCCAACCCAAAAGGCAATAAAAGCGCAACCGACGATAATAACACCGGCGTAAGTTAGAAACCCTGGAGTAACAACAAACTTCTGTAGCTCTTGGATATTTGCTACAGATGATTCCGCCGGGGCATTCAATGCGATTATAACAGATCCAATAATGCAGAGGAAACAGGCGACCTTGCCGACCATACTAAGTCTCTCCTTCAAGAAGATGGCTGAGAGAATGGCGGTAATAACAACCGATAGGGCTCCCAGGGAGGTGACTATAATCGCATCCGTGAAAGCGTACGCAGCAAAGTTGCAGATCTCGCCGATGATCATCAAGGACATACCACCCCACCAGAAGGCATTCTTGAGGTAGCCATAACCTTCACCAGCAACTTCATTATATTTTTCGTTTGCTTTTAGCAACCCAACCTTCTTCAACACAAATGACACTCCAATAAAGCATCCAGAGGCAACTGCTAGGGCTATACCGATGGCCTTGAACGCCGGTGGTCGAGTTTGTTGATCGGGGTCCGAGCTCGTTGAGTTAGCTCTGGCATATATTTGGTTGGCCGTGAGGAGGATTCGCCCCGTCTCGTCCATGTTGGAGAGTTGGGGATGGCGATAAATCGCCGGTTATGGGTATATAAGGACTCGTCGTGTCGCTAGATTTTTCGTATATTATAGGAACAAGAGTGGTGGTTGTCGAGAATGGAGTTCAAGTCGGATATAGATTGTTGTTTATACGAATCGTATTGTGCAAATGCACCAGGCATATAAAGAAGAGTGGGAGCCGTTATCGTAACTTTTTTTCTGACTATCGAAGGTTAAAGATGCGGAAGATGCAGACACGGTTGCTATTCAGCGGGATAGTCGAAGTCTAATTAGGTGGATAATGGAACTCGAAGCTCAGTGGCAGCGGGAAGGTTAATACTGTAAAGCTACAAATCGCAGGGATTATCGAAGATCAGTTTACGCAATACTTTAGGTGGGTAGATATTAGAGGTACCTACCTAGGTACGTTAACAATAAGTAGAGGGTCGTCGGTAGAAAATAGTATATAGTAGGACGAGCGTTACTTGTAACGAATTCGAATCAATTACGTTGTAAAATAAAAAAGTAGGGGGTTCGGTATGAGACGATTGTTGTGGGAGCAAGAGGTCGCTAGCACAAGGTGGGCATAGAAGTATAGAACTGGTTTGATTCGTGAAACGGCGACAGCAAGGAATAGTGATTAGGATTTCTTAAAAGTCGTAATCACCGTACGAGCCATCCTATTTTTTTTTTGTTTCTTTCTCTTAAGATTTCGTGACGAACATACAAAAGAAGAAGGGTTGAAGAAAATAACAAACCACTTTCTTATCAAAATAGAATTCATGCAAAAACAATAGGAAGAAAGAGAAAAAAGCAAAGAAAGAAATCTGGATTGGTCTTTCTATCGGCTCTCACGAGGGACATCCAAGCGTTTATCGCACATGGGCAGCGACGTTGTACAGTATTAGCTACCTAAGTATGTACAGAATGTACGTAGAATTGCGCTACTGCTTGTTAGTGCGGGACCCCCGGGACAGGGGGTTTTGGGAGAGTTTTCCAAGATCTGGACCGTCTGCTACTACCTACTACGTAGTACGAATATCCATACGGGAAAGTACCATGCCTACTCGGGTAAGCTAGTGAAGTTACTACGTATTAGGTCGTGGCTCAGCTATAGGCTACCTAGGTACATATACTAACAAATGTCCGGTATCCAGAGGGACGACAGAGCCAAGCCGGTGTGGGGTCCTTCCCTTCAGTACACCTGCCAACGAAACCAACGAAGTTAATTGAATCCTGCCAATGAGCTTAGCGTATCTAGCCACTTACACGTACCTACCCGTAGGTCACCCACAATACTACGCAATACCGCTATAAAGTTGAACTGATTTTCATAAACCATGGCGTCGGAACCGGACTGCTTTCACAAAATTACAACTTTAATTAATGTCATCATGGCAGGCAGCATGGGAACTTCATCTAATCCCGACTTGCCGACCTAAGCGTTTCCAAGGTTTATTTCTGTTTCTTATTCTTTACTTTTCTTGACTATTTCATGTGTACGATAATATCGACGAACGCTTCTATTCAAAACACACCCGCGCTATGATGTAGTTTCTATACAGACTTTGATACACGTGGCTGCGGATGCGTATGGTAAGATAAGATGTATGGCGATTCTCGATCTGATTAACATATTCAACACTCAAACTGGATCTTGACGGACATCTTCAAAGCCGATCTTGAACCATTTTAGACACCCACCCGAACCAAACAGACCCTGCATACCATACAGTTGCATCGTTCCCCCGCGCGCTAAAAGAATGTGACAGTGTGATGTCAACGCATCAGTCAGATTCGATGGATAGATTGCTGCTCAGTTTGGGGAGTTCAGCCTTTGGACATCAACTCCGTAATTGAGTGTGATTCAGCTACATAACTAACCTGCCAAGTCTGCCACAATGTTTGAATAAAGATCAAAAGGTCGAGCGACTAAACTGCCGGTTTGAAAGATAGTAGGCCGGAAGAAACCGTTCATTGCTATTGGATGTTTGCAACAAGTCAGCACCCGCGACATCCAACACATACGCAGCGTTTCGCCCTGGGCCGTGATGGCCAGTATTGGCCCTACCGAAGAACAGTGATCGTCGAGCTATATTGCCTGTCTACACCCTACGAATGATTGGCCCAGTTGCTCTCTTTTCCGGCTTGAAACCATTTTAGGAACCTCCTTACCTATCATGGACCAAAACAAGTTCGACAATATGTCATCTGGTCATTTCTAGTGGCTATTTCTAGTACCAATGAGATCATCAATCCCGCTGGGGGCTAGTGTCTGCTACCTAATTCTGGCAAAACTCATACCAATACATGTTCTCTTTTCAACCAAAACTAGACAGCCCAGTTCCCTTTTAGAACATACCTTACCCAAGAATCCTCTATTCGTCAATCACGTGATTAACAACGGCACCTGCGTTGGTGCCTGAGGATATCCTTTGATGCAGCTTGTTGATGCATGTCGCCTTCCGACTTGATTAGCAAAGAGTAGGCTCTGCCAACAAAAAATTCAAGTGCATATTATGCGTGAATAGGTCATCAAGTATGCATTCAAACAACCAGAGCAGAGATATTGAACTCGGCGGTGAAGCCTGATCAGGCAGATACGAACGGGTTCCTGAAGCCCTGGAGATGTTCTATGTTAGATTGGTAGTATAATAACGTCGTCCACATTCCCTGACCATGAGCTCAGCCGTATAAGTGTTTTAATCATCTCTTGCTCCGTACTTAGCTATATATATTCAACTCAGATCAATAAGATAGGGCACACGGACCCTCTCGTTTCGTTTTCGTTTTCGTCCAACTCATCCAACCTTCCCTTAACGATATGTATTTCATCATATCATGGCAGGAAATAAAAGGAGCAAATGGAGAGCTCGTGTCTATCGTTGCTTGTTTAAGTGACGAAAGTATTCCTGCAATGTTGCGCAACAGCCAGCAATCGATAACTAAAATAAGCTAAACATCAATCGGAATCTCCATAACAGTCTAGGATCGGAGATACATTGTAATCCATTGCCACGGCGAAAGTGTTGAGAGCATATGTCCTTTTGGTCTGTTCATGAGCCATGAGTTTGACTCCCCCCGCCAAACTGATGACTCTGTTCAATTGCAATATAACGGCGAATACCTGATCAGGAACAGATTAATACGAGGAAGCGGAAACATTATATATAATAAACAAACTATCACTACATACGCCAGTGACCAATAACATCAGTCACTGGTGAGTTAAATTTTCTTTGGAACTCGTCGGACACCTCCATATTTCTATTGTAAGGTCTGGACGAGAAGATACGAGTAACGACCGAATCCCACGCTTCGAGCAAACCAATTCGGAACACACGAAGCAGATAATGGTACTGAGCTGAAGCGACGCTTCGCCGACTTTCGGAACGCCCTAGATGGGTGGCTATACCACAGAAAGATGTGCGAATACAACTGGTCGCTACCCATCTGGAACGACACCGAAATCCCGGCGCGTTGAAAGCACGTCAACAGATCCATGTTCACCACACACAGAAAAGTCTCTCACGAACAACAACACTCGGGACTTCACTACGAGTCAGTCTGTCTTGAGAGATTCTATTACCAAGTGTCATGCAACACCCGTTCGCTATGAAGTCAACTCAGCCCCTCTCGTGAGTTTAACCCTCCGATAATGCGATTGGAGATGCCATAGAGGGCGCGGCAAATTCCGACCCCGGACGATGCATAAAATACAATCGTCGCCATCTTGATGACATATTTATTAATTGATTGCCCTTTGCATAGTTGATGTTGTTAGCTTTATCCTTGATGGTAGATGAACCAGGCTCACTGGGACCAACTACGCACGTCAGGATACGGACGATAACTGGTCTATCATCATATAAGAAAGGACATGGTAAACACTGCCCACCGACAGTAATGAGGGCACACGCGAAGGACAACTCGGCTAACTGGTTCACGAAGACACTCGAACAAACACTACAAGCGATACGCGGAAGCGCCGAGGCCGTAGAAGTTCCGACGCGCTATCTTCCCGAACCATATGGATGAAGGAGCCAAGTCCGGCACTCACCTCACACAGGGAGGCCTCGGCGCCGGGGAACCGCCTCTAAGAGACTCACCGAGGACTCAACTACTAGAAAGCCAACTAGTAAAGGAACGACGAGTGCATGTGGGCAGATAGGGTACACGTGGGACCTTCACGGCTACCTTGTGGCATGTGTTATTCAAAGGGGTTGCGCTACGCTGGGTGTCCCCTAGCAAATTTCTGTCTTTTGGATGCGTCCACGAGTTCATGCCGTTAGGTTTGAATCTTGTGCCACAGGTTCATCTTTGTTTTATGGATAAATTAGTATCCAAGCGCCTGCAAGACTGTGGAGATGTAGTGGCGGTGCTTATTGAGGATGCGTATCTTTATTGCATCCTCGTAATCTTGTAGGCACTTAGACTCTAATTCTTCTATTGAACGAAGGTAATCTAGTATTACGCGTCCTCATAGTCGATGTGTAGGTCGTCTTCGTGGCTTGATATAGCGCCTTTGCGGACAGGATAGAAGCACTGAATCCATCAAGCAGGCGTTTGTCTTTGTTATGGGGCGGGGAATGTGAGGTTCACCTAGTTCATGTTGTAGTATCGTGACACTGCAAGCAAAAGCTGATGCTTATAAACATATCGACAATATATTTTACAGTCAGCTATAATCTCTTCTGTGACTAGCGCTCTAAGTAGTTGTGTGGCGAGCTTATAGCTACCTACTTGTAGAAGACTAGGAAGTTATGCGATAAGATCAATCTCTAGGCACGCAAGTTTAGGGGTATTTTTTTCAGGATTGTGTGTATCTACCCAAGGCATATATACACCTTCATGTCCACTTTTCATCACACATCTAGTACAATCATCACACAACCTCGCTCTTCAAACTCCATCACTCTATAATCCAGAGTCTACGACTTCTCATCAACAACCTTCTGCTGATGCGCCCTCTCCTCATCACTCTCCGAGTCCTTCTTAATATCGCGGAAATCCGTATTAAGCACGAACTCCTCCTTATCAATATGTCTAAACGTGAACCAGAAAATAATAGTCAGCGCAGCGCCGACAATAGTCGGACCCGCGAAAGCCCAGATCAGATACGGGTCACGAATAGCAGGAGCCGTGCCTAGAGCGATAGCAGCGGAGATAGCGCTCATGAATAGGTTAAGCGAAGTAACGAGACCCTTCATGTTCTTGGGAGCACGTGAGTATGCGATACCGTATGCGGTGACGTTGACGAAGATCTCGGAGATGGCAGTTACGATGATGGGGATCGAGTACCACGCGTACGAGATATCGGATACTGATTTCGCGCCTTCGGGTACGATGTCGGCGCATGTGGAAGCGTTCCATCCGCAGGGGGAGGTCTTGTAGACGTAGTATTGGAGGACGGCGAAGGCGATGGAACCGATGGTGCCGAGGGCGAAGCCGAATGTCATACGGGAGATGGGACCCCATTTGATACCGTATCTGCGGAGGAGCGGGTAGAGACCGTGGTTCACGAGGGGAACAACTGCAAATCGTTAGAATCAGTAACAACTAACCTATTACCAGGAAGGAGAGCTTCAGACTTACCCAAGACAATAGAGACCGAGTTCAAGTTATCCAAAAGATCATTAGGAAGACCATTAGTGTCCATTCCAGCCGTAAGCGCATTGGCAGCAGCACCAAGACCACCATCGTTGATCTGGTAGATAGGCTGGAAGATGAAAATACCACAGGCCTGGAAAGTCCGTCGTACATCCTCGACGAATTGGTCATCATATCCATATTCTTTCGTGCTACCAGCGGCTTTGCGCACACTCGGCTTTCCAGCTTCCCAGAAACCCTTTCGACCAATGCTCTTCAGGCCACCGTGAGCAAAGATGTCGGCAAGGACCTTGAACACGTTGCCTAGATCCGAACCTCCAGGAGGCTGCTTGATTAGGCGTGGGTTTAGATACCATAGTAGCGGAGGTAGCAACAGATAGAGGATAGTCGGGATTAGGTAGGCAGCCCAGTAACCCACGAGCTTCGCTAAGTACGTCGTCGGAATACCGAAACAAGCGCCGATGTTGATGAGTAGGTAAAACCATAGCAGAACAGAGTTGATTGACTCCTCGGGGTCGACGATGACCTTCTCGCCATTCTTGTCGGTAATAACGTGAGCGATCTTATGAGGACTCTGGTCGATGATAGTAGGCGAAATATTCGGCTTGAACTGAGCAGCACCGATGGACAACATGTCTAGAGAATATTAGCACTCTATACATAGGTACGTAGTCGGGTCGCAAGTTTCAAAACGGCCGAGGTAAGATCAACATACTGCAAAGACGTTAGTATTACTATTACGGGAAAACGCGCGAAATGAGGGCATATTTCGCTACAGGGTGTTTTCAAACATACCAGAGAGATAGAGCAAAAGGACCAATGGCCTTTCCGGAGATGAGCACAGGTGGGAGCGCTGAAATGATCATGATAATATGGGCAACACCACAAATCGCAACACCCCAGCAAATCATCTTGAATCGCCCGTACTTCGTGTCTGCTAGCCATCCGAAGTAGATAGGCAGCGCATATGCTATAAATTTGAACGCTTCGGTCATGGCGGTGGCTACAACGGAGCCCTGGCCAAGAGCTCCGGCAGTATACTGAGACCCGGGGGCCGTAGCACCGGTACCATTTCCATCGGGCGGTAGAGGAGCTCGGATGAAGTTCTTGTAAACTTGGAAACATCTAGTATCAATTAGCTTCAATATAAACAATTCAGAATAAATCGCTGTCGAACCCAAAGTAAGACGCGCGTTCAGCGAATTCGACGGCGCAGAGGTAGTAACAAGACATCGGCATCTTGCCAGCAACCCGTCTCAGCGTCGACTTCTCCTCCTCGGTCGGGATAACGAGACCGTGTAGCGTCTCATGGCCATCTTCCGTAACACCCCGATCCTCCCCGGCGACATTGGGGTGAATCTTCTCATCGAGCACCTTTTCGTCCACAGAGGCCCGCACTGCGCTGATGGGGGCAACCACGGTGGGGAGAGTAGTAGCGGTCTCTATAGTAAATACAATCAGCAAACACGGGCTCAGACGTTACACACATCTAAGGTGCCTGTACTTGCGGGTCAACTCACCCATTGTGGAAATTTGCTTTGCAGAAAAGCAAAAATACTAAGGCAGTGGAACGAGTCTACGGTCCCGGGGTCGCGTCCCAAGATAAGAGGGAACGAGAATGCACGGGCAGAAGCCAGAAGGATCAGCAGACTGTTGCGGATGTAACACTACATATTGAGGCATATGGCGCGGGAGACAAAGCTGGGGTGGAGAGGCCGGCCATCATGATAGCCACCCGCCCTAAAGGATCAAGATTCGTCTAGATCAATTCAGCTTATCAATGGCTTAGCACCCATTCCATTCAACTTCCTAGATGAGGTTATACCCAACTAGTGGAGAATGGGAAGACCCGACTCCCTGGCTCTTCGTTCCTTTTGGACTTTGATCACACGATATTCGGATTAGTTGTCGCGAACGGCAATTCGGCGGGGGGGGCATGAGCATTGGGTAAATTCAAATTCTGATACTTGCCCCGGTCCGATCCTAAGCTACAATTCCAAATCAAGCCAATCACCATGCTAACATTGCTGGCAATATATTAGACATACATACGGGGGCTTGCATACCAAGCATACCAAGACAACCGGCGGACCAATCCCGAAAGCCGCCTTCGTGTTACATAAACATGTCTTTACCTGCCCTGGGTATTAGATTATACTGACGGATCTCGGTTTCGCTCTGGGAATCTCGCTTAAGGTGAACGCCACCGCGTCGGCTAGTACACCCACCGCAGGGGCTTTCTCTAGATAGGCAGGTATGGGGTATGCCGTTTTAGGTAGGTCATTGACGATAACAAAGGCCCATATCCGTGATCCACAAATTACATTAGAGACATTCTGGATACGACGTAGCATCGGGGCTAGAAAAAGAGGTATGGCAGCATATACCTTGTCAATCGCGTGGAATAGTGAAATTCTAGAAGCAATTCTTCCCCAGCTTCTATTACAAAAGGAGGCATAAGATTGGTATAGCACTCGGCCTTAAAGGGGGAAGGATTCGTTACCTCGCATTCTGATACCTCCTTCGGTCACCCTACCGATCTGGCTTGTGATAGAATCTATCAGAACTATATACGCCCTCTGGTTATCCTTCCCCTGTGAGAATATAACACGTCTCGAACCGCCGAATAATCAGTCCCTTATCTCAACGCCACACGCTAAAGGAATAATTCCGTTCCATATGTGTTGCCAAGAAGTCTATCACCTCTTCAACTGGATTATCTCCCTCCTTGACATAATCTGAGCATGATAGCCTACCCGATAGCCTATCAACCCACAAGGCATCTTTGCTAAGAAAGCTGTGAATGTGGATAAGTCCTGCGAAAAATAAAACCCAAATAGGACTACTGCAATAACTCGATACAATGAACGTACAGGTCCTCGTTATTATCCATCACACTATCTAATGAACTATGAAGCCTATTGATTGATGATTTTTACTTCACCGCCCGCCTAATTCTGGTGAGGCCTAGACAAACCATCAATGCGTCGTGAGGACCATGAACAAGGCAACAATACACCATAGCGATTATAGCTAAACATTGCCTCAAGGCACCGTGAAGCTCAGCAATCTCGTCCTCCCCGAAGAGATTTGTGTCCCTCATATCAATCATTTCTTCCGCCTTGCTCTCGGGGCTGCCACCCCCAAGGACGGCCCCGATAACTGCTATGACGGTTGCCAGGCATCAGAATTAGGTGATACGAAGGGTACCTGACAGGCCTAATAGAAATCGAACCCAAATCTTCGTTTGCACGCCAATCCAGTAGATAGTCTACCCGGAAGGGAAACAAATATATGGCGAAGCGCGGCTGTTAGAGGCTCAAAACCTCTATACCCGAACGACACCATTGTAAATAGAGGCCTAGTAACCGTTCCCACTCCGTTTCTATTCGGCTATCAGAAAGCAGCATATCATAAGTGTAAAGGATCTGAGATATAGACTGGTTCATATCCGCAATCCTTTTTTCGAGTCTAGAGTACTCAGACATGAGTATAGTCTTGCTGGTAACCATCCCATTCGGCCCCAAACTTGCAAATTCGATTCGACTCTCTAGGGTTGACCACTCGTCCTCTGTCTTAAGTAGGATATGCTCGAGTTTCGAAAACGAATTATGGCTTGGGCCACTAATTTTATTAGCCTTCCAGAATGCTGAGTTCTCCAGAGGTAGGTATCGAAATGCCTGGTAATTGCGCCAAAGAACCTCAAACGGCTCCTTGAGGTTCTTCAACTTCGTCATGCCGTGAGGTTGGCGGGTATTTTCCCCTCTTTGCGTGTTACTATAGTTGGTCCCTGGGCCTGAGTAACCTCGTCCCTGGTTAGTTTGTAGAGGAAGCTGGTTGTCGTAGTTGCGTCTTCGGTTTGGATCAATGAGAATATCGTATGCTTCTTTCAACAGAATGAATTTATCGTGATTCGCCTCGGCAGAGACGTCTTTCCTATCTGGATGGTATCTCAGACTCAGTTGTCGGAATGCAGATGTAATATCAGCGTTATTGGCACTACGATGCACCCCAAGTATGGCATAAGGATCCGACATATCAATGTTGATGACTTGTTATTGTTGTTATGGTGGTTGTGGTTGTACTTATTTATGGTTGTGGTTAGACCTATGGGCGGTATTTGTTTTGATTTGCTATTTGTATGTTTGGGTTGAAATCACAACATCTGCATCAAGGCGCGTTTATATATTTTCTCTCAGGAACCATGAGTCACAAAGGTTCAGGGAGCAGGAAGCTGCACTTCTATGGATGTATGCTAGTTTGAAGTTTACATCGTGCCATGTTGCATATAATGGGCCTTTATCATTGACCTGTATAAATATAACACTTGTAGAGTCTTCCGAAACCCATTAAACTAAAAATTTAAGGCCTGAATTAATAGAGTGATACTTCACCTAGCGAATGTATAAATAAGTACGCGATGTATCTAGGTAGGTGCTATGGCGAAATGTAAATAGGTTTGTTAGGCAAATTGCGGGCGTTTGAGTTAGTTAGATTGCATCAATCAACTGAAATTTGGCAGTTGCAAACCACCAATCTAAGTTGATCGCTGAATACACGTAGGTTCAAAAGGAGCTCAAGTACATATGTACTCCTAGTCAAGGTCCAGCCCCTATTTATCATCTTACATAATACGAGAGTCTTACCCCTTACTATTAACACACAAAATCAGAAGAGATATCTAAATATATTCTGGTAAAGATAATGCTATCCATGATAATCCAAATTCTTCGTTGCCCATCAAAGCACGTTCCCATACCTGCTTGCTACCTATGTATACTTGCGTAGGTATTGATGTGAAGCCGGTCCAAACCCATTGTAACATATGTATAAATGCACCACCAAAAATTGACGACAGTTCCGAGAATTGCCCATGTTGGCAGCTTCAGCTAGCCTCCAAAGGACCTGTACGAATCGTACCTACGTGTGAACCACTTCCAAGTGTCCATGAGAGCGCGAGTGCTCTATTCTCCCGCCTTACTTGGGACAATCGGCCCAGGTTCCTCGACGTAATCCGTTGTGCCTCCCATACACAGGTGGACAACCTTCCCGGGGTGATCGGCGCCGTGAGAGCCGTATAGGAACGTAGTAGGGAACCCGGGGTCGAATGGGATGGCGCTTTCTATCTCTTTGATATCATCCTCATCGAGGGATAAGGTGAGTGCTTCAATGTTAGCCTTTAAGTGCTCCTTGGTGCGCCCGCCGACGATAGGAAAGACGTATGGTGCCTTCGACATCACGTAGGCCTGGGCCACACTAGTAATGATGGTGTTTTTGCGCCTAGCGATCGATTCGAGCACCCGGCTAACCTTGATATCGGACTCGTCGGCCCACCCAGAACGTTCTGTCACGCGACTTTGGCGCTGCTCCTCTGTTTTGAACTTGCCACCGCCAAGTGCACCCCATGGAGCAATGCCCATCCCCTCGGCCTTCACCATGGGCAGGATTTCACGCTCAACATCGCGGTTCGCGGCCGACCAGCGACCCTGATACACACTGAATTGGCGTAACCCATGGTTGCGAGCGTACTCGTTGGCCTTGCTTACTACCCAAGCTGGTGTGTCGCTGACCCCGAGATATAGCACTTTTCCAGCTTGGACGAGCCTGTTAAGCGACTGCATGAGTTCGGGAATTGAGGTGTTGAAATCCCACCAGTGGACATAAAGCTTCATTAAGAATTATCAGCATGTCGCCGTCTTGTATGCCAAAGAGTAAATTCCACATACTAAGTCGATATAGTCCGTCTGTAGTTTTTGCAAGCTGCAGTTGACGGAGACATGTAAATTCTTGGTCCCATTGCCTTGGGTATTGATGTTGATCTCGTCAAAATTGTTGTGGTAACTGGTTGTGAACTTCGTAGCGATGACTATATGTTAAACCAATTAGCGCTATTCAGTGCAGTATCGATACCTAGGTTGGGCCTTCTAGGCGGACTGGCTCTGTTAAAGCGCCAAATAGGGGTACCTAAGTAGGCTGTGGCGTCTAGCTTCAGGGAGTCTTGTACCTATGGGTACCCGTACGAAAGTTCCGTATAAAAAGCAACTGACGTACCCATTTGATCACGAACGCTACGTTTCTTCATCCACTCTCCAATCCAACTTTCAGATTGTCCGAATTGGTAGTTGTTAGAAGTATCGATGAAATTACCACCTTGCTGGTAAAAGAAATCAAGGATTTCCTCGGTGGTCTTCTGATCGCAGACGCCCATGAAATCTTTCCAGGCATCGCCGAAGTTCATGGCACCAAGGCAAAGGGGACTAACTCGAACCGAAGCCGTTGGAGCCAGGAGACGGTAACGAGCCAGAGGGCTTTTTGGTGGCGGAGCTGTGGGTAGGATAGACATGATGGCCGCCTTTGGAACAGAGGAAATAAATGTATGGGATTGACCGGTGTCGGCTAATGGTGGATGGATTAGATAGAGTTTAGGATGATGGGTGTACTGAGGTGAATTAGTGGCGTTGATGATACGATCTTTGCAGTTCGCACCTGCTAAATTGACATGACTTTCATCTCGAGGAAGTCGGGACTCGACCACCCTTTTATAGTACGATCAGCTGGGCCATTTCTAGGGATTAAAATTCGACTATTACGAAGATAACTCCGGACCAGAAACCCTTGACTTCATTATTAATTGCGTTGGGTGATGTTACCGAACCATTGACCCTTCTATCTCCCCGAGTACGAACCCCATCCTAATGGTGATCCTACTAACTCCGTATCCTTTTTGCATATAAAGAACATGAAAAAAGGGAACCATTTATGAATCCCACCTAGTGGTAAAAGCCGCCGATTGGACTGCGTAACCCCACGTCACCCGAGGTATCTATCCGACGTGCTATAGTGACATATCACAAAGTGCGGTTACAAGCAGATCTGTGCATGTACACTTATATTTCACACTCGCACTTAATAATATGACCTGCTTTGAGGGGAATTAAGAATTCTAACTCCGCTACTCCCGCTGGGTCCAATGGAATATTGAATCGTTTCATGATACCGGCGAAAGAAGTCGTACTTCGAGAAATTAGTTGGTCGGAACGAAGCCGGTGTGAATTGATCCCAATAATCGTCATCTACCCGTGCCAAGACTTACAGTATCCTAATCGGGTAACCCCCCATTATGCGGCTGCAACTAAGCTTCTCAGCTTGGCTCCACTACTCCACACAAGCTACCGTCAACACTTTTGTAGTCGGCTTTTGAGGTTACGAATGCACGTCAAAATCCTGAAATTCTCAAGTCAATTGCTCGATTCTACGCTAACGGAACAATTCTTTACTCCGAATAAGGGGTGACGGATTCTAAAATTATACCGAAAACTTCCCCCTAACCTCCATGGATTTTGAGAACTGGGCGCAGGGTTTGTGGGTCTGAAATAGGACAATATCTTAGACCCTTAAGCAGTAGTGTCCGAGGCTGTATTTGCCGAATACCTAGTTTTAATCGTAAACTATTACAAGGCAGGCATCCAATAACTAAAATGAAAGATAGGGTATACTCAGACGTGAACGTGCCGGCTCGTCAAAATTCACATATATACAATCAATCGTATGCTATGCTAGAGGGCAACTCGATACATAGCTCTATCCAAGTACCAAGTCTAGCACGCCCAAGCGCCTACAATACCATCGCGGCGTCCCTCAATCAAGTAGCCGTCCTTGATGCGGACATGCTCGACAATGGCCGGCGTCCTACCACCCTCCGCCTCCGTGATACCCGCGCCGCAGTCCCATTGCCGCGACTCCATCTTGTCGTATACCTTGACCACGTCCTCCCCGGCTGCGCTGACAATACGTCGGCCATCGAACATCATGCTTGTGACAGGATTGTCGTACGCGTAAGCATCGAATATAGATCCAGTACGTAGATCCCATATCTATTGAACGAAATGTTAGCATTGTATAATCGGAGGGACAATTTAAGTGAACTCACCCGTATACTTCGGTCCAAGCTTCCCGTCACAAGATGCATGTCGTCAAATTGCAGGCAAGTCACCGGTCCGGTATGTCCGACAAGACTACGATGAACCTGGCCACTCCTTAAATCCCATAACCTAACCATTCCATCAGCTGTACCACAGGCGAGTGCCGACTCAAAAACTTGCAACGCGCCCACAAAGTCAGCTGACCTTGTCGGGGGTCGGTTGGTTTGTCTCCAAGTCCCCTCCCCTGTACCGATAGAAACAGAAGCTTGTGCCGCCGCCCACATTACGTCGAGCGTTTGTACACACCGTCCCTTTACCAGATCCCATTGCCGAAGTGTCTTGTCCGCCGAACCCGAGACGAGAACGTCGCCCCTGAAGTGAAGAGCTGTAATTTCGTCCATGTGGGATTCTAGCGTAAACAGTGGACAGTCCGACATACTACCTGCGGGAGGGTCTACCGGTTGATCGTCGGGGTTCTCAAAAGCCATACCATCGTCGTCCTCGTCATCCCTTCCGAATTGGCTACCTTGCGGATCGTAATGTGCCCTGCTTAAATCCCATAATCGAATAGTAGCGTCCATAGAACCTGTAGCGAGAATATTATCATTTACTTGGAGAGTCCGTACTGAAGCTGTATGACCTTCGAGTACTCCGATACAACGTCCCGCGTTCAAGTCCCAAACCTTAACAGAATCATCCATAGAAGCCGAAACCATGGTACCAAAAGGTACATCGAAATCTACCGCCGTAATATTATCCGCATGAGCTTTGATTTCCCGAATCATAAACCCCGGTTCAAAATGTTCGTGTAATATAGGCATCGATTTTCGTTTCATGGTTTTGTGTTTCCTCTTTGATGGGGCGCTTGTAGTAGATGGAAGCTTCTCATAAATAGACTTTGACATAAACTCGTCCGCATCCTGATCCGTTACTAAGTCGTCATCGTCCGATTTGTCTGGTGTATCAGCAGCAGCAGCTATTGATTCAGCCTCATCGACGAGGACTTGGGCATCCTCTATCCGGCCTTCCATATCTACAACTATTACCAATGTCAGCGTGGCTGCGATGACGTATTAAGAAAGAGAATAACTTACTATCGTGTTCTAATAAAGCCTCCTCTTGTTCCAAACCCGCTAATCTCTCAAGAATAATACGTCTCATGCCAGCAAGGTTGGCGATCTTATTATCTATTTCGCGAATCTCGCTGCTTGCCATATTTTTTCGAATTCCAAGCATTTCGAGTTCGTGCATAAGTGAAGACCGTTCCTTTTTTAACTTGTGAAGATGGTGTGGATTATCTGGCGACGACGGAATTTCCTCGAGCATTTTCCTCCCTCTCGACACACGTCTCCGGTGTTTCTTGTCATTGTGTGATAATTCGGGAAAACTCGCTTGAAAACCTTGGAATAAAGAGTATGCATTATCATTTTCTGGTAAATCTTGTAGCATATTATCGGGGAGGTAGGATAGGGCGCGGGATTGAATTTCGGAAGTAGAGAACTTGGAGCGAACTAGGTCGGTCGGGGTCGTCCTAGCCATGGTAAACATGCCTCGTTGGATACCGGGCTTTTTTAATTGTTTATGTACTTGAGCCATGGCGTTATGATAATGATTCCCGGACGGGTCCGACCCGGGTCCTACTAGATGACTCGCCGTTGTGGTCACCTTTCGGGTGAAAGCTTCGATACCTCGTGGCTACAAAATAAATACGTCGAGGTTAGTTTTTTTTCTCTTTAATTTTCTCACGTGCACACACAACACATTTACACAAGAGAACAGAATAGAAAAAATAGACAACAAAGAATAGGCGGTAAGTACCGAGAGTATCGAGTCTTCACCCGTAGGGGCATCATCGTGGATAGCATTGTTTGGGTCTGAATCGGCCATGCGCGTATGCGTATCTATGCGATCACTACTGAATGCGAAGAAGTCGTGGACAATCGCACGGTGCAAATGCCACACATCAAGGTAGTATACAGGAGGGATTTTTCCCGATAGGTAGGTGGAGGTAGGTACCTAAGTATGGATCTTCTTCACGGAGCTACTTGGTAGGTTGGCATGGAGTAGCAAGGAAAGCAAGACACTTTAATTATTTTGAAAGCGGAAAATAGTTGATGGGTCAGATAAAAAAAGTACGATAAAAAAAAGTAACGGCGAGGCGAGGCTAACGAATTGAGGTGTGTGTATTGGAGTTGTAGTGGAGATCTCTCTTCCACTATCTTCATTCCGAGTGGACCTCCCAGAAAATTTAGCTTGTTGCCCTTGCACGAGCCACACGTTCGGATAAGATTTATTACACATATCGTATCGTATCGCTCCCTCGGTAGGTAAACTGGAGGTAAGGCCAAGGTTACGTACCCCCAGGGCTATTTCTTAGCTGCATGACTGCCCTGACGTAGGTACCTAACACACCTATTTAGCTGTAACATTTTAGGCAAGCTCTACCTAACAACATCGTATTACACTGCACATCTAGCATGCGCTACAGGGGGTTTAGTTACACTGGAGCAATAAAGTTGGCGTGCCGCACCTATTAATTCCTTCCCAAGCTCGCAGTGCCGCGTGCGACAACTGCTACCCTGTTATATATTTCCAAGCTAACTATGACGACTGCATGCAGCAGTAACTTCGCACAACGTTAAAAACATGGGAAGAGCGACGATTGAAAATTGTGTACCTAGGTAGGTAGCCGACCATCGGCCGTAGCAAAGGAAGGAAGGCCATTCCAATGAAAGGAAATAAGACCTGCAGCTTCGTAGAGGTTGCGACTACCTATCCTTTATATATTTTGCCCCTCTTCTATTGAAACCAATCGTGGGTCGTTGTTATGCCCTGCGCCCCTTACGTCCCTCCCCCGCTATTTACTACTAGTGTAACCTTTGTCGGTCTCTTTAAAAGAGTCATATCGATTCTTTTTACGACTTCCTATATTCCTTCGAGGAATCTCAGATTATTTCCTCATCTAAATTTGAATTGAACTTCGAATTTAAGACCATACATACACTGGTAAAGCCCGAGTATAATCATGGATGCGATCATCGATCTCAAAGACGCCTCTAAGGCGCTTGATCTGTCTAACATCCGTTACCAGTTGATGTATATCACTCTGCCTTTTCAAGTGTAACAATTGCAATACTAATATCAACATGTTCTATATAGTCGATTGGAGGATACAATCACCTTCCACCTAATCGAGCGCGTCCAATTCCCCCTCAACAAGAGCATCTACACACCCGGCGCTTTACAAATTGGTCCAGACAGCGAGCTCAGTTTCATGGACTGGTACCTACGAGAACAAGAAAAACTCCAGTCCCTAATCCGCCGCTACGAAGCGCCCGACGAGTACCCATTCTTCCCCGAGGCACTACAAAAACCCATACTCAAACCCCTCGAATACCCCCGCATCCTCCACCCAAACGCCGTCAACGTCAACGAGAAGATCAAGCACTTCTACATCGAGAAGTTCCTCCCAGCCGTGTGTCCAGATTTTGGACGCGGAGACCGCGGCGAGTCAGCGGAAAACTATGGATCCTCTGCGACTTGCGATATTGCCTGTCTCCAGGCTATTTCCCGAAGAATACACTTTGGCAAGTTTGTCGCGGAGTCCAAGTTCCAGTCGGATCCCGAGGGGTACACTAGGATGATTAAGGCGGGCGATCGCGATGGAATTGGCGAGTCTATCACAAATGCTGCGGTGGAGAAGCAAGTACTAGCACGATTAGGTCTAAAGGCGCGAACCTACGGCACAGACCCTTCTACGAATGGTTCGGCGGACGATGGCAAGATTAACGTCGAGGCGGTGGTTTCTATGTACAGAGACTTCGTCATACCAATCACGAAGGAAGTCGAGGTCGAATACCTTATGCAACGACTAGAGTAGATGGGTCATGGTCATGGGGCTTAGAAAAATGGCACACACAAAACGGTGGGGTTTCGTGGGTGATAGATTTCCAGTTCTTATGTATTGCGTTGATTTGCTTTTTAAGACGGCGGACTCAGGTATTCACTGATTGCCTTGGCGGCATCTGCGAACTTGCTAGCCTCAATTAATATCATGAAGCCACGAGGCATGACACCCATCTCCTGGAATGCTCTCTTGCTATCCGCAACTGCGTCGTCAATCTTGGTGTAGTCGTAGGTACTACTAACCACTGCGTATTTCTTCAATACCTCATCCTCTGGGTGGAAGTAGAACATTGTAGCGTCTTGCTTTCCCTTCTTTCGTTTTCGTTCTTCTACGTCTAGTGTGGACTCGATTTCATGGTAGGTCTTGGAGATGATGAGATAATGCGAGAACTCGTAGGGCTCCTTGTCCTCTACTGCGGCCTCGATCTCGTCGATGAGCATGCCGTACATCGGAGGCGAGATCTCGGAAGGCATGTTGATTAGTCGCTCCGAGAGCACAAGTCCGACATGTTTCCCCGAGGACAATAGGTCCGGGATTCCCTTTAATGCTTCGTTCGTTCCAGCCTTTTCAGTAATGTATTTGGTAAGCTCGGCAACGGGCTTCTTTTCTCGGTGTTCTTGTAGATTCAGTGCAGTAAGGAAGGCATATGCGTCTGTTTCCTTGCCGTCTACTTTGACGGTCGAACCAATTGTGGGTTGCGATAGGATCAGATCGGCGAGGGCGGAGACGTCGAAGAGGGTCGCGTCTACGTCGAGGAGTTGTCGCAATAGCGATTTTGTGCCGTGGAAGTCGATCTCGGGGTCGAAGTTGAACCATTCAAAGTCAACATTGACCATATCGAAATCCTAAGTAGTTGGTTAGCTTTTATACTTGTCTTGCGAGTGTCGCAAGTTGCGCGATGTGCGCTTCTTGATGCATCCCACTCACGTCATCGTCCGAGCTTTCGCTATCTTCGACCATCTTGTCTGGTGCCTCGGCGGCGCCATCAGCCTCTCTTGCGCGCTTCTTTGCCATTGTGTCTCTTGAATTTGTATGCGAGTTACTCAAGAACTAAAGTATTGGTTTAACTTGTATTGATCAATCTAGTAGCCTTGTAATAGTCGCGACCGTATGGTTTGTGAAGCTTCTAGGTTATCCACTGCGAGCCTGAAGCGGTGTACCCGAAAAAAATTCTGCCAGCAACCTGCCCCTCACTAATCCCTTTCTGGTCGGGTAGGATCTCAGCTGGTTTTCGATAGGTGCTTTCGCTGTTACCTGTAAGGCTTAACCTAAAATTGCAGGGGCTGGGCAGCTGAGACTTGATACTATAGGTACCTGATTGTACCTAATTCAATTACGTACTGCCGTTGATGTATAAGCTATTGGCACTTAAAACTCATTAACAGTCCGAGTGAGTTTATACGCACACAAGAATCTAATCTCGATCATCAATCTTTAATGGCATAGTTGGCACAACAGAGTTCGCAGCCAACTGACACACGAAGTTTTCGACATGCCGAACCTTTTTTTTTTTTTTCTCTTTCGCTTTGAAAGGCCTATAACTTTCCCGGTCCTTTTCACATGAATAGAGTCATGTTTCCGTCCATATGTAGAAAGGTATGTGTGGTCTATGGATTTGGGACGGTTGCATACTATCTCAATCGTTAATGCTGATGTACAGTTAAATGTGATGCCAGACTACGTTAGACGTTACGGAGCTCCTAGTCAAAGCAATACTCATTTAATTATGTTTGTGCGCGCGCATATGGATAGGGCTGTTATAAGTCACTGAGTTGTTGTGTCAATTTCAGCGCCAATGTCAGTGTCTAGAGTCAGAAGGTATAAGAGCCTGAGTGGTAGGCAAAGCTGAGTTATTTTACAGACAATGGTATTCGGGATGCATCGCCAAACTTCAATCATCGACCCAGGATATAATATCTTATTAAAACTGACTTATAGGGAAGATGAAAAACCCAGGAGACTTCATTTAATCAATCCTGTCAATATGTATGCCAACCAAGCCAAGAGAGCAAAAATGAGGAAAAATGTCGTTAAATCAAGATCACAACTGCCGTCCACCTTGGCAAGAAAAGACCAGGATGTATTGAACCTCTTCACCTGCAGCTGAGAGAACAAGTTTTCCATTGTGCATGGAAGCCTGCAAATCATGGAAAATTCCCTCCACTCTCGGGTCTGCCGCCTCAAGCTGTATTTAGCCAATTTCATAATTAGAGATACGTCTCTACCATTGTCTAGTCCATTCTCTTCTACACCTTCTATAAGTCGCTTAGGGTAGATCGGAACACAGGGCATGGCGTCTTCGATCTCGCAGCTTTGCGTGATCACCATTGAGAAGCATATGCCATGTAGGCGTTCTAAGGTCCCCGATTGGCGGGTGTGACGATGTTCATGCGTGGTGGTTATAGGTAGGTGACCTTGTCCGACCAACCAGCAGCGGTGTTCTCGCCTAGCTAGGCAGCCATTGGGTTGGGTGAAAATATCGGAATATCCAACGGATCGACGCCCCTGAATAACGTGCAACCCATCTCTTCTCGCTCCCCTACCCATTACGGCCTTCTCGTGGCCACCTAATTGGTCCCAAAATTTCCCGAGCCCTGTCTGTCCATGTGGCATACATGCCTATAAGAAACCTGGGGTAAAGGACGTGACAGAAAAGCTTTTCCCACTGCAATGATGGACATCGGTCCGTCTAGCCTTGTGCGATATAAATAAGTTTCCCCAGCATAGAAGCAACCCGTTCCACGTAAGCTGAGTTCTCACCAAGTAAGAATGCAAGAGGTAATTACAATCGGGCCAGGCATTGATGCCATTAAAGTATCGTTATTCAATGGATGAACGACTAATATATTACTAGTGGGTATAATTTTCCATAGGACGCGTGTCCCCCAATATGTGACCTCCCCAAGCGAATGCAAGACCAGTACTCCCGACCCAGATCCCGGGCCCCATTGAACTCCATGAGACATACGCGCGCCAAACAACTCCCTTAGCCCGGATGGGTCGACCCGAAGCAAGTGAAAAATAGGAAGTCAGATTGTCGAGAGGGATAAAAAAAATCAAACGATTCGACTTGATGAGGCGAAGGAAACCGTAACCCCTGGTCCCCAATGTAGATCCGGCCAAATCCACGCAGCTAGCTAAAACCCGTCTAGATGAATGTAGATGGTCTGGATGCAGAATCACGATCGCCCGCTAATATTAGATTCATCGAGATACTCGGGCGGGGGGCGGGCGCAAATAGTCTCCTGGCAGGGTCGAGCTGTTGCTAAACGCTTCCCGAGTTTCGCGGCCGAGATGGCCAAATGGAGCCGACAATTCTGAGGTGGGCGTATCAACAGGGGTGAGCTGTAGACCCGGACCCATCACGGCGTGTCCTGAGCTCATCGACTTCGCATGCTTAGCCATCTTGTTGTCATCCCCTATCCCAATGCCTCCTGCGTCGACCAATTCCCGTCGGGCTAATTCGATATCGTGTCTCGCTTGCTTGATGGACTTAGCATCCCACAGAGGCAAGATCCGATATCCTAGGCTCTCCATAATGCACCGCTCGGTGAAATTAATCTGCTCACTCGTCCACATATTGTTGCCCCACGCCGTGCCGTAATATTGGGTTGTCTCCTGCAAATCTTCTACGAACTTGTCGGCGATCATCAATGCGGCTAGGATGATTATTTCGGGGAATACACTGTCGATGTGTACAGCTTGAATTGCACCAGACGGCAATGTGTGACGTTTCGGTGCTAAATCGCTTAGCTTGCTTAATGGGAAGGAGATCCGCCATGTTCGAGAAAATCGGGAGTTTAACGAATCCAATATGCACACCGCTAGAGCAATGATATCCATTGGTAGGTCGGCACGTGCCAGTATGGCTCGCACAATAGAAATGGACGGTGTCGTGAAAGAAGCTCCCGGGGGTAGCATTCTCGCTAGGTGAGCAGCAGGACCTAAAAGAAATATGCCCATTAGATTATGTATAGTTGAATTGAAGCTCTAAGACATTACCAACCTAGATATTCGCATGTGACAGAATCGACATCTTCGGCGACAATGCAAGGGCTCTGAACGGCGGATGAATTTTTAGACGAGGGAGGCGGCGTGGGAAGGTTAGACAATGGCTTATAGAATTGTCTAAAATATGCGTCGTCGAACTCGAACTCGTCGTCGTACGTGGAAAAGCACCTGGAGTGACCCATCTTGGACATATTTTATAGGTATAAAAGCAAGAACTAAAACAGCGAAATACTTCAAGGTGCTAGACAACCGAAAAACCACAATGAGGAATACCAAGAAGGACTGCTCATATTTGAACGAACCCTTCCCTAGTATAAATATATTTGTCTAGTACTAGAAATATATCACGCGCTTCTCAAGCTACTCAGAATAGTTGACTAGTGCCCGTCGGATCGTGAATCAGGTCAAACAGCTAAACAGCTCAGGGGGGTATATCTTATATACGCAAGCACCAACGCTAACGAGTACAAGCAGCACCTTTTTCGGATAATCGGCGAGGAACTAAGGGGAGGAAGAGTAATTAATTCCCGGGAAGAGAAGACGACGACGGAATATAAACAGATTTATATGTACGTATGTATGTAATGTATATAATAACAAGTAGACGTTCGTAGAAACCGGCTGGACGAAGCGAGGGGGGTCGAGCTTATTATGCGAAGGCCGCACGGGTCAGAAGCAAAGCCGAGCACTTGCAGGCCCTGTCCATGTCAGTACGAGGTTAGGTACTTGATGTACCCCTAATGCATGGATGCATAGCCATCCTCTTCCATGGCATGGCATCGTTTCCAATTGGGTACGGGTACCTTCGAGTTCATACCTTTGATGATTGTATTGTAAGTACCGTTCGTACCTGAATGGAGACCAACGTCAGGCCAAAATAAAAATTAAAGAAAAAAATAGGTGAGGTCGAGAAACATGAAGCTGAATCGTAAGTGCGGTAACTAAAATTAACCGTTTTCCTTCTAAATAAGATAGTTAATCCTCACGCGAACACATAACGGTTAGTACTATGTATCTAAGGCCATCTAGGTCATATACCTCATGTAGCGTAAGGCAGATTACTTACTTGCTTGCTTAAACTATCTACATACATCTACTACACTACCTCTATGCATAGTACATGTAAGTAGCTTCATATGGGGAAATAGAGTGGGAGGTCGGACGGACAAAAGTTTGGAGGGGGTTGAATCCAACTTTCAAGATCACGCAAGCGTTCTCGTTACTAATTCGTCGATCTTAAAAAGCTAGCTTTCCTCTTCGGTAAGGATGTTTGACTATCGAAATAGTTTTGCTGGTCCGATGTCAATATTCATCATTCCAAACCTTGGCCATGGATGAATAAGATATGAGTCGAGCTGGTCATCCTCTCATGCCAACTGTGTGTGTGACTACCTACCATAGCTGCATAGTTAGCAAATAGGCAATTGTGATGTAGCTTAGGTAGACCTGAGTATGCAATGGAGTCAATTTGGTAGCCTCACAGACCTGATCGACTCTGGACATCGCCCTATTCCAGATCAGGCCATAAAAAAGAATACGCCCCCAAAGTCTTAGCTACTTAGCGTTGTAGCGGATCTTCAGTGACTTCGGAATGCGTCGATTTCCTTGCCTATCTTGAATTGGTCAGGGACTAAGCTAAGCAAAACCCCACACGGGGGGCGTAGTACTCATAGCTAACAGCTAGGAACAGGGCACCAGAATTGTCGAGAACGAGATAAACAGGGATTAAAGAGAAGAAAATAAAAAATACATACCACAATAGCGGAGGATGTTGGCGCAATCCGACCAGAGCTTTCGGCGGTGTAGTCTAGGTAGCTTTGATGCTGCAAAAAAGTTGTAAAGATGTAACTCCAAGCTTATCAGAATGAATTCGTTGTTGTTTTTTCAAGGATCTTGGCTAGCAGGCGGCAGGCTACCAGTTCTCCAGCCGTCCACCGTGGTGAACGGACGGGCGGTGATCAAGTTTATGCCCCACTACTTAGGGCATGGGTATAGTAAACTTAGCGGTAGGTAGACACCTAAGTTACCTGTACAGTTACCTAGAAATATCCCCTAGCTTTCTAATTCAGGGTACTTAAGTCTTGGTGAGGTAGGCGGTGTTGGTCCCTTACTGCAGGGTACTTAATGAAGCCAATACATTTTCGGTTTTTCGTATAGAAAGATCGAATCATTCAAGTACCAATTGATACGCAACAACCAATCAACCATGTACTTTAATCCTTGTTCCCCTTTAAATCTATCAAAGTAATAAAGCACCACAGATCGTAATTCCTACCACCCATTGCATACAACTTCTAAGAATAATAGCCTACTTCCGTCTTACACGCAGACTATCAGACCGAGTCATTGTTTCCCAAGTGATGGGCAATTGACTTTTTTACGACTCATTAAGATATAAAGAGGATAAAGAAGACTCGGCACACCAACAATAAACGGACCTCTTTGGGAATGTATAAGCCTACTCGCTAAAGTCCAGCTCCAGCTCCACTCTCACCGCCTTCTATGTAATGGATGTCATGGATGTAATGGGGATAGGGAATATGGAATGGAAAGTGACGTGTAAGATGGATGATTTGCACAAGGACGTGCATTGCACGATCGACGGCGCCTCTTCGGGATGAGGATTCTCAGACCACCTAATCGTGTTTTTGCTCGACGATTCCAGTAAAGGGGTGGATCCCTTCATTTCCTCCGTTCGCAAGTCTTTTTTTATTTTAGGGGTCTTCTTCTTGGATATGGATACATACGAGTACGTCTTGTGTTTACTAGTACCTACCTAAGTATCTACATATGTAGGTAGTATAGTGTACAAAAACGCTCGAGCGCACCGATCCGAGCCTCTGGTTTGCTCGGCACTCGCGACGTGATCCCCTCTTTTACGAGGCCAACGTGTCACCATGCCTCCATTGAGACTCGTATGCTGAGATTACACGGTTATGTATATCAAGCATTTAACATAGTACTATGTAAAGACATGCATAACGCATCCGCGTTTTCCGGGCCTAAAACTAGAAAAATCTGAAAATGAGGCTGAAAATGACGAATTATCATTATAATGCCATAGTTGTAAAGGCCCGAAGCAGAATGTTTCCAACCAGAACAAGTTTACCCCTTTAAAAGTCTGACATAATATGAAGAAGCTGTTCAGATTCTAAGTCAACACTATACCTCCAAGGAAGACTCCTGTTAATGAAAATTCATAAACGCCTTCATTAAGATGAGTGATCAATGATCGTCAGGTACACGAAAATCAGTTCCGACTTAAACCCCCATATATTCCGGCGTGATGGTGCTCATTTTCTCACGTGAGTTACCAACGCCGATCCGCATGCTCGTCGCAATAAATCCGAGCGATTTTCCTTCTCAATAACACAAACAATCCGAGAGGCAACCGCGGCTCTATTACACACGAAATATACCGAGGTTTGGGAAATTGAAAGTGGTTTCGCCATCATTAGTTCATCAACTCAACACATCCAACAAACAAGATCTCGCACATCAATAGCACTTATGGTCTCCGAGAAAGAAAAGGAGCATTGCCACTAGGCGTTACCAGTACTACGAACCCGCTCTCCGATGTCTAAGCACCGACTATTTAGCTGCAGCTAGAATCTAGTACCCAAAACGTTCGAAAGCTACCAATCAAGATACAGCTTGGCGGCTCATAGTCTCTTCAGCTTTAGAATATCACGGACAGCTAGACAACTTTCCGGAATCCCGTTTCTGACACGACGCACAGATAGCTCTTCATTGCTATAACTCAAAATATAAGAAGCCCATTGACCAAAATCAACTCTTTTAGCCCACGTGCTCAGTTACGAGACAAGTATATCAACCCATCTCGTTCGGTCCTACTTATAAACAACGATGATTCGGCGCGATTAAAGTGATTGTGAAAATCATTCGCTAAACTAGCTGCATTTGATTTTCTCACCTTCGTCGTTGTCTAGACAGCTACCTAGATACAGAATTGACCGAATTTCAATAAGAACGACCACCCAGCTTCTGTTAATCGAGTCTTGCCACGGCAATGGCGCGAATTGTATAACCACGAGGGTCCTGAAGTCGGCTGCTGAGAAATGTGCTTAGGTAATCGTATTCAGATGAGAAATCGTCAATTCGGTTCTTCCACATCCCCAATCTAGCCTTATGACAGCACTTCACAATTTAAGTATCTAAGCCTTAGTACCTAGGTATGTAATTGAGAGGAGACAAAATGTGACAACGCTCATAGAAGTGCTACCACGCAAATACGCCCAAGTCCATTCATTGGTCTGGATCATGCACCAAGCCACTCTGCTCAGCAGGCCATAAGGCTATCGAGCGGTGACAATTTTCTCTTTTATCACGACTCAAATTCGCCATTTTCAGACGGGACGAACAATATAGCAATGCCATGGCCCCCGAGATTATCCGGCATCGTATTCAGAGTACGTTGTGCAGTATCTGCTCTCAAATTAGTCCTCCACTTACTCGCAACTGTGATTGGAATCCATGGTCGTTTGAACATGGGTGTGCAAACGACATTGAAATATCTGCACAGAGAGGTTGTCAACTGTGTAGAATGTTATATGAGAAACTCAAAACAGCACACTACCACGATCCTGCACCACATATACCCTCATCAGAACAGCCTCGAGTATTACTCTCTTTATTGAGTAAACCTTCTTAAACCGCTAGTTTGGTCGCATACTGTCATGTTTCGGTGACCATTGGCTCCAACCATTTGGATTCCCCGTCTCTCATGGTTTGCTGGAACAATGACTCTACGACTTGGCCCAAATCTCCTCGATTCCTCGATATCAGAAAGCAAAACCAGAGGGTTATTGGTGCCGCGAGGGCCTACTTCAAAAAATGCGTCGAGAGCCATAACTGTTCTTCATCGTTGAATATTCATATCCCGACTCGTCTCATCAATGTTGGCATCGAAGGGGATGAAATGATACGATTATTCGAACCAGGCAACAGCCAGGTACCTATAAAATCTGCGGCGCTATCATATTGCTGGGGCGGCCAGGTCAACACGTTTAAGACTACCTCTCAGAACGTTGATGTCCATTATGCCAAAGGATTCTCTCTGTCCTTACTCCCTCGTACTATACGTGATGCAGTTGAAGTCACGCGGGACCTGGGCATCCTTTATCTCTGGGTTGATACCTTGTGCATCATTCAGGGCGAAGACGAAACTGCCAGGGATGATTGGCACTCTGAAGTTAATCGGATGCATGAAGTGTATCGCGGCGCATATGTGACTATATCAGCTGCATCTGCGTCGAATGCTGATGGGGGTCTTTCATCGTGCGGTCACTGTATCGTCCCCTGTACTGGTGAATGTTGGTATGCTTCTTTCTATTTAGAACTTCCTGGTGAAGATCCAATTGAAACACGAGGCTGGACCCTTCAAGAGCATGTTTTGTCTTCTAGGTTACTCGCATTCACAAACCATGGCGTTCAATGGCGATGCAATCAAATGGCGAGGGAAACGAGCAGAATGGAATTAATGGACCTAAGACCTAATATTACATCGAATTGGATAGCACTTGTGGAAAATTATTGCCTTCGTGCCCTATCAGTCGAGAGCGACAAACTTCCCGCCATTGCAGCCTTAGCCCACGAACATGCTAAAATTACTGGCGATAAGTATCTCGCAGGACTTTGGGATTCTAATATATTACAACACCTTCTATGGTATTGCCGGACCGGTGAATCCCGTCGCCCTGGAAGCTACCGAGCTCCTACATGGTCATGGGCATCGGTAGATGCACGCGTGAAATCCAAACGCGTAGATCAATGTGCAAGCCTAGAGGAGGTTTGGCATTTTTTCCTCAAATGGGCCGGGGTGACGGAGCTACTTGCAGAAGTAATCAAATGCGAAGTACAGCTGGAAAATCCCGAATACCCTTTCAGCAAAGTCGTTAGTGGAACACTGACGATAAGTGGCCTTGTATATGGCCCCATACAGACGGTTAAGTCTACCGATCCAGACGGTAACGCTGTTCTCGCTAGTACCAGTGCGGGCAATGTCGGAAAATTATATTACGATCCCACTTGGTCCATACAAAATTGTCGACCAACCTCCTACATTGTCATATCAAGCGCATATCTGGAACACGCATCCGCTATTGCGATCCGTCCTATTGATGATAGCAATGACGTTTCCATTCGCGTTGGTCTCATCATAGCTTATTATAGTGAGTCGGAGAATATGATACAAGATGGAGAGGTTAGGACGATCAAAATCGTGTAGCCGCTCGCGCTTTAATTTAGAGAGGGTTCCAGTCTATGGAAGTCTTCCACAGAAAAGCAAACACTACCTACCTAGGTATGTAAACATAACACATGAATCTTGAATAGAACGTATCAATCCGGGTGGAGTTTATTATCAGCCAGTCCAATTATAACTATAAAGGTCAAAATCGATTCCAACGCTACCCGAAAAGGTATCCCAAGAAAACCAAACATTCTCTCCAGAGTGCTGTACAAGAGAAGTGTCTAAGGGCTCCTGCTGGATATCTGGAGGTTGAGGCCTCGCCTCCGGTGCAAGGACATCAGATTGGAGACCATTGTCGACTCTTTCTTGGCTTTGAACAGCCAAATGACCATTCGACTCTTTCCTCGCAAAAAACCGCATACGAAAAATAATATCATATAGCAAGGACGCCCCGAGCCGATTCGTGATCAAGAGCTGTGGCAACGACAGGACGCTGGAAGACGCATCTATAGCATGTGCCTTGTCAACAACCCTGCTAAGGAAATCTGCACCCATTAACGCAGCACGATTGTGTGGCATAAGTCGGAATATATCCCTAGCTTCTGCGATACTGCCAAGAGCAAGTGTAACGTGCATCTGGCCGATAGGACGGCAATCTACCAGCATACGGAACAAGTAAATGGCAGCGAAGAACATATTCGTGATATATTGTCTCGGATAGAACGTCAATTTTCCAGCGTTGGAGACGCCGTTTTCGACTGGTAGGAGACTAAGCTCCTTCATTTGGTAGATGACGCGAGACGCTGATTCTAACCCGCGGAGTAGGAGGGCTCGCTTATTTAAGACGCTTTGCTCATCCACTTGACTGCCTGCCTGTGACCCTTCTAAGACGACCATGGCATATAAGTTCAGTTTCGCATATTGTAGCAAGATGTTGAGTTCGGGCATCGAATGAGTGCTGTAGATCTGCTCGATACTATCTAGGGCGGCTTCAAACGTTTGAACGAGAGGGAGGTGGGCTGCTAAGTCTTCGGTGTCTTCCAATGCTATCGAGTAATTACACACGCACTCGTATATTGCAAGGCTTGCTTGGTGTTCGGGTTGCAGGATGGGTCCTAGTTGTCGAATGGCGTTCTTGACGTATTTCAATTGATGGAAAGGGGATAGCGGGGGCAGAACCCCTTGATAGACGGCGGCCCTTTCAAATTTTATCAGTACCAGAGTGGAATTTGCATATGGGGAGGAAGGAGAGCATACTGGGTACTAATACTGAAGCAAGCTAACCAAGTCATATGTTGGTCTTGAACCGTGATCTCCTCGGTGTCCAGCCAACATGCCCATCCGTATGCAACATGGTCTTGAGGCAAAGGCTTGTGGAAATTCATTTTCGTACATGTATCGATAGCAACGCTAACGTACGTCCATGTTGGATCTAGTAACGGGATATGGGATGGGAGGCTCCACAAGCAAAGGATCAGAAGGGCATGGATTTCTTGAATAGAACGAATCGCTCTGGTTGAAAATGGTTTCAAAAGTTCCTTATGTGCGGGAAGTAATCGTTCGTATAAAATATGATGTCTCTCATGGTGCTGGCAAGTAATCAATACAACCGTCTAGAATAACAGTGTAGAATCTAGAGCCAATCGATCTAGTGACGCTATAGGTTGCAAGAAGGGGGCGTGGATAGAATAATAACGTTGGAAACTAGAGACATTAGCATAGAAGCCATCGGTCCGTATTCTAGAGCCTTACTGTTGGAACAAATCATGTACTACTGTTGAAGACACGGCGAAGGTCCCTAATTGGAACTCCGAGCCCCTTTCACTTGTTGATATGACGGACGTCGGCTCTGTAGCACTAGCCTGTATTGACGCTACACGATCCTCATCACTGCGTCCATTCAGCAGGTCGCGGAGTATGTGTACTCTGTTGGCAATGTTCCGGGCAATCCTGACGTTATTAGTGAGCGTTCAGAAAATTTATAAGGCAGGAATTTGTCACATACTGCCGTTGCGATACCCTCTTGAAATTCTTGTCAAAGCGACAAGATAGTTGCTTCTCTTTGCACCTTGAGCATGGATTAGGGGTAGTGCTCCGAGCATCACACTGTAAAGACGTTAGCAACCTCCGACAACCACTCGCTGTACTCACGGCTGTCTTGGCCTGACGACATGCCGAACACGACTTCGGCTTCCCAACCATCGTAGACTGTGGATTCTAATCGATAGGTCCTATTCAAAACATGAAGTCTACTAGATAGTTCTTTTCTTTCCGGTAACCTCTTCACATGCGATCCGTTGTACTGATGGGACCATCACTTTAGCATAAGTAGATTCGGTCGCCTAACGCATTGGAACTGTAGTTACTTGGTGATACTAAGAATATCCTGAGGCTGGGAATCGATTCTCCGCAAGCCGCACATTTCGTATAAGCTGCTTCTTGCTTTATAAGATTAAGATAAATAGAGGATCATACTGCGGGAACCGCACTTTAGCAACACCAGTTCAGAGCCAAATCGGGCAATTTATAACCTATTATACGAACGCGATTGATCATCAATCTCTTGAAGGAGCGGAATCGATGGGAGTACCTCTAAACTATCGCAAGAGAAAGATGCAGATTCGTCCAATATGTTATTAGATATTACACATCTTTCTCCGTATGCATATCATGCTGCGAAGTTATGTGGCTAAGTTCAGTGTGAAATCAATATTGTAGATGTATATATAACTACCACTTGTCACCTCTTTTCGAAGTTCTAGAGTTAAGGCAGATAACATATAACTCGTCAAAAAGGCTAATATACACAATGAAGCTCGATTTTCTCTTCATCGCGACGGTATTCACGGTATCCGCCCTGGATAACCCGTACGGGAATTGGAAACCAGCCGGACCTAATGGTGGTATGGCTTGATCCAGAAGTCTCGTTTCGGACGTCAGTAAAACTAACCGTTGCCAGTGAGAGGGCCATGTCCAATGCTCAATACCCTGGCCAATCATGGATTCCTCCCCCATAATGGGAAAGATATTACCGAGAACGACACCGTTAGTGCCCTAGGGTCGGCGTTGAACTTTGACGAAGAGATATCGCGCCTCATGCATAAATTTGCCGTCTCTACCAACCCGGCACCTAACGCCACGACCTATTCTCTGAATCATCTTAGTCGCCACAATATCCTGGAACACGACGCAAGCTTGAGTAGAGCGGATGCCTACTTTGCTGATCCGGCTATCTTCAACCAGACTGTGTTCGACCAGACGCGGTCTTACTGGAAAGGGCCTATTGTCAATTTGAAGGAGGCAGTTCGGTCTCGCCTAGCTCGGCTGGAGACATCCAATGCGACTAACCCAACTTTCACCCTAAGTGCCCTTGGGAAAACCTTTGGTCTTGGGGAGATCGCCGCCTACCTTGCCGTGCTTGGTGACATTCCGTCGGCGACTGCTATTAAGGCTCGACTCGTATATTTCTTTGGTAGATATTCCGCCATCCTATAAGTTCTAATGAATAGCGCTAATGAGTCTGGCGAATTAGAAAACGAACGTTTGCCGGTTCACCTAGGCTGGACCAAGCTGAGCGTTCTGTCTAAAACTGACTTTACGGATATGCTTCAGAGAGTTGCTAATGCTACTGAAAAAGTCTCGGGGGAAGCCGTCGAACCTGTCAAACGAGATAGTATCATCGGACTCCACGCAACCCTCTCCGAATAGACGAAAAATGTCATAGTACAACAAGGAAATGGATGATTAGGATTCAGGGGGCGATACATAGGGGTGTACGTACCTTTTGTATCTAAGAATTAAGTTCATGCATGATTATTTCTTGGAGATTGAACCTTCCTCGAAGACCGCAAGATGTTGTCCATGATCATGCAGCGCGGTTGTTCCTGCCTTTTCTACTTCTCAGATGCGTCATCACGAAGACATAGAGTTTTCTTCTTTCTGCCTTCCCTCTGTGGGATTTAACAATTTGAGTTTTCTCGTATACCGAATGTCTTTGAAGTCCCCTCTTGTAACAATTTCCCTCTGGAGCTGCTCGCCGTCCCGCTTGCCTCTGAATTGAATTGTGTGAATAATTTCGACTGGTCGTTTGAATTTGTTTCTTCATATAAGGCGATCTGGAGTTTTATACTGCTATACTCGGGTCTGCCAAAACCATGCCGTCGAGTCCTAGTATCGCGCGGCTTAGTGAAATACCTAATATGCCATCATCCGCGGATCCTATCTCAAGTGGTTCTACGAACTACCAACCCCTATCTAGCGCAAGGATAGCTTCACTCCTACCGGACCGTACTGAGTCGCGAAATTTCGATGGTGGAATTGATTCCGGGGGAAATGAAGCTGCGAGACCTGACAGTCATGGAAGAAGGGGTAGATCCGTCACTCCAGTTCGTGCAAACGTGAAGCGTAAAAGATCTGTCGCATCAGCACCGGGAGATACTACGGGTCAACTGTTAAGGTACCTGTCTTGACCTGGAAAGATCAAATCTTTTATACAATTTCTCCCGCGAAACTGAATGGGAGAGTGTTCATCAGTCGTTAACTTGATTCCGATGACAGGAGAAGTAGCTCGACTGCGTCAGTCACTGGACACGATTCAAATCTCTACAATAACACCAACACGAAAGATCCCCCTCGAAGACCTAATACTCCTCACCAGAGAAATATTTCGCGTGGGCGATCTTCGAGGCGAAAAACACCCGATACTAATGACGTTGAAACACGAAAGCGCCGAAAGGTAGATGGTAAGGATGGAAGATCTCGCGAACCACCTTCGGGGGGAGCTGAGAATATTAAAAAATCGTTCAAAGTAACCAAAGGCTCAGATGCTCTTGTCATACAGCAATTATCATTATCCAGCACTGCGGAACATAACAACGAAGAAATCGCGTATGAGCGCAAAGGGGCATTTCGACTAAAGAAGAATAAGAGGGTGGGTCAGTTTCGCTTTCCTAAATCTAAAAGTCAGCCAGAGCCGCTTTGGAGAGCGGGCGATGGATTCACAGGTGATGAAGCTAGGCCTGATTTTGTATTCCCTATGGCTCGTTTGAACAAGCAAAGATCTCGATCACTTCCTGGTGTAGGAAAACTTCAATTAGAAACTGAGAATGAAAGTACTTTGGAGCCCAGTGGACTAAGATCCGATCGTCCAAAGGCCACAAATTTATCTCAATTAGAGATGAAGCGTCGGCGTGGTCCACCGAAGGATGTGTGGCCTACTAGAGACAACTTCACGGAAGAATTAGCAGTACGAAAACGGAACCCCACTGTACCGGAGGGCGAGACAATTATCCCATCAACTGTGCCGTTCCGGCCTGCTCCGTCGCCCCACGTTAGGGAGACATACAGTTATAACAGGCCTAGTACGCTGAAAAGAAAGCATTCGGATTTCGAGAATTTTGGGCAGCGCCTCCGAAACGGCGATAAGCTGGGCTCCATGATCGATATACAATCCCGTCCCCAGCAAGTTCACCATATGGGGTATTATGAGCCGGCTGACGGCGGAGAACACGAGGACGGGGAACGGGATGAGGCGGAAGAAGACGAGATTGTGCCTTGTTCTGTATATAGCGGGGAACTTAGCATGGACGAAGAGACTAGCACTGGTTATCGGGAATCATCCGGAGCTTCACCTGACCGCCAATCCAGCACCGATGAATCAGCTATGCCCGCTGCAGGCAGCGAGCGTGAGTTGCAGGAAGCCAAATCATATTCCGATGGTATTGGAGCAGCGGGTGAAATTGCTAGAGAAGTTCTCCCATCCAGCTAAGCTTTGTCCTAAGTGTTCAGTGCAGGGTTGTAATTTGTCTGTTTATATTTGAGATGCATCAAGCAGTTCAGATAAGCGATGGGACTGGCAGGAAAACCCGCACATTTTATGTTGCTAGAGTATTCTGCTGTCTTAATGAGAGGGTCTATCTTAATAACTTTTGGGGCGAATGGACGTACCGTTTTCTCTGAAATTGATACTACTTGGTGAAATTGCCGCAATGAAGTCATTATTAAAGATTTCACGAAATTTCGCACCCAGAAGGGCTGGCAGGAAATATCTTTGTAGAATTCAAATATCCCTTCCCCTATTAACGCCAACCGGCTTTGGGTTCTATCTCGTCCTTAAAAACCTGTAGGTAGACGATACACAGAATCAGCAACATCCATGTTTTCTCTTCCTCTTTCATAGCTTTATCTCTTTTTATTTAAATTATTCATCTTTAACACCTACCCCCTCCCTCAGCCTAGCTCTACTTGCCCTTACCCTTCGGCAAAGCCTCATTCTCACCTAACTCCCTCACAAAAATCTTCGTCCGTCCTTCACCGTTATAATCCTCCATCCCTGTCTCGAAACCAGGACATACACCGACGGCGAGGTACCTTCCATCGGCGCTAAATGCGAGCGCTGCCACGCTATCCGCGAATTTTTGGTATACTTTCATACGGCGCTTGGCTTCGGCATCCCATAAGGCGACGGTGGCGTCGCCGCCTCCGCTTGCGAATGTGCTTCCGTGGACTGGGTGGAAGGCGAGTGCGTTTACGGGGAATACGACGTCGACGGGGGTATCGGAGGTCGTGGAGGCGGGTTGCGCGGTGCGGTGGCATTTAAATGCGTATTTACGGGCTTGGGATTCGGCGCTGGCGTCGAACCATTCTACTGCTACGCGTCCCTCGATGCTTGAGGTTGCGTAACCTGCGTCGGACGGCATGGCGGCGACGGCGCGGGTTAGGAATTTTAGGGAGGATTCGCGTTGTTGCCATGGTTGCGGGGGTTCGTTGGTTTGTAAGGCTAAGGCATTGGATAGGGCGGATATGTCGTAGATGTGCACGAGCCGCGAGGTCATGGCTACGATTACTTTTGAGGGACTCGCGGCTAGGGCGTGGGGTTTGCCTGGGAGGGGAATGGCGAGGGGGGTGAGAGAGAGGTTTGTTGGGTTATGGATATGGAGGGTGCTGTCCCAGGACGCGGAGATGAGGAGAGCTGTGATGGATTGGTTAGTTCGTCGGCTCGTATTCGGGAATTGATTTCTTGTGATGACTTACAATGCTCTCGGCTGTATACGACTCTCCTTACCGGCGCGGCGTGCTTGCTTAGAGTCGTCTGTTCGCCGGTCTCGAGATCGATGCGCCGGACTTGCCAATCCATACCGGCACTGAAAGCCTCGTTTCCATCCGCGCCGAAGCATACATCCATCACCGGGGCGCGGTTCTCATATGTCTGTAGTAGAACTCCATGGCTGCCATCGCCGCTGTTCTGAAGGGTATCATAGAGGTAGATGTTTTTGTCCCAGGAGGAGACTAGTAACCGCGACGGTGCGTCGGGTGCGAAGGCAAGAGCCGAAATGGCATCGTTGGGTGGTTGCGCAAGCTCGAATTGTGTTGCTATATTCGTATTTGTTAGTGTATACGTTTTTTTCTATTTGATATAAATGACAATTGACATACCTGGTGGTGCCATGATTGCTATGGATTGAATGTGGTGATACTTAAAATTGATGCTCTGGCTTTGGAGCTTGGACGCAGTGAAGAATATTTGGTAATTGGAATTGAATGTAAATATCAATATTAGCACTGTATTTTACAGGGGTCTAGATTACCGCAGTGATAAGAATACAGGGAGTAGGGCGGTCCCACTGTACCCGTAAGGTACTGTTTAGCCCCATATTAAGTTTCCCCCGAAGCTACTGGAAGTACTAGAAGTGGGATGCCGGATGGAGGGGCAACTGCATATCCCACCCGGAGCTCACCCATTTCATCAGAGCAGCTTCCTTCCCACCTACAACTACGTCGCCGATCCCACCCAGCTTTTTCCGAGTCGCCGATTGTTTCTTTCTCCTTTATACCTTCGCGCTTCAATATTTCGAGATGCCTTTCGCGCAGCTTGTCCTGGGCAGTCCAGGCTCGGGTAAAAGCACCTATTGCGATGGCAGTAAGTTATCTAACTATTTCTTTGTATTGGAGATTCATTCTAACTCTTTTAAGTGCACCAGTTCATGAGCGCGATAGGACGCGAATGTTCGGTCGTCAACCTAGACCCTGCGAACGATAAAACGAACTACCCATGCGCCTTAGATATTCGCGACTTAATTACTCTAGAAGAGATCATGAGCGATGATCAACTCGGTCCGAATGGCGGTATATTATACGCGTTCGAAGAACTCGAACACAACATGGAATGGCTAGAGAAGGGACTTAAGGAGCTAGGAGACTCATATATCTTGTTTGATTGCCCCGGTCAAGTCGAACTATATACGCACCACAACTCACTCAGGAATATCTTCTTTAAGTTGCAAAAGATGGATTACCGCGTACGTATCTCTATTAGCGACCATATCTAAAGCCTGCACGCTAACGATTCGCAGCTCGTAGCTGTACATCTTTGCGACAGCTTCTGCTTGACCCAACCTTCCCTCTACATTTCCAACCTCCTCCTCACCCTCCGCGCGATGCTTCAGATGGACCTCCCTCATATCAACGTCCTTACCAAGATCGACAAGGTCTCATCGTACGACCAACTACCTTTCAACCTCGATTACTATACCGAAGTACAAGACCTATCATACCTCATGACATATCTCGAGGAAGAGTCGCCGGCAATGCGCAGTGATAAGTTCCGCCGACTGAACGAAGCCGTCGCCAATCTTGTCGAGAACTTTTCCCTAGTCCGATTCGAGGTTCTCGCAGTCGAGAATAAGAAGAGCATGATGCAGCTACTGCGGGTAATCGATAGGGCTGGAGGATATGTATTTGGTGGAGCTGAGGGTGCAAATGATACCGTGTGGCAAGTCGCGATGCGTAACGAATCGTCTATGATGGAAGTGCAGGACATCCAGGAGCGATGGATCGATGCGAAAGAGGATTATGATGCCGCAGAAGAGAAGGAATGGGAGGCGCAACGTAAGATGCAGGAAGGCAGCACTGGGGCTACCACCCCCGACTTGATTCCCGATGACGACGATGATGAGTTCGATGGAATGCCTCCGCCCACAGGCGATAGTGGTGTCAGGGTAGTGCGAAAGAACCAGTAAACCACCTCAACCATCGGTTATTTCTCCCATTTCTACGTCGCTGTCGTCCTCGCCGGCGCCCATCAAATTCGCCATAGTCGCGTCGCGTTGCGGCCTTTCTGACTTCCCGAATATGTTGCTGAGAGAGTCATCAGACTTCTCTTTGTAGTCATTCTCCACTGCGAATATAAGATTTCGCGCGCGTCGAATAGCTTCTTCCTCAGCCTTACGCATAGTGCCGCTTACATGGACAACGCGAAAGACGCAGGGTTGCCCGTTTCTAACAGGAACTGAGTTCATAAATGTGAGAGCGGACCAAACTAGGCGATATGATGATCGCGAAATCTTCAGAATGAAAGTGGAGGTTGCATGCGAGAAATATTTAACTAGAAGGGTTAATGTAAGCCACATGCAACTTGCGATGGGTTCCAAGCCGCTGACTCACCACCCAAGTTTCCGCCTTCAATGGCTCCGGAACCATAATCCCCAAATAAACTGGCGACTTCTGTGCGTATACCTCTGAGCAGGGCTGCGGGAGTGAGTTGGTCGGTTGTCGGTTGGTTGACGACTACGACATCAGGAAGATCGGAATGGTTTCCGAGTTCATTTGGGTAGAGGATCTTTACTAGAAGATAACGTTCCTTGATTCGCACCATCGCGTTGAATTTAATGGAAAGCCTAATTCAAGGAATTATAGTTACCATTATATACCTAGGTAGTAGAAATATTACTGCTTGAGCCTTAGGGTGAATGTTGATATTTCGGCGTGCGTGAGTTGTAGTGTGAAAGTTGCACTGGGTTACGAAATTTCCACTTAGATACCTAGGTACCTAGGTACCTAAATGAAGCTTCCTAAGGCTATCTTATCGGAGCTCTGTGGGGATATTCCCGACTAGCGGCCGAAGCTTCTACAATGACATAATTCGAGCAGTGAATAATTCTATTATCTTGTCCTCGACTTAATTACTATAGAAATTGTAGAAATTTGTATTCTATGAGTAAAATATTATATACGGCGGTTATTCCTTTATTTTTTTCCCCCCAACCATAATAATCTATACAATAAATGCTGATTGAGGATTAATTCCTCGAACCCATCAAAGCGATTGTATTTCCACCCCGCATTTATTTATACATGAAGCTTCTCTTTTTATATCGCGCCGACTAGATTCAATTCAATTAGTGTTTTATTTACCCAATAAATTTCTCAATTAACATCAAATTCATCTTATAAAGCTTTTTAGTATACGAGTTGTCTTTGCCGCCATGTCTAACACTCCGTTAAGGGCTGCATTGCTCATTGTCTCTACGACAGCAGCCAAGGATCCCTCCACAGATGCTTCCCAAGCAGCTCTAAGCGATGTACTTGAGAAAGAAGGTGATGGAAAATGGGCACTCGTCGACACCAAAATAGTCCCAGACGTTGTGACTCAAGTTCAACGACAGATCATGCTATGGACGGATGTCGCGGCGGATACCATTAATCTCGTTATAACTACCGGAGGTACCGGATTTGCAGTAGCTGACAACACCCCAGAGGTATGTGAGGAACAGTTACTAAGTCAAATTGTATAGATGTAGCTAACTCGGTATAGGCCGTCTCGGCCATACTGCATAAGCCAGCGCCTGGCCTTGTTCACGGCATGTTGGCGGCTTCTTTAAGCGTCACTCCATGTAAGTCAAGTACTATTTTGACCGGAAATACCCGCTAATATTGAGTAGTCGCCATGATGTCTCGCCCGGTTGCAGGTGTTAGAAATAAATCTATTATCATCACACTTCCAGGCTCACCGAAAGGAGCTCGAGAGAACTTACAAGCTATTCTGAAGACATTACCACACGCGTGCCTTCAAGCCGCCGGACTGGACTCGAGGACGTTACACGCCGGTGGGGTTAAGAAGCTTGAGGCGGATGCTGGTATAGGATCGGGTAGTCATTCACATTCCCACGATCATCAACATAGTCATGGAGCTGGCCACCAGCATAGCCACGGCCACGGCGGTTTAGTCCGACATACAGCTCCAAGTTCTAATCCGATGTCTAATGATCCCAACCTCGGCCCTAGCCGACGGAATCGAGAATCCCCATATCCGATGCTCTCAGTTGATGACGCATTAAATAAGATCAAGGAACAGACACCACCTTCGGAGATAATCACAACTAAGGTCGATAGGTCATTACCGGGCCATGTCCTGGCCGAGGACGTCCAAGCTAGAGAAAACGTACCCGCCTTCCGAGCAAGTATTGTAGATGGCTATGCGGTCGTCGTCCCGAAGGACGGTAACCTAAAAGGGGTCTTTCCAGTTGCTTCCGTCTACCATGCTTCACCGGGTGAAGTCAAACCGTTGAAGGAAGGAGAGATTGCTAGGATTACGACTGGAGCACCTTTGCCTCCGGGAGCGACCTCCGTTATAATGGTTGAGGACACGATTCTGAAGACTATGACCGAGGACGGGAAAGAAGAAAAAGAGGTGGAGATTCTTGCTGACAATGTGAAAGAGGGAGAGAATATTCGTGAGATTGGGAGTGATATTAAGACAGGAACAGTCATTATTAGTAAAGGCGAGCAAATTTCAGCAGTAGGCGGCGAGATAGGCCTGCTTGCTGCTGTCGGAGTTGCAGAGGTGAAAACTTACCGCAAGCCCGTTATAGGAGTGTTATCTACCGGCGACGAAATTGTTCAGCACGATAGACCGGGCGATTTACGGCTTGGTGAAGTGCGCGACACTAATCGTATCACCTTAATGTCCGCGGCACAGGAATGCGGATTCGAAGTCGTTGACCTAGGTATCGCAGCGGATAAGCCTGGTACTTTGGAAGAGACGCTGCGGGATGCGTTGCGACGTGTCGATTTTATCATTACTACCGGAGGGGTTTCGATGGGCGAACTTGATCTTCTGAAGCCGACGGTTGAGAGGTCATTGGGTGGGACCATTCATTTTGGTCGTGTAGCTATGAAACCGGGCAAGCCGACGACATTCGCTACCGTGCCCGTTAAGAACAATGCCGGCGAGCGGGTTACAAAGGTCATATTTTCCCTCCCCGGTAATCCCGCATCGGCTATCGTTACGTTCCACCTCTTCGTGCTTCCCTCGCTTCACCAGATATCGGGCATTTCGCCGGCCGGCCTAACGAAGGTCCCCGTCACACTCGCGCATGACTTCACGTTGGATAAGACGAGGCCCGAGTACCATCGCGCCATCGTCTCGGTGGGTAAAGATGGAGCTCTAATTGCGGCTAGCACGGGCGGCCAGCGAAGCTCCAAGGTTGGTAGTCTGAGAGGCGCGAATAGCTTATTATGCATGCCGAGTGGCAAGGAACCTCTGAAGAAGGGGACGAAGGTCGATGCGCTTTTGATGGGTGGTATCAGGAGCGAGGTTTAAATCGCATCGCCATACGAGTCAGTATTGCCTAGCATTTGGTTTATTTAGCTAACTTGTTGTATGATATTCATGAATGATAATGACTTGTGTCGTTTTATTCTTGCATAGCAACCAGTCATGTAAGTCAACCAATGTCATCCCACTGCCGCATTTAATATTATCATCCATCCTTTTATGAGAATCCCTTCCACATCCAATATCCACCCACCGCTTTACCTAATAATATTCATCCCATCTTAGTGCTAGCACCGGAAGAGGACCCGGGCGGGACTCGAGTGGAGGCGTTCGCATTCGTTTAGTCCCCATCTAGACCCATCACCATCCACTTCTACCCTACAGTCTAGACGTATAAGACAACATAGCAGAATAAAATTTTCATCAGGCGGCAGAGGCCAGAAACTTTCTTAAAACTCCCGCAGGGGCTTGTGGTTTAGTGGTATAATACTCCCTTAGCACGTGACCGACGATGATGAGGATTCATCTCATGGATGGATTACTAACTTGTTCGGTTCGTCTTAATTTGGGAGTGGTCCGGGGTTCGATTCCCCGCGAGTCCATCTGTAGAGGTTAGATTCCTCTTGTGCCAGGTCTTTTTTTTTCTTCCGCCGCGCCGTTAGTACGTTTTTGCTTCCAATAGACATTCGAATAATCTCGCGATACTACCTAAGTAACATTCCGATGTATAAATAAATGAGGTTTTTTTTTTAATATTATTTTTATTTGGCGGTGTTGAACAACCGTAGATTCAATGCTAACATGCTAGATCATTATTATTTACTGTTCCTCTTTTTAAAACCTGAACCATATGTATGCCCTTATTTCTTTAGAGTCACTAAACGTGCTCGAGTGGATTCCAATCTATTAATGCATTAAGGATCGTGGTATCATCGCTTCGTCTATAGCAGTATTTCCCGCCGTCTATGCTAACGCCGAGATTTCATAATAAGTATGAGGAAGATAGTTGTGCCTCCAAGATTCCAGGCTTTATACCTAGAAAATATTAGTATTAAGGGTAGGGTTATGTGCGTATCTTTGCAGTCAATGTGGTGTTTTCCGGGTAGATTATTCCATCACGGCAATGCTCTCTTGAAATACTTCGTTCTGCGCGCCCGACTTCGACTTGCCCGCTTTTATGTCATTATCGCCCACGATACTAGGGGAATGTTTCCTCGGTACCGAAAGCAGCTGCACGATCCCAATAATCGCAACGCCACCACAGCTGAACCAAGCAGCCGCGGAACCGCCGGCACTGTATATGATACCAACCAGTGGTGGCGATATAGTACGGGCTAAGCAGCAAGCAGACATAGCCAATCCGTTGACCTTACCGAGGACCAGTGGGGACGGTGTGGCATCTTTCAATAAGATGAGTGCGCACGGGATAACAATGATGCCGAAGAAGCTCTGTAGGATCATCGAGAGGTAAATACCAGGAGACACAAGGGCTTCCGGTATAACGGATAGGAAGGGCATAATCATGTATGCGAGCGGGTAGAAGACAACATTAATAATGAATGACTTCCAAACCCCGACTTTATCCACAAAGATGGGGAAAATGATTCCTTGGATGAATAATCCGAGAATTCCGTTCACGGATAGATAGACACCCACATCGTGGACTGTGTATCCTAAACCGCCAATTAAATCGATCTCGCCGGGGCCTGCTGCTGGCTTATCCAAAAGGTGGGTGGGTAAAAGTGTGTTGAAAGCCATTTGATGGTATGAAACTAGGACCAACGAGATGGTTATCATGATGATGGTAAAGTTAAATGTCCGCCCTGTAAATTTCTCTTCTTGTTTCGGGGGAGCTGGTGGCAGTCTGATTGATCGGGCGGTACCGAATGACGATCTCCTCAGATCAAAGTTCTGCTCGACCGGTACCGGAAGACTCTCTTCAATAAACACCGGCCTGTCGCTCGCTGCTATCGAGTGACTTCTGATAGACGACCTCCGGTTCTTAGAACCATGTAGTGGAGTGCGCTCATCAATAGTATCATCATCTTCGAAAAGACTGTCATCGGTCGCTTTCCCACCCCGTGGATTTGTCTCTTCGAGGAAGAGAATACCCTGTATGATAGCTAAGATAATGGCAACGACCGACACGAGATTCGGTAGGAGGTATGGGTATCTCCCAAAGATACCATCAGCGGGAAATATCGACGGATAGAATATTGCTGGTTGAGCTAAGAATCCACCCATGGCGGAACCGATAATACCACCTAGAGTCCAAACGAAAGGTTGCGAAGCATAAGCCACTGGTTCATGTTCTGGTATCTTGACCATTTCGGCTACCATCGTTTGCATAACCTGTTACCATGTAAGCATTTTCTCAGGTCAATTGAACATGGAAAGGTGAGATCTTGGTAGCGAAAGACAAAGCGTGACCCACAGCAACATTGCCATTCAAAGCTCCGCCAATAAATCTGGCCAGTAACGCAACCCAGTACTCGGTCGCAAGTCCGAAGATAAGACTCGATATTGCGACGCCACCGAGTCCGAATAAAACCACCGGCTTTCTTCCATACCGGTCGGAGAGAGCACCCCAGCCAATGGCGGTTAAAGCTTCGGCGACGGCATAAGCTGAGACCAAGAGACCGGCATAAAACGATGCATCAGTATCGTCACCTCCGTTAAGATCCTGGACCATCACGTATGTATACGCGAGGATCGAATTGAACGCGATTGGCTCCGAGAAGCGACATATTGCTACGATTGGGTTTTGGTCAGCGAGCTGAACAATCGCGTAAGCTTGGCAAGGGTGCGCGCACCAAGTATGATGAGTTGCTTTGTTGGAAAAGCATGTGAATTTGGATCCTGCGTTCTGTCTGAAGGCATAATAGTCTAGAGTTCTAGAAGCTATGTCTCGCTCGCTTCACACTAACACGATAGTTTCGTCTAATCAGCTTGCGTCGTAGTTTAGGGGATTTTCTTCTCCCTGCTACCTCTAGTGACTTTCTATCGTTGGAGAAAGATGCTGATCTCTCACCTAGCTTGAAGAAGAAGGTAGGTTAGGAGGTATGTAGTATGTAGGGCAGACCGGCTGGCGGTTTTTTGCCTGGCTGCTGTGCGGGGAAGCTCTTCTTTTGCGAGGTCGGCCAAAAGGGGTCCAGTAGTCGTCGATCACTGACTGATCTTTGGAGTTTACTCGGCAGAACATCCTTGCATATGGATTTGCTATAGGTTTTCTGTTCACCTGTCACGAAACTACTGTGCGTTGCGAATAAACAGTTCAATCTAGAATCTAGTTCAGTGTGGCATGTGTGGGTGAATGAGTGTGGGAGCGAGAAGCTTGATAGTCGGCAAATGCTGTGGAATACAAAGCCTTCCCGCCAGTAGCGAGCACCGCTAGCACCCTATGGTACCTACTTAGGTAAGGGATTGGGTGGCTTGCTGATTATCTAACAGTGGCGTTACTGCGCTGCGGTCCGCTGAAGAGCAAGTCAGCTAAATTGTTACAGCGATTCTAGATACTTTACCTGCTTCCCGAAGTACGACATGGCACGATGCCCGTGGATGACTCGGTGCAGAGCCTGACACATCGACTGTAGCCGTTCCATCCCTTATACTTTCACAATAAAAGCGACACGTCAATATGCGCGGTTTTATAATTAAGTAGGTAAATCCAATAAGTGTAATAACTTCTAACGATGCATGTTGGAACGGATTCGTTTGGGTGGCCTCGCGCCGCTACACAGCCATAGCACTTCCGTGGTATATCTCTTGCGCAATCCAACTTGTCTCTCAGGTAGGCGTTGCATGCAACGTTTTTGCAATTACCATCACCGCCAAAATGAATCTCCCCAACATGGGCAACATCTTCAGCCGCTCGGTCAGCGAAACGTCCAAACTGCCCATCGTACCAACTTATATGGACATTCGGTCGTTCTATGGAGACACGACCCTCGCTATATACCATTTCGAAGAGGGTAGAATTACCTTTGAGAAACGCATGCCCCCAATTCTCAAGGAGGGTGAAGACCGCCTTCAGGAAATGGCAGTTATACTAATGGAACCACATTCACCTTGTGTTGATGTCGCCTTGACCTTTGACTTTCCGGAACCTCTCAGTATGCCACCTATTGCGCTGGTTTGGGAGGATTCGTTTTATTGACGTTGAACTTCAGAATCGCTATTTATAAAATTGGCTCATGCGTGCAAGGACGGCACCATAGAGCAACTAGAGTTGATTGATGCTGAGATACAGTCTCAAGTCCATATCTCTATATTATCAGATAAGACAGCCCTAGAGGCCCTTGTTTGCCTTACCATCGATCTCAAGAATGTATCACTAGCCAAGGCACTTTTAGCCAGAGATTCGCCCGCGCCCGAAGACGATCAGACGCGATTTTTATGGAATTGGAGAGCATCTGCTGTTGCAATATCTGACGACACTGTCAACACGGCTCTCGTGCGATACCGTTGGCTCCCAAAGTTCAACACCGAAACTTACGCCAGCCATATACCGGAAATTTTGGATGAGGCGGCGGCGATTGACCGTATTGATGCACTGTAAGTATACCCCTTATCAACTTCTCATACTCCGGCTTTGGCTCTAGAAGCACTGCATTACTTATACATCGAATGCGCAGGCTTGAAATCGGCTACGGCTTCACCTTCACCACAGAAAACTACCGGCTGGGCTCTTACCTTTCTCTTTTGCATAAGGTGATCGTGAAGTCACCATTTCCGGTTATTCACCATCTAGTATCGCGCGCTCCCATCCCAAGTGAAGATCCCCTATACGGGAACCTAGTCGCAGTAGCTGCGGCGCGCACAGAGGATGGACCCGCGACTATCGAACTTTTACTAGAGAGCGGACTCAACATAGATTATGCACATTGGTGGGATGAGCCGAAGGGCACTGCACTACACATGGCTATCTACAAAAACATACCAGTCAATGTTCAGTGTTTATTACAGCATGACGCGAAGATGCTGCAAGATGCGAAAGGTAGGACGCCTCTAGCGTTTGCAGAGGAATTAGGCCGTGAGGAGATAGTCGAAGTTTTGAAAGACCATTTGCAGAAGAAGGGCCTGCCCTTTGACTATGTGGATCAAGACCCAGCCATTCAAGAGGGTTAGGGTTGGGGTTGAAGTTGGGGTATCAGGTTACACAGGAAGCTGGTTTAGGTGAGACAGATGTGTAGAAAGGTAGAAGTAGACGTAGGTAGAGCAAGTAGGTATATGTATTATAGCCACATAAGATCTCATAAACACTTTTTATTACTATGTAGCTTTTTAGGGGTAAGCTTCTCGTAGATAGTTGCGCTAGATAATTCTCCTTTAGCCTTCCAATATTGAAGTGCAGGTATATATGGCTCCTGGACATATATAATACTTTTCGGGTATATATTTATAATGCATTGCCCTATTTCCCTGAGCGTCAATGACACAGCGAATTGACGTCCATTGCGATATTATTAGGGATGGTGTGTAAGACATGTATCCTTCGTACTCGTTCTACCATCGGGGTTCTTCCTCATCTACTCTATCGTTTGCCCGACTCAACGGCCCGATAACTATTGACTTAACGGGGCTAGAGACACTCTTAACATCAACGTTATCCCTAATATTTCGCATATTAGCTTGATTTATGTTCGTTGTAATTGTGTATAAAAATGGAGACATAGGAAGAAGGATAAAGGGGTTGTAGAAGTGGGTGTCACTTACCGGTTACGATTCCAGCCTGAACTATCTAGATAGTCAAGATGCCTCCTCCCGTTAGCATTATCGCCGAATCGCACGAAGTGGAACGAAATATAGTTCGTATCCAATTTCCTCAATTCCAACTCTTTGGCAAGCCGTGCCATTGGCTGCTCCACACCGCAAGCAGCTTCTTCATCATCGCCACCACCCCAATTGCCATCGGTGAAGACGTATATACTGGTAGGTTTTCTAGAGAACATGGAAAGATTCATGCCAAAGAGTCGGGTCGGTAGGCGTTTAAAGATCACGTCATCGACGAGACGTGCAACGCAGTTCTCCATCAAATCCGGCGCCCGTCGGTATTTATGCCGCGCCACCAACTTCGTCAATTTACCGGAACGATGGCTATGGCGAAGACACTTGGGAGCCGATGCGAAGGAAAGCTCAACTCTCCGTCCCTCAAGCTTTCTAGTAAGGTGTAGTAGTGCTGGAAACGAATTTTCGACCGATTTAGCGTGGTCTCTCATCGATGTCGAGTCGTCAATGAAGAATAAGTGATGTCTGTCGGGTACATTGACCTTGAGGTCGTCTACCAGTTCTTGAATGTCCGAATTGATAGACTTCCGAACTTCCTTGGCGTTGTCGCCTGCGGCGGACCGCCGCTTCGTGATATTTTCTCCGAGAGCTGCTAAAGACGGGCCTCGATGTTTAGGCGATATTTCATCTTTCAATATTGGTGTGGCGGGCCGTGTATCAAGTGTTTCGGAGTCGGGTGTGTCAAGGACTTGTTGGAATTTTTCCATCAATTGCTTGGCATTGTAACGTTCGTTGGCGTTGGCGAGTAACATATGCTCGTTTATGATTTTTATGATGCGAGATGTGATAGTATCCTTATTTGATTGGCAGTACTCGATAATACTATCGTGCGTCTCGTCGACAATACGCAGTCGACCAACACCGTCGTGGAAGCAACCCTCGTAGTCGTTATCGCGGAATGCGCGGGTGGTTTGGTGATATGCTTTTCTCCTTTTATGGTATTGATTTATTTCATCGGAACCTCCTTTGATCCATGCGCAAACGTCACTCAGCACGGCACCGAATGAGAAAATATCGGCTCTAGTGTTAATCATGTTCGGGGCGTTCTCTTGATACGGAGCGTGATGACTACACTCGGGTGAACCTGTCCCAAGTTAGGATCAAACAGAGTAATGAATCGGGAATAACGTACTGTATAACTGATTTCCAACTTTATCAAGCCCCATTGCTTCATTACTATTCACCCTCGACTCTTTGACATGTGTAAATAACCCAAAATCTGCAATCTTGGGGGTGAAATCGTAAGGTGAGCCCGATGATCCTTTGAAGAGTAGAATATTTTCGGGTTTAATATCTTCGTGGATCCTAACGACGAACTTAGCCAGTGCAATCAAGATAAGTTACTATTAGGTAGCGCGTCGAGTCTTACCCATTGACATTACCTCCACCAGCATCTATCAAGTGGTGGATGTAGTGTAAACCTTGGAAGCATTGAGATAAGCTCCCCCAAAATTGCTTAATATCTGCTCCTTTAGGGTTCTCGGTGGTCTTAAGAAACTCGGCGAGGTCGCCCCCATCAGCGTATTCGAGTATTATATTAAAAGAATTCGCATGGCGAAACGAGCCGTGATAGGCGATGACATTATGTGGGAAAGAGTTCTTCAGTGTGCGCAATGCTTTGACTTCATTTTCGTATAGCTTCTCGAACCTTGAACGGTAGTATGTTTTTAATACGAACGTATTTGTTATCGGTTGGTCTCTAGCATCCTAATAAAATCGTAAGAAAGGAATTAATAACTTTAGGGTGTATGAATAATAAATACCCGTCGCACGAGATGATTGCATGAATCATAAATGGTCATCTTCCGAATAATTGCTGCATCCCCATTTGTGATTCTGTCGTGGGAAATCCTATCTAACTTTTCGATCGGTAATACCTGGTGCTCATCGAGGCAACGATCTTCCAAGTTGGCGGGGCTGAAAATCAATGGGAAAAAGAGCCACTGGTCCTCGAAGATACGGCTAAATAAGCTGTCGTAATAAGCAGCTCTGGGCCATTGCTCTGGGCGTCTTTCCAGCGGCAATTTGTCATCGTTCAAATTGTATTGGGTGAAGCTTTCCAAGTTCTCAACTCGTTCGCAATAGACAAGTGTGGAGAACGTTCGGAGGTAGCTCTCTCGGATACTATCGATGTTGAAAGACAGCGGTGGTTGGGAAGCGTTTAAAACTTTGCTAATTTGTGCTCTTGTCCAATATTTGCGTAAAACCGGTAGTGGAACGAAGCTGAGATTATTTTCCGAAAAGTCTTCGATATATTTTCCGCGTTGCTCATCTACGAATCTAGAGAAGTCGGCAAAGGGTTTGCGGCGTGGGTTACCATTAGGAATGGCGTTAAGCGAATGAGCTGAGTGAGCAGTGTGTGCTGGGACGCGACGGCCCTTCTTCGATTGCCGCATCAGTCAATTGGTTATTCAAGAACAGCTAGAAGCCAGTGAGCGGATAGATTCTGAGAGAAATGAGTATAACTGGCTAGTGATCAGGAAAATATATACGAAATGACCATTAATGGCTGGATCAATACTCAAATTAATGACTTATAAAGTTAGAAGATCGAAGAGCAAATGCCCACCCAGTGGAATTAGAGGACGGGGTGTTATTATTGGCAAAGCGTCCATAGCAGCGTATAAAGATGCATACATATGATGAGGCAGCCGAATGATAATCGCTCAAAAAATTTATCCATCCCCTCCGCCTTGCTGAGTGCCTAGCTCAAAGGTTCATAACAGAGGACTTAGCAAAGAATGATACAACAAGACCTATCTCAGCCATGTATCGTCAGCATTCAATACTACCCAGTTCTGCCAGTATCGAACTAGTCGATCGCCTAGTGGGGCGGTGCTCCCGGGGTTTTAATCTGCCAACCTGGGCGCGAACCACTGCGATCACCGACAGCAGTGATATACATATGGGGTAGTAGAGCCGCGCTGACAAGGACCCTGTCTGCCTGTCTCAGTGAAGTATCTCTCAAGTTGGGGGCCAAAAGCCATCGACCGGGGCCCCAGTCGTAGGATATGAGTAGCAGCTTGGAAAGGGCCATTGTGTTATGTGTGAAAGTGGCCGCAGCTTGTTTCCCCCTTCGAAGATTGGAAATTTGATTAATGATTGAGGGGAGGAAGATAGGACGTATTAGAAACCAAGCTTTTGACAAAATCCACCTAAAGTAGGGGTCTGTACTACCCCATCTTACCTACCTAAAGTAGGTACCTAGGTACCAACGTAGGAGTACCGGAGTTATTGTCTAGCTGACTTTGGTACGAATGTCTCAATCCCGGCCCGTCCACTATGGGTCTACACACAGGGTAAAAGCTCATAAATCTGTTAACATATGTAAATGTATGTCTTTTTTCAAACATAAAGAAAGAGATTGAATTACAATAGCCCCACATCGCCCCCGGATTACCGGATCGGTCCGTGAGTTGCTCCACAAATAGCCGTGCTGTAACTCCGATCCAGATGTGCCTTCCAGTTGTCCCGCCGTATTTTTTATCTTAGGTAGGTACCTAATATACATATGTGCAGACAACCCCTTTTCGACTATCACCCTCAACTCTTATCCCTTTCTAAGACCTTTCTCCAATGAGCTATCCCGTCCGTACCCCCTTCAGCCGATTGCCCCTCCGTCACAGGTAACACCAATCTCCGTTTCTCCTGTTCTCTCTTTCGCCTCATATAAAGATATAGAATTGACCAAGCCGATAAAATAATAGCCATCATTGGTAAGGACACCGAGAAGAATAGTTTCAAAGCGTTCTTTCGAATAACCCAATCCGAGCCGAGATTCCCGTCGTCATTCCATTGAAATACACCGCTACTGAAGAGGGTCTGTCGTAAAGTTAGAAAATGTGGGAAAAGTCGTGGAATCCAAGCCCATACAGCAATAAAGGTCCCCGGAAGGAATATAAGTGTAAATATTGTAATTACGTGCATAGATACCGTCTCCTGCTCTGTACGAACAGCAATGTCGTGCATCTTCGCTGTCATAAGTTCCATCTTATCCGAGGATGTCTTCGCGCTTTTCGCGAAATACTCCGAAACTTTCTCGCTTTTATATTGTAAAAGAGTGGTAAACTATACAAGAGAAGGGTTAGTTGCTGAAACAGCGAGGTACTTGGTTACACAATGTAGGTGGGGCTTTTGTGTCGGTGATTCAACGTACCACTGTCTTGTCGTTTTCTAACGCTCGAGATAACGTTTGTAAACGGCTATGGTGTATATCCAAGTCTCTTTTAGTATTATGTATCCTTGTAAGGAAAGTTGCTATATCGCTGTCGCAAACGCCCTTATTCATATGATTTGCGAAGCCGTATGAGTTAACAACCGAGTTGTAATGTTCCTGGATTGCTGTAAGGACCCCTTTATTCTGTTCAATGGCCACCAATGCCTGTTCTAGGCCCTGGGAGAGTAGGCTTAATCGCTGGAACTTTTTGAAAGAGAACTCCCTTTCAAGGTACGATAATTTGTCACTATCGTTGGTTTCTTCTTCTACCCCTGCTGTCGCTTCGATATCCTTATCATTTGCTTCACGGGGGGTTTCAATGATGCTACTATCAAGTCCAGAAAATCGCCGGAAGACCGTGCGAATATCCGTTGAAGCGCGAGAAAATGTAAATCGCCTAGGACTAATGGGGGAAGTATCGGACTGGGTTCCCCAAGTATTGGTGCTCTTTGGCGAATGCATCAATTCGATCTCCTCGGGGCTTGTCATCTTCTCCACTGGTGCCGCTTTCCCTTCAACGGAATTTGAACTGATCATCTCCTCAAGGTAGTCAATGTAATCAGCCCAACTCTCTGAGCACCATTCAATTGCAATCATCTGTACCTGTAGTGAAGCAATAAACGATGTTTCGGGGCTAGTGATTTCTGCGGCTTTAAGATGTCTGTGGTGTTTTGTGGCGGAGTAAATACGACGCGCAATTAATCGATCTCCTTTAAGAATAATCCAAAAACATCGCCCGTTTGTAACATCTAAGGAGTGGTAGAGTGCGACTTGACGCAACGGCCATTGATCTTTCTCCTCAGGGTCGCTAGCCCGTTCCACAGAGAGGAGATTGAAAGCATGCTGCATTTGAACGCCCCCTCGCTTAAGCTGCGGTAGGGAAAACTCAGGGCTGTTCCTTTCAAGGTAGTTTTCTTGCCTGAAAAGAGCGTGTGCCACGGGATTCCCCCGGACACTAAAAGTCAAGATAAAATCTAAAAAGCAGGGCATTACTTGATAATAAGTAAGTAATAAAGTAAGCTGCTCTTTGGTGCATCCCAATGCACCTCGGGCTGATTGAGACTGGAGGAAACTGTTCGCATGTTAGCTCAGACCGATCTATTCTTGCAATTGGTGCGCCCGTACACAAGTCGCCATAAAGGGGTACCATCTTCTTCGTCAAGATATTCACTAAGCTTTTTTATTGTGTCAAGTTTCTGTGATGGGGCAAACGCTAGCTGTTGGTTAGCGACTCTCCCTTGAAGACTTGCGATATGAAAGACAACGAACTGTTGTTATCTTGATATAAATCAAGACAAGTTATTGAGCGAAATTTGGGGTCGAAAAGTTTGTTGCGATCAAGCCTTCGCCGATATAATTCGAGTGTGTGACGGAAAGATTCTGTCCTGACAAGATTCTCGGGGTACTCTAAGAACTTGCTCCTAGATTCCTCGAACCGAGTTGCATTATCTCCGGCAGTCTGTGCAGACATGGTTGAAACAGTCTGAATAGTTTGATTCGTACAGTACCGAATTATCCTGAATAGAAACCACGACAGCACACTATAACTTCATGAAAAGACAGGATCAATGGACGGGATATAACTAGAGGCACTAGGATATGAAGCAAGAAGTAGAAAAACTAAGATACATTTCGCCATCTGCGGACGCTAATTTTCTAGCAACGTTGAGCCCTACACAGCCATGCAAGGCCTCCTGTAAATGTGGGTGTTCTAGCGCGTGCGACACTATTGACAGGGGCTTGGCATAGCTGAAATCCAATAGAATCGCCAAATGGATGTCCCGTTCCAGATCCCTGAAGTTATCCTTCAGGTCATACCAGTTACATCAAGGGTTCATATCTGCCAATTATAAAGCGTTCTCTACAAATAGGCGGATCTGACCTAAGACTACCTTGCCGTGTTCCCCTCTTTAGTGATCTGCAAGGCATTATTCCCACAGATCGGTATCCTCGTCCTTCTTGTATCGAAGTCCGTCATAGATATAATCTCTTTCTCCCTGGACAGCCTTATAAGAACACGTTGAAACCAGGCGGTAGTTAACTTCATCACTTACTTGGCTGAGCTTTCGTGGTATCGTGAACCAATAGAAGGTTTTGCCATCCTCGGAAGTCTGTCATCGGTTACGATTAGCCTCGATCCTAGCCACGGGCAGCCCGCGTGGCTTATAGATTAGGTCTTACGTTGACTGCGATCTCCTGACGAAAGAGTTGCTTCAGGTATTCTTTGAGGGCTGTAGGCCGAAGGCGATAAGTCGGTACGCTGTCTCTGACCGCCATGATGTTACAGTATAAGTCTGGCAAAGTCTCGTTTATATGAACAGCCGTATGTTTTTTGAACGATGAAGCGATCTGCCAAGTAGCATTTCGCCCCCGAAATCTGCCTTACAGCGAGATTTATACTAGTTACAATGCCCGTAAGACGGGCAGACATGCTCCACTTGCGGCTCTTTCCTTACACCACAATACCGCCATGAGTCCAGCGTGAGCAAAAAACCACATCGGGCGAACCCCTCTTGTGTGATACTACACTGAGATTCATTTGCGGGATAACGAGTCACAATCACAAGAACAGCAGCGCACCATATCCTGTCCAATAACAAGCCCGTATGCTGGGAGGAGGGGGCGAGGTGCATACGCATGTACTATGAGGCGTTCTCGCTACATGATCCTTGACTCGCCCATTTGTCAGCGTGGGGGCGATTTACAAAACACAAGGATAGTAGCGCAAGCTTCGTAGGCAGACCACCGTAATAGGTGTAAGCTTCCCACGAATCGTTATGTCTGATGCAAGATACATACCTAGGCATAAATATAGTATGGATGAGATCGAGCCCTCATTTAAAAAAAAAAAAAAAAGTTTTTTGGACGACGCCACCAATGCTACCGAACCAGCCCTTTACCCCCGCCCTGTAAATTTCAAATTTCCGCGGCGAAACATAATAATATTATCCTTTTAGAATCTCTCGTAAACTGGGAAAGGGACCACCTACCTAGAAATCTTCATACAGCCATTTATCCTCCTTTCGAGCGATACACGCTGATACGTTAACTATCGACGTCCTAAGCGATACAGTGAACCTGGCCGACTACTCAAATAAATCCCAAGACTTGGAGTTTGGCGGCGAAAGAGCCATCCTTCACTAGTCCTGTGGTCACACCCCGAACGGTGGTCCCGGATGACTACCCAGTCGAGGACGAGAGCACATGAGCTAAGCACGCCAGGAACATGATAACCAACAGAGGATCCCCCTTATGAGATCTTAATAAGGCTCTAGCGCTGAGAGAGGTTCGAATGGCCGAATAAAACGGGACAGCCCGACATAAAGAATACAGGCACGGCTTCAAGTCGAAGACGGAAGTTTCCCTGTATACACTTTGGTATGTTAGTGGGATAATAATGCTCATTAGAAGTGCTAAGCGTAGATGCATCAATGAAGATAAGCGAGAAATTATAGCGATACCTACCTAGGTATGAAGAATTTCGATTCCCGACATAGCTGATGGTAATAGGACGAGAACTCTTCACTCTAATAAGCTCGGCACACGCCGCACGTCGCGTCGACCCAAGTAAATATGTCTAGAAAAACTGGGAGGATATCCGGTGGGCTTCGGCCATATTTCCTTTTCTCAGTGAATGCTGGCGGGCGGGTAAGGGCTACTCCACAGGAGATGCCGGGATATTCAAAGAAATATCCAATCATAAGGTATTGTCCCACCTGCTTTATGTTGTGCAACTACATCTATCTACCCAGGTACGTAAGGAATGTGATATGTCGGTAGATAGATAGATCCCTACCCCGATTGGTCCCCCAGATGATGAAGCCAAATAGAAAATACCTGGCTTTCCCCTTTCTTTTCCCAGTCTTTTATGTTCATCCCACATTGGCTATTGTTTCCAAACATTCATCTTTCACCATGGAAAGCAACATTGGCAATTCCACTTCTCGTATTTTCAAGTCGCAACATTTGACTGAGTCGGCATACTATTCACCTTACTCACACTTTCCGAGTACCTGCTTGCGTCGTACCTAAGTATAATAAGGGAACTTTAGCCAATCTCTCAACGAAGAATGCGACAACCAGATCCATGCGTAAACGGTGATTCCCGTCCTCCAAATATACAATGTTAACTTCCGCCAACAGGTAGTTAGTCCTGTTCGAACGGTTCACGTAGGAAGCACAGTAAGCAAGGGAATTCAAAGAGATGTGGAATACCTAGGTAGCGATCGCGAAAAGGAGAAGGCTACCTAGTACTCAGGCTACACATACATCGTGAGAAATTTGAAGGACTCCTTCAGGCAAAAGCAAGAAGATATCAATATCCCGTACTACGATTTATCAAAAGGGTCTATTGCCGCTCATCCTGCGCAGACTTCTAAGAAGCAACTGGGCATCCTTTCTCACATGCATCGTGGTTGGTCATTCTATGTACCTATCTCCGTAGTGGGGTTTCAAGTAGAAGAAAAACAAACCGAGGGATCCTGCCACGGCAGCGATACAGTATGTTGGCAAAGAGACCCAATCCTGCGTTTACTTTTTAGCTGTGGTCTCTACAGTTTGGGCGACTACAACTAAAAATTCAACGGCATTATGCAGTTGCCCCTGTACGACGTGACAATATGCCTTGAACCAACATACCAATATACCGAAGTACTTCTCTCCCTTACTCCCCCTTTTCATCCCTTCCTTTCTTTTGCCCTGATTTTTTTTTAAACGAATCCCATCTTCCACGTCGCATTTCTTTGAAAGCGCGTATATAGATTCATTACAAAAGATACTAATAAAACAGCAATCGCGACGGCGATAGCGACATCAGTAATAACAGTCGATCGGCCGAACGCGATACATCATGCCTAAGAACGACTTCCCGGTACAGGGAAGAGTGTGTTGTCCAACCTACAGATAATGAAGCCGTATAGCTAATAACATCGATAGCTTGTGGTCGTTACTGGTGGATCGCGGGGTCTTGGTCTTGCAGTAGGACGTCAGCTTGCTGAGAAAGGCGCCAACGTCGTCATTGTTGCGCGCGACCATGATAGGTTAACTCAGGGGATCGAGCATATACGAGTATGACGAGCATCTCGTTCCTACATTGGACCTTCCAGAAAGTTAACTGAGCTATAGCAAGGAGCGTCCAATCCCAAAACACAGCGTTTCCACCAAATAAGCGCAGACCTAACACTGGCACCTGAGGCGGTGCGCGTTATCAACGAAGTAGTATCATGGAACTCGGGAAACCCACCAGATATCGTATGGTGCTGCGCCGGCATCTCCCGCCCTAGATTGTTCATCGACACCCTAGTGTCAGATTTCGGGGCGCAAATGAATACCAACTACTTCACTGGTCTGCACATGGTTCACGCAACCCTAAAATGTTGGCTCAAGAGTTCCCCGAAGGACACTCTCAATGAGCCCGGTGCCCAACTAAGTACCCCACCGCTCGCCCGCCATATCATCTTCACCTCTTCCTTCTTAGCATTCTTCGGCTTCGCCGGGTATACCGCGTACAGCCCAGCCAAAGCCGCGATACGAGCTCTAGCCGATACCCTATCCCAAGAACTGGGCTTATACGCTGCCGCGAACCCGCACGAACCACACGTCCGCGTCCACGCAGTTTTCCCCGCTACGATCCAAGGCCAGGCTTTGGACATCGAGAATGAATATAAAGCGGGTATCACCAAAAAGCTGGAGGAAGGAGATGCTCCACAGGCACCGGAATTAATTGCCACCAAAGCCTTAAAGGCCTTAGAAGGCGGTCAGGAGATCATAACAACTGATATCCTAACGAGTCTGGTGAGGCGGAGTATGCTGGGAGGAAGCATCAGGGGTGGTGTTCTGGCTGCAATTTGGGACTGGTTCCTTGCTGGTATCATGGCTTTCGTTATGATACTTGTAAGGGGTGATATGGATAAGAAAACTAAGGAATGGGGTCGTAAATTCGGCGCTTCGGGTAATAAGCATGATGCTTAGCAAGTCTGAGCCTCTTTTAGAGGAGCTAGTTGTGAACAGTAAGTAATGGTAGAAGAGGGCGCGAATTTGATATACTATGTAAATTGCTGCATAAATAGCTGTATACTGTTAAGGGTTAATAAAAGTAGCTGTGGAATGGTATGCTAGAACAATGGTTATTATGATACATCTAGCAGATCAGGAACCCTAACACTTGAGGGAAAGGCAAAATCTAGGAGATAGACTGGTGGCGCAAAGGAATTCAATCTCGTATCGCCAACTGTTCTTGACATCATCAATCCAGATTACGTTGCTCCTAATATAGAAAACCACGTTGGTTAAGTGCATGGAGTTATTAGCCGGCGAAGATTGATCTAGACTTATATCAGTAACATTCAACCTAAATCTAGTTGCGACGTCGTATTCTGGGCATGAAAAGCCTCAAGACTAAATTCTCGTACTCGTAAAGAGGTCAATAATTAATTCCTATGCAACGTATGATACTGGTAGACCACGTCGTGTTTACCCAGCGCCAAACGCCTATAAGAAATCGAGTGCCTTCGTGTTTCCTGACTAAATTTTTGTTCATCAGCATTGGAAAGTCCCTCGGTTTTAATCGAGAATTCAACACTTTATAATCATGTGGACTTCTGCAGCTTTCCTAACTTTACCAATCGCGGTCCTTGCCTCCGGATCTGTCCCGGACGGCCCATGGACCGCCGGAGTCTGGAGAGTTCCTGCTACCGACGACGTATTTTTTAATGGCGATGCCATCAACGCTAGCGGCGGGAAGTTCTACGTAAATAAGGATACCTCCGCTTACTGCCCCGATGGCATTGAGGGTCTCGACTGTACCGCCTACCCTGGTTCCAAAACTGTATTTGTTGGGGGTAATAATACGTTATCCTTGGATGTCGGAGTACCTGGTGGCCAGCAAGGTAGGTCTTACCATTACCAAATCCCCTCTTAAGTAGTTCGGTTAGGTTAACATTTTGAGAAATATAGTATACATCGCGCCAGACGGATCCCTATCCTACACCACCGCACATTCAGCTGCGATACCAGAGGGATCGATCGTCACGGGTTTCGAACGCCAGCGAAGCGAATCGTTCGGTGCGCCTGTGGTCTTGGGTAATGCTGGCCAGTTCTGGTTGATGTGCCCGGTCAGTGATGGTGAACCGCGAGAGCGAACGTATCAGTTGTATGTTGGGCATGGGACAGAAGACTGCTTGAACACTGGAGTCAGGACATATACGTCTACCGGACCAGATGCTTGGGAATACGCGTGATTATGTCATGAAATAATGTCGCATGAACGGGGATCGAGAAATGATGCAGCCATTTTAGGGTTGAGTCGCGTTTGATGTAATTTGAATCGGTTTATCCATATATTACAATTGGTAGAGTATCGCCTGCCTTGTTGCCTTAGTAGATACCCAAGCGTCTACTCATGCTTTGAACATTTAGAGGGCCCATGTGATTCCACAACCACTCTTCATCAAGCCGACAACTCTGGGTATCATCTTATATAGGTAGATAGGTTGTTATAAACTTGGTCCTGAATGTGGAAGCTGGGCTTACATTTAATTTTGTATGGCTGGCATTATCCCCTTTGCTTCTTAGCCTTGCCACTATGCCGTTGCGGGCCATCTAGCTCATCCGGCTCGTTTTTCCTCTTCTTCCGCCTCTCCTCGAGCAACTTCTTCATTCCTTGGGTGCCCTTGTACTTTGGATTAGAAGGGTCGATTGCATATTCATGGCTTTCGAAAACAGCCTTGAATCGATCGTCCTTAACATCCATTTCAAACCCTTCTTGAAGACCGCCGTGATCCTCGACGTCCTTCTTTCCTTTCTTCTTATATTTCTTAGATTTCTGCTTCTCTACGCGGCCGATCTCATTCATATCGAAATGATCAAGATGTTCGGCTGCCTCTTTAGAATCATCCGCCATGAGTCGCTCCAATTGCGCTTTTTGCGCAGCATTTTCAGCTGCTTCCGCATCCTTTGCTTCTCGCCTCTTTCGGCGATCCTCCTTCTTTTCGAAGTGCTTCGACTTCTTGGCAGGCTCATCGGTAGTGAAGAAGGGATCATCAAATCCAAGGTCATCTTGGGCCTCTGCGATTTCGTCGCCATCCTCTTCATCGGGTGCCTCATTACGCTTCGCCACTGCTTTCTCCTTCTTTCTGGCTTTTCGTTCCCGTTCTTTGCGCTTGTACTTTTCTAGTGTCGTCTCCTCGGCCTCTGGCTCTTTCTTCTTCTTATCGCCATCCATTAATGCAGCTGAGAAAGTAACTTGCATATCTCCGACCGGTCCGGACTTTGATGATCGGGATAACGGTTCGGAACTCAATCCAAGAGCTTCGCGTAGTTTCTTCGCTTTTAGCTCTTTTTTTGATAGCTTCGGTTGATCATCCGCCACGTCTATTTGATCTTCTTCGTCCTCATCTTGAACACCATCGTCGTCGCTATCACTCGCCAGGTAAGCGCGCAAGTCGTTCTCTCCGAGTTCGGCACGGCTAGCACTAAATGCTCGTTTTATATCATCCCTTCGGGACGTTTCTTCTGGATGAATATCCCACGTGAGCTTGACCTTGGAGTGTTGGAGAGCGTCGGTTGTGAACTCCGTCGGCTTGTAATCGGATGTTATAGAGTCGCACTGATCTCTTGGCTCGTCATCAAATGTTACGTCATCTGGAATGAACCGCAAATCCATAAAATTTGACGAAGATTGGTATTCCGTACCATCAGTGGCTTGATAAATCTTTTCCGCCGTAGCCGTGTCGGAGCATACCATTACGGCATAATAATATCGCAAGCGATCCAATTGGTAAGCCCGAAGCGCATCGCTGTCAAAGTCTTGATCATCTCCTTCTTTTAGGATATCATTCTTTATCTTCTCGTCATCGTCTTCCTCTTCGTCACTTTCTTCTTCTTCGGAGTCCGACTCGGAGTCCTCGTCTGCTGAATCGGATGTTTTCTTGAATATTTCTTTAGGAGGTCCTTCTAATTCTTCCCGTTGCATTCGCTCTTTACCAAACTCGCTAGGGTAGATAGAAACTCGCTCGATTCGTCCACCTTTAGGTACGAAGCTGGAAAATAGCGCCAGTAAATCGGCCGATTTTATATGATCCCAATCGAGGTTCACAATTGCTATTCGTTTTGTGACATCCCCCGTCTCGACGTCTGCCTGAGCGTCGCGCAACCTTTGCATACTTCCAGATGTATCAACCTCAGGTTCTGCACCCTCATCGTCGTCGTCTTCGGCATCAGAACCGGAGTCGGAATCTGACTCAGAAGATGAGAAGCCGCCGCCACGAGCTGGATCATATTTAGCATTGGCCTTCTGAAGCTCTCGTTCCACCACATCGTCCTCGTCCACTTCAATATCTTCATCGTCTTCCGCCTGATATATGTTTCGTAGGGCCTTCTTTTTACTATCAGACTTCAATTTTCGGCCGTACTTGTCAACTCTTGCGCTTGCGACAAAATCATCGTCTTTGAGCATGCGCGAAAAACGTTTGTCTATAGTAGTTTTGCTGCGATGCTTCGAGGGGAGGCGAAAACGTGGATCGGATTCGAAATTAGCGAATCGCGAATCACCCGCTGCAGCCGCAGAGGAGCCATCTTTGGTTTTCGACTGTTTTTTTGACATGTTGACGTGATCGGGGTTGCGAATGCGTTGTTGGTTCGAGACTGCTAATAGAAGGTTTACGCCTATCGTAACAGTGGCAGGCAATTGAAAATTTTAGTGGGCCACTAATTCTTCCGGTTTTATTCGAAGGCGGTCAGTAAAGAAGTCACCGCCTTTAGCTACCTAAGCAAGTCTAGTGTCAAGATAATTATGTAACACGGTTGCACAGTGTCACGCGACACTCCGATGTTTCCTTACACAACTCCTTGAAACATGCATGGATGATGCCTGATGATGCCCTGTAAACCCTCCGTCATCGCTAAAAACACTCGCTAATTCTCCGTATTCTCTTGCCTATCCTCCCCTAAACAACCCGAGCGACACAGTCATTAGTACAGTGCATAACTGATATGTCGTAAGCTGCTGGGGGAGGGGTACTATCCCATTTCATAGGCCCATTCGTCTTCGTTTGTATCCTATCAACATCTCAGCTCACAAGCAATCCGTTACCAAACATGGCCATTGGTATATCGTATTCAGGGTCGCCTATAATGCCCCTTGAATGTGCTAAGCCGATCTTGATTTGCTCATTGATTTTGTTAGGGGGAACTGATGCAAGCCAAGACATCTCAGCTTGAAAGCGTCCTTGGTTCCAAGGTCTTCCCTCTCGACCCCTCGGGCCCCTCCATAATAATAATCCCATATCAGTACTCGTGATTCACCCTCCAGTTAGATACAAACAACTATTATCATCCACACGTAAGGTAACCTGAGTTTCAGATGAATGTTAGGATATATCAATCTACCAACTTTGGAACCTGGATTTATCTTTGATTTAAGTCCTCTTCTTTTGTTCTGTAGGCTAGAGATCCGGAATCTCTACATCCTTTTCTCACTTCTCATTATCTGACTGCAAATTCAACCAACTATTACCTCATCCCTCCAAAATGGATCATCTTTTTCATAAGGTGGAAGATGCCTTCAAGGAGGTGAAAGATGCTATAAAGCATGAAGAAGAGGAGCGTCCTCACCACGAGAGCCACAACAACAATGCCGGCGCCGAGCAGAGCGTATTCACAAGCAATAACCGTTTTCAGTCTTTTGCCCCCGAGACCTCCGGTGCTGTTAAGTGGTATGTCGATGGAGCATCGTATTTCTACGCTGTATCTCTCGCTCTTGAAGGTAATTTATGAGGAGTAAAAGCCAATGTGTTTCTCAACAGTCAGCACTAATAACAATGCAGAGGCTAGAGAGAGTGTTTACATCTTGGATTGGTGGCTGAGTCCGGAGCTGTATCTCCGTCGACCTCCCTCACGCAATGAGCAATACCGTCTCGACAACATGCTACGAGCAGCTGCCGAGAGAGGCGTTGAAATACGTGTTATCGTATACAAGGAGGTCACTCAAGCGCTAACTCGTACGTTATTGTTTAAATTAACAATATTATGAACCTGGCTAATTTACTGGTACTTAGTTGACTCTGCGGTGAGTGATTATGCGGGTTCCAAAATTGCACATCTTACTAATTCGCCGTATTAGCATACTAAACATGCTCTCGAGGCTCTACACCCAAATATCAAGGTGTTTAGACATCCTGATCATCTGCCAACGGACCGTCAGAAGCTTGAATCTGCGTTTGCTGGTCTGTCCCTAGAAAGTCTGAAACTCGACGATTTCAGTCTATCCAAGTTCTCAGGAGACGCATTGAAAGAACTTTACGGTTCATTCGGTGATACTGTCTTGTACTGGGCTCACCATGAAAAGTTGTGTGTCGTTGACCGACGTATTGCTTTTATGGGTGGTCTTGATATGTGTATGTTAAAGCATTCGGCATCCAACCCTCTGAGAAACTACTAACAATAAGATAAATAGGCTTCGGGAGATATGACACGAACAGTAAGTCGAATAGCTGATATTTTTGAAACATGGATGAGATTTCTAAATATCATTAGGCCACCCCATCGCCGACGCTCACCCTGGCAATCTGGATGCAATTGTGTTCCCCGGCCAAGATTTCAACAATGCTCGAGTTTACGACTTCGAAGGTGTTGACAACTGGGATCATAATAAACGTGAGTATTGATAAACAACTATTGATAGAAGCAAAATCTCACAAGTCATAGTTGATAGAACCAAGAGCTCCAGAATGGGTTGGTCCGACATTGCTATCTCCCTAAAAGGGCCTATCGTTGGAAGTCTGATCGATCATTTCACCGACCGATGGTATGTACCCGTCAAATATTGATAAAAAGAATTATCTAATGCAGTCTTAGGAACTTCATATTCGACGATAAATACACCAAGAGAGACGCCGGGAAGTACGAGAGGATCGGCTTCGGAGGGTCCACCGAAAGATCCCACGAAGAAAGCCATCATGGCTTCTTTGATGATGTTCAAGGTCATTTTAACCGCGGGGTTAGGCATCTTATAGGAGAAGGCCAAGAGCATCAGGAACATCGTGACCGTGGTCGTGATAACTTCGACCGTTCTGGTAGTGTTAAAATCCAGCTTTGCAGAAGGTAAGTTTACGTATTTTCCTAAGCCGTGGCCAGAGTATATACTAATCATCACCAAGTTGTTCCGAGTGGTCTGCTGGTCACCCAACCGAACATTCAATCGCCAATGCTTATATCAACGCCATTGAAAATGCTCAGCATTTCGTCTACATCGAGAACCAGGTAAAATACTCCCCGAAAACTCATTAACAAATATCCAAAAATCTAATAATACACAGTTTTTCATCACAGCAACCTCCGACGAACAAAAACCCGTCGAGAACAAAATCGGCGCCACCATTGTGTCGCGAATTGTCCGCGCGCATAACAACAGGGAGGACTTCCAAGTCATCGTCCTAATGCCCGCCGTGCCCGCCTTCGCCGGCGACCTCAAATCCGACGGCGCACTCGGAACCCGTGCCATCATGGAATTCCAGTATAACAGTATCAACCGCGGGGGCTACAGCATTATCGAATCCCTACAGAAGGAAGGCGTAGATGACTGGCGTCGGTACATCGGGTTCTACAACCTACGCAACTACGACCGCATTAACATATCCTCAACCCTACACCAAGTTGAGCAAGAAAGCGGCGTATCCTACGAATCCGCACGACGCGAACACGACGACCGCGTCGGCGGATACCCTTACGGAAACGAAGGCAATGAATACGGCAACGAAGGTAACTACGAGCGCTACCAATCCGCCGCTTCAAACGCCCGCGACCGGACCTGGGACACGGTATCTAGCTGCTACATGGACGGGGGCCCGGACATCCGCAACGTACCCTGGGACGGCAGTCCCGAGTCCGAGCTCGATGCCTTCGTATCCGAGGAATTGTACATCCACAGCAAAGTCCTAATCGCCGACGACCGACTCGTGATCTGCGGCTCCGCAAACCTAAACGACCGTAGCCAACTCGGGACCCACGATTCCGAGATCGCAGTCGTGATTGAAGACCCGGAACCCGTTGAAAGTACTATGAACGGACAACCGTTCACTGCTTCACGTTTCGCTGCTTCCTTGCGAAGACAGCTCTGGCGTAAGCATTTGGGTTTACTACCGGACCAGCCTTGGGATCGCCCGAATGCGAATTGGACACCCGTGGGCCGCGACCCACAAGACTACGATTGGGGCTCGCGCGCCGATCGACTGGTTGAGGATCCTATGAGTGAGGATTTCCGCAATTTGTGGACGGGCACTGCGCGTACGAATACCGAGGTCTTTACTAAAGTCTTCCACCCCGTGCCCAACGACCACGTAAGGACCTGGGACCAATACGAAGATTTCTTCAGTCGGTATTTCGTCATCCCCACTGGTGATGATGAAAAGGAGAAGGAGAAGGCTGAGGAAGAGAGGAGGAATGGAAAGGTTGATTACGGACATGTAGTTCGCGACGAGTTCCCTGGTGGTGTGGCCGAGGTTAAGGATTGGTTGAGTCGTGTGCGTGGTACGTTGGTCGAGATGCCGTTGGATTTCTTGGTCGATGTGGAGGATTTGGCGAAGTCTGGGTTGAGTCTGAATGCGTTCACGGATGAGATCTACACTTAAGATACTTAGATACTTCTGGACAAGTAGATTTATCGTAAGTAGGTTAGATCGGGCATTTCTTGTACAGATAGCCTGGTTACCTCAGATACATAGATAAGTTACGTTGAATTATGAATTCACCTCGATTTTGAAATGACCTGGGGTGGATATGCAAAAGCTCGGCTTGATGGGTGCAAGATGTGCGAATAGCTTCGCTCGAGAGGCGCCTTTAATTATTAGATTCACTCATGAAACATTTACCTACAATCAGTAAGACAGCCATTCAGTATCTGATATGCGCTCCCATGTTCTTTTTAATCCAAACGTAGGGATGGCGGAGGTACTGTATTGATGTCTCAATTTATCTACCAAAGGGCGAGATGTTATAATGCAAGAAGCATCCGTTCCCTTTAACTCTAGTGAATATTCTATGTAGACGTTGTGCACGAGGCCATCGCGGAGGTTTAAGTGAAAGAACAAGACAATGTAGAGCAATGTCAAAGTAGTATAGGGGATATTATTATGATGATGCATTCGTTTCTGCTTCCGTGATGAAAACACAAGAGTCCGGTTTGGCGTAACCATTCTCATTTTTCTTTCCTCGACTGCTCCCCTCAGTAACTCCCTTCCTGAATCTCGTTTCCCTGAACCCCAAAGTTTCGTGTCGCGCCGTAGCTTTCTGTGTTGATATAAACGTGCCCATAACCAAGACACCGAGCCTTTATAAAATGACAACGGCCAGTTGTATGGGTGACATGTGCAAGCGCAAGGACACAAGAGAGTATTATACAGAACTCCCGCTGGATGATATAAACTCCAGGAACCCATGACTTCCCAATGCCGATGCTTCAATTCTTTGCTTCCGTCCGAAAATAAAGAAATTGTTCAATCCTTCTTCCCGTTAGCGGTGGTACCAAGAAGACCCTCCTTTATCTCCTTGATAGGGAGGTTGTCTTCTAGGCGGAAGTTGCCACGGTTTCTCCGAAGTCGTCCTCGGAACCATGACGCACAACCTAGACCAAGTCCCGCAATGCAGCCAAAGGAGAGATAAGGATGTTCGGTAAAGGTGACTCGGATGTCGAAGAATATCTTCTCGAAGCTCGAGATCGTGAGCTTAGGTTTAATTAGGGGAGGGGAAGCAGTGACTTTCGAAATAGTCTCAAGGATCGATACTCGCGAAGGAACAATGGGACTACCGGTAATGGTCATATCCCAGTATCGTCGATTCTATGTCCATGTTAGCAGATTACAACAGGTATGTCGTGTATGTTTAACTCACATCCTCATCGTTTATGATAACCCGTTCACCATCCTTGATGTCAATACCGTAAGTAGTCCGGATCCACCTTTGCCAAAAGACACCATCAACCCAGGCAAAAGTAACCTCCTTACGATCAGACATATCCATGCTGATTCGGATGCTCTTGGCAGCTCGTAAAGCCCGCTGATCATTGCGGTCCTCTGCTTCCTCGAGGCGAAGCTGTTTAGCATCTCGGAGGTTCTGTCGCTCAAGCTGGAATAGTTGGATTTGCTTGTCCATCCATTCATTTGCAGCACGCTTCATTTCACGCTTAGCACTCACGAATGTTTCCTGGTCTTCCCTGTTGAGAATTCCTAGGACAACAATCTTGCCATCCATGATTTCACGTGCATTCGAGGCAGTGAGCTCCGGAACGATAGGTAGCCAGACAGACTTCATCCAGGTCAGGACAAGATGAGTCTCGCGCATTTCCCTGGGCGTGAGAGGGTTATAATAAGTAGGTCTACCTTCTCGTGATACTAACAACCTTGGCCACGTTGTAATCTTGAATCGGTCATAGAGTTCGGGGTCCTTCGTCTTAACCAGCTTAGCATGTCCAATTAGGCTAAGAGGTAATCTCTCGAGAGCCATGAAATCCTCGGTTGTGGTGGCGTGGTCATAGAAGTAAACGAAAATAACGTCTTCCTTTTCTTCGAGAGCCTTGAAGGAAGCAGCGTCGACATCCTGGACACCGCCGCAAACATCCAAAGCCTTATCAGCATATTGAATAAAATCGCCGAGTCCACGCAAGCCATTGTATTCAACACGTTCACCTCCTCTGAAGAAAAGGATGGTGGGATAACCCCGAAGATGAACATCCTTGCACAGCCTAGATTCAGCATCGCAGTTGACTTCACCAACATTCAGCTTGCCTTTCATTTCCTTAGCAAGCTGTTGCCAGTTCGAAGCCATGGCCTGGCAATGGTGGCACCAAGGAGCGTAAAACTTGATAAACCAAGGTTCTTGGGTCATTGTGACGAGAGTCTGAAAGCTTTCGGCCGTGAGTGATACGGAGATTCCTTGCTCATTGGGGGTCTTGGTAGGCTTAGATGGTTTGGACGGCTTGGTGATGTCTACTTTCTGTGGTGTAGTCTCGGAGGCAGTGGGCAGGTTTGTCGCACCAGGTTCGGGGAGCTTGATTCCTGTCGGGCGTGTACCAGGCTTCTCTTTCTCAAGCACGTCTTCAATCATAGTTGAAAGGACATCCATGCCTTTTCCGCCTTTAACGAAATCGGCTCGTTCCCCATTCTTGTATACGACAACCTGAGGCCATGCCTGGACATCATGTTTCGTACACAAATCGCCATTAACAATACAATTTACTGAAGCGAACCGGATGTCGTAGTATTTCTCGAATGAAGAGGTAGACGTTGGTGATTCAGGGTCGCTCGGGGCTTTCGAGGTGTAATAATATTCATACAAGGTCTGATAGGTCGGAGCAAAATCTATACAATGAGGGCAGTACGGGCTGTGGCGATTGTGAGTAGGCTATTCGCACAAATATTCACAAATGATGTTTGATTATAAGACGCCGATAAATAACGTATATGATATACCGGGGAGCGGTTAAGAGGACAATATGGTATCTTACCTATAATATTTGACAACAAGGAATTTGGACTGCTGAACCTCCTTATCGAAAGTGTCGCCCGTTATCTCAAGTAACGGGGGTACTCTTTTTCCATTAAAATATGTGTTTTCTTGATCTGGACTATCGTTCGTCTCCGCACCAATTGCTTGCGCAGTGCCGAGGACGGCAGCGCTGAGAAACAGCGCGAGAGAAGCGAGCCTCATGGCTGCTGACAGGGTGCGATCTTGATGTCGCGGATAACGAACGTGTTGATTGATAAATTACCGATAATTACGACCAACGAGTTGACGACGGTATTCGGATATCGGTATCGTCAATCGGATATTGGAATGACTCGAACCAGGCGCGCGACTCGTAACGATAAATTAGGAAGTGAGGATGTTATCGGAACCCTTTTTCTGTCGTTTCTTAGAATAAAGGGGGCAAAGGAGAGTCGCGTCACCGGCTGTAGTGCATCGGAATATGTTCACTAGAAGAAAATGAAAAAGAATAAAAAGAAAACAGACCAGAGGAAAAAAGAGAAGCAGCTGGCTACAACGTCTGCAGAATTAAAAAAGAGCCAACTCAGAGCAAAAAAAGGATTCAAGAGGGCTCGAGTTTGCTAATAGATTCGTCTGTATTATTTTTCTATGGGATGGGATGGGATGAATAAAGCACGTAAGGCGTAAGGGTGGTAAAATGCGAAAATTGGATTGTTGAAACGAGACTACCGTAGGTTATCGCTCTAACCTCTTTCTTCTAAAGTCCAAGGGAACAGTGCACCGCCTTCCCGGATTCTTCTTGTTGATTATAGCACAAGATGTATCTATACCGTATTGACAAACTGTACGGAATTCTTGATCAGGTACTGATAAGTATTTACGTTAAATTAACCAACCAAAAACCAGCCAATTATTACTAGAAACCAACACGAGCTACGAAAAGTACTTCTCCAATTGTACTACACAGTTAGCTAGACGCTATTAAAAGGGGTCCCCACACGACCCCTTACAGTAGCGATACTTTTAAAAAGAAGGACACCAACCAGAACTCTGCTTAGCCACGATAGGAGGATGAGATGAAGCAATGTGGCTAATGCAAGGTGTCAAGTTGCAAAAAGCCCCTTATTTAATTGCAGCTGCCTACCTTACTGTACATACCGTAAACAGGAAGCTAAGGAAGTCACCGACTCTCACCATGAAGTAGTTACTCCTCTCAAAAATGTCAGCGTCCACATAAATTGGAGATGAACTCACAACTTTTACAACTTTCTCTCTCGTATTTTCCATACTACCATGTATCACATATACACACAATCAAATATAGTGCACGTCCTACGACGATCAGTCGGATGCCAAGCTAAGACCTTCGCAACACATCCGCGTCAGCCCTGTGGGATCTTTGGTGCTCAGGGTTGAAACCTGATTGATACCAAATTCGGATCTCTGCATATAGTCCTACACAGTCGCGGCGATTATTTACAGCGTACAGACACGGTGTGCTTGGTCTAGGCTGCCATTTTTTTTTTTAAATTACAACTTCACTTAAAAGCCGCGTTCGTCCGACATGGCAGAGCCTCCGTCAAAACGCAGGCATTCAAGTGACACCGAAGAGGACAAGACTGCGGAAGAGTCTAGTGAGCTTCCAGCATCATTTACGCACCCGATAAGTCCCCCGAGAAAAAGAGTGGCTCACGAGCGTAAATTCATCCCTTCTCCGATTCAGCTTACGACTATCTGGGATTATGCAGATGAATTAAATGTCGATGCTGTATCGCTTCATGATTTACTCGGTGACCCACTCATTGCTGAGTGCTGGGAGTTCAATTATCTACATGATGTGGATTTTCTTATGAATCACTTCGACGAAGATACACGGTCTCTCGTCAAAGTTCATATCGTCCATGGCTTCTGGAAGAAAGACGATCTTAAGAGATTGTCCCTAGAGGTAATTTATTCCATCCTCAGTATCTCTGGTTCTTCAAGTATTGTACCTAAGCCGCCTTTGATATTTCTAAAGTGTATTCGAGAGCTCGCTAGTTCACATGTATACTGCCAAATCATTCGAATATTGCTTGTCGCTTAAACCCCTCCTTCCTAGTAGCACAGGAACCCAGCTTGTAACAATTGTAATCACAATTCCCATGCTAACTTCCATTGCGCCACTCCATCGTGTATACCAGCGAAGTCAACTAACACTAGTAATTGACAGCAACAATCCGCCCAATATAAAAATGTCACCCTTCACGCGGCGTACATGCCCGAGATGTTCGGTACCCACCATTCAAAAATGCTTATCCTTTTTAGACATGATGATACAGCCCAGGTCATCATACATACAGCCAACATGATATCTAAGGATTGGACCAATATGGCAAATGGCATTTGGCAAACACCACAGCTCCCTCTCCTTACAGAAGCGCAGAAACCATCAGAAGCAGATATGAGTATTGGTGGTGGGCTAAGGTTCAAACTAGACCTACTGAACTACCTTAAAGCCTATAATACCAAACGAGGAATCTGCAAGTCCATGGTTGACAGACTCGAGAAATATGACTTCTCTGCCGTTCGGGGCGCACTAATTGCAAGCGTGCCTGGGAGACACGACATACATGAAGACGACCCAAGCAAATCTCTCTGGGGTTTCGCGGGTATTAAGCATGCCCTTAGATCCGTCCCAGTCCAGCCGGGGGGGTCAGACATTGTAGTGCAAATATCTTCTATCGCAACACTAGGTCAAACAGACACCTGGCTGAAGCGCACATTATTCGATTCATTATCTCCACCGTCGAAAACAAACTCCCCAAAGCCCAAGTTTAAAGTAATATTTCCAACTCCTGATGAGATACGACGTTCTTTAGATGGCTACGCATCTGGTGGTTCTATACATATGAAAACACAATCACCGATCCAGACAAAACAGCTTCAGTATATGAAACCTATACTCTACCATTGGGCGAACGACTGTGAAGATGGAATTCGTAAGTCCAATTTTACGATTCTACAATACTCCAAAAATTCAATTGCTTACCCACGTTAACTCATTTCTTTTTTTTTTTCACTAGTTGAGCAAGGCAATAAGTTCGAGGCTGGTCGTAAGCGCGCAGCCCCACACATCAAGACATACATTCGATACAACGAGGGAAAGACCATCGATTGGGCTCTTCTTACATCTGCCAACATATCCAAGCAGGCCTGGGGCGAGCCCACGAAGGTTCCAGGTGAGATACGGATTGCTTCATGGGAAATAGGGGTTTTGATGTGGCCCGAATTATTCGCAGATAAAGCAAAGATGATGCCTATTTTCAAATCGAATATGCCGACGAAGGAGAGCCTTGATGATCAGGAAGATATAGTAGGCTTGAGGATGCCATACAGTCTGCCTTTGCAGAAATACGGGGATGATGAAGTTCCATGGGTAGCTACAGCAAAGTATACTGAGCCTGATTGGAAGGGAGGAGTTTGGGAGTAGGGGACTGTGGATGCGGGAAGATATTGTTAAGCGAATGAGAATATTGCGGGATGGTAGGTCCGAGGTGGGAACTGGTATGGAGATGGTCCTACCAATGTTGAGCTCTTAGACCCTTTAAGTGGCTATATTAGCTCATAAAATCACATACATTCTTACCACCAATGTCAACTCTGAATCCCACTTTATTGGTGAATTCACGTGTATTTATAGATTAACGGATTAATCTAGCATTGCTATGACGATTCTATAGTCTTTCGCCATCCGTACCCGCAAGCACGAGGACCCTACTCTTTCTTTGCGACACAAGCGTACCGTCTTCCCCGGAACATGACTAATCGATTGGCTGAAAAAAGAAAAATGAGCAACGTATTATGACGGCTGTTGCTCTTGCCGTCTTAATTATATCCACGATATATCTAAGAGCTTCCAACGGCCTCGGGGACCTTGCTCTCGTCAAAGCCGTACGTCTTCTTCAGCTCCTCGACTTTCTTGACGTAGCGCTCTTGTGCATCCTCGGGGGTGACGCCCTCGTCGACGAGTTTCTGCCAGGCTTGGTATTTGTACTTGTTCTATATGTAGGGGTTAGTATCGACTGCTCTCACGACAAAATGCGCTGGATCGTCGAATTGGTTTCGCATACCTTCAAGTCAAAGACACCGGGCTTCTCGGCCTTGCTGAAGTCCTCGGCATTGCCAACCTTGAAGAGACCTATAAGAGAAGTACCACTGTTAGCCTCTCAAACTGATCACATACACAAACTGCATTCGAGTAAAGCAGGATTAAGTACCGTAGAGCTCGAGCAGGTCTTCGTTGCTAGGCTTGGAGGTGAGCTTCTTGGAGTCCTCCTGGGCCTTCTTGAACGCGGGGCTGATCTCGACCATTTTGACGGGTGTGAAATTTAGTTTTTAGAAAACTCGAATGTCTTTTCCTGTTAGCTACAACTTGTATACTTCTTACTAGTAGCTAGGAAGTGGGTATATACCTTTTTACTAAGCTAGAAATGTTATATGATCTTGTCAATTTGTTGGTGTTTTTGTCAGAAAGATAGTCCTCAGCTAAGTGCTAAGTATACTAAGTGTTGAGGTTTGGTGGGGTAGATTCGTTTCGAAGTCACAAACTTTCGTCATCTGTTCGTTGGGTGCGCGCGGGGTGATGCGATTCTCTCCATATAATTGGTTGCATTACCTTCAGGGACCCACTAGAGCTCGTATGACCCTCGGATAGGATTCCTCAATGATGATGCTTGTGAACCGGTGCAAATATGCGCCGCGCACCGAAACTTTGTATGTAATAGATCTTTGGTTCTTGGACCCGTGGATCTGGATCTTACATACATCAAATGCAAATAACCTTAGAATTGACCCTATATTCACATGGTCAAGACCGTTACTTCACCCACGGGTTGTGAATGGTGGCCACGTTCTGTTCTGTTACCAAACACGTTTTATTGTCAGCTTCAACTGATAATTGATACTAACTATTGGCGAGACGTGCCGCAAACTATCTGACGCAATCGCTTCACCAAGACAAAAGTGCGCCTAGGTAGGCTCGATATTGACACGTGTGGTCATCTTCAGCATTCTTCCTGCCATCGTGCTCTGCCAAGTCGGCCTTTACTTAACTTGATATAGACACATTCCTTCAGGCTGGCTTTGCTATTGCACGCAGAGCTCAGCTCCTCTACTAAATTTTCATACAGGGACGAATTGTTTCGCTATTTATGTACTCAGGCATGCGGGTGTCGTATGTACGCACTAACACATGTACTACCCAATCACCATTTTCGAGAACTTCCCCGTTAGGAAGTACTTTTTGTCAATTTATAAGGCTGTCCAATAAGACAACGAAAAAGGAAGACCCCTTGTTCACGCCGAACCAATAGCTCGTTACCGTGTCTACCCTCCACGAGTCAATACAAGCCTCATTCCCTTTCTCTTCGGGACCGAAACCATTTAATGCTTTCCCCAACCTGCATTCTTACAGACCAAATAATACGCCCAATAATAAAGTGGTATATATGTACTAGGCAGCCACCTACTACGAAATCAGAAGAAATGCTGCATAACGCATTCAGACTCGTTTATGAGACGGGCTAATAGACGAAGATTTGATCCTCCTAGTACCAACCAAAGATTATTAATACTATTTCTTGTATTAATCATCTTGGGACTAACGAGGGAGAATTATTAGTCAATTTCACCGTCCGCTAAACTCTAGTGAGACTAAAGTGAAAGCTGAATCGTTATTCGGGAAATTATCATTCGGACGGCCGCCGGACGGTGGGTGTATAGGCACACAACAGGGGTACCAAGTCCGAATGTGACACAAAAGCTACCATTCAAGAGGCTTTTCAGGTCGGTATATTCGAATCTTGGCACCGCGATTCCGATTCCTGACAAATTAAGCACACGAAATCGGGAAATCCATAGTTTATTGTGTGTCTATAACTGGATGAATATTATCTATTCGTCCGATGTTCGTACGCTAACTCCCTCAACGACTAAGTCGAGCTGGCAGACTGGGTATCTTTGATAAATTTCCCAAATGATCATTTTAGGTAAGTACCTGCGGTATGTAAGGTAATGTATTGAGTATGTACCCAAGTCCAGCCCGTACCAGCCTCCTAGAAACAAAGTGAGTACAGGATCGCCCCTACTATGTAAGTCTCGAACACTTAGACCCCCAGGAACGATGGGCTTGAAGTGGGGTCTCTCCGTTTGAGGCGTCAAAGTCTATTTGATACTGGATGGTCCGTTCCTCCCTGCTGTGAAACAGACAACTTATAAAACATGAAGAGCAGCTTCCGTCTTTTCAATTCTTAAAACTCTTTAAAGATTTGTTTCTTTCTTGGTTGAGTTTTTCTAGCCTTCCTTCAATTTATCACTCATCATCGCGAAATACCGACACGTTTCTCCCACGACCTGCCCACTCTTCGAAATAGTCTTTTTGACTTCTAAAAAACTGTTGTAGCAACACTCTTCAACATTAGCAACCGGACTTCACCAACTGGTCACCATGACCCAAACAATTGTCGTCCTAGGCGGCGCCTATGCTGGCGTATCAGTGGCACACAGACTTTTCAAATACACGAAACCTCAAGTAAAGGATTTGAAAGTTATCCTTGTTTCTAAGGTAAGAAAATTGTTGGTTTTACACTATTGGTTCCTCGAGTCAAGAGCTGTCCGGAATTGGGTACAATACAACGTTGGGTCTATAGAAGAGGGTCCACGTAATCAGCACTTAGACCCTGGAAACCCACCGAGTTTCGACTAGGGATGCGAATTACAGGTCACCGATGGATATGGATCTACAATGCATGATACTAACTCCTCGTCGCAGAATAGCCACTTCTACTGGAATATGGCGTCCGTGCGTGCCATCGTACCGGACCTATTGAAAGAAGAACAATACAGTCAGCCCCTCGAGAAGGGATTCGCCAAGTATCCGGCCGATTCCTTCGAGTTCATCGTCGGTAGCGCTGAGGGCGTTGATGTAGTTGACAAGACGGTCAAAATCTCAACTGACAATGGCACTGAGCGGGTACTTAACTACGATCATCTGGTGCTAGCGACGGGTACGCGCGCCGTTGACAACGCGGTCCCGTGGAAGAGCAATGGCACCCATGAGCAAAATGCGGCGATTATGACGGAGATTCAAGGCAAGATCAAGACCGCGAAGAACATCGTTGTAGCGGGTGCCGGCGCTACAGGTATTGAGGCCGCAGCTGAGCTAGCCTTCCAATACGGCAAGGAGAAGGAGGTTATTCTACTATCAGGCGACAGCGAACTCCTAAGTGGCGACTCCCTAGCATCTAATGTGGCGTCTGAATTGAAGAAGCTGGGTGTCCAGGTTCGCAAGTCAGCGCGTGTCGAGACTACGCGCGAAGCTGCCGATGGCAAGATCGAGGTTGTTCTGAAGAATGGCGAGAAGCTCATCACCGATGTTTACCTACCCACTATGGGAATGGCGCCTAACACAGAGTACCTTCCGGCGGATTTGTTAACGGACAGGAAGTTTGTAGACATCAACGAATTTTACCAGGCTAAGGGTACTAAGGACGTCTGGGCTGCTGGCGACATTGTGTGGAAGCCTCGTGGTAGCTTTGTGCTTACGGATAAGCAGGTAAGCCATTTCTTAACAACCCAAATCCTAACTTTATGAGATCTAGAGTATATTGGATGACTAACGCTTATAATGAAAAGGCTGCTGGTGTCGCTAAGAACATCGATCTCGCCCTAAAGGGCAAGCCACCCACCGTCGTCAAGACCCTACCGATGGATGCCATGATGGTAGCGACGGGTCGTAGCCGTGGAGTTGGTCGTTTGGGCTCCGTTAAGGTTTTCTCCTTCATGGTCTATATGATGAAAGGAAAGACTCTTGGCGTAGAGAGATTGCCTAGCTACGTCGATGGTAGCGCCTATTAAACAACCTACTAGGGAGGTGCTTAATGTTGCGTTAGACGGCTGGGGAGAATGTGTTATGGCTACACGCTTTTCATGCTAGGCGTATATGGAGAGGATCGTTATTGAGCTGACGAAGGAAACGAAAACTCCTTTCGGCATGCTGATGGTTTTGAGGTTTCCTGGATAATTGTTAAGATGATGAGGGGCTGAGAGGGAACAGATGTAATATGTACCCCAAGATACCCCTTCCCCTTTTTAAGATGATGGAATTGGCTCTTCACGAGAGTATAATAATAAAATATTAAGATGGACTTTTCTTTTGATTGGCATACTATTGATTCTCCCGCTTGTCCCTTGCTGTGATGCGAAAAAGCGTTATATCCGTAGATAATCTAGTTCATGTGATTATAACGCCTGACCTGGATCAACTTAACCGATCTGCCACGAACTCAAAATCCGAGCCCGTTGATTTACACCAGAGGGCATGACAGATGGATGTTGCCCCATTACCTTGGTTGTTCAATTCGGTAGTTATTAGGCACTCACTAGACGAAACGCTCGTCTCCCTTAGAATATCAAATATCTACCTCCCCGCCTTCTCATCCTCAACCTCCCGTCTCAACTGCTCTAGCACCTGCATACGCCCCGCAAGATGCGTCTCCAGCCCATCAACCTGCTCCCTAACCGTCGCCAAATCATCCGCAACACCCCTCAACCCACTTCCCGTCTTCACCTTCCCCGTTCCTTCCTCAAGTTCGCGTAACTCCCTCCTCTTATAATCTAAAAGTTGATCCAACTCGCGTTTTACAAGAGCGGGTTTAGAATCCCGTTTTCCGCCACTGCGACGCGTGGCTACTTCTTCGACTTTGGCCATTTTGTCTTCGAGTTCTTGGAGTTGCTTTTTTAGGCGCACTTCTTCCCATTGCTCGTCGCTTTGCGCGGAGCTGAAGTCTGTGCCGGAGGCTTTGAAAGCGCCGCGGCCTAGACGGGTTAGGTATTGGTCGCCGAATTTGGCTTTGCGGCCCGTGGTTGTGTTGTCGTCTGCTTTGGCCGCCCAGCGGGAGGCGGCGCCCCGGTTGCGCTCGCTGTCGAGTTGGTAGTCGATTTGGTTGCGCTCGAAGGAGGAGCGGAGTGACGCGGGGACTGTGCGTGGGATGCGGAAGCCTTCGTGGCGGTTGTTGAGGATGTGGAGGAAGGCGAGGCAGGCGTCTTTGTTGACGGTTGGGGAGGCGGAGGGGTTGATTAGGTTCCATGCTGAGCGTACGTCGGTGTCGGGTACATCGAGGGATTCGTAGAGGCCTTCTAGTGCGTTGACTGTTTCGTGTTTCAATTAGTAAATCAAATGTAGCTGGATGAAGAGAAAACTCACAGGATATCTCGCCCCGCATGTCTCGGTTCTCTTGGTATATGGACTCGTACTTGGACTTGTCCTGCGGGTTCATGTACCAGTCGAAGCCATCCTTCAGTCCCGGTGTATCCGAGTCATCGTCAACTTGTTCAAATTGTACTTGCTTCCCTGTGAGGGCGCGGTTTGCTTGTACGAGGTGGGCTTTGGATTCAGGGACGAGCCAGTCTGGTAGTGTTGTCGGTACATCTGCGTATTCCTGTCATTCTCCATTAGTTATTTTTGCTTTCCCGACAAACCGTGCTGACGAATGAAGAAAGGGTTGGTAGAGAAGCGAATGCAGGCCTATAGGAAGGTTGAAAAGGGAGCAAAGTATCAATCTAACTCACCCCATTCACTATATCGAAGATGATGCGCATAGCGACGCAGAACTCCTCAAAGTCGAGATTACCATCATTATCAACATCCGCTACATCCCACACACGCTCTAACTGGTCGTCTCGCAATCCACTGTTCTTCAGCAGCGGTGCCGCTTGTTCGCCTGTTAAGTATTTGCCGCCATTGGTTCGTGTCGAGAAGATGTTCCAATACGTTTCAACCTCCTGAGCCTCGATGCGAGGTGCCATTTCGAGGCCCTACTGAACTAGAAGAAACGAGTGTATTTGTTGTGGAGTAGGTATAGGTATTTGATTTCTCGGCCGCGGTAATGGTAGGTTGGGTATAATTTTAAGTTAATTTAGTCGACTGGCTTCAATTCAAAGTCGTAAGAGATGACGAGATGAAGGTTATTGTTGTATGAGGTAGTAGCTATTCGCAACCTTGTCTACCAAGATACACCGATAGCCTTGTATGTGGAATAGAGCATGCAACTAAATCAATTACAGTGGGCCCTCTCAGTTTAAAGCTGGATCCCAACGCTTATCAGGGGTAGTGCGTCAGCTGTGGCTCAGCTACTAACGTATACAGTGTGCGAGTCTAGATTTAGCACTTTCATATAAGTCGCGGATGTAAGTACCAAAGTACTACCATGCTGCCATGCTTAAATATTCACGAGAAACACCATTTAATACTCGAAGACATCGACAATTATCATTAGTCACCACCAGAGAAGACAACATTTACCAGTGTGGTATCATAGCAATGTACATATAATCTTGAAAGGTTATCGCTCACTTCCCAGCTCTGTAACTGTAGTCCTGTTTGTATTTCCGGATATACCTCCCATCCCTTCATCATGGAATATCATAGCGCCTAGATAACTATATCAATTGGACGATTAATCCACCTCCTTAGGACATGCGCCAGACTGCAACTTTCCCTTACCACCAACTGACCGAAAAACCCAGCGCTATCGCAGTTCAAATTGGGTATCATGAAACAACTGTTGTTACGCCCGCCCCTACAGCTCCTTCGTTCCCTGCGATGGCTTGTTGAGCCGCTTCTAAGAAGCTGGGCCGCCATCTTTGTAGGTACTTGGCTGCAATGGGCCTTGCGTCTTCATAGTCCGTCCATATGTCCTGGATGGCGTCGAGTGCAAGATCCCGCACTGGTGGTCGCATCATTACCAAGTAATACAAGGTCGTGAGTGCCAGATTCACTATACTAGGATCTCGACATAACGTCTTAACCCGCGAGAAAACGGCGGCATTGAGCTCAGGTAACTCACTAAGAAACCGTGTCAATACTTTATCTTGGGAATGGAGATATGGGATAAATCCATCCAAGAGACGAAGCGTCCATTTCTCGTAGTTAACGGGAACATCGCGGGGAACGGCGGAAGAAGACGTAGCTTGTTGCTGCACTTTGTCGTTATACCATTCCTCACTCAACCAGGAAACCGCTACTTCGATACGCTTCCGGAAATCCTCAAGGATATAATTGAAGAGTAGCTCTCGGATCGAGTCACTAAGCCGGGTGGCTGGAAGAGCCACTTTACTGTCTTCGCCGTCCTCCGGGTCATCATCCAGCCCCGCATTTGCCCGGGTTGCTAGACGAGTTATCACAGTGATCCAGGAGTCTCGATCGTAGGAGCTAGCTGCAAGTCTGTTGATGCCGGCCTTAGCCTTCTTAACGGCGGGGTCTTCAAGGGTTCTCATGGTGCCGAACACTCTCGTAATCGAACCTTGTCCAACCTTCGCAGCTTGTTCTGGATTCAATGTTGGTGGCGGCGGTAATCGGAATGTGGGCAGTGCAAGTCCGCTTAATGCTGCTGGCTTCTCAAGTTCACGGTTCTCGTCCGAGGGTGACGAGTCAAGCTTGTTTAGGATCTGCTCTGTATCTTCTGCTGTGTAGTAATCCGGCTCGTAATCATCCTCATCGTCCTCCACGTCAAGTGGCGCTGTTTCGGGGTTGATTGGCTCTGGCTGGGCTTCATATAGGGCTGTTAAACGATCTCGGACGCCCTACGCCTTGGTTAGATAAAGTCAAAATATGTGGAAGGGAATTGTGACATACCTGTATTGCTCGATCGAAGAGTTGGTTATCTATGCGAGCAATAGTTGTAACGCTAATTCGGGCGGCGAGCGGCGCCGGAACATTATCACCAACATTGAATTGCTTCAGCCCAGCATTACTTGTGAACGTGAAAACATCGGCAAGGGTATGTGGACCGGGTTTCAACGGAGTGATCTCAACCTGGGGATGAGATGGCATGGCCCCGGTCCGTTGGCGTTTAGCATCTGAACTATCAACTGGTTCAACCGGTGCTCTCTTCCGACTCCCCTCCTCAAAGATCTCCTGTCGCGATCGTAGAAGCCGGTCGATGTGTTGCTGTATACGGCTGGCTAGTGGGTTTTGCGGATTTCTGTAAAAATGTTAGCTATATGATATATTGTTTTCGAATTATTAGGTCGCACCGTCTGGATAAATGCATAAGCAGCATCCGCGTTGTCTTCTCCATTGACTTGACTATAACCTTGGTCTTGGGTGTCATTGGGGAGTTCGCGAGCTTCAGAGGATTAAAATTGAGGATCGTGTTGAGGATTCGGTTCGAAGTAGCTGGTCGGTTTCGGATGAGGATAGACAATGTGTTCAACGTAGCATCTACAACTAAAGCATCGCTACGAGGTTTGTTAGATCATTATTTCCAGATGAACATTCATGTAGGCACCGTCATACCTGCTATTGTCTTGCAAAATCCCAAGCATTCTATCTAATAGTCCGGAAGCCTCAGCTTCGAGTTTAGGTGCGTCGAGAATAGGATGGTTCGACGGAATCATGATAAGCGATATATCAAGGAGGTCGCCACGCTGTGGGCACGGTCAGCACCAGTTGAGACATGCAAATGGGATATATCCTTACTCTTGGTTCCGGGTTTACACTCTGCGTCTGCGCCAGAACAACGCGTTGAGCAAACTTGACGCAGCATATTCGTATCGTGGGTGGAGCAGTATCCCATATTCGCAATATCCTTGCCTTGATAGCAGTCATGCGCTCCCACGTGTGTGTGTCGTAGGAGTTGTTTATACTGGTACAATTTCAAAACGTCAGCGACATGGCTGCGAAATCACATCTCGCGGGAGACGCATAGATATTTAGAAGGAGACAGCATCTGGGCGCATCGTCATAAGACGTGACGCACGCACCAAATCTACGAGGGGTTCTACGATAATGGATTGGGTAAAACCTACATCCAGCGTAAGGCCAGGGGATAGATACTAGCCGCCGCCTGAATGACGCTTCTTAGAACGGTAACATCTTGGTGGTCGTCTTCCACCAATAGCTTGAGTGTCTCCAATACTACTAGAGACAATGTCTCCTTCTGGCCGGGGGCGATAGCGGGTGTTGCGAAAGCTTCAGCAAGGAACTCAGCTCCCCATCGTCGGAATTCCACCTGAGCTGAGGGGCCTATGATGGGAAGGGTAGCTTGAATAACTTGGGTATAATAGCCGGCATTACCAAGGACGAGCTTTCGTGCGCCTTCGAGTTGGCGAATTTGGTCTTGCACGGAAAGTTGAGCTGTCGCCATTTTGATTTACTGGATTGGTTGGACCCAGGCGGGTCCAAGATGTTGGTAGATGTCGACGTGAAGTTGGAAGAAATGGACGGGCTACAGCAAGCATAAATTGTAAATCAAATATGTCAAGCTGGAACTCAATATTTTGAGTATTTAAGAATTGGTATTGGAAAATCGAGAGCGAAGAAGTATTGAGGTCAAATAGTTGGAAGTAAATGCCTTGTCGCGTCGTATGGTTCGTGTTCTGCCCGGTGATGTCAATTAGAAGATCGCCGGGAAGATAACCTGCATCATCCTTCACACCATGTCCGTGTCCGTGTCGAAAAGAGTAAGTAAAGAAGGTCCTTGGTTTTTTAATTCGTGGGAATATTTCTTTTTTGCTTGATTCCCTAGAATTAATTTACGTGGAGCAAAATTGAGGAATGCAAATGTAGTTGCACTATGTCATTGAAAGAAAATTGGGTGAGGGAAAAGAGTTGAGTTGAAAAAAAAGAAGAATTGAATGAACATAAATTCGGTCGCGACTGAAGCTGCTTCAGGGCGTTTGTCTCGTGCAACTTCAGCTTTGCAAGAGACAAAGCTCCAAAAGTGGGTACTCGGATCATTCAAGCAGGGAATCTGATGATCCGAAGATACTCCGACGTAGTAAACCGCAACTGGAACTACGAACGTAGTACGCTAATACTATTTGGGAATAATCTACACGCAGAATTGGAAGTGCCCACCACGACATCGTCAGATCTACCTAGGTACTTCAATAAGGTTAAGGTACGATCCAGTAATCGTACGTGATTAATTAGGCTTGGCGGCATTCCCTTCGATTTCTCAACTTTCTTTAATTCTTCCAGAAAGAAAAAAAAATTTGTCGCATACCGCAAGGATTTCAGCCCTGCTGGGCAAGATATACAAAAATGGCCTCTGGGTATGTCTATATGCACTTCTGTGCTATTTGATGCTGCGGTTATAATGAATATCTAACAGCCTGCTAGTTTCGGAAGCTCTTCGTACTACGATAGGCGATTCAGACAATCACCCGCCCTCATCCGAGCAAGGCGGCCTTACCTCTTCAAGAACGCTGTTCTCGGGTCTGCCGTCGCCGCCTTTGCTATTGGCGTCTGTAAGTGACGATCGAAAGCTACGTACCGTCCATGAAGTAAGATCGATTTACTCATTCGAATACCTATAGATGCATACACAATAAACGTCATCGGACAGGATGAATTCGAGGATGTGAGGGTCCCCAACGCGCCGAGCCAGCCCGAGAAAAAGTAAGCGACGATACGATGAACATTGCCGGGGTAAAAGTTCTACCTAGATAGAAGGAGAATTGACAAAAGAAGTCATACAAATTTACGGGTCCTACGAATGGGTTCGGCGTTGGAGGTACTTTGAAAATATGATAATGGTATCTTCAATGTGGCTATGAAGAATATGTATAAACTATATTGGTATCGTGGCTTTACATGGAGCCTATAAATGTATAGCAAATCCCCCAAACGCCACAATGTGTCTATAGAGACATTCCAAGCATGTATCATGAGAACCTCCTCATTCTCTACACTACTTTTGAAGACGCCAGCTTTGAGCAGCAAGACAAGAATAATCACAAACAACCACACGACGACGGGTGACCTCCCTGTTCCAGCTGGAAGCTTCTATCGCAAGCCTTTGACGCCAATTGCAAAACATATGCACAGGGTATATCATGTCCATATTTCCTATCCCACAAAACTACCTATTCAACCCTTCAGCACACGATGTGACCAGTGATCTCTTCTTCATTGTATATCCCCCAAATTGCGCCATCATGAGCCAGTCCGTGAAAATGATTTCGTGATTAGAATGTATTATAAGCTGCCGACTGGCTGGCTAATCTCGTTTCTCGCTGCCGTTTCTGCTGCTGCCTTCATACTGCGTGCCTTAGTTTGCTCTAATACGGTAGCGGCCCTCGTAACTTCGGGTGACGTAGAAGGCTGTCTTTGTGCGTTTTTCTGGGCTTTTTGGGGGCCGTTGGGCTGGGATGTCGATCCATTCGAGAATGGATGCGATTGATGCGAGTTTCGCTTAGCTCCAGATGGTGCGCTTGTTACACTGGCATGTATATGAGCTTCATGTTGGGCAGAATGCTGCCGTTGAAGAAGATGAGCATTCGATGGGTGATTGGGATTTGCCCACGGTGTCTGCTCAATGAACTGCTCTCCTGCAGGGCCGAGACTTTGACCAAATGGTAGTCCTCCATAATCCACATAATTAGGCCGATGGACTTGATGACGAGGCGCTGGCTGTCGATTTCTCTGGAATCTGGTTAGCCATACACACCATTCTTGGGTAGTATCGGTTGTTCACCGGGAATAACTTGCATTCATGGCTTCGAAGTCATCTTCTAATTCTTGAATAGATGCTCCTTTCATCTCTGGAGCAGCAGGCATTCCCTCGTACTTGGCTATCCCCGACAGTATAGAAACCTCTTTATTATACGCCAGTGCATTTCTAATCCTCTGCGTTGGGTCTTGGGGGAATCGGAGACCAAATTCGGGAACATTGTTGGCTTGCTTGCGGCGTTCGTGCTGTATATCGTACCACTGTTGGCCGAGTTCTGCTAGGATTGTCTCTCTCGATTCTCTAACAGATTGGAAGTATTGGGAATGAATTTGGGAGCGTCTAGCAACAGCCCATCTGTCCAAAGCTTCCACATTAAGTTCCAGTTCTCGGTTTGCAACACGAACTCTTTCGTCTCTTCGGGCGTCTATGCATTGCATCATAGCAAGGTATTCGGGATGTGTTGGGGTGTCGGATCGTAACATCGCTTCTTCTCGGTTTAACTGCTCGAGTCGTTCCTCGTAAAGTCTATGGCAATATTAGCTGGCCGTGATCGCGATCGTCGCGTGGAGACAAATATGGCCTACCTGTCTCTAAACGTTGAAAATCGTTTCTCGATTGCTGCCAACTGCTCGAAAGCGGCCTTTTTTCGCTCGACTGGTGAAATTTAATCAGCGCTAATGACTTGGTAACTAGGATCGAAACTATAAACATACGTTCTTCTTCATTTCTATGAGCTGCCTCTGCCTCTTCGTCTACGTCAGCTTCAACATGCTCTTCTTCACCTGTATGGGCACCGTCCTCATCGGGCGCCGGAGCACTCGTAGCTTCTTCTGAAGGCCTATCAGCTTCGGCGGGTTGTTCAGCAGCCTTGAGTTTCTTCGAGCCACTACGCGTCTGCTTCTTAGGTATAACCTCTTGGTCCGATTGGATTCCTTGGGCATGATCATCGCCGTCATCTTCGCCGGGCACGACATTGATAGCTTCATCGGCCGACGGCTCACCACTATTGGTATGTAAGGAGGGGTCTTCTTCATCTGCCATCTGTGTGTCGCCATCTATGTCTTGTCGACTAGGCGCGGGGACCGATCCGGTACGCTTTCGTAGCAGTTGAGGGACTTCAGAATTTTCAGCGGGCATGGATGATCGTTTTCGCTTCCTGCTTTCCACTTCTTGACTTGTAGCTTCGGCTAAAATGTCTAAGATTGGAGATTGGCGCTTCTGTGATGTCTTTGTCTCTTGCGCCGGCGGACTCGAAGCTATTGAATCCTCTTCTTCAAAGAGAGGCCCGTCGTCATCGTCCTTACCCTGCCCTAATCGTGTGTGGTTTCTTCGTAGTTTGCTTGGAGTACGCTCGTAGCTCTGACCGTCGCCTGACTTCTTTAGGACAATGTCCTTGTGTCGGGTGGGTATTCGGGGCGTGTCGTAGAGGCGTTCGGTCTCAGCTTCGGTGTCATTCGCGTCGGAAAGATCGTCAGGTGAGCTTACGTCTTCGTCGCGATTGTTAGGAGTCGTGTCGTTCAGATCATGCAAGTCATCTGGATCGGCATCCTTGTCTTCGACGTCGCTCAAAGGACTTGACCCGTCGTCGTCGGAGAGTGGTTCGATTGGCGGGGGAGGAATGGTGAGCGGCGCGGGCGCCGTGTCTCCAGTTGCCATTTTCTTGAAATAATAGTTACTGGGTTTCCACCGGTCGACTATAGGTCAAAATTGGTGTAAGGTATTGAAGAAAGCGTAGGCAAAAGGAGGAAGAGCGTATGTTGTTGGTTGTCGAGAAGGGAGAAGATGGGCAGAGGAGTTTTCAGAGCTCGTAGGGACGCGGAAGTGGAAAAAGGTAAATAATTAAGAAAGTAGATTTGGTATTGAGTAAAAATTTGGACCTTTGAAGGGTAGCTAAGACGTAGGCGATTTAAACGGACATGTTTTACAAAACGAGTGTCAGTTGAGTTGGGTGTCAAATAGTTTCGAGGAGAGGAAGAAGAATGGTGATGACCAAATTGGGGACGGAATCGCTTTGCTTTGCGCTCAAGCAAGTGCAAGTGCAAGCCTGCAAGTACGGGCTGGCTGTGACCGAATTTGGGTGCTCTCTGCCTTCCACCAAGCCCGCTGCAACAATGTACCTGTACCCCAACCCGCTAAACTAACGGCATTCTGGCAATCCCGACCTGAATAATGAAATTCGCTTATCGATAGCGCACATGCGCGGTACCTAGGTAGGTACATCTCAGATGTACCCAGGCTAGGCAAAATGTGAACGGTACCTGTTTTGATCGGATGTTAATTTTCTGGATTTAATTGGATCTACTCATGTAATAAGTTCCACAACAGACTCCACTAACGATAAGATAAGGAATTTGTCGTGGATGTACCTTTTTTTCTTTTTCCTCGCGCCTTGACTTGCAAATTGTTTCAATTGCCACTCAGTAAAACGTAGCTTCACAACCATTGAATTTGGGCGTAATAACCCAATTCGCACCTCTAAAATGGCACCATCGTAAGTAAATCGAAGTGATCTCCTTGTTGCGAACATACCGTATAATAACCAATACCAGAAAACTCGGTTTAACAGCTTCAACGAAAACCATTGACCCCACCCTAGACGCTCTATTTGCAAGCAGTGTAAGTTGAAGACCGCAGTTGTTAGGATGTATGTGAACTCACCCTTATTTAGACCGGTCCCGTCAAAGGTCCTTCCAAGACAAGATATTCCGAACTACTCCCTCTAAAGGAGAGAAAACCCTTGCAGAAACGACAAGATACCCAATTAGACGGGGATGAAGACGAGGATGAAGACGAAGATGAAGAGGGTGACGACAACAACTCGCAGGTTGATGATGAATCATTAAGCGAGCTGGGCGATGGCGAGATTGAAGAGGGACTTGAGGGGAGAGACTTGTCTTCAAACGATGAAGAATCCGAAGCCTCGGAGCCCACAGAAACGCTACCAGAGCCACAAAAGAAAGAACGGAAAAGGAAGCGCAAGGACGAACATGACGATTTAGAAGATAAGTATATGCGCAAGCTAGCCGAGGAAACTGAGAAGGAGATCCGATCCGATAAACGTCGTAAAGGCGAAGCTGGCCAGGCGATAAACGGTACGTCTACAGAAGCGAAAGACTCCGATGAAGACGAGGCTCCGTTGGTTCACGAGTCACTTCTGGAGAAATCAGAGGGCCATGGTGACGTCGAACTCGACAAAGCGAATCGTACCCTCTTCCTCAGCAACATCTCAGTTGAAGCTATCACCTCGTCTAAAGCGAAGAAGCTTTTGATGTCTCACCTTTCGTCTCCTTTATCCACATTGGACCCGGCCACCGGACCACATAAGGTTGAATCAATACGTTTCCGCTCAACAGCGTATTCCACGGGTGCCATGCCGAAACGAGCTGCTTTCATAACCAAATCTGTTATGTCAGCAACGACAAAATCCACCAATGCTTATGTTGTATATTCGACCCCGTTAGCTGCGCGAACTGCGGTTAAAGAACTAAATGGCACTATCGTCCTTGAACGTCATATGAAGGCAGATAGTGTAGCGCATCCTACCCCGGTAGACCATCGGAGATGCGTTTTTGTAGGCAACCTTGGTTTCGTGGACGATGAAACTGTTGTTAATACTACTGTTGAAGGGGAGACTACAACAAAAAAGCGTACAAAGGTCCCAGCAGACGTTGAGGAAGGCCTATGGCGGGTCTTCAATCAGCATGCTGGCAAAGTGGAGAGCGTTCGCGTTCCTAGGGACCCTAAAACGAGAGTGGGCAAAGGTTTTGCCTACGTGCAATTTTATGACGGCAACCATGTTGAATCGGCCTTGTTACTCGAAGGAAAGAAATTTCCCCCCATGCTGCCAAGGGCGTTGCGTGTATCCCGTGCTAAGGATCCGCGCAAGACAGCCCTCGCTGTGGAACGAACAGTAAAAGCAAAACTCGAAGGGGCGAATGAAAACGATAAGAAGTCGAAGAGCACAAAACACAAGCCAAAAATAACCTCAGAGCAATTATCTCAAGCAGGCAGAGCTGGTAAACTTTTGGGTAGAGCCGCCGCCGCAAGGCAACGAAGTGGGTTCAAGGGATCACAAAGCAGACACTTTAAGGCCAGAGAGGAGACTATTACAGGGGAAGGTTTCAAGACTCCGGAACAAATTGTCTTCGAAGGTCGTAGAGCCAGCCAAAAAGATGGCAGGCCTAAAGACATGAAGTTTGGTAAAGTCAGAGGGAAGAAAGGTGTAGTGAAGGCGAAGACGAAGAGTCGAGGCGCCAGAAGAGCAGCTGAGTGGCGGAAGAAGGACTCGAAGTAAAGAAAGGGAGGATCCGTATTCATATCAAGTCCGTATGTGCATCTGTGATGGATGCCTTGCGCAACAACTTCGATACTCAAAGAGATGCACTCATAATACTAGTAGTGAAGAACATTGAATATGCCATATGACAATGAATTAATTTCGTGCTTGATGACATGAAGGTTGAAGTAGGTACGCCACATTGTACATAATTCGTCCATCCAATCAAAAGTCACCCTATACAGGAGTATCCAATCGTTGAAATATCGGTGCGAGCTAATGCATGTTTGGCCTAGATATTTCTAGCTTAGCTTCGCTTCAGCGCAGGCAGACCCTTGTCTAGATGGGAAGCTATCTAGCAGTTTAGGTACTTTACCAACGGGGGCGGTGTGAAGACGGGATGTACAGGTATGTGTTGTTTCCTGTTGGGTCAACTGCATATGGTGATTTGTTCAAGGCTATCATTCTTCGGGTCTACCAAAATGAAATAAATATATTGACCAACAGAAATTCAACAGAGAAAATACGTAAATACATAATACGTTGCGTAACCTGCAAGGGAGAAGTTACACACACGTAGTTTAATCCCAAGGTTATCAACATCATCGCGTAACCGCCTAGGTACCTCAATAGGGTATATTAGTTACATATGTACATATGCAGCCGGAATTGTTCTAGCTGTCTAGGTATTATTTCCCCCCCCACGGCATCAAATCATATTGAGCAACCCCTGAAACCTTGCCCCTCATATGCTGAATTGATCAATCGAAACATCTGCGGAGTTGTAACTTGCACCTGAATATTCACCACCTCTTTCGTTCCCCACACAAAAACCTACGACCAGTTCTTAGAAAACCCACACCTCCTTTTTTACACTCTTTCAACTACCAAGCGCTGTGCGCATCTTCCCGACTCGATTCTTTCCTCTCAGATCCGTCTCCAATCTCACGTCGCGGTTCTCCAATCGTCTAGTTTTTGATACTACGATTTCATCATGAAGGGCGAGGTACGTTGAGAGCTAGCCTACTGACCATAGTATCCCTTATGCCAATCACTCGTGATACTTGTCCAAGTTCCCTATATTTCAATTACCCTGTCTGTAACGAAATATTCTAGATATGCCTCTACCTGCACTTAGGACATATAAACACACGTCCAATTATCAATATTGGTCCTTCATACAACTAACATTCTACCTCTTTTCAGATCCTCCACCTTCACTTGGGCCAGGCTGGTACCCAGCTCGGTAACAGCGCTTGGGAGCTGTAAGTGTTACACCGCTCTGTCGCGCAAGCTCAGTACACAAGAATTTTATAGCTTACAACCATCTCCAGGTACCTTCTCGAGCATGGTCTCGGAGCTGATGGTCGACCGGACCCTAATGCGAAGGATGTTCTTGACGGCGGTTCTTACGAGACCTTCTTTACCGAAACTAGCAGCGGCAAATATGTGCCCCGTTCCATCTTCGTCGACTTGGACCCTTCACCCATTGACGAAATCCGCACCAGCGGCTACCGCCAACTCTTCCACCCCGAACTTTTGATCAGCGGAAAGGAGGATGCTGCGAATAACTACGCTCGTGGTCACTACACCATCGGTAAGGAGATGGTCGACAACTGTCTCGACCGAATTCGACGTGTCGCAGGTGAGTTTTATGCTTTGGAATAGCTTCGATTTTGCTCTGGGATTTAGCTGACGCGTTCGCCAGACAACTGCAACTCGCTCCAAGGCTTCTTGATCTTCCATTCGTTCGGTGGTGGTACTGGATCCGGTTTTGGTGCCCTCCTCCTCGAGCGCCTCTCCACCGAATACGGCAAGAAGTGCAAGCTTGAGTTCGCTGTTTACCCGGCTCCCCGCATGTCCACAGCTGTCGTCGAGCCTTACAACGCCGTTCTATCTACTCACAGTACCATCGAAAACTCCGACTGTACTTTCTTAGTTGATAACGAAGCTGTCTACGACATCTGCCGACGTAACTTGGACATCCCTCGTCCCAGTTATGAGCACCTGAACCGTCTGATTGCTCAGGTTGTCAGCTCTATCACCTCGTCCTTGCGATTCGACGGTGCTTTGAACGTCGACTTGAACGAATTCCAGACCAACTTGGTTCCGTACCCGCGTATCCACTACCCGTTGATCAGCTACGCACCCGTCATCTCAGCCGCCAAGAGTGCGCACGAGAGCTTCAAGGTCCACGACTTGACCTTCCAATGTAAGTTCCAACGTAGCATGGACAAGAGTTTCCTAGTGGGCTAATCATTTCCTCAGGTTTCGAACCCAACAATCAGATGGTTGTTTGCGACCCCCGAAACGGAAAGTACATGGCCGTCGCTCTCCTCTACCGTGGTGACGTCGTCCCCCGTGACTGCAACGCCGCCATCGCAGCCCTTAAGGCTAAGGCCTCCTTCAACCTAGTTGAATGGTGCCCGACTGGTTTCAAGTTAGGTATCAACTACCAGAAGCCAATGGCTGTTCCCACCGCCTCTCCATCCGACGGCGGTCTCGCATCTGTCGACCGCTCCGTTTCTATGTTGTCGAACACGACCGCCATCGCCGAGGCCTGGTCTCGTTTGGACTACAAGTTCGATCTCATGTACAGCAAGCGTGCTTTCGTGCACTGGTACGTGGGTGAGGGTATGGAGGAAGGCGAGTTCTCCGAGGCCCGTGAAGATCTCGCGGCTTTGGAGAAGGATTACGAAGAGGTTGCGGCTGACAGCTTCGAGCCCGATGAGACCGAGGCCGAGTACTAAGCTTTTTACATTGAGCGTATAATACCCCCCAGGTTTCCCTTTCCATCAACTCCTACTCTTTGTTGTACAAACCCGCGCACACCTAATCCATTGAATTTTTTTTTCTTCGACCTTCGTGTTGGCAAAGGAGACTACTGTCTATTCTGGAGTCGCGAAATAGAGAGTAATGGAAAAAATGCGTGGATATTCAGTTGTTCTTGGACGAATCGGTAGGGGTGGCCTCCTTACAACGGTTGTTTTATCTTTGACTCGGAAATCGCCGATGATATGATGGAAATGCCCATAGGTGGTAGATGATGGACAGAGTAAACCTCGTTTTTTTCGCTTTATATTTCGCCCCCAGAATAGCTGCACAAAATTCTGCAATGTTGAGTAGCTTGATGAATGAAACCTATAATTCCCCCTTAAATCTGATATGAACTTCGGAATTTAAATAGTTTTTAAAGTGATTGCGATGGAACGGAATGACCGGTTAATAATGAGTGTTTTAATACTGATGCCTACTAGAATTAAGGCTTAATCAGCGTGAGTAAGACGCCCAGGCAGCGCTATCCCAAGCTATTTCTAACTACCTAGGTACAACAGTGAATATTTTACGGGCAAAAAGCCTCGGTAAACGTAGTAGAGATTAAAGAAAATTGTCATCAATCATCAAAGCCTTAGTTACCTAGGTAGTCATGAAGAAACCGATAAACGCTTTGAAGAAAATAAAAGAATAATTCGTAACCCTAAGCAACGAACCCGCCCTCTTCCTCGGCAGACCCTTCCACGTCCGCCGCCTCACTAAGCTGGCTAAGCTCGTTGAGCAAGGCCATACCGTGATATGCGTTCTCCGCGAAGCCTTGCAAGGTGTTGAGGGTGAATTGGTTGCCATTGGGGAACTGGCCGTCGATCGAGTGCTGCCAAGAGGATGTCGGACTCGGGTGGGTAGCTAGATAGTATCGCGCGTCCCAGTCTTCCAGTTTGAGTGGATTTTCTGTGCGAGAGCGATCGGCTAGGGCCCATGCGTCTTGCAATGGTTCCTCTGGTAGGTAGACAACTGGAGATCCGTCGGGAGCGGGCGGTTGTTCTATCCCCATGGCTACTTCGACGAAGCGCTGCTCCAAGGTACGTGAGAGATCGCATGGGTCTGCTAAGTCGAATTTCGGCCCGCTCCCGGATAACTGGTAGAGAGCGTTTAGAATGAACTGATCATAGCCTAGGTTAGCAACGCGGCAGACGCGTAACCTGGATCGGATCTGGCGTAGATACGTCGCTATCCAGCGCTGATCGGACTGAGGCCGCATATTGGGAAGGCCGATCCAGAGGTTACAAGTACTATGATGGGGATTTTGTGGTAGATGTACGGCTTTAAGCCAGACTCCATCTAAGTACAGTTCCCGGAGGGACTTAACGAAGTACTTGAACATCGATAAAAGGTCGCAACCCATGACTTCGACTTGGCGCAGTTCCAAGAAGGTCAAGTTCGGTAGAACTGATTTAGGAGGCTTCGTAATAGTCGGTATACATCTGGATTGCCAATCCTCGATGCTTGCGTCTAGCAGTGAGGTGACCTTAACTTTCACCTCGGATTTCTCGATGGCGTCTAGATCGACAAGACATAGGCTTTCGAGCTTCTCTGCCTTTCCTATCATTTCCCATAGGCGATTTCGGAAGCTGATGGTGTGAGTTTGGCCCTCTTCATTTCGCCGTACCGACATAAACAAGTGCCGAAGATCACTGAAAACAGTAATGATGTTCTTGACGTCTTGCGGGTTACGCCAGAGGCTCACTACCGATATATTGGATAGATTTTCAAGAACCAATGTTTTTAAGGTCCGTGACTCCTCAGGCCGCTGTACCAGCGCCTCAAAGCTATTCCCTAGTATTATTGTAGCGGCTCGATACTGTCTCGGATATACCAACTGGAAAGGAAGGTTCAGCTTCACGGCTTCGACGTTCGGGGCATATTCGAGCATGGTGCCAAGTTGGCGACGGTAGTCAATCTCGGTGAAGGACGTCTCGGTCATGCAAAATTTATGTCGTAAATTCGCCGTGAAGTCATCCATCGCGCCAATATGAGAAAACAATTCGCTTAGAAATCTAACTTCACCTACAATATCACATGGTACTCTTAGCACACACAATCTAGCATTAATTTAAAAGTGTATTAGAGGTAGGTAGGTAGATAGAATGCATACCCTCATCCCTCACCACCATCATGTCGAGATATAGAGCCCGACATACAGGGCCAGCGCGGCACAATGCATCATCGTCCAGCGGATTCGTCTCTCTCGTGGACTTATTTAGACGCGTGAATTCCAGTTGGAGAGTTCGAAGAGCAAAGGGTTTCAAAATCTCGTCAAACATTTTGCAAGTAGTGCGCAGCTGTAAGAGATCGTTCTTGTTGCCATAGAGAGCTATGACAGTCCATTCGAGTATGTGAAATAGGATCTCTGGTGGAAGTTGATCCATTAAACCCATGTTGACTGAATGTATTTCGGTATACCAGGGATTTCCAGACAAGGATTGTCGTTTATGCTGCACTATTCCAAGGGTATAGACGAGACGCAGAAGAATAATCAAAAAGATAGAAAGATACTTCCGGGCTAGGCATCAAATGTCGAGGTTTGTTAAAGTTAAAGTTCATTGTTATCGTGATGACTTCCCTAATTGCTAGGTACATATGTATGTATCCAACCTTACGGAGTTTACAAGAGACCAGCAAATGAACCACAGCAGGGGCGTCCTTGCTTACTGCCCCGCACCTCCCAAAGCTACCCCCCAGACCAATCAACACTGTCCGGTCTCATCTCATCTAAACAAACCATTTCCATTCTATTATTTTATCTATCAAAACACCAAGTCTCTAAACCATCATCTTCTGCATGATTCTATGGAAACACGTACTATTCAAGAATTCCGATGCATCAATGTCCCCAGTTCTAGTGTATAACACCATTCGACGTGATAGTTAGGAACTAACCGGCCAAGAAGCTCGTATTCTATAGGTTTTATACCACCGAGCCTAACTCATCCCATCGCCGAGCATTGTGTGCCAGCCAAGTCGCACACAGCTTCAAGGACATATCTTACATGAACTACATACCTACCTAAAGTTTACGCATTCACATATCTACGGCTTTAGAACCTATCTATGGGATGCCAGGCGTACGTTTAAATCTAAGCGATTCACTGGCCTTGTCCACGTGTTTCGACAACCCGAAACGGATTCATTTCAGTCCGACTCATAGTGAAGAAATTGTGTGAATCCAGATGATAATTTTTTGCTACAATGGCCAGCCCTCATTTAAGACCATTCGGTCCTTCTGTTCATCTTGACCTTTGCGGCGTAGGTGAGCCGTGGTGAGACGCAGATGTTTGACCAAACTAAGACCTCCGTACCAGCAAACGCCCCTAAGCCACCAACCATTGATATAGCACTATCATTCTAGAGCATCTCGAGGTTTTTTTCAACACGCTCGTGATCCTCGAGCTTCTAACATACAGCTCAATGTCATGGCTCCAGCCATTTCCGTATCGAACCTATCGAGGAAGGGCGGCATAATAGCGTTGATAACATTGGTCTTCGTCTGGTCATTAGCTGCTATAGTTAGGCAGCTGTCATTCGTTAGTCGCCAACCTCGGAATAGAGACATTTCAAAACTAATCCCGTCTTAGTTCCACCAACCACTCAGCCTCGCTCTGCGTCTGCCTCTAAGAAGACATGATCCTCCTTTAATTCTCTACGCCTACAAGGAATCCCAGAACGCGCGCGAAAATCTAAAGTTCTTCCTCGATCAAGGTCTTCATGGTTCAGCAGACTTTATATTCATTCTCAATGGCGAGACCGACGTCGCTGATCTCATCCCGAAAGAAAAGAACATCCGTGTCGTCCAAAGACCCAATGTCTGCTTTGATCTAGGTGCATTTGGTGAGGTACTAAGAGCGGATGACCTCTGGAAAAAATATCAGCATTTCATCACGATAAATGCGAGTCTGCGAGGTCCATTTATTCCTCATTGGAGCAAGCAATGTTGGAGCGATGCCTACCTAGATCGTGTGACGGATGATGTGAAATTGGTTGGTATGACAATTAACTGCAGCCCCAAGCCACATGTTCAATCGATGATTTGGGCGACCGACAATATCGGAATGGAGTTTCTACTCTATCCGCCATCAAATTCGTCCGAGCTCGATCCCTACGGAACCGCGAACGATACGGTCGCATTTGGTGGCTGTTATGAGGAGTTTCATCAAGCCATCCATGCTGAAGTCGGCGCCACTAGCGTCATCAGAAATGCAGGATACCAAATATCGGCAATGATGTCGGCTTTTCAAGGCGAACAGTACCTCGACAAGTGCGACGAACATCCGAAGGACTTACTATACGACGGCAAATATTTCGGTACCAACCTTCACCCATACGACACTATCTTTTTCAAGGCAAATCGCGGCATCGATCCGACCACTTTAGATCTACTCTCACGTCTACATTTGTCTGGCTACCCCGGAAGAAGTTGGGAGTTGTGCCGACGATGATTGTATGCCCAAAAGCAAGAGTAAATTATGTACATATCGTTCAGAGGGCGGATTGCTACTTAGGTCAGTCTTCCCGCCCACTAATAGACTAGTAAAGACGCATGTCCCTTTTCAACTATGTTGTGATGTATTGACCATAAGGACACCATCCTAGCAGTAAATCCCAACTTCCCATGTAGCAAAAATAACCTACCAGTTCATAACTCTAGCCAACTCCGTCTGACTGGACTGGTACGGCAATACCGTCAATCTTCTATGTTATTACAGCCTTACGGCTCTCAGATTACAACCTCCACGATGTAACCGCATAACTATTAATAAGACCAAGCCAACAGAGTTATGAGGTCCATTTATAAGCAAGCGCCTTGTTTCTTTCCCCAGATCGACCCGTAGTAGCAGCTTCTCCTCGGCACTACGACCACATTATCGGAAATATGATTTTCTTCGGGATTTGATCGGCCTTTAAGATATTATATCGATTTTGACGTATCGTTATTAGATAATTGCTTCAGCGGTTATGGAGGTTGATTTCAAAGCCTCATGTTCTTGTTATAAAAATTATCCACTTAGATATCCTTACTCCGCACCACCCTCGTTGCATCATCGACACCATCAGTCAACACCTTTATAATCAACCCTTCGTATGAGCCCTCATGGTTCAATATATTAAGACTCCAGAGTTATAGTGAAAGCAGTAGACAAAATATTATAACAATTCACCTTCAACATGTCTTTAAGCAAAGAGAACGCCGAGGCCCGCCTTAAAGCTCGGAAGCCAGTCCCAAAGCCGACACCGGCGTACCTCCCCGTATCCGGGTCACCCCTCACAGTGGACAAGGACCTATACAATGGCATCGCAACAGCCCCGCGATCACTTATAGAAGAGTTCACGATTCCGATTAGATCGGGGAGAGCTTGGAAAGCACCCGCTGGATCTATTATTCGGATCAGCACCCCGGAAGGACCACAGGTCGGCGATTTAAATATCTGGAATGCGCATAACCCTCGAGAAAAATTCTGGGCGGCTCGGACTAAGCAATTGCATGCATCCCACGTTTCGACGGGCGATAGACTGTGGTCTTGCTTGCCGTTTATGCGACCGCTTGTTACTATCGTCGGCGATAGTCTATCGTGGTACGGCGTCGATGAGAACGGCGGCAGAGTTCACGATTTATTAGGCACGGGATGCGATGGATATATCTCTAGCGTATTGTCTGGGAAGGGATACGATTTCCACTGCCGCTCTAATCTCACGCGAGCAGTGCTCCCGTTTGGTCTAAATGAGGGCGATGTGCATGATGTGATTAATTTATTCCAAGTCACAGGTCTGGATGAGCAAGGCCGTTACTTCATGAGTCCGTGTCCGGCAGAAAGGGGAGATTATATTGAGTTCCTGGCTGAGCAGGATGTGTTGATGGCATTGAGTATGTCCCATTTCTTTTCACAGAACCCCGTTTATGTGGTTGTGTTACTGAGACCAAACAGGTACTTGTCCAGGCGGTGACCTATCGCGATGGGGCTTCGGAGCCGACAGTGAAAAGGAGATGATTAAATGCTGCCGGCCTCTGCATATCCAAGTTTACAAGCTCGAAGACGAGAACCTATTGCAGAAGAATGGGTGGAAACCTGCTGAGCCTGCACCGTACAAGGGACTGCATGGCTTGCTCGTACCCGAGGGAGAACACGATGCTGCATCTGTCAAATCGTAAAATTAAGTATCGTATCGTATCCATATGCTAACGTTCTAAATCATAAATAAATGCAAGATAATGCTGCATCCATATCCTAACCTTAAGCACATACAAAATTCAAGAAATGTACCATACGTGCGTATCATATCCACTAAATCCCTCGTATCCCAACTCAACGTACAGGTAGCCGTCACGACTGTCCGTTATACGCCAAGATATTATTAACAGACAACGAATCCGTCACAATATTCGCCGTCGCGAGCTTCTGAATGCGATCGCATAACGCAATCGGATCCTTCGCGCCCTCGAGAGCTAAGAGATAGGCTCCTAGACCTGTGATATGCGGTGTCGCCATCGAAGTCCCGGAGATTACGCCTGTGCTGCCGTTGTTCCATGTAGATAGGATATCCACGCCAGGCGCAAAGACATCGATTAAAGCGCCCCAGTTTGAAAATGAGGCGCGCGCATCGGATGAGTCGGTTGCGCCGACTGTGCATACTGTTGGCTCGGAAGCTGGGGAAAAGAGAGAGGCATCTAGGTTGCCGTTACCTGCGGCGACGGCTAGGAAGAGACCTGCTTTGACGGCGGCGGCGGCGGCGGTGTTGACGGATGAGGAGAGGATACGTAGGGCCCCGAGGGATATGTTGGCTACTGCCTTTCCGATTCCTGCAATTAACTCGTTAATTATGACCATCCCAATTGTGAAAAGGAAGGTGTGATATTCACGTTTATTCGAAGTAGCATCATCAACAGCCCACTGAAGCCCCGCGATGACCTGGCTGATCGCCCCCGATCCATCCGCATTCAAAACCTTGACCGCGACTAGATTCGCCTTCTTAGCCACACCATAAGTCGCAGAGCCGGTAGTTCCGGCTACGTGTGTGCCGTGCCCGTTCTCATCAGTGTCGTTTGTGTTGCCATCGACGAAGTTGGCGCCCCATTTGGCACGACCCTCGAATTCTGGGTGATCGATGAAAATCCCCGTGTCGATGATGTACGCGTATGTGCCCTCGCCCGCGGACTCGTCGTATCTGTACTCGGAGGTGCCCGGTGTCCGGCTGGAGATCCGTGCTAGACCCCATGGCGCGGCGCTTTGCGTTGTTAGGGATGCGATGCTTATTTTTGCGTCGGGCTCGATATAAGCTACCTATAGAATTATTAACCATGTCTGTTACTGAGTAAATTAGGGCTTAGACTCACTTCGGCTAGATCCGCGATCGAGTTAATTACATCGTCGGACGCGGAAATCGAATACCCGTGGAAATCGCCAATCTGGTAAGTGTGTTTAGGAGCTACACCACCCAAGAGTTTGGTCACCGAGCTGGCGATAACATCGGCCGAGTTATCGGGTTTGAGGACGGCAATCCATTTACCCGGGATGGCTTCACCACGTGCCTCTAAGATGGGTGCCGCGAGGGCAGCAAACGGGGCTATCAAAAGAGTGCCGAAGAACTTCATTATGGAATTAGGTATTTCGGTTGATTAGGAATTACAGTAGTAGGCAATTCAGTCTCTAACTTGATGCTGCCCGTGAAAAGTAAAAGGGGACAATACCTAAGTCTGGGCCGAAAGACTATAATTATTATAACGCCCGGAGAGAGTATTGAGATATGGATAGATAGATGAGGGAGTGAATAGCTCAACTTTAAATACGCTTAAGTTCAAGTGATTCGGTTGCGAGCTATTGTCACGAACAGGGAAAAGGAGATGTGCACACGACATGAATTCCCCTCAGCACGCAACCAAGACGCCCGATAATGCAGGGTCGGCATGGCATTGCAACTCTTTTCTGTCACGATGCATTAGGTATCGTATATCCCTAGCTATTCCATCCCGTCGTGACACTGCGTTGCTTGCTTAGACCTCCACTCACCCCTTTTTCGGGAAAAAACAGTTGAAGCTCCAAGCCGGGATAGGGTCGCGTCAGATGTGGTTCCCGCCAAGGTCGCGCCGGGTTCCCCTCAGAGTTCGAGTGCCGGGAACCTTAAGGATGATCTTAATGATAAAAATACTTCTTTTGGTATTTCTAGCGACGGACGTGCGGTAGTTAACCGTATTCACCCCTCACTCTTGTGGCGGTCATCCGGCGTCTTTTGATAACCTAAACACCTCAAGCTGTTAACTATTGAAGCTTATCAGTGGATTTCTCGTCTTTATAGTCTAGTTATGTTCATATAAAGTCATACCGCTTCTCCCTTCGACCCTTTTTGGGATAGTATTCAACCTGTATTAAAGATATTAGGTAAACAATCATAGCTGAAGAATTGGAGTATCTATGTGAAAGTCCAATCTTGATTGAGGATCTGTTTATCGTTCTTTTTAAGATGCAATATGGTGTAATACCTATGAGAACACTCGAAATTCTTATTACCATGGTTCTTGTCCGGATCATTAGATTAAAGACCCTTGAGGCCCACATATACAATATCCTTGAACGGTACCTAGTCAGCAGATACGACTTCATATAGTGCGCATATACATGATGAAGATAACGAGCATCAAGGAATAAGGTGGGGGTTTGATTTATACGAAGAGTTGGGTGAGGTCCGAGAGATGAGCACATCCAAAGTAAAGAATTGGACTCGATATCGAATGGCAAGAGTCACAAACATCAGTCTCAATCAGAGTTAGAAGGGGTGCATGGTGGTTTCTATCAGATGAAGGTTATTCTAAATATCTAAGTAGCTGGAGACTAAAAGCATGATTCTACCTGGGTAACTACATGTTGTGAAGACATGAAGAATACACCTATGTAAGGGGAAAAAAACGAACATCTAATATTTCTTAAGCTATTCAAACGCGTTGGTCTGCAATAATGCTTAGTAAACCAGGTTGAGTTTTGCTCAGAACTCCAGGTACCAAACAGATAACGAAATACTTGACAATCATAGAACCAGCTCAATCTGTCCAGCATCTGTTATGAAGTCGCAGACACCATACCGCCTCGCCTGTAAGCTGAGTAAGACGTTAGTTTGGATGCCATAATCACCATTAAGGGGTTGCACAAACCTCCACTCCAAGTTCCCGGTATTGATCATCCGAAGGGCATCGATGGCTTTCGAGACGGAATCGACCTCATCGGGGCCCATAGGAAACTTCGATAATAACGTGTCGGCCGCGCGATCAAACTCGCCAACGAGGATTTTGAGGTGGGCGAGTGACATTTGCACCGCCGCGTCAAGGTTATCCACTTGGGCGTAGAGTATGGCAATGGAGCTCAGCACACTCCCTGCTTTCTGTCGTGAAATGTCAATTCAAAACATTCATGCATACTTTCCCAAGATATTGTGCGACTTACCATCTCTTTCTTGAATGATACCAAGTCATTTACACTAGCCTTGTATCAGTTGTCTCTCTATATCATATGAAGCGCTGCGGACATACATCGAGTTGATGATAATAGTGGTCACCCAAAGGGTCTCAAATACCGCTGAGTTGACCAATTTGGGGGGTAACTTGGCTTGAGTAGCAAACCTAGTTTTCTGTCAGTACTCCCACCAATACAGGGCGTCGTTTTTGATACATACTCAGTGACGGCGAGTAATGCACCCATGCCACTCGTCAATATCCTCACCTCCCAGTATCTCTTGAGGCTGGGCAACTTGTCGCTCCGGTTCGCCTCTGCCTCAAGGACCGTCGAATCAATGTATTCTTCGAAGTGGGCTAACACGGTTCTTCGCTGCTCTATACGACAATCCGAGAGTTAGTTGCTAGACCAATGGTGAAAAGGTTCTGAAACTTTACCTTCATCGTAAACCTTGCATACTTCCTCGCCGATGCCCCTGAACCCGAGAATTAGAGGGTTGGTTATGGCCATTTTCTCCTCTGGTCCTGCTAAGCCGAGCGACTGGCGTACGAGAACCTTTGTATCACCACGAAGTCCTTCGGAAGCTTCCGGGTCAGGGGTGAGCTTCTCGACGAGATCATCCCAATAGGCGAACCAGATAATTAAGTCTATTAGGACTCGATAGTGATCCTTCGGAGTAGTTGGCCACCATCTACTTGCGTATCAAATTTTCTGCATTTTGGGGGGGCTGATGACCGAGGGGTCCGAAGGGGTGAACTTACGATGCTGTCAGCAAAGCTGGGTTCATATCATTGAATGCTCTGCGGGCTTCCTCCTTCATAGATTGTCTACTGGCTATCAATATACTTCCGAAATGAATCAAAGGGAATTTCCTTACGCAGCAAGCCGATTGTCAACCTCTTCTTTTACCTCTTGGTAGTTCTCGTTCACTCGGGATGGCCAATGTGCGAAAATCGGGCGTATGTCTGGGATAACGAGTTTTTGGCCTTTGAGCCTCTTCGCTAGAAGTTCTTTTTCGCTGTGACTAGACATACTTGCAAATATAATAGAGAATGTTCTCGCAAGGCGGTAGGAACGCGTTGATGGAGATATCTAGGTTCATGTTCATACAATCCACGAAGGGCACCGACATTTATACTGAAAATCATAGGTGACAATCTAAGATCTGATCGCATACTTTGCAGAGTAGGGAAATTTCGTCTCCAATATATTACCTGCATGAGGACGAGCTTGCTCCCATCGATCGCTGAATGGGCAGCGGGATAGTGCTTCTCGATCAACAGATGGGAAATGCAGTTCAGCTGTGCGTAATATAAACCTAGTCAGTAAGATGCGTGCTGAATGACATTGGACACCTCACGGCTAACCAATATCTAAGACGACGTGCAAGTTAACCATCTCCGTGTCACGTCTGGTTTATCAGCGAACAACGCTCAATGATGTTTCACAACCTCAAAATATCCATGAGCCTCTGATTAAAGTAATAAATATGTCTTAGTAGACGACGCCACCAGTCAGCACTATAGTTCTACGACAGAAGAATCGATATCAAATATCGGTATGATCTTCTGCGTAAATGAGTAACCCTCAAGTAAGCACCTGAATCACCTACCTAGGTAGGATGAAAGCGCATATAGTATCTCCCCTTCTCCGGGGCCCTTATGATCTAATGTCCGAGTCACAAAGTAGCAACAGCAGCTAGGGCGTTAGGTTTATCGTTAGATTAAACGATATTCTCTTCATAATGCTTGATAATTCTCTACCCACCTAGGTCCGAATTATTAGAGGTATGACGGATTTCGGGTTCGGTAATAAATGGAGTTTCTAGGGGGCGGCCAAGGAGTGAAGGCATCGTCGATGACGTAGTACAGAGCTCATCGGAGTAGGCCGAACTCGGTTTTCCGATTTCGGATCGGATCAGGATCGGATAAGGGCTGGCAAGGAGCTGGCCCAAATAGGACCGAGCCGCTGTATCTTACCTAAGACGCCCCTCGGCATCTTCGATCTTGTATCGCTACATATTAGTAATCTCGGGCTTTTAAAAACTTTTTCTGGATTTTCTCACCGTGGTACATATATAAATGTCGGTAACTAGACGGCAGCTAGCGGCTCATTCAGCTCCCCTCATACCTTTGCTAATGCGACAAACGACAGGGAGACATCCGGTGAAGACGTCAAGCTGCCTCGTTTGGGGACGGTGAAAGCTCCGCGGAGTCAGACTCGTCTCGGCGATAGCCTTGCTTAGGTAGTGGCTTGTCGCTCTAAGCCAAGCACCCTAAAGCCTCAAGCTTGGTTGGAGTCGTCTGGGGTTTTCAAGACATGCCTTCAAAAAAAGGCAAAGTCGACAATTTCTACTTTTCGCGGGTATACCACATCGGAAAAGGGAAATGGATTCGGGATCATTATCCCGAACGTGGAGTATACCAAGACTTGTTGTCTGTCTAGGTCACTACTTAGGTAGTCCTCAAGGCGGGGTTAAAGAGAACCATCACCTATAAGCCTGTCGTTAAGGAAATGATCTGAACTATTATAAGACAGCATGTCTCGCATCTACGTGAAACGTCCATAATTGACGGGCCTCAATTGGTTCACTGCCTTTCTAACCGGGTCAAAGGAGAAACAAAGATGCAACCGTTTCACTATTTGGTGTACGCCTTAGCTCTCCTCCAGCTAGGTGGAGTGTCAGCAGAGAACTCAACTTTTCAAAACCCGATAATCAGTGGATTCCACCCGGATCCGAGCTGTATTTTCGTGCCCGAGTTCGATAGTACATGGTTCTGCGTGTCATCAAGCTTCCTCGCCTTTCCGGGTCTGCCCATCCATGCTAGCAAGGACCTGATCCACTGGAAACATGTTTCCAACGCCTTCAGCCGCGCGGATCAGCTCCCGGGCATGGCTTTCCTGCCGAAAGCGACAAGCGGCATCTATGCGCCAACACTCCGTTTTCGCGAGGGTATCTTCTACCTTACGACCACGTTAGTGAACCAGCAGCTCCCACGCGTCAACGATTCACGATGGGACAACTTCCTCCTAACGACCGAGGACCCCTATACGTCTGACGCATGGTCCGACCCGGTGCATTTCTCTTTCCCAGGGTTCGACCCAAGTCCCTTCTGGGACGAGGATGGCAAGACGTACGTCTCCGGCGCTCACACCGCAGCTTACTACCCAGGAATCATGCACGCGCCGCTCGACCTAGAAACAGGTGAAATCGGCGAGATCATCATGCCCTGGAACGGGACAGGCGGTGCATCACCAGAAGCGCCGCACATCTTTAAGCGCGATGGGTGGTACTACCTGCTCCTCGCCGAAGGCGGGACACGTGAGCACCACATGGTAACCATGGCGCGATCACGCAGTCTCCAAGGGCCGTACGAGCCAGCACCCAATAACCCCCTGTTAACCGCCGCCAGCGACACTTCATCCTACTTCCAAGCCGTAGGCCACGCCGACCTGTTCCAAGACGCAAACGGAAATTGGTGGGGTGTCGCACTCGCAGTCCGCGCGGGCGGATCCTACGGTGAAGCGCCGTATTCCGCGAACTTCCCCATCGGGCGAGAAACCGTTCTGACGCCAGTAACCTGGGACGAAGGCGGGTGGCCGATATTTACGCCTATTTCAGGTACCATGTCCGGCTGGCCCCTCCCCGAAACCGCCGTACCTTCACAAGGCGAAGGGCAACTCAGCGACGCCGATGATAACATTACCTTCGCGCCAGGAACCCAACTCCCAATCCACTTCATCCACTGGCGTCTCCCGAAATTGCGGAATTATGTCGTGTCCCCACCAGGCCACTGGAACACCCTCGCTCTCAAGTCCTCCGTTCTTAACCTCACCGGTTTTGATGGGGACTTTGCGCTTGGTCGCGGCCAGACGTTTGTCGGACGGCGGATGGCCCACTCGCTCTTCCGGTTTCGGATTGATGTTGATTGGGCGAATTCGTTGATGAAGGAGGAGATGGAGGTCGGTGTTTCGGTGATTCAGGACCAGGCGCAGCATTTTGATCTTGGTGTTGTTATGCTTAAGTCTACTGCGCAAGGGAGTAGTGGAGAGGTGAAGCCGTATTTGCGGTTTAGAGGACACTCCGAGACGCCGTATCATGGGCTTCTAGGCGCGCCGAGCGAGGTTTACGAGTTACCGGAAGATTGGGCTGGGCGTAAATTGACGTTGCAGATTGAAGCTGTGAATAGCACGCACTTTGCATTCTCAGCTGGTCCGGCTGGTGACGAAGGTGAGCTACGTGTTTTTGGGTATTGTCGGGGTGATGAGTTGGTGCCGTACTACTCAGGTGTTGTTCTCGGAGTCTACGCAACTACAAACGGGAAATATGGCGAAAATGCATTTGAGACTTACGTGTCGAATTGGCGATACACAGGTCTAAAACAATTTACATCACAAGAAGATGTTGATGGCTCAGATAGAGGTTGATAGGCATTCGATGTATATAGTCCGTGTACGCGGCTACTATACCAATTCAAAAAATCATCACCCAATCTTCATTCTGACTACCAAATAAACTATTACGCTATCTCTACGTATCGTAGTATGGGTATATTAGCGCTCAGTCCCAAGCTAATAAACAAGTTTAGTTACGCCGACGTGTCTCTGGCGATAGAACAGCCATCCGACCGCCACAAGAACAATGAAATTGTTGGCGAAGCAAGAAAGTCAAGCCTGGCTTATTGTTGATCAGGGCAAGATCCTCCATAACGCTTGCACAACGAGCGCATCCTCTCCACGACGCTTGGGCCCTCGCAGCTCCTCCACTAGTACCATCAACAGGTTTCCTCGAAATTACTATCTTCTTGAAGAGGTCCACTCTCAAGCCCTTAGCTCGTCTCTTCTCTACGGCGCGAGGCTCGTCGTTAATCTCGAGGATCGAATAATCTCCGAAATATAGCTTCGCGACGTCTACGTGGGATCGGAATTCCCTTAATTCGTTGTTAAAGAATTTCGCAACGACAGTTACGAAGGACGGTGGGGGTGCTTGCAAAACGAGCATGTTGAGTTCGCAGTGTTGACGTCCGCGGGCGATAGCCTCTTGAGATGGTTCAGGTCTAGGCGCACCCGAATTCTGACCCTGTGGAGGTTGGTTAAGAACCGCAAGTGCTTCGTTGTAGGCTGAACGTATATCAGCGCCTAAACTAGCAAGTAACTTATCAAATTCATCAGCTTTGACGAGTGATGATGTACATCGACGCATTTTCTGGTATGCGGTGTATAGGGCAGCGTGAGCGGCAGCACGAGGATCGACCCAATTTGGATCGGCTTTTTCTTCTCGTTTCTCGTACCAGGTTATAGCCTTGGTAGAAAAAGAATCAAGAAGGGTAATACGGCGACATAATGCGGAAAGTAGACCACGTGTTGCCGAACATAATATCAGGTGTAAGGCAATTTCGTTCTTCGAGCGCAAGTACTCCGCCATCGGTTGAGATTGACGTTGTTTTAGGAGGCTCATAAACTTGGCGTCGTCAAGGAGACAGAAAAGCGAGTCGCATAGCCAGCAGAGTAAGTCAGTTGCCCACTTGACACAACCAGCCAAAGCGTTGACAACATCTGTTAAAAGAATTGTTTAGCAACGACACTACTATTTAAGAATAAGTAGACTTACCGGGTTCATCGAGTGGAGTCATGGAGCCTTTATTCACACTGATGTTGTTACTGGAGAGTGTAATCATGATAACTATGTTACGTAGATTTAGAGCCACCATGGAGAGCTTCCCCCAAGCTTGTCGCGGTTTGGAATCACCTCTCCATCCTAGATAGTTACTGATGCTTAGGCACATCTGCAAAACACCGTTCTTTATTAGATGGTCGTGTGGGGCATCTTCGGTGTAGTCAACGGTTATCTTCATCATTTGCACCATGGTTTTCACCCACTCAATCGTAAAGGCTGGTTTGATGTTAGCTTTAAGGGTTTTCCGAGTCTGTTACCAGTATGTGTAATTCTGGTCTTACCGTCTTTATTGGCGAACTTCCTGGCTACGGCTAGGATATCGTCTATATTTGCACTATGAGATGCGGCTTGCGCAGTTGATATGGTAAAGCTGGCAACCAGGGCAGAAACCTGCGCTAGAGAGATGTAAGTCATTTGATTAGTTTCGGGTTGTAAAGGGCCATACCATCTGTCATGGACTCTGGATTTGCTGCCGTATAATTGATGCTATGCCATTTCACTTTACCGTCCTCGCATAGCTGAACTAAAGAGAAGTTCGTTGGCGAAAGGGCTATTTGAAGGCCTAAATCGCTAATTAGCTCGTATAGGAAGAATTTCCAGGGAGGAAACTGACATGATGGCTCTCCATTTTGCGAAAACCCAGCGTCATGGATCGAGTTAATGCGATCTAGATTTGTCTCATGGTATAATTCGGCCATGGTGAATCGATCTCGGTATTCTACACTACCATCGTTATATGTGAAACAGAGAACCTTTCCGAAATTGGTGAGTTCGACACCCATCACAACCTTGTTGATAGTTATGGGGTCTAACTTTTTTAGTCTGCCACTATTCTAAGGTAAGGGTTAGTAAAAGGGCTTATACAGTTATAGGTGATTCATACCGGAGGACTGGAGGTAGTACTGTTCCTCCTAGCTCCTAGCTGTTCAAATGCAGAGTTGACAGTCTGCTGTTGGTCTGAAGAGAGTTCCCATCGGTCAATAATACTTTGTGGTTCGTGGGAGTATGGTGAATGTGGTTCTGGTATGAGAGATCGCACAGTCAGGACTCCCAACGGGGCCCACTCTTTTGTTGACCCCTTAAGTATTGTAGGCAGCATCACGATATGGCTGATTTTTGGCATAGACGCGTCAAGATGGAGATCTCTAAAGCCAGGTTCAAACCAGCTAGTTACTGCTACGTGTCTCTTGGAGAGTGATGGGCTAAGTTGATAACCGCCTTGAGGAGCATTTTGCCCGGCCTCGGTTTTGGGAATGCCCCAATTGATGCCAACTTGGACGACGCGCAATTGTTTTGATGCGGTTATCATACCGATCATGAGGGTTTTTGCTACTATTGTTAGCGGGTTCCGTCCAAAGTCTTTCTCGTCCGACTTACTCCTGTCTGAACATATTGCAGCATGGGTTATCATATCATCTACAATTCCGATATTTTCGAGTTCTAAGGTTGTTTGCTCGATTTTACCATTGCTCTGGCCCCAAAACATCTTAAGTACGCCCATTTTGGTAATACATATAAGGGCTGACTTATTTGGATGTGGATGCCACGGGCCGGTGCTAATGATAGGTGTCATTTGATAGTTGTAATTGTTTCCATTGCCGTTTCTGACAGCTGGCGCATAGCACGGTGTGTATGGGGGGGACTAGCAAGCGGTTAATAACGTGTATATTGAACGGGGTGTAGATACATACCCTCGGGTTTGCAACTGGAAGGTTTTGGAGCCAATAGGTTCCCACGATGGCTTGTGAATCGTCGACGGGATCCTCCTCCCATTTTCTAGAAAGAGACGGTCGGTTGAGATTCGCGTTGAAATTAAGGATGAGAACCCTCCCCACAGCGTCGATAACGGCGAGCTCTGAGTTGACGGGACCCCAGGTGAGATGAACGAGGGGACCACCTGGGAGATTTGCCCATGGCGCGATAGTAGTGGGATCGCTTAGGGCAAAAGCAGCATCCTTATTTTCTGCACGAATGTATCTTAGTTGCAGGGCTTGACCGTCTGGAGTGAAGGAAGCTATGGTGCCTCCTTTGGACCAGACTAATTTCCTTTCAAATAGTTAGATTCATCATCTAAAATAGGCATTGGCAGAAAGGGAGATGGCGGGAGGGGAATAATTACTGGCAGCAGCCTCGTTCACTGAGCTCATCTAGTCTCTGGCGCAAGCGTTTACTTGCAGGGCGTGGAGGGAGAGAAAGGGGTGCTCCGTCGCCGAATAGATCGTCAACATCGTCTAAGTCAACCTGCATGGCTTCGCCGCCCATAGCGTTATCCAAGATAAGAGGCATCTTGCCGGACGTCATTAGGAATACGGATATTAAAAATGATGCGATTTAATGTTTTGGTAGGGTTGGGGATTCGTTGCAACTTTCTCTATGGCCTGAGCTTCAACGTCGGTGGTGGTATCCTATCCGCATCCATACTATGATTGATATGAGTGGACTTCATCCAAAATCTGTGAGTGGCTGGCTATTTCATATGAAGAGAATAAACCAACTGTGAAAACTCATATTTGGACAAGCAAGCTATACGTGAAGAAAGAGCAGCGTTTTAATTCTAAAATTCCAACTCGTAGCACAGACAATATCGACATTACCACGAGTGTTGGACGTGTGAAAGACAGTGAACAGTGCGTACAATTACATAAAGAGTTTAGTTACGTGGTAATCTTATCTTACATAATCCGCATATACAGTACGTACATTATACATGGATGTACCTTGTGGATCCCGTTTGTGGTTCGCGACTCGCCGCCGATTGGGTCCTCCAAGTTTAGTTCAAAGGGGGACCGGGGGTAAAAAGGGAGGTGTGGGTCTCCATGCGGGCATTACGTATTGAGACCAATGTCAGATCCGATCCGCCATCACTTCTAAGTTGACCTAACCCTTTTTAGATGAGGCTTGAAAGCCAACCGGAACCCTTATGAACCGTGCACTGTGGCTCGGTTAGCTAGGTTGTCAGCCTCAAGTTCTGGGGCATGAGGCACATTCTTATTTATCCCTGGCAACCACGGAGCAACGAGACTTGGAACTTCTAACTTTTTTAAGTATACGCAGGGTTCTTCTCCCCCTCGGTCGCAAACGCAACTCCTCCCTGATATCCAATTATTATCAATTATTATTAGCCCGCCGTTGCATTGTTTTGACCTAGGAAGCCGTCTCTGCAGCCGGTGACGAGTCAGGTCAACTCGGATGTACCGGCGGATGCAGTGCCGTAGCAAGCGGGCAAAGATTGTCACATCACACTCGCCTCGATCTATACCACCAAACAAACCTATTGTCCATACTTCCATACTTCCATACTCCGAAGCTCTTCATTAGTGACAAAAGGCGTCTGCACACGTCAGATGTCAGACTTTCCCAGCTATGCATAGAAGTGAACTAATCAAGCAATGGGACAGCCACTTCGCATTTCTCGGCAATACAAGCCAGGATCCGGAAAAATTATCTTTGTTTCCTTTTGAGAAAAAAGAGATGTGCCGCAGAAAAGAGGGGGTAAAGGAAGAGCGGATTTTCTCATGATTGGAATTGTCGGTGGGCGAAATTGCCTTGTTCGAATACAGCAAGTAACGTTTCGAATCAAACATCACATACCAATTGATTTTTGACGCCGTTTTTTCTTTATTTACCTCGCTACCTTTTCTTAAAAAAACATGGTTTAGTATTAGTCCAAACGACGCTATATTATTAGCGAAATAGAAATACGGCCCATCACTCATCGAGAATTAAGAATTAGACAAGCCGAGAATACTTCAGTACTACATACATATATACTCCAAAAAGGTACAATTATTTTTAAGTTAGAGTTAGACTCATCATCATACAAAATAGCCCACATAGCCTGATGACCTTACCTGGTCTGACTTGGGTTTGCGCTTGCGCTTGGAACTTGTTGGTTTAATAAGCGAAAGTTAAAAAGAGGAGTGGAAAGAGGAAAGAGGAGAGAGCGAGAGAGGAATTAAGGAAGAGGAGCCCGCCGCCTTGTTCGCTCTCACTCTCACTCGCGCTTGCTTGCCCTGTCGGATTTCTATTGCACTTATTGTGTGTTCCGTCCGTTCTGTCCGTTCCATCTAGGTATAGACTTCTTGTCCCTCTTGTCACCTTTTTTCTCCAACCTCCCCGACAAAAAGGTCTAGGGATTCCTTCCAATTTTCCACCTTTTACCTCATCTCACTCCGTCCCGCCGTCTCCCGTCCCAAACTAGCCCAAATCCTCCGCCTTTTCATACCCGTGACAAGGCACTAATTGCTTGCACCCGCACACGAATTGTCCAGAAACAACAACGCGATAAGGACAAAATTATTTATATGTTTGCAATCAACTACCTAGGTATCCACGATAACACGGTGCGAAGATTTACGTGTTGATTGGTATAAAGGGGTTGTATCACGTTGTTTATCGAATTACTTGTTCGGTATAGCGCCATGACATAGGCCAACCTCAACCTTACCTAGTCTTCCTAGTCTTCCTAATCTTAGTTCTTCTTTTCCCGTCTCATCGTCGCACTTTCTACAACAAAGTCGCGGCCCTACCATTTCTCCTTTCGCCCACCTGCTTCTTTCCGAGAACACACAGGACACGGCGACACCTTCTCACCTTTTATGTTCCCTTGATTTCTATCCCTCTTTCCCGAAGTCTAATTGAAATCGGACCCACATTATGGACGTGGATATCTCATTTTCTTCAACATCCGATCTTTCAGATCCTCCTTCTTCCAATCCGCCGTCTTCTCCGCTCTCTATGCTTTCGAGATCGCCAACAGTATCACCGCGAACATCTATGTGCTATGAAACTAATCGCCTGCCATCACCACCTTCGACGATCACTTCCTCCGGGAGCGCGTCGCCAATGAAGTCCTCCGATCCTGTCTCCGTCGGGGATGAGATTCGTGTAAATCCTGATGGTCCTCCACCTACCAAGCGACGTCGTGTCGAGCGCAAGCCCCGTACCACCGAATATCTCGACCTCAAAGCCGCCTCGGAGCAAAATGAGAAAGATGAGCGATTGCTAGAGCAATTGACGGCTGCCTTGCGTAAAAGGAAGAAGATTGTCATAATTGCTGGTGCGGGAATCTCTGTGTCTGCTGGAAGTACGTATTTTTCCATTTTTTAGGGTGGTTTGTTTTCGCTTTGTTTTGATTTTTATGCTAATTTGTCTATTCTATAGTTCCCGACTTCCGATCCTCCACAGGTCTATTCGCGACTCTCCCTAAGGATCATAAACTCAAGGGATCTGGTAAACACTTATTTGACGCGTCTGTCTACAAGCATGACTCCACTACCTCGTCCTTCCACACAATGGTTCGGGATCTATCGCATCTTACGAAGAACGCGGAGCCTACCCCGTTTCACCATTTGATAGCTTCGTTGGCTAAAGAAGGTCGCCTACTACGCCTCTACACACAAAATGTGGACGGTCTGGATACGTCCATGCCGCCGCTCACCACAAATGTCCCATTGAACACCAAGGGCCCTTGGCCCAAGACGATCCAGCTTCATGGCGGTCTGGCCAAGATGGTCTGTTCCAAATGCAGCGATATAAGCGACTTTGATGGTTCGCTTTTCGAGGGTCCGGAAGCACCCCTCTGCAAAGGATGCGAAGAAACGGACAACGTACGAACTTCCCATGCCGGCAAACGTAGCCACGGCATTGGAAGGCTACGACCGCGAATGGTTCTTTACAATGAATACAACCCGGATGAGGAATCTATCGCCAATGTTGTCCGAGCCGATATTCGAGCCCGACCCGACGCGATTATCGTGGTTGGTACTAGCATGAAGATTCCCGGTGTGCGCAACATGGTCAAAGACATGTGTCGTGTAACAAGAGAACGAAAGGACGGAATTACCGCCTGGATTAATCTCGAGCCTGAGCCTACCGGCGCCGATTTGAAGAACTGCTGGGATTTGGTCGTCCAAGGCAAATGTGATGATGTCGCCTCATTAGTCCATCTGCCCCGTTACGACGAGAGCATTGAGGAGACCGTGGTTGTTGATGAGAAGAAATACGCAGAAAAGGTTCGTGGCGTTGAGCTTCAGGTCGAGATTAGAAAAACTGCATCTGAGACCGACATGTCTGTCAAGACAGAATCACGTGACATCACACCAGTTGAAGCGAAACCACAGTCCATTGGCAACGTTCAAGGCATGCCTACACCTTCTGCTAGTCCTAAGGTGCGAGCAGCGCTGCCTACAGCCAAGCCCCAGCCTAAGCAAAGCAAGCTTGCCTTCCCTACTAAAGGCGCATCTACAACTACTACTTCAGCCCCCAAGGACAAGAAGAAAGCGACGCAACGCAAGCCCAGACAAAGCAAGAAGGCAGAGCCGAAGCTTCCCAAGGCTACTATCAACACTACCTTTAAGGCAACCAAGGCGTCTACTGTTACCTCTTCCAAGGTACCGGCCAAACGTGAACTCGAATCGGAGCCTGAACTAACTATCTTATCCCCCCGATCGGTTATGCGCGAGGAATTCTCACTACGCCCTCGAAACAAGCCTATTAATGATTCTACCGAACCCCAGAAGACGACCGAGATAGAAACACCCACGACTCCTACGCAACTAAATCGCGCGACATCTCCGAATACAATATCACCCACGTCTAAGCCTCGAGGCTTCGCAGCCTTGATAGACTAAATCTAACCCCCCATAATGGACTTTGTACATAAATAATCCGTGCCGGCATCGGCTGGAAGATACCAACTTTGCATTGGGGCGTATTCATTTCTCGAGGCAAGCCCTCCGGAGCATTTACAGAAAAGAAAGGGGAAACTAAGGGGGATACCGGTGAAACGAACCTACGGGGCTAGGTCCACTGGTGGCGTTTTTCATTTCTTTTATACTGTTGCATTTATTGCATGGCACGCACATGAGGCAATGTGCAAGCGTGTGTATACCCAAGGCAGCAGGTCATTCGGACGAGGCTTTATTTTTTTGGTTGCCTAACTCTCCGAGGCGTGAGCGAGAGCGACAAGGCAAACGGGCGGACAGGCGTTATGTAGAAGGCTGCACTTTTTTTTCACGGAGCGAGGCAAGGCACGGTATGGTACGGCATAGGCGTTTAGTCAGTCAGTTACATTAAAAAACCACAGCAGAAGGGGATGGAGGTAAACTCTCCCCTACATTCAGTCTGGCAGTGAAAAGAGGGAGGTCTTTGCATATAGAGAGAGCAGTGCGGAATTATTAAGTACGCGTTGAATTATTGCTACATAACATCATTATACATATACATCTGCTACCCTTAAATATCATGATTGGAAAAGCAAAATATGAGACAATGCCCTGCGTAACTCTGTAAGAATTAGTGGTGTTTCTGTGCCACGTGGCCAGGCTACTGCCACATCTAGGTGCTCACCTACCTAGGTACTGAGTTGTTAGGTGTCTTTACGGGGCATGTTTGGCCTTAGAATTAGGCCTTGCACCTCACAAAAGGAAAGCAAAAGGTCACGTGCCATGGAAGAAGTCAGGGTAGGCTCAGTGATTCACGATTTTTCATTACCAGCCCTTTAACAAAATTATAAAAGTAACAAGTAGTCATTTTAATACGCATAGCTTTATTGTCTTGCTTCTCCTAATAACCATCGTACTAGGCTAAGCCTATATCTATTGCAAGCGATATAATAACTCGCCATACAACTATTCGCGAAATATATCCGCTGATTATTGGTTTCTCATAGGGGGCTTCTCATCAAGATTAGGTACAATAAAGTCCTATTATGTGGACAGACCTGACCGTACCTACTTCGTAGTTCGCTGAATATAGAAGTGATGATGCAAAAGCCGCCGAGACACATTATTTTATAACTGTCTCCTCTCCTTTTCCTCAATTCCCCCCTCGGACTCCCTGGTAACAACCAAGAGCAAATGCCCGTGGGTTTAGACAAGACGGAGATGACTAGTCATGCCGACCAATAGAACTCCTGGTCTCCTGTAATGTCGATGCTTTTGCTGGGTATGATTTCATGGACTCCAACCTCGCCTATCTAAAATGCCAAACCGTAACGCCGTACAATGCAATAGAATGGAACGGCCAACTTCAGTTATCGTTTCGTCATCGCGGCCGTCTGATCGAATCGAATGTTATGGGTTAGGGCGACTAGCTGGTCGCCTTGGACGACCCTCCTCGAGAGCCTCCGTTAGTAACTGTTGCGCTAGAATTCTTTGCACCAGTCTCCACCTCCTTTAATTGCCGATATAGCGCGGATAGTCGTGGACCGGTCATCCCCGAGGACTGGGACTCGCCGGATGTGGATTTCTCCGACTTTCCAGATGCCTTCTCGGAAGCCGGAATTCGCTTTGAGATAAATCTCCTACAGCGCGGTTAGCTTTTGTCAATGACTCATATTTTTAGATACGTACCATAATTTAGGCTTCAGCTCCTTTTCGATTTGTTCAAGACTAAGACCTGAAGTCTTGTGAAGACCCTCAATGAAATCACCAATAGCAGTGATCTCGGACTTCAAGACTTTAGCTCTGGCCTTGGCAACCGGTATGTTTGCCTTGGTGCAAGATTCAACTTTTTCGACATGTGACCATATAGGTTGCATGAGTAGTTGAATGGTGTGTGCGTTTTCTTCGTCGTCCTTATCCTCGGCCTGTTGCTGATTGCCATCGAATCTGCGAAGTTCTTCTACTCGGCGGTGCTTATGCCGGCGGTCATCCGCTTCGCCACTATGCTTTCGCTTAGGGTCAGGTCTTGGCGTGCCACTATCACCTATGCTACTTCGAGAGCGGTGATGATCGCCCCGGGAGTGGGAGCGATCATGATCTCTGTCCCGATGGGAAGATTTCTTCGAGCTCTGAGGAGCGGGCGACGCAGAAACGGACCCTCCTTTCTCTGGACGGCGATGCCCATTAGCAATGCTGAGACTGGCTTTCTTGTTGTTTCGATGATGATTCTCAACAATTTTCTGCGCGTTCACATCATCCGAGTGAATTGAGGTAAGCACTGACAACAGGTACTCCGCACGACGAACGAGATGAACGGCGCCAGGAGCTTTGGCGCCCTTGGTATCACCGTGCTCTCGCTCTTGCTTCTTCTCGATGCGATGTTCTTCTAGGAAGAACTTGTCTTGCATTCCGAGATCCCTGTCATCACGGATTTGTGTCCAGGCACCAAAGCCATATCGATCGATACCCACGAGAAGCATTCCATCTTCTCTAGCTCCCCATTCGCAGCTGTAATGCGCGGCCTTGGTAGCGTCTGGGAGCTGGAAGGTTCGGAAATCCGGAAGCTCATTGAGAACACGTCGCAGAAGCCGTAGCTGCGGCGGACGGTCGAGGATTGTCTCAGCATTGATCTTTTTGACTTCGCCAAAATCAAACATGACGGCCTTGATATCTTTTTTCGTGAGCTTCTTCTTTGCCTGCTGCTCCTGTAGCCGGATTTCCTCGTTGTTCTTTTCCACGGCATCACGAGACATAGTGACAAGATCATCGAGTAACTTCCCTATGAAGTCGCGATCTCTATCACTCAGGCGAGCGTCACGTAGTAATTCGTCCGGTCGGTCTTCAATAAAACCGTACCGCATAAAAGCCCGAATGAGGTTACGAGTTTCTTTCTCGTTGAGTGGTCGTCTCGGATCAGAAAGCATGGCTCTCTGCTCTTCTAGACGTTCCTGCTTCAACTGTTCTCGTTCTCTCTTTTTCGCAATTCTTTCGGCTCTCTCAGAGTCACCATTAGGCCTTGAGCTTTTCAAGGCAGCTCTTCGTGGAGCACTTGCTTCGAGTTCCTTTGCAAGATACTCATCTTCCTTCTTTTTATCTTCTTCGGCCTTAATTGCTGCTAGCTCGTCTGCCGGTATTATTTGATCCCAATCGAGAGCAAGATCATCCACCTTAACGTCAGTGTACTGCATGAAATTGTCCCAGTCGATACCACCAGTACTGAGGTTCATTTGATCATCCACCTTTGTCTTGGTGACTTCGGCATTCTCCAAGATGGAGTCAATATCAAGCTGCTCCAGTCGCTCCTGGTTGCCCGACTGCTCAAACATCTTCTGGGATCTCATCTTCAATACCCATTGTATATCGTCTGCTGACTTAGCCTCGTCCATCCTAAGACCCTTTTGCTTAAACTCTTCCCTAAACGCCTTGCCATCGTCTGTAACACCGGCCTGGATCGCAAGGTACTCAAGTAGAAGCTTGTTCCGGGCTCGTTCGAGGACTTCCTCCTCAATAGTCTCTTTAGAGACCAGGCGGTAAACGGTGACGGGTTTCTTCTGCCCAATACGATGGGCCCTTGCCATGGCCTGCAAATCAGCCTGAGGGTTCCAATCCGAGTCAAAAATGATGACAGTATCCGCCGTCATCAGGTTGATGCCCAAACCACCAGCTCTCGTTGAAAGTAAGAAGCAGAAGTCCGAACTGTCCTCGGCGTTAAAATGGTTAATCGCCAGACGTCTTGGCCCAGCACCGATGGTGCCGTCAAGTCGTTGGAACTGATAACCACGCAGTCTGAGGTAGTCTCCGAGGATATCAAGCACCTTCACCATTTGACTGAAGATCAAGACACGGTGGTTATCCTTCTTCAGCTTGGCAAGTAGCTGGTCGAGCAACATCATCTTCCCACTGCTTGCAATAAGCCCCTTGATTTGGTCTTCGCGACGCTCGCTACCGTTGAGTACTTTCTCCTCAGCACCAGGAAACATGTAAGGATGGTTGCTGACTTTCTTCAGTTCCATAACAATATTCAAGAGTGATGATTTCTGTCCATTGTTTCCTTCATTAAGGGCTGCGTAATTCCTTGTGAGAATGTTCTTATAATATTCCAACTGGACATCCGAGAGCTCTACACGAATGATCTTCTCAGTTTTGGGGGGTAGATCCGACTCTACCGTCTCCTTGGTTCTTCGCAAGATGAAGGGAGCAATCGCAGCGTGTAAGTCCTGGAGTTTTGTCTGGGCGTCCGCCGAGGCTAAGGTATCGAGGTCTTCGTCGATATGAACCTTACCGGGATTCAGGAAGTCGAGGAGGGAGGACAGTTCGGCCAAGTTGTTCTGGATCGGAGTACCGGTAATCAAAACTCTAGCGGGAGCACCGAAGCTCATAAGTTCCGCATACAATTTGGATTCCTTGTTCTTCAGACGATGAGCTTCATCGACTGCTAAGGCTTGCCATTTGATGCTTCTGAGGAAGTCCGCATCCATCAATATGTATTCATATGATGTGACCAAGACATTGAACTTGTGTTTCTTCGGGTTCCCGTTGAACATCAACTCATGATCTCTTATCGTATTTCGTGCCTCGGCATTGCCTAGGTAGACGACATAGTTAAGATCGGGAGACCATAAGTTGAATGTATCACACCACGCGGGAATAACACTGAGTGGCGCAACAACCAAGAAGGGGCCTTCTTGCTTGCGCTCGTTGCGAAGCCAGCTTAAGAACGAAACGGTCTGGACAGTCTTTCCGAGACCCATTTCATCGGCAAGGATAACGTTGTTAGCTCTACACCAATTAAGGCACAGGAAGTTCAAGCCTGTGAGCTGGAAGCCTCTCAGCTCACCGCCCTTGATGTAGCTAGGCTGTTTCTCGAGCTTCAAGAATTTGCTTCGTGATGTAGGGTTCGACTCATATTTGTCGGAAGTCCAGGATCTAGATTGTCGGTCAAGGAACTGGTCGATCTTATCTTGGGCGGTGTCGCTGATGGTGGTAGCCAACTCCCAAGTACAGTGCTCATATGTGAGGCCCTTCCATTTCACGAAATATTCCCTTCCTTCATCGCCTATACGCTGAGTAACAACGCGTTCGACCTTGGTGTAATCTTCCAAGGCGTCTTGCTCACGCTCTTTATCAAGCATGTACTGCTCTCGAGTCTCGGGCGGAATATCCTCACCCGCAAACTTAAGGTCAATCTCGTATTCGACGGTTCGCTTATAGTAATTCTCAAGTTTGCGGAAACCACGATAGCCGCGAAGAGTCTCTAAGGTGTCCCACGTATTGTGAAGATACGACTTGCCCTGCCACTTAATATTGTACTCAAAGTCGTCTCTGGTTGCGTCTGAAGTCAACTCGCCACCACTCAGCATGCGGTGGCCAACGACTTTCTCAATGTACATCGTATCTTCTGCGAGCTCTTCGCCAGCCCAGTAATTAGGTGTCAGCTCGGATTCGTCCTCGTCATCAATGTCGCTTTCATGGTAGGTCTGGATTTGCTGGGCAGCTCTTCTATTTGACCAACGCTTCTCGGCATAGAGTAGGGATTGTGGTTGTGCCTGTTGTCGACGGGCTTTCTTGATTAAGGTTCGAGCGCGAGCTCCGCCGTAGGTATCCGAGTCCGAATCATCGGCAGGAGTCTGCCTTGCAGGTGTACCGCGCTTTGATGCTACGGAGGGCAATTCGTTAGTCCCAGGAAACATCATTATACATTAGCATACGAGGATTAACTTACATTGTCGCGAAACTTGCTCTACGCGAAGTTTTTTAGTTCGACGATTAGTAGGAACAACATCAGAATCGGAGTCTTCATCTTCCTCATCAGACTCAACCTATGGGTACAGTAATTAGTACAGTACGTGACGAAATCAATCATGATAATGGATTTCGCAAACTTACGATCTTTGGCTGTTTTGTAGGACGTGACTGACAGAGGCAAGTCAGCAAAGGCTACAAAATGATAACAGTAATTATTTATTTCACTCACGCTTCTTCTTAACCCGTATAGTTCTGGGTTCTCTCGGATATAATCATCCTCTTCGACACCAGCTTTCCTTTTAGCAGCGCGACGAGAGCTGTTAGAAGTCGATGTCTCATCCTGATCCTGAAGCGCGTCACTCTGTGAAGGAGCAGGGCTATCCTCCATATCGAAATCGGCATCATCGGAAGCATTGTTATCATCATTATCGCTCGATTCGGCACCACCTTGGTGATCTAACTCGGGTTCGACATCCGGGGGAGATTGGTGATTGACCGGGGATGAGGATGATGATGCCTGGAAACCAGTGTTCTCATTTACCTCAGAAAGGTCGCTCTCGCTAGCACGATCATCGAGTGTTACTCTCGCGCCCGCTCGCGTCTCCGGCGACGTGTGACCGTTGACGGAGCTAGGCTCGGGTGAGCTCGACATCTTGGTATTGGACACAACCGTCCGCTATGTGACAGCAAGGTTAGCAGGATTTTCACCACCGAAGTGCTACGTGTATAGGGTCTATGGGCAGCGCTTCAAACAGCGACTAAAACAACGCAATAAATAGCTAGCAATCATGGGAAATGAATTTGACAATGGATCTGGCGCAAATCCAGTGATGGTTCGATAAACGCGAGGCTGATAGGTGATGAAAAAGCAATTGCGGGCGACCGGTGTTGACGGGACGGATGAGGAGGGCTCAGCGCGTCCGACAAACCGAGAACGACGGATCCCATCTCGAAACAAGCGTCTGAGAAGCTCAGATGCAGTTGAAGAAGCGATAACAAGGTCGCGTGTTCATGTCTTCGAGATGGATTCGATGTCCCAAGTACACGGCCAGACGGGTACTCTTCAGCCATGTACAGCAACATGATAGGCGCTGGAATAGAAATTAAGCACTTACTAATCATTAACTTCCGTACTCCAGAAGCAGAGACAAGAAAAATGATAAGGGACTATGTGGATGGTGAAGTACGGGCGCGGCCCCGTATAGTGTGTTCTGTGGGCAATGGTTGTGAGAAACTGGCGGAAATCGACCTGGAAGAATTGGTGGTCGGGGAACATCGAAAGTGGACGGAGGGTGGGAGGTACCTAGCTTGTCAGCTTTTAAAACGCTAGTAGAAAAATAGTTTAGCGTGTGCACCAGCCACCAGCCACAAATACGGTGTTAGGTAGGTCTTGACCCACAACCAATTTTTTTTTTTTTTCCTAGCTGTAATTTTTTTACACCACCGAAAGTTCACTAGATAGAAGTTACAGTGCCCACGCAGCGCACCTGCCCATTTTATCCCGGGAGCCAGAAGGACGTCAATAAAAGCGCCCACCGTGCGAAGTCTCATAGAACTCACAGTATGATACTGTATAGCTTTCGACCAATCAAATGGTCTGTTTGACACAGTCAAAAGCCGTACTAATATTACAGTGGGCACTTTTATTGACGTCCTTCTGGGAGCATAGTTAGCACTAAATACCTAGGTACTAAGCCACATACCTTTGCCCGCACTGTTCGATTGAAATAATACCCCTGCTCATAGATCTTCTACCTAAATAATAGCTTAGGTAGGCAAGAGCTATCCACGCATGTTTGTTCTAGCTAGTATATCACGTTTAATGATCATGGGCATCCATCCAAAATTTGATGCGTTACTCACCAGTCCAACCGTGCACTGAAGAATGTAAGAGCAAAAGCACGTACGGTAGAAACCCTACTTCCAATATATACTTCCCGGAGATCACGTGAGAGCCCCCGACCTAGTACCTAGGTACACACGTAACTCCTACAAGCTGTCTACAAACAACTAAGCAAACGACAGCAATATTTACCCAGTACATTATTTATGTTGTTTGATCCTCTGCTCCTTTACACGTTGCTTCTTTATCCTTAGATCCCGAAGACTCCGATAATACAATGCAAGAGTGACTCCCCCATGGTTCATAGCGTCAGCTTGAATGTAATATGAGTAGTCTTTCAGTATAGGATTCTATATGAACCGTCATAGTCAAGAATATCCAAGTTCCTACGATGCACTCTCATGATCCGACTCAGCAGATAATTCATTAGGATCCCTATCATGATTCAGACACATGAACAGTTATTCTGCAGAAGATAGTGAGTTCAATTGTATTCTTACCCAGACTTCGAACATGCTGGCAGTATTTGAATAATCTCTTCCCACTCTACCATTTCCCAGTAAGTAAGGCAGTGGGGTAATACACCTAAGCACAGCGAGTTAACGCAAACTCAATGTGTACCTAGGTAGTATACGTTTTAATCTTTAACCTCACTTGTCACTCATAAGTCTCAACTAGACTGTTGGCATGTACCTAAACCATACCTATCCTATACTCTAACGCTAGGGACTTAGCAGACGTAACAATGATTAGCAGGACTCGTCCTAACTGCATTACCAGCGAAGATCACTACACTCCGCAACCCGACAGTTATGCTTTTGTTTGTGGCTTGAAGCTTTTCCCCTCAAGGTATGCGATTACGTAGATGGAGAAAATGATAGGGTTTTGAGATATTCCCCCGCCGTAACTCCGGTAAAATACGAATGGTGACAAGGACAAGTACAAAAGAAATACAGAAAGGACATTGTAGATAAGTTTGTTTTCTTCCAAGGCCGAGTTTAATTCTTTTTGAAAGTAACTTGAAAGAAGTGGGTAGGTACTTCCGTCTATATGTATCTAGATGCATTGAACAGGTGGTCGCTGCTGCGGATGTCTCACCAAATCGCAATTGCTAGCATATGTGGGGGCGCAGCTAATAAGCAACTATCCAATCAGGGAAGGCCAGTTCATAATTTTTCAGGTTTACCGTCATTCACAGTGGACGAAGGGTGACCTAAGCCGTAAGGAATCACCCCTCATTGTTCCTCTACCCTAATTTTTCGATACCCCACCAGACCTTTGGACTTTACCACGGCGCATTTTGTCGCAACCATTTCATCTTACTACTCTTTATTAACTTCGATTCTCTTCGTCGTCGTCCTCAGCTTTTCGGTATTCGGCTGCGTTCGACTGAATTTCTTTTTCTTCTCACGTTCTTCAGAAGCCGACTAGAGCCCTCTTGTTTCAGCCATGGCTTCCAAGCTTACTCGGTACGTAACCCTCTGACTCGACACAAACTTGTGCCTCGCTGTATTGCATCGTATGCTAATTGTAATTTTAGTATTGCCATCGTCAATGACGACAAGGTTTGTTGCTGAACCCCTATCCTATTTCTGAGGCGAAACTAACGTTCTGTCCCTCGTAGTGCAAGCCCAAGGTAAATCAAATTGGAACTCGCCTAATATTTATCGATAATATTGACAAATATCTAGAAATGCCGACAAGAGTGTAAAAGGTCATGCCCGGTATGTAGATGTTCCTTTCCTCCTGCCAAAATATTATATACGAAATTTCGGGTCTTCTAGCCCCTGAAAACTAGTCGCTTATTCCAGAATTTACAGGTCGTCCGCAGTGGAAAGCTTTGCATTGAAGTCAACCCAGACTCAAAGCTAGCCTTCATTTCCGAAAGTCTGTGCATTGGTTGTGGTATTTGCCCAAAAAAATGCCCCTTCGACGCCATTACCATTATCAACCTGCCCACCAACCTCGAGACCCAGGTTACCCATCGATACTCTGCGAACAGCTTCAAGCTCCACCGATTGCCCACACCGAGACCTGGTCAGGTTTTGGGCCTTGTCGGTACCAACGGTATCGGAAAAAGTACAGCATTGAAGATTCTCAGCGGTAAACTCAAGCCCAATCTCGGCAGATATGACAATCCACCTGATTGGGAGGATGTTATCAAGTACTTTAGAGGATCCGAACTTCAGAGTCAGTGAATCCTTGCCATATATCCGGAAAAGAGATGATAATAGGAACTACAACTAACTTAACGACAGACTACTTCACCAAGGTTCTTGAAGATGACTTGAAGGCTGTCGTGAAGCCTCAGTACGTGGACCAGCTTCCACGAGCTGTCAAAACCCCCATCAAGACCGTCAAATTTCTACTCGAGCATAGATCCGCGATGGGTAATATGGACGAAGTCCTCGACGTCCTAGAACTCCGTCATATTCTGGACCGTGACGTCAATCTCCTCTCCGGTGGAGAGTTGCAACGATTTGCCATCGGAACGGTTTGTGTCCAAAAGGCAGACGTATACATGTTTGACGAGCCCTCTTCGTACCTCGATGTCAAGCAACGTTTGTCGGCAGCGAGAATGATTCGCTCTTTGCTAGGACCTGACAACTATGTCATTGTAGTCGAGCACGATTTGTCAGTTCTCGACTATCTTTCCGACTACATTTGCGTTCTTTACGGCAAGCCTGCTGTTTATGGTGTGGTAACTCTTCCTCACTCGGTCCGTGAAGGTATCAATATTTTCCTCGACGGTCATATCCCAACTGAGAACTTGCGATTCCGAGAGGAATCTTTGACTTTCCGCATCTCGGAAGGTACCGACGACTTCCAGGCTGATAAGGCGCGAGCTTTCAGCTATCCCAAGATGCAGAAGACCATGGGTAATTTTAGGCTTCGCATTGAGTCAGGTGACTTCACCGACTCGGAAATCATTGTCATGATGGGAGAAAATGGTACCGGAAAGACGACTTTCTGTAGGCTCTTGGCTGGTGCACTAAAGCCTGACAACGATAAGAAAGTACCAGAGATGAGAATTAGCATGAAGCCCCAAACAATCACACCTAAGTTTGAGGGCACGGTTCGTCAGCTATTCTTCAAGAGAATTAAGCAGGCTTTCCTTTCGCCCCAATTCCAAACCGATGTTGTCAAGCCTCTAAAGTTAGATGATTTCATCGACCAAGAAGTCAAAAACCTGTCAGGTGGTGAATTGCAGCGTGTGGCCATTGTTATGGCTCTTGGCTTACCTGCCGATATCTACTTGATCGACGAGCCGTCCGCTTACCTCGACTCCGAACAACGCATTATCGCAGCGCGTGTCATCAAGCGTTTCATTATGCACGCTAAGAAGACAGCCTTCATCGTAGAGCACGATTTTATTATGGCCACGTACCTCGCAGACCGTGTCATAGTCTTCGACGGCCAGCCCGGTATTGACGCCCACGCTAACAAGCCGGAGTCGCTCCTCACTGGATGCAATAAGTTCTTGAAGAACTTGGACGTTACTTTCCGACGAGACCCGACCAACTACAGACCCCGTATCAACAAGCTCAATAGTCAACTGGATCAAGAGCAGAAGATGGGCGGAAACTACGTAAGTTAAATCCAATCATAACTTTTATAAATCCCTACTAATACAATTCGCAGTTCTTCCTGGAAGAGGACAGTTCTTGAAAAGGGCATCTCACGAGGTAACGACCACGACGATGGTCACAAAAATTATCATTATACCCCACCAGCATCAGGCACTGGCGTTTTAGGCGTTCAAAAACGACAATCGTCGCGCCGAGGGAGCGGAGGTGCTCATGAATCATCCGGCGCTGATTTGGAGGGCGGGGAGGACGGCGACGATCCGGACGACTAACCGTGGCCACGACAGCCTATCCCTGTTCGTCTGGTCCTACAGCTATTGGAATTTTTGGATGGGAAAAAACGAGAGCACATTAAAACGGTACTTGATGCCGTATAAAAGGTTCATATCCATGGGTTCTTTGCTGTAGATTGAGGGACGAATGGGTCAAGCGGGTGGCTGTCGTGATATCACTCGATGGCGTAAGGTATGTCTATCGGTGATAAATTTCCGGATCAGCTAGCTTGGAAGATGAAATAGACGCAGAGTAGATAGTGCGGAAAACCGCAGGAATAAAGTGTGCAGCTTGTCAACTTGATCGTATTTTCTCTGTGATAATGATGCCAATGGGTGTAAAACATAGGCTGTCTAAATAACTAACGAGTACACAGGCAAGAAATTTTACATTGTATGAGCGCTCTACTTGAGTGGAATTATTGTTCTACACATGAAAAAAAACGGTGCACCAAACATCGCGTTGTGGCGTCCGATACCTTCGTTGATCAAGTAGGCATCTCTGCAGCTTCAGGCAATTTAACACATTGAGAAATAATCACGTAAATAGTGCATGCGAAATCAAAGTTATTAAGCTAGCTATGTAGATATCTACCAAGCCATCGACTTTTCTCTACTAGGATAAAGGAGGGAGAGGATACACACCGGAAATCGTATTCCTAAAAGAAAAATAGTACGCGGATGGACATCTTCGGGCCCGAGCCGATCTAAACGTTGGGCTAACACCTGTTTCTTCCCTAAGCGAGGATCCTGCGGAAATGTGAGAAGACACTCCGTTTTGCGTGAAAATGAAACAATGATTAGGTCGATATCGATCATTGGACGTACACAGAAAAAATTATGTTTCATTTTTTCCCTTTTTTCGCATTATCGGCGTTTGCTAGTGTTGCCTGGGGTTTTGAAGTAGACGGTAATAGTAAGAGGGAGAGAGATATGAATCGGAGCTGCATCCGGATTTCCCAAGTCATCTAAGTCCTAAGAACGTAGCCAGAAGTTGACACACGTACTATGAATTAACCTTGAGCTTGGTATTGACGGGGCCTATCCTTGTTCGAATATGCCCATGGACGAGGGTATTGGAATAAATTCATAGTTCTAGTGATATGTCGGGCGTGAGAATCCGAACTTCGTCAGTTCAATGTTGCATCAGTGAGGATTGGGACGCCATTCAAATGTTCACCGAGCCGCTAATCTTCCTCGATTTCACCCTCTTCACTACCAGAGTGTACTCCAGGATCCTCCTTTGGAGGTGGTTGAGCTGGTGCCGCTACTGGTGCTGGTGCTGCTGCTGCTGGTGGAGTCCTAGTTTTGGGACGAGTATCACGATGGGGGGAACGCTCACGCGGTGTCCTCTCTCTTCTTACTCTCTGTTATTGATATTAGTAAAGTATTCCAGTAGATAGACATGTATTAGGGAGATTTTACCTTTGAGTCTCTTGAGTCGCGACGTTCGAGATCGTCGTCGTCTTCGGCTCTCCGACGTCTAGACGAAGTTGGACGCTCATCTCCGTAAGGTAGCTCTTCAACAGGGCCTCGCTCGACGCGGCGACGATATAGCCGCTCGCGCTCTTCTTCACGATCTCGCCTTTCTCTGTCATAATGACTCGGTGGTTCATCACGCCGAGATCGAGGCAGGTAGTCTCTATCCCGTTCACGCTCGCGTTCTCGGTCACGGACATCGCGTTCTCGATAAGTATCCGATGTCCGACGGTCAGATAGCAAACTCTCAGCCATGCTAGACTTACGATAATTTTTCTCACGTTCAGCAATGGCCTTGCGGCGATCCGCTTCATAAGCGTCGGGCTCCGGACTACGGCTGTGCCTTGACGGTCGTGCGCGATCACTACGGTGAGAACGATCTCCTCTTTCTCTCTCTCGATACGTACCGCGATCAGGAGATCGTTCGCGACGCTTGTGGCGATCTCTGTCTTCCTCCTCTCGGTCTCGAATTCGGCGAAGAACTTTCTCAAATGCACCGCGGCGGGCATCCTCGGATTTGACTGCTTGAAATTCGGACGCGCGAGCTAGACGAGGTCGAACCTTTTCCCAGGTATCATCTGCGGCAACTGGTGGTTCTATGTGCTTGATATAAGAACGGAGGTCATCAGTGGCTCTCCTCTGTTGGCGTTCAGAGTGCTTGTCCTCATCGGATCGTTTGGATTTCTTCTCTTGGAGCTGTTGACATTGTAAGTAAATCATTTAGTGGTCCATGATACTATGAACTTACCCGTTCGAAGATTAACGTTTGTATATCACCATCAATGTTAGCAGTGCGCCGATCATTCTTGAGTACAGAAGAAAACTCCTCAAAAGTAGTCTTGGGGGTGAACTCAAAACGGTTGTCCTGTATGACGAGTTAGAAAACGAATTGAAACTAGTTTAGAGGGAATAACTTACGTCCATAACATCAAGTACGTCGTTTCGAGTTGTGCGCAGAGCACGTTCCTCCTCTTCAACAATATCCCAGAACAAGTCGAGTGGGCTCGATCCAGCCTGGCCACAGATAACCCTGAAGCGTTCATCATTCTCTAATAGGGGGTAAACTTGGCTCCACTTCGTCCCTGCCTTGATCTTGCCGGCTTTACGGAGTTCCTTGAGCAAGTCCGTGAATCCGTCTCGTCGCTTACGCTCGATGCGGAGTTTCTTATTTCTTTGGTTCTGGCGGGTCTCGTTGAAGCTCCTTTCCAAGGATTTAATGTGATTTTGGAAGGCAGTGAGAATATCAAAGTTGGTTAGAGCTTTATACTTTTCATCATTCTGGAACGGAGCAGTCGCCTTGAGGATATTTTGCGCTTCGGACCATCGCGTATAAGGCGCAAGGTCAAGCTTGGGAAGAAGGTCAATAAGGCCATCCATGGCGCTCTTACGAATGCTAGCCTGACTCTCGACGTGGGCCTTCTTAAGCTCGACTATGTAGTCCTCGAATAATTGACGTCGCTCGTCTTCGTTATTAGTGGAACGAAAGATTGTTTCGCCCTCGATAATAGGACGAGCAGTCCTCCAACGCGTATAATGCTTAATTTCGGGGTGACTCTTGAGCATAGTAGCAAAATCGGCTCGCAGTTTGGTTAGCCTATCCTTTGCGCGCTCCTTATCTTGAATAATCATATCTTGGCAATACTTTTCAAAGGCAGCCTTTCTATCCTTGGGATCCTTGATGGCACGGTACTGGGGATCTTTTATAGTGGCTCGCATGGTTTGTTCCCATGTCCAGTCTGGTTGTACACCGCTGCGGCGCAACAATTTCACGAAGGCGGCTTCGGCTTCCTCGGGGGTAGCATATTCGGGTTCGTTGCTCGCGGGGACAAATGCTTGGGCGCGTAGGTCGCTACTATGCGTTAATTGACGTGATTCGGGGAAGGGTTCTCGGTGTTCGCGATGATGGTCGTAGTTCGAGTTTTGAAACGAAGAGTTAGGAGTAAATGGTGTAGATGATCTGTCTTGAGTTAGTCGTATAAATATAGTGGTTAATGGGTTTCTTACGCGGGTGTCGAGGGTGTACCCTCGTGACCCAATGCTTTTCTGTAAGCCTCAGGCATTTCCCAAGAACTTTGCTTCGTCTCGGTGTTGTACCAATACTTGCGACCACCCTCGGCGGTGTATTCCTTCCATGGCTGGTTCGCTAGGGCGCGCTATGCATCTAGTTAGTCCGGCGTTTACAGAGAAAGACAGGTAATACGAACCTCAGCCGGGGACATCAAATCTTCTGGCTTGGTCCATTGCGTCGCCTTAGTAATAGAATTGTAATAGTAAACACGTCCATCGGGACTTTTATACTCTTGCCAGGGATTTGGCTGGCCATAGTGGCCGTTAACCCCGTTCATCCTGATGAGATGTACGCGCGCACTTCGTAATTCTCTGACCCTTTCAAAAAAGCTCCTAATCTACTGTTTCCTCTTTTTTACAAAGAAGATACAAAATCAGACTGTGAAGCAATGATGAAGGTGTAAGAAACAGCGAGTGCAGTATCTCTGTTGGGTTACAGAGAAGAAGAAATGTATTACTCGAGTCGCCGAGATGGAATGCGCGAAGATTGAAAAGCTGCGAATTTTTGGCAGCCAACAGGAGGAGGTTAGGAAGGTAAGTCAGTACGTACTCTTTGATTACCTAATAAAAAAGCAACTAAATTGGCCAGAATTGGGGTAAGTGCGGACTCGACGCACGGACCATTATGCATGTGGGAAGCTTCAATCCCACGGCGTTGGGTGCAGGCACGAGCTCCTATTTTGGATTGATCCATCTTGCCGTTTGACTTGTGAAACGTTTAATTGCAAAATGCATCTTCTTCCTATACCTACCTAGGTAGGTAACCAATCTTGGTCATCTTCGTGCATCACAGCAATGACTAAACAAGATCCAATGCTATGAACTTTTATTGATCTGTGTCTAGAGCTACCTACACAGTAAAAAGCAATATGCCCTCCTCTTCGCTCGATATGACTTCCAAACTAGCGCTCGACTTCCTCGACGATTCAAATCTCACGTACTTTATACCCCTTAAGAGCGACTTTGGTGTCGAAGAGGCTTTTAGAGATGGTATAGAAAGTGACGGGGAACCGTTCGACTCAGTAGAATGGCGGGAGTCACTTTTCTTCGGTACGAAGCTACATATCTCTTCCAAAAGGTCCTAATTTCTCACCATGCTCATTGTTAGACCCCAGATGAATCTGCCGACCTATACCTCGTCCTCAAAAGCCCTTATGCCGAAGAAGATACCTTGCGGTCTTCCCTACGAAATATAGTCATATCCGTAGAAGCGCAAATCGTTAATGGGAATACTCCGGACCGCGATGGTCAACTAGCTTCCGAAGTTATTTCTACCGAAACAGTAGGGACGGAAGAGGATCCTACTATATTATTTAGTTTTTCGGAAGAAAACGATTCCAACAACGATGACGACCGGCAGCAATATGCTTATGCGGTGTGGAAACACCCGGTATTCCTTAGTCGGCCTAGGATGCGGCTACAAAGTCCCTCGGTTGTTTTTGCTGCGACGGCAAGCCTAAAACCAGCAGTCTCGTCCATATCAGATGGACCACGTGATGGGTATCTTCCAAGCGGCGTGGCATCGGGACTCAACCTCCTTGAGTCATTCGGGAATGACCCTGCTATGAACGGGGTGAAACCTCGTCTATCAGCACTCCGAGTATCTCGTGTTGCGCCGGTCACCCAGCAAGACAAGGATCTACTACGGCCTATCAAGTCTTTGTCCAAGCTCTCTTTGCGCATATTCCCCGCGGCGCACTCGCGCATGCGATTCACGCATCTCAACACTACACCTTCGTCGGCAACGGTCCTAGCTATGCTTGAGGTCGATTTTACTCCTTTCTTCGACTGTGAGATAATCCTTGACAAGATATCAATATCAGTCGTAGGAGGCATAGTAGAGGACCTCACGAACAAGTCTGGGATGGCACTTCCAGTTTCTTGTGTGGCTCATGATCATATTACCTTTTTATATCGCATTTCACCAGATGAAGCAGATGTGATATCAAAGAATCCCATACGAGATCTCAATATCGCCATCTCAGGGACAGCTTTAGTGGATCCGGAAATTTGCAAACCTCGCTTGAGTATGGCTTGGACCGCGACCATTGATTTTACAATCCCCGTGAACCCAGGTTATGGTTCTACCATGCAACCTATTCAACGCATGCACCGCCCAAGCCAACTTTCAATTGGAGGTGAAAGTACAATTTCATTAACGGCACCATCCGTTGCACGACCGGATTCACTACCTTCCCTCGAAGCCGCAACGCGAGCAGAGTCTACCGTACCTGATATCGGCATAACTATGACTTTCACTCCTCCGTCCCCAAATCAAGAGATTTTCCCTGGCGATGAGTTTACCTGGAATGTATTTGTTGTTAACAGGTCTCTGGTGCCATCAGCCGTAGCAAGAAAATTAGCGATACTGGTGATTCCGAAACGGAGGCGTAACGAATCACGGGTTAACCGCCCCCCTTCGGTTTCTCGGTTACCCGAATTTTCACTCGGACAACCCCAACAACACAAGATCTTAAAGGATCGGAGTGTTGCTGATGCCATTCTAGACGAAAACGTCGTCCACGCTATGCAACACAGTAGCGTCATAGACAGTGCTGAGATATTATGTCTTAGTGCCGATGTAAGGGTTGGTCCACTAGCACCCGGAGCATGCCACGTTGCTGAACTCAAGTTTCTGGCCCTCAAAGAGGGCATTGTAAGCGTGGAAGCCGTAAGAGTAGTTGATCTTGGCAACAATGAGCATGTAGATATTAGGGAGCTACCAACTGTTATTGTTAAGAGCAGGCATGAAAGGTGACATTCCGTTTAGGTTACTGGGCTCATATTAGACAAAGACCAGTCTATACTGACTACCCAGATCTCCAATTCTAATAATTCAAAATTATTCCCGGCGTCCAATACTAGATTGTATTAGTTCGTACTTGATGAAACTCGCTCCTTTTCCCCCTGAATATGTTCAATGCGGCACTAAATATCATCACCTACCTCCCCTGCATAACTACGCATGCGAAATATATAACTCACAGATATTAGATGGTATTGCCTAGTACTGCTTACTAACCTATAAGTGAGGTATGTTTCTCGTCAATTTGGTAATATGCCTCTTGGCGCAAGCTCTTGCGCGGGTTATTGTCAACAAGTGCCAGCATGAGCAACTTTCCATCCCGCGCCCCCATTCTCCTCGATTTAATATCCTACAGGGCTGTGCCTCACTAAATAAGCCATGGCGTATTATTCCCTTGGCGCTGTGGTCAAGAAATGACCGAGATCGCGATCTGTCATTTCACTATAAAATCCCAGGTCCGATGTATCCTGCTGTGCGACCACACATACATAATATTGGCAATATAAAAGTCATTGAGGCGTCCTCCAACACGGCAGACAATCTTCTGACCCCCTCAACCTCGGAGTTTCGCCAACTCCGCAGAGTTCGGCCGAGAGAACGCCTCCCAACCCCCAAGCAAGACATTCAAACCCTCAATTTCATCCGCTTTCCGCGCTTCTTTCGTGGGGGTTAGCTTAGGCCTAAAATCGCTTTACTTGGCCGCCGTAGATGGTTCCCGTTAGGATGGCCTCAAGTCTCATGTACGCACGAGTTCCGGGACGTAAGCCGGCGGCCGGGGAAGAAGGGGTTATAGAAAGGCAGAATTATTTAGCAGCGGACCCTGGCCTGGTAACACTTGCTATAGCTAGGTAACGTAGGTTGGTTGGTTAGGTGAAAATGGTCAAAGCGTATGTAACATCGCCGCGTGAGTGTGCAGGCCATCGGGTCATGATCCGCATATTGGGGTAGTATGATGTTGGTCTTCGCTTCGGTAGGTACTAAGCGAGAGGGTGTTTTGTTTTTGCTTGGTTTTTGCTTGTTTGAGTGGTCTCGAACGTGGCCCTGGGAAATTCTGTGGCCGCGATATGCGTTCGTCTTGGTTACTGCAGTTGTCGGTTATATCACAACTCAGTGTTTAGACTTATACATTCGGCGTTATTTATTATAGCATCGAGCAAGGTCTTATTGTCGCATGCAGGTATGGTGGGCAAAAGGAATGGTCAGTAAGAATTGTACTAGGGTACACACAAAATACTCGGCTAAGTCCCTAAATTATACTCGTAGGAGCGACCTATTCATTCGAGCAATGCCTATAAATATCTTAGACCATTGATGATGCCGTGTCCACGCGCCAGGAACGCGCTCAGGAAAACATTGTATTTATTGTGAGCACAGACATGTCCATCAACTTGGCTAACAGAAACCATGACGGGTCGCTATGGGCGCAACAAGCATTAGGGATTCCCCAGCCTTCTAGCCTAACGGATGCCCGCCCCGGATAGGAATTCGAGTATACGTAGGAAGCATCTCATACGATCATGGATTTGTGTCTAGAGCAATTCTTCGAAATTTTCACTGAAGTCATAATAAAGAGTCGATCATCGAACCCTTAGAGTCGCCGACTTCAATCAAGCGCGGGTAGGTAGTTCGAAGCGTGTAGTTATTGTTGGTGGAACAAGCCACTTCCTGAAGTCGTATTCAACTGTCGTCGTTTGAAATTTCCAATTGCTCTGAAACGATGACTTTTGAAACTTCATATTCGGAGATTTTATCGTCGCTATAGTATGCGAGCCATAATTATCCGCCTTAACAAATACCCTATTCAGTCACGTCACGCTGGCCGCTATCTTTGCAGTGTTTTCAGTCGTTTGTGTTGTTTGAACGATATAATTTCCGAAGGCAGAGTTTGATGTCACGCAAGTACCTTGGCGGACCGGATCGTATTCCGTTCTTGGGTTTGGACTAGGAATGACAGTTAACCGAAGCACAATTCTCCAGCCAGAAGGCGACGGGGGCCCAATTGAGATTGTTCATCGTCCCTTGACCTTGGACATTATGTCTGTGTTTCCGATCAGACCTCTTTTTTCCCTGGACAGAATATTCGATCGAGTGTTGAGATCCCTGTTGAGAGATCTAGCCCAGGTAGGGTGTTCCCGTGGGCGCAGCAGTATGGCGCAAAGCTGAACCGAACCATGATCTGAGCAGGGTTTCTGAGACAAAATGACCAAATCTCTATCGATCTCAAGCAATTGTTCTCTTCATAGACGAAACACGCGACGATTTGAACTTCGGACACAGCATAGTTAGATTGATCACACAGATACATAGAACCAAATCGGAATAGCGATCACAGTAGATAGGTGACACGGTTAATGACACTGGCGTCTTCTGCATGCTACCGTCCCCGCGGCCCTAACTGTTAGTCAGTAGCTTCGAGAGATTTAGGCTGTCGATCGTTGCGCTAAAGTATGTGGAACTCGGTATATAATGTTAAGTATAACCCTGTGAAAGAGAGAAGATAAAAGTTTTTCATTCTTCTAGACTCCATCATCAAGTCCCATATTCATTCTATTATCATCTTCATTATAATATTGAAAAGGGGGAAAGGCGAGATAAAAAATAAATGCTTGCGTGGCGCGTATCTGCGAACATATTACCGTAGGAAGCAAGTCGAATTGAGTAAAAAGATACCCCCTGTCAACATTTCGGTAGTGTAGCCAAGCTAAGCACATCATCAGAGCACTACGATCGTCTACCTACCAGATGGAGCTACCGAATTCTTAATTTTCTACCTATTTAGGTATGTAGGAGAACGGCACAGCGGCCTAATCGCCTATACACGTCCGTATTTATTCCCTTTTTGGTCGAGAAAAGGGCCATTAGATAATACAACGTAGTATGTTTACATTCGCCACGAGAACGAATTACAACTGATAAAAATTGTGATCTAAAAGATAGCTAATACATATCGTACGTTTGTCGCTAAATTAACCTGCATATAAAAAAACGACCCATTGTCCCTCCAAATTTTATGTTTACGCCAGTATTTGTGTGGCTGGGTAAATACCGACAGCGAGAACTGTAACATATAGACAAATGGCATCTGCATGGAAGCTCTTGGTACATATGCGTGCTACCTAAGAGTTCGTATGTAGTAGGTAGTATGAACTTCATGCCTTATAAAGCTCGTCTTATTACTTTCACGGGATAGACAGAATCCGTCAGCAAAAGATCCAGCAGGGGGTTTACGCAAGGGACCCTAGCTCTTAATGCGCACGAGCCGGGGAGGAAGATGGTGTTGTGCCCCGGATTTGAAGCGTTATGCCAAGTACGATGTAGTATAGAAGAGCGCTCGGCCTTATAGCGGCCCTTATTGGTCTACGGGTCTGATGGGGGGTTTGCCGAAGGAAAAGAGGCCATATCGGTTCTTGTTGTCATTTGTGGACATTCTCAACTTGGTAGGATGAGTAAGGATGGGGCGGGAACCCACGAACATATCGTATTTGACAATCAGCACCCTAACGCCATATGTGTTGACGCGGGTAGGATGTGAGTTTCATACCTACAAAGAAAAGACCGACATACTATGCTGGGTAGCCAAGGTGCTAGGGGCGAGTATAGACCCATGGTTTTCTATCGCCTAGATCATCCTAGGTTGCGACCTCAGATCCCATCGTAGCTTAGCGTATGGTGGTAGTCGGGGAGTCCTGGGTCCCTGGAATACAGCCATACAGTTCTGCTGTGTTGTACGGGCCGGCGATCATTTCGCATTTTGTTTAGGAGTTGCGGAAGGACGACTGTGTATTTGCATGAATTCCCCCTGCCAGATATCCAAACTTCTGGAGCATGGCAGCGATGGGGGTAGTGGGTTCATGATATACATATTCCCCAATCGCCCCTCTCTATGGATTCAGGTCTGTTCTTTTCGGATCTTGCTGTCACTTCATTCATCTCAACTTTATGTTCGACTCAGCCTTGCTCCCCGGGGCAAAACGTCAAGATGGCGTCAGAACAGGATACCCTAGGGCCGATGATGAACGCCGTCAACTGGACCTTGGTAGGGTTGGCGGGAACGTTCCTTAGTCTACGAATGTACTGCAAGTTTAGTCGACATCGAGGTTTATGGTGGGACGATCACATCTTAATATTCTCCTTCGTGAGTATTGGTATATCTCGCGGCCACCATGGGCTCCTTCTAACGGATATACTAGATATGCCTTATCATAGCCGTTGGTTTCATCACGAGCTCGATATCATTGGGATTCACGAGCCCGACGGGGCCTAAGTCACCAGAAGCTGCGACTCGGCTCCAGATTCATGGCGGCGTACAAAATGTCTTCTTCGGATTAGCGACAGTCTTGAGTAAAACGTCATTCGGTGTTACGCTACTACGAGTTACGGATGGTGTGCTGAAGAAGATCGTCTTATTCCTGACTGTTACGATGAACATAGCCGTATTTCTTTACATCATCTTCACCTTCTTCAAATGCGAGCCGGCTATATATTCGTGGATTAAAGGACCTGGTTGCTGGAGCACTGCGAAATACATTCATTACGGTATCTTCGCTGGAGGTACGTTTATTCTCATGACTGCCCCTGAATTCGGGGTACTCAAATCGAACCCTATGCTGACCCCCTGACTAGCATACTCTGCGTTTGTGGACTTTTCATTCGCTACAATTCCTTGGTTCCTGATTATGAACCTTCAAATGAGGAGAAGAGAAAAGCTTGGCGTCGCGATCGCTATGAGCTGTGGTGTAATGTACGAGTTACTGTCACCTGAAATTGATTCTTCACTAACTCTTACATAGTGCTGGTTTGACGGCTATTATGAGGTGTATTTACTTACCCCTACTCACTCTAGGGACATTTTCAAGTAAGCTATATGACTCCCTCGAAGTTTAATTTCGCAGTGTCTAACCCCCTTAAAGCCCAAGGAACAACATTGGTTATTTGGTATGTGGCCGAATCAGCGACCACCATCATTGCGGCATCGATCCCAGTTCTACGTGCTTTGATCAAGGAGATTTCATCATCAGTCGACCGATATACTCGTAGCACTGGAAAGTCGGGTGTGAAGAGTCAGTCGAAAGCTACCCCGAGGGGCTTACACGCTAGCAACGTCGTAACAACAGTCGTCGGTTCTCGACGAGATCCTAATGATCCCCATGCCGATGCGAGCAGCGATAAGAGCATTCTCGACGCGGGCCGAGCGCCCGCAAAAACCTCACCAGGACGAATTGTACAGACACAGGAGGTTCGATTGAGTTATCATGACCGAAGCGACAATGATAGTGAGCAGGGATATGAGATGGACTACATGGGAAGAAAATCGGCTTGAACTATGATACCCGTGATTATCACATCTCGCAGGGCATACGAATCCTGCCGGAGTTTTAAGATGTATGAAAATTTAGTATGAGATTCATGCGACACGTAATAGACGTTGTTAGATGGGCAATCTTCAAACTCCAACATGCCGCATGATTTGATGTCTGGCTCAGCCACGAGTCACCTCGATATTAATGAGGTAGGTGTATCACACCTTGATTACCTCTCAGCTAAACCTCCTATGTGAACCTTCAGTAGTCAGATCTACATCGAGCATGAAGCCCCTTTTTCGCCCCTTTCATGGCATCTAATGGATGGTATAGAATCCGCGGCGACTCCCCGGTGACATCCTTGACATGAATGATCATCTTACCAGACATCTCTTCGTAACATGAGGAAAGTAGTATTTTATTTCCTACTTGACGTTTATTGTGTAACCAACCATTATGATGAAGGTTCTCCTGAATTGCGCTTAAATTAGTCGCGTAGACCCGAACCAAGGGGTACTTCCTGGCAGAAATTACTTTCATGTGAGCGTATCGCCCGGCCGGTAACGAATTGATTTCTAGGTTCGACCGGTACCTTAGGTAGGTATGGTGACTCCGGGATAATATGCCACGTTTCTAGCCCAATGAGAACCGTCCCGGATAAGATTTTGCATCAGTAACACGCGACAAGCATGAGCGAGAACGCTTGTTGTCTCGGTATCCGGCGTGGCCAATTTACTATGTAAACTCGTCTAAGTAACCAAATGCGATGACCTGAATGGGAAGGAGATATAGCCGGCTGCGGTCCGAGGAACTGCAACTGACCGACGACGAATGTAACTCTTCCGGCAAGGTCACGTTATAGTGGGCGGTGAACCACTATGACCCTGGCTCGTTCGGCCGGGAGGATTCTAGGGAGATATGTATGCTAATGCAACGTTGGTCAAAATACAACTCTGACATTCCGGCCATAGAATTTTTGAGTAGTGGATTTCAATTACCCTAACGTCTAAAGGGAAAAGATCAGGAACGACAACCGACCTGCCATTCTTATAATAAATAGTCTCGGCTTGGTTCTTAGCCATGTGGTATATAGACCCCATTTTTTCGTCAATATCCATGTTCATCGTTTCCTCTACAAATCGATTGCCTTTGGAGTTCACAGCTATACTTGAATGAGAAAACCCCCGATTGCAAGTCGCTGATAATTTTTACTGTTATTGTTAAGGTCTAGTTACGAAGCAACATAAGGCCACAATGGATGGTAGTTTCGCAGGTTGATGAGGTATCGACTGTGGATTTTCTCTTTGGAGACCGTTTAGCTTAGTAGCTTCCGGTTGCGGTAACAGACCAATCCGGGTTTGAAACCTAGAGTTACCAAGCCGTGTCATACTTAGATACGAAGCCCCTGCATTGAGGGCTAGCCCGGCGAGAATCTCGAAGGCCCAGTGAATGCAACAGTATAACCATATCAATAACCCTTCACTTTAAGAGCTACCTTAGCCATCGCCAGTGGCAATAGGAGATGTCCGCTTCGGAATCCCTATGCCAGGGCCTAGGGCCATGGCTGTCGCAAATACACCCATATAAGGGAGCTACTATACCGTTGCGCGAGGAGCTCGCAATTAACTACTCTCTTGACTCAGATGAATTAGCCTCTGTGCTGCGGTGAAATCTTCATTCCTCGTATCTTAGGCCAAGGGTACTTTCCACGGTGATGGACAGAGGCTTCCAACACCTCCTTTAATACCACCCTTCCCTACAGCGAGGCTTAGGCTATACCCTCAAATATAACAGTTCCCCGTATGGTAATATCTAGCGATATCGGGAACTACCTCCACTACCAGTTATGGGCTTATGTAGAGGTAGTTACAGAGTGTCCAAGCGGGCTGAAGCGCATAGATACAGGTGAACAGTCTGTATGATGAATACCTAGGTAGGTGATTATATCTTGTATGTAAGACTGCCTTGGTACTAGGGAGCATTAAGTGGCCTGCCAAGGGGAGCCCTGCTAAGTACAACTCGAGTCATTACCCCTTTTCTCGATAATGGAATTCCGTACAACACCTTGAAATGGCCATCGATAAGGTTCCCTTATAGCTAGGCTAGGTAGTATTTGGCGATAAGTAAGGTAACGTTTGAACTGTTCGATATGGCCTCAGAGTTGAACGACCCGGTAGTGAGTTCCTGGACGTATTAAGTTCATGTATGAGGCTGTGATTTGAATTCGTTCCTGTGTAACGTCCTAGGTGCATATAAGAGGGAGTACACCTAGCGCCGGAAACATACACTGATATTCTTTGGAGATGTTAATATAGGGATGAACCCTTAGTCATCATGGTTTGATACTAAGGTACACTGATAGGCCATATTCATTGTGACTGGGGTGAACTCTTGGCCATCTGAATAGGCTTTACTGGAAGGTTAGTACTCGTGTCAATATAGAAATCATGTGCGACGTGAGATTCTTTGGGCACCTACATGGAATGCGTCAGCTTAGGCGCGAAATAAGCAGGAAGCTGCCAAAACCTCTAATGGGTTTAATCAACTAAGAGTTAGATAATCATACAATTGGGCCTTAATTATTCACGTATTCAATTCATCTTCGTCTGAACTGATTGTCCAAGGTCCCCAAGTTGTAGATAGCGCTAGTTTGGTCTGAACCCCCAGATTGACTGGATCAGACCCCTATGACGATAGAGACTCCACCCAGTTTTGGTGGGTAAGGAAGATCAATTAATTGGAAACGCAAATTTTCTGTGATAACGTATGCGAAAAATCTATGGTACTCTAAATCATCAGCTTTACGTGATAATAAGATGATATGAAGGATGAGTGTGAATTACATGATTATCTAGACTTACGTCAGCTAAGTTCTGCTCAACCTGTTTGGTTACCACTGCCAAGTTTCATCGCGATTTATTTTGTCGGAAGAGATTAAATGGACTTTTGGGCATAGGCGATACATATATTCATGTGATTCAGGACTGTGAAACTAGCAATATAGTTCTGACATGATTTACATCGTGGGGTGCGTTTTCGATCATAACTGGCAAATATCGATTCCTTGCTGTGAATCATAAAAGTCTCTTAAATCATAGGCGTCGATATATGCGGGACAATTCGCGGCAATGACAGCATCCTGCTGCGCGCCAAACCGAGTAAGGATAAGTGGGTAAGCCACATCGTAGATTTCAGGGTCCAGCTGACGTCCTCTAGAGGTTATAGGGAGTTGTAGAGAGGGATCTAGTGCGGCTGAAGTACCCATTCAAGGGATGACGAAAAGACGCACGGATCTACCAAGTATATTTCATCAGAGCGGACCCGATTCTGCGGCTCTTTGGTCTCGGCTCGCGACCATCAAAGAAACCCATTGGGCTGCATGCAGATAGTCCGGGTAGACCGGCTCTTTCTAGCGCTGCCAGTCTAGATTGATAAGTTCTAGCGTAGAAAAATGAAGTTGGTTGCGGTTTTGGAGGGTCTTCGACGGCATCGTCGGATACTCGGAGATGGGAAACCTGCTTATGTTCTAATCGTCTTACTCACGTCCGTGACGTATGGACTAAATCGCTCAGTATAAGTCACGAGAACCTCTCTCGGGTTCTGCGGAGTTTCCGTATCTGATCTATATCGTCGCGTAACTTTCGTTTCTGACAAGACTTTCATCCAGCTCACATTCATACACTTTGTGACGCTAAATCACTCGCTCGTCCGACTATTCGTTTACCGGTCCAGACGCACATAAACGTTTCTCGCCCCCAATAAAATAATTCGCGAGTTTAACTACCAAATCTTAACCAAAAACCACACACACACACAAAATCCAAAATGGACGATTTTCCTAAAACACTCATCATCGCCATTGTGGTGTCTGTGATCGTCGTTCTGGTCGTCTTCGGCCTAATACTCTACCTCGCACTGAACTGGACGAGAATCGTACACCGTGGTAGACGCAACAGCTGGCCGGAAACCGAAAAGGCCTGGCCACAAATGAGTAAATCTGACGAAAGCTACTACTCATCACCTGTATCCTCTCCGCGATCGTCAAGAATGAGCTCCGAGCCGATGGTGAACAACTTCAACGCTTACGACGAAAGTCCGATAACGCCTCCACGCAACGTCAAGTAATGAAGAGGGGGTTGTTTTGCTTTTTGCGACACACTATACCACGAATGAGTTACGAGACATGAATTGAATTATGATCATCTGGGAACACTGCATATGAGGCGTTTTTACGGAGCATCTATTGGATTTGAATAGCGGTGTGGCTGCATGATCAGTTGAGCATATCCGCTCGGCGTTAAGGGGAATCGAGATGATGAATTATCATTGGAACAAGAGATAAAGACTTTTAGAACCATACCATCAACCCGCAAGGTCTAGTGATTCCCAAATAGAATTACAAGTTGAATAAAAATGAAGATTTTTTCTAATCCCGGATGCACCGGAAGATGCAGTATGACATTCTCGTCCTGTTACTGGTAACGTATAACGCATTTTAGGTCACACACATAGAAACCTATCTACACCATTTCTGGCAGAAATCCGACGACGGAACGAGCCGATAACGCTACGAAACCTAAATTTACTTAATGCTTACCTACGTACGCGCGAAGGATGAGATCTAAGTAATGGCAACACGATCTATCGATTCCAAATCTACCGTAGGTATGAAACTCACCAAGTGACAACTCTCCTAGCCATGTGTTCCAAAACCATCGTATTAGCAAACACCTATGTATGAATAGTGAGCCGTACAATTCAAGTCAGTCTTCCGACCGAAACTACTAACTGGGCCATAACGCGATCTCAAAAGCAAGGCCTTCGCACTACTCAGTCTAACCACTACCGCCTCGCTATCGACGAACCCCACGAGTTTCGCGGCTATGGGTGTGTTCTTCGAAGTACTCGTCGTATTCTCGTTCTCGTACCCGTTCTCATCCCGTAGCTATTATCCCCTGCACACGCGCTAGAAGAAAGAGAGAGAGACAGACATATCGCGGAACGATATAGCTATTCCCACTACACGTTTAAGAAACGGGATTGCCGGGACATGCAGTTGTTCAAGGCGGTAGAGAGAGGAGAGAAGGGCGATTTGAACCGAGAGAACGACGTCGTATCAAGTAAATACCACTTTAGCGGGCGTTATAAGCTGACGGTCAATCCCTGAAGGCTCGTTTCTTTAGTGTTAAAGGGGGTGTGTGCGTTGGTAATTTTGATCAAATCAATATCAATTCCATCGTTGTCGCTTGTCGTAATACCCAATGAAATGTCGTAAATTCGAACGGATCGAACTTTACATGACTTGACACACCAATTCTCTCGTATTCCTTTCTTTCCTTGTTTCTACATCTGAGTACGGCACCAACTGCACGACCACTATCATCGCACAAGAGTAGGAAAGGTAGGACGGTTCCGAATTCAATATAGTCTTCGCCGGCGGCCGAAATATCGTAGTCCATGCCTACGCAGACTGTTTTGTCCTCGAACTTCATTTGGACCACGCCATCCCGGCAATTGGTGATGGCCCCGAAGGCCACGGTTCCTGCTATGTGCAAACGCGCTGTGATAAGTCGGCTATATCTATCTCCTCCTGCGACAGGCTCATACTTATAGCTTATCACTTGTATATGCATCGTGTCTGATGAAAAGTGCAACGGAGAGGTCCGTCCCCGGGATGAGGCCCAGGACCATGTAGGTGCAACGAGTGGACGAATTCGGGGTCCTGGGTTTCTCTCCGAGTTCTGCCATAGTAGATTGTGTGCGATCGTCTCCTTCCAAAGTCCAGCCAGATATGTGAGGGTGTGGCGTTTTGCATAGGCTTTTGCTATGCCAGCTATGGCGGGAAGACGGTCAGCAGGCTCCGAGAGATTCATTCGAGAATAAGTCGTGATAATCTCCTCCTCCCATGGTAGGTCGAGAAAGTCATTCTTGACCTTTAGTTTCATATAAAAGCCGCATTCGCATTGTGACTTTTCCATACACTCCCAGATAATTTTTTGTTGAGTGAAATGAATATTTCTTTTTGAAAGGGCGCGCTCTTGATACGCCCATCCCCCACTTGCGAGGGGATACACGAGGGGATCAAAATCTAACCTGCGATTTCCGTTCTCGTGTGTAAGCCACGAAGAGTGGTCCAGCTCGGGTCCGAAATAGATTGGGCATGGTGAAGTATCGGTGATCATTTTGTATTGTCGGCGATCGACGAATTTCTAAAAAGCCCCTCATCGCCATCAACGCAACCAATCCCAGACATAGTGATAAAGGCACCCGCATATATAATTGCCATATTGCCCGCTTGAGTATTCCAATCATGGGGTTATCCTTAATTAGGCAATCAGAAACATGGGTTAGTTGGGCTCTGGGGGACTGGTAGGCAACTTTGTAATAAAAGGCCTCTTACTTGGATGATACAGAGACAATCAATCCAAATATACTTCAAACCTAATTCGCCAGCAACTGTGATTACATCCCGAAACAGTTTATACAAGGAGCTTTGCGGGACCTCTTGTCGAAATTTGTCGAGTTTTCCTCTCGTGAGCGAAGCCGCCTTGGTTTTTGGCCCCCAACGATAGCTCAGGGCTGCGAACTTCGCGTTTGAAGTGCCATCTACTAAACGGACTCTTGCTGATTTATGATCCATAATTTCGAGTATCCGTATTTCCCTGGGCAATGCAGTTACCACTATACCACCGTGCAAGCAGCAAGAGTGATTCGTCGAACAATCATTGCTCCATTCCTTAATACGCTCCATAGTCTCGGCACTCCCAGTATTGGTACCAACAGAAAGACGTGCGCGAGCGAAAGGATGGAAATTCCTATCCACGTTGCTAGAATCGTTCTTATATGCAAGAAAGATCTCCCGGGACCAGAGAACCTCAAGCTCACCATACTCATTATGACCGCAAAACCGTAAAATATCTGGGAGCCATTGAAAATAACTCGATTGATGACGGGGGTCAGTAAATGTACACAGCCGGCCGATATACGCACATACATGACAGCCTCGTTGTATGGATTTCTGGAGATTATCAGCCGTGACGGTGTGTGCCAGTCCATGGTTTGGCTTAAAATTAGATTTGAAAAGAGTATCACCAGGGATTTGTGCAACATCATTGGGTAGCTTGAAGAGACATGCAACGCATCGAGCCTCGGCATTTTGAAGAACTAGGAGAAGATAATTGCTGGAAGCGTGTCCGGTATTTTCGGGGCCGGGATTCATATTGCGTACCTACCTATGTAGGTATAGTGTGAAGGAAGCGAAACAAGATGGTAAGCGATGCCAGCGGGGTGTGCAATTTTATGGAACAGTCGTGCAACCTTCAAGGCTGTGTGAATGTAGGACGCCAGTCAACAATTTTTCCGTAAAAGGGGTCGGTTCCGAGCAAGCTCGGCATATAATGGGATGGATATATGAGGACTCAATCTTGATGTTTATAAGCACTAAGAGCCGTGGTGATCGTCCTGAGTAAAATTTGGGAAGATATGTGTCGAGACAACTCACTCAAAATGCAAAGAGGCCTCAGTGTTGATAATCTTCATTTTCTTTATCGACAAACCCAGGGGATATCCTCCACGAGTTCTAACACTACCCAACTATGTGCACACAAACTGCGTGTTGTTTTTCTGATACCCAGCTCTCCTCAACTAACCACATCCCTAGAAATACAGGTAGAAGGTACTAGGTAAAAACATTAGATATACAACTCCGCCAGTCCTCCGAGAGGCTTAGTGTTAAACATTATACAAAAAGTGTGCGGCCTATTTTTCGGACCTGTCAAATATACAATAGGATTGAACAATAAACCAAAGGTAACCTTTTAATACCAACGCCGATGCTGAATCCAGGGAGCGAGCGCACTGCTCTAACCTAACCAAGGTTTATGGATGCATTGTCTCTGTAAATGCCAAAAAAGGTAGAGCAAAAAGTATATATGGTACTCGTTGGTGTTGATTTCATGGGATCGTGATATGTAGAAACGTGTCTACTTCGAAATTAATTGGCGGATCAATCATTTTTATGACTGTAAGCTCTTGAAACGCCCTTCAAACGCTTTCACCTTTTCGGCCTGGAGCTCCCTCTCCAATTTTCGGGTTTGGCTGATAGCTGCTTCACGTTCTTCTTGCAGTTGTAGAACTTCGATCTGGGCGGTATTCATGCGGCTAACAACCTGCTGCATCTCACCATCCGTATCGGCAAGTGCATTTTCGAGTTCGGCAATGCGAGCACGAAGGTTGTCAACCTGGGCCTCCTCAGACACGTTCATGGCGGGACCAGAACGTGTAGAACTGAGGCGAGGCGATCGAGCACCCGCCGCTGCGAATAGAGGAGATAACGGCGACTTGGGCGGGAATGTACGAGGGGAACGTAGGCCTTCGCGCATTCGCTTTAGTTGGTCGTTATGACTAGCCCTGAGGGTGGACATCTCTTCCTCATGACGCGTAATTCGGTCCTCGGAAGCATTTTGCGCAGCCTCCAACTTCTCTTCAAGGACGCGGAGATGCGCTTGCATCGTGGTGATGCGGCCTATGTTAGACTTCTGTTCAGCTTCGCCGCGAGCGACCGTGTCTGAGATTCTTTGACGTAGAGTCTGGTTGATAGTCAGCTGTTGGCGGACTTGAACAGCCAATTCTTCAACACGGCGAGCTGACTCGCTTAATTCGTCAGCAAGGGCCTTTTCGGATTCTAAGTAAACTCGCTCCCCAGCCTTAAGCATATCAAGCTGCTCCTTATAGGATGTCGCCGCTTGACGAGCAAAATCGCGCTCTGAGACAGTGAAGGAAAGGGTCTGCTCGAGTTTCTCTATGGCAACCTTGGTCAGTTCATCTTGCGAGCTACTTGACTCTAACTTCTTGATGCGCTCAAGAGACTCGGCATAGGCTCTTTGGAGGTCCCCATAAGCTACTGTCAAGGATTCCGACGTTATAGGGACAGCCAATTTGTCGCTGCCGTTACTTTGGCGTGCCAGAGAAGGAGGGATAAGAATATCCTTCTCATTGAGCAGGCTTCTGAGTGATGCGATCTCCTGTTCGGTTCGATCAAGGTCCATCTTAAGCCCACCGAGTCCCTTTTCGACTTGCCACTTCTGCTCGAGTGCCTCCTCAGCTCGTCGACGCAAGACATTAATCTCGGCTCGTAGGTTGGATATCTCCTTTTGGAAACCGGCTTTCTGTGGGGATTCGGTAAGAAGTCGATCACGTTCCATTTCAAGGACGCGAATCTTCTTTTCGTTTTCCCTGTTTTGATGTTCTTGTCTTTCCAAAAGGTTCTTTAGAGCTTTGTGTAGAGCATCTCGCTGTTCCTCGACATCCTTCAGTCGATCTGACAATTGATCTCGAGATTCACTAGTCTTAACTGACATAGACCTCATCAAGCCAGAGGGGGGTCTTTGGAGCTTGAAGGATGACGGGGGGCCGGTCAAAGAATTGGATCGAGATAATCGAGACCCGATGGATCCGGCTTCCTCCGAAATAGTATCCATTGAGTTAGTATTCATCTGTTTGAGTGACGTGTTTTCGACTTTGAGTGTTTGGAGCTCCTGTTGCATTTTTGTCGACTCATAAGTCATCTTCTCCAAATCCGTCGCTTGCGCCTCGAGGCCTTCTACACGAGCTCGAAGTTGAGGTACAACCTCATCCCGAAGATTGTCGCGCTCGTTAGAAGCATTTTGGAGTTCGCCCTTGAGAGCTGTAAGCAAGTCCTCGAAGTTATCCTTGACTTGGCGCTCCTCGGTGAGCTTGCGTCGTAAAGTCTCACAAGTACTTTCTAGTTCCTTAATACGTCCAGTAGTATCAGCACTGTTAACCTTTTCCAAATCAATCTGAGATGCTCTGTCCGAGAGCTCCTTGATCTGCTCATCGAGCTGATGTCTCCTGGACCTCTCATCTTGGAGTTTATCGGTCAACTCAACCCTAATCTGAGCCTTCTCTTGTTCTGATCGTCTCTGGATTTTCTCAATCTCTTCCCTCGATTGATCATATTCGCTTAACTTCGCGGTGCTATATCCTGAATCGGAGAAGTAGTCGCTGGTTCTCTTGTTTCCACCCGTTGTAGGATTGTCCCTTTCTGCTTGTAATCTGTCAACTAAATCTTCTAGGTCCATCTCGCGACGAATTGATGCAGCCAATTCGGCCGAGATGGCCTTTAGCTCTTCTTCCATCTCTTCAATTTCGTGGTATGGCGATATTGTAGCGGTCGGTGGGGTTGCCAAATAGGATTCACAGTATTCCCTGGAATTGGGGGATCCAAATAATGCCTTTGGGGCTTCGAGTAGTGATTGTGGTCCAACTGTGGTGACTGGGGATGCATCGGTAACGCTTGTTGCCTTTGAGAAGTTAAAAGGCGATGGGAGAGGCGAAAAGGCTTTGTCCGAAACCTCTGTATTCGAAGGAGAAGAGGCCCAACCAAAGAACGTCCCTAATTTAGATGAGCCTGGGGATTTTGGCAGCGGTTTATCGGTATTAGGCGTTTTTAATTCAGGATAATCAGCTGTCGGGGTCAAGTCGTCTTGCTTGAGATTCAACTGTGGAGGGGTAGCTTTGCGGGTAACATGCAACGACATAGTATTAGAACGATTAGAATTACTATTATCGGATGAATCTGAGTGATATCCGTCGTAAATATTTTCACTTAGCGGATCCTCCTCTTCGTCGCTAAAGAGGTCGTCATACGTGGTCTGCTCAGGTTGCGACAGGTCGGTGTTGTGCTGCGTTTGAGAAGCGTCAGGGTTGCTAGCCCGGGAACTTGGACGTTTGACTTCACCCGCTATGACAGCCGGGCTTGGGTCGGCAGAGGCCAATGGGTGACACGACTCGGAGGGTTTTCTGGTTAAATTCGAGAATTAATTAGCAACGTCTAACTTTTTTAATATATCGCGTTGGATTGTAGATTAATGAGACCTTGACTCACTCCCTGTTTCCCTGGATCAATATGATATCGTTTGGCGATTCCAGCGCGGGCTTAAGAACAGGCTGAAGCGCGCGATGAGGAAACTCGTACACGGTAGGGCTGTCTACCGAGTAGGAACGGGAAAAGCGCTGCTCTGGTTTCTTTGCAATGGCGAGATACTCCCCAGAGGAATATCTAGCGGTGATTGGCGACGCGGTGGACGATAACGGCTTTCGTCGAATAGACCGTACCGACGGCAAGGACGCAGAGCTATCGATCACCAAGTTTCTTGTGTTTCTCGAAACCGGTAGGTCGGGACCTGAGGCGAAGGATTGCGATTGGCTGTTTGGAGGGCGAGGAAACGGGTGCTGAAGGAAAGATAGATCAGATGAGGCATGAGAAGTCTCAGAGTTGGCCGTGAGGGAGGGCGGGCGCGGATAGTCTTGCACCATCTGGCTCGGCAGGGTAGAGTGAGGAACAGACATGGTGGTCGATCTATTCCCTGGTCATATCACTCATGACTAGTCGGAATGTGTGGAGAGCTACAGGCCAGGCCAAGAGATTATTGACTCGGTCTGCCAGAAGAGATGGTAATGTTTCACTGACAACCTTACAGAGAAAGGGCAACATTGAGCAACCCAACAATTAGCAGTTGACGACCAGAAAGGTGTACGGCAGAGAAAGAACGAGAGGACCAGAATTCATCCAAGCTGGGGGTTGGAATTAATCGAAAGGGGCATGGCGGCATGGGCTACCATTGGGTAGCGTCGCAATCGGTCTTTTACCCATTATTAGACCAGGAAAAAGATCAAGGGTATAAGGAGCATGGGGACTTCTGTGGCTCCTGCGTCTTCGTCTTGCAGGCGCTTGAGAGTTGACAGGCATCCTCTAGCGTTGTTCAGGTTCCCCAGTTGCTCCCCTGGATTGTCCCTTTTGGTTCGTTTGGCTGGAAAAAAACGATTCTACTGGCTGGCCATTATCTTGACCCCTGTCAAGCTGCCAATCACTTATTAACATTCCGCGATTCAGACCTAGTGGCGTCCGTTTTTGTACATCTGCAATTTTACTTCCCCTGTAGTCGAGGGTATCCCTTCTAGCGGACGAGGCTAGCAGGTAACAATATGTTTTGTAGGTGTTCTCGCAAGAATTTAGCTGAGAGGGAGGGAGAAATATTTTGGAATATTTCGGTCGCAATCCTCGCCAAGGACCTAGATCCTGTTGCGCGTTTCTCCTGCACACTGCAGGTACCAATCTGCAAGGCAACGGCATTTAGGTAAATGATCGTCAATGCACTTGCGGGGTGTATTGTTCGCTTAGAGGTGCGTGTTACTGTAGGTAATCTCCATAATCTCGACTTCACGATCTTGACTTTCCCTTTTCGAGACTTCTAGATAAAGACCGATTGTTTAATAAGCTGATTTGCCCGATTCGTAGCGGCTCAAGCGGCTAACGGGAAATTTGTAGTTCAATCGTCGTCCTATCGTCGGGCTTTTGATTTTCTTTTTAATTTTGCCATCTTTCTATTAAAGAATAGATAAAGCGCGCGGCAAGACCAGTATCCACGATTACGATGAATATTTCGTGAAGATAAAAATGTGAGGCTGGCGCAGGGTTATGCTTGAGGTTATGGAGAGGCTCTACGAACGGGCGACCCTGAATTAAGACCCTGTCTCGTTGTTTTGCAAGGCCTGACCCTGACCAGCAACTAGAGGTTCAATAGACAGTGCTTTAAACGCTTTTATTAGCAGCTTATTAGTACCTAACTAATCTGAGCCTCAAAAAACAACGGCGCCTCGTAAACGTTGTACGTATAACGGATATGAATCCTGTTGGCGCGTTTCACAGGAAATGTCTTTTAATGCCGTCATCTTCAAAGTATGAGTTAACGAGAAGTCATCGCAAGTATCTATACTCAAAATACTGCGAATTGATTTGTAGCGATGTCTCAACGAATCGTTCAGCATTGCAGCAAGAGTATGGCATTCAGGCTGAGAAGGTCGGATTCCCCGCGGCCGATCAGGGGTTCTTCAACAACACAATTGATTGATTGCCAGTCAGCCAGCCAGTCTGTCAGCACTTTGCTCAATCCTTGTGCGCATCAGTGGGACGACCTTCTAAAGTTGGGTGGCTGTGTAAGTTGGTAGGTAGGTGAGGCTAGATTAATTGCCGCTCACCTTCCTAACATCTTCAAGCTGACCGAGAAGCTCTCCGAAAGGATGATGGCCAATTAATTAAAATATTGTGAATGGATGCGAGGGATTGCTGCAGCGAATGAAGATTCTCATATGTGGTACTATGTTAGGAGATGTAAAAATGACGAATTGAATTGATTATGTGAGAAATGAAATGTGAGAAACACGATTAAATGGCGTAACCCCCAATCTGATCACATGGAAAATTCCGACTAGACAAGAATAGCTTAGCGTCAGGGACAATGTGATACAATTAAATACCTAGGTACTTATTAAAGTCTTAGATGTGACCAGAGACTTTCATTGGCCAATCATTTGTTACATAAAGAAGTGGTCAGCTCTAAGAATCAATTAAAATATTGAGGGCAATAATGTAGTTTCACAACTATAATATGTAGAATATACTATCCAACTGTTAGTTGAAGATCAACGTGGTGTTCAAGTTAGAGAGACCGTAGAAAATAGAACGCAGTCTTCGTACACGGGGATGCAAAGTACCTAGGTAGATACTCTTGCATCGGATGTGCATTTCACAAATGACCTTGTTTTCGTACATTATCTTGCTGCATGTATGTACCCTTCTGAACGAAAACTCCAATCCAATAAAAAGGTTAGAAACGTCGGAGTTATTAAACTAGTCATACACCGATCAGTACATGTATTGTCGTAGCACATCCAATCGAATTTTTATGCAGTACCTAGGTAGTCGTAATAGTAGCGAACGTGCTAAAATCGCCGAAGTGGAACTCGAGACGGAATATAACAGATTTGCATAAATGATTGGACCGAATAATACTTTGTTAGGGCGGGAAAGACCGGCACAACATCGGTGTTCCGTGACTGCCTTCTCCCACATTGTGATATATACTATCAAAAATGACAAATTCATCAAGCCCGGTTAGCTCAATCGGTAGAGGTCAGTTCACATCCGATTAATTCTTCATCTGTATATCATAACTAACATCTTCTTCAGCGTGAGACTCTTATAGCGGAATCATCTCAAGGTTGCGGGTTCGACCCCCGCATCGGGCTCAATTCCTGATGCTTTCCAGTCAACTGGAAAATGCAACCCCCTTTCTTTTTACTATTTTTGTTACTTTCCCTCATTGTTGTGGATTATGTTTTTCTTTTGTTGGATATTTGGGTGAAGATGACCTGTAAGAAGAAAGCAGTGACGCTTCGGTGGGGGTTTCGTATGCGTGCTTACTCCATATAATGTTTTACTTGTGCAGAAGTCGCGGAAGAGATGCATGATCATTACCAATCCACCTATTCGGGTGGTCCCTCCTTACCTCCTCGGTACGTTATCGGTAAGCTCGGAGTCATCTTCAGCCCTCTGTTACACCAGCGATACGCCCGGGGTTTCTACACAGTGGAACACGATACCCAAAATGCCGTGCGTCGTAAGAGCCGCAGCGGGTATGCTGTTTCATTCCCACGATCCGACAAGGAAAGCCCCTGACGTCATACGAGACGACAATATTTATGTGGCGCCAGCCACCGAAAATGAAAATACTTAGCAACGATTGCTTTTTTTCAGTATGTCATAAACGCCAACGATTTGAAATTGCTGCACTTGTCCGTAATCCTCAAAGCCCTGCTGGAGGTTGCCGCCGATGGCACCTCGATCGACATGTTTATTGGTATTATCCTTTTAGGATTGTCTCAGTCCTTCAAATAAGTAGGTAAGGAAAAGGGGGTGCGAATTTCATCGCTATATCATCCTGACGTTGTCAACTTCAATGTTCTGATTTCCAAACTCACCACGGAGATGAAGTAGCAGTGGGTCAAAGATTCAAATACCTAAGTATAACCAATTTATGAACGCGAAATATGTTAAGCAATGCATATAGACAGATGCACACATCAACAAAGTATAATCCCGCTTACCCTAAACACCAGCGCCATGCAGCTCATCACAAATTCATCAAAACACGCTGCTCCTACTCCACTTATTAGCAGCCCTGATCCTCCTTCCAAAGAAGTAAAACACATACGGCACGGGAATCAACAGACATGCAAACCCCGCGAATATACTCGTTCCGGGCCCAACACCAATATTATGGTATAGCGGCGTAACGACAAGCGGGAAGGCTGCTGCGAAACAACTCCGCATGAATGTATTAGCCGCCACGGCACTCGCCGCGTACATCTGGAATGTATCGACCAGATAATTAAGCGCGGCCTGGAATATAGTATTGAAGCCACATCCAGAGAGGAACATCCCAATAACAGGAACAATCCACGGCGCCACGTCGGGATCCGCCGTCCAACCTGTAACGAACTGGCCAGCCGCGAAGAGCACGGACCCGAACATCATTGGTGGCAGGCGTTTTTCGGGGACTGGTCGATCTCCCACAGCGTGGTAGGCCTTGTTGTAGTAGAGCTGGTTCGACATGTTGATACCAGCGCCAGCAATCGAACCAAGTAGGATAGCTAGGAAAGGCAATTCGCTCGAGATCGTGGACCAGCCCCGGACCTCGCCGAAGATGATGGGTACGGCGCCTAGCTGCATGTACAAGATACCATAACAAAAACTGGCATACAGCGCGACTAAGAAGCAAATCGGTGTCGAGAGCAATTGAATGGGACGGACGAGGAACTTGCGTGCGAGTTCCATTACACTAACATCCCACTCTTCGAACTTCGCGTGGAGCGCCCAGTTACCCGTCTCTAGCCGTAGGCGCCTTGCCTTAGTGACAAGTAGCCGCGGAGGGTACGACTCATCGATAAATATAACGGCTATAACCAACACAGCAGATTGTAACATCCCCGTAGTATATTCCGTCCAGCGCCATCCGAGACTTGGCTGTGCGACGACGACTGCCGAGACAATTGGTCCTACTGTCGGACCCCCCACGACCGCCATTGCGTAACCCGCCATCGCGATACCGCGATACGCCGGCGTGAACAGGTCTCCAAGAACACCACCTGTATTCGTCACAGGAGCTGAGGCAAAAATGGCGCCCCAGAACCGGGTCAACATGAGAGTTTGAAGATCCTTAGCGACAGCCGAAGCGAATGAAAAACATATAGATATGAACATAGGCGTCAGCACCGCAACACGACGACCATATACCTCCGACAATGGCGCCCAGAGCAGCGGTCCTATTCCAAAGCCCAGTAGGAAAAGTGTGGTACCTAGTGTCGCGACTTGTCTGCCAACGCCGAATTGCTCTGCGATTTGCAGCGTACCGGCTGAATATGATGAGGACGCCCAAGTCGCAGTCATAGTAACCAGACCGTAAAGGAGCGTAGTAACTACTTTTTTATGTCGCGGCCAATTCACCGGACGATAGGGATCATCGGGCCCGTCGAAATCGACTAGATATTCATGTCCAGTCTTTTCCCTAGCAAGCGGATGATTGAACGGCGGAACCGTCGGCCGCGAGCGTATGCGCGACAGCGCAGTATCCCGTCGAGACACAGTCCGCGACAATGTCCGCGACGCCGGATCCTGCACATCCCTCCCACTTGCGCGGATCTGGGACGGACGAGTGTCAAGAGTGCATGGTCGATGACCATCGTGATATTTTTCCGTTGGCGGGCATTCGCAACTTTCCGAGTCTCCATCTGGAGCCGTTGCGGGGGAATCGGCGTCAGGAACCGGTTCCCTGGAAGAGGAAGATCTTCCGTGCGAATGTTCCGAGTCCTCTTCGTCTTTAATTATCGACATTGTTACCCCGTAGATTATTACCTATGCCCAGAAAACCAAAGCATGCGCAATAAAGACCAGCGTCAAAAGTAAAGAAAATTAGTGTCGTCATCCAAGTTAGCGGTATTTTTATTTACATCATAACCTTTTCGGTTATACGGGATCAAGATCGAAGAGCTAGTTGAGAAGAGCTCCAATGCTGCTGTTCCGATGACGTATTGATTTTCCAGAAACGTTCAAGCCGCTAACACAGCGACAGGGTCCAGAGGTTAAGTACTAATCCGGAGCTCGATGATAACAGGCAAATAAAATTGAATTAAGTAAGGTAGGTATGACTATTATACTGAAGATTACATGTACCCCGGTTAATTCTGCAATCTAGCACTGTTCAAAGACTAAGACATCATTCGAGAAAAGTCTAGATGACAATAACGTTTCGGCCCCACTCCGGCCGCGACCGCATCCGAATAGCCGGTAATCCCCGAGGTGCATGAGAATCACGGAATGTAATTAAAAGTCACGGAATAATAGCCTGTCCATGTTTAATTTGGTTATCATAAATTTTATCCTTGTATCAACCTTGGAGCCCATAGTAAACATGCATGAGCAGTAAGAGGATTCAGGGGCTGGTTACGACTCCAAGCAAAGTAATGGTAAGCCACTCGCGTTTAGCTCGCGTTCCGAACAGATAAAAATTGCATAGACTTATTATTAATCATGTAGAGTTTCCATTTGTAGTTAAAATGCGAAGTGTGGCCTAAAGTAAGCGCGAGACCATCAAGGTAGCAGGTCGGATTTGTCGTATGACTCACGATAATATCTCAGCGTGGCTTTCCAAAAATTCGAGATTCCGAAGGTACGGGATCCCGAATAACCGGATGAACATCTATCGCAAGCCGAACGAGTAAGCCTCACAGCCATCGCTAGGCTTTAGGGTTCTATTATGTATATACATTAGGTGTCGTATGGTCTATGATCTATCGTCTATATACAGATGGGCCACCGCGAATTGTCTAACTCGCTGCCACGAACTTTATCTAATTTTATAGTTTAGGGTTGAATTTGCCGCGAATACGCTCGCCGAATTTATAGAAAACGAGCGGTATTGGGATAAGCGCAAGCGCGACGAATGCGAGCAAGCTGTTGCCCCATCCGAGACCTAGAGCATCGTACATTTCTAAGCCACCAAGGGGCAGGAGCGCACCGAGCAAAGATCGGAGCACCGTCATGGCGGCCGTGACTGATGCAGCGTAGCGGGGATATGCATCGAGAAGGTAGTTCTGGACGCAGAACTAATTGATAAGTTAGCTTCGGATAGACATTTATCGAATGGGAAGATATATATGACTTACCATAACACCCATAAGTCCCGCACTGAAGATAAGTACGCCGATCATAGGAACGATCCAGTGTACGCCGAAGTTGGCCGTCCACCCATAAATAAAGAGGCCGATGGGAAGTACCTAAAAAAAAAAAAGCAAATTAGCCCTTCCCAATCCTTCTGTATGTTAAAAAAATCTCATAAAGCTTACAATACCACTAGGGAGTGTCAAGACTGGTGCAATTCGGACCTCGGGCCTATGCTTAATCCCCTTTGCTTGATTCCGGCTAACCATCTTGTCTGTGAGCTGTCCGAAGACAATAACACCAAACATCATACCCAATCCAGCAGGGAGGTACGTCAAGCCGCTGTTACCCTCGCTGAAGCCGTACTGTTCGGTGTAGACAAAAGAGAAGGTTGTAATCAACAAGTATAAAATGCCGTAGGTAATGGCGACGTATAAAGCCATGAGGGTGACGATCGGTGTAAGTACAAGGAGTTTCATCGGACGAATGATGGCTAGTTTGAACTGATCTTTAGGGGATAATCTTCCTGCGAGCTTGCTGCGTAGACTCGGGTTGTTGGTTTCTTTTCGGAGTCTGCGAACCTTCTTCTCAAGCAAGACGGGGGCGAACGTCTCTCGGAGAAAGAAGAAAGAGACAGGGATAAGAGCTCCACCCTGTTATTTTCGTTAGTTAACACACTATAGGATGAATAAGCCTCGAGTAGAACTACTTACCATAATGCAAAGTAGCCAGTACACCCATCTCCACCCGACAGCTTCGATCAAGTAGCCGCCAGCAATAGGACCGACACAAGGTCCAAGCAGGGGCCCCAGCGCCCACGCCGACATAGCCCGTCCGCGTTTCTCAACTGGCATCAAATCTGCAATGCTGCCGCTTCCAATGGTAATGGGAACCGAGCCAGCAAGGCCCATAAGTAATCGGAACGCAAAAAGCATCCCGATGCTGTTGGCAAGAGCAGCACCAACGGAGAAGATAACGAATAAGATATTGCCATAGACATATAATGGCCGGCGGCCAAGTACCTCGCTGAGCGGTGCTATGAGAAGTGGCCCAAAGGCAAATCCCAAAATATATACGCTCACAAGAAATGTTGCTACTGTCGAAGACGTCTCGTGGAACTCTACCAAAATGCGAGGAATACCAGGGGCGAACATTGAGGAACCCAGTGGGCTATGGTGAATTAGTACGAGTAAACATGAAAGAACCTCAAAACGTATAAAAAAAATGAAAACTTACGTTACAATCGTCATTATCGACAAAATACAAATATTTAACCACTTCTTCTTATCAGTCCAGTTCATAGGGTTCTCTTGGTCGTTCGGTCCATCCCAGTCCACAACGTTCGGGTCTTTCTCGTCGGCGTTGGTATCGCGGTTATCAAGGCCCGTTTCAACATCTTGTTCTGAATCTGGACCAACAGTTGATGAATCCATATCAGGTATTATAGCGGTCGAGGGCCTACGACCGTCCCTTTCGACACCTGTCGGTTCCATCTTGGTTGTGTTGTCAGGGGTATTGGTATGGTACGTTGGTGATATCGTTGTCTAAAATACTCCTTGGCGCCTGAGGAGATTTTTTCGGCTTGGACGAACAACAATAAACCGTGGATGACATGGATCTGTGAACATATATAGCCTTATTATTTATATAGCTTTTTCGGATGAACATGTAGCAGAGCCCGAACACACACATGATGGGGCCCCGGATGCGGTTTCGTCCCGGAGCTAGTTGACATAAATTTGTGCAAGCCCCCCACATGGACTGACTCTATGTGGGCTTCTAGCTGAACTCTTCGCTTGCGACAGCGATTCAGCGTTTTGGTCTGACGATTCATTTGCTGGTTGCGCGGACTAGGCTCGGAGCATCACGGTCAATGTCCGGGTGCTTGCATAAATTTATGCAAACACCCTTCTAGAACTTGACTTTTACCCCTTTTGAATATCGATCGGGATTCAAGATATACATATCCGTGGACTGTTGAAACCTGGAACTCGAAGGTTCTATCATTAGTCTTGAATGCATCTAGTAACCTGGCTGTCGCTCATCTGGATCTACCGCACATCAGTAACAATGACGTTACGTGATATCGATAAAACATCATTGATGAAGTCACGGCAGTGGACTTGGAGGTATTGAATATCGATTCTAGTTTTTTAGTAGTATCGCTAATGTCCGGATTTGTAGTCCAATAGAGCAGAGTCGAGCTATAGCATAATTAATGGAGACTGTCAAATTTCTCAGAGTGGACTTGAGCATATTAAGGAGTTGACGTTTGACATCTACTAATGCCAGGGCGTGGGAATTCCATAGATCAATCTGACAAGTGGTCGTTGCGCGATTCATGCTAGTGGAATAGAAGCCCCTAAGTAATGTCAAATGCGGTATCTCGGATTTGGCTGAATCCCGTACGTGATATGCGACGAACCTATTCAAGCCGTATGAAAGTAATGCAAAGAATATGCCAAATAGGAGTAGTTGAATAATCCTAATATCATATGTTAAGAAATCGAGTCCACACATTTCTTCCCTCTTATCGCCATTCGACCGGCACCTCATTTTGTTGAATATCATTAACCCGAAACATCTCCGGATTCCTCAATGGCGTCCACATCTCCTCTTCGCTCACACGATACGGCTCGATTTCATTAAACTTAATGATCGAGTATGGCGGGATAGCTTCATTGAATTGATGCTCAAAGCATACCAAATGCTCTGAACTCAGAACCCACTCTTTGCCGCGCCACTCCACGAACGCCTGTAGATGGAACTCGACATCATATCGTTTCCTCTCTGGATCCCACCGACGTCTATATTCAGGGGGAATAGTTGTGAATGGATCCCACGTGAACTCGGAGGGGTCTAGACCCGCATTCTCCTGTATATTCTCAAAGTATTGCCCTAGACCGACCATCACCTTATTATCAAATCCATGGTCCACGAACACGGCATTACCGTATTCACCATACGAATTTTGGGACTCGGCAGGCGGATTTACCTCGATTCCAAGCCGGCACCGACGAACCGGCGGGCGGAAGCGGTCTCCTGTAGTCAAGGCCGTGCGGTCGATTGCAGGTAACACGCAGCGCAGAGTTCGCACGTCGAGATCTGGGTGGCCCAGCAATCTCCATAACTCGGTGCCGTCTTTAATCGAATGCAAATCGAGAGCGATATGTCTAGTCCCCGGGGGATACACACCCCAGCGCGGCCCAATGTCCTCACCCCCAGGAGATCGGCATACGGTTATGTACAAGATATCGAGATCCGGTCGAAAAGCGCGGAATGGGACGGGACAACCGGCGATGGGCGAGTAGCGGAACCGCGTGTGTGATATGGTGACCTCGCGCGACTCGTGGCAAACGTGCATTAATTTGGGGAAGCCTGTGTCTACGAGGAAGGGGAGGTATGTAGGTTGTTGTGAGGTAGGAATGTGAGAAGAGGTATTGGGACCGTAGGATAGCTTCACTTCTTCTAGAGGCCACGGGATACATACTTCTGGGATGTCCTCGGGAAGAGCGTATTCCCAAATGAGTAGACGTAGCTCATGCGGTAAGTTGTTGAATATCGTGAAAGTAGAGATGTTCACGTTGGCCGCCATATTGAATATCCCTTTTCGCGCTTTTCACAACTTTTGTTTTCTTACTGGTGGAGAAGGAGAAGAAATAAATTAGTAAAAGTGTTAAGTGTCTCCTGATAGTGAATACCGCCGGTAAACTATTTATATGAAGCAGTGTAGCCATCTGTAGATACTAATACGGAACTTGCAAGGGTATAGAGGGGCTCGGCTACATATACGAGCTATACGCGAGTGCTCGCTGTCTAATTGAGAGTTTCGTCAACATAACTATAGCTTAATAGGATAAAATTATTATAAGGTGGTCGATTCTGTAAACATTCCCTCATACAATAATGATTTATAGATTAGTATAGCGGTTATATACTTAGGTTTGCAAAAACGGTACAAGGGGGCGGGATCCTAGCTACTAACGTGATGATTTTTGTAAACCAACAGCCCTCTAATTTTTACTAAACTTGAGCCGGAACGCCAGGCGATGCGTAAATAAAACCAGAAAATAGATAACAATATCATAACATCAGATCAATTAGCTCGTAATTAAGCCTTCTCTTGCAACGTCCGCCGTCGAGTGTCTTCTAACTCTTTGCGGATGTATTCGTTGAATTCATTCGGGTTGTCGAGGTATAAATGGTGTCCGGCTTTGCTGACGATAACAACCTTCGCTTTTCCGTTTTCGCTTCTCTTCTCTTCATCTGTACCATGCAAAAGCACCTTGGCCCTGACTTGCTTGAGCTTCTCTTCAGCTGCAAGACCACCTGCAACGTCCATCCAGTCGTTCTCCCCGTACATAAACACGATTGGGAATCCTGTCTCCTTTACAGCCGGGGCTGTCTCGGTCGCAGGGGTGATAACTTGCCGACCCACCCGATGAATTCGGTTAACGATAGGCCGTCGAGCATGTGCACCCGGGGCAAGGAGATATGGTAGCGCATATTCACCACTTCCCCGTTGTTTAAAAATTGAATATGCATAGTCGTGAAGGGTTTGTTTCTCTTCTGGACCAAGATGGTTAAATCGACGGGAGGTCCAACCTGACACAACTCGTGGTCCCAGGGGTCCCGCCATTCGCACAAGACTAAAGGGTGATACGTTGGCATCCCATAACCAAACCAACCATGGTGGGTAGGGGCGCTTCTTAGGTGCATTGGCTTCTGGTTGTCCTGGCTTGTTGGCGTTAAGATGGCTTTCGGTTGTGGCTTGTTGATCCACAGTAAACTCGTCCTGGAATGATGAGTCCATAGGCTCTGGCATGTCAGCATTAACAGCATAAGGATCCTCAGGAACTCCGACCGGGGAAGCGAGGATGAGCTTGTTAATGTGGCCTGGATACTTGAGAGCATATGAGACACCCAGGTAACCGCCCAGAGAATGGCCGAGAAGAGTGAATTTCTCGATCTTTCGAATCTTTCGCCATTCCTCCAATGCGTCTATGAACCAGTTCTCTGCTTCTGTGATCTTTGTGGCTGGATCTCTCGAGCAGACTCTAAATGGAGGCCTTGTCGAGTTTCCCATTCCTAGCCAATCAAGCGCATATAGTTTCCATCCCTTCGATCGACTGAGACTTTCAAAGTTTTTGTAATAAAATCCTAGTCCAGCTCCATACCCGTGAAGCATGACCAGAGTGTCATCGACTTGCTCGCCAACACGCTCGACTGAGAATTCATTCATACCCCTATTCTTCCCTGATAGCGTAACCATTGTCGACTTCCATATTCTTGGTCCGTATGGATCCATTTTGGCTGTTGTTTGCGCCTCGCCTGGGTGTTCGGCCGAGGGCACTTCGGCCGCGGAACCTGTCGTCGATGCGATCGCTTCTCGGAGATATGGGATACAGGATAATACATTGCGTTCTGCGACCGTAGGTGAAACACTGTTCCACTACTAGATTGTCAGAATATATCGAGTGACAGCTATAATTGAACGGCTAGCAGGACTTACCCATTGAGACACGGCGTCTTTGTAGCCCAAAGGAAAGAAATTCATGCTGGGTGGTCTTGTGGCTGCTCTTCCTTCTGGGGCTTGTTCTCTACGTCTTCGAGATGCTGAGACGGATCGGGGCGGTTTTCCAATAGGTATGCTAGACGGCACAGGGATAGGTTCCTCGGTGGACATGTTAGTTTTATGTGAAGAGGATGTATTATCCGTGTGCTGTATTCGCGCGACGGTGGTTACGAGCTTCCTGGACTGCACAACGGCTGAAGTTGGATTTTTGAGCATACCGGAGGGGTGGCAAAGGCCCGGGCCAGGCCTTATCTTATATGACGATTGGGGGGCGGACTCCGAGACATGGAATTAATGCGACAAACGCACGGTGCCTAGGTAAACCGTACCGTGTCGTACCGTGTTGTACCACGCAGGTTAGGTATGGATGTATGTACTGTGCTATGTTTGGCCACGGACAAATGATGACACCATTCGTCGACTGCCTAATGCGCATCCATACACGCAAACACGCTGGAAATGTCCGACCGCCCGAATTCAAACTGGCCACGATATTGAATGCAGGGTCTCGTCTGACAAGATCGAATTTACAGGGTGGCTTAGTGAGTTACTAAGATTAGCGTCGGAACTAGATACTTGGATTGGTTATAAATTTGAACGAGTCAAGAGACCTTGTTCATGACAAAGAGGAGCTTGGAGCTGGAGCTGGGTTAGTGATCGAGCGGAACAAGAGTCTTGTTCGTGGCTGAATGGGTTGAATAGGAATCTTGCGGGTTACGGGCGTGGACGGGACCCGAAACAATGGACCCGGTTACTTAAAACGCTTCTCTTCGGCTTTTAAATCTACCCGCTCCGACCTTTTTAGCTCTATAGATGTTGTACCTAAGTATCTTAAACTCATCAAAACCAAGGCACTTCTAATATGTATCATATATTCTAGAGTCATTATATGATAGAATTGAATATTTTAATTGTTTACCTAGTTATAAACTACAATCACCATCAATTCGTCAAAAGCAATGGTCAGAAAAATAAAGAGTATTTGTGGCATACCTAGGGACGTACATAAAATAACCCCTGTTTCTTCCCGCAATGGTGACGCGGATCTGCAGATCTCCGGGTTTATGAACCAAAACCTCCATCTTAACTCCGTTAATGGATATAAGCCTGATGAAGAGCCCCGTATAACTGCTAAATAGTCTTGTTCTAGAAGAAGATTGATAATTATAGCTCTAGTTCCTATATTGCTTAGTCCTTTCTAGGTATGCAATCCGTTATCATACCATGGATTCTTCCTATTGCGGCCTATTGTCTATCCGGTCAATTGCAAATTTTATCCTTCAACTTGCTCCCAAGACCAATAACCCGAAACCAGTAGTTGAAGACAGAAACAAATCGGTGGCCTTATTGATCTTGGGATGCCTTCATTTAGCTCACAAGACAACCTAAGCGTGGTGCCGCACCACATGAGGTTGCTCAGCTAACTCTATCTGAGAATAGAAAGCCGTTCTTCGATTTTGCGACAACGTAACAAAAACAATTGGTACTTCCATGCATCTTGTTGGTCACCTCATATATGACGACCGCCACACGATAGTGAAACACCTTCATTGGCGATTCTAGCCCCGGTACCGCGATAGCACATTACGGTTTGTGAACCTTGACAGCCTTGGGATGGATGTTGGCTCAATGCGTTGAATTTCTTGTGTCATCAAGAGCGCGTCCCGCCTCTATCTAGGCAGTAAGACATGCCAAGAAACCTGGTCGATAGGTATGAATAAATGGATTCCGTCAACTAAGGTTTTTGGAAGGGCCCGGACAAACAGGGAGAACCCAATGTGGACCTATCGTTTGTCGCTACGCCTGCACTGTTGAATTGAACGCGGAGTCTTTATCTGAATAATGGGACGACTTCTAGGCGGTAGTACCCTATGGAAGTGACTGCTTCATAGTCTATCCACAAAGCTAACCATCCCTCCGAATTAGGTAATTCCTCATCAAAGAGGCATAGACTTCTTGCCTGGTTGAAACCCACCAGGCAAGATATCGGGATAATTGATATCGGGACTTTTCGACTTGGTAGTGGATTTAGTGGACACCAGCTTAGTTGAGGCGGAGATCCCGCCCTTGTGACCTTGGGAATCCGAATAAGTCGAGGTATAAGTGTTGGAAGATGTATCAGGGCCCATGGTTTAGGTGAATTATAAACAATATGTTGAGACTATAGCTTTGGAAATATCCAGAAGTGCCTGTATCCAAGAACTGGAGAACCCGAGGAGCCGGGAACACAGTGAGCTTAAGTAAATTGATGAAGTTCCTCATGACCGAAATCTATCGAGCAATGAATTCTTACTAGATACTAAACCGATACTTAATGCAGCAGGTAGCACAGACTAGTGATGTTCTCCTCTTAGATCGTCGTCACGATACGTCAGCATATACATATATGTATGCACCCGTTGATGCAACAGAGGAGACTATTTGCTAAGAGGCATCGAGCATCCCGCGGGTGTCGCGTGGGGTTTTATTATAGGGATGTTATTGATGGGGGTAGTACTTACCTAGGTAACACTTGTGGCGTGTCACAAGGTTAAACCTTCAAGGTTTTCAGCGTTAGATTCGATGTTAAATTCACGCAGAACTCAAATCCCATCGTAACTACATGTTTTTTAAACCGACGAAACGTTCGCTCTTGATGATGTTCAACTTTTAACTCTATTATAGTACATCTATAGAGATTCAGTTATGTAGAGCAGGTGCATAGCAGTGGAGGAAACCGCTAGGTACTTATACCTACATATAGATACGCTATGACCACAACCTCACCGCCCCACTAACGTAGCTCGGAAGTACCTAAGTAGATCCCTTCAGCTAAGGTACTTCACCTGCTGAAAAAAAAGATGACGGAACGCTGTAAAATCATCCTTTTCAATACAACGACCGAACGAATTCAACATCCCACTAGCGTACGCGATTATCACGAGCCCCAGCCCACCCCTCTAGATGCACCGATAACCTTAGAGTCACGTTGAAGCGGGCTTACGTCCCAAGCCGCCTCATTTCTATACCTGCTGCCAACCGCCACAAAAACCATGGCCGACAGCATCGATTCCATCGTCAAGGGCGCCCCCCAGCCTGGTCAGGAGATCAAATCTGCACCAATAGGCACGAGTCCTATCGGTGTAGTCAAGCCTGGCGATCCTTTGAAGCACACGCCAAGCTCGCCGTCTATGATCTACCTAAACATGCTGATCCTCGAAGCTTCCCTCCGTTCCCAATACCTTGAACTCCGAGCCCGACGACGAAAACATACCTTCTTCATTAGCCTGCTATGCCTCTGGCTGGCCGGCTTTGGATATGCGCTCTTTTTCGCACCCCGAGAAGACGGAAGCGGTGTGGGGGGCTCGGTATACTGGGTGGTGGATATGACAGAGAAGGTGTGCTTCATAAGCGGTATTGTCACTCTGATATTGGTCTGGGCAACTGGCATATGGGATCAAGGCATTAGATGGCCCCGCCGTTGGTTTGGCATATGCAACAGAGGCTTGCGGGGTTTCAACTGCAAGCTTGTCGTCATCAAACGGTCCTGGTGGGTTGAGATCGTGTCGCTTATTGGCTTCTTTTTCACGTACGGCGCATTCTCTAGCAGGACTGGTCACTATCGCTTCGTGGAGCCGGCAATCCTACGCGAAGTAGATCGGGAACTGAATCTAAACCGAAACGCACATCCACAACTCCCATTCGTCAGTACAGATGAGGAAAAGGGCGGACACGAGGAGGATCTATCGCCTGGAGGAGACTATGTAAAGCTTTTGTTATGGCCCAAACCATTCTCGCCAAACTTTCGGGAAAACTGGGAACTTTATAGAAGCGAGTATTGGGAAAGAGAGAACGAACGTCGAGCCCTACTGAGGGCCAAGTTGAAAATGCGCGATAGACAGCTTGCGAAGCAACAAAATGGATGGTTATGGTGGCTACCAGGACAGCCAAAAGTGGAAGAAAAGACGCATGCACACGCCCCCGGGACAGGAGATACAGAGAAGGCTGTACATCAGCGGCCTTCGGCGGTTGGAAAGGAGGGCAAACGTCCAAGAAGTGGGAGTATTCGACGGAGTAGTGGTTCGGCTGGATCGTCACGAACTCCCACGCCTCCCGTGGAATCAGAAGAAGGTGGACGCAGTAGAAGAGGTAGTATGACATCTACTACTTCAGAAAAGAGACGAAAGAAACATTTGTCAACAAGCTCTAGATCGAAGAGACCAGGAGTCGAATCGCGTTCTGTTACACCAGAATTCCCATCACCGCTTGCTAGGGAGAGTAGTTTTGGTAGCAGCGAGGCTTCCTAATAGTCTCTTGAACAAGACTAGCCATTGTATCTACTTGACGATCATGTTCTAGCAGCTTCAATCGATAGAAACCTTATGCAACCTACTTGATAGGATCGCAAAATGTGCATGTTTTCTTTTGTTGGTACAAGGAGCCTCACCTAATAAGATGGTTTCTTTTTATTGTCTGTTTGTCATGACATTAAGGTACCTAAGTATTTTGGTACCTAATTTATGTGCACGCATAATTAGTGGCACGATGTATATCTTTTACCTACCCCGCCCCGCGCCGGTTGCCTAGAACTTGATCGTGCATAAAATGCAAGTGCTAATCACAGAGGCAGGGATTCATCCCACCAAAAAAGGCATATCCGATTGTTCATTACTTCATCGGCGGCGCGCACACCCGCCGCGTCCTGCTCAGATTTTCGTTATCGATGTGTACGCCTCATCTGCAAGAGCCACCCGCACAAATCTCACGTTCCTTCCTTCATAACCTACATAAGTACCTCTAAACAAACACTGTACCTTTAAATTCTCTGTATTTCCACACTGACCACCTAGGTACCAATTGCCATTCCATCTTCCACTTTTCATCTTCTACCAGTATTGAGCCTAGCAAAGCCATCTGCCTCACTACATTGAACTCAAGTTCTATCTTCCCAGACAGATTTTATTCAATATGGCGGTCGAGATGCATCAATCCTCACAACTAGATAATATTAACCCCCCTTCGATACAAGAACGGTTAACAGCGGACACTGCACCACGACGTAATGCGATTCCCGCGGCGCCCTATTCCATGCGAGCACCTAGTCCGCCTCCCATTGTGATACCAGCTCCGAATCTCCATCACATGAGCGAGTATATCAAGGTTGTCCCCGACTACGAAAAAGTCGACCCAGCTTCGCTTAGTCCCGACAATCTCAAGATAATCACACAGAATCACCGAGAACAGTTAGCCACGGACTCCGCTGCCAATTGGGCTTACGAAAGCCGTCACGTCGCACAACCTGTCCTCGACTACCTCTACCTTGGCCCTTTCGGTGTTGTTCGAGACAGACAATGGCTCCGGGACAACGGAATCACCATGCTGCTAGCCGCCAGAGACTCCAAAATGGCCGACATACGTCTTATGGTAGCCGATAAGGTCGCTCAAGAACTCAATATCCAGGCTGCATATGTCGATGTCTCCAATTACACCGAATTGGTCCGTGCCTTTCCCAAAGTGGTACAGACGATTAACGACCATATGTTACGTATCTATCGCGAGCAACGTCTAAATTCTGTCGGCGTGGAAACTGGAGAAGGTGAGATGGCGATTCCTTCGAAGACGTTCCGCAGAGGAAAGGTTCTGGTTTTCTGTGAAACCGGCAATGATCGTTCGGCAGGCGTTGTTGTTGCCTATCTCATGTCTGTGTTTGGCATGGGTTTGATCGAAGCCTGCCAGTTCGTCCACTTCAAGCGTTTCTGTGTCAGCATGACCGATGAGCTTCGGTTTGTCCTCAAGTCATACGAGGATATCATTTCTGCACAGCGCACTGTACATCGCTACGAGCTCAACAGCAATTCAAGTCTGGTTGATAGTGATCGGGTCAAGATTTCGAGATCGAAGAGGGTCATTGAAGACACTATGGATGAAGATGAGGATATGGAAGGGGGCGGTGAGCCTCTAGCGATAGACCAAGATCGGTTTCTAGGTCGTCAAACATTCGTCCCCTTCATTGACTTCAACACTAATCTCCAAGAATGAGATGGCCCATGCGCCTGATTCATCTGTCCCTCAATGGATTGCATTACAGGAGTATTTGCGTTGATTTTTTAAGAGACATACACAATCAAGGTGGGAATAGAGGGAATGGAAGGTTACATGGCTGGGTTCATTCGAGTCAAGAAAGGTAGCAGAGGCGTTCACTGGATGGAATATACCCACACTCTGATTTCCTTCGGTTGGGGGAATGCGTTTATAGATAACAAGAAACAGCATGGCGCTCCTACCTAGATAGACGAGACAATTAGGGTCTGATAGCCTATAAAAGGTTAACATTCTGTTGCGCCGTCTTTCTATTACGTGATCTCTAAACTCAAACTTGAACTTAAACTCTCGGTGTACGTAGAACTTGTACCTAAGTACCGGTAACCGCACGAGAATCGTGAATTCATAGAAAAGGTCTACACAATAAGAGACTGAACCGACGACATTGTCCGTGAGGTTCGTTTAAAGATATTTAAAACCGCGCACGATCTCCGTAGAAACTTCAAAATGTGGGCCAATCCCACAACTCGCGAGGTTTTAAACCATCCAGCCAGGTCAAATAGTATCAATCTGTCTCGTCGCTGGCATTCAGGGGTAAATGGCAACACATCGTAGGTTGAGGTTGTTTCACAGGTAGACTAATCCGCATTTACAAGCTGGAAATCAACCAGACCCGTAGCAGTTTCCTTCTGTCTTTTACCTCAAATATAAATACACACACAACTCCGATTTCTCCCCTCTAATCATCCAAATCCTTTTCATCATCATCTACAGTTTCCTCGCCTTAAACACACAAATTCAATCAACGCTCACGCATTCTCAATACATCCCGTTCCATCTCCTACTACTTTTCCTACTACTTTTCCTAGGCTAGCATAACCTTCAATCCAACCTCATCCACACACACATTACTTGAGTTCATCTCTGTAATGGATTCCGTCGTAATCAATCCGGGACATGTTCCTATCAACTCGTCGGCTATTGGCTTCGAAGTTGCCTTGACGCCTCAACACTCCCAGTTCCTTCGCATTAAAGAAATCAAAGCCATCAACAACCCTCAAGTTATCGAACCCGATGGTAGTAGAACAGTTATGGGCAAAGGTATTTACACCTTTAATTACCATGGTGGAATTTTGAAGCACCCATACGAAACTGTCACGCTCATCATCAACCCTTCCAAAAACGCTGGTGGTCCACGACAGGCGGGTGGTTAGATTCCTCAGTCTCTCGTCGGAGCTCCCAACACAACCAACATAATCGCAGACGAGTCGAATTACGAGCCCGGCCTGCCCCCTACTTTCTTCAGAGATGCCATAGCTAGACCCTACTGTTATCCGGGAATTTGGCGACCCTTTGGAACCCGCAGGTTCATTGACTTTGACACCAAGGGAAACCCAGATGGCTCTAGCCTAGTATCTATTCACTACAAGGAGCTTAGCGACAGCAAAAGTCCACTGGAGTATTCGTTTAAACTGAACAAGGGCGCCTTCATGCGCATCGACTTTGACGAGCCCATGCGTATCTCCAGAGACGGCGATGTACGCAATCTGCTGACTGAAGAAGACGTCCACCGACTCGATATACAAGGTATCGAACTACATTTGGTTTGTAGCAGTAGCGTTTGGGGCCTAGATGGCTCTGAAGGTGCTCTGTCCTTGGCCGTTGATAGGCTAAGCCTAGCCGATAACGAGTAGTTTGCCGCCCCCTCTTGGAGGTTAGCGACGACCGCTAGAAGAAGGTTGGGAGAGAGGGTAGAGGGAGTTGAAAGGCCGACATAGCTATTCAGCAGCCCCATAACCAATAGCATCTCGAACAAAGGCTTATCACTCATTTCGATAACCCTGCGGGCTTATAGACTCTTACACCCAATTTCAGCTGGTGTGAAACTTTCGAAAACGATGTGGACGTCGTCTTTGGGAAGGGAAGTGAAGGGTTCTCTGCTACTGGCGCCGGGAGAATTTGTACCAAGAACCCCTAGGAATCACAATACAGTCTTTTAACAAAGGAAACAGTTGGTGTTCTTGTGTCTCTGAGTTGGTCTTATTAAAACGGGACTGGGGCCGATCCGGGCAACTCAGGATAACAACCATTTGGATAACAACCATTTAATGGTGCTTCAAATGGGCCGCCGCCTCGAGTCTCAAAGGGATAATGGCTCTCCTATATGGGTACGCTCTTCTTATGTATCGTTAATGCTAGTAGTCTAGCTCTGGAAGTCGTCACGTTATAAGATGCCCTTGACGACTCGTCCTTTCGCTGTGGGGGGTATCGCCGTAAGGAAGAGTTTAGACTTAAGACAAGAGAACAAATGAGCTACCAGGATAAAGGAGTTATGATACTTATGACTACAAATCATACATATGATCTTTTATTATTCTAATATTTAATAGATACCTGTGAGCGCGTTATCATTCTAGGATATTATGAATTTGAAATAGACATGAGGGAACTAATAATAGAAATCTTAACTAATGAAGAATTAGTTTCACCACCCTCCTTACTAAATTGAAAAAGAAAACAACCATGGACTTTGATCAATATATTAGTTGGAATACATGCCTAAGAAGAGAATTTGAGAATTAGTACCTATAGTGCCAAAATTGGTTTGCTGACAGTCTTTGGAACCAGTACGAGCCGTTCCAGATATGGTTGAACAACGGCGCGACGGAACATACAATAATTTCTTTCAATACAGCGTCCAAGGTTTCTTGGACACCTCTAAATCTATATCATCCGATTTTATTATCTTTATGTTATAAATGAAGGAAGCTAACAGGAATCAAAGCTAATAGGAGTCGAAACTCCGGTGCTTTCAGCGCACTGTATCGCGATCCCGCCGTAAATATCCAAGCCTCTTTCCAAATTAGGAACCTAGCACGGGCGCTAAATTATGTTGCTTCCGGGAAAAGTGGAGATATTCGCCGGGCAGCATCCCTTTTGATAAGGAGATCTATCGTGCGTTGTTTCCAAAACACTGCTAATGTGCCATAATACAGTATATCTCCATAGTATGGCGGCGCATTGTATTATGAAGATTAGATTTACAGGGCTATAAGTGCTGTAATGATAGGGTTCATAAGGGGGCTGAAGTGCGCTGTAAGTGTGCTGTAATTATAGCGCTCTACAGGGCTTCAAGCATTATAATTACAGGGCGTTTTAGCTGAGTGCTGTAATGTGCTGTATTTATAGAGGTGTGAGCGCTATATATTCAACTACTATAATAACCTAGGTACCTAGATATAGCGCATCTACCGCTAAGGTACCCTATAATTACAGAGCAATTCAGCATAGGTGTCGTTTTGGTGCAATGGCAGTTTATAGCTTATTGGACCGCCGTAAGATCTAGGTAAGGTACCTAGTTCATTATACCTATGTGTGTGAATATATGTACCCTAAATGAATTTTGCTTTGACAATTACTTCCTTTAATCCTCATCAACGTCTGGGTAACAACTCCGTACCTTACCCTCTTCGAATATTAGGGCGATACGAGATCCAAAGGTAAATGGGTCTCCTTCGTATATTACGAAGTCCCTACTACGCGGAAGCATCAGGATATCCTCAACATTTTTGGACACGAGATCGAGCGCTAAGCTCTGATTTCCAGGACCGGCAACCCAGCTGGCTTCCCAAATGCTATTTCGGATGTGGTTATTCGTGTCGTCCCAATTCGAAATGGCTACTTTGACGCCGGAGTCTAGTAACACCTGGGGCCCTAGTCGGTCTACTAAAGGCGGGCCTGGGGGACAGTTACGGGAATCCCAAAATAGGGGTTCACAGCCCCAGAAGGGTGCGACGATAACCGAGACGTTGGCTTCCGCGAGTTCGGCGGCTATGAGATGCGCTTCAGAGCCCCCCATTATGACGATGTGGGCGCCGGTTTCTTTTTTAAGAGCTATCATGTGCGCGATGACGTCTTTGTTGTTGGTGTGGACGACTACGGGGATGTCGCCCTTTGCTGCGCTTTGGTAGATGGGGTGGAGTTGCTTGTCCGTAGTGAGGAGGTCGTGTAGTTTGTTTATCTGCGATGTTATTGAAGGTGTTTTGGACGCTGGTTGTTGTTATATTAGTTTTTGGCGACGGTTGATGGTGGGTAGTGGAAACTTACATTTTCCATCATGTCCGATCGTGAAGTGAAGGGCTCCGCTCGGACTAGCGATTGCGCCATCATCTAAGACTAAAAGCAGTGAACGATATCAGCAAGAGCTTTGGTCCTTTCCCGGCGTCTTCTCTAAAGTCATTAAAACTAATTGAAGGGGGAAAACTGACGTACCACTTTTCGCCCCTGAGCGGAACAAAGCGCTGATACCATGGAAAAAACCGTTCGTCAGGGGCGGCGTTACAATTCGGGTGACACCACCCCGGTAGGCCCTCTCCAGATGCATGCCGTCGAATTTGATACCAAATCTACTCGATATGGGCTTTTCATATTCATCGCCTGCCGAGGCACCATCAGCCGTAGACGGTTCTTGGCGCATCTCAGTCAACCCGTGTTGCCGCGTAACGATAGTTAATCCCTAAAGAAAGGTTCCCGTTAGACTATCGGAATAAATTCTAGAGCGTCGTACCAACTTACGGGGAGCATATATCCGTTTTCAAGGTCTATCGTCGGGATTTTATCATCGACGGCTTGGCTTGCTATCTTGGCGCACCTGCTTTCGCCAACACAGGCAATTTGACCTTCGCGTACAACAATTGTTAGATTTCCGGTCTGTGGCTGTCCACTCCTCAATCCATTATCGCCAATGAAGCTGGTCTTTAGACCGCGGATGACGATATCGGATTGACCCGATTTACAGGAACTCTCAGGAACGACACTAGGTCGCGATTGCGGGGCTTCTTTAACATAGGATACGGACTCCGAAGCCTTCCATATACTGTCGGAAGCTCGAGCCACACTATTGCCATCGATATATACCTCGAGGGGTGTTGCGCCTACTTGCAAGAGATGCCGATCCCACACTACGAGATCGGCGTCATAGCCGGGTCGTACAAACCCAACCTTGTTATCAAGACCTAGGACACGAGCCGGCACTGAGATAATTGATGAAATGGATTTTTCCGCGTCAAGTCCGAAATGATGAGCAATTTGTGCCTCGTATATCAACCATTGGCCATGTTCCGCCGGGTGATCGCGGGTGAGAGCAAAAGGAACTCCATAGTCAGCTACTCTAGCGGGGAAATAGGAGCTCACGCTATAAAGCTCCCTTTTATCACCCCAAGAATCCGAAAAGCCAACAACAGCGATATTCCTAGCTTTAATTTGGTCCAAAAGGAGATCGGCGTGTAGCGCATGATGCAAGGCCGTAATATTGAAACCAAATTCGTCTGCGTGGTCAAACATGGCTAAAATATCCTCGGTTTCGTATCCGTGCACATTGACGCGAACATCTCCCCGCAAAACGTCGACTAATGTCTGCCATTCCAAGGACCGGGGATACTCCCGCGTTATAGATGACCTTCCCTTTGCTGTCGAGGCAGCCTGACACCACCGATCTTGTTCTCGCTTTATCCAGCTGGCATTATCGTACGCTTTGCGGAACCAATACGACTCCCCGAGCCTTGTTGAAGGTCCGCCGGGCACATTTTGGAACTGTCGCTTCTGGTTTTCGCCCATGGCCATTTTGAGATATCTCTGGGGTTTCCCGGAACCTCCTTCCGCCACATTAACGAGCATACCGAGAACGGAGTTGACCCGCTTCATCTTAACCACGACACCTTCACCAGAAATCTGGTTCTTGGCACCAGTCAGTATGAGTGAAGTTGTTACCCCACCACTGGCGATCACCGGTATTGCACCATCATGAGGCTTAAAAGCATCAATTGCACGCGCCCATGGGGTAACGGGAGCCGATATCTCAGTAACATCCTCCGTAGCCCAGAGCTGCGGCGTCTCCCGTACACCGGCGTGAGAGTGTGCATCCACGAGTCCGGGGGTTACGATTCGACCCTTCAAGTCTACCACCTTATCGTCGGGAGAGACTTGTTTTAAGCTCTCGGGGGTTGCTTTTGATACCCTTGTGAAGATTCCGTCTTGCATCTCGATAATGCACTCGCGGGTGACTTTGCCATCACCATTGACGAGTGTTGCGTTATGTAGGATAGTACGTTTCCCTGTTCTGGATACTGTAGCTAGACGTGAAGCTGCTAGGTTTTGGTCAACGACTGGGTGTTGTTGGTTTAGAGCGCATTGCGCGAGGCCGTATTCTAGATCTGTTGCATCGAGCTGGTAGGTAGTACTGGAATCTTGGTGAAAGACCGCAGGCCATCGATTTGAGAGGAAGAAGGTCGTAATGATGGCAACAATAACGGTCAAAGCAATGTTGCTCTTAACGCCGAGATATATTGCACCGTCCCTATAGCTCCGGCCCCGGCGACTAGGCCCCTCCTGAACTTTGGCCTTTTCCATGTTCACGGATTATCGTCTCGAAGAGCTTGAAGCCCGGTTCAATGGCGAAAAAAATGTCATAGATACTATTTAAGAATTCACGCGAGAGCAATATCAAATTCGTTTAAGAAACAATATACATTCTAGATCGGCAAGCTTACTCGTTCGCTAGAGCTATCGCTGTTAGGAAGATGGTCGTCGCTAAGTTGCTGCTCGATTAGGCAATCTCCCTACCGAGCGTATCTGGAGGGGAAGGCATGGATCCATTTTAAAGACGATCTAGGAGCTAATAGATGCTCGCCGCAATTCGCCACTATCGGGACTTGATGCCGAGGCATTGGTATCAAGAGAGCTCGAATGGACGTAAGAAGGGGAGCTGATAGCTACCTTAGGTATGTAAGTGGTTGATGAGCATTACCTACCTAGGTAGGTATCTAGTTAGTGATATCGTCCTCCTGATAGCTAGAGGTACAGGTCATAATGTGTTGATAGAGTACCATATTTTAAGGAGCTTCAGCGGTTAACTCCCCGGAATTGCCGCATATTGGGCCTCTTAATTACGTGGAGACTCACTATAGTTGTAGGGAGTAATGCGCTATACTTTGATGGCATACCAGGGCTCGACCTCGCAGTATAATTGGTTCAATTCTGTCACTAAATTTATTAAGAGACATGCCCTAAAAGCCCCCAAACTATAATGCATACACCTACACCTATAGGGGTAAGCGCTTAGGCCCCAACCTTGGCATCAGCAGGTACTGCAGAGGCCTAAACTATAGGGAGATAGGCGCTGTAATGCAGTGGTCGTTAAAGCGTATTCCCTGGCTATAATAGGCACGTATAGTTGCTATTATCACACATATATGGTCTCAATGATTTCGGAATCGCAAGTAACTAGAAAGACTTGAATATTCAGTATGTATACCTAGAATAATTCGGAGAAGCTAGCTATATTTCTCCTCCGCCTACTGATTTATTCTGTAACAGAGGTGGCTTTGTCTACAGTACGTAGCGGAAGACGTCCTTCTGCTGTTTGTCTGTGAGATCTAGGAATTCGTTATCAGGACTTCTAGGCTCGCTTTCCGCTAAGCTCAACTGATCGCGCCTCTTGTTCTCCCATATCAAGTAGAATCGCAGCGCAATACTAAACAATATACAGAGAGCGAAACAGATGAAAGCAGCGAGGAAAGCAGACTTGTACGCCGGCGCTTCGCTCGGAATAAATAGCTGGGGAGCAGCAACTTGGCCAACGCAGAATGCCACATACATCATACTAGATGCGGTAGCCTTCTTGGTATAACCAGCGAAATTGCTTGAGACTAGTGACATGGTGAGGGTACCAACTATGCCGTGGGTTTGTACGACGTAGTAGGAACCCAATAGCCCACGTTGGTTTTCACGGGGCAAGGTATAAAGAAGGACAGCGCCGATCAACGCAGGAATCTGGCAACCTAAACATACAATTAGAAAAGGAGAAGGAAGGGCGAAGAGCATGCGGGTGGACGAGAAACATACCAGCGATGAGCCAGGTGCGAATGTTCTTGAATCGTCTGGTCATAAACCCTCCGAATAGGATACAGATGGCTTGTATGACGCCCAGAGGCACCAAAAGAAGGGTTGAGTAAAGAGCGCTAAATCCGAACCCCTTGACAACGATACTTCCAAAGGAGGCGACGCCACCTGCGGGAATATCGTCGAGGAAGAAAGTTACTACAAGGATCCAGCACTGTACGTCCATCATGCATTCCTTAAACTGCGACCATTTCCATACGTGGTTTTCGACACCGGTGCGATTTTCTCGGACACGTTCAATGGCTAAGGCTCGGTCATGTTCCGAAAGCCAACGAGCATTCAATGGCGAGTCGGGAAGATAGTAAAACAAGAAACCTCCGTAGAAGATGGTGATTGCACCAAATATCAGGAAAAACCAAGCCCAATTAGGAACATTATGGTTGGTGATATGAGCAATGCCGTAGCCGAGAAGTCCACCACAGACTTGTCCGATAGAATTACCGAGGTACCAGTACGAAATGCGAAGTGGCTGCTCGTCGCGCGTCCACCATTGAGACGAGATAACGATGAAGGCAGGGTTGATACAAGATTCTAGACAACCTAGAATTGCGCGAATGGTCATTAGGCTAGCGAAGGAACGCGATGCGGCGGTGGTCATCAGTACGGCACCCCAAAGACATGTTGCGACAGCTACAAATCGGCCAATAGGAAATCGGACGATCAAGCGAGCAACGACGGGCTGAGAAACCATGTAGGCAAGGTAAAATATCGATCCAGAAGCCCAACTGTATTGGTTACCGACAAGATGCTAGAAACTGTTAGTATAATTGAAAATAAGGGGTTACGTTACACAACACAATACACACGTTGTCGGTGGTTAGACCAAAATTGGCGGAATAAGAGAGCGCATTCTTATCCATAAAATTAAGTGTATAAGTAATGATCATCTAACATGATGTTAGTCAACTGAAGACCCAAGACAGCGGGAATAAAATTACATACCAATGGTAGAAGATTGCGATCGATTTTGCGCAAAATGCGTTTGTTGTCATCGTCGCTCAAGGGACCGACAGCATGCTGCTTGGCGAACTCATAAGCCTTGTCGACATCATCTTGCACTCCCTCACGAATCGACTGCGCCGTAGTCTTGTCGGTGTTCTTCTCCATGTTTAATTTCATGGCTTCACGAATTCGCCGGGTTCATGACAGACGGAAAGAGAGGAGGCCGTCGAAAATCATCGTCGTCCTCCATTGTCTTTAATACAAATATGACAGGGCGAATTACGGCTTATCTCTGAACCACCAGTAACACGCGATGAAGAGAGCTGGGTGTTGTAGTTAGTTCAATAATGACTAACCCGAACCACTCTAGTTATCTCCGCGTATCGTTCGTCCCCTTTATCTTCTCCTAGTCTTGCCGAGATGACTACTTAATATGGAAACTAGCAAGCGAGTGAGCCCATAACTTCTTACGTGGTATCCACGTCGCTTATCACTTCCCCGCAAAATAGGGACCAGACTCCGCACTCCGGAATGCAGCCCTGGGAAGTATGGATATCACGTCCCAGGTATCAGGATATCATCAGGGGTCCCTAGTAGATATGGATACCTCAGCGTTACCATGAAGTGGACTTGACTTCAGCTTGAACTATGCCTGATACAACTACATTTCAACATCGAACATATTCATCCAACCCCAGATGAATCGTCCTCGACCGACGAGGTCCAAGACAGGTTGTTCTTCATGTCGCCGCCGCAAAGTCCGGTGCGATGAGACGAAGCCTGTCTGCAATGCTTGTACCCGTTTGGGTCTAACCTGTTCTTACGAACCTGGTCGTTCAGCTAGTTCATCCGAAACGCATCGATATCGTGTGCGCTTCGTCAGTTCCAGGTACACAAGATCACGCCCAAACGAAAACAAAGGCAGCCCAATCGGAGCTGTGTCCCCTAACGAACGACAGCAATATGCAATCCCGGACCACAACCGCGAGGTCCCAGAGGACAATTTAAGTCATCGCTCAGATGTATCACAATGTGAGACTATCCAAGACAATTCTCCGATACTTCATAGTTCTCCCACGCAGGCGTTGATCAAAAGCTCGCCCCAACATGATATTCCTCCTAAGGTAATCCCGGACTATGGTGTATTCAACTCTGGCTCCCAGTTGAACAGTTATGAAGCCCCCAAAGACGCTGGCTATGTGCCGGCATTTTTCGACCTTAACATGAACTTCGACTTACTAGGCGAAGATTGGTTATCTCCGCAGACGATAGGAGATGAGCCTCCGTCAGAACCAGAGCCATGTACAGCAGACATAGCGGAGTCCGAATCAAATGTACAAGGAGCTGCAGTTGTAGTTGGCCCTGACGATCACCGGCTGATCCAGCACTACTTGAATGTTATGACCAACTACGCCAAAATACGGTGTTCCGGTGACGAAAATATCTACAGCCATATTTTCAGTAATATGGCGTTGTTTTACGCGCCTCTATATAATGCCTTGATGGCGTGGACGGCCTTACACCTTGGACAGACAAGGGGAGAACCCGATATGGTTCGGAAAGCCGAAGAGCGATACGCGCACGCCGTCTCCCTAACGCATCGGGACCAAAATGTCGCATTGCACTTCGAGATTTCCATTGTCACCATATGGTTCGCGTTGCAATTTGAACTTCTCGCCGCCAAAGGAATTGAAACTTTCTGTCAGCATCTGGAATTCGCAGCCGATCTTGTTGATGCTCACCGGCGACATCAAAGAGCCGGTGGAGAGGCGACCCCCCTCGGACACATTGGCTGTCGCATGTTAGTCTGGCTAGGCGCGTACGATTCTCGCGCATCCTGCATTGGAGGTTCGGGACGTCTATTACAGATCCTTGAGTCTTTTCGCTTAGAATATGACTTCATCGACGCCGCATTCCCGAATTTTCCCGGAAGCACCGACGATCTCAAGCCTTGCTTGCGCTTATCCCTAGAACTCGACTATATGGAGAGTCGGATCGTCCAGTTACATCGTAGGCCCGGTACCGCGCCGGCTGCAATATGGTCGTCGGTGCAGTCCGGTCTTATAGCTATGCGCGAACGGCTCGAAGGTGATCCTTCAGTGGCTCCGATTATAGCTTATATCACCAATCCGACACGGTCGCTTGCGGCTAGGATCACCACCAAGCGTTTTAATAGTCTGCTACTCCTAGCGACATTTTACGGTGTCGTCATAACTTTCCATAGGATGTTACCTGCTCATATAGCAATAGAAACGCTGGGTAAACTCTTACCAGCTGAAGCTGCTGCGAGCTACATCATTCGCCTAGCGTCATGGGTATGTCGGTTTCGGCCGTCATCCCCGCAGAATATTTGGCCACGCCTTCTGTTCTTAGCCGGTATTGAAACCACAGATCTGGCTTATCAGGATTGGGCTATAAACGCACTCACAGATGCGGAGATCTGGGGGGCAAATTTCCGCAGGACACGTCTGCTACTCGAACGGATAATCGATGTTCAGAGCACAAAAGGGGCTCGGGTTGACTACCTCGATGTTATGAGGCGAGATACAGGCTTGTTTATTATCTAGTGAAGACGATATATCGTATGATCGAATGTAAAGTGATACTGTAAATGATACACGAGCGTAAAGTGATAATATAGCGTGTTTGCTATGATGATTAACGGTTGTTAGTGTTATCTAGTACTGTAGTCGACTCGTCACCCAATCGGCTCGCCCTTCCCCTATTAGGCAAGTCCGTCGTCTAAGGTGGGATGGGTATGATTTATCTATAACCTGCTAATAAATCAGTAGGAATACTACCAGCTGCTTGGTAGCTTGAGCCTTCTAATTGACATGAAATTAAACAATGGAGAAGCATCAAGGGAGTACTCGCCATGAGCGAAGAAAATCCAGTACTAGAAACAGAAATTTGCTGTTCTCCTCGCTGGCTTTCTGTCTGATAATATTCTATTTTAGCCCCTCATTTTTATCGCGAGCCAGGCATTGTTTCCACCCCTCATCTGGTGACCGACCGGATACGAGCAGTGTAGAGAAATGGTGCCCCCTGCCGGACACCACTGCCCCCGCAGACGATGGCCTGAAAGACAGGGAACATTTTATAAACTCTCAACAACTACAATTGCAGGTGAAACGTTTATCTGAAGCCGTACAAGTCCCAACTGAGAGCTTCGACGATAATGGTGAGGTTGATGAGGATTCTCGTTGGGAAACTTTCCAAGAATTCCATCAGGTATTAGAGAAATTGTTTCCACTTACGTAAGCAGAATTTACCCCCTTTTCCGTTTTTTCTTTATCAGATTCTGACTCATCGCTAGACATTCAAAATTAGACCTTCGTAAGGTCAATCGTCATGGCCTATTATATACTTTCAAGGGTACAGATGCAACCCTGAAACCGATTCTTTTCACGGCGCATCAAGACGTCGTTCCTGCGGGCCCCTCGTCTCGTTGGAAGTATCCGCCCTTCGAGGGGCATTTTGACGGGTCCTTCGTATGGGGTCGGGGTGCGGCCGATTGCAAAAACGTACTCATTGGGCTGCTTTCAGCTATCGAAGACCTGCTATTACAATCATTCGCACCTCGTCGCACGATTGTGCTCGCTTTCGGATTCGACGAAGAGACAGGAGGTCTCAGGGGCGCAGCTGCGTTGAACCAATCGCTAGTTGAGGAATGGGGCACGGATTCATTCTTGTTCGTTTTGGATGAAGGAGGTATGGGTATACAGAGCCAAGGAGATGTCCTCTATGCCTACCCAGGCGTAGGTGAGAAGGGCTATTATGACGTCGAGTTGACGCTCGAGGTAAAGGGTGGTCATAGTTCGAGACCCCCGAAGCATACTGGTATTGGCATCATGGCGGACGCAATTGTGGCGCTGGAGAAGGAGCCGTATTCTCCGCGGCTAACGCAGGCGAGTCCCTTTCGAAGAGTATTGGAGTGTAGGACAAGATACTCGCCCGATGCTGTCCAACCATGGTTACGCGACGCTCTTCTCAGCGGAAGTGAGGAAGAAGTTGCCAAGAAGCTTGCGGAGGAAGAGACGGAGGAGCAGTGGCTGGTGCAGACCAGCCAGGCCGTTGACGTTATCACCGGAGGCGTTAAGGTTAATGCACTGCCCGAGGACGTCAGGCTCGAAATAAACCATCGCGTGGCGTTGCACGAGTCAATCCAGTCCATCAACGAACATATCCAAGAAGTATTATCCCCTGTGGCGCAGAAATACGGCCTTCAGTTTGAGGGTTTCAATACCTCAAAAATGGAAAGACTCGATTTCGGCATTGCATCGTCTGGGATCTTGAGGATTCAATCATTACAGGTAATCGACCCGGCCCCCATTTCACCAACTAATAACGGTGTATGGAGTGTATTCAGCGGTACTCTGCGACACGTCTTTGAGAGTACGGAGAGCGGAAAGGGTAAGACGGTTGTACCCGTTGGAAATATTATGACGGGTAACACGGATACGGTACATTATTGGAACTTGACAAGGAATATATATAGATTCACACCTTCAAGGAATGGGACGAGGATGAACCAACATGGTATCGATGAGCGGATGGGTCTAGATGCTCATTTGGAAGGGATAAGGCTATATTATGGTAAGTGAGCTACTTCGTGTGAGGTGTATCTGTTGGGTTCTTAAATACTAATTATCGCATAGACTTAATCCGTAATTTCGACAGCTGGAATGAGGCATAAGCTGGGAAGCGTTTGTCGATATCGCGCTCTTCTGCTAGGGACTTAGGCACCTGAGTATAAGCAATGTAGGGCATATGAGCACTGTATCTGAGTGAGCTTTAATGAATAACTCCCTATAATTATAGCGTATTAATGTGTGGCGTTATTGCATTCTGTGAGGAAAGGGTCGGACGCGCTATATTTCCATTCAGCTCAGTATCTGGAGGGCGAGTGTAGGCAGATATGCACTGTAAGTTCAGCATCGTTACCGCGTAGCCTACTAGGTGCTTGGGGTAAATACGCTAAGGGCCCCCGATGACAATGAGAGAGGGCGTAGCTCAAAGAAATTACCTATTTAGATATTTAGGCAGGCAATGTGGTTAAGAAGAACAACCCATTGTGGTGATTATCTTGGTATTCTGATGCGCACGACCTCAATAACGCTTAGGTGCTTCCTATAAATGCCTGGGCAGGTATAGTGAACCTTGCGGCTCTAGAGGTCGATTATAACGCATCTATAGGTACCTATGCGGTGTTTACAAGACTTAGCCCTATTGCGAGGCCTAAAGCCTTCGTGCGGGCTCGAGTTGCGGGGTTGTATACCCGCAGGAGACCTAAACATCGGAAGTCACTTTAAGTCCGGCGGGCTCTACCCCAAGACTTCCTAGAATATAGCGCTCAGCGCTCATAACAGGCGGCAGTCGCACGCTCGGGGGCTTCTACTAGAACACTTTCCTGAACACCTATAGGGCTCTAGGTACTCGCACGTAGGTACAACGGAATATGCGCTCTATGAGCTGAAATTCGCTATAATTGTGATTTTCAGCGTACAACTTCCAGTGCTTACATGCCTAAGTAGGCACCTAACACCTAGCTACCTAGGTAATAAAAACGCACTACTGGGGACATGTTTGCATTGGGTCGACGAAGGTTTTGCGAACGAATGACGAGAACATGCCCGGCAAAGCGACTTTTCGGTTTCACTGCATTATATAGATGATCTACTCTCGATGTTTAAGAATAGCATCGAAGTGTCGCGAATTGGCAGATCGGCCAACTCTGTCTGAATCTTTCCCATACCGGCCGATCAAAACAGACGATAACCTCTAAACCTCCATCCCCGTCCGCGGTTGCGGGGACCCTAGGGAGGACTATAGGATATCTCTTATTCATCAACTTCGGTAGTCTAATGGCGTCACACTTTCCAATGATACTGCCCCAATCCAATTCGTATGCACCCTGGTCTGCCCATGAGACTATAGAAATGCCATCATGGGGCGGCCCTAGTGTGATTGGAGGATGGTTGTCGGGTGCAGCATCTAGGTATAGTAGTACGTCCCGCACGCGCTCCCCATCAACTTGATGCAGAGAGGTGCGAATTGTAGTGGCGATTTTAGCCAACGCCGAGATCGAGGCAGAATCCAGCGTCATGTCGCCGCTGGGAAGGCTGGCGTTTTTAGCAAATATCAAATCCTCTCGTAAACACGTAGCAACTGCCATAACAAAAGCAGAGCCGAGGTAATTAGGAGATAGGGGAGGATTCAACCGCGAACGGAAGTTCACAGGGAAACCTATCGTGCTGGTACCCTTTATATCGGTATTTGGATCTGATTCGGCTACTAGTATTGCACTCCAGAGCAATACTGTGAGAATGTCGCCTAAAGAAACCCAGCCTTCAGCATCTTGCGAAGCGATATACTGATTGATAGCTTGCTTCAAGCTCTGTAAGGTCTTTTGCGGAAAGAAAAAAATACCAGTCGTCCAATTAGGAGAATGAAAGGATGAGCCAATAGGTTTGACGATGTTTTCTTGAACGTGAAGGAGTTCGGGGATTGAAGCTGGGGCCCGCTGGTCAGAAGCGTGAAATTGCTCGAGCAGGGCTTTGCGATCCAACCAATCCGGGCCAAATCCTATAGTGGATGCGCTTGTCCGAGAGTAAGAAGCCCAGATTTTAAGCAAAGCTCCGAATCCGGTGATGTCAGTTGTGCAGTGGTGAACCGCGACACACAAGATGAATCCTCTATTGACGAGGGCTAATCTTGCACGAAATACTGGCGCCGGGTTTGGGAATGGAGGTTGAGTGTCAGGAGGTATGATTCCGGGTACAGTAAACGCCGAAGGGGGGAAGTGTTGTTGTTTAAGGGTAGCATAGTCGACAGCATTTGAAATGTCTTGCTCTGAAAATAGATCTTTGAGACTCTGGTAAGGTTTACTGAGGGAAATGTGTCTGTGATCGTCGCTGATAATAATTTCAGAGAGAAGGTAAGGAACATCAGCGACAACTCCAGCTAGGCTAGTTTTAAGTATATGAGAAACGTCGGCATGTGTCGAAGGGAAGCAGAACATCTGGCGGACGTAACCGCGAGGCATAAGCCTATCGAGCGGAGACAGGGTTGACATATTGAGGGACTGGATATGTCTTAGGGAACCGGATACTGTTTTTATCTGACAGTTGGAATTAATGAGGCTTTACGAATACATCGCGTTATTCATCAACATCCAACCCACCAGTTAAGTCATCACCAAAAGGCTAGATAAACCTTCATCCCTTTAGTATCGTCACGGTAGCATTTCGTTGAGCAAGTAACTACTAGCCTTAAATATCACGGAGATATCGGCGGGGGGGATTCATTGAGTATTATCCCCGAAGATGTCTAACAATGAACGGGCAGTAAGCTAAGCTTACCGTGTAAGCGTGAATATGCGGAATAGAATCTGTGATTACCTACCTAGGTAGGTAGTTTATTTCTAAGATTTTGGTTGAAATCTTATAGTGAATCAGCAGCAGTATTCAGAATTGAAATGAGGACTTGCTTCCGTAGCCATCCAGGTCGGATCCCGCCAAGGCCTTGGTATCAATATCCGTGATCCGGGACTCAACCACTACTCTACGCGTCGCGCGCAGCAAGGATTAACAAATGTAATAATTGTTATACGTTTATTAACAAACGCGGAAAGATTTAATAATAGTCTACCACGCTCGATCTGACATAAGGTACCGACAGAGTGGAAGGATGGATAGTTGCTGAATAGTCTGTTATGATATTTGATATCATATTATTACGGCACCAAGAGGAAATGGGTGAGCAGCGCTAATAATAATGCGGAAGGCCGTTGGACCCGTTGGTCATAGTGACTTATGTCTGACCCAGGCGGAGATTACCGTGCTGGATGAGCTGCGCTGCTAGATCTATGCGCCCCATTCTCCTTTATGCAACGCGGGACGGGAGTCTGAGGAAGGCGCCTTTAAGATCTTGGGACACCTGACACGTTGTCGTGCATGTTTATGAGACATTCCGTAAGGTCATTTGATTCCAGTTAAGTAGAGAGGTTACATTGATGACATCCATCTTGTGCGCGGTGGTTGCTAGGTCAGGAAAATACGTAATCGTTGAAAGAAAAAGAAAAGATCCAAAAAAAAGTCGGACGCGTCTAGGGCTAGATCTACAAAAGGTACTTAAATACAATTACAATAGTGAAGTGACACAGCATCAGGGCACTCGCATGGATCAGGGGTTTAAATCTGGTTGTCTGGCTGGAAAAACTTGGCGGTGTGGCTTTTGGCGGGGTGTAGGTGTTCCAAATTGGAACATCGGTACGAATGGTACAAATCCTCCGGGGAAAACAAGACGTAAGCCACAGTTATTTGTGTATCGGTACCCGCCACGGTAGGGTCTAGTTGATAGCGGCCGGTAGTAAACAGGGTCTCTGGGTCTCAATCCCTCAATCAAAAATACATTGGTCAACAACATTGGGGAGACCCGTGATTCCAACCCGTAGGCATAACACACCTGAACATTACATCAAAATCCGCGAGCATGGGCATATTTGCTGGTTAATGCTGTTCCTTCGTTTGTAAATTGTTCCTTAATTTTAGTTAAGTCTACTATTTTCTTGCTGCTGCTTTAATACGTACAATACACGCGAATTTCAGCAACGCAAATGGCTAGGAAATAAAAAATCTCCTTTTTTAAGACTCGCTCGCATTACCTACAATCTCATCGCAGTCAGCGCCTTTTTTTCTCACTTGCTTTATAAATCGTAACGAAACGAACACAATATCGCTCTCGACACCTTTAATGATATAGCCGTGCCACTTCTTCGCTAAGTTTTACAACTCATATCTCATATTCAACCTGTCCATTTCCAAGGATCTACGTCGAACCGTGCGAAACACCACAACTTCTTAGGCGCATATGCACGATCACCGTTCCTACTGCGACTATTAGCCCTCGTCGATTGAATACACGATCCCCCGATCAATACCCAAACGACTCGAAACTTTAAGAAATGAGAAATGCCTAGTCGATTGCAAAAAGCTCGTCGTCATCCGCCTAATCGCGAACCCTTAGTTCCAATTCAACAGAGCATTGAAAACGGTGAGTTGGCGCAGGCTTACATCTCTCTACGTACATAGCTTTTTTTTTGTCATCACCTTGGAAATTCCAGGAACAAAGTCTTTCAATACCTCTTGTCTTGTGATATTTGCATATAGAGAAGTGACACTTTGTTCCAACCCCGTACCCAGCACAAAGCAAACACAGAATAGTATCCCAACAAGGAAATTGAATGGACGCCTGTTAATTCGTGTTTGTAGAACCTGCTTACTTGTATGCTGCCGCGTCAGATGCTAGCCCTAAAGCAAAACCGGCGCATACTCCCAACGGTTTGAGAACCACCATGAATACTCTCAGCGCGACCCCCGAATCCAAATACAATCCTTATGCCACTCCTGGTTTCTCACCAACCAGCAACTCTAAGATCCCCTCTACTATTCGAACCGTTCCTAGCTTCGATGCTCCCTCGGATGCTTCCTCGTTAGATTCACCATCCGCACGAAATAGCGGCTTTTCTAGTTCCGTCAACAGCAATGTCAGCGGCACATCATATCATTCTCAACAACAACCGACACATAGCAGCTCAACCGTGAGATTAAAACAACAGTCGCCAGGCCCAGCATCGCCACAAGCAATATCACAGAACGAAAATTCTTATATGTCCGCAAGCGACACAATGCCAGGAGGAAAAGATCTTACAGAAGAACAGACCTTATCTTTACAAGTTCCAGAATCGAGCGCGCTAGAAGATAGGTCCAACAGAATGAGAGAAGGTTCACCACAATGGGACGGCACCGTCGGCAAGGCTGGTCTGGGGAAGACAGGTCGAGTGATTAACAAGTTGGTGTCCGATAACGAAGCATTAAAACGAGATATCCAAATCGAACGTTTTAAGGCTGAAGAGGCTAAACAAGCCGCCAAATTAATCGAAGATAAGATGGAACGGATGGTGTCGGACTACGAAAAACGATTAATAGAAGACAATGTTACAAAAACGTTACTCAGTCGCAAGGAGCGCCAGGTTAAAGATTTACAATCTGCAGTCGAATTGGAGAAGAAACGTACAGCAGATGCTCAAGAGCGCGAAAGATTTTGGCGCGAAGAAATGGAAAAGAGCCGTCGCGACACCAAAGTTCAAGTTGAGGAAGCCAACATGCATGCAGCACTCATGGAAGGTCGATACAATGCTATTTCATCACATTGGAAGGATCAAGGGGACGAAGTCAAGCGCGCTATGGCCGGCCTCGACGGCAGGATCAAAACGTTAGTAGAAGAACGGAAGACGGACGATGAAAAGATCAACGTTTTGCGCGATCTGTGTGACCAGCAAGATGGGAACATACGAGACCTTCAAAGACAAAAGGATGAAATTTCCCGGAAATTCGAGGCCTACAAGCGTGAACAGGAGGAGGCACTAAAAGATATGAAGAAATCGGCCCGTGAGGGAGAACAAGAGCAGGAAAGATCCCTCGAGGAAGCAAAGCAAGTCCTTGGCAAATTGAAATGGGCGCTCAATGTGAAGCAAAACGTAAAGGGCGCCAAGTAAATGGACTCTTCGTTTTATGACATAATTCTTCGTTTGCGGCCTCTCTTTGATCACGCTCTACTTTTTTGTCGAAATTTTCCTCTATACCTTGACTACCGAAAATAACGACTTTGAAATTACAATACCTATTTGTTTTATCGCCTTCGATTCGAATTTAAACGCGCCACAAGTCCACCTTACCAAAAATCTCGCCGAACATAGGGCCATGTTTTGCTTGAAAATTGTTCCTACTCCTCGTGGTGTCGGAGTGGCAGTCCCTTTCTTATAGTTTGAAGCAAACCCCCCTTTGCTTACATAATCAAGTGAACCAGTCAGGGGTAAATCAGGGAAGGACGCGAGAAGAAAACTTCTGGATAGGTTACGACATTTAGGATGGCGCTCGGGGTAAATGGGGTTCTGTGCCACGGTTTGAAGTTGGAATTACATCCTATGGTCCATAACATTCTCGATTTTATTATAGGACAGACCGTGATTCGGAGGGTACAGGAAGATCCCCCCAACTCATGACCAGGCATGTACGAATATTTACATTCATGACTCTCCCTTCTATTGTTCTCCTACGTTGCATATACCCGGGCTACAAGTTAATAGAAAGGAAATATTTACATCCAAGACAGTTCATTATGATGGTGTTTTACTATATCAAGACTATAAATCGTTACGATCCCTCCAGGTACATACTTGGCCTCAATTCGCCTCCCACTTTCTTGCTTCACGAAAATTTTCGTTGTAGCAAACTGTCATGAGTATATGTCCCAATTGAGATGATGTACATGGGAACTTAAGCTAAAACCTAGCCACCTCTATCATCAAAACACTTATGTTGACGTAGCTAGATAGTATATAAGATCAAACTACCTCAACATCCCAACCCACTGTTCCTCCCCTAGATTCAGAAAGACACATGATTCGAAAGAACAATACAATATCAGGGAGGATTTACGGCCTAATTGGTTCAAGTTTTGACAAGCATGAGTCAAATGCCTTGGCGCATTTCGTCGTTCTTTCGCCGTTTACGCAGCACAATCATGTCATTCAGCCCCCAACTGTGTACTAGTTAACGACTTCTGGGATTTTCAGGCACCAAACCGGCTTCTATAATAAAACAATTGCATGGCTACCTTCCTACTTAGGTACATGTCTATGTACTGAAATTTATTGTGACAATGTTGAGATCGATCTGCCCTAAGTATAAACAGTTTCGTAAAAACCACCTACTCGATCCTCAGCCAAATCAACATTTATTTGTGTAAATATTTTACCAGGATACAATGTATGTAATCCAGAGTTATATTAGAAACAGTTCTACACGGCTCAGTAAATCCCCACCAGCTATTAAGCCTACATACCTAGGTAGTAACTCAGTCCCTACGTACGTCTGTGGACCAATGTAGGTAGGGAGTTTATACATATGTATCTATGTGCATATCAAATATGTATGCACATGCACGTACCTAGTATATATAACTCTTTTCCATACAGGTACCTGCCATAGTCACGCTTCTTTCAATTTGAGTTGCTTCTTTATGCCCTCAATATCCGCAAGATGTACGGCCAAAAATATGGCTGGCTCCAAGGTTTGTGTAACTGCTTTGGAGAATTGGCGCAGTTCATATGGACCCATTCTGAGGTCATAAGATGTAGAAACAAAGATACCTGAATGCCTACTTATGCAGGTATAAGGTTGTCTTACTCAGTTTGTGGCAGGAACACCAGAAACCCTAAAGATTGGTATACATAATGTATTGGTTAAATCCTCCAAGGGGCACCTGCCTGTCGCCGGATTGTCACCAGATCACGCTTGTATTAACCTAAGTACACATACACAGACACATAGGTATATGTCTACATATATGTACATGTACCTAAGGCATATTAAGTTATGCACTTGGTTATTAAATTGTGTGGTGCCTGGTATAGATAGGTCCTTCCAAATGAATATGAGCTCACATAGAAGCTACACGTATATCGTAGGGCACTAGCCTGGAGTAATTAGACCGGGAGCTGCTACCCCTTTCGTGTCCACGTTCCCTACCCAGATTGTTATCCTAAAACCCAGAGTGAAATAGCCAAATTTCTCTCTCCTTTCTCTAAACAACATAAACATGAATGACCATTTGAGAATACATTTGTACGCATCTGACGAGCAGACCTGAGCGCTCTTATAACGTTGTCTAGTGTCCCTGTCCTCTAAGCACGATATTCTTGAGTTATATTGGCTGTGAAGCCTGGAACACCCACCACAGGCTGTCGTCCAGCCAGTTTGACTGTTTATTCCCTCCGTTATTTTCGTTTTTGTTTTTGTCTTTCCTTACGCCGATTTCTGCCACCTATTCGCCTTTTCCCACACACATTGATTTTTGTTTCTCCCACCGCCTGCTTTCAAGCTTTCATCGCCGTCAACATCTCACGCGCGTCGACATTGTTCTCCGCGTTATTCTTTCAGATTCTTCTACTTAGATACCGGGGTACTTAGGGAAGTTAGTTGGTGAGTAAACAAAACATCTTTTGCCCTAATCTCTCCCCCCAAACCCCTCCAATTCTTCTTGACCTGGACACGTCACTCCCCTTTTCACTTCATCCCCAAGCCCAGCACCCGAGTTCCATCGCTTCGCAACCCCCCCTAAGTCCTATTGGAAAATTTATCCAAGGGATAATTTGGATTTTATTCGGTTGCTTCTGGGCTCTGCCTAGTCTTCATCTCGAAAACCTGAAGTTTCAGGGGAAAGCAGACAACAACGAACAAAAAAACACGTAAAACTTTCCAAAATAAAACAAGAAAAAAAAAAAAAAAAATACCTACCTCCTAACACTCTCCGCAATATTTCCCGCCTGTTTACTCACACCAACACAAATGAGACGTATTGCTCGTTTCCCATACCTTCGAGTCGTACAACCTTCATTCATGGACTCTCTTCTCATTCATCCGATCACCATTTCCACTTCGTTGGCCTATTAGATGCCCAGGTTTTCTTCACTTTTCGTCCGTTTAGTCCCTTCGCAGCCTGCTACGGCTAGTCCACGGACATCCTTCATCATTTCCCACACTTTCATTGATACTCTCGACACATTCGTACCTTACGGTGTCTATTGGCAAAAGGGCTCAACGTATCCCATTACAATCTCTGTTTGATTTTGTACCAGTTAAATCCATTCTACTTCGAGTAGGATCACTCGTCCTTACTTACACTATTACCAGGCAAGTCAAATAAATATTCGTGTTCTGAATGTTATCTCTTTCGGCCTAGGATATTTTTCCCAAATCCAGGTTCGGGAGCTCTCAGCTTCTGGAATACAAGCTAACTTCTATTTAAGATCGCCCGTACCGAAAATGTCGAGCTTGTATGCTAGGCGCGTGGAGGACGCCCTCCAGAGACAATTCCCTCGCTGGGTGGCGGCCAACGAGGCTATTTCTTCCGCCGAAGCTGACAAGAAGAATCAGTATGCGGAGTTCCTGTTCGCCGCAAACTGGATCTTACGTCCAGGAGGACTCCGGGAGCTTCTAGACAAGCTCCAAATGTATCTTAAGGTGTGCCTTCAATTTTGCCTCGCCACTATACCTCCTAACAAATATATAGACCACGGAGGTTTGCTATGATTTGGAGTCGGGCTCGGTGAAGCTCAGATGTTTAGTAACTGAGCAGGCGGCGGTCATGATCGCCTGCCAACTAGTAGCGGATGAAATCATCCAAAACGAGCAAGCCAAGGACAGCTCTGTAAGTATCTTTCCAAGTTTGCATTACCCTAAAGCAAAAGGCTAAACTACCATCAGGCTCCTAGTGCGAAGATATTCCTTCGTAAGAATTGGCTTGCCGCCAGTCAGCAGGAGAAAGGGGCTTCTATCATGGCTTTTGCGCCGGTGGAGATCCTGGGTTTCAAATACCACTCCCCCTGGACCGCGCCGAGCGACTCCGTCAAGAAAGGCGTAACGGCATTGACGCTGGTGCCTGGAGGAGCCATGAAGAAGCTACAGGATATAACTGGGTGCACCATGATTGCGAGCTATGATGGGCTAATTCTGTACATTGGTGCCGAGTCCCAGGAGCAGATCAACGTCGCACAAGGAAAACTTAATACCTTGGCTAAGTATGCTGTAAGTTTATGTTCGGCCTATTACCAGTACGAGGACTACTTTCTAACAGAACTTAGGCACAGTCGCGCCGGCCTGACCGCAAATGCGAGTCTTTCATCTACGCAGAGGATAAACAAGGGGCGCAGGCAACATTTACTTATATAGGCCACGGTCCGAAATCCCTCCTGAAGACTTTCTTCTTGGATCGCTCCAAATACAGGTTCAAGCCACCCTCGACCTACGGAAAGATCTTCGAGCAAGGTGTCGTTATCACTCTCCTGGATCGCAACGCCTTACTGCCTGTTGCTGGAACCACACCGGCCATCCCCCCCGAGCGTAAGGATGAACTATATAGAGCGTTCATGCCCCCTTGGCAGTATGGGTCTAAGTACACAAATTACAGCTCGTTATTGATAGCGCCTCAGCCAACTCGATTGGGGGCACCTCAACCAGCCCGTTCAATGGCGCTTCGTCCGGCCAATCATGAGACGAGAGTCTCATCGTGGGTTCGCGAACTCCCCACGCCCGCGTCTTCGATACCGCCCCGGGATAATGAAAGCGATACGACCGGATTGGGAACAAATGCCGATAATGGCCAGCGAACCGGCCGCTACGATCCTCGGCATCCGCGTGAGCAAAACGTCACGCGCACTGATTGGACGCCGCCTCACTTGCGAGGTATGAATTCTGCTGCCCGTCCTCCAACAGTTCAGAAACAGAACCTACCGGGCCTGATGACTAACATGACCGGGGGTGCTTCTGAAGGCTGGCAGCAAGGAATAGGAGCACCACAAGCTGCTGCTAGCAGAGCTAACAAAGAGCCTGATTTGCTCGAGTTCGGAAACCACGAGGCCAAGCCTATGAGTCCCAACATAAGGCTTGCTGATCCATTCATTGGCGCGTGGGGAGGTGGCGCGCATTCACGGGGTAACCAACCCAAGACTATGGGCCAATCCCAAATCAGGCACAGTACCATGCATCAACAGGCGGGCGCCCCTAAAAACCGCAGAAAGGGATATTTTCATCAAGAAACCATTCCAAACGAAACACCCGTAAATGAGGATCCGGACCCCAAGTTGGTGCAGTCTATCAGCCAAAAGCTTGCTCGAATGATGAGTTGCTTGGAGCTTTTTCAGGGAAAAGTAACTTTGAAAGCTAGCCTCGGACGTCTCTGTCTCACGACGATCAACAGCGACCACGTCTATGTACCGGGCCAGGCTTCACAAGGTAAGGCTAAGTCTTTGAGAGATATCAAAGATGCCCTAGACAAGCATCATATCAATCCTCAAGATACCATATTCACCAATATCCTAACCGCGGAGGGTGGAGATGCGAACCATATTGCGCTTATGCAGGATGGCTTCGGAGAGAGACTGTGGCTAAGCGCTTCTCGACACACTACGTACGAGTTAGCTTGCATCGTTGTAACGGAGGACCGTGAACAGTTAACATTCTTTGTGGAAGTTGACGGCAATGATTTTACTTACCAACTCAACGAAGTCACCTCCAATTCATCCTGTTCCATGTCTGTACACTGCCCGAAGCGACCTTGGGACTTCCAAGTTACGCTGTCCAAGTCTCGAGACTTGAAGGAAGTCTGTGGTGACTTTGCAAAGGACCTGGTTGATAACATGCGTATCACGTAAGTGTATTGCTAGCAGAGTTTTTGGTTTGTGTATTAACTAACATCTCGGAATAGACCCAAAGAGCCCCACGAGCCTGGAATACCTAATCTGGAGGTGATCCTCAAGAATGAATATGAAGCACGAATACTTTGGGTACGAACTCGCAATACCGCCAGCTACGTGGGCAACCCGAATGCTCGCTCATCTTCCGAGGGTCTCAAAACTAACACGAGCTTCCCTTATTGTGTAATGGAGATCTCCGAGGTGCATGATATGAAAAGATTATCCACTCAGTCAAGCGAGAACTCAGAGTTATACTTGTACACACAATTCGCCGGAAATCAAAAGCTCGGCCAGTTACCCACCTGGTATGAAGTTTCATTGCAGTCGAAGATGATCATTGATGCACTTCAGCAGAATCAAGATCTCGAATTTGGTGATGAGGTTGACTGGTCCCCGGAGGCACTTCAGCAAGCCGGAGCATTCGACGAACTCATCCGTTCCACATTCGACATGGTAAAGAAGATTGATGGAGTAGGTTATTGGGGAGATAATTTCCAGGACGCCTATATCCACGGCATACCCGCTTCCCAAAAGGGTACGGGTTTCGGCGAGAGGTCCATGAAATCGATCTGGTAGCGAGGTTAACTAGTCAAGGTTGCCGGAAATGGTCACTACTGATGATGAAAGGGTCCGGGTTTGGGGGGTGGGGGGGGGGGGGAGTTCGACTTAGGGTGAGAGAAAAGGGACGAAACAGAGCCCTCCATGATATTGTTTTCTAGTTTAGGTGCTGAGTAGAGCTATTGCCTTTGGCCTCACCACGCACATCTCTTTCACCACGAAAACCCTATACGTAGCTAGGTAGCTTGGTATCCTAATAAATGCCTATTTGATGATGATGAAATTTGGTCTTGAAATTGATTTCTTGCTTTATTGTTCTTACTTGGTGGTGACTCGAGCGAGAATAATGTGACTTGCAGAGTAGATCCAATGGTCGGCTACATGCTTTGAAAATCGTCCTTTATACTAGGAATAATGTTGATATTCTAATCGAATAGGACAACTAAATAAAAGGCGTAAGTATTATTGTATTTGACTTTGACTGCAAAATGCTTACACTTCTAATGGGTATTCCTCTATCTACTGCATTGGCGGAGTGTACATGAATGCATTCCTAGATTCATACCAACGCATAACTCGTGGAATGCGTACTTTAGGCATATAGACACCTAATACTCAGTACAGAGCATATGATCTACCTCTTCCATCGATGTCTCTTCTTAGCCGAGGCACGACATCTCAACATTTGTCTGCTAGATAGGTATATAGGCGGGTAGCCTACCAGCGAACACTTAACCATCCATCTCCTTTCTTTGTCTTCGTCTTCTTCTCCGTATCTTCCTCCTTTACTTCCTTCAACCTACTACTATTCCCTACATCTCCCAATCCTAAACCTCTCCCAACTTCCCACCGCGGTCTTCGCGTAATAGCACTGCGACTCCGACTAGGACCAGGGCCCTCGCTTCCCTAAAGCGCGCCTAAATCTAGCGGTACACTGCTCCCGCGACCGGCGCGGTATTTGCGGGGACCGCCTTGGAAGGGTCGGGGTTTGGGGAGCTCGCTTTCGTCTTTGAATCGCCAGCGGCTGTCTTGGACTATGTAGCGTTCGCCACCGCCGGGTCGGCTCGCTTCGCGGGGGCTGGTTACGCCGCTGCTTGTTGGTGTGGGACTTGGGGATTTGCCGCTGCCGTTTGGCACTAGGGTGTAAGAACTTGGGTCTAGCATTGAGCGCAGGTTTGAGCCCGCGCGTTGTCTGCTTGTGGGTGCTTCGCGGGGTGTTGGCGCGGGAGGAGAGGGTGCGGATGCGGGGGGCGGTGGGGGTGGTGCTGATGTTGGTGAGGATCGACCGCCCGTTGCGGTTGCGCGCATCGCGGCTTGGAGGGCGATATTTGGTGATGGGGAACTCGAGGGTGGAGCTGAAGATGGCGGCGGAGGTGGTGGTTGCGAGCGTGATGGAGCTACAGGAGGTCTTGGAGCAGCGGCTGGAGGAGCCGGCGCCGGCGCAGAGACCGGGGGCGGAGGAGGTGCTGGCGCCGGTGGAGCTGGTGCTGATGAGGGAGGAGGCGGCGGCGCATGAGAGCCTGGTAAAGGAGGAGGATGCGGGGGGTGAGACGGCAGTGTTGAAGGTTTTCTAGATCCAGGTGGTGGGGGCGGCTTCTTCCCGATAGGAGGCGGAGGTCCTTTCGACGAACCTATCGAGGCGGAAAAGGGTCGTGGGACGTCGCTAGCTGTTTTTCTTAAGTTTGCTACCGAAGCGTGAGATGTTGCGGGAGGGGGTGCAGGAACCGCACGTCCTGGTACGGCTGGTGCGGATCCCATAGGCGGTCTGGGTAGTGTCGGTGGTTTAGGAGCTGACGATGTTTCTGTGTCGGAAAGATATGACGCGCTTTGGTTTGCTGTGAACATGTGTTGTTAGGGAATACTGCGCCTACACTCAGAGTGCTCGGGAGCTTACCTCCTGTATCTACACCTCCACCACGTTTCTTGAGCTTTGGCATGCCACCTGCGAATAAGCCTGCTAATTGTGGCGCTGGTTCTGCGGATGCATTAGTGTCACGGCTCACTTGATCGCTATTACTCCTCGCTCTATTACCCGATACGGGTGGTGCAAGTCCACCTGGAACCGCGGGAGCTCTGGGTAGAACTGGGACAGGGGGCGCTCCTCCTATCGCTGGTCCGCCTCCTCCACCTCCTGATACTACTCCTCCTCCTACTTGGGGGGCAGATCGATCGTTGGTAACGGCCTTCTTCAAAGCTCTCCCTTTCGATATATCGCTAAGCAATGCGCCTCGTCCGGCACCTGATGCCGGTGGTCGTGGTAATCCACCTGGGGGAGGAGGCGGTGGTCCTCCCATGCCGGGGAGCGGCGGTGGGGGAGGTGGTGGAGGAGGCATCTCGAAGAACGGGCTCTTTTCTTAATGTCTTTGTATTCCCAGTTTTGCAGTTAATGTATCGGAATATGCTTAAGTTGGTCGAGAGTAGTAAATCGGAAAGATGGCCCGAGGGGTCGTCACCATACGCGGGTTTCAATTGTGCAAAAGGATATGGTCAAACTGTATAAATACTCGGACGAAACAAAGTGATGTGTATTTGTTTTTCGGCTATGACTGGGTATCTACTTGGAAGAAACAATTGCGAACGACGCGCGGACGTAACAACATATAATGTAGTGAGTTTGATGGTGCCTAATGGAGTGATGTTTAGGAGATAGAGCAGACGAATTAATTTATGGAGAGATGTTTAGAGTTCCGCTGGTACTTGTTACCAGCCGCTCGCTGTCGTCACACTGTGGCGCAGACTACCCCGCCATGATTATATCCTTGTTTGATAAATACTGCCCTGAATATCCTTATATACAGATTGAAGAAGAAGATTACGTAATGCATCCGGTCAATCGTAGAATTTCCAATTGACGAGTTTTAATTCGACTCTTCTTCACGACATCATCGTATCAAGCCGTACCATCCCGGGTTTATTACGATAATTTAGCGCCGCGATCGAATACCCAAGGTCGAATTAGTGTAGTCTGGCTGCTAACGGATTATCGCGAAGATGTCTCGACCTACTACACTCCCGCGACCGCAGTCCGTTTGTCAGATTTGCGACTCGATCATCGGCCGACGTTTATACTCGACGAAGCCTGCTCTAAGCTCCCGAATTGCTACTAGGCCTCGGTCGCAAATAAGTCAAAATGTCCCAAGGGCGAATTCATCGCAGAAACGCTTGCTGGCTTCTGCAGTTCTACCCACCAAGAAGACTATATCGGGATCCAGTAAAAGCCGCGATGCACTTGAAGAGCAAGATAAGAAGGTCAAGCCAACGCCTAGATCAGCAAGGGACGAACTATCTTCCGTTACGAACATGATGACATATCTTGAGAAGAACAAAACAAGGGTGCTTTCAAATAGGCGCATACCACCAGAATCGGACGTGAACGCTGCCCTCCAAGCATGCTTCGTCCTAGCGGATTACATTATGGACGACAGCGTTCAGCCGCAAATTTCTCACATGATAAAGGAGTCCGACTCGGCCGCCGCGGAGCTACTCTCGCTAGATAGTACAAAGGGCTCCCGCTCTAAGACCTCAGAGACTATGACCGCTCATATAACAGCTCAGGTCAAACGGATAATCGATGAAATCTCTAATACTGCATACGCGGTACTCTCTCATCCACCCGTATTCATCACTCCGGAATTACTGGAAAAGTATGTTGACGTTCAAGCACGTTTGGTTAGGCCAGAAACCTTCTCTCAAATATTTCAACTATACGCATCAAAACCGATGCCCCGAGAATCTTCAGGGTCTATTAGCTACGTTGCGCCCAATCCCAACAAGGTAGCAAATGCCATAGAATCAAAGGTAATTGAGAAAGCCTTGGATGTTGCAATCGAAAAGAAGAACATTGATGCCGCGGTTGGGATTATCGAGAATGGCTATGGGACAAAGGCCTTTATTCGAAATAAACTTCTACGCCGCGCCGTATTACCCGCAGGAACATTCGCAGCAACCCCCTTCGCAGCGTACCTGCTGGCTTCGAATTTCTCTAGTTTTCAGACCGCAATGGACAGCGCTTCCGCTACCAACGTGGCCTTCGTTGGGATACTAACCTATGTGGGTTTCACGGCTTCGCTCGGTATGGTCGCATTTACTACCGCAAATGACCATATGAAGCGGGTAACTTGGGCTCCAGGAGTACCTCTGCGTTTACGTTGGGTCAGGGAGGAAGAGAGGGCTGCATTGGATAAAGTTGCGTGTGCGTGGGGGTTCCGTGAGAAGTGGCGCCAAGGCGAGGAAGAAGGGGCGGATTGGGATGCCTTGCGGGAGTATATTGGCCAGAAGAGTATGGTCTTAGATCAAGCCGAACTCATGGAGGGGATGGACTATTAGATCTGGATCTCACTCCAAGTATGCGCTAGATGAGATGATGGTCTTGTTCAACAGCCGGATCGACACTTCCAACGGGGATTCTGATCTAAAATGCTTCATTTTTTGCTAGCACCCGATCGGCGACCTACTTATACTCCACCATGGCTTCTTAAGCTTGAGAAATTAAAGGTGTACATATTTATGTAAGAGCTGTGTGAATAAGAAATCGGAATACGCTTATCTTCATTAAGTTTACTTCGACAGCGCATTAGTCATGCAGCTTTCCATCCCTTTTCGGTCTTGACTCGAAACTCTACCGCTATCTTTTACTGCCCAGGTATTAGGAACGCACTTGAAGGTTTCTCTACTTGTAATTGCTGTATACACAGCCACCATCTCTGCGACTCATCATGACTACACGACACATTATAGATACGCTCTAGACGGTCTTGGCTTTCGTCCACTACACATGGACGCTTGGATATAAGTTCCCTGGTTCTTTTCTTTTCGCTTGAAGTCATGGCGATACGCCCTTTAGAAATTAAGGAAGTTGGCTACTTTTATAGGAGCTAGCTAAAGATTGTTTCAAAGATAGAATGGGTGGTCAGTTTACACCCTACGATCCCCTAAGATGTCCACACTATGCTCAATTCGCATCTGGCCTCGATAGGATCCATTTCGATGGTATCTACTGGACGTTTTTCTTCACAGTGATCGGTATTCTGTTTGTTTCATCGTGGATTTATCAATCGTAGGTGAAATCCACACAATTGAATATTATACACCAAGAGATAATCTAATCAATGTGGCTGTGGTAGGACGATGATGTACAAGGAAAAGCCAGAATACAACGAAGTCGCCTTCCGACGGAAACTCAAGTCCAGTCTCGCTTGGTGCACGTCACTATTCCTAGTCGCTGCCGTTCTTCTCGTGATCGAAGTCTTTGCCCTTCTAGCACTGCAGTTCTGCGATGGCGAGGACCTCATGTCACTCTACTGGTCCACATGGACTATGCTACAATTAGGATCCGAGATTGCCATCTTAGGTATTGTGATGGCGCTGTGGCATAATCTATGCAATTTCAAGCTCCCGTAAGACATCCTGTTCTATTCTGTCTTTTCTTTTACAAGATAAGTTGCTAAATAGTCATCATAGGCTTTGGACTCTCGCCCTGGGCACGCCTGTACTTGTCGTCGCGGGTATCGGTCACGTTATCCACGTCGCGTTTAGGATGCTTTTCAAGAAGGCGAAAGCTAAGCGACAGGCGCGTAAGTCGGGGTCCAATGTGACATCAGCTGCTCCTAGCGTGATGATGACTGATACTGCTACGGCATGCTCAGTGTAAGTTGTTGTCCACAACGCACATCAAGTTTTGGTTTGCTAACCCATCCTCAAAGTCGCAGTGATAGCGTCAAGCCCGAGCAAGAACATACCGACCAATTAAGCGTTATAGAAGCCGGCCGTGCTATGCGCTTCATGATGGATGTAGGTGATGACGAACGTGTAAAACAATGGCCCTCTTTTGTGGGAATGGCGGATGGTAAAGCTATTGTACAGATGACTGTATATACTGGGTCTTTCACCAGCGAGAAGGCTTAATTTTGTACATAATCAATAGTTGGCTAAAAAATAGGAGTTGTTAATATTTATGGTTTCTACACCTCTAATCAATGAATCGTATCTGTATTTGCGAATTTTTAGTTGAAAATAACTGAGACTTCAAGCCTAAGTCGGTAGTATATCAACTCCAACGTGTAGTAGAATTTTATGGAGGCATTTGATGTTCCGAGATGGTAGATATCAAAGTGTGGGTGTAAGATTTCTTAGATTTACTTATGTTAATGCTACCTACCTATGTATCGGCCGAGACTTGCAGCTCTAGCTTAGTTATTTGCGTCAGCAGAAATAGCTCAGACTCATTTTAGGTATTTAGAATAAAGTCAATTCGTTTTAAATCGTTTTTTAACTTCTGTCACAGAAGCCAATGATCACGGATAAGAATCCCTACTGAAGTTTTACCGAATACACGATGGTAAAGTATATTCGTTGGGATACGCGTTGCAAAACTAACTTTCTGGTTTGAATATTGGATGAACGAACGCCTAGAAAAATCTTCGTATTCAGATCAACCGTATTCCAGCAACCAGTTTTTAACCCAAGATTCAAGACCCCTATCGAGAATTCTGATAACATGATAGCTCTTTATCAGGGGTTATCTTCCATGCCGTTGGTTTGGAGGAGGGGTTAGGATCTGCGCAGGGATTAGAGGAGACTTGGCGGATATGAACGGCACTGCAAATGTTCCTTGAAAAAGCTCAGCATCGTTCCCCCTTCTCGCTACCTATGTAATTTCGATGAGAAATGTAGCTGGCGGGGGAGGTAATTTTGTGGTGATGTCTCATGATAGTTGGCTGGCTGATTACACCCGACCTGCTCGGCCAACCTGCAGGATCTCGCCTGTCAGTCGCTCGTCGCTCCGCAGAACGGGCCAACTCCCCCCATCCGCCTTATACAGGCTTACTTCCAGCTTTGTTCCGAGAACCTTGAATGTGGACTTCTCCGTGTCGATTTTTCCGAACAAGGGCACGGTAGTCTTGTAGCGTTTGGGTTGCGCATCGCTAGTCGGCAGATCTAGGGCGATTCCTTGGGACTCGAAGTTCACCGTCGCTTTATCCTTGTCAATCTTCTTTAAGAAGAAAGACGCAATTACTGTAGAGGGTGTCTGGTAGAAGTCATGGCGCACCGTCTCAAGCAGCTCTTCGCCATTAGCGGTCGTTGTAGCATTCGCTGCCTTGGCCTTGCTCTTTTGCTGTCCCGATCCGATGAATAAGTGTCTAGGTGATGTCTTGCATCCCTCGATTTTCATGAATTGATCAAACTCCAGTACTCTTCTCTTGCAGCAGCTGTAGCCCTTGCTACCTTCATGAAAAATGGGCGCTCCTGGATGATGGACGCATTTCTCGTCGTCAGATCTCCCCTGGCCCTTCTTGTAAGCCGCATTGCATCCTTTCCGTCGGCAAATCTTTCCATCTGCGATTTCAAGGGAGGGGTCGTCGTCTTCGGACTCGGGAGGAGGTGGGGGTGCGGTCGGAGCTGGTTGGGGAGTAATTGGAGCTCGGCTCGGGGCGGTTGCGACAGCTTCGGCGAGCTTGTTAGCTAAGGATTGTGAAGGTGAATTGGGATCTATGGCCTCTGGCGCTTTCTTCTCGATTTCCGGTGGTAAGTCTGTAGTACTATGTTTGCCTTCAGTGCATGGTGGAATCTCAAGGAATTCGTCGAAGGTTAAGACTCGAGGTTTGCAGCATTTCCATCCTAATATGGGGGAAGGCTTGTAAGTAAATGATTTGCTGATTATTACCGGTAAAATGACTAGTCACCCACCTTTTTGTCCCTCATGAAAGACTGGAGGACCCGGATGGTAGACGCAGACCTCGTCTGGGTCGGTGTAAACCTTGCCACAACCTTTGTGGACACACTTCTGAGCCATTTCGGCGTAGGCGCGTAAATTGTTGTTCCTGAGGAAAGAATCGATTCACCAGTGGATCAAAGGAAATTTAGCCTTGGAATTTTTTGTAGTTGGATAACTCTTTCCGTAAATGTCTTACTGGTGAAGCTGGTGGAAGCTACGAGAGCCTCGAGCTCCTTCACCGCCTTCTATTTTAAGAAGCTTTGTGTACTTTTTCCTTGTCCGTTAAAAGTCCCCCACAGTCTTTGCATGAAGCCTGCCTATGACGTACAGGCATACCTGCTGAGAACCAACGCTAAACAACAGACTAACCTGGCTTCAGGGCTGGCAGAATCGAGGATCCCCGCTTGGTGGGGTAGATCCCCTCTACCTAGGTATCTATCTCGTACACGATCAGTTAGATAAGCGGATTACATAATCACCATCGCCGTGAACATTTAACAGTGATTATATAATAATTCAGTATGCCTTCACATTAATTTATGTTCAACATCCCATAATCATACGACGTCTATAATTTACTTTAATTATAATCTGCCGTGGTTCCCCTTCTTTAGAGAATAAAATATTTCCTCACCCGCGTCCACACTATTTAAGAAATATCAAAATGCGGGCTACAAGCAGATTACTTCAGGCTTGTAGAATCACACTTTTCACGCGCGAAAACTGCGGACTCTGTACCGAAGCTAGATCGGTTCTCTCCGATGTCTGGGAGTCCCGATCATTCCAATTCAAAGAAATCGATATCATAAAAGATGATTCAAAGCCTCGGTGGCGAGATCTATATGAGTTTGACGTCCCTGTGGTGAGGGAACTTACATATTGAAATGGGTTCAAGAAGTTGACTTACGACTAATATTTCGTTAGATACACATCAACAAGTCCTCTGCTCCGGAGGAACATCCTCAATCGGCCTCGAAAGCGATTAAGCTAATGCATCGATTTACACCTGACCAAGTCCAAGCTAAAATGGATGTCGTCGAGAAAGCTTGAGGCATCTAGGTGTGCTTGGTCGTGCAAAGCGACTAAATTATCGGCTTAGATCCGAAATCTTAAAGATGTTTCTTACTAAGCTATCGGGTCAGATCCGATATCCATGGATTTCACAGCATTGCTGAGTAAGCCATCGGCATAGGTCCGATGCTGACAGACCTGATTGTATCTGCTTACTAAGCCATCGGTACAGATCCGATAATATATTTTGGCTATCCTGTAGAAATCAGGTGTAGGACTGGTCAATATCGGAGCGCGTCATGAATACTAGAAGTTGGTCGCGAACACGCGTTTTCTCCCTATCATTGCGATACAGGGGCTATGCTATGCGTCCCGGAATGGAACATACAATGTCCAGAGACCAAACACGAACACTTGGATTTGGTCCTTTAATTTTTTGTACTTGCGCTTGATCACCCAACTTTGGTATCGGGGGTGCTCCGAAGAGAATCGAACATCACAGCCAGTCCGCCAACATCGGTTCATGCCATTATTCCGAAGGCATTCTTCGTCAGCGATGTTTAGCGGACTTAATATCTAGGCGCTTTTTGTGTTCTAATATTTTATGGCATATGAGAAACTGAATATTGGTCTCGTTCGCACGGGGGCAAGGACGGCGTCGTCTAGATTCTGACTGTCTTAAGTATAAAATATCACGGCCATATTGTATTCGTACCTAGGTATTTTTACTGTATATGCCTAGGGCGTTTAGCCCTGCTATTGGAATATTTACGCGGTTGCGTCATACAATCGTAAGGCTCGAGTGGAACTAGATGAATTAATTAAACTCGGTACGTTCCGAGGCCGTCGTACTATGTATGTAGATGTTTAATTTAACTTTAAATAGATCGTGGGGGTCGTGTTGCTAGTTTTAGAAACTTTCGGTATCGGAAACATCGTTAAACTTGGTAGGCTTCGTAGCGAGTTCCTTAAATAGCGAGAACGACGAAACCCTTTATCATAATATCACACTTATTTAGGTTTGTATGGGAGGAAAAAGAGTAATTTCATGTCGTAAATTCGTCTTGATTTTACATGTCAATATTGTCTACCCATATTGATATTTTCAAATCCCGCTGTTTATAGAGGTGCGCCTATTGTTATACAGTAATCGCTTTTTAGACCCTTAAGCACCTTATAGCAATTGCTATCCATGTAGCAGTTTACTTGCTCCTTTCAGGAGACTGCCGGCGTACATACACATAGATGTACGCCATTATTTCTGGTATGTCCCATCCATACCCTTCCCATATATTACATTGTGGTTCACGACCGGTAGTTATGTGACCCAATCATTACCAAACAACTAGTTTCAAGTACCAATATTGTGGTAAATAGGTACCACTTCTCGCTGGAATAAGCACTTGGGGATAAATTGATACTCCGCTCTCACACCCCCACGCGTCGCTTAAATTGTAAGCTGTAGGTATCGCGGCATATGTCTCAAATTTTGGGGAGGCATGAGGCATCCGACTCGACTGAATAATGCTCGTGGGAGTGTTCTAGGGAGGTGAGAGTAAATCGGTTATATGTTTCAGATCCGTCAATTTCGTAAGGAATAACCTAGTGACTAGAACGGATCATGTGTATGATCATCTAGAAATGGATGTCGTTCAAATGTTCTAGACCTGACTAGAGCATTTTGATGGGCGATGACGTCCATAACGTCCGGCATAGCTGACGCCAAATTCGGCGGAGGCATACTCTGCATGGTAGAGAACATTTGACTTAGAAGCTCGATGTGGCTAACAAAGCTTCCGTTTTGGCTGCCCTGGTGTAAGAGTGCCGTCTCAGCAACCCAGTCTGCGCCCCAGACATCCGGTGGTATCACGTCGCCCTCGTATAACGCGATTCGTATGGGCCATTGCAGGCGAGACCACCATTCTTCGTCGTCAGGATCGAATAGAGAAACGATACCCATTACTTCTCGACGCGCTACTCCTTTTAACCACCAGACGCCGTCCAGGCATTTTAGCAAGCCGAAGTAACTGGCAAGTATGGCGAGAGCGCGCGGACGACGAGCTTCGAGCAATTCCACGAACCGGCGGGAAACAGTAGCGAGGAATACTAGCGGGGCACCGGTATGTGGTATTTTATGAGCCCAATCTAGAACAGCAACAGCATGCTGGTATGCCTGACGCGTCAGAATTTGACCTTCGGGATTGTCATCCAGTGCCGCTATTTCCTCTTCGACTCCATTCATTAGATGCCCGAAAAACGTCGCGTTTTGCCCCGAAAGGTCGAGGTTGAGTGCGGGTTGAGATTCGATTATTGGTATTACGATCCCACTATTCCGTAGCCACTGCCAACTAGACGCTACTACGGCCTTGACTCCTTGAAATGAGTGAAACCAAGATAGTGGTAATACATATCCATCGGATCGATCCTTAACATCGCCCCCGTCGTCTCTAGTGAATATTCGAGAAGCCGTGGACTGGAATGCAATTAAGGAAGCGGTAAGGAATAGCGCTTCGGCGTTGGATTCGTTTATGCCTTTACTCAAACTCGCACTATATTCTGACAGAGTGGAGGCCATATATGCGTGACTAGCCCGCACGAGCTCCTGGTCCTGCGGGGCATTATACCGTAAATGGAGAGCAGACACGGCGAGTAAAGCATCGGCTAAGAAATGTGCGCCGGTGAAAGCAAGATTGGGGACGGTATCGCGCCATATTCTTTCGCTCACGGGAGACGATATAGCAAGGGTTTCGCAAGTAATGGTGGTATAATGGTGAAGTAGTTTTAACTCCATCATGCGACTAGATTTAGTATTTGATGTTAAGGGGAGTGGTTCTGGATTTCGGTATATTGGAAGAGGAGTACTCGAGTCTACGGAGGGGGTTGGCGGAAGTGTACTCGTCGACGGACTGTCGCCGCTGCTAGCGGATGTCGTCGGCCGAGGTGTCTCTGCCGGAGACAGAACGTCGGTGATTCCGGGATGTTCGAAGTCGCAAGCAACGCCATGCTTGGTGCAATTGCCACACCTAGGATGAACCTCGTCGCACTATAAACCCGTATGGCGCGGTTAGTTGCGCTATAACGCCCCCCTTTTTCTCGAGTATAACAGGTTGTCAATGCCGTACATACCTTAATTTTCCTAGCTTTGCATCTCCGACATCCGGCTCTCGACTTCTTATGTGATCTTCTTGGTGGCATTATTATTACAACAGCAAGATCATAACCGTTGACTAACACAAACACTATCACGTCTATAGGGAGATATGAATGAATCCATCGAAAAGGACGTCGAACCGGTTCAAATTATGTATCGGGGTGCCGGGTTCCGGACGGAGACGGGATGAAGGTATGAAAAGTAGAGCGAACAACCTGGAAGGTGATGAAATTGGTAAAAGTAGTAAAAGTAGCGAAGTACCTGTAGAATGCAGAGAAGGGACTAAGGCACTACAAGTACTACAACACTAGGGCGGGAATAGAATTATTGGGTTCATCCATTGGAGGCCGAAGTGGGGGGTCCTGTAATTTGGCACTGAACTTTACATGTGCTAAGCCACCATCAAAGGACGCGGCAGATCCGGGGATACTAGCGATCAGCCAATCATATGTGTTCTAGTAGTTTAGCGTAGCTATAATGCGACTTCCTAGTACCTACCATGTTATGGATTTCGGAGGGTCACGGCGTATAAGTTACTATAGTCATTTATAATCGATGGATATAAATTGAGGCCTCCCTATGTAATTATATAGTTGCCTATATTTTTATAAAATTAAAGTACGCCCAAAATGAACTTATTATATTCCCCCTTACCCCATATTCAACTGGGGCTATGTACTTAAGTGTACTATGTAAATCAGTGTTTAAATCATGTACCTAGCCACATCTCGCACTACAATGCCTGAATGCCCAGTATATCCCCCACCCCTCCACCTAAGGTTGTACACTCCCCACCACATTTCAGGTGAGTCTCATTCGGATGGTGCCACCCGATGATCTAAGCCACAGGGAATCGGGATTCTCACTTCCTCCGACTTCCCGACCCGTGCGTTCCCATACAACCAGTGCCAATCCAAACCTTCCGGCTTTCACAACTTTTCAAGGCTGTAAATCTTCCGCGATCTTCATGACTCATCTATCAGGTATGAGATATGCAAAACGTCATTCATCAAAAGTGAAAGCTCGCTGCCGAAATACTCTTTTTGTTTGAGCGTTTATTGATATCGTATGACTTGGTCTCTCACGTAAGCCTCTTACAGCTTCAGGGGTAATCACATAACCTACCTCTCGCCTATCTATCCGGCCATGAGTGTTGGACCTAAGAGCCTCCTATGACGGCTTCACTAGTCGCTTCTACATCTTTGTCTATCAAGATGGCTATTCATATTAGAAGATTAGGATGGCTCGCTATATTCGTCTCTATTTGCCTGGTGCTTTTGTGGGGCAGAGCAATTTACAACACGACAAGGCTCTCGGACCAACTATGCTCCATTCTTAGCACTTGTCGGGTCGACACTCCGACGAAGGTCTCGGCCGAGGACACTCCCGTTTCCCTGGAAGGCTATGGAAACTTCACTGGGAGGACAGTAAAAACCACATTAAGCGGTATCGCTCTTCCGAAACCAGTGGATGCTTGGCTCGGTATTGATTACGCGACTCAACCAGTGGGTGAAGGCCGTTTTAAACCCGTCAATTGGCCGGCTCCGTTCGACGGTGTAAAAAAGGCTACAGCGTACGGAAAAGCGTGTACTCAAGATCCGAAGTACGTCAGCCTAGACGCGCAGGGAGAAGAGTGTCTTAATTTCAATGTGTACCGAACACAAGGTGTTCCACTAAGCAAGAAGCTCCCTGTTTTTGTTTATATCCACGGCGGCAGTTTCAATTTTGGCAGTAGTAAAAGTTTGGATGGGGCCGCATTCGTCGCGTCGTCTCAAGCGCCGGTAGTTGTAGTAAGCTTCCATTACCGACTTAACTCGCTCGGCTCTCTACCTTCGGTGATTTTCAGTCAAGAAGGTCTCCTCAATCTCGGCCTCCGAGATCAATATTTTTTCCTAAAGCATTTCGTGCAAAAACATATCAGTTCGTTCGGAGGCGACCCGGAAACTATTACCCTCGGTGGCCGTTCTGCAGGTGCGCATTCTGTAGGCATTCACTACTTTCACAACTATGGCGAGGACGCCGGGAAGCCGTATTTCGCCAGGACTATTCACCAATCCGGATCCGTTACCGCACGGTCGTTTCCGAATGCTAGTTTCCCTCTTTACATCCAACAGTTCGAAAAGTACATGACATCCCTCCATTGTCCCACTGATGATAATGCTGCTGCGCTAGCCTGCTTACGTTTAGCCAAACTTGCCGATATCAGGAAAATTAGCATGAAGTTGTATGACGATTCTCAGTATAACAATACATGGCCATTTCAACCTACGCAGGGAGGCCCATTGTTGGAGAAATTCGGTTCCCAGTCTGGTTGTGATGGGACATTCTTCCACGTGCCGACACTCACCACTTCCGTCACAGATGAGGGGAGGTTCACAGTGCCAGGTGGTCTAAAGACGAACGGTGAATTCCTGGATTATATGCATATCACCGCCCCGCTCCTAAATTCCGACGATCTGAAATTGCTCGCAAGTTTATACCCGGATCCGGCAACAAATGATGCATCTCCCTTCAAAGATTCTCCAAGAAGTGTTCAGTATACCCGCCTATCTGCCGCTTGGAGTGATTTTGGGTACATCTGCCCGGGACAAGAAACGGCATATAGGGTTTCCACAGCTGGCGTGCCTACTTGGAAGGCTCGATTCAACACTAACAATAGCTACCCGGCTTGGCGCGGTATTCCACACGCCGCTGACGGAAGATACACATGGCCAGAGCCAAAGACGCAGCACCCAGACGTTGGCCATATACATCACGGCTACTTGTCTAGCTTCGTCATCACTGGGGATCCAAATACGCATAGATACCCGGGAGCGCCCGAGTGGCCAAGATATGAACCCGAAGGATACGGACTGAATTCTAAAGCCGCGCTCCAACTTGTCATACAACCACAAGATACTAAAGTTGAAGCCGACGATATACGCCGCGAGGCCTGCTTGTTTTGGAGAGATCCCAAGAGAGCGTCCCGTTTGAATAAGTAAACTAATTGGAAAGATCTTAATATCTTTTTACCTATTTATACATATATACCCCTGCAATTTATTTGCCAATCTAGTATATAGTCTATCTAAACTCAGAGCTCTTCTACGTGTGATTTGACGGTGTGGGGGGCTCTATTTACCCCAAGCTGGCTTGGGGAAACGTTGCGATGGGTGGTTAGAATGGCGTCATCCGGGTCTAAACCGTTTTGGTAAACTGAGTACCTTTCATCGGACTTAATATATCATACCAAGTCTCTTCACAGTTCACACTCAGACCAGTCTCCTGACTCGGCTATCGCTCTAGCACGCAGATCCGAAAATGACGACTTCATTCAGCGAAATCCCAGTAATAGACCTTTCACAAGCAGATGACAAGGCAAATAAGGCCAACTTACTGAATAGCCTCCGTTATGCTCTTACGGAAGTTGGTTTTCTATATGTGTCGAATCACGGAGTCCCAACAACGACTGTCGAGAAGTTGGTAGCTGTGCTACCTACTCTTTTCGACTTAGAAGATGATGTCAAAAAATCTGTTGCGTTGGAAAACTCGCTTCATTTTCTCGGTTACAGCGGTGTTGGCAGTGAAAATACGGGCGGGAAGGCAGACAGGAGGGAGCAGTTCGAATTTGCTACTGAATTAACGAAGACCTGGAATCCCGGTCTTCCGCTCTACGAACGTCTACGGGGCCCCAATCAGGTCTGTATGCAGCTCAACGGTCAGAAGAATAAAGCGTACTGATTCTTCTAGTGGCCATCGGGATCTCCGGAAATAAGATATGCAGTAGAGAGCTATATAACAGAGCTCAGCAGGTTAGGCGAGCGATTTTTAGATCTCGTCGCACAGGCTTTGTCACTTTCGCCTGGAACATTCCAACCCTTTTTATCAGACCAACATCGTTTGAAGTTGGTTCACTACCCCGCACTACCGGCTGATGATCCGACGATTTCGCAGCAAGGCGTTGGCCCTCACAAGGACTCTTCGGGATGGTGGACATTTCTACTCCAGGCGTCACCTCCTGAGGTGAAAGGACTACAAGTCCTTAACAAAGTAGGGGATTGGGTAAACGTGCCAGTAGTTCCCGGCACCTTCGTGGTCAACATCGGTCAAGCTTTTGAAGTAGTAACTAACGGTGTATGCAAAGCCACTACCCATCGAGTCCTCTCGGGTCCGCACGAGCGATACAGCGTCCCATTCTTCCAAGGCGTTCGTCGGAATCTCACTAAAACCGAAGCCGTCGATACCTTAAAGGCGCATTTCGGTTCCCTTAATATCGGCCAGGAATCCGACGAAGGACATGCGATTGACTCGGCCTTCGTAAAGGGCAAATACGATACTTGGGGAGAGTCGCAGCTACGGACGAAGGTGCGTAGTCATCGCGAAAACGGCAAGAAGTTTTACCCCGAGGTCTACGATCAGTACATCAACGACGACGCGTAAAGGTACTTCATTTTATTACAAACAAAATACAATTCATAAATTCGATTCAGTACCGTCACTTATATCAGCCACTTTTAATCGTAATACTTGGCTGCCTTTCCACCGATGATGACTTGTTCAGAAACATCGCTCCTCGGCTTATCCTTCGAGACTCCCCTCGCGACACGCGCTTTCACCCACTCGCCGGCAGTGATCCCGACTGCGCTACCGTCTGTGGTCTTGTCATATCCTAGTCGCGCTAGCACATCGCTCACCACGGGCCGTAACTCGAGACTATCTTCCGGTCTTACGAAGTACAAAACACCTAAGCGGTCTATATCCGCTTGATCCGGAGGTGGCGCAACGACGCGGTGAATGCTGCTCTTCAGGAACCCGTTGGTCAAGAACTCTAACGAGTCGGCAAGGTTGACCGTGATGCTCTGAGGGTACGGCTTAACCCATTTCCACTCTCCCTCCGGAGTTCGCACCTGTAAGGCGCTCACGGGTTGTCGGAAAAGCAAGGTTAAGCTTCCGAAATCAGTATGGCCCTTTACCCATACGTTATCTAGAATCTTGTTCTGCTCCTCGGTCCGACGGTGGTACTTCATGTATCGCAGGTGGCAGTCGCTTTTCTCCTCGTATCGGTGCCTTTGTAGGAAAAAATCCTCTGGAAGTTCTAGGATGATAGCGAAGAGAACAAGGAGCTTGCCTACGATGTTGTCGTTTATGTGTCGAGCGAATTTTTCAATTTCTTGCCGGTTTGCATTGATGACTTCCGGGTGTGGTTGCTCAAAGGCTGGGATGAACTTAGGGATATTGTAGATTTCGGTGTTATCTTGGGCTCCGGGTTTTACTTGCTACTGGACCTTAGCTAATAATCCGGAGAGGCCTTGGGGGAGATGCTTACGCGAAGACCAAGTGGCTTGTAACCGTTATAACCTCCATTCTCAAGGTCCGCGCGGTACTTCAATTTCTCCTCGGTTGGGAGTTGGAATACCTCCTTTCCGATCGCAAATTGCTGGTCGACTTGTTCTTGGGTTAATCCGAAGTTGATAATGTAGAAGAAGCCGATCTTTTGGATGGCCTCAAATAGCTGCGCCGCAAGCTTCTGTTTCCCTCCTGGTTGGTCGAACTGGGAGAGATCCAATGTTATGAGATCTGCCCAGTCAACTATTCGGTATTTTATCAGCATATATAATTGCATTTGTCCTTGTATTATAAGCGCTTACGTTCATATTTTGTTTCCGGGACCTGATGGTAAGTCGGTACACCCGTATTTTCTTGGATAATACTGGTAGCGACTGCTGCCATTTTGATACTTCAAATGAGGTCTTGAGTATAATAATCAAATATCTATGGCGTGCTGCGGAAACTGGGTCATCTCTCAATTCTACGCGATCGCCGTAACCCGGAGATACGGGTCGATTTATGTGTAACCCCAAGGTGAGAAAGCATCGGATCCGATGCGTACGACCTCCACGATGACGCGATATAGTTACGAACATCAATTCCAAATGGATTCAAGGATCAAGAGAGGGGCTCTCGGCTCCAAGCTACCGGATTCTGCTAGCTCTGTGCAGTTTCCGGTGCGCTCTGGTGGCGGGCCAAGCGAAGTCGTGATCATCCCGGCCGATGACGAATATCGGAACGACGCGTTTTGATCGGTCGAAAGCGATATACCCCAACTTCCCACGCAATACCACAGTATCGGAAGCGGGCTTCCAGGTATGTAATTTCACCACGTGGGGATGGAAGATTGCGAGGAAATGTGAGTGGTACTTTTGTAAGTCTAGTATAACGGTACGCGTACTCTATCTGGCTCTATTTCATGTGTCTAGTCTATCAATTTGCTAGTAGATAATATCAACCAGGGGTAGTTTTATAGCTTGGCGAACTGATACCCGGATATTCGTAATTATAGCGGGCAATGGTTCTATGCTCATTGGCGGGTCTGTCGGGATTTTGCTCGGCCGTGTGTTGTTTTTAACACAAGTGTCCGGTCCCTTTGAAAGTATCTTCGGTGATAGCCATTATCGTTTCGTACGACATAATTCATCGGCTTGGGTCAGTAGAAGCTATACATCACCCAAGAGCTATGGCGACAACGAAGGCGCCTGCGATAACGTCCTCGGAGGCAACGGGGAGCTCTAGTTCTAGTAGCGTCGACGATGGGTTCCACCATGCGCGACGAGGCGAAGAAGCCGACGAAGCATCTAACGAAGATATCGACGGCTACGATGCAGAACGTATGCGAGCGCGGACAGCATTATCTGCGGAAGAAGAGAAGAAACTCATCCGACGAATTGATTGGCATCTCATGCCACTGTGTTCAATTATCTTCATGTTTAAAAATCTGGACTCTGACAATGTGAGCTTCATACCAGGAACACGCGCACATAATACGGCCAGCTAATCAATGGAAAAGGTTTCGAACGCTCGGATTATGAACAGGGGAACTTCTCAAAACATCATGACACAACTAGGACTTACATCCGATGAATACGCTTTAGTTACTGCCTTGTATTATGTGAGCTTTTGTATATCGAACGAAAAGTGATGAAAATGGCTTACATGGGTTAATAGATACCGTACATTGTTGGTGAAGCGCCTTCAAATTTGCTGCTTAAGAAGTTTTCGCCTTCACATTGGCAATCGAGGATCGTGTGTTACCCCTATTTCTCACGTTACACAATGTTTCGGAGTTGCTCCGATGCGTCCCAAGCAAGCAAATACTGACCGGAATTGCCGCAGATGGTCAGCTGGGGAATAATGCTAGCGTGCCATGTTGCGGTTAAAAATAAGGAAGGCTTATATGTGACGAGATTTCTTCTAGGACTAGGTGAGACCCTCCCGGAGGTTAGCCGACACTTTTGCTAACCCCTATGATAGCCGAGGCCGGAATGTTTCCGGGGATCATATTACAAATGACTTATTGGTATAGACCCGATGAAATGTCTCTTAGGCTCCTATATTTCTGTAAGCGTATGCCCCCGGATCGAGTTTCTTCGGCGACTGACTTATAACTCAGATATCTGTGGAAATCTTAGTGGTATCTTTGGAGGTATTCTCGCATTCGCATTCGATCATGTCTCAGGAGCAGGAGGACTATCTGGTTGGCAATGGTGGGATAACTTAATCATTCGGTTTCAATTCGGAATACTAACTTTTCCATAGGTTGTTCCTTGTCGAAGCTATAGTGACAATCATCTTCGGAATCGCTGTGTGGTTTATCCTACCGGACTGTAAGTTGAGTTGAATAAACGCCAGTCTCGGCCTTCGCACTGACATAATATCAATAGTTCCTCAAACAGCATCTTGGCTCACGGATAAGGAGAAAGCATTCATACAAGCACGTCTACCGGCAAACGCGCCAAGAGCCGCAGAACAGGACTTCAAACTTAGCGAAATCGTTGCTTCCTTAAAGGACAAAAGACTATGGCTTTTTACCTTCATATGGGCGTTTTTTACAGTCGGAACTTCAGGGGTGCGATTTTATCAGCCAACAGTTATTGCTGACCTTGGGTTCACGTAAGTTCCCCCAGTTCGTCCCAAAGGGGCAAAAAGGCGAGAACAGTTTATGGAAGGTTTCTGACAAATTAATCCCAGAACTATTGCGCAAGCTCAGCTTCTTAATCTCCCCATCACAATCCTCGGCCTCATCGTGATCGGTATGTCCGGGATCTTCGCCGATAACGGTCGACTGCCGCGGCCGCTCTACCCACTCAGCTTTCTTACCATCATTCTTGCGTGCTATGGAGTATTGGTGGCGTATCCGAGCAACGGCGCAGTCTACGCCGCGACCATGATAGGTAACGCCGTTTCAAGCGCTTGGTTTCCCATGATGTGGCCATGGCGCGTTCAAACTACGAGTCGCGCCACCGGGTCCGCTTTCTCCATCGGATTCGTCAATAGTGGTATGTGTCAAAAAATGCCGTGATCTTCGTTTTTTCTTATTATAGCGATTTTCTTTACTTTCCAGCCGAGCCATTACTAACTTTTGTGTAGTACGTAAAATAATTTTTATTCCCTTTCTCTTTCGAGGTTTGGTTATTACCCAGCCGTGAAACCAAGACTGCTTTCGAATGTAAGGTATCATGTTACTAACAGAGAATTTTTCATGCGTGCAGTATGGTCAGATCGGTGGGGCTATAGGACCCCAGATCTTCCGGAGCGCCTACGCGCCCCGCTACCAGGTCTCTTTCGCGGTCGCCATGGCCCTCGTAGCCTGTTGTATGATCACCACCCTGATTACCTGGTGGGTTACCCGGCAGACTGAGAGTGATACGCGGAAGCTCAAGTTGGCGAGAATTGCCGCTGCCAAGAGGGATGACGCGATCTTGGATGATGTAGTGGATAACGACTTGAAAAAGAGGAGCGATGCCTCTGTGGAGGTGTGATGCTGTTGGCAAACGGAGATAGAGATACCCGGACGAAGCTCAATTTATCAAAAATGGGTTTAGGACCCTGAGCACGCATTTACTATGAGGTTAGGAGTTAAGTAGAAAAAGCCGATCAAAGGAGTAAGAAGACCCCAAGAGAATTGGCAGCCTGATAAATGGAGTCTCTGGAGATAATTCTGGGACCATCTGCTCAAGATCTGGTGCCGCTCTTATCAAGGCTTTCGACATCAAGATCCACAGCGGATAGAGGCAGTCTTTCAGGCTATCCTGCCCCTTTAGGCTCCAGTAGAACATGACGATGCATTCGTCAGGCCTTAGCCAAAACCTTTTTGCGAATGACCGGACTTCCCGGGTCCGAATCTGACCCTAATAAATCGATTTCCGGGTTTTATTGATCATAATATGGATACCAAGATGCTGCGTGTGCAATGTAAGGGAAAGCCAACGTTCTTGTGGAGGCTCGTTGATTGGTTGAAAGGCTTACCTAGGTACACCGAATATCGGGTATGTTCCAAGAGAACCCCTGAATATTCGGAAGGGGTTCGAACATAGGTCTCGGCAACGGAGGCGACGGATGTAGTTCACAATCTCCACAGCATATTCCCATATTAGGAAAAGCGATCTAATTATTCCAGAAATTTACTGGCTAAAACGGTTTAATCATTCTATAATCCACCCATACTCCGTGCTCCCCTGGGTATGTAGTATGCGATCCGGGGCCTCGGGCACCAACCGCCCCAATGACTCCAAACCCTACCCACAAGATGATACTTGCCACTATTTTCAAACTCCGATGCCTTCACACAACTCATTCACGTCTTGAACATTACATGCATACAGGCACACACAATTTTTTGTCGGGACCTTATAGTCCACCAAAGGGCCCAGAACATCACATCAGCGTTTACTCCTGCAGACATGTCACGGTAGTATCGCCAATCATGTTGGAGATGTGGTTCTTATTACTTAAAAGCGGCCGTAGATCGCGACCCCAGGGAAGAGCGTTGTGTAGGACACAATATTGCAGTCAAAATTACACAGCTACTACAGCGGCGCTGCATCGTCCCATCATCACTCAACCTCACCGAATCGCTATCTAACACAAGAGCCGGAAGGTGGGTGGTGGGTTGGTGGGTGTATTGTGGATGGATGAAAAACGCACGAATATGAGCTGTCTCGTGCATGCCAAACCCGGAAAAAATTATGAGTTGCGATATCGCCCTCCCCGTGTGCCACACCACATAAACTCTTAAGAAATATGGTTAAAATGCCTTCAAGAAGGAGGGAGGGCATGTTTTTGTGCCTTGAAACTCGTTGTAGTCGTGCTCTCTCTTCTTTCGCAATCTTACCCTGTGCTATTTTCCTATCTTTGCTGGCACACGAAGGAAAAGGGCAGACAAAAAAAGAGTCGGGCTAAAGAAGCATGTGGGACGCCATCAGAGAGTCCAGCATCGGACAAATCATCCGACTTGTCTTTCGGCGCCCAGACCTGTTCCCCTATCCCGAGGAACTTGCGTCTTTCCAGCTCCCGGCTGGTTTAAGCCTGACTTCTAGTGTTCTACTCGACCGCAAACTCGAAGATGAGCTGAAGAAGCAGGAGGCTTGCGTCGAGCAGTCTTCGTTCTTTCCTACGGAGACAACGGCGACGCCTGCATCAGAGAAAGACCTTGAGGCGGGAGTAACCTGGGATAACGGGTTACCTAGCCCGGATACCATAACGCCTGACTACAATGGCATAACATCAACCCAAACCACAACAACACCTACCTCCACACCCACGCCCCCAGAAGGCGGGAAGCGCGACCCCGTGGTCGTAGACTGGTACGATGCCTCTGACCCCTCAAACCCACGGAACTGGACCTTCGCCAAGAAAGTCTGGATCACAACACAAATGGGACTATACACATTCGCCGTATATATCGGCTCATCTCTATACGCGCCAAGCGAAGAGCAAATCATGGTAGCCTTCGACATGGGCTACGAAGCCGCGGCGCTAGGAATCGCGTTATATGTAGCGGGCTACGGGCTCGGGCCTTTGCTTTGGTCGCCGTTATCCGAGATCCCGGCGGTAGGACGCACGGCGATTTATATCGTCACGTTTTTCGTTTTCACGTGGTTGGCGCTGGGCGCTTCGGTCGTGGATAATTTTGGAGGGTTGATGACGTTGCGGTTTTTACTGGGTTTCTTTGGATCCCCGTGTCTGGCGACTGCGGGCGCGACGTTGGATGATATGTTTGCGCCGTGGAAATTACCGTATGTGTTGACGGTTTGGTCGTCGTCGGCCACTTTGGCTCCTGCGTTAGGTCCTATAGTGGCTGGGTTCGCTGTTTCGGAGATGGGCTGGCGGTGGAGTGGATGGGAGTTATTCTGGTTGTCGGCGCCGGTGTGGCTTATCATGTTCGCATCATTGCCGGAGACTAACCCGGACACAATCCTACATCGACGGGCAGCGCGACTGCGCGCATCCACAGGGCGAACTGAATTAACCTGTGAAGAAGATCTCAAGCGCGCGCATATGACTAGCACGCGACAGATCGTAGTCGACGCCCTGATCAAGCCTTGGCAGATCAACGCATTGGACCCTGCCGTATTGTACACCACTGTATACGCATCTGTTTTATATGCAACTTACTATTCTTTTTTCGAAGCCTTCCCACTTGTATTTACTGACATGCACGGCTTCAACCTCGGGGAATCTGCGCTTCCATTCCTGGCTTTTCTACCGGGCCTCGTGATCGCCGTGACAGGCTACATCATTTGGTTCCGTCTGAAGGCCGAGCCCATGATGCGCAGGAATCCTCCGCCCTTATACGGATATCCCGAGAGCAGACTACTCCCGGCTGTTATGACGACGCTCCTGGCACCAATTGGGTTATTTATGTTCGGTGAGTAAAATATCCCCAACCCCTACGCAAGAAACCGTAATGCTAACGCATATACCCAGCATGGACCGCACGCCCCGACATCCACTGGATCGTGCCAATCATCGGGTTAATGATAATGTTCATCTGCGTCGTCATCGCCTTCCAATGCATGAATTTCTACATCGCGCGGTGCTACCCGAAATACTCCGCCTCCCTCTTCGCGGCCAACACCTTCGCGCGGAGTATTTTCGCCGCCGGTTCCATTCTCTTTTCACGCCCTATGTACGAGTCCCTCGGTGTCGGTGGTGGTGTTAGTTTATTAGGTGGTTTATCTGTGCTTTGCGCTTTCGGAATGGCTTTTCTGTATCGCTACGGGGCTGGGCTGAGGACTAGGAGTAGATTTGCGCAATCGTCTTGAGATAGATAGATTTTTAGATATCTTGGTCTAGAATAGAGTCGGGATAGAATAATGTACATACCTAGGAAATTGGTAAAAGGATAACGGTTAACATCATGATCAAAGGTAAAAGGGAGGGGATTTATCTAGATATTAAAGGGGAAACAAGAGCAACAGGAGGCGAACGTTGGAGCCGAAAAAAATTGAAACCACCATCGACGATATTATTTTTGATCCGTGCTCGCGGAATGGTATGGTACAAGTTATAAATACTATAATACAAGCCAACATGTAGAGTCTTCGGGCTCTGTCCTTCACAACGGGGGGCGTTAAAAATGTACCTAATATTTTTTTCGAAGAATAATACATGGCCGCAAGCCATAGCGAAAGCAAGTAGCAAAAGCAAACTGACGGATATGGATCCGCCAGTTATCTAACCCCCTTCCGAAGTAAAAAGCCCCCCTGGTGTTTTGTTCATCCCCTTGAAGGTTATGTATATAATCCGATGCTTTCCAGCCCTCCTGACCTGTTGAATGCGTGGGCTGAATGGGGTATGTTGCGGTATCCTCTAATTCGGGTGAAAAATCTCCTTGGCCACGAATGTGGCGATCGCCTCAGAACGCCGGTAGACTATTGAAATGCAAGAAAAAAGTGAATGCCACCGATCCTTTTTTGGATATCGAGTCATATATGCGAGATTCCAGTAATTATTCGAGATGTCGAATGAAAAGTAGCAACTCCAGAACTCCACCGTATGGTATCTGGTTGATTTTTGTCCGTATTCCACAAGAACAAGACCACCTAATATTTCGCAATATGACGCCGTGCATGTAATCCAGGTTTTTGAAAACTCCTTTCGTGGGGGTATTTGATATTGTGGAGTGAATCATGCCAACTTTCTAAAGCCCTCTACTCCAAGAGCTGGTACCTCAACATCACTTAAACCTAGAACACCCTCTTCTCTCCTTCGATCAACAAAACTATTGCACTCGGCAACGACAAGACTCCATTCGGCCAGAGCTCGACCAGCGTATTTTGCACCCGTAGCAAATACACCTTTTGGTTCGGCTGGCATAATAATAGGTTCCTGCAAGAGAGAAACAGGACTTTGGACTATTGCGCCGTCCCTGTTTCTGCTAACAGTGCTCACCGGGCTGTGGAACGGCAAGTCATCACTGCTCTTGTCGATGGGGCTCATTTGACCAAGACTCTGTCGGCGATCGAACGTCATAGGAATACGATGAGTTGGTGAAGGGACCTCGGACGGATCGGCATTCTTTGCAGAATCAACAAGTCCGGGGTTAGGACTTCCAGACACTGCTCGAGTTGGGGCTGGTCGGCCGGCCGCGGGAGGTGGTGGACTACCGGTCCTACCTTTTGCAGTAACCCAGGATTGCGCGGGGCTCGGGAGACGCGGTCGAGTAAGAATGCGATTCGGCGGAGACATGGTACCAGCAGCATTCCAAGACAGCGTGAATTTGAAGACATATTGCAAAGCTTCGTATGTAGGCGATGAGCCCATGCTGTCTGAGTCAGAACCGGTTGGACTAGAATCAATTGGTCCCTTTGGTGGTAAATTTGGGCGGATACGTGACGCGGCGGTCTCCCGCCTAACGGCTTCGAGATCGTTGGCAGAACTGCCAGTAAATGAGAAAAGTTTCCCTAGAAGGCTCCCTCTCTTCTTTTGGAAGCTTGGTTCAGCATCGACGGTGTCCATGGACTCAAAGTCGGTTGCCGGGGTTGTCGCCGGATCACTGTGTGGTGATAATGGAGTTGAAGAATCAAAGCTCATCATAAGCCCAGGTTGTGCCACAGGTATCTCAGTACGAATGATCATGAATCGTTTGCCGGGGGTGGGAAACGAAGGCGCGGTCGACGGTGGGAATTTACCCTGCTCCTCAGACACATGCTTCAACCAGAGATAATGTGACCATACAGTCTTGAGACGCGAGTAAACGACGAGGAAGATTTCGCTGCAGAAAGTTAGCATAGTAAAAATACGTCTTTTTCGTGAGCACTTACGCGTCTGAACTGTTCGCACTGCCAGCGTCCCTACAGATTCTCCAACATAACAATCGCATGTAGTACGCTCTAACCATGGGACACCAGTTGTTGAACAGTTTGTTGAAAGTTTCCTCCGTGAGGAGCCACTCTAGACACACCTTCTCTTTGCGCGATTGATCATTCGCAATAGTTTCCCAAATCGAGAATATGAGGGAAAGAACTCGAATTTCGGACATCGTATTGTTGGACTCCGATATCTTTTTACACACTTCAAACCAGAATGGCCAATCGACATACGCTGCGTCGGCTTTGTGAATGTCCATGAACTCATCATAAACCACTAACGATTCTTCCAGAAAGTCGCAGATGGTGAAGCAGGCACCATGGTCGAATTGTGAAGTCCGTTTTGCTGCGGCTTTCATAACGCCTATGAATGATTCGGCGAACGTGTGTCGTGCGTCAACGTGAAGTACGGATACACTAGAAAGCAGATCCTTTAGTAGTACTACAAGCCGATTCTCACTCATTCCTTTCATGATGTTGTTGTTTAGGGGAATTGGTAAGGCCATAGCAGTTGCATCAGCGCCGTGGGCCGCGTCCGCAAGGGGAGGACCCATTATGCTAGCCTCAAGAGCTGCCTGACGATGAACGGTTGAATCCAAGATAGTTAATACCTGAGCATTAACCAGAACGAAACCTGGAGCACGGGCTTTCTCAACAAATGGCAACCCCTTGGGCATGAATTCCTCAGCTAGTATATAATAATACTTGCAAAATATGAAGAACAAGTCAGTGTCCCGTCCTACCCATCTAGATACCCATGGTCCTCGCCATGCAATCTTAGACGAAGTTAAGGGTAACACCACATCTTGTCTAAGCGAATAAGACAGAGCCCTAGTCGATGTCCATCCCAGCTTTTCCACGCAATGAGGGAAGAGTGTAACGATGTCATTACTCTCACCTTGACTATCTCGTGGCAGACCAAACCCATCTGCAACTCGACGCAGTCGATCCGGGCTTAGTTCCCAGAGTCGCACGAGCATATCGGCGATCCCCGGTGCAAAGAAAAACGCGTAAGCGCAAGCTTTTCCTGCAAAATTAACCAGGCTCAAGGGAGCATGTCGAATGGAGAGCTTATCCACCACAAGAGACACCTGCGCCACAAGATTCGTAATAAACATAGTTTTAACATTATGTTTCGCCGAGTCGGCAATGTAGGCAGAGTCCGTCGAGTCGAGCGAGGACGCTGATTTAGTACGGCTTCGTCGGAGTTGTTCCGCCGGAGTTCGATCCGCCACGGGACAGAAGTTGATAGTACACTGGCGCCACTCCGGCCGCATCATGAGTGCAGTCAGAGCCTCAAATAGGATGGGTTTATCAACTCCTGGGATAGGTGGTTGGTTCTTTGCTTCCAATAATTCCAAGAGTCCACCCCACCACTTGTTCAAAATGAGGGCCCTTCGTTCTAAGTCTTCATAATGCAGCATCTTATTCGACGAATGATTCGCATAGCTCCTCAAAAATGGCATCAGAACGCCCCGGACTATACCTATCTTCAGGCCGGTGGACTTAGTTTGGAATCTATGAGAATCGGAGTCTAAGGCCTTGAATGTAGACCAAAGAGGATCTCGAGCCTGTGGCATCTTAGGAAGTAAACTATCCTCCGGGAATGTACTGTTGCTCGTCTCGGAAGCGTGCGATTGGCGGGTCTCTGTCGACGGAGGGGCAAGACTAGCTGTCGAGGAAGCGGGACTATCGCGATCGTTATGATTTTTCCCCTTTGCTAGTATACCCGGTTGCCGTTGCTTGAACCTGTTAAGATAACTACCAATCTTACCAAGAGATTCGGTAGTAGACTTGCTGCTGTCACTGCCAGCGGGGGAGATGGGACGTTTCCGTGACGACCTTCTGAGTTTCATGATGGAGCTGTTACTAGCAGACCGCTCACGACCTAAACGTCCTTCAGGCGCAGCTTCGCTCTCATTTTTCTTCTCGCCAGGTGAAGGTGAGCGCGACCCAGGTATCCACGAGCGCTTGGCCAAAGATGCGAGCGAATCGGAGACAGTTCTGTATGTTTCTTGCGGGTTCGGATTCAAGAACTTGGGGTTGCTAGCGTCCTCGCTTTTTATGGGGTCCTTATCCATTACATCGTCGGCGTTCTCTGCAATGTGCAGAGATGGCATCCATGATTGCGGTCGGCTCATCGGCGTCCTCCTTTTCCCAGTTTTGCTTATCCTTGGCTCAGGGCCAGCCATATTATTCTCGTCGTTAACGGCGGTGGGCTTCTCATTGGTACTACCCTTCAACAAGTCATTGGAAAAGGAGAAGGTGGTGTCGAAATCGGTGCCGAAATCGAAGGAAGGTACATCGAAGGTTGGTAAGCTAGGGAGGCTTACGGCGCTTGACGATCGGTTGTGCGAAGAGGCAGCTAAAGGCGATTGGGTTCGAAAGCTCTCGGGGCCGGAAAGTAGATCTGTGGAGGAACGGGAACGCGAAGGAGAATGACTGGAGGAGGGAAATGACTGTGTGGACTCTGCGGTTGGCAGGGCCGTTACAGTCAGGGTTGGGCCACTCATTTCATGGCAAGTGTCTTTGCAGCCCCAGTGGACCAGTCCAGCTGAGGCCAGATGAAATGACAATCAATGGACAGATCTGTTAGTAGATCTTCCCTTTTGTCGGTCGCCCTGGCGATCGAAAGGGGGAGGCTTGTAACTCTGTTTTTTTCTTAAAAGAGATATGGGGTTTTCTGACAGTGAACAGTGAACAGTGGACTGTGGACTGTGACAGTGGGCTTGAACGCGACGAGGGAGGGGGGCACACCGTGGGTGCGCCGATTCTCAAGGTTCAATTCGACGATGTCACCTCAAGTCATTAGGTTATCTGATGCAGGACAAGAAAAAAAAAAGTACGATAAATCCCCCCGCCTAGGATATACTTCGTAATTGATAATTGGAAATTGAAATAAAAAGTACTCTCTTTTTTCCTTATAGTCCGAATGCTATGTTACCGAAGACAGGAATCAAGTAAAAGGAAATAATAGCATACAACGACACAAACGAATGTGGTCGAGTTGAAAAGGATGAAAATTCAAGAAGCGGCGGATGGGGTCCCAGTTAGTAAATTGTAAATTGGTGTTTCAAAGCTGACCTGCACGCCCCAGGTCCTTCCAAGCTTCTAAGTCTTAGGCGGTCCACGGATCCAAACTGTAGGCAGGTAGGTACCTGCCAGCCTACCTATCTAGGTACCAATTAACTTTAGAGGTCGTGGCGCTAGTGGTTAAGGGAAGCAACGCCGCCCGTTAGGTGGTAGCGATGGCAGCTAACCGTGGCAGTCTAGCGGTCGCTACAGGCATTCGTTATAGTGCACCTGCAGTCCTACTGTCATTATGGTAATAAGGTGGTAATAAGGCGACTCAGCCGAGGCGTAACTGCAGGCGCACTACAGATCAGCCAACAAATCCAATTTATGTACATGTACCCATTACCCAGGTTTCTAAGTACCCACTTGGTATTGTATAAGCCTACATGCATAATAATTCAGGTGATCAAGAACTAAACAGTACTTATGATCGACTTATTCCCCGGCTTAGGGGTCCTTCCTACCTCCCCTATATTTGAGATGTTAATACCCTCTCCCCACGTTTTTCTTCACACTCATACGTATTTGTACCTACCTAGGCCTGCAGGTCAATGCACATTCACATCATAGGCAATTATAAAGCTTAATAATATTTTACTCAATAGGACTTTTCTTTACGAATTGGTGGTCATAATGATGTTGTCAAATGCCTGTACTTCTTGCTCACCCCCGAAAAGACCGTCCGCTAGATGCATGTCAAAGTCCAACCGATACACGTAGGCATTTCATAGAGATCGGCACGCGTGCTTGCCCATAAACAAGGATACTCCAATAGACGCGGCCAGGACAAAGCGGGCGTATGTATTGCAGTAGGCATTTTTGCTTCTGCTGCAACAATGAATCAATATTCGTGGCCCGAGAACCCAATGCAAGTTATCTGCGGAGTTGCGGAGAACGAGAAGAAATAGAAAACAGTTGAGAACTTTAGATGCTTGGCCTGTTAGAACGAGGATCCCTAACTTTTCACAAAAGACGTGCTTAAGTAGATTTATAACAGTTTTCCGATCTGAAACCTGCAGAAAGTTGAGCTATTGATTTGAACCACCCGCTTCGGCACGATATCTAGTCCTGTCGTGTTACTGGAACTATGTAAGCCACGCTCCTAGGTACATATATAGGTCGGTAGGTACTTAGAAGTAGATAAGGGATATCGCGAACTTCTTTTTTAATGTAGTCTAGTCTAGTTCGATCAGATGCATCAGCAACCTAATGTAAGCTTAATCCTTCCCTTCCCCCTTTCGTTTTTCAGCATCTAATCCTTGCAACGGTGTACCATAACCTTAAACACCTACCTCTTACGTAGACAAAAAACAACATCGAGGGAAGTTAGCCACTCTATCTAGTCATTCTCTCTGCCGTGTAATAATACCTATTTTGTATTATATGCGCCGACTCACATCAATGGCGATAGAATCACAATGACTCTCGAAATTACCCCTATCTGTTCGGAGCTAATGCTACGGCAAGCTGAACTTGGCGTTGACCTATCTTGGCTTAGTACAGCGCAGCCGTTGGCCAAATTAGGCGCTATCTCTAAATGAACCTCGATAGCTGGTCAACTATATCCAGATATGAGGCCACAAAAGTCCGAGGGAACAGATGATTTTGATAGAATCACATGATTTATATTAACTCGCCATCGAAGCAAACAATATCACGCTTTCACAAGCGTCGGGGGATTCTCAATGGTGAAGAAAAAGAAAGAGGAATGTTTGCTGAGTGACAACTTATTGTGAAACCTCAGAAGTGCTATCGATAACGCAGGAGGATGGACAGATGGGATTTTGATTTCCGACAAAGCACGGACCGGTATGACGTGACGGTACATAAAAGCAAGGGTTTAATTATAGACCCCATATTTAGAAATTACCTAGGTAATACACCGTCAATTCAAAACACTTCATAATGGTTAAAGATGGTATAAAAACGACTACTTAGGTCATGAGGACGTTACCAAGAACTAAGTTATTGTCTTCTTCCTCAAGGCAAATGTGCTAATGCATTATGGTTAGCAATGAAACATGATGGCCAACAGAATGGCTAAACACGGCCGTCCTCAATATGCCCCCCTCCTTACCCCTCCAAAACTTGTTCTAAGCAAGCCACTGCCATAACAGTTAAATTCTTCATTGAAACATAGCCAATGACTGGTAATATTCCAGTATCGTTGTGTATCATGATATTGTCAATAGAGCCGGTCTCGATATTACCTACAGAAAAGTTAAAATCCTATATGACCAATAGCCCAAGCCACAACAAGAAATTGAGTGTCTCTTGCAACCAACCAGTTATCCTGGATTTCCATTATTGATCATAATCATTCCAAGTGCTCCTCAGTCATAATATATTAGCTATTGCCGAATGTCTTCCGATATTCCAAAAAGGCCAGTCATTCAAGCGTAGGCTATCAGTCGTCGATATATTCGAAATCACAATTGTATCACCCTCCTGTGCTCGGTACAGCCGTAAACACAGTATAGGTAGGTCCAAGTTCGATATGTTTCAGTCTGTGATTGTGTGATATCATATGTCTATAAAATTTCCCCGGTGATTTGTGCATTTGTCGCGAGTAAAATCTCCGATGAATCTGAATCATTTCCATACCATCGGTAAAACGTAGTTTTTCATCCAAAACTTCGAGATGATCCGGAAATTCATATTTAAAGTGAGTCATGTATCGGGCTATCCCGTTCCCGAGGCAAATAATCGTCATACGATATGAAATGTCTGAGGTTGAGCTATTCGTACCGTAAGCCACGTGAGATTCCGGCTCCGAAAGTTCGGGCATTCGGGGTCGGCTTTTCGGGTAACCGGCAATTGGCCGATTATCCCGGACCATCGACCAACAACTTCAAAAAGTGGTGCAATCCCACTCGATTTATAACTCAAACTTCCAGGATTACCAGTTTCGTGGAGCTAAATAGATATAGAATATCTGTGAATATAAAAGGGCGAACGATACCCCAAAGTTGTGCTAACCCACGGAGGATAACTAGTAGTACAAACGACAGCGTATTAATAGATATAGGAAAGCTCATTGAAGTATCTTGGAATTCAATTGTCTAGCGCATCAAAAACCACTCCCTTAAACACTCATCCACCGCGTAATATTTCAGCTATCCATATAATTCGTAAAATCTTGATCGCCATGGCAAATAACACCGATGCCGACCAAGGCAGCAAGCTCGCAGCTCTCAATTCCGCCACAATTGGAGTTGAGATGCCCCAGATAACGCTTCCAGACGGGAGCAAAGTGCAAACGGGGACTGTTGGGTATGTATTTCTGTTCATAACTACCTGGTGATGATCTAATTGACTAAACTTCAATTTCGCAGTGCTCTACTCATCAATATTCGCGCATATAATGAAGCGCATAAGGCTGGAGATACAGCAATGACTGCGGCCTTGGAAGAAGCGATGCGCGCAACTCTGCCACTGTTAGATAAGGTTGGCATGTTCGATCTCTTCAGACCAGAAGAGTGGATTTCCGGGGACAATGAAGGCCGGAAAGTTGTAGGGAAGTCGTATTTACAGTACAAATCGGAACAAAAGTAGGCAAGAAGTGTGATGAACAGAGTTGCGGTCCAAAGGATGAACGTTGTTGGTGTACCTAGGTGGTTATCACGGGCGAAAACTCCCGACTCCATAAGTCATGTACCAATAGCAAAACCCATAAATCAACCAATACGCCAACCCATGCGCACCTGCTACTAACTGATAGGCAATCATTTCTTCTGACGTTTCAATGTATCCTCGTCAACAGACGCATCTACCATTTGCTCATCCTCCAAATCCCGACTTCGCTTAAGACCCTTCATCTTCCTCGTCTGGAGTTCGCTCAAGTCTTGTCTACCAAGGTGAATGCGACCGATCTTGTCACCTATCGTATCGGTCGTAACGTTCTTCTTGATCTTTTCCTCGCCAACCCTGGGTGTCTTCATGGCCTCCCTTAATACTGCCTCGTCGGGTTCTTGCATTCTACCGACGCGGAAGTCCATGCGAGGGCCCATCTCCTCAACTTCAACACGGGGGAGCCGTTGGCCGCTACGCTTAGTCGATATGAGGTAGATGCGCAAGTGAATAGCAGGCTTCACAGCATCACCGTCACCCACAGGTTCTTCGGCGGTAACAGAAACGATGTATTGTAGACCCTCAACATCAATCTTATCACTCGACGTGTCGCCCTTGAATAGGTCGATCAACATGCTCTTGACTATTGTATACTCGTTGGCAACGGGGCTCTCAAATGCGGTACCCGAGAATAACATCATTGGTCGCAGCCCAACAGCAAACTTGCGGCCCTTGAATTGCGAGATTCGTCGGTAGCTCTCTGGGTCTAGATGTAGCTCGAGCATGTCGAGTATCTTGCCGGAGAATGTGCGCGCTAATGTCAACGTGTGAGGGCGCTTCTTGGAGCTGCTTCCGAATACGAGTAACGAAGTGTCATTCTTCTCGCTGAAAAATTCGAGAGAAGCGGGATCTTCGAACGGGTGAATAGCGTTCTTCTTTGTGAACTTCTTAGCGAGCGGTTGTCGTAGAGAGTAGAGATCGGTTAAGGCATCTTGTATAACTTGCGAACAGCTTGTTCCACGGCTAAACTATCCATTAGTTCTCTAAAAATAACTCATGCGCCTTGATTTTGAGATAGGAAAACGCACAGGAAAAGAGCTGTCTTCGGGTTCTCGACGACCTTTGGAGCTTTCTTCTCGAGAGCTCGTTTGGAGCGAGCGTTTCGTGGTTTTCTAGATGAATTCAATTAGTATTGTGTGATGATAATTTAATTGAGCATGGGTATCGCATACATTTGTCTCAACATCTTGATTACTTCTTTAATCGAGAACTTTTATCCTCATTAATGATGTCGCATGGAATTACGTTCTGGTTAGAGGGGCCTAGGAAATTTTCAGGACGGCAGAACTAGTTTTTAGGTGGAGAATATGAGATATTAGGCAGGCGGTGTAGCGTTATAGCGCCTCTAGTGCCAATTTACGGCGCAGCTGGCACCCGTGCTGCAGCCGTGTGAGAAAGCGGCGTCAACGATAAGAAATCTCGCGTGCATCGTGACTTCCAAGACGTCCGTTCTAGCTTTAATTTAACCTTATATCTCTATATATATCCGGTTTATCCTTGATGTTATCCCTTCCAAATTTTCAACTCTAATATGCCTATATAATGGTTGATACGCCAGGGATAGTTAATTCTATCAATCCGGAACCCCAACTCAGGTCCGTTAACAGAATTAATATACGATAGCCACCCACCAGACAAATAACTCATTTCAATTATATCTTCTGACTTTCCTAAGTTCGACGACCATGCGATTTTCCTAAAGAATATGGTCTGATACCATAGTGATCGGTTCATCCACTATTAGTTGATTTAGTCAATACATTATCACGATGCGGGTGTTCCCACAATTAGCAGCGTACCCGGCATCCTATCGAAATGTATTTTTCAAGCGCTCCTGTACAGGAAACGTATGAGGGATTGAGCCCGTTCCTCTCACGTCGAAATACTACATTCCTAGTAGAGCGACTTGTTTGGTGATGAACCGGAACGCGAAAACAGGTTCCCAATATGGAGCGTGTTGTCCTTAGAGTTGGCGGGAAACGCCATGATATTTTCAGAAGACCCTTACATTCAACTAGTCGGAAGACGGTCTCATGTCTGGCTCTACGCCTAGATTGTCCCTAAAGGCGGGCCGTGTTAGTCGTCCACAATACTATGATGATAATTTCTGGCGGTTTGCCCGACGGTACTCCCGTGGATTCGTTCAATTGAACGATCGGAATCAAGAAATCAACAGCGATCACCAACCCAGACTCGACATTTCGCTTTCGTTTTCAAACTTTATGGCGATATTTTTATCGCTTTTCGAAAACTACTTTCACGGTTGCCAAAATGTTGCTGGGTTTCAATTTGCCCCAGTGACGCCAGTCAATCATACGGCCGCTGTCTACTACGGCCGCAGAACTAGAGGAATCGGTAAAACGGCCCACAATGGTCATACTTAGCGGACCTCATTGCTTCGCTTATAATCAGCAACAACCCAGCTAGAAAACTTCTACTTCAGCGAAATTCTCTGCGATGTGATGATTACGAGTGTTTCCGTCGTAGAAGGCACATCGAGTGCTAATAGGGCCTTGGCGAATTAATTCGCGCACCATCGCGATGTGCCTCAAAGCGTACCTCGAAGTCGTTGTTCAAAGCTTCAATCCATACGACCGAACATTAGCGAAATTGTCTTGTGCACGGATGCATCTGAATTATATGTTTCCACGCTGAAGTAGGATTGAGCTACAGCTTACATGTATCCGACAAGCTTCGAAATATCTACTATTCTCCGTTGAACCGCATCTTGCTTGGCCGGAAATGCAATTTCTGCTTATAATTGATCTGGTTATGTTGCGATGCGTCTAACTTGATTAGGGCGACGGAGCGCAAGAAATTGTGGACATCTATGCTCCAGCAACGTGGAAAATAACCAGGAACTAGGGTAAAGAAGATGCCGCGATAGTAGTAATTAATGGAACTCAAGGTGTTTCTAAGTGCCGTTGAACTTGCTTCACTAGAAACTCGTAAGCTAACCATGTGTCATAGAGCGCCACCGACGACGTTTTGAGAATTTTATGGGTTTCCGTGAAACTAAGACGCGCCGTCTCGTGGTTAGTGCTTAGGAATGAGATGAAGTTGTGATGACCGTTACTTGACTAAACACACGGGAATCCAGAAGAAGACAACCGTGGGGCTACTCTCACGCTGTCAATGTCTGTGGTGCTATGCAGAATAGAAACACAATCAGTAACGGCAGACTAAGAATCGACGGCGGCCTTTCGCTTGTTAAAGGGCTGCGGAATTACTTAGATACTTTAGCGAAGTGAGGCGGGCTTTAGACGATTTGGCTTGAAACGCCAGGCTGCTGCCAAAATCTTACAAGCAACGTTCCCCTGGTATTGGAACTAGATGTGGATACTATCCATCCGGGGGCTCGAGGTGCAAGCAGACCGGAATGTAATGCAACTACCGGAGTGGACTGCACTAGAGCGTCGATTTTATTACACCGTCCCAAGGCCGGCACGCGGCTTTATTCACATCGGGTTAGAGGCTCGCCGCCAGCAAATCACCAGAAGCATTTACAAAATCATCACGGGGACAATAACCATTTACGGCACCTCGCCTCCAGTTCGGTTCCACATACGCTATACTAATGTTGACATTGGTCAGGAACCAGCTTTGAGCCGCATAAAATTTTATGCCAACTTGTCAATGGTCTATTACTTTTGAGATGATTTGATGTGTCATACCAATGAAGTTGCAGGCTGGCGAGCAACTATGCAACAATACAGCAATAAATTGGCTTATTATCGAAGGGATATTGATCGGTAGCGCAGGTTGCATTGATATGCTTAAGGCTATAGAAGATGAGCGACATTCCAACCAAGATTGCTGTCAATTAGCCCCTGTCGAACTTCCCCAGCATAACAAGGTCATTTACATAAAGTAACCAAAAGGGGAAGAGAGGAAAAAATGTTTCCAGAAGCTTGGGCGAACCGAGTCTGGGCGCCACGATGTTACTTCAAACACTCGAGATCTCGTTCCAGACACCGTCTAGTCTCAAGTTACATGGGGAACACAGTAACACCGAACCGCCGAATTCCAAGTACGTCAGCAACTCCCCTTTATCTTAATGGAATATCTTGAGATCTGGGGGCGAAATCTCCTGATTCGGCAGGTCCAGAAGCTAGGCCGTGCTTGGACATCTTAGTTGATGCCCAGCTCTCCAAACTGGGAAAACCAGGGCTTGATCACGGAATTAAAGCCACCGGCAGATTGCCGATTTTGAGCTTAGCTATACTTTAGCTGTCACACCAGCCTGGAGATGTCGACGGTCTCTGCGGGCCGGGGTCACTGTCCCACAAGGCTGGGTCCCCAGCGTTGCATTGAGGAATTCTTTTACATGTTAAACACGAGATTGTAGAGACGATAGAGGCACCGGTAGAAGGGATCGGCGCGCTGTGGTCCTTTGATGTCCTAGTCTCATCTTCCTGGACGGTCTCCCCCGTTGTTGACTAGTATACAAAAAAAACGTGGTGAGGGATTAGTCTTCCCTTTTCCTGATATACTAAGTCTGGGGTTTCCCTTCTTTAAAACTTCCCACCTGCTGCTTTGGTGGTTCTGTGGTGTCATTCGTTTATCTCCCCCCCTATTATCTTGAATTTTACGTTCACGATCGGCAGGATGCGGCTACTCTCATTGTTGATACTATGCCTCAGTGCATTGCAACCCGCGCTGGCCGCTCTCAACGTAACGGGAGCTCCCGCTTGTGGTGTAAGTATTGCGGAAGCTATCTACTGGACAAGGCGCCGGCGAAGAAATGGCTAGCTAAGACTTGCGTAGTTAAAATGTATGGTCGCGTCGATCGCCAACTCGTCCTGTACAATCAGCAATACTACTTGTATTTGCACCAATGAGTTACTTCAAGCCCAAATCACCGAATGTGTCACAGCAAGCTGCTCGATTCGCGACCAATTAGGTAGGCTGGGATCCCAGGATTCATCCAGTCTCTCCTTTTAGCTAACTTACACGATACTAGGTACTAAGAAATTCTCATTCGAAACATGCGGCGTGGAAGGCGAAGACAGAACCGCCCTTGTTTGGATTCTTGCTATTGTATTTGGAGCGCTCGGACTGCTGGCTTTCACATTACGATGCATGGCGAGGTTTATGGGACCGCACAATTGGGGCCACGATGATTCGGTTATGTGTGTGGTTATAGTATGTCGGCATCAACGTGATTCGAAGGTCCCCCTTTCTAACGGTCGATAGTGTCTCGCGATCGCCCTCGCAGTCATCTCCATACCTCGTAAGCTTTCCAGATCAACCCTAACGAAAATGCCTATGCTAATGCTTCGAAGTGACTCAGAATGGACTCGGTTTGGATATGTGGTTTGTGCCTCATGACCATATTACTGAGCTCCTACGGGTAAGTCCCTTTTTCTGCCGTTCGCTTAAGATTGATAAAATTCTTACCAAACGGGGTGAATAGCTATACTATTTCGACGAGGTCATATACATCTCATCCCTGGCCCTGACCAAGGTCTCCATTCTTTTCTTCTACTTGAAGGTCTTCCCGAAGCGGTCGTTCCGTATCGTCACATATGTCCTAATTGGCATCAACTTGCTTTACATGCTCACTTACGACTTACTTCTGATCTTCCAATGCAACCCGATATCCGGCGCCTGGAAATTTTGGGATGGCGAATTCGAGGCGAAGTGCATTAGCATTAACGTGTTGGGTTGGTCCGCTGCTGCCATCAACATTGCATTGGATCTCGCTGTTATCGTCCTCCCGCTTCCCGAATTATTCCACCTGTCATTGTCATTGAGGAAGAGACTCCAAATTATTGCTATGTTTGCTGTCGGTTTCTTGTAAGTGGTTTACATGGTTCTTCGGGCCAAAGGAAACTCGCTAACAATTGATATAGCATCACTATTGTCAGCATTGTCCGTCTTTACTCCCTTATCCGATTCGGTACCACGCAGAATCTCACACGTAAGTCGATTTTCCCTAACTCCAAAATTTCCAAATTTCCACCCCGACAGCGATTCTAATCCACGTACAGAGGATTACGTCGAGACTGGATACTGGTCCACGATTGAGGTACCTGTAGGAATTATCTGCGCGTGCATGCCGGCAGTCCGATCCCTCTTCAGTATCGCTCTTCCCAAGATCTTCGGTACAACCCGCGCCACCATCGACTCTACCTTCGGCAGTTTCGGCCCAAACTCCTCGGGCAACCGCTTAGGCCCCAACTCGCGGAACAAGATCAGCGTCAAGCAGGAATGGTCGGTGTTGAGCGAGGGCCCAGCCGATCCCACCGCGCAAGCCAACGACCGACACGGGCGCAGCGGCAGCGATGTCGAGCTTCTCAACGTAGGAGTCGCCATCTCGAACAACAACCGCGACCGCAAGACCAATAACAGCAGCAGCGATGAGGACGAAGACGGTCGACCGACTCGCAAGATGACGCTGTCGAAGCACGGTGGCGCGTGGCGTGGTATGAGCATCCCCGAACAACAGCAGCAGTCGCAACAACCGCCGCAACCATACGAGGGCGCGTATAAGTCGGCCGCGTATACGAGTGAACGAGAACTGCGGTAGGAATGAGGGCTGCTGGTGGGGAGTCGGGGTGTCGGATTCGTTGGGTTTGTTATTTAGCTAGCTAGCTACTTCGATCTTTATAGACTTCTTTTCCCTTCATGATGGGGTCGCTTTTGGGCTTGCGTGATTTGTAGAATGATAGAGTGGGTGTTGGAGAGAGAATGCCTAGAATAACATTAAGTAAGTCCTACCTACGAGTAGTAAGATACTTACCCAGGATTTCTTCATGTCACCACATAAAGTGCTGAGCATGACGAAAAAAAAAAAAGTATTCTCCAGAGGAGAGAGGTTCCAAAAATTATAGTTTAGAGTGCAAGTACTCAAGGATCTATCCAAAAGGACCAACCCTAGGGAGGGGGATCTGCGAGCTGGTCAGTTAGGGCGCCGAAGCACCAATCCAAAGTTAGGGGGGAGGGATACATGCATATGAAAAAAAAATGAAAAAAGTACAAAAGAAAGACAAAGGAAATAATAGAGGAAAATACATAATAGAAAAAGGAGAGAAATACATGGGGGGTGAGGGGGAAAAAATAAGGAAAGACAAAGGAAATAGAAGAAGAAATACAGGAGAAAAGAGAGAGAAGAAGACTAGAGATATACGAGAGAGAGATAGACAAAGGAAAGACAAAAGAAATACAAAGGAAATATAAAAGAAAGGGGGAAGGGGGGAAGGGGGGGAAACCAGCACTCAAGTCCGACGCACCCTTGAGCCTGGGGATGTTTGTTCTTTAACGTCCCGTACAAGCCGCGTCAGCAGCCCACGGTGGACGTGCCTCTGCCGGCGCGAGGAACATATGCCGGAGACGAACATGAAAATGTCCGCTCCAAATATAGCACTCGAGCGCTAGCGGGAGCTCCGGACGAGTCCACAACGTGCTCGCCCTCGGCGTGGAAAGTGGGTCATCCAGACAGGGCAACGCGAAGGCTGCCCCCGGGACTCTTCGTGTGTCAGTCGAAGAGGGGCGCGCGAGAACCTTCCCAAAGCAGTATGCCCCGCGCAGCATATCTACAAGGTCCGAGACGATCCGTTAGGGCACCCAAGGTATACCTGAGAGGAACGGCAGCCCAATAGATAGAATATGAACAACCCGCCGAGGAACTTGAGGTATACACGAGTGAGACCACAGCTCAATGAGTAGAATACAAGTCCCTCACCGGACCGCCCCGGTATAGACGGCTAGAGGAGACCAATGCACTACTAGTCTGTCCTCACGGTGGTGTCGCGAATACCACCGGCCATCTAGGAAGAGGGTGTTGTGGAGAACCAGGCTACGCAATTGCCGGGCGTGTGAAGGAGTTTAACAAAACCAGGGAGACAACCTGGGTCAACCACAACGACACACGACTTGCCATCCAATCCTCGCCAATCCAGAGGGATCCATGGATGACTTGGTTGGGCATCCGATCGTCATGGTAGACGTCAGGAAAACTGCCATGAGTTACCAGTGCATCGGATACTCGAATGCTCCTGACAGTCCCGGGAGGCCCCGCCACTCCTACAACCGGGTAGCCCGAGGGGGATAGAAGCCCCCCACGCCGATCCCCTTGAGCGACAAAAGACAAGATATTTCCACTGCTTTGAATTCAATTGATAAGAGATAAATGCGTCGAGTCTTTTCCTGAAACAACTGCTTAAGGAAAAGATTCTTGAACATCAAATGGACAAATCTAAGACTGGGAATCTGTCATCTGATGGCGCTCAAGGGGATAGAGAGGTACCTGTGATGAGATAAATGTTAGCCCATGTGGTAGCCTATGAAGTGATGATTTGGGGGAAAGGGAGGAGGAAGCTCATCTTTGGCATGGTTTGGAACCGGGAATTAGGCCCCACGCTTACTCATTAAACACAAGTGGCATGTCGGATGTATGTCTAAGATTTCGTTAGGAACGAAGTTGAAAATGAGATCGAAAATGTGCCACTAGGCCAATAGTACGAACGAGTAACGGTTGAATTGGCCCAATAAGCGAGGAAGAAATGATCCTGGAGGGGTAGGATGTATGCTGTGAAGGTAATATGGAAGAAAAGGATATGGATTTTGATTAAAAGGCGTTGACGAAGACTGTTAAGTGGCTGATGTTGGGAGACGAGCCGGGTACTTACCCGAGGGAGTGAAATAAAATTAAATACAAAGAGAAAAGAAGAATGGTGTTGATGGTGAAGAGAAAGAAAATGAAGATGGGAGGAATTATGATGAGAAGTGGTAGGAAGAAGATGAAGGTGTGGAAGAAGGGGGAGAGGTAGAGGTAGAGGACAAGAGGACGAAGGGCAACAAGATTAAAATTATTTTGGTGGGAGAAGATGTGTTTTGGGGGAAAGGTAAAGGTAAGTAGGAGATATAAGGAGCGAAGAATAAATGGTAGGAATGTTGGGTAGGCGAGTTGGAAGAATGGCTGTGAAGGTTGTAGGGAAGTAGAGAAAGGTGAAGGGGAATTGGAACAGCAAAGAGGAAAATGTTATATAGTACTGCCACTGGTGGGCGGTGAGACAAGTAGAATGGTTGGGGACGAGAGGAAAAGGTGAAGGAAGGAAGGTGAGAGAAGGAGGACAGGTGAAAGGGGAGGAGTGGGATGAAAAATAGAATGGTCGGGGACGAGTGAAGCAAAGGAAATTGGTGTTAGAGAGAAGTGGTAGAGGGGTATGGCTGTTGAAAAGGTGAAGTAGAAAAGATGAAATAGGAGAGGATGGCAAGAGAGTAGAAAAGGTGTAGAAAGAAGAGTCGAAGAAGTAATAGTAAGAGGAGAGAAAGGTGAAGGGAGAAGAAAAGGTAAAGGTTGGAGAGGATGAAGAGTAGAGAGATGAATGAGAAGAAATTGAGAATTAAAAAAAAATTGTGTTTGAATTAAAAGTGTGCTTCGGGTTGCTGATTTTTTCAGGCAATTGGTACGTAGGCAGGAACGTAGGAACGCGCCTAGGTAGGTCAAACAGCTACTATGGAGGGGTGATGCAGTGTAGATGGGTGGGCAACGAGCACAACTCGAAATTTTGGTGTTTTTTTTCTGGCCGTCCGAGGCATATGATGTTATCCATACCTAGGTAGGTACCTACTTAGGTACGTTCAGCCAATTGTGTAGAGTAGGAAAAGAAGCGATGAGGAGTATGAATAGGATGTGTATTGTTTAGGGGAAAGATTTGGTTGTTAATGGTAGAAATTGGTAGAAGATATCCTCTACTGGGAAGGAGGAAAAAAGTAAGGAAGAGAAGTAGAGAAAGTCTGTCTCGTCTCTAGCGAAACGTAGAACACAGAAGAGAAGATAAATTACCAAATAAAATATCTTGTCTGGTCGAGATGATGTTCGAGCGTTGTGCTTTGGATTTGGATGATGATGGTGGTTAATGGAAGAGATATAAGATGAGAGGGTAAAAAGAGTATGTTGATGGGAGGATTTGTAGAAATTTTGGTGAAGTCAAATGGAAAGGAAGAAGGGAGTAAACCAGTACAAGGGATTTATTCCACGGTACGTCAACTCGAAAATTGGGAAGGTTGTTCCTTCCTTTGGCTCCTAGATAATTGCTGGATTGTAGTGATATCCCACACTTATAAAACTACAAAAATAATTTACTAGGTGGTAGATAGGAAAGTCAAGGGGCTAGCAAACATCTAGGCACACAAAAGTAGACAGGGAATTAGGGTATCTCTAGGTACCTAGGTAGGAAACCACGTCTGTAGGAAAGAGCGTTGAAACCTTCATTCTCATTGGCCAGGTAGCCTAATTATTACCATAACAAGTAACAGTTAGACGCGTACAACTGCTCATTGGACCCTGTGCCCGTAGTCCCCTGTCCACCCACCTATCTGGCACCAGCGTGCCTGCCTGTATTTTCATAGCAAGCAGTCTTATCTAAGTGCAAATCAGCTGTCTGGGCGCGTAAATAGGTAGCTAAAAACCTAGGTACCCAACTAAAAAACAGCAGTTGATACCATTGGGTTTATCTTGTGTTGAATCGAGCTGTGGAAAGCATTGATCACTTCCATTACTAATTGGAAACCATAAAATCAATATGACATCCAAGTTGCCATATAGACACGTAAATAACTTTAGGATCTTGCAATCGATGGGTATATTTAGATGGATTGCTTCTTCTAGCCCGTCGACTGGTCTAAAATCTATCGAGTCGACGATAAATGTAGTCCCTGAAGGCGAATGAATGAAAAGATAGATGTGTACAAGCTTGATGGAGAGGAGTGAAGAAAAAGCCGTAAACACCTAAGACCTTTGGACCGAGCCCCTTCCAGAGGGGGCAAATCATGATATCTGGTATTTTACATCTAAACCATCCTTCTTTTCTGTAGTTTGTCGTGTTATTTCTTCCTTTTGATTACGAGTGCCATTAGAGTGATGCCCTTATACCGCTAGTATTCAATATGTAGACGATCGAGAGCACGCGAGGATTCGAATATAGTGTCATGACGTCGCGGCTTGAGAATATGACGTAAGCATTGGTGTAGCGGCTCAGCACAGCTTCATCCGAGGTCGGTGATGTTCAAGAAACTACCAAGGTAGGTAAGCCAAGCTTTCTAGATATGCGGAAATGTTTGCTCTCGAAGGCGTGGAGGGGCAAGGTATATTTTACGTAGACTATTCTAGCAATCATTTGAACAACTATCCGCTGTGTCGTCGGAGCGGATGGTAAATACCGCGATATTCCATCTGAAGAAAATCAAAACTTGCCTGGGAAACTCCCAAGTGCTGAGTCATAGAGGACGACGTAATCGCGAATCCTATGTCGAGTAGCCTTCAACACCAGGTTTCTACTGCTTGGAAGTACAAACAATCATCGAGTCCATTCTCCCTAGATTTCTTATCATCCTAAGGTGTTTGGTAATGTAATATGTTATACCTGGGTAGGTTGCGATACCGCTGTCACCTATTTGGATACAGCTACAGTGTTACTAAGGTACAATAGGGATCCACGAGAGTGTTGTTCCATCTGGAGGGTACAGGTGTAGCGTTATCTACTAACGTGATATAAATACGTGCTATCCAAGCCACCTTTAAATTGTCGTTTAATGTCCAGTTGTAATCAAGAAATACGAATCTTCTCAACACTAAGGATTTACAATCTCTGTTAGCCCTGAAAGGATAGAGAGGACCCCCAAATACAATACCTTAATCTTTCCAATATAATTCATATTTTAGAGAACTTTTTCTTCAAGAGAGCGATCTGATACACGAACAAGATGAAGCTCAGTCTTCCCACTACCGGAGCTATGCTCTTCCTCGGCGGCGGCGGGTTCGTCCACGCCGTCAATCCTGGCGCAGAATCGTCTTGGGCGCAATTCTGCGACGATACCGCCTGCAGCGTCAATTGCGGTACCTCAGTTGATCTAGGTAACGCGGGCTGCTTAGCCCACGAGGGAGGTCGCAAGTCATTCAAGGTAAGATATCCTCTCTTTCTTACCCCCTAGCCCCTTTTCTGTTAATGTCCTGCTAATACGTCCTTGGAATAAGCTTCACGGTTCCAACTTTATCGGCGCCTACCTTGTCCACTCGCCCGGCGAAGAATGCGACTGCCAGAACGACTGCACCGAAATCTCCGGCACCGGAGCTCCGAGTTGTGTCGACATCTCCGGTTCCGCACCTTCCAAGTCCTATCGCTTCCAGCTGACCACGTGTAAGGAGACTGAAGGCGGCTCTGGAGTTGGCAACAACTGTCCCCCGCCACCCGACAATTAGGTCACAATCTGATACGAATGATGGAGTTTGGCGGGAGGAGATATACTAGCAATATATCGTCATGAGCTGTCAAGCGGATGAGGGCGTTGGGTGGCGAGTCTGATCGAACGGTATAAAGAGGAATGATATAGATATTCTAGCTGATTGAATTTTTAGCGCACGAAACAACATCTTTTCCCATATCACCAAGTTCCTTGCGAACGAGTAGTTTTGACGCCAAGAATCCACGTTCGTATTACTTTCTACATATAAATGCCTTCATATCGTGGCCGCTAAGAAAGGCAAGAGCAATACGAGCTTCATAATTATCCCTCCATCCATCATAGGCGCCGCGACGCTCGTTTGAACTGGTGTTGTCGAGGAGCTATTTGAAGTATTGGAAGAACTTGCTGTGGTTGTTGATGTCGAGCTTCCAAGCACGGAAGATGAAGTTCCAAGAGTGCTAGCGGATGTCGTGACGGAAGTAGTCTTTGAAGCCTCCTCTGAAGCAGTAGGCGTGGTGCTCGTGGACGAGTAATCTTCATCATCTTCGCAGACAAAAGCCATCCCCTTAAAATCCCCGGGTGCAACACAAGGAGGATTCTCGATCTCAGTCTCATCGGGTGCAATTTCGGGTGAATTTGACGTCATCATATCAGTACATGCCGAGTCGCTATAGATATCGAAACTGGGCCTTTTGCCATTTTTACACTAGGGCAACTCATTCAGAAGGTATGAACCGAACGGATCGAGGTACGGTGTGGCGGAATCCTCCTTGCCGCAGACATTGGTGCCGAGGATGAAGGAATTGACGTATACCGGTTCTTGGCAATTGGTATCTGAAAAGAGTGTGATGTTGCCAGTCTTGGAAAGGAATACTGCTGCAGTTTGGGTGAGCCAGAGAGTGAATATGAAGGCCCTCAAGTTAGAATGAACCTTCATGGTGGCTTCGCGTTAAACAAAACGGGTAGATATCAAATCATGGGTGTGGTAAGCTTGAATGAATCAATAGACCTGAAGGGGCCGTGGGAAAATATCATCAAATTCGGAAATTAGAAGGCCAAGCAAAGCCAGAGGCTAGTCCAGATTGAGCGTGAAGTTATCCCCAGGCAGCTGTCCTTAGCTACCCGCTTTGAACACCCCTGTTTCGAACTTAAACGCGTTAGAGGCTCCATCAAAGAGATATTGGATTTGCGTTCTATAGAATATCGATTGAGTTCCGAGGGTTGTAGATGAGTTGTTGAAAAGCGCTTCTTGATACTTGCTTACATAATATGAACTGTCATTGTTTGGCGTTTTGACTTGTTTCTTACATCGAGTACAGGTCTATGAAGCCTTCATTACCCTACAAGGAATACTCGTGAATCTAGATTGTGCGGTTTAAGAATATGCGCGTAAATAATGGGAAGTTAGCATGGCGTATCGGCGCTAGATGCGTCGACAATAGATGCGTCAAATAAACTCGCTACCCTCATTGTTACGTAATCACAACACCGATCACCAAAGCTCTCGGCATTGTACCGTAATAACGGCATGTTTTCACGTGCAGGTGAGTTCGATAGAAGATACTATGCTGTGTATGATCGCTGTGTGCTGATAACGAGAATCGATGTGCGGGATTAAAGGGATCAGGATGGGATGTTTAAACATGAATAATTCAAGAATTGATTATGTCATCGTTGATCTCTCAAGATTATGTAACATCCTGGCAGCAAGGTGATGACTCAGCAGTCCATAGTCCGTATGATATTTCTGATGACGTAAGTATTTCAGTTCTATTTTAATAGCGCGGACATGCGCCAATTCTAGCATAATCTCGTCAAGATGGCCATGACAAGACATAGGAGAGTAAAATGGCAACTTACATGTAGATAATTTTTTTCAATGTTTTAAGGCTCGTACTATAAGTCATGGCATAGCATATTTGCTATTGAATTTCATTCCTGCTCAACTGGTAGGTATCTCAAATAGACCAGTTACCCAAAACGTCTCCCAGCTTTGAATTGCAAAGGGATTGATTTGTGTACCTTCACGGTAGTCCATCACGTAGACCCTTGCACAGAATACCTAAAGAAGAGGTACACAGTATGCGGGTGTACTTGCTCCGGCACATTACTATACACCGTCAGGTGTCCTAGAACTATGAATCTAGGATCTTAAGATTTGAGGCCATACCTTAGCCTCCTTTCGTGTCAGACCCAAAATATCTAAATATGATGACATCCGGTAAAGAAACAAACCCCCCAACGCCGTACATGCAGATCAAAACGGGTCACCCGTATTACCGCATTCCATATCCACGTGTCCCTGAATTGATTCCACTGAGCAAGATCCATTATTTTGGTGTAATTGTGAGCGAATCTGTCATCACTGCTGCTTCTCCTTAGCGCTTCCGACGAATCGCTCTTTCATAGACAATCGTTTCCCTCCCAAAGACTTGAACTTGTCGATCAATGTTTTTCTCGAGTCTAATTCAGCAATCTCATCACTACCGCCAACACTCTTACCATTTATCATGATATTGGGGACCGTCTTACGCCCGGTCATAGCGCCTAGTCTGGCTTGTAGTTGCTTTCCTTTCGGATGCTCATCAAGCTCGACAACGTAGGGGGCAGGGTCGATAGAGTATTTCTCGAGAAGGATACCCTTTGCGCGTTTCGAGAAGGGGCAGTACGACTTCGAGAAGATTACGACTAATTACTTGTTAGCAATGGTATAAGTAAAAAAAAAAAAAAAAGGGAGGGTATTGATCATACCAGACGACTTTTTGAATATGCTGTCAAGGAGCACGTCAATTTCGTGGTCCTCTTCCGACTCTTGTACATCACTCTCCGCCTCTTTAGCATCCGCCTTGGGTTTGCCTTTCTTCTGCCCTCCAGCGGAACTTCCAACGCCGACAATATCGCTTGGAGCTTCTGGTTTTAATGGTGCCTTAGCATTGGCTAAATCTTTTGCCTTTTGCTCGGCCGCTTTCAGTCGACCGGCCATTTCTTTTGCTAATTGCTCGTCATCCTCATCAACAGAGCCATCCCCATCTTTATCCTTCACCGTCGAGTCGACAGTCGTGCCCTTACCACTCATAACAACTTGCGCGCCGGCTCCTTGTTGATGGCCTAGACCATTCATAGTCTTGCCAAAGAAATCTTGTACCGTTCGAGTGTCTTGAGGAATGGTCGACCGCATCTTAGATGAAAAGTATAGTGTAGTGATGACGGCGGCTAGCACCACCATTGTGAGGAGGCGGAATCTTCTGGCGGAAGGCATGATGGTAAGATTAAGAGCGATCGCGCGTTACGTATGTACTCGAGAATTACGCATATGATAGAAGCTCGGGCGTAGTAAAATGTGTATAATTGTTTGCGAGCGTCTATGAGACAGCCGGCGCAAACATGCCTCTGTATCGTCTAGAGGACGTCGTCGGCAATAGCAGCAATCAGTCCAAATTACCAATCACTGGTCGGCTCGAGCGGGATTATCAGAATAGAAAAGGACAAGCTGGTTCGGGATTTGCGTATCGAAAGAAGGTTCGAAACGGGACGTGGAGCTTAGAGGCCGGGGTTGTTGGAGGGTTGACAGGGCTGATTATGGCGATCTGGCAAAGAACTGGATACCAACGAGACGTTATTTTTCTCTTTCTGAATTGACGCGGCTAAATGCGACCCTCGAGCGTATACACGTCACTACTTAAGTAGGTAGCTTAGTTAAATCGTTGCACGGACAATTACACTAGAGAGGTTAAAAGCAAAGGAGTGGTCCACGGGTAGATAATTCGTAGTCTACCTAGGTAGGTGGGAAACACCGCCTAGGTCAGATAATTGGTTGATTGGTTGGTTTATAAATTGATTGATTCATCAAAAGGTAAGGAGAGGCAAAGAAAAAGTTATAACTGGGTTTGCCAAGCTACTGTTTGTCTGCCACCAAAGACGGATTGAATGAATTCAATGAGTTGAATAAGAGAAGATGTGTGTGTGGATTTAGCAGAGAGTTGGTTTGGCAGTTGAAACATGAAATGGCGATAACTGTAAGGAACGGTAAGGAATGACGAAAATGGTTTCGACTGTGGTTCAAAACTTTAACTCGCGTCGGGCGGCCTAGGCTTGCATGGCCTGTTGGTGGATTACCCCTTGTATTAACCCCTTGTACTTGTCTCTGTACGTACCTACAATAGCTCGTTCCGCAAACTGATCAGTGCATCCGGTGACCTACCTTAGGCCCCGCAGCCCTGGTTGGCAGGTTGGATCGGCAATTATTTTCTTGGTCAAGCTTTCACCTTGCAGCTTCCCAAAAAATTAATAAACCTTGGCTCACGTAAGGGATAAAATATTTAAGCTGTATACTTGATTAGGCGTAGCTTCCATCTAAAAAGTACTTATCGGAGTATCGATTTTACATAAGGTCTAGACTGAGGTCATCTGCAAGGGGAAAGGGGGGACCTGGCCTGGACAAGTCGAGGCTTCCCGACAAGTTCGCCGCGATAATTGCAGATCCGGGGTAAACTTCCCCCCTTCCCCTTTTCCCCTTGACAATACTTCTTTTTTACATCAACCCAGCCTCAAATTATATTAAATGGTATGCGGGTGGTTCAATAAACCCTCAAACATGCCTGTTCTTCTTGATATAATGCTCATATCTTGTTCGGCACACTGCATTAGTTTTCGAGAATCGAGAGTACCTGTACGACTACATAAATGCGACGAGATAGATGGTAAAATAAATAGCAATACAATAAGGCTGGCTCCGGTTACGCGCAGTCGAATATTCCAAACTAACTGAAGACAGACTTATGTTACCTCGTGTAACCGTCGACTAAGGAGTCCCATGGAGCTCTCTAATGAATACCGACCCGCTTCCGCACGATTTATTTCCATCAAGGTTCTCTTTTTTCCAGCTTTTACGCCTCAGCACGTGGCTTATGGATGTGAAGGTTTCCTCCGCGATATTAGATGTCGTGATCGCTGGTTATACTGCGGGGTATTATGCTAGTAATCATGGAATCCCCATCGAATTATTACTATGCCCGTCCGGATGGGTCAGATCGCATCATAATGCCATTGTCCAGAGACAAAAGCTTATAAAAATGTCGTTTCTTTAGCTTCAATCCCGGAATTCTACACGATTTCGGGCGCTGGCGCATTTCGTACCGCCCTCGTAATCTCTCACCAAATCGCGTAAATGCGTCCCGATCAAAAACGCTTAGCTCGAGGAATTTAGACAAAAGCGATTGGATGTGTTAGTAAGTTCTTGCCAGTACTGCTGGAAGGACTAACACGCCGTATTCATAGATAAATTCTAGTCCTTGTATCTTCGAAACTTCTTTATTCCTAGATGCCTAGGTACCTACATATGAGGTAGGTAACTCGAGCTGTCGATTACCTAGATATTTACAGCAGGGAAATACAGCGAGTAAATTGATTTATACAGCGACATATTACCTAAGTAATACCAGGAAAATCGACACAGAACCATAGAAATACCAAAATCAAGCTCCGATCCCGTTCCCTCTTACCCAGATAGGCATACTTACCAAGGAAGCGACCAGATATATTACCTTGCACGGTCCACCTTGTTTGTGGCCCGAGTGGCTGCTCATCCACAGTTGGAACTCGCAACTACGATATTTCATCCCAAATAAAGATGACTAATCCCTGGTTTTTGTGGCCATTCACGAAGTCCCTTCCCAACTTCCTCAACAATAAGTCTGTTTTTCAAAGCGCGCTACAGTGCCACTAGGAATACCCATGGATAACAATGTTTGGTCACAAGCAAAAGAATAGCAATTGACCTTGATGGCTCTTGCGTCAATTGCAATGAAAGGCAACCTCCAGTTTTGTAAGTGCAGTTTGCCATCAAGGTACATTATCTAGTGTACTTTGCACGGCTTAAGACCTACTACAACTTACTCATTTGCATCCTACTTGCAACGACTCATATTTCTATGCACTGTCCATTCATCCATCATTGTGGCCATAGCTATTTAGCTTGATTCCAGCTGGAAATAGCAATAAACAGTACTGATTTTATTTCTTTTGCTGCCCTTCAACATCTCAAAGGTGCTTAGAGAATTAAATTTCAGTGACTTCCATCTTCCCAATTATTCATTTTCCACAAAAACATCAAGGTAGCATCACCACCCATACGCTTGCCTCTTTACTTGTTCTCTCACTCTCATTCTTATAAATTAAATCATCTCGTCAATTCTTGCAACAGAATATCCTCCAAAAGAAAAATATTATATTTTTCTAGATCGCTGTACATTGTACAAAATGGATACTCTACCAAACGATGTATTCCTCGCTATAGTTGGATGTGCGGACGTCAAGACAACACTAGCTTTGATGGGAACGAACAAGGTAATAATCATCCCCTTTCTGCAGAGACAGCAATATACTAACCAGATACCGAACACAGCGACTACGTTCGATTATCATCGCTTACCAGCGCTCTATCACCAAGGCTAGTCTCGCAAAATGTATCGTTCAACCGCGAGGACATGTACTCTCGTCAGACCAATCGCGTCGGCGTCTCAAGTACGGTACCTTTAAGATGCGCCGAGAGCTAGAGAAACGCGAGTCTCGGATCAACCAGATCCTCAGCAACCCGACCTGCGTCAATCTCGCATCGCCTCCGGGTCTCGGCCCCTTGACTTTCGAGCAGCAGAAGCACTTGTTCTCCCTTCTGAAGCGTGCGATGCTGCAATGCGACTACATCGCAGACATCGCAGTGAACGACTGCGAGCCCGTAGATATTTACGGTTATGAGATGCTTATCTCTAACTACTACGAGCTGAGCGACCTAGTCGACGATGTCCGCCATTTGGATCCCTACACCAACTACCCCGCTCGCCCGTTCCAGCTCGAGTACATCAAGAGTCTTCCCACCCAGGATATCGTAATGATGTATTACCTGAAGAACATCCTCGGCGCAAGCTACCTCTATGCAACTAGGAAGTGGATGAACTCGGACCCGGTTTTCTATGAGCGCGTCGTCTTCGTGGAGGAGTGTGTGCTCCGACACGGCTCATGGTTCACATGGGCGAAGTTCTTTGGAGGTGCTGGTTGGCGGGCGGTTACCAACGGCATGGAGAATATTGGCCTCGTCGAACTCACTGGCTTCGAGCTTGGCGAAGAAGAAGACGCCCTCCCTAGTCTACAATCGGGACTGATTGAGCGGTTTAACGAACTGCACTCTTCCCCCGAGAACAGCATTTTGTCGCTACGCAAGGTCGTCAAGGACCTAATCACCGGAGTCAACGAGGACGAGCGCATTGACGAGGGCGCCGACGAGGACTCTCAACACAAGCAAGCCTCACAAGGAGACACCGGAATGGAGATTGATACCCAGGACTAAACCGTCCTGGGTTGCTATAATATGAGATACGAGAGTAACGGATGAGGGGATAGGGTGAGGTGCATGGCATTGAGCGAGCGGCGTCGGGTTACCCTTTGCATTTAAGGGATTATAGTTGTGTTTTCGTTTGTTTTCTTTTTAAAAAAAATCTCCTATGCATATTCTATGCAGGGCTATAGATTTTTTTTTCCGAACCAGCCATCTCAGCGTCGGCGGGCCTGGTCAGCTTCAGGTCTCTGTGATTTCCCACATACAGCGACATATTGTCGGAAATCATAGCGGATCTATAGCGGACAGCGGGCAGCAGACCTAGAAGAGCAGATCGATGATGATATTAGCGATTTTTTTCAATGAAATTCATAAAACCCAAATCTTGATCCGATCACCTATAATGCCTAAGAACCAACCGGAATCGTAGGTATAGATATCCCAAGACGAAATCCCGCCAGGAATGCGTTGAAGTCTGGGTATTCCATGTCGACAAGGTAGTATACGATCGAGGGGAGTCGTGCTATTCTAGCATACACTCGAAAATAGTAGCATGGTCTGTATATGAGCGATTGAGGACATGGGGAGAAATAGATAAAGAGTCAATCGCTCTGTTGATGTGAACCTGAAAGAGGCTAGCGTGGGCGCCTTCCAAGTCATTCACGCAAGATACACCCGCCTCTTATGACATATGTGGCTGTTCTTGACGTCGCTTACCTAAGTGATGCTGTACTCATTATACGAGTGCATAAGGTGCGCAAAATGGCGTAAAAAGCGTAAAAAATTCTGTACATTATACTATAATCTGCAAGCCTCTTGGCGCCTGACTCAACTCGCTATTGGGCAGACAGCAGTCATCACGAATAGTCACCCGCATAGCCACAATTGGAGTTCCGATGGGGTAAAAAACAATCAATTGAGACAGCTAAGGTAAGAAAAGGAATTTACAAGCGAGATTATTTGACGTTTTGGTCTAGTTTTATGAATAGTTGATAGACGGACTTGGACGGTCTCCTCGGCTCCCGTACGTCAGCTTCGGCTCCTACCCTGAGCGGGCCGGGGTTCGCGTGAGTCACCGGTCAGACCGGGAACGGCTCCTCCAAATAATCTAATCAAACCCTTGATGGGATTTCCCCTCCTTTGTCCCCCATAAAGACTGGTGAATCACGCTAACATCCCCAAGGATGCGGGACGCGTCAATTCGGTGTTGAATCGTGGGGAGTCAGAGGTCCAGTCCGGTTTCGCAAGCCACCTTTATACATGGGTGTTTTGGTAGCTTACGGTCTAGTTGCCATTCAATTGGTGCTGGGCTGGACAACAATATCTAGTAGCTTGGATTGAAGGCTGCGTAGACGCCAAGACAAACTCGTAAACCTCGGGTTCAACATGGCTTGAATTGGGGTTGGATGCCTGAAATTGCACATGCCAGTGACAGCTAATTTGATGAACAGGGAATCAGAATCTTAGGGACCTGTAAGGCAGCCGAGTTATGCAGTCATCAAATGCACAGATTGCGGCATCAGTTGACGAGTCCCTACTTTGTTCTTGAGTTTTACAATTCGGAATATTACCAGAATGGGCCAAATTCACAACACCATTTTTGTCTTGGCAGGCATCATTGGTCCGACTCTTACTACCCAGGCAAGAAATAGTCCGCTCACACAGCCTTACACCTTACGCCTTATGGTGGCCTACCCAGTCTAGGCTGTGTCATCGATACCAATTCAGCCCCCGTCCATTTCAACAGTGAATTAGTCATGGGAGTGTCAATATATATAGTAGGTGCCTTTCTTCTCAGGACAGGAATATTCGCGAACATCAACCACATCAGGTAGTATCACAACATACATCTTAATTCGATCCATATTGCGAGTCTTATCTTTTCACCGCCAGATTACCTGATTATCTACCTAGATTACGGATATATAAGTCGAGCAACCCCTATCCCACCGTCACAATGTGCGGAAACTGTCACCACACCACCGCGGCCTCCTTCTCGTCAGCCCTTGCGATAACCAACCCGGAACTCATCTGGGTACATCAACAAGAGCAAAAAAGGCGAGCTGGATTATATCACAACTATCACAAGCAATCACAATCACAGCCATCAAACGTCATGTCTTCATCAGCCTCGACGTATTCCGAATCTACGACATACTCGTACGATAAGGAGAAAAGCCAAGGTGATACGAAGCAGAAGCGATCGATGAAGCAGCGAATCAAGGAGACCTTCAAGGAGATGGGTAGCCCACCTACTTCGAAATACGACCGAGACCATGGCCTAGCGACCAAGGACCATGCTACCGAGCATGGTCCCATGAGTTCGAGTCCCCTGAGTAGGACGTAAGCGGGTAGTAGCGGCAGGGCCTTTCCTCTTTTCGATTTGTTTTGAATACGCCAAATCTTGTTTTATGTTGGGGTCAAGTTAGCATGCAGAGTCAACGGAATATGGTCCGAAAGAGCGGAATGGTGCCGTTTGGTAGGATTTCCAGAATCCCCTATGTGACGACTACAGCGATGTTGGATACATGGGGGGCGGCATCGATGGCATTGATGAATATCTATCTACGAAGAATGATGACGGCTGTGGGATACCCTTACAAACGCGATGGTTTCTTGGTTATTTAGGTGCATAAGTTAATATTAATTTGATTCGTATTATTCCGTATCGTTACTTTTCAGCTAATGCAGACAAAGAGACCTTTTGCGTAATGGCCATGCCGATATTCCAATGATGTTGCTCGAAAGGGGCACGACAGCATCGCTTCTTTTGAGATTATACACACGTACCATACTTAATATCTTGAAATGACTCATTCTAGAAGGTAACTCATGAAACGTCGCATACGATCTTCAATTCGTGCTTTGCCTGAGTAGCATTTGCCATTTTGGAAGGGGACCATGATGAGTTGAAACCATTCCATTTGGTGGCACTCCGCTCTTTTCATACCAAACGTTCTATTTAGAGTATAAAAACACCCCTGTCTGGCGGTGTGCACCTTGGATGCGTCTACATCAAAAAGCAGCATATGAGCTATCACGCACTCCCCTTTTTTGTATTAGAGATGGTGTATATGAGGATTGCAGAAGATTAATTAGTATTAATGGATTGGCTGTATTTACGGAAATGATATGGGAGGGTTGAATTGAGTATTGGACTGTCGCAAATAATTGAGTAGAATTGTAGCACTTAGGATTTAATATTAGATGGCAATCAGATCGCTGAAACAGTACGGCGTTTGCAGCAGAAGGAGTGCGACAGGAAACTAATTGCGGACTAGATCAATAGAAATTATAAAAAGGGGGACAAAAAGCGATCGAAGATTGAAAAAAAGAAAAAAGTCAAAAAGAAAAGATCCCTCGGGCCGGAATCGAACCAGCGACATTTCGGTAACAATTTGTGACAATTACAGCCGAACGCCATAACCAACTAGACCACCAAGGGGAGGAGCTGTGGTTGTTCCTTACTCTGGAGAGGAAGTGGGCTTCCTAGCGAGGGGAAGATGGTAGAGGGTTTTACCGGCAAGCTTATAACCTTTGGTTCGGTTGCAGCTGTCTAAACAAATAGCGCCATTTTCAACCGTGAATTAACCGAAGCAAGGTGGTGGGTCGCACAGATGGGTCAATCCATTTGCCCCATAATTTCCTGCCCTCTGTTATTTTCGTGTCGCATTCATCACATCTAATCATGCCATTGTGCGAGTGATGAGACAAGGTTGGTGGAGCAAATGCGGCATCGGCTTCGGATTCGGCCTCGGAATCCTTCTAGGAATGACAATCGAACGAGAACCGAGAGATGAAGCCGAGATTCACTTACTAGCAAACTAGTTGATGAAGCTATCATTGAGACTCGATCGCGACTTGGATTCGGTCTCCTTTATCGGACACTACGAGACTACTGGCGCCATCGATCTTTCATTCACCAATACTAGAGCTGCTTATAAACCACGATGCGATATTTTGTGCTTCGGTACTTGTACTCGGATGATCGATTCCCAAGTCTGGAATCAAGGATCTAGAACGCACCCTATCATTCCGGACATAAGGAAACTAATGGTAGACAAGATGCTACGCCTGCATATAAGTAGCTAATGCACTAACTACCCTAGCTATTTATGAAGAGGGGACAAGTGAATTGAGATACACTTCAATGTTCACGTACCCAGAGCTGCTAATCTTCATAGCATCACTCGCATCATGGGAGTTCAAGCCATGCGCTTCTTCCCACGCGTTCGGAATACCATCGCCATCCGAGTCCGTCGCTGCGGTTACAGTCATGCCACTCTCCAAACTCTTCGCGGAACTCGCGTTCTCATCGCTGATTAGCTCGCCCTTCTTCCCGTAACTCTGGACCTCCGCTACGAGACCCTTGTCCACGTCGTCACGAGCGGGAAAGTTGGCTCCAACATTCTTAAGAACGTATGCCAGAGCGTCGGGCGCCGATAGAACTTTACCCGGTCCTGGATAATCGAATCGTGACTTTTGAATGTCGAGACCGCCGTAACAGGACGCCTCAGTACACAAGGGAGAGCCGTTGAGGGTACCGTCCTTGTTGCTGTCGTAGTAGTTCTCGGATATATCTAGTGGAATGAGCTTCTACTTAAGGTCCCGTAAAAGCAATACACTTACAGCCATGGAAGTTAGCGTTTCCTCGTGTGAACGCCGACACACTGGAACTCGGACCAGAGATGAAGTAATTTTTGACAATATTGGCGTAGCTCTGGCCATCACTGTCGCCAGCGATGTAAGCGCCACCCCCTCCCCAGTTATAGATAACCTTATAGACGGTTAGCGCTCATCATAGGCTAATGATTCACATAGGCCATCGTGCACTCACATTGTTCTGGAAATCATTCATGCCCTTGACCTTAGGGTTTCGCGTCTTGTTGTCGATGTACAAGTTCCTGAAAAGACTAATACCGTAGTCCGATTGCATCAATCCACCGCAAGAATGGGTCTCTAATCCTTGACCGATGATCGTGTTCTGTATTGTCACATTATGCACAGCACCGTTGATTGAGAACGTTTCGTCGCGACCCCAGGCAGCCGACACGTGGTCGAATATCATGGTACTACCCTCAGCGATAGTAATGCCATCTACCGATAAGTTCAGTCGTGGATTAGCTCGTAACATGTCAGGGGATCAATACCTTTGCCTTTATCGCCACCTTTTCCCATGCGGAATCGGATATAACGCACGATGGCATCGTTAGCATTGGAGAAGGACATGCCATTGCCATAGACGGTTATTCCCTTAGATCGAACAGTCAACATCGATAACTACTTCTCCACAAAATATCTGTAGGACTTACATTTCCCGGAGCTGTCTGTCCAGCGATATAAATGTTCTTTGATACGGCGATTCGGCTGCTGATCTTGATAGTTCCTCCTACGTCGAAGACGACAATGCGATTCGACTTCGACACAGCATCGCGAAACGATCCCGCGCCCGAGTCACTATTTAGCCTTACTTAGCAACCCGGCACCACAGAAACTTCTAGCAGTACCCACTCCAAGTTTGTTACGTGGTAGACTGATCCCGTTCTACCACCGACCGCGTTTCTTCCAAACCCTTCCGCTCCGGGGAATGCAAGGAGCGCCGACGCGCTCGGAATAAGCGTCGCGAGACACGCAGTCGCTAGAAACTTCAGGATACCCATACTTGCGACAATTCATAAACGGCTTAGACATCAAAGAAATACATCGAGGCGCTTCGCGATGAAGACAGGAAAAATGGACTGATATAACCCGACGCCGACCGGGTCACCATCGTCGCTCATAATTTTTTCCGGCCGGCGTTAAGGAGATATGGGGAACCATGCCCTGCCATAGTACCTTAGAGGCGGCGCCCGATGTCACGATTGGATAAAATAACCCGGGTTTGTGTCGTATACCACCCCGACGGAGCCAGGGGTCCGTTAGTAGCCTAAACTTGGGCAGTATTTATACGAAATTCGAGGAGTGGCCCATCGGAACACTGGTTTTCTTGAACTATTTGAGATGCTTAAGACGGTTTATTATACCTTCGATATGCTCATTGAGACGTTGACGTCTTTTGTGGGATTTCATGGGTAAGTTTTCCCGTGATATTCTCCGCCAAGGTGGTTAGTTTCCTTGGCCGGGACCACAACACCTCCTCTACTATAGGTATGCACAACGTATACTACAACTTCTAAGGAGATGCTAGTTCAATCAGATCAAATAATCTGTCGCTTTCTAATATAGATCTAGGCGAATGAAGATCATATTGGTATACGATCTAGACCGGGCGACTACAGAGCCTCCTCTTTTGACATCCAGCAGTGGATCTTGAGTATCGTATTCCGCCTCACCCGACTGGCTCTGACGTGCGGCACATTTCGTCAGCAGCGACGATTCAATGGAGAATGAATTGACTTGAGACGTCATCTACGATCATTCAAACATTTACGATAAAGAGGCAAAAGTTCCACCAGTTTGAGCAGTGATTTATTTCTATTAAGCTCTCTTCTATTAAAGATGCATTACCATCAACGGGTATCTATCATCATTAAGTTTGAAACCAATCATCAAAAATCCACGCGTCCAGATCATCTACCCTGGTATATCGAATCGAATCAAAAATATCGCTAGGCTCAAATCAACAAAAGAAAACACTATGTCTCGTAACATGAAAAACCCGTCTACATCTCGTCCTCGAAGAATTTGATTAGGGTTCGTGCGCCCGAAACGCCTAGACCCATGAATGGGTAGCAGATATAAACCGGATCATGCTTAACGCCGAACTTCTCTCTGAACTCGCTCTTGGCAATCAATTTTAGCTGTTGTGCTACCGTCTTATACGTACGGCTTAGCAGCTTAGCCTTGATACCGTTTAGGTTGCTTCCGATGAGCAGCTCGTCCATGGCGCCCGCGCCGAATGTTACGCTGCTTACACCGGAAGATGTCAGACTCTGAATGGCCCGAGAAATGAGGGCCTCGATACTGCCGGATGGTGACCCCGGGAAGTCGAGGGCGAACTTAATCTGGTAACCGTGTTCAGGCGACAGGCGGTGCAAGATGACAAGTCCGACGATCTCGCCGTTCTTGTCTTCCGCCCACAGGTATCGACGGTGTGCCATTGACACCCACGGTCGCACCTCAGTGATGTGCACCTGCTTACGGCCTTTGCGACCCTCTTTCCAGTCTTCAATGCGCTTGTCGCACTTTTCCCTCACTTCATCAGGTACGGGTTGACCAAGTGGCGTCTCGTGGATTTTGATCTCGGCCTTTTGGGCTTGACGCTCTTTCTTGACTACCCTGTTCGCATTATCGACATCTACGCGCTCTTCGGCTACACAGGTCAATGTCCTCCATCCAAGTTTCGCGCCGAGGATCTCTTCAACTTGGGCAGAAACTAGGATCCAAATTGGCCGGAGATCTTCGTTCTTCCGCAAGTGCTTGAGGAAAGCACTGATGACGATAGAGTACTGACGCGAATCGCAGAGTGGATTGCCCATGATCATCGCGTACCCGTTCTCTTCGGCATATCCGACCGCAGCTCCGGTGTCCACGTGTCGCCAGACCTTATACCTCTCGTCGAGCCACGATGTGTTTGTCGCATCACCATAATTCACGATAAGTTTCTCGAGATCAGGTAGTTGGACGTGGTTGTGTTCTCCCTCAAATGCGTAGCGGATAGTGTCGGCTTCGGGGAACGGGACCTTGCCCGACTGATCATGTTTCTTCGTAGGCAATGACTTGGGATCTCTGGGGAATAAAGTGGCATTGCGAACATCGCCCAAGTTTAATAAGAGGAAAATGACACGCTCGAGACCAATACCGCACCCCGCATGCGGTGGTGCACCCCACTCGAAGGCTTGCATGTATTCTTCCATGCCATCTGGGTCGACACCTGCCTTCTTCATTCTCTCGGCTAAAAGACGTGGGTTATTGATTCTTTGGCCTCCTGTTGTAATCTCTTGGCCACGAAGGAAGATGTCGAATGAATTGGTAATCGTTTCGTCATTCGGATCTAAGTGGGTGTAGAATGGACGTGCTGATGTCGGGAATTTGTCCATGATGAAGTAGTCTGTACCGTACTTCTCCTTGACGAGCTGGCCTAGGCGAATTTCGGCACGCGTTCCCAAATCCTCGTCCTCGGAAGCTGGTTTACCGTCATCATCTGTCCATCCAGAGGAATTGAGCAGTTGAACTCCTTCTTTGAAGGTGAGACGCGGGGTCTTCTCTAGCCAGACAAGATCCTCATGGGGGAATTTGGTCTTGATGTTATCTAACTCTCTGCGGTATCGCGAGTATACACCCTTAAAAATGGCCTTCAACATGTCGTCAATTACGTCCATGGCTTCGTGGTAGTCATCGTGGATTGCCATTTCCAGATCTAGACCGGTATATTCCGTTAGGTGGCGATGTGTGTTGCTGTCTTCGGCTCGGAAAACTGGTCCGATCTCGAAAACTCGACCAAAGTCGGAAGAGATGGCCATTTGCTTTGCTAATTGTGGGCTTTGCGCTAAGAAAGCGTTCCGGCCGAAGTAATTGACTCTGAAGACCTCCGCGCCGGATTCGGTTGCGGCCGGCTGGAGTTTAGGTGTTTGGATCTCAATAAATCCTTGGTCTTCTAGCGTAGATCGGAATATGTTGCAGATACCAGATCTTATGCGAAAGACGCTCTGCATTACTGGGGTTCGGAGGTAGATAAGTCGGTTTGCAGTACGAACTCGGTTAGAAGCGGCAAGTTGCTTCTCGTGAGTCTCAACGTCTTCTTCTACCTGTTCCATGTTGTAGACATCAATCGACAATGGTTCCTCCACTGGAACTAAAACGTGCATGCTGTCGATAAGAATCTCGAGATTATGTATACTGCATGTCTTGATCTGCTCTGGTGGAGTGCGCACAGTCCCTCGAACGTGTACCACGGACTCAGCATTCAAATGCTCTGCCCATCGTACAAAATTCTCCGACACTACGCCTTCGCGGACTTGTAAAACACCTTGAACGGTATCAACCTGTTGGCGTAGAAGTACGAAGGCCAGCTTCGCACTTACAGACCGCACATGATGAAGTCGCGCGTTGAAACTGATCGTTTGACCAACATCATCGGTCGTCAGATTCTCGAGCCGAAAGGAATGAGGTAATTTCTCGTCATTGAGCGTGCCATAGCTTTCTCGTAGCTCTGGTGGCTCGGATGATAATGCGGCTTCCTCTTCCTCTCTGCGTTTGGCTTGTAAGGATTTTCTTTCCTCCTTTTGTAATTCTTTCTTCGCTCGCTTTTCGTATATTGCTTTTAGATGCTTCTTGTTCGTCTCTTCGTCTAATCCATCCGTGTCGCCGAGATGAATTTTTGTGATGTGATTCTTGGCAGTTGTGTGACCAACTACTCTGTTGAGTAGGAGGAGAGGTTTCTTTAACCTTATAGAAGGCATTATGACGTCGCGATGGGGGGTATCGTTTGTAGGAATGAGAGTATGTTGGATTATGCGATTGCGCTGTTCTCGCAAATTGTAGCGCAGTATTCCGAAGGGTGGTGCCTCGGTGATGTGTAGAATAAGGAGAGGAAAGGAGATAGGCACGATAAGTGCGATAGGTGTAGTAGGTCGGTTTATCAGATGGGGAAGTCGGGTAGATGGCGGCTTGAAAACCGATGGAAGTCACTAGCAACTTTATAATGAACCTTGGCGGAAACCCGGCTGATAGTTTATAGGTTTATTGGACCTGACTAGTAGATTCTTCTGGGAATTACTAGGTAAGAGTTCGGCTTCTGCGGCCATACGCATGCAGACGTATGTAATAAGCACGCACAGGTATGTATTTCCACCTATTTCAAACACATGAAAAATAAGGCAGTACTTTATTTGTTACTTGCATGGATGATACGGCAACTGTTTTTCTTCCCCTGAAAAAAAATCTTGGGAAATCTAGGAATTCTGTTAAAAATATCGTTGAAAAATAGCGAGGTTCCTAGCTATTTTCATGCATCAGTGACGAAACCACTACACTCCCAGCCGGCCCGGAGCGAATCGACCGGAAAAGCATGGATTAGTTCGACCAATCAGACGTCAGAATGACTCCCACAACGATCCCTATTTGGCAAAACCGCTACTTGTAGAGTTTAATGCAGGGGTGTGGTGACAGCGAAGACGCCACAAGTGACTTAAATTGCCCTCTTATCGTGTACCTTTTATGGGTCCGAGAGACTCATGACATCACGAACCGCCATCACTTTTGGTCTTACAATTCGATCCGGTTCTGATTCTCTTCGCCCGACTATCCGAAGCAAATCTCTTCGTACTTTGTGCACGTTTGTCATACACCGAAATGTGAATAATTTTGGGAAAGAAATTCCATTGCTATCCGGATGCGAAGTCCTACTCTGCCTAGGTGCCTAGGTACCTAGGTAGAAACAGAAACCTCGGCATACCATCAGCCACATACTCACACATAAATTCCCGCCATAGATTTGTTTACGCCACATCTGTTAGGTAATCGGCCAAGGGAGCTAAAATTTTAGAGAAACTCCGGGAGTCCGGGGTAAGGCTTAGCAGACCACTCGAGCCAATTTTCCCTGATCAACTAACGTCATATCGATACTTGAACATTTGTACTTGACACAATGCGCCCACGCAATTCTGTTAGCACATCTCCTGACAGATCATCCTAGATAACTTGGAATTTATCGTCAGATATTCCCGATATGGAAGCCGGTTACCCAGGCCCAAGGCTGTTCGTAAGATCCCCTGCATGATTTTAGAAGCCACCTACCTAACCCAAGCGCTATGAACTCTTCATGTGTCACAAAACAAAAACAACAAATTTATGTGAAGACCATACTTTCGTTTAGTTTCTTTGTCTTCTCGTACGATGCAACTATAATTATTTATTCTATCTATCTTTAGGAATACAGCCTCTCTAATTGATCAATTGACCTCAAAATGCAAACCGTCGAGGGTATCCCTGTCCCTACAACTAGCAATCCAGATGGGAAGTTAGCCGAAGGCCAAGTACCACCCGACAAAAAACCAAAGAAGGCAAAGGATAAAACAGGAGCTCCTCCTTCGCGATTCTCCCTCCGGATGACAGCTGGCTGGTGGAGATCTTTACAATGTATTGGAATGGGCTTACACTTCCTCGCTCCTCCTCGACCACCCAATCCAGACTTCATCAAGTCAATCCCTTCCACTTTGGCGTCTAAGAAGGGTCAACTCGACCTCTACTTTTATGTACCCGAAGGTTATATCAAAGATGCTGCTAGTGAGAAGTGGCCTGTCGTCGTGAACTTCCATGGTGGTGGTTTTACTTTAGGCAACGCTTCGGACGATGCGAGATTTGCGCGCTTCGTGCTCGAAAAATGCCACGCCGTATTCATTTCAGTCGAGTACCGATTGGCGCCTGAATACCCTTTCCCCACAGCTGTCGATGACGGTGCGGATGCAATACTTTATGTTATCCAGAACGCAGCGAAGCTTCGAATCGATATCAATAGAATAGCAACATCCGGTTTTTCTGCAGGCGGGAATGTTGCCCTTACAGCGCCCATTCGCGTATCGGCGTATCGAAAAACGACAGAGGTTCCAGATTACCGCATTGTAGCCATCGCAACCTGGTATCCGATCACCGACTACACCCTCAGCCGCGCTGAACGCCGAGCATCTGCTCTTCGACCTGAAGCAACCTTGCCGCCGGTACTCACGAACCTCTTCGATGCATCTTATCTCTTTCCCCCCGAGTTGGACCTTGCGCATCCATTTCTATCGCCTTCAAGAGCGTCGGATGATGTGCTGATAGAAAGCATGCCAGATACGGTAATCTTTTACACATGCGAATGGGATATGTTGTTACACGAGGGCCAAGCGCTCGCGGAACGGCTACACAAGCCGCCAATCTCGAAAAATGTTTATTATACTATGATACCCGGCGTAGCTCATGGTTGGGACAAGGGACCAAATCCTATGAAGCCCCCGCCTAAGAGCGAGAAGTTATATGGAGAATGTTGCCGAAAGCTTAGGATTGCGTTTGAAGGAGAGGAAACGCATACACTTCTCCATCTTCCAATAAAATTTCCCCCACTACTACAAACTAAGCCAAAAGACGAGAGTGGATCAGAATGAGCGAACGCACTAAGTTGATAAGTTCTACATCATGTACATACCATTTAAGCGTAACTATTTAGAAATTGTCAAGCATTGCGAGAAGAGCAAGTGCTTAGAGTTCACGTTACTAAAGTAAGTACCCTAATGTAATGAATTGTTACACCTATCACGCCTATAAATCTACACCCCTAAGATGCCAAGTACCTAACAACATCATCACTGATGAATCGTAATAATCATCTACACCTCTTGACATATAATGGAATATATTGACCTCTCTATATAGGAAGGGATATATCACATCTACTTGGCGATCGTCTTTTCTGCATAACATCGCGATACAATGCTAGATTTAAGACAAGATTTCTTGTAAGCTGTTGCAACGGGCACAAATGGCAAGGGATTCCCTACGTCATCCCGTAGCTTCAGTGGTGGGTCCACGCCAAGGTCTCGGGTTTCGCAAGTGCCAGCGCTACTCATGCAGTCCTACACTAGCTAACCCGATTCTTACATATGGCTTATGTATTTTGAAGTACCTGCCCGAGCCTTGAGCTAGAAATCTCAAAGAACTTTCAATAATTCTCCTTGTGATGAAATCTATTTGTGTGGCTATGTCTTCATAATATCTCTGAGGCATGACTTCCACTTTCTACAAACAATAAAATCAATTTTATGGGTGAATAATAGAATTGATTATTGTATCGGTGCATCTTAGAACTGGATTGGTTCATAGATCGTACTAAGCTGCAGGGACCAGTAGCGGACCGTTCGGAGTTTACTTTAGGACCAAATGCTCCTGTAAGGGTAATCCCTGCGATTAAGCTCAAAGTGAAAACGTCATCACCTTCTTCTCTGGGCTTTCGTCAGTATTCGTATTTGTACGTACCTCATCGATAGATATTACAGTCACTTCATCCAGTTTCTCCATCCAAATCCTAGACGCCATACACAATTCTCCCTTAACTCAACCATACAATGGGGTTTCATTCCATATTTCCCACAAATTTTAAGAGTCTACTTTCCATCGGCGAATGATCGAATGATCGTGTCAGTTCGCGTATAGACACAACCATTTCTTTCGTCTCTTTTTCTACCTTTATCTTTTCTCTGCTAGATCCCGGTGTTTGATGAGTCACGATATGGCAACCGATGATTTGGAAAATGGGAACGCCGTTCTAGACCCGCCTCCAGCGTCCTCCGGTCCGGACGAGTCCGGATGTTCGTCCGCTTCTTCTGCTATCGCAAACAACGATCCGAGCCAAGAGTTGCCCGGCCTACCACGACTCAATTACCAACTCTTAGATCACAAGAAGAAGCTTTTCTTAGTTGGAGGCCTGCTAGTCCTTGAAGGAAGCATATTGCCACTTGTTCTATTCTACCCATTATGGTACGACACTACTCTTAGACATGGCATTCGTAAGTAACCGTAACATCTCTACCTTTGAAACATATCATGAATATGGAGGCATGCCTTCTAAGAATCAAGTACTTACACATGGCATCTAGTCTTCGCAATCATTACTTCATTTTTCGGCATCGTTTCGGGTCTTGAGTTTGCCCACCGTTCATGGCGTCTGATTATGAAAGATGACTATTATCGACCGCTAAACGGTAAGCGCTGGCGCTTCGACTTCACACATACTACCCTGTCTATCGGTTACACGGTGATGACGGGGATTTTAATCGGCGCCTCTATCCCACACGAGCCTTTAGTCCGTCCCCTCGCCATGCCACTACCCCTATTCTTCATCGAAGTGGGCTCTCTTGCTCTGTCAACTGGTGTTATGGACATGAAAAACATGCCTGCTACGTGTAAGGTTAGCTCGACACCGAAAGGAGCGCCGATCCCTCCCGTACTCTTAACGTTTATTGAGGACGTCGTCGCTGTCGATGGTGGTGCGGGGAAGACATATAGAGAAAGATTATTAGGCAGATATAAGGTCAGCAAGGATTTTAGGAAGTTGATCAAGGGCCTAAATTGGTTCTGGGGTATTGGATCCATACTTGTCGGAGCCGGCTCGTTAGCCGTCGTATGGACCATACCCCAGGAAATTGCCTACGGCATAGGTGAGTTATCGGTTTCTCAATCCCTTATCCCCGTATGATACTAATTGAATTCTCGTAGGTTGGGGCGCGCCACTTGTTTTCACTATCGTCTGGACGTTCATAACAGTATTGTGGACCCGCAGAAGTCTCAGGATCGAGAAAAAACGTTGGATGGCTGACTTGAAACGGAAGAGCCATCAAGAGAATGAAAAGCCGCCGGATTCATAAAAGTTAGATGGATCTAATAGACTACACTGTGGTCTCGCATAGAAGAAATTTATGAATATACATAACGAGGAATAACAAGGATACTTATAAATAATAGAATAATTTCAATTCAGGCCGGTGCACCGGCTCGTGCTCATCACCAGAGCTCGATCCCAACTCTCAATTCGAAGAGTACCCCGGTCGCATTCAACATCATGACAACTATCCAGATTTCACATGCAGCCACATTATACACGATCAAGGATGAAATAATTTTTGAGCGATATGGGTTTTATTATTTTTTACATATTAAATCAGACTCTTCCCAGCCAAACAAATGCTAACCCTCTAAATCCCATTCAGTTTCTAAATCAACGCCATGCAAATGCCAACAAATCGCTTAAAAAAATCAATCGCTGATGCAAATAAACCCGAATCCCTAATATCTATCATGTCGAAGAGAAAAAGAATAATAATAATATCGTAGGTAGAGTCATGTCGTTTAGCACTCGTAGTTGATGTAGAACCCGTTCTTGGTGTCCTGCTCGAAGTACACGTGGCCCGCGCCGTTGGCAGTAGCGTTGAGGGACAGCTTGAAGTACATGTCGGAGGTGCAGTCGAAGTCGCCGCCGGGGTGGTTGAAGGCGTCTTTGGATTGCTTGTCCCAGAAGGTAAAGTCTGGGTGGAAGGTCTTAGCATCGGCGGCTAGGAAGGCGTCGACGCTGGAGTAGGACACGGGTGAGCTTTCATCGGGGAAGCCGGAGAGGGCTTGTGCGGCGGTGAAGCCGCTGCCGTCGACTGTGAAGTGACGCTCGTTCTCGGCGGCTTGCGACCAGCTTAGTGTGCACTTGGTGGCGCTAGAGGGGATGCCGTGGAATACGATTGCTTGCCGGACTTCGGGCGCGTCGCCGTCGGTGCCGACGTTGATGTCGGAGCTGGCGTCCTCGGCCTTGTCGGGCTCGCCTGGGTACAGGTTGTACATGGTGGGTTGCCAGATCTTGCCGGTGGAGCAGGCGCTGGGAGTAGGAGTGGGAGTAGCAGTAGGCGTGGTGATGAAAGTGACGGGAATTGAGGTGGTGGCGACGGGAGGTAGAGCGCAGGGGTCTTGCTCAAAGCAGCCTCGGTAGCCGTTGGCACATGAGTAGAAGACCTTGCCGGGAGCGCAGTCCGTCTCACCGCGGCGGGAGAGAGCGGGAGCAGCTAAAGCAACTGCAGCGAAGCAGGCTAGAGAGGCGGCGGTCTTAGCGATGGGAGACATTGTTATTGATTAAGGATTACCGAAGGTAATATTGGATATTATTAAGTTGGAATGAAAATGAAGAAAAGTTGATTATAGAGTAGCGAAGGTGCTATGAAATGAGACGAGGAGATTGAGATTATGAGAGTTGATTAGGTAGTAAGTATTAGAGATGGATGGTTTGTGATGCTGATGGGAATTTATCTTGAAGTGGCGATCACCGGCCATTCTTATATCTACAAGTTCATGATGTTAGGAGTAAACATCATGAACGGGTCTACGAGGCTGGGCTAATAGAAGGAGCCGTATTGAGCCTTGGCCGCTGACGCCAAAGAGCGGCTGAGTACATCTTGGATAGGACTACCTGGCAACAAGGCCGAGAGCCGATTATGATGATAATAACGGAGAGGCGGGTATGAGGCGTAGATGGCGGACTTCCAACAACACTTTGCCCATGATCTGGGGAAGGAACCTCGGGACCGGGTTAAGACATAAGGGTCCAAATAATAGCTGCTGTCAACCGAACGGGAAGAGACTGAGCCAACCCGATATTACGTGGCTGTGCCGCTGTCCGTCATTACAGTACCCGCCCGCCCAGCCTATACTCTTCCCACCAACCCTATAGAGAACGCCAAGGCCTTAGCGGCCTCTATTAATAATTTTCCCACGTGGGACCAGTCGTTCGGTGCTGTCTGCTCTATCATCGCGGTCCGATGGGTTCCTTTACAAGGCTTAGTTTCCTGCTCTTAGCTTATTTCCTCTGAAAATACAAAGCGGTCATCAGCCTTACCACGTACCTCAGTTAACCCATAGAAAGTACAAGATGATGATGATTGGACGAAGTAAGATTTTCTGAATTGATGCTACGTTGTAATATAAACTAAGACATTTTCGGCAGGCTACCCAGCTATTTTTCTTTCTTAGCCCGTGCCGTTGCTGATGCCCAGGAAAGCTGTGCTAATAGTGGATTAGGGCTTGTCAATAGCGTCCTATATTTAAGCCATATACGCCGTGAAAGCCAAGAAGTGGACATGCCCAACCCCGATGTAGACGAGCGTCGTCGAGGGGATTCGAGGGGATAGAAACAATGTTTCTCATCGTGAGTCCTACTTGGAATTGCCTCGGTAACCTTTCCACGTCAATTGCCCCCATCTACAGTCCGACGTGGTCATTATGAGCAGTATAACCATCCACTAATAGAGGTGGGCCGCAATCATCAGGCCCTGAACGGGACGCCGTGGCGTGAATGTGCCCCCCAACCGTTCTACTATAATCATACTTTTCCATTGTTAGTTTTAATTTTGTTCATCTATGCGCGCGCAATTGGGGCCTGGAGGCGATAGCCTACTAACAAGCCAACTCATGTCACCTAACTACATTTTCTTAGATCAGGTGTAATTTCTTGTATTATAGCCTAGAAATTATGTATAGTCTCATACAAATGTGGTTTTCCTATTTGTAAGATCCTTCGTTGGCTCCAGCTAGGACTCTATCCTTGCTAAGCCTCCACCCAAGCCGAGCCCGAGCTTAACTCTCGACACCAACAACAATCTCGCTTCTAGAACCGATCTTAAGACCGAAACGTGCCAGAACGGTCGGGAATAGCGCCAATTACAGAAACGATGTTGGTTCATTTGCATGACGTTTGAACTATCTAATTAGATACTTGAGGGGATCCAGACTCTGCCCCTTGTTCAGTCTTTGATGCTCGGCTACGAGTCCTTGAGGATATGGGGTCTGGGATTTCCTCATCGGAATCATCACCGGTGACAAGCCAACGGTCTCTTCTATCCCCCCAGAACTCATGATTTACGACGGTATCGATATCAATGCGCTCCTTAGGGTCGTGCTTGAACATGCGCAATAGAAGATCCGACAGAACCAACACCTCTTCTTTCGGCATGGTCACAACCCGTTCTACATACTCTATCTCTTTAGGGGCTGGTTGCCTATCCAAACGACGTCGCTTCGGTCCCCTCTCTGGGGTGTCATCTTCAACTCCAACCAGTTCTACTTCTACGACCTCAACCTGGTCGAGCCATTCAAGGGGGGTGGGCCGGGTAGGTGCTTCATCTGCTCCATCGTCACCGGGCTCATGTTCCTGATGAGCTGTACACACTTCAGTTGGCGATTTGGACACAGTCAGCTGCTCTTTATTTTCTAGTTGTCTTGGCTGATCCACAGGTGTACATGGGGACCGTGGCACAGGTGTTTCCTCATCACCCTCATCTGAATGCCGAGAAGCCGAACCTTCTTTCACTTTACTGCCTTGAAGGTCGGGATTCGTTAGGCGATCCAAGCCCTCTTGAGAAAATTCATCTTCAGAAACTTGGCTTGAAATCGATTCGTCGCTATCATATTCCGAGTCGCTGTCGTCTGATGAGGTATACGGCGTATAACTTTCCTCGCGGACATAGCAACGCCGCTCTTCTCCAAGTGACGCTTGTAGGGGGTCAGACCACGTGGTCGCCCCTAGAACCTTTAGGAGTTCCTCCCGCTCTCGACGCTCCTCTTCCGGAGTAAGCGAAAGCAGCTGAGAAGGATCCGGGTGGCTGTCATCCGAGACTTGTGAGTGATCCGAATCTCCTTTCTTGCCCGCTGACACATTTCGCCGCGCCTTATCACCTTCCAAATAAGAACCTGCGACACCCCTATATTCAGTTGGTAAGGGTCCAAACAAGAGTTCCATATGGCGTATCAAAGACGTATAGTCCTGATACTCGCTGACGAATGGTTTTTGGGTTCTAATCTCGTATATGGTACAAGCAAGCGCCCATATATCTCGCGGGAACCCGCTCACCGTCTCTGTAAATAAAAACTCCGGTCCGGCATATTGTCTATTCCACCTCGTTATCTTGGGCGGGTTAGAATGATGGAAGCTATGGCTGAAATCAACAATCGCAACTTTAGCAGCTCGACACTTTTCTTCTAATTTATCCAATGATACTGGCAATGCTAGATACTTAGGTCCGTGGGAACCCGGACTACTTCCGGACGGAGTCAGAAGGGGCTCATGTCGCCGGGGCCCGAGATATCTGTCAAGCCGGTCGTATGGTAGCTCCATGAGGGTGTACTGGTGTAACCGCATACGTACGTTACTTGGTTTTAAATCTAAAAGAATTAGCTTTTACTGCGGTGAGCGCTCGCGATTGGATATCTACTTACCTCCATGGCAAATCCCTTTCGTATGGAGATATTGTATTCCCTTACAAATTTGAAACGTGAAATCCGTTAATATTCCCGGCGTATGAATCCCTGTACCAAGTGGCGAGTCCAAATACAAACTAGGGCCATATAGATCAGAAACAAAACAGAGGTGCCGCCCATTAGGTCCTTCAACCCAGAAGTGCTCTTTAGGGATAGCAACACAATTCTCTTCGAGCTCATTGCGGCTGACTTCACTTAGAGCATTCAAGACCTGCAGTTCCGGGCAGTCTTCCACTGACTGCTCTGCCACCATAACCTTGACTGATCTGTGGCACATTGTTCGTTTATCTAGACAAAGCCACTCAGTGGAGTTCACATTCCATCCAAGTTTATGGACGACGAGAAACCGTTTGTTTGGCCCGAGATGGTCATTGAAGTGAATTGGGTGGTATCCTCCTGGTCTATACTTTTCTCTTTCCTCCACCTCCCCGCCGTCTACGGCCGGGAGGTATAGACGCTGTGTAGTGCTCATTATGTGCCTTAGGTGTGTTTAAAAAGAAACGTACTCCCTTGAAGATAAAAGGCTAGGTATATGATCTGGGGAACGTCGGACTTCGAGACTTGGAAAATGAAGCTTAGTAGGAGGGTTCAGTGCCGTTTATCCCTCGCGTACGTAAATATTAGTATAAGTTCAATAGAGAATACCTAAGGAAACCTAATCATTCACTCAAAGGGAATTCGCCTTTATGTAGTATGCTAGGTACGGGCTCTCGGAAATGTGTCAATGTGAAACAAAAGCCTTTGTCCTTTGACGGGCCCTACTTACAAATGTATAGTTTCCAGATACATATACGTTGGTTAACGTCCAAGGTGCTTAGTGCAGCATTCATAAGGTTTCTATCCCCGGATTAGCTAAAATGTTTTAGAAATTATAGCGATGTGTATAATAACTTGTTACGAACATGGCACATGCCATCCAACCCAAAGGAAGGACAGAAAACTACCATTTTCTTACTGGTAAACTATTTATTGTTTTTAAATAAACAATAAGAATTGTAATGATCCAAGAATATGGTAAAAGGTCCTTTGTTATGAAAAGGATTTAATGATATTGTACAATGCGTACTAGAATAGTATTTTTCTTGCTTGTCTCCTTTATTTAAAGCCTCGCTTATATATGCGTAAGAGCTTTATCACGATGACCAACATAAGGCTATTTAATTTGCGTTATTTTTACAGCTGATTACATTAGAAACAATAAAAGGCAATAGGTCGTTACGAGTCACTCTTTTCAGCATGACATTCGGTTCAGCCAAAGAAGTCTTCACACGAAGATGGAACCCCGGAATGAGCCTTCCAGTTGGGGGTCAGCCGCAAATTAAGATGGGAATTGAAAAACTTAGACAATGTCCTCGAGATGGAAAGGGGACGCTTGAAGATCCGTTAGTAATTTGGGCAGCGCATTTGACAGATCGACAGCGCCGGGAATTGCGAATCCCAGAATTTGAGCAAGAAGAGGATCTATACCGCGCAATTGATGCCAACGCGGATGTGGCGAAGACGGCAGCTATTAGAAGTGGATGTACGGTGGTATGGATCATCTGCCCTGTTCATACTAGCAAATATGCCCACGATGAGAACGGCGATCGGGTGCCAATAAAATGGGATCACGCTGGCAACCCGGCAGAGTACCTCGTTTTAGATGCTGATCCACATATCACCGTAAAGCTAGGTGTGAGCGAGGATTTATGCCTTCTACATGGTCATATTAACGTACGGATCGATGAAAGGGGCTTTCCTACTCAATTTATGAGTAGCTTTCAGAGATATGAGAGTGGACACATCACAGATGGCGATGATAGGGTTCTTGAACTTTTCGAGTGGCGTGACAAGGGAGATTTAACAGCACATCTTATCCAGCAGGAAGCCGCGTACTACAAGCTCTTCAGCACAATGACCGTAAGTTGTAGTGGAGAGTGGGAACTCGAGGACCTAGAACACGATGATCCCGACTATAAGCCTCCCGAGCATCTTGAACTCTTATTTCAGAATAACACGCAGTACGTACCGGACAACAGTGAAGAAGCATCGATGATTAACGGAAGTTTGGAGGAGTATCTAGTTCGTAAGTGGAGCCCTTATGAGAAAGGCGAAGGTATAGTTTCTATGCATAATTTTGGCTACAACGTCAGTAGGTTCAGCAGGTGCTCACAGGAAACGCGGATGTACGACCCAGATGCATGGGACCCACGAAGATATTTGGCAACAAATTCATATGCGTACTGACGAGAGTACTCTAGCAAGGGGCACACCCACAAGCAAGATCTAACTCTCGAGCGTACTTAACTGATACTACCTTTAGACACGGAGTTAGTAAAGAGCTTGGTTATAATATAGAAGCAGATTAAAAATTGACTTTCATGAACACTTTCTGTCCTATAAATAGGCGTTTCCCTAGATATTACTACACGCAAGCTCCGTATCGCAGATAGTAGAGCACGTAAGACGTATCGTCTTATTGCCGCGTCGTGAATTACGTTATGTATTTTTCGCATTACCAAGTTCGTAATAGGCACTGATGTAAGTAGTGAGGAATCGTTGAACAGCTTCGACAACACCCGTATGATGTATCCGTGGTACATCTACAAGAGGGTTATGTATCTCCGCGGAGTCGTAGATATTGATTGGCGACGCGTAGCCAATTCATGCGAGGAATCGTCGATGAGAGCTCCGAAAACCAATTCGAATCCAAGAACCAGTAAAAGGCCCGAATTTTCGGGGTCTGACGTACAAGCAGACTATTACCCCTTTCTCCTCATGGGTCGAAGACAAGTTAGTGGATGGCCGAGCTAGGAGAGTTCATATGACTCACTCATTCCCCCCTATTAACTGCCGAGGTAAGGAGGCTAATACCGGGAACTAGGATCCCCGCTCTTAGCATTGGTATGACAGGCCAAAGTATAAAGGCAGCAGGCTCTGCTCCCGGACTCCTTAAAACTTCATACCTAAATACATTCAATTCATCAACCATTATGCCTAGCTTCTCAGACATCGAGACGACCCTAGCTTCCGTGGAGGCTAGTCCTAGAATCCGTGAGGTCCTCCGGGACTTGCACACGAAGGCTCTTTCAGAAACCCCTTTCGTAAGCACGGGAGGACCTCTATCGGATGCTCTGGATAAGTTTGTGGCCCTGGATCCCGATAAATGCGCATTGGTTTACCTTCTTCTTCGAGCGACAGGAGCGCGCTTCGTCGTTGAAGCAGGGACCTCTTTTGGTCTTAGTACCATATATCTCGCGCTAGCTGTAGGACAGAATGCGAGCCTGCAGGATGGAAACGGCAAGGTCATCGCGACGGAGAACGAATCGCATAAGGCGGCAAGGGCTCGCGAGCATTGGAAGGCCGCTGGAGACGAAATTGAGAAGCGGATTGAACTGAGAGAAGGAGACTTGCGAGAGACACTCAAGGTTAACTTGCCTCCCCATATCGACTTTTTACTGCTTGACAGTGAGTTTTACCAAGCCTACAAGATGAAGAGATCGCATTCACTGCGGTTTGAGCTGACAGAGAATAGTCTGGACCCCCCTAGCTTTGCCTACTTTGAAACTTGTCCAGCCGAACTTGAAGATTGGCGCGACGATTGTAACCGACAACACTATCGAGGCTGCAAAGGGGTACGAGGAGCTGGTAGCTTATTTGGGAGACCCATCCAACGGGTTTAAGACGACGACAGCACCTTACTCTGGTGGTTTACTCATTGCGGTATACGTCGGGAAGGGGACCTCGTAATTCTATTTGATATCTGGGACAGTAGTTTCAACACACTAACAGCCCTTTCCCTCCTATGTACTTAACGTCATTTTACGCTAACCACAATGAAGGTGCTGGAGAAGGCTAAGGTCATGACCGTACCTAGCTGAGCTAGGTATAAACGGCAGGATCATAGGAAAACCGGGAGTCCGAAAATCGGCTTCAACATTATGCCTAGAAAGACGGACGAAAGTCAGCTCAGATCGGAGACATTATTTTATAAAACGTATGATCCACCACTTACCTTACTTTAGTACCGACCTATTCGAGTGTACCTTTGCAAGTACTCGGGGACTGTTTGAATATGCATCCATTGATCTAAGAGCCAGGTATTGCTACATTGTATAATATCTTTATCATGAACCAAATTTCTGCTATCCCTTTATGCCCTTAACACCATGCTTATGATGAGATCATCCAGAAGAGATTATGATGATCTAAAAACTCAGAGTTTCTTATAAAACCTTCAAATCAAAACAATTTAACCATCAGCCATATCATCCATCGAAAATAGCCATCTCGGTCGAATCTAGGGATAACCAATTTCATTACATATAACCGTCCATACCCCCTGACATGCGCCTCTGCCTTCGTTCGCGAGAACGATTATCGCGCACGCGCCTTTCATGGCTACGCCTTGATCGCCGCGAATCACCTGTGTGAGGTCTCGGTTTACGGTCATCGTATCTTGGTGTCGGAGGCGACACTGTACCCTGGTCGGCGGACGAGTACCCAGTTCGCCTATCCTCATAGTCGGCAGGGTGGTAGTTTTTCTTTGGCATACTCGTCAAGGCGTGATTCTCGTGGTAGGGCGGTAACCCGACTTCCTTGTATGTCCCTCGTTTGAAATTACCCATGCAGAATTTGGGGTGCGGCAAGTGAGTCATGACAAGGACAAGGAAATAACTGATCACAATCGTAGGCAACATCCAGGAGCTCCCAACGAAGGCTGTTTTACGTTCCTTGTTGATGACCGCTTCCTCGTTGGCCGCAAAAGTAGAAAGGAGCGCTAGGACTATGGAGAGCGCAATACAGATCGCGGTTCGGAAGATATTGAATGGTGACCATCCCCTTCGCTTAGAGATGATATGCATAATAGTCAAGAAGAGCAAGACAATACCGGCGCATGCGAACCCGTAGATAAACTATTCGCCATATTAGCTGTTAAGACACCCTGCGAGAAGATCAAAGTAAAGGAAAGAACCTACAACTAGAATAAACCTCTTGGCAATTTCTATCACTGCCTCGCTCTGCCAAAATCGATCCTTGGGGATATCCTCTTCTTCAGGTGCCTCAATGCCGAAAGCATTGTAAACGGCGTTCAGCATCGCGTAAGCTAACTCATTCAGGTCGGTTTGGAACCGGACATATATGGGATCATCATCGTCGGGAGTTGACTCCCATAATGAGTTGGGGATGTCGGCAATGTCAGCTAGCGTTTCGTTTACGGACTTCCACGTATCAATGGCGTCGAGGGGCTGGTATTTCTCCAAGAATGGTTCAATCACGCCCGCCAAAGTTTCAGAGAGTTCTTCTGATTCATACGGCTTCTCAAGCCCCTCTAGTGCGTCGTTTATCTTCTTCACAGCTGCATTGGCACTTTCGATAATACGAGCCCAGACAACAAACTGGCTCGCAGCCTCAAGAAGGAGGACAAGTGCAATATGGAAAGGCAAATGCAATGCAGTCCTATGAGGATCTTGGCGTTAGTTATGATTAAATTTAAAGCGTATGATCATCATCCGGAAATAAATACGTACCACCACACTTGATGTCTCTTAGACATCGAATGTTCTTCATGCATCCAGTCAAAGTATAGTTGGAAGATAATGTATATCAAAGCAGTGCCCGCAGTGACAAGGCCGATGAGAGCAGGACCTTGACGTATTAGTTAGGATGGAAATATATGTATATCAGACTGTGAAACATACTCCATAATGTATACGTAGCATCTTTAAGAAAAGTGTCCTTCACTAGGAGTGTAATGCTCTTCGCGAGAATAATACAACCTGTCATGCATATTAGAACTTGCATCTCTCAGTCATAGTAGGTGAACGTACCTTCTCCGAGAATAACAAGCGTAAGGAGGTTCATACGCTCGCCCAAGTGCGTACCAAGGAATGTCAAAACATGAGACACTTGAGATAATGACAGGTGCAATAATGCCTCGACGACGCCTCCAATGTACCAGACAAGGTAAACCTTGCTTGACTTGCCCAGATTGTACCTAAATGAAACACCAAAGTAGATCGCCGATGCGCAAAGGTGAAGGAGGGCCGTAGCGAGCATAGGACGTTTCCCATGAGAATATTTGCGGATTTGAATAAGAACTACCCCATATTGAATGAAAAGAACGAATCGAGAAACCGCGAGGAATAGAGACATGGTCCTAAACACCGATACGATTTGGTCGTTTGGATCGAAATTGGTCCCGATCTCAGAAAATCCTATCATAACACCCAAGTGAATGGCTTTGCAAACACGTTCGAATACGCTGTCAGCCGTGAAGCGCACGTCGTAAAGGGTAGTCATCACCCATGTTGTCCATAGGAGACTAAATTCTCTATTGGCTGTCATTCTTTCGCGTCGGGTCAACTCGGTCACTCACACCATATATCCAATAAATGAGACGAAGTTTGAAAAATCGGAAATTTCGTGCACCTATGGGCACAAGTTAACATCGTCTAGTTTAATACTCATGTGGGGCTAAGTACATACAGTGGTGAAGACATTCAAGTTGGCTACGAACCACAAGTCGTAGAACAGCTACAATCTATGTTAATCATATGGACTGGTGATGAGACCTGGATGTATAGGCGGACGAACCTCAAAATTCGAAGCAGAATGAGACTAATAGTTGTTAGCTTTGATCGGGAAGGAGGCTGTTATCCTATATGGACTCACCTTATGAAATTTGGGGGTATCTGATGGTCCCTTTTCGGGATAGGTATCTTCCGTATCATCATGGGAATGAGTACGGCGGTGATGATGTTGATGAGGATGAAAGGTTAGAACTCGGTGCCCGGATCCGGACAGTTCAGGCTCGACGACCCGGGTCCCGAGCAGTTGAAGCCGCCGGCCAGCGTAGTCGAGATCGTTATGGGACATATTTGCGGGCTCGCAAAACGTCCAGGTTCGGAGGTCTACTTGGATAGATGACTGATCGACAGAAGGAGAGGAGTGCCGAGCAGAGAAATCTAGGAGCCAAGAAAGGCGGCTCACCGCGAGTTATATTGGAACTCCAATTACCAACGTGCTGTCTTGGTACCTAGCCTATGGGGCGGTGGCCCGACCTGCACTCCGCTCGTCTGCGTTGATCATCCATAATTTGCACTCTATGCCAATGTGGGTAACATGCTGCGTTGTCGTCCTTGCTGGTCAGTGAAGTCGACGAGCCTCATGAAAACATTTTCTTATGGGCTTGGTAGGACCCATGTCAAGCCACATGTATCCCGGCACCCGCATATGCGGTGCGGCCATACAGAAGACACGAGGCAGGGTAGCGACATTAGCACGCCAGGGTATAGATAGGGCTGATGCATAGCTGAGGTGTACGTAGAGGGCATGATATGTAATCAAATGTACCTTTACTCTTATACTACCTGGTACTATACATCCCGCTGACGCCAACCGTAGGTCAATTCCTATATTGAGGCACGTGCGTTGTGACCTATCAGCTTGCCTTCGCCTCCTTGCTCCAACGCAACATCTGTACTATTTGGGCATCTAATGTAAATGGGCACCCATAACGCAGAGAGTCATCACCGACACGCCTAAAAATTTCAATCCTGCAGACGGTTTGATTCCCAATACAAATATTCAGCTCCGCGTATGATTCATCTATTTTCAGTGTAAAATACTATATTCAGGAAAAAGTAAAACACCCTGAGACAAACACGACATCTGCGGCAGTCCATCTTAGTCATGAAGGGCGTTGGGATCGCCGTTATTGTACTTTTTTCGCGTTGTGTTTCCCGTACTAGGTACCTTTCCGACCCGCGTCACACCTTTTCCTGCAGAAAATCGAACTGCCGCGTTTGGGAACGCCTGAATGCCTAAGGGAACCCCGAGACGTAGGACATAGAGGCCTAGAGAGGCCTCTAACATTCGCAATTGATCATCCGAGTCCGAGTCCGAGCTTTAACCCCAGCCACACGATCGTCCAAAATGAATGTTTTTGTCGCTCTTAAAATTTACTACAAAACTAATGATTAAGGAGAGACCCGAACATAAACTACTTATCTGCGTATCTGCATATCTAAGCTGATTGAGATTAATCGAATCCTGTTCATTGGACTATTGGTTCAGTCGTATCGTATGCTGGGCAGTCAGGGTCTTCGCAGTATGAGTCTTTAGCAAAGATCGGCAGTGCTATTTCGGGTTTCGCGCACGGTCTCTGTCTTTTCCTGCCCCTGTCGCAATTTTCGATCTCGTACTTCCATTCACCAGTCATCTCGTCGATAAACCGGCATCCGCACATATTAAAAAGATCGCGGTGCTTGCACATGGTTGTTTCGTATAGTCAAAGGTTCCAGAACTTTTCGTTATATTCCAGAGTATAAAAGAACATAATTGCTACCAGATATAGTTCCAGGTTCACGATACGTACCGTTAGGTACCTAGGTACCTATCTAGGCTATTCGGGCAAATTTGATGGCAAAGAAAGAAAGAGAAAAAAGCAATAGGCTTGGTATCGCATGATCTCATCAAAGCCCAAAGGGCTTCATTGCCTCGTGGAGCTCTTTATGAAGTCATTTAATGAATAATGGTAAGAAATCCATTGCCAGATCTCAAAACTAAGAACTTTAAACTTAGTTACATGCTGTGCCTCAGCTTCGGCCTTTCAGATAGGCTTCTAAGTATCTTTTGTCACCGTATTTTGCTGCGTGGGTACCTTGGCATGAAGGCTTTCCAATGAATAAGTATACCTCGGGACCGAAGAGCGTCCAGATAACTTGGTTCGACGACCTGACTTCATTATAGTTTTTAGTTGTTGCCTACTGCTAAATTGGAAACCAGAAAGAGCGTGCGTGGTTTCAGAAGGGGTCACCGAAAATGAAGACCGTGCGAATATGTTTGTATTCGTGAACAACACTGTATTATTTCCACCTTAATACACAGTATCGTACAGTATCGTACAGTATAGCACGTACGGTCTACCTAGGTACATTTTCGGTGACCTCATCCTGCTACCTGACTTTTCAAGACCAAATCGAATACCTTTGAGGTTTAGTGTGTCTTTGTAATGTTGTTTCTCCCAACTATAGTTGTGCTCAAACAAACGAGCCCCTTTGTAGGCTCTACCATAAGAATATCTAGGTAGAATGCCCCGAGCAATGCCTCGCGAAATCTGGCCGAAACCGAATTTTGATGCATTTTGTCTGACTCCCAATCATGTATCATCAACATACTATATGTCGAGAGGTTACGGTAATCCTGGCATGTGGTTGTAAGACAAAGTCGGAATTTGTGCCTTGTATCGAGGCTGAAGACGGAGGATGTACGTGTAAGAGTGTTGAAAAGGTGTGGCGTAAATCAATATGTTGGTGTAGGAATAGCGTGTGTCGGCACCGCGCATACAAACGATTAGACCGCCAGATAAAGTACATGGAGGAGGAAAAGGAGTGGCAGCAAGCCAGAGACCGTGAGCGTGAACTGGAATGGATGGATTTGCTTGAAGAGCAGCTTTAATTAGAGCGTGGCTTCTTTTAGGAACATCTAGATATATCTAAATAGACAATATCTACCTAGATAGATTTTAATCAAGCATTATAACCCACAACTGACTTATAAGATTGAGAACTTGAATGTCAAGGCAACGAACTCGTCTCTTTGGATTTCTATCTAATGCAGTGATCTAAGCAACCAGGTATATATGAAGCAGATGCAGTACAACACAGGGGTATAAATTTATGCGATGTGGTAAACTCAAGTTTACATGAAAAGACTGCCCAGCAAAGCAGATCCTACCAATGCTGCGACGCTCACGCTAGACCGCACTCCCATGGATTGGTGGTCGTCCGTCGTGCTGCCCTGGGTGTTCTGGCCATTGCTTCCGCTATCGGTGCCGTTGGAGTTGCTCCCCGTGGTCGCACCACCGGCAGGGAGAACACTAACCAAGGCTTCCAGTACGTTGATTTGCTGAGCAGGTCCTGTCTTGCCGTCGAACTTGCCGCTAGCCCACTTGAAGCCACACATGCGACCGTTATCACCGCCAGTGCACTGAGCCGCGGCGGCCTTGGCGCTCGATTTAAGAACGGGGAGGATCTTGTCGGCGGTGTGAGGAGCGACTTGCATAGCTGAACCGAGTGTTCTGAGTAATATGCCCTTGAGGAAGTACATATCTGTATTGCATCTGTTACTCTCTTCGCAAGCGACTTCGAAAGCTGCGCCGTCGACGAAGAATTTATCCAGGGTCCGATTGACAAGTCCGTCTAGGCGACCCCTCCAGCCGTCCTCTCCAGTCTACCGTCGAGTTAGAATTCAAGACAAAGTAACATATCAAAGGCTCCACAAGGGGAGGCTCAGGTATCGTTTAGCAAGAGCAGTACTCACATGGTTGTACATGAATGCAGCGCCTTGAATCAGCAATCCAGCGTCGTATGAGAACTGTGCCTTGTTGACATCGCAGTCGTCCGCTTGAGCACCGTCGTAAACATCAAAGTCCTCAGTGACGAGTCCGATATCCGAGAGCAGATCGAAGGTATCGCTGGCCGCATCCGCGTATGTCTTGTTACCGGTCACATATGCCAGTTGGGCAGCAAGGTTCAAGAAGGCGATATTGGAAGCAGCTAAAGTCGCGTTAGAAACGAGTATTCATCCAACACTGGGAAAAGACCGTGCCACATTGCAGAAAATAGAAAGCACTGACAGTTAACGTAGTCGTAACCTTTATTAAAAGGGTAGATCTGCCATCTCAACGCTCCGGCGCAATCATCTTCATCTACTCGTCGATCATGCATATGCTGCTCATCGAAAACGCTCTTGGCCACATCCACCCATTGAGGATTGTTGTTTCCCCCGTTTGGAAGGCCATATAGCCCAGCAGCCATAGCCGACAATGCCCACAGGCCCTGGTCATCGTTGCCTTCGCTAGCCGTCCAGTTTAGAGGCATGTAATCGTTATTCGGACCGACCTGGAACATGAGGCCCTGAGAGATTGTCTCGTCGTACTTTGTGTCTCCAGTCCGGTTTCGATAGCCCAACAAAGAACTCCATAGAGTAGATCCCGTCCACCACCAATAATCTCCAGCTGGAGGAGAGTCAAAGATGCCGGGAGTTTGGCCTGTCTCATTGCCATGATATAATGTCATTAGATCTTCTGCCACAAGAGCCGCGGCCGCCTTAACGGAGTCTAATAACTTAAATGTGAGTTTTCCGCCATTCGCCTAAGATTTTACCTAGCAACACTAACCTGCATTCTCAACATCGACAGTCAACCCTGCCAACGCGCCGTGGGCGGCCAGCAGGAGACGCGCTACCGGACTAGACGCAATCCTTGCCATCTTGACCTTGAAAGATTCCTTACTATAAAAGTGATACCGATGACACAGCTAAGAAGTGGTTATAAATGAATGAATGCAACTTGCTGCTGGGTCGGTTAAAGAACGACAGAACCGAAGTTATCGATATAAGCGAAAGTAAAGCTGGATATCGCCTCTCCTTTCTATCTCAGCAGCTGCGCCGCAACCTGACATATTCTAGGCTACAAATTTTAGATTGCCCCATGTTCAGCCCAATGTGTGGGGATTGTCAGCCGTTTGCTACGGCGTAGGACTTGTCTGAACTAGGATTAGGAGCTGGAAATTACATACTGGGTAGTATAGTCTGCACAGCCACTGCTTGGCACATTTGATCCAGGAGTCGGAAGACTAGGGGAACGATCTTGGCAGTCTAGGTAATGGAGTTAGATACCATATAAAAGTCAATAAGACGGGTTTCATCTGCACTAACATTCCAAATTACTATTTTCTTTTCGATTGGATATCCTTACTTCAGGCATAACATGCATATAACCAGCCCGGTCATGTTTCGGCCTTTGGAATCTTCTACCAGCTAAGCGCCCAAGTAGGCAGGTCCGGCAAGTAACAAGACACAATTCACCATGCCGCAAGTTTGGACATTATCTGATGACCGAAAATCAGCAAATTAAAGTAGATAGGGGTGGGGAGCTTCTTTGAAAATTCATGACAAAAAAATCAAAGACACTTGATACACCAAGACAAGGGGAGAGAAACAAAATCATATTGCCCTAAGGGTATCAATAACAACCCATACCATCATACCTACCGAGCCTTAACCCTTCTAATAACGACCTTCCCCCCATCCAGTTCCCATCCGACCCCGTCCTCTGCCCGAAGCGTTGCCCATTTTGAATCCGCACATGTCTCTAAGAAATCTAAGTCTATACTTAAATACGTCCTCCCGAAGCATTTAAGTAGGTGTTTCCGCATGCTTTCCTCGGCGTATTCCAGCAGTTTGGCTTTATGTCCATCGACCCTCTTCTTCAAACGACTGAATTGTATATAATTGTCATGCGCTAGTGTATCGAGGACCACGTCGATCCTTGCATCTCTTAGCTGATATTTATGTCGCACTGCGAAAGCCTCGGCCAAGTCGTTTCTCCTACAGGCCGTATCGAGAACGAGATAGCCAACCACTTCATTCATCTCAACCGAAGTCATGCTATGAAGCGGTTGTATGCGACGCAATAGGTGGAGGATAGCCGGATGGTAGGATTCTGGATGCTTGACCAAAACAGAAAGCCGAATGCAGAAGAGGTAGACTTGAATCGCAAAATCGTCAACACGCTTAGAGGCCACAATGCCCTCCCGTAGCTTTCTAAGCGCTGACAGGACGTCGGATAGACCTTTCGTGTTATTCGGGATAGTAACCGGGGTCGTTGGTGATGTGTTTAAATCTGGAGAGGAGGCATTCGGAGCGGGTTTCGTAGGTAGGTTCTCGACATTGGGGTTAGACGTCAGGTCGAGCGAGGCAAAGCGACGGAGAAGCTCGTCTCTCTCACCAGCATCGGAACAGAAGGTCATGTAACGCTCGACGATCTTGGTGTAGTAGCGCTCTTGCGTCTTGAAGTCAAGCAATCTAGCCCCAATATTAGAACTATCCTCACCTTCTCTTCATCGAAGGATTCAAGGAATCAATTAGCCACGCACCTGCTATCTCCTTTGGAAGGCAAGCCTATTGACTCCAGAGGATCTAGGTCCACCGGTTTTAGACGACTCCATGGCGCAGAAGGCGTTCTGCTTCCTCGGGCGCCCCCGCGTCCACGCATTATCAAGTCATACCCAAGTGATAACTGGTTTGGGTGGGGGTGAAATGAGAGATGTAAGAAAAGAGAAGAGATGGAGAAGTCCAAGTTTAGTTGTTGAGATTGACTAGACGAAGCAGCGGGGTTAAGACTATACCATATTGGGTAAAATAAGCGACGCTAATAGTGCGCTAATGCTGTGTAATGTTCACTTTCCCTATTTGTCTCTCTTTGCTCACTCCTATAGGCTTGATTCTTCTATAGGTACTTGGGTACTTGAGTACTTGAACATCTACATTATTTACGTGGACATACATGTAGATTCCTGTTAACATGTAGACACCTAGGTATAATCATGAAAAACATGGTAATACTTCATGTAGAAGAGATAAAGGAATCATCTCAACTCTTCCTCTTATAGAGCAGAGTATAGATGGTGAAATAAAAGACAATGTTACGTATGAAGTCCCTTCTTCCTTTAGCTATCATCGTAGCAACAACACCATACAAAACTCTCACGATAGAAACCTAACTGAGATGAATTGTGAGCCATCATAAAAGATGATGTCTTCTCTACTCGAACGTGTTCATCATGGATATTCAAACATATAATACTTCAAGTCCGTGCCACTTTATTAGCATTGCTGCCAATATTTCTATCAGAATAGTCACATACTGTATCAATCTATTAGTTACCCAAAGTCTAAGCAGATAATAATTCTAATCCAAAAGAACCTTAACATTATCAATACAAGCAAGTCAATATAGTAAAGAAGCAATATGTCTGGGCTCGACATGAATATCGACGAGTTAGACGAGTGGCAAGGATACGTCCAAGTCTCCTCCGACGACCTCGTAGACCCCATGGACGACATGGAGTGGACTGAAGTCCCCAAGGAGGACCTCGTTGCCCCTAATTATGAGGCGCAATGGGAAAAAGTACCGGAGTGGGTGGACCCCATACATGAGCCCATTTTCATACCGACACTAGCAAAAGGCTTCAAGTCCCGCATCGGCCGCGCTGGCCTTGCCGCCAGCCCACCAAAGGAAGACCCCTATAATGGCGACAATCCTCCTCTTCCTCCCGGCCAGAATCGAACAACCGTTGGTGTTGAGTTTGAATTTTCTGCAGCCGTAGCTAGGGCCGAAGATTTCATTGCGGATCCACATCCACAAGACGGTCGATATCTGTCGGAAGCTTTGATCGATCAAAACGATGATTCCGCTCGTTACATGCTCACTGTACGCAATAGGGTTATTGACGTATTGAGAGAAAATGGCATAACCGCGGTGAAGACAGAGGAGAAATCAACCATCCCGTTCAAGCCTACGCGAGATTTCGGTTGGCTTAACAGCCTTGATGATATGGAGGAAAACGAAAAAGAGCTTGAGAAATGGGTAGGAAGTTATAACTGGGATCCAAGTCAAGGCCATGGCGTTAATATCACTGCTGCATGCAACCAACTAGCACAACAATTTGTCGATTTCCACATTCAAAATAACCTCGAATTTCACAAGACGCGAAACGCAAGTATTGATGCAGTCTCAAAAAAGGTTCATACATTCATTCATAGGGATCATGTGTCAAAGCCTCGCGCAGCGACCCTTATGGCTGCGGCAGTTCAGAGCCTCTTTAAATTATCTGCCGACGAAGCACTTAATCAGGCAGCGGAGGACCAAAAACAAGCAAACGAAGAAATCGATCCATTGTGCGTTCAGCTTCCGGGAATGGACCTTAAATATAGGACATGGGCTTGTACTATAGACTATTCGGTGGTGATGGATGGAGTTGGACATGTGCATTATGGTAAACTCCCCCCTGGATCTATTTATGATCGTAAAGATGAAGATGGCGAATGGGCGCACATGTAAGTAATATCTAAGGCTCCTTGACAAATCCCTTTCTATTCGAATTCTTCGCTAATTACAGTATTGTAGTTCTCCACCCTTTGTGTATAAATGGTTTCCAGGCGAGTTGAGGACACCAATTCTAGATTACAACCATAGCGAGACTTATCCTGCGATACAAAAAGCGGTATGTAACCCATGAATAAAGATCCCAAGTACTGGGACTAGTGTTGATAATCAACAAACTAATTGAATTATAGTGTGCTGCTCTCAGAGACGCTTTCCGAATTCATAAACCAACAAGCGGTATTCCAAGTGGTATTCACATACATATCGGGCAGGAGGCTGGATGGACACTGTTACATTTTAAGAAGGTGAGTATTTCTTCCCTGTTTATTATTTAATCCATTGTACCCGGAGGTCTTTAACAACCATGCTTTGACTCACGTTGGCTAATTGACATCGCTACACCCCACCTCACATACACTATACTGATGTAAAAAACAGTTCACGACGCTTTGGCTTATACTCGAGAGATGCCTCCAATACCTTCACCGATGGGACCGATCCCCAGATGACAACAACTGGTGCGCTTCAGTTCGGGGAACTAGTAATCTCAACAGAGGTTTAACTAATCCGGGAAGTCGTGAAAGTGTTCACATGCCAGATCCAAATACCGAGGACGCGGCTCGATACGATGCGATAATGAACAAACATATTCCTGTGGAGCAACTCCCTAAGGACTTACGCTCAATGATTGGTGGTGTTTGGAGATTTAACACAATAGCTGATCTCAGAGAAGCTTTGACTTCTTCTATCTATGACACTTCAGCGGTTCGATGCCGACTAGAGGGTGAGAAATCTAGCAACGAGGTCGAGCCATGGAACACGAACACGATAGAATTCAGGATGATGCAGGGGACTTTTGACGCTGAACATATATGGTAAGTTATAGTCAAGACCCGAAGTTTGCGGATATATGCTAACATCGCATCGCTTAGGAATTGGATGGCTGTATGTAATAGTTTAGTCATATTTACTCGAGATTCGACCCAGGAGGAGTTCTATAATGGACTCGGTGATATGTACTCCGGAAAAAGATATCCGTGGCAAGTCGTAGGCGTACCACGCGAGGTAGGGCTTTGGTTTAACTCTCGAAGAGAAGGGCCAGACCACACGGGGTTTTTCCAATACGTGGATAAGGACAAAGTAGACTGGGCGGACCCTTTCATGGTTCGAGGACACGGAGATACGCATGTTCTTCTTTAGATATGAAGAGGCGAGTCTAACGAATCCACGAGTACAGACATATACCTCACTAGTTATTAGCAGTAGTTGATTATTTTACGTTGTTTTATTACTGCCATTTTAATTCTGGTCCTCGGGATAGCAATGCGTGTATCATGTGCCCAAGGGAGTAGGTTGCAACTTTGTAGGATGTTGCTTATGTTCGGGACCTAGGCAGGGCAACTCGGATATTCAATCGTGGACGACTGGGCACATGAGAGACGTTACGATCTTACGCCTGTATTAATTATGAGTATCGATGGTACAGGCAGAACCACCCAAACCAACGCCAAACCGACTAACTGGACCATTTCAATTAGACCTTCAACCACAAGCTCAGCACACCCTTCGCATACTCCACGATCTCATCGCCACCAAGCTTAGACTCGCCGTACAAGCGATCAACAAAAGTAATAGGAACCTCAGCGACGCTGAAACCCATAGCCTTAGCCCGGACCATCATCTCCATCTGGAAAGTGTAACCCTTGCTCTCCGTACTCTCAATGACCTTCTGTAGGACAGACTTCTTATACAGACGGAAACTACCCGTCAAATCGCTGACACCGGGGCGTAGCACGGTGTCAGCGAACAAATTAGCCCCGCGGCTGACGAACTTGCGCTTTAAGTCCCACCCGAACACGCCGCCGTTACCCGCGTACCGCGTTCCCGTCACGATATCGTATCCGCCGGCCCGCTGGCGCGCAATCATCTGCGGGATGAATTTCGGGTGGTGACTGAAGTCGGCGTCCATGATGATGACGAAGTTGCCTGTTACGAATTGGAGGCCGTGTACGTATGCGGTGCCGAGTCCGAGCTTGCCTGATCGTGTCTTGAGGATTACGTGTGGTGCGTAGGCTTTGACTAGTTGTTCTGCTACTACTTGTGTTCCATCCGGCGAGCCGTCGTCGACGATTACGAGTTCCCAGTCAAGGTTGCTGTAGAAATCATCGCAATTAGCACTCGGTCGCTAATATAGCGTATTGTATTAAGGCGCTAGAAAAGGGTCGGAAATTCGGGACATACTTCTCGGTAAAGGTGCGGTTAAGCAGCCAGGTGATAATGGGGAGATTGCGGCGCTCATTGTAGGTCGGTAAGATGACAGAGTACTTGTCTTTAGTCGCGACTGCCTTTGTCGGAGCCATTGTGATGTAATTTTTTGTCTGATCGGGTTTGCAGTGAAAGTAGTGTAAGTCGAAACAGAATTATCGTCGTAGGTAATGGACCGAGGTAAAGGAGTGGACTGAAGTTGGGTTGACTGTTGAAGTCGTCGCGTAGTTGAAGCAGCTAAAGATTGAATTGAACACGGTGCGACGTGACGCTACCGTTAAACTGAAAGATTTTGGTGGGGCACAGTAGTACCCTGTTCATATGACTAAGCAGATTTAGCCCCTTTTATTACCCCTATATCTCGATCCCGCAGTCAATTAATTCAAAAGGAATATTTCTCATGATTGATGGCTGGAAATATGAAGTATATTCTCTGTATATATTTTCTAGAACTATTTTCCCTGTCGTTTCTATAGCTATGATCTATACCAAATATTCGTACCATTCGTCACTCCACGGAAACCCGATTCAGTTTGTACGACCTACTTCCTTGATGCCTGAGGCTGAAATAATCTCCAACACAGATATAATTGTGATCATTTTTGAACCGGACAAACTTATACAGGGCTCGAATTTTTCTCTTTCGTACTAGCCCGGGCATCGCCGTTGTGACTCTTGCCAATGCTTCGCCAACTCTTTAAGCTACTAAAGCTGATAGTGTGGTGAAACTTGCGACCAGCTTCTTCGCTTCCTTGGGAGAAGACACCCCTCACAACAGCAGCATCCTCGAGTAATCTGAAGTGTCGCTTAGTCAACTTCCAAAGCTCCATCCCAGTGACGAAGATGATAGTTGCGGCGATAACCAAACTCCACTCCCAGCTGATGTTTGTATGCTTGAAGACGTTAGTATTGACCACCGGGATGTATACGACCGGAAATACGCTGATAGCACCGAGTACCACAGCCCAGAACAAGAACTTATTCTCGTAAACATCCTTAAATAGCGGGAATTTTGAGGTGTCATCGGGTTTGAGTCGGAACATAGATCGTCGAATATCCTTGAATTCCCAGGCGCTGATGAGAATAAGCCAAGTCAACTCCGCGAATACGGTAGCTCGCGCTCGGAATACAGGGATGCACACGCCCGAAAATTCCCTATTGCAATCAATACCTAATTGTCCGTTGTTCGCCCCGTAAATAATTATAACGAAGGTCATGAGTGATAAGATTCCCATCAATAACCCGTAGACAAGCATATCAATCAATATTTGGTTCGTAAATACGCCACGCCTCCTATCATGCGGAGGTTTGCGCATAACATCCCGTGATGCTTCCTCGCGACCGAGACCGAAAGCGGGGAATGACGAGGTTAGCATGTTAATCCATAGGATTTCGAGAGGAGAAATTGGGAACACGGAAAATCCCGATTCGTCCTGGAAACCTAGACCGCAAATCAGAAGGATGACTTCACCCACATTGGAGGTGAGTAGATGTAGAATAAACTTCTGGATGTTATCGAACATTCGTCGTCCTTCACGGATAGCGGCGACGATGGAATTGAATTTATCGTCAGTCAGCACGATCTTTGCGGCGGATTTAGCCACATCGGAACCTGATCCCATCGCAATACCCACATCGGCTCGGGATAGAGACGGAGCATCGTTAACGCCGTCGCCAGTCATAGCCATGTAAGCGGATCGCCGGCGAAGAGCTTCAATCATGCGGGTCTTAGTATCTGGAGCGCAGCGAGCAAGTACAAGGGGCAATTCAGGCAAAGCGTCGATCTCTGCATCGGTAAGCTTGTCGAAGTCGCTTGCTTTTTGTACGATGGCATTCGCGATGTCCTGACTTAGAATGCTGAGATTCCTAGGGATGATACCGACTTCCTTGGCGATTGCTTCCGCTGTGGCGGGATGGTCGCCAGTTAACATGTGTACCTGCAAATTAGCATTAGTCTTTTCCAAATTGAAAATAGTTAGTGGTACAAGAACGCTTACTTTTATACCAGCGGATGAACATTCTGCGATAGCCGGTGTAGTCTCCTTCCGCGGCGGATCATAAATACCCGCCAGGCCTAAAAGTGTGAGGTCACTTTCCACACGCTTACGTAAATTATCGTCTCCCGCATGGTGCCCGGGCGCGGCTTTTTCTGTGTACTTGCCATCCCATGGTCGCGATGCAATAGCGAGTACACGTTGGCCCTGGCTGGCAAAGGCATCCATCTGCTTTAAGATCCTCTCTTTGTATTCCTCAGTCATTGGTTCTTGGATACCCCCGATACCGACCGTAGAGCAGAGGTCAAGTACCCGTTCAACGGCGCCCTTGGTGAACACCATACTGTGGTCGCGGCTAGGACTATCGTAGATAACCGACATACGCTTAATACCACTATCAAAAGGGAATTCGGCGATTTGCTTCCAACCTTCAGCTTCCATGATCCTCTTTCCCTTTTGAAAGCGATGCGCAAATACTTGCAGGGCGATTTCTGTTGGCTCCCCTGTTACTTGCCATTCGGGATGGTCGTCTTGAGGTTCTGGTTCATGTCTGACGGTAGCAAGATTGCAAAGTGCCGCAGATAGGAGGAAGGCTTCCAACTCAGGATTCATGGTAGCGTCTTTCTCATCTTCCTTATGATATTTAGCTGGATTGAGCTTCTCGTCTGGCACATCGAATTTGAGCACCGCGGCGCTACGTTCTTGGTCAAAATCTCGTTTCTCGGAATCCTGACTTTGATAATCCAGCTCTGAAACCGTGACCCTTCCTTCAGTCGGATCGCTAGGACGTCTAGAATCTCTAACTGTATATGTCGATTTGTGGGGAATCCAGACCTTCCTAACGATCATAGCCCCTTGAGTCAGGGTACCGGTCTTGTCGGAGCAGATATTCGTAACTCCGCCAAGCGCTTCGAGAGCGGACAAGTCTCGGACCACAACATTAGCCTTTCGCATGACCGTTACAGCAACCACCATTGTAATGGTTAGGACCCTGGATGATATACTAATATTAGCGATATTATGGCGTGACTGGGTATAGACAAATACTTACGCGACGAGCGACTCGGGAATAATAGCAATACCCGTACTGATAGCATAAATAACAACTTCTTTCGGAACATGAAACTCATTAACAGCAAAAACGATGACAGCAAGCAGAAGCGCACAACCAAAAAGTGTATAAGCCAATTTTGATAGTTTGATTTGAAGCGGTGTTCCTTCAGTCAATCCAAGGAATTTGCCAACAAAATCATAGATTCGCTTTACTAGCCCAACAACAGGTTGTCGCTTTCCATATTTCTTGTAGTTCATGGAGCGGCCATCTTTGCGATGCTTTTCTGAACTCGAAGCAGCAATCTTACCAACTTCGGTCTGCATGCCGGTCGATATAACCACGCCTCGACCTCGACCTTTCCTGATAGTTGTTGTGCCATATGCAATGTTAATTCGATCGCCTATACCGAGTTCTTCATCCTCCAGATGTTCAATGATCTTTTCAACAGGTACTGACTCTCCAGTGAGCGACTGTTCATCTGCAGCAAGGTTCATGGCTTCAAAGAGGCGAACATCAGCGGGGACGGTGTCACCCATTTTTAGAATGACGACATCACCAGGTACAACCTCAGCACTGGAGATCGTTAGCACCGCCGTAGAAGATGGTTCACATGGTCGAAACATGGAAGTGACTTACTTTGGAATAACTTGAGTTCTACCATCACGTAGTACCATCGCGCTTGGGGCGGAAAGGGCTCTAAGAGCATCCATTTTCTTCTCGGCGCCATACTCCTGATAGAATCCAATTGAAACATTGAGCACAATGACGGCTAGGAGGACGCCCCCTTCTACCCAATCATTTACGCCGAAGCTCAATGCCATAGCAAGGAATAAAACCTAAAAACTCAGATTAGTCTCGCAGCTTTAGTTTCGTCTCTCAAATAGACCACTTACTAATATCATAGCATTCGCCAATTGCTTTAGAAAGATCTTATACCAAGGGATAGCTCCACCAACATCTAATTCATTAGGGGGACATTTCTCATGTAATTGCGCAACTTGCGTAGAGGATAATCCCCTTTCCAAGTGTGTCTCAAGTGTTTTTGCAACATCTTGGACTGTCAATAGAAATGGATGACGCTCAAACTGACAAGTCATCGCATCCGGGTTTGAGACTTCATAGACTGAGTATAATATATGAATATTTGCACCACAATACTTAAGTCTTTCACTTAAAAAGATGGTCTAGATAACTCATATAATAGTATCATATACACAAAAGAATTCAAAGCTATCCCTACCTGGGCCGGGGATGGCCATGTTTATAGTCGACTGAAAGCAAAAGGTTCATTCAAGTGCGGGATCCTCCGCCACCGAAGATGCAGATTCCCCCACATTTTGCTGTAGATGCCAAGTGAACCAAGAACACTCATCACCATCATGATGCTCGTTGGTATTCTTGGGAGTATGCTTGGGAAGGTGATAAGTCAACTAGGATGATGTTTAGTGTCGACTAAGAGTGAATGGGTAATTATGATTGGTCAATGAACACTAGAATTTCTGGTATAGAACTATTTCCAAGAAAGATAAACGTCAGATATAACGACGGATTAGTATATAGTACGTGGATGAGGCTCCAAAGACAAGAGATAACCGCGGGGTTTGGTAAAACGTGCGTGGGAACTGTCTTGGGAGATGATATGATAAGGCTTGGCCCCAAGAGAAACTAAGCCTTGGCTTCTTAGCAAAAAGACTTGGCAACCAGAATAAACTTATTCTAAAGAGAAATTGGTAAGTTTTCCACGATAATAGAGTTGATGGTGCGCGATTCGCGATGGCGTTAGATTGAACCTTAGGAACCTTGGGAATTGAAGGATGGGCTTGAAAACGGAACTCGGCATGAAGCACAGACCAACAAAGAGGAGTCTAGCACGTGCTAAGCCTGGCGGGTACATTCACGTGACGCAAACACCCCCTCGCCTTAATTCTTGGCCGAATTCCAGTCTTGGCATCTTTTCTTTTCTTTTCTTTTTTTGGCCAAGATTTGCTAAACTGGAGCCATCGGAAGAATTGCCCATCTCGCCGCGATCAAATCATGGCATCATGTTGTGCACAGAGCTGCATAATGATCACGCAAGCTGACAAATAACAATTCGTCCTTACAACAATGTGGATCGCTAATCCCCATCTCTCTCAGAACCAATTCGCCTATCACACTGTCCTTTATCAGCCTCAGCCACGGCATTTTGGGAGAATTTAAAAAGCAAAATTCCTTACGAAATAATTAAGGCATCTCTGTCTTCCCCCAAATTATGAGTTATTTAAACTATCTATCTACCTAATGCCATCCCGGATTCATTAGGTCAGATACAGTTCAGTTTAGATTCTTCGTGGTTGAGAAGAAATGCAATATGTCCGATACGGACGTCATTCCACAGGATCGGAGCCCTTGTCATTCCATACAACGTTTGGGTTTGTGCAAGTCCAAGAAACATACCAGTGTTTGCCTCGGTCCGCCGTCGATCTTTCCATCTGTCTGTCTCTCTATTTGGTCAATTGCAATGTACATGAGTGGATGAACAAGAAGAAACAGTCGTTGCCTTTATTAATGGACTTACCTAGGTAGGTACACCACAGACAGACATACATATCCGCGTACCGTCCCGTGTTATAAGGCATATACTGTATAGTGTACTGTATCTATATGCCGTACAAGTGCGGAAGTGGTCTGATGATTTACCTATCTGTTGGGTAAATTCTATAGCGACCTACATACGCTACCGCTACCAACCAGCCAAAGTAGGGTTAGGTACTTCCGTACTCCGTACATTACTATTGCGTACGTACCTACTAGCCTACCTACAAATAGTATGGTACCTAAAGGTAATGGCGGGCAGGCGGGCAGGCGGACAGGGCGGGCTAGATCTGGTTGCAGCTGCTTTCGCAATCATCCCGCAAGCCTGTTACTTCCCCTCATTGGTAGTCGGATGTAGGTGCTCCCTAGCTTCCTTACCTTCCTTACCCCGTCCACCCCTGTCACCCCTGTCACCCCTGCTCCCTGAAATGTTTATGCTGCTTGTGGCCCGGTTGCGTAAGGATCTGGGAGCAAATGTGAGCAAATGTGGAAAGAAGCTTCGTCTTTAATAGTTTTCCCGTCCCGTCGCGACTTCTGATTCGTCAGTGCTACCTAGGTACTTGAACTGTGAGATGGATCAAGAAGCTTGACCAACCTCACCTCACCTCGATTTCTCCCAGGTTCTATTCTTTTTTTCTTCTTTTTTCCTTTGTGTCAGCTTCCGCCGACATTTCCAACGACTATCCATACACAACCATCAAAATTCACTCGTATCTTCACATCATCACCAATTCTTTTTCGCACAATTCGTCAAAATCGACCCTCAACAAAGCTATCGTATCCATACTGTGCGCACCTTTCAGCTAGTTCTTCTGACGTCATCAATATGGCCGACATTAACCCCAACGGCAACGAAAAAGGTATTTAAATCTCCAAATTAATATTCTATGCACTAAAGCGATTCATGCGATCTTTGTCCGAGCTCAATTGATCCATTTGAAGTGCTGGCGCACTTTCCGCGCCGGTGCAACTAGATCGCGACATTCAAGTGGCACAGTGCGCTAACTTGATAATTCTAGCTGTGGATGGCGCAGCGACAGTTCCTGAATCGCAACCCAGCGTCCCGCCTGTCGTTAAGGTCCCGGCGAACGAAGGAGAAAAATCCATAGAGCCATCGATCACGACTGATACCGCCAAGGCTAGTGCGGCTGATGAGCCCAAATCCGAGCCCGCCGCTCAGAATGATGCGACCACTGACTCCAAAGAGGAGCCGACCAAGAAGATCGACGAAGCTGACAAATTGGCTTCGCAGCCAGAAAAGCCAGCCGATTCTGCTCCTACAGAACCTGCTACTACTGATGCTGCGACAACTGATGCCCCTGTGGTTGCTAACGGCGACTCCAAGGACCCTCCTAAGCCAGTTTCGGTTGAAGAGGTCCACGACCAGGATATGCCGGACGCGGCCCCATCCAAGCCCACCGAAGCGAGTGGCGCACTTCCCGTCCAAGAACCAAAAGATGATGCACCAAAAGCGGATGCAGCCCCAATTACCACCGACTCTGCCAAAACGGAACCCAGCACCGGGGATAAGCGAAAAGGCGAGCCTGAAGCTAAGGTATCCAACGGTAATACCACCGTCGAAGAACATTCCGAAGCGCCAGCAGAGAAAAAGCAGAAAACTAATGGTGCTGCCACTAACGGTGCTCCTAAGAAGGCTGGTCGACCGAAGAAGGATAAGAGCGAGAAAAAGGCACCTGCAGCAGCCGCACCGCCCGTAGGTAGGACAGCGAGGAAGACTCGAAGCCAGGGCGCCGCCGACTGAACCGCAACGTAACTGTAAATGGAAAAAAGCGAAATATAAAAACCCCGGTTGGTTCTTTTTTCTCCCTCTTTAGCACGTTGGTTCGGAAATTATTACTTCTCCTATACCTTTCGGTTTGGGATTCTTGGGGGGGCGCTTTGTGGGAGGTTATTGCTTCTCTGGGCTTGGAGGATGGATGAATGGCTTTGCGATGAAGCGAAGCATTCTTGTACATATTCGTACCATTATGGGTGCTCCTAGACCATCGCGAAGATTGCGTTGGTTTCGTTGCGATTGGGTTAGGGCTGTTTTGTATTCATACCGATGAAGTAACAGCAGCACGGTATGATAGAGTGTAGTTCACCGTCCTTAGATAGGATAATGCAATACACATAGTCATTAATCACACATGTTATAAGAAAGTGAGAATGTTCTAATGGTGATGGATATTAAATGGGTTTCTATTGGTCAAATTGAATGAATGATAAACATTGAAACCGACCATTCGACGAATCTTTGTTTCCAAGCATCTTTCTGGAAACACCTGATAAGTGCCACAAGTCATTCTAAAGATGGCATAGATATTTTTATTTAAAAAAATTTAATAAATAAAACATAGAATATATAGGACGAGCGCATAGAAGAAAATTGAGATTATTAGTTCTAGGTCATAGGTTAAGCCTAAAGGCGCTAGTTTAGGGGTTGAATACGGGCTCTTGTCAGGCTATCAGTGCCCTGTACGTGCTGAACTGTCACGTACCTACAGCACCTAGTTAGGTACTATATACCTAAACAGATAACGAGTCTCCCAAACTTACAGAAGCTTGACGACTATGAGTACACCAGCTATAATAGTACGAATACTATTCTATCTATCCTCGCGTGCGTTTCCTCAGGTTTAAGTCCATCTATTTCCCAGATGGTATAAACTAGCTGTCGCGCTTCGGAATTTTGGTTATATTCAAAAATAAGATCTTAATACGGGAGATTTCAAGTAGTTGGCACTTAGTTCTTTTAGTGGCGCTAATAGAAGAACTACTTCTCTAGACTTGATATCTTCATGTTTCAAAACCACATACGAATAAAGCTAACTAAATCTGACGGATACACGCAAGCTTGAGATACAGAGGCAGCTGAATGATGAGTCGATTTCCAACTGGAGAATCTCGCCGGAAGCTTAAGTTGTATCTTTTCGAAGATGTCCCATGATGCGCGACGACATGCGGTCCGTTTCGAAACACCGATGGGTGGGTTGCTTTGCGGGTGCGAGTCATGCTGGTCAGTGCGTGTCTAGGTGGCTAATGGCCTGAGGACAATACGAAAACCTATGCTCGTTCGATGCTCTTACATAAGGGAGTAGTAAGTAAGTCGTGAGACATCGGGACTGCCGTAGATGGTCAGATTCCGGCTCCGGCCATCCACTCATGAGCACGCGATTGCTTCGGGACCCGAATCACCTAAACATGCCGGCATTCTGCCTCTGGATAGCTGGAGGTAGCTGGCTACAATTTTGATGAAGCGCCTATCTTTTTCTTGGTTGATGTGGGAATCTATAAGAAAGACCCAATCGCAATATTGTGGCTAAAACGAGAACATTACCCCCCAGGGAACGTTTGTTGGTTTCGGTGTTCCTCAGTAGGTACAGTACCCGGTGTGGCTTATGCGTATAAGATGCCGATTACATGAGTATTCGCCGACGGCTGAGCGCGTTCCAAGGTTATTTTGAGATAATAGGCATCGCTAAGGTCAATGGCTTCGGGCTAACTTGGAGATATTTAGGAAAAGAACCTGCGGTGTTCACCCTCACTTACTGGCGGAACTTATGGCACGTAAAGAATAAGCGTGACGTCGCGGGTACACTCATCATTAAGATGTCGGTGTTAAATGACTTCTGTTAATGTATAGAATAATAATGCATAAAGATAGGAGGCTGAGGCTCGATTAGGGATCGTTTGGATATCCACTCTGAGCGGAATGATCAACCACGCCGCGGCAACCGGATTCGTGACCGTTGTTAATCATCCTTCCGAAGTCTTATCCAAGAAAACCATTTAAGAATACAAACCTGTAAAGTTGAGGCCGCCAGTGACCACTTACTAAAACATCTCCACTGTCGCGAATAACGTGTACAATAAACAATATCTTGAAACATTGATTGGTTCTTGTTTGTTAGCCTTAAAGGTTAAAAAATTCGAGATTTACGAACTTGCCAAGGATTGAGCTTCTTTGGATCCCCTTAAACTCCGTTCCCGAGACCCCGGTTCGGGATCAGCGACCCTTACTACGTTACAGATGCTTGTCAGGTTCGTCCATGCTTTTTAAAAGTCAATTACCGCGTATTTAATCCACGATTTACTTAACTATGATCATGTTATCTAATGTTTTATATACTCAGTTAATAATACCACATTAGCAAACACTCGGGATGTTTTAGGTTAGTTTACACACACCCATCCATACACAATTCTCTTAATATAATAAGCGCATGACATCGAATAGTGACCGCGTAAATACTACTTTGAAGCCAACAATGTCTTGCATTGGGTAGGTGTCCAGTGGAAAAGCTCGTATTCTGGAATGACCCCGCCAACTCACCATCGGAATCCACTAGCTCCATTGGCTACGCGGCAGTGCTGACCCTAGCAAGAGTCCAGTCCAAAATAGAACTATTAGTGGAGATTCGACCAGCCTAGTTGCGCGATTGGCTGAGACGGGCTGGTCTCGACTCTTGTTGAGCTTCCACTTCTCCAGGGGGGAAATATCGGGGTATGCACCTGCATTCAAGCATTTCAAGAAACGGGTTTTTATTGAATATTGTAAAAGATTTGAAAGATTTCTTGCATTTTCATGGTGTGACTTCGATAAAGATCACCCGACAATATACTTGTTATAGACCAGTGAGAAATAAGCCGATATATATACTTGTATATATACATTTACGTACGTATCTTGCTACTTTTAATAGGCTATTCTCTACCGCAGGAACAAGAACTTAACTGGAGAGACAGAAAACTTAAATATTTTTAGCTGCTGCCTTGCCAAGAATGATGGCCATGATTCACCCGATAAACATATAAAAAATGGACTCCTTGTTAAAGAATTCATCAAAGCATCGATTTAGGTAATATTTTAGAATTAAGGACTGCTAAAAGTCGCCACTTCAACACAAAAAGATTCAGTTACAAAGTAGTTTGAGCTTTTTAGTTGCATAACTTGTTTGGATCCCCTAAAATTTTCAGAGCATCTCAAACCCAAGTGGGTTAGTTTAGTTCAACGTGTTCCGGACGGTAATGCGGCGTTTCGTCATTCTCCTTTGTGAATCCCCTAAACCAAAGAAGGGATCCCATTTGCTATCTTTATGTATGCATGTACATGTACTGTATCTAGGTATGAAGAAGTCGGCAAGTCTTTTTTTATTTTATTTTCTCAGTTTGATTTTTCTAAAAACTTCCATACACAACATTAGTTTTTTTTTCTTCCCTCTTCCCTCTTCCCCGTTTGCATTGTATATGGTGATCCCTTCTTTTCTGGACATACCTGCATATATCATATCTTGGTGTTGTGTATTAGTACACCATACATCTGCATAAGCACGCACACAGTACCATACTTGCTACATTAGCAGTCTTCTCTGGCCTTATCTTGAACCCCCCAAGGTCCCCCCCAAAGCTGTCCATCCGATCTGATAGGCGTGATCGATCGAACCGACCCTTTTGCGCCCCCCTAAAAAAACACCACTTACACCACCAAGCCTCGACGAATCTCTCCAACCAATCTACGTAATACAGTACCTATCTATATCCCTTCGCCTGTGTAACCCTTGGTACCTATCTAAGCTACCTACCTATATACCTTCGACCTTACGATTGTGGTCGCGCCGCTCGTTTCCCCCTTGCTTTGTGTACTCTTGGTTTTCACGGTATTCCCTTCGCTGTAACAGCCGTCTTTGTCAGGGAGGGTCTTGTTTCGTCTTTCCCGGAAAAAGTACTTAGCAAAGGCAATACGAGATACAATACCAGGGGTTCTTCTCTAACCGAATCCTACAAAAGCAACCGATTTATAGTATACCTTAACTGGTATATATCTTTATCGAGACCACGAATGTTCCCTGTGCGATCCTAAGAATACCCTTCTTTCTAGACGATTGGTTGTCGCCGGCGTCCATAAATCAAATACAACCGTTACCTTGAAGGCACTTTAGTCGTTGGCCCTGAAGGGGCTTTTACGCTAGGATGGATGTTTGGATGCACATACGGCATCTAATACCTAGGGACGATGGCTTGAACCCGGCTGAAGAGTTATTGCAGTTACTACGAAACCCCTTCAAACAAACGGTAATAGGATTGATCTACCTATATTTCCTGCAAATTACATAGCTGACTCTTCTCCTCTTGCTAGCTCACAGATGGTGCCATATGGTCTGCCTTGGGTACGTCGTTAGGGTTTACTGCCTTTATAGCCATTGTCTTCTCGTTCGTCCGACCTTATAATTCTGTCGTATACGCTCCGAAACTTAAACATGCCGATGAAGAACACGCACCGCCCCCGATAGGTAAAGGGTACCTTGCGTGGATTCCGCCATTATGGAAGACAACAGAGAAAGAGATGGTCGCCCACGCGGGTATGGATGCTGCTATATTTCTGAGATTTACTGTCATGTGCCGTAATATCTTTTTGACACTTGGTGTTGTTGGGTGCGGTATTCTTCTACCCGTATACTATACGCTCAATGGCGATAAGACGGGCAACTTGAAGTGGTTCATGAGATTGACGCCCTCAAATGTCAGCGATCAGCCAATATGGGCCCTTGTCGTAACGGCATATGCATTCAACTTCATTATCATTGGGTTCTTGTGGTGGAATTATAGGCGAGTTCTGCAGCTTAGGAGGATATACTTTGAAAGTAAAGAATATCAGCAGAGTTTGTCCGCTCGGACATTGATGGTCAGGACCCCTTTTCTAAATCAAACTTGCAGTGAAACTTACTTGTTCATAGTTGAACGATCTTCCGAAGAAGTACGCCAACGATGAAGGTATTGCGAGAATTATTGATGACGTCGTACCTCACGCTTCGTTCGCCAAGACTGCGGCTGCTCGCAATGTTAGGGATTTGCCAGATTTAATTGCCCAGCACGACCATGCCGTTCGAAAGCTCGAGAAAGTACTGGCAAAGTACCTTAGGGATCCTCAAAACCTACCAGCCGGCCGACCGATGTGCTACCCTTCCAAGAAAGATCCTTCATTTAGCACCTATCCAAAAGGACAAAAAGTTGACGCGATCGAATATCTTACTCAACGAATAAGAGAACTTGAAATTGAAGTGAAGGAGGCCAGAGCAAATGTAGACAAGCGCAGTACTTTGTCCTACGGTTTTGCCAGTTATGACGACATCTCCGAGGCTCACAGTATCGCGTACGCCTTGCGCAAGAAGAAGCCTCAAGGTGCAAAGATCGTCTTGGCCCCCAAACCAAACGATATTATTTGGGACAATATGGCTCTTACCCCGGCGGCGCGAAGCTGGAGACGAATCATGATCAATTTTTGGATTACTATCCTGACATTGATTTGGATTGCTCCCAGTGCCATGATTGCTATTTTCTTGGTCAATTTGAGTAACCTGGGTTTGGTCTGGCCCGCCTTTCAGACCCAATTATCTGGTAATACTGGATTTTGGTCCATTGTTCAGGGTGTAGCGTCCCCAGCTGTCCTATCTCTGGTTTATCTGGTTCTCCCTACCATCTTCCGACGACTCTCCATTAGAGCTGGTGATCGTACGAAGACGGGACGTGAGCGCCATGTTGTCGCTAAGCTATACGCCTTTTTCGTTTTCAACAACCTGATTGTCTTTTGCTTTTTTAGCACCATCTGGAACTTGGTTTCCTCGGTTGCCGCGGATCCGCAAAAAGCATGGGATACTATATCGCAATTCGGCGTGACCCTGTTCGTTTCGCTATGCGATATTTCAGCCTTCTGGGTTACTTGGTTGTTACAAAGAAACTTGGGTGCTGCTATTGACTTAGCCCAATTATGGACCCTCATCTATAGCTTTTTCATGCGCAAATTCTCGAGTCCTACGCCTAGAGAAATGATCGAACTTACGGCGCCCCCGGCCTTTGATTATGCCAGTTACTACAACTACTTCTTGTTCTATTCCACTGTCGCGTTATGCTTCGCTGGTCTTCAACCACTCGTCCTTCCGGCTGCTGCGCTATATTTCTCTATTGACGTCTGGTTGAAGAAGTACTTGTTGCTATATATCTTCGTTACGAAGACTGAGTCCGGTGGAATGTTCTGGCGGGTACTGTTCAATCGCTTCATTTTCGGTACCATCCTCTCCAATTTGGTTGTCTTCTTAGGTGCCTGGGTGCACGGTGACGGGCTCCACACAATGGCATTCGCCTCAATTCCTCTGCCATTCATCATGGTAATATTCAAAATATACTGCTCTCGAACATTCGATGATAAGGTACACTTCTACTCGACCCGGAATATCCAAAAGCACCCCGAAGGTGTTATGCAGAAGGATCCTCTTAGGTCAGTTGGTCTTGCTCACCGATTTGGTCACCCCGCACTCTACAAGCCACTTATCACGCCAATGGTGCACGCCAAGGCCCAGAACATTCTGGCGTCTATTTATAAGGGACGACTATCGGATGGCCGTGAAGCATATTCTGGAGATACGCTGTCTACATCCGGTTACTCTGATGCCTATGTCATGAATCCGATGAGTTCCGGCAAACCTGGAAAATCTGCAAGTTTGCCGGGATTCGAAATCGTACCGGAATCGAGACTCGACTTCGAATATTACAAGTCTCGAGCCGAATTCGCGTCCGAACATGGTGGCGGTGATATCTTCGGCCGCTCCAATGACGTCGTTCGTCCTGGTACACCTGGCAGTATGTGGAATGGCAGCGAGCCGACGTCTAGATCAGGAAGCCCTACAATCCCGAATATTCCTCTTCGGACCGACAGTCCTATAAGGGCCTTCTCGCCCAACTCTGATATGGGTACAACCTATCCAGGTGGATATTCTCAACCTCTAGGTAGTCCTTATGCGCCTGAGATAGGCGGTCGGTCGCGTAGCCCGTTATACGCGCAAGGGAATGATAGTGCTTCCAACTTGGTGGGAAATGCTGCAGCTATGCCGATGGCTACGCCTGGGTCTAGAGATCGCAGTCCGATTAGAGCTCCGGGAATGCTAGGTGGTGGCCCACGGGGATACGGCGGTTTACCGCAGGAAGAGGAGGAACACGATCCTATGCAATATAATTATTTCCGACAAGCACGAACTTCACGCAGATCCTACAGAGATAGCTGATTTCGGGCGGAGATACTGGGAATGGTAAGATGGTGACGAGGATGGCTGTATATACGGCATGGCGTAAAAAAACGTGCGGGTTTTCTGTGTATAGAAGGGGCATTCTTTTTTATTCTGGACGGCATGGGGCGGCGTTTTCCGGCTACGAAGGAGGGTCAGCCTTGGCGACGACGACCGACGACGAAACTATTTTGACGCTGAAGAATTATTAGGCTGTTAATAGAGAGAAGAAAGGAAGAGACGCAACGATTACGAATTGGTTCTCGGATAGACGAGGTCATTTCTCGACCTCTCATTTTTGAAGCGGCTTACCACCTCTTTTGTAATAATCAGTGTGCACGCTGGGAGAGTGGCCACTGGGGCTTAGACGTCCTGAATACTACTGCTAATAATTCTGCATATATTATACGAATTGCATCGAGATGTTATTTTTGACGAGCTAACCCACGATCCCCTCTTTTCTTTAGTTTTGCTTATGCAGCCTTCCATTTTGTTGTTACTTCTAAGTTCTCATCGGATCTGAGATATCATTTTTTGGTGGCTTGCCCAACCCCTCAAATATTGGTTTGCCACCACGCCTCATTGGCTATTTGTTCCACCACGTAGCATTCAGTACCGCATATCTTATTTCTAAGGCTTCGGCCCGCAGAGTTTCGTCCTACGGGAAGACAGCTTTATAGGAGCTACGACGCCCGGTTGGCTCGCGACAATGCAGGTCATTGCTGCGGGCTTAGTTGTCCACCTACTGAAAAGGATACCCCGCAGGTAGGCAGCAGAGGTTGCACAAATGGTTGGTTTTTTTGTTTGGGGGGTTGGAGGGTTTAATTGACCTACCTTAGCAAACGGTTTTTCGAAAATTTTGGACTTAAAATTTTCCTTTCATTGAGTATTCGAAATGGCGAGTGTTCCGTATGATGTGTAAGCTCGATGACAATGAAAGGTACCGGTATTGATGCGTTCTAGTAGCTAATTTGAATGGATTTCTAGTATCGCGGCTTCGAAACCGTTCCGCTTCCTCGTCGGTCCCGACAAAAAGGAATTTCTGATGCACGCCGAGCTCGTCGGTCGCTTGTCGAAGCCCCTTTGGACATTGGTTAATGGCGATTGGCAAGAGGGTAAGACGGGGCTTGCTGAGTGGCCTGAGATTGATGAAGGGACTTTTGTGAGGTTTTGCGAGTTTGCGTATACGGGCGATTATAAGGCTGCTGAGTCGACTATCGAGGTTCCTACGCCGGAGACGCTGGAGAATGGTATGTCGTGAATCCAGCCCTTTTCTATAGTATGTGCTTATAAGAATAGTTGGTTCAGGTGATGCTACTACGTCCGAAACGGTTGTCGAAGAAACGGAGGCACAGCTAGCGACTAATTTCGAAGATGTTGATATGCACGCCAGTCCAGCACCAGAACCAGAACCGGCGAGGGCGGAGCCCTTTGGGGGTATATTCGCAAAATCTTCGTCCATAAAGGCGAAAAAGAAGAAAGTGCCAAGTCCTTATACGTGGGCGGAGGATGATTTACCCCCGGAACCATTGCAACCGTCACCGTCGAAGGGAAATACCTTATGGAAGGAGTTCAAACGAGGCGTTAGTGATACCGAGCTGGATAAGCGGCACAAGGAGCTAGCCAACGAAGACCCAATGGAGAACTTCTCTGAAGTTCTCTTATCCCACGCACGGCTTTATGCTCTTGCCGACTGCTATGACATCAGCGAACTCATGGAGTTGTGTCTTCGCAAGTTACAACGGACTCTGCGGGTATTCAAGTTCCATGGCGGGGCGAGAGTAACGGACATCGCCCAATTGCTCGACTACTCTTTTAAGAACACACAAGACAAGGCTACCGGGAAAGATCAGTTGCGAAGCCTACTTGCGACTTACGTTGCCTGTCGTATTGAAGTGTTATGGCCAAACATCTACTTCCAAGATGTTTTAGAGTCGTCGGGTGAGGTGTCAAAAGCTATAGTGGGACAACTCCTAAGGAGAGTGAACTAAGCTTGTGTATGTGTATGAGGGTTGAGTTATGAGCTGATATTATGTATTATCCCCTAACTTCTATTGAGATTTTCCGGTCTTATCGAAAATTGGTTTGTATGTAATGATTACGAGGATGGCAGGCTATAATTATGAACGATATCTCGCCTAACTTTTTGTCTCTATATTTCATTTACACCATGGCTCCACCCGGAATCCATGAGGAACTAAGGACGTGATTATCTGTTGGTAAGTTATCACCAAAAAAAAAAATCACCTTCAATAATTCATTCTCACTCTATGGACTGCAGTAAATTTATAATGACGTGCGACCTTGCATGATGCTCTTAGGTACTATGGTCTTCATGCGGAAAGCTTTTCCAAAGCCCTATAATTATTGCCCATTTAGGTACCTAGGTACCTACCTAGGTAGGTAGGCAAACCTGGACGCCATGCGCGGTGGCGCAAGACCCCGCTAAGAACGGCCACGATCCTAAGGTCGTTGGAGAGTCTCTCAGGCACCAGTGGGTACCGTGGGGGCTCTTTTGGGGTACATTATAAACGCCTCTGTCAGTTACGTAGATTCTATACTTGAGTAATTGCCATATGTAAACCAGGTACTGGTTAGGCTGATTTGGCAGCAAAAGGAATATATCGGGAAGCAAGCCTATGGCAGGGGTCTCGGGCGAAGTAAAGAAAAGCTTCCCCTACTATCACATGGAAACCTCACTTACGTTTCCTATTAGGTTAGGTGGCCCTGCCTAACGGCCTCCTAGTGTTCGCTGCGCCACATCGAATCCTATGCCCTGTCAGTTTTTATATATTCGAATGTATACCTACCTTTATACTTCGGGTTTGAGTACTGACGACACTTCACGTTTCTCGCGACAGGTAAACAAACTCTTAGACATACCTACTTATCGACGAATTTATTTTCTGCTATCCTCTACCTATCCCACAGAGGTTTATAGTGAAAGAGGGGATCGGCCGTTCATACAGTAACCTAGGCGAATAGTTCAGCACCCCGGTCCCGACCAGCCCTAAATAGGAACCACCTATTCGAGCATTGCGGGGTCACATTCATCGGGTCTATCTCCGGCAAGAAAAGACTTATTCCTCATGTATTGATGGATCCAGTGAGCGCAATCGGCGTAGCCGCCGCAGCTGTGCAATTCACTGAGATTGCCATCAAAATCACTAATCGAATCGCCGTCTTTACCGTATTGCGCGATATACCCAAACATGCCGAGGGCCCAAAAGCTTTCGTCGAGCGCCTACGCAGCCAGCTTGGCCTTCTCAATAGCACTATCCGGCGTATCGAAGATGGACTCTCGGGTTTCAAAGAAGGCTTACAAGAAAACGAACTTTTGGAACTCGGCAATTATATCTCTAACCTTAATCGCCATGGCCAGAAGTTAGATGAATTACTCAATAAATATCTCCCAAATGACGATGCTTCAACCCCTGCAAGGCTCTTGGCGGCCCTGAAAAGTATCGCTAGCGATATTGAAATCGACTCTGTGATGAGTAGCATCAACGAATTACTCCCACTCCTTACTACCTTCCTACTTACATCAATGGCCTTCAAGACCGGTTTTAATTTCACCAAATCCAGTGGCCTTGCAGTTGGAACGAGTTCTGTTCAAAGACGTCCAAATTCCGGTGCGATCTATCAAGTATCTCGCCACGAAGTTCGACATTTTGTTGAAAGGCCGGAATTGATAGTTGAGATTGATCGCTGTCTTAGTGATGGAAGTATGCAACCACCGAGGATCGTTGTGCTGCAGGGAATGGGAGGCCAGGGGAAGACACAACTAGCCCTTAGGTATTGCGGAGCTGCGCGATTTCAAAAGAACTTCCACTGCACACTGTGGATAGATGCGTCTACCAAGGCCTCTATGATACGCGGGTTGGAAGGAATTGCGGAGGAGCTTAATGATAGCAATGAGGCCCTGACAGACACCGACTCCAAAATCGCATTGGTGAGACGCAAATTGACGGTTGGGAACATGCCGTGGTTATTGGTATTCGATAATTACGACGACCCAACCGCCTTCGACCTCCGCGATTACGTACCTAAGGGCCCCCTCGGAAATGTACTGGTTACTAGTCGAAGTCCCGACGCCGAAAGGATTGGTGCGATGATACGTATTTCCGGTATGACCGAGGACGAAGCAGTTAAATTGTTATTCAAGCAACTTGACACTACCGAAGATGAGACGAATAGACCGATTGCAGCCGAAATTGTGAGGAGACTCGGCTATCTACCTCTCGCAGTTGATCAAGCTGGAGCATATATAAAGACAGAAGGACTCCCCTTGGCAAATTTCCTCGATCATTATGAGCGATCTGCGAAAGATATTCTTGGGTCCGTTCCAACTCTGTGGGAGTACACGGAATCCGCCCCGAGCCAAGATGGGAAAGAGACGACAGACATTGCAAAAACAGTCTTCACTACCTGGAATCTATCATTTACGTTATTGAAGCCAACAACACCATTGGGAGCCTTGAAAGTCAAAGTCCTTTCGCTATTAGCTTTCTTCGACGAGCATGAGATTCTGGAGGAATATTTCAAGGAATACTACCTTGCGAATCTATCGGATGAACAATCAGATTGGATGTCTCTTTTCACCAGCGATGAGGGACAATGGTCAAGCAGAAAATTTGACAGCGTGATGCGGGAATTTTCTCGATTATCATTGATTACGTCCCTCAATACGGAGAGAAAGGACATCGAGTCCGCAATTATGTCTCTCCATCCACTTGTACGAGATTGGATTAATCTACGCCAGGATATCAATACATACAAAACAAATTTTGGAATTTTTACTCGAATTCTCGCGGCCACACTGTTACCAAGGATGTGGGAAGAACCATCCTCATTCAAAGTCAAATATGAGTTGTCTAATGCTCAATCGCGACGATTTGCTGGGCATGTAATTTCGTGGATGAGAGTATTTAGAGAATACAAATCGGAGCTACACCCTACTGTCATCACTCCATTACAAAAAGGGTTCTTAGCTGTGACTACAGCCGAGCGATTAATCGCCACATATTTAAATTCTGTCAGTCAATTCGACATTGCCTACGAATTAGCGCACTGGCTCTGGGATTCTTGCGATGTATCGAATCATGATATGACGCGAGTCAAATTTGATATTGGCAACCAAGAAATCATCTGTCTTCGCGGAATGGGGTTCATCGAAGAGGCGAAAGAAAGCAGCCGAGAGAAATTACAATATTGGAGAACGATAATCGGCCCCGATAATCCTAACGATGAAATGCTAAGCATTGCTCTCGAGATGCTCATACAATCTCTAAATCTCACCGTCAGTAAAAGGGAAAAGCAGGAAGTTCTTGAGCTCTGCATGGGCGAACTAGAAAGGATACCGAATAACGAGAAAAACTTGTATAAGCGACATACACTCTTAAGCGAAGCCCTATACGCAGCGGAAACTCTTGGTAAAAACGATATCTGTCGAAGAACATTTGACACCATGATGGAAGAGATGAGAAAATATCACAACAATAGCTTTCGGGAAATAAATTGGGCCTCAAGAAGTTGGTATGATATCACATGGTACTCTATCCGTTGCTGCGATGATCCCTACCTCGTAGACGAGCTCAGTCTAGCAGCACTCGAATGGGCCGAGGATAAGTTCGGCGCGTCAAGCGCCGACTATGTTATGTTCCACGTATTAAGAGGACAGGCACTCGCTGGTATTGGTAAGCTCGCTGAAGCGGAAACTATGCATAGAGAGTGCGCCCTAATGGTTATGGAGGGGAGCTTTGACCGCTCTATTTACAGTGAGGTCTATGAGAAATTAGGGAGCGTTCTACATAAAGAAGGGCGATACGAGGAAGCATATGAAGCCAATAATCTGGCACTTCTACAAGCTCAAGGCCCCAAGTTACACATTAACATACTACGGATTCTGAACGCTTGTGGAGAGGCTGCTAGGTGGTTCAACCTCGAACTAGCTAATGCACATCTCTCCGTAAAATACTCGCTTATTAAAGAGACGGACGCTAGGGATGAAATCGTCAATGACATCGCGAGGCTATCTCAGATAAAATCGCAAATTGGCACCGAGACATCTGCCCGGGAAGCTCTAGGACTCCTTGTCGAAGGACTTGAAGTATACGGGATCGACGTAACTTATTTCAACAATACCACGCCGCGAGCGCATTTGAAAGACACCGACGTCTCGATATACCTGGACGATCCGGAACTACTACGGAACTTCTCAGCCGATAGCGAAGTTAGCAAGTTGCTCAATCAGCAGTTTGGGATGTGGCATGGCTTCGCTCTATTAATCCGAATCGCATCGCTCCTGTTCAAGACAGGCAACTTCTACGCCGCCGAGCAAACATTTCAACTCTCCAAAGCTGCTTTCGAACACGCGAATAACTGCGACAGAGATCTTCGGGCCAACTTCGTGGCTTGGGTATATCACTACACGGAAAGTCGGTACGGGATCGACGGGGACAAGCAAAGGGTTCGACATATCATGGACTGGGCTAAACTCTACCTTGATCCCGACTTACCAATGGTGGTCGACCAAGATTTGTCGTTGAGTGAGTGGCATTTGTGCTTGCTCGAGTTGACTGAAAGCACTGCGGAGCATGCGAAGAGGAAGAGCTCGGAGATGATGCATAGACTATCGGGCAAATTCTCACGGGCGCTTTCTTTGAAACCGCATCGCTCGTCTCGCTCGCTGTCTATCCTATCTTCTTCGCGCAAGAGTATTAGATCTACGCATAGCATTGCTAGATCAGCTATAGCTGAGATGCCATAACTATTATCCTCGGCAGGATGCTTCAAAAGGAACGCAGACCCCTTCGAATTCGTATAATTATAAGTTGGAAATGATGAAGAGTATATATCACGGAGGCGCAGAATCCCCGTATGCTTTTACGATACTCCGTTACCAAATAGGTACCTGCTTGGCTCTTAAATGTTTTTAGATGAGGATAAGCTATAGCGATGGCGTTTAAGGTACACAGCAATTTGACTTAGGTTATCTTGAATAGACAAGCTACCATTCACAATTTTCATAAAATATCAAGATTGAGCGAATGACTTTATTCTATAGGCGACATGTACGCCACCGGAACGATTGTCTATGGTTTGTGGTTCTCTATCCACACTCTGTAACGACCGTTTTGTAACTTAGCGCCTTGTATTCCGCCGCTGTAAGCATGATAAAATGCTCCGAAGACGCCCCCTTTTATTATAACCTCCATGTACGTCCTGATCATTAGCATTATTTAATTACGTATTATGTTCTAATATTGTTTTACCGGATCTAACCCTCTATAGCCGGATTACTCGTCATCGATTCCGATTCGTGCGTGAGATCTTATTATGTCGTATTAGGAATTATGATTCGAATTGCTGTCGTCCTCGTTCGGCTTTCTGCAAGGTCAGCTCCTCCATGAATAAAGAGGTTACTAAGCCAAAGCCTGAGAATCCGAGCATGACGTAGAAAACGGCGCGGAAAGACTTTAGGTACGCATCTAATACCGGGGCTATAGCGTCGGCGGGGAGATTGAGCGTTCGCAAAGTCGGAATGAAGTTAATAGCGTTATGAGGATCTCGTAAGAGAGCGAGAGAGTCGGGGAGCTGTCCCACAGTTGCGATGGTCGGCCCGAAGAAACTACTGAATACTGTAGAGCCGATAGCGAGACCAAGCAGACCTCCTAAGCATCGAAATGTCAGTAGCAGGGAGATGGCGTAGCCGGTGTCGTCAACGCTCGGTACGCTTGCTTGCATGGGGAGATGTTGAAGACGTAAAAGTGCACCAATACCTGCGCTCCAAATTACGGGAATACCGCGGCGCATATTTTCGGACGAGGTTGAGTCTAGGAGGATCAACAGCCCAGTTCCTGCTGTTACTAAAGCCCAAGCCACCCACATCCTTGGTCTGTACCCTATACCAGCTTTTCCTACGGCGATTACAGACGCAACGGCGGCCAAAACGCAAGTAACGCTGGTGGGCAATAAGGATACGGCTGATCCGATTCGGGTATCGAGCATGACGGCTTGGTAGAATAGAGGAAGATATTGTACAAGTGTATTCAATGACATGCCGTAAGGGATAGCGCCAATAAGAGTAATTGTCGCGGTTCGGGAGCGGAACATTCGATGTGGTATAACAGGCGATTCTGGCTTGGCTTCGTAGAAAGCGAAAACCGCAAGAACCGCGGCTCCTAGAAGTAGGGGTAGGATCGTCTGGTAAGAATTCCACGGGTACAAAGAGTCAGCCCAACTCAAGGGTAGGACGAACACAATACATCCGACGGCAAAAAGCGAGATACCACCCCAGTCCAGGCGTTTCACCTTGTCCTCGAGGGACGAATCGAGCTTTCGTAATCGGAGGAACAGGACTAGAAGAGGGCAGGCAACACCGAGAAAAGGCAGGTTAATCCAACCTATCCATCTCCAAGTAACGTAGTCGCTAAAAAGCGCACCAATCGTTGGTCCGATGATGCTACCTATCGCGATAGGTAGAGCCATGATTCCAAGATACGTAGGTCTGTCTTTGAGGGTGGTCATGTCGGTCACAATGATCTCGCCGAGGACGTCAAGACCTCCGCCACCCAAACCTTGGAGAACGCGGCCGGCAACAATCGACTCCATATTCTTAGCGAGGGCAAATGTGAGAGTACCAGCGATTAAAAATACGAAAGCCACGTAAAGAGGCGGCTTACGGCCGAAAACATTGGAAACACTCGCATATAGAGGTTGGCTGACCACGACACCTAACAGATACGATATTCCCGCCCAAAATGACTCTAAAGTGGTAGCATGGAGTTCGGACGCGATAGCCTAGTTTATGTTAGTACCAATTCGACCTCACCTATGATTCTCAAAAAGACAGTTGAAAAGGGGCTAGAAAGGAGTTTGATGATGACTTACCGGAATAGCCACCGCGAGAGTAGTAGTGTCTAGGGCGAATAGGAAGACTAAGATGTTGACGGCAAGGAAGGAGAGGTAGAAACCTAATGGTCTCTTCTTTGACGTGGTGTCGTTTGCGCCTGTTTCGTCGGCTTCAACCTCAACTGCTTCAGGTCCATCGTTTACGCTTGGTCGATTGTCTGGTTCAGTCTTGGGTTCGACACCCAAAGACTCCCTAGCGTCGGGCTCTATAGAGGGGTTCTCCATCTTCTGAACATCAATGAATATGCCGAATATCTAACAACACTTATCGACCATTCCGTAATATTGGCCACGCGGGAGTAATATTTTGAACGTTGATGGCGCGACTTAAATCTGTAAGATTCGTTTCTAAGCCGTGAATCACCGTAGTAAATCACGGTAATTAGTTGCTATCAACGAAGACGTGACGCATAGGCTTCTAATTTTCCCCGTGTGTACCTTTTGACAAGATGAATGGATTCACAAAAGAAAGTTGTTTTTCCAGGATTATCGGCGGCCTCGCGATAGCGACTTGATCCGCTAGAATCTTGTACTAAGACCACTAACTAAGCTTCAAGATAGCCCGCCATTGTTGAGGTGTTCCTGGCTAAGGCAGCTGTTTAATCTTAAAACAGTGGACCTGATGGGTACTACCGAAACCTTATTATAGTGGTATTTTTCAGCCTTATAAGGGGCTAGTTCGCTGCAAGCGATGAGTTTAGCGAAATTACTCGGACTTCCGGGCAGTTATATTCATCCATCCAGCCATCGGATCCAGTCCGGCAACGAATTACATGCATAATTCTTTTCATATTTTGCTTCCAACATGCTGATAGCATCTAAAATACCTTCCGAATCGTGCTTGTTATTTTCTGCGCCGCAAGTCCCGACCTCTTGCTTATATCTGATGATGTAAGAGGGTTTCTTGGAGGCCTCCTCTACCAAACTGCGACGATCAAGATCAATATGCTACCGAGAGGTTGGGCGGTGTTACCTCAGATAAACTAGCACCATACTGTAATTTGTAGATAGTCTTTCGAAACATGACGAAATTCCCTTCTATAAGATTAATTTAGAAGTTTGAGGCAAAGGCCAGCCCATATTATACTTATAGCAGCATCGGCGATGAATGAATAAAGAAGCGAAAATTGAAACTTTTTTCAGTACGTAGTAGGTAGCTCTTGTCGGCATCAGATCCGATATTGGAGAGATGCCGTCGGAGCTGATCCGCTTTGGATTGGTCTAATATGGTGCGACAAATGGGGCTGCAAAAAATTTCGGAAACTATCCGATGCACATTCCTGATCGCAAAATTTATCTTTCGGCTATTTGCCGAAAAATCCCAGTGTAAAGAACGCTTAGGTAATCGACTAGAGTCTATAGTAAGTCATTCCAACTCTGTAAAGGATTATTTCATTGTAGATATGACAGTACAAGTTAAAGACACCGGACTTCTAACCTCACTTGTCTTCCTTCTTTCCTGGGCGCATTAATTCTAGGACAAATTCCATGCCAGCATTACACGGTTCTGGAGATTCTCTAAGGTACACATCATCAACGAAGATTTCGATAACCAAACCGACCCTAGACTTCTTGAACGTTTGTCCGTTAGAATCCTCGAATTGCGTACCACTAATTAGAGACTCGATCGTGGACGTTACTTTCTCCATTTGAGTCAAATATTGTTGTGGATACGCATCCCATAACTCCTTAGGGAGTAAATTCGTCCGTACGGATCCGGGGCAGATAGCGTATGTTCTTATACCGTCTTCATTGTAGAAGATTGGGGCGATCGAGCGCATGAAGTTCAACATGCCCGCCTTGGCTGCTGCATATAAAGGTGTAATGGATTGAGGATACTTAAAAAATGAGATTAAATTATTATTGATGTTCTACAAAGGAGCGGCTTACAATGCCGGCGATACTTGATGTAATGATAAGGACGCAATCCTTGGCGCCAAACACATTTGCCCGGAAATAGTGTTGTGCAAGATAGCTCGTCCTAATGACTCCTTTTAAATTGACATCGAGGCTGGATTCGTCAAGCCCTGGCGGTGGCGAGGATGTATCATGTTTCTCGAAGAATTTCCCCTTCTCCATGATACCGGCGTTCGCGAAGACAAAGTCAAGTCGACCCTCAGCCTCAAGGACCGAATCAAACGAGGATGATAAGGATTTCCAGGAAGTGACATCAACCCTGTGGAAAGTACAATTGCTTCGGCTAGCTTCCGCCGCAATTTCGCTGGTTTCGTTTAGGTCGAAGATGTGTACTTGCCAACCATTCTGGGAGAGCACTCTAGAAGTAGCTAGACCTACCCCTGAGGCGCCGCCAGTGATGATGGCTACTTTGGAGTTGGACATTGTTCACATGTAAGGCCGAAATCCTCGGATTTTTAGAGATGAAATTGACAGAGGCGAACTCGTAAAGAAGTCGAAAGCTCATGGACTTACAAGATATTGGTTAGTAGGGTTCCCCGCATCGGCAATTTGTATGGTATCAAACGGCGTTAAGCGATGTGTTGCACAGTATCGATCATTAATGTTAACATCTATAGTTGGATGAAATGAAGGCTCTAAAAAGCTAAAGACAACGACAGGTAAATGTAATAAGAACGTGGGACCTGAGATGACACCTAAGCCGGATGCTAACCTATAGCATATATTGATTCTTAGCATATCAATGTGAGTCTAGATGTCTCATAGGAAACTTTTACTAAGTTTTGAATTGATTAAATTTCGTTCGAAACCTCCTTCCATTGATTCGCGATTCGATCCATGCCACATGGCGGCGTCCGTAGGAGATATGTTAGTATTAGTCCACCATATTTTTGGAAACGCGTGGGTGAATGTAATTCCTTCAAGGAAAAAAAGAGGGTAGGACACTTGGCGATGATGGTGTCGTCACACGCGGCATTAGAGTGCTGCTAATAGCCGAAGAAAAAGCAAAAGGTAGATCGGATCAACGAGTTGATGCTGATAATCCTGTATGTTAATGGTGGTGATAAATTTACGAAGAGTACTAACATGAGTTTGGAGAAGGATGGAAATGGTACTTATTAGCCCCGCCGTGGCTTAATTCTGCAGGAAGCTCGGATCTCTTCTACGTTAATGGGAGACTAGCGCGGTGTTTTGATTGGTGGATAGTCTAGTGGGACAGCTGTACATGTTCACCGCTTTCCATTTGGGGAAGTCGGCGTCAACGTGGATCTCCACAGCAAGTCGCGACGCCAAATCTGTCTAGCAACGCTCGAGATTCGTGATAGCAGAGCTTGTTTCTAATTCTTGCCATTTTCACTGCATTGCACTTTCACAATGTGTTCAATCTGACGTATCGCTTTAGGCAACTTATTAAAATATTAACTTCCAGATACCCCAAATCTACCATTTTAATTCCTTTCTCATTTCATTATAATCGCACTTTTTTTTTCTTCTTTATTTCTCTTCCCTTTTGGTATGAACCCATTCGCGACTTGCACGTGTATTTCATCCTACCAACCATGTGCCTACCTGCTTGATTCACAGCCTAATAGCAACGTCACTCCCTATGATTATGGATCGCGATTCACCAAAATCACCAGGGGTACTGGCAGCGAAACCCAACGGAAATGCCAATACTCACACCAACGGTAACGGCCTCGGTGGTAGGACCTCGACGCAACCCTTTGGTAACCGACGAACATCTAGAAAGAGTATCGGTAAACTCGAGTTGAAAGAGAATCTTATACCCGACCCCGATATCAACACTAGCAACGGTACTCGACACCCTTTATATTCAAGCCCGAAATACATTCCCCATAGCAACAGCTTCAGCGCAGCAACGAATAAATCCCCCGAATCACCACGCGAATCGCGAATACCGCAACCTACCAATAACGTCCCTTTTGCCACTTCTCCCGAACAGCGAAGCAAACCAGGAAATTTTCGCAGCCAGTCCGTCGATATGCGACAACCCTTAAATATCAAGTCGGCCTTTGCGCTGGCTTCAAAGCAAGAGGAGGATCAATCCGACAGCACCTTTGATATCAAAGACGCATTTAAGATGGCTAGCGCCGAATTGAATAGACCTGTCGATGGTTCGCCAAGTCCCGCTCCGCGAAGTTCACACCTAAGGCGCCAGTCGTACAGCGCCGTTCCACAGAGAATATTCTCAGGCGGGTCAAATGGCGATTTAGGATCACATCTGCGACAATTCGACCAGAACCATCAGCTCGGTGCAGGCAATCGGCCGCTTAATGGCCTCTTTGGTGGCGCTCGTGTTGGACCTAGGGTTTCGGAAACTGGTAGTATTTTTGCTAAGAAAGCCAGTGACGGTAATCTTGGAGCTTCTTCGGCGCGTCGTAGGAACAGTCAGCGGGAAGCAAGCTCATGGGATAAGGGGGCCGTCGGCGCGCTTGCCCCTATTCCATCGATCGAGTATGAATCTACCAGTGATAGGCCGGACGATCCAGCTTCGCCACTCAATCAACCGGCCCAATTGTCGCCCGAAAAGAGCCTCAACTGGGAGCTGGATGCCGATTTCACAGCTGGAGATCTCCAAGTTTCCAACAGTCCTCGTATTCGAACCGAGCAGTCCAATGGGAGACCTCGACGACAATCAAGTGCTACGAGTTCCCCAGCCAGCGGCACACCGAATCGTCGTCGTAGCAATAATCGCATCGACCAAATTCGGCGGAAGGAAATTGAAGCCGCAAATGCTGTGTTGTCTGAAGATGATCCGTCTTCGATTAGACGGACGAATAGTAAACTTGACGAGATACGAGTGCGAGAAATGGAATCGTTATCTAAGCGAGCAGTAGCTACGAGCAGGCTCGACGAGATACGAATAAGAAATTCTGAGGCGCGTTCGGAGTCACCAGAACTTGACAGAAATTCGAACAAAGAAGATCTGCAGGCGGGTTCGCTTCAGTCAGATAAGGAACCTACAAAGACCCCAACCAGCAAAGAGGGGGGGGAAGCGAAAGAGGAGACCTTAGACATACCCGTCACAATTTTTCGTAATACATCCGAACAGAAATCTAGTGAGGCATCTAATGGGAAGATCCTCGATCCTAAAGTGACAGAAGACAAGGAACCAGAATTATCACAAAATGACTCTCACGACTTACTTCGTCGTCTCGCACGAGCGACCAGTTCTAGTCCCCCCTCTGAAAAAGTTGACCAGCAAGTTCCAGACGATCCTCCAGCGACAAAAGCGCCCGAAAGTAGAGAGAGCAGCCGCACGCGCCCGACTCGAGAGGAGAGGAGACCTAGGAACCTAGAGGTCAAGAACCCGGAAGTTAAGGGCTCCAGAGAAAGGCCGACAGTTGGGTTTGCAGGCTTACAAAGAGTCAAATCTACTGACTCGATTCGGGAAAAGCGAGGTAGTGTGCCTGGCTCTGAAGCAGATCCTACGGACCGTATTGAGGCTGAGATGAAACTTTTTGCACCGTTGGACAATTATTCTGAAAAAGGATCTGTCCGGGCACCGTCACCTATTCCATCGGAGCCATCGGAGCTAGCCGAAGAAGTGACACCCCGACCACCCAAGATTGACCCATTGACACAACCAACTCCACGTATCTCCGGTGCTTATGTTGAAACGCCGGCTACTGTTAGAGTTAAGCAAGACGGTCGTTCAGATGAAAAAGAGGTCTCGGATAACCTCAGCCTAATTCCAGAGATAAGTCTCGAGCTTCATGACAAGAAATTTAGTGAAAAACTAGACGACAACAGCATAAAACAAGAGACAAACAGCGATATCAAACCCTCAAGAAGAGCATCAATGACGCGATCTTCTTCCGTGCCCGCTTCCCCACGTCGTACTCGATCTGCTTCTAGACGCCGTCGACCATTGCGCCCCCCGATTAATACAGCCAAACCTCCATCTGTTAAAGATGACATTCGAGCCATTCTACACATGAATGAAATCGACGATTCAACTCTTGATGATTTTGATTCCATTCTTGCCGACCAAGAAATTGACGACGAGGAACTCAAACAGATGGTGGATGATACCATGGACAAAATCGATAGTGATCTTGAGCTGCCCGGGCTTTCAGATAGGGATCGTGAGCTTGAAATCTACGATAGGATGAGCAAATCGCTTAAGACTGGCCTACTGGGCATACGATCTGCAAAGAAAGGGATCGAGCGTCTAGAAGATAAAGTTATGCACACCGAGCACCATAACGATCACAAGCCAGATCAAATTCCCTCCGATTTGAAAAACCCCGGCCCGAAACCCGAAATACGCCTTACCACCGATCCAAATGGTTCTACTTCTACCACAATCACCATCCCGGCTCTATATCGAAAATCACCAAAACTAAGGCCTACGAAATTTGGCGTGCTACTTCTAGCAGTATCTATATGGTATATTATTGAGTCCATTTTCTGCTCCTTATATGTAATCAATTACCATTGTACGCCGCAAGTACCCTGCCAATGGTCACCGAATGAACCCTATTTCCCATATGCGATGCCTTTCATGATAGATGAATGGACCACTGGAGGTAGAGGAAGGGAGTTAACTTGGAAAATCGGCGAAGAAGTGGGGGATTTTCTTGCCGAAGTCTCTGACTGGGCTACAAACACGGATTTCTCCAAGTTTGATGAGAGGTATATGAATGTCTGGCAGCGCAAAAGACATAAGAGGCGACTGCGAAAACATGGTTTGATTCCAAAATGGGTGCCTCCTCCGGGTTACCAACCCAAATTTGAACAATGGAATGCCGCACGTCTGGCTAGAGAAGCTGCGATAGCAAATGGGGAAGAGGTGGACGATGAAACGATGGACGCGGACGAGGTAATTAGGTGAGATGATGCGCCCATAGTCAATTACCTTGGATCACGATCGCGAACACCGCTGCGTATATTACGCTTTCGAGCCAAAATATCTGCACCACCGATATGTACATTACACAGGCTGTATACTTAGGTCGGGCGCAATTTTGCATTTGGAGCAGGCGATAGTGGGGGAGCTTTGACAGGCTCTTGCTTTACAGTCTTTCACCAAAACGGTGTCAAGGGATATGAATATGAACTACTTCACGATTATACCAAGTTATGAAAAATATACAATAAAACTACGTAGGTTCGAGTTGCCAGCCGCTACTTAAGAACCCTTACTTAACTAATGATCTACATCGTGAGGCTCTATCTACAAACCCCAACTTCAAAACTCACAGATTGCTATTCTAATGATGCCATACATGGATGTCATCGGCCTATAGTGTCGGGACGTAAAACTTGCCAGTTCCGGCCCATATTAATCGCCAATGCCAAGGCCTCAGCTTTCCGCCTCATTGCTACGTCAACTCCACGTGTCGCTGCGAGACAACCAGAATATTCTCTGGTGTCGAATCGTGCCGAACTTCCCATTGACTGTCACCACTTACGCAAACCATATTACGGAATAGGAAGCGATCAAGATCTAATTCTACAGTTAGATATGCTGATGAGCCGGGACCAAGTTGATCAGAACCCTGATGACGAAATTGAAATCCTTAGTCTAAGACCGTCCGGCACCAACCGCTTAGTTCACGATAGTTCAGTTCCTGATTGGGTAATAAAGTCAATTTGAGACAAAGCCACTGAGCTCCCTAACTTGATCGCTCCCGAGAATTGATGTCATGACTGGAGCCGACTTCTTTGTATGATATCGGAAAGCTGGAGCATACATGCGGTAGCTCTACAGGATGTAGAGGCTATGTGCAGCTCCTAAGGATCGCATGCTATGAGCTCATATGTCTCAGTTACCTGTAAGACTTATTTAAGACTGATTTATTCTCTTATACTTAGAATTAGTTTCAAAATAGATCCATTTTGATTAAAGACAAACACAATTACTAAGATACCCCTACCTTTATCCACATATTTTACAATGGCTTCATATGACAACTCACGAGAAACCGTCACTCTTCCAGGGGCGTTCCCAGCAACACCAGGTGCAGATGAACCAAGTTTATCCTCCTTAGGATCTCAGAATCAACATAATAAATTACACAAGCGAGAAGACCCCCGGGGTTGGAGCGATGAAGAGAGGGCTGCACGAGGACATCAATATACCGACTCAGGAATTGGGTTAACAGATTCAAATTACACTTCCAAAATCCCAACCCGGAGTGCAGGTAATGAAAATGCCTTTCTCTCAAACACCACATCCCCCAAGAACAACAGTGTTGCATCGAGCAAGAACGCATCCACCACAAACTCATCTAGTTATCGTGGTGGTGAGACCAAGCCCGGGGTTATGACTGGAGCTTATAGCCGTGTCGACAATGGAAATAGTAACGACAATTACCCCAAGACGGCTACGCAAGATCCAACCACCACGAACACTACCAGCGCTAGAGGAATTGGCGCTACGGGCCCTGCAACCGGAATAGCTACATCGGCTAGATCCGATAACACTGAATTACAACAACTAGGAAGCGATGACCGCAACATCGTTCGAAATGGCTTGAGGCAAACTAGTAACATCGACCATAACGACCCGTACTGGGGCGATGTTCCCTATGGCACTGGGGTTTACAATTCAGTTACGGGGCACGGCAGCTCCGAAACTACTACCGAGGGATCCGTCCCTCATGACCCTTCATTGAGTCATGAACAGCAGCGCGCATTCCCACTCTCTACTACCGACAACACTACTCATGGTCAGACCCGCAACCGTAGTGGATCACGGTTCAAGGAAGGCCTAGCTGGATCTGGCACTGCTGCCGGCGCCGGTATTGCCGCTTCTGATGTTGCTGAGAAGCGACGGGATCATAAGCATGATAATGAAACTATGGAATCTGCTACCCATAAGCACGACGAAGATGACACCAAGAAGGAGAGTAAGCTTGCTGGCTTGTTCCACCGGGAGCATAAGGCCAAGGAACCTAAGCCCGAAAAGAAACATGAAGTCAAAGAAGAGAAGAAACTAAAAGAGCAAGCACCAAGTAAAGATAACCGTCCTCTAACAGACAGAGACGCGGGCGCTGCTCTTGCAGCTGCCACCGTAGCTCATGGTTCCGATAAGCACGAGAAAAAGCCTAAGGAATCCGAACTTGGATCCACGGAAAACAAGGCTAACCCCGTATACCAGCACCCGAATGAGAAGATTGACAACTCGATGGGAGAATTAAAACCCCAGCATCAGATTTCGAAGGATCCTTTCATCGCTGCCGGATATACCGGTCCCAATAGCCAGAGTACTGCGACGAGCGCCAATGCTCATCCCGCTTCTGAAGATGTAACCACCAGAGGTTACCCCTTTACTTCTCAAACAACTGAGAAGCCTGCTGATAAGCATGATTCAAAGCTCGGGTATGGTCTTGCAGCTGCTGGCCTAGGAGCTGGTGCTGGCTATGCCGCACATGAGTATTCCAACAAGGACAACAACAGGAACAAGGAACCCGTTTCTCAGCAGGCCTACGGCAAGCCGACAACTACATCGTCCAAGGCTGCTACCACTACCCAGCCGGAAAACACAGGCTACACCATCGGCCAACCCCAACTTGGCGTAGTCTCGGGTGCCAAGCAGACTGCTACTGCCTCTGAGAGACAGGCCGTACCACAGAGCGGTGCCAACGCCTACGACTCTCGTGCCGATCCCACCCGTCATGGCAAATACAATGTTCTGCAAGACGGTACCCCCTCTGGAATCAACACCGGTGACCACTATGACGCTGTAAACAACACTTCTGCTACTTCACCTACTGCGACACGCAATACCGCCACGAAGGGTAACCATAATGGCGCTAAGACCGCTGCTGCTGGAGCTGGTGTTGCTGGTGCAGGCGCAGCCGCATACTACGCCCATAACAGAGACAGCGACAAGATCCCAGCTGTTGAGACACGTCAGACCTCCGCAGCTACTTCGAGGGACACTCAGAAGCCATACACCTCAACCACTGGCGTTGCCGGACGTACTCCCGCTGACTCTAGCCGCGGTGGTGAATACAATACCCTGCACGACGGTACACCTTCGGGAGTGAACACCTCTGACCTTAATGACAGCAAGAACAATGCAGCTTCATCGGCACCAACTGATTCTGCGCTCAGAACTAAGGAAGGTGACAATCACAACACTGCAAAAGTTGCTACTGCTGCCGGTGTTGCCGGTGTAGCCGGAACCGGCGCCGCAGCCAAGTACTATTCCAAGAAGGACGCTAAGGAAGGCAAGGACATCACCGATCCAACTCCCACCACCCACAGCTCACAACACGCCGTTGCCGGCGCAGTTCCTACCGAGCAGAAGAAACATGTATCCATTGCCGGAAGTCCCACTTCCAGTGCTCGGGATCGTACTTCCACCGACTCGAGTCATGGTGGGCAGTACAACGTCCTGTCCTCTGGTACGCCTTCGGGGATCAACGTCGGTGAGAGGGATGAAGTTGGGCGCAAGAGTCTAGAGCATAACACCACACCTGCCAAGAGCAAGGCTTCGCCTACCGCGGTGCATCCCGCTACCGTAAGTGCGGGTGCCGCACCTCAGAAAGATAACAGTAAGGAGAGGGATTTGGCGAAGGCTGGTGGTATTGCAGCTGCACCTGCCTCTTTGACCGGTGGGGATAAGGTCTTGCACAAGTGTAGGAAGTGCGGCGAGGAGAATGATATTACTGGGTACTTTCAGAAGTCGAAGTAGGTAGTCGATGATCGGCGGGAAAGAGCGTAAGAGCGGTTATGATAATGTGAAATGAACTGAAAGGGGTGTGGGTAATGGTTAGATATTAGGTGGAATACTTTATGATGGAAATCAAAGGAAATAAGAAATGGAATATATAAGTTGAGAAATAATAAAAATTACCATTTAACTTCTATGCGCATTTTTCTTGGTGGGTGTTACGTCGACGTCGGTCACTTGGCGCATTTCGTCGGATTATTCAATGACCCCTATCCTCTGCCCTTTATGAGTAAAATATAACACGCATATAAAATTAATATAATGGTCTTACTTTATGTACTATGTCTGAAATTATGCTTATATCTGACCCGTTATTCACTTAGGTCCTGGATGGTATGTATCGATTTCTTTGAGTGAAGATGCGGAAAGTGTATGACGATACGTTCACGCATTTCGTCACGTTTTTCTCGGCATGAAAATAGGAAACCCTCATCCCGCTTTGCTGAACTTGCTCGATATATCGGATTGGTGAGAAGTAACTTCTCGATGGTGAAATAGATGTCACTTCCTCCTGCGCTTATAGAGATGCGCTTGTAGAGAAGGTATATGCGAGAAGTCGAGCAACGTGACAACGAATATGGTTCCTGTGTAGTTATTTCGAATACACCTAGCCCTAAGGTTCGGGTCCCTTTACTACTTACCTAGGTAGGTATGGTAAACTACCTTGTAAACAGCCAGTGACCTTCCGGGGGGTTCTTAAAGGGCCTAACTGAACGCGCATGAGAGCGAGGGGTCTTGCCTATGCGTATACCAGACGATGCGTGGGCCCCAGACTTACCCTACCACCCGACAAATAATATCCAAAATTTGAGAGTGGCAGTGATACCGGCGCAAATACCCTGTAAATAGACAAATATTGGAAAGTTCCACGAAATCTAGTAAGAAAAATTAGAAGAAACTGCTAGGTGTGTCCACACAGGCACTCTGTCACTCATTTTACCTACCTTAAAAACCCACTCGAGCTCGACCAGACCAGTCTTCCTTGATATCCCGAGGTGCTTTTATGCGTTGTTTAGCATCTTTAAGATCAATTTCACTCTCTAGTCATTGAACACCCACCATACTTCATTCGCTCTGTCACTCTCTCCTCTTTTACGCTCTTTGCGGATTCCATACCTATTGAATAAAATTCCCTTCCTTCCAAGCTACTAAGCATCATGTCCACCCACGAGATTCACCAGGCGAGCTCCTTTGGAGATTCCCATGCATATCAAATGCAACAGACAATCCTATCATCTTTGGTCCACGCTGACGACCAACATCCTGATGTCTACAACACTCCGGACGGCTACAACATCACCAAGGATGATCTCATCAGTCTTCCCGGTGATCTCCGCGGCTGTCGTTGCATGAATATGTGGATTGAGATGTGGACCGTCCCGGTACATCCCGTCGTGAAGTTCAACTCATCCGCCCCTAAGGAAATCCCTAACCACGCTATGCTTCGATTTGATTTCGTAAATCTGCATGGTCGTCACTGCGGAATCCGCATCGGAGTCCTTCCGGACTGGGATCTCGAGGAGCCTTTGGTGGTTACCCACGAGGGTTTTCTTTTGCCTGGGAAGCTCGTCGCCATGCCTATGACCAAGGAAGACATTCGTCTGAGCGAAGCCCGCTCCTACGTGTTCCCGCTGAAGATCGAACAGACGGTCACCGACATCCTGCAGTTCATTATGAGCAAGCAGCTCGGCTCCTTCGACTTTCTTGCCAGAGACTTGCTCTGGGGAGGTAATGATTTCGTGTAAGTCCACCCCTTTCCCCTACCCATGGAGTTATAAGTAAGTAGTTCTTTGCTAATGCGATCACCTCACAGCATGCAAACCTTCCATCAGCTCGTTGCCGGCGGATACATCTCTCCCTACATCGAGTACGCCCATCCGTTCGACGATTGGAACCAGTATATCTCAACCGGCTATATGGCCTTGGCAACGCACGTTACTGCAGACAATCTCACGTTCCCCACCAAGGTCTTCAAGGGCCGCTTCCGCTTCTACCATCGAATCCAACTCCCCTGGATGTGTTACTGAGTATGGATTGCTGGGGCGTGAGGTATCGTACTCTCATATTCGTTGCCGTTCATGGAAGGCTTGAGGACGTTGCTCGACGGATGCGAATTACATTTTACGGCATGCAGACGCGATAAATCAGCTTCGCAATTGTCTCTGCCGACTGTTTCTTTCTTCTTTCTTTTTTCCCCTTTTATTTCATTCGATCATATCGGAATTGGGATGATGCCCATACAACTCTCCTACGATACGAATTCGAGGCAAGGTCTGAGATATTTGCCGTTGGTAGGGGCAGGTTGATGCCAAGGGGACGTTTCCTGCGGTTATTCTAACTTAAGAAACCGTGGCCACAATTGCGCTGGCCTGTACTTCATTTAGTACTTCATAGGGATCAATAGTCGCCAAAAAAAAAGCCACTCATAATAATCTTTCCCTTTGCTTGTGAACATCGATGATATAATAGTATCTTACCAACAAACTTATGGGTGATGTTAGGAATTCTACGGTAAACTCTAGCGCACATATTCCATCGTATTTATCGATAACTATCGCTGTAAGGTACCTAGGTAATCGTCATTTCCGAATGGTTAAGGATGTGCGATGCGATGCGGAAAGATGCAAGTGTCAGATTCGGGACAACTCAAGGAGTAAGCAGCTTGTTTCACTTTATTCTACGCATTCCATGTCAGATTCGGCTCGGCTTTTGGCTAGCTGATGTGTTTGTTTCATACGAGACCAACATGTAGAAAAAGGTACTAGAAGTAAATGGGAAAGAGATTGTATTAATACATTCCCCATAGGATGTATGAATGTGCTAAATATAGCACAGCTACGTCAACTGGCCAGGTGCTGAAGTCAGCCCCCAACATCATTGCTGTAATACAATAACATAATAATGAAGCATTGATGTGTTTTCGAGAGCCTCAATTTTTTCAAGGACTCTGTAAAGTGGAACTCATAATTATCGTATCTCGCGTGGTATGACTTGCACCCCTTTTTCTTATTTTCTATACGAAAATAGTTGATTGCATATTCGATTAGTGTCATATTCGGTAGTGATGTGTGATAGAAAAACATGGTAGAAAAAAGTACACGCCTAGATCAAGGGATCTACAGTGGTATTACCCTGTATTCCCTTCAGCTTTCAGGGATGTTAGGCATTTGGTTCTGCCTTATACCCTTAATTAAACAGGCACCCCCGGTTTGGGGGCTGAATATCATTATGTAACTCCGCAAGAGAATCGTGGCACCACACCGTAGTGGGCGCAGCAGTGCGGACAAGCAGATAGGCAACAAAGGATCCCTTAGCTATACGCTTATTCGCTAAGAGCTCGACGATCGTCCGATTTACTGTTGTACGATAATTCTTTCGAGTCCTGCCAAGGGTTGTTAGTCGATGACTATGCCGCCATGATGATAAAAACTGGGTACTTGATCCGTCCCTGCTTATACGCGTTTGGTAGTTCACTCACTAGCGGGATCTGATGCGGTATGACCGTCGCTGTAATAGGTGCAATAGCGGTTCTAGCGTTGTAGCAAAAGAATGAATCCTTTATTATGTGGACTGGGATCCAGCTAGGACTCCACACTCATGACATCCAGGCAGGTATTTATTAACATCGAGTCGTGCCTTCAAGGGTCTTGTTTAAAGTAATGGCATTTTCTGTCCTTCTCTAATAATCTTCTATTATCTTCCCATCTTGTCGCATTGGTCCATCGTTTGTAACTTTCAATTGCAACTATTTGGTGGAAATTTGCGTCACGATTGCGTCACGATAGTACAAGCCGGAACGAAGCATTAGCTCAACTTACACCACCGAATAATTTATATATACCATGAGTCAATCGATCATAATGGAAAAAGCTGCTCAGAACCCGCCTGGATATGCGCAAGCTACCCAGCCTCAACCTGAACCTCAACCTCAGTACCAGCAGCCAATTCAAGATCAACCGCCCGCGGGAGCTTACACCGATCACCCCCACCCACATCCTCACCCGCACTCACACGCTCATATGCATGCTCCCTCGGCCTACGGCCAACAAGGCGGAGAATGGCAGGCCAGCCTTTGCGACTGCTCACCATGCACAAGCTGCTTGTTAGCTTGGTGTCTACCTTGCCTTCTGCTCGGTCAGACCTCTGAGCGGATTAGGGACCCCTCCATGCAGACAGCGGACATGATGAATAGCGACTGCATGATCCATGGTCTCATAAACTGCTTCACTGGCTGTGGATGGATGTACGTCATTTCCCTTTCGACACAAATTCATAATTACAATACCCTTTCTACGAGACTAACATTTTCATTAGCTACGGAATGATGAAGCGATCCGAGATTAGGGAGCGCTACAAGATCGAGGGCAGCGGCTGCAACGATTGCTGTGTGAGCTTTTGGTGCTCCTGCTGCGCCCTTATCCAGCAAGACAACGAAGTCAAGATCCGCCAACGCAACGCCCAGCCCGTAGATCAGGGCTACCAGTCCCAACCCGCTATGCAGGTGCCTGTACCAGCGCCCGCACCTGCTTACCAACCCTAATTATTAGGTGGCTTACGCCTGTAAGACACTGAATTGGGGGCGTTCTATCACGCCCCCTATTATTGTTTCTAGTTGCTTCTAAAGTGCACGTTCGGTGTGACCGAGACGCTATAAGACGTGGCGTTGCGCCGAGAGCTTGCTTTTGATGGCCTTACGCATTAGGTACTAAAATGTACTGGTGGGACATGTGCATAAGGAGTTAATACCCAGGATAACATACATTATAGATGAAATTACAGAATTATAACGTCATTACAGAAATAAGAGCTTCGTGAACAAGTTGACCGGTCTTGGAATAGATGAGGCTTATGTTGAAGGCTGTTTTGTACTTATCTATTCGATTTCGAATAGCCGTTCTATGCTTATAGTGAGACCCGTTCGTGTCCGGAAAATGAACTACCAACATACGATCGTTTCAGGCCAGCAGCTTGCGATTTTCTCTGGTCCATAGGGCTGGAGGGTCCTATTTTACAAGCCCTGATTGATGTAATTTCTTCAATTCGACGACCCACACCTACCATTCGACAATATACATTATAAGTCTATGACTGATTCACCGCGCGAAGATACCTACAGCATATCCCGAGACGCTTATCTACGACACGACCGCCCCCTAGGTAGTACCTATGCCCTACCTAGGCCGCGTAAGGTATTCTTCGGCGACAAATAGGGGCTTGTCCGACACTTTGTAACCGCGAACCACATTAACTAGACCCGGAGCTCTTAATTCCGCGAAAAATTGCGCCCTGCCTTTCTCGAAAAATTCAATCCATCCTTCACCCTCGCCGTTTTTGGGTTGATGAATTCCCATGGAGGGTGCGCCGGTAGCCAGACAGTCGCGCCAACGTGTATAGTACTGGGTACGCCCCTCGATTTTGTGCGGTATTGATAGCTGCATACGTTTTGCCCTAAGACTGGGAGAGTCTTTGCCATGCCGCTTCCTCTTCCGTCCCGACCCGGTCAGAGAATAGTCTTCACCTGTCGAGTAGTAGTCGGAATCCTCATGAAGGTCATCGTAATCCCGCGAAATTATTAGCATCCCACTGTCGGCCGGTAGAGACTCGGAAATTATCTGGTATATTCCAGGTCGGATCGTATCCCTGATTTCTATCCAGTGGCTCTCTGGTTTGTGTCCCGCGTGAGGGAAAAGTACATCAGCGATCGTTTCCGCAATGTAGCAGCCCTCAATCCTTTCTTTACGATTTTCTCCTACGACGTATTCTATATGTAGCCTTCGCCGCCACCCTAACGCCTCCTTCAATTTCTTTTCGCGAACGAGTGCCTCGTGCTTCCTTCTTTCTCGACGTCGAATCTCTGCAAAGCCCTTACATGTTAGTTTAACTTCTTTCTTGTCCCACCCGATCCAGAGTAGCTTTTTCCGACTGGCGAGGGCTTTCTGAGCATATAAATCACGTACTCGAGATACTACCTCCATGACAAAATCGAAATCGATCCCACGAAATGGCATTGGGTCCGGAAGGGTGTCCCGGCTACTATAGTAAGTGTTCATGAACATATCAACGTCGAAGTTGAGTTTCTCCTCTAAAGTGGCCAAGTTATCGAAGTTGTCTCTCCGGCGGCCGGAGGCACAAGACAACTCGTATGCTACGCATTGATTTCTCCACTCGGCTTCCAACTCCTCGAATTGGCCTGATGCGAAAGGTTTGTATTGCCTACTTTCGTCATCAAACTGATACTTTGGATTAGCGATGTCGTCCCAATAATAATTTTAAGTAGATTTAGACATACGTCGGGCTTGAGAGATTCTTTATGTAGGTATTCTTGCATTATGATTGCTCGCATTTCCTGACCCATAGGCCATAAACCCAAACGCAAAGACATGCCATAATGCCGGAATTGGGCATCTAGCCAAGGCTTAATCAATGTCGCACACCTTACTGTAAGCCATTCACTGTATTCCTCTGGATTTTTATCTTCGGAGAAGAGCCACTTTATGTCCTCGGGGTTGGCACGAGGTATCCTTTTCACGGTAAGTCTACCATCGTACCTAAAACCTTTGCAGGATATCGGTTTGGGTATTGGCGAGCGGCTCATACGCCATCTTCAATAGTTATAAAATAAACACCACCATGAGAATTTCAAAGCCGCGAAGTAGAATGCTACTGGGATTGAGATATGTAAATTCGAACCCCCAGAAGGGTTATGGGGAGCTAAAATACAGGGCGTTATGGTTTAATTGATACCTAATTTACAGCGTCCCGCCCCCTATTACCCCTGGTCTGTCGATATCCTTACCGCCTGAGACGTCAATAAACGCTATGGGATTCTATCAAAATGTCGACACTACAGTGATTGATACATTACACCAGTCAAAAAAAAAATTACTTAATATCCGTCGTAAATAGTGTTAGCTTCTTAGATTTATATGAAAATTTTATAAAATACGTAAATTGTTACGACTACTTTATGTCACATGCGTAAATCGTGGGAATTCATTCAGTTATTAAATAGATAGGCGAGATCTCTTGGCTGCCCCCACAGAATCGGCATAGCGAAATGAATTAGCGGGTCATAACAGGTACGCAAATCCACCTCGCCGCCTTATCATCCTAGCATTTCCACCTCGTCATTACATTGAATTTCTAACCACTTTGAAAGCCGAAAAGAGAGTAGATATTAAATAGTGTTGCTATTATCCCGGAATGGCCAATCTGTCGAATTTACCTAATGAAATTCTCATTACAGTTCTTGAGATTCTTGCTACCGTCGACCTTCAATCGTTGATCATCTCACAGCTTACGAACAGACGATTCCGTGAGCTAGGTCAAGATGCCATATACAATGTCCAAAGGAAATCAGCCGTAAGCCATGACGGCGATACCGAAGACATAGAAATCAATCCTTTTTGGAGAGACAAATTCCAAGGGCTATTTAATACTGCAGACAGCTTCACACCAAAAGAACGGGGAAAACTGTCATTTTTAACCCTAGACGGCGATTATACGCGGCCCTTCCGTAGACTTCCATGGGCTCAACTCGAAAACAGGCGCGTTGCATATCTTCGACCAGAAGCGAGTTGGCGTGACATTAGTCTTACCTTTGGGAAAGCCCCCATCACTCACCTTGATGTCGTCAAGGGTTATTCAGGTTCTGGGGGCGATCTGGTAGATTATTACCAACTAGATCTGCCATCATCTGGTTTGACAATGGGGCTCTTCTACGACGTCCTATTGTGCGACAAAGCGACATACCGCCATGAAACAGGAAGCTGGGAACTGATTGTTGGACGACGCTTGAAAAGTTACGACGTTTTATCAGAATACGAATGTTTTATACCGGACGATAGGGACTTGGTGGATAAAGAGGCACATCAGGCTGCTATTTTATTTGTGCGGGGTGGACCTGTAAGGCGCCGACCCAGTGAGGTCGAAGGACAAGATAGTTGGATCGCCAGCAGTCAGACTAAACAACGGCTACTACCCTGGCAAGGCCCGATCCAGAACTTTATCTTCACGGGGTATTACGACTAAATGACCCATATATATTCGGAACACCTTGTCTGACGCTACTCCGCGGCAATCGAGATATCCGAAAGCCATTTCGTGCAGGATTAGCGAAATGAACCTACCTATCGTATACTTTTAGCAGCACGAACGAAGACACCTGTTCACTCCGAGGGTGTACGGCGTTTATCTCTCAAAATGCATTATTAATGCTTGTATTATAAATCAGTAAGAAAAAGCAAATTAAATAAAAATGAAAGGCTGAAGAAATGACTGATACCTAGGTATCTTAATACTACTCAGCTTTTTGGATTAGTCTATGTTCCCTTCGCATTCTTGTATTGAGCCGATTTCCGAGGAGCCTTGATTTCTAAACAACTGCAATGTTCATGATATACCATAGCGTTCAGTCCAATAAGACCCCTGATGACAGCATCGCAATCCGATCTCGATACCTAATAGGGCATATTATCAAAGTATCTAGCTCATTGATTCCTAAGCTTATGCAGAATCAGCCTCTATGGTAACACAACCCCATACGGAACAGGCATGGTAATAAGGACAGCTAAGGCAGCCAAGTGACATCTCATACAGACCTACATCAAAATGGATATCACTTTTTTTACACTTGACGACGCCATCCAATCTAACGTCGCGGATCGCAAATTCACGCGTTTCAAAATCCATATGTTTTTTTTTCTTGACCGCTCTCAACAAGTCGTAGCCCTTGTGGGTCCCCGTTACGAACGGGAACGGGATTCAATAGGCTTAATAATACAATTGCGTTCAGCCCGGCCGATTTTCTCGGCACTGCTACTTCCTGAAGCTTCTACACTCTATAAATATTGGGTAGGGTAGCTATGGATCCAGAAGGAGCGATGAGGGGTATTCTCCATAGCCCCTCTACAATTGCAACATTTAAACGTTCGATTACAACATCAAAATAGACTTCCCATCTTCTATAACTAACTCCAATTCCAACACTAACTCTTGACTCTTGCTCCATCAACCAAATCAACCAAACTCTAACCTTCAACTCACCTAACTTAATCAACAACCATGGCACCCTTCGGCAAGATCTACTCCTACCCGGGCAACTACCGTGTCGAACGGGTAAGATATCCATAATACCTACCTACCCACCTACCTAAGTAGATACCCAATTTAGACCCATTGAACCTAACCACCATCTCAATTAGGCCCAAGTCATAGCCGCCGTCAACGGCCTCGAGGTCCCTCTAGCCGAGGGCTTCAAAATGGGCGTCGACAACAAGACGCCCGAATTCCTCGCCAAGTTCCCCATGGGCCGCGTCCCAGCCTTCGAAGGCGCCGACGGTTTCTGTCTCGCCGAAGGCGGTGCCATCGCAACCTACCTCGCTCTTTCCGGACCCAAGAAATCTCAACTCCTAGGCAGCGACCCAAAAACCCAGGCCTTAGTCTCGCAATGGGTGTTCTTCGCTGAGAGCGACTTGAACACCGGTATTGTGCCCCCTGCCGCTATGGCGTTCTTCAAGATGATGCCGTATAACGAGGAGCGCTACAATTACTCCATCACCACGCTTGAGCGCTGCTTGAAGCGCCTCGAGGTCGCGCTGGAGGGCGGCAAGAAGTACCTTGTTGGTGACGCGCTTACGCTTGCTGATGTAATGGTCGCGGGAATCTTGTTCTTCGGTACTAAGTTCGTTGTTGACGCTGAGATGCGCAAGGACGTTCCCAACGTCGTTAGCTACTTGCAGGGACTTAGCGCTCTACCTGAGTTCAAGGCTCTTGGCGAGTTGACTTTGGTTGAGACTCGTGCCAAGCCCTGAAGTGGTGCGGACGCGGTTGGTGGGTTCGTTGGAGCTTGATAGGTAAGCCGAGGTACAACTTTTCTTTTTCTCGAAATACGATGATGCTAATGTGAGGAATCAGATAGCTTATCGATCAATTGACGGACCCAGAAACCGAAAATCCCGGTAAAAGACAACTATAATAGTTGCCTGTGGGATACACTACTCGGGATTAGCTGCTAGTTCAACGCTGAATCATTGACTAGGGCGAAGAGTCTTATAAAAAGCAGAGTGGGATATTATAAGTTTGCCCCGCTATCTGGAAGGAGAGTGGATCGGCAAGCGTGAAGAAAACACCAAAATAGCTACCTACCTGCAAATAAATAAAAGAAGTAAAAGACACCATGCGGTTTCAAGTTACCAACCGAATTTCTGAGTGATGCAGATATGTATAGGCGGAGTTTCCGTGTTGGCATATGTGCTGTATAACGAAGACTATCGCCTGCCGTACTACCTACCGAACAGTCCGCGTCAGCTACCATCACAACTGGCTCCCTATATCCTAACCCCGAAAACTGGCTTGAATCATCAGCGCACTTTCCGTAAGAAGCATATGCCGTTACTTATTTGGGCAGCAATTGGCTATCTTGTACTTTGTCAGTGTTTATAACCCAGTACCTGCAGTAAAAAAAATGTCAGCAGGGCGTAAAGCAGGTGGTACGCCATGTCTCACGGCGTAGTCGGAGTGGTACTTACATGTCAATTGCGCCCTAATACTCGACCTTTTCAAAAGCAAGAAAATCCCCCCAGATTTCCTCAGTGTGCAACGAACGAGTAATACTACGGTACCGATCCAATTAACTCACTTGCATATCCAATAATCTGCCAAGAAAAAAAAAAAACAATGGCTAGCAGCAGTAGTAACACGCACCTCATCATCGCGGCGCTCGAGAGCAAAATAGTCCCGGTCCCGGACTTCGACTTACCCGCGCCGTATACCTACGAACTCCGGCGGCACCTTCTCACACCCCCGGAAACCATCGCAGAGCGCATCAAAGACGCAGACATAGTAATAATGAGCGTCGTCCCACTGCGCGGCAAATTCCTAGATCCCGCCGTCTCACCCCGCTTAAAACTCATCGTCGTTGTGGCGGTGGGAACCGATACAATTGATCTAGAAGCATGCAAGAAGCGCGGCATCGCGGTCGCGAATTCACCGCTGTGTAATTCGGTTGCTGTGGCTGAACATGCGATTGCGCTTTACTTTGCTGTGAGACGGTCGGTGGTGTTTTCGCAGAAGAAGTTGAGGAGCGCGGCGGAGTTTACGACGAATGATACGCTGCTTAAGGCTATGAAGGGCCCTGATGGAAACGCGCCGCGGACGTGCCGGCATGAGACGGTGGGGATTGTTGGGTATGGCGGTGTTGGGAGGATAGTGGAGTCACTGGCTAAGGCCCTGGGTATGAAGGTCTTGGTCTCCGGCCGGAAAGGTGCGTCGGCTACAGCCGAGGGGCGGACTTCGTTTGAGACGTTGATACGTGAGAGCTCTGTTATCGTGTTGTGTCTGCCCCGGAGTCCGGAGACGATGGATCTCATCTCGAAAGCTGAGTTGGAGGCAATGAAGCCCTATGCGGTGATAGTCAATGTCTCGCGAGGAGGCATTGTGAATGAGAAAGCCTTAGTTGCGGCGCTGAAGACAAGAAAGATTGGGGGTTATGCTACGGATGTGTACGAGCAAGAACCACCGAGCTTGGAAACTAGTACGTTACTGGCGCCTGATACGGCTGATCTGAATCTGGTTACGACGCCCCATGTCGCCTGGTTTGCTGAAGAGACTTTTACAAATTTCGCGGATGCGATAAAAGAAAATGTTGTGGGGTGGGTGAGTACGGGTAGACCGAAGTATCCCGTGATATGAGGGGCTTAGAAAGGCTATAGATGTCAACGAGCATTAGAAGTAGACAGCGAATAGATGTACTTGGCTACAATTAGGTATTTGATGAAGTGCCTCACTTGAGTATCTTACCGCTAGTTGTTCCATTTGGGTTGAGTCAATACCGCTCGCCCTCGAATGATAAATACTTGCATGAAAGGGGTCAAATTGTTCAATGAGTAGGCTATTTATTGTGCCTTCTGAGTCGACATACTGAATACCTAAGGTTGACAGTGATCCGGCTGGCTCTTTATACCCCTGCGTTTCGGTTGTTGGTGCTAGGACTTGTCTTTATTGAACATGTGCCGCTAACTAACATATTCATGATACGATGGCCTGGGTAGGTGAAAATAGGTATTCTCTTGATTGAAGAATAGGATAGAAGTTAAATCAAGAGCCTGAATGACGCCTGGTATCATTCTGCAAATGCTACACTCTATGCTGTATAACAGGAACAAACAGTAAACAAAACTCCGATGTGACATGCCACGAACTCCGAGGGGTACTCCGGTAGGACTCGTCACAATTCAAATAGGTTGAACTGATCTCTGTTTATTTACTCGCAACTTTGGAAATTCTCGCATCTTAACTTAAACATCGAGTAATTACTTCGTGGAATAACGAATTGTCTTACTAATTTGTTACAATTAGTTATAAGGTACAATCCTAGCTGAATTTAAGATTGAAATGCGCAATCGGTGCCAAATCCTACCCTATGATCTCTTGACCGTTCGATCTTAAAACGATCTTGGACAGCTTATTTCCTTACAGATTGGTCATCAATTCCCCCACTACCAGCATCTAAAGACTTTGGCTCATGAATGAATATCAGTATGAATCCAATAGTAGAAGTAAATCCCTCTTTCAACTCGCCTCATAACTCCATCATATATCCCCGAAGTGAACCCTCGAGAGCCACAACGGACATGTCTCACCTATCAATAAGACACCTCATGATGTCTAAACTAACGGTAAACCAAGAAACAGGGGTAGCTGACACCATTCCCAGCTAGCTCACCCGGGCTTACGTGGAGGGAATACCCGAAAACTGGAGCCGCAATTTCCCAACATCCTCCATATTCAGGGTCGCGGGCCCGTCCACTAAGCCTATCGGCCGGCTACCCATGCACATAATGCCGGCCAGCGAAGGGATAACTGCGGCGTATGAATACGAGGGTGGTGGGTTCTTGCCTTATTCTAGAAGAAAGGGGCGACGCTAGAATTACGATAAAGCCTTCAGCGTGTCCTGAATGAAAATTTTCGTTTTCTGTTCGGAGGTTTAGGTTGTGGACGTGACGTGACGCGACGGGACAAGATAAGACAGGCAAGATGCAGCATTTAGCGACATTCGCATTGGGTTTCTTCGGACTCGCTATTCCGGCGCTCGCTGGAGTAGTCGATATCCTGGATTTGCAAGACGGCGATTTGATACCGGGAAAATACATCGTGAGCCTCAAGCCGGGTGTCAGTATCGATTTGCATCTGGGTTGGGTGCGCGACGTGCATCGGCGAAGTATTTCTCGACGCGACACTGCTGGACTCGAGAAGACGTTTGGATTCGAGGGATTTAGTGGATACTCGGGAGAATTTGACGACGACACAATAGCGCAGATCTTGGCCGATATCAATGTAATGCTTGAAACCGGGACCTATTACGATGAGAAATGTAGCTAACACATTCAGGTCCTAGCCGTGGAGCAAGATAGAGTGGCGCGTCTGTCATCTAAGACGCAGGAAAATGATGCACCGTGGGGTCTAGCGAGTATATCGCAACGAGCTGAACTCGCCAATGGAGATACGACAGGTCACACGTACTGCTACGATGATACTGCCGGCGCTGGAACGTTCGCCTATGTGTTGGATTCAGGTGTTTTAACGAACAACACGGAATTCGAGGGCCGCGCTATCAAAGGCTACAGCGCATACGATGACGTCGAGTCATTTGACGATTATTACGGCCACGGCACTCACGTTGCTGGTACCATCGCCTCCAAAACATTCGGCGTCGCCAAAAAGGCAACCATCGTTGACGTCAAGGTGGTTCATGGAACGGTGAGTCAGCTACTACGTATTTTTAGATTTCCACCTATCTCATACGCAATGCGAAAATTTAGGGCTATTCAACCGTCTCGCGTGTTCTCGATGGACTAAACTGGGTCGTGAACAACATAACCAACACACCGGGACGAGCCGCCAAGTCCGTCCTCAACATGAGTCTAGGTACATTCCCCCTCCCCCCCAGCACTACCCATCCTCCTCCATCTAACACCCCCAGAATTCCAAACCTCCAACGCCCTCAACAACGCCGTAGACGCCGCCACATCCCTAGGAATCCTCAGCGTAGTCGCAGCCGGGAACCACGGGTCCGACGCATCAGCCCGCTCCCCAGCCTCCGCCCCCTCCGCCCTAACAGTCGGCGCCGTATCCTGGAACCGGACCCGCGCCTACTTCAGCAACTACGGATCCGTCGTCGACCTCTTCGCTCCGGGCGTAGACGTCCTCTCCACATGGAACGTCGAAGGCGCGCAGCGCCTCGATTCCGGTACTTCGATGGCGTCGCCGCATGTCGCGGGTCTAGCTTTGTATCTCAAGGGTCTGGAACACGGGTTAGATTCGCCGAGGGATACGATTGCGCGTATTAAGAAACTGGCTACGCCCGATGTTGTAGATGATGCTGGGAGTGGAAGTCCGAACTTATTTGCTTATAACGGAATTGTGTAACGTATGACAGCGGGGATGGGGATTATTGTGGGTGGGAGATGGGGGTGGACCGGAAAAGGAAGAGAGGAGGGGAAGGGAGGGGAGAGTTGATGTTGGATACTCATATTGGATGAGTTGTGATGAGGTCGTTATTTTTGGGATACCAATTTGCCTTAATACGTAATGGCCTTTCACTTCATGTCAGATAATTGCGAACACTTAAACAACTTATATGGAACCAATCCACACGGGCACATCTCAAGATAATTCATCATGTTAGCGTAGTCATTGACCGTGCCACATACCCTAAGCTAATAAAGCGATCTTGATGAAACGCAGTAGTAATGCTCCCTTAATGACTTCGTTCCATAGAAAAGCTTTTAATTCGGTATCAACCTAATCCTAGTGAAGGCACCGTAGCCTCGATGCCTGAGATAGAAACCTCTGTAAAGGAAAAAACAATGGTACAATGCAAAGTTGACGACCCGAACCTCTCAGCAAGAACTTTTCTGGCCCATTCCGTGCCAATGCCCCCGCCAATCAAAACGAGAGTAAATATTACCCCGAAGGAGTCCATTAAGGCTGAGTAAAATCGCGCTTCATCCTTAGCAAAGACCTAATATGGCCCTCGCTCTCAGCAGTGTCATATCCCCCATTAGCAGTGTTCGATGTAACACGCACTTTCCATCCAGGTCCGTGGTGCTCATCAGATTGGGGAGTGTGACCAGACGCCTAATGATAGTTACCGCCCCAGCCACCCTGCTGTTGTCGTCCACCATAATAGTTCCCGAGGCCCTGGTTGCCTCCGTATCCTCCATATGGACCATTGCCATGCCCTTGGTTGCCGGCACCTCCTAGGCCATATGCACTGCTTGCCGACTGATTACCATGAAGGCCGTGACTTAGGTGGCTAGGGTAACCACCATATCCACCCATACCCTGTTGGATCGATTGCGGGGGTGGAAGTCCAGATCCCGCGGCAGTGGTGTTCGTCGCCGAACCCGGTCGTGCAGCAGCAGCGAGCGAAGGGCTTGGGCCGCCGGCTGCCTTCGTGTCACCGTAGGGTTTCAAGTCATCAACACCAGAGCCAGTGGTAGAGGCGGGAGCATTCGGGGCATTAAACGCCTGCCCAGCCTGAGAAGGGTAACCCGAACCGCGGCCAAACGCGTCGTGCACATTTCCGAATCCACTGCTACCGAGACCTCCAGGTGCTCCAGATTGAGCAGAGCCCGCCCGACCGTAGGAGTCAACACCGGATCCGAGTCCGGTTTCACGACCAGCAAGGGAGGATTGCCCGAAACCACTTGTTGCCGGAGAAGAGCTGTGGTCATAGGGGCCTTGAGGCGACATGCCATATTGATGCGGCTGTCCATAAAGGCCACCCTTGCCGTAAGGACCACCACCATATCCCGCCTGTCCATAGCCACCACCACCATACTGGCTCATATACTGAGCATAATACGGACTCGAATAGTACGGGTGCGAGTATGGATATTGACCGGCATGGGGCTGTTGGTGCAAATTGGACTGCGGTTGACTAGTTTGAGCTGAGGCTTGCTGGCCTGCTTGTCCAATAGGGTTGGGTGTGTTGTGGCCGCTGTTATGCGACTCGGTAGAAGCAGCAGCTCCGTATCTCGTCGGTTGGGCGCCGCTCTGGGGATACTGGCTCAAGTTTTCGCTCTGACCCGCGTTGTAGGCACCGAAACCGCGGTTCGGGGCGTTCGACGTTTCGTGGTGAGCTTGACCTGCATGCTGTTGCCCGTACTGTTGCCCGTAGTAATTGTTATAGCTGTTTCGGCTCTGCGGGTCAGCTGTGTAATACGAAGAATAGTCGCTCGGGGCTGAGCTAAACGCGCCGCTGGTTTGCGGTCCTGCCGCTTGGGTAGTCGGGGTCGGGAAACTATCGAGACCAGCAGACGTTGTAGCTGTCTGCTGAGCGAAAGAGTCGTAAGGCTTTTGCGGGAACCCAGCTGGTTCCTGCACGCTCGTCTGGCCAAAACGTCCGAACTGTTGGTTGTTCGAAGGCGCTTGTGGCGCTATATCAGTATTAGTAGGGTGACTGATTTGAGGGTACTGCGACATACGCTGGGGTGTGGTAGCGGCTGGACCGGTGGGTGGAGCAACAGGCGTCGCTGGTAAATAGTTAGTATAGTAATAGGTCTGGTAGGGGTGATAGAGTATTGTACCAGTTGTCACAGGCGCCGAAGGGAGAGAAGTGGCAGGCTTCTGGGCAGGTGGGAAAGCCTCAGGAACCGCAGCAGGTTGGGCGACGGGAGGTAGGGATGCTCGAGGGACAGCAACCGGCGACTCAGGTGGTGGCTGAGTTCGAGTCTCGGGGTCTTCGCGGTCTCCGTCGATATCATCTTCGATGCCGTTTAAGCTAAAGGCACCAAATTGCACAGCAGCACGATCGACCTCGCGATTACCGGGCATTCGGACCGCTTCTTCCTGCTCGAGAAGTCGCTTCTGGTAACTGGGCATGCGAGGAGCGGGTCGCTCAGTTGCCTTGATCGCCGTCGCGGCATAACCACTAGCGGTGGGGCGTGCAGTTTGGTGTTGAGCGTGCGAGGCCGATACGGGGGTGGCTGTGGCGCTCTGTTGGGGTTGTCTCGGGTCCCAGGAATCTGCTGTGGTACTAGCAGCTGTAGCAGTCGTGGGCGGTTTAGACTCGTCAGGAAGCTGCTCTAGGTTAATTCGAGTCAAATCATCCTCGGGAGGAGGGAGGGCAACTTCAGGTTCGATAACCTTAGGGGGCTCCACAGGGGCAGAAGGCTCAACTACTTCCTTAGCAGGCTCTTGAACAACAGGCTCCGGCTCAGGTTCCGGCGCAGCAGGTTCGACAGGTGGAAGAGGCTCCAAGACCTCGGGGGCAGGCTTCGGGGCGGGTGTCTCCTTCGGCTTGGCTACAGGCTTCTGAGCAGTCGACTGTCGCAACATACTGGCCCAAGTCTTCTGTGTACCTTGAGGGATGACAGCGGGTTTGACAGAGGCAGTATCAACAGCAGCGGCGGTGGGAGTAGGAGTCGTGACGGTCTCGGCAGTAGAATCATTTGCGCCCGAGGCTGTGGCGCTAGCATCATTTGTAGATGCACCTTCGCTCGTTTTCGTGGGTCCCCAGCTAGAGGATTCTTCGGTCGGAACGGAGAGCTGTTGATTCTCCTTGAATCGCTGGCCGTTAGTGGCGGGATGAGTGGTCGCTCGGCCTCGGCCACTTCCCCTACCTCGCTCATTTCCGCGAGCGCGTCCACCTCGTGCACCATCCGCACGGCCACCACGTGCAGGTCTGTTCCCGGAAGATTCAGTTAAACCGGTAGATGTAGCAGAATCCTTAGCTTTAGGACGGGCGGTGGTCTTCTTCGGCTTCGAAACCTCTCCCCATTGAGAGATTGTACCTATAAGTCATATAATATTAACAAGGTGAAACACAATAACAAGGGAGAAAGTGTGAAAATGGATGGGATAGGAATCGCGATAGCAAAATGTGTAAAACATACCGTCTACAATTCGTGTAGCCGTAACCTCAATATCGCCGTCTGTTTCCTGTAGAGCGTATAGGACATCGGCGTCGGACCAGCTAGGGAATAATTCCTTAATGGCGTCAAGTTTGCCGCCGTACTGCTTCCTCAGTAGGCTGACATCGCCATCGTCATCTGTAGCGGTCGCATCAGCAGTCGTAAGTTTGTCGCCGTTAATTCGTCTAGGTGCAGAGCCACGGCCACCAAAGCCTCCTCTTCCACCTCGGCCGCCGCCTCGACCTCGAGAGGACGGCGCCTGGGATCGTGCCTGAACCTCGGCCATTTCTTAGACTTAGGTTAGGCAGTGTGGTGTAAATAGAAATAAAACCCTTCGTAGAAGGGAATGTCGATGATAGATATCAAATCGGCAATGCTATCAGGAGTGGTAGACGTTGTATTGTGTGGGAGGATGGAATGAGATTGATTTGGTGTGTGAAAATAGAAGGAAGAGTAAGAGAGATCGGGGATGGGATCGCGCGTTGAATGGTATGCGATTTGGTTCTGCGTAAGGCTAGCAAATTTAATAAAAAAAAAAGTATGCAAGCGTGTCAGAACGCGACGAAAAGGCGAATTGGCCAATTGTCTTAAGACAATGGCAATCGGTACTTAAGGTAAGGGAAGCTACAGTGCGGGCGGAATTGTTTGGATATTGGGTTCAACTTTTTTCTGTTTTGTATGTAAAGGTGCGTGTGCGTAAGATTGCAATCCAAGCTCACAGTGGAAAAAGGTGAAGTGGATTAAGATCTGAAGGCTTTTTCGGTCGTTGGATTATTGATAGTCCCGGGCCACCTAGCTATTGGGTACTTTGGGTACTAAGGCATTTCTAGCTTGTTTGTGTGGGTAAATGGTTAAAAAAACTTGTACCTAAGGCACGTACGAAAAAAAAAGGTACTTTCGTTAGTACAACAACATTTATCGTTAGTGCTTGCCTTCCAGCTGACGCACAGGCCGGATTAGTGCACTTACCTTAAAATCTAGGTAAGTTCCTTCCCTAAACTCTCCTGACCTCGACATGAGATTGGTACCTGCCACTATAGCAGCTGAGCACATACCAACCTGTACCTAAGGTAGGGATTATTTCCCCACAGTATTTCGGCATTTTCTTGGCTGTGATTTACTAACTTGAACCGCGCAGATGGGATATCATAGTGGCACGTGCGAGTCATTGACTGTATGCAAGGTACCTGGGTACGTACATATGCACGGGGAAGCTTGAGCAGTTGACCTAGATGCCCTGTTAGGAAGAACTCGCTAAGGTAGCCGCCCGGATTGATCTACCTACATGTTTTTGTGCTTCGTACTGTACGAATTCAGTCAGTGTACTTCTTTTTTAATTGAAATAACATTATGTACCTATGGAATGTTTGCTGGTGTGCACCCACACCTTTTTCTCTCTCTTTCCTTTCTTAGCATATATATAGGTAGGTACAGTAATCAGACGTTGGAATTTGTATGGATTGTATTTGTCCTGAATATCAGTCAAAGGATGCCAAGTTGCATGTCAGACATTACTGCATTTGGTTAAGGACGACCTATAAAAGCCTATCGTCTCAATATCTATCATGATAGAAGCAAAGCAAAGCAGATAAGTACCTAAGGTCGGTGATACAAACATTAAGGGCTGCGAACTCCGGCAACTTTGCTGCATTTATTTTTAGATATTATGGAATGGGCATTGATTGGTTTGTTTTTCCTTTCAGATTATTAGAGTCAAGTAATCAATATAAATTCACATCCAATCCTAGCAATCACGGCCACCCTTACTTCATCGCCATGGCCACTTAGTTGAGCTGTGAACTGAGGCTTCCGGGGTTCTATTGAATATTCCAAGGTTGTATTATTTCTTTAGATACCTGGGCACCTAAGGAATCGATGGTCCCATTTGTGATTCGAGCTTAAGGATAAATGTGGCCATCGCATGACTCAATCGTAAGTTGGATCTTATCGGTGTTGGATCTGATGGCGTGAAGCACTGTGATGTCATCATTTCGAAGTATCGATAACCTTCATACAACGATAAAATCATGACTAAAAGCTGATATCTTTATATCTAAGTATCATAAAAGGGACTCTATTTAAATTTAGCTTTTCTCTTCTTCTTTTACTCTATGATATAAATAAGAACCTCATATCATCCACCATTATCCAAGCTTGGCGCGTGGACGAATCAAAAGGAGAGATGCAAAAGATTGGATGTGAGAAAACCACGCCAATCTCGATGGTCGGCCAGTTGGAGATTAAGAATTCGGTTCCTGCCAGGAGGCATGCTTAGAAAAAATTAACTGTCACAGGGCGAATATCAATATTGCGCTCATTTTGAAGGGGTTTGATCCCGCCATCAGTAGCGGCAAGTTCAGGTTGAACGGGATAGACAAGCTGGTCGATGATATTGTTGATGTCAACAACAGAGGCTTCGGGTAGTCCCAACATCAGATACATTATACGATATTAGAGACTTCGTACAATGATCCGCCACATAAGTCTCTTTCAGTTTACCACGGACTACGGAAAAGAACTCGGGACCTCGATCAGAAAACGCATTAAGTGGGACAGTTATAATTGATTCTCCTTCACCAAGGCGAAGAACCAATAGCTACATATTCAAGAATTGCTTTTTCAGCAGCCAGCTGTAACACAAGGTACACAGATGCGAAGATACTGTCGCTATACATGATGCATTGTGGTCAATTGCTCCAAGGCAGGATGCGTCTACATCCTATTATCAGACTTTACAGCATAGTCGAAAACTCCCACACGCGCTACACGTCCCAACAAAGGCCTGGTTGACCTTTTAGCCACTTAAGCAGACGCTTACAAGATTTTCCTCACAGACCGGTCACCCTTCATGCAAGGGTTGGGCACTCGGGGTTAACCGGTGAGTATGCACTCTTAATTGATGCGTATGTCTAAGTCATTGTGTTACCCCATGTCTTGAAGACAGGTAAACACATTGATACATTACGTTGAACGCAGTCTTGGCATGCCAAATTATCTCAGAAACCTCCCGTCGATCATATGGAGCTTGTCACACCCAGTGGCTGGGGATTGTGACTAGTCCTCTCTAGGGATTCCTCCAGCTGTGACCACTGAAAATTGTCTTCTCCAGTCAATCTTGAAGAGCGTCTCAGTAGCGCTTATAAAGCTCAGGTACGCGCTGTTTCTTGACGATTCCGTCAGGCATAAAATAAACAAGGTCTAGCGGGTATTAAGCAGATTAGTCGGGATGGTGAATTTTCTCGATGTGTTCTTTAGAAATTGAATTTCTTTCCTAGGAGGTCGATTATTCGGATTTGATAGACATAGTGAAACGGGGTTTTCAATCATGAGCCATTGCAATAGGAGGCTTAAGGCAGAGCTCCGGTCGGCGTCTTCTCTTTTATCAATCTGTCGACTTACCATTTAAACTACTGGGCATGTCCATCAATGGTACGGCGACAAATAGACCAAGGTCAGCGGCATTTCGTCTCATGCGTCGGTCGCACGAAGTTAAATAAATATTGTCAATCCGTAATCTAGTAGCGGGGGGTCATCCCTTCCGGTGGTTCCCCACGGCGGCGGTTGTTCTGGCCTGAATGGCCCCCATTGCCTTTATAGCCCCGGCCACCACAGCCTGCTAGTTCCGGCGCGGGTTATATCTAGATGGCATTCTAAATTGACGGTGCGGCGGCATTTGTAGCTTCGGCATCGACCCGATGCTCCATGTTGGGGATACCCCGGCATCCCCCTCACGCCGAGAAGAGTAAGAACTAGATCAAGGCTAGCCACATACATACCTGCACAAGCCGACTAGGACTCTCGGGTCGTAGAGTGAGTAATATGTGTTTAGGTCCGATCGGTGGTGGGCAACGCTGACTATCTTCAAGGATAACAGGGTAAGCGGATGCCGTCAAGGATTATGTGCCTCCCAGCTACATCCGTTCGCCCTCCGGTAGACTCCACATCTGTCGATACGATGCCATCTTGATTACCACTAACACATCAATTCACCTACCCAAAATACCTATATAGGTTTTCTGGTAATCATGTTTTTACACCGACTCTCTTCTAACGCCCGGGATATTTATCTAATTCTTAGAATTCTCGGTTTTCGGATGTCTTACTAAATTGATAATGATTTTGAAGATTTGGCCCTAATGATTAAACAATAATTACCTAGGTATCATATCCACAATGAACGTTTCTGGGACGCCCCAGGAAATTTCGCCGCAAGCTCATCGCGGAAAGAGTGATACAGGCCCACAGCCACTTGGTGCACAAGATAAATCTCTCGAGGCAAATATTCCAATACCGATCCTACCACGTCGAAAATGGTGGTGGCCATTCCCTGCTCCTCCAACCGAGGAAATAGGACATCCTCCCGACGGTGGTATCATTGCCTGGCTCCAAGTTTTGGCAGGGCACCTCACATGCTTCATTACTTGGGGGTTGATAACTAGTTTCGGTATCTTCCAGTCGACATATGAGGAGATGCTCGGCGAGTCAGCATCTACTGTATCATGGATTGGCACTATGCAGACCTTTACCCTTCTATTCGTGGGGACGGTATCAGGACGCCTAAGCGATGCGGGCCTCGTTCATGAAGCTGTCTTTGTGGGAACACTATTTATCGCCTTTGGAATGTTTATGACTAGTTTGGCTACGCAGTACTATCAGCTCTTCCTCGCACAAGGGCTCTGCATCGGATTAGGGATGGGCATTTTGTATATGCCTGGTCTTTCGGTACCGTCGTCATACTTCAAGGCGAATAAATCTTTGGCGGTCTCTATCATTGCATCAGGGGCAGGGTCGGGTGGCTTGGTGTACCCAGCAATGGTTCAACAGCTGCTTCCTCGAGTTGGTGAGTAAACCTCCCTCGCGTGACATGGGAGTAGGAACTTATGCTGCGACTAATTAGGATTTGGATGGACAATTCGTTATATGGCTTTCGTGACTCTTTTCGTCGCCGTTCTCATTAATGTTCTCCTGCGGGTGCGAGTACCGGCTCGTAAATCGGGCACCCTGGCGGATTTTCGAGCTTTCAAGGAGCTGCCATACGTCCTTTTCATTGTGGGCTTCTTCTTTATATATTGGGCTGTGTACTTTGCCTTCTATTATGTTCGTGTCCCCCTTTCTTATTGCGATTCCATTGCTGACTCACCTTGCTAGATTGATCTCTACGGCCACACTTACGCGAATTTCACATCCCTCGACTCCATCGATATCCTGTTAATCACTAATGCGCTAGGGATTCCAGGTCGTATTGTCCCTGGTTTTATTGCCGCGAGGTATTTTGGGCCTTTGAATACTGCTATCCCCACGGCGATTGCGGTTAGCATCGTCTTGTATGGTTGGATTGCTGTCGCACATGCACATGGTCCGCTCTATGCGTTTGCTGCAGTATATGGTTTTGTAGGTAGTGCTATCCAATCGCTGTTTGCTGCCTCACTGGCAGCACTAACGACAGACTTGAGCCAGCTTGGGACCAGGATGGGAATGGTATTCAGTGTGGTGGCGTTTGCATGTCTGACAGGAAGTCCGATTGCGGGCGCTATCATAGATGCAAACAATGGCAGCTATCTGGGAGCGCAGATCTGGGCGGGTACATGTCTGTTACTGGGTGCCATAGTTCTGACTGCAGCAAGGATAAGCCGGACGGGGTGGGTACTGAGGATAAAGGTTTGAGATAGGACTCCCGACTCATTAATAGAAGTTGATTTCAGGGCCGAGGATCGTGAAGGACATTTGTAGCTAAGGCCGATGTATTATTGAGTGTATTCAACAGCGCTGCACATATAAATGTTGGTCTAGAAAAGTTAATAAAGAGCTGAAGGGCCTTGAAAATGAATTTATGACGGTAAAACTCCGGATATGGAGAGGTGGGGTAAACGGACGGGAAAATCATTGGTCCCCGTCCCGACCGATGATTCGATTGAGATAATCCAATTCTTGGAACTCTACCTTCTACATCATGCACCTTATCTTATAATGAAGCGACGACGATAACCCGAGTTCAATGGAGACGACTGGGACACCGTTCAATTAGATAAAATCTGAAATCGGCTTCAATTTAATAAGTAACATCGAATTGTGACATCCAGATGTCCCTGCAATTCCGGACCTAACCATCACATCGTCATTGTCACTATCGCTGAACATTCAAGATGGTAGTCCGAACAACTTCGCTTAACTCTATAAAGAATCTTCTCCCAAAGATACACCAACCCTTACCAATAAGCCGCCGCGACTCTCAACAATTACTCGAATCCATCACTACCTCTTTCCGAAGGAACCTTGACGAGGAACACCCATGGGAACATGGCAACGAGCCAGTATCGCAGAACTCGATTCCCCAAAGCAGAAAACCTACTGCTTCGACATTCATAAACTCAAATTCCTCATCACCGTCTCCTGCGTCGACAGATATTTCGAATCGCCAACGTCCTACAGACCGTCATCTACGCGCCATTCTCTCCAACCCACTTTTTGCTCATCAAAATAACAAGAAGTCGCCAGCGGCCCGTAGAAGCCAACTCGATGTATTCGACCATGCCGTAGCGAGAGGGCTTATGACACCCCGGCGCGCTGCTGGTTTCCTTGCCAAAGTGAGATCAGAGATAGTAGGCGAATCCGAAGATGATATCCGACTGGGCATGGCCGATTCTGGTGCTGGGCTTCGAGTAGTACAATGGCTTAGGGCGTCTGGCTTAGAAAACAATCTCCAGTTTCTTTCCGATCCTGTCCTATTCCCAGCACTTATACCTTTCATGTATGCTGAAGGACTCGAAGAAGTAGCTTGGCATTGGATGGCGCGTATAGGTACCCGTGACGAGGCTGATGAGATCAAGGACGCTCAATTTGCTGTCCTGTCCTCACTTCTATACGCGATTATGAAGCAGACAAACACCTCTTATTCCGGGCTCAAGACTAGCCTTGATCCATCGTACGAGGCCGTTATCCGCGCAAACGATATCTTACCAAAGAAGAACGTAACACTCAAAAGTCTTAAGGATATCTGGGTTGATTTATCATGGGCTTCCACCGTATTCGCTTCGGAACGACCTAAACCTTCAGCTCATTTATTCGAATCTTTCGTCAAAATTGGGCGTCCTCTCAAAATGCGACTTGATTTAGCCCATTTAGAACTTCACCATCCATTAACGCCGAATCATTTTGCCGCCGTTCAGTTCATGCATCGCAATGCCAACTCGACCGACCTTCGCCCCATAATTAGGAAGAGGCTTCTCTGCTTAGCTATGGATACGGCTGATCGGCTCAAGGAGGTTGGGGATACTGAAGAAGTCTCATGGGTTGAACGCTTCCTAACGAGATTAGGCTACGACCTAAATACATGTATCGGTATCTTTAACGCTCTAGAGGGAAGTTTAATTGCGTCAGAACTGCCTATACGTCGTATGTAGATATTCGTGGAAATACGACATGATTAATGATTATGGAGTTAAATTGGATGGTACTATGGGAAAGGGATACCTGCGAGGGCCGGCGTTTGGGGGCATTGCACTCGCATAGCTTTACAATTAGGTACATATGCATTTACCTCAAAACATAAATATAAATTCGTGGAAAGATATCACGAGATACTCATAAATTCATGAACATTATTAGATCCTCGTTTTTCGTATCTTGCTCAATACAATGCACATCAAGGTCGTGTATATACATGTTTCGCCACCTCAAATCGCTTGACAAACATCATAGGGTATCGTACAATCGCCCGACGAACTAAAAGAATGCTCAAAATCGTACATATCAGTCGTTTCTCATATCCTTTTGTTATTCCCACCCGCTTAGATCTCTCGTCAACACATTCCATCATGATATTATTACGTATTACAAGCAGCCAACAACGAAAGAGAGGGGACAGGAGACGAAGAGGCTCACTCCTCCATCCCATTCACAACCCTCAAAGCACGCCTAGGACCCAAAACAACACTAATAAAATTCGGCTCGCGCCCATCCAACAACGCCTCAGCCGACCCACCACTCGCGGTACTTCGACTTGCACCGCTCTTCGAACGTCCAATGCCACTTACACCCGCGCCATTACCGCCGTTGATATAACTACCATAACCCCAAGGATTCCGATCCTCACTAGGCCTCGGTCTCCCCGACCCATTCCCGGAACCTGAAGTTCCGGGACTGGGCTCATCACTACCGGTCATGAATTTTGGCTCGTTGAGATGGCCTACCCAACCGAAATGCTCGCTATCCACGCTGGAGGAACCGCGACGGTGCGCTTTGAAGAACTTTTCACGCATACCGCCTGCACCGGGTGGAGTGGTGAAACTATTGCTGTCGTCTTCGACGGCGCCGGAGTATCGGTTTGCGACTAGCATGTGTCGCTTATAGGCCCGGACTTGGCGACGGTAGAGCCATGCGCAGAATCCGAGGTAGAGTGCTGCGAGGCCTGCAAAGCCGGCTATTACGCCTGCGGCGATTAATCCGCCGTTTGTGCCTTCTGGTGGGGAAGATCCTGGAGAGGCGGGGTTCGTGCCGACGGTGTTTGGGCTATTGGTTACCGTCGCTGTGCTGCCGGGTTGTGTGATTGTGAATACGGGTGGTGTACCGGTTTTGAAGGGTCCGTCTGTAGCTGGCCCGGAGGCGGGTTGGGTAGCGGTTGCGCCGCCGTCGGAAGAACCGCCTACGATGGATTGGATTATATCGGGGACTTTGTATCCGTAACTACCGGCGAGGATGCTATTTTCAGTGTGATCATCTGCGGGATGGTCTGCGGCATTGAATAAGTTCTTCCACTGGAGTTTTGAGGCGTCAAAATTATAGATGCCAGGATTGTCGCATGCGATTTCTGTTCCAACATAACCGCCGATTACAACCATCTGGCCGTCTCGTGCAGCGCATTGGTGGCCAGCTCGCGCAGACGGCTCTTTGCTCGTTGATGTGTCGATTTTGATCCATGTGAACGAAGGGACGGTTAAGATCCATATATCCGTGTATTGAGTTTGGTTTCCGTATGGGAGTAGGTTCTGACCTCCATACATATAGATGTTGAATGAACTAGCATCGGGGGCCGAAAAAATAACTGCGCACGGATTGACCCGGACCTGGGGCGCTTCGCCAGAAGTCACTTGGTGGTACCAGGTACTCGTCTTGATGTCGTAAACATCGATGGTACTCATAGAAGAAAATGCGTCGGTAGTTTCGTGGTCCCCAACCACTCCTCCACCGAGACCTAGTAAAATACCATTTGGTCCCCAGCCAGGTACATAAACGAGGACGCCATCGGCTCGTTCCGTGAAGCCATCTTGGTTTTGGATGCCACCCCACGTAATATTACGATAAGCGCCTCCAGCGGGGGCGCCAGACGAGCGGAGTGACTCAACTCCGGAATTGGCGTACCCGGGGTGTGTGAACTCAAGCAGACTTTTTAAATACACTCGCCCGATTTGGTCCGTCCACCCCGGCGTAGTAGCCCAATCGAGGTGCCCCCCAAAATACCAACTAACGCCGAGTTCGGGTACAGAGATGCCAGCACCTTCTGCAGCCCGTTGTACAAGAACTCCCTCGGGATCCGAATAGTTCCCAGCTGATGTTTTAGGATTTTGAAATTCAGTCCATGTTGACGATGCGACGTCGTACATCCACGTCGATATTGGTGAGGGTTCCGCGACAGGAGTGTCGGAGAATTCGCCGCCGTAGAGGTAAAGACGGTCTAAATCGTTCCAGAGATAGCCAAGAGATACAGCTGGAGGACCAGATGGTCGAGGAAGACCAGTCAGAGCTGGTGAGCTGATATCCCACGATTTTGTGAGATCGAGTGTGATGAAGTCATTGTCTAGCGTTGGTTAGCAGCGGTCGCAATTGCCTCGTACATCTTGAACGTACTCCATTCGTCTGATGTTTGACTTCCCGTAGACTTCGACCGGCCACCGTAGAAATAGACGGTCCCGTTAATTAGAGCGCCTAGAATCCCGGTCAATTACATCTTACTAGTAGCAATAACGGAAGTAGCATTCCTTACTTTGGCCTGCCCATCTTGTACATACGTCGGTGGGACTATTCTCGCGGGTCTCGAGGATAACGCTCGAGGGAGGCCTGATCACGCCTGCGTCTGCGCCGCTGATTTCAACCTTCTGACGGCCGTTATTATAACTAATGGTAGGAAGAACAATTGCGATAAGCAGAGCGATCATGGAGAGCCTATGAAGCCCTGCGGTGGTGGGAGGTGGCGCACTGGTAGCAGTTTTAATTCTCGGGCGCCTCGTCGGCGTCAACTTGGAGAACCACCTTGATTTTCCTTCCGACGAACTTTCTTCCCTGTTGGAATCTTTCCTTTCGATTGGGGACGTCGTTTCTGAAGTCGACCCCATTCTTCCGCTCGGTTCGCTTTCTTCGTTTGTCTCAGAAGTCGTATCTTGGTGACCTTCTTGTTGATCTTCCTCTTCCATCAACCCTACCTCCTTGAATATCGATCGTCGGTTTTTCCGAATGTTGCTACCCATCGGGAGTGCTGGGAGTTTCGAACCTTCTCTTAACCGATCCGACGTTTTTAAGGAATTAAATCTCGGACGCCCAGTCGTGTTTTGTTGGCTTCCAGGGTCGGATTTTCCGTGGGAAATTTTGGTAAAAGTCATGGTGAAATTATATTCAGCTATCGCGAAATACTAGAGTACGGTATATAGCCCCCAAAATCGCTCCTTGCAGAATAGCATCGCCACTCTATGCATGGTGATGACTATGGGAGGGGGAATGGCATCCCCATATATGAACATGAGGTCACAAGGCAGCTTTTAAAGAGTTTTCAGAGGCGGGTTGAAATGCATAACAACAACAAGGGGGCCAATCTCGACGGAGATGCTGCTACTTAGGGGTACAACAAGCACCGGGATTTACTGTAACATGTCTAGTTAGGTACCTAGGACTACCGATTCAGAATGTAACTGGGTGACATGGACTCTTGGTCCACTACATCATGGATACATGATGGAGGTTGGATGCCATGATTGCATCAACCAGTAATGATTCTATACTATAAAGAGCCCATTAGTAGGACCCAATGAGTTGAAGTAGGAAACTTGCGAGAAACTTGGAAATTTGTTAATAGAAGTCGGTAAGTGTGTTGTTACTCATTACCCTTTTAGGCCAGGAACGAGCAGGTTCAACAAAGATGATTGGCTCTTGAGAATTGGGGCGGTCAGGGGTAGGTCAGGCATGACGACATACCCCAAGATCTAGTCGATCCAAAGTCCGAAAACTGAAGCATTAGACAAGATTGGTTCTCCACATGGAGATTTTGCTCCTGGCTGCATTTCTTCTAGTATTCTAGTACGTTATGAAGAAGCGCGAAGATCGACGTTTGAATGGATTGGTTGGAGATGGTCGGTTGATGGTTAAATTAAGTTGTTGAAAATAGTATAACTCGTAAACCGTTCCTGGTGATGCGGAGGTCGCTAAAAGCTTAGTATGTCTGGCTGGTGGATAAAATGAGTTGTTCCTGGGAGTGGTCACTTTCTTCGTCCTTCTACGCGATGTGGAAGATTTGAAGTAGTAGATTTTAGACAACCTTAAAACTTGAAATCTCGAATGTGGCGTCCGGATCATGGAGTTCCGGGCATTGTAAATGCGCCACAACACTGCCACACTCGACGCCTCTAGATAGTAGGCGCTGAGATACTCGTAAGTACCTAGATACTTGTACCATGGAGGCTAATACGTACCTATATGTTAACATAAAACTACAATTGAAGCTGTAGGGCACTCGAATTATCACATACCTACCTAGGTAGCTAAAATATCTGGCGGTAGCTCCTAGGTATATACGGCGTCGATGTTCCAGCTATAGGGTTGTATGTGTGTGGATACAAGTCGTGAAACATAAGGCAGTATCGGTGTCGGGTGTTAACACGCGCCGATGTAAATTCTACGCCTTTTTCGGTACTAGTGCAGTCTCACTTTCGACGCACCCTTACGGGTGCAGCGCTTTAATTTACAAATGGTGCAGTAATTAACAATTGCCGAGGTACTTCCGACTCCATAGAAATCTCATATAAATACACGTATTTTACCCAAATCAAAATATTGATCTAACCAGGGAGCACCCCGTAGTACATAAGCAGCCATACTAATTACATGGTATCGGATGTACTTCGGGCGACTTGCGAATCAATGCACCATTTGTAAATTAAAGCGCTGCACCCGTAAGGGTGCGTCGAGAGTAAGACTGCACTAGTACCCTTCTAAATATTTTTTATTTGGCAGTTTAATATTATTCAATCGCACGCAACTATGGAAGCAACGATGGCTGCTATTAATACCATTCATGACTCATGTGAGATATATGTATCTTCAAAGTATAACTGCATTATATCGCATGAACAACTTTCAACTCCATTCCACATTGAAATTGACATCAATTATGTGATCAGCATACTGCCAATCCACTCACCCACCAGGAACATGATCGAATAATATGCCCTAGGAAAATCGTCGGCGCCGTATAATAGTCTACTACTACCGCTAAAATGGGTCACAATGATCGAGAGTTGCCGGGCTTACCATGCGAAATCTTTCTCATCGCATGTTCATATCTATCGCCTCAGGAAGCACGATCGTTACGATTATGCTCTAAAATATTTGCAAACATTGGAGCTTGTCGCGGCTTCGAGCAGATCACCTTCTTTCTCTACGGTCCCGATCTCGAGAAATTACACGATATTACTAATCACCCTATCATTAGCAAAAATGTCAAGACCATCGTTTATGAAGCAGCCATCCTCGAGGACGAGTTCCTTAGCTTCGAACAATACAGAGAGAAATCCCGTAATTTCTACTTGCACAATCGGGTGAAAAATGTTAAGAAGAATTGGATCCCGGATATCGCGTTCCGGAAAGCACCTATCGATTCGGAATATATACAAGAGAACTACCTAGAATACAAAAGGATCTTCACTCAACAAGCCCTGATACTTGAGCAGAACTTGGATTTCGAACATCTCAAGGCAGCCATCCCCAAACTCAGAGGTCTAAGGGAGATTGAAATCAACAACGCGCGCCCCCTTCGACGATCGCCCTTCGATGCATTTTTCGCTCGGATCAACTGGTCATATCCCGAAATGGCCAGACGGCAGGTAGAAGCTGTCATGCATGGGTTGAAAAACTCTGGTATCCAGTTGCACACCCTTCGCGGCCTTAAACTAGAGTCATGCTTAATTAATCCACAGACCCTCGATATTATGGCTATAGCATGTGGTAGGTTAAAGTCGATCAACCTTGAGTTCCTCGGCAAGGACACGTATATCTTTGGTTACATAAGTATACCTGGAGAACTCCGTGCATCGACCCAGGATAGCGCACTAAGAAAGTTCTTTTCACGCCTTCCCAATCTTGAAGTCCTGGATTTGAAATTCATTGAGTCACTGATGCTTATGAAATATCCGGTTCGCCTCTACGATGTTATTACTCCGGGTTTCGTATGGGCAAACCTGCGCGAAATTTGTCTACATTTCATCGAGAGCGAGAGATAGGAGTTACTCGCTTTCTTCGAGGACCACCAGCTGACGTTAAAGACCCTCCAATTGCATAATTGCCGACTTTCTACTTCTTCGTGGCTGAAGCTAATATGGCAGATGAAAGGAAGATTGAAATTGCATGACATACGCATCACTGGGAGAATTACTGGCAGATTCGAAGCAGGAGAAAGATATTCAGGCGCGGGCGGGGGTTCTCACTCAGACGAGGAGCAATACTGGTGGATTGGACATCTAGGACTACGTTCTCCTCTAAGTCTTGTAGCTGACATAGCGGCTTGGATTATTCACGATGGGCCGTTCCCACCATTCCCTGGGGTACTATCATATGAAGTGGATTAAACTTATGATGATATATTCGGATGGAGAGAGCCACAAGCGGAAATCATTGCTTTTACGGCTAGACACTCATTGTACGACTCGAACACAACAAGCTAAACAATTCGCATGACATTCCCACATCCTATCAATAACACGTCGAATTACAAAGCGGTTATAATTAGCGTCAGAAGGGAAATTCAATACACTCAGTTTCAGGTTATCAAACAGTGCGCATCTGATGTTACACGTCCCAAATGAAATCACGCGGTTACAACCCCAACACGATTCTCATAATTATAATAACGGAAGGGCAGAAATCATCATCGAATCTGGCTGGACAAAGCCTAACTCCCTGGCGTACTTGTATTTGAGCCTTTAAAGACCTTTGATGACCCTTGACTGGAGTCCTGACTCGATTATAACTTATTCGATTTGAAGTGATTGGGAGCATATCCTACCAACCCCATTCGCCGCAAAGTACATGGATTCAAGGGAATAGGGCCACTGATGTGACTTGGAAGTGAACAATTCCTTATTCCTCAAACCAGTATTTACATTTAAATCCCATCTGAATTTTCTAAATTACTGTACACTTCTACCGCAGTGCAACGCTACGCAGACCCGAGAGATAGAAAAAAAAAATAAATCTACCTCCCCGATCGCAACACGCAAAATGTCCATTTTTCTGCTCCTCCTCCTATTCACAGGAGCCTTTGGAATTAACGATTGGATTACGCTTGCACCTGGATCGACGTTATACTTATCCGGCACGCAGAAAATAGAAGACGTCCTTAACTATACACAAACAAGTACAACGATGTTGGCGCATGGGGTTTCCCCGAACATTTCGGCCAACGCGACGGCGCCGCCGTATCCCATGACGAACCCTTCCGTTCATGGGCATATTCCCACACCAATGCCCGCGGCTTTACTTGTGCCCTTAAACTCTTCTAGTCTGGGCCCGATTACTCCTTTTCAGATTCACGAAACTGCCACTAGCACCCCGCCCCCTTTCCAGAACTCGTCGGTCCCTCTCGCAACAGACAAAATATCGACTTGCGTTACGGTAACTTTGACCAAACCGACTACGACTACTGAGACGGTTTACATCACGAAGACAGATGGTGGATGTGTGGCGCACGGTGTAGACCCGGCGACATCCCCGATTGTAACATCTCCTCCCACTACCCAAAGTCTCGTGGCCACCACCACTATAGTTGATACTTCAGCATCACTCATGTGGGGCGCGCCTGTGCAGGGAGGGAGCGGAGGAAGTCCCGATGTGGATGGTGGCGATGATGATGGGGATGCCAGCCCTATCCCGGACTCACCTGTTCCTTACACAGTGACGATTACCACTTCTATACTAGCACAATCGGTTCAAGATTCAGCCACGAGTACGAGCTCGAGCTCGAGCTCTATTACGGTTCCTCAACATAAACCACCGGTAATGGACACGATACCCGCTGGAAATGATCCTGGTGTTGCTGCGCCGACAATGAGCACCACCCCGACTCCGGAGGCATCGATCAAGCAAATGACGACCAGAACGACTCCCACTTGGGATCCTACCATCGAGCCAGCTGTAACGGGCACGTCTTCCACTAGTACTTCGTCAGACCAACCGTCAACTCTAGATTCGACAACTGAGCAACCCACAACGAGTACGTATTCTGTTAGTACCCCATCGGACCAACCACAGACGACGAGCACCACTCCCGTTCCGGATACCTCGGTCCGAGAGCCGTCTCATACAACTCCCACTACTACGGCGTCGACTACCATCAAGGTCACTCCGATAGCTCGGTAAATGGCGGGTCTTCATTATGATAAGCTCGTGAAATTTTGAGGAGGGCGGCAAAGGATACATTATGTGACTGAAGGCTATGGCAGAATGTATCATTCATAGATAGTTTGTAGCCATACTCTTTACGGGAAATTGTGTTGCGGCCCCTTATGCAAGTGGGATGAGATAGTATTATGCATTTTGGAAAGTATTTAATGTATATTCCCACCCCTTGTGCTTTTTGAGGAGCCTTTTTCTAGGGAGTTAATTGACTTCTTTCCTTAAACCAAGAGAACTTTGTGATACAGTGAAATGTGATCGTATATCTTTAAGCCCACTAATCGTGGATACACAATAAAACTAATTAAGAAGGGACAATGAAACCACCGCAGTTGTTTTATTTAATTGGTATTAATAAGATGATATTACTCCTGCTTAACTAACGACTGAGGTTGATTTCTAAATGAATAGTGCAGTCTTTCCAGTTAATGAGGCCGCCTTGGCTTGCTTCAATATAAAACACGACCATATTGATGAAAGCGTTTCCGATACCTTCAGAATTTTCCTCTAGCAACTTTTCCATTCCGAGTATGAAGGGGTTATTCTTCCTGACTTCGACCCATCCTCTTTCTCCTGTGTTGATGTGGTACAAACCTGTGTCATCGTACCTGTCGATAGTTTTGAAGGCATTCCTTATAGCGCTACGAACGTCTAAATTTACGACGTCGTAATAAAAAACATTGTCTAAGGTGTTTAAGTTGCCGTGAATGAATTTGTAGCTGGTTGCAAGGACATTGCGAGCTTTCATTGGCGGATTAGTTACTTCGGTGTTGACAGTAAAACATATGTAATGGCCGCGAAACGTGGCAAATTTGGATATTTGCACTATAGAACCGTTGTTCCTTCGCTGTCGTGCTAGGTATACCTTAGGCTTTGCTCCGGAATAGTAATCATGTAGAAATTTCGCTTCGTCCTCTAGTAGGTACGAATTGTTGGTTATTTGAATAAGGAAATATGTCTCTGATATGTCCCATATGGTCCCGTTGGGATCGTAAAGGCTGTTGGAGGCCCAATTTGCAGAAGGCATGGTGAGCGTCCGGTTGGGGGGGATTTAATGCTACCGTGGATGACCGAATAGATAATTGAATGAATGACTAACTCTCGACTAATGATTAACTGCAGTGTGAATCATTAGTTGTCTCATTTATTCTTTGCACATATTATTTCACTGTACTGTGTTATGGTAGCGTACCTAAGTGAAAAGGGGGGTCAACAATTAGAATTATACGCTTTCTTGATGATACCTCAGGAGAAATGTGTCACGAGTAGTTAGTATTGATCGGAGCTAATATGGGATGATTATCTGTACCTAGGTATGTTTATCTACAGTTTGACTTAGCCGTTCCTGCTTGATCTTAAAGTCACAGGTGCCGGCTGTCACTTTGGATGAGTTGATAGCCTTTGGTCGCACTTACCTAGGAATCCTATCTTAATTGGGAGGTTCGACTTACTCTGGCTACTTTAGAGAAAGAGCGAAAGGGGTATCTACGGTATGCCAGGGTGGACGCTGACGCAGTAGGGCTGAAGTCGTAACAAGAAGGCTCGAGGGAGAGGATTTACTTCTTATCGAGTATCTACCTAGGTACTCAGGTATCTAATTTTAAAAGTGTTGAAACCCGCGCGAGTATTATCTAATATGTTAGCAGTTATACAGTGGAATAATTCGGACCACCCCTAAGGACATCGTGAAGTTCGATATGTGTGGAACTCTTAGTGTAAACAATCTTGCGGTTCATTAACAACATCATTATCTCCTAGTTCGCAGCAATGATAGTGTAGGTGTAGTTAATGACGGGATATAGGTAACACAAGAATGGTTCTTCGGAGTAATCACGATCATTTGATCTTAAGAATTCCTATTTTGATACTTGGAGTGTTGTCTCTGTTGACCTATCATGTTCAATTAAATTCACTACTACTACACCTGAATGATATTGAGATTCCCATCGACTCTTGATAGAGTTCTTGAATAGAAGTGAGTCTGGTGTTACAGCATGGTTGGTTTCATATTTAGCATCCGCGAATCCGGGATGAGACAGGAGGACAGGGTCTCAAAGCTTGCTTGCGGGGGAAGTGACTAGGACTACAGGGGTAATCCCCGCATATGATAAAAATCCCGCGTGGAGACCCTGACAAGACGGGATTCGATCTTGGTAAAAGTCAGGGTAGGGTTACGTTACGTGCGAATTCCTCATGGCCGTTTCCATGAGAATTACAAATCAGGATCTTAAGGGTCTCCTCTTTTTAAAGTCATGCATCGATTCATCCAAAGTTGTCTCGACTCTTGTAAGGGGTCCCGAGTCTGTATCAATTATTAGTGATAAAGGTTGAAGGTCGAATACATGTAATAGGTCCATACGCTCCGTACATCCATTGGATATTTCGAGTTAATGTTGGCTATCAAATCGGGCGGGTAATTGCTATACCGCCTCCGAAGAACAATATCTAGCCGAGAGTCTTATATGCACGTGGGAGAACGAAACGGAAGATATTGGATAGTGAAAGGAATGAAGATGGGATGGTGGAGAGCGAATGTGAGGGATTGGCCAGGCACCGAAATTCTGGACTAGATGCAATGTAACTACAAACAGAAAATGTAACGCTCTCTGGATGACCTAGTCCTACAATTTGATTTTTTTTCTCTTTTATGTTCTTCTTCAAAACCAAAGGAAAATAAGGTATAGAATTGGTTGGATATGATCGTAAATTGATTTATACTTGGAATTGTTAACTATTTCTACCTTCCGGTATGTAATTGGCTTTCCAAATCCGATCGGCAACCAAATGATTGTGAGTAATGTCCTGTATTAACACTTAATGTGCATGATTTCCTCATAAAATGTTAAGAAAGTACCGATTATACTGTTATTCATCTTATCAAATCAATGCCGGCACTTCCGCTGTCCGTGCTTGTCCTAAAGAGGGGAGAGCCGGGTATTCATTGTTTCTTGCATAATTTCATCTGCAGATCCTCCAATGTTGTATGTATTTTTTTTTTCTGAGATGTCATTCCTTAACTTCTAAGTTCTATGTAAATATCAATTCATTCATACATGTATGTTCCTATCTGTGATAATGTGACGCAATAACAATTGAATGTCTTTGAAACTCTTATTGAAATACTTATTTTTGCACTTGCAAGACACCGTTGTCCCGAACGATTGGGATGTACAAGTCATTAAGTAACTTCATGCAGTAGAGTATATGTACCTTTACTTCTATGTCCTGTACCCTCTCTTTAGTGGCTTAAACCCGAACAGCGAGCCATCCATGTACATGAGTAGACCCTTGATCCCTGTCGACACACTACTAAATCTTCTCTTCTGCGCTTCTCTTCCCCCATTGGCATCTTTGATTTCGATACCGAAACGACCCGTATCCTTGTTAATTCGTTCAACTCCGCCGATTCTTCTCTTCCTTCATACCCATACCCATACCCATACTCATTATCTTCTCTTTGCTCATAATTTCTAAAACCTCTTTTTTAATGTACCTGCCTATTATGTAGGTATTTAATTGTACCCCCGGAAGCCCTATACACCACCGAATATCGACCAACAATCCCTTGATGGATATCACACCCGTATCTACCGACTTGTATTAGCATCGATAGTAAAAGACCGTGCCGCGCCAGGGCGTGGTGTGCTAGGGACGGGGACGAGACCGACTCGCGCCATATAAAGACAAGCCATAAGCGAGGCCGAGTAGGACGAAGACGGAACCGTTACGATCATGCCCGAGAAGCCCCTTACTGTCGTTAAGTATGCGGCAGGCGCATCACTCGCTGCCATCACGCTATTTTACGTTTTTGCCCCCAACTATTTCTTAGATGGCGACTCCAACTCGGCGCGCAAGAAGGGTGCTGTAGTAGGACTATCCAACCCTGCAAACGATTGCTTCATCAACTCCATCCTCCAAGCCCTCGCCGGCCTCACCGACCTCCGAATCTACCTTATCCGAGAAAATCACCGAAGACGCATAGATGAGCCTTGGGTATATCAAGGAATAGTGGAAGATCCGGCATACAAAAATACACCGGAGTGGAAAACGCAGGGCTTGCAGGCTGGTCTTGTCACTAGGGGTCTTAAGGATATCCTTGACAGTCTCAATGAACGGCCTATCTATAAGAAAACAATTTCTGCCGCACCCTTCATTAGGGTTTTAGAAAATGCATTCAAGCAACGTATCAGTAGGCAGCAACAAGACGCACAAGAGTTTTTACAGGTTGTGGCGGAGCGATTATGCGACGAATACCATGCTGGCCGGAGGGCTCGACAAGCAGCGAGGAAGAAGAGTGGTATAGAAGCCTCATCGAATAGATCAGAACCAGTTGACGGGGATGCTGTCGAGGAACGTCTAGCAAAGCTAGCCGCCAATGGAGATGCCGATCCCGGCACACCGAATGGAAGTGCACTTAAGATAGAGGTAGACGCACTCGCCTCAAGGAGCGAGGACGAAGATGGGTTTCCGATGGAAGGCAAATACGAAAGTCAAATCGAATGTCAGACATGTGGTTTTAAGCCGAAGCCAACGGAGAGCACGTTCTGCACATTAACCCTAAATGTACCACAGTCTAGCTCGACGTCGTTAAATGCTTGCTTGGATGGCTTCTTTAAGACGGAATATATCGACGACTTTAAATGCGATAAGTGTCGTCTTGTAAATGCGAAAGGGTTATTGGAAGCCCGGATGTTACGATCAGATTCCGAAACCTACAAGTTCGATATGCGAGAAGCGATTGAGAAGCTACAACATGCCATCGATACCGACCCCGAGCACCCACCAACGGACGTTGAACTACCACCAATGCGAGACGCACCGACATGTAAGATCGCTAAACACACACGGTTAACAGGCTTTCCGAAGATTATGGCGATCCATCTTTCCAGATCCATTTATAACAGCATCTCGCAGAAGAACTCGGCTAAAGTATCCTTTCCCGAACAACTAGTAATGGGTGGCTTGCTCAGCCGCAAAAAGTACAAATTGCTTGGTACGGTTACTCACAAGGGTAGCCATCACAGTGGACATTACGAATCCTTCCGTCGCCAGAACGTGTCCATACCTTTTTCTACACCAAATGCTTTCCAAGGGTCTGGTGTTTTTACCAAATCTGCTACACCAAGCCCAGCTTCGACTCCCCGGGTTGCTGCTATCCGAAAATCGGGGGAACCTAGTCCCATAGTCTCTACTCCAGATCTTACTTCGTCTTCGTCCTCTTCAAATCAATCCGTTGATGGTTTTCCTCGACCGTCGACCGATTCACTGCCTTTAACCTCTCCGACTTCTAATAGAAGATCATGGTCTCGTCGCAGCCCTACTTCGTCTACAAAAGATCGCGATTCGGATACCATCAGCCTTAGGTCGGTTGTGGCATCTGCCCGATCAACAATGTCAAAGATATCACATTCGGCTAGGAATAGTAGACCGGGTAGCCCCTCCGGGAAGACGCCAGTTGCCCCAACGACAAATGGGAAAGCGGTTACACCAAAGCCGAACGGAGCCAAACCGAAACGTCGCAAGCAGAACGATCGGTGGTGGCGGATAAGTGACGAGAAGATCAAGGAAGCTAAGACGAGCGAGTTGCTAGGGATGCAACGAGAGGTTTATTTGCTCTTCTACGAATTAGAGCGCGAGGGTCCGGCGGAATCGTAGCAGGATGTAAGCCGACTCTTGGAAGACATTACACAGGCAGCGTCTTATGACCCCTCCGAAGATGAACGAGATGATCCATACTTTGAATACCGATCTCAGCAGAGTGTCGGTGGACGTATTGAGGTAGCTTTTTTAAAACTCGGATCCGTTATAGGGAAAATGTCTCGGAAGCTAAGAAAAGCCATCAGGAACGCGTGGAATGAGTACATGGGATATGCGGACTCTGTGTACCCCCAATCCGGCTTCGAGCGATGTTCTTGTGGATTGGGACAGCCTATGTTGCATGATTATCCTGGATTTTGGGGGTACACGGACGAACGCGCGATGCATCGAGGGGGTATTTTCGAGTCACCATTATGACAGAAGCGAAGCAAAAAAATAAGAATAAAGAAAAAGCGAGCTATCGTGGGGAGTGGTATTGGGCTCGGATTGAACCTATGTTGCTCTGGGTGGAAACAGCATGAAAGGCATATCATCATAACGGCGTTTGGTTTATCACGGATGAAAGGTTCTCTTGTCGCATTTCCTGGTCCATTGTCATTACGGGGACTGTTGGTTTCCATCATATTCTTTCGAAACCGGTTCGTTCGTTGTAAAGAAAGGGGCATGAATTGAACATGGATTACTTCGATTTAGAAATACCAGAGCAATAGTACAAACTAGGTCAATACCTCGCATATGAGTACGAAAACTTCGGGATCCTTCGTACGGTACATATATTAGATGTTCAACATTGATATAGGATATACACATCAGCATATAAAAAATAAAAGTTGAGGTTCATGCCAGTTGCACAGCAGCAAGCCCTGATTATGTGACCTATTCGGGGGAGCGGGGAGGGGAATTTAGGGGTTTGCTGCTGACGTAATGGTCCCTGAGTTTATGGTACGTGTTGATATTTTCAACTCTCGATACTAAACATATATCATTAAAAATCTGCTATCTTATAGCCAGATCCAAAATGGCAACATTTTTATGAGTCATTGTTTTATTCAGTATTGTCCTTCCAGGGTTAACGTTCCGGTTTTCGTGATCAGATACTCATTGATAGCAACGTCCTTGCCAGACTCCTTACCGAACCCTGAATCTTTCATTCCGCCAAAAGGTGACTCGGCAGCGGATGAGTTTCCTGAGATTGGGTTCACAGTCAATCACTCTATTCTTCTCGTTGGGCCATTAAGAGTGGTACAAACTCACCGGTATTTAACCCGATCATACCCGCCTCGAGATTCTCAAACATGCGCCACATCCTGTCGACGTTTTTGGTGAAACAATACGAAGCCAAGCCCATCTATAAGTGGATTAATTAGTCAGTATCCAGCGTTAGTATCGGGTTCATCAGCACTTACACTTGTGTTGTTAGCGGCCTCGAGAGCTTCTTCCTCCGTATCGAACGGGAAAAGAGCTAGTAGAGGGCCGAAGGTCTCTTCCGAGGCAATCTTCATAGCTTGCGATGCATTCGTGATGATTGTAGGCTCAAAGAAATACCCGTTTCTTGAGGTTATACGATTACCTCCCGTTAGAATGGTCCCACCATTCTTCTCGGCATCCTCAACCTGAGCAGCTGTCTTGTCGACGCCCGTAGGGACCGTAAGGGGACCCATAGTCGTCCCCTTCTCGATACCATGGCCGACCTGGATTTGACGCGTTTTCTCCGCTAAAATATGTGAGAACTTTTCATATATATCCCTATGGACATATACTCGGTTTGCTGTGACACAAGCTTGGCCCGCGTGTCGGAATTTCAGCGCCATCAATGCTGATGAGTGTTCAGTTGGTACGGCTAGCACATATATTTATGCATTTGGGACTCTTACCATCGCAAGCCTGGTTCAAATTCGCATCGCCGAATACTATGAATGGGCAATTACCTCCTAGCTCGAGTGTCAGCTTTTTCAGGCCATCCGCGCAATGAGCAGAAAGAATCTTTCCGACTCGAGTCTACCGACATATTAGTCCCAAACTCGACGAGTTAGGTACTTCCCATGGAGAACTCACAGAGCCAGTAAAAGACACCTTCTTCACTAGGGGATGCCTGCAGAGGGCTTCACTGAGACTAGGCGTATTCGCTAGAGTGGTAGGCAAGATGTTAAGCACGCCTTTTGGGATTCCAGCCTTTTCAGCCAGATATGCTAGTGTCAAAGCCGATAAAGGGGTCTCGGGTGATGGTTTCGCAACCATCGTACACCCCGCTGCTAGAGCTGCACTAGCTTTCCTCAAGACCATCCTAGGAGATCTAATCAGCCTCATTCCCACCTCAAGGCTAGACGAAAAATTGACAACTTACGCAATTGGGAAATTCCATGGTACCAAGGCAGCCGTGACACCAAGGGGCTGCTTGATAGTGAAGACCCGGCGGCCGGGAAGAGCAGCAGCAAAGGTTGTGCCTTGCACACGCTCCGCCTCGCCAGCGAACCAGCGCAGAAACGAGGACGCGTAATCGATCTCACCGTAGGCCTCGGCCAACGGCTTGCCGGTTTCGTATACAAGAATCGTGGCGATGTCGTCCTTGTGCTCTTGGATTAGGTTGTAGAATTTAGTCAGTAGCTCGGAGCGGGCGCGCGGAGTGAATGTGCGGTAGGTTTGGAATGCTGCTTGTGCTGCTTTCACTGCGTCGTCGACATCCTCGGCTGCCATGTCCGGACATGAGGCGAATTTCCGGTCAGTGCCGGGATCTGCACGGCGTTATATGAGTATGGGCAAGAGGAACGTTGATGCCATCACTTAGAAAGAGTGTTGACGAACCGATGATATCGAATCTCTTCCCGGACTTTGCTTCGATCCATTGTCCATTTACGTATGCTTTATCCCGGAAGAGATCTGGGCTCTTGAGGTTGAGCTGTGGGTATGATTTATATTAGTCCTTCGGTCTTAGACGTGTCGGCAACAGCCCTCTTTGATATAGCCACTTACGTTGATAGGGGAATTTACTTCGCTCATGTTGAATGAATGAATGTTAATATTCAGACTTTCTAAAAAGCATGATGCCTTATTCCGAATCTCGAAATATAATTATCGTCATCGGTAGGAGTGTCACCCCGCACCTTGTACAACGACCCCAATGACCCCAATGACCCCGAAGGTTTCGGGTCCTATCCGATGTACCTAGGTAGTCGCCTTGGCTCTTGCCCCATAGCCAATCCCATTGCTCCGTCTCCGCCGAATCCGGTCAATAGTTCGGTGTAGCGATTTCCGACCCACTTATTCCTCCACTCTATTCTACAACTATCGGACACGGCAGACAGCACGGCTCTAGACAGACGTTGCGGTCTAGGGTTAGGAAAATAAAGCCAGAGTAGTACAAGTATAACAAGAGCCCGCCATAAAGTAGCGATATAATAGCGGGAGAAAACAATATGAAAAAAGGGGTGGACTGCCCGGGCGGGTGTTGTCTTACTTAATAGTCAGGAGGTGGCGACTGTGTCCTCTGTACTAATATCGACCAATGTATCATAGTCACATATAAAAATTCGCCCATGATTATAATTTAAATGACCATTTTCGAGACCTTCGTACCCAGTCTTACTTCTTCACACTGTATTGAGTGCGTTACACCACGTCTTGCCGACCATATGTGGCTTGCGTAGGATTTTAGCGGTCGGCTAACCGCGCAATAAAACGAGTCGAAGTCTCGCTTTGTAGGACAATGTATTTTCCTTCCTCAGAATTTTAACTTGTTCGTCGAAAGTAGGCTACAAAAATGTACCAAACCCAACTCGACCCAATGGATCGCTCTTCATCATTGTCATCATTAGATTCCCTGATTATTATAGAACCGTCGACACCTCAAAAGAAGCAAAAATTCTACAAGAGAATATTCCAAATCATATGGACAGAGTGGAATAGGGCTCGTCGAGAAGCATGGCTGGATTTACGATCTATCAGGTGGAAACGAGTCGGCCGTTGGACAGTCCCGACGTCATGGACTCTCGCAACACTGGGATTATTTAGCTTTCTTACAATATATGGCACCTTGTCGCAATCGTTCGAACCGACAAATTCTGCTTGCAGATCCGACAATTCCTTCAACTGCAATATATCCACGTATGACGTATGGACAGCATCTGGATTCTTCGAAGTGGATATAGGTTTCGGCGATTTGACGTTCACGCAGGCCAAAGTTATTGACGTATCATGGGATATGGTTAGGATAAACCCTATACTACTTAGAAAGCTCTCAAGCTAATGAAGTTGTTTAGGTAATCGGCCGTGGCGGGCAAACGCTAATGGCATTCATCTCTTGGAGGGCGTTTGCCGACTACGTAACAACTTCAATGGAATTTGCACCCATTACATATACGATGTTTTTCGTCGTATTCCTTCAAGATGAACCTTCCATTCTCTCTACCTTTCGAGTTGCGCGAATATTCCTCTCGGGCCGCAAGCTCAAGTCGAAAGTGGCTATGATCTTCATGATATCAAGCATGCTATTCCTTTTAGGGTTTCCAACATTCGCCGGCGCCATAACTGGATATACCACGATCGTTGAGGCTTTTGTTCCGGATTATGACGGTAGATATATCCCCTTTTCGGGATTCCAGCCTATAGCGTACGTTATTAATGATGGGTGGAGAGTCAACCTCACCGCCAACGAATATGTGTCTTTTTTCGGCTCCGAGACCGAAGGTGATAGCAATCCAACGCAGCTCAAGTATGGCTCTGGCTAATAAGATTTCAGCTGAGCCTGTGTACTACATGGGGTTCTTTTACCATGCATGCTCTATCTTAGGCGGGGACGCCGGTTGTTCTTTGCAGGAAACCGTCTCTAATTGTCTGTATTGCCCTATACCCCGTTCTGGGCGGAGTTGGACTAATGATGTTTGCTTTCCCATGGTAGATGTTGCGACATATGGGCTTTTAGGTCTCCAAAACACAACGTCGACGTGGGAAAATGTTACGCTCCCTAGCCCAATTTTAAATATATCAGCTTTTTACATCCCACCTGCCACAAGAGGTACATTTAACGGCGCTGACTGGTCGGACCCACGAAACAGAAAACAAGAACAGCCATTTGATGATCCGTCTAAAACCACATTTATTTATAATAACAAGACGTATCCTCTCTCTTACGTACAGAGTAATGGTCGTTGCCAAACTGTTCAAGATGTATGTGCTTGCTGATAATAAGTCATTCGGGCATAGTATTGACCTAACTACCCAGCGATTCAAGTGGGGATTTTCATATATACAGTCATATATTTTGGTAATACTCTTGTCAATTTGGACAATTGGGATATGGATGATGTGGCTTAAAGCCCGGCGTCAACTGCCCCCCAAGGATCAGGTACAAATACCTAAAGGCTGGAGAGCTATTCTAGTATTAGCTGAAAGGATGAACGAAGAGTTACAGAACGCCAACATTGATATCAATTTCCTAACAGATCAACAATTAAAGGAGGAGATCCAAAAACAGCTCCACGGCGGGTCGGTCTCATTCAATATAACAACCTCGCGGAATTATAGTTTCCGCCGGGGCCTATGGCTATGGCTGAAGAGGGAGTGGAAATGGTGTCTAATACTAGTACTAACAATGATTTTGGCGGGTACTTTTATATACTGGCCTTACTCCAATAATGGGTTTCTCTTCAGTTTAGGGTTCGTGCCCCCCCTTCCTTGGGGGGTTATGTTTGCGATGGTACTAGGAAATACGACAAGGAGTAAGGCTTTCATGACTGGTTGTTGGTGGACAAGTGGGCTTGCAGCTGGGTTGACCCTACGTATCTTAACTTGATCGACATACTTCTCAGTATCCTTTTTCTATACCTCCTACTGTGTTCATTAGTATACGTCAGCACGTGCCTGTATGTTTCAAATCGGATCCCAAAAATGGAATCTGGAATCTGTTATGCCAGATGCGACCCATCAAATGCGCTACTCCACGCGCCTTACGTGCATGAAATAAAATTGAAGGTCAATGGGGGGATGGTTTTGGAGCCTTCCTAATCGGGCCACGAGACCCCTATAGCAGAGTGGTAGTGCGGTCCAATAACACCCTCGGTAAACCCTCGCAATTATGTATTACCCGAATAGGTAGCTCCTTACAGGGCTCTCAACAGAGATAAAGCAGGTTGCCTTCCCTCTACACCTATTACCACCCTCATGTTCCTGATAAAGCGGGTCAACCGTCAACGTTGCAGGTCATTTGCTCGGGGTTTTATTCATTATCCCAACTGTCCCCCATGCAAAAGATCTTCATTTTCTACTTTCTTAACTATTTCAACACCGATTCTTGTGCTCTTTATCCCTGGAGCTGTAACGTAGTGGAGGGGTAGAAAATTGTTAGTGCTATGAGACCTCATCCGGAAATTTGATCACAGGCTCCCCCGATGTATGCTCTATAGATACTGTGACGGCCGTTCCGCGTGCGTCATGTAACGTCTCCTGATGCCGTGGGGCCGTTGGTTGTAATAACGTATCGATCTCACTGTGATATGGGTGTGCTCTGGAGGAGGATAAGTATGGCGCGGTGCTCCTCTCGAATTTCTGCTTGATTCTTCGTTAAGAGCATCGCTCCGGATCATATCGCCCACCGTCTTTGACAGATTTTCGCTCCCTTGTATATAGTTTCGCTTCTGTACATATTTTTCGTTTTATTTATCAACATGCGTACCTCTACTGTATATAGCTACCTCAGCCTGATGGCCGGAGCTGTAACGGCTCTCCCCCATACTCTCAAGCCCCGTCAGTCATCAGGTGCCCAGAGCGTCGTCTACTGGGGCCAGAACGGCGGTGGCACGATCGAGAATAACGATCTTTCTACTTACTGTGCCTCCGATTCCGGCATAGACATCATTGTTTTAGCCTTCTTGTACTCTTGGGGAAGCGGTAGCGATACTCCGTCAGGTACGGTCGGCCAGTCATGTTTCATTTCAAACTCGGGAGAGGGACAGAACTGTGATACCGTCTCATCGGCCATCGCCACGTGCCAGAAAGCCGGCATCAAGGTCATCTTATCCCTTGGTGGCGCTACTGCCTCTTACTCTCTGTCTTCTAACGAAGAAGCCGAATCGATCGGCAACTACCTCTGGCAGGCATATGGAAACTCGGGTAACTCCAGCGTCCAGCGACCCTTCGGTGACGTTATCATCGACGGCTTCGACTTTGACATCGAAGTCAACAGGGGCAGCGAGTTCTACCCCGCTATGATTACCGCACTACGCTCTAACTTCGCTTCTGACTCTTCAAAATCTTACTACATCACTGGCGCTCCTCAGTGCCCAATTCCGGAACCTAACATGGGCGTGATCATTGGCAACGCCACGTTCGACTACCTTTGGCCACAATTTTATAACAACAACAACTACACTTACCCGTGCGCTCTTCCCGTTAACGGTAACGCTCCTTTCAACTACGACCAATGGGTTAGCTGGACTGCCGACACTCCTTCATCCGACGCCAAGATCTTCATTGGTGCACCGGCCGCCCCCTTGGCTGCGAACGGTGCGCCAACTGGCGAAACTTACTACGCAACACCCGAACAGCTTGCTACCATCGTCAACGACGTCAAGAGCGATGCTAGATTCGGTGGTGTTATGCTATGGAGTGCCGGATTCTCGGACTCCAACGTCAACAACGGTTGCACCTACGCTCAAGAGGTCCACAGCATTCTTGACTCTGGTTCCCCTTGCTAGGCGGTTAACGCCTACATCTACTATAGCTAGGATTGAATCCTAGTAGTAGGTAAGCAACATCCCCTTAACGTCTTCTCGAAAGTCCACGACAGTTCAACTAACGCCCCATAGTATGGCAGTAAAGGTTATACCATACCGACTCAATACCCCTGGGGCCCCATGTACACTCGCTATTATTTCAAAATGGTGGCTGCAGCGGGATTGAGAGGATGTACTTTATTTGCAATGATTATTGATGACCATAGATCAATGGGGATAGGGGAGGCATGATATACCCGGGGACTTTTAGGACATATAACCCATGTACCTGTTCATGTATATATTTGTACATCTTATGTGTATATAAGACCCGAACTACAATTCGAGATTTACATATTATCTCAACAATTTTGCTCTTTATTCGTGGTGAAAAGGGGCTTGTCGTTCGATCGAAATGGAAAACCCCTATTTTCGTCGTAGCAGAGAAACCTCGGGGTCAATCCGATAAAACTGGTACTAGGAAATAATGTCTGTGCCCTTAAACGTTGTATTCGTGCCATCGCTCAGTTTGCTGCAATTGCTTTTGGAGGAGCGAGTGCCAATATCTTCTTGGCCGCATGCTCAGCAGCAGTTACGATCATGGCGGATGGGTTCCCGGTCATCATACCAGGGAATATCGAAGCGTCGACGACGAAGAGGTTATCTGTCCCGTAAACCTTGGTGTTTGTGTCGACAACCGATGTTCCATTCACCACCCGGCCGTCATCTAGGCCGATCTTCGCGGTCCCGATCCAGTGGTTCGAACATCGCACGGCCGGCGTCGCAGGGATCTTTCGGAGTAGACTTATCAGCGATTGCTTATTCCAAGGATTTTATGGAATACTGAGTTAGTAAGGTATATGATAAGACGAAAACTTACCGAATCTACGAATTGCGCCGAAGTCTGATTAGATGCAGGGCGAACCCATGTTAGGTTTGAGATAGGTTCAAAATATTTGCGAACTCTTTCGAGACCTTCAATGACAGCCGCCTTATCATTGGCTTCGCGGACGTAAGGGGGGATCGACACACGGGTGTTCAGTTGGGGTGTGATGACCATACGACCCCGCGACGTAGATCCCGTGCCGAGATATTGAGTGATCGTCATGGATGCTAACAAATATCCCTAGTCAGTGAATGCAATCGAGATAAGAGTCTGAATCATTATCAACTTACTATTTTTGCTGCCTTCCACTCTTGCCTGCCAATGCAGATGCCGATCGATGCCATCCGCGCCCGGGATGATCTCCCAGAACTATGCAGATGGTCAGTGTCACGATCCCCAGCATTCTTCTAGAGAACTTACGATCGGGCCTAGATTAGGTGCTGCTTGTGCAAGAATACCAGTTCGGTTTTCTACACGGGTAGTTAGCCGGTTTCATTGTGAACGTTTTCAAAGTGTCTTACGAAGGTATATCTCGGTATCGCTTAGGATCGGCTTAGTGTATGCTGCGTAGAAGTCATAGAAGACGACGTCGGGATGAGCAACCTCGATGTCAGTCTAGTACCATGGAGTTAGCAATAGATGGTTTAAACTTTCGTATATGATAGAGACTTACGCCGACGTGGTCTATCAGATTATATCCGACCGGGAGGTTGATCCAGGAGTCCTCCGATATCATGGTCTTCGCATCTGATGTCGAGTTCTTCACGATATTCAATTGATCCTTCGGCCCAATACCACCTATTTCAACTTAATTAGATAACCCTCAAAAAGCAGTGGAGTGCGGCGGCCATACTTCTTAGAAGAAGTTTCGCAGTCCCAAAGGCGCCAGCGGATAAGATGACGCGACCGGTTCCAGGAGTAACCGAGACGACACCCGCATGTCCCGCAGCATTCTTGCTACACTCGATCTCAACACCCGTCGCATGACCTCCCTCACGTATAACCCTCCTCGCCGTCGTATTCATCCAAAGGGTAAACTCCTTACGTTGACTCGCATCAACCAAATACGTAGCCAACGGCCCACCTCTCTCGCCATTCGAAAACATATGCGTGGCATGGCCGAAAGTCCTATTCTTGCGATCGGGGTGTTCATTCGGGACGATAAACTCCCAACCACTGGCATTAAGGCCACTTGTCAACGTCTGGAAGCCCTGCTGCAGGTATAGCTTGCCGTCCATACTAGGATGCGTCGTACCAGGTATCCTCTCGAACACCCGACTCGTCGCAGCCGCTACATCCGAGCTCCGCCAACCCTCCGGCCAGCTATGGTCCCAGTCATCCGGATGTGGCTTCCACCACAAGCCGGAGTTAACGGCGACGCCACCGCCGAGCACGCAGCCGGCCATCTGGTCGACGTCGGTACATACGACGCCGCTCGGATTATGCCAGATCTCGTTCGCGAGTCCGGGGACATCGAAACGTGTTAATGTCGCGTTTTCGAGCCACTTGGGCTTCATGGTACCACCCCAGATACCCGTCGACGGCGGTCCTTTCTCAAGCAGAAGAACCGTATGTCCGGCCTCGGATAATCGGTCCGCGAGGGGAATGCCGCCAGCCCCCGAGCCCACGATGATGTAATCCCAGGTCTGCTCCGAGGTAACGTTGGAGCAGACCGGCGGTGCCAGTGCTACTGTAGCCCTAGCTGCACATGGTCGGAATACTTCGGCTTGGTTAGAATAATTACTGGTATTCGGAAAAGATGCGCTTACAAAGCAATGCTGCCGTCGCAGCGGCGCTTAGATATATATTGCCATGCATGTCTGCTGAGCGAAATCTCGCGTGCTTGGGAGGAGTCGATAGAAAAAGGTGCCGCCTCAGTTTTCAGGGGCAAGCGGCAGTCTTTAAGACGGCACAGATCGCCTCCTAGCCTAACCTGAGCAGCATCGTATAGACGCGCCCGCCACGGCCAAGAAATGACCGTCATGCCTAAGTCTCGCACGCTCAAGCGCCGCTTCAAAGTGGTAGATTCGCTGTATTGGAGAAGTTAGCGCAGCGAGATAGGTCACTGGTTCGAGGTCGTAGGGATCTGCAATCCTTTTTCATTTGCGCAATTAGCCGAATGCAGTGCCTCGTGGAGCGCCCTATGAAGCCGGGCTCACGTACTTAGCCGCGAAATGAAAAACCTGGGGTTGCCTGGGGTATCGCAGGGGCGTGGGACTGGCCCGGGTTGCTGGAGAGGCTCTTTCGCGGTTAGAATTGTAAATGCCGGAAAAAGGAGATAGTGGTGATGGTGTGTCGGGTCCTCACATTGAACTGCAACCCCCGTGAGGCTTACGGGCAGACGGCGATAAGGAAAGCGGGGATTCCTTGTTTATAATACTTCCGGTTTAACTATCCAGGATCATGACATATTGAGCTTGTTGCGGAGATGGCGGTCAGTGTTGTCGTGAATAGATCATGTCAGGGACAATAGCAAGAGGGGCTGCAGAACAGTAAGCAATAGGTTAAATCATCCAAACATTCTAGAATGGACTATTGAGGTGGTATGAGCTAATATACTCAAATTAGACGCTTGAAATTCCAATGTCTAAGCCATAATAGGGGCAGTATGGGAGTACTTACCTACGCTCAAGTTAATTGTTCCAACCACATCACAATAAGCTGTGAAATGCACCCACTAAGACCCATATGGTTGTATTTATTATTCTAGTACCCAGTTCAACATTTGCCCCTAAAACGGTGGATAGTTTTCCCAATCCAATATATGCATCTCACTATCCTCTAGTCAAAGAATAACACATACATCAATACCTACGACCAACCGTACATAACCGCCAGCGGAGAATGGTCGTCTAAAGTATCATGGCACCAGCGCCTGCTGTATCTTTCGGTTTACGGCTAATACTACCGTCACTGTTGACTACCTCCTGTACTTCATCGGCGGACTTCTTTGCTTCATTTCTTCCTCCAACCTAGTATGAATTGGTTAATAGAGGACTCGGGGGTTGCATGACATAACTAGGAACGTGCTATGTAGACGTACGGTTGCTTGTTTGTCGAGAGGACCTCCAGCGACTGACACCGGCTGCCTTGGTTGGGCTTCGGGTTGCTTGAGAATCAATTAGCGATAGTACTTAATCTCAACCAGCAATATTAGGCAACTTACAACACCACTAGGAGCCTCAAATATACCACTAGCAAGATCAACGGTCGGTAAGGCGTTCGTACTGCCCGTATCAAAGCTCTTGCCGGCCTTGTTCTGGTCCTTATTTTCTGAAGCCGCCATATTACTACTGCTAAATCTGGATGCTTATCTCGAGCACTTCAATTAATTTGCAAATAAGGTGTTGGAGATTCGAAGTATGATTGATCCTACTAAGTGATCCGTTCAAGCCTTCGGGGGAAGTTTTGCCGCCTTACGGCAGCAATACGTCATCAATTGGTGAGGCTCCATTCATACAACGTTCGGTCGCGATATTGACTGGATATTGTATGAAATTTACGTCACAAATACGCAGCGGGACCTGCCCGATACCTGGGTAGGTCATACGTATCGTGGGCTTAATTCGGGAGAATACCTACTCAATAACTTTAGTAGGTAGTGTCATCGCATACCATCTACTTACATAAACACACAGCCACAATCATTTTAATTGAGACCTCCAGAATCCCATGTCCACCGATGATAAGAGCTCCTACTTCGAATGATACTGATATTCCATCGCCCATTTCCTTTCAGTGCTCCTCCTTTTATTAGGCCTAGCTTGCTCTCCTACTAGTTCAAACGACCATAGACTGTTATTTGAGCATATCGGGTGGCCAGACCGTGTAGTTTCAAATGTCGTCAAGGTCGATATGTTCAGTAAGTCCCCGGAAGAAGTTATGCTCGTCATGCTAGCTGAGCCTTTGTTGAAGATATACAGGTTGAGTACCAATCTCTTTTAGGTACTATCTTTATCAGGCGCTATTTTGGATCCGTTCTTTGAGGTATGGAACGCAAAAGTGTCCTCGAAGACACAATCATCTTCATCACAGGCGTTAACGGGGTCGGTGTCGTATTCATACAAGCTTCTGCGTCCTTCGAGGAGATCGTCCATCAGGCGTTTTATCTCATAAATACTTTCCCTCCTATAATACTTAAACGTGTCGACGTCGCCGAATATCATCGCCTGGTATGCGTCGTTGAGGTAAGACGCATATGATTGGATAGGATCCATATATGATTTAAGTGCCTCGTACATTTGTGGTAGGTCATCTACAGGTGTTAATCCGGTCATTTTATCCGTTAGATATTTGACGTCGTCGGGTGGGACGCCGTCGAAGACGACGCTCCCGACGCGTCGTAGCAGAGCGAGACTTCCGAGTGCCTTCCAGGCCGGACACCTTTCACTTTCAATGCCGTTGGGAATAGAGACTTTTACGTGCAAATATCTCAACTCCGGCAAAAGGCGCAAGTCCCGGCATATGCACGTTAAGTCTCCTGCAGTCGTGTCTAGACCACTCCAGCCCGTACTCTTCAACACTATAGAGAATTTTGTCATCCCTCCGAATCGAGATGACCCGAACGGAGATGAACGGAACGTTTGAACTGAGTAGACATCCACGTATTCACAGGACACAACCCCGTAATCAGTAGATATGATCACTTCGAAAACATTCTCCTCGTAGAGTAGTGGTCGTGCTTCGTTTAAAATTTGACGACAGGTACGGAGAATCGCAGGAGTGAGATGGAAATTTCCCTGGTCGGAATATGATAATGGCTTACTACTGCAAAGGAGAAGCGGATATATCATCATCCGAATCTCTGCTGGTAGGTTAAGAAACGCAAAGCATTTCTTGGAGCCCTCTGTTCCGTGCTCGCTCGCCTCTTTAGTGGTGATATTGTGGGTTAGGTCTTGTCCAGCGGACGCCATCGTTATTGGTCGGGCTATTGGTTCAGCGAATTGTATTATCTTTGACGTCGAAAAGAAACTGTATTCTAATCAGCAGCTGTACGTCTGGTAATATGGGTATTTTCATGTAGCTCACTTCTCATGCTTTGTAGTGCGTTGTTGATGCCAACTGCACCAAACAATTTGACTGGCAAACGAAACCATAGGCAACAACGGCTACTAATTGGGGATTGTCCGGTTACGCAACATATAGATGCCCAGATATCCAGGTATCATGGTATTTGCCTTAGGTACCTAGGTACCTAATCTATGGCTATCTTTTTAAGACAATTTTGTCAAAATGGGGTTAAGGCAATATATTGAGTAGCTATAATCTTTTTACGATCTGCTTGCCGTATCTTCCTCCCTCAAGTCCTTTTAGGAAAAGCTACTCTCTTTTATGCTGCCTGGCAATAGTATATGATATTCAGTATAGCTTCCTTTCTTGGATACGAGATTGCCAAGAGCTACGTTGATGCCTTATGAATAGTAAAGCGCCTACAGCGCTTCCAGTGGACCTCTGATAATTGCTAACTGACCTCGCTTTCGTTCGCCCCCAATAGAATACCTGGTAGACTGGTGGTAAATGAATTTCTATCGTGACAACCAATGAAAGGATACAATAATGCTTTATTTACGAGGAGCGGTCATTTTATTTAGGCGATGTTGTAGATATAACCGTCATGACGTCTATCATTGCAAGTGAGTGGAATCTCAATCTAGCTTACAGACTTCGCGTATGGTATCTATAAATACCTAGGTATGTGCTGTATAATAAGACATGGAAACTCTTGAGAATAACCAGGGTATATAAAGCGGACCATTGATTTCTTGGTAAGTCTTTTCTTCAGACTTAGACTGCAATCTAGCACTGAAAATTTGTCCTGATCTATATGTTAAAAATTTTCATGTTCATACATACCCATGTGGGAAATTATCAAGATCTCGAGGATTCCGTCTAGAATAAGCAAATCGGTGATGATGCGGGGTATGCCGCATCCAGCATATCGGGATGACAGCCGCCTCTATGATCTAACTCAATATACCGAATACAGCTTTATTTGGCGAAGAGAGGAAATAGAATAAAAAAAATTCTACCTGCGACTTCTAACCGAAAGAAAGCTTTCGGGTCGATTTTCCCGTCTGCGCAGCGATCTGCATGGTCATGATTAGTATATACCACTGCCTCGGGACTTATGTATTAAGAAGGCTTATAGATGATCGTATGCGCTCATGCGTCAACTAGCACATCCGTGATAGCGGGTTGGGGAAATGCGTCTTAGTATAAGTTCTAATTATATGTCAATATTACGACCCTTTATAGGACTTTTTTAACGTCTAAGGTGTATATTAGTTTCTTTCGAAGAGCTCTAACATGCGTGAGTTAAAAGAATCTTAAAGATCGGTAGTATGACTTAAGTTACTTAATATTATATTTTTTTTCTTGGTTTGACCCGAGAAAATTAGGTACTCTTTTCTTTAGTCTTTAAAGGCCTCTTTCGCTAGCACATCGTCGTTAAGTCTTGATACTATACAATATTGTTAATTTCTACAATGATCGCTAATTATATTTCGTCATAATTCCATAGGTGGAATTCATCTGCTTTAGGTCAATGGTCATGTTATTGATTGCCTATGCGGATAAGCGCTTACGTTGGACTCGGGACTTGAAGACTTGGCCTTCAGTTTGTAAGGGTTTTCGCTATACGTATTACCACGTATAATGTATAGCGAACATATAAGGCGTATTACCTTATGCGTGTTTCAATTCATGCAGTCACAATTACACTACAGGCGAGACAGAAGGATGCAGAAACTGCAGAAACTGCGCTAGTACCCGGGAGATACCCGTGGACCCGGGCTAAGCAGTGGGCTATAGCGCTATGTCTTCCAAAGTTTTGACGCTAATAATACCTACCCCAAAACCCCAAGACCCAAAAGGCCAAACAGTAAACGCACCAACACCCGTTTCGTCCGTGCCGCCTAGGATCTTTGCCTCACGGCCAGGCAGGGCGATTCCGGAACTCCACCGCTAGAATGATGTTGGGTCTTTTTGTAGACATGGAACATTCGATGCTGGTAATCGCACGCGGATATCGCATTAAATCCGAAGGCGGTATGTAAAGACGCTCTGGATCTCGAAGTGACTGTCGCATGCTAACGATATAAATATGAATTATTTCGTATAAAAAAAGATGTTACATTTAACCTCTTAAGAAAATAATAATTTTTAATTGTCAAACTGAGGTAATGTTTATATACTTCACCGATAATTATCGTATAAGGCAGGTATATTTAAATAGACCCAGAGCCGTAAGAACCCCACCTCACTCTGGTCTAAATCTGTCCAATGAATCTTTGGGATTCGAGTGATAATCATTTCGAGCCCTGTGCCGCTTGCCACGAAAGATTCAGCGCTTTTAATTGGTCTCATGGATGTGAGTCGGGGGCTAGAGAGTTCCCGTGCCCCGTGTCCTTCTGCATCATCTAGATGGACGCCCAGTCCTCCTTAGGTCCCTCTGGCTCTCCTCATTTATCAGTTTTAGTTGTATGTTGCTTACCTGAGAACAAGTAAAAAAAGAAAGAAAAGTCAGGTTGGTATACTTACTCGCAATTGTTACCCTCTTCAGGTATATGCCATAGTCAGTTAGTAGCCAAGTCTTAGGCTGATACCTTTCAGTTGGTTACACGGTAGTAGGAAAAGTTACACCGCAGGTCAGGACAGGACAAGGACAGCGCTGGGCTGGCTGGGCTGGAATCAGACAGGAATTCACAGCCGACTTTTTTGAAGAGGGAAAGGGAAGAGAGAGGGAGGAGTCAGGGGTGGGATAAAAAGACACCCTGGTAAGACCCGCACACCCGCGCAGCGCGCACGCACGATTACTTTTTTATTGATTGCCCCAGGTGATGTTGCAATTCTGTTATGTCAGCCCTCGTTAGATCCTAATTCTCCTTTAGGTGCGATTGCGCCCGAGCATTGCCCAGTTACGGAAAGTTCTTATATCCCCGTCTCACCTCTTCGTTTTCCCTCCTTGTCATATGAGCAAATGCCTAAACGGAACGCGCATACTCAAATCGGAATGAGCGTCGATATCGAATGGATCGACTTAAGCCATGACCATCATGGAACCAATGAAACGCGCGTTAGAGTTCGCTCTCATGCTATGAGGGCGACCGCCGCCTCGCGGAAGAAGATCGTGGCGCCTGGGAAAAGAAATCTACGCCGACTCCCCGAAAGACCGGGCTCCAATGAGAGTTCATCAAGAGCCTCTAGTTCCTCACCGGGCGACACCGCATCCGTGGATTCCGGTCCGGTCGGTACTACTGTGGCGCTCTCCAAGTCCGTGGTCCGGCTCCCCACGATCGCGAGCATTCCCACCATGCCGCGAAGCGGTCTCGAGGCCCTCGCCGCGGAAACGGGGATACATATTCTCGAGATCTCTGCTCTAACGGAAATTCAATGCGGTTGGACGGCTTGTATCGCTCTCGCAAGCCAGCGCAATACTTTTATTAACCTGGCTAATCGGAAACCGACGTACGTGTATTGTCTAGCCAGCAGATACGGCGACAGCGCATGTTTTGATAATGCGCTTCGCTGCGTCGCAGTCCGGGCTAAGAGAGTATTGTCGCCTTCTGCGCAAATATCGGAAAACATAGAAGCGATGCAATATGTCGCCGCGTTGCGCAGCCTCCAGAAAGCGATTGACGACCCCAAGGAGAGGAATAGACCTGAAGTGCTATGCGCCGTGAACCTTTTAAGTTTATTCGAGGTATGTCAATGCGGTTCACTTCTAAGTATTATGTTTGATGACTTACGTTCTCTCAAGCTTCTTCAATTCAATCGGCATAGGGCTTGGTCGCTTCATGCTAATGGCGCATCACGGTTAATCCGCACGAGAGGGGCAGCAAGCTTCACTTCGGAATTCGACATCAGAGTCCTACTTTCATTAGTTACACCAATCGTAAGTCCTATCTCATGATAAAATATGAGCTATGTAGTATAATCTAACAATTATGTCTAGACAAATGAATGTTTTCGACATGTCGAGCCTTGTTTTTTCGAAGAAGAGGCTTGGCAAGAGACATTTAAATCCTTTGTTGATAATACCGACCCGTTCTCGGGCAAGAGTCAACTAACGATAAATCTAACATGTATTATAGTAAGAGGGCCCAGGTTAGCGAGGGATGTGTATGCCGTGGTGAATAGTCCTGATCCCGAAAATCACCCCGAGTTACCGCATTTGAGGGAACGGTTAAAGGAATTCCGGAGAGAGCTTTTACAATGGAATACGGAATATGTCTCAGTCGCGATGAAAGTACCCTCGAAAGTCATCAGTGGAAAGAGTCCTCTGCCAACGCCGAGCGAAGATATCCGCGAAGAGCTCTTAGCAACTTTTTATGGTCTTCTGACCATCGGCTCTAGGTTAATGAGTGCACTCTCGACGGATCTCATAGACATCTTGGAAGACGAAGCTGTTGCATCGGCAACCTCATTATTTAAATTGGAAAAAGAGGCTGCACCTATCAACCAGTGGGCGGCGTTTTATATTCGACAACGATTAGTTATAGCTAGGGCGGTTTTGAATACGACGGAAGCATGGCGGGAGAGTGCGGGTAGGAGTACGACGAATATTATAGAGTATGATAAGTTTAACGCTTGGGTCTCGGTGCTAATTGAGGAAGGATACCCATGAGTAATGAAAAGGATTTGGTTTGTGGTTTGCAAAAGGTTTAAGAGGTGTAAATATGAAATACCCATCATCGTCATCATCATCATCAGATTACTTTAGTATGTAGTCCATTATAATGTACCAGCTAAATACATGTAATACCTAACTGTGTCCTTCTTGTTTTCCTAATATTTCGTTGATGATATCTACTCATGCCTCAATAATAATGTCTTCAGGTACGTGAACTGGCTGACTAGGCGTTTTCCAAGTCCCCGGGACGTGTCAGACATGTCAGATTCGTAGCGGGTAAGGCGTTCTGGGCGTTTCGAAAGATGCGCGGGGTCATAGCGTAGAAAGGCAAAAAAAGGCGTTAGGCTGCGAGAGATTTTCTTCATTGATAACGGGTCTTATGATAAATATCTGTGCTCGACAAACTCAACTAGGCAGGCAATAGGCTTCATCCCCATACTAGTCCGACTAGTCATTTCACTAGTTTGATTTTGTTATTGCCTACTACGTACATGATATCCGCATGTTGATGGATGTGTCTAGTGTATTTACTTGGGTTTGATTGGTTGCACTGGCTAAGACTCCATTTTTTTCGCTTCATTTGTCATTACGTAATGTACCCATCAGATGGTGCTCCTTCTTTCGCCCCACGGCCAATCCCCGTAACCTGGCTTCCCCATTTCTTGGCATTTCTAAAATAAGCCTAGACCGTTCCTATGAATCGTTAGCAACAGTTTATTCGGTAAAGATACGTACCGAAGCTTGCACGTGTAGATAGGTAGCCGGATTATCTATATTGCCATTATCAAGAACCATGCATCATGCCGCTAGACCTCTTCTAGCAAGACCTAAGTAAAGTACCCAAACAGAGAGCGATGACGATAAATCCCGCGAATTGATTGGCTAAAAGTCTCCAACGGGAAGTGCCGAGCCACTGAAGTTGCATCTCCAAAAATTCATCTTGACAAAGCTTGAAGCTGCTCAGAATACTATCACGTACCTAGTCAAGTCGCCAATTGGCCTTATAACCCCTCCCATAATGGCGCCAACGCGTCTCATAAGGCCGCCGACTTGCCTTAACTGCCTACGACAGCTAACCCGACAATACATGCCATCACCGTCGCCCTCTCCATTCCTATCAGTGTCCCTCCCACTGCAACAGACCCGAGGGGCTAAAGGGTTGACCAAGGCCGAAGAGGAAGATCTCCAAGGAATCCCCGTCCGCCTACTAAAAGACATCCAAGGATTCGGTCGTAAACGTACGTCTCACCACCATTTCCCACACACCTATGGGGTACTCGATATTTACTATAAGGTTGAAAAACAGATGCCATAATCCGCGTGAAACCCGGCCGTATGCGCAATAACTGGTTCCCGAAAGCGCAAGCCGAATACATGACAGCCCTACGTTTCAAAGAACTCGGGTTAACCGAAGCCGCCATCGGCACCCGCGACCGCACTTTCGGTACCAAGCTCATAATCGAAGAAGACGACAACACGAAGAAGCGAAAACTCGTTGAGGAAGGACCAAAGAAGAGCAAGAAGGATACCTTGACGCTGCCGGTAAGCTCTCTGTCATCATATTTTCTCTAAATATCTAGGAGAAAAGGACAGGGAATCGGATATGCTAACACAATAAATCCAGCCCGAGGAAACCCTCACCCTTCTCCAAACCCTCCTCCCCGAAACCCTAGTCTTCACACGCAAACCCATCCCCGCCGTCTCCGCGCCGCCTCCCTCCGAACTAGCAGCCCCACGCTCGCCCTCCCTCGCCGCACACGCCGCGACCTCAATCAACACTGCCCCCGCTACCTCTACTTCTACCCCATCAACCCCCGAGCCCATGGCCATCTTCGGTTCCGTATCCGCAAACGACGTCCTCGCGCTTATCCGTGAGAAAGTTTTGGCCGCGGATGCATCTCGCGGCGGACGATTGGCTCTCGAGACTGGAAGTGTAACGATTGTCGGTTTAGATAAGGAAGGTGAGGGCCATGAGGAAGGACGTATTAAGCGTCTGGGTACTTTTGAAGTGCTTATTTCCGCGTCGAAGGATTTGGAGCCTGTGAGACGCGAGTTGAAGGTTGTTCCTGAGGAATAAGTTAGGACAAGGAGTAGCAAGGTCTATCGATTATATGGATTGGCCTATTGCTTGTTTTCGAACTTCCGGGTCCAGTCGATATAGGAAGAGAAGCTTGTAGATTAACTGATTTTATGGTTGGTTGATCTTTGATACGCTACATTAGACACCCGTGCGTGTATGATATGCATAGCTATAAACTAGAGATGTACATAAAAAATGAAGATTCTTGTATCAACATGCACATTATTTAATTAAAACCGTGAATTTCACAACTACAGGCACCCTGACTGATGCGATATATCGACTGCCTAATATCAATAACACAATCAAGTATACACCAAACATTAACATCAACAGACATCTGAGTCACAAGATCGGGTATTAAATCTCATTTCTTTTCACCCTCCAATGCTACAATCTCGCCCTATTCAGCCCGACCGCCAGAGAATTAAAATAATGACCACTCCTCGGCCTATCCACCGTTCGTCGAGGGAATCTATCCAGACACCGAAATGACCTAACTAAGAATCAACAGCATACCTAACCCCTTACGCCGGCGCTGTGCCCAAGGGGAAAGATAACAAAAAACTAAGTATGAACACGATAATCTATGCTATGCAAATTATACTGTACCGCAACGCAACTCCTGCAACCAACTAATTGGTGGTACACTTAATATGCTTATCTAGGTGTGAGAGGGAGGAATGTAGGAGGATAGGTAAAGGGGAAGGCTCTAAATCCGAATCATCTCCCGGGATAGCTAACATCCAAGTTCCACAACGAATCCCATACGATACTTCTCCTTACGGGGCTTGTATTCTCGATCGACGCGGCACTCACCTCTCGCCGGAGTTGGGAGCGCTGGTGCGAATGTGCTCGAGATTGAGTTGAAGGCCTCTGCTGCGGATACGAAGGCGAGTGGGCGGTGTCGTCGTCTACTTGTCCGCGCTAGACCCCATCAGTAACTATGCCTCAAGAATTAAGGAGAACGTTACTGGTCTTGCCGCACCTCACTCTGTTCGCCATTATCCGTGGTTGGCTGTTTATCCCCACCTGATTCTTGCTGCGCTCCACTCGGTCCCGCTGCTGGTCCAACTGTCGGACTTGCGATACTGTTCGTCTCACTGGCTAACGCGCTGCCCTTTCCAGCAACCATTCCACTACCAGCAAAGGGAAGGGCTTTCTTAGAGCCCGAACTACTACGCCTACTCTCGAGACTCTTGCTGAGGGTTCTACTAACACCCTCGATTCCGCCATTAGGCCCGAGTTTAGACTTCCCTTTGCTTACGCGACCATGTGCATGCATGTCAGCAACAGCTGCAACCTTATTCGCAGCGACTGTGGATTTTCCGAGGCCGGGGGTAGATGGGGCGCCGGGCTTATCCTCATGCGCATCAATGAGCCACCAGCGTAGACCATCCGATAGATCGAATGGGTTATCATTCTCGTCCCCGGTATTAACAGAGTCGGTTTCGCCCTCCGATGGAGGCGCTGCAGATTGCAAGCTCTTAGACAGATCAACTACACGCTCCTGGATACGAGTTATACGAGCGACAAGCCACTCCCGACTTCTCAAACGGTGGCTTTCTTGCTCGCGCAAGAAGAAATGGGGACACCCAACATTGAAAGCGGCCCAGGCACCTGTCGTCTGATTACGCGTGGGGAGGAACAAGGCCAAATCGCCCTCCTTGAATTGCCTGAAAGAAATCTTGTCGCGGGCTTCCTTAGCAAGATCATGAGCTCGTTCTCGATAGTTGCGGGCGTCTCGCGTCATCTTTCGGGCGCTGTGTTCAACTTCTTTGAAGCGGCGATACATAGCTTCAGAGAATGCGTCAATATCGAAGTTGCCTGGACCAGCCATGAAAGCTTGGTACTGTTCGTCTTCTGTCGTCGCATCTTCGGCATTCATCCAGTAAAGTAACCTCAGGTCGGCGCTATCAGCAAGTGGGTTGCTAGTCAATGAAACGGATCGCCGTATAGAACTTCCTGGATCGGATGAATCGTTAGGATTCTGAGATGTACGCTCAGATCGTGGGATTTTCTGGATCGCCATCGATCCATCTTTACGCGTAACTGCGAATCCGAGGCGTTCGAGAAGTCTGCAGAGTCTTTCGTTCTGGGTATAATATCGCTGAGTCAGGTCTTTCGTGCGACCGTTACGTAATTCGGATCGACTATTGAGAGCTTCCAACATGGCATCGGATGATCGCAACTTATCCTGATACATCCTGACTTCCTCCTCGAGGCTACCCACTTGGGATTGCTTGGAGGCCATCAGTTCGGTTAACTCTGCAACTCGTTTCTCCTCATCCTCCAATTTCTTTCGCAAGGTCTCTGATCCCGTTACGCCTTCAGTCATCTTGACCCTGAGCTGATTAAGCTGCTCACGCCCATCAGTGACCTCTTTTTCAAGGGTAGCGCTTCGAGTCTTCTCCTTGTCAAGTGTTTCACGCAGGCGCACTATGTCCATCTCTTCGTTGGAGAGTTTCTCCTTGGTGTTATGCAGCTCAGACTTGGCGTCTTTAACGGTACCTTGAGCAAGCTCGAGGTCAGCTTTCATGATGGACAAATCCCGCTCGAGAGATCCAAGTTTCGCCATAACGTCGTTTGATTTGGTCGAGACAGCTTCCATGAGATCGGTTAAGTCCTCAGGAGGCTTCTCCATTGGCGATAACTGGCTGTACAACTCTCTAAGGGAGCGAGCATGGTTTTCTCTACATTCGTGGAAAGTATCGGCTCGTCTATTCAACTCCTTGATCTTCTCACGCGCTTCTTTCAATTCTCTCTCAAGCGATACATTGCGTTCTCTCTGAACTCGGGCTTCGTTACGTAGAAATTCGACTTGGCCCTGAGTTTTTAGGGCGTCATCCCTTTTCTCCTTGGCGAGGCGTTCAACATCGGTTTCTAAAGAATGAAGCTTTTCGTCATACGTGAGTTTTTCGTTTTCTCTCGACTCACCGAAGTGCTCGATTTCGTCTTCGGTCTCCTCGAGCCGAGCTCTTAGAGTCTTAATTTCATCCTCTAGAGATTTTCGCTCTTCCATAAACTCCCTCTTCAAGGCTTCCATATTTCCTAGGAGATCTTGTTTCGTCGAGTTAGCTTCATCCACACGTCCCTTCATGTGTTCAGCATGCGCATTGGCTTCTTTCTCCAGAATAGCGGATCGCTCCCTTTGAGTATTTAGATCTCCTTCTAGTTGCGCGATGCGATGTTGTAAAACTTCGTTGCTCTCCGAAGCTACTGATTGTCTACGATCGCTCGACGGACGTGGGGATTTGATAGAGCCGGTAGAGTCATTTTGGTGGGGATTGAAGAGATTCCCTAACGGTGATGGCCTCGATACCTGAGTTTGACGATGTAATAAATCTTCCAATCGACGCACTCGACTTTCTGCAGTTCTCAACTTGGTCTCTAACTTAGACTTGTCGCCTTGCAAGCTTCTGAGAAGATCGTCATCACCACGAATGAGTAAGCCGCTTCTCCCAAGTGCCGCTTCATGGACGCTGCCATTTTTAAAGGCCTTCAACCGTTTTGACTGCTGTTTAGTGGGGTTACTAAGATCATTCATTAACTTGGTAATATCTCCCAAGACCCCCTGATCAGCATCACGATGCCTCAAAATAGTCAAGAAGTCATCAAGTTCTTGCTTAGCCATTTGGGGCCAGGCTTCGTCATCGCCACGAAGGTTAACCTCTAAACCAAGGACGCTGTTCTCGGTCTTTTCCGGGCCATAAGTACTACCAACCATCTTATGCCACTTCCGCCGTCTTTTCAACTCCTCGTCTTGAAAAACTGCCATCTCATTGAGTAATGTTGACGAGTCGACCTTTACCTTTTCTGACCATTCCTTGCGTCGTATTGCCTCAGCGACGAAGGAGGCATACATGTAGGGTAGTTGTTGAATCAGTCGGAGGTAATCAAAAGTGGTCATTTCTTCCTCCCCCTGGTTGATCGCGCTTATTTGTGTCTTGACGCTGTGGTGTAGACTTGTTATCTCGGCAATCTTGCGCATGAACGCCAGAGATTCGGCGGCTGTTTCGTTGCGCGCCTGGGTAGCGTAACGAAGCATATCGTCCATCTCCAGTGCTCGGTTTTGAATACTAGGTAAGAGCTGTTTGGTGTGGTTGGCGGCGGTTTTCGAAATCTGAGGAACATCCTTGGTTTGGTTAGTATATGACAAGGTAGTCTTGTAATCCGTATCAACCTTCCTCGCGACAGCCTCGATGTCTTCTAACAATAGGTTGCAGTCGCTTCTATGTTGCATTACAGAACGATCGATCAGCTTTTCGAACTCCTGGAATAACTCGTCGCAACCGCTAAACATCTTCTTCGCTAAATTGTCTAATTCCGAAATCTTGCTATTGAATTTTCGCAAGGACGTGGCTGCGAGCTTGCCAGCTTTTCGCGTCGGTTCGGGGTCTATGAGGTCTTCTAATGTTGCCTGACGGGACTTTCGGACATCTTGGCCGGTCATAAAACGCATCATGGCGGGGGAAATAATAATGCTCCGAGCTAAATCGAGATATCGCTCCCAATTAGCAGCTAAGTTGGCATACTCTTCTTGAGTAGGTGACGCCCATTTTTTGAGCTCCTCGTGCTTCGGTTGTATTGGTTTAACGGCGGTGTCGAGATTTGCTACGGCAGCATCGAGGCATTTTAACATAACATCGACCTCTTCATACCGCGCCTGAGCTGCTTCGGCCATAGTAGTACAGTCCTCAACCACCTTCAGGACCCAATCGCGCCTCCTCTTGAATAGATCTTGCCATGCTTGTAATGAACGCGAGTCCTCGATCGAGTTCGGGGCGGTGGAAACAGAATACCGTTTGGGTGCGGGTAATTCGGAGATAAGAGAGTTGGAGGCGGACGAGGAAGCTTGGGTTATCCGAATATCATAAACATATACTTCTTTCTGTTGAACACATCAGAATACACATCACACATAGACAAAGACGGGATGCGAGCAGGTAGAAGTTGGGCTAACCTCGGATTGTATGGTTTGGACCTTGACCGTCTTCCCTTGCGATGTAAGTGCAACGATATACTGGACGGGTATGGAGCTCTGTCGGGCGACCCATCCTTTGAAATCATCTAAACTATATTGTCAAATAGTATCGGTTAGCTAAAGTATGCGGACTCGGTAGGCTGCATGCGCCGAATATAATACAACATAGAAAGGCGGAATACGTACGATGAGAACTGAGAAATATCGACCTGCAGGCGCTGGCCCGTGGGGGCAATCAACACCTGCGTCTGCGTCGCCATGATTTGTACAGTCCATCCCCCGAAAGAATGAAAGGGAGATGATGAAGATGATGATGCGACAACGATTATGTTCCAGGTGAGAGAGAGACCGGGCTATAAGGGGGGAGGGTTAAAGGAAATGGAGCGACGGTGAGCTTGTGATAATGAAGCAAAGAAGGGAAAAAGAAGCTTTGGGTTTCCTAATCGGAGCTCCCAGCGTCCCCAGTTGTCCCCAGTGTCAGCTGGCAATCAGTCAGGCGCCGTTTCCTTCATAAGGCTCCTGCCGGATTTCCTTATGTATGTATTCGTCACAATAGACCCACAAAGCTAAGGCGATGGGTGAATGAGTTGATGAGCTAAGCCCAGATAAAACCCAAAAACGGCAGCAAGGGTCCGAGCTTATTAATCCAGTCCGCTTTGGATGCAAGTACCTAGGTACCTAGTAGTTAAATGTGTTTAAAGAAAACGAAACGACCTGGAAATAAGGAAGTTCGTTAAAGTTTATAGGCACTGGACGTTTAATGTTTTTTTAGTACGGTGCGTTTTAAAACGTTCACCTTAAGTCTACATTTTCTGTCAGAGAGGTTCTATGCTATGACTTGTAAATGCGTTGGTGAGTCGGGTGTGACCTATGCGCTGGCGCCACTTCATCCATCTTGGTTCAGCCACATTCTATGCTAATTCAAGCCACGTTTGTCACACACGCGATAGTACGAAACGCGGTTCGGAGATAATCTCAAGATTCATTCATTCGCAAGATGCGAAAGCAAATACATGATCACTAAAAACAAAACATTTTATTAAGTATTGGATTGTGGGTTCAACGATTTTTAGTATTCTTTGTAGCCATTGTCACATACCGAAACAATGGCAGAGGCAACCGTGGACACCCCAACGCCACTCCTGTTATCGGACAGTGAAAAGCAAGTCCTGGAGTTACATGACCGCCTTCAGGAACTCCAACTAGAAATTGCATTGATAACTGCTCAGAGAGACTACAAACCAGGTAAGTAAAATGACGGCGATACCTCAAATTACGTAATCATCCTAACAGTTACCACCAGGTACAGAAAATAGAAGCATAGAAGAGGCACAGAAGGCTCTTCTAGAATCGAGGTCTCAATATGTCCTACGCAATCAAGTAGTAGAGAGCGTTGTGGCATCCAACCCGATTCTACAAGCAGTGCATAATGGGACGAAAGCGTCACCTATAGAAAGGTAAGAGTTCGCACCATAACCTACTTATCCTTCTTATCAATTCTAACATGTTTTGTAGAGATTTACTTCCCATCCTAGAACAGCGCGACCAGTCATCATCAACCCTGGCGCAGCAATCTACAGAGATGCGCGCTCTTCTAGATGAAATTATTGAGGTGGAGAGTCAGAACCTACGCATCAGCCGCGAGAACGCGGAACTAGCCGCTACGCTACTAGATCTCACCAAGCAGGCGAACAAAACCAAGGATGAGGCGGTACACGCGGATCCAGAGCGAGCGGCTGAAATATCGCGTCTGGAGGATCAGGTCAAGCTGAGCAGACAGAGATGGCGCGTGTTGAAGGGAACTGCGAGCGCGGTCGTCGCGGGCAGTGGAGTTGATTGGGCGCGGGATCCTCAGTTCAGGGATATTGTTCTCGATCCTGAAGATGAAGACGTATAATGGTAATAGTTGTGACTGTTTCATGATAAGGTGGAAAAGGCGTTTGATGATACCCAGAATGAGCTACATAGTGATCTTACTAATATAGACACTATTCTTCCGATCACTACAACATATAGGTGTCGCGTGTAAGCTCACTCTCACCATCACATGTTATTCCGCCCCCTATATATTGCGCTACCATCTCCCACGCTGCCCTTATCGAGAATTGGACGGGCGGCGGGAGGGGATCTTCGACGAACAAAGGTAAGCTGCATCGGTTCCTGATCGATAGGGCTTAGCGTAGCCAGTCTTGGCCGAAGCTGGTATACATCACGTGAAATAACATCTATTTTGGGATTTCTAGAAAGTAGCGCATAACGCATGCAGGTCTTTTTCATGCACTGATAGGATATTGGATGGTTGGAGGGGTCTTCATTTAGTACCTAGGTGGCATCTGAGGACGTAGTAACAAGTAGCATTGCTATTATCGCATGAATGTATAGTATTACACACGTAGTAGGTGGGTGACTAATCGGACAGTGATGGTGCGAGGCCGGGTATGCTTTAAATAGACAGTTCTGGATCACTCACTATCTAGACGCCTAGGTTTTCTATCACACGCGATGTGTGTAAATAGATTGGCGTGTCATATCATCATCCGGATTTATGTTCAGATTCTGGAGCGAGCTAGCTTAGGTGGGTTATTTTGCCTTTGCCGGAATCAAGGCTGTTTTGCCATGGTGTCGTCGATAGTGGAGAAGGCTTGAAGAGAAGAAAATGAAAAGGTCATCATCGTTACGCTAGGTAATAAAGATACTAGGTACCTCTACCTACTGTAGGTACTTATCAATGTGGGAGCAAGCACAGTGTACCTAGGTATCATGCACATGGGACGACCCATTTCCCGTTTGATCCTAAGCATTTCTCTTCTCTTGTTGGTGTTAGTGTGTGGCCCTGTGCAATCAATGGCATGTATCCGTCTAGACATGTGGTACCCGTTGGCTGATTGTCCGCGTCGATTATTTTAGTCTAGCAAGACATCCGATGCCTCACAACCAGGAATGAGAGACAGCGCTTCGGCTTGTCACTGATAAAGCAGCATGGTTGATGGATCTAGGCGTGACCAATGTTCCAAGTGCTAAGGAGCTGTGCGATCCTGCCCAGGTTTTCGCGCGGAGCTTACCAGCCTACCACTTTCTACCTACCTACTAGGTATGTAGGTACTAGCCATGGCACGTTCCCTCATCCCTCCTTGGAAGCCCCTATGTATGTAGTATGTGTGTGTATATACATGTAGGTATATACCTAGGTATGTACGTATACTACTACATACATACATCACATCAATAATTAATCGACGTTTGAGCTATGTCATGTGGAGATCCTTTTATCACGGGCTGTTCCCTGGCTTCGCAATTTCTTCCTCGAGGGCTCCCCAAGAAATGTTGTATTGCCTCAGATAAGCTCATTCGTATGTAGATTGCGAGATACCTAGGTAGGTAGTCGGTTCTGTATTGCAAATACTCGTCCGTACATATGCGCTTCGAAAACACGCTACGGGCGTACAACTCCAAATACGTACGACGGGCCTGCATTAATGATATTGCTATAATATAAGGAGATGGGGTTATAAAGGATGCAAGAACATCGAGCAGGCTGGCCTCTACGGGACTCTGCGGAGCGGTGTTACTCCAGTATGACAACTAGGATAGCTGCGAAGGAATAAATGTCGAGACTATTGGTTGACAGAATAGTTGCGCTGATATTTGCCTGTGTAATGTATACTTGTTTTGGATTACCCCTGGTTACCTATCGCTCAAATCAAATATCGTGAGCGTATGAATCATTTACGCGATCCATCTTCATATACAACATTTCAGGTAGGTAACCTCAAAAAGTGATGCCCGTAAACGACGTCCAATAGTGGTAGTAGAGCAACACTACGTAAGCCCTCAGATTCTAGATCTTACAGACGGTGAGCACGTTACTAAGTAAGAAAGGAAAACATAAAAAAACAAGACAGATCGCATGTAGAATCATCCAGTAAGACGAACGAAAAGTGTAAAACAAAATCATGCAATTAATCGGAATCTCATTGTAACCTGATCAAGTGGTTCTGAGTGGTGGTTAGAATGTATGATATGTACGGTTGTGTATGAATATGTGTGGTGTTGCTAACTTTGTTGGCGGTTGGATGCGAAAGAAAGGGGAGAGACAGAGAAACTGGCCACAGCGAGCGAAGAGGGGGAGTGCCAAACTCCCAGAACCGCCCGCCAATTTGTTGTGTGGTGGTAATCAGCTGCAGAGGACCAGACCAGGAAAATAAAAAATAAGAAAATCAAAAAAAAAAAAAAAAAATCCACCAGGGGGGCATAAGTTCAAGCCTGAAAGCATGGGTAGAAGTACATTTTACGCTAACAAGGGGCTAGGAGGTACTTCCACCAAAGCTTCATGTACAATTTATGTGCGTATGTACACTTGGTACAATTTTTGTACGTAGGGTGTATGCGTTTGCATGTACCCTCATGTTTGAGCTCTGCTTTTTGCAGTCTCCTTTTTTTTCACCCCCTTCTTTCCTATTGAAGTTCCCGCACACTCCGTCGGTTAACTAAGTGCCTTGCACATAGTATGCTGATCTTTTCTCTCATGAGAGGGTCTAAGAGAGAAACTAAGGTTCCAGGAAGTGGAAGCAGCAACAGATATGCATTCCGAATAAGAGAGGCGTGCAGGCGTGTGTATTGGTGGGAAGTGGGAAATGGGAAATGGAAGGCTTGGTGTTTATCGATCCTTTTAGGAATGGGGGTTGGCCTAGGTCCTTAGATCCCTAGGAAGGAAAGGTTGGAAGTGACTAATAGAAGTGATTAGACGTTGATTCTCAAAAGCATTGACATAGACAACGTCAATAAGGGGAAAGGGGGGAAAAAAGAGGGAACATGAATCAATAAGATCACTCCAACTTAGTAGTATAGAGGTACACAGTATCAGTGACCAAGCTATAACTTGGTATGGATAGGTTGCCCAGTACAATTGTGTCTTCCTGTCTTCCCCCCTTTTTGTCTAGCCTGTTCTATTCCGGTGATGTCGGGAAACCTGCAACCATTCCCGCACTGCTTTCATTGGGACTCTTTTTTTATGAGGGGGACAACAGCAAGAGGAATATTGCATGGTAGGGTAAAAAAAGGAGCATGATTACATGTACTTTAGGTAATGTGCTCTTTATGCAGAAATAAACATGTTAGGCAGTGCATTTATGTATATACTTTATTTAGATAGGAATAGCAAGGAAAAGGAAAAAAAGACCTTCAGCTAGGACGACTGGATGTTGCTGGTTTGCCGCTGGGGTGGATTGAAAAAAAAAAAAAAAAAAAAAAAGTGATGATGAATGAATAATAGTATAGTCTGATAGTATGATTGAAATGATTGAATGATTTTGGTGGATGAATAAATTGCCCATCAAGGGAAAGTGAGTGATACAGTAATAACAAAGCAACCATAAACATAGCACTCCTTCCCTCCCATAATACCAACTTAGTCATGGTACATCATATACAGGGGAAGGCATAGTAGGTACATCAAGTACTTTAGTATGTACAGTACAGCGTCTACTGTTTGTCCCAAGGTCACCTCCTTCCTTGTATTGTGCTGATTGTAACATTTAGCAGCTACGAGTACGGGATAGTAAGTACCTCCACTACCTAAATTGGGTAGGAGAGGTACCCGAGCCGGTCTAGATAGTTTAGATGGTCCACACACAAAGTTTCGTCAGTGGTTGCTAGAATAATATTTTTTTTTCTCTCTTGCTTGGTGACTGACCCCCAGACCACCCCCCTACCTTGTACCTACCTAGCTGTAGGTACTGTAGTAGTGTACATACATAGTCTACGTACATACAGGTACTAGAGCAGGTAGGTACATACCGCACTGGAGACAGACAGACAGACAAGCAAGACCAGACCAGACATTTTAGCTGGGCCAGGCAAAAAATCACTCGGTCACTGGTCACTGTGTCTACGGTCTGTCGGCCGCTTGCCCGCTTTTTGGTGCAGACCCCCTCCCTCTTTCGCACCTTTCGCACCCTCCCTTAGAAATTGGGGCAGGCTTAACTCTTGCTCTGCACACAATCACCCACGCGCAGTAAAAAGGCAGTAGGCCAACGCTCCCCCCATACAAATTTCCCTCTCTTCTCTCTCATACAAATCTCCCACCAAAATCGTCTCCCATACAAACACCGCCTACACTCAACCTCAATACCTGCACATACAAATCGTGAGTACCTCTGTTTATATGGCACCGCACTGCAAATACCAAGTCACCTCAACCACATTTCCCATTGCGCATACCACGACGTCTATTTCGTATCAATTCCGATCGGAATAGTATAGAGCAACATTTTTCATAAGTTGCATCGTCGTCGAACCTCATTTGGAGCTGATTTAAAGCTTCGTCTTGGGGGGTCCCTCTTCAACTACCCAGTCTATCGCATCATCATTATCATCACATTAAAAAAAATCCACCCTATATATTCGATTTTAGTGAGCGATTCCCGCTGACGGCGATTGCGCGCAACAGCTTCTAAACCACAACATCGATCTCGGATTACCTTAGAAATTATCCAAGGTATGCAACTTGGTCTTATTGAACCGATTTCGAGCTTCAAGACGCGGTTTTCACGCGTTGGCGGTCGCAATCGCATTTGCGACAGCGACGCTTTCGCAACGAAATCATCGTGCATCGCCCAATTCCCGACCATACACAATCATTAAACCACTGCCACCACCACCAACGCACTGCACCGTACCTTATCCATCTGCCCCTCAATTCATAAAATAAATCCAAAGTTAATCGCCCGCGCCCGACTCCGCGACAATCACCATAAAATACCACAACTACACATCTTTCCAACACAACACAGCATAATACCATAACACAATTTATATATTCAATCATGCATCTTTTATCAACATTTCTTCGAATGGTATCAAAAACTAACATTTCGCTATTTTAGAACACTTACAATCAACATGCCTAAGGAAACTACCAAGCGTGGCAAGGCCGGTAAGGTCGAGAAGAGAAAGGGCAAGAAGGGTAAGTTTTTATACCTATTACATTGTCGCATACTGTCGCCGACATACATTCTACTTTGGTTTCGACCCCCGTGGACTGTCGGCGATCCAGTGTTCTACAACAGTTCTATGCTTGGGGCCTACCTCACCTTAGATGCATCGATAGTCATCTGCATCTATCTACACATTTCACGGTCGCATTCCCGCTAACTAGTCAATACAGACCCCAACGCCCCCAAGCGTGGTCTCTCTGCCTACATGTTCTTCGCCAACGAGCAACGTGAGAACGTTCGCGATGAGAACCCCGGTATCTCATTCGGTAAGCCTCTTCCCTACGATTTCACTTGATGTAGTCTTGAATGCTAATTATGTTACAGGTCAAGTTGGCAAGATCCTTGGTGAGCGATGGAAGGCTCTGAACGACAAGCAACGAGCTCCCTACGAGGCCAAGGCCGCGGCCGACAAGAAGCGATACGAGGACGAGAAGCAAGCCTACCAGGTAAGTCATTCGAACACTCCCTTGTTAAACAATGCTGAACGTGGCTGATTAGGCCGAATCCGATTAGGCTGGCGGTGATGAAGAGAGCGAGTGAAGAAATCGCCATCTCAAATAGTCCGCTTGTTGGTCACGAGGTTTCACGACGAGATGACTTTAGCATGGTCATCGGCCTATTGAAGCCCTTGGCGGCGGTAGATGCACAAGTTTCCTTTCGAGTCTAATGCGTACGGGATCGGTCGGTGTTGATGCACAGGGAAAGGGAACATTGTGCTTTAGTATTTTCTTGACATTGCTTTCGCTCTGAGGGACTGGACCAGAGAGAGTTCGGGGAGATAACTACCCTGATCCAGTGACGTTGTCGCAGCTTTATTTCTAAGCTACACACATTAAACGGAGCGTGATGCCATCAAAGTCTCAATGCTTCTCGACAACGCTATGTAAAATAGTTTGCTATTCATAATTGACAGAGAGTTGTCAACAAGTCCTACATGACCCCCCTGTCATCCTCGGTTACCTACCAGCCTGCCTAGCGCACCCATCATCTATTCCCAACATGGTACTTAACCAGGTCTGGTATGACTCAGTGATTTTACTGAAGGAAGAATACGCAGCATCATCCCACGTGGCTGGATCCAACCCAAGTTCAGTTGAACCGTGCTTAGCAGACAAATGCATGCGAGGATCCTGTTCCGAAGATCTGGATGGTCAGGGGTCTGACCGAGAAAGGTGTGGGAGCCGACGTGGCTGAGGCTCCAATGCCCCCAAACCCTTTGTCTCTTTGATTTTTCTGACAACATGCCGCCCACAAGGCTGCAAGAACAATGTGAAGCTTTTACCTAGCCTCGATATATACGTTCTATCATAGGTGGGTTATCCATCTATCCCTGAATAGTTAGTTACTAATCAAGGTGAGGTCACCGTCACTTGGCTTTCCCTCCAGCTTCCGAGGTTGCTTTCTTTATTTAACTACGTACCTATTTTATATTAGGCCATTTTCGGAACCGGCCGCGCCTATGATTCTACCCGGACTTTTGAAGCAGATCCCCATTTGCATTTATCAATCCAATCATCGATCCGCTTGGACCTTCATATAGCGTTCCAGCCAGATCCTCTAGTAATGCATATCAACACCACTAAGCCATCGTCTGTCCTACAGAATACAACATAAAATCTATTACACGAGACAGCCATACCTATCGAGTGACCAAACTAATTCAATCTGATATTCACTTACTAAACCCCCTTGGTCTAGATCTATGATGGGGAATAAATACAAACACTTTCATAGATAAACATCAAGTCGATCGCACGTCATCGGAGCCTCGATCGGAGCTATGCTGCAAGTCCCTCAGCCAAAGCTGGAGATGATGCCGGTGTCCTCATCCCTGAGATCCTAGCCTAACACCCTACATATTAAAAAAATACACAGCATATCTAGTCTATCTTAGATATCTTCATTTACATATTACACTACCGACAGCCTACCGAACGATTATATTATATATCTCCCTTTTTTATGTATTAGAAGAGAATAATGTTTCTCTCTAGCAGAATAAGCGCCAGGGAGCCTATATCCCAGATCGAAACATGTATCATATCTTACATACACATCGGCGGCTACAAAGCGAGCGGCAACATCAAACAATTTTAGCAAAACGCCATAGCAAGTCAGAAGCCACCTTATACTCTCTTTCGTCATGTGTCGCCTATCAATTCCGGCCCGCGCCAGGTCGCAGACAAACAAGCGACTCAGCAATCATCGTCATGACATTCCCCTCCTTCGTCCCTCGTCCAGTCCGCTCTGTTCCCTGCATATTACTTCATGCAAGTATTCCCTTCTCCGCGCCGTGAGCATGGTAGCACCATGGCCGCTCTACGCCTGATCCGGCCTTATGGGCAAGCTCCACCAATCCCTGATGCATATACTCTGCTGCCAGGCTTCGTGGCAATCTCTGACTTGAGTTTTGATTCAAGAAATTATTTAAGAGGTCACTCACTTCTAGACTGCCTACCTACACTGGCAAACTTCCGAGAGGTCGGCTTAGCCAATTGACTTTCTTTTTTCCTCTTCTCTTTTTATTTTTATTTTTATTTTTTTTCGTTTTCTTTCTTTCCGCCAAAATTTCCTCCTCGCTCACGCTTATGTACGCATGCGTCGGCTGATTCCTTTGCTGGATCTAACTAATTTCCATAATTTCTATGGATTGCCTCTTCGGAGCAAAGGATTATCGTCACTTTTTCTAATTCCTTCTCTCGCATATTCTTGACTCCGGTGTTGTTATTTAAACAACTCATTTATATCAAGCCAAGACGATATTTTATAAAATCCAACTATCATATTTTTTCTACTGGCTTTTTATCTTTCTGGCCTCGTTATCGTATATCTAATTCCTCAATATTCTATCTTCAGCGATACATATTATCCCCACACACACATGCACGACGTTCTTCGGATTGAGACTTTCTCTTGTTGGGAATGAATACCTAACACATCACCCCACCTCAGTTGGGCTCCGGACTCACGTTATATGAGACTCACAGAGCACGCATCCGTCACGGAGAAGATTCTTATTGCTTCTAATTCATAATAGGTACAGTTTAAATCTCCTCTTTACTTAACCGTTCGTGATTGTATCCGCTCCCAAGCTTCCTATCCCCATATAGCCAACTGGCTCGCCTTATGCGGAGACGACGATCATTACAGTGCTTATCGAGTACCGATTAAAAATACCGGCACTCGTAGACGATATTACATTGAAATTTTGATATCATAACTTATCTTCCTCTCTTCTTCCCTCGCTCTTTGAGGCTGACATTCCCCGAACAGCGCTAAGCCTGGTGTGCAACAAAGCGTGGACCCGTGGTGGCTGTGGAGGAAGAGGTCAGAAGAACTAATTTTCGGTGTGGGATATCTTAATTATTCGTCATCATGGGATTATAAGTATTACTAAATTCGCCATGGAACCTATTCTACGTCGCACTCGAACTCCCGCCAGGCTGGCGGCTCTACAGCTCAGCCCCCAATTGCTCAATGGCTGCTTCCATGAGGCTGACCGCGCCGATCTCGTCGGCTTCCACCTTCAAGGCCTCCGAAATGCCCTCCCAGAGAAACTTCACTCCCACTTAAATGGGATCATCGGGGAGATCCAAAATACGAGCAGACTCCTACGAGATCTTGCGGAGCAGGCTCAGATTAATGTTGCCCAGCTACCCACTATTTTCGACTACCTCAATGTCATCCTCCCGTGTCTTTGCAAGACCCTAATGGACATAATGTCATATTACGAGGATAAGTCAATGGATAAGGAGCATCGTTGGAGAACTATGTACCATAAGATGACCAATGAACTGCCGGGCACGACTCTACCAGCTAGGTTTATCATGTATAATCAATTCCTGGGATTGCTAGAGGATCTTCTAAGAAGGTAAGGCTTCTCAAATTATTGTAATTGATTGATGATTAATTTCTAACGACCTAGATCGCCAAACTTTGACCTGAACGCAATGGAGTCACTGCGGATCCGCATTCTTCAATTACGAGAAGCTAGAAACATACGTCAGTACCTACCTTATACCTCACTACGAATGCACGGTCTAATTGTTTATAGCTCCGCCGGATCCCATAAGAACCGACCTTATTAGGCGGGATGAGGCGTTGGAATTCTGGAATCGGGAGACGGTAGGTAACCCAGGTCCTGATTCCGGGGCTTGTGGTATTGATATGGGGCAGAATTCGCACTGGGCTGAGGCGATCTTCACCCAGCCATTGACTTCCCGAAGGGAATTCAAGAGCCAAGGACGGTAAGTCCTTTACCTATGGATACCTTATATCAGGGTTGATTTGACATAATACAGTTCGGACGCCTTTGGCCATTTACAAATGCTCGGTCATCTCCCACCTCTCTCGCGAGACGTTAAGATCCTAGTGAAGAGGTAATTGCTATCTCATCCTTACATTTCGCGGTTCTGCTGGTTGAGGTGCACCTATGCTAATTACTGCTTTCAAGATCATTTGATAGCGACCGCATCTCGGTCATTTTCTTCTTGCAACTAAGGAGCCAGGCACCATTTCTCCTCATACGTTCGAAAGTCGGCAGCCAAAATTGGGTTTCCATACATGGTGTACACGAGCTGACCATTCGGAGAGAGAGCGATTCTATGCTGCACTTGTCTAGATGGAGTCGCAATGAACAACGGGTCAAGCCTTGGGCGAACTTGTCTTTCTTGACCTGGGAAGGTTAGTATCATTCATTCCCGAACAAAACGATGGCTGTTGCTAATGAGGCGTAGAAATGGTGCTTTTCTTCTGCACATTCCTGTGCCTAAGAGTCAGAAGTCAACTCACGCTTAACATCAACCCTAATGAATACCACCTTCGCAAAGAGCGGCGACTTTTCCAAGCGTAAGTTACGGGAATATTTAATTGGCTACAATACGATCTGGTGGCTAACATATACCTTATAGGCAAATTATTGATGATGGTTATCCTCATGTCCTTATGGTATTCGAAGATGCCGTCACGGGAGGTTGCCGTCTCCATGCTGCCGTCTGGGAGGGGAAACTGCGGGCATGCCCTGTATGGACTGCATTCAGTATGTAACTCTTCGACTACATTCACTCATAACCTTATTACGTGGCTACCAGACACTAACAATTGTGCTTTGCTATTAGTTCCTCCAAACGTATCCTCTTCCTGGCTCCTCCGCAAGACCTCGCGCCGCATCTGGCTACGCGACATCCAGCCTTACGTATTCTGCGAACAATATCGGCCGATGAACCAGCGTAAGGGACGATCCGGCGCGTTTGAGCTTGCATTCGCTAAGAGTGAGGCTGCGACACGCTTCCAGGAGCTGTTCTCCTCATCCCCCGGCGCTTCCTCCTCGTCGGCCGTCCCAGACTCGACCGATATCAACGACGTAGTTTCTCCGGACGCATAATAGGACCAACCGAATCGAATAAGAGGGATAAGAGGACGTTACGTCCTCGAAACAGCACCCCGACACAACATGCCATACCGATGCTACCATCACTACATCGCGGCGGCTCGGGTTCGCAACAACTAAAAAGCCACGGCCCGTCCCAGTAAAACGCACGTCCCCTCGCATTTTTCTGAAAAGTTTCATCTTCGCATATTTTTTTAATTACTCGAAAATTCACCGCACAATTAAGCCCCCCTTGATTCTCCTAACTAGGGCAAGGGAGCGAACAACACGACAGGCACAATCCATACGTAGCATACAGCCTTGGGTATTCTACGCTCTTTCTCTTCATGGGTACACGACATCATACGACAGTAACGTAGTTCTGAAAAGTAACCACACGATTCCACGACGCTCACGATATCTTTTCTATGTTACGTTTTCCCTTTTAACGATATGAATGAATAGCATGATGAGAGGCAGATTGTTCGATGATACCCCCTAATTTTTCTTACGATAGCATTATCTAGCGAGTCTTGATTTTGGTTTTCTTATCATATAATTAAGCTTGATTTTCTAACTGTTCGTGATTATGTGATGGTCTACGTTTACTATATGCTAGATTGCTTGCTTTCCAGTAATTTCTATCAAGTAGATCTGCGCCAATGTCTAGGTATTTGTCGATCAGTCGGTATTGTTGTACCTCCATAATTTACCTACAGAACTAACCCCAAACAACGAAACATGTAGTCTACCCGATACGCTCATCCATATGCGGCCCACCATGGCCTTCCTTCTTTAATTCTTCGCAGCCGCTCAATGGTGGCTTTGTCACGAAAATGGCGAAATAGGTACAACATGGGCCAAACATCGTAACCGTCAACGTCACCGATCCTATAGTCGCCCCATTGATCCCAGGTATAGTTCCAAAATATGTCGCTGCTGGATTCAGGGTCAGCTTGGAAGCGCGAGCCGCCGCGATTTATGGCTTCCCGGTAGAGTTCCCATGGTACGGCTTCAAAGGAGTCGTTGGTTTCCTCCCCATCCCTCTCTTTGAGTTCATCTTTAAAACGCAACCATTCGTACCGAAGACTGTCGGGTTCACTTTCCGTTGAAATATGCCATTTGTAGAGCTTCTGAATGCCAGCAACCTCTGCGAATCGATGGAACTGGCCCAGATACCTCCGCGGTACAGTAGTTAAAATGGAATGCTCACCAAAACACGAAATGACTAGCTCGTGGTTATCAGGCCTTTCAAATACTGCGGTTTCACCTAGTCAGTACTTGTGGGGGGGTTTTGGACGAATGTGGTAATAAAAGGCCAGAACACATACCGTCAAATAGATTCCACCTTATCCAATACTTAATTAATTCTACTTGAACGATTTCCGCCGGAGAGAAATTTGCCCAGAATTTCACCACCCATTCATTATACGGGGCCTCTATCAAAGGTGGCCGGTTCGGATCGGGAAAGCGATGGAAGAGATTTGTTCCTATCTCATGCATATAATAGGCACGGAATTTTCGAGCCTTTTCTGTGGGCGAATCATGAATTACACTATCTCCTGCCCTAAAATTAGTACCATAATGTTCTAGACGTGAAGCAGCAGTGATGAGTTCGGGAAGGTGATGAACGGTCCCCATCCGGAACAATTCGATATCCCACTCATCATGGTGGACGTAGTTGTTAAAGAACTCCGTCAGAGAATTCTGGTCAAGAGGATCAACCTTACGAGACTCGATTGCCATGACTGCTAGCTTGTAGTCGTCTGGGTCGAGCAAGCGGAAGATATGACTTCTGGCGATATGGTGCTTGTTACAAGAATAAACATTGTATAACGTCTTAGATGTAAGTAGCAGTGAGTGGATATCGTTGGGGTCTTCTAGAACCTTGAATATCTGGGTGATTATTTCAATAGGCGAGCGCTCGAAAGCGCTATTGGATGTTTCGTACCCCATGATAAGTATCTAAAACAATTGGAATATCACTGGATTTGAACTTTGATGCACCCGGATAGAAGAAAGCTATACCACTCGTCGCAGACTGGATAAAAGCTCTCTGATATTTGTCTATAACTTATTACTACGTCGAAGGCAGAAATATTCCCACCTTCACTTTATATTCGCATTTCGACTTGCTGGCTTGTTACACTACTCAACATAGTCTTTTAGTAATACAATACCTTTGAATATATTAATAGCAAAAATTATTCAAGATTGAGAGCGATACACATATTGTTAACTAGATGTTAGAGGTGCACGTATAATAATGAAAACTTATGTCTTTGTTTGATTTTCTTGTGGCTACATATTAGTAAGCGATGATAAATGAATGACAACATTTTAGTCCCGTTTCATGCCCCTTATTCCATATATCTGATTCACGAATTATGATTTTAGAGCATTATCGTAGGATTGATAGATGCAAGGAAGCTAATATGGCCGCGATATTAGAGATATACATAAGTCTTCAAATATCTAGGTACTGTATGTACCTACATATGTAGATAGCCTCAATCCTTATCTGGCCGTACGTAAATACTTAACGTCTACCTGAGTTGAGCGATTGGGAATTTGAAAATAGCAAAAAGAAACAAAAGATAACATACAACACCGAGGATTCCTTGGTCGTCACCGACCCAGGTATTGGTTTGGTGGTATTTGGTTTGTCTATGGGAGAGTGGATGGGATCTTGAATTTTCTAGATCCTATGGTCGTATGTGATAGGTTAGGTCTTTATCATAATATATATGGTACGTGCCTCACTAGTCGCTTGATTTAGGCTCAGTGCCTAGGAGTCATTGAGTTAGTCTCCAGTTCCACATACTCATTAGTTACCAAGATGGCGGCTCGTGTGATTCGTATTAAGATACTCCGTCAAGCTAAGATTATCTAGGTGGTATGTATCGATATATACACTATCCATAATCCGATTAAAGCGACCACGAGTAAGGTAAAATCCCTTCCACTACGAGAGCAATTCATTGTTAACCCTTAAAGGTCGGTCGAGGATGTCACGTGTTACCCCATGTCAGCACATACTGACGATCTGAATATAGATGGACCATCCCTGATTGTTTAATGGGTTTCTTGCTAAATCCTTGTCCTTTGGCTATCACGTAATTGGCATTTAGTAGTACCCAATGGTGTTACTGCTATGCCATTGTCAACATTGATTCGGACCAAACACTAACTACATTTTGGTCATGAAAAGGATCCAGTAGGTATCATCAACAGAGATCAACTAAAAAAATCTACCATTCTTCAATTCGGGATTAGTAAAATAATAGTACGGATACTAAAAGCTTGTCTTCAGAAATTGCTGGCATATTTCCGGTGCTATGTCGGATTGTCTAACCTGTCTAGGCCGGGAAGGGACCCGATTCAGGGGTATTCTCCAGTATTTTCAGCCACAGCTCCAGTCGGACAGGGGATTTGCCATCCACCATGATTTCGGTATTGATTGTTCTAAGCACGGAATATCTTCCGCAATTTAGCTAAGAACCCATCTAGGTGGTAAGAGGTAAGCCGTGGTATATATATTTGAGTGAACGTCATTCTCGGGATGCTGCTATTGAACGGGCTAAACCTCACGTGCCTATATATCAAGAGAATTATATATACGTACCTACATATGAAACGACTAGTTGGTGGATACACTCATACTATGATATTGTATCTCGATCTGGCCTGCTTAGAGCTCCCCACCCGAAAGATAGCGTCAGTTGTCAGCGACCATTCACATCACCGAATGCCGAGCTTGGTGAGTTTGAGCCGCATCATGGAGAGCAAATTTGTAGTCATAGGATCCACATTTACCGAGATATTCGAGAAAAAAAGAAAAGGGAGGAGAAGCTCCTACCCCTTCTCCAACAGGCACAGCAACATCCGTATTGTCGAAATCTAGGCCCTTGTCCATCGGGGTCATCAACAAGTCTCAGGTACCCTAAACCCAAGATGGTCAAATTCCTGACCGAGAGAGGTCTGATAATGTGGGGCTCCGGATTAATGGAAAATGGGAGCTTCATCTGTCAGTCGGAAAGCTCTACTTATGGATGAGAGCACGAAATAACCTGGAACTTAACTGTCTCGATGGGAATTAGGGGCGCGAAGCTTGCCGGAAAGAAAGCTATCTCCTTCCCCGGTCATGAGCATATTCATCTATACTAGCTACGATTTAGGGCTCTTAGCTCTCGCCGGGCTTGATGTTAGGCTCTTACTTTGAGTTCAACCGTCTAGATGTCACAATTAGACTACAATAGTAGCTTTGATTAATTGTTAGCATTAATTTTCTATCGGGTTGAGGTTTCGTGACCGTCATGAATAAGGGCTGTGGCGGTGATGACTCGGTCAACCGGAGACTACCGAATGGAGACGAAGGTCAACCCCTGGAGCTGATCACTCTTTAATGAACGTTCTTATCCTGGATGCTTACATCCGGATTCCCATTGTTTAATGATTTGCATAATTCAACTCCAAAATTCTGGCGTAAAACTATTCACCACGTGTTTTTCAGATTGGTGCGGCGATGTATTGGGGTAGTCCCGGGGAATTCGTTTTTAATTTTCAGCTGCTCTTATATGCTTTCCATTCCCTTGTGTGGAAGGGTTGCAGTCAATCCATCCACCCCAATATGTGACGGGGGAGTCGATGGTATTATGTTTAGGTGTACATATGCCATTAGGGGTTGCTGCTTTATCTGAAAATTCCTCAACAGGGAGCTAGACGTTGTTAATTGTCATACCCTGGAGCTAAGTGCCGACTACGATACCGCGGTCATTTGCCCATCTCCACTAGCGGACCCTCATATAAGCATCTTGGGGAGCCATGTGGATGTAAGTGCTAAGGAAACGCATGAAACCGAAGATCTGGTGTAATGACGAAGTAGCATTGGCCGAACATTAGGACTGCAAAACTGCATACAAAACGTTAGCCAAAACAAGTCTTCAAAGGCCCGATAGTACTACAGTACAAGATGAGGTCAATACAATATTGAAAATACGTACACCGTCCCCCAGTCACCAATGAACACTCACCGGGGCTTGAATTTCAAGTCATGTTTTGGGGGCCTTCTTCTCTTCGCCACCCCAGTGCTCATGTGCATTATTTTCCCAATCTAGACTACTTGAAATCCACAACGTTATTACGATTAGAGCTTCTCCGCTGTGTGAGATCTGGGGTTAGATCTAACAGCTTGCTATTAGTACTCAACTATTGAAAGTTGCTAGGCAAAATTTGCCTAGGCTTCCAGTGGAAATTTCTCATTACTCTAACTGGTAGAGGGACCTGCGCGAGACCAGTCCATATAGAAGCTTATTCTTACCAGCGGCTTTCAGGGCCCCAGGATTCTGTGGTCATATCATTATTGTCGGGTTCGTTATGATATCTCGTCTCGGTTTAATCTTTAATCATATGCAGGTCATCAATTTGCGATATCTTACAAACAGCCGAAAGAGTGAAAATGACGACCCATAGCGATGGAATCCCCTCTAAATACTACGAGGAGCCTAATAGTCTCCCATCGATGGACTCGAGCACCTATAATGGACTTTTGGCCATCGGAACGCTCGCCACGATCTCGCTAATATTCACATCCGCCCTCTTAAGCTTCATTACGTGGCGTATGATTACCTGGAAGTCCCATTATGCTAGTGCCGTCGGTCGAAATCAGTCGGTCGTGCTCATTTACCAGCTTATTCTGGCAGATTTCCTCCAATCACTCGGATTTCTGATATCATTCCATTGGGTGGCGGAGCGCCAGATCATCGGACCTGATGGGACATGTTTTGCGCAGGGTTGGTTGATCCAGCTTGGAGACGTTGCGAGCGCTTTCTTCGTCCTCTCGATCGCAATCCACACTACATACCAAGTAATCCTTTCCAGAAGTTTATCTCACAAGATATTCATCTGCTGCATACTTGGAACTTGGGTTTTCGCCATACTCCTTACATCACTCGCCCCAATTGTCGGTGGACGATTTGTATTCCAGAGAGCTGGAGTCTGGGTAAGACCCCTGCCAAAATTAATTGAAGTTTTGTCTTCTAATTTGAAATACAGTGCTGGATATCAGTAGACAATGAAGGATTACGACTTTCCCTTCATTATATATGGATTTTCATCGTCGAGTTCGGTTCTATTCTCGTTTACGCCACGGGTTTCTACTACCTCTTCCGCGCCAAGAACTCTGACGCCATCATGGTACCCAGCCGCAGTGTCGAAACTCTACGGAGGGCCCGAACTGCCATGTTGGCGTACGCGATTGTGTATACTCTTTTGAGTCTTCCTCTAGCGTAAGCACCCCTCGATTCAATTATTATTACTCGAAATTAACACTATCATAGCGCTGGACGAATGGCTAGTATGTCAAATAATCAGCTATCCGACGAATATTACCTATTTGCCGGAGCTCTCTTCACATGTTCCGGTTGGGTGGATACTATCCTATATACGATAACACGACGAGCACTACTATTCGACGAATTGAACGTTTACGGTCGCCGGCCCGACCCGAATATGGGTAACGGAAATCTACGCGCGAAGGATGCTGGCTTCCAGAGACAGAGCAGTACAGATAGCATTCTAGCCGGTAATGGGTTTGGAAGTATCGGCGGTATTAAGATGGAGAGGACCGTTAAGATTGAAATGGATGATTTGGAGAGCAGTAATGGTGAGAGGGGAATGCAGGAGTACTATGCTACTGCAGAAGCCTATAAGCCATAGATGGGAACCGAGTGATGCAAAACGAAACATATATGATTTATCATGGATTTGGAATACCCCTTGTTTTACGGTTCACCTATATACGAAATGTATTATACCATAATAAGTAACAACTATTTAATAGCCTATTGTATTTATAGCTTATATCATGTTTTCTAGGTTAACTGCCAAGGTTCTGATTGTGATATTATATCTTAGCCGAATCTGGTCTGAAATCGGGCATGGAATCCAACGTAAGAATTCTCAACACACCGCATGAGATAAAAGTCACCTCTGTGGTGGTCGATGACGATCCGTGGGGTTCAGAAGAATAAAATGAATTGCAACCAAAAGCAAAAGCGCTGAAATGCTCCTAAGGATAAGTAGCTTTTACACGAGAAGATGTACTCGAGTATCCAGATACTGACAAAGGATAATGGAAACTTGTCAAACATGGCGATATTCTTAAATTAGAAAATATTATTTGGAATAACCTTTTGAAACTGTCTAATTGAGGTTCTTGTCGTGGTTACTTACACGTCCTCACCGACCTACAACCCTTTTTGCTGATTCACGATAGACAATCTGGTAGAATATATCTCATGTATTAGGTGGTAAGCTGACGATTATAATCTCGTGTAACTTTAGCTATAATATGACTTATTGCCGTTTTTAAAGAGCGGTGTTCTTATCACGCCCTATTGCCAAATTGAAACAGATACGGCTATTGATGCGAAGCATTATCCATTTTCGAAGTTAAGGTTGGGATTTACAGAAAGTATTTAAAACCGAACCCAAGGGCAAGTAGAACTGTCTTGTGTCTAAGTGAGTAGTTCTTCACACAACTAGCTGAACATGTCTGGACTTAAAGCTATCATTTTTGATTTAGGGGGTGTCCTGGTCGACTGGGACCCCCACAGCGGCAATTTTATCTCGGCCCGTCAGTTAAAGACACTCAGGAGCTCAAAAACCTGGTGTGATCTGGATTCCGGTATCATATCTCTGGATGAAGCGTGTGAGGTAATGTGGCGCCCTCCCCGAATATGGCTGGCTCGTTATTAGTTGACACCAAAAAGCATTTCAGCAAGATTGTCGGTTTGGACAGCTTAACCGTTAAGAATGACCTAGACCATATATTAAAGTCGTTGACCGTTGGAGAAGAACTAGTCCAGGTGGCTCAGGAACTGAAGCAATCGGATCCGAACCTGAAGTTATATATAATGTCAAACATTTCACGAGTATGTATCTCTCGCCAAGTGAATGCGGGATAAAAGTCTAACAATTCCACAAAAGGAGCATTTTGAGATTGTCCAACGCGGAGGGCTACCATGGTCTATGTTCGACTCTATCTTTATATCAGGGGCTTTGGGGATGCAAAAACCTGATATAGGTTTCTTCCAACGCGTGGTTAGTACCATTGGAATCGACCCTAACTGGATAGTGATGGTCGATGATCGAGCTGCGAATATCCGCGCTGCTAGGAGTCTTGGTATGCATGGGGTCTTAGTAGACAAGCCACTGGTTGAAATTAGTCAAAGTTTGCGAAATCTATTCCTGAACTCGTCGGAGAATGCTGAGAGTGTTGGAGAGCACAACAAACATTTGGAAATCGATGTGGTATAGAGTAGAAGTTTTATAGAATAAATTGTCGTGAGGCCGCGTTTCCTCCCACGCCCTAATCGTTGCGATTGCAGGATTATGAGCGCTAAAATACGCTATAATCTCAGGGGGCTTGGTCACTATATGCGCTATAGTTATGGTGAAAATGGTAGCTAACCTGCGGGGATTCCCTGGAGATAATTACCGTTTTAGTCTAGGATAATGCCTCTGATTGGCTGAGGTTCTACTTAGTGTGACGGGGTAGCATGACCTGGAAGCTACGCCGTAGATAATCGTGCAATGGAATGTGTTTTAAATCTTGTTGCTAGCGTGTCAATTTTCTTGAGATTTGTGCCTTACTATGTTTTATAATTAATGGCATATTTAAAGTCGTAGTTTTTTTGTACTGGCGTTTTATAACGACTGGCTCGAGGTGACCCCAAGATTGTATGATTAGTCAGCATTATAAAAAAGGAGCGGTTTGTCATGTGCTGAGTTGTCGACGCAATGATTCCGTTTGAAATATTGAAGTTTTGTTCAGAGAACCTTGGGTTCTCAATAATCGTGAATGACTTCGTTAATAAGATAAAACATGGTATCATTCCCCGACGTCGATATATACGCACGAGTCTGCCGTCTTGGACTCGTCAACTTCTGAATGTTTTACACCACCAATAGCTGTCTCATAGCTTAGTCATCTGAACTCCTTTTCGACTTTTTAGATTTCTTATGCTTCTTTTCTCCGAATGCTTCGTCGTAGACCTCCGCCGCTGTCATTCCAGCTTTCCTCTTAGTTTGCTTCGCCTTTACGCTGACGACTGGATTTGTCTGTCCCTTTTTGGTGGCTTTCAAAACCTGCTTCTCTGCTTCTTCCCACCCAGGTGCATCGCCTTCAATTTCATATCTAAAGCAAAATTAGTATATCGCAAATACTTGTTCAGTTCATTGGGTAGCCTTACTGGTCGAGAGGGAGAGAGTCAATGAGCTCTCTTTGTTTTGCCCTCAATTCTTGTAATGCTTCATCTCCGGCCTCGTCTAACTCTGCATCCAGGCTCATTGCTAGAGGGGCGAACTTATCATCCACCACCTCGTCTTCGTGAATTCCGGAAGCATTTTCTCGACTAACACCGATCGCATCCGATTTAGGCATGTCGGCCTCGACGGCTGACGATATTAATGATGAGAAATGCGCTGTAATCTTCCGTATGATCTTCATGAACATAGCTAGACCTTGCGATGATTCCAAGGACAACTCCGTGCATATCGCGCCTATATCTTTTCGTTGTAAACCAATTCCTAAGAGTAGAGCTCGCTGTACACCTGTGAGCTTGATGCTGGGCTTGAGGGGACCTGTGAAGTAGAGATCTGCTAGTTTGGGCACAAGATCAAGAATAGCGTGATGATCTAATACACCTCTAACGTATGACTCTAGTCTCTTGCAGTCAAAGGGTGTTAGGGTTCTATCCAATTGCGATTTGGTCAATTCAGGAAGCTGGTTTGACGGATCTAACTGGGCCCCCGTCGTTGCAGATTGGTCTATGCTTAACGCGAGGACACATGGGAAGTCGCGGAATTTGTAGGAGAGCAAAGCTAGGAAACGTCGGTGGAAATCAGAGGCAAAAGCACCGAGCCATTCCCGGTCGTCCTTAAGGGGTCTAAGCATAACGCATGTGTGCTCGCCAGTTAAATCGTTGGCCGTTTGTCTCTGCGAATTGTCAGTTTTGATGGTTGCAAAATGCGACATGGATAATAGTGGCGTAGAAGCTTACTAAGTACACTGGTATAAATTGGGCGCGCGACCAGAACTTGTGAAGAGGTTGGGTTAAACCGTAGCTCACACCAACATACTCAAGACCCTCCGGCTTACGTTCCGCTAGCCTAGAGAATAAAGGTTGCATCTTGTCGATATCTCGAATCTTGATATCCTCGTTAAGAAGACCACCGCTCTCGCCTTGTGCAACATCTGCGGCCTTGCTGGTGGCCCCCTTGTCTGCAAGATCGCTATCTTCTCCTAAATTAATGAATTTGCCCTCGTAGTAGTTAATCAGAAGTTCAAGTGCCTTCGAACCGTATCCCATTGAAACACAGTCGGGATGAGTAGCTATTCGAACCACACGAGCTCCAGAAAGAGAAGCAAAATCGTCTTGGAATTGCTGACTAACCAGCCACGGAATTAAATCACCGGCGGGCCGTTGTCCTCTGTCCAAACTTGCCATCACACTCTGCTTACTAATATTACCTTCGAGTGTTATTTGAATAACACACAAGGGTTCGGGAAGACCATTTTCTTGAATGGCTGAAGAAGTTAGAACAAAGAGCTCATGTGCTGGAGCATCACTCATTAGTTGAATGTCATCTGGCGTATTTTTATAGTGACTAGTCACGAAAAGGGCCACCATTTGTCGTAGAAATCTTTCCGGTACCGGGTGGAAAGAGAAGAGAGTGTCGCGATTGACGTGGAGAAGTTGACATTGAGAGGGATCTGGGAATACGTTATTCTTAGGTTTTGAAGGGATCACATCCAAGCAAAGAAGTGAGTTTAGCCACTTCTCAACTGCATCTCCTCTCGCGTAACGTATCGGCTCAGCAAGCGTAACTTCTTTCAAAGACCTCGGGCTTCGGGTTTCGCCCTCCTGAGCCACAGTAGTAGCAGCCTGTTCTTTCAATTGCTTTATCAATTTTAATGATAACGAACGTCCAGTGCCTTCATAACCACTTATTGTTGAAGCCATGAAGACCGTATAAGGCCCTAGAAGCTTTCGCACTAATGGTAATGGGATTGCCGCCGCTTCGTCGATAATGACAAGCTCCGCTTGGCCGAGTACATGGGCATCTTGTGGTCGTATATACTGTATGGTCTGCCGGTGGTTGCGGAATATGTTGACTCGAACGATCGCCTTTTTGAAGTCTGGGTTTGTTGATTGAATGATTGAATAATCTGTGTGATCTTGATAATTCAAGGCGTCAAATGCTTTGAATACGAATTCGAACAGAGTACCCAAGTTTTCTGGAGAGGGTGATGTGACAAAGATATTACTGTAACCGTAAGACACGGCAGCCGCGATAGCAACACCCAATGCTGCTGATTTACCACGACCACGGGCTGCTGTCAACGAGACGGTATTTCGTAACGTCTTTGCAGCAATTGCATCAACGAACGTGACCAATGCATTCGCCTGGTCCTTAGTCCGCGCAAGCTGAACCAGGGATCCTATCGGCTGTGTATCTCGAAGCGAGTCCTTCATTTTTTCCAGTTCTATTTGCTCGGCAGACTTCGACTCCTCCACGGGCGGTAGAGGCTTCACCCCTCTGCCTCCAGATATAGGTAGGACGTTCAATTCATCGTCAATGACGAGACAAGATTCGCACCGGCCAAGGGAGAGCAGGAAACGTTCGTTGAATCTCGCAACAACGTCGTGATGGGCTTCGGTTCGATATCGCGAATGTACGTCCATGGAAAGAGTATAAAGTTGTCTCAAACTATCCATTCCTTTCAGTAGAAGTACTACTAAACCTCCTCCTTCGACGGTTTCGATGGTACGGGCTAACGTATTCGGAGTAAGGGCTTCGAAATCTTGTAGAATGCACATGCCGAACGTCCTACCCAGGATTTTGTCGGTTTCCTTATAGTAGACATATCTAACATCGTGCAGCGAAACGAATAGCTCGAACGGATCCTCGGAATTCGCTTCCCTAATTCCACGTTTTATCTCTTTCTTGATCTTGGCTTCTCGCTTCTTCCGATGACTCGTAAAGCCAAGGAGCTTGTTCTTATAGGCCCAGAGCACGGATTTATTTTGGCGCAAGTCCATGCTGGACATGACGAAGTGTAGCTTAACGATCGCATCTTTCAGTTGATCTCCGACTACGATGAAGAAGCTTCGTTTATGCTCGGCAAGGTTATTTCGGATGAGAGTGGGAATGCGCGAGTCCCTAATGAACAATCCGGTTAGTATATAAGCATCCTTAGCTCACAGGTTTAAATTTCCTTATGGGACTTACACAGCTTTTCGCGCCATCTTGTCGTGCTATCCCCTCGATCCTCTAAGCCCGGTAATTCATGTACTTGGTTCGCTATCTTTTTTTTCGCGGCGCAAAAAAAAAGTTGCTAAGAATTATTGTTCTGTCAGGCGGTGAGCGATTCTGCCGAGCGGTAACCCCACTAGTGCGAGAGCTAGTATGCATTATGTAATCATATAGTATCCACTATGCACCCCCATAAGACTAAGACCCCATCATTGATAAAAGAATAATTTTTTATACTTGCTACAAGCATAATATCTTCAGGCCACGACGAAGAGTATCGCAGAGTAAGATGGAAGAATACTGAATTCATTAATCAGAAGAGATATTTTGGTATCAAAAGTTCTTAAACAGATTTTAATTGAGATCGATCGACCGTACAGTAGAGGCACATCAAAATCATCGCGACCTTAGAATCCTGTATATTCCCAGAGCCCATCATATAGAAAACGCCAAACAATCCTAGAAAACTAAAGGGAATCTCGCCAAGGAACCTCGATATCGCCAGGCCCAGAAATAAAATCGTACAAGTAAACGCCCCATCTAACCGATTAATTTTTTCCCCTGCGCCGTAGACTACCATATCGGCGACGAACTTGGGCGTAATCCGCCGGGTTGTAAGCGTACCCCTGGTTACCACGTGGATCCGGCTTATGTGCAACCTGCTGGTGGTATTCTTCTGTCGTCTCCTGGTGCGTGGGTAGCTCAGCCGCAAAGCCCTTGTGATCGAGCCCGGGAGAGGCGTATCCGACACTGCCCGGATCTGACGAATATGAGGTCGGCCGTGAACTATCTAACGAAGGGCTTGGCTGGCCCTGAGACCAACCCCAGGATTTCAACTCGGGCGAATGAGATTGAACTGATGCCGGTGAATTCCGACCTTGCTGTTGAAATGTCGGTGATGGGTTAGGTGGTTGTAGCTGCGGCGACGATTGAGGATGGTGGAAATCACCCGGTAGTTCCATGATAACGTTCTGATTACTGGGCACTGGTGCTTGCGAATTCGGTAGCTCGGCGTATTGCTGATGTATCTTGCTCTGGTCATACCCATTTTGCTGTTGGAATTGATTCTGCCAATGCGCAGGATAACCCAGCGAACTTGATGTCCCGGGTCTGCTGCCCCCTTGCTGTAGTGACATTGGTCGCGGTACTTGGTACGGTATCGACGGCGACATCGGCGGTTGATACGGACTTCCCGGCGGCGACGACATTGGTGGTGACTTCAAACCCCCTCCTACACTACCGGCGTATGTACTGTCGTTCGGATTGAAAGTCTTCATCTTGCCATCTTCAATCATCGCTTGTAATACGCCAGCATCAAGTAGCTCAGCCTTCTTTATGATCCTCTCTACCATATCTTTACTAGCTGCCTTCATTTGCGCTTTTACCATGCCAACCATAGTGATGTTGCATCGGATCTCAATATCTTCCCTCAAGTAAAGCCCATCTTTCGGCGCGCCAAGTGCAGCCAATCCAATCTCTTGTTGCTCTGGTGGCTCGACGCCAGGTTGGTTACCGCCGATGCGATACTAAAACACCCCTAGTTAGCGAGTACTGTTTTCAGTGCGTCTGGCGGGCAATCGGGAATTGTAAATTCTGTTACACGGGGAACGATTCGCATAGAAAAATGGCATAAAAAGGTAATAAATAACCCCGGATAAGTCTCACCTTGTTTCGAAGGTCTACGCCCATCGGCGCGTAAATGTGCGTTTGAAGGCCCCACGGAAGATCATGAAAGCAGCCATTGAAAGTGATTTTGCCAGACCCTAACTTTCCCATACCAGGGATATACTGAATGCGCTCATGAATCTCGTACCATGTTGAGAAATATTCGTCGGAGGCAGCATCGCGAGGTGCTTTAATCTGTTTGTATTCGAGAACGAGGGGATTTAGCGTGATGACTTCACCGTGGCTATGAAGGATGTCGATAGCTAACTGGCGGGGTATGAAGGTGGGGATCGGTGTTATAACCGTATACACTTCTTTTTTCTTGAGCACCATCGCGCGAGCTGGCTAAGGTATTCGTTCTTTATTTCGGATTTTCGGTCATCGACTTAAGGCAAAAGATAGAGGTTGAAAAGAAGTAAAAAGTCGAGGTTTGGAGCACAATTAATCTCACTCACGTTTTTTTACAGGTAAGCCGGGTCAGTCGACCGCATAATTATTGCTCGCTAAGGTGATAGGCTGAGAGGTTTGCGCTCGTACAGAGAGCCTAGACAAGACAAGGTGGTGGTCGGCGTCAGCACTGTGATGGTAACCTGGACCAACTTGACACCCCCCATTAATCCCATTAATCCTCCTATTGATTGCGACGCAGCCACTAATCTAACCTATTCTTAGTCGGGAGGGTACCTAAGGTAACATCATATTTCTCCCTAGATTAGTTGTACTTTGGTGAGCCAGTCCCTATAAGCCACACGGCTCGGGGACCAGCAAGCCGGGACCGATGTTGGGAAGTTGGTGGCCTCCGGATGAAAGAAGATCGTATTCAACCACTATAACAAAAATCTGTTTTACCCAGTAAGTTTTTTTCTCCTAAGTTATAGTATCGGCCATTTATATAAAACCCTTTAGATGGATTTCCAATCATTCTCAATGATTCTGTCACCTTAATCCGCAAGACATCAGTATATTGTAACAGCGGATCTGTTCCTCATTAGTTCAGCCTACCTAACAAAGTCCGAAGGATCGACAGAGCTGAACCAGCGCCCAACGCCATGATTTCGTCAGCACGGACTCGTCCCGTTGTCGGGACGAAACCATATGCACGCCTAGAACTTGTGTAATACATATGTATGTATAGCTAAGTAATCATAGACAAATCAATGGCAAAAGGCAATAATCTAGTATAATGATTGGCCATCCAATCGATTACATAATAATCAATGGAGTGTACACCTGCAGACATACTAATCACCGCCCCCATTTTCTCCAGAAGTGCAATTTAAACCCCGTTGAGAATGAGACATTTTTGTTTGAGAGTTCGTATATCATGGAACAGTACGCCGCCAAGGCAATAGTCGATTAGAATGCTTTTTAGCATCAAGGAGAGTACTGTATGATTTTCAACTATTCTTCCTTCTATAGTAGGTACATTCTTGCGACCTTCCTATGATTTTGTTTTTCTTTGTTTCGCGGCGACTCTTCAACTACCGAATCTCGCATATCCTACCGAAAAATTACTGCTCCTCCTTATACTACCCTCCCAACACGAGCCCGGAGCCAAACACGAACAATTGAACAGATTAGGATTATCTTAGAATTCTAGGCTTCTGTTCCGTGCGATTTACTCAGTCGTTAACAAGATGTGCGAGCATTATGCCGCACGGTGCCAGCCATACGATCCTGTCTAGTTGAATACACTCGAAATCCGAAGCTGAAAAGTCGGTTCACTAGCAAGTCAAGCCACCGACATCATTTACATCCACTAAATTACTATCTGAGGGGAAATCACAGCCGAAGAACAAAGAATCTCCAACTAGTACCACCTCTTCAACCTATGGTCTACGTAAACCCAGCACAGACGTCCTGGTATACATTATTCTCAAGCCCAGCCGCATCTGTCGGTACATATTTGAGTGCCGTAGCATGCGAGTAAGTCCATCTAGGGTCATTCAACTCCGTCTTCCAAGTCCAATAAATCCAACCGCTCATACCGGGCTTCTCATAAAGCTGCTGCTGAGCGGTGAAGAACTTCTTGAAGAAATCCGCATCGGACCAATCCGCGCCGGAGGTCATACTCCACTCGCCCGTGACGAGGAAGTCCTGGCCACTGACGAGTCGTGAGTCCGTGCACGCGCTGTGCATTAGACTGGACTGGTCGCCTGTGTTTGATAGAGCGAAGCCGATGTAGTTGTGGTCGTCGAAACCTGTCATTGCGTCGTTGGCGACTGCTGAGTTTGCGCGCGGGTTACCTGAGTCCCATTTGCTTGACATAAACTGTACGTGTAGTTTCTTGTCGTCGGCTACGTTTGCTTCGGCGTCGCGCACTGCTTTGAGAGCGCCGGGGTAGTATGTCTGCACTAGACCTGGGTCCTCGCCCGGGGCTGGGTACCGGTTTCCGCTGTCGTGCTTCGAGACTGGCTCGTTGAGTACTTCGATCATGCCGACTGAGGCGTACGCTGGGTTCGAGTGGATACGGTTGGTCATCCAAGTGAGCCACTTCTCAGCACGGCCAAAGTCGTAATCGTTGAAGAAGCCGGCGGGATTCGGGTTCTGGCCTGTGAATACATCCTGCTGTTGACCACCCGGGGCGCCGTGGAGGTCGATGATGACGTACATGCCCAAGTCAGTAGCCTTCTGAACAACGGCGTCGAGGTAGGGCAACATGAGATTTCCGTCGGCAAAGGGCTCACTAGACGTGTCGACGATGTCGGTATACGACCAGTAGCCAATCGGGATGCGGATGGTGTTCAAGCCCACATCATGGACGGACTGTACCGTGTCGGCGTTGATCCAAGTCTTCCAGTGCTCTTCAAAAGCCTTGTTGCCAGCGTCACGGTTAGAACCACTGTAGCGGTTTCGCATGCAGTCGAATTCAGACACATCCGATGATTCGCATCCCATTTTGCTCCATTCGCTAGCCATCATCCATGGCTCGCAGATTAACCATCCTAGAGTTGTCAATCAACTAAGTGCATTTCCACAAACGGGGTGTTCTATCAACCCACCACCAAAGTTGACACCTCGGATCTTGGTGACTCCATTAGGTAATGAAGGCTTAAAGCGTTTTCCAAGCTTCTCGAATCGGAGTGTTTGGTTAAACGCAGCAAGGTCGCGATCCTGAGGAAGCCATGCGCTAACGGTATGCGCAAGCAGGATCAAAGAAACAAGTGAGTACCACATCTTGACTTGGGGACTTGGAATAGTCCAAATGGATTGCCGGTGGAGTGTGATGAATACTTAGATATTTCAACGAGGGCATCGTATTTATTATATCACTTCCTATTTAATTAAGGTGGCAAGCCATAGCTTCGTTCGACGGATTCGTCCTTCCTAATTGGTGCTGACGAAACGACCGTGCATAGGGCCGTCCAGCTGAGCTTACTGACAATGAGCACACGTTAGACCGGTGTGAGGCCGAGTACCCCGTCGTGGTATCTGTATGTACGATCATTCAATATTCTTCATAATGTTACATGTCTATTAATATTTCGTAGACTTCTCTTTAAACAAGATGATTCAGAATGTGCGACCGTACCAATAAACGGAAATAAAGTCATCGAAGAATTCTCTCGTAATCAATAACAATTACTATAATCTAAGAGCAGATGACTTCAGTGATGATCGTTTCCAGTTCTTTTCATTTCAAGCTTAAAAAGTCCCCGTCTAATCACTGACTCGTTAGAGAATAGGCGTTTGATTCGCGGTCAACTTACGAGTAATGCTAATGCTGGTTAAGAACCGGTAGTACCAATATTATATACCGTCGGTCGCCCTATAGAGCAGAAAGAGTGATGACGCCAGCAGCCTTCTACATAAGGATATAACTATCGAGAGGCTGAAAGCCATCCCTACTAGCGAGATCAGGTAGCTATTATTAGCACTATCAGGTACCTATTACCAAGTAAATACAGCGTTGATCTTCAGCTACAAGCCGACGCCTAACTCCTCAATTCCATCCGTGCTATCGTGACCAAATACAAGGTCCTATCGCTAATTACAGGGGCGTTAAACCATGGTTATAGCGGCATCATATGCTACGCAAGAGCACGGGCGCACGTTAAGAACCAATCAACGATGATCTTCTGATACGTTATGAGCCCTGAAGCAAAGCTGTGCAAAGACATAGCGCAAGCATTTTAATTTTTTTTTTTTTTTTTTTTTTTTCAAATATTTTCAGGGGAATGTACTCTTCAATTAGGACCGCAGTTTCTACAAACTAAATTTACATTATGGGCTGGGCGGTTGGACTATCTGCGACCTTCGGATTTTACGTCCGTCCTGTGCTATTCCCACAACCGGCACGCCCGGAACTTGAGAATTAGCATATCGAATAGCCGATCCAGAAGTATTACAGATTAACGTCATTGTATATTCTCCTTCGTCTCATCCATTCTGGACCATCTCAAATGAGTCTTCGTCACTTACAGTAGTCCCACCACATATAAGGAGGGGGAGGGTACGCGGTATCGCGCAAGGATAACTAGCTCGGTAAATGAAGGGGACAAAGAAATATAAGAGAAGGAATGAAAGGAAAGTATATTAATTCAGCATTGACGAGAACACAGGTGGTTTTCACAAAGAACTCTCAATTACGTGGCTCGACTACATAGCCAAGCCTGCCCCTAGATATATCTAGCCATGAATCAGTGCTAGTACGAGGCACCTCTTGACACTGTACATCCTACTCTTAGGTACCTAAGCAATAACTACCGATATTCATCGTAACAGTGGCCTTACATTTTCCCTGCATACCAGCAAACGGAGGCAGCATTGAGGAGCCTAGTAATAGTTATAGAACGGTATGGAAATTGAATGTAGCGTACAGGCTGGTCCCTCTAAGCTACCTGGATCACTTCTAATTTCGAATTCCCAATTCACTCCACGTTTAACTTTGATATCACAACCAGAAAGTACACAGCGCATCTACCATCAGTTCTAAATAACCACAATGGCCAAAGAAACTCTCCAGACTAATACAGCTCCTCCCGTGGATCGCAAAGGTGAGGGCTATCCCAAAGCCTGCCGCTGCCCTAGGTGTAAGCCGGGAGGATGCGATTCTGGAGCCGAAGCGAAATCTGGCATCTGTAAATGGTGCCAGGAAAACTGCAAGAAAAGTAACTAAATAACCCCTTTCACGGTCGTCGTAGTTTTAAATCGGCCTGGCTTTTGGATTAGGAATGAGTGATGATATATTTATGAAAAATGACACGTAGAGAACTGCAGGCAGTCTGAAAAATATAGTGTTATTTAATTACTCCCTCTTTTCAGGCACGCGACGGGTGACAGTGGCACTTCAATGATTGCTATCAGCTTTTATTAATCATCATGGACTCTTCTCGGAGAATCTATCTAGTATCCCTTCCTATCGGAATACTTCAACCCTTATGCCTACCTAGAATTTGTCAAGTCAAGAAGGAATCATCGTACGAGGCGAATTCTCAACTTCCAACATGAGGTTTACGTAGGCAGGCGAAGGCAACAAATGTCCTCAGCAGCGTGAGAGACGGCCGGGACAGTCTATTACGGTCTTGCTGACCGTTACATTATAGTCCCCCTATTGTATTCTCGAAAACCTGTTCTGGACAGGCCGAGAGAAAGAAAAAAAGGAGAAAACACCGGAAAACAACCGAAAAAAAAACATGAAGGTGGTATCAAGCGAAGAAGGCGAAGGCCCCACCGCGAATCCTTCCTGACTCCCCTGAAAGTGCCACATCAACAAATGAAATGGCGTTGACGATTCATCTCGCAAATCATCTCATCGTTACTCGTAGTCGTCGGTCATCCTAATCGTGAACCGTTGTCGTCGGGGTATCGAAGACAACACCGAGGAACTATCCGCGTAAGGGTATGAAGAAAACAAAGAACAAAGCGTTTAGGAAACCAGAAATAGCCATCGGACGTAGAATAAAACCCAGAAAACGGTTCCAGTGAAGGACACCTAGCGGACCCAATTTCTAATGGGGTTCAAGGCAAAGGGAGTCGGGACGTCATTAGGCCATTGGACGGGGACTTCGTGCTCATTGAACAGAAGTTCGTGTCCCTTGACATCTTTGGGTGCCGGCTTCATGTAAGGCACATTCTCTTGGCCAAAGTGGTCGTACTTTGCACAGAGAATGCATGGGCAGGGTTCGTTGCCAACGGGCGGGAACACTATAGCATCTCGAGTCAGCCATCGATTAATCTATTGGAAAAGTTAAAGAGATGAAGGTTTTAGATGCTGCTTACCCCTGCAGAGACGTAGAGGTCGTTCTATCTCTGTAACTTCGTTGTATGTGGAATCCAAGGACCACACTTCCTCCAACTCACTCGCCCACTGGAAACACCAGTCGTCGTACTTGGTAAGAGAATCCACGTCTACATATTTGATGGCAGACTTGCGTGCGTTCTTGTAGAAAAGCATCTCGGATAGTCTGAGGTAGTTGCTTGTGGGTCCTCGAACGACTCGGCGAATTTTGTTTCTCTGAGAGAAAGATTCGATGCTTGCGAAAGTACGAGGAAGAGGTGAACCTTCGCGGCGACACTTTCGTACTTGACTATCCTTACGACCGCCACCAAATTTCCACCAGCGATACCAGTCACCAATATCGATGATATCGGTCTCGAAGGAAACGATTGGTCCTCTGACAGGTGTATTGGTAGGAACAGCGGGTCTCCAAAGGTCTCCTCGCGGGATTCTCTGGTAGAATTCTTGGGACCAGTTGTAGGTCTCCCTGCACACGAGGAAAAGGACAGGGCAGGGGGCCTTCTTGACTCGGCGCAGATGGTTGGTTGTGACGATTCGGTCTTCCGCACGAACGGCGAACTTCAAAATCATCAATCTCAGCTCTGTCGGGAGGCGTCCGAATTTCGGGAATGTGTCAGGGCTTTTTTTCTCAATCAGCAATTGTTGAATCGGTATGATCGTTCCCTGTATGTTGCGATTTTTACCAGTGTACCGTTCGGTGTACTTCTGGCTTATGCCCGCAGCAATATTGACACACTCTGCCGCATAGTCATCAATAATGACTGGTCCACCGAGGCCGGCGGCCAAATGGGTAATAGCCTTTTGGATAGCCGGATAGGCCTTGAGATAAACCGCTTGGAAGGCCATCTTGAGGTCCCAAGTCGAGCTACTCATGTCCTTGTCTTTTGAAAACACATGTTAGTTAATATTTCCATCCATCAAGGTAACTGTTTGGAAATAGTACTATAGCGGCCAGGATAATTAAGAGTCAAGCCATTAACTAAGACAGTAATAAGATATGACTCGACTTTAATTGGGATTTACTTACTTTTATCGATAGCTAGGTTGTCATTGTCGTTGACCAAACCCATAGCCTTGTAGTTGTTGAATAGGGTTTGTAGTTCCGGGATGATCTTGTGGAAGACAACAGGTCGGATGGCTGGATAGAACCGGCGAAGGAGTACAAACTCGAAGTCATCGTTGTCTCTTGTGCTCGAATTGGCACCACCGAGACGTGAGGTAGGGGCTCTGGGAGCCATTGCTATGCCGAGATGAGTTACGGATTTGAGAATGAATTAAGGATTGTGTAGAATGTCGACGAAAGGCGTGTGAGGCGCGACGTGTAACAAGTGAAAATTGTCTAGGACGTAGAATTTCGTATTCTCAACGAAGTGAAGGATCGTTGGAAGGAAAGTAGAAGGAAAAGAAAAGGTGAATGGGAATTGTAAAGAGTGTACTGGGGATTGGGAGAGATACGAAATCAATTATCACCTAATAGTCTGCGGATGGGGCATGGTATACACGCACTGTGATAGGAGAAACAGTTCTGGTGGTCATAACATCATTGAGCAAACAAACAGTGTGGGAAATTTCACTAACCTTTATTGTAAATTTATCTAGCCTTCTGAGGGCCGTCTTGGTAGGAAAGCCGAAAAGGAGACCTGGAGATAATAGACGAAAAGAAAGGTTTTAGGAAAAGTTGATTCTCGTCTCCTAGTGAAATTAAAAGTAAAGAAACTAGGATTGTTGGTAGGTGGGGAGATTGTGAAAAAGAAGGGCAGGAAGCGAGTAGTAACAAGAAAGAATGTGTAGGCTTTTTGCTTGGGGGCCCCACTACTTACAGTGCTTTTGCAAGTAATCGTGAACCTTGCTGTCGCTTAGATAGTGGAGGTCAGTACCTAAAGCACCTGCCTAAAATACAGTGCAGAGATCCGCTCTACGCGCAACGTCTGAATGTACACGGTAGGTGCAAAGGAAGCAAACAGTGAACTTGGACATTCGAAACTGTTTGTGGGTTAACTCGGTAAATTGGGAGTAAAGGGGCTCGTATCTTTCTCATCGTGTCATTACATGCAATACTGACTGTTTTTTATTACATTCGAATAAATACGGGAAGGAAGCACCGTGTCTAGCTCGGGTGACTGTGAACTTTCATTATTTCCTCTTTAACCAACTGCTTATAGGCCGTTGTATTTCGAACACAATATCTCTCAGTACTAGCCTCACAGTTACGACGGTTAGTATATGTAACTATGTACTGTCTAAGAGGCAGAAATAACTACTCGAACATTACCTTTTAGCATCAACTATACTGGACTACGATAGTTAAAGCTTGTGACGCTTGAGCTATCACAGAGACGACGACCACATTGTGACGGACCTGGTCCGCAGAGGTCTTGGTTTTAAAGATAACAATAAGGAGGCAACAATCAAAGGTCGTTAGGGAGGGTAATCTCCCCCTATAGGATTTTTATTCGTACTATAGACTTAAATTAACTACAGCTAAAAGAAAGGAACGAAATACAGGAGGTCTTGTATCAAAAATAAATGTATAGGGATCCCTCCGGCGACGTCGCTATAGAGCGGCGAATCGCCGCCCTACCGCGCGTCGCGATTAAACCGCGACAATCTCATCGTCGCCGCTCATCACATGATATGATTCCATTCCTAAACCCGGGGATTGTCCGTGATTGGTCAGGATGGAACCCACTTCCGATGGTGGTTCGCAACAGACATCATCACTATATCATTGTAACCAGGTAGATCATCCAGAACCCCTGGCATGATGATATATACTAGCAGTCGCTTATATCTTGATCCGGTACGAAACGATGAGGCACGTCGTCAACTTTTATCTAATTTTCCCTAACTCATTTCGACATTAATTACGTGAGATATTGATACTTTAGGCTATCACAGCCCAGGGGCAGTCCTGTTTCTCCCATATCGATTTCAATCTATGTATCTTCCAAGTCTTCCTATCTGTTTGTTTATTCGTTTATGTCTTCACATCAGGCTCATCGCGGCCCACGTACTCCTTAAACTTCAATAGATCCGTTGCGAATTTAATCTCATCCTTGAGGAAGTCCTGTGCGTCCTGGCTGTAAGTCGAAGGGTCCTTACTGTACTTCTCAATGTACAGACGGATTGTTGCGCCAGATGAGCCAGTACCAGACAGTCGGACCACGATACGGCTGCCACTATCGAAACGGGCGTAGAGACCCTGGTTAGAAGCCACTGAACCATCCAAGTCAGTGTAAGAGAAGTTGCCAGCATCGGTAACGGTGCGCTCTGTGGGTAATTGATTAGCTAATAACCCCCATGGAAAGACCATCGGTAGGTTTACTTACCTCCAATCTTGCTGCCCTTGAATTTGGGGTCGGCAACTAGGTCCTTAAGGGTTCCGACGACCTTGTTAGCACCATCGGAATCCACATTTTCGTAGTCATAGCGTGTGAAGAACACCCGACCGTAGGTCTTCCAGAAGTCCTCCTGGATCTGCTTGATGCTCGGCTTGGTTCCGGGGTTCGCTTCTCCTATGCCGGCGATAATGTTGAGCCACGCTACAACGGCCCAAAGACCATCCTTCTCACGAACGTGGTTGCTGCCAGTGCCGAAACTCTCTTCACCGCAGATACTCAATTTGTTCGCATCGAATAGCGCACAGAAGAATTTCCAACCTGTGGGGACCTCGTACGAGTTCAATCCTTGGGCCTTCGCGACGAGGTCAACGGCACCAGATGTTGGCATACTACGGGCTAAGCCGTAGACACCTTGCTTCTTAAAATAAGGAATGAGTTGCGCATGGTGGGCAATAATTGCCAGACTGTCTCCAGGTGATACGAAAGCCCCAGCGCCGTAAATCATGTTCCTGTCGCCGTCTCCATCGGATGCTGCGCCGAAAGGAATTGAGTTCTTGTCAACCGCCTCCACTAGAGAATGGGCATAGGTAAGATTGGGGTCTGGGTGACCACCGCCGAAGTCAGGACTGGGGATGCAGTTCTGGGTGGAACCGGTAAGCCCTAGTTCTTGCTCGAAGATTGCCTTTCCATACGGTCCAGTAACACCATGTAGACCATCAAACAGCACCTTGAAGTCGGAGTTATCGCTGAAGAATTTCTTAATGAGCGGGAAATCAAAAATTTCCTTGAGCATTTGGACGTAGTCAGCCGTGCTGTCCACAATTTCAACCTCTAGGCTGCTATAGGTCTTAGTTCCAATGGTAGTAATATCTACGTCAGGAATATCGGCGATCTTATAGGAAGTGAGTGTTTTTGAAGCTTCAAAGATCTTATTTGTCACTCCTTCAGGCGCGGGTCCACCGTTGGCTAAGTTATACTTGATACCGAAATCTTGGTCGGGTCCTAATAGTTGCTGGGATTAGATATCTAGTCACAAATAGCGGTAGGCTTCATACTCACCACCCGGATTGTGGCTGGCGGTCAGAAGAATACCACCAGTCGCCTTTCGCTTTCGAATAACATGACTGGCAGCCGGTGTAGATAGGATTCCATTTTGACCGATTAACAGCTTCTTGACTCCGTATGCGGCACCGATCTTGGCAATCAGCTGAATAACCTCGGGGTTCCAAAATCGGCCGTCGCCACCAATAACCAGGAAAGCACCTATTATATATATCACGTCAGGAATTGCCCTTATTGAAACTTTTACCCTACACTCTACTCGTCGTACTCACCGTCGGCGCCTTCCGGAATGGAGAGGAGGATGCTGGTAATGAAGGATTCGCTGTAGTTGGGTTGTTGGAAAACCTTGACCTTCTTTCGAAGACCCGACCTGGAATAAACTATTGTTAGCACTCGGCCCAACGGCAAATTGTGGTGTGAGGACTGGTGAAAAAAGCAATAATAGCTCTAGGGATACCAATGGCGGGGTAGCTTTTTACATACGTTCCGGGCTTCTGGTCGGTGAAAGACTTGAACTCGACAGTTTTAATACTCATGATGAACTTTCTCTTCGTAATCAGGCTACAATTCGTGCACGGGTGAACGAAGAAACGTGTATTCAAACTATGAGCTTCAGGAGGGCTTATTAAGTACGGATTTAGAGTAGTTGTTTGGCGATAGGGGGAAGAGGGGAATCAATAAAAAACATATGACGACGTTGGCGGGGCTAGCGGTTTACTATACCTGAAATAAGTACCCAGGTACAACTAGAAGGCAAGCTCCGGGCCTTGGAAGCTCCTTATTTCTATAGCAAATGGGGCAATCTAATAGCGCAAGGTGATCTCATTTCCATGTGGAGTACGGGGAAACACTAACGAATACCGTATATCACACTGTACATTACACTACGGATTCTACGGGAATACGCAGTCAACCACAGTATGTTTTACGTTTACACTACATGGCAACACACTTATTGGCAAGCTCTCGCCATTGTAAATCTTCAATCAATCAACTACTTTTGTCACCCTACATCAACAATGTTCTAGGCATGTTTAGACGATATCATTATTAGCCAAACATTCCGCCACGCCGAATTCCTATCCAATACGCTCTCTTGACATATCAATTATCGAATCTATATTCTATCAGTTGCATCGATATTGTCCGATATCGCGCCAGCCACCTTCATAAACGGCGTGACGGGGAAATAGAGGCATTTTATTCTACCACTATTAATCTACCAGCAAATATCAACTTGCTGGATATTGACTTATGTTCATTCTCTTAATACCCAGAAGAATCACCCCTATGCGAAATTCAATCGCTATTTTTCGTAGTACTAAAGATCACCTCCTTAAAATACCGAGCTTCTTCAATACTTTCCAGAATATCCTCCTTAGCCTGGTGCAACCCCTGCTTCATCGGCGCCTTATCAATAACCTCCCTAGGACACCATCGTCGCGCAGCTTCCTTCAACGCACTAACATCCAAAAGTCGATGATGTAGATAACTAACCACTTTTTTGTAAGGCTCTTTTCGGAGGAATGCGCGGTCTGCATGCACGCTGTTGCCAGCCAGTAGTGCACCCCGCTCGGGCACGTATTTCTTGATGTAGGCAAGAAGTTCGTCTGCCGCTTGCTCGGGGGTAACTTTAGACGCCACCGCCGCCGCTGTCAGACCACTTTTCCCGTGCGTCTTCGTGCACCAGTCGTCCATCTGGCCCATTCTCTCTTGCGACTGATGGACTACGATGCCCCAGCCATTTTCGTCTATGATTTCGAGTGTGCCCGTTGTGATGATGCAGAAGATTTCGATGATTTCTTCTCGGTCTGGGTCTAGACCCGTCATCTAGTTTTACGGGTCAGTTTTGTCATTGCGCGAATAGACATCAAATAGTTGGGAATTGTTACCTCGCAATCAATCCATACTAATGCACCGTTGCTTGCCATGATCGTCTCGGAAGCTTTAGAAACTTTGGAAATTGTTGGCTGGTTGATGAGAAATGGTAACTTGATTGTGCTGGATTGATTTTAATTATGTAATATTTCCAGTTATAAATTCTGCCTTAGTGGGAGACAAACACGCTTATATAATCGACGAAAACCAATGAGCCAGGAGTCGTTGGGATTGACATTGTGTAAACTCACTGAATGAAGTCCACGATCTTATCAGCTCTATAGAGATAATAACTTTTCCGCCTAGGTATATGCGTATGTACCTAGGTAGGTATGCAGTTTCTTCTGCTGGGTATCTAGCGAAGCTAGTGACTCATAGGCAAGGATGGAACCGATATTAAAAGAAGACTGGTCCGTCTTAAAAGGATACTAAATCTTGGTATACGGAATTCGATTCAATTCAACTATACCCATTACAATACTCATAAACATGTCTGCTTCCGCCGATCCATCTTTTTCATCAATACGCTACCTGCCTACGAACGAGGCTTACGACCGGTGGGCGGTAGTCTACGATACAGATGGCAACTTCCTTCAAGCTCTGGATACCATCGAGCTGAAGACTCTATTCCCGGAATTTCTACAATCGATTAAATCTCCCAAGTCATGGCGTATCATGGATTTGGGCTGCGGTACGGGCCGCAATACTATGCTACTTCTTACGATTCCGGACATTGAGGAAGTCGTCGCGCTAGACTCGAGTAAAGGCATGCTTGAGGTAGCAAGATCGCGATTGCAGCAAGCAGACGATGATGCTGGTTCCCCGAGCACGGAACAGGCGCGAGCGACACCAAAGTTGCATCTCGAGGTCTTTGATATGCTGGCCTCACCATCTCCTCCGGCTTCAGCGCAAAACGCGGATGCCGTGATCTCGACTTTGGTCATCGAACACGTGCCGCTATCAACGTTTTTCTCGCAGGTCTCGCAGATCCTGAAACCGGGTGGTGTGCTTCTATTGACGAACATGCATGCGCACATGGGCGGTATTAGTCAAGCTGGTTTCGTTGACGCGGAAACAGGCGAGAAGATACGTCCTACAAGTTATGCACATAGTGTTGCGGATGTCGTAGCAGAGGCAGCGAAGTACGGCTTGATTGTCGAACAAACGGGAGCTGGAGCTGGTATCTACGAGAGAGCGGTGGACGAAGACATGGTTGAGAAGCTTGGTCCTAGGAGTCGGAAGTGGGTTGGTGTTACCTGTTGGTTTGGAGGCTTGTTTAGGAAGAGAGCGAACGAGTGAGATACTATGGATTGATCCGCGAGACACATAGCACGTATGTCGTATTTCGTATAGCATCGAGTGGATACATGAGGAGATGACTGCTTCGGTTGGTCGAACTAATCTACATTAGCTTCATCATGGTTATTCCTCAACTATTTTGCTGCAAGTGCTAAATTATGATGTGATTAATATGGCCCAAACTGATTGGAGTTATTTATTGTTCGGCGATGACTCAGGCGGGCAAGGTGGGGGTTTATCGTCGACGAGGACATCGCAGCTGTAATCTTTAAATAGTCATTTTTCATCACGGAAACCAATTTTGACAAGACCGCGAACCATCCGGAAAAAATTGGCGAAGGTTAATATGTCGCAACATCTTTACGATCAGGATGAGTTCTTTCAGTACTATATCAAGCTTGAACGCCAAATTAAGGGACTTGCTGGTGCGCCGGAATGGCCCCAGTTAAAGGCAATGCTTCCGGATCTCAATGGCCTCAGTGTGTTGGACCTAGGCTGCGGATTTGGCTGGTTCTCTCGGTTCGCGAGAGAGAATGGTGCAGCATCTGTCAGAGCGATTGACCTTTCTGAGAAGATGCTGGATAAAGCACGAAGCATGACCAACGATGACAAGATTGAATACGAAAGAGTTGACCTCGAAGAGCTGAAATTGACAGAAAATCAGTACGATGTCGTTTTCAGCTCTCTTACCTTTCACTATCTCGCCAACTTTCCGGCCTTGACCAATGAAATCAATAAGGGTCTCAAGTCTTCGGGGCGTTTAGTGTTCTCGATTGAGCACCCGATATTTACTGCGCCATCGAAACCGGGCTTTGTTGTGGATGAGGAGACAGGTCGCAAATTCTGGCCGTTGGATGATTATCAAACGGAAGGATTGAGAATCACCAATTGGCTTGCACCGGGAGTCAAGAAGCAGCATCGAACAGTAGGGAGTTATATCAATATACTACTCAACAGCGGATTTCGTCTGACGGACTTCGTGGAATGGCGACCAAGTAAAGATGAATTGATACGATATCCTTCGAGAGAAAGTGAAGTTGTAAGACCGACGTTTTTGTTGATGGCTGCGACGAAGGATTAAGTTTTGGTTATGCATGTAAAGGGTACCTTGATATAGCGATATACTTCTTAAGGGACGGAATCCTTGTAGAAAAAGATTACATAATGATATGGTTAAATATCGGCGATACTTCCAACTATATAATGATTACATAATGCTGTAGAGAAGTGCGCCAGGGATCTTTGGAAGCTACCTTCTTGCGGCTGTCGTCATCCCTTTTTAATGCGACACGTTATTTCTGACTTGTCCAATTTGCTCAGCTCTGATTATCGAGGCTACCAGTTCGCGCGAAACTGTCCTGTCAAAGAATAGCTCGTAAATTCGAATCCGATCCGACCTTACGGCCCGCGAAACGTCCAAGCTCCTAATCTTCTTACTCATCTCGCGTTACTGAGAGTTTCCCGTTCCGGATGAGATCCAAAGCTCTAAGCTTCAGGCCGATTCCTACTTTTCCCACGTCGAATACCGAAATTACCTAAATCCTAGCACAAGGCTAGAGAGAAGGAATGATTGAGAGGCTCTGGCAGAGAAATTTGCTTGGATGCAACCCTTGAACCCTTTCCTAGCCGCCTTCTTCAAGCCCGGCAGCGCCATAGTCACCCAGTGCGCCCCCGTTCACCACCACATCCTCCTCGTCCCGACAACCGAGTTCTTCCTTACCTCCCGCGAAACGGAAAGCGGCCTATCTGTATCGGATATCGTCGCGTCCGAAGACTTTCTAGGAAGCCATGTACTTCGAATTCCTAGCCCGGCTACCGCTGCGGGAGGGAAGGACTCGGTCGGAAACCTACGCGAGCAGAGGGGCAAGCCAAGACAATACTCGACTTTGAATGGGCGCAGCGTGGTGATAAAAGATGCTTTTGTTTATAGTAATAAGGGTAGGTGAATGCTCTTGATGACGAGAAAACCAGTCGATGAACCTTTAGAGCGCTGTCTAACAATTTACGTAACAGGGTTCAAGACGCTTGCCCAAGCGCAGTTGCTAAACGATTCGATTTGGTTTGCCGATAGCATCGAGCCGCGACAATGGCTGATATACTATATATCGCGACCCTTGGTTGGTATTTGGGGCGACCTGGAGATTCCGCGTGCTATTTTCACCGAGGGTATGGCGAAAAAACAGCTTGCGGAAGCTAAGCGAGCTGCTGCTGTCGAGAACGGCGAACCGAGTTTACCACGGAAGAAGGAAGTTAAAAGTTTCCACGATCTTTTAAATCATTTCCCTATGATTGCAAGGCAAATGCAGCCCGGCTTAGAAAAGTTGTTCCAAGAGTTCACGACCATCTTCGAAAGACCTCTACCTCCTCCGCCTTCTGCGACGCACATTCCCGATCCTCCTCCAGATGGCCCCATCGCGACTGCTATGAAAAAGGTCCGTTCTAACAGCTTGTCCGCTCGAAGAGTTAGTATAGAGCGAGAGGGAAGCATTCGAGGAAATGAAAATTCATACGCCGAAGATGACGAAGATGTTATGAGAGCTTCGTTAGAGACGGCGGTCACAAATGCTATCGACCTGTTTCAAAATGTTGACAAGCAACAACTTTCTATGCTTGGCGCGACAACCGAGCTTACTGGGCCCGTGGTCGAGCGACTTATTGAACGATACGTGACTGAGAATGTTCATAATCTAATTTGGCCTCGGTTGGCTGCGATGCGGCGGCCAGATGACCTCGAGCTCGAGGCGAAGATACGGCAGATGGAATTTATCGACATTTCACAGCTAGGTATTTTCATCGAAGGCGGCCCTAAAGGGAAGCATGAACTTACATTAAGACTTGGACATGCAGTTGAGGAGTTTCGCAAAATGTCATCAGCTATGTGCCCGCAAGAAATGATGGAAATACTACTTTCGACAATGAAAGCGACTACACAATTAACGGAGCAACCCAAGTCCAGCGCCGAATCCTCAACCTCGGAAAAGCCCGCCCTCACCGTCAACGCCGATACACTGGTATCATTGCTCCTCTTTGTTGTAATCCGAGCTGGTGTGAAGCACCTCCAAGCTCGATTACTCTACATTAAACACTTCGTCTTTATAGATGATGTAGATAGCGGTGAATTAGGTTATGCTCTCAGTACCTTTGAAGCAGTACTTTCCTACTTGTCCTCGGATTCGAGTAGTTTAAGAAGGGCAAGTCGTCGGAACAAAGCTCTATGGGATGCAGCCGCGAAGGGCGATATGGATGAACTAAAGAGAATGATGGATCTAGATGCGGACGCTGTCGACGACGAAGAAGAACCACCCGCTTCCCCAGTTTCAAGTCGTGCACCGTCGGTTAGCTGGAGTATGTTCAACGGTTCTTCGAGAAGACCTTCGACTGTTTTCACACCCTCAGAACCCTACTCACAAGGTTCGGGGTTGAGCCACGTCTTCCCATTCCAAAATCAGGCATTGAATGACTCCCCAATACCTTCGTTCAAGAAGGTCAAAAGAGTCGCTATGGATACTAGGAGTATGTCAAGTGGATCCGAGTATTCATATCATTCTAGAGCGGAGAGTGTCGCCACGCTTGGAAGTGGTCTTGAAGGGGATACCTCGATTGAACGATTATGCCAAACTGAGGATTCCTTCGGAGAATCCATCCCGATGATGGCAGTACAACATGGACGAGCTCAAGTGCTGAAGTATCTACTTTCACTAGATGATTATTTCCCGCCGAATGTTATTTTGGACGATTGCAATAATGAGGGTACCAGCTTGTTAAGCGCTGCTGTTCAGCTGGGTCACACTGAGCTAATTGATGTCATTTTGGATTTCGTCATGGCCTCGGCGCCTGAACCGAGGATTCGGAATTATTTATCCCTGCAGGACAATCGGGGCCGAAGTGTCGCACATTATCTCTTCCACGCGCCGACTTTAATCGCGCGCATTGGCAAACTGCTTCCCTGGCGGCAAAAGGATAAAAATGGTCAAACACCATTATTCGCACTATGTCGATCATACGACCACCAAAACTACCACGACATGGTCGAGGCCGGTCTCAAAGCAGCGACAGGTGCACAGGGAGATGGCCAGCCACTTCACCTAGACGATCATGTGGACTCGAAGGGAAATACCCTTTTGCATATCGTCAATGATTATCAATTAGCGGCAAAAATTCTTGTGCAATGCGACATTGACGTCAATGCAACGAACGACAAGAAGTTTACCGCGCTCATGGTAGCAAGCAAATATGGCCGCTTCGAAATGGTCAGAGCCATGTATTCGGATCCCAGGGTAGATGTGGCGGCAAAAGAGTTGCGTGGGCTTACAGCAGTAGAACTAGCAAAGGACGATGATGTTCGCAACAAAATCGATGATTTGACACTTTTTACCATGTCACCCGCCGACGATGGTCGCATCACCGGCGTTGTCAGGTCATTTTTCGTTGAAGATGCTACCATTCGGCTTGTTCTCAAATCAGGCGCGCCCGCGGACAGTAATAGCTATACGGTCACGACATGTCGTCGGTCTTTTGCGGACTTTGAACGCTTAGCTGGATTATTGTCCATCGAAAACCCAGCATCGTGGTTACCAAAAGTAACTAGTCAACGCTCGCCATTTCAAATTCCTTCGAAGCCTTCAAGGGCTGTCCTAAAGGATATCCAAATACGAACAGATTCATTCCTCAAAATACTCTTAGCTCACCCTACCTTTGCGACACACGAAATGCTATGGGAGTTCTTCCTGGTACCGGACTTACAAGCCGATATGATGGAACAGCGTAGCCGTCTTAAAGCCGACACAAGAGCCGAGAAAGTGAGAGACGAGCTTGAACCTTTAGAAGACATTCGTGAAGTGGAGCAGTTTGTGGATCACGCTCGAGACATGGTTCGCAGCGTCAATTATTCAACTAAAAGCGTTGCGCGACGGGCAAATGCGATCGGCGTCGTCGCAAACGGTACGAACCCCATCTAGAAATTAGTGTATTGTTTAGTACTAACATTTTCGCAGACCTTTATGATGCAGCGAATATACTATCGCGAGGCGTTGCCAACCTCGCGTTTCTACCACAAACTCACATATCAGCATTCGAAGCTTATGTCCAAACACTTGAGCCGCTGCAATCTAACCCATCATACATCTTCCACAATTCCTTTTTAGCTCTTCAATCTACAATACAGGCCATGCTATCTTCCTTATCACGGCCCCCACAACTCGTTACCCAAATTGTATCCTCCCGCAAAGCAATAGAACGCAACTACAATTCTGTCTCACGCTCAACGCGATGGCCACTCGGGCTACTCGATGAAACACGTCAGCGGCTCAATGAAGAGAGGGAAGACAAGGCAAGGCGCGCCCAGACCGAGGTGGATACCTTGAGTAAGGAACTCCGGTATACACAACAAACAGTGGCAAGTGAACTCGCAGGGTGGGAAGAGATGCACGAGCGCATGGGGCGCAGGGCTATCAGGGAGCTCGCCAGGGGTATGCTTGTCCTCGAACGTGAGAGGCTATATGGACTGCGTAGGGCACAGCGAAAGCTACAGGACTTGAATGTGAATTTTGGTAATGGACCCCAAGAACTAGGTAATCGAATTAATGAGGCGACAGCAACGGAAAACGGCATTGGCGCAGGACCTGCAGGCGGTGAATCTAGTACAACAGGCGAGGCGTTTGTGGATAGAATAGATTAGATACCTACTCAATAACCGATCAAGGTGATGAATTGGAACATATCGATGAGCGACCATGGAGTAGCAAACCAAGGTCCAATTGCAACCATCAGAGTCACAGCCACAATCAACGTAATGCGTGCCCCTCGGGGTCTAGGATTTCCGCCCTCAATCCCAGATTTCATCCTCGAACATCAGATCCCAAAATGCAACCCGAAAATTGAGAGAAGTGACAAAGTAAAAAGTCGGGAGGCAACCTATTGACATATATACCCAACTTACCACAACTTACGACGACTCAGCTGCCCAAAGGTGGCCGTGCTATCTTGAAACAGGTCTAGTTATCGAAGAGCGCTTCGCTTGGGCGGCCACCTTGAAAGGCCGACCCGACCACCGCGCATCCATATGACATGCGTGCGCGAGGCAAAGATCATGCTAGGTAGGACAAAGAAAAAGACAGACCGGCTGCAGAATGACGACCGTGTAAACGAAACAAAGCTTGGCCTTTTTACACGCAACGTAATTATCGAGATCGAGGTGAATGTACATACGTTTACAATGATTGACCCAGAGCCTTGGTCTTTCACCTCGACTTCCATGGTAATAATTCTCGGTATGTTGGGCCGGGCGGCCAATCAATCGAACCAAATGACATGTTCATAGTCTTGAATTGTTTCTCCCTCTAACACGAACCAAATTTTGAAAGATTAAGCCCCCAAGATCTAAGACAAACAGAGGGACAAATAGAGATAGACATTGTGTGCGAAATCACCCACACGTGGGAGTCGCGAGGACAAGATGTTCCCAACCACCCGATATTCCGCCAACCTCATCAATCGGAGACGAATTCCCCAATCATTCTCACACCGATGCCGAGTTTTTATCGATCATCACCAAAAGCCGAGTAGATAGACAAACATATGATGCATCTCATCTGCATGCGAGGGGAAGAACTAGGAAGAATGACTCACTCGAACGTTGATGATGTTGTCGTTGTGGCACTCTGCAGATGGGACTAGACGGGAAACGGCAAGCTAGAAGGCAGCGGAGACGCCATCTGGGCGAACGAGAACGATCCCGGCAGTGTAGATCTGAAACGCAAGCTCGAAAGGGAAAGACTTGAAACGAAACATACTTTTCCTCTTCTTCCCGTACTATAGACCAAGTTGACCTTCTCGGCCGCCGACGACCAATCGATGGCCATTGACGCGGTCGAAATAGTTACTTCTTGTGGGGTGAGTGCCAGCAGGAAGCCGATTGGTTACTTGGTTATGCAAGGTAGCGTGGGGCTGAGCCGTGTGTCGACCCGCCAATCAGGAAGGTTTACAGGGGCGACCCGCTTCGCGCCATTCTTATGGAGCCGCGAGTCGCCGGGGGCGCGGGGCGCGTCGGGCGTGGTAGGTGCGATTTTTTAACGTGTACGTAAAGTTTGTCTGTGTTCCACTTCGTAATGTAAATAAGCGCGCTTAATCCGGGCGGTTACGGTAGTCCGCGGATGCGCTCGGACTTATTATACAGAGGATCCATTTTGAATTTTGTTACCCATGGAAAACGGAAAGATCTCGTGCGGAAGGATCAATAGAGATGTAATTTATCATTTCGTATAGTAAAGAAATGCCCACATTTCAATCCTGGTGATCTCTAAATTCGCTGAAGAATCGCGACTGCTACTTAGAGAATGCTGCAGATTGAACGCCGCATTATGCATACTGAGCTATACTAAGCTTAGCCATGGCATCCGGATAACTACTTTTCGTAAAAGCAAGTCTATGCGAAAAAGCTGTGGAACATAACATGAAGCTAGAGTTTCGATCATTGCCGCCGAATATTATGGTCATTAAAGCATGGCCCCGTCTTCGGCGTCTAGATCAAACCCGTCATATTTCTATGTCCGGTTTTGAGTTAATATTCTACGGAGCTCGGAGAATTGTATAGATGCATTTGGCTACCCAAGCCACATTCACCGCCGCCAATTTCAGCTCACCTTGAACAGCTTGAATGAATTAAGTAGCGAAGTAAAACCCCACTGTAATTCTTTGCTTTTTGCCTGGCCCAGATAGCATTGAACCATGGATTTTGATCTTCCCCAGGTTCCATCCATAAGCGCCCACACCCAGCGACTAATAAGAAATCTCGCGGCTAAACATAGCGGGTGTCTCTGTACCCATTCCCCCCAGTCTCCGCTATCGCACCACCTGACAGCTGCCCACAAGCCCGCCCCAAGTGGCTTGCGGAGATCGCAGGGCCTTCTGCCACTCACTATTCTCATCGCTAATCGGGCTGCCGGGCTATCATTATTTCCCCCTGCTATTTTTGTCCCTTGGCGAGCGGCTATTGAAATGAAGGAAAGCAATTTTTGTTGCAATTTCCTTATGTAGCTCGTCAATTGAATCAAGCGCAAGCGCAGATTGCATTACAGCTATAGCTGATCCCCGAAGTCGATCAGAAATTAGGGTACGCCTGGTCAGATCTAATACTACTCTAAGTCTGGGACTGCCGCCGGCGGCGTCGATGAGGGCGAAGGAGCCCCGGATTCTCTACGTTCCTTGGGGCGGAGTCCGCGGTTGCAAGAATTGCCTTTGCGTGCTGCCTCTTTCGCTTGGAGTCCCCTGCGACGCATTTCGGTGGTAGCGACGTCGGTGCAGCAAGCATCAGGACGTTCTAGGAACGAAAAGAAGAAGAGATAGGTGAATTCAATTAAGTCTCAGGGCAGAGAACAAGTGGATGTGTGCGACGATATTGTTCGCTATAGCAACGGTAGGAGACGCGCGTGCCCACCGCGTCCATTCACGATTCACGATATTCAGGTATCTTGTCCATCGCGTCGAATGATAGAAGCTGGCGTGTTGTTCGCGAGCTGCAGGATACATGCAAAGTCTGTTCCCGGGGATGCATCTTGATCCACACAATCGACAAGCGATAAGCCGAACTAATGCACAATCCGTGCCCGTGGACATGTGTCTATTTCTGATATGAGTCACAATGGCGGGTTTAGGGACCTGTCCCCTGTTGAACATGCCTGTATCGAGCAAGAGAGAACAATCGAACATGCATAGTAAAAAAGTAAAAGTTCCACATTCAGTATTCTGTCTATACATATGTACCTAAGGCAAGTACGGCAAGTACATTACACGACGTATTTTCGTGTACGTACCCAACTCGTACGGGGAACATTTTAGAATGTGGAACGTTGTATTGACCATAGAGATGCAAAAAACGAAAGTGCTATCCGGTCTAGAGAAGTACCCCCAGCATCCTAAACTCTGATAGGTCAAGCCTTTTAACAGGGGTTGCTTTAAGATGGGCCAACTTTATAGGCCAACTTTAGGCCCCACCAATACTCTATTTCGGTACGTACCGCTTACGCTTAACCTTCAACTCAACTTTTCCCTAAACCAAAACCCACTTACACATCTACATCCACTTACACAAACCTCTCTACCCGACCTTACTATGGGCCGGACCAGATCGACTCGGCTTTCCACATGTACATGAAATGGTACCCTCACTCAAATCCCAATTCTACTGTATTTCTCCATGTTTCAGGTGGCTCCAGTCTTGCATTTGGGATATACATCATCGTTTAATCTAAGGCGAGCTCCGCTTAGCTGATTGGCATCCCGGTTCCTCATCGACCGGCTGTCAACTCGTAGAGGATAAGAGGGCCGGTCCTCCTCCTCATCCAGTTCCTTTTCCGATCTGATTCTTCAGTATCAACTCTCTGATCGAATAAGGATCAGCTTTCCTTGTTTTCATTTTCTATTTATTAGATCTCTTTTCGAGGCAGGCCGCAACACAAGTGACCTCAGTTTTCCTCCTCGCTTCACAGCAACTTCATCATCGTACCAGTTCTTTGCCATCTAGCAACATCTATCATCCAAGGAGCCGGTTCTCCTAGTTGCCCTCACTTTATAATCTATAATTGTCTAGTTCTTGTCTAAGTAGACAAGAACACCCTACATAAACCTCGACATGGCTACGTGAGTTCCAGGACCTCCTAACTCACAAGTAACGGTTTATAACTAATAAGCGATACTATAGTCTGGCAGGAGACATGTCCTTTGACTTCATATTTCCATCATGCGAGCCAACCACGCCGCCAAGCTTCAATTTTGACCCGTCTCTGCTCGAGATTGCTTATAACCCCGGACATGCTCGCTCAAACTCATACTCCTCTTTTTGCTCCACAACCGAGACGTCGCCCTCCGACTCGGTCAGCACGCGTGTCACAACACCGTCGCGCTCGCCGCCTCCAATCCGTCAACATGGTCCTATCTTACTACCTAAGATCCGCTCTCAGGACCAGGCCATTGACTCTCCTCCCAAGCGTGTAAAGACTTCCTCTACTCCGGCACCAAAGCCTAGCCGTCGGGGTAGCTTTCGCCCTACACATGCCCGTAGCTATACTAGCCCGGAGACTTTGAACCAGTTCTCTCAGACATTCTTTACTCCTTCAGAGGATCAAAGTAACCTCTCACAATCATTACTATGCTCTCCTGTCACGTTCCCTCAAGATAACTTTAACAATGCTCGTCGTAGCTCTACTGTCAGCCTTGACGGCGCAATTGAGAGATTTGGCTTCCCGACTTATCGTCAAATGCCAGCATACGTTCCAGCTCCAGCTCAACCCCAAAATGAGCAATTCTACTTTGGCTACGCTCCTCGCGCTCCCTCTCCATTGAGCCTTTCATCTACATCCACGCCTGATCCTACTCCATCAACCACTCTCATGAACTACCTCACTACATCCAATCCTGCCCCCTCATTGGTGCGCAGCATCTCATTCCCATTGCGCGATCCCAATACCAAGCACTTTTGGTGGGATGTTCGCCAAGTCCGACCTTGGGCCGACTTCAACTTGAACACCATCCTATCTCTTCCAGGTGCTTCGGGGCTTCTCCACTGCCCGGTCCCACAACCACTTCTCCAACAACCACCCACCGGTGCGCGCCACCCAGAGACAGAAGCAGCTCTCCACAACATCTACGCTTCTTACTACATTCCCAAGATCAACTCGGCTCTTGCGTTGTCATCTCAATGTCCTCTCCAACTTTCAGTACCCGCAACCAAGTCCACGTCATCGCCCAATGACCATCTCTTCGTGGCCAATGTCGCGGGTGAGACTTCTACTGCTGCAACCATCTTTGGTGGCAAGCCTACAGCTCATGTGGTCGGATTGGTGAAGTCTTTCGACCGCTTCAACACAGGCATGCGCTCTGAGGGAAACATCAAGCGCGTCGAGTACTTGAAAGGACTAGCGCATTTACACTACATGATGCGCGAGCACGGAACGCGCTACGGCTTCATTCTCACTGAAATCGAGCTTGTTGTGTGCCGTAACGGCGCTGAGGGTACCCCACACTTCGGATTCCTCGAGATCAGCAGCGTCCAATTAAAGGCCACCGCATCTGACAACGAAGGGGAAATTCCGCTCACTGCCTGCCTTGCTCTCTGGGGCTTGTGCGCCATGGCCAGTGATGATGGTGTCAATGGCCACGGCTTAATTGCTGAGAACGGCCAAATGCTTACCTGGAAGGCGGAGATTGGTGCCCCAGCTGAAGGCACGCGAAGAAAAGCGCTTAAGCGCGATGACTGGATGCCGCAACCGCAATTGGCAGAGAAACGTGAGGCGAAGCGCGCTAGAGGCTGGGTTTTCCCTGAGGACCCTGTAGGCAGAAAGGAATTGGGTAAGAGAGGTGTTCGATATGGTAACTGCCAATAAGTGCATGCATTAGTCCCCTAGTTTTTAGTCTTAGTAGTATTTTGGACCCAATAGACGGGAACAAATCCGGCCGGTTCCGGATCTTGTTAACCGTTGGGCTTGGGGGATGATTGATTGGGGTGATGAGAGATGAGGCATGAGTGATGAATTGCGGATAGCCTCATGATTGGGTTGGGTCGGTTTGGGGCGCTAATCCCAGCTAGGTGGCTGGTTGGTGAAAATTAGGTACTTTAATAGTGAAGCAAGCAAAACTGTTAAATCATATAATACCCCGAGTTAATCTGTCGTGATTCGTAGCTTTGGTATAAATGAGTTGAAGATTTAGTATAGACTTAAAGTGTCTTCCAATTGAAACAAGGGGTTCTATACTACGTCACATTTTCGGACGACTTAACACTCACATCACTTTCCTTATAACTACCTAGGTATGCAGCCCTTGAACCTACTGGATAATAAATGCCTATTTCAACGTTCGTACACCTCGAATATGCACTGCTACAATTCGCTTCACATATACGTGGTTCCGTTCCGAACGGTATGTAGATGCCGAGACATATGATGATTCACCTAGGTACATATTTTGATACGCTTTAACTTATCACTATAGGAATTAGATTATATTAATAGACTCCTCTAGAAAAGAAGTGGCCTAAACTTTAAAACCCGTCTGGTACAACTTCTTTTTCCACGTGTCTGATAATTTCGTCCTGGCGTGGCGGTGGCCACGGTGAGTTACGACGTATTACAGATGTAACATGGTCTACCTATAACCAGGTTATTTGGATCAAACTTTTCTCTGGGCTAGAAGTACTCTCTATCATTGGTAAAATCTTAAATTCAGGGAAAAGGGGGGTGGATGGCGGCTTCATATATGCGGCATACTTGGCCACGAACCTGGGGGCGTTCGCTTCGGTATAGTGACCACCGCGGCCCTCACGAACACTACACTTCTGTACATACCCAAGTATACGATTCGGTATCGCGACCCCGAAATGTTAATTAATATGCCTAGAGTTGGGGTAATGACGTCTGAGTGTTGCGTCCCCTTTACCCCCTTTTGCCCTATGGAAGGCGGCTTGGCGTTGCTTAACCGGGTTACCGTTCCCTATCCCGCTGTATTGGGCATCTATATTTAATTACTGTTATTAAAGAACGTTCTAAGAATAATATTGGTGCATGTATGGGCTAGATTGAAAATTTTCTCCTAGAAATTTCGGCGTTTAGAGGAATTCGCCGGACCTTGATACTAAATACCCATACATTTTGGAGGTGGCTTCAAGACGACTTATAAATTCCTAAGAGTTCTATTAAGCACCATTCGGAATTAATAGTATGAGTTGGAAAATTAATCTATGCAATCTGGGCTGTTTTAGAGTCTGCCCTTAAATCCCTACACCAAAATTTGCTACTGCTGTTGCTGGCGCACCGTAATGCCATCCGCCGTCACAGTAGTACTAGAGTAAATCTGTCCACTCGTACCCTGAATCTCAAAAACCCCAGCACCATCCGGACCAATAGTCGTTCCATTCGCCAACGTCGCGCTTGCCTTTGTGAACGATATGCTATCGAACTGCGGTACCTGAACCAACTCTCCCGCCTCCTGGTACGCCTGAACGAACCAGTCAGCCGCTAAAGACGTTAACGTAGCTGGATCGGCCTTAGCCGGGACCGGAATTATCTGAGTGGATTTCTTGTTCTGTGTAGTGTTCTCCACGATAACAGTGCCATTCGACTTATCATCAGCGGGCACGGAAACTGTAATGGTAACTGAGTCACCGGCGCTGATGGGTATGTCGCTTGTGATATCAATCTCCTTATCCGGATACCAAGCGGCGAAGGATGTTAGGCCGTTGGAGTATGTTATTCCGCCTTTGAGGACTATGTCTTGTTGTAATGTGTCCCCGATGGCTACCCATATTGAAAGTTTGTTGCTGCCGGTGAGAGTGGGGACGGTGAAGGTTCCGGCGGCGGATGTGAAGGAGCTGTCTTCTGGGGCTTTTAGGACGGCGCCGCCGCGGTTTTGGTCGAATGCTGCAGAGGTAGCGGGGGTGAAGAGGGTGGCCGCGAGGGCGCTGTATGTAGAGAACTTCATGGCCGACTTTCTGGAGTGTTATGAGGTACCGTAAGTGACGAAAGGACTCTGCTCCTACGCGGTCTAACGGATCGTTTACGATAGAGCAAACCTTCGCTCTTTATTATGTGATAGACCTCCAAGAATAACCCTGGTATTATGTAGACTGGCCACGTTGGATGACAAACTTCGTAGATTAGCATGGGGGTCATCGTTTCATCCACTGCAACGTCCATGAGGCAATACAGGCGTCGACGGAATCGCCGCAACTTCTAGTAGCTACTACTAGACTCAGTGTAGAGTTTGACGCCGGATTGCCGTTTAAGGAAATTAGAGGCTCGAAAGAGCCAATAAGGATGCTATGCCTAGATCGTATGATAGTTTCAATTGGCCGGGTATTATCGTGACTTTTGCCGTGAAAAGGGTTGGTAATATATCCGGCGCAAATTACGACCAAGAACCCCAAGAAATCCTAGTAGCCTCAGCGACGAACGATTTCTACGCCTTCACAGGCATTTCCTTGGTTTCTTGAGGCCGAGAAGCTTCAAGACGAGATTGGCAAACCCTTCTCGGCGTTTTACAGTAGATACGTTGTCTTCTCACATGTCTGGAACCTAGAAGAAAATTCCAATACCAGAGACAGCAATATAAATAATTTATACACGCTGCAGAATGGACTCCGAAGAGTTACGCAGCCCAAAGCCACTGTAAATCAGGTAATCGGGCCGTCGATACCGAATATCGCAGTCATGTATATACATCGTGCTAGGCTTGGGGTTGTTCTCCCTCTGTGGACAACCCCAACTACGCGACCCCTTGTCGACGAAGCCCAACTTGGGGATTAAGTCTCGGCAACCATTTACCCTTGTCGTTAAGTGTTCTTGAGTCTCTATAAAAGATACATTATCGAGTGCAGCTCCCACGTAGTAGTAAAAAGTCGTTCTTGCTACAACTCACGAACCTCGACTTAGTGCCCAAATCCAAGCGTCGCGATGAAGTGGTTCACTCTCACTACGCTGGCGCTAATTGCGCCCGGCCGTGCTCTCATTCGCTTCCCTTGTGCTCAGTTGGTAGTTGATCGCCTTGATCCGTTGGTGAACCCCGGCCTAATTCCCTCGCCGCATCTACATCAAATTGTAGGAGGTGTAAGTACGCATTGATATGATTTGCCTAACGGTTTTTTCCGATACTAACATTGTGATAGAACTCCTTTAACGCCACCATGGACCCGGCTAAGGATATGCCCGGAGAGTCTACCTGTACCACTTGCCAGTTCAGTGAGGACTTTTCCAATTACTGGACTGCTGTCTTGTACTTCAAGGCCAAGAATGGGACATATAAGCGTGTTCCCCAGCGCGCGAACTCGGGCTTTGATAGTGTTAATGCTGGTATGACGGTTTACTATATGCAGGATGGTCTGTACAACTTCCAACAGACCTCCAAGGTTACCGCTTTCAAGCCTGTTAGTAACCTCAGATCTTATTCGTTCTTCTTCCTTAAAACGTATTGCTGATATATAGAAAAGGGTTTCCGTATGTACATCGGTGACGTGAATGCCCGAAAGCAAGAGGATATTGAGCGCTTCCGCCAGCTCACCTACACCTGCTTGCAGGATATCAACACTCGTGATCCTCAAATTCTGGACTTCCCCAAGGAGCCCTGCCCAGCTGGTATTATGACGGCTTTGAGATTCCCAACATGTTGGGATGGTAAAAATCTTGATTCCGCTGATCATATGTCGCATATGGCGTATCCTGAGAGCGGCACCTTTGAGACTGGTGGTCCTTGCCCGGCATCGCACCCGGTATGTAGAATTCTTTTCCTACTTAGGCATATTGAACTGCTAACAAATGCGAAATAGGTGCGAATGGGGCAATTGTTCTATGAAGTGAATTGGGATACAACTCAATTCAACAACAAAGAAGACTGGCCTGAGGATGGACAGCCATTCGTGTGGTCGTTTGGCGATTCGTGAGTTTTTCGTCTTCTCTCATGGTTTGGAATCGGTCCCTGACATTTTATCTTCAATAGGACTGGCTATGGTAACCACGCCGATTACGTCTTCGGCTGGAAGGGTGATGCGCTACAGCGAGCCCTCGACTCACCATGCTACATCAACTGCCCCACTCTTAAGACCCAGGACACGCAAGCGATGAACTCTTGCAGTAAGGACAGAGTTGTCACTGAGGATAATATTGACGATTGTAATTCCCCTTTTAATTCCCGTGTAATGCGACTTTGCTAATTATTGTCGTTTTAGGGGTTGACACTCTGCCTGGAGGCATGGTTGCTGGTATGTAAAAATTTGGCGCTTTAGACTGGAGTGATAGCGGTAGAGATAGATCGACCTGTGTATCATAACATCCTTATAATATCTCTAAACTTCAAATGAATTTGCGTAGATACCTAAGACCGATGGACGCCGAAACTCATCAGAAAGTAAGCTAAGTGAAGCATTTCACGGACTTAGGGACTTAGGTACTTCTTTCCGAACGCCCGATATGAGAATGAATAAAATGACATGTGAAATTTAGATAAATTAGCCATGTACATTAGGATCAATTGAAAGCGAATACCTACCCATATCAATGAGCTGTGATGCATTCTTTGTCTGGAATGGGACCCTCTCGAAATTATACCAAAAATAGAAGCTGGCGTGAGACTTGGCGCATTCCTTAGGTACACTCATGCTAAACTTTTCGAATTCATCTGCCCCATACGGGTTGTATGGTTCTTAAAATATTACCTGGAAAGAAGAAAATCAGGTATACTGTCGAAAGCGTTAGTGCACTGCAAAAAGCGAAATGGCCGCTTTCAGGCAAACCCTGAATGGGAGCCCGTATATGAATATCGGGTATAACTGATGGAGATAAAACTCTTTCAAAGAAGAATTGAGGACAAAGAACACTTACATTCTAGTTATCCAAACGTTCTTCTGGATTTTTCTCCCAATTTCACTACCACTATCGCCTCAGAAAGGAGAAACATCATAGTTTTCATATCACCAAAAGCATAGACCATCATGACAACCAAAGTCCAAAAGCGCAAGCGCACTGACAACTCCAAGCTCGGGGGCTTCGGCCGACGCACTAAGCGCAAGGCCACCATCGACGACCTCCTCCCCTCCGTCGAATTTGACGACGACCTCTCGAGCGACAACTCATCCGACTTATCCGAACTCCTCGACGACCCCGACTACCGCGCCTGGGAAACGCGTCTCGAAGAATACCAATCAAGCCCGGACTACGGCTACAAGGATACCGTCCAGTCCCGGCCCTTCGTCCCCCCACGAGTGACGCGCATCCCGTCGTTTTCCGACACAGAGGAAGAGCGCGAATACAAGGCGAAGGTCCAACAATTCTACGATGAAGCCGGCATAGACGTAAAAGTCGATGATCCAATTGTCGGGGAGTTCGAGTCGGACATTATCGCCCGCGAGGGTGAAAAGAACTTCGAGGGCAAGGCCGCCTCACCGGAGGACAGCAGCGATGATGACTTGCCGAAGTTCACCCCGGACACGACGCCGCTTGCTCGCTTCAACTTCAAGGAGCTCCTTGATATTACCGGCCATACGTTGAATTACGTCAGTATGTGACTTTTTAAGCACCTCTTAAATAATTGGGCACTTGCTAACTCACAACCAGTCAAAACCCGCGGTGCCGACATCGACCCCACAGACATAGACGCTGTGCGGGAAACCCTTGATGCCGATGATGAGGTGTATGACGAGGCGGAGTGGTACACGCCGCTTGAAAAGGCGAGGGAGCAAGCAGAGGAGATCGTTAAGCAAATCTTTGATATGCCCGTTCGCGATTTTATGGGCCTTGCTCACAACGTCGTTCGCTTTAAGGAGGAATTAGATGAGCGTGGGATCTACATTCTCGACTAATAGTGAGGATTTGATGTATTTATTTCCGTTGGTACGGATCAAAGGCTCGTTGGTTTGGGAAAAGGACTGTTGTCAGATTTTCAATCAGATTTCTTGAAAATTTTAGACCTGTAATATGAAATTGTATTCTGTAAAGCCTGATAAATCCTCCTTTGTAACTGGGTAAATGCAGAATGTTGTGCTCACTTGGCAGCTACTTTATCATTAGCTACATTACGATGATAGATCATGCATAAATAGGGACTGAGTTGTGTCAACTCATTCGTGGTATATTTATTTTGAGTTCGCTCGAAGGCGACGTGAATCTGAGCTCACTAGATATTTCTATATTCGTTCTTTAACCCTTGGCAGCACCGGCTTTGATTAGCAAGATATCGCCGTCCTCTACTACATATTCCTTGCCCTTAGTCATGATCTTACCCTTTGCCTTCACTTCGGACTCGTCACCCAACTCCTTCAGGACATTGAAGTTGTATACGATGGCCTGGATGAAGGTCTTCTCGAAATCTGTATGAATGACACCAGCAGCTTGTGGTGCTTTAGTGCCGACTCGGATAGTCCATTGCCTTACCTCGTCGGTACCTGTTGTGAAGAAGCTGGCAAGGTTCAATGCCTTTCGCATTGTCGTGATGATCTTGGGCAATGCCGACTCGATACCGAGGTTCTTGCACTCTTCGGCAGCTTCCTCATCGGAGCCGAAGTGAGTGAGGCGCTCCTCAAAAGATACGGAGATGGGCAAAATGGGATCGCCCGCAGCGTGCTCCTTCATCCACTCGGCAATCTTAGCAAGATGCTTGTTCTTCTTGCGGGTGTAGTCCTTCTCTGACAGGTTGACCAAGTATACTACGGGCTTCGCCGAGAGAAGTAGAAGGGTGTTAATGACCTCGACCTATTGATTTATTGTTAGCTGTGTCCTCTAACGGATGTAACAATAAAATTTAGAAGATGATCAGGTTATCAGAGGATTCTTTTATCTCAATATGCACTCTGCGTTGTATTATTGAGGCATTCGAAGAGCTGGGATTAGATCAGGCGCTATGGCCCTTATTCATCATACTGAAGGGAATTTTTAGAGGAATGGAATTGGCTTACCTCTTTTGGTGTCCAGGTGCCTTTTCGGACATCTTTGCCGTCCTTGAGCCAGGCGAGGACCTTTTCTATTGTGGCCTCATCTTCCTTAGCCCTCTTCAATTCCAAGCTCTGACCGCCTAGACGGGTCTTCTTTTTGGAGTTCTCAAGAGCCTTCTCGACGAACTCGATATCTTTTAGTCGCAGTTCCTCCGCGATGATATCTAAATCTCTGACAGGGTTGACATCACCCTCGACATGAATAATTTCCGCATCATCGAAACATCGGACGACTTGGAAGATAGCGTCGACAGCTCGGATGTGAGACAGGAAGGCATTGCCAAGACCAGCACCGGTCGAAGCGCCTCTTGTTAGACCAGCGATATCATAGATGGTCAGGTGGGCGGGCACTCGCGATTTAGGGTTGTACTTATTGCACAGCCAGTCGTAGCGCTCATCTGGGACAATGACACGAGATTCTTCCGGGTCAATGGTGGCGTAGGGGAAGTTCTACTCATGCCGAGTATTAGCGTTAACCGCGGACCATTGGAAATCAGAAACGTAAACGTACGGCAGGGTTACCAAGGCTGCACTTGGTGATAGCCTGGAACAGAGTCGACTTGCCGACGTTGGCTAGACCAACGATACCACTCTTCAGGTTGTTTCCTGGTCGGCCAAGGAGGATCTTCTCCTCAACAGCTTGCTTCTTGGGAGGCATTTTTCGTCGCTTGGCGTATGAACGAGTAGAGATGTAGACAGTAGTGCAACTTGGCACGTAGAGCGGAAGAAATGCAGAGCTAGCTGCGAGGGGTCGAAAAGGGCGGAATAGAGAAGCGAATGGAAGGGTGGAAAAGAGGGAAGACACGTTGATGGATCTTGGCCGATGCCCAGCCTCGAAATTATCGAGAGTCGGACAAATACAAGATCAAGATCTGTCTAACTCTCGATGACCATCTATTGAAAGTGTTATTATTGGCACTTGACGGCTGCCCTCGTCTGAGTGGTGCTCTGTTGCGCGGTTTGGCACAGCTGTCTTGTCCTTTTTTTTTCCTGTCCTCGTTGGAGGGCTGGAGGGGCAGGTTGGGAACGAAAAGAAAAATAAAATAAAAGCTTGCGCTTTTGAAGGTGGAGTCCAATCAAAATGGAATTTCAACTGCGACGGAATTCGGAAGTGCTATTACGCCGACAAATAACCCCACATTGCTTAGATAAGATACTTTGGCCTTTACCGACAGCTGGCTGCAGACGGTTAGCAGCTGGCAAGTTAGCTTGTCTCAAGTCTGCCTTGTCAATCTCCACAGTGGGGAATCCCGAAGGCTTCCAGCTCCAAAAGGCGCGACCGGATTCGTCGCATCATTGGTCGATGCGTCAGCTGTGGCTGATACATGTACTTCCCAGTTCAGTTGGTTACCTAACCGAATCCTCCCGTCCTTCACCTGCGCCTGCTTGCGTTGTCTGTACGATTTGTAGTTGCCTCAGAACCAATCCGAATCAACTTGTTATCTTTTTGTTTCTTTTTTTTGCTATTCACGATGCGTTGTCGACAATTTCTTGTTTATACCAATATTCTTGTTTGATCTAGTCTCTTCCTACATTGCACGTGAGATATAACGAACTTGCTTTCAAAGACGATCACTCTTCCCCACTACCTATCCTATAACCTACCTATTATCGTCCGTTGTTACTTGTATTGAGTTTCAGCATGTCTTCCCAGAAGTCGTCTAGGAAATCCTCTAGACAATCACATCGCTCAACCCTATCCTTATCGCGAACCGAGATTGTGATCAATGTCTATGATCTCTTACCTGTAAGTCGTTATCTCCAACGGGAGTTCCCGGAAATAGCTACTAACAAAGCGTCAACCTTAACAGCCCGGCCGCCTCTCATCTGTGCTCTGGACCGTCGGTGCTTCACTATTACACTCGGGTGTTGTTATAAATGGAAAAGAATATGCTTATGGCGGACATGACCAACGTGGTATGACAGGCGTGTACTGGACGCGACCTAAAACCGAGCCGCCCGGTGGTACCTTTAGAACCGAAATCTTGCACGGTTTCTCCTTCGCGACACAAGCCGAAATCGATGCTATTATCCGCCGAGCCTCCGACGAATTTCAGGGCACCGCTTACAACCTACTTACCAAAAACTGCAACCACTTCACTAGTTACCTCTGTCAGAAGCTCACCGGCCGGCCAGGACCTGGCTGGCTGAATCGTGCTGCAAGCATTGGAGTTGCTATGCCATGTGTCGTTCCCCGAGACTGGATCGAACCGCCCGATTTCGAAACGGCGGAAGGCGAACTTCTAGACGATGAGGGATTAGACGATCACGAAGGTACAAGGATGTTAAGGCAAGATAGTGCTAGGAGACTTGCCACGTCAGATAGTGACGATGAGGGTGAAGATTCAGGCTGGAATGGCGAGGAATCACCCCGACCCAGCAGAAGTGGCAAAGGAAAGGTCAGAGACTCGAGTGGGCGAGCCTTACCACCTTCAGAGAGAGCTCCTTCGGCAGGTAGACCAAGTATGTCTTGATTCGGAGGGGATTCTTGGGTTCGGCAGTGTGCATTGTATGGCGTTGGCTCTGATTTTTTCGATGGCAACGCGGCTGGCTGGCGTTTACATGGATTTGCTTGATTGATACCAAACGGCTACTCCGGCACTCTAGGGGGCAACTTTATACTGATTTTAACTCATAAATGCACAATGAACTACTGCGTGATATTGTACATTGTACATGGCAATGATATTTGATATACACTGGCTCTTTATTTTGACCATTAGTTCTTTTTTTCGTTCCGAATTCATTCTTTTAACCCAATCTTCTAGGCTTGCGACTCCTCGTACCACCAAACTTAAGTCTCGTACCGTCTGATACCTTGGTGATCTTATGCCTCAACATACGACCTTCCGTACCCAACAAAATCTTAGTTGCGGCCTCGCGCCCAGATCCGAAACCCCGCAACACCACCTCTAAAGTCGTCATCTTCTTGTGCCAGTTACCCTGGTGCAGCTTGTCTATGACGTAAGCCGTTAATTGATAGGCCGCATCATAAGTACCGCGCTTGGAGTTACTGAAGCCGAGATTACCGGCCGACATGGAAATGATGGCGCCGCGGTTTGGTTTGGTTACGGTGATGTGTGTGTTGTGCCTGTGCGCAAATACGTGGAAGTGGAAGGGCTCAAATGCTGGACCCCAATCCTCCTCGGCCTTGTTCTCTTCTCCTAGAACCTGATCGTGTGTGGGTTGGTTCCGTGCCTTTGCGAGACTATCTTGTGCTAGGATTCGTTGTAATGCCGCCATACCCTCTCCGGATTGGGACCCAGATTGGGACCCGGATCGCGGTGGTCCTGCCGATTGAGGCGGCTTTGATGTTCGTGTAATGGTACCGAGGAGAGACCCTTGCGGGCGTTCAGGCTCTGCTTGTCGGATACATGTTTGGGAGAAGGGTCGGATGCACTGGCGGGTAGGTTGGTTGTAGGAGATATGGGCACGAGTAGCCGCCAATAGGCGACTTGCTGGTCTACTCATTGCAGGAGCATGAGAAGTTTGTTTATTCGATTCCCGCTGCCGTTTGTATCCGATTCAAAATACGAATATGTACTACACGAGCACTATTGACGTTGATTTTGACCTCAATTGTCGGACATTGAGGTGGCCGTTTTATTCTTGCGGTTGATAAACATCGAATTTTTGATGGGGACGGCATCAAAGTCGCATCTCGGACCGAGCGAAATCTATTATTATGGATCTGACTTGTCATTCCAGGTTTTAATTGGATACTACTAGATGTTGCCGCTTTTTGGGGTTAGACCCCGCATATATCCTCGTTGAATAAAGGTACGAAATACTTCACGGTCCCCTAGATTAGGTAATTTTTCTAAACTGCCGGATTCGCCCGCCTTCCTCCATTAGTTGCGAAGAAATTCCTCGCTGGTCTCCATTTCTTTTTTTCAAGTTTCTCAAAAGTTGGAGAGGACCAAGGTCTTCTCATATTACGAAATGGCCTCGTTAAGACAGGTTACGAGGAGCGCACCCTCGTCGGCCTTCTTGAGGTCGCCTGCGCTTGTCGCATCTTCCTGTGGCAGATCTCCAGCCTACCGACGGTTACTGTCGAGCGCCGAAATCTTCAAATTTCCTACTGGCAATGTAACGCCACTCACCTCTACTCAACTCCCCTCAGTATACCTCTCTTCCGTCCGGTCGCCCTTCGTCCCCGAAACCATAGCTACCTTACAGTTGCGCAACTTCCACCAGACGAGGCAATGGCTTCAAGAACAACCCCAACAATCCGCGCAATCCGCCAAGCCAGATCCCAAGCCTACGGAGCCGAAAGAAGACTCTGAGAAGGCCGCTTCAGGCGCAGAGTCAGAAGCAAAGGCTGGCTCGGAAGAAGAAGCTAAGAAACAAGAGGAGGAAGGCAAGGAGGGGGGTAAAGAGGAGAAAAAGGAAGACTTGCCTCCTCCACCGCCCCACGGTGATAAGACACCATGGCAGGTGTTCATGGAGACTATGCAGACTGAGTTCAAAGCTTCGAAGGAGTGGAACGAGTCAACAAAACAGCTCGCCGATTCAGCCCACTCATTTACCGAGAGCGAATCCGTTCGTCGCGCAAGACAAGCATACGAAAATACCACTGGCGCAGTTTCGTCGACGGCCGGAAAGGTATTGAAAACCTCGGCCACTGCGGTCGGGAAGGGCGCCGCATGGACATGGGAGACGCCGGTAATGAAAGGCGTCCGAAAAGGAGCGAATCTGACCGGCGATATCATCGACAAAGCCACGAAGCCAATAAGAGAAACCGAGGCATACAAGAATGTCAAGAACGTCATTGATGATGGCAGCAGCTCTAGGTATGGTGGCTGGGTTGAAAAGGAAGAACGAAGAAAAGCCAGGGAACTACGAGAGAAACAAGCTCAGTCTATTCACGGCAAGGCGGAAGACATGGTCGAAGATCCCAAGTAAGTCTAAAATGAGGGCTTTTCTCTATAAGGTTGTATACTAATGCTGTATAGTGCCGGGACAAATATCACACTGCACAAAGATGCTGCTTGGAAGGAGGCCTGGCGGGATTTCCGAGACCAGAACAAATTTGTTCAAGGGCTTTTCAATATGAAGGAGGTATATAACGAGTCCGAGAATCCCTTAATAACGACAGCGCGAAGTATTACCGACCGCGTCGCTGGCTTCTTTGCGGAAAACGAAACCGCGATGGTTATTAGGAAGTTCCGCTCTATGGATCCTAACTTCCAGATCGAGCCGTTCTTACAAGAGCTTAGAGAGTACATTTTACCCGAGGTACTCGACGCTTACGTAAAAGGTGATACAGAGACTTTGAAGCTTTGGCTCTCAGCCGCTCAGTACTCTGTATACGAAGCTTTAACTAAACAATACCTTCAGGCTGGGTTAAAGTCGGACGGCCGAATTCTCGACATACGGCATGTAGATATCCTAAAAGCCCGTATGCTCGAACCAGGCGAGATCCCGGTCTTCATTATTACCTGCCGAACACAAGAAGTCCACGTTTACCGAAACGCCAAGTCAAATGAACTTGCTGCTGGTATGGAAGATAAGGTTCAACTTGTCACATACGCTATCGGCATCACTCGAACTCCCGAGGATGTTAACAACCCAGAGACAAGGGGCTGGAGACTGATCGAAATGCAAAAGAGCGGAAGGGATTACATATAAAGCGAACGTTTGACCATTTACGATACGTTGCCGACGCTACGATATTTATGTTATAATACTGTATATTACCGACTAAAAGACGGCAAATTAGAGGCCGTAGTAGGCGGTTTCACCACACCACTCCGATATTGGTAGCCTTGGATTAAGGCGAGTAAGGCGTTGGAGGGCGGCATTGTATGATAGACAAAAGGTGCATATATGGTAACGCATGAAAATTGCGATGTGCATTAAGTCTAGGGAAAAAAATTCCATGATACAATAATCAAAAAGAAGTAAAACAACAATGCTCCATATTCACTGGTGTCTCGAATTAGCTTTAATACATAACATAGGAGTCAGCTTCAGAGGGAGTACTGTAGTGTACTCCCTCTGTAGTGTGTGTATGAAGTGAGAAGTATCCAGGTACCATCCTAAAAATAGAAAAGCAGTGATACAAGCTTTAGATAAGCTTTCTTAGCTTATATAATACACAGGTCCCGACCCATTGAACACCCCTGTCATCCCATCCAGCCATCTTAAACTAGAAGGAGCGCAGATCGTTACCCCGGATCATATTTCGTATAGGATATCGATGTTGCGACCTTATTGATAAATTTTTGCTTTTATGCTTCTTCCTAGCCTCCAAATATTTGATAGGCATGCTGACATGCCAATTTCTTCCCCAGTTCATCGTACAACCGTGTTCACGGTTAGATGTTGTTCAACACCATAATGATCGAGCGGTAATACGACAACCAGCTCAATGATTTGCCGTTCTCGCAGCGCGAGCGACCTTCTCAGCCAGCCTGGCATTCGCACCTTAGTTCTGCTCGTGATTTTCGTGTTTCTATACTCGATATACGGCTCACTTTACTTCTACCGCGATCCCCTCTCCATATTCTTTTCCGAAGAACATGGCTTCGACCGATTTTACTCGGCTACGCGCCAAGCGCAGGCAGACGAATTCATCGATGCCGCGATAGCGAATCCTGACTCGGTGCGACGACAAATAGGGAAGGCCAGTATGAATCCATCAATTTGCGCCGTATTTATCACGGTAGGGCGAGATATGATAAAACGACAATATGTCGATGGTGCTCTAGGATCGTTTCTAGCAAACATGACGCGGTTTGAGAGGGAGGCTACACATTTAAAAGTGTTCTTCGCCGATGTGCCCGACCCCGAGTCCCAGCATCACAGTTACACGAAATTGATGGATGCCGATATCACCGACGAGATATTCACATATAACTCTACGCTTCCACCACATCAACAGGAACAGAAAATTCGCGAACTTGCGTTGTTCTCCAAGGATCGCCAGAATAAGCACGCGCTAGAGAGGAAGACTGTATTCGATTACGCGTATGCGCTAGACCGATGCGTTAAGACCACCAATGCGCCGTATATCGCGCTTTTTGAGGAAGATATCCTTCTGGCTGAGGGATGGGCGGCTAGGACCCTGAAAAATCTACAAATCATCGAGACGATGATGAAAGACCCCAAGCGCCAGGTCCCTCAAAAGGGCAAGATTGAACCCGGCGTACCAAACACATGGCTTTACTTGCGTCTCTTTAATCAAGAGCGAAGTTTCGGATGGAGTGGTGGACCTGGATTCAAAAGCAACAACGTTCATATCCTCTCGGTTATGGTAGCCATCCCACTCTTAGCCGTCCTGCTTCTGGTACGAAGGCAGCTACCGCGTCATATATCGCGGCATATAGATGGGTGGACCTTATTAGTCGTCTGCGGACTTGCGGTCCCGCTCTTCATTTGGTTATTTTATGCATCTGGGAAAGCGGCGCTCATCGGATCGCCGCCGGGCGTGCGCGAAGAGTTCTTCGGATGCTGCAACCAAGCGCTCGTGTATAATCGCGAGCACGCAGGAAAACTAGCAGATTTCATGATGACGGCTTCCAAACGCGAATCTCCGGGGAGAAGTGATATGCTTCCCAAGAACTTCGCGTGGGATCATGGCTTAGCGAGAATAAGCGCGTACCCTATGCTTGCGCAACATGCGGGTAGAGTAAGCGCGATTGATACGAGTAATGATGAAGCGAAACGCGTATGGAGTATGGCTTTTGAAGATTACAAGCCGTCGAAATTGGCTAAGGAGCATATGAAGGATTTGCGGGAATTGTTTGGGGAGGAGGCTGTTGAGGAATTGAGAAGGCAAAGATCTGTGGGAAACGTGACATGAGGCGATGACTGATATTCTTGAAGTAATGATACCATGGATAACTTTTTTTTTCTTATGTCTTATTTTAAATTTGTGATTGACAACTCCTGGCTGAGATTGATGTTGTCGAATCAACGTTGGCTAGAACTTCGTGTTGGTGTCAGAACCAAGGCGCCAAGATATTAGAAAAAGCTTAGCCTCCGCCCCTTTCACACATACAACGGGGAGTGAGTCAAGAATGAAGATACTATATATAGGTTATCTATATCTATATATCGATATCTGATTTTCATTCCCACTGAATGCCTTGAAACCTACACATGACTTGCATTTGCGCTGGGTCTCCAACAATTTACCCGCACATCGTGGGATCATCAAAACTACAATGGACGAAGTTGAGGTAAGGGCGAATTTACCAACCCAAAACACCAGTCATGAGAATGGTAATGGTGTCTTTAGGTTCTTCGACCTACCTCTAGAACTCCGTAACGAGGTATATAGCTACTTGCTCGTGCAGCCAAAGCCAGTTCAGGTCGTACGACTATATTTTACCACTACGTGGCGGAAGCTCCAACGCCTTAAGGAAGAGGGGGCGCCCGATTGCTGCGGCAAAAACTACATATGCGCACACTACGACGCGAAACTCCGCCCCTATACCAACATTCTTCGGGCTTGCAAACAAGCAAGTGAGGAAGCTCTAGATATCCTCTACGGACGCAACACGTTCCGAATGGTTTTAGAGTCGCGTGAGAAGTTCCGGCGGTTGTTCGCGGTGGGCGAGAGAAACCTGCGCCGTGTTCGTTATCTGAAGATTGTGGCGGTGACTACGTATTGGATGTATCAGGTAATCTCACTCGATGAGGAGAGATATTTCTTTCGCCCCGCTGCCGAGGATGCGGTGTCTTGGAGTGCATTAGTTGGCGGGTTGGCATCGCTTGAGTGTGTGCTAAAGTTACCTATTTCAAATAGTCGCTACGGGTGGCTGAAGGTAGGTAGCCTTTCCCCTCTTATCTCATGAGAGTTACGCCTTGAGCCCGATGAAGTGTTGCTAATTCTTGTTTGCACAGTGGGTCGGACAGTTAGAGACTGTGATAGGGTTTATAGGAGAACACGTTGACGAAGAGACAGAGGTTATCGTCGATGATAATTACTCCATATTTCTATGCGAGGCGGTGGACCGGTCTTTCATTAAGGGGTTTGAGAGGGTGAAGACGGCTGAGGGTGATAGCTATTACTGGAAGACACGATTTGATCCGGAGAATGTCACCGGGCCGGTGGCTAGTGATGAAGCTGCCCAGTGCTGGTTTGAATAGCTCAGGGTGGTTGGATCTGTTGATAGACACTCTCTTGAAGTGCAGCGAACCGTGGACCGGAGTATATACTCATTGGATATGTATGAATTCCTATAATACCTACGCGGAACGCTAGAGCTTGAACAGTGTTGGATAATGTGTACGGACGTAATAACACTTACTAGTCTGTGATCCCCTAACCTCCTCTATTTTCCAACCAAAGGGCCAGGCTCGCCGACCCAATTCAACTCGGAATCCCATACCAATAATTGCGCTACCTAATATTCACCCTAATTTGATGGTATCGCGCTTCGCTAGAATTTTAGAAGCTTGTCGGCACGCAGGGATCAACGCCACTCTTGACAAAAGTATCCAACCCGATTCATCAACGCTAGACGATGCCGCCAACCCACCAATAGTCTAAAAAGAGCAGGAAAAAAAGGCAAAAATGAATAAAAACCGTACAACACCGAGGATTCCCTGGTCGTCACCGACCCAGGTACTAGTTCGGCGGTATCTGGCTTGTCTATGGGAGAGCGGACGGGATCCCGAATTTTCCAGATCCTATGGTCGTACGTGATATATTTTACTGCTGCTTTGATTTATATACCAAGCTTGATGGCTCGGTTTGTTGTGGGTTGAGCGCAGACCACCCAGTTCCTGAACGGGTAGAGGGGTAAATCTTTTGCAGTTCCGAACCGTAACTTCCGTCTGCGTTTGGTAGTAAGATGGCCACTGCAGTTTATTTTATGGATAAGTGTTAGGGTGAAGCTTCTAGGGATATAGAGTTTGAGAAGTTGAGAGATTGTGAGAAGGTCAGGAATTTCATTAACTCCGATCTCCGATGTGACCAAGATCGAAACTTTGATGCTGAGTCATCATGAGACAGCTTAAATTATTGGTCTTCGGCTTTCCACCGCTCAGAATCTTTCCCACTACAACATCTTCGTTAAGTACAGGGTGACAAGGCTATTTCAATAATGCCGTCTATCATGTACCCAATGGAGGAATTGATCGTGTCTCTAATTTGTTCTTGAACAACTGCATTTCTTACTGATCATATGTTTTTAATTAATATGCCGCTTATTGCTACTCATGGGGAGAGAAAACATAAGCGCCGAGGGTAGGAGTAGGTATGCTTCACTTAAACATCAAGATCTAAGTGGCTCTCAAGAAGAACTCCTATAGGCTGGTATGCACGCGCCTCACAATAAACATCTCATCATCAACCAACCGAATTCGGGGCACCCCACGACAAAAAGGAGCCTGCAGCTAGCCTATCAAGGACCACTCTCATGCAGGCAATGAATGGATATGTCTGAGTTCTCCAAAATATGGGCTCTGAGCTGTGAATGTCGAGCAATTGCTCTTAGGAGGAGATGGAAAACTCCACTACTCTGGCTTACGCTCACGCCAGGTTCTTCTTGGTCGGAACTCGGCTTAATTTTTCTCTCGTCTTTTTATGATCCTATTATAAACTAAGTACCCGAAGAGCCGCAAATTCCGGGTGTACATCAACATCAAATGGCTTCAGCATCCCGACGCGCACCGATACCAATTCCACGGCGTCGCATGCGGCGGCCTGAAACCCCACCCCCGGCATATTCAGAGTACGATGTGCTCGAAGCAGCCCAACAACAAACGCATCCCTACCAGCAACCAGACCATACTCGGACTACTTTAAACCACGGCATCCCGGATGAAGCTTCAAATCCCGCTGGTGCAGGTAGTCCGCGTTGCCAATCAACATTTTGCTACCGGACGGTAACAGTTGCAAGTCATTACTGCAGGAAACACGAATGTAGCGTAGCCGGCTGTGTCAATCGCCGGGAAAAGGGACGTGGTAAACGGTATTGTACTTCTCACGAATGTCGCTGGCGAGGTTGTGAGGGCTCTAGGGCTGGTCCTTCAAGCTACTGTGCACGCCATACTTGTGAATTGGAGGGTTGTCATTTTCCTAGCCCCGAAGAGGGCTATCAATTCTGTACGACACATACGTGCCGTGTTCAGCGGTGTCCTAGCCGCCGCGAGTCCGCATCGCGATATTGCTCTAAGCACCGGTGTCGCACCGAGGGCTGTACCCGCCCCTTTGCTAAATCGAGCGAATTCTGTGTCGAACATAAATGCGAAGTTGATCGGTGTCGAGGGGCGAGACGGAATGGTGGCAGCAGTTTATGTACGCGACACGAATGTACAGTGGCGGATTGTAGTGGAAGGAGGTTTGATAAGAGTCAATATTGTGGCGCACATAAATGCGTTACGAAGGGATGCGTAAATGGCCAAGTTGATGGCTTCCGCCATTGTGCTTCACACAAATGTCGGGTGTGCGAAAGACCTTGCATTCCTGAGAGTGGATTCTGTCGCCGACATAAGTGTCGGGAAACCAAATGCCCAGAGACGCGCGCTGGTGGGTCGCCATGGTGTCCACGACACGTTTGTCAATGGGTCGGATGTGTTGAACCTGCACTTCGACGAGATGGGTATTGCAGCGATCACACTTGTTCGGCTGGGGAATGTCTTGAGGGCGTGCATCTAGTTGATGAAAACGTTAGCGAATATTGTCGCAACCATACATGCGCTGAGCAGGGCTGTCTTCAGAGGAGCTCAAAAGCTACATTCTGCGCTGAGCACGGGTGCCAACGACGCACGTGCCAAAACTCACGATTCTGGGGTGACGAACAGGGAGAGAGAGAACACCAATGCTGCAAAGACCATACATGCCATCAAGAGGGCTGCTATGCCCCAGTTGTTCGTAACAGAACATACTGCGAGGAGCACATCTGCCCCTTCCTTGATGGCTGCACATCACCGAGAACGCTGAACCTAGGATGCTGCGTGGTACATAAATGCCATCGAGAGTCTTGTCTGGATCCATGTGTTCCCAACAGCTCCTTTTGCAGAAATCATGTCTGCGCTAAGCGAGGCTGTACGGAACGTCCGGTTGATAGCGGCCGTTATTGTATACGACACTCCTGTACACACCCTGATTGTGTGGAACGCGGTGGTGATGGTGGTTTCTGCAAAGATCACGTATGTGCTTGGGATGCGGGATGTATGCAAGGTCGTAGTGGTCCGGATCAATTGTATTGTGTATTACATACTTGTACGCAGCACGGCTGCTATGAGATGTGTAAAGGATTCTACGGACTTTGCGCCATACATGCCTGTCATTGGAGTCATTCTTGTTTGAATGCGCCTATAAAGTCCGGCGATTATTGTCAAAGCCATACTTGTACTAAACATGGATGCGTCAGAGCAAGTGTAATCGAAGGGAGCCTTTGTGGCCACCATGCTTGCTCATGGGGATCGTCGATCTGCCTTGAGCCTCGCTGGAAGAGGAGCAGTTACTGTGAAGATCATACGTGCGGAGAAATGGGCTGTGGGTTTGCCCGACTTTCGGGAGGATCATACTGTCCCGACCACTCTTGCCAGGCATCCACATCCTGTACTGGTCAAGCGGAACTTGGGAGCGATTATTGCATCGAGCATAAATGCAGCAGACCAAATTGCAGGTTGAAGAGCGTGGGAGGTACGAGGTTCTGCAAGAATCACAAGTCGTTAAGCCCTCCAATCCCAATTGGGGCTCATGACTTAACGAGCCTCCAAAGGTAAGAGAACCAACTATCCCTTAAGTGTTGAATTAGCTTACAAGTATAGTTTTCGATCACGCAGCGGTTATGCCTTCGTCGACCCACTCGTCGCAGCATCACTCACAGATATGGCCCCTCCGAGGGGCAAGACTCCGAAGCATTTTTCCAAACAACGTCAATGGGTGTAAAATAGTGTTAATTATACCCGTGAAGGCTATTTCGATTGAAATTTCCGAATATTTAGATTGTATTTATATGTCATTTATGATCTGGTGGTAGGTTGAGGACCAGAAACCTTTACGAAATCTACGACTTTTACGATTTGCATCTAATCACGGTAAATACCAATACGTCGGGTTTAGCATTTTCATGAGATATGAAGACTGTTAATATGAACCATGTTATATCATTTCAAGGAGACGCATAACGCTTCTCTTCCATTAGTCTAATCGCCTATCCAGGTTCATCTCGGAATATCTCAAGGATGAACCACTACCAAGGTTACTTTCGTCCATGGCCGATCAGGATCATAAGCTTGGATAAGTCAGCAAAAGTAGGCCCATCTATTCAATGCATTCTTAGAGAATGTCTCACCAGTGTTTCCCGCAGGCGTCCAGCGAAAGTCATAATCCCCATTGAATGGACGAACGCCGATGTTTCCTCCAATCTCTTCATCCCCCCGGGACTTGAAAGCTAGTTGTACTTGCACGGCGTCCGTATCGGGATTACATCCATATACCACGTCAAAGATGGCGCGTGGATCGCCTCGTTCAGTCATGAACATCTTAGTCGTATTATCTTTCACCTCATACTAAATATCCCCTCCTGATTAGCGAAAAGATTCGAATTTGAGGTGGTAATGAGTGGTACCTCTCCATTGATAACTGCGCGACGCGGTGGATCCCAAGGTAAAGTGATCACTCCGTCGACGAGCGTGAGCTCACTCGTAGAGTTTCCTGCAGGGCTAACGAAGAGATGCTGGTCGCCGCCGCCCCAATCCCATATGTTCAGGTAATGATTATGGATATCTGGGAATGAAGCATTCTGTACCTGGAGCGAGAAGCTCTCGGTTATGTTGTTTGATAGTGTTCCACCAGGTAGGTCACACGCTGTGACGGCGGTAACGGTGAGGATGGCCCAGGTAACAACTCCGTACATCTTAGCCATTATACCTTTTTTTTTGTTGGATTATAATATCTATTGCAGTATCAATGGCATCAGGGGTGCATTATATAAACTTACTCGAGAAGCCTCTATTAGCAAGTCGTCGGCTCCTGCCAAGACTTAATACGAGGTAGTGCATAACATTGGACAGGAAGGTTGTATCGTCAATGTCGCTATGCAACAGCATTGGACCTTCATACTCGATGAAGCTTACCTGCATGACGCGAGGGTTAAATGCACAATTAGACGGGAAAAAAGAGCTATCTTTTCAGCAACCAGCCATTTATTGACCGATAACAGTAGGATTACCCCTTCATTGGTTATCGCTAATAGGAAGGTCCTCAGCTGAACGCCACAGAGCCGAACGCTTATGAATTAGGTAACGCTACGCTACTTTGGAGCCTTATAATAAGGATTGTGGGATCAAAATTGAGCCTTCAAATGGCTAGATCGCAGTCCAAAGACACGGGACGGGAAGGCGGACTTTTGTTCCAGCGTACAGCCTTCGACCGGACAAAACCAGTACCAGGGGCCACCGATTACTGCCATGCAGACTGGTACATAGCTCTATACAGCGGTTGACTTATTATGGCTTACTTCTATCCGACAGTCGCCGTTTCAATGAACCTCAACGCCTCCGCAACAAACATTTCGGGATTCTCCTCCGCGATGTAATGTCCCGATTCCGGGATAGCAACGACCTCATACGTTCCCCTTTGGTGCACCTCGGCGAACATTTTCGCAGCGTCGTCTAGATGTCTGCTCTGATCCCCGCTCATGCAAAGAGCTGGGAGACTGAGCTTTCCATATGATGATATCCACTCCTCGCACTCTTTAGCGTCTTGCTCGAATGCGCGATACACTTCGAAGGCACATCTCATAGCTCCTGGCTGTTCATAACACCGGACGTAGTGGTCGAGGTCTTCCTCTTTGATTGCTGCAGTGTTGTAGGCGAGTTTTTGGAAAAAGTGGGATAGGTAGATGCGCTCGCGGCCCGCTACCAGTGCTAGAGGTAAGTCCGGCACACTGTGGAAGATAAAGTGGAACTGCTGGACCGCGTGCGTGGTGCGACTAGTTACGGATTAGCATCAATCAACTTCTGAGGAATTGCATCTACTCACTCTTCTGTATGCACAGAGGTCCCCGGCAAAGGGCATTCTCCCCAATTGACACTCGCTACACGCGATGGATGTTTCGCCGCCATCGCGAATGCAATCATGCCGCCTATATCATGGCCGATAACGTGAACCGGCTCATGGATCTCAAGCGCGGTGAGTAGACGGACGAGGTCGCGTGCCATAATGGCTTTAGTAAATCCAGTAACGGGTTTAGAAGAGCCCCCCGCACCGCGGTAGTCAGGGACTAGCACGCGGTATCCCGCCCTTGAGAAAGGACCAATTACATGGCGGAATTGGTATGATGTTTGAGGAAACCCGTGTATAAGCAATATAACGCCTCGTTCTGGTCTTTTGGTTTGGGATGGGCAATCGATATATGCGATTCGTAACGAGGGCTCCACTTCTATCGCTCGATGTTTCCAGTTGTTATAATCCATTTTCAAATTTGAATGATATGTGTACTGAAAACTACTAAATTGCTTTCACCCTAGATAATTGGTATCACTTGACAGCTTGAAATACTTCAGTCGCGCTTATAAATGTAGCGTATGTTGATTTGCGGGACGATACCGTGCTGAGCAGAATATCGTTAGTGCTATGACGCTGAAGACTCCACGATGCCAAGACAATACTGTTGGACGCCTAATAGAACAAATACGATTACATAAGCTTTTTATAGCACTCAATCCCTTACCGCCTATAGCTATCGCGCGTTTTTATAGGCGGGTTGAGAGCCTGCAGGAAATTGAGCGGGCATGATGTTGATTCGGTCTAACTATCTATCAATTAGAACCACCAAAAAGGGGGATAGGGGAAGAGACGGCGTGACTCATATTGTCCACTATTCACCACCAAAATTATGGCGTGCTTGAATGAAATGGAATAAAAAAAATGAGCAATTGAAAACATATATAAGTAACAGTTTAAACAGTATATAACCTCCACGAATAGTAACGTTGCGTATTTCCTACTTAGGTATACCGAAGGGTCAACAATATCGAAAATTGTTACTAAGCAGGTCACATCTCATCGGAGGTTTTCAGGGGTAACTTGCCTATAACAAGCCAACCTACGCTTTTTTCTGGCCTGAACTCCAATTCCTACTATTCATTATACTTCTCCTCGACCAATTCATCCTGGGCAAATTTAAACGAAAATTTAGACGCTAAAATTGCCCAAGATCCAAGATGAGTACCGCAGTCAGCGACAGCAAAGTCCCCAAAGACATCAAAGAGCGCATCAAAGCCTCCTACGACGCCATCGCGCCCAAATACAATGAATGGACATCTCGCAACAAGGAGATGCGAACGGGGTACTTAGAAAAAGTATTCGACCTCCTCCAAGTCTCCAGTTCCCCCACAGAACTCCACTTCCTTGAGCTCGGGTGCGGCGCAGGACTCCCGATTACGCGGATATTGTTACAATCCAACCCCAAGGTCCGCGTCACTGCCAATGATTTATCAACCGCTCAGATTGGGCTGGCGAAGGAGAATTTACTTGGGTCGGCGGAGGAAAATGCTGGGAACGCGGAACGATTGGCACTTGTCGAGGGTGATATGACCAAACTCTCGTTCCCGGACCAATCCCTCGATGCCGTGTTCGGTTTCTACAGTTTAATCCACCTCCCGCGTGAGGAGCAGACCGAAATGATCAAGAAAGTCGCGGGATGGTTGAAGCCTGGCGGTTATCTCCTCGTTAACTTCGCTGAAGCCGACACAGAAGCCATTGTAATGGAGAAGTGGCTCGACGAGAAGGACTGGATGTTCTGGAGTAGCTGGGGCAAAGAGAAGACGTTAAAGATTATAGAGGAGGCAGGACTAGATATTGTTTTAAGTGAATTTAGTACAGACGTCGTCGATGCCTCGTTCCTTTGGGTCATTGCGAAGCGATGAGGTCGCCTAGTTGTATGGAATCCTCATCACAGCAATCCTCCAACAATACTATCCGCTAGTTAGTTTTTGCTCAACTAGACACAATTTTATGCCTTGAAACTCATTACGCGAAAAAATTTGTTGTTAGTAAAAATAAGAGCAAAATCAATTTAGAATGACAGCAGTACATAACATCTATCAGGCTTGCTGACATCGTCCAACGTGGACAACATAATATGATCCCGTCCGAAACAATCAGACATTATTAGTACAGCAATATCATAGTAATTTTTATCCCGTCCAAAAGAGTCGCCCTCCAATTTTCACTCAGTGTTTATACATCTAAGTGTCTAGGCGCCCCGCAAATCGAGACCCAGGTACATAGGAAAATACCATCAGCTCTTCAGGTGAATATTTATCGTACGGCGCCCGCGTGCATATGTGCTGGAATGAGTTCATATCTTGATTGTATGTGCTCTCACGTTCCTGAAATGGGAGTGTAACGAAGCGGGTACCAAACGGTGCGGCCCCAAAAGGGAGAGGGCTGAAAACTGATTAAGTATTATTAGTAACCATTGTTTAATGTAGGTTACCTATGATGGCCTACATTCGTCCGGGTCCTGCTTCGTACTTGATGTCGTGGCCAATGGAGCAGATGGGCTCCATTTCGGACTGAAGGATGGATGGGGGGATGCGAATGGGTTCAGTTCCAGCTTCGGGAATGTAAATGCAGAAGACGGAGGCTCCGCTGACTTGTTCGTATTGGGTTCCGGAGGCAATTGCACAATAGGCTTCTTGAATAAACTGGGTTCGGAAGGAAACAAGATAGAGTTCGACGAGCTTCGTGAAGACCTCACAGTAGCATCTGGAGCCGAAAACATCGAGAAAGTACTAGCGCTATTAGATTGAGAGCTCTTAAAGTCGGATATAGAGCCCTTCCCCGGAGTTTTCTTTGGGGCCTTCTCCGAGATCTTTTGTGGTGTTACTGGAGGTGAAAATGTCTCATCCGGGGTAGGAACTGGCGAATTTCCCGAGCTATGATTTAGGCTAGTAGTCATCGAAGCCCTATCCAGTTCAAGTAGGATGGATGGCACAGCTTAAATACACAGCATTAGTATAGCCCAACTGCGAAACTGGTAGCTTACTCACAGGTCGTTTTTCGTTCTCTAAATCTATTACAAATTTGTAGTCCTTTCTTGAGAGCGTTGCACTCGGCCTTCAATTCTTCCCGCTCAACTTGAATTTCCGGCGATTCTGATGCGAGACGTTCAAGTTCATCACGTTTCATCAGACTTACCATGGTTGTGTCAAAAATGGACGGCAGGTCTCTCATAAGGCAGTTCTCGATAGATAAGACTATAACGTTATCGGTAAATGTCCTAAGTGACATCTTGCTGTTTATTAGCATAACATCGAACCCGGAGTGTAGGGGTACCATACTTCGTAATAAGTCTCAGCCTTCTCTATTAGACCATCTACGCCAAATTCGCTCGTACCTTTCGGTGCTGCTGATCTCTCGAGTTCCATACGCGCAACGTCCGTGAAGAGTTCGGGTCGGGTCGCAATAAGATTTCGCATTGTGTCGATTCCGATGTTTTTCTTATGACGTCTCTGAGTGAGGAGCTCCCGGAACTCCATATCCAGAGGCTGGGGGTAGCCACTCTTATAATGGTACAAGAGTTCATGCAACTTAGCTTGGAGGACGGTAGACTTCCGATCAAAGAATGGGTCTACTATATCAGAAAGAATAGCTGAGCAGGTTCTCTTATCTGGGCCAATAATATGCTCCATAAGCTTTTCAACAAATGCTTTGGCCATATGAAGAACGATACCCAAGTGAAAACGCGCAATTTCTTCCCATGGCTGAGACTGCTCTTGAAAAAAGTCAACGGCTATACGATCGTTCGAGGTTCCTGGAAACTCGTTTCCCTGATTAGAGGATGATAAAGACTCTAGTTCTGACGAAACTTTCTCGAAGGTGTCCTCTTTTGGTTTCTCAAATTTGTAAAGGCTGGCTAGGGGCCAAAGATATGACGGTAGAGCTGACTCGTCTCCATGTGTTGGACTGGTTTCGTCTACAGCTCTGTCTTTAGGGAGGATGATACGTTTCATGCCTTTGGTTTGTAAGACGTAGGCGAATATCCGATTTAAATCACGCACAAGTGCCCGAAGCTTTTTGATCCTGCTATTACTGATCGCTGCCATTTCGTTGCCCGGATAGAGACCCCCGAAGAACTCGTCAGCATAGTTCCCCTGCACTGCATACAAGCAAAGTAGATGGAACTTAGAGGCAATCCTTTCAAGATGTGTTTTGAGTTCTTGTTCTGTCAATCTAGACTCTCCGAGGCGATCTAGTTGGGTTTTGCGATCGTTGATGTTTTCCTCGATGTTGAGGATCAGATCTTGAAGATTATTCTTGATATGTCCGAGGAGAATTCCGCTCAGCTTCTTACGTAAAGCTTCGACCCCACGATTCTTCGAAGGCACGCTCGACCAGAGGCTCGACTCGAAGAACTTTCGCTCTTTCTCGTCTCTCTCGTCGTCAGCATTTAAGGCTTCCTTTTCACTTCGATTCCGGAGTACATGCCATCCTAAGGATAAATCGTGAGACTTATCAAGATTCTTAGCTAGGCGAATGAAATTCGCCTCATCTTGAGATCCGGATGTGAGGGTATCTGGTTTTGTGATAATTCCTAACGTTCGTCTTTTCTCCTTGTCATGATGCTTTACTTTAGACAAGACCTTCTGCAGTATAACTTGGTTGCGCGCTGAAATTATAGCAAGGATGATGCTGTTTTTACGGGCCATATATCGTTCGGCCAGGCGATCAACAATATCCCGACCTGCGGCAGATTGTTTGTCATCTTCTCCGTGGTAGAAACCCGGAAGATCGACCAGAGTGAGATGGGGCACGTCAGGACTGCTTATCTCAATTCTCAAGACGTCTTCTGAGAAGCCAGCATCGTCCTTGAGCATTTTGCTCTTAGCATCCTCAATAATACGAGGCAATTCATCTTTGTCGAACGATTTCTCATCAAAAGGCTGCTCCTTATTTTTAGAAGTCGCCGACGGATGAATGCGCACATCTACTCTAGTCTGATTGTTGGTGCGAAGAACGAGCTCTGTCGCAAATCTTGTACACAGTTCATCTTTGACAGGGAAACGTACTCTCGAGATGGCCTCAAGTACGGAACTCTTTCCGGATGATTGATCTCCAACAACGATGATCTGCGGGAGATCAATGAAACGACCGACACCATGTTTGCGTAAGTCATCGATAGCGTCGAGGAGAGCCTTCTGCTCACTCTGCAATTGCTCCAACGCAACCGGGTCTAGAGTGATGCCATCCATGCTGAAAAGTGAGGTGCATGGAATTATATAGGATTTGAGGAATTACAATGAACGTAAAAGAAAATAAAGGAAAGGAATATTTTTACAGGCGTAGTATTATTATTTGGCGGGAAACCGGCGAAATTTGACTTTGGTGGCTTGCATACAGTGTCCCTCGAATAAGAGGCTGCAACCAAATCTTATAGTTTTCCATAATGCAAGAGCAAGCCGCCCGCATCCCCATTGGGCCAGCTGAAAAGTAAAAAGAAATTAGATACGACAATAATTTGCGACCAAGCGCTCCTTCTTCACGAAAACGTGGGATGCACTTGCCCAGAGCCAACATTGTTTGGGACAGGCTCAAGTTCCCTACACAAGGTGATCGCTGATTGGTTCCGAGAGATATCCGAGTCATGGGTCTCTAGCCGACCCCTCGGGCCGTGACCTTACCAACAGGAATTGATCGACGCTACGTGCGTTTCGTTCTTTCCATTATTGGGCGATAATTTTGCACCGGGGTGCCGCGGCTTCTCCCGAATGCAAGACGCCTGCATGAACTCTTGGATAAGCGCCTTGCTTGTACCTTTTGTATTCATAAAGCCTGAATACCTAGGTACATACTTATAAGTAGCGAAGTACTTGGGGCCGCCAACATGTAAAAATTCTTTACAGCTCCGGGTTCGAATCCCGGGGTTAACACATGTCCTTTTTTTTTTCTCCTTTCGTCAACATCGGAGATATTTATCCAACCACACTATCGCTCATATCTGCGAAAGCTTAGACCAATTCTATCTGGTGTTAGACCCTAAGAAATCTTACAATCACAAAATCTCAATAGGCTCCTTTCATCCAATAAATGCTACTCTTCATCCTATTTAGATGGCCTATTTGGGATTACGTCCATCTGTACAATGTCCAGTGCTAGCAGGTTGGTGTTTGATAACTTGTTAAGTAAATCACGTGCGGGCCAATGAGTGTGTATAGAGATCCTAATCATGAAGACGTGTACGTCCTACCGCTATCGGTTGCGTGCAAAATATATGAGTCCCCTTCACACTGTGAATAATTGTCTGACTGGGCAGGCATATACTGCAAAGGAAGAAAAAAAACTATTTAACCGTGCATTTCTCATCTCATGCGCTGTAAGATACTTACTTATACCAAACAACCATCCTAACTTGATATATGATTTTTCCACAGTCTAAAGTGATTTGTGTACGGGCACCGTAGATATGGTAGTGGCCTAAGAAAGAATCCTCTGTTGTAAAGGTCGTTTGCCCTGTCGCTTGCTCTATTTTTTCGACTTCCTGGCGAAATACTGGTCCCCGTACAGTACTGCCAAACAGGGGAAAAAAAATATGAACGAGGTACCCAAACCACTCGTATTTTTTCTGAACAGTAAAGGTCCTCATCCGCCACATATAAATCTCGACCGTCACATCTCGAGGAACACACCGAACGAACCAATCCACCGATCTCTCAAACTCGGATCCCTCAAAATCGTCCGAATAAATTCATCGACAACCAGAGAAAAACTCCCGCAAACACACTTGCAAGAAAAACAACCTTCATCATGGCACCAACCATAGATAACAACAACCGTACCTCAGACGGCAAAGCCAATCCCACTCCGCAACCGACCGACAAACAGATACGACCGCGCCCCCAGCCCGTTTGCTACCACTGCTCTTGCAAATGCTCCAAGGGCCTCGAGAAACATCTTATGATGAGCGACGATTGCCACCAGATCCATGGCAACCCGAAAAGATGGATATGCGGTGGATGCTATGATCGTGTGCGGATGAGTACGGGAGACTGCTGCTAAGCGACATGTCCTCTTACGAATGGACTCTCGGATATATACACCAAGATGGCTGATTCCATTGGAATTGGAATGCTTCCCGAGTTCTGGAGATGTGGTCTTCGGCGCTCGACTACTCATAGTATATACGTTCTCATATTCGGCAGCAAATAAAGTCAACACCAATTCCTAAAACCAAGATGCCGAGGCATCCATACTTAATCATTGCTGTTGTCTACAAAAAACGCGTGTTCGCATGGTATCTTAGCGCCCAGGTATCTTCTTGAACGCGTAAAGATAACGATTAGTAATTAAATAAATTTAGAAAAAAGCGTTTTAAATGTAAGTAATGTATAAAACTAGCAAATTTTGGTGATATAATGATTGATAGAGTGTGCGGAGCCGCAAGTTGAATCTAGCCCCTTACCCCTGAATTTCTACTCCACGCTTAGCCCACCGTGGTCTCGGAATGCAACACTCCGCAATTCGCGGCGCCAATGGCCCGACAATACGGGATTTCAATAGTCCTGTATAATAAATATAGCAATGGCAGAAACTCCAATTATTCTAACATTCGGAAACCATAAATATGAGCATGAGCTGCTCATGACGAGGAATGTTGCGATTCTAACTCCAGGCCCCACCCACGCTTGCCGGACTTGATAGAGTTAACGACATGTATTCAATACTCCGCTCAGCCATTACCTGGCTCCTAGCCACATCTCCAATTTTAGCAATCGGCGCTTCTCTTCAGCAGGTAACCGAGGATATTGGCCCAAACCCAAGAAAAGTCGGGTTCTACATCTACGTGCCTGACAAACTAGCCGCCAAACCTCCAATTCTGGTTAATCCCCATTGGTGTCACGGCGACGCGAAAGCCTGCTACTCGGGTTCACAATACGCAACGCTGGCTAGTAAATATGGGTTCATCGTGATCTACCCCGATAGCCCGAACACGGCTGATAAATGCTGGGATGTATCTTCAAACGACACCTTGACGCATGATGCGGGAGGAGACAGTCTCGGAATCGCGAGTATGGTGCGTTGGACATTGAAGAAATATAATGGCGATTCAAGTCGTGTATTCGTCACTGGTGTTTCATCTGGTGCTATGATGACTAGTGTGTTACTCGGCGCATACCCCGACTTATTCGCCGCCGGATCTGCATTCTCCGGGGTACCATACGGGTGTTTCGCGGGGAATGGCTACGGAGTCTGGAGTGATGCCTGCGCTACTGGAAAGGTCAAGAAAACCGGAGCTGAATGGGCTGCGCTGGTTAAAGCCGGCTATCCAGACTACACGGGATGGCGACCCAAGGTCCAAATTTTCCACGGCACGAACGATGAGGTGCTCAACTATACAGACTTCGAAGAAGAGATTAAAGAGTGGACTTCGGTGTTTGGATTTAGTGAAACGCCAACGAACTCCACGCCTAATACACCGGTCAGTGGATGGACAAGAACTGTCTATGGTGACGACAATTGGTTCCAGGCGTATAGCGCTGCGGGGGTTTCGCATAATATCCAGAACCAAGAAAATACCGCTATGGAATGGTTTGATCTCACTTGCACGAGTGATGATTGCTTCAAATGGGGACAAGGAGGTGCACCTTAGTATGTTATCGTATCTTTTCATTGATATCCTTTTTTTCGGTATAGTACCAAAATCGCCCTCGTGGAAAAAATGGTAGATTGAGCATCCTCCGAATATCTTGGGTCACCCTCGCGTGTTTGACTGTCTCATTGACTTAATGCATTAAACGATGGTGACGCCATGGGCCACTGGATGTATTGTATATAGTACATAGTGCGTTTCCGTTTCTTCAGGACTTTCAATTGCTCCTACTTCCTTGACCTCCGAGAGTGGATTGTACGGATCCGCCGATACTACCTTCGGAGGTAAATTGCTTCCCGATCATGCCTTCTTTATCTAACGGTCCGCCGACCTTCTGCGCCGTACCACCGATAGCGCCGCCCTCTAAGTGATATTGCGTTAAACCTCGATTGGATCGATGCTAGTGAATTTGACATGAGAACATACCGGTAAATTGCTTTCCAATCGAGCCCTGGGCGTCGAACATCTTGGGCTTATCCTCACCAATACCCGCAGTAGCAGGGGTTTTGACCTGTGAGGACATTCCTGTGGATGTCTTGGATCCAGTGTTGGAGCTTCCGTGCGAAGACATATTGATATGTTGCGAAACTTGATATAATTATTAATTGAGATAGTTGGGATAGAAACGGAAGTCGATGTAGATATTAAAGAAATCCTATTTAGCTATGTGTATTGTTTAAGTAAGATATGGGAATATGAAATTTGGTTAGGACGTGACGCGACGATGGTAGATCTATGAGGTCATAATTTCGGTTTCCCCTGATCAGGCATGTCACCACTCCCGCCTTCGGCCACAATACGGAGTACTAACTCCGTGATCCAACAAAGTTTGTATGAAAATTTATCGGTTGCGTCCAATTTCCTAGGCTAACAGATCTTTTATATATATTTTCGAGTAGTTTGAAGTTGTGGTATGTTTGGCTGTATGGGTACATACCTAGGTAGGTAGTCATTCGCATTTAAGATTACGTAATAAAAGCACAAAATAGGAGCGTATTAATCAACTCCCCGAGTAGTCGGGATTTATGGTTAGCCTTTTTTGAAGCAAATTGATTCTGATTCTACCTCTAATGAAGCTGGACGAAGCATTTCGTCAGGTAGGTGACTGGCCAGGGGGTTAATATGGGGCGTGAGTTTTGAAGCTATTCCAACGGTCCGCCGCCCGGACGGCCGAAGTAAATGAAGCTTACGAATGGAAGCTCCACGGAGCTGAAATATGGACAGGATGTTCCGTGGGGAATGTATCTGAATCTGTTAAGTCCGCGGTTTTAACTGGCAAAATCCGATAATGACCTATTCGCCGATAAAAAACGTAGATATAAAGGACGAGTAGTCTCAGAAGGCTGAATCAATACGGAGTAAAGCCGCTGTGCATCCACGAACCATAACTGACGCAGAGCTTATCCAACCCGTCACACAGAATGCCACCTCCAAGAGGAACACCTAACCCGTTAGAGGGCCCAGGAAAGTGTAGAAAATCTATTGTGGTTCTCCGGTGCTAATACGTCGTAGGGGACTATGACGTGACTTCTGTAGTCCATAATGATACTTATCCCGCAATCGATCCGACTAAGATGGACTTCAAAGGCAAAGCTGTCTTCATTAACGGTGCTTCGAGGGGCTTAGGTAGATCAATGTCTGTCTCGTTTGCTAAAGCCGGCGCGTCGATGATCGCGCTCGGTGCTCGGTCGGATCTTTCCGTCACTATCGCCGAAATGAAAGCAGCTGTTTCAAGCTTGGGGAGGCCAGACCCACAAATCCTGCCCATCAATTTCGACGTAACAGATCGCAAGAGCGTCGAGGAAGCAGCAGCCCAAGTCGAGAAGAATTTTGGACGGATCGATATTATAATTAATAACTCTGGCAAGTTCGAATGGGCCACGATCCTAGAAAGCGACCCCGATGAATGGTGGAAGACGTTCAAAGTCAACCTCGGATGTTACTTGGTCGCACACGCCTTCGTTCCCCTGATGCTGAAGGGAGGTAACAAGACCATAGTCACCGTGAGCAGCGTTGGTGCTCATCTTAAGATCCCGGGACTTAATGCATATCAAATCTCTAAGATGGCGGTTCTACGTCTTTCTGAGTTCATCGTAGAGGAATACGGCGATAAGGGTGTATTGGCATACTGCATACACCCGGGGAATATCGTAACGGAGCTACTCGCCGGCGGATTGGACTCTCTTGATCCAATTTATAGGCCAGGTAAGATTTCCCTGCATTGTTTCGGATATGAGTTAACGAAATTGTCACTCGTGATAGTGTTCACCGAGACGGCCGAATTAAGCGCGGATTCGCTGGTTTATCTGACATCGCAGAAACGAGACTGGCTGGGTGGTCGGTATATTAATGTGACATGGGATCTACCAGAGTTGATGGATAAGAAGGACGAGATTGTACAAGGTGACAAACTGAAAATAAAATTAGTGATTTAGATCGAGTCAAGATGGTCAATGTTCACGTTACTTCAAGGGTCTGGAAAGTTCACCGAAGGAACCTAAAAAGAGGGGGGTTGGTCATGGATAATCGGCAACGAGCACCCCTCACTAGATCATGATAGGCTTAGCTTCGTCAATCATTTCTCCAGCGGAGTATCTCCTGTATCAGCTCAGCCCCACCCTTTCTGCGGTGACAGGTGAAATCAACCAATTAATTATTTCCCCTCATAGGGCTGAGAAAGGGGCTTGGCTGATCTCAGATGACCCCCCTTTTTAGTCCTTCCAATTACATAAGCTCACTTTTTCTTCCCAACTCAACTTCCTCACAGAACTATTCTTCTTGTTCTTCATCTTTCTCCTTAATACCTAAATATTTATCTTATTATTTACTTACCAGCTACCTTTAAAGATGACAGAATCACTTATATCCCGATTCGCAAAGCTAAATCCTCTGAAATTAACCGGGGTGTACGACGAAGATTTCGGAGAGGAAATTGATGACACAACCATCGCGGGAGGTGGACACGGGGCGAGGCGAACCGATATTACCAAGGGCCACTTACGGGTTAGCCATGCATTGAAGTCATACCTTGTCAAGAATCATATACTCTCCGAAGAAGATGTCGGTTTAGACTCGGAACAGCCTAGCTATGCGTTACGTGCTCTGCTTGATAAATCGCATATCAATGTTCCTCCCGAAGTCACAGATAGATCTTACCCCCTACCAGAATATTTCATCTCTTCTAGTCATAATACATACCTCTTAGGTCATCAGCTTACTGGAAAATCCTCCGCAACCGCATACGAGACTGCACTAAACACTGGATCCCGATGTGTGGAGATTGACGCTTGGGACGATGAAGAACATGCGGATGAACCAAAGGTCACTCACGGATACACTCTTGTGTCACATATCCCGTTCCGTTCTGTCTGTGAGACGATTCGCGATGTCATCGATAGGGAAGCAGCACAATCCGTCAATGAACAAGGGTACCGAGCAGCTCCAATCATGTTATCTTTAGAAAATCACTGCAATGCCCACGGCCAACGGAGACTCGTCGAGATTATGAAAGAAATCTGGGGTGATCGCTTATTAAGCAAAGCTGTCCGGATTAAGGGTCACCAAGAACAGCGAGGCGATAGTGACCCAGTCACATTAGCAGAACTCGGATCAAAAATAGTCGTCATCGTCGAGTACCATCTACCCGAAGAAGCAGACTCTAGCGAAGAGGATAATGGGTCTAATAACGAAGACGAAGAGGAGAGACAGGCGCGAGAGGCTTACAGAGCCAAGAAGAAGGCGGCTGCTTCTGGTGCTATAGTTCCGGAGCTCGCGGAGTTAGGTGTCTATGCTCAATCCGTAAAGCCAAGGGATAATTCGTGGTTCGAGGGTGTTCTCAAAGATGGCCCGCATAACCACCTGATCAATGTATCCGAAACCGGACTTGCGTCACATATGCCAGCAGCGAACGAGAAAATCGCCGAGCACAATTCGCGTCATCTAATGCGTGTCTTTCCTAAAGGAACAAGAATCTCGTCAAATAATCTCAAGCAAGTGCCCTTTTGGGGCATCGGTGCGCAGATTTGTGCCATGAACTGGCAAACCTTCAACGCCAGCATGCAAATCAACGAAGCATTATTTAGCGGTACAGATGGTTACGTCTTGAAGCCAGCGGCATTGAGAGCAGGCGGTAACATGAACCTTAGCACAGGTAGAAAGAAGAGACTGTCATTACATGTCGCAGGTGCTTCAGACGTGCCTGTCCCGGAGGGCAAAGAAGCAGATGAAATCAAGCCTTACGTTACCTGCACGCTTGTACACACCGACGAGTTGGGAGGTAACCACCCCAAGCGGAAGACAGACCCTTATAAGCAGCATAGACTCGGTTTCTTGCACCGTGGCGAGAACCCGCCGCCAACGGATCCGATCTGGGACGAGAACTTAGTGTGGGAATATGAAGAAAATGAGCTGACGTTCCTCCGTATACTCATCAAGGACGATGTTAGCTTTGCGGAAAATCCTGTCTTCGCGGTAGCTGCTGTGCGGCTTCTGTATGTTGTTCCCGGCTGGAGTTTTATTCGCATGTTGGACTTGAAAGGGCGGGAGACGAAGTGTTCGTTATTGGTGAAGTTCCATATTGAAGATGCTTGAGGCGAGATACGAGATGGTGCCTTGGAAGACGATCTTTAATTGGCTTATTCAAGCCAAATTCATTGTGTACTAGCACATATCCCTATCAAGGGCAACATAAATATCGGATATACCTACGTTATCATTACAGAAGTTCGTTATCTACCCAATTATGCTTATGTTGATTACAGCGGATCCAACAAAAATAATTATTCCTAATCGCAAACTAACAACTTACTAGGTGGTATCATTAAGTCCTTATCACGGTGCATTTTTCTGGTTGGGTTAGGTTTATGACTTTATTCATTGACAGAAACCCCGGATCCTAGCCAGCGCGTACTAGAGAGGTCTATAGAAATGAGGACTTCATTTATAACTAACATGGCGATGCAACTTCGTGTATGTACCAGGGCACCAAGAGACCCAATACCTGAAAATTACTCTATCATTGCATCACCCTTCCTTCCCATCATCTTGATACCGTGTGCCTATAATATGACACTTCCGCCCGGCCCAATCCCGTGGCATCATGATCAATCTATCGCTCCACCTACGATACGCTACGTCGGAGGAGAGCGCGGTCCTCCAAAGCGTTAGTTAAATTGTGAATTAGCGCGCGCGTGCTGGAAGAGGTGTCTCGATCGCAGATAATGCAGATGACATCCTCTAGATCATCTACACTAAGCTGTTCGAGGTAAATCCCCAATCCCTCGCCAGCCTGCTGGATTGTAGCGTTGCCTCCCGTTCCCAACCACTTGTTCCGTACAATCTCGAAGACTCGGTTATACGTCCCTCCGCGATCCTGGATAACGGAACTAAGACAGACCGAGAGGATTATCTGGCGTAACTCGGCTCCGGTGAGGCAGTCGATGTGTTCTCGAATGCGCGCGAGGTAGTTTGCGTACGGGCATTGGGGACGTCCACTATAGTCAAATTAATTAGCGGGGTACTGTGAAATGTATGGAACAAGTGAGAGCTCTTACCCGTTGTAGGGCGTTACGGGCCGGGAAAACGCGCTCCGGGCTGAGCCAGGAGTCGAATAATTGCCGGTACACGGCGACGGGGGAATCATCGGAGGCCCAAGGGTGGGACAGCGCCCCGGAGGGGGGCCGGAGGGGACGCGCACAGGATCCCAGAAAGAATCCGGGATGAAGCCCCCCATGATGAAGGGGCTTTGGCCTGGACCGTAGCTCATGTTGACCAGGTTTTTTTCGTGGATAGTAAAGAAAGTGTTGAAGACGGTTGGTCCGAAAGTATTGGCGGTACTATGATCGAGGTACTCGATGAACTCACGACCAATTGTTGGAAGAGGTAGCAGAGTGTAGAACCCAAGGACGAGGAAATGGTTGGGAGAGAGGAAGGAGATGAGAAATATAGCTGGAATTATATGGATTTATATAGAAAATACCTGTACAGCGGTTAGGTGGCAGACCCGGTACGCGGTAGCCCAGTGCGAGTGGTTTTGCACTCCAAACACAACGTTAAGGAAAGAGCAGGAGCTCGTAATTGGAAAGAATTACAACTTAAAATTGGGTTTACCATGAGGTCAACTGCAAGGCTAAGCCACGCATCTGGTGTCTGCTGGGAGTTTGCAACTTTTTACTGTAGAAAACACCTAAAAACTTTTACATACACGGAGAACCCACTATCGCGACTGCCTCAAGCTATACAACAAAAGGGGTTATCTGTGGGGCAAGTATGCACAGACCACACACAGACCGTGCGTTGATACTGTTCGCTTCTGTAGTATTACATAACTGGTCTATCACACAGTGGCATGGCGGAAAAAAATGCCTAGAGTAGCATAGGACTAGAGCTAGAAGCAATTACACTGTATCTTGAGGGAGAACTCCGCCATAAAGCTGACTAAACATCCCCTCGGCGTAATAGAATACTATTAACGCGAGCTATCAGGGGTATCAAGACTGACAAGTCCGGAGATCACCACGCTTTAATAGACACTTATAGATAGAAAAGTTTAAACAGACAGCCTTGTGTATAGATCACCTAAGATTTTATAATTGATAATAATCTTTTTTTCGTTGTATTAACTATTATGCGGTGCGACTCCTACGTAGAAACAATTTTATAGCCACGACCTGAATCCTCCTCCCCTTTCACAAGTCGTAAGACTCTCAATCGAAAAGAAAGCACCATCGATAATACCACTCCATCTGAGGTCGGATCAGAACCCCCCATTAACTCCCTGGGCCTTCGTACGAACTCATAAAATCAAAGACATCCTCAGTTCACGACCCTTAGCACCGTCCATATACCCCCTAACACAGCGAACGGCAAATCTCCTTTCGAGTCTCGCTAGCCTGGACCAAGCGTCGAACGGTGTCTCTCGTCAGGGTCGAGGTGTCCTTCTCGCAGATCTTAACCACGAAACCTTCGAGCTCAGCAGGAGGAAAGTGCAACAAATGGATAGCAAGGCCATGTCCGAGGTTCTGAATGGTGATTCCCTGCTCCTCTTCCTTATCCCTGATGTAGGCGAAGAATCTGTTGAAGGTGTTGCTGTTAGACATCGTCTTCGAATTCAGGCATACAGCGAGGATAATCTCTCGAAGCTCAGGGCCGCTGAGATTGGGGAGGCTCTGGCGGAGTATTCGCATGTATGTGTCCTCCGTTTCTTCGGGTTTGTTGTCAACTGGCTTAACAGATTGCTCTGTAGAATTGGCCATGGACTGCGGGTTATGTCTGCAGGGATGTTAGAACTGAATTCAGCAAAAAAGCACAGGGGGCGATGCGAGGAGCGGAAGCCCGTACCCGAACGTGTTTCCCTGCGAATACGGAGCTTGGTAGATAGGCCAGTAAGGCGGTGCTCCGTAAGGCATCGAGCCCTGATAGGTTGGATAGTTCAAATGAACGGCTTGGACGCCGCCGGTTGGCTGGGTGCCATTTCCTGGAGTGGCTGGTCGCATTCTGTTCCAGAGGGGACTGGGCATAATAATTAATTTTTCGGAGGGCCAAAGACTTCTGATAAGATTTGGAAAGGTGATTTCGTGCTATGCTTCCGAGGGAAACTGCAAAGAATGTACTCCAATATGTAAGAAGAAGGAACGAAAAAGAAATGAAAGAGGGTTGACTTTTATAGAAAAAAGGTTGTGCTTGCTCACAATGCATAGGCCTCTTTCTATATCTACAATAAGACTAGGAAACGGCGCTTCTCCTAGTACGGCGCACCCGGGGGACCAAACACGCCGGAGTCGAAGGCGCGTTGGTGTTGTGCTGCTCCGTGCTTTCCGCGCGTTTGCCCGTAGGTCCCTTTGATCTATGCCCCGAACGTGGCTGCCAACGGAATGCCGACCTGTGAGCCTAGCAAACACGGCGGAACAGCAGGGTCCATCTTCGCACAAACTTTATTTAGTACAATAGCGACAAGGAAATTGACACTACACTATCGGAAAAAAACAAAACATTTTTTTCTTATGAGGTGATCTAATCACTCCTTCAGCATTGCTTCAACAATGCCGTCTGCATCTTCCTGTGGGGGCAGCCAGAATTTTACCACCTCTAGGCCAGCCTCCTCCAATAGCTCCTTCCATTGTCTTTGAGTCCTTTCCATGCCCGAGTTGAACGCCATCATTGTCATGTCAAGCATAGCATGAAAAACTGGGGCACCTTGCTCCGCTAAGATCATTTCATGCAACAGTAGCTTGGAATAGCCTGGTTTTATGGCTTTCTTGACATTCTTGAGAATTTCAAGACACTTGTAGTTGGACCAATCGTGTAGGATATGGTGGAAAAAATACGATCTCGCCCCTACAGAAATGTGAGCACAGACCAAAAAAACATAGATAGGGGCACTCACCCTTTACCGGTTGTTCACTAAAGAAATCATAGGTCATGAGCTCAATATCTGGGTCAATTCCCTGTATATTATCGATTACAGGTGCGATATCCTGGAGAATCAGACGCCCCTCATGGTTCGGGTACTTTTCGCGAAATGCGATTAAGTCGTGCCCCTTTCCTGCTCCAACATCAACGAGTAGCGGCGTTTCGGCATTAATTTCGTTGAGAAGTTGCTCCTCAATCGGATACCAATCTACCCAGTAATTTCTGGCCCCTAAGGTATTACCCATGAATAAATTGAAGTCGTTCAAAACGCGCGGCATACTATTAAACAGACCGAAAACGTTGAATTTTGTCTGAAAGGCGTACTGCATGAAGCCGTCGTGAGGGTCAGTTGGACAACGATAACCAACTTCTTCAAGATATTTAGGTCCCTTGGTAGCTGCTCCGATTATCATTTCACCACTTCACCAAAATTAGCGTAAATACTAGACATGCATATCTGCTTGCGGACCGACCGGCGTATAGAAAGATATAGAAGCTCCCCACAATGGAGGATCATTGGGGAATAAAACGTCATCACTCACATCATCCTATGCCCTGCAGCTATTTCATCTGTCGCCATAGCATTGGTGATAGGTGTCGCTTTCCACTTACGCTCGCCAACCTCTTCAACGAATCCTATTGCGGATAGTGGTCTAAGGACTCGAACTTCCTCGAGACATCAGTATTGTTATTATGGTGTAGGTATCTATAGAGGAATAGGGGGCTTACTGATCAACAACTCCTCTCCGCCTGACAGTGAAGCTAGCTCCTCAGAGGTGACCGCATCGCCATAGTTGACAACGTGTTTGAAGAGGCCGAGACCCACAGCAATTCTTGCGGCAATGGTTATAAAAGGCTTTTGCCCTGTAAGCCTAAGTCACTGATGAGGTGAAGGAGGTATTAAGGAACTTACAGCAAAAGCTAAACCTACGGCAGCATCCCCGGGTTGTTCTAGTGAAGCAGTGACTTTTCGGCTTAACTCTAAAGCTTCCTTCCTGGCAGTTTGGTCGCCACTGGATAACTTGGGAGAAGCAACGCTCAGCTGTTCAATGAGAGTAACAGCTTGGCTGACGTCCGCGTTTATTAAGCTCATATTTCTCAAGAACCAAAGTATTCGAATAAACTGTAGTGCAATGGTACTACAATATGCTATGAGTTGGTAGCTTTTATGCTGCTAACTGCTAAGTATGTTGGTTGCGCATCGAACCTGTTGGCGCAGCATTTTCGTAATGTCAGTTTAGGGCAAATATTTTATTTGCCACCCCCTAGTTAATATCGACTGCAAGCTGACCTTATCTCGTAGCTTTTACCTAATATCTTTCAACTTCGTATACCCTACCTATCTCCACCAGCCACAATCATAGAGCAGACTTTAAAGAGTAGATCCTTGTTTCATACTCGTACCCCTGAGCGGGCGTTAAACTCTGATTAGTATAGCATCATCGATCATGGACGACGTTTTATATCGTTGGACAATATTGAGGCTGCATATGTGTATATTTATGTCAACTTTGCTTATAACGGCAATGTGAGATGCTTGGATGTTCCTGGAAGGGATTTGCATACCTACCTAATGTATATTAGACTGCGGACTTCGAGGTAAGTTAAGGGGGGTTTCCAACTGATGATTGTGCTTTCTCGTATTAATCAATTATATTATCCCTTGCGTGTACACGTAGGTAGGGAAATACTCAGCCACAAACGACAATAGGATCCTTTTTTCAACGTACGGCATTGCTGATACTGAATATATATATATTCTACATTCCCTTATGTCCGGATAGACTTGGTAATTTCCAGTTTCTCCGATATGCTACAAGGCACGCTATCATTTGGTACCTTGCCCCTTGTTCGTTGAACTAGCGGACTGTGTTAATAGTCATAGAGCACACGGTACGCAATTGTTTCATTGAATGAAATTCACTGATTTGGCTTTTTACGGGGTATAATGCGAGTACCGCTATTTGCGGACAGGAGTTTCGGTCAAGGTCGGCTTGTCAAGTCGTTTCACTCGTCTCGTAGACGAAAATGTCTCGCATCAATTGGATCCTGACCGATATTTCGAGCGTTAAAAATTGATGTTAGGAGTAGAAATTGAAAGATTAAGGGTTACGTAATTTTACTCTTAAGACACCTTAGGTAAGCAATATTACTGACTAAGCTTCACATGTCCTGAAATTCGAGTTTATTAGGTAAGGACATGCTTACATAACATACTAATAAATATTGCATGCTTTGAGGGGAGCTGGCATGTTGAAGAACACTGGAAAATTTAATGATAATCGTTGAAATTGTTATTGACAGGGTATCTCTTTTATTATACATATATGCTACAAGCTGTTTAGACGTAAACAGATTACTTTTCTGCTTCCAGCTTCGCCGGAATGAGGTGTTGAGCCATGCTGATGGCACCCTCCATATCATTTTTGTTAAATAAGAAGAGACCTTGGATAGCAGCAGTACTCGTGCGTGGTAACGACTCTCCATCTTTTGCCTCTCGGAAAAGATCGAGTTCCTCGAGCCGCTGAAGAAATCTGTCTCGATGGATGCCTTCGGTATCAATGTCGCCGTAGAACCTGTCCCACATCTGGGCGGCCTGATATTTGGTAGCTTCCCCTATGCGAACCGTCATGTCGACTCGGCCTGGTCTTATCAGCGCCGGGTCTAACAATTCGACATGATTCGTTGTGAGGAATGCGATCCGCTCCTCTCCAGCAGATAAGCCATCAAGAGCATTCAATAAACCCGAAAATGTGACTGTGCCGCCGCTATATCCATCTGAATCTCGTTTTCTACGGTTGACGAATGCAGAGTCGGCGTCTTCCAAGAGAAGAATAGTTCGCTCGGGTAGCTTTGTGAGGAGGAAAGCAAGCTTGTCATCCGTTACTCCGATTTCGCTGAGGTTAACCATAGCCACACTGAAGTCTAGCTCACCAGCTAGAGCCTGGATGAAAGAACTCTTCCCGCTACCTGGTGGTCCGTATAGAAGATAACCTCTACGGTATGGGATTCCGCGGTTGACATACCACTGTCGTCGCGCGAGGAAATCTTTGGCATCATTAACAATATCTTCTTTAACTCCTTTATCCAAAATAACGCTACCCAACGGTCGCTTCCTTCGAGGCTCGCCCAGCGGAACCCAATCAAAGTTTCTTACAGAGTATACCACGGTCTTTCCTTCGTTCGCTTGGAGTGCAAGAGCTCGTGCTTCGGCGAAGACATCTTCGAAAATGTGACGGTGCGCATATAGAGTCGTAAGTTCTACCGTTTCGTGGGGTTCGCCGGTGTTGGTCTTAGCAGTTGCCTGCTTCTCCCTATTTACAGATATATACGCATGCTTGTATTTCACGATATGGCGGCCATATCCAGGCTGAAGAAAAAAGCTCGCCCTCGTAGGGCCGTTCGGAGTAGAGCTCGTGGCCGTCGTAACGGATAGTTTATTGATGCGGGTTAATCTTCTTGCAATTAGGGATGTTTGTTCGCGGGGTTGTGATAGCCAAGCAAGGATCCAAGGGTAGGACGGGTCTTGTCTGCTAATTTCGACATTCACGAGCATGCGACGTCGGATCATGGACGCCGTAGTGAGTACCCCTCGGCGCGCAAATGCCAGGACAGCGCCGAGGGAGGCAAGGCCGAAGCCTCCGGCGAAGACGGGGTTTTCCAGCAGCGCATTGAAGTTTAGAAGCGGCTGCGTGGTGGCGGGTTCCGGCATGACGATGTTGAGAAGTCTGAAGTGGGATCGACAACCTTTTTATTTTTTAAATTGAACGAATTTGTTCACGAATTTGAAAAATAATGATGACTAATCAGGCAAAGTGGGACAAATAGATTACCTAATTAATCCAAAATAAGTTCAGTGTTATCTAAGCAATTACGTAAGTACACCGATTTTGGTTTAAATATGTCAGTGTATGAGGTCATTGAAGTGGAATTGTCACCATGACGACTTTGACACATTTATATAATGATTATATCAAGAATATGAATCCATGGCCCTGAATATTCATAATCATAACGTTGTTCTCTTGCGACCTACAACTTGTGCAGATTGCTAGACCAAATTGAATCCATATCGTTTAACCTAGATCTTCGACAGAAACAAGTCAAAGTCAAGATGTCTTCAGGTACCCAAGACGCGAAGCAGAAATTCATGAGCAGTGTCGAACAGACTAGGGCCCCTGTTGATGGTACTCCTCTTAGACCACTCCCCAAACTCGTAACTGACATCACCCAGATAAAACGAAGCAGGCTGGCCAACCGGCTTCAGGAGGCGACAACCCCAAAGCTGGAGGATCCTCTTTAAGGTCAATCGCAAAGGGCGATACGAATTCGTCTAACTACGACCCAGCTAAAGGTCCATCCACCTGAGCTCGTTAGAAATCGAGCTGTGAGATTATGCCATCGCCATCACGAAGACTCTCGCTGACTAACAGTATCTTGTCTTACCTAATGCTGCTTAGATATTATGTAATCTCAGGGGCTTTACGATGACATAAGCATATATATCTTACATAATCGCAAGCTGTATATGATGGGAGTTTTTAAATTCATCCTTTTATGTGGTGATATTCACAGTAATCTCTATGGGATTGTTATATAATCTCAAAGGAGTTCATAATGCAATGTGTAGAAATGCAGATCCCTGCAGTGGTCGATTCCAGTTCTAAAGAGTCCTAGTCAAATTATTTCGCCTACTATCTCTTCTGGTCAAGGTTCATACTTTTGGATCTGGCCGCCCCACCGAGAACCTACATCGAAGCCCATATTATCGAACGCCTCTACGAGTTTTTTTTTTTTTTATTTTTTTTTATGGAGATACTGACTTGTTATAGAACATTCAGTATAGGCCTCAAGTTAACGAATTGCAGCCAAAGGCGTTACTTCACTGATATTTTCCACGCCTTCTCCAGACAATTGCATTAATCTCTTGACCATATGCCACAACGTACAGATTGACTTACTTTCAAGGCTGCGCTTTGTGTAGTGGGACAACATGAGGATACGTACCTGATTAGGGAGGAAGTGCTGGAAAATGTGAAGCTGACTATCACGTGTCAGCAACAATCTACCAAAGCTATTTCATGGTTACAATACTATTCGAATTCAATATATTCCCGTAGTACAGAGGTACCAAGTACTCATCAAGACGTTTAGCATTCTCAAATTTGCTCTTAGGTGTAACTCCATATACCCGAGCCCCTGTATTGAAGCTTTGAATTGTTAACAACGCCACACTGCTAACTACCATCTTCACCCCTTTAGATCAGAATGTAGGTCCCATGATTAGTATTTATTGATGTCCTCGTATATCCTGGCTCCCAAAGTAATGAAACCACGCAGAGTTGTCACACCATCTACGGCAGGATCACGGCGGCTCTTCGGTTTCATATGGGTGACTAGAGGCTTTCGACAGAAGCAAAATTCATATACAACCCATTATTCGCTTGCATTTAGACCAACCCGTGCCTGGGGTGCATACATCTATTTATCTGCGTTCAAGACGTCATCATCAAAATTTGGAATTATCGACCAGGCTACCCGATTCAAAGCGAGTCCAATATTTACAGACTCCCAGTCAGTTCTTTGCCCCAAGCCAATACATAGGACCGGGACATGGGTATGTGGAAAACATCCGGCGCTAGAACGTATTTACCGGAGTAGAATACATTATTTCCTAATTCATCCTTGCCGCTCAGGTATACCAGGCCATGTAGACTTCGATGTTGCCTTCCGGGTTGCCTCTGTACAGCCCTAACCAATCAATGTGACCCTAAAGGTTGGACTGATCCTATTCGGGCAAAACGGGCTCGGGCTAGGTGACAGCGGGTAGCATTGAGTGTTCAAGTAGGACTGAAACTCGACCAGAGTTAGGTTATAATTATTGATCTCCTAGAGTGTCCCGTTCATCAAGTTTACTCTCTTCTATACGCGGACTATAGGTATTGCTGCCTTTTTAACATTTCTTATAAAAATTCATAAACTTTTGGTAGAAATTTGTGTTTCATAAATATACGGGAAATCAATTTACCGTAATGCTAACATGTCCTTTTCGTGGATCTCAAAATCTGTATACGGATCAGGAGTCACGGCCAGGTCCCGGCAAAATTCAATCTGGCTAAATGACAACCACGTTCCACACTTAATCTCAGAACTCTTAACCATTCGATAATGTATTTATAACTCTGTCGGTCTAGAGGACTAGACCCCCTGCACTGCACCCCAGAGGCCGAAAGACCACATGGCTGGGGGATATGCGGGATCGTCGGCAATTGAGATGCTCGGCGTTCAGGAGACGAGCCCATCGACGTGGGATGCGACATATAATCCCCCCAACTATCCCTAACCCGGGATGCACAGAGGTGTTTTGAGGCTCGAGACGATTTGTAGATCAACAACCAAAAATACTGCTAGCTTCTGAAAAAGGTTGTCAACCATCACCATGCAGTTGAGGAATTTCGTACTCCTGGCCGCCGCGGCCAGCGTCGATGCTGCTGCGACTCTTCGATTCTCGTGCTCGCAGCTCGTCGTTGAGCGTCTAGACCCGTAAGTTGACAGGTAACCTTCACTAGAAAGGATTGAAGATTGCTAACATTTGTGGCCAGTCTCGTCAACCCCGGCGAGAACCCGTCCCCCCATCTTCACCAAGTCGTCGGAGGAAATGCCTTCAACGTCTCGATGGACCCCAATGTGCACGACCTGCCCTCGACGGCTACCTGCACATCCTGCACACCAGTTGAGGACTTCTCCAACTACTGGACTGCCGTTCTCTTCTTCAAGTATGCAAAGTATCCCCTTCTTAGGGTTAACCCCTATATACTAACGCACCTGTCAGGGCCCGCAACGGAACTCTCCACCGCGTGAACACCTTCGGAAACGAGCTCGGTTTCACTGGTGCCAAGGGTGGTCAGACAGTCTACTACCTGTCGTCCGGCAAGGTGACAGCATTCAAGCCCGGCTTCCGCATGACAGTCGGCGACCCCAACATCCGCACTGCTGAGGAGCTCAACCGCCGATACAAGTACATGGACTTTACATGCCTTGCTTCTAGCATGACTCGTGGTGGCCAGACCACAAACTTCCCCAAGTCCACTTGCGCTGCCGGCATTATGGTCTCCATCCGGTAAGCACAACCCCTGGCATCTTTTCGAGTTTTGCTAATTGGCAAATTAGATTCCCAACATGCTGGGACGGAAAGAACCTCGACAGCCCCGACCACCAGAGCCACGTCGCCTACCCCAACGGCAATGCTTGCCCATCCACCCACCCGGTCACCATTCCCCGTAAGTGCGCCCAACCCCAATTTCCCGTCGCACAACCACTAACAAAAAGCAGAGGTCTTCTACGAGACGTACTGGGACACGCGCCCCTTTAACAACAAGGCCGAATGGCCCGCTGATGGCAGCCAGCCTTTCGTCTGGTCCTTCGGCGACAAGACCGGCTACGGTATCCACGGTGACTACGTCTTCGGCTGGAAAGGCGACGCCCTCCAGCGCGCCATGGACGCAAACTGTAACTCCGACCTCTTCGCCAACAAGATCAACTGCCCCACGCTCCAGACCCAGTCCCTCGAGCAAGCCAACCAATGCACCAAGCCCAAGACCGTCACCGAGAACCTTGACGGCTGGCTCCAGGAGCTCCCTGGTGGCATGCCCATCTCCTAAGCGATTCGCGATGGGGTATGGGGTTGTTAGGAGTAAGGGATTGCTTTTGCGGATGTGGTAGCGTTAGCATCTTTTTTTATTATCGCATTGATGCATGGCAGTTACTAGAGCTTTATACCTAATAGCCGACTGCTTTTTGTTTATGTAGCTCAATAGAAGATCCTCATTTCCAAACTTCAAGTCTGTCGCGTGGAATACAAACGGTTCGAGCCATAAAATTAAATAGGGAATATCGCCGTAGCGATCACTGTCATTTCGTTTCATTTTCATGCTATGCTTTCTATCGTATGTGGTATCTCATCCCCGCCAACTTAACACCTAATCGCTGTTAAATCCCGAGATCATGCGCCTTCGGACTTAGTCCGTGTTTTCCTAGACCCGGCGCCAAATCCCAACTCCTCGCAAGATATCCGTCGCTAATATGTCAAAATTCCTAGTATATACTCCTCAAGTTCTAAATCATGCAGTATATCATAAATCATATCAATCCCTTCCCCGTATGTGGATTAATCTTCACCGCAGATTGGCTCCCAGAACCCGCATCATCCAGTTTCAGATCCATAAGCGCATCCTCAAACTCATCAGTAGCCACACTCTCGGTGTCATACCCAGCACTGCAAGCCGGACTAGGCGTTCTAAAGCGCATCCCGCCTTCCATTAGGGTTTCATCCGACAGTTGTTCCCGTATAATAGACAAGAAATCGGAAAATGCCTTGACTAGCTTCTCGTCCGCATCGTGTCGCTCGCCAAGAAGCGTCTCAAAATCTCCTGTTGAGTAGTTCATATCGTATTTCAGTTTGAAATGGTTCGTCGTACTTAAAATCATGACGGTTTCTAGATCAGCGTATTGCGCCGTGATCTTAAGAAGATGTGGGCCCTTTAACCGGGGGCAATCGTTGTAGTCCTGCCATCGATCAAGCAATAGTTTTAGTACCTCGTGACTGTTGCACATGATCGCAGTCGTGAGAGGCGTGTGGCCAGCGGTCGAAACTGCGTTGATATCGGCGTTATGCTCAAGTAGTAAAAGCGCAAAGTCGGGTCTATTTATTCGAGCTGCGTGGATCAGCGCTGTGCGTCCATCGACACCACAGGCATCAACCTTGGCACCAAAATCAAGAAGAGTCTTGATGAGAAGAGGATCGGAAGCATTGCGAGCTGCGCAGTTGAGCGGGCTTCCAATTTTGTATCCCGGTGGAAGTTTAACGTCAGTCTCAGCACCAGCTTCGAGAAGAATTCGAGTACAGGCTGTGTGGTTGCGGTCTGCCGAGTAAGCGACAGGCCCCGACCATTGTACATCGATGATATTAGGGTCAGCCCCGAAGTTCAAGAGCGTAACCACAGCATCTTCGTCTCCTCGCGCCGCTGCCCATAATAGCGGGGTACGACCCATAGCATCTTGAGCATTGACTGCTTCGGGGTGCTTCGTCAGCTCCTCAGCAAGGTCTCCGATCATAAGCCCAGTAACCAGTTTATGGATCCGAGGGAAGTTCTGTTCTTCGATCCATTCGCTGTCGCTAGTCATGCATGAGAGAGCTTCTACAGTTTCTCTCGAGAGACCACCTTGTAGGATGATATCACTCGCCTTGTTGCGAGGAGAGTTATCAGTGAGAGCTTTCGGGCTATGAAAGAGATTAGTAACTAGAAATACAATTTTAATATTAGAATAACTAACCGATAATCGGGATCCGCCCCGGCGTAGACAAGGTATTGGCAAGTTCTGTACTGATTGCTATATAAAGCCCACTATATGATAATTAGTATGGGGTATCGTAGGATTGAGTGACGTCATAAACATACACGTAGTAATGAATATCCTCTAGTATCACTAACATCAACGGGGGATGCAAGGCCACGTCTGAATAAACTTTTCAAACCCTCGATATCGCCTTTCATGGCAAATGTGACAGCTTCAGCTGAATCTGGAACACGACGGAGCGTTTTCAATTGAAATTGTGGGCCCGTGTTGGCATTAAATGTTGCTTGGAAACGTAGGATCTGAGACCAGAAAACCCCTGCAGGGAACCAGTACTCTGCTTGGATTTGGGGTTGTTGGCGATTGCGGCACTCGGTGTCGTCGCATTTTGGAGTTACGACTGGAATTCCAGCATATCCGACGAATAGTTGACCAAAAATGCGATCCACGATAGAAGGCGTATTTTTTCGCGACGGGCGGTGGCAGGCACACCTACAACCAGATTGGCAAGTCCTGTTACGATTCGCTACGCGGAAATTGACGGCTTGAAGTTGTCCACTTGGTGCTGAGGAGGGGAGGTCATCGACATGCGCAAATTGAGAGGATGCAGAGGAGCTATGCAGAGGAGGAGGGTGTTTGCTGTATGGTGGCGATGGACCAAGCAGCGCTACTTGGCTTTGTTCATATCGTTCGTGCTGTTGGGCGAGCATGGTTTCGACCCTATCGACCCGCGTATGGACTCTCTCTAGGTATTCAACGATCTTGTTAAGGGTGTCGTCCTGGCGACGCGCGACGAGACTATGTTCAAGGAAATCTTCTGTCAAAAATGTAGTAGATACGTCGATTAATTCTAGATGCATACGTTGCATCTGCCGTCTGTTTTATAGAGTAGATAAGTTAGAATGGGTCCGCGGTAGAAGTAGCATAAATAAGGCAGTTTCTTACGTGTTTGCAGCACCGAGTAAAATGTTGAGATTTGCCTTGACGTGTGTGATATTTTCTTGGATTCCGTTCAGGCGGGGTAGCTCCTTTCGAAAACGCCTCACGCGTGAGAGGCGGGCTGTTTTTGAATTGCCTCCGGCCTGTTGGATCTCGGTCACTAGAGTGCGTAGCTCATCGAGGTAACCTTTAGCGCGACTCACAATCCCAGCGACATCTTCTAAGTTGTAACTCGGATCGGTCTCCTTTTCGGTAGTCAGATGCTTAGCGGTCAAGTCCTCAGTTGGCCGTTCGGGCTTGGCCGAATCCGCAAATGACACATTATCGGTGTTCCCATCATCCCCCTTGCTCTTCTCATTGGCTGAGCCGACAAAACCCGATGCAGGTGCTGCATCAGTCTGTGCCTCCCCTAGCCCTGCTGACAGAGGCAGCTCTGTCTGCCTGATCAAGTCGGCTACGCTTTGCAGTATTAGTTCCAAGTCGGCAATTTCATTATTTAGTGTATGTAACCGTCCAGGCAGTTGACCCATCATACTATGCAAATCCTTAAGATATTTGCCAGTCTGCTGCGCTGCGGTCGCTAATGCGAGGACGCTAGCAGTAACAGACAGTGGATCCATCTTTTTTGCTTTGTTAGCCCACCCGTTACGCGCAACGTTCCACAAAGTTAGGTTAGGTTAAGGCCCGCAGCCGTAGCCGTTCCCGTTGCGTAACAGCGGTAAGTGGGGTAGCCCTATGAGGCAGAATCCACTCACTGTACTGAAGCAGTAATGCGCTGCAAAATAGAGTTTTTAGTGATCCCGGGGACTAGGATCCAGCCTGAAAAGATATGGAATTCCAAGTGGAAACCGCCTAAAGAACTTACTAAAACCAACCTAGGGAACTACCCGAACAACTAATTAGTAGCAGTGCGACTCTATGAGGCTCAAATAAATTTCGACAGTTGAAGTCGTGATATTTCTGTATAGTCAGGAAACCGATCCTCGTCAGACGGGGATAAAACTGCAGCTCTAGGAAGTGCGCTTGTGGTGTTCCCTATCATCTGTGTTAGAAGCCTCTTCTCATAGCAGAGACACCTCACTAAAGAATCCTAGTCTCCTTACCGAATAGTGACTGGCTAACGCTATAGCATCACATACTCTGTGAGTAAAAGGTAGTATTTTAACATGTCGTAAAACTCTAAGACGATATAAATATGCTGCGCAACCTGACGCAAGTGAGACGAGAAGTTGTACAATCGAAACTTATCTGCAGCTCCGCAGATTTTGGCGGGCTCATGAGCACTTATTAATCTGTGAATGGCAAGGCTCTCGGGCTTGCTCGATTGTTTTGCGGTTATAAAAAATGACACATCACATTACTACCCCTCGATACTTATGTATGTCAGACCAGTTTTCTGCGCACCAGGTCGCATGCAAAGATGTGACCATGTTGACTAATTGGATGGACTGATATCACTCGTTCGCCCTGCTTCAGCAACACTCAATCCGCCGTTAACCAATGCGAACCGCTGTCACTGATAATATTTCCGACCCCACGTTGCTTTTTCCTACGTAGTTGCCTAGCCCTTACATATGTACCATGCTTCATCATGTCATTTCTCGGTCGGATTCTTTTGGATTTAACGAAGTTATCTCTTCCTCCCAGAACACCATAACCTCCTGCCGTATCTGCTACTAAAATGAAGTTCGGACGAGATTTCCATGTTCACCAGGTTCCTGCCTGGACTGCAGAGTATATTGATTATAACGGCGTAAAGGAATGGATAAAGTCGAGTAACCCCGAAGACAGGGTGCTCACGGCTGGTAAGGAACCCCGCGCGAGGCTGTGTTGACAACTAACATGAGAATTGTTATAGCCACCTTAGGGCTGCCTCACGTCGAAAATTTCCTCTCGAAGCAGCTTGACGTCGCATCCAAGTGGGCGAAAGATATTACGAATCGATTCGGTATCGACACTACCTCACCTCATTATCCTATACCGGCCGATGTCAGCAGAGTAGAGTTCCTTGATCTCAAACAGTCCCTCCTCGAACATTCCGCGTTTGTCGCACAGCTCGACTCTTTCTCGAAAGTAAACCGTGACGCGATTCGTCGACTTCTCGGGAAACCAGGCGTCAAAGATACAGTTGCACAGTTGAAAAATGAGGGAAAATTGCTTTATAGTCAGCCATGGTTGTCCATACTGGCGAGCACAAACGTCCTATTGAAAGAGGTTGAAGCTGCCATAGCCCTTGCATCTAACACCCCAGGAAACAGTTCCGTCCTTCTAAACACATTTTGGCCCCAGACGGGGGGCTCCATAAAGGGAGTGTTACGAGGAATCGCCTCAGATGACGTCGGTAGTATAGAGCCCGTGTATTCCCTCCTAGCAACTGCGCCCCAGGGGCAAGCATTCCGCAATGCTTTGCTCCAAGTGGCAATCCTGCATAACTCGCGGAATAGCGTAAGATCTCTATTGAACCTGGACTTGTCGGGGGAGAGCCCGCACGGAGATTATATCCACTACTTTCTTGCCCACTGGGGTCGTACATTGAATTCAGGAGCAAATCATTCCGATTTTACTGGATTGCTAGACGCCGTCATCCCCGAAAGCTCGGCTGCCCGCCCACTTCTTGTCACCAAAGATTCACGTGGTCGTACTCCTCTTCATTACGCAGCAGCCCTAGGCCTATCAAATGTCTGCTCTCGCATACTGGCCCAAATAGACAGCAAGTATTCTCTAGAGCCGGATGATGCTGGGGATACTCCATTACTTCTGGCTGTGTCCTCTGGTCACGCCGACGTCGTGCAACTCTTCATATCAACTTTAGATGGACAGGCTAGCGGAGAAGCAATAGGTCAGTCACTGGTAGTCGCAATAGAATCGGGGCATTCCGATGTCGCAAAGATCCTCGTCCGCACCAAACGAGGTCTTGATTACCCTGGGAAATATAATCAAACCCCATTGTACGTAGCAGCTCGGAGAGGGAATATCGATGTCGTGGAACAGTTGTTGGATGCATCCGCAAACCCCAGCTTCAAGGAAACATCTCATTTGTGGACACCTCTGATCGTCTCCGCTGTACAAGGCCACCTTTCAGTCGCTCAGAAATTGGCTAGCTCTGGTGTTTTGACACTTGATAAGCGAGGATGGTCAGCCCTTGATCACGCAGCTTATAGAGGATACCCAAAGATCGTCAACGCTCTGGCAGATTATGATACTGGCTTAGCCAGCAAAGACAGCAATGTGTCGCAAAAGGGAGCAGGCGCGGAAGTTAACAAAGTTCCTACCAGATTTCCAATTACGGGTGTTCTATCAGATGAGCTATCAACAAGTCACTTATTCGTCAACCTCGGTTCTTTCGATTTATATAAGACTGGACCAGTCATCAACATAGAGCCCTACATCAAGAGTATATCCCCCAAACAATTACCCAAAAACAACTTAGACCTATACGTCTCGGCCGCCGGTTCCTCCGAAGAGTACAGAGTCGAACTGCCAATATTAGAGGATCTTTCAAACTTACCATGGCATTTCCCCGTTTCGCGAGCAGACGATGCCAAGGTGGTATTCAAGATCACGGAGCACAGTCCCGCTGAAGAAATCAAGGGGCCACTTCTTTTCATAGGAATCGCGTTATTGGATAACTTACAGAAAGGGTTGGGAGCTAACCGTGAAACCGTCGCTCGAGATTACACGATACCCCTTATCACTCCGAGCGGCGACTATGCCGGCGATTTGACTTTCAACTTTTTACTATCACATCCTATTGCCTCAAGTCCGACTCTACCGCCGCCCCAATCCATGAAACCGCTACAGCCAACACAAGTTGGAGCACATCGAGGTGAATAATTCCACAATCTTCACAATACCCTCGCTTACATCGGCTGATAATAATTAGGACTGGGACAGAACCTCAAGCAGAAGAACCACCTACAGATTGGTGAAAACACACTAGAGGTATATACATACTACCCCGAGTCTATCAGAGAACTTGCTCATGTAATAATAGTCGTTCGATGCCGCCGTGAAACTAGGAGCGGCATTTATTGAGGTAAGTCTGTTCCAATCCGTATGATTCCACCGCACCAGCTAACAGATGCGCATAGTTCGGTATGTACACGATTAATGAGCCCTAGAACCTTGTCTAATAATCCGCGCAGATGTTCAAGTAACGAAAGACTTCGTGCCAGTAATCTACCACGACTTCCTTGTGAGCGAGACGGGTACCGATGCGCAGATGCACATGCTTTCCTATTCTCAGGTACGCTCCTCTCCCTCTCTCCCCAGAAGCATGCACTCACATTATATAGTTCATGGTATTAAGCGACGCCCAAGCCGCTCAATACAATGATCCTCCCCGTCGACTCCCATGGGACGAACGTGACAGACCGCACACACCTCAACGCCGACGCGCACAATCCCTCAGCGCGCCCCCAGAAGCCGGCACGCAAGCACTCTTCGAGCGTATCAAGCACACATTCGAGTTCTCCAACTCGGGTATGAAGGGAAACACGCGCTGGGATCACATCCACAGCTCTTTCCTAACGCTGAAGCAAATGCTAACCGAGATCCCGGAATCCGTTCCATTTGACATTGAACTCAGTAAGTCCCCATCTACTGCCTCTCCCAACATACCTCAAGGAAATTTAGCTTACACAACCACAGAATACCCAATGCTCTTCGAAACCGACGACTGGAAAATGGAGCCCTTCGCCATGGAACTCAACAAATTCCTCGACACGATCCTAACCGTGCTCTTCCAATACGGACGTCAACGCAGTATCTTCATAACATCCTTCAGCCCCGAACTCTGCATCATGCTCTCCACGAAGCAAAAAGTGTATCCAATCCTCTTCCTCAACGACTCCTCCAATTGGCCCACGGGCGATCCGCGTGCCTTAAGCCTGCAGAGCGCGGTACACTTCGCACGCCGGTGGGGATTGGGCGGCGTGGTTATGGCTTCGGAGCCGTATGTCTCGTCGCCGAAGCTGGTTAAGTGGACAAGAGACCAGGGATTGTTTTGTGCGACGTATGGTGCGCAGAATGATGATCCAAAATTCGCTAAGGTAGGTTATTTCCCCTTTTCATGATATCTTGATGGTGCTGACAGTACTATAGATCCAAGCTGACGCAGGCATTGACGCTGTGATCGTCAACAATGTCCACCTCATCTCTAAGACGCTAGAGGAGTCCCGTCAGGTCGGTCATTAGGTTGATCCAAGTCTTAAAGGGATTGCTTAATGATAAATGGATCCACTAATCTCATCATGACCACGTTCTTTTCCCCTGTTCAAGATTCTATCAGCAGCAAATGCGAAATTGGTCCATCAACTCAATGGGATATCATTCATGTCGGCTCGTTTGCTCTTCTTAGGTAGCTCCTTTTAACAATGACTAGTTTGCTAATATGATTAATCACAACCCCATCAATAAACGTATAATTATCGCAACTGTATCCGGACCATACGATGCATCTAGTAAATTGATAAATCATCGGGTATCTCATTGTTCTCTAATATTACATGCCAGTATCCCGGATATTCCGGCCCTAGGCGAAAGTCATATCGCGTCTACCCGAAACCAGCCTCTGCCCTGTGGGAAGAATCCCAGCCCCCCATCCCCCGGCGCACACGAAAGACTCATCCAGCGAAATATCATCCACTATTTCGCAGAAATTTTCGGATATGTGAAGTAATATCCGAGTGAAATGGAATTCTGTCAGGCCCCCGAAGTATCCCTTAATCTCAATTCTCCGCAGATGCTCAAGCAACCGTAAATAATGTTATGTCGTTCTAAATCAACGCACTCGGTATCTTGCAGCTATATTTTAGCATATTTTCTGTATTCCGGTTTATGTTAGAACAGGTTCCGATGATTAGTAGCGGTGCGCACATACCTTCTAATTTTCCTGATGTCTTCCGCGTTTGTATCATCGTATCGATCACATGCCAGTCCCATATCTTAGACCAGCTTCTCCAGAAAATTGAGGCATCGAGTCATCGATACCCTCTAAACCGCAAACGCAACTCGCCCACCCCTCTTCGCGGGTCGCTGCTGGGCCTCATCATACTCATCTCTGCTTTCCGCACCGCTAATAGCCGGCGAAGGGGTGCGAGGTCGCTTCAAGCCCTTCGTAACCTTAAACCGAAGAGCGGGCTTTTCATTCGCCTGCACATCCGCCTTCGGCTTGCCCTCTGGGCTTCCCGTAACCAAGCCCTCATCAGGGTGAAGCTCCCGACCGAATCCTCTACCGAAGACGAATTGCGGGGCCTCCAGCATAGCAGTCTGTGCGACACCATCTTCCTCATTGGGCATGGGCATAATCTTCGCGTTCAAAATCCATTGATACATAAGTCGGTCGTCTAGGATAGACTTGACTTTGGTGTGTTCGGCGTGCGTCATCTGTTTTCGACGGTTGACGATGACTTCTTCGATGCTGTTGCGCAGGACTAATGTTTCGACGGTCACTGGTTTCTGTTGGCTTATTCTTCGGGCTCTTCCGATAGCCTGGGCTTCGACTTGTGGGTTTAGGACCGGACTGATGAAGTAAATACGGGATGCGGAGCGCATATCAAGACCAAATGCTGCTTGACTTATATCCATCAGTAGAACACGGAATTTTGGGTTCTGTGTGAAAGTTGCAACATATTGTGCTCGTCGGTCCGCACTAAGGCCGGCTCTCGCATAGATCAAGTGTTGGATTTGGAGCTACAGAGTGCGTCAGCAGGTGAAAGAAAGATAATACGGGCTAGGAATCTTACAATCTCAAGAACTCCAGCTAGGTAATATGCGATATTATCATTATCATAAAAGACAATGATTTGCTCCTCCTCTTGATACTTGACGATGGCATCAATGAGGTAAGATAACTTAGCCGAAACAGTCGAAATGATACTCGTCTTTGATAAAGGCTCTGCAATCTTGACGTGACCTTCGAGATTTGGATCAGGCGCTTGGTCTTCATTAAGCGATAATACCGCCTTTTCCAGTGTACCCGATTTCGGCTTCGAATGATAATCATCGCCCAAGGGAGTGTTTCCAGCTAATGTCGAGGTCTGAGTGGACGGCGTTTCGGTGTTGCCGGAGGCATCCATCGCCGCCATCAAGGCCTGCGAGCGCTCAGCTACGCCTTGCCGAGCCAAACGACCGCTGTCAATCATAAGCTGTAAAGACGCCGGTGCATCAATACAAGGGTTCAAAAACTTCTGCAGAGCGTGGATCATGCTGGCATCGGTGCAAATAGGTTGGCCATCGGCCTCTTGGTTGTTGAGGGACCAGCTCTTACCACCACCTCCCGGGAAGTTCTCTAAATAGAGCGGCATCGCATGGAACTTATTGCTAACATCCTTGAGTTGATTGTCTACGGCGAGTTCGCCGAAAGAAATTGCTTGCTTAAGGAGATCTTCATCCTCTGTACTAATCTGGATTTCCTTTTTCTCGAGGAATTCTTTCGCAGTCTTCAATGCTTTCTCGATGTCTTCAACGGAGTAAAAAACTCCGCCGAAGAAACATGCTTGTCGCAAATTCTTGACAAGCTGAATAAGACTCTTTCGCTGTCTTTCGTGGAAGAAATAATCCATATCCGTTCGCTGCGATTGGACCGAATTGAATATGATCATCATTGAGAATAGATTCAACGATAATCTATCTTGGAAAGATCCGTCGAGAAGTACAATCTTCTCGTCTACCGGGGGAAGCAAGGTGCTTACGTCTGAGAGGCGATGTCGGATTATAAGTGAATTGAGAGCCGTTCTCAGGCAGTCCTTGCGGTTGTGACCTTTCGCGTGTTGTTCTGGATGCATAACATACACGTTCCAGTCCGCTGGGATGTCGCCAGCCTCATCCCTTGTATTGGCCCAAGGCCTAACCCTGAGGTATTTTGCTGCAAGGTTACCAACTCTCTGCAAGTCTTCGCGCTCTTGTCTTACGTTAGACTGTGTTCGTCCATGGATGCTCTCCTTGTTTGATGCATCCTTCAATTCGGATGCCTGCTGTTGATCCACACCATACAAACCCCGCGACGGGGTTCCCGTAACGACCCATCGCGCCGCTATTTCCAAGCGGTCGAGGACTCTCATAACGTCGCTCTTCCAAGCTCGGCTTCTGTTTCCTAATTTGTGTCCTTCATCAATGATGCATCTCTTGAATCGAATATACTCAAGTGGACAATAAATATCTGAGCCCGGTCCCCCACCGGTCTTCTGTTCCTTTTGAATCCATTCAAAGCGGCTTTCAGAAAAGAGGATCACGTCGTAATTCAGCAAGGTAGTAACTAGCGGAATTGCTTGCCTCTCTACTATGACGAGAACATTCAGTCCACTTGTGTGCTTGCTGATTTCATTCTGCCATTGTTTCACAAGGTTATTGGGAACGATGACGAGAGTGACATGGCCAAGGTAGACTTCTCGAGGCGGTGCGACTTGAGGGACCGTTCTGCTACTTCTTCGGGGCTCCACTAAGGTATTTTGGAGCTTGTATAGAGCACGGTTCTCCGGGTGGGTTAATGCGTCTATACAAACTTTGTATTCGTACCCAAATTGAGCAGCGGAGGCTTCAAAGTAGGTCTTCCATGCGATGGAATGTTTATTCGCAGCAGCCGCAGCCATATCTACCAATGATGCCTTTTTCGATCTAGGTCGAGTCTCAGCGACAAAAGGCTCGGGCGCTTTAGTCGGCTCATTTTTGGTGCTGAGAATTAAAGCCAAGCAAATGAGAGTCTTTCCAGTACCCACTATCTACATGTCAGTAATTTCCAATTACGGAAAGTCTGGTGCGCCGCGATAGGTCGCAAATGGTCCCAGACTGGCAAACTTCTAGTTCTCAAAGAGGGTCCAGGGTGTGGGGTTTGTTCGAACCAAAATGGAGGGAATGAATGGGGGATTTCATCTGGTACTTACTCTCCTCAGCAAGAATTCCGCCGCGAACTCCGTCATAGTATCGGGGTTCTCTAAGGACAAGACCGGAGACATTATCGTGATACCACGGCTTTCCTTCTTGGTCAAGCGCCTTTTGAAATCGGGGATCAATAATCCTCCCTGGATTTTCTTCACGCTGGAGCATAAGTGCAGCTGATCTGCCTTGGTAGGGGTAAAGCTTAGTGGTCAAACCGGGAATTTGGCTCTCCATTAAGCATTGCATTCCGTCGCGGGTATCCGGATTAGACTCCGACTCTGCGCGAGGATCCGGGGAGGGTACATTATTGAACATAGATAGTAGTGAAGTTTCCTCGGTCCAAGGCGTGGCCTTGTCGCGCCCTTCAAGTTGACTTTTATGGTTGGCGACTTCCCCTTTCCAAAGAGCCGGTGATTGGTCGAGTCGAGATAGTAAGAGTGCATTGGCTTGTAAGAGTTTGTTATTCAACTTGAATACAGCTCTATCAATATCTTGCGGCAAGATGTAGATCCGAAGGTATCCATCGCCACTAGACTTGGAAATGTGGTTAAGGGAGATATGTATCCATTGGTGCGTCCATAATGTGACGAAGGGTTGTAAATCAGGTAGTTTTAAAAGGGACTTTCCTATGTCAGATGGGAGGGCGGTTGATGCGGGAAGAGCGTCATCTCGAGTCAAGAATTTCCAAGCCTGTGATTCCGAGGGCTCCCAGGACATAAGATCGCTACCACGCGCAGATATCTTAAGACATCCAGCGGGTATGTACTTATTCAGCCACGGGATGTCGACGGTGGTCGCCATGGCGGCAAGCTACTGCCTAATACCGGAGGCGTTGTAGTGAAGATAAGTCCTAGCCCATCAGCAGATCAATGCATAAATGTTAACTATTATGGGCTGTGGAGATATGTAAAAGTATTGAAAGGGGATTGTCATTTAAAGGAGAAAGACGAAGTCATTAGATGGTGAAGTAGAAATTATAGATGGATTATGGTGAAGGATGGTTTTTTAGGTGACAGACTAAGAAGTGACACACGGGCGACACACGAAAGTTAGAGGCGGGAGTGAACAGCCTATTAAGCCAATAGCCCCGTAAAGAAGGTACATCCTACCCCGCTTGCTGCACTAGATGCTGACAACCAGACAGCAACTACCCTGTAGTTTTGGGTTTGCGGCACCTTCTTCACTAAAAACTCAATCTTTTGGCGGCTGAAAACGAGGATACTTCGCGGGCAGCACCCGCACCAAGTCTTCACATACATTCATACACCCCGTTACGAGAATGGCAAGACCAATAGACCAACAGTTCGACAATCATTTTATATTTATCTCAGACCAACCTCATCGTTATCATACAAAGCTTGGTTCCTAACAAAGTGAAGTATGGTTACATGCCAATTATAACCTCTAAAATAAGTACAAATGAAATGCAAAAGACCACAATGGTTTAGGGTATCGAAGAATTATAATATGCAGATACCTAAGTTATGAAGGTATTTTGGTGTCATTTCTATGACTACCCGATGGGACTTGCCCGTAATTAATCCACGGAAGACATGGACTGAAAAGCGTGTTGTTGAATAGAAAAAGGTGATCTTAGTTTCCTCGTGATCGTAATCCATATGACAAAAGGGCACGATAGTAAACAATTTTTCAGACCAAAAAATATGTCCTAGAAGAAAAGGGAAAAAAATAAACTTGCTGGATGATTGTAACACGCTCGTCAAAAGGTATAATCCACCAACGCCTTATTAGATGTAGATTAAGAATTACGCAGGTCCTTCCAAATTCTCCAATACCCGTCTCGCAGCATCTATTCTCCTTCGGTATGATCGGTATTCGGTCGTACCGCGACCCGACTCAGCCAAACCGAGAACACACCGGCCAAGGTTCGCAATAAGACGTTCAACGAGTATCCGGTCGTCCTTTTGCAACATTTCGATCGGGGCAACCTTACTATCCCCGCTCTGAACGCTGCCAAGGCTCTCATCAAAGAGAGCCTCTGATATCCGCCTCAGCTCTCGGTCCGGTGACTCTCGTGGCGTCAAAATACCACCATTCACCTTCGGCTTGTTGACCAACGGAAAACTTCGATGGGTCTTGCTTGAATCGAGTGATGATATAGAAGGCCGATGCATAAAAGCCGCCGCACTGCTCTGCGGCCGGCGAATGTCGGAGGGCCTGGGTCGAACCTTATCAGAACCGGAATCGCTCGTCTCGTTTGCAAAGCCAGCACGTCTAGCCGTGTCAGGCGTATGCGTTCGAGCACGCTTAGGTATTATAACGCCACGTTCGCGATAAGCCTCCGCTGCCTCATTGTCTGTTCTCGTGGTTCTTCCCTCCGTGGCCGTTGCAAATGACTCCACGGACGAAGTCGAACCAATGCTGGCCCTGCGGGAACGGCTTCGACCCGACCTTCCGTTAGTAGATGCTATCGGACCCCGAGTTGTTTCCACCGAATCTTCCGAGCTGAAGCTATCACGACTTCCTCTCTTCCTCATACGATTCTGGCTCATGGTACCCATTGCGCTGTGAAGGAAGAAATGCTCATAATCGAAAGCATCTTCACGGTCTTCATGGGAGACCTGGTTTTGAACAGAATCAAAGTACGCCGATGCACCACTCTCGCTCGCACTATCATCCACTACGTCCTGCTCGACCTCCTCCATCTCGGTCTCTGCCTCTACCTCGATCCCATTTTCTTGGTCTGCTTCGTCACCTCCCTCGTCAGAGCCATCCTGGGTTCTCATATCGTCAAGGTCATCTTCAACTTGGTCTGGAGCAGATAAATCACCATTCTCAATGATTGGTTCAACAGGGGCGCTGTCCTCCGCATCAAAAACGCCATTGGGGGTAGATTCTCGACCCACTATCTCATTTCCGGCCGCAATTCCTTCACCTCCAACAATGCTCGAAACATCATCGTTCGATAATTGCGATTTGCTATCGCTATGGACAGATTCGGCGTCTCCGTATTTGGCTGCGTCCGCGTACCATTGTTCAACTCGAGAATGTGTGAAAGGACTAGGGGTTCGTAGGCTCTGAAGACTGCGGCGCTTTAGACTATCCGCTCGAGCCTGGTCTCTCAGTGTCGACAACCTTCCCTTCAGATCCTTCATTTGGTCTTTCAGGTCTCGCATTTGCGCCGTAGATGCGGATCGTTTTAATCCCTTGTCTGAGAAAGACCCGAAACTCGGGCTTAGGAAGGAATCCAATTTGGCATTGTCAAGACTTGTTCTAGACGAATCCAAACCCTGGGAAACATCGTCCTCACTCAACGGTTCAAGCATGTGATCTTTAGCGTGTAAAGGAGAGGACTTGCTCTTCGCATAGAGGGCGCCAGTGCTGCTTCTCGAATTTTCTTGAATGTAATCTGCACTGCGAGGGCTATGAAGGGGTGGCCGATAGCCACCAGCCGCACCTAGAGCACTCGAAGACCTCGGTACAAATATACCTGGTTTAATTACATCGATCGGGAGCGTGGGGATATTGTTTTCGCTGGATACTCTCGTGTGCCCATGCGCGCTCTTGCGGTGATTTATGTCGTGGTCACGATGGATCGCAGTTGAAGGCCTAGCAATTGGGGGTGAAGGCGTCGAACCTGACTCCAGGGAGAAGGTCGGGGAAAGAGGTGTTCGAGCTCGGTTCAGGTTTCCTTCCATAGTCTACTACCAATTAGTTGAATTCCAGAAAGCTGTATACCAAAGTCATCCTTACCGTTAGTCGCCGTTTAGCATTCGCAAGGATTTGCTCGGCTCTCCGACTTAAGGCGGTCGAGTAGTGTTCTTGACCAACCCCCCTACGCACTTCTCGAATCGCCATCCTATCTTCATGAACAGAGGCATCATCGATGAAAGAATCAGCAACACTCTCCTCGTCATCGCCCTGGAAATTACTATCGTCAACGCTAACGGCGTCGTCGAAGTCGGCAAACACTCCGGCTTGTTCGTGAGTAGTGATAGTGCTCGTCGAATCGATCGATGCGCGCCTTTCCCGAGATATTTGCGAAGCCTTCTTCTTAAGCGCTTCGAACTGCGCCAAAGAGGCCGGTTGCATCAACGAGGCATCACTGCGTATAGACCCAGATCGCGGCTTATTCGGGGGACAAGTACTTTCAACTTCGGTAACTTCGCCAATATCTGATAACATTGTTCCGTTACCATAGATGATTGGGGTGGTGGGGGTAATAGGTCCCGTGAAGGCCTGAGGAGTGAGATCGAATCCCATATCGGCAGCATGCGCATTCTTCCACATGATCAAGGGAGAATGCGACCTATCTGGAGAGGAACATGTATCGTCGTAGTCGGGCAAGATCATATCGGGATTAGTGAGCGTAGGCGACGCTGGCAGAGGCGGGTAAGGCATAGAGCCCGACCCTGACCCTGAGCCATGGGCCGGTGGAGTGGTAGCTGTATGCATTGGTGACGTGAGGTCGACTATACTTCGGGGACTGTAATAGATTGCGAGTTTATTGGGTATAAACGTGGAGTATCGGCCGGGAAATTGGAGAGAACCGATTTCAGGAGATCACCGAAGTCTGGCAGGAGATAGGTGATAGGTGACAGGCGACGAATCGAGTCGATTCAAACTGCAATTAGCCGCACCACCTTTTAGGATCAAAATTTATTAGGTTGGTGCCAGGATATCCAAAGTTCTGCAAAAGCTCGTGCAGATTCGTCGGTCGTGCAATCCTCGAGAACAAACAGGGGAAATCGAGTCGATAATTCGGGCGGATGTTCGAGTCGAATCACATGTAAGTTTTAATTGTCCTAGGAATCAACAAGCTAAGGTTTACTCGTGGAAGCCGCTGCGAAACCTTAACTATGGTTAAAACTTGTCGAGATGCAAAAAGAGGCGGGTTGGGAGAGGCTCGAAGGCGATCGACACGAATTTTGGAAGATGGAGATCGATCTATTCAAGCACGCCGACTCGACCAGTTCCAAAGATTCTCATGGTAACCAAAAAAAAAAAAAAAGGAAAGTCCAATAACTCCTCCAATTACCGTCCTAACCCGAATATCGTTATCCAAAGAATTGGTCGTTGGCCTTCACTCGCTCGATGCCGATGTCGATGTCGAATTTGATGTTAATGGTGAAAAAAGTAAGTGTCTACTTTTCCATTAGATCGCAATCACTCGCTTCGGCAAGTCCTCTCTCTCGTCAGATGCTTGGGGTAATTTAGAGGTTGGCAGGGGCCGTTAAGCAAGGTACCTAGCTCCTGGATGCGTTCTACGTATTCCACATATAACATCACGTATTGAGTTTGTACCTGATCCTTCCTAGCCGGTGGTGCCTCTTTTGATTGGATAGTTTGTTCTAGCTCGTTCCTGGTCAGCCAGTTCCTGGGACCTTTCCCGACTAGTTAATTGGCTATTCCATGAAGTGGAGATGACTTAAATGACGAAACCTCCTTTTTAGCTCAAAAGTAGCCAGACCCAAAATTTTGTTAGCATGAGGCGGGCGTTACACCTGCCGGCTCTAGAAATGTTTAAAAGCCAGCGGTTTTGACGCTAGACCTTCTATGGTTTGGCGGTGGTTGAAAAAGGAGGTCAAATAGGAAAAAACTTGAAGGTAAAAGAGCTAATTAACTGCAGAGAGTGGAACCTCGAAAAGGTACACAGTAAATTACGTACAGCACGATACTATACAAAATCTAAGATGCGTACGGCATAGTCTTCATGCATAACGAAAATAATAAACCAGGTTTTATTCATTCCCATCTGCCTAGAGGTCAGTCGAAGTGTCCAACTTCCGCATTCATGCAGCAGGCCGGAATCGTCAAAATTTTGCAGGAAATCCTACAGAACCGTGATAGGGGCAAAGGGGGGTAAGAAACACACGTGCAATGATACGACGAGGTTGCTGTTAGTCCCCTGTCGTGTTTCAAGGTGGCACGCCAGTGATAGCAGTGTTCATCTCTACGATACATGTATAAATGCGCATGCGGGTAATCTACCTCATGCAGTGAGAATCCCAACGAGACCCTGTCATGTTGCGATGTGAAATGGCTAATAAGGACCAGGGGCTTTCGTATCGTATGGGCGGGCCGTCTACTACCTGAAGGGTTCTATGGAATTGCGGCAAGATAGAACCATCTTCTCCCACCGTGCGGTAAAAAGGTACTACGTACCTAAAATGTAAGATAGCCGACTGTGAGACAGGCCTTTCGACATGACGATGATGATCAATCAATATGATTGTCAATGCAGCCAAATAATAACTAGGCATCCTCGGTTGACACGGGTATTATGCCGTACATTATATTTTTCATAACCATTCAGGAGACGAGGTATTAGCTGCGGAAGACCTTAGAAACTTAAAGCGGGATTTAATGGGAAGTTGTACGCCCTGTACGCCTTGGAACGGTCCGCTCGGACGCATTAATAAGTTAAGATTTATTGCTTTTGTTCTGTGCCCAGGCAGGTACAAAGAAGAATACCTATGTGTATTACATAATAATTTTCCGATCTCCTTAATTGGCCTAGTCCAGCGTAAGTCCCCACAGTTCGTCTTTAGGTCCCAAAAATGGATTTTTTTTTTCTCGCTCGGTCTTACCGATATTCAAAGTCATCTCCTTTTGCTACATGTAACTGCCCAGGTGCCATTCAACATCGAGACAGATTTTGCATAATTGAATACAAAGCGCTTCTTGAGCTTGCTCTCTTGGTCGAGTAATGAAATCAGGCCTCCAGTTAGTGTAATATGACACCCGCGAGGAATTGTAGCCTCAACGCTTGACGATCAATCTAGTCGCTCAGCGCATACACTTGCACAAAAACAGTCGTGTTCTGTGTTCTGTGTTTCGTCAGGTAATTAATTTTATACGATACACTTTTCATTCTACGTAAGTCAATCATTCTCAATCTCCCACCCGCGGCCTAAACGCCTAAACCACTAGATGATGAACGATATCAAGAATTCTGCAATGCTGAAGAAGAGCCTTTACAGGCTCTTCAAAATGTGGATATCTTCTTGCCTGATAGTGGTTCACGGCACAAATTATCCTGTTCCAGTATTTTTAACGACCTCAAATACTGATCGTACGAATAGGTACCTGAATATCCGTAGAAATATATCTACTAGACCACTCAAAGTCGAAATGTAATAAAGTCATAGCATACTCTACAAAATACTAAGATTTTGATCAGCCTAAACCAGACTTAAAAGGTTTTCAATTACATATTTCAATTGCAAGTCAATATGAAGCTATGAGTAAAAGCAAAAATAACAAATTAGTCATCGAAGGAATCGAACCTTCGAGCAAAGGATGTTTTCACTCCACAACTCCATGAATGAAATCCGCGACACCACTTCGCCATAACCAATATGAGTCTCATCTGTCTTGATCTGTGGGAAGACTGAAAACACGGAGATTAAGTTAGCATACATGTCACACGATAAGCGAGTCATCCGAACACAACATATGAGAGGAAATTGTGATTTCATTACGTTTGCACCACATCAAACTATCTAGCTAACAAACTACCCGCAAATCACATCTAAGTCTCTATGGGAATGTAATCCGGGTATCGGGCACCAGCACGCGGGAACTTTGAGATCGTAGCATCAATTTGAGCCATCTCATCATCCGTAAGTTCCACATCAGCAGAGTTCTCCTCGATACGAGCTGGAGTCGTGGCACCAGGGATCGGGATGATAGCCTTCGGGACGTCCTTGCGCCAGGTCGAAAGTCGCTTCGTCCAGTTGATAGCCAGCTGTGCGGGGGTGATGCCCTTCGATGCGGCGATATCTTCAACTTGCTTGATCAGCACTAGGTTCTTCGCCAAGTTCTCCGGCTGGAAGACGGGCCAGCTTCGGAGGTGTGGTTGCACGTCGTCGATGGACTTGATCTTGCCGCTGAGCAGGCCTCGGCCTACGGGTGAGTAGGCGATGATTGGGATGTCATATTGTGCGCATGCGGCGGCTACACCGTTGTCTAGAATATCACGGGAGAACCTGTATTATTTGTTAGATTCATACGTTTTCATAATTAGGGGGGCGGCGTAGGACTATGTCCTAATAGGGGTATACGTACAAGGAGAGTTCGACCTCAACACCGACAATCTTAGTAATCTTGACAGCCTTGTGGATGGTCTCGGCGCGGACTTCTGAAAGCATGATACCACCGATCTTGCCAGTTTGAATGTCTAATGCAAGTTAGCCACTTGTATGAAGCACCTTTTCAAGATTTCAGCGTAAAGGGGATGGGGGTGCGGGATTTCATAACGTACACTCCTTCTCGATAACACCAAAAGTAACCTCTAGGGGTGTGTTCTGGTCAATACGAGCAAACTCGAAGATATCAATCTTCTTGCGACCCTTAAGTTGAGCGATGCAGTTATCAAGGGATCGGCGGGTATTCTCGGGTGAGCCATCTGGATCAGTGCCGAAAGCATTCGTGCCACCCTTGATGCTGAGTACTACCTTGTCGGCGTCTTCAGGGTACTTGGCGAAGTAGCGCTCCAGAAGGACGAGGGAGTTGTATTCTGGAGGACCGTAGAATTCACCACCATTCCAGAAGTTCATTCCCTTGTTCAACGCCGTCTTCAAGGCAATAATAGCTTGTTCTTGAGGCATGACCTCTACTCTCCAGGTCAAACCCATCAAGCCATAGCCCGTAGGTCCGACTTCCTTTCCTAAAAGCTGAGGCATTTTTGCTGTTATTTGAAATGTCCGTTTCTTGAGTATTGGCGAGTAAATCAATCACAGTGCTTCTGAGAGACAATGAGTTAATGAGGAAGAAGTAAGTGGTTGAATGTGCTATATTATCCTCTAGATTGATTGCGACAACGACACCTTATATATTATTGTTGCGTCTCCGTTCCCCCCCTCCCATTCTCCCACACTGATGCACGTCGTGCAAATATCATAGATTGCACATTAGTCAGTAGCGACACAATCTTGTTCAACGGCTCTAGGATAATGTGGGATACAGAAATCAGTACCTGACTAAAACTGCTTGAAGTTTCCGCGTGTGGATGCATTTGTTACGTCACCGGGGTTTGCGGCCGGGGATAAGCATGGTAGGTCGCCTTCGACCCCTCGGCTTTCCGTTGATTTTTAGGCTTGGAAATCCGAGAATGCTTTTTTTCCGTCCCTATTCCCTTACAAGAAGAACATGGAACAATTCCGACGTCTATACCCCTGGTTTGAGCCTCCTATCACTACATCATTTTAGGAATAGTTGATTATTTTTTGATTATAGAACCCCTAAAATCGCATTATTTTACTATTTTGAGTATTGTTTTGTGTCGCGGTATGAGATACCATCGGCTACATTATTCATCATACATAGGTACGGGCTTCTCGGGTCCCGCCGATAATCTAGACTTGCTTTACTACCGCCACCACTACTCACTACTACAACAACAAGAATCGGATCGGAATACACACAATCTTCCCTAACCCGTAATAACACTACCCATATAAGGTGCTTACTCCGAACCCACTGACAAGATAGATTATAAACCAGAATAGGAAATTCGATACCACCGACTGCCTACTATATCCTGGATACGGAGGCTTTCTATGGTAGAGATCCTGTAACAGAAGCCCAGTTCAACGTGGATTTACGGCCGACCGTGTTTATTCTCAGATGTCTTGCAGATCTGCCTAGCCGCAATTAATAACCAGACGTATTAGATATGTATTTCCGACGGTTATATGTGATGACAGCATCGATTCGCCCGATACGCTGTAATCCGACAGATATGATGACGAGACTTTGTTCTTTTGCTTTTTTTCATTCTTTTTCATTTGGGCCTTATTTCCGGTCGCTGACCCCGTGGGTTGCGAGATATGTTGATGTATTATGACTCTAATATCTTGATGGAAACGTCTCCCTGCCTAGTTAGTTAGGGGGTTAGGCAGCTAGGCAGCGGGACGTATGCGTCTTCTATACCGCGACCTAGAGTACATGAATTCCGCGCTCGGGGTGATATCAGCCCTAGACCGGTCGTGAAATCTTTCCGTTGCGGAATTAAAGTGGTACTCCCTTCTTCGATGTAACGTAAAGTATAGAAGGCCCCCATGGAACGCCAGTAATAGGTATTTGAGCCCCTACCGTAACTATAATATCCTACATATGTATAATGGAAGTTGCAGGATAGAAGGAAGGTTGCAGAATGAATGACATAGGGCTTAATTGCGCAGTAAAATCCGTTTACCCCACTACCCCACCATCCCACTGAACTCAAACCTAGCCCAGAAAGCTTCAATGTTCATCTCCATCCATCGCTCGCTACGATTAGATCTTTACAATGTAATCTTAAACTTCAAATACAATTTTTTAAGGATAACAAATAATAGCGTGTACCGTGGCATACAGGGCTAACCTCCGCCACACCATGTGGTCTTCCATATCTACCAATATCAATAGGTGACCAAGATGGACTCGGAGAACGAAGATGAAGCTCTCCGGCCCAAGATCCAGTATACCCTCCGCTGTCCCCTCCCCCTCTCCTATATGCCCGACTAACGTACCTGTCAGCCCCCTCAATCTCTTTGACCTAGCCCAATCTCAAAACCGCCTCCTCTACACCAGCGCGCCCATGGTGCGCTACTCCAAACTCGCCTTCCGCCGCACCGTACACCATTTCGGCACCGACCTATGCTGGACGCCCATGATCCTAGCCAAGGAATTCAACCGCAACCAAGTCGCGCGCGATAGCGACCTTACCATGTCAACTGCTCCTATTCCAGCCTACGACTCCGCGTCTACGCCTCCGTTGTCCGTGCTGGCAGGAGGAGGGAAAGGGGAGGTACCGACAATAGCCCAATTCGGCGCCAATGATCCAACTGAACTCTCACGCGCAGCCTCCCTCGCCGCGCCCTTCGTAAACGGCGTTGATTTGAACTGCGGATGTCCACAGAGCTGGGCCTGCGCTTCAACCCTCGGAGCCGCGCTTATGAACCATCGCGAACTAGTTCGGGACATGGTCACCGCAACACGTGAGCGGTTAACACGCAACGGCTGGGACGTGACATGCCCTCCCAACTCCAACTCCAACTCCAACTCCAATCCTAATCCCGACTCCGATACCCAAACTACCCGCGGGCGAAGTATAAGCGTCAAGATCCGAGTCCACAAAGACCTACGCCAAACCATGGACTTCATAACCACCGTTCTAGGCACCGATCCCAACAGACGTAACATCGATTTTTTAACAATCCACCCACGCACGCGGAACACACCTAGCAGCACACCTATCAATCTCGAAGCACTTGAAATTCTTACTTCTACGTTCGGGAAGAAAGTGCCTATCCTAGTGTCAGGCGATGTATTCGCGCTCTCCACGTTACCTTATACATCACACCTATTAGATCCGCAGCCTACATTCACCACCAGCTCCCCTCCCAACCCTACTGTCGACTCTAACCCGGGTTCCAAACTCAGCCTCGACGAAATCCAGAAAAAACTCCACCTCCCCAACGTCGCAGGTCTAATGTCCGCACGCGCCCTCCTAGCCAATCCCGCTCTCTACGCCGGCCACGACTCCTGCCCCTGGACCGCCGTCGACGTCTTCATGAACGAAGTATCACGCGCCCCTCTCCCCCTAAAACTCGGCGTACACCACTTAACCGAGATGTGCGGGCCCGGTTTCGGACCCGGACGAGATCGCGGTGTAGCTTTGTTATCAAAACGGGAGCGCGCTCGTTTGACTGAGTTGGGGAGTTGGATTGATGTTATTGATCTCATGGATGAGGTTAGGAGTAGAAACGAAGGAGGGGAGAAAGGGAGAGGGATAGTACGGTTTGCTTGAGGACTTTTTGGTGTATAGGGTTGCATTACATGGCTGGGAAAATAGAAAGGTGGTCTTCAATGAGATATACGCCGCTTCAAGGTTAATGAGACTACGATATGTACATCTATAATACAAATAATCACATTCGAAAAAGACAGCATGACATTATCATTTATACTTCATTTTTTGGTTCCTACGCCACGACCTAGGTACCAGCTAGCAACACCGCCTTCCCCTTCCCCTTCTCCTATCAGATCAATCGATGCCTATGCCTCCTCACTCGCGCACGCGCACACTCCCTCCTCTTGATAGTAAAAAAATGCAATGCCTAATGCATCCATTCTACTGTACAACATACACGCCCGTAGGGATGTGATAGAGGTATCATGGGGTCAGACCTAGAAGTAGCAGAATAGAGAAAAGAATAAAAAAAAAGTTAACCCCCTTAACCGCGAGAATGTCAGAGCAAATGTGCCACTACCAACTCCCCCGTAGCCTGCCCTTGAGCCAAAAATAAACGCCGCGTAAAGCCTTCGGGCTCGTGCAAATCAGAGAAAGAGAAAATCAAATTACACATTTCAGGAAGTGTTGGCTAATATCATAGCCACTTCTCGCCTCATTCCGCTGGTTTTCTGATTCCACCAAATACGCATCGCAACCCTATCTCCTATAACCTGGGACTGGTGGGTCAATATTAACGTTCCTATCGTCGTAATCGAAACCGTATCGACTAGTCAGAAAGTCGATGCTCCTTATAGAATGCGCAATTTGCTTGGTGATACAATTGTTCAGAAAATATGGTAACTCCGGGAACGCATACATAGTGCTTAGGTGATTGCTCATCATCCCCTTCGTACCTAACTGTTTCCACGTCGTCGTCATAGTCGTCATCCGGGACCTTTGGGGGTGTTTTCGTCAAGGCCTCCCAATCCGAATCGTTGCCTTGGATGTGGTCGCTTGAGGATAAGAACGCACTCTCCTATTCATGCACCTCTCCCTCATCGTCCTCGTCATCATCGTCCGAGTTAAGACGTTGTCGCTTCTGATCGCGACTTTCCGATGCCAGTGACTCGACCTCCTTCTTCTTAGTTCCGTTAGTGCTTGGATGGATAGCAGGGTTATTCGCAGCCTCCTTAAGAACTGCATCGGAATCGCCTGGAGCAACTTGAGAGGCAGATTCAGCAGCGGCTGTATCGATCTCCCTTTCTGCTGCTGACTCGTCGAGGCCGTTAACTTTACCCTTCGGACTCTGTGTAGCGCTATCAGTTCTTGGGGTTCCGTTGATCGAACGCCCGCTGATGTCTTCACCCCTCCTTCGGGTGTTCTCGAGCTCGAATACGGGCGATTGGGAGTAGGGATTCTCCTGTTTGCGCAAGGGGTTTTCAACGTAGAATTCCTTCAATACATTTATCGCCTTGGCACAATGATCCTCATCTCCATTCAGAGCCTTCCACCATGGTTCTCCATTAACATCTTCGATCGGTTCATTAGTAAACGTGCTGGAGAAGAAGATGGACGCGATGGCAATGTCTCTAGCATCCATTAGGAGAGGCAAAATGGTAAGACATGAGTCGTTGCAAAATGCCCAAGCAGCGTGTCGAAGGTTCTTGTTGTGGATGACCTGGAGTTGGCCGAGGAAGTCGTATAATTTGAAGTGTGGACTTTCGAGCATAAGATCAAATGTCAAATTTTCGAGCATGACTTCCTCGAACATGAGGATGCTGTCGCGCCATCTCCAGTACTCTTTCGATTGCTCGTCCACGATAAGTTTTGCGTTCTTTTGGGCAACTTTCGCGACCGCAATGATAATATCTTTCGTCTTGCGACAGTTCTCCTCGGTCTTGTTCGCTAGGAAAAGTGCAGTCGCTGCAATATTCTGTGATGAAGTTTTGGTTAGCAAAGAGTTCAATATGTGTCTGCTTTGACCGGTTTGTTGATTGAGTTAGAATATTTTAATGTTCTCCGAGTCGAAACTCATCTGCCCGTCACATTTGACAGACATTGAATTATCACTTAGCAACTTACGTAATGATGTATTCCATGCTTCTCCTCGACCATGCTACACCTCATAAAAAATCGATGAAAGAATACGCCCGCGACGTAGAGGGTGGTCTGGGGAAGTTCTAGTAGAATGCCGGCTTGGTATATGAAGTTCACTCCCTTCGCTCGTCGTAATCTCTCCTCGGCTGGCGACAATCCATCTATAATACTTGGGCTGCTTAGAACTTCGTCTTGAGTAAAATGCCACTGGTTCGCCATGGTGGGTGGTGATTTTGCGGGTGAGCGGGAGGGAGAGGGCGCGCTTCGTCGCGACTGGGGTCTAGGAGGTGATGTCCGCGAGGAATTGGTGGGTGGCGAAGGAACAGGGGGTGGAACCTCGCGCCTTCTGGAGGGTGATTTTGAGGAGCTGCTGGCTGTGGTATTGTTTTGAGGTACGGATGGTAGTTGGTAGCTTTCCCTGTAAGGAGGTCGGTATCGATCGATACTCGCCATCGCGGTTACCGTCGCGGTATGTAGAACAGTCGTAGTGAAGAGGAGAAGCAATTATAATGTGCTTCTGCGACGATTTAAATCTTAGGTTGGTCGCCAAAGGAAACCATCTAAGTATCGTTAATTTTGGAGATCATCTCTTCGGTGCGTGGGTGGTCGGAGTTGGTACAAAGAATGCGAAAATGTAGAAAGTTGAGATCAAATGGTTATCTAGTTAACCAAATAAATGGTATCACTTTCTTTCCAGAAGATCGGCTTTCCTTCTCTATCGGATTTATGGTTGAACACTAGGTGTGGGTCTAACCAAGATTACGTTATCGTCAATACGTACCTGCTTCACTTGTGCTGTGCTGCTGTTACATGCATTACTAATCATATATCTTGACCAATAGCACCGTGTCAGCTGCTCTTTTCAATTAAATCACCGACATGAAAAGCTCAGGACTAATTGTATTCCGTGTTGTACATCCATCACCCTATCAACCTATGAATATGGACTCTACTAGCAGTAATATATGTACATGGGAAATTCTGAGAGACGCTTACAGCTCCATCGAAGACGAGCGGTTTTCGCAATGTCATTCCAAAAACAACATTTATTTCGTGTATATACCTAGGTGCTGGCCTTTGAAGTAAGAATGCGGTTGTGAGTTATTGCCAGATTGATTGTACTAATGGAAAGAAATACGCCCGTGTCATGTTAGGTTCCTGTTGGGTCTCACGCGCATTACCACTTGATTCATTGAATTTTGGTACTGGAAGGCCTTAAGATGTGCTGGTAACCTGCACTTTATTCCAGCCCCCTCACCCCCCTCAACTCAATCTCTCAACACAGCCTTACACCTAAGGACCAGACCCACGACTTGGGACGTGAAGAATGTCGACAGACACGCATTTTATTCACCTACAAAATGTTGTACACTCAGCAAGCAGCGATGATCCCGCATTCCCATCTTTCTTGGATGAACTTGCAACAGCCTTTTATAAGCGCTTTACACTCACTGGGCAATACGAAGACCTAGACAAGTCAGTTCAAAACTGGTCACAGGCAGCCAAATTAGCGTCCGAGAACCAAGACAAGCTCCAGAATCTCCAAATGATCACTAATGCAATAGATTGTACGCGGATTGCTACCGAAAACCTTTCCAAAGATTCAAACGACGCCCAACGCCACTCTTGGCTCAGCGAACTAAGTAATATGTATTTTTCTCGGTATCGTCTATTGAAGCAACTTCCTGACTTGGACTCGTCCATTGCTTATTTACGCCCTACGCTTAACCTACGTGACGATATTAGCAAGCCGGATTTAGCCCTTCGAACCGAAAGACTTGGGAATCACTTGCTCACTCGATACGTCAAAGCCGGAAACGAGCGCGATCTTGACGAGTCGATTGAGATTGGCCTACGAATAGTTAAAAAAACATCCCGGGGCGACGGCCCGTATAAACGAAGAGTAGACTTTGCGTTACTTCGCCTTTTAATGCGACTCCGGGGACATTGGACGTTGCAGGATGCTCGATTGTCAGTACCGTTAGCAAGAGAGATGATCATCCTTTCCCAACCTAAGTCAGCGAAGATGGAATATTCTCTCACTTTATCCGGGCTTCTAGGTGAGATGGCCCAGCATAGCCACGGAAGCGAAGGTCTGGATGAAGCTATCACAATCTATGAAGGCATTCTTTCTAGTAGCAGTGCTGAGCTCCCCAATTGGAAACGAGCAGGGTTACTGAGTGACTTGGCCGCATGTTTTGCTCTGCGTCACCGTAACAAGCGCTGCGAGGAGGATGTTAACAAAGGGATTGATTATATGGAGGAGGCGCTGGAGTTAATGAACCGTAAAGATAAGAGCGGGAATCGTCCACGAATACTGAATAACTATGCAGATCTTCTTCGAGACAAATATGAAATCACGCGAAGCATTGATATTCTAGACAAGTCTGTAAAGAATTGCCAATTGTCCGTGGATCTATCAAAGCCTGAAGATCCGAAAAGCATGATATACAGACACAATCTTGGTCAAAAGCTCCACGAGCGCTATGAACATACCAAGCACCTAGCGGACCTAAATAACTCTATAGAGATCGCAGAGGACATTCATAAATCTACGCTCCCTAAAAGCTTATTCAGACCACAGATTCTAAATGCTCTAGGCTGCCGTCTCAAAACAAGATATGGCCGGTTAAGACAACCCGAAGATTTGACTCAGGCCGCGAGATTCCAGAGTTTGGCGCTCGAGAAGCTACCTCCAAATCATAAAGAGCAAGCAATATACCTTTTAAACATGAGCACAGTCCTGCGATCGCAGTATAAGCAGGAGGGCAATTTGGATTATTTACACAAAGCCATTGATCATGCGCGACGGGCTCTAGGCCACGCCGCCCCCGATTCATGGAATTATAGTACTTGGAAGAACCACGTTGGATCTACTCTAGAAACGCTCTATAAGGCTATCTCATCCAGGGAAGGCGCAGCATTTGACGATGCAAAGGCTGTGCTCTTAGAAGCAATTGATTGTTCTCGGGAAGCGGTGAAAGAGTCTCAGAGTCACAGCCCACGGCTAGCACACTATTACCTTGTTCTTGGTAGGCTATTCTACCGCCTATACAAGGTCACAAGAATGCCTAGCCACCTTGAGCAGTCGACCAACTACTATATCCAAAGCTATGAGAGCCCCATGGGTGCAACCTTATCTCGAATCGGTGGAGCAATGGGAGCCGCTCTTAATTTGACAGCATTTGGGCAGACCGATTGGAAAAGGGCAGCTCAGTATCTTGATCCAGCCTTAGATCTACTCTCGAGTGTCGTCGTCCGCTCGAACGTCGTTGAAGATCATATTGACAACCTCGAAAACGTCTCAAAATTCCCACCGATCGCGGCTTCAGTTGCCATCAAAGCTGGACGATCCAGCCACGAAGCATTGCAAATTTTAGAACGGTCAAGTGGCATGATCGCAGCACTCACTATAAATGCTGAAGATACTCTACGTGATATTCAGAGAAGCGACCCTGAGCTTTACGAGAGGTATGAAGACCTGTTAAAGTCTACTCTGAGCCAGAACTCGTTACCCGAAGAGAGATACCCGCTATATTCTGATATTGTCTGGCGCCGAAGGGAAACTGCTAAGTACCTGGAGGAGGTGGAAAATTTCGTTCGCCAGGAAAATCGTACCACATCCAACTCCGAAGTCATGTCTAAACCCGATTTTCTCCAACTAGCCGCTGGCGACTATTTGGTTACCTTTAATCTCAGCTATGCAGGAAGCCACGCATTTCTGGTATCCGATGACATCCGAACCATTGAGCTTCCTGGTTTTGGTTTAAAGTTCGTGAAGAGGGTGATAAGTCTTTTCCCATCTTCACGTCGGCAACGTAACGGAGATGAGATTATTGACGACGATATCCCGGAAGCTCCAACTAGAGACGATCTGGTAAAAAATGCCATGGATGACTTATGGAACCTCGCGGTCAAGCCAGTTCTCCTCGCTTTAGGGATATTCTCTGGTCCGTCCGAGCGATTACCTTGTGTCCGATGGGTTGGGGGTGGAATCGCGTCCCTGTTACCCCTTCATGCTGCGGGGGATAACTCTCCCGGAAGTACGGATAACGCATTTTGCAGAGTCATTTCCTCTTATGCCCCGACGTTTAAGTCGCTTGCATTCTCGCGCCACAAAATGAACGCTGTTCAAGAGCTTACTAAAACAAGTATCCTCACTGTCGGGATGCCCGTAACTCCGGGTTACGATAATATCAATGCTAGAGAGGAAGTCGAGGCAATCGAGAAGCATTTCGGATCAAAAGGCTCCGTGATGAAGCTCTGGACCCCTAGAAAAACTGAAATTCTTAAACACCTTAAGGATTGTAGTATGGTACATTTTGCTTGCCACGGCAAAGTGGATTTAGCTGCCCCGAGGAGAAGTTGCCTCATTGTGGGTCAGGACGGGAAGGAAGAGCTTACTGTTGCCGATATCAATGCAGTTGAAGGACTAACAGCGCATATTGCCTACCTCTCTGCCTGTTCTACTGCAGAACTAGATGCTGATTCATTACTCTATGAGGGCATACATCTCGCCAATTCATTCAATCTGGCAGGCTTTCACCATGTTATTGGCACAATGATGAAAGCAGATGATAAGCCGGCAGTGCTCATAGCAAGCAAGTTCTATGAACTTTTACTGCGACACGAAGATTGGAGGTCTTGCAATATTCCGCAAGTTCTACATGATGCTGTTGAGGAATATAGGAATGCTGATAATAACAGCACGAGAATCTTTAGTTGGTGCCCGTTCATTCATATTGGTAGCTAGATGTTCCAATTCAGGTATCGGCTTCGTTCCGTTTGCCACCATTACTGGCTACATTTGGATCTTATCTGCTATTCTTGGGAACTATTAGGAAGACAACCAGCAAAGCAGCATACCTATTAAGCGCTTAGTCGTGTTTTCAATCTGATATGCGGCTTCAACTTACGTCGCACCCGCGCCAAAAATTTCAGCTGGCTTTGCGTTCATGGGCCCGGATAACGTGATTATAAATAGCATAGAAGCTATTAAGATGCAGAACATTTGGTAGCCTGTACTTTCAACCGATGGAATGACCACAATGGGAATGAGCAATAGCACGAGGACAAACGCCGTGATAAGAGAACTCGTTAAGGCTCGGAGCATACTTCTAGAGAAGACAAAAATTCGACCGCGCCGAGACTCCTAATACTCGTTAGTCTGTAAGACACCCGCAAGACGGGGGGATGCTGGGGTTTGGTAGTTACTTTCTGAAAACATCGCAAGAGCCTAATGATAATGATCTCGACTAACGACTCTAACCAAACCATCCCATAATTCTCGCGGTACCCAACAGCGCAGAGGTCGGGCTCATAGAGGAACTTTGTTTCGCTTCGGTAAATGTTACCCGTTCCAGTGACCCAATTCCGGAGACTAGATATGTTTCTCTCAGAAGCTGTCGGCAATTGCAAGACTCTCGCATTCCTCTCTAGAAGTGCATCTATCAACCGCTTAGTAGTATGCTAAAAGGTACCATTGAAATCTTTATAGGAGTCAGTGACTTACCGTACTCTGCGAGCGCGCGGTCAAGAGCTTCTAAAGTTTGCCGCCTCTCGGTATTTCCGTCCGCTTGGAAAGTTCCCAGAAACAGCGGGCGCTGCTCTTGGGTGTCTATACGTTCAAGTTTCGATTCTAGGTCAGAGACACGGTTCTGTTTCATCAATAATAACCGTGCTCGAACTGTACAGAACTGTCGAGCAATGCTGAATGCTGGGTGTGCCCCTATGAGTGCTGAGAATTGTGGGTAACCTGGAGCCAGGCGATGTACTTGAAAGATGTAAGTGTAGGCGATAGTCACTAACTACTGAATAAAAAGATATACTAACAATTCAATGGCTGTAACGTAACGAACGACCGAGTATTATGAAGCCAGCGCTTGAAGGTCCGCGATACTCTCCGTGAAATTTGGGCTTCGACTAGTTCAGATCAATATTTGATAGATAAGATTTTACTTAAGTGCTACATACTGTCCTGGATTATGTTGGTACTCATGATGGATAACTTAGATTCGCATGATGCGTTCTTTTTCCGACTCAACCACTCTGCCCACTCCAGAATACCTGTTCGCCCCTTTAAATAGACATTTAATTAGTATTATTGTTTTCATAAGGGTCTTGAAATGAGGGCAAGGCTGAAATAGCTCGCGGATACGGTCGCAATTTTGGCCGGGAGGGTACCTAATGGGCACAGTTAGGACAACCGTCAGGTTAAGCACATATCGGTCAGGCATCAGCCTGCCTAAGTTTCGGAGCCAATACAAAGTCAGAACCACGGATATACAATGGACTTTGACTTCCAATGGAGACCTTATAATTACTAGGTAGGTAGGCTTTCGTGCTGATTTATTCTAGTAGTTTCTTCACACTGAAATCTCAACCCTATCTACATAACTTCGCCTTCAAGCCTTCAAAAGCCCAGACCCTAGAGAGCTCAGCATAGAAGAAAAATGACGCGAAGGTTAGTTGACCTGACAAAAAGACGCTTTGAATTGGCTGTTTAACGTATGCAAGCAACCCTTTCAGGGACGTCGATATAGTGGTTGATGGAGATCGTCCTTGGGTGGACAAAAACGATGTGAGTGATTTTATCCCCCAAAGTCGCCTTAGCACTATGACTGAAATAGCGTATAAGGAACCCAAATTCAGAACAGGCGATGAAGTATATATCTCTGCATCAGGAACAGAACCACGCAAGGGACCCTACACGATAGAAAACGTGGATACATCTTCGACTCCTGCGACGTACACCCTAAGCGACACCAACGGAATCGCTGAGAATGGCGACTCTTTTGAAGAAAGTAAGCTTGAGTCGAAGTAGGGACCTAAACGATCATAGGTTAGGTACCTATTAACTACCTACCTACCCAGGCACCTAGTAGGGGTACCTACATTGTAAGCCCGCGTCTTTGGCTTAGGGTGTTAGGTACTGAGGCATATGCTAGGTACCTATCCAGGCAGCAGGTACTTGTCGACATACCTGTGTATGTACTTCTCAGGCCTTTATTGTCGGATAAGGCACCTAGAACTCTATGTATTACCTACATGTACGTACCTACCTATAGGTAGCCTTATTTCCCATGAATGCACCCATATTAAAGTAGCTGCCCGACACCGCCCCCTCTTCTTTTACCTGCACCTTAAGGTAGCATTTGCACTGAGCTCCACGGATCAGTAGCTCCATTCCTATATTTGTTTTCGGTCTAGCCATAGTCATGGCAACACAAAGAAGATGGGTACTTCTATTGGGAATTAACTTTTATCTTCGTAAAGATCAACAGCTGAAAGGAGCCGTCAACGATGTTAAAATCTTCAAAGAGTGGTTTGAAGACGCCCGTGATCCTCCTATAATTAAAGCGCTTATTGCTGATACCAACGGTGATAATCATCAAACACAACCACCAGGGGCGCCAGAGACATGGCCGACCTACGAAAACGTTACCAGCGAGCTCAAACGAATAACGAAAGATGCAAGCCCTGGAGATCTGGTTCATATCCATTACTCGGGCCACGGGACCCGCAAGAAAATATCGGAGGAATACAGAGCCATAGATGGGGGGGATGCAGCATTGGTGTTATTTGATCCCGAGACTACAACTAAGGCAAAGTACCTGAGGGGATTTGACCTTGCCTCCTTACTAGACGAAATGGTTGAGAATGACCTTAGGGTAAGCGTCGTTTTGGATTGCTGCAGTTCCGGTGGCATCTCTCGAGGTGCGACCGAGACTCGGGGTATCCCCTGGGATGATGTGACAGCGGCGGAGTCCCCCCTGAATGTAGCGCAACAGCGACGTGAGATTGACGACGAACCAAACTTTCGCGATGGTGAAGCCGATCACCATTGGCTCCTCCGACCCGATAACTATACCTTGATTGCGTCTTGTGGTCCATATGAGTTAGCAAAAGAGATCAGGGCCGGCCAACAGTTCCATGGGGCTCTATCTTGGCATTTTCTCGAAGCTATGTGGTACCTCTCTGAAAGCAGTATGGACCACACTTACGGAAACATCATCAGGCGAATTAGAGCGAGGTTTCGCATGCTCACTCAGCTCAGTACACAGAATCCTATGATGATGGGTACCGACTCCATTTTCATAGGCCAGGAGCGAACAAGGCGAGAGAAACAGGCGACGTGCGAAGTCATAGGCTCGACTCCTGAGGGCCGCATAATCCTTAACGTTGGTCTGATCCACGGAGTTCAAGAAGATGACCAGTATACCGTACACATTCCGAATAACGTCGCAACGAAAACGCCCCAGTTCACCATTAAAGTGGTCCACGGAGCATCTTCAGAAGCGGAAGAAGAAATATTGCAAAGCTCACGCTCGTCACCTACAAGGATAGAAGTTGGCCTCTCTGCCACCCTGACGAGGTTACATAAGCCAAAAGCCCAAGTTCAACTATTCCCAGGCGCAAACACTCAATGGAAAGAGGCAAGTAGGGAGAGCGCATGGGTCCAGACAGTTCCGCATGATGAACCATTATCTGTGGACGTTCCGGGAATCGCGATTATTCTCAACGACAGATTCGAGTATGAAATAGTCAGCGTGGGGACACATGAGAGCATGAATATGCCTTGTGTACCAAGTCAAGATGGGGACGCTATCTCGAAAGTAGTTTCGTTGCTTGAGCACCTGGCGAAATTCATGCTCACGGAAAGCCTTGAGAACAGAGGGAATGGAGTCATGGCTCAAAATGATTTTCGCATTGAACTGCCAGGTATAGGGTTAAGTTCCGCCATACCATGTACCATGAAAGCGAAAGACCAAGATATTGTGCCTTTTGTCTTCCACAATAACACAGCGCACTACTTATATTTTACCATTTTGAATCTACGCCCCCTTCGCGAGATAACCAAAATACCTAAGGACTGGGAATACAAAGTCGTAGAGCCTCGTTCTAGTTTGACAACTAAAATCCGCATGTCAGTTCCAAAACTTATCAAAGATAACGGAGGCTCAAGAGCAACTACTATTTTTAAGTTCATCGTCACGACGAAGCCGATACGTGTGTCTGGACTCACATTGCCGGATCCTTGGGCGTCTTCGGACGCCACGCGAGGTGAAAGCGCTCGCACATTAGACTCGCTACTTCAAGGGCAATCTGTTGATGAGATCAAGGAAGAACGGCCGGTCGCCAGAGGGGAAAGTGACACCCTGAGTTGGACATGTTATAGTATATATATGGACGTTAATCTATATATAAATTAGCCAGTGGTTACAAGATCTTGATATCATCGTTGGTGCCTATAAATAGCATACCTAGGAGTACGCTCTGATAAGTTATCTTCCCTGCCATAGTATCTTTGTTTAATTTCAACGAAGCAAGAGTATGATCTCTATTGGGTATCTTCTATATTTACTGATTGTGGCCTTGTACAATACTACAAGCCTCATTTCATTCGTATTAAACTCCTTCGCCATCATTCCTTCCCCATAACTTGACAGTCCTGTCATGACCACCACTGACAATCCACTTCGCATCCCTACTAATATCCACACTTGCCACTGGACCTGTGTGTCCCTCCAGCGTTTGTATGAGCGTCCAATCGTCAGCGGAAAAGACGTTGACTTTACGATCAAATCCACTTGACACGAAGAACGTGCTTGACTTCTTAGGGATCTGATTCTCCTTTTCATCCAGACCTGGGGGAGTACCGATGACTGGGTCATCCAATCCCTTATACCACCTGAGATCCGAAACAGCGCTGGTGTGGGCACCAATACCACCTGTTCTCTGGACCTTCCTCACGTCCCAACACTTGATCCAACCATCAGCTGAGCCTGTTAGAACCCGATATCCATCTGAGCCCCAATCAATACCATGGATTGGCTTGATATGCCCATCTCCGTGACCGTCAAGAATCATAACTGTCCTCCCTGATCTCAAGTCCCATATTCTGCCTACACTGTCCAGGCCTGCACTAGCCAGCAGCGATCCATCGGTATTGAAGCTAATAGCGAAGACACCTCGTGAATGACCTTCTTGTAGTAGTAACTCAGTCGTCGATTCAACATCCCATAGACGCCATGTAGTATCTTCCGAAGCTGAGGCAAGGTATCGTCCAGAGGGATGGAATTCAACTCGGCATACTCGCTGGCCGTGACCCTCCAATGTTGAGAGCGGGGTGTCCTTGTTGAGAGACCATAGATTTACCTGGCCTTCGGCACCACCCGAGGCTAGGTTGACTGTTTCCGGAGATACATTGGCCTCCGGTAAGGTTGCGCCAGGATACCACGATATGCCGCTGACTCTGTTTGTATGTCCTCGTAATGTCATCTTCTCTTCCAGATTCGGTATTCCAATCAGCTTAATAGAGCCTCCCCAATTTCCTGCAGCAACAAGTTCACCGTTAGGCGATATTCTCGTCATACTGATATTTCTGTCTCCCGCTGTCTGACTGCCCTGGAGCTCAAATGCTTGTAAGCGCTCCTTGATCTGCTTGCGGAATTTGACGTGGGTTCGTAGAGGTATCGATGCTTCTTGCTTTTGGAAGGCTAATCGTCGCTTCGCTCGAGGTAGAGAAAATCGTGCTATATCCTGACGCGCGTGTAGTAACTCGTCGCTCCCGTTTGTGTAGAATTCCTCTTCTTGATCTTCCTGATCCTCCTCCGGCGCATCTTCCATATCTATATCGGCCGATTCCGCAGGTGTTTGTTCGGATTGTAAAGTCAAGAGTTCTCTTAATCGATCTCGTCGATCCGCGGGTCCTTCGCCGAATAGAGTGATGGGTTCACCAAGTTCTCGTAGTCTAGCACGTACTCGGCCATCGTCGGTAGGCACCGCCATTGTCGCCGCTCGCCTCTTTCGCTCAAATTGTGAGAGTATAGCCGACGCCTTCTCTGGCGCAATGCCGGCTGATGCTGAAGGCATGTCATAGTCTCGGTCCAGAGGGACCTCATCTAAAGACATGCCATGATCCTGGGCAGAATGCGGGTTAGTTACGAAGTGATGTAGAGAGATGCCCAGGTGGTGTTCACTCACCTCTTCCGCCTCCTCCACATACGCTTGCCGCGACGGGTGCATCATGATGGGCAACAATTATTCGGAAGCTCAACTTAATGTTACTATAGGTATCGGTCTTCGGTCGATGGCTATATTAAATCGAGGTACTTTAGAAAATTGCACGGATCGGAAGAAAGCGCGGTAGCTTTTTTCTACAGAGCTTCAAAGCCGCGCTGGGGGATAAAATTAGTGGGGTATATATGGTGGTCCAAGCTCTAAATTGAACTTTGGTACCAGCAATTTTAGCGCTCTCGCAGTCAGGTACACAGCCCTACGAGCCCGTAAATCTAGTAGATCAAATGCCCTCAACCTTCATTATTATAGCGAAATCGCGAAACTCACTTCAATTATTAATTTCAATTCAGGTGCTTCGTATGGCAATATCCCAAATACATTACCTACGTACTCATTGTAAAAATCATTATTTAGATATTTGTATAGTTCTACCCTGAAAATAAACACTACCTGAACCGTAAAATCGCAGATTTTACTATGCATCAGAAGCTACCTATCTATCATCCGTGCTATCAACAGTTTAAAGATCAAGCGATAGCACTAGAGACGTTGCAACCTCATCATCTTCAATGACGTCAACAAAAATATGCTAGTCCAACAACCAATGCCACGTCTCAAAAGGCGCCAGGTCTCCTGCAGGTTCCTTAGCAATAGGACCCAACATGCGCGATCCAACGCAGCAGGAGTCGGACTTGCAGAGCCAAAAGGTAATCCGTGGATTTGGATCCAGGTCGTCTTCGGCTAACCTCAACATGCGGGATCTGTTACAATCGAAGATAGCAGAAGGAATACATAAGTTTCACCTATTCCTAGATATAAACGATCTATATCTCACCGGATGCTCACCGTGGTGGGAGTCCGTGGATTCGTATCGTGCCATTTCGCGTGGCTCAGCCGCTAAGACACGGAGAATATGAGTCTTGGATATTCCTACCAAACTTCCTGACTCCTTCGTAGCGTGCTATGACCGCTCGGCATCGTCAATGACTAAACCAATCCCTTGCTCAGTAATAGCATTGATCAGTTTGCTCGGAAAGCCACTGAACTAAGTATATAAGTAATAGTTGTCCTAAGGGAGGCTTGATATTTGTATCAAATATGAGACTGCGACATTGATCATCGGGCGGTGTAAGCAATAAAATTTCTCGCTTACCCCTAGATACCTATCACAACAAGACAGGCGATTCTAATAGGTTTTCGACAAGCAAAACAATTCGCCATTTCGAGTTCGAACTTCTCGGTAACATAAAAACACATTCATTGGCATGTGTTAAAACTTGACGTGTTAAACAAGTCAAATTGTTACTAGAATGAAGTCATTTTTGCTTCAGCGACTGGTCCTCGTTTCTTGATTTGGACTCTTCATTGGTTCTTAGCGAAGACAGGTGCCTGAAAAGTCAGCTGCAGCGGCTAATTGCGGGAGGTGGGGGATACACAAGAAAGTTGGGCACCTGAACAGCCTGAAGGGCAAGGTCCGCCTAACCCGAGCTGCCCTTTAGGGGGGAAAATCTAGCACGGGGCGCGTTAATCTGCACAGCTGAGAATGGGAATAAATTGGGTTGGTCCGCGAAATTGAGATTGAACCTTAAGACCCACTTCGCTAACACCCCACACCAATATTCAGAAGGGAAAAAAAACCTTGTTCAGGGCTATTGTTAGCTATTGTTAGTGGGCATAATTCTATTTTCTGCCCTGGTCAGCCTATTAGAAACTAGTGGCCTCTTCTTATAACTCGGCCCTGCTTCGTCTTTCTTACCTTTTTCAACTTTTTTTTTTTTTTACTACCACCACCATTCCGGTGAACTCGACAAACCCAACAACGATATTTCAAAAGACGCCTCGTAACAAAATACGCGATTGCCAATGCATCAGCAAAACGATCAAGACAGCTTTTCTTCATCTCTAGTCTGCAACCAGATGCTTGCTCCAACCCTTCAACCGGTACACCCTGATTACCTCTGCGAAGCACGCGCCGACGCTGAGCGACGACGCGGCACCCGTCTACCTTGAATCGGGGCGGGTTGAGAGCGAAAAGAAAAAGATTTCGCATCGACGGAAGACTAGAATATTATCACAACTATTACAAAATTTAATAACTATTAATCAACAATAAAACGAAATAATACGAATAACTCGAGAAGCGAAGCCATGTTACCACCGGCCGCTCCAGCACTTACTACCGTTCGCGGTTTCTCCGCTACCCCAATCGTGTCCGGCGACGAGGACTCCGACCACTGCAGGACACCCCCATTGTCCGCGCGACGAGGCCGCGCCGCTCGGATCGACGATGTGGTCAGTGCGAATTGTAGTCCCGTTCTGCGCGCCAACAATTCGCCTGCTATTAGCGGCATCGCCAAGCTTCGTATGCAGCTCGAACCCCTCAGTCTCGGCGGCTCGCGCTCCAGTACCATGAGCCGAACCCGAAGCACCAGCCGACAGCGCTACATGAGCGGAGGTACCAGTCAGACCGGTCGCAGCGACGATGAGATTTCTGAGGTTGGATCGACGAGTTATGAGGTTCAATTGGAACATGACTTCGTCAGTGAAAGCGTTAGGGAGAAGAGATATGGGGCGATTGAAGGGGGATTAGCGCCTCGGAAGACGCAGGCCGACGACTTCGAGCCCCTTCGCTGTCTCGGTAAAGGTACATACGGCACGGTCCTACTTGTCAAGCAACGAGCCACAGGTCGGCTCTACGCGCAGAAGCAGTTTAAGAAAGCTTCCGTTGTAGTGCACAAGAAACTCGTTGAGCAGACAAAGACGGAGCGGCAGATCCTTGAATCCGTCAACAGACATCCCTTTGTCGTGAAGCTGTTCTATGCTTTTCAGGATCAAGAGAAGTTGTACCTCATCCTTGAGTACGGACAGGGTGGAGAGCTGTTCACTCATCTTAATACCGAGAAGATGTTTCCTGAGCCAGTCGCTGCCTTCTACATGGCGGAGATGGTTCTAGCTCTATCTCACCTCCACGACACGCTTGGCGTAGTTTACAGAGATCTGAAGCCCGAGAACTGCCTCTTGGATGCGCAAGGTCACCTTCTACTGACCGACTTTGGTCTATCCAAGGTTGCAGTAGAAGAGGATGACAGCTGCAAGTCCATCCTTGGGACTATTGAATACATGGCTCCTGAAATCGTCCAGGGTCAGAAGTATGGTAAGGCGGTTGATTGGTGGTCGTTCGGTGCACTGGGTTACGACCTTATGACGGGTAATCCACCATTCCGCGGCGGCAACCATGCCAAGATCCAGCAGAACATCGTCAAGCAAAAGCTTGTGTTGCCGTACTTCCTAGGTCCCGATGCCAAGGACCTGCTTACGCGGCTTTTGAAGAAGGACCCCGCCAAACGTCTAGGTTCCAACATGCCTAGAGATCTGCAGATCATCAAGAAGCACAGATTCTTCAAGAAGATCGACTGGAAGAAACTTGCGAACAGGGAGGTCGAACCCCCGATTCAGCCCATGATTACGGACCCTGAGCTTGCCGAGAACTTCGCCCCAGAGTTTACCGAGTTGTCGCTGAGCCCCCTGGTGGAGAGGGACCCATGGAGTGAGATGTCACCGAGAGAGAGCTTTAAGGAAGATCCCTTTGGTGGTTTCAGCTTCGTGGCTTCTAGCAGTTTGCTAGAGAACAGCGCATTCACGTATGTTGAAGTTTGAAGTCAGGTGATGGCGCGAGGGGTCAGATACGCATGAAAGCGATAGCGCACAGCGGTATTGATGCAGTCTTGGTGTGCATTGCAGTTGGCGAATCAGAGCATTGTGAGGAGTTATATCGATACGAATTGTATCACATTATAGATATTAGATGGTGTTTTGAGAACTCCCTTTTGGGAATCATAGTTGGAGGCCTCACCAAGACGCCGCAAAAGATTCTCATTGGAGAAGGGATCTTGTTCCGGCCTAGAGAGAACATACGCATGCGTCATCCAGACATGCGGTTAGAATATATGAGTTGCATTTTACCCCATGATTCCACACGTGGCGCCGCACACCGTTTGGTGATCCGACGAATGCTAGTTTGCCAGTTTGCTGAGTTGACAAGATTTGGCTGGGGGACGCGCAAGCGCACTGCCCCATATGTCACACCGCTAGCGTAGCTGGTTGACTGGTCGTTTGTGGTATCTTGAAACCAAGGTAATAGGTGGTATTGGTAAGCATATTCTGCTTGGCTATAGCTTCGCTTTTATCGTTATGTTGTGTAAACTATGGGTTAGACAATCATAGTTGATGTTGTTGACGAGCGATATGTGACTGCGTTAGCGAATCTTCTTCACGCAACGCTACTATGAGCTTTCGAGGGAGCAGTGTAGGTAGAAACATATGCTCAAGAGAAGGAAGAAAGTTCGAATCGAACGCAATACACCTCGCGAGATAACTAGCAGCAATCCGTCCAGGCACCAGTTGCAATTTCGTCGTGTCAGTATATGGCCCTGGTTTAGAATCCTCATGGGACGATTTTACGTACTAGCAAAATCATTTTGCATGTCAGCTCCTAAAATATTATTACAATCTTAAAATCTTATTTGAATACCTAGTCGTAGAAAACGAGGTTATTCCCGACCATGACCGTGAGGCTCAGCCTTAACATCGAACGATGCCATCCGCACCTGTCCGCATGGCTGTAATATACCTAGTCGTATCCACAGACTCTATCTGGTAGATTGAGCTAGTGGAGCCGATATATCTATTTTTACAAGCCTTTCATTTCTACCTATAAATGAGGTATTCATGGGTGGTAGTGTAGTAGGAAACCCGACGTCGTACATCAACACACTATATGCCCAAAATATTGTAAATTTATACTGATGCATACATAGATTAACTTGGCTTTCAATAAATATATATGAAAGAAGTAATGAAGATGAAGATGAAATAGTAAGCGATCTGCTTGTATTACCTTCCTATAGTGTGAGCAGCTGCTCGCATGTTCTATTTATGGGTGTAACTCTTTTTATGGTAACACTCACAGCATATGGGGTAGGAGAAAACTGTCACAATCAATCTACGAATCGTCTTTTCAAATATCCATCAGCTCATGACTCCTTAATCTCTAAAGGATAAGCATTCTAAAAAGCTTATCCTCAGCTCAAATGAGAGTCGTGTTACGAGGTTAGGCTCTGGATGATGGACGTTGCCTCATGTTCGACACCGAGTAGCTACATCGTACCCAGACAGCTGTCAGCTACCTACCTAGGAATCTATATCGTGATCCAACATACCATCTTATTAATCCATTCGGTCTTATTGGCTGTTTCGCACCATTTAAGTTGAGTATAGGTCAATCCAAGCACAATGTACCTACTCAGTTTAAACTTCCTTCGTCGTACGCTGAGATACCTGAAATAGAACCATAGACATAACGAAAGGGGGAAGGAAAACCATGTTGCATAAAACAATCATACACACCACCAACATTAACATATTCATAAATGAAAAAAGGCTGCGACCATGAAACAACGGATATAGGTAAATGTCCCTAAGACTGAACTTACTATGGTCGACGAATATACGACCGTCGTTAATTACCAAATTGATCATACAAGGTGCGGAAGAGAGATCTACAGATCGGCACTGCATCCCACATGGAATCATGAAATACAATCGTCTTGCTACTTTACTAAGGTATGCGCACAGCTGACTAAAACTAAAAATACCTGCGCCCTAACAATAAAAAAATCAATGAAATCGCAGATAAGTAAGCTGTCCCAAGTACGCGGTCTACGGAACGGTTACCCCCCTGGCACTCAACGACATCCCCACACACACCTCTATATGCCGGAAGCTTTAGATGCCGTGCGCAGCCATTGACGAATCACCGCGACTTCGATTCTAATAAGGGCAATGATTGGTTTGGGGGGAGGGGGGTATCTCGTAGGTACTAGTATACCCATCTCCTAACTTATACGGAACCGACTCGTTACTTTTTTCCCACCTACTACAAATTGGCAGGTTATCCGCATCGCCCGCATCGCGCCAAGACCCCCAGCACTGCCATGATGAAACACCCATACAACATCCCGGCCAGCGACCCAGCATCCGGGAGTCTTGGCAGCCCGCTGACGACAGCGAAACGGAAGGTGAAGAAGGGAAATAATTCCCCAGATGTGCCAATATTGCCCCCAAATACCAAGTCCTAGAGGCTGGGCTTCTTCCTTACTAATTAGGTAGCTAATTAGGCTTGTTGTATGTACTTTTCCCTTGTGTTATAGACGTTGATGACGTGCTAAGCAGATGGTGGTCCAAAGTAAAGGTCCTTGCATTGCATACACCGCCCGGCTGCCCGTTACCTATCTGAGACGAACGGCCGTTATTGGGGTGCTCTCAGATCGACATACGTAGACACTGAGGCTTTGGGTATCGAATGTAGCACAGCATGGCATGGCATAGATGGATAGTTTCTTGCTCGCCGTCTGGAGCATATGTTGAACCAAATTAACCTAGCCTTGCCAAGGCAAGATGCAGATATACGTGTATGTGATACAGTAAGGTTAGCTTGGTAGGTAAGAAGGTACCTAGGTATGGATGTTAGATGTAAGTGAGTATGTGAGCTTGGGATGTAGGTACCTAACCTAAGGCTACGGTCCGGCCGGTCAGCAAACAAGGGCAACCAAGACCGCGATCCCAGAAGATCCTACGACTCTGCTTAGACTCGCATGGACCAGGAGGATGATAAGTCTTTTGCTATATTATATATAGTGTCTTTCCATTCGCCCTTCTCATCGCCTTCTAGAATGTTACATCTTCAAGCTCACCAGCAAAGTCATATATAAACGTTCCAAACAACCTAACGGGAAAGTTAACTTTCGCAAAGCACCGTTCCAAACGTTAAAGGAGGATAGAACTTGACACCGAGAGTCGCATAGTTATCACACAAGCGTATTACATCATCGAAGTATACGCGGAGGATAAAAAGAATACGTACGAGAGGGGACGAATTCATAATTTAAACCTCTATCGACGCATAATCCGAGACGAGGCGCCGAGAACCTATATCTCGACTCCACGAAGGACAGAGTAGTATACCCAAATCTGTTACGATAGTATACGCCTTAGGTCGCTTTACAAAAAGGCATTCGAAATGATCTCGCGTCTAGCCACCGCGGCTTTGAGTAAGTAGTGTTTTTAGCGTACCAAGACTCGAAGACGTTTTCGAGCTCGGACGCGGGAACGCCAAGAAACGGGATTGCTAACGGTATCAACAGCCGCGATCGCATACAGCACTCTAGCGTCCGCCGAGCCAGTGCAATACTGCCCGATCTCAGATATCTGCTACCAAGTCGCAGTACCAGACGCATCCTCATCCTCTAACAGCGGAAACATCTACCTGCAACTCCGAGCGCCGACATCCTACTCATGGGTGGCCTTCGGTACGGGATCGGCCATGGCCGATTCCAACATCTTCATGATGTACACTGACGGCAAGGGTAACGTAACAATATCGCCGCGCGCAGGCGTCGGACGTATGTGTCCCCTTTAGAAGACTCACCTACCCACACAAACAAGCAAATGCTGACAATTATATAGACATCATGCCGCAATACAACGCCATTACACAACTCACCCTCCTCGAAGGCAGTGGTGTAACCAACGATGGCAAAACCATGATCGCCAACGTGCGCTGTGGGAACTGCGGCTCTTGGTCCGGGGGTTCGATGAGTCTAGCAGCTAGCAGTGCGGACTGGATTGCGGCGTGGAAGACCGGCGCGGCAGTCGACAGCACGGACAAGAACGCCGGGATCCACTACCATGACGAGCATGAACAGTGGGCTTTCGACCTTACGCAAGGTACCGTGTCTGACGACAGCAACCCGTTCGTAGGTGTGCGACAGTTCGATAACAATAACCGTGGTGTTGCTGGTAGCGGTAGTTTTGCTGACCCGCGTACTCTGATTCGCGGACATGGTGTGATTATGGCTGTGACTTTCGGTATCTTGTACCCTCTGGGATCCGCACTCATGCCGCTGCTCGGCAAGTGGATTATCCACGCCTCGTGGCAGTTCCTTGCCTTCCTGCTCATGTGGGCTGGGTTTGGATTGGGTCTTGTTTCCTCGCAGCGCATCAAGATTGTAAGTTCCCTCATGTTGGTTCAATACGGTACCTTTGAATGAGAACTAATGGTTCATGGCAGAACTTCAACTCAACGCACACGAAACTTGGTGTTGTCGTCGTCTCCCTTATGGGCATTCAGCCTATCCTGGGTATGCTCCACCACAGATACTTCGTAAAGCACCAGACTCGTGGTCTCATCTCGCATGCTCACATCTGGTACGGTCGTTCCGTCATTATCATGGGTATCGTCAACGGCGGACTAGGTCTCAAACTGGCCACTGCTGCTAACAAATACATCATTGCCTACTCTGTGGTCGCTGGCGTCGTCTTCGTCACATACATTGCTTCTGCTTTGTTCGGCGAATTCCGACGCCACCAAAGGAAAGCGGGAGGCTGGGAGAAGAACAGCCCTTGATTTCTGGATCTCGTAGCGAGAAACCAATGTTCCTGATTTTTCTATACCTCTTTGAATGATTGTGGCGTTTGCATAGGGATAAGGTATGGAAGGGCTATTGTAATGAGGATAGACATGGGGTGCACATAGGAGACAGGATATTATACTTATATGTCTTTGGGATGGCCTAGCTTTGTGATTGAGCTTTTCGGGTTGAAGAGCTTTTAGTACTGTCACTACAGCTTGGTGGATTTTGTTCAATAAAATCTTTATCAACAAATTGTTAAGAACTTATATCTAATATTGTGGTTAAGTCTCACCTAATAATGAGAGGAATTTGGTTGATCCCCGCGTAGGTGGTATGGTAAATTGTTTCGTGGTATACGAGTTTGAACGAGCCATACGAAACTTTTCGTGGCTAGATACTGATAGGCTATTGACATTACTGACGAGAAATTTCTAATATGCCGTTGGAAACATCGTGATTCAAATGAATGTATTGTGTCAAGAATGGATTCTCAAGATGACTGTATTTAAGTGAAGGTGGTGATTTGATAAAGTTGAGAGTGAGTTGAATTTAAACTCAGATTGGTCTATACTGTGTTTTAACTGGATTGGCACTGTACTTTGTGATATACCCCACTTCAATGGTTAAAAGTAGTAGGTCACATGACTAGCTCGGACAGGTGTATGTTAACTCCACCCCAGCAACTTCCGAGCTAAAGAATTGAGTGAGCAAATGGAGGCGGCGAAAGGAAAAACCTCAATCGCAACTTCTTCTCACGATCTCCACGTCCTTTCCCATCCACCCACCCGCTATATCAACACCACCACATCCTTTAATATACTCGTCAATCGAGCATATTCACATAATTAAAGGACAAAATGCTGAGGACTACGGTAAGAATTACTATACAATTCATTTTATAAATACCATAAATACAGAAACGATAATACTGACCGTTATTTTTCGCTCAGACTGCTCGATCGGCCGCTTCGGCTATCACCCGTGTCGCCAGGGTAAACGCTGTTAGAGGTTTTATTGCCCCCACCGTATCGCGACGAGGTAAGAACCGATATTTTCTTAAACACATTGAAGCGGAATTGGAGGGCAATTGAAGGATGCAATGGGAAAAGGTGGGATGATTGGAGTCGAAAGAGCGGGAAACGTGCGAGATCGGGCGATATCAAATCGAATACCTACATCACCACTGCCAACAATACGGCTACGGTTACGGCATACTTGAAGCATTAAAATGAAAGACATCACCAATTCCGTTATATTTTGGCTTCGCAATTCAATTGCCCGCCTCGAATCCGCATATCAGCAAACAGACATACAGGAATATCTGCTAACATAACCCCAATTAAACAGCCGACTTCGTCCAAGAGCTCTACCTCAAGGAACTCAAAGCCTACAAGCCCACACCCGTCAAAGACTCCGACGCAGTCGGCCACGTACAAACCTTCACAGCCCCCAAGACACCCAAGTCGCCCGAGGAGGCCGACCTCGCCAGCAGCCTAAAGGAATACGAGAGCATGGCCGTCGAGGTCGAGGGTAACGAGGGTGTTGCTGCCGGCTCTGCGCCTGCCGTTGTCGAGGATTGGCTCGTTGAGGAGGAAGAGGAGGAGGGTGCTCACCACTAAACTTGATCAATTGAATATGAGAAATAGATCCACGACTTACCTAGACAGACGCAAAAGTTCTTGAGGGGAAATAGAAGGGAGAAGAAACAAGACAGGGGATGCGTATGGCATTTTACCTAGCGTAGTGCCAGCCATCACCCAGAAGAGGTGAAGAGGAGAGTAATTCACGACTGTACATTTATTCCTAGGATCGCCGTTGCCGAATCATCAAAAAGATCCTTCGTTCCATAAAAGTACCAATCACATGCGTCTTCGTGCTTGCTGACAGTATTCCTATGTTGACATTCCCCTATCCTACATAAGTGGTCCGATTTGCTTAGATATCTTTAGCTCCGCCAGTTTACCGATCCAACCTCTATATCTCAAATCTTGTACCAGGGCCAGATCCAAGCCCATATCGCGGTCATCGTGTCTTTTCGGCCGGCTATCCATACCACGTCGTAGCAGGCTCTCTTCCATATACTAAGGGCCTACTTCCATATTCTAGATAACCACGCCCAGACAAATTTCGTCGTTCTAGATCACCTCGAAACCTATCAATTAAGAAGCTTCTTGGCCATACCACGTACAGACAAACGAGATGATCTGTCATATCTCTACTTGTCTGCCTCATTCATAGATAATCAGACAAGCCCCTTACATTCTTTCAGCTACCTAAGCTAATTGCACCAATTTCTCGTATTCAGATCCAGACAGGGACGTGAAATCAGACGAAGGGACCAAATGCACATGGCATTGCCACATCCAGTTGTCTAGTAAGATATAGTAAAATAGCCTCTGCTCCCTTGCTTTCCCGCCACTATCCTACTAATCTAGCATTCACGACCCAAATCTAAGTCTTCCAGAGGACAGACCCTATTTAGCCCGCTCTCCTTTTTATCCCGTTAGATCATATTTCTATCATCTTCTGTGGACCTTCAAAGATTGTTGAATACATCTAATATGTCTAGGATACCCTAAAATCGCTCGTGATATCTGATAATGATATCTCATTTCCAACATATACCTCAGCCATGACTATTTGCCACACCACATATCCCGACATCGCCGAACATCCAGGTGCATGATCTTCGTAGGCACTACAAGTTCTTCGAGAAGAAGATTAGTCAATCTTCTCCTAGAGAGCCGGAGAGGTAGGGCCATTAGTCAGCGCTGAGTTTGAAAAACGAAGTTAGTAGTCAAATTAAATGATGTATCACGGGTATCTCATAACTTACTACGTATCAAAACATATTCAACAAGTCATTAAGCAAGCACAAAGGGTGCACGAAAGCAGGCACATAATCCAAACGACTTCAGAACAAAGTACACAACCAATTGACACACAAATCGAACAACAGAAGTAAACATCGCACACAATTCATTCCAACCCAATATGATAAGCAACCTAATTTAATTTGAATTTTCAGTCCCTTTCGCTTCTCGCTAGGGAGCGCAGGCGTTCTCGTCGTCACGTGTAGTAGTAAGTAGCTATGTACGTTGTTGTGTTCGCGTTCGCATTCACATGTCAATTCCATTCCATTTCATTTCATCTTTGCCAAACCGATCAACCAACCCCCTTGACATGCTCGAAACTTTGATAATAGGGAAAGAAAAGTCAATCCCTTGAAGAAGCAGCAACGCAATAGCAAAAAACCGACTAGGGAACCCTCCCCAAGGATCGAAAAGACGATTGGAGGGAAGGGAATCCAGTCAAATTAAAAGCTCACTTCATTCGTTCGCTTCGGCGCCAGCATCAGCATCAGCCCACCTTAACCCCCCCTGTGACGTTAAAACAACCCGGCAACAAATGCCAACTCGCTTTGTCGCAATGGAGGTGGTACTTTTTCGCGTATGGGCCAACCAGAGTCGCTCGCCAACGGCGGAAACCTCGCTCACTAGAAACCCCTGCGGAAGAATTCCGAATTGAAGTGAAGAAAAAGGACGGGATCAATATGGCTCATACTGATCCTTTGTGATTTGAAACGGGTAAATTTGGGTAGGTATTTTCGAAAGCTTCCGTAGTCTCGTGTACGTATGTGCCCATGATTTCAGACTATTTGCAATTACCAAACGCCCTGACCTTCCGCAGTGACTGAAGTAACCTCTGCCAATTGTCACCTCATGCAATATGCCGCCCCATGCTGTGATGACATGAATTTTAAAGCAATGGCTGAAACCATTGCAAATGCCGGGAACGAGCAGATTGGCTCATTCTCGTGTCGTAAAAGAGCTTGAAAACAAAAACAAATATTCGTGTCATATGTCGAAATGCGATTCGCCAAACGCCTCCTCGTTGTTGCCAGTCTTTACGATACCACTCATCCTGTTTGCTTTCCGGAGATCAAGATCTTCGAGATCATCCCAGTCGTTATCTCGACGATCTACGTCATCCATCTCTTCGTCAATATATCGTCCTTTCATGTGATCATCTAGTGAACTTTCGTCAACAAATGTGAAACCTTGAAAGTTTGCTTGCGTAGTTGGCGACAGTGGTGTTGATGTGGCGAAGCCTGTAGCTAGCTGTTGTGCGCGCTCGTTCAACGAACCGTTGGTGTTCAGAGCGTTGGTGAACTCGGGGTCAAAGTATGAAACATCAGTTTCTGACTTTAACTTCGGCTTGAAAGGAGGAGTTATGAGCTTCTTAGACAAAATGTCCCAATCGACATCCGCGAAGAACGGGTGACGCTTTAGTTCTTCTGCATCGTCGACAGCACCTAAACGATGTTTCGGGTTCCTGTTAAGTAATCCCTTGACAAAGTTTCTGCCTTCCTGGGACAGTGTGTCTCGTGGGAACCTCACTTTGCCGAAGGCGATGTTCTTGTACATCTGCTGTGTGTCCTCCGCATAGAAGGGACTCCAACCGCAGCACATCTCGAACACTAGAACACCAAGAGACCAAAAGTCCACCATCTTTGTATATCCAGCCTCGTCGAGTAATACCTCCGGGGCTAAATACTCTGTAGTTCCGCAAAACGTATTAGTTGTATCGTTTTGGGTGAGGTTGGCCTTCGATAATCCAAAGTCGCAAAGAGCTATGTGACCGTTCGCGTCCAGTAGGATATTTTCAGGTTTTAAGTCACGGTAGACAATATCGTTGTTGTGAAGGTGTTGGATGGCAAGGATAAGTTCTGCGATATAGAACTTGGCTCGCTTTTCATCGAATCGTCCCTCTTTCTGAAGGTGCCAGAAGAGCTCACCACCGGACATGTAGTCGGTAACAAGGAAGAGATCATTCTGGGTCTGGAAGGAGAACTTCAGGCCTACGATGAATGGTGACTCTGACATCGCTGTACGAACGAGAATGTTTCGCTCTCCGACTGTGTGTGCAACCTCCTTCTTCTGAACGATGACCTTCTTCGATAAAACCTTCATGGCATATATGCGTCCGGTATCCTTCTTGCGCACCTGGTAAACTTGACCGAACGTGCCCTTTCCAATTAATCGTAGGATCTGGAAGTCGTCTGGTCCGTAGTGTTTTTTCTCGGTTCGTTGGTAGATGGCCTCGACAAATATCTCGCCGGTGGGAGTCTTCTCGGGTGTTGTGTCGACATTTCCTCTTAACGGGTACCAACCTCGTACGGGCTCATCCTTGCCGGGAATGATAGCTTGGAAGTCGACGTGACCTAAAAATTCTTCTCCTTGTGCGCCGTGATCATATATCGAGATATCCACTAGCATGTCTGAATCAACAACATCACTATCCAAAGTTAGTCGATGTGTCCGACGGACCTCAATCGATCTACGATACTTACAATTCTGCTTCAGCATCCCACTTAGGGCTGGTGAATGATCTTCGCGGACGATTGCGAAACGTATTATAGTCACTGATGCTAGTATTGCTGCTTTGACGGCTGCGCATAGGTATCGCCATCGCACGGCCAGGATCGCTACCTTGACGTTGTATGGGGAGACCACCCATTCCCATCGCCACCGGTTGGGGTGGTGACTCATCTTCATCTTCGAATGTTCGCGGTCCATGCGAGATTAGCTCGCTTCTCTGGAACACCGCGACAACATAAGGGTCCCGGCTCTTTCGGAGCCCTCTTGCCTCCAGAATCTTAATGGTAAGCTTGCCTCTTTGCGGTGGCGCTTGCGCACCGGTACTCGAGGCAGAAGAGACAGGTGTTTGCCTGCCACCCGTGTCTGAGCCATCTCCGCTGAGCTTCGAAGGCGACCTTTCTTCGGCGTGAGACGAATGGGTAGTCGAGAGCGTTCTAGTAGGTGTCGAAGGACCGCTCTTTTTCGATCCAACGTCAGTTAGCTTCTTGAGTCGATCAATCGAGGCGGAGTTAGAGGAGAAACTGCTAGCATCCCCAGAGGGGGGCTGGGTATCCGAGGGAGAACTTGGTGTAGTTGAAGAGGCACGCTCGCGCTCGCCGGGGATAGAGAGATGGCTCGCGAGAACGCTGGATGTAGTGACTATGCTCGTGAGGGGAGATGCTAAAGTGGCTCTCCGAACTTTGAGCTGGGAGAGATCGGTGGCGCTCTTGTTGTTCAGAGATGATCGACTTGACGGACCGCTAGCGGCCGTGTCGGAATCACCACCCGCATCGGATAACTTGGCACCTCTTTCTGATGGTGTCTGTGAACATGGAGGCGTAGGGTAGGGATGGATATCGGAGACTGCTTGTTGCGAGGACTGTACTTTTGCCAGGGGTTCTATCCTCTCATGTGGAAGGAGAGGCGAAGTGTCAGGCGTGACGTCCTTGCTGCTCAAATCCGATTCCGGGGTCGGTAGTTGTTGAGGTACGGTGTGCGCTTCCTTCTCTTCCTGGGGACAGGTAGGGTGTATCGACTCAGTCTCTGGTGCTCGGGAAGAAATGGAAGAGCCACGGGAACAAGGTAAAGAGGTTAAACGAACCTGACCAAAGTAGCTCATAATACCCGGCAATCGTTTGTCAGACAGATCAGGTTGCGGCGTAGCGATGCCGGATCGCGGAGTATCGTAACCAATTTGGTCGGTCCCATCGTCCTCAGAAGTTGAGGTCCTGCTTGGCATGTTAACGACAATCATTGTTGTTTCGAACACCAAGACGAGGAGCCAAGGTGTTCTATGTATCGAAGCTAGGAGGGAGGAGAACCAAGTGGGGGAGAGAAGTAGTTTTAATAACTAGTAGAAACAGGGTATCAAAAAAAAGAAAATGTGGATATCAGGAGGGGAGTAGGTGGAAGCTCAAGGGGGGATCTTGGAAAGAGGACATTTCGAAGTAGGACATGTCCAATAGCCGCAAGAAAATCCAATGGCCCTGCAACGTATCCAGGTATCCATATGGGGTGGGAAGAAAGCTAGCAGGCGAGGCGGAAGACGGGAGGGCAGGTGGTAAAAAAGAACGAAAATTTCACAAGCCATTATTGCATCGAGCCGAACCCCATGTTGCTTCGTAGCTACTAACACCCATGACACTCGCCATGTGGTAACGTAGAGGGGGGAGAATTGAAGTGGGGGCAAAGGGGGTGGGCTTGGGTGTTTGGAGATGAGATCGACGCGATGAGTTCGAGGTGGGGTGAACGCAGAGAAAATGAAAGGAAAGGGACCGCAGACAGAAATCCGAGATGGATAGTAACAGACAGCCACCCAGCCAGCCCACTCAGCCAGCTGTTGTAGCGGTCCAGCAGGGAAGGAGGAGTGACATCCAGTGGCATATCGAGTGACATAGCACTATACTTGAGTGACTTGTTGACATAAGTGGCATTGGCGGCATTGGGCACCCTTTTGCGGTTTAATTGCAAGTTGGAGGGTTAGGAATCAGGCTTCAATATGACGATAATTATAAGCCTCGTCCAGACCCCGCGCTCAGATTCGCCGCAGAACGGAGCTGGAAGTGATAATTATGGGGACCGTAAGGGACCAACTTGCTGCGAACATCGGTGACCAGCCGCGACTTGTGCAACGTTATGTAGATAAGCTTGGGAACGTTTGGTTAAAAATAAGCTGTTGAACGTGTACATCTCGTAATCTTTTCTTTGGCGGGGTGAGCGCCGATGACCGATTTAAGATGACCGTAACCAGCTGGATGAGCCTCTTTCAAATCACATTTGAAGCCTCACTTGTGGATGGTGACCCAAGGGTCCGGATGATTATGATGAGGGTGTTGGCCATGATGATGATGATGTATTTGGCGTAACCTTGATAGGATACCGAAGACCGAACGGCCAGAAAAAAAAATACCAGTGGTCGAAAAGAAGTCTGTCGGTATGTTCCTATTTCCTAGGTCCCATGTAGATAGGTACAGTACGTACTACCCATCGGTGACGACTCATCGAACACCACCCCGGCCCCATTGCGGTCGAGTTTGGTACCTAAAAAGCCAGGGTCCAAAAGGTCCAAGGTCCGACTTTTTGCAATATCCTTGGAGCCATGAATTTGGGGAGTGATCCGTAATCCGAAGGCAAATACTGGCTAAATGGGAAAGAAAACCTTGTAAAGAAATTGGAAAGGTCGCGACTTGCGATATAACAATTGCGGAATATGGTAACGGGACGGGAAATAAGTTAGAAATAGGTAAGGGATAATCTTACTCTTCTCCCATTTTTTGCTGGGGCGAGCAGATACGACTGATGGCGTTATGATAGGCAGGGTATGAGGAGAAGAGGAGTAGCAGTGGCAGTAGTAGCAGTAACAACGGGAAGGGGTACTGAGAACGAAGAGCATGTGATGGGATGTATTGGATGGATGATTGGGGGAGTCTTTCCGGATGGTGAAATTGAAAAATAGATAGAGACGGAATATAGGAACATTTTTTCCCTTTGAGAAATTAGAAATTAGAAATTCCCATTTACTTACTTTGACATCATCGCCTGCGTTGCCCGCCGTAGCAGGTCGAATCCTCCCTCCGAACCTGACATGATGATGGACCAAAGGGAGTTTTGATCTCTCTCAGTCAATGTCAGGTTCCTGACCAAAGAGGTTCCTAAACTTCTGTCGTTGAACCACCAGTAGTTAGTTTTGCTGCACGGTAGGTGCGTTGTTCTTGTTACTGTTGTTGTATGATGGTTGTAATGGTAGTAGTTTTTTCCTGAGTATACCAGGTAACTGATTCGACGATGAGGGGGAGAGAAAGAAATTTAAAAATAAAAATCCAAATTATTTACCAGGCGACGTCGTTTGGTTGGAGACTTTTGAGGTTTGACGCGGAACGTGGGGGTTTGAGGAAAAGAGGACGGAAGAGAATTGATTTGCGTGAGGGGAAAGTATTTTTTTTTTCTGGCGTCAGTGGTTTTGGTAAATTGGTGAAATGATGTCGCGGGTAGGTGTTGAAGGGGGAAAAAGACGTTGCGTTGCGGTTGATGTCTCGCTGCTGAAAAAGGCGGGCTTCTGATTTGAGCCTGACGGGCCTAAAGATGGAGCCTTGAATGGGGCCCCCTAGGTCAGCCCTTTGACGAATTCTAATTGGTTGCGGAGGGGTGAAAAAGGGTAAGCCAACCCGTTAGAACAGTTATAACGGACAACGATTAGGACGGTAAGTTAGGACAGTTACCTAGGTAGTTAGTGCAGTGGCAGAGTGGACAGTGGGAAGTGCAAGTGGGCAGCGGGCAGGTAGCGTGCAGTACAGTACAGTGTACCTAGGTAGTGTATGCATACCTAAGTAGCCTGTAGATGATGCATGGGCGCAGCTTAAAAAAAGGCGGAAGGGTCTTCAAATCCCACCTGAAATTAGGATAATGGAAACTAAAGATTCAATCGGGACAGGCTACTGAAAAGGCCCGGGAACGCCTAGTGGTTCGCCTGATTTGGTTAGGCCCCGCCGCCGCCGGCATAAGAGAAGAAAAAAAAAACGAATGAATGAATGGGTCGATCGTGTATGAAAAAAGTATTCATGGATGTAATTGTTCGTAGAATTGAAAGAATATGGATTGTATGACGAGGGTACCCACAAGTTGAAGGATAGGGCGAAATAAGGCGAAAATAGAACGAAATAAAAGAGGGAAGATACTTACAGCTACCTTGGCTCCAGTTGTACAAGTTGTCCCCTCTAGTACCCTTTCGATTTAGCAGGCTTAAGCCAGGGCTTAACAGGCTTAGCTGCTTTCTCTCCTTGCTGAATTAGCTACCTAAGTGTACCTAAGTACGGTAATTTAAGTACGCAGCTACGCAGAAAGAAGAGGGTCTTGACGGCGGGGCTTCTTTTTCGTGTACAAATTCAATAGGTGAGGTAATTCATCAATTCCGATAGATACTCGTGGTACGTTATGGGTGTATGTAGGTAGGTGTATGGATGTATGCGCGAGTGTGGGTGGGAAGGATGGGAGGATGGGAAGATGGGAATGTATTTCGTCGTCAGGGTCCAGCAACGCCAAATCTACGGTACGGTAATCAACTGTACAGTACGTGGCAGTGCCGGAGCAGAACTTGTTGTCCTTCGTATTCCTTGGTGTTCTTTAGTGTCTCTCTTTCCTGTACGTATGTACAATACTTTCGATGCAAGCACACGCAGTACACGTATACCTATTGCCCTGTCGGGTGTAGATATAAAGGTAAAAGAAGGGGTGCCCCATAAGAACAAGAACAATAATACAACAATACAAATCATTACGGGTAGGCGGGTAGTGTTAGAGAAGGTGATGGTAGGTGGTTAGTACCGTACCTGAAAATGATCGCTTAAATTCAGCTGCTCTCTCCAGAATGCCCTCACTCAGATCAGTACCTAACCGATACGAACATCAGCCGACCATCACAAGTTACTGATCTGATTCGGTGTACCTTGCTTTGATAGAAAAGAGAAAGCCGGCGAGCTTCGGGACTTCGCTTGATCTTGAGGCCTCCCTTCGCCGAAGATGTGGTAGTTGTGGTTGTGAATTATTTCTTCTCTATTCTTGAAATGTTTCTGTTTCTGGTTCTGTGTTTGGCTGGGGACCGTGTGTATGATTCGATACCGTGCCCCAACCCGGCGGAATGCCTGATGGGGAAGGCGATCGTAGCTAGGTCCAGCTAGCCGGCTAAGTCGAGCGAGATCTATGTCGCAATTCTGAAACTAGGCGCGATTTGTGATTGATGGCCACACTACCTCACTACTTCCGATAACTTGTTCGACAACCGCGAGAGAAAAGAATCGAGGTGGGATTTTTTGGGTTATTACAAAGGTATGATGAATTGGATCGAATCGAATGGCGACAGGGGAAAATCGGAGCATTACTGATTTCAAATATAGATGATAGGCAAGCAATTACATACAGGCCCTTGTGGTGAAGAAAATTCAGATTGTCGGTTAAGGTGGAGAATGGTCTAATAACGCCTTCGTCGACGAATATTCGCCGGAGCGGGCAGAACTCGTGTGCGATCTGAGACTTGTTGGTCTATATATCTTGGTACGAAACCAAATCAAATTACATACGGCTACTGCGTTATCCTTTCAAAACAGGCTTTACAGCATCTCCTGGGTTTCATATGCAATTCCTCAAGTTGAAGAAAGTACACGGCAGGATCCGGGAGGATTTCCATATTGACGAATTCATGACATTACATCCAAATGCAGCAGTGTAGCAAAAAAATAGGAGATACCTTGTTTCCAGGTATCAATGAGCTATTACCTAAGATGGCTACGCTCTAGATAATGCCCTTGACGTTTTCAGAGTGGCTGAACTTCTAGAAGTCTCGAGTTGCGGTGTCAAGGTTGTATTTTTCCCTTACATTAATAACATAAGCCTAGAGATACGTAACCTACACGAGAATCCTTCATGCGATAAATTGTGTACCCCGTTGGATTAGATTGGATCGATATACAAATAACACACAGCAAGACCTACACCATTAGAGGTGGAGACATCCTTGATAGGATATCCGTGGTTCTCAAAATGGCGGCGGCGTCTTCTACCTAGCACTAATCCAACTAATACAAGAAAGCCGACATCTGCCATCAGTGAATCCCTGTTCTTTCTCCTCTTGTTGAACGGCTGCATTTCCGACCAGAATGAAACAGGCGTAGATAACCCGGGAAATTTACTTGATGCTTATTATATGGTATATAAGCATCCTCCTTAGGCCTGGAATAGCATCGTCTCGCCAACTACAGGCCTTAATCTCTTTCCATGTCCAGTATTAGCCCCCTCTTCTAATATTGGCCACCACCACCACCCAATTGAGTGAGTAAGCGACACAATTGTTACTGTTATTGGTTCATTAATTACACGCACTATCGAGTTTTAATAAGATGAGGTCAAGTTGACAAGCGCATCATTCTATGTTTGTCTACTAGACCTTACGTTAGATGACTCAACTTAGGACTATGCATTTCAGCTTAAGTTGATGACGAGTCGGCAGATCATGTCCTGGGGAAATTGCAGGGCATTCCCCCCGTCCCCTAGACTGCGAACATCATAACACCTACATACCTGAAGTGCTTATTGGCATTATGAATATAGTTACGAACCAAAAACTAACTGTTGGTGCGTTGGGGAGAAGAAGATGGATGGTTGTGTCTCGTTGCTGACCGAATACCTGGGTGAATGATAGGCTTTATTTGCTTGTTGGTAACAACATTAGGGCATGTGTATTCCCGCGCCCCTGCAACGTTCAACAAGACGACAACCCGTACTCCCCAAGCAAGTCTTAGCGTGTGTCTTGTGTCCAAGTTCTTAATTCTTTTCAATATGTGTACGTATGGGCGCCCTTGTATGCCCGTAGCTGAAAAAGACATTTTGGAATACCGATGGATGCAGCCGAACCGTCACACACGCGAAGCCAGCCACTCGATCTTAAACGTTGGACGAGATGCGGGATGGGCGGGATGTGATGGTCGCTGATGCGAGTATGCGAAAGCCTGCGAGTCATGAGATTTTTTTCTTCTCGGACCCTGCGCTGCCTTCTATCTATATCCGGGGTTTCATTAACGATGCAAACAACCTACTACCACCTACGCGCCTGTCGGTATGTAGAACGTCGCATTGCACATAACCAGCCAAGCTGGTTAGATCCAGTGACTTAGCTGTCTCTGTGTCGTCTGGCCACGCAAAAATGACTTTATAATTAGGTAGTCGAAGCTTAGCAAATCCAAGAGTTCGGATGCCAAGTTGTTGAGATATCCCCATTTACGGATATCCGAATATACGCACACACCTAGATGGGAAGTGTTTTCTACCCTTTTTGGAGTCCCTAATATAAATTTTCCTTTGCCTAGCATCCACGCGATACTTGCATGACTTGCCCTACGAACATTTCGCAGAGGGAAAAAAAAACCTGAGCTAGGATCCATCCTCCTATTAACCTCACCACCTACCGCAAGTCCCACCATCCCAACCCGAGCCGACGGATCGATGACCCCAACCTGCGCGGCCCCATCCCGTTTCCCCCCTATCGATCCCGGAGCGAAAATGATAAAAAGAAAATTTTCTTCTTACCTACCCCAAGGGCGTAGGTAGGAATAAGATACATATAGTAAGCACCAGTGGCGTTACTTTTTGGACCCTTGATTTGAGCCTTTCGGAAATTATCAGGCAGAATAGACAGACAGGGAGACAACACACGCGCATAAGGAGGAGTGGAATGGAAACGCAAACCATGTCGCCATGTGGTAGCGGCGGCCACACCCACCAAGATCAACGGACGGCGCAGTCCCGTTTCTAGTTCTAGGGTTGAGAACGGTAGATCGGGTATCGGGTGAAATCTCCGCTAAAAACAGAAAAAACCATGAACTGGCTCTCTAGGTAAGGTTGTTGGAGAAATGAATCACCAAAAAAAAAAAAAATCATGTACCCTGCGACGCTATGTATCTACCGCACGCAACGCATGTAGGTGGGATGTGTAAGGATTTTGGAGTGAAACCAAATTTGGAAGTCTAGAACCCCGATTCGTATACAGGAACGGACTCACATCGCAAGCTTATCTACCTACTTTGCGATCAACTTACCCACTATAGATATCTAGGTTGATATCTCGCATGTCTTGATATCCTTCCTTTTAAAGGATTACCTCAGACTTACCCATCCGTCCTATTTGAGATGCGTACGCGGCATACCGAATATTAGCCCTACTTTTTGTCGCGCGCCGTCGCAATTGGTATGCTTTCTTTAGGCCAGACTTAACCCACGCGGGCCAGCCTGCGACTTCAACGGCCGCGAAACTCGAAACCGACCTACTTTAGTAGGTAGGTAGCATGTATCCTGATTGTACCCTAGCTTCATTAAAGGTGGCATTCTCCTTTGCGAATATTAACCCTCTCCAAACCATTAAAAATATCTAGCTAGAGGTAACAATTGGAATCGTACGACGACCACCGCACGTCCATTAATGATCTTCCGGCACGTACGCATCAAGAAATGAAGAGGGTAGGGGGTAAAAATATGGGGTTTAATGCCACACCCCCGTGTGGTATCAATATAAGAACGCAAAATCGATGTTAGTAACGCTTTGTGACTCAACCTAACTGCATGTATGTAGCTAGAGAATCCGAAGCAAGGATTGTGCCTGGCTAGAGGCTTCACAACGCAAACTGTCTAGGTCGCGTGCCTCAAGCCATGCGATTTTTGGGAATTATATCTCCAATCAATCAACAGCTATCGGAACGGGAGGCGAATGTTTTCTATTGCTCTCTAGGGATAGCAACCGTTCTCGTCCTACGGCGCCGGTGGTGAGCCGCTTTTGCATTCTGGCACCGGTACCGAATGACGGAAGCCGGCGTAGCCTTGGCCGGCAATGGTGCCCCGTTTCGGTAGCGATGTCATCATCATCATACCCATCCAAGACGCCGGTCGGAACAACATTGATATAACATCCAGTACTTTGGATACCGAACTGCACACTGCATATTAGGGGTTTGTGGTGAATGCGTTGGCATTCGGCTGGCTACGTACACCCTCTCTATTTTAGATGAAATAGCCGCCGTTGGAGGTTTATTGGGATAGTATGAGATTGGATACCTAGGTGCATTTGAAAGTGCTACGGGTAACCGACCTTAATGGTTCTCGATACATCAGTGGCTCCGAGTTTGAAGTAGCGACACACGTCGTGATTTCCAATTTGAAGAGCGTATTCTCGCCGTAATTACCCCGTGGTTACTTCCACGCGAGGGGTTTGTGGAAAGACGTACCTGATAGTCATGGCAATTGCTACCAGCACGGTCCCTTATTTCTATGCAGCCGAAAGGAAGGTTCTACCGCCCCTAAGGTAGAGCCACCTCGGGAAGGAGCCGGACAACGAATCGGCAGCCAAAACATGGTAAAGTCGAAACTCACTCTGCCAAAACTACGAAACACAGCTTAAAGCTACGACATTTTTCCGTCATAATGACACGAGAAGATTAAGACGAGAATTGTGAGGTAGATTTAAGGAGGACCATGTAGTGTTCACCTGCTGTACTCCTAAGCACCATCCGGGGAGAGCTATTGGGAAAATAATCTCAAATCCATTGTGCCTTGGGGTATACCTATCTAATGAGGTTGTACTGCTCCAAGTGCGTCCTCGAACCGACCAGCGGCAGCAGGAAATAAACTATTCATCATCAACCCCTATTGCGCCGCGACATGAAGGGGAAAAAAATCAAAATCAAATGTTGCCCCTATGGTAGCCAGCCAGCTGTCTCCCCGGTCCTGAGCAAGGACTCCCTTCCGTAAGCGCCTAGTAGCATCTCTTCCAAACTCCTAACTTCGCCCCTCCTCGTGGGTATGAAACGCGATGTGGGTATCGTGTGAAAATGCGTCAGTATGAATGCTGTGTATGGTATCGGGAGACCCGTAGGCCTCAATGCGTAACTCGATGGTAAATAATGAAAAGTGTCGTCTCTCGTCTCTCGGTTCAATGGCTTCTCGTAATGCGAGCGTGGACTCATCGCGGAAAAGTCGTAAAACAATGCTATCTTTTATCTTCTCTGATCAGGTTCGAAGCTTTTTGCGGCTACGATTCCTCATGTCGTTATCAGAGGAATCATCAGAGTCGCCAGGTCTATACTCTGCGTCGTCATTTCTCTTTCTCTTGGATTGAGCACTTCTAGGAGTACCGCCACGAGGACGACCGCGACGGGGGCGGCCACGACCATGACCACGACCACGCTTCGGAGAGTCTTGGTATCCGATAGCCTTCGAAGCATTGGGGAATTGGGAAGGTGTTGGTGAGGAGAGGTCCGTATCAGCAGTACCGTCAGAGCTGCGTTTCTCGCGAGAATCCGTATTAGAGGTATTAGGAGTACTGCTGCTAATATCATCGGAGGTAAGAGGCGTGGGGACGTATTTCTCCTTGTTGAGAACCTTAATACGAATAGGAGTGGTTGTGATAATGTCATTGGCGGACTTGCATAGGCGTGTGGTGGTGTTACTGTTCCTTACAGCAGCTCGATTGAGCGCAAAGGTCATCTTGGTGAATTTTTCATGCATGAGCATGACGTGGTTCAGGGCAGCCTGGTCTGGGATGCCGCGGTCACCGATTCTTGGGTTAAGGGCGTCGACCTCTTTGCCGTAATCAGCGTCGTCGTAATCGCTGTCGTATTCTCCAGCTAAGGCCGTCGCATGTTCCCAGGGTCCGTCGTTTTCGCGGTCACCAGCTTGCGGCCAAGCCTCGGCGGAACGATGAATGAAACGCAGGCCAGCCTCAAAGGCAGCGTAACGGCCTTCATTGGTATCCATTGAGATGCTACGTGTCTCGATGTCATTCGAATCTTGCTTGCTGTTGACTTGGACCGAGTCGTTTAGGGAGGGTTGACGTTTGCTATTGCCCATTTTGATGGCTTTACGTCCTGTAGTATTGATTGCAGTAGGTTCTTGATTGATGTGGGTGAATAATGGGTTGATATTCTTGATGGTGATGGGTGCGAGAGGTTGGTCAACACCTTTGGTTAGGAGTCGGAATTGGCGTCGTTGTAAGATTGTGCGATTGGGTTTAGTGGAGGAGGAGGATTGGCGAGAGGAAGGAGGGTTGGGCCCGGAGGAAGCTTTAGAAACGATGGCCAATTGCTTTGGGAGGGCGCAGAGTCCCGGGGTAACTACCTCAGGAGTTGTCTCCCTTCCTGGACAAGGCGGGTACCACTGCGCAACCCCCACAACATCTATATAATATTTGGATGCGTCCAAGTTAGCCGGCCATCGGAAGGTGATTGGCGAAACCGGGGTTCTATCTGCGTAGACTTCGACTGGGAAGTCGGCTTCCCATGGGCTCGCAGAGACAGTGTCGCCATCAATGCTCATCGTCGCAGAGGAACCATCAGATGGCGAGGGCGGTGGAGGTGCATAGACATCCTCATACCAAGGCAGTGATTCAGAAGACATCTGTAGATAGGATCAGCTTATTGCTAGGGACTGGCAAACGACCGTAACATAAGCCTCGGAGGTCTCCCAGTGACACTACTGCTACGTGTATCATGTCCTTCCAACAAAAATTGTCTCTCTCATATAGATATGGGATAAGTGAGTTTGATGGGGGAAAAACTAGAAACATCTGACTGAATGAAAATCAGTTATCGTCACTAACCTTCTAGTTTTCTTGAAGTCGTTCCAGTAATAGATTGTTGTGTTTAGTGAACAGACGAGTTACTTTGGGCTGACTTAACGTCTGACAATAAAGATGGTCAGAGGAAAGGGAAAGTAAAGATAGTTTTAAGGATCAGAGAAAAATTAAAAAATCTGTGTGTGGGTTGAAAGTTGTGTCTCTTTTATCTAAAGCAATCCTCGTCAGTTGAGCAGTGCACTATGAGTCGAATGACCGTACCTAATTTTATATGGGTGGTCCTTGCTGTTGGCCGAACACTGGGATAAGCACCTCTTTGAATAAAAACTTAATTTTTATCGTACCGGGGGTTTCTTTAACAAAGGTGTGCTCTACCCTGACCGGAGGCTGGAATCTTGATTTCGATCGTGGAATATGGGACGAGGAAGCTTTTATTGCAGGTAGTACTAACAGCTGCGGCCATTCGAACGATGAACAATGCACAGCTGCCATAAAGTATTGTGTCTAATTGAAAGGCAAAATAATAAGGTAGGATATCCCTGACTAAATCACTACAACGAGAAGTCAAGGAAACGCAAGAAACATTTCAACAATGCCATGGATAGCACAAAACGATAGTGCTACAAGGGTGGTGAGTACCTAGGTACAATAAAGTCAGTGTCTTTTATCAGGGAGAAAAATATATTAATGTGGTTATTGCATTCTTTTGGATTTTTTCCTCATCGTTCATACCTTTCTCTCATGACTACCATCATTGTTGACTTAATGCCATGCCTACCTCCAGTAGAGATAACTGTGATCGAGAAAACTACTATAGGAAGTAAAGTTTTCAACTTTGATTGACATGGTGACTTGCTTCTTCCCCATGAGCTATTTGAGGGTATCATTACAATGGTATTTTACCAATTATTCATTTGGTCTGCATTCTATCTACTATGATGTATGAACATGTACCTGAGTACATCTGAAATTAATATGGCCAACAAACTATATAATACGTTGTGCTCCTAGATGTGCTATGGACCAAATATATCCAAGAAAGCAAATTAGAAATGTAAGAGCATATGGTGATTCGGGAAATCCGAGTAACCTAGCAATGTCCAATATTCATACGGTGACTCAGGTTGCCACCTAGGTGAGTATTTAATCAGTCGAAATACTACAGGTCAGATTCCTCAGCTCACGGGTTCACTAGCTACTTGATTTTTTGGTTGAAAGCGTTCCAATTTCGCTTTGTTCCTAAACAACAATAGATTGTCTTTCGACAAAGAAGATCGTGTGGCAAATTCTAATGCCCTGGAGGACAACACATGGTATTTCTCTTTGCTGGTGACTAACTTAAGAGTTCACAAGCTTCTTAGGACGTATCTATAGTTCAACGTAGCTTTATGTAGACTAATGTGTTCTTGAATGTTGAATGCTATGTGAATCTCTTTGAGTCTTAGGTATTCTACCACGGTCAACTCTGACTCGCTGTATTCACGACGTTTTAGTGGAAGAGTCCTTTACGTCAGCAATAAGTTTTAACAGACGTGTTTCTGTCTCTGCGGTAACTCCCTTAGGGTAGTACTGTGACGGAGGGATTTGACGTGGTAGAAGAGGGTCTTCGTAGTCTCCTACAACAGGTGATGCGTCAGCAATTAGTAATCAACCCTGGGACTGTGATTCTGAATTGATACGACATGTGAATGAAAGGAATGATATCTAATAAACTCACTGATATTAAACATCTGATCGGAAAGCTTAGCTCGTGCTAGTTCAAATTCCTCTCTAGATCTCTTGTCGTTCCAGTGGATAGTTTTGCCTTCAATGGAATCAGGGGTGAAGGCGTTTCCACTAAAGGATTGGGATTGGGTAGGCGTGTGGACTTGGGCCGACGCGCGGGCCGCGAGGGGACGGGATGAATTATTCTGCATAGCTCAAAGTAATTTCTAGGGTTGAAACCTTTGTAAAAAAAAGTAGTGAAATCGTAACTGTTCTTATGGATCTGAATAAGCCATATGTAAGTAAATTTCTAGGATATCTTGATGGTTGAACCTACGAGTTACACCAAAGACTTCAAGGTTATAGATGAAGACTAGCAGTGTATCGAAAGAATATTAGTGAGTTGAAACGGTCACAAAGGTGACTGGTATAAGCCCCTAAGTTTATATAGAGGGATGACCGCTTCCTAGTCAAATAAGTTTACTCTGGTTTCTGAAATGAGGCGTAAGGGATTATTCTGTATTTTCTGTGTCGAATGTATGTATGTCTAATGAACAATGAAGTTGGAGCGTAATGGCGGTAATCGCCGGCTCTAACCAGGTACCTAACTTCAAGGGACTTCAAGACTCACGGTGATTGGCTCCCCGCTTTACTTTAGCTATGGATGATACCTGTAACCCCCCGTAGGTCAGCTAAACAGCCCCAAAATTAGGTAATCGACCCTCCCTAAACCTTAAAAAATGCCCGCCGACCCGCGTCGCACACACACGCAGGACGGCCGTGGAGTAACTCCATTCGCGAAAATCTCCCCTCCTAATTCTAACACTCATTTTTTTAATATGACCTAATATGACCACATTCCTGTCGCCGTGACTTTTCTAAACGCCGGAAAAGATACAATCGTTCTTAGTTGGATACACATATCCATCCTCTAATCACATACAGTCAATAGTCGTTAATACCCTCCCAACTTCGATCTATTCCCACAATGGCGAGAAAAGCAACAACCAAAGTCCCCGACGCATGGGAAGACGACGACTGGGAAGTCCAAGCCGACAAAGCCGCCGCCGCCGACGAAGAACCAACCTCCACCTCCCCACCAAACCCTCAAGCCCAGCTCAGTCGCGCCGAGCGCCTAGCCCAACACGCCGAATCCAATCGCAAGCTCTGGGAATCCGCGTACGTCCCCATCTCCCCCTCTCCCTTCCCCCACCAACCGAACTAACCCTCCGCTCACAGCGAAGCGCCTCCAGAAACATTCCACTACTTAGCCTCACGCGCCGACCCGCCTCTAACCAGTACCTTCAAACCCGCGGTCAAAGTCCTAAGCCGCAAGCCCACCTCCAACCCCAACGACCTAGACGACGACGACTTAGCCTCTAAAACCCCGCAACTAACCCCTTCCGAGATCCTCGCCAAACAACAGCGCGAGCGCGAAGAGAAACAAAGACGATACGACGAAGCGCGCGCCAAGATCTTCGGCGCAGGTAGTTCGAACCCATCTTCCGGAACTTCGACACCGGGCGCTGTAACACCGCCACGGTCTACGGACGGAGGGCGGGGCGGTCCGCGGGGCAGAGGGAGGGGAAGAGGAGGTGGTGGACATCGGTATAATGAGAGTCGCGATAGGGAGGGTAGTCAGCGACCGAGTAGCCAGTCTGGCGGTGGTAATGGGAGGGAATTGTACGACCCGAATTACTCACCGAAGCCTGGTTTCCAGTTTGAGAGAAGAGGTGGAAATAACGTTGGTCCTAACTACAACAACGATGGTGGCGCTCCATTATCACGACGTTCGACACCACGCGAAGAGGATCAAATCATCCGCACGCCGCGAGGCCCTGATGGCAGTGGAAGAGGAGGTTTTGGATTCGCGAAGCGAGGTGCCAAGGGCAGCTGAAAGAATTTTACTTTATTTTTGGTTCTATATGCAAGACTATCGCTACCGACTACCAGCCGCCGCCGATCTTGCCGGCTAATTGGACAACTCTCTCCGTGTTACCGGCCGTTTTGTCCTTGCCCACATCGCTCACCACCTCGCGATAGCTCGTGTACGCCAGTCTATCGACGTCTATACCGGTTATGCCCGCCCAATGCGCCAGGGTATCTCTAATATATGATGGGGAAATGCCACCAACAACGTCACCACTTTCATGCGCCCAACCTTCATTTACTATAGTGGAGTTATCGCCATCGACCTCTGAGTCGATACCGGAGTCCTCAGCCGAGAAGTACGCTTCGTCAACTTGCGCCAGCCATTGCTTCTGTTCTTGCGGCCCAGGCTTCGACTGGAAACCTCTGCGTTCGACAACTATTGGGTCGTCGGCCTTGATCTGGCCACCTCCATTAGTGCAGCCTCCAGGACATGCCATGATCTCGACATATGCGTACTCCAACCCAGTCGGTTTTCCTGCTGGCTTTCGAGTTGCGCCCACTGGTCTAGCGCCCGGCATCCGCGACGGCCTTGCTGGCTTCAACCTCCGAACTAAGTTCTGAATATTGCGAAAGCCGTAATACCTCGCGGCTTTAAAAACGGGCTCCCCTGCCGCCGAAATGACCGTGTATTCCGCGACATCAGCATTTCGGCCACGCGCCGCTTCAATCCTCGAACCAGGATGCCGCACAGATATGTACTTTAATGTGTAATATAGATTCCCTCCTGACGTCCCTGCTAGGGGATCCGATTGGGCAATTCGTGAGCGAGGAGGGAAGAGGAACCGTTGTAGTGTAGGATCGGGGAAAGGGGTCCGTAGTGAAGTAGGAATAGGTGATCTGGATAATCCAAAGAAGTCAATATTCCTCGACTCCGTCAACATTAATATCTCCTTGCTTGTGATCACACAATCTACGTCCCTAGCTCCTCTGCCGGGTTGTCCACTTCCATTCCACACCGAATCCGTTAATTCCTCTCGACTTGCTTCTAATTTCTTGTCAAAGCACGGCATAACAGCTAAGTGCCATATCCGATTCGGTGGTATACCTAAAGTCCGACTAAGCGTAGTTTTAAGCAGCGTCCCCATAAGCGCCTGCGGTGACTTAACTTTCGAAATATGCGGTAGCACATGCGGATGTGTTTTCTCAGCGTAACAAACCCAACCCGGACAACTCGATGTTAAAATCGGCTTCGCCACATTCCCGCCATCATCGAGTGCTTCTTCTGCACCTAGCACTAAACAAGCCTCTCGCGCAGAATTCGTATCAACGACCCATGTAAACCCATTATTCCACTTCCCACCCGCGCGTAGCCCCTCAGCTCCCATAAGGAGCTGCGATATCATACGTCCGGCTTCGCGCTCGCTAACCCCGTGCCCAGTGGCAGCTGCTAGACTAGCGCGTGTCTGTGGGGATACGCTCGCGACGAAGAGTTTGCTATCTGGGTTCTCGAGACCTTGCACTTCGAATGTGGAGTCGTGTCTTTGCGCGACGCGGAGCGCTGGGGCGCTGTCGAGGACGCTGAGGAGTTCGGCATGGCTTTGGAGACTAACGAGTACGGCTTCGGCGGATGTCACGCAGCCGGAACACGCGAGACAATCTGTTAGGGATATTTGCGCGGGACCGGCGTTAGCGGCGGGTTGTTGGCCGTCGAGGATTACTTCGTGCTCGAGGTCGTTGGTTGGTGGGGGAGGGGCAGGGAGGGTTTCGACTGGTTTGATGCAGGCTACGCCTGGGGATATGAAGTCGTTTAGGTCGTCGGCGGAGAGGATTGCCGACATTGTGATGGGTCGGTGGTTTGGAGGAGAGGGAGGGAAGTGAGGGAGAGTCGGAGTGTGGGCGGCTCGTCCCTTAATCGAGAGGTTTTATCGAGAGGTCGTGTTTTGGCTTGGGAGTATCAGATTCGTATAGATTCCAGACGTAATAACTATAAGTAGCGTGAAGACGAAGGGACGATATGACGACAGATTAGATTGTCTTTACGTGAAGGTAAAATGAAACAATATATGCTTGTATATGCCAGAATGGTTCGTTTCAGGGAAATAAATAACCTTAAAACCGTCTGAAATATGAAGAAATTCTTAAAGTTTTGGGGGGTATCACGGTGGATAAGTTGCTTTGAAATGCGCTTTCTTCAATTTTTTGTCATGCGAAATCGGCTCCCTGGCATTGGACCGGTCGGGTGGCGGCTACCCCCACTGAGGACGACTCTCCGCGGGGTTACTTGTACTTAGCTAATACAGTACAAATTCACAAGCTAAACGTTCTCGGCATACTGTGTTCTCACCTCGCGACCCGTTTCGTGAAAAAAGTGACGTTATTTAATTGATCTAAGCCTCAACTATTTATTATGTAATTTGTATGTGGTAAGATATCTCGGTATATGTGGTCCATTATGAGGCTCTTAAGAGAAGGATTCCATATGCCAAGTAGATGGAAGGCTACGCGCTATTAGATTATTTTGGCTTTTGAAGCTGGCACTTTCTTACTTGACTTGTGCCTTTACTAAACACAGCATAAATGACTAGAGAATCCACTACATATTCCATGTCAAGTACCTGCCTGATATGCTGTGTGAGTATCTATATGCCGGTAATGAGTAAGGTGTTAGTGTGTGATTACACGATATACCTGCTTTCTCGTATACACATACTTCATGAACTGATCGATGATGTCGAAAATCAAGTAGGGTCACTTGGGTAAGTGATATTGAGATAGCATCATGCGGGCCACAGTGGTTTGTTGCAACGAGGTTGGCGTATAAAATAGGTAACGATCCATGAATATAATAGACATCACTTTACAAATTACTATCACACTCATGGATATCTTCAAAAAGCATTTGAGAGGTATTTCCCAACAGAAGAAAAAAACGTTGTATAAGCAAAGACGAGCGAGCATCCCAAGCCCCGTCCCTATGTCATGAAACCAAAACGAGTTCGTCCAGTATCGTCATATAAACTGATCGCCTCGAAAGTCCGATTTGTATACCCCTTAAGCTGGAAAACTCAATACATCTGAAAATAGACGCCAGCGATTTCCTAGGTAATATCACCCCTTCGCGGAAGCTTCATCACCGTATCGAATTTTTCCCTTTCATTTCCTACGAGGTCGAAGTGTACCGTCGAGGTGATAGCCCACAATGGGCAATATTATCCGACTCTCCCCCTAAGAAACAGACTCCTCCGAAATAGCCGATCCCTTCTCGTTGCTCTAGGCATCATTATCATATCGGCTTCGCTAAGGGAGTTCCTTAGCACATCTCGAAGCAGCATTCGCAGCAGTCGGCACAGCACTCGCAACCCTCTTCACAGACGAAGCAGCAGCACAGCGCCGCTAGACAACCCTGAAGGCAACCACCTCCGCCGGACTTTCGCTCCTGGGGAGGGGGTTGTTGCTGATATTGCATCTGAGGTTGACCCTGGGGCGGTCCGTAGTATTGGCCGGGGGGGGGACCATAGGCCTATGGTTTCATCAAGTTAGCTATTGTTACGCTCAAAGAAATTGTTATGTAGCCTAAGAGCGGTGGTGTATGCGATCATCTATAGATTAAAGGTGACATTTAACTCAAGATTGCGTGCTGACCCAGTAGTTTGGCGCAGCTCGCGGGGTACAGCGATGCCACAGGAAGATGATTTCTTGGCATCCGAGATAGGTTTTGGTGTTTCAAGAGGATTGCGACGTTTCCTTTCTGGGGATGTTGAAGCGATTTTTTTATTTTGAATTGTAACATACCGGTTGAGGCTGTTGCGGGTAACCACCATAGCCTTGAGGAGGACCCTGCTGATAGTAATCGTGGCTGGCCATCTTGGAGTGATTTGACTGGTAAAATCTGGATTGCGGATTTCTGCGACGATGAGATCGGAGTTAGCCAAGGAAATCTAACGGTGCGGGAAGGACAAATGTATCCGCCAAGAGCGCAAAGCTTACAAAGCTTGAACTAAATAGGAACATTAAATCTATCAAATGCGCTGCACGTACCTTGGGTTTTGTTTGCTCCTCAGGAGTGGACGATGAAAAAAGAACGGATTGGTTTTTGTCGCGAGAACAAGAAAATGAGGATAGAAGGTTGATGGTGACGACGAGAGAAAGAATCTAGTTAATAAGTAATAATAGAAATTGAAGGTCAAGAACGGGGTCGAAGGGTGTGGGAAAAAGAAGGAGGTGGGTCAAATATGTAATTGTACTGGCTGGAGAGATGCCCTGTAGCAAAAGTACCCTGAGGTACCGCAGACTAGTAGATAATTTTCGTACCCGCACTCCAGCGTTTTTCGCATTGAGATGGTCATGCGTTCCTTCTTTTGGGAAGAGTTTCAAGGGAGACACGCATGTACCTGAAAGAGTACAATTGTATTGTAAGGGTACTATTTCCGGTGCCTCTTTCGCTGTTTCGGATGGTGACTACCTAGCTGCAGCAAGAATGTACCTGCCTGTAGATACATACGTGCCTATCTTAGCTGGCCTTAGCTGGCCTACCTTACCTTTTCGGTGGGTAGCTACCTAGCGCAGCGGCAATACGGCACGCAATTAGGAGTGGCTCAGCTAGTGGAGGTATCCATGCGATCGTACTTTACCTACGTAATTATGTACAATCATTGGATTGTTCATTAGATTCAAATTATTCGAGGTCCACCTAAGGGACTACTTTATGTATGTATTATACGTAACATACATAGCGCAGTGCATATACTACACACCACCACATGTTCAATGTCCCCAATGTCCACCTAATGTATCTTTTTATGTACGTCTTCCTGGATTCACCATACCATTTTCGCCTCTTCGAAACGCGTCACGCCTGAAACTCTTCAGCCCCTTATTCACTACACACACATGCTACATACACATACATACATAAATGAGTATGCTCTTTGGCCTTAGGCTTTATATGCTAGGCCGAAAAAAAATGTTACATCTCTTTATCTTAAAAGACGGGATGAGGAGTCCGGCGTTATAAAAGGAGCGGTAACACGGCATCCCCCTTTGTGTTGCGATGATCATCTCACCAACTAGAGGATCTTTACAGGATCTAATAACGCTTGAGAGCAACTGAATCGGAATACTTTAGCTTACTTACCCGCCTACCTCGGCGTTAACTGCCTCCAACAAAGACAGTTCAGACATGGTAAAATTAGGTAGTGTGGACAGCGCATAAGCTACATAGACCGCTCCTTGATTCTCTCGAATGTTTGAGGTACACACATATCCGAAGCCTACGAACCTTTCTCATTGGACCGTTGGCGGCCTCCAACCCGATATCCCATCAGCCACGTACGGGTAGTATGTTACCTTGGCTATGTAGGTGGTAAGTTACGTGTTGCACTTCAGAGAGCTTTCTGTCCTGTAGGCCCCCACAGTCTAGCAATCTAGGTCCATGTGGGAATAGTAAGAGGTTCCAGTTGGGAAAATGAAGGCTGTAGGAAGTTCGCGCTAAAGAGGCCGAGATATCCGCTTACACATGCAGAATAGACCAGGCTAGGTACGGTTTACACGGACTCCAGGGCTCTTCATTGCGACCTTACCCAATCAATTGGCTATTAGCGCCTTGTGTCGCCAAGAGAATGCGGCAACTTTCATCCCGACTTCATCGAGGTTGTGAAGAAACAACGGTAGATAGTAGAAGCGGCGCTTAATTTTTAACCGCTATAATCGCCACGACTCTACTTTCACCTATCGTTCTTATGCGCCCGTTGAATTAATTATTCCTAATATTGATTTGCGATATATACCGAGAATGTGGTATATAGAACTGAGCTCCGAGACATTGTGGAGGCCTCCTCACAGCCAAGGAGATAGTCCGGATCTTCACTTACTACGCTACCTACCTAGTACATAAGTAGATATTATTGATTTAATTTATCGAAAAGAACACATGCAAGATACACTTCCAACTTGATATTCTCAAAAAATCTAAATACCTACTCTCGGACTTGGGTATCAAAGACCTAGCTAGCACTAGCCCTGTATGAAACATCAAAGTACCTAGATCCGATCGTAGGGCTGATGGCTTCAGACGCCAAGAGCCATCCCTCGGGAAGAGCCCGCAATCTTAATCTTGACAGGTTGAAAGTACATACATAGTAATTCTTCTTTTGACGTAAAATGGAAATGCAAAGTCTTTCTTTTTGTTCAGTTCGGTAGTACCTACGGAAGAAATAAAATAATCCACTCTCGTCCTCTTACGTTTCCATTGAAAAGTTGACATCGCCTTTTATCTAATTCCTCTCCAAATCAACAACTACTATTCTGATGTAACACTTTGTCGTCGCGTCGTCCCGTGAGAAAAGAAGTCATATATCACTGATCTAGTTCCACATAATTGGCGGGGAATAGACCGGAATCGCCGTTGTAGTGGCCAAACCACCAGTCCTCGTCCGGGAATTCCAAGTTCGTGACTTTAGCTCCTTCGGGGAAACTCAGTTCTATACCGATTTTGTTAGTTGCACTGTTCAATTATAACAATAAATGTCAGGTAGAAGTAGCTTACCGTTATCTTCTGCGGCTTCATAATCGAATTGGGCTGTGGCTGTAGGGCCACTGCCAGCTGCAGGCTCGGGTTCAGGCTCAGCAGCAGCGGGTGCAGGCGGAGGAGGTACCGCCGCGTGGCTAGCAGCCGGTGCCTCAGCTTCGTCTTCAACAAGTTCGACATAATTGCTAGGGAACAAGCCCGTCTCTCCTTGAGAGTTGGTACCCATCCACCAGTCTTCGTCCACCATTTCAATGTTAGTGACGTATTCACCTTCTCGGAGTTCCAATTCGTTGTCTTCAGCTTTCTCATAATCGTATTGGATTAATGCGCGCTTGCCTCCAGAAGCTGCAGCTGGTGCTTCTGCCACCTGCTCATGGCCAAACTGGGACTCAGCAACAGCCGTGGCTGCAGCACGAGGGTCGTAGGATTCATGCTCTGCTGGAATCTCTTCCTCCTTGGGAAGTTCTTGTTCGATCGGTCGAACGGGAAGTGATCGGGGAGGCTCGTGCGCGGGTTCGATCTCTGGCTCGGGTCCGCGAGGCACGGGAACTGCAATACGAACAGGCGATTGCTCTCGTTCAGGCTCCTCTTCTTCATCTGTGACTGGAGGAGGACGAGGGGGCATACCAGGCAGTGCAAACCCGCCAGAAGGTGCACCGTCGGAAGGTCGTGAGGCCAGGGGTGGTGGCGGTGGCGCTCGGTCGTTGTCTTCAGCCGGCGATGGAACCTTAGGTGCTGCCGGCGCAGGGGCGATGATTGGTGGCGTCTCCTTGAAGCGGTCGCGCAAAGCACCGACTCCGCCTGATGGAGAACCCGGCGCCTCTTGGCTGGTCTCAGTCTCACCAGTCTTCTGTCCTGGGATGCCACGACCGTATGAACCCGTTTGGACTGTTGCCCAACTCTTGCCTGTGTACCCGCTCTGCCACCCGCTTCCACTACCGCCACTAAACTGCGGCGCGACAGGAGAAATGGGTTTAGCGGTGCCGGAGGCACCGCCCTGCGCTGCCTTCTTCTCAGCCCAGATCTGAGCCGGTGTCTTTCCTCCTTGGTCGGCGAAAGTTCGACTAGCAGATCCAACAGGAGGAGCAGCAGGAGCTGAAGGGCCACCAAGGCCTAAACCTCCAGGAGTAGGTGCCTTGGTTCCCGTGAATGTAGACGCGCCACCCCATTTCTTTGCAACCTTAGGCTTAGGGAGTTCTGTGATACGCTCTGCTTGGCTGAACGCTGCGCTTCGGTCTGCCAGAGATTTAGACTGCTCGGCAGGCTCCGGTTCAGGCTCGGCATCGGCAGGTCTCTGAGCTTTTGCTCGTATCGCAGCAATATCTACTTTGCCTACTGGCTCGTATGCACCCTTAACTGGTGCTGGTCGGTCATCCTGCTGTTTCTTCGCAGCGGCTCGAATAGCGGCGATGTCAACTTTTCCGACTGGTTGATATCCTCCTCCGATGACATCTCTGGGCCTGTCGTCTTGTTGGCTGGAACCGTTGAATCTGGAAGGTTCTTGCTTTTGGCTGACCAATTCTGCCATGTTGACCTTGGTTGGTTTATAAGCCGATTCCACCTTTTCAATTTGGGTCCGAGAAACTTGTGGGGCGTCTCCCCAACCATCATCGTCGGTCTTTCGAAGGCTTGCATTTCGTGCAGCGACTATAGGGTTGAAGGAGCTAGACGAGCTTGCTGCAGCGAAGACGGGTTTTGACTTTACTGGAGGTGGCCCACTACCAGTTTGTACAGGTGCACTGCCGCCGGCTGTGTACTTGGCACCGGATGCATCAGAAACTTTCTGGAGAATATTCGCAGGTTCGAGGTCGGTTTCAGAGCGAGCGGTGATCTGGACGTGGTATCCCTAATTTCAAGTTAGTCCTATGCTTATACCCTAACGTAAGAAAATGCCAATTTACATACATGAAGTACTTTCGAAACAGCATTCAAATGACTCGTGAAGTAACCTTTCGTCCTCTCGGGAACACCACCGCCACACTGTAAAAATATTAGTCAAGGTCGCGCGATCGTGCCTCAAGATTGAGAATGAGGCATACGAACCCATGCGATTAGGGCATATTTAGGCAAGCCAGTGTTGGGATCTTTGATCTTGAGAAAGGCAAATTGGATACGACCCTCACTAAAGTCCTCGATAAGGTCTTCTAGTTCCCCAGAGCCCGTTGACTGGACCTTTAATACACTTTCTTTGCTCCCGCTATCTTGAAAGGCGTTTGCTAGTGGGGCTTGGACGTAAAATAGAGCCCATTGACCGTATGTGGAAGAACTGCCCGAGGGAGGAGCCGGTGCGTTAATGACTCCCTGATAACTGCTTTTAATCGAGGGACCATTCGTAGAAAGGTTCAACGAAGCCATTTTCGAGGAGCGTACGAAGGTGCAACGGTTTTATTCGTCTCTCGCCCGCTCCGAGGTTTTGGTTGGTATGGGAGATCAGGAGTAAAGTAGTAAAGTAGGGGGAGTGGATGTGATGTCACAGCAATAGCGAGAGACCAGGGAGCTTGTAGTATAGTATTTGGTTGCCTAAGCTCAAGTGATACCCGACCAATCTTAATGGGGCACTCTAATAAGTTAGGTAGTAATGTTTGTGTCTCGACCGCGATTATATGAATTCAAGGTTGCAATGACAAAAAGGAAAAAAAAAAGATGAAGTCTTCAGCAGTTCCAATTTATCGATAGTTTCGATTCGTGCCTGGCGAGCAATTACTTGTCTGGCTGGTTCATTACGACAGAAAGTGGGCTGTGCTTGCTGCCCGGTCCTCGGGGTCGTTCAGTTCAGGTCCTTCCAGCGCCTTTTCTCAGGTACCTACGTACCCCTCATACATCCACCTGCAATGTTCAACGTTGGATTGCTCTTATGTGGGGCCTACCTCAGGAGGATTGACAAAGTTGATTGGTGCGTCACTGGGTTGGTACCTCAACATCTATATTCACCCCCTGTATATACGGCGTGTTATGTAAGTTTAATGGTACTACCATAGATGTACCTAAGTACTTGCACTAAATTATCCAACGCGACTGGTTAGAAAGCCCTTGCGCCGTGGAAGCATCAATCAACTGGAATAATTTAGCTATCTCACCTACCTAAATGTTTCTATTTCTCTGTCTCTAGTTCACCGTCTCGGGTCACACAGCCAACTTCTCTGGCGTTGACCCTTTTGACATTCAATCGCCGATTTAAGAACTCTTCTATCATCCGACTTTTCAACCTACCTCCTCTAGACATACGACGGTAAATTCTAAATCTAATCGCGAATCATCGCGCCTAAGATCTCGTCGCATTTAATCTATTCGCCATCGTCGACACTCGAAGTTTGAGTCATTAGAACGAGTCAAAATGGTGTTACTCTCTGATTCATCGTCGATAAGTTCGCTATCATCAGATTCACCTGAAGCCGATAATGACTTCGACGACACCGGCGTAATTGATGAGCCAGCCCTACCCCCAACAAAGCGACAAAAGCTAGGCGATGTGTCTAGAGCCTCTTCTGCCATCCACATAGAACCCGAGCCCGGACAAGAATCGGATCATGATCTTGACGGCGACATTTCCTCAGATACTTCAGGTGATATACCGAATTCGCCGATAAACGCGAAACTTGATGAAGATGAGTTCCAGGAGCAGGTTACAGTTTGCGCGTGGGATGGATGCCGTACAGGTGATCTAGGGAACATGGACAAACTAGTTGAGCACATACACAATGACCATATCGAGAGCCGCCAGAAGAAGTATACCTGCGAGTGGATTGGCTGTCCTAGAAAGAGTATGCCGCATGCCAGCGGCTATGCTCTGAAAGCCCATATGAGAAGTCACACAAGAGAGAAGCCGTTCTATTGTTACCTACCAGGTGAGATTAAGCTGCACCACAACAATGTGGAAATAATTACTAACTATAGTAGAATGCGACCGCGCGTTCACCAGATCCGATGCACTAGCGAAACATATGCGAACCGTCCATGAAACGGAGGCTCTTCGACCTTCTGATCCCGTACCGAAGTCTATGCAGACCCAATCCGGACCTAAGTCAGGAAAACTCAAGATAATAATTAAGACTCCGCAATCCCACGCCGCCGGTCAAGACGACGCCGTAGACGACGGGGATACGGGTTCGGACATGGCAGACTTCTTTACACCCCTCACTAAAGCACAGGGCTTTTCCAGCAAGGAGTTGGATATGGATATCAAGTCTCTCTACAAGGTGACCGTAGCGAATCTAAAGTGGGCTATGAAAGAAAGCGAGACTTTGAAACGAGAATGCAAGGAGATGGAAGAAATCTATAAGCAGGAATGGCTTGAGAAGGAGACCTTGCTTGATCAAGTTGTCCAAATCGAGGAAGACTGGTGGCAACGACGCGAGCTGGTTCTCAAAGCAGAGGCTAAGGCACGAATGGCTAAAAAGGAAGAGGCAGGAGCATCACTGGAAGACAACCAAGATGAGGTCAACAGTCTACAAGTCACAGCACCGAGCATCAGCCAATTGACGGACTAGGAGTTTTTCAGGGGGTTCTCTTTCGTAGCAAGAGGAAGGGTATAAGGCTTTGTACCCGCAACTGGATATGGAAGGCGTTTAAGGGAGTACAACTTTACAAGCGGCTGCGTGACGATGCCTTCATAGACCTAAGATTTTCGGGTTTGTAAGGTCTAGGGCATTCGCAAGGGATATGTTAGTGCCCAAAAGTACAGTCACTAGCAAGTAGCTTAATGGATTATTTTGATCATGATATCCGGTACGATTCTGCAACTCCAACGCGATTGGCCGAAAGAAGAACTTCCCTACGGACAAACAAAAAGACAACAAACCCGAACGTTTAATATGAATACTAGAAATTCGCATTTTGGTAGATTTGGGAAGGAATTCTAGCATTTGCAAGAATTTTTCGGATTTCCAAGTCCGAGAGCCGGTGTTCTGAATATAGATAGCATTTAAGTGATTAATGATCCAAATGACAACACAGCTTTCTTGTTACATGGTGGACATGCATTATGGCTTACTTACTTATGCGAGCTCTTATGAGCACTCCCGATTCCGAAAGATTATATCCCACACATTTACCCTCATAGTAATGAAATTAAGTTTGTACACTCGGAACTCGGTGGTAAATGAAAGGACTACCTAAGTCATATGTCAGTGGTGGTGGCGTCTGTTGTGATACCTAATAGTATTAAGGAATCATTTAAAAAGGGGTGATTGTTGGATGACAAATAAAATATTACAGGTGTCTTTAAACTGTGCCAGCTGGCTTTACGCGGTTCTCGGGGAAGGAAAGCACGAGTATCACTCAAAATGACGCAATACCTTTCCGAGGTTTCGACGAGCTGATTGATAAGATCTCTTGGTCTTAAAATGTAATCAAGAGCCCCTCCATTGGATTAAACCCTGTCCAACCTATCCTCCAACCTTAGAGCCGGCGCATCCATCGGAGGGGCAAACTAAAGTGCTTTGCTCTTTACTTTAAAAATAAAAATAACAAATCATCAATCATCTCGATAATTAAATTTCCACCTCCCACCTCTCTCTTCCTTCCGAAAACACAATCGATTTTAATCCTACCGTCCAACTACCTCGCCGTTAAACGAATACATCACATCCCCCGCCGAAAATATGGCGCCATTACAAGACATCAACACCCCAGACGAGTGGAGCGCCCACGTCGCTGCCCTCCCCTCTTCTACCCTCCTCGTCATCTTCTTCCACGCCCCCTGGGCAGCTCCCTGCACACAAATGCGAGCCGTACTCGAAGCCCTCGCCGAAGACTACCCAAAGGAAGGTACGAGCTGGGTCGCAGTCAACGCCGAAGAAGTTAGTGATGTCTCCGAGACCTACGACGTTACCGCCGTCCCTTACATCGTCCTACAACGTAACGACAAAGTCCTCGAGACAATCAGCGGTAGCAACGCCGCCCTCGTGCGAAAAGCGATCGAGGGACACGTCCAGAAAACCACTAACGGGGTCAAGACGAACGGTGTAGAAGCAGCCAAGGCAGAAGGAGGAGATAGCGTCGATATCGCGGTTCAAGAGGAGGAACAACTCAACCCCGAGGAAGAGATTCGCAAGAGACTAGAAGGACTTGTTAAGGCTGCGCCTGTCATGCTCTTCATGAAAGGAACACCCAACGCTCCTCAATGCGGATTCTCGCGCCAGATGGTTAATATCCTTCGCGAGCGCAGCGTCAAGTACGGCTTCTTTAACATACTTGCTGATGACGACGTGCGCCAAGGCCTGAAGAAGTTTGCTGACTGGCCAACATACCCTCAACTATGGGTTTCTGGTGAATTAGTTGGTGGTTTGGATATCGTAAGTTTTCCCTTGTCTAGATTTCGATGCGACAATTGCGTTATTTCTAACTTATGTATCTCTCTGCAGGTCAAGGAGGAACTTGACAACGACCCCGAATTTTTCAAGGAGTTTAGTGTACCCGCCAAGGAAGAGGGCGCTGCCGCGGCGTGAAATAGACAAAAATTTTCATAAAAAAGAAGCCTTGAGGAACTCACGACAGACATTATGATCGGATACAGGCGTTTACCTGGCACGTCAACGAGTCAATAACATGTCATCTAATGGACAGGACATATTAAATATAGGCGATTGAGCCGCGAACCCAGGTATACCTACGTGGGATGGCGTACCTTTGGATGTTTTGGCGATGATTTTCGATGATATTTTATTCGCAAAACTAGGAAGCTCGGTGGAATCTCAAGATTTACGTCGATATGCCTACGGGTCTCGTCAGGAACGACAGATAGTTTCTCGCAATAATAAAGATACCAATAAACTGACCCGCAACCCTACCCATAGTAATGTCAGATTATCTATACTTGTCCTCAAGTAAATGTAAGATACGGCGCCCGTTATTTCCCCTGTCATTTCCCTCGTCATATTTCAGTTATACTACCAGGAACTAGAGTGAGCTTTTCGGACACTAAGTTCATAATGTCCCTATGTGTTTAATTGAAACATAATGCAATCATATAGATACATCTTCCAAGCCCTCATATGTACAAGATATGCCTATTATATGCGAAGAAGTAATCCAAACTAATGTCCCACGCGGGCTTTACATCTAACACCGAGCAAAGGTCCGTGACTTACATTATCATCAGTATGTGGTGTGGCACAATAAGCTATCGCCCTAAGAGCTAACTTCCCATCTTACACCTCACAAACCGCTATTTGGAGAGCAAGGTTAGTGTCATCTCCCATCGTCCCCAAACCCAAAGAAAACCTCATCCTTAGGCGGAGCCCCCTTCCTCAATTCCTCTTCGGGCGCATCACACAACTTCTTCGCATCCTCCGGCAACTCCCATTCTTTCATCACATCCGCGCGGGAGATGAATTGCATCCCCATACCAGCTTCCGAGTGCCATATCACATGGCAATGGAAGAGCCACACACCCGGGTTATCAGCGACAAACCGCAGCAATACCCATCCAAAGCCTTCAGCTGTCACCGTGTCTCGTTTTAGGGGATTGTGGGTAACACTCGAATTCGTGGGATCGAGGAGGCCCTTGCCGTCGGGCTTTAGCCCAAGAGCGTCGTAACCTGGGAAATACCCGTGTCCGGCACCTAGAACCCACATTTGCGTGCCGTGGAGGTGGAAGGGGTGGCTGTTTTCGTCCATGTTTTGGAGGATTATGTCAACTGTGTCTGCGATGCCGTTGTGGGAGATAACTAGCTCGGAGGTAGGGTCGAAGGCGGTGTCCATAATGCCGTCTTTGGTGAAGGACTCGTTGTTTGAGGTGAGACCGTCGAGGACGCGGTGTAGTGTTGGAGATTTGAGGTTTGGTCTGAATGAGGATGCGTTCATGACGCCGCGTTGTAGGCGCCAGTCACCGATCGCGAGGTTTACGCGGAGATACCATGAGTGGTCGGCATACTCAGGGGCTGGTTGCGGCGGGGAAGGGTGTAATGAAGTTGCTGTGTTTAGATCTTTACATGTTGAAAGATATTGGAGGTTGGAAGTAGTTGAAGGTAAAGGAAGGGGCTCATCGTCGTCGTCGTCATCATCATCTTCCTCTACTTCAGTATAGTAACGTACGATGGCTTTTGCCTCGTCAATCCCGTTTTCTGGGAGGTCTTGGCTAGCAAAGCAAGATTTTATCATTCTAGCTCGGAGCCAGAATGAATCCCCATTGGGTTGGTCTGTTGTCAATATTGCGCTATATCTTTGTCCTGGAGCGATTACTAATGAAGATTCAGGGGTAGGCTCTATAGAGGTTCCATCAACTTCGAGAATTGTTAAAGAGTCGTATTCATCTACCGCTACCTGGAACCAGGCGAATCCCCCTACATTAAGGAACCGTAACCTGTGGTTCTCTTCAGGGGCTAAATTCAGGGTCGGGAAGAATTTTTTCTCGTCTGAACACGATCGACCGGGATGGTTCGAACAGTCAGCCTGATTCACCCCGTTAATCAAAGCTGTATTGGGTATGGGTGCATCCTCGACGCCCGGAGATAAAACATCTCGCATTAGCCCACTATCAGAGTCGTAGTACCAGTCTTGGAGCAAGATTACTCGGTCTGACGAATAGAGAATGCGTTGATTTACTTCTTCGTCTTGACTGTGGACCACAAGCGGACCTACAAGTCCGCTAAGGGTCTGGACTCCCTGATGGCCGTGGTAGAAATCTGCATCGGATGAATCAGCGTCTATATCGTGGTACATAATAGGTACAGGAAGTTATAGAATTTCGGGCTTAATAACAGGAGAGGGATACCCACAGGTACCGGCTTGCCCGGTGACATTAAACTTGTACTGGTACGAAGACCCTGGGGCAATTGGGCATTGAGTTACGCCCGCAGCTCCGTCCATCCAGTTTGTACCATTCTGAAAGATCCCATGCCAATGAATGGCGGTGGCGTTGGAAGCTAAATTGTGTACGTTGACTTCGATTATGTCATGTTCGTTGACCTCTATTAATGGCCCAGGAAATTGACCATTAATTGTTATCATTGGTTTAACGATACCATCCGGATTGCCTTCTTTATCGACGATCATCCAATCGTACTTTCGTACTTGGCTAGGGATACTATAATCCCAATTGGGATCTAGTACGTAGTCTTCATCTGGTCGCTGGAGGGGAGCATGCAACGCCTCGTCTAGTGGAGATCGGGTTGGCCGTCCAAGAGTGTCTAATGAGAATGCTAGATATGCCAAGCCGATAATTGTCACGGCACAGGCGAATATAAAGGCCGGGGTTGTGGGACGAGGCCGAGTTATTAGTGGTTTTGTTGTTACCTCCCCCACGCCGTTACGCCCAGATGCAAGCAATTCATTTTGTTCTGTTTCATCACCTTCACGTTCATATTCGGCTTCTCTTTCCTCCCCTTCAACGCTAGAGTATTGAGTTCCCGCCTCAACACGGCGCTCTCCTGTCTGCGATAGAGCCTTCAGCGGGTAGTGAATGACCATCTTTTCAAACACCGAAGTCAACGGAAGGCATTTACTGGCTTGGGGGACTGAGGTCGCCGATTATTGTCGCCTTTCACACAGCATCATGAAGTATAGGTGAAGTATCATCAAGGCATTGTGCTTCGGGTTTTGGCAGACCAGCTGATTAAAGGCAATCAAAATTGATCAGCTATCAACACCAATTGCCTAATTAGTCGAATGATAGACGATGGTGTTAGGAGGATAGTTGATCCAGGCAAAAATATTGACAATCAGATGTATGTAAATGAGACTTCAAATGATTAATATGTTGAGCGAAGTAAGTCTCGAAGTTCGGGATTATCTTTGCATCCTTAGTAGGTCGCGGTGGCGCGCTGAAGGATATGAAACCAGAAGTGGTCAAGCCTGGACACCTGTAGCTAGGCCCCCAGTCGCTGACTGCAACCCTTCCTAGCGATCTGATTGGATCTTGAGTGCACATGTTCTCGCCAGCCGTAGTCCCCGGCGCTATAAATGCGCTGGTCCGGTACGCTAATCGCCGAAACAGTCCGCTCGTTCGGAGTAGAATAGGTGTTAGTCGCAGTTAGAGATCGCAGATAAGTTAAGATTTGATTATTACTTTTTTCTGCAGACGCCTCCGTTTTCCATCGTCTTCCGTGTTCCGTTACACAATGGTTCGGTAAGATCCGCTTCGGAGAACGGGCCGAGGTTGGTTGGTTGCCTCTAGCCCAAAGTGAAGTTACCCCTACATAATGAAAACCAAACATACATTAATTTGCCAATGGGGAGTTGTATCCATCGTCTTTGAGATAAGCTATTGGAATGATATACGAAACGCTCGGTTGGGTAATGTCTATCCACAGCACTAAATAGTCTCCATTCATTACCTTAGGTAGTTTAGTTAATCTTTAGGAAGACTTATCATATCTCCAATTAGCTTAGAGCATACAAAAACTATAATGTTTGTAGCTTAAGTTGTATATGAATTGTTTCAATTAGTTTAAGTTGAGTTAAAATAGTTAGGTAAGTCACCTTGAAAGTGTATACAAGTACGAAATGCCTGAAATGGATAAGATCGGCTTGTTCTTAAAGGCCTTGATAAGTTATACAAATACAGCATTAAGAAGAAACAGGGAACGCCCTCAATTATTGAATAGGTCATCGAATGATATTTCGCTATGGAGATAATAGCTAAAGTCCGTTTTCGTGGTTATGCTTTTTTCTTTGTGGCTTAAGAAAATGCTATTTCATCATTGAGACACAGAGAAGAAAACCAGGCAGCACACATACGTACGATAATGACGGTACCACTCCAAGGATGTAAGCCTACAAGGGTTATGCCGAGTGCTTATGACTCACCTTTTTTTTATTTTTTTTTAATAGGGACATGTACCTAACTACATATGTATAATTGCTGTTAGGCTGGTAGCCTTGCATAAAACTAGATCTTATAGAGTTAATGGTCTTGATTATAGTGGCAAAATGGCAATCCTTTCTACCAATATCCTGTTTCGTCCAAGTAACATGTTTTATCATTCAGGGTATTTCTCTGTATACTAGAGGGATATTATATATGAGAAATATTCGAGTTGTTTTCCCGAGAGTTCATTTTATATAATGATAAGCTCAAAAATACATAGACTCGTATTACAAGTACATACCCAAATACATATGTCGCAATTAGTGCATGATGTACCTATAAGTTGAACCACTAACACGATCAGGAGAATTCCCATGGTCTTTTTTTATACGCAGAAGTTTCTGCCGACAGCTGAAGCGCTAATCCAGTTCGAGTCAGCCGTTAGTAGCTTAATGTTCCCCCACCATCTATATTCAGTTTAGCGGCATCTTTCCGGTGCCTCCATAGCCCACCAGGGCACCTGCCGCCGTCGCAATCCTCACCATCTGCACTCTGCACTTTTACCTAACAAACCGCTTTCTTCTCTCTTTCTATCCCTACATCTCTTGCCATTTTTTCTACCTTTTCCCAATATTATTATAGTATAGGGTGCGGCAAGTTCGCAAAACCCTCCCTTACTTTAACCAACCTTTTACTAGCAATTATTTGCCACTTTATGCTTACGTAGGTACGAACTGTTGTATTATACGCAGCTACCCGTACCTATCTTATTCGCATTTTTACCCGGCGCCAAATGTAATTACTTTATTACTGTCGCGGCGATAGCTTGTCTTGAGACGTGTATGCCAAATCCCGAATCTTTTCTATATCGCATATGTAGAAACTTCAAGTAGTAGAGCGACTGCTTACCAAGAAGATAGAGTATCGTTGCCAATATTATTCACTTCTCGAATCGCTTGTGCGCCGTGACCGCTCCACCCAAATTCGTCTCTATTGCGCTCCACGGAGCGAACGTCGCAACTATAATCTCTATTATACAATCGTAGTGGGAAATAACTACGAGATTACATCCTGGGCGACTCTATAATTATATACGTGGGAAAGTCCGGGTCGTTTATAGCTAGATCCACTCGATCGATCAGTATATTGATCCGGAACCTACGCACTATTGTTCTTCAGCATACCCCTCCGATCGTTTGGTCTGTTCGGGCATACGGTCCATATTAGGGTATCAATTGCACTAGGCCTTCTCGATTTCTGCTCTGAGTGGCTCCACATCGGGCGTTGAGGTAACGAGACAACCTCAACTCGCTTTAGGCTCAGGGCTTCGCATTTGCGAGACTACTTAGCCGTAATCCTCGCACCAGTACTGTACTTGTCTGTGACCGTCGTGTTTCATTGGCCGTCACTACTAGTAAAAGTAGCGGTTTGGCAGACATTACATCACCCTTGGAGGCGTTGTGATCACTATACCCCTGAACTTCCTGCATGAGGCTCTCTATCTCCGGGCTTTGAAGATCCTAGGCGGTAGCCTCTAATTTACCGAGTTACGATCGACGCTTACTCATTGGTTTCTTGTCTCTTCCTCGATCTCCTACTACTCTGGAGTAGGCTTTTGTGGATTGAAGAAGAGGCGAGCCCCTTACGACATTGAAAACTTCCTAAGTCCGGCATACATCGTTAACACAAGAGCGAGCACCCGAAACAAGATTTCTTGATTACCTATTTCGTTCAAATTATTTCAAAATGACCCCCACACCTCCGTCCGCTGCGACATCATCCTCGGGTCATTCGCCCGAGGAGCAGTTTAGGGTGGTCCGTCGCCGAAATAGGGTGCCGCTCAGTTGCTATCCATGCCGAACGAGAAAGTAAGTAAACCGGCCCTTGATAATGCCGATCTGTTTCCCTAATCCAACACTTGGCAGTTCTCTATATTGTGCGGAGTCGCTGACCTGCTCAACAGGTTGAAATGTAATAGGGGAACCCCAAGTTGTGAGAACTGCGTCAAGCGTGGTGACACCCAGTCATGCGTTTACGCTACTCCAACGAGTCGGAGGAAAAACCAAAGTAGTGCTGGAGCTTCTTCGACTCCCGATGATATGCAGAATCGTATTGACCGTCTAGAAGGTTTAGTTCTAAGTTTAATGCATGGCGGCGCCAACATCGAAGTATCTACCTCGGCAAACGCCGCTCCTGCGGAACCATCTTTAACTGATAGCTCCTCGAATAATATCGAACGAGATGATGAGGGTGCCATGAGAGACGATCCCGAAGTCGAAGGAGATGGCGATGATAGCGACGTAGATGACGGCCTAGCTACTTCCCTAGGTGTACTGAAAGTCGACGCGGATAAGGGGAAGTCAATGTACATCGGACAGGAACATTGGCACGTGCTCTTGGCCGATATTGCCGAAGTGAAGAACTTCTATACTTCCCACAAGAAGGACCTCGAAAACAGTTATCAGAGAGTTATGTCTTCGAAACCTGCGACCGCTCGAGATTCGCCCATATTTCTGTTATCTGCACCGCCAGCCACAGAAGTCGAATTAAGAGCGGAGCTTCCTTCAAGGACAGCAATTATGACGTTAGTTTCGAGATATTTCAATTCTTTGGACACTGCGGCAAGTATAGTCCACGGGCCCACATTTCAGCAACAGCTCCGCAGTCATTGGCAGGATCCATCCAAGTCGACCGTTATGTGGCTGGGCCTCCTTTATGCCATGCTGTGTTTGGCGATGCTTAGCTATCATAAGGTAGGAGATGAGCCCCCTGAGTGGAAAGGTAGGTCTTTGGAACTTGCGGCAGAATACCGATTGCGGACAGTACAATGTCTAGTTGTCGCAGATTATACTAAGCCGGTTGAGTACACCGTGGAAACACTACTACTCTACCTATTCGGAGAATATTCTTCACGCTGGGATGCGGATCTTTCACTCTGGATCATTACAGGTATAATCACGAGACTAGCTTTCCGAATGGGCTACCATCGAGATGCGGACTGGTTTCCGTCTGTGACCCCATTCCAAGGAGTATGAACAATTTTCTTGAAACCCAGTCACCTTTATGGCAGAACAGCTTTGGCTAACATTATTGCGTTAGGAAATGAGGCGGCGGACATGGGCCTTAATACGCATGTCCGACATTGTATTCTCATATCAAGTAAGTTATCGAAACATTGACGATCATGTTTGCGATCACTAATATTTGCGAAGGTGTCTTTGCCTACGATGATCTACGAGCACGCTACCGACACAAAACTTCCACACAACATATTCGACGAGGAATTCGGGCCCAACAGCAAGACCTTGCCTAAATCTAGGGTGTTGTCTGAACCGAGTCCGATTGCTTATATGATCGCAAAGACGAAGTTATGTATTGAATTCGGAAATATTCTTCAAGCTGTCACACGAGTGGGCAAGCAAATTAACTACGACGAGATCCTACTCCATGACCGAAAGCTCCGCGAGATCATGAACGAATTTCCACCGCACCTTAAGATTCGACCGTTAGAAGGATCTCATGACCCGGTAACGCTCATCATTGCGAGATTTAATCTCGACATCCTCTATCAAAAGGTTATGTGTATGTTACATAGGAAACACATGATGCGCGCTCGGCAAAATCCGCGATACGCCCACTCGCGTCGCAGTGCGATCGAGGCCTCGCTAGCGATTTTAGGTCATTTGAGAACCATATACCGCGAATGCCAACCAAATGGCCGACTTCGTTCTATGAAATGGTATGTCTCAGCTACGTCAAAAGACACGTTACTTCCAACTGTACTAGTGATTCTCGATCTCCACCATGACCACGCCGCCGCCGTTTCTGGTAAACGTCAGGATTCGCAAACCGCGTACTTCTGGACACCAGAACAAAGGCAGGAAATGATCAGTGCTTTGGAAGGGGTCTCTGATATCTGGAAGTCGTTATCTCATGAATCGGTGGAAGCCTATAAAGCTGCGAATATTCTCGAGATTATGTTAGGAAAGATTAGGAACCCAGAAGTACCAGCGGGGCCAGCAGGGCCGACGGGGCCATCCGACGCGCTTTTCTCGAACTTTGGCGCCGAAATGCTACCTGAGCATTCCGCGGCTATGACTCTCGGTATGCTCTCAGGAGGATTAGCGTCTACTGGTACTGTCCAGTCTCCCGGCGGAACGACTTACCCACCTGTAGGCCCGAATGTAAATATGGATCTTGGTGTAGGAACGGGAACTGGACTTACACCTGAATTCCAACCTGATAATCTTGGTACTGTCAACAACGCTGCCTCGCCCTTTTCTATGTTCACCAGTTTGGGCGGAGGAGGCACTTTGGGATTGGACAGTAACTTCGATTGGGTACGTTCTCACATAAAGAATAATAACAGATTTTTACTGACATAACTCGACAGGACGCATTCGAGAACTACGCGCAGACAGCTACTTGGGGACCAGATCAATCATCGTTCCAATTCTTCGCCGGTAACCCTGACCAACAATCTCAACAAGGATCCTCCGATGGTTCTTTCACATTCCTCAATAACCCCGGTACCCCTGGTACTTGATTCTCTAGATGAACGGGTTATGCGAAAACGTGAACGTGGTCATAGTCATTTAAACGTGGCGCTTGGTTGTGATAAATTGGCTTGGGATGTCAGATACCCGGCGAAAAAGGCTCTTGCTTGCTTGCTTGCTTTCATGCCATTGGAAAGTCCAGCGTATAGGGTTGGCTATTACCAATCTACTTAGGTGGATTTAAAAAGGTTACATAAAAGTAAATCGAATCTGGTGGCAGGACGAAAAAAAATGTACGTATAGTTTTGGCAATATGTCTAGGGTACATAGTCATCCATCACAACTCTCCTCTGGAGGTCCACGGTTACCTCAAGGATATTCTAATCCTTAAAAAATATGATTACTTGTGAATTATGCGATATCTAGGGTGGCTGTCATGCTTTTGACCCCGCCATACATTATCCACAGTAAGACGTGACGAAATCCTTCATATAAGCATCACTATTTCTGTTGGTTCATTGTTACATTTATCTTCTTTTGGCGGCTCATGGCCTCGCATGGCAAATTCTTCAGCAAAACCAACAGCTTCAAAAAGTGGTCGGATCTAAGGCTGGGGATCATTGATCTCACCAACACATAAAAATAAGACATTAAATCAATTCCACGTGATACATTTAGCGACAATTATAATCACAGCATTCATCGAAGAGTAAAAGGTTCAGACCGTTAAATCGTCATATAAGACAGTAGATTCAAAGATCATTGTATATGTACAAATAGAAGCGAATAAGATCAAAGCATTCAAAAACCGAGCAGAACCGCTCTTTTCCCCGCTAGACAACCATAAGACATGATGCTATAAATGCCCACGCGTAAATGTTCATACAACCACCAACCCGACCGACCCCAACTCCGGATGTCTGGTTATTGTTGTTGTTTGTCGCCTGCCCTTGTCCATTCCCAGACGTCGAACTATTGAGAAAAGCGCTCCCGTCATCGGGAATTCAACCCGAGAGGTTAAAGGCGGTCTTGGCGCGGTTCCAGTACTCAAGTCGGTCTGGGGTGACGTCGGTGATACCGACACATGACATGTACTGTTGGAAGCCAGCGTCGGTACCAGCCTTCAGGGCTTCCTGGATATCGGTGCTGCACTGGGTAGTGAAAAACCAAGGTCCGCTGCCGAAGTTGTACTCATCGGGGGTGACTAGTGCGAGGATCTCATTCTTCTTGTTGTCATCGACGCTCTCGGTGACACCGGAGAGCTTGTCCTTTAGTTCCGGGATGGATTGCGCATACTTGAGAGTGAAGGGCCATTGCTGCATGTTGCTAGTGCCCTGACCGGGTCGACCCGGGGAGATGTTGTGCTTGTACTTGTAGTCGTCAGACTCAAAGGCTGTTAGGGCAAGAATACCAGCGATCTGAGCCGCATTCTTGACATTGTACTTAAGCATAGCGTCGGCGAAAAGAGGACCGGCCTGGACATTTGTGCGACACTCGTCCGTGTTGTCGCATGTTGCAGATTTGGGGGCAATCTCGAGGATGTAATCCGAGGCCATCTTAACACCATCCCTAGCCTGGACAGGGGCGGCGATAGTTTGGCCGGCCATGAGAAGGCCGGCAAGGGAAGCGAGCTGAAACTTCATGATTGCTGATTTGATGAGGCTGGCTCTCTGGAATCTTTTCCGTTTTCGTGGATGAAGAGAAAGTTGATAAATTGGGACTTAGCCAATGTAGAGAAATAAATGGATAATTGATCAACGTCTTTTTCCACCAGCGAAAAAAGAACAGCAGTCCTAATGATATATAGGAAGTGATTCTGAAACGAATTGATCTTTATTGTTTGCTATTGTTCGTATATGTTTGCCTTGTGATTTATTCGGTCCAATGCTCCGCCTGAGGGAGTATAGTGGCTTTGTGTCCTTGGCAACGAAAATAGAACGAAAGAAAGTGAGAACCACTAAGGGTTGTTGGTGCGAAAAGAAAGTGATTGTTAGAACACAAGAGTAAGAAATTCCCTTGATGTAGAATGTAAAGAGTGAAATTGTTGCCAGACGCCACGATACCCAAAGGATGGATGGAGAAGGGGTGAAGTGAGCAAGAATTCTCGGGCACGGCTGAGTGGGAATAGCTCGTGATATATGTAGCTATATCAGGTGGCAGGTATTGGACAAAGAGACTTTGACTTACTGCAAATGGCCGATCCTTCCGGGGGTATTGTCTTACCTTGAAAAGGAATAACAGCTGAAGAGATGTTCATTTGTGCCGTTTGTGAACGTGATAGCCCCTGAATTGTGAGGATAGACCATGGATGTGAGGATTTTGCTTAAACTTACTCGCCGGACTTCCCAGTTATCGCTAGTACCAGAGGGGTGGTGATGTGCAGCTACGCCAGGGGGTAACAAGGGGTTATGGAGGTAACCAATCATATTTCCCAACGCCCCCTGGGTCCAGCCAGTTAAAACAAAAGAACCCCGTGTCACTAGAATGTTTCAAACAAGATTCTTCAAGTTGATTGGATAATAAGCACCCTTAGTGCTGTGGTATGGTCGGTGTTCACGATGCTCGACTGTCCGATGGCCTTAATAGGGGCCAGAAGGAATCGGAGTGAACCGAAGTGCGGTTGCTGGACATTTTCTCTGCAAATTTGTTCGTATGTTCTGGAAGCTCGGTGACCATCCCTGTGAGAGGGAGAATACGAGTTGCCAGGCTTAGCCTCAGAGTTGGAAAAGATTTGGAAAAGAAAAAATTAAGGGCTGTACTATTAAGCGGCGGGGACTGCATGAAACTCAGCCACTTCGCCCCTGCCACGGAAGTCGAAATAACGATACTCCGGTGACCCCACTATACCTTACATAATGGGGCATTACGTAAATTTGCGGTAGGGATATGATTGCTGCCACAACGGCGGATGAATCAAGTGTGGCTCGAGCTTTTTCTACCTATGATGTGCCATTGTCGCAAAGCTTCAAGCTGTAGTGTTTGTTCAGAGCTGCCCGATCAACACTTCGGAAGTACTCACACCCTTTTGGACTGCCATACACAATATTTAAATAACTACTTGCGATCGTCATCTGTAGTAGGACATATTCCTCTTTAACTACGAAAATGTCGAATCTCGGTGGTTATATCAACAGTAAGTCACATTTCACTATCACAACATTATTATCCATTAGCCTTAGGTGAAGCTTACAGCGCGAAACATCTAACAGTCGGCTAGAAAAGGTCTTGATAATCACGGCCGATTCCCGAACTTTGGTGGGGACACTCTTGAGCTGTGACCAGATGACGAACTTAGTAAGTGTTAAACATCATATTCTTTCAGCCTTACGTCCACAACTAACCATGTATATCCATAACAGGTACTTGGTCAGACTATCGAGCGAGTTATCCGAACCCCTGACGACCCAGAGCCATCCACAGAAGTCCCGCTAGGACTCTACCTTGTTCGAGGCGACAATGTTTGTGTAGTAGGCCTAGTAGACGAACCGCTTGACGAGAGCATCAACTGGCAAGAGGTGAAGGGATCAGAGATTGGTGGTATCAAACACGTATAACCAACATAGTGCACCATGAACCGCAAAACTATATGGAGCTAAAGATTGCACAACCGGCGTTGGGGAAGGAAATAATTGCATTTACATGAGGGGGGATTCTAGAAGCTTTACTCTTAGGGTATGCTCTTGCCTAATGATACCCATATATTTACGCCCTGCTGACACCTTCATTGACCTTCCATGTCATATCGATATATGTGACCAAACTATCGTGCTCCTTGTCCCTCTTACCCGAACAAACGCTCCATTAGGAATGGCGCGAATGCCATATCGCCAGGGCTGCTGACGTACCTGTTAATTCTATTGCCTCTCTTCAGACTTAGCCACCCATCCTTGTCTCCTGGGACCTCGAAGGCGGTTACTCCATCAGGACGCGTTCGACCGCGGCGATCCGAAACATGCATCCCGTGGGTCCACTGTCCCGATGTCTCGATGCGGATATCCTCCGGTGCATTCTTGGCTAACTTCCATGCCGGATCCGAACCTGTGAGCATGTACCAAACAGTCAAGGGGTCATGGAGCGATAAGCCTGGTTCCACTTTGTTGCCGACCATCGAGATGATTTGACGGAAGATACCAGACATAAATGTGTTAACCCATGTTCCTAAGGGGCTTCCTCCAGCGAGTTGAGACTCGATCTTCTCTACAAAGAAGCCCATGTTCAAAAGATGAGGTGTGGTGATATCAAGAGGGAATAGCTTCACGTTCAAAGTTTTGGAAAGCTTCTCGGGATATGGTGGTAGAGTCGTCTTATCCTTGGGTACGGGAGGCATCGTGGACGCCGGGGTGGGTGATGTCAACGCAAATACCCGAGCAGCAGCAACGGCATCGGCATAGGTGTTGAACTCGGCAACCGGCGTAACATTACCCTCGACTTCTACGGCACCTCCCATGACTGCTATCTCCTTAACTCTGAGAAAGGTTTCGGGGTCCTCCGAAGCAGCTAGCGCTAGATTGGTTAGAGGGCCGAGAACACAGACTGAGACCGTGTCGGCCGGTTCCTCCTTCAGGATTCGAAGGATCTCTTGGTGTGCCGGGGTTTTCGAAGGTGTGAAATATTTCAGATAAGAAGGCTCATCGATTGGGCCTGGGAGCCCATCTTTGAAAAGAGCTTTCCAAGTATCAGCTGGAGATAGATGAGGATGCTATTAGAACATCAGCCGAAGCTCAATAATACAAGATTGGCAGATTCAACCTACGGCCTCATGGACACCATGTAAGCCATCAGCGCCATCTGGTAGGGGGAAAAAGTTAGCGATTCCACCACGTGTATACTTGCATGCATTGACCTACGAAAGTTATCGGCCATAAGCATCTCGTCTTCTAGAGCATGTTCGGGGCCAACAGCGACAATCGGCTTGTACGTTCGAAGGCCCTCAAACCCTAGAGGTCTGCCTTGAGATTTGCGCCACTCCATTTCTTGATCGAGAACGTTGAACATGCCGACCACATTTCGTAAGCAGCTATCTAGAGTTACGTTTCCGTAAGTCACAGATATCATTAACACTTCTAGCTCTTCAGGCGAAGAAGCTAGAGCGAGAAGCATAGCTATGACATCGTCGGCCCCTAGTATACTATAATTAGTGTCTGGTAATTGTCTAATTTCCTGTCATCTACATGCCTGGGTCGGTGTCTATGATAATCTTCTTTGCAGCCATGATTATGGTTGTAGTAGAGTGTGGGCTCGGGAACTGTGCTACAGTAGATAACTCTAGCGCAAAATTAGAATATATATATATATAGTTTATGTGGTTTATATGATATGGACGGTGGGAAATGTGCAGCTTGTGTAGCTACCCAAATATGCCTAATGACACCGAAAAAAATATTGATAAGGATAAGATGCGACTCTAGCTCGAGTATCTAAAAGTTACACACAAGCTATGTGACGCAACTGCCTGCCGTCGGTGACCTGCGGGTGGGGATCCGATCCCGCTAGTAACCGGCCACCGGAACGCGGAGATCATTTATATACACCCCGCCCGTCTCTGTGATACAAGCCGATTCACTTAATAATCATTCCCAATGTGTCAATCAATTTCTACAGTCCATTGGATTATATAATTTTGGATAATACCTGTATGTCCAAATCAGAAACTCATCCGTGCTCGACGAAAGTGAACCATAAGCGCAGCAGGGAAAGCCAGTGACAAGGATTTATACGCCCAGGTATGTAAACTGTATCTGCCGTGTTTATCCCCGTAATGAGGGCCGGCAAGTAATAATTCCGCGGAGGTAAGCAACATAATTATCAGCGCAGAAATACTTGACACGCATGTCAGGGGCGCACAGCTACCTAAGTAGCAATGCCTCATTACGTACCTGGTTCTATTAAAATGTTGTCTGCGCAAAATACTTACGTATCTAGGTATGTCACCCGCTTCAACGTACGAGTATTGGCTGACCTGGGCAGGAAATACAACAAGGATTTAGTAGTTGATTGCTTGATCAGGGAGATCCAACGAGTCCTGTAATCCTGTATATATACCAACGTCAACGTCAGATAGACATGTGGATATGCTGTATATCAATCTCAACAAATAGAAAGGTATAGTAAATCACAGTTTTCTAAAATATTCTAGGCCAATGCTGCCACATATACCAATTGGTAAATCTTGGTTAGAGATCTGGATCTACATAAATATTTGCATATTTTTACAGTAAGGAGGGTATAACTGAAGGAGCCTTGGCTATGAGTGGTGAGTAAATGCTAAATAGGCGGACTAACAGCTGCACAACGGGAGTTTTTCACCAACCGAACACTCTCTCTTCAAGCCAATCACTTCAGATATGTACCTGCTTTACATACTAAAGAAATGGTGATAGTAATGGTTTCATCTATTGTATCGCATTGATATACATTCGTGGTTTAATGTTAAAGCCGGACGAGTGAATAATTTTAAGGGGGAAGCTTTACGTGTCCACAATTGAATTTGATGAGACGCTAATACAATAACGAGGAAAGGCGATACGCAAAATAGATGTAGAATTGAATCGTATTCTAGGCGGCCCCACTGTACTTGTACTGTATTGGACAGCAATACAGCGTTGGTTCCCCTTAAACGGATAACCTTCTGCTTCTAGACGCACTTCGATTGATTGCGACTCGTACCGATTGGCCGATGGCTTGTTAATGACAGCACAACCTTATCCCAAAATCCAATTCCCACCACAGACTGCTACTAGTACCATTAGTACCATAATAGGTACAATTAGTACCTGAGCCCGCGACCATCATCTGTTTTCCGAGTCCCAGTCCCAAGTCCAAGTCCATCCCATTTCACAACTTTTTTTTTTATAACTCACCGCCGTAGTTAAACTACATAACACGTTCACTTTGTCACTTTCTCTTTTTTATTCCCCTGTATTTCGTATTAAATTTATTCTCGCGAAAGGGACGAAGGAAAAAAAGTTGTGGTTTATTATCCGACAAGTTTGCCACTGAATCAGCTGTCCTTGAAATTCACCAGGACAGCTAAGCTTACACTACATCGACCACACCTTTCGTTTCCCGGCTGTACTGTACTTGTCTAACATATAATACTCTCTTCTTATTCGTATTGTTCCCGTACAGTATTGTATAGTACTCAACATAATCGGCGCACGACCTTCCGTCATTGGTTTAGCTCCTCCCGACCTATTCGTATAACCTGCGACTTTTTACAATCTACGCGGACTCGAGAGTTACTCCAACATCGCCGACACCTCTTCATCCTCGAGGCACTTCGTGCTGTCATCAATCATTCATTGACCCTATTTGTAATTCGACCCGCCTAGTAAAACTTACCTAGGGAGCGCCCGTTGCGGCTTCGGTTCACCATGGATATCTCTTCTAGTCATTCGACCCTCACCACTATTGGCGGATGGGCGGTCATTCTCGGAGTTAGCGGAATTCTATGGTACCGAAGTCAAGCAAAGAAGAGAGGGGTTGAACAGCGTCGTGGTTCATTCACCAAACAAACAGGAAGACAAAATGACGCCGAATTAGCAAACGATGCTAAGAAGAAGACGGAGAAAGCTGTGAAGCCCAAACCGAAGCCAAAGGCTCCGACCGAAACGTCGAGCGAAACAGTTACACCAACTGTTAATTACAATAAAGAGCAGGACGAGGCTGCTGATAAGAAGGCCGATCGAGAATTCGCGCGTCAATTATCCAGCGCCCACGCGGGAACTAAATTTAGCACAAAGAAATCAGACGAGAAGAAGCAAAAGTCTGTCAAGCAGTCTAAGGCTCAAGAAATTTCTGACGTGTCAGGTGGGAAGGTATCTGTCGCTTCGTCCCACGCGGGTGATGCCGATGATGATCTATCATCTCAAGCATCCCCTGTTGTCGGCGCTGCTGATAGCAAGGATGTATCTGACATGCTTGAACCTGTTCCTGCCGGCCCTTCCGTCCTTCGCGTTACTGACGTCGAGTCCGTGAAGAAGCCCAAGGAGCGCAAGCAAAAGGCACCCGAAGTCGTCGAATCCAAGAAGCAGCGCCAGAACCGAAAGAAGGCGGAGGCTGCCAAGGCCGCCCGTGAAGAGGAGGAGAAAGAGCGCAAGGTTAAGATGGAACAGCAGCGACGAACTGCTCGCATCGCCGAAGGACGTGCTGCCAAGGATGGCTCTGCCTCCGCGGCCAACAGCCAGAACGCCTGGAACGGAAAAGCCACCAATGGTAACAACACCGTTCAGCCTCTAGATACCTTTGAGCAGAAGCCAAAGGCTGAGGCCGCCAAGCAGAGCACCAAGAGTGCTACCGAAGCTCCCAAGGAGAAGGCCGACCCCTGGGTAGCCGGTGTGCCATCAGAGGAGGAGCAAATGGAGTTGCTTCGACAAGAGGACTCTTGGAGTGAAGTCAAGACCAAGAAGAAGGGCAAGAAGAAGGATACTACTACCGAAACGTCCACCCCGGCTACAAATGGTAGTAGCGTCACAACCGCCCCCACAGTTAAGGCGCCTGCTCCGGTCAATGGCGCCAAGAAGCCGATCTTGACCAGCAGCAGCTCTTCCTTTGCTGCCCTTACTCCTGAGGAGACAGCCGATAACGAGGAAGAGGAGTGGGATGTATGATAAGTTGAAGTTACCTGTCTTTCGGCGCTTTGACACCGGCTCATTCTACTTCTTTATACATTTTATCCCCCCGTGAATATTGCATAGAATCCCGCTACAATCATCATTTCCTCTCTTCGACGGTCGACCTCCCTGTTGTACAGTACTCTCCGCATCGCACCGAACAACCACCATCACTACCACACACTACGGATATGGACATCAAGCATTTGTGTCACAAAAAACTATTTAGGGCTTGGAATTGGATTGGGCAAGGGGGAGGACAACTTTTGCTGGAACGCTCGATCGAATACAGATTTGGCAGCCCTCTGCTTGCTTTGTATCAACGACTACGTTTTTTTTTTCTTCTGCACTGATTACGGCCAATGTTCGCATGGACGCTTAGCATGAACAATTGCTTGCGGTCCGGATGTTGCGCTAATCCAAATGTTCTCATGTCCGCGATTGTCGGACGGCGGATGATGGGCCCCCTGTTTTCTTTTTACCTAGGAGTAGCTATGTGATCAGTGTAGCTCAATGGATGCGAATATTTTCCTTTACTGTGCCTGTCTGCTCTAATGACAGTATGATGATTTCAAATGATTGTGTTTAAACGAGATGTGAATATGACCTATGTGCTTGTCCTAGATGTAGTTGAAGCGGTGACGAACTAGATCAAAGGATTCAACAATTGCTAAAGCCAGCAGGCACAGAAAGCTTCATATATATCGACAACAAACCTTCAAGGATGATGGATAAAACTGATATTCTACTAAACAAAATAATATTAATTGAGGTTGTTAGAATTATCGGGATTATGTTAACTTACCTAACCTAGGGATCTAGAAAATATCCATTTTCCTGAGACGCCAATTTATTCTCCTGTCTCGGGATCGTGGACCGACCTAGATTCGACTAAAAATAGCCACCTTTTTCTCCCTGGGGACTATATGCTTTTTCCGACACTTAAGTACTTAGGTAGGTTTGAATCAGTTCGTTGTCTGGATATTTTCTAGGTCTTAAAAGAAGCGATACTGGGAATGAGAAATATCGTATTGTCGCTAAGCGCCAAAGTCATAGATGTTTGTCTTTTTCCTTAGGTTCCTAAAGGTCCTCTTTATACGATGATGGCTCGTACACTTGCACGGTGGAATATCGTGGTTTATTTCTGGGGTAGTATTTGTTCTATTTATAAGTTGATTGGGTGGTTGATGTTACGGGGTGATTTTATTACCTATTATACTCGCCAAGCCAAGTTCGCTCCGTTATGGAAATGGGTTCAAATACTCAATCTGAGGAACAGTATACGACCCAATAATCAATTGGGAACTGTCGGTGGTTAAGCATATAGATAATCAAGTGGGTTGATTGTCCAAAGTAGAAAAGCCTACCCATATCTTCGAATTAGAGTCGTCTAATGGAAGGATTGTTTAGGGCATGGTCTTAAAACCTAACTCAAAGAAGTCATTGCTCGCACTAGAACCCCCAAACCTAAGGGAGAGATGAGGTTGCTAAGACCTGCATATTCTAAAGTAAGCCATGGTTCTTAAAGGAAGGGAGTTTTTGATTAGAAAGTGAGTGGATCGACATTATCTCAATTGGTATTATTACCTAATAATAGACCAACTTGGCTGTGTCGATATGCAGGCATCGACGAACGTAGTTCAACTTGCTGCTTCTTTTAGCCACTTGAGAGATATTTCAAACAAATGTCCAAATATCTTGCTACGTGTCAGCAAGGGATATAAAATGTAGGTGCCTGCTATATGCTAAATGAGTTGTATTTCTTAAGAGTTTCGTAGACTTGCAAATGCATCAAGACAGATTTAGTAATTCTTTCCCTTGGTGGCAATTGGAGGATGACTTGGTTGCGGAGGCGAAGTTTGTGGGATCACGTAGGTTCTGACGTATTATCATCCAGGCTGAGCCCACGTTATTCCCATCCATTCATTCTAACCTAGGCAACCATATACATTATGTATAGTCTAGATGTAAGTACGTGTAAGTTGGAGATAGGCGAGAGGTCTCAGATGATAATATTTTGTTTTTCTGTTTCGACGTGGTTACCCAGTTACAAAGTGAGAAATAAACACGAGGCAATTAAAAGGTATGATGGAGGGAAATTCTTGTGATCTTAAAAGTAACCCATTATGCATTCCGGTTCATAGTCGGATGCAAGTGTTGCAGCGTACCTGGGGATTTGTGCGGGGGGTTATGCAATTGAGAGCGCACAGGGCAAGCCACTAATCCCGCTAGTCCAGGGTAAAACGTGACATTTAGCAGTAGACGAGCGATTATCCAAATTCTAATTCGAGGATCCAGGCCAGGGGGTACTATCGTACTACCTACCTGCCTACTTAAGTACCTCGTAGCGAAGCCTGGACCTGATGGGGACCCGAGCGTGCAAGGCAAGCCACTTACTGCATTTACTGCATTGTGGGACACGGTTGCTAGGTTATGTAGCGGGGTTCTACGGGTAACCATCAGGTGACGACTCCACCATCTGTGGTTTAGCTGGTCTAAGTTGTGCACTACTTTGTACCTAATGGATACAAACAGACAAAGCGGGATGCATTACCAAAACAACACAGGTACACCCCAAGCCCCCCCTGTACTCCACTACGCTGTAGCAAGCTAAGATGTGGCGTTTCTAAGGTTGAAACGTGCTTAGCTAGGAAAGACCCCATGTCAACCCAAATGATCCTATTGGTTAGATTTTAGCTAACTCGCATATCTAATACCAAATGGACAAGGATGGACATGGAAAGACATGGGTTAGACATAGGAAAATTGTAAAATTGTAAAGATGTACATAGATTGCAACTGATGCAGGGAATGCAGCGTGCGTGGGATCGTCCATCTACACCCACTGCAACCCACACCCACGCCCACACCCTTTTTCGTCTTCCATTGCTACCTGCAGTTTAAACTTACGCAGTACTTACATCGAATCCTGAATTCATTCCCGGATTCCGGTCCACTCGCTTGCTTTTTGGCTTGCTCACTCATTCAACTTTGCTTCCTTTTTTTGTTAAGTTGTTCTCGCCTTCGGATGACCTAATTGTGGCTTCGAGGTGTCCTTCTTTTATTATTGTTGTACATCGAAACGTCTTTTCCTTCTAGCAACCGGTCAATTCAATTGTATTGTTTTGACATTTTCCCTCCTATCTTTTTTTTTTCCCTCTCACGATCAGCTTCCTCCCTATTACCGTTTGTTTGCTACCACGAATCTCTGTTGTTTCACCAGGCCATTGTTTTCCTACCTCCGTTCTGATACGGAAATATTCTAGTTTCGACTTGCTCTACTAGAATCCTCATATTTCCATTAACACGATTGAGCAGTTTTGAAATACTCACGAACTCCACCGCGACTTCCCCTTGTCTCTTTTTTCCTTGTACGATTCAAATCACTCAAGTGCTGTATTTCGAGAATTCGACGACTGCCATAGTTATTTCCCTTGCCTATCGACTATACCGACGTGACCCTTCACCGAACCCAAACCACGCAAACCCACATAGACGGAACTATAATCCGCTGGAATTTAAAGCCTCACGAATATTAACGTTTTGTTGTGTCTTAGCGAAACTTAAACCTACATTCAAAAATTACCTTTGGCTGTGAATACCCAACAATTCTCGAACCTTAATTCTTTTATATATCACTCGAGGCGTCCCAACGAACGTAGCATCTTGCCAATGCGGTCGTCAAAAGCAGACTCCCCCTTTTTGATATAAGCCGCAACGGCCATACGCAATATAGCGTTCTACCGATAGGAGCATTTGCACTTATCATGTCGTTCGGCGTCGCAGTTCAGTCTGCCATCTTCTATGTCGTGTCCTGTGCGCCATGTCTTCAAGCAAGGCACCACCAACAATCCAAGGCCTTGGCCAAGAAGGAGCGTCAAGAGAAAGCACGCATACAAGCCGAGAACCCCGGAGCGTATCAACATCCAGATCCATTCAACACGAATCCATACTGGTCAGAAGAGATAATGATGGGGCCTCGAATAAAAGCTAAGAAGTATAATGGTGGGAGCAAGAATAATAGTCACAAACGCCTGGATAGCTCTGGGAAGGAAAGCACAAGTGCCACAGAAAGCAGTACTCGAATAGACAGTACAAATCCAAGCAGTAGCCGTACGGCCGTCGCGGAAGATGGTAAACTCAGCTTTCAAACTACCTTATCAGATGATTGGAATCGAAAACGGTATCAAAGGGAAGATGAAGAACTATGGGGACATGAACTATCTCGCACACATAAGTTCATGGATGCTATCAAGCAGGCAGGATCATCAGCTGGCCGACTTATCGAGTCGCGTTTAGGAATGGAACCGAAACCAGTTACTGAAGAAGAGAGGCATAACTTCTATTTTGCACCAAGGAATCCTCCCGTTAACGAATACCACCCCCCAATCGTGCGGCAGAGGCCAACCCACAAAGATGCCAATAGGTGGATGTTACAACCACCTCCACCTGCGAAGATCATGGAAGGAAAGATACCAGTCAGTAGGAGTGGAAGCATGGCGAGTCATATTAGCCGTAGGACGACGACAAGCGATGGCGCCGACTTAGGTAGACTGGTTCATGAGAAGACTGTGGAGGCCAAACTAAAGAGCGGCGAGTTCCCAACGGAATTCGACTCGACAACGACCCTCCAGAAAACTGTCACCAGGAAAACTACTAACTCAAGTCGACGAAGGAGTCGTCGAGTCGTGCGAAGTAGAAGTTTATCACTGGAATCTTCCGACGCCTCAGATGGGCCTACAAGACGGAGAAGCTATCTAGCGCAACCACCCGCCGCCGCCGACTCGGACTCTTCCGAAGACAACGGAGAGTATTGTTTAAGAAGTTCGGAATCGTTTGGACGTGGTAGGGGAGCTGCCAGGCGACCGAAATTACAACCTATATCAAGCTCTCAGGAAAACGAAAAGGAGAATGTGCCGTCCAAAACGAAGGAGGGCCAAACACTTACCAGATCGGCCAGTTCGGCACTCGCTAACGTTACAAACACTGCGAATACACCCCGACTAAACCAACCTGTTACGCCCAGCAAAGGGATGTCTCCAACTGATCGATTAGACAAGCCATCCCCGATCATGTTAGGCCCGCCTCTGCAAGTCTCATCATAGAAATATGAAGTAAGACAGTTGGTTAGGTCGGACAGTAGCATGGAGTTGCATCCACCCCGAGCGGCGCAATGTTGGCAGATCGAAGTTTCACCAGGTGGACAATACCATTTGGTCAGATGATTTTGTGTGTAAAATTAGCAGGCGAGGCGATTCATTATGGCGTTGTTCATTTGTGTTTTTTGCTCAAAAATGCATGGCCACTTGGTTTAGGGAGGGGGTCTTGTTTTATATCGGCAGGCATTGGCGTACGGCTCGGCTCGGCTCGCGTTTTTTTCGAAAGAAAAAAGTTCCTTGGCTTTTATAGTTGGGCGTATAGCAAGCAAGTATATTAGCATCAGATCAGGTATTCATTAGCATTAGTTTGAGTATTCAGACCATCTGTCAATCGGCTTGCTTCCCTATGTGTGTTGTACTTGTGAGAGCACAGGTTCTCGAGAATCTAGCGCGTGATCTTTGAGTGACACCCCTACTCATAACCCCCGGAGATTTGATTCGTGATAGATATCGGACTTACGTATTCGGACTTCAGGTGAGTCGTACAAGACGCCCACCCCCACCGAAGATCCAGATCTTTCCGTCACGTCGATTTCTTTAGCGGGATCGAGTCTTTTCCCGTGTGTGTGTTCTAGAGGTGCATGCTAGCAACGTATTTCATCAGTCATTTCGATCTCACTCGCGCCGACCATCCTTAGACATATACGTGTCTTCCACTAAAATTTCGGTGGGGTAGGTACGAGAGTTCATGACCCCACGCCCTCTAGATGGGTTGACTGGGACGTTGAGATCACTCGGTGGGGGTCTGAAGTTGCTAATCTTCTACTGAGTCGACGGGCTTGGTTTTCATCTTTTTCTCCCCTGCTTTTGGCGGGTGGTCGTACGGGTGTGTTGTATGATGGCGTTGGTTTTCTTGAAGGGGAGTCGTTATGGAATCACAGCCCGTGTCCCTATAACGCCTAGCTAAGGAGGAAGGAACACTTCGGTGTGTGGGTGTTCTATAGAGGTGGTGGTTTCGATTCCGTGAACATACATCAACAGCATTGTGGTTTGTTCAGCTGAATAGCTAGGTACCTAAGTAGGTACCCTAGTCGTGTCCGATGAAGGATAGGCGTCCTCCGGTTGACAACCACGTATCTGAGCATCACCCCCCCCCCCGACCCCACGCCCTTCGAGGGATTAGAAATCGAGAGCGATCGTCATCGTGGTGTTATAGCGAGATGCTATTTTGGTAGCTCTCCTAACGTGAGAGAGATGGGTTGGGCACCCACCATGTCATATCGGGGTCTGGAACAGCCATTACCCAGCCGCAGAATCCCTCTACTGCCGTAGGCTTCCTAGTTACCGAGTCTTGTCCTTAGGCTGGACCGTCCTTCCATAACATGAGGCTCAGACCATCGTGACTCGCTCGTTGCTCGTCCCTGGAAACGTTGGATGGCTTCCCAGGGAATTGCTTCAAGGATATTCGCACGACGTCAGTGTGCCGGTAAATCCCTCGCTTTTCATGCGTATCGACTTCGCTACTCTAGTATGCTAACGTCACACCATGTCTTCGCCATGCGATACTCTGGTTCTGTCATTTAAGGCACTCCAGCCGCTCCGTATGCCATAGATGTATATAAGATCATCACCAACGCCACACCACAGGACCGTACGCACAAATGATATGGACGTATAGCCAATGACACTATTGATTATCGTTTAGGTATTGCGTCTTCTCCGTGTTTCTTAAGAACCGGGCGACTTAAGTTCGCTACGGTCGAGGACTTCGAAGCGCGAAGATGCGAAGGCAGGGCGAAAACTCTAACTTAAAAGTTAAAAGAACCTATCAACCTATAAGCTTTCATTAGGAGCTTCCAAAGGGTTGAAATGCCTCTTATTGTGTCAAGGATTCCCTAAAAAAGGTTCATTCGACTAGTCCTCGAGGGTGATAGCCTCCCGCGGGAGCTAGCTCAAAGTATGGTAGGAGGACAGAATATGGGAGGGGTCAGGTATCCAGGAAATTACTGGTTTTATGGAAAATGAGAGCTCTTCGGCCAGTTAAACAAAAGTCATTGGCGAGGACGAGTCATGGTAGACTTCGCCGTGGGGGACGCGGCGCGGAAGGCTACGCTTATCTACTACCTCATGGACATGAAAACAGTGGCAACGTAACCCACCATCAACTTCCGAAGTATGTACAATGATATAATTTTTCCCGTCAGATCTGACATGCGAGCTCGGGCGCAGTTTTCTGTATGACTATTTAAGGGGTATCCTTGGGAGACGTCCGTACGTCTGTGAGAACAGTTCTACGTGAAGAATTTCGAACAGATATACAGCTGCGGAGCCTTGAGGGTATGTATATGAAACATTGGCAGTTATCGGGCCTATGTAGAGGCAAATTATGATATGGTAGTGGCTCTATTAAAACGTGAGGCTATTGAGTTGAGTCGTGGTAATGTTTGGTCTATCAACCACATCTACCATTGTCAGTGAGAACACTATGTAACAAAAGGCAATGGAGGTTTCAAGAGACAATCGCAGAGTATATAATTAGGACCGGACGATTTGTCCTCTTGTGATTTCTCGATTTTCATACGGTACGAGCGACAACACCTGTTCTCTCGGTACCTTCCATCGCCGCGTATACACGATGGACATCCCGGTTTGAAGGGAATAAGCCATACGAGCACCAAGCCTCTAGGAGATATCTAGGTAGTCGTGTGAGTTTTCTCCTGGCATCAGCTATCATGGGGAGAACTAGGTATACCAGAATTCAATGGCCCTCATGGTGGCACCAACACACTTCCCAATCGAGAAGGTCGGCTCCGAAATGCGTGAATATGAAGACTACCCGGTTGTGGATCTTGATGGACATCACAATTACCCCTCTCATACACAGATGATTAAAATCGCCTTTTCAAACCAATATATTGGCTATTTTGGGCATTACCCCGGTGAACCCAATGTGGACAAATGTTTGTCCACATTACCAAATCAATGCTGTACATACGGGATCCATCCTTATCCACGAACCACGCCGAAGAGAAAAGGCATTCCCTTACCAGTAGGCTGGGTGGGCATCGCCGAGATCGCACGGGCGTAATTGCATATGACGGGGATAAAACCGAATTGATATTCTTTCTGGCCTCATATACCCGTTGGTCAAATTAAAGATGCCGCATGCATCAGTCAACGTACCACTTCGCGCCCATCCTTGCGATGCACTTCCTGGTTTCATGGGTACCTAGTAGGTTGGTAGGTTGATACTATTCCGTCTGCCCCGGAAGATCGAGCTGGGGAACGCCCTTGAAAATCCATAGCACAAATGGAATATAGTTGATGCCGTCTCCATAACGTCAGTTGGGACGAAGTTCGCAACTAATTCCAATCTCAGCGTCGCAGCCCAAGACTATGGTTCCACCCTCGGTTAAAGTTGTCACATTTCTAGCTTTCTACCAACATCTTTCCTCTCTTTTTACAATTTTTATCGAGCCATGTTACCTAGCTAGAACCGGGAACAGTCATTTGACGAATCGGCCCGTCGACAGGGCAAGTCCGGCGGGTACGGTGAACAGGGCGATCCATTGGTTTGCCGGACTGCCGGATCAGGCTATTAATGGGAATGGGATGTCGTGATGGGACGGAAAGGTCCGCCCAGTCAGAAGGTTGTTTTACCCAGTTCGGGGGAGTGTGGATGGGGGAGGGATGGGGATTGGGGAACCACGCTTGCGGTATCTGGTGCCACTTGTGATTTATGCAGTCCACGTTGCAGTGAGGGGGCGATGCGGGTGCGCGGGCGGCTCGTCTCCTGTTGTGACATAACCTTACCAGATCATCGGGAAGCATCCATGGATTCGCGAGACTAAGCTGCTTGTGATTGGCTCGCAGATCAAAACCGGGCTCAACTTCTTGGGTACGTGGGTGCTTGGCTCCGACAGAATGGGTCAGCTTTTGGAAAATTTGCAAGTTATTTTTTTCGCAATTGTGGCCTTATTATTCCCTACCCGGTTGTTGGAACGCTTGTATATGTGGAGTTTGCGCTACGGTGTTTGCTTGATGGAGCTGGTTCCGGGCTCTTGGGTGAAAAGGACGCCGATGGTAAGAAGTAGGGGGTGAGTACCTAGGTAATATGATGAAGAGAAAGAGTCCTTGGAAGAGGGGGAAGGAAGATACGCGCCTAGGTAGGTACTTGGGAGGGTATAATGCGATATCGTTAAGAGGTATGTAGTCATCACCAATTAGGAATAATGGGGACGAGAACCTCAATGAGGCTTAGATCCGGCAGAATAGATATCGTTCTGAGAATGCTGACATTAATATTTAGTAATTATTTCGGATATGCCCCAAGAAGCCGAATTTGGAACAACTTCAGACGAAAAATCCAAAGTTCGTCCATTAAATACCGTTTGTCGGTTTGATATGAACCTCCTAGTTAATAAGAGTGTATGTCATTCCTGCGGTCCAGTTAATAAGCACTTAAACATTCGTATAATGTAATATAGAGGTCATATTATAGGTTTTTATGGCTTTTGCCGCAGTTAGCAACTCGTTTTTGAAGGTGATATATTCCCCCCTACCCTTAGACGAGTTCCAATACTCCTAACATTGCGTTGCCCAGCCTTTGTCTAGTCCTAAGAGAGTAATTGACTTAGCGATTGGGTCTATCTACCTTTAAAGCTGGGAAACTCACGAAATATGGAAGTTGGACGTCAGACGCTACAACCACCAGGGGGTATTCATATTCAGTAAACTGTTTGGCATTGTTGAGGTAAATGGGTCAAAATTTGACCGCTTTTCTATTTCGCCCACTGAAAACCCGAATAAGTACACACAAGAGTCCCCGTATACGTATTTTGAAAAGTCCCTTTGCTCTTTTACAACGGAGAAACTGCTTCGTCGCCGCTAATATAAAATGATTTGCCATGTCCTGGTGACTGCGATCGTTCCACCGCATACGTATAATCGGCTCGAATCCCACTACCGTGGACACCGCTCTCTGCAGATGGGTCTTTATCTGGGTCTCCATCCTTCAGCTGCTCCCAATTGCCCTGAGCGTGGACCGTCGTAAGACTGAAACCCACATCGGTCGGGTTGCGAAATTTGGTTCGGGATCCTGATCCACGATCGTGGTTGGGCAAGCTGCCGAACGTGATGAGGGACTTTGGACTAAAGCGATCCCAAGGTTTTCGGGAAGTTCTCTGCGAGTCATCTCTGTTCCTGATAAACAATCGGCGCAAAATCGGAACTGAACTAGCTATGCACCCGATTCCTATTTCGATATTCGAAAAAAGGGCAATGTGTCCGACCCAAACTGCATGATGCGGATCCATCAAATTAGCACAACGTCCCAACCGAGTTGGCGGTGGTCATGACTTACACAAAAGATTGTCCGTTGGGTTATTATAGTGAGTAATGTAAAAAGCCCTAATTATAGTGACGATTGATGCCCTACTCATGACGAAGTCCGTTAATCCCAGGTAGAACGAGTAGGAGATTTAAGGATGGGCACCCACATAGAAGCGAAAGACAACAGAGCATACGCCGACCATTTCGACTTCTTGTCCATCTGAGTATTCCACAATATGATACCTGGCAACACCGCGCAAGCTAAGTCTGTCGCGACAGTGGACCCCGTTGCGGTGTGACTAAGACCGATCATCACCTCCATTGGTGCGCAATATGCCTCGCTAGAGAGCACCAAGGATGGTTTCCAAGATGCTTCTAGCGGACGGCAGACGAGCATGTCACCGATGAAGGTTACGAGGTAAGAAGCCCAAGTGATGACCAGCAACACCCAAACCGCTCTCTGCATCGCTTGCCTTGTTCCTGCGATTCGCAGTAATGTCACGCAGACAGAACTCTTCACCGTGGCGAGGGCATGGACGTATACGAGGATCCATATTGTGAAGTATTTCTTGCCTTCCTCGGAGAAGAACTCATTGTGTTTGTCGTCTCGGGAACCAAGACCCACGGAAGCGGCGTAACATGATAAGGCGACAGCGGCAGCGTACACAAACTGAATTTTCTATTCGTCAGCTTGCTAGATCTCGAGAAACGGACTCCAGATGTGTTATTTGGTTATTTTCGCTAGGATGGGGACGTACCGTTCCAAAAACCATCAAATTATCATCCAAGCCGAACACTCCGTTTATGAGCCTTACTAGAGGTTTAAAATTTGTGAGTATTTTCCATGAGAGATTATCATCTAACTGATTCAGAAAACTTGCTCTAAGGATGTGCCACTCCCAAAGGGAGCAATAGAAGCTATATATGCAAGTATATGGATGAAAAAGGTAATGGGTGGTCGTACCGTATGTTCTTCCACCCACCGTCAAGGCCGAGAAAAACAGAAAAACCAAAGACACAACGACTATCGCTAAGGAAAGGCCTTCCAATGGTATAAACTTGGCGTTGGGGTCCACAGTAGCCATATTATTTGCGATGAGCTCAAGAAAATACAGAAAACACAACAAAATAACGCTTGATATTTCTTTAAGGCATCTTGCTTGGTATAATCATTGCATTTATACATACCTATCCGATACGATATACACTTCACCGACTGGTTCTATCAACTCGATTCTTGATTCTAGAGAACATGTTTGCTTTGATGTTTTTCTTTTTCCTCCCCATACTAAAGACGCCACGGGACGGCCCGGAGACGCCACTCCGAAGGGGGTCAAGCGTTGAAACTGAGACTTAGGTCTATAGAATTTCGTCGAAAATGACGAGTTCGGTTTCACGAGAATCTGGGCTAATGAAAGAGTACGAGAGTGCAGATCGTGAGAACTGTGGCTGGATTTAGCGTAATAGCAGCAAACTCAAGACCTGGTAATCGGGTAGTCTCCTCCGATGAGAATTGCCTGATCTGCTGTGGTCTTTTGCATGAATATGATGCGTTGTGGCGTTCTGGGCCGTTTCAAGGTAAAATTGCTTCCCGCTCTCCCCAGCTATCCCCAGTTCTTCTCCGGTTCGAGTTTAGGGTTCTGACCTTTTGTTCCTTCGTTCATCCCTAGCCGTAATTCTGCACTAGTTTGGAAGATACGACAGCAAATCGTTCCAACAATGACAAGATATATGATCATTAAGTATGCTTGTATCAAGATATGGTAAACAACTATATCAAAAATTGCATCTTACTGGAATAGGTAACATTACATTTTGTAGGTCACATTCATGTGATACTTCATATACGTAAGGCTAAACATCGTGTGGGAAACAAGGGTGATAGTAAGCCGGGCACTTTCATTGGCTAAATTAAGCAAACAAATTGGGATTTATATTGGATAGCTCCCTAGTGCGAGCCGTCTGGCGTCTAAGAAGGATCGCGGAAGATTTGCTAGTTTGGTGATATAAGTTATATTGATCATGTGCGGGCATGGTTACATATCTGTAACTCCCCGACGTATATGCTAACCCCTATTCGCATCAGAGACCACACCTCCTTATCGAGTCTAATAAGACCCGCTCTATGGCCACTACGCCCCGCAGTGACAAGACTTTTGGATATGGCTAGATCGAAGATGCCACGTCCGTTGGGTACCACCCGCCCAACAGGTTAAAGAGCAAAGGCGTCCCGGCAGAAAGGTTCAGGATTCCCGTCACACACATAGCATCGTACAGCAGGTTTCGTTACCACCACCCTGCCTCCCAAGTGTGCCTGCCTTCCTCCCTCCTTCCCTCCCCAAATCATGACTGCCCACGAAGTCTTACTGGCCTCGTTGCCATCCCGCGACAGACTGCTCGAGAATCTGACGGTTCGTAATGGCCTTTTGCTTATTTGCGGATGGCTGGTCTTCGAGCTGGCTCGGGCCGCTTACAATATCTCCCCACTCCACCCCCTCTACCGAATCCCCGGCCCGAAGTTAGCGGCCGCGACATATCTACCCGAGTTTTGGTATGACTGCGTGAAATTCGGCCGATACACCCGAGTAATTGAGAAAATGCACCAGCAATATGGTATGAACTTACTTAATTGCCACCCAAGTAATTAGATGTTCGTCCTAAACTGACATCAACTTCAGGCCCCATAGTTCGTATCAATCCGTATGAAGTGCACTGCAATGACGCCCAATTCGTCGACGAGATTTACGCGGTTGGTGGTCGGAAGCGGGACAAGTCGTACCACCAAGTTAGCGGCTCGACGTAAGATTCCCAGCCATCCTAATTTCAATGTTGTCGGCGATTGAAGCTCACAACCATAGTATGGAACTTTCTGGATTCGGAACCGCCGACCACGAGGTCCACCGGCTGCGCCGTGCACCTTTAGCCAAGTTCTTCTCCAGGATCCAGATCGCCAAGCTAGAGACGCACATCCAAGACCTGGTACAGCAACTCTGCGGCAAGTTGCTCGCCGAGACGGGCAAAAATGTGCCCATCAACGTTCAAGAAGCGTACAGTTGCTTCACTTCGGATGCCGTCGCCGACTACTGCTTCGGCGAAAGCTTCGGGTTCCTCGCGCAAGATTCGTTCGAGCCTAACTTCCGAGAGCCATTGTACTCGATGTTGCAGACTGTCTTCCTTTTCCGTTTCTTCCCCTTCTTGAAGCACACTGTCGCTGCAAGCTCATGGTTCGTAATACCGACACCTAGATAGACAAAAAACAATACTCACAGCGCCGTAGGCTTAAGGACTACCTACCTGAGGGCACAAGACTCCTCATCAGAACCCTGAACGTACGTATCATTCTAATCCATAAAAAAGGTGACACCATTGCTAACAAGCAACAGATCGACATGCCCAACCGCATCATGAAGACCAAGCAAGACGTCGACGCAGGCATCGTCCGCGACCGTAAAACCGTCTTCGGAGAACTTCTCTACTCAGACCTCCCACCCAAAGAGAAATCCGTCCGCCGTCTCGCCGACGAAGCCGCAGCAGTTCTAGGCGGCGGTACCGAGACAGCCAGCTGGACCCTCTCAGTGCTAACATACCACCTCCTAGCCCAACCCCATATCCTCGCCAAAATGGCCGATGAGATGCAAACCGTAGTATCCGACCCCAAGAGACTGCCCCCATGGACCGTTCTCGAGAAGTTACCCTACTTCACCGCTGTCTTGCAAGAGGGTCTTCGTCTATCCTACGGTATCGCAGCGCGTACTACCCGTGTGCCTACTGAGGAGGATCTCGTGTACCGCGGCGTGTGGATGCCTGCTGGTGCGGAGAAGCCGGCGCAGGTCTCGTATATTATTCCCCGTGGATACGGTATCGGTATGTCTGCTGTGATGATGCACCATGATGAGGAGCTGTTCCCGGACTCGCACCGCTTTTTGCCGGAGCGGTGGTTGGATCAGAATGGTCAGCGCAGGAAGGAGCTTGATCGTTATTTGTTGTCGTTTTCGAAGGGTAGTCGAGGGTGCTTAGGTCAGAAGTAAGTTTGCCATTGTGTCCTGTTTCTGCACGTTCTGGGTTGCTAACGGTGAATAGTCTTGCCCTCTGCGAGTTGCATCTTTCTCTTGCTGCGCTTACACTAAGGGTGCTTCCGCGTATGCGTCTATTTGAGACTACTGAGGATGATGTTAAGTACGACCATGACATGTTCGTGCCCCTGCCCAAGGATGGTAGCAAGGGTGTACGAGTGGTCATTGTATAAGCGAGGGTTTAACACCGAGTTATAATGTTGAGTCACAACGACTCTAATTATTATGAATGGTTACGTATGGGGGCTGGGGCCCCTTAATGGGATTCAACACCTCTAGTTGACATACCATTGTTTGGTATGGTTGACATTATGGAATGGCGGAGTTTTGTAGGATCTACGGTGTGGCCTGGAGTGATACCGCTGGATGGTGGGTGTAAGGATGGAGTAAGGTAGGTAGGTAATATCTTTCAAATTCTTTTAAGGAGTTGAAGAGACTGTCAAATAGGTAGTATATCAGGAGGGGATACCCATTCATTTAATATAGTCCTCAACATGACCTTTCAAACGAACACGATGTCCACATTTCGGTGAGAGCGGGGAAGGAATGTATATATTCGTTGTCCCATGTCTCAGGGGCCACAATTATATTGGCTTTGGCCTCTCCTTTCTCCTCTTGGGTCCGTGCTCTGCCTCCTTGTCAATGTGTCTATAGTCTTGTTGCGGCTAATAGTGGTGCTGCATATATCGGCCGGGGTCGTCGGTCGGCATGATTCGTGATCAATAAATACTGGCCCGTGCAGAATATATCCCAATTTGATAACACATTGACCGTTTTCTGGGTTAAAAGGGGTTAGTTAATCTTCGTATGGGTTTCTGCGGGCTGTTTACTGCCACGTTATGATGACTGACTGGAAGCAATAGAGACGAGTAGGCGCCGAACGTAGTGGATTTGAGACCTGCATATCTTGATATGATAGAAGTACCCAGTTGCCATGCATCATCCACTATTGACTCGTCCTGCACAACCGCGCCTATATCCATCTCCTAGGTTTTCACCCATCCACCCCTATTTTGCATACGATTGGTACTTTTAGTAATCTCCCGATCATTTTCTCCTGTACTCCTCAACACCACCGGTGCTTGCTGTATAATAGCTAACACGAAACTCAAAGCTTCTATTCTTGTTTTCCCCATCTAGTGTATCACGCCGTATTACAAGTGCATACCACCCTCCGGGTCGTCGTCCTCATCTTCGGGCGGCATTCGACTCTGGAGTTGTCTTAAAAGTTCTCGCTCTTCAGCACCGAGCTGACTTATGGTGCCCGTTTGGAATGTACCATCTTGCCATGCTGGATGTTGTGTTTGGTCGCTTGCTCCAGTTCCATTAACCCCGTTCGTCAAGTGATCAGAATCAGTATTGCCACCGTCCGTTGCAGCAGTCTCCTCATCAGCCTTCCCTTGGAACTCCCGCCAACTTAAGCCACGACCTTCTACCTCAACTCGTATTAGCTCGATGCGCTCTTGCATGCGGGTGATAACTGCTTCGTTTTCGGCGATAGCGTCGATACAGTCTTGGTCCGGTTGAGTAGTCTCGCCTTGTTGATCTAGAGTGGGGGCTCGTCCTTCGGCGTAAGGCTTCAGTTCGGCATTGGAATAGTCTAGATGAGCTATTGAGTTGCGCAGCTCTAGAACCTTTAAAGCGAGGCTCTCAGCAGGTAGGTCCTTAAGAGCTTCGGCGAAACGAGCTGGGTTTATAGGTTGTGTTTCGGAAGACATGATGTTTGCTTGGACTAGAACCGTAGACTTCAGTAGTTATTTCTAAAAAGAATCTAAGGATAGAAGAGCTGAAATGTGTCTGATTCTTTGCCCTTGGTGTCGTTTGAAGTCGTCGCAATTGAGAAGTTGCCTGGAGAGAGTGTGGTACGTACCTAGGTACCTTAAGCTGACAAGACAAAGGCAAACACCTAGTTTATCGATAAGATGATCTGGAAACTTTTCGGTGGGGATCTCAAAGGAGCTTGAACCACCAAAGTGGATATCTAGGTGCGGGGTGTGCGGGGCAATTAAGTCATCGGGCGAACCCGACAATCGGAAGCGAGCTTTCGATAGCAAATATTTTAGATCGTCGTAGCCATCGCTAACTCTCTCCACCCCTTTCCTACTTGAGAAGCTTGACTGTTCGGCTGTTCAAGGAATTCCCAAATGATGCGATAAGAGCCCTGTATTTCGGCATCTGTCCCGATGTCCCATTACGTACAGTTCCCTCCTTTATCTTTCTGAAAAAGCTCATGCCCGCTCCAATTGACCATTCAGAGCTGTTGTGCCCCTGCAATATGAACTCATTATCACTGTACTCGGTGGTTGGGGTAGCTATCGAGCCGAGCGAAACAAAACTATCTGGGCTTCCAATTTTTTGGTTGCAACTTTGATCTTGAAATATTTTTGTACACTGTTAATTGTCCATAGCGACCAATTCAAACACCATTGAGCTCGTTTTGACTGAGATACCACAATGATTGTGTCTAAGTTGGCTCTTGTAGCCGGGGCTCTGTCTACAGGTGCCCTAGCTCGCTCTGTCCTTCACGATAATGTTCAAGAAGTGCTCGAGAGCGATTCAACGACCGAGTTCAAATGTGATATTCCACCGGCATTAGATCCTTCGAAAGATGGTCTACCAGCAGCTCGGGATATCTTCTCTGACGAGAAAGCATTACAGCTTCAAGTCAAGAGACACTCCACTATTGTGAAAATACCTTCTATCTCGTACGATGATAACGGAGAACCTGGAGACGACCCTAGATGGGACGTATTCTACGATTTACATAGAGCCTTCGCTGCTTTATATCCTAACATGTAAGCGTCTATACCGTAATCATCTATTAGCGTTCCTAACAGCATGAAATAGCCATCTTCGGATGGACCGCGAGACTGTGAACACATTCGGTCTAGTATTCACGATCAAAGGAACTGAGCCTGCGCTCAAACCCATTCTACTTGCTGCGCACCAAGACGTTGTACCCGTTGCCGATGCTTCAACTTGGACGTATCCACCGTTCTCTGCCCATTTCGATGGACAATGGCTATGGGGAAGAGGCGCATCGGATGACAAGAACAGTCTGACAGGTCTCCTGTCGGCCTTGGAAACACTCCTAGCAAATCCTCTCTGGGTACCTAGGCGAACTATTCTAGTGGCCCTCGGGTTTGATGAAGAATGTTCCGGTCGTCGGGGAGCTGGTCACATTGGACCATTCCTGGAGAAACGATATGGTCCTAATTCATTAGCTCTGATCCTCGACGAAGGTGGAATGGGATTGCAACTTCTTGGCAATGATACACTATGTGAGAAGCATTGGAATATGCCCTGAAGTATTCTCCAACTAACCATGCAATAGACGCGCTCCCGGCTGTTAGAGAAAAGGGTCATGTGGATATCTGGCTAGAGCTCTATGTCAATGGAGGTCACTCATCGACCCCTTTCCCACACACGGGCATTGGCATATTGGCTGAGTTCGTCAACCAGCTAGAATCCAATCCCTGGAAACCTAAACTCATCGAAGGCTCCCCGATCTATAACCACTTCGTCTGCCAGGCGAGGTATTCTCCGGACGCGGCACCGAATATCACGAAACTGATAAACAAGGGAGACTTGGATACGCTAACTGAAGAGCTAGCGACAATTGATCGTGCAACCCAGTATCGTATACAAACTTCTCAGGCTGTCGATTATTTCATCGGAGGAGTAAAGATTAACGCTATGCCCGAGTATATCAAGATCGGTGTTAACCACCGTGTCGCACCTCAGGACTCGATTGAAGCGGTGAAGGCCAACATCCTTAAGCAGATCCAACCCATTGTCAAGAACTTTGGCTTGTCCGTTAGCGCATTCAAGGGAGAGGATCATAACCCGGAAATCGAGCTATTTGAGAACTTCGAGGACGGTGTTGTTAACCCGATGTATGATGTGGAATACAATGGCACACTCGTGCTCACTTCATCTCAACCCACTTTGGTTGCTCCGGTCTCACCTACATCGGGTCCGATCTGGGACGTTTTCTCGGGTACGATTCAGCATAGTTTTGCTTTTGAAGGTGGTAAAGTCGTTCCTGTAGGGGAATTGATGACGGGAAATACTGACACTCGTCATTATTTGAGTAAGTGCATTGTGAATATGTGTATTTGTTTGTTGATGGTTGCTAATACTTGATGCTCAGATTTGACTCGCCACGTTTACCGGTGGACGCCTACTCGTCAAGGGCATACCGCGAACGCCCATACCGTGGATGAGCGAATTGATATGCAGGCGCATTTGGACGCTGTAAGATTCTACTACGATTTAATCAGGAATTTTGACGCGTCTCCTGTCGCTGCTTTTGATGGTCAGACTGAGGTTGGAGAACTATAACAATAATAACGCTGGGATGTATTCAAAACGACTGAACGGGTGTTGAGTAAGTTTTGAAGAGCGAGAAATTGGTGCACATAAAAAGCAAGAATACGATCCAAAAAATACGATCATGAACCTTATGCAGAGTTTAAAGAGCAACCATTACGTAATCGGTTGATTCGGCCATGTTCATTACATAAGCATAGTGATAAGGTTTCCCGGCGCACGTCAGTGGCTTAGATAAGGTTAAATTGCCGCGGCTCACCACCTGCAGATCCGTTGAAATCCGATGCGATAAAGATTTCCTAGGGCTGTCAGCGCTCTCCAAGCTCTTGCCTAGGTCCATCTTCTCGGAATGCTCATGGATTATACAAGATTGATAGGCAACATAGAGGCATGATGGTATAAATTTTGTATCATGCCTGTTTTCCCTTCGTTTGCCCCGCCGTCAAGTTTTCGCCTTGGCTTGCGGGCGATCACTGGCAACTCCGGCAACTCACTAATTTCCTCGGCCGCTCGCTCATTTTCGACGAGATACCACCCCACCATACTATGCTCCCATTATAGCAGTAGAGGGGCTATAAATCGTCCGAGAATTACAACGAATTATTTTCCGCATATTGTCTCGCCCCGTATACCCATTCGAACGTTTAGATTCCGCGCGATCACCGAGTACGTGAGACTACCGGATTCCTACGAGGATCGCAAAGGACTGCCATTTCGAAAAGAGGATCTTAGCCAAAGGGATGTTAACAAGATTTTTGGGGCACACCTCGAAGCACCGGAAGCGAATAGACTTCTGAGGGTATTGCACGGGCGCCGAGTAGCGGGGACTCTGGAGGACCCGAGCCTTAAAGTGAATACCACCTACTTCAGTAATGCGGATCAAGAAAAAGCACTGAAATACTTGCGCGATAATATCCCCGTAGATGAAGTTATAAATGCTGGCCTACGTGCTGAAGATGAGCTTAAATATCTAGAGGCGCAAGAGAAGGGCGATGATAAACCCGAGGAGCAATTCGAAGAAACCGGTCACCAAGACCCACCGTCTGACGAGGTGGTGGAAAAGGTCGAGGTGCCAACTGGACGACTTCCGATGCCTAAAAGTGACTCACCGTATGGTGTGGGCTCGTTCGATCGAATCCGTGCCGAGAACATTGCGAAGCGTGAAGCGGAAGAGAAACGACTTGAAGCGGAACGGATAGACCGTGAGAGAGAAGAGGCGTTAGGCAATATTGGCACCTTACAAACTATCGAACAAAAACCGAGGGAGTTAAGTCCACGTATGAAGAAGTGGAGGGAACGCGGGACCTCTGACTTGAAGGAGTTTCCGAACATGAAACCTTGGGAACGTCTACTTCCCTCTCTAGCCATGACACTATTGGTTTTAGGAGGCTGTGTTGCATATGCCACCATGTATACAGCTCCTAAGAAATCGGGAAGAATATGGCCGGATATCCCTCCTGCCGCCGCGACCTGTCTTGCTCTTATCGGAATTAATTTGACGATTTGGTGCCTATGGAGGGCGCCACCGGTATGGCCTATCTTGAACCGATACTTCATCTTAGTGGCTGCAACGCCGCGGCCCCTTCAGTTGATTGGTGCTATGTTCTCACATCACCACTTTAACCATGTTGCTCTAAATATGGTCGCGCTTTGGTTCTTCGGCACTCGACTCCACGATGAAGTTGGTAGGGGAAACTTTCTTGCTATATACTTGACTTCCGGAGTTCTAGGTTTCATGACAAGTCTAGCAAATCTGGTACTTATCAGAGGGTTAGAGTTCACAACCCTTGGGGCGTCAGGAGGGATTTACGGTATCGTCGGCGCATTTTTCTGGCTGCATAGGTATGATGAGTTCAAACTATTCGGGTACCCACCCGATCCGATGTCTGGTCCACAAGGGTTGGCATTTCTCGGGTTGATTTTGGGCATGCATATTGTCCCGTTGCTCTCAAGGTCAAAGAAGATGAATAATTTAGATATAGCGTCGCATATAGGAGGTATGGTGGCTGGTGTGGCCAGTGCAGACCTCGTAAAGAGGCATATGGATCATAAGGCGAGGCTCCGTGCCGAGAAGCTGAAGACCATGGGCGCTCTAGAGAAGGTTGTGCTGATTAAGGATAAAGATCCGCAAAAAACGGCTCGATTGCCTGCTGGGCGTTGAGCAATGTGAAGATACGAAAACAAAAAACAAAAATATTGAATTCCAGGTATTGCTTTTGTACATATATAGATACCTGAGGCTGAAAATACGCCACTATATACTACTTGTACAAAATTGCATTCTGAGTATTGTTCTTAGGAGCTCTGAATACGAATTTACGTATCGTATCGTCTTCTTATTAGTCGAGACGGATCTGAAGAGCGCTTAATTTGATCCAACCATACGGTACACCAAGTAGCATTTTCAATTACTAATGTATCTATGTAGCCCTATGGGGAATTAAGTTATGTACCTAATGTACGTGCTTGATGATACCTTGAACAAGTACCGAAGTATATCCAGCCTTACGCAACTGGAAACAACCTTCTTGGGCATCCAGACACGTGCACAACTCTATTCGCCGGCTGGTATGGCATACGATATAGGACGATGGCTCAATATAGACGCGTGTCGCTGAATGACACCGGAAAAGTTCATTGGCGATAGGCAAGCTGCAATGCAAGAATGCAAGATCATACCACACTTATTGGAGCAGGTCATATAGATAAGTCAGATGGGATGAAAATAGATCAAGCCTGCAAGCCAGAATTGTTGAAATTGAATATCAGACGCACTGAAGCTGCGAGGCCTCCCCTGTTGAGATTATAAAGATGGCCCTGAAGAGTACATCAATACGTACCCTTAGGCGGTCAAGGTTAGCGCGTGCACATCCCCGTGGTAGCGCTGGGATGCCCCATTGCTCAAAATTGAGATGGGCTGGTCGGGAGGGAAGCTATGACCACATACCACGGGACTTCTAGCCATTGATCACTCGTCATCGAAGGTAAATCATTCCGGCGCCCCACTTCGCGCCAATGAGATGCGGCAACGCCTGCATGCTGAGGTTTGGCCTAGCTTTTTAGCCGTTGTCTGATTGGTTGGAAAAGAACGATTACTGCTGACTGCGGAAACTGCTGATCGTGAGATTAGTATTTTTTTTTTTCTATTGTTCCTGCTGCAGCTCGGAATCGGCACGCTGTTGTCTCATAATCTCACCCACAAAAATTAACATCCCATCCACTGTTTTTTCACCTGTTGCTAATTTTTTATCTTCCAACTACTTCGTTTCTGCCTTGAAGAGCCAAGGCCTGCATGTAATTATTATTGGTTTATAATCTATTGGCGTCCTATACGAATCTCAATTGAGCTTTTACTTTTTTTTTCTTTTTCTCCTTTTCGTCTAGTCTGTGCCTATCAAGACGGCTTTATCGAGTCCTGGTGTATTTTTTCTTGGCATACGTCTGAGGTCCCTTGTTTATTAGCTGATACCCTGATCCCTCGAAACTGTCGCGTTTCCTGATCAACGCTTCTTTTCCCATGCTTTTGGTGCATCTAACCGAAATTTGAATTTCAACAATTTTCTTAACTGTGCGACAATATCCCGTGGGTCTCATCTGAACAAAGCAACTTGTCGTGTCGAGGAATCGGCACTTAACAGGTTCGCGGCTCAGTCCTACGAATCCCCTGTCTTGTCAGCATCCAGTCAGCCCGTTACACCGACTGGTTCTGAAGTCTACAATTCACCGTAGAAATAATACTTTTTAATTAACTTCGAACTTGGGAAACGGCTGAGAATACTACCAATTCGTAAAACACCATGTCTGCACACCACCAAGACGATACCATCCTTCCTGAGGAGGAAGACCCGCGCAACCCCTATGCCTCTGCCAACAAATGGAGACATCAAGAATCTTCGTCCTTCGCCCGCGCGGCGCTTGCCCGAGATGCTCATTCCTCTAGCGGACACACCCGAGATCTATCCAACTTCCTAAACTCTGCGCGAGTCGAAAGCGATCACCCTCCCGCCAATGGAAACGCTCAACCAATCATCGTTGGTGGTACCGACGGTACGCACGATGGCGCAATTGTTGACGATGGAAAGGAGGTATTGTGCGGCCCTTTGTTAAATTACAGACGCATGGAAGACAGGACTTGGTATGGCAGCGTCTTGCTAGTGATAAAGGGCGGCGGCAAAACCCAGAGCTTTCAGCCTACCCTAAGCCTTGGCCGCGTAGAAACGGCCAGTGGACAAGCAGGCCTGGCCCAGGAGGGATCTATCACCAATGGCGCTGAGGGACCTGATGCGGACGGCTCTCGTGTTCGGAGTACCCATGGTGCCGACATTGAGGGTATCTGCCTTTACTCTGACTCTAGAACTACATTTTGGACGTTCCCACTTGTTTGCGACATCTCCGATACAGAGACGAAGTGGGCATACTCGATCGCCGACGTTCGTTACAAGAGTGAAACGAAACCTAAGACGAACTACTTCTTCATTCCTGCTATTGACGAGTCGATGCGCATCATGTTCCACTCGTGTAACGGCTTCAGTGTGGGTACCGACGAGGATGCTTGGAGCGGGCCGGCATTGTGGAACGACGTCATGAGAAACCACGCCAAAGCGCCTTTCCATGTCATGATTGGAGGTGGTGACCAAATCTATAACGACGGCATCCGAGTTAATGGACCTTTGCGGGAGTGGACAGATATTGGGAACCCTAAGAAGCGACGCGATTTCCCCTTCCCCGAGAGTCTACGAGCTGCTTGCGATAACTACTACTTGAATAACTACATTCGATGGTACTCGACCGAACCCTTTGCTGCTGCCAATGGACAAATACCACAGTTGAACATATGGGATGATCACGATATCATTGACGGTTTCGGGTCGTACGTCAACGAGTTCATGAAGTGTGATGTATTCCGAGGCATTGGTGGTACTGCGCACAAGTACTACATGCTTTTCCAACATCACCTAGCACCCCCAGCATCGACCTACACATCGGATGTGCCCGAGACAGGGGAAGCCGGTCTAGCACAGGATCCTAAGCAGCTTGTAGACACTTTTGTTAGACAACAGGCTTTTGATTCGTCTTACATCATCGGTAGCAGACCAGGACCATACGTTGCGGAACACTCCATGAACATGTTCAGCAAATTGGGCGCCAGAATTGCGTTCTTAGGTATTGATGCTCGTACCGAGCGCACACGGCATCAGGTCAACTACCCCGAGACGTACGATCTTATCTTTGAACGGGTAAGAAGTGAACTTGGCGCAGCCGCGGCCAATGGCCAACCCTTCAGACACTTAATCCTACTACTGGGTATCCCGATCGCGTATCCCGTAAGTAATTTTAGTATCTTGTCTTAGGACATCCGGCTAACAATACCAGCGTCTCACCTGGCTTGAAAACGTATTCAGCAGTCCGTTGATTGCCCCCGTCAAATTCTTGAACCGAAGATTTGGATTTGGTAAGTGGAGGCTCTTACTGTCATAACTTTCGCAATTATTTATCATTTTAATAGGTGGCGGCGTTTTCAACCACTTCGATGGCAGTGTGGATCTCTTGGACGATCTGGATGATCACTACACGGCCAGAACCCACAAGAAGGAACGAAATGCTCTTATCCAGCGCCTCTACGCCGTCTGCGCGGAATTCTCTGTCCGACTGACTATCCTTGGAGGCGATGTTCATCTGGCAGCCCTTGGACGATTCTACTCCAACCCCAACTTACACATTCCCGTCGAGCAAGATCATCGTTACATCGTGAACGTTATCTCTTCGGCTATCGTAAACAAGCCCCCGCCAGCGGCAATTGCGAACCTCCTAGCAAGTCGTAATAAAATTCATCATCTTGACCCGGATACAGATGAGACGCTCATGGCCCTCTTTGATAAGGATCCTGGAAACTCGAACAAGACGCGATCATCGAACAATGTCACTATGCCTAGCCGAAACTACGCCATTCTTACGGAAAACTCGCCCAATAACTCCGGCGCTGCCACAAACGGCCACAGCGAACCAACCGAGGCTGACGTATCAGAAAATCAATTTGATGGCAAAGATGGACACTCATACTTGTCGCGTGGTGAGCTAGGTGCGGGTACTAAACACAAGGCGGCCGACTTCCAGGCACATGGCCAGAATAATGACGGCGCTCTCGACGTGTGCATCCGCATAGAAATTGACCAGCACGATAAAGAGGGAAAGACTGAACCCTATGGTATGTCGATTCCTGCCCTCAACTATGAGGCTGGCAAGTTTGGCACCAACGCGCATACACATCACCTTCGTCACCATCGAAGTCGCCCGGGCACTTCCGGGGCAGCCAGTACTCTCGCTCCAAGCAGTGTACCCTCACTTCCAACCTCAGCACCTGAAGCGGGTCGCTAGAAGCTAGTCCGTTTGTTTCATGGTTGGTGTGAATGAAGCTCATTGCTTTACAATCTGGAGCGGAAGACTCCGAAGACTGCAATACGAAGCCAAGACAAGGAACGCATGCGCCATCGAATAGCCCGGTGGAGACGCAAAGGATTGCATCCTTGGCTGCCGGTCTAACTAGAAAGTAGGCCAGGAAAGACTGGCTACGTGTAGAAATGTAAACGAGGAATAAGGATAATAATACCCGAAGAGGAGGACAGCTGAAATATGTTGGTTCTCAAGTTCCCTTCATAGTTCTGTACTTTTATACCCTGCTGCTAATAATTCCGTTCGCAGCCCCTGGTATGTCAATAAATGTTGTATCCATCTTACTCGTCCCATGACTAGGCGAATCTGCGGATGCCTGCCCCACAAGTCATGAATCGATAATAGAAAGTATTAGGAATTAGAAGGGGTTTGCGCAAGGGGTACGGACGTATCTAGCCGTTTGAATCGGATGCTTGATAAATGCTCGGGTCTGCCTACCGATAGTAGAAGTCAAAGTACCGAGCCATGAGCATTATAGTGGCTGCGGAGCCATTTACATAGAAGCTCATGCCGAATTCGGCTTGATTGAAGCTATCATCGAGCTTCCTATTGGTCCGTTTCTTTCAATTGAATTCGCACCTTCTTTGCCCCGCAATACCGTTCGTTTATGCTGTAGCAAAGCGAGCGCATACATCATTATCGGAGTAGAAGCGCCGATGAAGCTTCTCATCTATTAACTTCTCTTATATGACAAGCAACTACATTGGATACATTGTTGAAGGCAATTGCCCCTTAAACTAAAACAAATTCTAAGATACCCTTATTCGCACCTTAGTTAGCATAGCAATTTCGACTATTGCTTCAATTAGGATTATAGCTAGTTGTTAGGCTGTGCCTAGAGATAATTACTCGCTCTTTGTGTTTCCGATATGGCGACTACACCTAGAGCTTACGGCCTCACGAGGGCATTACACACCCCATCGATATCTTCAAGGGTCTGTTCAAGATGTTTGCCAACACTTCGATCGCCGAGGAATTCGAGGGCATTGAGCACAACGAGCGCCAGGACATCGGTGTTGGCCGCCTTTAAGATACCTAAGATAACGAATGAGCCTAATGTACGTTACACACGGACTTTTATATACTCCTTCGAATTTGTAGTAGCATGTTGAAGTAACTAACGAACCGAATAGCACCATTACGCGAAAGGCTCGGCGCAAAGAGAAGGCCTTCTTTCCGCGATTGCCGCCAAACAGAATGGCTCGATAGATATTCCGCTAGTAATAGGAGGTAAAGAGGTACGTATAATTTCAACACATGCTTGGTCTTATGCTCAACAATTACTATACAGATCAAAACTTCACAAACATCCACGCAACATAATCCTTCCGACCATGCTACCGCTATTGCGAATTATTCTGTTGCGAGCCCCTCCGATGTCAACAATGCAATTGAGGCAGCCCTAGCCGCGAAACCAGCATGGGAAGCCCTTCCCTTCGCCGACAGGGCCGCTGTCTTCCTCAAGGCAGCCGACTTGATATCTACGAAATATCGATACGAAATTATGGCTACCACGATACTTGGACAGGGTAAGAACGCATGGCAGGCCGAAATCGATGCCGCGGCAGAGCTATGCGACTTCTTCCGCTTCAACGTCCAATACGCCGAAGAGCTATATGCCCAACAGCCCGCCCACAACTCAGCTGGCGTATGGAACCGTACCGAATATCGACCACTCGAGGGTTTCGTATACGCAGTCAGCCCCTTCAACTTCACCGCCATCGGCGGCAACTTGGTCGGCACCCCCGCGCTCCTAGGCAACGTAGTAATCTGGAAACCCTCCGACTCAGCCGTCGCATCCGCATACCTAGTCTACAAGATCCTCCTCGAAGCCGGGTTACCAAAAGGCGTTATCCAATTCGTCCCCGGCAATCCAGAAGAAGTAACCAAAACCGTCCTAGCGCACAAACAATTCGCCGCGTTACATTACACCGGCAGCACAGCCGTGTTCCGCAAACTATACGGACAAATTGGTCAGGGTATTGCTGAGAGTCGGTATGTCGGGTACCCGCGTATCGTGGGTGAAACCGGGGGTAAGAATTTCCACCTCGTGCATTCGTCTGCGGATATCCAGAACGCGGTTGTGCATACCGTGCGCGGCGCGTTTGAGTACTCCGGGCAGAAATGTAGTGCTACGAGTCGACTTTACGTCGCGAAGTCTATCTGGCCTACCTTTAAATCCAAACTCGTCGAGGAAACGCAGAAACTTAAAGTCGGTGAGGCGTGGGATCCGCAGACTTTTATCGGTCCTGTGATCCATGAGCCGAGTTTTAAGAAATTGGCTGGTGTGATTGATGACGCGAAGAGTGATGACGAGTTAGAGTTACTGGTTGGAGGGAAGTATGATGGTGCGAAGGGGTATTTTGTGCATCCAACGGTTTACGAGACTAGTAACCCGGCGCATAAGTTATTGAGTACGGAGTTATTCGGTCCGGTGCTCACGTTGTATGTCTACGATGACGCGGCGGAGAATGGGTTCGCGGAGGCTATTAAACTAGTTGATGGCACGAGTGAGTATGGACTCACTGGGTCTGTGTTCGCGACGGACCGCGCGGCGGTTCGGCAGGCGGAGGAGGGATTGAGGAATGCTGCGGGTAACTTTTATGTTAATTGTAAGAGTACCGGGGCGGTGGTTGGTCAGCAACCGTTTGGTGGTGCGAGAGCTAGTGGGACGAATGATAAGGCGGGAAGTGCGAATATTGTGAGTCGATTTGTGAGCTTGAGGAGTATTAAGGAGGAGTTTTTGGCGAGTGAGGAGGTTGCTTATCCTAGTAATGAGGTTTGAGGAGGGAGTTAAAAAGACAGGCTATGAGTGAGTGGCAGGTTGCGTGTGCATTTTCATGATAAGCGGTTATTGAGGTTCAATAACTGGGGGAATCAAATGTCTTATGAGATATAGCATGAAGAATGAATACCAGCTAAGAATAGGAGTTCATGTCTACCAGTGAGTGAGAAACCATTAAGACAGGAGTATTTGGAAAAGGAGCCGGCTCCTTATCCTTGCTTACTAATCTAGCTGGTTTTACATACTACATAGTAGTGGGAACGCAACAGTCCTTTAATAATTGTCAACAACAACATGGATCTGATAAAGGAAGTCATGCTAACCTCGGATTCACTTGTGTAGAGGATATTAATAGTGTTGGCTGAAGAAGTGTGCTCGTTTGTGGAAAGGGGTAGATGCTTACGTAAGGCAGTTTCGGCGCAGGAAGACGAACAGCATCGGGGGGGGTGTAAATTCATCATAAGAGTAGATACATGACTATTCAAAAATTTAACCATAGTAGAACGGATAAGAATGAATAAGTCAAGCTTCAATTAAATAAAGAGTAAAAATAGGAGAAGAAAAAAAAGTCACCATTACGGGGGTTCGAACCCCGGTCCCCAGGGATTTCAAGTTGAGAATATTTGAAAACCTGGTATCCTAAACCTCTAGACGATAATGGTCTGATGTTGTTCTCGCCATCGAATTCTTAAATTTATCCTATTATTATGTATTATAAGGTTGATGTAGGTATGTTTGTTTCCAGAGGCAGGTGCCCAGTACATTATCAATCACGGGTAGGTACGTCCCTACTGTCATTCGCTCCTGCAGACGAACAGCAATGCCCATTTAGTTCTATGAGGCGTAAAACGTTATTAGTGGACCATTGGCCGGTATGATTTTCAGATCTTACGCTCAATTCTAACACCGAGTAAGTCACATGTACCAAATATAACATACCATCACTTTCTCTATAGTTATACTATGGCAATAACCTAGAGCGCCTAACAATAAACTTATATCACTATGTAAGTAGTTACACAAGTACCTTGGGATTACTATAGGGGCATGCGAACCCAAGTACCTAAGGATGACAAATTCTGGTGAATTCATAAGTTAATACCCCCTTTGTACCACCATGCAATAGAGATGCGATGATACATAAGGGCATGGCAGAGACATCACACGGCTAACTGTGTACCATCTTTCAAAGGTCTAACGCACTGCAGTTATAATGTGTCTGGATTGTTTGACTACGTGATCTAACGTAACACTGCAGCATGCGAGTATTCGTTGTACGCAAACGGCGGGCATGCGGACACGTAACTTCGAGGTAAAACTACACCAAACTAACCTAATCATACACAGGGTAGAAATTTCGAAATTTGAGGCGTAGAAGGAAGGTGTTTTATTCAAATTTTACGCTACGTGCCGTACATATACCATTGGTGCAAGCCAATGAGTTATTTGGAGATATCGGGCACATGTATAAGATTAGAGCCGATCCAGATAATATATGCGCCTGAAGTTTTGGAAATAGATGTATTAAAATATCATTTCCAATATTTCTATTACCCCTATTTACCATACAGAAGCCCAGCCTATAACCACTTCAAAATTTATTGACTTCATCGTTGACAACATTGTTGATCATAGGGTCAGCGCCGCCTGGGACTCCCTTCTTCTGAGCTTCCTGATCAACCACTAGGAATGAATTGTTAGTCAAAGCGTCTCAAGGCAATGGTAATATAAGACGTACTAGAATCGATCATGGTGTCTTTGGTGGCATTCTTACCGCCCGGCTTTTGGGCAGTTTGGTTGGCCGAACTGTTAAAATGGTGAGTAACTCTAGCTTATGGTGAAAATATATATGCAGAGGGGGCGTACGTCTGGCCTGTAACTGCGTCCTTTGCCTGCTTCAGTTTGTCCATGATGATTGATATATGTATGATGGTGTTTTTGGTTATATAATAGGTTCGTGGTGGTCTTTGAATTTGATGGAAAAGGAGTTGCAGGTCCTGTAAGAGTTGGAGGGCCTTTAAATAGCCTCCAGAGGCTTTTAAGGTTTATAACGACATTCTCACGTTATATCAGACATACAGAGATAATCCCAATATACCACCTAGGGAGGGGTTGGGATACGGTGAGCAGGACGAATTTCATGTGATGATGATATGGGCGAAAGTTTACTAGATACAATACCTGGATCGGGCCGTCGTGTTTGAAGGTTTCCGCACATCCGCACCTAATAATAATGCGGCTTCGCCTGATGTTGAATTTGTAGAAGATAAGTGGAAACGAGTATAAAGGAGGTACGGGTAGTAATCTACTTGCCGCTAAAGCCAACGGTTTCAAATCAAGCTTTTTAGTAAAGTCATAGCCGGCCGATCTAACAAGGGATCACCAACCTAGTTTTTCACGCCGCTATAAGACTTCCAGATATTCGGCCACTAAATCTAGAGTCGCTCGTATTCCGCCATGTAGCGGGGACCCAGTGACTGCTAATCATGGTTTCACCGGGTTCTCTAGGGCGGCGCTACTATAGAACTGGGAGATTGACAAGGAAAAACATGTCTGGGTCTTCGATAGCCTGATAGTGTAGTTAAGGCATAAAAATTGAATATTGATAGTTTCTATGGCTTCTATTATATTCATGTTTCGAAAAGAAGCCAATAATATACATGTGTATGCTTTGAAAGTCGATCGGCTATACAAAAAAATCGTAGCTACAAGATTTAATTCTTTGCGTATTATTTGCTCGCAAGGTATAGTTATTTACAAGATCAAGGTTGTACCGAACATGTATCATATGCAAAGTTGCATGACATAAGTTCACGCTGGTAGTTCCCAGGCCATTGGCCTATTGGGTCCACGAGGAATCCTCTCATCCCATGATGGCATCTCTGTTGGGCTATCTCGCCCATCCAGCTCATGGGTTGCATTCAACGATGAACGCCGACAAGCTGGTATGAAGTCTTTCGGAGGAAGGGGAGGAGGCGATGAATTTCGCCTTCTGCGCCGACTCATAAGTAGAAATGTTCCTATGGCTCCAAGTGCCATGGCACCTATAACCCCTATTGCTATTCCCCCGACAGCACTATTTGCGAGTATACTAACTTGGGAATTTACGGTCGTCGTTGGAGTTGTAGTCGGAGAAGTATAAAGTGAGGATGAAGTTGGAGGCTCTGGCTTAGCCTGCGTGGAAGAAGTTGTGTCGGTGAATCTTGTAGTGGGGGTTTCTGGAGGTAGAGGTATCCCGACGGGTGTCGTCTTTACTGCATTTTGTATTCGAATACCATATGCGAAGAATGTCTTAGGAGAGTCACCAAAACTTGGCTGTGGTCCTCCTTCGGAACTACATATAGACGTTATCGAGGATAGGACATTGAAAGATCCCACGAAATAACAACCGGGATTGCTGTACGGAAATGTTGGCTGGCATGTAAAAGGCAGATCTCTAACGAAGTGTCGGCAGTCAGTTCCAATTGCAAATCGAGACCGAGAATAAGTACAATTAAACATACGTTGGGCAGCAAATAGCCGTTTCAATGCCATCTTGCGTTACCGGACAAGCAGTAGTAAATCTGTCTGGACAAAGACCTGGCGAGTAATAACCATCTTCTTTAAAATCCCAAGGAAAGCAATCATTGCTAGTCGTTGGGCGGAGCATAAAACCACTGTTGCTCATCGCGTAAGCGATACAACCCGTGCTTGATGCGCATGACGATGGCGCCGAAAAAATCGTGGTTAATGGGCCGATGTGCGCAGGGCTAGTTGACATAGACGTCGTTACCATCTTTTCCCGCATGAAATACCATTTCAAAACGATGCAGGTCAAAATAGGGAATGCGGGTGAAGATATTCCCACGAAACCTCGGTCCCTGGCTCTCCATACTATCTGTGAACCAAATATGAAACCACAACGGCTACGAGAATGGGCCTCTCATTTCCGCTTATCATGTATGTTGGACCTTCTATGTTTTGCATGGTCATTTTAAGAAGGCCATCTGAGGGTGATGGAGAACTCATTTGAACAACCGCCCCCACGATGTTTTATGTACCTTCTTCTGTGTACCAAGTGCATTCCACTCCAAACACGGTAAACGTATGTCTCTGGGAAATGGGGTGGAAGAGTTGGGAAATAATCCAATCGTAGCGACGAGATGGACCTTAGAAGGCCGTTGTAGTACTCTGGCTAACTGATCTAGGTAGTACATATACGATAGTTGACTTCTAGGAGATATTAGAAGGGGTTTTGATAATATCACGAGCGAAGGTATAAGGGTGATTTTTTCCCCCGTATGATCAATATAAATTTTTGTTTAAAGCTGAATAATGCTTTTGTCTTCAAGATAACATGTTCGTATTCGGCCGGTTCCTATCGTGATGGAGAGGCCTTGTATGCGGGGGAATTGGAAGCGGGGCGGGGTTTATATGGAGGCATCCATGGGCATCTATCTAATTTGGGTCCAAGAACTTTCTGGGCCTCCTTTTAATAAAACTGTGCTACCGAGATTTAGGAATTACGTGGCCATTACCTGAGACTTGAATCTTGTTTGGGGTTTACCTAAGGACCAACAGGCGACCCTCGGAGTTTGGGCGCGAAGCGATAAACTCCTGGAGCAACTTCGTATTGACGTAAGAATGGCACGCCGACCAGTTATCGCAGTCGCCGGCTTGGCCTGTGAGACATCGACCTTTACACCATCGAGAACACGCGCGCCGGCATTTCACCCTCAACGCGATTCGGACATTATAAAGAAGTACCCGTTCATCCAACCAGGTTCGCCGTTAGGAGATGCTGTTGAATGGCGAGGCGCCTTAATTGGGCATGCCTTACCGGGTGGTATTGTGACTAGAGATGCATTTGAGATGTTGTCGGCGGAAATAGTCAATCGCCTTACTCAGATAGTGGCTTCGACGAAACTCGATGGACTTTGGTTCGATATACACGGCGCTATGTGCGTTGAGGGGCTTTATGATGTAGAATGCGAACTCCTGAAGCGATGTCGTGGGGTTATTGGGCCTGACGTCTTGGTATCGGCGTCGATGGACTTACATGGTAATGTTTCGAGACAATTAGTGTGCCACACGGATTTAATTACCTGTTATCGCACAGCGCCTCATGTAGATGTCGCTGAGACGAAAGAGCGCGCTTGTCGTAACTTGCTTCAATTGATTCAGCGGAAAGCGAATGGCGAAGAGACTGTGCGACCGCTAAAGGCTTGGATACCGCTACCGATTCTACTTCCTGGTGAGCAGACTTCGACGAGGGATGAGCCAGCTGCACATATATATGCTGCCGTTCCTGAAGTTGAAGCTATGGAGGGGGTATTAGATGCGGCGATTTGGGTTGGCTACGCTTGGGCTGATGAGCCTAGAAACCGTGCCGTGGTTGTGGTGACTGGTTGGGATAAAGAAGCGATCTCTAAGGGCGCTACAAAACTGGCGCGCTTATTCTGGGATTCGCGTAAGGATTTCACTTTTGTTGCACCAACAGGGTCGTACGAAGAATGTCTAGATGCTGCATTGGCATCTGATAAGCGTCCATACTTCATCTCAGACTCTGGTGACAACCCCACGGCTGGAGGCTCTGGCGATGTAACATGGGGTTTAACACAATTGCTTGCGCGTCCTGAATTCAAGACCGAATCAGGTCCGAAGGTTATCTATGCTTGCGTGCCAGGGCCTGAGGCGATCCAAAAGGCAGTGGAAGCTGGTGTTGGGGCCATTGTGACGGTTACAGCTGGGGCGGAAGTAGATGATATTCATGCGGGACCAATCACAATGACAGGTCGGGTTCATTCAATAAAGCATGGCGATAGGCATGCTGAGACCGAGGTTGTACTTCAAGTTGGCAGCGTATTCGCGATCCTGACTAAGTTGCGCAAGCCTTACCATCTTGAGAAAGACTTCACCGAGCTCAACCTTACCCCTCGTTCGGCGGATATCGTAATTGTGAAGATTGGATATCTGGAGCCAGAGCTCTATGCCATGGCGAAGGACTGGATGCTTGGCCTCACCCCGGGCGGTGTAGATCAAGACCTGGAAAGGCTGGGTCACAAGCGCATCCTTCGCCCGATGTGGCCATTTGATCGCACGGTTGAAGATCCAGATCTCTCTGCTCATCTGATCCCGATGTCCAATACGTTGTTAGATTAGTAGGAAAGCTTGGTTATGTCGCGATGATCGTCGGTCCGAAATGTTACGGACAAGATTTCTCGGGAGATTCTCAGCTGCTTATCTTTTCGTTCTCGGACTTACAGAACTCCAGGATCGGTTAAGCATCTAAGAAATATAGTGGTTTAACAATTGTAATTACGCTATTAAGGTACTGACGTAATCCAAGAATTTTATTAGGGAGGTAACTTTTGATGTTGTATTTCTTAGGTTTAGAATGGCGACCGGAAACCGTGAGAATTGGTTTTTATGTTATTAACCCTCAGCACCTTCCCACCCACTCTAAACGACCGTTTAATAAACTCTATAAAATTAATAGCCAACTCTAACTTAGATTATTTTATACCTTAGGCAGTTGCCACTGTTAATATACTAAGACAATCCAATCTCAGAATTCAATCCATCCTTATCTGTTCCCCCCCCCCACTTCCCCTTTTTCTTCTTCTACGTAGGTGGCTTACGTTACGTGTCTAGGCGGGTGGGTGTGTTGTTGAGCGCCAGCGTCCCAGGTTTAAATCCTAGTACCAGCTACCCTCCTATTCAATCTTAGACTCTATCACAACTCTCAAAACTTGAATAGTCAACAACTTACTTCAGCTTGTCCTCTTCCCAACGATATTATTATACGAGCCATTATCAGGCTCCTCTATAGCTGAATAAGAACCGCCTGCCATATTAGGAAAATGCGCATTCCTATTTCCATTATGTCCCGCTTCATTTGTAGGGCGTCGGACCAGGGATCGGTGCCAGATTCTGGATGCGGCTGAAGGAACTCCCTCTTGCCATGTGGCATTTGGAATGCCGTAGGATTTGAAGATCCGTTAAATGTTGAGAGATGGGCGTCACGTTGTCCGGCCCCCTGGGTGCTCCAGGTGCTCTAGGTGCCCTGGGTGTGTGCCCTGAATCTCAGCTGGACCAATTGGACCACAGCGTTGACATCGCGATATTTGTCGGATTTACGACTTTTGCGGGCGGCACCATCCATCCACCACCCTATTTTACGCCCCCAAACTGTCGGCGCTACACCAAGCCAAATTCCTTGATTGACTTGGCTGCTTGGATTGGAGAAATATACAAGTACCGACGACTAGGGCCAGTCTAGCCTCCTATCAACCAACAAAATGCCACCGTCCCGCACCGCGCCTATTAAGAGGTAACCTGCTTGGTCGCGCGATGTACTCGGACTCAAACAAATAACGGTCGGAAATTGGCAACCCAGGCAGCCTAACCAGAACATACTCGGCCAGTTTCTCTGGGTATAATAATCCGCGAGTAGCACCTCTCACAACGAGGCTAGAACAAGACTAATAGGCATTAATGATTTTGCCAAGCAGCGCCCTACTCAATTATCTGCCGCTGCCCTGAGCTCCACAGAAAAACGCCGATTCCTTGAATGTGAATTGTCGCCCTATTTTCAACGCTCTACTAACTCTTCCACCTCACTAATACAGAGATACCTATTTATCTGCTTTTCAAGCATTTGAGTCTACCAAAAATCTTGAAACGCAAGTAGGGACATGTAGGCGCCGTATCGAGTATCGCCGATCGTCCCGACTACCACGTGTCGATGTATCCTCATGAGGACAAATTTCTATTTTCAGTCAGCGGGGCCGAACGAGGGATCTACGGCGAATCCGGACTACCCCCGCGAGACATCGGAACATGAAGAACATGGTGCCTCTTCTACTGATGATCAATCTTCAAGTCACGGTGTGAAAATTGAAAGTCCGAGTTCTGGCACTAGTTTAAGTCAGTACGATTCAGCGGTCGGACGTTCTTCAATCTCATCCGAAAGGTATTCCGCCGGGGTAGATCGGGTAACAACCATCTACCAAAATGACCCGAGCCCATCCTCATTGCCTTACAGGCATTCAGTCTCATCGCCGCGTGAGCAGAAATACTTGCCTGAAAGTGAAGACTCTTCTCAAAAGTCGCCGGCTAGCACCGACGCTCGATCTACGGGACTAGCGCGAAGCCGAACACGCCACCATCTCCAACCAGAGGTATGGGAACGCCACAAGGAGGAAATACATGATTTATACATCGGAGAAAACAAGTCTTTGAACGAGTTGATGGAAATTATGCAAGGGAAGGGCTTCGTGGCCACGTTAGTGTTGACTTAAATGGATGAAATGCATATTGTTAGAGACTAACCTGTTAATAGTCCTCGCATGTACAAGGCAAAGTTCGCACAATGGGGTTTTGTTAAGAATAATAAGAAGAAAGACGTGGCCATGATGGTACGACTCCAACGCGAGCGTGGTGCCGTGGGTAAACCCACCGCTTTCCGTCGTCATGGGAGGTCGGTCGATATCGAAACCTACATGAGGAGAAAAGGTATCTCAACTCGAGACCTTGATGCACCTGTTGCCGATGCCGACCTACCAGAATACCTACGAGCTCTCACGCCTCCGCCGGCAGAACCTGAACATATGACTCTACCATCTCATCTCCATGCTCAGGAACTTGTCGTGTCATGTTTCAAGGACCTCACTCTGGGTTGGAGAGACTCGATGACGTCCCCAGCATCCTTCGAGGGCGATTTTGATATCTATTTCGATGGGGAATTATGTGAGGCTACAAGAGACTTTAGCAGAGCCTGTTGGTTCTTCTCTAAGAGTCATACCTCACTCGGTGCTTTGCTTAGTCAACGTGCCTTCTCTTCGTTACATCTTGTTATCAAGACCCCCTCTGCGCTTGGTTTGTTTGATTTGCTAATAGCTAGTGTTATATCTCCTGACCACGGACTAGCTAAAGAGCTATGGAAGTATCTCGCGGGGTACGCGGAAGCGACCATGGGACCTTCGAATACTCTCTGTCGACTATTCAAGTCATTGGACGAGGTGTTCCGCAATGATTCGCTCGAAACTGGTGTAGATTTTATTTTCAGCTGTATGGAGAGTATTATCGGTATGTTACTCGAGACGAATGAGTTCACACAGACCGTCGTACCTTCACTTAGCTTCTTTCTGTTAGGCGATTTGATCCTCTTCAACTCAACAAGGACCAATTTGCCATCTCTCCAGAGAGCAGCCGCTTCTACATCTACGATAGTATCGTCTCAAGATTCTGCACAAGATGACCGTCGCTCGTTTGGTGTAATGAAACTCATCGAGCCAGCGGCGCACCTTTGGCAAAATGGACCCCGCGACGAACTTTCAATTCAATTAGCCTATGCATTTCTACAACTTGCAGACGAGGTAACAAGTCGGTACAATTGGTCATACTGGGTTGCCTGGAGAGTGATTGCACATTTCCATCGTAGTAAATGCGGTGAAGATGAATCCTCGGTGAAAGACAATCCACGACATGCATTGGCTCGATACGCCTTAGAAAAGGCTATCGACACAGCTGAGGCGGGCCGTGGCTTTGGTGAAACGCAGATTTTCGAAAATATGCAGACGCTAGAAGAATGGCATCGCGAAGCGAGAGATGCCACTCAAGAATTAGCGGTAAGACGACGAAGGGAGAAGGGATTAAGGGATTATTTTGAGACACTGCAGCGAAGTCGCGGCGTGGAGATGTCTAAGACCCCAACTTCGCAATGAAATTTGAGGACTTCTTTTCGTCGATTGTATTATTATTACGGGCTTTTAATCGGTATCATGGATTGCCGTTGTGGAATTACCCTCGAGGACAGACGCTTTAGGTCTGCAATGACACGGCAGTAATGTATTATAACAACTTGAAACCTCAAAAATCTACAAGATATTTAATTGATATCTTATATATATTATATTAAGTATCATACCGATATTTCTCATCATTATTACAATCTGTAAGGCTTTAGAAAGCTTTGTGCTTCCTAAACCCACTCTGTACCATTTATAGGCCGCTAGCAATAGCAACACCCTAACTCAAGTTCCATAACTTGTCGACGTTGTCGCATATACGACCCGCGTCCCAATAATCGTTCAAACTATCATCACTCATAAAAATGCACACGTTCGTCAGCCCTGTATAGCGCCAACATTATCTTCCCACCAACCCTTCCAATCCACCACCCTCTTCCCGACTCTCGCCTCCTCCGCGGCGAATACCATAGCATGACTCCTAACAATCTCCTCAAGCCCACACCCAATAAATTCGCGCTGCGCCCGCGACGCCTCCCATCCATGATTCTTAACGCGGTCTACGGCTAGCACGAACTGGCGCGTGATCCCATGATCACCACCTCCATGTCCCAGGCTCTCGAGCTTGGGGTGATACGATTTCTGCGAACCGTCTTGGAAATCCTCGATAGTAATCGTGCGCGAATCGGCGTATATCTCGCCGGTGGTGCCGTGGATATACGTATACCGCTGGCATTGCCGCTTCGTCTGGGCTATCATGTGGAAAGTCGCTTGTTTCGCACCTCTATTCCCTACCGCGTCCGTATACGCACCCCCAAATTGGGATTGGGGGAGAGGGTCGTCGTCCCATTTTATAGTCACAGTCTGCTCGTCGCAAACGTCGTTATCGGACTCGAAGACGCAGCGTCCGAACCAGTTTTGGGAATCGATGACTTCTTGTGGCGTGGAGGAGTCGTAGTCTTCACCTAGACGCTGGAGGAGCGCTGGACGCGCGCGTGTGATGTCGCCCCCGAAACTCTCGATGTCGGGCATTACTACACTCATCGGCCACCGGGTGTTCCCCGTTTCTAGGCCTTGGTGTCGTGTGCTTTCGTAGATGCGACGGCCCGAGTACATGCAATTGGGCTCCGCGGCACAGCTTAGACAATTTGTGGCATTGCCCGCGGCTTTGGGTTTGCGACTTCGTCGGAAGAATTGCAAGGACCCGGTGGAGGAGACTTCGGTTGGGAGATGCGGGGGTTCTGCGTTTTCGGAACTAGGGTCCGGGGGTGAACAGAGAAGCCAGAGGATTATGTCGATGTCGTGGCAGCTCTTGGTTAGGAGGGAGGGTGCGGTGGTGCTTTCTTTACGCCAGTTACCGCGGACGTAGGAATGCGCGAAATGCCAGAAACCGACGGGTTCGGTGTGTACGACACTAAGGATATCGCCGATGACACGGTCCTCGAGAAGTAGTTTACGAAGCAACATATTATGTGGTGAATATCGCAGTACATGACCGATTGAGAAGACTTTCGTTTCTTGTAAAGGGGCCAGCGCGCGATACATAGAGACGCAATCGTCGAGTGTGGTGGCTAATGGCTTCTCGCACATAATGTGTAACCCCAGCGGGGCGAGAGCGATGACAACATCATGATGCATCTCATCGCGCACGCACACAAAAGCCGCGTCCACGCCCTCAGGAACACCTTCCTCACCAGCTTCTTCACGAACGCGGCGACGTTTTTCCCACTCAACGAAGTCCTTCCAGTCCTCGAAAGCGGAGCCCTCTGGTGCGGGCCCTAGCTTCTTCTCACGCTCAGCAGGCCAGATGAAAGTGCGCACAAATTCGTCGCGCTTATAGGGATCTGGCTCACAGACGGCGGCAATAACTCCGTTGCTCGATTGTAGAGTGCAGCGCCCGTAGACGCGACCACGGGACCCGGCACCTATGATGAGGAGGCGAGGTGGCCTGGCGGACATTGGTGGTGGGGTTGGTGGTCGGACCTCGGTGCTGCCTGCTGGCTCGTTCTCAAGGTCTGCTGGCCCTTCGTCTTGGATATTGTGTGGCGCCATGGTGATTGGATCTTAGAGAATATCACTTGGAGTGAGGGTGAGAAGCTAAATTATTGGACTGATTGGGTGCTTAGGTATAGATAACGAGCGGTGTTTAAGTTGTAGTTGTGAGATACGAAGTATTAAACGGTTCGATCAAATAAGAACCAATTCACCTAATCACTTTTACATTAGTGATTACAAAGGGATCTTGTTTCTGTCTACGATCAGAGGTGTATAAGTACCTAGGTAAGTAACAGCCTTGAAGTCTCGTGATACGATATTATCCATAAACATGAAGAAGAGAGAGCTCATCAAGATAGTCAGCCTATTGGGCAGCGACTGATTTGTTACTGTATAGTTCTTATTGGCTCTCCCGTTAGATGTGGGGTTAGTATCGTGCGGGGGATTAGGTCATTTTTAGTATATAAGTCAAAATTCCTAGAAAAATCTCTAATTGAGACTACTGATCGTAGCGTACATAAGGGCGTGTAACTCAGTGGTAGAGTGCTCGCTTTGCATCACGTGTGCGAGAAGCCCAGGGTTCGACTCCCTGCTCGTCCAAATTTTTACCATTTAATTGATAACGTCTAAGTAGAGATATCATTCAGAGTCTTCCATTTTTGTTAACTCGTCTATTCTTCAGCTGGTTGAATCTTGAATTGGTAATGCTGAATTACGGCTATTCAATAGTCGTCAATAACTTCTCCAATCTCAATACCTCTTCCCCCTATTAAGTGGGTTATCAACAAAAGTATTATCGTCTCTGCCGGTAATAGAAGATGAAGAATCGAGGTTAAAGTTCAGTTGTAATTGACGTTGCATTTTCTAGGTTTGAATTGACGGTCGGGAATTGTTGATGTTCACTTTCGGACCCTTAGCATACATTATGTAGTCATCAACGCGTCAATTTTAGACCTTCTTATGGTTTACATTATTTCTTTAGTAGTTTTCCGGAGGAAGGATTTCGTAAGAGAACCTTTTTTTCCTTAAAAAAACACTACAGCGGGTTGTACTAGCTAACTCCCAGGTGAGGGGACTATGCTATGGCTATAGGCGCTACAGTCCCCTATAATTGCAGTGGCACAATAAATACAATGCTATGCGTACACCATCCAAAGTTTTATACTCTATGAACATAGCACGATTCCTAGTTTTTGAAAACATTACTCTCCGTCTTTGCATTATCAAAACATCTATGTATACCTAGGTAAGGAACCACTCTAACACGATAATACATATAAGCATGTAAATATTACCAATATATCTCCTAGCTACCTTAAATAAGTACCTAGGTACGTTGTCGAGGATGTCTTTTAACAACCTCGCATTCATACCTACATAAGCATACCTAGGTAGACATATACGCTATCTGAAGGTGAGGTAATTTAGTGAGTTTATCCAATCAAAAATCAGGGGTGTAACGAAGACATCCTAAAAAGGTAAGTGGGGACGATACGTGGGGGCTCGAAGATTGTACATACGTAGATAATTAGCTTTGTGAGTATGTATATATAGAATAGAGAACCAGGGTGGGAATACATACTCTCTACTTATTCAGTGGAAACTAGGATAATACTCTTGAAAGTATCTACTTAATTTAGGAGGTATGGCTTGGTCCGCTCTCAAGAGACGATGTTTAATTCTTTAAGAGAGGTATAATGACTAATAAATTTTCATTCGTTAGATTTATAGTGCTCTAGACCTTAGAGGGACTATCCGCTCAAGCGGATGTAAGTATAAGGCAAAAACAAGTAAAAATATCACAGACAAGAAATAGCAATACTTGGTAAAAATGTAAATTTTAAAGTATCTTCATCTCTTTAAGGGAAGCCTCTTATATTGGGTAGAGAAACGAGGCACGTCTTACATAGTACGGGCGACACTGCCTGGCACAGGGAACACTTCAGGACCTTTTTTTTTTCAAAAACAAAAAGTTTAAGCCGATCCTGTGGCAAGTTCGGGTAGGTATGTGAGTGGTTCTCTACGGGATGATCAGAATATAGCTTTTGGAGGGGAATAAGGTGTTTACAGCGAAGTAAAGGTCAGAGATCAAAGGAGGGTTATGTAGTTTTATAGAAACTCGCAACGAGAGTTTCTAATGGCTGTGATTGGAAAATGACTAAAGCATATGGTATGCTTGACTCAATAGTATGCTAAAGAAATTGACTCTTTACAGTATCCAGGTGATATCGCATTGCTCAAGCTTGTACCAGTGTTCTGTATGAGCGAGTATAGCATCAATGTGGGACCAGATCTCCCCCACAGATCTTGCATGAACCGTTCCTGAAAGGTACCCAGGTACCTAACCCAATCCATTCTGCGCCAGGAAGAACGTGGCACCGTGGCCCAGCTACCACTTTTGAGTCACATCTACCTAGAGGGCATTTAAAAATACATATGTACATACATGTATGTAGTGGCCTACACGGTATGTACCCAGGTAGCTACGCATGTACATACCTTCAGTACCTACATAAGGTACCTGCACGGTGCATATGGGTACCCACCTTGTAGGCAAAATGACAGGTATTGTGGGGCTATAGGATAGTGGGGGAAAAGAGCAAACACGCAACCACCATATGAACGAAGAATTTCCCTAGCTAGCAGCTATCATAGGCACCCCATAGGCCATTCTCACGCGTTCTTTCTCTTTAATCCGTAAGCTCCTACACATAAACATAAATTTCTTCACACAAACCTTTCTACACGCAAACTTTTACACACAAATCACTGCACACAAACCTCTACCCATAAAACCACCAAACACATATATCCTCACTTCTACTACACCTTTCCCATCCTTCATCTTCACATCTTCCAGCTCATCAATATGATCCAGAGTGTCAGCTTGTTGCCCACCATGGACAATGCGACCAACAACATCGATTGTACACCCTCGGTATCTCGCAAGAGCCTCGGCAGCTCTTCAGGTCCCTCTATGGACACGGCGGCCGATGAGGTTGATTTTGACAGCCTTAAAGAAGTCAGAACGATATCAACCCAGGGTCATCACATAATCGGACTATTCAAGTCTGCGCTGAAGCTATCTCCCGCAGCTGGTCTAGATGAGAAGGCCGAGTACTTCGTTAGTGAAATGCTTAAGTATTCTCCTAAAGAGAAGTGTGGGCTAGACCCAGGTGAATTTGTCTGGGACTTCTAGGAACTTTGGGTAATCCTTGCAACCTACATTCGACCTCGCACCTCTGCGCAAGGCGTTCTTGTTAAGATGTCTTTCTTGATTAACAGCATCATAGAGTCGGAAAATGTATGTCCTACCTCTGATCCCCCTCCATGTATGCCGTCACTAATGAATATACTTCAGGATTATTATTCGATGTGGAGGGAACTTTACAGCCACTTTAGCATGGCGTTGCTAGAGAATTGGGATGCCAGTAAGTGTTAAGTATAGGCGTCTATCCCCAATATAAGCGGTGCTTGAGAAGGAACGATTCGAATCGCTTGCGAGCCCTCCCGTCCGAGCGACAACGAAGCAGAATTAGTTCTCATGGAACAAGAAGAAACCTAACACGACACCTGTATGGAGGGATATATCGGGTATGGCGGGGCAACTGGTGGCAAACATCAAGAATTGTTAATGGACCGCAGGAAGGATGAGGAGTCTGAATGGCAGCCTCGATGGTATCCCCTAGTGTTTCATTTCATCGTAGTTTGAGCAGCAGCCCATATAGAATGGTAGTGTTGATGACCTTAATAATGCTTTCTAACTGGTATTGGACGTCAATCCGCATACTTAGCAATTGATGTCCTGTTGGGATTTTTTACTAGGACCTTACTCAAGGATTACGTTGCCAGTCGAGTAAATTTGCTAACTACCTAGGTATTATATTTAGCGTATGGGCCACGTCGTAAATAACTATCTTTATAGGAGCCTCGTGATACCGAACCGTAAAGAAAATTTCAAGTTAGTCGTAGTATCATCTGGTGTAGATATGCGTAGTATGATATACTATCCGGAATGGCGACTGTATACATAGGGGCAGTCCTTGCATCGTTAGTTATCGCGCTTGACTGACCATAACATCTTACGCTCCAAAACGCAAAACAAAAACACTAAAAAACATCACAGGCCCATCGGGACAGGGTTGTAGTACCATATATTGAGAAATGCAAAACAAATAATAGCAAGAGAATTAGAATCCAGTTCGATATTTCTAATACAACACATCACTTACCCGCCTTATACAGAGAAACCTTACACCCATTCGCACTCTTACACGTAAGTTTCATCTCCCCCTTCCACTCCTCCCCATCCCGACTCTCCAGCATCCCGTACTTCATCGCCATCCGAGCGAGCACATAAGCCGCCTCGGCTAAACTCTTCTGCCGGCCTAGACACGCCCTACTGCCCCCACCGAAACCCATGAACTCCCATTGCCGCGGGGTGATACTGTCCCAGCGCTCGGGTCGGAAACTTTCAACGTCGTTGCCGAAGACGCGGGGGTCTCGGTGGAGTGCGTGATAGCTTATATCGGCGTGGGTGCCTCTGGGTACGAATATGGGGGCGTCGTGGTTGGGGCCGCCGCCGAATGGGAGGAATGTGTCGCGGAGGGCGGTTCGGCCCATTAGGGGGAAGACTGGGTACAGGCGAAGCGCTGGGGTGTTGTTAGTAGCGTTCGTAGATATTATGTCATTGTCATTGGGGTTCTTCGGTAACTTACATTCGAGGAGTACGTTCTGTAGGATCTTGGATTCTAGAAGGGTGTCGAAGTCGAGCATGTCGTCGCCTTTTTCTAGGACTTCCGTCCGGATCTGCTGCCAATAGCTCGGGTGCTGGGATAGAAGGAAGAATGTGTTGCCTAAGAGAGACGATGTTGTTTCTTGCGATGCCATCATGCCTTGGATGATCTGGCTTCGGATAAATTCGGGGTCGTCTGTCTGGGAAGATAGGCCTTGGACTAGACTCCGGGTCGCGCTAGACTTCGAGCCCTGTTGCGGAGTATCTTCTCCATTCAAAGCTTGATTGATGTGATAATTTAAATAGTCATGAGCGGTTTTGCACGCCCGAAGGTATTTGCCCTGCGGTAGGAAGTTCCAGATACGTCCGAGTACCAACCGGACCCCGGTGAAGAAAAGCGCGTCATGGAATGACTGAACGAACTCTTCAGGGGCACATGGGGCGTTGTCTTGTTTATCGTCGGAGATGCCTAGAAGGAAATGCAACGACGTATTTAAAAACTAGTATTGTTGCGATTAGCCAAGTGTCCTTAAGATAGAGCGGTGCTTCGTACCACGATGTAGAAGAGTGGCTGCAAGTCCACAGTGGTGCCTTCCTCCGGTAAGTTTTCTATCAATTTGTCCATTTCATGCGATAGGATGCTTAGGTCAACCAAATTACTTCTGTTAAACGACGGTCTAAGCAATTTGCGTGAATACCGCCAGACATCTCCATCCATAGCCAGAAAGCCACGGCCGCAGAAGAACTCCATTCCCGGCAACCGGGCTGGCTGTATTCCCCAATCATGATCGCGAACATTGATAACTCTTACGTTTCCGGGATGGATGGTCAGGATACTCGGTGTACTAGCCAGTGTGTTCACTTGGAACGAATGGCCATACCGCTGATGGAAGCGATGTAGAGAAGAAATGTCTTGATGGATGACCGCCTGGAAATCTAATCCCATGAATGGTTCGAAGGGCTGATGCTGGGGTAGCGGTTCATAGCATTTCTGACGTCTCGTTGCATCCCGCTGGCGGCGTTGCCAAATAAGGAGAATAATGACGAGAAGCAGTACCGCGGCAATTAGACGCCACATATTCCCCAATACGCAGCGATAGTGCGCTGCCAGTTTTTAAACATTGAGGTAACTCGGAATCAATTCATTTGGTACATGACCTCGTTCAAGATATCCATATGTGATTAAAAGATGTCAGCTCTTTCGTTTTGAGTAAAGCTTCCTTGCTGTGCCGTAGCTGTTAGTCATCAAGTAATAGAAACGGTCTGTTCGTAGCATTACTTGATCATAGCAATTCTTCTACTTTTTGAAAAAGCAGGTTGGATTGTCGAGGTTCTAGTAAGGTACTGAGAAAGGTCGCACGTACGCTAGTCGCTGAGGCGACTCTGTTCTCGCCGACAAGGGACATATGTGAGTTCCAATGTCTTATTTTGTCATATTTTGCTGGAATCGGCTATATTTCGTGGTATATACATATCATTTACGATGTGCCTGGTGGATCTCGATACATTGGAATATATGAACGCCTAGCGATGGGGCTTCGTCGACAATACCCATCACTTTAATAGATATCACTTCTCGTTCATTTGGTATGTAAGTATTATGTCCCATTTCTCACAGCCATGACAACCAAATATCCCTACTGAGACACTCAGCTACCCTGTTTCCGGGATTTAATACGAACAGGAAGACCGTCCTTGATATGGGCGGTAGCCACAACTTCAGGATTCGTTATTTGGTAGGCCTTAGTACCCATCCATAACGGCGCGCCTTGGGGATAAGCATCTTCGACTTCGAACTCGCGCACCGTTAAGGCGAGAATCAATCTAATTTCTACCGAGACGAGTTCTTGTCCAATACAATTTCTGGGTCCCATCTCGAATGGTCGGTAGGTATTTCTTACAGGATACAACGGGTCGTTTTCGTCGCGCACCATAAATCGCTCCGGGATAAAGGAATCCGCGTCGGGCCAGTATGTTGGATCGCGTAGTAAAGTTACTACGGAAGAGTGTATCATCAATCCGTGTGTCGGGTAGCGGACTCCTGTCTCGGGGTGTGTAAGGAAATGCCCTGGTGGAGATTGGCGAACGCTGCCTCCTGCTGGTGGAAACAGACGTAGTGTTTCTCTGAGAACAGCGAGCGTATACGGCATCATGTTTAGCAAGGTCGGGTCGGCTCTTATTAGGTCCGCAGCAGCTGACGGGTCAGGCCCCAATACTTCGTCATGCTCGGCGCGTAACTTGGTCGCCTTGTCCGGATGTTGGCTCAGTAGGTAATATGCGTGTGCGAGGACGGTTGCGGTAGTGTCATGTCCGGCGAACATGAAGATCTTGATGTGATTTATAGCTCGCTCGATGAATTCGGGTGGGACATTTCCTCTATCCGAGTAGTCTGGTGTTTCGTTTACGTATGATTTTAGAGCGAGAGCGACGACGGTCTTGGCCCCTTCAATCTTCTCATAGTTTTGGGCCGTGTTGATAATATAGGGAGCCAGCTCGTTTCGGATAATGCGATTGTATATCCAATTCCTGAAAGGACGGAGTGGGTTAAGTAGCTTTTTGAGGTCGAGCTCTAGGAAAATGAGGCTCAACTGAGACTTCATTGTACTCATTAGCCGACTTGGCTGGGTCTGTGTCTTTAAACGTGTTCCACTATCGTTGTGTCAGATACTAGTGATTCAGTGTGTTTGATTCCCGTACCTTAACTTACAGTACAGCACGTCCAATAATGTCAATCGTTATGTCCGTCGTATAATCTTCCAGTTTTACTACCTCCCCGGACGTAGCGGCTTGTCTTAATCGTCCCTGGAAGACCAAAACTTCCTCTACCATATCCGGGACTAAAGACAATAGATTCCTAGCCGAGAAACCAGGATTAAACATGGCTCGAGCCTGCTTCCATTCGTTGCCATCGATGGTCACCAAATCCTTACCTCCGGTGAAGGGCTTGAACTCAACCTGTGATAAAGCCCAGAATTTGGGAAGACTGTTTTCTTGGATAAACTGTGCCATGATGTCTGGATGATACGTGGCCACCATTGGGAATCCGATTGGCCAGACATCAACGTAAATAATACCCTTCCTAACAAGTTCGGGATATTCCAACTCGAGATGGCGGAATATCCAATGGCCGTTGACATCCGGCGGGATTTTATGTTTTATATGGATCTTAGCAATCGCTACGAGATGACCGAAAAGAAACGAATGAGGTATCATCGGCTGTATGAAATTAGTATTGAAGGATAGTTGTATGTCCTAAAACTAAGCTGGAATTGCTCAGGTAGGTCTGGTGTAATGCCGGATCGCAGCACGCTTGGCGCCTACCGTATGGTGACCCGGATCAACTGGAGATGAGTGCAACGAAAAGCACTCACAATTCCATGTTCTTTTTGAATTCGTCGAAACAACATTCGAACGGTATATAAGCGGTAGAAGAAAAACAATATGCCGACTAATATCAGATAACCGACACCTTTTATGATGAGTGAAGCGATACTAGAGCCCGAAGGCCCTAGCAATTGGTTTAGGAATTGCAACATGGCGATTCTAACCTAAGAGGAGCCTGGCAATAAGAGAACGACAAGACAACGAAAAAAGAAGCGATAACTATATCGTCGTGGACAGTGACGCTCTTTCTAGTTTAAATAACTGGATGGGTTGGTTGTAATGTCGAGTTTCTTACTGGTCGGCAGCCTGATAAGGCGGAAGGGCTAGACCAATCTAAGACGATGAGGGAAGGTAACACCTTCGGATCGGGGATTACCCTCCAAATATGAGACCACTATTGTAACCCCGAGAATTTAAGCTGTGCGAACTCTTGGCGTTCCTTCCCCGACTGTTGCAACACCTTTCCGGTGCCGATTGACGGCGGAGATCCATGGTGAGGAAGCTACCTAAGTCGTTCCGTGCCGGTTTGTTAAATGTTGAAGAGGATGTCCCGCCCCATTGCAGAAGAAAAGTCTGAAAGTGGCATAGGGGGTTTCGGCCGAAGCCTCGCTAAAGCGACGGTAACTATAATGTACCTAGGTATTTACATATGCATTGTCGGACCGTCTTTTCTGTCTTGAATATATAAAGGAAGTTTTGTAAAGTTCGCCTTTATTTCAAGGGAGCGACCTGCGATCGATCTCATCGAAGCGGTGTAAAATGTAAATGAATACTAGATAATTTGCATAGCATTCAATGCACTCTGTCACTTTTTTCTTTATGAAGGTAATTTTATACTGGAAATGATAGGTATAACCCTGCGGAATAATACGAGGAACTTGTGTACATATCCCTTCCGGTGGAAGATCTTTGCTTTGGAGGGAATAGTAACCGTGATAATAAATGATTTTAATACTGTTTTACTTGCCTTGTACAACTGTGACATTGTCTTAGTACAAATCTCCCCTTTTCGAACAACTGCCATCAATACATGCTATTTCGGGAATTTTTAAGGGTCCTCGATTAAAAATTGAATCAATTGCATGATTATTAAGGATTAAAGAGAGTTACATCGTGATTTTTATCGTATCTTTCTCCCATCGCTTTATCTATCCATGTACGGACATAAGAAAAAGAGATACATGTACCTGCTAGGGTAACAGGTACGTACCTCCCGATGGCGCGTTTTTACAGATTGGGTACGCGTAATCTTGGCTGTCCAGAGCTGTTTAATGGTCTGTGCACCTGGTCCGGCTCTGCGATCCATAAGAAAATCTTGTCCGCTTTTTCCATTTTAGGAATCCTTCTAAACTTTCTAACTGTTCTGACACTGTACGAGATTCCAGTTTTATTTAGCGGTAGTTTACTCCAATTTAGCCCTGCATTGGCTGGTTTATGAAGCATTCTCCATTCTGTTTCTGTACAATTTTGATACTGTCTTCGATAGCGACCATCATTTCCCGCGTCTGCAAGCTCCTGGCTGAGATCAGTACATACCAAAATTAGCCCAACGTCACTAAACCTCCTAACCCCCGCATGTTTGCCAGTTCAATACTTGATTACTTCTCAAATCCAAGTTTTCAGCGAAGAAAACTTCTCTCAATTCTCGCTTCTCTTTTCCTCTTCTTTCTTACCTTGTACCCGACAATTTGAGAGATCTTCTCTCTCCCCTTTTTTTCTTCTTCAACCTACCCTATTGCCCTGGTTTTTTTATAATCTTTTAGGGCAACTTGCGATCGCCTGTGCTCCGATCTTTCCAGACTTTCGTTTATTTTATACGCATGTTCCCATTATATCGTTGGTTGGGATAATTTGGTTGTCGGGCTAGCTGTGGGTCGACGATAGTAGTCAACCGCAACAATGGGCATCGCTGAGCGAAGGTCCATTCGCTCTTGTATTTCACGCATATCTCGCCCCCAAAAGATAATATTAGGCGTCTTCGCCTTTTTATTTATCATCTATAGCTTGACCCCATACGATAGCCGAGCGAGGTCGTTCTTCAGATTCCAACACAACGTTATCGAGGACTACTACCAAAATGTCCACCCGACCGATTCTTGGCTATACAAAACCCAGCCTTATCCTATTGACCCCCAAAACGATGTCGCCATAATAGTGAAAACTGGGTTTGGAACGAGGAGAAGAGTGCCGGCGGCGTTAGAAGCTTTGAGCAACGAGTCTTTTTTTGCGGATACGATCGTCGCCCAGGATTTCCCACTACTCCCGGACCAAAAGAACTACACATTAAAAAATGGCAAAGAGGTGCCAGTTATTGATATTATTGGCTGGAACCTGGAACGGGGGGCTTTAAAGGGCCAAGAACAACAGGAACGAATAATGAAATACGAGAATTTGGCTGATGCTGTCGATGGCGAGGAGTGGATGCTCGCTGATGGACTAGGGAAGGATATGGGGTGGGAACTTGATGCGATGAAGGTCCGGCATAATCACTATCCCTCTTGAAACCATTTTAACTAATTCGATTGCAGTTCTTACCTAGTCTCGAATACGTCTGGCAAACCCTACCGAAGAAGAAGTGGTACATCATGGCCGATGATGACACTTATATGATCAAATCGTCGCTGGCTCTAGTTTTGGGTCACTTGAATTACGCCAAGCCGCAGTTCCTTGGAAATCCCGTCGGCGACTATAAAGGCCGCTTCCCACACGGTGGATCATCTGTGGTTATGTCCGGCGCGGCGCTCAGCAAACTATATGATAGGCATCCTGAAGTGGTAGCCGAAGGCAATCAGGAATCAGCTACCGCGATCTGGGGCGATAAATTACTTTCTACAACATTCATGAAAATAGGAGTCTACCTAGACGAAACGTACCGACGACTTTTCAACGGCGAGCCTCCCTGGATGACGCGAATGTGGGTTGACCGTTTCTGTCTACCGCTCGTTTCTTTCCATGGTCTTGGTAGCGGTGACAACATGCTACACGTCGGGGAAACCTTCAAAAACATGAAGGAACCTGTTTTCTGGAGGCAGTTGGGTAAGATCTATGGGGCGCCGGAATTTGCTTCATTCATTGCCGAACCGATTCGAGCGAATGTGGACTATGTAGGACGACTTGACGAATACAGCACGACCGTCGACAAAATTACAGAAGTTGACGAGTGTGTCAAGATTTGCCACGAACACTCGGCCGAATGCCTAGCCTGGACATTTGACCCTGGCCGCAAATTGTGTCACTTTGCCCGATGGGCCATCCTTGGCGATGTTGCCGAGGGTCGATTTTCCGGAATTAATGGACAGCTGGCTCAGAAGCTTGAGGGATCATGCCATTCTCCGCCGTAGAATCCTTGATTCTTTTTAAACCTCATTGCAACTTTTATTATGTATATATATACACGAAGCTGGTATGATTCACATGACGTTGTTTCATTCAGCAGGGCACATGCTATTCGGACGGGTAGTATAGACTTTATTGAGAGAAAAGGGGTAGGGCCACGTGACTTGGAATGATACCCGGGACGACCTGTAATTTGTAATGGATTCTAGATGAGTATCCTAATACTAATTGGCATCAATAAATTGACTCCAAAAGAATGTAACTTGCGATCATAACGGAATGTACTGCTGACTATAAAGGTACTGATGACATTATGCATCCCCTATTATCACGCGAACAGCTATGTGTATTAGGGAGCAATTTCTGGTAAATGCGTATTGAAATGCAATGCGACACTGCAAGGGTGTTCGATGTGCGATTTACGGTAAATACTACCACGCTGCATACGTACATGACGGGAACGGCGGAAGAATGTGATGTATTGTAAGCTGACAATGTTGTATCACCAAGATATTATATAGTAGAGATAGCACAGCCTTTAATGCGTAACTTAATTGTTTGGAATCTATTTATTGTCCACCTATGAAAGCATATTTACGAGCTATTCGATTTTTAAACTGGCGCTTAGGTATCTAGCTCAAGGTTGTTTCCAGTGGGTTAGACCGTCCGGTATAGGAAATTGAGCAGGTGGCGCCGTGGCTTCATTATCATTGGAACAACCACCTGAGAGCTTACCTAAGACGTATAGTGATAGGCTAGGGCACGCCATTTACCGCCGATTCGAGATCGCGCTACGTCCGTACCCCAAACAAGGTTTGTTGCAGCTGTCTTAGCCCAAGTCTTAACCAGCTAGCTAGGGGTCGATGACGTGTGGAGAACTTTAGTCCTCGGCGGGAATCTTTTTTGACGTCAAATCTGAAAGTGGTGCACGCTGCCTTTTTATTCTTCTGTCTTAACAATCACCCCCCTCCATTGTATACATACACAATACGTAGGTGGTAAATATTATTCACTCAGGGCTGCCACCCGACCTCTTCAGCTGAAAGGAAAAGAAGAACATTGCTTTTTTGGTTTTTTTTGTCATACCAATCTTTTTTTAATACCCGATACTTAATCAGGAGAGCCTTGTTTACCCGCTGTGACCCCTGATAAAGACCGGAATCAACCTGATCTATCAGATACTAAATAGCTCGTATTCCTAGCCTCGGATCCCTTTGTGGAACTCTATCCCCGCTAGGACATTCATCCCGTCCGTTCCGTCTTTATCTACGGACTCGAAACCAATTTTCGGACTTCAGGTTTGGGGGGTCCAGCCAACCACATAGGGTACCATTCCGAGCCCCGCGGGTAGTCGTGAATCTATAGACGACGTCTTGAAAACGTCACCATAATGTCAGAAGTCACTCCGAACCCCCAGGCCGCTGGCTCTAGTTGGACCTCGTTCCTTAAAGTTAGTTTGCTCATTAGATGTATCGTATCGAGTTTACACCCAACTAATTAATTTGAAACCAGTCTATCGCTTCTTTCAATGGCGATCTCTCCTCCCTAACTGCGCCGCCCTTTATTCTTTCCTCCACGAGTCTTACCGAGTTCAGTTCGTATTGGGCCGAACACCCCCGCATCTTCGCCGCTCCCGCAAAAGAAACCGACCCAGCAAAGAGGGCCTTGCTAGTACTGAAATGGTTCTTGACTACTCTGAAGCAGCAGTACGCAAGTCGAAGCGAACAATATGGTAACGAGAAAAAGCCTTTGAACCCTTTCCTTGGTGAGCTATTCCTAGGAAAATGGGAGGACGATGCAGGTACAACCGAGTTGGCCAGCGAACAGGTGAAGTAAGTCCAGCCGATCCGGGTTCATTGAGATGAGGGAATATTTATGTTGACCGACAATTTAGTCACCACCCACCCGCGACCGCGTATAGCATTACCAACGTACCGACCAAAGTCCATCTCCAGGGATATAACGCTCAGAAGGCTAGCTTCTCCAAGACAATCAATATCAAACAGATAGGACATGCTGTCCTCACAGTCCCGGACCCATCCAACCCCGGAAAGGAAGACACCTACCTGATCACGCTACCATCTCTTCACGTCGAAGGGCTGATATTTGGCGCGCCATTCATCGAGCTTGACAGTGCGTCTTACATCACTTCATCTACGGGATTCACTGCCAAGATCGACTACAGTGGTAAGGGCTGGCTAAGCGGCAAGAAGAACTCATTCACGGCGACTCTATACCCAACCGGCAAGGAGAAGGAAGTTCTGTACAACTGCTCCGGTCAATGGACAAAGGCGTTTGAGATTCACGCTGGGCCGGTGAAGACGAATTCTTCTAAAACCCTCATCGAGAGCTGGGACCCTGCCAACAACCCCATTACAGAGCTTGAGGTTGCACCCGTCGAGAAGCAACATCCACTTGAGTCTCGTCGCGCATGGGCTAATGTCGCCAAGGGTATTGCCAAAGGAGACATGGATTATGTAGGTAGGGAAAAGACCAAGATCGAACAGGCACAGCGTGCGCTCCGCAAAAAGGAACAATCCGAAGGTCGCGAGTGGGAGCGGAGGTACTTTACTGCTCTCTCCGAGCCGGATGCGACATTTGCGGAGTTAGCCCCGAACGTCGGACTTAGCGTGAATGGGGACGCAGACAAAACAGGTGGCTTGTGGCGCTTCGATGCTGACAAAGCTAACAAGGTCAAGGGGCAGGAGTTGAGTGACGACGAGAAGACCCAGTTGGCTCAAGAACTACTCGGCCAGTAAATTCCTACCAACATCTACATACAGCAGCGGCAAGAAGAAATACATAGGGGTTGCATTGGATACTCAACATATACAGATGGTTCAATAATTTCACTGGGGAAGACCTTGGCGTAGGGTAAGGGATGGCGCCTGCTTTTTGCCCAGGTTAACTATCGCTCAAGGAGATAATAATTTAATCAGCAATACAACTTGTTTGAACGCGCTTGTCTGTTCTAAGGTTGTGTTATGAGCCAATCAAATCTACGGGTATTACTCACCAAAACTCTTTAAAATGATATGAGAAGATGTTGGGAACTGATGCCAGTAAGGAAAGCTATGGAGTAGTTGTTCTTTGATGATTTTTTCTAGGAATGAACAACAGGAACTTTTTCTCATATTTGCTTTATGGATTATATGATGGCGGTTTTTGCTTAGAATCCGGCACCCGCTAACTACCGCTACCCCGATCATGATTACGGGTTAAGCTATCCCGGTGCAAATTAGTAAGCTCGAGTAATTCATTGTTATTAACAAGGGAAGCAAAAGTACAGAAGGAATTATTACTGTAGATGATCTTCATTCTATTCTAACATGGTGAAATTGATCCCAGAAGACAGTACTAGTAGACCCTAAGAAAATATAATCCCGTTCGTGAAGTAATCGTTCCTTGCTGTTCTCCCCATAAGCTGCTGTGCCGCGTCAATAGGACGAGTTTCGTGGCTAGGATTCATTCTCACATCCGTTACCTTGGGTCTTGGTTCTAATTATGCATTATATCAAGCGAATTCCGATCTACGCCGCAACTAGAAGTCTATGAAGTATTCTAATCTTGAACGTGCGAAGTGCTGTTGGTTTCTAAAAGGTATTGCTTAATCTCCGATATTCATACACGTCCGCACGGGATAGTTGAGGTCGGATAGAAATACTACCGTCTCCTATTCCTGTTCGCTCAGGACGACGTTGAGATGAGTGCTAGAAGGGGCCACATGAGGATTGTAAGGTAGAGCACATGGAGTCTCAGCGTACGCAGTTCCGTTTGCTACCGGGGGGCGAGGGTTGCTGAATAGATAAATAAGGACGGCTAGCCACGACAATCTTTAGGTATAACTTCTTGTTTATCTCGTAGAATATCTCGAAAATAATACAAGTACATTATGATGACCGGCAAAAACTTCAAAGCCATAGTAGTTGGCGGCGGCCCTATGGGTTTGACTGCGGCTCACGCGCTCTCCAAGACCGGAATCGATTTCGTCGTGCTCGAGCGCGAACCCGTCGTCGTTAAAGACAAAGGTGCAACATTGATTGTCGCCCCTCATACGATGCGAGCCCTATCACAGTTTGGACTCCGAGATCAACTTTTGAGTGTTGCTGCAGAGGCGGGCGATATGCACACGGTTACTAGCGATGGTTGGCTATACTACATTCAACGAGCTGGCGACTTGATGAAGTCTTCGTGAGTCTACAATAACTTCTCTGAAACATCATGATACTAATGCTAGTCTGCTTGGACAAGACTAGGGTGTTGTTTATACGCATTCGGCCGTGTCGACGTCGTCCGGGTGTTATATGATGGCTTGGGCGGTCTCGATAAAGCCCGTGTCTTGATTAATAAGAAAGTAGTCGATGTTATGGCTGATGATTTCGGCGTGACGGTCCGCTGTGAAGACGGTACTAAATACGACGGATCGATTGTCATTGGCGCCGACGGTGTCCACAGTCTCGTTCGCCAGCGCATGCGAACACTCGCCCTACAAGCTTCTCCTAATCTCGAGGCCAACGAAGACAAACCATTCCCTAGCGAATATAGGTTGCTATGGTGTTGCATTCCCTTCCAGGGCGAAGAGAACGGCGGGCCACCAGGCTCGATGTGGGCGACGCATGCGAACAACGCCTCGGTAAACTATTTCGTCCATTACAATAAGGCGTGGTTGTTAATCTACGAACGCCTCCCCGCTCCAACTAGGGAGCGTGCCCGCTATACAGAAGAGGACATCATTACTGTTGGGGAGAGGTTGGGCCATCTGGCTATTTGCGATACCTTGAAAATCAGGGATGTCTTTGCGCAGCGTGATATGGCTGGTTTGGTGAACCTTGAGGAGGGTGTATTGAAGCATTGGGCTTGGGGGAGGATGGCACTCGTGGGTGATTCTGCTCAGTACGTATTTCTATAACTCCGTTTGCCTTCTATTCGGAGTTGTTCAAAACTCCGAGACACGTCTCGTTCTGAAGCGCTTGCTGACCTTTGACTATCTACAGTAAATTCACACCGAATCTTGGGCTTGGGTTTAATAATGGCGTTCAAGACGTCTTCGCCCTCACCAATGAGCTGTATAATGTCCTCAACGGTCCATCACAAGGGGAACAATATGGTGGCGATGTCAAAAAGGCAATGAACAACAGCCCGAGCACTGAGGCCCTATCCGCTGCGTTTCAGCGGTATCAAGAATCACGCATACAACGATGCACAGAAGACTTTGATTCTTCGGTTACCTTAACTCGGATGTGTGCCTGGCCAAATACCTACTATTGGTTTATCGACTGGTGGATTATGCCACTCTTGCCTCGATGGCTTGAGGTGCAACTCATCAAGAATACGGCAATCAACCGCTTCAAGAAGGCGTACATACTTGATTTCCTGGATGGCGAAGAGCCGTTCGAAGTCGGTACGGTTCCTTGGGAGAACCCTATAGGAAGCCGCTCTCCCCGAACTTTAGAGAACGATAAGAGTAGGAAATCCGCGGGATTTCCATTTTGGAGAGTCCTGGGAATTTGCTGTATTGGATTTGCTTTAGCAGCGGTCTCGATTAAAGGCCATTATAGAGTATTTTAGGATATGTTAGTATGATTTTGTTAATGACTTGTTTCGGGCTTAACATATAGAGGTTTACAGTCGGGGGTTAGAATCGGATTCCGCGGAGTTATGACTGCGGGGCAATTTGCTCGGGCGAGAGAAAATATCTCGGCGAGTTTGAGTTGGATGAGATGATACTTATGAGACAATTTGAAAGTTTAGATGTCTATTTAAAGAGATGTAGATGAGCCATATGTTCATATATGATATTGAAATTGTATAGAGTTACGGAAACATGTGATCAATCCGTGAGTGAATTAAAAAGGGGGAGTAAATCTGGTACGTAGCTCCGAATTAAATATGTGCCATGCGTTAGTGCTAGGTGCTAGGTTGAACCTGGTAATAGGGACTACGCTGTGGCTGAGTCGGGTTCTTGCATGTGGCTGACACAATGGATGGATCCATGGATATGCTAGGAGAGAGAAGTGGGTACCTAGCTTCAATTGGGTAGCTGCGGTTTGCGTCAACCGCGCAGGCATCCCAATTTCTAGCACAGCACTTGAGGTCACTGGTCACTTTTTTTGCTTGCTGCAAGGCTCTCTCTCTTTCTTCCTATGAGTACGCCCAATTCCATCAACTTCAAATAAAAAGGCGACCAGATGACTTGTGTGAGATATTGTTGAACTTTTTAATCGGGTATCCATTCTTCTACAGTTCTATCATTTATCTTCAACACAAAGTCCAAGATGTCTAATACGCCTGCTCCGCCCGAGGACCAGGCGAGGTTGTTGGAAGATGCCTTGATCGCCGTGCGCCAGCAAACTGCGCTTATGCGCAAATGCCTCGACACTCCCGGCAAGCTCATGGATGCCCTTAAGTGCTGGTTAGTATTAGTATAATTCAATTGTTGTAGAGTTTTCCGTCTATCCCTCTAAGCCGTTAGCTGACAATAGATTACGCAGCTCTACGTTGGTCGCCGAACTGCGAACGAGTAGCCTGGGTCCGAAACAATACTACGAACTATATATGTCCGTCTTCGATGCCTTACGTTATCTATCGATGCATCTACGAGAAAATCACCCCCATAATCACCTAGCCGATCTCTACGAACTCGTCCAGTATGCTGGTAATATCATCCCACGTCTCTATCTCATGATCACGGTCGGTACGGCATACATGTCTATTCCCGAGGCTCCGGTGAAAGAGTTGATGAAGGATATGATGGACATGAGCCGTGGTGTTCAACACCCAATCCGAGGTCTATTTCTACGCTACTATCTATCCGGCCAAGCCCGAGACTTCCTGCCCACCGGTGATGGCGATGGTCCCGAAGGAAACCTTCAGGATTCGATCAATTTCATTCTGACGAATTTTGTCGAAATGAATAAACTTTGGGTTCGGTTACAGCATCAAGGTCACTCACGAGAACGGGAACAGAGAACTAGGGAGCGCAAGGAGCTTCAGCTTCTTGTGGGCAGTAACATAGTACGGTTGAGCCAGTTGGTGGATCTCGAGGCTTACAAAGATGGCATTCTCGGTCCTTTACTCGAGCAGGTGGTACAGTGCCGTGATGTCTTAGCCCAAGAATACCTCTTGGAGATCATCACCCAGGTTTTCCCGGACGAGTTTCACCTACATACCTTAGATCAGTTCCTAGCTGCGGTTTCGCGGCTGAACCCCCACGTCAATGTCAAGGCTATTGTCATTGGGCTGATGGATAGGCTATCTGCATATGCTGAACGGGAATCCCAGGAAGAAATTGGAGAGGACAGAGCAAAATTGGAGGAAGATGCGTTGGCAAGTCTTCTAGAAAAAGTTAGGTTGGGCAAGGAACAGCAAGAAGCGAAGCCGACACCTGATGGAACTTCTACAGAAGCGAATGGGGAGCATGCCAACGGAGAACCCGCGGAATTTTCTGAGAGTAGCGCGCCGGCGGAACCCGAATCAGCCCCATCGATCGCGGATACCGAAGCGACCGCAGTCGAGAAGGAGACGGACGGCTCTTCCCAAGCGACCAAGAAACAGCGTGGGATCCCTCCCAATGTCAAGCTGTATGAGGTTTTCTTTGACCAGGTTATTAACCTCGTCAATGCGCAACACCTCCCCATACAGGATACAATCGCCCTGCTAGTATCTCTCACCAACCTAGCTTTGAACATATACCCAGGTAGACTTGATTATGTCGATCAAATCCTCGATTATGCAAATCGTAAGGTCAAAGAGCATGCTAATAGCGCCGACCTTCACTCCGCCCCGGCACAGCAGAGTTTACTCGCACTCCTACAAGCTCCTCTTAAGAGATATGTTTCTATTTTCACAGCCCTATCTCTTCCTACTTACGTACCTCTTTTCCAGTCCCAAACCTATCCAACGAGGAGAGCCGTTGCTGGCGAGGTCGCGAGAACACTGTTGCGCAATCAAACTGAGATATCCACCACTACTCAACTCGAAAATGTGCTCGAGATTCTCAAGGTGTTAATCAAAGAGGGATCGCAGCCTCCCGCTGGATATCCCGGTGGCCCACAAAGAAGGGCGTTGGAAACAGATGAGACGATGGAGGAGCAAGGTTGGTTGGCACGGATAGTCCATCTGCTCAACGGTGAAAACAATGATACCCAATTCCGACTTCTCCAGATGGTGCGTAAGGCGTTTTCTGAAGGCAATGAGAGAATTCGCACGACCACCCCTCCTTTGATCACCGCTGGTATGAAATTGGCCCGTCGCTTCAAGGCCAGAGAACACTATGAAGACAATTGGGAAACACAACTGAGCGCCCTTTACAAGTTTTTGCATTCTGCAATCTCGACTATTTACTCGAGAGTTAATGGTTCGGGTGCGGCCGAACTTTCCCTCCGATTATTCTGTGCTTGTGGCCAGACCGCGGACATGACGAGCTTCGAAGAAGTTGCATATGAGTTCTTCGCGCAAGCTTTTACAGTTTACGAAGAAGCGATTTCTGACTCTAAGGCACAATTTCAAGCTGTGTGCGTCATTGCCAATGCATTGCACCAGACGAGAAATTTCGGCAAAGAGAACTATGATACCCTCATTACCAAGTGCGCTCTACATGGTAGCAAACTCCTACGGAAGCCAGACCAATGCAGAGCGGTATACTTAGCAAGTCACTTGTGGTGGGCGATCCCAATTTCCGCCATTGGCGAGTCGGACGAAGGTGTAAGTTATTTGATTTGCTCTTATGATTGAGAGACTCACTAATATTCTACAGCTCTACCGAGATGGAAAGCGAGTTCTAGAATGCTTGCAACGAGCACTGCGTGTTGCAGACTCCTGTATGGAACAAGCAACCTCGATTGAACTCTTTGTTGAAATCTTGGATCGTTACGTGTACTACTTTGACCAGCAAAATGAATCGGTAAGAGCAAGCCCTTTAGAAATTGGGAAGTGCTTTAACTAACATCTCTAGGTCACTACTAAATACATCAATGGGCTCATCGAGCTTATCCACTCTAATCTGAGCACGAACCAACAGGATTCGGCAAGCATCGAAAGCAGCAAGCGACACTTCAAACACACATTAGACAATATCGCGTCGAGAGGATACGAAGGGGTGGTTCTCTACCCCCAAAAATGATAGTACTAATTTTTCCTTAATACGGCGTGTATGAGTCGCTTACGTACAATGTAAGCAGCAAAAAAATTGGCACTCTGGCTAATGAGATGGCGACGTCTTCGTGAGGAGTAAGAGAGAGAAGTTGGAGATTACCATGTACATATGTATATTCGATTGACGGTTTGAAAGGATCCATTGCGTTGTGCTTCTCACTCGCAGGAGTCTAGGTGTACTCCCTTTTTCTAAGAGTTGCGTTAGTTAGTACCACGGGTCTAACCCATTCTGTAAGAGTTCGTGATGAAGCCCATTTTCGCCGATGATGATTCTCTATTTCTTTCGACAATCCATCTATGCAGATGTTTATGTGATGTAAAATGAATTTCTATATACGTATACTAATTTCATACCTTGTACCCCTAATTAATAGCGAGAGTTCACTGTATTTAGTACCTATCGCGTTTGAGTTAGTTGTGTTATACAGCTAAATTCCAAGGTGCATACCACTAACCTGTATAAGGCTAGGGGCCATAATGTGAGACCCCTGATTGTGGCAGTGCTTAGATGACTAATGAATTTACTGGCCCGCACGCTCCGCAGCCTCAGGACTTTGAGATTCAAACCACGGTTGATACATCTCCAGTCCAATCCTTACTACCAAGTAACTTCCTTTTTTTTTGCCCTCGAAATTGTTTGATGATACCCCCAATATTAAATCCATTACTTTATTTTTTTTTCCCCTTCAATGACCACCGTGGTCGAAGTTGGACTAATGCCTACCCTGCTCCCTTGATTGAACTTTCCTATTCACATTACATCCGCTCCTTTATCGTGACCAGTAATCGCTCGTTTACCAACTTCTATTATCAATCAAATGTATCTTTATTCGTTATAAAAATTCTACTAAGAGAATCGATCTAAAACGCCACCTGTAACACATCAAATGACGCCGTGCAACCAAGATGCCTTCCGAAAAGTCCCAGTATATACCACCGCCGCCTATACCCACATACGATGAAGCCACCGGTGGCGATTCCTCATCCTCCCGACCACATTGGCCCCCACCTGCGTCGCCGATAGATACGAGACCCGACCATGAAACCGAAGCGCAGTCACTCCTTTCACGAAATAGACAACCTGATTCGAGACACGCGCCGAATGGATATCGTGCCCCATACGTGGAATCAGACGATGAAGGGTCCGAGTGGACTCTAGACGATGATGAGAGTGATGATGGAGAGAATGCGCGCGTTCGGCGCGAAATGCAAGAGTTGGAAGTTGAAGACCCGTTAGATGACACAAATTCCAGATCATCCTCATCGTCATGGAGGAAACGAATAGCGTCCTCATTACCACAGTGGAAATGGCAGTGGCGATGGCGGTTGCCCAGATTTACCGTTCGATTACCTCGACAGAGTGACGTGACGGAAGATCGAGATACTGAACCAGAAGAGCCGAGAAGGAGATTTAGATGGCCGAATCTTAACAGTGCTGCTGCTATACTGCTGGTTGGCAGACTGCTCGCTGTTTTCCTTATCTTAGGCTTCCTATATCTCTTATTTATGAGCGATCTCTTCACAAATATGACGAGGCGTATCGGCGGCCACATGTTTGACCCTGAGGCCGTACGGCAATATGTGCAACAAGAAATTAATTCGGATACTATGAGGAATACATTGAAGCACTTTACGAGCTACGCGCATATTGCTGGTACCGAAGGCGACTATGCGCTAGCGATGGATGTAAGGAACGACTTCATGAAATATGGTCTGGAGGATGTAACAGTGGATGACTACTACGTGTACCTGAATTACCCGAAACCAGGTGGCAGAGCTGTCCAGATTATGTCCGAGGATGGAATGGAGGCTACATGGACTGCGGCCCTCGAAGAGAAGGTCGTTGGTGAAGAAATGGCTGGCCATCAAACTTTTGTGTTCCATGGTCACTCGAAAGCGGGCGACGTGAGGGGTCCACTAATCTACGCGAATTATGGGTCGAGGGAGGACTTCAAGAGACTTGCCGACAAAGGAATCGACACGAAGGGCGCGATTGCGCTTGTACGCTATTACGGTACTCAGGGCGACCGTGCTCTTAAGATTAAGGCGGCAGAGTTGGCCGGATTTGCTGGATGCATTATATATAGCGACCCAGCTGATGACGGATTCTTAAAGGGAGAGCCGGCACCTGATGGACGATATATGCCTGCCGACGGTGTTCAAAGAGGAGGTGTTAGTCTAATGAGTTGGGTGGTGGGTGATGTACTCACGCCCGGGTGGGAAAGCAAAAAAGGCTTGCCTCGGTTAGAAAAGGAAAAGGCGACTGGTCTCGTCAAAATCCCGAGTCTACCAATTGCCTGGCGAGATGCTCAGGTGCTCTTACAGCACATTCAAGGCTTTGGCGAGCCATGCCCAGATGATTGGCAAGGTGGTGTACCGGATGTCGAGTGGTGGTCAGGGAACTCTTCATCGCCAACTGTGCGATTAAAGAACGAACAAGATGAAGAAGAGCGACAGGAGATCTGGAATATCTACGGTAAGATCGCTGGCATCGAGCAAAACGAGAAATCAATTATCATCGGTAACCATCGTGATGCTTGGTCTTTCGGCGCAACCGATCCTAATTCAGGAACTGCCGTCATGCTAGAAGTTGCGCGTATCTTTGGCGATCTTTTGGGCAGGGGTTGGCGCCCGCTTCGTACAATCGAATTTATGAGTTGGGACGCCGAGGAGTATAATCTAATTGGCAGCACCGAATATGTTGAGAATAACCTCGAATCTCTACAGAAAAACGCATTCGCCTACATAAACCTAGATGCCGCTGTTTCTGGTCAGGAATTCCACGCCGCCGCATCCCCGATGTTCCGCAAAATTCTCTACAAAGTACTCGATAGAGTCTTTGACCCTAACTTCAACGCCACGCTACGTGCCCTATGGGATGACCGTAATGCGGAGCTTGAAGGCCTTGGCGCTGGTAGCGATTACGTCGCATTCCAGGACTTTGCTGGAACTAGTTCTATTGATATTCGCTTCGGCGGGGCCGCGCATCCTTATCATTCTTCGTATGACAACTTCGAATGGATGGATCGTGTCTCGGACCCGGGTTTCGTCTACCATAATCTACTTGGCCAAGTCCTTGGACTACTTATACTTGAGCTTTCCGACCGACCGATTTTACCTTTTGACATGGGCAATTACGCTCTTTCCCTTGGCCGTTACCTGGGTGGCTTATGGCAATTGGGTGAAGATAAGAAGGTCAATGATAAGTACAACCTGGAGCCTATCAAGAATGCAATCAACGAGGTTGAAAAGGCCGTCTCGGAATTTGAGAAATGGGAAACCAATTGGGAGCAATCCGTTCTAGCATCCAACGGCTGGGAACCTGTAGGTCTAGGTCAAAGGAGAGGGGATTATAATAGTCGTATGGCACTCTTTGAAACCGGCTTGCTAGATTTGGAGCAAGGTGGCGGAGTAAGTTTCTATTCTCCCGGACATTTTGATAATGCGACATTATGCTAACAAAATACCAGATCCCCGGCCGAACACAATTCAAGCATGTCGTCTTTGGCCCCCAATTGTGGTCCGGATATGACGAAGCATATTTCCCGGCTATCCGGGACGCCATCGACGAAGAAAATTGGCTGCTAGTCCAAAAGACTATCGACAAAACCGCAGGTATCATAAGAAACGCCGCCAAAGCGTTAGTGCAATAATAGACGGCTCGAGGCGGTTACACGGGGCTTCTCGTGGGGTTATATGGATGCATTGTTCGGCGTCAACGGAATCGGGGAGAGGGTTCTAGGTTTTATTAGTTGTATTGTACATGTAGGTGGTCGCCTCTTATACTACTTCTACCTAGATTATTTCAGGGTATCATCATATACATAAATTGAGGCGATGACCTCGAATCGAAACTTAAGATTACTTGGATTTGTTCGAATGGTGAATTGGATGTTCGAGGTAGTTGATAATCTAGATAAGTCTTCGATACTACCAAGGAACGTCCAAGACTTAAAAACTCAGGAGCATTACGGACTAAAATATCGCAGTATACGTCTCATATTATGAGTATCTCGGTATGAAAGGCGACTATGATTAGGTACAAGGCATTAAGAATATTCCAGGGAATTCATTCCCACAATCTAAGGAATTTACACACCCGTCCATCTAACGTCCTTACTAACTCGGAATGACAAAGAAAAAGCGACAACGGAGGTCCCACGTCTCATCATACATCATAATTGATCCGGCCACAATATTCGTTTACTTCCTCTGGAGTCAACGGATCTGTAGTCCAATACGTGAATTTGCAGAAATCGGTGGCGCATTTATACCAAATGAGGTTGGGCCGCGCGGAGGTATCGCCGGTAAGGTCCTCGCGTGACGGATACCCGCAGTTGCACCGCGGGTTGTCTTCGAAGATTCCTTTGCTGTCGGCCCAGCAGATGAAGGAATTGTATGTTCCACACTATATGAATGTGTTAGTGGCCTAGTAGTTAGAGGGCAAGGGGGGATTTCGCATACATCGTCACACTTGTAATACGTCCTACCGAAACTGCGGAGAGTCTTCGATACCGCGGTTATGATGTTGGGAGGTTTATGCTTGGAATGGGGACACCGCAGGGGTCGGCGATCGGGGAAATCTTTATGCCAGACGGAATTCTCGGATTGTTGTTGTTTTGCGAGCTGCATTCTTTCTCGAAGATTCTGGAGTTTCGAAAGGGCCGGTCTAGGCGGGATCGAGGATAGGTCGATGTCTAGGGAACTCCGCTGCTTCTTCGGGGAGAATTCGATCTCGTCCTCTTCGTCTTCATCTTCTTTGATGATGGTGTGTGAAGAAGGGTATTCATCTAGGCTGGGGGTGGGCGGGCGGCTGTCGTCGTCGAGCGGTTCCTCTTTGATAACGACTTCTAGTTCGTCATAGCGTCGCTTACGAGGGGATGAGTTGACAATGTTGATTGCTGCGACGGCAGGGGCAGGGGACGGTACTGGGGCGGGAGAAATTGTCGGTTCCCGTTTGGGACTCGCGGGAAGCTCCGAGACGATGGTGTTGCTGCTGCTAACTTCTGCCACTACTGTTGTCTCTCCGGAGGAGGCGACTTCAACTTCGACCTCGCTCTTCACTACCACCACGGGCGAAGGGGAACGGCTCGGCTCTGCGCCACTTTGTTCCGCTGGGGCACCCGGAAGCTCTGGAGTTGCTTCTCTCGGCGGACTCGGGATCGACGAAGTTAAATGCGCGTCGCCATCCGGTTCGACTTCTGCCTTGATAGATAGCGGCGCCATTGGTTCGATTACTTCATGCTCCCGAGCCGCCATCGTCTCGATGTGTATGGTGATCCTAAAGACCTTGCGAATGAGGGATTTGATCGACATCACGATATTCATTATAATGAACTTGCGTATCAATATTAGAGAACGGCAAAACAGTCCCGAAGACTGCGGGATCGTGCACTTTTAATTGCCCTCTGAAGGATTAGAGGGCTGAATTTGTCGCAGACTCGTTCAGACGTATGTATACGCCCGTCTAGGTACTAGGTAGGTAGATAGATAGGTGTGTGAGTTATTACCTATTACCTATTACCTAGGTGACCCTCCTAACGACCGCAACGCCCACCTTCCCTACTTTGCCGCTCCTTCTTTCTAGTGGTTTCTTCTAATGCACAGACCGGACTAATGGGGAATAATTTTCCATTTTCCAATATGTTGTATTACCATCCTTGCATACAAAATCAAACTCGTAATTCGTTGGCAGTCAAGGCGATTGCATTGCAAGTTTGATGCTCTCTGTTTGCCTTGGTATTGCTGAAGATACCAATCCTTCTCAGCCGCTTTCTAGGGTGCAATTCTTGGCCTGTAATGATTGCGCTTAAAGCGAAATGGCCATTGGCCTGTTGCGCATCATGAGGGCTGTCAACTTGGTATCAAAACGCCACAGCTGAAAGTTAGGCTGAGTTAACCCACCAAGTCTACTGCGGCCCGCCGGCGGTTAAGCTACTATTAGCATAGGAGACGAGTTTGTTGCAAGAGAATCATCAGCCAGATTCCCGGACAGATACGAGCGACTAACCTCCCGGTGGAAAGGAAACTCAACCGCAATGGTTTCAGGTGACACTAACCAAGACATCAGATGCAAGAAGATATCCTACGTGGGGATGCTGGCGTCGTTTTGTATCAACGATGGCCCAGAAGACAGGCATTAGCAGTGGCTCTTGACGGCATCTTGCATACGCCCACGAGCCATGCACCAATATACTTGCTCGCTACAGCCTCTCGGATATGTACCTTATGTCACACATCAGAGCGACCGACGTCTCGATATTGAACCCCCGCGCTCGTGCTACGCTAGATACCTAGGTCGCTATGTGAGAATGATAAATAATATTTTCTCAGGGCTGGGCATACCTCGAATTAATGCCATAAGCTCTTTTACCAGCGACAATATTCTCCCTCAACGAACCGACAGTCAACCCTCTTTCGAGGGCGGCTAGCTTCAGCTAGTCAAATGGGTGGGAATCAATTAGGAAACGCTTCATCATAGCTTTCGCGGGTTGGCGTAGGATTTCGAGCTAAAATAGACCAGTATAAACGACCCTAAATAAGGCTCATTCATGAAATCGAAACCAGTGATAAATGGTTTTCACAGAAATGTATGCGCCACCGTTGATTGCTATGACCGCCGATTCGCCCGAGCCGGGCATAAGTGTGAACGCCCGCAGTAGCCACTTCTTCGGTAGGCCAATCTGTCGTCGCCTGAGACATCTAAATCACTGGAACAATCGATGAGGCCTTTTAGTATTTTCCAACTGAAAACTACTCACGTAGTAAGCATAGAAATTATGAAGGAAACTATGATGATGAAGCTTTCCTTGGGCTTATACCGCCGTGCTGCCAAGTCTCTTGTTGTCGTGCTTTACAGTCGACACTCATCGATTCTTCTTTTGGATTACGTGGGAGTTTGTGGTGGCGTTCGTTTTCCAACCCCAGCCCCCTATATTTTATGAATTGAGGGTAATACAACCCCTACCCTCTTCCCGTTACCTGAAACAGGCCTCTTCCGATGGGGGTATCTGCTCGAGATGGAATTATGAGGCCTACTACCTTTACTTCAACTTATACGCACTTGGCCTCCAAGCTGAGGGCTACATGTCTCTATATCGGCAGCATCCGAATACACTCAGCACTCATTCTATCTCACTTTGGATATACCCTTTTTTGGAGCCAAATTCGGTGGGGGAATGATGATCCCCTCCTTAGTCATCTCACGTTCGATCTCAGGGTCAATTTGGTCCCTGTGCTGCCCGGAAATGCAATCGAGTTGGTTCCAGGATGCTAACATCACCAGAAGAGAAGGCGGTGAAACCTACCACAATAAATCATCATAAAGAAATATATAAATTTCAGTATTTTCGTCTGAAATGGTAGTGATCGTGTTACACGATTCAACTCCGCCATCTCCTTCGGGTATTAGTGCTCCCGCTTCATAACCATTCGTCGACCCAATAAAAATGCCTGGTTCTCATGCACAAGTCATAACCAATCCGGAGTTGCTGACCCCAGCAACTGCTTATATGAGATTTGATGCGGTCAAACAGGACACTCGATAACGTGTCTAACAATAGATTTGTCAGTGTTGCAACTATGTATTCGTCAAATCTAGGGATACATGACCGTTGCTGGTCCAATAATTGACGTCGACAAGAGTGGAGGGACCTTGTTGGCCTATTTGAGAACCCGGTAGGTCAGACGCATAATAGTCACGTCGGCGCGTTAAATGTAAGGTCGGACTTCTTTTTCTTCTACTTTCTCTTCGTTTTTTCCGTAGGGTTGCTTTACTAGACCGGAAAGCTCATATCACATCCCTTGACCTCACATCTCTACTAGCAAAAGAAGGTAGAGAAATTATTCGGAGCGATTGTGAAAGAAGCGGTCACAATGACACCCTCACCGCTAATGCGTGTACCCGCAGAGGTGCGAATGATCATCTATTCCTACCTCTTCGACGACGGCGGGAACAAGCGATTGCGAATCCAGAACGCCGGAGCCGGCAAGTTGCCGAAGACAGACGATAGAATCCGAACCCGTTACTATATGCTAGAGAGGTCAATTCACCGCCGCTGCTTCGAGACGACGTACCGACTCGAGTCGGATGGCGTCAGCTTCTGCGCCTCTATAATGCGCGTTAACAAGAAGATATACGAAGAAACAGCGTACTTGGTTTATGGCGGACATACTTTCGACTTCGGGTGTCACATCGAAGCCGTCGAGCCCTTCCTTTCGGACTTAACGCCGCCGAGCCGCCAGCTCATCCGGGAGATCGCGTTGTACAAGCGAGGCTCAGTTCCACCTTACGATAACGACCGCTGCGAATGGCGGAACGTATGTCGTTTTCTAGAAGACCATGGGTCTATCAAGAAGCTCCGACTAGTGGTGCAGGGCGGTCGGCCTAGTGCGACTTGGGATGGCCCTGAGGAGTTTACAGCATCTGACCTTAAGCTCCTGTACGATATCAAACACGAGAGTCTGGATTGGGTCGGCGAATTGGCTCGAGTAAAGGGAATTGAGGAGTTGGAGATCCTGCCGGATGTTCAGTATTGCCCGCCGCCGTCTTCGACCAACATGATCATATTCGCGGCGCTTTCGGCGTCCATTGAGAGGGGCTTGACTGAGTTCCTTAGGATGCAGTTACGTTTACCGCGATAAGAACGCTCTTCTCCAGGACTATTATTATATTCACATTTCAAGCCGGTATGGTATAGGGGAGCGACTCAATCCCATTAAAGTGGGCTTGACATTGTATGAATGAATGAATTTGTTCAATGTTGGCATTGCGTCTAGATGTAATCATCTACAACGTGATCGCCTGGCTTAGGCTTGACTTCGCCATCCGTCGGCCGAGGGATGGATTTCTCTTTGACGAACTGCCTAACTGCTTCATAGTCTCTGCATGTGTGCTGGCGATCCATGTCGGCTGTTAGCCGACCCGTTTTACCCGCCCAGACAAATGGTACAATCCCGACGTCCGCGGTGCACATCAATCGGTATCTCAGGTACTCAACGCAGTGGTCTATTGCCGGGTTAATATCAATACGAGTTTCGCGATATTGTGGAAAGGGTCGATTTAAACATACCGACGTGAAGTCTTTGGTAGTACTCTGTAGTCCCCGAGAGGGCCACATGCTCAGCTTCGCTAGTGTAGTTGAAGTTGAAATACGAGTATCGCCTAAGCAGATTCTGGGTACCGTTAGCTTTAAGGCAGCTTAAACAATTGCCAGGGGGGTTTATACGTACCAAGCAATGAAGCTGATGTGTTGCTTCAATGAGTACCGGATAACCGACAAGTCCCTTTTCTGGGTTGTCGAAGTAGGCATGAGTTTCCGGGTCGATTCCCGAATCGCCTGCCTCCTCCTTCGATACTAGGAGAATACCAGCATCTAGAAATATCGTGTTAGGAGCTGTCAAAAATTGCCTTGGAGACTGAAGCTAAATTTACGTACGGATCTGAGTTAACTCCAGCCAAGCTATTTCCGTGGAGGGTGAATCATGTTCTCGATAGGTGCTATTCTCCCTGTTATAGAACGGCGTATTGACTCGAGTGGGCTTCGCCTCCGATGGCAGGTTGCGCAGAAACGGTGCCACTCCATTCGGAGGTTCAGATACACTCGGGCAGCCGGAAGACCGACGAGCCACTTGGAAAGTCGTTATTATACTTGTTATATTTGTAGCGATAATCGAAACCACAAGAATCGTTATCCATTTTATCGTACTTAGAAATTTTGGCTGTGTTTTCCTTGGTGCTTCCGAGTCATAAGAGCCATCCTCGGGGAGCAGCCGAGCTGTTGACAGCTCATCTTTGCTATCAGAGTAGTCCGACGATGGTTCCATGAGTGACTTTTTTCCCACCAGACTCCCACGTAACTGAAGGGGAGTAAGAGGTGGGCGATAATGATTCCGGAGAGGAAGAGTTGTGTAATGTGCCGCTCATCCTCCTTCCATGCAGCTTCCAGCCCACATTAATGCTGATACCATAAACCCATGCCCTTAGATACGCCCGGACGTATACCCATCCCAATACCTAGTTAAGCCACGCGTTATACATGCCAATGATCGCCTTCGAGGCTTGCAGCTGTTACGCCGTATGGTCGATTATATGCGCCTATGGAGCTGCTCACTTCTTAATGGGGAAGGTCACTATGTATGTAAGCAGGTCCCTTGAGATCTCTACGGACGATCCACTACGGGAACACCATCGGAACGAGCCTGCCGATTGCATCATCTGGTGAGGTTCGCCATGTGTTTGGCTATGTTTCATCCATAGTGGATTTAGGAATATACATGCTTGCAGATATCATGAACTAGGACGGAATCCTGACCCTGATTACCAAATAGTCTTCTTGCATCGATAGAATCCTATCTCCACCTCAGTCTTATCTTCTACACCCTCGCAGTGTTCCGATAGCTGGTCGGCACAATGCTTTGCGTGATGGCCGCTAAACGTCTTAGTGTCCAAGAATTCCTTCTGGTTCTCCATTCCGTAGCGAAGCTTCCGCCATTGGAATAAGCAATGCTCGCCATGCATACTATATGTGTAACAGTCAGCCCGCGGGAAGGAATGGAGAGTTTCGGGTTTCCGCGGTTAACTAACCGTTTTGTGTAGATTCTGACATGCTTCCCCTCCCAGAGATCCTGGGTCGATATCTCTTGCGTTAAGTTTATATCCGAATACCATGTCCTATCCTCGAAGACGGGATATTTCTCGGTCAACTCCGGGAAGACGCAACGAGAGGGGAACCATCCATAGAAATTGGGTTCCATAAGGCACCCGCGGGACATAGCGGCAGCGCTGGAACGGCCGCAGTGGTTCCATTCTTCGTCCTCAATCTCTTGTGTGGTTTTCGTCTGGGTACCAGGCGAAGAACGAGCTAATTGAATAACAAAGAAGATAATAAGAGCCGCGATGATACCTGTTATGAAAGGCCATATCTTAGAGCGTAGTGCCCCTATTCGAGATTCTGGTCGAGTATTGGGTGTGTCGAGTGGCTCATACTTGACGCCTTGGAAACGGGCCGCGCTATCTTCTCCGAGTGCCATTGCCGCAAAGTCAATTCCTTTGCCGAGATATGTGTTCCGGTTGAATTTTCTAAGGGCAAAGTTTGGAAAGGTATCCTGGGAATAATGTCATTATAAGACTTCCAATAGATAAGTGGCTATCACGCGACAGCTGGAAACTAGGCTATAGCATCCATGGGGATCCATATTGCGGGGGGTTAAGCTATGAAATAAACTGACTCAAACCTAGATAGGAAGTTGCCGTTAACCATGACGGATAGACTAAATCCTTCATGAGGTGATAGGGTGCGAATAATGCATGGCGTGTATAGCCGTGGATTTGTTGTTTCATGCGGGACCGAGGGACGCATGGACTTTACCGCTATCATCGGCTGGCGATATCCTATCCTTGGCCAGCCACAATCTCTGAAGGTGCTTAGTACAGTTACGTGCTATGTCACCACTCTTGGCATTCAAGGTACCTGAGGTATAAGTAGGGTTATATCTGCTAGGTATTCTTATGCCTCTTCATCTCCGAGGATACTCGAAAGCCCATCAATACTCTATCCTTATCTCGAAGATACATCAGTCCACCACTGCCACCATGAAGTACTCAGTCATCCTCACCCTAGCTTTCGCGGCTATTGGCCTTGCTGCCCCTAACCCAGCCCCGACTCCTGCTCCGGCACCGGTCCCAGCACCCAAGCCGGCTGAATGTGAGAATTATAGTTGATATTTCTTTGGCTCCCGAGCGCTAACAGATCGACATAGACATCTACACCATCGTTGCTGGCGCCGATGAGGGAGACACCGTTGAGAAGAAGTAGAGATATATCATATATATAGTGGGTCTGAGTTAGGATATGCTTCAAGAGATTACGAGGTCTAGGGTATCACGAATAAAGTCTCAACCACATATACGGCACTATTTACACTAGTCCCATGGCACTATAGCTCTATAAATGAAATAAATAACACCGATCGAACCTGTGGCTTGGTGATTAATCTCCGTAATTGTTGGAATAGCTAGTCAGCCCTCCGAAAAGGGGGCGGGGTGACTCCTGGCAACAGAGCGAAGGACAATAAAACCGCGATTGCTATACTTGAAATATACCTAGGCATACTCGGACTACTTATATGGGTTTCCTGAATTATATGCTAGGTTCACTTACAATGTCGTACGCAGCCTGATATGCCATATAGAACAGACTAACCGCTGGCACCAACGCTAACCGTCAATCCTATCATGACGTTGTAATACAGCATTGTCTCAGATATTTTTGAATTGCACGTTCGGTTCCGTGGTTAAGGTAGATATAGAGAGCCTAGGGGTTCGAGTTACATTGTCACGTCCTATTTAGATAGAATGTAGTACACTTGTGAGAGGTAATATATCCTCAACAGACATGCTGTGATTGGTAAGACCTTAAGAATTCCAATAGTAAACTATCTGGGGCTCGGACAGCGGCTTGCAAAGTATTAATACTCGCGACGTTAGTAAGAGGTAACATGTGTTATACCGGAGGGAGAGAGAGGCGTGCGAAACTTCTCTGGTCTATAAGCTATCTTATATCAATAGAAAAGACTAGTCGATGTCTACCCTCCCCCCACTCCAAAGATATAAGATGTAAATATATCTGTTCACCTTTCATCCATAATCACATGTCTGGTATAGAAGCATGCTACACCATTGAGGCTTACTCCATGTTTTTAGAAGAGGAGCGCTAGGTGCGGATAGCCGCATACGCCGCGGCAACCCTTCACGTGTCACAAAATCCTCATCATGAAGAATTTGGATGCAGCGAACCATACAATATCGTAGATCGGCTGGCAGTTCTTAGGAATGGCTTTGACCTGCATGAGCATATGCTTCGTGCCACATCCACGAATAGTAGATCGGAAAGAGTGGTCGAGAACGGTTCCTTACATGACACCGTAAGACCCTGAGTCTACGGCGGCAAATGGTCATTCAAATGTCCCCGGGATGCTTCTACCTCAATTCCAACCCCCTTTCTCTCATTCGGCCATAGTTATAATTATTTCCACAATTCTAGTTCTGAGCGATAAACGCACGACGAAAAATGAGCGGTAACGCCCTCTATATCTCGAATGGCACATGCTTCATAGCAGAAGGGGAGGTGTCTGAGATAGACTTCATCCCCTGCGGAAATGCTGCGCTTTCAGGACCTCAATCTTGTTGCTTTGTTGGTGATTATTGCCTGTCGAGCACGGCTTGCTGGGATCGCGATAGTATGTCCGAATTATCTTATAATACCAACACAAAGCCAGCACTAATCAATGTTATAGCCGCTGTGACATACGTGGCGGGGTGTACAGACCCAGAGTTCAAGTCGAGCGTCTGCACGAATAAATTCGACTACCCCACCAACAATGGGTAGCAATGGCAAGATGCGATGGGGACGATATAGACATATGGTCAGGATGTTCTGTGCATCCGCAGTGGATCGCGCTACAAAAAGAACCAGATTGCAAATGCAATGCCTCGAGACCCTTGATTCGAAACTCGAATAACAAGGCAAGCTTTGATCAAGTTGCGAGTTTACCCCCTACACCAGGAGGCACAATCTCATTCGACCCCACTGCTATCCCTACGTTGGTGCCCACTTCACGAGTCTCATCTTCGACCCCAGCACCGACCTCGCCATTCACCACCGAAGATACCACGGAGGGCTTGTCGGACGGGGCAAAGGCAGGGTTAGGTGTGGGCGTAGGCCTGGGTGTCCCCCTATTGGTCGGTCTCATCTTTCTTGCATTCTTCCTACATCGGAGGAAGATTACCGCATCAACGACAGCTGCGACACAGCCAGATCCAGAACCCCAAAATGAGGCGCCGCAAGAAGACCCGAAACCCGGCGTCGCACAAGTTACGCCAGAAAAGCCGGCCAGTCCTGAGATTGGTTCAGTTGCCTCCCCAGAACCACCAAACTTCGCTTGGTATGGGTATAAAGCCGAATTGGCGGCTAACTCGACCGAAGCACATGAACTATCCGGTGATGAGCCACAGAGCGTCGTAACTCCGAGCTGGAACTCGGAGACTCTTGGGAGTCGTCAAGTATCGGAGATGTCGAGTTATCAAGCGGCGGATGGTATAACAGGGCGGAATCACTCCGTGTGAGTCTACGTATAGCTGAATTGTGAGGCAGCGACGGAAAATTATTGAAGTAGAACGCCCACGTACCTAGGTAGTTAGTGTGATTTGAACTGTTATTTTGGTCATGTAGGAGGAAGGAGAGTTAGTAATGCCCATGAGGATCCGGGTCGATCGGGGTTGTTAAGTTACGAAGCGGTTAATGGATATCACTACAGCATTTAAGAAGTAGCAATAAAGTATACATCAGTTTAACCTGTTTCATTGGATGTTACATATGGAAGAATTCATTGTTCTTCATTTTGCGCATAAATGAAATTCGCCGCTAGTCACTCATCAGTATTCGCAATAAATCAAACTGCAAAACGCGAACTCACCAACAGGCTTAAGACCATTTGCCTCTGCCCAATCCCTCACACCATGCCTCTCCTTACCCGTGCCCCAATGCTTCCTATCCTCTGGCTTGGATAAGTGCAACGGATCCGTGGTGTCGTTCTTAGGCGCAAATAGAAGGAACACATATCTATGTTTCCCGGTCTTTGGTGGCGGGCTGGGCGGTTTGTACGGAATGATATCCTCTAGGTCGGATAAACGAAAGATATCGGAAGACTCCGAAGGAACCTCTACACCAGTAGCGATGAAGTGGCAGAATTCGGACCATTCCGGATTGTCGCGCGAGGGAGCATCCGGATCTGTGATGCTAATAGCGTAGGTTACACCAGAGCCCTCTCCGGTTGCTGACGACGAAGCGGGATGGCCGCGGTGCACTATGATGGAGGGCTCATCTTGGACCTCATCTACCTTCAGGGTGTTTCCCAATTTTGCGCTTTCCCCAGATGGCCATTCCGCGTCAAGGAGAAATGATGGGAGGAACTTGTCAATAACTTATGTTGGTCAATTATAGGTTGCTTCACTTGAAAGGTACCCAGACTTACCCGTTGAGAAAATATCTGCCTTTTTTAATCTAGTAAAATGATTAGGCACGGAGAATAATATAGGATATAGCCTACCATTAGGCAACTAGGTTAACATACTTATGTTGGACCTTGTACAAATCGGAATTTTCCAGATGAGATACGATGACGGCTTGCTTCGCGGGCGGGCGTTCGGCGGCTGTAGCCACCGTTGTTAAGAGAAAGACCCAGATGCGTGAACGCATTATCTTGTCAGTTTTTAGCGTCGATATCAAAATCGAAGTAAAAAATCTGCGGCTTTATAAAGTCGAAGTTTTATAGGCATGTAGGAAGATGCTGTAAATGTTGAGACTTCTACTATTTATAAGACCCCGCACTACGTTGTCGTGATGTCATCTGAAGGGGCTCAATCCTTGTCAGGGTCGACGTTGTAATAGACTAAGGGTTTTGGTGTTTTCGTTATAGTACCTCAACTTTGAGACTTCTGGTAAATTCGCTTCGCACTGCGTATATACTTCATTATGACTACATGGATATTTTTGTGGTGAAGGAATTAGACACTATCCGGTCAAGTCGGGCTATTAGACGAAATGAGGGAAACATGCTCAAGTTACTTCTCGGTAGCATTCATAGCTTCGATGAGAATTAGATAAAAGAGAATTCTGGCTCAGACATGCCTTTTAGACATCATAGTTGGGAGCAAGCTGAAGTGTAAACGACCTAAGAGGGTTACTGCAATTGCAGAAACACACAAAATGGAGTTTAACTGATTGCGTTGCGTGACCAACTCGGAAGTATCTGATGTAATCATCACCGCCAGGTTGAGTGGATAGCTATCCTTGCGTCGGACGTTAAGGATTGATAGTGTTGGATTGGGTAATTGGTGCCGTGCCTCGACGTCTACCAGTATGACTTTCCAATTTTGCTGTTCTCGAGCCGAATTGAATCTGTCAGGTTGTTAGCTACGTGGCACATCGTCCCTAGATTGCAACGTACTGCTCTCTTTTTTTCCCTCGCGGTTACGGGAAGACCAAGCTTATCAGCTAGAAGCCTTAATATTCGCTTGGCTGGGTCGATGACAGCTGGATGGAACTGGTTCTGGAAATCGCATTTCTCCCACACTGGAGAGCCGATAGCGAACCTGACAAGCTCTTCATCTAAGAAAGGAAATCGCACTTCCTTACCCCAGTGCGCCATAATTCGATCGTCGCGGCCAAGATTTCTTTGTCCGATACGACCAATATCTAATTTCAACTCGTCAATGAGGCGAGCATATCCTCCGTTTTTGAAGGCTGCTTCATGCCGCGCGTAACCACCGAAGAGCTCATCTGCACCAAGACCGGATAAGAGCACTCTAGCTGGCGTAGTTACACTCGGTGGGGACGGCTCCCATTCATACTTGTCCGTGTAGGAATTACCTATACCTCTTGCAGCGAAGTAAAGGGCGAGGGCAATTGAAAGGTCCATCTCGGTGTTATGTGGGTGTAGAAGTAACACAATTTTGGATTTATGACTCATAGCTTCTTCAAATGAGACATTGACCTAGCAAATCGGGTCAACACAATGCATAATATGGCAAAAAGACGCCGAAACCCATACCGCGATGAAACGCCAATACCGATTTGGGCAGGAAGACTTTAGTTCGGCAAAAGCCTTACGACCAGTCTTTCTATCCGGGCAGGCTTCATAAGTATCCGCGACCTCTGAGTGAGGTAAAGTCTTGTCTATTGAAGCTTGGCGTGGATTTTCAAACGCAACGTTGATTAAATCTATCCCTTGGTCTGTTGGGATAAAGTCGTGAGCTAGTCTCGCAAGCACAGTGCAATCAAGGCCGCCGGAAAAGAGAATAGCCACGCGAACATCGGTATTAGATAATGTGTTTGGAGGCTCCGGGATATCCAGTACACGCAGCTTGATGGATTCACATAACCAATGCTGAAGCAACTGGACCGAGGGTAAGTTGAAATCCAACTTGTGCTCAGATGTGGGCAACGTCGTATTGAAGTTTCCGATGCTCGAAACCTGTAATTATAAGTTTATAGCAAAGATCGTACGCACAAATACACTACTACAAGTTTGCACTTACCATGTCATTTCCACTAGACGGTACCCAATCATGCCTTGTCGTACGGGTATCAAGTTTGAGTCCTTGAGATGTGGCGACACGAGTACTCAGGTCCAAAGAGTAGATGCCATTTGCTTCTATCTCCTTCCAGTCAGTAGCAGGCACATCTGCAATGCTAGAAAGTGAGATCGAGTTTCCATCTTCTGACTGGTTGACTAGAAGCGACCGGCGTCCAAGGCGATCCCGACCGAAATAAAGGCGTTTGATACGGAAATCGTAGTATAGAAAAGCGAAAGGGCCATCAAGTTCCCTTAGAATATTTAGGATGTGCGCCTCTCGTGCCTCAGTTCGCGTATCAGCTGGGGGTACTTCGGTAGGGTTAAGCTTGGCCAGTATGATTTCTCCGTCATTTTTGCTGCTGATGGATTGGCCGTTAATTCTCCACGCCTCCCCATTCCAACATAAAATAGATCCGGTGATAGATTCCAAGGGCTGTTTTGCAATATGGTCCCCTCGCAGGGCTAGCACCGTAGAAGTAAACACGAGGTGAATTGTCGAATCTCCATTTTCAAAAGGAAGTTCGCGATAAACCTGGCCACAGTGATCCGGACCGCGGTTCGATAGAAGATTTCTCAACTCAGTAGAGATACTCGAAATACCAGTAGTAGAGATTACTGCGTGAATGCCACACATATCTCCTGTATTTAATTGGATTTTCGTCCAAGGAATTAAAAGGATGAAAAGATTAAGAAACGTCCAGGCACTGACCCCCGTGTCGCGTTTTACCCCACCATAGCATGGCTTATATAATCATATATGCTTATCTAATCAATAGAGGGGCCTGCGGGATTATATAAGAGTTGATGAGAAAAAAAATGAAAAGCAAAGAATAAAACAAAATAAGATAAAATTGAAAAGATATTTTGAACACAAAAAGATAAGTTCCAAGATTAGCACCTCTCCGTTTCGATCGGAGGACCTCCGGGTTATGAGCCCGGCGCGCTTCCACTGCGCCAAGGTGCTTTACTGCTCTTGCAATCGTTGAAGTCAAGGGTTCTAGCTTAGCCCTATATACCTTAATTGGCGTAACTCCGATGTCCGACCGACCGAACAATTGCTTTTTCTTATCGATTAGCTAGCTCATCGATCGCGTCCCGCCCTTTTATTTTGAGAACAGAACACTTTCATCCCAATAAATACCTAGGTGTCGAGACACTTTAAGCATCTTTTTTCATGTCGCCTCTGAACTCTTCCATATGTTGGTCCTCGTATATTTTTATGTTCCTACACCTTTATTCGCTTAATCACAATGGATTTCTTGTTGCACTCAACTTACGTTCTATAGGGACCAAACAAACACAAACGCACGCATGCAGATATTCATATTTAGACCTGCCGCCGACAATGACACGGGCTAATCAATGTGTTAGAGAATGTCCAACCTAGAATTATGGATGGTTAGAATCATTTCGTGAGCTCAATTATCTAGAAATCATCATGTGCAAATCTACTCGCCAAGACTTCAACTTCTTGAGCAAATGTAATAACTCGTTCATGGACTCGAGCTCACTAAACACACCCTAGATACAAGAACAATCCCAAGGGTATTTCATACAATGAAGCAATCAAAGCACTTCAACACTTAAAAGTTATTCAAACCTTCTCCGTAGCAACCCCCTTCAAACTATCACGGTCCCTCTCATCCCAGATAGCCCTCTCAAGCGAAGGATAAACCACATCAGCAGCTCCATCCAACAATCCATCCGCATCCACGAGCTTCCACCCAGCTCGCTTGAAGCGCAACCGGATCCCTGGTGTCATACCAATAATGCGTATCTGCACGCCAAAACCGAGCTGACGGCGTATATCATCCTTAAGTTCAGCGAGTGCGGTGATGCCCGTCGCATCAATAAAAGGTGCCTGTCCGAAATCCCATACGACGACAGCAAGCGGCATACCACGTACCACGACGTGCCGTTCCTCTCGCAGTCGCGCGAGTCGTTGTTCCGCAGCCACACTCCAAGACCGTTCTCCCTCGTCGCCGTAACGCGGGCTCTGCACAGACGGCCAAGCGATTTGCATTGCTTCAAGAGCTTCTATCTTATTCCTATTCGCATTAGGGAAGAACAGCGAGTCCGCGAAGCGCACTACTACAGTATCCTCCGGAATTGTCGGACTGCCGATATTTTCTGTCTGCCCGCGTTGTTGTAGGGATGAGAGGTGTTCTAAAGGTTCGAAGGTACCTGACGCATCCGCAGTCTGGTTGGCGTGGATGGTAGCACGAGCGAATGCAGATCGTAGAAGCGTCCATGCTACGCTCCACCCAGCAGCGGCACCAATGCCGATTTCTGCGGACACGAAGATAGTGACCCAGAATGAAACCATGCATGCGATGAAGTCGGCGAGGGAGATGCGCCAGTAGCGCCAAATTAGGGATAGGGGTCCGAAGAGGTGTATAACGGCCATGATCTATTGTTGAAAAGAAGTACAAGTCAGTTATGGTATGCTCTTCAATCGTAGGAGTAGTGTCCATGAATAAGAGTACTTACGATAATTGCGGCCAACGTCGACTTTGGAAGCCAGTATAAAGCTGGAGAGAACACATAAAGTGTCAATATAATGAAGCCTGCAGTGACGACTCCATTCAAAGGACTTCGTACATGGCACTCCGAATTGACAGCCGTCCGAGATATCGCACCACCAACCGGCATAGCACCAAAGAAGGAATTGACGATGTTAGTCACACCAAGATAGTTGAACTCCTGGGTTTGATCAATCGCATAATGATTTCGACGAGCGAAAGCCTTGCCGACAGCTTGATGCTCTAGTGTACACGCCACGAGCGGCGCAATAGCACGACCCGCAACCTTCGCAAGGAGGCCTGCATCGGGAGCTTTGGGGTGTTGGATGCCGTGAGTGTTTACTTCGCTGAGGCCCCAAAGGTAGTCATCGCGATCCTTATTGACGAGGTATGAGATCAAGGTGAATATTACCATCACGATGATCGCTCGACTGCTGGAAATGTATCGAATGAGGAAGTGCTTGTTTCCCCATGTCTTTCCTATTTTCTCAAGAATCAGGAGGACCAGGACCGTACCGAAGCCAATTCCGCAAGTTGGACCGTCCCAGTGTGGGAGACGTTTGAGAGCGTCGCCAAGTTGGTTAAAGGCACCGTCTGGGCCGCCGCTAAGTCCGACGAGAGAAGCGACTTGACCCATACCAATAACGAAGGCTGTGGCCGAGATGAATCCGGTGAGAACGGGGATCGAGACATAGTCGAGAAGGAAACCGAGACCTAGCAGACCTATCAGGAGGGAGAATATCCCTACCATCATGGCAACGGCCGACGAAATATCAGTGGCTGCATATTCGTTCTTGAGGTCGCGGACGATTTCTGCGGTTAGCAGGCCCAGGATCGAAGTTGGTCCCGATGACAAGTCTACGTACGACCTTAAGTCAGTATCACTGCATGAGGTAGAGGATAATCATTTCCTTCTATCCGCAACACACCTTTTGATGTTCCCATGAACACCATCACAGCGGCAGGTACCCAACAGGAGTAAAGACCATTTTCGATAGGAATTGTCGCAATCTTAGCGTATGCTAGACCTTGAGGAATGAGTAAGACTCCGATTGTGAGACCGGCCATGAAATCCTGAGGGAGCCATGATGGTGAGTATCGTGGAAGCCATTGGATAATGGGAAGTTTGTCGAGAAGATACTGTTTAGCAGCCGATGGAAACTTGCGTGGTGCGATGCGAGCGAAGTTAACCACCCTATTAAGGGTGACATCCGTTCGGAACTCTTCTTTGACGGCTTTGACGTGTCTCTCCATGGCTAATGGCTAAACTTCGAACAGCGAATGACCGAGATCGAGTACCTGGTCTGCCCTAGATGATGAGGCTGACCGGATATAGTAGTTAATATAGACTTAAACATAAGTCTATCGACAACCAATATTCACACAGTACCAGTCCCCGGGTTCCAAAGCCTTACTTCCATAAACAGAAGGTTTCATGGAGATACTCAATCACAAGAGAGACAATATGCTCAACTCGGGCAGCCTATCGCTTTCGTAGCAATCACACCCACCCTCGGCATATTCTCGCCACTCTGTCGGCATCAAAGAGGGAATCTATTCGTTTATTCAAGACCTTCGCGATCAATGAAAAAGAACTAGGTAGGTAGGTGAGGAAACACAACATCAAATCACACACCTGATAACAACGCGCGCAGGGACCCACGATTCGGACCGGGCTTCAGGGTGTAGTATGAAGACATTTCCTATATCGTTTTTTCTACTTTTACTTATGTGTGAAGATTCGTACGGACGAATCTGAAGCCCGCGATTAGGCGCCATTCCGTGCCTAAATGCGACTGTATGCCAGTCATGTTTGGCCGATCATGGCTCTAGGTGACAGTGCCGTCCATAAATCGATATAAAAGCGCGGGGTAGGTTGATTACATCGCCTGTGGGACGTTGGAGCACGTACATATATTGAAAGGGGGTTGTTTTCTAAAATAGAAGCAAGGAATTCGTGATCTATGTAACCTGATTCACCCGACGAACCAATCAGTACCAAGATTGCATGGTTTATTCCACCGTTAGTTTTGCTATTACGTAGATCGGTATTATGTAATTATAGGAAATCTACCTACGAAATCCCGTTGTTTGGTGGATTATCTTGCACGTTCAATATTCGCATGATAGTATTGTTTTAGGTGCATTATAGGTGGCGCTGTTAGCATGAGGGTCAGTACTTACAGTTCCTACATAGGTACTCTGACACTGGGCTTATCTCGAGTCTCAGTTGAGATATTGACATATTTGCACTTTCTTCGCGCCTGTCTGAGCCTCTTCGTTAAGCCTAGAGATAAGTGCCGTGCGGTACGTAATTCTCGGTCAACCTTATGCCAATTCAAAGTCATAAGTCTATATCACCAGGTTACTTAATAGGCCTTGGCAATTCTATAGATAGATCCTGTAGCAACCCGAATCTATGGATAGTCGACCAAAAATCGCTACCACCTATAGAAACTGTGTGATGTGATTATCTGGCAATTAAGCATTGACGCTCAAGTCCATGTATAATTCATCCAAAGAAAAAGAAGATATCGCATTCAAGAACGCACGAAGTCGTCGTATAACCGGGGATATAATTCTAGGGCCGGAAGTTTTTGGTTCGCTGATGCGGCCAAGCACCCTGAACAACGCCACGGGTTCTAAAGTTGCCTGTCTAGGGCAATTTACAGGGGTAATGGAAAGCTTGACACGTACCAAGCTTTCCGTGCAACGGTCACATTGCAGGGACCCAAGACTCTGCTTATGTGGTCGGCCGCTAATGCCAAGTGATAGAAGTGATCTTCCCCGGATGTTTTATCTTTTCTCATCACATAGAAACAATCTTGAAATATTTTTAATATTCCTAGGGCTATTATACATATGTGATCAAATAAGTATTTAAAAATAGAAATAAAATTGTGAAGGTGAAAGATGAAATGTCGACGATCTTGGTTCTTATTCAGGGTTGCGAGCGGCAAAGATGCTGATAGGTCGCTGAGTACCAATTGCAACATAGCTACCCTTACCTCCCTATCCGCCCCCAGTTTATAGCGCAATTACTTTCCTAACTGGTACCTAGGTGGACAATCCAACCCAGTAGAATGTTGTGATACGGCAACGTCCAACGGAACTCCACGTGATTGACCCGTTCGTACAAGTGTTATTGGTGTAGTCATCCGGAACTCGTAAGCGCTCGCCGGGGGTTTGTCCCGATTGATGGCTGCGTTCGTGGGGTTCATGACCTACTGAAAAAGAACTATGGCGGGGATGCGCTAGTATCTATGATTCTAGATCCAGACACTGTCGTGATAGCAGGCACACTCTTTTGCTGTAGAGACACTTAGGCTTTGATGGTGTGTAGGTTTCTAGATAGAGCCTAGACGATCAATAGATAGTAGATTTCTATCACAAACAAGAGAAGATGCGATTGGCGGCCTTCTAGGGTCTTTCATTTATGCCATGCTATGTAAAACCTGTTGTCAGCACTAGTCATACATAACACAACAGTATTGTGTTCCCACTAAGTAAGAGATAGATGAAGAAAATTTCTAGTATATGAAGCACTTGGTTATTTCTATTATAATAATAGGTACATCGTATATACTGTTTTGAAGCGGATGATAATAGAATCTTTTTGGTGATTTGGAATATGAATGATATCCTAGAAAGAATTAGAGGAAGGAGGAGAAGAGAAGGCGGATCGAATACCGCCCCAGGTTCCCCACAACAGGCTAATGGCCCCCCTGAATAAGCACCTACCCGTCGTGCTTCCGCGGCCTAGATCCTTGACCCGTGTACCCTAAGCCTGATAGATCTTCTTCATTTCGGAAATAACGGCATGGTCAGCTGGGAATATCTCGGTGGTCTACGTCTACGATGTTTCGCCAAATTAACGTTACAGAACGCATCCCCCGGGGAAGACTATAGTGCTCAACGCCGATAATCATCGTTGTTGTGTTCATAATAGGTATCATGTATGATCCCGAGTTTTATCAGGTGAAACCCGATCCGCCGAATAAATAATTCTAAGGAGGCAGGTAAACTCAAGTAAATATTGGGGGAGAATTGTATCAGAATATCCTCATCCCGAAAAAAAGTGACACCTCTATCTCACCTTCTCCATCTAACGCCAATATTGACACCTTCTAGCGAACTCCATCTCGTATCTAGCCTTACAATATCATGCTAGGGGTATACCCCCTGAGTCGCGTACGTTTCTGATATGTCGAGTAGGACAAAAATTCCGAGCAAAGCCGAACATATTCATCATATCATATGCCGAAACAGCTTGTTCTACACACCTAAGTTGCATGAGGGCGAACTAACATCCCGGGGGTTCATAGGGGCTTCGGCGCTATACTTGGAGACATGTAGCTTTCTAAGGACCTAAGAGCTACAACAGTGCAAAGAGAACGCCATAAGTTCCACGTTGGCAATAGCTAGAGGAAATATTGGTCGGAAACTTCTGTTGATGCTACGAGTTAGAAAGGTCTTTGCTACAGAATGGTTGACCTATGCTCATGTAAAAATCGAAACGATCAAGAAATCTTCATAGTCTCAGGTAATTAAATAATATACAGATATAAAATAGTATGCGTAGGAAATTTTGTAGTGAAATTTGCAGTGCAATCGCTAAAACTTGCTGGGCTAGTCCTGAATACAGCGTGAGAACTAGCCCCAAATGCCCTGTAATGAAAATTAGGGCAAGATTTGCTTTTTACAACTCGCGTTCACCTGACTCTGATTCATTTCCAGAATCAGGAAGAGTCACTTCATCTTTCTCTGCATTCTTAACCTTGTTCCAGAAGATTTCACCATTTTCCGGATCATCCTTAAATAGATGGTCGACAACCATTTTCTTCGGTGTCTCGCCCATCCACTGGAAGAGGGAGAAGTCTCGGAACTCATCCGCACGGAAAACCTCGAGCATTTCTATCGGCTCATCTCCGATATTTTCGACAAAGTGACCCATGTTCCTCGGAACAATTCCGACATCCCCCGGAACATAGTCAAAGGTTCGAGCACTACCCTCAGAGGCGAAAATGGTAATTCGGGCTCGGCCTTTAAGAAAGAAATTCCATTCATCGGCATTTGGATGCCAATGCATTTCACGTATAGCGCCGGGTTGAATAAGAACGTGAGCTGCTGCCACTGTCTTAGAGATAGGAAAGTTCTTGGAATCCGTAATGCGGACTTCACCTCCGCTAGTAATTTTGGGTTCTTGCTCGAGCATCCTGTGGACGAAGTTGTATTTAGATTTCTTAACCCCTTTCCCTGTCGGCTTTTCATCATCGATTGAACCTGGATTAGCACCCTGGAAGATATACTTTTCCTTCTCAGGAAGATGTGCGAATACTTCGGGCGCCAAGTTAAAGTTCTTTGCGATCACTGACTTGGGTGTATGTGCTTTTCACTCGTTAGCCCGCATCGGATCTATCCGAAAATAAAATACGTACCCAGCCAGTCCGACAGAATAAAAGTAGATTCTTCGGAGAAGTTTCCGTCATCAAAAATCAGCAGAAATTCGGTACCATTGTCACCAAGCCCTTGAAGAGAATGAGGCACACCACTTGGGAAGTACCAAAGGTCACCTTTCTTCAAGTCATCGATGAAGTTTCCACCCTCGTAGTCGATGGCAGTGACACGAACTTGGCCGTCAAGGACATAAGCCCATTCAGCCTCTTTGTGCCAATGCAACTCACGAATAACCCCCTGATCGAGTCTCATGTTCACGGCAGCTAGTTCAACGCTGGTACCTAATTCCCGAACAGTGGTTTGGCGGGTCCATCCCCCCTCCTACCAAATACACAGTCAGAACAGTTATCTAAGCCAAGAAAGAGCAGTTTCATACCTCAATGCGCACATGAGAATCAGCAAAACTCCATCGCATATTCTGCAAGTTCCCATGATCAGTACTGGGCGGCCGCACGAGATCCGGGTTTTGGCGTGATCGCTCGCGGTTCCAGGGCCCTAGAACAGATGCACCTAATCCATTGCGGTAAGGTAGCGGGTCGAGCTTATCGCCTATGGCGTCGACGGCGTGGTCATAAGGGTCTTTGTGGCCGGGACTGTAGGGGGGCTTTGAATTTTTACTGTACTTCGGCGGAAGGTCGAGGCCAGCTAAGAGGTATTGGCGTGGGCTATCCTCTACGGGTATAGCTAGGCCTGAATTGCTCAGTGAGAGAGCTGTAACTAATAGCTGCCATGTGGACAGCCCGTGGCGAGTTTGGGGTAGCATTGTTTTAGGTACAAGCAAATATAAGTGAGACAATACCAGCTCAAAAACGAATAATCTAGATGAAATAGACTGCAGAACAGAAAGAAGAAAGTAAAAAGTTTGTGTTTGTTAATCACTTACTACCAAATAAGATGGATGTCGTCACATTCATAATAGACAAGAAACCTTGCAATCATTCCAGGGTTATTAAGAGCTTGTTTTCCGTTTACGGCCAATCACTATTACAACGGGCGCAACACCGAATGAATACCGAACCTATTCCAGTGCATTCCGGCCCTAAAACTCTCTGGGCAGGCACCGGGGGGTAGAGTGGGAGTGGAGTATAGCTGCCGCGTAGCCGACTAGATGTCGGGGTACCTAATGCGCTAAATCTTAGTACCTGATATGGCTCTGGGGCTCCCAACTTGGTGGTCTTCAGCCGCTATTAGACGGCCCCATCAATTCACTAGATAACGCTAAACACCTGAACTGGGTCGAAATAAGCTACAAAGACAAACATAGAATTGAACTAAATAGGAACGATCATAATTACGTCAAATAAGCGTCTTCGTTGTCATTTACTTCCCTAGGTATTTACAACATTATTTACACATTGCTTACGTCTCATAAATCTACGGGTTGTGATCTCGGTGCTTTTATTTTAAGAGACTCTACTGTACCTACTACACCTGCATAGTGAAACCATACTCCTTAGAGCAGAGTAGGGTTTTAGCGCTCGACATTCCTGCCTATCTGGGACTCTTGGCCGGATGTGCTGGCTTGGCCTGCTGAGCATCACCCACGATTGGCAAGGGGAAGGAGGCTTTTTTTAACGTCTCCTATAGATTGGAGATATAATTTAGGTATGTTACCTAAAAGGGCACATGTCCAACCTATTTTTACCCACGTCATTGATATCTATGTCGGGATTAGAAGACGGCAATCTGCATTTCCCATATTGATAAACTTACAGCAAACGATTTGTTGACAATCTCTCCTTTTTTACCCAGCCTACAGTATATCCTCATAAATCTAACATTGATTACAAGTTAACTACTTGGAATTGCGTGTCATACTGCTAGCATCGAAGCCCAATGGCTTCTTCTAATGGTTATGGGGCTCTGCCCAATAACTCAAGATCAAATGCCCGTGGCGACGAGGAGCAGCCCCTACTAGGCGGCAGCAACACGACATCGAAATCGGCGATATGGCAAAAACGCCTAACGACGGACGTGCGCCGTGACTGGGCTGATTTAATTCTACTTGCTTGCTATATCATCACCGGCCTGCTCGATAGTGCTTCGATATCAACATGGGGTTCTTTCGTATCGATGCAAACGGGTTAGTATTCTCAGTGACTCACACGAAGCCATCATTCTACTCATAGAACACCATAATTAACACTCACAACAGGCAACACGGTATACTTCGGCCTCGGCATCGCCGCCCCTCACGAATCAACACGATGGATAAAATCCGGGACCTCACTAGGCTGTTTCTGCATCGGCTCCATCTTCTTCAGCGCGCTCCACCGGATCCCCGCCCCATCCCCCAAACGCCGCTGGGTCCTCTGCACCTCCTTCGCGCTCCAAACCCTCTTCGTAGCAGCCGCAGCCGCAATCCTAACCTTCGGCCCACAGACCAGCGCCGAGCTGCGCAAAGAATCCATCGACTGGCCCGTGCTCGTCCCCATCGCGCTCGTCGCGTTCCAAAGCTGCGGACAGGCGGTCGCGAGTCGCGCTTTGAAGTACAATGCCTTGACTAGTGTTGTCTTGACTAGTATTTACTGTGATTTGTTTTCTGATGCCGAGTTACTCGCCCCGCGGAACCCGGAACGGAATCGCAGAGTCGGGGCCCCGGTTTTGTTGCTCATTGGTGCTGTGCTTGGTGGCGTGTTGGCTAGGAGTACTGTTGGTGCTGCGGGTGTGCTTTGGATCGCCGCGGCGATGAAGTTATTAGTTGTGTTTGCGTGGCTGTCTTGGCCTGCTGAGAAGGAGTAGGTGTGACATCATAGATGTTTGTTGATATACCTGGGTAATTATGTTGTAGTGGGGGGGTTACCGTGGAGTACACGCTATAGATGTGGTCTTGGGGGCATTAAAACGACGTTTAGAGGTCACCTAGATTACTAGATCATTTGCAGCTGTAATGCGCTGTAACTAGCATTGCGGCGCAAGAAAAACCACCGAAGTGAGCGTTGATGGTAGGATTGGCCGCGACGACTTACTATTCCAATTGATAGAATAACCAATCGCGGTCTTATACAAAGACGTGAGCTACACTATGTCTGCATATATGTAACTATTTGGTATCTTGTTCTGTTGCACCCCTAGGAGAAATTCTCACAGGTTGCTGTGGTCTCTTTTCAATCTTGCCAACGATACCGGTGCCACGGAAGTATACAGACACCACAACTGCGCAGCACAGCGCAAGCGCAAAGTTGAACCAAATGCCTGCTCTCAATCCGCTTAAGGAAGCTGGTTCCCAAGGCATAATCTTGCCTGATTCTTCTACCGGTACACCTCTGTCTCTTGCTATTACTGCGGTCTGGATTGCAGTGGTGATTGCTAATCCAATGGCTCTTCCTATTTGGCCCATCGCATTAATCAATGCACCTCCTAGCGCTTGGTCGTCCTGAGGCAGAGATTTGGAGGTGAAAAGAGTCAAACTCGGCCAAGTGATATCAGCGCCGATTACCGAGAGAACGAATGCTGGAAATCCATACGCGAAATATGATGTGTCGGGAGGAATCGGTATTGAAAATAATAAACACGATATCGACACACTGAGATTGCCAAACAGAAGCAACATCCAAGTAGGTACGCGCGAAATGAGGTGGCTTACGACGAATGCAGTAATGACACCAGATGCACCGGTTGGGATAAATCTCAACGTCGTCTGAAGGGGACCAAGGTCCTGGTAATCCTGAAAAATGAACGTGGCGGAAACGATTAGGTCGTTAAAAGCGGCAAAGAATAGGGCCATTATTACCATGGCAGCGCTGAACCGAGCGCTTTTGAAGACGGAAACTTTCATGAGTGGCTTGCTCGTTGTATGTTTCTCCTGGTACCATTGCCATATGACGAACATACCAAGGAGTAACAGAGAGATGACGATTAATAGATAAATCCAGATGGTCTTCCATCCCACTACATTACCTTCCGTCAAGGCGAACAATAGCGCGAGAATTGCGCCGGTAACGAGGGCACCACCAATCCAATCTACGGACCTGAGCGAGGAAATGCCGCCTTTTTGGGTCGTTAAATGTGGTGGTGGCGCTGGTATAAATGCTATGCCTGCGACCGTTACAGCGATCGCGAGTCCACCAGTAGCCCCAAATACCCATCGCCAGTTAGCGAAGGACGCAATAAAGCCACCGATCAGATTTCCAAAGACACTACCAAGGGGCGCACCAGCAGCTATTTCAGGGCGTTAGCGACAAGCTATAGCCATTAAGTTACGCACGATAGGGCATTCAACGTACCATACGCGCTGAACGCATAATTCTTTGCTTTGCTTGGTGGAAATGTCACGCCCAAAATTCCGATGGCTGTCGGCACATTGGCGGCGGCGCCCTAAAATACGGCATGTAAGTGCTACAGTCAGCTAAAATTTTCGATTCATACAACTTACAAGTCCTTGTAGTCCCCTAAAAATATTGAATCCTATTTCATTTGGTATGAACGGATTAATGATCATAGTCACCGCTACGAAAGCGCTACCAAGAATGAAAATCGAACGTTTGCCATAAATATCTGCTATACGACCCCATAGAAGCAAAAGGCATCCGAAGGTGAGAGCATAAGAAGACACTATCCATTGTTGTCTACTCTCAGGGATGTTCAATTCTTCGCCAATCGTTGGTAGGATAATGACGACTGACTGGATTGATAGGGTCTACCGACAGTCAGTAAGAACAGACTAGAGATTACGACGAGGACGAGAATAGCAATGACATACATTCAGGAAACTGGCACCTGTTACTGTTGCGACTAGAGCAATGCATCTCGCTTTAGAGAAAGGTAAGCTTGGTTTATCAGGCGAGCCATCATCTTCATCCGCCCCGCTCTCTACGGCTTGGCGCGATGGAGGCAAGTTTTCGGTTTCGACGATATCCAAATCCTGCTGTCTTTTTTCTTCAGCACTTTCAATGTCCACAGTAGGATGTTGAACAATCTCTGGATGTCTCGTCATTTTCACCACAACAATACTCCGGTGCGAACGCCGAAAATTATTGTATTAGTACAACTTGTCCCGAGCCGGGGCACGTTCATATATGCCCACCCATCACCCATAATGCCTTCCGCCATCGCGGCCGAACAAGATGCAATACCTCTAGGATAGGAATTTTATGGCGGTATAGCGGATGACCCTCGAACGACTTTCCCCAAACGAGCAATATTATTCTCCGGCTATTATAGCAATTTGGTCAAAATGACCAATTACTGTTGGTGCTGTTAGGGCATTTGCCTAGTAGAGGGTAATACTGCTCTCCGGCCTATTCCCCGGAAAGCGGTATCGGTTCCAGGGAGCCATGTTTCCCCGTTGAGACGGTAAATTTAGTGATTCGCTAGGGGATGGTTTGTAGTGGCTCTATTTCCAATTGTGTTATGCCAAGAATCAGTCCGACCTAGGCCGGAATAAAAGACAGCGACGGCTAACTGTTCAAGGAAATAACCCCATATTGTGTTATGTAAGAGATGGACACAACCCATGTGGGCTTATGTAACGCTGCTTTAGGTAGAGCAATAGCAACTGCTTACCTAATTACCTTCTTTTGCTGGGGAAATATGGTACTTAAACGGCTCATCCCACAATTTTTTAAGAGTCCATCTCTCGGAACCGTTTGTCTTCCTAATCGTAAAAGTTTGCGAAATGGATACAATTTGATGCCTAGGTATCATAGCCACGAATTCAACGCATGTTCAAATTCTATCCACAGGTAGGTACCTAATATATAACATTAAATGGAGCCCCAGAAAGCTTACACCTCATTCAACGATCTTGCCAACCTTATCAATCAATTTAAAGTTAGTAGGTGCTTTCCTGCATTAGGTATCGAAAAACTAGAAGCTGAAACCAACGGCGCTGCTGCCTTGAGGGAAGTCACGTTCCCACGCGCCACATTGGCGTCAATTGGTATCGATCGTTCCTTACTTGACATAGGTTGCCTAGAGAAAGCGCACAGCTCCAGCTTGTAGCTTGTCAATATTTATTTTAACTTCGATCAGGGCCGACTTCCTTTCGACTCTCTTCCCTTTCTTTCACATTTCATTCAAACAGCTCACACCTTTCTTTCATCTTGCCAATCGATCAATTTAGCATTGGCAATTCCTATCCATTCAATTGATTATTTCACCTTTTATACAAAACAAGAAAAAGTTTTCGCAACCCTTACCAAAGTTCTCAATTAGCTCTGATTACATCATGCCACCCAGAAAGAAGGCTGCCAAACCTCCCCCGCCGCCGCCATTGGATGGCTGTAGTATTGCAATTAGCGGCACAATACCTGGATACACCCAATCGGCTATCGAGCGAGACTTCATCACTGTTCTCGGTGGATCTGTGGCCAAATCTGTCACGGCATCGACTACTCACCTTATCACCACAGAAGCGGATTATAAAAAACCTTCAATCAAGGTCAAGGCTGCACAATCCCACAATGTACCCATTGTCAGTTTTCAATGGCTCGAGGATACATTAAGCCAGATGACTTTGATGACCGAAAATGCTTATGGCTTCAATTCTACCCAAACTACACCTCAGGCTCAGTCCCAGTCCCAGTCTCAGCCTACCCATACCAGCGGTACCCGAAAGCGTACATCGACTCAAAAACCTGCAGATGATACTGATGAAGAAGCGAAGCCTCAGGCTAAGAAGAAAACCAAGTCTTCAAAAGCCAAGCCTAAGAAAGAGGAATCCCAGGAAGCAAAGGAGCCTGAGGAATCTAGGGAGTCCAAGAAGCCTAAAGAGGCCAAGGAACCAAAGGTCGCTGATGGCCAGATTGCCAAATCCCGGGATGTAAGGATCCCTCTCGACGAAGGTGCTGACAAAGGATTCGCCAACTCCGAGGTCTACATCGACGAGGATGGAGTCATCTACGATGCCTCGCTTAATCAGTCCAACGCCAGTGCCAATAACAATAAGTTCTACCGAGTCCAAGTACGAAACCCTCAACTCCATCAAGCGTAATGATATACTGATTAAGTGCTTAGATACTCCGCTCTGTCCCGGGAACCTTCCGCGTTTGGACTAGATGGGGTCGCGTCGGCGAGCGTGGCCAGTCAAAGCTTATTGGCAATGGAACCCTAGAAAATGCTCTCCGCGAGTTTGACAGCAAGTTCAAAGGAAAGTCCGGTCTTTCTTGGGCTGACCGTACCGAGCCTCCGAAACCCGGAAAGTACGCCTTCATTGAGAGAAACGTAAGTGATTTTACTATTTACCCTCTTTTCATCTTAAGGAAGGCCAAACACCTGTTTCCATATCTCGAAAATGTGTAGCCCTACAAATAAGTCTTGATTAACGGAGATAAAATATTCTCATGAACATTTCACAATGTCGTTTACTAACTCTGCGGCACTTTAGTATGAATCAGATTCAGACTCGGAAGATGATGACGCGAAAGACACGAAAGACGGCATTGTTAAAGAAGAGCCAAAAGAAGAGCCCAAATCCAAATTATCGAAACCGGTCCAGGAATTAATGAAACTCGTCTTCAATCAAGAGTATTTTGCTGCAACAATGGCTGATCTTAATTATGACGCCCATAAACTCCCACTTGGGAAGCTTAGTAAAACCACCATTACTAGGGGGTTTCAGGCGCTCAAGGATCTGTCAGCTCTTCTAGACGATCCATCGTTGGCCACTTCACAGTATCAAACCAGCTTTGGCGAAGCGACAGAACAATTGTCAAATCTGTTTTTCACCCTCATTCCTCACGCCTTTGGACGGAGCAAGCCACCTGTAATCCGAGACTCGACCACCCTCAAAAAGGAAATAGAACTTCTCGAGAGTTTGGGAGATATGAAGGATGCATCACTTCTCATGAAAAACGAGAAGAAAGAAATGATTAATGTGCTAGACCGACACTACCAAAGCTTAGGAATGGACGAGATGACACCACTCGACAGCAGCAGCTCGGAGTTCATGGGATTAAAGCAGTACTTAATGGATACTCGAGGAGTAACCCATTCCGCCAATTACGAAGTATCTCAAATCTTTAGAATTGAGCGTCAAGGAGAAAAGAACCGTTTCCAGGCCGCACACACCGATACCAGAGATCGACGATTACTATGGCATGGCTCTCGTTGTACCAATTATGGTGGTATTTTATCGCAAGGTTTACGAATAGCGCCACCCGAGGCTCCAGTATCAGGTTACAGTATGTCGTCACATCCCCTTTTATTATTATGCTCCCCATTTCCCCACAAGCAGCAATGGATCCCACGGTGTAACAAGACTTTGCGTTGTATGCTAACGTGTCACAGTGTTCGGAAAGGGCATATATCTGGCGGATATGTCCAGCAAGGTAAGTACCTGCAGCATTCGGGAATCGAGTCTAATATTAACATTCTATCTAGTCCGCCAACTACTGCTATGCAGGCATCAGTAATGGTCATGCGCTCCTTCTCCTTTGCGAAGCTGAACTTGGAGACCCCATGCAAAAACTTACCGGCGCCTCATATAGCGCCGCCGAGGATGCGAAGAGCCAAGGTATGCTCTCGACCTTGGGCCAGGGATTAACCGGACCAAGCGTGTGGAAGGACGCAGAATGCATCCATCCATCTCTAAAGGGCGTGAAAATGGTAAGACGATGCCGACCTCCAGTATCATTTTGGTTATTAACAATTGTCTCCTTTAGCCCGATACCACTACTCCACCCAATAACACCAACGTGCCCAACGCGTACCTTCTTTACAACGAGTACATCTGCTACGATGTCTCCCAGGTCCGCCTGAGATACTTGTTCCGGGTCAGGATGTAGGGCACTCCGGTCCAGTGATTCAACACCATATCTCTTAGTGATCTTGGGCAATTTTCCACCTGTGGCTTTTACTGTTTCACCAGAATTTCATCCCAACTAAACCGGATGGCTTTATCTACGCCCCGATTTAGCCAACTTTAGATTTGTTTTTCGCGCGATGATCAAGGCCTACATATTCGGTCTCTTACGAACAACTTAGGTAGTCCAAAGGATCCTATGATGGGATATAGGGTCGGGATGGGGATAATGTTGCACATGAAGATTACTTTAATAATAGGCCACTTTTCCAGTCCAAATCCGGACTGCGAAAAGTGTCTGCTTGATTGCTATATGATTGATGAATGCATATAACAATACTGGAATTCTCGTGCCATTGTGAACCTCGCGAAAAGTGGGCAATTTAAATGCATCTTATATGTGTCAGTGTCCCTCGTCCCAACTACCTACCTAGGTAGGTACCTAGGTATTCATTCATAGTATCACTGATAAACCTACCAGCGCGCGGATCTCCCGACTTAGATAAGGTACCCAGGAAGCAAACACCACCAGGTCGTGACAGCGCACCAGGTCTACACACTAACTTACTTTTTTTTCTTTTTCTTCCTAGCAATTTTCCTCTTCATATAACACTCATACAAGCCTAGCAAGAGGGGAAAAAGGCCAAAACAACATAAGCATACAACATGTGTTCATCACCCTCCAAGTCAAGAGCCCATACGCCGGGCACCATTGCGACACTGGCGAGCTTGCCCTTCGAGATAATTACTCTTATCGCGTCCAATGGAATATTTTCGCGACAAGATTGGAAAGTGTTGCGCCTCATTTGCTGCTCCTGGGAACAACCCGTAGCAACTCTCCTTTTTCAGCGCATCGGTATTTCCCGTCTTGTAAAGGACCGGATTGCCTTTGAACAAATCGCCGCGCATCCACACCTTGCCAAACATGTAAAATGGATCGTCTGGTATGAGCCTCGCCTAGAGGATTGGAAATCCAAACCCACAACATTTGATAATTATCAATTTCTGTCGGATGCCATGCGTGATCTGGATCTATTCTGGCTGTCGACGGAAGAGGTGGTTGATACTCGGCAGCAGGAGGATCGTAAAAATATCATCGTCACCTTTCTAAATCAATTTTCCGTAGCACTGGATCGAATGCCCAAACTAAACACCCTCGTTTCATGCGCCTTACCAAAAGACAGAATATTCCCTCATAAAGGATCCGCTTACAAAGGATATGATTATCCTCAATATATCGGTGACCCTTCCATTTATACAGGAGTCACGGGCAATACTACCGACTTCTTTACATCCACTTTGTTTATATGGATGAATCGAACAACGCCCGAAACCTATCTTCTAAGCCAACTGAACGAGAGACTTTGGAAAAACCTCCCGCCTAAACTCGATCCTCAATACACTTTCAGTACGCTCACATCTATCGAGTTATACATCGACCCGATTGCTGCAGGGTATCTCTCGGTACTTATACCATGTCTATCCGCAGCAAAAGAGTTGAGGAAATTATCATTACATATCTGGACATGCAGTGAAGACATGGAATTGGTCGCGATACAAATTTTTCAGCGGTGCTATTGGCCTAAGTTGACGTCCCTTTCGCTCAGCGGTCTTAGGTTATGGAAAACTCCTCAAATCGCCCTTTTTCTCAGAGAACACAGGCACCACTTGCGACGCCTCATATTTGACGGGATTATCATCAGGACCCCATATTTGATCATGCTGAGAGACTACTCAAACCTTCAACTGGATTATATTGCGCTCATCCATATCTGGCCCCTTGAAACTGCGGTGTCTAGGGAAAACGTCCTTGCTTTCCTCGATAGGACAACTGCTGAAATCGTCGACGAGAACGGTGATGTGAAACCCTATGCTGAGGAAATACATACGGAAAAATTCGTCCGTCCTTCTCGGGCCCGTCCTACCGCGGCTACGATTTACGACTATCGCGATTGGCATTTGATTGACTAGAGATTTACTCGAATGAGTGAAGACTCTAGGATGCAGGGGGGAAACAGTGGTTATTGACTTCGGATGGCGATAATGCGATGTTTTTTCCAATTGCGTGGTTGGAACATTCGGTTGGGGGTTGACAAGGTGGTGTCGATGGTGGGAGGGTGGGCTTTATAGGCGGTATTTTCTCAGCCCTTTTCAGGGGGTAAACCCACTACCCCGCGTCAACCAGGGTGCCCTGGAACGGAACATTCAGGCCTTACCCAGGTACCTGGTGAAGAGACCATAGGTACATATAGGTCAATAATTTAGCTAGATGTTATTATGGCAAGACACAACTACCGGCGGTGAAATTATTGAATAAACCTACGTGAAGATTTCAATTATTTAGCGAAACTATGATTTAAGCATGACCCTTCTCTCTTAAATGCAAGGGGGGAAGGAAAGTACCTGTGGATAGGTTCGGTGCCTCCCAACGGCATATAAGGCGGATGCCACGGATCCCCTCAGCCCGAAGTCCCCTTGTCTCACCCCTCTCTGTTTGTCGCTTACATTTCCATCCACCCAACACATACGCCTAATTATACACACTAGATTCTTCATCATTCTACGACTGAATTGGCCCATCGTGAACATGTCCACACCTTATGAGCTCATATACGTATGTACCCAAAATACGAAATTTCTATACCCCTTTTTTAATAACATTTAGACTGGGTTACCCAGAGGTGGTAGACCCGGAACCACACTACGCCCCCCGAAAGTAACATTGGCTAATTCTCATCACCTCAGTGGAAAGGAGCACCGGCTCGTGGAGAACACATCCGACTTTGCTTCGAAGAAACTGGAACACCTTATTCCGATACGGCCAGGCTTGAGAATTGCAATGAGATTGTTCCTCAGTATATAAAAGCCGATTATCTCGGGGATAAGAGCACCCCTCCTTATTACGCGCCCCCTTTGTTCAAGCATGGCGATTTGATGATTTCGCAGACGAGTAATATTCTTATGTATGGTGAGTAAATTTGAGAAAATTCTAGTCAATTGAGTGGTTACAGCTTATTTCCGGGTTTCTTACTTGTCTAATTTGTAATATTATAGTGGCACCTAAGATCGGACTTGCTCCGAAGACAGGCGACGATATTTATAAGTTGAATGCACTCGCCCTTACTGCGCTCGATGGGTTGAGTAATGAAGTGCATGATTGCCATCATCCTATAGCCCATGATCTGTACTACGAAGATCAAGTCGAGGAGAGTATTCGGCGCAGTAAGGACTGGGTTAAGTCGAGGTTGCCTAAGCATCTTGGGTTCTGGCAGAGGGTTATTCAGGGCGAATCTAGTGGGGAAGGCCCTTGGGTGTATGGGGGGAATTTGACTTACGTTGATTTGGTTCTATTCCAGGTAATTACTCCCCTTTGATATTGTCGCGATCTTTATTTTATTAGTGGGGTGTAACAATATCTAACGCATCCAGTGTATCGATGGTGTCTTATACGCCTTCCCAAGGGCTATGAAGGCAGCTAAAGAGTCAGGGAAGTATAATCGGGTCTTTGAGCTGTATGGTGCTGTCAAGGCTCGCCCGAGGATTGCTGGGTATCTCGCTAGTGAGAGGAGACAGGAGTATACTATTGGCATCTACCGTTACTACAAGGAGTTGGATGTGGTCGCGGAAGACTCGTCCTAAGATGAGGGACAGTCATGAGATATTTAGATAAAGAGGGAGAGAAGAATAGGTGATGTGAAAATCCAGGCCTGCCTAGTTAAGCTACCTAGGTGCCAATATTTAGTGGCACTTCCACGGTAATCTAGGTGTCTACACAGTTAGGTGTAAGACGGGTTTAGGCTTCGAAGGGCCCTGTAACTCATCGCCAACAAGTGAACCTAGGTACATACTATAGCCCCTATCCTACGGGTATAAGCACTACAGGCTCCTAGAATATTGAGGTCTGATTGGTTGAAACACTGTGCGACATTCCGTAAACAGTATATATTTGGCTTCGGCTAAACTCCGATTGGCTATTTCAAGGTAAGAAGATGATACATCCTTCTCAACACAAAGAAAATTGGTAGACGGAGATAATAGATGTATTTTGGAGCTGATTTAGTGCTTGCTAGGAGGTTTGAATCCGGAAGTCCCGCCAACAATGTCTTATTGGTCGATGTCTTCCCCCTCCCGATCCTCAACCAACACCAATACCCTGGCCAGCTACTAGGGCGTTGGATGGGATTGTCGGGAAGCAAGGGCCGATGGTTAAAACATTCTTACTGCGCCATGTATTCGTTATAGTATTTTCTACTTCCTTTTTTGACAGAATCTGTATACAGGAACCTGCTCAATAAGACCCTCCATCTGAACGATGACGGAGCCTATTTGTGTATGGCTAACGCCGACAATTCCTAATCCATGGAAGGTAGTTCTTATTCTCAATGAACTGAAAGTGCCTTATGAGATTAGGTCATTCCGTTTTGACGACATCAAGAGGAAGCCGTTCATTGACCTCAACCCTAATGCTTCTGTCCCTGGTAGGCCTTGATACTCAGTTGATGTTCTTACGCGAACTGACTAATAATACAAGCTATCGAGGATCCAAACACCGGGGTTGCACTATGGGAGTCAGGCGCTATCATCACATATATCATCGATCAGTACGATAAGGATTTGACCCTGACTTATTCAAATGACCGGCTCCAAGATAAGCACGCTTTAAACCAGTGGCTTCATTTTCAGATGAGTCTACAGGGCCCTTTTTTCCACCAGGCCGGATGGTATGCTCCCCTTAACCCACTTCAGCGCATCTGGAACCTAATATACCCAGGTTCAACTACCTACACCCAGAGAAAATCCCCTCAGTTCAAGACCGCTTCAACAGCGAATGCAAGCGGCAACTCAGCGTCCTCGACGGTGTTCTCGAGGGAAGAGACTGGCTCGTAGGCGAGAAAATGACATACGCGGACCTATCTTTCGTGCCTTGGAATGATATCCTGCACCAGTGCACCCCCATGGCGCTAGAGGATCGGTTCAAGGAGTTTCCGAATGTTAAGGCTTGGCATGAGAGGATGACGGCAAGAGAATCTTGGAAGGCAATTGCGGAGGCGAGGAAAAGGGCTATGGAGGAGCAAGATTTGGCTTGGACGGGTATGCCGCGCGGTATGCCGACGTACAAGGAGTATTTGGATAAGATTGGGAAGGGGGAGGATACTAGGGCTAAAGATTAGGGGCGTCAATGTTGATACTCATCAAAAGGTAGTTAGCTTCATATTAGACATCACGGTTTTAATGTGAAAAGAGGGAATACAATGGCAATATGTAGTGTTCGGTGGTATCTATTTGCTCCTGGTCTATATATTCCTCGACTTTATCTATCCTCCTATCTTGGAAGATTTAACCCTAACGCCAGAGCACCGTACGCCGCACCCATCCCGTGTTCAACCAAACGGATCCCAGTAATCAATTCCTCCTGGGCGCCGAAGAGGATATATCCTTATATAATATCGCAAAACAATCCCAGTAACCTCTTTAACCCCGAACCTAGCACAGACTAGTATCTACTCGCCGTGAGTAAGCAAGTAGTTATTAGCGATGACCTTAAACGAGCGGCTATCCTCGAGGTTCTTATATACCAACCCCTCTCTCTTCAGCCCATTATTATCCGTTCCCTCGGCTCGCTTAAGAAGATCGCTTTGGTTCTTTGCGATCTCATGAATTCGCACTTTTCCAAGGATAGGTACGTGTTTAAGTCCGAGTTGTTGTGCCCGTGCCACCGTCACGTCTGGGTGGATATATTTCTGGTTGTCGATGTTGAACATAGAGTATACGTAAAACTCGTATTCCCCTTCCTTGAATTGGTGTCGGTTTTTGTTGATCTTCCAGCCGACGAGTTCGCCTTGAATAGCTATATTTAGACCCACGTTTTCGAGTTTTTGTGGGAGTTTGTACTTTAACGCGATCTTCCAGAATTCGCTGCCGCCGAATTCGTTTAAGTCCAAGTTCTTAGTGCATACGCCGACCCGGCCGTGTTCTAGTTCCGCTTTGGTATTTGCGGGTAGAACAGGGAGGGACTTATAAAACTGTGAGTTGTTCCTCACGTAGTATACCGACATCGAAGATCCGTCCATCTTGACGGACTCTTGGAAGACCGCATTAGCGTACTTATCCGTGAAGAGGGTCTTCACGTTTTGTACGCGCTCGAGGTCCGTCTTAGGAAAAAACGCTGGGAGCGACCCCAAGGATTGACCCGTTAGACCTTGAGGCAACTCCCACTTCTTAACTCCGAGCGTCTCTGCGAAGCACATATTCATCCAAGCCATATTGCCGTCGTGGGCACCTAGCTTGAATACCAACTCCGAATAAATGCTCTCAAACTCGGGAAACGCGTTGACTTTAAGAATTACGCCTTGTGATATTTCCCGGCTGTGGTTGACCATCATCGACCTCACGTGGATGCCTTTCGATCCTTGCCAATTTACAACGACGTTATGGAGAGGATTATGCTCTCGCCCATATCGGCTGTCGACTTCGGGGGACGGGAGAAATGAGTCGATCTCGAAGAAAAGAACGGTTTCGCCGACCCTAAACTCTTCGCTCTTCACTGCGCAGGTCCAGCCGTCGACTTCCGCAATTTGGAAGCGAGGTGAACCAGGGATTGGCCGGAGGTTGGCGATATCGCGAACGGTCACTAATTTGCGTGCCATTCTGAGTGGATGATATTCTTTTAGGGTGAATATCTCGAAATGAAGTTTGTGGTATATATATAAGAATCTTTAGTGATTCGGGAATTTAATTCGTAATTGTCTATTTATTGAGAACAATGTTAGCAAATTCGGACTCGTGTCCACGGATATGTCTACGTAGACTGAGCAATACACGTCGGATACAGATCCGATTATATGTATCGTGGTGTAGATATGCATGTGTTGAGATTAGTGTACTTACCAAGGACGATGCAGTTGACCGAGAGTCGGTTAATTTTTGTGACGTTAGGAATGATTAGAAAGGTAGGAGTGGAAGTGAATGACAGCCGCGAATTTATATAGCGGGATGGCATGTTCGTTAAGGGCTAGAGTAGTAGAAGGCTGTGCGTAATTGTCGAGTCAATTATTGTTTGGTAAAAAAAAGGGGTAAACGAAATATTAGTAGTGAATCAAGCCACTCCATGATCACGCGGCCTGATAACAAAGTTCAATTATAGAATTAAAAGGCTATTGTTGTCCATGCTAACAATCAAAATGTACTATAAAATTTGTTTGTTTACTGAAAATAGGTAAGTGCTGACGGAAGTACTGGATAAGGTTATGCATTGAGAGGCGGGATGAGGAAGAATACCTAGGGAAGGTAATATACCTAGTAAAGTACCTAGACAGAGTTACCAATAATATTTTAGCATTGTTTGAACTTTACTGTACGTGTTTGTGTCGAATAGAAGAGCATAGGTCAAATGACTTTATATACGCCGTGTGAGATTCAGGGGTAATGCCATCTTAGGGGCTGTGGTTACCTCGCAACCACTATCGTAAAGGATGAGCTAAATCACCCAATGGATATTTGTATAGTACCTATCAGGAAGAGAACTCTACAGCGAGTTGCTATGGAAATAGACGATGTTTAGATAATATACCAATAGTACTATGAAGTTTGAACTATTATGGCGCCAGCGGCTCGCGGGCGAAAGCCACTACATAAGTTTAAGCTATTCTGTGGGATAATCGTGAAATTGAACTTAGAATCGGAAATAGGAAGGAAATTAACTGTCTAAATGAACGACACTAGATAGAAAGTTTGGGATTCGTCTGTTTGTAGAGTGAGTCTGTCAGGATCTGGGAGGCAGCTGACGGTAGAAGACAAACATATTGGGAACAAGGTTGTTTCCGCGTTCATTACCATCTAGCATGACTTGCTAATATAATGTGGCGTGATTTTAACTATGTGTGTAGACAAGACTGTTAAGTCACTGGTAGTTTGATGGCGACTCAGCTACTGCCATATTTCTTCTGTACGTTGGATGATACAATTCGCTAAGATCACAGGTTTGAACCAAAGGAGCTAGAGTACAGACAGTAGTAATGTGAACTACCTACTAATTATAACCTATGGAATGTACAATATCGAATTTCTCGTAAAGACATTTGAAGGCTGCATTATGCTGGCATTAATAAAAAAAAAAAAGAACCCATTGCATTCGCCCTTTTGACGGCCCTAACTCGGGCATGCATGATGAAGAACGCCATTGCTTCCCATGGTTTGCCGATGGGGGTGCTGAAATTCAGGAAAAAAAAAAACGCCCTCTCCCTATGCAATTTCCATCTACGTGAACCATGTCATTAAGGCAAACACGAACGGGATGGACAGCGAAAAATTGCTACCATCAAAGAAGAAAAAAATCTGCGCCGGATATCCCAATCCGTTTGTAGATAGAATAGTCCTGGAAATCACCAGAGAAACTTCCTAACGGCCGGAGCCGAGTCTTCGCTTTCGCTCCTCCTTCTCTCTCTTGAGCTTCTCCTCCAACGCCTGCTCTCGTTTATCTTCTTCACGTGCTAGTAACTCCGCTCTTCGTTCCTCCACATCGATATCTGATAGACCTGCTTCCATATCACTGGATCCATCAGAATCGTATTCATAACGGGGTCCGGCTTCATCATCGTCGTCATAATCGATGAAATCGTCCATCTCATCATCGTATTCATCTTCAAAGCGATCCCGGCGGCTTTGTTTCGGAGGCGCCAGAAGCCCACCAGACCCATGACCCTTCCTGGATGCGGATGACTTACCGGAGGCTGCACCGGGTCGAGGGCGGGCAGTTCCGGTGTATCCTGTGGTAGCCGTTGCAGATTTCTTGATTTTCTTTTCAGGAGCATCACCCCCTGATGAACCAGGTCTAGGCTTACCACTTCCTTTGGCAGCATTCGAAGCGCCGTTCTGACTTGTGCCACGACCCGCTGGTCCGGGTCTTGCACCTCCACGAGCAGAAGCGACAGACGGTCTGCTGTTTCCAACGTAAGACTTGCCATCCTTGCCCTTCGCTATACTGGATTTCCGATCTCCCTTTGTAGGGATTTCCTTCTTTCCTTTCTCGATAGACTTATGCTGGATAGATCCAACTTTAGCATTTAATGCTTGAGCTCTCTTGGCTCGCTCCATAATCTCCTGAAAGGATCCCTTCTTGGGCGCCTTGGATGGATCTGATGCAGTCGGGGTTGTAGGCGATGACTTCGCAGGAGCTACTCTAGAAGCGGCTGCTAGAGCTCCTGCACTGAGTTTTGGCCGGGTATTAGAATTCTCGGATGATGGCTTGGGTTGAGGGACGGTGGATGCCGGCCTGCCATTTGAAGCTGAAGCTGTAGTTGTCCGTTGTCCGTTTGGTATGGGAGGTACATATCGGCCATTCGTCGCGGGCGAATTTGTACGATGTGGCAGAGATGCAGGCTTGATGGATGTGAAGGTTGTGGTTTTCGGTCGATCAGCGTTATCGCCCCTTATATCGCGGGTCGGTTTAGTTGTGGATGGTCCATCTTGTTGCTGCGATTTGAGACTCTTGACGGATGTCGCAGAATTTGCATCATCTTCTGCCTTGCGCTTACGACTGGATGATGTTGGTGTCTTGGACTGTGGTACGGGAGATGGATCCCCGCCAGAAATCTCCGCGAGGAGATCGCCGATCTGTTTGCGCGAAGGCGTTAGAACCGAGGTTATCACAACGAAAGAAGAGTTGAAAGAGGACACATACCGGCATTATGGCGAGATTTTCTGGACTCTAAGAAACAGGAGAGCCTGTAGAATTCGATTTGGTTGCCGTCAGGAGCATATATAGTGCCCGAGGCGTCATAAAGTAGTGGGCTGTGTCATGTGCGATGACTCTATTTTGTCCGTGAATGAATTGCGACGTTGGAATGATTAGCGTGAAGATGGGGTATATCGGCCGAGTAAAGCGATCGTAAATCGAGATTATAAAAATTTCGGAGATGGAACGTATAGAATTAACGAAAGCGGTGGGTGGTCGAGCAACAAAGAATGCGGGTATCTAGAGGATTGTTGGATGCAAATGGGCAAAATGAACAAATGGTGGTGACGATAAGAAGTCTGGACAGAGAAAGAAAGAAAGTCTCGTGCCGTTCCGCTCCTAACAAAAATTGTACCAAATGGCCAAGTACACAGTACATAGTTACTTCCAAATCTTTCCAACCTTCTGGAGCCTGATTGAGTTTTAGCAAACAGCTGGTTGTGGCTGAGCTACGTCATTTCAACACTTTCATTCGCCATTAATTTTTAAGGTAAATTGTTAAAGCCACATTGATAGTGGGGTGGAAGCAAAGTTGTTTTATTGGAGGGTCGGCGATTCTCAAGGGTGACCCTAATCAGGTGATAGGCGAGGACCCACCTTCTCTCTAATCTGCCCACGGTCAATTCTGGACGCACCAAAATTCTACGGAAACTTTTCTGGCCGAAACAGTCACAACTTCTCAACTTTTCAATCTTGTCAACACCCGAACTTCCCACAGAACTCGAAGGCTCAGTCTCCGCCCAAAATCGCGGTTAAATCGATTGATTTCTCGTGTTCTTCTCATCTCTTGTAAGTTAATTTACCTCTAACATTTCCCATTTGCGCCTCGATACTTTTTGCGACGCTGTCAGCTCGAGACTTGTGGGCGCAATTCAACCGAAGTTGTCGCAAATAATACCTACGCAAAAAATCACCAAAGCTAACCAAATACCACCCCTGCGCAGAACAACAAATCTACAAAAATGAAGCACCTCGCAGCTTACCTTCTTCTCGGCCTTGGTGGCAACACCTCGCCTTCCGCTTCCGACGTCAAGGAAGTCCTCGAGTCCGTCGGTATCGAGGCTGACGACGAGCGTCTGGAGAAGCTCCTGTCTGAGCTCGAGGGCAAGGACATCAACGAGGTTCGCTATCCCGCTACTACGATACTACGAGAATGGAACAATTGGACTGACAATATGGTTTTATAGCTGATCTCCGAGGGATCTGGCAAGCTTGCCTCCGTTCCTTCTGGTGGTGCTGGTGGCGGTGCTGCTTCCGGTGGTGCCGCTGCTGGTGGTGCCGCCGCCGCTGAGGAGAAGGCAGAGGAGAAGGAAGAGGGTATGAGCCAATATTATTTCTTTCTGGTTTTGGTGGTTGCAATGCTAACATATTTCTACAGAGAAGGAGGAGTCCGACGAGGACATGGGCTTCGGTCTTTTCGACTAAGCGAATATCGCAAACGGTTATGTCAACGAAGTCAACGGTTTTTAGGGAAGTGGCACAAAAATGGACTGGTGTGGTGGTCTGGCATGGTATTCGGCGGCGTGGAATGGTCTGCGTTTGATCGACTAGGGCATCTAGAAACGGCTAAGGCAAAAATACAGTCCTGCTTCTCTGAATTTTCGTTTTCCGCTTTTTCCTCCCCGAACTGATGTGATAATGTGTCCCTGATTTCTCGAATTTCTAAACTTACTGCGGACTTTGCGATACTCTTATATACATCGCGATACTTGTCCAGGATTGTACATGATCCAGTTGATCATTACGTTACTGTAGGTTCCTTATGGGGATTCAATGCGAAATGAATATTTCGTAGCGTTTGGGCGTAGCTTGCTTATTAAATTCCACATCTATCCCTACGTACCTGAATGCAGCCTGTTGACTTCCCAAGGTTTGTGGAATGCTCAAGTGCTTGGAGGGGCATTGCGGAGTGCATTATCTTGGGCTTATGCATTGTTATCTATACGATTTGCATAAACATGTTGCATAAGGCTGGTGGTATCGATATGAAATCTTAGCGTTTGACTAGCGCATGATGTGATTGGTTACCGGTAGTGAAATGCTACCGTTGCTCCTGGCAACGAGGGTAAAAACGAAAAAAGACGCCAAGCCATTGGAGCCGGGATCTAATAGACCAAATTCCCCAAGAAACATTTCCTTCCTGTCATACCTTCAACGCGCCAATTACTTTTGCATTGCAACGCCCTATTCTTCCAATCTTGCTACTAATCTGCAATTGTTTTGGACAATGACCTGCTTCGACACGTAGAACATCCATTATTTTTTCACCAAACTAAATACCAATTCGACGCGCTGTAGCCCGCTTGCTTGCTTCCTTTGCGTTGTCTCGCTTTATTTCCAAGCTCCATTGCTCCATACGCCCTACTCCATACTCATACATATAATATTTACAATAACAACCAACCAAACATTGATGATAATGTCTACCGCTTCACCCACGCCCTCTGGGTCGAATTCCCAGTCGGCTGCTGTTGCAAGAAAGTCTTCGCTACGTTCGGGTTTAAGGAGAGTTCCAGCTAGACCTCAAGTTAGCCGCGCAGAATCGAATCCAGTCCCATCAACAAATGGTGCCAAATCGCAATTTGCTGGGAACGATAGTTCCGACGACGAGATACCTGTGCCTATGAAGCTCAGTGCTCTTACGAAAGCTCTTCTCAACGATGGGGGAGCTGAGCCCGAACGGGATAATGGTCGCATTAGAACTCGAGCCCAAAGCCATCGACCATCATCGCCGGTCCATGCCGAACAAGAAAAACCCATTAAGCGACGCAGTGTTTTGAACACCTCGATAGCATCAATTGGCGAAGAGAGGAGACATACTCGTGCTAGCAGTGCACAGCTATCTTCCCGACCGACATCACCCGTCAGGAGTCAACCTAGTCGAGAGAGCAGTCCCGTCAGAAAACGAGTGGTTCGGTTGAGTGCTGCTTCGGGTAATTCTGCCGCTTCCCAAGTCAAGCCCATCAAGAGGAGGTCAACATCGCTTGCTACCTCGCAAAACAAAAACCGCCCTTCAAGTCGAGCTGATAGTGTACCGGAGGAGAAGGGTAACAATTCAGAGATCAAGGATAAGGACTTGAATACACCCGCTCAGCAGGGTCGCGTGGTCAGAATTGCCGTCAATTCGTCGGGCAATCGGGGTCGTACCGGATCATCGGCCGTGTCTTCACGACAAAACGATCTTGCTTCATCATTCCATTCTCACGCTGCGCAGTCCGATGAAAATGATGCAGCTGAAGTTCCTCAAACTGCTCCCCGACAGCAGGGAAATTCCAACCCGGGCAGTGCTTCTCGGTTAGGTTCCAATGGAACTAGGAATCGCAGTGAAGAGAATCAAGCAGTGCAGAGCTCAATGCGCGTAAAGAGAGTAGGAAAGGTCCCCGGCAGCTTTCTTAGCGGTCCGGCGCGCCGAGGACGAAGAAGACAAAGTGAAGAGGATGCCGAAAACGAAGGGGAACCACTCCAATCTAGCCAGGATCCCGACAGACCACAAGATCCTAATGACTACGAACCCGCAGATAACCTTGTATCATCTTACTATGTACCTGACCGTCTCGCCTCAGGAAGCCCTGTTAGTGCTAAGAGCTCCTCGAGGGCTTCCCATAGGAGAGAAGTGTCCTCAGTTGCTGCTGATGAAGTGCGTGTCCCACGCTCGCGACAGACCTCGCCAGAACACGATGAGATTCCAATTCCACATTACCGTATCCCGCCTCCGAGGCCAGAAATGCCCGCAAGACACGACCAAGAAAATGAAGCTCCTCCGACCTTCAAGAGGAACAAGGTTCCATCAGGGAGCTTCCTAGATAAGGAAATCCCTAAAATTCCAGCCCGCCCTTTGAGCGCTGCAGAGGTGGGTGGCCTGCGACCTACCTCACCCGAACGTAAGGCATTAAGTTCTTTGAGCCAGAACACGCCTCGTAGGGCAGCCCCAGCACCCCCGCCCAAAATGTCCATTCTCGAGGCCGCTACGTCTACAGCTGGCGCAGCGACCACAGCTCAAGGCGCAAAGCGACGAAACTATATGAAGGTTAACGGCAAATGCTATACGAGAATCGACTCCCTTGGCCGTGGAGGAAGCGGAAAGGTATACCGCGTTGCGGCCGACAACGGAAAAATGTTTGCGTTAAAACGTGTATCCATAGAAGGTGCCGACGAAAGCACTGTCCGAGGCTACAAGGGCGAAATCGATCTTCTACAGAAGCTGAATAAGGTGGAACGTGTCATTACTCTATATGACTACGAAATGAATGAAGAGAAACAGATCCTCAGCCTGGTAAGTATCATACATACAATTTTCTTGACTTTTGGATAGTATGGCTGACTAAACTGCTCTATTTAGCTTATGGAAATGGGCGAGTTGGACCTTAACACGCTCCTACGCCTCCGACTCTCGCCTGAGAATGCTCGCTTCGATCCAGTCTTTGTCAGGTACTACTGGCAAGAAATGCTTGAATGTCTGGCATCAGTGCATGAGTACGATATCGTTCACTCAGACTTGAAGCCAGCCAACTTCGTACTAGTTCAGGGTCGTCTGAAGCTCATCGATTTCGGTATCGCAAACGCGATCCAGACAGACGAGACTGTCAATGTACACCGCGAGACCCAGATTGGTACACCCAACTACATGAGTCCCGAGAGTTTGATCGACTCTAACGCAACTGATGCTGCTGGACATCGTGTTGGGTCTGTCGGTAATCCGCCCCGACCCAAGCTTATGAAGCTTGGAAAGCCTAGTGATATATGGAGTTTGGGATGTATTCTATACCAGATGGTCTACGGCACGCCACCTTTTGGTCACATTCCCAATCAGATGGCCCGTTGCCACGCCATTATCAACTGGCAATACGACATCGAATACCGCAGTCATGGCGTAGGAGGCACGGCCGTACCCCCGAGTCTGATAAGAACGATGAAGAGGTGCTTGAACCGCGACCAGCATATGCGCCCGACATGTGCGGAATTATTATCTCTTACAGACCCATTCCTATACCCCGTCGAGACGCCGGAGGGTGCCTTACCTATCTCTGAAGAGCTGCTAGGACGTATTATCCAGAGTGTCGTAACACGCTGCCGGGAGCGCATGCCTACCGAGGCCGAGGCCCTTAGTGTGTGGCCTCAGGCTTACTGGGGCAGTGTTGCAAAGGCTGTCGGCAGGGAGGTAGCGGGGTTTTCTTCGTCGGTTTCGAGGGCTTCGCCTGATTCTCAGTCGAGGTAGCAATAAGATTATTCAAAGGGGAAAACCATAGTATGATTTACGAACAGAAAAACGGCGGCGGAAAGAGAAAATTTGATGGGGAAGAGAAGAGAGAGGTGCCAACCTGCTCGCATACGATGCGTATGGCTGGATAATCGTCTAGGAGTGTTGGATTCCGTTACTGTGTTTTAAGGCGCCATATTCTTTCAAAGAAGGTGGCATCGTCCCATATCACCACGCAATATTCCCGTTGTTCTTTTCTGCGTCCATCAGCCACGGCGTTCAGGATACCGAGTTTAGGGTATGGGAGTTGATTCAAATCTGTTTCTGGCATTAGAAAGGAAACTATCCTTCCAACCAACCGATCGATCAGTTCGCGGGTGGATGGTGGTTTTCTCATCTCGATGTTTTTGTCTTAGCGAAAAATATCCCGCGTCGGTTTTATTATTATTATTTTTTCTTACGTCTTATGCGTTGTTGAGTAGAAAAACTTACTTTTTTAATGAGAGCTTCTGACGATCGTTTCATGACCTATTAAGATGATCTTTTTCACTGGTGAATGCCATAATAGTGTGAGGATTTAGGTGTATGATACAAGTGCATTTTCCGTCTATGTTCATCTTGTGAGGTTAACCAACCGAATAGTTCCTCTGCTTTTTAAGTTGATGTGATTTATACATGGAGCCTGCTGCCCCTGAACAAGCTCATATCTGTGATAAAAATACACCACGAGCCCCGAGCCACGAGTCCCTAGCATGTGCCAGCTACTCCATCACTACTCTTTAAGCGAGACTCGGAGACATCGAGAGGTGTAGGAGATCTAGCCCTCCCCGTCTTTCGTTCACACTCGTCGATCACTCCTCGCCTTCGATTCCTCCAAAGAGGAATCCCCCCCTCTTCCACCATCCTAGAAGCACAGATCTCCCTAAGAAGGCCCCAAAAGCTTCAACTCACTAATCCTCAAAATGGTATACCGATGCTTACTAGCCACCCTCCTTGAACGCCTATTCCGCCTCTTCGTCTTAACCTTGATACGCAAAGGCTCACTCTCGACGCCGAGGACTGTAGCGCGGCATTCGAATAATCCCGGGTCGATAATCGGTTTTCCGAGTAGGGTGTAGTCGCGGGAGCCTAGTGTTGAGACTCGATCTAGACGGAGAATGTCGCCGGGGAGAACACCTTTCATTAGGAAGGGTAGACGGATGCGGTCGCCTTCTGTGATTAGGTACGGCATCCCGTGGATTAGGATCGTGGCGTAGTGTGCCGGCTGGGCGCGGAGGAGGGGGAAGAGCTCCGCTACTGAGGTTGAGGTTGTTTGGTTTGGTGATTGGGAGGGGTGGGTTTGCAATGGTGGGGAGGTAGTTGGCGGTTTGGTAGGCGCTATTGGAGGGATGGTTGTTTGTGTGGGAGTGGACGTTGGTGGTATGGTTGGGCTGACATTGTCTGTGGTCGTCGTGGTTGTGGTTGCGAGGCCGCGAGCTCGGATTGGGAGGAGGAAAGTTGGTGGGAGGCGCGTGATGGGTGTGCGTAGCTCTAGGACGGAGCGGAGGAGTGAGCGGCTCATTTTTGCAACTCTAATCGTTCTTCCTCCTCAAATACGGTGCCTACTCGATGATTGAAGCACCTGCTTCGCAATTGGTCGAGTTGGTGATCTTCTCCGACACCTTCAAGTCTGGAGATATCAATTGAATGTGTGAAGGACGAAGAGGTCGAAAAGTTAAAGTGGAGACATGAGATTTTCCGCTCTGTGGAACAGCAGGGGTGGCTAGTGGATATCCGTGTGGCTGGAGCTTAAGAAATTTTGATAGTGGCGGGTCCCCAGCCGATAACAAATTAGTACTCCCGTAACTTTTTTTTCTATCTCTTGTCACCGACAACCTCGACACCTCCAGTGTCGTCGTTCGCAACTTTCACCAGATTTTCAATTGTGCACTCCTTTAATACTCAAATATTAAAATTGGAGCAAGAAATTTCTAATAATTAATTCAGAAGTCCCTTTCGAGGGCAAATCCATTCATCATGGTACGGTTTTTAATCCTTCCCGCTACCAAATTTAGCCGTACTGACATCTTAACGACAGCCTCAAAATGAGTACATGGAACGTTTCCGCAAGACCCATGGTCGCCGTCTCGATCATGAGGAGCGAATGCGAAAGCGCGAAGCCCGTGAGGGACACAAGGCCTCCAAGGATGCACAGAACCTACGAGGTCTACGCGCGAAGTTGCACCAGGCGAAGCGACATAAGGAGAAGATCCAAATGCGCAAGCAGATCAAGGCACACGAAGAGCGCAACGTCAAGTCTGCCGCCGAAAACGATCCCAAAACGCCTCTCCCTAACTATCTACTCGACCGCTCCAATCCTACCCAGGCCAAGGCGTTGAGTAGTGCTATCAAGAACAAGCGTGCCGAAAAGGCCGCCAAGTTCGCAGTACCCTTGCCTAAGGTTAGAGGTATCAGCGAAGAGGAGATGTTTAAGGTTGTCAACACTGGAAAGAAGACACATAAGAAGAGCTGGAAGCGTATGGTTACAAAGCCCACGTTTGTTGGACCGGACTTCACGAGACGGCCGGTGAAATACGAGAGGTTTATACGGCCTATGGGTTTACGGTATGTCTATCACTATCCATCCTAAATATGTTCCATGTTCCCCCATTCCTTCTACTACCATTAATATGATGACTACTTTACGTTATACCCAGCTCACTCAGACGCTAAATGCGGTTGCTGAGAACACGTATAAATGAACAAGATCTGATTTATTATACCCAATCACCTATCCCTACGTACCTGCCATCAAAAACTTCACTAGCTACTTGCCCTTAACATCGGTGCTAACCCTCGCGGGATTATAGATATAAGAAAGCCAACGTAACACACCCCGAACTAGGCGTCACATTACAACTACCCATCATCAGCGTCAAGAAGAACCCGCAACAACCCTTATACACACAACTAGGTGTACTAAGCAAAGGTACCATCATCGAGGTCAACGTTTCCGAACTTGGGCTTGTCACCGCCGGTGGTAAGGTCGCTTGGGGTCGTTACGCGCAGATCACGAATAACTGCGAGAACGACGGATGTGTCAATGCTGTGCTATTAGTTTAAAGCAAGCACCATATAACTATCACACTTCTAGCTACCCTTCTAGCAGAGGGGTGGAATCCGACTAACGGCATATACGAGAGGAAATGACCATTGGGACCGGTCAAGGGGGAGGTGGCTCTTCAAAAAAGGAGGAAAGGGGACGACGGATGATCCCCATCATGCAATACAACGGCGTCCGGTGTTTTGACGAGATTCATATTCTCATTGGTTGATGTTTATGGCGAAAGTCATTGTCAATAGGAAGGCCATATATTTTCCCGAACAAAAAGTAGATATCCTCTGCCGAATCAAAGCAAATTTGACGATTAACTCAATAAGAGAAGTCTGATGTAGAAGTACCCTTGCCACTATGGCCTAATGTTTCGACCTTTGGTGTCCAAAATAGCTTCACATAATTGGTGGTTATATCACCATGTACCTAAGTGCCAACTACACGTAATGGGAGGAAATGCATATAAAATGGTGAACGGCTCTAGGTATACGCCGTTAGAAGCTAGTCAAATATTAGTGTATGCTGCAAAAGTCATCACATATTTAGTTCAATGATAAGTTAAGATAACACTGATGGATTATATAAGGTATAATCATTAACTCAAGACACACTAAGGTATTTTAAATCCTATTCTTACACTCTACTACCTGTTCGAGGTAGTCAGGATTAAAACCTTGGACAACTTTGAAAAACTAACGCCTTTATCCGTCCTTCCTTTTGCCATCCCTACCTGACCTTACAAACCCTTTTTTAACCCTATCGGTATTAGGAAATCGCCTGTAAGTAAATCGGGGGAAGAGATGAAATGAATCATTCTGTGGAAGTTGAAGAACTTTCTCGCCGCATCCGAAACTCGAAGTCTTGTGAAAAAAGCTGCTGTGAAAGCTACATCCTACCAAGCAATTATTTTGCTCGAGTGACCGTACCAAAATGACGAAAATCAAAAACGCATAAACATGAAGCAAACTGGAATGCGGGAAAATTGGTGATCATAATCGTACTGCTAATCGGCAGAATCGGCGAAGGAAAATGATGATTGTGTTGCAAATTAGGTTGGATGGTGATGATTCCATCTCAGTTATTTATGAAGCGAGCAACATGTCGAACTAGTATCGATAACTCGTCTTCATTTTCCTTGGTGGATACTCATCCGTGAAAACAGCAAGTCATGCATGCCACACAGCAGCATTACGTGTTGATAGATCTCATCACATTGATAAGAAATTCATTGCTTTTGCGCATTGCAAAATGCCGGAAACCCGGATTCGGGAAATGGTTACTGTCTTTAGAATCTGGGCTTGCGGTACCGCGATATTCCGTCTGCGTTCTTGAGGTGTGCATATGGATTTGGAGGTAGATTCGCCTCTCCACCCGTAGTGGGGAGTGAAGAATGAACGGGGAGACTAGCTTTCTGTTCGGGGCGAGCAGGGGCTGGCTGAGGATCGTGTAGGCGTCCATTGCAACGCATATCCACAATGGTTTTGATTACCTCCATGTCGTCTTGATCTTTGTCATTTAAAAGAAGACGTTGCTTAAGAGTCATCTGCCCATTATTTCTAGTTCGTTCCTGAAGAGCAGCCTCACGAACAGCAGGGTCGTGTACGAATCGGCATTTGCCCTTCTTACCGCATATGCCTCCCGTAGAGTAATATTTGCAGTGGTTTGAAGGGTCAGCCCGTGTAATAGGCGGAGGGGGCAAGAATCCGGAGGTAGGCTTAGCAGTAGGAAGGGCTTCAGGCTTCTCATCATCTGATTCATCATCTGAAGACTCAGATCGCATCTCATCACCTTCGTCGTTAGGGGCACGTTTACGCTTCTCGATCTTGCGGTCAAGCTTCGCCAACCGCTTGCGTAGGCGATCCGCTTCTTTCTCAACTGGGTCAACCTCAACAGCGGCAGGTTCTTTATTGTCGTTGTTGTTAGACGCTTGAGCCAACAATCCAGACTCTTTCTTCTGTGCAATGCGAGCTTGGGTTGGGAAATTTGCTTTACGGGCTGCTATCCATTTTGCCACGTCACCATCAGGTATACTTATAAAAAATCAAATTAGCACATATATCGGACCACTATGCTGAATTAGAAAGCTTACCCAGGAGCATCGGCGCCAAGCAGCTCCACAAGACGCTTCTCCTCGTCAACGCCATCATCCGAATCTTCATCGCCTGGGGTTAGTCCCAGTGTGTTGGTCTTGCGCTTCTTCTTCTTCGCTGAAGCAAGATCAGACTTCTGATGAGCGAATGGCTGCGGTGCATGTGGCTTCTGATCACGATAGCGAAACTTCTCACCACGATCATTATTCAGAGAATGCGAAGACTTATTAGAATGAGCATGACCGCCACGACCATGGCTTCTATTGTTAGGTCCGTAATGAGTTTGTGGGGGTCCCGAGAACGACGGGGACGTGCTAGGGGGGTAGCCGTAAGTTGGCTGTGGAAGAGGTACTGGTGGTTGGTGATGTGTCGTAGGATAAGAGTTACGCGGAGGACCACTTCGATCACTCTGGTAACCACCACGCCCGCCACGACTTGAATACGAAAATGAATGGTTTTGCTCGCCCCATTGCGGCGGAGGCTGAGGATACTCGTTAGGCCCTTGACCGTACGGAGCTCCATATGCCGGCCGCGAGGACTGGGCAGGATAAGGTGCTTGGTAGGATTGACTAGGTTGTGGGTGATAGCTCTGGGGTGCGTAGCTAGGAGGATAGTTAGGTGGGAGAGACGAGCCGCTAGGATGTCCGTGACTCGAAGGTGGTGTTCCTTGCCAATAGCTAGTCGGCTGAGGAGAATTGTACGGTCCGTTACTAGAATAGTCCTGTTGTGGATAGTAATGAGAACTATATTCGCTGCGACCGGGTCCCCGGTGGTGGCCATGACCTCCATGGTTCCCACCACTACTTGCTGCCCCGGTGTGACCGTTACGGGGAGGAGCATGACTATATCCCGGCCCTTGACTGTAGGGAGGATAGGGGCTCGGAGATGCTGTCGAGGGAGCAGGCGGAGGTGGTGCGTAAGGGTAGTTACTCATTTTGTCGGTGCTTTGTAAAGACTCGAACAACGGTAAAGAATTAAAGGAAATTTAATGTCGTGATAGCTAGAAGGTCGAAGGGTTAGAATCGAAAGCAGAAATACAGGTAGATAGCTTTGATGAACAAGAAAGACATTGTACATACCTGCGTCCCGATGTTAGAGGTTGGCAAACGCGGAAGCTCACCGCTTCAAAGGATACTGTTCCGTGAGAACTGAAACGCGAATGCAAAAGCAATAGTATATACCAGAGCAACTAAGCCGAAGTTGAAGAAAAAGAAATAAAAAACCATGTATTGTTGTACTTGACGAAATGGTGGAGTAAGTCAGAAAGGGGCTTACGACTGTGGAAGAAGTTGAAGACGGGAAGTTTCCAAAGGTCGATTAATTTATGGTTACCTACAACACAGCGTAGATAGATAGTGTGGATAGTGGACAGTGGATTGGGATTGGAGATGGTCAGAAGTTTATGTTGTGTGAGTTCTATTTTGGTGCTTTGGTGCGTACTACCAGAGAACAGACCCCTGCAAGATTTTATGCAAGACGCGATCTGAGTTTTAGCGCGGCAACTAATGTAAAACCTAGGTGGAAATACAAGGTTGTGACTCACAAGTGCTACTCCGGAATATCAATAATGCGAGGCTATCTAGGACCCGTGCCATTTTTAATACAGCTGCATGTACCTAAGTACTTTGATATCTTCCAGTTCGACACAGGTCTCCACTTAGCTCAGTGCTACATACAGCGGATTGTGATATTTTCATAGCAAAAGCGACAACTACCATGGTAGTCAGTCAGCGTTGCGACAATGTTCATCCTAGTAAGAAGAGTCTCCTAAAACTCATCTATTATAGTTCACTAATAAAGTCCCTAGACAAAGATTGCCGATCTGGTACAGATCAAGCCAGACCAATTCGAGAAGCCGAGTCATATCGCCATAGAGGATAGCATCAACGCCAAGTACTCCAACAAAGTGATTCAGAAAATCGGCCTCTGTATCTGCATGTACGATCTCCTATGGGCTTCTGAGGGTCTTATCGGTCATGGAAGCGGCATGGTTAATGTCAATGGTACGTCTTCTAAATACCTAAGGTTTAATATCTTGAAGCGCAGTATTAATTCCGTCGATGATAGTCGAATTTCGCATGATCGTGTTTCGTCCCTTTAAGACGGAGACTCTATTCGGAAGAATTACCGAAGCTAATCAAAATGGAATCTCCCGTACGTACTACCATTTTACCCCTAGAACTTCAAACATGAATTTACGAAAGGTCACTAATGAAACCAGTTCGCACTGATTTTTTTGAGGACATATACGTTGAATTCAAGGAACTACCCGAGAACACACAGTAGTAGGTACCGGAGGGTCCGTACGTGTATGGCCCGTGTAAGCTGACCATTGTTTAGTAACCACGATGAGAAGGCATGGATGTGGCTGTATGACCCCGATAGCGAACCCATGTATTACGACAAGAACGAGATGGTCCGCTTCTCAGTAACCGACGAGTCATGGCATGACCAGACGCCAGAGAGCACGGAGCAAGAAGCAATTGATCAGGCCAAGAAGAGATCCCCTTACTGCATTAAAGGTACCATGATGAAGGAAGGACTTGGGGTTTGTCTCTGGTGGGGTTGATCATGGTAGCTTGCTTCATTTACAGCATATTGCATGGGACGGCGTTTGGCAGGGGGTTGTAACTTGCATTTAGGTATGGCTGATTAGATACTCAGCCCTGTGACCTCATTTATTTAGACTTGATACCCTCGAGCAATCGACCCTCAACTCCGTCCAGAACCGAATAATGCTCAACTACAGCAAGGTTTTCAGCCTCCGTCTTGAACTGTTTATCGGGGTCTACACCAGGGCCAAACATTTGAGGGTTCTGGGCACCCATTCCTGCCATCTGCTGAGCCATTTGATTTGCGGCTGGTCTGTGATTAGTTCATGTGAACCCAAAATCGATACCACTCTAAGTGAACTTACCATTCTCATTCCCAAGCAAGAAGTTGAACACAAATTGCAATCCAAAGTAACACAAGAAGTACCAACTGATACTTGACATCCATCGAGGGTCCATTTCCTTTGTCGCAACACCAGCTTGCAACATACTCTTGAACTTGATAGTAATAGGAAAAGGTAGCTTAATAATGACGAAACCACTGAAGAAGGCATTGATCCAACTCATTATCAAAGTGTTAGGGATCATCATAGCCATGTTGTTCTTCATCATCCCCATCATACCGTCCATAGCGCCAGGGTCGGTCATCGGGTTAGGAGGAGGCTGGCCACGTCGCTCGGGGTCTTTCAGGTAGGCACCGGATTCGTAGGCATTGGTAAGGTAGTCTCGTCTCGCGCGGAAAGATGGTTCGGATAAAACGTGGAAGTTACTGCGCACTGCGATACCGTGCAGTAAAGATCGCTGCTCTCGCGTCGCCTTCTGGTCGAGCTTCTTGGGAGGTGTTTGCATCAAGACAGTGGCATAATATCGCAGGACACCTGTTAAGATCTGCCCCCGAGGTTAGCATTGCCCCTTTTTGACTTATATGGCAGGAAAATAGGCATACCATCACAGCAGTAATGGGAAGCAGGATCCAGTAACTATCAACAAAGTCAGCATAGCGATCGCATTCCGATGCCAACATATCTTACAATAGTTGAGGATCCCGATGGATCGTCTGCGCCGGTAATTGAGCCATCTTCAATAGTGCGCTCGTTTCCCCTATCACAACCCGCGATACAGCAAAAGATGATTTATTGATAAATAATTGTTGGAGCTTAAACTGGTTGATGATATTATTAGGCGGAAGGTACCTCAGGCCAATTGCAATTGATTGACGTTACAGCAGCTCGGTGCAGGGCTGAACTTTAAAGCGTCCCACTTCTAAAACCCCCTGTCTAATAGTACGTACCTCCCTAAGCAGACCTTCTAAGAAGCCACATGTGCACCTAAGCTATCAACCCTCCGATTCAACTCAATTTCTATCACCACCTTTAATACTCCCACTTACAATACTATTCTCCCTCCAAGCACGAGGGTAATAAAGCTTGACAATGGCTTCTACCGAAAGGATTGCCGTCCACAATCTAGCGGGTAAGTTCCTATATCCCTTACACCAGCAGCTATATGAAGCATAACACTAACAATCACCAGACCTAAAGAACACATCCGACGATGCTCTACCCAACTACCTCAACTCTCTCAAATTCAAACAAGACCACAGTCTAGTCGACACACGACTAGCCCTAGGATACAGCGCCTTCGTCATCGCCGCAGCTTGTTTCTTCTGGGACTACAAGCTAGGTTTCGAGTCTACGAAATACTACACCGCCGGCGCCGTCGCCATATACGCTCTCCTAAACAGTGTTCTAACATACTGGATCGGCTTCGTGGAGAAGGGCACCGTATACCAAGGCACAGCTCCGGATGGTACTAAGGTAATTCCTCTCCTTCCCCATTTCACTAATTGCAATGCGGCATCAACTAACCAGACGAACAATACAGATCTCAATAGCAACCTCCACCAAAAAGAACATCCCCATCTACAACATAAAAATCACCATAACCCCCAAATCCACCAACAAACCCGAAACCATCGAACTAGCGCGCCCCTTCACCGAATGGTTCGACGTACAAGGCCACTTCATCGCGCGACCTTTCCAGACTATCCTCGCGACAGCCGTTCCCTTGATCGCAAAGGCTGATCCCAAGCGAGTTCAAGCTGCCCCCGCTACTTCTACATCTGATTTCCTGAACGCGGATGCGGACGTCTTGGATGCTATTGCGGCTTCCCAGTCTACATCTACGGCTACAGGTGCTGAGACCGAGACACCAGCCGCGGGGTCGGGTAAGAAGTCCAAGAGGAGAAAGGCTTAGTTTGGGAAAAGAGAGGAGAAAAATATAGCGAGCGCCACTTACAAGCGTCTTAATACGATACCATATATTGCAATTTATCGTTCTCGCGTGACTTGATATTTCTGTTTTCTTCGCATGTTAGGTTGATGGTGATGTCACGACCACCAAAGAATCCGAATTACACATCGTACACGCAGATTCGGAACGTCTTCATAGCTTTTCATTATTTCGCTCTGCAGCAGAAGCTAGTTTTGCATTCGGTCATGACCTGACTACCTAATTTCATCATCTAGCCCAACCTCATAACACGGCAATAGCCCACTTCAAGCAAGAGCCTCCCAAGCCTTCCTAGCCGCCAACGCCGTACGTCGAATCTCCCTAACCGAATCGCCACAAGCCACCGACAGAGGACGCAGCAGTTGCTGACGATACGGCACGAGATACTGCGTCTCGTAAGCTTGCGGCAATTTCTGGAAGAATTCCAACGCGAACTTTCGGCACATGACACGCTCCTTTGCTTTAGGTTTAGGTGCTGCAGTATCTTCCGGTAAATTCGTAGTTTTGGTAATTTTTCTCGCTGTTTCGTATACGGCGGCCATACCCGTAATCAAGCCGGCGAGGTGCTCTTTAAGCGCATCTGGTTCTTTCTCGAGGATCTGGAGAAGAACGCTCAGGCAGGATTCCATTTCGATGCCGGTGTCGAAAGTTGACAGGGAGCGGATCCCGACACGAACAATTTGGCTGATATCGCTAGCGTATTGCTCGTACTTCAGGTGCTTGAGGATCGCGAAGGTTGCCACAGCACGGTTGACAGTTGCCGTCTCATCCAAGCCCGAGTTCGGGAAGCAATCCTTCAAATAAGGCTGGACAGCTTTGAAGTACAACCACCCACCACTCATGCGTTTTCGGATAGCATGGTTTTCCTTCTCAAGACACTCTTTAGGGCTTACTAAGACCTCGAAATTTCTCGCAAGCTGGCGGCCTATCGTAGGTCGTAATGGTGCCTCATCGCACACCATCTTAAGTAACGAATTATGCGTATCGGGGCTTGTCCGGAACCTTGTTACGTCACCAGCCAAAAAGTAAAGAACGCTGCGGAAAATACGAAGGCCCGTAGGTATATCCAAGTTAGATCCTGAGGTCTTATTCCAGATGTTCGTCAAAGTACTTATTAGACCTTGTTGAATCTGGAAATACTCCGTGCTATTGTTGTTATTTTCTAGGCGGAGTTTGTTCGACAACGTTGTAAAACTTATGTCTAGCGCGGCTCTTGTTGTGTCTGAACAAGGAGACGGGGCTGTAGTTAGGATACTGCAAAGGTCCTTTAGAGCACTGATGTGATGCTTTTAAAAAAAAATACTGTCAGCTACTATCGAACTCGAAATCGGAAATTTCACTTACCTCCGGACTCAACACACCGGGATGTAAGCCTTGCAGGACTCCCATTGTCAACGGTGCCGTACGGAATTCATCCAGTGGGCTTATCTTAGCAGTTGTCACTAGTGAATTTATTTGTTGATCAGTATTGTTAACACCATGGAAAAGGATAAATGCGTCCCCGCCCAATTCCAAGGCTGTCTGCTCGGTTTCGCTCAAAGCTCGAATGACCGATGTGGCCAAGAAACCGAGTTGATGCAGGGTTATGTCTTGTTCGGCGACAAGGCCATTTTCCCTTTTGAAATCTTCGCCTAGACCTATATGCAACACAGAACCCGTATCACCTGTTTGGAAATGTGCCGTAGTGAAGCGACGGTATAACTGTCCCACAACTGACAGAGAATACGCCCATAATTGCTGATGAACATCGGCGCCCTGTGCCTGCAGTCCTTTGTCTAGGGTCTTAGCCAGTAGACTAGAGTTTCCCGGGTTATCTAAATCGAGCTGAGAAGTCCCAGCATTTTCGAGGGTTTTGGTAAATTGCGTATACCATGATTTCATGAGTTCCTGGGACAGTGGTTTTGAGTCGGAGTTTTGCTTTGGTATTGAACTTAAAGACTGCACGACAGAAAGATGGATGGAGCATATGAATGCCGTCCAGTACTTGGGCGGTGCCTGTTCCGATAGTATCCACAACAGCCCTTCGAGTAAAGTATTTATCAGAGTGATCGGATTTGACAGCGGCAGTTCCTTGTTCGAGCAGCCAACCTCACACAGCGTACTTGCAACCAGTTTGATTTCTAGATGAAGGTCGTGTAACGCAAGCTGCTGCTGGTACGCCACTTTCAATGATGAAAGGTATTGTTGCAATAAGAGTTGGAACGCAGGAGGGTATAAAGGTACAGCTTCCTTTAGCGCCGCAACAGCAGCATCACGGACGTCTTGGTCAGTGTCGCTAGTAGGATGTCCTCCGGTAGGTCGTTTCCCTTCTAAGGGATAGATCACAGATGGGCTTGCAAGCCAGTTAAAGACCCTCTCGCAAGTGGAAGCAGAACATAGTCGATCAGAAGGGCCTGCGCCGCTCGATTGCTGACCTACAAGCACAGCGAGTCCTTCCATAACCTTTTTGAGTACGTTGATTTGCTCAGGGGCCGCCTGGCTGTTCGAAGCCTCCTCCCACAGAGGGAGGTAGACTTTAAAGAAGAGGTGATCGCCAAAAAGATCATCTTTGAGCAAAGGTTCGGTTCTATCAATGTTTGCGTCTTCCTTCAAGGTGTCAACTAAATGCGATCGTACGGCGAGAATCGAGTTCAGTAGCGCCACTAACTCCTGTTTGTGCGACGAGGATTGAGTATGCCTCAGTGTTGTTTGGATATGAGGAATAGCCTGAGAAGTAATGCTTGCGAAGGACTGAAGGGTAGCTCCAGCAACTGCGACCAATAGTCGGCCAGCCTGAGCTGTGTAGGTCGGGTTAGATAAGTCCTCATCTAGATCTCTCCATGCGTCTGCTAAGAATGACCGAAGTTCATCGTCATCAAGTCTCGTTGTGAGAGATCTAATGACTTTCAGGGTGGCTTTAATTGTGTCAGGGATCTCTCCATTGCGAACCTCATATTTGAGCGAGCTCCATATCTGGTCAACGAATGGAACGACGCTCTGCTTAGGATGGTCATATTGCGATAAGCATGCATCCAGCGTTTGCAAAATGTCAATTTTAACGGCAACAGTAACCGCATCCCCTTGGTCAAGTTTATTGATGAGGTAAGGTATAGCGTGGCCGGCGACACGATAATGTGCAGCGAAGCATGAACGCACAGCATTTTTCAGGTCATCGGCTGTAATGCCCGATGGAGCGGCTGATGCTCTCAAGGAAATAGGGAAATAAGCTGAAAAGGTCTTAAAAACTTCCACTGTTACATCCTCTGAAGGTGAGAAATTCTGTAGGAACGTTTTCAGGGTCTCGAACCACTTCATCAAATTCTGTGGATCTCTTTCGTTCCTGCATAGGTCCAGAAGGCTGGTTATGAAGCCACAGGTATTTCCATGGCGATATTCAAGATCATTAGCCACAGTAGGATCTTGTAAAAGTTCCAGGAATAGCTCGTAGAGCTCTAGACGTGTTGATGGTGCTTGTAGCTTGAAATCCTCACCCAATTTGCAGACATTTGTGATTATATCATCTCCCAAAGTGGGCTGGAATGATTTCATGTGAACTAGGTGTCTCAATGCTTTTGCTGAAGCTGTGACCCCTGCACGATGGTCGCTTGAAAAGAGTGAACCGAAGAAAGTCACTAAGAGCTTGACTTGATCAGCTTTCAAAGAGACATCTTTCTTGTTAAGTACCCCAAGGGTACTAGCTAGAAAGTCCAACGCTTTCGCACGGGCAATGAAGTTATCATCGCTTGTATCATCGCCCGGTTGAATCCATCGGTTTATAGAGGCGACCCACTGGCCGACGGTTATTCTGGTGTTGGTGGATTGTTCAATTGCTGAAAATATAGTTGGCATAATGTAATCATGTAGGTCGTGTTACGGGAAAACTTACCTGCAGCCGCCTTCTCCGATATTTCCTGCTCCTGGGAATTTTCATCTGTGAGGACATACTGCAGAGCAAGATCGTCGAATTTGACGGTTGCCATCTTTGCAGTTAGATAAGACAACGCTTCTCGACAAAGCCGAATAAACGTCTCTTACTATAACTATGACTTCCACTTCTATTCAACCTTTCAGGGTAATCCTCTCAATACCGTGAGAAGGTCGCCGAATGTCGGATATAGACCGTCGCAGAAAATCGGAGCGCTGAAGAGATGCCTGTTAGTGAGCGACGATACATTCTAAATGCCCTGAATACGTGGTAAATGTACCTAGCCCAAATGACGAAATGCCCCGCGCTACGGCGGTCGCAAGATGATCCGAGCTAACCCACTTACCGGTTAAGGATCAATTCCTGGAAAGAGTAGGAGGGGCAGCACCCACCCAGTCAATTTTTTTTCAGGGGACTTTTCTCACGAGTCCACCCAGTCACATCCACCACTAGCGCTGTGGGGGTTCATCAAAAGGACAGAAGCAGAAGAAAAAAAAAAAAAAACTTGGCTCCGATGTATATGGAGATGAGATCTATTAATCTACATTTAGTCACTCGTTCCCCATTCTCTTCTCTCAGATGTTCAATTCTTAAACGTTCGCGTTACTATTTTTCTTCGACACGTGCTGTATTTTATTCCCTCTCACATCGCAGAACAGAAAATCTTTTTACGCCTAAATCTGCTTACGTTAGCTTGTACACGCCGAACACGCTGCCGTTGCCGCGTATTTTCTATCTGAATCGCGGGGCATTAATAGCGGGGCAGGTACGTTGGAAATTCACTCGTCCCTGCGTTTTCTCTTCAACATTTATACGTGCATCTAAATATCAACTCTATTTTTCTTTAAATTCTATTTAATTATGTATAATCTTACTTCATAGTCCCAATTGAGTCCTTTTATCTTCTCAAAGCCAATTAACTCACTCAGTTCAGTCCCATAACCTTCGGAAGATGGCTACACAAGATGTACCCAAGACCTGCAAGGTCATATTAGCGGATACAATCGCTAAAGGCCTCCTAGCTGAGGTCAAGGATACGCTGAAATCCATCCAAAAAGACGCTGAACAGCAACCAACTTTAGTGGCTTTCTTAGCCAACGATGACCCTGCAGCAGTCAAATACGCCGAATGGTCCAAGAAGACTTGCGAAGAGAAGTAAGAGACAACATATTCTTTGCGAAATGAGGATATTTCAATTTACACATGAGAGCAAATCACTTACAGCTAATTAGCGGATTTACGTTCGATTTGCGCCAAGTAGACAAGGATAAACTCGAAGAGGAAATCGTGAGTGCCAATGAAGATAACAAAGTCGACGGCATTATCGTCTACTACCCTATCTTCCCTGGGAACCCAGCCCATGATCGATATGTCCAGGAGACTGTTTCACTCTCCAAGGATGTTGAAGGACTCTGCCACAAACATATTTACAACATGTACCACAATGTCAGGTTCCTGGATCCACCACACAACCTGAAGAAATCCATTCTTCCTTGCACCCCACTAGCCGTGGTGAAGATCTTGGAATACCTTCAAATCTACAACTCTATTTTACCCTATGGAAACCGACTTTTCGGGAGGACCATCACGGTGATTAACCGATCGGAGGTTAACGGCCGGCCATTGGCTGCTCTCCTAGCTAATGATGGCGCTACGGTGTATTCAGTTGACTTAACCGGAGTTCAAGTCTTTACTCGAGGCCAAGGCATCAAACAACCACGACACCAAGTCCAAGACAAGGAGGGCTGGACTCTAGAACAATGTATACCAATAAGCGATGTCATCATCGGTGGCGTACCCGCGGAGAAATACAAGGTGCCGACTGAGCTTATACGAGATGGAACCGTTTGCATCAACTTCTCTTCATATCGAAACTTCGACGGGCCGGCCGTTAAAGAAAAGGCGTCAATTTACGTACCTTCAGTTGGTAAAGTCACAATTGCTGTGCTACTAAGAAACCTAGTGGTATGCAATCTTCTATCACTCAAATTAATCAACACGGAAGTACTGACAAAACGTAGCGCTTGATCGCAAACAGGCCGTCCACTAACCAAGATGGTTCAACTGACGAGGGCACATTGAAAGCCAAGAGTGAGGCATTTGTAGATGGTTGAACCCCCCAAAACGAGACATGATACCCGGGACATCCCATCCACTAAAGTTCCTCTCGTCCCCCACCAAAAATAAAAAAAGATAGAATATACTAGATTCCTGGCATTCGGCAACACAATGGTTATCTAAAAGTTACGAAAATTTATTTTACGTGATTTCTCATTTTGGGTCCTTATATCTATATCTTATTGTACTGATGTTTTGGAACTATATATTTACAAAAATCGGCCTCGGACCGCTTACCGAAATGCAGGCCCCATCCTTTTACGCTACCGCTACCGCTACCTGAATGGTGATTGCTCTTGGCTAGGGAATGGTCCAAATCTCCAAAAGAAAAATCCTTTTCCAAACTTTACAATCCCGGCAAATCATCTCTCACCTGAACCTTTACTTCAATCGGCTTCTTCTCCACAATCGCAAACGTCTTCAACTCCTCCCAAACAACCTTCTTTCCCTCCACTGCCTCAAAGTCGAGCGTCCACAGAAGCTTCGCTAATATCAACCGCATTTCGGCCATCGCGAGGTTCTTTCCCAGACAGGCACGTGGACCGACGCTGAATGGTTGAACAGCTTGTCGCTTGTCGTTGTAGAATACGGAGCTAACGTCCGCACTGGCTTCGGGGAGCCACCGTTCGGGAAGAAATGAGGAGGCAAGGTGGAAATTGGCTGGGTCTCGGTGGATTGTGTAGGCTTGGATTGAGACGGGTGTCTATCTTTGTGTTAGAAGGGGTACTAGGCAGAAAACATATCATTAAAAAAGAACTCACCCCTTCAGGAAGCCATATCCCGCAAACCGTCTCGCCACCAGCCGGTACACGCCTCGGAAGCATCCACGGAATCGGCGGGCACAATCTCAATCCCTCATTGAGAACAGCATTCAAATACGGGAGATTCTGCAGCGCATCAAGCGTTATTTCACTTTCGCTTTGGAAACGCATTCGCACCTCTCGTGTCAAAATATCCAGTTTATCCCCATTATGCACGAGATAATTCAACGTGCCGCATAACGTCGTAGCCGTAGTTTCGCTTCCAGCAGTCGTCAACACCATGAACGTAGAATTAATCTCACCAATCGGCAGTCCTTTCTTCTCATCATTTCCCCTAATGACATGGGACATAATATCCGGCCTCTCAAGTTCCCAATTCATTCTCCTGTGTACTTTATCCACAATCTGCTGGTAATGATTTTCTTGCACCTTTTTGAGGGACGGGGGCATGCATTTCATAAGAATAAATTGCACAAGGGGGTAAAACTTCGCCGCGGTACCGTAGGCCGATGCTTTTACGGTCCGGAATAACATCGCGACCCAGGAGTGGTATTGCGAGTTCTCGAGACACCCGAAAGATTCACCGAAACCGAGGTCCCCGAAGATATCGAAGGTGGTGAAGTTGAACCATGGCATCATATCAATCACAGCCCCCTTACCCTTAGCACGCTCGTGGAGCCTTTCAACGAGGAGATTCACATATCTCTGTAAAATCGGCTCCTGCGCGCGGAGCGCACGCATAGTAAACCCAGGGGCGAGTTGTCTCCGAATCCGCGCATGCGACTCGGGATCAAACGCATTCATCAACGACACCGGCAGACCCGGTGGAAACTCCCACCATACGGGATCTTTGGGGAATGGGGGTTGGTTATTGGATCGTGGTTGGAAGATATCGTTATACGCTTCTTCTTGCGCGAATGTGACTTCATCTGGTGCGATGCGTAACACTGGACCGTATTTTCGGTGGAGTTTCTCGATGTCTTGTATTATGGTTCCTCGTAGGAGTGCACATACGAAGGGGAGCCTTGAAGCGGACCATGTCCGTGGCCCGGGGATTTTGCGGAGGGGGTGGAAGTAGAGGTTATAGATTGCTTGGAGGATGGGGTACTAGAGCATGGTTAGTAAGGCGTCAAAGTGATTCGTTTTCTTGGTATATCATACAGCTAATATTGCCAATAGAGCGGCAACTAGCCGACCCGTCCATGACCATTCACTGGCTAGCATCGCGGACTTATGTCTGTCACGTATTATTTTTTTTCGTCCTATAATTTCTTAGATGATGCCGCTATGTAATTTAATAAACGAGGTGAGTGTACGGTAGTTATCCTTCTAAGCTAATATAGGGCGTTTAAGTATTCAGGCTTTGGATTTATAATCTGACAACCAGCCGCGTGGTGCAGAACCCCAGATCTGCCAATTATGTGGTAGGCATTTGCATCCTATTTCCAACATCGTTGACTATCAGGGATTATCATTGGTACAAGCAACAGCAAGGGTCGCAATTAGGAAATAGAGGGGACGAGTACTAGCTTCCCATGAAACGTCCCAGTTTGGATACCTAGGGTCCCCCCTACTGGATACCTTGTGGGGGATTTCCAATACGCGTCTCACGATTGGAATGAGATGAACGACGGCACAGTAAACTATAATGAATATATATCATCTATAAAGAAAATACAGTAGACAGTCTCGATCAGTTACGACTGCATATCACTTCTTCCACGACTATAACACTAACAACACCAGCTTAATCCTCCTGTTCCTTCTCCCATGCCGAATATCGAACCTCGGCATACTTGCTCGTGACAAAATCATCCTCCTTCTCTTCCTTCTGGGGTTGTTCCTCTTCTCGCTGCTCTTGCTCCAATTCGGACTTAGTGTGTCGCTGATAATATCGTTGCCAGGCGTAATTCTCGCCTAGTCGCTTAGCCACATCGTTCGCCTCGTTCAGGCTAACAAGGCGACGTTTACCGTCGACTTTGGCGAGATACTCCTCAATGACTTGCCAAGTACGTTGCTTGCGAGTTTTTCCGCTATGATCATCATCCTGGGAAGACTCCTTGGGAAGGAAAGTCTTAGGATGCCTGGTTTGGAACCGCTGGACTAGCGATTGACGGTTGGGACGTATCATAGGATCTACACCTTCCACCTTCGAGTTAGTCAAGATATCGTGTGCGATTTCGGCAGGTGTTCTTCCGACTGCGTTTTCGCGGTATACCAAGCCGGGGTTTTGAGAAAGAAGCACGTGAACTTGTTCCGGAAGATGTCGGAGTACTGCGGTATGAAGGATCGTATCACCGGAGCCGTTCATGACTTCTAGCTCCACCCCACCGGAGAATTCCAGGACTAGTTTCAGGATCCTTATGTTATCGAAGACTTCGTCTTCAAGGCTGCAAATATTCTGTTCTCCATCCCAGTGCCAACGCTGCGAAACTGGATTGGCATCTCTCAACCAGGCATGAAGGGGAGTATCACCTCCGTGTGTAAGGCTATTTCGCTGAGCGAACATGTGAGATCTCAGATCGGGATCGAAAAGACCTATGAGTTCTTTGAGCTGGTCATATCTAGGGCGATTCTTGAGAGTAGCATGGATAATATTGTTGTACTCTTTATCTTTGACGAATTGGTTGGCTCCGGCATTGATAAGCGTCTTTGCGGCTTGGACTCTTCCTAGGAGGCAGGCCAAATACAAGGGAGTATATCCCTGGTCTGACTTAGCCTCAAGAGACGATGGGCAGACCTTGATGAGGTATTCGATGAGGCTTGTAGTGCCTTTTCGCGGGGTTCCCATTACCACAGAATGAATAACGAAATCATCTAGCAAACGTTAGCGAAAGGTCCAAACATACCCACCGACGCAAAAAAAGAAATGGGGACTCACTTTGGACGCCGAGCCATTTAGCGATAGCTCTATCAAATCCTCCAGGTGCTTCGTTCAAGTGCTTAAAGCGAATATCCTCTTGAGCACTATCGGATTTTCCAAACTCCAGGTAGTGTCGCATTGGAGTGTCGCTGACAAACCACTCTGTAGCCTCTAAGCTGCCACTGAAAGCTGCAGAAAGCAATGGCGGAACCTTGCTCCCGGTGGACTTGACTACAAGATTGCGGCCAGCATTGGCCCAGTCTGCTCTCTTCTTCCCGTAAACACTCAAGCCCTGGTAATAGCGAGGTTTTACTTTCAGTTCAGCGCCGCTTTTCTTTACAAGATCATCTATAGGGATTCCAGCCCCAGTTCGTCTGATGACAGTGGCAAGCATTTCTGTCCGTCCACGTCTCAAAGCGCTGCTGAAGTGGTGCAAGGGCAACGTGTAGAATTTGTGGGTTTCGTCTTCGTCGTTAGGCTCCTTAGCCGCGAAGTCGATATTAAAGTCGACTAGAGTATCGAAACCCTTCGTGTCGTTCTCTCTAATTGTGTATTTGAAGAGAGTCTCTTGCTTCCCCGTGGTTTTAACTGAACCATCAAGCTGCATTGTGAATGTAGGTGATGTCCAATTTAGGAGTGTACTCGCAAGCGTGTTGCTCTTGACCTGCATAGAAACTTGGCCAACATTGTCGATTGTAAATTGATCGTCTATGACTTCCTCATGTACATCCAGTTTGTCGTCATCGTCATCGTCGTTATCGGATTCTACTTGAGGGGAGTCATCTTCATCAGTGTTCATTCTGAAGCGTGTTGCGCCCTTTGATTTTGGTAACCACTGAGCGTGCGCAATCTCAAGGATTGATTTGGCCACCCCGTAATGTCCACGGAGGAATGCGAGCGAGAAAGGATTGTTCTGTTTCATATCGGACACCGCCATTGTAAGGGGTGGTTCCTTTTTCTCTGCATCCCAGGAAGCTAGGGTAAGTGACTTGATGACCTCGAGGTCACCATTCCACGCCGCTTCAAACCTTTAGAACATTAGCATTGCGAATGGGATAGGTTTCAAGTTATACTTACAGCTTTATATACGCAGCCTTTCGCGCTTCTGTAACGTCTGGGGCATTTTTGAATTCGAACTTTAGGGAGTATGGAGGTGTGTTGGGAGCTTCCTCCGGTTTGTTGGTGTCCGGTTCTGGGTGTGCGTTTTCTTTCAGCTTTCTAATGACATCGGGGTATTGTTCTTTGAAAGTCTTCGCGCCCTTAGCCTCAAGGGTCTTTTCGACCCTTTCAAGCTGCGAGATGATGTCCTCGATAGCTTCAAGCTTCTCCCCTGTACCTTTAAGGCTATCATTGTCATTCTTCTCTTTTTCAAAGTTCTTCACGGCCGAGCGATAATCGGCAGCCGCCCGTGCGATGTCTGTGGAAACTACCCAGTGTTGATATGTACCCTCAGCAAAATTCGTGAGAAACTCCGTGGTTTGAATTGGTTCCACCGGCTGATCTACCCAAATATTTCTTTCTATGCTGTAGAAACCTGGTCTCTTGTTGGGCTGAAACGAGTCAGTTGTACCAGCTAACCTTTCCTTGTATTTACGGAATTGATGGAGTAGATCATGGACTACATCCAGTGCGGTTTCACCCTTTTGATGAGACATACCTCGCCAGAAACCGATATTCCGAACGAGATTATGGCTTGACTTTGTTATGACGTTGGGATCTGCTCCTTTCTCTAGTAGTTCAATGGCATTAGAAGGTTGCTCGGACTTTATAGCCACTATTAGGGGCTGGTCAGTGGTGGTTTCGAAAACTCTGAGATTGTTTTCGTAATCCTGTAATATTCAAGTTAGTGCTTCGTATACTGACAAGAAACAACCCAAGAAGCAGAGTAAAGAGTGCAGCACAAATTTCCAAAATAGACTTACATTTAGATAGTTTTGCAATGTGACCTTCGCGCCTTTCAACCATGATTCGAAATCGATATGAGGTTTTGCTCCCACTTCGAGGAGTTTGAGTACAAGAGTCGTATCGTTCTTGGCGATGGCCGTCATCAGCGGAGTCATAGCATCGCCGTTATAATAGTTGCCAATAACAGCCACGTGGTTGAGGGCCGCCTTGAGGCCGACCTTGTCATTTTCCCATAGCTTCTCAACCAAGCTTGCTCCACCGTTTTGGATATATCGATGGAACGCCGTAACACCATTGGCATCCGCTTGAGATGAAGTAGCACCTAGGCTCAGCAGCGTATCCGCCATTTGCACAGCTTTATCAGCTGGAAGAGTCAAGGCCAAGACCAAGGTTAGGATTGCAACGTTATTTGAGTTGTACTGGTCGTTAAGTTTAACGGGCAAGAGTACGTCGGCGCCAAACTCTTGACACATAAGCTTGACGATTTCGCAATGGCCATTGAGAATGGCCAGGTGAAGAGCGCTGCATTTCGAATCCCAAGCGACAGCATCGACCTTGTAGAAATCTGGACCGCTCTGGTCGTCCTCTGGGATTGCCACATCGCTATCCTTCCTTTCATCCTTCTTAGCAACTTTAACGAACGATCCAGTTGCGACGGACTCTACACCATCATTTTCTTCCGACATATCATCGTCGACTAGCTCCGCGTCGGAATCTTCCTCAGATTCTTTGTCGGACTTATCAGCGGTGGTCTTCTTATCGAGCTCGTCCACCTGGCTAGCCTTATGCTCCAATTGGCGAGCTTTGCGGCGCTGATCCTCCTTCTCTTCCTCCTCCTCCTCGTTAGCATTGCTTTTCTCTAGAAGGGTCTTGACAATTTTAGCATCGCCACGTGCCGCGGCTAAGTGAAGAGCGGTCCGACCATCGGCTAAGCGAGCGACGAGGCGAGCGCCGTGGTCAACTAAACACTTGACTATTTCAGGCGTTGAGCTGGAAACAGCAAGGTGCAACGGAGTTCGTCCTGTATAATCTCTTGTGTTGGGATCGGCTCCTTCTTGAGAAAGCCAGTCTTCAACGTGTTCGAGATCACCATCAACAATGGCCTGGCAGAGGCGAGCTGTGTTGCCCACATACGCCATTTCAGTCCAATCATCCTCCGTGAGAGGGTTGAAGCTACCGATTTGCTAAAAATTGAAAATGTTAGCGTTGTGAGTGTATATCTAATAGCCGATCTCACTTACCTGTCTGCCTGGATCGTCAATGCGGAAAGAAATCTTCCCTGATACGTAAATCTCGCTTTCCTTCTCCGCTACTTCGATCTCCTCTGGGGTTTGTGGCTTTGGGCAAGTCCCACAGCAGTCCTCAATGACCTTGAATCCGTCAGGTTAGCACAAAGCAGAGGGGATTTGTGCTGGCCGGACTTACATCTTCAATCCGCCCAAAGAAAGCAGGATGCCTGTGGAGATATACCTCCCTCTCCTTTGGTTGATTCCATTCAGCATTTAGGACTAATTTCCAGTTAGTCATATAAATACAGCAAGCTCATTGAAGATTGATGGCCGGGAGGTGGTCACTAGATAATGAACCTAATATGGGTCTAGAAAGGGTTTACTTACGCAGGTCTTTAGTATAGCAAAGCTTTTCAACCTTTTTGGCGCTGAACTTGGTGCCGTAAGGAACGGTAAAAGTGTGGTAATTGGAAACTTCATCTTCGTCAACCCAGTCCGCGACTTCATCCTCGTGGTTCTCCTTGATATTTCCCTGGAGATGAAACTGATAACGAACAGGTGGTAGGGGTCTTCCACGTTCCTCACGGCGCTTCCTCAGATATTCGTCTCGCGCATTTGTAGTTGGCAGACGCTCCAACACAAGTAGCCGGGCGAGTCCAAGTGTCATCTGGAAACTACGTTCATATATTGTAGGGTCAACACGAGATCGGTCAAGCTCCGACCAGTAAACCTCAAAATTTCGGTGACTGTACTTAGAAAGACGGTTCTCATAAGAAGGGCTTCTCCGACTAAGGTCGATCGGATTGATTTGGGTGATGTAAGAAGCCAGAGCACGCGGAGTGCAGTAAACCTGTTTGCCGTCGTAAGCGGCACAGGAACAGTCGATATCAAACCCAGTTAGAATCTCCGAAATAGACTTATACACTCGAAGCACAATCTACAATAAAGTAAGCGACCGATATGAAACACAACGCAAGTTAATATATACCTGAACGTGGCGAGTAGGATACTGGCTGCCTGTTTGTCTAAAGTTAGAGCATAGCTAGAGGTACACATGGCCATAGGAAGCAACTCACAGATGGTGATAGCGTTCTTGGTTCGCACGACAGTCACTTCAGTGAGAATTGCATCACGAATGCGAGTTTCAATGTCCTTGATCTTCTCAATAGCCTGTTCTTCGTCGAGGCCGTACAAGAACAAGTCGACATCAGAAGCGGGGCAAAATTTCTCGTGGTAGTAATAACGAAGTGACCTCTTGGATTTTCTGTATTGTTCGGGAACAGGTAAGAGACAATTGACAACGGAAGATCCAGCGGCGACAACGTTGCTCCAGTCCATTTCAGCGAGGGAAGACTCAGAAAAGATGCTGAAGTTATGGCGAAATTCCTTGAGGGAAGAAACGGTGGCAGGCGAACCGTCTGCACGTCGTCTATCGCTAGGAAGGGTCATGATGTACTTTTCTTTCTCGCTAGGCGTTTCTGCTTCAAGGTTACGAGCACGGGTCTTGATATTTAGTGTATCTTTGGTGAAAAGGGGGAGGCAATTGAGGAATGGATCATCGAGGATAGGATTGTTACGCTGCTGGGCGTATATTTCACGCAATCGAGCCTCGAAGGCGCGGTAAGGCTCCATCAGTTCGGCCATTGGAGTCTCAGGACGGTTGGCGATGTAGTTTGCCAACTCATCGTGAGCGGCCGGCAACTTGGGAAGAGTTGAGATAGTCATTTTTCTCGAAGGGTTTAACTAAGAAATTAAATCAAAGAGAATTATAGCTTTAGGGTATAGCTATATGTGATGAATAGGAGATGGATTGAAGTTTGTCAAGTTATTCAAATATGGAAGACAGTGAAGAAAGCTACACTTGATAGACAAAACAGAGACGGATGATGAAGATATTTTATAGAGATAGTTAACTACTTAGACCTAGTAATATGGATCTCTTCGCCGATCAAGGATCTTCTTTAGAATTAGGCAGACTTGTCCATTTTGGCCTCTCGTGGTGTTAGGATGCTGAGGCTACATAGCACCGAGTTGCGAAGTTGTTGAAGTTGAGGGGAGTAAAAGAGAGCTGAGACCGTATGACACGCCGGCGAACTGCTAAAGAAAGTCCGTCGCAGCCTAGCGGCGGGGATTATAGTGGGTGACATTACAGGGGTTTAAACGCTAAAGCCGACACGAAGTCTTGTGACCTGGCGCGTCGAACACGCCTAAAAAATAAAATTCTATAGAATTAGGCAGCCAATCCACTAATCAGTCGAAACATTCCCGCTTAATCTTCCTTCATCGTTTCATGCCTCGATCGCGTCGTGAGAATCGGGATGTGGATGATTCAATGCTTTCCAATTCAAAAATCCGAAAGCCCTTTTCTGCCTGCTTACATATTTCGTTGGCTCTAATTACGGCATTGCTGCCTTTATTTGACGTCAATTCCCAGAATTTATACGGGATGCCACAAGTCTCGCAATCCTGATTGGTACTGGATTTCCGATCTTCACACCGCTCACTTAACTGTCCCGCAACATATTCAGCCGTCAAGATCCTAATAACCAATATTTCCAGACGGCAACAGTTATTAGCAAGACTAATATCACCATAAGCAGAATCCGTATTCGGTCTAGGACTTGCTGCTGTTTTAAACGTGTCTCCTCCTGGCCCATTGTGTTAAGTATTGACGACCGGCTAATCGGTACGTATCAGCCTCTACATATGATCCACCTTGCACTTCCGTCTCTATTACTAGATTGAGACCGTCGTCGCTTTCGTCATATCGGGGCCACTGTGGTAAACCCGGTCCGTTTGGATTCCCCGTGTGAGCGAATCGCAGCCACTGGGTGCTTATCTGGTCGCTCAGCTTACGGTATTCCGGCCAAGGCCCTACCGTCGTGGGGTTAGCGAATACAAAAGCCACCTCGCTAAAATGTTCAACACCCTTATAAGCTGGTGCAAGCTGCCCTCCTCCAGAAACGGTAGAGTTATTCGTTGCCGTAACATTGGCGGATGTGTTCTCCCATGGACGAGTGTTAAATCGATATGAATATGTCGGCGAATGGGGAGAATAGTGACGGACATCGTACCGGCGCGGCCCGTGGTAGAAGACATCACCGACAATTGCCGCCACTCGCTTGTATTGCCATCCTTTATCCGCAAAACGCTCGGATCCTGTGTTTAAAGGAATACCTTGTGCTGGATCATCCGGGTATAACTCCAAAATACGATCAACCGTGGCATCAGGAAAGTCAAAACCCGTGCCATGTAACAGAAAATCTCGCAATTCCGTATCCGAATCAATGCCTAAAGGGGCATTATCGGTACCTTCGTCGGATGTGGTCCCATATAGGTGTGGTATGTGTGCGAAACGCCCGGAGCGCAAAAGTTCCGATGGGTAATTCGGCAGCACGTCACCATCTTTTAGGGGATAACGTCAGTTATTACAGCCCATTTTACGCTAAAGCAACCTCTACATGACCTTACATTACCCCCTATAAAATAACGGAAAGATAGCTAAAGTGAAACTCACCAACGGTAGGGTAGAATCCAGGCCCGGGAACAGCAGACGAGTTCAAAAAGGGGTATAAAGCCTTATAGTCGACAGTTCGCAAGCATTCTAGCGTATCCGGAACCGAGCTGCAGTTAACTTGGTCGACAATATTATTATAAATAGGCTGGTACCAATCTGATCCATTGCACCACGCTGTCGTCGCGCTTCCACTCTCCTGAATTGACCGATGAAAAAGACCGTCTGTTCGTCCGCCATAGCTCATCAAGAGTTGGCCCTGTTAGGAGGCTTCATGTCAGCGACTTAGTCAAAGCCTGTTTGTTTCGGATGTGTTCCGAACAAAATAGTGGTGATTTTCCCGACGTACCACAGCGAATGACCCCGCCGACTGGCCCCAAATCGTTACTGAAGAGGCGTTGCCCCCAAAGGATTCAATGTTCTCTTGAACCCAAGCTAGCGCTTTACGCATGTCTCGTAGCGCCAAATTAGTGTTCCCTGACCCCTAAAATACACTTATTAGCGAAAACAATAGGCACATTACAGGCAGCTGAAATAGGGGCATAGTACCTGAATCTCAACAGAATACATGTTTCCCCAGCCCCCTTTCCGATAGTTGATGCTGGCACCTATAATAGGCAAGCCAATTTCCACTGATTTCTGCACCAGGTACGTTAAGTTATAGTTGGACTCGCCGCTACCACCATACTGATACCCGCCCCCATGAATCCAGAACATAACCGGAAGAAGCCGGGGACTGCCATCGCTGCCATTACTATTATTGCTTATTCCAGCAGGGCGTACGATGTTAATACTGAGACAATCCTCGCTCATACCATGCAACTCCTCGGCCGACAAGTAATAATCCGGACAGCCAGGACCATAAGCTTTAGCATTCCGAATACCATCCCATGTCTCATCCAAAGATTGCGGGATACGAAATCGGTTCGCACCGCCAGTATCTTGAGCGTATGGTATACCGAGAAATATGTCTTGGTCGAAAGCTGGAAGATATAGGCCTTCGTAGCTACCATTCCTCACCGCCACTACAGGATTAGCTACTGTTCCTGCGCGGCCTAGAATTGTCGCAAACAGGCTTGCCACAATCTTCAAGGCTGCCATTATTAGGATAAGTACGCCGATGATCCCAACCACCTAATTGCTGCAGATCTAAGCATAGACGTATTCTATGGCCCTATAAACGTAAGTATGACCGTATAATGATTGTCTGGCTTTGGGAGCTCCGTATATCCAATTTGGCGCAATTTACCACAAGGATACAGGCCGACGGCGGGGTTAACGAATTATTCTAAAAAGCAAGCAAGCAAACACAACAACTTATAACCGATTCGCTCTCGTCATATCCCTTTTGAATTGAAAAAGTTTTCAATGTACCATCGAGAAGGTTGCATTAACGAGTATTCCGACATGAAATCTACGAAGCACGCCAGACATACAGCAAGAAGGCAGTTTTGATATCACCGGCTGGTATCCGTTCTTTCTTAACCAAGCAAAGATCTCGCTCTACCCCCGCGCCGATCAGTGAGGGCAGTGAATCAACACCCACATATTCCCTAGTCCGATGCCTTCGAAAATAACCGAAGCTATATCAAGGATAAGAAAATCGAGGAAATTTGCCAGAACATGACGCCTATCCAAAATATTAATTCACAAACAATAAAATAAGCGTAATGCTGTCTTCACTTTACAATCTTATAAAAACAGCGTTTTCAATTCTTCGTATTTGACCATCAAAATTATCTAACCAACATTAAATCACAACTAGATGCCCTTTGTCTGCTTTCCCGGTTGTCATCCATTATTCAATATTTCGGATCGAATGCGAGGTTCGACATGAATTGTCCCACATCTCCTGGGAGATCTAGTATCTTAAAGATCCATTGAAGAATAACAGATACCGATTCCGGCTCACCCATATGTTTAGCTCCCTTAACAAATCTAGGGTACGAAGTTAGTCGTATCACAATGGGACAAGAAATCGGGTTTCCGTTTACTTACCGAGCTTCTTTCGGTCCACCGCGTTGCAGGCATAGGATATAGTCATCAATAGGGAAGATCTCATCATCGGTACCGTTGATTAGCAAAAGGCGTGTGCTTGGCCTATCCACGATGCCGGTGCTAATCAGGGAGAACTTGTCTCGCGCTTCCTTGTAAAACTTATCAAGTTCGTTCTCTGCATAGCCATGTCTGCGAGAGAGCGTGTAGGGTAGGCTATAGCAGTACATCATTAGTCAATTCCTCGGCTTTTATCCCGACTGTGAGACAATGGTATGCGCGAAAACTTACTCGAAGGGATACTCCAGATAATTCGCCGCCTCTAACCATTCCTTGTCAAACATGTGGTGAGCACCACCACCGAGACACACAGCGCCCTTCACCTTATCAGGGTGAGTATGCGCCAATCGTATCGAACAATATCCTCCCGTACTAAAACCCCAGTTGGCGATACGGTTCTGATCAATTCCTTCCTGCTGCGCAACCCAATCGAACAAACTACTCCAGACGCGATCCGCGCTCTCGGGATCAGACGGCACGCCGGGGTTGTCGCCGGTACCCGGGATCTCAATGATCACCATAGCGCATCCCAGGGACGCCCACCCGTTCTTCCACACGGCTAGCTCCGTGCGGTAGCCGTCTAGTCCCGTAAATACGACGATCAGGGGTACTTTGTTGGAAGCGGATGCTGATGCCGGTAGGTGGTAGAAGACTTGCAGCTCTGGTCCGTCGCCGTTGGCTGCGTGCACGTGTGGGATTGAGACTCCGACCATGGGATACTTGTGTAGTCCGAGGCCCTTTAGAGCGGCGGACTTGCTGCGCTCCCAGGCTGTCCATTGTTTCGGGGAGCGCGGCATAGGGAAACGCCCGATGCGGTAGATGGCTGATGCTCGCCTAGATTATCTATTAGCATTACCCATTTATGCATACCTTGTTAGGGATGTTGCTACGCACATGTACAATTCATAGGCCTTCTCCTTGTTACCCTCATCCTCGGCCTGCTTAGCGCGGGCTACGAGTTCCTCACCCTTGGGGAAGAAGCATTCGGCGTATTGATCCCAGTCGTAAGGCCTCTTTAGTCCCTTGGCGGAGATGTCGTCGACGATGGGCTGGAAGTCTGCTATGCTGCTGAACATGAAGGGGTAGAGACCCTTCTCGCACTGTATATTCCATTAGTATTGTAGCATTTTCTAATAGTTTTGAGAGTCTTACAGCCGGTTTCCATTGCGTCTCCCATAGCTTCGCAAAGCTCTCGTGGTGAGGTGCACGCTGCGACAGTTTGTCTTGGATGAAGTACTTGTTTCCTGGAGCAGCCATGATTGTTTGGTAAATCAATTTCTGGATTTAAGGTGAAGATGTCTAGATTGCTATATTATTCTTGTTGAAGCTGAGATGTATCTAAAACAAGATAATTCCATGATGCCAGCGAGTTTATATAGACAATTTCCAACCATATATCCACAACTTCTCAACACCAGACAACATCCTGCCAAGGGCTTTCGCCAGTATCATCAATACGGATGAGATGGAAAACGCGTTCATCGAACGGACGAACAGGAGATTCGACATGAACCGCGTCTTCGCGCTTCGGGTTTTAGTTTGATACACATGCTGTGGATGTGAGTTCGGAGGCGTTGTCTGTCGATTCGGGACCGTTCCTACCGCCACACTGCCGGAGTATCTGCAGGTTACCGTCAGATCTTCACAGGGAAAAGCTGGGGAATACCTTCGACTAGGATTAATAGAGTGACAAAAGGACCTGCATCAATCGAGAATGGTGACGGATAACCCAAGCAGCGATATTCCGCGATGAAGTCACGCTTTACTGAAAACAGTATCGGACTTAGGAGATGCGGAGGTTTGCTTAAACCGTTCGCTGAATCGCCGGGGAGTGGGTAGGTGGTTATGGGGCGGGTGCTGGGCCGCAGAGATGCAGCGCACTTTCGTCTTCAACGTAACGCCGGGTCGACTGTCATCTTATTGAGGTATCTCCTGACTACGTGGAGACTATTGAAAACCTAAGTTTGCATAGCATCAAGATGAAATGCCTGAAAAAATTGAACCAAGGAAAAGGCGTTGTGTAGAATATCCTCGCTTTATCATATTATGATTGCGAAAATTCAATAGCACATGAATACATCATAATATCTTATTCGTCGTATTATCCTTTCCATGTTGTAGATACAGAGAATCCAGAGTAGAGTGTAGAGTATTTTCACAGCTGAGCCAGAAGCTGGTTAATATAAATCGGTAAGTCCTCAAGCAGCACATGCGAAACACTCGACAACCTCCTACACTGGACCTCGCAAAGCCTCTCCGAATTCCACCCCTTCCCTAGGATCACAACAACCGGATATCCAACCAAGTCAGCATCCCGCATCTTCCATGGCAGGGACTCAGTGCGGTCGTCCAGTAACAAGTCGAGAGGCCTATGAGCCTGCGAATTGGCTAGGTACTCCGCTACTATAACTCCGTCTTGCTCTAGGCCTCGACCTGGGACTACGACGACTTCAAAGGGTGCAATGGCACGGGGCCAGTTAAGTCCTTTGGCGTCGGCGAGGTGGTCTGCGACGGCTCCGATGATGCGGGATAGCCCGATGCCGTGGCAACCCATTTGCATAGATACGGTTTTCATATCCCCAGCACTTTTCAATGCGACTTCCCCTTCGATCAAGTGTGAGGGTACTTGGACATGCGCTTCAAGGGGGTCCGAGTAGCGGGTACCGAGATGGAAAGTATGTCCAAGCTCGATGGCCTTCTGAACTTTGAGCTTACCGGAGTCGCAGCGGGGACAATTGTCACCGTCACGGACGCGGAGGACATTGAGAGGGATTTGATCGTCAGATGCGGTTAGGTAGTCAGTAGTAATAGTAGAAAGATCAAGGTCTGCGTTCTTAGGAAGTAGTGTTTCAGGACTTGGGTTGGTTGAAAGCGCACTGGCAAACGGCGCCCCTAGTCTGTAGTCGATGATGTTGACTAGCCGTACTTGCTTTCGAGGTTCTGAAGATTTGCCTATTGGTATTGTAGATGACCAAAATGGCGTGGAGTCATTAAGGCTTGAATCTAGCTCGGGTAGGGCCGACTTAATAGCGTGTGTATTGATACTATCGCCGGAGAAGGAGGCGGGATACCAAACATTGATGAGTGTTGACCTATCTTTGGAGACGCCGCGCCACACATTAGCGGCCAAGACATCCCCCGAGTTAGTCTCCGGAGAGGCTTCCTTCATAGACTCGAGTCGAGCGGAAGCAAGCTCCTCGTTAGCAACATAATCGCAGCTGTTACAACTAATCACGTTATCCTCCCCAATCGGACTTGGGAGATGATACTCATGACTTAAATCGCCCCCAATATCACCAGAGCTAGCTTCCGCAACCAGATATGGAAGCTTCAACTCGTTGAAAAGTCGAGAATAAGCTTCTCTGATCTCTTCATAAGTTGAGATGGCCGAGGGGATAGAGTAATCGAAGGTATAAAGATCCTTCATGAGAAATTCTCTCGACCGTAACACTCCCTGGCGCGGGCGGATCTCATCTCGGTATTTGCGCCCTGGAAAGATGAGACTACGTTGGAAAATAGCATTAAATGTGACTCACCAATCTGATAAAGCCGTAAAGGGAGGCTCTTATATGACTTGATTGTCTTTGATACGAGGGTCGTTATCTCCTCTTCGTGGGTTGGTGCTAGTAAATAGGGAACTTCTTTCCTATCATCGAATCGAAACAACTAGAAATCATGTAAGCGGCCCAGATGTTAAATCTGAATTATCTGCATTTACTGACCTCTGGACCATAACCGTCTAGTCGATTTGTTTGTTGCCATAACGCCTGGGATGAGATGGACGATAATGAAACCTTAGATGCACCTTTATACTGTTAGTATGATATGGACAAAAAATGAGTAGAATAGATATTCGAAGTGACGCATACCAAGTTGTAACATATACTTGTCGATTAATCTTTCTAATTTCTCTTGGACTTTTTGGCCCAAGGGCAGCATATGGAATATTCCTGCATGCGACTTTTTACAACCAATTAAGTCAGACATAAAATGGCAAGACATCCATAAACATAAGAACGCACCTGACGGAGGTAACCCGCCCGAATTAATTTGTTATGGGCGTCTGGTCTTAGTTAGAAAAAGCAAGTCTTAAGCACCACTCATGAGAATATGCATACCCTCATTTTCAGTAGCAGCGATGCCTCCAGTCGGTATCCAGAATTTAGACGAGCGAGTGAAACTATCTTGTATTTTGACATCGGACTAAGAATACATTAACATATATACATTTTTTAATAGAAGTGACATTCCGAACCAGAGAATTTGTAGGAGCTGCAGTGCTCGACGGCCGCCTACCATACACCCTCAAGCATTGGAGAATATATCCATGTTTTCTCCCTGGAGTGCGGGAGAGCATCATCATCTTGGTCGTAGCATGGTCAATTGGTCCTATGTCTTCTCTTCTAAGAATTTGACGAAAAGAGCCAAGTTCTCAACAATATTTTGAACCGTATAAAAAGAACCCAACTGGAAATGACTCCAAGTTGTAGATTTCAGTTTTCATAGGCGTTGAAAGTGCTTGGGTTAGGTAAGAGTTAAGTCGAACGATAGGGCAAGCTTCAGGGGTCTTAGGTGCTTAAATCCTGGGCGATAGTGAGAATAGAAGCTTATCGATTGGCCAATGTACTGTGGGTCCTTTCTACCGGCGCCGTGGACCCCTCCAATTTTTTTTTTTCCCTTCCCTGCTTCCCTGTCAGCTCTTGAAATTTTCTTTAGCTTCGTCGCATTGCTTCACGCCGCGCTTCGGTCTTGCGATTGACAACTTTTCCGGCGCTCCCCTCTTCGCATATACTGAATAAAGCCGGACCGATACTCTTATTGCCCCAAATGGCGACTTTCGACGACGATGCACTGTCGAGATTGACAGCCAAAATCGACAGTCAACTTGCTGAGTCCAAGAAGAACCCAAGCAAGAAAGATCAAGGCAAAAGAAAAAGGGACCAAACAGCAGATGTCGACCAATCGCCGCCGAATAAGAGGAAGAATACGTCTGCGCCGAATCACAAGAAACCCATGAAGGATAGCAACAGATCGCCCAAGACCCAAAAGCAGACCCAGAAACCGACTAGAGCTTCTGGGAAACCCGATCATAGCACACTTCTCGATGAAATCAAGGCTCTTGGTGGAGACGAGGAGGATTTGAAGCTGGTAGAAGATATTGACTCCGAGGACGAAGAGCTCAACAACGAGAAGAGCAAAAAGAATACAGACAAGGACCTCCGTGCCGAGCTGGCTAAGTTTGCTGCTGGTCTTGGTTTTGACGATGTGAGGCCGGAACCCGGAGACGAAGAATCCGATGATGGGGCCGACGGCGCTGAAGAAGTCGAGGATGAAGAAGACTCGGCTGCTTCAGAGCCAGAAGCCGACGAAAAACCTCTACAAGACATCAAACGGAAGACGGTTAGTACGCATTTATATGTTTGGATACCACTGCGCAACTTGAACTGATTCTCATCCAAGATGTTTGAACCTCGTCCTGACTGGCATGCTGTTAGTTTAAAAACTCTACCCACTCCCGCGTCTGAGGATATATCGGCCCATACAGCAGCAATAGCCGAATTGAAGGCATACGCCAAGTCCGTGTTGGATGAGGACGGTGTCGCATACAATAAAACGCTGTCGAAATCTTCATCGCACAAATTCATGTCGACTATCATGTCTTCGGGTACCATGTCGGATAAAGTCTCCGCGTTAACCCTAGCTATCCAAGAATCTCCGATACATAATATCAAAGCCCTTGACAATCTAATCGGACTTTCGGGGAAAAGAAGTCGTGGGCAAGCTCTCGCTGCACTGGCCGCCCTGGTGGATCTTTTCGGGCCAGGTTCAATTCTGCCTTCAGATAGACGGCTGCGTCTTTTCTCGTCTCAATTAGGCCTTGCTGGAACTTTGCAGAAGCATGGCATCAAAAATTGGTCTGCCGGCCAAGCATTACCTGGGAAAATCACCAAGGAACACTTAATCTCGTGGATATTTGAGGATTGGCTGAAGGAGGCATATTTCAAGATCATACAAAATCTTGAAATATGGTGTGACGATGAGGTTGAATATGCTCGTACCAAGGCTGTTGACCTTGCGTTCGCCTTGTTACGGGACAAACCTGAACAAGAATCCAATCTTTTACGGCTTCTAGTAAACAAACTCGGTGATCGCGAACGTAAGATCGCGTCAAGAGCATCCTACCTACTTCTACAACTCCTAAACACTCACCCCGGCATGAAAAAAGTGGTCATACGCAGTATCGAACAGGACATTCTATTCCGACCAGGACAACAAATTCGTGCCAAATATTATGCTATCAACACATTAAACCAAACTATCTTAAGCACTAAAGAACCTCAAATTGCCGATTCTCTGCTCAATATCTACTTTGGTCTTTTTGTGGCCTTACTTAAGAGCGGCGAACTCAGTCAACATGATGGGAACTTCGGTGCTTCCAAAGGCGACAAACAAAATCGACAGAAGAAACCGCACGCGTCGAAGAAGCCCGATGATAAGGATCAGGTTAGCTCAAGTGACAAGGAAGCCGCCGAAAAGCTTGCATCAGCAGTTCTCACTGGAGTAAATCGAGCTGTGCCATTTTCGCAAGCCGAACAATCCACGTACGTCCTATCGTGATATTCTCTTAATCCCGTGTAACACCGCTAATTTGTACTAGGCTCGAGTCGCATTTGGACACACTTTTCCGCATTACACACTCATCTAATTTCAACACCAGTATCCAGGCTCTCATGCTTATTCAGCAACTCTCCGCCACCAGACATATCGCTACGGATAGATTCTATAGAACTCTTTACGAGTCTCTATTGGATCCTCGTCTTATTACTTCCTCTAAGCAAGCCTTATATTTGAATCTTCTATACCGAAGCTTAAAAGCCGACGTTGATGTTCGCCGAGTAAAGGGATTTGTAAAGAGGATGTTGCAAATCTTGAGCCTGCATCAACCTTCCTTCGTCTGTGGTATCCTTTATCTTATAATCGATCTCTCTTCCACATTCCCGGATTTGAAAACACTTATAAATGAGCCCGAAGAACACGACGAAGAGGAAACGGCCCCGGGTGTGGCTTCAGATGCCCCAGCAGATACTAACGTCAATGGGGTTGACGCCCAATCCAAAAAGGTTGAAGGTGTTTATGATGGACGAAAACGGGACCCTGAGTACAGCAACGCGCATCGCAGCTGTTTATGGGAAATACTACCATTTCTCAAACATTACCACCCTTCCGTTGATGTCTATGCAACGACTCTATTAAATGGACAGAAAGCCGCTCAAAAGCCTGAATTAGCAAACCACACACTCATAGCGTTCTTAGACAAATTTGTTTACCGTAATGCTAAGACCGTCGACTCGACTAAGGGCGTGTCCATCATGCAACCAGTTGCCGCAGGTGGTCAAGGTAGCGTCCTACTCTCCAGCAAGCCTTCCGCCAGAGGCGCAGGCAGTTCCTTGAACTCAGCAGAATTCTGGAATAAGAAGAGCGAGGACGTCGCCGTCGACGATGTGTTCTTCCACGAATACTTCAGCCGCATAGGCAAGTCAGAACAAGCCGAACGCAAGAAGCGCAAGGAAGCAGCGGAAGGCGAGGATGCCGAAGAAGCGGAAGAAGACGAGATTTGGGACGCGCTTGTAGCGTCGCGGCCTGAAGTCGAGGGCGATGAGGAGAGCGAGGCAAGCTTTGGTGATTTGATGAGTTTGGATGAGGATGATGACGATCTTGAGAAGCAAATGGCGGAGCTTGGTAGTGATGATGAGTCTGAGGGCGGAGTTGAGTTCTGGGATGATTCGGAGGATGAAGATGAAGGTGATTCAGAGCTTCAGAAGGTACCTGGCGGCGAAGATGAGGAAGAGGAAGATAAGGAGAAACCAGATGACCGTAAGAAGAGGAGGAAGGCGCTCAAGAACTTGCCTACGTTCGCGTCTGCGGATGATTATGCTGAGATGCTGGCGCAGGATGAGGATGATATATGAGTTAGCAGTTGACGGTACCTGGCACAGTAAATATCAGGCATTATTCAAGGGCGTTTTCGCGATTATAGATGGGGACAGATACTTGAGAATTCAAGATACCTAGTTCGGTACATTCTTACGTATTTGGCAACTTATTTCCGTGTAATTTGCGTGAAGTGCTTGTTCATTCTCATGGTATTTTGTTTATTTTGCCTACGTAGGTATTTATTTATAAGCCACTCGCTCTAAATCCGCAGGTTTCACTAAGCACATCGATACTTTAATAATTCAACAAAATCAAGTATCAAACCACTCCAGCGGATCCTCCTTCGTGAAAATAGCACGGTACTTCCGCCCACCATCCGGCTCCTCTACATCCTCCGTGTGGATGCTATGAAGCGTAGCGACGCCGGGCTCGTTATGTCCATCCCCTCCGACGAAAGCGCGGAAGTGGATGTATGCGGGCCCGGAGTCGGGCATGGCGGGGAGACGGACTTTGCCGAAGAGGTGTAGGCCGTAGGCGGAGATACCTACGCGCACTTCTTCTAGGTCGGAGGAGGAGAAAGATGTTAGTTCTGCGTCGCTGAGGGATTGGACTGCGGCGAAGTATTCGGGTTCGTGCTCTATTTTTTGTTAGCTCTGTATCTCACTTTTACTTTCACTTTATGGAAGGGTGTTTTGTGGTCGGTATTGGGTGGAGAGTTGCTTACTGAGGTATGTGTGCTTCATGTGCAGAAGTGTTTTCTTCAGCTCGTGCTCGATCTCGCTGAAGACTTTAAGAGATTCTTCCTTGGGAGCATGGGGTGGTCCCAGTTCAACTGTTTCGGCGGTGGCCTGGTAATAAGTCAGAGGGGTACGCCTTGTAATACAGACGCTACGGATATAGGGGCTATTACTGACCATAGTGACTTAATGTATGAGTTCTTTTTCGTAGATAGTTTCGTATTATGGTATTTCTATTGTGTATGTAAGTTTGTGCAATTCTAGAGCTCTAAAGTGAGAATCTCAATTCAAGATTCTTACTCTTATACTCCGCATAGAAACGTGTAGATCACTTGAGTGTGGTGTGACAGACTCGGCAATCTACGACATGGGATTTCGATTGACAGCCTATCGAATCATGAGTATGAATGGCACACCCTTGACTGTTTGTTTGCGTCAGAGGTAAACCAGTGACAGGGTGCTTACGTATTAGATAGCTTGCTTTGTGTAACGGTAGAGAGTGATGGGATCTTAACAGAACAATTGGTATGGGAATTTTACAACTGGATTGGTTGTGGTGGCTGTTCGGCCACTAACACGGAGACGGCCGGTACCTACTCTGCTACTGTGGATTTACGGGTACGGATATTACGGCAGCTAAGCCCTAAATATCTACCTAAGAATCTTCAAGTTGCTCTTTCCATAGACATTGATTTAAACTATGTCATATCCAAACAGACGTCATCTTAACTCTTCCTGAAACAAGCTGCTAAAGAGATCCATTTATTACACATGGTCCTTATTATTGTTATAGGTTTCATGTCCCTTGCAGAAGATGGAACCCCTCGCTAAGGATCTAGCCTTCCACGCAATACCGACACTAGCACTAGGCACAATAGTTGGTGAAATATTTTTAGACGTTAAAACCTTCCGAGACGAGACGCTAAGTCGGCGAGCCGCGGTTAGATTAAAATCTCTAGTATAATATCGGTATACTACTGCCTTATTCATTTGGAAGGTTTTTATTTTCGATGATGCCAATGTAAAAACTATATGTATTTGAATCAAACTTTTCTTTTTGGCTCGGACATTTTGTTGTTGGAGTTTGTATTTTATATGGACTCTATTCCGAGATGTGAAGATATTTTCTGAATGTCTAAGGTAGGTGGGGGTATCGAAGCATTACCTCATAAGATAAACTACCTCGGCATTTTCCTATTCTGGCATTAGTGGCTAACGGACAACTGGAACAAAAAATCCGTTGGGAAACCAAATCCGCAGTAACAAACCGGAGTGGCTTATCAAGTTACTCAACAACATCCCGCCGCAACTCGTCGCGACAAGAAATAATATGGCATCGGAGTTGGTTTAATTGGTTAGGACAACGAAATCCGCCCGGCTTGGAAGGGCCCACTACGGCCTCAATTCCCTCTCGTAGTCATGTTCGCCATACGAATGCGAGGAGCCAATCGTCTGGCTAGGGTGCATTACCGCCAGCTCACGATTATTGACCCGACTATAAAGACGATCCTGCGCCCGGGTCGGTCAATACCACATAGTCGCTTTGTCAGCACATCCCCTTACGCAGGTATATTTCCCCGGTCAGGACTATCTTATTGTGTTACCTCGGCTGACATTTAAGAAAGGCGAAGGTTCTTCACTACCGCCCCGATCCTTCCTACAGCGCGTCACCAGATTTATAGCTATCGGCATAGTATTCACCACCCTTGGTTTCGCAATGGCAGCAGCTCCCGTTATCGCGGCCATCAATGGCAAAGCACCCACGGGTGCCGAGACCCTTACCATGTATACCCCGGCGACGGATGAAGAGCGCGAGGTCGAGGACTTCATAAGCAACCACTCGCTCACCCAAGAGATGCGGTCGAAGCCGGAGTTCCGTGAGGCGAGGCCGCATCTTCAGATCCCGCCCGCGTATCGGGATAACAACCTCACAGGTGGCACGTTGCTAGGACCGGGCAGAATCGTTGTCCCGCCGGTGATATTCTCCGAGGAAGGCGGCAAGTCCTTGGTGTCGATATCGTACCTAGGCCAGGAGCTATGCGGTCACCCGGGTATAGTTCACGGTGGACTCCTTGCGACTCTACTCGATGAGGGTCTGGCGCGGTGTTGTTTCCCCGCCTTACCGCAGAAGATTGCGGTTACTGCCAACCTCAATATCAACTACCGCGCTCCGGCGCCGGCCAAGTCGTATATAGTGCTTAGGGCTACCACGACCAAAGTAGAAGGGCGCAAGGCTTGGGTCGAGGGGCGGATAGAAACTCTAGTCAACGAAGGAGAGAAACCCTTAGTTCTTGCGGAGGCGACAGCGCTGTTTATTGTCCCTAGGGAATTGGGCGTGAGTACATTTCCTAAAATAAACTTCTCTGGGGATTAGTGACTAATATGGTTTTTAGATGATCACGAATATTTTCCCCACGACATAAGCGTGTGCGATAGACCACGATAGAACATGATGAGAGGATAGGGGTAATAGATTATGATAGACGGCATGTCTCACAATTGAGACGGAGTTTGGCTGGAACTTAGAGCTTTGTTGCTTTAGAATTCTTTTTACTTTAATATGTTCCCGTGGAGCTATTTAACATACCCAAGAGAGTGGTATCGAATGATACTCGAATGACCTTGTCCCCGCTATATGCTACATATAATACGAATTCCAATGGGTTTTAAACTACAAACGTATTTATCTCCCCTATTAACAAGAAGTGGCCAACCAAGATGCAACGGCCCATTTAAACCAATCAAATCGAAGAAGTATACATGGCACTTCTTAGGTAATAAAACTAAATCTTCAAGACGTATTACGGGGTGAAGTACGTAAGCAGACTTACGTTTGCTACCAGTATCAAATCCAAAGAATTGCCCAGTCAAGCAAAGATGGGCGAATCGGAGAACGAAGGAAGCACGTCATCCGACTCCCGATATCCTAAACGGTAACTTACACATACCCGCTGCGGCTAAGACACATATCAATAACGCAATATAGAGAGGTACTTCTGTCGTATATACGCTATCAACTTTAGCGGAAGTATATTGAGAAATAGAATAGCTAAACTTCCACTTTTTTTGTGACAGCTTCATTATTACTCTAATATTTATTCTCACTGTCTATATATCTTGCACTTTTAACATCTACTTAATAACAGAGGAAGTTGTGCTGTAATTCAGGAAATATGGCAACGTAAGTACCTGCTCTTACTTTGCTTTTCTTTTTCTGCGCTTCCTCCAATTCCTGACCTTTTTTTCCTTCTACCCCTCCCCCGCCATTCATCCCGCATTTTCAACCTACCACACATATAACGCATCCAAGGACCCTGATATTTCAGCAACGAGCCAATGAACCGGCACAATAGAAGACCAGCCAAACAAACGCATTGTCCTAACAAGACATAGAAACACAGCAATAAAATGCATAACTAACACCCACCTCCAGCAACATAACCTGGCACCCCTCCCTAACCCGCCACGAGCGCAACACGCTTCGCGGACAACGCGGTTTCACACTATGGTTCACCGGGCTCTCCGCATCCGGTAAATCCACCGTCGCCGTCGCCCTCGAGCAACACCTACTCCACCTAAACCTATCCGCCTACCGACTCGACGGCGACAACGTGCGTTTCGGGTTAAACAAAGACCTAGGTTTCAGCGACCGGGACCGAGAAGAAAATATCCGTCGCGTAGGCGAAGTCTCTAAACTATTCGCTGATTCCTCGGTTATCGCTATAACTTCCTTCATCTCGCCTTTCCGCGCTGATCGCCAGCTCGCGAGGGATTTACATGCTGCCGCTTCTCAGGGAGGAAACGGGGATGATGCGCTTCCGTTTGTGGAGGTGTATGTTGATGTCCCGCTTGAGGTAGCCGAGAAGAGGGATCCGAAGGGCTTGTATAAGAAAGCGCGCGCGGGTGAGATTAAGGAGTTTACGGGTATTAGTAGTCCGTATGAAGCGCCTGAAAACCCGGAGATTGTGATTAAGACGCATGAGAACTCGGTTGAGGAGTGTGTGGCGCAGATCGTGAGGTGGCTGGAGGAGAGACAGTTGATTCCTACGAAGACGACTACGGCGACGCCTGCTGAGGCTGCGGGGAGTGTTGGGACTGCGGCGCTGGCTTCGTAGGGAGGACTGGTGAATGGTAGGTAGGTTGAGAATGGGGCGTGAGTGGAATGAATTATCAAAAGTACTTGATCGGGTTATTGCATACTTGCTTGCGTGATAGAAAATGCCCATCGAAAGAAATGTACACTGAAACTCTTATATTGTTATGTGACAATCGGAACCCCTTTTTCTCAGAAAAGGAGGGATGATGCTAGCCATGACATATGTCCGCCCACAAAAACGCCAACCTGATGAATTAAGCTGCTTTGCGTGCTGTCTATAGATCGAACTCGTAGTACACATATGCTGTGTACTCGTTTCCTTCTCCGTGTCCCAGACCTGCTGCGGCCATTTCCGATGATAATGCGGCGTCGTCCTTTGTAATTCTCCCTCGCTTGTCTCGTCCGAATGCGTTTCCACCTAGGTATGAGTAAGATGAGTCTAGTGCAGTCTTCACCTTCTTCACCAGCTTCGAGTTTGTCTATTATCTTCGAGTTAGTATGGGTTGGATATGTATGGAATTTATACCGGCATGCTTACCATTACAAGTGCTGACACGAATTCTAGTGGTAAACCGTAACGTAGCACAGACTCCACAAACACGCGGAGAGCCATGACATGTGCCCATATCATGACACTTTCGCTCCATCCCGTGCGCGTCAACCGTAAAGCTTCTCCCCAGACCTTCTTTTCTTCCCGCGTAACACGGTCCAATTCTTTTTGCTCTTCCTCCCTGCCACCTTCAACATATTTGTATTGGCGAGGTGTCCACTTCTGCTCTCGGCACTTTTGTTGGAATTCATTGCTATGCTTCTTAAACGTTGTAACGGCGAATAGGATGAACTCATCGTCTTGCGCAACCTGTATAGATGATCGAGGGACCACCATAGGTGCGATGGTTTCGTAGCTCTTAAGATACTCCTTTTTTAGGGCAGAAGGGACTGCGACGAGGTGTGTTTCGAGGTATTCGGAATCTTGTACTAGTAGAGAGGGGTTGACAATCGGGGTAAGCGACTTGGTTGCGAGGTTACCACTATGTTTAGAGAAATGTTAGCATCTAATTTAAAGCCATATAATAGAGGTTATTGGGGGGCGCATTACGTTTGCTTCCTTTGTAAAGTAGCGAGGTTCGTCTTGACTTGGTTGTATTGGTTGAATTTGCCTTTGACGTCGTTGTCGATTGTGACCAGTTCCTATTGAGACAAGTGCTTCATATTAGTATATCCCTTTTGATTATCTGGCGCAAGCTATGCTGAAGAGCTCTGAAGGACAAAGTATACCTTTTGTAGAATATCGATGAGTTCGCCGACAGGCCTGTCAGCTCTGTAACGGACCTTATTCCAGGTGAATGTACGAAGATACTGATCCGTCGGCTCTGGGAAACTAGTCAACAAAATGAAGCGCTATAGAGCTGGAGTAATCACAAACACATACTGTCGTTGACCATCTTTTGTTCCGAAGCTTTTTCGTCGTTTCCTTCGTATAAGGTGCGCAAGGAGTCGCCGACCTTGGTAACCACACCTTCACAGGCTGTATTGAGCTTCCCTAAATCATCGGCTTGTTGAACCAATGCATCCAGAGTTCCTATCTTAAAGTTCGGTACTGGAAATGGTAGGACTGTTCCATTATCGGATGTGATAGTGCCCTTCACGGAATCAAGAGCTTCTTGTTTATCGCCTGTGTCGAAGGTGCTAAGAGGTAGCGACAGTAGAACGTATTTGGCTGGAGTCGGTGCCATCGCGGCGGGTCTATTTTATAGGGCTCTTTTATATTATTCGGGCGGTGTCTCGTTCGAAAGGTATATTTACGTTGGTAGATGATAGCTAGATGGGAGAACGGTTTCGAGGTGGATGGTCGACAGCTCTTGGAGGTGGAGTCGGAGAATATTGCTCAGCAATAGAGGACTCGAGGTTGAGCTAGCAGCGGAATATGACACATATAGGGGTGTTATCTATAGGTTATTGCGGGGTCGTCATATATCAAGAATAACCACAAACACTCTTTCGTGGCTCAAGTCGGCGTGTGGGATGTAAGTGAGGCAGAAGTTAATAAGTTAGCAAGTAGCTGTATAATGGAAGGCTGCTGCATGATTGGAGCTGTCGGTCAACGTCAGTGCTTGTTTTAGTTTAGCTTTAAGTGGGTTCACTTAGGTACTTCTCTTCAACTAATATTACCTAAGATATAGGGCAGCTACAACCTCGGCGTCTCTTATAATTCTTGTCCCGAATATGCTGTGCACCTATGATCATGGCAAGAGCCTATCAACTTTAAAAGAGAACTTGTACTATAATTTATACATAGTATTAATACTTGTGAATTATGCCGCCTCGTCAAAGTCTCAACTATTATCACGAAATACAGACGCATGCCTAGGTAGCTTGTTCAAGCATTAGAGTGACAAACCAGGTGAGTGAGTACCTACCTAGGTATGGATATAGCCAGGCTGGTGTGTGATTGGGGCGCAATGTTTATATACCTAGGTACCACCTGTATTTCTTGGTATTATCTTTGGTGTAGGTCCATAAATGCGCCTTCGAAGTCCGTTGGCTTTACTGATCTTAGAACAAGATATAAGGTGCAAATTAAGGCGTGACGATCTAGATATTCTCATATAAATGGTTCTCCCTAGTTGAGGCATGTTTGTAAATCTTAGTGCCTTTCTTCGTCCAACTTACACAAATGCGATGTCTCTGGAGCCAATCATCTCGGTTCCCGACCCGAATACCTGGCAACGCGTTGTGTACGTATCCAAATTATTCTAATGGTCAATAGACATAAATGGAAGTCGTATCAAGTATCTTTTTGAATATACGAGTTCGGTGTACCCCCTCATTTTGATGACACCCGCGTAGATAGCCAATTGCGTAGTAATCGGTATATAGATAGGAATGGGATGATGTCCGGATTGGAATTGCCTAGGAGATACATATGTATGTTTGGAGCTGAAACGGAGATGATGGATGGATGGAGTGAGTGGGTTGTACGTGATAAGATAAACTATTTTGCTTCAGTGCAGCAACGCAGCGACGCAGCAGGCGCAGGTGAAGATTACAGGTGCGGGACAAGAAAGGTAGGGCGGGTCACGGGCCACCAAACCAAGCCATGGGTGATCCTGTTTACTGCTTCCCCATCCCTGAACAGATAGAAAAGAAGGTGCGCCTAGATGCCTTGTATGCCCAGATGGGAGGTCGCGCGCACCGCACCCTCTTTCTGCGACTCCGCTTTGGCCTAATAAATCCACTAAACATATCTGAAGGTAGAAGGTACAACCCCAAATCCTGGAGAGAGTAGCAGTAGCGATCAGTGGAAGGGAAGTCGACGTAAAGCCAGTAAAGCCAGTAAATCCAGCAAGTCCAGCAAAGTCCAGCAAAGTCCAATAGCCGCCGCCGACAGAGCACGAGAAAGCATTTCACCTTACCAAAACAACAAACCTTCGACATCACCTCACGTCCATTATTTTTTTAATTTTCCCACCTACCACTTACCACCTAGCCCCCCCTTTTTTTATTATAACTCGACAACAAACTCGAGACCTGCGTCGTTTCTTGTCGCCCGTTACACCAAAATTAGCGGTCAACCAGTCCTATGTGAAGAAAATCAGAAACCCAACCACCTACCTAGGTCTAGGTATAATCGCCATCAACAACATTTGACTTTGATTTGTCTTGTCTATCTGTCGCCGCCGGCTGAAAAAGATCAGCATCCAAAAACTTAATCTGCAACGTATTTGTCGCCCCGACTTCTTATTACTAGCATTAGGTAGTCTAAGGGTATTCTGTCTACTTCATTATTCATTCATTCATTTATATTTTTCCCTCGGTATTCCTACCGAATATCATTCCCATCTAATCTACCACTGCGATCGAATACACCATACAACAATCCTTCCGGCGCATTCGACCCCATTGAAAATCCTACGCATCTAACTAATCCCATCTATCTATCCACCATCCACCCCCCATCTATAACAAACCCCGGCTCTCCGCGGCGTCGCATCGGCTCACTCGCAATGACGCGCTGGTAATTCGTAACGCCTCTCTACCTAGGTACCCTGCGTCCGCTTCCCCGTTCTCTGCGGTTCATGAGTATGGAATTCTACCAACCGGCCTATACTCAACTGCCAGAGATAAGTCCAATCCCGTCCGTGTCGTAGCGAACGAGACAGACCTACCTATAGGCTGCACCCTCTATTTTCTGTCATGGTCGGCACTGCACCAACCAAATGGCTACAGCGTCCAGTAGGCCCTTTTCCCCTCACAACTTTCTTATGATTGCCTAGCTCACTCGACATGGCAGGCCAACAATCGGCCAATTTGGCAAACAATCCATCCTCCATCGCTACCGGTGCCTCGAATACTACCGTCCAACATCTTTCCGAATCTCCTGCCCCCGGCTTGCCCGCACCGTCGCCATCCTTAGCCGCCGCTACTACCAACGGTGGCACCAATGGTCTCCTGCCATCTACTTTACCCGCCGACGGTTCTCTCCATACGGATCTGAGATTGTATCCGCGAGATGGACGTGTCAGAAACCCCGTACCGAGCAAGCTGAAAGATGTTACGGAGCAGATGAAAGGGAACTTCAGTGTTATGCATATGGATGTTGCTAGTCATCGCGCGAGCGAGGGCCGTGATGCTGCAGCAAAGCGCACGAGCGAAAGCACTGCACTACAGGCTAGGCTAGCCCAGACTGACACATATGTATCTCACCAACGAAGAGCGAATTACCCACGACCACCCGGGTTGAAACAATTCACGTCTCCCAAGAAATCCGCCTCTACTGAGCCGGTCGTTAATGAACCCGCTCCTCTAATACCTCTTTCTATGGCCGAGACTAAAACGGAACAGGCTAGGCTATTAACGCTTCTGAGAACTCTAGCTCCTAATACTGTTGTTGATCAATTATGCAGAGCACTTGCTTTCTTTGGTGGTATACCCGATGCCCCTCCTCCTGCGGATGGCAAGTTTCCAGAAAGCGCCGAAGCGAACGGTTCTGGCTCTCTGTTTGTCGGGTGGATCGCCGAGATATTCCCTAATCTTGACGAACCTCGAAAACGAGCAAGACTTCCATCCCTACAGTATGCGAATCAACGGCGGCCAAGGGGACGGCCCAAAGGCAGTAAAGCTACCAAATCTCGAAGCGACAAGGGCATCAAGAAGGGTAACAAGGGACCAAACAATCGAACCCAAGAACCTCAGGATGATAGCTGGGTTGATGTAGAAGATAGCGCCATGGAGCTGAATGGAGAAGATGATTTAGTCGAAGAGGTATTGCAGAATGCCCCGAGCACACCCCCGCCGGCTCCGGATGGGGGACATTTCAGCAACACGCCGGTCACAGGTTCGACTGGCGGGTTTAAATCTATTAATGATGCCGCCGTTGCGGCCAATGCGGCAATCGCTCCTGGGTCTAGCGCAAAACGACGGGGACGACCCAAGGGCTCCAAAAACCGGCCTAAGGATGTAACCGGTTTACAACAGGGTGGTCAACCCACCGAATCTGCAATTCCGAACCCGAACACTCATAACCACACCGATCATGTGTCAGCCTACCCAATACCCCCGAAGGTGACACCGGTACCGGTGCCATTGCCTATGCTTGGCGAGCAGCCAAAGAAGAAGACAAATTCTGGCCGGCCGAAGGGCTCCAAGAACCGTCCTAAAGCTACTGCCGATTTAACAGGCCAGGATATAACTGCGTCTCAACACCAGACGTCTGATTTACCGAATCATCAAAGCAGCCAACCTCCAGGTCAGGTGATCACGATTGGCCAGTCATATACGGGGAGCACCGCTGCTTCCAATGCTAACATTAACGCTGCTCAGGCAGATAAGCGAGGACAAATACTACCGCCTGCCGCAGTTCCTGCCCCTCAGATTCCGACCTTGCAAGTGAAGGAGTCTACGATAGTAGGGAAGAAGCGAAAGCGGCCGTCTGCTCCTGCTGGTACTACCAACCCTCAAGGAAACATTACACCAGATGGTGTGGTTGGAAACAATCCAAACCCTCCGCCAGGGCAACCCAGCATCCCACAAACAACGACTACGATTCCTCAACCACAGCCCCCGACCAATCAGTCTATTCAGCAATCTACCGCGACCGGTAACGTCGCGCCATCGGCCAAACGATCTCGCAAATCCCAAGAGTCGGGTGCACTACAAACATCAAAACGGTCGACTCCAAATAGCATGGCAACTAAGAATTCTATGCCATCTGCAGCCGTCACCTTGGACCCAATTCGACAGCCGAGCCAGACTACAGCGTCAGCTCAGAACCATTTATCAACGGATGGCCTCGAGGCACATTATGAAAGAATGGTACAGGGCCACCCGAATCGTCCTCAGAAGCAGCAGCAACCTGCTTCGCAAATCGGACAAACAATCTCTCCGGCCCCTGCGGAAGGTTTAGAGGCTCACTACGAGCGCTTTACTGCTCTCCAAAACCGCCAAGATAGCGGGAGGCAACCGACGGCCGGTCGTCAACAGATACAACAGCAGACCACCCAAACCGCCTCACCTATACCATCACAGACTTCGAAGGCGCCACAAATGTCGTCTTCACTAGCTCCGCACCAGCAGGCAAGGACGTCACAAAGTTATTATCCTCAAACACAACCTTTGGGCTCGTCCTACAATACACAGGCTCCCACTTATTCAGCAAACCAACGCCAACCGCAGCATATGGCTACCGGGTCCCCTGGCACTGGACTCGTACAACATATGACTAATTCTCCCCAATTCGGGGCTCAATCAAACTCGCCTTTATTACAAGGCGACAGTAGCAATTACCGAGGATCACCTTCGTTGGTACACAATAATACAGGCTACCCACCACGGCGAACACCCTCGGCATCACCTCTCGATAATAATTATCGGGCCGCAGGCACCGCTAGCCACAACGTTTCAAGCCACTCACCTCACTTCGGCGCACGCCAGACTCCGACGACTACACACAGCACGTCACACCCTGCAATGCCGTCTTCCTTTGCACCTTTTTCAGATTCGAGCTTCCTCGACATACAAAGTCTAGATTCTGGCAATAGCCACAGTGGACTCAATCTTGGTACTAGTTCATATGGGCTTAGTAGTGGAGGTGTACCTCAGCAACAGAGAACAAGCAGCTCAAGCGCTGCGTCTCTCTATTCTTCAGCCGCGGGGATGAATAACAGTTATTTGTCTTCCTCTAATGTTGGCCGTACTGCCCCGAATCGGTGGCCATCATGATTCTGTTTTGCTGGAATGTCCAGTAGCTAGTATGGGATAGGGGATTCGATCTGAACATGATATATGACGGAATGTGGCGTTATAGGAAAGGAACCCAAAAAATATAAAGTGGCGTTTGTTTGAATATGGATTCTTTTTCATTTAAGAGTGCGGCTCAAGCGGCTCTTTTCAATTTTATCATCGTTTATTTGTTACCTAGCTCTCCTCTGCGCTGCATGGCTTTACGATGGAATGTCCACAAGGGAAAGGGATAGGAAGGGAAGGGAAGGAACAGGAAACAAATGGGGTTTGTCTTTTTCTTGATGTTTCTACTTCTTTTTCTTCCTGCCTCCCTTTCTTATAATGAGTAGGGATGGGTAAAGGGGACTTCGACTGGATTTGGGCGCGGAGAGCACACAGCCAGACGATGTGATTATTTTTTCCCTGTAAAGGGGTCTTCGGTGGATTTGCCTTTTTAACATGGATTGATTGCAACATTTTATGTTCAGGTAGCGAAACTTTACGTTCTTCGGGTTCTGTTAGGAAATTCGACGGAGGAGAGCGGGTTTGCAAAGCTACTTGCGGGATTGCGTTCTGTTTATCGTGGTTTGTTTCAATATACCATTTGTGTCGTTGGTTTTTTGCAACCACTGCTCTACTCTGCTGCTGTTGTTATTGCTACCATTGCTTTGATATAAGGAGTGATGTTTAAGGGATTAGGTAATGAAGATGCTGGTAACTTAGGGGTACATAGGAGACAAGACAAGGATAATCAAGTGAGCAAACACGTATTCGATCACGTAGGCTAGGTTAGATGATGAATGGTATGAAAAATGGTATTTGGGCCCGAGAACATCATGGATTGATTGATATAGGGATATCGTATATACTTAGGTATCTACTCCACCTGATTCATTCATCCTCTCCTCTTTCCATCTAGTTCACTGCCATCTTCTCTTCTCGTCGAAGAAACCTGCGCGCGCGCTTTCGCCTCTCGAAAATATGTGCTGCGGCCGCACAATGATGACATCTTTGCATGAACCAAATCCCATGCGTGTGTCCTCTCTGTTCGCTTCCTTACTACCATCCTCCCATCCCACCCATCAATCCTTTCAACGCCGTCTTTCCAACAGAGAGCCCACTATCCACCAATATTTGTGGCAGAGAAGCTCATAACGAGCAATAAGATAATGACAAGGAAAAGAATTGGGAGTCACGCGTAGCCTCCCTCCGTTTGCGGTTTATGGCCAAGAAAAGGGTTAAAATATAGATAACGACATAATAAAATGAGATGGTGAAGTCGATAAGTAATAGGTCGGTAGGTATATGGTAGATAGGTGGGGTATATATGGATGGATGGGATGTATCCGTTCCTGGCTGGTTTGGCAACTAAGTAGTAGCACGTACACAGCATATAATACTGGATGGACAAGCGGTAAGCAAGCCCATCCAAGAGAAGATAATAGGAAGTTTTCTCGGATGTGAGTGTTGCGGACTCCTATAAGTTCGCCCAAGCTCCTTTCTTTCTCTTCACTCCCCCTTCCCTTCCCCCTTCCCCATGAGTACGGGTTGTACAAGCCAAGAAATATATATATATGTGGCCCCTCGTCTCATAATAAACAGAAGAAAAACGCGGTAAGTTGGAAACAGATATAACAAATATTTCCCGCCCTCGGTAGTATAAAACGCCTTGTAAATGCTTCATGATGACGATGACGATGATGATACGAACGACATGGCTAGACAATGCCTAAGCCCCTCCCGCGGATATCTTCTCTAAGCGCCTATGCTAGGTATCAATCAACTTAAAACCCAAGAAAAAAAAATCGCCCGTTAGGTACGTGAGTAGATGTGCGTATAATTATTCGATAGGATCCTCCTCAATGGCTTCGAGAGGCGGTCGAACGGATTCCGGGGCTGCCCGTCCATACCACCATTCGTCTTCCTCGTGGGCACCGTCCTCCCGGATTAATTCCAACATCACCTGCGCGTTACGTTTGATATCTTGAGGTCGTTCGACAACTCCTCGGTCCAGGATAAGGGCTTCGGCTGTCGGGGCCCAGATCTGTTGTAACGTCGGTAAATCGGGGAGCAGTATCTTCAACTGTTCTCGGGATAGTTCGCCCATCGGCATGCCTTCAGCTAAACTCGAGTGGAACACCAGACTTTCCCACAAGCCAAACATCGACGCGTCACTACCTCTTCGGCCTGCATCAGATCCTTGCCGCCCTCGACCACTTGCGTGTGTATCTCCGGGCTTCGCGAAGTCGTTTTCGCTCGCACTCGACTTCTTCCGGGCAAGTCCCATAAACCCTCGTCGTGGCTTCGGCGCAGTCTCCGTAGGCTCCCGTAGTATCGAATTATACCATGAATCAACAGCTCCTCTCCTCGAATTATATCCCTTAATCTCCCAAAATCGTTCCACCTGCCGTAACCCACCAACGCACATCGCAGTTACGTAAACTTCGTCGGGAGGTCGGTCCTTCAAATAACCTCTGAGCGAACGCTCTAGTCGACCGACATAAGAAGGGGGTCGGAGACGTCGGCAGAAGGAAGATACTACCAGGGGGAACACCTGGTGAACGCGGAGTAGTGTTTGATCATCGTACATGCTCATGATCTTAGCCTCGATAGGATTTATGGTGTAAGGTTCTCTCGATAAACCATGACCATGCTCCTTAATATATTCGATATGTAATGTTCGGTATGTTTCAAAGAAATGAAATATAGTGAATAGTAGTGGTATTAGTCGTCGGCGCATTCTCTCATACTGGGGTTCGAATTCGATGCGTTGAGCCTCGGTAGTTCTAAGGAATATTTCCTTTGTTACCCTTTCACATATTAAATAGGACAATTTGGAAGCAACATGCAGTCGATGCCATATTCCACAGAGATGATGAAGCCGTATCGCGCGAGGATCGGGCGCCGGATATAATCGTTTCGCGTAAGCGGGAACATGGTGTTCCAAGTGATATCGCGCAATCGGGAATTCGTTGACCGTGATCATTGCGTGCCATGATCGCGAGGCCAATCGAAGATTTAGTATGTCAGACAAAGGTAATGAAGCAACAATCTGGATCTTCAACTCATTGGGGAGCGCCAGAAACAATTGGTCGAATGGCGTAGTCTTCCTCTTCGGAACTTCGACAGATAACCTTCGGGAATCATGATCTACCGAACTTCGCGACGGTAAGATGGTCCTAAAGCTGAAATTCGGACGGCGCTTCTCCGTCCTTTGAGTGTCGTGCGATTGTTGGTCAATTGGCTTTGATCTTCCAATGGGTAAGATGAAAGTCGAGGATTCGGCCACGACGGAGCCATCATGCGCGTGGACGACACCATCGTGAGCCTGAGATTTCGATTCGTTTAATTGCTTAAGCTTGTCAAAGTACCGCTGCGAAGCGAACTCGGTAATGTGTGGAGGATCCATTGTGATTGACTCTCAGCTGATTGAGCCGGCGCGTCTGAAACCGAAATGGAGGACAGGCAGTGCTTGTAACGCACGCTTGTCCTCTCTCAGACAGGAAAAATAGCGGCGGTGGCGACGGACTCGGTAGTATCGACGGTATTCGGTCGCAAATCAATCATGTTGAGACATTGAGAATATCGGGTAGAAATTAGCGGATTAGATTTGATTCGGTGGTGAAATCCGTCTGCGATACAATTCGACTTTTACACGTTGAGTATCGTAGGTCGAAGAGAAAGCGGAGGAGACAAGACCGAAGGAGCGACGAGGAATGGACACAACAAGGAGATGGTGAAGCGAGCGACGTCAGATGTACAGACACAATACGACAACCAAAGCGCTCTGCGCCTCCCCTCTCATTCGAAGCCTGGTTCTCGTTGGTTAGGTCTCGGTCGGAGAGGTGGAATTGGAATGTCGAGTCTCGTCCACGCCGATATGTTTACTCGATGTAGGACGACTTGTCGCAGACCCTGACAATTCGTGCTGTCACGGAGGTAAGTAAATCGATTCGACGGCTGTGAGAATAGTATCGCGACAGGTTGAGAAGAAGCTCGTCGTGAGTTGGTGATCCGACGTGGTGTGCGGTAGAGCGTAGTGTGTGGTGTAGTTTGGGTGAGGAGGTTAGGTATTAGGGGGCCAAGAAACAAGGCGCAATACTCCCGGAGCCAAGATACGGGATGTAAGAAAAGATGGTGTCGAAAAAGGTGTTCGAATAGAAAGAGAGCGAGAGAGTAACGTTGTGAGAGTAGAAAGAGACCAGATAGGGCAAACCGCCTATGGCCGGTGCTAGGAACAAGATAGACCCATAGAGTATACCACTCTCACAAGAAGGGAGTGGATATTGGTTTGGGGAGTGTGGGAAAAATGAGGCCGAGAACTTGAAGGTGGCAGAGGGTCCAAGTGGGAACTATGGTCGCAGGTCCGCAGGTTGCAGGTTCGCGGGAAGTTTGGAAGAGATGGAAAAAGAGTACGAAGGGTACGAAGAGTACACGCTGCGCACTTCCACTCCACTCGACTCGCTCGCTTCTTTCGGTTTTTCTTGGGTTTCTGGGGGTGGGTGTATAGGGAAGGACGGGAAGAAAGTGGACGGGGGGTCGGGGGTACCTAGCGGGAAATGGGATTATGGATTATGGATTGGGACGATGATTGGGGGGAGGCGATGATGAAGTGGATATGCAGACGATGCAGACGATGCATAGCGAAGCAGCAAAAAGAGAGAAGGGGAAAAAAAAGAGTGGATGAGGGCGGAATGGATGGATTGGGACTGGTCAAAAGGCAAAACAGCGGCAGAATACAAGATGTATGTAACGCAAAGTAACTTGGGTACATGTAAGGTGGTGTGGAGAAACACGGGACGATGGTCACTATTGTCACTAATGGCCAGCAGTGTCAGTGGTGTTTTAGTGGATAGAAAGAGAAAAAAGCCCATGGGGGTGTGCTGGGAACTAGGGACAGTAGGGACTAGGGGGCGTGGTAGGCGTGGGTGGCACTGGGGGAAGGGAAAATCCACTAAAAACCCGTTCAGATTGTCGGTGTTATGGTGGCATGAGCTATAAAATAGGGTGTCCGAGGGGCACGCCTTGCACGTCTTTTTTGCTGCTTACGGCGATTTGGCCGGCCAAATAGTGGAGTGAAGCCGACCTATGGCCAGCAAGTAATATGCCGTTATGCTTTGCTTTCTTCTTTTTTATCGTTTGAGCCGTCACAACTTAAAAGTATACTTAGGTACGTACATGTACTGTACCTAATGTACCTGCCTCCCGCATGGCAGTACCTACATCTCTTTTCGTTTCCAATTCTTTTTTTTTCTCTCCATCCCCGTCACTTTTAAAACAATTCTCACGATCCACACCCTTTTTTTTCTTCTTATTCCACTTTGACAAGGTACATGATCATAATCGATCTTCTTATCTATATACAATTCTTTAAATCACGATTCACATTTTCAACTAAGAAAATACAAAGTTTACTTTCGTCATCAGAGTCATTTCAAACTTCCAGTTGAGGATTTGAATCATTTCTTCTAAACATACCCAGTCTTAATATCGTTGTTGTTTTATTATCATATTAAAAATTCGGCCCCGGCATCAGCTTATTTATTGCTAATAAAAAGTTGAACCGAACTTTGAGGGAAGGGTTTATTAGGTTTATTACCATGCCGTGGCTCGATGAAGTCAGACAGCATTCCATGAGTGTTCCATCGTGCGGTCATACCCGATAGCCTTCCTCATACGGTATTCGTATTGTGTCATCTCCTTCTATCAGCATCTTAATACACGTGTAGGTACCTACAGCGCCGAAAGCCTGGACTTTCTAGACTGCCCCGACCGCTTCAAGGTCGACTACCTAATCCTTTCTATCGGCCCGCGAACCTCCCGTAGGACTATCGGTCATCCGCAAAGACCTTCTAGCCTTTGATCTCGGCCCTTTACACAAACTCACCGTGATATCTCACCTAGCTTGTCTCCCTAGCTAGCACTATTTCATCTTTTTTTTCTATTGTTCGTTTTCATTAGAATCATCGTCGACATCGTGCTCACAACGTTACGTCTCTGGTGCCAATGTGGCCCGGATCTATTGATTGGTGTCGTTTATTGGTATAAACGCGACAGGGTCTTCTTAATTTAGCCTATTAACAGCTCGGTTATGGGCTTGCAGCTATACATACAATCGTGTATACTTTCGCGGAGCCTCGTAGATTTCCGGTCGTGTCTCATGGAAATCTGAATTATTGTTGCTGCGGCCAATGCCGAGAGTAGCACCGATTTTTCGCTCACGGTCTTCGAAGAATTGGTTTAACTCGGTTATGATATTCTATGATCACCTTCATAATCAACACGTCCGTGACACTTGGCATATGCGGAATTTGACCGAGTATCTGGACTTGTACATATAACATATATGGGGAGTTCCTAACAGACCGAGATGCTGGGTACAAAACTTCCATCACAAACAGACGATCGCCTCAGATCTTTCGAGCGCCTATCTCATACAGAGATGGTAGCTTTCACCATCACGCTTGGCAGACTACCAGAGTACATAAAACAAGCTGTCCGAGAGCAGAAACAGGTCGTCTTTCATGACGATTCACCAAGCGCGCAGTGATCCTAGATACCCTTTAGGAAAGATCTGCATTCGATTTCGGCACTTCTGGGGTTGCTTTCCTCATTTCGGCCTCGCAGTGTAACATTCTACCTAGACAACGAGGCCACCATGTTTCCCAATGGGATCAGGGGCCCCTTTTTCAATCTCTGTTCTGCGAGACATCGCACATGACCATTTTGATCCCTCGAGTTTCATTCATGCCAATCGAGAACCAAAAGGGACTCTACCTTATAACACGACGAGCTTACAGTACTTACATTCTACATATACTTATAAATATAGGTATACATACAGTACACATATCTACGCATCACAATATTAGGTTATGTGTGTATGAGGTAGGTGGTAGGTATATATGTACATATTCCTTTTTTTTATTGCTTAGGTCTCGGCACGATGGATCCCACTGCATTCGAGGCTGTCCCTGTCGAAAATCAGCCCGTGGGCACTTTACCCGGCATACATACATGTAATTTCATCTCGCGTCTAGGTACGTACCTCTTTCTACATCCAAGTATAAGCAGTGATGTTCACGCTCTGACTTACACCAACTATCATCGCCGGGTGGTGATCGTATCGTATTATTACATCTAGACTAATACCAGGAAGAAAGGGAATAATCACCTTCCTTACCTACACACCTACAAGTACGGGGAATACGTATGTTAGTGACCGTGGCCCCGTTCAAGAGAGACAAGGGGTGGCGTGGCCGTGGGAATTCCCCGCGATAGAGCCGCCGGGGTCCCGTCCGCTTGTACGCTACACTATGTATTCAAAAGGAAAGGGACCGCCCATGTGGATCGGGACGGCCTTACTACGGTCATTCTCCAGTCCTCCCAGTATCCGATGCAATTTCCTTCTCATTGGTCAGCTGCTCTATTCCCCATCTTCAAAATGTCGCTCTTTTTTTGAGACGGGATTCAAGCTTGTCTCTTTGTATATCTCCCAATCATATGTATATGACTGTATTTCATGTCTATATACTTCCTACATCCTCCAAGTTGGCGAGAGGTATATTTCCGATTTGCTATAATTATCTCTTTGTCCCCGACTCAGGAGATCTATCGATAAATTCCAATCAATCCGAGTCATGCACGTACGCACTCGCCGGTACGATGTCGTCGTGGATAAGTTCTCCAGAGACTAGATCTTAGATTTGAAGTAGGACCAAAAGTAGTCACAACTCGAATTCATATGGCTCCCCGCAGCAATAAGAGGCGTGTGGCTACTTTATGGATGGCATACACGATTGTAAATATTGCGCCAGTGCGACACGGAAACGAATTCAAAATGGGACACATCTTTTTCGTGGCTTCAGCCAACAACCACCTTTTCCACAAATGAAAATTCAATTCTCATTCATCAGCATTAAGGCATACACGGTAATGCCCATATGCCGCTTATCAAGCTACTTAGAAATAGGAAATAGACCAATGACTGATAAAAGTTGGTCATCTCAGCCTTTCATAAGTGATGACACCACCGCGACGACTCGATGCTCAGCGGTCTTCAGGTAGGGCTCATACGGCGGGTGTCTCCATCCACAGGTCACATAGCCCCGAAGGCCTCCCTTCTTCAGTCGAGCCCAGGCCGATTGTGTATGGCGAGTTGCCGAATACTACAGGAAGGGTCTCGGGCGGACGTCATCGGACCTGTTTCTGATACGCGAGACGACGAGCCAGCTACAGGATCTTTTGCTCTCCAGTTGCCATGTAACGGTGGTCAACTTTAAGCCACATAGCGTACGTGGAACGTGAGGTGGACTAAATGAAAGATAATACCGGAAGACAGCTTGTAGGTCTAGCCTCGATCTCTGCTATCACGCCCCATCGTATATCGAATGTCGAGCATGAGCTGTGTCTTCTAGGCTCAACTTTCAGGCATCACTTACGCAACAGAGTAAATCTCCATTATGCCTAATCGTCCCTTGATCTAGACCCGACCACCCACGAAACAAGATAAAAATTCCTTACATCTCACAAGCAGCCTACGACAAGGAGGTGCTTAATATATCGGAGAATTGCTGCTTTGCAAGCGAAGCATTCCTGTGGATTCTTATCTATTCATTTCGCCAGTCAGGACAAGGTAATAAATACCCCGGCGATGAGCTTGGCTAGGCATCCAAGATGAAACAAGCGAGCCAATCCTCAAAAGAAGAGAATGTAGGCACCACAGAGCACATCGCTCATTACGCAAAGTAGTGTATAGATCGTATCATAACTTGTAGTTATGATGTGAAACGTCAGCTTTCTATCTTACTCGTTCAACTAACCTCTTTCAATTCTCTTTGGCGGAATTTCCTTTTTGGTCTATGCCCGACATCTGCTAAATCAGCTCAGCTCTTCATTTACCATACATAATACTCGAGGTAGGCTCTGGTCTCTCCGTCGTTGAGAGCCAACGAAACAACTGTGCCTCTCATAAGCACAGCATCCCAGGCTTATTAAACATATGTGCGCGAATGCAATGCATAGCGGAGGTAGAAGCGGCTTGACAGATAAAACAAAAAGGATGCGGGAACCTAGCCTTATCATGAAACCTGTCAGATTCGCTGACTCGGTGTCAATCTGACCCGAGATCAAATTTCCGCACGTATGCTGAGAATCTTGGAGGGGGAATGCGTGCACATATAGCCGTCTGGAAATATTCTTAAGCTTCTTGAACTTCCTTATAAGGGGAATTAAGGAAATAAGGGAGCCAGGACCTTGGATAGGGACAAGGATTATTCCCCATATCTACCTAAACTTCACCTGGTAAACAGATCGGGAAGCTCGTTTATGAAGGAACACACACAAATTTCCAGCTTACCATATTCGATCTACCACGCCCTGTTGTCTCCTACATCTCTCTCGCTGTACTCGCCGTACTTGCTGTACCATAGTACTACTCCCTTTGCGAGTCTCACCTAAAAAAAGGCGCCTTTCCCCAATTTCCGATTCCTCCTCAAATTCGCGAGCACATAGTGTAGATCGAGCTCCGACTAGCTCCGAACCAACGGTTGACCATGCGGTACATACTGGCCGTACTGCAGTACTGCGAATGCGAAAGATCTATTTTTAGAAAGCCACATGTTGTCCGTGGCCACCGTGAGAACCGTGAGCCAGCGTGGGTTGACTTATTCCTTGAACTTATTCCACTCAATGGCGTTCCTGGACCACCCCCCGCTGTTTACTGACGTCCCTTATTCCTATGTATTCTACGTATGGTACTTGAGAGATACATGGATGACACTCAGTTATGACCGCTTAAACAGCATTTACTATAAGGAGTTCGGCTGACTCTTCCTGGTCCCTTTTGCGTACCATCATCGTCGACGCCAAGACGTCGAGCATTCCCTTTTCTGCTATGAGAGTCGTCACTTGGGAAAAAAAGTACCATGCGATCTCTCACTTTCTATCTCGTTCCTCCTCCCCGCCTAACTCATCCTTCCCTTCCATTTGCCTTACAATACGTACAGTAGCCTCTTGTCAACCCTACACGAAGTACGGTTAGGTTAGGTAATTTTCCGATTATTAGTAACCCAGCAAATCGTTGCGTTGGGGATAGACTAGGGGAGCTTCTACTCGTCGTTGATAATAATAATACTATTATTACTACTGCTGCTACTACGACTATTAACAAAACTACTTACTTGCCTACTCTTTAACTTGAGTCTCCTCTTTTTTTTTCAAACCTCCTCTTCATTCATTCTCTTTATTATCATTCGTCCCGTGCCGTGTTGAAGCATTAAGATCAAGCAACATAACTCTCGCTTCGCCCTCGCTTACAATCTGAAGAAAAAAAGCTGCTCTTCTGTCATTTTCGCCCCCCCTCTCTTGTCGCCGTCGCTTTCAACTGCCGATGTCTGTCATATATGGAATGCAGTGGTAGTAGCCAAGAAAAGAAGATACATTACCTTGCTGCTGGTTCCGCTGCCGCCTGATATTACCCAGTAGATTCATCCGCCCTCTAGACATTCATCCCGAGACAAGCTTGAACCAGCTTTCATCCCATCTCTCTTCTTCCCCCCCCCCCCCCGCAGCGCGGCTGGCGTATGTGTGCGGCGCGCGTGTCTAAGGAACATTGGCTGTGTCGTCCCATCCTCTTGCGCCAGAAGCGCGCTCATCCGCCTCCCACCCATCTCGAAACCGTCCATCCATTGGCCTTCGATGCGCCTTTAGCGGTGGGCTCCTAGTATACCCAGAAGAATCTTCGAAACTATCCGCCCCCATCGGAAGGTAACCACACTATACCATACTATACTGGTACTACACTCTTGCTCACCCTAACTGGCAATCTACCCCCATTCACCGAAACCGGGCAGAACAGCCACACACCCGCACATATACATACCTAAGTACACGTACATACACGCACACCATACATAACATTTCATCCATCCAACCGTAGATAACCATGGAATCCAGACCGAGCCCGCCGCCGCCTCCGGGATCTGGCCCGCTCCGGATACCCGAAGCAGCACCCACCAACACCTCGGCCTTCGCCACGGACCCGGAGCTCTCGGTCATCGACTCTCCGATATCGCCGGCCTCGCCCAACGCCCTCGCGCGTTTTGAATTCGAAACCGGGCGCGGACACGAGGGGTCGAAGATCTTGATGGTAGAATGGGATCCGAGCCTCGGTCCCAATTCGAATTCTAGTGAAGACTGGTTGGTGTCGTGGGATGGGAAGGGAACTACGTTTCCGGTTAGTGAGAAAGTGGTGGAGGATGAGGTGCAACAACAGCGTAGGCAAAGAGTGTATTTCTTACTACCCTCGAATGCTACTGTGCCACCTGCTGTTACTATTGAGTATAAGGGAATAGGAGCAAGTCGCACACTAACCGCGCGCTCGATGCCGGCGATTTTTGCGCCGGGGTTGGGGGTTGGGACGAGAGATGCGGGACGTCGTGGCGTGTTGCATACGATTTGGGCGCGGTTGCGTGCGCAGCAACTGCAAGATGAGATTCGCGCTGAACTCGCGGATAATAGCGAAAGCGTGGGTTTAGAAATGGCAGTCCAAGAACGACTATGGATCATCGACCATTTCGGGCTCGACGACCTGCGACCCCCCGATGCCGGACCCGATGCTTCATCACCGAGTGCACAATCAGCTCCGACACAACGATCCCCGGTAGCAGGCCGGCTCGGGGAGAAGCTGCGCGGGCTAAAACTCGCGACATCACCAGCAGAACTGGCTTATGGTAGTGGGAGTGGCAATAGTAGTAATCATAATCCGTTAGGTAACAACCCCCTGCCCCTTTATTTTTCTTTGTTCCCGTCTCCGTCTCCCCCTCCATCTTCTTCTCGTCGGTCCAGGTCCCGCACTCGCACGCGATCTGCTAGTCCTAGGGATCCGAAACGTTTCGTATAGTCAGTTAGTCAGTTCGCCTACCCACCTTACCACAAGCCCATCATACTTCATGTTCGCGAGTGTGCTAACGTGGTTTGGCTGTGTTTAGGGAATCAACATCATAATAACCCCCATTTGCCGAGACCCGATCCCCCGGTCTCCCCACCAGTTAGGCGGGAAGGAGAGGCAGTGCCATTGGTTAGAGTACCGATTGGCCCGGATGCAGGGGCTGGTGGTGTGGCGTCGCTTGATGCTATACTAGACAGTAGTAGTAGTCTACCACCAACGACCCAGACCAAAGAGACAGAAGACGAACTCTTTGCTCTCCCAATGAGTCCCCGGAGTCCGGAGATGAAAGCCAAGAGCCCGTTCAGCTGCTTGAAATAGAAATCCCGCGGAAGGATTAAAAAAAAAGAAAAGTGGGAAGATCCGCAGAGGTTGTTACTCTGCTGGGATAATGTGAATGGGTATCTATGGGAGTTCTGGACCTTATATATAGGTGAAAATCTCAAAGAAACGAGGCTTATATGTAATGAAATGAAGACGAATAATCACGTCTGAGAAAAAGAAGGTTAGGATAAGTGAGATTAGTGAGGATGAGAGGATCGTGGAAGTGGTAGAAAGATGCAGAGAACTTACTAGAGAAGACTGGATCTAATGAAGTGAGAGGAAAGAATAAACGGGTGGAAGAAAGCTGCTGTAGCAAAGAAAGGGAGAAGTAGTAACCGAGAAAGAGAAGGACAATATTGATCCTGGTAGCTGAAAAGACAGCCCCATTATGAGAAGACCAAACCAATCCCTGTCTCTTAGGGAAACTGGATTATAGCACAAGGAAGTCAGAACTTACCTTGGTAGAGTAGAAGTGACAATAAAGTGAAGAGTTTAAGGCCTGGCAATGTCGGGGGGTATTCGTGTCCCGCTGTGTACCAGGATACTTGGCTTACACACTTCGACGTGCGATGGTAAAAGTTGAGATATAATAGGATGTCCATATCAAAAAAGCTAGTGTTCTGAATGACTGGGACGACTATGCGTATCGGTTCACTTATCCCGCAGCCGAATCAAGAGTAAGAGATAGGGAAAATAAAGTCTTGGCGGTAGGAAGCGGGATATCACACAGGATTACCATGTCGTCGTTTTAGGGATGAAAAATGGCATAGCAATAGTCTATCCATAAGAGGGCTTAGAATTTTAACTCACTAGGATGCAAGAAAGACAAACAAGTATATAACACAGCTTATAGCCCCCAAGACTGATCGAATCGAATGGTCCCTTCATCCGTCAATCCGCCTGCCTACGCCGCTCTAGCGCGTCGATTATGAGAAGTATGTACATAGGTGGCAGGTAATTATGCAGACATATTTCTGCGAGTTGTATGTAGGTACATAGCAAGTGAACCACCGTGGCACTTCATTAACAGCGACTGGATAAGACACAACGCACGAATGACGGAGAAATATCGACTACAACCAGAAATCGTGACTGTACCTTATCCGCATCCGCTATCCGAGTTACCATTCAGCGCTTCGCCCAGCCCCGGAATATCCCCAATTAGTAACTCCGCGATTTGTTAGGCAGGCAGGTAGTGTAGGTTACGAAGATGTATGTAAGAATATAGGTATGTATGTGTAAGTAGTGTATGTATTATTTTGTTTGTTTGTCTACGGTCGGCGGTGGTGGTTGTCACATGCTGTAACGTACAGTTCTATGCCATGCTGGGGTCGGTCCGAATGGGTTCCCTCCAACCACGTCGCCCGCAACGCCCAGTTGAAACAACTTGTACATATGTCCGTGCTCATCGTGATTCGTCGCACCGCCCTACCTTGTCTGCTTCTATGCCTGCTATTCTCGACCGCTCCTTCCGTATAGACGCCAGTCTATTGGAGTCAGCGTTCTGCTACGACCGGTGAGATGTCTCGGGATATTATGTTACTGTTGTTACTCTTGCCCTTTCTAGTAGGTGTGGCTACCTGGTAGGTAAAACAACACGCAGGGACCAACGATATAACTCAAACGCGAGTTCAGCTTAGTCGTCTCTGACGACTAAGCAAGGACCGGATGCATGATGCCATACACTCATCCTCCTCCCTCCCTCTAGCCGCTCGACCTTGTCGTCCCTTCCGGTTGGTTGGTCCTTAGCCGCAAGCTAGAAGAATTTCTCCGAGACCTGGCTCAATATCCCATCCACTCTCCGTACGTAATCAGTGGTAGGGCATGGATAGCTGCTCGTAGTATCTGTATGTCCTGGGATGCCAGACAGTCGATGAAGCACCTCGTAATAGGCCGGCAGGAAGGGGATATTGGCCTCCCATGATCGTTTGTGGTATCCCGACCGACGAATCTGGCGGTCAACATGATCAATGTCGGTGACAGTTGTAGGTAGTTGATGCGCACGTGCTCGTAAAGGATCCCAGGATCAAGCATGCCAGAATTAGAATCAACCCAGCAGTTCGACACAGGCACATCTCGTTGATGTTATCACTAACCTGTGCTTGCCCAGGCTCCCATCCGTAGCGCGCAAGCACCAAACCCAACATGACGAAGACCCCATGCCTTACCTCCACCCCCCAACACGATGTTCATTCCACCTCTCCCTCCTCTCATGCCTAAGATGTAGCACCTTCTTAGCATCCCTATACCGTCTAACCCACTCTAACGTCTCCCTCTCCGTGGCCAACTCCTGCTCACCCCCCCGCGAATCCCCACCCTCTAAAAAGCTCTCCTCTAGCGCGCGACACACAGCCTCCTGCTCCGCCAGACTCTGCCCTAACCTAGCATACAGCGCGGCCGGTGCAAACGGCGCGAGCGCAGCGTCCATCTCGGCTTGCTTTTGCCGCCACTGGCGTTCTAGCGCATGAGTTGATAGAAGTTGGGCTTGTGCCGACGCGCGCTGGTTCCCGAGTCTTGCTTCGAGATCGGTGAGGTGAGAGGCTAGCGCTATATTCTCGTCGAGCGCGGCGAGGAGGGCGTCGCGGGTTGCGGTTAGGGAGGGGTGCGCGGAGGTTGAGGCGTGGGTTAGTGCGTCGAGGATCGCGGGGTTGCTGAGGATTTCGGCTAGGTCTTGTTTTCTGTACGGATGGGGGTTAGATAGGTGAGTAGGTAGCTTGTAGATGTTACATGTATACTCCTAGATAATAGCGTATGAAGAGGTATGTTGTTGGATTATAGGGGAGACATACGATTTGTCTTCGAGAATCTTGGGTAGCCATTGATCGCCAGGGTCTTCTGGTATAGGTGGCTCGCCTGTCATAGTAGGTGCCGGAATTAAGCCCGACGCATCTATGGTAGCTGTAGATTTCCCCTTTCCTTCAATGGATCTCATGAATGTATCGTCCGGGACTGGGGCGGGTGGTCGAGGGGAGTTCGAGGTAGCGGGCGTGCCTAAACGGCTTGCGTCATGGCTGCTTGGTTTCGGCGGAGGGACTGGTGGTGGAGGCGTCGGGCTATACATCTTGGCTTTTGGTTGTGTATTTTATATGATCTTCCAGTTGTCTGAACTGGAAATCAATGTCGAGTGGTTCCTAATATTGAGTCAAGTTTATGGATGAGGTTGCGATAGGGAGGTTCGAAGCTTATGAGCCGTTAGAGGCGAAGTGGGCCGAGGTATCGAGACCGTTACTTGCAGGTGCTTATCTAAGGTTAGCATTTAGCTGTTAACGGTCGCTAAATCTGGGGTAATCCACTAACTTATAGCGCCTCTTTGGGGGATCATATTCAGACATAACTCATTAGCATTCAGCTGTAATAATTCAGAGACACAATTAATTCTGGCAAATGACTCAATTATACCTTCATTATCTTTTTAAGAGTTGCATATGAGAGCCTGAAGTATTTAACTAAAGCCGACCGTGCTTATACTGCGGACATTTTATTATGCCCTAAGAACGCCCTCTTTTTGATGGTCATCGACTTATCCTTGAAAACCACCAACGCCAACGAAAGCCCGGGACTCCTCCATGAATGCAAACGCAACACCCTTGAGTCTTAATTAAATGTCATGATTCTCACCTCTCACTTCTTAACAGACCACAACTCTCGTGTCCACCCATGTTCTCGCATCATTCTCTTGCTGTTGATGCCACCGGGTGCTCTCTTGTCGCTACTGGTGATAGCAAGGGCCTTACTGCAGTTCGCAAACCCTTCAACAAGCTCCTTCATTCGTCCGGCTTTCATGAGTACCGCCGCCACATCCGCATCTTTCTTGGCAATAACCGATGCGAGCTCCATACACTCTAGTAAGTTGTCGCGAGTTAAAGTCGTTCCTGCAAAATGCAGCACGCTCACGTATCCTATAATCGTCTCGGGCAAATACGCATCTCGGAGGTAAGTGAAATCTTCATCTTCTAAATTCCAATTAGTTATGCTCTTTTTGGGGGTATTGCAACGACCTACCTTCAGCACTGTCCAGGAGCCAGTTGTTCAAGATAGGGCGCATGAAGCTTCGAAGTTTCTTAACTTCGTGGCCAACATTAGACCAGAAGTCTCGACCTACTTGCTCTGCCGGACTTTATAAAGAAGTTAGCTTCGTGACACCCTAATGAGGAAGTAGTAATAAAGAGAACTTACTCTTGTGCCAATAGTTCGCTGGAGGCAATAGTTTCCATTGAATCTAAGGCACGGATCAAACACTCCATCTCAAAGAAATTCTGCGCTGCTATGACTTCATCTGGGCCAATGCCGTTCTCTTCCAACGAACCATTCGTAGCGCTTGCTCGGACTTCGTCAAACCACGAGACGTCTGAGTCGTCCGAGTAGACGATACCTGCTTTCCTCTTAAAAATTTCGGCACAGCGAACTCGTTCATACAAGGCACGTGCGGCATTGAAGTTGAATTGCTCTAATATGATATTAGCACTAGGTTCCGACCCTCGTAGGGTGCGGTAAGGAGCATGACTTACTAAGGAAACGTTTGTAGATAGCAGTGCCATAATAGAAAACTTCGTGCCAAAGACCATCGACAAGAAGGAACCATTCTAGTGACTGGATGAGATGCTCATCAACAGGTTCTAAATTCTCCGGAGGTTCTCCAAGGAAGTCCGATTTCAGAGGGCGTCCATACTTGAGGGAAGGTGGATCGTTAGAGAAAACGGTGAATCGACCAAACGGTGGCTGATGATCATCTGGTACGGGATGCTGCTGGAGAAGAGAGCGCGGCTGGAATTGTACGAACTCGGCGATATCCATGCCGAGCTTCTCCATCAGCCTCAGCAGTACTTCTCGCTCATGTTGGTCAGTGACACGAGTGACGTTTCGGCTGAGCGTGAAGAAAGCTCTGTCTCCCTGTAGTTGGCGGCAGTATAACGGCATAATATCAATTAGGCCAGTTAGGCGCAAAGTGCTGACATAGGCGGAGATTACGTTCTCTTGTACTTTGGAACGTTCAGAAAAGTCCGAGTGGAAGCTGCCTTGAAGCTCTTCGAGACTTGAAAGAATTAGATAGACATGTACCAAAACACGTAAGCCGTTGTGATCGCCCAATTGGACAAACTTGGCGTCATCTATATTTTCCGTAGAACCGTAGCTTAATATTAGTGCCGATGCTTCGTCTTTATTTGCTAATTTTCCAAGGGCAAGACCAAGTTCATAGGTGTACTGGTCTAGACCATTAGAGAGAATAGCTGCCTGGAGGGTTTTCATGGGTGTTTTTGCTTCTGTAGAAGTCTTGATATTCGTCTCTAGAGATTTAACGAGACGCTCCCCGACCGAAGCGGCGTCGCCGTGGAACTGAACAGCATTGAAGGCAGGGAAACTTTGGGTAATAGTAGCTGTTAAATCCGGTGGGGATCGCTTCATCAAATAAGCATCGAATTGTGTTCGCAATAAGGCATTGTAGTGGGCGAAGACAAAATCGTCCCAATCTTCGCAGACTTTCTCGACACTAGATATGTCACCCGACAGAATACCGTAGACAGCACGCTCGAGATCGTCGGTACCTCCTTGCCGCGCCAAGGCAAAACAGGTACGTCGCCAGAGAAGCATAGAGAGAGGATCGCAGTTAAATCGTCCTTCACTTTCGCCTTTAGATAAGGGCAAAGCCGACATACTAACAGCCCTCCAAACTTCGGTTCTCTCGACACACCAATCTCGGATCTCTGCGATACTTCGCCCTCTACGGAGTAACTCGTAGCATCCTAGCCAGATGGCTCTCTCGAAGTATTCATCTTGCGGCTGAAGCTTGCGATTCTGCCTCGTAGCTACATCAGGGTCGAGTTGGGTTACTAGAGCATTAGTCCCATTACGAAGTTTTTGGACAACATCGGAAGCGGTGGGTTCCAAGGGTCCGGACCAGCCATTGACATTCTTCTGCATCTTGATGGCAGATCGCGTATGAAGCCACCCATAAGCTATGATATCACCCCTCTCTGCTCTTTGTTGGTAGTCTCGCACCAGCTCATCTATGTCTGTTCGTGATCCGTCTGCACTGGTCTGCAGGCACTCTAGGACTGCCTTGCGTTCTTGCGCAGTAGAATCTGTTTGTAAAAACTCCTCCCAGAGCTCCGAGCAAGACTGAAATCTCGATACATCGTGGCGTATAGGTTTGAGAGAGGTTTTGTTAGGATATCGCAGTGGTAAGACACGACGCAAAAGGTCCCAGGTCTGGGCCTCCAACTCCCAGTTTTTTAGCGCTTCGGTCGAATTTGGCGATCCTGCTAGATTTTCGGCGTCATCAAGGTCCATAGAGTCTTGACTAGACGCATCGTATGAAGGGCGGAACTCGGTTCTCGACGACTGTCCTTGCGACTTGCGTATAGATTGTACCTTTCTAGCGGCATAGTCATAGTAGAAATTAACGAGTTTGAATATCTCTGCTCGTCTCTCGGCGGGAGATCTTCGCACAAACGATAAGGCGTCGAGCCCTCTAGCAAACTCTTCGGCATCGTTCGCGAACTCGTTCTCGGCTTCGTCATCATACAATGGCGACGCTAATGGGACATCATGGTCAGCTTCCAACCATCCGTCGTGTTCAATTGAAAGCAACGGTTGTGTACTTTGTTCATCCAAGTCGGGGGACTGAGATAATCCGCCAAGCTCAAGGCCCGACATGCGCTGGGGTCTTTGGGCGAGCATCGTATCGGTTCGAGGGAGAGATTGCAGATGATGCAGGAAGATGGTCGTTATCTTTGGATGAGGAGCTGGTTGTTAGCCAGCATCCTCTAAATCGCCGGAATTTGCGATCCAGATGGTGATATTCACGCCGATGTAGTTTACTAGATTTGCGCTAAACTCGGTGGTTTCGTGGAATGGATAGGCAATTAGGTGTTATGGTTTTGGCGTTGTCAAGAATGGAGCTGGTCAAGCTCTCACGTTAAAAAAAAGTCTTGACGCGATTTAGGTGCTACTACTGTTCATTAGCAGCGTGTCGGTCGCAACTACTTAGGCGATTGGGTTGCCAGGTGAGCTGCTATCTAGGTACCCAGGTACCTGCGTTACTCAGAAATGTGATTGGAAACGGGCTACAAGAGCATTATACACTAACCTGTTTCTGGCTAGTGTCTGAATGCTAGAGTGGGGAGTACAAAGGCAAGAATTTCTGAGCCAAAATTTTTCTATTTTCCTTTCTTTCTTTCTTCAATGTCATCGGCATTCATATTAGAGTCTCGGGACAAGCCACATATTGCTTTCAATGCTTGTCCAGATCCCATGCGGATCTCTTGCGCGCTCAATGATCGCCTAGAACGATTTCTGCTCTCCGTAATTGTTGCCTGACCTCTTTATTCAGACCAACGCACAGAAGGAGATGTAGAACATGCCACGCTCGTCCACGCAAAACTGCAGGCGCCAATCCCCAGATATACAATAGGATCAATTATATACGGGGGAAATCAAACAAGTCAGATTCATAGCGCAGGATGAATCATGGAGCATTTTCAACTCGTGCCCTTTCCTTTGTTCTTTTCCTCCTGCCGTTGCTTCAGTTTCAATCGTAGCAGGCTAGCTTTCGGACAACTAGGGCTAGATGCTTTATCACCGTATTTTTGGTAAAATGCGTCACAGCAGTCGTATAACGCATCGATGAAATCCGAGCATTTCTCTTCATTATAACCATTCTTTCCTAGGCAATCTAATTGTGTCAGAGTTGGGCGGGATCTATGTATGTGATTCACACACCTTGAATGGCACACTTGGAAGTTCATGTTAGCCGCATGCACAGCTAGCCAGGCACAAAGAATAACAAAGAATACTTACTGCTCTAGCATGACAAGGAGGCTTCGATTCAATATCCTGTCTCTCACCCTATGATCTTATTAGTCTGATATTCCTATTACCATAATAATGATTACACACCATCTTCGATATTTTGTCGTCTCCCGTATTGGTACAACGTAATGGAGAAATGTGTAGGCGATATCAATTATCGATGTTGAGAGTCGGTAATAACGAGCCAATCGTCTAGTAGTAATCAATGATTCGGGAATCTATCCGTTTAAAAACCGTAGTTGATCTCTATCTAGGTATATATAAATCTTGATCAGTTCAATATGACGTCGATATTGGCAAAGCTAACCCCATAGGGCTTTTCTTAGAAGACCCTGAAAGACCCTTATAATTGAGCATAGAATTAACCATAAATATTACACATACGCTATTATACTACCTATATGATAGAGGCTAGCAATTGTAATCTTCTTTCACGGTGGAACACCCATCCCACAGGTATGTGAAGTATCCCTGTATACGGCTAATATTGTAATTTTCGTAAGTTATACCATAAACACAAACAAATGGGATCGAAGGGATTAGTTACTTCATTGCTACCTACCTAGGTACATGTAGCCATCGCTTAAAATCTTAATTGCAATTCCTATAAGTCGTCCACAGCCTTAGGCGAAAGGGTCCCTACTAAGATCAGTTCAGTTGACACGACGGTCGTCATGATTAGCTCTGGGCAATGTTCAGGGCTATGTAGTCCAGCTCCTAGCCTTAATCTTGGGATCTTGGCTCTTTAACTTTAATCAGCTGGAAGAGATCATCATCAACTGTGTGCAATGGGTGTGACCTCTAGGCTCCCTACATACATGATACATGCATGCATATGTACCGGACTTGTCCAGGCTAAAAATGCTACCAGGTACCCATAGGGCAGACTGACGCAACAACATGGTACGACCCAGGTACACGGAGATAAGAAACAAGAACTTCGTAAGCGAAAGCGGCGGTGGCGGCGGCAGCGTCGTCTGTGATTCGAATCAATATGGACGAAACACCTGCATGTATCTATCCGAAGGCCAGTAGAATCTCTTGAGCCAATGGATATTTTTCTCTAAACATCGATAAGTTAAAGTACCATCTACTCCAGACTATAAAAGATGGCACTGGAGTAGGTACCCACGTAGAGAAGGCACCTGCATCATAGAATGTTTTGGTTGATGTAATCCCCCTAGATTGCCCTAGCAAGAGCTGAAGGTTCTAAAAACTCACAAAAAGCCATTCGTGTTTAGGGTATTTACTAGCACTTTCTCAAGGCAAGTAAGTAATAAATTACCCGTAGGAGGTACCTTCCCTGCTGATTTCGGGTACTGTACCTACGGTTTAGGTCTAAGTCAAGTAAGTAACAATTACCTGCCCCGCACCTAGCGTGGTTGCCGTCCTTGTTTCCACCTAAGAAGCGGCGCCTCACGCAGCCTTCGCGTTGATTCTAAACTTCACCACTACCACCGCAATCGCATCACACTTTCCGTGCATTCTTCTCTAAATTTTCTCTTATTTTCTTATTTCTGCCTAAACTTTTCCTCCTCTACCATCTATTACTTCTACACATATCACGCTAAGATTTACGAATCTTTCATCCACAGAATTCTTCGTAGGAAGCTCGCGTTCTAGAACCACCCGTGTTGCCCCCCACCGACCTCGATTTGTGAGTATATCCACTCTTCTACCATGTCCGTTGTGCAAACCATGAACCACCAATCTATGTTCACGGAAATATCTTACTGACACATTTCGCCCTCTGGCGATCACAATAAATAGTCAGCGATCTAACGTCTCCCAACTACACAGAGGGTTCACTAATCGATCTCGATACCTCTACACATAAAACTCAAGCAATACCAGCCTTCACGATGTCCGGAGAGAACGACAGCGGAAGCCCAGGGGCTGAGCGACAGGAAGCACCCGCCGGCGGCGCTGAGCACTTGAACATTAAGGTCACTGACAACAACAACGAGGTCTTCTTCAAAATCAAGCGCTCCACCAAGCTCGAAAAACTAATGACGGCGTTCTGTGAACGTCAAGGCAAGAGTGTCGAAGCAGTTCGCTTCTTGTTCGAGGGACAGCGGGTTCAGAAGAGTGATACCCCGGATTCGGTAAGTCTGCTCGTCTGCCTGGGCATCGGACTAGGCTGTAATCTTTCCCCGTACAACCTCGCGTTCTACTGGTTTTCTATCGCACTGTCGCTTTATCGCTGTCATCCCATCATATCAACTTTGCGCGCATTAGAATTTTATGTTTGCTAACAATGATGATTCTGCTTCGTAGCTGGAAATGGCGGATGGCGACACTCTAGAAGTCCACCAAGAACAGGTTGGTGGTGCCTGCAGCCGCTGATATTACCCAGCTTTACCAACCAACGTATCGACGTCGAAATCGGCGTCAAGGAACTGAAAAATGTATTGGAGGGCAGGGCGTGCAGAACAAGTGGTATAAGCTTGAATGACGAATCAGATGATGACGATGGGAAACAACATGGAAAAATGAATCTTTACCAACCTCCCTCTCGCCTCGGAACGGATCTCCCCACAGGCCCTTGTTTGCCTTCCTCTCTGCATGTTCGCATGAGCTAGGGAGTTTCTGTCATCTAGATTCTTGCTTTTGCGAATCTTTCAGAAGTACTTTCTTCTAATAATTAAGATGGCGGCGCGGCCTCCCGATTTCGGACGAGAGCACTTTTTTGTTATTGCCGCAGTATTGTTTTTGCGCTTTGTTCTATTTTACATAACCTACCTCCCTATCGGGTGCCATGAATCGTTCTTGCTTATCCATCTCTTGCAATTGTCCCCCTCGTTCTCTAAATGTGAAAACAACTTTCATCGTTTATGTATGACAGAATCCGAATACACCGAATTCATACCATACTTGACCTACATATTATACCTAGGTACCATGATAATCGCGATACTCGGCTTCAACTATCCGTGGTAACGTACCACAAATTGATTCGTGCCTACATAAGTTCCCGAGAGGCGGTAAAAATAGAGTAACACACATCTTCAAAACTTGTTTCCTGCATGAATTGCATCGTATATTTATGCCACCTACCTCATCACTGTAGGAAAAAGCAAGGGCAGAACCAACAAGAAGCGGAAAGCATACTTAAAATCACACGTAGGACAGAACACTGTGTGAGTTGAATAGAACCAAACCAAGCATGAATCTGTATTTCCGAACTGCTACTGCTATTGCCGAACCTCTCGAATCTCAAAAAAACGCCATTATGTATCGATCGCACCCGTGAAAATCAAAAGCAAAAGCAAAACCCGCAGCAACACGCCCTGAATGATTACTTGCTGCAAACGCAAAACGCAAAATCCCAAGCACTCTTGAAGACACCTGTACGAATAGTCTCAGTTCCAAACAATCTGTATCACCGTCGTTGCAAAGACGATTACTGGATGGTCGTTATTATCATAATAGCAGGAACGCCATATTTGTTGTCGTAAAATCATGAGAACCCCCTCACATCTTCAACTCCGCCGCGCGACAAGCGGTACAAAGCACAACACCCTCACCCCTCTCCCTCATAGGAAAAATCTGTCCATCATCGAAGCCACCACCACACCCAGCACACGTAAAACAAGCCTCATGCCACTCAGCCCCTAAAGCACGAACATATTGCCCTACAACAGCTTGTCTGCACCCCCTACACTTCGGCGCGCGGCGTTCGGTACGTTTGGTCTGACACTTAATACACCAAGCGTATCCGTCTTTCTCGATATGCGTATCGCCCTGTTCGAACGGATCGCCGCATTCCGCACAGAAGAAATGGCCGTAGTGCCAGTGGGCGCCTAGAGCTACTACGTGTTCGCCTAGGATAGGGGTTTTGCAGTGCTTACAACGTGGGGCGAAGAGTTCGTGCCAGTCGAGGTGGCAGTAGAAACGTAGTCTCTCGTCTCCGTCTTCCGCCATTGTCTGTCCGGGTTCCTCGTCGAGAATTTGACCGGCTGCACGCCGGCGTATCCGATCTAGACGTTCTGAGCGGAAGGAGTCGGGTTCGGGGCTGATTTCTAAGGCTTCGAGGGCTGTGTTGCAGGTGTAGCATCGGAAGCATTGCGGATGGAAACGTTCCGAGGCACCGGCGAGTGCGACGAAGCGGCCCTCGATGGGGTACCCGCATTCATGGCATGCTGCTGTGGCGCGGCGGTTGGCAATGCTACCGGGTGCTGGAGACCAATGACTTCGAGGACGCTGTCGTGAATTTTGAAGCGCTTTCGGGTCCGGTAGGGGTCTAGTTGAAGGCTTTCTGGCGTTGTTGTTGTTGTCGTCGGGTGTAATTATCGTAGGTATACTTGGGGTGTTGTTGTTGCTGTCGTCATCAGGAAGCACAATGGTGGGTACTGCTGGTCCGTCTCCAGAGATAGCAATAGAAGGCACACTTGGGCCATCATCCATGCCATCTATCTGAATACTTGGGACGGGCGGCGCGCCACCAGATTGCCGTGATGTTGTTGACGACGGCTTCGAGGTCTGAGGATCCGGCGTAACTGCGATAGAAGGGACAGGCGGAGGCGGGGCTTGACCCTGACGCTCTTTTCCGACGACCCCGAAAGGTCCGACTCGGCTGCTGTTGGCGTTGGCGTTTGTGTTGCTGTTGCGGTTGCTGTTGATGCTGCTGGTGCTGGTTCTGGGCTTGGACTCTTCTAATTTTGAATCAGTCGCCTCTTCCTCCTCCGGGGGCTTCCAGTTTTTGTCAAAGCTTACGATTGGACGTCCGGGGCTGTCACTGACCGCCGACGGAGTGGGGAGCTTAGCACTGCGGTCCTTGAGCCGCATGCTAGTAGCCTGTCTGATATCCTCGCTGCGAATCTCCACGCCGTTCTTCGTGGGGATGTCTTGAGAAGACCGCGGAGAGTCTGAAGGACTGTTCGTCATGTAGTTTGGGTTACGTGATTGTGAGGGCGGGTTCTTGTGAATGTCGTATCTGGACACTGGCTTGGCGGGGACTGAAGAGGAGGGAGCGTTGGAATCTAAAGCAGTAGTGGGAGCAAATTGAACTTTGTTAGGACTTCCTTTCGACTTGAGCCCCAGTGGTTGTGTTGTTTGTGGTATCTGGGGCTGTCTTGGAATTCGTTCAGGTGTAGCACTTGTGCTCTCTGGTTCTTCCCAAATCTGATCACCCGAGAATGGTTTCTCAATCTCTCCACTGATATTGCGCTTTAGGCTGCTAAGACGACGGCTACCAGAGCTCGAGCGTTGCGTACCACCTAGTGTACCATACGACTTTGATTTTGTCGAACCCATAGAATATGTGCGTTGTTGGTCTAGACTTGTGCGGGCACTCTCTGGCGAAGGCGCTCTTTCACTACCAGACGAGCTACCTGAAAAAGATCGAACAGAGTCTCTCGCAAGACCTGTAGCACCAATGTCACCACCATATCGTCCGACACTAGCGGTACGAGCATGGGCGTAGCTGTCCTTCCGCAAATGCGACTTGTAGCGATAAGGAGCGCCAGGCTCAGGAGGTTTTATCCCGTGTTGATGTTGATAGACCAATTCAGCCGCTTCGTCGAGTGCAGCATTGTAGATCCGAGTTTCATCCTCATCTTGCTCGCCACCTTCCTGCTTATCTTTGCTCTCGTCCTCGTCTTTGAGATTCATGGCGTCCATAGCGTCCATTGCCTCGCGGAGAGAATATGCCTCTTCTTTCTCCATCCACCGTTGGCCGCGCTCGATGTATGTGGCGCTGGGAACAACTTCACCGGGCTTTAAAGGAGAAGTAGAGGAAGGGCGTTCTGGGTAGTAATCCCTTCCCGTCGAAGATGCGACAGAGTATGCAGTGGAATACCGAGATGCTACGCTAGGTGCAAAGCTGGGGCGACTACCACGCGGTTTGGGAACATCAGACTGTGCTCTTTGGTGATTGCTAGAGGCTTCGGATAGGACAGAGACGCTTCCAAGTGACGGGCGGCCCGTAGCAAGTCGTACTGTTGAGTCTCGGTGCGGTTTCGACGAAGGCGGTAGTGGCCGCGCCCCCCCTGGGCGGTTGACGCGATTATCTCGGAGATTTGCTAGGTACGAAGCTACGAAACGCGACCGTGTTAGTGTTCTTTTGCTTGATTTCTATGGATTTTCAGAGTATCACAAACCAAATTGGTCATTGTTCATATATGTGGGAGAAGGCGGTGTGACTTTTCGGGTCGACGACCTTTCCTTCGATTTCTGTCTTCTCATTGTTGCGAACGCAGAATGCCTAGGTTAAAAATAAGGTACTATTGAGTTCTGATCACGTCAATGGTGGATTGTTGTTGTTGGTCGGGTTCGCGATAGCGGGTCAAGTGGCTAAGAGGTGCTTTTCTGTATTGATGCTGTTGATGCTGATGATAATTAATACTGTTGTTTACTACTCCAACTTTTTCTACCTACAAAAAGGTTGCCGGGGAAAAAAAAGAGGGAAGTATTTATTTATGGGTTAAGACAGTAAATGTATGAATGTTGCACAGGAGAATCATAATCATAATCATAACGCATGATGATGTGTCCCACCCAAGTCCCTTATTTAGTCGGGCTGGCCAACCGTGGAATGGGGAAAAAAGTGTTGACCAATGTTTTGCTCGTGCCTTAGCCCAACCGTTGCCGGGGCAGCCGCTAGCTTAAGACTGGTTAGATAAGACAAGGGCATAGAAGGGCGGGCAGGCAGCGACGCACCTACAATGGGCAAAAACGGGCAGGGACAGGCGAAAAAAAGAGACAGGGTAGTACAGTTCGCAGTCCATTGACCCACCTTTCTCCACCCCGACAGCTGGCGACGCTGCCCAAATGATTTAAATCAATTCAGCCAAAATTTCATCCATCCAAATGGCAACTGCCACCTACTCCGCTGCTGCTACATGCTAGATACTACATGCATCAAAGGGAAGCAGCTGTGAGAGATGCTTTGGAGCCTGCACTGTGGAAATAAACTGGAAATTTCCAAGGTTTCTTAAACCCAGAACCTTCTGTAAGATCCACTCCAGCTACAACCATTTCCTCTCCACCGCGATGCATATTCCTCACCCAGCAAGAACCAATCCCCTTCTATACCCAACCCTTTTCTATAGTACCCGAACAGCTTACCCTGTTTGCTGGCTCAATTCATGCTCTTCGTCAGTATACACAACATACATAATAGTGCAACCATCAATCTATCCATCCGACGGATGTAACGCCACGTCTGGAATCGAAGGGTTCACTGCTGCATGCAGAAGTCATTTACCACGTGCACAAGAGCCTCTTCATCTTCTCAATGGACCATCTTCCTTCTAGAAGAGCGAGATCTATCGCGAGTATTGGTCTCTGACGACCAATCCAATATCCACTTTGTATCTACCCCCTTTCTTGATACCCGGGAGGTGGGTAGATATGGCTTGGTGCGGACCTACTTGATAAAGTAGGCTTGTCGAGACCGCTAATTTATATTGGAATAGCCTAGACACCGTGCTGCGGTGAAAAAGTGAAGACCTTCAATTAATTCCGCTTCTCGTCCGATCTTATTTAGATCGAATCTAAAACGCGGCCGAAGATTTTCAGATTTTCAGATTTATTCAATTATCTCCGAGCAGATTTTCCTCTCTCTTAACTTCAACACGGACAGTTTCAGTTTATTTTGCTCAGTCTTCTCCAGATGACTCACGATGATGATCCGGCATCGAGCAGTCGGGCAATAAAAGATCTTGCTGACAAGCACCAATACTCTGTCATTTCAACCTTTCCGATCATGATCAATGGTCGGTCCTAGACGTGTAATATATAATGGAAATAAACACTCTGATGAGGTGTTTGTTAGTTATCTCCGCGAATGATAGTATAGGTTTGGCAGATGTGTCACCACGTCCGGAGACGGAGATGCTGGTTACATACAAAGATAACAACTGTGAAAGCCGCAAATCATCTCAAGCAAGCTGTGACCCCGTGGGGCGACAGGCGGGTAAGTCGGCCATCGGTACCGGGGATATCTATCGGTCTAAGAGCTCGGCTCTGCGAAAATTTGCTAACTCATTACATACCCAGCTAGGACATAAGTAGTATTGGCGTTCATTTTTGGTGTTATTTCCGGTCATCTCTTACATAACAAGGGCATCGAGGCCTACACCTTCGGAAGGACGTAGTAATCTTCGGTATATGATCCTTATATATGGACATAATCCTTTTCTTTGTTTCTAGAAATGCGAATTCCTCAAGACAGGGGTTTGAATAGATTATTTTTCTTATTTGCAGATCGGTAGCATTTAGAATCACCATGGCCCATTCCGAAATACCACCAGAGAATAATGAGAATCCTAATGATTCAAATAATGAGAAGGCTTTAGCGCCCAATTCCCAACCGCAACAAGAATTGAAAGAAGGTGGTTATGGTTGGTAAGTCACTCATGAGGGACAACCCCCAACAACGCTCCCAAATTAACTCATATTTTATTCAGGGTCGTTATTTTCGGCGTATTCATTCTTAATGCCCATACTTGGGGACTCAACTCTGTAGGCAGATCATTAATATAATTCAAGTCAGTCTCATTGTTGTCTCAAGTAACTAATTGTTTTGTTCAATCCAGAGTTTTGCTGTCTTCCTAGCATATTATCTAAGATCAGGTACATTTGGAGCGAGTCAGCTTGGGTATGCATTCGTTGGTGGACTCTCTATTTCGATAGGTATGCGTCCCCTTTGTTCCAATAGCCCTCGAAATATACAATACTATTGTCATAGTTCTAACAATTGCAAAGCCCTCCTGGTTTCGCCATTAGCAACTACCCTCATTGGATGGAAACGATGCGGCACACGACCAACTATATTCCTCGGCAGCATCTTTATAGCGTAGGGTATTATTAGAAGCTTTTCAATACAGACTAACTAACATTATTATAGGATTGGCTTCGTTGGCTCCTCCTTCGCTTATGAGTTATGGCACTTGTTACTCTCTCAGGGGGTTTCCTTTGGCCTCGGGATGGGATTTTGTTTCGTCTCCTCTGCTTCCGTTCCGCCTCAATGGTTTGTGAAACGTCGATCATTCGCAAATGCAATTGCAGCTTCTGGGTCAGGCTTCGGTGGTCTCTGTTATTCACTTGCGACTAACGCGATGATCACAAATATAGGCCTGCCATGGGCATTTCGCATTTTAGCCATCATCTCATTCGTCATAAACAGCATCGCTAGCTACCTCATTCGAGATCGCAACAAAGCCATCGGTTCTGTTCATGTCGCCCTTAACTGGAAGCTCTTCAAGAGACTACCATTCCTATTATTCCAAGCTTGGATGTTGCTGTCGCTTCTCGGATATATCATTCTTATCTTCAGCATTGTCGATTACTGCCAATCGGTTGGCTTGACAGCCTCACAAGCTTCTTTAGTGGGAGCCTTATTCAATTGTGAGATCGCAATTGAAGCTAAGTACGTAGATTTTTGAGGCTGACATTAGGCAGTGGCACAAGGACTTGGACGACCCGCAATAGGGTTATCGAGCGACTCTATCGGCCGGTTGAATATCGCGAACCTCTGTACCTTATTCTGCGGTTTACTTTGCCTCTTCTTCTGGATATTTGGCGCCAAAAGCCTGGCTAGTTGCATCGTCTTCGCTATACTAAGTGGTAGCGTTGCTGGTGTGATATGGGCTACTGTTGCACCTATATGTGCTGAAGTCGTTGGGCTGGCTCTCATTCCCTCTGGTAAGCCGAAGCAAGCCGAGCACCATTTGAGCATAACCACGATTCGAATTTACTAACTTCGACGTAGCTTTATCAATGACCTGGCTATTACTCGTTATACCAGCAACTGTTGCCGAAGCTATCGGCGTGAGCCTAAGACACCCCGGACCTGGGGGCTACCTCCGAGTCCAGCTCTTCACCGGATTTATGTACATAGCTGCATTCATATTCGGTAAGTTCTATTGCCCTTATTTCCCCTCTCCAAACAGTAGATATTGTCGAAATGCAATCGGCTAACCTTAGTCACAATATAGGCTGGGGGCTCCGAGCTTGGAAAGTATGGGAATTAGAAAAGGTCCGACTCGACAAAGAACAACGCGAACTAGCGATCCAAGACGAAGGCGTGTTGTCAGCAGCAATTGAACGTGAATCGAGCCGCACTCCTGGGGGATTACCTCCTCAACCGAAAGCATCAATTTTCAGAGGGCTGTGGGCCATAGAGCGAGTATGATCTAACAATAAAGATATATCGCAACATATCTATATCCTCCCAGCATTTAAAAACATTCAAGATATTCTACGCCAACGTAGAATAATATTTTCATATAGACTAGACGCTATATTTCACAATAATAATAAAGTTAATAACGAGATGCTCTAAAAGCACGTATACCACCTATCTACAATCCCTTGTTCGCCAATTCTATAGCCTTAGCAGCCGCTTCATCGAAATCGTCGAATGCAAAAAGCGGCAATCCGCTGTCGGCGATTATCTTCTGCCCCTCCTTCTCATTCGTCCCGCGTATGCGCACCACGACGGGAACCGACATCTGCAAGTCGCGAAACGCGAGCACGACGCCCCGGGCGATCATATCGCCGAGCGTCAGACCACCGAATATGTTGACGAATATGCACTATCATAGATTAGTCACCCTCGGCACAGGGGGAATTAAGAGCCGTTATAATGGAGGGAGTATGACATACCTTGACCCTGTCATCCGTCAGAATGGCTTCAAAACTCTTCTTCACCGTCTCGCTCGTCGCTTTCCCACCCGTATCTAGGAAATTCGCTGCACGACCACCGGCGTCGGATAAGGCGTCGACGGTGTTCATAGCTAACCCTGCGCCGTTGACTAGCGTGCCGATGTTTCCATCGCGTAGTTTGATGTACACGATGCCATCCTTCTCAGCGGCGACTTCGGCAGGATCTTCAGTAGATATGTTACGCAGCACGTGGATATCGGACTGGCGATTCGTGCTACGGTATGCGGCGTCGTCAAAACCTAGACGCAGACCCGTTGCGCTAAGTGACAGGGTTTCGGTATTCGGACTCGTAATTATTTGGGTGGATAGGAGGAACGCTTCTTTCTCGATAAAGAGCGCGATAAGTTTGCGCAGGATGTCATGGAGAGGAGAAATGTAAATGGGATCGAGGCGTAAGTGTCTGGCTACTGTGGATGCGAACGGTAGGTCTATGGCTTCTGGTTGGTTATAAGGAAAGTCGAGTTTGGCGGCTTGGGATACGTCGTTTGTTGGGGAGGCGACTATGCAGGGGCTTCGCGTGGACCGGTTTATGCTCACGGCGAGGAGCTTCCTGGGACCTGGGCTCGGGTCTTGGGTTATGGGGATGTTGCGCTGGAGTAGGAGGTTTGCGGCGGTGTTGGAGGTTAGGTATATACTCCGTTTCTGGCTTTTTACCCCCTGGTATCGGGAATTCTGGGTTGGGTTGGGTCGACGGGTTATTGTGTGTATACCTCTTCGTTGGGTGGCGCTGCCTGAAGTAGTCACGCCGGCACCGGCGGGTGTTGAGCCATCGAGGATGGATTTTAGCACTAGCCCGAATCGCGAGGGATGGTTGATTATGGTTGCCCCAGCCGCTTTAAGAGCTTCAATCTTCATCGTCGCTGAGGGTTCACCAGGTAGGTCGAATGCTCCAGCATGGCCCATTATTCGCCCCGGGACGGCATTCACACCCGCGGCAAGAGCGGCAATCGGTCTGTCGGAGATAATCGTGTCAATTATAGTGACTTGAGTTCATGTATATGCGGATAACTCACTTCGGATTTTGTGCCTTGGCTCGATACTCCTTAATCAATTCGGCAGCCTCAAGCTCGCCATCCCCACCAATTTCTCCTATAAACGCGATACCCTCCGTGTCATCATCTTCGAGAAGGATTTGTAAGCCCTCTTCCAAATTGGTGCCTGGGAGAATATCACCGCCAACTCCTATACATAAACTTTGGCCTAGACCGGACCTGAGCGTAGACGCGGCGGCTAACGAGGTAAGTTAATATGTATCTGTGGAACGCATGGTTAAGAGGTACTTGCTCTCATAGCTTAGTGTTCCTGATCTTGCTACAATACCTATGCGCCCGGGTTGGAAGCATGGTAGAGGTTGGAAGCCTGCAGCAAGAGGGGCATAGATTAGTTACTAGTTATAAATACTAAGTTGATACCAGAGCTTACTAACCTATTCTACATTTTCCAACGGCGGATATGATGCCTGGAGAATTTGCACCCACAAGCCTACACTTAGACTGTGTTTTAAGGATAGAGTGAATCTAGTAATGAATAAATGTTAGAAATTTAGTATGAACATGGTAAATAGCCAGTAGAAATAAAATTACTCGCCCTAAGAAGATCGTGAAGAGGAATATGTTCGGCCACAGCGACAATAAGAGGTACTTCGGCTTCAATTGCTTCTTCGATAGCGCCCGTAGCTTGATGCGCTGCTACATATATACCCGTCGCATCCGGTTTGAGGATTTCCATTGCCTAAGGTAATGAATTACGTTAATTCATATTACATCTTCTCGAGCATTCAAGCCAGTCTTAGGGTTATTACCTTACGAACAGAAGGCAAGACTGGTAAGCCTAGATGTTCACCCTCTCGGCCGGGCGTTACACCTCCCACGATCTTGGTTCCCCATTCTAGGGACTCGCGAGCATTGGCAGTGGCTTGTCTTCCTGCATTTCACAAATAAGCATAAAAATGCGAAATAACCAAAAGAGATAGCTTATTGGATAACTAAGAAAGAAAACTAACCTGTAAATCCTTGAAAAATAACCCGCGTGTGGCTACCGATCTTGAGATTCTTCAAAGTCGAGTCGTAACTCGAATATCGGCGATTCTGGATAGCTCGCGCCGAGCCGAGGTCTAAAGAAATGAGACCCCTCGAGGACCGAGCCCTCGAGATATTACCCAACATATTTCCCAACGATATCAAAAATGATTAACTATGCATTATAAAGGCAACAATAAGTATCTGAAATATCAGTGCGATTAACTATAAGAAAAAGGCTAATGTACTGAAGGTTCAATTCCCGGATACAAGAGGTCATTTTTAAAGAGCCGGCCCGCAGCAGTCCGGCACCGGCCCCGGAACTCCTCTACCCTTAGCCGGATCTGGAAATAAATCGGATATAACATGTCGGCTTTTCTGCCACTCTAAGCAAGTGGAGGAGTCTTATTTAAAGTACAGAATAGCATGGATTAATGTGTAGATTATGTCTGTCAGATTTAATGGTAGTGATGCTTTCTTTCGGAATGGAGGCCAAGTTTAGGACCCGAGCCGACATGAAAGTATTGGGGAGGTTGGGAAAAAGAAAAAGAGGCGTTCGATGTGGCGGCTATGTGCTTGCATATCTTCTGATAATGTACAGTATATACTTCCATCCTCGAACCGTAGCCAGTGGTTTGCCCACCACCCATCACTTATAATACAAACAGCCTTCCGGTGTAGAATTGAGGCGCTAGGTTCTATGGATGTCGTGGTAAGTTATGCGTGAGGGAGCTTCCTAGAAAAGCCTAGATTATTTCGGGTTCATTATCAAAACCCAGAGGCTCAAATATATCTATCCCCTGTACGGGCCAAACTACGATGAGCCTATTGAGCGATTGCTTGCAGCTGCCTTCGTACTACCGTCCCTGGGCTTCCGAGCCTGGCGCTGTATTTGCGTTCGGATCTGATGCGAAGCCGAGATTTTTGAAGTCATCTTTCGCCATAAGATTCCTAAACAGTGAGAATTGAGAACCTCACCAGTCGTATATCAGGAGTAAAAACTTACCTATCCATACGGCATGCTAGATAAGATTTGGCAATATTTCGACACTCTTCGTCGTTGAGGCCTTTCACCTTTTTAATACATGATAGGTACTTGGTCATGACGGCCTTGCATTCGCCTAGAATTGTGGCGTCAGCGGGTGAAACAAAAGAACGGATGGATCCCACCAACCATCGTGATCCAACGGGAAGCTACCGCGTTGCGGTCTAAGGATATGCGGATTGACCAAGTTAGTGTGTGTAGTATCTTAGAAAAAGGGTACTGAGAAAGACATACGGGATGGGCTTTCCGGTGTATGGACCTGAGCCCGGGCTGCCGAAAGAACTCATGGAAAGTGGACTAAGGGTTACCTGCGGCTGTTATATCCGCTCTAGCGAAGAAGTGAAAAGGTCCCGCTTATTTCTTCTGGGATAAATCGCTGTTTGATTCAAAGTTTTGTATTTGTAGTTGGAATTGAGAAGGAAGGCAGTGATGAACTGTAGGTTTTGAAAAGGAAAGATCGATTTCTGATGGCTCCATCTAAGCTCATGCGACCCACTCTATCCAATCAGAGTCCAGCTCTACGACCTCCTTTTCGATTTCGACAGCAAACTATAAGCCATATGCAACAGGAAAATGTTCAATATCTACCTAGGTACAAATTTATAATATTATGTCCAATTGCAAATAGTGTAAATTTGTTTATCTGTTTGTTTAGACATTAAAACTTTTTGTTCGTGTTTACTAGTATTGACTAGAGATGTATGTACAGTAATTACCTAGGTAGCGAAAAGTGTGTAAAGAGAAGGTGCCTTAGAGACCTACCAGGAACCAGCCTTAAATTTCCACCCACCTAAGGTATTTAAACTGAAAGCCAGTATTCTAGTTGCTCCTACCTAGGTAGAGGTACATCAGCCTTGATAGATGCCTATTGACAATATTCTAAATCGAGCTCCGCGATCTTCGACCATACTCTCTCACCGCTGATCCTTAAGCCGCAGGTCCACACAGCGATCAACCACCTACTCACGCGACTTCCTTCGTCCATTGGTGACGACGCGATCTCCAATTTCTCTGGGATTTTTCATGCGAAATTCATTACCCAATTGTTAGCGCAGCCCACCTCAAGCCGTTTTTGTCCATCATATCAACAAAACCCGATCTACGAGGCCAGAGTTTCCAGAACTGCTCCGTAAGACACCGGGACAACAATGGCTAGAAAGGATCTGATTGCGACCTTGTATCCCCTGGATGACTGGGCGGGCTCGTGTGATTGCGGATAGCCCCTTATGCTACCCGGGATCTCATCTGCCTCGCATAGAATTCAGATTTGGAAAGCCTCCCCAGGACAGTCTTGGTTTTTATTTGGAGAAACCACCACATCGTCGCCGCAAACATTTTCAATAACCGACTCCCACATCGACCGGCCGTGGTTTTCGCTGACCTTTAAGAAAATAGACGGGGACTATCGCCTTATCATACGAGATCTAAATTCCCCTTCCGGAATAATGGTCACTTATGATGAGGACGGGGGTTTTGTGCGAAAAAAGTTTGACTGGGTTATAGGTGGGCACGATTTCCTCGAGGAGACGGAAAGAATCTACATACATGTTATCCATCGGAATAACACCCACCGATGTCACATCCAGGTGCCCTGTTGAAATATTCAATCGAGAAGATATGTGACTAGGATAGAACAATTCCTCAGGAGGTCCGGTGCCCTCCTAAGCGAATATAGGCCACGAAACCGGCGCCCTATAGCTATTGGCCGCGAAATCGGGCGCGGAGCGTTCGGGACTGTGAGCAGGATGTGGGATGTCAGTAATACGGAAGAGTGCGCACGTAAGGCGCCGACGACAGAGAGATTTTTGAGAGATGCATGGCGTAATGAGATCGCTGCTATGAGAGGAGTTCGGCATGTAAGTATCTAGGAAACCATTGCCTATCAAACTAGGGTCTTGCTTACTTCTAATTAGGACAACATTGTCGAGCTCCTTGACTGTGATGAAGGACCGACACCCGCACTGTTCCTGGAGTATATACCGCGCGGTGGTTTGAGAGACGAAATAGAGCGGCGCGATTTATCTTATAGAGAATGCTGCTTGCTCCTCCAATGCTCATCGGGTCTAGAATACCTCCACGACAAAGGGATTGCACATCGCGACATCAAACCGGAAAACATTCTCGTCGAGGACCGCGGTAATTGGCGGAATCCCGACGAACTCTGGGTCAAGTTATCTGACTTTGGACTGTCCAGGATGGGCACTCTACAGACGCATTGTGGGACATTGATGTATGTCGCGCCTGAGATACTATACGGTGAAGGGGGGTATTTAAATTTTGTCGACATCTGGTCCCTTGGAGTCACCGTATTGGAAGTTTCATACGATCTCCCGCATTTTAATTTGGATGCTCGAAGGGGTTCCGTGCATATGGCGTGGTGCCGGGCACTAGCAAGAGAAGTGATGGAACTCGGTGAGCGACGGCCCCCGCGGGGACTAGCTATTGTCCTCCAAGGAATGTTGGTTTTTGACCAAACTAGTCGGATGACGGCATCTGAAACCGCCATGAGGACATCACAAATTTTGTGTTTGAACGAGCAGGACCTGTTTCTGAATCCAAACAGAATCCATTGCCAGCTTTTTCCCTGGGAGCAAGACGGAACCGGAGCCACTACCCCCTACGAATTTCCCGGTACATGAATTCGAGGACTTTGGCCGTCGAATTTGATATTCGGTCCCCTTCGTCCGACTAGTAGTAGAAGTGACTTAGCAGAAGGATTTGGTGGTTATATAACCATGGCTATACCTAGACTTTTGTCTAAGATATCGGATCCGACATGTGCTTCGCAGTTGAGCGGGAGATTAGATGAAGAGTGGTGCGCAACTTTGGCATTTGTCTAGATTTATGTTCTGGCGCCGCTAAATGAGGTAGCGCTTTAGCTATGATCGCTAAATAGAACTAGCTATCTGATGAAAATATGAGATGAGCCATCTTTCTAGAACAATGTGAAAATGAAAAAGACTAAGTTTAGTAAGGTACTTCGGTACAAGCAAGCACTTTAAGGCCTCGACCCCTCTCCCCCACATCGGTCCAACATCTCCGGGGGCCTTCCCCCCTGTATCTTAGCTGGTTAGGTACCTCGTTGCTGGGCGAACAACCGCTACCGAAATAATTTTGACATCACATCACATTAATTTCTTATGTATCCCTCCCCAAAACCATCCGATTTGCTGTTTTGTACGTGGAGATAACGAATTCATCTATTTGTACTTACATTCATATCTCCAACAAAACCACCTCCTATTATTCAACAAGACTTTATTTATGTGTTGAGATGAAAAGTTTTAATGTTTCCAATCTCTCTACTTCAGCTCGACAACTTATAAGCCATAAGCCAGTTACATATACCTAACACCGAACGAGAAAAAGAAAAGACCAGTAGTGTACTGCCAACCCAACAAGGCCTCCCCACCTCGTGTCTGCAGCCATCGTGGGCGGTGAATTCCCTACTGCATATTCGAAGCTCGATCTAGATACCCGATTACGCAACTCTATCCAATTACTCACCCTCCCTTGCTCGCATCGGTACCCGTCTGTCTTATAAAACCTTTTGCTGCCGCCAAGTGCGGAGGTGATCGACCAACTTGATGCTCGCGGGTATCTTAGAATCAGAAGATGCGACTAACGCTCTGCCGATATGCCGCGCTCATTTCTATAGCCGCCACGATAACGATTGCGCTCCCTGACCCTGTCGTCAATCCACTCGAGTACGGCACATTCCAAGATTATTCTCCGATTCATAGGAGGCAAATTTCATGTCCAAGCAATTATTTCAGCTGTGAAGATAAAGGTGCTGCTTTTGCTAATACTTGTTGCGAAAATGGACAACTGTGCGCTTTAGACGCTCAAAGTGAGGCAGCTTGCTGTCCATCTTCGTAAGTACCCTTTAAACTAAAAGATTTCCACTGCATCACAACTCAAAACTTACAAATATCGTCAAATTATAGAGCAACCTGCACTGGAGTAGCACCCACGGGCCCAACACCGACAGTCTCCTATGTGAGCAACACATACTTCTCATTCCCATACATACCGACGTCGTTCGCCAACTCGGTCGCATGCACATCCGCCGTCGACGAATGCTCGAGGAACTATGGGGCATGTGTCTCGGACTTGGGAGGTAATGCAGGAGTATACGGAGTTACTATCGTCGTTCCGGGAGGGGGTGGAACAACAGTAGCCGCCACGCAGGGCACCGGAATTCCATCAGCATCAGCGACTTCAGTGTGCTCGAGCTTGTCTTCAAAGGCTTGCTATAACATACAAAGCAGCCAATGCACTCAAGCTGGTACGACAGGAGGTTTTGTCATAGGCACTGCGAACTATGCAGCTAGGCCTACTGCCGCTTGTGTGGCGGGCGTCATTGCTGGAGTCGGTCTGGGTGTTATGGGCGGACATATATGAAATACATTTAAGAGTGAATCGGATGACTTTATGAACGGCTATGACCTTTTTCTGAATGTGTATATTTTGGGGATATACTGATAGATATACGTCCTGGGTTAAAGGATCGGTAGGGTCAACAGGTAGAATTGGAAAGAGATGAAAGGGGTATTTCAATCAAAGGGTTGGAATGTGGTTCTAGGTATCCCTCAGTACATAATGTCATTTTTCGAAAGAATGAGAACTCGATGAAAACGAAATATGAAATTTGACTTTGGACTCGTGCAAACTACATATGACGATAATCTTTTAGGTTTTACTAAATCTGCTGGTATGGAGATGATGGCATCATGAATCTAACCCACATATGAGTCCACTGCGTAGATTACTTTATTGAGTAGATGAACCAAATGAAGCAAACAAACTTCACATCGTCTCATTTCATTGGCCCATTGTAGTGTAACCTATCAGAATACGTACCCAAATCGGAGTTTATGAGAAACTCGGTACAAGTCTAATGTACCTCTATAAACTCAACCAACGACAACCTCAATTTCTAAAATCCATCATTGACGATCTATTACAATGGCACACTACGATTCCATGTTGAGGAGGAAATAAGTTAAAACTAGACGAAGCTTGTTATGATAAACACAGATGCGACGCCAAACAAGCTGAAATGTTTATTCGGGTTAGGAGCGCGGCACACACGTCGGGGGACTAGCGATCATATCTGAGACCTGTGTCGCCCACTGTCACACAAGAAATCTGGGAATATGGCTTCTCCCATACTACCAAACACCTCAAACTTCCTCGGCGTGGCGTTGGTGGTCAACCGGCTACGCGATGGGCCGTTGTTTGTCTTCCATTACCCGCCTCGAATTCTGCAACCGTGCGCCTCTTCCTCTCGTGATAGCGCGCCAAGAGATGAGTTGGACGATGATGACGAGTTGCTAAATCAGATGTCTCATCCGCCATTTGAGGCACCCTCTGGTTCACTCCCAAAGACAATCGACCTGCACAATTGGAATCATGACGATCATTTGGAAACAGATAGTGGCTCTCAAATAGTACCTTGGGAGCACGTCGCTGGATATCCTACCAAAGATCTTGAAAGCCTTCTCACACCCAACAGGGCTTTTCATAAGAAACTGTTTCAGGTTTCATTAGAACAACTCTGTTTCGCTTCGTATCCGATATATGTCCCAGAGAATGGAATATGGCGAAAGAAGAAAAAGCAACCCAAGTACCAAACGCCAAAATCGCCTGAAAATGCGGACTCGGCTAGTAAGTATGGCGAGTCCTCTATTCTCGCGAGCGATGCGCCGCAAATTGAGACAAAGGACATGGCGGAGGACGCTATCACTGGAAACCCCCCAGACGAAGCCGACGAGAAGAAGAGTGGAATGACTATGTTCAATCTCGTCTTCATATTAAATCCGAGAAAGCATGAAGCAAAGGAATTGGCCGAAAATCTTCATCTTCACATTATCAAGAAAATCAATAAGGCTTATAAATACAGCCAACAGAAGAGCGATTTTGTATGGAAAGAGTCGAAACGAATCTTGGCTCTTAAGGATAAGGGGCGCGAAACAAGTATGCACCTGAATTTACCCTATTGCAACACATGAAGAAACAAACTAATAATTATTTGTAGAGACTAAGATGAGCACATTATGGAGGGAGATCCTAGACGTTTCTTCGCTAGCCGCGTCAATGCAAGATGTATTCGAAGCCGTATCTCATAATAAGATCGCAGCTTTGCAATTAGAGACAGCTGAAGGAACTGTCACGCACTCGGTTCAGATACCTGTGCCATTCTATATCACCGATCTACCTCCCGATGATGAAAGCGGCTCCAAAGGTTTATGGATAACCACTGCAAACTCATTCGTTGAAGATGATAGCCTTAATGATCCCGAATACCTAGACAAAAACTTCGCTCTACTCTTAATGAGCGACGAGAAAAAGATTATCGCAGAGCTCCAAGCTGATCCGGATGAGACAACGGCGGCAATGATTGAGTTCGTACGGCTTTCAAAACCCACAATGTCGTAAGTATACAGATGACGCGCCTAAATCATCTCATATATCGTGGATTTGGAGAAACTTGCTTACATCCACAACTTAGATTCCACCAAATCGGCCAAGGCACAGCACTGTCACCAGCCCAAGTGCGCAAATATGCACAACATTTTATTTTCTGGCGGCGCGCTATCGCCATCCCGCCGCTTCACGCCCGCGACCACTACATACTATCGCCCAACAGCGATATGAGCCGCCTCCCACGAGCGAGTCAAGCCTGGTCTCGCGCCTTTCCACTTGCTCCACCATTACCTGAATTTCTGGCTGTTCTGTCTGCCGCCCCACGCCCTTACAAGTTATTCGCCCCCAGCAAGAATCACCGCCCGACCTATCTAGCCATGTTAGCGTGGCTTATGCGAGGCGGTTGGGTTACTCAGCTGTGCACTTTTGCCTATGTTGTCGTCTGGCCCGAGATTTTGTATGAGGTGGATTATGAACTTGAAAAAGAGGAGCTACAGCGTGCCGCTCAACTGCAGCAACAAGACGATACACACCATCGCTCTTCATCCTTTGCCACTAACGCCTCCGCCGACTCCTCCTCCTCGTCCCACTCTCATGGATCTACTCTCTCAACTCCTTCCTCCCCACCAAACCACCCGCCTCAATCATCCGACGACCCACATTCCTCTCCTTCGTCTCCTAGAACCGCTGCTGCAGATAATAGAGACAGAGGCGGTAGTAGCAGCCCCACAGTACCACCACAATCAATGAGTTCCTCGACAGCAACCATCCGATCGCCAACTACGGCCGGCGAACAAGCAGCGGAGCAAGCGCGACTCGATCGGCTGGCTTCGCGCGCACATCGCGAGGCAGCCGAAAAAGCAGCTGCACATAATCGTCGCACACAGCCAATACGTACCGACCACCCATCAACAAATGATGCACCACACTTAGCCCATCTATCTCCCTACATAATCGTCGACGCCGGCCGCGTCGGCGCGCGCGAATCGCGGTATTTGGCAGCAATCCGTGAAAGACTACCCGAGCGCATAATACATCATTCTACCACTACCGCTGCGCCTACACGCGCGCCTTCACCTACACATGGTACTCCCGCCCCCGCCCCCACACCCACGCCTACAACTACGACTACTACGAGCGGAGGACTCGGTTCAAAAGGAACAGGCACAACTCTAAACCCACGTAACAAGTGGCCTATATTTTGGAAATATTTCAATGGTCGCTGCGCATTGGAGCGCGTCGCGCTACATGAGGATTTAAAGAGGCGCGATGCGTGGAATTTGTTGAATTCGATGAGTGAGTATCTTATTTGTGTTCGGCATTGGTAGCCCCAAGTTATTTGGAGTGTGTAAGAAGGAAGGGTCATGTGAAGAGTATAGCCGTATTAGTTTAAATCCGTTTAGTATAACATGATACCTACACATCTTGTTAGTATTATAAATCAACTAGGTAGCTTACCGTAAGACAAATGATCAAATGTTTCACATACGATCGGCACGTGGAAGACTATAAAAGCATCAAGGGTAGGTAAATGTGATTGATTATTAAGGTAAGCCCGATATACTGCTGGCGTATATACGACCTTTGGTAATGTCCTGTTCCTGTCTAGTCGGTTGGGTTCCCTTGGAAGTCAACAAATACACAAACGATATGATTTGCCGAAGCGACCCCTCCTCCCTCTTCTTCACCTCTCGGAGGTAAGCGGGGGGAAGGAGGGAAATACAACGGCTTACATGTGGGAACCAGCAAAAGAAAAGTAACCTTTCCGTAAAAAAGAAACTGACGATAAAAAAAATGATAAACTCCCTCTGATCAACGATGTGACGATGCAAGTTATGTGGAAATGTCAACGCAATCTCCCTCGATGAATGCCCCACCAACTCCGTAATCCTCCAGGTATCATTGGGAAAAAATCAGACCTAGCCCGTAGACGAATGATGCGCGAAGGAAATAAAAAGGGAAAAGGATGAAAGAAGAATAGAAAACGACCCCCCAAGAAGTCAAAGCGAAAGTCCCCTCCCACCCATATCCGGCGGATCCGGACGAGAACCATCAGATAAATGATAACCATTCCGACCGCTCCGTGCCGGTTTCCCACTTGTCTAAGTGAGAGATGAGATAGAACGCCAATCCTTTCCCTCCCATATGCAGTAGAATCGCCCTTCCCTTAGTGATATGCCCGAAATGACTCAAAATGCCTGGGTATCTGAACTCAACCCATAATGTCAAAATGACGAAGTAGTGAATTGAATGAAATACCAGGGCTTGGCTAACGCCAGAAAATGCCGGAGAAAAAGGTAGGATTGTAGAAGGCCCGAAAGACCTTTAGTCATGTGAGAGGTCCATTCCAAATTCGTCTTCCTCCTTGAAGTTAATGGAGGCAGGACCACTGCCATCGTCATCTGGATCACCCCAGAACTGGCCGGCGTCATCCATACCACCTGTAAAATCCACAGCATCATGGCCATCGGGACTTACAGAGGTGGCAGTAATCGCGCTGTCAGACCCGTTGAGAGAGTCACCTCTGTAGTCGGTGTGTTGAGGGACCCTAAGACCAGACCCGGCAAACCGAGAGTATGAGAACGTGTGCGGACCATTCTTGGTCATAGCTTCCATTAACTCGGAATGCATCCGTTTCTCATCTTCGGTGAGTTCGAGGGGAACACTACCACCGAGTTCTACGATAGTACTAATAAGCTCTTCTTGCTGCTGGAGCTTAAGATGCAGCATCCACATCAAATCCCTTGTCCAACTGACTGCTCCGTTAAGAATATCACCCTTGTTAGGACCCTTGTCCTTATCCTCAAGTGGCAAGCCGGTAGTAATGTTGCCAACACCTGTTGCGCGTTTGGCACCTGGGCCAGCTAATCCTGAGGTGGCTTGCGCTGGATGAGAGATCCCGGTGAGGCTGGGAGATAGTGGTGTACCATTCTGAATTAGCTTCCGAATTTTCTCATCTTCTAGCCGGTGCGTAGGAACAAGTTTGCTTAGATCCTGGATCCTCTCGTTGATATTGTCACGGCGTCGTCGCTCAACTAGGTTGTGCGACTCACGACGTCTCTTTCGCTTCATCTCTTGCGATGAAACGGTATTGGGCGGCGCGTTCAACTTGGCGGGCATAGATGAGCCGCCCTTGAGCAATACATCGGCAATCTGGGGGTTTGGCATGCCATGTTGCATCGGCGAGGGGAAGCCAGAACCAGGGAATGAAGAAAGGCTGTTGGGTGTATGTAGCCATTGGCCAGAGGGTGACTTTTCGTGGCCATTTGTAGTCCGAATCGGTTGCGCGCCGAATCCGGATTGCTCTCTTGAGTTGACATTCAAGTTGGACATTGGGGTCGCAGTCTTAGGTGTGAGTGGGCTTCGGGTATTGGAAGCCTTCCGTTGCATGTTGTGGGTAAGTTGAGGGCGAGACTTGGAGTTTAGGTAGCCAGGCTCGTTGCCATCGTTGTTGAGGTCAGATCCAGCCAAAGGGGAGCCTGAGTATGATATCGGCGATTGGAGGGAGTTTCCGAACTGCTGTTGATGTTGCTGTTGCATCTGGTGGAATTGCGCCTGGTTGAAACTGTGTACAAACGGGCTCTGGATCGGGTCGCCATCTGGAGTGTTGGAAAATCCATTCATATGCGACTGGTCCATAGACATACCGTGGCTACCCTGGTGGTTTGGGTACATGCCTTGGTTGAAGCCCATATTCATTTCACTCATCCCATTGTAGTCCTGGTTTTGGTTGTGCATGCCAGGTTGGTTCGGCATTGGGTCTGTCGGGCTGCCTAGTGTATCTAACAACTCGTCATCACCGAAGAAACCCGAGGAATTGTTATTTCCATTGAAGTTATTCGAGTATGACGCGGCGTAGGTACCAGACATGGCCAGATCATTTGGGTCGACGCTGCCGCTAGCGCCACCATTGTTCTGGCCGCCACTAAACTGATTGAAGGCGTGCTGTGCCATCGCGTTTGGCGTGGGGGGGAAGAAGGACGTGGAAGAGTTTCGAGACAAGCGAGAACAAAGGTAGAATAGTAAGTTGTTGGTAGTGGTTATATAGTTTATAGTTATAGTCACTCGAGGTTGTCGGCGACGAACAAGACGTAACTATTCTGGGTATTGATTTATGGTCGGTGGGCAAATGGTGGAGTGCCTGGCGCAGTTATTCTGTCGAGGATAGTGCAAGTCAGCCCCGCACCTATAGTCGGCGAGTGGGTATGTTGAGCAGGAACGAAGGAAGGGAGGACGGAAAGGGTAGTGGGATAATATGTGGGGCACAATGTATCGATGTATATGTGTTTGTAATTAATTGGGATTCACCGAGATAACCCAGCACAGAAAGAATGTCCTGGAGGGAATAATGGAAATGGAAATATGCTCGCTAATAAAGTGCGATCTCGTGTGGTAATTTAAATGAAAGTATAAATGGACAATAAAAATAAGGAAAAAAAGACAGATCAGATATATCTTAGTATCTTACCTCGGCTGAAAGTTTGTAGAAGTCGATTAAGGGTAGTTGCTGTTGACCACAAATTACGTAGCCATGCAGATGGTGAACGGTGTCGCGGAAATGCGCCGGTTTGATAAATAGTTTGAGAAACCGAAGCTATATAATAGAGGGGAAAATATTGGGGATGTTGCGAAAGAGCTTCGAGAAGTATCTGTTGCGCATTGGTTAGGACAACTCTAGCTTAAATTAAATTCAACTGAATCGGTGATGATGATTGACTTTTCTTTTTCTTTTTTGCTATTCCTTTTTTTTTCTGCTTTTGTTGTCTGTGCTGAGTCCGAAGCGAGTAGTCCGAGGTGCGGAGGAGGGTTATGTAGTAACTGAGTAGAAATATACGTACAAACTAATAAATGCGCACGACCAACAATGGGCGATAGAATAATTTATTGGTCAACTTGAGTAAGCGCTTCGCTTTGGGAGAGAGAATGGAGAAAAAAGGAGGAAAGAGGAAAGAAAAGAAAGCCGAATTGTGTCGCCTCGGGGATAACTGGGCTAAGAGATATTTTCGCGCCTCGCGAAAGCTGAATGGCGGTCTCGCAAATGATCCTTACACCAGTGAGATGCGGTGGACGGCCGAGGGAATGCTGGTGGCCCTCGATGACGGCGATTCTGACCTCAGAGCAAAGGTGACACCAACGTAGTATAAGAGGCTAAAAACGACCAGAACTTGTCAGACCGTAAGCACGAAGGTGACGCCGGATTTGGTCGGCCTTCTATTTAGGCCTGGCCAGTTGCACGAGGAAATGAGTTAAGTGATAAATCGTATATCAGATCACGATATACAATCAGGAGCGCGAAGCGTCTGGAAGATTATATTCGGATCAAAGAATGTGTGGAGGGAAATCGGCTGGGTGGGTGGAAATGGGGGAAGTAAAAAGCGACCTCAGGATCTCCGGGGACCGAGGCGGTAAAGGCAGAAGGGAACAAAATCCTTGAGGCCTTGGTACTCTGGACCTGAGGAGAAAAGATGCAGGTAGCCTAGCCTGGGTTGGGTGAACTGCGTTGGCAAGGTTAATGGTAATAATTTAGTCGTTGGTAGGGCTCTCTCTTTCCCTTTTCTGCTCTTTTCTTTCTTTGAATTAGATCCTGTTGATTTTCCAGGTGAAGCGGGCGTAATGATGGTGGGCGAAGCTCGAACCGAGATAGCAAGGGTTGGTTAGAGGCGCTGCCTGGATTCACACAAGTCCTATACGAGGATCGCTCCCAATTGTATTTGGCGGGACGAGGGTAGGTTAGCCCGTAAAAAGACTTAGGGGTGTGTAAGTGAGTACCTATGTAGGTAGTACTCGATTGATATGGATGTATATAGTGGGTCGGACCCGATGAATCAAGTCGCAAGATTGTTGGAGATTATAGATGTTTTATGTACGAAAGTTGAGAGTGGTGTATACGGATGTGTGTATGTTGTATTTGATGAAAGTGAGTCCCGGACTTTGAAGAGGCGGTCTCGCGAGTGAGAATCAATGAGTGAGAACGGAAGAAGGTACGTTAGGTACGTTTGCCAGTAGGTAGTTACCAGAGCGTTAGGCTAGTTGCCGTGCGATCTGATGTCGAACAAGGTGGGATGGGGGAAAGGATAGCGCAAGGTGAACCAGGCTTTTGACTTTGACAGGGTACTGCAAACCAAATCCAATGCAAGTGCACCGTTCGTGTGTGCCTTCCCTGGAATCCCGGACAATTGATTGGTTGCCTACAAGGCTCCGAGACCCTTGGTTGAGAAGGTTCCCTGTAAGTTTACCCTTAGGTAGGGTACCAGGTTATGTAGGCAAGGAAAGTTAGGGGAGGTAGGGGTCTAACCGATAGCCTTGGAGGGGAAGGAAGCTACCAGTGAAAGGGCCCCCCTAGCAGGATAGGATAGTGGGATAGCGTTATGCTCTTGGCCGAATATGTAGGCACATGCAACGACCTAGTGGTTCCGACTTCCGGTCAACTCCACCGAAGGAGTCAATCTCAACAACCTTTCCTGAATCAGTGTCAGCTGTCGAATGGTCGACGAAAGAAGCCGGCAAAACGAGATCGTGTCCTGTCGGAGCTTTTGTACCGTTCCAAGATATCGTTCAGATAGTGCCGTCCAGTTTAACGGTCCCCCGATAAATCCTCGTTCCCGTACTATCCGTTCTTTATTATTATTATTAGAAATGCCTTGATGTGCCCTTGGCGATGAAGTGGAAATAGTCCAATGGAGACAGGCCGTATGGTCCATGTAAAAATTCCCAAATTCTTACGGAACTGTTATGTAGTGGTCTGACCGGGTTCCGTTGGACGATGTCCGAATCCTTGGTCAGATCTCCTGCAAGATCGATCGACTCAATACCGATGTTTAATGTCGCAAACAATTTCAATCGTCTCGTCAAAGAATGATACTCCAAATAGTTAGTGATAGGTGCATTTGGTAGTGGAAACCACTTTGTATTACTATTTTGGATATTGATATTATAATTAAAAATGCTTGATGATGTAGTTGTTTGGGTGTTTGTGGATAGATGAAGTCCTCAAGTTACGTCTGAGTGCGATTCGTCGAGTTTATGATTCCGGCAAAGGTCTCCCTCCGATAGAAAGACCGACTGTAGTTTGGTTGCGCCAGCTCTGTTGATTGATTTACAAGCATCAAGATGATGAAAGTATTCGTTCATTGGGTTGTGGCCGAAGTCGTGGGGTGTACAGCTTTTTATAATTGATACCTATGTACGTCCTATAAATACCCCCCTAAGTGGGATGACAAGCTCCTAGACTACATTCTATTCTATCCGAACAAGGTCGTTGGTGCGTCTTATGACTTTGGAGAACTTGGACAGGTCCCATCTTAAGCTGATGTGGTGTGTAGGGAGTAAACGAAAGGAGGTGTCTCTCTTAGCTCTCACCGGACTCCTACAAAGCTACCTAACTCCATCGCGAACCGCGACCTACGCGACCGAGCTTTATCTTATCGTCAGAGTACCGTAATGAGGAGGGGGGGCTCTGTTCGGGTCGACGAAAAAGGGAAGGGTGGGCGGCACTCAGACTCGTGACCCGGCCAAAAGTCAGCCAACCCACCCACCTAGGTGAGACACGATGCCCACCCCTTCCCCTTCTTCTAGCTTAAGGAGATAACGGGGTGTTATGGGAAAGTGTGCTTGGGGGTATAGAATTTTGTACACTTTCAAGGCCAGGAGTAGCTGGAAAGTTGGTCAGCTTGGTCAAATGGTTTCTCTGTGACTCACAAACAGTGTGGCCGTGCTGTGTATTAACTAACGGGCTGACTGAAGAAGTCCAAATCTGTCATTTTGACGCAAGGCACCCGCTATGGAAGCTTACGAACATATTTCTTTACAAATTCCACGAACAGGTATATACTATTTATTGTTACATTATCTGATTTGTACTTAAAATATTATCGCAGGGGGGTTGTGGCTTGGCAGACAACCAAAGCTGGGCCTCTTCCTGTGTGAACAACCTCGGAATTATTAGGAAGAGTTTTTCTATTCGAGGGTACTACGCGCGGTAGTAGCGTCTCTATACATATATCGAGTATCGTATTACGAGGGCGATGAAGTCATTGTCGTCGAAAGTATGGGGTTCGCACGCATACTACGTTGTATGTATGATCTATCGGCAATGGAGGGGTAGATCTTGGAACTTGTATGTATAATATGTATAAGTTTATAATACTATTGCAAAGCTGGTGAGAAAGAAGATTATGGTAGGTCAAGCATGGCTTCTGTCGGCCGACAGCTCCGATGTAACTCAAGCCTGCATGCAGGTTCTCTAATGTAGACGGCCTGTTCCCCATGAAGATCCGCGGGCTTCTGCATCCTCTGCATCCTCTACATCCCCTCCAACATCCATAGCGGGAGCCAATCACTGCCGTAGCGCATCTAGCAATTTGGATGGTCGTCGATAGAGTTTGAATAGTGCCCGTTCCGGCACGGTACGTGATTGGTAATCCCCTTGCTTGACAATACTGGGACCAGCTGATATTTCTTGATTTGACAGGTACAGAGCCGCTCCTAGCATCAAGCTTGATACGTTAGGTCAGGTACACCTAATGAATAAACCGATTCGAGAAGTTGAAATTCAATCAGCCAAGTCTCATGCTCATGTTGACTATTATCTATGGTTATCTACTTAGTATATATTACGTAGCCGCGCTCGCCGCCGGTTCAGTTGTTTGAGTAACCTTGCAACCATCAGGGGTTGACTCTACCGAACTTCGATAGTCGAAGCATCCCCACCAATAAGAAGCGGCGTGTCTAACACATTTTTGGAGACAAGCTACCTGGGTTAGGTAGGTAGGCAGTTGATGTTGATGGATGTTTTGTGGATGTGGATGTGGATGTGGTATGCGCAAGCGCGCAACCGTTAAAACATTGAATCTACGCAACGCAATCGTCCAAAACTTGCATTGCATATAAGTTACATCAACGGGTCGCGGCTTGTTTGAGTTTCTTTTTTTTTTTTTTGTTTCGCAGCGATGGCTTCACATCCATGCCCAGCCGCGGAATTGACGGATACAAGATTTATAGTGGTGTGTGCGGAACCAGCGGGTTGCGTCGACAGCACAATTCATGAACAGGCAACCATGAATGTTCGTAAACTACGTGTCCGCATTCGAGTTCCTATTGTAAATAAATATGAATAGTAGGTGGGAAATAACCTAGCGATGTACGCCATTCCTAGGCGCAGCAGCATCCGCTTATTCTAGAAATGACGAATTCATACAAGACAGCGTCAAGGTATAGAGATCATGTACCAATGTATATCCGTAAAAAGAGATACCTTGGTACTTACGCATGTGGTGGGATAAGGTTAAGTCCTGTCCCTTCTGTCCCATTGGTCCCATCGGCCCCATTTTAGCGGGATCACTGTCCAGGATTATTCGAAGCCACATGCATAAGGTTCGACCAATAACAATAGTCAAGAAAGGGCACTAACGCCCCCACTCGCACAAACCACATCTACATTCGTACTCGTGTGGCTGATCTGTTTCTTCTGGCTGATGCCTTTCCGTCCCATTACGCAACTCCACCTGGGCACACCCATCACACCCATTTTTAGTGCTCCCCTAAACGCGACACATTCAACGCAGACATATCCCATCTTTCCATCAAACTAACGGGCCTCCTCCATCTGTTTATTCTTTAACTCCAGTACGAGACAAAGAGGGGTCACTCGACACACCCGGTGGCATCCATTACGAAGTTGCATTTTCCGCCGAGTCCGCCCCATATATCCCCCATACCGCACTGCACACCACGCACCACACCATACATACCGATTACTCTCACATATCCACCGAGAACCGAAGTCGCCCTACCTTGCGATCGCACGACCGTGCATTTACGAGTTACGAGTCGGTTTGATTTTCAGCGAGCGGGGAAAAATAGGGAAAATTAATCATATACAATGGCGTCTGCAACTTTCAGGGAGTCGATGAATTCTTTAGGGTGGTCGCGTCGAGACCGGGACCGGGACTACACAGCCAATACGTCACAGCGGTCCGGATTATTGTCCTCCATAAAGTCTATGAATCCATTTGGGGATCGCGGATATGTACAACTTCCTACTACCGAGAGCGCCGGCGCTCCTTTACCGGCCAGCAATCGCCGCGACGAGGAAGAAGGCTGGTTTGTCTGTGAGTCCAACTAGTCCTACCCGTTGTTCCTGTTTCCAATCTCTTCGTTTTCCCCTGCATCGTACCTTTTGACAGGGCGACATGTGCATCACCCGCGCGCCCTGTTTCACCTTTTCACATGGACAAAACGATCCACTATGGCATTTCATAGACTGACTTTTAATCTCGATCTTTTATACAGTGAGTCGATGGGACCGAATGTTAATATTCGGTGCTTGTAATCTGGGTGCCCTTGCCTGCTTCGTTCTTTGCTTTGCGCTGTGGCCAATCCTCATGACCAAGCCTCGCAAGTTTGTCATTTTGTAAGGCCAAGACTCCCCCAGCCTCCCAGCTGCCTATACCCCTGCCAGTGTGTCCTCGTGGCCAAAGATAGCTCCCTTCTCGTGGTTGTAGGTGAGGTGAAGATCTCTGCAACCAGCCGCCATTGCATATGTATCAATCTTGCATAACGGCACGGGTGATCAACCCGATGGAGATCTAACCTTCTTTCCACAACGTCGCCCTACATGTCTTCCAAGTTTTACATAGACAATATGTGCCATAGCGGAAGCATACTAACATGACTCTCCTTTTAGGTGGTCTTTCGGCTCGATACTATTCCTCTCTTCCTTCGCGGCTATAATGGGACCAGTAATATATGCACAACATCTGATATCAGGACCGCGACTACCTTTCACAGCAGCCTACTTCGGCTCTATTGCATTGACTATATACTTCTCCGTCGGGGTGAGTCACGAGTTCCTTCAAGGTGGTGTCAAAGTGTCAAAACGCTAACTTGTTGCAGCTTCACAACACCATTCTCACTTTGCTTTCTGCTATCATTCAGATCGCATGCCTCCTCTGGTATCTCGTCAGCTATTTCCCAATGGGTTCAAGTGGTCTTCGTCTCGCCACTAGCTTTGGTGCGCGAAGGGCTGCCTCTTGGATGGCTGGATAAGCTGCGTCTATTGTATACTATCATACTTCTGCCGTGTCTCGATTAGACGTATGTTGACCTAACTCATAGGTTATGATGACTCAAAACCGCTACGGTAAAATATGACGAAAATGTCTCCGCGATCAATCAGGAGAGCAAAGATAAACAAACAGTATTCAGGATTTGCTCTCTAATATTGATATATGCCTTAATGAATCGAACTTTAGAATACCCAAAACTTGGCTAGGGTTAGCCGCTGGGGCTGAACATATACAGGGGGTTTGTTGCTGTAAGATATTGTGTCACAGATGGATGCTCCTATTTTACATGCCGCTGTATTTTACCAAGCATGTTTGAGGTGCTTGGGGTCGGTTACTGAAGCTTGGTTCTGTGCCTTAATTATAAATCAGCAATCAGCCATGCTTTATGAAGGCACCTTCTAAGCTTATGTTTTAATGCAAAAATTGTTCCATGTATTCTACATATTTAGAGCTATACATCTAGAACGTTCGTGATTCGGTGCCCTGAAATCGGGCCAGGGGATATTCGGAGTTTCTCTCTCGATTTGCTTAGGGATACCACACAAACGTTCTCGAATAACAAGTTCGGATACTATTCACGTGGGTGACCAGAAGAACTTCAGAGAAATTACTTAATGAGAAGATATTGGTATCGATAAGATGTTTTTCATCTCGATTACTTAGGGCTTAAAATCGTTGAACGATGTCTGATTCACGTATCTTTGAGTTAAAAGAAAGCCTGAGGGATATTCAACAAAAAAGATACGCACGGTACCTCGGGTGGAGCAGAGCAATATCGATGACTTGAAGAGGTGTACGGTACATAACCGAATGGAGAAAACGGAACAATACGATCGTACCTAGTTTCGCTTGGATTTCAATGTAACAAAGGATCAAAGCAGACAACAAATGCATTTGTTATTTAGTAGGAAATCGCCGTACCTGGATTAATGCGTACAAAGAGAACTGGGTGCTAACTGAAACACGATGCGGTGGAAGAGGTAACCGGAAGAAAAGGATATTATAAACCATGCTATGGAATATGATCTATTGTCCATTATGAGTTACCTACCCCCATCGGACGTATTATATATTTGTTCCGAGTAGATGTCTTGTCTTTTGTTGTATTAGCTTGGCTTCTCTACGAGATAGGTAGTGAAGTTGAGTTGAGAATTCACATGCTTGGGTGTTCTAAAAATGGAAGCTATTCTAAGAGGTACGCGGGGTAAGACGATGATGATGGATGTTCGATCGCCAAAAAGGAAGATAAAAAAGCTCATTGCTCTTAATAGGTTGGAGACTTTCGGTTCTACCCTATCCCCCACGTGGAGGGAAATGAAATAATAAATGAATCATTGGAGAGTAGAAGACTTGGAACGTTGAGAAATAAAAGTCCAGATCTGGTTCTTCCTTGGGGCATGCGGGATGGACGGAAGGAATCGAAAGAGAGCCATATGGTTGGCGTACCCCTCTTCAGCCTAACTGGGGACCTCTGGACGAAAACATACATGTACTATAGGTACTAATTAGGTAGAAATCCTTGCATAATTTCAAATAAGTCAAGCCGGTCAATGTAGGTAAGCTCATAAGTTACCTAAACGTGGACATGTACCTACCTAGGTAGATATATGGGATCTGAAATAAAGAAGAGGTACCTAGATAAGGCATAATCGATTCATATTAATTCCGCTTATATGAAGTAGGATATCCTCCCAAGGAAGGGATACGAAGTGGACACATACCGACAAAGCAGGGGGGGTGATATATCCATTCTCAATCTGACTAGAAGGTGAGGAGGCGGGCAGGTAGGTACCAAAATAAATAACATCATAAAAATAACATCCCATAGGTAATATGTGCCATGTAGTTGCGTAGACCTGTCACAGTTAGTTGACTGTTGCGGGCTGATTGCCATTTACGGAGTACGGCTCACGTACCGTACCTACGGCCAAGTATTAAAGAACAACCAAAATTTATGACAACATACCTCATTCAGGACATACGGGATTAAAGGAACACGATGTCGAATTTGTCATTAGACTACCTTGGTAGATCAAATAAGCCGTGCGTAAGGTATGTACTTCGTCTCTATACACCTAAGGTACGTGCAAGCACCCCATACCATCAATAATGTTCTGACACTTACACAGCATCATTGATGGAATACAAGACAACTCATTTGTATTCCCTCGGCTTATGTAGCTAATATTTTGTAAGTCCAACATTTTACACTACAGCCGCCTTATGCTAGAGTCATGTAAGCCATATATATTCCTAGGTAACGGTGGTAAAGCTCGGGTGTTTCTGGATTTAGGAAGCTATTCGCATTTTGAAAAGGTCTAAGTCCTTTAGTCGTACTTAAAGTTAGGTAAAATTGATTGTTGAACCGAGCAACAGCCGTACAGGGCAGAAAAGAAGGTTCCATTTATCGAAGTACCTAACCAAACTAGGTAACCTAATGCGTATATAGTGCAGTCTATCCAATTAGGTATCTAGATACTTGGGTACTTGTGAATTCTACATCAATCAAATCGTCATTACCTCCTGCCTACCTGGTACTTACGTTACCTGTAATTTTCTCTGCCTGCCTAAAGTTTAAGTGACACCGAATTCATTATTAAAATATAGTATCAAGATTGGATGGAGAGGGTGTGAGAAGGGAGGGGGAAATGAGGAAGAGAGAAAAAATGTACCCAATACTTTGGTGCCTTAAGTAATTGGATTCTCTTAAATCTCAATAAGTGGGTTTGTACTTATTAATGAGGTACCTTCTCTCTTAGTAGAAACGCATGTAATGTACAATACATTTGCGCATCCATGGATGTACTTTATAGGGTAAGTGGGAAGATTCTCAGCGCACAGCAAGAACGATCAGTTGTAGGCAGTTTTTGCAACTCGTAACCGCGGCGTACCCTCTCTTGTATGTAACAAAATCCAAAACCAAACCACACAACAACCGGCTACCCGAACCTTAGCTAGATTTTTTTTTTCTTAGGCCAGTTAGCAAGGTACCAGAAGTGGTAGAAGGAAAAAAAAAATTAATTTTTTTTTTCTCCATTGCACACAAAAAAAACCATTTACACGCGCATAGTCGTACACTTTCTCTCACAATACTACAAACACACTTTCTCGTTTATTTCCCTTACGAATTATTAAATTCTACCTCCCCGTCCCTGCGCGCACTTATTCCTGAAGAGAAAGGAAGACAGGAAGACGACTTACATCGGAGGGACCTCGCTAGACTTACATTTCGTTTTCTACGAATTTGTGAAATTACTGGTGTTGCTTGTCTTCCCTCGCATGTTAAACGTCCGCATCTCTCTTCTGCCTTTTCCCCTCCATCGCCGCCACCACCTCCACTGTGCTCTACTCAGAGTACATGCGCTTCTATCGGTTTAGGTAGCAGCCTATCTCTCTATCCCACCCTAGACCTACAGCACACCTACGTTTACATTATTATTTTTTTCACGACAAACAAAACTGTGGGCAACCTTTGCGGTCCGGACCGCTCCCCCTCCAATTCACCACCGGATTGGACTTTCGCTTTTAAGTCACTGACACAATCCCAGAACGACTACGAAATTCATGACTTTTTAACTTGACGGTTTGAACTTGGTCAGGCCGTGTCGGGTTCAGTTCTCAAACTAAAAACCAGTTGCAGCCCCAAGCAAAATAACACAAGCACAGTCATCTTTTTCGGATAACTGTCACGTTTTTCGCTCCTTCCCTCTCAATAAAAATTTCCCCTCCTCCAACCTTCCTAAACCTAAACGATTTACAGTCGCTGGGGAGCACTTTCTACTCTCTCTTCCTTAGCCAGCCGACAAAACTACCTAAGGTATTTTTTTTTTTCAGCAGCTACCAAATTCTTCCGCCTTACCTACCACCCCTGGACTCGCGTCGTTACTTCTCGCAACCTCAGTTCGGGCTGCACCTGGGAGGTTAATTGATTGCACCCCGCATCTACTTTCAGAATTTTGATAAATCGCTTGCGATTGGGTCTTCTTATTCCTTACAAATTCTTGCCGGTCGTCCATCCTGACACCCTACCTTCAACGACCTTTTTTTTTTTTACCTGCTTATTCGACGCGAAAATCCTACAACCCTACAACCTATTGGTTTACCACATTTTCTCGTATTGCCAACAACATTCACCATTCACCATTCACCAACACGAATTTCCCCCTCCGAACATCGACTTGAGTTCCACTAACCTTTGGAAGCTCAATCGAGCCGAGCCGAATCCATCACTCGCGGAGGGCCACTTCTGGCTGGTGAGGTGCTAATAGGGTTAGTTGAGTACCTGGCGTGTTGGTGGACGTGGGTAAAATTATTTTCCCCTCGTCCATTGCAGGTACGCAACAAACCACCAATTTGTGGTTATTCTGTTGCCTACGCCGGTTTAACCACAAAACTTGCTTACGAGTATCGTCAAGCCATAGCTAGACAATATGTCTAGCTCCGCTGCATTTTCATACGCACAGGCTGCGAAAGGCCAGTCTGCTGCACAGTCGATTCCGGGATCCCAGTCGAGTACGACAGGCAGTAAAGCGCCATCAACAACGAGCACACAAAGCCGAGATGTCGCTCCTACCCCGAGCACAAGGGCCCCTTCCGTCGCGATTTCTACCACATCGAACGAACTCGATGGCTCCCAAAATACTAGAAGCTCATCTGTCAAGCCCGAGGCTTCCCAATCGAATAATAACGATATAGACAGTATGTCTACGAGCGACAAAACCACCGAAGCTTTGAATCTACCGAATCAAAATGGCGAGAAGGTATTAAGCGAGGTTGTACCTCAAAGTACCGAGAGACGGGGCCGCGGCCAAACACTCAATTCACAGACTACGGATGCTGGCGATAACAAAAAGACGAGAAAAGGTAGAAAGGGCAAGGCAGCTGAGAAGGAATCGACCCAAGATGAGGACCAAGACAAGAAGGAAAACCAACCACCCAAGCCGTTGTCCGAGGCGCCGGTGCCAACGGTCAACATTTGGACACAAAGGCAGGAAGCTATGGCTGCTAAAGCCAAGGTAACTCCTCCGGCTTCTCAGTTGCGTGCCCCGAACGCCACAAATGGCAGTCAATCTGAAGGATCATCCAGTCAGGTTCAAGAAATGAAGCAGAGAACACCCCAAAACGATGGGGTCGATGCAACTTTGGCTCAAAGTAGGCCATTGCCTGGTGGTGTAAGACCCCCAAGGAAGGATGCCGAGCAATCGCGGGGAACCGGCAACCAAAATACTCGCAGGACGGCCCCACGAGGCGCTAGAGCAAATAATGGAGAGGACCGGCCGCCGTTTGAAGCCTTAGCCCCGATCGCAACCAATACCTCGTCATGGCCGACGCCCGAAACGGCTGCGAACGATATGAAGGTCCAGGCCAACCCTTCGAAGCCTGAAAAGGAGCAAAAGGAGGACTCTGCACAGAACAAACCGCGACAAAAGAAGGGATGGACCCCTATTGACTTTGTGCCAACTGTGAACTTTGAGACGCCCCTACCGGCTAGAGGCTTGCGAGGTGGTCGCACTCCGGGTGCCCGAGGCGGGCGGGATACCGCTGTAAGGGGTAACCACACTCCTAATACACCAACTGGTAATTCATTACATCCCTTTTTAGCCTTGACACTCACTAACCGCCATAAAGATCGTACACAGGAGAATGGCTCGGCTCCTGGATCTGCTTCGATGGCGCCGCCATCATCTAAGCGTGCATTTGTAGACACGCCCATCTCTCGTGAAGGTCGGAAGGCTCAGACACCAGTAGGAACAGGAAAGGTTGTAGGGGACGCAGCATCGGTATGTTAACAGTTCACTGCACTACAAATGGGAATACTAACGATATGGTACTAGGCAAGCGTGAAGGCCGATAAAAAGGAATACCCCGGTGATTCAGCCAACGGTGTTACAGCCCAACATGTTCCAACTCGCGCTGCGGGTTCAAACCATCGTGTCGACGACAGCACCAAGTCGTCATCATCACAAACAGTCAAAGAGAACGGTGTATCTGCCACTAAGGACGCCGTTTTCCAGGGCCAGAATAACGCGACTCGTAGTGAGCGTGCAAGGGGCAGCACACGAGGACGTGGGGGTCACGGTTCCATGAATGGAATCGCCCATTCTCAGTCACAGTTCGGCCAAGGGACTTCCGGATACAACTACCCGTCCAATGCCAACCTGCGACAGCCAAGCCATACGTACGCCGCTGGTTATGCGCAAATGTCGTATGGTCAATACCCAGTTCAGACCTCCGGAAGCCAGCACCGCAGTCGGCCCAGCTCGGGGAACAACCGCTCTCAAGGGGGCGCTAGGCATCAATCTTCGAGATCCGCATACCCGATGGTCGGCGCGTCATACGACCCTGCAATGTATCCCCACGGTAATGGTAGTCCGTATCCTGCGTACCCCGATCCTAACCATATTTTAAGTGGAGTATTATCACAAGTAGAATATTACTTCTCTATCGACAATCTATGCAAGGATTGGTATCTTCGAAAATTCATGGACTCGCAGGGCTTCGTCCCCTTGACTGTTATTACTACGTTTAAGCGTATGCAGGAAATAGCCCAGGACTACCAACTCGTCCGTATGGCCTGCGACAGTTCCCCTCTCATTGAAATCATTGTGACAGAGGATGGACAGGACAAGGTTCGACGTGCAGAACAATGGGAGCCCTGGGTTCTTGCCAAAAATGAGAGGCATCCCAGTGCTCAGAATGATGGACCGGCGCACTACCGCCAATTCACCAACCCACCGGCTTTCTGGCCTCAAATGGTGTCTTACGGGGGTGACATGCCTCCCGTTTACTCACCTACTGGGACTGAACCGAATTTTGCGCACCACATCCATTTGAATAGCATTAGCACGACCATGAATGGTGTGAATGGTCATGTCAACCCGTCAGAGTCGCAACTTTCCGCGACTGTTCCAGAGTTCTCCCCGACTGGTTTGCCTGGAATGGCTACAGCAAGTCAACAAGACACCATTTCGTCGGACACTCCTAGCGGCGATCCTAATCTAGAGAACCCCCTTAAGAAGGTTGCCGTGCCATCTTTCGGCGAGCAAGCCAATTCTCTCACAAACGGTTTCCATAAACATAATGAGCAGAATGGTACTACCGAGACTCTATCTGTTAATGGAGTTGGAGGTGATCATGGTACCAATGGGTACTAGCTGGGCCATGCAACTATAAAAATACTTGGCCAAGCCTGAAGAGCTCCAACACGCTCACAGGCAGGTGTCTGCCATCATTAGGATGGATCAGCAACCTATTACATTTACACTACGTTTCGACTTAGGCACCGCAAGCCTTACAGAATGAGATTGGTCAAAGGGCAGTGAAGTTAGCCTTCTGATTGATATCTCAGCCTACTGAGCTTCTATTACGACATCCAGTTCCGATCTTCAGTTCGACAAACCAAAGCGGTAGTGATATGCCGCAATCACAAATGGATTCTTTTTGGCATGGTCACTGAACACCTACGCATTTGTTGACAATGATTAGTCACTTACAATGCAAACATCCTGGATATGACAGAATGAGTAAGCTGTAAGTTCTAGTTTACGAACTTACGGCTAATGGACTTGCCGCATTGGTAAATTACACAACCAATCCACAAGACATGGCGACGATTATGCGGATCACTAGGAAATTAATAACATCTTCCAATATGGAAGGTGTGAAATCTCGAATTCAACCTTTTGATGTCTCCATCGCGAGCAAGCACAAAAGACACCAAATCTACTGTTGATACTGCTCTAGTTGGCCCCGTTGCCAGATATGTTGCTTCTGTTGTTCTTCTTTCTGCAATCGTTCTCTAGAACGTTACCTGCCACATGTAATAGTGGCCTTCACGATGAACATGGTCACGACTCTTTTTCTCACAATGGCAGGGGCTGCAGTATGTTGGACGCCGGCTCTAGGAGACGAATTGCTATTAATGTGTTTCCCAACCGACCACGTCGTCGCGCTTGGTCTTCCACCCGGTTGTCTTTCAGCACAAATCCGTTGGGCCATATGCCTTACGGACTGGACCCGCTGAGGTTCACATCTCGTTGCTAGACAAAAGTATTGGGCACTGAAATTTCTTTCCTTATTCTCGCACTTGCATTCATGGCGTGGACTATTCGCATAAGGGGGAGGCCTCACGGAACGGGAATCTTTGCAAATAGACGTCGACGTCAATTAAAAGGAGAAACAAAACGGCTCGTGCCCTTTGTCGTTGGGGTTTATATTATGTATGAGTAAGAAATTCACAAAAAGAAAAAAACCGAACGCAACCAACTCTTGATTTTTAGATCTTCCCTCTCGATAACAAGTTTCGCCGTGATATCTCCTTCGCCGACTCCATCCCAGGGCGCCGATAAAGTTACTTCTATCGTACTGTTACGTTGAAAGCAAAATCATCGAGGTAGCCAAAACGGACGAGGCTCGTATCCGCCCTAATGATTAATAATGAAAGATTGCCGAGGCGAATTAGGCTCCTAATTAAGGGGTTATATACAACTCCTTATTATCGCCGCTCATTCCTTCCGTCTCCATGAACATGAATATACGCTATGACGATACTTCTCTTTTACCCGGTGCATAAAAAAACGCCTTGCACGTCTCCCCTCTACGAGAATTATAGGTGTGGATTATTTCTAAATAGGTGATGACGTTACCGCCTACTGTATATATTTTGTTCTAAATACGTGGTGTCAATCAAGGGCTTCACCAGTTAAGCTCTCTTTGGTGGTATTGAATTATTTGGGAGGATCGAGGTCGTCTTGGAGTCGATTATCGGTAAAGGGGGGAGCAAAACTAATGGTATATCTAGATAGGTGTTTATATGTGTTAGAGGTCTAGGGATAGAAAAAAACATAAGGCGAATAACAACTGGTTGTATGTTACACTTCGATGTAGAAGTAGATTATCCCAACCAGCAGTAGTGATTCGATTGGCTTGAAGCATCTTAGAGGAACTATTAATAGGGGTTACCAGAGAAGCCAAAGTAAAATCTGAGAAGTTCTATAAGCGAGCGAGATAATAAATGTATGCTATTCCAATAAGCAAAACGCCGATAACCCCCCCAGAATCAATCCTCCCTTTACCCACAACCCCTTATGCTATCCCAAGCCGACCCTCAAGGAACACAAGAAACCCCCCAGTACCGAACAAACCAGACTTCTTAACTCATCGACTCCTACAGGCGGCGTCATGTTCTCATAGTGGGCAAAATTGTAGCATACTCCCACAATTGAGACCAGGCGCGGTGATACCTGTTGGAAAGAAGCTAGTCGCGTTATCGTTGTTGCAGTTGACCACTTTATTATACTTATTGGCGTAGATAGTGAGGATGTTGAGGATAGTATTCCTGCCGTGATATTAGCCCACACACTCAACCACCTGATTCTCCCCTTCCCCCGGAGTAGTTTACAGACATACATACCTCTCACAAGCAATAGCAACCCCACAATCCTGCGCCACCTGTAACTGCGGCGCCCGCATCGCGGTGTGGAAGAATCCCACAACCTTCTTATCAGCCTCGGAAATGGTCTGGAAATTCCCATCCTGGCTGTGATCTCCAGCAAACACGAGTCCGTTTAGCATTTGCGATACTAAAGCTTGTTCGTCTTGAAGATCGTTAAGTCCAGAGGCGGCGTTCGCGAGTCGTTGGCTATCGTCTTGGTCCGCGCGTGAGTTCATCAGGCCGATTACGGTTACGTTTATGGATGCGCTGGCGTCGATGAGTTTGTTGAATATCACGGTCGGTTCGTCCATATCTGCTGGGTCTTGACGGGGGATTGGGGTGAGAGAGGGGAGGGCGAGGGTGGTTGTTAGGAGAGTGGCTGCGAGGGATAAGAGAGACAGGAGGCGAGCCATCTTTTCTTGCTTCGTTCTTTTCAGAAAGGAGACTTGAGTTTTTTTTGTTTTTGTTTTTTTAGATTCTTATGTGTGTTTGCCTGTCGTTGATGGTGATGGCTTCGCTATGATACTCAAATTGGATGTGGATATATCTCTTTATAAGACTTCGCTGGTGTTTTGTAATAGCTAGTGAATTATTTTCTCATCTTGAGACAACTCTCTCCAACTTATATGTATCGGTATCCCATCATCTTCCTTTGGTCGTTAGAAGGCTCAACCCACCGTTTTTCATCCCTCAAGCTGCTGAGTCTCAAGAATAGTTATTGCTATTTACATCCTAGGCGACTGGTCACTTCGATTCATCATCACTTGAAATCGAGCGTCAGCTGTAGTTAGGCACCGCAGGGGGAGGCTGAGCAGTACTGCTGAGACTCTCCCTCGCCGCGGGCAGATCGAACTCCGGAGCGGGAGCCTTGAAATAGTCTGAGATTTCCCTTTCCATGATTCTTACACAATTCGTTGCGCTTCCAACTTCATATATAAATAACGATTTAAATGGAAATAAAGAGGTGAAGTCATGTCTGTTGACATAGTCATAATAAATGACCGCGATAGAGTTACTAACAAAATAGCACGCCTGCCTTGGCACTCAACGCCTATCAACATCCCCTACCCCTTGATATAATCTATCTTGCTCGTTGTTGGTTTATACCTTACTCTCTGCGCGTTCTCGCCTTCACTCAATCCTTGGCATTCGCGAGAAAACATACACAATACCTTCGATAGAGAAGCAGACGAACTACCTGGGCATGGTTATAGAATCTTCTTACTCCTTGAAATCTACTGAGAACTGATAGCCGATATTTTGGAAACCCATCTACTTCCAAGACCCTTGAGACCCTTTGACACCCCGCGACCTAATAGAACATGGAATGAACATAGACCCTTGGCGTAGAGATGGGAATTGCTATAGGTATCCACGCTGCCGTATTATCCTATGTCCAGGATAGTCAAGAAATTCGGTTTCCTACATTAAGTAATACATTCAAGACAGAGAATAAACGTACTCCGAGTGATGCATCGGCTATGACAATGTTGACTTCACTCTGCGGATCCGTTATTCGAAACTCCATCAAAAACAAACTATATGTAGAGCCCTTCATTCTGAACTGTATCAGGGCGCGATCGATCGATCATAATCGACTACAAGTTGTGCATCGTGATGAGTATCACCTATATACCGATAAATTCGGCCTCCGAATCTAAATCCGAAGCAAAATACCGTGTATTTCCCGCCTCGCACATGTCACTCAAATAACACCATCTCACAATTCACCAGGCGATCCAGACTTTCGGACCGAGAAGTAATCAAAAGAATAATATACCTCAAATAGAAATAAAAAAATACGATAGATAATTCCTCCGACATACAAAAGAAAGGAAGCATCGGACAACGGCGCCGTAGCTATCCGAAGTGAAGCTAGTACGTGGCTAGAGAAAAGCAGCAGTCAGGCCACAAATGTAGACGTCATGGGACGATCATGCCATGCGTGCCGCATACCATCCATATACCTAACTCGCACACACAATTAGTATGGGCCAATAGGTACATGTTATATGCAGAAGGGTAGCAGCGGGGCAAACCGAAGAAAGCAAGTATAGCAAACATTGACTTAAGTATATTTTACTCTATAAACGCACTGAAGGACGAACATACCTATATACATCGGAAAAAAGGAAACACAACATTCAACTCAACATTTGTTAACCAAGGTTACAACAGACACAACATCCGTTCATACCGTAAACGTTACACATCACATACCTTACATCCACGTACCTTACCTTGCCTTGCCTTACATTTACATTACCTACCTATCCATAATTATATTCCCACCAATCAGCGACATACCCGTACTTACCGACGGCCCTCCCTACATCCCCTATCTCCCTATAGGCTACCGAGCTAAATTACAAGAATAGAAAATCCAGGGGGAGTAGATCTCGCTAAACCGGAAATAAACCAAATACTACAGATCCAAAAAGAGAAAGCAATGACCAAAATAATCCTCTCTATCAACGCGGGGTCCAGCTCCGTCAAGATCTCCGCATACATAACCAAGCGCCGCGAAAGCCCCAAGCAGATAGCCGAGGCTCAGATCAGTGGGTTAACCGCACCTCCGGCACAACTCACGTACACTAGAGGCGATGTGCAAATATTGAAAAATGAAGAAACGAAAGAAAAAATCGAGAACCAGGATGATGCTTTCAAAGTGCTTCTGCACACCTTCACAGGGGACCCGGAGCTACCCGAGATCTCGACCAAGGGAGACATCTCGGTGGCGTGCCACCGCGTGGTACACGGCGGCGACTACACGTCCGCTAAGGTTATCACCCAGGACACGTACCACCATCTAGAACGGCTGACGGATCTGGCCCCGCTGCACAATGCCAACTCGCTGCACATCATACGGTCGTGCATGGAGGAGTTGCCTTGCGCCCTGAACGTCGCATACTTCGACTCGCAATTCCATGCTTCCATCCCGCCCCACATCTGCACCTACCCTATTGACCAGGACATCGCTGCTAATAACCAGCTGCGCAAGTACGGTTTTCATGGCATCAGCTATGCATTTATCACTCGCTCTGTCTCCGAGTTCCTCGGGAAAAGCGTTGATAGTCTGAATATCATCGCCTTGCACCTCGGAAGCGGCGCCAGCGCATGCGCCATCCGCGGCGGGCGAAGCTGGGACACCAGCATGGGCTTGACACCTTTAGCAGGTCTTCCCGGTGCCACGCGCAGCGGTAGTGTAGACCCAAGTCTAGTCTTCCACTACGCCAGCGACGTAGGAAAGCTCTCACCATCATCAACAAAAGAATTGCACATCTCAGTCGCCGAGGAGATCCTCAACAAGCAAAGCGGGTGGAAAGCCCTAACCGGAACCACGAACTTCGGCACAATCGCTACTTCGGACGACCCGAAGTGCCGTCTCGCATTTGACTTGTTTGCGGATCGCGTCAGTGCATTTGTCGGGTCGTACTACGTGTCCCTAGCCGGGCAAGTAGACGCGCTAGTCTTTGCGGGCGGCATTGGTGAAAAGAGTGACCGGTTGAGAGAAGCGGTAATCAGCCAGGCCGCATGTCTAGGATTTGCTCTTGACCCGGCGCGGAACGCGGCTGCTGCCAAAGGTACGGATGTGGTGCACGACGTCGGTGCCAAGGGAGCTAAGCATCGGACGCTTGTATGTCGCACCGACGAGCAATATGAGATGGCTAGGGGTTGTGCCGAGAACGATGAGTTATGGTGATAGGGATATATTGTTGCATGAAATTTCTTGCATGGTTGCTTGCATACTTACGCGCATAATAGATATAATAAACGGGGTGGTGGTGGTAGGGGGGCCAGGGGTATGGTATGGTTGGCGAATGTAATGTAATATCACGGCGGTGGAATGGGGGCTAGGGTTTCGTATATCCAACATGATAGAGAGAAGTCATCAATGGATCTGATTTTTCTTCTTTTTTTGCCGAGCTTACCACTAGATACAATACGGAGTAAGCATTTCGTCTATAGTTGGTAATGTAAGCGCGTTTTCAAGATAGGAAGGGTAAAAGACCCACTTAGTAGTTACTTGGTCCCCTGTTGTAGGGTGGGTAGCGACAGCAGGGTCCGGCAGAGGCGGATGAGGGGATTCCCGCCAACCTGACGAATAATCGCTCCAACCTCGGGATTGTGGTACTTTCTTTTTCAAGCAAGAAATTTCTCGCCTAAATTGAAAATGAAAAAAAGTTACCGAAAAGAAAATAGTACTAATAAAAATGATCGACAGGCACGAGGTAGACCCGCCGGGTCAGCCGTCAGTTACTAAGTAGCCGATATGATTTGTGACGATATGATCGACAGTGGAGTTGGTCAATCAGTTTCTCTTTTTTTCCTCTTGTCTCGAGACTATGTACTAAAAACAGCGACAAGATATGGGGATAAGTGAGGAGGTACATATGTATGTATATATGAGGTTAGAACATTGAATGCCCAGGTGGTTATGGATTGGATGCATGTAAATTTGTGGATGTAAGTTGAATGAATGTTGGGGTCGTAAAGGATTTTTCCAAGGGAGCAGGGCAGGGGAGCAGCAATAACGAACCTAACCTAACCCCTAACTTTTTTTACTACCCAGGCTGTGGAACCCAATCGCCAGATGGGGGAAGGGCGAACGCAAGCAGAAAAAGAAAAGGTGGCAGGGTCCAAGCAAGGCAAGGGCCGTGCCATATATCGTGATGATGCGCTGATGCAAGATGACGTCGATGGGGGTAAGGGACCCCCCTCCCACCTACCCCCCCGGTGCGAAGCGTTAATAATCGGCGGTTTCCAACGATGGCAGGATGGAACCAAAAGCAGCAGCAGTAACAATTCCTAAGTAAGTAAAGTGCGGTGCGGCCCCCCCCTTGCGGACGACGCTACTCCGGATGAACGTCAAGCAATGTAATGTAATGGGTACGTATGTACATCGCGTATATATAACACTTTTCTAAGTTTGGATCCATCTAACTTGCCCCCATTCCCACCTTCGTAAGGTATCAACGGTATACACTAAATTAGCCAATGTACATACAACACTTATATACATATACGTACATACATAATACTTGTTGGCGGCGCTACTGTATGCATGTAATAATGTGCGTATGTGTGTGACAATCACGGACAGGACCCCGAAAAACTCCTCATTTCCACGGAACGGAAGGAAGGGTAAGGCAAAAGGCAGCGCAGGGCAAGGCAAGGCAAGGAAGGGAGGGGGGAAGAAAAAAAGGAACGGACGGGGAATGGGTGCCGCCCCATCAAAATGGTACCGAGGACCTGTTGTATCACCCTAAACTAAACAAGAACGGCCCTCGCGCGCGTGCTACCACGCTACCCTTAGCCTACATATTAACTGCCAGGAAGGGAAAAGGAAGAAAAGAAGCCACACTAGGGGAGAAAGCTGATGAAGGAGATCATCAGGGTCCATGCCAAGATCAGGGGCTACTGTAGCCAACTTGGTAGTAAACTTGCTTGCGATAATCATCAAAGTGCGCAACCTCTTAAACCGGGCTCTAGCGTTCACTTAGCTTGGTTTTAATCTATACGATGACGAAATCCCGATGGCACTCGTGGTCCCCCATTTCGGAATGTACTTCCTAGCCTTGTCCCACGGAATAGACGAGCACAGCTCTCACCCCCTGAGTAGCTTGGTTTGCTAGGTCTTCATACGGATTACAATATGCCTCACCGTGGCGAATATCGAAACCGATTACCGTCACTATTGTCAAGTTAAGGTGGAATAGAGTTTATCATTAAACATTGCTTCTCATTTTCGTATGCCATCCGCCCCCTTTTCTGATCCGGGCGGACGTTGGTATCTAATGCCTAACCCCAACATCATGTATATAGTCAAGCAGATGAAATGCCACCCAATTCTGTATCTGGACCCTTGATAGCCAAGTCCTCGGCGCATATACCCATGCGCCTGATGATCAGCTGGTAATGTGCCAGTACACACACGTACTCGCTGTCGCTGATCTTTGTACAACTACTCCACCCATTCTCGAAGAAGCTAATATCGAGGGCGGCGGAGCGGATCAGCTCCAGATACCGTACCTCGTGTAGAGAGAAGCGAGAGAAGCATACCATGCTTCCCAATTGCTTTTCCCAACCATCCTTCGAATATGCAAAATAATGAGGTGCGCCCGTCGTATGCTTGCCACCGTGGTATCGATAATATCGCCCATGAGTATGATTCCCAAATATACCAAAACGCCACGTCAAAATTGATTCCCCTTCACACCGAACCCTGCGGTGTACAGGGAGGAACACGGTGAGTTCATTACCCCATCATTAACTGGACACCGAGTACCGCCCGGCGTTGAGCCGACGTAAAAATTAAAGCAGGTTGCGGGAAATCCTAGGCGCCTTCTTGACAAGCAATGGCTGCTAATGCGTCTAGTCCACTGCTGGTCCTCGCCGCGCTTGGCCGGCTCATCAAAGGGATGTTGAGACCCCGCATATCCCAAGCACCGCCTGGAGAAGGTAGGGGTTGGGCATCGGAGCCATACTGATCTGATTCCCACATCTGGACCTCATGAGAAGGTATGCTGCTCTGGGAGGATGACGACTTGGAGGACACTGAGCCACGCTTAGAAGATGAAGATAAGGAGGAGCTCTTAGACTTGGATGAGCTAGAGGATCTCGACTTGTCCTTGAAGTGAGTCTCGAGGTGCTGTTTCATGTTGTCTGCGCGCGTGAACTTCTTGTGGCAGCCAGGGTATGTGCACTGGACCGCCTTCTCGGCAGTGTGGATCTTGGAGTGGCGGGAGGCGTGTCCTGAAGTGGTAAATGTCTTCTCGCAACCGTGACTATCGCGGTATCGACATGGGTACCGTTTGCCTGCTTTCTCGGGCGCTGCGGAGCTAGCTGAGCTGTCATCCTCATACGAATTAGAGCGGCTGGTTGCGACGTAGACTGGGCGCTTCATGCCGACCTGTTGATCCGGAAGATAATCATCGTACAATTGCCGCGACGAGTAGTCGTAAATACCAGGTGTCAACGGCGTGTAGGCATCGTAACTGGCGTTAGAGTCATACGAGTCTGAGCGAAGGAGCTCTGGGGTGTGGGGCGGTGGGGATTGGTCGCCGGCGGATTGGTAGTGGGTAGCTGTGTGGTATGACTGATGGCTTGCGTATGGATCATCGTTCAGAAGAGAGACCTGGCGGCCGGTCGCGTCTCGAGCGTGCATTGTGACTGTAGGTGTGGATATAGTGGGAGTGAAGAGTGGAATGAGTATTATATTGCTGATGAAGATCGTCTGAACTGCGCAGGTGCTGCTCAGACGTCGTCTTACGGAGTCCAATTCTTTTGAAAAAATTGGTAAAGCGCAGACCACTAAGGTAGGGAACAGATCTTTTCAGATGCGAGTGGAATGAAAAGATCTTAATTGGTAAAATGTGCTCAATTAAGCAGGCTGTGGTGGGAGGGAAGGTTTCGGACGGCAGCTAAAACTGGCATACGAATTCGATAACACGACGAGAGTTTTGGATGTGGGCCGTTCAGCAGTTCTTTGCACCAAAAAAAAAAAGGTGTATGATGATGTAGTATGGTAGTGGTGGGATGTGGGCGTGCGTGCGTATATGCGTCTATGTGTGCTGGTATGGTCAAGCTAGATCGAGTCTAGTTTCTACACTTCCCAGCTTATACCAAGGGACCAAGGACAACAATTTGCGATGAAGTAGTGGAATCGGACGTGTGGAGGATTATTTTGTCCTATAAAAGTGGTCGAGAACAAAGGTTGAGGAAAAAAGAGGTGAAGCAAGATCAGAGAGGAGCATAGCCTGCGAGATACGATGGGAAGTGTGTTGGTTAAAAAGAAACATGGGAAAGGCATGAATCCCATCGAGTTCCAGTTTCCTCCACATCTGCCACTACCACATCCACCTATCCACTACATCCACTACATCCACTACTCGTTCTTTCTTGTACGTGCAAGTGCAAAGTACCTGTGGTGGAGCATTTCGTCCAAGACAAGACTTTGCAGGGGTTCTAGGCTGACAGGGGTCAGGGGTCTCTCCTACGTAGCAAATGGTTCCAAAAAAGCAGAAGAAGCGGGGGGCGGTTGCAGACACATGGACTGGGACTCGACGTACTGTACCTGACCGAGTATCGCACAAGTACCCTTCCCGCATTTGGAGTCCCCCCGCCTAAGTAGAAACTAGAAACAGCGATCGCCGTCACCGCTTATTTTTCTGTACCTAGTTACATACCTTGGTAAGGCTTCTGCCATCGAGATATTCCTGTGGCATCGGTATCTTCTCCATTCTCTACTATGGTCACCGTGACATCCAGTCCGGCTATGATTGATCATTTTCGAGTACCAATCATAAAAAACAACAAGAACAAGTATGTATCTAATTTCGAAAGAAATAAAGAGAGGAAAGAGAAAATAAAAAGAAAAGTACATAACCTCGTATAAACTTTAATACCTACATATCACTTACATACATAAGTGCACATATAGGTATAATACAGAGTTGGGCCGGCGCGGGGCCTAGAACTCTATCTGTCAAGGTGCATGCAACGACAGACACAACGTTTGACTCGAGGTATTTGAGGGGAGACTTTTTCCTTGTTGCCGAGTTTAACTTAATTTCTAGACAAGACGAAAACGGACATACGATTGGACATGTATACACTTCTTTGTCTATTCTATACGTGTATTATGTACGTACATAATTATACACGAGCTTTCTAGGAGTTGAGGTTGATGTTGTAGCTCCTCGGTTGCAACAAAGGGTTCTCGTTGATCCGCTCCGTTGAGATGTACATATGTGAAGCATCAAAAAAGCCAACATGTACATCTGCACGTAAGGTCAGACCGGAAACAAGGTGAAAGAGAAAGGTGTTCGACGAATTACGTGCCGCTGGGTTCACATCTCCAGCATGTAAGTGGATGAGACAAGTATGGAAAGGTATGTAACCAAGCTGGCTCACCTTGCGTTGCGGTACGTACTTATGATCAGCAGGCACGTTTAGATGTTGCATTATTCGGATTGTGCTAGCATATCTCGCTTGACCTTCCCAAGGATGCGGCGTGCGTGCTTAGTATCTATTTTCAAGATACCAGCACCAACTAGATCGGTCGTCTGGGTCCCTGATTAACATTCCGCCGATGATGTGAGAAGCTCCTCGTGCTCCTCTCCATCCGAAACCCCCAGATAGGGAGAAACAGAGATCCACGATACATGTTAGTCTACGTGCAAGCTATCGAGATACGACATCCATGATGACGTAGGAGGCTCATGGATCTTTGCGAGTTGACTTGAACGTTACCCTCTCCTTAACCTTCGATACTATTCGAGTAACTAGGAGCGAATGAGGCTCTATTGTGGAGTCACTTGAAGAAATATCTTGAAAGGGGAAACAGGGCAAGTGCAATTTCCTACTATATCGACAGGTACGATCTTCTAAAGGAGAATAGCTCCCTTTCGTCCACTATTAGTGATCTCGTAGACTTACCTCCATGTAGATGTATAGCTCTCCATATTTCCCTTTCTTTGTTTTCCTTTTTACACCGGTGGAGGTTTTGCTGTTGGATAAATTTCTTCATTGTTTTCTAATTCACCGTGTCCATGTCCTGGATGCTACTGTTTCGTGCGCTGGGATAAATTCTATATTAAGCTTTACGCCGAAGCAAATTTGCCTAACTAGAGACAAGATGTGATCAAAATCAAGTAAACTGTCACTTATCACAAAACCAAGTCTAAGGGACCCTTATCCCTGGGATTTTAGGATACCCTTAATGCAGGCGCCCGGTAAGCATGGCCTCGCGTATAAACGCCTTCGAACGCCTCAAGTTTCCTCGTCGGAATTTCGATACGGTACGTAGACCACGTAGAAAAGAAAAAGGAGAAACTCTGATTGGCTGGTTGTGCCAAGGCGAATTGCGTCAAGAGGGTACAAAATCGGGGTACATTGAACCATAGTGAAGATACAAGTTGGAGACCTTGTACGACACACGGACCATTCATGGGATTCTTCTTTCCAAAACCGCTTTTGCGAATTCGATGCTTCCCAGTCTCCACCCACACCCCCAATCTCGATCCCCCGGCCATCCTTTCCCCTTCGTGTGGACACACAAAGTAGATAGTGCACATTAGCCACATTTACGTTTAGGTCTCACAAGAACGCCAACTCGGCAAGTCCATTCGTTTCAATGTATGCAAGTAACATACATGTGTGTTGCAGTCATTGACTTATTATTAAGGGTCCCTTTTTTGAGGGGAAAGATAACCCTCCTTTTCGCCAATGTAAGAGATAAATAGACCTACCTACACATACACTCACACAACTATTCCGACCGAGGTTGAAAACGAAAGGGAAAAATACCTAATTACATATATTGCAAATTTAATAGACATGCAGGTACGTATCCTGTACGATGCAGATTAGTACGAAACATGGAAACGAAAGCGGGAGAAATGAGAGGAAGATGGTGATGTCATTAAATTGAAGAGGAATGAGAAGTACGGCCGGGTAAGCTGGAAGCGGGTCCTATATCAAATAGTTAAATAGTGAAGGAGAGAAGGCCCTGTAGGCGGTTGTTTCGATTAACCAGCGACTGTAGTACTAATGGATCGAGATTTCCGCCAGCGATCGGGTTTTTGGCAGGGGTTGTTTAGGGGGGAGGGGGGGGACATGTAAAGTATTATAGTGTGGTAGGAACGTTGACGACGACAACCGGCCGCAGTGGGTCTTGCAATAACCCCACCATAAGTACCTACTGTGGACCTCGGGCAAGGGACCGAGGAGAAGAGAAAAAAAAAAAAAAACTCTACCTAACTTAGGTAGGTACAACGCACGCCTCACACTCAGTAACTCGGGTTTTTCTACAATGCCTGCTTCAATTTTTAAGTCCCTGGCAGAAACAACAATTTTTTAACATACCATCTCGGAAGATTGAAGACAAGAACCTCACTCACATTTCGCGATATCCACCTAATCCCTTACTATACCCAGTACCCTAGGACTAGGCAATATGGTATTAAGGGACTTCTCGATCTAGATATTTTTAATTCTTAAGAACTTTAAGAACCACTCTATTAGTTTAGATGCGATGGAGGCTCGGCATGACTTACTGTCTCCAAGTTACCTAACACTAATATAGGTCGGACCCTACAATACCTTAGGTAATGGTATTAGATGGGAAGGGAAAAAATAAGTATGCTACAGCATTTACAATCATGTACCTAGTAGGGGTTTACTCTAGTGTGCCCTCAAGTTCAGCTCAACTGATCAAATCCAGGGTTCATCGAATATGCACTATCTAACGATGTTAGTGCCGTCCGCACTCCCGAATATCCCTTGCTACTAACATTTTTTTCCCTTTAAAAATTCTCGCAATGGTCTAGGTGTTTACGTAGGTAGGCTGGCTGGTCAGGTACATGCGATGTACTGGAGAGCGAGGCAGAAAAGCAAAAGTCCGTATCGGCGCGACGAGACAGACGAAGATGCGAAGTGCGGATGATAATCAATTAGAGTACTACCTACCGGAATGGAATGAATGGCATGGCATGAGGGAAATGGAAGTCGGCCAGTACTTCCTTCAATCCGTTCGCGAATATGCCAACTGCAAGTTGTGGCCGACTTTTCTAGGGTTGAGTAGCTCGCGCCGCACATCAGCAACACAAAGATCGAAACAATAGGAGCAATCGACCGATCGTCAAGAAGGGTTGGTCCACAATACAGGAACACCCCTCTGGTATTCCTTGGCACAAACTTCGTATCTCTTCCATAGGGCCAACTTATCGCAGAGCAACCCAGAGCAACCGGGGCCCCGGCATGCATACACTACAACACTACTACATTCATAGTACCAGCTGCTATTACTGCTATTAATTACTCCCCTGGATTTTTGTTCCCTTCACTTGCAGTTCACCTACAGTACATCTGCGCATCAAACTTCTAAAGCCTTCTGGCGGTCTATTAATACCACTGATACTGCTAATACTACGAATTTTATTAACCCAACACATAGAAGACGGCGGTCCCTGGGATTCTGGAATGATTTTTATTTTTCTTTTATGCGCGCCAACCCTAACAACTACTGTACTCGGAAACAGACGGGGATTATCGTAATATCTTTACCATCGTAACATCTTTACCAGGAACCCTCGAACCACCAAACCACCTCGCCTAAGTAGACGGGTTGACAGTTTAGCGACATCAGATAACTTCTCTAGGCATCTATTTCAGTATCCCTCCGATGCCGCCGAGACATGGATCTAGGAACGGTACGTTGCAAGATAATCCGCAAGGCCTTCAACTACATTATCTTCAATGCCTCAACACCGAGTATACATGACTCTATACATTATCCGAAGTCTTTGATATAGCATTCTGAATCGTTCAACAATTCCCATTTCCGGTACGTATATGGAAACATGCACTTGACCTCAATTGGTTCAAGAGTCTCCCGAGGATAAGTACCTTCGCCGCGGCCAGGGTCAATATTTACATACCGCAACCATCATAGATGCATTCAACGTAGCAACCACATTTTTCTTCAAACAATGTCGGATGGATCTATTGGTTACCTAAGTTAATCTACCTCTCTTTCTTACTTGCCCAATTTACCTCCACTATTTGGATACATTCGAATTCATCAATTCATCTATGTGTACGCGTAAACCCATACACATCTAAGGTACATGCTTCGCTCAGACACTTCCAGGTAAATCAAATATGGATACCAGATCTATCACAATGACGCAAATGTAACTTGTATTTTTCAAAATTTGAAGTTCACGGGCGCACTAAGACTCGGAGCTTTAGGTCCACCAGTGAGTCGGCCGTACTTCCGAACAGGTCGTTCTCCTTCGACATATTTCCACTCCGTGAGTTAGCTTGTTTCCGGCTCGGCAACTTGGATGTTCTTCTCCTAAGATCGTCGCAAGGCTTGGAAAAGTCTTGGGACCCGGTCCCCATTGTCTCCATATGCCTTGTTTGGGCTTATATCTCGTCCGCCTTCAATTGTGAAAAGGCCTGGACCTTGTTTGATATGTCACTTTATTATGAGGAAATAATGCAAATCCAGTCAGACCATTGGGTACGGATGGTACCCCGTACCCAGCATTCTAGCCCAGGAGTTCAACCCCTGCTATACATGGCTTATACATGAGAAATGGGCCCACTACTGCTAGAAAAAAAACCATTCGAGCATCAGTCGACGAACAGACGCAGAATCATCGTGATCGAATTCGATACTCTCCACTTCCCATCATGCTATAGTGGGCTATTCAATAACACGTACTTTGCGCCTTGCTTACATGCATGTAGGTAGATCGAGTCACAGCTCAACTTACATGCTGCTGCATGTCAATCTGGCGATAAGATTGAAAACAACGGTAGATGCACCTATGGTACACTACACTATACTATTATGGTTGTGGTTGTGTATGTGTCTACCAATACCGACATACGTCTCTGTATTGTCTCATCAGTCTAGAACATAACTCTACTCAACCACATCACAACCTCCTTCTCTACAAAGAAACTGGAACGGTATCAACAAGGTGCGTGTCTACCCCTCCTAGGTCGGGTGGCTTATTGTGAGCCTATGCTAAAGAATGACTTGCGTGTGTAGAAAGGTCCGGAATGATACGGACGTAGCTCAGCCAAGCTCCATATGTCAGATGGGTTAGTCCTTACATGTAAGCAACGAAGAAAAAAAAAATTATTATTTTGACAAGGTAGTAAGAGAGGTGACTCGCGACAAGGGAAAAAACAACAACATCGGCAACAAAAAGACCAATAGGAATCGAACCGTGACATCTATCTTGAAAGGTAGGTCTGCCACGAGCGCATTAATAGACATGATAATGAGATGTTTGTCGAATATGGATGTGTCAGAAACACCGACTTCCCCATTATTTCCCATCCTAATGGTGAGACGCTCGTCTTAACATCAGCCCAGGCCGTCCAAAGCGGCATGCAGTTCCGGTACATACCGCTCGCTTTTTTGAGCCGGAACTCCGCGCTCCACGATAACCCGAAACATGTATCAACGACATCAACAAAATACAAGCAAACTTGGACTCGCCGACCGTTCGGCACATGCGGCATCTTTCTCCTCTTTCTCATGTATGTCCTAGCACAGCTAGGGATAATGATGGGATAGATGGATGGATGGATGGATGGATGGGTACTCACTATCGTAAAAGGGGATGGGACAACAGCCCTATCGCACTTTGCCATGCCCTATCGTTGAAGATCTTTTCTCTCCCTTCCATCTACTAGTACTAGCTGCCCAAAGGGAAAAAAAAAGATATCTATCTGTCCCTTGACAGCTTCACAACCACACATTTGCGCTACTGTAGGTCATCTATCACAAGCTTGGGTTATCCACTGATCGTCCGGGACCCAATCCCGCAAGCTCCAGTATCTTTCAAACCTGTGTCCTTCGGTCTCCATCTTTAACCAATCCACTTTATAGCATCCGAGGTCACGCATTTCCACATTCCCACATCATTGGTACTATGTCATGTTGGACCTGACTCGAGGGTGTACAAGATATGTACGTAGATACCGGATAGGGTACGATATACCATGGGTAAACAAGGTACGCACGCTTAGACACGCACATGCAACCAAACTGACATGGATTGGATGGATTTGGGATGCGATGCGATGGGAGGAAAAGGAAACCCAGACCATGCACCGCTGCCGTAATGGGGAGTACGTATGTATGTATATACGATACAAATAAAATACCCATCCCCAATCCCAATTCTACATGCCTCCTGAGGCTATGTAATGCTATGTAATGCTGGTTAGATAGCTATCATTATTATTATTATTATTATTATTTCTTTTACCCCGCGCTGTGGACCTTACCTTGCCGTACCGTACCTTGTCTATTCTCTTCCTTCACATGCGAACCCTGTCCTATAGGTACCTAATTTGTATGTCACCATGATCAGTAATGACGAAATCCTGTTTTTTTCGTCGCGAGAATTCCATTATCTTTCGAAAGCGACGATCAGTGCGCCAACAGCCGACCATTTTCGAACTACGGTGCAGGTGTCCGAGGAAAAGACCCTAAGTTCAGTTTCTCATGTAATGTATGTACGTATGTACGTGTCTACATGGATATTCACATGTGCTCATCATCGTGACACTTATCGGCAAGTCCCTGATAAAGTCCCTGCAGGATATTTTTTTTTTTTTTTTTTTTTTTTTTTTCAAAAAAAAAAAAAAAAATTTAAGAATAAGCAAGTAGCAATTTACGATAGAAAGAAAAATAAAAATAAAATAAAATATACATAACCAAATTTACCCAGGATCCCCTCACTAAAGCTCATAGCAGTACAAATGTATCCCTTCGTAATAGGTGACATAGACATTAATGTATGTAGATATGTACGTAGGAAGCCATCATGTATGATGTATGTATCATCTCGGTGTAAAGCCAAAGCCAAGCTTGCGAATCGAATTTGCGAAAACCTCATCACCGGTCGCGAAAATTCCCATGCTCGGGACGTGCAAGTTTCACCAGAATCCCATCTTTCTCCCACAACTGCCATTTCATCCTTTCCCATTTCCCCTCTCTTCCCCCCTTATCTCCCCTCCTTGTCTTTCCATCCTATCCAACCATCCGGTCAAACCCATCTATTTCACTCACACCCTCCCCTCCCTGCTCCATCTCTCAGCTCGTCCCTCGTCCTCCCTCCCTCACGTGTTGAGACGAACGGTCGGTTCGAACACTTCATTCCTTCGAAATGAGTCGAATGATGTAGTCCTTGACCGGTAGGAAAAAGGTAGCACCTAGTGGTACCGAATAAACAAGTTTAGGTAGGTAGGGATGCGATTTCGTTATTGCAACGCTGCCAGCATCATTCTACCTCCAATCTACCTATCCTATACAAGCGTACATGCGTACATCGAAAATACATCTCCCATACATGCTCCCATGGGAAAGATGGCATCGCATTTTTCCTTTTTTTCACATAGATGAAAAATCTCCATCCATGATCCGGAACCACGTTCGTGTAACCCACCGCCAATCAAAAACCCAACATAACATAACCTTCGCACGCGCCCGTGCCACGCGAAAAAGAAGTAAAATAAAAAAAAGCACAGGCCACGGGCAAGACTTTGATAAACAGATAGGTTAGACACACAGAGCACAGAAACACGCACACAGAGACATTGACCCCCAAATTCCCAAAGGGAAAAGAAAACCCCGCGATCGAGATCTGTGAGATGTCAATATCTATCTGTCAATCCATCTACTTTCTTGTTTCTGCCTCCAGGGTCTTGGTAACACCACACCTAGCCGAACCCTCGGACACGTAAAACGTACACCTGGTAAGTTCCTTTGGGTAGAACAAATGTATGTACGTACAAGGGTAGCAAAGATAAGAAAAATAAACGTTGTTCTGTCGTGAGTGTTACGTCAAACAGGAAAAATGGGAATTCAGATCTCCCGTCCCAGAATTCGACATTCCTGTTCCCCCTTCGCCCCTTGCCCCTGACTCTACCACGAACTTTCCCATAGCAAAGTCGATGTATTATTGGGTCTTCGGAACCGACTCCATAGTCTCGTAGAGGGCAGACGTATGTTACGTTTTTACGTATTCACATAGGGGCAAATTGAGCTAGGAGAAGGGTTTAGATGGCGTCGTCTTAACAGAACTATGTTTACAGACACGAGTTGTTTGCTTACACACTAGACGCACGATTCTGCAGTAATAAAGCCAGTTAGTTCAGCAGATACCAAAAAAGGCCCCCAACCATTTTGGCGCTCGTTCTTTGATATATGTAGCTACCTATATGTAGCTTAGCTAGCCTAGTTACGACTCTAGCCTCCTTTCCAGCCAAAAACGCCAATACTATGCGACCGAACCTAGTGCTGCTGTAAGAACAAGGACAAAAAGAGGCAAAAACAGTTGACTAAACCCCACCGGCTCTTAGACGCCATACCTAAACCCCTTACGTTGTTGGTCCGTTCTGCCGTACACTGCAGAAAATAAGAACCCCTAACCCCTACTTCGCGAAATTTCGGGGTCATCTACATCGAAGGGGACCCATTGAACCCATCCACCTCCTCACCTCCGCCTTATTTCTTAGCGGGGAGTGACGGGGGCCCCATTTTGCCAGCACCGGTGTCGACTTTCTTGTTCGGAGGGGGTGCACCACCGTTACTAGCCGTCCCACTGCCTGCGACCTGGGTGAAAGTACCACCCTTAAACCAGCGGTCCTCCTCCGCCTTTCTCTTGCGGTTAAGCTCAGCTTGTACCTTGGGGTCCACGAGCTCGAGTCCCTGGACCGGTGTGAACGCCAGGGAAGAGGCAGTCCCCGCACCACCACCGATCGTAGACCCTACCCCTGAAGTACGTAGTCCCTTACCGCGTAGGTCAATGTTGTTGCCCGATTGGCCGAATCCGCGTAGCGACGACGCCGAGCCACCGATGGGTGTCGCGCCGCCCCAACCCTTGGATTTCTGACTCAGCTTCGCGCGCGTCCGGTTGTCAATCTGCATACCCCGTATTCGTCCGTCGTTCGTCTGGCCAATCATGCCCATGCCCGCCGAAGAATCACCTATGCCGTAGTCGGTTTCTCGTTCTTCCTTGCCAAAAACCATGCGGTTCTGAGCTTTACGAAGTTCGGTCATCGCCGTTGCTTCCTTTGCCTTGCGTGCTCGTCGTCCACCTCGCTTTCGTGAGGGCTTGTCGTCTGGGGCTGGTAAGGCTCGCTGACCCTTGTTGGGGGGCGGTTCTGTCAGTTTATCCAATCTCTCTAGACATTGACTTCGTAGTTCTTCGCCGTATGATCCGTCGGGGTTCGTATGACCAGTATCTGCACGCGCAGCCAAAACAAGTTTTGCTGCTACTGCCTTCATGGCCTTTTTCTTTATATCGTTGGGGATGCCACGGATAATTGGCGAATGGAAAAGATAACCTTGTTGCTTAACCCCCACATTGGTGGCGAAAGCCGTGTTTCCTATTCTTTTAGAGCCCCAAGCGGCGAGATTGCAAGCTGGCGTTCGAGAGAGATTCGTTAAACCTCCAGCCGTATTGATCAATTGCGCGGCCGTAAGTGATCCGACTAAAGCCGTCAAGTTAGGAGCGAATATATTCATTCGAGACTGGACATAGTCCGTGAGTGTTTTCTTGGCCTTATCCATCTTGATCATCATGTAGCAGGCTTTAAGAATGCGCTCGAGCTCCTCTTGGCTAATTTCGTGACCCTTCGTTGTAGTAGCTTCGACTGTGACAATCATCAATGAAGGACCATCTAGAACCGACTTGAGTGATTCGCCTAGTGCATTTTCGGTCGACCCTTGGAGGGCTTTGATGCTATCCGAATCCATAGGGCCATTTCCGAGAATGGTCACGACCTTAGCGTACTCGATGGGGTTCTGAACGAGAGTTTCGAGTTCGGGGAATCGAGCGGAATAATGATCTCTGATGAACTTATGAACCTTCATGATCTCGCCGTCGATCTGGGTGGAGAGAGTATTGGATTCAGTGAGGATCTTGTATTCGGGGTTATCCTCGATATTACCTATGTTGGTGGTATGAGGCGCGAGAGGTTTTGATTGATAGTGGACGATATCCTGTAAGGTCGTACACAGCCGGTCAGAATCTGTAGCTCAAAGCCAGGAGATGTAAACATTTTCATCACCATTTGTAGGGGATAGTAAGGAGTGAAATGGTAGACTAACCTTAAGGAGAGGATCCAATCTGTCCATAACAGTGGTAACCTTGCGAATATCCTTAACTCCGCCCAACTGCATCTTTTCGACCTTCGCTTTGGTCGCTTCCTCGTCCTCGACGGGTTCGGTCCCGCCATTTATGCCACTCATTTCTTCATCCTCGTCAGGTTCTTCCTCTTCATCGCCATCCAACACCATATCGTTATTATCGTGATTCGCTGGGGGACCGATAGCCGGGCCATCGAATTCGAGGCCAATTTCATTCTGATCCTCGCCATTCTCGGACCCGGAGTCCTCGAAATCTTGCAATAGTTCGTCTGCAAGGGTCGACATCGTGTCGAATGATTGATGTATCGTTGGACGGTCGCGCAGTACGATGGGATGGGATGTTAAATAGAAGTAAATGAATGTAGTTTGTTGCGCGCGTTGAAAAGGGTTGAGAGTCCCTTTGTTTGTGTAAAAAGTGTGAATGGATAAAAAGTGAATGCGACGACAAAGTTAAGAAAGTTCCAAGATTAGCTGTAAGGCAATCGCAGCCTTTTAGTCGCGATTACAATTTAATATGGGTCTTGGTAGCTCCACATCCAATCATACAGCGCGATTACGCACCGCGACCGGCAAAACTAATTCTTCCGTGCGTTTTTCCAGGGTTTAGCTCTGGGATTTTAGTCGCGTCTTCCTTGATAACTTAGCCTTCTATAATTCTACATATACTGGCCTAGACGCCAATAATTGGTTGGCAGTGCCGTACTGCAACAAACCCTTTAATTATTCTTCCCTTATTCTTCTTATCTCTAAATCCTACACTGCATCCCCCGTCACCGTCGCCAATCAAGTCAACATGGAGTCCTCACGCGGGCCCCCGAGGGTCAAAAACAAGGCCGCCGCGCCTGTCCAGATCTCCGCCGAACAGCTTCTGCGCGAAGCCGTCGATCGTCAGGAGACCTCTCTACAGGCGCCGACACAGCGATTCGGCGATTTAGAAGAGCTTCACGAGTTCCAGGGTCGAAAGCGGAGGGAGTTCGAGAGCTATGTCCAACGAAATAGGATTAACATGAACAACTGGATGCGCTATGCCGCCTGGGAACTTGAGCAGAAAGAATTCAAGCGAGCGCGATCTATCTTCGAACGTGCCCTTGATGTCGATCCGACGTCGGTTGTGCTATGGATCCGATATATCGAGGCCGAGATGAAGAATAGGAATATCAACCATGCGAGGAACTTACTCGATCGTGCTGTCACCGTCTTACCCCGAGTTGATAAGTTGTGGTACAAGTATGTCTACATGGAGGAAACGTTGGGCAATATCCCCGGTACGAGACAAGTCTTCGAGAGATGGATGTCTTGGGAGCCGGATGAGGCGGCGTGGAGCGCGTATATCAAGTTGGAAAAGCGATACGGCGAATACCAACGAGCCCGAGATATCTTCGAACGCTTCACGATAGTACATCCGGAACCACGCAACTGGATTAAGTGGGCTAGGTTTGAGGAAGAGTTCGGGACGAGCGACCTTGTCCGAGAAGTCTTTGGTGCTGCGGTAGAGGCCCTTGGAGATGAATTCGTCGATGAGAGACTCTTCATCGCCTATGCCAGATTCGAAGCGAAGCTGAAGGAATACGAACGGGCTAGGGCTATTTACAAATACGCACTGGACCGTCTCCCTAGATCAAAATCTATGGGCTTACATAAGGCTTATACAACCTTTGAGAAGCAGTATGGTGATAGAGATGGTGTTGAGGATGTCATATTGTCGAAAAGGAGAAGACTCTACGAAGACCAGATCAAGGAAAATCCGAAGAACTACGATATATGGTTCGATTATGCTCGATTGGAGGAAACTTTAGGCGACCTAGATCGAGTAAGAGACGTCTACGAGCGAGCGGTCGCGCAAATACCACCGACGCAGGAGAAGCGACACTGGCGTCGCTATATCTATTTATGGATCTTCTACGCTATATGGGAGGAGTTGGAAGCCAAAGACATTGACCGGGCGCGCCAGATCTACAAGTTGTGTGTCGACTTAATCCCCCACAAGAAGTTTACCTTCGCTAAAGTCTGGTTGTTGAGAGCACAATTTGAGATACGGCAAGGCGAATTAACAGCCGCGCGTAAAACGCTTGGGCAGGCCATTGGCATGTGCCCGAAAGACAAGTTGTTCAAGGGCTACGTCGAGCTGGAGTTGAAGCTTTTTGAATTCGTGCGATGTCGAACACTCTACGAAAAGCACATCGAATGGAACCCTGCCAATTGCCAGACCTGGATTAAGTTCTCCGAGCTCGAAAGAGGATTGGACGATCTCGAGAGGACAAGAGCAATTTTCGAGTTAGCTATTAACCAGCCCGTCCTAGATATGCCGGAGCTCCTATGGAAGGCGTACATTGACTTCGAGGAAGAAGAGGGCGAGTATGAAAAGACACGCGATCTATACGAGAGACTGTTGGAAAAGACCGATCACGTCAAGGTCTGGATCAGCTATGCCCATTTCGAGATCAATATTCCCGAAGAAGACGAGGAAGAAACAGGCGAAGAGGAAGAGCGACCTGTCAGTGAGGAGGCGAAGGCCAGAGCTCGTGGTGTATTTGAACGTGCTCACAAGCGTATGAAGGAGAAAGAACTCAAGGAAGAAAGAGTTTCTCTACTCAATGCTTGGTTATCGTTCGAACGCACGCATGGGTCAGCGGAGGATATCGAGAAAGTTCAGAAACAAATGCCGCGGAGGACAAAGCGGAGACGCAGGCTCGAAGACGACACGTTCGAGGAGTATATCGACTACGTCTTCCCTGCGGACGACGAACAGAAGCAGGATCTATCCAAGATGCTTGCTATGGCTCAGGCCTGGAAGCAAGGCGGTGGAGCTGTCGGCGGGTCGAGTTAATCGTCGCCTACTTTTAGTTGTACCATAGAAAGATACCACGCGAATCGAAAATTCGACCTTGTACTAAGACTATTCATTGCATGGGTCCAGGAAAAAGTGCCAGTAATAAGATATCCATAGACTGGCGGTATTATCTTTGGGATCTTTGCGTCAGACGTAATGGAATTAAATTGCCGATGACTTCAGTAGCAATGCCAAGATCTGGGTAAGGGGAGGGAATTACATATGCGGCTCCGGACCGCCAAGCCGTCGACAGAGCTTGAAGGAACTGCATCCTATAATTATTAATATGTATGTTTGAAGCACGAAATGTCTATAATGATGATGTTCACAGCTCATGAATATCTTCTGCTAAGGCTCCTCGGAAGCTGTCAGCTTCCGCCTTTTAAGTCTTTGAGTATTACCCTCATAGAACAGACGAGAGGTACCCGGGTAGGTACCAACTTCGTACTTTAACAAGAGAAAATAAGGGTTCCATAAGCACAAACCCTGTTCCTCATTTTCCCGAAGAGAAAAGTTCCATAGTCCGGGTTAGATTCCATCGCAAGGGTAAGGATCCAGGGGAATAAAAAAAAATCGTGGGATTTCGATCCGACACCGAACCACCGAACACATGGCGGTCAGCACGATGACATCATACATTTTCCCTTCGCTTCGTCGGCAAGTGTGTTACACTGTCAGGTTTTTAGCTATGTACCTATGTACCCCTTGCTATCTATACGAGAGTAACACTTCATTCTTATTGTCCTTGTTCCATCCCCCGTTCGTACCTAGGTACGCATCAAGCACCGCCTATCAAATTAGCAGTATAGCATTCTCGTATCACACCGTTATACATCACTATATCCTAGAGCTATAACATCCCATGCAATAGGCTTGATAAATCATACTGGTGTAGCAAGTCTACATCATATTAATTTCCCTATATGCAAGCAGCCGGACATCGACAATATCTAACATATAAGAAACAAAACCGGATGTATGCATCCAAACATATGACAAGCTACACACCAATCGGACATATAATCAAGTACCATCTGGTAACAGCTTAGTTACACCGCGGCCAACTCCATCGGGCCACTTACTCTAGCCTACTAAGCTTATGAAGCAGGTATCCTACCGAGTCTCAAGTTTGCCTTTCATTTCCAAGATACAGTGTATGACTTGTCGTACATCCACATATGTAGGCGAATGGATATAGATGTCCGAGTGAGTCAAGAGTTATGTAAAATTGCGATAAAATAAATCAAGTTGGCAGTATATATGAGATATATAATAAGTCCGTGAGTTTCAAAGAAAGCATAAGCCCAATGAGAGAAAAACGGTGTACTATGTAAAGTAAGGAACTTCATGAAATCGTCCAATCAAAAATCGTCCCAAGGGTTGATCATCATAGTCGTCATCATCCAAAAAAGGCAGATAAGTAGATAGGATAGTCCCCGGAAATGCTCCAAAATATTTTCCACGTCTTCTTCCCCCTCCTACCCCTTGCCTCTTCCACTTCACACCGCCCCCCGGTAGGTATATACGTACCCCAATAATTATTAGATCCTGTCCACGATCCCCCCAATCCCATTTGTGCTACACACGCGCCCACGCCAACTGCAAGCCACCAATTTATTTCCTTCCGTTTCCATCCATCGGGAGGGTGGGAACAGGCGATCGACCAGATCCTACCAAGGTACACGATACAGACAATTATGCACGTCGTCCCAATAAGAAATCGTCGATCTTGTCCCCGTGCCTCCGTTCTGGCCATTGAACTACCACGTGGGAATCCATAGGAAAACAAACCAAATTACCATATAACTAGACCTAGCCCACCGATCTTCCTGCTCACCCTAGCGGGGCACCAACTCCGAGTGCTCGAATCGATTTGTGATGACAGGGGACACGATTCCAGTCCCGTGTTATCCGGTCAGGTATATCTCACCCACTCATTCTCTGAGTTTCGCTACTCCGCGCTTGTACTGCATGGGAGCCCGATGCGTCCCGATGCGTCTCGACCCGTCTTTAGTGACACGGACGGGAAAATCAAGTAGCACATTGGGTCCCCTTCTCCCTATTGCATGACAGCAACAGGGGTATGTAAGGGTATACACCACTTAATCGTCGTGGTGGTGACGGTGGCGGCGATGACGACCATCTGTCACAAACGAATCAGAATCAGTGAACAAAACTCAAGTTTAAGATGTTATGATAAATAGTAAAACTTTGCGTATCGTAAGAGATTCAGATGCTGATGAAGAAAAAAAAGCAAAAATGCGACGAAGCGAGATCTTGTTTCTATCTCAAAACGACCGGGGTTAGTTTCAATAATGCGCCTCAGGCAGCCAGCAGCAGAAGTCAAGTTTCCATAATTCATTCCAGACGCCTCTCTCTTTCGTTTTCTTTAACACACCAATTTTTGCATTTATCCAAAAGTTCATAAATAGCAATAAATCGTCAAGTCGTAACAGGACATTAAAGCAGGCGTGTATATGCTGCAATTCATAAATTTCTGGTGGGCGTACAGTGAAGTAAGCGATGCAAGGTGACAACGAATCACCCTACCTGTCACCTCCTGTCGTAACCCACTGGGGGCGCGGGCAAGGCAGCAGAATAGGGATTTCCATCGGTGTAACGAGGTCCATCGTCGTACCGACTTTCTCGCGGCGGAGCTGAAGATTGGTAATTGTCAGCCCTTGACCTGCCACTATTACTGGAATTTGCTCGCTTTAATCGCTCCATTCTTTTATCGTGACGTCTCTGTTTCTCCTCTTTCCATTCACTAACTGCTTTAGCCTGCTCTCGAGCTTCCTTGAGCTCCGAGATGGCGCCCTTAACACCCATTGCTGCAATGCCGACTGATGCCGCATCTTGCAAGAGTGCCTTAGTCTTCAACTTTTTAGCCTCTTCTGGGCTCAGTTTACCTTCCTTGACTGCTCTGTGCCTTGCGTCACGCTGTCCCATGCTGCCGTACACATTGTGAGCGGCATGAATGGTTGCGACAGCTGCTAACCCGGTTGTAATAAGTTGCTTACGTCGCATCTTTGACGTCATCTTCTTATCTTCATCTGAATCTCCAAGATCGCTACTAGAAGCGGAACTAGACCTACCTCCTCGTGAACGGGATGTACTGCGGGGCCGTCCACCAATTGACCTTTCCTCCTCATCATAATCATCGTAAGGGTCGTCATTTGCAGGGCCTCGGCCGCCTCTCATGTAACCACGAGAAGACTTGTAGTCATCATCGTAGCGGTCGTCTGGTGGGCTCCTGCGACGATTCCGGCGGGAAGACCGATCGTCGTAGTAGTCATCATCTTTGTCGCTGGCGGGGCCACTCCCAATGCCAATTTTGGCGAGACTGCGCCGTGCGCCGTCAACAATACTTTGGCTACGGCTGCGGCTACGGCGTCTGCGCGGTGAAGGACTGCGACTATCATACGAATCGACGCTGTCATCGCGACGTCCCCGAGATCGACTTCGACTATCGACAAGCTTCTTGGCGCCCAAAGCGCCTAAGCCCGCCGCGGCTAATCCTGCAAGACCGCTCCCTCCGCCACCCTCGGAGCGGGTGGAGCGAGCGCGAGAGCGGGATCTGCTTCGGCCAGTCATTCGGTCCTCCTCAATGTCTTTCCTAGAGCCATTCAGCACGCGGTTACCGAGAAGACCACCGATAACGGATTCCACAAGGTGGCGTTTGCTATCCTTAGAAGGATCATGAGCGGCATCGACGGCCGCTGCACCAGCAGCCGCTGTAAGTACTCGCTTCATCTTCTCTCCCTTCCAGCCACCTGGCTCTTTCGCAACTCGGAAAGCTTCTGCGGCGCCGGCGACTAACGACGCCTTAGCGGCCTTTTGCATTCTAGCCGCAGGATTGTCTCGGGTACTTTTTCGGCTGTCTCTTGAGCGGTACGAGTCCGGGCTACCACGACGACTTCCGTGACGACTTCTCGATTCTCGGTCAGAGCCGCCACCACCGGTAAGGGCTTTGATTGCACCGCCAAGACCAGCCGCCGCAAGTGCATTCTCAAGGAAAGATTTGTTACCCTTGTGGTTTTTCGGGTCGTCGTCGTCATCATCAGAATAATATTCGACTACTCGACCATCTCGACCCTTGTGAACAATGTAGGTTGACTTCTTGTCGTCCTTGTTGTTGTGCTTATTGTAGAAATCAGCTCCCTGGTAGCCAGCAAAGGCACCAGCGGCACCGAGAGCAGCTGAGGCGGCTATGTTGCGATGCACATCAATACCGTCCTTCTCGGCCTCGCGGCGGTCCCAAATTTCCTTAGCGCCAGCGGCAAGAAGTCCACCGGCGACAGCCGCAATGATCTTTTCTTGTTTCGACAAAACACGCTTTCGAGTTCTCTCTTCCTCCTCGTAGTAAACACTACCTGGTTTTTTGTGAGGTCGACGATCTCTAGCTACGTCGTGAGAGCGACGCGAGTCATAATAATAGTCATCAGGCTCGGCGGAACGGGCCCTACGGATATCGCGGGAGTACCCGGGAGGGGGAAAGTCACGGCGTACTTCCTCGACTGAGAGTTCGCTGTCTTCGCGGGCTCGAGGAATAAGCGCTGTTCTACTAGACGGGTTTACTTTATAGTAGGTTTCCTGTGTTTCGGCGTAACGAGGACTAGCCCTATCTCTACGGTCGTCATGATAATGGCGGCGGGAATAGTCGCGCGGGGGAGGATCGTACGGGTCGTACGCGGACATTGTAGTAGTATAATATAGTATAATATAGTATAATATAGTATATAATGTGATTTTAGTTTGTTGTAGGTTTGTAAGTTCGGCGCACCGTTGAGTGGTGTGAGTAATGTGTGATTCTAATTGTGACCGAGTTAGAGTTTACGGTTTGTGTTGGTTGAAAGCGGACAAACTCTAATTTGATTCTAAAATATTTGATGTAATGTAGTAAAGAGGTTTGGAAGTGGGTAGAACCAAAGTATGTAATAGCTAGGAAGTGACAACACTGCGGGGGCGAAGTAAGAAGGGCGAGAGGGCGAGGATTAGGCGCAAATGATGCAGTACTAGACTCTTGCTTGCCTTGCGTAGCAGTGGTGCGGGGCTATTAAAAGGTGTTGCGACCGGGCGAAAATCAAGCTTGAAGCTGAGTATGACCTGACGTCAACCCCCGCAATTGAAACAGACTAGGTATAAGCAAAATACTGATATATCGTATTGAACTAGTAGTTGCACTTATTGATGCGCATTTACGAGTCACTTTAATTTCCAAAAGTTTAGATTCAAATCAAATATTTAAACTCAAAGCACAAGTCATAATTCATTTCATTTCTTATGCCAACTTACAGAAAAGAAAAGAGACAAACTTGAAAATCTAACCAACTACCCCTCATTTCACCTACTGCGCCTCACGGTGAAAGCGATACCAACGATGCGGCGCCACTTATGCGGTTAATTGGATCCGCAATTTTCATAGACGATAGATCATCGGACTGCCGAAAGAACCAGTTCGGTCTTACAACCTGCATAACATAGCATAGCAAAGCCACCCGCCCGAACATCTGGAACTTCATGATATATTGCTCATAGCATTGAATCGAAAACATTAAAGACGATTTCTATATCATAAAATACCCCCTGTAACTAAATACACATTTCGTATTACTATAGGCATCAAGGATTCATTCATACAACCTAGCCGCCCGATCCCTCAACATTATGTACGTTTACGTCGGGTATCGTAATTAAACACACAATAAAAAGTCCTAAGCGAATACCATACGACGATAGTCTATGCATGTCTCAGTATCACGTTACTTTGCTTCTATATTCCCAGCCTATTGGTAGCCCTCGTGGGTGCAAGAGGCCGCCATCATCTCCTATTAGATCTGGGAAATATATATTCAATCTCTTCATGCGGCTAATTGATTCCGGAGGCAACAACACCTACCCCTTCGGAGTTGAGAACCATTACATTCATGCGAATAGAAGACCCTTAGAGAAGACCCTGAGGGACTCTTGGGGGTCTAGATTGGCGGTCTGTTGTCATACCCTATTTCCATAATAGTTCAGCTGCACGACATGTCTGCCCAACCGTCAATTCTATTGCAAATATCTTCCCTGAAATCATTATTGAAATATACGGATATCGATGCCTCTAACAGGAAAATATTTGTCTGACAAAGGACTAGCCAGTTGTACAGATCGTGACAACCAAGCCATCGCCCGAAGTTACATAACAGCAAAGTTGGGTATAGATTTACCAACTACCTTGTAAGGCGACCGATGGTAAGACGGAATAACTGAAACCCGCAAGGCCAATGATCAACCACTAAGCGATGCGGCTCAACGACCGCTACGACCTCCCTATACTGCCTTATGACTATTACCTACGAGCTTTAGGTACGGAGTCATGAATCCCTATAGATAAGTCTTAGGTCATTAATTAAGCAGATGTACAGATGGCCTCAACGAAGTACGTATCGAAGTATACTCCTACTAGCAACAGTATAGCTTCCTCGTGCTAGAGACATCAATACTGGATCAACCATCTCGGACCTGAGCCCATGAACCAATAACACATTCTCACTCCTATCACCGGGTAAACGATTCTAACACTAACCCAAGAGTAATCTTAAATGCTTCCCGTAAGTTATTACCAATCAAGCATAGTAAAGTGCCTGGAACACTCGCATACGAGTCTTCGATGTAAGCTAATTCTATACAGCATACGAATCTCTTGACTCTATAAGACCAAGCTAGTTCCCAACTCATGTCTTTAAACCTCAAGAATCACCCCATATCCCAATTTTCAACGAGTAAGTTTATATATAGACTGTTATCTCAAAAGTCTATAAGCGTTCACTGACCTCGAAAATCCGAGGACACTAACATCCGATAGAGATATCGGATTTAAGCACAGCGCTAGAGAACTGATACCCTTTTTTCTGATATAACTATGAGCATAAGATACTCTTGTCTTTGTCATCACGACGCTGTTATACCATAGCTTGATGATGGAATACGTAAAACACTACGCTGCCGAGTTCTACGGCCCGTAATGACCGCTTGTTGACGTGACATATTCGATGGGTAAGTATCTGTCCACCTAGGTAGGTTTAGGTATGTAGGGCATACTCGGGTGTAACTCCAGTCCCATCTTTACGGGCCCGGTTTCGATCTAGAACCTCGCCAAGAGGCCGTGTCGGCGTTAGGGAACTGCCTTTGGTTGAGTACCTACATTAGATAGGTCCTTGGGTGGATAACGACAGCTACTCATATCACCACTATATGACGGCCATAATATAGCGAGGCGTTATCCAAGGTCTCAACGTCCTAGTATATTCATATCAAAATTTATGCTCCCACTCTTCTCACTCAAGAGCGTGTCAGCCGAGACTACACTCTCTCCGCATCGACACCTCTCTTCTCCCCATCCGAGGTTATTCATCTGTATCTCCGTCTCCGTCCATTTTCACCCCAATTTCCCCAGTGTATGTACGTGTCACCCCAACCACGCCCGTCATCCCCTGATATGTATTGTATTAACCACGAACTCCACATTGATCCATTGGATATTAAATCTTCCCGTTAGCCAAGTAATAATCATATCTCTTCATCATATCCATCCCCGACCTAAATCCAATAAATAAATATATATCTAGAATAGAAGTGTAAGATCAAATAAGATAAACCAATTTACTGATACGCCAAACTTTTATCAAGATCCGTAGTGTGTCTGTGACTGCTGTTGTTGCTCGCCCGTGGGCGGTCTACTGCTATTAAGAAAGAGATCCAAGGTCTCTATGTAAAGCTCTTTTTGACTAGTCGTAGCTTGGATATGCGGATTCTGCTCGAGAGCGTCTGTCCACTGCTGCCAACGAGTCCCCGGCATCGGATCACCCCAATTGCGAATCTCGCGGAGTATACGCGACATGCGAAGAACGAAAGGCGCGAAGTGGATATCCACGAGACACAAGTCACCGCCGAGGAAGTACGGGCCCTAGATAGTAAGTTAAGATAAGGTAAGTTTTTCATGGTGGTGAGTGAGTGTAATAAGGAAACCCACTCTTTCGTCAGCAGCCTGTACGAGCGCCGTAATATCACCTCTTAGCTTCTCCGCATATTCGGATTGTTTCGTGAAGTCGGTCGCCCTGGCCAGAGCGAAGAAGGCGGGCACGATTTTCGCATTGATCTACACGAGTCAGCAAGGGTTTCCTGATAGTGATATACCTTTCTCCGAAAAGGAAAGAAACCCACATGGTCGATCCACAATCTACAGTTCGCTTTCAGCCTTGGATCTGTGGGGAAGAGAGGTACCGTCCGGTCGCGGTCCTCCAGCTATGCAAATGAGTGTAAGAAGTCAGTCATCATGAGGCGTATCTATACCGCACAATTCGGTAGCTTACGTATTCGAGGATAATGGTACTTTCGCCGCTTGCCCATTCGCCTTCTCTAATGGCGGGGACGAGACCTCGAGGGTTTGCTTCTAGGAGTTGGGTCGGGCGTTTGAATGGATCTGTCTCGATGTATTGATACTGCATACCCTTTGCCTCGAGGGCGATCCATACTCGTTGGGAAAAGGGGCTTGATAAAACAGATCCATCAGCTTAAGAAGCGGCCTGCGACTCAGAATAATTACTTACCAAAAGCAAGCGGCGTAAAGTTTCAGGTCGTACTCTTTCGAATGTTTCTTAGCTGTTGTAAGTGCGGCTCCAGACATTTTCTTTGGTACCGGTTTCTATATGTGAGTTAGTATATGGGAATCTTAGCGATGACTTGATGGTGTTATGACGTCTAAAGGGGTGAAAGTAGCTAGGGGGTATCTTATTTGCTAAGAATGATTCCCTTCCTCCTAGATTTTGGGTCGAACGAACAGCAATCCATGTAAATTGTGCTTTGACAGATCTTTCCCATGTATAAATTCGGGTATAAGGGCAAACGCATCTATGATACAGGGAACGACAACCCACCTGAATCTTCTTCGCCTCTTTCTCCTGTGCGGCAATGTACCTCTGTACCGTGGACTTCTTAATCTCGTCGCTCTTTTCTAAGCTGTGTTTATGAGGGCCAGCGACACCATCGCCCTTCCCATTTCCACCATTGCCATTAACTCGTTGTATAGTCCAGAACTTCTCTCCATTTAGACGAGCATCTACGGGTCGTGGTATACCATCGCTAAAGATTTGTTGTTGTGGAGATTGGAATGCACTTGATTGAGCGAGATTGAGACCTGGGTCCCCATCACTGGGAAGAATGGTGGCTCCTGGGAAGTATTCGGTAATCTTAATCTTAACGTCGCATAGATCTCTTTCGCGTGCACTACGTTTCCGTTTCTTCTTAGAAGGATCGTCCGATTTGGGTGTCCCGGGTGGGCGCCCCTTCATTCGACAATCCCAATAATGTGAGACAAATGGCTTGCGCTTATACTTCTGCGTAGATCGGTGTGAGTAGACATTGTCGATATGGGGAAAGTATGTCTCGAATCTAGTGGGTTATTAGTCTAAGGGTTTAGTTCCGAAGAGAATCATGTTCCCTACTCGTCATTGGTCAAGATAATGGTATCGTCAACATTAAATAACTTCTCCCGCCAAGCTTGAAGGTCAGGTGGATCAACGACTATTCTATTGACCAATTGACCATGAGGTCTCTGCTCGGAGCCGTCAGGTGCCGAAGACGCGGGTTGCCCAGGCGCAGTGAATAAATCCTCCTCTTGCTGAAGCTGTGGCATAGTACTAGGTTGAGGCATGGCGCCCTGGGTTAAGATACCGAATTGACCATGCGCGGGGGGCGGGAGAGGAGCATGATGTTGGTGTGGGGTTCGATGGAGGTCGGATGTCGACTGATTATGGGTGTGCTGTAGCATGTGAGCTGCATTCGGTTCACGATCAAACCCATCTTGAGGATGCGAAGCATAATCTCCCTGAACGACGGGAACAGTAGGTACGGCATGTAAACGCTGGAGGTGCTGTTGGAAAACGGCAGGGTCGGTCGTATCGAGGGTGGATAAGTCGAGATTCGGATGCGCCGACAACGTAGGAACACGGAAATGGTGCGGTTGCTGTTGTCGGTGATGGTCGTGTTGTCGAATTTCGCGCGATAACGGATCGTCGGGTGCCGCGGGAGGATGGGAGGTAGGGGGAGGCGGCGGAGGCGGGGGCTGTTGTTGCTGCTGCTGCGGTGGTGGTTGCGGCGGCGGCGGCGGTGGGAAATGAACAGAGACGGGGTCCATTATGAGTGTGAGGTGATACTACCGGGTTGCTTGGTGTGTCTGCTTGTTGCTGACGACGCTGCTTAGTGCCTCTGATCATATCCGGCGCAGCCCACCAGCTCGTATTACCCCATTCTCAAGTCGGATGTCGTGGGCGAAGTGTCTTCGCCGTCATGGTGCAAGGTCTGTTTGTTGGAAATTTCTTGTTTACCTTAGGTTTTTTGGTTTGGTTTGTCTTTTTTGTCAAGGGGTGGGAAAAGTAAAGTCGAAGCGAAACTGGGTTTGGTCTGGTCTGGTTTTAGGTTGGGATGGAACCCGAACGATACCGGGTAGGTGGGAAAAGAAGAGAGTCTAAGTTACCTAGAACGTACAAAGGTTAAAAAAGAATCATATGAAAATTAAGGTATAGGTATGTAATAAAGATACCGAACCGGCGATAGAAGCTGAAAAGTGCAACTCGCGATTTGCCCCGCCCTACGAGCTACAGGCTACGGGGGACCCCCCTTGCCCTAGTCGAGTCCAAGTTTTTTGTGCCAGGGCGGCCAGGCCTAGTTCCCTGAACTACTAGTTCTAGGTGCAGTCCAGTCCTAAAGTGGCAAACGAACACCTGTACCTTATCGCCCATTGGCCCCACATGCCGACGAACGGCGGTAGGTACTTGGGTACCCTACAGCGCTAGAGGTCTAGGTGCCTTACTAGCTGTAGCGCTATAGGTCCATGAGGATAGTGCGGTACGAGGATGAAGAAGGACCCCCAATAGGTACATTGATTACATTGATAGGCAAATTATAGGCAGTGTAGTGGTAATAATGTGAAGGAGCTTACACCCAACCTTAACCAACTTTCACTTTCAACCCAGCAGCAACTGCCAATAGCGGAATTGGACCCTGACGATCTAAAGAGATCTTAACCATTATTCAATTCTTTTTCCCTGAACCTTCTGATTCCCCCAATTCCCTTCCCCTCCATCTCTCTCCTCCACGTCAATGACGCTCTAAGCCTCATTTATCTTCTCACCAACTACCTGTTATTACTGAACACGTCGAACACATGATAGAAAAGTCCCCTTCTTGAATTTTCTTGGGTCCAACGCATACCAATACGAAGAAGCTTACGTGCTGCGTACTGCAGCCTTCTAGGCATTTATGATACATCTTCAGTCATATGGTGTTCTTGTCACTCCGGCCCTTAATATACCTACCTACCTACCTAGATGGGTAGGTAATTTATATACGTGTAGGTATCTAGGTACCTCCTTAGGGCGAGATACCTCTAGGCGTTTGTACTATACGTACTGCCCTGATTGATAAGACATCAACCTATTAGATAATAGAAAATGTCTTGAGAAACATATGAGCGAATGAGGGGTATGATATATACAAATACTTACATATTAATATCGTATATATTCCGATTTAGGGTGAATTATTTATTTCATTGGATATTTAATTATGTGTCCAGGTATTTTATGTAAGTAGTAAAGCATAAAAATAAGGAGCGTAGATGTAAGTGATATTCTCATCGTCACCGACATATATCCCTAGTAATACAATACAAAACAATTCGTACGGCCTTTATCATAATAGTTTATACTATACAGATCGAAGTGAGTGTATTTCCCTACCATCAAGACCCAATCCGGTATTGAGACTTTCCAAAAACGCCCCCCTTGTAGATCAAGTTCATCATGAATAGGTACCTAGTATCCAACCTGGTACCCAAGCCAATCCCATATATCCATCATCATCTTATATGTCCTTCGTCTTACTCCCGTTTAATTCATGAAGAATGAATCCAGTTTTCGATTAGATCATCACCTTCGCCCAAATCACTATATATCTCAAGTACCAGTATCCCATCCTAAATCCATTCGCATGTCCATTAGATGTTGAAGCACTCCCTCCGCCACTGGTGTCATACCATTTGATTCACTCCAATCATGCGGAACAGTATAGCCATTGCCCGCCGTTTCTATAAAAGGTTGTCCAGGGGTCATACCGGTACTAGTATTCATCTGGAAGAAAGCTGCTGCATCTAGATCGGCTTGCGTTGTTCCTAGATTTTGATGAGAGGCCATTGGACTAGTATCGAAAGACGTTCTGCTAGAGTTTGCCATGTGGCCATTTCCTGTCGTATTTTGGCGGTTATCTGACCCACTACTCGAATTTGGCGTCGGTCTATTCGATGGGCCATCTGTGTTTGAGGATATCTCGTTCACGTCGTTCGAGTCGCTTCCTCCACCTTCTGTATACCCGCCTGGATACATGATGGGTGGGATCATTCCCCGATCGCAAGGATCTGCTGGACCGGCACTTCGCTCGCGTGTGGGCAGCTGTTGTTCCCTAAGCCAGCCATGTGTGGAGTCATGGTTTTCAGCTTGGCCGAGATTTGTGACGGCCGGCGGTTCATCGCTTATGTTCGCATTACGATATGCAAGAAGGCCGCCGCCGCCGCCTTCGCCATCGCAATTCGTATGGGCACCGTCAGTTTTGGGGTGTAATTTCGGGATCTTGATACCGGAGCCGGGCTGTCAGCGGTGAGTTAGTGATCTGTTTATATAAATGAAAGCCATTAGAAGACTTACGGTATCTGCGCTCCTTGGAAATGCGGATTTGAGCTTCGGTATCCTTGTTCCCAGTGCTTCCAAGTCAACATCTAATTGTACAAGGAATGATTCGGTTAATGGGTTCTTCCTCTTTAACGCGTTCATAGCAGCAAGGATGAATCGTAGAGCGTCAGCTGTTTGACTATCATCTGGGCGACTCTTCAGGTATTGAACAAATACTCGAGCCGCTACGTATAAACAGAAAGATATGAACGGATTCATCTATGTTGCTGTTAGATGCGCAATTCTTCAATTCATTAAAAAGCCTTGGGACTACTTACAGCGCTTAGATCTAGATGCGACACCATTCTCATGATGCTCGCAATTTCGTTTGCTGCCGTGATACAGCGTACTTTGCTTTCCGCGCTAACAGAGGGCGGGAGTTTGTTTCTATCGGCCTTGAAAATAGCTGCTTGGTGAAGGCAGATTGTTGAAGTATGGATATTCATGTTTGTAAATACGATATTAGGATTAGCGAGCCCGGCTGGAAGCTTCAGGTGGTTTGGTAGACAGAGGGAGGTGTTGAGCAGAATATTATCCATATTTCGGTGGCGTTTCCAGAATTCTCCGTTGAGGTCATGATCGCGATCATCGGCATCTGGGCGGTGGAGATGTACGAGGTTGCGGCCGAACAAGCATGCCATCAATACGATGCCTCCAAAAGATGAGAGTTTGGAGGCACCGGCCGGACACATCGAATCGGCAAGGGATTGTGTCTGCTCTGGTCGACTCATTTCGAATGCCTCTTCCGAAGCAGGAAGATTGGTCATGACATCGCGCTCGTCGATTGTCATAGGCCAACCTGTTCCGATACTGGCATAACGGTCTTCACAGAAGGCCATCCAGAAAGTTCGTCGTCTCTCTTCTCGCTCGGTCCAGTCGCGAGGCGGTGGAAGACATTGCTTCACGTCGAGGCCTGTCCCGTCAAGTCTGTGCAGACCGATCCTAGTCACGATAAGTATTTAAGTTGGCATGTAAGCCCTAGCTGGGGACTTACATCTGACATATACGCACGGACGAGCCGGTACTCATCCAGGCTCGTGGGAAGTACATCATCTTGAATTCGTACGAGGCCAACAATACATGGGTTTGGGCATGGGCCACAGATATCATGTGTTCTCCATAGCCCTTGATGTAGTCCGCTTCCATATATTTACGGGCGCGTTGGTAGAAGAGATCTCTAAGGTCCATATACTTGTCTGTGATAGCACAGGCTTGGGTCCAGATCGCATATCGTAATGCGATGGGGGGTCTCTGATTTGGCGCCCTGGATTTCGTATTAGTACGGGGGAGTGTACCTAGCATATTATAAATAGAAATGAAATAGGGTTACCATACAAATTCATTGCTGCTAGATATCGGAATTTGTGAATCATAGGCAATGATGGATGAATCTTATCGAAGTAAATCTGATGCCTATGAGATTTGTTAGTCGGGATCGCATTAGGCGTGACAGATGATACCCTACAGTTCGTCGATAGTCTCTTGAGGCGGGAGAGGTTCTTCCAATCCCAAACCGATCATCTCCCATGTGAAAGTATTGTCCATGCCGCCCATATTTCCCATGGAGGGAAGCGGTATAGTACTGCTGAAATTGAAATCATCCATCCCACCATTAGGTTGCGGTGACTCCGCATTGAAGCGCCACCGATCCATATCGCGGTCGCTTGCGATGCCTATAGAAGGATTCGTGACGTTGAAGTTAGGAGTCGCGGGAATCTGCTGGTTACGAGTCGGTGGCTCGAAGGTAACGTTGGAGGTTTTGGTCGTTTCGGGTCCGGTTGCCGGCTCTTGAGTCTTATTCAACAGCGTCTCAACTTGTTCTATACGGGAGCAAGGGACGTCTCAGCTTATCATTCTTCTTACTATTATATGTATTTGGTTCGATTGACACTTACTCAGCCTTTCCTCTAAAGCCTTCACGTAGCCTCTCTTGGGACCGCTCTTTCGCCTCACTTCATCATATGCGCAAGCATGCCCTAACCTCGTACATGTACTACAACTTGGTTTGACACCGTCGCATCTAAGCTTGCGTTTTCGACATATCATACACGCTAGTCGCTTCGGCCTAGGAATATTGCCATTATTTTGTCCTTGGGGTGGACTCGTTTCGGCGGTCGGGCTATTGCCGGCATCAGGGGAGCCAGAGTTATTGGCGGCGGCTCCAGAGCCCTCGCCAGTCGAAGTCGACATTGTATAATTGGATAGATAAACAATTTAAATGGTATAGGAAAAGGCTACGAGCCGGCCGTGGGTGGGTAGAGAAAACCCGGATCGGAGGGGAGTGGTTCGGCGTCAAACTACCGCAACGGGCGCGGGTACGAGGGCCTTAGCCACACCACCAGTTAAGTAATTCGACGATGAGATAATTCAACAATAGAAATCTCTCCCCTTCTTTTCGCTTCACTTCCTATTCAATACTTCCATTCGATATCGTGGCGCTCGTCGTCGAATTCGGTCGGTTATATGTCAGATCTTGCGATCGGAGATCCCGTTTCTAAGCAAAGGTGGGAAAAGCAAGGAAAAGCCTGAGCGAGGCTGTGTGAAGGGGTAGTGGACGCCTGGGGGATCTTCAAATCCGGCAAGGGTGGGGAATGGCATCTACCTGAATCTCTTCCCCGAGTGGGACAGTATAAGTATAATAGGTACCGACTGTAGGTACGTATGCACCAATTTAGTACCTATTATGTAGTATTGTAGCAGTGGTAATATTTTAAGGCCTAAGACGGTTAAGGCTGAAGAAGTATTACAACACGAATAGCATTGGCGCTGCAGGGTCTTGGAATTCTTTTTAGTAAAAAGGAAGAAAAAAAAAATAACATAAATCAGGATGGATCAATTTCTTAACCACGCGGCCCGTGTCAGCGTACGTAGGAATAATGTGGGCAGGCAACGAAAAGAGGGAGAGAAGAACGTGCCCATGATTGCGAAATACTTATTTGTAGAACAGCAAGGGAGAGCGAGAGCCCCCAACCGATGTAGCACCAGTTCAGCCAAGCAGTTTGCTGACCACCAATTGGACTACGAAACAAAGAGAACAAGCCTACCACGTTACTGACAAGAGTATCGACTTATTAATTGGATGCTAATCCCGTCTTAGGGCTGAAAGGTGGGTATTCGGGATTCTTCAAGTAACCATAACCATCGCTTTCTCTTCCAATTCCGACTTTAGCCTTTCTTTTATTCCCTCCATAACTGCATAATGGCTGCATAATAACAGGGATAATGGGGGTCGTTAGGTATCATGGTGGGTGGATGGGTCCATTCACAGCCGACATTTCTTTGGGGGCAGATTTCCTCTAACAGGCCTCATTTCTTAGGACAACGTCTTAAAAAAATTTAGGCCTTGTTGTACTACCGCAACGCTGTTGACCAACTGCATAAAGTCAACCCCAAGCCGTGTGCCTCATAGCAATTATAAGCCATTGATTGGTATATAAGCGCGGCTGGGTTTCGGTTTTAATTCCGACTCCTGTACCAACCGCCATCTATCGTCAAAAATTTCGACGTAACATTAGCTATAGTAGGTAGCTATGTTATGTCGATAGTCTTCCGGGACTTCATTTTATTTCGGCTCATCAGAGCTATCAGTCCTAATAACCATCTTAGTGGATATTTCAAGAAGGGTTTGTTGGCCTCATCAAGGACCATATGACTTACATTGGGTTCTACTTTCCCCCTGTGCTAAACCCTATCACTCGTAAGCCTGTTGAATCGGCATATGCTAGTGCGTATCGATTGGGAGCCCAGGTGACGATTGGTGATGGCGTCGTGGTCTTATAGGTACAGAGATGCTCTCCCGTCTCGGAGATGAAAACCTCCAGTCCGGTCCCTGTAATATTTGAATGCAAGGTTAGAGAGTGACTAATAACACAAGATGAATCCCAGAGACTTACCCTCATCGGTCCCGCCTACAATGTATAGTCCATCCCAAGAGAAACCTACACCACAGCATCAGTAAAGCCAATTTTCAAGATTTTAATTAACCACGTACTAAGACTGCGAACTGGACCAGCCATTTTAGTAGCTGTTCTGAGACAGTTCCATTCCGTTGTTTCCCAAAGCGAAATCAACGAGTCGGTACCTCCCGTGGCTAGATACCGATTATGCGGGTGCAGCTCGACATTGATGCAGGATGAGGTGTGCCCTGTCAACTTGAATTCGGCTTCTGACTCTTCTTTGTAATCGAAACGGTAGAATGGTTCAAATTCGGGGAAGGTGAGGATCCTTGTTTTGCCATCACCGGTGGTGGTATATATCCTTTGGCCACTCCAACAAAACGTAATGTTGTTCGTCGGTACAGACTGTTGGTGCCATGAGAGCGGTGTGCTTTGGGTTGGCGAAATTACAAATAATTTGTCTTCCTTGTTCCCAACTACAACACAGTCGCCACGAGGAGCCCATGCTAAGGTAAAGGTCTCTCCTAAACCTTTGACTTCGTTTAGGACTTGCTTGTTTTTGACGTCCCAAAAGCGAACCACGCCGTCGCTACTCACACTGCATAGCTCAAGTTCCTTAGTGGGGTTGAATGCGACCTTTTCAATCGACGCTGTGTGACCCTTCAGTTCAGTTGTTTGACGAACATTGGGTTTGTCCGCATTCCCTAGAACCGCATTAGCTTTTATAACAGCGATTGAAATGACCTCAGCCGTGAACACAGGGGTTCATGTTCAATGAATTTAATGAATATGTGCCGTACAAACGCGTAGGGTTTTATCCACGCAACCAGTTGCAATGTAAGTACCCAAGGGATTCCAGGCGATTGTACGGATACTAGCAAAAATGTTAGTCGTCGAAGATGCTTTTCAAAGTTTCTTATTTGCAACATAGCCAGGCCGTTGCTGATTCTAGGGCTCCACGGATATAAACCTACCTGTTTGAGGTTTTGCTTGTTCCTGGATCGTGGTAGATTGTTGGCTTCAATGTTGGCAGCAGAGTCTTAAGTCGCTCTGGCGCGACTGACGTTCTAGGAGCTATGCGCGCCATCTCTCTCTATCGACGGTTCGTGGCCTGAATGCTGTCGCTTAAGAAGGATAAATATGTATTTGGGATATATTAGTTCAGAGTTGATTTTTATAAAAATTCTGCAAGTTGAGATTTTCTTTAATCTAATGTTGTCCGTTGAAAGTAGATGAGTTTGTCTTTTGTTCGTGCTCAATTGTTCGACGGTTCACACAATAAGCTTGTACCTAAGACTTACCCACTAAGGGGATATGTATGTGGATCTCCACCTAAATGCATATCTAAGCTAGTATAGGTAGAATCGTTTTATCAAGGTCACTAGCTAGCGGTCTACATTAGGAGTACCTAGGGGTAATCCTTGGTTGTTATAGTGGGCACAATGCATTCTACATTCATTACACTACGTACGTACATAACTTATCCTGGGCCAACTTCTCTCGAGTTGATGCTCATTTATGTATCTTCACTTCTTAACAATGTTGAAAACTGATAAAATATCGAGATAGCAGCACAATTGGCTGCTCATTTTATTGTCCAATTCTACACATGACACATCACAAACTCAGACATACGAATGAAGGTCCCGGGGGCCTTTATTAGCCATGTACTGGCCTATTGGAACTCCTAGAATCTATGCGACGACCACCAGCCAAGCTTCCGTTAAGACTAACTTCATCGTCTCTAATGATGGAGTTGCTTCCACCACCACCGCCGACACTGACTCTTTGTCGAGTTCCGAACCACCGCCTCCCGTCTTGCTTGACGAAAAGGACCGAGCTGCCCCAGATACCCATTTACAACCCGTAACGCCGGGTCTGAAAACACCAGCTACTCCAGCTATCAACTCGGTAGAGCATGATGTCTATCACGAGGGAAGCAGCTCGAATTCCCAACAGTATCTTCCGGGATCCGGAGGAGGCATCCCAGCTGGGGATCCAATTGTTGCTTTAAGAGTGTCTAGGACTGGCCATTTGTTTGCTGTTATTACAGCGACTACCATGACAATATGGCAAACCAAGGTTCGGGTTCCGTGTAGCAGATTAACGACTTTACGTGCTAACCCCAGTGACGTTTACTTCTAGCCTACTGTAATTCAAGCCATCGTTGTCAGATCCGAAGCGTCTATTAAATCCTACGGTACAAACGTCGCCCTTCTCCTAAGACCTGACTCTGTCATATTCGTCGTCCAAACAAGTCTCGGATATCTAATTACATATTCACTTGCGACCGATGCCGAATCCCGCGTATATAAACCTCATTTTTCCGACCATAGTAATATCCAAAGGCGGCGACAAAGTCATTTTGGAGGACCCGGTAATAATACACCCGATCAAATATTGCTGGGTCCAGGTGAAGGAGCTGGTGTTCGTGATATAAGTGTTCGCTTTCGTAGGGTGATCAAAGTCGATGCGGGTATCCAATGTGTTATCGCCCTCGATGACGAACTAGTTGTCTCTACAAAAAAGCCAGCAGCTGTACAATGCATTCGATGGACCCCTGACAGTACTGGCAACCAGACAAGTACGGAACTCGTAAGCCGCATGGGCTGGTTGGAGAAAAAAGTATCGATCAAGGAAATGACCCATGATCGACCAATGAACCTCTCTACTTGGGTTACAAATGATGGGAAAGCTTACGCTGTACAGCGAATCTCACCTAACCAGACTAAAGATAATCCCGATTTCGACCCTAAAAAACTTTTCAAGGGCCATTGCTTCCATACACCGCTTGGGGATAGTGATCGTGCAGTCAGAGCGGTAGTCAACGCCCGATTCTCGCTTATTGCTGTAGGGATCGCCGACGGGAGCATTCGTGTTTTCTCCGTCAGAGACTATGCTGGCAATATCCCCTCCTCCCATATTCATCGGCTCCCGGTCTCATCCGAAACTTCTGGTGCACTAGTAACGTTAAGCTATTCGCCGGACGGTTATTGTCTCTTCGCAGGCTATGAAAATGGATGGGCGACCTGGAGCGTATTTGGCAAAACTGCTAGTCACAGTTTCCACGCTAATCCCTCTATCATATCTGCTAATCAAGAGGCGTGGCTCGATGGCGTTACCGATGCTAGTTGGATCGGGGGAGCATGTGAGATCCTGATGGTTGCCCGTCAGAATGAGTCTCTCTGGCTACTTGAGATGGCACGGAGTGCAGTGACTGGTTGCTATACTCCACCAAATCTCTTCCGGACGGTACTACAGAGCTCATCTAGTGTGATGGTCTACCGAGGTTATGACCTCCCGGACCTAACTAGTATCTCTGCCGAGCCGTTTCTTTGGCACAATGCGAGGATCCCTTCCAACTACCTTCTGAACCAATGGCCGATCAAATGTACCGCTGTTTCTTCCGATGGCCGATATGTTGCCGTTGCGGGTAGACGTGGACTTGCACACTACAGCGTTAATAGTGGTAGGTGGAAAACTTTTGCGAATGATGTCATGGAGAATGAGTTCCAGGTCAGGGGTGGGATGTGCTGGTATCAGCATATCCTAGTAGCAGCTGTTGAAGCTAATAGATCATACGAACTTCGGTTATACTCGAGAGAAGCCGCTCTAGAGACATCAACAGTCATGTTTAATCAGCAAATGCCAGCGCCTATTGTCTTAATTACTCCCTCAGGGGAGGATTCCTTGCTCGTCTATACATACGACAACCTCCTCTACCACTTTGTCTTTGCGCCTGTTTCCGGTGCCGTACGACCGATACAAGTCGGACAAATTGCTTTCCACGGCATTGTCAGATCTCCCGCGAGAGTGAGGGGTCTAAGTTGGATATTACCCGAAAGTCAGATGATCGATGGCGACCCTTCACAAGATGTCACATTTGCTTCAGTGCTATTTCTAGTAGATGGGAAACTTGTCCTCCTTCAACCATCATTGAATACCGAAGGGCAACTCAAGTACGATATGCGCGTTATATCGCATAACGTAGAATTCTACGCAAGCATGAAGGATCAATCATCCGTTAATATGCTAAGTGAATCTAGTGGACACTTCTCTGTGGATGCTGAAGAGAATAGTCTTCGAAACTCATTATGGGTATTCGAAGGTCACGAATTAAAAGTATGGCCTGATATCCAACAAGTTCTGCGAGCTACGTCAATTGAGCCAACTAAGGAGTTACCTCCTACGGTTTCTATGCCTATTGACTTCTACCCTCTTTCTATTCTTTTAGGCAAGGGAATTGTGCTGGGTGTTGAATCTGAACTAGTCCAACGAAGAGACATTAGCTTCTCTTTCTTCCGATTCTCTATTAGGGTGAGTAATATGGACCGTCTTTCCAATTCCCAATACTAATAATTTGCAGACACATCTTTTCTTAGCCGAAATTCTGCGCTTCCATTTAGTAGCGGGTAATTCCGCTGCTGCGCTGAAACTCGCCCAACAATATCAACACCTAGAGTACTTTGCGCACGGTTTAGAAGTACTACTTCATCACGTTCTCGACGAGGAGGTCGATTTAGCGCCCAAACCGGAAGATGCCATACTTCCGAGGGTCCTCTCCCTTTTATCATCTTTCAAGCAATATTTAGACATTGTAGTCCAATGTACAAGAAAAACAGAGGTCAGGTCGTGGAGGACACTCTTTGCGTACCTACCTCCTCCGCAGGAGTTATTTGAAGAATCGCTACAACGGGGCTCTCTAAAGACAGCAGGAGGCTATCTATTAATATTACATACATTCGAAGAACTAGGAGCCGCGTCGGAGCAGTCGGTACGGTTATTTTCCAGAGCCATTCGAGAAGAGGATTGGGAACTTTGTAAGGAATTAGCTCGATTTCTAGCGGCTATGGATGAAAGTGGGGAGACATTAAGGGAGGCGATGGAATTGGTCAATATCCGGGTTAAACAGGAGTCGGAGGATACCGACATAATGACCAGACTCGAAGTGCCGCCGCGAAGCACTAGTGGTAGTTCGCGATTAATGCGACAGAACTCGGATTCCGATGTACAGTCAGGTAGCGACATAAGCAGTTTTGGTACGGCAAGTCCAATATAATAGGAGCATGGAGTTTGGTATATGATGAGTCAAATGGGATGGCAGTTCACATTCTCCGTACATATTAGGAGCTGAAGGATGGCATTTTGCAACTTAGGGTCAGCCTTTGATACGCTTCTAGAAATGGGAAGGAATGCAGGCTTACTTCTATCAGTAATGCTTCCAAAAATGCATAAATAAAATGTAATTCAAGTAATAGGAAATGAATGTAATCGATATATCGAAGCTTAGAATCCCATTCATCGTTTTAAAGGTCAGTTACATGTAGGTACCTAGGTACTTAGGTACAAATAACTTAACGGCTAATTATCGGATAACAAACGTGACCGCTTTCAGATCATTTCAGTTCATCGCTAGGTTAGGTACGACCCGGTAACCCACCTCCCCGGATACACACGCCGTACATAGCTTAACGTTGAGGCTCAACGTAGGGATCCAGTTATTTTTTGTACCCCACCAAGCCCACCACGCCGTTGACGGCATTTTATTAACTTTGGCTCTTTGACCTGGGCCTTAACCCCTCCACCTCCGTTGTCTTTGACCACTGACTTCGGGCGCCATTCCGCCGTAAGGTCTCACATTCTTCTTTATCCTATTTCTCACGTGTCACATATAAATTGTCGAACGCCCACGCCGTCTTGATCCATCGAATTTGTCGCCGACACAGTAGGTCGCCTGTCGTCGCGACCACCTCACGCGGCCATGATGGACGAATTTGCTTCCGAGTCGGATAGTGACTATACCAGTTACTGGCGAGATTGGGTAAGTTCATAACATTTTCTCGTATCTTCCCGTCGCCAAGACGCGCGAGTAAACAACAGCGTGGGTAGCAAGTTCAAATTTGGGAACGATGCGGGTGCAACCAATGCGCATACCCTTACCGACACGAGATCCTATCACTTCTCATCTACCACACTCTCACGATCCTCCCGTTCTTTGTTCCCATTAAGACATTCAACACGACTTCAAGACAAATATTGTTTACTCGATCGAAGTTTCCTTATGAGAACCACCATCATCTTACTATTGCGCAACCCGATTATTTTCATTGATTGACCATGGAGGGTACGACACCTCCAGGTTCACCTCCGTGGTCATCTTTCTTTCCTATTCTACCGTCGGGATCTTCACCATCTCTCCCAAACATCCAGGACGGGCAGGACGTTTCAGAACAGCAAATCAACAATCTCGCAGAGAGGCTTCTCGCAATGGTGCCATCCGATTCGTTTTCTCGTGCCGTTAGTACCGGACTTTAGCTTATACCTTCCATCTGTTCATACGACTCTACACCGGATTGAAGCTTTCTAGAAATATTTCCAATATCCTATTTGTCTAAATGCTAATTTCTTATCTCTAGTTCATTTCATCTCGAGGAAACGAGTACTTCTGCGAGATTGATGAGGATTATCTTACCGACCGCTTCAACCTGACCGGCCTTAACACGGAAGTACAATACTACCAGTATGCCCTTGACCTAATTACCGACGTATTCGACCTTGACTGCGATGATGACATGCGAGAGACTATCGAGAAGTCTGCCCGTCATCTCTATGGCCTAATCCACGCCCGTTACATTGTTACCACCCGAGGTCTGGCTAAGATGGTATGTTCTACACTCAATTATTGTTCGACTGACCATCTAGCTAATTGATTTTCTCTAGCTTGACAAGTACAAGAAAGCCGACTTCGGAAAATGCCCCCGCGTATTCTGTCACTCCCACCCCCTCCTACCCATGGGCCAGACCGACATCCCCCACCAGAAGCCCGTTAAGCTCTACTGCGTCCGCTGCGAAGATGTTTACAACCCCAAGTCCTCGCGACACGCTGCTATCGACGGAGCCTACTTTGGTACTTCATTCCACAACATCATGTTCCAGGTCTATCCTGCGCTAGTCCCCCAGAAGAGCGTCGACCGATACACACCTCGCGTCTACGGTTTCAAGGTCCACGCCTCGGCTGCACTGATTCGTTGGCAAAACGCCCAACGCGCAGACATGCTCCGACGACTGCGAAAACAGGAGATAGAGAGTGGCTTTAAGGAAGATGTCGGTGATGACGATCTCGAGGAAGAGGAGGAAGATGACGAGGACGTTGATCTTGAGGCGCTGGAGGCGGATGCTATGCATGTGGTTGGTTGAGCTTCGGATCTGATGCGTTGTCTTTTTCTGCGAGCTTAATCCGGCGATTGGTATTCCGTTTGCGGTTACGGTCACTACGAAGCCTACCCAAGTTATTCGGAAATTTCGCGATGTCTTCCCGGCAATCCAAAAACATCTTATGGACGCCTTCTTCGACTGAATTTGCAGAATGGTGGGGTCCGAACGAGCTTAATGGATCAGGCTTTCGTGCGCCGTTCGGTGGAAATAGGAAGGAAAAATGAAATGGACGTAGCCTATCAGGAGGACTAGCAGGACGGATGGTGTTGGCGGCATCGCTTAATGAAGACAACAACTTTCGCATTTCGCAGGCGTTCTGAGAAGGATGGGCAGGTAGTCATTCCTCGGCGTTAATAACAAAAGATTCCCCCTCGTGATGTTCTAATCGTGCGTGTTCTAGATGTGGTTACCTGCGGTTTCGTGATTGCAATTCGTAATTTCTTATGGAGAATTTATTGCCCAACTACCAGAGCAATCCTACGATATTTTTGTGACCGCGCTACGCTCATACACTCAAATCTACCTAGGCTTTGTATGTGAGGAAACCCCCTTCAATTCTAATTCGGCCGACGATGAATCTCGAAGTACGCCACAAGTAGAAGGGAGATAGCCATATGAGCAGCGCGACGTAATATTTAGCAAGTTTAATCTATCAATGTCTACATGAGCAGGCAATCAATCTACCGATCACAATCCCGTCGCGCCTCTCTACACCCAATCCAACGCGCGATACCATCACCATCGTGTACCTCTTCCTCACATCCATCCCCACGGGACAGAGTCATGACGAAAGGGGTTCAGTCCAAATAAAGTAGTTTCAAAAATTCCCAACCTAGCCGAAGCCAAGAAGGAGTGGTCATGTAAATAGTTTTCAACCAGCAAAAAGACGCACTCGGATTACTCCTCATTGTGACACCTAAAGCCCGTGCACTAAGATGAGGAAGAAAGGAAGAAGAGAAGGGGGGAGAGAGAAGGTGGGAGAGCTGGTATTTATAGGAATGTATTGAGGGGAGAGTGGGGCGAGGGTTGTTTGCTGGTTCTTGCCTTGGGAGGTTTGTACTGTGGATTGAGATACCGTGGTTGCTTGATGTTTGGGTTTGGTACGGTGGGATGAGGTGGTAGTTGTTTTGAAGGTGTGTTTTTACTGTGGAAAGTGCTGCTGCCTTGTTGAGTATCTGATCATGCGCACTGGGATAAGTTTGCCTTTCGGGAAGCAACGTCTGAATGACTGGAGGCAGGAGGGCCGTTAGAGATGGGAAGGACTAAATTGAGTTTTGTCTAGATGTAAACATTAAAGATGCGATTTCGACTATCTAAATTTTAACTATCGTAGCAGCTATGAGGTACACCTTCTATCCTCCTCCTCCTTCCTGGCATTAAATGCAAGGGCGATAGTCGCAACTTATCTGATGCATGTATCAACCGTCGATTTGCTATATCTCATTTACCAGCATCATTTCTATTAGTATTTCGAGTTTAGCTTGATATTAGCACGTAACACATAAATTAATCACAAGTAGCAGCAAACAGTCCTGACCATATAAAGTGACTATAAGAAGTCAACTATCTCGAATTCGTTTGCCGGCTATATCCCAGCCAGCTTTCCCTATGTCCTATGTCCCGCCTATGCGCACTCAGATGTATTTACAAGTGCAGATTGCCCTTCCGTTTATAAAAACACCGCATATGACACCTATTTATGGTGGTATAACGCCTTTTTACCGATGACGAAAAGAAAATGCCTCCCTATTTGTCCTTTATACCCGTTCTTCTCCAATTGCAGTAGTTCCCGAACTTTCTGCACGTAGGTGGTCGTCTGCCTTCGATCTAAATCGCACGCCCATTTCGATATCCTCTGCGCGCTGGCCTGGCATCCGCTCCGCCTCGTCGCCTGCTTTCACCCAATGCTTGCGATCTGTCGCGTAACTCCACGAGCCTAGACCTGCCCAGAATGCCTTGTCATGGCTTCGCGGGCCCCAAGCCCATCCGGCGCCAGCTCGGATTGGTAGGTGGTAGTATCGGAATGCGAAGTAAGCCGTGATCGTACCGATTATGAAACCGAATAGGATATCGAATCCATGATGTCGGAAGTCGAACCAACGTGAACTCGCGATAAAGATAGCAGTGAAGAAAGGAAGAACAGTTAGGAGAAGTAGGTATAGAGGAGGCGCGGCTGCTTGTCGGCGGATAGAGAGTACGGTAGAGGTGTGGGCCCCAATCTGCTTCACTGCCGATGGGTCGGGGGAGACAGATCGATCGAGGTCGAGGTTGTTTCGAACAGCTTCGTAGGACGTATCGATGGCGCCGTTGCGTAGTCGCGACGGGAATGCGGTGACCACGCCTGTGTTACCCGACGAATGCTGTGGCACGAATGGGAAAGTAATCGCAAACTTGCTAGCTAGGAAGAACGAAAGGTAGATCAATCCTGCAGCAGCAGAGCTAGCGTGTCCGGAGGGATAACTACGGAATCCGTCGTCGAGTAGACCGCGATCCGGGTTTTTGCAAATATCCGCGCTAACTAGTTGGCCGTTATAGGCGCCATCTAGTGTACCGTCATCAGCAGGGGTATGGAAACCGATAATGTAGTTAGCGACGTTCGCAATATCGGGCTGGCATCGAGACAGGAGATCTGGTCGCGGCTTTCCGAAAAGGTTCTTCATGCCCTGGGTAATGATCCACGCCGAGATAAGAGCCAAAGCCAGGCCTAGCCATCCCGTGTGTAATTCCCATAGCTTTCGCCTCCATATTAAAGCTCTCGGGGTGCCTTCGGGGACAGTAGGGCCGGGTACGAAAAGGAGAACGACGATCAGGATGATAACGATAGGTATGACGGCGTTACAGATCAAGAGAATCGCAGAGGTTACGGTCTCGTGCTGGGTGAAGGGAAAGCTGTAGTATAATTAGCCTACTACCACCCCGACAGAATTCGCGACAACGGCAATCGTCAACTTACGATATGTTCGGGTCCTGTAAGCTGAAGGGTCTCTTGTTCGGTGTAATATTACCCAGCACCACGCCAATTACACCAACAACGATGAGTATTATCCAGTCGAATGCATAGGAACCGACGACGACAAGGCTAGGCTTGAATTTACTGCTTTGGAGGGTTTGGAAAGGCGGAGAGCTATGTTCTGGCATTTTGCTGTAAGGATGGGCGAGTAAAGGGGAAACAGAGTTAAGTGTTTGAAAATTGTGGTCGTCCTCCGGCATATTTCAAGGAGGTATTGTACGTCGCCTCAAAGCTCCTAGATGGGTAAAGTAGCTTGGACCATGTAGGGACGGTGTAGGTGTAGTGTAATCTGGGGAAATATTGAAATGAATTGAAGAAGATGAACCGGACTCCGGGTTGACTATTTCGTCTTCCTAAATTTGTATTTGGTATTGTTTATGTAGGTAATCTCAACCGAATTTTGTTTTACCTTGTCTCGTTTGCTACCCGCCAATGCCCAATGCAAAACTTGCTCGTCCCGTAACGAAATGCCAATGGAGATCGCCCTATGCCACGCCTTCAAGGTGAGGAATTCGAGACGAGTCGGGCCCAATGAGGAAATAGGTCGCGTGGGTCCAGGGTCTTGGCTCAGCTATTGTTGACGCTTTTTGCACTAGAACTGCGGTCGAATGCCGCGCGTTAGGATTTGAGGGGACCTTTTTCAATGATTCTTATGGAGTCCTCGGCCGCCGTTAGTATATAATAAACGCCAAACGGTAAGGCCGTATAATCCGGATAACCGTGTTGCCGCTGTCAAGTAATAGTAACGTGGCAGTGTATGCAGCTATTGATTGCTTAGGAAGCGCCTATGGGAATATAGAGGGGCTATATCGTTAGTACGTATTAAAAGATAGGACGGTATCCTACTTCAAAGTCTGAGACAAGTCCTAGTAATGAATCAAGAGGTTCGAAGACAAGGGATGAAAAAAGGCGAGAGAAAGGACACATGTAACACCGAGTAAAGAGCAACCTCATCCAAAGGTATATAAAGTCTTATTGTTTGATGCATTCATGTTAGTAAGATCAAAATCGTGAGCTGTCAGCTTCGAATAACCTTGAATAAACCCACGATGCACTAATTTCTCACAGACCCAGGGCTATGCAAACCCCTGGGGATACCAAGACAATACGTGGGGAGAGCGCCTATTGTCGCAACAAATCGACATTAACTGCTCTTTTCCGGAGCTCGGAATATTTCGCATCTGGTGTATTAAAGGGGATAGTCCCAAGGATATGTAGCAATCATGATCATGATCGGATTATTATGAGGCACAGGAGGAATAAGGTTATTTTTATTCCTGGGGATTTTCAATTAGGTTCCATTACGTAAATGATCGGGAAAGACGTAGCACAATTACAAGATACGCCGCTGCATGGCTGATTTTATGGTTGTGCTTGCATAAAATAGGATAAGTGTCAACTTAATTCTGCATAAAATCGACCATATTCTTACATATCTTACAGCTCTTACTCTTATTCTTATTTCTTTTTCTAATTTATTATGGAAGACTGAAGGACAACAAGTATTCCATCAATAAACGGATATCTCACCGCAAATAATCGGTTGATACGCCGTTTCATTGAATATAACTAGACGATCTTGCCCCCTTTTCAGTGTTCCTGCATCTTCACCAGGAAAAGTTCGTCATCTGGGACCCGTGGATACTGGCACTGCCACGCTTGGTATTCCTTGGCCCTACCACAAATTGTGGTATCCGAGTGCGAGACATCACGCTGGAGATATCCTCGACAAGCGCCAGGTGATTAATATAAGCACGTAGCTGTGCTGCTTTTCTGTGGCTTAGGGCCCAACCCGATTGAGCCGGGGGCTACGTGTTGCAGCAGACCACTCACTAATCCACCGACATCACACATACCGAGGCTCATGAGTCGCCATTGGACATCATAATCAGCGAAGCCACGGTTGGTCCTGTGTCTCACAGTTAGGATCAACTATGTGTATCATACCTCAGAACAGATACCATATCTCACTTCCTCTAGTGGGACAATTACAAAGTTGCATTTCATAGGCTACTCGAAGCGAGCATGTTTCCCATAGATATCAATGTGATATTCCAAGATAGAAACTTGAACAATTATATACCTCTCTTAGGTTTTAGTCAACTGATCGAACGATTACAATACAACGACAAGAACAACCCATTCTAAAAGTTTCCCTTCGACGCCCCGTTCTGCTGTGTTACCTAAAGAGCAGGCCAATCTCGTATTTACTAACTGCAGAAGCCACCAACAGATCATTCGTCCAACACATACCCAGTTCACCGTGATTTGTTGATCCCACAGGGAACATTTGAGCTATTGAGTTTTTTTTCTTCTTCAATCAAAAGTGTGTGTCCAACAAGACTTTCGTGGGAGTAGCACAATAACAATCGTTGTCTTATCGGGTTCGGAAGCGGGCATTCTATGAAAAACATTATAGTCGCAAGACCTTGCCGAGTCTTCACAGCTTTTATTATATATCCATTTCAAGATGTCTCGTAACATACTCTTAACTTATGATCGATTATGCAACAAACGAACAACCTCTTCAACGTTCGCGTGTTTTATCTTGCCAAGCGTAGAACCAAACCAATGGGTTGACTTGGTGTACGCGCACATATTAAAAAAAGAAAAACTTAGGGAACTATTGATACCATTTCCTTCTGAAGATAAATTTTCTCATGAATACCTAGGTGGCGGGTGAGAATACGGGCCCGCGGACTTTCCTCTGCAATGCAATTGGTACAATACCAGGCCATCACTACTGCACGTCATATTTCATTGATTCTTGGACATGCATGGGCCTTCAAATTTTGACCAAATCGGACTTGTCTTCTCTACATTTTGGGGTTGTGGTACACCGGTATTATATAAAATTAAAGTCATGAAGCAATGTTCTCATCCGATCATGGTGGACTCATAAGTGGTCAGTTTCATGTACGTGTATGTTCTTATGTATCCTGTATGTATATCTGAAGAGCTGCTGCTTCCTTTTCATTTGAAAAGTTTGTGCCAGCCCATTTGCCAATGAGTACTTGGCCATTCTTTCGTTTAACTCAGTCGTTCATGTTGATTGCATCTGTTTTTTAAGGTCTATCGCAAAATGCGCCCCTATGCGCCAATACCTTTTACCCTGGTGTTTTATCTTGCGACTTCCTCAGCCTCCATATTGCCTTCGTGGTTTGGACCTCGCGATGTATCTCCGGACCTAACTTGTGGGAATACAGGATCTGGGATAGCGGGTTATACATGTCCTGATAACTTATGCTGTTCTCAATATGGCTATTGCGGTAATTCGACCGATTACTGCTCGACCGGTTGTCAAAGTCAATTCGGTGCTTGTGGTGGGTCCGGCGGAAGTGGCGACGGTGACGGCGAAGGGGATGGAGATGGAGATGGGGGCGGCGACGGAGGTACTTCTCCCGATTTGACTTGCGGGAAGACGGGCGCCGGGGTAAATGGTTATACATGTCCGTCCGGAATGTGTTGTTCACAATAGTAAGTATTTGCGGGCGGGTATTTACTTAGAATTGATGTTGAGACCTTCGCATAGTGGATATTGCGGTAGTTCGACCGACTACTGTGCAGAAGGATGCCAGTCCGCATTTGGGACGTGTGCGACTGGTACCGGTACTGGCGGTGGCGATTCTAGCGATGGACGATGTGGTCCGGATTTTGGGGATGTGGTATGTGCCACGATGGAGTGCTGTTCTTCGGCCGGGTATGTGTGCTTCGGTTCTCCAAGGTGTGTATTTACTCATGCATCACTATTAGGTATTGCGGCACGACGGCCGACTACTGCCGCGCTCCGGATTGCCTTTTCGACTATGGACCGGCTTGCGATGCGAACAAAGTTCCCAGCGGCGCCAATACATCGACATTAACCCGGTCTACGCTAGGTAACATTGCGGTCGGCGGCGCTGGGATCTATGACTGCAAGAATGAAGGTGAGGTTGCTCTGACTTTCGATGACGGGCCTGCTCAATATACGAGCGATCTCTTGGATCTCCTGGCGAAGTATGAGGCGAAAGCCACGTTCTTCATCACCGGAATTAATAATAATAAGGGGGAAATCGATGACACAAGCCTCCCGTGGCCTTCTGTGATTCAGTAAGCGTAGTTCCTTACGGCAATTGACGAGGTCAACCTTTGAGCTGATGTTTATGACTTTAGGCGGATGCATATCGATAACCATCAGATCGCATCACACACCTGGTCACATCCAGATCTTAGCACTCTCACATCGGCGCAGCGAAAAGACGAGATGATCAAAAATGAGATGGCTCTTCGCAATATCCTAAATTTTATACCGACTTATATGCGGCCGCCATACAGCTCCTGCACACAAGCAAGTGGCTGCGAGAACGATCTAGCCGCGTTGAAGTACCATGTTATCTACTTCGATCTCGATACCATGGATTATCTCAACGACTCTCCCAGTTTAATCCAAAACTCCAAGAACAATTTCGATGGGTACTTCCAAGGGAAGTCGTCCAACGCAAACGATGCTCTAATCATTTCCCATGATATACACGAGCAGACCGTTCACAATCTGACCGAATATATGCTCCAAGGTCTTCAGAGTCGTGGCTATAAGGCGGTTACTGTAGGGGATTGTCTCGGCGACCCGGTCGAGAACTGGTATAGGCAGGTTACGTAGGTGGTGGTTCCGTATATGCTTCGTATGTCTGATATAGCTGGAGTTCGGGTCGATTCGGCGTTTAAATAGGGGCTATTGTCAAGTTGGGTTTTAGTTATACAAAGCCAATGGACTTGGTCCTATACGTTTTTGACATCCCATATAGAACTTCGTCACGGAGTGGTTTCTACCTGTGCTTGGTGTTTTGTTTTTGTGTTAGGCAGGAATGGTCAGTGCGCCCTACCTACCTTCACAACCTACATGGAGAGGTACTTAAGACGGATACATAGGGGTGTAGTCACATAGACTGCCGAGGCAGTTCCCCTGGTATACCTGGCATTTGATCTAGTGAGGCAATATAGGGGCACTTAGGTATGCTACTTAAAAGTTGGGCCGAGCCCTGGCAACGAATCTGGCCGCAATCTAAACGTTAACGCAGTACTGCTGTCTGAAATGGTATTGAACTTACCACGCATGCATAATCACCCGAGGCAGATATCACAAGTACTGCGCTTAGGCGTAAATCATATAGTACAGTGCGATACATGCCTTGCTCTGCCAGGCAAGGCTCTAAATTGTACATATATACGGAGCATATAGGTTCAGCTCGAGTATGGACAACTCTATGTGCCCTTGCCCTTCTTGTCTCTCCGTTTGCCCATGTTCCGCGGTCGCGGAACCACAACCCACTTGTTGGGGTTGCTATTTCTCCGTGTCTTGAAACCACCTTTTGCCTATGATCGTGGGTTAGCATAAAAAAGTCTCGACATATATCATCGAAAGAATGAGCATATCGTACCGGTGTACCCCAAGGACTCGTTGGGTTTCTGTTACCCTTTGATTTACCACGACCACCACCGTGAGGGTGATCCACTAGAAGTTACTGGTTAGTGACAGATTCATCTTCTCTTGTTATGCGCTTGTCATACCTTTGTTCATCGCCACACCACGTACCGTTGGCCGAATGTTTAGCCATCGACTCCTACCTGCCTTACCAAGCTGTCGGTAGTGGTGGTGGGGGTTGCTGGCGACACCAACGGTCGCGCAGGCGTCCTTGCTGACTCTTCGAACTTCTCCACTCTGCAGCTTCACAGTAACATATTTGCCAGTCATAACCCTAACACCATCTTCTCTCACCTCTTCATCCTTACTCTCGACAACGGCAAAAGTGCCCGCACTTCGACAGAACACAGCACCTCCTTTCGGATGGGACCCAATGTTAAACACAGGTACACCAATGGGAATAAGGTGTAGCGGTAGGCAGTTCCCACGGTGGGCTGTTTTAGCCGCTAGAATACCAGGATCAATAACTCCACCCATACTCTCGAGAAGATCTTGAGGGATACCAGATCGGAAACTCTGGAGTACATCGCCAGCTCTCGTACCCTCGGGGGCTATTATGTATGTCTTCTTTCCGGTAGCTTCCTCGTTCAACAGCGCAATATGAGCACTTCGGTTAGGGTCATACTCGATTCGTTCGACGAGATGAGGTCCTGAGATCCAACGATGGAAATCTACTGTTCGTATCCTTCGCTTTGCACCACCACCACGATGTCGGACTGTAACTTTGCCATTATTGTTGCGGCCACCCTTTGCCATACCCTTCTTGGGGAATGTTAAGGGAAGAAAGGGTCTGCCTTTCCATAAGTGATCGTTGATAGGTCGCCTTAGATGTCGTTGACCGGGTGTTCTAGGCTTATAGATGCGCATTATTACTGTCGACTCCTTTCCAGCTTGAGATTTAGCTGGAGTATAATCCCTTGCCGGCTTAGGAGGTGCCTGGTCATCTTTCGGGATAGAGGGTACATGATCGACTGCGGGATCGGGAGGTGGTGCAGCCTCGTGGATTGTCGCATAACTCCGGAGGGCGAGTATTGAGGAAGACGGACTTTGACAACTCGTCAACGCCCTCCGAGTAGCGAGGGAGAATATCCGTGGTTGTAACATCATATCATGTCACAACCAGGAGTGATGGGTTGTCGGTCAATTGGTGGACGCTCAGCAAACAAGAGCTGATTGAACCCTGAATGCGAACCAAAATTTAGAAATCGAAGCTATTCAGGGATTCAAGTTAATCCGAGAAAAGAAGTGGAAAGATGGTGGTCAATGCTTTAAATGCCGAAGTTTTACCTGCTGACCTAATGAAGAAAAGTCGGTGCAGTGTGTATTCACAAGTTAAATGCGGCTGAACTAACGAACTGAAGAATTTACGAAATGATGATTGGCTGATTCAGCCACAGCTTGCTAGGAACACGGGATCACGTCAATGGATTGGTTAAGATGAAGCGGATTCTCCAGGTCAGTCGCGCCCCGGCCAATGGAAACACCGTTGCCCCGCCGTTTCCAGTGTTGATCAAAGCGGGCCGGTGGGGCCAGTCACGCTTCCAAGGAAAAAAAAAAACCAGCAGGTGCGGGACCGTAACAACCGTTGTCTGGTGGCAGCAAGGACCTTCCGCAATTCACGGCATAAGGTGGTCTGTTGTACTCTCGTACCGTGTGGGTTTCCCAGATCGCGTCTCTCTTTCTCAGAGGAGCTCTCCCGCAATTCTTTTTTCCTTGCTTTTCTACATACAAACCAACCTCTCTCTTCTTTTAACATTCACCACTTTTTCCCATCCTCCCATTGTCAAAACTCGACCAAATTGACATTTCGAAGGATTCTTCACTCAATTCTGCATCCCTACTTCCGGAAAACATATTCACCTGTCTTACCTCAAGAGCAAATAGCTCTTTCAATATCAATTGAAATTTCCATACCAATTGACTCTAGTGGCTTGAACTCACGTTCTGATCTCTCGCGAGTACCCACGTACACGCGCAGAGCTGGAGGTATCGGTGACCTGGGCCACCTAGGGAAACACCTACGGTGGGCAGTACGAACAGGGGTTATTTGCCCTGGAAATCACTAGGGACCACTAAATCGCGCTAGCGATACCGTGTACTGGTACGTGCGAACACACATCCCTCACGTCAAGCTTACCTTCCACCTTTTCCCTCTCTCCACACTTGGTGCTTTCAAAACCTAATTCTCCAAAAGCCAAACATTGGCTGTACTCCCCCAAAACATCACCGTCCTTCTACCCATCAACAACAACAAAAATCTCCCCTCTTTTTACCTTTCACTTTCGCATTCACCTCGACTTCTCTTCTACTTCTTCCTCACTACTACTCCATTACCTTAATACCCTTTGCTACTTTCAATCAATACCATCCTACAACATTTTGCAAATAGCATCACGTCTTCCCAACGATCCCGTTACATAACATTCATCCTAATACAAACTAGCTTCTAATGGTGGAAGCTTCAGTTTGTTGACACACCGTCTCCTACATTTTCACTTTAGTCAGGCAACTATCTGGTAAGCAAAGTTACTCTGTATTCTCGTTATTCGAGCTACCTGTTGGCTCGCTTATCTTGAACACGTTCACCGGGGAGCATTGCGCGTATTTATATTGTCTGATTCGTGCACCGCTTTGACTGTCATCTTTTTCTTGAATTCACGAAGGTTTGAGCGTTTACTAACAGCTCTCTAGTTCCTGACTCGAAGTCTAATTACGTATCATAAAAGCGTTTAATCCAATATCAAGATGCCTCCTGTAAGTTTCACCGGTTTACCTTTTTTAGCTATGACATTTTTGTCAGCGAACTCACGTTCGTTATCGCGATTTTTCACTCCATATCGCGTCAATCAAAGCAATCTAATTAGACTTTCATAGGGACGTCCCGCCCGTTCAACACGCGTCGTTTCCAACGAGAACGATGAGAATTCCACGCGTATGACGCGTGCTAAGGCAGCTACCCTTAACGTCGATGTCACTTCTCAAGCCACAAAGCAGCCTCTCCAATCCAAGAAGTCAGCAGTCAACCTCAACCCTGCCGCCCAGCGAAAACGCGCTGCTCTCGGCGATGTTAGCAATGTCGGAAAAGGTGAAGCAGCGGAAGGAAAGAAGCCTGCAGCCGGAAGCAAGGCTGGCTTGGTCTCCAAGGCCGCACAACCTACTGGTGTTCAGAAGAGCCATACTCGTACCGCATCGACTCGATCTGCTTTAGGCCCCAAAGATGCGAAGAAGCCTGAGGTGAAGCGTGCGGGTTCTGGATCTGGTGCCATCGGTGCACATAAGAGGAAGGTCACTTCAACCACTATCAAGCACGATATCCTTGAGGAAGAGCCGGTTCGTAAGAAGGCTCACACTCTTGAGAATGAGCTTAAGAAGCAGGACCGATCTGATTCTAGCTCAGAGAAGCTGGATTTTGAGAAGGCGTCTCTCAAGGAGGCTGGCCCCTACAAGGAGGACGTTGCTGTTGTGCTCCCCGAAGGTGTTAAGGATCTGGAGCAAGATGGCATAGATGATCCTCTAATGGCTGCCGAGTACGCCCACGAGATTTTCGAATACCTCCGTGACCTCGAATGCAAGGCGGTTCCCAACCCACAATACATAATACACCAAGACGAGCTAGAGTGGAAGACGCGAAGTATCTTAATCGACTGGATGATTGAGGTTCACACTCGATTCCACCTCCTTCCCGAGACTCTATTTCTAGCCACGAACATAATCGACCGCTTCCTATCTCAGAAGGTCGTCCAACTTGACCGCGTACAGCTCGTGGGCATCACAGCTATGTTCATCGCTGCCAAGTACGAAGAAGTCTTATCCCCCCATGTGAGCAACTATCGAATGGTTTCGGATGATGGCTTTAGCGACGCAGAGATCCTTAGCGCAGAACGATTTATTCTGGAGACTCTCAACTACGATCTAAGCTATCCTAACCCTATGAACTTCCTCCGTCGTATCTCCAAGGCGGATGACTATGATATCCAGTCTCGTACGATTGGAAAGTATCTTATGGAGATCAGCATCGTCGACTACCGATTCTTGCAATTCCGACCCAGCCATGTTGCCGCTGGTGCCATGTATCTCGCACGGATGATCCTTGACCGAGGTGAATGGGTTAGTACTTTTTTCTATGCTGATTAATATCATTAATTCGTTGGCTAACTCGCTTTAGGATCCGACTATCGCGTACTATGCTGGATACACTGAGGAAGAGATTGAGCCCGTCTTTGAGCTCATGATAGATTATCTAGCTCGTCCCATCTGCCACGAGGCCTTCTACAAGAAGTACGCAAGCAAGAAGTTCATGAAAGGTATTTCAATCATCCATGTTCCCTTTAAAGACATCCCACTGACAACATATAGCTTCCCTTATCACACGCCAGTGGGCAAGGAAGAATGCGCCTATCTTCGGCATCACAGATGTTAAGATATCGGTGGACGAGCTGTCGCAACTAGATTACTAAAGCCTCTCACATTCAACTTCTACATACACAACATAACGATATTCCTACATTGGGAACCTTGTGCAGGGCTAGGATACCCAAGGTCTCATTGGATGACGGCCTTACGATAACAACTTGCATGACGTTCTCGGCCTATGACTCATAATCTTTCGACCCTGAATTTCGGACCTCCAAAGTAGGCGTTCAACGTCTTAATTCGGATGTCCAATCTTCTCCAACGCCCATGGAAATCGTCGACTTGCCCGTGATGCAAGTGAACTTTTCAACCGGACCACCCGACCGTCCATAGCCTGCGGCTATATCGATTGCATTTTTCGCGTTCTCCCTTTTCACTGCGTGCTACGCATGCGCCCCCTTAGTATAGGGTTCGAGGCGGTCAGAGTTGGTGGCGTTTTGATTTATGAGTTCTCCACAACTACTTCTGCTCTCACAAGCTGTGCTTGAGCTACTGGGTTTCTAACAGATCTAGTATCATCATCATCGAGGAGAGCCTTGTCTGTCTATGTCTGCTGATCTTCCTTGAGACACAGGAATAACCAAAGTTAATCGCAGACAAGACGGCTCCGGAGGACCTATAAATGTGTACATATTCGTTAAGTGTTTTTGTTGGTGGCGTTTCACGGACCAAGGGATGGCAGCAATAAAACTGCGTTGCATTAATCAGAGTTATTGATTTCGGGTTTTTCATTCTTAGCGGATCTGCATGTGATTGTCGCAATATCGTTAGGCGAGCGACTGGACCAAGGTGATGATAACGGGTCGCACTTTAAGCAGCAGGAGTTGTGAATAACTTAGTCTTTCCTTATCACAAGTTGACGAATAAGAGGGAACATTGACACCAACTCCTGGGACTAATGCCTAAGTGATCATACAATCCCATGACAGTAAAGGGGATCACCATGATGGCGTCTAGTATTGTAACTGGTGTACTATTAGTGTAGTACAACCTATGTAGTACGAAGATGAAGCCTGTAAGTTAATTGAGTAGGTCTAGTCGGCAGGACTCTGGTGTCACCGTCATCTTCTAAGAGATATGAGGTCCAAAGCACATAATAGCTATTTTCAAATTCTTCCTGCTAAAGCTGTAGATTCATCATCCTAGGTAGGTGGGTATTATCTAGTCCCGTTTCCAGCATATTATCTGTCTACTACCTTAGGTATCCATTGAAATGTCACAACAACCCATCTTACACATAATCAACCACTTTTTTTGCTGCAATACTATACCATTCTCTTTTCTTTTTTTTTTTTTTTTGGCCTGCACAGGAATACTCGCGACACTCCTAACAGCCACCTTTTTGTCACATTAGTCATAATAGCAACCAGAGCTATTCCAGTGACATTCACGCCCCAAACTTGACTGAGCAAAAATCCAGACTTAAAGTACATATCTACATCTCCCATTATTTTCATAACAGCGATCCAGATAATTGTTTTAATTGGCCACGCTCTTGGCAAATACCCACACAAGAGGTGTCCATTTTACTCAAATTGGTTAGTTGGATCTATATATTATTTTCTGTTTCCTATTTTTAGTACTCATCTCCTCCTGTTCCAGGCTGTCGGGTCAGAAGCGTCTTGGCAAACGAGCACGATTGGCGATATTTCTCCTAATCGGGAAATTACCGATGCTTAGGTATTTATCTACCTCTATATACTCTCACAACTCCTAGACCTTGGAAGAAATCATTGTGTATTATTTCATCATACCGCAGGTACAGCCGTTAATATGATATACTATAATGAGTTTCTTTAAAACTTAGAATGTACTTACTAATGAGGTTTGTCGTCCCGTAGCGTTGGGTTGTTTTATAGGTACTTGTTCTCAATACGTTCTTTAACTTAGATTTTTACCTTGTCATCTTAGCAATACGATAAGCATCCCAACTGCAATTAACACAGATCAGTATTCCCCGGGTCCGTACCGTTTAACTCAAAATGAACCTAGCAATATCGTCCCGCTGACACTTTATATTTAAGTTTTTTGTCCCAGTAGCCGTTATAACTTCCTTTCTTAGTTGAAGCACTAAGCGTATCACTAAACTATCACTAAACATATATATACTTCAACTATCTCAATCGGACGACAACAGCATACTTATGTACGTGATAAGACGACTTTAACTTTGCAGAGAAACTGATTAAGTCCTTAGGCATCCAATAAATAGAATTTAGTAGCCGTTTAGCTATCGAAACACGTCCGCTGTTTGCCTCAAATTTCTAAAGTGACTACACGTATGCTCTAGAAAAAGTTCAAATAGAGGGTACGCAACAGTCCTAATAGGAATTGAACCTAAACCTCTATCTAACCACTGATGCAGTATGTGCTCCTTACTATTTATACCTTTCCCTTCCCCACTCACATCTGCAGCTCTTCTACTATCATTATCATAATTTTCCTTCGCATCGCTCTCTTCCTCTCTAGTACGCCAGAAAACTTTGACGCTGAGACGTCCTACATTCAGACCACCCAACATAACACCAGCACTCAACATTAATAAATATGCCTGAGCAACAAACCAACGGAATGGAAGGCGGCCTCTACCCCCCGAAAAAGATCGTACGGGTTGTTATCGACCTCACGGAAGATGCTAGGTGCTGTGTACACTGCCAAAAGGAAACTGTGGAGCCCGAAGACGATGATTATATTATAGAGGGCTCCGGAGGTCGGGACTACGTGAGTTACCTACCTAACATAAGGGATGTGAATCATTGCTAATATATTTTAATAAGCCGGTGTGCGCCGAATGTGTACGAACTGGACAGACCGGGAGCGATAGCAGCATCGACCTAAAAAACGTCCGCAAGATACACGGACTGCGCGATCCTTGCTCAATTTGCAATCGTACCATTGACAACCCCTCGAGGCCGAGGTCTTGCGGTAGGTCGTATATTTAACAATGACATCTGTGGTTGCTAACTTCTATGACAGGGCACGTTTTCTGTCAGAACTGTCTTTATTCCGCCAGGGAGTACCTTAGCTCATGCCCAGCTTGTCGTACCCCATGCTGCCAGGAGCAGCACTGCAAGTCTAGTCGTTGCGTTCTCCCGGTCAAATCACTCAAGCCAGATAAGCTTAAGCTTATAATATTAACGGAGTGGGTAAAAGAATCGGAGAACGTATGAACGCGGGCGATATTTTTTTAGATTGGGAATTCTATGTTTTGATTCAAGATCGGGGATATTAAAGCACGTTCGGATACCCATATAACTTGTTGGGGGCGTTGGATATGGTTCGCATAGCTCACCGAGTTGGCTACTGCTCTCGGCTCTTGGATGAACCTCTAGGGGTGATAGACCGGAAGCTTGGGCTCACGAACCTTCATCTCGCATTGTCTCACAGTTCCTAAAATTTTTTAAACCTAAGGTAGTAGAACCATCATCAACCGTATTTTCAGTCCACTCTAACCAAAAAAAAAAAAATCTAGTACGAGAAGTATAACTTGTTACCAATGCAACTCTTGCCTTATAAAAACCCGCCTCTCCATGTTCTCTCTCCCTCTCTTTCTTTCCTCCTACAACACTTCTTCTCAAGTTTCACTCTCCACAACTACCACAGAAGAAGAAGTTCACCACCAAAAAAACTACTACAAAAAAACCACCACCAAAAAAAAAAAAAAAAAAAAAAAACCCCAAAAAAACCAGACCTTCAGCATTTTAACATGTCTGAAGAAGCGCGCCAAACCTCGACTGAGCATTCGTCGCAAGACGACCCCTCCACCCTGATTAATCGCCGGAGGGTCGTCATCGACCTCACGGAAGACCTCAAAAGCTGTGCCAACTGTGCCGAGGATATCAAGGACGCGGAGTGTGACTATGCCCTCCACATAACCGAACGCGTAAGTTAATATACCTACTTATATCAGCGGGAGCCTCAGCTAATCGTACATTAGGTCGTGTGCTCCAACTGTGTCGGCTAGGAACGCAACGGTTATGCACACGGCGGACCCCTAGGCAAGAAAAGGGTTCACAAGATCTTCGGATTACGTGACCCTTGTTTGTTATGTGGAGAGGCATTAAGATTGCCGACGCGCCCTGCCGCTTGTGGTAAGTAATATTTAGTTTCGATGTTTGATGACAAGCTTGCTAACATGGATGATAGGGCAAGTCTTCTGTGACGGCTGCCTCCGAGAGGCTCGACAATACAGCAGCAATTGTCCAGCCTGCCGCACAGCCTGCTGCGATGACCGTCAGTGCAAGAGGTGGACTTGCCTGCGTCAGATCAGGGTGCAGGATCTGGGAAAAGCATCACTCGTTTGCATCCCAGAGAGAGCCTCTCGTCGCGATTGGATCATGGCTTGGTCCATGGGAGGATTCTCAGCGAGGTGTTGGGGTTACTACACTGGTGATGAGAATTAGCGACTTGTTTGACTGGGGTTTATGAATTAGTCTTGTTGATACTATGAATAGGACACCAGCGATTCATACACCAATTAATGGTCTTGCTTAATTTATTGTGCTAATTGTGTAAGAACATAAGATGCTTAAGCTAACTCTTATTTGCCTGCCTTCTTCAGACATACTCAGTGGCTTTAGGTAGGTAATTAACAACGTCGGAAGGTAGGGCCGGGAGTTGAGAAGCACTAATGAAGCTATCAACAGCTCAAGACCCACGTCCTAAACTAAACTTGGTTACTAACTACCCCGGATTTTCTCTCAACTGGTAACTTTATTTAGACGGATACTTGTAAGAACTATTTGGTAGATTTATCATCGCAAAGATGCCTTGAATGGTCAACTTCATCACCACTAGATGAATGGCCGCTATATGCCTGCAGTCAGGACTTACGCGTTACAAGTATTCACCAACACCGCCCTAACCGCGATTCTGTTCTGATGCGATCGTCAATGTGGAGAATCCGGGAATAGCGCGTAGCATCCGGGGCAAGACCAATTTGCGGCTCAACCGCGTGTAACGGTGTCAGCGACGACGTGGTGGGGCTTCTGTCAGCCCTGTAGGGCGCACAAGATGGCCTCTACCTTCCGATGACATAAGTTTGGCAGGATAGCCTGTTTGACGAGCTAATCTTACCTCTAACTCCTGTTCTTTGGTTGTCGTTTCGAACGCAGCGCAGTAATTAAAAGGAGGCGGCGTAAGCAGAAAATTAGGGAGTCAATCAAGGCGAGACGACGAAATTGGAAAAGCAATGTGGATGACATTCTTACATTTTGGATAAATATATTGGGAATATATAGAGACAAAAGCCCAACTCAATCTGCCTCATTCGGAAGCCAACATCGTGGTATAAAAATAAGATATCGTACAATTTCGAAAATGACTATCGCTCATAACGGATCATCGAAGTAACTCACTCAATCGCGCCGAAACAAAAAACAAAACCCGCTAAAGCTTGCGCACAAATTCGCCGACCTTCGCCGCAACCTCCCACGCGCTTTCTTCGAAACCCAATAGCCGGCCAGTCAAGAGCGTATCATGGACCGCGGCATCTTCGATATGCAGTTCCACAACATTGCCGGGTACTTTGCTCATACCATCCGCAAGCCCTACGATTTGTCCGTAGAGTAACTCCGCAGTGCCGGCGTTAATAAATATGGGGACAGGAGTGGAAAAAGGTTTGAGTGAGGCCGTGATGTAAGGGTTAGTCCTCTCGTCGGGTGCACCGTTGCCGTAGGTGTGTGCTCCCCAAGCGGGGTACGACGTCGGGATGAAGTCAGTGGCGCGGTTGTCCTTTATGTGGTAATCAAAGGGAGCGACCCACGGGGAGAGCAGGACAGCGGCTTTCGGGTACGGGGCGCCGATCTCGGTGCCATATTCATGGAGGTAACGCAAAAACGCCGTTGCGAGGTTGGCACCAGCGCTATCACCGCCTATGACGATTTGGTTCGCTGGGATGTGGTGCTCATTTAGGAGGTAGAAGTAGGCCGACACTGCATCTTGTAGTGCGGCTGGGAATGGGTTTACGCCTCCGTACTCTGAGAGTCGGTATTGTAGAGAGAAGAATGCTTCCGCGCCTCCTTTCTCGAGGAATTTCTTCGCGATGGAACCAGTTGACTCGTCTCGCCCGTCACCTTGGACGAACGCACCTCCGTGAAAATAGAGTACAACGATCTTTGAAGATATATCCGCCTGTGGAGGGTTGGGATACCAAGTTCCTCCAATTGTCGCAGGCTTTACACTTTCAGAATGAAGTGGTCCTTGGTAGACATCCAAGGTAGATGGCTTCACGATTTGAAACCTCTCGTCCTCCTTACCCTGTTCCAAAGTGAGTGTTTCTGTAATCCCAATGCGAGATGTCATATCAAGCAACGGTTGTAGAATGCGCGTCATGAATGTTTGCTTCGCACTCCATTTTGAATTTGGCCTGAAAGCAGGGATTAGTGCCACTAAGGTATAGTACGGTAGGCGTGCGATGATTGTGCCAAAATATGATAACTTGTATACAAATCTCAGTGGTTGATATGATATCAACGGGAAATTTGGCGGGTTGGCCATGATGCTCGAAGCGGTATCACGATACCACGACGGTGGTCTTCGGAGGAACTTGACGATGAAAAATTTTCCGCCTGCCTCGGTTGGCGTCTGGGCATACAATGAAATTTGCTTTTCTGTTTGCTGTCCACGGCACGGATACAGCGGAAGTGGGGAAATCTGCAAGGCGTGTAGGATTCCTCGGCGACCCCCCTGGATGTATGTATCTAGTTCTCAACAACAAAGGAATAAAGGGAGAAGAAATCGGGGAAAAAGGAGTATATCCCCATGGGGATGTATAAAGATGCTAATGGTATACCTACCCATCCTGCCGGTTTTCATTTTAATAACGATGTCTTGGTTAACACCGTGCGCGTCCCGGTTGTCAATGCGGTTGGATGCGTGTTGGTTACTAAGAGACCGGGGGTTCAGCTCACTTTGTTGTGATAATCATATCATGGATACCACTCTACACCTAGGTGATCTACGGCGTGTTTTAACAGATGAGTAATCTGAAACATATCTTCTTGATAGCCTCGGGATAATATTATTAGGGGTAGGGTTGGTCTTAGGTCAGGGTTAGGGCTTTTACCTCACGTATCACGAGTCAATACATCAAGCCACTAAACGGGATTATAAGACGAAAGCCGAGATCATTTCAATAATATCAGTAATCCTCCCAATGTATCGGAAGCGGGATTGAGATCCCGCCTTCTCCCGTCCGTCGGGTAGGTACCCTCAATGTACCTAAAAATGAATCCTCCCAAGAGCTTCTTTCAGACCAGAATCAATCTTGTAGGCCATTCTATTAATTCGCGAATTCGGGCTCGGCGTTTCGAAGAAGTGCGAGAGATGGCGTCTAGACATTTTGCTAAAGACTAGGCTTGAAGAAGATAGATAGTTTCGAGTTGAGTTATCCTCTATTAATAGTAGTAGTAGAGCCTTGGAATCTAGCGTTACATCGGGCTCCGTATGCCGACAGGTAAGGAAAATTGTTGCGATACGATGATTTGCGAGAAGGAATCTCCACGTGGGATTGCCTACTCTCCTCACACGGCCCGGCCCCCACCCCCATTCAGCTTCATTTCGGTCACATCTTTTTAATCTATTACCTGCCTACACGAGAGGCGTCGCGAGGCTTGCGCGTAATAGATAAATCATATTTAATCTATGGCCGATGTAACTCAATGCACTCCTATCACCAACTAGGGCGACGCCGCATGTATGTACCCCTCAGCCTACAGCGTTTGTACGACGCGAGGCTCATTTTTCTGGTCATGGCGACTTTATGTTGTTTCTATACGCCATGAATCTAGGAAGTACTATGCGAAGCGCAGTGCCGGCCTGGCGGCCTAGGGGAACTTCTGTACCTACCTAAGGTCCCTGTAGGATGAAGGCGACGCTGCGAGTCTGCCCTACCAGTTACACACCAAGAAAGCCGGCTGTCTTAAGCGACCGCAGTTAGCATGTGGCTATCTACTTGACCGATTCTGTACCTAATATAGAACTACCAACCACACGCTACCATGCCGCAGACGGACCGATGAGTCTTTCCGAGATTTCATGATAACATATGAGGTATAGACTTCTTAACACGAAAGATCCTTCTCGCTCTCCACATTTCTAATGCCGAATGGTAGACGCTTTTCTGATACAGCACTGCCTCACTTCTTAGCCAAAGGTGTATTGCTCTAATTTTGATGCGAGTTACGAATACTAGACAGCTACATTGCAATTCGGTAACCATGGGCTCTATCGACGTGACAACTCCAACGTCCGTGTCAGCAAGCACGACGCTATTCCCCACCGAGTCTGTGAAGGACCGGATCAGGGGCCAACAACCCGATCCAAATCGGTCAAAGAATCTCTCAGTTTTCTATCGCAACCTTGAGGAAGCCCTGGATGGTCGGCGTGCCCTTTACAATCTACGCCAACATGTTCTCAATGACTGGCAGACGGGAGATCAAATCGACTTTGCTTCCAACGACATTTTATCATGGAACGCTAGCGGTGCTCTGCGTGAGGAATTCCTCTCTATACTAGCGCAACATCCAGACTTTTGCCCGGGATCCGGCGGCTCGCGGGTCTTGGATGGGCATTATGAGTATATGGATCAAGCCGAGCGAGATATCGCAGCTTTCCACGGAGCGGAAGAGGGTTTAATCTTCAACTCCGGATTTGACGCTAATCTCGCGATATGGTCTGCTATCCCGCGACTTGGAGATGTTATCGTATATGATGAGTTGGTGCACGCTAGCTCACATGAGGGTATGGCGCAGAGTCTTGCTGCGTTGAAAGTCGAGTTCCCTCATAATGATATTAAAGGGTTTCGCAACACTTTACTCTCCATACTTGACTCCCAGCCCTTGATCAAGCGCGGGAAACGCACGGTTCTGGTGGCTATTGAATCAGTATACAGCATGGATGGCGATGTCTCTCCGTTGGAGGAGTTCGTCGAAATCGCGGATGATGTGTTTCGTGAACACGGCAACATCCAATTCGTCATTGACGAAGCGCACAGTACTGGATTGATTGGTCCGAATGGCTCTGGCCTTGTATGTGAGTTAGGACTTGAAGATAGGATCGCGGTGAGACTACACACATATGGCAAGGCTATGGGAGCGAGTGGTGGTAAGTTCACCCGATTATGCTTACGACATCAATTATTGATACCCATAATATAGCGATCGTACTGGGCTCTAAGACGGTGAAAGGGGCATTGATGAATTTTGCTCGGTCGAGCACATTTTCTACGTCACCCCCTTTTCCTTTCGTCGCTGCTATTAAAGCAGGCTACAATTTACTAGAAACTAGCGAAGCAGAAGAGGTAAGTAATCCGGAATTAGTTTTTACGCATAAACTAAAGGGTGTGTAGGCTCGAGAACGCGTTCAGACGCTTGCGCGACTCTACTTTGAATTATTGACGTCGCATCCGACTTGGCAAAGCGCTCTAAAAAGAGGTCTCCTATCTGTTCCTCTTTCGGAGAATTGGGAAGATCGCCCCTTTCTTACGCAAATATTCACTGTATTCACACGCCCAAAATACTTATATTGGCTATATTTCCATATTCTGGCCGCTGGATTTTGTGTGTGGCCCATTGAGCACCCCGCTGTACCACCTGGCCAAGGTCGAATCAAAGTTTCACTTCATGCTGGAAATACTGAGGAACAAGTTGAAGGCCTTGTGAATGCGACTTTTGAGTGGGTGGAAGAAGTTATGGCGATCGAAGATGGTAGGTTAAATGAGAATGTAACGAAAGCGGCGGGTCGAGTTTATGACTGGATGAGAAGCGAGGGCCTAAGCGGCTTCGGATTTGTTTAATCTACAACATTAGAAACATTTACGAAGGTCGTTAATAATCACAAAATTTGTAGTGTAGCTCTAGATTCCGCAATTTCCCCCCTGAACGTGCCTTGTGTGTTTACAGTACTACTGGCTGGATAATCCGGTAGTGTGATTTACGGCACAAAATTGTACCATAACAACGGACGGGATTCAGGTCATGTACCTGCCTCCTTGATAATTCAAGCTAAACCGAGATTATCAATTTCTGGTAGATTTAAGGATAGCGTGCTCGCTCAAAGATGCACTTCATATTGCTCTTCAGCCGCTCCAATCTAAATAAATAGATCTAGAGCAGTTGTCATGCGTAAGTAGCGCGATGTGCCGCGTCTAAGGAGGGAGGCCATGAACTGGTCGGCTAAGGTCGGAGGATCATCAATGTAACCCTATGTACGCCCAGCGCTTGTACCTATGGGATTTCACCAGAGTAGCAGTCGCGTGTTATTTCTATGTTGAGGGGCGCTAGACTTATCAATTATACTTATTGAAGAACGATAGATAGTTCCGAAAGACACTATAACGTGTAAAGTTGGCCATCCATTCGCCAATGTTTATTCTAGGATGTGTTTATATTCATCCATTATCACTTTCCTATTCATGTAGCCAAGGATTGGACTGTCCCCTTGCCTCGGTGTCAAATGTACTGACCAACTATTCATGTACTTAGACTTTGGGTTGACATGGTAAGGCGTACACACCTTTAAGATGACCAATCTAGGGAGGCAAGTACCTAAGTATAGTCTTAATACTCAGGGGTAGAGTAAACTGCCGTGTACCTAGGTAGTCTCTATATCCACTAGAGCTGATATATAACATAACCGGAATCATAACATTATAAGGTAAGACCGATCGACTTTCTTCATCTTGGCTCTGCAAGTGCTCCGTCATTTACATCATGGAGCCAATAGCAATTACCGGGTTTTCATTCAGGCTCCCCCAGGGCGTTGAAGACGAGTCTAGCCTGTGGGAACTCTTGGAGAGCAAGAGGAATGTTATGACAACATGGCCTGAGTCGAGGGCCAATATCGAGGCTTTCACTCAGTCAAACCCTCACCAGGAGAATGTGGTATGACTTCGTCCACTATCAAATCAGAATAAGTCATGGTTAACATATAGTTATAAGCTTAAAGCGAAAGGGGCACATTTCCTTCGGGAAGACGCCTCGGCGTTCGATGCTCCATTCTTTTCTCTTACCTCAAAGGAGGCTTCATCTATGGATCCTCAGCAGCGCTTACTGTTAGAAGCTACCTACGGAGCTTTAGAAAATGGTGGGCTTCCCCCCGCTAAGCAATGACTCCCTTACATTTGGCTTGTAACTTACAGTTGAGCAGCTGGAATTCCCCTCGAAAAGGCCGCGGGAACGCAAACGGGGGTATTCTCAGGGTCAATGGCGGATGATTACGCGAGGATCATCGCCAAAGACCCAGATGAAGCCCCTACCACAGCCGCCACAGGTGGCTCCCTGTCAATATTAGCTAACAGGCTAAGCTGGTTCTTTGACCTGAAAGGTCCCAGCGTTCAGGTTAACACTGCATGTTCTTCGAGCATGATTGCAGTAGACCTTGCTTGCCAGTCCCTCAGATCAGGGCAGAGTTCCATGGTACTTACTAACCAATGAATCAAACCGCTTGCAGGAAGTGCTAACTTACCATCAGGCGCTCGTAACCGGATCGAATGTTATCCTCAATCCTGAAATCTCTCTTTACTTATCGAATATGAATTTCTTATCTCCAGATAGCCTCTCTTATAGTTTTGACCACCGTGCAAACGGATACGGAAGAGGAGAAGGTGTTGCTGTAATAGTACTAAAGAACATTAGTGATGCCATTAGAGATGGAGATATGATTCGGGCAGTCATTCGAGCGACAGGATCCAACCAAGACGGATATACCCCGGGGCTCACGCAACCAAGCGCCTCCTCCCAGGAAGATCTCATTCGATCAGTGTACAAAAGTTGTAATCTTAGCTTCGAATCAACGCGGTATGTGGAGGCTCATGGTAAGTTTCTCTCTATCATTTTGTATGGCAATTCCAGCCTAAACGAAAACCAATAGGAACCGGCACACAGATCGGAGACTCGACCGAGGCAAAAGCTATCTCCCGAATATTCAGGAGTAGTCGTTCCAGAAAAGAACCCCTATATCTGTAAGAATCCCGACCTCACTCCTCTTTAATTCTCTAACGACTTTCTTAGTGGCTCTATTAAAGCGAATATAGGCCATTTAGAAGGTGCAAGTGGTCTCGCCAGTATCGTTAAGTGTGTCATGATGTTGGAAAAGGGTGTCATAGCCCCAAACCCCCTATTCGAAAAGTGGAACCCCAAAATCAACGCCAAGGCGAACCATCTCGAGGTATGTAACCTAGGTACGAATTTTCGTTGTGCTTATGTCTCATATTAACCATTTAGGTCGCGACAACGTGCGTTCTGTGGCCATCCAAGGGTCTCCGGCGGATTTCCGTGAACTCGTTCGGCTTTGGTGGATCTAATGGTCACATTATCTTAGACGACGCGTATCACACGCTCCAGGCACTAGGTCAACGCGGAAATCATCGGACGTTTGTTCAAGAGTCGCTTGTGATTGAGGAGCCCATTAAAGTAAATGGACACAAGGTGAATGGCCACAGTAATGGAAACGGTACTAATGGCACTTCGGTCAACGGCGCAACACCGAATGGAAAGCCGACAGTTAATGGACACGCCCACGTGGAAACTCCCGAGTCACCATCAAAGTACGAACTATTAGTCTGGTCGTCAAAGGATGAGGGAACCCTCAAACGGGTATACGAGCAGTATACCCGGTATTTCGAGGAGAACGTATTCGGATCTCGAGATCGGTTGAGTCGACTCGGATACACACTAGCTGCGCGACGGAGTTTGATGGCATGGAGAACCTTTGCTATTGTCGATGCCGAAGAAACGGATTCGAAAGCCAGCTTTTTATCTTCGCCTTACGTTCGCTCGAGCCAAGACACAGGGCTGGCTTTCGTGTTCACTGGCCAAGGTGCACAATATGTGAAGATGGGATTGGACCTCCTTCACTATCCCGTCTTCCGTTCTACTATGCTCAAAGCGTCCGAGATCTTTTATGATCTGGGAGCTACTTGGTCCTTATTTGGTAAGGAATCTCTGCATTTCTTATGCTTCTGTGGGTGCACAGATAGCTGACAATAACTTCAAATAGACGAACTTTACGATGGTAAGAGGATCAACGATCCTGATCTTAGTCAGCCACTCTGTACTGCATTGCAGGTATCCCTAGTTGAGCTACTTAGAAGCTTCGGGATTATACCGGCGGCAGTGATCGGACATTCTTCCGGCGAAATCGCAGCTGCTTATACAGTTGGCGCGCTCTCCCTGGAAGCAGCATGCAAGGTTGCATATCACAGGGGTAGACTCGCTAGACGATTGGTTTTATCGACGCCAATTCGAGGCGCGATGATGTCTGTAAACCTCTCAGAAGATAAAGCCAATTCCTATTTAGAGAAGGTAGGCGTTCTTGACATTCACGTCGCTTGCATCAACAGTCCGTTCAATGTCACCCTTTCTGGGCCGGAAGCTTCTATCGATCAGCTTCAGGAGCACTTAGAAAAAGAAGATATTTTCGCCAAGAAGGTTAACACGGGTGTCGCGTATCACTCTCCCGCTATGCAGGAAATCGCTTCTGAATACCTCTCATGTCTGGGGCGCCTTGAGCAGCGGAAAACCGATAGCGATAACATCGCAATGATCTCCTCTGTCACTGGCGAGACGATATCACTGAATAAGCTGCTAGACAACCAATACTGGGTCGATAATCTGATTTCCTCGGTCCGTTTCGTTGATTCACTACGCTATCTAGTGCTCGTGGCTCCCAAAATAGACGGACTAAAGAAAATATCGAATTTCCTCGAAGTTGGTCCGCACGGGGCACTCCGACGGCCCATCGGCGATACCCTTGCCCAGATTACCGATAAAAAGACGTTTGAGTATACTTCGGTATTATCTAAATTCGAGTCGCCTTTGAAGACTGTCCTAGAGGCAGCAGGGCGATTGTTCGTCCGCGGCTACCCAGTATCCATCACCGCAGTAAATGGTCAGGAGTCAAAGAATCAGCCCTTCTTAGTGGATCTTCCAGTATATCCATTTGACCATTCGCGTACATATATGCACGAAACACGCATAAGCAAGGAATGGCGCCTGCGAGAGCCGTCTCCAAGGAACGTGCTCGGAGTACGTGCAATGGATTGGAATCCGCTCGAACCGCGCTGGCGTAAAATGCTAAGCATCGAGGAGACCCCCTGGATTGGCGACCATATCGTTGGCGATGTCGCGTTTTTCCCGGCCACGGGGTCTTTGATGATGGCGGTAGAAGCTGTAAAACAGATGGCCCATACGCACCGAACTATAACGGGATTCCTACTCAAAGAAGCTGTTTTCATGAGTCCGATTATCGTCCGCCCGGAGGCTAAAACAGAAGTGGTTACGCATCTAAGGCCTTTACAGAACGTGTACGAGAAATCGTCTTTCCGTTCCGAAGTCCGCATTTTCGCACTAGCAGATGGTTACTGGAGTGAGTGCTTAAACGCTACTATCCACATCGAATATCAGGATGCTCCTGCGGAAGTTGATGGTGGCCACGAAATTCGTGCTTCGGCGGAGGCTTCTCTCCAGGGCTATGAGCAAGCGAAAGACGCGTGTGCTAAGTCCATTGCTAAAGATGACTTTTATAAATGGCACCATGAGCAAGGTATCAAGTACGGCCCAGCCTTCGCGCGAGCAGAAGACATCTTTTGGGATGGTAGTGAACTCAGTGTAGGTCGCATCGATGTAGCGACCGCCGACTCGTTCGAGGGGATTGCTCATCCAGCCATACTTGACGCATCGTGTCAAGTGTGTTTCGTCGCCCCCTCCGGCGGTATGTCGAAGTCATTACCGACAATCGTGCCCCACAGGATGCAAGATCTCTGGATATCGGCGACGGGATGGCAGTACCCGCAGACAAGCCAGGTCCGAGTATTTGCGACATCAAAGCCGAAGACCTTGGTTCCTGGTGTAGATTGCGCATTCACAATTCTAGGGGATGATGGTTCCACATTGTCGCATTGCAAGCGCCTTGAGATGTTACCGATCGTTGGAAATGAGACGACTAGTAAAAATAAGAATGATCTATTTCACGGGATCGACTGGAAGCCCCAACTATCCTTGCTTACTCCAAGCCAACTGCAGAGTTACTGTAACGCAAATACCTCAGCTTCGAAGGAGAGCGATGAGATTTCATGGGTTAATGATTGGAATAAGTTACAACAAGCTCTCCGTGCTGCTGCACGTCTTACTATTCCCCAGTTGCAGGAGACAGACTGGTCGAAAACGCCCTCGTACATGAAGGAGTATGTCTCTTGGTTGGAACGAGAGACACAAGATACAGCAGACCCTGAAACCAATGAAGACCTTCCGGTAGAATTTGAGGATCTTTTGAAGACGAGACCCTCATGGAGCAGTTTCATTGAAATTGCCCAAAATCTTGTTCCCATTGTGCGAGGAGAGGTCAGTGCTGAAGCGCTCACCCATGGATTATTCGACGGAATCGCCCGGCCCCTTGAAAAAAACGAGTTCGCTTCCTTCGTGGAGCTCTTGGCACACCAAACCCCAGATCAAAAGATTCTTGAGGTCGGGTCTAGTAGGGGAGCCGTGACTAGTCGTGTACTTTCAACGCTTTGGCAAATCGAGGAGCGTAACGGTGGTATCGCATTCTCCGAGTATGTCTATACCGATATCTCGACTACCCAGTTCGACCAATTACGGGACCAATTCGCCAAAAATGAGGAAAGATTTTCTTCTAAGTCTCTAGACCTAGAACAAGATGTCACCGCGCAAGGATTTGAGGCCGGCACGTACGATACTATCTTCGCCGGCGGTGTTCTACGTACTGCCAAGAACGTAACCGGCACCCTTCGCAACCTCCGACGCCTCTTGAAGTCTGGCGGTCACATCATACTAAATGATATTACAGTCCCTAACATCTTCGCGGTGGGTTTTGGCTTCGGGGTCCTGCCCGGTCAAAATCTGTCTCGCCTAGCCATTACCGAGTCCGAATGGGAGACTGCCCTCCAAGAAAGCGGATTTTCGGGTAATGATTTAGTCATTAGGGATTCGACGAATGATGCAGCACATCTTAGCAGCGTGATCGTCGCGTCAGCTAAAGATGATTCAAGCCGTTTAGCAGAGGGTTCCGAAATTGTTGTCGTTATTGATGACCAAGACAAATATCAACGAGACCTGGCGTTATCCTTTGAGAGCAACATTGTCAATTCTTCGGAAAACCGCCCGAAAGTTATCTCGCTCTCGCAAATCGGTATTGCGGAAGTGCGCCCGACCGATTATGTCGTCTTCCTTGCGGACTTGAATGGATCAGTTTTGTCTCAGACGCCAGAGACCACCTTCAGGAATATTCAAAAATTGATCCAACACTCTAGCAATTTGATCTGGGTAACAGCAGTACAGTCCGGATTAGGTGGCGTTGAGTCGTACTCTGGATTGAAAGACGGGTTCTTACGCACACTTCGTGCAGAATTTACTAACAAACGCATTGTTTCCCTCTCAATAGAAGGCAAAGACGCAGAAGAACCACTCATTATCGTAAACCATGTTACCAAGATCCTCAACACAGTGTTCGGCGCAGCCTCGCCGCCCGAAGTTGAATATGTGGTGAGAGATGGTCTACCATTAACTGGTCGATTAGTCGAAGACAACGCTCTGAATGAAGAACTCAGCTCCTCCACCAGCGCACGGCCGCGGACTGGCCCGTGGCTGCCTGGTCCACCACTCAAATTAGAGACAGCAGGTCCGGGATCGCTTGAGACACTACGATTCGTCGAAGACGGTGATTTTTACGCCGATCTTGGCCCGACGGAGGTAGAGATCGAAGCCAAGGCTTGGGGGGTCGCCTTCCGAGACATGTTTATTGCCTTGGGGCGGCTGGAGGAAGACGATTTCGGTGCCGACTGCGCTGGTGTGGTGACACGAGTAGGATCACAGTGTCAGACCGTGCGCCCGGGAGACCGTGTATGCATGTTTTCAGCCGGCTGTATGCGCATGTGGCCGCGTTCAAACGAAGATGGTGTTGTCAAGATTCCCGACGCGATTTCTTTCAATGAGGCTTGTGGGGTGATTAGTCCTGCGATCACAGCTTGGTATTCGTTAGTCGAGGTAGCCAGGCTACAGAAGGGGGAGAAAATACTTATCCATTCGGCATCAGGTGCGACAGGGCAGCTCGCGGTCCAAGTTGCACAACTTGTTGGCGCTGAGGTGTTCGCCACGGTCGGATATAACCATAAAAAGCAACTTCTCATCGACAGCTATGGAATTCCTGACGACCACATTCTGTATAGCAGAGATCCAAGTTTCGCCAAGGGGATCAAACGTCTCACAAATGGCTACGGCGTGGATGTAGTACTCAATTCTCTAATAGGCGAAAGCCTACGTGCATCGTGGGAGTGCGTCGCGCCGTACGGGCGATTCATCGAGATCGGAAAGGCGGATATCAAAGCGAACTCTTCATTACCGATGGCATGCTTCGCCAAGAATGTGTCTTTCTCGGGAGTTGATCTCCACCACATCCTGGTCCACCGAAATGACATCGGGAAGAAGCTCTTGCTCAAGGCCATGGAATTGGCTGAACAAGGCAGCATTCACTCACCGACGCCATTACATGTGTATAAAGTTTCGGAAGTTAGCGAGGCGTTCAGATCATTTCAGAGCGGGAAGAATAGCGGACGAGTAATTGTCCAGATTGATCGTTCGACTAAAGTACAGGTACGTAAATACTATCCTAGCGCCGACTTTTAATTAACCTATGGTAGAAGTACCTCACTCATCGCAGGACGTGGAGCTTCGATAGCGACTCTACGTACCTTGTCGCCGGTGGTCTAGGTGGTATCGGGCGATCAATTCTGAAGTGGATGGCCAAGAAAGGTGTTAAGCACCTCATGGTTCCTTCGAGATCAGGGGTTACAACAAAGGCGGCCATTGACACAGTCGATGAATTAACACAACAGGACGTGAACATTGTGACACCGAAATGCGACGTATCTTCACCGACCTCGCTCAAGCAGGCCCTTGAAGAGCACAACAAGACTATGCCTCCCATTCGCGGATGTATTAATGCTACCATGGTCTTAAACGTAAGTCGACTATCGCGCACAATATCAACAGCTAGATTCTTCTGACACTTTCTAGGATTCGATATTCGATAATTTGACGCATACGCAGTGGGAACAGACTGTTCGCTCTAAGGTCCACACCTCCTTGAGCCTACATGCCGCTCTGCCAGAAAACCTTGACTTCTTCATCCTCCTGTCTTCAGTTTCGGGTATCCTAGGAAACCCCGGTCAATCGAACTACGCGGCAGGCTGTACATTTCAAGACTCATTAGCTCGATATCGTAACTATAACGGCCAAAGAGCGATATCCATCGATCTTGGTGTAGTACGGGCGGTCGGCGTTGTTTCCGAAAACGAATTGCTCCAGAAGAAATTCGCAGGGTTGAAAGACTTCGCCCAAATTGGAGAGGATGAGATATTGGGGTGTCTTGATGTCTGCTGTGACCCAGAGCAACAACAGTTCTTTTCGAGTGACCCGAAGCGAAGCCACATTGTCATGGGAATTGCTACACCTGCGAAACTTATCACTCACGGGTTTGAGCCAGCGGAGTTTGTCCAGCGCCCTCTTTTTGCGCGATTCAGCCGGCCTGTCGGTATGTCCCAGAACTCGGGTTCATCGGACAATGTCAATTATGCCGCCTTGTTTCGGCAATCGGAATCTGCCGAAGAACGAGCTTCCATCGTCGTGAAGGCCCTCGCAAGGAAACTGGCACGGGCGTTATCAATTCAACCCGAGGACATTGATGCAGAGGCAGACCAACCACTCCATGCATTCGGAGTGGACTCACTTGTTGCTGTTGAGCTAAGGAACTGGGTCGCTAAGGAGTTTGCAGCAGATGTAGCCGTTTTCGAACTGATGGGAGGGAGATCTATTACAGCTGTCGGGGAGCTAGTGACTAAGGCGAGTCAGATTCAAGTGAAGAAGGCTGACTGATACCGGATCACATATAAGGAGCGTAGGCGGCCAGTTTCTAGTTCTAGATATAGATTTTAAATATACTCTCATATCGTTGTTTTAGACTATGTAAACCCGTATATATAACAGCTTTTTTTTTCTAGGTACCCGGGTACCCAATACTATACTACCACAAAAGGGGTAGACGCACATGAAACAGTCCACGTATATGCCTGAATGATGTTGTCCATACAACCGCAAAGCCCGAAAAGCTCAAAATATCGACCCTTATTCCCCTATATCTGGATACCTACTTGGGTACTCATCTTACATGAGTTCCCAGGGCTTCCAAACCTTCGGGCCAGGTATGGTATAATTCTAAACCTCAAATTAGCGACCACGGAATGGTAAAGAGCGAGGGCAAATTCCTACATAGATGCTGTGTCCAATCTTAGGGTTGTACAGCTCGCCCGCGACTTTTAGACCAGGGTCATCAGGACTATACGCTCCAGGGAATGAGACAAGGTAGTCGTCAGAAGGGAAGTCTTTGCCATCTCCAGTGACCTCGAGCTGAGCACACTCGGGGTAAAACTGCATACTCGCCTCAAGGTTTATAACCTCGTGTCGGATTAAGTAGTACCCAGGCTTCAAGGTCGCAGGAATGGTGGCGTTGAAGCTTGCGTAACCGCCTTCGATCGCGTAGTCCTGCCACCATCGATCCTTGGCCGAGATAGGCATATCTGTGCCGTAATGATAGCTGTACGGCCAACCTTTAGGTTCATACCCTGCCTCCCAGATCTTGAACCAGCGTTTCCCAGTGCCGTCCCATTGATCGCACTATCGGTCATTAGCCCCAATAAGAAGCATCAGACCATTAGGTCGGCGAAAACGAACTTACCGGACCTTGACAGTCTGCCATGTAAACCAGCATGGGCCCCTGGCTATGTACCCACTGATACTCCGGGCCGGAACATTTCATGGGGTTAGGCTCCTCCCCATAGTCCGGCACTGATGGCTCTGTCGGGAACGGAACGGGCGGCGAAGTAGGGCAGGGTGGTGGGTTATAAAATCCTACTACCTGTTGCGCAGCTTGTACGCGGGCATGTAGTTTTGGGAAAGAAGTAGCAAGAGGATTGCCCCGATTGCAAGCAAGATAGGGGTGGTCTGTCCGATAGATCGGGTCGGGCCACCAGCGGCGCTGGATCGACTCCTGGCCGTCTTCTGGGAGCCAGGGGTAGTGCCTAGTTGAGTATTTCTTTAGTGGGAAGGGCTTAGACGAGTGTGGAGTGGCTAGCGTACCCTACGTAATGTTCATGAGCAATGGTGTAGTTGTATATACCTCCATGGCCGTGGACCTGGGTAACGGCCACTGCGCCAAGGATAAGCGAAAGTGACTTCATCACGACAAAACAATTCTGTTGAAATATGCAACAAGGAGGCGGGTGCCTAGTTGGTGAGTATCTCATCAAGACGGATAATTTCCCTCGATATATATATTGACTTCGAACCCATTCACCCAACTATGGGCCCGTATACTTGCTTGGTATGATACCCTAGGTAGGTAGATATTTTCATCTACCGGAAATCATAGTCTCGATAGAACCGACCCCCTATCCAAGGATACATGATGCAGATACGGGATGCATGCACACAGCAAGATCCCGTTGTAGTATTCTGACTTGCATATGTGTGTCAAAGCCTAATTCTAGCGGGGTCTATAGTGAACCAATACAGCACAAAAAGGGATAGTTTGGATTACATTCTATAGACGGCTAAATTAAAAAACTGTGTTTTATGTTGCCATACCTTCCCACGCCTTGGTCTAAGTATAGGCTATTCAAGTCAACACGAAGAGTCTGAAATGGTAAGTAGCCGATGGAAGGGCTAGACTCAAAGGCTAGTATACTTGACCAAGGCCAAGATTATACCATGATTCGATCATGTATTCCAGTAAGTTCCGCCGGAATATTTTTTGTGTGAATTTATGACCATTGAACCCGTCGGCTAAGTTCTGATAACTCAAAGAAAAAGGAGTGGCGTCCTTTGTGTTACGCCGGATAGATCCGAAAGCTCCACCATCCCCGACTAGCTACCGGAACTATACCGATGAGGCCATCGGGGTGGGTTTCCAAAAAAGCCCGAGTTTCTTGTATTCTAATAATGACACAGGAATCGGAAGATTATCTACTTTAACCTAGATCCCGCAGCGTCAATAAGATAGCAATGTTCGAGACCGACGTCCATTACTCTTTCGGAGTCGTGTTCACGACTTCCCCATTCTCTATATACACGGTTTCCCAGCCAAGCTTCAATTGTCCCCTGGACGTATCAATCCACCCCACTTCTGTGTCGCGACCTTTGGCCTGGTAGTCCGGGTCATTTAGGATCGCCTTCATTTCATCAAAACTGCGCACGTAATAAGTGAGCGTCAGGTTCGCTTCATTCATCTTCCAGCCAGGGCGCAGTTGCTCGAGTACCGGTCCGAACTCTCCGGCGAAAGTTGTGGGCGTGATGGTCTGAGCTTGGTATGAGCCCCAGTTCGTTATGGATATCATTATCTAGGGGGAATACATACGGATGTGTAGCGAATCACATCGTGCTTCTTTATAAGTGCGACCCACTTGGGAGTCAAGTCTTCATTGATGTATTTCTCAAATGCATCGTCGGATACTGAATCGAGCTTATAATGGAAGGCTTCGACCTTGAGTAACTGCTTTGTAGCCATGGTAGGATAGAGCTTAAAGGTAGTTAAAGACTTGAAAACCACACTCAAAGTGTATTAATAGACTAAGAAGCTCTTCCTATGTATCCTCTAATTTTTAAGTACGGAATATTTTAGGACTGGCTTAATAGTCTTATAAGTAGTTACGAAGTGGATTGTCTTGGGCTTACATTTTGAGCGGGGTCTGGTGGAGGGGAAGATGGTAAGTCGTCCATCGGTCGGTGTCCGGAGGCTGCTCGCGTACGGCACAGGGCCAATACCAGCGAAGTTGGTTGTCTAATCCCTGAAGCATACGTCCGTCAACCCTACGACACCACACATACATTATATTCTGCACCCAAGTCTATATTCTAGTGTTTTGATCGATTTATGTTAGCCTTTCACTTCTACCCCTGTTCGCCGACTCTTGCTCTTGCTCAAGCTTCGATAAGATGGCACTCTTATATCTTACTCCTCTTATATCCTCAACCTGCTCCCTCTATTTCGCATGGGATCAATATTTATTCTTACGCATATTCCTAAAAAAGGACATAGTGATTTACGCAAACCGCCTCCAAGCCTCCTATTGGAAGACTTTCTTCCCAGAAGGAGCCGTCGCCGTGGTAGGGCTTATTGGTGTCACGTCAGGGGCATCATTCACACTCTTAAGAACCTCGGCATCTCTTCTACGTGATAAGGGTTCTTTTTACTGGTACCTAGCTGGCGGAGCCCTTGCTCTAAGCCATCTTCTTTGGGCGCCCCCTACTTTGCCTCTCATCAGCACTCTCCAAGACGAAAAGAAGGACCCCGAAAACGCGCCCAGCGCGCTTAGGAGCTGGTTAACTCTCCATGTTGCTCGCGCTATCATTTCCGATGCACCGTGCTTCGTCAGCTGCCTTGTTGCGGCTGTCAAGACTCTATCCCCTTAAGAGTTGCACTACAAGCCGATCACTTTTAAGGGCGGAGTCATTAGGATTGGTCTTGTATAAGTTCACCGAGGCAATTGAATTAGGCTTAAGGAGTTAGAGTGGAATTTTCATTTAAATCATAACAATTGTGAATACTTATACTCTAAAATATAGCCCTTAATCATCATCGACCGCATTTATGGTATACTGTACCCCGACCGACTTAGTTCTCTCGATGAAATCAGGACCTAAAATGGCCGGCGTGAGACATCCGCCAGTGATATTACCCCCTAGCTTCCTAGAATATAGTAACGACGCAGCTGCTTGAGCCATGTTTAGCCCCGCAAGAGGGTAGTGTCCACCCGGATATAAATAGCTAACCCTCACACTCTTAGTAGACTCGGCTCCTGAGATCCCTGGGTCGGCCTTGGCAAATACCTCCAAAGACACTTGTGCCGACTCTGCGACTTTCGCACTAGGACCGCTGCCCGCAGCAGGGGCTATGGAGAACAGGTAGTTCCTAATGGGACCGATTCTTGCCAAGCTGAGGAGAAAAGACAATATGTAAGATTGTAGGATCATAAGGATTCCCCCAAGTACCGACGGGGCTTTTGCGTATTCATTATACTCAAAGTTGGGTCCATAACTCTTCTCTGTTCCCTCGAGTAGACCCCAGGTTCTATATATGATGGCACGATCTTGATCTGCCGTCGGGAAGGTAGCAGCAAGCAGTCCAAGCTGCGGGTGTCGACGCATGCCCCAGAATGGGGATGGCTCCCCGGGGTGTTCGATCGGACTTAGTGCCGATGGGCTCTGCACTTGCTTGATAACCTTGGGGCTTAGTGATGCATGTGGAAGAATCGTTCGAATAGTACCACCGCTCATATTGGTCCTGTAGTGCCATGAATTAGCAATTAGATACAGATGTCGCCGCGGAAGAATTCCGAACTTACTCAAATCCATCCATGCGTAGTACAACATCCCCTGTCTTTAGAGACCATCGTGATTGGATCTCCTGTACGGCGAGCCAACATACAAGATCTAAGGGTGTGATCATGTCACCACAAGCATGAATGAGCTTAGTGACTATTAGTTGATAGAATGTACGTTGTGACAGCCTAATAACCTACCGCAACGCCGCTGTCTTGGGCTTGTTTGTGGAACTTTCTAGTCCAAGTATAAAGGAGGGATGACATAACAGAACTTAGAAAACCATGTTAAACATTTTATCCAGTTGCCTAACGTGCTAGGTGGCTCAGCACCTAAATTTGTTACTTACCAATCTATATAGTCTGTACCGCTCTCTATGCAGGCTCGGATAACCTGCTCGCCCGCTGCGGTGTAGTATACGGCACTGATACACACCTTTGCTTGCTCGACGACAGAGCCAAGCTTATCAGTGTTGTTAACATTAATCACCTCGATATCTAATACGAGAAATGTCAGCCAAAATCATACCCCGCTCTGGAGGCCGACCTGTCTTACGCGGTTGAGTCCTATCTGAGTATTCTTCCTTAAGCTTCGCCGCCAAGCTCTCGAGCTTTGACCTCGATGTACTCGAGATTGCCCATCTTAGATTCGTTGGCAAATGCGCCGCGATATGTTGAGCGGTTAGCGTCCCGGTGTAGCCCGAAGCTCCTAAGATCAGGATATCGTACTTCCGCGATGATTTCTTAAGTACCATTTTTTTCTTGCACACACAATCACCAAATAGCTACGGAATAAAACAGGCCTTTATTTGTGAATATATGTCTTTAATTGATTATGTCCCTTGCTAGGCAACAACGCTTGTATTATTAATTAGGCTTACAGGAAACAATAATCTAGAGCTCGTCCGAGATGGCGGACGAAATTGCTCGGCGCAGTAAGCCCGTGAGTCATCCGGCTCCATATTACAAATATGAAGCCTTCAACAACAGCGATAGGTTGTTAACCATATTTTTCATGAAATTTCCGTAGTTCCTCATTTATTTTCTTCTCTTCGGCCGCTCTCTCACGAATGAATTTAGCATCGTTAGCTTTCCGGGTTACAGCGTTGCGCTCGTTTGTCATCCGGATGAAGTTGCGTAGCTTAGGTGCGGGGCGAACGAGAGGACCCCCGACCACAAACCAACAGAACCAAGGTATAGGCGCGTTGAGATCTACTTTGGGATTTGGGGCTCGTGAGTCCGGGGTTGTTGGATTAACGTTGTAGGGGATTGAAGTATATGGTGTCGGGTTCTGGGGACTCGCAGTTCCTGGTCCGGGATTACTGGGTTGAGAATTGGCCGACTGCGGGTCCTCGGGTAGTCCACCTGAGGCATCGTTGCCAGTAGTTCCGGGGCCGGTGTTTTGGATAGTTTTGGGAGTCGGCATGGCTATTAGTTGTCGGAAGTTTTGCTGCGGTGATAGGTTATTGCTCGCTGAATGAGAGACACTTGGTGCTTACGTGTCGTAGCTATAAGCGAAAGACTTGGAGAGAGGGTATGAGTCTAACTCGTGGTGATTTAAATGCAAGAGCCTTGGGTATCATACTGATTTCTATTTCGTGGAACGACCAACCGCAGTGTACTGTTATCCACCTATGCACATAGTCGAGCAAGGAATAATACCGTACACGGAAGACAGAGAGGCGAGTTGCCACGCTTGAATGGTTTAAATTGAATTCGCTGTCATCCCCAGCACTTCTTGTTGCACAAGAACTGTCGCTAGTTTCATTATGGAGTCATTGATTCTAAGTGGTTCCAAAGAGTCATTACCTAGGTAACACACTCCATGGGGGTTACCTAATTGTGTACTTTGATCTTTGGATATGGAATATGATCTAGCTTTCCGTTTACGTGGGCCTGTGCTTAGATTAAGCTGTACTGCAGTACGAGTATGGACTGTTGACTAGGAATCTCATCTCGTCCCCCCCTTTTTTTGGTTGCACGGACCCACCTTTTAAAGGGGCGTGTCAATTACAACACATCGCGACTCAAAGACACGGTAGTCATATCCTAACAACTCGTACACCAAATGCATTTACGTAATGAACCGCAGTGATTATTTTGTATAAATGCGATAGGATTTTCTATATCATCAATTCATCTCGCCCTGTCCTAGAACCCCACACCACATTGTCGTTTGGGATCTCGGTATACGCCCACTCTATATGCCGGATGGTCTATGTCTAGGTGCCCTCCTACTTGCTGCATGCGTTTGAATACCTGGGATGTAGGGTAAAGCAGCGGCCTCTTTATCCTCTCCCTCATCTCCGCCGCTGAGACCCCAATCCGGATCATCCCCATACCTAAACTCAAACCGAGGATGTACCCGCGGATGTCCCATGAGCCCCGGACGGTCAACAGCTTCATCAAAGCGCGGCGCCGTATGCCGCCGATCTAAACTCGGCCTCGGTCGTCTCGGCGGCCTTTCATCTTCACCCGCATCGCTACTTCCACTAGCATTCCCATCACTATCCTCATTCTTATCCACTTCCTGCCCCGACTCCCCCGAAAAAACGGACCAAACATCGCCTATACTTGTCAGCTCGTCCCAACTATCGCCCAAATCATCACCATCCGCCTTCTGGCTGTCTCCTGGTTCTTTAGAGGCACTTTCCCCGCCAATCCGCACACCAGCTCCTTCCTCCTCCGGAGTACTCCGATCCCTAGGCGCCCCATGCACCGGCCGTGGTATACTATCCGCGATATCCTGCAGATCCATAACCAAAAACCGTCGCGCAGAATCATCCAGCGAAGACCTTCGTCGGAAAAAGCGGCGGTAAGATCCTCCCAATGAGGGAAGACGGGAGATACCGAAAGTAGGTAAAAAACCGCTGTAAGAGAGCCCGGGCGAACTAGTTGCTGATATCTGGGGCTCTCGCGTCGGTGAACCGATTGACGATGACTCTGTGTTGTTCTGGAAGAAGTGCCAACGAGGTCGTCTCGGTTGTGGAGCTTCCAAGAAATCGCCCATGGGGTTACATGGCGCGCAAGATACTAGGACGGCGTCGTTGTCGTCGCTCGGGATATCGGTCATTACGGGGTTGTTTTAGGAGGGAGATCGTTGTAACTCGAGATTGGAATTCCTTTTCTGGCGGAGAATAAAAAATAAATCGGGAAAGAACCGTTGAGCACGCAAGTATATATAAAAGGCGAGAGTGGCCGGGATAGAACCCACACAAGAAATCTAAGCTGGACAGCTGTATCCAACATGATTTACAGGTGTCCCTCTGTAGCTAGAGTAACTTGACGCTATGTATGGTGACTCTCGCCGTGACAACTCATCGAATTTTACTGACGCATCGCTTCGTCCGACCCGTCTTCCCCTTCAATCCTCGGCGTACGAATTCACTTTTTAATCCAGTCAGTGATCGCCTCACCAACTACCCCCTCTCACGCAAAATCCCTGAGCGAGTTTCTCCCAATGCACGAGATGACCTCTCCGATGGCGTACCCAAGCAGCGTACATAATCCAACTAATTACTACCGTTATGAGGCTTGCGAGAGCTAACCATCGGTATTGATCCGTGCGGGGGAAGGCGATAGCGGCACCGGCGCCGAGTAACTCAAATACGTTAACGACGGAGGCTTCCGTACCGGCGAAGCTAGAGCGCTGATGCGCCGGGACTAGGGTCTGCGTTAGTTGCTGAGTCGTTAGGTCGAAGACCCACACCCCGAGCCGGGAGCAGGCAAGGAAGGAGAAAAGGACAACACTCCACCCTATATTAGGTGAAGCTTGTTCGCCGATTATTCTTCGAGAGACGGCAGTTAGGAACTCCGTTTCGTCCCGCTGCGCCGAGATAGCCCACAGCGCTAAGACGACCGGGAACTATGCATTTCATTAGCATTAAGTGTGACAACTTGTTAGACATATATGAAATTGTATCCGCCTACCGTATTAATGACCTGCCAACTCATACCCCAAAGTCCGAATCGTTGCAACCCGATGAGCGTCTGCACATCCCGGTTCCCTTCTTGATTACCGGCGATTAAACCCACTCCCGCCTCATCGGGTTCCTCCGCCGCCGAAGAATGATGATGCGCCTTCCCCATGTACTCAATACCCCGAGGCGTAATAACCGTACTACTAATCTCAAACACAGACCCAATAGCCCTAGCAATCGTAATAGTATTAAGCGAGTAACCGATATTAATCAAGTAAGTAATAAAAGTTGCCCTCCAAGTCAACATATTAAAATGCAGCAGCGCCAGTGCGGCCGACGGTATCCACACGGAGGTACTAAAGTACATCTCGAAGCCATGGAAATACTGCCGCGTTTTCGCAACCCACGACCTCGGAGTTCCATGCGCCGCCGAAGTAGGATTTGGCGGAGGCGCCGCTCGGCGTGCTTGCAGTAAGGGACTGCTATTCCATACCCGCTTCGCGGAGAATATCTCAATAGGTATGCTGATGAGACTTGTCATACCCGTAAAAACGACGCCAAGGCGGATAGATCCGAGGGCCGAAATCACGGCCGCGATGAGAATCGGCGAAATCAGTTTACACACAAGATCAATGCGACGCATAACGGCGTTAAGATGCGTTAAATCATACGGGTTTCCTGCCGGTGCTGCTACGGTGACGACCCAGTCTCGCTCCATAGAGATGAGGTTTCCGGAGGCACTTAGACGCTCAATAATGCCGAACGTAACAGCGACGGCGAATCCCAGGCCCTTGAGTGCAGCGTTCGTAGGTAGGATGAAGGCGGCCTCACTACCTACCAAGTCCTCTTGGCTTAGGATTAGGATCCAAAAGAAAGATCCGAAAATGACAGATCCGCGGTTACACAGGATGGTTGAAAGTAGAGTCCGCAGCCGGTTGGGTGACCGCTCAACCCACTGTCCGACGGAGCTCGAAAAAAGGATCATGGCGAAGTATACGATAATCATGCTGCAAATCTGTATCAATAACCACTTCTATATCAACTCGGCATGGGGAGTTGAGCTTACCGGAGCGCTGCCGCTGTGAGCGTATCGGGATATGCAGCCGCCGTAAAGAGGATCTTGATCGGAAGTGAGCCGAAATGAACTTTTTTTTTCGGATTTCTTCATACAAGACCTACAGCAGCGAACTCATAACCACGAGCGTTCCATGTTGAAAACGCATGGCTAACGTAAAGATTCAAAGCCTGCGATCGAGTAAGTCCTCTCGGAGGGGCATCGCTATCATCTTGGAGGTTGCGATCGTTCGGCACTTCGAAGCTTTCTTCACTGTCGCTATCCATAATGAAGGATAGGTTGGTTATAGTATTAGACTAGACTGAGCGGTGGACATAAATCCCGCTTCGTCTATACGACTAATTATCACATTCTATACTTTACAATTGAGTAGCTGCTTAGCTAGTTATATATAGTATAGGCTTATAAGTAATGGTCCAATAGGTGAGTCAGGCCGAATGTTTGAACTGAGTTATATCATTGGCGATTGCTATGATGTTATATTCTTAGTGGGGGATTTCTAAAGTATTAAACCGGGATGAGATCCGATCGTCGGAGTATTCACCGTAACTCCGTCGGATGTATCCGAAATACTTGCAGATTTCATTACTAATACGGTCCATCAAGGTGTAACAGAAAACAGTAGTTTTTCTTTATTGTAAAAAAGGTATCTCTCATTTATTCCCTCGCACATATTTGGGAATCTCTAGGTTTTTAAAATCATCTCGCAAAACGATAGCTATGATAGTTCCGAATCAACCCTTCTTCCCAAGCGCCATTAACCCGTATTCCTACCGACCCCCATGATGTGTTTCGCTAGTGTGATATCTCAATTCCCATCATATCCCATCGTCGTGGGAAACGTCCTCAATCAATAAGTCCCGTCCCATCACATCGTGACCTCTAAGTCATCAGCGAAACTCCTCCAGGGGTCCCATTCAAGTGTAAAATTAAGCGCAGCCATCAAGGTTCTCAGAAAATAATATGTAAAATGTTGGTCTCAGATCGTTTCCTTCTTAGTTGACGTCGATGCATCGTGTGGCTTTAAAATGCCATGACGAAATTGACTTATTGGACACGAATCTAGAAGTTTAGGGATCCCATTCGCTCTTCGACACCACCCCAGTAAACGATGGGTCGAGGTTCGAGAAGTTCCAGTTCAGGGCCAGAGCATCTCTTCTCCTCTTCCAGGTCGGCAATCGATGGCTGTCTGAATAGTACAGCGTTGATGGTGCTCACAGGCGACGAAGAAGTCGAACTACATGAGTGGTAGGAGCTTGTCGATGTGGTGGAGGCGGATGATGATCGACGGAAAGATGTGCGAATTCCACTAGGGGAGAAGCGCGATCGGATTGCCTGGAAACGGGAAGACATCTTGGTTTTTACTCTGGTTGACTAGCTGAAGGCTTTGTCGATGTTGAAGAGTATTCCGAGTGGAGCGGGATGAGATGAGTGGATGATTAAATGATTGCGCAAAAGAGGCTCAGCCCGTGAGTTGGAAGAATATAAAGAATGAATAAAAGACTCGAAGCTGGCTATGGTTATGAAAAAAGATAGGACGATCTATTCCAGCGAGTATTACGAATAGAACAAACAAGCTGCTGTACTTGTTAGGGGACTAAGTCCTTGGAAGAAGAGGTCGAAGTGGCGGACACTAAAGAAGAGTCTGAAGAGGAAAACATTTACAGGTAGTGTGTGACCCAGCTGGTTTTAAGTAGTATGAATCCTGAAATCGAAGGGCTGTGGAGTGAGATACGGGACAGTGCACGATGAAGAGGAATGCAGGGAGTCGATAAACATCAGATCCACTCTGTCATGGGGTTGAAAAAGAGCAGGGAGACATGACAAAGTGATGTTACTTCGTTAAAGCACACACATATTTCCTAAGCCTATACGTACTGTGCTCAGGGGCTCCATGAAGATCCAAGCTCGTGTTTAATGCGATAGGAAGTAAATGGTGGCTGCGCACTTGCGTGGCTATGATTAACAGGGGCAGCAGTAATGTATGTATCTACCTGGTATGGATATGAAATCTTCAATGTAGCAAGTAGTAGCACGATCTCGATAATATTGTCATATTTGGCAGTGATAGAGCAATGAGAAAACGATAGTGAGAATGTCTAGACGACGTAGGTAGTATCGAGATGCAAGCAGAATACCTACCTAGGTGTCTAGGTGTCTAGGTACAGTGCATTGTAGGGTTGTAGGGCAAAGTGAGAATGCAAATTTGCCCATCGTCAATGGGGATGAAACAAGCGACCTGTCTCCGTTACTTAGCTGGTTCTGGGCTCGCTTCGCATGATGATAGACTAACGTGTCTCGTAGCCCTGCCGACAGCAATGGAGTATCGCACCATCGTCGACCTCGCGGTTTGAACTAGGTAAAGTGGCTGTGGGGCTGTTGCACTCCTGAGGTTTCCAATAACCGAAACGGTAAAGACAACCTTTTTCGGGTGTATGATCGACAACCGGGATCAGGGGCTGCTGCAAATGAGTCGGTCGATGATTCAGGTCGTTTCACGACAGGCATGGGCACCATCAATCTATCAGAGACAACATTCATCATAGAAGTGAGTCTAGCTGACTAGGCAGGCCGAAAGAATGGGTTTCCAAGGAGAAATCCCGAAAGTGGAAGAATTCTGGAAAATTTCCAACGAAAAGCTCAATGTCTCACAATCTAAGGGTTACGGAGATTCAACAATGACGTATTAGGGAATATGCCACTGGCTTAAAGACATTATCGGAATTTGAAAGATGACTTTAAGATGTACTGTAGTCTGTATCAGATTATGCTAGGGGAGCAAGATCATAGATGACTGAAAATGATGTTCCAGTTCCAAGTTGTTGAAATTGGCAGGACAGGATAACATTAAGGAGCTCGGACCTGCATGTGAGATAACGTGCATACGGATATTACATAAGCTTATATTCCTTGGTAGTCTAGCTCTTTTCTTTTTCTTAGTAGCTTAGGTAATATCTGTTCAAGTTACACGAGACATTATCTAATAATGCCTTCACTTATTTTAATCCCTAGTCCCATCTATTACAGCTGGCTAAACACAGTTTAAGTCTGAATTGAAGCCACCTTGCTAAGAAAATAGAAGACTACATATGTATGGACTCGTCCAATATATTTACAATATATACACGTGGAAATTCTAGTCGATGTTACATAGCTCAAACATCTTCTATTACTAGGTAACAGCATATATTACCAATGAACCCTTGGCACCGCCGCACCATCGATTCGGAGGTCATCAAACACGATCGTCCAGGAACGCAAGTCTAGCCGCATATAACATATATGCATGTGGGTAGAGTCTCATGCCGTCGGAATATTTGAACCCCCACAGTTAAGTTGGTCTCGTTCTAGAGGCCAGTTTCAAACGAAAACATTTTTTTTCGGTCAGATTAGATAATGATGATTCTATCATTATAACAATAATTACGTAAGTATAAGAGCAGTTGGATTACCTAACAATCATATCGTTTCACAATCATAGGAAATTTGGATTAGCTAACCTGTATTTGACGATATCTTCTGTATGGGAGTTTCTCTATTCAGGTCTTGAGTATGTATAAATAGTGGTAAATGAATTTCAGCCTGGATACCATCTAGGCAATATTACCGCATTCACCTCGCGTATTATGGCAGCAGATTCTAAACTCCTGACAATTATAAAAGCCGACGTCTATGTAGGTACAATAGGTAGGTACAAAAGTGCTCTTGGTATCTTGGTCCATCTAATGCTCTAGGACATCAGCATCTAAAAAAGGAAACACCCGTCTCGCTGAGAGTACATGTAGCGATAAAAAGCAACAAACAAAATTCGCTGATGCATGGTATAGACGACGATCCTGCTGAATCAAAACTCCTTTAAATGCCGCAAACGCCTATTACCCTCATCCAAGTCGTTCCCCCATTTGTTCCGAACCCATTGTACAAGTCTCCTTGACTCTGAATCTATCGACATATGAAATGTCTTACAGATTCCTTAGGGGGACCCTGACCATGCTCCCCCCTTACCAATTCCCGCATTATTTCATTATGTGATGAATGTGACTCGCGTTGAGGTATATGACGGTCTTATCTGGGACCGCTCCAGTCGGAACGTCGTACTGATCTTCTGATTGTTGCACTGCGTCTGATGCTTTCAACCCAAACAGAGTCATCAAGCAACTCTCTAACCTGGGAGGGGCTTACTGAGCTACCGCGCCTGCTGTTTTCGCCAGAACCCGTTCCGGGTTCGGGCTGCAGTTCAAAGCTCATAGCCGAAGACTGTGACCGGTGCCCAGGCATTGACGGGCTCGCGCGTGGTAGACTTAAGGGATGTACTTGTGAAGAGTCATACGTTGATATATCAGTGCCGGAAGCCCAGCTCCTATGCTGTGGTCGTGCGGCGTCAGATACGGCGAGGAAGTTCGATGCCGTAGCACTATTTGGCGGAGCCGCCATTGTCGTGCGTTGTTGTACTGCTCGTTTGCGATCATCTTCGTCGTCCACAAAGATGTCGGGCACATCTAATTGAGGAATCGCTGTCATCCGTGCAGCTCGCTTCCTTTCCATGTGCTTCTTGAACTTCCGAGACCAGTAACTAAGCCTATGATTAGCGGGGAAAAATACGTGAGTCTGAGAAAAGATAACTTACACTGTGTCGAAGAAATTGACGACAACTCGACGGCGAACTTCCTCCTCGACTCGTTGCAGGCGCGCACGACGTCGTAAGAACTCCTCAAGCCTACAATATCGTTAGACAATAGTCAAATGGTTTTGGCAATGGTTTGACTTACTTTAAGCTTTTGCTGTCGTTAATGATCTTATAGTGCGCCATGATCAAAAGAACTGTCGTGAAAGCAATACCTTCGCCAGGAGTCGCGGATACCATTACCTCCTCATAAAAGATATTGAATCTGCGCCGGCGTTCTTGGACTTTTCGGACGTCAATTTGAGCGAGCCTCTGGTTCAGCTTTCGAATATCTACCCCACTAAGGTTGCTTGCTGTAGCGATCGATGAGTGCCTCATGGACCTCGTCTCATCATTCCGGACGTCATCTAGAATCTGATGGACAGAGTCTTCTATGTCGTAAATCCGCATTTCAAATATACCAGATAACTCTCCTAATAGCCTTGGGAAAGCTTCCTTACTGATATACCCCGTACCGGTGGGATCGACACTACGCCATGCCTCCTTGAATCTCCGGAGCTCATCTCGGTCAATCTGTGCCATTCCGCTCGAGCGTTGGTACACATAACTGAAACTCTCATAGATAAGAGAGATGAAAAGATTGACGAAGATATACATGCTGATGATGTTCCAGGCGATGAACAGGCATCTGGCCCAATTAGTGCTGCCGCAATCGCTGTTGAGGAATTCGGAATCATCAACGCAGAGCGGCGGTTCGATATTTGCGTAGTCTTCCATGATTTGGTTCCAACCTTCACCCACACTCATACGAAAAAGGAGAATGAGGGCATTTGGAACTGTCCTGAAGTTGATGTTGAAACTCTCATTTTCTCCAAAGCGAGTCAGACTGAAAGTTTGAGTCAATGCTATCGCAAAGACTAAGAAGAATACTAGCCACGTGGCAAGTAAGTTGACGATCGTTGTCAAACTTGCCGCCGCCGTCTTGAAAAGCTGGTCGAGTGCGTCATTTCTAGGAATGAGAAGCAAAACAATGCTGACGAGGAAGTACTTGTGTAGCTGGATGAACGTTTGATTCTCCGTCTTGCTGATAAGAAGAACAGAGGTCACGAAGGCGCCAAAGACAGATAATAGAGAGAAGACATCCCAAGAGCTTCTTCTAAACCGCTTCCAACCAAGACCGACAATTCGGATGACAACGTTTGCGATATAGATAAGTGTAAATAGTAAGAAGACGAGATCCCGAGAGAGAGACCATTGAGATGGTTCGGGATAGTATTCCAACATCAAGAGTATTAGATGTAGGACAAGTACCACCGTTATTCCCGTATACCATTTGCCTCGTTTCTCAATGGCTCGCTTGTGGCACCATTTCTTCCACTTATTTCTGGAGTCGTCGTAAGAGCTCCTGGACGGCGAGATCTGACGGAGCAGCTTTCTAAGCTCGACCCACGATCTCTGCTCCGCCGTCAGGAATGCGACACCCGTTTGTTCTGTGTAGTTTCGCATGAACACAGAGATGAATAGGGTCAACACGAAGACGGTACCGAGCAAATTGAATACTACGAAGAACATAGCATTGCCTTGCGTTGCCATTGGTTGGGGTTGGAGGTCGCGGCCGGTAATTGCTTGAGCAGCAAATGAAACATCAACCCAACCTTCTTGAGATACAATCTGGAAAAGGATGAAGAGGGACGAAGCAAAATCATCAAATTTGAAATACGGATTGTCTGCAACGCGTGGAGCCAGCAGCGGCCAGTTCGGGTTGGATGGAGAGCTTTCGTATTCACCGAAGCAGTCCGCTAGACGAGTAAGACTTCCATCATTGCATTCTAAAAGTTGCCCATGGAACAAATTCACGGCGTAAATAGCGAACGGAATCAACAAGGATAACGAGACTAGCGCAGCCTAGGATATCAAATTAGTAATTACTTCCAAATACATAGAAATTTGGGACGAAATCGACTCACACTAATGATCTTCCACCCAGCCACTATGATTAAGGAATGGAAGGTGTCTCTAGCGCTGTTGCTAATATTGAGCAGACGAAGAGCCCTGAGCGCCTTGAAAGCGCCAATCACTCTGGAAACGGCTCCATCCCTGGCAATAAGGGTAACTACATTGATCCATAGGGTGATGAGAACGACGCCGTCTATGATACCCCATGAACTTCTGTAGTATGCGTTTGGGGTGAAGAACAGGCCGTCAGCGATGATCTTGATGCCGGCTTCGACTGTGAAAAGTATTGAAAACCCTAGGTCGACCCAGACAAACCAACTCTTGTATCGGTTCTCCCCATTGTGTGTCTCAAGGTACTCTTTTTGATATAAAGGAGTCGTCACACAAGCTAGAACCACCATGGCGATAATAGCCGCATAAATGAATACGGTGAATGCATACCAAGCAATCCTGTTTGGAGCCGCGCCGTCAAACCGTTCGCTGCCCCTTCCCGGGCCGACAAGGCGTTGGCAAAGGCGTCGAATAGGATTCCTCGGCGTAAATATATAGAGTGAGTTGTTATACGTTGGGTGGCGGGCAAGATACTCTCGCTGTGCTTTACGGCGTTCTGAATAACCTGATACGGCCTTGAGAGCCATCACTCGGGGATCCAGCGCCTCGTTAGACTGTTTGTTAGAATAGAAAGGATTTGGTTCTCGGCTGGTGAACATGCCTCGGATCCTACCCCATATAGTCGATAGAACACCAGGTCGGACACCACCGCCAACAGCTCCCTCATTAGGTGACGGGCTATTGGTGGATTGCTGGTGCAATGGGTCCAGTGTATCGTCTAGGAATTCCCGCACAACAGCATCCTTCAGTAACATTTCCATCGTTGCTGGACCGTAGTCCAACGGATCTCTGGCTTTGGACTTGCCTAAGGAGAAAATATCCGAGAGAGTGATGTTGGTGTTTGCACTGCTACCCAATTCCTTACGCTGCAAGAATGCTTTAACTTGCTCGAGCCGTTTCTCGTCCTCTGATACGTCGAAATTTTCTTGAATGACAGCAATGAACATATTGACGAGAATGAAGTATGCAAGGATAAACCAGCCGATAAGGAACATTGCGCCATACCAGGATGTGTGGTAACCCGTAGTATAAGACGTTACATCGTAGAGGATACTAGTCCAATTCTCGCTGGAGAGGATTTGGTACATACCGAGGAACGAATTGAAGATATTATAAAATGATATCCTGATCAACTCGCCGCCGTCGTCCGTCTGCGGTATCTCCCCTCTAAACAGCTGGACTGCGAAAATTGCCATGATGAACGTGATCAAAAACACAAAGACAATAAGATTTGCAATACCAGTGGCATTTCCGAGAACCAACACGATCAATTTTCTTGTTATCGGTAGAGCCATGACGACACGATACGACCGAAGAATTTGAAACAGTGTCAACCATGCGTAGGGTTGACCGCTAAATAGAATTGGCGGTAGGATTATTATTGTGTTTGCCACTGCTAGAAAAGCGTCGAATAGATTGCGAGTGTTTCGGTGGAAGGCTCTCCAGTTCGCCGCGAATCTGATACCAATCTCAATGTCCAATAGAACTGTGACCACAATGCTGTTTATAAGAATAAATACTTCTCGTGTCGTTGACATATTTGCGCTTCGCCAAGCCTGGCAGAAAAGCTCGTACGCAATGAGTAGCACCCAGAATAACCATGTCTTATCATAAATTTTCTGTAGCGTTGAAACTCTACGCAGTCCTTGTTCTTGTAAACCAGTGACTTGTAAATCTTCATCCGCTGCGAAAGCGCTAGCCTTGCTCTCTTCCCGAATCACCTGAAACGACGAAGTAATGACGGCGATCAATAAATTAGTCAACCACAGCATCATGATCATGATACCAGCACCAAAGAAAAGAGCCGCAGGAAGGAATTCGGCGTAGGTGAGGTAGTACATGAGGTCAGACCATGTGTTGGCACTCATAATGACGAAAACCAGTTCTAGTGAGTTGATGATGTTGTCGAAATTAACAGTGTTGTTAAATGGGCTTGACTGTTCGAGACAAATGGAATTCCGCGGACAAATGTAACCCTTAGCGGTTGATGATGGACTCTCTAAGTTGAGTAATGAGTTTGGGAACGGACTCTTAACCCAAGGTCTTTCTGTGCCATTTTCATCGAGGTGTCCACCGCAGAAGATTAATTCGTTGGTGTAGGTGGCTGAGAAATTGGTAGGCTGTGTCGGGTCTACCCAAACACATGACCGGTCTAAGCTGGCCTTGAAGCTCTGTACACCTATGATAGCAAACAAAAGCCAGAAGAATCCGATAAGGAAGGATACTCGGACGAGCAATGGTGCCGCTTTCTTTAAACTCCGCAATATTATCTAGAAATCATATTAGGATTAGATGTTACTAATTTTTTTCTTTGCTTTTAGTCCATTACTCACCGCGGTTCCATTTGTAAGAGCAAGCAGCCGAACGATCCGAAGACAACTGAGCATTCGGAAGATGAATAGATGCTTCTGCATTTCAATCCCTGTAATACTAAGGACGAAAGCTATCCAGAAGGACACGACTGCTATGAAATCCAGCCTGTTGAAACCGTGCCTTAAGAAAGCTCGGCGGGCTAGTTGCATTCTCTGCTGCTCTTCGACCGTCTCCGGTATGCTACCATGCATCATTGTGAAAGATCGGGCGAACGTAGAGGGGCCATAAGCCTGTTCGCGAGGGGTTTTCACCGACTTCTGGCGCTGTGGGCGGAAAACTGCATTGTATTGGTCGGATATGGCAGCTCGAATTCCCTTTTTTCGATCGATAGTACTATACTCCGCAGCATTTAAAACAAAACCCGATACAATGATGCGAGATATTGTTTCTAACGTGAAAATAATGAAGAGTATTAGTATTGCCCAATTAATTCCTGAGGCGGGATCCCAGAGAGGAGGGCGCCCATTCCCAGGATCGTTGACATTATTCGCGGCCTCCACGGCAAGCAGGACGGCTTGGAGCACAATTAATATGAGCAAGATTGGCTCCATATACGGGTTGACCAATATATCACAAAGTTTCCTTCGGATAACATTATCGGGGCCGAATATACCTAGCGAACGACCTTTCAACGGATTTGGCATTGGGGCTCCACGACGAGGAGGTAAAGGCGGTTCCGACATGGTCCATTCGGGCTCTCCTTTCTTTTCGACGGGCGAGGCATAAACTTGGGACTGATAGGACGTGTCGGCGCCAATTTGAATCGAAAGATGGCTCGGTGACATGCGACCGTCGGCACTCGGCGACCTCGACCTCTGTCTTCTTTGCTGCTGTTGCTCGAACGTTTCCCCCTCACCACTAATATTAACAACACGCTGAGACATGGCTCTAACAATGGACCCAGCTCTATGTAAAGCGCCAGCAGTTCCCGGCATTCGCGACATGCGATTGTCATCCGGGGTAAGAGAGTTCCCATAGCTACGGTGTTTTCCCGACGCATATCCGGTTTCCAAGTCAAACCCAAGCATTTGGGCGGATCGTCCGCGGGGGTGGGAGGAGCTATCTAAATCAGAGACAGTCTGGAAACTGTCTCTTGGTTGTGATTCGCCTTGCGGGGTGTTTAAGGCGCCGGCGATGGGCTGCGCAGCAGACGTCAAGGGCGAACTATCGGACTCGAAATAATCCACATGAGCCGTTTCGTCATAATAAGGCGTTTCGGGGGCATATGGATGTGCGGCCGGTGCGGTTCGAGATAATGCCGGCGGCGGGGGATTGACACGGTTGAGGCTCGGGGGAAGGGCGAACTGCAAGGCGGCAGCATCTATCGGCGAAAGGGGCACTGCCTCGGAATCATCGTGGTGTTCGTGATGATAACCCTCCCAGTATGTTGAGACATCCGGTAGATTGCGGTCCGCTAGAGACCCCCTCTGGTCGCCATTATGCGATTGGCCATCACGTTGTTGCCTCGCGAGATCTTGTAAAGGAATGGATTGGGACGGAGGCGCTGAAGAGTCTGGCTGGGTGTGCCTCGGAGAGGAGGTAGACCTAGTCATAGTAATCCAGTGTCATCCAGATGACACTACTGACCAGATATACCTAACAAATTAGCGATAGTAGGCGTAGACAACCGAGCGCAATACGCAAGTAAGCGCACTGGCGAGAGGGCTACTACGACGTTATCAATTGCATCTCATGAGAAGAGGTGACTCGTAGTCAAAATTATAACTCGAAAACTCGAAAATCGAAAGTCACTGGAAGGTTGTTGAAGGTTGGAAATCTGAAGTCAAATCAATCCTAACGAGAGACAAGGTAAAGCGAGTGTGAAACACTTTAATCGGGACGCGTGGGTCTCAGAAGACACAGTAGAAAAGGATAGGCAATTCGTAGGCGTAGATGATGCACGTCCCAATTTGTTGGTCTGTAATTCTCCTATCTGCTCCGCAATTGAGGATGATTTGCGAATGGTAATGGTAAAGTTGGTACGGAAGAAAAGAAAAAAGACATTGTTTGGTAGACACGGATAGGAAGGTCCCAATTGAAGTCGGCGACTTCACAAAGTCAATTCCCTAACTTTACTACCTTAGTGACAAAAGGACTCTCCCAGCTGGCCAAGGGTTGGTTCACGAAGAGCTCAGCCCTCTTTCCGACCCATCGGATTGGTCCAAATTAGTTTTGTGGGACTGCAAGATGGGGGCGCAACCATATATTCCATCTAAGCTAAGCCTTATACAGCTAAATGGTACCTAGGTACTAATCGCTAGTTCGAACCTTAACCACGATTACGACACTTCAATGTTTTCCACAGTTTACATGTACCAAGGTACCTAATCTAGGGGATGTTGGCAACATGATGCAAAAATACGAGGGTTATTCTTCTTGAAAGGTGCGTGCATAAAGAAGAGCATCCATCTGCAGGGGTAAAACACTTCAAGTAAATCCAGATAGGATCAATCAATGTGTTAGATGTTATAGAAGCCCTTCTATTACGACCAACTAATACATCATTCTTTCAGCGCATAGAAGTGATGATTATCAATTGAAGATAGACGAAGATACAACTTAGTCCTACACGTTTATGTACAGGTTAGCTTTGAAGATCGAGGCATCACCTGCAATTAGATATCAAGGCCCCCACGCGCAGAATACTGGCAAAAAGACAGAACTCCAAAAATAGTTTCCTATCAAAAAATCTATCAGCTAGCAGCCACGTAAAATCTCAATCAATGGATATCAGTTGCTCGGAAGAGCAAAAGCCAATAGAATTAATTTATTTTCGTAGTGTTCTCTCCAGCTTTGAGGTTATCCACTGGGGTTACATGTACAGTAGCTAAAATTGATCAAATAGTAAAAGGGTACGTACCGAAAGGCTCCTGTGGCTTGGCCCCTCTTTTTAGGTGGGCTGCGGCGCGTAAGCGCGTTAGAATTCATTAAAGTGGAATCCACATACCATTTGACGGAGAAGTTGCGTCGCGTAAAAAGTCCAAAACGTCAAGTGCAAACGCCCGAATCGCGCCCAGAACCTTAGATTTTGTATCATTTCCCAAAATTGTCTACATCCACCGTCACCTTCTCCCCAAAGCAAATAACTATACCCAACCCGTCCTTATGGACCGTCAAGTGTAATTGTACACTTTCACAAAGAGTTAGCAACGGTTGAAAGGTGCTATCTGCCCAATGCAATTTTTTTTTAGGTATTGACCTATCGCCATGAAATATCTCATCACACATACGCCTGTGTTTAACTTCCCTTAACCCTAACCTTATCTACTCTTTTCCTTCTCCGTCCTCTTCGTCATCCATTGCTTACGCCAAACTACTTCTAATTCATCTCCAAAAACACACCTCGTCCTTCATAATATTCCCCGCGCGATTCCTAGCCACAAGAGCCCAGATCGCTCATCATCGTGTATAATTATCGCCATGGTCTCATCAAGGAAACGCGCCTTGCGCGATGTTGAACCCGAACCCGATACCCATGAAGTTCCTCAAGAGTCGCCCATATTACAGCGCATCAGAAATGCATGGCAATTCGCCAACCTATTCCAGTGGATCTACTTGTTCGGCAAGGTGGTGAAGATCGATGATAGTATCGATATAGATGTATGTAATGTCGAATCCAGCCATAAAAGCTAGAAGGGTCTCAGCCTCGTCCAGTATTGCTAACATCCGGAATGATTAGGATCTAGAGGCAGAATGTCTGAAGCCTCGCTCAACCGTCCTAACTGATATCGGCCTTGCGCTACTCAAATCTGTGTCGTCGCATCGGGGCTTAACGTACGTCTAATATCGACAAGCATTCCTATCATATGTGTCGTTGACCTTTTCCAAGACCAGATCTCTTTGACGAATACACACGCCGACAATATGTTGCTAAGGCGCCTGATCGAAACCCATTTGGAACCACTGAAGTACCTGCTAAATTCGACGATTTTGATATCTTGACTAAGGTTAGTCGTCCATCCGGCCGGGCGAGGACAATGTACTAAACATAGCGGTTACAGATCAAGATATTGCAACAGCTTACCCAATGGGTTATGTTACACCCCGAACGGATTCGAGAGAAAATGGACGAGCAGAAACCCAGTGACCAGACAGAATGGGTGCGAATATTCCCTCTACAGCAACCCCTCGATATCGGCTAACAATATCTCAGAGAATCGAACCCTCCGGTTGGGATAGTGATGATCGTATTTACTACATCCTAGACGACAATCGGATATATCGTATGACAGAAGCCCCGCCCGTTTCTACGTGGAAGCCCAAGAAGAATACAAAAAAGGCCAAAGCGGCTGCGAGGGCTGCGAAAAGACGCCGAGTGTCAAGATCTAATGCGCAGAACGGCGAGGATGGCAATGATGGTCCCATATCAGATGTCGACCAGCCCGCCGAGCCGGAGGATGACGGTCTCGGAGGTGCAAAGTGGGAGTGTATAGCAACGAATCTGACCGAGGTCCAGGAATTCCTCGGCACCCTTAGGAAGACCCGCGATGAGAACGAAAAGATCCTGAGAAGCACCATCGAGAATCATCTTCTACCCATTCTAGAGAAACAAGAGGAATCACGAAAGAGGAAGGCCTTACAAAGAGAGAAAGAGCTTCACAATCTAGAAAGGATGGCGCACGCCAAACGATCTAGCCGTCTCGCTAATAAAGCCGAACAGCAACGGTTAGAGCAACAAACTAGGGAGGAAGAGCAGAAGCGTCGCGCTGAAGAGGCCGCTACCAGGAAAGACGAACAGAAACGCATGAAGATAGAAAAGGAACGTGACAACCGTATCATGTCACGAGAGCGACGACGTCAAGAACGAGAGGTCCAACGACAACAACACGAAGAAGAATTAGCTCAATTATCCGAAGATAGCAGGAATTTGAGCGCTGGAACCGGTCGATTGTCTGGGAGACGACTGCAGGCGGAAATTGAGAAAAACAGACAAGCTTTACAGGAACTGGAGGACGAAGAAGACGACTGGATATTCGACTGCATCTGTGGCGCCTACGGCCAAGTAGATGACGGCACACATAGCATTTCATGCGAGAAATGCGGCATTTGGCAACACAGCAAGTGTGTTGGCATCAGCGAAGAAGAAGCTGATCGTGATGATTTTCATTTCATCTGTAAGGGCTGCCACCAGAAAACCTCGATACGCGCAGAGACACCTAAACGAGCCGTCGTCAAACTGAAGGTCAATAATACTCCATCGTCTCCTACAAAGTCAGACAAATCGCCCGCCCCAGAACAAGCGCGACTCACCCAGCGTTCAAGCATCGCCGTTGAGATACCCATGAAGCCCAGGAGCAATGCGCAGCTCCCACACCCAACCAGCGGTTCGGGTTCTCTTAGGCAACCCACTACAACCAACGGCTTACAACTTGAACCAACTACTCAACCTTTGATCCCTATTAAGCCGGTCGGCCAAGCAAACGCTCAACCATCTTCGCCATTCACCAACGGCGACGGCCCTAACCCATTCTCTTCTCCTCATCCAACTTTATCGCCTCCTGAGCAGTCCCCTAACAAGGCCAGAGCCTATTCAACCATGTTTCATGCATCCTCGCCAGTACCTGGAGGTCGATCCGGGGATACCAGAGTGCCTCAGAAAGGTATATTCCATGTATCACCAAAGATCAACGGCTCAACACAGCCAACACTATCAAGCAATCTCCCCCCTCACGCAGATGCTTATGTACCGCCCGTGGCCGCTAGGTCCGACTCGCGTTTGGATGCCGCAAGCAATAGCCTCCCGGTTCTCTCGCCCCCCGCTGTGTCATTTTCTACTTTACCACGACCCCCAAGTAGTGATACTAGCGGTCAACCGCCTGCACTTACTACTCCACAACTCAACAAAATTGACCAAACGGGAACAAGACTTGACCTAACTCCTACCCTTCCACCGGCTCAAAACGGGCTTTCGCCCCTAAAGCGCTCTCCACCTCCACATCAGCACTCAGGCAGCGGTCTATCCTCAACGCCTGCGCCTGCAATTCTTCCACCGGTCACAGCATTATCCCCATCTCCCTCGCAGCAAATCTTAACACCACCTGTCAAGCCGACCGAACCCGCACGGCCAGCATCGCGGCGCTCAAGCAGCGTTGCCGGAGAAGGGTAGTCTTAAATACATCGAGGGCAATATCACCCATTACTCCATATCAGAGTTGCAGGTTACCAGCCATGGTACCACTAGAGGTATGGTCATATTTCTGCCGTATCTCTCATTTCACAGACTCGATCACCGATGGACGGTCATAAAGTAATGCAAACCACCATACATATTCCATTACTATGATTCAAGTCCGGAAATCATAGTGATGTAGTTTAATATTCTCGCAGCGACAGTCTATTGGAGGATGAGTGAGGCATACCAGCTTATCTTACATGTGTAAAGGAAAGCAAATCCATCAACGTGTTGGAAGCATGGAAGGATAGGGGTTATACTGGATAATTCTAGACAACCGCATGATAAGTGATGCATTTTACGGCGCACGAGACAGGACGGCTCCATCAATGTGTAGATTAGAGGGGAAATACTACAAGGCGCATTTTCACATATGTTATTGGCAATGAAACAATTAAGTACGTGGTTTTCTTCATCATGAACGAGGCACTTCAAGTATTATGTACATGTACATAAATCTTAAATTCAAGAAATGTACGTACCGAGGTACTCAGTACATATACATAAGTACATTGCAAGAACGCCTTCATCGGAACCCCCCACCTAAAATACATGTATCGTGTCAGCTATCACTTCCTCAGCATTTCCTTCCCTAGGAGCAATATCCATCAATGATCAGAGTTCTGGTTAAATTACTTCATGTCGATTAAGTTAAAGTTCCAGTATATACCTCTAAGATGCATAATTAGATGCAGGTATTTCATTTCTCAAGCAGATTTTCCATCACTCGTAACTTGAAATGACCGTCTCTCATCTACATCACTACATTAATATTCACACATACAATATACCAAAACCTCCCTCTATTAAAAAACACATGGGCCCATATTTTTCTCGTCGGCAGCCGGCAAGCAACATATACATACGCAAAGGAGTTCGCAGCTAAGCGGGCATCTGCGTACTCTTAGGCAGGGCTTATCCTAGGGATAAACCGATTCTCTGGGCCCATCAAGACTTTAGAAAATCTTATTATCAATCAGCCTCAGACTAAATCAGACTTAAACCAACCATCGTTAAGCAAGACACCATCCCGTCGAAGTTGAGTTGTCACACAGGTCCCGACTGTTCGCACGAACTGTTGGTCAGAGCGCCGAGACAGCATAGACACGCATTGGAGTGGGTAGAGACAACATGAGAAACATTGCAGGTACGTTCGATAGCGTTCATTTTCCCAGTTCTATTACCGCTATGATCTATCGGTCAAGCAAGCAAGCAAGCAGGAAAATGAACAAGCGAGCGAACGAATACCGGCGCCAAGCAGTCATATGTGTTTGATATTAATAGCTCCAACACTAACAGATTAGCTATCCCAGAAATTAAAGACGAGGAGAAGATGCAATAACTAGGTCGTTCCCAGCAATTTCATTGTTGCAGATCCACACACAGTTCCGGTTTATGGGCAACCATATCAAGGGAGGTAAAATTTTTAATAAAAAAATAAAAAATAAAATAAGAAGAGCTAAGTAGCACTTCCTACGCGATGGCCTCAAAGACAACCCCCCCGAGTCTGAAAAGATGAAAAAGACGAAAGAAAAGATGAGGATACAAGCCAGTCTTTCAAGAAATTACCAAGTATATATGTATGGGGCGCATGCAAGATGCAGCGCATCAGCATTCCTCCCCTTACGATATCTATCCACCGCTCATCCCTCCTGAAAAGGACCTATAAGCCATACTCAATTTGCATATGTGAATATCATAACTCAGAAATGGATTACCCCCTAGCTATAAACATAGATGTACGTCAACTTTTACTACTTGGATCTTTCCCCTTTTAGGACTTGCAGCACTGACGTTCAAACAGTCCGTCAGGCTAATGCAACCGTCCGCCGTCGATACAGGGGTGCGACTGCAAACAGATCACCTAGGTACAGTCAGCTACTATCCATTCGTTACGCTACTGGATGGATGGCCCCGGCAACCAGGAAGCCCCGTACCTAACATTTATATTGCAGGTTAACAAGGCTAGCTAATAGCCAGTAGATTGATTCCTAGAGTCGGAGCTGGCACCGAGATTAATCTATTCCCAAAGAGATGGTATCGGTGCAGAAACAGCAGATGCGCTCTATGTAGGGAGTTTCGGAGACATTCCTCCTCTGCTATTCCGCTACCACCGCCCCCCAAGTCTACCTAATGGCTAATAGCAGCGCGCCATGGCCATCGGGTTAGGCCGGCCATGAGCCGTGGCCCTGTTGTAAGGAGCGAAAACGGAAAGAAAGAAAGAAAGAATTCAGCCCCAGATGTCCGGATTTGGATGGTTTCTTCAGCAAATTCCTCAAGGAATGCTAGCGGCCCGTGACCCATACGCCACTAGGAATCCATACGAACGAGTCACGTTTTCGGGGCGTACCTAATGAATAGCATTCCAATGCCTTCCGTCAGTCAGCAACAGCCACAGGCATCCTACCATGACGATAAACCTCGACTAAGCCATGTTGAGCCTGCCTGGAGATGATCATGAATAGACAACCTAGGAAGACCCCTCATTGCAAGCCCGGTATAGGATGTGGCAAATTACCAGGCTACCCGGAGATCAAGCCTCTTCAACCGCCCGATCCCTTGTACCACATCTCTTTTACGATCTCGCACGCAAATCACTAGGGTTTACAGCAGCCAACTTAATGTGGAGAAGATATATTATATGCATGCTTTGCTCTGGTGGGCGGTACTTGAATGGAAGTCCATTGCCAATAGCTCTAACAAGTGGATGAGCCCGCAAGTGGTAAAATGAAGCTAATTCTGCCGTACGTACAAGAATCATAACGGCAGTAGCGAAGCAACAATAGCATAGAGACTCGTTTTCTACTGGCCGGAATGTTCGGTCCTCAGCAGAAAGTATAGTCTCTAGATTTTCCCTCTCCTCTCTTGCCCCCGGACATGGCTAGAAATAGTTCCGTAAGTGATTAGGGCTTTTTTTTTTGTGCAGGCCAGCACACCTTTTGAAGTACCTCACGTTTCTCTCTTTTGCTTTCCGAAAGCGGTAATGTACAACGTCGCGGCCGCATTCTACACTCCAAAGGAAAACGGCCGAATTGTAAAGAAAGCTACCATACAAATAACTATAGGCCTAGGTATACCTCTTTCTGAAAGAGAAAGTTGGGGGATTATTTCTTTTTGTTGTCAATTTCTGGTACGATCGCCTTTCTCTCAATCTTGTTGGATCCAACAAAGGCGGTAGTCACCCACACTCTACCTGCTTCCTTTCACTCATCCATCTATCTATGCATGTTCTAGCCTAACCTATACAACTTGCTGGGAATAGCGATGGGCGCTTATACGATCGAGCAGCAAGAATCGAATATCAAAACCATCTACCATTCATACGATTTACACGACCTTCGTCGATCTATCCTGACCAGGCCTGACCAGGGATTAGAGCTAATCTAAAGAGACGTTTTTGTCAACAGTCAAATTAACACCAAAACTATTTCTCGCTGTCTGGCAGCACATGGATACCTAGAAACCCTCTAGCGAGGAAGCGAGAACAAAGAGAAAAGAAAGAAAGCTCGTGCGGAGTATTGATTAGGGAGGCCGCATCAACCAACACCTCGCCTTACCTGCAATACCCACTACTACCAAAGGGGTGTGAGTTCATCAACCATTCACATATTTCACCCCTCATGAGTACGCCTTACACACCTTTCCCCAGGCTCTAGTCTGGCCTACCTTCTGTTATCAGTTCTCTAGACCTAACCATTGGATAAGTAAGGAAACACGCACATTACGCATACTACATACGCGCATACGCAGGAGGAGAAAAGAGAGACTACATCGCGTAGATTGCTGCCAAAGCAAGGGTACTGTGGAATATTCACATCCCATTAGGTAGATCTTTAGGAATAGGTTCGTGCCTTTTTAATATTCAATGCCTCTTTTTTCTCCTTCCCTTTTCTGCTCACATGACCAAATGCTTCTGCACGCCCCCCTTCCTGTGCAGCGTCAGGGACAGAGACAAACCCGGTTTCTGATAGATCTTTACCTACGACTTTCGGCTGTGCTGGCAGTAGACCGGCCAGCCTATTCCACCCGGCCACGCATGTTGCTACTCCAGTCACAGAAAGGTACCACATACTAGCCTGTCACGGGAAGAGTGGGAGGAAAAGCCGGCAGGCGGCTGAAATGAATATTCACTCACCAATTCACAGACTGAGAAGCTTCGGATGAAAATTGCCAGAACTTCTGCATTTGGATACACTTCAAAAAAGCAGTGCTCCCAGCTACTTGCCCAATACTTCTTCAATAACTTTTTTTTTTTTCAAGACTATCCGAATCACTAGAATACTAACCCTTGTTCTGGACCAGTCTTTGCCTCCTTTATTTGCATGTGTCTCTTTCGATCTCACTGATACCTTTTCATCCCAATCCACGGCCGTATTACGCCAACTGCCTTCCGGGCAAGGAGCACTAGTCGGCCTTTAGAAAGCCACGGACCATCTACCAGAGACACACCCGGATAGACAAATCAGAGACGGACTACCAACCCGCGTCACATCACCGCCGGCAGGTACCATACAAGCATAGAGATAGGCACACGACGCGCCTATTTTCTCGCCAATACTCCTGGATAGTGGCATATAATCGATTTAAACTCTTCCGCATCAAGAAATCTTAAGGCCATACTATAAGGATATTGAATCCGAAAACGTCGCATACTAGTTATTCCATCTAATGATTGTTTGTAAGAGCAGTGCATCACCATTTGTCACGAAGGGGAAAGGAAAAGCGGCAATATCCGATCGAAGAAGAGAAATCTTTTCAACCCTCTCCAGTCTACCCTCCTGCTAGGTCGGAAGATAGTATTTTGTTCGCGCAACTATTTTCATACCTGCCAAGATCGGAACCGTTGCTTATTGACTACTCCATCGCCAGCTCCTTTAATTAGTCCATACACCTACCACTATTCAGTTGCCTAATCAAGTCTGACGACCAAGAATTTCTTTGCTGGGCGCTTTGTGTCAGGGAAAAATTAAGGAAATGGAGAAAACCGATCCAACATCACCAGTTCCCTCTAGTAGTAACATCAAGCCATCTAATACCACCGCCGACGACGTCGTCTTCCAAAGCCAAATCCAGCAACTCATTCAACATAATGCGTCAGTTTCTTCAGTAGATGCACAGAATCAGATAAACTCGAGCACACAATCGCGGTATTCCAGTCCAGCACCGCAACAACAACAGCAGCAGACTGTCATACCTACATATGACCACGAGTCTCCTTACGCAGCCAACGCACCAACCCCTACATACGGCAGCGGTTACCATCAACCGAGTTACCAGATGGAGCCAAGCCCCTATCCACAACTGCCCGACACGGGTTCTTCTTTGGTACGTTATAAACAGAATAAAGGATACTTTGTGAATTGTGCGAGTGGACAATAAACTTGATTATCCTTTTATTCCATTCTCTTTCTTCACGAATTAGGAAAAATGCTATATACTTACACTTATAAAGACGCCACATAATACCTACAGTACTCCTGCTACATCTCCACCAACTCCTTCGCAAGCTGATAGTATGATGACTCGAAGTGGACGATCGATTACTCGAGCACACGGCGCGACGCCAATTCTGGGTCCACAAATAGCGCGAGTAATGAAGACATCACCGAAACCAAGAGCCGGTGGCGCAGCCGCCAGGAAGGCCGCCAGGAAAAGGAGAAATAAAGGCGAAGATGATGATGGAAAGCCATTAGTCGTGTTAGACGAACCGCTGAGTGTGGTCGTGAGGGAAATGACGGGGGTGCGGGATACTAACATCGAAGAATACGTGAATCGACCGTTAGAAACGCGGCAAGCGGAGGTTAGGGACTCGAAAGAAGGCAAAGTGAAGCGACCGATGAATGCTTTCATGCTATACAGGAAGGCCTATCAAAACCGTGCGAAAGAGTACAAGAAGCACGACAATCACCAAGTCATCTCGCGAATATGTGGTGTGAGTTGGGGCATGGAGTCCCAAGAGTTGCGCGAGCAGTTCGACAACTGGGCCAAGATTGAGCGGGAAAACCACAAGCTTGCTTTCCCCGAGTACAAATTCGCGCCTGCAAAGGCTAAGAATAAGAAGGGCATCAATGCTGGTGGGGGTGGCAGAGGCCGAGACTCGGACGATGATGGCTCCGACCTCGAGGGGTATGAATGGGATATCAGCACGCCACCGTCACGGAATAACACGAGGAGTGCAAGATCCATGTACGACCAAGACGCCGAGTATCGGCCACCGGGTGTGCGATCATATGCGCCTTACCCGCATCATCGATCTCCAGTGTCACATCATACACAAATACCGTACTCCCACCAACACCAACAGGCATATGCGTACCCGAACACTAAGCCAAGGCCAGTCGACTACGGCACGAGTTTGGGACAATCCCAATACTACCACCAACCGACGAATGATTACATGCGAGCATACCAGCACTCCATGCAAGTACCGCAACCATATGCGCCGGTCGTACACGATGTCATGTATGGGCCCAGGATGACCTCACCCGCAAGCTCATTTCACGGCTCACCGGTCGACCAGTATGGGAACCTAATGGGATCTGGGTATCCGCCGCCGCCACCACAATCGCAAGCGCAGGTTATGCAGGCACAAGTAGCCGCCATGCCGCAACCGCGTATGAATGATTATCAACAACAGCACCACCAGATCGACCCATCACTCATGGGACCACAACATGGGAGCCAGTTCGACGCCTTAAATATTCTAGGGATAGGAGATCAGAATGATGCGTTAGGGCAGTACTCACTCGATCAAGGGACATTGGGCGGTAATAGCCACCATCAACAACACCAACCGCAGCAGCACTTCGACCAGTCGTTTCACCACACCCATCCCGATGACCACGGCCTGGGCACTTCGGGGGCATGGCATGATGACCCTACAACGTCCGCTAACGAGGGATTGGCGAAATTAGGCGACGAGTGGGAGACACTGGCTGAAGGCAATCAGTTCCATCTTGATAGTATCGACGACATCCTCGGCACGACTGATAGTCCCGGAGGTTAATCCACCGATTTAACTATTAAACGTAATAAAAAGGGGAGGAGGGGGGAGGAGTCCGAGGGAATAGAAGACGTACACGAGAATTATTTAGTTAGTTAATTTTTGATTTAGACCAGAAGGCAAGAACGAGATGCGGCGTTAAGGGGGCGGGACGAGCAGAGAAGAGCAGATAGATCCGCAGACACATACTTGACCCTGTACATTAATTGTTGTTGCGTCTGCTTCTTTTTTCTCTTGGGTGTAGGGGATGACATACTTCTCTGACTCGCGCTACGAAGCACAAGTACTTTGTCGTTTTGGCGTGGCTGTGGTGGCACAGTCGTGTTTGGGACGCCGGAGTGAATGTGAAAGTAGCATCAGGCAGCATCAGCGGTCTTGGTGGCGGTTGGCGGCGGCGGCGTCATTCATAAACATACCTCATAGACTTGGACAGGCGGGTTAGTTGGCTGTACTAGCAGAATCGATGTATGGAAAGGAAGGCGATGATACCCTCCGTCTCTCTCCTATTTATCGCCGCCTTACGCCGTTTCCTCTGATAGTGATAGGAGGAAAGGTGGAAGGGGAAAATGGAAAATCAAATCAAACCATACCAGACCAGACCGAACCAACCATCACGTCGATTTTGTTGAAATTAGATTTTTTTTTTTTTTTGGAGTTGATGACTTAAGGGAATATTCATAAAGTAGGATAGAGCGAGAATGAATACTTACTTAGATTTGAAGTCTTTCGAAACCGAAGGGGGGGTCATAAGTCGTCCCCTTTTTGAATTGCTACCAAGTGAATAGTAACGGGTGAGGTGAGAATGTGATTGTATTGTATAACATTCCTCTTCTTTTGTTACCCTATAAGACTCTCGTATATGATCGAGAACCTACGTGGCTCCAACCTGACTTTGCCTTTACCCTTTCGCCTCTCCAAGGGGTCCTGCTGATCGTCCCCCTCTCTTTAAATCCTTTTGTATGGGTTTCCTTTCTTCATTGTCCTATGTTTGCTGTATGACATTCATTATTCATTGAAAATTTTCAATTTATATAAGGTTCGCTCGAGCATCCCCAAGGACAAAGGAGTTACTACAGCTCATACAAACCCTTCTTTCTTGTCGCCGGGCTTGAAAGAATAGGGACCCGGAGTTCGTAAAAGAAGGGGGCGAGGGGGGATGGTCAAATTAATATCTGTCGAAACAGACAGAATATTATATACTGTCAATCATGACGCTATTCAGGGGATGCGATAAAGGAACGGTTGATAGGATAGTAAGAGTTAGTCTCACTATTATTTGATTATATTTTGTCTTCCTTTTTACTTGAATATTACAGCTCATCCTTGACTCTTTCATTGCTCCCTTCTTGTCGGGGGTTGGGATCTTCTTCCATTATCCGTTTCTTCGGATTACGAGGCTCATCCTCGCGGCGCTCCCTTAGTACGGTCTCTCCCTCTTGCTCTCCTTGTGTGTCGTTGCCACCCGTAGACTGTTCCTCTCCAGTTTCATTCGTAATCCTCTCCACCTCCCCCATAACAGACTCACTGGATTCTTGCGGCACTTGCGACGCAAAACTAACCTGCGCTGTATGAACCCCCTCATTATTCATCTGCGCCTGTGGCATCGTAGCCGTAACTGCCCCCTCCGTAGTCCCTAGCCCTTGCGATCCCCTCTTCGCGACCCCCGTAACCACGACAGCCGTCCTAAACACAAGTTTCAACGGCAACCAAACCAACCACCAAGTCGGACCCCAAAGCAGTCTCCTAAAAACAAGCCAACACACCGTCCCCAGCAGGAGATAAAAAGCCGACTGCAGGTACCAAGTATCCGTCTTCTGACTCTTCAACAGCGTCGTCAACAACGCGCGCGAACTAGCTAGCATAGCATCCAGACTCCCATACGTATCCGAAAGTTGTGATAACGCAGCTGTACTCTCGCGTAAGGCATTATGCGCAAAATCGCTTTTAGCTAGCTCAGATGCCATTAAATCATGTGTCCGCCGTAGTGAGTCTGTGACATCGCTGCTCGCGCTTATGAGTTGTTCTTCTTTAGTCTGTTGGGGGCGCGGTTTGCGGCGAGTTAGGAGATTCGCTGCGGTGGTGGTGGAATTGGTGGTGGTGGGATCGGTAGGTAAAGGAGAAGAAGCGCCCGATCGTGGGTTCGAGAACGAGGCGTATAGGAGTTCGCGCTCTTGGCGTTGGGCTTGTTGGAGGTTGTGCTTCGCGGTGATTTGGGCTCTTCTAAAGGCCTTCCGACAGCTGTAGCTTGTTAGGTAAAGAGTACTAATAGATAGATGTCGTATATAAATGTGAAAATATTAGCACGTACTTTTGCAACTCCAACTCCAACCTATTCGCCCCTTCCTTTAGCCTCTCTTTATCATGTTGTGATCCACTGCCATTTTTACCCGGTCGCACATCTACAATCTCTTCTCGTAGTAACTCAAGCTCCTCCTCTTGCTCTCGAAGTACTTGGTTGATTTCAGTACTAAGCTCAGCACCCACATTATCATCCTCAGAAGCACCGAGTGGTACGGAACCAGGCTGGAAATCGAAGTTAGCTAATCGGTCGATTAGCTCCTTAAGCTGATTCGTAGCATCCTGGAGGACGGCAAGACGGTCCTGTAGCTCTGTAAAGCGCTTCTCTAGAGCTTCGTGGGACATATTTGTTAACTCTTAAGAGTTCTTAGAGAAGATTGAGCCGGAGTTATTTCATGGGGTAAGAGATTCCCTGTAGAAGAGGAGAAGGAATTAGAAATTATGAGACCTGCAGGTTTTGGTGCTAGGTGCCTGCATTAGATAGAAATACGTTCGTTATCGGTGACGTTGCATGTTCCGCTGAATTGGAATTCAAAGCTAGATGTGGCTGGTGAAAAGCTTACCAAGCCATATCTTTTCCTTTCCAGGTTAGACTCGATTATCTAACCGGTGCTTATCGGTATGCACAGCCACATCTCGAATTATCGTCTCCAGAAAACCTTTGGCGGCATCAACTTCTCGTAGCAGAATTGGAGGGGCAGAATCAATTCGGTGCACATGTAAGTCGAACGCATTAATTCCACCCTAAAACCCTTGAATTAGCATATCTAACCCTTATATTGACCTAGAAAGCTGGCAAGATGATATCGCGATTCATCACCGAGGTGAACACCAAGTTCAACCCATTCTCCGCGAGCTCTAAAGCTACGCGCCTCTTCCTCACTACCCTTCCTCCGAATGCTCGATCAAGCGGCATGAAAATAAATACCACTCTTCTCCCGCGAACATCAACGGCACCGGCCACTCTTAGCGTAAAATTCAGTACGTGCGATCTTACGAATAACAATTATTTGCACCTCTTGCGGTACTAACCATTGGTTGTAGAGGATGGGAAGCTAATGAATCTGGACGGCGAGAAACTAGGCATAAAAGGCATAGTCGAGGAAGTCGATAGACACTCGAGAGTGTTACAGAAGCAAGCAGCCCTTACAGACGGTTAATAATCCAATATCTACAATTTTTATCACGTCTATTCTATGCGCATTGGGCGGCGTACTATTTTGAATCTGGGCATATCAAAGGATACTCTCTTCGATTATTAGAGACAACGCAGCACTTATTTCCTTAATACGGACTTATCTCACGAAATATAACGCCCACGCAATGGAAACGAGGAATAATTGTCTATTTTTCGGAAGTAATGTGTTTCAATTAACCCAATGCATGTGGTATAGACATCATGCTAGTTGTGCTATCAAGTGGAGCTTTTCGGAAATTTTCGAAGTTATAAATCCGCCAAACTTTTTTCTACCGGCCTCGAAGATGTGTAGGCACCTATGCCGCAGCACCGCTGATGAAGAACCACTTATCAATCGAGCTGTCAATCTTCTCAGGGGGGAGCTCTTCGTTGGTGGGTAGAGGCGGTAGCTGCTCGGGACCAACACGACTCGGGGAGTGCGAAACGGTGAGGTTGGTCGTAGAGATACCACCGGGCTGGGTCTTACCAGTAATCAATCTCTCCCAGGCCTCGGAGCATTCACGGATGACATCTTGGGCATAGCTGCGCATTATGTTAGCAGTGCAACAGTAGAATTAATAGTAACAATACTCACGCCTTGTTCTTGCATTCGCCGGTGAAAGCAAATTGGTTCTCAGGCTTTCCGTCAGGGATCTTGTAGATACGGAACCACTCGTTAGTGGCACGGAGGAGGCCGGGCAGGTGTCGCTCAACATCCTCAACGTCGTTTAGCTTAGCAGCCAAGGGGTCGTTGATGTCGACAACGATGACCTTCCAGTCGGTCTCTTCCTCGTCAAGAAGGGCCATAACACCCAAAACCTTGACCTGCTTGATCTGACCAGGGTAACCAACCAGCTCACCAATCTCGCAAACATCGAGGGGGTCGTTGTCTCCCTTAGCCTTCGTCTCAGGGTGGATGGAGTTGGGGTCTTCCCAGGTCTAGAAAAGTACGCAGAATCTTAGTAAGTACAGCGGGCAAACATATACGTGGCACAGGACATAACAACGGAGATGTCTTACCTGAGGGAAGGCACCGTAGTTCCATAGGTAACCCTTATGGGGAAAACAGTTGCGGACGTATCGTAGCTTGCCCTTCTTGATATCCTGCTTGATAGGGTTGAGAAGCTCATCTTTGGAGATCTAAAAAATGAGTGAAATATTGGTTAGTACGAGCTATGACGGAAATAGCTAAAATATAGTAGTCTAGTAGTAAGATAGTATTGATTACCTCAAGCTTGGCATTGGTCCATCGAGGGATCTCAACAATCATGTTGAGAACGGTCTGCTCGGCGTTGGCATAGAGAGGGACATCGTGGAAGGCCGAAACGGGGACGCCATCCTTCTCGACGTAAACTCGATGCTCCAAGGTATTGGGAGCAGCGACCTTTCGGACGCTATAAGTCGGAGCCATTGCGGAGTCGACTTCTGGCTTACGAGTATTTTGAGGGGAAGGGGAAGAAGATAAAGCAGTACTCGAAAAATGTCGAGCTAATTGTGTAGTACGACGAGAAGCAATGGTGGAGTTGGGGTTTGCAGAATTTGAAGTTGAAGAAGTTAAAGGGGAATTAGGGGAAGATTGCGTAAGAGAATGGAGATGGCGAAAATTAGGTTTGGTTAAGGACGAGCGGGTGGGTGAGGAAGGAGGGGGAGGGGTTGAGTTCGTGTTACTGCAGTGACCCGCCAGCTTGACCAATGGTGTGACGTGATTGGCCTGAAAGGTGTGCTGTATTACTAGCCGTCCAAATAGCTGGAGCTGCGTCGGTGTCGGTGGATGGGCAGATGAAGAAAGTCCTCTCCTCACAATAAAAATTGTCTGCTGGCTTACTGATGAGGGCAACATGCAGACAAGACTGGGGTCATTAAAGGCAAAATAAAAAAGGAAAAAGGGGATTGAGGTATATAATACAACCGAAAGAGTCAATGATTATTCAAAGCAAAACGGATACCTTCCTTTTTTACCGCTTCTTTTACCGCGGTTGAACGAGTGCACGCTGTTTTATTGCGGACAATCAATAAATCTTTTGGTCTAAGAAAGTCCGCGACCCTCGGCGAAGATGGGAAAACACCAGCCACGAACTTACACCGGTTGTCGTGGCTTAAGCTTCTCCCACCTTCCGAAATCGTACAGCTCTATCTTACCAGCCACAGATTCATCACTCCACCTATATCGGAGCTGACCGGGGTTAGGGCTTAGAACTTTACTGGGCTTACTAGTTATTACGTCATTGGGAACCCTAGCGACATCACCCCTCTTACTACCCTACCACTCAGAAATAGGCGACATACCGAACTTCCACACATCGTATCAGATAGCTGGGGCCGATGCTATAAATACACTACGCTGGTTCTCTGTTACAAATATGAGCACTTGCGCGAAACACCTCCAATTTTCACGACGGAAACGGGAACTAGGGGCACATGGACGCCCTGGGTTAGAATCACCGGCCTCAACACATTACTTGAAGATTTCCTCATATTGTAAGTATATCCGGTAGGTAAAATTGTCGACTGGACAAAGGGCCATGCATGCTCCTGTTCTGAGAGTGGAACACCCCACCTTTCCAACCCCGCGTGAAACCCGTGGAAAAGCCCGATATGCTTAACAATGAGGCTATTTTGAAGGTAACCGGCCCCAAACCGCGCTCTGTCGTGGGAAAGACCCTCTTCTTAGACTCGAGCAAACGGCTGTAAACAACACTGACTCCATCATCTCAAAGTTCAGCGGATCGCCACGAGGCCCGTTATGTATATATGAAGTCATACACGCCTTCTCTGAAGCATGTCCAGATTCAATGAGTAGGCTGTTTGTTTGATTATGCAGTACCAGGGAAGCATATCTAAGTATCAGTTGTGGTTGTCCAAATGTTGGCTGTATGGTTAAGTTGCCACCGTCAAAATTCGATGGGCATCAAGTAGGTGGGTAGGTAAATACTTACAAAATGCTCAGTGGCGATGAAACCCGTGGGCTTTCAGCCCATAGACAGTTCTATTTATCAGTTTGCTGCTGTTTAGGCTAGCTGCACGCTTCATTTTTCTTCCGCCACGCTAAGCACGTGTCTCGAAGCAGCGAGACGGTGTAGGCGAGCTGGGACACATCTTAGCGAGCCCGAAAATCTAGGGCGAATTCTCGTTAGTCCCCAAGATGTTGTTACTCGAGATATCATCGGGCTGCTTACCTCATATGATGTAGGTATCGGCCAAGCTAGATAGACCTAGATGAGACTGTCAAAATGCTGTAAAAGTGCCTGTTATCTGTTTCTTGTAGCCGCTTCTGCGAGTAGGCGTTGAAACCACTGACAATCTGAGTCTTTACCTAGTAAGTGAGGGGAGCTTTGGTGTTAGTTGTAGTGTTCAAGAAACCTTGCCTGAAGTCTAGGAGAAAAGGTAGGAAACTAGACTGAGAAGCCGTCCCCTTGGAGCTACATCACCTAGACACTTCTAGGCTACTCTACGTTGCCATTCACGAGGATATGGCGTCATCTACAGTAAATACCTTCGTCAACTCACCTACTAGTAGAGAGCTAGCTCTCGAAGCACGTCGACGACGGCCAATATACTCACATCAAGTAGGTCCCTTCCCTGGAGTAGTTTCCACTTGGAAACACCCTCTGCGCGAGGCTCATGGCAACGCAGAGAGGGTTCGGGAGAGGACCAGTTCTGGCGGGAAGAGTGAAGAATAGAAGGGAAGAAAAGCAGGACGATCGGGAAGTGCTGCCCAGCCCTTCTTATACGAACGCAAGTCTGGTTCCGTTGAGTACCTTTACTCGGTTAACGTGGGGGGTGGTTCATTTCTTCCCGAAGCGAAGAAAACGGCAACACCATGACCAGGTAGCCATGCAACCCATCCGTTGAAAATTCTCGGTGAGAGACTGGCGTCAGGACACATGATTCAGAATTCCGGGAAGGATCATGGATCAGGGATAATAAGCAATACATACTACATACGTACAATGCCGGATGAACAAGGGATGAGAGGAAGTAGCGGAACCAAAGAAAAAAGACGGTCCCCAAAGTACCTACCCTCCCTCCCTAGTCGTTGGTTGGATATCCAATATGTAGATACGTAGTTCGTTGGTAGGTCGGGTATGACAGAATACTAGAAAAAGTAACAAACGATGCGAGTGACTTGGTTACCTAGTAAATTTGATGCATGGACCCTGATTGGATACCCTGCTCTGGTAATTTCCGTATTCGTTAATAAAAAGTAACTTTGTATCGGAATGTGTTATAGTGTTAAGAAAACTTCCAAAAAAAACACGACTATAGTCTTGTATTATTCTATACTAACATTTAGGAATTCTAAACTCCCAAAATTTCTCCAACAAAGTGGTGAAATTCTTCAACTCTACGAAACTTCAAGATAATTGGTCCGGCCCCCAAAATAAAATATCCAAATTCGGTGCTTATTCTAAATAGGGCTCCGTTCTCATTGCTGGATGGTAGCCATGTCACATGATTCGAGGACCCAGTGCCTTGGGTGCGACACAATCATCCGCAGTAAGACGACTCCCAATCTCGGTACGAACAAGGATATCTATAGGTCAATCGGGCGACCCAGTGGTGGCCCGGTCCTGGTAAGCAGCCAATGAGAGTGAACCTTTTCAATGGTACTCGCAGATGCGGACTTGGGGTTGTCAAGGCCTCGACATGAGACGGTGTCTTAGCAGTAATTCATGACAGTTCACCACTCATCCCCCTTTGGTTCTCAACATCACTTATCGTCGTTTTCCCCCACTTCAGGTACCGAAGTGACCCGCTGGCGCCTGCTGATTTGTCTCGTGCACGGTCTGACAAAGGAACGTACCTACATATACAGGCGACTTACACGAGCCACGCAACCGCCAACATGAGCAGCAACGACCTATCCCAGATCACTAACCAGATCCCTGACTTTATTGGCGGGCTACCCAGGAGTAGGCAAACCAAGGTCCCTGCCCCACCGGATGAATTCGGAGAGTACTTTGATTATAAACGTTTCTACGAGGGAACCCCAGCCGCCGATGGCGACTCGCGGAGCCGGTCAGACGCTTCGTCTATTCCGGGACTAACATCCGGCCCTTCGGAGGAAGACGGCGCAGCGTCCCCGAGGTCCACAGAGGATCCTTTCCAATTCAAGGAAGCCGTTGAGAAGATTAAGCAACACGATGATCGCTTCACCCTCCCAGCCCGCGAGATCAGACCCAACGGTATCGAACCCTATCCATGGCAGATGGAAATCGATAACACACTAGCTTCGGGTGGAGCCGAGATCCAGGGGCTTGGCAGTAGTAGTAGCCCACAGTCCCCGGCTTCCTCCAACGGAGCATCGTCATCGTCGTATCAGAGCTCCACCTCGGCTGATTCGCCGCTCAGCCGTGGCAAACGACATCGCCCCCTAGACAACCCCGAGAAGGTTGCTCAGATGCGCAAAGTTGGCGCTTGTTTCCGCTGCAAAGCACGCAAGGTCCCAGTAAGTAACCCTAGCCGAGCTTTTAGTTCGTTTCCTAACATTTAGAAGTGTGGAGAAGGAGTCGCTTGCTCGCGTTGCGTGACCGATGCAGGCAAGTATTGCAGCGACGACGGTGAGCTAGCCGAACACATGTGCTTCCGAAAGCCGAGCCCTAGCAGCGACCTCGCCTTCCATATTATCTGGAGTATGTTATCCATATCATCACCGTTTTTCGGACTATGGTCCGCACAAGATTTCGAATAACTGACTTCAACAGAAGAGAAAACAAACCAACCCACCGCGTCGCAAAGAGGTAGCAAGTCGATGTGGAACGTATACTTCACATCAGCCGACCCTCCCCTAGTACTTCCAGTCTCGCGCGACGAGCAGGCATGGTGTGGGCTGCAATACAACCAAGGACAAGATATCCATCAATACGTTTTGAACCCAATTGGCGTCCCCGACTTTGACGCTACACTGATCAAATGGGCCTCGTGGCAGATGCTCAAAGTTGAAGAACGGAGTTTTCAATCGGCTCTGGATATTCTGGTTAGCACATATGCTCGAGAAGAGCAATACCAACTCCCTCACGTCAGTACCCCATCGTTCATGCCGATACTGCGTACTTACTAACATAACGACAGTACGCCCTGGTGCGTAAAGTCCACGATTTGAGGTGTATGTACAAAATTTGGCGGCAAAAGGAATTCTTCTGCCACAGATTCCAAGGACCTCACTTAGAACCGCTCCCCGAACGGATCTGTCAGGATTTGAAGGGAATTATTGTCCACAGGATGAAGACACTTGAATCCGACATTTGGGCACAGTTCTATAAGCTCTTGGAGGCGGGTTTGAAACCGATCGATCGTCTACCTCTCTGGGCTTGTATGATGCAACTCGTCTTGATGTATCGGGACATATATATCCTGAATGGATCGAAAGGTAACGATGAAACGAGATTGATAATGATTTTCGGTGTAGGAAACCGGCTAACATTTTCAATAGGCCCCTATGGAGAATCGTTGCAATTACAAATTATGACGACCAGCCTCTTCGAAAATTTGGTTGTCATGTGCGAGATCGCGTTCGGTAAAAAGAAGCCGGAAGCAATGACTGACGACGGAAATCCTGGTAAAAGGCAATTAAACGCGGATTTCGAAAAAGTAAATGGCCGAAGAGATGAGTTTTGTATGTTGCACCGAAACACCTTGGGAGATGAAGGGCCTAATCGGCTAACCGCCCACTCCAGATAAATCTATCGAGAACTGCGTTACGTATACGCACTCTTCTAGCCTCGACCGCCTTTTCTGTGTTCTATTGATTGGAACACAAAAAGGCGCCACAAAGAATGGGGCTCGAGCTCCTAAGCGAGCCAAGAGATAAAGATGTCGTTGTAGTACGAGCATTCTCGCTACTTTCGTTTCTTGTCATGTCATTTTATTTCTTTTTTGTTTCAAATTGGGCCCTGGAGTTATGACGGAATTTCAATGTGTTCGTTTTTGATCTGATCGAGGTTGATGGTTTAGCGAAGGAGTTTAGCGACAGGCTGATACCCACCTAACGCATTTGAGCTCGTATTATGCCTCTCGTAATGATGGAGGGTTGAAACACTTTTTAGAAGGCATATTGCTTGTTCAATGACATTCGCTGTCGGGATCAGCATCGCAGGGGTCATTCCATTCCATTTCCCTATCTGTTACGCATTGCGAAGGTCGTCGTTTTTCGGTCGTATTTATTATGACGTTACGTCGTTATGTACTTAGTTCAATATTTCCAAGAAGTGGTGTTCGATACTCGGGCGGCTATAGCAACAGCTTGTAGTCAAGACAAGCACATACGTTGTACTTAAAGTATTGGGGGTTCGATATAGATGAGATAGCTAGAATTAAGGCTCAATTATCTGTATAGTGAGCTCGACTTTCTTCTCAGTCTTGTCTGCGACGTTACGAGATTTCCCAACACTCTTGAGAATTTTCTCTAAATCTTCGACATCAAGAGCTTGGGAAATCGACGAAGATACTTTCACGTTTAATTGAAGTTTCGTCTTCGTCTTGCCATTTTTCAGGCTTGAGTTAAATCTGTGTATTGGTTAGCATAATAATGAGTTTTTATAACGAGTTACTTACTTAACAGTATTCCCTAATTTATCTGCTGCATTCGGTTTTGCTGGACAAAGAACAGAAAGGATATGGGCAACCGCACCGAGATATTCAGCCCAGAAAATAGCCTCAGGATTTGATTGGCTGATAAGTTTTTCTAGGTTGACTTGGAGTGGTTTATCAATAGGACCGAGACTGGCTCCCCATCTATAACAAAGGGTAAGGCCCAGAATTGCCCGTGCTAAATGGCTAAAACCAGATGCACTAGGGTCGCGGTGCATGGCTTGGTGTATTTCAAATGCCGCGTTGGCATCGCTTGGTTCTCCAACACGCGTCCATATGCTACTGGCGAAAAGAGGACCAAGACCCAAAGTAAAAACTGTTGGGATATTGGAGAAATTGAAGTCAGTGGGTAGAGAGGATCGCAAAATATCCATTATGGAATACAGTATCTCGAGTTCCGCCTTGCTATTCACTTGGCGGAGAAGCGGGAGGGGATTTTCTTCTCTTACGGCTTTGGGTAGTTTCATAAAAAGGGCCCCTTCTCGATTGCCGCCGCTGCAAAATGTCACCGTGCAGATTTTAGGGATAGCATCTATCAGTGCTTCTACAACTGTAGCGATAGCTGGAAATTGCTGACGTCGTCGTTTCGACATTCCGTGGATTTTGCCATCATATTCGGCATTGACTTTGCGCATGAGCTTAGTCTGGCGGAAGACTGAGCCTTTGACGGTATACGCGCCCACGGCTGGTATCGGGTATGGTTGAATCGGGTCGGAATGCATGAGAATGCTACCATAGCCCCTAAAGCCACCACCACAAAGAAAGATATCAACACCACCCTCTTGGAGGGTCCGTATATCTCTTAAAGAAGGAAACTGCCTCTCAAGCTCGACAAAAGCACTTTGCATGCCGTCTTTCAAGGTGTCCACTGCAGCAACTCGGGCTTCTGCTTCACTATTCTCCAAAATCCTAATTAGCTTAGCAGCACCAAATGGTAAGCTTTTGCCGGTCTGTGCGGCCGCTATGTCGTAGCCTTCCAGAGAGGAGTTCAAGTAAGTCATTTGAACTGAACCGCCCCCCAAATCAAGGAAAAGCCCATTAACAGTGGCGAATCCGCTTCTGGCCCCCATGGATCCAAACAGAGTCTCGACTTCCGGGGCGAGCACGTGAACACCAAGTCCCGAAGACGCCAGTATGGCTTCTAACATCGAGGCTGCGTTCTCAGCCTTTCGCATAGCTTCTGTGGCGAACACAGACACATGTTCTGCTGGTACGCCATAATCGTTGGCAATGGATTTGAACCGAGCTAAAGTCTTGGAAACTTGAGTAATAACCTCTGGTGGAAAAATCAAATGTCCATTCGAGGGAGACGAGTTTAGTGCATCAAATAGAGAGATGGCAGCACGTTCACGATACAAGCATTTTAGAAGGCGGCTCTGCGGGGGAGATAAATCCGAAATAGAGAATCGTATGCCATTGCTATACGAAGTTATTAAAGAGTAGACAATGGAACTGGTGCTGAAAAACACACGGGAAGAATAGATCTCGGGGTAAGATTTAGGCGTGCTTGCCACCTTCAGGCTGGACAGGGTGACGATGTGACGAACCTTCCTATATCAACCAAAGCATAAAGGTGGTTGGGGAGGTTGGGATCCCACGACGGCATCTTGGATACGAAATTGTCGAGGGTCACAATGTCGGTAGTCGATGCCATTTTGGATAGAAAATAGGTGAGTTCGGATGAGGTGGAAAGGTGGGATTGCTTATGGGAAGTAATGTTTAAGAAATATAAGTCTAAGGAAGAATGAGATTCCGTGTCGTTCTGTGATTGATCATTGATATCATCCCTAGTACCACTTTGACGCAGCTGCCTGCCAGTCGTTTCCCCACAGTTTTATCTTCACGTGATCTAAGCGGAGAAATCAGAACGGGTCCAATTTCAACCAATAAAGTCAATTTCATGTCAGCAGAGTCTAAATTAAAAGTATCTTGTAACTTTGGACAACTGATATGCAAGCCGCCGCAAGCCGACACAATACACATGTGCAGTACATCCCATCTTTCTAATGGAATACATATAATGTATATGTACGTAGCCAAAAAGGGACATTTGGAAAAGCTAGCTACAAATATCAATTGGTCTTTGAGATGTGTTCACGAGCAATTAAAATGCATAGTTTACCTTAGGGAATCGGGTAGCATAAATTACAAAGCATCCGATACTTATCCAACTTGCCTCAGTAGACGAGACTACGAATATAAGTTGGCCCTTTTAGGTACACCGATGGGAAACATCGGCCTGCTAATACATTGATAATTCAACGAAATTCGGGGTTTATCAGCGATCGGGCTACCATTCCGAAGATAATCTCCTTATATGCAGCCATTTCCCATCTACGAACTCTAGGTCCGTGTGCTGGAACCTGCATTCAGTAAGCCTTTGGTCAGATTCCATTTAACTTCTTACCATATTCTAGGCTTTAGCATGCGTACGATCTGGCATATTGAACTCCTCCAATAGGAAAGTCTTGATGTTCTAGTAAGACCAAGTGCAAAAGTGCACTTTATTAAATCAACCTCACATGGTTAAAGTTCTTTAATAGAGCCCAAATAAGATCGCTATCTGCCATTGGAAGCACAACAGCCAAGTCGAATGATGTATATCTAGGCCTTTGTGACACCATCCTGTCAGCATTTTCCTTCCCTCCATTAAGACATCAAGATGGGTTCATGCGGGCCATGTCTATTTCTGTATTGAGAGTAGAGCTGAAAATGTGTCACACTCCATTATTGCTAATGATCTAGTGGCTACTCAAATGCTGTAGGTGTAACTTTTAGTTGTACAGTATAACCGCAATGATTGAGTAGGCCTGTCTATGATTGGACGACTGTATTGTGTGGGCTTATATATAAATACTTATGTAGATCCTACACTATGCTTTACCCTATAAGCAAGGCATATGGATAATATATAGATTTTCGAAGACAGGGGACTTAGAGATATCTTCTATAGTGACCTGGAAGTATATCTTGTTAACTTTGACAGACTCTCACTTTAACACGTTGTATGGTATCTATCGCACCTTGTTGGTATGTACCCAGGTACTATGTCTACTTTTGGCAAGTGGGGTAAAAGCATGAAATTAATGTTCCTGTAAGTGCAGGGTTACGCGTCAAGTCGCGTTATTCTCGCGTTTCTTGATTGTAACCTGTCATAATCGTTGTGACTTATAATCCAGGGAATTTTACTCTTTATGTTGAAATTAAAGGGTTATAAAATAAGCCCTTTAATGCTAGGTGGCTTACCTAGATGTGAGAAATGCATCATCTCAGCCTTAGATGTTCAATACTAAAGAAGCGTCATGCCGGCGTGGAAAAAAAATAAAGGTTATCAATTGTTAATGGCTTAGTTGGGAAGTTATAGGACCGTGCGCCTACACTTAGCCTATTAAGGTTTGGCGTGATTATAGACTTTCCTCGTTACAACGACCGAAACCCCGTTATTCTTGCACCTCTCCTCATCTCCATCATCATCATACATACAACCTTCCTGACTACCTTACCTAGGTACTCCTTTCAGCTGTGGCCTCTCTTTTTCCAACCCACCAAAATGCAGCTAGCAATAACTCGCACATAGATACACATGTGAAGTATGTAGCCCCAAAGGAGTGTTGCAGTCTACAATTTATAGCCGCAACTTTCATTTCAGGACATCGAACGGTCGCGTCACATCACACCCGTCACATTTCCATGTTGTCTCACTCTGGAGGCTTAGGTCTCGCCCGTACCACAGATCTTTCACTCCTCTTTGCTACAAGGGCTCTTTCTTTAAGATGGGCTATCGTCATATAATATCCTTAGCACATGAATGTTCGAATGCCTGTTAGGTCCTGGTTGGTTTGTCTTGCTGCGACTCCACCTAGACTGGCAACCCTCTTGCTGTTCGCTGTTCTGGTCAACTAATAAGTGTTCGTACCTAGTCGCCCACGATTGATAGGCAGGCCGTACAACCACATACAACTACAATTCTAGCTAATCCACCCAATCTTGCCTCGCTTTTCCATTTAGGTCTTCAGACTTGAAAGCCTAAGCAGTGTGCGTTGTCGTCGTTTACATGTAGAAAACGATAACACGCGCTGCAAAGGTGAAATCCAACGAAGAAACCAACTGAGTCGAACGAATAAGAAATCAGAGAACTGTGAACTCGCGCGCGCTGCATCGAGCATTCTCGTCCAGTCAATTTCGCGCTTCTACCCAGACGCGTACAGTAAGTATTCTTCAATTCGCACGTACGTTTCTTTTCTACCCAACGGGAACTCGTCCAGATGTGAGCCCACAATGTCTCGCTCAGCCTGTACCCTCTGCCTGTCATCAGTTAGGTATTCTCCTCCCACTTGGCGATCACTGCATATGCACTCATGTCGTGTCCCTTCGCTGGCCATAGCCCACAGGTGCATTCTACCTAGGTATGGAGTGCATGAGTCCAAGTTTACTCCAGTCTACTCCAGTCGCAAGGAGATAGCGCATCGAGTTGAGTTATCAGGTTATTTAGGTCTTTCGTCCACATATACTTCGTATGCGACGTATAACTTAGTACCACTTTTTTCGTATCTGAAAAAAGGACTCAGGTGTCTTTCACTCCACTGATTTGCAACTTTAATAATAAAATACCCGCGACATCTTCAAACGTTCTACATGCTTTCCTGCTCATGTACCTACTTACGGCGTACATATGTAGTTTAGCACTCAATTACCCGAGTCTTTCTTTCGTTTGTCTCTTTTTCGTTTTACCCCTTATTTCCTTAACTCGAGCCCTGAAGTTACATCAAACCCTAGTCCTTTTAGAATTTTTTTTCTTCCACGGACGCTTATATGCTTGCATTCACATACATTCACTACATGTACGTATGTAAGTACTAACACAGAGTTCAGAAAGCTAGGAAAATAGCAAGGAACCCCGACTGACCGCCTGAAGTTTCCACTCCAATTAGTGGGGGCTCTGTTAAACTTTGTATTCTTAAGGGGTTTAGCGCCGTATTTCATGCCGCTAGAACTGCCATAATCAGCACGCAGGGTTCACGCCAGTGCCACTCCCGCCCACCGATTCCTCTGATTCCACTGATTCTGGGTAAGTACATTACATGGTCCCCCCTTCTGCGTGTACGATCGATAGGCACAAAAATACAGAAATACCCCCCAGGTATTTAGGTATCTAGGTACATATGTACATGTCTGTATTAGCGTACATGTAGCATGGGTGATTTTTGTAGTCTTTGATTCGTCCCCTGCCAAGTACCTAGGTAGCGCTGCAGGTGCAACGTGATTCTACCACCCCAATCCCATACCAATAACCCAATCCATCTCTCCCTCTCTCCTCGCTCAGTCTGTCAGTCCGCCGCACCTTTGCCTTAACCCTTAACTATTCAATCTTTCGCAATCCTCCCCTACAATTTTTACCTCCTATTTCTTTTTCTGCATCCCAACAGTCGTTCATTTGCCTCCCCTATTCCTTCATACGGTCGGAGGGTGGCTACCAATTTCTTTCTGGTAGCCACTGTTCTAATACACGAATAACATATGCGACCGTATACTACAACGCGGCGTCGACCTATTTCCTTACCGTGAATTCTACGAATGCCCTTCGCCAAGTTTCCCCCCGATTCCGTTCCACGACCTTAATTACATTACAAGAACCATCACAACCGATCAGCTTAAGAATATTAATTGCGACGCTGCGAATCACTATTACAATTGCTGACTCAAGTTTGCGACAAACTAGTACATCGAGACTTGCGCCAATGATCTGACAACCTCCACAACCTAATCGCTAGTCAGATCGATATCGAGGTGGATTTTTAGTACGGCCATGAGTACACCCTTTGAGTAATTACTGGATATTGCGGCGGATTAAGGAGATACGCGAAACCTCGGTCGCATTGGTATTTGTTGACGCGCCGTTCGCGTTTCGCAATGTTGTCTTTCAATCCCAACAGCCATGGCGGAGCGTCGGGTCCTAAGACGCCCGAGCCTACGACCTTCGGCGATGAATTACAACCGCCCTCCCCCCCGCGACGATTCAGATTGAAGAGACGACACCTAACTCCACATTTAAATGCGCCGACTCAACAGTTCTTGGCTTCCGTCGCAGCAGCCGACGTGCCCGTGCCAAGTATCGAGGTAGATGAATCGGACAGTATGATGTATGAGGAAGAAGAGGCGGAGACATATGGACACTTGCAAGTGCGCACCTTTTCACCTCCCAAAACACCCGCAATCGAGTTCGCACCGACTTCCGAAACCAAGTACCCTGACTGGACTCTTGGATCGGAGTGGAGCTACTCAGACCTTGAATCAAGCCCGGAATATGAGTCTAGCAGACCATCTACGGCTTTCTCCACCCAGACCAGCACGTCACTGTTTAGTCAACTCTCACAGGCTACTGAGGATGGCGATTTTATAAGTCCAGAGCCAAAGCCGTTAGAGCTACCCAATCTCGACTCTCACACCAATGTAGATGCGGCGCGTAAGGAGAGATCGCGAAAGGCACCATGGACTAAAGCCATGGATTCGCATTTATGGTCAACTTACATGCTTTACTTGCAAGACCCGCGTGTCACTCCAATTCGTCTTAGTAGGAGCCGTATTCCTCCCACTGGTGTTTGCTTGCGCGTTGCACGAGAAGCTAAAAGAAGCTGGAAAGGATCAAAAGGGCTTTTAACGGCGGACACTAAGAGCGGAAGCAACACCCCTACCGCAGAGACCTCGAAGCCTTACATTGAATGGCCTCATACTTGTGCTGCTACCAGGGCCCATCTACGTGAGCTTTGTAAGCGCAACGCCGCTGCCAGTCCGCGACAGTATAAGTCGCCGAGTCCCGCTCCCTTTTCTAAGGCAGCTCATCGTCGTTGGAACCGAAAATCCGTTCCAGCTACATCACCTTCCATATTCTCTGCCCATGATATGGCTCTTTCCTTGGCAGTGAGCACTTCTGACACTATGAAGCCCGAGGCTCCCTTAGCTCAGCTCACAAGCTCTGAAATGGAGCCTTTACCAGAGCCTGTGGAAGATATCGAGGTGAAGGCAGCTAAGCAGGAACCACTATCTCCAGACGTACCGTTTCTGCCCTCTCCAGTTATGGCTAAGAGCTATGGACCAAGTTCGTCCTCCACCTTTGCTTCAGGTATCAGTTTGCCCCGGCAATCGAATACGGTTGGTTCACGCAAACTCCTCAAGTCGCCGGTTCGCCTCACCCGATCTCGCTCGGGTACGCAGAAGCGTAGGTCCACTAAGAGTGAGGACCTATCACGAAAGCGCCCGAGTCTAGCAGCCGCTTTCTGGAAAGAATCGTCCGAAACTTCGAACAATCTGGTACAAACTCAACCTTCAGTGACGCGCAATCGAGGCAATAGTATGTTCATGCAGGAACCGCAAGAGTTCCCTGGCCCGTCGGCGCCCCACATCGACGAGTCCGACCCTTTTGTTGTGTCAGCTGTATCTGCAGCGCCACCTACGCAGCCACGCCGCCTAGGATCGCCGTTCTCTGGCTCTTGCTCAAGCCTTAGCTTTCCTAACAGACTGTCAACTCCAATTAACTTTAACCTAACGGCTTTACGCCGACCTTTTGCGACCGTACAGCAAACAAGCCAAGAACGTTCGGAAGCGCAACCAGCTTCTAGATCCTCTTTGCCATCCCGTTTGGCCTATCTCGATCAGCGACTAAGAGAAATTCGCAACCGCAGACGTTCTCAGTCCCCCATGTAATCAATATCGGCAATCGCACCATTCTTAAACTACTTTGACACCATCGCGTGTGTTCTTTCTTTGTATACAACTATACCAGACTTCATGATTTCCTTACGACTTGAACGAGATTTTGGACCAACCTGCATTATAGCATATTGGGGTCCTATTTCAACTCACGATTCTTACGACTGTAACTGTCCAAACCTTCAAATATGAAAGAAGGGGGAGTACGGCTTGCAGGCAAACTTTTTCATACGATTCACAACCACTTGCGATTTGGAGATGAGCAGTTTGGAGACCAATTTCTATTGAACCAGGGACATTCACCCTTGACACGAGGATACTACCTCTACGACCACTCTCTTTACGATATTTCTGTTTTCCTTGACGAGTATTACGAAAGATGAAACGATATTCACGAGACAGCAAGATGCACCATTTTTTCTTGTTCGGATCACGGTTACGACTTGGCATGTGCATTCTTGAAACCGCAGACACCAGAGCAAATGTGAAATGAGAGATTTCAGCAGGCCTACCTTACTTGCGTTAGGCAAAATTTTTTATTGCAACGACTAGAAGAAAGCTATCGGCGTCCTGGCTTTGCACTGAGAGGGAGAGAGAAAAAGTTTAGTTTTGATGAATTTGTGATGACGACGAATGGTCACACAGGATCATGTTGCTATTGCTTTGGTTCTTGTTCTTGTTGTTCTAGCTAGGTACTTGTGAACGGGGTTTGTGATAGGCATTCTGATAGATAATGTTCGACGTTAATCGACATAATCTGCTATGATACTATTTCGTCTTAATAAGTGATACGTATCGAAGGCCGAGATGTATCATGCTAAGGTCAATTTTCTGCAATCCAGTTACCCGCCTAGAGTTTTGAATGGGCCATTACATGTATTTTGCTCTCTTGCATACAGGAAAGACAAAAACAGGACAACGCCGCTTAAAAGAGTAGCTATCAAAGTCACGATAGCTGCAGTACTTACAAAACTACCATTGTCGCACGCAAGCAGACAGACAGACACGATATGGTGAGATCTATTCGTATATTATAATTATCAATTACAAGCCAATAGGACATTGTGGGTATTAGTCCTCAAAGGCATCTTCATACAACAAGTAAACAGTCGTTCGACCAGCAGCTGGGAGCCGTGATGATTGTATCCCTCCTCCTCCCGGCCCGGGTATATGTCGTATACTATATGCACAATGCCTGGCTAGGCAAGATCCCCTCCGGTTTCAAATATCCTTAAGATGGATGCATACTTCCGTCGATGTTGCCTGCTAACGTCGTACTACCAAAGTACGCTTGATGTGTCGCAGCGACGAATCCTCCTCCAGATTGCTTACTACTTCCCGCACCCTTCAGCTATTAGAGCAACATGAATCTAATTGAAACGCAGGAAGTACAATGAATTAACGCCAATGAAGCGCCGTCTTCATTCCCAAAGGAAGAGAGATTTGGAAGCGATGCGAAAGCCCAGCCCTTTCTTTAGATGTTGAAATCCAAAAGTTGATAACCGAGATTATGGTGTAGTGTCTTCACGGTGTCTCCAAATTCGACTCAGGAATAGCATCACTACTCGGCGAAACCATGCGAGACCCGAACCTCGACTCGCCACGGTCGGAATCAGACTCGATATAGCCATCCGTAAACGGGGATGGGGCAAGCAGCGGCGATAGTGGTGTAGTATGCGGGCACCTCCCTTGGCCGACAGTCGAGCGATGGGTATGAAACGAGCACTGGCGGAATCCGAACTGGCGTTCCTCGTTTCGGAGATTATTAGACGGCAGTCTTAATTGCGGGTTCTTGAAATGACTCTCGAGGCCCGACTTGGCCATTTTGCGCGTGTGGCTGTGGTATTCGGCAGAGAAGTCAGGGAATTGGTCGAATAATCGCTGGATGTTATTGTTCATCTCGGTGGTTACTACGCCACCGAGCGTCCACGCCGTCATTGCTACAATCCACTTCCGCAACCGACAACTCTCTTGTGGGTCGCACGAGGTGTAGACGTAGTTGATAAGTTTGGGGCTGATATCCCAGTTACATCGGAGGTAAACGTCTTGAATCGCATCCATCGCGCAGTCCTGTAATGCGGGGATGTCAATTTGAGCGGCAAATAGGTGCAAGTTGACCAAATCCCAATGAAGCTCCTTGCAGGAGTGGTCAATTTCGGCGGTGTCGATGAATCTGTCCAAGTTCCTCCGTTCGTTCAACCAATATGTGAAAAGCTCAAACATATCCGGACATTGGTCTTCTAAAGTCATAACAAGGCTCGCTTGTCCCTTTTCAAATTCAAGCCGAGCTGTATCGATGCGCTGGCGAAAGTAATGGCACGATACCAGAAGCTTTCTAGGGACCAAGAATTCCTGGCCATCTGGTCCGACCAGTAATTTGACGGTCGCTGGGCCAGCCAGTCTAAGAGAGCTTCCAGAAGTTAGTATATCGCATATAAATTTAAACGGGATTTTAAACGACTCACGAGTTAAGAGAGCCTGTGGAGGCTCCCTTCTCAATGTATTTTGCTCTCGCCATTTCTATAAGTTCTTGTAAATCATCCAACTAGTGGTATAAGAATCGAAAAAAAGAGAGCAATCCGATAATGACGGTATACGTGAAGAAGAGAAGAACCTGTCTTTCACACACGCACACAAACTTGGTAAACGAAACTAATGGAGTTAAACAGCCCTACATATGAATGAAGTTGGAATGAAGGGGTTTCGACCCGGTAAACCCCAGGAACCCCTCTTGGCAAAGCCCCGAGGAGATGGATATCATAGAGTGACATCTACAGCGGAGTCTACCCTAGCACTTCGCTAACGAACCTAAGATACCCTTGAAGCGACGACATCCCACGTTTACTACTCTATCAGTGCTAAAGATGTCTGAACCGGTTACATCACGGCAACTGTGCGGTATCACGGGACGAAACGCGAACGAGCGCATTCGTGCTAATATCGTGCCCTAGCGATGGTGAGAAGCAAGGGGGTAAGCTAAAGAGATTTGCAACGGATCGGTGGTGGATTCGGGGTCAATGGATCTGAATGGCTGCTTCAGGTTGAGCCCCTGATGCGGGATAGGGAACCGGGATTATGTTCCTAGTTCAGCTTAGACCACCGCCCCCATTTACTTTGTATGTACTTGATTTACTCATTTCGGGTATGGCATCGACCTTAGCATTTTACGAAAGGGAAAAATTAGCAAACGCTATGATTTTCCCAGCGGGTTCCTGAGACATTCTGGAATGAACATGTTCGTCTTTGTGTTCGTCCTCGGTGGGAGACCAGGGAGGGTTATGATCTCGTATCCGATGCATTACAGACAGCTCGTCATTGTAACCCGTTGAAAGTTAGAATCCGGTTTGGTCGATAATGACAAATCGAGATCGGTATTTCTTCCCCCTAGAATACTCCACAGCCACTTAATCTCTTACACGTCTCCGTCTCTGTGCGACTTGACAGACATAATGCGAGTAAGCAAGACGGGATGATAGCTGAATTAATTGATAGCTTTATGGGTAGATAGCTGAGTAAGGGACCAAGCAAGTTTCTTTATCGCCGATGGCGTTAAAGAAAGGACTTGTTTGCTTTGATAGGCAATAGGTAATAGTCGGATAGATTTGATGAAGAATTAAAGTAGAATTAGAAATGGAAAAGATCTCGTGGGAAAAGCGGCGCTAAAGTTTCGATCTTGGATAAGAATCGGGAGATAGCTCGGTAAGTAGCGCGATTGGCTCTTTAACCACTGCTTTATAAGCATTTACACCCATACTTGCTTTTAGAGTCTTCCGGGATAGCTAAAGTTAAATCTCCCCACTATCTCCATATAATATCCAGATGTAACTCCCACCCAATTTTCGCAGAGAATATACGCATTGTATCCCGTAGCTTAGCTGGTGCGGGAAATCGCGGTCTTTTTCCTTAACATAAATTAGTATTTCCTTTATAAAATTGCTTGGGGGTTACTCGCATGAAGTTAATCTATGGAGATAATTTAGTGATGACTAACAATTGCCATCCCGAAGTATAATTCAAAGTCTAGGAATAAGGAAACAACGTCACCGATACTACTATTGGATTCATACCTAGGTAGACGATTGAAACCGACCACTAACCATTAACTACATACTTTCAAACCAGGAAATATTTTTCAAAGCTACGATAAATTCGATGGCACCATCACGTACCTTAAGACCCGCGTCGGGGCTATGGCGCAACACAACTCCTATGTCCAGATTTGTCAATTTGTCAATCGTAGTACCCATCCAAGCCAGTCTAGACTGATATATTTCGGCTCTTCTTTTTCCCTCGTATTCGAAACATTTCTATAAACAATTCTAGAATACCTATTTAAGAAGTAATGACATCCCACGCTTGTACTCAGTAAGTTTGTCGTCCCTGCTACTCACAGGAATAGAAGGAATACTATAGTTCATCTCGCCAACGAACCGATTATAATTACTACTATAACTATTATTGCTATTGCTATTTATTACTACTATACCACTATTATTACTATTAACCGGCTTCCATAAGACCGAACTCGAAACGAACTCCTGATCATCTCGGCAAGCCTTGCCAAGCCACTCCGATTTGCTTTGCATTTCAGAAACTCCGACCGCAAGAGGCGTGAACGTCCGGCATATTCCATATCCCCAGTCGATCACCCCGTAAATCCCATAGAAAACAGGGAAAGTGAGGAAGATCAACATCAATATCAGCCCTTCACTATGACTTCCCACATCGTAAACAAGGCGGCCCCCAACGCGCCCTACTTCACGCCCGCGCAGGAGCCACCGGCCGGTACAGCGGTCGACCCGGCTTCGGCTCCGACGCTCTTCCAGCCGCTCAAGATCCGCGGTTTGGAATTCCAGAACCGCTTCGCTGTCGCGCCGATGTGCCAGTACAGTTCGCAGGATGGACACATGAGCGACTGGCATTTCGCGCATCTATCACAGCTTATCCTTCGTGGCGTACCCTTAACATTTACCGAAGCGACATCTGTTACTTTCAACGGGCGCATCACACCCGAGGACCTGGGTCTATGGAAAGACTCCCAAATCACTGGTTTCAAGCGCGTGGCCGACTTCGCACACTCACAAGGCCAAAAATTCGGTGTCCAACTCGCGCACGCAGGACGCAAAGCTACAACCGTAGCCCCCTGGCTCAAGCCCGCGGGTTGTCTGGGCTTAACTGCTGCCCCGGAGAATGGTGGCTGGGGCGATAATGTGTGGGCGCCTAGCGCCATTAAATTCACAGACGGCTTCCCGGACCCGAAGGAAATGACGCTAGATGATATTAAGGCACTGGTGCAAGCATTCGCTGATGCTGCGAAGAGAGCTGTCACGGCTGGTGTGGATGTGGTTGAGATTCATGCTGCGCATGGATACCTACTATCGGAGTTCTTCTCCCCGCTTAGTAACAAGCGCACCGATCAATACGGTGGTAGTTTCGAGAACCGCACGCGTGTGCTCTTTGAGGTTATCGCGGCGGTGCGTGCTGTGATTCCCGAGTCTATGCCCGTGTTCGTCCGTATCTCGGCCACGGAGTGGATGGAATCGGCCGGTGAGCCGAGCTGGGATATCAATGAGAGTATCCGACTCGCGAAATTGTTGCCCGCCGCGGGTGTCGATTTACTGGATGTGAGTTCCGGCGGTAATAATGCGGACCAGCAGATCGACTTTCACCCTTACTACCAGATCAACCTCGCGGGCGCCATCCGCGAGGCGCTGATTAAAGCGGGTGGTCCGAGAGTATTGATCGGTGCTGTAGGATTGGTTACGACGGCTGAGACGGCACGATCGATTGTGCAGGAGGGTAAGCAACTTGCAACGGGAGCTGCAGTGAATGATGATGTTACAACGGCTCCTGAGGAGTCGGGAACAGCCACACATTGCGATGTGGTGCTCGTGGCTAGGGAATTCCTTCGAGACCCTAACTTCGTCCTACGCGCTGCGCACCAGCTGGGTGTTGAGGTTAAGTGGCCGAACCAGTACCATCGTGCTGGATGGCACAAGGGGCAGAAAATCTAGACGAAGGGGAATGGTGTGATGTGATATTTATACCCATTAAATCGAGCTATACTCTACAGCTCTTCATGATATTTTACGAATAACAACGACTCATATAGACAGGATAGAAATAGATTCAACAAATCAGTATCATTCATCACTAGTGGCATATCCCTCATCCACCGCCGACCCGCAACCAACCGCCCGTTCCGCACAATACTCCCAACTCCCTAGTTCATGCAATATATCAATTTGATCATTTAGCCATCGGTGGGTATTCCTTGCCGTTCACCTCGACCTTTGGCTTGCAAGTGCACCAGTCCTCGGTAGGGACATGGTCGAGCACAGAGGGAATGTGGCTTCCGCAGCCTAGCCATGATGTTTGGCCTTTTCAGATGTTAGTATAAACACCGAACACAAGTTGAGACCTATATAAAATGGGGATATCGAGGCTTATCTATGATTTCGCACTCACCACAAGAGCTGCACTTAGCCTTCATGCACATATTGAGAGATTTTTGTTTTGCTAGGGAAACGGCGGGGTTTTGACGAGACAGATCGTATTTACGACTGCTAATTTTGAGGTAATCTTGAGGGCTTCGACGAAAAGAAAGTAGAATCTCAAATTTAGCTTATCGTTGGAGATGTTATTTAAATGGATAAGAGTTGATGTAGTTATCGCCGAGTCAATTTGTTAGTCCCCGACTAGCTGGGCCGAGGAATCGGCGAAGTGGGAGATGCCGTTAAAAACCGGCTAAGTCGCCGAATATGAATTAGTCTTTGCTTGCTAAACTTTGCTTACATTAATTATCGGAATACTATTAATTACATAAAATAATAATGATTATTCGTATATCTAATTGGAATTTGATGATATTCCGGAGGGTGGGGGTAACATGATTTTTAGGCGTATTGAGAGTGAAAATGAAGAGCACTTCCCTTCGTTCGTTTTGCTTGCCCCGAAATAGTTCCAAGCAAGAGTACAATGATTCACACATTCAACGCTATCGACTATTTACCGCTGCCATTACATACAAAAACACGAAACGCTATGTGACAAACTAACCACCCACTCAATCACTCACCGACTACACAACTTCAAGACGCAGATTTCTCGAGTCCAACCTCGCATACCGACCGGATTAACTGTATAGCAAGTTCCTTCCCGCGAACCAGAGAGTCCTGGTCGGAATGCAAGGGCACATGGAAGAAGATTACCTTCCGTGGTCGTTCCTGTTTGTACAAGTGCGCCAGGCTAGAGAAGTAGATGAAGTCGCATAGATAACGCCCCGCATCCTCTGATACTTTCAATCTGAGGTTGTCCTACATAATATGTATCATTAGCTGAATTTTTAAGTGGAAAATGAGAAATGGGGTTCTTACCGGGCTGTATTCAACCCATTTCTGGTGAATACTGTCAATATCCAAGTCTGTCAAAAGTTCCGCGGGAACATCACTATAATGATGATTAGCATATAAATAATTCAATAGTTAATACCGAAACACTCACTTCCATATCCATTTATCGCCCTCCCTCTTCCTCCTCTGCTCATCACCAAGAAGTTCACCATCAACGTCCTTCTTATCATAGCCATCGCGATGGCCCCGCCTCTCAATCGCATACACGTGTTGGGGGCCGGCCATACCGATATGAATGACGTAATCGAGCTTACGCTCCGTATTATCCCAAAGCTTAGGGACGGTGTCACGGACGACCTCGTAGTTGACGCGGACCGGGCCGTGTTTCAGGATCCGGACGGCGGGTAGGGGTGGTGCATCCGACGAGCGGGAAGACGCAGGATCCTTAGCCCGATTAGGAGGTAGGTAATCCGGAAGTGAGGACGTGATCTCCCAGGCTGGGTTTACGGGATACTGTTCCTTAAAAGGCTATATTATAAAGCAGGTAAGTAAGATCCCGTGTTGGTGGCGTTCGATTGACTGTTGGTGTTGTGTTAGGGTATCACAACGTACCCCGAAGCCGGTGACCAGCACGGTCAGCTCATCCTTAGTGTCGAGAGATCCCATCTCGTGCTGCAGTTGAATGACGACACACGGTGAAGAATATAACCGAATTAAGAATTATATATATAATATACGAAACGAATTCAAAACCTTGTATGTAACTTCAAAAAACCAAGACCTCCCAGTACGGAATGTATAGGTAGATAATATGTATGTAGTATGAAAACGGTAGGTCTCAGCTGTGGTTGCGGGGTTCGAGTTCTTGTATACCTAGGTAAGGTAAGAGGGGTACACTCCCGTTAACAGTGAAATTGAAGTAACGAAAAAGAAAAGAAAAGAGACAGAACAACTCGTGATTAGTTTACATGTTCAGTGATTTGAAGTTACTTTATATAAGAAAGGAATATATAATATTTCTAGTTATAAACTAAAATCAATCAAACACCGAAACAGGTCCAGCCCAGATCCGATAACAACTAATATGGTACCATTCGCAATTGAATGCTTTTTTTCCTTTTTCTTTTTCCTTTCCGCAGGGATGTAGGTAGCAGATTACCTTACCCAGCATGTCGAGACTCGGTATAATCCTATAGAATTCAGTCTATCTGACATAAGAAAAGTTGTTGTTGTTTCCGGCCGTTACATTATTCTTATATTTCGAACCAACTATAGTAAGCATGGAGTTGTTGTTATCTGTAGGAAGAAAGTCAGAATTGATGGAATTGTCAGATGAAAATCATTGGCTTTAAGATCTAATACGTGTTAAGGTTAGGCCTGAAAGCATGTCAGATTACAGTACTCCACCTGTTGGAACCTTGAATTATAGGTACCGAATAGGGAGCGTGTAGTGGTCGTGGGGCGTTATGCATTCTTCATTCGGATGTTGCACCATCATCGGTATCGGATAACTCACAACCTCTGGTTACACAAACATACCAAGAAAGAAAAGAGAAGAATTTTTTTCTCTTTTTCTTTTTCTCCCTGCCTAGATCATGGTAAAAATATAATTCCCCCAATATTTGGAAGACTGTGTAACATTAATATGATCCATCAAGGTTGACGAAGTTGGCGCCGTGCATAGCGTCGGCGGACATGTTAGCCAATTATTGAGGTCCATCGGGAATTGGAGCAGGCCTAGGTGCGGAGACAGACGAAATATGGTCACCTAAACGGGAAATGACTGACTTATCGTGACAGCGGCCATGGCCTCTACATGTTCCGATCTATGTTTGTGGCGTCTTCAACTGCGGTACGTCTATTCTGTCCTACCCCAGCCCCCTTTGTTACTAACAAGAGAAATTAGGCTTTCGTAGGCCTAGCAGCCGCAGCTGTAGGCGGCATCCTCACAGGCAGCGGGAGCATGGGCTTCCTCCTAGGCTCATGCGTAGGTTTTGCCGGCGGTGCTGTACACTACTACCGCTCGTGCCTACAACAAGCTCTCGCAGCTGTCGATGAGCACCCTCGCCTCAGTAAGACCCTTTAATTAACACACTCATCCGCTCAATTCTATCCACTTACACGAAAATATAGTGCAACTCCATCTATCCTACAACTTCCCATGGCGCGGATACCAACAACTCCCCCACAGACTCTTGCGTTCAGAGCGCTGGTGGCGTGCAGGACCCTACGCACGCCAAGGGAATCTGATCGCCGCGTGGCAAAGCGCGAGTGCTGCTCTTGATGAAATTCATGATCGGAGGACGGCTGTCGTGCTTGAAGCTGCAGTTGCCGAGGAAGCAGCTAGAGGATTAATTGGCGATGGTGATGAGAAAAATGAAGGCGAATGGAAGGGAGAGGAATGAGAGCGTGCGCAACTTGTCTAATTGTTCACGTCATCGGAATAAAGAAGCCATAGCTAGTTAATACATTAAACATCATCATTTTAGACTTGCTAGAGCCTATATCCGTGCGTGCGTGCGTGCACTACATTATAGCAAGAACTCCTTTTCCTGTAATTCATCTCTCTTTATCAACATCAAGATCCCTCTTCGGGGTCTAGTATCACCAAATCACCCTTATCATCATACGCAACTCGTCCCTCATTAACCGCCTTGCGCATCTCCTCCGACAGGACATCCTTCTCGCCCGTCTTCGGGTTCCACGCCCAACCTTCGCGCATCCACATCCAACGGAGGCAAGCTCGAAGCTCCTTATCCTCGGGCAGTACGCGCATCCACTCAGGCTGAAACTCTCCTTCGCCCTTCTTCTTACAACCACCCTTCCCCATCCAATCTTCTGCACGTCCTCTCAACACATCTCGACAAAAGATACGCCAACTATCAATTGCGTATCGACCCTGAGTCATATGTCCAATCTCCCAAGCCGCCTGTCTCGGATCAAGTTCCTCAGGTCCAACTTTCTCTCCCGCGCGTACATCGGCGCCGTCGCCTAGGTTTGGATAACTCTTAACGCCATATCTTGTATCCGCTGTCGGTGGGTTGTCCAGCCAGATATTCGCGTATTTCTGAATAGCGGCAGCACGGACAACTGCTAGGCCTAGGTGTCTGACCATCTCTATAATATCGCCCGTATCGGCCTCTGCGAGCTCTGCAGGGGTCGGGTATTTTTCCATGAGCTGATAGAATACCGGAATTGCTTGCTTGCCTTTGACGCGGATCAGAAAAGTGACGGCTACAAGTACCCGGAAGGGATCTGAAGCGAGCTCTTCCTGAATAAGTCCGAATTGGGGCGCGTCTAGTGGCGGGATGGGGATGCAAGAAATGGTGCCCCTAGGAGGACGGGGAGGTTTTGTTTTAGTTGGGCTAGGCGTTTGTGGCATAGCAAAGTAAGGGGACTTGGTTTTGCGTTTGGGTGTCTGAGATAGTGCTTGTGATGGAGGATATGTGTTCTCATTTTCCTCTAATTTCGTCGTGAATTCTTGAATCTCGTTACTTTTGCTCGATGTGTTGAGGCTTGACTTGGTCGTATCCAATGTAGTCTCGACACCATTAGGAGCGGTTAATGGTGAGTGTTGCTGTTTTAACGAATCTCCCATTTCGGTATCCGCGGAGGTATGGATGGGAGAAATATCGCGCAGGATACCAGAACCACTCACAGACTCCTGGCGATCTATGAGTGGCGCCCTTTTAAACCGGCTTTGCCATTCTGAGAAGCAGGGGAAGGGGACATAGAGGGTCTAGGAGAGTCCTTGTGTACAAGAACATAGGCATCCTCGTCTGAGTTGGGGGTGATGACATTTCCACCTGGATGAACCTTGCGAGCCTTGGCAAGGGCTGGTCTCTCAGCCGAGAGATGGATGATCGGACGTTTCTGATCAGGGGCCTGTCCGGCATTCTTAGTGGACCTTCCCAGGGATCGTCGCGCCTTTCTATCCTCATGGGGTTTCTTCTCATCCTCTAGGGGAATCAGTTGTTGGCTGGAAGCTTGGGTGGCAGCAGTAGCCCAGAAAGGTGATTGCTTGTTCTTTCCGTGCTTCTTGGTAGGCTGGTCCAAGTCTGTCTTCAATTGAGACTGAAGTCTCTTTCTTCCCTTGGGAACCTGCGCATAGTGGTTGACAGTACCCTGATCTGATGTGCCTTGAGATCCCTGGAACATCTTGGTGAGGAAGGTAAGAGTGTCTTGACCATCAAGGGGGTCGTCAAATGAAGCTTTATCCTTCATGGACTCTGCACAAGCAAGCGTTTGTTCCCACTGTTCAGCACCACGTAGTAGGCTATGGCGAGTGAAGTGCTTGAGTTCATCTTCAGGTACATTGCCATTCACGATGATATCTCCAATGTACCATTGTCCAAACTGATCACCAGCGTCGAAACCGGATAGGTAATCTTGTGCTAGCTTTCTCTGGGGCGCGTATTTATCGTCCGCTCCCTCAGACAGGTAGTCCTTTCGAACTTGATCCATTTTTTCGGTGAGGAAATCGGCGTGTGTGAATTAAATCAAGTATTGGGATAGAACAAAAGGTAAACCCTTAACAAGAATGGGACGGCGATACTTAGTAGAGCAAGGAATTTGAATCGTATCCTAGTAATTCAAATATTCTTACATAAATATGCCTAAAAGCCAATCCAAGTAAGGATATAGGCTGTTTTAATCAATGAAAAATGAATGTGTTGGATTTAAGGGAATGTCGCGATGTTGTTATTTACCTGAATACCTGGGTAGGTAGTTAGGTCGGCGCGTGAGAAGGTGAAAAAACACCTGGGTAGGTTTGCGTAAAAAGGAAGGAGAGCTGGATAATTAATAGAGGTCCCGACATCCTCCTGCTTCCGCCGTTGCCCAGCGCCATCTCATTTAAATAGCAGTTGCTATGGCGAGTTTCTGCACTGTTGCTCAATGCCTAGGGCAGGTGCTGACATGAAGGTTTAGGAAAGAAGGTTCAATAAGCTGGGGCAGTGGCTGAAAGCGCTAACACGCACTGACCAAATATGTACCTTCGACGTACCTTCCCTAACTCTTTCATGAGTCGGGTACTTGTATCAACATTGAATCTTAGGCAGGAAACAGAAGCAGAGTTTTACTCGACAGGAAACTATTTATTTTTAGGAATTATATATATCCAGATAAAAATATAAGAATATCTGATCGAGTTGAGAGAAAATTTGTCTTCACAGGTATCTATTATCAAGTCGGTCCCGTCGTACTTTCAAGTAAAACTTCTGAGAACGTCTAAATTTAAAGGACTTGATATACACTCTAGAGTCGCGACTCAGGATTACTCCCGCCCCTAGTAACCTCACGTCTTTTTCTTCCCCCTTCGCCATAACAAAGGAGCGGTATGGTGACTTTAGTAGTACATACAGCAGCAGATGCTCGTTTATGAGCGGACATTGTTGGATGCCTTAGGTGGGTCGTAGACGATCTTCCTCGACTTTAGTGTCGCCCACTTATATCGCTTAACCCAAACACTTAGAGCGAAAAGGACAGCGGTAACAGTCAAAACCTTGACACCCATTCGCTTTCGGTCGTCCATCTCCGGTTCCGCCGCCCAGTTGAGGAATTCCGTTACATCCTTGGCCATCTGAGAAGTAGAGGCAGGGGTCTCATCTTCGTACTCAACGAGACCATCATATAGGACACGGGCCATAGCAATACCAGTACCCGGGAAGTAAGGGTTGAAGTTTAGACCAGCACCGACAGATGCTCCTGCAGGGGGCTCCTCAGGGTATCCAGTTAACAAGCTGAAGATGTAATCGCAACCACCGTGTCGTCCCTTAACAATCAAGCTTAGATCAGGGGGGAGGGCACCGTTGTTGGCAGCTCGAGCGGCTTCGTCGTTCTTGTACGGCGCAGGGATGTAATCTGATAGCTTTCCGGGTCGCTTCTCGATTTCACCCTCATCGTTGGGTTCTGTGTCGTATTCATTTTCTTCCGCCAACTCCTTCGCCTCATCGACAGTTAGGATGGTTCCGACAAGTGCTCGGTAAGGAACTCGGCTAAGAGAATGGCATGCTGCACAGACTTCACGGTAGACCTGGAAACCTCGACGAAGACTGATAACTGTTAGAAGAGATTGGAATACGTAAGAGATAAGATATAATACGTACGATTGGTGGTCGAAGGTTTTTAACCACTGCTGGTGAACCCATGGGTATGCTGTCGGGTGTAGACTATTTTGATATGTTAACATCGCTCTATTGATGCCTCTTCGAAAGACAGATCGTATCATCTTTCCGTATGCCTCGGTATGGACTCACCCTTCCTCAGCAGGCGTCATGGCATTCGCAGTAGATCCATAGAGATGATAGTACCATGCTACAGATCCGACAGCAAGAGCTGTAGATGCAGCAGTAGCGATGTTAATTTTCGTTGCGGATTCGCTGGAGGCTCCGGAGCTCGACGAAATAGATCGCTAAAATAGGACAATTGTTAGTTATATGAATGCTTCTTTAGGTCCGCATTGTCATTGTGGTAGTCGTCGTTGAGATCATTGGGTGGAGTTGGAGTAGATGGGATTCCGGACAATAACGTCAGTCCCCGGATGGTAATCGTACCTTGGTAAAAGCGGTCGCGCCATTTCTGGCTCCGTTGAGAATGCGCGTAGAGCGCAGGCAAGATCTTGCCAACATGAAGGGCGAGGATTTTCTACCCGTTCGTAGGAGGGTTGCGACGGGTAGATTGACGAATCAATTGGAGGGGAGAGGTGGTTGAGAGTTGGTCGTGGAAGTGTGGAAGAGATCGAACCGGGAATCCAACAACAAGGTTGAATGAATTGAATGAAAAAGTGCTCAGGCCTTGAAGCAATTGGAAATACCTCCATCCTATTGGTCCAGCTTAGCTCCAGTGGGCTGTTCCACCATGCACGTGATCCTAAATGCCAAGACATTTAGATCGCTACTAAATTTCATGTCTCCAACTTTTTTAACTTTCATTAAATTCGGAGAACTGGGACTTTACAAAACACCATACAACTATTCGCGATTTGTAAGGACAAAAAAACAAGTTTCTAAGGTGTCACCTTTCATGTTGTATAACATAAAGAAGTATATCCTTTTTAAATTAGGGAATCATGTTTCACAGTAGAGACGAATCTATTTTCCCCTCCTACTTCACAAAACGCATGAGAAGTATATGACTTCGGATGCTGTAATGCAATGCTGAATTTTTAGTTTCCCCCTTTTTCGCGAACCGGATATCATCAAATTCCAAACCTTTTGTTACAAATTGCGAAAACTATTTTTGCCTCCTTCGTACTTCGCAAACGACGGCCCCTCAATGGCTATTTGCTCAATGAACGCCATTCATGCCTAACACCTTTCTTCGTTGCTTGACGGCATTCGCGAGGTTGTCAAGCACGGATACGGTGTCTTCCCATCCGATGCAAGCATCTGTGATACTGACACCATACTGAAGACCGGCCTTTCCTTCTTTCGGTACCTTCTGGGAACCTATTGGGGTGGGTGTTAGCAAACTTAAGCCGATATAAAATTTTGGAGATAGCTTACCCTCGTTGATATTACTCTCAATCATTACGCCCATAATAGCTGTCTCTCCCTTGGAGATCTGGTCTGCTAATTCGGCGGCGACCTTGGGCTGATTCTTGTGGTTCTTTAACGAGTTGCCATGGCTGCAGTCAACCATAAGCCGTTCTCGGACTCCTGACTTGGTTAGGGCTGCCTTGGCATCTGCGATGCTCTTCGCGTCGTAGTTGGTACCACGACTTCCACCTCGAAGGATGACATAGCAGTCATCGTTACCAACGGTGCCGACGATAGCTACAACACCGGGCTTGGTGACTGATAAGAAGTGGTGAGGATGTCTAACCGCGCCGATAGCATCGATCGCGACACTTAGCGTTCCGTCCGTACCGTTTTTGAATCCCACCGGGAACGAGAGACCACTCGCCAGCTCCCGATGCAATTGACTCTCAGTTGTTCGCGCACCGACTGCTCCAGCCGACAGTACGTCCGCTAGGAACTGAGGAGAGATGGTATCTAGCATTTCACTAGCAATCGGCATCCCCTTGTCGGTAAGATCGACAAAGAGTTGTCTCGACATACGCAGACCCTTGTTAATGTTGAAGCTGTTATCAATATCCGGGTCATTGATTAGACCCTTCCAGCCAACTGTGGTTCTCGGCTTCTCAAGGTAAGCTCTCATGACAATGAGGAGCTCGTCCTTGTGCTTCTCCTTCTCTTTCAACAGCATGTCGCAGTATTTGAGGGCCGCTTCGGGGTCGTGAATAGAACAGGGGCCAATGATGACTAGGAGTCTTTGTTTTCCATCAGTGCCATTGACTACCTGTACCACCTCTTCGCGGCTTTCGAGGACCGTTTTCTTCGAGAAGGGTGTTTGGGGGATCTCATGTTGGAGTAGGTCGGGCGGCGTCAGAGGATTGTAACCACGAACTGGAAAATCAATTAGCTGCAAGATCAATTATCTCCTAAGGACTAATACTTACTTCTCCAATCCTCGCTATCGGCCTTGTTGCCGACGTTCTTGTTCTCAATGTAGAAGCTCTAGAAAGCAATGAGTCAGCTATGCACACCCGCGTTACAGATTTGGATCTAGTTTAACTTACAGACATGATGGGCTAACTTGACCGATTATCGTCTCTTAATATTTCTGTTTAAGGTGGCAAGATTTGAGAAACTAATTGAGCCAATAGTCAATCGGTTAAACTAATGACACAATATGAGAATTCGGCGTCTGTCGCAAGTCGCAAAGAAGTCGCAAGAAGGTGGACCGTTGACCTTTTGAAGATCTAGAAAATATTAGCCCACTCGGTCCACTCAAGAGTCATAGTGGGGGCGGGACGGTTTTGGCATTAAAACGCCGAGGGGTACGTACTCACTTCTTACGAACTTTACCAACTTTGACTGCCTCCGATGGCGGGGTTCGAGAAAAAAAAAAGGTCTTTAGCAGGGGTGTCCATCCTACCTACTGCAATGTATGCATGTACCTATTACCACTACATGCACATCTGTACTTCAACAAGTCAAGAACATCCAATGCCATACACCTGCAGAAATAGTCGCATGATTTGACACGACCATGATAGGCTAGTTATGTCTGCGATGACCCTTTATTAAACTTGTACTTCTGTACTAGGTATATCGTAAAAAAGAGACTTTGTTGAAGTTGAGCGCTCTAATATCTATCCGTCCTTCATTGTCTCGTTTCCCTTTGAAATCTCGGCCGACCCGAGTTAATATCTATCAATGCTAGGTTGTGATTTGTAAAAAAATCCAATTCCAGAACCAATAAACCGGGTCGATGGGTAAGGTGCAATTCAGTTGATTGTTCCTGTATCGACGGCTATCAAAAGTTCCGTCTACTAGGTATGCAAGTACCTAGATAGAGATGCGTCTATTCCCGTTTGATCCCAGCCGGGTTGCCCACAGCTTCTTTCTTAAACTCTTCGATGCCGTTTATCTTTCCATAGGTCCACTTCAACAACATGGTGCTTCCGGTCATTAAAGAAGCAGAGAACGTGAAGAGTAGCGCCCGCTGCCACGTGTTCAACAACTCGAAAATGGGATAAGGGTACCTTTACCAACGTTAGGGATCAGCTAGAACACACAAAGATCTTTCAGATCTAGATTCGACAAAGCTTACCAGCCATTGCGGGAGAAACAGTATTCCACCCAAAACCAATACAGGAACGCCAAAGATTCACTCAAAGCCAACGCCGAGTAACCATGAATGGTCCAAGGGGGACTGAGAACAAGCAAATCCGTGGCTAGGAACAGAGCTGGGGCGGCATGAAAGCCAAAATCCGGAAGAAAGTCGAGTGCTAGATCGGGTGGGACAACGAGGGTCTTATCGATGGCGCAGAGTCCCCAATAGAGGATACTGATTAACACCTCCAACGGCGCCGAGCACACAGAAAGGATATTCTTAAGTGCAAATAGCTGCGACGAGAGCGTCACATCGGCTAGAGCTCCGACAACAAAAGTGCCTAGTGAAAGAGATAGGCCGATAATGGTAAGAAATTGGAAATGTCCACCAAAAGATGAAGATATCGGCGTTTCCCAGTTGAAAAGAAACTTAAACGAAGCTGAAAAAGATGCAATACCAGCCACGTGCAGCAACAAGGACAGTTGTCTCGACGGAGACGCGAGTCTCTGGAGTGGATGGTGCGCCATTTGATTAGCGGTGGGAGAAACAACGGTAAGGTATGATTAGAATAAACCCTTCTCTAATTACTTCCTCGCGACTCTATCGTAAACGAATGCTGCCGGAGCATCTAGCCTCGGAGTTAGAATAAATTATTACAGAAAAAAAATAGGAGGTGTGTTAATCCTGGCAGCCTCGGTAGATACACGCATGCAGGTATTTCGGGGAGTAGCTGCCGTCCGAGCTCCCGGGATGTTGATGTCACCGCTGTATTACAATAGGTTCGCAGTTACATGTACCTATGTATCTGTTTCACGGGAAGTACCCACATGTGCATCAAGTGGCTCTATACATTTATCGGCGATAGCACCAATGACGCCATGCTCTCGACGCACGAGGTTGGCGAAGTTGTAAAAACATTGAATCAAAGGGCGCGTATCTACATTTATCTTATAAGGCGTGCCCTTTAAATTGTTTCGGCATCAAAATGTGGAACCAAGTGTTGTTTCAATTTATTTTGAGGTATCTTAATTAAGAGGTACGTACTTAAATGCTACCTTAGATTCTTATGACTCCTATTTGAAGTAACTCCGTGCCTCGGAGAATGTCATGATTAGGGGGATATTCTCATGACTTTGAAACAGCCACCACTATGTAAATATGAGACGTTCAGAAAACTTAGGATTCAGATGGATGCTTGTTAGTAGCATCCCCTAATCTGATTTCTTCCTCAGCTATGGATTACAACTCGACTATTGGATGTCAATATTCAGGATTTTAATATCCTCCTCCGGCTTTTCCTTATATGTTCGTACGTTCTCTATCTTATGGATCACATCCAATCCTTGTACAGCTCTTCCGAAGATGGTATGTTTATTATCAAGCCATGGCGTCTTTTCAGTAGTGATGAAGAACTGACTTCCATTCGTATTGGGACCGGCGTTTGCCATGCTCACAGTGTATGGTTTGTCATGCTTGAGCGTACTGAACTCATCTTCGAATTCCTTCCCCCAGATACTCTCACCACCGGTTCCGTCACCTAAGGGATCGCCTCCCTGAATCATGAACTTACGTATCACTCTGTGGAAGATGGTGTTGTTGTAGTACCCACGCTTGGAGTGAGTGACAAAGTTCTCAACGGCTTTTGGCGCAGCATCTGGGAAGAGGCGGACGTGGATGTCTCCGTAGTTCGTGTGAAGGACGGCCGCTGTACCAGTTTCTGCGGTCTTCTTTTCTGCCGCCTTTTTAGGGTTTAGGAGTGTCGGCTTCTCGTTTTGAACATCTCGTTCAGATTTGGATATTTCTTCGTCGTTTGTAAACATATAAAACCGAACTTTCCCAACAGCAGTCGCGAATAGTATCGGGTCTCGCGCTTCCGACTCTTGTAGAAGGGGATTACTCGAGGCTGCCATTTCTATGGTTGTGACTCCTTTCTTCTGGGGCTGTCCTTGGTAGATTGCTAGGTTAACTGGGCGGATATGTTCGTCTTTTCCGTACACCTTAACAACTTGATTCGTAAAGGTGTTTAGCACCTTGACACCAAGTATAGATCCGTATAAGATGAAGTGACCCGATTCGTCAAATATGACATTGACTTTATTTCGAAGTGCACTCGATTCGATCTCGCGCTCTGCAGCAAGCCGTCTCCCAAAATCCACATCATCGAGCTTTTGCATAGCCGTTCCCGCCCTTTGCATATCCTCGATTACCTGCAGCGACTCGTCGTACGTTCGATATAGTTTCGCCGATGCGAAATCAAAGACTCGTATCTTACGGTCGGGCACGGAAAACGTGACAAACCGATGCCCCGAAGGTGATATTGTTAAGGATACTGGTGTCGATTTCGCTTTCTTGAACTCGAAAAGGTTTGTAGCGCTCTTATATTGGAACACGTTGTCTGGCTTCTCGTAATTTGCGCTTGGTGACCAGTACTCAAGCATCCCATTGTCGTCCGCAGACACCACGCAGTCGTACGCATTATTAAAGGCCATTACCGAAACTGGGCTCCTATGTAGACCTTTGATCGTATGTATCGGAGTTTGACTTTCTCCCCGTCCGTCATAAATATAAATCAGGGGTTTCGACTCGTCCGAAACGGCTAGCAGCGGCAGCGAGGCGCCGAGTTTATGTATCCAACAAACGCACTTAGGTGTATAGTCGAGTGTAAGCATAGCAAGTAGGTCGAAGATGATAACATCGAATATTTTAACGGTGTTGTCGGCGCCGGCCGTCGCAAAGCTTCGGCCATCATAGCTAGCTGAGACTGATCGTACTTCGCCCTGGTGAGCCTTGAACTCCTTGATAAATTCGATTCCCTCGGCGACTTTCTTCCAGAATTTAACCACCCCGTCGATAGAAGTTGTAATGAGAAAATCGGATCGCGTCACATTGACGAATGATAATTGCTCTTTGTGCATTAGGGATTTCGAATATCGGATGGACTTTGGGAGCGCTTCGACGTATAACTTCTCGTGAGGGAGTATGCGACGTTTCTTCTTAGGCGCGGCTGTAGAGGAAGGCAATTGAGGTCCCATATCATCATCCGAAGAGCTATCTATGCCATCAACGTTAATTTTCATGGATAATTGGGTAGAAAATCTGATATTAATACCATCGCCATTGTTTTCTGCGAAGTCTGAGTGACTTCTCTTATTGTTTACTTCCGCCATGGCGTAGAAACTCTAGGGGTAACGGTGGTGAGGATGTCGCGACGAGAGTATTTGAGATGTATGGGTAGCTATAGTTATTAGATAGTCAACACATAGACCTCTATTAGGAAGTCCGACTCAATCGTGTGATGAGGCGCATATGTTAGACAGACGACAAGATCAACATGATGGTTGTAAGGCTGGTAGCGAAGCAGGAACTTTGCAGCGAAGCTGGGATAGCTCTAAAAAATATTCTAGTTCTAATTGGGTTAGGTAAATTCCCATCGGTCTTTAAAGGATCCGATACTACCCCACAACTGATAGGTCACACATAAGTCCACGCACTTAACCTTCCTTAGGTCTAAAACGTCCCACCCAACTGGGACCAAGCTTGCCAAGTCTTCTGTGAACCGTCCATTAGGTTACCGCACCCGCTTCCGAAACCTTAACGACCGGGCGGTATCGTAGCCCCACGCAGCTACCTGTGATGGATCTATGTAAAAATGACGAATGCGGCATACTGTACTATACTGTACTACGCGAATCTTCCTAGCGCTGAGAAAAAAAAAAGAAAAAAAAAACCATGGAAGTTCGTATGTTCGTACAAGGGTAATGTAAAAAACCTCCATGACTTCCCCCCATGCTCGATTCAATTACTACAGTTTATTAGTGTTGCAATCCTATTATACAGGCATACGAACAAGCATCGGAAGTTGATCGGATATAACTTCATACTACCCAAGGGGGTTCTAAAGAGATTGCAGCCAGTCGTGGGCTAGTCAATACCAGTCGATACCAGTCAAGGCCAGCAGGGTCAAGTCAGCTCTACCCAACTACGTGAGAGAGCGGAAAGCGGGGTAGCACGTGTATACGGAATACCGGCGCACGTACAGTATGGAAGGAACACAAAGTACACCGTGGCATGTACATGTGCACTTTCCAGCAACCAGCATTCAGCGTTTAGCATGGTTCCTTTTTCTTTTTTCTTCTGTAGCAGGCCGAGACGTCCGGGATTACAGCCAGTCCTACATGCTACTACATTACCACCATACTATGTACCATACCACCACGTCTACCACATAACTACCTCAACCATACATCCATACGTATAATAGGTATGTACCTCATATGGTAAACAGTATACGCAACCATCCCCCGGTTCCAGTGCAGAGGAACTCGACCAATTCCACGCATAACATCAAGGTTCCGGGTCTCGCACTCCCAGGGTCATGCAGAAATGTGTGCTTACCACGTCTCTTTGATCAATCACTCCCCGCCATTCCGCCGGACTGACTACTGTACCTGGTCTTGGCCTTATCTCTTCGCATTACTAGACCGAAGATAGGTAGGTAGTCGAGAAAAATAAAATAGAGGAAGGGAAAAAAAAAAAAAAAAAAGGTCTTGTAAACTCCTCACGCGCCCAGAACGAAGGAAGCGTTTAAGGCGCAGAGCTATATATCAATCAACACAATCCCAACAATAAAGTCGCCCTCCCACCACCCATTACCACCAACCATCACCATACCCGAGACAGGTTATATTTCTCGCAACCGATCTTTCGGAACTGCAACTGTGCCATCTCATCTATCATCCCATCATCCCTTCCCCTTCCCCAATCCTGCATTGGTCAGCAGAGCCGTGTAACAATCCTTCCCAAGAAAAGAAAAAAATACTGCTGCCTCTCAGGCCGAGAGTCCTGCATGTCGAATATGCGCCACAGTCGCCGCTGGAACGAGGGATATTGTGCTCGTACAATCTCCCACACTTAGGCCACTCATCGATAGTAGGAGTCGTCGGCGTATCATGCCACGCCCGAAAAGACCCGGCGCACCTGAACCGAAACGGCGAAGTCGAAATGGATGCTGGTATGTGCTGTGACAGCTTGCTACTATATACATGCCTGCTTGCGTTGCCCTTCTTTTTCTCTTCCGCCCGTTTGCTTGCGCACCCCCAGCTGACTCAGTGACTAGGCCGTGTAAGAACCGCAAGATTAAATGCGGTGAAGAGCGACCCAATTGTTTAAAGTATAGCTGACGCCTTTCTTTTTATCTGAAACCCTTCCCGAAGCCCTGTTTGTGTGACTTGATCCAAATGTAGCTAATACGTGTTGATTAAAAAGTTGCCAGAGGACCGGTGAAACATGTGACTATAGCATCCGACTGAACTGGGAAGGTCGAAGAGGAAAACGACCAGAACCTGGTGTGATAGACTTTGGCCGAGAGGTCTTATCACCGCCCGCCAGAGGGTTCAAGCTGGTTCATCAATATCCTTCGGCAGACGCCCCAGGAACACGGAGACTGGAACCCCTGACCAGCCCGTCAAGCCAGCCAAAGGCTGAGCGCAACAACACCAATAGAGTACTTCCTCAGGCCGTAGTTCCTTTAGAAAATCCGTCATCTACGAGTGTTGACGATACGGACTCCCCTCTGCCTGCCAGTAAGCGCGCGAAGCTGACGTCGGATCTCCAGTCGCCCGAGCTCCAATCGGCGCGCCCGATTGAACAGAGACATAATTCTGCAGCCAGCTCGACCTTGGACTCGAGCGTAGCGTCCTTCCGGTTCACAGTCGGGTCTGGTTTGTCGGCCGGGTCCCCACTGACCCCAACTACATCGTCTACATTTAGCGACGATGATCAACGCCACGCGAGCCGGAGACTTTCCGTCAATTCGCTCTTATCGGCACCACCGGGTCCTCAGGCTTGGCCGGATGAAAATAGTAGCCGCGCCAGCACCAGCCTACCGCCGATAGACACACGATCGCGACCATCGGCGAATTCAACTTATTATGGCGTCGACCGAGGATTTGCGGACCTCGACTTGGGTAGAAATGATGACATGGCCGCCATTAGTGGCTCATCGCCGCTATTACCACGCGAAGGAGATAACCCTTTCGGGCAACACAGTGACGATATGGTTTGGACCGAATTTGGATTCGGAGTTGAGACTAATGAATTCGAGGAGGAAGAGGGTGGGTATTACTCAAAGCCCGTATCGATTTACATTCCTCGCAATCTCGAACCCCTCCCATCCACGTAAGTGAGGCCTTATTCAAAGGCGGGGTGTCTCGTGTAGCGCTTACTGACATCCAACCAGACTCATAGACAATCCTATGAACCTTCTCGTAAGTAATTCCTCAATAAGATATTAAAAATCATGTCTAACAATTCATAGTACTTTGTAAGTTATAATATTTGAATGAAAAATAGGAATTCGACTTACATATTGACGATTAGCATCACTTCTTAAACCATACCGCTCGAGGTAAGCCAATTCTCTCTCAAACCCATAACACTTGCTAACCCCAGCCAAGTCCTCGTCCCATATGATGATCCTCACGCCAATCCATTTCGGACAATCCTCCCACAGATGGCCGTCAAGAATGATAACCTCTTAGCGCTCCTCCTAGCATATTCAGGTAAGGCCGTCATATACCCCATATAGTAGCAAACATTTATACTTATACCATATGTATAGCTTCGCATAGAGCACGAGTTCTCAATCATCCGGAGCCAACCTTCAGGATTGCTGTTTGGGTGGATGATGTATTTCCCTCTCTCCGGCAGGCTCTCAGCGACCCGAACAAGAACTTCTCAAACACGAATCTTGCGACCGCCATCATGTTGACTTCACTTGAGATCATCTCACCGAAACTTTTTGGATACGACATACCATGGCAAAGGCACCTCGGTCTCGCAAGGGAACTGATCACAGCGCGTCCAGGTGGCCTACGCGGACTACAATCTAATTTCCGTCATGATCCTGTTTGCTCTTTTCTGTGGAGCTGGGCTGCATATCTAGATGTGATTGGTAGTCTTAGTGGAGGGCCTAAGGATTCGTCTTCTGCCTGGATATTCGACTACGAAGTGGATGACATCGACGATGGCTACGATGAGATTGACTGCATCATGGGTTTTACTACGCGCTGTATCTATCTCCTTGCTAAGATTGCTGATCTTGCTAGGAAGTGCGATTCCGAGCGTATCGGGGACGATTTCAATGTGCGAAACGACTGGGAGCCAAGTGAAGAAGTTTTCGAACAAGCTGCAAAGATCGAAGCAGCTGTCACTGAGAGCATGGTCCAATCGCCTGTTCCTTGCAAGCATATCCACAAAAAAGGGGATATAGAAAAGTGGGATAGGCGCGAGATGGAAGCGACTAACGAGGCATTCCATTGGGCAGGTCTTGTCCATCTCTATCGTAGGATCATGGGCAAGCGATCCGAGGATGAGATGGTTCAAACAGCCGTGCAGAAGATCATTGAATGTTTTGGTCGAATTCGACCGGGTGGAACAGCAGAATCATGTCTCCTATTTCCTATGTTCACTGCGGGATGTGATGCGAAGGACGAGGGACACAGAACCCTTATCCTGAATAGGTTCGTGACAGCTGAAAATCACGGGATGACCCAGGTGAGTTGAAAAAGTCTGTATTTTGGCTATTGCTTCTAACAAGATATCTTAGATACACAGTGCGCGTCGACTCATGCAAAGAGTATGGGAGACGGAAACGCCCTGGGAGACCTTGGTAAGCACGGAATTTATTGGATAACGTTTTTCTCGATACATACGGGAAGATTAAATAAAACGAGGTGTAATGTCTACCATGTAATATTTGCAAGGCGGCTGTCCTTGCAGGTTGATACCAACGATACGGATATGGATATGGCATATGGGATACCAAACCAACCAACCACACGTTTGGTTATTACGTTTTACTGGAGGCATTCGCCTTTGAGATGGACTGGACTGATTATATGACGTTTTTCTCTTTATATCATTTGTCGAATAGCGTAGCGAAGCAATATGTACAGAACGGAACGAGCGAATAGCCGGGTTATGGATCAAACTTGATATATCTGCTATTTACGGTTAGATATAGGATTTATTATCTTGAATTTATGAAATTTTCTTATATGCCTCATTGTATTTATCATCATCATATAACTCTACTTATTATGGCATATACATTCGTATCAGTAAGAGGCATTTTATAGCACCATGATAGATAGTATGGTTTTATATGCGGTTACAGCTTCAGCCCCCGTGATTAACTTAGCCGCGCATATTTCGTCACATCGTTTCCCAAGTAAATCGACGTAGGACTGCACGAAGCAACTCAAGTTCCCACTTACCGGATAGGATTTGATACATAATAGGCGAATTCGGGTATCCGTTCCCCTGGGAGAGAGGTAGGAGACCCGGAAGACACCCGTCTTGGCTTAGGCTTGGCAGCCGGCAATGGGTTTAATGCAGTAACACTCTAGTGCCATTTCAGTGGTAACTTCCACTGTCGTTCCAGGGACAACGTTTGCCACGATTCCTTGGCATACTGTATTTAGCGTACAAGAGGTACCTAGAAAAAGTACCCACAGAAGGTATACGATAGTGGGGTTCTTTAACTAACCCCACTACAGCTACCACTATCGCAACCTGGGGAATTTTAGAACCCTTTCAAAATGACGCGCTGTAATTTAGCATGCCGCGTTCAATAACCCATTCACTCTTTAAACTTCGAAAACGTAGTCGCGAATTGAAAAACGGCTTACCTTCAAACCAATGAACTCGAAACCCTCAATCGCTCTAATTAGAAAATCGCATCAAGAATGGATATCGACGACATTCTGCGCGAAGTCGACCCTACCTTCAACTCGATCCCCGAAGAAACACGCGACCTTCAAGCGCTAACACGAGCATGGATGGCCGAAAGATCGTCGCCCGAACTCCTCGAGTACGTATGCAATACCGCGCGCGCATTTTTCTGCGATTGATATTATGATCCAACGCTGACTAGCATAGCTGGCCAGTTGATGGGTTATTTGAGCGTGTCAACGAGCGCATAAAACAGCAGATTGAGAAAATCGAGGATATGACTGGCGACATGGATCCAAAGACCAACTTCGCCTTAATCGTCATACAAACCGAACTCGAGCGCTTCAAGTTTTTGGTACGGAGTTATTTAAGAGCTCGCATAGCTAAGGTAATTACCTAGATTCATACATCATACCACATATTTACGAGTTATCAATGTTGATTTCATTGCTATGCTAGATCGACAAGCATACCTTACATTACCTCTCCACTCCCGCGCTCCGAGGGCGTCTCTCACCAGCGGAACTAGCGTATGCGACGCGACACCAGGCCTTACTACATAATCACTACCTATCATCCTTCTTAGGGTCATTCCCGCCGCCCCTCCAGAACCTAAACGATACTGCTGGAAACGTTAGCATGATCGATGCGCCGGACCTCGATATGGCAGTATTTATTCGCTTGCTTAGGGATACATTAGTCGAAGGTCGAGGTACTGACGCTGACGGCGAGATGGATGGCAAGAATGGTGATGTTGTTATCTTGAGGTGGTCCGATGCGAAGAAGTTGGTCGACTCGGGAGTGGCGGAGATAGTATGAAGCATAGCCCGATTTTTGAACAACTTCGCTCGGATGTGGCTTGGATGGTCGCTATAAACGTTCTGGCTACGGCGGCTATAGCGACGGGACATATTATACTGTTTCTACGAGGCCTCTTCACGCGTTCCATCCCTACGCGACAAGTTGATATTGTATACCATCAGCAGCCCAACATCCTCTATTGCAGAGAGCAGCTGCTGTGGTGGCATGATATAGCTACCTAGGTATGTCGAAGAACGCCGAGCGCGCTACGGGGTTTCTCACTGGGCGTGAACCTAGAGATTGGGTTTTGGCCGTTACCTCTAACTCAAGTCCGTGTGCTCCCCAAATTGATCTGAAGTTAACACATGGGATATCCCTTGGCACATCGACTCGGCAGTTTATTGGGGTTATGAGTGAGAACGGCTAGGCACCGTTAGATTCGGTACCTTCACTTCCCAACGAATCTTAAAAGGTAGATTGATGCTATTATCCTTTGGTCTAATCTGAAGAATCGTATAATAAATATAAAGAGTTAAAAAGCTATTTATTTTCTAATGTGAAAGAATCGTGTCTACTAACTAGTATTCTAGAAAAATAGGCGATACATGTAGGTACTTCGTAGGAAGTATTTAATTTATAGAGGAAGGTCTCCATTATATAAGGTTACCCAGCCCCGGAGGGTTTTGAAACAGCGGTGGGGCTAGCAGAGGGAAGTGCAACGATGAGTGATGTCAAATGGCCCCACCAAACAAGAAACCACTTGTGAAAGTCTCTCCTGTATTCTTTCTTTATCAAACACCAAACGCTCGCTTCATTTGAATATTAAAGTACACAAGGTATCTAGTCTATGTGTACTCCGTTGCATGCGCCCGAACCGACTGCCTTCTAGCTTTGAAAGATTGTTACACTACGGTTCGTCGAGTTATGACTTATTCCCATAAATTTTGACTGATCTTCTATCGATCGTACCGCCTTAAGATAAGGGAACCTTGCTCCACCCGATCGGTCTATTCATGCGGTGATCGGGCGGCTACTTTTATGTATAGCTATTGGCTATATTAAACATGAGCGATCTTCAGAAGGCTTGGGCGAAGAATCGTCTAAGCGCCTTACCTGCTGGGAGCTTCGATGAGATGGAAGAAGATGAGGCCGACCGCGTTCCCGAATTACCAGAGCATCCCGATGACGATTCATCTTCGGCTTCGTCTGCTTCTTCCACGGGAACTGTCATCCCGTCTCCTAGCCAAAACCTATTTGCCAGACCACTGGGGTAGCCCTTCTCAACCTCACATGCCATCATTTTGTAGCGGCTGATTTTTGGTATACAGCGCGCCGAGAGGGCGAACCCTCCAGCAGATCCCCTGGACTGCCTATTTCGAGAGAGAATTGTTTCTCTGCGATCGTTTTAACCCAAAAACAAGCCCGACCATTCATGCATACCTAACTTCCCCCGTCGGGAAGGGTCCGTTGTTTGTTATGCATCATGGTGGTGGTTCATCGGGCTTATCATTCGCTGTGGTCGCAGACGAAATTCGGAAACGCCTTCCAACCGCTGGTATCTTATCGTTGGATGCGCGAGGCCATGGCTCAACAACTTGCCCAGAAGGCCAGCCTATCGACCTCAGTCTTAAAACCCTTGCTCATGATGTATTCACTACAATCTTAGAGACAGAGATGCAAATGAAATGGGAAGACTTACCATCTCTTATTCTAGTTGGGCACTCGCTTGGAGGTGCGGTCGTCACTGAGCTCGCTAAGTCCGGGCAACTTGGCAAAAAACTCCTTGGGATTACTGTTCTGGATGTGGTCGAAGGCTCAGCTATCGATGCACTACAGAGCATGCATACTTATCTCTCGACTCGACCAGCCGGGTTTGCTACTGTGGAGTCAGGAATTGATTGGCATATCAGAACGAGGACTATCCGCAATTCGATATCTGCGCGAACTAGCGTTCCGGCTTTACTCACACACAGTGACGTCGCAGGTGACCCGAGACCTTGGAAGTGGAGGACTGACCTTGGTGCAACACAACCATTTTGGGAGAATTGGTTCGTGGGCCTAAGCAAGAAATTCTTAGGCGCAAGAGGAGGAAAACTGCTACTCCTCGCGGGAACGGATAGGTTAGACACCGAGTTAACAATTGGGCAGATGCAAGGTTCGTACAGTGCTCCAAGGTTATGGGTTTCTAGAAGGCTGATTTAATGTGACACAACAGGGAAATATGCCCTACAGGTATTCCCGGAAGCGGGACATTTCATACACGAAGATTTACCCGAGAAGACAGCGATATCCCTTGTTGATTTCTACAAGCGCAATGATAGAAGTGCCTTGGTACTACCTCCTAAGGTATCCGACCTCATTAAGCAGGGAAAGAAGGTCTAGAAAGCATTGAAGCGCAGGTCGCAAACAGCAAGAATATGATCTGCTAAAGATGAATTGGCTGGGGAATTTATTCATAGGCAGGCATCATTGCGATAATTATTTACCTCGAGTATAGCTCCTGACCGTTTTCAATGCTACCAAATCCATTTATAGTTCCATGGCGTGAACCGTGATTGTCCATGTAAATGCTCTCATCTACTTCCAAATCCAAAGAGGATAGATACAAAAATACCTGCTTAACGCCCGTAAATGCTGCTTTCACTGACTCCCGCAATGCAACCCACCGCCCCTTTTAATCTAAGCTGATACCGCCATAGCTTCGGCCGGTTGGGCTTCAGCTTGTGTGCTGACCCCTCGATCCGATAATTCCTTCTTCGCGTGCGACTTTGACCGCGACTCTGCTAAATTACCACCCGCAGCGAGCGCGCTGTCGTTGGTCTTCTTAGCATTCGTGATTGGCTTCTTCTCTGGATAATCTGGATCGAGATCACGACTTATATCGACCTCACGGGCTCGCTCGAGCATATGATCGAAGCCAAGCATCTCACACATCCTGGTGTAACCCTTGCAGGCGCTGATGTTGCGGTATGCCGGTGCTTTTCCCGGTATCATCTGGCAGAGTAAGTACTTGGTGTTGCTGAACTTGTTCTCAACGTCCAGTGCGCATTGTATGTATCGTTCCACAACCTCGGCCCATGGTGCTATTCCTCCGTCGGCTTCGCTCCGGAAACAACTTGAATTCTTCTCGGCTTTCGTCGCGATCATGGCTCCGTCGACGCTGTACTCTTTTATCAAATCCATGGCCTGATCCCGGTTCTCCACGTCGCCGTTCATTAGACACGCTACACCGGCCTCGCGGCATATATCCGCAATCATGCGCAACTGTCCTCTAATCGCGCGTTCCCTGGGCCGCATAGGCGTAGTCCGGCAATGCACCGTCAACCCCGTAATCCCCGTAGCCACGAGGCGACGCACCAGCGTCTCCGTCTCCTGCGCCGTTTCCAAAATCCTAATCTTAACACTAATCCCAATCTGAAACTCAGGCACTATATTCTGCACCAGCGCCTCCAGGATCGCACATAGCTTATCAGGTGTTCGTAATAGCGCAGCGCCCATCCCATCGTGTGTGCTGAAGGGCTTTGGACACCCCGCGTTCACATCGATGCCTACTACATCCGCAGCGACCAGGCGCGCGGCTTCGACCGCGAGTGTGGGGTTCGAGGTGCCGAGTTGGAAGATTAGACGACGGCCTTCGCGGGTTGGGTATATGCGGTAGATTATACTGTCTTTGATTTCGGAGGGGGGGGTTTTGCCGTTGTTGCCGCCTAGTGAGGGTTTGCGCGTCCATTCTATGGTTTGTGTGGTCGGGTTGAAGCGCCGTGTTGTGCCGATTAGGGAGCGGTCTACGGTTTCGGGACCTGGCTAGATGTGAGTTGCTTGCTTTATTTGTATGTGCTGGGAGAGAAGGAGGGAGACGTACCCCATACCAAATCTGCGCCGTAGTGAAGCGCTAACAGCCGAGAGGGCAACTCTCCCGACCGGACCATAGGCGCAAGGACGACTTTACCCCGGTAGTCGACGCCGTTAGGGGGAATGGGTACTTTCTTCGGTTCGGACGCCATGATGCCTCGGATTGCGCGGGCAAACCATGACATATCAAGGGGTGGGTTATTGACGTGAAATGTTGCGAAGGACCAAGGGCGACAACATTGGAAAATGTTAAATTGTTAAGGTATGCTGAGGGTTGAGTGAGGGAAAGTTTCGCTATCTAATCTTATCTTATCGGGACTCGACCTTTGTCCCGGATGTCGGAACATCGGAATTTTACATATATGTGAATAGGTACCTCGGTACTTAGGTCCCTTAGCTGGAAGACCCCTATTTTCATCGAGATGAAGCTCCCTTGTTTAGTTCCTAGATTCCAATCACATTTTTAGTTGCCCTTTAGTCAAGAACTAATTCATTGGGCTAAACGACGATGGGAGTGATGTTGATATTAGTGTGAGCTATTAAATGGAATTTGGTATTATCATTTGCGCATTTTGCTACCAATGAACCTTTCTGGAATCGTCGCCCAAAGTACTACATAAAAGTGTACAAAGTACAATTCCAGAATTGTCATACAAATTGGTGTATAGCAGATCTATGTTGCGCTGTGTCACATTCCCGTAAAACTAAGCAAATGAATGTCCGTATTGCTTACCACCCATCAAGTCCTACCCGGATACGCAACCCTCCCTTACCTCCGAAGTATTACAAAAATGATAATTGTACGTCCTACGTCGCGAGCACATGATATTTTGCTCGTCGGGATTTATGAAGAGTTATGTATCGCGATGTACCATGGTTGAAGTTAAATTTTGAGGGGTTACTTATGAGCTACTAATTATAGATTGCCCACCTATGAACATATAAAATTTATGTATGTAAGCAAAGTTTTCGCGGCGGCCCGAAAATCTGCATGGCATTTGATGTAAGAGCCTGAAGTTAAATCTGCTGCAGCCTTACCTGGAACCTTGAAACCCTGAAGCTTAAAAGGGTAACCATTTCTGACGTACCGCTATTATGGTTCTTTCGTATGATCAATACATATGCATTCTTTGGGTTCCTGACACCCTTTTTATTTGGGCTGAAACAATCACATTCGGCAGTTAGAAGAACTTATCAAATAAATGAATGGATGGGGTGAATATCCATTGTTTAGATGTTAGTATCAAATAGAATAACCTGATACACATAGCTAGCCTTGTTTATTGTTGCCTTAATTCGTAAATGCTGTTGCTTCGTTTGGAAACTTATATCGTTAGGGTCTCACGTTAGCCTGCGGCGTCGAGTGCAAGGAATGAATCCTGTCCCCTGCATCTCGTAATGCCAAGCGTACGTCATCGAGCATCTACTCGAAAATGCATACAAATACAACAGATTACTATTCATATAGGTGATAAGAGTTCTAAGAACGTAGCTAACGGCCTCCATTTATCCGCGCTGGGCATAATACACACGTATCACACATTAGGATAGGACTTTGGACTTTTGGACTCTGGTTGGTGCTAGGCAACAGAAATTGGAGGCTGCGGCTGAAGTACCGTTATTTTCTGGACGCTTGGCAAGCATAGGTGCGTATGGGATGTACAATCGTAATCGTATGTATAAGTAGGCTGAGCATCGCTAGACTCAGTTGATTTCCTACATTTAGATCAAGTAGTAATAGGAATCAAGTAGTGGTCAGCTCGATGTGCAACTCCGATGTTCCGGTCTGCGTTGTTGAAGAAGTTTACGAAAAACATTTACGGGGTGCTTGTTCATCGTCGTACGTAAGTGAGTACCTTTAGTGAGTAGTATTTGAAAAATTCTGTCAATGCTGGCGTCTTGGGCGTTATTTAAAACCTGCAAAGTGCGTATAAGTGGTAGTACGTACTCAGGTACAAATGCGACGATACATAAATGTACATATCATTGGTATACACGGCATACGGATGGTATTAGGCATCCGAGGGATCCCCTTCCTGTATACATCCTCCTACTACCTAGGTACCTAGGCATAGTACCAGGTAGCTTGTACAGCTCCACAAACAGCCGACGTCACCCCTCCTAGATCATGGATACATATGTATGGATGTACCATTTATTTTGACTCTCAGACTTAATACACATACTTAGAAGGTACAAATATAACATAACATAACAAAATCCTGCCGCCCCAAAATTACATGAGATTATTGCACCATTTTCGCCCTGGGCATTACCATGTTTCGTCTGCCTTTTTTTGCATTTGTCTTGGAATTATTAGCTATTGACAAAATTCCCATTCCTTCTAAACTAACCGAGTGAGACAGCACAGCTAGCCATCTGCTCCTAACTCACCCCCTACTCCCCCCTCGAACAAATCGTTTACCCACCGAGGCGTTCCGCACTATCGAGTCCACGCATCCGGGACTCGTCACGCTGGGAACCACCGCGCCCACTTCCCTCAGGTCCCAGGTTGATCGCTGCTCAACTACGCACTACTATCATTAATATTAGCTAGTGGAGCCCCGTACCTGTCGTACTGGACTAACTAAGACACACCAACTACTCACTACACGTGCACCGTTTCCGTCTCATCCACGGGGGTTACTTAGGTACTTACCTACCTGGTTGTTTTTGCACACCCTGTCTTGTTCTCGAACGAAGAAAAAGGCTGTGCTTGCTTGTTTCTAAACAAACATGGCATCCTCTTTGAGTGAGTCGGAAAGCCAAGCTTCCATTTATACCTCTGTTTCTTCCCCCAAAAACATTCGTTCCACTGAAGATACTGGTAAAGAGCGGAAGGTGTCTGATGAAAAGAACACCCCTCCTAGCTCCGAACCTCAATCTGAAGCAAATATATATCCATCAGATTCGTCTGGAAATACTAAAGGGCTGGCCTCAATGTTTTCCGCGAAGTCGCGGTTTGACCGCTTGTCGTCTTTCTTCCCTTCACTGATTAGCACTTCACATACAGATTCCGCGGGAAATGTTCACCGCAAACCCCTACCTGAACAATCTCCCGTCAAAAACAGACCACCGAGCTTACCGATTATACCAGTAGGTTCCGAGAAGGTAGAAGGCCTCGGAATTTCACAAGAAACAATTAGTCCTTCCGACAACCCTGCCACTGTCCAGTCCGTTGCGAGCCACACTCGGAATACATCGGGAAGCGATGCGACGAATTCTTCCACGGGAAAGTTACAAAAAGCCGCCCCAGAAGAGAACTATTCTGCCCCTCCGCGAGTATCGACTTTTCAATCAGAACCGAGATCACCTCCGAAACTTACGAAAGAGCAAAGGCGAAGAAGTAGCTCCGTCGCTAACCACAAACCTTCTCAATCCCAATCGGGTCTGGCACCACGAGCAACATCACCAATTCCCGATATTCGGGGTCGAAGTGTCTCCGCACAACCACCTACCACTCGATCCGCACCTGCCTCCGGGAATTTAGCAGTTTCTACCGCAACTCCTGCACCCGGGTCTCGTCCGGGGTCTAGCAATGGAAGTCAGAGCCCGACTAGAGATGCGGAAAAGCGGGGACGCTTGAGGAGAAGTTGGCTTCCTGGTGGAGGAAGGTCACGGTCTCAATCCCGGGGTCACACAACAAAGGCAAATAGTGCAGCGGCATGGATTCTAGGACAAAATGCGGATTACAACACATCTTTTCTCGCCAACGGAGAGAAAGTTCCAGAGTTGTGGAATGAGGCCGGGGATGTATTGATCTATCTGGATCCTAAAGGAGTCGGAACAGGACCGTCCTTCAAAGTCCCTTCATTCGTCGTCGATTACTCAATGGTCTTCGTCGAACTTATCGAGAACGAGATGACATCTCCAACGGGTTCGGGTAGGAGCCGAGCTCGGAGTTTTCTTGGTCGAGATAGCTTGTCTATTGACGACGCAACCCGAAGAGTACAATCGCCGCCGTTACCCGAGTCCGAGGGGAATGGAGAGTCGCGACTCTATCTACCTGTTTCAATGTCTACTTCAGGACACAGGTCGCAGGAGGATATGGAGCGATTAATATCGATTCGAAATATGTTCGCATTTTTGACCGGCCAACCGTTGGTATGCACGAAGGAGCAATCGACTCTCTTCGCTGTATTCCTTCAGATCGCTTCCCTACTGAGGGAGTTTGATTTTACGAACGCCGATGGCTCGACATATGGGGAATCGGTCGAGATGAGTTTCGGCTTCTTCATGGACCAGATGGCTCTCGCAGATGTGAGGCATAGCAGGGAGAAGACATTGGAGGCGCTAGTTCTGGGTGAGCGGATGCGCTCAATGACCCTCTACAATGAGGCATTTGCCCACGCCGTGGGGAAATACTCTGCTATTCGGGATCTGAACTCTCCTCTTTGGAATCAAGTATCTCGCGTTACGCGCGAGCGACTCGAGCGCGCGTACTTCGAGCTAGTGACACGGCAGAATGGCGTCAACAACAGACTGGAATCATTTGATTTCCCGGCTCTATTTTCCGGTGTCGCTAATTCCACATCTAATCCAGAGTACAAGGATGTCAAATTCCATGCTTGGAGGAAGTCTTTTGGTAGAATGAAGCAATTTGTTCTCGGCTACTACAAGGCTAACTTCGGAAGCTGGCCGCCCAAGGCCCGCAGCAAGAAGAATCCATTTACAGAGAGTGGTCTGAACAGACAAGTCTTAAAGATACTCTACTCGGACTTCTGCGCGCTGTATGACCTACTCGTCGACCGTCAGGACATTACGACACGTGTGATCGATCAGAGTGCGGATGATACGACAGGGCATAAGAATCCTCACCTTTCGGCTTTGCGCAAAGTTCTTGGGGAGTTCGATCAGTCCTCGCCTCCTGTGCTTCCTCCTATTCCTTTCGATCTTCCCAAATTGCCGGACATGACAAGCGTGAAGGAAAACTACTACGAACTCTCTCATAAGGAACAGTCCCGGCTAGACAGAAATTTGCAAGAATACCAGATGCTTCTCATTCTCAACAAGGCGTACGACTTTGAGACATTCAAGCTACGCATTCCGTTCCTTGAGCAGTTCAAGGAGTTTGAGCATAAGGAAGCTAGGGGGAAGACAGCGCAAGATATGGCAGATCAACGTATCGGCTATTGGCTATTCCTCTATGTCATTATCCAATCACTTCCTATGTTGGTGGTAGATGCTCCTGGTCTACAATTCACGGAGGGAGTCGAATACTTCTTGTGCCAACCGCCTCGAGGTCAGCCGCCTTGGATAGAAGATGCGCCTGCGGTACAGAAGAGGTGGTACGAAGTAGCTGGCGGAGGTGGTCTGGTGGAGCTTTCGACTGACGCTGTGGAGTTCAGTATCGAAGGTATATACCATCGTAGTCATTGTTGGCTCGCAGCTAAGCGCTGGGAGCTTGGTGATGATGTTGGTCCTCCGGCACCGCAAGAGAATTTATCGCCGTTACAAGCACCACAATCCGTATTTACGGATAATGATCCCGGCGTCTCAACAAGCCCAGGCTTGATAGATCGAACCGGGTCTCCTCAATCTGGTCCCCCTGGAGTCGCACTAAGACAGAGAACAGCATCACCCGGTGGTCGAAATTCATCTTACCGAAAGAGCATAGCCTTAGGTCTAGAGCCTATCCCGCTTCCTTCGGACGGTCTCCCGATCCCGGGGTCGCGTGTTGTTAGCGCTAGAGCCGGTTCTCCAGTCCAACGACCTATTAGCGCCGTGATGAATCGTAGTAGATCTTCAGGCAATCTACAAGGTCTCCCAGATTCTCCAGTCAACGCACATCCCGACTCACGGAATAGCTCACGACAGGAGTCCCTTGGAGGCAGCACGTTTGACGACATTTTGAAAGACATGGACCAGAAGCCCAAGAAGAAGAGGGGTTTCTTCTAATAATTGGAATTTGACGATTGATGATGTGTGTGTTTCTTGTCGTTTTTCATAAGGGGTTCCGGATAATATCTTGAGGCTGAGGCATGCATGCATTGGGTTACTAAATTACAATGGCATTATAAGGACATCGGAAAAATTCATATACAGTAGCACTCGCATAAAAAGGATTCCCATACATACAGCCATGGTCGGGACTCGAAGAATATTTCTCTTCGCCGACATACATGGACTAATAAGCATATCATATTTTATTATTTCCTCCGAGAAAACAAGGGGGGTTTGTACTTTACTGTACCGTATCTAGTGTAAGTCACCTGAAAGAATGTCACCAGGTGACGTATGACTTGAATGATCTTCTGTTCAAAGCGTGATGATATATCATATAATTACGTAGGTAGGTATCTTAAAGTACACTTGTACGATAGTACATAAAACCGGGTTTAATTTAGACTTATAACTCTACAAGAACACAACATGCTCTATATGAAAGGTTAATTTCTAATTCAGATTCATCTAAAGTTTAAGTCTATTGTCATTCCAAGATAGCGGTTCGCAAAGGAGGGTGGGATGCATCACGGCGGCGCGGCGGTTGACGGACCTATCCGAAACTATGACCTATGATCGTGATTGGTCATCTATCTATTCCAGAAGGGGGAAAGTGTCGAATAGGATTCAGGTAAGTGGGGCGATTATACTCGATTGCCATAGAACTCTCCTAAGGTTGTGGGGTAAATAGGTGCTATAGGCAGTACAGGGTCGGTGAAAGACAGCCTAGAAAGCGATAGCAGGGTGGGTTAGGTGGGTGGGTTACTGGTGGGTAGGCTGGTTGAACGGGCAGCCGCACTTGATGCAACCTGCCGCGTGCATTCGCCTGAGGTCTTCGTGCACTTTATTCACTACGAAGGTTTCCGTACGTGATCGAACGTAAATGATAAAACTTCGACTCTTCTTAAGTTTTTACTTTAATGTCCCTCCTAACCTGCGACGACATACCATTCCAACCTATCTGTCACATTTCCCCCATAATTCCATGTACATATCATATTTAAGCGACTAGAGACAAGACATTGTGTAAAAAAAGTTAACAGTACCTCAATTTAGTTCACAGGTAGTTCGCGAATTGTAACGGCAAACTCGTGCAACAATAACAATCTCTACTCACTCTTTGTTACCGAAGAATGCGATCGAAGTCCCTTTGAATGACCACAACCTACAATAAGCAAAACAAAGGCTTTCAAGCTAGCTAGAAGAGCTTGAAGTCTTTTTTGGTGCGACTCCAGACCGACTGCCTGAGCAGCGCTTCTTGCAGTCGGTGTGAATAGGCCTTCACCACCGTCTTTGCGGCCAGTGGTGGCCTGGCGCATACCTCTCGCTACCAATGGATCAAATTGACGATTCGCAACCCACCCAGCCAGGTTAGACTCTACCTAGACTCTTAGTCGTTACGAAGTCTGCTTCGTTTAAACAATCTCTAACATTCGACTATGTAGCTACACAAAATGCCATAGATCCTCGAAGATATGGACAACAAAACTCGGGGTTCTCCGACGAAGACATATCCGACATAATCTGCCTGCTGTACCCCAACTCCGACAGTGCCAGCCGTGAAGTCGAACGAATCGCAGCTTCGGCCGAATACGCCCATCATGTTGTTGGAAGATATAGCGCCGACGCTATTGACGCGGATCTATATAAGGAAGACGATGCGAAAGAATTTGGTCGAACTCGAGGTATCGGAGACCATGCTCTTGTGATCAAATTGTCATCTGCGCTGAAGCAACCCGCTCTAGGCTTCACCTTCGGGCGCAACCAAAACCGATGTGATATCCGCTTCGTGCACGATCCTAATAGGCGGCTTAGCAATATTCATTTTCGCATATTCGTCAACAAGTATGGCACTGTAATGATAGAAGATCAGTCAACAAATGGTACGGTAGTGGACCAGAAGTTACTCCGCAAGAGAAATGATGCTACCAAGAGGACTCTCGAGAGCGGATCCACAATCAAAATTGTTATGCATCAAAGCACGGACGATCTTGTCTTCCTTGTGCGCATTCCACGCCGCTACGAGGGTCACGATATAGCGTACAGGAGGAAACTGATTACTTATCTTCGACGGACTCGGCAAGTGGATGATGTCAACAGGACTATCGGGCCCGGACCGAGTGGCCATGTAAGATAGTTCTTGAAATAATATATTCTTTAGTTACTAATTTGGTATAGGTAAATCTATTTACACCTATCCGGAACGGGCGCGGGACTGCCGACGATACATGGGAAACCACGCAACCAGCACCTGCACGTCTACCTCGAGAGTGGCGTGGTGGCGAGAAGTATGCTCGCGTAGGCGTGATCGGAAAGGGCGCTTTCGCTACGGTTCATAAGGTCACCTCTAAGTATGACGGTTCACCATATGCGGCCAAAGAGTTAGATAAGCGCAGATTCATGAAGGATGGTGTTCTAGACCAGAAGGTTGAGAATGAGATGAAGATTATGCAGAAGATCCATCATGTAAGTTGCTATTCCTTTTGATGTCACTGCGTCCTCGAAGTGATTTTCTAACTGGGCAAAGAAAAACATTGTCCAATACATCGAACATTTTGACTGGGACGTACACCAGTTCTTCATTATAATGGAATATGTTCCCGGCGGAGATCTCGGCAAGTTTGTCATGGACAACGGCCCGATCAAGGAGCCCTATGTCAAAATAATGGCAAACCAACTTCTTGATGCGCTTGGATACCTACATAAAAACAAGATCACGCATCGTGATGTAAAACCCGACAACATCCTAATACATTCGATAGATCCACTCGTCGTCAAACTAACAGATTTCGGCTTGTCGAAAATGATCGATACGGAACAAACATTCCTCAAAACTTTTTGTGGAACCCTTCTGTATTGTGCTCCTGAAGTCTACAGCGAGTATTCGTCGTACGATGATAATGGCAGGCGAACAAATAGAAATAACAATAGGCCTGTTGATAGGGAGAGGTATGATCACGCAGTGGATATTTGGTCTCTTGGCGGTGTTTTATTCTACGCCCTCAGTAGCCGTCCACCCTTCCCGGTGAGGAACGGGGTCACATATACTGAGTTGCTCGACCGCATCATGAAAGAGCCAGTCAACGCCAATCCCTTGAGGCAATTGGGCGTATCCGAAAACGGCATTCACTTCCTAACGAGAATGATCCACGTGCGACCAGAAACCAGAGCATCAATCTCAGAGCTCCAATCTCATGCCTGGTTCACAGGGAGGGCGGAAAATAAGGAGCTAGAATTCAAGGCTTCGCAGCTTAGCCTCGACGAGCTTCAAACTGTCGGGGCTACCGCAGATGACTTTCTAGAGCCAGAGCCAGACTTTTCATCCGGTGATTTTGAAGCCGAAAAGGAGAACTACACTTTCGGGCAACAACAGAATAGACTATTCGGTGAAGTGAACAACTCGGCGCTTGGCAGTTCTGGGGCAATCGCAGAGGGTCGCTTAAACCTCCCAGTTTCGGATGCAAGCCTGGGACGAACTGATATACTAGAAACCGAAATCCTTGATAGTTTTGGGGAGTCGGAAGAATTGTCGACGCCAAGACAGAAGGGCCAACCAAATCCTGGTATATTGCCATCCGGAGAAAATCTTCAAGGAGATTCTCGGAGCGTGATACTAGGAACGCATCAGCAAAGCCTCGGTGGCGCCTCTTTGATCCTTGGAAATCTGAACGTTAAGTCTATCGCCAATGGCCCATATCTTCAATCCGGAGTCGATAACTTGAATTCGAGCAAGAGAAAGCCTGCCTCTTACGATACAAGCGATGAGTATGAGGCAAGTGAAAGTAGGATCAAGCCATCGTTCAAGAGACTCAAATCCCAAGGAGATATGAATGACTACGAGATCGAGGATGATGAAATACGCTTACTTGCAAGTATTCCCCAAGTTATGGAGAGCAAGACAGGCCGTCAAATCGACTTTCCCCTTCCTAAGACGACGTTTTGGGATAGCTCGAATAAGGACACCTGGCACTTAAACTATCCCGAAATGACCCATCTCCAGTTCAACGCGTTCGAGTTCGCCGCCAATAAAAGGAAGGAAGAGTTTGTCCCTGGACATTCACGCCTCTGGGACATCGCAATGAAGTACTTCCCACCTACGCACAGCCGAGATCCACCCAAGGTCATAGGCAGGGCACTCGCCTTACGGCCGGCCACACTCAAGCGTGACAATCAAGTAGTCGAGGAGGTGAACGACCATAATTTGCTTGACACTGCTCCCTGTGTTGAGGACGAATTAGAGTCTATTCCGGACACTCTACCCCCAGACACACAGACCCAGCCACGCACGCAACCTACCGAAACGGTACAAACGGTCGCAGCGTTCTACTCGACACCAGGATCACCAATACCAGGCATTTCTATCCATCTTAGCGACCCTGTAGTTTCGTGGGGCAGGGACCGCAACAATACGGTTGTTTATGAGCCAACCGAAAATTCCAAGGTCCCCAAGAATGCTTTTAGAGTTGTGCTTTGGAAGGATGGTTATGCTGCATCTTTGAACGAATTCCGTCCCTGGGGGCACCCTCGTTCAACAGCGAGTCGCACGATACGGAGTCCACCAGATCCAAATACATTTGCGTTTTATATATCCACGAAGGCCACCAACGGGATCTACATTAACAACAACCTCTTAATACCCAATGAGCCAAAAGACAGCAGAGCCGCGTGTAAATGCTGGGTAAAGTTATACCATCGCGATACTATAATGTTCTGGGGGCTCCCAGCTCAACATGGAAACGCAAAGTTGACATTCGAATGTTATTGGGGCGGTTCCTCGGTTGTAAGGCCAGCAAACGAGCCTCCGATGTGTGTACCCGAGCCGCAGGCTCACAAGTTAGACCGTCTTTGGCCCAAAGCCATGCATACGCTTCATTATGATAAGATCAAAAATGAAGCACAGCGTGAGCAGGAGGTCAGAATGCAGCACAAGGAGTATGAATTGGAGCGGAGTCGGAACTTCGAGAAGAAGCGTGCTGAGGCCGTGAGGATCCTTGCTTCTCTTACTTCTCGCCGCGCATCGGCAGCTAGCGCACCCCCTCCTCCTCTATCAGAGAGAACAACACCCCAATTCCAACAGACTATGCCCCACAGTAGTTGATTATATCACTACCTCGTTGCGTCTAGCGACTAACACAGCACCAACGGCCCTATTACTACCATATACTCTAGGCTAACCACTACGTTTTGGTACCTCGACATATTTTTCACACTTATTTAACAAGAATTTGGTCGAATGTATAAGGTACAACTTTGTTTTTTCTTATACAATGCTGTAGAAGTAGATGGGAAAGAAGGCAGAAGAGAAATACATTTGATAAGAATTACACCTGTTCAGCTTAGATATCGGGAATTATCCATGTAGCCGTTATTGGCATCTACATGTTGATGGGAAAAAGTGAGAAACGGAAATAAATATTCAGGGGCGCCGTTCGCGCATGTTGGGGAGGTTCCCAGGAGGTTGTCACCTTCTCGGATTACGCCTAGTGGCCTATATCCCCATACCTAGGTAGATTAGGTAGTCATATTCCTTAGAGGGAAGTCACCCAGAGGATATGATAATAAAAAAAAGATTTTGATACATTGTGGCAAACTGACTAAATATTTAGTGGTATGTGTACACGGTCCAGGTTCAATACGTGCTTAATAGCCACTTTCTAAGCATAGATACGGGATCAGGGGGGAGTGGTGATAAATCCATATCACTACCTCGAGATGTTTGTAGTTGGCCCGCCGACAGAAATCGGACCAGTGCTGAATTAAAAGGTCTTATATCCGGTGCATTGTTCTCTATCAAGGCTATCTAAAGAAGTTTTAACTTTCTATCCGTTACGCGAATTTAGGGTGCCGCCTGATGAGGCTCTTAGTTACCAAATCAACCCCTTATCAAGTATTCAGGCCTCTCTACGTGTCAGGGAAGGAACAATGGTATTAATATCATTCGTGGATATCTTGTCCTAACTTAAAAACGTGAATCCAAGTTGACGGAAGGAGCAAATGGAAGAGGAAGGACCGCTGTTCGAAGTCTACAAGATACTGAGTCGTACCTGAAAAAAAGTGACACCCCCTGAGCCTGCTCTTTTTCCACCTTCACTTCCTCCGTGCTTCCCCCAAGTACTAATTTCATTCTTTCCACATCCGTAGTCAAGCGACTCGCCGTCTCAATGCAAATTCCCTAACGGGCCAGCTCCTTTGCCTTTTTCTTTTGCGGCGCAACCCACTCCCTACTATCAATCGGCGCTGACGCAACGACCCCTCTACATCGTCGCCTCTCCCCATACCTTTTCAATGACTTTCGCCGACTTCTATCATCACCATCAACACCCTTCGACGACAATTGCTTATTCACGATGGCTCCACCAAAATTTCGTCGTCGTGCGATGTATGTTTATTTTCTTATTGGCCCTATCCCGGTTGCTCTTTGCCTACCCATCCCCCCTCCTGCCTTTTCCCTCTCCTTCTCATCTATCTTCTCTATCTCTATTTTCTCCCATCTCTTCCCTTCTTCATCTCCATCTACCTTCACCATCACTTTTTCCCCCTTCGCACCTCGCATCATTCAGGAAATTTATTTCTTGCTTCCATTCACACATTCCTAACAAATTTTGGCCTTTCCTGTATTTTTGGCTCGGCCGCCACTGATGGAATACTAGGAGCACTGGCTCTCAGCAAGATCATAAAATGCCATTGTTGGATCCGGACAGTGGCGACAGCACTCGCGGTATCTATATTCCCCACGCTGCCGGCATTTACATTACCAAGTCCAAAAGCGGTAATCTCGTCTTCGCGCGCAAGAAACGTAGTAGCCAAAAAGAAGGTTGCGAACAACCTCCCATTTGTTGCGCCAACGTAAACCGCCAAAACCGTCGCCGCAAGAGCTTTCGCTCCCAGAGTTCAGGTTTCACTATATTCCCAATCTCCAAAATGTCGTCCGTTCCCCAGAGCGAACCTAGCAAGCATTGCCAATCCTGTAAATGTGGTGGAAATTCTCCAGCAGAAGTCGTCCAACCCAATCACCAACCACCTCCTAATTCGCCTTCCTCTTGTCAGCATTGCGGTAATCAGAGTCCTGGAAGCAACACACCCCGCAACGAGATGCCACGAGTGAACAGCCAGAACTTCAACCCTTACCCAACACAATGGGCGGAAGCACCGCCGCCTGCTCAACCTCCCGTTCTTCACCCTCCTCATTGGAACACCCAGCCTCCTACTAATAGCTTACCTGTCATGGCGAACGACCAGATTTCTCCACCAAACTCAGCAAATAACATCCAAGGCTTCGCTGGACAGCTACCAATGTCAGCTAGCAATCAGTACTTGGGACCACAGCAGCAACCGATAGGACATCGTGCAGTTTCAATGCCCATTTACATACCTCAGGCTCAAACCATAGCTGCATATCCAGACCCTGCTTACTACACTCTGTCTGGACCTGTGTCTGGACCTGCGCGTCTACCCTCCCAACCAGGACCAATACCAGCTCCGGATCTAGCTATAGCCCCGCAAGATGATGGCACAACAGCTGGTAACAATCCTCTCACATATCGCCTCAGTGAAGCCAGAATGTGTGAGGATCACTACAACGCAACTTTAGCAGCACAAGCAGCGGAAGACGAGAAAGCTAAGAGAGAAAAGGAGACCAAGAAGAGACTAGAACTGGGCAAGCACTTTCAACATGTCCACACATGCGCGAGCTGCGGGAACGTTAGATCTAGAGCATATCATGAGGCACACCCATTGGAGAAGGGCCAAATTCCCGATCGAGACTACTGTCGTAGATGCCTATACCTGGCCACCCAAATTGATCGTGAAGAGCCAAGAAAAGCTTCTATGTCCAAAGTAAGCTACTTAAACCCTAATTGAAGAGACCACGAAGCTGACAATTATTCGTAGAGCCCAAGCGCAGGATCCCCATCTAGCGCCGCCCATACGGGTATACTTCGCAGTATCTTCCGCGGCAAGAAGACGCCAAAGTCCCCGAAGATCCGCCGTATTGGTATCTGGAAGAAGAGGCAATGGCGCCCAAGCCAAGTATCGAACACTCTAACTGATCCAAGTGTTTTGGGCGACGATTCTATCGTACTCCCGTCGACGACCTCGGTGGATGAATCAGACGTTGCAATCACACCACCTATCCCCCTTGTAAATCAGGGACAAGAACGTAGCAGACACCCAGTAGCATCTCCGACTTTAAAGCCGCGCAAGATCAATGATAAGGCGCCTTCATCGAGCATAAATATCCCCAAACATCGCAACCGCAGGAACAAAGCTAAGGGTTTAAAGAACGAGTCTCGCGCCGAAAGTTCCGCTGTAGCCACCAGCCGAACGCGAGAGAAACGGGCGCAACCCGATGTGGTCTCCAAGGCGAATAGACGAAGTGATCGTCACGCCGACGGCAGTCAGGCCTCCCCTGAAGTCGTCACCCATAAAGGACACACTAGGATCGTACCTAAGAAGGTCACCGTAGAAAGTATTTCGGACCGATCGGGAGGCTCTGATCATAAGGAATACCGAGGAAGACATCAGACCGTAGATCAAGATCAAGACGAAGTTCGTCCTAATCCTCGCAATGAGGTATGGGATACACTCGAAGTTACTCATAATAGCGATCATGACAGCACTTCTCGTGTTAAGCAGATATCCCACGAAAATCGTGAGTTAGCCCAGGGATACCAGCCCATTCTGAAGAGTAGACAGAAGGTACGCATCAGCGACCAAGATCAAGTATATCTTCGCTCGATATCGGGATCCGAGCAGTTTGAGGAGGGTTTGGAACGCGCTCGACAAGGACGTCATATTCGTGGATGGGATGGCAATCAAGATAGTCGAGATGGTCAATCTCGTGACGACTTTGAACTACGTCGTCGCGGATTCATGGCCGGGTATATGGAAGAGGTCGGATCAGGCGAACCTAACAATCATCACTTCGGGACCAAGTGGGATATGCCGCCGACGCCGACGAACCAGTCGCTTGGTGACGCAGCCTCAGAACCACATATTATGGATGAGGGATGGAATTTCGGTCAAGAGGATCCGGATCAGGGCAAAGGCGAAGAAGAAGCAGAACACTGGTTCGAAGACGACCTAGCAGAAGCCAGTAAGCTCTTCGACACATACATGGGCAAGGGAGCGGGGGGTTCTCTCCCTCCCTCTCCCCCTTCCTTCAACCCTTCGAGCCTCGCAACACATACCGAGGTTTCTGTAAACTCGTATTGTTCTAATGAGGAGGAGCATGATGATGCTAACACTGGTACTATCTACCAACTAGACGAAAGTTCAGTCGGTGGTGATACGCTCGACGAGAGGGAGGATCTAGTTAAGAGTCTTGGTAAGCCACATGTTAAGCAACACAAGAATCAAGCCAGCAGACTAACTTTACCTAAAGAATATTCGAGTATTGAAGATCTCAACAAGAAGATGGCTGCAGGTCAACGCGACCGGGCGTCCTCAAACCACCGTCGATCTTCAAAAGGACCTCACGGAGGCCAATTGGATTCCGCAAAGAAAGAATCGAAGAAGGGCATTTATCACCACGGCGACGATGAATCGGATAGCTCATTGTATCTACCGCCACCGGATGCTATATGTTCCATGATCGCTCACACGGGACGCTCGACGGAGGACGCTTCTCTAGGACGACGCGACGATAATAACGGAGCTCAAGAGGGTAGGCGACGACGAGTTCGTCGTCCATCACGAATGTAAGATGCTTGTCTAAATTGCCATGGCCAAACACATAATCACACACGGGCCATTCATTGAGATGGCTTGCATATTCGATTGGCGATAACAATGACGATGACGACGATGGTGAACATCGGCTGAGATACCTAGGTATTTATGTTGGTAGCAGCTTGGGCTTGGAGTGCTTATCGATTTGATTGGCAAATTCTATCACGCACCTTCTCATCACACAGGTGCATATTGGCACGAGGTATCACAAAGTCACGACCATGGAAGAAATCAAAAGGGGAAAGTTCACCGAACCTGTATCTTTCTTATTGTGAGCATGGAGCTCTCTTTGTGAGATTTAGCTACCGAGCTTATTTTTGTAGGACATCTTTCTTTTTTTTTATTCATCTTGCAGGTTGGCAGATTTGAGTGGAAGGGACGGTTTCATGTATGATGACGCACGCAGTGGATTGCTTTTCGATACGGAGTTAGGAAGGGACGGCAAAAGGAAAAGGGGATAATAATCAATAGGCATTAAGGAAACGACTCCAGAATGTATGAATATTGTTGTTAATTAGACATGGCATTGGCGGGCCTGTGAATAGTACCTTGCTTCGTATGGTTGATGTATGAACATTTGGTGTCCTAGGTCGAATACCCCATCGAATACCTAACCTCTTTTTCAGCTAGGCGTCGATGCTGTACGTCCTATTGGCGCAAGTTAGGCTAGTATCCTTGTAAGCTCCCCCTAAATCGGCAGTATACGTACCTCTAAACTCCGAGATAGGGGAAGCCAACAACGAGTTGCTCGCCAGAGTTAAGGCTTAGCACAGGTCTTGTACGACCCTGCCTTCACTAAGCCGAGCATAAACGCCGCTGCATAAGTCCCTAGAGGTACGTATATATTAGTATATAGCAGATATGTATTTCATAGACTGGGATGCACCCGGATTAATGGCGTCTGAATCCCCCGCTCATAAGCAGACTCTCTTAGCTAAGTGGTAAAGCTCATCACTTCTACGAAAGTAGATGATGTGATCACTGGTTCGATTCCAGTAGAGATATTATTATAATCTTTTGTCTTTTTCAGTTTTTGTTTCATACATAGAAACATTGGGTGATGAACATGATTTTTTTGTAAAAAAACTTATATGGCCTTGTCTATAACACCAGCATAATACCTTTGGTGCTTGCATATTTTGGCCATCCTTTGATAGGCACCAATCTGGCAACCACAACTATCGTGTACCATGCCGACTATGGTACGAACCAATATGAATGAAGAATACTTAGAATACGTTAGAGGTTGCCTATTTTATTGTAAACGTCTTCGAAGTCGTTGTCGCGTTACGGTGTCGCGTTACGGTTAGTTGTGAGTCTCTTATTCAATGCATTGTCAACTACGACCCCGAGGCCAATTGAAATACATTTACCTCGAGACAATACATTATAGGATGCACCTTCCTCGTTGATGCGTATGATTAAAACGATAGTGTCGCCGAGTCTTCGTGGTCCAATTGATTGAAACTATCATCGCCGTTGCCAAGTGTCGGATATGCGCTTTCGGCAGTGCCTCTATCCTGATCATTATGCGTCCCCATCTCCTCGACCGACCGATCCTCTTCCATGCCAACCAGTATATATATATATCGTATCGAAGGGTGCGTACGTGCCGGAGGTTGTCGGAGCATATTAGGACGGGGTCGTGAGTTCCTCTGCGAGGTTCTTCATTGAACGATCGGCGGGAGATGCGGTAGGTATGCGTATTGTTCCTAGCTATATAATCAATTGAGGACATTATGAGGGTATACTTACAAGCTTATATGGTGCTGGTTCTCCCCGATCTTGATTGGTGTAATGGCGGATACTAATTTTAAGCAGCGAGGAATATTGTAGAGGTGAATGCGTGGTACCCGCATTACTCGACGTGGATGGACTGATTTATACTTTACCTAGGAAGGGGGCGGCGGGGATGTCGACGATACATCTTTTAGGTTCGGATCGTACCACTGTCTAAGTACATGTAAGTTTAGCTTCCGATTGACATTTCATGCTGAGTTTCATAGCGGAGATAACCAGGCAGATGATCTGTTTCGTACCCCCCGAATCTATGCAGGTTGACATCGCCGCGGAGTTTCTATTGAGCACATTCCCATTCCACCCGCATAAGTAGGCGGGTACATGTGTAGGTACCTACGAGGGCGCATAACTAGTGTGACAGATGGTTACGCGGGAAAAAATTTAAAAGTATTCGTGGCACGAATCTATTCTACATCTGGCGGGTGCCATAGGTAATTGCACAAAGCAACGCGACAACCATCGAAACTTTGAATATAGGCAATCGCATGATTCTTCTAGAATGAGTCATTGCCTACCTCAATTTGTGGTATAAAAGTTCGCATTCTCTGAATATTTACCCCTAAACTCTTCCCCCCTTTCTCTCAATTAGAAATACTACCATCACCACTACCACTACCACCATCATTGAACACACTCACGATGCGCCTTTTGGAAATAGAATGCCGATGGCACCGTCCATCATTACCCTATTATCATCACTACACGTATGTATAATACCACCTGCTAAACAGCTCATTGATGGCTGCCCTGCTACATCGAGCCATCGGACTGGTATGGCTGCACAATTGTAGCTACAAATGGAATGACATGCCGGTGCCGCCAATGCGGACCACGTAGGCGGTTGGATTGCCTCGCTTCGAATGAGGGTAGATGACTGTCCCGGCTCAGGACGTCCCTGTGAACTCGTTTGGGCCTCGGAATGCCTCTACAGGATCTCTGACCCAAAACTTGAGGAGGCCGCGAACTCCCGTTTCGTGTGCTACTCGCCTATCTCCAGTTCACTGAATTGGTTATCGAAGATATTCCCCACTCACGCGGATGAGGCGCACGTCGCGTTCATCCTCGCGATATGCGAGTTGCCTTATGTTGGATTACGATGAGTTTCATTACGTGTCCCGACGTTTCCGCCGTTTAGCTATGTCGTAAGTGGCCCTATCTCTCTGCAGCAGACGCCATGACATCGTCTCATCTAGCCGTACACCGTACTCCTATCCTCAGCCGCCATACCACCTACCCCCTTTACCTCTTCCCTATCTAACCAACTCGCTAATTGAAACTAGTCGTTTCGTTGTGCTCACGTTCGACTGGCCCATGGTAATTCTGAGATTATCGTCGGAAACCCCTCACACGGCCGATGAGCGGCTTCGACGCGACTGTGTGTGGCGGTGGCTATGCTACTCCGAGGATTGTTGTCGGCGTATGTGAAGAGAGCATATCTGCCGGATGATGAATATGTCAGGGGGCCGGGGTCCGAGGAGGTTGAAAGCCTGGAGTGAGAACCGCAGGCAGTGTATTTCTGCTGTGTTAGGAATTTATTAATCTGTAATAGTTAGATCAGTCTTCCTTAGGCGCTCTCTATATAGGTATTAGTCTTTCCACTTGGCTGTTGTCGTGACTGTTGTTAGTTTGTGGCTGGATTCTCCCTAGGGCTATAACCACCAACTGCCATTGACGACATAAAAACTCCCCTTAGGTACTAATGAGACATTGGGGACGTTAAGTATTAGGTATAAGAATGATACTCGTGTACGCCTAGCCCAACACCCCTTCCGCTAGTTTCGCTGTTAATCGTCGTTGCGAGTAATATACCGAAGATATGTTTGGATAAGTGGTTAGCGATTTTGATGACTTGGGTATAAGGTCACCAATTCTGATTGCGTTTTCCAGAAAGCTGCACCTGAATGAGTAGTATTCTGCAGCATCTTATTGTATCATCTCCGCACCTCGCGCATCAAAATAACACGCATTTCGTCACATCCGAAGCGTCGGCGATTCATCGGGTTTGGGCGCATCCGAGCGAAAGAAACCACGGACACATTAGAACATTTTTACCAAGTCATCATTCAACCTGGGATATCTAAACCACGTGATAGGAACCCATCTACAAGCCAGGTAAAAGTAAGGAAGAACAACTCCTTTTTCACGCCTCGCATTTTTTAATACCTGTACATGTGCCAACGATCCTCGATTGCTGGCTGTCCTTTTCCCTGGCCCAATCGTCATATTGAATGAAATTGACGGGTAGGCTGCTTATATACCCCTAGTTCATTGTTTATCTTCCCTTCCACGTGATATCATTCATGTCTGTACACAAGAACTAGATCCATTAGTCCACTCTAAGGACTCTGGGGCCACGCTTCTTGGTCGCCTTCTTCTTCTTGTGGCCTCGCTCGAATGAGGCAGCGGCCGCGTGGTCTCGACCTACGTTGTCGAGATCCTTGACCTTGTAGATTCGGATGATCCAGTTCTCACTTGTGTACGCCTCCTCTAGCGTGTTGAGAACAGGTCCTTGCTCGGGGAGACGAGCACCTCGGACACGGTCCTGAGCCTGTCCGGGAGGAAAGAGGGAACCGTAGTTGTAATAAGACATCTTGTACCTATGGAATGTGTTAGTGAAAGAGCACTATAGATGGACTGGATAAAGCTCACATCAAGCTGTTTTTCATGGTTTCTGAGGCCTGGTCGTCAACTCTATATTCGCCGCGGGCCGTAAAGAAATCACGCTCTTTAACTTCGTCGGGCCAGATACCTTCGGCGATTCTCACCATCCAGAGGAACTTGTTAATATCATCGCCAGAGTAGCCGAGAAGACCACCGAATACGACGAGAACATAATCAACCTCGTGTTGACGCATGATCGGGTAGCTCACTTCCTCTCGAGAGCTCATGGCCTTACCGACGGTGGCGATGTGAGTGTTGTTCCAGGTGTTGTTGTCGACAAGGGTAGGCCGGTCAGCCATACCACCAATCTGGTATCCGTAATCCCACCAGGACATAATCTTGGCGTCCTCCTTGGTGTTCTGTCGAAGCCATTGGTAGGCCTCACGGTAATCATCGATGATGTGCTGGCTACCATCCGGCATTCGGCTTGCCAAGACAACGGAGGGAGATGAGTAAGCGTTTGATGTGACCCAGGTGCAGTGTTGTACGAAGACGAGCAGGTACAAAGTCATGGATCCGGCCACAAAACTCTTTGATAGTAGGTTGTAGATGCCTACGACGGGCTGTGAAGCGGATCGCAGAACACCACGTTTTGTCTTGGCATCTGAGCCTTCTTCCTCTTGGGCAGTGGGCTCCGGAGATTTGGCGACAAGATATGTGTCAAGAAGCTGGGAGGCAGCAATGGCCGCAGCGACACACACCACCGGCGTAAGGGTGAGCATCAATCGTACCATGACACCAGCGAAGTAGCTTCCGAATAGAGCGTATACGATGATGAACACATGCTCATCCTCTAATTTCTGGAAGCAGAGGTAGACACCAGCCGGGAAGAGCCAAATCAACATATTGAGATCGAAGAAGAAGGCTGGCCAAGCGGTCGGTTGGTGTTCGGACACGGACGCGATGATGGGAATGTGGATCTTGGCATAACCAGTGTCCCAGAGTGAGTAGAATCGGCCGGACCAAGGAGCAATGTATCCGAAGGAAGTCAGACCAACCAAGGTGAGTAACGCAACACCAAACACACCACCCAAACCAACGTAGAGGAAAGTTTGGAATTGGCGGCTGGGGACGGCTGATCGGACGTACTCGAGGAACGCCACAAGTTGGAGGAATCCGAAGATACCGAGGGCGGGCATGTGCTCACTAGTACGGACTGGCAGGAATCCGACGAAGGGGATTTGCATGCTAGCCAAAGTACCAAGGGCGTACCATGTAGTGTATGAGGTGTAGAGGCGCATGCTGAATCTGCCCATGCAAATGAGTACGAAAGCATGTAGAGGGAGTAGACAAGTGATGAAGGCATATCCACCCCACGAGGCTACCATGTAACCATAGAAAAGGGCGCAGAGAGCACCCCAGAGCACGGAACCCAGCTTTAAAGCTTTGATCCAAAGGTAAAAGGTAAAGACCAAGAGGAAGATGGCGATAGCCTCGTTATCGTAAGAACCGGCTACGGATCTTGATATGTAACCCGGGGCAATGCCCATGAAAATTGCGGCGAGAAGACCGGCAGACGGGGATGTGGTCATCTCATTGGTAAGGAGGTAGGAGGCAAAGGCGGTTAAGCCAGAGAATGCCGGGGCCAGGAGCACACAAATGTTCCTGATGTCGACGGGGACAGTCAGAGCTCGTAGGAGGTGGTAGATGGCACCGCTGGTGACCATCAAGCCGGGGTAGAGAGTACCACCGGTAACTCGACCGAGAGGATGCCATGTTCGGTCGTCGAACCAATCCCAGAAGTCGTAGAATCCATTGGAAACGAGGTACTTGGTTGCTCGGAAATTGAACCACGGGTCGACTATGTGAAGTTAGAAGGGGCGTTATGGTAGGATACGATGGAGCGGAGAATTTGACGAACATTCATGGATGATACTCTCGAAACCTATAAGAATAACAATTAGCTAATTGATCTTCTAGGAAGTAGAGGGAGGGATTGAACCATACGAATGACCGAGAAGAGTCGACTTGCGACAGCAGCGGCGGCAATGAAGGAGAGAATAATGACCCTCAATAAAGTCTTGGTGCTCTGATTCTTGCCCACGCTGACAAGCAAGTCAACCGGCGTAGAGCTAGCGCCCGTTGCGACAGACATTGTGGGTAATGCTGTCTCGAGACAATGCGACTAGATCGTAGGCGTGGTCACCATTTGACTTAATTCGGCGTACGGAGGAGAGGTGGTTTAGAAAGGGAAAAGAGGAAAAAAAGTGAAATGGTGAAAATAGTAAGTCGGCAACCACAATGGATAAAACGACAAAAGTGGTGAGAGGACAGCTGGAGCTTTCCCAATCCGCGCGTCGCACTCTGCAGCAAGGAGCTCCACGCTGTTTACAGGGGTCCAAACTCAATTTAGGTGTCTAAGTACACAGGTACTTGTCAAACAAAGGAAGTGCTTACGTAGGGGTTAACCACCACCAATCAGATGCGATAGTCTATCCGACACCACATGTATAAGTACCTCATAAAATGCATATATGTTTGCATATGACAACGACATAATTATGCCTCCACCAGTATAATTATTTCCAACCCATTATCAAATATCATACTGAAATATCACTTATGTTCAAGTGGTGACACTATACGTAATAAAGTTTGAGTATAATAAATTTAAAAATTATGTAATCGAGCCAAGTCACCAGTCGCAATGCCTGGCTGTTCATCCTCTTCCTAATATTACCTCAACCACAATCCAAGACCACAAGCTCATGCTATAATATTATGAGATTGTAGAAGCTCCTCTACACTCCTTTACTCCCTCTTTGTTAGACATTTGGGCAGGTATAAAGAAACCTGAAATCATACACGTCAAGAAACCGACGAAAATTTCACTCAAGGAAAACATCTCAAAACATCTCAAATCATACCATGAACGTCATGCCAGATATGGCCATCCCAATGTCTAGGTTAGCATAAATCTCGGTATTGTACACATGTACAGCGTTGAAAACCCAAGGAAATCTATGTGTTGGTTTTTTGGACCGCATCGCAATCATACACAGAGCCTGGCAAAGCCGCCGCCACCATTAGAGTAGAAGACGACCTCGATCCAACTTCAGCAACCGGAGTTCACTCCCTTAACTCTCTTCTCCTTTTCCCCTTTCTATTTCCCTCAGACTCTATTATACTCCGCGCGCGGCGGGTCCGGTAATATTATTACATCCATTCCTAGGGATTTTGTTTCGCGAGGGCAGTGAGGTAGGCTTCCAGATCGAAATTGGGGTCCATCGGGTCTTGGTTCACTAGTAATAAAAATACCATTAATATCCAATCGTAATATTTTTCGTATAATAAGGATCATGAATAACGTACATCCGCTCTTCTCAGATGGTGTTGTAGCCGGGCTCTTGGACTTCGCATATTCGGTCTTGGCTTGCTCTATTAATCGCAGCTTGTGCTGGTATTCCTTCTTCGCTGCTTCGGCTTTTTGCGCTGCGCTGATCGATCTCTGGTGCGTGAAACCGTAGAAAACACCTAAACCGAGGGCCGTGTACCGGAGTACCTGCAAATTATACTGTTAATTTATGTCCTGTGGTGAAGTTCGGGCGGATGGCAAGAGAATCGTACGTTGACTCCTGAAGAGGTAGACATTGGGTCGGTTTATAGCGCGAACGCTTTTTAAGAGGGAACGAGCGATCAATTAGCGATACACGAGGAGGCGATCGGTTGCCAATTGGCCCTGTTCCAAGGGGAGGGGAGGAAATATCGAGGGTGGAGGGTCGAAATTGGGTGAAGTTGGAATGGTGAGCGTGTTACGGAAGTATGGACGGCGTCGGGAAATTTCGCAGACTTATTTTTTTCCAAGCCAGCAAAAAGAAAGCAAGCCACTGTTGTTGCTAATTAAGGTACATGCAAAGGTACCTGATGAGCTGAGTAAGTGGAGGGTTTAGATGGGCTAGATGGAACCACTGTCTTAAACTTGGACCAATCAAAAGGTTTAGATAGAAGTAGCTTTCATGTACCTAACCGAAGATTTTATAGCTGTAAGAAAGTACCTACACATGTAAATTAGGTGGGTGCACGGATGTCGTTGGTGCCATCGGTGCTAATGTCGCGCTGTCCCCGACAAAGGAACGCGCATCGTTAAGTTTTAGAATAATGAGATGGTTTAACCTACTTGATTATTCTTATGCTCCTATCATTATCCTAGTTAGATGATGCTATTGTTTAACCTTTGAATCCCTTTTAACAAAGCTTAATTTTTTATAATACCAACCCATCTCCAAATAATAAAACTATTATTCAACCGTTCCACCTACAAGAAAAAAAAAGGCGACGAACCCCTTACCGAATTTCACATAGATTTAATTTACATTACTCCCGACAACAGAAGTATAGGACCCGGTATGGGTCTTGGTGGAGGACAATATGCAACAACGAAGAGATGAGATTCTAGCAAAGAAAGCAAAGCTCGCCGAGCTTAAGCGCCAACGAGAATTACGAGCAAACCAAGCTTCTGTTGCTAGAACCAGCATAGGCGGAACCAGCGACGTAAGTCCATCTTGAAATACCCTTCTCCTGTTCACTCCTTTTCCTCTTCGCTAAATAGTACCATAGCTCATCTCCCCCACTCCGGGTCGCGACAATCGGAAGGTCATCGAGTCCTTGATTAACAGTCTAGTGGGCGATAGTAGACCGGCCTCTTCTACAACAGGCGCAGCATCCCCCGGGTTTCGAGGAAGCCGACCCAACAGCGTACTTAGCGCCGATGACCTGAGCGGTGAACATTCTGAATATGCTTCGCAAGCAAATGGGCAGGCTGCCTCCTTGCCACCTCAGATCCCCCAAGTCCTAACGACCGTGCCTCTTCAAACGATCTTCGAATGCCCGCCGTCTCCCGTTAAAGAAATATTCTCCTACAGTAAGGGTGTACAGACAACAGATGATTGGACGCCACCTACTACACGGCCGCGAGCCTTCTCCGACCTAGAAGATGAAGAACTTCCTCCCACATCCACTCCCACCAAGCGGTTGAGCAAGTGGAAACGGGATAGAGAAGAAGAATTGCGCCAGAATCTACGGCTAGAAATCGAGGAGGAACTGAAGGCTGCTCGCGAATTAATCGCTACCGACGGACCGGTACAAACAAATTCTGTTGTCACTTCGAATTTCCCGGCGAGAGCGTTAAGTAACGAGGAACTATCGGCCGTCGTAGCCTCCGATGATTTTGTGGATTTCGTTGAGCGTTCTACCAAGGTCATCGAGCGAGCACTCGATATTAGCAACGAGTATGATATTTTGACGGATTATTCACTTCAGGCTCATGATATCGAAGACGAGGACGAGCAGGCCGGAAACACAGGCGGAAAGGGTCGGCGAAGGGTCAAGGAGGTTGTGCAGTTCTACGATGAACGATGGTCCAAGAAACGGATGATTAGTAGTATTGACTTCTCACCGAAATTCCCCGAGCTTTTGCTCGCTGCATACACCAAAAACCCATCCGCTCCTCACGATCCGGACGGCATTGTACAAGTGTGGAATCAACATCTCCACGACCGACCCGAGTTCCTCTTCCATGCGCAATCCGATATCCTTACCGCTAAATTCTCACCCTTCCACCCCAACTTAATCATAGGAGGCACATATTCCGGACAAGTCCTCCTTTGGGACACGAGAGCTAAATCCTCTCCCATACAAAAGACGCCATTGACGGGATCGGGTCACTCACATCCCGTCTACTCAGTTGACATTGTCGGCACGCAGAACGCGAACAACATCATTTCAATTTCTACCGACGGCGCTTTCTGCGTATGGAGTGTCGACATGTTATCCCAACCCCAAGAATCCCTTACTCTCACCACACCACCTCCCAACAAATTTGAAGACCTAGCTCCGACCACAATGGCCTTCCCTCAAGCGGATCCGACATATTTCCTTGTCGGCTCAGAAGAAGGTCCAATCTACCCATGCCATCGATACGATCGCGCCGGCGCAAAAGCCGGTGTTGACTCGCGCGTCTCATATAAGGGTCATGCTGCTCCCGTCATGAGCGTTGACTTCCACCCCGCACGTGGTCCTGTCGATCTAGGCGACCTCGTCCTATCCTCATCATTGGATTGGTCCGTGAAGCTATGGAAGGTGCGCGCGCCAGCGGCGACTAGCACTATCGTCGAGAGCGCAGGCACCGCCGTAGCACCACTCCTCGAGTTCGTTCGCGAGGATGTAGTTTACGACGCAGCATGGTCGCCCGCGCGTCCAGGTGTATTTGCTCTCGTCGACGGAGCCGGCTCGCTCGAGCTTTGGGATCTTACTGTTGAGACTGAGATCCCGGTCGCGAGAATCGCGCCTACACCACGAAAAGATGGGAGACAACTATTAAGCCGCAGTTTGAATAAAATTGCGTGGGAGCCGAGTGAGGGTAAGAGGCTAGCTACGGGAGGTATCGATGCTTCGGTTACTGTGTTTGAAGTTGGTCCCGATCTAGGCGGCAGGGAATCCGCGCGTGCGGAGGAGTGGACAAGTGTGAAGAAGTTGGTCGCTAGGCTTGAGGCCGTTAGTGGTGGTGTTGCTGCTTTCGTTTAAGAACTTCTCACATCTGAAAGTTTTGAAGTTTTGGCGCGCGGATTCCATTTCTCGGTATCCCGTTTAGAGGTTGGGAGCAGCTATTTTACGTGCCTACCCACCCACCTAGTATGTATTTATACCCAGTCTAAGAATAGTGGCATTGATCGATGTGATGAAAATGGGAGATGAGGCACTGCGTGGTGTGGTGTTTGGCGCCCTATCTAGGAGAGGGGAGGAGGAGGGGTTACGTAGGATACGATACGATACCTCGATATTTTCTTGACTGGATGGATTTTGAAATCGATTGATTATGCTAGTAGCAGCTTTAGCTAGATAAATAATCGATTATAAATATGAGAATAACTTAAGAATACGGATTTATATGAAGTGGTTAATAATGTTAGCTAATCCCTTGTTAATTACATCACATAGCACAGCGTCGTGATACCTACGCACATAAATCGGTAATGTTCCTTCATTTAATTGGGTAAAACGTTTTGCACGTTGTGATTATTTCTTTCTTTTCTACGTAAATACAGACTCGAGTATACAAGTTCATTCGTTCGTCCGTTTCTGCTTTACCCTCCTAAGCCCGAGCTTAAACTCAGAGCCAGCTATCGCTTATCCCTAATAAAGAGCAGCTTTCTCGTCGCTTCATAACGGCCTATCTGTCTCTTCTTCACTCAATATCATCCATACCCCAGACACCCACGCCCTTCTTCTCGATACTCGACTTCAGCTTCCCTAATACAGCCGTCCTTCGCTCTCGCTTCTCCTTCACAGCTTTCCTTTCCACGTCGCCGAAACCACTAAGCTTCTTGCGAGGTGGAGTCTGGAACATACCGCCGCCAATACTCGATATGGAAGCGGACAATGAGTGAGAATGCGAGTAACGGAAGCTGCTTCCCCGGCTAGGTGTACTTTCTCGTACTGAACGTTCGGGAGAGAATACCGAGGATGAGGCGCCGGTGATTCTCTTAGCATTAGGTGTAGCAAAGGGTGAGCCTTCACGACTAGCGCCGGGGCCTTGGGATCCCATGCGTAACTTTCGCATTTGGTTCTCGAGGACGTCGATATCACCACTACGCTTTTCAACCATGCTAGTAAGCTTCGTAATTGTTCGGACGACAGCCTCGATCGTTGGCGTCGGGCCGCCTTTGCCGTTGGCACTATTCGCCGAAACGATCTTGGCCTTGAGTAGAGTTAAGTTCTCCTCAGCTTCCGCTAAGAGTTTCGTGAGCTTAGCATATTCTCGGCGCAAATCGCTCTGTTGTGCTGCTTGCTCCGCACTAAGAGGTAGGGAACGATTCGCAATGGTCTGTTCGGGGTCAAGGCGTGAAGTAATAATCTTCTTTAGATCCGCTTGCTTGTTGCGATCGCGAACAAGTTCCCGCTGGATATCCTCGCATTCCGTCACTTTTCCTGGTATATCTCTAACTCTTGCTTCATCAAGAGCATTCCTAAGATCCTGATCAATTATCCGGGCTACACTCTCTATTCCGACAAGTGTCCACTCATCAGGAGAAGCTAAATGCTGTCTCGTATACTCCTTCGCGTCAAGCTCTCTATGGCCTTTGATAAAACTTGTGAGGGCACGCGCATTAAGTCCAAGGATGTCAATCATAGAGTTGATATCGCGGTACAAAGCCTCAACCTGAGCAGGTACGCTTTCAGTGGATGATGCGACTGCACCTGAATGTGCCATGAATTCATCGAGTTCCAAGGTGGGTTGGATATCCGCCTTGAGCAGATTTTGAATAGCGCTGTCTTCTTCATCGAGAAGGAATTGTTTTTCCTCGGCTTCTTTCTTCACTTTCGCTTTACGCTGCTGCTCCATGATCGACTCTTCAGCTTGCTGACTAATCCCGTAATTATTCCTATTCGAGTTAGAAGTTGGTGGTCTCCTTGAAAGGATGTGAGAAGCCATGCCAGGCGCGCTAAACGAACGTGACTGGTCTTTGTTCAACATCCTCGAAGGTACTGGTCGCACCGGACTCGGTGAACGGGGACTAATGGGGTTTGGCTGGGGGAGAAGCGGAGCATCCCGACCTAATTCACCGAAGAAAGTGCGTCTTTCTTGGCCCGGGCGGGATATTGTGGAAAAGCTGCCACCCAAGCCGTCAAATGAGCCAGAGGGAGTGTATCCGGGGGTTTGGTTTTGACCAGCACTGGAGGGACTAAGGTCCTTAGCCACGTCCACACCACTGCCTTCTTCACTGGCTGCCTCGGTACCCTCTTCCTCTTCCGACAAGTCGTCATCGTCACTATCCGATGGGACAGGGGGTGGATTCGAAGGGAATTTAAATCCGGGCCCAACTACTTGAGAGACTGGCTTAGCAATAGGGAGGGCAGGTAGTTTGTTCTCGTAAGCTTTGGGCTGCTTGATAGGATCCGGTGGCAAGGGCGAGTCATCAACAGGCTTAGGCTTAGCAGTAAATGTTGCAGGTAGCGGAGGTAGTGGCGCATTATAGGCCTTCTTATTGGTCACTGGATCGGGGGGTAGAGGTGCGTCATTATCAGCGGGGGGCGACTCCTCACGCGGAACATCACGATTTGCTCTTTTCGGAGTTTCATCTTCGAAGTCCGGCGGCAGAGGCGCATCCTCAGCTCTAATCCCCTTATGATCTGAGCCTTCTACTGTAGCAGCCGATGAAGACGACGAATCACCTAGTGGATAGGTGGCTTTACTCGTAGACTCCGGAGGCAGAGGCGCGTCCGCGAAACTCTTCAGGGGTTTAGGGGTTTCTGACTCTACTTTCACTTGAGGAGTTTCGGTTGGTGTCTGGGAAGTAGAAGAGCCGAAAGCATTGCTAAGGCTACTAGGAGTTTTCGGGTGAAAATCAAAGAGCCCTTTGCCTTGTGGAGCTGATGAAACCGGGGATAAGAACTTGGAGGGTGCTGGTGTCGAAGTTGGTGTAGTTGATTCGACATTTGTAGACGATGGCGCCAATTGCCCAAAGGTATTTTGTGTTCCAGTAGCGAACGGGTTTGAGGGTGCCGGCTTAGGTGTTTGATCTATCGTAGATGCGAAATTTGCACCGAACATAGACCCTCCAGATTTCGGGGCTTTTTCATCGTCATTATCATCCTTTGCATTCGGATCAGCCTGAAAGCTTGATTTTAACTTGAAGGTCTGCGATCCGAAGACGTTTCCAGTATCCGTACTTGGCTTAGATGTTGGGGGACGGAACATAGATGTGGAGGAGTCTGCATCCATGGACACTTCAGGCGCCTCCGACTTGGTCGACGCGAATATGTTAGATCCGCTACTATTATTCGATCCAATGGAGGCGAAACCACCTTTATTCGCGAAACCTGCGAATGGACTGCTTGAGTTTGTGGAGGTGAGCGGGCCCCCAAAGGGTGATCCAGAATTGCCTGTGCTGTTCGCGTTATTGGCGAGACTCGAGAAGGCGGAATGACCGAATGCTTGGGTATTCGATGAGGTACCCGCGGAAGCCCAAGGCGAAGACTTAGCACCGAGCCCGGAAGATTGCCCAAAGGCAGGGCCAGCGCCGCCGCCGAGACTTGGCGCGCCAAAGGACGGAGTACCAAATTTCGGTGCCGAGGTGGCAGCTCCCGCACCGAAAGTACTCGAACCAAATGTAGCACCGCTAGCACCACCCGAAGAGGGTTGAGCGCCCCAAGGCGAGCTTTTCGCTCCCAGCGCTGACGGGTTACCGAATGCCGATGGTGTGGCTGAGGCCGGAGCCCCAAAGGGTGAGGCACTAGAAGACGCGAAAGGGTTCGACGGAGCCGCCTTAGGAGTAGTTGACCCAACAGGGGCTGGAGCATTCCCTTCAACAGCTGCGAGCCCAGGATACGTGGTTCCTCCTCTGACCGATTCAGAATATACAATCCACCAAGCAGAAAGCAAGCCGTCCGTGTTAAGGACCCAGTAGCCTGGTAGTGGACCGGGAGATTGTTCAATCTCATCAGTAGGTATAGGTTTGTAGACATTTTCTCGGCTAGACAGGTCAAGGGCTGCGCCGATCGCTGGCGGGGAGTCCATACCATCGCCCATCGGTAAAGTTGCTCGCTTAGAATCATCTAAAAACTCGACCGTAGCGAAAGTATTGGAGGGGCCATTAGGGCCCAGCGGCGTTTTCGACCGCGCAAAAAGACCAATGTCGGGCACGGCAGTTGAAGAGCAAACGAGAAGGTCTTGTAGGTTCGGGGGAAAGTCCTTCAGGCGTAGAATTGTGTGGTAAGGAGCCTTGCTATCGGGATAGGGCTCTACAGGGTTGGTCAGTTTCTGAAATTGAAAGTTCTGTCCCTGTCTTGTAATAAGATGACACCCAACAGGAGCCCGGTCTGAACTGGAAACGTGAAAGACTAGGAATACGTCATTCTCAAGCCAGATCAGAGACGAAACTAGACAGGAGTTAGTACAGAAGGCCAACCGTTCAATACAAATAGAGACTTACCAAAATAGGACGTATCTAGACCCGGCGGTCGAGGAATTTCCCCCTTCATAGTACCTTCGGGCGTCATTTGCTGTATGGTACCATCACCGAGTCCAGCTACCAGCTGTTTTCCCTTTGTACTCCAAGCCACGCAACTGACTTGGTTCTTCAAGATTTGGCCGTTAGATCCTGATATGAAGTTGCGTTCCTTCATGTTTGCCATGAGGAGTTTGCCTTCGCTAGTGACAACAGCGCATAGCTCGCCTTTCTCTGGCCGAGGATTTGGTACTAGAGCCCTAAGTGACTCGCCGTTCGTAGGTACCTCAAAGGCGGTCTGAGTCGAGCCTTGTTGGAGAGATTGAACATCATAGACCGCCAACCCTCCGCCTTGCTCCGCGGACAGTATTAGGTAGGATTCGTCTGCAGTGAAAGCGAGTTGACATATTCGTATCGGTAGAGGTAGCTTCAAAGCCGGTTCGAAAGCTCGAACGTCGCTATCGTCAGTTTTAGGACTATCGAACGCCTTTCGAACAGCTTCTGTAGAAGCTAATATAACAGCATCAGGACCGGCGGCAGCGACAAGGCCTTGTCGCGATGCGATGCTGATAAGAGATGCATTTTCGGCGGGAGGCGGAGACCATTGCGACGTCAAACGCAACTTAGCTTCACCGGATAACGAAAGGAAACTGAGAGCTTCGGTTTGTACGGTTGGTAATTCTTCAACCCCCGTCCCACCAGCCGAGTTTCCCGCACTTCCAAAGCTGAAAGCCATGGTTATGGCGAGTGTCTTGTTCACAAAGAACCGATCATGGAATGGTAATCGGTTATCGCGTCGGCGGGTAAATCGATCTGTTCGTATTGAAAGCTTCGATAGGCCCGCAGGCAGAACTTGTTAGAGGGAACAAAACGAAGTGCGCGGGTCGGAATTTGCCCTTTCGTGAATTATGCGTCTAATAATAATGTTTTAGATGGATGAACATGTCTTCATGAAAGAAAACATATACAACGAAATTGTCGAAAGGTATAAAAATGAAAGTTGTTTTGCACGGCGCGCAAAGGAACTTGAGTTCAACTTTTTTAAGACGAGATGCGCTTAGGTCATGTTGCTATGGAAAGTTAGTAGGTACATCTACCTATAAAATGGAGGTACCTTAGAATTGCTCGCGTACCCCTGTCGATGCATCGGAGCTTAGGCCAGGCTTATCACTACCAGATCCATCACTACTTGAGGGATACTTTATAGACTAGCAAAAATAACACCACAATCACAGTACTTTAAAAGTACTTATAGGTACTAGGCAGGATGGACGCGTTGAACATTCAACTGTAAGGTAAGGTTCAACGCAGGCAGCTAGCTCCCGGTCGTCATCCGCCTTATTATATTGTACCTGCTCAATTCCAGCAAACAAATACAACTTCATCAATTACCAAACGACGGCACCGCCAGGAACCATTATCGGACATCCTACAACACTACGGATCCGGCGATTCAACACCGAGTCGCCTTAAAGTCACATTTCTATATTTTCCACCCAAGTAAAAGCACGATCGCACCGAGCTAGCCAGTATGCCTGGCTTCGACTTTTCAAACTACAATCGCAACGCGGCTCTGCACGCACGAGGTGTTCCACTACCAAAGGCGACCAGTACGGGTACAACCATTGTCGGCTGCATATTCGACGGGGGTGTTGTGGTGAGTTATATTTTGTCGCTAGCCTTGTGATAAATATTGCGATACTAATACAGAACCAATAGATTGCTGCTGATACCCGAGCTACCAGCGGTCCTATCGTCGCCGACAAGAACTGCGAAAAGCTTCATTACATCTCTCCCCAGATTTGGTGTGCTGGTGCAGGTACCGCCGCCGATACCGAGTTCACGACCGCCCTCATTTCTTCCCAACTCGAGCTACACTCTCTCTCCACCGGTCGAAAGCCTCGTGTCGTTACTTGCATGACTCTTCTCAAGCAACACCTCTTCCGATATCAAGGTTATATCGGAGCCTACCTAGTAGTTGCTGGTGTCGATCCTACAGGAACTCACCTATTTACCGTCCACGCCCACGGTAGCACAGACAAGCTTCCTTACGTAACCATGGGTTCGGGATCACTCGCCGCCATGTCCGTTTTTGAATCTCAATGGAAGCCCAACTGTACCAAGGAAGAGGCCATGGAGCTTTGCTCTCAAGCTATCCAGGCTGGTATCTTCAACGATTTGGGTTCAGGTTCCAATGTCGATCTAGCAGTCATCACAGCAGATAAGACAACTCTACACCGTGGTTTCATTAAGCCGAACGAGCGTAGCCAGAAGTTGAAGAACTACAAGTTCAAGCGTGGCACTACAGCAGTGCTCAACGAGAAAATTATTACCAAGGATGAGATTGGAAAATACGTCAGCGTGCAAGAATTGGAGTCAGGCGAGGGAGAGGGTATGGAGATTGATACGTAAAAGATATGAGGAGGGGCTTTAGGATGGAGAACCGGCGATGATTCTCTGTACCAACACAATGATAATTTAAGAAGACTATCCCTCCAAAACGGAGAACTCGGCAAGCCTCTCATGATCCAAGATCCTAGTGATTTTTTACATCAGTATAGTCTAACTATATTGGTTCTGTTACTATGAACTTGGATTCCAATTACTAGACTCTCAGCAGCCACAAAATACATGAATGCTGTTCAATAAAGCCAATCCCGGCCAATCGGTCTTCCCATCTATTTGTACTTGACCCTTCAATTTTCTAGCTTCGTATCCTCGGAGCTTCACTACCCAAATACAGGTATGTCTAAGTAAGTATTCTGTATCTCCTCAATCGATTCTTTATTGTATATGCACCAAAACTCTCCGAACATAAGCATAACTAAAAGGATAATTATACTGTATACAGTGTGACCGAATTGATTTCAACTAGTAGTATTAGCTAAGCACATTTTCACAGCAGGGTAACACGGTAACACCCGTACTAGGTTACAACTTTGACGTGACACAAATATAGGGCCATGACTATATGGTTATAGTTAAAGGGGTAACCACCCAGGTAATAATTCTTGCTATATTTACAATAAGACCATTCTATTATTATGGTTAGTTAAGTGATTATGTACCGTACAGTGCTAAAAATTAGCGAGAAGATAATTTGCGGGGGAAGATGTGGGCTTATGCCAAATGCGGAGAGAACAGCTGAGGGTTTTTACGCATTAGAGGTAGGAACGAATTTCTTTTTTTGCTTTGATGATATCATCTCGGCCAAATATTCCTTTCCAAGGTTGAAAGAGCTACCCAGTAACTAATAATATTACTAACTCCATCTGCTCACGAGCCCATGTATACCTGTAATTAGCATCTCGACATGGGCTTCGTTCCCAAGTATCACTTTAGCGTCCTAACTCAACATCACGATGAGCATGACCTGACCTGACCGTACGTCCCAGCCACCGACCGAATTGGGGCATAAGCAAACTACCCCGCAAGGAAAAAAAAAAAAATCCCAGCTTCCAACTTCTTCGATAGCTTCTAGGCTCAGGTATATATACGTGGAAGGGCTAGGCGACTCTAAGAAATTGGATACTGCCAGGATTGTCCTCCTTCTATAGCACGTTCGAATTTATATACGTACCTAGGTACCCAGGTGCTCTTTATGTGCTCGGTGCTCGGTGACCTAGCTCTCGTCGTCTTCTTCAGGTGTATGTCTTCATAAACACACTTAGAGCTTGACGTAATAGGAAGACGCACTATGGCGAGCATTCGACGCGTAACGGTAGCATTAGCTATCGCCTCGTCTTCTGTAGTTCACGGTCTCTACCAGAACGGCTCCACCGTCACGCCTTGCGACTCGCCTCTATACTGCCACGGTGAAGTCTTAGAGCAGATCGAACTTGCTCAACCCTTCTCCGATTCTAAGACCTTCGTAGACTTGTAACTGTGACTGTCGATTAACTATGAGGTTTCATCGGCTAACGAGCGAATAGGCCGACAAAGGTACCATTGGATGAGGTCCTCGCCGCATTTAACAAGCTTACTAAGCCACTCAGCAATAATACGGAGCTCAACGACTTTCTATCCACTTACTTCGGCGAAGCTGGGTCAGAACTCGCTCAAGTTGCCACGGACCAGTTAGAGACAGATCCTGTCTTTCTTGATAATATTGAAGATTCCGTGATTAAACAATTTGTGGAGAAGGTCATCAACATTTGGCCTGATTTAACTCGGACATGTAAGTAGTTTCTCAAAAATGCGTGGGGTAGATGTGTATTAACGTTATGAATTGTAGACGTGGGTGCCGGCAATTGTACGGGGTGTGTCGATAGCTTCATTCCAGTCAACCGTACCTTCGTGGTTGCTGGTGGTCGGTTCAGAGAATCCTATTACTGGGATTCATTTTGGATCATCGAAGGTTTATTGAGGACTGGCGGCAGCTTCACTGAAATCTCCAGGTAAGGCGTTCGATTAACTCATAAATAATATTCAAACCAAGATACTAACTTTCGCTTAGGAATATCATTGAGAACTTCCTCGACTTCGTCGAGCAATACGGTTTCGTACCCAATGGCGCACGTATATGGTATGAATAAGACCCCTACTCGAATATTTTATACCACTTCCAGTTTACTCGGACATTATTATATACCTATCTACTAACTTATCAACAGTACGTAACTATATCATCCGTAACGCTAGGCTTTGGTTCAGCAAGAGACTACCACTATACAAGGTCGTATATGCGGCAAGGGGGCTGACGTATGACAGATTATTTGAACCGCTCTCAACCCCCTCTCCTGACACAGATGGTCAAGACTTACATCGACTACACCAATGACACGAGCCTTCTCAATCGTGCTCTACCTCTACTCATTAAGGAGCACGCATTCTGGATCGAGAATCGTACTGTAGAAGTCACCGCAGAGGACAGGACCTTTCAACTAGCCCAGTAAGTGACCCTCCAGCGCCTAATATGGCATTTTTGGACGCTATCTTATAAAACCTATAGTTATGGTGTTCAAAATACAGAACCACGCCCGGAGGTAAGACTTAACTATCATGACCGTTTTTTTTTCCCCATAATATACGCTAGTTTATGAAAGGAAAACTCCTAATGCTAGTGGTTGAAATTCTTGCTTATCTGATACAAAAGCGGCTAACCAATATACTTAGTCGTACCGGGAGGATTATATCACAGCCAACAACAAGTCCTACTACGCGACCTCTGGGATAATATATCCAGAGTCACATCCCCTGAACGACACAGAGAAGGCCACACTCTACGCTAACCTTGCTTCAGGCGCCGAATCGGGGTGGGATTACAACTCACGCTACATCGCTACTCCATCTGATGCTGCTAATGACGTCTACTTCCCACTACGTTCCCTAAACACTGCGAACATCATCCCCGTAGACTTAAACTCAATCCTATACGCCAACGAGATCACCATCGCAGAGTACCTTGACAAGACTGGCAACGACACTTTATCCATAGAGTTCGGAGAACTAGCTAAGAACCGCTCCGAAGCCATGTATACGCTAATGTGGAACGACAAATACACGAGCTATTTCGACTACAACCTTACCTCGAACTCACAATCAATCTTTGTTCCATCGGACTCCGATACCACACCTGCACAGCGCGCCGACGCTCCTGAAGGACACCAAGTATTTTTCCACATCGCGCAATTCTACCCATTCTGGCTCGGAGCCGCTCCCCCACAGCTCAAGAATAATCCTCTCGCCGTATCCCTCGCCTACCAACGAGTTGCCGACCTTCTCAATGAGAAAGCCGGTGGGATTGCGGCGACGAACTATCTAACGGGCCAGCAGTGGGATCAGCCGAATGTGTGGCCCCCGCTGATGTACGTATTAATGAAGGGTCTGCTCCAGACGCCGGCGACATTTGGCGAGGAGGACCCGTATTATATCGAGACGCAGAATCTGTCGCTTAAGTTGGCGCAGCGGTATTTGGATAGCACGTTTTGCACTTGGCTTGCGACGGGTGGTTCGACGGATGAGACGCCTCAGTTAGATGGTTTCGGGCCCGAGGATACGGGGATTATGTTTGAAAAATGGTATGTTCCATACCCTCACGACACGTATTGATCGAAGCTAACTATTTTGCAGTATGTTATAATCCATTTTCTTCCTAGAGTCGTCTTTCATAGACTTCTCGTCGGAGAGTAAGTCCTTCTTGTGCGGATTGTTACTAACTTATGATAGACGCCGATAACTCTACGAACGTTGCCGGCGGAGGTGGCGAGTACGAAGTCGTTGAAGGATTCGGATGGACGAACGGCGTATTGATCTGGGCCGCTGATACTTTCGGCAACAAGCTAACGAGACCCGATTGTGGCAACTTGACTGCGGCGACTACCACTCAAAAACTAAGGAAGAGGGATGCTATCGGTCAACGAGCAGTCGAGCTATCTCCTTACGATGCTCGATGGATCAAGAAATTCGGTCGCGCAGCGCAGAAGGCTTAGGAGGCCTCTGGCTCGTTGGTATTCCGAATGGATGAACTATAGAGGTAGAGGCTCACCTAGTTAATATCATAATAGGTAGAGTGTAGTAGAGTAGACTTGGTATAGTATATAATTTGAATACATAATATATACTACTCATGATCCAGGGCGCCATAAGTGATAACAACTCTTCGTTGGATCCAGAAGGTAACTTGAGGCTAAGCTTCGAAGTATTATTCAGCTCTCTTACCGATGCAACGTATCCGCCGATGCGATATGTCATGAAGTGGCTCTAAACTCAAGTTTAGGGAACCTTAGGCTTAGAAAATGCATTGATCATGATATTATCATCATCTGATTCTGGTAGGTCAAATTTGTAAGTATGATGCTTAATTATTTCCCCTATAGCGCCGCACCGCGAGCGAAAGCCGAGGTACACAGTAACCCTTTCTTATACGTTCGGCGAAGCCATTGCCTTAAGCCTAGGGCTGGAACTCGTCTGGCAGGATTTGAGCTAAAACAGACTCTCCCCAGGTGCCTCCCCACGCTCAGTGGCAGGGATTCTTTGCTCAATTCCGCCGAGGATCCAGTACGAATTGCCCAAATAGGAAGATTCAACGGGACAGTTATTCGAAATACCTGGCCGACTAATGACTGACAAAAGTCTAGATAATCGAGCTGCTGAGTTTTGTAAGCAAATAGAGAATTGAATTTCTAATTTAGAATGAGGATTATAAAGAGTTACCGTTTCCCTTCTGGTCTAAGACTTCTCATAACGCCCATCAACACCATCACCAACACTACGAATACTTAATCACAATGGTTCGTCTCTCTAACCTTAGTCTCGTCCTTTCAACCGTGACCACCGCCCTCGCCCTAGGCAGCGGCTGGCCTACCTCAGGTACTGAGAGCGGCCAAGTGCGCGTCTACAGCTGGAACCAAGCACAAGAAGTCGGATGCCTAACCAGCGACGGGAGGTGGACCGCCTCCGGTAACTGCGACATATTCACTGCTCAAGCTATCGGAACCGTATACATCGATCAACAATGGACGCAACTCGAGATCAAGAGTAGCGCTGGAAACAAGTGTTGGTTCACCGATGAGGATACGTTGAAGCTTGTGTGCGATAGCTCGGTTGATGGTACCCTCTGGGTACATGCTTCGGATTATAAGTCCGATAGTGAGTAGTTTGTGTTACCTTGTGGTGCTGAGTTTTTGAAGCTGATGTGGTTCATGTTTAGTCCTTGTTCATAACCGAGCGCTTGATAGTTATGTCCCTCTCGATGGAAAGACACCATCCGGTGGTAACGCGGTTGCTTTGAAGAGTCAGGGGCAGACTCAAGATGGGAATAACTATCAGCTCATATGGGCGAAGCAATAGATACCTAGGTACTACCTAGGTGAATATCGTATTCAAACGATAACAGGGAGGATGTCCTGTGTGCGAAGTAAGGGAGAACCAACTCAATCAATTCTAATTGGCATATGAATAACTGATAGAAGTCAATTTCTGTCGGATTTATACAACTCATAGACCAACGAGTGTCCCTTTAATATATTGCCGTATAAAAATGGATATTAGGAGTATCTGATAGTTAGTTGTCGGCTATTGAGAAAATATTGAACAAAGTGAGGGGTCTGATCACGAGACCACACAACTCTGAATGTGTACGGTTTAATGAGAATAGGGCATTGTATTGTGAATTCTTTGACCGATATAAACGTTAACATATTATTTAAGACGTTGAATTATGCTGCGGCATCGCACACTGATAGAATTAATTTAGTGTTGTGAGAATCATGGTTTGCGCTAAATCTTACGCACCATAGACCCATTATATGGTATTTCATGCACCTATTAGGTAAGCCAGAGCCGCTAGACCCTTGATACATAGCGCTGGTACGGTACCTACCGTATCGTTCTAGCCAGCCAACTCCCTGTAAGTGCAGGGGCTGGTCCCTTGGACTCGGTTCAATTCAATTGGTCGTGGAAAGGTGAAGGTGGCCTCTTTCGGTTGAAGCTTGGTGAAGTACACGTACCTCTCTACTTTTTTTTTGACAACTTCTCTTCTTGTAGCGTGACTCGCAATCCTTACTTCACGCCCAAGCTAGGTATTCCAATGCGGCGTCTACGGTGATTTTTTATACTTCTTTTTATCCATTGTATCTCGTAACTGATTTCTTCGCGTCCCCTCGCCAAGTAACCTAGACCAGAGCTCTTGTTCCACTGTCGCGCAGAATTTCGAGTTGGGTCTAGGGTTGCGCAACAACCGCGATCGATCGACAATGCCTGCGAAATCGAGATTCACAAGGTTGGATGCCTTCACAAAAACCGTCGAGGATGCGCGAATACGGACTACCTCTGGAGGAATTGTCACCATTGTATCCTTGATTGTTGTCCTCTATCTTGCCTGGGGAGAATGGTCCGACTACAGGAGAATAGTTATTCACCCCGAATTGATCGTCGACAAGGGCAGAGGTGTGTTCGATACCAACCAACATTTTTATACCATTTCAAACTTCTTACATGTCAATTATAGGAGAGCGCATGGAAATCCATATGAATGTTACCTTCCCCAAGCTCCCTTGCGAATTGATTACCCTCGATGTGATGGATGTCTCGGGTGAACAACAACATGGCGTGTTACATGGTGTAAAGAAGGTTAGGCTACAACCTACTTCGCAGGGAGGGGGTGTTATCGACGTTACTGCGCTGTCCTTGTGAGTTTGATGCTTGCCAAGACCTTGCTGCCTCTGCGTCTTTCTAACAAATTGGATTAGACACAGCAAAGAGGAGACCGCCCAACACCTAGATCCTAACTACTGTGGCCCTTGCTACGGCGCGCCCGCTCCGAGTAACGCCATAAAACCCGGCTGCTGTAATACTTGCGACGAGGTTCGAGAAGCGTATGCACAAGCGTCTTGGGCTTTTGGAAGAGGTGAAGGTGTTGAGCAATGCCAGCGGGAACATTATTCTGAGAAGTTGGATGAGCAAAGACATGAAGGATGCCGAATTGAAGGCGATCTCCGCGTCAACAAGGTTATTGGAAATTTCCACTTTGCGCCAGGTCGAAGTTTCAGCAATGGTAATATGCACGTTCACGACTTGAAGAACTATTGGGATAGCCCTGTCCGTCACTCGTTCGAGCATGAAATTCACCAACTTCGCTTCGGACCCCAGTTACCTGAGGATATCACGAAAAAGCATGCTAGAAATAGCCCCTGGACCAACCATCACATCAACCCTCTTGACGAAGTGAAGCAGACCACCGATGACCCTAACTTCAACTTTATGTACTTTGTGAAGGTTGTCCCAACCGCGTATCTTCCTCTCAGTTGGTCGAAGTCGAGCAGTCGTTCTGGACAAAGTGATGACGAAATTTGGCTAGGAGCTCTCGGTAATGCGATTGATGGCAGCTTGGAGACGCATCAGTATTCAGTCACGAGCCACAAGCGAAGTTTGGCTGGTGGTGATGACGCGGCAGAAGGTCACCAAGAACGAATGCACGCAAGGGGTGGTATTCCTGGTGTTTTCTTCTCTTATGTAAGTCTTCCCCTCGTGACCATATCTTCGTATCAGTTGCTGACAAAAATAGGACATCTCTCCCATGAAGGTTATCAACCGAGAAGAACGTGCCAAAACATTCACTGGTTTCCTAGCGGGTCTCTGTGCCGTCATCGGCGGTACGTTAACAGTAGCCGCAGCTGTTGACAGGGGTGTATACGAGGGGGCAACGAGGCTGAAGAAACTTCAAGCAAAGAATCTCTAGATTATCTAGATAAATACATTGGGGCGTTGGCCACTGGGTACTATTTCAGTTGTAAGGGAATACGTGGCCACGATGGATTATTTGATCCGTAACGCACTGGGGAAAATGGAGTTGCTGACTTATTTTGGGATATTAAGAAAAACCTCTAGCCTCTGAATTGAGATTCTGAAGTGTTTGACTTGTGAATCGTTTTTGTAAGGTTGCTGGTGGAACGAAGTTAGGTAAGACGCCGAAATAGGACCTTAGAATCTTGCATTTGTACTGAATTGCGCTGAGATCTTGTGTACTGGCAGGTTACTTAAATATGATACGTCTTCGCAAAACTCCCTGAAGTAGTTAGGTGGGAAAGGCGTAAAAAGGCGGCTATTTGCCTCCTTTGATCCTCTTCCGAGCTGAAATATAGTATATCTGTCAATATTTACGGCGAAACCGGTAGAAGTCCATGCCATCTTCAAGAAATACGCAAGATCCAATCTGTATGCGTATGTTCTCGCCGTGGCAACGCTATACGGACTCTATAATTGGCTAACCACCTAGGTATGTAGATAGGTATGCGTCTAGTGTGAGGCTGTACACACATAAAATATTATGTAGACACTATTCTAAGCATTATTCGCTAGATAGTCTGAATGGTTTGAATACCCCTGACGTCAATCGAATTACCCGGAGAAAGTTCCTAATTGCTGAGCTCATCTGTTGGTTGGTTGATACAATCCAGGCACCCGTGGACTCGGCCGGTCTCATCAGCTTTGTCTCAGCCACAAGTCTGAAGGAGAAGTACTTTCGGTGTTCTGGTTGGATGAAGGATGAATACATAGTAATCATTGGGGGCCTCTCATCTGAATTTGAATATCTGACTTCATTCTCGGGACGGCCGACTTAGAGGGAGAGAATAATAGTGATGGTTATGCGTTATAACAGTGATTTCTAGAATATAGAAATCTAGAATCGAGATGCATTTGTTTTTGTTTGTATTTATTTATTGATAGGTAATTCTAGAATGGGTCCTCTAGTAGATCTACATTGTAAAATCAGCTAAAGTTCTGCCGAGTACGGGGCGTTTCTCGTATTTTTATCAGTTTGTGTACCTATATCTGAAAGGGGTTAGCTGATTGGGTAATATAACGATGGTTCCCTCTGCTAAGCCTTATTTAGTCGAAATGCCAACGCCCGCATCGTTTCCTCTACGTTACACTAGCCTAGCTCTGGGATAGCGCAAAAGATGCCATCTCGGGGTTCATTTTTAATTCTGAGACTTTGACTTGTATGTATGTACTTGTCATAAGTGTCTCTGAAATAATTGCTTAGTCGTTGGATGACATATGATGTTTAGTAATTTTATTTACTTTACTTCTATATCTTGAATTTTGCCGGTTACCAATGTGCATTTTCGCAACAAAATAATCAATTGATCCAAACATAGAGGCACAGATAGACGTACACATATACATATATGTACCTACGTACATACGAAGAATACATGTGGTACGTACCTGCATGTATTTATCGACCCTGTCCATGCATCATGCAGGTAGTGGAGAACTCTCCAACCAAGTTTATTAGTTAAGCTTCCACCAAAAGCTGCAAACTCCAAGTCTCCCAATGAAGAAATTGCCCGCCCCTAGTTATTTTCAATTTCGGGATACCGTATGGATACAGTACGGGGTACATGGATGTATGCCACATACCCCACTAACTATATTAGTACTCAGTGGGTAATCCAAGTTATTATTACCACTGTACGTACATAGGAGTAACCTGGACAGGTGCTGCCCGTGCTGCTTGACCCTTTCCCTTCTGACGATGAAGGCCCCGGGGCAAACTGCAATTGAGTTTGATTGTTCTTCCTTCTCATTACACATTTACATATCCAAATATACGCACGCACAAGCACAAGCACACGCGCCGTCAAAGTCACCTTTTTTACCTCTTCCTTCTGTTATTTCGTCGTTGTCTAAGCCTAAGTTTATTCATTTGGTGGCCCTTCGTCGTCCGTTCTTTACTTTTTCACCTACCTACATACATTCATGCAAGCCAGTTATCGATCGTATCGTTCGCATCGTTCGCATCGTTCAGATCACCACGTCACTTCTCCTAATCTCTCCATACAGTAGTAACACAACTTCAACCATTTTAGTCGACTTTCAATTAGATTGTATCTTTTCGTTACTCATAAAGCACGTAATTGTTCAACATCGAATTAACAAAACAATTCTCGATCGCCTCGTTAGCCTGTCTACATTCAATAATACGAGATACCCTAAGCTCTTCGATTAATAGCGACCCCTTTCGATCGACCAAGATCCCCTCTTCGTTTCTTCGATCGCGTTGATCCTGCATTCCTGTTGCATCCACCATTTTCTGGTAGATTTACGAAGCCGACTTCATGTTTCATGCAACCCCCAAAGATTCAGCTTCGCCTCCTAAATTACGAATACTGGTCTGAATCCTATTAACGTCGATTTCGAATTGCGCCCCTGATCCTTAACCGATACCTTAAACCGCCGCAACTTAGTAGACCGTCTACGAAACATCCAACCAAATAGAGAACTAGTGTATTGTGGTTCATCTTGGAGTTAATACTTTATCAAGCGTCTTGTTTTGATATTGCTATCGATAGCTTCGCCTCACCATGGCGAACAGGCCCAACTTCATCGACTTGAGGGCTAATTCCTCTGCCTCAGTCAACAGTTCTGCCTCCCGTCCCCTTAGATCGCCCCGGTTACATGTCGCAGGGGAAGTCCCTCCTGCTCTATCACCCCTCGATGCCTTCGCAGCCCAGAGTCGCCTCCTGGCGAAGCAGCTCGAGGAGAGTGCTAAAGCTGGGAGGCGAATGAGTCGCCTACCCCCATTAACCACGGAAAGCCCCTTGGTCGTTCAGGGGCGCTCTGAATACTTTCGCTCCTTGTCCTACGATTCTACTGACGACCAACCTGAAGCGCAACCACAAAATACTGGGCTTGGCTTGACCACAGAAGTGGAATCACCGTCAGAACGGCCTGTGTCGATGCACCCTCGAATGAGCCGTATACCTCCTACGCCCGACCACTCGGTACCCCTCCCTCCAAACCCGTTCTTGGAGAATGCACGTGGCCGACAACTTGAGAAGCTTGACGAAAATGGTGGATTATACGGTGCCCGTAGGGAACAATCACCTAGTGATTTGGAGAGTCTTGCCGACAAGTCGGAACACAAATCGGAGGACCATGATCGCGACAACAGGGAGATTTCACCCACCCGCACACGATTCCCACCGTCTCCCGAGAAACTTACCAAGACAGTTTCACACGAATCTGCTGGGCTGGTTCCGCCTAGGCCAGTTTTTCCTAAGCGTTCTTCAAGCATCATGTCGGCGCCTCCCGAGGCTAGTAACGACGATGTCTTGAGTGCTTCTTTTTATTCACAACCGGGTCGAAAACTTTCTTCAAGCAGCGCCTTCTCAGGGCCAGGTCTTGCGTCCCCAATCGCACATTATCAAAGGTCACCTTCAATTAGCTCCGACTATTCTGCGCCTTTGCCGCGTCCTTCTTTCAACTTTTCTCGACCACTAAGTCGAGCGGGTACTCCAGGTTTAGAAATGCCATCCCGACAGGCCTCGTCTGACAGCCAACCGTCATTTGTTCTTGCCGATGAGACTGCGCATACTCCAGTCAGTATGCACAGCGAAGCTTTCTTAGAAAGTAACCTAGCAGATGATGGGAGAGGCGCCCCCTCATACATCTACTCTAAGTACTCGTTGCCGAGAGGAAAATCACTGCAGCGCAACTCCGCAATTTTCCGCGACGAGCCCTCTTCTTTTGTTTGGGAGCAGCCAGTGGTTCCCCAAAGCAACGTCCAAACTTTTCCAAGAAATGGTCAAGCACCACCTTCACCTCCTACGCGGCCTTCCAGTTCTTCATCGAGATTCCAGGAAGGCACACACGGAGCTGATTCCCTTCTAGCGCGCCCGTCCATGGAACGAAGCAAGCTTTCTAAGGAAATGTCGTTGGATGGAAGACAACCATCACCTGATCCGAGTCGCCCTTCAACTAGCATGAGCCGACCATCAGAGGACGTACCTAGGGGCCGTCCTCTCACATCGCCTCTTCATGAGCAAGCTCGAGGACGAACACCAGCATCCGTATCCACAAGCGATTCTGCAAGCACCATTCGACCACCGAAGTCGCAACATTCGAATGCGCCCACAGCTTCCGAAATGAGCGCCGAGGAGCATTTAGCCAAGGGTATCAAGTGCCATGAGGAAGGCTCCGTGAAAGAGTCTACCTACCACTTGCGCCTGGCTGCACGTGCAGGTGATCCAACAGGAATGCTTCTGTATGCCCTTGCTTGCCGACATGGATGGGGTATGCGACCAAACCAGAAGGAAGGTGTTGAGTGGTTACGAAAAGCCGCCGATGTCGTTAGTGCCGAAATCGCGGAAGATGAGGACCACGTTAAAGAAGGAAAATCCGTGGATTTCATGGATCGAAAGACCCGCAAGGCTCAATTCGCCTTGAGCATCTACGAGTTAGGTGTCAGCCATATGAATGGCTGGGGAATTGAGCAGGATAAGGCACTTGCCTTGCGGTGCTTTGAGATCGCTGGCAGTAAGTTCACCCCTCAAGAAGAATGCCGCAAAATAATCTAACATTTATAATAGGCTGGGGAGATGTTGACGCACTTGCCGAAGCTGGTTTCTGTTACGCTAAAGGTGTCGGCTGCAAAAAGGATCTCAACAAAAGCGCTAAATTTTATCGCATGGCCGAGGCCAAAGGCATGAGTATGCCAGGAAACAGCTGGTTAGTTTTCCCGGTTGGCTTATCTAATATTATGTGACTAACATCATCGTAGGATACACAAAGCAAAGTATAGCGACGATGCCAACAGCGCAAAAAAGCAGCGCGCCCGAAGCAAGTCAAGGAGTAGGGGAATATTCCACAAAAAGGAGAAGGCTTAAGAAAAGGCAACATGAAGTCAAAGGTGGACTACACGATTACGATTCGTATTATTCTGACTTCCTCGGCGTTTTGGTGGCAGCATCTATCCAACAAAAAGCAGCGAATTATCAATTCCAGCAGCATAACGATTGGGGGCTAGGTTTGCATTAATTGCTTACAACCGTGTTTTACGCAAAAATACCCTCGACATGAACAAATATCATGAGGAACAATTCCTCGCGCTGGAGAAGCTTGGGAACCAGAAAGGCACGAAAGGTGCAGGGGGATACAAATGTCAATATAAGGGGCTGTGTGTATATCAAGTATTCCGAAGCCGCGCGGGCTCCATGAGATGGAGCCACGCATGTGCAATTGTATATAATGACATCCTTTGCACAAAGGGACATAAGGAAATGCTTAAGGGCAGCAGATCATGGGCAGCTAGCTGGCTAGGAAGAAGAGCTAGATCGTCTAGGAAGATAAAAGGAGCTGAGATTCTAAGAAGAGGGATCTTGAGAGATGTATGACTCGCTAGAGAGGCTTCGGCAATTTCTAAAAGATTTCATACCTGTCCTCACCAGGGACGGGTCGAGTTGTTCTACGGTATAATTATGTCTTATCGAATACGTCTATCGAATGCGAAATGTGTGAAGATCGGTTGAACGCGTGGAGCCTACTGAGCTAACTTATAAAAGTGCTCGTGAATGTAACTATAGACGATCCGAGATGGATAGTGGCTGGTATAGATAGGCTATCTCAATACGTCGGCTCTTCGTGTCCGATCCACATCGAGATATCTACACTAGGGCCGTAGACGCACAATTGGTTAGTTGTAAGCACTAATTGCGGTTGCTGATCAACCCAGGGGTATTTTCTAGGACATTAATAGATCATATCTACTCCTCTCGGGATTACTTTGAGCTAAACTTCACTTCACCTCATTTATTACGCAGATATATATATCCAAGAAACATAAACGCATCAGAGTTTACTCCCATAAATCCCCTGCCTTCTCCCTCTTACATCCTTAACATCACCACTCTCCTTCTCCGCAGCAACCTTCTCAAAGATACCCGTCAACCGTCGAATAGCCTCCTCCCCGATCTGGTAGTGCGTAATGAGTCGATTCCCATGGATCCGCAAACCAGCCTGTTTCCCCAACTCTACGAACCGCTCTGATGTGGTGTTTAGAGAAGATAGGTCGAGCCACACCATATTCGTGTGCACGGGGTACTCCAACTTCCCACCCAAATTAGCCCAGAGAGCGGCTACGCGGCGCGCGGTGTCGTGAGTGGCGCGTAGGAGACCGCCTTCACCGCGGGGTCCGTGGCCGAAGGTCGTGTCTATTGCCACGCGGGCGGCGGCTGTTACTACGCCGGATTGCCTGAGACCGCCACCGATGGATTTACGGATCCAACGTGCGTGTTTGATGACGGGTTTGGGGCCGACTAGGATACTACCGATAGGCGCGCCGAGACCTTTAGAAAAGCATAGGGATAGTGTGTCGAAGCAGGCGCTGTAATCCTTTAGATCTCCCTTGGACGGGTCCGCGGCTACGACTTCCCAAAGGCGTGCGCCGTCGCAGTGCATTAGAATGTTGTGCTCTCGGGCGAATGCTGCGATTTTTTGGATTTCGTTTAGAGGGGTTATGAGCCCGTTGAGTGAGTTCTCGAGGGAGATTACGCGTGTTGGGCACGAGTGCACGTCGTTGTCCAAGATGGCGGAGGCTTGGATGTCTGAGAGGGTTAGGAAGAGCCCGTTTTTGGGAATTACGGGGGTTATCATGGCGCCTGTTAGGGAGGATACGCTGGTGGGTGGTTAGTTGTGAGATGATGTGGTGAGTGAGTGAGAAAGGGTGAGTTACCCTCCGGCTTCATATTGAATGATGTGTGACCGATGATCTGTTAGTACGCTGTGAGGCGGCTGGGTGAGCAAAGCACGTAGGGCAAGTTGATTGCCCATTGTACCTGAGAGCACGAAGAGACCGGCCTCTTTACCCGTTAGTGAGGCGATGTGGGCTTCGAGGTCTGTGGTCGTCGTATCCTCCTGGAAGACATCGTCGAGTAACGTCGTCTTCTGGATTGCAGATAACATAGCCTGTGTTGGCGTGGTCATGGTGTCGCCTATATAATGGTGTTAGCATCATGTCTGATTTACTAAACTACAAAAACCCGTCCATTTGCGAGGCTAAAGAATGGGTAAGGAATATAATAGCTTACTCCTTAGATCGAAGGCGGCAGCGCCATGGTGGCCAAGCCAACTAGAGGCCGGCTCACCTTTGGATCGGTTCACGGTAGTGGAAGACATGGCGGATGATGAGATGTGAAGACATCTCGCTTGTTTAGCCGGAGTTGGTGGTGTTAGATGGCGGACTGATAACGACGGCGGGGTTGCCAACTTCCGGTTCCATATACCAGGTATAGGCCGATGTCGCCATGTGGACCGACCGACTTGTATTGCTTCAGCAAGGGATATTCTAGATATAGGATTTCTATTGAATCCCATGACTAACAAAGACTTACCTGGTAGGTTAGATGATTGGTTTAGTAGATCCTTTTAAGAATCTCCTTCCTGAATTGTAGATGTTTTTTGATATGCTTCTATTAGATATATGTTATAGGTTAGAGTTATACAACAATTGAGTCTAACGCCGTACCGTAGACATTACGTAACTCACGGGAGTTGGAATCATATTAGGTAATAATGGAGCTACATGTAGCGTGCTAGTAAAGACAGCTGGCAGACATAATCTGGCAGGTGATTAATAAGATTAGATAAGTAAAATAACAGGGATCTACAAATCGCTAGGTAACATACCGTCGCGTTGGATGACACGACAGCCTCCCTTTTCAGCTTACTCAGGTGAGAGAAGTCATCCAGTAGAGTTCGCCTTGGCTGCATACCACCAACACACCAACGACGGTACAACCCGTTCTCCCGTGGGACTTGGTCGCTAAACTCTAATCCTGTGACGGTGACTGTGACAAGACCTCGATTACGTACGTGTATCGTCTTACGGTACATGTACCAACATCCATGGCACTCGCACGGAGATCGAGCACCCGATTGGCCATCATCTTCACATTCCTCTGTGTGCTACTGATCTGGTTGAACCCTAACTGGACCGATCGAACTATACATCATACCTTTCTTTTCGACCCTAAAAAGATAGATGTATCCGATGCTGCCGAGACCCGAAATCTGTGCCGACAACATGGGTGGTCTCCTTTCCCTAACCCAGCCGGAAGGAAGGTCTACGACTTGATCATGATAAATACCGAACTGGATTGGTTGGAAATCCGGCTAAACTCCACCTATCCTTATGTCGACTACTTTGTCATTGTCGAGTCCAAGAAGACCTTTACTAATCACGATAAGCCTTTGGTCATCAAGGACAATCTTGACCAATTTGCGGCTTATCGGGATAAGATTATCTACCATGAGCTCGAAATTCCCGAAGATTTTCATTCGGAACGCGAGAATCCATGTTGGGACTTCGAGGATCTCCAGAGGAATGCTATGTACACTCAAGTATTCCCACAGCTGACGGGGGCCAAAGCACCTGATACAGGTGATGTCATCATCGTAGCCGACGTCGATGAAATTGTTCGCCCAGAAACCTTGGTAGTACTGAAATCGTGTAATTTCCCTCGTCGGCTTACGCTCCGAAGTCATTTCTACTACTACAGCTTCCAATATCTCCACAAGGGTACTCAATGGGCACATCCTCAAGCGACATACTATCAAGGCTGGAGGACCATTCTGCCTGTCAATCTACGCAACTCGGATGGCAATCTCCAACCTTTAGTCAGGCTAGAGAAGGGCGATCTCTGGAGCGCGGGATGGCACTGTTCGACGTGTTTCTCCACAGTGAACGAAGTCTTGACTAAATTGTCATCCTTCTCGCACATCTGGCTCAACCAAGAGGGTTACCGTGACCCTAATCGCATCGCGGACCGTGTAAGGAGCGGAAAAGACCTGTGGGATCGAGAAACCGAGCAGTACGAAAGGATAAATAATAATACGGACATACCAAAAGGGCTATTAGGAAACCCGGAAAAGTTCTCGTATCTCCTAAACAGAGATGGTCCGACGGCCGGGTTCAGGGATTATCCTCCACGGTAGCGGCGGCTTCGGCTGATTCCGATGTGTTATAAAATGTGCAATTAATATGGTGCGACTTAGATGGAAGTAACGAAGCATTTGTACGATTTGCGTGGCGGGGTGTTTATGGATTCCGGTACATCGTTACTCGGTTCGAGAGCCTTACGCGCTTGGAGGAGCATCAAGAACTGGGGCGAATATTAATTATTAGAAGCAGCATAATCCATGGCGTTGGTAAGAAGCCACAATTGGCTTAGAATGGGGTTTCAATTCTCTTTGTAATACAAGGTGCAGGAGTTTGGATTGCATAATACTAATATTATTTTCCTCTGGGTCCTGAATACCTATCCTCGACTTCGTCAATGATATCCAGAATAGTCATCATTAATACGATTAGTTACCCTCAAAAGCACCCCCGAATGTGTCCTCGCTTCAGAGGCTCTATCGTCGTTCCCGATCTGGGAAGGCAATTCCTAACCCAAGACGCGGGTGCTCTTGAAGGATGAGACTTCATTTAGCTGTAACTTACGGGTTGAACAGCTGCAACTTCGCTATGAAACTATTTCGCGCTACGAACCTTAGGAAGATAAGGAGGGGAATTTGGGCACGCTATGTTTCGACTGCCGTGGGGCATAGTATATTATAGACAATGGGGAAGGCGTGACTGGTCAAAAAACATCCGAATGCCTACTATCGTGTGATCTGGAGAAAAAAGGTTTACAGGGGTTCTCCGTTCCCGAAGTTATAGTTCCTGCTGTTTTGGAGGTTAAATATCTCGCCGTTGTTTCGTCGGTTCCAGGCAAGTATCGTGGCCATCCCACAGCTTCACCCCTCTTCTTTCTACCACATATTCGGAGGGTTCACGCGCAACAAATGGACAACATAGCAACAGCAAACAGTACTCCACGCGCCTCACGCGTAGTTTGACAGGTCTTCCAATCGCAAATTCCGTTTATTCTAGGTATTCCCTGTGCCTGTTAAAGTTGTGCGCCCAATAGCAATCAAATACGGTACGTATTCTCTTTCAGTCCCAATCCACCCCAAATTTGAATACTCTGAACCCACCCAACTCGCTCAATTTCACTCAACTCAGTTCTTAAAATTCCTTGCGCCAGTACCTATTCAGTAATCAAGCACCCCAAATAAGCAAGGGCAACGGCTAATATTACCACAAGTTTACTACGTTAAGAACGACGCAACAATGTCACTAATAGCCATCGCCATCGCCATCGCTGTCTTCCTCGGCGCTATCGGCCGCCTGGTCAACGCCCAGGGCCTCGTCACCAACTGCACTTGGCAAACTGGCCTTCTTGAGGGCAGTTTCCTCGGCATGTATTGCAACAACGACGACTGGGCTGAGTACGCCTACGATTGGACCTGGTAAGCTACCCCCCAATATGGAAAATCTACTGATCTGAAGAGGGCAACGACTAACCGACGTACCAATTTTCTAGGTTTGATACCAACAATTGTCTCATCAACTACGGCGGCAAGTTGTATCCCTCATACCCGAGGTACGTGTTTTCCCTCTACTACCTTTCTCTTCTCCAGCATAGCTGCTTGCCTGGTCACCCTAAATTGTTTCTGGCGCCGAATTGTATGCGTATATAGGTACTAACATAAATCTCGGTAACGTAGCGGAAACTACTGGTCAACCTGTGACAATTGTACGATTCGCGGCAGTAACTTCGACTTCCTCCTAAACTGCCTCTGTATCGATTCCAACGGCCACCTTGCTCCGACTTCCTACGATCTCAGTAAGTTTCCTCGTACTACTCTTTTATTATCCCGGAAATTGACTTATTTTTCTAGACGGATTGATCTGGAACCACAACGGCGCCCTGGGTTGCTTCGATCATATCGGCAACAAGACCCACGTAGGCCCGTTCTAGGCTGTAGTCACCTCGTTATGGCGCACATTACGGATCGGTTTAGGAGACGGAAGGCGGAGACATCGCAAGGGAATACCGGCTTGAATTGTGAATCTGGTTGAGGTATATGTTCGCTTTGGCCTCGGAACCGAGGAAGCTGCCTAAGTCTCGGTCCGCCATAGCTAGGAAGTACATATCATGAATACTCACGTTTGATTTACTGACCCCATATCGACTTAACCAAATTATACAGTGATGCCGCTATCTAGGTAAACAATAGATACCTTAGTGACCATTTTATTCACTCCTCTCATAGATATTGAATCGGCCGGAGATCAGCGACAATTATACCGGCCGCCCGCTCCCCTGGTAGCCGCCGTTGTTCCTACTCCATCACCACGCTGTCGTGGAGGTTGTGGGGTTGTCGGCGCTAAACGTGTAGCTCACAAAGAATCCCTGTACCCCTGCGCGACGAATATTTGACGATGGAGTCTCTCATCTCTGGAGTGGGTCATCCACCTACCGAAAGGAGGGAGGTAGGGCTGATTTATTATGCAGACTACTCTTTTTGACTATAATAATACCCACTTATGTAATAGGGGCTAGTATACGATAGCTACATTGTAATAACGCCGTGAGCGAATAGCAAGGACGGGTTGGATTAGTACCATCCATCGCTCGCTCAAATATATTAAATTAGCTTCTATAGGCCTTGTATGAGATAGCCTAGGGGCGATTTAATAAAATGTGAATAGCGTCGTTTTTTTATTTTCTCCCTGACCTTTTGTTATTTACACTGCTTCGTCGTTGTTGCAAATCTGTCCATATTTTTTTGGACTTACGCTCATTAAACCAACATACTCACTTAGTCACTCATTTGATTTATTTAAAATGCCTTCTCTTCGAAACATCGTTATCGCCCTTGCCGGCCTCAGCGCCGTATCCGCGAGGAGCTTATATAATCTCCACCGCCCTTATGGTATCCCGCCGAAGCAGATTCCGTCCCGCTCGACTGGTACTGGACCCACGGGTTTTCTTACTATAGATAAGCATGCGTCGACTGGAGATCATGAAGTCCACGCTGCCTTCGCCGCAGCGGACGGTAGTATTTACAGCTCTTGTCTAGAGGTAAGCTCATCACCTCTTCCTAGACTAACTCTACTTTTCCGATGTGCATGGGAGGATATCGCCTCCGCTTTTACTAATGTTACGCCTCTCTATAGGACACCACAGCCACAGTCTCCGATTGCCAAGCTGTTATCGGCGATATCCGGGCCAACAACGGAAGCATCAAGGTGGCCAGCGGTTTCTGCTTGAACTGGTGGGAGGGCGCGTGCATGGGGCGAGTCTGCGCCGGAAAGGGACAGGACGTATGGGCTGGAAACTCTTCTTGGATCGCGGATACGATGACTACGTCGATTCTGGATAGCTGTGTTAGCAATGGGAAGGCTGGTGCGGCTGGCGATTGCGCCGATGTGGAGAGTACATGTGGCACGTATAGACTCGAGTTGTTGACCTACACGGGGGCTTAAATGGGGAACGATCTTGGGTGATGTTTCCCCTTGGTATCTAACTTCGTCACAGGACGTCAATAAAGGGAGGAATTCAAACCCGGTGATAGAACCACCAATGAAAGAACCAAGTTGAAATGCATGACTCAGACTCGATCACCGGCTCATGGAATAGTAGGGTTTAAAATTCACCACTATGTCTGTCCTGCGCTCTCGCTTTAAGAACTTTACTTCCCAGCAGCCAGAATCTCCGCCTCAATCGCTTCGCCTAAACTCTTCGTCGTGCCCTTCCCTCCCATATCCGCTGTAACAACACTCTGTTCTCCCCTCTCCAGTACCTTCTCAATCGCACTCAGTACGGCTTCTGCCGCTTCAAGATGTCCGAAGTGTTCAAGCAACATCTGACCCGCCCAAATCATACCAACCGGGTTCGCAATTCCCTTACCCGCAATATCCGGCGCGGAACCATGAACCGGCTCGAAAAGACTCGGAAACTTCAAATCGGGGTTAACATTCGCAGACGGCGCAATCCCAATCGTGCCCGTACAAGCCGGTCCCAAATCCGAAAGAATATCCCCAAACAAATTACTTCCCACAACAACATCAAAGATCCCCGGTCTCTGCACAAAATGCGCCGTCAGAATATCGATATGATATTTATCCACATCGATCTCCGGATAATCCTTCGCCATCTCGCGGACACGGGAATCCCAATATGGCATCGTGATGCTGATACCGTTGCTCTTAGTCGCGCTGGTAAGGCGTTTCCGAGGCCGACGTTGCGCGAGATCAAAAGCGTAGCGAAGGACGCGGTCGACACCTACACGCGTCATGACTGTTTCCTGGATGACGGTTTCGCGCTCAGTGCCTTCGAAGATTTTGCCCCCGATGCTGCTGTACTCGCCTTCTGTGTTCTCACGCACGATCCAAAAATCGATGTCGCCGGGCTTGCGACCAGCCACTTTTGTGGTGTTAGCATCGCATTAATTTTAAATATAAATTGACTGGAAATATCTGAAAAAAAAAAAAAAAAAAAAAAAAAAAAGAGAAGAGGCTTGATAGAGCGTATAATAAATACTTACGGGGACATTTAACACCCGCAAGCAACCGACACGGGCGCAAATTAATATACTGATCAAACTCCCTCCTAAACTTCAACAAGCTCCCCCACAGCGTGACCTCATCCGGGACCAGATCCGGCATACCCACCGCGCCAAAATAAATTGCATCAAAGCCCAGCAACGTCTCCTTCCAATCCTGCGGCAGCATATCACCATGTTTCTGATAAAAAGCGCAACTCGCAAAATCGAACGTCTCGAATTGTAACGCGATACCAAACACCTTAGCCGCAGCTTCAAGACACCGGACCCCGTACGGCATGACCTCGGTACCGATGCCGTCGCCGGGGATCACGGCGATTTTCAGTGGAGACTTGGACATCTTGGCTGCAGATAATGAACGAATAAATACCTATTGGCCAGATGTTGAATATTGTGGTATAAAAGAAGGAAAGTAAAGTTAAAGGAAGTCCGAGATCTCCCCCTCTCCGGATGTTTGAATAACTACCTAGGTAGAGATACCCCACTGTTGGCTTCGCTGCCATTGCCCCGTTCGCGGGGTCGGTCCGAAGAGCGGCACAGTTGCGGATGTTGATAGCCCGATTAGTAAACAACAGTATTTCGTAGGTACTGTCCATAATAGGTAAGCAATCATAAAGCAACCAGGAAACCATCGGAGTGTTCCGAAATTTTCCTATTTTATGTATATTTAGCATCTGTCTCGTTGCCGTGCATCCGTTCCTTACCGTCGTTCTTATGTGGGGTTTACTAGCGAGGCGGGTAATATTGCGTGCTACCAAATGTGTAGATATGTATCTTATAGAGACACCTCCTTGATTTCAAGAAAATAGCGGTATCTTTATCGAGTATTTGTTTCATCCGGATGTTTTAATGTTCATCATCTTTTCTTAGGCCATAAGTGAGGGGCTTCACACACTCTACGGAGGCAGGATGAAGCTATCTAGGCGAGATACAGTAATAACCGTAGCCGAAACAAGTAATCCGTATCCTACAGTTTTCTTAGACCATATGAAGGAATAATCGGAAAACATCCGCTTCCATCAGTACCATCCTGTCCGTGGCCTGGCCATCGTAGCGGGCCCTTCTAGCGGGAGTTGGCTAGTCCCCACACGATCGAAGCTATCGCGATACAACGGTACGGGACCGTTCCCCTTTTTTTAGGCGGCAGAAATTCATCTATCTTGTCTACGCCGCAATGTTCTCGAATAGGAAAGACGGTTGGCCCGGCTGTGCCTGTTCGGCAATTTGGGACTTGATCTCGACGTCACCGCCGTTCAGGAGATCTGAACCCGTCTTGCTGCCTTCGGTGACTAAGATAACATCGATAGCCGACAGGCCTGCTGCTCGTTTAAGGCCAGGCACCATGGCTGTGACTATCTTCAGCTCGTCAAATGCTAACTTGCGCTCTGCCACGACACTAATCGGCTCTCCTTCATTGAGGCGTTTCTTGAGACGTTGAACGAAAGGCATCGCGTCCTTCACCTTCCCTATCTTGCTGATGCGACCGAGAAGCTCCTTGTCGGTGCACTTCTGCTTCTTGGTTTCCGGATCCCATACCTCCTTGATGAGGTCGATGGAGTCGTTTTGCCACTTAGGGAACTCCTTTGTTATGAAAACGGTGAGCTTCTTTGGCTTCTTGGGATCGAAGTTGGCCTGCTTTCCCTTAGCCATCTTCTTGATCTGTGCCGCCTCAGCTGACGTAATGTTGGACTGTGTTGTCAAAACATAAGTACGAGCAGCGCTAAGTCCGGGATTGTTTTCTGGAACCTCGGGCCAACGAGCTAGCTGTATTGTCTTGGATTCGTGGAGAATCTCAAGCCAGATATACTCAGACCAATGCGGAGCAATTGGTGTGAGAGATAAGGCTTGAAGTCGAATATACTTAAATACCAACTCCTTATTCATTGGAATTCCTGCGGCGGCGCAAGACCCTCTGTAGATATCCTTGGCGTTAGTAAGATCGTAGAAGCAAGACTTAAGAGCCATTTTGTAGTTAGTCTCCTCGTAGTGGTGTCGCGCTTCGCGTAGTAGAGTGTTCATCTCGTTATCGAATAGCGCGTCCTCAAAGTCATTCTTTTTGGTTCGGAGTTCTTGGCTATTAGCCATTTCCTCGCACCATTCTTTTAGAGTGTGTAGTCGAAGGCTAGGTAGACATAATTCGTTAGCAACACAAGTTTTACTTCCTTTACCAGTAGCGATATCGGGAAGACTTACACGGTGTTGTCAGCGACGTCCTCAACGAAGTTCGAATCGGAAATGGTATCTCCGGCGTCTGCTAGGGCGATACGAGACGCGTCGGCGCCGAATTTCTTCACAACTACGAGAACGTTAGCAAATATATATAAACCAAATCAGAACATAAACTTACCATCATCGAGAGTCATAAAGTTACCAGTACTCTTCGACATCTTCTCACCGTTAAGCTGAAGGTGGCCGTTTACTCGGATAGATTGGATCCAATATTCCCTAGGGAATAGTGCAATGTGGTTATACAGAGCAAACGTAAGATGGTTGTTGATCAAATCCTTACCACTCACTCTCAGATCGAGAGGGTAGAAGTATTCGAATTCACGACGCATCGACTCGAGGGTCTCTTTGGGGATCTTTGACTTGGTCACAAGGTCGTCGGTGAATTCAGTACGGCAAAAGATATAATCCCAAATCTCATCGATCATCTGATCTGGAGAAATATTACCGGTTCCCTTTTCTCGCCCGAATAGATCACTGTGGAGGAAGTGAGCTACCGTGTAGTAGGCCATGTAGATTGTGGAGTCACTCAAACTTTCTACGAGGAATTCCGGTGCCCACGGGAGTTTTGAGCCTAGACCGTATGTTCTTGCGCACGCCCACTGCTTGAGCCAGTCAAGTACACCCATGAAAGCGTTCCGGGTATCGTTGGAATATGTGTTGAGACCCTTTCCATCCTTGTTCTCAACATATTCGGTAGCAATTGCGCGCCACGAATCTTCGCCATAGTCGATGTAGTACTGCTCCATGAGTGCCACAGTACATTCATCACCACTTCTGCTAACAACCTTGTTTTCGGGTTCTGCGTATTCGAAGGCAAGGCCGGCTTCGATAAGCTGCGCGCGAACCTTGGGCTTCGCGTCTGCTACTTTCTCACCCTTGAAGTCTCCCACAAGCATATGACCCTGGTAGAAGCCCTCCTTGTATGCCAACTCCTTAGCCTCCTTGAGTTGCTTGACATCCTTCGGGGACGCAATCTTCAACTTCTTGACTAACTCAAGGGCGAGGAGATTAGAAGTGGGGGTTTTGATAATGGGGTGGATCTCTAGCTCTGCCCACTCCTTTTGAATCTTGTAATAATCGGCCTTCTTGGCTAGATCCGTTATTGTGGCATAGTCGTCGGGAGAGTCAGATGGCACGCACGTTACTACTCCTGTTCCTTTGGTTTCAAGGATTGTTTCCATAGGAAGAACCCGAACACCACTCTTGTGGAAGCTCAAAGGAGCGTCCACTAATGACCCAATAAGATCGGAGCCTAGGACTTCCGTTGCCTTCTTGATGACGCCTTCTTCGGCGAATATTTCTTGGTGAGACATGTTTCTAGCGGCTCTTTCGGTCATAACGTAATACTCGTTGGGGGCAGCTTCATAAACGCCGTAAGTGATCTTGGGCGCAACAAAGCAAGCTACTTGTCCATACATCGTCTCTGCTCGTAGGGTTGCTGGGACCAAGTACACTTTTGCGCCTCCTGACAGCTTCCCTTGCAGGGCTTCCTTGGCTTTCGAGGTGAACTCGAGAACCTCCATCTTAATTGCCACGTATATCTGCGGGTTGACGCCTTCTCCTTCGCTTCTGTCGTGATCCATGCAAGGCTGACCATCCTTGATGGAGTAAATTGTATGACGTTTACCGAACTTGATTTTGTCGAGTTCCTTTAGCCGGATCATCTGCCAACGGACGAACGCATCGAAGTACGGGTTGGCATCCGTCGTGACGAATTGTCTTCTCCAGTCGATTCGACTACCGAAGTTGCTAAGGTCGAGTTTGCAAAGGGGCGGGAAGTATTCGAGCCAATAGGCAGGGTCGGCGAAAAGATGTATTTGTTGAATGGGGATGCCCATAGCTTGCATGATCTGGAATTGGTACTTCATCTTGACCGATTTGGCGGCGGCCTTACCCTTCTTGGCGGTAAATTTAGTTACATCTTCCCTTTCTCTTTGGGCCGGCGCAGCAACTGTCTCGATGGGCTCTTCTTCCTCCTTGTATTTTTCAAACTCTTGACCAAACATCTCGACCTCCTTAACAAGCTTATCGGCGCAAGCCTTGATGGGAAGACCGGTACAATGGTAACCTTGGGGCCATAGGACGTTAATGCCCTTCATTCGGTTGTATCCGACGTGGAATTCGACCTTGCTGAAGGAAAAGGCATGGCCCACGTGTAGACGACCGTTTGTGTAGGGAAAAGCGATAGTACCGAAAAACTTGGGAAACTTCTCTCGTAATTCGGCTGCAGAGATGGAATGGAGGGGAATATCGGCAGTCGAAGGTGCATTGGCATTGAAGAGGCCTTGTTGCTCCCATTCTTGCTGGTACTTCTTCTCGATCGCGATGAGTGCGTCTCGCTTTTCGGTTCCTTCAAGGGTAAAAGTGTTAGATCTAGTATGGAAAAGTCAAGATGGAAAACTTTCTAGTTTACCTTTGAGGTCCTTGAGGGCTGCGTTTTGCAGCCCTTCCGCAACCTTTGCAGGATCAGCCATGATGGTTATACCTTATACCAGTTATATTGTTAAAATTATCTGGTAATAAAGGTAGGTTAGGCTGGCAAGAGATGACTACGAAGAAAAATAATTGAGTTTACCAGACCTGCATCGGTCCGTTCTAATGCTACACAAAGTTTAGAGTCATAGGCGCGGGAAGGAGGGGCTGAGGGGTAAGTACTTTTAAAAGAATATTACGCGGGTAATGTATTATGCATTAAAACAAATAAATCACACCATTTGTTTCATAATAGATTATCATCGTCTCGTAATTTTAATCTCCCTTCCATCTTGTTCGTCTTCGAAGCTATCCATTTATTATTCCTAACTTCTAGACTTGTAGGTGTTATACTATGGGTCTAGTCTTTATTCAAAATTTGCAAACACACTCTTTCCTCGTCCTTTAAACAAAGTTGAAGGGAAATCCTAACAATTAACAGTATGAAAGAGTGTCCTATCCCATAACCATGAGGCAAACTCATTAGGAATTAACGCCCCAGATTCCGACGCTACGGGTATCCCAACCCAATGTCCGTGATTCTAGATGTCTCTAGGTATAGATACGATTGACGTATCTTATAGCTTCCATTTCATAGGAATAGGTCGGTCCACATGCCTCCATTCATGTCAAATCCCTTAGCCAGCAACTCGTTCCAGGCTAAATCCACGCTTGGTGTTGGCTGCCCCTGTTGTGGGGGGTGTTGAGACTTGAGGCCGAACCATAGAAGGAATTCAGTATCGATCTCTTGGTCTACTGCCGGATCATTATCGAATATGTCCAAAATTGCTTTACCGAGACGCTCGATTATCTGAGCACTACTGTTGCCAACAGTCCTCCCGTTTGACATGTCGCGAAGCAATTTAGTGCAAAGAAGAATGTTGGATTCAGCTACCGGTTTAGTAAGTTCCTGACGGATGACTCGACTGGCTCGTAATGCGTGAAGCATCGTCACCGCTGCCATGAAAAGTGAATTCAGAGCTACGAAGGTGTACGTTATCTTGTTTCGAGCGTACAAGGCACTATAGCAGCTGATTAAGCTGATAGAAGAGTCGATACACAAACGAATTTCGTCGATTGTGTTGACCGTTGTTGCCCGTGATGGGCGGTGCAAAGTAATGACCGCTTGGTGGTAAGCGATCTGGAACCACTCGGGCGTCTGGAACATACACTGTTGGTTGAAGTAACGAGGTGCTCCTACTAGCCAATCATTGAACCGCAGGAGGTGCTGGTGACGGATTATCCCCAAGTCATCTTCTCCCCCTATATTGGTCTGTCCTACCGAATGGAAGACCTTATATGCATCCGTATATATGCGTCGCAGTTTGATAATATGGATGAATGTTGAGGTATCACTAGTAGATGGAATGAGGTTTGGCACGATTGGTAATTCAAGATTGGAAAGCTGGTCATCGGTGAGGGACTCAGGAAGCGGCATCGTAATGTCGGAATCTTGAATCCCTAGGGGTCGACCTAAGGCAACGGACATACTTCGATCCATGACATAGACACTCCACCATAACCTCTTGCGCATTTCAGCCTCCAGGACGTTACAGCCTTCAATGGCTTCTTGTCGGTGTAAGTCAATACCAACGGCTAATCGAAGAGCCAAGCCAACAGTGTACCACATATCCACATACTGCGGCTCATGACTCCCGTACATGGCGAGGAGCAGCAATGATTGGACACAGTCGATATCATCTGCGGCGAATACAGCTTCTAAACTTTGGGTCGCTATTTTGAAATAATCGTGATGCGAAAGTACGCTATCATCATCTAATACCGTCTTCTCCGCTGCAGCAATAGCAAGGACTATGTTGACCTGAAAGGAAGAAGGCGAACAATCCGATCGATTTTCGGAGAATGGGATGAAGTGTTTTTGAAGGAATGTAGGCTTATGAATAACTGGAAGTTGAGGCCAACGACGAGAAAAGAAAACGTCGATCAGCTGTGGCCAGACTGCCTGGCTCGAATTCCAAGATATTCCGTGTATAGAATGATCGGTGAGTGTACGGTCGTCAATATTTCCCCAGAGATGCCAAGGGCTACTCAAGAAGCCATTTTCGGAGGTTTTCCGAGGGAATGTAGGGCGTAATATACGCACCGTACAAGACTTCTCCACGGTTTCATCTCGATCTACTGATTGCGAGATTGTCGGCGATGGTGGGTTATATCCGTCAAGATTAGTCTGTGCATGAGATCTCTTCTCAGCAAGACGTGAAGTCAACTCTGCCACTTGATTGTTGAGAGCATTCACTTGTTCTCTTAACTCGGCGCAGTTGCAACTCGGGTTCCGACGCAAGAAGCGCTCAGATGGGACGCAAACGGCCCCCGCTGTCGAGCAAGGGGAGCAAGTCGGAAGTCTTCCGTCGCACTTCTGTTTCCGCTTTCTACAGCGACTACAAGCAGCTGCCCCTCGCTTCATGATCCGACGGCGCCTTTCCAAAGAGGAATGGTCTTCGGGCTCCATGATTTGAGAGACGGATTCCCCATCGGCATCTTGCCGATCGTCGTCTGAGTTATCTTCTCTGACCACCTCCATTTCCATTGGCCCTATATTCCCGACGGTTCCAATTAGAAATTTAAACATAATAGAATCTACTCCTCTCTCCACCGGCCATAGCTTTCACTATGTGCTATTGACCTGAAATCAAACATTTCTGATGGAAATAATTGAGCGAAGTGATGGTAGAATCTTCTAGGAGGGGGCTGGGAATGGCTGAAACCAACTCCGTCGGTGGCGTTAGTGATCTACCCCACCACTTTACGGGGACAACCCGCACTGGAGAATCGATCGGATGCATCCGATCAGTGGGTGGAAGGGTGGATGAAGTATCACACGCCTACTATTACATTTCGTAAAAACGCCGATGGTCAGGTATCGTCTCCTCAAAGAGTTGTAGAATCCAGAATTAACAATTTTCATAAGAAAATCTATCAATTTCACACTTCCTATTGTAGCAGTTATGGGCGGCGACAGACTGGATTACTTACTTCCCTCGGAGGTGTATGATACACATGTCCATGTATTCGATAGTCAATTAGGGCCTTATGATCCCGCTAGAGCCTACACACCTGAAGAAGCTCCCCTAAGAAGCCTACAAGGCTTTAGTGCAGGAATCAGCAGCACTGGGCTCCCAGCCAACTTGGTTCTAGTCCAGCCTTCACCTTATGGCGTCGATAATCGTGTTTTGCTTGCAGCATTGCAGAAATTACACAAGGACGGATCGCGGAATTGCCGCGCCATCGCAGTATTTGATCCGGAGTTAATATCAGACGCTGAATTGGGCTATATGCATGAACTTGGCGTTCGTGGCTTGAGATTGAATCTGCAGGCATCGGGGGGAGAAGTCAATCACGATGCCCTAATCAATGCGCTGGAAGTTGCTGCAGACAGGATAAAGCAGATGCCAGGCTGGAAGATTCAGATCTACTGTCCCGCGCAAACATGGGATGGTAAGCATTCAATTAGAACTTCGATACTTGCGACAAAGGGCGTACTGACTAGTCGGTTCCTTAATAGTGATATATGATACGATAATCAATCTTCCAGTTGAAGTTATCGCAGATCATTTTGGAGGGCTCAAGGGTTCCTCCAAATTGAATACAATCACTGACAACAAAACAAACGAAAACACTGCGCTCGAGCAGCTTGGTTTCCGTTCCCTTCTCAAACTAGCAGAGAAATCGCGCATATACATCAAATTATCAGGATTCTACCGCGCATCCAATTTGAGCGAGACCGGTTACAGCGATCTTGCTCCTATTGTTCGTACTCTGGTAAAACGAGTGTCCGATCGTCTTGTATGGGCCAGCGATTGGCCGCATACCGGTGAAGGAAAGGATCGCAAACCGGAAGATGCCCTCAATAAAACAGAACCTTTTAGAAGTATAGATAATTTGTTGATACTAAAGAAATTAAAGGAGTGGGTTGGAAACGATGAGGCTTGGTGTAAGATTATGGTATCTAACCCCAAAGCTCTCTACGCCTAGGAGAATACTACCTGGCAATCTAGATCATAATTGGATGTTATAATGCAACTTGAAACTCTCAATTGTGTATTGTAAGCAATCACTTAATTTCTTAGTAATTGTAATGTAACTCTATAACTTGGTTATTTTCTCCCCAAATCTTGTAGAATTTGGTTCTGAGGCAATTTCGGACCCGAGCCGGCGACTAGATAATTTGAGCCATCGGAAGAGGGCCGGAGGGAAGGTCCTACGTACCTACAAAGATCTCACGTGCAAGGACCCGAATCCTAATCCTACCTGGGCTACCTCCTAATCTCTTCTTCCCCTGCATCGTGACATGTGATCACACCTTTCCTGTTAAATTTCCAACCTCATTATTCTATTTATCTCCATTTGCTCTGCCCATCCTCCTTCCGCTTTAGCAAAAGTCAATTCGTAATCATGGCGTCCGCGGGAGCAATTCAAAAGTTACGCGCATTTGCTAGCTGTGACGTAGGTTGCTAATTGCCCCTCCATTGTATCGTCTAAGCGCGCATTGCTGATGTTCAAGATGAAAAGATTGGTGATGCATTGGTCAAGCTCAAGTACCCATTCGGGGGTTTCCTCGATGGTATCACTATGTGGTCACCCGATAGACGAGCCGGCCAAGCTAGAATGTTCGGCCCGGTGATCACCGTGAAGATGGTTGTGGTCAGCGACCGCGCAAGCCCCACGCCGGCACAACACTTTGCGGATTACAACGAGCAAGGGAAAGTCATGTACATCCAGCAACCGAAAGGACTACACTCGGCTTGCTGGGGCGGGCTCATGTCGACACGAGCCAGCCATGTCGGAGCTAGTGGTGTTGTAGTAGATGGGAGGATAAGAGATGTCAATGAACATCGGGAACTTGACTTCCCGGTAAGGAATCCTTTTCACAACCCACACGGCCAATTGAAATATACTGACACTGAATGCCACTTGAGGTATTCGCACGGGATACATCAATTCTAGGATCCAATACTTTTACTCGGGCATCTGAAATCAACATCCCACTTCAAGTCAATGGGGACCTCTGGGTCAATCCCGGCGACTACCTTATCGGAGATGCCGATGGTGTCGTAGCAGTACCTCCCTGGTTAATTGAATCTGTCGTGGAACTATGTGAAGAGCGAGCGGAGATTGACCGAAAGACCATTGAGGCCCTCAAGCGCGGGGAGCAGATGGGTCCGACTCTGAAGGCGTTACGGAAGCCGTAAGAAAATCACCAAAATTACCTAGTATATAGCTTGCAGGATTTGATTATTTCATCGGACTATAGTTTATTACGAAAAGTTACATATCTACTTGTATAAATCGAATCGATTTGAATTGAATCATGCTCATTTGGTGTGTCCTAGCGAGAATGTGTTTTCGGACGATTAACCGATCATCGGATAGATCCGATGACTTTCAATCAACCCTTTAGGGCATTTCGGCAACTTCTCCGATGGAGTGAACATCTACAACTTTCTACAACTAGGATAATAGCAACATGCTATTCAATCCGAACCATAATAAATCATTCCAAAATACAATGGCTCATCTTCTAATTTCACGGAGGCTCACTCGCCAATGCATTTACTCAATCGGAAAGAATTCCGGTCCTCCTAATCACCAAATTCGGGGAATGCGAATCTTAGAAACACCCAGCACAAATAAGACGCCATCGCGCAAAGCCCAATTATCACTTCCCGCAGCATATTACCGCGGCGGCACATCACGCGCGATATTCTTCGAGCGCGATGTCTTGCCGCAGGATAAATCACAATGGGATTCCATATTCCTCGGCGCAATTGGCAGTCCAGACCCTTATGGCCGACAGCTCGACGGAATGGGTGGCGGGATCTCTAGCTTGTCTAAAGTGTGCATAGTCGGGCCCTCGCCGGAATCTGATACTGAGGCGGATGTTGATTATACGTTTGTGTCGTTGGGTATCAAGGAACCGTCGATAGACTACTCCAGTAACTGCGGTAACATGTCTTCAGCCGTCGGACCTTTCGCCGTGGACTCCGGACTTGTTCCGATACCCGCAGATGCAACGGAAGCTACGGTGCGCATTCGAAACACTAATACTGGAAAGCTGATTAACGCTACGTTTCCGGTTGTCGGTGGTGAAGCGGCTGCAGATGGAGATTATAGTATTGACGGCGTAGCTGGGACCGCAGCGCGTGTGCGGTTGGATTTTATTAAGCCCGGTGGTTCGCGGACTGGGAAATTACTGCCGACGGGGGATCCGACGGATCGTGTTGCTGGTGTACGGGCTACGCTGATTGATGCGGGGAACCCGTGTGTTTTTGTCGCGGCAGCGGATTTGGGTGTTGATGGGACGCTGAGCTCACAGCAGATCGATGAGAATACTGCGCTAAAAGAGAAACTAGAGACGATTCGTCGAGAGGCGGCTGTTAGAATGGGGCTCTCGAAAACGGTAGATGATGTGCCCGGCAGCGTGCCGAAGATCGGATTCGTGTCTAGGCCGAACGATGTGAGCGTGGGGAATGTGGTTGTAAGGGCTATGTCGGTTGGCCAGCCACATAAGGCGATACCAGTTACCGTTGCGCTGGCTGTGGCCGCGGCGTCGAAGATACCGGGGACAACGGTTGAGGAGTGTGTGGTTAAGTCTGAGAGTGGTGATCAGCAGGGGATAGATATCAACCACGCTAGTGGGAAGTTGAATGTAGATGCTGTGTACGATTCTGAGGGGCAATTGGAGGCCGCGACGGTATTTCGGACGGCAAGGAGATTGATGGAGGGGAGGGTATTTTGGAAATGAATGTATATAAATGTATAAAGATGCATATAACTAGCACAAGGCATCGAGCTACTTTCCAACCACCACGAAGATATCGTAGTCTCGTTGCTCCAAGTCATATTAAAAGTTTGTCCACTAATTAATGTGCACAATATAATCATCGGTTAAAGTACCGATATACTACGATTAAGTCTGAATTTGAAGATGTATGTATCATTTAGACTTTATATACAATATATTGACATGGAATTCACTTTTTTTATATAGCAGCAGCTTCTTCACCCTTTTTACGCAACATCATCAAATTCAAAGCGCTTCCGGCCTTGAAGTATTCAACCTGCTCCGTCGAATAGGTATGAGATACCTCAGTTTCCCACATACCGTCCGCACCCTCGCTGGACGGTGTTACACGTAGTTTTAGGTTCCGTCCCGGGGTCAATCCTGTCAGTCCAACTATGCTAATACGGTCCGATGGTTGGATCCGATCATGGTCCGCTTCATCCACGAATTTCAAGGCCAAAATACCCTGTTTCTTGAGGTTAGTCTCGTGTATCCGCGCAAAACTTTTCGCGATGATAGCAGCACCACCAAGGTATCGTGGCTGCAGAGCTGCGTGTTCCCTTGATGATCCCTCGCCGTAATTGTGATCACCGATGACCACCCACGGTTGGCCCGCTTCTTGATATGACCGCGCTGTATCAGGTACGCCACCTTCTTCACCCGTTAACAAGTTGCGCACAGCGTTAGTCTTTCCGTTATCGGCATTTACAGCGCCGATGAGAGTGTTGTTAGAGATGTTCCCTAAATGTCCGCGATAGCGGAACCAGGGTCCGGCGGGAGTGATATGGTCGGTGGTGCATTTCCCCTTTACTTTAATAAGGATCAAGCAATTCTCGTAGTCGTTTCCGCTCCACGGTTTGAACGGCTTTAGCAACTGAAGTCGATTAGAAGAAGGCGATATTTGAACTTCTACATGTTCGCGACCACTCGTAGGGGGAGGAGTGTACACATGGTCGACATTTTCAAATCCGTTTCGAGGTAACTCGGCACTATTCGGAGGGTTGAAAATGAACTCTTCTCCAGTTGGCGTTGTAAGACTATCCTTGGTTGGATCGAATGCGAGGTCGTCGGAGAAGATCTTGGCCATGACCACCTCAGGAGAAGACAGAAAGATATGTGTAGCTGGATTGGAGTCCAGTCTCCCGGTAAAGTTCCGATTATATGAGGTGATAATAGAATTCTTAGTCCCCTATAATCTTTAACGTTAGCAATTGACTCCTAAGACTGTCACTTCTTTTCGCTCCCTCACCTTTTTCATATCCTGACGGTCCCAAGACCCACAACATGGTCCACAAGCATTCGTCAAAATTGTACTTTGAAGTTTCTCAAATACTTCCATAGTCTTAGATTTTTCCAATGTCGACCGGACTTGTTCACTGCCAGGGGAAACTAGGAGCGGCATCTTCGGTGTTAATCCTGCGTCCATGGCCTGTTGTGCTACACTTGCCGCCCTATTCATGTCTTCGAATGATGAATTGGTACAAGAGCCAATCAGCCCGGCTGTTAGTTTCGACGGCCACTCTTCTTGGGTTACTGCATCGGCAAATTTTGAAACAGGCGTTGCTAAATCCGGTGTGAAGGGACCATTAATATGTGGCTCGAGTGCAGACAAGTCTATTTCAATGACTTGATCATATTCAGCGCCTTCATCGGCGCACATTTCACCTGCTACCGCTTGCGCTGCCCTGGAGAGTTCTGGCCGGCGTGTTGCTTCGAGATATTTTGACATAGCCGGTGAGTATGGAAATATCGACGTTGTCGCGCCAGTCTCGGCTCCCATATTCGTAATTGTGGACATTCCGGTAAGGGGTAAAGTCTGCGTTCCTGGACCGAAGAACTCAACGATCGATCCAGTCGCTCCCTTAACGGTCAGTAGGCCCGCTAGCTTATTAATAACATCTAGGATCGCAGATTAGTCTCCTTCCCGTCAAGATACTCCATATACCACCATCAAGGTAGCTCAAACACACCTTTAGGACTTGCCCAACCTGATAACTCGCCCGTCAACTTCACGCCGATGATACTAGGCGCTGTCAACTCAAAAGGGAGCCCAGCCATGACGTCCACTGCATCTGCACCGCCAACGCCAATAGCGATCATGCCCATACCGCCAGCATTCGGTGTATGAGAATCAGTGCCGACCATCATACCACCAGGATAGGCGTAGTTTTCAAGTACAATTTGATGGATAATCCCCGCGCCGGGTTTCCAGAAGCCCATATTGTACTTCTTACATGCGCTTGACATGAAGTCATATACTTCACTATGGGCATCGAGGGCATTAGGCAAGTCTTCTTCCTTGCCGTTTCGGCCAACGATGAGGTGATCACAGTGAATCGTTGTCGGCACAGCTGTTGATTCCAACCCAGCTGAGATAAACTGGATAAGAGACATCTGTGCCGTGGCATCTTGACATGCGATACGCCTTGGCCTCAACTTGAGCTGCGACTCTCGACGTCGGTATGTGGGTGTGTCAAACTCATCGGTATGCGCGAGGAGAACTTTCTCTGCATACGTGAGGGGATGTTGGATTCTAATTTATATGTCAATGGTACCATAGCTACCGCGGTAAGGGGAGGTTCTAACACTTTTCGATATTCGGCGACTCTGTCTACGAAAACCCCATAGTCTTGGAACTGATCCGGCTCGTAACGGCTTAATGGCGCTCGTAATGACGCGCTGGAAGCAGTGGCCAAGCCCCTGCACCTAAGGCCGGGCGCCCGATGACCCAAGGTGAGATGAAGTTGCGCTTTCCGAGCCAGCATAGTGAAAATGTGCTTCGTGTTAAGGAGTCACTCAAGAGGGCACGAAACTCAACACAAAACACGAGCGGCGTCTTTCATAAACATGGGTTTGTATTTCTAATACTAGGTAACTAATTGGACAAGAAATTATGAGCAGATCCTATGACAGATTTGCCATCGGATACGATGCGAAACCTAGTCTGTGGTTAAGGGGCCATCGGATAGATCCGAAAGAGTCGACCGTAGGTTGGTCGGATAGATGCCGATGCACTAGTCAGCACCTAACAAACAGCAACTTCAACACCTCATAGAAGAAGAAACAATTAATCATTCTCAAATTCAAATTACGCTCGGTATCGAATAGCGAATCTTCTCATTCAATCGTATTATCGAGATTTCAGATTCGCCGATTGAATGGGAGATTGACTATTGCGAATATGGCACAATTACTCAACAAAAACCTAGAATACCACGGCCCTGAAGTCAAACGGAAATCCACGCCATGGAGGAATTTAGTAGTGGGCGCGGCAATGAATATTTTCCAAGGTAACATCCCAAACTCTGGTATCCTCTTAGTAGAGCCCGTCGGGTTGCTGACATCTGGAAAAGTTAGCACTCTTGGACAGCCGATGGAGGTAGTGAAAACCCACGTGAGTGACATAAAAGGTCTGCTTACTTTTCTATAATCTTGCTAATTGTTAAAAGGTTGCCGCGCATAGAGAAGATAGTCTTCGGGATGCTATCCGAAAAACGTGGCGGCGAGGTGGCCTTTTTGGGTTTTACCAAGGGCTAATGCCATGGGTAAGTCCGTGGTTATAATCTAGAGACTAGGTTCCTAATACCTCTTTGAACGTGTCTAGGCGTTAATTGAGGCGTCCACTAAAGGTGCTATCTTGATTCTAACTTCCACGGAAGTAGAATATTATGCCAGAACGCAATTCGACGTATCGAAAACAGTAGCAGGATTCCTTGGAGGCACCGCCGGTGGAGCTGCTCAAGCTTACTTGACCATGGGTTAGTTCATTTGAGTGTTCTCATGAAGTCTTCTAACTCACCCGGATGCAGGTATGACAACATGTATGAAAACTGTCGAAGTGACAAGAGCGAAGAATATGCAGGGCGGTCAGCAGGTACCCAGAACTATGGCTACGTTCTTCAATATTATAAGAACAAAAGGCATTAGGGGTGTCAATAAAGGCGTCAATGCGGTTGCCCTTCGCCAGATTACAGGGTGGTCATCCCGTATTGGCATCTCTAGGATGGCTGAAGGTTGGATTAGATCAGTTACTGGGAAGTCGAAGGAGCAAAAGCTTGGAATAGGAGAAAAGGTGGCGGCATCTACTATTGGCGGTGCTCTTAGTTGCTGGAATCAACCCTTCGAGGTACGTCGAACAGACCTTTGCCTTCATTGACGAAGTATCACACTAACTGCCTCCTAGGTGCTCAGGGTTGAAATGCAATCATTAAAGGCTGACCCGACAAGACCCGCGTCTCCGACGATGGTATCAACTTTTAAGCATATAGTAAAGGAATCAGGACCGCAAGGACTATTCCGTGGCGTCGTTCCACGGATAGGGGTAGCTTCCTGGGCAACCATTTGTATGGTGGGCTTTGGTGATAGGGCTAAGGAGTTTGCGAGGAAACTGTAGTCAAATCTAATTCTTTCCGTGCGCTTTATCGAGTTGTTATTGAATGTTTAGGCATTTAGTAGGTGAAATTAGCTGTAGACATAATCTCATTCCTCGTGGTTGTTAGCAATAAGATTCTCAGGCCGAGAAAGGCCACATTAAGATATCGCGACTAGACCACATAAAAAGACCCCCCGTTCACAATACAATTGCCAAAGCAAAAGCATTCGATGATGATAAAGAGGAGCAAAAAATTACAAGAAGAACGTACAACACCGGGGATCTGGCTTATCTATGGGAGAGCGGACGGGATCCCGAGTTTTCCGGATCGTATGGTCGTACGTGAAAGAACTTGGTTATTCTTGCCATATATACCCTTCCTTCCTTTGAACCAATCAGACACCAAAACCATTCAGCTTCATGACATGGCGTACATAAACCCAGCAAAATAGCATAACCAACTTGGGAAATCGGCGACGAGACCCCTAATGCGGTTCATGCTAACCCAATCCGCCATACCCTTGGCGTTGTCTTTATCCTTCTCATCAATACGCTTCACAATGGCCAAGTCGCGGGGTCCAAATGCGAAATGTAGGGCGCTGAACACGGCGCCGGCAATGTAGAGGCCGGCTGCCACACGCTGGTTTGAGCCGGATGCCCCGGTGAGGTCTAGGCTTCCTTTTCGGATGACTAGGTTGGTGATGGCTGTGCCGATACCTAAGGGGTATAAGGTGAAAATGACAGCTAGTGATGGTGGGAACCAGCGGTCGCGATAGGCTGGTATGATCTGGTTTGCCTGTTCCCGCAGGTCGGGTCTGAAATTGCCAAATGGACGGAGGTACAGGTCTTCAGCGACCGTGTATGTAACATAGGATGTAGAGGCCAAAAAAGGCGCGGCCCGGAGGAGTATGAGACATGCATGCATCGTGAGACTTATTGACGTAGGTGGCGGAAATATTGAAGTTGGTAGCTTTTTAGAATCTTGATCTCGTTGAGAATGTCCTGCGGGGACCAAGATAAATGTTCAGCTGAAGTCCTACGGGCTTGAGCACGTATCAGCGTACGGCGCAGCACTGCTATCTTAACGCTTATAGGTAGATGATAGAGGAAGGGATATTCAGGGGCCGGAATGGACATGGGTTTTGTTCGGCTCTTCAATCTATATACACCAATGTTACATTTGAATTAAAAGCAGCGACCATAAACTGTGTGCTACGATGGTTTTATTTACGCGATCATAATTTCCGGTATATCTACATATTTTTCTTAAGATCTATGCGAGTATCTTCTTAACCTCTTCAGACACCACAGCAGCCAAGGAATCTGTCGTTCCGCTTCCGCCCAAGTCCGGAGTCAAACTCGTCTTGGCCTCAATCACTTTTCGGACCGCTTCCCGAACGGCGGTAGCTTCTTTGTGGTTCCCGGTCTCGTCTAGAAGTTCCGCGCCGCTCAAAACCAGAGCTAGTGGGTTCGCGATACCCTTCCCTGCAATATCCGGGGCAGCACCGTGACTAGCCTCGAAAACACAAACACCGTCGCCGATATTTGCCCCCGGTGCTAAACCAAGCGACCCTGCCAGGCCGGCTGCCAAGTCGGAGAAGATATCACCATACTGGTTTGCTGTGACGATGACATCGAAGCGCTTCGGATCACGTACAATCGTGTAGCACGCCGCATCAATCATCATGTCGTCGCTCTGGATCTCCGGATAGTCCCGACTCGTCTCCTGGAAGCAGCGTAGGAAGAGACCGTCGGTGTAATTCAGCACATTTGCCTTGTGCAGGCAAGTCACGCGCTTGCGTCCCAATCTCCTAGCATACTCAAATGAGTATTTCGCTACCTTCAGAGCAGCGGCACGCGTAGTTAGTTTGATGGCCTCCGCGGCGATATCGTCGCCGATCTTATGCTCATGTCCGATATATACATCCTCTGTAACCTCGCGCATGACCACAATGTCAAGACTCTCATGGCGACCGGAGACTCCCGGGAAGCCTCTTATCGGCCGCGGATTGACAAATAAGCCTAGCTCACGCCGGATCGCATTATTAAGCGACGGGTATGTTAATTCGGACCCATCCGGTTGGACGCATGTGATGCGGCCTTCAAGTTTGTTGACGATGAGGGGTGCTTTGATGTTGTACTTTGCGGCGCGCAATCGTTGCACCGTCTCTGGCGGGAGAGGGTGGTCATGAGCTTGTATGGCCACCCCGGCAATTGGAATATCCTCCCATTCAAATGGTAATCCGGTTGCTTCGAGAACGCGCTGTGTGGCTGCGGTGATTTCCGGGCCGATGCCGTTCCCCTTAATAATTCCTACACGCATGATGGATAATGGTGTGATTGCAAATGGATGTAAGTGTTTTTCTTATCTCTGGATTAATGGCAGAAGACGATCCTTGATGCAATAATATAATTAAATTCACGAAACAAATTATTTGACGAAAATGATGCATTCACTACACCTTCATATACATCGATGCCAACACTACTTTCATCGTGAACCTCTGGACATTGCCCGAAGGTGTAAGCCGGTGCATGCCGAGCCAGGTGATTTAATTTTCGCTATGGTGTTTCCAAGCATTGGTCTCTAGCTCGAGGTAAATTGAGAATATGGCCATCGGAGCTGCTCCGTAGTGGGAGACTAGCTTAGGTAAAGATTGACGGGTCAGACCTTTGTTGGTGATCGGAGAAGATGCCGATATTTTGGCGCTCGGACGTTGTACTCCATCGGCATCTCTCCGAACTTCGTCACCAGGCCGAGGCCCTGAAATCTCCAATCTCTCCATGATCCCTACTCCAAAGCATTGACATTTGACCAATAATAGAACCATCTAGTACTGCATCTGATAGATTTCGGCAGATGTATCTTGGTTATGTCTATACCTAGGTTACTAGTCTCCTTCCTTTCAGCTTCAGCTTCATAGTGTTGATGAGTTCCATCGGAATGGGTCCGATACACGAAAGCTTCACGAAACATACGACTCTAAGCAATTAGCCTCCCCCGCGCTCTCCGCACACCCCGGACCCCAGAGCCTCTCCCCAGTCCTCCCCTATTCTCTTCTTAAGTCTAGCTTATGTGGCATCCCTGGCCGCCGATCAACCTATCCATACAAATATGGAAGCCTCGCCATGGTGGTGAGAACTTTAAGGAATACCCCAGACTTTGCGCTCAAGCTCCCTGATACTTCAACAAACAAGTCAAAATGGGTGTTTCAAACTCACCTTTCGTTAAGTATTGGCACGCAATCAAAGCCTCGCCCCCGGGCATTTACAATAGGAGACTGTTTTTGACTGTCTTTGTCTATGCCCTTGCCGGGAGTCCCAGAGGTAAGAAATCCCCCTTTCCATACGCAATTCATACCTGCTAAATCCGATTATTAGGCTGGGATGAAGGCTCTACTTCTGCAGTCACGCAGTTGAAGAGTTTTCAAAGGGAATTCGGGATCACACCAACCGGAAACCCAGATGCTGTTTCGAACATTGTTTCCTTCGTCAACCTGACGGCTGGCCTCGGGGCTCTTCTATCCTTCCTTATTAACGATCGCGTTGGCCGCCGGTGGTCTCTTCGGATCTACATAACTATCGTAGCTATCGGCACGCTCATCTCGACATTCTCATACGGTTCTCTCGCTGCCCTTTACGTCGGGCGTCTAGTCTCTGGCCTTGGAATTGGGGCACTCACAGTGACCGGTCCCATGTCAATTGTCGAAATCGCACCTCGAGTAACGAGAGGTCTTATGACACTTTGGTTCAACATCGCCATGCTTAGTAGCCAGATGATTGGAATTTTCGTGGTATATGGTGCCAACACCAATATCCCGATCAGCAAGAATCTCCAATGGCAAACACCGTTCTTTGTACAAACTTTCATCCCGGCCATTGCTATCGGACTATCCTTCCTCGTCGATGAATCGCCGCGATGGCTCTGTCTAAAAGGCCGTACTGATGAAGCCATTAATGTACTTGCCCGAATTCGTGGTTTCGATATGGACAGCCCTCACCTATTAGCTGAGTTCGATAGCATCAACACTCCGATCCAGCGCGAGCTCAGCGAGTACGGACAAGAAACTCTACTGTCGACACTCCGGGAAACATTCTTTGTCAGGTCGAATCTACGCCGTGTCCAATTAACGATTGTCGCGTATATCCTTGCTCAAATGTCCGGCGCCAATTCGATCACCAACTATCTGCCGACAATCTTCGGCTATATTGGATTGAAGAACGACGACGCTAAGATCTACTCGTCCGGCCTTTATGCTTTCGTCAAGCTCTTCTGTTGTATTCTCGCTTCTCTATTCTTCGTTGACGCGATCGGACGCCGAAAATCGCTATTCATCGGTATCACTATTCAGATGTTCTGCCATATATACCTAGGCGCGTTTTTAAACGTAACTGGTAGCGGTAAGCTTAACAACTCACACGCCGATGCCGCTGCGATCGCGGCAATTTATATCCACGCTCTTGGATGGGCTGTTGGTGAGTCATTACCATTTTGGAGCTGTACTTCGTATGCTAACAATGGAATATAGGTCTATACAGTTTGCCATACCTATTCGGTGCGGAACTCTGGCCAAACAGAATCCGTTCGTTTGGTGGTGCCCTTTCGCAGTGTTTCCATTGGCTATTCCTCTTCGCCATCACGAAAGCCACGCCGGCTCTGCTATCCTCTATGGACAAATGGGGCGCATTCATATTCTTTGCAGCCTGGTGTCTGATCGCCTTGGTGTATTGCTTCATTATGGTACCGGAGACTAGTGGGCGCACATTGGAAAGCATGGATCGTCTCTTTGAACATAGGTGGTACGAGATGAGGAAATACGCCTATGAGAAGTCTTCTCCTTCAAGTGAAGAAAAGTCAGTCGAACTAATATCCGACGTGCTACGAACTTGTAACTAACATTCAACTCTTACAGACTTGACGCCGATGTCGAACACGCCGAGATCCAACATGTCTCTGATAAGTGAGGAATTGGTTTAGGCTTGGAGACTATATGAATACAGCTTCGACTTGGTTTCTCTTCTCAGCGTACGGCAGGCAATGGGTTTAGCACGGCAAACCATGGGATAGTCCGTGCTTTTTTTCAATTCTAAACGTCAATGTGCAATAACTGCTTTCTATGTCTTTTCATAGTTATGAATACATGATGGCTGGTTCTCGGAAGCCTCAATTGCAATGGCTCTATAATTTGGCTCAACATTTAATGACCCGCGATTATGTGAAAATCGTAGAAAAATCTCAATGCCATTGTCACCTTCAATGACTACCTAGGTACCTACTGAGCGCCCAAGGTAGAGCGTATCTGCTAAGAGACTTCGTACAACTCAAAGTTGAAGCTAATTGGCTAAACTTGTAGCACATTCCATAAAGAGCATATCTAAAGACTCAATTCGAAGTTTGATTGGCCAGTTCATTTAATATAATGAAGAGGATGCAGTAGTTTTATGTACACCCTAAGTTATGCAACTTATATAAGTACCCAGATAGAGGTATTTGGATGCTCTTGAGTTAGACATCCAGCCATGAACTTCCTAAACTTCTCGTATAGTTGCATTATTTTACGTTTGCCACCCATAGCTCGGAGTATGGGGAGATGTTTAAAACTGGGGCTCCCGCGATGGATTTCTACGGCTTTTGCCCGACCTCCTTTCCCAATTAGGTTACATCCGAAATACACACCAACAATGTCACCCCATAGCTAACCGGCAATGATCCGTAGATTGGAGTATGTTGGTTTGAAAACAACTTCGTCAATCGTCAATAAGTATCGAATCGAAAACGGTTGGAGTATGAGAGTTGATTGGAACGATCGTCTCATTCAATAGTTTCACAATGGCTTCCTTCCCGCAAAATAACAGAACATTTCAAATCCTTGACGATGCGTCCAAGGGGGGCTACAGTGTTGGGGCTTATAACTGGTAGGACTTAAAATCACGCATTCTGGACCAACAACTAATTATATGATAGTTATAATGATGATGGTGTGATCGCTGTGATCAGAGCGGCGGAGAAGTGCGGGTCGCCGGCCATCATTCAGATATTCCCCTGGACGATCAAGTTTCAGGGGCCACACTTCGTCAGCTATGTCGTAGGGGCAGCACACGCAGCCAGCGTTCCTATAGCTGTTCATTTGGACCACTGTATTGAGCCAGAAGACATTAAAATTGCTCTTGATTTACCTTTCGACTCAATTATGATTGATGCCTCTACTCTTGAGCCCGAGGAAAACATAAGAAAGTGTAGGGAAATTGTCCAGATTGCCAATGCGAAAGGTATCGTCATCGAAGCGGAAATGGGCCGCATTGAGGGGGGTGAAGACGGCTTACCGACAGTCGATATGGATACAATATTAACCCAACCAGATCTGGCAAAAGAATTCGTGGAAAGAACGGGGGTTCAGTTCCTGGCACCTGCATTTGGAAACATACATGGAAAATATGGCCCCGGTGGTCCAGAAGCTTCATGGAGATTTCCACTGTAAGTTTTAGGAGAACCGCGAGACTACGGGCAAACTACTGACGATGCATTACAGCTTAATGGATGTTCATCGTGCTATTCCGCAAATACCTCTAGTGCTCCACGGGACCCATGAGGTGTCAGATGAGCTATTTCGAGAGACCAGGAAATATGGCATGTTAAAGGTCAATTTAAATCGGACAGTTCGGGATGAATACACGGATTTCGTTGCTCAAAACGCTGGGAAACTAGAGCTAACCATTCTTAAAATGCGTGGGGTTGAGGTCTATGCTCAATCTATCGAACGGGTTATGAGAGAAGTTTTAGGGTCTGCTGGAAAAGTATAAACATCTAACCTGCTAAGAGAATTTCTATGTACAACAATAAATTATAGGATTGTGATATATTTCATGTCGGCACCGATGTATCGTATGTAGCCCGGCTCGGTACCGATCCGGCTTTACCTAAGGGCAATATCACTAGATATATAGCAAAAGCTTGTCATTCTACCAGCAGCTGGATAGGTCAGAAAACAGTACTAAAATCAATAATCTCCGAATTTTCTGTCTACTTAATAATACAACGTATCCGAAAACGTACCATGGATTCAGCAACTCAGTCCATTGTGGAGAGGTTACAAAAATGGTCTAGCTGTGATGTACGTACCATGCATTGGTGATAATTGGCAAGGTCCAGGATTGGAAGATGCTAATTACACCAACCAAAAGGTCTCGGACGGCTTATCCAGGCTCGGACATGTTCACGGCGGTTTTCTTGAGGGACTCGTGATGTACTCGCCAAGCTTTCGAGCAGAAACGACCAAGATTGTTGGGCCTGTGTTCACTGTGAAATTTGCTCCGAAGGCTGACAAGCAAGCCCCTAAAGTTGAGGGGAACTATGTGAGTTCAATCCGATCTATTCCTGGCCCAATATTCTAATCATAAGGGTTCGATAATCTAGATCGACCAAATTCCAAAGGGTGCGGTTGTGTTCATTTCGCAGCCTACGCCCCACATCAATGCATGTTATGGTGGCCTCATGTCATTGAGGGCAAAGTATCTTGGCGCCGCTGGTGTGATCATTGATGGATTTCTACGGGATCTGCAAGAGCATAGGGACCTCGAGTTCCCTGTAAGTTGCGAGTTATCAACAGCCGGTACCTATCATCTTCAACTGACTAGAATTAGGTGTTTAGTAAAGGGACAGGAACAACAGCGGGTAATTCCGTATGCTTTGCTTCCGAAATCAACGTCCCAATTAAACTGCAGTCTACAATACAGGAAGCTACTATCAATCCATCCGACTACATTATTGCCGACCTAAATGGTGTTGTATGTGTGCCAGCAGACTTGGTCGAAAAAGTCCTTGAGGTTATTCCAGACATAGTGGGAGCCGATGAGAAATGCGCCAACGCCATTAGGAATGGAGTAACAGTTAAGGAGGCGTTTAAGACATACAGAGGAAAATAGACAGACATAACGGTATTCTAAAAGTACTACCGTTTGGATCTTCTAAGCTTAGAATCAATGGAAGCAGGGTTAGGGTTATATTATTGGGGTTCCACCATTCCCCTGAATACCTGTACCACAATCTGCTATGAACATTAGAACTACATAGCTCTCAGGCAAAGTACCTACTTATGATATTAATTCCTCCTACCTAGTAAAGTACAACCACTATCTACTTCTTAGATTGAATTTGAGCCACTCAATGGGAAGGCATCTTGTTGATACTGGATACTGGATATTAGGATATAATCTACTCTATATAGATACACGGTATATGAACATATATTAGAAAGGTTATGTATGAAAAGGATAATATGTTTATATCTGTAGCTATTATGTCATCAAGACCCCGCCCAAGCCATCTAGTAATCTCCCTACAGAGAGAAAACCATGCGTTTCTTCATCTTCATCACATTTATCTCCGATTGAAATGAATTTCTCATGGGCCTTTTTATTGACCTAATGTTAAACCAATGGCGTTGATGAATACACCAAACTGGAAACACCATACTTCTCTGCTAATTTGTCAAACATAGCCTTCTCAGCATCGACGAAAGGCAATCCTTGAGATGATCGCTCAATCGAAAGCCGATGTTCAGGCTCACCAGGGAATAATACCTCCTTGAAACCTGCTGCGGGCGTCACTCCATGTACGCGCTGCACCAAAGTGTCCATCCTTGCGCGAAAACCTTCCGACGACATAAAAACATCTGGCTTGATTGCGATGAAGCAATGTCCCACATTCTGAGGCCGTGCTTCTTTGTATTGATCACCGACTTCTCCACCGAAGGCAGCCCCTGATAAGACGCCAGACATAATGTCCATTAATATTGCGATGCCGGATCCTTTGGGACCTCCTATGGGTGCCATTGATCCATTTAAGGCAACATTTGGGTCTTCGGTCGGGTTTCCGTCTTTATCGTAGGCCCATCCGATAGGAATCTTCTCACCTCTTCGAGCGGCTCGTCGAATTTTGCCTTTTGCTACTACAGACGGGGCCATATCGAGAATGTAAGGCACTTCATTCTTACTAGGCGCCCCAGCAGCAAATGGAGAAATACCCAAGAGCGTCTCTTTCCCTCCAAACGGAGGCATCTGCTTAGCCGAATTTGTAAAGACCAGCGAGATCATACCGGCATCGAGAGCTTGGAGGACGTACGTCGCGCCCATCCCGAAGTGGTTGGAATGTTCGGCGGTCACTATTCCAATTCCATATGTCTGTGCACGTCTAATGGCATCTTCCATGGCCTTTGAGGCGACAACGAACCCGAATCCATTATCGCCATCTACGTGCGCCGCTACCGGGGTCTTCTCCAGGATCTCGATATCCGGCTTAGCATTAACTAGCCCTTTGGTTACTCGTTCCAGATACTGCTCAAGCCTGGCTAATCCGTGGGTATCCTATAATGGTATAAGTTGATCAAGTTGAATAAATGACGTGAATATATTACAACCCACCACTCCGCGAGTATCAGCCAAGACGAGGCAATTGGCCATAAGCGTAGCATCATCATCGCTCAAGCCAGACTTGACAAGCAATGCTTTCGCAAATGCGGCAGCATCGTTCGGTTTGACATAGTATCTTGTCTGAGAAGCCATTTCAACAAAAAAAAAAACCTGATTGTTCTTCATTAATACGCAAACACTCACGCTATTGATCGCTAAGCCTGACAGCTCGACTTGGCGTAAAAGGTGCCATCTAAATAGACAAAAAATCGGAATTCTTTGCCATAGTCATCCTCTACAAATGGCTCAATTAGGCCGCTATTGCCATAGTCATAGCGTACTTGCAAACGCTAATAAATAGTCCCTGCGGCCAGGTGCCGGTGGATGGTAGCATCGGTGCGTTTCTTTCATCACAATGTGGGGATCGGGCATAAGCCGAGTCTGCCACTAACTAATTAGCTTTATATAAGAAGTGAGGGTCGGCTTTCGTCCACTTCCCTTTCTGTCGCGCGACATCATTCACCTAACGGGCATGGCCGGTATACGATTCTATTGATTCACAGAATACGACCTATATGGATCTGACCGTCGGCTCACAAGCCGGTGACGGAGATCCGGTCGCTGAGCCCGGTGTTGCTCAACAACCAACGACGCAGACAGGGGGCCGGAAGAAGGGTACGAGCTGTGCCCGATGCCGTAGACAGAAGATTCGTTGCGACGATGGCATGCCGTCATGTGGAAATTGCACCAGGGTTGGACAAGTCTGCGTCCGTACCCACCTTAGCAATAATCCAGATGTCGTTAGGTACAGACCCACGTGTGCCAGAGAAGGGTCTTTTAAAAAACATCCAGAGTACTGATTACCTATATAGCCATATCAATTATACCGAGGCACGTTTGCGGCTGCTTGAAGATACCTTGCGTCGCGTAGCCCCTGATGAGTTCGCAAAGTTGCCAGCCGTCGGCAAACCCACAATCGATACGACGGGATCCTATGCTGTACTAGCATCGGAGACTTGTAAACCCGGACATTCGGGTGAATTCAATATCGACCATGAAAACTCAGGTGCCGACCAAGGGGTACAGGGTTCATATGATAATCACCACCAAGGCCTTTCCCCGTCTAGTGGTACTACTGCCAGTCCATCAGCTTCAACGCAAATTGGCCCTAGTGAACCTCTCGCCCATGAAGTTGGGCTACTCTCTCTGGCCAATTCCAGAGAATCGAAATATCTAGGCCCATCATCAGGCGTCCCATTTGCTCGCTTGATATTCTCAGCGATACCCCAGTCTCAAGGCTTGGCAACTAGTTGGGTGTCGTCTGAAGGCGTTGGATCGCAAGGAGCCCCACAAGCTCAGCCTTTCCCTCTGAACTGGACTTCAGAGGTGGATCTACAGCATTTCGTTGATGCGTACTTCGAAACACATCATCCATTACATCCATTCTTAGATGAAGATGCGGTCTCTGACCGCTTCGAGATTCTTTACACTAAGCAATCACCGGCGCTTAATCCCCAACAAATGCCGCAGCTTTCTGAAATAGAGTCTGCCATGTCCCCCATGTATTCTGTCCAAATATTTCTCATAATTGCACTTGGCGCGCGTATTTTGGAGACGCGACTGTCTGCGAACTTCTCATCTGAGAGGTATCTCGCAACAGCGCAGGCCCGTATTGCCAGTTTGGGCTTACCATTACACGATTCCATTGAAGGGTTGCAGATTATGCTATTACTCACACTCTCAAGTTTCTATTTTGAGAATGGCCCTAACGCGTGGTTTTTAAACTCGAATATTATTGCTAGCTGCCTAGACTTGGGATTTCAGAGACGCTGGGTGGAGACCGTACCCGGCATGTCACCAGAAGAGTACAGGCGAATAATCCACCGAAAAAATATTAGAAGCGCGATATTTTGGTCTACTTATTCCATCGAAAGGAATTTGTCTGTTGTACTAGGTCGGCCGTTAACTCTTCGAGATGAAGCTATAGATGTCGAATTCCCGGGAGAGGGGACTGTCTCATACAAATGTTCAACCGGGCAAAATAGAGGACCGGTGAGTCCAGCGACTGACATTTCTGGAGATAACGGCCCCAAAAGGCCACGAATCGGTGGATCCCAGTACTCGGCCGCTCATTATTCATTTCGCCTTGACCGTATTGTCGCAGAAATCAAACTGATGCTGCATCGCGTTGTTAACCTCCCCGAACGCTTTCCTTGGCCGACGGACCTAGTACGATGGCAAAAAGAGGCCCACGCTAGTTGCGACTTTATTATTGACGAAGTCTTTACCCATCTAAAATGGCGCTCACGCCGCAGCTCTGCGGATATCACCATACGAAGCCTCGAGCTGAAGTACCATCATAACTTGATGCTTCTTCATAGACCATCCCCGGCAATTCCTCAGCCTACGCTTGACTCGTGGAAGATTTGCTATCATAGTGCAGTGAAAACTATCATGATATACTCTGACCTCCATAGATTTTCAAAGCTCACCAATAGTTGGCTAACAGCACATACCGTATTTGTTAGCGGCATTACATTCGTCTACTGTTTGTGGGCCCAACCTCAAATTAAGGACGAGACTTCGTTGGAAAACTTCATGCGCCACACTTCCGCTTGCACGACGCTGCTCACATTTCTTGGTAAAACGTGGAGTGTGGCGGCTGATGCTGTAGAGAAGTTCGATCGATTGGTCCATATGACTATCCATGTTTGGAAAGCTGGGGAGGGCGAGTCTAGCACAGTTCCAGTTGGGATTCCGGGTACTGATGGTACCCAGAACTTGGAAACACAACGTCTCCAACGGGGTGGACAAGTCTATGACGCCGCGCCGTCGATGCCTATGGTCGACCAATATCTTGAAAATGGGGATAGGAATCATTATGAGCTCGAACCAACTTCATTCTACTCAGAACTTGGTGATATGAGCGCCTGGTTTGACTTAGATTGGATTTTGAGCATGAATACCGGCCCTTCTGGAGAAATCATAACTTATCCAGGCCCCTAAGGAATTCATCACTACAAGGATTAATTCAATTAATATTATGCGAGGAATTTAACTACTGTAATGAACCTTCAATGCCTCGAAGACTCCGGTAACAATTGCGACCACCCCACAAGCGCCAGGATCCGGAATATCCTGGGTTGCATCATTTACGCCCTCCGCCAAAACGTAAGTGCTACGGCCAAATCGAGGCTTCAATTTGCTCGTACTTTCACATCCAACATTCGCCACCGCTACTGCATGCCCAAAAGCCTCTAGAGGTGCTTTATCGTCTAAAAATGCTACCTCTAGGGTCTCCACAAACGGGATAAGCGCATCCATCATGGTCCTATCCCCTTCCCTTGCCGCAGTAACTTGTTTCAACTTACCCAAAGCCGTTTTCGCAGCTTGAGCGAGGTCGGTGGCTGTGACCATGGTGTGCCTCCCGTGCTCGGCACAAATAGCGGATGCAAGAGCTGTAAAGAACACAGCATACAGAGCTCCAGATGTGCCGCCCATATGACGAGATATTGCATTAGCCACTTCCATCATGCCTTGGGAAATGCTGTCTACTTTCACCCTTCCATCATCTAGTGCCGTCACTACAGCATTAGAACCGTCGAGGAGCGTTGTGCCGCAGTCGCCGTCGCCCATTATGGTATCCATTCTCGTTATCTCAGGTTCGGCTTCTGTTAGTGAAGCATGGATAGATTTGACGATACTCGTAAAGAGCACGCCGTCACCTGTCAATTGAGTTAACCAACCTCACGATATATGAGTATATTGCGACTTACAAGCAAAATTTGGGACGTCGTAAGATTTTTCTAAAGGCTCCAAAGCCGCTGGTTCAGAACTTCTAGCATCGGAGGGGCATGGAGAAATTCGCCAAGTCTCCGACGAGATGCTGCTCGTCCATCCTAAGGCGTCTGTGGGGGCGTCCAACCATTCTATGATTTTCGGCGAAATTAATTCGTTCTTTGGCAAAACCAAAATAGTGATGCTAAAACCAGGCCCATTTAACGCGGATAAAAATGTACCTGTAAACAATCTAATTGGCTTGAGGCGGTAATTGGTATCTAGTTGAGATACTACTTCACCAGTTATCACTACCATTTCAAGCATCGATAAGCCGCCGAGGTTGTTTACCAACAAGACAATATCGTGGTCGGCCGCGCACGGCGGCTCCTTAAGATAACCCCTTTCTTCATCATTAGCGTCCAGTATGTTGCGCAGCATATCTCCCACCAACGCCTCTAACGTAGGTTGAGGCTTTAGGCGTTTGCTACCGGGCTCATTGTGGATTCCGATCCCGAGTTCTATCTCATCTGGTTCCAACCGAGACTGGTGACTTTGACCTGGTAAGCTGCAGGAGTCTAAACCTACGCCGATAGTAGCCATATTCGCAAGCGAAAATTCGACTGCATCCGCTACCTCGTCTAAACTCAGACGGGCATGGGCGGCGGCTCCAGCAATTTTATGAGCCAACACCGTTCCTGCGAGGCCTCTCCTCCCCACCAAAGCAGAGTTTGTGCGGCTTATGGATACATCGTCAGCGACGACGACGATCCTTACCGGGACCCCTGACGCGAAGCGAAAGCGTTCTGCTGCGAGTGTGAAGTTTAGCTTGTCTCCGGTGTAGTTCTTTACAATTATAAGAACTCCACGCGGAGATTGGATGAGCCTTAGCCCTGATTCGATTTGCAGAGCATTAGGGGATGCAAATACTGCGCCGCATACGGCTGCATCGAGCATCCTTTCGCCTACATAGCCAGCGTGAGCAGGCTCGTGGCCAGAACCTCCTATGGTTTGCATTAATACGTGGGGTTAATGTCTAGTGACACATTAAGTACATACCTCCACTTAATACCGTCACGCGATCTTGCCTATCTTTGTCGCCCCTATATATAACTAGAACGCCACATTTGTCAGTTTGGGTTTATTGGTGAGATAAGATTCATCATGAACGTTACCATTATGATCCTTATGCCACCGCAGCGCTGGGTGCAGAGCAAGGAATCCAGTCAGTGCCTTGTCAAGGGCAGCACGTGGGCTGGATACGAAGCTATTGATCTTGCCAGGCATGGTTTTCAATGTTCGTGGTATATACGGATAAAAGGGGCCGCATTATTGACCTTTTTTCGAGCGCCAATGCCCATATATAATAAATATTAAGTCTAAACATATATCTTACCACCATCCCCTTAGTCCTTAGTGTTCTAACTCACCATGGAAACTGCACTTATCGCAATCTAGATGGTACTATTCAATTCTACCTATTCCCCATACCCCAGACCCCTTAATGGCCGTGTAGGTCTCACGAGGTACGTACCATTACCAACATCGGATCCATCCGTCTTGGCATCAGCCACCCATCCCGGCTTGGTTTATACCGGCGATATCCCGATCGTATCGGCAAAACATCCGATACAACAAACTAGACCTCTACAACACATTTTCTCTCTGATATTTGTCCCGATCTCGTAGATTCCCCTCCATGCATTCTTGTTGTTTACCAACCCTATGCGACCAGATCTGGCCAGGTATTACCTAATCGAAATAATGGCTAGCGTCGGTTATTTCTCAGTTAATTCATTCAGGGGTGTTCGTTCTCCCCTGCGCGCTTGCGTCACACGTGCCATCAACCCAGGTACTCAGCCATGGAATTCGCAAATAATCAATTACAGTAGATTTTATTCGAAAACACCGAGCCTGAAGAGCGGACGAACCCGCGTCGCCGTGCTTTACCAAGCTTTAGACCCTCCGGTAATAGGGGGTGTGAAAAAGCCAAAGAAGCCTGGTGGTAGGTGCTCAGATTACTCTCCAATATGTTCACGGGCGCTAACATTGTACCATAATAGGATACCAAGATTCAGGGGCTGATATAGCTTTTAACCTTAGCAAGCGTGCTGATATCGATGTGATCAGCCCCATGCCAGTTCCGAATCCCTCTAAGGATGCTGGTTGGTGTTTTCCAGATACCGAAGAGGGTATCTTGGAAGCAGTAGACAGAGGAGTAACACATCTTTGGGCCAATACCATACTTTTCGCATCGCATCCTCTTCAAATATCAAAGGCTTTGGATAAGCATCAGGAAACACTTCAAGTTGTTGGCCAAGGCCCCTTGGTTGTCGAAAAATATGACGATAAGCAATACGTTAATGATCTACTACGTCGGCTCGGCAACTTTACTATGCCAAAGGCCTGGTGGATTCATAATAGCCAGGACGTCGCTGCCGAGCTGAATGGTGTACCATATCCGATCGTGGCGAAGCCGGTAAGGGGTAGGGGCAGCCAAGGCGTCAAAGTGTGTTATAGTCCCGAGGAACTTATCGCTCATTCACGAACACTCCTTGCCAATTCATCTTCTATCATTTTAGAAGAATTTCTCCAAGGAGAGGAGATTACCATAACGGTTATGCCACCGACCCAGCAGGGGTCGAAGTATTGGTCTCTCCCAATAGTTACGCGATTCAATCATGAGCAGGGTATCGCTCCTTACAATGGAGTTGTGGCAGTCACTGCCAACTCCAGGGCTATTTCAGATACAGAGCTGGACCAAACGTACCTTCAGGCCATAGAAGAGTGCCAAGCAGCTGCCGAGGCTCTTGGGGTTACGGCTCCGATCCGAATCGACACGCGTCGGTTGAAAGAATCCAAGGATTCGAAATTCGCGCTATTTGATGTTAATATGAAGCCAGTGAGTTATTCTAGGTCCATAAGTCTAACAATAAGCTAATAATTATGGCGTCTTTATAGAATATGACAGGGCCTGGCCGACCTGGTCGAGATGACCAGGCAAGCTTGACATTAATGGCTGCGGCTGCTTTAGGATGGGATTACCAGGAATTATTAAGACGTATACTTAGTACTTCACATTCCCTCAAAGACTTAAGGACTCTGACACCGAGGTAAAGTAAGCCCGCATGGCCTTATATGTATATAGGAATACGTAGAATAGAATTATGCCACAAAATAAACATGAGTTCAAAAATATCCCCCTTTTCCCCTAAAAGAACATAAGTCAAAGCTCAAATGAAAAACGATTGGGATTAACTAGGCCAAGAAATCTATAGCGTCAACGGGGGTCATCGGACTGACCTCCGCTTTATGTGACGACCCCGACTCCGCTCGGCCGTCGGGATATTGCCGTAGCGTAAATTAGGTCAGACCGAACACCGTAAACGACCCCTTGGGCCGAATTAAGGCTCGATTCTCGTCATTCTTCAAAAGCTGACGGGAGGTTACTTTCGTTCCCATACATTTTATTGATTGAAACCGTTACCTGCCCGAAGTATCCAACATTTCCCACACCAGAAACGCTCTCCTATTGCACAACTCCCAATACGGAAAACCGAACCTCCAAGAATCTAGCTCAAATTTACCATCCAAAGCCCCCGCCAAGATGACGATTGTTCATATGGGTTCGTATATTTCCCCTCTCCAGAGAATGCCACCTCTTCACTCACACAATCGCATTAGTATTTTTCCGTTTCAGGCCCGAGGTGACGCAAGAACACAAAGATACATTTGTGCGGGAGCTGAAGAAGCTTAAGAACCTCCCATGCGTTAAAGATAATCGGTTGATAGTCGGTGGTCCGTCAATAACCGACCCAATAGAAAGGAGCAAGGGTTTTGAATTTGCTCTGGTGAGCTATCATCATGACCGAGCAGCATTGGATGCATACCAAGCTAGTAAAGAGCACACTTGGTGAGTCAAATTACGATTGATAACACGAAGACAACTTTTATTGATAATTAAATTCCACAGGGTGACGCAGACTTACCTCTTTCCATTTAAAGAGGATCTCTGCAGGTTTGATTTCGAAGTCGACCCCGAGGATGAATATATGTGCGTGCCAGGTTTAATAGCACAGAATACTAAATAATAATATCAATCTAATGGTTTATTCGAAATACCTATTCAGTCAATACAATTGATCATTGTAATTTGATTGAAAAAAGAAAAAAAAAATTATGCCAGGGGCTGGAATCGAACCGAACTTCTCTACAGGCGGTCTTTCTTCTGTATGACACAAGTAGCCAATCACCGAATGTAATAGTTCTCCCAAAGGCCCACCCAGGGACCTTACGAGGGATAGCTACTACACCCTCCCGAACCACTGCGCCAAACATTGGAAAGTGCCCATAGCGACTTAACCAATAGTCCACCCTGGCTTAGTTTGTTGGATTGTTGAAAGAAAGACATTAATTATTACCTATATGTCTCTCCGTAGGGTTCTTCAGTTTGCTACCGGGGCCCGCACCGTGCACCGTGACCCGTGACTGGCTCGTTATGATTAATCGTTATTCAGATATTCAATTTATTTTGCGCACAAAGGAGCTCCGCATTACTCATCGGACTGCAAACTGATTCCAAACTGTGTGGCCGGCCAGGAGAAGCTTCACGATCGTTAGCATCGCCAAGCTGCCTAGGCCATCCCCAAACCAGAAGAAATCATTAAAACAATTGAGATGCACGCCCTTCCGATGCGGCTGACGAAAATCCCGAATTGGTTAATCAGGGACCTCGTCGTCGTCCGTCTAAGCGAGCTGCGTACTCGGCGATCTTAGAGCTTATCGGAGTTCATGCAAGGCCAGGTTCCCCATGGGGACGAGGCCGGTCTAGACCAAGGCAGTATCTACCTAGGTATGCGACTAAGACAACCGAGTGATGTTTACGAATTTAGGTACCCGGCGTCGTATTTGTAGTAATCTTGGAACCCGGCATGGGAGTTCGCTTGGCATACTCGGATGGTTTTCCGGTTTGTTACTACGAAGGTTGGAGCTATGGCGACATGAGAGTTACATGACCATCCATTCGAGTACGACGCAGAACAACCCGATAAAGGTTCCCCTCCCTCCATTAGGGCCACGATGAAGTCACCCTCGACAAGCGGCCTCATCCACCATTCATCTAAAACTTCCCCACGTTTCCCCCAGCTTCGCCCCATCGCAGGGGTACCGGACCAAAGCCGTGATTGCGGAGATGAAGCTTCCCAAGAAGGCAATTAGCTACACACGTATATATATTCTTCGACGCGACCTCACATCTCGATCTATTTGGTTCAGCAGGTCCTTCTACGGTCTAGTTCTGTCGCTATATAAATGAGCAAGATGTTAGCTCGAGGAACCCTTGCTCTCTTGGGGCTATTCGGCTTTGCTTCGTTGACAATGGCTTCCCGTTTTCCCGAGGGTTCGTGGTATGGCAAAGTACTCCCCTGATGACAACAAGAAGCGTCAAAGCTAATTAGAGGTTTAGGGATTCCCACATCCACATCATAGATCCAGATAGGTTCCCACTGGACCCGGATAGGGGTAAGACACCCTACAATAACACTCTGACGAATTGAACACGAGCTCATACTTCTTAACTCAGACTACACCCCCAAGCCCGCGACCGTAGATAACTGTACCGAATTCCAAGAAAGCCGAGGCATCAAACACGCCGTAGTAGTCCTCCCCAGCGTCTACGGAACCAACAACTCCGTCCTCCTAGACGCCCTCCGGCACTTCCAAGGCCAATACCGGGGCGTAGCTGTCGTCGACACCGAAAACATAACCACCGCCGAACTCGACGAATTACACGAAGCCGGAGTCCGAGGTCTACGCGTGAACCTAGGTTCCTCCAACGACACCGACAAAATAATCCGCGAAGTTGAATCTAACATCGCGATCGCGCGCACGCGGAACTGGGCCGTACAACTCTGGGTCCCGCTCTCATCTATGGTATCCCTACACCCGGTAATCCTGAACAATTCCGATATAACTTTCGTCGCGGACCACTTCGCGCACACGGAAACGAGTTCCAAGACCAACGTCTCATCTAGTACCTACGATCCTTACCGTAGCACCGGGTTTCACGAAGTAATTGATTTAGTCCAACGGAAACTGTTGTTCATCAAGATCTCGGCTCCGTACCAAAACTCCAAGCAAGACCCGCTGTACGAGGATATGCGGATTATCGCGCAGACGCTGATCGCTGCCGGACCGGAGATGGTGGTGTATGGAAGCGATTGGCCGCATACCGCGAGTAAGGAGGGGAATGGACCGGGCGGACCGCTGGTCCCGTCGGATTACCGTGTCGTAAATGATGCTGCGCTGGTGGAGATCGCGAAGGATTGGGCTGGTGGCGAGGCTCAGGTACAGCGGCTGTTTGTCGATAACCCACGGAGATTGTGGCAGTGGTATAGCGAGGACTAAGGCTAATATTAGGATATAATAAGTTGTGGTCTTATATATAGGACGCAAATAACAGGAATAGGGTCTCACATGCATAGAAACCGAACCTACCTAGGTAGCTATTACGACTTCCTATAATAGCCATATATGAATCCCTTCGATATTCTTAGCCAAATCACGATTCGATACTCAAGTTCTAGTGCCTTTTAACAGAAAAATTGTCATAATCAAACCTGAACGCATTGCTTTTCGTCTGCCTATCCGCATGACACCATGATTCGGTTCTACTCGTAATATGACATCAAGTTGGTAGTGATTCTTCTCTATCTGAAGCATAAAGGTGTCGCTCCTTTTAATCTTTATCTAATCGCACAGCTGGACTGCTTTGCACGAAATTCAAATCCACCTTGTGACCAAGCAACTCACGAATGTTGGAAATACCATACTTGATCATAGTCGGTCGCTCCAGTGAGAGACCCCAACCATAAACGCGTGTGTCCGGGCTGTTATTAAAAATTAGAATTGAACAACATGGGGATTGAGATGTATAGGGTCACGTACGGGAAGCCCATGGCTTCGAGCATTTCTGGTCGGAACATTCCACTGTTTCCTATTTCGATGAGTTTGTTAAGGCCTTTGTCTGTTGAAATTAGTTAGAATAATCTTAAGCCAAGATGGGGCAGCATAGTTAATAAGAACGTACGGTATGAGAAAATCTCCATGCTGGGTTCGGTGTCTAGCAAAAGTTAGAATTATTCCGAGGTTGAAAAGGGGGGTGGCTGATGTGGCGTATCTCCGCGATCGCCGATTTAGCATCTTGCATACAATATTGGACAATATTGCATACAGTATTGCATATCCACTAAATCGGAAACAGCAGAAATGCGAAGAATATTACATACAGGGGTTATAAGCTGGCTTGTACTTGAGATCCGTTATTCCCATTTTCCCGAAGAAGATGTCCATGAACTAAAGCGAGTTAGCCACTATTGCATAATGATATTCGCAAAAGCAATTTTTGATCAACTCACTTCCATAAGACCACCCAGGGTCAAGTTTGCATCAGCAATGACACCTTCGACTTGATGGAATTCAGCAAGATGTGTCGCATCAACGCTCTCGTTACGGAAAACTCGGTCGATAGAGAAGTATCGTGCTGGGGGTGGTCGGCCATCGGGACCCTTTCTAGCCGCTAATTTGTGAAGCATATTTGCACTAATCGCTGTCGTGTGAGTACGTAGTACTAGTCGTAACGACTCATCTCCCGACCAAGGGTATCGGTAGCCTATTGAGCCATATTTGCCGTCCTGTTGTGGAATCAGTATTGGTGTCGTTTTAACATAACAAATTCTGGAAGATGCGTACCTGGTGGACTGCCTTCACATTATCCCAGTAAGTATCATAGTCCTTATCGTCTTCTGGTGAAGTTTTATGCGGCTTCTCAGCGGCATCGGGATCGGAGATGTAGAACTACCAATGCATCATGTTAGGAGGTAGAACTTACAAGAATAGTACCAAGTACTATTCAAACATTGTATGCTAGAGAATGTAGAGAACGGGGAGGGAGCAGAAGTATCATACAGTGTCTTGTAGATCGCGTGCCGGGTGTTGTTGAGGTACAAAGAGGGCGTCGAAGTTCCAGAAACCAGACTCGACGAACCTGAGAAAGTGATCCATGTTAGTTCAAGTTCTGCGACTCCTATTTCTAAGTATAGACATACTTGTCTGTGGGCATTTCCTCGAAACCCATCTCGAAGAAAATCTGTCTGAATTCGGCGCGGACCTTGTTGAGAGGATGCAAAGCACCTGATCGTTGGTCTGCTCCCGAAGCCTTGAAGTTGTATGGCTTGAAGGTAGCTGTCTTCCACGCGCCCGTCGCAATCATGTCGGCAGTTAGATCGGTCGCTTCCTCAGGAATCTTGAGAGCGAACTTGGCACCCTTGTGGATTTTGAAGCTGATGATTTTTTGGAATCGGATGAGCTTGCGCTTCTTCAATTCGGTAAGTAATTTCGCATCAGGGTGAGTTCGTGTCTCTTTGATGGTTTGCATCTGTTCCTTGGTAACATCTCGTATCGATTCCGTCGCGGCCTTAAACTTGCCATCTGCACGAGTTGTTGGTCATTAGCCCAGCCATGATAAGCGCCCCAAAAGGATTTCCATATACGCACCCTTGGTCTTCGATATCCACTTCTCCTTGAAAGCTTTTCCTTGTCCGATCTTGACAATGCTCTTATCACCGATGGCCTTCTCCAAATCCTGCACGGTTAGGCCGTCAACTGCAGAGCGTAAGGCCTCGAAGACGCGGGCCTCATGACTACCATTAGCAGCAATCTGCTCGCCCTCAGGTTCTAGTAATGCTTCTTCTCTTTCTATGGTATCGTATGTGACCATCTCACGCGAGGACAATCGATCGAGTGCTGCCTTTACCTCAACGAAACCAGCTGTCGGGAAGGCTTCGGCGGAGAGGAGCGGCGAGGATTTGTCGAGCGCCTGAAGGATATCGGATGTGAGATCCCCAGAGGGATTCACTGTTGAGGACGCCATTCTCAACCGAGGAAGATGTGATATGTTGTTTTCATGCGCTTTTTCGGAGCGAGGAAGGTTTGGTTTCGAAAGCGCCCAAGAATTGGTGATGTTGTCCCGCCGTTTACGCTTGCAAGCTTGAGTCACATTTAATTAACAATTTACGTGGTGCAATTGAGTCGCTGTAAATTTAGGAACACCCCTCCCCCTCACTAATGGTAAAAAAAAATGAGGGTCTGACTGCATGCCCCTCCATCAAGTACGTACTTAGGTACCGAGATGTATATAGCAAGTGACTCACCGCTTTCCTAGAATGGACGAGCTGGTTATCTAATCAGTAGTGGGGTTGGTTTTTTTACTTGTGCTTGTGAAAGCTCAAGCAACAAGAAAATGCGAATAAACTTTTTTCTGGATTACTGCCTATTCTATTCCTCAGCTTCGCCTTCCCAGCTCGTGTGTCCAAAGAATTTATTTAATTTTTAGGATATTAAACTTTCAGAAACCTTCCCTTTTCTTTGCGCATGCTTGTTCCTCTTCACAATATCAACAAATCACCTTTACAAGTCGCGACGGTGCTTGCATCCGGCACAGGTGCCGTCGTACCTTTCACGTTCTCCCAGTCTTCATACTAAATCGCCAAGATGAAGTACGTTCTAGTGAGTGGTGGTGTTATTAGTGGCATTGGAAAAGGTACGATTTTCATTTTATTTTTATCTAATTTTTACTTTATTTACTACATATAATTTTTGTGTTTGGAGGATTGGCTTCACATTGAACCAAACAATCTTGTATAATGCGCTTCCTAGGCTGCCTCGTAAAAGCAAAAACTAATTAATAGTAATTGAAATTCAATCGCTAACTTTATTTACATCCCAATAGGCATAATAGGTACGGTTCATGCAAGATTATGCACGTTTATTTGATTTTTTGCCCTATTGACACCTACAAGCATCCTCTTCCGGGCTTCTGCTTAAGACTGCTGGACTTAAAGTGACGGTATGAGAAATGCTCTTCTGTTCAACTTAGTTTTTATATATTGATCGTATTTTCTCTAGGCCATCAAAATTGATCCTTACCTAAATGTGGATGCTGGCACATTAGGACCTCTAGAGTACGTCAGACAATTGTATTGTTCTATAAATTACGCCACTAACCAGAATATATTGGTTCAGACATGGCGAATGCTTTGTGCTGAAGGTATGTCGCTTTCCCCTGCGAATGAATGGTGCAGCCGTGCTGATTAAACAATAGGATGGAGGTGAATCCGACCTTGACCTTGGGAATTATGAGCGCTACCTAAATCTCAATCTTACCAATGAGAACAACATCACCACTGGCAAGATTTATAAGTTCGTATTTCCATTAAACAAGTACTGTATCGCAATTTACTAACGGTAGATTTCTTTAAGGGCCGTGATAGAACGTGAGCGTAAAGGTGACTACATAGGTCGCACGGTTCAGGTCGTACCTCACATTACAGATGCTATCCAGGATTGGATCCAAAGGGTAGCAAAGATACCTGTCGACGACAGTGGTGAAGAACCAGATGTCTGCATCAGTATGTCCCTTAACCCTCGCGAAATATTAGATTAGTTACTTACACTGCATTTTAGTTGAGCTGGTACGTTTTGCACAAGATTTGTCGTCAATTAGCCAATAGGCAATGCTTATGATTTAATCCTGGGATCTATAATAAATCTAACCCATATTTGGTAGGGTGGCACGGTCGGCGATATTGAGAGCATGCCCTTCGTTGAGGCATTGACTCAGTTCCGACATAAAGTCGGAAAGGGAAACTTGGTCAACATTCATGTTTCCTACGTCCCCATTATTCATGGGGAAGAGAAAACCAAGCCCACACAACACGCCATTAAGCAGATGAGAAGTGCCGGCTTGATACCTGACCTGGTTAGTATTCGGAATATGAACTTTCCGGTGAAAAAAAGCCGACTAATATTTCTTGTAAGATCGCATGTCGTTGCGAGCGTGCCCTCGATGAAGTTACAACCCAGAAGATCGCACGAAGTTGCCAGGTCGAAAACGAACAGGTCCTCACGGTCCGGGATATTGAGACCATTTACCAGGTACCACTACTCCTTGAGGAACAAGGACTACGTGAGCGTCTGAGGGAGGCATTGATGCTAGACCACCTTACGATCGCACCTGCTCTGTCTCAAAAGGGTGCCAACTTATGGCAGCTATGGAAAAAGACCGTTGTTACGAAACCGTACCTAGAACCAGTCGACATCGCCTTGGTTGGAAAGTACATCGCACTTCCCGATAGTGAGTATCCTTCCATATTCCCATTCCCAAAGAATTTTTGAGGGATACCCCCCCATTTAATTCCTCTTCGTTACATATTCCTACTCTTTTGGTGTACCATACAAGCGAATTAAAATCTTCTAGGTTACCTCTCGGTGATAAAAGCACTGGAGCACTCGGCTATGCGATGTAACCGCAAGTTGAATTTGGCCTGGATCGATGCAGAGCATCTCGAAGAGGCTACTTTACAGAGCGACCCCACTACGTACCACAAGGCATGGTCGCAACTCACGGTTGCTTCTGGTTGTAAGTCATTTCTCTCATATTCGTCGCCCAAAGAACTTTATGATTCTTGAAACATATCCTATATTTTCTTAGGCCCTCTCATAGTGGTAGTTGCTAATCATCGATATAGGTATCTGCCCCGGTGGATTCGGCGGTCGGGGTGTACTAGGAATGGTCAAAGCCGCTAAGTGGGCTCGCGAGTGCAAGATCCCCTATTTGGGAATATGTCTTGGAATGCAGGTCGCTGTCATCGAGGCCGCGCAGAATCTGTGTGGCTTCAAAAACGCCACATCGGAAGAATTCGATGCTCATGCCGAGCATCGTGTCGTGATCTTCATGCCAGAAGGCTCGAAAGAAATCATGGGTGGTACAATGCGACTCGGTACGAAGACCTCCCATTTCCAACCCGGAAGCGAGTGGAGCAAGATCCGGGCTTTATATGGAGACGGGGAGGGTATGGAAGAGCGACACCGACATCGTTATGAAGTTAATCCCGATTATATCGAAGCGCTCGAGAAAGTTGGGTTAAACTTCATCGGAAAGGACGAATCGGGAAAACGTATGGAGGTGGTTGAGTTGAAGGATCACCCCTTCTTCGTCGGTGTACAGGCCCACCCCGAGTTTACCTCGCGTGTTCTCGCCCCCTCGCCAACATACCTCGGATTTGTCGCCGCTACGACGGGATGCCTTGATGAGGTTATTAAGGAGATACGACAGCAGAGGGATACCGGCGCGCTTGTCAACGGAGTGGACGAGGCCGCTCATTTCTAAAAGGCCATTTTATATTGAATGCAAGCGGATACTTGCCTTAGAGGATGACAGCTCGCGTGGGAATTGAGCTGAGATGGGATTAAGGGACAGCTTTTTCTCTTAGGGGTATACTAAAATGAGCAGTCATACGGTTATCTGCTTTCTGGCTATGGAGTTAGAGTGGATAATGAATCAAAAATTTCCCCAAACCAGCATTGATACGATACCCCTTTTCACAAGCATTCGACTCTCAGTCTACTCTAATATCTTTCACCACCCGATTATACAGGCTGGGTGACGGGGCCGGGACTGCATACGGGGGTCTACGACTCCGTCGTGAATGGAAATCCCATCTGGAATTTATGGAATATATAGAATTAGATAAATAAAATAAAAATACGAAAGAAATCATACAATAAGAAGTTCTATTCTTGTACAAAAGGTTAACGTTTGTGACGGCTATATGCATATTAGCTCCCAACTTCATATCTTATCGGCGTAGTAACCCCCCACACCCGACGCACCTACCCAGGTGCTAAACTTCTATTCTACATCTCTATCCACTCCTTTAACATTCAAAGAAACGCACATTCATTCAAGCGCAAAACAATTCTCATTCTGTCTCTCTAAATCTGCAAGGGATCCGCTAGTACCGATACCTAATACCTAAGACACATACACAATGGCGAGCGGCGGCAGCGAAACGAGTACGTCCTCTCCCATCGCCCTCGACCGACCGATTAATTGAACTGACCAACCCCGCCGTATAGTCAACCTCGACACCTTGAGCGCGCAACAGCTCACCCAAGTCAAGAAGCAACTCGACGAAGAACTCGAGCACCTCACTTCTTCCTTCGCGCAGCTCCATGCCGCCCAGTCCAAGTTTCGAGAATGTCTGCGCTGCGTTCAGGATAAGAATAAGACGCCTGCGCTGAAGGGTATGTTGTGGTTCCATTAGCTCGGAATATGTGGTTGAAGGGAATATGGCCTAATATGCAAATATAGAGAACAACTCAATCCTCGTCCCCCTTACCAACTCCCTTTACGTTCGCGGAACCCTATCGAGTGCGTCGCATGTTGTGGTGGATATCGGTACGGGATTCTATATTGAGAAGGTAATTACACAACACCATATAATACAAGCTATAGAGCATTGACAAAGTACGTTTAGGAGGTCAAATCGGCTGCGGACTTTTATGAGACCAAGGTGGGCGAACTAGGTGCAAGCATTAAGGACCTCGAAGCAATTGTTCAGGGAAAAACAAATAACGTCCGTGTCGTTGAGGAGGGTAAGTGCTATCTCCATATCTATCCATCTCTTTCTACCGTCGGCTCAACTAATACTGCCACTAGTTCTGAGACAGAAAATGGTTACAGGAACACAGCAGCAAGCACCACCGCCGTAGAGGACGATGAGCTGTGTGAGTTAGCCTTGATAGCTCTTAGTACTCTCACAATACGCCCCTAATACTGAGCCATTAATGAGTAGACCATTATCCTCGTATATCCCTTACTGCGCAGACTGTGGGCTAAAACGTTCTTCTCTCAATCTTCTTCTGTTCCTCTCCAAATGGCTTAGAAGAGCCCGTGAAGGGTGTTCCGGATCTCCTTAATGACTTCCACAAAACCCTCGACCCTGTCCATGCCTCTAGCTTCCGGCTTACCCTGGGGTGTGTCGAGAAGGAGTTCGAGTTCGTTACCCCAGACGTTTCCGGCAGTTTCGTCCGTGGCATCCCAGAATTCACCAAAGACGCTGATTTCAAGTTCGACGATGGGATCCCTGCCAGCCTCCATAGCGAAAATACGGTCCCAATGGCGGCTTACTGCGATCTCCACAATGTACGGAGTGGTCTTCCATCTGTAGCGGTATACAGTCTTGACAGTAGCGTTCTTGACCTTGCTGGCTACCATATCGGAGAGGCCAAGTTTCACGCTTGGGTAGACGTCGAGATCGTGAGGTCGATCAGCATTGTTCAACTCGATTTTGGCACTTCTCAAGTATTCGGTGATATCTCGGAACGATATCTCACCCTTCTCTTCTTGAACGGCTTCCAGCTTCCAGTCGAGGTTTCTAGCTATCGTTAGATAAAATGGCGTAAGAAGGAAATATCTCGAAATTTTAAACTCACTTTCCAACACTCAGGTTGAGGATGTCCAGCTCGGTGAAGTTGTCGTCCAGTTTGGATGCCATTATGCGGTATAGCTGACAGACCATAGCACCTCTTGCGTTTCCACTAGACCTCTTCTTGATCGGTGCGTAAAGCTTGTAGTTCCGAGAACGTATCTCGAAGATGTACTCGGGTAGTACGTCGGCTGTCGCTTCCACCTGATTGCTGGTGGGCAAAAATAGGTGATCGGCATCGTTCTTGATGAAGTCTAGGACCTTCCTGGCTTGATCCTTGCCGCCAATGCTGTTCCCCTGTTAGCTACACCCATCAGATTAACGTCTGCTAGACACTTAGCTACTAACGATTTCTTCAGCACTCCACCGGCACGGGGGTGCATCATCATCGTATAGAATTCCGGGTACGTGCTGATTTCTTTACCCTTGGGATACGATCGCAGTAGGAAATAGCCTAGATGAACTCTCAGCGATAACGATAAGCGAACTCGACCAGCCTTCTTCAGTCCCTTGTGGACAAAGTGGCATAGCTTTGCCACATAATCCTCGCGACTCTGGGGAAGCTGTAGTTCCGCAGTGGAATTGATACCCGGCACCAACTTAGGTCGGATCTCGCCAGATTGTGTGTTGATTACCAGAATAACCTTAGCGGTGTCGCCGATTCCAATAGGTGGTTCTTGGAAGTTGCGCGGCGGTCCAGTTGATTGGCGATCTGCTATCAACTCCTCGGTAGCATCCTGTGCTGCTCCGATGATCTCCGCGGCATGCCTCTTGGGTGTAATAATCTCTAGGTACTTCCCCTGGCCTACCTGCCGAAGCTCAAGCTTGGCGTTGATGTTCGCCCGGCCCAATTCATTGTGGACAGCCTCAATTAATCCATCGGCTACTTCCGGATGGGAGACGATGAAGTTGATCTGAAGAATGGAAGAAAGCAGGGTATTAGCTTATATCCTATTAACATCATCAGCCATGAAGGAAAATGGGTACATACCTTGGTCGGCTCATTAGCGCTAATACCGTACGCGGCTAGAGTTGGGTTACTGAGATACTCAGTAGGGTCTGGGTCCGGGTAACGAATGGGTCGAACCCGAACGCTTGACGTGTCAGCGGGCGCCTCCTCGTCGATGGGAGCATTGCTCTGAACATCGTGAAGACCGAGAATATCGTGACTGCCGTTGGTGCCGTTGGTACCATTGGCACCATTTGCGTAGTGGTATCCGACCATGCCATTGGCATTGTATCGGGTAGGCGGAGTAGAGATGCCGCCTGTGCTGGCTTGAGTACCACGCTGCATTTGCGTAATAGGGCGTTCATACGCATCCGAAGACAGAATTGGGAAGGTTCGGAGTGAAGCCTCGTCGTCGCCTGAACCTCCAAGTAGAGAATCAAGCACAGATACAGTGTCGTCAACGATACGACCATCGGTTGACGGGGGTGGCGAATCTCTGAAGAAGTCAGACATGGCTGGATTTTTTTGCTGAAGTCTCAACTGTCTGAAAATGTGGGAGGAGGAGAAGAGGGAGAGGGAGAGGGAGAGGGAGAGGGAGAGGGAAGAATTAAAACGTACACATCTATTAATAAAGACATCGTGTAACGCGCGGTCCCGTAATTCAAATTAGTTTTTGATATTGCGGGACTAACGAGGATCCTACAACGCGCAAGCGACGTCGAGGTGCTTGAAAAATGGATTTTGGTATGTACAAATGCTGGGCGAGATAATTACAAGGAAAGAACTTCAAAATATTCTGAGGGCATAATTTGAAACGGGATTGTTAAGGGTGTCTCATTGATTCGTCATATTTTTATTGTCTTGGATGTGTTATAACAATGAGTGAACACGTCAAACGAGTTGACGATCTTTGAACTGGTCGGCGGCGATGAAAAGTTTACGTGTTAGGTCTAGGAGCCGCCGACTTGTTTTGTTTGAATTTAGGGGATTATGACGGTGATTATTCCATTGGTTATTCCACTGGTACACGAGGTACCTACATGGAATTTTAAACCTTATATAGGTACATCATAACTGTAGCAATAGAAAAAACTACCTCAAAGGCAAGAGCGATACCTATATGATATCTCATCACGTTCATTGACGTACCAGCTCTAATATGCATCTATCCCGTCAAGATGAGTTCCTTATATCAGGTAGATTGATTATATAGTTCATTATGTAAAGTGATTAGATAAGCGTAGATTTTCCATACCAACCAATTAAATTGGTTAATCACGTGGTCCCGTGAATACCCCGGTACGCGCAATTCCAATGGTCGCGTCTTTCCAAAGACCACCCTACCCCTTTACTATCTTCAACAAATCTAAAACAATGGAGCGATAACATAAATGAACCAAAACTTCATTCAGTCTTAACCAGAACGAGGTTCTTCCTTATATTGCACCAGCCTAATTGACTTCTGTTCGATTATTTCGAATCGACCATCAAGATGGGACGCCGCTCTTCAGCTGTGGTCACTGGAATTGCTAGGGACGACTCGGATGATGAGCTTGGCATTGATGACCACCCTTGGGAGTGGATCTACCCGCAATCAGAACCCTCTGACTCGACAACCAAGAGAAAGAGGAATTCCCAACATGATATCATCGGCGCCCGCATGGGGACCTTTGAATGCTACGTCGGCGACTGCGTTCTCTTAAAGGCGGAGGAGTCCTCTAATGAGGCATGGGTTGCTATAATTGCTGAATTCCGTGAAGAGGATGAAGATGGCGACAAGGCTGCCAATTTCTTATGGTTTTCCACCGAGAAGGAAATACGGAAAAGTGATCGGAAAAGGACCGATTTTCTCCCGGTTGGTTGACATTTCGTACAATTTTTGCTTATTTTGCTAATAATCTAATCTTAGAATGAACTGTATATTACGCCATCTTGTGATGTTAATCCGTTGGCGTCTATCAATGGCAAGGCCATTGTCTTGTCCCATGAAAAGTTCCTACAGAAGTATCCCAGTGGCAAGGTTCCCCGTAACTCACTAGGTCACAAGAAGACCTTCGTCTGCAGGAGAGGATGCAACACAAGGACTTCAACTTATACGGATGAATTCTTATGGGAAGATGTCTACTCGGGAAAGGGGGAAGATATAGACGACCTGAGAGAATTAGTTGAGAAAGGAACTAAGTCGACACGGAAGCGAAAGAATCGCGAAATCTCGAAAGTGGAAGCGGATTATGTTGCCATCCAACCAGAACATGATGATGATGATAATTCCGATGGTGCTGCTCCTCGTGCAGTAAGTACGCCGAGGAAAAAACAGAAAACAACGCGCGTTGTGACACCCTCCAATCGCAAGTGAGTAGATACCTTATTATCACAATCCAGTCGAGTATTACTAACTCTAGGTACTAGGGTTATAGTGAAGAAGGCGTTGGAATTCACACCTCTTGCCACCCGCATACTCTCCCCAAGTCATCATCAATCCTCCCCCTTCCAGATCGCAAGAGCTCAGTTACATGTCGCTTCAGTACCCTCAAGTTTACCTTGTCGAGAATCGGAGTTTTCCTTGGTATATTCACATCTCGAAGCGGCTATCACTGATGGGTCCGGTGCTTGTATATACATATCTGGCACGCCTGGAACCGGGAAAACGGCAACGGTGCGAGAGGTAGTGTCGAAACTAGACGAGGCAGTACGATCCGACGAGCTAGACGATTTCATCTTTGTCGAAATCAACGGCATGAAGATAACCGACCCACACCAATCATATTCTCTACTATGGGAGGCCTTAAAAGGGCAAAGGGTTAGCCCAAGCCAAGCATTGGACCTCCTAGAGCGCGAGTTTAACCACCCCAGCCCTCGACGAGTTCCTTGTGTTGTCTTGATGGACGAGCTCGACCAACTCGTTACCAAGAACCAGAGTGTCATGTACAACTTTTTCAATTGGCCTGGGCTTAGGCATTCCAGGCTTATTGTTTTGGCGGTTGCTAACACGATGGACTTGCCGGAAAGAACACTTAGCAATAAGATCAGCAGTCGTCTGGGATTAACGCGTATCACCTTCCCAGGTTATAATCACGAACAACTTATGAAGATCATCCAATCGCGACTCGAGGGTGTACCCGGAAATATTGTCGAGTCAGACGCCGTTCAATTCGCCAGTCGGAAAGTTGCAGCTGTAAGCGGTGATGCGCGACGTGCTCTCGATATCTGTCGTCGAGCTGTCGAGTTAGCAGAAGCCGATGTCAAGGCCGGGGATCCAGATCCGTCAACCCCGAGCAAGAGAGCGAAAGCGAAGACAGGTGAAGCAGATAAAGCGAAAAGCTCTAGAGGGAAGGTTACGATCGCAACAGTAAAGCGGGCCATCAACGAAGCGACTACGAGTCCGCTGCAACAGTACTTGCGCGCACTTCCGTTCGCTTCCAAATTGGTCCTTACATCACTACTCGTGAGGAACGAGCGAACAGGTCTACCCGACAGCACATACGGCGATGTGATGGAGGAAATGAACCGCGCACTCGTATTAGATGCAGGAAGTCGACGAGTAAACTTACTCAAGCACGGCGCAAATCAAGATTCTAGTGCAGACATCAGCACACGAAGAGGCAAATCCAAACCCGTCAGACCGGCGGGGATTAGTACTGCCGCGGTTGATTTGACCGGTGCTGGAATTATCGTATTAGAGGGACAGCGAGCCGAGAGACCAAGTAAGATCAGACTTGCGGTGGGGGATGAAGAGATAAAGCTTGCATTCCGAGATGACCCTGAAATTAGGGCGTTGGGTATAGCATTCTAGTGTACAGCATATAGTGCTAAAATCAAGATTCCCCCTTTGCCATTTATCATCCTTTTAGACGTAGCGAGAAGGATGCAATTAGACTTCTCTATCTGCGATTATACAATGTTTAATTTTCCCTTTCCCTCTTAATTAATACTTCTGTCTTCCTAAAGTGGGTTTCCATTCCAATGGATGTGTCTCGGGCGTCGCCTTCTCGTCCGGCTTCCAGATCTTGATCGTCTTATCCGCCTCACCAACAATCAGACGCATACCCGTGCGATCGAAAGTCGAACTCATGATACCAGCTTCAGCATCCAGGGAACCAGGCTGGGCAATGGAATCAAGTGATTGGAAACGGTGTCCTGACTTCCAGTCCCAGAAACTCATAGACCCGTTATCACCACCGGAAAATAGGACGTCTTCGTTGGCGGCGAGAGAGTTGATGATAGCGTTGTGTCCGTCGAAGTTGCCCATGAAGGCGCCTTCGGGATACTTCCATTGCTTAATGCTTCCTGTGCTACCCGTTGCGAAGGTGAATTCGGACGGGTGTAAGGCTAGTGCGCGGACTCCCTTTTTGTGGTGTGTAAGCACACCCATCGTCTTGCCTGCCGCTAAATCCCATAATCGGACAGTCGAATCGAGTGATGCGGTAATGACTTGCGGGTCGGATTCTTGACACTTGAGATCGGCGACAGTGCCCTTATGGCCGGATAATACGTGGATGTTGCTACGCGTTCGCATGTCCCAGACTCTCGCAACACCATCTCGTCCACCTGTCACCAGAACGTCTAGCGTGGGGTGCAGTGATAATGTGTATACACCGCTGAGGTGACCGTGGTAGTGTCGGATGACCTTGTTTGTTTCTAAATCCCAGCACTTTACCATCTTATCTTCACCGCAGGAGAATAGGTATGGGTGTCGAGGGGATACGGCGAGGCCACGCACGGTGGAGATGTGGCCAGTTAAGGTCAGTCGCAGGTTGCCGGTCGCTAGATCCCATATTTTGATGGTGCGGTCACCAGCACCACTAGCAAACCATTGATTATGAGGCTCGACAGCCAAGGCTCTTACCCAACCTAGATGCCCTGAGATGACTCTCATGAGCTTCCAAGGAGGGTGCCAGTCGGGCTTGACTTGATGCGCCGCCTGTGCCCTGGCGACCGATAAGGCTTGTGACGGTTTGTTATCTGAAGCTTGCGACATCGACGGCGGTTTTCGTAGATGGACTAAAGCATTGGAATGGCCGTTCGCTTTGCTGGTCGAAGATTCCGCGATGCCTTCGATCAACTTTTGTGTCTTCTGGTCTTCGGGTGTGGTCGTGGGTTCGTTAGTAGCTGGCCTCTTTCCCTTCTTTCGTGCACTCATCGCGCTCGCTTGTTTCTGTGCTAATGCTGGGGGTAGTTCGATGACATCTTGATATTCGGTGCGTAAACGGATGGATAGAGCATCTTTTTCGCGTTTCGATTCGATCGCGTCGTCGGTTAACTTTACTCTCTTTCGCGCGGAGCCTCCTGACGGGTCTGCGAATAGTGATTTCGTCCGTCGGGCGTTTTCTCGTATGAGATTATTTAAGTCCGGTTGTACGACTTCCATGGTGCTGACTGCTTTTGTATTAATTAGGTTGGGAAACAAGTCGCGCCGATGGCAAAGGTTGGTTATGATGATGGAATTTGAAGATTTAGCTAAAGCTACCAAGGTACATTTAATTCAGGTACCCCGATAATATGGTAGCTTCGATATGGTACTACAAGTGTTAACTTCTAAGTGCATATACTGTTTGTTAAATAATTGGCTCTTCACTTGCCTCTTTTGAAGTACATACCTTCATAATTTATACTCAAGCATCTCATACCAGTATACCTAAGGCAACTAAGAGGAATCATTTTCATTCAGATTGTCTAATTATACTGCAAGGAGTGATTCGATACGATTTATTGGTCTTATTGACTGTTTGCCTAGCTCGATTCCGAAGAGCTGACTAGGCCAGCTTTAGGTAACCATTAGTATACGACATCAAGTACATAATTCTTATACGCCTACCCCGTACCACTTACACAGCCAACCTTAAACCGATCCTATCTTCATACCAAGAACCATCTACAGGAATTCAGTATGGCTTCAGATCAATCAAAATATGCTATGCATGCCGCTGCTCGAGAAGGCAAAGGTGAGAGAGCTTCACTGTCAGCCTCTTTATAGGAATATCTTGCTGATCAACCTACAGTCACCGTCGTCGAGTCGTTGCTAAATGTAAGCTCTTATAACATCGCCTCACTACGCGGGTAATCTATAAAACTAAGTCTGTATGTAGGTAGACCCGAAGCTATCTCGTCTCAAGGACGACGACGGCCGACTTCCTATCCACTGGGCTGCGTCTGCGAACAACAAAGCTATCGTCCTACTCTTAGCTCAACAGAAAGACTTCGATCCCGATGTCGAAGTAAGCAAATGAAATAGTCCACTTAGTTGGTACCGAGCTCTATGATCATGTATAACTGACGTTGTTGAAGGACGAGAGTGGTTGGACCCCGCTAATGATCGCGGCGAGCGTGAAAGACGGTGATGCTGTAGTGGAGCTGTTACTATCAAGAGGCGCCGATGTGAACCAGAAGAGTGAGTGTTCTTCTCCTAGGTATAATAAGATAAATTTTGAAGCTAACTCTGAACAGATAATAATGGACAAGTACGAGTTCAAGCTGAATTAATCATGATTTTTACTACGTCACTGACATCACCACAGACAGCCCTACACTTCGTAGCCTCCAAGAACAATCTCGAAGTAGCCCGCAAGCTACTCGACAATAAACCACCCGCCTCCGCACGTGTGCGCGACAAGCGGGGGCAATACGCACTCCACCGAGCCGCAGCCGTCGGCTCCGTGCCGATGATCAACTTACTCCTCCAGCATCGCAGTCCGCTTAATGCTACCGATAACTCGAGTTATACCGCCTTGCATCATGCTGTTGCCGAGGGTCACGGTGCCGCAGCAGTCGCCTTACTAAAGGCCGGCGCCGAGCTAGACAAGCGGGATGTAGATGGTTATTTGGCACTAGATCTGGCGCCGGATAAAGAGGTGCGGAAGTACATAGAGCGGGAAGCTGAGAATGAGGGAATTGAGCTCTAAATTCAATGCTGTGCTACTTTAGATCCCGATTAAGGCACCGGGTTCCGTCAGCATGACTGACTAGACGTACTGAGACATTCATAGTATCTTGTTTTATCATAAAGCCTATTATACCCAAAGAAATTCAGGTATCTCAAGGCTTAATTCAATGAGCTCACTAGGCCCACCCTATTTAATCGTGCGTTCTACGAGGTCCCTATACATAGCTTTTACATCATCTACATCCGCGCGTAGTTCTTCCACCAGTTCGCTCTTTTCCCCGAGCATTTCCAGCGTAGTTTGGTATCTTTCGTTAATGGCCACCACTTCCTTTTCCAGCTCCTCAACCTTTTTCCTAGCCACCTTTCCGGCCTCGGCTTCCTTCATTAATAAAACAATTTCATTGCGAGCTTCGTCGCGTTGACTCGATATCCGAGCGAGCTCCTCCTTGGCGGCTACTTTCTCGCTCTCTAGGCGACGGACCACAGCACTCATTCTTTCAACTAGCTGCACCGAAGGTCCTGCCGTCATCGTGGACACTGATACCATATCTTGCAACACATTCTGGGGCGAAGCTGGAGTTTCCGAGTTTTCGAAAACGTCATCTCCGTCGATTGGATTTGGCGGTGAAGCTAGCATCTCCAGGCCGCTCGCCAGGGAAGGAGGTGTACTAGACTCCCGTACTGAGGCCATGGGAAACATAGGAGACCGCATAGGAGGTTGCGCTGATGTTCGCCTTCCAGAGGATGGTCGATCATGAGGGCTCGGCTCACCATTACTAGAGGGTGCCGAAGTTTTGCGAAACCTGGATGGGTAACTCTGCAACCCAAGGAACTCCCCACTAAATGTTCTCTGCGGAGCTGATAGTAGAGGAGATTCTGGCCGACTGATACTGCGGAAGGCAGAAGTCGGGACGTCTTCTAACCAGTTCCGTCGGTCTTGGTCTGTTCGATCAGCCTTTTCTTCTTTCCAGGCCGATCGTTGTCGCTCAAAGTCCGATCTTGCTTCGGCTAACGCAGCCTCAGCTTCCTCTGCCCGTCTCCGTAACGACTCAAATTGTGACTGATATGAAGATAAATCTTGTTGAACACTGGGAAGTTGAGTCCGCGCCTCTTCTAATTCTTCTTCTTGACGCTTGGCTCGAGAAGCCTGGTTCTGCCATTAGTCGTCGTGGTGACCCTAGAGAAAGCGAGTAACTTACCATTTCTCGGGCTTTTCGTCTCATTTCTGATTCGCGACGTAGCGCTTCATCTCTCTCCTTCTCTAAGGCCGCGGTCTTCGCGATTAGAGATGCTTCTATACCTTGCCAGTTTTCACTAGCGATGGAGTATTGTGTCTGGAGGGTTTCTATCTGGCGGAGAAGCTTAGCTTGAGCATCTCCGACAGCACCTGTTGAGGCTTCTTCGGCTCGTATTCGGAGGGCCTCTAATTTGCTTTCGAGAATTTGGACTTCTCCTTTAAGTTCCAACTCCATGGTCTTAAACCGTTCAGATGCTCTGTCGGCCTTTTCTTGTAATTCCGTTGCTTGTAATTTAGCACGATCAGCTAGCAAGCTCTTCTCTACTTCCAAGGTTGCAACAGTATCCTCTAGTTCCTTTACACGTTGCTCTCCTGCTTCTCGTACTTGATCATTCACCTTGGCGGCCATAGTCTTCGCCCGTTCAGATTCTTCTTGAAGTCGATCTTTGAGCTCGGATATCGTACGGTCTTTTGAAGAGACATCCCCTCTTAATGCTTCTAGGTCCCTCCTTAATTGGCTTATGAGCTTCTGAGATTCCGAGTTTACCTTCTCTACGTCACCCTGATCATTCAACTTCTTGCGCAACGCACTAAGCTCGTTCTCCGTCTTTTGGCGCCAGAGCTTTTGCTCATTCAGCTCTTTCTCGCCCACAGCAAGTTGACCCCTGAGTTTCTTAATAATACTTCGGTGCTTTTGCTCTGTATTCGCGAGTTTTTGCCCTTCTTCCATCAGCTGGGCAATTTGCTGGTCCTTTTCTGCCATCTTTTTCTCCGGGCTACCTGCCGGCGCGGCGGTAGCAGCGTTTCTCGCAGCATCTGAAGCTTGTCGTGCTAAGTACTGCAACTTAGCTTCTAAAGCATCGACCCTTTCCACATGACTATGCAGTTCCTCTTGATGTTGAGTCTGGGTCTCTTCTAGAGATTTCTCTAGGTCCGCGATGCGTTGCTCGTATAGGATGGAAGTTGATGAAACCGGGTCAGCCCCCGATAGCCTGGGATAAGCTATTGCTTCAGGCTGTACCGTGGCCGCCTGGGATTCTTCTTCGGCCTTTGCAGCACGATCGCTTCCATTAATTAGCTCATCGATGGCCGGAGTTGACGGTCTCACGGGTGCTCCTTCGCCTGGGGTGGAAGGGGGAGATATTTTGATCGCTTTATCGTCTTTCGCGGTATCGGTCTTCTCGATACTTGGTCGGGATGGTACCGCACGCGCCGCAGCAGGGAGGTCGGAGCTAGCACGGGGGCTTTGGATCGGTGAAGTGACTTCGGTACTTCGTCTGGCAGGCGAATCGGACCTTTGGGACGCATTTCTCGCAGCAACAGCCCGAGCTAATCGCTCCTGTAATCTGTCATTGGCAGATCTGGAAGGAGTTGTAGATCGTGGCGGCACGTTTGCAGCGGACGGTGTGGTAGATGAGGTCGATGGTGTTCTTGTCGGTCGCTGCGAGGCTGCTTGCTTCGCCGTTTCTTCTTCAGAGAGGATATTATCCAAGCGTGCCTCGACGCCCGCGACAGCCTGGGACAAGAAGGAACCCCATCTTGATGACTTCTGAGGAGCCGACATATTTGAGGCTTTAGAGCCTACAGATTGACTATAACCGGGCAAGAGAAGGTCTTTAATTTGCGGTTATGTCGCACGTATTTCGTTCGTCTAGGCGATTCTTAAGAGGGAGCCGGCGCATTGTACACGAGGTTTTGCTTTACCGTGCTGACTGCTGACGTGTCACAGCAAACGAGATCATGAAAGGCCAAGTCCGTCCTACCGTCCCAAAAGCTGTTGAATATTAAGCATTGGAGTTATCTTCGCATTTACGTCTCGTTATCGTCTATAATTCTTAAAATAGAAAGACGATGGGGTGGACTAGATCGATCGTAGCAGTATTCTGCCTATAAGAGAAAGGTCAGGTAATTTCGATGGCGCCGTACAGGATGACAGAGCGGAGGCTATGCTTCGGGCGCAACCGTCTTAAAATGTTTTCGGTATAGGAAAGACGCTATAGTTTCAGCTGGCGAAACTAGGCAGATATGAATCAGAAACGACCAAATCTAGAGTAACTATTTGTTTCAAACACCATCAAAGATGTTTGTCTGACATATGAGCTAGGTAGCTAATCTGCTAATATCGAATTTAAAGGTCGACGCTCGTTAGGAGAAAATGTCCAGGCGTTGACAATAAAACGTGGAGACTCCACTGCGTTGTAACGTTATAATACATTTTATTAACTTAAACGGACTAGCCCTGTTTATCTGCATAACTCCGGCAGACACCAACCGAGCTTCCAAAGCTTAGTGCTTCGTATATTACCAGGGCGCCTTCCATTATGTTCTTCCCTAATGTTTTTGGGAAAGCGCCGTGCCCCCCTATAATAGCTATCTTTAGCACGTATTTGATGCATCTACTACGTAATTACGTAGGCAGGCACAGGCACAGGCACCTTGAGTAACAAGACATGCAGCTACGTAAAGTTAAAACTTAAAATTACATGATAGCCCGAGGCATGTAAGTACCTAACGTACCTGGAGTATTTAATGTAGGCATGTATGTGGGTAGGTACAGACCGACGCTATTTTACATCTTACCGGAGTGCCGGAACACACTTATTAGACACTGCGCGGCTTACACCAACCCTTTCATATTTTTCTTCCCTTTCAGATTTACCGTTCACACGGATTCGACTGGGATACGTATAACTATCTCCACGGAAGTTTTTCGATATAATAGGTATAACCAAACTCCTTAAATTACTTCAAGTAATTAACTGGTAACGTACCGAGTCCTCGGAAACATGTCCGTGCAGGGCCTCTTAGAGGCTTTGAGTTTCCCTTACCATGAACCTCGACACGGCTTCTGGGGTGAGAAGACCTCCACCTTGAACTTTTGTGAAGAGGTAAGTCCCAACAGAACATAGAAATGCAAATGAATTATTAGTATATTAAGACTAATTACAACTCCAGGACTATGTCATGAGCTATTACTGTGCCGAGGTTTGCAATGTAAGCTCTACTTTCATGCCTTTGTCATTCTCTCATCGAACCTAGCCGGAGGAAGCTTACATAGGAGACTTGCGCGGAGACTAATTTTTGGTGTGCGATTTTCACTTTTAGACGCTCACAAATGCTCTCTTTATTTGGCTAGGCTACAGGGGAATTCGAGACTGCTTTAGACACAAGCATCAAGCCATCTTCCCTATAACGTTCGCCGGTTACCTCGTGGTTGGTCTAGGGTCTACTCTATTCCATGCTACTCTTAAGTGTAAGCCTACACAAAACTGATAACACAATGCCGAAAGCTTTGTGATGCTGGTCTCTCCAGTTTCTTAAGACCATGGTTGTCTAACATCAAGCAGATCCGATGCAGCTCGTGGACGAATTGGCGATGATATATACGACCTGTTTTATGTGCTTTGCCACATTCTCATATGGTAGATCTGCCGCTTTTTCCTCCTGTCTCGGCGTTGGTCTCGTCAGCCTTGCGTGGTTCATTACTGTTCGCCTCACCTCCCATTACCGTTCCACCAAGCTACCTCGCGTACTGACAGTAGAAATCAGGCGAGGTATTACACAACTAAGGACCCTCAGTTTCACCAAGATGCTTATGCGGTTTTGACCGCCATTGTGGTGTTCTCCAACATGTGGATCATGGAGCGAATACTCAGACCAGCTTTGAAGAAGAGAGAAGAAAGTAGGCGAGGAGCTCGCTCTCCGAGGCTGCCGACGACCAATGAGATGCTTAAGCAGATGTGGGTCATGGTTGCAACAGGTAAGCAACTAAAATACTGGCTTAATTGGTGGCTATACTGATAAGTCGAATTCTTCACGCCTGCAGGTCTTAGCATCTTCCTTGGTGGTTACCTCATCTGGAACCTAGACAATACGTACTGCAACACCATTCGCGGGTGGAGACATCAACTTCAGCTTCCCTGGGCCATTGTACTTGAAGGTCATGCTTGGTGGCACCTCAGTAAGTAATTTTCTGTGTCCTCTGCTTTTTCTTTTTGTTGACCGAAGTTAATTGCTGATGCTGGATATTTCGTTATAGTGACAGGAATAGGTGGTAAGTGGTAGAACCTCTAGATTCTATGTGCTGAGTCAATATAACCTCGTCCAATTTAACTAACCTATCTTTTTTCTTCTAGCATATTTCTATATCATCTGGCGTATATGGATCCATCGTTGCTTAGATGGCGACGAAGACAAATTTCGACTTCACTGGCCTTCAATATTCAGCATGCCAGAAATTACCGCCATAGAAGACGCATCCGACAAGAAAAAGCAATAAAATGCCCACATCCGTGCCTAGTTAAGGAGGTCCTCTCCCAATTCGTATGAGCCCGCATTGTAGGGTCGTACAACATATGCGCAGCAGGATGTTTTTCAATGATAGACCGCATTCTTGTTGAAGTAGAAGCTAGACAAAATACCCGATCAGGATCGTTATTAGACGTTAAGTCGTGCTTTGTTTCATTGAAAGGCGCTAAACTGATAGGCTGGCATGAAGGATATGGTACCAAATAGAATCAGACGCCTACTTCTCATAGGTCCCGATCTCTAACACCTAGCGCCCTAATTTAATGAACAAGCTAACATTAGAAGCTTCTAAGGTTCCTTTGGGTTTCCTTGGATTGTAACAGTTACATTGTAACGTGGTTGGAAGATACATCCATCATCACCAGTAATTTTTATTTTAGATTCGCACCATGCGGGAAGCCCCACCATCGGACCGGGCGCTCGGATAACTTTCCTTGACATTTCCCCGCCAAACATAAATTTTAGAAGCTATCAGGCTATCAGGTTATCTACCGCGGTTTAAGATATTCTACCTACGTAATCTAAACTTTTCCCTCAACACAGTTCAGTCCAAAGAAGGGAGAAGCACAATAGGACAACTTCAGGACAATGTCGATTTCAAACGAAGCACTGCAGAAGGTATGTTACTACAATATCCATTCCAAGAACACTAGCATAGGTCATAACACTTACAAAAATTTAGTTGCTGCGCGAGGTTGAGACGCAGGCAATCGCCGCGCAACAGCAAATTTCCCTTGTCCGAACACAGCAAGCATCGAAGCAGCGCGAACTCCGAATGGCGCAATTAACGCGAACCGAAATCTCTTCGTTACCAACGGATACAAATGTTTACGAAGGAGTTGGCAAGATGTTGGTTCCTCTTCTTTTAATTGTCCCCTTGACTCAGAGACCATAGCTAATCGTTGGCTGTTAATCGCAGGTTTGTCGCGCTACCCGTTCCCGACATGAAAAGCAAACTTGAGGGCCAAATTAAGGAGGCAGAGGGTGAGGTGGATGGACTAGGCAAGCGGCTACACTACCTGGAGGTGTCGCAGAAGAACAGCAAAGATCAGATTGATCGGATGTTAAGAGGCGGTGTCGGCGCTTCCTAGGTTATGCTTGGTCGGGCCGGGTCACAGGAAAAGAGACCATATAACTGCATTCATATGGCGGTCGGCGTAGTAGTATGGATAGGAAATTGTTTGCCTGGTCTTGCAAACATTTGCATGCCTGGTTCTAGAGACAGCGCTTAAGCAACACGGTCACGACCCGACCCGTTGGGTAATCCCCCTGATTGGAGGCATTTGCCGAGTCTACGGTACACCAACATAACCAATCACCTTTGTACCCGAATCTCGGAACGAGGCTTTCTATAAGTTATGTTTATATAAGTATAAGGCAAGAAGAGGTGACACCTATAATTTATCTTCATATGAAGATGAAGAGCGTGTTCTTTTAGCGCCAAGCATCACCATGGTGGCTGATCTGATTGATACCCCGGGTGCATGGTCGCCACATCTAGGTAGCTACATAATGTACCTACCTAATTGTTGGAGCTCAGTTACATTTGTGTCTCATATCTTGATCGAGATCCTTTCTAATCAATCATATGACGTACACCGGTAGATACCCTCCCTCTTTCGGTGAGATAGTCAAATAGGTAAGCTTAATGAAGAATGATAAGAGCGCATGAGCATTGAATCTCTGACATGCATCTATTAATATCTATACAAGGACATACCTAGGTAGGTACACACGGGAAGGAGGTAGGGCAGGCAGGGGTAAGGGATAAGACGGGATAGAAGGAACATTAGTATCACCTTCTATACCAGTATACAATATACAATACATGTAGGTACCATATGCACCTATCTCCTGCCTTCCTTGCATTTTCCAACTAACTAATCCACCTACCCATCTAAGAAGGAACGGTAGAACGGTAAGGAACGAATGGTTATAATACGCGCGTTTAATAAGCTAAAAGTGTTAGTCTTCGTTCAGCCCCTCCCTCTTTTTCTTTTCTTGTCACCCCACCCTTTTTCAGCCCATTGACCGGGGTCATTATAAAACACCTCATTAGTTGATGGCGCTATAACATCCTGAACACCAACCTTCCCAGGTATCATCCCATGCTCATTTAGTCCTTTCGGCCCCCAACTTGTGGATTATAATCGATGTTAGGTACTTCGAACTATGACGAAAGCCACCTAGTTGGCCCTTCTAACAAAGTACCACACTCGAAGCACAAGATAGGATAGGATAACTCCGAGAGGTACCATCACGGTACCATCACACATGTAAGAGGTGCGAAATGGCCCCTTGTGTACGGAAAACACGGCATAACCGCTAACAGCACGAAGTCAGAAACGACATTTTGCGCCACCTATCCAATGTATCTCGCAGGAACAGTACCCATGGCGCCTTATGGGGTTGCTTCAGGTCCAGCGCCAGCGCCAAATGTGACCTAATATAGCATATATTGGTACAACAAATACAAATGCCTTAGTATCGACTAGACATGTATCCACGCATAGGGTTATCCTAGAATGATAAATCAAGAGGCTCATTCCCCCGCCTCTCGTGTAAGGGTCTGGTGTCAGCACGGCAAGATTTAGTGACTCTAAGTTCTCTCATTCTCTCCCTCCCTCTTCCTTTACCTTTTCTTTCCTACCCCTCCTCATTCTGTCAGCTAGTTTCGCAGTATATTATTTGCTAGTATTTATTCGCCAAGTGACTCACAAGCAGTCAGTCATCTTTTTGAGAGATAGTGGCCACATACAAAGGTGGACATAGGTATTAATAAGGGAAAGGATCTCCGGTCTTCGGATAACACACTATACACACCAAAAGGTTTCCACAATGAGTAGATACGGTCGGTACTCTGATGATGAGGACGACCTTGACATCCGCGTTAGGCGTCATCATGGCTCATCACCTCACCCTCCTCTCGCCAACTATGTCGAGGCCCCACGTCCAGCATCAACACGACCTCGCTATTATGAGACAAGTCCCCGCTTTGAGGATCGCTTTTTGGTTCCATCAAACGAGCGCACCGTTGTGACCACACGACGATCTCACTCGCGTGACCGTCGCACTTCCTCACCAGAACCCAGGGGGTCACCACTCGCACCAACTACTCCCGTGATTATTAACAATCGCATTTACAACAATTCCGACTCGGAATCTATAAGCGACTCGGACTCAGAGAGAGAGTACGCTAAGAAATCCCGGTCTCGATCCCACCACCGTCATCGCGCGCACTCACGTGGCTCGTCGGGTAGCTGGTCCCTTGATCGAGAGCGTGAGAAGGAGAGAGATCGTGAACGTGAGCGCGAGCGCGAACGAGATAGGGAAAGAGAACGCGAACGGGAGCGTGAGCGTGAGCGGGATCGCGAGTTGGAGCTAGAGCGCAACCAATATGCCCTCGAGCACGTGCGTATGGATTATGAGAAGGAGCTTGAAGTGAGGCGGCGGGACTACCAGAAGGAACTGGAGAACCGAAGACACGAGTATGAATTAGAGCATGCGCGCAAAGAGCTAGAAGAACTTAAGCTCGCAGCGCAAATCGAACAAGATGAGAAGAGGCGAAACAAGACCATCCAAGAGGAGCGCGACTTGCGCGAGGCCAAGAAAGAGCTCGACAGGATCCGCGCTCAAAAGGAGCAAGACGAATATGAGCGTCGTGTCAAACAAAAGCTCGAACTTGAGCGTCTAAAGGAGGAAGAGGCCGCCTTGGCCGAGAAGAAGCGTCGCGAGAAGGAAGCCAAGGAGGCTATTGAGAAATACAAGAAAGAAGAGGCAGAACGTAGGGAGCGCGAAAAGAAGGAAGCTGCGGCTAAAGAAAAAGAGTACAAGGCCAAGATGCAAGAGCAACTACTCAAGTCCGGCCTTGACGAAAAGGAGATCAATGCTATCCTAGCCGGCGAGAAAGTTCGTAAGGAAAAAGAGAAAGAAAAAGAGAAGGAGATGATGCAAATTCAGCACATCCAGCAAGTTGAGGAGACTCCCCGACCTGTGTATACACGTATGGCGAGACGCCACCTCTCGATTGAAACCCTGAGGGCTTACAACATCGACTTCCAATTTGATCCCGTAAGTCAACTTCAAACATCGTAATTTTGTCGTGAAGCTAATTTGTGTTTTAGGATCCTGAATATGTCTTGATCAAGAGATGGGTGCCAGAAGAAGAACAAGATATTCTCTGGCGTCACACCAAGATCATCCGAGAGAAGAAGGCTGGATCTAGCAAACTCATTAGTACGTATATCCCTTTAATATGTTGACTCACCGTCACATATCACCGCCTCGAACGTAACGGACCTTTCGCGCTTTTCCTTACCTATATATAAATAATCAAAAGAAGAATGCTGACTCCAGGTTCCATAGTGTCCATCGAGGATAGAGACAGGAGAAAGCACCACCACCACCTCGAACCCGAGTTCGAATGGGTTCGTAAGAAGGAACGCAAGCGGAGTCGTTCTCCTTCTCTACTGATGTACCTTGCCGGTGCCAAGCCAGCGTAACAATGGAAATATTGAAGTTTTGCATGGAGGTGGACGACCGCTGCTATATGCAGTTGACGAACAGCTATGCCAGTTTCCTACTCATGTCATGAGATGATAAGAGTGAAGTGATCATAGGGGACGAGAGTAATACCCATCTCAAAGAAGCGGATTAGTTATATAAACGTCTTGAATGAATTTTATTATTTTATGAGTGAGGATTTTACTTTATTTTAACTTGGCTGGAGGTTAGGCTCTATAGCCTTGCGAGTGGTTTGTCGGTGAAAAAGTATCCAGGAAGAATATACACGTCATACATGTCCTTGTGTATTATTTCCCCGGTGCCGCAGCGTAGCCTCAGCCCTGCGAACCAGCTCCTCATACACCATCCATGCTAATGCGGAACTCATCGCTTTCCGCGCCATACGTAAGGCTAGTCCGTCATAGAGCGACCTAACCCCCTCTTCCGTAACCATCTTCCGACACGCCTGCACCATATTCCTATAATCGCGGGGTTGTAACTGTATCCTAGTCTTCACGGCATCAAACGGGTTCGATATAAATGAACACGTAGCACCGGCCAAAGCTCCGGAACTAAAATTAATTGTAGCAGACATCGAACTTCCCATGCCCATTCCTGCTCCTATACCCGTGCTCTGCCATGAACTTAATCGCTTCTTGAATTGCTCGTAGGATAATACGTATAACCCCGCATACGGCGCATCTCGCATAGCCGTAGCGCCGAACCCGGCGAAGAAACCTGGGAGTCGCTCTGTGCGATATATATCTGCGGCTGCGCCGGCGATCGATTTATAGGAGTACAGGTTTGATTCGTAACGTACTTTTATCACGGTGAGGGGCATGAGGATGAACCCCGCGAAGGCACGGGAGCCGGCGCCGGCTATGAGGTTCGCGGTGTTGGATAGTTTTGGGAGGGACGAGGATGAGGCATTGGGAGTCGCGGGGGAGGTTGTGGTAGCGAAGGATAAGGTCGAGGCATGTTGGCGAACTACGTTTAACGTCGTGAAGTAGATGGCGGACCCCACACCCGTGCGCAGGGCTGAGGGGATCGTGCCCCGCCAGAAACCAGCTAGGGCATTGGGAGAATTCGCGATATCTCGTATCGCCGCACGGATCGAGTGTGTTCCGGATTGTTGTACGCGGGTCTTGAGTAAATCGAAAGGCTGTAAGAGCACGGCGCCTAGTGTACCGGAGCCGAGGCCGGCGACGAAGTGGAAGGCTATGATGCTAAAGCATTAGTGTTTCCTTAACCTTTACTTGACAGGTCAAAGCTAGGTCGAGTCTGCTTACTCGATGAAGACTTATTTGAGCTAGTCTTCTGAGACATAGCGAAGCTACTAAGCTTCTAGCTATGTGGGAAAAACGATACTGTCTGGTATAGCTGTGATAAGAATCCTGCCTCGGGGGAGGATTCGTTCTATTGCAAGCCCATCTGTTTGATAGATTTGTCCCTCACTTCCTGCTCAATTCGTCCTTCAAATGCCCACATGGCATGAGAGGGGATACCAACAATTTATCGTAGGAAGACGTTCTTTACTTGGTAAGAAAATAAAGATTGAATTGAGTCATTGTCCACTAAAGTTTATGTAAGATATCTACATGGAGCTAGTAGCTTGACAGTAAGTCAAAGATACTTAGATGGATAGCTTCTCGGCCCCGGCAGCCTCGGGTTCCCGTCATGAATTATTTTTATTTTATGGGACCGGAAAAGATACGGTTGCGTCATAGCCTTCAGTATAGTGATACTAACTCGCAATAGTAATACTTGTTTGCTGCATATAATACTGTATTTGTGCATATATATATACACTAGATCAGTCCTCGTATCTTCTCGTAAACTAGACATAAGACTCATATTCGGCTGGGTATCTTTTTTTTAAGATTCTACCTCAAGTGGGTATTCTATAATCATATGCCGCCAACTAGTAGGAAATGCTTCCGCATATCTTCTATAGTAAATTCGTGTCTTCGCAGCCAACAGGTGTCTCACTGAACGTCAGCTCCAGGTACAGGAAAAGTCGAGCAATCGTATGTTATAATATCCAAAATCCGTCTTTGGCGCAATTCATAAATCGATTCAGACTGGTCCTGGTGTCTATGCCTTGATAGGATCCGGGGTGATTTTGTCCTTTCCTCCGACAATCGACTCTAGTCGACCTGCCATAAGCCGATGTCGCTTCACTACTTCGACCCATTCATCTTCTGCCTCCTCACCAACGTCGATGGTGGCAAGTAATATTCCAAAGTCTCCTCCTAAGCGGCCAAGACTTCCAGCACAATATAGCACCTGCGTCAGAAGACTGTCACGGGATGGTTGGTCTTTGACGGTCGGTAAGTAGGTTCGTAGGGTCTCCATTAACATCTCGATAAGATGGAACGGGAATGTTGATAATGCAGAAGGTATTGGCTGCAAAGGGTCGTTGCCAGCTTTCGAGTGCGCTTCGTTCGTCGGCGTGGGGAATATACTCCTGAACATAGACACTATGGCGAAACTCTGTTCTCTGAATATTTCTATGTACCGTTTAAGATATCTTTCAGTTTGTTGGCCCCCAGACCATGCGCTTCCTTTCGAACTTTGCTGTTGCCGTATCCTTTCCTGTTCTGCTAGCTCGCGAAGAGGCTCCAACGCAGCAAGCATATTAATAAGCGTCGATAGTCGACAGACGAGGAACAAAGCTCCCAACCCTCCACCGTTTCCAGCAGCACCAGCAGAATCTAATTCAGGCACTACCCTTCGCAGCCAACTAGTCGTTCTTAAGGCGGAAGCTAGCTTCAGGCCCGGGGTCCGTAAACTTGCTATCAAGTTTTTAGCCATGGCCTGCATGGCATCATCGGCCTGTGTCGATACAGAATTCACTAAAGGTGAGTCTGGATATAATCCGTGCAACCGACGGATGTGGCCATTTAGATCTAATGCGGATGCATAGTTTGCAGCTGGTGCAGAAGACCCAGTTGAGATGGCTGTAGAAAGCAAGGTAGGGAGGTCAAGTACGTCGACTAACCGTTCGACATTCCTTGTTAATAAAAGGGCTCGTTTCCGAGCGTTGAGTATCTCATTGTCTCCAGACTTATGATAAGTTGTAGAAAACTTAACCGCTTCATTATCTAACTTGGGTATGGCAGCTGTGAGGTCACTGGTTGAGGTTGCTAGAACGGGTAATGTTGTGCGAAGGTGGGAGTGATTCTCTGCGGAGCTGATGATAGATTTGTGAGAGCGTTTAGAAAGGGCTTGTAGAGATAAAAGAAGCGAATGAGATGACTGTGATAAAGATTGTTGCTCGGAGCTCTCTAATTGAGAAAGGGGCATAGAAGCTAGAGTGGATAGATATTCGAGGGCTACGGGATCCGAGGTAGCCTTGTCATTTGAACGGCGGCCAGCCGAATTAGGTGGGTTCAAAAATTCTTGAAATAGGTCAGCCATGACGGCGACTATCTAACCCGTAGGTTAGTGTAGTGTACCTCAAGCTTGAGATGCTTCGATTTCATCGATAATTAAGAGTTGTGATTTATTGTCATTTATTTGAGACGGTTGGATATTATTTTCCGGTTTCCTGCATGTGTAAACTTTTGTCAAACTATGTATATGCTTGTATATTAGAATTCGACTAGAGAGAAGGCTACCGACAGGGTTCAGGGGTTCCGAAGTCATTGGTCCACTATAAAGCTTATCGATACGTGTACTACATAGACCTGCGTCAATACCCAACATAACGCGATGATGCAGGTGGTCTATTACCTATTTGGCATCTAGCGCAATTCGATCATAGGTAAATTCAAGGTTTAAGTGCGGACCGGGTCAGCTAAGGGAGAACTCCACAGCCAATAACCTTGTCTGATAGGCCGAATTTCGCAAGTCTTCCTCAACAAAATCGATACTTCGCTACATAACTCTTCTTATCCATTACAATGTCAGTGCATGTAACAATAATATTTCACACTTCACAATAACACTGCATTTACTTTTACTTTTACTTTTACATTTCCACACACACCAAAACATTTGCATTTGCCCATATAATAATTCAAATTCAGGGCAAACAAACTGCAAACCTTGTACTCCGAGGCTGCTGACCACTCGCTGCCTATGCCAAGGTCCTCGTGCAGGTGCCATGTAGGTACGATACGTGGACTGTCATATGCAGCCTTGGTTCACTATTAATCCTTAATGTAGGCAGGTCATCAGCGCTCTGACTTGTTTAAAATGTTCAACACCAGCTGACTTAATCCCATCTTTAGTTTATATAGCCTTATAGTTGCCTCGTCATCTGCCTATTTCATCCACCCACTCATCTATCTATATGCCACCACGAGTCTTAGATTTAAACCTCGACTCGTCCGTTTACCTACACGCTTAGGGTGCAGTACAAACAAATCTCCGAATACCTTCACCGTACCATATAAGACACCAAGAAACAAGAAGACGAAGCAACAAGGTCAAAGGCAACCACGACACGATGAGGGATCCTTTCCCCATCCCGCCTATCCCGGCGCTGAGCAAGGCTGTCCAGCCTGTGGCCGACTACCTTCACTTACCGACGCTACCACTACACATCCACGAGGTTGTGTTGATGGCCGCTTTCTATCACTTCATCCACAGCGTCGTTTCCCCTATTATATCGAGTCGACTCTTTCCCGTTCGATACACAGCCCTTTCTCGCAGCAAGAAGCTGAGTTGGGACGTCCATGTCGTGTCCTTCATACAGAGCACCACCATCAACGCTCTTGCGTTATGGGTCATGTTCGTTGACGATGAGCGTAAGAACATGGATTGGCAGGAGCGTATATGGGGCTACACCGGTGCCTCAGCCATGATTCAGGCACTCGCGGCTGGTTATTTCCTCTGGGATCTCATCATTACCGCCTCGAACATTAACATCTTCGGTCTGGGTATGCTCGCACACGCTATTAGTGCTCTGGCGGTCTATTCTTTCGGATTTGTAGGTTTTCTTCGAACCCGAATACGAATCTTGGATTACTGGTCTAACTTGGATAATAGCGACCATTTGTCAACTACTACAGCACCAACTTCATCCTATGGGAGCTTTCTTCGCCCTTCCTCAACATCCATTGGTTCTTTGATAAGCTGGGTATGACTGGATCTCGTGCTCAACTATACAACGGTCTGATGCTCATCGCTACCTTTTTCTCCTGCCGTCTCGTATGGGGTACATATCAATCCGTTTTAGTTGCTCGCGATTTGTGGGCTGGTCTAAACTCGGTACCTACCGTTCTTGCGGATTTGACGCCTGGGGAACTCCTTAATGCGACCTTCCCTTCTCAATATGCCAACACTATGAAATACGTATCCGACTCCAGTAGCATCCCGCTGTGGCTCGCCGGTGTTTACATCGGTAGCAACTTGATCCTAAACTCTTTAAACTTCTACTGGTTCTTTAAGATGATTGAGGCCGTTCGCAAGCGGTTCGACCCCAAGGAACAGGAGAAGGAAACAAAGGTAAAGGCTGAGGAAGTAAAGGCTGCGCCGAAGAAGGCTGTTACTACCGGTGTTCAACTCGATGGTGCTGAATTAAAGACTCGTCCTCGCCGAGGCACTCTACTAGATGGTGAGGAGGGAGATGAGCCTCCACCAATCTAAATTTTCCGAGCGGAGAATTATTGATTCTTTAAATGAAAGCTTCACACGTGGCATTGCATCGTGAGTAACTTCATTTAACATAGAATCCCAATACTAGCCTATCCCTCCTCCCTTATTACGAAAAATGTTTTCGTATTGGACGAGGTTATGGCGACTATATTAAAGACGCAAGAGTCTCGACTACATGTACTACGATGACGCGAGAATTACCTACCTAGGTAAATCAAGGGAAGACGAAGGGCAGCAGTCATAGGTTCCGAAACTCGGTTCTTGGCTGTGAGCTGTGAATGGATTTGTTACGATATGATATGATACGGTTAAGATGAGGTGCATCAGGCTTGAGAGGAAGTTCCACGACAGTTTGTAAAATAATAACACGTACCCGTTAAGGATGACGTACATATATGTAGCTCTGGCATCTCACAGAGCTGCATGATTGTGTCACTTCTAAATAGTTATCTAGCTGATTTCTCCCTAATAATAATAATAACTAACAAAAATCAAATGACCATCGTATTTAATCTATAATCGAAAAGTAACTATCGAGACCATTATAAGTTAAAATTAGGTAGGTTCTTATGGGATTTCTTGCCGGTCGCATCAGCAACTATTCAATCTGCGACCAAACAATAGTCTAGAGGGCAGTCATTTAATTCTCACTATTTTTATCTGAAAAATGGCTTGTTTAATCGATATAACAGCCAGATAATCATGTTCATATCCCATACATATCAACCCTATTAGAATATTGTAGAGGGATATAAAAGGGTAGATTATATGAGGTATGTTATATATAAAGGGAGGTTCAGCAGGCTCTACATTCTAACAAGTAAACCACATATCCAAGTCTAAGCAATGACCAAATACATCTCATTCCATTCCGATACATTGATCCCGCTTCGCTTTGCTATGACCCTTCTTTTCCTAGCTCTTCCATATATGCATTCCGTTTACTGCTTAACAATCACCACACCTGCACCTCAAATCCTTCACCCGCCTATAACAACATTTCGAGAACGATAAGGGAGGAGGACGATTCCGTCCATCTCGAGATTAAATAGATTCCAACTGCTTCAGATAGATACATACATTTCAGACGATCGATGTCGAGGATGATGATCAACAACCACCACAATAGGTAGTATAATTAGGTAGGTAAAGTAGTTTGTAGCACGGTGAGATTAGACATCCTGCTTGCTTCCAACCCATCAACCAACCAACCCCCATCCATTCATGTCTGAATCGGTCGACGTTTTAGAAAAAACGCCAACTTTATACGGTGCCTAGTCGACTAGAACATTTCTATAGGTCTCTTTAAAAACCAAAGGGATTTTGCGGAGCTATAGGATTTTACTGTTAGAATAAGTCCTTTTAAATAGAAAATAGGTAAGAAAATAACTTACTAGCTTGTGCAAGATTCGCACGACGTCCAGTCGGCTGCGGGGCAATCTTGTCTGTGACACCAAAACGTACAGGGGGTGCCGGTCCAGTCTTTTGAGGCTGGAGGGGGGCGGGCGGTGGCGGCTGTTGTGCAGCATTGTTGTTCATGCCGGGGTTGAAGCCTTGGCCGAATCCACCACCGAAGCCGGTAGGCTGCGGCTGTATAGACGGCATGCCCGTTCGTTGAGGTTCCAGGGCTGGAGGTAGGTACGAGTTGATACCAGTTGGTTGAGGGAACTGCTGGGGCGCTTGGAAACCTCCCGGGAACCCAGTAGGTTGGTTCTGGATAGGTGAGAACTGTTGAGGACGAGGGTCCGCAAATGGGCTTTGGGTCTGCGGTGCACCGGTCATCTGAGGTTGCATAAACTGGCCAGGTCCAAACCCAGGTTGGGGTTGCATGCCGGCACCCGTATGATACGGCATCATGCCCTGACCCGTCGGCTGTGGCTGGAAGTTACCAATATATTGTTGCTGCATCCGTTGTTGATTGAGATCGTTCAGGCTTTGTCCTGGAGGCGCGATGCCTGTCATCTGAGGTTGTAGAGGGGGGGGAGCGAACCCACTAGGTTGAGCTGTTTGTGGTGCCGACAACGGTCGAGATGGTGGCGGCGGCATTAAGGCGCCCTGGGCTCCGATCACTTGGGGTGGTAGAGGTCTTTGTCGGTTACCTAAGCCGAGGTTAAGAGGCTGAGCGGGTGCAGCCGTTGTGGCCGGAAGACCAGTCTGTTGCGGCGGGATGCCAGTAAAGAACGCCGGCGTAGCACCCTGAGGTTGAGCTTGTATTTGCTGGGGTTGAACCGCTGGTAGCGGTTGTGGTGGCGGTAGAGTAACTGCAGGTGCTGGTGCGGGCACTGTCTTAGTCGGTTCTAACGGAGCTGATAGTAGAGAAAGATCTTGCATAGCCTGTGTCGGTGGGCGTTGGGGTTGAGCAGGCGTTGGTTTCGGCTCTGGGCTTGGTGTTGGTTTCGGTTTCGCTTCAGGCTCCGATTGCTTCGCTGGCTTAACATCCCAGGCATCATCATCGAATCCACCGCTGCTATTCTTCTCGGGGGCCTTCGGACGAGTCGCAACCGGCGAAGATGCCTCTGAACTTTGTGCGCTACCATCCTTCTGCTGAGAGAATGCTTTGGGATCTATACTGTCGTTCGTCTGGACAGCCGGAGCGGGACGACCCTTTCGCGTATTGTTTCGAAGTGTGCCGCCCGGTCCAGAGAATAGTCCACCAGAACCACCATCCTCCTCATCTCCGGCAAAGCTAATGTTCCTCTTCTTACCATCACGACCGAATTTCTTGTCCAGGTAGCGCGTTACCTTGATAATATCGCCTTCTCGGAGTCCCAGGTTACGGAGAACACTAGCATCCACATCAGGTAGAACACTCTCGTCCATAGAATCTTTAGCAAAAGCCTGAGCATAACGCTCACAAAGTCCGACAGCAACATCGCAAGACAAAAAGAACTGGAACCAGTCGTAATCAGACTTCGATGGTTCAATAGAGGCACCAACTTTGCTAGAATATTCACGGCTAGCATTAGCTCTTTGTGACTTCGCACGCTTGACTTCCGATAGAGGTTTGTCCTCGTCTAAAGACACTCCCATAACACGCTCGACGTATTCGATATCCTCGATTGACATCTTGGCAACGGGGACTGCGATCTTTACACCGTTCATCTTATGCAGGTTGATCTTGCCATCTTTGAGACCGAGGAACTGGGCTTCGACGCTGAAGGACTTGGATCGGTCTGTCCAAGTTCGCACCTTGGACGGATCCGGTTCTAATATCATAGTTAGCATCACGTCTATAGTAAAATTTAACTCCGAATAACTCACTAGGCTTAGAGCCCGATCGACTACTGTCCGCTCGACCGTTTTCTCGTTTGTTGCGCTGTTGTCCAAAACTGTTACCACTGTCCCTTGCTGATAAACTACTATGCCTCTCAGGCAAACGCATGCCAGGCCCTACCTCTGCAGCTTTTTGTTCCCTCTTGATAGCTTCTTTAGTCAAACGCTCCTCCTCTAATCGGTTCTGTGCTACGGTAGACCGACCGGCATTTATACCTGCTGACGCCGAGGTCGAGGTCGCGATCGTATCGGTGATTTCGATATAACTGCTTGGAACCACTCCTTCTTTTCCGCTCTTGAGGCGTCGAACCTGCCACCACTCTTCACTCTTGGTGTCGTCGAGAATGATTACTTCGTCTCCTATAACGACTGTAACCTCGTCATCTCCCTGTGCCTCGAAATTATAAAGAATCTGTCCTCTCTTCTGTCCACTTTGACCGGTACCGGCCATAATAACTTCTCGTAGACCTTCCGCTTTCATGGCACCAGATAGTTCTCCCAGAGCGCTAACAATTTCCTCGGCCGTATCCTTGGCGCCCGCGTGGAAGTCTATACTCTTGCTCGGTCGAACCAATTCTAGAAATACGTGCTTGCCTTCTCGTGAGTAATGTGTCATCTTATCAGCAGTCCACTCTTGGGTTGGTCCATCCTGAGCATGTTCAGGAGCGATTAGTATAACTCCTGTCTTTAGATTCACACCCAGTGTTGTTGGCATCTTCTTTTTCTTCCCCATTATAGAAACCATCTCGTTAATGTTATACAAGTGGAAACCGCCGGGCGCAATTCGGGTAGATTGGGTTTGATGAGAATCGGCATCGTAATCACGACGACTAGAAATCCGCTGTGATGGGTGAGATGAAGGAGGCGGGTCGTTTGATATAGTTGACTGTGATCTCGGTCGTTCTGGCAGAGCGGGACTTGGTTCGCCGTCGGACTCGTCGGACAGGTATTGCTGTCGAGGTGGAAGAGTAACAGGCGGGGGAGTAGCCGCACGAGTTGTACTCCTACCTTGCATCGCACGAGCTAAAGTAGCAGCAGGGTCCGGCGGGGACGTCGGAGACGCCGGTGATGTTGGGGTTTCTGCAAATCTCACATTTCTCTCCGGAAGAGGCGGGCTTTGAGCCGGTTCTGATTCGACCGGAGCGGGAGGTCGTGTAGGCAAAATTGGAGGTGCAGGTATGGGAATAGAAATAGGTTCGGGCTTGGCCTGAGACACTGGCTCTGGTTCAGGCTCAGGTTCAGGTTCGGCCCTCCGAGCTGCTGTTCCGCCGGCGCCTATCTCGATGTAGTTCGCGGGAACAAATCCATAATCGTTTTCATGCCCAACGAGGATCCAATCGGGGTCTGAGGTGTCGAAGACTTGCAATTGGGCATCTTCGGGAAACGAAAGCTCTTCATCGGTCTGACGAGTATATTCGTACAAGGCACGGGCTTGTCCTACAGGTTCCGCCTACAAGAATTTAGTGATCCATCTTTCAATTACCAGCAACGTAGTTTGTAGAGTAGTGTACACACCTCTTCTATGTAGTTGTTAGGTATCAGGCCGACCGGTTCGTCCTCCTCGTCGGCGCTAGCCTTCTTCTTCGCTTTCCACCAGTCATCCTCCTCACTCTTTTCTAATACGTAAAGAACATCACCCTCGCTTATTGAAAGTTCACCTTCCGACTGAGGCGCATAATCATATATGGCCTTGTAAACGCCGAGGAACCCCATAGTGGGCTAAAGAAAGGGGATATGTGAGTGTTGTGGAAAGGAGGTGCGTAATCGTAAGGGTCGATTGTGGATGCTGAAACACCTATTAGGAGCGCATGCGAGTTTGGTGCTAGGGTGAGAGGCGATCGTGCGGTAGAAGATCGGGATTAGAGAAGACGACGAGACGAGGCTTTCCCGAAGCCTAAGGTATAGCCAAAGGAGTATGTCGGTCGGTCGTAGTAGTGACGACACGGGCCGAATTCTCTCAGAAAAGGGAAAATCAAAATAATCAGAGAAGCTATCCCCCTTAGATAATCAAGCATTAGATGTGGCTGGGCCGACGCAATACCTAGGTAATTAGATGCGCAAGGAGACAATAGGAGGTTCCCAGAAATGTATCACTGCTGTAAGTTCGCCATACGCAATCATATTACGGGTATCCCTAAAAGTGAGCTGCTAACGGGGCAGTTAGAAAAAAAATAGTTGCCTCCGAATCGAGAATGTATTTGAAAATCACCTAGATAAACCAGGTAGACGAGATAAATAGGTAGCAGTTTGTGGCAGTATGTAGCACACCACGTGAAGCAAATCGTCAGGACTTAATTAAGGTGGTGGTGGTATTGAATCCGATTTAGAGTGGAATTTGGGGGGATCATTTAGCAGGCTTAGCAGTTTTAGCAGTTTTAGAAGGCAAAGAGAGACCCGAGAATTACTAAAGACGCTAAATTAGCGTGCCAAGCTATAACGCATCCTTGCTTTGCTTTGCTTACACGTTCCTGCCACTAAAAAAATACCCCCTTAAATAGATACCTATGCATAGATATATAAAATACAAACTATGACGTAAAGCCAAAGAGTCACTTATTGCAAATCAGATATCACACCCATTTAATATCACCATTTTATATTTGAAACCACCTATAAGATGTGTGTACTCACTGGCAGACTCTAAGTATTGCTCCAATATGCCAACCCAATTTGTGTCTCAATTTCTAATCCCCCCCCTTATAGCAGTTAAGTAAATCAAAAGTAAAAAGCAAAACCCTCCTCCATCTGATGTATATCCCATAGACTCTAGTTTCGTCGGCATGCAGCCATCGGATGGAAGTCAATCATCTAGTTCGGCTCCTCTCTTCCTCCAGTACCCTTCTTAGGGGTACCACGGAGGAAACCTACATCATCACTCTCATGCACGGAGCTACGGTGCATACTGCCATGCCTTGAAGCCCTCGCCACCATACCTGGGATATATCTAGGCTCGTTTCCGGAGAGATGCGTTTCGCGAAGACCTTCGGGAAGCCAGGATTCATGCGGGGGTCCTAAAGGAGGAAACGTCCCGCCGATCTGGGCATCAAGATGAGGACTGTTCATCTCGACCTGTGATCCCGAACGCGGTAATCGAGCTTCATTGTTCGCTACACCCAAGTATGCGTTGGACTTGGAATCAGCCGGAGTCACAACACCGGTAAGATTTACTTTAACAGACGAGGTAGGTGACGCCGGATTAACATTCGTGGCGGCTGCCGGATGATGTTCAAATACTTCGTTCAATTCAGTTGTCGATGTGTAACTCGAGATCCTAGATGGTCAATTAGTATGAGGAAAGCACAGGAAGAGAAGGAGGGGAAACGAAATACTACTCACATGCGATGCTCCTCAACCCAGGTATGGTACCTGAACTCCTCTCTTCGGTCCGGAACGTTAGTCTTAACCATACTGTTTCCATCCTTCCCGGGCAGATTGAATTTCTCCCCCAGCCATTGTTGTTTGACAGAATACTCGTAGCCGCTCTGCTTTACTGAGTTTTTGGCCAGCTCACACATATCGACCGGGCTCAATTTGTAGATTTGCGCCGCAACGGCGTATTCCTCCATCAAAGGCTCCTTGGTGAAAGCAAATTGGAGAGGATCATCGGTAGAAAGTGAGACGTTGAGACCACGTCTAAAATATTGATAAAACGGATTCCTCTCGTAGGCCAGGAAGAGTGCATTGTTACTGAGTGGTGACATAGCAATACCAATCTGCTCGAGATAGAAGATGTACTGCAGGAGAGGTACCTTCCTCAAAAGCAGACCATGACTGATACTATGACTACATAGCAAAGCGACAGCCAAATGTTCGCTATCACCAGCTTCGCCACAATGTGGCCGGAGCAAGAACGTGTTGAAACCACGCTGGTGGCGCCAAAAGTTGAGCGACGTCATATTAGAGAAGAGATAGTAAATCCAGTAGCTATAAGGAGGATTCTGTTTAGAATCCCACTCCTTCGGCACAGGAAACTTTTTATAGAGCCGTCGCTCGACTTTGCTCTCATCGTCCACGCTATCGAAACCAATGACCCTTTGCAGGAAGATGTGAAGTTTAGGATGGCTCTCTGGGTTTTTAGTGACTTCGAAAAGGGGTTGGAATACATTCTTGACAACTTGTTCAAAGGACTCCATCAAGTTGGTAGCCTTGAAGACGTCATACAAACGGGGAATTTGGATGAGCCAGCGAACATTATGTGAAAATAACTTATTGTCGACGACCCACGTGGCAAGTTTATCCCACTCATCTAGGGATCTACCGTAAATTGAGATTCGCCATTCTACCATCTGGTATTTGCTGGACTCGAGATCGGAGATAACTTCCTTGGAAATTTCTGCTAAGTATCGACCCTGAATGAAGTTGTCTGTTTTAAGGAAGATGGTCCGTAGTCGTGATTCGCCGATTGGGTTGTATTTGAGATTGAACTTGTCGAAGCGATGAAAAGAATCGGTGTGAGCCTAGATTAAGTTAGTTTTCTTCTTATTTAATATTTTTTTTTCGGGAGAGACTAGGCGTTGGAACATATATCATTAACTTACATGCATGTCAAGAGTATCGATACTCAAATCGTATGCGGTCAAATTGATACTCTCGAATACTTCTCTAAGAGTGAGGTTCTTACCATCCCTAAAGAGCACGTATTCATCGGGGCATTTCTTCATCTTGCTTTTAATGAATCGGAGAAGATGCTTCTGATTCATACAAGCAGAATGATGAACATGCGTATCGACTTTTCTGACATTATAGAAATCCCGATGAGGGACTTTCTTGGTGTCCGCAGTCTCTTGGTACTCATTTAAGAGGACGTAGAGGTTAAATTTGCCCTCTAAGTATTGGAGCCGACGGAAAGCAAAACTCTTGCTTGGCCCATCAGATGAGGTGGATAAGATTTCTTCAAGATCCATGTAGAAATCTTTGATCGTCGGAACCCCGACTACGGGCGTGTTGGCTTCACTAGCTGCCTCGTTTTCGAACACTTGATAAACGCCATTCTCATCGAGGCGAAAAACAAATTCACTCTCCTGGGGAAGAGGTAGGAGATCTGCTATATCAAAATCTTCTCCGATGTCGAAACCAGGTTTACGTTTCTTCAGTATTCTCCTACGTGAAGTTTCCGTGTTTGTGGATCCAACATCATCGGGACGTGAATTGCCAGCCTGAGCGGGCAGAATAGTGCTATTGTTCATACTATTATTCCCAGTATTCGCCCCGTGAGTATCATGGTTCATATGGGCTTCAGCCCATGCCGGTTCCGGAGGCGGAGGGTAGATATCCCAGCCTGGGTCATCCTTGGGATTGTCGCCGTCCCGCTGTAATGACAAGCGAATATATTTGTGGCGAATGTCCAAAATCTTTTGTATGTTCTGGAAAATGGTGCTCAATTCGGCGACGATGTGCGGATCATTGCTAGCAATCCCACTGGCAACGCCAGATGAACCTCCATCTGGAAGGCCCATATTAGGTTGTAGATTTATTCCGCCGCCACGTTCTTGGGGAGTGTCACGCGGGTGACTGGTTGGCCCAGAACCGACAAAGCCACCTAAAGCTGGTCGTGTGGCAGTACGAGGCGCCGTGTCAAGGTTACGACTGCTAGTGGAGGAGCCAGCAATATGGGGGAAATTGTAGCCCTGTGTAATTGGAGATAGAGGTGCAGAAGTCGGATTGGCGCCCAAGTTGGACTGAGAGCGAGCGCTCGGGACCTCAATGGCTAGTTTTGCGGCCGCTAGACCAGTAGAAGCTACAGGACTACCATGAGGAGTATTTTGAGTTTGACTCCAGTTACTGCCCTCGGTCTTTAACTGGTCTAACTGGCTTCTTTGGTAGAAAAGTTTGGCGTCGGCCTGAGTTAACTGCCGCTCAGCCACGGCGTCGTGGAACGTTGTTTTTCTGGGGCGATCCCGCGGTAACATTCCATCTTCTAGTGAGGGGGAAGATACGTCTTCTTTATATCCAGGTGTACCTGTCCCAACATTGTCTTCTCTATCACTAGAGTGATGGTCCTGGCCATTGGATTCTGAATCACTTTCTATAGCATGTGCAGCGGCATCAGAATCCGAATCGAAGTCGAGTCCTTGGTGAGCAGTCGGGATCTTGGGCGACGTTGGACGATAAGCTATAGTGCTAGCACCGTTAGCCAAGGTTAATAATGGGCTACGACACAGTATAATGAGATTGGTTGGTTTACTGACAAGACATAATTCAATGGTGATAGGGAATATCGTCGTGGGTTTAGGTGCCTAACTTGTTAATGTCTAGAGGTAAAAAGAAGCAAGAAGAGAGAGAAAAAAGAAAGAGTGTGCGTAAGATCTTATGGTGCCTGAAGGCGTTTTCCTTCATAGACCGTGCAATTTACGGCAAATATAGGAATTCTCAAATACGACACGTTCATATCTTAATAGATAAGAAGTGTAGGTCGGTGTAGGTGTAATTGTAAGATGATGTTTGTGTAAAATTGGAAATTACTATTTCAATTCGAGCATCGGTAGCAGCTACACATTGGATAACAAACCTCAGTCAGGTATGACGGCACAGTACGTTCCCGCGTTTATAGCGTATCTAAGTGCCTAGGTACATATGCCTAATACAACTGATTGTCCTCGATTTGACCAATCGGAATCCATACACTAACCATAAGCGTCCTATAATATGTACTTAACCAATGGAGGGGCAGGAGGGGTAAGGCTGCAATTGATAAGTCATTATCCATGTATATAGAAGTATATGTAAGGGCACCCTGGCGGTTCAGCGCTGATTGTCCGGCGCAGCAGGTACATCGACCTAACCAAGTGTACTTTCAAGACATGTACCTCGCGTACCTTGCAGGGGACTCTGGAGCTAAAGTCTTAAAGTGCTAAGTTGAGATGATGATCAATCATCAATCACAACTTTCATAATGACTCAGACTGTGACCATACAAATTGATGTTTGTGGAAGCGAGTATATCAACCGTTGATATCCGAAGCCTATACTAAGAAGTCATACGGTATGTATGTAGTACTGGTAACATTAATAAGTTTAATAACATGATTCTCACTTTCACATAATTGGCACGCACGGCAAATAATTGTAGTAGAAAAGTAATACGCCTAGTCAGCGCTGTTACTACGTTGAATGTTTACTCCATAGAAGAAGAAGCAAGGCAAAGCCTATCGTTTCAACGCCTCCTATCTGATTATCCCGCCTTCCCACCTGCTGTCTTTGGCTTTAAAGTCGACTTTTTCCCAGAATCTAACGAGTACAAGCCACCCGCAGAAAATACTACGATAGCTCCTATCAATGTTCCTGGCGCCAGACGATTTCCGAAAAGCCATATGCTCAACAACAAGCTGACAAGCTTGCGAATATTAAGCACAATTGTAACGGTAAGCGCAGAAGATGCCGCGGCCAGAAGGTTAACACCTCGAATACATCCGTATTGTGTCAAAACGTTGAGTGCTAGGTATGCTACCTGACTAGGTATATAGACTCTTTCGATTATCTGCTGGAGTGTTGGGAAATTCGTAAGGTTTACCTGTCCAGCCAGCGGCGCAAGTCGTAGTGGTTTGCTGTTGGCTAAACGCATGAATTGACGGACTAAGGACTGCGAGAATGGTAGGAAGAGTGGTAATGATAATAGGTGGGAGTAGAAAAGATTCTCTTTCCAATGCGGCCCATACTTCCTATATGTTTCTTCAGTGTATAATCCCATTACAGCAGACAGGACCTGCGCAATCAAGAGGACTGCGAGTCCCGTACTGAATTTAGGGACCCCATCTTTAGAATCACCGGCAGGTTTCTCCTTTTCCCTAGTTAATTATAGACATCCGAGGGTGAAGCCAATATTCTTACCTTAGATTGAGAGTCTGACCATGCGGCCGTGATGACACCAACCGTAAGCAAGAGGACGGCAATAACCTGGATCCGAGAGTATTTCTTCCCATATAAACTACCAGCGATCATTGTCGTAATACTGCCACCGGACCGTAAAATGATATGGACTGGCACTGAGATGTCGTAGCTGAACGCGTGGTTATTTAAAACATTGATACTAAAGAAAAGCACAATGTTGATCAACCAGCGACGGATCGGTACTCGGTTTGGCTTGATGAAGAACGGCGGGCGCGTATAATCGAATTGCGAGATGTATCCCGTGACAGCGACGAACAAAAATTGTACGAAAGTTAGAAGAGTTCCTAGCGACGACGATCGTAAGCGATTATTAGTTCGAGTCTGGGTGGATTATTCCATAGTAGAATTGTGCTGCCATACCACTTGCTGGTTCAACCCTGACCACGTTAACATTAGCCCGGAGCGCAGGCGACAACCCGAATATGGCTTGCAGGAGCTTACTTAATGATAGCTTCGAGAGCAAAGACCTGCACAGTTTCGTTTATGTTAGTGCTCCGTTATGGCGACACGCAAATAGGATTCGTTCGGTCTCACGTTCGAGCAACAGCCACCGAATATCAGACCAAGCATAGCCCCTACAGTTATCCATTGTGGAATAGTTTCGATAAGAATCCGGCCGGCGAGTCCCATGAGCTTGGAAAAGGTTGGGCGCTGGTCGTCTATGCCGTACAGTTCAGCCTTCTCGAGAGAAGGAGCGGCGTTAATGACCTTTGGTGTCATGGTGGCGCCATTTCGCGATGCAGCGTGCGAATCCCGCAAGGTCTGGCGTCGTCGGGGTGCCGAACGGCTCGTCATCGGGTTCAAGGGTGAAAGGAGGAATGGAATAGAAATGGGCGCTAATCCTTAAAAAAAAAAGAGATGTTTGTTCCTACAGGTTGCCGGTAATCTGTCAGTTGTGTTCCGGCTATTTCGGGTCAGATCACTCGTGTGCAGGGGCAAGATCGTACTAAGAGAGCGGGATAGGTCATCCGCTTGCTATAGGGATTCCTTGCATCTATTTAACAGTCGTCTTGGGAAACAAGCAGACATGAGTTAGAGCAATAGTGCTTGTCCAATGGATGTGAGACGACGATTTTCTAGACACGACAGCAAGAAGAAGAGATTATATCTACATGTGCACGGTACGTACCTGCCTACTTTCGGTACCTGTCTGACCTAAGCTTTTTCAGCCGGCGGGCTTGCCCAAACTAGGCACGTTGGGGTCCATTTATTTTGTATTTTAAGTAGCTACATCCCAGGATCTAAGTACTGTACGTAGAAATGACGGGCACAACCTGCACATGTACATGTATTCGACACTCTTAACCTTTTTTTTTATTTGTTTTTTACGGTGATGTCACCTACCTTTCCTTATGATTTATGATCAAATAGACACAAAAAAAATTAGCATCCTATTTCTTTCCAAGGCTTGCGGTGAGTAGTATAATATATGGCATTAAACATAAATACATCAGGTAAAGATGTTATGTACTTCTGTGCAAATCCTTGCTAGTATCACATGGGTTGGAAAAACGCATGATACCTGGGCAAGGTACCTTAACTACATATATATCCCCGAGTCCGCGGTCTGCGGAGGATTGGTTCCGCTTCTCACTATTACTATAATTCCACGTAGGGCGTTTCTGACATCGCTTCGTTTTCACTGCCTAGTCGACCCTAATGGTAAAGGTGTTCTCTATATGACCTGGCTTACAAATAAGCCATAGTTATTCTAGTAATACCAATATAAGTGATCTATCTATTGTCTAATAATCAATACTAAACATGATTCGTCACTATCGTTATGCTTCAAACACCTTACTCTCAAATTATTCTTGTGATTTCGTTGGTACCGTATAAAACCAACCCGTCAGGGTTTCACGACAAGGCACAATGACTATATATGCTTCAGATCTCATTTGTCTTCAGTCCCGTCTGAGGGATCTTGGTCTGCTTTGTACCTAGAGTCTATGTCGTGATATTGGCCCATGCCTGCTGACTTAAGGAGTAACTGGCCCCTTATAGGATTCCATTGCTGAATGACTATGCAGTCCGCTTCCCAACCTGAGTTGCTACAATCCCCGACCACATTTATGACATTAGGCCCGAGATAAACTCAGCCTCCCGTATGCTTCTCTTTCTGTCGTAAATCCAACGTTTTCTCATTTATAAGGCGTCCACTTTTGTCTAGTGGGCCAGCAGTCCTAGTCACAAATACTACAAATAGTAATTTATGTCCTAAAGGACCGCGTAACTATCAAGGAGACTGCTGGCAATCATGACGCATATCTCTGCCCGGATCCAAGTCGGGATATCCTTCCACGAATGAGGAATACCCGGCCACGAGATGCCCGGGCCACTACCGGATAGCGCTGTCATGCACCTAGAGAGCCGAGAAGACGAATAACTGCTTCTTATTAGTAACGTATAACAAGTACGAGACCTCAAGGATGTGGAACTTACATTATTCGTCGCAGCAATCGCAATGCTGTCCTCAAATGGGTGCCAACTCATGTGCAAGATCTTCTTGTTAAAGTCAATTTGATCCGCGTCTGTCTCTTTTCGCATCCTCTGTCCTTGACCTCCAGCTGCCGGGCTACCCGCACGAGACCCGCCCTTCTTACCACCATTGGTCGCCGTGGGACTCGTCGATGAGTTGATAGGTGTCGGAATGCCCACCTTCTTTGCCTTGAAGGCCGACTTGTCTGCTTGTAAAACGACTTCGATCTCTTTCGCGGGGTCAGATGGGTAGATCATGAAGTTATTGTTGTAACTTCCAGTCATGACATTCTTGGCGTCGCCTGAGAACACTACTTCGAATTTGTCAAAAATACTATCGTTCTCATAAGTGTCGCAGAGCCGCGGTCGTAGGTGCTCGTGGATAGGTATCGTCTTGACTGGTTGGCGTTCCATATTGACATCCCAAATCTTGACTGTGAGATAGTCTCGAGATAAGATGTATCTGCCATCGTATGAGAATCTCACATCCGAGATGGAAGAGATAATCTCCGAAAAGAACGATCGCGCGGACGGGTCTTCTTCTTGCTCGAAAACTGCACGATATCATTAGTTCATATCGACCTGTGTTGATTAGATGGGGGGGGCATACGCTTGGCGTGCTGGTCACAAAGAGCGCTTTCTCGCATATCCGCCAGTTTGATAGTGCCTTTCGAACTTGCGTACATAAACCAGTTGCAACTAATGGGGTGAAATTCGGCAGCAGTAATAACCTCAGTCAACTCCTCCATATTCGCCGGTTTTATGTCCACGATGTTGAAACTTTGGTCTTGAATATTCAAGTTCCAAAGGTTAATTCGAAGATCGTCGCTGCTTATAAATGTCTCTCCATCGCTGTTGACTGAGATGCTGTTGATGTGATAAGCGTGGGCATTAGCATATGTACGACGGGGAACCGCAGCGACGACGGTATCATGATGTGTCAGTCGCGGAAGTTTTAACTCCCCAGCAGTCTTGAAGTGTGACTGTGGGATAGGTCTAGGGGCTCCTCCTCCTACGCCAGCCACATTTCCTGGTGTTAGGTCATGCGACAGGTTGTTCTCCGCTACCACCTTCAACGACTTCTCAAAAACTTTCCACAGCTTGATCGTCTTGTCATTAGTGGATAGTAGATAGTGAGAGGCATTTTGACGGCGACACCACTTGATCTTATTGATCTTTTCCTCAATTTCCAGGGATTTAAGGTAATCGAATTCGGGCTCGTGTGACTGAAATTCGGTATGGAACTTATATTCGCAAGTTTTCTTCTATAGAATTAGTTAGAATTGATTGATTTTCCAAGAATAATAGTTAAGGGTTCTTGACTGACCGTCTCGTTTCTCTCGAACAAAACAACTCGACCACCTTTGTCTCCTGTTGCTAAGTAGTTACCAGTGTGATCGAACTCGACTGTTGATATGATGTCGGCTAAGCGATCTATGTTAGTAAAGAAATATGAGCGTCTTAAGTTGTTGATCTATAATCAGGGTAGGTATCTGGGTTAATAGCAGCAAGTCGAAGAATTTGCTGGAGTCCTTGAGGTTCGAGATTAGAAAAAGAAATATTGTAAACCATACCTTCTGTGATATCTTCAACATCTCCCTTGTCACCGAAGCACCTATAAGGAAGCGTTAGGAGTCAGCAACGTTATGATCAAGCAATGAACCTAGAAACAAGGAGATGCGATAGAGGACAAGGGTTGGTGTGTATGGAATGTGACAGCGCCGGCGGGGGGGAGAGAGCCGCATCGATTTCTTTGTATAACTTACTGGGTGAACTTCCAGGTGGGGGAGTTTGAATCTCCTTCCACCATATTTGTGATGGACGTCGGGATGAAGCTACCTAAGCTCCGACCCGTTTTCTAGTCTAAGTGAAGTACGTGTTGTAAATAGTAGGGTGGTTGTAAGGTATCGCGGCCGCGACCAGTAAAAGGTGGGCGGGCTATTGGAGGGTCGGTACGCGACTTGAGGTGACGATGGATCGGGAACCGCTCCGAGATATGTTGCGGTTGTTGAATAGTATATGGTATGTAGGCTACGAGGTGTGGGAAAAGAAAGATAGCCTTAGTTTAGGTAATGTATCGAGGGCGGTGCGGGCGTTGTTGTTATGTATCGAGGGGCGTATGTAGAAAGTGAAGTGGGAAGATGCGAGGACTTAGGCTGGTGGCGTACTAGCTCCCAACGACTGTGCGTGCGGTCGGCCAGATGAAATGAATGAATGAGCTGGGGTTGATAATGCCAGTCACTCAGGGAGCCCATGCAACAGAGGTGGACGTCGGAAGCTCCCGCAGATTATTCTGGAGCGGGGGAGAAAAAAAGGGAAGGGAAGAAAAATAATACACGAGCAAGCTGCAAAATGACGGCAAGGCGTTGTAGTCGTGTGTAGTCGGGGTCGGTGGTCGTGGTGAGAAGTTGATGTGATGTGATGCGAGTTCTAGTAATGGTAGGTAATGGTTATGGTTGATGGTAGGGCCTGGCAGTGGGCAGTAGTACGTTATGCGCAAGGGTCCGGGTCAGATTTGGGAGACTGGAGGTGGGAAGGTGCTTGATTGATTGATTGATTGATGGTTGTAGATGCGTGGTCGGGTTTATGCCAGTGCGAACTTGCCGGTTTTGGCTCTATCTATCTACGCGGGTACCTGGGTATCTAAGTACTGAATCAGCTATGACAGCAGACCCAAAGGTACCTTTCTTTTAAACATTTATGTATTGTATCGTATTGTATCGTACATAAAGCAAACGTATTAGATTCAATATTTCGAGGCCAATTTGGTTATCATAATGGAAGAGTTCGCCTTTAATATATTTCTTCATCTAATTTATAAAGTTATTATTAGAAGAAAATATTGTTTTCGAGAAGATGGAAGCTGTAAGGAAAGAAAATCCAACAAATTTCAAATACTTGACGTATCTAGTAATATGTACTTGGAAATTAAGTATATTATCTAAGCTGATACATGTCTTCAAGGTTCACTTGCACAGTGCTGTTGCGATGTACCTAACATCGATTAGGTAGACAAGTGTGGGGCTTCAGGGCAAAAAACGGGAGGTATGAGGGGCAGCCTTACCTCATCTCTCTTTTCAAAAATAGGTGCTCACCCACGTATATTCAGCTCATTCATCCTCAAAAAAAATTTAAGTGTCTCTGCTCGCCAACTGCAGACCAATCTTCTTATATCATTGTAACCAGTCTTATGACCTTTTCAATATCTATGACTCAATCAGGAAGTCCCGCACGTGGCACGACTAACCAACCCTGATGCTTTTCTGTTTTATCTCGAATTCTTTTTTTTCCCTATGCGGTACATGCCCGCACCTGACATACAAACGCAGTTAGGCTTCAAGTTCGCGGTATAGAAGATTACTTTGGGCATGACGACTTGTTGAGAGATTTAAAAATACCCGTCTTGTAGATAAGGTCACGCATCCACGTAAGAGTTTATTCATTATACGAAATTTATTTGAATTCCGTTTAACCTGATAGGATCACGTATAAAACTTAGTCATCACATGCCAATGAAGATGTATATCTCAAGCTAGGTACCTAGGTCAGGTAAGGTAGGTACAGTCCTGGTTTAAGGTTAACTAGATGGAGCTATCTGGAAAGCCGAACTTTACCGACACGGGATCTCTTTGTTTAAACTACCTAGGTACATATGTGTGATGCATGTATTGGAATTTACAAACTTGAGTTCACTTAACCTTCCTTTCAATGTTCCGAATCATTCTCGTAATTTGCCTTCCTATATACGAATATTCCATGTAATCAGAACCAGCATTGTTTCATCGGGGCTCTCATCATCATGTCTTGATATTATGCAGACTATTGAATCGTGAGAGATGATATAATCACGATGGAAAAGGACAACGGAAAAGCAAAGGCTCAAGACAGTAAGGGCAAAAGTGTAGCAACCAAACAAGATGACTACACTAATTCTGTTGGGTCTCGCTCGAACACATCCTCAATCATATCAAGAATAGGCGCATCTACAAGCAAGTTAGCCAACGATATGATCCTACGACATCCCAGCAATGCCTCTGCAGCTGATGTCCTACCGTCAAGCAAAGCTGAATCATCCAGGGCGTCTCCAGGGATAAGCGCCAATGAGACATCGAAATATAGGAGCGGCCCTTCTCAGGCGTCCTCTAGTGGCACATTCAAATCAACAGCAATTTCTAGCCAACACAACCCAAATGATCTCGACTTCTCTGCGTTTCTAGATGACACGGGTGTTTTGGAAGAGGCAGAACATGGCAATATCAATGGAAATGGTCATGAAGAAATTCATAGCCTCAAGTTCGGGCCTACAGCACGGTCCATGACTATTATGGCAACTGATGGTATGGCCGTGGTTGACCTCCTTGATTCGAGGTATGACGAAGTGGAGCATAGCGTCATGTCCCTAACGGATATCGAACAAGACACATTGCGATACCGCCTCTTTAGTGATATTGAGACCCGAGAGTATCCTTCACGGAGGGGAGAATGGGAAGATGTCCTTAATTTCTTTCCTGATTCAGGTTTGAATGGTAGTGATGTACGGGAATATGTCAGTTTGCTCGGTGTATCTGATGTAGAAGAAGCTAAGAGAATTTGGATCGGCCAATGGCAACGGGTTCTCTCGAGTTACACTGACGACGTTTGGGGGGAGCTCGGTTCATTGGTGAATGTGGCGAAAGAAGAGTTGAGCGATCTTTCGAAATCTGACGAAGATGTTTCACCATCCAAAGCAAAAGCGTTGCGTCGACTTCAGCAGATTTTGGTACATATCCGCTGAAATTGAACCAGCAACTCATTCACACGAATATAACGGGATTGAGACCACAACATATTAACACCGGGATTTCCGCGCGCTTCGTTTTTGGGTTAAAAGTGAATTAGTAATATATGAGGACGGGAGAAATACTAAGCAAACGCAACTATGCAGCGAATTTGTATGATTCGAGGAAGAAAATAGGGGGGGTATGGGGTATAATTCCTTAGGTATATGTGGATGAGCTTAGTATACTGCATGTGCTAAAGGCCTCCGCAAATTCTGCGTGTATACCTAAACGCATTTGAAAAAAAAGGCCATCAATGCTGAGAACCCGAAATATAATGAGCACATCTTAATATCTTTCGATAATATGACTTACATACGGATATTTAATATAAATAGCATTATGTTTCGCGCCTGTGCCCTTATTAGCATGAGATGCGTTTCATGCATCTGATGAGAGCTACCATGAATGTGTACGTATCCCGAAATTGCCTATCTGACCCAATGGGAGCTTAAGTGATTGGATGGTCGGGGATACGGGGTGGATCCCTGATTGTCGATACTTTTAGGATACAACGCCTTCCCGCTTTTCGTTCAAGGATATAGCGCATCTCGGGCAAAATAATCGCCAAGATTTAAAGCTAGGCATGTATACGCAAGGTATATTGCCTAAGGCGTGCATGAAGTTGCAATAAGAACCTACCGGACGTGCTGGACGTGCTGGTATGGGCCTTGCTGTAATAGGCCTGTATTTTTGCTGGTATGTGCCACATGCATGTAGGTACTTAGCATTTTGACGTTTCCATATTTTTCAACGCCTCGTCTTCTGCACCCACTGGGCTGCGACACATCAACAACTCTTTTTTTTCTCATTAGAGTTGGGCTCATTCTCTAGTCTAACTTGTTCACTAGGCTGTATTGTGCAATATTTTGTGTTTTTACCGGTGATAGCTTGCCTGTTGCGCTTGCGACTCCTATTGACGGCAAATCAAATTCTCCGGTAACTGATAGTGCTCATTACCTGCCGACGAAAAAAAAAAAAAAATCACAAGCGAACGAGAGAAACGAGAATATAGCTACTGTTTAGCTTCCCATTCCTGAGCTCGAGCTCGAGCTATCCGCCTTCAAGATGACGGCCTTAGGAGATGACCTATTGCGGATTGTGAATCAGCTACAAGATCTAGTATTTAATACTATCGGGACAGATTCTTTAGACCTACCGCAAATTGTACGTCAAGCGCCTTTGAGATCTCTTGGGTTTCCCCTGATCCCGGATCTCTATTAGCATAGTTGCTTACAATGGTCATCGCCATAGGTTGTTGTTGGTTCCCAATCTGCGGGCAAATCTTCAGTACTCGAGAATATTGTTGGTCGCGATTTTCTACCTCGAGGTAGCGGCATCGTAACTCGTCGGCCCCTTATTCTACAATTAATCAATGTCGAGGAGGATCCCTCGGAACCAGATCTACATGCCGCATACAGAAATCCAACTCAAGCACGTCGTTCAGAATGGGCCGAATTCCATCATATACCCAGTCGGAGGTTTACCGACTTTGGAGATGTTAAACGCGAGATTGAAAACGAAACTTCTCGTGTTGCCGGTAACAATAAAGGCATCAACAGGCAACCCATTAATCTCAAAATCTATTCTCCTCATGTACTCAACTTAACTCTAGTTGATTTGCCTGGATTAACCAAGGTATACTCAACCCAACCCCCAAACAATTCTGACCTAGTAGTTAACCAATTTATAAAAAAAAAAACAGGTCCCCATTGGCGATCAACCGGCCGACATTGAAAAACAAACACGAACCCTCATCTCTGAATACATTGCCAAACCTAACAGTATCATCCTCGCCGTCTCCCCCGCCAATGTCGATATCGTTAACTCGGAAGCTCTAAAGCTTGCTAGACATGTTGATCCTCTCGGCCGACGAACCATTGGTGTTCTTACCAAAGTAGATCTGATGGATCACGGGACAAACGCGATGGATATTCTATCTGGCCGCGTGTATCCTTTGAAACTAGGGTTTATTGGCGTGGTCAACCGATCTCAGCAAGATATCCAAGGCAATCGACCAATGGAGGAGGCTCTCAAAGCCGAAGCAGAATTTTTCCGACACCATCCCGCATATCGAAATATTTCAATGCGCTGTGGAACGCAATTCCTAGCCAAGACATTAAATCAGACTCTTATGGCACACATTCGGGAACGTTTGCCGGACATTAAAGCCCGTCTTAACACATTAATGGGACAAACCCAACAAGAGCTTGCGAGTTACGGCGATATGCACTTTAGCGGGAAAGAACATCGAGGATCCATGATTCTTCAGCTCATGACCCGATTTGCTACATCGTTCATTTCATCTATCGATGGTACTTCGACGGAGATCTCAACCAAAGAACTGTCTGGAGGTGCGCGGATTTACTATATCTTCAACTCAGTTTTCGGCAGCGCGTTGGAATCGATCGACCCTACTTCTAATCTTTCCGCGCTTGATATCAGGACTGCTATTCGTAACTCCACTGGTCCCCGTCCTAGCTTATTCGTCCCGGAAATGGCATTTGACCTGCTTGTCAAGCCACAGATTAAGCTTCTCGAACTTCCCAGCCAACGATGTGTTGAGTTGGTGTATGAGGAATTAATTAAGATTTGCCACACATGCGGCTCAACAGAATTATCCCGGTTTCCGAGACTGCAAGCCAAGCTCATCGAGGTTGTCTCGGACCTTCTGAGGGAACGACTTGGCCCAGCGTCATCTTATGTCGAGTCCCTCATAGCTATCCAGCGAGCATACATTAATACGAATCATCCTAATTTCTTGGGCGCTGCTGCTGCCATGAGCCATGTGGTTAGCAATAAGCAAGAACGTGAGAGAAAGAGGTTAATCCAAGAAGAACGAGAACGACGGGAAAAGAAACGATTGAAGGAGATTGGGGCGAATGGAACAGATACCCCGGAGGACGAGGAAGACCCGGCTCACGATAGAAACGGTGGTCTTCCGTCACGAAAACACGGTTCAAAGGAGCCTAGAAGCATGTCTCCTGCCGTTCGTGAGAATGGTACATCGAGTCTTGCTGCTGCGATGAATGGAACGCGCTCAGATTCACCCAGTCGATTTAACCCCCAAGCAATTGGTAATGCTCGCGATTCCTTCTTAAACTATTTCTTCGGCAAAGACGGCCCGCCGTCGTCTTTGGGAGCTGGAGCTCCTTCTCCACTTCCACGTCATGTTAGCCAGGGTGTAGAACCTACTTTCAGTCAAAGCATTCGCCGAAGTGAAGATAAGTTAACGCATCGACCGGCACTATCATCGTCGCTGGCACGTGAAGAGGAAAGTCCTAAAGCTGCCAGCTTCGGTTTCGGGCCACAGGCGGTAAGCTCTTCCTTGACATCTTTCCCCTTACATCTACTAACCCATATTTCACAGATTGATAATGTGGAGCCGGCTTTAAGTGATCGCGAGGCTATGGAGACAGAGCTAATCCGGGCTCTGATATCCTCGTACTTCAATATTGTTCGCGAATCAATTGCTGACCAAGTTCCTAAAGCTGTTATGCATTTACTCGTCAACCATTGTAAGGACGTCGTACAAAACAGACTTGTCAGCGAACTTTACAAGGAGACGCTCTTTGAAGAGCTTCTATACGAAGACGACGGCGTTAAGAAAGAACGCGAGAAATGCGAGAAGCTGCTACACACTTACCGTGAAGCAGCCAAGATTATTGGCGAAGTGTTATAATAGAGCACTACAGCTCACCCTGTACTAGAACACAAAAAAAAGTTAATTCAGGAGTATTCTCACCTGGGGAAAAGGATTGATTTATTGACTTAGAGAGAGAATGCGATATCTGACTTGCCACCTGTACATTAGGCGAGGGAACTTTTGTTACAGGTTAACCTCGTTCCGTGTTCTTTTGGGTTGCTGGTCATTGATACGCTGGGGCACGTTCACTGATACGAACTGAATGGATGGAGGGGGTGGCTTATAGTCGGTCGGTACACTCGAAGGCGGCGTACATTGTACATACAGCGTAACTACCTATGCTACTCTTCCCTGTCTTTAGCATATTCACCAGGGCCACTCTGAAATGACTTTTCTCCCTTGCAGTTTGAACCGTAAATCCAATTTTAGTTTTACGTATACCCTACAGTGAATTGCAACAGGGTAGATTGCGTATACGGTTGAAGGTAGACTGATTTCAGTGGTCTCGCGAGACAAGGCCTGATAGCAATTAAATTGAATGTATCAATTACAAATGGATTGGGTTATTATTGTCCCTTATACTGAGGCATGGTTATGAAAATAAGTATCATTCTTTTCTTTATATTAGGGGCAAATTAGACTGTTGGTTCTCTAAGACCTAGGGGTATCGTCCTCATTCTCTCCATATGTGATCGGGTCATATCGAACAACAGTTTCGAACTTGTTCGTCCCCCCCTAGATGCCAGTCTTCTCTAGCTTCTTGGCTAGCGCATCAACATCGCTATCCTTAAGTTGGACTGTAGGCTCTTCCTGTGCCTCCTCAGCCTCTTTGACTAGTTTCTCGGCTTTCTCTTCGGTAGAAACATCCTCCTCCTCCTCATCTTCTTCTTCCTCCTCATCCGAGTCTAAATCCTCGAGATCGCTAAGACTGTCCACTCCCCAAGCATCCTCATCAATAACATCACCACCGAATTTCTCCTTTCGCTCGTCTAGTAAGCCCTGAAGAGCCACGATAGCCTCATCGTCTTCTGAGAACTTGTTGCCGTTGAGTTCGATTCTCTTCAGTGCCGGCAAACCGTCCTTTGCTGCAGAGGCAAAACCCTGAATTCCCGCCGCGGCGATCTCGTTGTACTGCAAGCGAAGGGTCTCTAGCTTTTTGTTCTGGCCCTTGGAAAGGACATTAGCGAGTAAGACACCACCCTTAGCGCCAAGCAACGAATCACCGATACCCAGCTCTTGTATATCGGCCCAAAGAGGTACAACCTTTGCCAATGCCTTCGCTCCCTTAATAGTGAAAGTATTGTCCTGGAGGTCTAGTACTTTAAGTTCCGTCGCGTGATTCAGACCAGCGGTGAGCAGTTGCTCTATTCCTTCCTTCCGAATACCATTCTGAACCATCTTTACTTCCTTGACCTTGTTGTGGAGGCTAAAAGCTCTAGCCCAGGCGAGCATACTGCCATTTTCCAGCCGGTTCCGACCACAGATAACGGTCTCGAGATAGGGTACATCTTGTCCAGCCTTCCTGGCCTCCTCCTTCTTCTTGTGAAGCTCTGAAAGCGCATCGGCGATGAGTATACCGGCGTGGGGACCCAATCCGTTGTTATTGAGGTAAAGGTGCTGAAGCGGGACGTGGCTAGATAAGAAAGCAACCAAAGGCGCCTGAGTGTTGAGACCGAATGCGTTATCGTTGAGGTTGATAGTTCGGAGGTTAGGTAGGTTGAGGATGGAGGTGAGCAGAGACGAGAGGGCCTCGGGAATTTCGTTTAGCAGACGGCCGGTGAATATATCAGCCAAGTTCGCGACCTAGAATAATTGAATAATAATATGTCAACCAAGATTGTTCTTATGCGATCATGCGCGCGTTGTTATGTCATCAAAGCTTTTACCTTTAGGGTCTTCTTAGTAGCCAATACTTCTCCAAGAAGTTTGCAAGCCTCGACGCCCAAGGTGTTTCCTAGGATGCGAACCTCCTCGACGTCGTCCATAGCCCGAAGAGGGCCAATGTGGGCTTCTAGATCCTGAGCTGTATTCAGCTTCAGGCCCCTCTCTTCGAGGGAGAAGATCTTTTTAGATGTAGCCATATTGCAGGTGCGAAGAGACTCGAATGCGAAATTGACAAAAAGGTATGTAAGATCTATAAGATTAGCCGCGGTTTTGTTTTGTTTTTGTTTTAATTTTTGTTGTTATTGTGATCTAAGAAAGTAAAGGAAATGAATGATGGATAAGGTTTAACTCTGGACCTCGAAAATGGTGGGGGAGGGGCACTAACAATTATGTACGTAAGTATATGTACAAGTACGTAAGCAACTGTAGGCACATGTGTTAGGCGTACATGTAATAATTGTTTGGGTGGCTATCACTTATGTAATCGTGTCACAACTCTGGTAACGATTCGGAGTTTCGGGTGGTTGCAGGTGAGTAACCCTGACGCTAGCATAAGTGGGTACACCGATGCCTATTTTGGTACGTACCTAAATGCATGGGCCCCCCATCCATGCTGCCATGCTAAATTGCTGGCAGCGGTAGGAGCAGACTTGGTTTTTAATATCGAAATTCATTTTTATCCTTTATCCAAGCAAAGGGACCGCCTCGAGCATGCATTGCTGTTGTTAACTTTTTCACATTTCCTTCTGCTCTCTATCCTCTTCATACATTCGTACATAAATCTTCCGACAATTTAGCTTTGCTTTTAATCAAGGCTACTTCTTAGGAAGCTGATACATCATCTCCAAGTCTCTTTTTGTCCTTGCTGTACTCATCAAGCACAGCAAGCCGCCCCTAACAAATCAACCTCTCTACGCGTCCTTTATAACACATCAGCACATCCTCTCTTCAACTCTTCAACGCGTTATCCTGATCCAGGATACTTCTATTTGAAGCCCTGTTTGAATCGTTCAAAGTTTACCCCCATATTGTATTGCAGCTCATGTCTCCTTGCTCTTCACGTTTCATTCTCACATCTCTGAAGGAGCCACATTTTCAATCGAAAGTGTGACGAGCCTTGAGAGGGTATACAATTATCTCACCTACTTTTCCGACAAGTGTGTTTTTTCGGCTTTTCTCAGCCTGCTGTTTTTTTTCTGTACACCGAACTAGACTTCATTACAAGCAGGTATTAACCATAAGAGGTACTGATATTCTTCCTCTAACAGCAGCAAGTCCGTCAGCCGACGCCGTGGGTAGGCATCAGCCTGAATGGTAGACCTGACAGCCTCGCCCTAAACCACGTCTAGCTTGCAATCGGGAATGGATAGTCATAACGCAGCTTCGCTGCCTGCTGAGGACGATGAAATCCCTCTCGATTCTTGTACCGAAGAATCAGACTCTTCGGATGTTTCCATGTCCGACTCTGACGATGAGGACGGCGGCCAGCGTAGCCTATTGATCTCGACTGGTAATGAGCACATTCCCATTCAAACCCCCTTGTCGGTCCCTGTGACTGGGTCTGTTCCGGTTACACAACAAAGCCCAGACCGCTCGAAGAAACGAAAATCCCTTGAGGGAGCAGATTCAACGTCTCATACAGCTCTCTCGACTAAGAAGGTGAAGCTAGATGAAGAGAGTTGCAATCAGTCCTCTTCTGCGACTCTTTTACCATCAGATAAATCCTCTCTCCCCGCTGAAATATGGCATTGTATCTTTGCTTTTACACCGCCGAGAAGTCTTGGTAATCTACTGTGCGTCAATAAATTATTCAATGCATACCTTGATCCCGCTTCTCGCTACCAAGGTGAATTACCACCGTCTCTTTCACGGACATCTACCCCTCTGTTGAAGCCTGATGCTATCTGGCAGATTTCGAGGAGACGTTTTTGGCAGAGAATGCCGGCTCCACTGCAACAGAAATCCGAGCTCGACATGTGGCGTCTCGCTTGTGGAAGGACATGTCAATTTTGTGGTAGGACGAATTCCACATCTCCGAAGTCGCCCGACGATAGTCATCAGAAGATTCAATCAGTCTGGGCATTCGCACTCCGATGTTGTGGGGAGTGTCTCCTGAAGAATACTATAAAGGTATGTTCGCATTGAATTCTAACCTAGAGAAGCGAAGAGATTGTCTTACTAGTTATAAGGAAATCGATATACTCCTTTCTTCCTCAGTACCTTCGCTTTTGATGCCAGCTCTGCCTTTCGTGCTTATTACCAACGAGACACATACAATATCGCCAGATGCACTTCAGAAAGGACTAGTGCAGCCGGACTTGCAAGTGACGAAGATTTACCTCTCCGAACATGTAGAGAGCTTGAAACAAGAATTCCTTTCCGTCAAGTCGATGGGCGGGGCTACAGCAGAAGAATGGTTGAAAGGCCTTGAGTATCGAGGAAGGGAGTTGCTCGACGATTCGATGCGATGGGAGAAATGGGCTTCGACTGGTGGAGTAACTCAGATGCAGACTCAACTGTCTCCGGAAAACATCTCAAACGTGACTACGACCAGTGGCAAGGGACAGCATTCAGCGAACTCTTCACAGGCACCTAGGTCTCATTCAAGTTCAAGTAGCATAGCTGGACAACATACACCTAGACCAGCTCAAACCACACCAACCGACCAAGTATCCCAATCCACATATCTACCTCCTGGTATTCCTATACGTAAGTAGCCAAATAATCCGTTCCCCCTTATCGTGGCTAATCTATTTTATTAGAAAATGAATCACAGGCTCGCACGCCCTCGTTGGTGCAGGGCGTCCAGCCTAACCTACCTCGCGCTCGAACCCGCGAGGAGGCTTTGGAGCTCAAAGCTGCACGGCGTGGGGAGATTGAGCGACGGGCGATGGAACTTGACCCACCGTTAACAGCAAATGTTCTGGCGCATATTCCGTCTTTTCAGGCAGCTATTCAGATTATCTCACCTCTTGACGACAACGCGTGGGATATGCTCAAGCCGCGTTTACTTGCACAAAGAGCTGACGCTGAACGAGAGCAACGCGAAAAAGAAGACTTGGTGCCCCGTAAAGCCCCAGATCAGCCCGAGGAGTATCGCGCTGTTGGAGAGAGCAGTGTGGTGACTAAGCAGCTTATTGATAAGACATGGGATGAAGTACAGGCGCCCTTGCGCGCCCAAATTTCAGCATATGCTGACGAAGTCATTCGAAACCGCTGGAAAGATGGGCAGAAGGTTGATGCCGAGACTAGCCCACAATTCGCTGCTGACGTTCTTGTTCAAGTGCGCAAGATGTTTTACGCAGAGATCGCAAAGGAATCTGCTACAGCACGCGCTACTGGCCGTGAAGTCACCGAAGATCCACCAGAAGGACCGTTTACAAGAAAGCTCACCCTTGAAAACATGAAGTGGCTATTTGATGTCAAGATCAAGCCTCATACCGAGTCATATCGGAAGGATCTTTTTTATTGCAACGGCTGTGACGTGAACCTGAAAGCGTTTGGATTTGAAGGTGTCATCCAACACTATGCGGCTAAACATACGAATGCTCTTAGCCTGGGGAGTGTTGTAGTCCATTGGCGTGCTGAATGGCCGGAGATTCCGCCCTTTAAGTCCGAACCTCATGCAATGAAGGCTGCACACCCACCGATCGGGCCATCCTACGGAACCTTGCAGTCTCACAATAACACATCTCGCTACCCTGGCTCCGGTGCTTATTCTTCGGCTCCGAATCCGCCATCATTTCAAGTACCTCCATATGGTCCTGCTTCAACACCTGGCTACGGGCATACAGCGTATGGGCCGATGATACAGCAGCCAGTTCCGCATGATCCAAGAAATTTCTATCCCCCGGGACCCCCGGGTCAACATGAGTATAACGCTTCGTATCCCCCTCCGTCGATATACAATCCGCACGATACAGCTTACCATGGCCAACAGCCGCCTTATCCTTCTACAGCTCACGGCGGACCACCATCCCATCCTCCCGCAGCAGACGCCTACTATGGCCAAAATCACAATGCGAGTCAAAATCACTCACAAGTAAATTTCTTCGGTCATTACAATAACTCGCCAGCTGGCAAATACCACGCCGAGCTTGAATTCCTGGCTCGAACTTCACGTGAATTATGGATTTCCATGGCCGCCTTGAAGGAACTTCCCGGCGACATCCGGGTATGTGTTGTCATTCATCATCTTTTGCAAAGATTTCGATCCAAGTTTTCCGATAATCCATCATTAGCCATGTTCATTGATGGGCTCTCGAATCACAAAGAGATGCGCCCAGTACGCAATGTTAATGGTCTTGTATGCCAGGCATGCCATCTTAGTCTCGGTGAAGGGGCACCGGTTGTTCAAGATCGTAGAACATACTCTCTTCCACAGCTAGTTAGTCATTTTCAGCAGGGACACGCCAACCAGCGACAAGCTGGGAGTTCACACTTCCTCGACTGGACTATTCATATGATACACACACCAGACTTATCCGTATTATCTAGCCTCGGGTCTTTACCAAACATAGACAATCAGAAGCTTTCACTCATTCTAGACGCTTTTCCGCCGACGCAAAGTTTCAACAGCTACCTACAAGGAGCGCCTCTTCCCGGTCCTCAGATTCCCCAACTCGGCGTCGGCACCGCTACTCTAACCAGTCAACAACCAACTTACAACACAGCTGCTTCGCAGTTTAATTCTCAATATGACCCGTTATCCCTACACTCTACAGCCAGGCACGATTCAGTCACGCCCGTCATACGAGATCCATCGCATGCAATCATGTCAAACCCAAGGCTAGACCTTGATCAATCGACACCAATCAGCACCCCTCCTTTACCACCTCATCAGAAGCCTCAGCTAGGCGATTTTGGTCGAGCATTATCGGAGACACGGCAAGGGTCCAGTGGGCCAAGACTCAAAAAACAGAAGGGGGTTACGAAGGATCATCGAACAGCCTCGGGCCAAGGTTTCAGAAATCGAAAGGGTGGTGTAGTGCCTCCCTCTTCTCGACCTAAATCGCAAGAACCCAATGAAGATGAGCTAATCACAGAAGAAGAGCGACGTCAGGAAGAGGAGATCCGAGCAATGTGGGCTGCAGACCGTAAGGAGACGGCTCGGTTTGCTTCGAGAAACCAACGTCCTATTGGTGCAAATGAGCCTAATATCTCGACGAGCCTTGGCGCAGAACGCCCAAGAAGTCCCTACAATCAAGTTACGCAGATGATTGGATCATCGGCTTATCCGATCCAACCCCAAGGCTATCAACGGTCTATGGGAATTCGGGAACGTGAAGAAGATGATCTAATAGCTGGTTTAGAGACCCAGCTCGATCAACAACAAGTATCAACTAGGCAGTTTAGCTATCGATCAAGACCAACCAGAGAGCTTAGCTATGGGAGAGAGCCTCCTTATGGACAACAATATGCGGACCCCGAGCAGCGAATATATCCTAACCAGAATCAGACATACGGCCAAGTCCGTCCCGTATCTCCTGTATATGCTCAACAACAACAACTTGGGCTTCGCTCCAGTCAATATTTGGAAAGCGGCCCTAGTCCTAACTTTGTCAACCTGGCTGGTGGCGCCACACGAGCTGCTGCAGTTCCAGACGACACATTATATAACCGACCACTTAGCCAGGATTATTATCATGGATATTCAGACGAAACCCAAGCGCGTCAGCTTGTCCCTAAATATACTGAAACCTACGAACTTGTTCGAGTCCGAGATTCTCAAGGAGAATATTTTGTTAGACGGCCTATTAGACTCGAGCGCGATCATGTTACGCCTTTACAGGATGAGCGTGCCCCCTACGGAAGCGAGATACCCCACTATAGAGCATACGAGGATACCGAATATCCTAGTAGGCGACTGGAGTATGAATCGGCTCCCGTGCAACAGACTTACGAGGGTGGAGTTAGAGCAGGACGGATAGCCGAGAGATCTTATGAACAAATTTTGAGAGATGATCCTGCTGGTGATGAAGACTATGACCCAAGATTCCCAGCTGCTCCGCCGAACCCCAGCATTACGCGGCAAATTCGTTATCAATAGTTACATTTTCAGAATTGTGGTTTCGATATTGAAGATTCTTGCTTCCGGAGGAGCATATAAGTTGATACCTGTTTATGAGGCAACTATTTCAGAAGCACTTAAACCGAATAAATGGTTGGAAGATGCCGAGTTTGTATCTTCGCAGTTTGTACAGTTTGAGCCTCAGAAGTACATTTATTTTTGGAAGACTTAGGAGTTAGTAATGATAATCGGAAATAAATACCCCGCCATCACTATGTAATGTTCCTCGAAATCATCTATTCAAATCACGCAGTACCTAGTAGTATGCCTTAGGTCGTTTGTGAAGTGTAGTTATCAGGATTTCATATTGCTAACAGTTAGGATTTACCTGTATTAATAGTGGTCATATAATACAACGCTTCTCATCCAATTTTTGGGTCGGTGCCGGTCATTGCTGACATAAACTCCTTTTCATGTTTCTCTAACTTCTCTTTTTCTCCACTAACACCCATATCCCCCAATGCCAACCTCGCACTCAGCTCTTTCTTCACGTAAACCGAATCCTTCTTCTGTAGCTAATGCTTCCATGTCCCTTATGCCTCCTGGGACATTCAACCAAGCGCAAAGATTTAGTCCCGCGTCGATTACATTTCGTAATGCGACCTCGGCATCCCTTACGGCTCCATACCACTCATGGTAATCACCGAGTGCTATGGTCTCAGCCCAGTTTAGGAGTTGTCCCATGATGTTGACGGTCATGAGTTCTACGTTCAGGACGTCGAGGCGGTCTCTTTGTGATTTATTCCATAGCATGTTGCAGATGCTACTGGCGTTCTTGAGGAGAGAATTGGTGGACGGTGGGATTAGGGAATCAGAGTTATCGTTGTTGTCGGGCGGAGACGTAGTATCCATGTTGCTACTGTGGCTATGACTTCGAAATCGGTCCGAGTATGGTGGTGGATTACTTCCTCTTGCTTGACGATTTACTAGATGTGTATCGAGGTATGTTTTAGTCGACTGTAGACAGATATCATGCACAGAGCTGACCACGGTGTAGATATGGTCTATTCGTCCGGCGTTATCATTTGGGATGCTCATGGTTTGGCTATCCGGGGCCACGGTAATTGTCAGGCTCAAGGGAGGCTGTGCTGGGTTGGGAAGATACGGAGAAGACATGGCACCCTGATGTATGCAGGGAGTATGATATTGTGGGGGAGGGGGTTGCTTGGGTTGTAACATCGCATCCTGAGATTGCCACATGTGATGAGGATTGATCGTTTGGCAGTGTTTATTGAATGAGCGGTTGTCTGGACATGTAGCACATCGATTTGTAGGTGCTACTCCTGCGTGGTGTTCTTCTGATGAGGGGGGAGGCACCGGGAATTCCCCTCCGCTTGGTTTTTCATCCATGGAAGCAGATGAATTACGATTCTTTTGGTACACGAAATCACTTGGCGACGGCGGTTTGGATTGCATGATTGAGTATGGAAGATATAATATATTGTGTCTTTGAAGGGAAATTTTCAGTATAAATACGGTATTTAGGTTGGATAAACTGCGCACTTCTAGAAATTCATGGAACTCATAATTTACGCAGTGAAATTTCATGTAAGCGCGATAGAGACAGAGACATTATGCGACGAGAACAAAGGGTGATAAACGTGTCTTGAAACACCTCAAGTTAACATCTGTGTTTATTGTCTTTGAACCTATGTATGCCAGATGACAATTCTACCATCAACACCACTTGCTGCATCTCATATTAGCCTCACGACACAATATAGCATTCTAAAAGGGAAGAATGGACTTACTGCTAAATTTGCTGACAGATCCACCGTTGGATTCGTAGGCACGCACTGTTGTGATGGTGTTCTGGTGAACGGTCTTTAGCTGAGTGTCATCTTTGACTTTTCCTTTCAAATCCATCTGCCGGAACATATTCAATGCAGAATCTTCTCGAGCATCACCTGGTCCAGATTTCCCTTTGGATTCTAATGTGCCGCTCAGTTGCCACCCAGATGCATCACCTCTGAACCTGAATGCCTCGCAGTCATATCCAGCCGCAATGATTTCACTCTCACCATTCCAGATTAAGCTCATGAAGGGCAGGAGTTGAGTGTTGACGCTAATAACAGCTCTCGGGGGTTGTTCGGGACCGGTAGGGTAGACGACAGTAATACTACTATCATGAGCAGCAAAAGCGAGGGCATCACCGCTGGGAGAGAATGCGACAGAGTTTACCCATCCAGCAGAGTTATTGAGAAACTCTCCACAGACGGTGTTGAAAGGTAGACGTTCACCCCAGACGCTAGGTTCCGGGCGAGCGTCGACACCTTTGATGAAGCTTGAGAAGACTCTCGCATGGGCGTCGGTAGAACCAGCGGCGAGTAGCACTGAGTTAGGATGCCAACTAACAGTGGTGATGGTACTCCGAATAGGCTTCTTTAAATGCTTGGAGACCCACCAATCGTTCTCTTCCTCAAAGTAGCAGATAGCAATAACCCGATCACCAGATCCGACGGCGAACTTGGTCTCAGATGGAGACCAACGCACAAATGTAGCTGCCCGGGCAATTCTAAGAAGCACCAAAGTTGGCTTGTAACCAGTAGGCGAAGGTTCCCAAACTAGAGCATTACGATCTGTATGTTCATATTAGAAAAACATTAAAAAAAAAACTTTACATCATAGGTGAGGGTAGATAGACCTTGAGAGCATGTGACAATACGGCCACTTTCAGGAGCAATGTCAATACCGGTAATAGTCTTATCGTGACCTTTCAATTCATCCTTCAACTTGAAAGCACTACCGACTTTGCCGTATAACTCGATAGTAGAGTCTTTGGCTACGGCCAATGTCTTGCGATCGGCCGAGAATGAATGGTCGGCAATAGGACGATGGAAGAGATGATGAACCTCAGGAGCAGCCATGTTGGGGATGCCTTTTCTTTTTGTCTGACGTTGTTACCTAGGTATTATTTTTTAAGGGTCAGTGGTAGGAGTATAGCTCTCTACTACCACGTCAGAGCTGGTCTCGAATTTCTAAAAGGGTTAAGGTATTAAGGAATAAGAAAGGAGGTCTGTAAGTAACGCGGCTGGGAGTTGACTGGTCCCAATTGTAGTGGGAACCTTGAAAGGTGGGGTGGGCAGTGCAGACAGACGTGCGTCACTGATCAAGCCACTAAGTACCCCCACTAATTGTGGCTTCATATCGGCGGATCATGTTTGAGTTTCCGATCCAGCCTTAGAAGAAAAAAAAAGTACCCAGGTACCTAGGACAGGTACGTGCTTTTTACAATATTGAATATTGAATCGCGATCATCACACAAACTCAACAATTTTACGAACAACTTACGGTGCTCATAGCCTCGTCCAAGTATAAAACGAACTTGCGATCAGTGACGCGAAAGGGGTAAAAACTCGTCCAATTTCGTCATTATAAGTACTCCATTACAATGGCTACCACTACCATCGCTGCGCGTGGCCAACCTCCCAGAACCGGTGTCAAGATACCTCCGACACCTCCCAACCAGACGTAGGTTATCCGAATTCTGTACCCATTCTACAAACTTGCTAATTCTAAGCATAGGCTCTACGTTAAGAATGTACCGTCGCGAAAAATAAACAAGACTGATCTAAAGACTGCGCTTTACATGCTATTCTCGACTTTCGGTCCGGTCCTCGATGTGGTAGCTCTGAAGACCATGAAGATGCGCGGTCAAGCTCACATTGTCTTTCGCGATGTACAAGCAGCGACTCAGGCTATGAGATCTTTGGAAGGATTTAAATTTCTAGGCGAGGAATTGGTACGCACTATATCTAATTTCCCACGTCCGTCTATTCTAACCCGTCCAATTAACACTCCGTCTTAGCATATCGAGTATGCGAAATCGAAATCAGATACCATCGCGAAGCTAGACGGCACATACAAGATGCCTGGATCAGCCGCAGCCGCCAATGTCGAGATGACGGAAGCTCAACAGAGCATCTTCAATGCCCCAGCGCCTGGGACATCTACAATCAACGCCGCCGCCACTCCAACTCATGTTCTCCCCGCGAAGCCGCCTCAGAATTCCGATCAGGTCATGAGGGATGCGAATAGCCCGGATACACGCGGACAAAAGCGGCCTCGTGACGAGGAGGAAGAGGAAGACAGTGATGAAGATGTGGCAATGGAAGAGGACAGCGATGATGAATGAAGATCTGTTACCACAATACCCTACGAATAGACGCCCCCAAAAAGGCGATCCGTTTCGATTATCCAGCTATAGGCCGTTGACCATCCCGCTTCCGATTTGCGGCTTAATATCATCCCACCTCGGTGGCCATCTCCCTAGGGACCCAGAGCCCGACGCATCCCCCCACAAGACCCAGCCATACCATAAGATAGTCTTCCTTGGAGCAATCAAACCCAGTCATGGCTTCTCCAAGAACACATGGGTGGACGAAGAATGAAGGAATTCCAGTCATGGGGTGATGCTGTACACGTCACAATTAGTGATAAGGTAGAGAGAAAATAAAATACCCAATGCAAGAACAAAGGATTGACTTATTGAACAGCGCAGAAGATATACCTACATCGATTGAGATGCCACCTATAGGACCAATTCTTCGGAGTGAGTCCTTGAACTGCTCGGGAACTAAATGGCGGAACACGGTCTCAACATCGAATGCCGACTCACCAGGTGGTAAGTTGTGTAGACTGAACCAGAGACAAGGTGCACGATACGTCGGATGAAGGTGTATCTCGTACTTGACGTTTGGAGTTTGGAAGTTTGCTCGAGATCGCAATCTAGAGAGAACCTCCTATAAATATATTAGTAATCAGGATACAATCCGACGAATAATATAGGGGGTTGGTCAACTGACCTTGTCCGAGTCTTCCATCTCAACTACACCATCATCCACATTCAGTTCCATACTGAAATCTTCGTCTCCCCCCAAAGAAAAGTCCCCCAACTTGGCTACAAGGTCGGTACTGGTTCCATCATCTAGAGGTCGAGTGATCTGGAGGAAGGTAGAGCACCCTGGACCATTGTCAGGATCCAAATTCAGTGCTGTATGAACATGGAGTCGCCATAGTTTTCTCAGGGGACCTAGTGTGGCCCGGCAGTACCTCCTATCTAAGTAGTGGCACACCTCAGCAAACTCCTCCTTAGTCAAGTACGGGTAGCATTGATATGATGAACGGTGAACATTAGAACCGTTCATGTTGGCAAATCGACCGGTCGTCTTTGCTACTGTCACCCTTTACCGATCCCAAAAATGTCGCCTAACAAGCAGTGTTACCTATGGGTGTATGTAGGTACATAGGCGAGTACCTAGGCGGCTAGGTAGGTAGTATGCAGATCTGAACTTGGCGGCGGGATCGAGATGTGTGTTTGCTTGTTCCCTTGATCCAATTTTAAAGTGTTGGTGCAGTCCTCGAGGGCGAAGCAAGCTGTTGAAAATGGAATAGCTTACTAAAAATAAAATATATAGGTGTGATCAAGTGAAGCGCGAAACTTTTTAGAGCTTCAAACAATGAATCTCTGCATGTGGAAGTATTTACTTCAGGGTACCCGATCTCAGACCAAACAGGCTGACAGGTACCTTACTATGCTAAGTTCAATGTTGCATCCAAATTAATTTGTGGGGGTTATAACTAGGTGTGGGGTACGGTAGAGGTACATCTGGAAATGTGCGCTTAATACGGGTTTCAACAGTAAACTTGAAGTACCTTCTTTGCCGGATAGGCGGCAAGGCGGCAATTACGTACAACAAGAACCCCTGTATTTTACTACATACATGGATTGTACATTGGAAATGGTACACGTCGAAGAAGGAACTGGCTGAGTGTCCTCAATCGGTAACTACGACCTGCTAAACATATAGGTATACACTATTTTTAATATAGGTAGGTCCTAGATCTCACACATTCCCCTTCTCTTTTTTTCCCTAAGTGTCTGTTGCGATTGGGGGAGAAATTTCAAATAGGGACGCCACGAAGAGAGACAATATTGAAGACTAATTAAGAAAGCAAAGATGATCTTGTCAACATTCTTATCATCTTAATTTTCTCGGGTACTGCAACCTTCAGCGTCGGATGCACGTGTAATTCCTAACGTATTCCACGATTCCTACGATCGAATTGCCAATTCCCCATACGAATTTCATACCCGACGAATTCGTTGCTAATGCTGGTCCTTTGTCGTCGCTACGCTTTGCTCCATGAACGTTCGCGACCCGTTCGGTCTCCATCGAAAGAGTGCTCTCTCCATCCTTAAAACCACCGCATCGCGAGCTGCTGTCGACCTCACCGAACGCGCCGTCGAGGCCAGTATTAATGCTATCGAGAAAGGCAAACAAGCCGTTGACGATTTTGACATGTCATTTACCGTTCCTAAAAATGTTCCTTCTTTTGGAAACCCGCAGAGGATAGTGGAGGACCACGTTTGGGGCAATACAGCGGTTACCGCTCGAGGTGGAAGAGCCTCGCATCCCAACAACAACAACAACAACAGGAACTCGGGAATACTTCGGGGTGTACAAGATCGAGTTGGCGGCCTCTTCGACGATCGAAACGGCCTCCCCATGTACAAAGACAAGCCATACGCATATCCGCCCTCTCAACGAGCCAGGCCCCTCTGGCGAAGAAAGCGGATACTTGGACCTATATTCCTGATAATATTTATATTGTACTATTTTGGCGCTTTCGGCCGCCACCATGAGACCGCTGTATCTTCGAAACCTATATGGAGTTGGCTTACGGCAGGTTCCGAGTCAGGGAAGAATGCTGATTGGCCTGGGAGGAGGGAACGTGTTGTTGAAGCCTTTACGTTAAGCTGGGACGCTTACGACAGATACGCTTGGGGTAGGATGCCTATCTTCAAAATTATTTTTATGGTATAGAACGGTACTTGCTAAGTTGTTTATAGGTTATGATGAATTTCACCCGGTCTCCAAGAAGGGTAAGCAGATGGCCCCGCAAGGGATGGGTTGGATCATTGTGGACGCGTTAGATACCATGATTTTGATGAACCTTACCTCCCGAGTCGCCCACGCGAGGCAGTGGATTTCAAATACGCTCTCCTACGATCAGGATCAAGATGTCAGCACTTTCGAGACGACTATACGTATGTTAGGTGGTCTCTTGTCGGCTCACTATCTGTCCAACGAGTTTCCTACTCTGGCGCCGCTAAACGAGGATGATCCTGGTGCACCTGGAGAGGACCTTTATCTAGAGAAGGCAAAGGATCTGGCTGATAGGCTTGTGTCCGCCTTCGACTCGCCGTCTGGTGTTCCCTATGCGAGTGTAAACCTTGCTAAGTACGAAGGTATACCAGCTCACGACGAAGGCGGCGCATCATCCACTGCTGAAACAACCACCTTGCAGCTTGAGTTTAAATACCTTGCCAAGTTGACTGGCGAGAAGTACTTCTGGGACAAGGCTGAGAAGGTAATGCAGGTCGTTGATGATAATGGGGCCAAGGATGGGCTAGTACCTATCTATGTTCAAGCAAGTGACGGTGCTTTTAGAGGCCACAACATTCGATTGGGAAGTCGGGGAGATTCTTATTATGAGTACCTCATCAAGCAGTACCTGCAGACAAATAAGCAGGAACCCATCTATTTGGAGATGTGGGATGAGACTTTACAAGGTGTCCGCAAGCATCTTGTTACATACACAGAACCCTCCGGGTTTACTATCATCGGAGAGAAACCCGACGGTTTAGAGGGTAATCTGTCCCCTAAGATGGACCACCTGGTTTGCTTCATGCCAGGCACAATTGCCCTGGCCGCCACTGGCGGTTTGACAGAAGCAGAAGCCAAGAAACTACCCACATGGACGAAGAAGAACGAGGCCGATATGAAGCTTGCAAGGGAGTTGATGCAGACATGTTGGGGTATGTATAAGTGGATGGCCACGGGACTGGCCGCAGAAATCACCTACTTCAACATCGCCAGTCCGCCTCTCCCTGAATCCGCTCCACACCATCCTCCTGCCGAGTTTGACGAAGACCCTAACGCGACATGGCGGAAAGACTACAACGTCCACGCCATGGATGTCCACAATTTACAGCGGCCGGAGACGGTAGAAAGTCTCTTCTACATGTGGAGAATTACCGGAGACATTAAGTATCGTGAATGGGGTTGGGAGATGTTTAAATCATTTATGAACCATACTGCTGTCCAGGATGGCGGTGGGTTCTCAAGTCTTTCGAATGCGAATAAAGCGCCTCCAGTATTACGTGATAACATGGAGAGCTTTTGGCTAGTAAGTTGTTAACCAAACATCCCGCATATTTAATGTCCCCATTTACTAATTTGAATACTTTTTTTTTTCTAGGCGGAGACATTGAAATACTTCTATCTCCTCTTCTCACCAGACGACCTTCTTCCCTTGGATAAGATTGTCATTAACACGGAGGCGCACCCGCTCCCGCGGTTTGACATGGGCCAATTATTTTCGACAGGCTGGAAGCGAAAGCCAAGGGATGCGGATGGGAAAATAATTAAATGAAATACGTACAGCGAGCTACTGATTTAGCATTTACGGACGTGCATTGCATATATTACCATGAACTATTTTTGTTTTTAAAAGCATCATTGGCGTAGTAAATGTAATATTTTTAAGGGACTTCAATGTTGTTGTTGTTTTACGTTTGCTGCATGTTCATTTTTATACGGCGCATTTCCAATCTGTACAAAACTTAGTAAGTTATCACCATGCTGTGGGGGGCTTACCTGGCTGCCTGGGTCTGTGGTACATACATACCTAGGTACGTATCCAATTTTGACTTATCACTTGCATGCATATCCGACCATGCTTAAACCATCAAGGTTTGCTCGTGTCTTTAATGACGTGGATGCTTTATTACTAGAAGATCTGTGTACATATATGTAAGAGGAAAGAGCTGGATCTGATCTACATCGATCATAGCAGGATCTATCTTATTACCTAAAATGACCCATCAGCCCCATGTACGCACGTTATCTCTCTTTCACTAAGCCTTCGACAGGGGTTCTAGCCATTCTGCCATTAGGTAACCAGGGTATGTCCGCAATTAGCTACAGTGGCCGATAAGACGTCCAATCCTCTGTATATCGTATACCCTCAACTTCCTCCATATCTCGCCTTTTCTTTCTATCATCTCGTTTTCGCATCATTAACCTTTATATCCTCCCCAATCGACCGCATGCCTCCGTCAGCCTCGCCGATTATACCTCCTCGAAAACACTCACCTCTATTATCCTGTCTTATTCGATTGTCGACGGGCACGTGCCCCCCGCCACGGCGGCGGACACTCCAATGAACTATCCTCATCATGCCGCCGTCCAATCGCGACATCGAGATGAATATATTTCCCATTAAGGAGGACTCCCTCGCGCACGGGAGCAGCTATACCATGCGGGAACCTCTATACGAAGACACAGTGCCCCCGCGATTCTTCGATCGGCTAGTCGACGGATTCCGACGAGACCCCAGCCAGCGCGTAACGCCCGAAGACCCTCTCGACGAGATCCACGCCGCCGAAGCCGCACAACTCCACCCTATGTTAAGCGGAAGCGCAAGAGGGTCGCAACCACATTACTATGATGTAAGATTGGCGAATTTGCAGACGGCGCAATCGCACCTTGCACGGAAGTTGAAGGGTCGCCATTTGCAGATGATTGCGATAGGTGGATCTATAGGTACTTAAGACCTTTATACCGGCTCGTCCCAATTTTTAAGTACCGAGGACTAGACTGATTGAACGTCAATTGAAAAGGAACTGGATTGTTTGTTTCTTCAGGTCGCGCTCTCGAGGCTGGTGGACCAGCTTCGTTGCTTATCGCATATCTCTTCATCGGTTGCATGTTGTATTGCACCGTCCAAGCCCTCGGCGAACTTGCTGTCTGCTTTCCAGTAGCAGGGTCCTTCTCTGCCTATTCGACACGTTTTCTGGACCCTTCGTGGGGCTTTGCAATGGGTTGGAAGTATGTCTTCTCCTAATTGGCTGCGCTCGTCCCCTATAATAGACTTGAAGATATGACTTACACCACTTACTAGTTACGCATTGCAATGGCTAGTCGCATTACCGCTCGAAATCATCGCTGCATCTATAACCATAACATATTGGAACCCCGATCTTAACAAAGCTATTTTTGTGACCGTGTTCTTATCCGCTGTTGTCGGGATTAATCTATTTGGTGTCAAGGGATATGGTGAGGCCGAATTTATCTTCGCTATCATTAAAGTTGTTGCTGTAATTGGCTTCATGTAAGGCTTCCCTTCGCCAATCTATTTGGATAGAATTCTGTCTTTACTGACCTTCCTACCTCAAGCTTGCTAGGTATTGTCTTGAATATCGGAGGTGTTCCGGGTGGTGGATATATTGGGGGTTTGTATTGGCGGACTCCAGGCGCGTTCCACAACGGCTTCAAAGGTCTTTGCAGTGTCTTTGTCACCTCCGCTTTCGCCTTTGCCGGTACGGAATTAGTCGGACTTGCCGCGGCGGAAACAGCGAACCCTCGAAAATCACTTCCCACGGCTATCAAGCAGGTATTTTGGCGTATAACATTATTCTATATCGTGGCACTGTTTCTTATTGGGTTGCTTGTGCCATACGATGACCCACGCCTACTGATCCCCGGCACATCCGCCGCAGCATCTCCTTTTGTCATCGCAATCGAAAATGCGGGAATCGAAGTGCTCCCCTCGGTCATGAACGTCGTTATCTTGATTGCCGTTCTCTCCGTCGGAAATTCTTCCGTTTTCGGCTCCTCGCGTACCCTTGCCGCGCTCGCGGACCAGAACCAAGCACCGAAAATCCTATCCTACGTCGACCGTCGCGGACGGCCCTTAGTTTCCGTCGTTGTCGCATCCTCGCTAGGGTTTCTAGCATACCTCGCCGAATTAAAAGACCAAAGCGTCGTACTCAACTGGCTCACCGCCATCTCCGGACTTTCATCCATCTTCACCTGGGCCTCCATCTGTCTAGCGCACATCCGCTTCCGCCGCGCGTGGGCCCGTCGCGGTCATAGCGTACGAGAACTAGCGTTCCAGTCGCAATGCGGCGTCTTTGGATCGTACCTCGGCTTGTTTTTCAATATCATGGTGCTCATTGCCCAGTTCTGGGTCGGCGCGTGGCCTGTCGGTTGGCAGGAACAGAGCGCTGCCCAGCTAGCGAATAATTTCTTCCTGCAGTATACCGCGGCGCCTGTCGTGATTCTGTTTTATGTCGCGCATCGGTTGTATACCCGTACTTCGTTTATTAAAACAGCTGATATGGATATCGATACGGGAAGAAGAGATTTCAATCTCCCGATTCTGCTCGCGCAGGAGGCGGAGGAGAGGAGGGGATGGCCGAGGTGGAAGAAGATCTATAAGTTGTTGTGTTGATAAAGGATATGTATCCCTTGTGTTGCTTTTTAGGAATAGGGAGGTCGCCAAAGAGGGAAAAGGGGATTAGCTTACGTCATGACATTAGATGGGTGTTTAGGTGTTTTTGCTTTTTGGTGAGAGAGAAAGAAGGGATAAACTGTACGATAGTTAGATACTTGTTAGGTATGGGAGCGAGGCGTTTGGTTACAATGTTCATATATGTAGAATCTAGATAGATTCTATCTTGCGTTTAATTTTATTAATTTAGTTAATATCTCGCAAAGTATCAAATATGTTCGTTGTTAATTGAAACATTTTTAGGATTTTATTAAGTGATAATGATTTTATGATAGGTAGACTGGTGATGCGTTGTGATACTCGGCCTTAATACTACTATTATTAACCTGTCGAGTCTATAATCAAACTAAGTCACGATGCAAGAATCACATATTCCTGTTGATTCATTTTTTGTTATTTATGTGCCATTACAGGAGAAAGTAGATAAAATAAGTTATGTGCGGGCTGACAGAATGTACATAGCGAAGTAGACGATTGTACAGCCAGGAATCGAAGAATAGCAATGACAACAGAAGTAGGCTCATAAACCCATCCCGACAGGCCTAACCGTCGTAGCGTACAGTCGCCAAATTGATACAATAACTCTCCAACATCAAATGCTATCGTCAAACTAGGCACAGCCATTCTATACCTATGAAAAACTGATACTCAAACAGGGTTCGGAGGTTGATCGTCCTCTGTTCCGAGCATGATATTCCTGTTGCTCTCCTCCATGTCTACAGGCGTAGGTACAAAATAAAACAAAAATTGTCTCGTCTTCCTGGCATTCTTCTCATTAATTCATAAGCGACATCTAGGCATTTCCGTTCGTAGTAAAAATAAATGTTCGCGTCAATTGCCGTTCGCACTTGAGGGTACGAACGTTTTCTTAGCGTTTATGATTACGCCGGGTCGCCTAAAATTCCCAATCAAAGTCTGATCTTGCGGTCGCGGGCTTGGGTTTCCTGGTTCCTGGCCTTTGAACAGGTTGAACTGGGTGGTCCTCGTCTACGTCGTCGCCGAATAGCCAGTTACGGTTGGAGCCCTTACCACCGCCCATTCCATCGCCGCCGATGTGGATTCCTCGGTCTCCATCGGCTCTAGAACGGCCTGGCACCACAACGGGTTTGTTCTCCTTTTGCACAGGAGATTGTTCGTAGTTCGTCCAGTTGGCGTCCATCATCTTGACAACCTTCTTCGTATCTTCCCCTACCACAGGCTTAGGTTGCACCTTCGCTCCGGGTGAATCGTCGACCATTTTCCAATGAGCCTCGAAATCTCGGCCACGGTCCTTGAGGTTTGTGATAGCTCCTAGGGGCTTAGGCTCGCCGGCAGGAGCCGATCCGTTTCCTTCCTCGCTGTACAAGTTGTTCTTGTATAAGCCGAGCTCTGTGTTTTGAGTGGCACCACGAGGTCGCGAAGCACGGGGTTCACCACTGGGGATGCCATCGTCAACGAATTCGAAGTGGGTCTCGGCGTCGCGACGAGGCTTGCCGGGTGCGGCCTTGCGCACGGGACTGTCCTGGACTTCGTCGTCCTCAGTTCCCCAGTGGCGCACATTTTGCTGTTGCAAAAACTTGGATGGCTTGGCTTTGTGTGGAGTTGTGAAGTCATCGAAAGACCATTGGCTAGTATGCTTAGTCTTTTTGGGAGCAGGATCACTTGGTTGAGGTAGGTTCTCAGGCTCGTCAGAACCGTCACCAAAATCGAAGTGATTGTACTTCTTGGGGTTGGGGCGATAGTGACGATTGGGGGATGCGGTGGCCTCCGGCGAGTTAGGCTCGTCCAAGCCCTCTTCTTCCCCAAATAGACGGCTAGGTTGAAACTTCTTGTCGGCGCCGGCTTTGGGAGCAACCGCCTTACTCGGCGACTCGGATCGTTCGCGACCAGGAGCTTCAACCGGTTCATCACCCAGAATCTCGGTGAAATCGCGCTGTCGCGGTCGGGCTCCACCCCTAGGGGAGATGACGGAGGCTATACTCTCGTCAATTTCTTCGCGCGGAGCGAATAAGGACAGAGAAGCATGAGGATCGCGCAGGACGTTGGTCGAATTGCCACGAGAGCGAACAGCAAGACTATAAGAATCTTGGTCCGGGTTGGCATCGTTGGATGTCTTTACGCACGCCTGGATCAATTTAATCTGGTCTTTAGTGTCACGAATAGGCCAATTGCGACCTAACTTGCCGATGACACCAAGCTGCTTGAGCAAAGAGCCTTGGTCCCAGGTCTGGCGAATCTGTTGGATCTTGCCACTGTTGTCAAAGGTGACAATGTGTGTCTGAGTCGCAAATTAGTTAACCAGCAGATATAAGCATATCAAACACTGGAACCTACAATTGGAAAATAGACAGTGTTGTCTGCTACAAAGTTGTCGTCTAGACCAGGTAGGTAAGGCCCACCGTTGATAGCGAACTCAACTTCCGTGTTAATCTCGGCGACAACAGCATTCTGATTTTCGACAACGAAAAGCAAGTCTTCCTTTTTCTTCTTGAGTTGTTTGGCCGCAGTGTTGAAGTGTTTCAAAATTTCGGCGGGACCCTTAAAGCTAGTTGTGGTTGTGATATAATGGAGGGCAGCCTCGTCAGCTAGTTGGGATGCATCTGGCGCAGCAAGAAACTGCTTGTATAAAGCCGCCAGCGCCATGGTAAGGTAGATCCGTTCGGCTTAGGCGACGCGTAAAGTAATTGGTATGCGACTCTGGATGTGTGTGCGCTATGCGTGTTTTATATCAAACGTTTAAACAGGTAAGGTAAGGTAAGCAACCATCGATAGAAGAGGCGACTATACCGTAAGCAGGCGAGAAGGTAGATGGAAAGCGAAGAGGGATGAGAGACAAAGGATGGATGTGTTAGAAAAGGGGAATAAAAAAAAAGGTTAGAAAAAGGTGTCGCGTTACTGGACAGGACGAAAAACCGGGATGAAATAGATACAAATGTGGTTGCGGCAGGAACTTAGGAGGAGTAAATAACCTATTTAGGTACTAGCCTTCCTTGTACAACCCCGAGATGTTGTATGTTTGTATGTACGTTGAGGTACGTAAGGTACGTGAGGTAAGAAGTAATTAAAAGGGAAGGAACCTGAGACACACTTATCACTTTCCTTCTGTTTACAACCACGAACCCTGTCTAGTCGATCTAGCCGTTCTAGCCTGGCAGCCCAGGTGTTCCGTCCCGTCCCCTGGAAGTGCGAACCTAAAGTTTACTATTATTATTCCAATCTCTCGATTTGTTCATTAGTATATTACCTCGAGCCTTGTAATAGTATACACCTGTATAGATGGACGGATGCATAATTCCAATTGTCTTAGCCTAAATATCTATGTTACAGATATCATAGATGTTTATATGAGTGTTTATAACATATAGACTGATTAGTTGCTAACAAACACGTTGATACACGGAACTGGGTACCTCTTCAACTAGAACATTGTTGTATAAGAAATGACACTTACACTAACAAGTCGCCGGCTGTCGTATTGTTGTTACCAATTTATGCCCGGAGATTTAATGGGTGGGGCGAGGGGTTCAGGAGTTCCAAAACAAAGCCCCCACGGTGGCTTTCTATAAAGCTGATGATAGGCTGTGCTATACCTACCTACATTTGAGGTTACTTTAAGAGGGTCTATACATGTACTTGTCATTGTTCTAGAAAGATCAGGATAAGAATGAAATATAAAAGACCATCAAGTAAATAGCATATCATTTTCCTAAATCAAAATGTAACTGGAACAATACCAAAGCAGAAGTACCCCATACCTCGGGAAAATAGTGGCGTACCTAAACTGGATCGATACGCATAGTACATATGCAGCATAGAAAAGACGCCTTGACCTTTTAGGAAAGGTGTGTTTCAAGTATTGCAGGGATTTGGCTCGTTTCAGACGAAATAGAGGGTCGAGGCTAAACATGCTGACACGATCGTTTTAAGAGCCAACTCAAAATATAGTTCAGCTATTATATAAACGACGTTGAATGTTCTTTACTACATGTATTAATAGTAGATTATCTGGACTTTGAGACATCTAGATCTTATGCAAAGATGCAGGCACTGTTACGAATAACGCTTATTAATCAGCTTTATTTGTTATATGTACAACCCATATGGACTTTCATCAACCTCATCACTAACTTTCCCTATGAGAAAATAAGGAGTGCATTTGCAATGAAATATGAAGAATTCCTAGCGTTCTGGCGTTCCGGCTCGACTAGGGGTGGGTAAATTTGACGTCAATTATACTTATTAGGCATTATTTCTCGCTGCGCATTCACCAATGTCTACTTTATGTCTCCAATTAAATTTCTACGTCAACGATTATGCAAATCATTCATGTATAAATACGTGAGTAAGTAACTAGGTATTCATGTACCTGCCCGATTGGAAAAGCCACAAAGGCAACATTGGACTTGTGGCAAAACACAGGAGCTGAGCCCCTAATAGCGCGTATGTACCTAAGTATCTATATTATGTAATTACTCGATTGGTAAGTACGAGCGGCTACGTAGGCGGATACTTGTACCAATGTTAGAGCTTTTGCTTCTAATCCTTGAAAGTCCGCGCGGCGCATTTGGGAAAGCTGAGACTTTGACCAAGTACATACTAACAGATTAACAACTTGAACTGTTGATGACACTTAACGCTGTGATCGATATTCGACGTCAAGCCATTTTCAACCCATCATCTCTTTCCTTTTTACTCTTTCTACTAGAATTCCTGGAGAAATAAACGGTCAAATCATCTTTTTTTTATTGTACCATTATCACACTAATACGTAGCTCTTCTGCCTGTTTTCAACACTGTGCTAGTCCAAATCCCTTCATCCGCTGCCCTTCCACGAGCCATCTAACCATATCCATTTCTAATCCACTCGCCGTGGAACCGAACTCTCTGTCATGACCTCCACGTTATCATAAAAAACCACGTAACCATGAGGGCCAGGGGAGCTTCGGGGCCTGCGGCTTCGCTGTGGTCGGTTTTCCTCATTCTATCGACCCTTTTATGGACAGCATCGATTGTCCACGCGAAAAACGGCCCGACCATCGTCGCCAGAGAATTCGAAAACCCACCTATTCCGAGAAGCCTGAACTATTTCAAGCGCTCCAACGTTGTCCTATTTCAAGAAGCTTTGGTTGGCACTGTTTGGCGATCGACCGATGGAGGCGCAAATTGGTCCAAGGCGGATGGCATCGAGCACGACAAAGCCGCCGCCATAGTTATGCACGAGTACGATCCGGATCGCGCCTATATTCTTACCCATGGCAACGTCCACTGGAAGACAGATGATAAAGGAGAAACATGGAAAACCTTCTTTACCGACGCGTACACGAGCAATTTCATCGGTACAATTGGTCACTGGATGAGCTTCCACGCTGGCGACAAGGACAAGATTATGTTTACCGGCATGGACTGTCCTTTGGCAGACCTCTGCGAAGAGGTTGTCATGTATACCACCGATAATTTCGAGTCCGATGCCAAATTCTTACGCGGACGTACTCAGGGCTGTTGGTGGGCTAAGTCATCGCCACTCTTTTCTTCGGGCCAGGAAGACCTCGACGCGCAGAGAATATTGTGTATCGTTAGGGGAGGTATTTTTTCTCCGCAGGAGGACAACCGTCTTTTGATTTCCGACAATTTTTTCAGCGCCGAGGCTGCGGACGGTGTTATTCAGGAATTCGAGCCGAATTTGATCGGAGATAGCTCTGTCCGAGGTATCGTGAGCATAGTTGAAGTCAAGAAGTTTCTCCTAGTAGCTGTTAGCTCACTCAATACGGCTGAGATGGCCCTATTCGTAAGCGGCGATACGCTAAAGTGGCACCGTGCTGTCTTCCCCCACGACCACCCTCTCCTCGAAGCCTCGTACACAGTATTAGAGAGTACCAATTATAGCATTCAGATCGACGTCAGGTCGAGCAGGCGGTTGTCCAATTCCATGGGCACACTGCTGACTAGCAATTCAAACGGTACCTACTTTACCAGGAATGCCGAGCATACAAATCGCAATATGGGTTCTTTTGTCGACTTCGAAAAAGTCTCTAACATCCAGGGTATTTTTTTACTAAACCAGGTCGATAACTGGAAAGAAGTACAGGACGGGGAAGAAGACAAGAAGATCAAGACTAAGATCACTTTCGACGATGGTAGAACTTTTGAGTCCGTCAAGACAGGAGACGAGGAAGTTCATTTACACTCTGTCACTGAGATCAACAACGTCGGCCCCGTCTTTTCGAGCCCAGCGCCAGGCCTCATCATGGGCAATGGTAACCATGGTGGCCATCTTAAAGGCTACTGGGACTCGCGCCTCTATATTTCAGATGACGCCGGAAGAACGTGGATTGAAGGTCCTAAAGGACCACATAAATACGAGTTTGGAGACGAAGGGTCTATTCTCCTCGCTATCAGGGATAGCAAAGAGGATGACGTAAAAGAGATTAGATATTCTTTGGACCATGGGAAGAACTGGGAGACAACAGAATTGCCGGATGGTTTAAGTATCCATCCCTATACGCTACAAACGACCCCAGACTCGACTAGCCTAAAATTTCTTCTGACTGCTCGAAAGGGGCCAAGGACGTCACCAACTGGATCCTATATGATCTCGATCAATTTCGAGGGCCTACACGAGGATACCTGCAAGGAAAGCCAGATGGAAGACTGGTATGCTAAGCTAGATGACGAGGGTAATCCAGGTTGTGTGATGGGCCACAAGCAAAAATTCCACAGGCGGCAGAAGGACGCCGAGTGCTTCGTTAAGCATGAGTTTGAGATCATTACCCCTGATTTTACTCCGTGTGAGTGTACCGATGTTGATTTTGAGTGTGATTTTAATTTTGTGCGCGACGGGGACGAATGCAAGTTGGCTGCATCTCTTGTGCCCCCCGAGGGCGCTTGCACGGCAGACGACCCAGATGAGAAATTCATGGGTTCTTCCGGTTGGCGTCTCATCCCTGGAAACGAGTGCGAGCGTAGTGGGGGTGAACAGAAAGATAAACAGAAGGAGTGGAAGTGCTCCGATGCCAAGAGCCCGTCAAACAAGCCTGGGAGTAATGAGATCGAGCATATCCAATGGCCATTCGATGGTGATTATAATTTATTCGATAAACACTACTTCGAGCGTGGTGAACTGGATGAGTTTGACGAGACAATCATCGCTAGACCATACAAGGCCACCACTGGACTGGCGGGCGATATTTACGTCACACATGATCACGGCAAGAACTGGACGAAGGCCAAGCTCCCCGGAAAAGAAGGAATTCATAATATCTTGACTCATCCTTATGTCAAGGATAGAGCCTTCTTCTTGACAAAGAAAAACAAAGTCTTCTATACAGTCGACCGCGGTCGACATTTCGACTACTTTGAAACGCGAGACCCGCCAGATCCCTCCACGAATGAACCACTGAAATTTCACCCCAATCGGCCAGATTGGCTTATATGGCATGGGCAGAAATGTCATGATAGCGGCTGCCACATCGAAGCCTCCCTTTCCAAGGATCGCGGCGATAACTGGGAAACGATCAAGCGATTTGTCAAGAGATGCGACTTCACGGGCTCAACGGCGTACCAGTTCCGTAATCTAACACAGATCGTTTGCCTCGGAAAGAAGCGTGAAGACAACGAAGTAGATAATCCCTTTGAGCTTTCCTATAGTGATGATTTTCCGAGGTACCAAATGAGCGCAGCTGTTCAGAACGTCACCGAATTTGCGAAAATGGCCGAGTTCATTGTTGTCGCAACAGAAAATAAAACAGACGAAGGGACCTATCTCAACGCCCTCGCTAGTCTAAACGGACGGGACTATGCGCCAGCCCATTTCCCATACAACGTGGAGATCCCCCATACGGATGACTACACCGTACTAGATAGCTCAACACATGCTATCAATCTGTTCGTGGTGACTGAATCCGAGGAAAACCACCGCTACGGATCAATCCTTAAGAGCAATTCAAATGGAACATCTTACGTCCTAAGCATTGCCGGTGTCAACTGTGACAATGAATACTTTGTTGACTTCGAGAAGATGCTTGGCTTGCAAGGTGTTGTGCTGGTTAACACCGTTGAGAATAGGGGCAGCGAATCGGAGCGGAAGAGACTCCAGACGAAAATCAGCCACAACGATGGATCGCAGTGGGCATTCTTGCCCCCTCCAGAACGGGATCTCGACGGCAATGAATTCAGCTGTTATAGCAAGACGGGCGACGAGTCATGTGCCCTGCATCTTCATGGCTATACTGAACGAGTAGATCATAGGAAGACGTATTCGTCCGAGTCGGCAATCGGCATCATGTTTGGTCTCGGCAACGTCGGCCCCATTCTCGGCGATCCCAAAGATGCTGACACGTTCATGACGGCCGACGCTGGATTGACCTGGAAGATGGTGAAGAAGGGAGGTTGGACATGGTCTATCGGCGACCAAGGATCCATCCTTGTCCTCGCACAGAGGAACACGCGGTCCAAGGCCATATCCTACTCGCTTGATCGCGGTGATACCTGGGAAGACTACACTTTCTCAGAAGGTGAAATGGTCATTACCGATATCACAACTCTACGATCTGGTTCGTCCAGTAATTTCATCCTATGGGGCAAGCAAGGGGACAAGCTTTTCACTGTCAACCTCGACTTCTCGGGTCTAGCGTCCGAGCCATGTAAGGATGACGAGGACCGGGAAAAATCCGACTACGAATTATGGTCACCCGAACATCCTTTGCAGGAAAACCACTGTCTATTTGGCCATAAGAACTATTATCTACGCAAAAAGAAGGACAGAAAATGCTATAATACTCGCAAGCTTGAACCTTTGTACGGCACCGAAAACTGCGAGTGTACCCGACAGGACTTCGAATGGTGAGTATAGAAATGAGAGCATTGCCTACAAACTACGTGTCAGTAGCTAACTATGTCACTAGTGATTATAACTACGAACTGGATAATCACGGATATTGCACATTAGTCGAGGGTCTTGAACCCCTTGACCCTGAGCGTGTATGTAAGGAGAACCCCGACGAATTTGAATACTACGAACCCAGCGGCTTCCGCCGAATTCCCTTGACGACTTGTAAAGGAGGTTTCGAGCCCGACAAGGCACTCACGCCCCATGCCTGCCCTGGCCATGAGGAAGAGTTCGAAAAAGCACGTGGTATTTCAGGCATTGGTCTCTTCATTGCTATTGTTGTTCCCATGGGTTTTGCTGCAGCGGCTGGCTGGTGGGTTTACCGCAACTGGCAAAGCAAGTTTGGACAGATTCGACTCGGCGAACAAGGCGGTCTTGATAGCGAATCGCCGTTGGTTAAGTACCCCGTGGTTGCTGTTTCGGCAGTGGTTGCGGTTGTTGGTGCCTTGCCTCTTGTCGTAGGCGGCTTATGGCGTGCCGCCAGCTCTGTGATAGATAAAATCAGGGGTAGGGGAGACAGCGGCGGTCGGTATAGCTGGCTACGCGGGGGCAGCCAGCGAAGATTCACGACAAGGGATAGTTTCGCCCGCGGACGAGGTGACTACGCCATCGTGGATGAAGATGAAGGGGAGCTTCTCGGTGATGATAGTGACGACGAAGTTTGAGCAATGAGATACTACTTCCGTTGTTGCCTCGGGTTGGTGGTGGGGAAAAGCAAATGTATTAGCAACTCAGGAGGCGTACCGGCAGGGTTTAGGAAATTCATGGCAATTTAGGGGGTGGAGTGGTATAGGTGTAAGAGCCGTAGCCATCATCATGGACGGTGGCGGGGGCCATCTACAACTAACCAGTGTAACAAGTACGATGGTAAAGACAAGTTCTTGGGTTTCCTTTTTTGTGATTAGCATCGCTATTAGAGTCTAGGAGTAATAGGGGTGGTTTGCTTGCTTACTGTACGTAAGCTTGTATACTGACAGTGGAATTTGTGTATCAGCTTTTTTCCCTTATCTAATTTACTACCTACCGTATAAGCTAGATGGTCGTGTAGTTGCGCATCGGATCGGAGGCATTGTTCCAGTTGGATGGATAGAATAGTGTAGACGAATAGAATCCTCTCATGCCCTACTTTCCTTATGGTATACAATGCGCAATAACTGAGAAGTGTATCTATGTCCACGTGGATTTCTCCTATTTTTCGCATGCGTGGATTCGTCGCTTAAGTACGGCGCAAAATGCCGGATAGTGGGCAATTTGTACATTCAGGCTACAATATCTTACAAGTTACTTGGTTCTGCAACAGCTTCACACTTCTTACGGGTGAGTTTTCTATTTATATTAGACGAAAGTTCACTCCTGGACCTTGCATGGTTATTGATAATTACTGTCGAATATCCACGTGGTATATATGACTCTTTAAGATGCGAAAGGCTGTCGGCCGACGCGTCCGATACTCCTGGATGGATGGATATGGATATGTACCTATAGATGAAAGAAATGCAGGAACAACAAAATATGGTCATCAATCCGATCTAGTCAGCCACATACCTTGTCTTCTTTCCTCTTCCAACTCTATACTACGTATGTATATATCTCAACCCCCTAGAAGAGGGACAGAGGGAATTCTCCATGGGCTACCTAGGCTGCTAGGTATGTATGAGTTGTAGATGCATGCAACGTGCTCGGGATACAACGTCGAGATGTTAAAAGGGAAACCCCCTTGCGCATGGTGTTCGTTTTCTATTGGATTCTTTTGTCGATTCTTTTCCGTTCTTATTATTATGCTCATTTTCCCAATTTTATGCTCGTGATTTATGAAAATTACCTACCCTTATCAGATCCCGTCAGCCCGTTTCCGTCTCCGTTGTCGCCTTTTTTATTATTGCACTAGGTATGTAAGTAATAAGTCATTTATGTAAATCATTCTCTCCCCAGTATCGTCATCAAATCCGGCCCGGCTTTCTCGTCCGACAAAAAAATAATAAAAACAAGTTTTATTATACATTATGCTACTTTCCTTACATACATGCCCAGATACCTTGGTGCATGTCTGGATAGAGAGACGGCATTCTCCATGTCCCGTAAGCCATAAACAACGAACACGGGCTCAAGTACCTAATCTGTCGACTCTGTCCTACCAACCAACTTTATGCTTATGCCTATGATTCATGCTCGTATCTATCGTAGGTACATACGTATTAAATCTGGCGGTCTGACCTTGCAAGCATCGCACAGACTACTTGCCCATAAGCTGGAAGCGTCTGGTCTAAGTATGTACGTAGGGTATGTATAATGTACGTCGAGCGGCGCCACTAGGGAGTGAAGGGGGGAAAAACAAGAAATCGGATGGCGCCCCCCCCCAAAATTCAGTGCCAATCCCCTAAAGCTAAAAGATTAGGTACTAATATAGGTACCTCGGTATAAATGTAAAGGTGGGAAAAGACACTAAAAAGGATCCATCACAAAGGCGCTACGCCCGTACCTGCAGGTCTCGAATCTCTTGGCTTTGCCCTGCTGGGCGAACTGACACTATATATGATGTGCAAAGAAAAGAAAGAAAGGGGAAAAAAAAAAATTAGTTTCTAACTAAGGTAATCTAAGGTATAGCACTATATAGAAAGCGACGCTAGCAATGCCCTAAAAAAGAAGCCAGCGCTACCTTCGCAAGTAAGGGCCCTTTAAAGGATTCGAGCCCCATGTCCACCCCGGCGTTCCAACTATTTCGTCTTGGGAAGAAAATCTACAAAGTACGCTGCTAATTATGTGAGAGAGCTGGTAGGCTCACCGCTCAGGCCCCCTGGATCTACGTGTCCCGCATAAATCCCAAGTCTAAGTAATCCTAATGCCCCGCCTGCTGTGCGCATCACATAGCGCGCGCTATCTCTACTATTTCACGTCTCGGCGGGAAGAATGAATAATTAAATTCGATAATCAGAAGACTTCGGGGAATATAATCTACAGGGTCCCCTGGCTTTAGTATAATATATTCAACATTTAGGCTAATGGTTGCGGTGACCAAGATTTCTTAAGGCTAGTAAGAAAGTAGTGTAGCAAAAGTAAAAGGACATAATAATAAGGGATATTTTTTTTTTCACCACTGCTCTTCCCCAGCACATGTCTCGATGTCTCATAGCTGGCCTGCAAACACAATGGCCTTGCAACAGTAAATAACATTTTGGATACCTCGCCAGTTGCTGATATACCAACTCCTTATAACTCCAGGCAATGATGATTGGTTCCAATTACATAAACGCCAACTTAGAGATGTTTATCACAATCCGACGTCATTCGTTTCGTCCACTCTCTGAAGGCACAAGGGTCGTTATTTCGAAGTAAATAATAAAGGGTATTGAGAACCCCTGAGATAATAAGGACAGAGTAGAAGAGACGGAAAATAGCAGACTCCGTAATCAGAAGGCTATGTTGCTAAGATGCATTTCAAGGACCAGGCTGATAATGCGAAGGATTATAGTCGAATATTCCGCCGAGCTAACCTCGCTATAGCTGGCCCGTGTCCGTATCATTTAATTTCGCCGTACTCGATTCCAGAGGCGCTTCATGACATTATTGTCTGCTGAGGCCGGGGAACCAAGCTCCTGATCGATTTCTGCAAAGATCTTATCCATGCTCTCTTTAGGAGCGTCTCTGGCGTAAGAAGAAGGCGTACGCATGTCATCTCGTAGTGCTAGAATCTGGGATGGTTTGCTCGAATGGCGTGAATTTTTCTGCCATCCATACATTTGGTCCTCGCATGCCCTCAAATCAGGCCTGGTAAGCGTCATGCGCAGCGTCATCTCACGAGAAGCGGCAGGTACTTGTGCATAACCTTCCGGGAGCCTGGACGGGTAATCATTGGTGCTAGAGCGTTGCAGAGGTTTTACTGCATGTTTGTCTGGCGTGTTTGGGGTCTTAGGTGATTCAGGATCCGGGAGTGACGCATCTTCGCTGTAGGTAGAAGACCGATCATCCGAGAGGAACGTCTTAAACTTCTCCGAATCCGGAGAAAACATAAAGCGCGAGTAGCCCTGCGCATTAGATAAATCCCTGCCTGTGCTTGCTGACGGAGGATCATTTGAGGGGAAGCCAAATTCGATTGCTTCATCAAATTTTTGCGGTGAAGCAAGGTAGACCCGCAATTTCAGCCGCGCCTCGGGGTCTTGATAGTGAGCCGCCCCTGGGTCAATCGAAGAGATTGATTCGTGTGCACCGTGCTTTGGGGTAATAAGAGATAAGGCTCTGGATTTTCGTCGTACCGGCTGCGGGTAAGCAAACTGGCTCGGCGATGCTGAATGAGCGGTAGGGGGCGCGGCGTCTTTTGTCCCAGGCCGACTCGAAGAGATCGACGGACGACCAAACGGGATCTTGGAGAAGGATAGATGTCGCCGGAATGAAGGGGGTCTCGGATCCTGGGGAGGCACAGAAACTGATTCCTTTAAATTTACATGGTAATCGTCGAGAGCAAGACGAAGATCCAGGTCGTCATCTTCGTCTAACCATCGGAAGCTATCGTAAAGCGCATCGGGGGCGCCGGCGGAAGCATTATCACTGGATATTGACTCCATGCTGGCTCGCGGTGACGAAGATAGAGTCGGCGGATAGTGAGGAGGAGGGGAAGGACGTCTGGTCGCGAACCGGCCCGCCTTCAAGAAAGCCTCATCGGCAGCATCCAAGATAACGCTCTGTCTCAAGTGTTTAGCAATTATGAGCTGTTCCTCCCTAGTAAGATGTTTTTCTCTAATCTTAGCGGGAAGTCTAGCGAGGAACGCAGAGTCGACCGAGGCTGCGTGATGGCGACCCGAGGGAGCAGTAGTTGGACGATCCAGCGTCTTGCCGGGAGCGGCGGCGCTGAGAGACGCTCCACGAAGTTTACTATGGTGTCGACGGGCGTCCCTGTTGGCGTCGCTCGGGGTGTCGAGGATGCCAGAAGTTTGGGCAAGACGCAAACGTTCCAGGGTGGAGAAGTACTGTAGAAGAGAGGGGGCAAAAGAATTTAGTAAAGACACTGGCGGAAATCTGTGATATGTATGTAATGGAACGGGGGTCAAGTGTGCTCTGATGCAGGAACGGGCATAGTAAAGACACCCATGCATGCATGAAGATGCAGGCCTGCACTCGCAATGGCCCAAAGCGTTGCAATGTACAGCGCGATAGATATTACCCAGCTTGGTTTATACCCATCTAGGGCAGGCCCGGGGGGTAGGTGGACTAGTCAGACAGGCAGGATAGGTCGGGTTGGTTGGCTGCTTAGCTACTTGTCGCTCGCTGGCCGCCGCCGCTAAGCTAGCAGCCTATAAGCGAACGTGCTAGGCAAGTTCATTGGCAAACCCCCCCCCCCCTTTTCGTACCCTCCGTACCCTCTGTATCCCCTTCCTATTGTCTGTACGAGAGTTTTAATTGGTAGAGAAGCTTACCACCACACAGCTATGGCGGCGCGTCTCTGCAACCATAAAACTCTTTTTTTGTAGACTGCCCAATCCGAAGAAGAAAGAGTTGAGCCGGTGGGAAATAAGAATTAAGAAAAAAAAACATAATAATTAATACCCCACACACAGAGAACGCCAAATAAGACGTTCCAGTTCGTGAGACAGTAACAGAGACAGCGTGTCGTCCAGAATAATGTTGTGCAATAAAAAATAAAGGGACAAAAAATGCCAACAATATAACTTTGGGGAATACATGTATGAAATTGTAAATGTAAACCAATAATGATTATGTAAAAGGGGAAAAATCGATATGTAAAATAAAATGATTGGAATGGCTTACCTTCCGTCGGATAGCTACGGGAAGAGCCTCAAATTCCTCAATATCTTTTCGTGTCAGATGCGGGTGTGGCGGTAGTGGCGCGACCTCGGCGTTGCTTTGATCCTTTTCGTTCTTCGTCCTACACCTCTTTATGGTGTTATTATTATTGCTATTGTTTGCTGTCGTTCCCGTCTTCCGGGTATTAGATAGTGGCAACCATTGTAGAAGAGAACCGCGCGAATGATTCTGGCTGGAGTGACATTGGTGCGGTTCGTGCGGCCTTCGAGGTCGCGCGGATTCGTGCTGCTGTCGGGCCTGAGCGAGTAGGCTGTTGTGGTAATCTATCCTGCTACCGAAGTCAACGGTAGCTCGGAGGTCTGAATGGTTCCCGTCGCTCGCGAGTCTGGTACTAGTGCTGTGTCGCATTGTTGGCGTACAATAATCACAGATTGATTGGTTCATTCATGAATGACAGTAAGCATTCTTAGGTGAGAAAAAAAGAAAAAGAAAGAGGATTAGATTTGGAAAGGCATGATTGGTATTAAGAACAAGTATTGCAGCTATTGATGGAAGCAGCAACGGCAGCAGCAATAATAACAATGATAAAATGACAAGTTCCAAGTGCTAGGAACTAATAGAGGATAAAAAGGGGAGAATCTTGGAGTGACGCAGAAAAAATGTATGTATGTATTAGAATTGGTGATGAAATGAAACCGCGTTGGTGTTCTGTGCGCATTACCCGGAGAACGAAGAAGGAAAGACCTTAGGTAGGCATGAGTTGAAGCTCACCCCCGGAAAAGTCTGTAGCTACCCGACGGGTACGTGTAAGTGGTACCAGTTAGAGGTTGCACTAGGTTGTACTAGGTAGTACCTGACAGAACGGTTCCTAAGAGCTGGGAATTTCAGGATCCTGACCTCTTAACATTGAACCTTTATTTGCCGTTAGTTGATAAACTATAAAACTATTAGCGAGACGGGACGAAAAGCTAGGCCGGGCTAGGCTAAGCCAGGAACGACATTACCCGATTGAGAAAATCAACTGGGGAAGTCAAAGTCCGTGGGGCTCCACACACCTACTCAAAAACGTGGCTACCAAACTTCGTATGTACTGTTAGAGATACTTGGCAGAGTTACTACTATCTTGAATTCGTGACTACATATGTAGATGAAGTTGCCGTAATTATCATATAGATACATATGTATGCATGGGAGTCAATTTGATTGAATGGCACATTTAGAGCAATATTTAAGCAATACTTATTATATACGTATATGTTAGGTCGCGACATGTATACACGCATGTACAAACTACATAGGTACCTAGGTAAGGAGGTAGTGTGACCGGAATCTTCAATGTTCAGCGTATACATACCTATGTACCTAGGTATGCAGGCCTAGGTCCGTGCCCAAAGCCGCTGCCCGAGGTCCCCTTCTTCCACTTTCTGTTTCCACTTTCCAGCTTCTATCTTGGATGTAATGTACTTGGATACAATTTCAAGCCGCTGACACCTACAACATACGAACCCCTCAAACGCCAATGTATATTCGTGTTACCTGATTCCGTCCTGTGATCTCAACATTCTTGATATCCTTCGCCACAATAAAAAGGAATGTGTCTCGAAATTCACACCTTAGATATTCCCCTTACAGATGGGCGTTGTTCACCCTGGAGACATCATACAATTACATACACCGATGGCCTTTCGGCAAATTCCGCACCACCAGGTCATCTTTCCTTTCTGCTCCCCAAATCCTTCCCAGACACCGAGCACTACACCCTGCTAATTTATTAAATAATCCGCGTCACTATTTCTCCTTATCGATTATGCGATGGTCGAGATCCGAGGGCTCATCCAAATCCCTGCGTCATGTTTGGCGTGGTATAGCGTGCTATAGTAGTATCATCATCCGTCAATAACAATCGGAGCCGGGCGCTTGAGAACGTCTACACAATGGTTTATGGCAAGAGAGAATACGCTACCCAGATCTCCATTCCAACCGGTATCCCTCCGATCTCAAGCCGTATTAAACATTGTCTTTAATGCGAAGCAAAGTGACCCTAATAAACAACCTACCTAGGTAATCTACGGTGCTAGCGGTACACAGGTCGGGTTGCAAGGGTATACACACCAAGAAACCACATGACTGGCATGTTCATGAGGGGAACAACCACGGATGCCGACGAGCTTGGACACGATCTGCTCTTGAAACAGATACGAGCCCAAGCCGCATTAGACACCACCAACCGCCATCACAACACTACTGCTCGTGTCTGAAACGCACATTTCTTGCTTAAGCGGGCTCGTGCAGCACCCATTCATTAGACCTTATCGGTCATATATCACCTATGCACGTGGATATTCAATCAGGATGTGACATCGGAAATCAACTTCAACAAGTTCAGATGTTGAATTCTACCGGTATCATACAAGGACGCATACATATCCCTCCAGTATCCAAGATAATACGCGGCCCCCGATTAGATGATCTAGCTGAAAGAGAAGATCATAGCATCTTGGCTATTCCAATATGTCACATGTCCCTATGCATATCATCGCCACCCATCGTCGCCATCGACACCCTAGTTTATTGCTCCGCTTTGTCCTGGACAATGAACCCAAAAGGGGAGACCTCCGCATTACGAAGAGGACTGAGCATTCACTGGATCATGATACTCGTATACCTTATGATCCCTATCCTTGCCTTTAAGCGATGGCTGTGTGAATGTGGAAATGCCCGTCTTCCTATCGTAGGACTCATAGAGGGATGCCGGCCGCTTGCCACCACCACCGGGGAGATCAACTACGAATTTCGGGATGAAGAATCCCGCGACGGCTCCCTGGACTTGTGCTTCAATGTCCAGAATGGTCGACAGGGGCGTGCGCAGGTGCTCAATTTTTGGTACCATATCGCATTGGTAAACGTAATACTAACAAAATAGTTAGGTCTCGACTACGTTTGTCTGCATAAATCGGAATGGGCGGGTTCTTACTGGCTGAATCGCCATTTTGGCCAACTTCTTTATAAGAGTAATCATGGTATCGATGTTGTCATTGATCCCCCGAAGCAATACTGTCTGGTTACGAACAGTAACGCCCGACTGAAGCAACTTTAGGCTAGCCTGTTCCGTGATCCAGGATATCTCATTCGGATGATTGAAGTGTGTATGAAAGGCCATGTGCTTGCCTGCCTTCCTAGCCTTATCTGACACGCGAATCAAGGAATCTACCCATGGATCTTTATGATCTAGAAACCTCTGCGGCGACACCGCCAAACCTTTCGATGCAAAGCGGAACCTCTCAATGTTCTTCATACCAATAAGTCGATCACCAATATCCTCCAAAAGTTCGGGATGTAAGTAGAAAGCATCCCCTCCAGAGACGACAATATCACGGAGCTCCTCGCGACTCTCTATGTAATCGAAAGCCTGCTGAAGTTTAGCGCGTACGGAGTCTTTCTCTACTTCACCAGTAGCAGGCCCAACTGCATATGACCTTGTGCAATACGAGCAATATGTTGGGCAGACCGAAATTGCTTTGATTGGTTAATCACACGTAATTGGAGCTGAGATTTAATTTAAGAAAGAAAAAAAAAAAAACATACGAAGGAGAAGCGCTTTATCGGGATAACGATGTACAAGCCCTGGAACCGGCGAATCTTCCCGTTCACCTAACGAATCGAGCTTGAGTATGGGGTGGTCTGCTATTATCATAGAGCCCAGTGGTATAAACTGTTTAAAAATCGGATCATTCGCCGGATCTTTCCAATTAATTCTGGCCAACACGTACGGCCTATAAATAAAGTCAGAGCAAGACATTCCCAAGTGTACAGCAACTCCTTCCATCCCCTAGTTACTCGGGATTACTCACATGACACGAAGGGCCATTGCAGATTTTTTGATACCACTCAATACATCGCCAATAAACTCATCACGGCTTTGCAAGCCCCCAACTTCCTGCCTCCGAGGGACCTCATTTGGGAGAGCAACATTGAAAAAGTCGATTAATCCATGGCTCGGTTTTTTTAAGTTCGCCTCGACAACGTGCTAAAGTATTCAGCATGCGCCAGCAATGAAGGGATTTAGTCAACTCTACCTTAACATTCCATCCCCAAGACCCGAACTCATCAAAGGAAACATCTCTCCATGATGGGATTCGGCGCCAGAATTCATCATCAGAACTCGAGGAAGGTTCTGGCTGTATAAAGGTAGGTACACAAGGTGCGGGGGTTAAGGCAGATGTAGGGGATATTGGGGGTATATGAGCAAACTCCGGTATGGGATCAGGCAACGCGAATGTCCTCTGGGAATAAATATGAGATATCCCTCGTGCTGACTGTGGAAAACTCCAAGGCAAGTCCGGTCCCCCCTTTCTACCACTAAGAGCCTGAAGACCCCGACGCATGGAAGAAATCATCCTGTTTAAGCTTGGAAATCTGTTATATATGCCCTGAGTAATGGGGTTGAGGTCGAAAGTGGGAGGGACAGAGATAATATTATCCGTTTAACTTATAGGATATAGAATAGCGAGCTCCCTAGCCAGAACGTAAGGGAAGAGAGGCTTCAAATATTCATGGCATTCTACTCTCCAGCCTCATATTCTTATATACGCCCCGGCATAGTTTGTAAGGTTACTGTCGCTGTTGCCTCCCTTACCACCCTGCGACCGCAATGCCGGCCAACGACAAGCACCAACATCTAGACTATATTCCGATGTCTAGATCGAGATTCTTGCTATCCGTATTTAATATAAGGGATGCGAGTTTAGAGTCCAACAGCACAGACTGCTACGTCTCTGCAGCCTGGCCCAGCGCCTTGGATCTCATACATGATTCTCATTTGCCGGCCTCATGCTAAAGACCATTTACAGACCTAATTCCATGGTGGGTAGCATTCCCTATTGCCGTCTAGCGACCGCATACCCTGGTTGTAGCTGATGGAAAACCAGAAGCCTATACAGTATAACGAGCGATTATTATTTTATACCTCCGAATAGAGCTAATAACTCGCCGATCAACTGCCCGTTCATGAGCATTACTAGCCCTTCTTTAGGCCACCTATATCAGCACAAGCACCCACAACACCACCAAGCCAGTGTACCGAGAAGAATACCGAGAACGAAGGCCTAGTGTTAGTTACCATGAGTTATCAAACTAGGTAAGTCGATGAAGAATCTGCAATCGGCTCAGTGTCCAATAGACTTGTTCCTTCGGATTATACCAACCTGGTAACCCACCGTTCACAGTTTATTCCCATCCTAGCCAGAAGAAAGTCCGCCATTGCCATTAAGAAGGTAAATTTTGGTACCCGGCTCAACGGCTGAGCTTGATGACATATTCCCATTTGATCACCTCACATAACCGCACCCCGACCAACATTTCTCCCACCCTACCAACAAACGTGGCGAGCACCACTGTCAACTATTGGTCTTTTAGCCGCCAGTCGTTCATGCTAGTTTGTATGCTGACACCCTGCCCATCCCACAAAGGAATTCGCTGGCGGCTTATCTCCAGCGATGCGGAACGTAGATCAGATCACGTCTAGACGCAACACTGGCAGCTATAATTTCCATATTGGGGCTAGACACATATAAAGAGGACGCCTGGACCATGATGCAGATCCTGCTGCGTGTCTAGGCTGATAGCAAGCTCGCACAACCACTGTCAATCACTGCTGATTGGGTTCCGCCCATATGGTAATGCCTTCCACACTCTTTAACGAGTAACACCAACACTAATTTCGAGAGAAAAAGTAGAAGAAGCCTCATGGGTTGCCTCTGTTGCGTAAGCGGCCACAGACTCTCGGGGAAAAGCCACAGGCAAACTTTCACAATCGACCATAGGAACCCTAGAGGAATTAGTCTTCCTAAAGTGACCTTTGCTTCCAAGTAGTAATACGTGCTAACTAAGGATAGTAGGATGTTCGCAGTATCTGGTACCAACGTTTCTCTTTACCTGAACACTAGTCGACTCCCCTCGGGATTTTCGTCAAAGCCCGGTATACCCAGTTCCACTGACACGGTAAGTCTTGGGATAGCGGTTATGGAGTGATTGACTACACCGTCGTATGATTTGATCCATACCTCTTGGAGAGGGCGTTGACGGGGATCTTGCCACAACATGAGCAGGTAGTATGCATTACCAAATATCCCCTAACGATTGGTAAGATCAAAACCTGCATAGAGATGGTCTGTCTACCTGGATTATAACAACGAACTAGACAGCAATAGGATCGGGGTTTGTGCGGGGACTGTACCCGATGCCCTCTCCATGGATCGTCGTTTTTCGGGTATGTTTCGACTAAGGAAAAACTTGACCGTATACATTAAGTACCCAATGTTGCGGGATACCGTTAGACGGGTCTGATTTGCCCCTAAAGGAAAGTGGCTTGGAGGTAAGATAACGCAGATCGGACTAAGAAGAACGGTAGCGTGAGCGACGACGAAAAATACGTGTAGTCAATACGGGTGAAGAGCGAATGACGGAGTAAATTCTCTGGGGGAAGAGGGAGCAGAGCCGCACGAATAACTCCAACAATCCAACCCGGATAGACTACAGCAAATGGGGAAGCCGAAGGGCGGTAAAAACGCTCCTAGACGTACCCTGTAGGCCCGTAGGATCAATCGGTGGAGCCCTTGCCAGCAGACGGATGCATGGATGGCCGAGCACGGTGTGAAAGCTGATTTGTCACTAACCGTGGGTTATACGATATCATTGGTCTTCAATGATTGGCTCCCATTCTGTCGGGTCTAGTAGCTTCTGCCATAATACAACCTAGTAAGCTTGTCGCGGTATCGTAGTATTCAAGTCTCCTATTTCGTCACTTAGGAGCCAAACTAGCTATGGGAATAGACGAGTCATTCACGACCACGGGATTGAGGGTGACATCTCATGCAAAATTGGGGTGGATTCATTGTAGCAAGCCCCCCCTTATTTTCCCTTGTAAGCAAATGTTGTCTTGCCACCCTTGTCCCAACGAGTTCGGTTCCGGGTAAAGACCAGTTGACAGGGGTCAAAACGACATCAGCTACTGGCTCCTGGACTCTTCATAGGCTCAAATCTTGGAGACGAAGGCAATTTGTATGGGGCCCCGTAGATCAATCTTCTTCAGCACTTAATCGGGAGTCACAAGTTCGGGCGGTGCGGGCCGCGCTTTTTTCTATACCGACTCGGCCCTCGAAGGATACCTCTGTCGGGCTTGATACACGGCCCGACGCTGTGGTATGGGAAATTATAATCAAGAGGCTATAGGAAGATACTTTAGATTATATGTACATAATTTTCTTCCCAAAGCACAGGACCTGGCTACCTAACGTCCAAGACCTTCTCGTTACATTCTCAACGGCCAACAAGCAAAGGGCCTATAAATCATCCGATAGTGACATCAAGGAAGTCAAATACGATGTTAAACTCATCCTCTTATGCACGGCTGTTGCATTAGTGGCATTTTCGTAGCGACGAGGAAGATACATAGGTTATCTAGAACGAGTGTGGGACAAGGTAAGAGGAGTGATCATTGCATGTGAGTTGACTTTATCATGCTTTGGCTCGCTTTGTAGCCCTGGGGGGCATGGGGCTCTACCATGGTCCTGGATTGAAGTCGCTGACGATTAATTTTGCCCTTGTACCCGAGGGAAAGAGGTAAACCATAAGGCCACTAAGCTACCCACCACGCCATGTATGAAGACCGATCCTACCATAAGCCAGGGGTTTAGCTGATACAACCTACGGCCACAGCTACAGGAGGCTTAGGTGTGAGAACTCGGTTTCTACTGTTAGAAATGTGTTCTCACTTGATTGGGGAGCGATAACGCACCCTCCTTGACGGAAACTCGAGATTCCATTTTTTCCCTCTCATAGTCCTGGGTATCCAGAACCGATTCATCCGTAGGCTCATCGGCGATGTAAATAGAGGGGAAGTGATATTGCCCTTCCTAACCCGTTAAGTCGTTCAGTTGGTTGCTCCCTGCGCGGATAACTCGACGTCAGGATGTAGCTGCCGCTACTGGCGCCCGAGCAAGTTACCAAGTCGTGTCATGGGTAAGCGGGCGATGCATTTATAATCACCCCTCTAAAGAATCTTACGGTTGCTGGATGATTTTCCTGCGCAGGGGAATTCTCTATGGCCCATACGAAGCTTGTGAGGCCAACTTACGACTATACACTAGAGCTTGATAAACCACCCAGGTAGCCAAGATACGTATTAACATTTTATACTATGCGGATTGTAACCATTTTCAGGTAATTAAAAAGCTATACATTGCACTATCTGAGGGCTTGAAGCCCAGGTACAGAGCGTAAGAACCCGAATCTCCCTCAGAGATAGTCAGCGTAAAGGGGTCCGGTAGCGATCGCTTAGAATTTCCAAACTCGACACTGTAATCTTGTTTTATGACTCGTAAATACCGAGCCGCGCACTAGGAAACCTACTCAGCATTCTATGTATTTCTTAGAGTGACCCCGTTATGTGAAATATGATAGAGGGGGCTTCGTAGGAGGGTAGAGGCCGGAAGGAGTGGACAAGGGGGCAAATTTCTGCATGACAATGCGTCAATCAACAGGCATTGGCGGTATACACAGTGTTATGGAGCTAACGATCGAGATAATAGAAATTGCATATATCTTTTTTGGCTCATTTTTTACGAAAATACGAAAATTTGGGCCTCGCAAGATTTATCGTCGACGAAACCGAAGGCCAAGACATATAAAATAGAGCACTATGGTATAATAAACTATTACTAGCGAGTCTGGCCCAACACTATTGAGATATTTGGCGTATTGTGTGGGAAATAACAATTTGCCGCCCAACTTTGGTTGGTACCTATGGAGTGAAACACCCGACAGGCTGCCACTAAATCACATATCAGTACTTGTTGGCAGCAGGGCCAAAGGATTGCAGTACATTGCTTACGTTCTTCCATATATGACCATTATCGTCTAATCAGGGCTTAATATTGCACAGAATTTAAAGGGGCTCGTGCCAAACTATCTAGGTATCTATCTTCTTTTGCGCAAGCCCGCCCCGAAATCCAGAACCCCTTTCCCTCCTGCGAAGATTTCTATAGAACCCGTGCGCGACAACACACAACAGAGAGCTAACACTCCCGTGGAAACTCTAAGACCCTCAATCCCAACAGTCCGAGTCCGATTCTCCGTCGTCGTCGTAGTCACTGTCCCCATTCGAGTCCGAGTCGCTGAGGTAGTATGTATGATCGTGGGGGTACCGGGTTTTACCATCTGGGCTCGTTACTGAAATGATAGGGATACCTGGTGGGCTATTATCATTGTTTTGGAGCGTCCATCTACATCTAGGACACTTGGGCGGGCTATAGTCATCATCGTCTTCTTCGTAGAGCCCAGGAACATCCAAATATATCCCATAATAGGGCACCCTCCTTCCATATCCATCGATTGTTTTTTCAATTTCATTAGATAGCTCGTCGTTTCGCGTGTGGTGACCCTCTCTCGAGCTGGTGATCGCCGCGTCCGCATGGTGTTGATTTTCTTGTTCATCCCCAACAGGCGTAATCTGAAAAGCTTCGCAGAGTACGGCGTCAATGGAAGGCCGAGGACATTCTCTTGCTTTCAATCTTTCCGGATTTCGCCTTTCTTCTGTACTCGGAGCGAAGACTGGCGATATTCGATGCTGTGTATCGGTTGGCTTGTCTATATTCTTCTGGCCCAAATCGAGTGATGCTTCTTCCAAGAAGCTATTGCCCATTTGTTTTGTGGTGGCTTGTGGTGTGGAAGTGCTCGTAGAATTACTACACTTAATCGAGGACGAATCCAAGGTTTGTAGTGGGCTTGGTACGATTGCCCTCTCATCGTATTGATGTTGGTCGTTCGTATCCATTTCTATTATTGCGAACGTATGAAGGTCGATATTGCCGTCGAAAATCACGTTTAGTCAAGATGATTCTGCGAAAGAGACCTTTTATGTAAAACTTGATGGGATAAGCCCGTGCTGACAAAATAATCGCAATGGTCTAATATCTTCGTCTAATATTTCGTATTTTTACTTCATATAGATCATATCTAATGTGTCCTACTAGGGTACGGGAACGAGTTTGAAGTTGAGATGATATAGGATTAAGAAGCCAGATCAGGGAGAATTAGTGTTTCTTGAATATCCTACCACCTACACCGCAATGACTACACAGCTGATGATGGGAAACTATTGTAGCTGTGCTCTTTACCTTTCTTATTTTCCATGGCGCGTTGAATGGCGGCTATGTCTATGGCAATTGGAGCTGGGCTTTTGACTCACGGACGTTCTCATATACTTTGTTCGCAAAGATGGACAAAATTTATCACCAACATGTTTAATTCCTGGTCCAGCCATGAAGCCGGAGGTAAATTCAAATCAGGCAGGCTGATTATTTGTCTATGTTTAGTCCAATGACGATGTATCGTACTGGGTATCAAGGCCGGTTACGGGAACAAAACCACTCTTAGGACCAAATACCTAGGTACTTAGCTATGGAGGACATAAACCACCAAATTTCCAGGATTGCGTGAAAAAATCGAATTCCCCTACTTGAGTTAGGATTCTTTTACAGATCATTTACTTCCAAAGTGCGTATGTACCTCGTTCTAGGTTGCAATTTGATTGCTCGTCAAGGGAAAAGCAGAGTACCAAATGTCATAAAAATGACGGAGGGCTTAAGTACATCTGAATTTCGCAAGACTTCAAGGGTGACCAAGACTTTACCTTGCATATAAAGGTGCCTATGTAGGACTACCAATACCAAGATTAACAGTCCTCAAGGGGCTTGTGTCGTATCCTATGAATTGCTTGGCCCTGATGAATGCGAAAGTGATCTTGCCACACGCATGCAAAAGGATGTCGCGAACTATAAACATTCCGATCCAGAAGCTTTAGTTCTGCAGAGTACTGTTGAATAGGGTGTCAGCATGGATGCCACTACATATAGCAGAAGAGAAGAAAATACCCAAGATAATCCTCCTTGATACTACCGATAGCCCATAGCTCACCAACCTCGGCTCGTATACCCATGAGCTTGACACGAACCTGGGTGTTAACCTCAATAGTTGTGTCCTCGTTGTTCGTGAACTGGGGAGGGGTGGCATTTGGATCCCACTTGACCTCACTAGGTATTGACTTTTCAAGAAATTTGTAAGTATACTCTATATGTATTGGTTTGTGGAGCACTTACGTGACCAGAAACGAAGATGCGAAGTGGTCCGGCAGCGCAAAAGAAGCCGTGTTGGTTGACCGAAGTCACGATTGCGTCCATCTACCTAGTAATTAGCATAGATATAGGGAATATGAAGTCCATCAGGGTGACCTACCGTCTCGCCTCGAAAGGGTCTCCAGACCACAGCACGATAACCCACGGTAAATTCGGCTAGGCCACTTCCAGGAAGGATACGTCCTTCAGAGATATCGAATGTATCCATAATCGAGATGATGTAGTAAGTTCCGGTACATGTACCCTCGACATCCTCCAGAAGCTTGCCCGTAACAAGCTCGTGCATGTTTCGACCAAAGTACGACGGGTGAAGGGTGACCCGACGCTCAAGGTTGTAGAGGAAGAACATTGTGATTTGCTTGTTGCGCTCGTGTAACGAAGTTGGGTGGGCGACCGGCGGGAGGAGTAGAAGGGATTGTCGTGACAGGGACTGCAGCCCTGGAGTTTACGGACGCCGTCAACAAAATCGAGGGCTATCGGTGAAATTAACTATAGTCGCGACGAGTGTAGGACGATTGTAGTCGACGGACCCCTTGCCGACGAAGGTGGTAAATGAGTGTTTATCGGCGCGTAGCGTGTGGAGGTTTGTAAAGTCGCGATTATTTGGAGGATGGAAATTGGTAGAGAACGCCGGGCTGAGGCGACGTGAACGCGAGCCTCGAGCCGGCTTTTGCGCACCCCAAATGAAGAAAAACCTGGAAATCTAGGGTATCATAGAATTAATTAGTCAAGAAATACAAGAAAGAGAAAAAGAGTGAAGCTAGCGCAATGCACGACTGCGAAAAGTTCTACCTGTGCTGTCGCGTTGTCGGGATGAATGCGACGGCAGAGTTGGAAGAAAATTCAGTTCGGCGCAAAGCTTGAAAAGTTCCCCGTCTGACGATGAAAAGGTTGAGGCGCGCTCCGTCGTGGCTAGCAGTAACCCTGACCTTATTTCGCCTTAAACAAACTTTACTCCGTAGAACCTGGGGGGAATGCTTGTTCTCCACTTATTTGGCTTTTCGAACATTATGTACATGTAGAGGTACGAATCACAAGTCCAATGTGATGTACTTTTCTTTATATAAAAGTACAGACAATGTTCCCTAAGACAATGCAAACCTTATCCTCTTAACCTTTCTCTTTAAGTACCCACGGACGATAGCTTATGTAGGTACCGAACGTGTCGTATGCAGAACGTATACCTGCCTCATGTACATACATATATATGTAGCTAGAGGTACATACTAAAGTACATGCAGGTGCCCTGAGCTCCATTGAAGCTCTAATAGCTCGGACCTTACCTACCTTAGGTACATTTAAGGAAAATGCGTGGACGATGGTGGCCCCACTTCCACTGCTCCTCCTCACCTTCCGTTATGGCCGATGTAAAAAAGATATTACCTTACCTGAGTACCAGAGTACCACGCAAAAGTATAATTTATTCTCAATTGTTTTGATCAATTTGATTTTTTCTATTTTTTTGTTCTATTTTTCTATAAGAACTTTACATCGCCGATTGTTTCTTCCCCCCTCATACTCATGATAAGCCACCGTCCGAGGCACGCGCTTCATCCACGCATTATCACGCATTATTACTCCCTAAAGTCCGAATCCTCTCCTTCCAGCCACAATGGCGCTCAACCTTGAAAGGCAGCTTACCTTCGTAAGTATAGTAGTGCGACGCACTCACAATTTGTTCCAATCTAAAACCTTTTCTAACAAATTGTCCGTAGTATGGCGCGTACCATTATAACTCCGTTAACGTCGCCATTCACATGATCTGTGTACCATTAATATTATTCTCAGGATTTGCTATAGTATGTCCATGTCAAGTCCATCGATCATGGTTTCGTGGCGTTTGCACATTGTTAACAATTATGACTTTTTCTGGCAGGCTGCAAATACCGGTACGCTTATCCCTCTACCGAAAGCCTTAACGATACCTCATCTCGACCTCAATCTTGGCACAATAGCAGCGTTTATGTGGGGAGGTTTATATGTCCTTCTCGAGCCTGTCGCCGGAACGATCTTAGGTTTAATATGCCTCGGAGCAGCCGCGTTTACAAACACCGCCGTGTCCGAAAACCCGACTCTGACGAACCAAATCGCCATCACCGTACATGTGGTATGTTGGTTACTACAATTCGTTGGACACGGTGCATTTGAAGGCCGGGCACCTGCGCTACTGGATAACTTGACCCAAGCTATCTTTTTAGCACCCCTTTTCGTCTGGCTCGAGTTTTTATTCAAGTTCGGTTATCGAAGAGAATTACAGGATCGCGTCGGGAAGGCCGTTCAAGTCGAGGTAGCCAAGTTCAGGCAACAGAAATCATCCAACGCCATGAAGAATGGGAAGGCTCAATGAACAATACCAACATGAACTAGGATCCACAGCTACGATAGCCTCTACATGGGTAAAGAGGAATAAATAGTCGCCTATGACACGTCTGCGTGCAGGATAATATGTTCCCCCACACCCAAGGACTTCTAAATTCATACACAGCCGATGTGGACATGCATGCCACGGGTCCCTCGACGATACATATAACAAAACCCACCTCAGTAAGTGAGCCAACGATCCGTCTCACCAGGGAGTCAGCCAATAGCTTCCAAAGCAGACCCTTTACGGTATATGACCTCCCATTCTTGTATATAGGTATCACAAGGTACATATGGCCCCCCCTGTGGGTAGGAAGCATTGTTAAGTGTATAATGTAAGCGTATTATTCGCAATAGTACCGCAATCTACGCGAACTAAACACAGCACACCAAATTTTTTGAAGGATCCCTCTATTAGTTTAGCTAAGTCTCACAGGAAAGCTAAATCGCCTACATACTATATACTAATTTACCAGATGCAACTTGTTCCGTGTCTACATATTTCGTATACCCTATCAGGAAATTCAGAGCTTGACTTACCGGGGGGAGTAGATATCAATGTTCTCAAGTGTCTATCGAGGCGTCGTACGCGAGAGCCATGTTCACTGGGGCTGGGGAGATGTCTGTCCTTGGTTCATTCTCGACAGCATCCTCGAATCTTGACATGCAAAGCTCTCTTCCGATTCCTCGATTGGCACTCCGAACTTGATAATTCTACTCAGAAAGGATCCTCCAGGCTTGAGCTTGGATGATTTGCTTTTTTTCTTCTTCCGAGGCGGTAGAAATAGGGAGGCATTGGTTCCAGTTTGGTTGTGTGGACTGGAACCATCCTTTGTGAATTCATAAGCAGTTAGGTAGGTAAGGTACATGGGCGGCGGGGCATTCATGGCTTTGACGGCAGTTGGTTCCTTTTGAGCCTTACTAAAGAATTGTCCTGCTTTTCGTCGTAGCTTTGGGTGTGCTTCGGCTGAGTTTAAGCTCATGGGAACCGGAGGTTTATAGGTTGGGGCACGTTGCCTATCCTGCGATCGGGCAATTGTGTTCTGTTGCGAAACTTGAGGGGGGGCAACAGAAGGAGGAGGCGGAGGCGGCGCTGGTCGCGGCGATGGTTTCAGGGCAGGCCGCCTAGGTAATTCATTCGTACCAACTTTTCTGTGGTGCTGGGAATAATACGTTGGTTGTGGCCCCTTTGGAGGTTTCCTCGGGTTTTCGAACAGTTGAGGATCATTGAGGTTCGGAGCTCCACCCGGGGAAGTGTTATAGACGTGCCCGTGGTGTTTGTTTAAACTAGAAGCGTGAGATTTCGAATCATTATCCCCAGTTTCCTGTTCACGAGACGACTTACTGGGGGCAGATGACTTGTGACGCCGCGAAGAGCTCACCGGTGGCGCGGGCTCCGCGGGTCTACCACAAGTCTCTCTTCGCACGAATGTCTCTGGGTGGTCATGTAAGTCCGGTACCCAAAGACTCCGCGCTAGCCCGTAGTTTTCTGGTACATGGCTACGGGTTTTTATAACATGCTGGGAGTGTCTTTCTTGATCTTGGGGCCTTCTTGTGGCCATATCCGTACGCATATTCAAGCAGACTTTGGACGGGCCTTGCCCGACATTCTCCATATCTGGCCGATAGGCTCTGAATGTGCCGTCGCTGGCTTGTTGCGCCCTCATCCGTTCAAATTTGATTGTACAACTTGGGCAGAAGGGTTCTGGGCCTGCGTGGTGGGGAATAACACGACCGCAGTGTTTCTTGTTCCTGAACCTGCCGCGGAACAAGCTGCTGAGAAAATTGACCGCCGAATCTTGTTGCTCAAAATACGCAGGACAATTGATAAGTTTTCGAGAAACGTGGCCGCACTCGAAATACTCCTGTTTCCAATCGTGGCACATACTATATATGTCATTGGCTTGGTTTATAGTGTTGAAGGGGTGATTCTCGACGTACATGCAGTTTTCCTGCGCTTCTATTATAGAGCCCCCCCTAGAGCTCGTATAATACAGTCGCCTCTAAGGACGATGTTATGAGACCACAAAAAATATATATTAATCTTTTGTTGCTCACTTACGACGAGAAGGGTATGGATTAGTTCACACGTGGACTCAAACACTGTTCTAGAAAAGTGCTTGCGTCTTGACCTATCCCCATTTCAATAAGCAGAGTAGTAACCTTGCTTGATATTTGTCAGTTGGTCCTGTGGGGATAGGTATTGTTAGATGGTTCTGCTGGTTTCTCGTAGGTCAACAAGCGAAAAAGAGCGCGTAAGTACTCTTATGTACATCAGATATCATTTCCTTTCGAGTACGTTCTTGAAAATGCTTGTCCGAAGAAAGAATTGGGGACCTCGGTACGACAATGAATGCTATTGTCTGGTTGCCTTTGGCAAAACTCTGGCTTACAGACTGCCACGTGTCAGGCGATGGTATCCCGAAACAAAGTAATGGAGGAAAAACCATGATACTTCTTTGTAGACAGATATAGGTAGCTAGGTAGGTTTCTGTATGAGTAAATAAATGAGCTTAATTACATTGTGTATATACAATGGATGTGTTCGCGAACAAACGTGCTAGTGCGGAAAAGTATATAGAGGGCTGTGGAGTTCGCAGATGTCATCGTCGATTCAGTCAGTCGGATCTTTCTTAAAAAAACACGTGGTTATTAGACTAAGAGATTCTGACCTAGAGTTTTGCGTCCGTATTACAGCACTACCGCATCTCCAAAGTCTACCAGCTTTCAAATCACATCCCCAAGTACTTTATTATTCAGCTAATATGGGTTGCTTCGGTGTTCTGAGTAGCTTTCTCCGAAAGGAGAAGAGGGACGAGTCCCAGAGGGGATACCGGTTGAGGGAGCGAGCTGTCTATAGGCAACGGCCAAACTCGAGCTTACCTCGCCCGCCTCCGCCAACCAGGCACCATGAAGGGTCTAGAACACACTCAGAATGGTGGGAAGACGTGGACGAATGGGAGCGTCGGCGGGAATACGCCCGTATCGTTGCTGAGGCACCACCTATCAATGAAGACTTCATCTGTTACCAGCGGAGTGAGACTCACCGAGATTCAGTCCTTGCTGCAAGAGGAGAAAAAGTCGCAGACCGCCACCCGCGACGGCCACCACAGCCAAGAGTTTGGTTTTATGATATGCTCAAAAACTGTACATGCCAATTCTGCTCTACCGAGCAACCTGAGCATTGTGTGCTTATAGAAGCACTTGAAGCAAAGCTCACAAGGGACTTCATAGAGTCCCAAAAACCAGTAAAAAGACCAGTAAAACGAGTGGCTACACCAGAAGTCAAGCATGAAATTTACAGACAGCTAGACCAGCGTAAGTATGAAGAGCCGGATCTACTTAAAGAGAGATGCTCTTCGGATCCCTTCGGCGATGACGGCGAGCCTAGTGAGATGCACGAAGAAAGTCCCGAGCAAGCGATTGGTAACGTTAACGTCAATAGAGAAGACCAAAACAAACCACGAGCCAAGAGGATACACCGCAAGAGCGTGCAGAACACTCTAAAAACGGATGACCCTATTATTACGGTAAAGGATGTACCAAAGAGACGCCGCCAGAGTCAGTAAGCATAAGTTAATTATGCGTCTCTTTGTGTGCTTTTTCTAATTCTCACGTTACACTTGGCTGGCACCATGATAATGGCGTCTTTTGTTTTTTGTTTGTACGGGTTGGAATAAGTTGGCGTTAATTTTCATCCGTCACTGTACACAGCCTGTTTCAAGAAAGAAAAGGAAAAAAAAGAGCAAACAAATCTGACTGGCTTGATAGCAGCCGAACAAAAGCGTCTTTCATAGCAATTGTTTGTCCTTATTACTCGCATCGCCTGGGTTCGTATTCTTGTTTAATAGTCTTCATTTTAGCTACGCGTCAAATAAAGACGAAATCATCTTTCAGATAAGTGTTTGTGATTTTCATAGAATTAATGCTAGAGCTGGTTACTGAGATTGCGTTTTGTAATATATCCATACAGCTGTGGTGTTACATACCCTACCGAGTGCAAGGACCTCACCTTTACTAATAATGAACTGATCATTGGCCTACATAGAGTGACTAATCGCAATTTGTGCAAGTTGGGTAATTTTTATTGGGTTGTGTAAAATACACCGGCGCCATGCAAAGTAAATCTGAAGTCCCAAAAGCATGCCTTGAAAAAAGAGCACCACACCCCCCTAAGCCAGCCCCATAAGGCCGGAATAAGTCATTGTTTTTTTTTTTTTTCCTTCGTTGCCTTTAATTTATCCCCCCCTAAGCCATCACCTACGATTGGCTTCTTGTAGCACGTTTGTTAACCTCAGCCTTAACGTTTTCAGCACCAGTAGAAACCGCCTCGGCGGTCTTGTCCTTGGCATCCTTGGCCTTCTCCTTGGCACCCGCACCAGCCTTCTTAACAGCCTCTGGTGCAGCACCTCCCATAGTGAAGATACCAACGAGGGCCGCAAGGGTGACAACCAAACCGCCAATGGCAGTAGGCACCTCAGGGACGAACTTGATGGCCTGGATGGGGTCGTTCGCAGCGATGGTCAGGAAGAGGTCGAGCTTCTCCTTGACGTAGAGGACGGGGTCATCCAAGAATTTGAGGTCGGAGGGTGACTTGATCTTGTCATCAGTCTTGGGCTTCTCGGCATCCTGAAGAGCCTTCTCAACAGCAGACTTCTTGAAGAAAGTCTCCTGAGCGAACTTCTCTGCGTCTGCTTCGGAGTGACCAATGTAGATGTTGTCGAAGAGGATGTCACTTTGCATAGTCCAGAGTTCGAAGCCAATCTTTGATAGCATATTAGTCCAAGATCCCAGAGAGTGAAGCTTTTTCCTAATTACTTACCGCACCAATAGGCTCAAGGTTAGCAGGGTGCTTGTCCTCGAAGTAGTTGGGGTTCTTGATCTTGCGTGGAGCCCAGACACCCTTGTAGGCAGGGTTGTCAATGTAAGGCGCAGTCCACTTGCCCTTGTAGTCGGGGTTCTTCTTCAAAGGCTTAGTCCAGGGGCCACATCCAGAGACATCAGCACACTTGGGGTTGGGAACAGTTGGGGGAACCCAGTCGCCGTCCTCTTCGTCGTCCCAATCTTCGGGCTTCTGGGCCTCAGGGTCGGGGACGGTGAGGGGTTCATCCTCAAGCCAGTCCTCAGGCTTAGTAGCTTCCTCGTCGACAATTTCGAACGGTGCATCCTCATCCCAATCCTCAGGCTTCTTAGCGTCGGGGTCGGGGATACGGGCCTCATCAACCCAATCCTCGGGCTTCTTGTCGTTGGGGTCATCAATCTCCTTCTCAGGGTTGACGGCCGGAGAGAACTGTTCGAAGAGGCTACCATCGCGAACGCTTTCGCCACCCCTTTTGACAGTGAAAGTGTTGTTGGGGCGAACGACCAAGGTGTATAGTTCCGAGGTCTTCTCGATTGTGGCAGGCGGGGCAGCGAGGAGATGCTTCTCCTCATATTCACCAGTCTTGGGGTTCTTGTGGTTGAAGATGAAGTGGACTTTGTTGGTAGCACCGCACTTGTCGGGGCCGAACATGACGACATACGGCGTAGTGTTGCTGAATTCATCTTGGTGGAGAGACTTGGTGTCTCGTAGGAGCTTCAAGTAAGCACCACCGCATTCGAGACCCTCTAGAAAAGTAGTTATTATAAATATGATACCAATAAGTTGTGGAAACCGGTTAGCTTACTCTGGAGCTTTACTTCGTATTGGACAACCAAGTCCTTGCCCTTGGGATCAATCTTCTTGGGGAATTTAGCCGAGATAGCGTGGTGGGCGGCAGCGTTCTTGACGACAAGACCTTTGTCACCCTCAATACCTTTGTATTTGTAGGGCTCCTCGACTGCCCACTCGCCGACATAAGCCCATTCCTCTTCTTGGCCCTTTGTATCCTTCTTGGCGTGGGAAGGCTTCCATCGCTTTTCCCAGTCGTCGGTAAATTGCTCTAGGAAGGGAGCTTTGATGGTGGTAGGCTGTGAAACAAAACATTGGTTAGATAAGCTCTAGTGGAACGGAACAATAAGAAAGCATCGCCGATTGAGAAGCACAAAGGCAGCAATCGGCGCAAGGGATTCGTTACTCACGGTGAAGGTAGGGATCTCAACGGCGACAGAAGTAGATGACTCTGTGTTCTCAACCTTAGAGGCATCGTCGGCACAGGCGCCGAATGCCAAAATGGCAGCGGCAATAGCTGAATTAAACTTCATGATGTGAAGGGGGGAATAATAAGAAAAAAAAGAAGCTGGCAATACTAGCAATGTATATACAGTTGCTTTGCTTTGCTGCTTGCTTGCTTTTGATTAACTAGCCCTGTCTTGTCTCTCTATTTCTCTTCTTCTGTCTTGCACAGAGAGGAAGGAATTGGAATGGGGATTGAGAGTGGTGTTGAGAAAGAACTCCCAGAGCTCGACGGAAAGAAAAGAAAAGATGGATTCGAGCAGGAAGCAATTGCAGATGTTCGCCGTGAACTTTTAATTATTGGCCGGACCTTCCAAGCAAACGTGGCCTAAAGTCAGTACGTACCTTTTCGGTGACACGGTTCCGTTCCTTTGATTGGCTAAAGTTTTTGGGGCTATAGAAGTACCTAGGTACTTGATAGTGCGGGGATAGCGATGGAATCTCTGGGAAACCTTCAGCTATTCTTTCCTGAGTCCCCAAACGAGGCTACTTAAGATTTACCAATTGACTGATTAAGGATTGGTTATTTCTCAATTGGCCTCAATTGAAAGTTTATACGCCTGCAAATACTCGTTGATATAATGAATCATGCTATCATCTTAAGTTATCTATGTATACAAATCATTATCCCTATACCAAAATGCACCATCATGGGGAACGAAACCGTTCGTCCGTAGGAAATGTGATGAAATCTGTCAACAAGTTATCACTTTATTAGTTGGTACTACGTAGGACCATAATATCTACATAGTACCTACATATAGGTCCAACGGGTAGTCCGTGTTCTGTTTGCTTACTAGGTAACCCAACTTTGGTAAGTAAATTCTATTACGGGTGTTACTTATCCCGAAAATAGAATAGTACTGTTATTCGGTAGATGGATTTCATTCGAACTTAGCTCTATTTATACAATCAAGAAAAAGACCGATACTGAGAAGGAGCACATGTCTGGGAAGAGCTAATGGCATTGTACCTACACATGTACAGACTGGAGCTCACCTTCCTGACCTAACACCCCCAAATTTTATATACATGTAGCGTATGCCCACTAGCGTTTTATGTGCAAGTATTTATTTTCTAAGCTACATACATGCATATATATATGTACCTAGGTACATAGGTAATGTTGCGTGTTCTATTCTAAGTGGGGAAAATGGGGTTTGATTGGGTTATGCCGTGATGCTTCGACTTTAGCCTCATCAACTTTATTTGCTAATAACCATCGGGTCCGACTGATTCATATTCTTTCCGCAAACATTCATATAATAACTTGCCTTTCCTTTTTAAAGAGGCCAGCCTGGCCTAATCTTAAGTAATCAGCCAAGTGCAAATCCTCGGAAAAGGACAAGAAAATGAGCGACGACCATTACATAACGTCAGAGGATCCTGATCATCCAGCCAACCTCATTCCATCCCTATGCGCCAAATTCTGGACCTTAGGATGGGTTACGGGCACAGGAGGAGGATGTTCAATTCGCAACGAGTAAGACTTCATTCTTTCCTATTCACACTTTGGTGGAGTGCATTCAGCATAATATCGCTCATATCCGTCCCTATTTTCATTCCCTTTGTTTACAATAATGTAAATAAAATCAGAATGGCCGTTATCTCATACTTCCGCGTTCCAGTGACCTAGTGTACATTGCACCTTCAGGTGTTCAGAAGGAGCTTATGAAGCACACTGATATTTACGTGCTCGCCCTATCCAAGCAGACTGACCTAAAAAACCGTGTCTACTTGCGTTCCCCGCCTTGCGGTAGACCCTCGCAATGTACACCGCTGTTCCTCGCTGCCTTCACCAAGCGGGGGGCCGGCTGCTGCATCCATACCCACTCCCATTGGGCCGTGCTGGTGACTCTGCTCCTCGAGACGCAGGGTCCTGGCCAAGACAAGCTGTTCGAAATCAACAATATCGAGCAGATCAAAGGTTTTGGTAAGGGTTTTCGGAAACAGGGTAATCTAGGTTACCATGATACCCTCCGCATCCCCGTCATCGAGAATACGGCCTACGAGGAGGATCTTACCGAGTTCCTGGAAGAGGCCATGGATAAGCACCCTGATACCTATGCGGTTCTGGTTCGTAGACATGGCGTCTATGTCTGGGGTGATAATGTCCACAAAGCAAAGACTATGTGTGAAAGGTGAACTCTGCCCCGCCCGATACCGCTTTTGCATAATCGATCTAATATTCGATGTCATCAACAGCCTCGATTATCTTTTCCAATTGGCGGTAGAGATGAAACAACTTGGCCTGCCATGGCTGAGCGATGTTCCAGTAGTGGTGCCTACCTCACAACGTTAACCATCCTAAACATTGCACAACTACACACATATACAACATCGGAGGGAAACGAATCAATGGTCAATATCTAGGTCATATTCGCGTTTCATCCAACGTGATTATATCTCCAATTAGTATTGACATCCTAAATATTACTAAAGTTTTTATCGTCAATCCACCCTTTGCGCCTGGTATTTAGAAATTCTTCAAAATATGTGGCATGATATTATATCCCGTAACATCCGTACTCGTCTCACTCAGGTAATCGCTGTGCTCATAGAGCGAGGAAAGCGGCCAAGAAAGAGAATAATCCGATGCCGGAACCGACGGGGGAGAAGAGCATGTCAGCACCGGCCGACGAGCTGGAGGTCGAGGAGGCGGCGGCGGCAGAGTCGCTTCCGGAAGGCGCAATGGTGCTTGAGAAGGATGTGACGAAGGTGGAGCCGTCAGAGGTGACGGTGGATTGAATGTTGGTGACAGATGGGGTAGAGTCACTGCCAGAAGCACCGCTAGAGGTTTGTAGGTTGGGAGTACCAGTTGTGGTGTAATAGTACTGGGCAATGCAACCGTTCACGCAGTTAGCGTAGTCGAGATTTTCGGCGGCAGTGCCATTGCCCTGGGGGCATTGGGCAACACATTCGGTGGTCGCGTTCACATTCTGGGTGTCGGGGCTGGGAACAGCAATGCACTTGGCCTTGCAGTTGACATCAGACGGGTCACCTATTCGGGGTGTAAGTTGGTTAGAATACCTCGAATTGGGTTGTAGTGTTCACTTACAGGCATCAATGCACTGGACAACCGCAGACTGTGCCGAGCTCTGAGCAGGATCGACATTGCTAGAAGTGACAGAAGCGGGGGCGGACGCGGTGCCAGTAGAAGAGGCTACGGCGGACGAAGCGGTCGAGCCAGAGGAACCAGTTTCGGACTGGGCGCTCGCAACGGCGGCGAGGAAGCCGGTGACAAGGACGGAGAAACGCATCTTGATAGGTGTTTGTACAACTCGTGTAAGACAATATTAAGTATTAGTAGGTAGACAACTAGAATATGCAAAACGACAGGAACGAGTGTAGGCGAGGCCGTGAAGCTGATTAGAACTTGTCAGAACGAGCGAGTGACGGAGTCTTTAAAGACACGAGCGAACGGGGCAAGACAAGAAACAGTAGAACCGAAATAAAGAAGAACTTGGGTAAGCCTCCAAATAAATAAGAAATGAAAGCGAGACGGACCTCGCGTTAGTGCACCTGGGGAAGCCTGCATATAGCTTAAGATCGACATTCGATGCGACTAGGGGGCGATCTGGGAAAAGTAGGGCGCTAAGACTCCTCCATACCTCGCGGCCCTCGTCATCAAGCTGTCCAATTTTTCGTGTCGGTGTCGCGCTGCCCTGCATGACCTACCCAAGCGTCCAATCCCAGTCTAGCAACAATTATTTGCCTTGGTTGGGGGAACCAGGGTTCCATCCCGGGCCAGGATGCAGCTAAATTGCTTGACTGCTAATGGAAGACGTTACCGAATGAACCCTGAAGTACAATTAAATTACGAACTTCTATTCATGCTACTTAGACTACATCATCAACAAAATGGTGTAGTCGTATTGGCGTTTGTATTATCTAGGAGTCATTGACTTATATAGAGAGCTAAAGCTTCACCTTTACTGAACTGCGTCAACCAAAGTAGATTAAGGTATAGAGAGGGCTTCTAGCAGTGATATGAAGATCTTTCTAGTACCTCCAAGGATGTATGATACACAGTACATACAGTAATTTGTCTCCAAAGAAAGACACGGGAAAAAAAAGGGGGCAGCTGGCATGATCCCTTCAGGGGTTAAATCTGACCATCCGTTCGCCGTGTGGGGAAATAAAAAGCACAATAATTCTACCCAAAGTACAGTCCTATTTCAGATCTATCTCGTCTCCTTTTTTGACAATATTAAATTTTTTCACCTGTCCGTCTTACCAAAGTATACCATAGTAAGATTAGGAAGAGCTAACATGATATTTTATCGTATCCGTGAGACGCCCAGTACAGTATGAATACAAAATGTCTTAGTTGTCATAGCTGAATTCCAGTGGTATTTGTAAACATACGAGGATGCATAAGGCTCTGTTATCGCTTGGTGGAGAGTACTAGAGGCGCTAAAGAAATACATTCGTATCGAACCGCTCGCTCAATTCGATTGGATTTTCTATCAAGTTCCACCAAGCATTGTTGACCCGCTTCATGGCTGTGCAGCTTGTCCCACCAAGTGGCCATCGCGGTGTTGGAGATCCAATCACGACAAGAAAGCATCAGAAGGCCTAGAGACAAAGTCCCAGGCTTGGAGGCGAAGAAAAGCTCGGTACCCATCATCTAGAAGCTAGAAAGCTAAGAAAATACGAGATGAGATCTTCCCGATGTGCATCAAACTGTACGTTGTCAAATTCGGCTATATCGTGTTCAATTGCCATGTGGCAAACATCTAGTTGGTCAAGCTTGTCGTCTCTTTTTTTTTTTTTTTTTTCTTCTTCCCTCAAAGTGCCGTTGCGGTGTGCCAGAGCGTCTGATCCACTGTCCCGATGTCAGGAACTTGTTTGGCTGAATATGCACTCCAAGTCGTCACCATTCAATTTCAACTTTGGTAGACGAAAGATCTCCATGTAGCCAAGATTACCTAACTGAGGTAGGTATCTACTCAGGTAATCTTAGGTAATAATCCCTACCTCAAGGTAGCATATATTTTATAAGAGATGAGAACTGTGATAATGTGGATGATGACCTCTCATCGTCGTCTTCCTTCGACTTTATTGTTGATCTGCTTACTTGGTTCCCTAGATGGTGTTTTCTTGTTATTTCCGTGGAAGTACTTATCGCCTAGGTAATTCCCAAAGCGGATTTTCATAATATTGGGTTTGAGACACAGTCCGCTAATTGGAATAAGAGTGTATGTAAGGGCTTTTAATTCCATGGTCATTTCCAATGTTTTCCCGCTCGATGTTCTCAACAGGCAATTTTTTCCTCTCTTCCGATTTAACTACAAGGATTTCGCAAGGGTTGCTCCTCTACAGTTTCGCGATATATAACTGGAAGAGGAGCTTTATGGTAAGTAGCAGAGGCATCTTTCAAGTTTGTACCTGCGGTCATACGATTGAAGGGTTGATGAGTTACGGCTATCTTCCGTCCATTCAAATCGTCGGGTTCGGCACACCTGGATCGCTTACGCCAATCAACGTCCTAGTATCTAATCCTCTCGCACCAATTCGTGAGATTCTCCCCCTACTTTACTTAAAACAAGATTGGATCGTGTAAAAGCTAACGTAAGTGAAATGAGCTATTTATTAGCGGTATTTAATGTGAAATCAGTCTTTGCTTGCTTGCATGAAAGAGTTCGGCTACTATGGGAAGTCTGTTGCTAGCATTCCGAGTATGAACACAATCCCTCGATTTAGTTGGAAGGAAAACGAAAGGCAAAACCAACGCACAGATTCTCTCGAGTTTCAATTCAGTCTCCCATAAACCATCCCGGTAGTCGCATGTAGTGGGGGAAGTTCACCTAGGAACTAAAGTGATTCTTCGTGTAGATAGAGACTCACAGCGACTCAATCTTCTTCAAGGCCTCTGGGAATTCCTTCCAATCGTACATAATAACCTTGGCGTTGCATTGTTCGGTCAATAGCTTGGCCATCTCCTCCATCTTCTCCTTGCCATCTTCGATGCCGTAGACGCCGACGTACCCAATTAGAGGGATACCTGCGCGCATGGCGGCGGTGGCGCCACTCTTGCTATCCTCGACGGTGACGCAGTCTTCATTCTTGACACCTAGCTGTTGACAGGCGTAGTTGTAGATGGCTGGGTCAGGCTTGCTGGAAGGAGGGTTCAGACTCGTAGCGGCGCTGTAGACGTGCTCGTTGGGAAAGTAGTGGTCAATCCCAACCTTCTTCAAACTGGCTACGACGCGGGGCTTGGCTGAGGTGCTGACAACGGACATGGGGTACCCTGCTTGCTTAAGCGCCTCAAGTTGCTCAGGTACACCGGGGCAAGGCTGGCATTTCTCGCTCAGCTTCGCAGTCACGGCACCCAGCTCGCGGTCGACATAAGCATCTACCTCTGCTGGGGACATGGTAAAACCGTGCTTCTTCTGCAAGCCATTGAGCATGCCGCGAAAGTTGTGGCCAACGAAGTCCTCTAGCAGCTGCTCGACGGTGTAGCGCTCCGGTCTGCCCCACTTCTCCAAGACCTCGTTGGTCAAGTCGGTGCAGGCCTCGAAGGCCAAATGCTCCGACAGGCAGAGGGTGTTGTCGCAGTCGAGCAGGACGTACTTTACCTGTTGACCCCAATTCGTTAGGAGGTACAGAAAAAAGAAGAAGAAAAACCAACGCTAAGGAATTGGGTGATGGTAAGTAAGGGGGTCTTTTATAACTTACACGAGGCATGTTGAATGATGCAAGAATTGCTGACTGGTTCGTGCTGGCTGCCGTTTAATGGTGTTAATTGCCTAAGCAGAAGTTGAAAGATGTTGATCTTGATGTAGGTGAATGACGAAGTCCTGCGCAGAATAATAGATCATAGATCACTGCGGGGTGTTTCCCTTTACATTGCGGGGTTTTTTAGCAACGGGAACCATCGTACCTGCCATACCTACCACAAAGTACAGCTATGATATAATTGTCCGTACCTACTTCTTGTCCGAATAGTTGGCGTAGGTTAGATAGGTAGGTGCGCCGTGGTTAAAATGGGGTAAATACTAGTACGGACCGATAGCAAGAGGAAGGACCGTAAACTTTAAGTAGATTATATATGGTTTTGAAGCATAGAAGCCCGAAGTTTGCATATGAAAGATCCACTTCCTTCCTTCTTCAATTTCAGTGGGTACCTTCAAGCTATTCGTCTTAGGTAAGCACCAGACAGTTGGGCTGAGCAAGCTGTCTTAGTACCTAGGTAAACTTTAGTTTGTTCAAAACATCGTCATCCAATGTTCTTTTGGTTGCGTTCCCTTCGCTTGCCTATTTGCCTATTCAAGCATCATAAAAAAAACATGACTTGGATTTCCAAGATAACGACTACCTTTGGGCTACTGCTCCTAGCAGATGCGTAAGAACCCCCTCTTTTTACAAGATGTGGAAATATTGCTCAAATATATCTTGGCTAACAATAGTTTACATATTTAGTTGCTACTCGGCTTACGAACATTCCGTTCTCCAAACACATCGAGCCGCATCGCTCTCCTCCTTAACAGCACCACATGGCGGCGCAGCTAGCGCGCTTCCGATCGATATAACTATCGAAACCATTGTTGCCACATTCATTGTTTGCTTAGGAATGGTCCTAGGAACGTCAAACTTACGACCGATTCAATGGCGCGTTTGGGCAGGGAAAATTGAAAGAGAAGGCGAGACAGGATTCCTCAATAACAGCGGTGAGGTGGAGAAAGACTACGTCGGAAACCCCTTCCGATTATTAGAGAGTCGGCCGGGATTTGTCGACATTCGGAAGCAAAGGAAGGAGTTTGCTGAATGGGTGAAAAATAAATAGATATCATACCAAGCAACTGGTTTGGAGATTTTATTAGGATGCGGCAGCATCATCAAAATATCAAAATTGCCACGCCAGTCATTCTTTTCAGAGAATTTGGCGTGTTTAAAGTCAACAGCAGATATGTGCAGCACTGTCGGGGCCATTAAAAAGAATGAACGACAGCTAATAGAGTACAAGAAATGACGCTTTTCTTCGGGTTGGAAAGAGCTGCGGATATCCTATCCTATAGGAAGGTACCCAGGAGGTAGGTAGTTGCTCTCGAGTGACCGCTCTTTCCGAGTTGGGCGCTGTAGAGCGTTCCATAAGTGCTCCAACAAGAAACCATAATCAAACCACCTTCATCCTTCATTCTTCATTCTTCGTACTTCATATTCTATATAACCGGTCGAGTTCCCGTTGCCCTCACTTATATGTGATAACTAATGGGCTACTCTTATGGGGTATATTAAGCGTGTTTACTGTCTTCCTCTTCCCAGGAGAGCGACATGGCGTCTAACCGGAGATATCAAACCCCTTCTCAGGCATCCACAAGCCAGTCATCTCATACAAATCTCTTCAGTCAATCTAGTGCGTCATTTGCATCATCAGCAAGAGATAGTCGCATCTTTTCCACTCCTAATAGGGGACGCGCTGCATCCAAACGTCCCAATTCTTCAAGTAGGAGACCATTAAAAAACCAAGACCATACAAACTCAAGAAATACGGCACAGCCATATCGATCTTCCCCTTACCTGCTACCACACTCTCAGGGACAAAGGTTATCCCTTCGTCCACCATCAAGCTGCCCGCCGTCAAGCAATCTTAACTGTCGTCATGAGGACGAAGGCAAGTCTCACATCGGCGATGCTCTATCCAACGAAGACGCTGACGCTCTAAGAGAGATAATCATGGCGGTGGATATGAAAGATAATGGAAATCTTGGATGTGCTTACTATGTGGCTATTGATGAAACTCTGTTCCTTCTGGAGGACGTGGCCATGTCAGGGCTCGACCTCGTCGAGACACTTCTTCTCCATGCCAATCCAACTACCGTCCTAATATCTGCAAGAGCCTCGGAATCATTAGCAGAATATCTCACTACGGGAGCTCAGGGTGTTGATGGAAACCGAGGTAATATTCTTAAAATTCCATATGCATCAAGCATCACTATTGATGGGCATTACAGGTGATCTTCAAAGCGCATATATCTTAAGGAACCTCAATTCCGCCGACTTCCGCTATGATTCTGGGAAGGCAAGACTGTTAGGACTCAACCTTGAGACGTCTGGACGCCAGAGCTTACTTTACGCTTCTGTCGCCGATAATGTTGTGGATGAAACTGATGACTTCAATGGGCAAGGGGACTCAAGGCTGGGCCGCCTGATGCGCCTTGGAACTTCCATCAACCTAGACAGCCGACTAACGGTCAGGCCTTGCCACATATAATTTGTCTTGTCGTGATCTTTCTAACAGATAATAGATCGGTTGCGCTGGAGCAGTTCTCGGTGATCTTCAGCGAAGAAGAACTGTCAATTACCTACCCAACGACCCTGACGCTTTGGTTGCGTTTAGGATTAAGTCAGTCGAGATGTTCGCTTTGTTTGACTCGATGTTCGTGAACGCCAATACCCTTGTGTCTCTTCAAATTCTACAATCCGAATATCACCCAAATAGTCACCAAAGAGGCCCCAATAACTCCGCCTCGGGCGCCAAAGAAAGTTTATCTATATATGGGCTTTTCCAACATTTAGCCCGTACTCCACAAGGCAAATTAAAGCTTCGCCAAACTTTTCTACGGCCCAGCACCGATATTGACTTGATCCATACCCGTCAGAAGGCTATATCGTTCTTGTTACGGCCGGGAAATGCAGAGGCTCTTATGCAGTTAAGCAACGAGCTAAAGAAAATCAAGAACATGAAGACAGTTATAGCTCTTCTAGAAAAAGGCGTTGACATTCCTGGTCGTAAAATTTCCATAGCTAACAATGTCTGGGCTTCTCTACAGCGATTTGCAGCTTACAGCTTACGACTCAGAGATTCGCTTCGGACCCTACCAGGAGCTGAAAAGTTAGAGGTAATTAGAAAGGTAAATAGTGCCTACCTGAATTTCTAATCCGATACTGATCTCTTGTTATGATTAGGTTATTGATACTATTCAGCCAGTAGCCCTCTGTCAAGTAGGCGAGCTCATTAGCCAGACCATTGACTTTGAGCAGTCAATAGAACGCGGAAGGACTGCTGTCAGACAGGATGTCGATGCTAACTTGGATGAGCTGAAGCGGAGCTATGATGGGATGGAACACTTCCTAACCAACGTCATAGCAAAGTTGCGAGGCGAGTTGCCTGAATGGGCGAGGAAGTACGTACAGAATTGCATCTTCTTCCCTCAACTAGGCTTTTTAACAGTAGTTTCTCTCAATCCCGATACGGGAAAAGGCAACTACGACGGCGAAGGGTTGAAAGATTCTTGGGAGAGGATGTTCGCAGCCGAAGGTTGCGTGTATTACAAAAATCGACAGATGAAGGAGATGGATGAGCACTTTGGGGATGCGTACTGCATGATTATTGGTAAGTCCTTGCTCTAACACCTAAACTATACTACGCTAACTCATTTAAATGCGTAGATCGGGAGATCGAGATTATTCACGAGCTCGCAGTTAAGATTCTAGCACAACGTGAAGCTATAAGCATAGCCTCGGATGTCCTTGGGGAGCTTGATAGCCTGTTTGCATTAGCAATTGGCTGCGGCCAATACAACTGGGTGGCACCTAGAATGACGAGACAAAATATCATACATATCGAAGGAGGGCGTCACCCGTTGCAGGAACTAGTAGTGCCGTCTTTCATTGCGAACAATTGTCATGTCGCGGGTGGGCTAGGGGACCAAAATGACGAAGTCCCGGATGAGAGTTTAGAAGAGGACGAAAGGGTCTCGATAGAACAACCCAGCACTCTCGTATTGACAGGACCAAATCATTCTGGTAAGAGCGTATATCTCAAACAGGTTGCACTAATTGTATACCTAGCACATATTGGCTGTTTTGTTCCGGCTGAACGGGCTCGGATCGGAATCACGGATCGTATACTCACACGCATTGCCACACGCGAAAGCGTGGCGAAGAACGAAAGCGCATTCTCCATTGACCTACGCCAGATAGCGTTTGCGATGAACTTTGCAACCCGCAGGAGCCTCGTGCTGATAGATGAATTTGGCAAAGGTACGAATAGTCTAGATGGTGCTGGTTTGGTCACAGCGGTATTGGACCATTTCATTTCCCTTGGTCCTGAGAGGCCCAAGGTTCTAGCTGCCACGCATTTCCACGAAATCTTTGAGGGCCAATTTCTAGTGGAAACTCCGGAGCTAGCATTCGGCCATATGGACGTCCGAATGGACTTTGATGCCCCTACCATGGAAGATCAAGTAACCTATCTTTACCAACTTACTCCGGGTCGAAGCATTTCAAGCTTTGGTAGTCGTTGTGCGGCGATGAATGGCATCGATCAAGCAGTGGTGGAGAGGGCCGAGTCAATCATGCTTATGCTAGTCCGAAACGAAGATCTTGAGGTCGTGTGTTCTAAGCTCTCGGACACCGAAATGCAGAAGCTTGAAGAGGCCGAGACTGTCGCGCGAACTTTCCTTGAGCAAGATATCAAAGCACCACCAAGTAACGGAAAGGATACGAAACGCCCCAGTGGATGGTATCGAAAGATTCTCGATGAGATACTTGCCAAGTGATTTGATTTCAAATCTCGGCTGGAATATTATCACCTGATTGTCTCTAGATAATTATAGCTGTTGCTGCTATTTGCTTGTAAGTAGATGAATATTTCGACTACGCCTATTGATAATTGGGGCTCTGTGCCGTGAACCTTTAACACTTCGTTCACCTACCTGGTATAAGGCTGACTTACATTTTTTCATTGGAAACGACTATGCGATAACGTTTTTTTTAGACACTAAGCGATTAAGTCACGTAACCCTGAGAGTATTGAATCGGTGTCAAATGACTACATAGGTACTTAAAGGACTTCCCCAACGGCCTGTTTCACATAAAAACTGTACAAACTAGACAATTTTCTTAGCTCGAAATATGGAATCAAGCTTGTAAATTATTTTCTATAATCGCAGCGTGCCTTCGCACTAGGCCCTGGCGCTTCGCGGCGTCTTCCCTCACTCTTATCCATGTCTCGACGACTCCAAAGCTTGCTTGTTTTCAGTGTCGAGCAACCGGTGCGACACGGAGCCCTTCATCGAGAACCCAACTGGGTATCCAGGGTATCTATTTTTTATGAACAGCCACGTCTGAATACATACATGTAGAATCTTAAAAAAATGTAAATGCAACCGCTATCAATAGGTATGGACGAAGAAATGATGGTTCGTTTACCAACCGAAGGCCATGGCGGCGGCAACGGCTAGGACGGCAGCCAGCATAGAGGCTTGGCTGGTTGCACCGGCGCCCTCTGCGGTGGAACCACCAGCTGGGCTGCCATCAGAAGAGTTCTGTGTGGTGCTATCGCTAGAAGAGTCGCCGAAGCCAGCGGTGCTGGAGGGGCTGCCGGTTGCGGAACTGAAGGTGGAAGCTGCAACAAGTAGAGATCCAGACGCGGTAGGAGTCTGGGTGACAACCGCAGTGCTGTCACCCAAGACAGTCGTGCCGGAGCTACCCTTGCTGGCATTACCAGTAGGGGTCGGCGCGGGTGCCGAGGTAGACGCTCCAGTTGGGTCGATCTTGGCTGGCTCACCGACACTCATGATGATCGAGACCGATGCACCCCCCTTGGAGTCACCCGTGGCGCTGGGCTTGGACGTGGAGGAAGGGGTCGAACCGGTGTCAAATCCCGCCTTCGCCTGCGCAGCATCAATGGCAGACTGAGGGATATCGCAGTTAGACTGAATAGGACCGACAAGGTCCGAGAACTTGGTGTCTGCCGGACACCACTGGTTCATGCATATTACAGCGTCGGACAAAAATTTGTCGCTGGACTTCTCGCACATGCAGTCCGTATCGGTGGGAGAACATCCCGACTGGCGGATGCAACTCGTAATGCAGGTTGGGAACTGAGCGGCCTGGACGAGCGAGCCGAAAAGAGCGGCATACAAGATGGCTGAGTACTGCTGTTTGGCCAACATTTTGACGGATTAAACGGCGGATATTCGAAAGAGTGGAATGTATTATTATCGCGTGAATAATTTTATTTGAATAATGAATGACTGGTGAGAATGAACGGTCAAGAAGGGAATAAACACCTTCAAGCAAAAGCAGGTCTATCTTGGACGATAAAAACGTAGGCAATGTAAGGAGTGCGCAACGCTGGAGAGGGAAGAGCAAGCAACAAACTTGAAGGTCGATACGTGGGATTTCACGCCATATGTAAATGGCTCGGCGGCGAGGCCGCAGCGGAAAGAGATTGCCGGGATGGCCCTCCCGTGGATATATGTGTGAAACATCGCGAACTAGGATTATAGACCTGCCAGAGATAATCTCAGTCGGTTTCGGTGTGTCCCCTAAGGCGATCTTTTAATTAGTCGGGTCGCTGCGAACCAATCCTAGCGGCTCAGACGTCACAACCGATTGGAAGCTTCCTCTTTTGATTGCGGTGCCGAGCCTGACTAGACAGGGCGCCGTCTACAGTTGGTGGAATGGAGGGTTAGCTGAGTCCATAAGTGGAGCATATAGAGAAGATCTCTGGGGTAATCTTCATTTTACTTTTTTAAAGGGGAGAGCCGTTCAGGAGAGAGACCCTGTGATATAATGCATACAAATCTCGTCGGCAAACGGATTTTTCACAGCATTGAAAGACCTCTTTGGACCATCCGGGCTAGCTACGAAACCGCAGCTCTCATAGAACGCTATAGCTCCAGTGTTTGTTGCATAGACGATAACACTCAGCGCGAGATGTCCATTTTGTTTCTTGGCGTGGCCCACAGCCCATTCGGTCGCAGTCCTGACCACTTTTTTAGCGAGGCCTTGGCCTCGAGCCTGAGGCGCCGTGTAGACACCAGTAATCTGAAATGACATAGATGAGGCCTCACTATTATTGTGGTGGTGATCGCGCTCGTCCCTCATTTCGGAACTGGCCTGGAACGGATTGCTCGCTGGGTCGGGGTTCGGCAGAGGTCCAATTAATGACGTAGCCGATAGGATTTGTTTACTATCAGAGAGCATGGCCACGAAGGTCTTTGGTAGAGGATTTCTGATGCGATTAAGCCAGTCATCGTCAACAAAGTTGATTTCTCGATTGTAAGTCGAGCCGAACGCTGTTGGTACAGGTGGTCAAACCCGCATGGTCAGCCATTAGTTCAGTGGCCGCCTCACAAGAGGATAAAGAGTCCAACTAGTAGTAGGACTGAAAGAAATCACTGGATTGGTGGGTGTACCTTCGGGCTCACGTTTCAAGGCGGCCAACCGAAAGGGTTTATAGTGGTCGAGATAGAAGCAACAGCCTTCATCGTCCGCGGGCAAGGACACAATCTCCCATCCAGCAAATGTAGACATGTTGCGTAATGTCGCATTCCTAATTGACTGGTGATAATTGGTCTTATTGAGGCTGTGTGATGGTTGATTATGTAGTACAGTTTACCGCCACGCTTCGTTGCGTGTCTTGACCAGGAAAATCTCTGTACACAACTTTGTGAGGCAGTATATCCTGTTGGCATCCGACAAAGTCGGGGATCGTCCATTATGTATCCATTATGTATTATGCCGGTGGTAGTGGTAACGGTGGATAGTCTGAGACATTGCTATGAGTCACGATTCTAGAACCAAGAGTCACATCCCTTAGCTTTTACTTAGCCTTAGAGGCGGTATAGTACCTAAGGTTATGTACCTATGTATGTTGCATGTACATAAGGCACTGCGCTGCAGCAGTAAAGTTAAACCTACATATGTACAGCCGGGCGGTTAGCGCACCATAGCTCAATCCTTCAGGAACTATCCGGGCGACTGGTCAAGCTAAAGTTTATGGGACTACCCGCCTTTTGCCGCCCCGAGTTAATTGAGACATAACACTCAGCCATTGGCAGCTGCTTATTTGTCCCCACTCATTTGACCTGTCACCTGCATGTTTCCCGCGAGCGTCGCCTGCGTCGCCTGCTGAACAAGATCCTTGCCAGCGAGTCTACGTACGAGGACCTATTATTTTGGATTAAAGTTCCGAGAAGGCTGGCTGAGTACTAACAACTTTAGAAAATAACCACCACACTTCATTCATATCTCTACATGTGTGTTATGTTATGTACATACAATCCGACTTATATAAAATATCTTCTCAGATGCATCCCTACATATTGAGTTAATGTTCTGCTTACCTTCGGGGTTAGTGATTTGTGATATATCGCCATGGCGTCTAACAACGACCTTCCCTCGGGAGGTTTCGCCGCTGCCTTCAAAGACTTCGATCTAGATGATGTCTTTAAGGAAGCCGAGCAGCGCGTGGTGGACAAGCTCAGCAAGAACTTCGTCGTGGAGTTCGGATATGATAGAGCGCGCATTGCGTTCGATCTGGGCAACGAAGAAATCAAAGAGCTACTTGAGCGTGATCCCGATCCCCAAAAGGACTATCCTATCCGATGGATGTACGTTTGATGTCTAGATAATATCAAGCCTAGGTATACTCTACATACTAACCAAAACAACAGCAACGTGTGGGATCCCAGCGCACAGAAGGATGTCATGACCTCTATTGTCAATAGATACGGATTCTCGCTCAGGCTACTTAGCCTTATGACTACCCCAAGACCTCATCAAGACGAGACACGACGGTATAAGGAGAGGAAGAGGGCTATATTGCGCCATCAACGACTTCCGATAGATCCAGAGAAAGGTGATGCCACGAACAATTTTACGGCGAAACCCGTTCCATCCACGGAAGCCAATGACAATCTAGCTCTTTATTTGCAAGTCAAGGATACAGTGAACTATTCTTCTACTGACCAAACGCAGAAAGGCATGTTTTTCCCCAAAACAATATCATTATCGCTCCTCACTAACACAGCTATGAAGCTTTCTGTATCGGGGCGAATTGGTTACACAAACGACCAAGGCCCGAACACGGACGCGAACATCCCCGAACTAGTATCATGCCGCCTAAACATTGGCAGTGGCTCGCTTTATGTAACAATCGTATGAGCTATGATATCGTCCTTATACCGCTGAGCAACTACTAATGTCTCGGATAGACACTGTCCTGTCGATTCACGAGAGGCCCTCGTACGAACTGGTGCCGGAAAAGGAGGACGAAAAGCGCTGGCGGCAAACTGAACTTCAGTATATGAGGTCTCATATGCTAGATATACTTAGGCAGCTATCTAAAAAGGGCTATGAGCAGTACAAATCTGACCCACTCGCTCAAAGCTCAGTGCGGGAGTCGTTGCGCAAATTTCAACTAGGCATAACCAGACAGGAATCGGGGGTGTCTATTTTCAACAGCGAGACGGGTAGTCTAGCCGACGAAGGGACAAGTAATCTTTTCTACTATTTGTTTGAGGACTACGTCGCGGCCGGGCCTCTCAAGGCCGCGGAACAAGAACTAGACGAAATGGTAGGTTGGTCCATCATGGTAGACAAGACACTGCTAACCCATTTTGCATAGACACATAAGATCCTAGAAAGCACTGTAGGTTAGGTCCCCAGAGTTACACTTACGGCTACTAAGTTATACAGCACTGGAAAAAGGTATCCAAGAGCTCTGAGATCATACCTACGTTGCATTATCTGAGTAAAGACCTCCGAGAGTTTAAGCACCTGTTTGAGAATTATAAGAATCTTATAAATAAGATCCTGTCAGTGGGGAAACCTGATTCGCAACCGCCTCCGCCGTTAGACGTTCGATTCGAGGTGGATCGCAGAGTGTCCTTAACGAGCTCAGCCCTTAGTCGATTTACCAGGTTAGGGGACCGCCTTCAGTACCTCATGCTGAATACCATTGAGGGGTATCTGGAAGAGATAGGTGCATTGTCAACGACGGTAAGAATCAAGGGTTTGCTGTTCTCAGTGAGCAGTTGTGGCTAATACTTAGTAGTACTTCAACCTGACGCAACAGAAAGATTCACAGGCAACAGCGAGGCTTACGAGGAGTGCGACGTTACTGGCTAAGCTTAGTGTCTTCTTCTTGCCGATCAGTTTCATGACGAGTTACTTTTCAGTGCAGATCGAGGATCTCTATACAGCATGGACTGGGAATACCTATTGGTATGCATTCGCGGTGATAGCGAGTGTGTCGTTTGTGAGTCTGTTCTTCTTCAGCAGACTACTCATGTTCTCTATCGATATGTTGGATGATTGGGCTGCTAAGATAGCAACCGGGACTAACAAACTTCTTCAAACTGTACTGGCTTGGGTTGCTGGGCTCAGATCGAGAAATGGTGGTGATGGTGATACGTAAGGAGAGTGCTCAAAGCAATGGCGCATCTGATCGAAAATTTGGCTCTGGGTGTAGTACAGTGTGAAAATAGTACAACCAATACTAAGTACATAGAGTATGATGGAAAGTTGCTTACATGTACTTCCGTAGATCTTATGTGTATTATAGATGGTGCGTCTACCTAGGTATACATGTACGATTATTGGTGGAAGTCCGGCATTGGATACATACATATGTATGTAGTTGCGTCACCTGTGAGTACCCATGTACACAAGTAGCATACGTCAATGTACTCACAGAACATATATAAGCCAGTATGTACTTAAGGCACCTGGCAAAGCAGTTTAATTCACCCATGTGGCGATCCACATTGATGTTTCTTGTCGATTCAGACTTGAAATAATGTTGCCTTGGGTACATTACCTCGTCTACTTAGGTACTTAGATTGGTTAGCCATCTACATATGTAGTTGCTGTACGATTCGCGGGATGCCATCTGAACTAGCTAGTCATCATTTTCACATGCCTCTGATTCTGGACCAAAAGGGGCAATTGATCTCGTGACTCTTTCGTATTTTCGAGTCTGTAAGTACCTCTACCTAGGCATTAATTAGTTGTATCTAACTCTCCCTTTTTTTATTCCCTTTGATAATATTCGTCCTTTCCTATCTATGTATTGTCACTAGCTAGAGCTTATTGGTAGAACCTATGATGTATGTCTTATGCGGGATGCAGAGTTTTGACTTGCAGAACATGGTTACTTACATAGGTATGTTGGAAAAGGTTGATAAATGGTTGGCGGTCGTCGCCGGGTTCCCAAGATTCAGTGCTCTAGGGCTGCAGCTACCCCTGCCGCCCCTGATTTTAGCCCAGTGATTTAGTTGGTCCCTTGACCTCTGCCGGGGGCCGACCCCCCGTTGATCACTTCCTTCGCGCATCTTTTTGTGCCTTCTTCCTTCTGCACCTGGAGCAGCAATGACGTTTTTGTCCTTCGCTTTGCACATCTTGTCTTGTACATCCAATATGTTTTTTTAAGTCAATCATACAATATTCATTCAAACAATCACTTGTCATTTGTAAAATTACCGACCACTACGCATTCCCCGTCTCAACTGTTCGGTTGTTCTAGATTTTATTTATCAAGTATCCTTGCGACGCATCCACAATCCGTTCATATCGCTTGCGCAAAACTATAGGCGGTGAACTTTTTTTCTACTTATTTATTTAGACATCCCAGAACAAGATAAACCCGTCAACTTCGCCCTTCTTCGATGACTTTGCGTTGCGACCCTAAGAAAAGCGACGATTAATCCACCGAGTCCCTGTATAACATGCCTTCACATCACTCCAACGGGGCTGCAAAAGCCTCGCTTGGCCAACTGCGATACATCCCCATTTCCTACGACAGCGATAGCCCTGATTCCTCGGCCCGCGCCCTTATCCTCGCCCTACGTCCCGAATGGTCGAGTCCCAAATCCAACATTGAATTTACACCATTCAAAGATGGCATTACAAACACATTATTAAAAGCGGTCAATCGAAAGGAGGGTTTATCCGAGGACGAGATAGACCAAGAAGCCGTTCTACTACGTGCATATGGGCACGGAACCGATGTGCTTATAGACCGACACCGTGAAACACAGAACCATGAGCTGCTCATGAACCATGGCCTAGCTCCGGAGCTTCTAGCTCGCTTCGATAATGGCATGATATATCGCTATATTCGAGGCACAGCTACCCAACCAGCCGACTTAAGAATACCGGCAATCTATCTAGCTGTCGCGCGACGCTTAGCCCAGTGGCATGCCACTGTTCCCTGCATCTACGAAAGCCGGGCACAAAAGAATGGGACAAACGGGATCGTCAATGGATCCCACGAGATTACCATTGAAAATGCAGCACCTGGGAAACCTTTCCCTAACGTCTGGAGTGTTATGCAGAAATGGATATTTGCCCTCCCCACAGAAACAGAGACTCAACGTGCAAGACAAACACTTCTCCAGGAGGAACTCACCAAATTAATAGAGGAGCTAAGCCAACGGCCCGGGCTGGGTGATAATGGCGTAAGTAGATTTGCAAACGCAAGTTGTGTTGCTTGTGCATACTAACAACCACTTCCTATAGCTTGTTTTTGCGCACTGCGACCTTCTGAGTGGAAATGTCATCATTGAGCCTCGAGGTTCTACCAGCGCTAACAGAGAAGATGGCCACAAGACAGAAGTTAGTTTCATCGATTACGAATACGCCACCCCTTCTCCCGCAGCCTTTGATCTAGCGAACCATTTTGCGGAGTGGGGCGGTTTCGACTGCGACTATAACGCGTTGCCAACTCGGACACAGCGAGTGGAATTTATTCGCGAGTACATTCGTACTTATTTTAGTTTAGTGCCCAACAAGCTCGATGGCAAGGGGGAGGAAACCGAGGCACAGAAGTTATTGGCGGAAGTGGACGTGTTTCGTGGCGTTCCTGGGTTCTACTGGGGAATCTGGGCATTAATCCAAGCCACTATCTCGCACATCGATTTCGACTATGCCGAATATGCTGAGATTAGATTGGGGGAGTATTGGGGGTGGAGAGAAGCAACGAAATGTGTCGCCGATTCCACGCCAAGGGAATTGTCACTACGGGAGAAGCGATGGGCGCAGCTGGATTAAATCCAGTTCTACCAAGGGTAAAGCGTACATGGTCATGATACAGCATTTAATAGATACCATTATGAGACAGTAAATAATCGGGGAACCCTCGCTTGTAGTAGAGCTATATGAACGATCTTGAAACGACAACTTTAGAGTATCCAAGACTACAGCGTAGGGTTCTGAAGCAGCATAGATATTTCAATCTTAGAGACGTGTACTATCCTCCCACGAGTATTCGATGAAGGAAAGTAACACTTTTTCATCGACACCTGATTGATAGCACTTAAACGTAACAATTGTTTAGAATAGATCACGTACTCATATAGTAGATAAGGTGACAATTCATGATGTCGTTGAATGAACTAGTTCGTTCTCAGAAACCCACCGATAGAAGTTGCACATAAAAACAAATAACTAGGTACACATTCAGACTTCAAAATGGATTCACAAGCGAACGCTTCTGGTTCGATGATTCGGGGAGTAGAGTCTAGAATAGGTAGTGGACTATCTTGGAGTATCCGTTGAGGGTGGTTGATACTTTCACCTACGATCAACAGCTCATTAAACCTGATATATTCTTATCAGGTAGCCATGCAAAATAAACTATACAGCCTTCTCAACATATCTACCTTTGACTACATATTGATTAACTTTATCTGATCCATTGTATTGAAGTAACCCTGGCCTCTTTTTACCTCGGTAAACCAGCCAGTGGCATCGCTTTGAGGGTGCTCCCTGAAGAGTTATTGAGACCGATTCATCGTTCTACTTTATCCGCGCACTCGCCGGACAAATCTGCAAGTATATCAGAACGCAATATTCTTCGTTCCACGTCAATAGTGAGGGTTCTCTCAAGACAATCCTCCAGTATAAGCGAAGTAGCCAAGGGAGTTCCTGATAACCCCTCCAAGGCCTAGGATATTCTATAATAATCCGCGCTATATCTTTGAAATTGTGCCCCTATTCCTTGAAGAAGTTCTCGGCTTTGTTGGCGGTGGCGCCGCACTTGACGCTTGGGAAGGAGGCAAGGCGTCATTGGTGTTTCCTGGTGTTTAGGTTTTAATTTATGATTTTAAATTACCGTACGATCGATTTTCAACTAGGTCTCCTTTTGGATATATCGAATTCGCGTATTTCGACTATGGTCTTTGCTGGGATAATACTCGAAGTCGTACTGAGGACTGAACCTCTATCACAAATGCTGATTCTTGTTCAGTTGATTCCTAATCCTGTTGTATAGAATTACTGTAGCTGCGATCTGGTTCGTTGATAGCGAGCTTTTAAACTCGCTATTTATGATGCTGGGAAATGGTCAAGACGGAAGAGGAAAGGAGATCAGTGGTTCTCACATAATTAATGTGGAATTTTTACATTCCACATGAAATATAGGTAGATAATTAATGGGAAATAAGGTAGAATAGCGAATCAATTTAGTTCAACATAAGAAAAGTGTGCAGAAGTTATGGAGGGGGCCAAGAGTAGGCATTGGGAAACAACGCCATGTAAAAAGATATGATGGTAAAATAAAGACGTAAGTCAAGTCACTAGTCTAACTTAGGTACACACAATCCATCCTTCCTGGAGGCTGAGAGCTCATAGCTTCTGGGTGACGACGAGATCAACGTCTTATCGTCATCTAGTTGGTGACATGATTTCAATCAGTTCGTAGATTTATCGTGTCAGCGATATTTAGAAATGTGACGCGCTATATTCATCATTGTGGTCTTGTTCACATTCTAGCAATTGCCGTCGAATCAGCAATTAGTTAAATCGCGAAAAATCGGATATTTGACAGAGGTTTGGGGGCCAGCTGAGAGTGAGGCAAGCTGATATTGAGTCTAAGGACGTGGTTAATGGATTGTCGCCTTATCGCCTTATCGCAGCCCCAGCCCGTCTGAGTTTTGTCAGCTAAAGCACGTAATTGTATGGTACCTAGGTACCTAGGTAGGTATCTAGGTATTTCCAGGACCTGGAAGGGGAAATGGCGGACAAACAAAAAGAGACGAGGGGGAGCTGAAGGAATCGGCAGGCTTCGCAGCGCTCCGAACGCACAGATAAGAAAGGGTGAACCCTGTCAAGGCTTTGAGTGGGTACTTATTGTGAGATGACCAATCAAAACTGGTAGAAGTATTTCAAGCTGCAAATTGGTTATTTGCATTGTTGTACTTTGACGAGGGTGGGTAAGTGGGGCAGCGGAGGGTGGGAACATTGAAGCAGGGAGGTAGGGTTGGGGATATGTACATGTATTGTATTTGCATATTATTATGTATATTTATACATGATATACACGCACAATTATTCTTGTATTCTCTCATATTTTCGATCGATTTCGTACCTGACCCTCGATTCGCTACATTAACATACTTGACATAGGTACAATATTTCTGCTCCACAGCTATCATCCAGTCGGTCTAGCGTATGGGCATGTAGGTATCTAATGGATGAATATCTGGTTCATTTGTCTGTCTAGGTATTTTTCACCTGCAGAGAATTCTTGGCGACGCGCAATCCTAGGTGTGACGAGCGTGTTCTGGACATCGTGATTCGAACAGAGAATATCTCGCTGCGTTGCTGATGAGCTTTGCATCCCGCTTGGTCCTGACCGCCTCTGCCCTTGCAATTCTGTCATTCGCGCACGCGATTTCGCTCCTTGCCACCTCATCATCATAATCATCCATAATCATCATCACCAATCGCCCATCGGCCTTGCCCTTCCAGCTTCTCCCGTTTTAATAACCCGGCCTGCAGAGAAGATCTACCACGGCAGGGGACGGAGAACAGGTACTAAGCGGCTTTCCTGAAAGAGTAATGCAACGCAAGGCGAGGCAAGGCAAAACCGGAGGTTGAACAAGATGTTGCTTATTAAGGGAAAGTAGTTTCAGCAGGCGCTGAAACCCCCAATACCTCCTACTTACATATACTACCTTCGTCCCCTCTCCCCGACCGGATGGGGTGCGTACGTGCGTGCTTTACGGAAGATACCCGTGAGGCAAGTCAGAAAGAGGGAGATACGATACGACGCCTGCGTCTGCAATACTCAATTAGTCCATACACAATAGCCTGCACCCCCAATGAACGGGGGACGGTGGACGAGACGAAGTTTCGCCTAGACCCTCTCGGCACTTATCAATGCATTTAAGAAACATGACGTTCCTAACTCGGGAAGTGATCAGCACAAATGTCGATGCATGTGCCGGATCATATGGTCGACGTCCGATACTCCCGCATGGCTATTTTTTTTTTCCCCCTCGCTATCTTATTTTCTCTCAAATAGCATGTACCCCGTCTGTTATGTCTGACCGCTATGACTTCTGAACGATATGTTGATTTGGTAATATCATTTCCTCTTGAATTGATTGCTACCGTACCAGCTTTCCCTTCTCTCCCCTGTTCTTATAATTAGGGTACGCCGAAAAGAAAGGAAAAAAAACAACGAAATCGTGGGGACGAGGCACAGCAAAGGGTGGGATGGGTGGTCTAGAGCGTGTGGAAAATAGGTCAGCCGAAACAATTTGCATGGACGGATGTTTGGAGCTGATGCCAGGCTGTTAATTAGCGGCAAGTAAATTACCGGGCTGAAGCGGTCGGGTGGCCACTAGGGTTATGCAGCATTACTGGCGCATTATTGGCGTTTGAGGCTTCACTGGCTGTAAAATTCTCGGTCCTCCAAAAAAAAAAACTAAATTAAACTAAAACTTGGGGGCTACAACAGCAGGAACGCGTCTACTACGAACCTTGGAATTTATGAAATATACCTTAGTACGTATTTAGGTGCATAATATTTGTAGATTTTCCGACTCTGCTTCGGGTACAAAACAACGTACTTGTATGTACTTAATGAGTGACAGTACATGCTAAGTAGTACTAAATGGTAAAATGCTGATACATAAGGACCCTGTTATTATGTATTGTCACTATGTGTGTACACTTATGACTGCAGACTGCATCTTCAGTATAAGAAGAAACTGCATACATGCTCACCTCATAATCTCTTCTTACTGGCTGATTCGTGCAACCTATCAAGGGGGTGTCCGTGCCAAGCCGCGCTCCGGCTTTCGCCCCAAGGGCATGATGGCGCTATCAGGGTGGACTGGTTCAAACTTGAACTCCCGGCTTGTGCGGCGCGGTTATATATGTATACCTAGGTACTTTGGTCTAGTGGCTCTGCTCCATAGTAAGTCAGGTACTGCGCAATATGGGCGATGGCATAAGTCTTCGTCTAGATGACACCTCGTGGGACCTTGTTAGCTATTCATCTCCAGGTTTTCTTTCTTGTCTACTGGTGTATGTACATAGATAAGATGAATTGGTTAACCGTGATTAGGCGGTGCGATCATTGGCTCATTCGGACCCCCCCCCTAGTCAGCTTTCTTTTTTTTTTCCTCTTTCCCTCCTTTCGCTATTTCATATCATTGTGCCGCTGTACCACAGCTCAAGTTGGATGAAGTTGCAATCACCCTGAGCACTAAGCATTGATCAGCGTCGACTCGAACCAGAGCTGGACATCCAGCCGAGCCAGCTCTGGATTGTGCAAATTGCCCGCCTGTCATGCATGCAGCTGTCGTTGATGCAAACCGCGTACTACCTCACGTTATAATCCACCAATATGGCCAATAGCTCTCGGCTTATCCAGCTTTGGAGACAATCTCTACCCTCGCTCGTCCGTCAGCAATGCTTAGCCGCCTGAACCAGAAGCTGGCGGATAATGATAAGTGGTAGTGGTAGTGGTGGGTGGAGGGTATGTAAGTGCCCAGCATTGCTACTTGTTCAGGTGCTCACTAACCGTAGGTATTTTGGGTAAAGGGTTAAACTATTGTCAATCAGAAAGGGATGGATAGTGTAGCCAAACCCACTCGATTTGACCGTCATGTGCCTATCTGCCTATCTCATATTACCTTACATACAATATATACGTAGGAGTGCGTGTATGTATATATATGTACGCATATGTATGCGATATGATTGATTATATATATATATACTATCTATCTGGATAGTTGTTGTGTATATAAATTTAGGTAGGTAGGTACGTATCGTAGTAGTTACATATAGCCCTAGAAGTAAGGCAGGTTAAGTAGCTACCTAGGTATGTAGGGACATCTTTAGGTAGGCTAATCACAGTAATAACCCGCTATAATAGCCCGTGTAACATTGGCTATCAAGGTAGTAGTTAACACGGTGGTCCGTTCCCACCTAAGAGCACGTTGTCGGAAGAAAGACATAGGAAAGGGTTCTTATTAGTCGCCTACCCCCATGAATCTACCTAGGTACCTAATCAGGGCTTTAGCTGGATTATTAGTCTCATATTAGTAGACTCGACTATATCAACGGCTTCATTCAGCCTGGTCTTATTAGACTGCCAGAATCATTTGATACATTCCATAGACATTAGACTAAAAATGTTCGGTACCAAACTACTTTAAGAAGATATTATGTATAGTTTCTATAGACTGGATCTCCCATTCCAACAATCCACATTGATTTCTATTTTCTTAATAGGGCTTTGTTGTTATTATTATTGTTACTGTTACCATTGTCAAGAGATAGACTAATTTATGTCTTTAAAACATATTCTCCATATTTGTAGTTCAGTAATTGGTCTAAACTCGTAGACTCCCATTATCATGACACAGGGACGGCCCTGGCTCGTCCGATGAAGCTTAATGGCCGATGGTCGATGATGATACCGGTCAATGATACAACGGCGTTGGGTACCTGATGCTGGTACAATACCTAGAATAGGTCAAGCGTCAACGCTCCGCACCGACCTCCCGAATACCCCGGGAGCTATAATCCCTGCAAGGCGTTGCAACTTGCTTTTGCACCTTGCACCCTTTCCAACTTCTGTAAGTCACGCTCATTAGATAGGTACCTTTTACCTTATGTATACATACATATGTAGGCATGTAGGATGTTACATCAAATACATAGGCACTGAGGAAGGTATATACATATGTATGTACCTACATAACCTTAGCTGCGTAAGTTTTGTTCGCCCTGCACTTGCTTGCTTCGATGTTGCCTCTTCTTTCCCCCCCTTCCTTAATTATTTTTTTTTGTGTTGTTTCCCCCCTAGAAACTACACTAATACCTTTATGTACTTTCCAGCTGGGTCCATGTGTGTGTAATCTGCCGTCGTAGTGGTAGCCCCACATTTTTCCCGTCTAGCCAGTGTTTTTTTTACTAGGTATCTCTTGCCTGTCTATCAGTCTGCTTTCTTCGATCGCGACGACCCCAAAAAGTCATTAGCCAATTTGCCCTCAAACCCAAGGGCTATCTCACCTTTTTTTTTTTTTTTTATCTTATTTTATTTTTATTTTTATTATTTTATTTTTACTTTCTTTCTATACCAAGACACATTTACGGGAAAAAGAAAGAAAAGACCCAAAACGACTTAATTCCCTCTTTCACCCATCCTCTTTTTTTTATCCTTTCTAACCCCTACAAGAAAGCGAAACGGCCAGATGTTCTAAGTTCGCGGCCACCCCTCGCGACATCGTCCCCGATAGGCGTCCTGCAGCCAATCTTTAAAATTTGTCCATTCTATTGGCTCATTTCGTCACGAGGCGCAGTCATTGACTTTTTTTTTTTAACCCTTTCTGCCCTTTGGCCGAGGTTTCCGTTATGAACGCTGAGTTGATGCTTGATTCTTCATCTCTTGTAAACCGCAGTTGATGTGTACCGCTAAGCTGCGCTCGCAAGCGGGAAGTGAGTCTGCGCGTGAGCGACAGAAAGTGTGAGAGAGAACCAGCAGGACGCGGTGGAGAACGGCCCAGCCTTAATTCAGCAAGTCCTCTTGTTGCGGCACAGTTGCCCGTCCGTATATATACACATTCACACATTCATATATATGCGCCGTTCAAACTCAAGCTTGTTAAAACGAGGGAAAAGGAAAAAGAATATATAATAGCACTGGGCCCGACTTGAACACTGGCGCAAAGGCGCGACAGAGGAGGATTATGGCAGCTGACTCGCTGGAACCTCGACTAGATCGTCGTGGTTCCTTGCTCGAAGGTCGGGAGGTCCAAGTCACACCCGGTTTTGACCCGTCTTTAGACCCCACGATTAGACAGCTGTTCGAGCAACAAGCTGAAATTCAGGCGAAACTAGCCGCCTTACTACCAGCCAAGTATCTTCCCAACAGTAAACTCGAACTGGACATGCTCCGTCGGAAACTTAAAGCATTGGAAGCCTATGTAACAAGTCAAAGTGAGTGCCTCCACATATATAATATTTCATCATAACGGGCCACCATAAAACTCTACCGATTTCTAATATACAATCCAAGACCTTCCTGGGACTGTCCCCATATTATCTGATATCGAAGAAGCCCGTTCCTTGCAGTATAAATGCGAGTGTATTGAGAGCTTCTTAATAGATCAAGGTATGTGCTTAAGCTGTCCCGCCTCGTTTCAGCCCTAACATGCGTGCTATCGCAAACAGGATTAGATCTACATGACGCCCAATTTATACACGCTTTAAAACTTTTTGGTCAGGAAGACATACCGCCTGGTTACGATGCTTGGCTGGATAAAAACATCTCATTTTACGACCCCATATTTCGGGGGTGGAGGATGAGAGAGACAATACCTCTAATATCGAGACGTCAGGCTTCCTTCAAATGTTGGGATGATCGGTGCATGTACTATATATATGGCTTTTCGAATCTTGAGGACCGAGATGAACACTTAAAGCAACACACCATCACTCCGAAGAGGGACTCAGGTCTCTCGGTCGGTACTATTCCACCTATAACTTTCCCAGATCAGGCTTCGTCACGGCTTTTCAGTACCGACCACATGAATCGGAGTTCACCAGCTACTTTGCCACGACTCTCTGTCCCCCCTTCTCTACCTCCATTAGCTACCGCCAATCAGCCGAGAGATCGACGTGAATCAACGATTGGGTATCCCTTTGTGAACGACCTGCCGCCCCAACCGAGGGGCTCAGTAGACTCAGAGCCCGATTCCTTGCTTCCGCCCTTAAAGCGAAGTAGAGTCGGGCACGGAAGACTTGAATCTATTGGCGAGCTTAGATTGCCTCGTGATGCTGGGCCTTGTCTCCGTTGTAAGGTTTATGCTAAGCCGGTAGGGAATTTCAGTTCTTGTGGGCTGGGCGATTGCTTACTCTCGTTAGTGCGATTCGAAGGACGATTGCTCCTTTTGCTCCGAGTCCCCTAACTCCGCCAATGACGAGTTCTGGGGTGTACTTGGGTGCCATCGTGGCCCTCTGGTCTCGCTAGCTGATCACATGCTTCCAGGTAGTTACCCGAGTCCATTTGTTGTCGTAAGGTCCTAGGTTCTGACCTCAAGTAGAAGCCCTTTCCCCAAGACAAGTACACACTCCCGTCACTTCGCCCTTGGCGAGGAGGCGGAATATGAATGAGTATCTTGAGCGGACTTATCTCGTAACCCAGAGCATGTCGGATATGGTGAAGTCACACTTGGATTTTGACGACGGATTTTGGTGGACTGAAGATCTAGCGTCTTTACCGATGCCCAATCCCACCCTAGCCACCTATTCAAAAGAACCTAAAGACAAACCACCTCCAGTATTAAAAGTATTAGCAGCAAGTTGGAACGCCGAAGGTGTCCCGTTTCAATTTTGGGAATTATTTAGACTCACAGGTTTTATGTCGGAGAGCCGCGAGTTTGAGGCTGTAACTTACCCAGTACTCTACCGCGCGAAACTGCTTCTTAGAGAAATCCTATTCTACGACTTACAGCAGCCTGAACCGTCGATACGAACCGAAGTTAACTTGACTAACGTAACCAATGCCCAAAATTCACCAGACGACATAGATTACGAAGGACGGAATCGACTTATATACAATTGTATGGCTCAGTTCTTACAGTCCTTCGAGAGCACGACGATGCGAAGAGTCATCTCAGACCCAAAGAGTTGGCTGGCTGTTTTCGTTTCGCTTTGTATTTTTAGCATTGTGAGGACGATCTTGGCGGATTTAATCTCCACGCCATCACGATCTCTTCCGGCGCAAGCACAAGCTGGGTTCCCTATGTCTATGGGTGCCACCGCCATGCACAGTGTATATAAAGCGCTGGTGAGTGTATTTGCTTGGTCGACACCTATGATAATTGACGACCCGGCTATGGATTTGGATGGAAATGACCGTGCGTTATTTGTTACGACTATTTCTGCTATTCGGAAGGACGACTGGATTGCGTTGGGTATCCGTTCCTCTCGAGATTTCCTTCTTGGACTTGGGAGTGGGTATTTGGATGGGAATGCTGGATTCAATGGGTTTTTCAGGCAGCGGACTCCGATCTACCGACATGTCTCGTACCAGCAGCCTTCTGTTATCGGCCAAGCCGGTGAGCCCCGGAAGCCTGTTCTTCAATGGCGGCCGATCGATCCGTGGGCCAATCGGAGTGATCAAGATATGTTGCCAGCGACGTATGCTATAGAAACCCCTGAACCTGGGAGGAGGCATACTGTGGGGGAAAATCCGGTTTTTACACGTGCAATCGCGAGGGGACTCAGTTCCCCTTCAAAACTTAGGACATCTTACCAACGGCCGCCCCTTCGGCGTGTATTTTGTGCTAAGTGCAACGAATATCCCGAGGGTTTCCGTGGCGAACATGAACTTCGAAGACACAACGATGCCAAACATGCATCTTTAGTGAAAAGATGGGTTTGCACTGAACCACAGAGTGCGAGCCCTAATTCCCCACAGCCCGTAATACCATTATCGAAATGCAAGGCTTGTGTCACGCAAAAACGGTACGGTGCTTATTACAATGCGGCTGCCCACCTACGGCGGGCCCATTTCCACCCGCACAGAAGCGGCAAGGCCAGCGGTGATTGGCCGCCGATGACCGTCTTGAAGGATTGGATGCGGGAAGTGAGACAATCCATCGATGTTAACGAAAACGACAGCTCTAGTGGAGAAGAAGATAATGATGTTAGAATGATGGAGGAATATCCATTGCCTCGACAATCGTCCTTCTTGGAAGCGCCCCGACTTGCGCCTGCGCCACCTCAAGGACCATTACTGGCGCCATCGATCGCACCATCCTTAGACAGTACCGCGCATAGTAGTCCGGTAATACCAAAGGCAGAAGACAACCGAAACCGTTGTCCCCATCCTGATTGTGGCCGGGTATTCAAGGATTTAGCAGCACATATGCTAACGCACCAGGAGGAAAGGCCCGAGAAATGTCCGATTGAGAGTTGCGAATATCATACAAAAGGCTTCGCGCGGAAATACGACAAGAATCGACACGCGCTTACACATTACAAGGGGACAATGGTTTGCCCATTCTGTCCGGGTCCGGGGACGGCATATGAGAAGGCCTTTAATAGAGCCGATGTCTTTAAGAGGCACCTGACTGCTGTACACAACGTCGAGCAAACTCCCCCCAATAGCCGCAAGATGATCATCACAGGAAATAGCTCTCGTAACGGCGGGGATGCTAAATGTTCTATCTGCCAAACTCGATTCTCGACAGCGCAGGAGTTCTACGAACATTTGGATGACTGTGTTCTAAACGTTATCGTCCCTACGACCCCAAAAGCGTTGAAAGACCGCGTCTCCACCCCCCAGAAGGGGGACAGAGGAAGTATCGTGGTTGCGATGGAGGATTCTGATGAGAAGAGCGTGAGCGAAGGAAAGGGGACGGTCGATGTCTCGAGAGTCACGCCAATAGAGCCGACACGAGATGACAAGATGGATTTGGACTCGGAGAAGGAATAGGAATGTGAATTCGCACAATCATTGTATATATACATACGAGGGAGCGGGTATAAGGAGGGGAGTTTGGAAGATATCACGGTGGTTCTTTGTGTGAGACCGTCATATTCGTGTATACAAGGCTTGAGACGAACATTAGGATATTAAGACACGATAAGTCATGGTTGGCAATACCTATTATTACTATTTTACAAATTATGAGGGTGAGTTGACTCATGAGCAATGATGCTATTTTACGATACACAATGTAGAATTTCAGCTCGTTATCGGAGGTACTCGGCATTCTAGGTTGCTAGGCGAAGATGCAGAGGCCTGTAAACGAATACAGACCCTCGTTCTGGAGATATTGTGTTAAATTACAAGACTACACTCTCTTCCATGTATCCTTGTAAACATATTAGCTGATTGTATAGGCAGAGTATCTAGGTACCTTACAATGAGTACCTCTAATAGATGACGCCATTATAACGTACATGGGACTCATTAACCATATATCTATTAACTATGGACAAAAGAGGCGCAAGAGTGGATATCATCAATACAACATTACGACAGTTACCATAGCGAATCCTTCCAATTTCGAGTTGTGGTCCCTCGAGTTCCTTTTCTTCCCCTAGTCCATCCCCATATGCCCCCTTCTTATCTCGTTTATTTCCCGCATCCTACGGATTTACTACCGAGTACCATGCCGTAAAATGGGAGGGTTCCCACCCACGTGGCGTGAGACCCGCGCAGGATGGGGGATGGGCGACGTTGGTAATTTCGGCCCCATGGGCAGCTATCCCGGCAAAGAAGATTGATGTACCAAATCATTTCGAGATACCGGCGATCATATTGTCCATGAGAGGGCAGTGAACTCTGAAGATATGCTTGTGATGGATAGACGGAGTTAAATGCTCAATGTGAGATGGTCATGAAAACCTCCCAGACCCTGACTATCCTCTTACCTAATGGTTATATGGAAGCGAGCAGTGACTCCTTTTGGCGAGTACACGCTCTTGCCTCTTCTTTTTTTCTTTTTTAAAGTCGTCATGGAATCACTCAGTTGTTTGGCATGTACTTAGATAGGTAGATAGGTGAAACTATTTTTATCCGTCTTATATCATACAAAATGAACAATGAATGATAAATTCAATAAATAAAGATAATTAGAGATAGCCCACACATCATATTATTCTTTAGACGCGTACCTAGTATCAGAGCTTACGCGAGTCCAGATTAGATACGGAAGCACAGGCACATTAATGAGAAGTTAAGCCATCACCGGATGGACACAGTGAATTAGAGACCTGCGTCTGGTAGATAGATGTCCCGCGCTCTAGCAGGTGTATTTCTTCCTCCCCAAACTCCATACGGGGTATCATCACCAACCATACATGCACCTCATACTTATTTATACACGCTCGTACAGGCATACCCGGTGGACACAGCGAACAACCTCATCCCCAAGCATACAACCCCACGTCACATTATACACATAAGAGACATTTCCATAATATGCCGAGAAAAGATTGGCCGGTAGAGAATCCATCCATCAACGAGACGATTTTCCGCCTCCATCGAGTTTGGTAGGAGGCTTTCTAGCAAACCCATTTAACATCCTAAACCCAGAACCTGACCGGCGCCCTTCCTCTACTACTTCATGTACGCCGTTGAGACACTTGCCTGCCTCGCGCATCTCTGCCGTTTCCGCCTCAAGGAATCCTAGACGGCTTTCGCACGCCACCTTTTCCATCTCACACCGTAGCAGCCAGCGCTCCCAAGCCCAGCTCCCCGCTAAACCTGCCACCGACGCCGCCGCTTCTGTGCTGCCTGAGACTATGGCCTCTAACTCGAGAGGACGCTCTACGCCAGTGCTATCGCGCGCCACCTTGCGGTTACGACGCACAGCCGGATCCGGGCCCATCGGAAGGCACATCCAAGCACGGCGAACTTGGTCAAATCCGGCACGGTGGAGACGGCCCATGAACATACGCGTCGGGCTAGGATCATAGCCAAGTGTTTTGAGCGCGAACCCAAATTCAACCGATTTGGCGAGGCCGAGAGGTCCTGCGTTCATGATATCTGAGTCGAGGAGCGAGAACTCCAAATAGCCTCCTGGTTTGAGAACTCGCATACATTCATCTAGACAGCTATCCCATTCATCCTCACCATTCTCGCCGATTAATTTAAGGATCGTGTGGAGCTCACGTGCCGAGACCATGTCAAAGTGCGCATCTGGGAAAGGCAATCGTGAAAGTCGAGCGACAGCGACTTGTCGATGGTTGGGTGGACCGCGAATGTTTGAGTTGGAGAGCTGCCGAATTGCCTTGGTTGTCACAGTGTACACCTTAGTGTTCGGATACATGATGGCGCAGTGCCAAGCCCAGTCGCAAGTAGACTGGCCGCCGAGGTCAAGTATACGTGCCCGGTCCTTTGCGCCGCCGATGCGAGAGAGACGAGAAAGGCGCTTGGCGATGGGTGCAGAGAACAGGCGCCCCCCATTCAAAGCCCTAGTCGCGCCAACATGCCAATTTGCCATAGACATTTGGGTCAGCGCCTCGTGCTCCTTTTCGCGCTTCAGCTTCTCAGGGTCATCCACAAGAATGTCGTCGCCGCGAGCTACGTTGGCACTCATCCGCTTCTTAGCCGATTGCGGTACTACCGATAGTTGATACTTTCCAAGAAGCTGGTTGCGATGAGTCTCTCGTAGGGAGATGCGTTGAGCTTGCATAGCTTCAAAGCGTGGAAGACGATGAACGAACGCGTCTTGACTGCGAGAGCGGATGATATAGTCTTGGAAAGCTCTGTAGTAAGCCGACTCCTGCCGTAAGAGCTTAGGTGGCAGAGTCTTTGGGATGTCAGCCTTGACAACAATCTCGGAAAAACGCACTGTCTTTTTCTTTTGCGCAGGGGACGCCACTTCTATTTCGCTTTTTTTCGTTCTTGGCTCCTCTTCAACATGGAGGTCTCCTGTCTCCAGCTCACGTTCGGTCTCAATATTGAACTCCTCTTCGGGGACAATACCTTGGAGGTAAGCCCTCTGCGCCCTAAGCCATAACTCGGTCCTGTCTAGATTCGACAGGGTAGCTGTTTGCTGCTTCTTGGCGTACTCAGGGTCATATGTTGCAACGATCTCCGTAGCCGTAACGTCTTCGTGAGGGGTTAAGGGCTCGGGGGGGGCTGTGGGCTCAATTGGGGGATTTCTTGGGTCGACACGGCGTGCTGTAAGAATATCTTCTGTGGGATCACCCCTAGCCTCAATAACGTGCTCTAGGATGGCTGGCCTTGCAGTTGGAATACCGTCTGACATTGTACCCCTGATTTCTACGATTTGTTCCACTGGTGCTGATGGAAGGGGCGCAAAACGCTCGGGGCGTGGTGGAGGAGGAGGTAGGACCGGAACATTTGGGAAATTTGGCCCTCGAGAAGTTGCCTCGTTCCATGGACATCGATAAAACTGCTCTGCGGTAGTCGAAGTAGGAGGAGCAATGTCATCGGGCGTCATCGACTGGAGATGCCAGGTGTGCCTAGTACGCGGAGAAAGGCCAGAGAAGAAGCCCCCTGGCGAAGGAATCTCGAGCCGCGTCAAACCACTAAGGGGTTGCTGCTGTTGCTGAGTCGACAGCCTAAGAACTGGCCGATTCATAGAGGCGAGGAGGCGAGGATTTTGCTGCGACATCTCCGGCCTCCTTTCTTCTACGACCTCGATAACCTGCTCCGGCTGGTATTCATCATCCGTATCTTCGTTGCTGGATAATGCCTGCAAAGTAGCTAGAGCAGCGGGTTGTAGTTGAACACCAGACCAATCCGTACTAGTACTGGCCTCTCCCGTCCCAATCACTGGTGTGGGTGGCGCAGACATGGCAGCCATTTGGTCGGAGCTCAAGCTTCCATCGAGGGATGGCGGTGCGGAAATGGTCGGTACCTCTTGAGACTGTTGAGCTTGCAAGAATGATATCACGGCTGGAGACATCTCGACCTTGGCTTGAGGAGTAGGAGGTAGTGGTGACATGAGCTTCTTAAAATCCGGCCTGCCTGACCAACTATCGGCATTGTGCTCCTGTTGAGTTGGTATAGTTAAGGGTGGAAGAGCCCGGTGCGAGGCTTGCGACTGAGTTGCAGGTCGCTTCTGCATTGTGTTGCGAGAACTGTTCCGACGCTTCAATGAAGATTTTCTCGGAGTTGCACGTTGAGTGTCGTCTTCGTCAGAAACCCCGTATATATCATCAAACTCTGTGACATCAGTACTTATACTCGCTCGGTTCCACGGGTCCGATGATGTTATTGACGGAGAATTGCTTTCGTCGGCGGATGTAGTCGAGGGAGATTCAGGCAGTATCGGAGCTGACAAGAAATGAAAGCCTCTTGGAGTCGGGAAGCGGTCACTTCGTGGCGAAAGCCACTGTACTATCTTCTCGTTGGATTGGCTAGCTGGGAATCTACGATTCCTCAATGCCGCGGACTTTTGCGAATCTTCAGGTTCCTCCTCCATTATTGTATTAAGTGACCTCCCCGGCCCTCGTGCCAGCGAGGGGGAGGGAGGTCGGTACGTGCTAGTCGGCAACAGTACTAGCTCAGGCATCCTGTCCTATATAAAGAAAATGCAGTAAGACTCGAGGAAAGTATAAATGAAATTATATTGGGCGAATGCAATTATGAGACGTCGTAAGAAAAGACGCCCAGCGTCGTCGAAAGCGGAATGTAGCAAGGAAATGCTTTAACGACAGGAACACTTCGTTCAACGAAGCGGATTATAAAATGAGGCAACCTCAAGGAAGCTTGAAGAAGAAGTAGATAGAGAGATTCGGCCTACCGAGATTTTGGGAGCAAGTAGTTTTATGACTCCAGCATTGGAGGCGGCGAGCGGCTACCGCGTGGAGAAAAGTCCCATGGAGAAGAACGCGAGCGCTTCCAGTCCAGTGGTTTACCATGTTGATGGACGGATAGCAGCACACCTGCATGGCCTCCAGTCTCCACTGCAGATTCGGACCAGACGCACACGTCCTAGATCCCATTTGGGTGTGAATGTGTGATAGCGGTGTCGGAACCAGACTGGTCGCCTCACTAGACAATGCCAATCTAGAGGTAGGATCGATCGAACTACCGATTTCAGTGCCCAATCAAGGGACATAGCCAGACGGCCGGCGATGGTATAATTTTAGAAAACTCCGCAATGCCGACCAATAGTCAAACTGGCGCGCGGGAGAGTAGTACAGTGAAAACTGTTGATTGGAAAGATATTACAGGCGTCTAGGCCAATGAGGTAAGGTTACGCTAACTGGGCGCTTAGCTGCCCTGCTCGAATTTGTGACGTTCCGTGATTGGATGAACTATGTTCATGGTGGGAGGGATTGAACCGTGCGGCATAACCAAACTTCCAGAGCGAGAGCGGGAAGCCCAACGTCATACAAAGTGCTTGACGAGCAGATATGGTTTGCCGATTCTGACAGTGTATCTGGTTTGAATGGTCATTCGAATTATTCCATGCAATCCATGCTGATAGAACCGTTGAATGACATCCATCAGTTGGGTAATCGCTCTCTATAAAATGGATATAAAAATGCTGAAGATGACTCGTTCTTTCTCGTTCTTTCTCGACATTGTAATGACAAATAGAATAGCTGCGCTGATTGATTGCCTTATTGTCGTGACAAGCGAGTTTGTGGTAGGTGTGACCATATACTATTTTTCAACAAGGCTATCGTAGCCTATCGCGAAGACACGTCAACCCTAGATAAGTAAGAGATATCGCCATTAAGACTACTTATATTGGACCGTCTAAATGTTACTCGATGGATATAGGGTCCATATGATGGCTAGAAGGAGGAACTATCACCCGTAAAACACTGCAATAGTGATTCGATGAATGCGACGATGCACGTCTAACGTAGAAAGGGAATAATGCGAAAGACATTTTTTAATGGCACTTAGATATGTCAGTCAGGTACGGATGTAAATCTAAGGGCATCGTCGCGTGTGGTATGGATGCCCAAGTTACCAGTAAAAAAGGTGCCTGGGATTATTCAAATTTTTTGCCGATTGAATCGAATGAGTGTGACTAGCCCACGTTGGACGTAGCATGTTGAAGTAGTTTGTTCGTGTTTGTAAAGTTAGTTGGTAGGTAGAATGATTAATAGAGAATGATAGAGGACTGCAGCGTCATAGAACTTTTGTTTGTGGGCTCTTAACCTTGCCTAGGTCCTTCCCAGGTGATGTTTTTTAGGTACAGTAGATCTACCTACCAGGTAGGTAGTGACTACCCGTGTACCCATAAAACTAGGAAAACGCATGAATGCAGCAAGCAAATTACCCCACCAACCCACCAAAGCCGCCCTGCCAGCCTGCCTAGACCACTTGATAACCCCGCGCCGAACAAGTCCCTGCCAACCAAGTATACGATTCCAAGCATTTTACGACGAAACATATCGTGTTTCTTCTATTTCTCTTTACGATTTACTACGAGGCATGGCAGATATAGAGCAAGCGGAAGGCCTCAGCGAGCCCCAGGGCCGCCATGTGATCTATTGCGGCGGTAAGTCAGACAAAAAACCAATCGCACACGTTTCCCCACTAGTCAGTCACCAAAGAGAGAAGCTAGATGTTATGTAGAGAGCTTTGACTAACGGTGTCAATTGGTTTAGTCTGCACTTTACCACCCGAGGTACGTTGCTCTCGAATTGTAGACTCTTAGTGTACAAATTCCCCGAGTGGCACTCGAGCCGCCTACAAGAACGCGTGAAAGGCTGATCGACAAGCAATTAGTACTGTGAATACGGCGGCACCGTCAAGAAATGCCAGGACTGGTTACAGAAAGCCCACCCATCCCTATATGAACATATATGGTCTCCTGGTACGTGGAATCTGGTCCCCTCCCTCGCCTCACATGGATGGAATGGACTGTCGAAATCCCAGTCCTGAATGCGAATGAACCACACTAACCCGGCCGATCCATATCTGCAGAAGCCTTAGAGGCTGCTACCGCGTCATTATCAGTCGAAGCCCAAAAGCGAGCCGCGAAAGACGCCCAGAAAAAAGCCGCCCAAGCGGAGAAGGCGGAGCAGAAACAAGCCGACAAGATCGCCAACAGTGTCGTTACGATCAAGCGGGTCGAGCGGAACAAACGAAAATTCGTGACTGCCGTGTCAGGCCTCGAGGCTTTCGGCTTGGATCTCAAGAAAGTCGCCAAGGAGTTTGGTAAGAAGTTCGCTACCGGCTCCTCCGTCACCAAGGTCCCGAGCGGAGGGGAAGAAATTGTCGTTCAAGGAGACGTGAGCGACGAGATCGAAGAGTTCCTATTGGAGAAGTATAAAGATATACCGAAGGACAACATCGAGCTGGTAGATGACAAAAAGAAGAAGGGTGCTAGCGCCGGCTAAGGCATGTCACGAAACGGGTGGCCCTTTATGTAAATTAGGAAGCCAAAAAAAAAGCAGCATTCCTTGAATAGAATAGCGAACAAGGATCTCATTGTGACCTGGCCTCGGCCAATTTTCCCGTACGCCAATTAACCTAGAACACCAAACCTAACTCAATACACATTATTCCATTCATGATTTATGCCCTCTTCCTCAACGTCCTTCCCGTTCCCGTAGCGGGTGCAGCCGTGGCCTTTGATGCCGGAGGTTTCTTAGTAGTAGCTGACTTTATTGTGCTCATAACTGTTCTCTTCGCCGGAGGAGCCGCAGTTGTCTTAGCAGCCCTCGATGCAGTCGTCTTCTTCACTACGGTTGCTGTACTGCCATCACTAGCCTCACTTGTAGCGCTGACTTTCCGTCTACCACGTGTAGAGGCTGCAGTGGGTGGGCGAGAGGGGACAGCGGGTTGACGTGTGCGTGTGGTAGTTGGACCGTTATTTGAACTAGTTGTAGACGATGTGGTAGCTTTCCTCGTGCCTGCTGCGGGTCGCGTCCCCTTTGCTTTCTCAACCATGTTTGATAGGATGTTCGACGAGGCTTTGGGCGGTGGACCCTTTACAGGGGATGGAGGTCTACTAATCACACGCTTTGTAGGAGAGGCTGGGCGCTCGCGGGGGACGACTCGTGTATTCGAGGTGGTAGGCGATAGGATCTGTCCCGGCTGGGTCGACGCGGGCCCCTTAGTCGCCGCGCCACGAATTCTCTTCTTGGGGTTCTCAACGGCACTGCCTAGGTTTTCTTTATCGGCACCTGAAATCTCCTCACTATGTGGTGTTAGTTAGCAGACAGGAACAGATAAATAATGATACCATACCTTAAGCGCTTGCGTCCGGCTGCTGCGCTGGTTGTGGGAATCGGCTTCCGCTGTATAGGCTTGGGCGATGTTCCATCTTTTGCCGGAACAGATGGAGGTTTAGCTACATACGTTGACTTGGGCGGGCGAGGGGGTTGCTGTGGTTGTAAAGATTTGGAGAGGAGCTCGCCCATCTTGGCCTTGCGTAAGGCGGTTGGAATCCGGTTGATGCGCATCTCAACGCGCGACCGAAGTTGTTGCGCCTGGATATTGTACTGAGCTCTGAGACGTCTAGCACGTTCGGTAACTAGATTTATACCAATGAGTTTTATGAAGCTGGATATATAGATTTAATAACGCGTCCATACTTTCTAATTGCAGATTCTCGATGAGAGCTTGTTTTTGCGCGATTGAGAGGCCTAACCTTCGCTTCTTAATCGGACTTCTCTGGGGGGAACCTTTCGTCGTGGGAATTTTTTGATCTTCAGGGGAACTCGTCGATTGATTAGACTTGCGCTTTCGCGTCATTTTCACGGGCGCCATCGTGCTATATTTCTTCTGGAGTTGAGTTGTAGAGTAGAATCATGAGTTAATGTTGAAGGCAGACGCGTTCGTGGTGGAGTTCTCCTTTGAGTACCTAAGTATGGGAGTATTATTGTATTATTGTATTATTATGGAGTATAATACAAGAATTCAGCGTGTTTAATGATGAAACTAACAGTGGTGTAAGTAAACAAAAGACGGTGACAAATTTCACCCGATGCACTTTAGGTAAGCTGATTGGTAGGTGAACTTTACTACGTAAAATCGGTTGGCCCGAGCTCTATAAAGCGCTAAGGTATCTAGGTACGTACCTAGGCTAGCTGGCTAGCAACAACTGCTAGGCTACACCTGCCTGACGTTTACGTGAAGAGCCCTGAAGCTCATCTTTCCGATTTCAGCAATTGTACCTTACCAATCCCATCCCATCCTGTTTATTGCACTCGCAAACTATTAAACTATTCTAACAGTATTCAACTTCCTGCGACTCCCTTCCGTTTTCCATTCTCTACCAAAAAAAATATTCGCCTACCTTTCAGCAACTAAAAAGACAATCTCGGCGTAGTGATACCGCCAAGATGCCGTTGCAAGCTGTTATGATCGTCGTGGATAACAGCGAAAGCAGCCGGAATGGCGATTATCAACCCTCCAGGTTTGACGCTCAAGCGGACGCTATTAACATTACATTTGAGAACATCACTCAGTCCAACCCCGAGTCGTCCGTGGGCTTGATGAGCATGGGTGGTAAGGGTCCCGAGGTCCTCTCTACCCTGACGACAGAACGAGGCAAAATACTTGAGGGCCTGCACCGCATCAAGAAGAAGATCTCAGGCTCCTCCCACCTGGCCACCGGTATTCAGATCGCCAGTGTAAGCCCAATTCCCCCCTAGCCAATCAGATATATCACGGCGCAAAAGCTAATGATTTACATCTCCAATAGCTTGCGTTGAAGCATCGACAAAACAAATCACAACGCCAACGTATCATCGTATTCGTGTGCTCTCCCGTGGCAGATGACGAGAAGAAGCTAGTATCACTAGCAAAGAAAATGAAGAAGGGAAATATCGACATCGACTTTGTCCTTTTTGGCGACCTAGATGATGATGACGTACAAAAGAAGCTCGAGGCTTTCAACAATGCAGTCAAGACTAATGAGAATTCTCACCTTGTTGTTATTCCGCCGAGTGGCAAGCTCCTTAGCGACCAGTTGATAACCACGCCCATTCTACTCGGGGAGGGTGCTGCCAGTGGTGCAGGTGGCATGGCTGAGGGTGGCGGCGACTTCGGCGATTTCGACTTCGACCCTAGTGCCGACCCAGAGTTGGCACTTGCTTTACGTATGAGTATGGAAGAGGAGAATGCAAGGCAAGCAAAGCAAGCTAAGGACAACGAGGAAGCGGCAAAGAAAACGAACTTGGAAGGCATACAGGAAGAAGGTGAGGACCAACCTCTCCTGAATGAGCAGGGTGAACCCAGTGGGAGCGGATCTTCCCAAAAGAAAGAGAACAAGAAAGATGATGGGGATAAGATGGATATGTCATAGGCTTGCTTGGTTTGCGTTCTATGGCCCAGTTCCTCGCCAGCATGGATTCACGAAGGCGTTGGGTTTGTACAATAATAATAATAGACCGAAGGCTTAGGGGCGAATTTTCGGCGAAAATACCGTCCCTGTGAAATGGCAGAGCGACCTCAATTCTATAAAAGGAGCATAACTCTAGCCGCATCGAAACAAATAACCTTTCAAACCCCAAACCCCATGCGATGATGCAATTATAATTAATCCATGACCTTGCCGATCAAAAAGGCAAGATTTCCTTCGCGCCCCCGATGATAAGCTAATAACAGAAGTCGGTACCCTATCTGGAGTTGTTGATCTCCCTGATATATGAGTTCAGCTTCCTATCGAAGGTCTCACAACGAATAGGCATCTCAAGTTGGTAGAAAGGGTTCTTCATGACGTAGTCGGAATATAAATCATAAACTCTGCGCATAGCCACATCTATGTTGGTCTGCATCGTATCCGTGAACAGAAGGAACTTAGTACCAGTTAATGTGTTGAAGCATTGCAGACGGAAGTTCTCTGTCTCTAGGACCTCAAGGCCTGACGGAGGATCGGGCCGGCTTGGTATTGCTACACCTCCCGCAGTTGCTGCCGCTTGCTGTTGCTGGTGTTGAGCATGCATTAACCCCTTGAGTGGATTGAGACGGGCCGTTATGGCATGGACTCTATTACACAGTAGGATGAGCAAATAATCTCAAGATCGGACAATGCTTGGCCTTCGAAATAAGGCAAGGGGGCATGTCTCACCCGTGAAAGGTACCAGCAAGCACAAGGTAGTCATTGGTGTTGAGCTGATTCAATCCATCTCCAAAGGTCCGATTGTAGATAAGACCACCAGCCTTGTTAATCACGATGAGAGCTAGTACGACCCTACTTGCGAATTAGCGACAAGTGTGTCTTTTCTTCCGAGGCGATGTCGCCGCTTTGTTCTTACATTGTATAGAGAAAATGAAGGTTTCTAAGAATAGTCCTGGAGCTTCTAATATCAATATCGAGCTCATTTCTCATGGAAGAGGGAAATAAATACACCCGAACACCTATGAGATCTTACACCGTGTTTCGTACATATACAAAGGTCATAAGCACCTGAGGAGGGAAAATGGGGCTCAATGTTTGTATTGATGATGGTTCCGAGGTTGCCTACGTATTAACCGAAATTCTTCCTTAGTGTGTCCAAGATACCTACCTAGGTACATAGCTTAGGGGCAGGATGGGGCTGACCATGCTAAACTTTAAAGATAGGGACCCCCAAGACCCCATAATATGCACTGTACATCAATGGTAAGCTACAGCCGCATGAACATTATATTTGCCTTGACAGTTGACATTTCTTCTCGCCACAATATCCCACCCATCTATTCTCCCGCCCCCAATTCATACCACATACATCATCTTGCGACCAACCCAACAAACCATCATTCCAGCAGTATTCTATTGAATTCTACACAACAGAACTTTGCCTTTTTCGTAAATCTTATTTCTACAATACATCTTGCAATTTTGATACGCCGAAATCGCACGCGACAATGTCTCATACAGCCCCAGGCAGTGAAGAGGCGACCAACGTCCTCCGACTCGGCGAATTTCAAGACGTCGATACTCTCACACTATCCGAAGCTGCACTGGTCATCAATGCACTAGTAGCCAAGCGCCGCAACGATCGCAAGAATATCAATGAGACTGAGTACGCCTTCCACCACTATAAATACACAGTCAACAACAATAATAATAATAATTACAAGTGCTAACCTAACATTCTTAGGATGTTAACCAAAACCATCGACTATCTCGACACGTTCGCCCGTTTTAAGAAGAAGGAGAATGTCGAGGCCGTCGAACGACTACTTAGCTCTTATAAACAATTCCATAAGTTCGAGCGTGCACAGCTAGGTATGTAGATCCAGTACAAAAAACATGATTGCTATTTGCCCGTGGCTAACCTAGGAGTCTACCTCTTCTTTAGGTTCACTTTGCTGTGAGACCGCAGAAGAAGCCAAGTACCTTATCCCTTCGCTTAACGAAAAGATCGGCGACGATGAGCTGCAAGAGATTCTCAACGAGATATATAAGTTGATGCCCCCTACAAATTAATGTATCGATGGCATCTGGATAGCTCGCCTTGCTATTCTTCACCGCGAATAAACCTACCGAACCTCGCATGAGCCATGTGACGGCGTTTTAGGTCTAGGACACGCACATCATTCTGTCAAGAAACCGTGCCCACGAATTCTATGATGCAAATTGCAACTTTTGAGGCGTTCTGTTGTATTTCAACTAGACTGCAGGGAATTGGCATTGTACCTAATGGCGTAGGATAAGGAAAAAGGAGACTGGCGGGTTTCTTGCTTTTCTATTTGTTATATACCCAACAAAGATGACAGATACAGGCGAAACCCAAAATGGCATTTGATTTTCTTTTCTTTTTTTATTCCAATATCCTATTCTCAATATATTAAATACTTCGTGCTCTATATACTTTGGTAAAGACTTGTATTACTATACTGACTATATATGTATGATCCAGGGGTTCAGAAACCCAAGCCAAGGGCAACGCTGTCAAGAAAGTAAGGACCGAGCTCAACCCCCAACTAACGAAATCTAATATATATACCTAGGTATATACGAACCTTTTTTTTTTTTTAAAAAAAAAAAAAAAAAAAGGACGGAGAATTCTAGATAATTTGAGGGTGCTCGGGCCTAACTATCCTTCGAGGCATTCCAACCCATCAATTCATATCACCTTCACTTCTACGCTCTATCCTTTCGCCTTAAGGTCGAGAGGCTAGTTACGCCACAAATAATGACCTTTCATGAATCTTTCTGTAAGCTGCGGCTGGTCCGTGTATTGGAATTGGAAGGTGTAGCAGCCACACGTCTTATGGAGATGTTCTAGAATAAATACGACATGCTAAATGAAATAAGTTGGGTAACTTGCTTTTAAATAGAGTCGCGTTTTACCTCATATGGGCAAGTAGTTTATAAGGATGAAATGTGGCTGTCAAGTTAGGATCTTCAAAATGCTTGGGTATCCCAAGACAAATCAAGTACGCCTATTACTAGGTAGCTTGCCACTACAAACTTATGGTTAAGCAGGGTAGAACCTCGATATTACTTCACTTCATTGAGAAATAAACTGGAAGAACGCCGGTAGTATCAATATTACCATTACTTCATCCATGGTGGGCTCTGGCATATTTAAGTAGGTAGATAAGTAGGTAGTCTACGAGATTAACCCTTAAGCTTCTCCAGCAGGAGCTTTGCACCCATATTGCCTGTAGGACTCTCCTTTTTCGGTCCTGCTTTCTTACCTTTCTTTTTCGCTGGTTTAGTATCTTCTCCATTTGCCTTAACGTCTTCCTTGGCGGCTTTTTGCTCCGGCGTTTCCTCTGTGGCTGCCTTTTCGAGTGATTTCTTATTTTTCTTCAGAATACCCCTGAGATCATTCTTGTGAGAAAAGTCCTCGGCTTCTAAGAGGCTAAGCACTACGAAAGAGCTTGGCCCCGTCGCCCAAGCCATAATATGATCCTGTATGAAAGAGTAAAGGGTATCTGCAAAATTAAGAGGGGGGTCGACTGGTATTATGCGACGTGTTGCTTTATCAAAATGACCACCGGCTATCAATGTCTTAAACATACGTCCACCATGTGGGGTTTTGGAGATGTGTTCATGGGCGATGAGTCCATCCGTGGGTTCATCGGACGGTCCTGTTGGTTTGCTGGGGTCCCCCTTTGCGGTGGATGCTATTGCCTGCAACGCTTCGGACTTGTCACCGACGCAAGAAAGAAGGGCCTCCGTAACCATCTGCGCTCCATGAGAAGTAGATATTAATTCTAGAGGCGATGAAGAGATTGCAGCGAGGAGTGATGGCGATAATGCAGCGACCAGCTCTTCTTGACGGGTTTCGGGATCCTTCTTACTGGTGGTTTTTCGGATTTCCCAGAGCTCCTCAAGGAGCTTTAGATCGTCGGCACGACCTGCGTCAAAGAGAGCCTTGGACGTACCTTCGAGGGGGTATCGTATCGTCAAACGTGCGTTAGGATCATTGACACATATGACAATATTAGAGACTTCATTCTCCTCCGCCTTGCCCAATAATTCTGATATGATAGATTTGGAAGTCAAGACGGTATCATCAACCAAGTCGTAAGCAGCAAGGATAATTAAGTGCCCGTGTGAATCGCTCGACATGAGTTGGAAAGTATCCTTGTACGTCTTCAGAATCTGCTTCCGGTCCTTCGCTGTACCATAAGCGAGAAGCAGGCACACAAGTCGCGCCCCAGACCTCGTAAAAGCCATATTCTTTAACAAATCGCCATTCTCATCCTCCTTAATCGTCTCCATGTACTCCTTGGCCTCTTCGGAGCCCGGTTTCACGTTGGTGTAATACTGGTACATGGCATCATGCAGCATCGTAAAACCAGTCATCTTTTTCTGGATGAGTTGGTTGGTCAAATCCAATAAATATTTCATAATTGGTCCGCGTTTGCTCGGCTGTTCCTCGAGAATCTGAGAGAGTTCGGCCGAAGGGACAGTCTCAACCTCTGATGCCTGTCGGAAAATATGAAACTCAGGTCCATACCATTCGCGTAATAGAATAGCCTTTTGCTCCTTGGTAGCAATACCCCGATAAATATCATCCAAGATCCAGGAGGCTTCAGGGTGATTGATGAGCTTCCGAACCTTTCCGAAAAACTCGGGAACTATTATATCTCGGACTTCCTCGTCACCTTTTACGAGAAGCTTTCCAATGAGAAATTTGGCGTATTTACTTTCGGCTAGCAGAGGATATGTGCCTCTCAGCTCCTTCGCAATCATCTTTCGTCGTTCGGGGGTCGCGTATTTGATGGCAGTTTGGACAACACGGACGGCATCGTGCTTTAAGGCAAAATCCTTCATGCGTCCGGTAGCGATGCTGAATAGCTCCTCGACAAGTCCTTGTCGTTCGTCCTTTGGAACCTTAGACTTTAGGCGCAATCTCTCCCAAAGTTTCTTAGCTCGGTGTAATTCATCGGCGAGAGGCTTCTGTGCTTTGCGTTCTTGGGCGAGCTGCTTTTGCTTGATATGGGACTCGCGAGAATTTTGACCTGGAAAGAATGAGCAAATATGCAACAGCATTCGTTGTTGTTTAGACTTACCCTTTTCGAACACATTTCCAGCCTGGTTCTTGCTAGACTTTAATCGAGAAGCTTTGAAGGCATCCTCTTGCGAAATTATGTTGTGCAAGGGGGCGCCGCCGTCATCCAAATCGGAGAAGTCGCTGATTTCACTGCCATCACTTACATCCTCCTCGGGGTCTTCTCTTCGCGGCTTCTGTCTGTCGAATTTGGGTTTTTTACTTAAATGGTCCTTGGTTCCAGTCGCAAGCTTTCTTTTGTTGCCCAGAGCCGGATTTTTGGGTGCCATGGTGAAATTCGCAGTCGAATGTTTAATGATGATTGTGTATTTTTTGAAGCTTAGAATTTCTGTTGAAGCCGGCGATCTAAAGACAGAGAAAAAATTTAGTGAAACCCCTGGAAATGCCGGGCGGTGAGACGGAACCTTGTCCACACTCACCCCGCGACCCCACCTAAATTTACGTACAGCACCTAGGTATCTTGGTACTTAGCATTTTACATATAGTACCAATGTTACATGCACTAGATACCTACATGGTACCTAAAATGGTACCTACGCAGTCGCAAACTTGAATCACTTTCTTCTACGTACATACCTAATCTATACAATATACCATTCGCCGGTATTGTAAAAGATCAATTACCTGAAGTCTAAATCATGAACTTTGTGTTCGCAAGAAATATAGAATAATAAATGAAAAGTCGCCTATTCCCTCGCGGAAAAAATGGGGAAAGAAGAACAGGTCGAAGAACGTGAAGTTCTCGACTCTATTTTCCCAGAAGAAATCACAGGTGGGTTATTTACAACTCCACTATCGTGATAGTTGGAATAAAAAAAATTGGTGAAGCTCAGCTAACTCGTGCAAAATCTCTAAACGAATAAGATATTTCCGACACCGAATATCGAATATCAATAAAACTAGATATACCCGACGATGATGGCAACGACGAAGACGAAGCTAGCGAGCCTCCCACGCTTATTCTACACGTGCGTTACCCGGACGACTACCCCGATGAGGCCCCTATCCTCGACCTTTCGCCACCTCAAAACGCCATACCGTACCCATACTTCGCTGTTTCTGCCGACAAAGAGCGGTTGTTAAAGGGGCTTGAAGACGCTATCCAGGAAAACATGGGAATGGCTATGGTTTTCACGCTTGTGACGACCTTGAAAGAAGAAGCTGAGCAGTTAATTGCAGATCGCAAGGCGGCTGCTGCTAAGGAACGTGAGGAGGCTATCCTTGCCGCGGAACGTGAAGAGAACAAGAAGTTTCATGGTACACCGGTAACCCCGGAAACATTTATGAAGTGGCGAGAAGGCTTCTTAAGAGAAATGGAAGAAAACCGACAGAGAGAAGAGGAAGAGAGGCTAGCGGAACTAAAGAAGGCTAAGGTAAAGGAACCAATCAAGTTGACAGGCAAGCAATTATGGGAACGAGGGTTAGCTAAGGGCGATGAGGCTGAGTATGACGACAACATCCCAACCGAACAAGTTGAGCGGCTCAAGGTTGAGGCGTAGTAGTGAGTGACACCCAGTCGCCTTGAGAGCATTGCAGGCAGTTCATAGGCGCATCTGGCACGGCTTAGGAGAACGAATTAAGGGGAAACCGCCTCATTTAAATCAACTCGACGAAAGTATACGTCTCTCTTTTTAGATTCCAAACGCCATGTCCATGCCGAAACTAAACCACCAGAGTCTGTATTATCTTCCATATATAAACGAAACCCTTTGATGCCATGGAATTATCTAATCCTTCATCTCCTCATCGCTATTATCGTCATCCTCCCATTCATCCTCGTCATTCTCTCCAGCAGGTCCTTCGCCTAGCTCTTTGGCGATGAGAGCAAGTAGCTCCTTAGCATGTTCTCCCAATCGGTCGTCTTCGTAATCTTGTAGCTTGTATAGGTGTTGGCATTGGTTGAGCCACACCCGGCTAGAGATCCACGAGGCCTTCCAATCCTCCTCGTTTGGCTTGTTTGACCTCTGTTTCTCACCCGTAACGTAAAGACCCCAACCACCCAAATACCATACCTCGACACTCTGGTCGTCTTCACTAACCAGTCGTTCGAGCACTTCAATTGCCTCTTGCTCCATATCTACCTCCATGAGCAATCTCGCAAGACCGACCCGGCTTGGAAAGTCAGGCACAGCAGGATCTTCGGGTGGTAAATCTTTCCAGAGTACCAGACTTCTAGTTAGAGCCGCTTTCGCATCTTCAGCTCGGGACTGTGAGATTCGCACATTTGCTAATGTTTGCCACGTCTCCGCGAAGTCCGGCGCAACCATCGTCGCTTCCGTAACTAACACCTCGCACCTCTGCTCCGCGTCTTCCTCCCACGACAGATCCGTCATGTAGACTTCCGCAACTGAACATAACGTCATAGCTAACTTTTTCTTTAATTCGTCGAGTAGAATTACTTGCTCGTCGCTTTTTCGGCGCGCTTCTTCGAATGTCTGTATTTGTTTCTTCAGCGCCGCGGCGCCCTTCTCAAACCACTTCACACTATCCTTACCACCCTCGCCGCTTAGTTGCGCAAGACATAAAAACTTCTCTGGGCCGCCACCAACAGCTTCATCTTTAGAGCCATCTTCGTCTACCGCGACAGCCCGTAAGAAATACTCTCGCGCTGCCTCAAATTCGCCCGCTTCTAGATTGATCTGACCGAGTAGATTTAACGAGGACAATTCGTCATCTGAACCGGCAGACGATTGATCCAGCGCTTTCTCTGCCAAAGTAGCGGCATCCTGGACGTTACCCTCCTGTAGTTGATATTCGGCCGCCTTGACTAGTACCTGGGGAGAGATAGGCTTAGAAGTGCCACCGGCTGCCCTGGAAATAGATGCTTGTCCTTTCTTTTTCGATTTTTTATCGGGTCGCCTTGGGGCCATAATGAGATCCCGAGGCCGTTGTCAAGCCTTTACCGATGTTGACGAATTAAACGAATGTATTCGGAAGATAAAGTAGAGAGGAGTGAGTAGGTGGTAGGTAGGTACCTAAGTAGATCTAGTTTGAATAAAAATTAATCGATAATGCTGATAAGACTGAATATTTTAGTACCCTGGTTTATCAGCTTGTGCAATGTGGGGTTTGAGTACAGGCGTTAGGTACTGTACCTAGGCAGCGGGGAAACATAATCTTAGCTTCAATTAACAAATATAAATCGCATTATGTGATCCGATCTCATCGATTGAAGATGCAATCAAGAATCAATGATAAGCTCGGTAGTTTTGCAACTATAACAACATAAAGTCCCAAGCAAACAAGACACCAAAGTGATAATTCGTATGGCTTTAGGGGAAAAAAAAAGAATCATATGTGTAGGCCATTACCAATTGGTATCTGATTCTCTATAATAGATATGCGATATACCTCCCTGTACCGTTGTGGTTCGTTTCCCGTTTTCCTCACGGGAAGCCCTCAAATTACTAGCTTAGTCTGTTAACATTATCTACCTTTTTCTCCCTAATCGTATTTCAGCTCGTTATGTACCGCAGCGAACGACTAAACCTTACGAAAATCTCGAGTAGGGGGCGAAACGATCGCTCATATATCATGATGCCCCAATCCGATACCGTCCAAACGCCATAAAATCATCTATGCACGTAGTCTCAAAATAATTCGTCCAGTATGAGCTATTACTGCGTCTCTTGCTCCTCAATTGACTGGCGAGATTTTGGCCGTTCGATACTACCCAGCTCTGATCCCTGGCCGCTTTGTGCTCGTTTACGGCCCGGGATGAATCGGGACATACCCATACCCTGGGGATGGGCACCAGATTCTTGAGACTCAGAAAATTTCGCGAAAAACCCTCGCTTCTTCGGCTGCTGGCCTTGCTTCTGATCGTCGTTTAATCCAACATCTTCAAATCCCTCTTCAGCAGTAGGTGGGTCCCAGGGACGGTTTCTGACAGACATTCTCGGCGATCGGGGGAATCGAGCGGAGTCAAGACTCTGACGGGGTTGGTCATGGACCATAATAGGCGACCTGGCAGATATGTCCTTCGAGTACAGTTAATTCAACGTATAGGATAAAACGTGGAGGTTAGATAGACCGTAACATACAAAGGAGCGACGGTAGGAGTCGAAGGATTCGCGAGAGATGGAAAAGTGTTCGATATCGCCAATACTGCTACGGGTGTCCATAGAAGTTCGAGACGCGGCCGAGCGTCTTGGCCAAAGGGTCTTGTCTTCCGTTGGTGAAGGCTAGAGTTAGACGCATAAGTAGGAGTTCACTGTACGGTTGAATTATAGAGGCTATGGATTCGCACTGGAAGGTAAACACCACTGTCATTGACAACTGGAGGCGCAAGGCAGGTCAATTTACGGTTCTTTGCACGCAAGATTCTAAGGAGCGAACTTACCACTCATCTTGTAATCTCCAGTATCCCGGCTTCTCGTGCTTCGAATGCTGAGGGAAGAAGACGCCTTAGATCCAATGGTATCTACCTTCTCAAAGCCAGCTTGTGCGCTTTCGAGATTCGGTGCACCAGGCCGAACATTTTCGTCCTTGACCTCAGCCCCGCCGAGTACACCAAGGCGCCTCGCAAAAGGGTTACGGATTGGCATTCTCAATGTTTTCTTGCGCCAAATTAAGCGACAGGAGTCGATTAGATCGAAACAATCTAGCCAAAATCAATTAAAAGAATTAGAGGTAAGAGAGGATAAAGCAGTGTACCTAGGTAGTAAAAAGGCTAGGAAGCTAAAGATGCACAGACGAACATTGAAAGGATAAACAGCAAGCAATTAGAGTTGGTAAATTGAATAATCGTACAGTAAGTTCAATCGGATCGGGTCTTTCCTAATCTTGGATTACTCGAACTACCTAGGCAAGTACCTGACATAACCACTCAATCTAATCATTGTACAACAAGGATTTCAGCAAGGACGAGGGGCGGCGGAAATAGGAAAGGACGGGTCCGAATGTGCGGTAACTTTGTACATTACTCGCGACCGTACCTCATGCTAAATTCTCTCTTTCCTTTCTTTCATTTTTTTTTTCCTCTTCAAGGTTGAATTTGGTTAAAGGCTCTGGTCTGACTGACGATCGCACTGATAATCAATCGTTTACGTGTACAGCACCTTCTGGTTTTATTGTGGGGGATCCCTGTTCTCTTCCGGCTTACAGCAATTCCAGTTTCTTTTTTTTGATACCTTTGGTACCTACCTAGGTACCTAACCACATTGGTGTTTGGGGCATCTTCCGCCCTTCGTCATCTATTACCTACCAACATATACATGCACATATTCAACAGGACCTGCATCGCCGATGTGTTCGATTTCTTGGCTTTCTACCAATTAAGGTCCCTTCTTGCAGCAATAGGACATTGATCAACAAAACCTCCCCAATTCGGTAACCTCCTCACATGTACCTACATTGGACCTCATTTTCTCTCGTTTGTATTTTCTATGGTATATATGTATTTTGAAGACTCTTTCGAAATACACTAGCCGATATTCCGTCATCTCTACCCGTCTGACGGTTCTAGATTGACGCATATCATTGTTATGTATAGTAATAGGGAGATTCCTTCAGGGAGGATCTGCGCGGCGATGCTGACAATACATGCAATAATATCCAAACAACCAACCAACCGAAAGCCTCGGCTTCATTAGCACTTTATTACGTGTTAGTGGCGAATTTGGATACTTGCACCTCTGTCCGTACCTGTCCACAACCTAGCTAGCACCTAATTATCTACATATAAATATCTATAATGTTGTGTACAGTGTTTTTTGATAACAGGAATCAGTATCGGACGTGTGTACACATATATGAAAGATTATAACATACCTAGGTACACAGGAAGGTATATATAATATGTAATTGGTTGTGATAACCCTAGATCACATGTTATGTCGCCATAGCCTTGGGAGTGGTGAGCGCGATGTGGTTCCGAATTATTCAGCTTCGTTCTCTCATTTTTGTCCTACATTCAAGAAAATTAATATCTTCCATACAATAATACCCTTATTCAATCAGAGATATTAATAACGATTATTTCACGCTAACATCTTTTAAACCAATAATAACCAACAATACAGGTATCGTAGTGAGATGTATGTAAGGTCTAACCCACAATGTGCATTGCAGTGGACAACTATGGAATCAACTCCGAACCATGCGGGTTGCAATTTCGATGGCCATTTCTCTCCCTTCACGCAACTCTCTTCCTCAATTGAAGACAACGGTCTTGTGTCCATTTAAGAATACTCGCTTTTCACTCCACCATTTAACAGCTGCAGCTAGGACTTGACTCTCAACATTGCTTCCCTCTTCCACTAACTCCTTTGGGCTCATACTATGATCCACGCGCGCAACCCTCTGCTCGATAATAGGGCCCTCATCAAGATCCGCCGTCACAAAATGTGCCGTAGCGCCGATAATCTTGACGCCGCGGTCAAATGCCTGATGGTACGGTTTCGCTCCCTTAAAGGACGGCAGGAAACTATGGTGGATGTTGATAATCTTGCCGCTCATCGCCTCACATAATCCTGGGCTCAGAACCTGCATGTAACGGGCTAACACCACAAGGTCGATATTCTTCTCCCGAATCAGATCCAGAATCTGGCGTTCCTGCTCGAGCTTTGTGTCCTTGGAAACTGGGAGATGGTGGAACTCGATACCGTAGCTCTCTGCTAGGGGCTTAAAGTCTGGGTGGTTGGACACGATCAGGGGGATTTCAACTCCGAGCTGATTTGTCTTGGTCCTGAAAAGTAGGTCGTTCAGACAATGCCCAATTTTAGACACCATAATTAAGACTCGAGGTTTCTTGCTCGCCGGCCTTAGGTCGTACTGGTCCATCTCCAGTTCCGATGCGAGCTTCGCCATAGGCTCTTCCAGATTGGCCGTCGACTCAGCATGACCGAAATGGACTCTCATGAAAAACCTCTTTGACGTCCGATCCGAGAATTGCTGTAAGTCTAGGATGTTGAGGCCATGAGTTGCTAGAAGCCCAGTGACGGCGTGGACAATGCCGGGCTTATCCGGACAGGAGAGGGTGAGGATATGATCATCGTTTGTAGACATCGTTCCTTGACCTTTACCTATGAAGCCAGATTATACCGATATTTTCTTGTATTTTGATTCTGACACGACTAATTCTCCCTATATATATATTTTTTTTTCACACGACCGGATATAATAGTCTACCTAGTTTCGGCTTGAGATCGGCCTAGGGATAGTTGCATAGCGGCTTTGCATCTAAATAGGATCATTATGCGATAATAAGAGAGGACGTCGATCACATCGTGTATTCTTCACTGCCTTCGCTGCCAGGTCTAAAGGATCATGCTAGTACATTTTTGAATGTTAATTTACTATCTAGGTAGCTTATAGCAATATTAATAGTAGAATAGTCGTTATTAAGTAGTAAGAATTCTACTTTGCTTCTCATAGCTAACACATCAAAGAAATGCAGATACTTCGAATCCTCAGCCTCATGCCTAGAAATTGTATTATACCTTAAGCTAACAGCAATATACAGCATACGTTGGTGGTCTATATATAGATAGCCTTCGAACGTAACATCAATCGGAGATCGATCGATGTTCTGGAATATATACCTGTGTAGATTACGAGTCGTAGTGTGACTTTCTTTTTTCCGGCATATTTCAATGTTATGGGAAGAAGTAAATTACGCCATGACGGAAAAGCGAGCCGCGATTTACATAGTTAGCAAACTTCAAAACGTACATGTAGCATTTTGCCGGATGCGGGAGCTTGCATAGAAAATTGATTTTTGAGCAATCGCGCCGACTACACTTTTTTTTCATCGTTTCTCATTGGTTGAGTTTTAATGTGCTCTTTATTTTTAAGTGCTTTTTGTGTTGCCCAATTTTTTATTTTACCTTTAGGATTAGGACTAGATCTTGCAGCTCAGAGGTCAAGTGCCAAAACCCCCATATTTTTGACCGGGGGGTATCCTAGCTCAGATGCACGCAAATAAATCTTATCCGATGAGCCTGTGAGCCCATTTCAATGTTGAATATGGCTCCATCGTCCATTACTAGGTCCACTCAATCGGGTCACTATGTATATGTAAATACTCAGATACCTAGGTACGTATAATATGTCTGCGAGTGTTGAATGAAGAGTCTAAAGGACACCAGTCAATAATGTCCAGTTTGCTAGTTCAGAGTCTTGCCAACACAACATAGGTAGTCCATAGATTGCCAAGTCGCCACTAATATCAACGGACTTCGTATTCTCATCGCCGACACTTGTACGTTCTGCAAGGGAGTCGGTCAGGAATCACATACCTGTGCAATTAAGGCCGAAGAAAGAGGACATGGTTTTTTTTTTTTTTTTTTTTTTTTTCAGTGCTCTAGTCTGATTGCGCAGGGGGGTACGTACGCTCTAATTTGACCTCGTTCGCCCTGACCCGCGGGCCATACTGGACTTCGCCTCCGGATAAAGTCTATACCTTACCTGGGTACTTCCAGACCCCCTTCATGGTTTGGGAGCTCTTGCGGTATATTGTTCAGCGGCAAGATGCAGCTTTTTTGGTGTTACACTGGCACCGTAACACCACACGGTGCTTCACATAGGTGCAAAATTGTTCTGACTTCAACCGGTTGGCCCGCTATGTCGCACAGGAAGTCGTGAAAATGGATCCACGCCCAGACCACAAATGCAGGTTAGCCTGGGATTGCCAGCTTTCCATCCCACCTAGTGCTGTGATATAACTCCGCAGGCGCTGGTCTCAAACTGTATAGGGCACCTGGAATAGGTATTGTACCTAGGTAAGTACGTACCCATGATGCTATCTAACACCTGCGTAAGAGGTGTGCTTCATTGCCTGCTGTTTGCTAGGGGAGCTAGTCTTGTCTCAGGACGGCCAACTATGCAAGTACTGGCAAGTTTCTTGATTTGTATGCCGCTGCAAATAACACTGCTGGTGTCTGCAATGCTTGTAGTAGACTGGGTCAGCTCAGTATTTCATATGCCTACCTAGGTACCTAATGTAGGCGAAGACAGCCGTTTGACTGCCAGTAGGAGAAGGAAATTCCTGATCCGTTCCGCCGTATCTGTCGAGTATTCTTGATTCGTTTTCCGGCTTGCTTTCCTTTTTTTTCCCTTTTTCTTCTTCTTCATAGTTGATTAGTGCGTGCTCTGGGTCGGTTTTTTTCAGTCACCCTTGTCTAGGAACGCGCGTTGTTCTATCCCGGCTATATTCACCTACCTCTGGCTGGAACACGAACTGGGCAAGGTCTTCCCAATTAATATACTGGCACTCGGTCCTTTACCTAGCCTCACGTACATAACTCGGGAAGTCTATTCGTAACCCCTACAGCAGTTCGGCTTCGAGAACAAAGAGGAAAGGAAGAAAGGAGCGAGGTGTATGTAGGGCCGTCCGCGAGATATATCGACTGGTTCTCGTCGTAAGGTTACCTCAACCATCTCCCTTTCCTCTTGGTCAAGCTCAGGAAACGTTGCAAGAGGTGATCGACACTAGGCGGACAATCCGTTCCCATTCAGCTCCCCAGCCTCTGCAGCCCTGTGGTCCTCAGCTGCAAGTGTTCCCAAGGAGTTCCTATTTGCCTCTTAAAATATCATAATACCGAGGATACACAACATCAAAAAGACTTCCTCGTATTCCAGATATCCCGCCTGAAAGAAACGAGACAATAATAAAAAAGAAGAGCCCTGGACCGAACCACTCTCATTCAAGTTGAACTACATATGGAAATCGCGGGGCCATCAGCGACAAGACAAGTCACTCGTACCTACCACAAACTTAGTTTGTCAGCAAGGTTTTGGCCTCGGACCACGACTAACTCTTTCCTGATTCTCCGTTAAAAGATACATATAGAAGGCGTGCGGGAGGTACTTACTGCCTTTCGGTCAGACATCCGTTGGATAACGAAGGCTTAACCTAATCTTTCCTATCCCATGTGTGTCCCGCAGTCGGCCTAACGATTCCAACGACTCTACCTAACCGTCTTGGTGTCTCAACCCGCCCACTCCATTCATTCATTCGTTTCTCCATCCTCGTCCCTCATCATTCCAATATTCGAACATTCGTTTTCCGTTGCCATCCTTGCCGTAATTGGATCACCCATTGTATCATTCATTTTTTCCGCTTTGGATAATTTGACTTGGGCATCCTTTCATCCTCAGCATCTCACAATGATCAATTTTTTCGTCAACTGGGAATTATGGCAGCAGATGACCTTTGTAAGTTTCGCACTTTCTTCCCTTCCCCTCAGGTTTTATGTTGCCTTCACGTTTCGCTCATACTCAAAAAGGTCCTCGCTGGTGCCATTGTTGTGGTATTCCTTGTAGGATTGGTTAAGCTGTGGTGGTTGAGTAGATTTCTCAAGAAGCATACAGTACTTGACTTAGAAAAGAGGGCTCGGCAACAAGAGATGCAGAAGAGCGGTCTTCCTATGGGTAAACGAGTCGACATCCCCTTCGGCGTACGCGCAATACAGAGTGGAATCGAGGTTGACGGCATATGGATATCGCGCCCAGGCACCCCCATTGAGGTCGGCCAAAGTAGCCCATCGTTCGCCTCGTCATCGACTCTCGAGACTGAAAGCAAGCTGAAAGGGAAAGAAAAAGAGCTGGCAAAGACGGTGACCGAGGTCGAACCAACCCCTGAACAGAGCCCGCATCCAAGCCCCCCGATAAGTTTGTCTGAGCGGCATGTCCCAGCCGGAGTCGACCCTGCCCAGATCAGGGCCTTTCCTCTGGGGGCGCAGCCAACCTACAGGCCCAGGGGCCCATCGCGTCGCCGAATAGATATCACACCAGGCGACATTCCGGATGAAGATGCAATAAGCCGTCTCGGATCGAACATGGGGTGCCAACAAGAAGTCGAAACCTACATCCCTACTAATTCATTTTCGAGTACGGAATCTTCAGCATCTTCACAACAAAGGACGATGGTTGAGCGCAGTTCAACCTCGTCGGATGAGGGTGTGAACCATTCGAGCGCACGTTATGTTTCCCACCTTCGACGTTCCGCTGTGCCTACTCCTCGAACATTGAATGCCTTAGGTGATCTCGAAGGCTCAGCATCTAATATAGACTACTTCTCGGGCGTATATACTGAACAAAGGGGAAATCCTTTCGAGACGCCCTCCTCAGTAGGGTCGCAACCAGTTCCTCGACCTCCTCTAGCAGCAAACAGACCGGCACCCCACCGATCATACTCCGGTGACTCCTATGCGAATATGTCATCTAGGAGGATTAATGCGGGCTTTGAAATATTACCCGCTGGTACTTTTAGTAGACCCAACAGTCAAACTGAATTGGAGGACGGCAAAAAAGCAAAGAGGAATAGTGGCAATAAAATTCAAAAAAGGAATCGCGATAGATCATCAAGAGAAGGGTCCGCGGCGAGGTGATAAGTAACTCTACAGAGGGCATAAATAGGGGGTGTCCTCTAGCCTTGACAGATATTATACTAAAGAAGATTAATGTAGATAACATCTTGCTCGGGCGAACTTAGGGTCGTAGTCGACTAAAACGAAATGGGTGGGTTTGCATTGCATTCATATCGGCGTCTGTACAGCGATTAAGAGCGATAGAGGATCTAGAAGAATAATTAACTGGAAATTTCCGCATACCAGCTGAACGGAAGATATTCGACTTAGTATCATGTTAAACATCGTGACGTCTAGACGTAATTCATTCGAACCGGGAGAGCGAGTCAGAAAATGATTTATAAATGGGTTTCATCTTCGTATCTTTTTGATTGTCGGTGTTGACCGATATTGTAAACACTGGCGGCATAGTTCGAATGGAATACTGCCTACCTACCTAAATTAACACGAAATGAGGATGACGGATATTCATCAGTTATAATACCCAAGGCTTGTCCTAGACCCAACTATATAACGGTTTTGGTGGCAGCTCATAGTAATGACAGGGCTAGTGACAATCCCGGACTTCCCTAGTAAATCTATCGATGCCTACCTACCTAGGTACTCAGGTATCTGCTTAATGTCAAGGCTTAATGATCTAAGATGACCAGGCAAATTGATTAAGCAACTGGTCCGTGTGGTATAAGAGTAGAAGCCATGTAGGTACTTCGCAGCTACCTACATGTAAGCAATCAACCTCTAAATCCTACGGTCCCAGGACGTAAAAAACGTAGTAGCTAGGTACCTGTAAAGGTTATGAAGGGGGGAAATTGAACACAAAGCCCACGTATGCAGCCAATCCTTCTAACGCCTAAGCTATGCATGCCACCTACGCATAGAGTCCAATCATTTCCCGTAGTCATCATCTCGTTCTCCGTAGCCGGATGCCACATCTAATAGCCACATCTGACATATAAACACTGAGAACTACTAATCCTTTTCCATATCCTTTGGAGCTGGGTCTCCGATTCCGTTTTCATTGATTGCAAATAGACAGTCGCTCTCTGGTAAGCAGGGACTATCATAAATCTTTGCGATACGGGTCTCGCCTCGACCCTTCTTTAGACTGACTCGTGTTGTACTTGCGTGAGCAATAATGTTGCCACCGATTGGCTTCTTTGGGTCTGGATTGAACATAGCGCTGGGTCCACCGTCGACTTGAGCCACGACTTGGTTAGTAATAACGACGGCGATTCCAAACTCATCGGCTAGTCTTTGTAATGTTCGCATGAATTTGGCCAAGTGGGTCTGTCTAGAGGACAACTCTCCACGGCCTAGGAAGTCTGTTCGATATAGAGAAGTAGCGCTATCCACGACAAGGAGGGAAAATCGGGTTTCGCACATCATGGCGGCGGCCTGGTTAAGCAGTTGTAGCTGATGGTCCGAATTGTAGGCTCGGGCGTAGGCCACATTATCTAAAACTTCCTCGCCAGACAAACCATATCGATTCGCTACGGCAAGAAGCCGCACTGGTCTGAATGTGCCCTCAGTATCGATGTATAGACACTTGCCTTCGCCACCACCCATGTCGAACGGCAGCTGGCACGTGACGGCGAGAGTATGGCAGATCTGACTTTTTCCAGTACGAAATTCGCCGAAGAGTTCTGTCACTGAGCCGGTCTCGATACCACCAGCAAGCAGTGTATCCAGATTCTTGGATCCGGTAGTAATAGAAATCAATTCACTTCTTCGTTGATGCATCTCTGTTGCAGTCGTAAAACCCATAGGCACCAATTTGGACGCTACCAAAATTTAGAGGATGTTTATTGGGAGCGGTTCGGAATTATTTGTGAAGTGGGTTGGACATAATACTGACCTTCTGCAAGAATCTTTGCGGCTTTTTGTTCGGATATGCCTTTGACCTGTTCTAGAGTTCGCCGTGGAGTATAGGCAACGGATTCAACGGTTTGGTAGCCTCCCTCAACTAAAAGTTGACAGTCGCGCTTCGTCAAGCCTGCAAGGCCCTGTTCTCGAATATCAGCCGATGGCCTTCGCGTGTTTTCTTTGAATAAGACCGTAACCTACTTCCAAAGCAAGGATGGGTGTAGGCGCACCAGGGCCGGTTATTCCGCCCTCCTCCCCATTTGTGCCATCCTCGTACTCGACCACCATATTTACAAATTCCGCTCTTGAAATTTGTAAGGGATTGTGCTTGCGCAGGGTTCGGGGGCAAGGATAGGAGAAACGATATTTGGTATAGACGTGGGTTTGAATGATCTATAAACGCGTCAACGCGAGATGCGGTGGGAAAACAAATGGAAATCGCGGAAGCACGTGAATAATTTAGCAATTTATGGATCTGGACCGAACTCGGAAATCTCTCCCCACTTGATGCGTAGTGGGGCAGGTACATATGTACATGTATCTATGGCTGCTGCCATTGAACGAATGCATGCACCGCTGTTGGAAGTAATTATGTACTTACCTAGCGTTCCTGCCTGGCAAAAGCATGAGCTAAACCTTTATCGATAAGTGTAGCTCTAAACTGCTTAACCCTTGCTTAGTTCCAAAGAGTTCCCAGGTTGTTTTTCTGGAGCTTCACATTCCCATTCCTATTGAGCGCGTTCTTCACAAGAAACTCTCTCCGACAATATCGGTCCTCTCCAGGGCGTCGCATTCAAGATGGCTCCTCCGACATACTTCTACAAGGAGACGCGCTTAACTTTGGAACCGTCATCAAGTTCCTACATCGTTGATGTAGAGCTCCCTACTACGAATAACCAAGGGCGAAACCCACGAAAGGCCATCAAATCATCGAAAGCGGCTGCCAAGAACGATGCCTCTCGAGCTACTGCATCTGCGATATACTACCGAAAACACAATAGTTTTCCGAGAGGGTTCCTTTGGCGAGTCCTTGAAAGCGATACCGTCCTAAGCATACGAACCATCGATATTTGCAAATCCAAAAAAGCATCTGACGCAAACCTCATCCTAAACTTCCACTTCCAACACCAAATCATACCTGCTTGCGTCGCGTTCTGCGACTCTAGAGATCATGATGCCCTCAGTATCTTCGTCCTCGATACTGCCAATCAATTGTATACTCTATTCCTAAGACCAGACTCCTTTCGCAAGCGTTCTTTCGTTGAAACTGGACTTGGTGATGCCTGCAAGATTTACCAGCCTAATGCCTTCCGCAATTTCAAGCATCCGTATAGGCTTGTTGCGGTTCACGATCATCAGCTTGTCGCCACACTCTCTGATGGGGGCCACATTCGTTTTGATAAGAACACATCACATAACGGTTTGTTTACGTTCCCTTTACTCCCGAACTTTGAGTCTGATTATAAAATTTCCTAGCACCTCATGTACCCTGGAAAGAAACGTTCTATAACGCCAAGGGCTGGTTTCGAAGCTTGCTAGGAGGTCGAGGAGATTTGGACATCAAGGCGGCGGCAGCAGCAATTCAAACAGACTTAGGGCTGGATAACGCCTCGTTCCTTTTCACTGCTTGCCTCGACCACCGCTTACGAGTCTGGAACCTTCATACCGGACAAATTCTTGCGACTAAGGACCTATTAAATGCTTCAAGGGATCCGCAGGAGACGGGGAAGTGGCAATTAGATGCATCGCAAACCAATTTGATTCGTATTGTAGGCAGTACTGAAGGCAATCGACTCTGTGTGACTTATTCTCCGGTTGGATCTGGAGAGTTTAAGTTCTGGGAGTTGGAGTCTGACGATGAAAATTCTGTTGAATTACAAGATCTCTTCCCCAACCATCATTTTATGCCTAACCCTCCCCTCGGCTCAGATGTCTGGACGCTTGCTGATTTTAGCGTGGCTGAACGCTCACCAACTCATGGATATAGGATGTGGCTCCTATGGAAGAATAACATGGCATACCGAGTCCAAGAGTTAACATTCCTGGAAGATAATGTCTCGAAAAATTGGCAGGAGGGTTGGCGATCCGTATTCTCAGACACAGCTATTCCAACCGCGCAGGTATCTGGCTCATCTGATCCTACCGAACCCACCGAAAAATGGCTGCAACTGATTTTCTTCCCTGGAAGATTCCCCAAAGTGACGGTTGAAGCTGCGCTTAGCGCTTACGAAGGAGCAATTGGGAGGCAGGGAAACGCGGCGTCTCGTAGTAGTCAAGGCCTCGCCGAGTCGATTTGCTCTGCTATCGCTTCAACCTCGTCTTTAAATAAAACGTCATCCGGCGAGATGGATCATGAGCAGTTCAGAGCAGCTAGTGAATTACAGTGGCGAAAGTTCTACCGGATTTTGCTCGAGCTTGATAAGCCAAGAGGAGAGGCGCTGGCATTGTCATATGAACCCGAGTCGGGCATGCCATGGGTTGTATGTGCCGGTAGCATCTCTGCCATCAGAGAATGCAGCGAGCTGGAGCATATTTACCATAATCCTCATTTAGAATTCGAAGGATCGAACTCTGTCCCTATTCTCGTTACCACTGGCGTCAATTTCATTGAGGGATTTTCCGACAGTATGCTACAAGTTTGCCATTCTGTTCTTCGTCCAGAAATGTTCGAGGAGTCGTCGAAATCAGATCAAGAACGATTCCAGTTCGTCTCTGACAAGGCGGGGTTCTGGCGCCAGATATCTGACGAAGACTGCGCCCAGGTGACTGACGCGCTTGGACAGAATTTCAACTTAATAACGACACAGCTATACGATCGGACGGTTGCGACGTTCAACGAGACTTGGGATTCTCAGCATCCAACGGAACTCCCCCTTACAGAGTTTGGGCGAAAGATAATCGTCAAAGCGATCCAGGACATGGCTGAGCTGCAATGGAACATCTGCTTTAGTCAATTGATCCTCCTTGTCCATATGGAATTCGAATTCGACCGCCCGGAAGATGCCCTCCATAACAATGTCGAGATTGGCGTAATATATCGCAACCTACTTGTTATACTTAAGAGGCTCGAGCTCATCCGATGGCTTGCCAATACCCAGATATCTGCGCCACTACCGAAGGTAGACAAGCCGAGTTCCGTGTCTGGCGGTTCACCGATAACCTCAAAACGCCAAGTGGAGGAGCATAGGGTCATCACCGCCTTAGAGGGCAATATAGGACATCTTCTTGAATTGCCGGAATTGAAATCAATTCCTTCCGACGCGATGCCTTCGATGATCACAAACATCGTTGCTGATCTTTGTGCTCCCGCCAGTAATGTGGAGTTACAACCTCAATATATCCAATGTGGCCTGCTCGTTAGGGATAGGGCGGATCTTGCTATTGAGTTAACTCCTTTTTGCAAACAGGATCCTTTTTCGACGTATATACAAGGACGTGTCCACCTTTCTCTGAAGAGCTTTACCTCTGCGGCAGCGTACTTCAAGAAGGCAGCATACCCCATGAGTAAGTAATTGGCGACGAGAATGGCAATTTCTAGCTAATAGTCAATATAGGCGTACCAAAAGCGAATCCTGAGAGGCATAGCAGTGGTCTCTTGGACGAGACTGAATGGAACCTACTTTTTGCTGGTCTCCCACGTTACTACGCTCACGTAGTTGCGCTCTATGAACAGCAGAAAGCCTACTCATTTGTGATCGACTTCGCCCGCCTGGCCCTCCAATTTGTCAACAACACAGTTGAGGATGCCGACAAAGTCCGAACAGAAATACAGTGTCGCCTCTTTAGCGGTGCTATAGCTACATCACAATTCGAATTGGCGCATTCCACTATCGTGGCAATGGGAGATCGCGCTCTACAACATTCGTGTTTGCGAGCTCTAATACAAAGAATGTGCGATAACCTTCACAATTCAGAGTTGGTTAATCTCACATTCCCGGGCCTGCAAGGTGTTGTTGACGATATTCTCGCGCAACATTGCCAAGAAACAGTGGACGTGGTTACGGGTGTCCCGTATCACCAAATCCTCTATGCTTGGCGTATCAAGCGGAACGACTACCGCGGCGCTGCCGCGATATTATTGGATCGCATTCAGAAATTAAGACAGCTTGGTGAAGGTGATCAGGTTACGGGTGACGATATTTTGGACACTGCCGTTACGAGACAGTATCTGATGCTCATCAATGTTCTAAGCTGTGTGGAACCAAAGCAGGCATGGATTACGATTGAAGGGCCAACACCTGCAGCCAAATCTAGCACAGGAGCCTCTAATCTAATAAAGCGCAGAGTAGTCACTCTGGCTGATATTCGAAAGGATTATCAAGATGAGCTCGACCGCATCGCAGCAATTCAGAACGACCAATTTGGGTTCACGGCAGACGACGAGATGGAGATTCTATGATGTTAGGTCGTCCTGGCAGATATGCGTGGGCTGGTTGCAGTTGTACAACACAAAATGTTTTTACTAGATGATACCTCCTGAGTTAGTATTAGACATCAGGCCATTGCGGTAGGAAAATGCGAATTTTAACGGATAAACTGAATTATAGCCCTCAAGCCCTCTTAGTTGTAACGCCTTGGCTCTCTGAGTTGACCACATGCTAATCAATAACCACTGAACGCCGTGTCATCAATGCTCGACCTGGGGTGAATAAGAATGTACAACAAATTGACCAACGTAATAGAGCCAAAAGAAAAAAAAATCATGTAATCCCGAGTTCATGCCTGGATTGGCAAAGGCATTTGGCGAGTAGATTCTGGGACTGACACTACCATTTGCTGGTTTCCATTCGCGGCCGCAGCGTCTGGGGCTTGCCGATATAGGATAATCTCAGACTGTTTAAAGTATCGCCTAGCATCCTCGTCTATTAACACTAGACTCAGGTAGTAGCGCGTAGAGAATTTCTTGTTCACGTCGCGGAATGTAGGAGTCAAATCAAACCCCCCAAGGAACAGTCGAATAGGGATGGTCTCGCCGCGTGAAGGGGAACCATCCATTATCTACCGTGGTGAATAATTAGCTGAGAATACTCCAATAAGATAGGCGTCCTATCGTAATACCACTCACCTCGAAGCGCACAAGGGTTTCGCTCTCGTTATATTGATTGGGTGCAGCGCCAGTCGTCTCTCTCCGAATTATGCTCAGTTCCATATGCTTGATTTTGAGACGAACTAACAGAAAGTAGATACGGCCGACGATGACGTCCTTAAGGTGGTACTTGCTCTTGCTATATTCGAATTCGATATGTAAACAATCCTCGATACCAACATCCATCTTGATTGAACTGTTCATCTCGGGCGGAATTCGGTAGCTGTAGACCCAAAGATCCTTCTCGCGAATGACATCGGCCATACGACGCGCAACTGTCACACGCACGAAGTACCGTAATTTCACATTGATACCGTTGTATGACTCGTATTGCTTTTCGACGTTCTTGAAATTGAAATCGAAAGTCTGGGGATGTTGTAACTCGCCCGGTGCCGCGAGCTCTTGATTTAGGGAGAGAAACTCGTAATGATTGCCTCTATCGAAGAACATCTCTAGGGAGAAGGTGTTAGGTCAGTCCTTGTGGTTATATGAAATATAGTATACAGAATAGAATATAGAATATAAAGAAAGAAAGAAAAAATTGCAAAGGCTAGCTGTGTCGTTCAACGTATAGACGAACCTATTGTACCAATGAATTGGACTTTAATGCCAGTGTGCTCTAAGCGCTTTCCATCTTTTGGACGCACCGTAACTTGACCCTTTACGGACTCTCCATCCATATACAGGGGCGCTTTCTCACGTCGCTGTTTTTCTCTTATGTCGACCACCTGGCGCTCATCGCTATCTTCAAGAACGATATCGATATCTACCGGGGTGGCAAAAAAGTAGGACATCTTGGGCGAGTATCGGGGAGAAAATTGGTAGGATTTAGCGATCGAAATCGACTCGATGTTTCGTGGTAAGGTTGTTGAAGGCTTCACCAGCCGAGTTCCTTATTCTCCTGCCTTGTCAGCCCCACATCTCTAATCGAGGGATGCCTGGGGAATTGGAAGGTACTTAGGTATTGTGGCTTAAGCTTCAGCCCCAATCGGAAGATCGATGTCCCATACCTAGTTCCCTTCAACCCTTGCTTCCTCATTCCCAGCCACAATTAAAATGCAAAAGACCCACTAACCCAAAACCCTAAAAGATTATGTAACCTTGGGAAGGTACAAAGTCCACAGTACTAAATTTGTACCAAAATTTCTGCAGGTTTGCCCCAATTTTAGCTTAGCGACCCGGCCACACAACGAATTTCCTCAATTGAATTCTTTGACTTTGTCATTGCGGTCACTTTTTTTTTATCTACGTTCAAGACGACAACATCTTCAGGTACGTTTACAACCCCCGCCCATGCGCACGACAAAAATCAAAGATACTCGCATCCCCGTACCCTATAACTTATTAATCTGGCATTCGGATTGTCGCAACTTACTCACATTTCTATCCTCTTTAGGTTCCATCTTTCCCCGCAATACCCTCGCCTGAACCGTCAAGATGCGATACATTCACAGCCTGGAGACTCTGGAGATTCCCGAGGGAGGTACGTTTTCGAACCGAATGGAAAATATCGCTTGGGGTAGAATATTGGGGGGTGGTTTGGAGCGTTATGCATGGGCTTCCAACGATGATGAATTATTTAACAACACTCCAAACGATATACTGACATGCCATCTTCGAAATAGTCAAGGTCCACATCAAGTCCCGTAACGTCACAGTCGAGGGCCCACGAGGTATGCTATTTCTTACTTGGAACCACGTCGAAGCCGTCTTCAGGGTGCGCGAAGGAATCTAATGAAGGAGAACAGGCAAGCTATCCAAGGATCTTAGTCACATCGCAGTCAACTTTTCGCGACCGAAGAAGAATGTTATTGGCATTGAGATTCACCACGGATCGCGAAAGGACGTCGCCACACTCCGAACTGTCCGAACTCTGATTAACAACCTAGTCGTCGGTGTCACCAAGGGCTTCAAGTACAAGATGCGTTACGTCTACGCCCATTTTCCCATCAACGTCAACGTCGAGAAGAACAACGAGACGGGTAACTTCGAGGTCGAGATCCGGTATGTCCCAACCCACGAAACGTCAGGGTTAATGAGTGCTTCCAAGCACTTCCAGTGGTCCCAGATATAAGCAGAATGGCTAATTAGCGAACGACAGAAACTTTATCGGAGAGAAGCTCGTCCGAAGAGTCGTCATGCAACCCGGTGTCGACGTCCAGATCTCCACAGCCCAAAAGGATGAGCTACTTATCCTAGGTAACTCTCTTGAGGATGTCTCGCAAAGTGCGGCCGACATTCAACAGATCTGCAGAGTCCGAAACAAGGATATCCGAAAGGTGCGTCGAGCAAATCCCATCCATTCCCTAGTATATAATACTAAACAGCTTTTTCTCTTATTTTAGTTCTTAGACGGCATGTACGTTTCTGAGAAGGGTAACATCGTAGAGGAGGTCTAAATGGGCGGACTTAAGGGGTTTCTTTGCTTTCTGGGTCTCAATACGGAGTCGCCGGGGTTCATCTGCATCTCACGTAGCAAAATAGCTGCGAAAAATGGAACCGAATACTGACCAAATGCATTTCTGAGTTTTCCTCTACGGTCCTCGATTTAAGCTGTGAGCTCACGCAGTCAAGTCTCGAGATATCCGTGTATTTGGTTCGTCATGGTGAATAGTGCTTGATAATACATATCTCTAGTCCGAGCCAGATAACTTACGATTGCTACGATCCATGGACTAAAAATGATTCAAGGGACTATTACACCTAGGGTCTAATAGAGACGCCTTATCGTTGAGTGTCCATCGGCATCCTCTTAAACACAAGATTTAGTCGTCTGGCCTTCCCTTGCTGCCTTCCAACCTCATACAACTACTCTATCTCGATAAACCTTTTACCCCCGTTGTCATTGACCTTAATTTCCTGTGTGATGATGATGACAAGGTAATATGTCATATAATCGATGGTAAAGGTATTTGGCAACGTCCAACAACTCTAAGCGATAGTGAGGGAATGTGTTGATTTGGGGGGATGAAGAGAGTACATACACAACGATTCATGGTAACCTACGCACATGTAACGACCTCTTTATATATTATAGTTTTGTTAGAAATTCGCCACATTTCATCTACGCTAGGTTGGAAGTTGGCAGGATTATCCTTGGTAACATATGGTACGAACTCATCTGGGGGGTTCTCTAGCAATGGCTAGCACTCAATCACATGTTCTGATCGACTTCGATATGGAGAGCCGCGGACGTAGCAACCACATACCCATTCATTATCTAACTAGATATCCTTCTTTCGTTGTTAGGCCGATTAGGCCTAATTTTCTCGTACCAGGCTCATTGAGCTCATCCAACCCATCCTTGAGATTTTCTCCCGTCATTAGTCTCCTATGTACAAAGTCCTCGGGCTCCATCTCGAACCCAAAATAGTATTCATCATCCATACTATTCATTCGTATAACCTATTTTATTGGTTTTCATTTCGTCTCTAAATATCGTCGTAGATATTCATGAATTACTTAAAGAAGTGTCCGCATTCCTGAACGCCGTTTTCGTGGTATTGTGGTAGGTATCGAGGTATGTATGTCGAAAGGTGGAAGGGAAAAAAGATACTATGAAGAAAAGGGGGTTATGAGCTCAATTTCGAAGTGTGGGGGTTTCCGCTTTTAGCTTCTCGAATGTCGTGAAGCCCTCGATGGTCTAGAGGCTCTTGTTGCTCTGGACTGTCTAGAACGGCGCGTGTCTCGCGTTCTCCTATCGGAACTTTGGCTACCTGTTAAAAAAAATCAGTCAGTATAAGCCCCACTGGAGTTTATCTTTTACGGATAAACTCACTAGGGCTGCTCGCAGTATAGGAGTCGGTGTAGTACGAACTACCCCAGTCGCTCCGCGGCGGCTTTTGGCTACTAGCTCTACGCCTGTCATCTCTCCTCAAGCCAAGGAGGAGAGCTGCTGCACCCGCACCCGCAGCTAACCAGCCCCAGTTACCCCCTGAACTCCTTTTCTCCTTCCTGGCAGCGGATGAGGCTGGTCGACCTCCCCCTCCTCCAAACCATGTTCGATGGACCGGCCGTGCGGCTGCAGCACCGTACGTGCTACCGTGCCTACTTCCACGCCTCGAGTAATGTTCTTCGGTGACCTCAATCCGTTCAGTCTCTTTCCTTCTCCTACCGCCAAATCCAAAGATACCAGCAACTACTTCCCAGAGACCCCTGACGATGCAGCAGAAACATAGGAGCAGAAGCAGGACTACGCCGGCAATCGTGCCGACCACTATGCCGGCGATTGCGCCTCCACTTAACGAGCCACTCGTAGATGCGACAGGGGCCGGAGCCCCAGTGCTAGTGGATGACGCAGTCTCGCTAGCTGCAGTGCCAGTGGTAGTGGAAGCCGAAGTTTGCACGATGGTACTGCCGCTTGTAACCCTATAGGGAGCCGAGTACTGAGTGGTGACGACGCCGACAGTGGTCCATTGGGTCCAGGAGCCAGACCCAGCGTTCGGCAGACACTGACCGTCGTGAGCGCAGTATTGCCAGGTCGCACAGCAGATAGTACCACACGCAATCTCCCCGGAGCCTTCCGGTGGCACACAAGGTTCACCGTTCCCTCCCGAAGCGGCGGTTGTGGGTCCTAGGAAGGAACTGATAGTGCTGGTGTACGTTTTCGTCTCGGTCCAGGTAGTGGTGTAAAAATCATACTCGCCGCCTGCGCCTGTGGCTGCGCAGCCTGCTATGCCGGCTGAGGTGGTGCATGTCTGACCATTCGAGCAGCAATACTGATTATCGGAACCGCAGTACGAGTCACAGTCGCGAGGCATAAGGTATCCAAAACCGACATCTCTGAAGTCGTCACGAGGGTAAGGATGGGCGACGGCGAGGGGTAGGAGTAGGGAAAGGAAAATGGTCTGGGTGTGAGTCGGCCGCATTTTTGTATGTTGGATCTATGGCTCGACGATGCTGGCATGCGGACAATGGGAGAGTGAGACAAGTTCTAGTCTCTAGTCTCTCACCAAGACCACCAACTTATGAACCTTTTCACTTCCTCCAATAACTAAAATTGAGTTAGTGTAAGTTGTCGATTGGGGAATGCAATTCCTATCAACTCACATTCCCAAATGTCTCAGGCTTAGATCGTTCCACCAACCTAAAGTATTTGCTGTTGTATAGGTTAGTTAACCGGCCGTTGTGACACAGACAGCCTTCTGCAGAAAAATGCAAGGGAAGAAGGAAAAGAATATGGAAAAGGAGGAAAAGAGAATAAAAAAAATTCTAACTTCCAAGCTTGTTTCCCTTAATGCATCCTCTTTACGGGTGGGTTGCAACTTCCCAACCACCTTCGGTAGGGGGGAGGTGACGGCCAAAGAAGGAAAAAAAAGGCTGCGATTTGGAAATGCCGCGGGGCTGGTGAGATGATGCTTGCTCTATGGCGCAAAATTGGGAAATACGAAAACAGAGGGGGTTGGAGTTGACAGGGATCACGATATCCGATCTGACGTCAAACCTATAAGAAATTAAAAGGTAGAACGGACAACTTGGCAAGAATAAAATAAAATAAAATCTGGTATTAAATGACTTCTTTTATTTTATTCTTTATTTTCAATTGATATTTCACAATGTTAAATCGTATTGTATGGTCCAGGTAGGTAGTCTTATCCATATCGCAATATGCAACATGGAGATGCGATGGTGAGTTGGCAAAGATCCATGTACCTACATTAGAGAGAGTTCTAGTGGACCTTTGTTGATTACGGCCCCTGCTGTCGTAACAGCGACAATCGATTAATTACATGTAGTTCCAAGGTTACTAAGGCTTAAGTACCTAGGTATTCTACCGGGGTCTTTAACCTATCAAATCGCTTAAGAAAACTCAACCCCATCTCCCCCAAACACCGATTTAATCGCTCCGCCCTCACCTAGGTCTCTCCTTTGCCAGACATCATACAACACTATTAATATGATACAAACATCTTGCTACCTAAGAAAAGACCGACGACCACGGCGTGTATCTCACTTAGACCTTCCAAGTATAATGGAAGGCCTTTCTATCATATAAATTCCACAGCAAGGAAAATCATGCCAACTCCATCACATCCGCTCAGCAGCAAGACCCTTAACTTACATATTCAAGTACCCAAGTAAAGTGAGCAGATATTTCTTATCGGTTTTAGAGGGGAAATTTTGTAGTTCGTCCGAACCTTATGTACTTAGCCATGCCATATAAATTAACGTTTTCTTTCCTTTCCTTTTTTTTTTTTTTCCCTCTTTCCGTAAACACTTCTATCTTTACAAAAACATGAACGAGAAAAATAGTACGGCGTTGCCATTTACAACCCCATCCCGCAAAGGCGATGCGTGGTTTTGCGTTGGTCCCGTCTCATCATTTCCCGATATCACAGACTCTGGCAACACAAGTCTATCCGAGCGCTATTCTTGCGCCAAACAAGATTCCGCCCCCCGGTGTAGGGTATTCTATGTACCTACCACAGACAGCTCCCAAGCGCGCCAAATAGAGGACGACTCGATATATTATTCCGAAGGAGGACTGCGGGATCAAGTACTTGTATTCAAGTATAAGGGAAAGGTTCATGCGATTAATAACGTAAGTTCCAGCCTATGCAGAATATGCTCATAATTCTCTGTAGAAAGAGAATTTTGTGAGGAATCGGTTGGCCGACGCTAGAACAGCGATGTCCACATTCATCATATGCTCTTTCTGGAGGTATTCCTTTTGATATTGAAGATTTTGGCATCGCATTGAGCGCAGGTATCACTTGTCCGAAGCACGGTTGGTCTTTCGATCTCTTCTCCGGAAGAGCAGATCGTGCCAACTATAAATTAGGCATATGGGAAGTCCAATTGCGACCCGCGTCTAACACACAGGCCGGGCTCGTCAACGAGAAAGACGAAAGCAACGGGGGGGTATGGGTTAGGCGGAAACAGAGGATCGGATAATGATAAGGCAGTTTGTTTTATACCCGTTAAATTGGAAACGATACCCCAAACCAAATTGCGTTATCTCGCTCGTTACAATGATAGACAATCGGAAATTTGAATGGCCAGAAGCCTTAGTCACTAATCAGTGGTATATTTAAAGCAATTTACATCGCGTGGACTATGTATATTATCCCAGGGAGTAACGTTTCTGCCTATTAGATTGAAGCAACAGCTGCTATGTTCAAAACTTAAATAATAATAAAAAAATAAAAAAAAGGTTGCATGTGCCTATGACGGAAGGTCCACTTTAACTATAGCTCATTGCAACGCTGCAAAAGGCGCATGGGACTTGGACTGGGGACTCTCAGCTTCAAACATCCAAAGCTTGTATGCCTTGTGCTCGCGTCACATCCCCAACCTCGGCGCAACTTACGATTCATCTTCATTCAACTCCTACTTCTATTTCTATTTCTACTTTACCATCTACCCGTATTTCGAAATACAAGAACGAGAAGCTACGCAATCCACCATAGAATCGAGTCAAGCTTACTTCAAGCATAAGCATTTCCGAAGTCGATACATACACGAATCCCCATCAGCTCTGCTCATCATGTCGCTCGATCCTCCCCCCTATCTCGGTTCCCTACAAAACAACATTCGTCAACGACCAATCCCCTGGGATGGTGCAGCTAGAGCAGGCACCATCACGGAGGCTCAATTGGCTAAAATCAGGGCCGTTGATAAAGTGAAGAGGGAGCAACGAAAACAAGTTGTAGAGAGCGACCTCGATGGCTACCGGATATTGTTTGTCGGAGAGCCTGGGACGCCTGGTGTTCTTGAGTCGGCAAGGAACCGCTCCGATGTGGTCCAATACATATTGGTCTTACTTAGTGATCTACTCGAAGGTGTGTGTTTTGTTTAATAACCTACCCTCGTGTCAACCACGCTCGATGGGCATACGAACAGACTGTTACCATACATTTAATGCCAGAAGCCTTGATTTACTAATACTACTTACCCCCAGGTGTCCCAGGCCTCGCAAAGGCTCTCGTGAAGGACTCGGATCCATATCAACATTTTCTACCTTTATTACTTGCACGTTCGAATAACTCCGAAGACCCGATTCCTCTACTCACATCTACCGTCCTCGCAACACTTATGGCTAACTCCAGAGACGAATCTCAAGCGGCAGAACACGCTCTCCCCTTAGTTCTAAGCTATCTTTGTGGCTTGGTAAAGACCTCAAACGATGCAGGGTTACAAGATATCGCAGTCACAGAATACTCGTCTCTATTATATGGGCAGTCTTCCCGACAATTATTCTGGAAGCAGAGAAGCGAGACCGTTGCTCCCTTAGTCGATATCCTTCGAAAAGCTGCTGGTGTCGGTAGTGAGTCGTCTGCTAGTCTTTGGAGCGGAAACGCTACTACGAGAAGCGGCGGTTTCGAAGGTCTTAGCGGTGGTGTGGGACTACAGCTTCTATACCATGTACTACTAGTCCTATGGCAGTTGAGTTTCGAAGCTGAAGACATAGGCGATGACCTAAATGAGTACGAAACCAGATCTCTCCCGATAATCGCATCATTGCGGCTAACTTGGCTATAGTGAATATGATATTATTCTTTTATACACTCAGCTATTGCGACTATCACCAAAAGAGAAGACCACGCGACTTCTTCTGTCGACGTTATCCAACCTCCTCGAAGCTAACCCGTCTACGCTACTTCCTACGGCAGTTTTGGCTAGGCTTCCAGCATTACTTCAAAACGTCAGTGGTCGTCACTTAACAGACCCAGACTTACAGGAAGACCTGGAAAGGCTCAAGGAAACGCTAGAGGAATATCAAAAGACAAAGACGACATTCGACGAATATGTTGCCGAAGTCCAATCGGGACATTTGAGATGGTCGCCCCCCCACCGTCATCAAGTCTTCTGGACCGAAAATGCACGAAAGATTCTCGAGTTTGAGAACGGCGAAATACCACGGAAATTAGCGGATATCATGAAGAAGCCATGGGAAAACGACAAAGCGGTGCTCGCAATTGCCTGCAATGATGTGGGGTCTCTTGTCAAAGAGGTTCCGGAGAAGAGATATCAACTAGAAAAGCTAGGATTGAAGACTCGCATTATGGAACTCATGCAGGACTCAGACGAGAATGTACGATGGGAGAGTTTGCGAGCTCTTGGCGGATGGCTCAAGTACAGCTTTGAAGATAACTAATAATCTAGCTATCGAGTGTGTGGACACGATCGTAACTCTTTGTTGTATTCTTTCGACCATCAGCAACGTCCCCATCATCGGCGTGGGCGCGTGGACAACTAGCATTATGTATTGCCAATGAGTAGGACAGGGAATATCGGCGGTAGCTTGAGCTCCCTAATCTAATTAACCCGACCTGCACTCCACTAGCAATATTACTGGATAGTGTCTGACTACCGCGGTTGCTACTCAACATCAAAAGGGGGGAAATTAGCCCGTGAACCTATCCAGTGTCCTATATGATCTATTTGTATACGTAATCGAGGAGGCAAATATAGTACGCACAACATACCTAGGTACATCGCTATCTAGGTACCTGGGTACGGAGGTAGCCTTTTTTATTATATCGAAGCAGCTTTGAACGCTGTTTACATGCACTATAACGTAATACCCCAAACTTACCCCAGGTGCCACCTTTCCGGTATTCGGGGGGGTCTCGGCTTCTAACGGCAAGACTTACCCCGGTCTGTTGAAGCTACCCCTCTTACCCAATTGAACTCTTTGTTAAGTTAAGTACCCAGGTAGGTACCTAAAACGATTTACAATTTACCAGTGGAAGGTCATCCCGATAACGCTATTCTTTTCCCGGGCCACCGTCAAATACGTACCGGTGACAGGTTCTCATTCGAGGATTTAAGGATAGGGGACAATCGTTCAATGCCGAGTTAAGTTGATTCGGTCTGTCCCTTACGAACCCCTCGGGAGCTATATCTGTAATTCACATAATCACCATGTACCGTCTTGCAGGTACGCGAAACATTACTGCCAGCGCTGGCCGCACCGCTACCCGCCTGTCTACTTGTTCGTCCCCTTCCTCGTCCGCCTTCTTCTCTTTATCCTCTCCCACCACTTCGAGGATGCCCTCGCAGACGACCGCTGCGAGGCGGATAGCCGCTACGGCGCACCACCTTCGTCCTATGAGCGCACTCGCCTCGACGGCTACTAGCTACCCGACAACGCACGAGAAGATTGCACAACCGGAAGATACACCCTACTTCATAGACAATAAATTTGTGTCCAGCAAGGCGGATAAGTACATCGAGCTGCGCGATCCAGCCACGAACAATCTCGTAACACGCGTGCCGCAAATGACAGATACAGAACTAAAGGCCGTTGTCGACAGCGCTCAACGGGCATTCCCGGGGTGGCGGGCCACAAGTGTCCTCGCACGGCAGCAGATCATGTTTAGATTTGTTAACTTAATCCGTGAAAACTGGGACCGCCTAGCCGCCAGCATCACCCTCGAGCAAGGTAAGACGTTTGCTGATGCTAAAGGTGATGTCCTACGAGGGTTGCAGGTAGCCGAGGCCGCATGTGGAGCTCCGGAGTTCTTGAAGGGTGAAATACTCGAAGTCGCTAAAGACATGGAGACAAGAAGCTACCGGGAACCACTGGGCGTTACCGCTGCCATTTGTCCTTTTAGTATGTCTACAATAACACAGCTTGGGTTGCGATCCCCTAACTAAATTGTTGCTAACCCTTATTTTTTTAATAGATTTTCCGGCCATGATCCCCCTATGGTGTATTCCCATCGCGACAGTGACCGGTAACACCATAATTTTGAAGCCTTCCGAAAGAGACCCTGGTGCAGCGATGATCCTAGTCGAACTAGTAAAGAAGGCCGGATTCCCGGAGGGCGTGGTTAATGTGGTCCATGGCGCACACCGAACCGTTGACTTTATACTAGACGCTCCAGAAATTAAGGCGGTAAGTTTTGTTGGTGGAAATAAGGCAGGTGAATACATCTACAGCCGAGCTTCGGCGAACGGCAAGAGGGTTCAGGCCAACCTTGGTGCCAAAAACCACGCAGCTGTGATGCCAGACTGCAATAAGAACCATTTCATCAATGCAGTCGTCGGGGCCGCGTTCGGCGCCGCTGGTCAGAGGTGCATGGCCCTCAGCACTTTGGTTATGGTTGGTGAGACAAAGGAATGGCTACCAGAGCTGGCAGAGAGCGCCAAGAAGCTCCAAGTTAACGGCGGGTTCGAAGAGGGCGCCGATCTAGGCCCGGTTATCTCACCACAAAGTAAGGAAAGGATCGAGAGTCTGATTGCTAGTGCGGAAGAGGAGGGCGCCACAATCCTATTAGACGGACGCGGTTTCAAGCCAGGGAAATACCCCAACGGGAACTGGGTAGCACCGACTATCATCAGCAATGTCACCGCGGATATGAAATGCTATAAGGAAGAGATATTTGGGCCGGTACTGGTGTGCCTCAACGTGGATACACTAGACGAGGCTATCGAACTGATAAATAGAAATGAATACGGGAACGGCACGGCAATCTTTACGAGATCGGGTCCGACAGCAGAGACCTTTAGGCGTAATATCGAGGCGGGCCAGGTCGGTATCAACGTGCCGATCCCGGTGCCACTGCCTATGTTTTCGTTCACAGGCAACAAGAAGAGTATTGCTGGTGGCGGAGCCAATACGTTCTACGGGCGGCCGGGTATTAATTTTTACACACAGCAAAAGACTGTGACGGCAATGTGGTCAAGTGCCGATGCCATCTCGCGCAAGGCGGATGTAGCAATGCCTACTCAGAGTTAGAAATGAGGCTCGCAGCTACATGTATTTGATGGGTTCGGCGCATTTTTACCGATGAATAGAGGAGAACTGGAAAATGCTACCAAGTATCTATGCGGCAGGTCACGGATCGAATTGTCACAATTCATTCGAGTTTGCAGAGAATACCTAATTTTACATAGATACAATAGCACATAACAGTACATATAATATAAGTTGATTCCCAAGGTATATGGTATATAGCTATGCAATCTACAGCTTAAGTTAACCTACATACATATACGACACCCTCATACATACCCCCTTATATAATCTATCATTTCGGCCTTTTCTACTTTTCTCCATATAAATAAATACAGTTGCGGATCAAAATGCGGCAAGTTTAGGTTACGGTCGGTTTAAATTATACGGCACTGACGTATGTTATTATTACTAAGTAAACTCAAACTCTCCTCCTCTACCTTAGACCAAATTCATCCAATTATCTATCTCACATCCGTTCCTGACAATGGACCGGACTCTTCCTAATTGGTCTATTCCTCCAGCAACCGAATACGGAAACAACAACGTCGGAGATTTGACAGAGCTACCTAACGATCTTTTCGTCCTCATAAGCTCTTACCTCTCACCGCAAGACTGTATACTCTGCCGCCGTGTGAACCGAAGATGGTTAACAGCTTTCACCAACGTAGATATCTCACGGAACTTCATGAGATGGCACTTCCCCCGCTCACGCGAGGCACGCGGAGCCGCTGATGAACTCACCAACAACCCTGATTGGGCATGTGTATTCGCACGGGTGGCACGGCGGTACTACTACTTACGGTCCGCCAAGCCACGACTTGTCGAAAAGGTCAATATTGTCCAGGAGACTGGAAGCTTCAAGGGCTTGTTTTGTGGTGTTGCCCCTTGGAATCGCTGGCTTAGGTGGAATGAGAACACGGCTGTCTTTCAACATAGAGACCCCACATGGTGCTCTGACAATGGATTATTAGTCTATCAAGAAGCCATCTCTGGGAGCTGCGTGGCATACGATCTAGAAACACGGCATCGGTTCCCTGTCCCTTTTGATGTGTCTGATAAAACCGTTCGACGATTGCGACTTGCCTGCGAAGTTCTAGTCATCGAGTGGTGCGAACGCGAGCCGTACCATCAGCTTAACGACCAGGAAGGCGTCCATCGCCATTTTGCCACGGCATTCGATCTACAGAGGCCCACGCCTTCGTCGCCCGAGTTCCATGTCACATGGGATATTAAACACCGCTCCGAATGGAAGATCCATTTCCTTGGTCTGCCGCTCAACAACCACGACCGTTTCTTCTCTGTACATACTTCTACCCATTATGCACTTTACCTCTGGCAGCCAAATCGTTCGCCATGGGGAGAAGAAGACCCCTTAGAACAGCTCACAGTTTGGAATATTTCTAAGCCGTCGTCTTACCGTCCGTCACTAGATCCTAGCGGGGTTGGTAAACCCGAATCCGGTTCAAGTGAAGAAGGGCCATATGTCATCAATAGGTTCACGTGGCGCGATTTAGAATACCTAGGGCTAAGGCAACGACATACGCCCTCGCTTCGGGAGATTCTACTTGATGATACTAACATATACGTACACGAGGAGGAGCATAGGTGGCTTGTAGGCCAGCACTCGAGCCTTTCCCCGCCACGACACCACCTTGTGCGATGCAGTACGTATTTTAGAGTCCTGGGAGTTGGTTTTATATAACTACGATGACTAGGGGGTAACTACCAAGACCACACATAGAGCTCTAAACATTATCTAATGAAAGACTTGCTGACTCTACAATGTTTGTGCAGCGGGCTTCCCCTTTTTCGGCAGTGGACCTCGTTGGGTTGATGAGTGTTGCGCCGACGGCAATATCCACATGAGTTTCTGCCCACGGGCCGGATCGTTGTCCCGTGTTCTAAGAGTGGACTGGCCGACCGGTCTTGCGAGCGCGCCTTGTTGGCGACACGAAGAATTCCCGTACCTAACCGTGAGCGATATAATAGATGGGGGAGCCGGCGTACGCGTGGTTGCCCGCCAGTGCTTCATGATGGAGGCATTATCATCCTTCGTCCTACCCAAGATTAGCGTTCAAGAGCAGAGCGAGGACGATGGGGAAGAAGAGTTGTCTGAGGTTAGATTCACAGATGAAATGTGGTGGGAACTTCTGGGGAAAGGGAAGATAGCTGGGGACGAGCGGTGGGTTATTGGAGAAGATGGAGGTGGAAAGGTAACCATTGTACGATTTTGATACGGAAGCATTCTAAAGATCAGGTCATACATAAATAATATTACTTAAAATATTAAAAGAATTAAATATAATTAAAAATAGAAAATGAATAAATTTTTATTAAAGAGGTAGAATATTAAAAATAACGTATACATAGGAATATAATAAAACTAAGATATCGACACCTGTGTGATTCGAACACACGCCCCCGAAGGGAATGCCTACGCTGTTTCCAGTAACTACTGGAGATAGCAGGGCATCGCGTTAACCACTCCGCCAAAGTGCCTTACCAATTGTTAAACTCAATTTCTTCAATTTGGGTATATTATACTAGTACCCCAGGGCCACATCTAATTGGCTAGCAATTACTACATCATAGTCCCCGCACTATATAACATAATAATATAATGAACGTATATGATAAAAGATTACCCGATGATAACTTATAATATTTTTTTATTTTCATTATAAATATTATTTAAAGATAAGATATATATGTATCATTTACTTAATTAAGTAAACATGTCAAGGAAATGCGCTAAGTGATTATCGAGCTAATTATTCATTTACTTAGGTACATTTTAGATGATACAACTCCGAGGAAATGAGCAATCTATACCGGTATACATTTGAATCGACACGCCACTGCTTGGTTTCCTGCTTCACTGCCAGGGCGCATACGTGGAGTTTTAGGAGTGAATTTATGTTTAACAAATTCAACCTTAAATAAACCCGATGAAGAGGTAGGCAGCATAAGCATAAAAGAGAAAGAAGCATCTACCGATATCGATACACTATACATTAGCCGCTCGATTCAATGAATAGGGATGGTTTTCAAAATAGATCATCATAATGAATCCACACGACATAAATTTCATTACATGGTTATTACTATAGTTCCAATCCTAAAAAGGGATAGCAAATCGTTGAATCGTGGATAATGATTATACAAAATTGGCTAAAAATATCATCATCTTCTTCCTAAATGTCATTGCTCGTCAAAGCATAGATATCCACATGCCAAAACCCGCCTTGTATACCTAGGTAATGATAGACACATGATATTCCTATGAAATAGGAGATATCTCTTCGTACTATCCAAATTCACTATCATTCAACTATCCCTAAGCCTTTGAACCAGCCCCCGTGCCGCCGACCACACCAGAAGAACCAGAGCCACCAAGCGAAGCCAGCGTCGACTTCTTGACAAGTTTTAGACCAACAAGAGCATATACTAGGGCCTCAATGCCAAGAATCACGACTAACGTCACCAAGGCGCCAATAACACCAGCAACAGGTAACGAAATTCCGTTGCTAGAAGTTGTTGATGCGTCGGCTGCGCCATCGTCGCTTCCCGAATCGCCCGAGGTTGAGCTCGCGCAGGTGCCGGTGGTATTACCGCACGCACGGCACCATGCAGCTGTGTCGCCAATGGCAAACTTGTTCATCTCCGTAGCAAATGTGTTCCAAGGCAACAGCGTCTGGGTCTGGCCAAATAGGGGAAACTCTCGCGGTGGATTCAGGGCTGCCGTACCATTGGCCAACAGAAAACGAACAGATACATCGTCCGCGCTGGGGTATGCCGAGGAAGAGACGGTAGAATTGGTGACAAGTTCGAAGACTATAGATGACGCGTAATCGACAACGCCGGTGAAGTCCGCCGACACAGTCTGCAGCTGCGCCAGCCCAAAGAACGACATAAAGGAGGCGTAGGCACCGAATTGGATGCTAACAGGGGTCTTACCTTTGCCGCTAAGAGTCGAGTTGAGCTGCTGGACAATTTGCGCGGCAAGCGTGGCACCGGCGATAGCCCGAATAGTGTCGCTATCGTTGTAGGCGAGGTTCCACTCATGAGAATCAGCGAGAGTCCTGAGTTCTTTTAGGGTGTCGTTGGTCAGGAGCTGAGAAGCGGGTATGCTCTGGTTGTGGATGGTAGCAACATTGACATAGTCAAATATGGTATAGGCGTTCTTGAATGTGGCCTGGCTAGCGCTGAAGGTACCGTTGATCACAGGCAACAAGTTGCTATAAAACGACTTGGTCTGATCCAGGGCCGTAGTGTATTCCTCGGATAGAAAATAATTGTTGGAGCTAACAATGGCATTGCCGCAGCCAGAACCGCCCTGCAGCCACTCACTGTTCTCCGAGTCGGCACTCGAAGACGTCGTTGAGGACGTCGAGACGGGTATGTACTGATATCCGCCAAGTGGTGCCTGAACTTCAGACTTGTTCGCAAGTATCGAGACACCATTGGTGCCGGCGGGAGGATAGAAACCTTGTAGGAAAGCCAGGGCCGAGCTCTGGAGCACAGAATCGGCGGGTGAGATAACGCTTAACTGCGTAGGGACAGCGATGTCATTGCTCAAGCCATGGATAGGCGAGCTAGCGTCAGAAGCGACATAACGAGTGCGATAGAAGTCACCAGACTGAAATACCTCGTCGGCGCCCAACGCAGTAAGATTGGTCGGCGCAAGGCTCTTCGCAGTGCGATCGCCATGGCGATGGAATATGTAGACGCCGAGAATGGTTTCCGTTTTCGCAAGCGGCAAAGACGCCAGCGATAAGAAAACGGTTTTGAATCCCATATTTATGCCTTCATGAGCCGAATCTTGTTTAATACATAGAAGGGTAGGAATAATATGAGAAGCGGAGATATAGATAAACCAGAACGACAAGACTTTACCTATGTTGTAAAAAAACACACAAGACAGAATTGGAAGGTAATATAAAAGTACATCGTGCAGCCCCGCTCATCGTAAGGTTACATACAATACACCGAGACTAGATATGTTCTAGAACGGCAAGCTAGGCGGGACTTGTAAGATAACTAATCATTAATATATTATGATATTGACATAACTATTTTAGTAATTTTGACTTGGGTATAAGAAAGGATGTTTTTAAGTTAATATATCTTTTTTTTTTTTTAAGATTAGTTGTGTTATCCGACTAAAAGGTAGAGGAGAAAAGGAAGGAAGGAAAGGGTCAAGTACGTCATAACTAATGCCTCCATTTAAAAAAACCTTACTAAACCAGCATTTTAAATGTTTTTATGCTGAATTACCGTGTGTATACAGTGTGTTGGTAGCTTCTCATACTATGTTTTACAAATATAAGGCATATATATTATAATTGGCTGAGATTTTTTAAATTTATTTTTAAAGTCTTTTTTTAATATTTTTTTAAAAAAGTTTTAATAAAAAAAAAGATGTTTTATTAATTATATTTATTAATTAAAAAATAAATTATTATTATAATACTATTTTAAAAATTAATTAAAAAATAAATTATTATTATAATACTATTTTAAAAATTAATTAAATAAAACTTTTAATTTAAATAATTATTAATAATTTAAAATAAAAACTTATAAACATTTATTAATTTATTATTATTTCTTTTTTAATAAATAATTAAAATTTAATTTAATTAAATTAATTTTTAATTATTAAAAATATAAATTATTTTAAGTTTCATTAATAATAATATTAATATTTTTAAATTTTTTAATTATTTTAATTAATTATTTTAAGTTATTAATTTTTTTATAAGTATAAAAGTTATAAAAATTATATATGATAAATTTATATTTTAATAAGGTATAATCATTATTAAAATTAATTAATTTAAAATATTTTAATTTAAAAATAATAATATTAATAATAAATTAAATAATTAGATATATTTTATTTATTTATTAAAAAGGCTTAAAATCCTTTTATTATATTTAAAAAAATAGTTTTAAATTAATAATTAAATATATAAAAGATTTTTAAAAATTTATATAAATATTCTTTTTTTCTATTTATTTATAAATAAAATTAAATATTTTTATCCATCTTTATTTATATTATACATTACTTTTTTTATTTTATTTTTACCTTATTTATTTAATAATAAATATTATTTTAAAAGATTATATCCTTATAAAAAAATTAATTTATAATATTATTCCTTTCTTTTTAAATTTTTTTATTTTTAAAGATTTTCTTTTTTAATAAATTTTTTTATAATGTATTATATTTATTAATCCCTTCTTTAAATATAAATATATTAATTAAAAATAAAAAATATATGATTTTTAAAATAAATTAATAAAGTTAATTTTAATATAAATATTATATTTTATTTATATGATTTTAATTATAATTTTAAATATATAATAATTATTAATATATTTACAAAATATATTTATAAAATATATTAAATATATATTATATTATTAATATAATAAAAAAGATATTATCTTTAATTTATTTTTTAAATTTAAAAAATAAAAAAGAATAATTATTTGTTTAAAAATATTAAATTAAAGAAATTCTTAAATAATTTTATATTAAAATAATTAAAATGTGATAAACCTATGCCTTAAAGAGGTATAATTGTTATTAAATTAATTAATCTGAGGTGTTTTAATTTAAAAGCAATAGTATTAATAATAAGTTAGATAATTAAGTAAATTCTACTTATTAAAGAGGCTTAGAATGTTTTTATTATATTTAAAAGAATAATCTTAGGTTAATAATTAAAAAATTATAAAAAAATGATTGAATATATAAGAAATATTTATGGTTATATAATTATTCTTTTTTTAATATCTAAGGTTATTATGATTTAATTAATTTAATAAATTATATATATCCCATAATTTAATTATAATTTAATTAATTTAATTAATCTTTAATTATATAATTAAATCTATTAGATTTATAAATTATATATATGTTATAATTTTTCTATTATTACTTTATTATATTTTATTTCTTTTAGGCTCTTAAAATGATTATTTTCTATTAATTTATGATATTGTATTCCTCTTTTAGGATCCTTTTATCTTTAAAAGATAAAAATAAATGAACATCTTTTCTTTTTTATTTAATATAATATTCCTTTAAATTATTATTATATTAAATTATATTATTAAAATGTAATTTAGAAAATAACCAAGTTAAAAAAAGTTTATAAAAATTATATTATAAATATTATAAGTTTTTTAGATTTCTTTATTTAAATTATATTTATTTGGATAAATTATTTTATAAATTTTTCTTAGGAGGTAATTTATAAAATCATTATATTTATAAATAATATTTCTATTATAACATTTTTATTATAAATAACTTTAATAATTTAAATATTAAATCTAATTACTCAAAAAAGGAATATTATATTATAAAAGATAAATTCTTCATTTTTTAAATTGAGATTAATAATTATTAAAAAAAGATATTTTAAAAAGGATTAATTATTTTTAATATTTTTATCATTAAGAGGATATTATAAAAAATAATTAAATAAAAAAGAAGAAAAAGAAGTTTAAAAAGAATTTAAAATATAATTATTTTTTATTAATTCTTCTTTAATCTTTTTTTTTTCTTTTAAGGATAAATTTTAATCTTAATTTAATATTATTATTAATTATAACTATATAGATTTTGGTTAATTAGAATTCTAATAATAAAAATCCTTAATTAATTTTTAGACCTTCCTATTTATAAAATATTTTTATAATTCTTAAATATTATTTAATAAAATATTTGATCTAATTATTAATAAATTCAAAATCTTAAATAATTTTAATATTATATTCTTTTAAGTTTTCTTTTATTTTAATATCTTTAGATATTAATTTAAATATAATAATATAAAATATATTAATTTTTAATTTTATATTTATTAATATGTCACAAACTAACAACCTGTAACCAACCCTTACATTACAATGAATAAAGGAAGGCCAATCATAGTAAAATCCCAGATAGGGAATTTCTATTCTTATAGGATAATAAAGCAAAACAGAATAAGATAAAATAAATCAAAATAAATCAAAATAGAACAAAGTAAATTAAAATAGAAACAAATAAAAGAAAAGAATATTAAATTATATAAATTATTAAAATTTCCTATATATCTAATTATTTTTTTATAACTTTTTAATTATTAATCTAAGATTATTTTTTTTAAATATAATAAAAAAATTTCAAATTTTTCTAATAAATAGAAATCTACTTAATTGTTTAACCTATTATTAATATTATTACCTTTAAATTAAAATATTTAGATTAATTAATCCAATAATAATTATACCTTTTTAAAACATAAATTTGTCCTATTTTAATAAGTTTTTAATTAATATTAATATTAAATCAAGAAACAATATAAGTTATTTATAGGATATCCCATTATCATCGTTAATTAAATCTTTTTTATATTATTAATTTTTAAAAATAAAATAGAAAACTTTTATACCTTTTAAAAATTATTTTTTAAAGAATATCACAATTAAACATGAAATAACTTAGTAAATCCTAACCTAAAAAATAAAGAAAAATTAGATGAAAAAGAATTTTAAAATAAGGATTTAAATAATTTATAATAATTTAACTTATCATTATCTAAAATATTTACATTTATTTATATTATTTAAAATTTATTATTAATAAAAGAAATATTTTAATTTATTAATAAAATAATACTTCCTAAAATATATTTATAAATTTCAGAATTAAAGACTTAAGGGAAAATAAAGGTTAAAACAGAAAAAGATAATAAAAAAAAGATTCTTAATTAATAAATAAAGATTATAACCATCTTTATAAAAATTAAAAGATTTAAAACAAATTAATATTAAGGAAGGTTAGATAAAGGAAAATGTTTAAAAAACCTTTATTGAGAATCTTTTAATAACCAATATCTCCTTAACCTTTAATATCCCCTAAATCATTAAATAATGGTAACAATAAAGATAATAGGGATAAAAAAGAGAAAGGAAACAAAAAATCCTAACCAAGAAGGAAAAGAATGATAATTCCTTTTTTATTTATTAAAAAATATAAATTAATAAATCTATTAATTTATAATAAAATTTTAAATATTAAAAATTAATTCATATATATAAAACTTTATTTATCTTTTTATAAAAAAATTTATTATAAAAAAAATAATAAATATTTATTATTATTTAATTCTTAAATAAAATTATTTTAACATTATTAAAAAAAATTAAAAAAATCTTAACATATTTTTAAACTATATAAATATTTTAAAAATAAAATATAAATAATATTTAATAAATCATTTAAAAAAATATATAAAAAATTATTTATTACTTTTAATAAAAAAAAGTTATTTTTTATATACCAGAATTTAAATGATTAGTTATTATAAGATAATTATTTAAAAACATATAATTTAATTATTTTTATAAAGGAGTAATTATTTAGATAAAAAATAAAATTTTTAAGGAAGAATAACCTGTCATTATTGATAAATATATAACCAAAATAATCTTTTATAATAATAGGTTATATAAAAGATATAATAAAAAAAAAGACTTTAAGGTGATAAGGAATTAGGGAAAAAAAATTAATTAAGATTTAGAATCTTAATATAATTAATAATAGTAAGAAATCTAAGAAGGATTTGAGCAAAATTAAATGTTATAATTATTAAAAAATGGAATATTATAAAAATTAATATAAAAAATCTAAGAAATAATCATGGATCTTAAAAAGAAAATTAATTAATATAATAATTATATTATTAATAAAGAATTAAAAGATCCACCACCTAATTATAACAAAGTTATGTAACAAATAGAGGTAGAAAATTTTATAGACTAAATAAATTAATTATGGAATCTTAATATAATAGATATAAGAGATTCTAAAAAATCCAGTTTTTTTTTTTTTTTTTTTAGAAATATAAGGATTATTAAAAAAGCTACAAAAATTATTATAAAATATAGATTAGGACCTAAAAGGCAAAATGGAAGAAAAAATAATATTCTTAATATAAATTAACAACTAAAATATCTCTATTATATTATTATAAAATAAAAATATTATTTTAATATATTTTAATAGAATATAGGTATATTAATAAATAATATAAAATCAATAAGATTTTAATAATAAGGAAGGATGGAATCAGATTCTTAAACCAAAATTAGTATACCATGTATGATTAATTAAATAAATGGATTATTATCATTATT